AGGGCAATTAAAATTGATTAAGAAGGAACAGTGGATGCAAGTGAACGTCAAACTTTCAATTTTCACCCGTGTTCTGACGCAATTAAGTATTACAATTCAAACAGGACCAACCGTTATGTGTTGCTTGAAGGCTCTTTTATTGATCGTTACAAATTCTGAGGATAATTGGGTTCTTGATAACATTACAGAGATTCATTTGCTCATTGAAAATTCTATCAAATCGGATGTTCGTGTTTTGAAAGAACCCCTTTGCGCACTTCTTGATTTCTTGCTGCAAAAAGGTGTCCAGAAGCCTGATTTGAGAGAACAGAATTCTGCTTATCAAGCTTTTTGGACGAAAATTCGGGTATGGTCTGAAGCAAGTCTAAATGCGGGCTCTTGCTCCAAGGTCGCTTTGCAATGCTTACGAAATTTTATTGGTGTAAACCGAGATAGTTCTTCAAGTTTAATTGTTGCTTTCATGAAGTCTTTTCAAAAACTTTTTCGAATTTACTTCACCCAACTCGTCCAGCCAACTATGCTGGAATCGGAAAAGAGTGCACTTTTAAGTGGTCTTAAAGAATCTGTTACTTTTGGGTGTGAATTTCTTGATGTTTTTGGTGATCAAAGACGGTGGTTCCTTAGTGCGTTGATTCAGTTCATTGAAAAGTCCCCTTCACTTTTACTATGCTCAACAATATTTGAGTTTACCAAACAATGGATTTTAAGCAATTCTCCAGTACCTACGACCAAAGAGAAAACAGCGTTAGTACTGAAGATGGTGACATGGGAAAATCGCTTTACAGAAGAATCGAAGCCCACAATGTATGAACAGTACTTGCATTTATTGCTTAAAGTGAAACGGAACAAGAGCCCGGAAAATGAAGAACTTCGTTTCAGACTTGAATCAGCATTTTTGCACGGCACACAGTGCAGCAACTCCGAGTTAAAGTCTTCTTTTCTACACTTGTTAACAGAGAATCTTCCCGAATCCTTCAAAACAAGGCTTGAGTACGTGCTCGAGGAACAGAACTGGGAAGCAATTTCACGCAGCTTTTGGCTTAGTCAAGTAAATCTCATTTGGGGTGAGTGCTTAATGCAGGAGGATCCCGCGTGTTTTTGTAGAAGTCTTCCATTTGTCCCTAAATTTCCGATGCTCGTTGAGAACTCACAATCAAATGTTGAAAGTGAAACGAATACCGTATTTATGGATATGGTAAACAGTCTTAAAACAAAAATTGGACAATCACAGAAGCCTGCAATTAGCAGCCTTCTATCCCCGGTGCTCAAAATTCAACAGACTAATGTTTCGGTGTCTGCCATTCTGTTTATTGAGCTTTTCAACGCATTTTGGTGCAGTCTTGCTGACGAGGACAACCTTTATTTTACGGGTTTGTTAATTCGGCTTCTATCCAAGGAGTATCACATACGCCAGCTTGGTGTTAATCAAAGTGTTATAAAAACCATTCTCAATGCTGTATTTCTCGCTGAACGTGATATTTTACTACCGCCTCATCTTTTATCGTATATGGGATTGACTTATGGACTTCAAAATATAGCAATCCTAATGCTGGAAAAAGGGCTTGCTAATGTCTTTGATGACTTAGAAAAAGCTGAAGCTGAGGCGTATGAGAGACAATGTTTTAGTGCACTCAGTGAGTTATACCTTTCTCTTTCTGAGACCGATCTTTATTTTGGTGTTTGGAAACGTCGTTGTCAACTATTGGAAACGAATGTTGCTATATCTTTTGAACAGCACCTCGAATGGGAAAAGGCACAGATGCTATATGAAAAGGCTCAAATTAAAGCGAAGGTTGCAGCAATTCCTTTTGCCGAGGAAGAGAACAACTATTGGGAGGATCACTGGATCAGTTGCACTCAGAGACTAAATCAATGGGATGTATTATTAGATTACTCCAAGCAAGCCGATTGTAGCAATCTCTTTCTTGAATCTGCATGGCGTATGCTAGACTGGAATTCAGAACGTGATGACGTGAATAGAATCTCGAAGTCACTTGCAAGCACTCCAACTTTACGCAAGTATTCTATTGAAGCTCTTTTAAGTCTAAACAGGCAAAAAGCGAGCACAGATAACTTACGCGAGTTTACTAAAGTTTTGGAAGAGTTTATGCATTATTCGTTAATTCGCTGGCAACAACTTCCAAAGCATGTTTCGTATTCTCATGTTCCTTTGTTACATTGTTTTCAGCAAGCAGTGGAGTTCAATGAAGCGAGTACAATATACGCCCAACTGTATTCAACTACAGCACAAAACTTGGAGACTAAAGTTCAAGATATAAAACTTATATTTCAAGCTTGGAGGGAGCGGTTACCTAATGTAACTGATGATATTCTTATCTGGAGTGACCTAATAGCTTGGCGACAAACAGTGTTTGCTGCTATAAACAAAGTTTATCTCCCTTTAGTTTCAGCGACGCAACAGAATACGGGAAATAATTCTTCAAATCCCGTCTCGTTTCTCTATCGAGGCTATCATGAGATGGCTTGGATAATTAACCGTTTCGCCCACGTTGCTAGACGGCAACACTTGCCTGATCTTTGTATTAGTCAACTCACAAAGATCTACACACTTCCCAATATTGAGATCCAGGAGGCATTCCTCAAGCTTCGAGAGCAAGCAGAATGTCATTACGAGAACAACGAAGTTGAACTTGGACTGGAAGTTATTATAAATACAAACCTTATGTATTTCGGAAGTCAGCAGAAGTCCGAGTTCTTTACCTTGAAGGGCGTTTTACAAGCCAGAGTTAATGATAATGATGAAGCAAATCAAGCGTTTGCAACCGCAATTCAAATTGATATGACCTCAAAGCGGGCTTGGTATGAGTGGGGACTTTTTTACGACAGGCTTTACAGTCAAAATCCTTCACAGCTAAATCTTGCTGGAAATGCTTTAGGTTGCTATCTTCAAGCAGCTTCTCTTTCACAAAACCTTGAAGCCCGGACTGTAGTCAGTCGGATTTTATGGCTTATCTCTTTAGACACTGCTACCAACACTTTAGCATCTATTCTTTCTTCTTCTAAATCAGAAATTCCCGTTTGGAACTGGATCACTTTCATTCCACAATTACTAATTGCTGTTTCCCGAAGGGAACATTCTTATGCAAGAGGTATTCTCATAGAAATTGCTAAAGCTTACCCTCAAGCTCTTCATTTTCAACTTAGGACTGCTCATGAAGAATACCAGTGTCTTAAGAAACAAATTGAACAAAAATCCGAAGATTTAAAAAAGGCCGCCGAATTCACTGGGAATAGAAATACTTCTTCTGAAAATCGATCGGAAATTTTGGCTTCAAGTGCGGGCTCAACTCCAACTTTGTCGCCAATGTTAGAAACAAATTTCACTCAGCCTTGGGATATTGTTTTTGACGTAATGGCTACTTTGAAGACTAACTACCCTCTATTGGCTTTAACCATGGAAACAATGGTGGATCAGATTCAAACCAGGTTAAAATGTTCGGCTGAAGAGGATCTGTATCGACTTATTGTTGCTTTGTTAAATGACGCTTTACAATATGTTAGTCGACTTGGTGCTGTCTCAAAAAACACACCACTGTTGCCAATTACTCAAACGAGCATTAAAAGGTTAGCTGAAAACATTCTTCCTGAACCTTTGAAGCGTTCATTTACAGAGGATTTCATATTAAAGCCGATGACTCTAGTAAGCTATATTCGTACCTTAAAGCAATGGCGCAATAACCTTGAGGCCATCCTGGACAGAAGGCCAAAATATCTGCATTTGGAACACTGCAGTGTGTATCTGAGCGAATTTCAACACCAACGTTTCGATGAAATTGAAATTCCTGGCCAATATCTAATGCAAGGGAAAAATGCAAATGACTTTGTTCGTTTAGAACGATTCATGCCCGAAGTTGACTTAATTCGAGGACACAACATGTGTACTAAACGTCTGAGCATGCGAGGATATGATGGTATTGTTTATCATTTTATCCTTCAGTGTCCTTCCACTAGACATGGTCGAAGAGAGGAACGTGTCATTCAACTCCTTAAAATGTTAGATGGGCTAGCCTCTTCAAGTACCGAAACAGCTCGGAGGAACATAAAATTTACTCACCCCAACATAGTTCCTCTTTCATCCCATGTTCGCATAATGAGCGATGATAAATCATTCATTTCCTTGCAACGACTTGGTGATCTTCACCTTGCCAAATTGGGTTACCCAGCAGACAGGGCAATTAATATGTGCTATGAAAAGCTTCAACGTGGCCTTATTCAGCTGAAGCGTTCATTGCCCAAGGATATATCCTCAATAGCGGAGAAAAAGCGCTTGAAGCAGTGCATTATTGCCTTCCGTGTGGAAATACTTCAGGCAATTCAACAAAGTACGAACTTAGATTCTGCTGTCAAGTCTTATTTTACCGACTTGTATCAAGACTATGATGATTTCTGGGTATTTAGACGGACGTTCACAGTTCAGTACGCCTATATCACATTTCTCACTTACTTTTTGAGTTTAAACAATCGTTTTCCACACAAACTAAATGTTGCTTCTCAGAGTGGTAGGCTCCAATTTACGGAACTACTTCCCTCAATGGCATCTTCGCAACCAGTGTTTCACACGAACGACCCTGTCCGTTTCCGGTTAACTCCAGCATTGCAGCAATTTATTGGTGACATCGGACTAGAAGGAATGTTCACAGATACAATGTTAAGCCTTGCGCGAAGTTTGTCTCGAGATAATGCAAATGACCTCAAACAATACCTGAGCTTATTCATTCGGGATGAACTGAGTTGGTGGTTTACGCAACATCACCGACCTTTGCTTGAAGGTTTGCAATTATTCGAAAAAGTCACCCAGAATACGGATTTGTTATCTCGAAGAATTCTTTCACTAACTCATCCTGTCCCTGAGAATGTTCCTCTGCACCAGGCCTGTATAGACTTGTTTTCTGACAGTACAAAGCCTGAAAATCTTGCCCAAATGGATCCACTTTGGCAAGCTTGGTTATAAGCCCATTGCAAAGTCTTTCCTATACGGACATTTATGATTGTATATATATTTCTGTTTTCTTCTTCATTTTATTTTAGATTGACAAGTTCTTAATGCTATTACTGTTTTACACGTTCGCTGACAAAGTGTACCCAAAGCCCAAAATCATTTTGTTTATTGTTAGCATATTTAAACCATGTCGCCAATGTTTATAGGCATTTCGTCGATAACGGTTGAGTAATACTGCTCAATATCACGAAGAATGCGCACGTCGTCATTGGTAACGAAATTGATAGCAACACCCTTGCGACCAAACCGACCACTACGACCAATTCGGTGAATATAGTTCTCTCTGTTGCTTGGGAGATCGTAGTTAATGACCAAAGACACTTGCTGAACATCAATACCACGAGCCCAAATGTCAGTACATAGTAAGACTCGAGAGTGGCCCTGTCTGAATTCTTGCATAATTGCGTCTCTTTCTTTTTGAGGCATTTCACCGTGCATGCTCGTAACAGTAAAATTTGCTTCACGCATCTTTTCCGCAAGCCAGTCTACTTTCCGCCGTGAGTTACAGAAAATGACTGCTTGCGTAATAGTAAGAGTATCGTAAAGATCACAGAGCGTGTCAAACTTCCATTCTTCTTTTTCGACGGCAATAAAGTATTGTTTCAGTCCTTCCAAGGTGAGTTCGTCACGCTTCACCAAGATGCGCACTGGATCAGTCGTAAATTTATTTGTAAGCTCAAGAACATCTTGTGGTAACGTGGCACTAACAACAACAACTTGGGTTCCAGGAGGAAGATAACGATATATATCGTAAATTTGGTCTTTAAAACCACGATTTAATAGCTCATCGGCTTCATCAAGAACCAGCATTTTCACATTCCGAACCCGAAGGTTTCGGCGACGTATCATGTCTGTAACACGACCAGGTGTTCCAGAGACAACATGTTGTCCGTAATCCAACTTTTTTATATCATTTCCGACGGAAGTACCACCGATACATGCGTGGCACTGAACATTCATATGATCACCCAAAGCCAAAACGACGTTTTGAATTTGTACAGCCAGTTCGCGTGTGGGTGAAAGAATGAGTGCTTGCGTTTCGCGAACGCTTAAGTCGATGGACTGTAAGATACCAATAGAGAATGTGGCAGTTTTACCGGTACCAGATTGTGCTTGAGCAATCACGTCTCGGCCCTTACAAATTTGTGTTATAGCACGACTTTGAATAGCACTAGGAGTCTCATAGCCATAGGCATAAATACCACGTAACAAGTCCTCTGTATGAATTGTTAGCTCAAATAAAACGGAGAGAGGTGACAGCGAGAAGCGAGGAAACAGAACCGCAACCCGCGTTTCTACAAATCTGTTGTTTTCACTTTGGCAACAGACACCTCCAGCATTCGTTTTGACAAGTTTTAGAATTTCTTCTAAGTAAAACGAAAAATAAAAAAATCAAAACTCGCTATTAAGCTTCAATAAACGTACCTTTAAGCTTCATCTCTTCAAAAGAAGCGCACGCTTTGACATCCTCGGATGTCGTAAGCTCAATGGGCTCCATTGCTTGATCAGCCATACTTTTTTTTTAAGGTAACGACGGGAGTGTTGTATACTAAGTGTAACAAAATACTGTTAGAGGCTAGAAAGAAGACATGTCCGACCCGTACCTTCTCGAAACCCGGGATATCAACTATTAGTCTGTATTCAAGTTTCTTCTCTTTGCTGAGAACTTCCTTAATTGTTTTCTTTTTTTCTTATTTCCCAACAGGAGACATGGAATTATAATCGTCTGCAGATCCAAAGGGGTTCGTAGGCACTTTCGGTTAATCGGTGACATTTATCTAATCTATTGAGTAATGCAAAAAGTCCGCATGCAAAGTATGGAGAGAGAGACCCTTATAAGGTAGCACAAATCTTCATTTGGAAAATCCGATTTGCGGCTTACTATGTACCTGGCATGCCGTGAGCTGGTCATTGGAGATAACAACAACTGACGAGTCTCTCTATTCTCGCGGTTTTGCTGCTCATTTCCCGTCTCCTTGCAAACTCCCTCGTACCAGAGTTATTCTAGAACTTTGTTTGATGGGGCAAGTTCATAGCCACACATAGATGTCGGTAATAGGAAAACGATGCATTACTAGATAATGTTACTACTTTCATTGTATGTACTACTAACTATAAACATTCTTTGTTCCTTTTCTTTTGCTCGACGATCTCGCTTATTAGGAGACGAATTTGTATCGATACCTCAATGGAAGACACTATCTGGTCGCATATTTTTCGCTTACAGGTGAAAAAGAATACCGTTTTCTCAAAGGACGTATGCTTGACGCATACTGAGGGTCTTGCGATGCAATTGGTTTCTCTTTGTTCGTAGTTTCTTTGTCTTTGTCGCAGAGTTGCCCCCTTGAGGGGATATAAAAAACAAGAATGTCAGTCTTTTAAGAGCATTGATAGTGTCCATGCTACTTAATGTACGCGGCCACAACATTGAACTTTTTCCTTCGCGAGAATTGACGCGGGGAAAAGGTCAAATTAAAGCTGGTTGGATATCTTTAAAAGACGGAAAAATTCCATACTTTCCATGGGTCAAAAAATGGCTAGTTCTATCTCACAATTCACTTAGTATATACCGAAGGGAGAGCTCTTCAGAACCCCAGATTCTAATTCTGCTAAAGGATATTGAGGGTGTAAGCCGCTTACCAAGTCGTCCTTATGGCTTTCTGTTAAATTATATCGTTCATGAAAAAGAAGCACGTCGAAGAAATCTGGAAATTTCATTGAGCACACAAGTTGACTTTTGTTCGTGGATGGACGAAATTACTCAGGTACGGAATTCTCCATTGGCAATTGGGGCTACTTGCTCTACTGCTGACTTTTTGCGGTTCGTCTTTGTACTAACTTTCTCAATAGCGTTATCAAGCAAATAAAGTGTCAAGTCCTATGAATGTGAAACATAAGGTCCATGTTGTCGTTGATAACACCGGCCATTTCTCAGGGCTACCCAATGAATGGGTAAAACTGTTAATGAGCAGTACATTGACGAGAGAAGATTGCATGAATGACTCGCAAGCTGTGTACCAAGCTCTTGACTTTTATAGCAAGCGCATTCTCGGAGACGGTAAGACGAATTCTGGGGAAACAAAGAATCATGAAGGGACGAACGGATATCATATGGATCATGCTGCTGCTGGCGGTCGCAGTGGTCCATTACACGTTTCCTCAAGTTTCTCTGTTCGTCCCAAAGAAGCAAGTCCATCCCTACCGTTCCAGGATGTCTTACGTCGCAGTATTTCGGTAAAGCAACCGGGGCAGGAAAGGTCATATGTTTCTAAAAAGACACAACTTGGATTGGGTGCTGTTGCTCAATCATCGTATGGGCAAATAAATGCTTCTTCTGCAACCACTTTCTCTACAGCTGAAGAAAAGAAGCTTCCCTTGTCAAACCAGCAGGCCATGTCTATGCTTGTATCATTTGTGACGAATAAAGATCCACGAAGCTGTCTGGATGTTAGTAAAAAAATTGGACAAGGAGCCTCAGGTGCAGTCTACGTGGCGCGAGTGCTCGAAAAGCGTTATGGACCACACGAGAAGGTTGCTATTAAAAGCATCGACATGAATAATCAAAACAGGAAAGAGCTTATTATCAACGAGCTTACTGTGATGAAGGAGTCTAATCACCCCAACATTGTGAATTTCTTGGATGCATTCTTAGTCAAGCAACGGTATCTGTGGGTAGTGATGGAATTTATGTCTGCTGGATCATTGACGGACGTGATTGAACGTCACAAGCTTACTGAGCGACAAATCGCTAGAATATGCCTGGAGACATGTACTGGCATCCAGCATTTACACTCTCGGAACATCATTCATCGCGACATCAAAAGCGACAATGTTCTTCTGGATGTGGAAGGTCACATTAAAATAAGTACGTTTCTCCTAATTCCTTCGATCCGAATGATCATTTTTAAACTAACCAATTACAGCTGACTTTGGATTCTGTGCACGCTTGACAAATCACATGAACAAGCGTGTAACAATGGTTGGAACGCCGTATTGGATGGCTCCAGAAGTAATTAAACAACAACGCTACGGGCCAAAGGTTGATATTTGGAGCCTGGGAATTATGACTATTGAAATGATTGAAAATGAACCGCCTTACCTGAAAGAAGACCCCATTAAAGCATTGTATTTAATCGCCAAAATTGGCACACCTACTCTTCGACAACCTGAGTTGTTGTCACCTGAATTACGATCATTCCTCTCAGCAAGTTTGACAATCAGTGTAATTTCTCGGGCGACTGCCGCTGAGCTACTTACGCACGAGTTTTTGAAAAAAGCATGCACGACTGACGAATTGAAACATTTAGTACTCAGAACTCAAGCTATTAAAGGAAAACGTTAAATTTGTTATGATGTTACGAAATTTTTATTATGATTAGCTAAAATTACGGTTTTGAAGGTGTCTAAGCTTCTAAGATAACGATTTTGTTTTCTTTTTTTTTTTACTGTGCTGTGCTGGCGTGGGCTTTCCCTTTTTCCACCAAGGGCAAACAGAGGACTTCAGGAAATCTGCGCGAATGAAAGCCATTGCGACGCTCCTTCGACTTATTCTCTTCTTATTTTCATTTAATGTTGTGAGATGCGCTAGTTCGACGACTGTCACGGAAGCAGAGTTGAATTCTGTTCTTCTTCAAAATATCGAAGACCAAACTGTCGAATATTACAAAGTTACCTGGTCGCCGGCAGTTGAAAAGACGATTAATGTCACGCTGTCTGTGTGCACTACGTTTGATGGAGCAACGCAATTGTCACTGTATGCATCAAATTCCTCGCTGTCTCAGGCTACGAGTACGACGAATGTCTCCTATGCCCAAGTCGATTTAGGCTTGGCAAATTTGTCTTACACAACATACCCCCCGCTGTACTTGGCTGTTTCTTCGGAAATTTCAATGTTTAGGAGAAATGAATTGAATGAAGCGTATGGAATGAAAGACTCTTCCAGTGCCAGTCTGTATACCGTTTACGAGTTGGGCATCGGGGACAATGTCACCTATCACGAGTACGTTGATTCTCGCTTTCTTTATGCACAAGACACCGATTCGGCTGCTGCTTTGCTCATTACGGGTAACCTTACCACGAATGACACGTCCGTCATTCCGGACTATGAGATTTACGTGAACCCTGCCAATTCTTCTCTAGATTTGAAATTACGACAGCTTTCTCATTCTTTTTGCGCCTTTCGTGATAACCCTTCTTTGCTTAACTTGAACAATGCAGATCGCTCAATGACACTACGTGGTTTGGGTCCAATGGCTAAAGAACAGTTTTATGTCAAAGGTTTGAACGCTAGCACTACCTACAATGCATACCTGGTTGATCCTAACAATGGCACCCTGGGCGGTACAACATTCCAAGCAATCGGCTTCACTACCAAACAAAACACGACATGCCAGCTTATTTATGACCTCGAGTTTTGTTCTAACGTAGCTTACGCTGCCCCGGGATCACCTACTCGTTTTTCAGCCGGTACACTAGCAAAATGGTATGACGAACAAGCTGCAGGTTTCTACAAAAACTTTACGTATACGCTGCACCAGTTGCCGTGTAATGCGTCTAAGGAGTCCACCTACTCTTTGCTACGCAACTGTACTGACTGTGCTGCTAATTATAAGAACTGGTTGTGCGCAGTTTTGATTCCTCGTTGTACCGACTGGGCAAGAAATGACACATTTCTTTCGCTTAAAAACAACACTTCTCGCTATCCTCTTATTGACGAGTACATTCAGCCGGGACCGTATAAAGAGATTCTTCCCTGCTCGTACTTGTGCTACGAAATGGCTGCCTCTTGTCCAATTGACTTTGGATTCACTTGTCCAAAAACGGGACGTGGCCTGGAGCAGACATACGGCACTCCAAGCCAGGAAACTGATAACATTTCATGCAATGCACCGGGTGTCGAGTTCTACGTCAGCGAGGCGTATACCAGCACAATTCGGTATAATTCTCTCTTCTTGCTCGTTTTGTTTTGGTTCATTTTCCATTTCTTGGAGTAGGTCCCTCTGTGTATATAAGGAAAATGTCTCAGTATCCTGTCTGCTTTGTCTTGATCACTATTTTGTCCTAGTGTTCTTGCCTCTTATATTATGTCTTATGTGTTCATCATCAATGAAACAGATTATTCTTGCATTTGAAACGAATCGACTAAACTACATGAGTTTACGAAACGGGACTAATTGAAAATGACAAACTTTAAAAAAACACCCAATGTTGTTCTTAAAATACAAACAATATTTGTCGGCGAATCGATTTAATGCACAGAAGTAAAACGAAATTGGTATTAAATCGGAGGTTGGATATGTAAATACCTACTGAAATCTCATGAACAAAAACAAAACTATCAATCCCGTCAACTCTAGTTTCTTACTAATTACATTCCCTGTCAGTTATCAAATACTTATTTCCGCTCCCGGGGTGTACTACACTTACCTCAGAATTTCGTTTTTCCAGCGGCGGATAAGAAAGTTGCTATCATACGATGTTGTTCAGCATTTTGATCTAACTGTAAGCTCGGCTGGCATATTTCCCAACATCTGAGACTCGGGAAAACACGCAGAATTGGCTTGATTTCACCGCTACTAACTCCACTACATACACCCAAAGAGCCTTGACAATGTCTATTGCTGTTTGTGGTGGCGGTATTGCAGGCCTAAGTGCTGCGTATTATTTGGCCCGTTACCTTCCTAAGACACAGATTGTACTTTTAGAGCAAGGAACCCATCTAGGTGGATGGTTGCAATCTGTTAAGGTTCCATGCTCAAAGTCACCGACAGGATCGGTACTGTTTGAAAAGGGTCCTAGAACCCTCCGGCCAATTGGTCTTCCTGGTCTTGCTACTCTGGATTTGGTTGCGAAATTAAAGCTACAGGACAAGATACTTCCTATCCTTAAATCGTCGACGAGTGCTAAGAACAGATACCTGTACTACCCAGACCGCTTGAACCATGTTCCTTCCAATCTTTTTCAGAGCCTCTCAATGTTTATGTCACCGGCCTTCAGAAGTATGCCATGGGCAATGCTAATGGAACCTTTTAGGCGAAAGAAAGCAGACTCTGCGGACGAAAGCGTTTGGTCATTTGCAAACCGTCGGTTTGGCCCCAAGGTCGCAGATCGTGTGATGAGTGCGTTGGTGCACGGAATTTATGCAGGTGATATTCATGAATTGTCCGTCAAATCGTCTATGTTTCGCAACATGTTCAATGCCGAACAGACGGGAGGAAGTTTAATCCTCGGTATGATACGTGCAATGTTCAAGGGTGGGTTCCCTTTGACTGCAGAACAAAAGGAAGTAAAGAATCTGCTTCGAAACACTCCCGAAACTATGTCTTTATACCATCACTTGAAGAGTACTGCCATCTTCGCTCTTCAGGATGGCATCGAAACACTCAGTAAAGCGATGTACGATGCTCTGAAAAAATCTCCTAATGTTGAGGTTCGCTTGGAGACACCCGTCACAAACATTGAGCCTTCATCCGAAAAGTCTGTGCATGTGAATGGTGAAGCATTCTCTAACGTTGTTGTAGCAATGTCTTCACGCCAGCTTGAAAAGGTGGCCTCGGCCCCTGCAATGGGAACCCCGACATCTTCCGTGTACCTTGTGAACGTATATTACAAGGACCCTAAGGTTCTTCCCGTCTCGGCCTTTGGTTATCTCGTCCCCTCTGCCACGCCCAACAATCCCCACAAGGTTTTGGGTGTAGTTTTCGACAGTGACCAAAGCAATCCCGAACAGGGCACGAAGCTGACTGTTATGATGGGAGGTCGTTCCTATACCAAGGATCCAACTCTTATTCCTTCATCACCTGAGAAAGCTACTGAGGCCGCTCTTGATGCATTGAAGCAGCAACTGAACATCACAGCTACTCCCGACTTGACGTTGGCAACGTTACAGCGTGATTGCATTCCTCAATATGCCGTTGGCCACGAGGAAAAGCTTAATCAGCTGAACGAATGGAACAACAAAAAGATGAATGGTTGCTTAAAGTTCACTGGCAGTTGGTACAATGGCGTCGCTATTACAGACTGTATTTTGAATGGTCATATTGTTGCTCGTGATCTTGCGAAAATTCATTCTTAAATAAATCTGGGCACTCACGTGTCTGCAGATACGACGTTTATGTTCTAGTAATTAAAGAAGTTAATGCTTATTTACATACATCTTTATTAATCCATACAGTCCTCATTGAAACATGAAAGATATTATTTTTTTTTTCAAATGTCATTAAACTTTTTTACATCTTACAAGTAATTGGTAATGAACGCATACGCTTATCAGGATCAAAGTACTAATCATAGGATACGTCTAAAGTTCATCAGTATTAGCATCAGCAGGCTGAGCAGACGGTGTCTCGTGAGGACCTTCTTCCGAAACAGCTGCCGTAACGGTGCTTGTAGGAATATTAGCATCACCATTGGCGTCGGTCTCAGACTTTGAGCCGGGAGTGCTCTCGGAGTCAGGAATGACAGATGTTTGACTCGTAGAAAGAGTCGAGACTACTGCTTTCTTTTTTGGCTGCGTCAATGCTATACGAAGGTAAGCACGAACCAAAGTAGAAAGAGCCTCTGCTTTAGAATCCAAGTCTTTCGTAGTAATAATGGGGTCATCGTCACTTTGAAGGACAGAGTGTTGTTCTTGAAGAGACTCCAGCCATTGCTTTTCGGTATCGCGTCTCGTGGACAGTCTTTCGTGGGAAATCTTGCGTTGAAGGAAAACTTTCTTTACATCATTTTCATCGTACTCAGAAATAGGATAATCAGGCGTGTCAAAACTTTCAAGAAGTGAATCGGCGTTTTGGAGTGCCTTTGTGAATTTTTCCAAACTAGAGGGGAATTTTTCAGCCTCTCCCTGACGATAAGCAATCTTGTTCACTATTGTTTGAAGCTCTTCAAGACGACGTAAAACCTCAGAGGTCTCCACCGCAGAATCCGTATCCAGTAGCCATTCGTAGTATGATTCAGACTTGTTTTTAAGGTCGTCAACTTCATAATCTTTGCCATAAACTAAAAAGTCCGCGTCTCCAACTAGATACTGGACGCGGTAGAGATATGATTCAAGTTCGTTCAACGCCATCTCATGAGCTACGTGTTTACGATCAAGGTCAGTGCGTTCAGTCAACTTTTTAATAGCATCTCTCCGTTGTTTGGGAGTAAGTACAGCGTTAAATTCAGTCATAAAAGAAAGGGATACGCCCTCCTTCTCAACCAAATTACCATCAGCAGAAAGGATGCTTTTAATCTTTTGTGTCAAACCTTGGTGTTTTTCCTTGGATGCACAAGTCAACGCTGCTTCGAAAGGTCTAAGTAAACCATTAACAGCGCTAATACGAACGCCCAATTGGGCTTCATAGGCCTCACAAGTTAGGTTCTTGGCGGCCTCAGAGATAGATGAAATAGTAACGTTTGCAATAGCTTCGCCATTTTCGAGGAGCTCAATAAGTGTGTCGTTGATAGAAGGATTCACGGCAAAAGAAATAATAGATTCATTTCCGTAAGGGGTCATGGGAGGAATAATGATTGTATCCTGACCGTCATCAAGCTTGTAGGAGAAGCTGGATGGAGAAACATCTTCAATAATAGTGGGCTTGACACGATACTGCTTACTCATAGTAGCACCATAGAAGACCGCACCCATTACGGAAGCTTCATCAGCGTTCACACTCTTTGCCAACTTCGATGCACCGACCTCCTGTGCTAACACTGCTTGCACAAAAGGAACACGAGAGTTTCCACCAGTCAGAATGACTGAAGCAACATCAGCAATTTTTTTTCCAGAGAGTTCAATTGCTTTGTGAATAGGTTGGATAAGCGTATTCTTCAGCTCATCTGTCATACTTTCAAATTCAGCGCGAGTGATCTTCATGCGGAAATCCACACCGGGCAAAATGTCTTCAACCGATGCTACTGCCTCATTGTTGGCAGAAAGAATGTGCTTGACGCGGACGGCTTCTTTGGCGAGTCTAGCCAACGAACGGGGGTTGTGACGCACATCAATCTTTCGCTCTTCCAATAAATACTCAATCATGTGCTCAACGAGACGTTGGTTCAACATATTTCCACCCACTTGTTCAACAGCGGAGGAAAGAACACGAACCCGCGTAATATTGCGTGTGTTCTTGGAGAAACCAATTTGTTCAGGGACTGAGTCAAATGCGATAAGAGAAGCACTGGTTGAACCAGCACCACTGTCGTAAATAATGTGATACGTCTCACTTTCCGGGACAGAATGTGACAGAGCATAGTTAACGGCAACACTCAAACCATCGTTGATAGTAGCGACAACTCGCTTCTTCAAAAGATGTACAGCATTCAGCAATACTTGTCTCTCGAAATTGCTATACTCTGGCGGTGTCGTCAAAACAATGTCAAAGATCTTCTCCTTGGCCATTTCCTCGGCCAACTCAATGTAATTCTCAAATTGCATAGCAATAACTTCTTCCAGAGTATACGTTTGATTTACACCTACATTAAAGGCAATGTGTGAGGGGGACGCATCAGTGTACTCGATTTTTACAGCAGGATACTTAGCCTGGTACTCCTCGACAAGACTGTCGGAGATGTTTCGGACGCCAACAAGCTCTTTAACATTCAAGAGGGCTCCCTCTGGCACTCTAGAGGCCAGATTTGCAGCGGACGTACCAAATAAACGCGTGTCTTCCTTGAAACCTACTGCACTTTGTTCCTTCCGGCGAGAGTCCCGAGTTAGAACCATCTCTAACGGGATTCCAGGTTTTACCAGAGCAGCTTTTGTCCATTGTGTTCCATAGTCTATAGCTAAAATGGCTGCATTAACAGACGAGAAAAGTTGCAGAAATGTAAAAAGTAGTCCAGCAAGACGAAAATGCCTCATGCCGTTAACGTCAGTTATGGCTTGAAGTGTTTGGTGCTTGTGTGAAATTGTAACCAAAAGGTTAGTGTAGACCCCGCACTTGGAAATAAACTTTTAAGGTTCCAAGGAAACGTGAAGAATACTTACGTCACGGTAAAATAAGCATTTGCGGGAAATGTGACTTGTTTATTCTTACCGAAAAACTGAATGTTGACCGCTTGCCCTTTCCCAAACACTGTCCGTCTCTGTTTTAGTACCTTTTTTTAGCAATGACCAACTCAGACTTTTATATTCTTAGTCAATTCAATGAAATGACCCAAGACAAACAGGAATCCAAGGATCAAGTCCCCGAAGATGTCCAGGCTTCCCTTACAACCGTCGGAATGCGAATTCGTCAGGCCGTTACTCAAGGATATTCTACTAAGCAAACAACGTTTCCTTCCTACAATCCACCTATGTACGAGGAGTATATGACAAAGTCCATTAGAAAGGAACCTGCATATCCTCCAATGGAGGCGTTGAGAATAAAAAGACCAACAACTTGGATCCTTTAACGACCTTTCGAACGATTTCGAGGAACCTGAATGGCTTCGTCCGTTTGATGTTGTCATGGCAGAGCCTGATGTCCTTCTTAAGTAGGACGCTTTGCTCCCCGATGTAATGGGATCATTCTACCACGTGCTCGTTCATGAGTTTACGTCTCCTTTAATCTGTACATTTATGTAAGTTTTGCTCCGGCCGTCTCTTCGGTTTCACATAACCTTAATCTTTTTTGGGGCATATTATCGGTTAAGCCTTGTCTGTACACTGTACAGTATAATTTTGTTTAATTATTGTGTTCACAGAATTTTTATTTATTCCTTCAACAACCCAAAGAAGAATGAATAGTCTTTTAGGGTTCAATCTACTTGGTGCATCAGTGAAGCTTTACTAAACTTGAATTCTATAAATTGGTCAATTTTGTTCCAACTATTCTAAACAAATCTTTAAAGCGGGTAATTTGTGATGGTAAAAATCAAACTCTTAATTTTAAAAGGAAGTGCTTTACGTTCATTTTTGGATTAATGGCATTCATTACTCTTTCAGCAATTAGAAGATAAGCAGCTTAAATCATCATCATATCTTTGAAGTTACTGTTGCTAAAAGCTAAGCATTTGCTTCGGTAAAGTATTCAAAACTCTGCAATGTCTTATGAAAGTCTTAAACAAAACCACTGCGCCTACTGTTCAGTGATTAAGCTTAACTTAGATCTCTTTAAACTGGTCCCTGTTTAGAACAGCTTTGGTTAAGGCGCCCGATTTTCCTGCTTCTCTCTACTAGTGGTACAGGCTCTACTCAAAAAAACCACCCAGTCTCAAGCAAAAACCACAATACCCAATTCTTCCTCTATTGAACTATTTTTGCTATACAAACATAATCATTTACATGTTTTAAAAGTGGTTTGGTGAAGTCCTAACGGCAAACGTCTTTTTGCGTACTGTTTTTGTTAATAAGTTAAACTTGCGATGAGTAACGTCCAAGACGATGTCGATGAACATTCTAATGGTATCCCAAGGCAGGAGAGACCGAGGAGAATGATACGAAGTCGCTGAATAATGAAGAAGATGTCAAGATGAGTGATGTTGTCTCGTCTTCTTCATCAACGACAACCGAAAAAAAACGTCGCTCTCGTTCCTCATCATCAAAGGTTGAAAGGCCTGTGGCACTTTTCAACCATTTACCTTCTGCTGTGCATGAGGCCAAACAGGCTTTTGAGGAGATTGATTCTTGTCTATATGCAAATGCTCACTTGGGGGAACCCCAGCAAAATGAGGCAATGGCTTGCGATTGCAAGCCTGAATGGGTGGATGGAGTAAACATAGCCTGTGGTCACGGTTCGTACTGTATCAATAGAATGACTTCTATTGAATGTACGGATGAAAATTGTTATTGTGGACCGTCCTGTCAGAATCAGCGGTTTCAGAAGAAAATGTATGCTGATGTGGATGTTATACAAACAGAAAAGAAGGGTTTCGGTCTGCGGGCAAATTCATATTTGACCAAGGGAACATTTGTATATGAATACATTGGTGAAGTTATTCCTGAGGTGCGTTTCAGAAAGCGTATGCGGGAATACGACGAACGTGGTATTCGTCACTTCTACTTTATGATGTTACAGAAAGGCGAGTATATCGATGCCACTGTTAAGGGATCTTTAGCGCGTTTCTGTAATCATTCTTGCAGACCCAATTGCTATGTTGACAAATGGGTTGTCGGTAACAAACTTCGCATGGGTATATTCTGTAAACGTGACATTCAAAAGGGAGAGGAACTTACTTTTGATTATAATGTTGATCGGTACGGTGCTCAAGCCCAACCATGTTACTGTGGAGAAGACTGTTGCTTGGGCTATATTGGTGGCAGGACGCAAACAGAAGCACAACCAAAACTAGCGGAAAATGTCCGTGAAGCTTTGGGTTTGGAGTCAGAAGAAGAAGATTGGGAGACAGCATCTGCTCGTCACCATCGTCGAAAGAAGGGTGAAGATGAGTCTGCAGAAGTGATTAACTCCGTGCAAGCTACTGCTCTAGACGCAAACGATGTACGAAAGGTTATGTCCGTCCTAATGCAAACAAAAGACGAAGTTCTTATACGAAAACTTCTTGAACGCTTACATCTTACTATCGATCCAGTAGTTTGCCGACAGGTTATTTCTATGCATGGATACAACATCGTTGGTAGTATTTTGAAGAACTTTTCCACGGATCCTGAAATTATAAAAAGTTGTCTTGAGATTATGAAAGGATGGCCGAGCTTAACGCGAAACAAAATTCATGATTCTAAAGTTGATACCATTGTTGAACAATTTGTATCTTCAGAAGACGAGATTATTAAAACTTTAGCACAGGATCTGTTGCAGGTTTGGAGCACTCTTGAATTAGCTTATCGCATTCCACGTCGTAAACGTGACCCGGAATCTAAACAGTCTACTGAAGAGGAAAAAGCGAACACACCAGTGCCAGATGTTTTTACGAATGATGAAAATAGCAACGTTTCTTGGGGAAGTAATGAAAACGAAAGCAAAATGGAGGAGCATCACACATCGCATGTCTCTGAACATCAAAGTAACTCTTGGCATCACAGTAAATCCGATCATGCTGGCGGTTGGAAAAGATTCAATAGTCCACGACCTCGCCGTGATCATGATCATCACTCTTTCAAAAAACCAGAGGAGGTTGCTTCAGAGGTCTCAGAAACTTCTACTCAAGCTTCCACAAAACAAGACTTGCAAAGCATAATCAACAAAGCATTAGAAAGTGTTCAACAAAAAACTGTTGTAAAAAGTCAACAAGCCGAGGAAGAACGGAAGCGACAGGAAATGGAACGTATCAAACGAAAACAGGCTTATGAGGAAGCACGGAAGCGGCATGAAATGTCTAAGAAAGAACGACAGAGTTCTGAAAATCATACATCAAAACCGATATCGTCAAATGATCCAAAGGCGCTGAAGTTTAAAGCAGTATTGGCGCGTTTTTTTGCTAACAAAACTGCAAGGTACCAGGATTCCCTTGGGAAGCCAGAATTCAAATCTCGGGTTAAAAAAATGACTGAGATTGTCTTAACAAAACATCTTAAGCTTGTTGCAAGTCGACAAGAGCCAGAGCTTCCTCAGGAGCTTTCACAATCTCAACAAGCTAAATTAAAAGCTTGGTCGCTGCAGTATATGGAAAAAGTCTATTTACGGCTAAAGGATCATAATTCTAGCGGTACATCTGCAATGAGCACACCTACTGATGTTTCAAAACGACCTTTAGCTGAGGGCGAGACTAATGTTCCTCATAAAAAAATCAAATCCCCAATTTAGTTGCGCTTAACAATTAATAACTAGGTCTTTTTAACCTTCCCTAATTTAAGCAAATACATGTACTCATACACACATACATACACAGACGGCATCGACTATCGTTTTTCAATACACTTGTGGTAATCTAAATATGAATTAAAACGTAATAAACTAAAAAAAAGGTGACATTATTATTCCTCCTCGAGTAACCAAGATACCATTTCACGAGAATTGCCTTTAAGGTCCATTTGTTTCGAATACCTACTTTCACCTCCAGAAATGACCACTTTCTGGACTTCCTCTTTCTCCTTAGCGCGGTGAACGATACGTTCCTCGATAGTTCCTTTTGTAATAAACCGGTAAACAGTAACTTGCTTTTGCTGGCCAATCCGATGGGCTCTATCCATGGCCTGACTATCGATACTCGGGTTCCAGTCAGAATCGTAAAAAACAACGGTATCTGCAGCTGTGAGATTAATTCCCAAACCGCCAGCGCGAGTTGATAAAAGGAATACAAAAAGATCAGGTCGTGTCTGCCACTCACTGACCATGTCTCTGCGTTGACTGATCTTGGACGAACCGTCAAGACGAAGATACTTGTATTGACGGAAAGTCAGATACTCTTCCATGAGGTCAATCATTCTAGTCATTTGGAAATAAACCAAAACACGGTGATCGTTGGCTTTAAGTTCAGCCAAAAGCTTATCCAATTTCGAAAGCTTACCCGAATCTGCAATAAAGCGTAACATGGACGGAATACCAATGTACGAGTATGATCCCTTCAAGACACCGAAAGTAGGTAACAGTGATTTCTTAGGAGCAGGCAATTCTGCACTGTTTGAGATAATCGAATCTTCATCTGATTTCAAAGGCTGATATATGTGACGACTTAAGAATGGACTAAAGAGTAACTGTTGTTGCAACCGTTCACAGTGATTATTATTTGAACAGTACATTGTGATAGGAGGAGCCGATGCCCGCACAGGAAGTAACGGCTCGGTATTCAAAAGCAAAGAACATTCATCACTTTCTGCCAAAACATTACAAAGCTGATACATGGGCGAACGGACGTCTGAAGTAAGGGATAAATAACGTTCAGAGGGATTTGTCTCAATAATAAGAGAGCGGAGAGGGGAAGGGAAATCGTTGTCATAAAGGTATTGTCGTCGGAACTTTTGCGCACGAGCTCTTTCGAGCTTAGGATACTGTTTAATGAGTTGTTCCAGGGGAAACCGGGAACTTTCACAAACGGATGACACGTTGAGATTCATTAAGTGAATCCAAGAAAATGCGTTTGAGCCTTTCATGGATAATGATGTGTTAATGTAATCTTCGTTCCAGATACTCATGAGGTTTCTTAAATACTTTTTACGAAACGCTGCATTCGTTTTCTTTCCTGGTAAACTTAAAAAACATTCATCATATAGAAGACGCGGCACTGTGCAGGTCAAAAGATTTCGGGTACTGTATGGAACCTCTAAAAAGTTGCCTTCACGATTGATGAAGTGTGACTGACTATACGAAGCCAAACTAAGTGGACTGTGAACATCCTCACGCTCAAACAAGTCTGGATGATTACAGACCTTGCGGAATTGCATAACTAAGTTCATGATGCTTGCCACGCTGTCATCAGCACCGGATTTAGCTTTTTCTAAAAGCTCGGTCACCGATATTTGACGACGGAGAGCTTGATACAGCAAACGTTGACGATGAGTGAGTTCACAGTAAATTTCTTTCTCAATTTTTTCACCCAATTCTGACTGAACATTCTTTTTTACACGACGAAGCATAAAAGGTTTTAAGATCATGTGCAAACGCTTTAATTGTTGTTCGTTCAATTGGGTATTACTTTGAGCATGACTCTCAATGTCCTTTGAAAACCATTCACTGAACTCATTGTGAGAATCAAATAAAGTTGGCATGATAAAATGCAACAATGCCCAAAGCTCCTGCATAGTATTCTGAATAGGTGTACCGGTAAGTAAAAGTCGGTTACGACATTTGAAAGCTAATAAACTCTTCCAACGAGAGCTGCTGGAAGATTTAATTGCTTGAGCTTCGTCAAGAATCATATATTGCCACTTCATTGATTGAAAGTATTGAGCATCGGAGACAACAAGTTGATAAGAAGTAACGACGACATGGAATGGTGAATCTTCGCTATATGTAAGGTTTTTCTTGCACCAAAACTTGCGTAGAATTTTACGATCCTTCATACTACCCCAATAAGGAATACATTTTAACTTTGGAACAAAACGCGTAATCTCCTGTTGCCAATTGTGAAGAGTAGAGGCCGGCGCAATAACAAGGAATGGACCCCATATATTATGAGTTTCAGCCAAGTATGCCATCACTGAAATGGATTGGACAGTTTTTCCAAGACCCATTTCATCAGCGAGAATACCATTGATACCTTGTTCGTAAAGATTTGCGAGCCAGTTAAGACCCTTAAGCTGGTATTCCTTAAGTTTACACATGAGCATTTTTGGCTGTTCAATTTCCATCCCATTAACCATGGTAGGGTTCTGAAAGTTCAATTCATCCTCGTTCATTTCAGCACCGGAATCCTGCGCGGAAGTAGACGCTTGAGTATCGAAAAGTTTTGAGTTTTCTCGTGCTTTATTAACAGCAGCTTGAGCGTTTTGCATGGCAGCCTGCTGAATCTCGTCCTCTTCATCAGAATTAAAATTCAAATCAGAACTACTTTTCGTTTGTGTAAGAGCAGCTTGATCACGATTTATCTTCCGACCCACAAAATGAGAATAAAGCTCCGTTTGGGTAATAAGAAAGTTAAGTTTCCGAGCCTGTCTTCGACTTTCTCGTAGTTCCTCCTCCTTTTTAGCACGTTCGAGTGCTTCCTTTTCTGCTTTTTTGCGGATATCGCGTTCTTCCCTTTCATTTCGCTTCCAAAAAACCATAATTTCGCGCATAGCCCGCTTGGCTTTCGTTTGCATATCTTTGTTGTTTTTGATTGTACGAAATTGCCATCGTCGAGCTTCACGACCACAAAGTTGAGATGTTTTTCGTGCATTGATGGACCGATTATATTGATTCTGCTGAATGATTTTGTAAACCTTCGGTACATCTTTTTTTGCAATTTCACCAATAACCTGAATTTGGATAGTCTCGACAGTCTTTCGCTTTCGAGAACCAGAAGAAGAACCTTTAGACGGATTGTTGTCCGATGGATTCATTGAAGCGTCAGAATTGTCATTAGTTTTTTTCGGAGCACCGGATGATTGTTCCTCACTACCCGATTTTCCAGTGTTTTCATTCGAGCTTTGACTTCGGTTTACTTTATTAGACTGTTGGTGAGCTTCAAGATTCGATTTCGAGTTTTTTTTTCTTCCCTTTTTATGGGGAGAAGACGAACCATTTACTGAAGAGGAATCCACGTTTTCAGTTTTTTCGGCGTTTTCGGCAAGTTCTTTTTTTGCAGCCTCAAGTTCTTCCTCTTTTTTCCGCTTTTCTTCAGCAGCAATACGCTCTGCCTCTGCTTTCGCAGCAGCTTCTGCAGCAGCAGCGGCGGCAGCGGCGGCGGCCGCTGCTGCTGCTGCTGCTGCTGCCGCCTCAGCCGCAGCCTTTTCTGCTTCTTCGCGTTCTTTCTGTTTCCGTCTTTCTTCTTCTTCACGTGCCCGTGCCTCGCGCTCTTTTTCTTCACGTTCCCTCGCAGCGGCAGCTTCTGCGGCAGCAACCTCTTCTTTCATCGCCTGTCTCAAAGCCCAGTCGTGATGATGATTGTATTCAACAGCATGAAGCTTTTCAAAGCGAGCCTCATAACGCCAAACAATGCGTTGATGCAGAGCCTTACGAACTTCAAGGACTCGCTTCTTTTCGGCATGAACAGCATCATTGCGTTTCTTTTGTAAGTGCTGTAAATAATTGAAACGCATCACCATTGTTTGCTGTTCATTGGAGTCATCCTCGCTAAGAACTTCATCTGAATCAATCTGGGTTGCTGTATCGGGAGAAGTGCCAGGGGCTGGAGTAGAATGAGTAGAACTGCTTGGCTTTGATTTTCGGCGATGGGAGACAGGTGGAACGCCCTGAAGAATGGTATGAGATAAGGTGGAATCAATCGTTTGAGTCATAGCTGGAGAAATGTTACCGGTCAGGGGAGCGCCTTGAGCCGCTGGACTAGTATAACGTTCTGCAGCTCCTGCATTTCCTGATAATAAGGTTGAAATGCTGATGGATGGATGGACGACGGCGTTCTGAGAATGCTCATCAAATAAATCTGGTGCTCCACGAGGCGTAGGTGATCTCATAGTAAGACCTGCAGCAATGGCATTCGCAGGTGAATTTTGACTTCCGCCAGTAAGTTCATAAAAGTCTTTCTGGACAGAGGGCATCCGTTGTTGTCCGGAAGTGGGGTAACCCGGTAGCATCATTAGGTCTGATTGAGCCGGCGTTTCAAACAGGTCTTGTGAAACAGGAGGCACGGCGCCACCTAGGCCCGGAGATACTCCAGGTAGTAAATGGAGGTCTGTAGCAAATTCGGCTGCATAGTCGGAGCCTACAGGAGTACCGCCGAAATCTGGTGTTGTTCCAGGATGAATTCCAGCAGTCGAGCCTGCGACATAATCTGATGTTTCAAACTCTGGAGCAGTAGGCGTTCCACTGTATTCGGAACCCCGTTGCCAATACACCGGATACTGCCACGATCTACTGTTTAAGCCACCAAATGGCATTCCCGCTGAGTTGCCTAAATCCGTTTGGCCCATCAAGTCAGTCTGCTGAGTATCATACGGGCTTTTCTGAGACCCGTCAAATGCTGTCCTTGAAGGATCCATGAAAAAGGATGAAGAGAGGAAGTGGTCGGTTATCGTGGTGGTTACGGAGTTACGTGGTGGAACATACTTGGTGGTGAACTTATGGTGGAGTTTTTTAGAAACTTTAAACAGAGACACGTGAAACTTAATAATGTGAGGCGAAGAAGAATGAAACCCATGGGAGCTGAAATTAGATACTGTTAATGATGACAATAGAATTGTCTAAAATTAAATGCAGTATAAAATTAAGACCCCCTTGTTTTGACATAATCTGATAGTAGTCGGCGGTTATGTGAATGTGTATGACGTCACATCGAGCAAGTCATTCCGAATAAATGAAGACAATTGATTGGCTAGTTTTGTTTTGGTCAAAAGAAGCAGTCACAGAAGGTATATAAGGTAGCATACATTCTCCATGATAAACCAACACCATCATGCGTGATAAGTGGAGAAAGAAACGCGTGCGTCGTCTTAAGCGTAAAAGAAGAAAAATGAGAGCCAGATCGTAAGTGGATTGCCCCCTTTGTGGAAGATAATTGCTAACATTGATTCAGTAAATAAGCGGCTTCTTAGCTTTCCGACAAAATGATGGTGACCATGTCTGAGGTGTCTGCCTTCTAGACATTCTTCTCCATACCAAGAATTGATTCATTTTTTGGTATATTGTGCGAGCGTTGGTCGGTATTCAGGCCGTGGAGTGTTTAACTGGCGGTTGGTTGTAGAGTGTCTAAGGCGAGTTCGGTAGCCTTGTATTGGAGGGTTATGCGGGTGGTTTTTGCAGTTGGCTTGTCCTTGTCGTTTTATTCCGTTGGGGATGTGGTTGTTCTCTGATAGTGTTGCTCATTGTTTAAGCCCGTAGGTCGTGGTCGGCTTTCAACGAGTAAACGTCGGGCTACTGCGAGTTGTTCGGACAAGCCATGTGCGGTTTAGAGGGTAATTCAAGCGTCGTCCTTTTATTTAACATCATTAGTGATTAAGACAATGGTTTCGACTGACTGCTATGATTATTCTATATCTTACCATTGAAATAGGTGTTAGTATTCATTCACAACTCTCTGTAACCCTGTTTGAAATAATCCCATTACGTGTGCCTTTATGCTAATCGCATCAATTCAGCAAGTGGAACTCCAGCAACAGTATTCTGTCGTTTAATTTGTTCTCGTATTGGCAATTGTGAATTACTCTCGTTTGCAATATCAATCATCGTGTAATGCAACTTTCAACGAGCGGCCTCGTGGCCTAGAAGTAAGGCATTGGTTTCCGGTGAAGTTATGACTTGGTCGAGTGTACCAAAGATCGCGGGTGCAAATCCCGTCGGGGTCGATTTTTTCTACACTGAAAAATTTGCTAGGGAAAGCAGCCTACTAGTATTCAACGGGGACGTGAGGCTTGTTCAGGAACTTAACGCACAACCGACACGTTTGTAGACTAGTACACAGAAAATTGTACACCCTCTAAACCTCTTAAGTCACTTACAGCCGGAACCAGAACCAACACACTGTCTACAACCAAGCACACTACTAACAATCACAAAAAAATATGGAGGAGAGGAATAAAAATAAATTTTTATTCGTATGTTTAGTCGAACAAACCGAAGCCCATCTAGAAAAGTTAGCACTATGATCCCAGTCGAAAAGTATGTTTCCACTTACGTCCTCATCGGACTCTTCCTCCTCCTTAGGCTCTTCCTTAGCCTCAGCAGCGGCCTCACCACCAGCAGCAGCGGCAGCAGCACCGGCGGCGGGGGCAGCAGCGGCACCACCAGAAGGAACAGTAGCAAGCTTCTCGGCACCCTCAGCAATCAATTGCTCCAAGTCCTTGCCGGAGAGCTCCTTGATGAGAGACTCAATACGCTCAGACTCGGCCTCAATACCGACAGCGGACAAGACAGACTCGACATCGGCAGCGGCAGGGGAGGCCTTACCACCAGTGGTCAAGAGAAGGTAAGCAGCGAGATACTTCATTTTTTCGATTGGTGGTTTTGGTGGATGTTTGTTCCTGGTACGTTTCGGTGCTTATTTCGAAATGGTATTGTTGCGTGTGACTGTTTTTTCACCACCAAAGAAACAGTCACAAAACCATTTCCCCAAAGTTCATACCGCCGCCCAACTTAGACGACGATTACACACCATGGCTGAAGAAAACTACGACGAAGCAGTCCGTGCTGCTGAGCTTAAGAAGAAGAGATCCTTCCGTACCTACTCCTACCGTGGTATCGAGCTTGAGAAGCTCTTGGACCTCTCTGCCGAGCAGTTGGTCGACTTGTTCCACGCTCGTGCTCGTCGTCGCATGCTCCGTGGTCTTGGTGCCAGCGCTTCCCGTTTCATCAAGAAGCTTCGTGTTGCCAAGGCTCAAGCTGCTCCCAACGAGAAGCCTGAGGTCGTCAAGACTCACTTGCGTAACATGATCATCCTCCCTGAGATGATCGGCTCTGTCGTTGGTATCTACAACGGTAAGGTCTTCAACCAAGTTGAGATCCGTCCCGAGATGGTTGGCCATTACCTTGGTGAGTTCTCCATCACCTACAAGCCCACCAAGCACGGTCGTCCCGGTATCGGTGCCACCCACAGCTCTCGTTTCATTCCCTTGAAGTAAATGAAAGCGACACTTGTAGTGGCTTTAAAAATCGTATATCGAAGCAATTCGTCGTTTGTAATTTGTCTGTTCGCTCGGCATCTTCGTCCAACGAAGCCGGTTGTATGTTTTGAACAAGGTAGTCATGTGTTGTTAAGGTTTGTGGAGTCGTGGAGATTGGGAAGGAGAGGGAGGATGGATAGTGTGTGGTTCATAAGTGTCTGGAGTGATTTTGCCTTGGGGTCTTAGTCCTGTGTTCGTTGTGGTCATTTTATTTGCGGTGAATGGCAACGGGGCCCACTTGTGTGTAGTCATCTGTAGTAACGTAGTACGTGGCCACGGAGTCGTTGAACACGGTTTTGGCAATGATGCTTCCTCCGAGGAACGGAAGCTCTTCCAGCGGCTGTCGAGAAGTAGAGTCTTGCTTCCATGCAGGAAAGTAGTCTGGAAGCGTCTTGCTCGGGTTGATCAGCGTTGGGTACGGAGTTAGGGGCGAAGTGGTCATGCCCATAATGGGATCAGTGCCCTGAGCAACATAGTATGGATCAACCTTTCCAACCAGTCTGTACTTGAATTGGAGCTGCTGGATCAGGCCTTCACGGAATCCGCGTATCCGAGAACCGCATCCAACAATTACTATGTTCTCCCAGAGCTCGTTTTGTTTTTCATACTCAATGGCATATCCCTTGATGGTCATGTAGATGGCCTCAGCCAGATTGATACCAACGGTGGACGAACGATGGAACACAGACTTACATGTGTCAAAACGCTCACGTCCAATAATACATTCACCTAGTGGCGCGACACTGATTTTTTGGAATTCCACGTCTGCATTTGCAGGCCGCTCATGCTTGGGCAACAAGCCTTTTTTTTCGCGCTCTTTTTGTGCAAGGTAAGCACGCGTTTGGCCGCTGGCTACAATTTTTCCGATGTCTTCTACACCCTCGTCCTCATACTGGTGTTCAGGCTCAATGTCTTTGTATGTACCGGGCTCGTTTGGGCTTTCCCGAAGAACTTGAGTAATTGCACTGCATTTCACCTGTTCAGCAAACAGTTCTGTCACCTGCTCAGCGGGAATATACTGACCGTTGCTCTGCAGCGTAGGCAGTGAGGATTTTAGTGAGTCCATCAAATGAAGAGTCATATGCCTGCCACCAATTTGAACTTGCTGAGAAGCTGAGGAAACAATTTGTCCGTCAATTACAGGAGTAATATCGGTTTTTTCGTAGCCAACATCGATCACTAAACCACTGAGAATGCCTACTGCATACAATCCCATCAATGGTTCTTCAGCGATTGCGAAGGCGGCGGCCCGGATATCTTCAAAAAACGTTTGACAAGCGAATTCTCGGTCTCTCCGAGACCAATATGTTGGTACAACAAGACACACGGGGTAGCGAACATTGGGGTCGTTTTGTGTCGCAAATTTGGCAACAAGCTGATCGTACAGATTCTTCCAGTAAACCCTTAGAATGTCCCAGCGCACAACCCGTCCCCGCAGAATGGGACAGACTTCGTTAGGAAGCGGCTTCCAATCATCTATTATACAATCCGACTTATATGCAGGAAAACTTGGTTCATTGTCTTCTTTTTCCTTCTCGTTTGCAGCGACACCATCCAGTTCCTCATTGTTCTTTGGCTTTGGCGCTACTGCATGGATTTCGTCGAAGACGTAGCCTTCATTGTTGTCTTTAATTCCAACTCGTGTACGAACATGTACTTTTGGCGGAGAGAGAGACTCTGCTAGTCCAAATACGGCTTTATGATACAGTGATCCGACCTGAATAACGATGATATGGTCGTCTCGAAAAGAGGGCATCCCGAGCAGCAATTACAGTTTCAACGCTGGATTTTCGCGTTGATTCGCGTTGTGGTAGGATGCGTAGCACTTTTGACAACACGTCTAAACTACACTCAAAATTTAAGGTTTTCTCGTGCTAAATGAAATTTGCTACGCGAAAAAACTGTGAAGCACAATAAGAGCGTTTGTGATACATTCACAGCACCGTATTTTAGCATGCAGCGACGAAGAGTTGGTTTATTACTCTTCGTATAGATATTCTTCATTCACTTAATAGGTACATTACATTTGTAGACAAAAATGAAATTTAAAAAACTAACTCTGATAACGTGTGTATGTATGTGTATTTTAAACAAATGATCCCAATAAAATAGTAAGTTTTTCTTTGGTTCATGTTAATGAGGTATAGACCATATTACAATAGATCTTCCAATGTTGGTTTTTGTCTGGCTCTCAATTTCGAGTTTGCTTTCCGAAATGAGTTTTTGAAATTGAGTAACGAACTCTAATATGCTTCCTCCGACTCCAAAATAAACGTTTTTTCCTGCGATAAAAGCATGCTCCTTTGTACAAAACTGGAGAAGGCTCATAAGGGAGGAAAGAGAATTGAGCGAGTAAATAGTTTCCGAGGACAAAACAATCTCAAAAAACTTTCGACCGAGCTTTTCCGCTATGACACCTTCCATCTCGGTTCCCCACGGACCGGAAAGGAAAGCACAGGTAATGTTCAGACGTTGGAGATTGTCGAGAAAGTTTTGAAGGAGAGATTGTGTGACATCAATGGCTCCAACGTCCTCCATTTTGTTTACACCATGTGTCAAAGCATACCAGTTGAGAAAAAGATTAGGTACAGTGATGTATTTGAGAACATCAAGATTGTAGTCTTGGAATACGAATGTTCCGCTGATACCAGTCTCGAGCGCTTTAGAGAAAACTGTCAAAAGCGGCAATGCGCTTCCACAGCCAATCTCGATGGCATTTTTAGGAGCCTCTTGGTTTTTAAGAAAGCACGACATTTTGTTTGCTAGGTCAATGCTGCACTCCCATGTTTTGTAACCTCCTTCGTAGACCATGGGAACCAAATCATTTGCACCCTCCAAAACTTTAAGTTGTTCTTGTTCCTCTCCTTGGTTGGTGTCAAGTGTCATTAATTGGACCTTAACATCCCAGAGTTCACGTTGATAAAGAGAACGTGCCAATCCATCAACTCGAGCATATGATAGTTTTTCGGGGATACACTGAATAAGATCGTTGAGACTCTTTAACTCGACAGGGACATTTGCAGCCTTGTTTCCTACGGGAGTTGATGACACGTCCGTCTCGTTTGTTTCATCTTCATAAAAATTGAATGAAAAACCAGGTCCGCTCATTTGAAACAGAATTTACAATGTAAGCAATAGTTAGTCGGTATTAAAATGCAAGAAAAGAGTTTGGTTTTCGCCTTGCACGAAGAACGAAACCGTAAAAGCCTGTTTTGGAGGAGATTAGAGTTTGAATAGGCCTGCGCAAGCTTACGAAGCTGAACTGGGAAAATAGTATGCATCTCATTTACTAATAGATCAAAAAGGACAGTTACTAATAGTTTTCTCGTTCGATGTTGAAAAAAGTCTAAGCTGTATTTGTTATTGCAATTGTATATTCTGATGCTTATTTTGACTACCATAATGAAAGAAATACTTTTTTGCAGCACTAGGTATTTTATTCCCTTGACCTGGCTTCATTTATTCATGGATTAGTTAGGTTATGCAAAGATTATTGTTTCCCCTTTTCTATTCAATTTATTTTGTTTATTTATTATTTAATTAATCGTTTAATTTAAATATAAATAAAAAAATAAATAAAAATGTTGCAACACAAAAACAGTCTTTATCTTAATTTACTCCACCGCTCTAGTCATATTGTTAATAATTTTATTTGTTTTTTTTTTCTCCTGAATCAGTCAGCTTAATGAATTATGTCAGTGTATATAAACACGTTCGACAAAACATTTTTTGGTATGTATTGCTACTAAATACGTATTTATTTTAAATCAATGTTACTGTAATGATTAAATTTGACCTTTTGTATCGTTTCTTATTGTTAAGCAAAAGCAATTGCAACTTCCACACCTATCCTGCCTCGCTTCATCCAATTACCGAAAAGAACTTGTGATGACTAAGTACGACCTTAAAGAGATTAAAACACAGTTTGACGAAGCTGTGGTCAAAGCTTTTAAGGAAAATAATTACAGGGAGTCGCATATTTTCGAAGATGTTCGTTTGTTTATAAGTTTCTGCTCTGTGTGCCTTGCTGCGGCAACATTCGGTATTGAAAAATATTATGGCTACAAATTCGCAAAACAGTACTATCCCTTCTTCATTTATCCCTATTTGTTTTTGAGTGGTCTTCAATTCTTCTGGAGTAAATTTATTCAAGCAAATAGGTTGTTTGTTGGTTTCAAGACAGATCGTCATATAAAAGTCTCAGCTACTACAGACGTTCCACTCACAGAGAATCCTGTTGCTTTCTGCAAAGTTACCATTATTAAAGACCACCTTGTTCAAGAGAAACAACTCTGTATCGCCGTGGATCGCATATTTGACATTGAAAACAAACTCGTAGAGGATGCTTTTAAGAAGGTTTTCTACAACTTCCTTCGGGAAACCGTTGAAAAGCATGACTGAAAATAGCTCATTTGGTACGATTTTTGTCCTCAACTCTTGCCCTACTTTATGTCTTTGATATCCCATATCAACAAAAAACGTTGTCTATTTAATGAAACTAACAAATTTTAACCACTCTCAATACACGTAATCTGCATTTTTCTCTAAGAAAACCATTTGTGTCGTGCACTACACGCTGCTGCACGAACATCACTACAATCAGTTAGTAAAGGAGTCGGTGACACAATGTCATTTCAAATGAGCACGTACCGCTTAGGATCGTCCAAAGCCTTCACCAGCTCTCTCTGAACACGATTACGCAATGGTTGAAGCTTTGGAGCAGGAATCTGTTCGGTAATAGAGCCCAGTGACTTTAACGCTGTGAGTCTGACGATAAACAAGTTGTTGAGATCACAAGCGGCCTTGAGCAATAAATCAATAAGCGTCTCGATATGCTCAGCAACAAGTTCGGGGAGCTCTGTTATGGATGCGAGTATCACATTTAATGCATAATACTTGACCGCTGGATTATCCAAAGACAAGGACTGCAATAAAAGAGGAAATAGATTTGATAAATCGCTCATTACAATCTCATTTGGCACATTACCGATCACGTTGGCCAATGCCATTAAATATGCTGGCTTTCTCTGTTCAGAAGCATCTTGCAACGATGTCATCAAGGAAGGCATGATGGCATTATACAGCTTCTGCTTGAACAACAGTTTTTGTACAAAATGATTTTCCTTTGATAAGTAAAAATCGTCCTTGCAGATGTATAAAATTTCGTTAGGAAGCAGACGAATGAATCGATCACTTTCCAAAATCTTAACGTATTGTTTCAGAGATGCAATAGCTTGGGTGTAATTACGTCCAACTAAACCTTTGATGACAAAAGCCACTATGTCGAGAGACTGATCCGCATTTGTACCAGTTTCGAAGTTTTTGTAACAACTAACATAGTCCGGACTATTAAGGAAGGCATCAACTGAATCTGCCTTATTTATAGCACTGCAAATAGAACGTAAAAGGAACATCTTAACAATGTTTGAATTGTCATTGTAGACAAGTTTTATGAATAAGGAAACAAGCTCCACGTCCAGTGTACGAATGTACGATACAGTAGGTCTTAATGCGGTATAGGCCGCACAAAAAAGAGGTAATGTATCATGCAATTTCTGATTGCTCTCAATTTGGAAAGGTCGAAATTGTTTCGCCTTATCATCAAAATAAACTTTCAAAGCAGAAGTACGTTGTGACTCAGGATGAACCGGAAGATAAAGGTTCCAAACCTGTTGGAAAAATTCCTCTTGGTCATCGTGCGAGAAAACCCTCACAAGTTCGTTTACCATCCGGGACATTGTCAAAAGCGATGAAACATGAAGACGAGCTTCATTTAGCGCATAGCTCTGTGCTTGCTTAAATATCCAAGAAAGTAGATCTTTTCCATGAAGATAAGCATCCGTTGAATTTTCCTTTAGTTTGCGTCTAAGTGTCCGAAGGAGTGTTTGTAAAGCAAGGTCTACAAGTTTTGAATTTTCGGTTTCATTTCGCAATTGATCCTCAATCAATGCGGTCGTACGAACGACAAGACTATTAAACAAAAATGTCTCCGTAGAAATCTGCTCCAAAACATGGAACGCGTGGGAGAAACCTTCACTAGATTGATTTGCAGAAAGCTCAAGTTGCGAAAACGCTGTTGGGAAACACACTTCAGAGATGATAGTAGGCTTATACTTAGCTAAGTCCGCAATTTTTTCAACAGCGTCTTTCGACAAAGGTTCATCTTTATCGAAAGCTATGTCCCTTAAAATACGGGCAACCATTGCAACTTCTTCGTCGTTCATGTATCCACGGATACAAGCGATCTTATGCACGCAGCGCAAGGCGAGCGTCCTCAATTGAACTTGATCTTTGCTCACGCCTTCAAGGGAGGCATAAGCAAAAACAAGAAGCAGATTCTTGCTTTGAAGAAAAAGAGGGGATATTTCAACGGATTTAACCTGCTTTCTCCTTCCGTATACTTTAAGTGCTGAATCCACAAGGTATGAACAGAATGATAACAGGGTCTGTTTTTTAGGAAGTGATTCCTCGGCTTTGCAGTTGTCTTCAAGAAACTTGACAACCTTGTCAAAAGAAAACTCAAAGACAGCAGGATTGTTGCTCGAAATAGCTGCAAAGCTGGCGCCAAAAGAAATTCCAGCCTTATTATCGAAATCCTTAGTAATATTCTGTAAATTCTCATCGATAATTAGACTGAGCCATTGCCTATTTTGCTCAACCAGCGCTGAACTTTCTGACATACGCAATGCAAGCTTGTTCAGAACCTTTAATGCTTCATTTTTCACGTTCGTATCCGTCTCCTCCCAGATATCATGTTTCACAGACACCCAATAATTTTTCGTTTCATTCGAGAACGATTCAATGGGCCAAAAACAGAAAGCATGATAGAGTATGTCCAGCGTATCAAGCTTCACTCGAGCAGCAGATGCTTTGAGCTTTTCAAATAATAGAGGGAGTAGAAAGGGTGAGAAAAGACTCGTGGAAACTAACACATCCCGCAAGCTGTGCTTTAACTGCTCGGTGGTAATGGGAAACTGAGGATCATTGGCAGGTGCACGAAACGTAATTGGAAAGTAACAATACGATATGTTGAAAATCTCTTCTGCGTAAGGAGTTACATCCAAATTTTGAATCAGCAGCTTAATCATTTCGAAGCACAGCATAATGTTTCTAGGATCTTTTTCTCCCTGAAATAGTTTTACAAATTTAGGATAACAGAAAGACGGCCCGGCTTTCACAAGGCTGTCCATATGAACAGTGAGGAAAATTTTGAGAGTAGTCAAGACTGCATGCCGAGTGGATTGAGAATACTTTGGCATGTCAATTTGAGTGGAAATGCTGATAATTATTGTTAGAAATAATTTGTGCGTTTGGTACGTACTGCTCCAAAAAAGTAGGAATTTGCTGAATGGGAAGCTGATTCATTTTTAAGATAGCCCCAAGACCCCTCATGTTTTCTTTTAAAACAAATTCGTCGTCCAACCGATTTAAATAGAACTGAAATAGCACGTACACTTGAGCAACGTTAGTTAATTGCCATATAATTAAATGAGTCTTACCATGCTTAGCCGTTAAATAATCAGAAGGAAGTCTTTCTAATACGCAGGAAAGAAGCAAAAGAGCTATCACATTAGCAACGAGTCAAAACTTATGAATTCCGGTTCAAATAAACAAACCTTTTCCTCTAACATTATTGTCATCTCTTGTTAAAAACTCGCCCAAATTGGCAACAAGATCAACAATTCTGAATTCTCCACTTTGAATCTCTTAGCAGTTTAGTATGATTGCATTTTCGCTGATATTAAAACCACTTACTCGAACTGATCACAGCAACAAGATCATCAGATTCATTAGAGTCCTGGTTTTTTTCATAAACATAAGCAGCAATAACACCTGAATCCATTTATCAGACCAAAATTTATCCCAGAAAGGAAAAAGGTAGAGAGCCTTAATTGTACGTTTCCAGAACGAAGAAAAAAAGCTCCAACAAAAAAGAAATCGTGCAATTGTTCTTCCTACACGAATTGAAATAAAACTGATTTTGTTTTCAACAAAAACGGCGACGATTCGAAATTTGCGAATTCAAAAACTTAAACTAGTATTTGGTTTCTGGTAGACGCGCACGGTCTTGTCGCAGACAACTACACCAATTTTTAAGATTTTGGGTATGCCCGGTGCCCACCAGCTGCCAAAGAGCCAAACGGACACCACGAAACGACATCTCACGCCAATTCTTCCGTTTTTTTGGATCTTTCGCGTACAAAAAAAACAGTATACGCGAAGATACAGAAATAAATGGATCCAGTTGAGGTGGACGAGCATTTGGCACGTCTTAATCAGGCGCGTGAAATTGTAAAAGGAGAACATTCCTTCTTTCCTCAAATTGTTAAAGAAATTCTGTCAGTAGCAAATTACCCAGACACCCGGTTAAAAAAATGGATGGCCAATTTCTTGTGGTTAGGCTTTTCAAATGAGAAGTTTGATTACTTACAAAAAATGGAATTGTCCATCGCGTGTCTGGACACAATATGCTTACTATTGGAAGAGAAGGATACTCACATTCGAAAGGGCATTATAGACTGCATATGTTGTATTTATCCATTGTTATTTCTTCATCTTTGTAAGTCACCAAATGATGAAAAAACACTGGCTGCAGTAAAACGCATCAAAAGTAATATTTTGCCAGATTTGAAACATAAACTACATTCCATAAGGATATGCTGCATTAAATTTGCATCAATTGTAGTTTTGACTCAGTCGCCGGGACTTAGGGACCCTCGCCTAGTTAAAAAAGACGACATCTCTTCGTTGAAAATACCGCCTCACCATCCGTCACTTAAGTCTAACGACCTTGAAAAGGAGGCTATGGAGATTCTACAAAGTCTTTTAAGTGCTTTTGACGGAAACACCAGGTATTATTATTGCTTCATATGTACACCTGTAAAAATACTAACCCTTTTACAAGCGATCCCCTATACATTTCCGCAGTATTAAATACTTTACCTATTCTTGTTAAGAGGAGACAAGCCCTGTTAGCTCCGGTTATGGATGTTGTCCTCAAGTTTAACGTTCCTAAATTGACTGATCCTAGTGTCAGTCCTCAGCAATTGCAGCTGTCAAAAAAGTGCATTGAGAAGTCTGTTCGGGTCACACTTATTCACCTGATCCGAAATGGATGTGCTGGTCCTTATACGAATAAGATACATGCTTACTTAGCCGGCCAACTGATGACTGGAAAGGGCGATGAAAAGGCTCGGAAACGACCTCACGGTGAAGTGGAATCTTCACTGTCCAAGCGGACACGCTCCGATGTTGTTCATAATATCATGGGTCACATGCCATCCGGCCCGGCAGTATCAACTCGCGCTGCGGATACTGCCAATCCACTTGTTTCTATCTTTGCTTCACAAGCAAGCAATAATCCTCTTCATAACTTCGACGTAACGTCAGTTCCAGTTGAAATTGCGAGTGAGATCGTCTTGGCATCCTTGACTCAAGTCGACCCTGCTATGCTAAAAAGACAACTGTACATGCTTCGCGAGCGTGTGAACTCTCTCACCAGCGGAACTGCTACAGCTGCTGATGTGGAAGATGATGAAGACGAAGACGACTATGAACCACCTGAAGTGGATGTAAACTCTATTAACGACAGTGTAGTCCGACAGGCAAACCGTATGGAAGGTACATCGGCCATGGCCAAATCGGAGGACTCCTTTAAGTTGGAAACTCCCGATAAGCTACCACCCATGGCTTTGTTGGAATCTTTTTACACTGCGTTTTCCCGCCTTTTTAGTTATTGTCCCCTCTTTGAAAAATCCATTATCTCAAACTCTGCCCTTCAACTTAATACCCTGGAACGAGTGAACAATGCCGTCTGGGACAAGCACCACTGGTCACTTATTATTCCTCGCCTGTGTACTCGCGGATTGAGTAACTTCCAACCCATTCCCGAACAAGAGAATACTTCTGAAAGCCAGTTTACGCTTTCCTCTTTTGTGCGTGGCCAGCTGTACAATTTTATCATCTCTAACTGGCGGACAACTACCGAGCTGTCCTTGAATTGGCTTTGCGAAGAATGGTTGAATGATGCGCGAATGAATGAGATTCCTCAAGAACCTAACTCAACCTTAGTTTGGGAAGGTCCGCAATATGAAAAATGGGCACTTAAACTTATTGATGCCATTCTCCCTTACCTCGAATCTCGCGATAAGGTTTTCATGATCTTTATGTCCGAATTACCAGAACTTACTCCTAACATTGTTCAGCGTATTCGGCAGGTGTGTTTGGATCCAGATAAAGTCAAATTAGGTTTCATGACACTACAGTAAGTAACTTTTTCCTAGTCATTCAACTAATCTTACATTTAGATATTTGATCACTTTCCGGCCCCCATCGCGCGATCTATGTCTTGAACTTGTGGAATCTTTATGGAAAGAAAATGGTATGGCTCGTGTACTAGGCTTTAAATTATATCAACTTATCAGCTAACTTCAACAGGGGAACTGAGAGCATATGCTTCAAAATTGCTAAAGAGGTGGAGACCAAGCTTCCTCGAGCAACAAAAGAAGGAAGAAGCACAAGCTGCGAATGCATCCACTAATCAGGCCTCTGATCGAGTGAGTACAACTTCCTAATCAAACATGGAACTAAGGTTACGAAATGTCTAAATCTAACGACTCCGAGTACGGGTTTCTCAAAATAATTGTAGTTAAAGTTTATGAATGTGTTGGGTGAGAACGAGCATATAAAAGAAGAGCGAGTCTGTATTTGTCTGTATTATTGTAGTTAAATTTTTTTATGAAAGCCATGGCAAATGCTGCTGCAGTGCAGTTTCAAAATTTTCATTCAGTAGTACATGGACAACGAAGAAATTCGTTCACTAAATGTCTTCCATACAGTATAATTTTCATAGGAAGTGGTAATTCTGTTTCGTCAAATGTGCACGTCCCTTCCCACACTCTTAACCCAGTACCAGTTTTACCACAGCAAATTCCCATCAAAACGCGTCTTAGTATGACAATTGACGTACCTCAAGTAGTGGAAGACGATCTTGGCATAAAAATGAACAAAAAAGGTTTGCAGCTTTATTGTTTCTGGCGTTAACGTGAACTGGATTTGCAGAAAACAGCGACAATGCAGATTTAAACGAATTGGAGGATGCTGTACAGCAATTACATCCCATAACGAACAAGTATGGACTCGACCAAAAGTTTAGAAAACCAAGTACGGCTCCTTCTGTTTCGGATGCAAGAAAACCTTCTTCTGGGCAATTAATTGCAGCTATGCATCAAGAGCTTGAACAGCTCACTGAAGCGTGCAACGAAGCAAAGGCGCAATTGGACAAGGAGCGTAAACGAAGAGAGCAGTTGCAAAAGAAAAAGAATGATTTGCTCGATCGTTTACAACTCATCCAAACACAACACGCGCGTGTTCTTAATTCATTCCACCGGAAAGAGCGAAACGAAGCAAAGGAAACCGAGATACTTGAAGACTACAAAGTGAACCTTCACTCACTTATCATCCAAGAGGCGCGAGCAAAGTTGGACATCAAGACGATGCAGGAAGAAATTATTGAGGCGGTTGCAGAAACGAAAGTTTTACAGCAACAACAGCAAGTCTTGGACGCAGAGTATGACCGTTTGTCTGAAGCTAAAATGAATGGCGATGAAGAGCTTGAAAAGGAAATACAAAAACTTGGACGAGCTCTCACAGGAATCCAAGAACTTGCTGTCAAGCAATGCGGCATTGCACGTCAAGCTCAAAGACCTCTCAAGGGCTGCAAATCCCAGGTTAACGCTGAACAAGAAAACATTCAACGCGTGCTAAGTAAGGCTGGTGATGACGCTACTCGGTTTTCCGAGTATGCTCAAGAGTACTTAGAGCGACTTGAGAATGCTTTGCAGTCGAAAACCGCCGATGTTGCGAAGTACAAGCAGCTAATTGAAAACATTATCCAAGAGGCTGCACTTGAACTTGATGATCTCAGCCTGGAGGAAGAAGAAGAGGAAGAAGAAGAAGAAGAAGAAGAAGAAGAGAAGAACGACACTGAAAATGACAATGCTGACGAAGAAAAAGATAATGAAGTAGATGAAATCATTCCACTGAACATTGAACTAGACGATGAGTCTGACTCTTAAAAAAAATCGTCATATCAAAACTGGTTTACGCAACGCTTCACATGTCATACTTCCATACACACGCACACTCATACACAAGCAGCCACGGTTCCGTCGTCTTGTTTCCTCAACTCTACAATGTCTATAACGAATGCGTTCATGACTATTGTGCAAATAAAAGAAGAATTAGGATACCCCCAACTCATATATTTTCCGTTTGCTGACATTCCTTTACACTCTCCAACGTTTCGTTTTACCTTTTATTTATATTAGAAGCTCACAGACTCGACAATTCATTCATAGTCTCTACGATAAGATGTAAATTTTCAAAAAATGTGTTCATGGTAACACGGGTCATCTTGGCCGATGAACATTCGTATTCCACAATCAGATTCGAGCCGTCTACACTAAGACGGCGTTTCACCTGGTCCTCACGTAATTCATGATCAGGCTGCAAAATTTGAAGACACCGGTTGGCGTCGGTGCTGTTTAGGAACGGAACAGCGAGTTTTCTGAAACAAGTTGTTAGTTTACACACGCAACAATTAATGATTGTACGGAAACAGCACGCTAACTCTTCCGTAATAGTTAGAATTTTTACACTTTATGAGGGAGAAGACCTTGACCTTGCATTAGGAAGCAATTTTTGTTGACAGGTCCACAATCAAACAAGGGGGACTTACGGTGTGCGATTCAGCCTGAATGCTCGATACCGCACAGTCTTCTTAAGTCTAGTGGATTTTTGGTGGTGAGGTTTTGGTGGTGAGTTTTGACAACCTATATAAACACCTTCTAACTTCCGTGCACTCACCGTCTGCAGTCTGCGTACACTTTGCAGCAAAGATGAGTTGTTAGTAGGTAAGAGTTGTCGACGAACACGTTGCACGAGATGATGCTTTTTAAATCTTATCTACATTGCCTGATAACCTTGTGATGTAAACTTATCAACCTGATCCATGCTTCGTGCTTCTTTCTGTTGTCGATTTTTTGTGTTTTCATTTAACTAACAAAGCATAGGACTGTTGGTCGAGAAATTGTTTTTGCTTATGCAGCAGAAAGTACGTAGCTGTCATAGTTATTTTTCATCGGATTTGTCTTTGTGTGTATTTGTTTATAGTAATTTACGAGTTTTAAGATTATACACTTGAGTAGCTTCGTCAAATTATTTTCTCGGTTACTGGGAGTTTCTGAGCATTTTCGTGTTGCCCGAAGTTGTACTTAACGTTTTTCGCTCATACCGTCATACAATTTCATGTTCATTCATTGTCTGCTTGCCTGCCTTAATACCTATCATCAGAGGGGGAACGTCTAACTGGCGACGACAGTCGGCTGTCATCCTCACGACGACTATAGCGTCGAGTTTCACCCCGGTCTCTGCCGTACGAAGAGTACCTCCGACCGTCCCTATCATAATCAGAGTCTCTCTTTTCGTAGTAATCATCATAACGTCCACTTCGTCTTTCACGCCCAAATTCATCATACCTTTCAGCTGAAGAATACCGAGATCGACGAGAATGTCGCCGCTCAGAGTCATAAGGAGCACCCGACCGTCCTCGATCACGGTGGGGACGATAAGAGTCGAATCCATGCGAGCGTTCTGTACGTCGTGAACTTGCTCTTTCTCTATAACGATCCTCACCTTGTCTTTCATCGTGTCGATGAGAGTAGTCTCGTTCCCGTTCATTTGTTCGTGGCACAACACGCTGTTCTTTCCTTGCTTGCTTGTATGTGTTAGAGAGTGTTTTTTTATGCGGTTCCTGTTTACATACCCGGCTGCGTTCTAATTCAGCTTTTTTCTCCTCAATCATTTTCTGAGGAATTCCGTACTCATTCTTTGAGGCAGAGAGAATGAGCTCCCATAATTCCTCAACAAATTTCGGTGCATTTGACTCGAGAAAACCCGTTAAATTGAGCTGCAGTTTTCGCGGATCAAGCGTGTGTGTCTGACTGGGATCATCACTTTTGGCAGCTTCTTCTGCAGCTTCTTCTAACATACTGTACACAAAGTCAATGACAACTTCGTCCTCAAATCCAATTAACTCGACAATACGTTTAGCAATCCAGGGTTTCAAAACTTCTAAATTAACGCGTTTCATATCGGCCTATTCACAACCGAGTGTTAGTATCCCAGAAAATGCTGTATTTGACGCGCGGAAAAAGCCTTTCCCCGTCTTGAACTTACACGTTCATTGAAGGACTCAGGGAATTTGATGGTACGCATCAACTTTTTGTCCGCATTCACGTATAAGGTTTCTTGCTCCGCAGCGACACCCTTGAAAAAACGTTAGTAAACACCGAAAAAAAGAGCAATAACCAACTTTATAGAATCCGCTCATGGTTTAACACTCAAATGCCGAAATTGAACCCGCAATTGAACTGAAACCGACTACTTTGTTGAAGCAAGAGGTGGAGGTGAAGGAAAAGGGCACGACGGGCTGCGAAGCGCGAACCCAGACAGAAAAAAAATAAGCTTTTTATAGTTTAAAGTTAAATGAAAAACGCGATACGCATGAATCTAACATAATCAGCACTCGACCACATCCATAGCACAAACAAACCACCCTCTGGATAAAACGAAAAACCGGGTCCACATTTAATTCCAATACGACTACAAGAATACAATACACTCAGTAGGCCGGCAAAAGCAGAAGATTACAATTACTGTCTACTTCTTCTTGGAGACACCAACAGTCTTACCACGACGACCAGTGGTCTTGGTGTGTTGACCACGGACACGAAGGTCCAAGGCGTGACGGAGACCACGGTGGGCTTGGATCTTCTTGAGACGCTCAAGATCGTCACGGAGCTTGCTGTCGACGTTGTTGGCCAAGAGTTGGTAAGACTTGCCATCAGTGATGTCCTTTTGACGGTTAAGGAACCAGGCAGGGATCTTGAACTGAGTGGGGTTTTGGACGATGGTAACGAGACGCTCCAACTCCTCAGTGGTAAGCTCACCAGCACGCTTGGACATGTCAACATCAGCCTTCTTGCAGGCAATGTTGGCATAACGGCGACCAACACCCTTGATTTGAGTCAAGGCGTACATGACCTTGTTCTTGCCATCAACGTTAGTGTTGAGAAGACGAAGAATGTGTTGGAAGTTATCGGGAGGAACAAGAGACATGTTGCGTGAACCGACTTGTGCGTTGTTGGCAGACGGAGAAGTCTATCAATTACGGTGTGTTTGCTTATTGTGACTGCTGTTTATTTACCCTAACCTAACACCGACATAACACCTTAGAGTTCCACATTTGCAGATCAGTAATGATCTGCATGATCTACGTGGTTGATGAATCCGCCGTGGATAAGAAAAGGGACATGGAGACAAAATGTATTTGTTATGAGTTACATAAGAGCAATAAATAGGTTGAGGAAATAATGTTAGGAAAGTGAGTGAGAATTATCATTACAAGTCACAAAAAGAATACGTAAACGGATACACTTCGTAGCATGTGTTTTGCTTTAGCTATGCAAACGAATAGAGAATGAATGACAACATTGGCATTATAGTGTCACGGATGCAGCTAAATGACACATAAACCAAGTGATAGCATCGATCTTCATAAAGAAAGATGATGATGAAAATAACTGGCAGACTCACGCACACTTTTTGCCATTGTAGTATTATACAGAGACATGAATCACACAAACAACAACGTGTGATGAGATGCGGAGAAAAACGAATGCTCTCAAAAATGTGACACAAAAGATTCAATTTAGTCACAGAATAGTAAACGCATAAGACCGCTGCCATACGCCCAGATCTTCATTAGGAGAAGAATAAAACGTTATTATGAAACCCCCAACGGTAATGTCAAGCCACGCTTATAGGTAATTAACCGTCAAAAACAAAAAAAGAAACAGGTACTAAAGAAAGAAGACATTTGTGCAACGGGATAAACTGTAGAGGTTATTAAAGGACAAGAAGAAAAAAAAAAGAAAAAAATAAAGCCAGAGACCATCTAAGAAACACCGCCTCACCAAGAAAGGAATTGCGCAGGGAGGATTAAGAGCGTACTTGAAGTGAACGTTCAGCATAGAGCCCACTGAGTACATCCTCTAGCCTGGAAGTTTCATAACGAAGACGATTAAACTCGTACTGCCAGCTCGAAGAATGTGAATGGTCAAGTTCGGAAAAAAAGTTTTTGTTCAGATCTCCATCACTGTATTGTTCATAAAGGAAGGTGTCCATCATTGCATCAGGCAGACCACTTACCGGTGAATCGGAATTTAACAGCATATCAGAGGCGTATTCCTCACCAATATCAAATGCAGGAATTGTATACAACTGAACGAGCATACACGGTAACTTTGAATCATTCGTACTGCTAGCTCTGAAAAAGACGGCCTTCGCGTAAAGAAGTTCATCAGTTTTTGAGTGTAAGCAGATGCGAAGTGTAACAACCTTTGCCAGCGCAGTTTTTAATGCTTTTAAGATAATGTCTGCTGGAGGGAACGAACAAACAGACATTAAGCTTTTGCCGACCAATTCCGTCGCTCCGTAACCCGCGAATTGAACCACGTCAGGCGTAGAATACAGAATAATACCGGTCATAGAAATACGAATCCAGAACTCATTTTCCGTAATAACTGTGTTCTTCATGATGGTATTTACTGCAAGGTCGTAGAACGCCCGTTGTCTCCCGACCAGGATAATGCATTTCCTGCTTTTTCCTTGCATAATATGCATTTGTCCTTTGGATTCAATCCAACAGTAACTGCCGCCTCTCATCATAACGCGGAATATGTAGTTTACAGTTTCACCCGTGGTAACCGTTTTAATTTCCCGAAGCAGGGGTACGATGTCTGATGGGTGACAAACAACCGAGACGTTCTTACCAAGAAGTTCTTCTGGATCCTTCCCCAGTAAACTCTTAGATACGCTCGATACATACAGAAATATTCCTTTCAGCGAGATGACATAAATGAAGTCCGAGCTGTTCTTAACCCAGGCATCATTCCAAAACTCCAATTCAGCCGCTGATAGCTTGTGCTTTGAATGTGTGTCCGGGTAAGCCTCTAAGCCTCTTCGTACAGGGCTTGTGTCCCTGAGTGCAGGCTTCGGTGCGGCAGTCATTTGATAGTACGTCGAATACGAGCCCGACTTTATTCGTTTCATAATTTCGCTCGGAGTAGCGACCATGTCAATTTGAAAACCGATAATGAAGGAAATTTCGTCACTATCCCAGCAAACGGGGATAAGTGTGACAAGATTCATAAAAGGTTGTCTGTTTTTTTTGAAATTCACCAAAGAGACCTGACATTCCTTCTCCTCCAAAACACATTTTTTCATGTAATAAACGGCACAATGATCCGTAAATCTTCGCTGCTCGCCTTCGGATAACTTTCCATCCGGCGACTGCAGAAACCGACAATTCCTTCCAACAATCTCCTGTTGTGTGTAACCAGTGAGAGTCTCAAAATTGCTACTAGCATAAATGATGGGGCAGTCGGGCTGACGAGGATCGGAGACAAGGAAAGAGCAAGAGAGATCAACTGGTCCCAGCTGAATAACGGGGTTTGGCCGAGATGCCACTCGGGCCAGCAAACCAACCACGTCCAAACCAGTGGTTGAATAAATACAATTTATGGGAAGTGGAATGGAAAAAGGAGCGGGAGGGCCTTCATTTTGACGCGGTTGTTCCTGCGTCTTTAAGCTTTTTGCGATGTCTCCCCGACTGGCATTCCAAGGTGCGTTAGAGACTTCAGTGGTACCGTAATCGCTTAAAGGAGCGGCAATGGAATAGGCTCGTTTCCGCGGTTCAGGATTTTCTTCGTAAGCAGCCTTGCCTTGATCCGCTGAAACATTTGCCTTGGGATAGTGTGGAAGAAAGGAGGTTGGGTGATGCACGGCATTCTTCGAAGTGAAGGAGGAAAGGCTGGGGTCCGGTAGCAAAGGAGAACGTACAGAGGAGGAACCATTGAGCTGATAGGAAGACGGATTTCTATACAGCTCTGTGGGTACAGAGTTTGCAAACATGCCATTTAAGTCCGTTGACGAGTACGAGTCTCTTGATGCACTAAATGAATTGATTGGGACAGCACTCGGGCTCGTTGTTTCGAACTCATCCAAAGACAGCATCTGGGAAGGATTCTGCGAAACCCTTCGTGGAAAGGCGGCCGGAGCAGAGACATACGGTGCCAGCGGCAACATGTAGTAGTCCAATGCTGTGCCCGACGTTTGGTCTGTCTGGGTCCGTAAAGTCGACGACTGGTCCATCGTATCCACATAAGAGGAAGAAGAAGTCATTGTACGAGCAGGAAATTCGTCCTGTTCCCCATCGTCTACACAAGCAGATGAAGCAGACAAAGGCATGCTTCCGGAACCTACAAAACAAGATCTGTTAGCTCTAGTGTTCGACCAAACGGATGTTGGAGAATAGCAGAATCACCGAAAACAATAAATAAATAAATAAACAGATGAAGACAGTACAGCACAACCGTTAGGATGATTGTACTGCAACAAGACACACGACAAGTCTTATCGTCACTTTTTTCTCATTTTCTCAATTGCCATTTCATCAATCAACAAACATCCAACTCTCCACGTACCGTTGGCCATAAACGAGTCTATTGAGTTAAAGCCGCCATACTGTCGTAGTTCTTCGTTTTCGTTAGTTGAGTTCCCATAACCTCCTAAGCTAAATGAAGGTTTCGTTCGGTTATTATTCATAAAATATCTGGACCGTCAATGTTAAAACAGACACAAATCAGAAGAAAATTATCGAGATTCAACTGTTGTGAAGTGTTGAGGAGTGCTGGACTTTTCTAGGAGGAGCCGGTATACCTGGTAGTGGCAAGTGGTAATGGCGATCTCGGCTGAGAAGGAAGCGTGAAATGACCGTAGACGAAGTAATTTTCGCCGGAAAAGCTTATGTGACCAACGTAGCTGAACACCGTAGGCAACGGCGCAACAAAGCAGTCGATTTTAGACCAGGTCTAAGTGGGCTTTGTCATCGGCAAGCCCCAACCAAACACACAAGTGGAGATGATGCTCGTGTATAGTAGTCGGGAAACTTTAACGAGATTTAGTCATTTAAGGTTTAGCACAAGCGAGATATGACATCAGAGCCCGAAGCGTGTTAAGACATGTGTAAAACAGTAAAAAAAAACGCATAATTATAGTTCGAAATGGAACTGCATGCAATGCAGCCTAAATTGTTAATTTTAGGGGAAAAATCCGTACAAAAAGGTTTGATAGTGAGGAAGTGTCAAAAAGAGGTGTGTAATAAGACGAGATGAGGCGAACAAAACAAAAGAGTATAGCGGAGATAGGTGCATGTTTGAAGGTAAAAGTGCACTAGGTAAATGTCCGTTTACGACTATACGGCGGTGCTTTGCACTTACACCTACAGGTCGCGAAAGGTGTTCATAGCACGAACCACGTTGATAGCCTTGCGCAGACGTCTAAACAGTTAGTATGAAACCGTGTTTCAAGATAAACGTACTTGCGAGCATTGAAATTCTCGCGGACTCCTGGAAGCAAATCTTTGGGAGGAGTAGCAGGAGTAGTTTCGGGTGCTGGAACGGCGGGTTTGGTAACAGCTTTCTTCAGGAATGGATGCTCGAGGGCCTGCTCGGCAGTAGGGCGCTTACTCGGGTCGTCGTTCAAACATTGACGAATAAAGTCTTTAGCCGTCTCAGAAACATGATCCCAGTATTTCTCGTGAAACGTGAAGTCGTTGGTGAGAATGGCATTCATCACCTGGACCGACGAGTTACGCGAAAACGGCGTATAGCCGCAGAGCATGAAGTAGGTAATGACACCAATGGCCCAGATATCTCTACAAACACGGGATACGTTAGTACAATGCACGAGAGAGAATGTGTGTGTGTGTGTGAAACACCGAGCTTGGTCGAGTTTATCGACTTTTTACGTACACTGGTTTGCCATAGCCTGAACGGCGGAAGACCTCAGGAGCCATGTACTCGGGAGTTCCACAAGTTGTCATCAGTACGGAGTACTGTTCCACATCGAAAATTTTTGACAAACCAAAGTCGGCAATAAGAAGGTTGGAGTCTTCGTCTTTCGAACGGTACAACAAGTTCTCGGGCTTCAGGTCGCGGTGGACAATGTTATTGTCGTGCAGGTACTTGACTGCCGACGTAATTGTTCGGACAAGTTCGGCAGCATCAGTTTCGTAGAAGGAACCCTTCTGGCAAATACGGTCAAACAATTCACCGCCCGTAGCGAGTTCCGTAATAAGGTACACTGAAAAGGAGGGGTGTTAGTAAAATGTGTGCAATGCGAATTCATCTCAACACACAAACCCCAGACTCTACCTACAATTATGAACGGTTTCAAAGTAGTCGTACAGACGAAGAATGTTTGGATGTCCATTGGAAACCTTTTTTAAAATCATAATTTCGTTTTTCACCTACGAAACGTTAGATACGACGTTCTATGGGACAAAAGTGTCCGGATACGCACCATATACTCTCTCTTCTCCATCATTTTCTTGTTGATTACTTTGGCAGCAAACTTTCTACGCAGAGTCAGCAAAAACACATCCGGACGCGTCTTTAGGCGCATGGAACAAGATGAACTCACTCATTTGTCTCTATGTTTGTTGCTTCCTTCACAATTGAATAAGCACCAGCACCAAGCGTGCGTCCCGTCTTGTACTTGCAAGGGAGCAGCCCGCCTGGTACTGCCGGCGCTGTTGAAGGAACTTTTAAGCTGAATGGATTGTTTGACCCTGTTGACATCGTGCAAAATCCTCGTAACGGCCTGGATATACGCGTCTTTCTATGGAATTGGTATTGGTTGGGTTACGTTAGCACACGCGATAAGGCTTGGCTTGTTCCGAGCATCTGACGTGCCATCTATAAGCACTCGTCACCACGCCGCAACGTGGGGGGATAGGGATGCGGGGTAATGCCTCGGTCCCGAGGAGAATTAATGTCAATTTAGCTCGCTTAGCTTTTCTTAGAGGTTTGAGGGGATAGAATAGAAAAAACGTTGGTTAATAATAAGCACCACAATAATAAGGCTCGAGGCTTTATTTATAATTGAAGCGACGCGTTTTTTACACCGGTTTTGCTCAATAAACGCGGAAAGTCTTCGAGACACGCTCCGATTTCAGTCGGCCCGATGAGCTTAAATCGAATAAAGTTTCGGCAACTCGCTTAACGAACAGGTTTAAGGAAAAGACAATGGAGCATGGACAAATGAAGCATTGGGGGACATCTGAACACGAGGCGCTGTCTTGATAGACTGACAAGAAGCATGACACACTCTAAAAGCTCATTTCTCGTAGAAACATCCCCTTGTTCCGGCCCAATTCTCACTTGGGTCCGTCCTATCCCCTTAAGAGTTCGTATGTTACATAGACATTTCATTAGGGAAGTTGCTAATCAGACTCGTCTCCAGAATCTCCGCTGCCTTCACTGCCCTCATCATCGTCATCAACAACAATATCATCAGCAAACTGCTTTGTTATTGTATGAGCCTCGAGCACGGGAGCAAACTCGGAACGGAAGTCTCCAGGGACAAGGTCGATGGGTCGGTATCTGTCCTTGTTCAATAATAGAGGATTAGCACCCACCTCCATCAGCATTTCAACTGCACAGAGCGGTTAGCGTTTCTGCAAAAAAGAAAAAGGGTGCATTCCATCCACCCTTCGGTCACCGTACCCATGTGAAGAGATATGACTTTATCTTTGAGGCAATATTGGACAGCAACATGGAGAGGAGTATCGTGGTTCATTGTGTTTGGAATATTCACGTCCAATCCCTCGATATCCAGTAGCCAATCGAGACATTCCACGGAGCCATATTGAGCACAAACATGTAAACAACCATTTCCCAGCGGATCGCGTGCTGTATTCAAGAAATTCAATTCGTTTCCAACCTGCTCAGTTACTGGTTTTTCGAGCAGATCCACATTGTTCATGCGGCAGGCTGCAATGACAGTTTCCTCTACATGCTCGTTAGACGCTGCTCAGTACCCAGAGCTCCAGAATTTCTCACCTGCACTAGCACCGTCCATGGCTTCGTACGTGATATTGATGTTTGGTACTGGTCGGGATTTCTGTTGGAGCAGCTTCCGTCTAACGACGTCTGCTATAGCAGCTGTCCACCAAGCTCCTTTTGACAGCTTCGTGTGGCATGTGGGATAAAGCACGTGGGGCACACGTGCCCCCACGTGTACCCCACAATGGCCCAGCTGCCACCAGCATACCCTTCTTCGTGCTAGTGAATGTTGATTTTTGCTGTGTAGGGACGAAAAATGTGTTATGAATGGTAAACTTGTTACAGACATTCTGTTTCATGTACATAGAACTGTGAATATTGGGGCTCGGTGGCGATTGGGCTTGGAATTGCAAAATCTTGCACCAAAGAGGTTTTTATCGGCCCATGGGCAGTATAGGAAGGAAAACAAATGTGACAGGCCGTTTTCATGTCCGGAAAATAAGTGTAAGAGACAGACGCACGGGATTCTGATGGCCGAGACTTCGTTCGTGCCCGTTCGTTCGTTCGCATCATCTCATAAACGAGTCGTGCCGGTTCTTGAGCTTCCTCCAGTTGTTCGTGTCTCGCAGCTTGCATCCATGATGCGTATAAACACTTCTAGACTTGTTCGTTTGCTGCGAAAGGTTGTGGATAAAAATGTAACATCCGAGTACCTGCTGCCCTTCGAAGATTCAAGTATGGTTGCCGTTGAATTGGGATTCGATGCTCGCCAAGCGTCTTTTGCATCGTCAAAGCTCTTAAAACTAGCAGAGAAGGGAGAGAGCAGACTGAATTCCGACTCTCTTCCCTTACGTCCACCGATTGTCACCATTATGGGTCATGTCGACCATGGAAAGACAACACTGCTTGATGCTCTACGGAAGTCCTCCATCGTTGCAACAGAACACGGTGGGATTACACAGCGCATCGGTGCATTTTCTGTCCCCTTCAGTAAGGGTGCCCAGCAAATCACATTCATTGACACACCGGGACATGCCGCTTTCGAAGAAATGCGCAAACGAGGCGCTTCTGTGACAGACATCGTAGTTCTTGTCATTGCCGGAGATGACGGAGTACAACCACAAACTGTCGAGGCTTTAAAACACATTCAAGCGGCAGGCGTGCCTATGGTCGTAGCATTGACAAAGTGTGATCGTCCGGGGTTCTCTGCAGACAAAGTCCAGAAGCAACTGCTCGAACATGGCGTGCAAACAGAAGAATTTGGCGGGGACACACAAGTCTGCTGTGTCTCGGGTGTCACGGGGCAAGGCCTTGAGGAGCTGGAGTCCTGCATCCTGGCTCTTGCAGAAGTACTCGACATTCGTGCGTCCAAAAAAGCCGCCGTGGAGGGCTGGATCATTGAGTCTTCCGTAAGTAAAGGTCAGGGTATTCAAGCCTCTGTACTTATTAAACAAGGAACTGTGCGGCTCGGGTCTTTCCTTGTGTGCAAAGAGAGCTATGCTAAGGTTCGTTTACTTTTAAAAAACGGAAACGTTCGCTGCAAGCAGGCATTTCCTGGGGAAGCCGTTCAAGTGTCTAGTTTTAAAAGTATTCCTCCTGCCGGCGTTCGGGTTTTTAGTGTCAGCAAAGAATCCGAAGCAAAAGCCTTCATCGAGGCTGCACAGCGAGAGAAGCATCTACTGTCACAAACCGATCTTGCACACAAACAAAACGAACAGCAAATCTCTGCAGCCAAGCTGCGTGCCAAGAAAAGTCGGCTTGATCGTCGGGGCATGTTGCTGTCCTACTGGGACAAAGAACTTGTTCGGGACGAACAAAAACAGAGCTCGTCCACGGATGTATCTAATTCTTCCCACTCCTCTTCTGCACCTAGCACCTACAGTATTATCATAAAGGCTGCTGAGAGCGGTGCTCTTGAGGCTGCTGAAGCTTACTTAAATGGTATACAGTATGGTAGCACGAAGCTGCAACCTGTTTATACTGCCTTAGGTCCATTAACCGAAACGGACATCAACAATGCGCACGTTGCCAAAGCAAGCATTGCCGTTTTTGGTATGGACGTTTCCAATGGTATCCTAGCAAGTGCCCGACGCAAGGAGATTCAGGTCATTCAGAGCAATGTAATTTATGAATTGTACGAGAAAGTTAAGGATTCTTTCCGTGAGACGCTTCCGCCTATAACCGTCACCAGAATTGATGCGGAGGCACTTGTTTTGGCCTTATTCCCTCACAACGACAAGCGTTCTACTTCGGTTGTGCTCGGCTGTCGTGTAACAAACGGTAAATTTTGTGATGCACATGCAATTCGTGTCATGCGAAACGGTAGAAACATCTGGACTGGAACAATTGAATCCATGCGTCATCTTCGCGATGAGGTTCATTCTGTTGCTAAGGGAAAAGAATTTGGTATACTTCCCCATATACCCAAAGAATTCGCCGATGATCTCCCCGCTTTTCAGCCCGGTGACATCGTTCAATCGTTTTACAATGAACAAGTTGCGCCTGCTTTTTAGGCCATCAGCAGCAGAAGTCCTGTTTGTGATTTACCATTGTGTCATCGCTTGAAATATTTGCATTCGTCTTTGGCTACCAGTTACCAAAATTCCCATTAACATCCTTCTAACGGCATAGCAATTGCAATCGACACCGGCTTTCTCTCGTACCGTTCCTACTCCTCCTGCCATTTCTGCTTATTCTCATTCTCTCCAAATTCTCGCTTACCCCCACGATTCCCCACTTCTCCCCGCGGTCGCCTGCTGCATCATCACAGAGGAAGGGTGAGGCAGCCGTCCGCTGGACTTACCCCACCGACATGCAAAGCTAACCCCAAGCCAGTACGCGCAATTTATTGTACCGTTGCTGATAAGTATTAAAATGGAGTCTGTTATTGTCTTTGGAAGCGGCTTTTTGGGAGGTCATATTCTTCGTCAGTTGAGTCAGCGCAAGGGCCTGCGTATTGCTGCATTCGATGTGCGTGCAAACGAAGAACTGCAAAAGGAGCTTGAAGGAAAGTTCGAAATGTTCACTGGTGATATCACGAACAAGGAGGACGTAGAGAAGGCTCTTAAGACGTTCAAGCCTCAGGTGGTCATTCACACTGTGTCACCCGTTCATAATTTGGGACGAGACATTTACTTCCATGTTAACGTTGATGGTACCGAGAACCTGTTGCGTGTTGCTCGTGAAAATGGTGTCGCTGCTTTCGTCTACACCAGTAGCGCTGGTGTCGTTTTTGACGGTCATGACTTGATTAATGTGAATGAGGAATGCCCTTTGCCTGAGAAACCCATGGATGCCTATAACGAGTCGAAGGCCATGGCCGAGAAGGCTGTCATTGAGGCCAACTGTCCTGAAATGAAGACTGTTGGTCTTCGTGTCGCTGGTTTGTTTGGTCCTGGAGATCGTCAGATGGTTCCTGGTATGATGAACGTGTTGAAGAACAATCAAACAAAGTTCCAACTCGGAGACAACCTCAACCTTTTTGATTTCACTTACATTGAAAACGCTGCTTACTCTCACTTGTTGGCTGCCGATAAGTTGCTTGCCGGCGCTAAGGGTGTAGATGGTCAGGTGTACTTTATTACGAACGGCCAGGTTATTTACTTCTGGGATTTCCCTCGTGCTCTCTGGGCTCACGTTGGTCACGTTCCTCCTTACATCATTAAAATGCCTCGTGCTATTGGTCTTGTGTTGGCTGGCCTGGCCGAATGGGCCTGTGCCATTCTCGGAAAGGAACCCGGTTTCACTCGTTTCCGTGTTAAATTCAGTTGTGCCAACCGTTACTACGACATCAGCAAGGCTAGAACTTTATTGGGTTATGAGCCTAAGGTTGACTTGGAAGAAGGTATTCGCCGGACGTTGAAATGGGTGGATGAAACGAAGCAGTGAGCTTCGACTCGCCTCATTTCCGTTCCTGACGAGCAACTGTCTTGAGAGTTTAGTACTCACACACATTCTGATCTTTCTCTCTATGTTCCCTTATTCAGACGCCAACACACACACACACATCGCACACACTCCTTGGTTAACTTCTTCTCCTAGGGTTTTGTAATGCTTGTTATGCCAATGTCCAATTCTAAAACTCCAGGTCTCATGATTCTGTGATTACAAGACGACCTCCTGCGTCTACGAAATTACGGATACGTTTATGACAAGACGTTCAAATTCGTATGGTCTTATTTACCTTTTGAGTTTGGTAAATCCGATATTATATCTTTAGGACCCGAGCGGTTTTGTCAATAGTCTTTAAGAAACACCCCTGCATATGGGTATGTACGGACACGAAAAACTCTCTTCTTTTGAATAGTAATTATCATTCATCTGCAACATCTTGTGTATTTTTCTGTTTTGTTTTTTTGGCGTGGTTCAATGTTGCCTTAAATGCAACACCAATGTTCCAACCGCAGTACCGGCAACCGCTTTTGTCGTTCACCCAACCTTGTAAAATCTTGCGTTTGTTGTTTCAATACATTGCACAAGGCCATTAACCCTGCATCTGTTTTTGTTACGGTAACTAAGATTTAAAAGGTGTAATCAACTGCTGATTTGTTCTGAATTGAATTATATTTGGCAACATCTTTGGATTCCAAAAGGTATTTTGATTTCCTGCTTACGCTGTGTATGTTTAAATACACATAGTGTAATTGCTTTTGTGATTTTTTTTTTTTTTTTTTTAAGCTTTTCTTATTATTGTTTCGTTGTTGATTGCAACATCAATAGCAACACACAAAACATTCATTCATGGACGCTGTTTCATTAAAAAACCAAGGCAACAAGCTTTTTGGTGAAGGCCGGTTGGCTGAAGCCATCAAGTGCTACACTAAGGCTATTGAGCTTGATCCTGAAAATGCTATTTTCTATTCCAATAGATCGTTTGCGTATTTAAAACTCGAGGACTATGGCTTTGCTATAGAGGACGCTACTAAGGCCATTGAAAAAAACCCGAAGTATCCCAAGGGTTATTATCGTCGGGCTGTGGCCCATATGGCTTTGTATCAGCCAAAAGAAGCTCTGAAGGATTTTAAGAATGCTGTTCGGTATGCTCCTAACGACAAGTCAGCTCTGCAAAAATCCCAAGAATGTGAAAAACTTGTTCGCCGTATCCGTTTTGAGGAAGCAATTCAGGCTGAGGAACCCCCTTCTGCGCTTGAAGGAATTAACATTGAAGACATGGACGTGCCTACCGATTACGACGGTGTTCGTTTGGAAGGAAAAATGACGGAAGAGTTTATTCGTGATTTTATTCAACGTTTCAAGGATGGAAAGCGGATGCCTTTAAAATACGTGTACTGGATTCTTCGTGAAATTAAAGCTTTCTATGAACAAGAACCCTCGCTTGTAGAGGTTGCGGTAGAAAACGATGAGGAGTTGGTGGTTTGTGGTGATACTCATGGCCAGTTCTTTGATTTGTTAAACATTTTCGAGACAAACGGAGCTCCGAGCCCTAAGAAAAAGTACCTGTTTAACGGTGACTTCGTCGACCGTGGCTCATGGTCGACAGAGGTGGCCCTATTGTTGTACAGTTACAAACTGTTATATCCGGATAATATGTTCATTAACCGGGGTAATCATGAAACAAACGACATGAACAAGATGTATGGTTTTGAAGGTGAGTGCAAGGCCAAGTACAACGAGCGTACTTACAGAATCTTCTCTGAAACCTTTGTTGCCCTTCCCTTGGCCACGCTTATTGGTAAGCATTACTTGGTTTTGCACGGTGGTTTGTTTTCTAAGGACACCGTGACACTGGACGATATCCGCAAGTTCGACCGGTTACAGCGTAAGCAACCAGGCCAGTCTGGCATTATGATGGAAATGCTTTGGACAGATCCACAACCGAATGCCGGTCGTGGTCCTTCTAAGCGCGGTGTTGGTCTTCAATTTGGTCCCGACATTACGAAAAAGTTCTGTGAATTAAACAACCTTAAGGCTGTTATTCGATCGCATGAAGTCCGACAAGATGGTTATGAAGTGGAGCACGACGGACGCCTTATTACAGTGTTCAGTGCTCCCAATTACTGTGATACCACGGGCAATATGGGTGCTGTCATTCATATCCAGTCCACATACGAGTTGAAGTTTGCTCAATTTTCCGCCGTTCCTCATCCCAACGTTCGTCCAATGGCTTACGCAAGCGGATTGCTTGGCCTTATGTAGAGTTGCTTTACACACAGAAGTGGGCTCACTGATCCGTTCATACCATGTTAAAAATCCGCCTCGGTTCTATGACAATCACTAAAAATGAATTTTGGTACTTAGAAGAGTTGTGCTCTTCTACTTTAGACACATGAAAAAATAACAGAAACTAAACACATACAAAGTCGTAGCTTTTCTCCACTTGCGTTCTTCAGTGTCTTCACTCGTTGACAAGGCTGTTTGTTTATTTTCGCGTATCGCGTTTTAATTTCGCTTAATTAGTGCCACAGCAGACTAATTTTAAAGCGCCGATCCCTACGTCATGCACGCATGAGTAGGTCAGACGAACACGAAAACAGACTTACCCAGAACCAACTACTGAGCTAAATGCCGTCGGAGACATCGCCATTGCTGCCAACGAGCAACGCGCAGCCTGTGCGCCCGCGGACACGCATTTTTACCCGCAAGAACGTGTTTATTCTTGCTCTTGCTATTACAGCTACGCTGCTTTTCTTTTTGCCTCATTCAAAAAGTCAGAATCCTACTCCAGCCCCGGATACGAAGCCAAGAAATGTGATTATGATGGTTTCCGATGGAATGGGACCGGCGTCGCTGGCGCTTGTTCGCGGTTTGCAAAAATACCGCACACATGATGAATCACTCACGCTGAACTTGGACAAGCATTTGCTTGGTTCGTCGCGTACACGTTCTTCATCCAGTTTGATCACCGACAGTGCTGCTGGAGCCACGGCCTTTTCCTGTGCGACGAAGTCGTACAATGGAGCCATTGCCGTAACAGACGATCATAACGCGTGTGGTACTGTTTTGGAGGCAGCAAAGGATGCTGGTTACATGACCGGAATCGTTGTTACAAGTCGTCTGACGGATGCTACTCCGGCTTCATTCTCAGCACATGCATCGCACCGTTCTATGCAGGATCTGATTGCCGAGTATCAGGTCGGTATGGGACCTTTGGGTCGCTCAGTAGATTTGTTCTTTGGCGGCGGTTTGTGCTCTTTCTTGCCAAACACATCGCTCTCTTCTTGTCGTTCTGATGACAAAGATTTAATTGATTATGCTGCAAACGAGCAGAACTTCACCGTTCTCCTTGACCGCTCTTCATTCGACGAGGTCAGCACAAACCAACTTCCTATTCTCGGTATCTTCTCTGACTATCATTTAAACTTCAACGTTGATCGTGACAACACTCAGCAGCCTGCTCTCTCGGAGATGGTAGCCAAGGCCTTGGACATTTTGACTGAAGCTACAAAGGACTCTGAAAAGGGCTTTTTTCTCCTTGTCGAGGGAAGTCGCATTGATATGGCCGCCCACAATAACGATCCCGTTGGCCATGTTTACGACGTAATTGAGTATGACCGCACGTTTGGTGACATTGTCGACTATGCTAAGTCACATCAAACTGTGGTCGTTTCAACATCCGACCATGAGACGGGTGGACTTACTGTGGGTCGCCAGCTGACAGATGACTATCCGGTGTACCGTTGGTTTCCTGAATACCTTGCCGAAGGCACACACTCTGTGGAATATCTCGCTCGTGCACTTTATGCCACTGAGCTTAGCAACGATCGTCTTCCCAAATATGTGCGTGAGACCATTTTGCCCGGTTTGGGCGTTGTGAGCCCTAACGAAGAAGAGGTGCTTTCCGTTATGGAAGCTGGTAAGGATTTGAACAAGCTTATTCTTGCTCTCTCCAACGTTATTAGTCGTCGTGCTGAAATCGGCTGGTCTACCCATGGACACACCGCTGTTGACGTGAATATTTATGGTTATGGCCCTCATGTCAAGCGTCTTCGTGGTAACCACGAGAATACCGAGGTTGGCGCGCTTTTGCAAGCTGCTTTGGGTGTTAGTCTCGATGCAGTGACGGCTCGTTTGTCGAATGCTACAGTAGTTGGAAACCAATTGCTCCTTAGTGAAGACCTTCGGGCTTTCGAAGAAACGGATTCCTATCTTGGCTGCCACCAGGATCTTTAATCGGTCAATCTGAATTAGAAGGAAATGGCCGTTGATACTTAGACGTAAGGATGAAGCGCTACCATACCATTTAATTCTAAACTAATTTTCTGAGCGGCGTATTACTTGCAGTGTACAGCTCATATTAAAGCACCTGCGCGTAAATGTTCGTCGTTGCTATACACAATCTTTCTTCTGTTTTCGTTTTACTTTCGTCTCTTAATTTAACCCTGTTCATACTACTTGTAAACCCGGTTCGTCTCATCGACTTTGAATAGTATGCTACTATCTTGCTAAGGAATGTATTTCCCCCTAGTTGCATAACAGCTTAAATTCCAAAAATGGTCCTTTGTTAGATAATAGTAATTTCTATCACGTCCATTACATCGTATTCCGAGCTTTTAGGAGCAACAATTAGTACGCCTCGCGCTGGGACTTCATCGTAAGTAGTACGTCGGCGGCCGGGACGTACCATTTACCAACATCAATTCTTCCACATTTTACCCTCAGCTACTTAATTTTAGCTGAGAAATGGATTCATTCGAAGATAACAATCCATTTTCTGGTACTAGATTTATTAAAGATGACGAATTGCCTGAAGAAGCTGATACTTTCAACGCTACTTGGGACGATGTGAAACCAGCCAGTACATCTTCTAGTGCTTTTATAAACAATACAGAACGGACATCAGGTCTTGAAATATCAAAGAATGACCATGTTGAAGAGGAATATCCGTCTTCCAAGCCGCTTCCAAACCCGCGTCCTTTTATGATTCTTCCTGTGCAGGTTACGGGAGCACTGAAGGCAAAAGATGGCTCCCATATTGTTTACAGTATCAAGACGGATGTAAGAACATGGCTGTGGCTTTCATTGAGCGTTTTATGAGTCTACGGAGTATATGATACTAACTCAATCGCTGTAGTCGTCCGCAACTCAGCGTAGATACTCGGAATTTGTGTCGTTACGCATTAATCTTGGCCGATTATACCCTACATGTGTAGTGCCTCCATTACCAGAGAAACATTCTATAGGTATGGATGAGTATTTTTGTGTGCCCAGGCTAATAGAAACTCGGTGCAGTGGATTATGTTTTTAGTTTCACAAAGACTCAGCGAAACAATCACATTCTTGAGCAACGGAAACGTATGCTTCAAACCTTCCTGTTAAATGTGTATCAGCACCCTGTGCTTGGACAAAGTCAGGTCTTCCGGGACTTTTTATCACGTAACGTGTCTTGGGTATGTGCAAGGAAAACAACAATTTGTTTATTAAGCCTTATAATTCGTGCGTAGGAACTCTATGCTAACTAAAGTTATAGAATGAAGTGCTTGCCAATCCCCCAATCTCATTACTGCCAAAGAATATACTAAAGGCGTCGCCAAGAGATCCAGCTTCACAAGAGGAAATGGACATCTATACTCACTTACCAGTTCCTAGCGTCAACTTACTCCCAAAGAATGCTTACGATGCTGAAAGCCAATACTTTATTCAACAAGAAGAGGACTTGAAGACACTGTCGCAGCATTTGGCGAATCACGTTTCACGTAGCAACAACCAATTGCTTTCTACTTACACTCGCCTTTCCAGTCTGTTTTCTGAACTTGGCGCCGAGTTAAATGCGCTTTCATTGCCTGAGTCAGGTTTGCTGCTAGCATGTTTGGAACGCACGGGCCAAGCCTGTGACCGTAGTTGCTTTTCCGCTGTGGACTTGATTCACATGCTCATTGTTGGTGTTTCAGAACCGCTAATGGAGCTTTCCAAGTTTGCTTCCACGATGCGTTTGGTGCTCCAGTATAAGCGCATCAAAACCATTCAATGTGTCCTGGCTAATGATATGCTTTCACGGAAGACTGAATTGCTTGAATTGTTAGAGCAACGAGAGTCCGAAGCTAATCGGCTTAGCTTGGCTATTCAAGAAACTGAGACGGATCCCGTGTCTCTTCGTGCACAATCAGAAGAATCGTCTTCCGGAGGAACGTCTGACGAGCGCCCGCTTGGTTTTCTTTCACCCATGCAGCACTTTGAGAGTAATTTTGCTAATGACTTGCAAGATCCATATCTATCGAGCAGTGGTCTTAACACTAGTGGGTTCGGACCTGCTTCGGATGAAGGATTTGCAGCACACGACAGTTACGAGGAGCAGAGTCACCAGCAGGAAGAACAAGACACAAATGAACCTCCTCCGGACGATGCAGAGGGAGCCGCGAACACTGTTACCAATGAGAACGCTACTTTACCTGCTGACGACTCTTCAAACTCACCAAAGCAGAAGACTCCAACCTCCAGAATTGCACAGACTATTGCCGAGTTCTTTGACAAAATTAATTTTGCAATTCACGGTCTAGTTGACGTTGATAATGTAAGCACTCGGCACAGCACGATTGGTCGAACGAAAGAAAGTGTTGCTCAATTGGAGCGTATGGTTAAAGTTACAAAGCAAGATGCTGAGTTTGCGGACAAGACTGTCTCCCATGAATACAAGCGATATGCGGAGAACCGTGCAGAAACTCTTCGCTCTGTGTATTCTTCTTTTGCGACGGCCCATGAGAATTGGGCCAAGTGCAATTTAGAGTTTTGGTCTGCTTTAAGTGAACAAATGGAACGGGAAGCTACAATTCACTGAGTAACCATTAACGCACTGTTCACTCATGTGCAATCATTGATGGTAAAGACGTCTCTCACAAACACTTTTTTTAAAATCCTTGCATTTCCGTTTTCGTACAAACGATATTTATCTCTAAACCTTACCGCATTTCGTCATTAATTTCTGAATTCTGCAGACGGTACCGAATGGACTCTTCACTGCTTGACGAATAGTGAATATCTTTGACACTCTGCCCCCAACCACTACGACTTCAATCACCCATTCATCATCGTCTAGCGACGGCAGAATTCGAATTTCTTCCATTTTCACCTGGTCTCTATGCTTCAATATTGTTTTTGTAAAGCCGCGGCAGGCCCGCTTCATTTTCCACGGTACTTCCCTGAGGGTTACCGACACATTAGGAACAGTACCGAACACGAACGGAATCATGTGTCAAGCCTGCGTCACACGCTACCAGTCAATAATCGAATTCGATTAAACCACACAGCCATCAAGCGGAAGATTTCACTAATTGTCGGCCGTGCGTTCTTGGAACCGCTTTGACTCACCTATTATTGGTTTTTCGTTGCCTGATACTTAACCGAAGCAATTCGCACCTGGCGCACAACATGGCGACAGCAACGCCAAACCTGCAATTGCCAAGTCTGAGCTTGGAATGCTTTGTCTGTAAAAAGTGCAATTCTTTGATGACAAATCCGGTTACACTTCCATGTGGTGGGTCCGTATGCAGAACGTGTTTTTCGGCTCTTTTCCCCACAGTACGAAACCCGAAAACGCATGTTCAGTGCATTTTTGGTCACAATGAACCGCATTACTCCGTTGAAACAAATGTTCGCGACATCTTGCTGACGAGAATATGCGACATTATACGCGAAGGAATTACTCCGAAAAAACATTTACAATCATCGCTTGGAAACGTGGGTACGAGCATCTCTGCAATTACCGAAGCCGACACTGGTGCCGACGCTGAAAATGAAGGGTCTTATGAACACGACCTTTTGGACGGATTCAGTAATTCATTAAGTCCAATTAAACAAGCGAGCGAGTTTTGTCGAGGAAGACAAACAAAGCTTAAGGATGCCATCACAGCAGAATTAGATTGTCAAATATGCTATGCTATGTTGTATGAGCCTATAACGACGCCATGTGGGCATTCTTTCTGCGACCCATGCCTCATGCAGGCACTTTCTCAATCTGCTCGTTGTCCTGCTTGTCGAGCAGTACTTCCTTCACCGGCAGTGCTTGAGCATGCTCATAACCGGCCATTGTGTGCCTTTATCCGTGAGACATATCCTGAACACTGGCTCGAACGGCGCAAGTGCTGGGAGGAGGAAAAGGAACAGGAGAGTTGGATGCCCTTATTTGTGTGCATGGTCGCTTATCCGCACATGTCCACCTTCTTGCATATCTTCGAACCGCGGTATAAAATTATGTTGGAACGTTGTATGGAGGGAACAAAGCGATTCTGTATAACAATGCCGTTACAGGTGAGCAAACGCCGTGCGCAAAACGAGCAGCCTCGCGAACTGCGAAATGCTCGCGGTCAGCGTCTCTTTTGTGCCCAATACGGTACAGTCATGGAAATTTTGACGGCCGAACAACTTCCTGATGGCCGAAGCCTCGTGGAAGCTCGTGGCACATGCCGTTTTAAAATTCTCGATTTTCAGTCCGATGGGCTGTACCCCATGGTTAAGGTGGAAAAACGCTTTGACACACCTACGCGGACATCGCCATTGCAATTTCCGCTTCCCGAGCAGTGGCTACAACATGCAAACAAATCGACAGAGCAACTCGTGGAAGAGATTGACATATTTTATACAAATGCGCGCAACACGTGTGTCCACTGGGTAGTACCATTGCTCGATATACGTTATGAAGCCGCGACATTGCTTTCCGATTTATCGTTCAAAGTCGCAAGTTTATTACCCATTCCAGAGTTTGAGAAGACAAGAATATTGGAGATTGACAATCCCGATGACCGGTTAATTCTCATTCTGATATGGTTACAGTGGCTGCAAAACACTTGGTGGTATCGATTGAGCAATACATGTACTCTTAGTTAAAACCCCTTGAGCATGGACAAATATTCTGTTTCATACGGTTTCTCCTTTGAAAGTGATTGTGCCCTTATGTCCCCCACCTCCAGTTTTCCTGCCTTGCATCTATCGTTACTTGAGGTTTCATCGACATCTGTACTGTGTCTTAGAACCTTTCTGTATGGTACCGGCAGTGATATATTGGTCGTCCATTTACTGTTACTAATGGTAAAACATACATAAACAGATCTACTTGGAGACATTACTATACTTTATTTGGACTTTTTGTTGGGAACGCGCTTGCTGTTCCTTTTGTCCGCTTCCGCGTCCTTCTTCTTACCATGCTTTTTTTTCAAACAGATGATTCCTCTGCAATTGTGCTTTTTTAAACAATAACAACTAAACAAATCCCTTCATGTTCTCAGCATGAATGTTTAGGTCATCTCCTTCCACGAAGCATTCTATTTACTGCTCGGCTTAAGCTATTTATTAAGTGCATCGCTTCACAGTTGATGTTATGTAACGGTTCTGCGAAACACAATAATGATATGCGGTCTCTTCATACGCATTGGCGTCAGTAAGGAGTTCTTTAACGTTATGAGACACGCAGAGAGAATTCCTAGAATTTCTTAATTGGGCTTTTGTTTTTCTGTGTCTTCACCCCCCGCGAAGTAGACACGTTCTTACTATCCCTATCTTATCTAAACAAGTAACAATGTTACCTATGGGAACACCCAATTAAATAAATGAACCAATTAAATTTGTTTAAAGAAAGCCAGTCACGCTCAGCTTGAAGACTTTTCTCTCAAGAAAAGCAACCTGCCAACTGCAAACCACTAACACTTACACTACACCACAACCATGTCTGAGTACGAGCACTATACGACTCCTCTGACTGCTAGATATGCGTCTGAGGACATGTCTCGCCTCTTCTCTCGTGAGACCCGTATCAACACGTGGAGAGAACTGTGGTTGAACCTTGCCATTGCTGAGCGTGAACTTGGTTTGAACCAGGTCACTGCTGAGGCTATCGAGCAGTTGAAGGCTCACGTTAAGATTACTCCTGAGGAGTTCGACATTGCAGCTGAGGAAGAGAAGCGTCGTCGTCACGACGTTATGGCACACATCTATACCTACGGTTTGGCTGCTCCTGCCGCCGCTGGTATCATTCACTTGGGTGCTACTAGTTGCTTCGTCACTGACAACGCTGACCTTATCTTCTTGCGTAAGGGTATGGATATTCTCATTAAGAAGCTTGTCAATGTTATCGACCGTCTTGCAAAATGGGCTCTTAAGTACAAGGACATGCCTACTCTTGGTTTCACTCACTACCAACCTGCTCAATTGACTACGGTTGGCAAGCGTGCTACTCTTTGGTTGCAAGAGCTCCTTTGGGATTTGCGTAACCTCACCCGTGCCCGTAATGACATTGGTTTCCGTGGTGTCAAGGGTACTACTGGTACCCAGGCCTCTTTCTTGGCCCTTTTCAACGGTGACCATGACAAGGTCGAGAAGCTCGACAAGCTTTGCAGTAAGCTTTGTGGCTTCGACAACGTCTACCCTGTTTGTGGTCAGACTTACTCTCGTAAAATCGATATTGATGTCCTTCAACCTTTGGCTTCTTTTGCTGCAACTGCCCACAAGATTGCTACTGACATCCGTCTTCTCGCTAACTTGAAGGAGCTTGAAGAGCCCTTCGAGACTAGTCAGATTGGTAGTTCCGCCATGGCTTACAAGCGTAACCCCATGCGTTGCGAGCGTATCTGCTCTCAGGCCCGTTACATCATGAACCTTATCCCCAACTCTCTCCAAACTGCTTCGGTTCAGTGGTTTGAGCGTACCTTGGATGACAGTTCCAACCGTCGTTCCTTAATTCCCGAGGCTTTCTTGTTCACCGACAGTGTCTTGAAGATTCTCCTCAACGTTATCTCCGGTTTTGTTGTTTACCCCAAGGTTGTTGAGAAGCATATCCGTGCTGAGTTGCCTTTCATGGCTACCGAGAACATTATCATGGCCATGGTTCGTCACGGTGCCAGCCGTCAAGAATGCCACGAAGAGATTCGTGTCTTGTCTCACCAAGCTGGTTATGTCGTGAAGCAGGAGGGTGGTGACAATGACTTGATCGAGCGTATCAAGAAGACTCCTTACTTCAAGCCCATCTACGATGAGTTGGACAAGTTATTGGACGCTTCCACCTTCGTCGGCCGTGCACCCGAGCAAACTGAGAAGTTTGTTAAGGAGGATGTTGCTGTCGCCCTCAAGCCTTTTGCCGATCTTATTACTGATGACCGTGTTGAGTTGTCTGTGTAAGTTACAAAACCTAAAACTTTTTTTTTGAATATATAGCCCCCCACTTTTAATACAAAATCAAGCATAAACGCTTTGCGAAGGCTTTGCGTTCTTCCAAAATGCTGTTGGTGTGTGTGTGTGTGTGTGTGTGTGTGTGTTTGAGCGTTTTGTAGGTATCTCCGTACTGTAGCGATTTTTGAGATGGCGTACCGGAAGGTTTGAAAACAACGTGTGCATTCCTAATTCGAAGTTATATCTTCAGCTGAATTTTTCATAACTTCAACGGCTAGTGTTTGCCGTTGAAGCTTGGTTTTTGCAGATTGGGCTTCAATTTCGTCTTGAGCGTTAACGTGGTTTATGGTATCCGGTAGAGGAGGGAAGTCTGTGCAAGAATGCACAAATGAAGTAATTTCAGTGTCCGCAACGTCCAATGCTTTATATTTGTCCAATGTTGACTTTAGTGTCTCGTTTTTTTGACGCAAATCATCACAATTGTTTTGAATAGATGAAAGCTGCTTTTCCAAAAGCACTATAAGCGATTCCCGAGCCTGATGAGGTCTATATTCATTAATTAAATGGTGGATGTTGAGCAAAATAACGCGCATGTTTTCTGTCTTTGTTGGAAACTGATCGGGTGCTTTCGCCATTATACCAAGTAGTTCAAGAAAATTGAGCATCAGGGATCGTGAAAGTCGTTTCAATTCGTCGGCAATATGAGCAATCACAGGCTGTGTCGTAGTAGATTCTGCTGTCGTTGTGCTTAGTGAGGTCTTGTCTTCCGTTTCGTCTTCTTCCATCTTCACTTTATCATCTGACGGCGAAGGCTCCTTCTTTGCTGTGGATGCTTCCGCAGAATCCCCTTCATCTTCTTTAACCTTTGGAAGGAGAGGATTTTGCTCAGACAACCGGATAGCGTTTCCTGCTCCATCATCTAACTTTTTGTAGAATTGAGGAATTCCGAACTCTTCCAAAGATGGGAATACAATTTTGGTCTAAATCATGATTAGTTTCGCAATAATTGGAATGGAAGACATGAGACTTGAAGGTAAATATTGATAGTAACGAATCTGTAGGCTCCAAATACTAAGTGTCATGTAAACTCAAATTGAGACATACCTGCCAATTATCTCCGAACATCATGTATGTTCCTTCTTTAGGATAGTCTGGTTTTGTAAATACATGCCGCAATTGTTTGACTTCGTCTGTTTCCTCTTCATCAACTTTCATGTCTTCAGTTTTCGTCTCTGGGAATGCTTTCTTTCTGTTCTCCTCCGTAAAAAGTTTGTAATAACTAGGAGGGGGCGGAAAAGCCGAAAAAAGCTGCAATTTTGGAGAGTCCATCGTTACTATTGAAAACGTGAAACAATGATGAATTTAATGAAAATTGAAACAAGATACAGCGAAAAACGAGAAAGAAGGCCTATTAAAGAGCCTAAATATCTTCAAAAAAGGTAGAAAAGGTAGAAAAAAAAACGAATATGCGCGTGTCCCGGTGTGTGTAGGGTGCATGTGCACGCCAAATGCTGACTCATGAAAACAGAGGTATGTCGAGCTTTTAAACACGATGGGAACAGCAAGCTTTTAATAACCCTAATTGGGCTGTCTGTATCAATTCCAACGTGTCATTTAATTTGAAGAGGTTGGCATTTGCTTTCTTGCAAGAAGATTATGCCTTCAAAAAAGCTTAATTTAGGTCGCGTTGATAAATGCAAAACGCGACGCGTAGAAACGAAAACTGCTGCCAACAAGAAGAAAGTCTTTACATTAGTGCTCCCCCAAGCATTTGTAAAGCAATTTTATAAATTCTATTTCACTATATTGAATGATGCTTTGTTTTGTTTCTATTTGTAAGATTCGCTGTGTTCCTGTGCGCGTCAGACACTTCATTGGGGAATTCTTCCCTTCCGACTTCCTATTCCACCTTACACCTTATGGAGCAGCTTGTTCCGCTTGTAAATCAACTGCAAGACCTGGTTTATAACACTATTGGTTATGATTTTCTTGATTTACCTTCTATCGTAGTCGTTGGCTCTCAATCCTGTGGTAAATCTTCTGTTCTTGAGAACATCGGTAAGTTTGGGAGTTTTTGGTATTATTTGCCCAGTAACATGACTAACAAATGCAGTTGGACGTGAATTTTTGCCTCGTGGAACGGGTATTGTCACACGGCGTCCCCTTGTTCTTCAATTAATAAATATTCGTAAACCTGAACCGTTACCGGAAGCAGGCAGTGAGGAAAAAGCCGCTAAAAAAATCGACAGAGCTTTTCAGCATTCTGTGAAACAGGAAACTCCTTCAACAACCTCTAATGTACAAGACTATGCCGAATTCTTACATTTGCCGAACGTTAAGTTTACAGACTTTCAACGAGTCAGAGAAGAAATCATGAATGAGACACTCCGCGTTGCTGGTGCGAATAAGGGAATCAATAAGCTTCCCATTAATCTTAAAATACATTCTACTCGTGTTTTGAATCTCACACTGGTAGACTTGCCGGGATTAACTAAGCTTCCTATCGGGGATCAGCCTACGGACATTGAAGCCCAGACTCGTTCTCTCATTATGGAGTACATTAGCAAACCAAATGCCATCATTCTTGCTGTTTCTCCAGCAAACGTTGATATTGTCAACAGTGATGGACTCAAACTTGCACGTTCGGTCGACCCTAACGGCAAACGGACTTTGGGCATTTTGACAAAATTGGATCTTATGGACCAAGGAACAAACGCCATGGATATTCTCAGTGGCCGCGTTTATCCGTTAAAACTCGGTTTCATTCCTACCGTAAATCGTTCTCAATCTGACATCCAAACACATAAGTCTTTGACTGATGCGCTCAAAGCTGAAACACAGTACTTTTGCAGTCATCCGGCATACCGTTCTATTGCCCATCGTTGCGGAACAGCTTATTTGGCGAAAAGTCTCAATGCACTATTAGTTTCGCATATTCGAGATCGCCTTCCCGACATAAAGGCTCGGTTGGGTGCTTTGACTACACAAACAAAACAACAACTTCAGAACCTTGGATGTCAAGATTTTGGTGACAAGGGACAAAAAGGCCTTATTCTGTTGCAAGCTATGACTAAGTTTGCATCTTCCTTCATTGCTAGTATTGACGGTCATTCCACTAACGTGGCAATGAAGGAGCTTTCAGGCGGCGCTCGTTTATTTTCTATTTTCAACAATGTGTTCAAAAATGCTGTTATTGACATTGATCCTATGAGTAACCTTTCGACTTTGGACATCCGTACGGCAATTTTGAACAGTACCGGTCCTCGGGCCACATTGTTTGTTCCTGAACTTGCATTTGATATATTGGTTAAACCACAGATAAAGCTTCTGGGACCGGTTTGCCAACAATGTGTACAACTTGTTTACGAGGAGCTCATGAAGATATGCCACACTTGTGGAGAAGCTGACCTCGCCCGGTTCCCAAAGCTCCAAGCAAGACTGATTGAAGTGGTTAGTGAGCTTTTGCAGGAGAATCTCAAGCCAACAATTAAGTTTGTTGACACTCTCATATCTATTCAGTCTGCCTACATTAATACGAGTCATCCGGATTTCATCGGAGCGCAGGGTGCCATGTCCAACGTGCTCGCCAAACGAGAGAATATCGCCCGTGCCTCGAGCGTTGCTGTTGCTGATGTAAAGGCAAAGGTGAACCCAGATGCTGAAATGGATTTACCGTCCGGTCCGAACTCGGCAAATGCTGTCGCTGAAGCTTCTACAAATGCGAGACACGCTGGAGACTGCAATTCTGACAACAAAAACACGAACACTCAATCCGTCCTTGCACCCTCTTCGCCTTCGTTCCCTCCCGATGCCCCAACGACCGAGTCTGCTACAAGACGCTCCTTCCTCAATTACGTTTTTGGCAACATTTCGCCCTCCCCTACGGTGCAATCACGCCCACCAACATCGATGATGAAGAGACGTACAGAATCTATTAATACATTTAGAAGCGAGGCGCCTGCCGAAGAAAGTTTACTGACAATTACAGGGACCGCGGGTGCAGGTCCGTTAACAAGTGATCTGCTAAACCAGGTCGAATCCCTGGCTCTTGAAAAGATGAATGAACGTGAACAGCTGGAAGTTGAGCTCATCAGAGAACTAATCATGTCTTATTTCAATCTTACTAGGCAAACACTGATTGATCAGATACCCAAGGTCATTATGCACTTGATGGTAAACGCATCAAAGGAAGCCATCCAAAACAGACTCGTGAGCGAACTCTATAAAGAAGAACTGTTTGACAGCCTGCTTATAGAAGATGAAAATATTCGCAACGAGCGCGAGAAATGCGAAAAGCTTCTCAGTGTATACAAGGGAGCAAACAAAATTATATCATCCGTACTTTAATATACTGTAACTCACCATTACGCCAGTGGACGAGCCACGATTTCCAAAAAAATTCAGTCTAAGCAAGCGAATCCGAAAATAATAAACAATAACAAGCGACTTGATCATGTCGATGACACGCAAGTAGCTGATTCCGAATGTGTGTACTGCCTGAAAACACACCATGTTTCTTTTTACCTAAGTGTAACATGTGAGAGAGCCTCGCAAACGGATCCAGCACTTCTGATGTCGAATAAAAAGAAATAACAAAGTGAGAAACAGAGGTGTGTATATGTGTGCGGAAAGGTTGAAGGGGGTGCGCGAGGAAAGAAAAGTAAGTAAATCTACAAAAGGTGCACGCCGCTTCCAGTGAGAAATAACGCCCATAAAGACAAGCATCGAGAATATGCATTCGCATCAGGCAAACAGTAAAGAGCGAAAGGGTGCGAATGCTATGGGCGAAGGAAGCGGTGAAGGAAACAAGATTTGGGTCACGGGGAAAGCAAGCGAAAAGACGTGCACGAGAGAAGAGGTGTTTCTAAGAGGTTTTAGGCAAAGCATCATCATCATCACAATTGTAACTAATTACTACGTGACGAACACCTAAGCCAAGCAAGATGGGTGGTCATGGAAGTAAGCATAAGCAACATAGATACCGCGAAAGTGACAGAGAGACGCGGTAAGAACGAAAAGATGGAACCATTGATGACTGCTACCAAGAACGTCGAAAATACCTGGCTTCGTCTTCTCAGGGAAACGCATTGCGTACAACACAGCTCCAATAATGTACAAGACACCTTGCAAGATGAGATAGCCCAAACCCATACTTGAAAGCAGTTGTCCTAAAGGATACAGAGTCGCCGCGTGGGCGACGGGCAAGATACCAAACAGGCCCATTGCAGTGAAGATACCAGCACGGTACACACGCCATTGAGGCTTGCGAAACCGTTCAAGACAGCATGCAAACACAGCGATTACTCCGATGCTGAAAATCGTAGCGGTGTAGAGCACTTGGAAACTAGCATGACACGCAAAGCCATAGTGTATGGAAGGCACAAACGAGCCCACAATCATCACCACAATACCGAGGTAATCGAGCTTGTTACCAAACTTGGCAACACGTGGAGAGTGGTTGCAGAGTGTGTGATACGCGGTGGACATTGCGAGCATGGTAAAGGCGCTGACAATGAACACAAGAACAACGTAACGGTCCTCGGCTGTAGTTGTGTCACGACTGAGCAAGTTGCGAACGCCGTGGATCATGTACAAAAAGTAAAGGGCTCCAAGAAGATGGGTCCAAATGTTTACCGTCTCATTGTGAATGTGACCGATCGACTGGATACTGCGAAGAAACGAGTTCGATGCTGGACGGTAGGCACGAACAATATATTGGTTGTCTTGCTGCCAGGGCTGGATCTCATTCCATTTGAGCAGAGGATATCCCTTGTGCCGACGGAGCTTAACCTTTGACGATTGTTTGGAAGTTGTTTGAAAATCGTTTCCCGATTCCTGAACAGTCTTTTCGTTCTGAGGAATGGTTTCGTAAACGGTGGTAGATTCTGTCTTCTTCATCTTAACAGCAGCAACAGATGCAGCACGAGTATTGGTAGTGATGGGAGACAGGGTGAAGGAGTTACACAAGAGCAAAACAGTAGATGTCAAGGTAATAAGTAGTAAGTAATAAGCAGTACGACTAACAGAAACCCGACGACCGACCGGACCGAGGATATGGTTAGCTGTTGCTAAAGAGCAAAAATACGTTTAAGTATGCGAGAATTTGTTTAAAAAACCAAAGTTCACACGCTCGAAACGACGCCGGAAGAGCCAAACAGACCACAAACAGGCTGAAAAAGACACAAATAACGGAATAAAACAAAAACGACCAGGGTCACCGTGTGATCAGAGATGAATGACACGACAAATCGCTTCCGACAAAGACACAGCCTGTGGATATAACACAGATGAAGTACACAAGAGAAGAGAGGAATTGACTCAAAAAACGAAAAAAAACGAAGAATAAAACCGAGCCGAAGAAGATCGCTATCCGAGTTCAATATCTAGCAGACCTTAGTTGGAACCCAGTAAACACAAGGAAAATAAAATAAAAGAACAACTGAAACAGTATAATTGGAAACAAAATCTACGAATAAAAAGGCAATTCAATGAAAAGCGCTATTGGAATGTAAATTGCGTCTTACGTTAAGCTAACGCATATGCCGTCCAAATGGATGTGCAGAGAGTGGTTGGTTCTCGGTAGGAGAAGGACGCACAGCAGAAGTGTAGTTACTTCAGCGGATGTGTATGGTAGTGGAGAGAAGTGAGAAGACGGACGTCAATTCTGCCTCTCGGCAGCTTTTTGTAACAAGAACGAAGCCTGAGACATGGTGAAGGGCCCCAACGTGTTGCTCCGCCAAACTGCCACCACGGCCTTCTAACTTTCCCCCACAATGTGCCGCAGTCAGCGAAATTGCCGTTCGACTATCGGGATATATTGTCGGCTATGATGTAACCGCCCAACCAATAAAAAACCCACCCCGCTCTAATGCTAACGTCATACTCACCACTAATTCGTCGCAAATCCGAGGGCCGCAGTCGCACCAGACGGAACGCGTCGCGTCCGAAAAATAACCATGAAAGAAAGAAACAGTAATACAATTGTAGTTTCTCCGGAAAACCCTCGTTTTTAACAAATCCTTATTGCACGCCTGAACTTATGAACAAGTTTGGAGCACCTTGAATTCAAAATTTGAATCATTGGAGTTCAAACCTTTTTTTTTGGTTTTAATATATACACGCCAATCTTAAAATTGTAAAAAGGCAGGAAGAAAGGTAAGAAAGTATGTGCGTTATGTGTATTGGGGAGAGAGAGAGAGAGAGAGAGTGTGTGTGTGTGTATGTGTGCGTGAGTGTGTGTAAAAGTTGTAAAGGAAGAAAGGTGAGAGTAAGAGAAATAAACTTATGGAGGAAAAGGGTTATACCTCAAAGGCGGCCGTCCGTGTCCGTAACCATTTGAATAAGAGGGGAAGAGTAATGTGTGTTTGCTTCGAATAAGACGGAAAAAAAAATAGAGGGAGAAGAAGGTAGGTAATTATCCAGAGCAACAGTTCAGAAAAAAAAAACAAGAAGAAAGCCATCCAAGCCGGGGAGATAGAAGAAAAAGAGAAAAACAAAAGAAACAACAACAGCATCATCATCGGTAATGAGTATAGCAAGAAGAAAACAATAAAGAAGCTACTTTACGCGACGTGAAATTCTATGTACGAGGGATGCCCACTCGTGCATAGAATTTCACGCCTTTTTTTTTATAATTTAGGCATTTGACATCAGGTCCGCTTGATCCATGGAAACATCGGCTTCAGTCGTGTCGCCGTTCTGTTCATCGACGGTTGAAGTCTCAGTTTCGACAGATGCGTCCTTAGTCACTGGTGTTACATCGGCTGCTGTCGCATTCGTGTTCTCCAAAGTTTGCTCTTGACTTGTTGCAGTTGCTGCCATTGAAGACGCCGCAACGGAGCTTGCAACGGCCTCACTGGCAGCAGGTATATCCGCCGGAGGTTCCGTACTAGTGATGGTCGCATCTTCCATTTGCTCTTCCGGCTGAGCATTCACTTCCGTTTCCATTCTTTCTGGCTCCGGTTTCTCCTCCTCGGTGGTGACAGGAACCTCAGAATGAGTGGTATCACGCTCGGCTGCAGAAGCATTGGACTCCTCAGATTTGTCTTGCTTCACACTCGTGTCTGCATCCATGTCTTCCACAACCGGTTCAGCCAAGGGAGCTTCCACATGCTCATTGGCTGCCGCGTCCAATTCCTCCTTAATCTCAACGTCTGTCTCGGTTTCCGGGTCATTAGCTGTATCGTCGCCATTGTCACCAACAGCTTGTTTGTCAACAGACCCGGATTTGTTTTGCTCTTCAGACTCAGCGACTACAGCCGCAGCGACTCGCTCCGTCTTCGTCGAAGGCTGCGGTGTCTCATTCGTCGTATCCGGCTTCGTCTCCTCTTCCTCTGAAACGGCTTCCGTGCTAGCGGTGTCTTCTATAGGTTCATCTTCATCCATATCACTAGAAGCTTGATCCAAGTCCTCCTTCTTTTCTTCAATCTTTGTTGCTCCCATTGAAGCGTTTGAGAAAATGCTGCTTACAGTCAAATCCTTTAGTGACTCGATTTTTGCTGCAGACAGACTCTGTTTCCAGCCAGCATCACTGTTAAGCCATTCGCGCCAGGCGTCTTGGCGACTCTTTTTAATCAACTCATAATCTGTCGGAAACACCTTCTCTGAGACACGCGCGAACACATCCTCTGTATTGGCAAGATACACGAGTTTGTACTGGTTAGGTGTGATCCGTAGCGTCAGCTCGGATGATAGAAATTCTGGCAAAACAGCATGAGCGCATTTTGTAACAATCTGTTCATCTTCCTCGCTCTCAGAAGGCAAATTCCGACGGAGGAATGGAACATGAATTTGATCGACGGAGATGCCTTCTGTAGGACATGACATAATGAAACTATCCACATAATAGTTCCAGCGTTGCTGTTCTGATGCAAAAGAAATTGCCGTCAAGTCCTCCCGTCCGAGCAAGTGTGCCGCCGAAGATTTGGATTTCGCGTTCCAATGTATTAGGCACACGGTTTCATCTTGGCCGAGGACCGCCTCAGCCTGTTTACGGTAGATAATTTGTTGACGAACGCTTGTTTGCTTCTGTAATCTATCGCGCTCAAAGTGAATAAAGACTTGGGCCAAGCGACGATTAGAAGTGATTGAGTGCAGCTGTTTAACGACGGAAGAGACCAGTTTCTCAACGGTGTACAGTTGGAATGCCTTAATACCATAGAGACAGCGCAAAGCATCCTCAAATCCCATTTGATCAATGTCACTCTCAATGATGCGTTCACACAAAAGCAACGCACGTTCATACACGGTATCCGCTTCCGGAATAGCAAATCCCAAGCGTTCGAATGGGTCGTGCACAAGACCTAACTCAACAGCAATAGGATTAGGCTTTACATCGTGAAGCTTTTTAGAGGCCAACTCTTCCAATCGTTTGATGTGTTCCAACCGGGAGTAAAGGGTATGGAAGAGGCGGAAGAAACAGTATATTGCAAGATTGCCAAAAAAGTTATATTCGTCCCGGTCCCTAATTTTTGAACCGTCATCCAGTTCGTTCTCGTTTCCATTAAACTTGCAGTTTACCCAAGTTTCACTGGATTTAAACATGCCCGAGGCGTAGTTATCGAGATCATCCTCCATTTCAGAGTTCACGTCTTCTGCATCAGATTGTTTTTCACGAGCATAGTTCTGGCGTGAGGATCTGGTTTCACGCGAACGATACGACCGTTTGAGAACATCTTTCAACAATGTGGGATTTAATTGATGTCTCTGTTTTGGGGAAGAAGGACGTGAAGATTCTGCAGACGCAGGGTTCAATGGTGAAGGTGAAGCAGGAGTGGAGACAGAGCTATCTGACGCTTCGTCCGAAAATGTGGCAGGCAAGACAGCGACTAAAGAAGCATAGGGAATATCAAAAAATAAAGATAAAAACGAACGTAAGAAGTTCGACATTTTTTCTCTGTCTTCAGCAGAGTGATTGGATCCACTCTCCAAATAGATGCCCAACAATCTTGCGGCATCAACAATAACAAGAAGGTCATTGAAAGGCATATCATAGTGATAGGGTTGAGCGAGAGGGCTCGGGTCTTCCTGTTCTTCTTTTTGTTGATGAGCGATGTTTCGAAGATCGGCAATAAGGAACTTCGTCGTAGTGTTTCTTTTATCAGTTGTTTTGAAGAATATACCTTGGTGGTCAAGGCTACGCAGAAAGTTCTTGGCCTCTATGCCATTCCAGACCTTGTTCCACTTGCGTTGAGTTGCGCGCCATTCCTCATCCTTGGCTTTCAGGCGCTGAAGAACAACACCAATAGTAATCGCAGGTTCCTCTTGCAGATGTTTAATAACTTCATCGCCCTTTTCCTTTCCATACACCTTTCGAATACTCTTTCTGTATATACTAGGTGATGGACCACCAAGGTTGTCGGGCAGTTTCCATTTGCTCCGCTCGCTTTTAGCCATTTTTTGCATTGTAAGGTTATGTGACTCAAGTAGTTCAATAGTTCGAAGATTGGCGAGGATATGACGGTCGTACTCATACCGCTCTTCTTCAAGCTTGTGGAGTGCTTCCTCGTATTGGTTCTTACGATGAGCAATGAAACCCGAATCTTCGGAAGCAAGGGTAGGGTGACTGACCCAGGCGTCATTTAACACGCTCCAACACAAATCGTCGCGTCCTTTGCATGGCAGGAGAAGCTCGATTTTAGGTAGCAAACGATAACTCGGTCCGTTAGCCTTGCATTTTGTTAAATCCACACGGGGGCGAGGCACGGGAATGCAGTTCTCCGGGTCCCAACGCAGCATTTGCTTGAACGTATTAAACAAAGCTTCATTTTTTCCAAGGAAGGGTTCTGAACGCTCAACAAGCGCGTTTCTATCGAACACCTCTTGAGAGTACAAGTCTAAGAGTTTCAAAAATTCGTTGTACCGGACCTCATCCACAATCTCCTGTCTCGCCTGTTCTAAAAAAGCAAGCTCTTCAGGGTTTTTGTTCTCAGAAACTGGAACACTGAAAGCTTTAAAGACATTGGCATCGTTAGCCGCCGCGCTCCTTGTTCGTTTGGTTTGACTCCGAGTGTGTACAGATGTCTCAGCACGACGTTTTTCGGAAGCCGGTTGCTTAGTAGTTGAAAGCGGGGTGAACTTGCCTACAGGAGGCAGAGCACTGCTGGTTGTCGTCGAAACCGGGGTGGCCTCTCGGGGAGCGGTCTCCATTGGGGCGGCCATCCGGTCAGTCATGGGCGGCGGTGCAGGAGATGCTGCCTCCGTAGCAGAGACATCCGGCAAGAAACGCTTGAAGTCTTCGAGCAAATCGGGCGAATTTGCAAACAACGAAGTAATTTCCTGAAGAACACTCCGAATAGGCCGGCTACCGTTTTGGTAAGATTGAAGGATTTCAAGGAATTTGTTGTAAACTTCAGGCTGATGTGCAAACCTGTTCTTTACATTATTCACAAAATTGATGGCATGATCCAAGTCTGCCGCTTGTTTTGCACTAGCGTTCACGGAGGGTTTGGGAGGATGATAAGCTGCTGCGTAGGCATTAGAAGCGGCATTAGGAGGGTAGTAAGGTTGGTGAGGAGGCATGGAAGTTTTGGGAAGTGAAGGATATGCAGCCGCGTTGGGATCCACGGCAGCAACAGGAGCATTGGGGGGAGCAGGCCCATTGCCAGAGTAGAGCGAACCTGGGCTCATACTAGTGCGCGCATTTTTTGATGGTGCTGACTGAGTGATAATTCCTTGTGGGGTCGCAATGCTAATCATTTCTGGTTTATTGGAGTTGGGATCAGCAGAATTAACTTCAATTCTGTAACCAGGAGGCAAAAACGTATTGAAACCCTGGATCAAATTAGGATATCCACAGAACAGTCGTGAAACTCGCGCAATAACTTCCGGAGTCTCAATTCTAAACAAGTTAGTAGGTGAAACTACCAACAACGAAACGAATACGAGAACAGGAAAGAGGTAGGGAAATAAGCCCTATCCTTGTTCTCCGCAAATTCGTAACAGCAACTTACGCTTGGGACTTAAATTCCTTCATGATGTCGAGAAACTCGTTGTAAATCTCGGGTTCATGATTGAATTGCATTTTCACAAGATCCAAGTACGACAGTGCATCCGACACGTTCAACGGACGATGTTCTGTGTTGACAGGAAGCTGTGGAGCCTGCTGAACATTCGGGGGAACCGAGCCGTTATTGGCGGAAGAATTCATTGGTGCCGAACTGGGGTTCATTGCACCAGTAGATCCATTTCCACTAACATTACCGACTCCTGGCGTCGGTGCTTGTTGCTGCATGTTCATGGATCGATACATAGGATTCATGTATGCTGCTGTCATGTTTGGGTTATTTTGAACTTGAGCATTGTAATTGGCATAGTACATCCTTTGCTGGTTGTTGTCGTAAACATGACCCATAGGATTCATTACTTGAGGCAACTGATTTTGATGAGGTGCGGGAATTTGAGGTCCAAATCTCTGAAAAACAGGAGCTCCTGAAAACTAGTTAGCAGAGGCTTAATAATGTGTCCCCAGACCCATTTGACACGCGTCTTTGCCGGGTCATAATCATCCTTACCACCTTCTTGTGGAAAATTCACAACATTCGGAGGTGGAGGCAGAAACGATCTCCGAACGTTCATTTGGACGTTCCGATATTCCTGCGGCCTCTGTCCAAACGTCGAAGACTGCCAGTCTTCTGCCATTCCAGGTTTGTTGTCGTCGTTTGTAGAGCGTAAGTGTTCGCGTACGTGAGACGTGGCAGGCCTTCGGGTTCACCGGTGGACAGCCAATAAAATGGTAAACCGTATGTGGAGCACCACATCAAACGGGGGATCATGTGGGAGAGCTGAAGATAGGTTGTGGGGACTTCATGATGGAGTAGGATATGCGTGCGGTATAACGTGGAACCGATATCGCTCGAGTCGAGCCGACAGATTGAGCTACAGCAATGCTTAATATAGCTGCGCTTGATGCGCTGAAACTATTTGATACACGGTCGCGTGTTCTCAAGGGTTTAGATCATAAATTAAGAATATCAAAAAAAACAGAACAATTAACTCAAGCATGGCTAATAAAGGCTTTGTGAACACGGTCGGAAAAGTCAAACAAGAGATAGGTAGTTCACGGTTGGAATTTATACGAAAACACAATTGACTGTAAGTAAACACAATGTGTTCTCAAGAGAACCAGCTCTTGACAAGATGAGGCATAAAACGGATGTCGTATTGAGTTTTGCAAATTATGAGACCGAGAATGCGTGCAGACCACGTACTTGAGACGAACGTGAAGTATAAGAAATAAAAAATAGGAAGGAAATGTACAAATTCGGGAACTGTGAGATCATAAGTATGCGGACAAAAAGAGGGGGGATAGCGAGTGATACAGAAAACTTTCTTGCCCAGAGGGACACTTGGACAACGAGGCCAGAACAGTAACTGTCCGAAGACCCTGGACATTCGTTGTAAAAAAATAAGGGGGAAAAATGCCGTTTATCGAGTGGTGAAGGACGAAAAGGAAGAAAACGGGCGAGCGTTGCGTACAATTCCTTTTTGCACCATAAGTTCAAGAAGACGACATGCGGGACGGTAATGGAGTCTTGCTGCGCGACGAGCATATTCAAACGCGATTGTAGGGTTAGCCTCCAGATGGCCAGTAACACCGGTCAGGTAAAGCTTGCCCAGGGTGAACATCGCAGGAGCCAATCCTCGATCCGCAGCTAAATGATAATACTGAATACCACGGAAGATGTCTCGACGGCATCCCTCGCGTCCGTGAACATAAGCATCGGCGACATACAGAGTACTCTCCGCATGTCCAAGAGACGAGGCCAGTTGCATGAGAGGGAAACACTTAGCCCGTTCACCCTCACGGTTGCGCAAGTAATACAACAAAGCCAATTCATAAGGAACATAATTATGCTTTTTTAAAGGCTTTTCCATGGCTAACTCGTAAAATACAATTGCTTTGTCATACTCACCCTCACGTTGAGCAGCAGTAGCAATGTTTGCAGCGGCATCAGCGCTATCTTCTGTTTCCATTTGCTCTCGGATTCGGACGACAAGAGGGCGGAACTGCTCCTGGACAGCCTCTAAGGGCAAGTCTGCAAACATGGCAGCTGACGCCGTTTGAAAACTAGCGTTGTCATCTTTAACGGCAGACGCGACCTCGGAGGCGCATCTGCAACGAACCTTGCGCTTTCCGCATTGGGAACAGATAGTAGGCGGTGAAGAGGAGCGGCGACGTCGATGAATGCTGAGACGTTTCGTTACAAACTCTTTCGCACGTCTTAACGAGAACGTGCGATGATGACGGTGCTGTTTAGCCGGGGCTTGAGAGCCGGCAGTGGAAGTGGATGCCAGAGTAGAGGTGGAGTTATTGCATGTTCCCGAGGGAGGAATACACACAGAAACAGCTCGAGGCCTAAGGGCTACCGAAGGTTCGACAGTTGCAGTTCTGTCAAAAGCGCTTTCAGGCCGCAAATGATGGCGATTGATGGCGGAGGACGAGGATGAGACATCAGAAAACACCTTGCCCGAAGAGCAGCTGGACGTAGTGGACGACATGCTGGCACTGGGAAAATGCAAGCCAACAACCGATTTAGGTGCAAGCATATTTTCAGGGCTTGTTGCCTTGCTCGGTGTAGGAGACGAGAGATCAAGAGCCTCCAACTCCTCGTTCAGTGCTTCTAGGGAATTCATTTCCAGTTTACGAGACAAATTACCGGTGGAAGCGCTTGCAGAGCGCGCGACAACCGTGAGTGTGGAATCTTTTTCAGCAGTCATAGTGTATAACAAATCAATTAACCAGACGCAATGAAATTGTCTGAGAGTGAAAAGAGAAAGAGAAAAAAAAATAGAGAAATGGACAGAAAGAGCGTGTGCTTGCGTGTAAAAGAAAGAGCGACGAGTTTCCAAAAAGAGAAAGAGATAGGAGTTGAAGAGGAAATAATTATATGAACCGCAAAGTAAGAGAGTGAAGGGAGTGTGTGTGCTTTTGTGTGTAAGGAAAAGCACGCAAGGTTGAAAAGAAAGAAAGATCCAGGAAAGCGCTGTGGAAAAGCTCTAGATCACTTTTAAGAGATTATGACACAATCGAAATAGGTCTTAACACAACAAAAGGTGCTCGCTGCACTGAACAAAAACCAAACGAGCAAAGAAGGATACTCAGATCTGCAAACAGCTCTTGGTGACAAACTGCACCGACGAGAACGCACCAACGACAGACAGGGGGGAAAGTAGTGAACGGCGATGTGAAGAAACGAGAGGAGGAATATTCCGGGAAAAGCAGCTGTGCAACTTTGAGACGCAGCGCAGATCAGCCACGTTGAACCTTGCTGGAGGCCACGTTGTCATGCGGCCAACTGGCGGTTCGAACGCCTTCCATTGCGAATCGTGCGCATCCACCTCCATCTTCAGCTCCGCCCCCCGCCCCTTCAGCCATCGAAGGTAACCGAACGGATCGGAAGGAGGAGAAAGCGGTTCGAACCGATTCCGTCCTGACCGCACATCTCAGACTGTCCGGAGAAAGGGAATTTGGTGTAATGGGTGTTGTCGATGGGGTCAGATGACGGCGCTGTAATCGTTATGTTGTGTTTCAATGCAGATCGTCAATTCTGAGCACGTAGAACGTGAGCACGCTCACGCAAGTAGGCGCTACTCGCACTAAATGGCGGTACCACGTTCAAGATTGTCTTGGATGTCCTTGGTATATTTGTCGTAAAACCGTTTGAGCTTAAGGTTAAACTTTTTGTTCCGTTCGTTGATAAACGTAATGTGATCGTCGTCGCTGCGGCCGCGACGCTTACTGTTTTTCATACGTTGCTGTTCTTGTCGAGTCATTTCTTCAACCAGCATGTCCACCCGGGCCTTGTCGGGCTTGTTGTGGACCCAATTCCACTCGTCCTCAGCATCTTCGTCTGCCTCTGTGACGAGTGCATTCGAAGGTGTCGCCTGATTGTTTTCATGTTTTGACTGTTTTGATTGCTTGTAAGACTGCACGTCGGGCTTCAGATCGCGCATCATACGCTGATAATCACGCTGGGCCTGCTGGTGATAATCGGCAAACGCGACGTTTTCCACGTTTCGACGTTTCCGCTGCAACCGTTGATCCCATTTTTCGCTTTCTTCAATCGTCCAGTCCCAGGCGCGTCGACGTTCATAGTCCTCACCGCGTTCCTCAGTTTCCAGCTTGGCCAATGCCTCTTCTGCCTCCATTTTCTTGCGCTCTAGGCGTTTTTCAAGGTCCGGATTCGCCTGCATCCGCTGGTGTTCCTGAATGAGTTCTTTTCGATTTTCCAGAGTCGACTGTTTCATACGCGAACGCAGCTCCTGTAGCTTCTTTTTACGCTGCTCCGACATGGATGTTGATGCTGTAGACGACGCCGTCAAGGAAGCGGCCGAGGAATTTTCAGTGTTTTCATTCATGTTTTCTTAAGAAAAAAAAAGGTGCAATTGCAGTTCTAGCGCAATTCCTTGCTTCCACAAGACGTAAAAGTTCCAAAAACGCGTCCGATGTTAATTTCTCACTCGTAAAAGTCCAAACACAGACGTTGGGAGAGGAAAGAAGTTTGGAGGTTGTTGGGATTTGTGAGTCGATGTGTTTAGGTTATTAGACGAACAAAGGACGGTGACCTAGGTTAGTTGGTGCGAAAAGTTAACAGTCACGTGAACGTCTATTCTGAGTGACGCAAGAATTAATGAATCTCCATTACATAATCCTCGTCACACACCTTAATCGCCTCCTCCTCCGCTACGAAAACACCAAGTCCTTCAGTTAGTGGGGGTCAATTGCGCACCCCCACGCACTCACCACCAGCAACCACGACAAGACCTCCCCTCTGGTTCCTGTTTGTTTAGCCATGTCGTTTGCGCCTGTAAACCCCAAACCCTTCTTACAGGGCCTCACCGGAAAGCCTGTGCTTATTCGTTTAAAATGGGGCCAAGAATACAAGGGCACCCTGCAGTCCATCGACAGTTACATGAACCTCCAACTGATGGATGCCGAAGAATGGATTGACGGTGAATCGACTGGACAGCTGGGAGAGATTTTCATCCGGTAAGACGCGTGCTGTGGACGACGCGTATGGGCGACCTGGGGACACATGTTCGTCTGCAACTGCTGTTACAGCGATCCCCGTTTGTCTCTAATAAAGACCCCATATGCCCCCACGCATTCCCCACTTTACCCCACTTGTGGTTTTGCTAACTAGTTTCTGCGTGCAGCTGTAATAATGTTCTTTGGGTTAGCGAGAGTGCTGATCCCGCCTCCAAACCGCAGGAGACACCGGCGTCCGCCTAAAACCTCACCACCAAAAACACCCCACATACGTGTGGGGTCACTGGAAGCGAGAACAGATGGGATAGAAAGACTGGGGAGGAGGAGTAGGGAAAGTAGGCCCGTTGCGAAGAGGAATTCGAAAGGACCTTTCTGCACGCCTTGCGACCTTCTCTTTCCCTCCATGGTGCCCTCTGCTCGTGTTCTTCGAAAATGTACTTAACGTTGCTACAATCTTTTTTACGAGAAATAAATTCTTCTTCTGTCGACAAAGTAAAGTATAAATGATTCAACTAGCTGTAACTAGAGAGTTATATATATAAGTTATAAGAGAAACAAATTACATGTTCACGGTACGAATAAAGTTTGGAAGGTTATCATCGTGTCTGCGTAAACTTTTATTTTCATAAGTGGTAGCTGAAGTCAGCAGAGCGGGCAAAATCAGTAACCAAAATCGTACTCTGCTGTCCTTGTTGCTGCCACATTCATTAGTTAATTCCCGTCCTAGCAAGCCAGCTGTATGGCGAAAACCGATTACAGCGTGCATCGGCCGGCGCTACACAAGACACGGTGGTACTTGAACGGCATTGCTAGACGCAAACGTATTGTCTAGCGCTGCCCAGTAGTGCATCACTAGGAGCAAGAGACCTCTTGAAGGAGGATCCGTAAGTTGGATAAGGTTTTTACAATGAATCGCTTTCCAGCGAAGGGTGAAAAAGGTGAGTGTCTGTATGATTGTTTTGCGTTTAGAAAAAGAAAATAAAAGCGTTTCGCAAAGACGAGGGAATTGTGCGTGCTGCACAAGACACTCAGGAAAACAACCATTTTCTCTCAATTACCGACAGCGCAGGGCTTTGCTTTTTTTCTTTTTTTTAGCTTCTGCAGCCATCAGGTATTCTTGGATAACGCCTACTCCTTACTGTGTCTTTTTGTCACGAGTAGGCGATTCACCAGACGACTCGTGAGACGAAGTCTCATCGTCTTCATCATCGCTACGCTCATCGCGAGCTTCGTGCGAGAAGATGGCGCGAAGGGCAATGCGGATGATGAAGATTGACCAAAAGCCATTAATGAGTTGCAGACAGACGAACAGACCAAAAGTGATGTACTGGGAAATCCAACACTTGTACTGTCCGGCTGCCCAGTCCAATTCAAAAGGACCAATAGTCTTCATAGTTGTAAGCAACGCGTGCATAAAGCGGAAAATCTGGTAATGGCGCATAAAGAACCAGATAAAGATAAACGTTGCAAATGATACATACACCAAAGGTGTGTTGATGTAGTTGAGTACCTTCGTTAAGGCGAGGAAGACGTCCGAAACATCCATCGTAATAAAGGTAGCCACACCGATCCACGTAAAGTGGAAATAGTAGCTAAGGCTAATAAGGGACAGAGTGAGAATGTGATGAAACACGAGCTCCTTGTAGTCCTTACGAGGCTTCTCGAGTTGCAGTAGCAACACGAAAGCTTGCTGAATCCAATATGCAGCCTCAATTAGGTAAAACGCCTTGAAAGAAGCAAAGTGCGTCTTGTGAGGATAGTTGGTCCAGAAGGCGTCTGTGTTGAAAAACCACAGATCCGTCGTGTACATGAGATACAGACCCCAGCAACCGACAATGGAAAAGTAAATGAGCGTGTATGCCTGTTCAGAAAACCGTTTCAGTTTTCCGGGCTTCAGAACCTTAAAGTGTCGTCCGATGGGCTCCAAGATCTCCTGCATTAAGAACTCGCGTGTAAACGCAAAAAACAAGGCATAGAAGAGGCAGAAAACGAAATCCTTGGGACCCTTTCCATACATGACGGGATCATTTGTTCCCGGAACACGATAGCTTAAAAAGATACCGTGCCTTACGAAGCTATGCTCGGGGTTCATTAAGTACAAACCCACGGCACCAAGCAGCAGTGTAAGAGGGACAATCCAAGTCTTTTGCTTACTTTTCTTCACCACTTTTTCTGCAGCCTTTCCGACAAGAGACTTGGCGCGTCTACGACGTCGCTGTGGTCTCTGCGTATGCATTGTCGAAAACGAACCTGCAGAAGTGCCAGGAATCTACAAACATTACTGTTAGCAACGGAACGCGTTGAAAACAAAATAAAATAAAAACATCGGTTTCAGGCAAGGAGAACGAGACAACAGACGCGCTCCATTCTTGTTATTATCGGCAACGCACTGAACAAGCATCCACGCATTTCCGGGGTGTTTTTGACACGCGAACACGAGAAAAACATGTTTTCTCTTCTTCGTTACGCGTTCTGCTTAAGGTTTTGGCAGGTGCTCCTCGTTAAAACGAACGGTAAGTGCTTTAAGGTGTTCTTCGTTATTTTGGAAACCACATTATCTCGTTCCGAGAAAAACTCAATAAAAACTGCGCCTAAATGGCGTTGTTCTTGCGCAAAACCCTGTTTTTAGTCGGTTACCTACATTTCCTAAACGTTGTGGATGATTTTCATGCTGCTCCTTTTCCGCAATCGCCCCGTTTACAGACATTGTCGTTCACTGAGAGAGCGTGGTTGTTGGTAGATGGGCCGTAGAGGGTGCAGAATACCATGGATTTATTTAATTACGTGTACTGGTACATTAAGATCGACATTAACACGCGAAGTGGAATGATCATCTACGGACTCGGTACGTCAGTACCGAAAATCGTCGGCGGCGGAATAAACACCAACGCGCGAAAACAAGATAGATGACATCTTTTGCCCCTGTGCGACGCACGTGGGACCTAAATTAAACACGTGCAACACTAAACCACGTCCCACCAATTACAGCACTGCTCTATACGAGAAAGAGGAAGATCCCATTTTCGCCGATTCATAATATACAAGAAAACACAGATGCACTAGAGCATCAAGAACACAGAAACGCGTGTAGCTCTGAAATAGTGAGCTTGCGCAAAAGCGCTCCTGCGCAATCAGCCATGTGCGCATCCGCAAGTATTTTCATAGAAAGCTGCTACTTGTCTCATTCCGCCAAACAATGTACTGTGAACGTGAAGTCAGACGACGTACATCGCTGTATACACGCTCACCAGGCAGCTCAGGCAGGAAGATTAGGCAACGATAAAAAGTGACAGACGCCAGCGCTAAATAACGATTCTGATCGGAAACAGTTAACGACGCTGAAAAAACAAACACACGAGATAGAATACCTTTAAGTGATTTTAGCCAGGGATAAACGACATCCTGCGACCAAGACGCGACGGCGAAGATGCAGTACGTTCGTTACGACTTCTGGGCCCTGGACAACCGCTTGCAAGGATGTTCATAGATACGAGATGCCTATTTGTTTAATGCGACCAAGTTACCGAATAAAGCCTAGATCATTTCTGCAAGAATTAACGAAAGACAGACAACACTGTCAAAAGCAGGCAGCATTGGTTTACCATGTCCAGCTTTTAAAGCAGTCTCATGGATATACCGGAGGGAAGGATTGTGTGTAAGTGCGTAGGAGGAGGGTTGTGCGTACAGGGGAATGTGGGTCTGCGGGAGAAAGAGTAATAAGTCGATCTAAGAATAGATTTTCTGCTCAGTCTTTTTTGTAAGTCATGAAAAAGGTCAAACTGTACCATCACAGTCGACCCCGCATTGCATAACTTTTTAGCTATTTGCAATATGCTTATTGACTCCATTCGGCAGAAGCACGGCTGATACCGGACAGAACAGCCTTCAGACCGGCAGAAGTAACATCGGCATCGATACCGACACCCCAGTAGCTCTTGCCCTCACACAAGACCTCGACATAAGAAGCAGCCTTCACGCCATTACCGGATCCAATGGCATGCTCACTGTACTTGCCAATGTCGAAGTTCAGGTCAAAGCTGCGGCACAAACCGTCAACCAAGGCGGACAAGGGGCCGTTGCCATAACCCTCGACAACACGACGAGAGTCAGCATCCTTGACGCCCTTAACATTGACAACACACTCAATTTGCTTCGACTCAGGACCACTGCTGCGAAGGGTGTAGTCTTGCAAAGAGAAGCGGCCGGGGAATTCGAGGAAGTAGTTGGTGAAGAAGAGGTCACGAAGCTCAGCAATGGTCAGCTCCTTAGCCTTCTTGTCACTGAACTCCTTCACGGCCTGGCCAAATTCAACTTGAAGAGGGCGGGGAAGGTCAAGGTCGAAGTTCGATTTCAAAAGGTAGGCAACACCACCTTTACCGGATTGAGAGTTAACACGGATAATGGCGGCATACTCAGAGTTAACATCGTGAGGATCGAGAGGCAGGTAAGGAATCTTCCACGTGGGATCAGTAGCCTTACGCTCATCATACAGCTTCAAACCCTTAGAGATGGCATCCTGGTGAGAACCAGAGAAGGCTGTGAAAACGAGGTTACCAGCGTAGGGGTGACGAGGGTGGACATTAATCTTGTTGCACTCCTCACAAATACGGATGACATCCTCCAAGTTGGAGAGGTCGATCTTAGGAGAAATACCTTGGGTGTACAAGTTGAAAGCGAGAGTGACAAGATCAACGTTACCAGTACGCTCACCATTGCCGAACAAACAGCCCTCAACACGGTCAGCACCGGCGAGCTGACCAAGCTCAGCTGCGGCTACAGCGGTACCACGGTCGTTGTGAGGATGCAAAGAGATGCATACCTTCTCACGCTCAGTGATGTTGGTGTGGAAATGCTCGACCAAGTCGGCATATGTGTTAGGAGTAGCCATCTCAACGGTAGCGGGAAGGTTGAAAATGATAGGGTTGGCGGCCGAGGGTTCCCAAGCAGCCTTCACTTCGTTACACACGTCCAAGACAAAGTCGGGTTCGGCATCAGAGAAGCACTCGGGAGAATACTCGAATCTCCAGTTGACGCTGTCGTCAGAGTTCTTACTGTATTGACGGACAGTCTTGGTACCAAAGATAGCCAAGTCAAGAGTCTCCTTCTTAGAGTTCCGGAAGACAACGTCACGGAACAGAGGAGAAACGGCATTGTACAAGTGAATGGTGGCATTCTTGGCACCACGGAGACTTTCCACGGTACGCTTAATCAAGTGTTCACGAGCGGGCGTAAGAACTTGAATCGTAACGTCATCAGGAATCAAACCGGGAGACTCAATCAAATGGCGGACAAAGGCAAAGTCAGTCTGGGAGGCACTAGGGAAACCGACCTCAATTTCCTTCAATCCAATGTCACAAAGCATCTTGAAGTACTTGAGCTTCTCAGGACCAGTCATAGGGTCAGGGAGAGCCTGGTTACCATCACGCAGGTCGGTAGACAACCAGCGAGGAGCCTTAGTGATAACGCGGTTAGGCCATTGACGGTGAGGCAGCTTGATACCCTGGAAGGGCTTGTACTTCTTAGAAGGATCTTTCAACATTCCCTTGACCAAACGGCCAACGGCGTCAAAACGAGAACTCATATTGTTCAAACTTCGTATATTTGTACAATTCAGTATAGTGAATGTGCTAATCTCCTCTTAGAGAATAAATGTACTTATGAAGGTAATCCGATCGTTTTCCTTAAAGAACGATATGAAAAAAATCCGTCCCTTGAAAATCCGGGGTAATCCTTCTAGATGCAGTCAGAGTATGCAAAAAACACACTGGGGTAACCAAAAAATAGCTCAGTACTGTACGACAATCGCAACGATTGACTTTTCCGACAGAACAGGCAGCAGCAGGTGGTGGAAGCAGGCTCAAGCAAACACTAATTTTAAATAGCTTGCAGATGGTGGCGATAGAAATAGGGTAGGGTTGTGACTGCCACAACATCAACTGGTGTGGTTGTTTCACCCTTCCTGCCCAAAGCCTTTACCTTGATCGATCAAGATGAGTGTTGCACAAGCCAAGGGAGCTAAAAAGACTGTCCAAAAGGGCATTCACAACAAGTTGGTTCGTAAGGTCCGTACCTCTGCTTCCTTCCACCGGTAAGTTTTATTTATATCAAAAAGACGCGACACGGAATGGTGATTGGATAAGACGCTTGGTTCGGTGGCTGTTGATTGTCCAGTAGTAGTTTTGTAGTGGCATTCGATGGCTGCACGTTTCGTTAACCGGACTGTGCAAGTGGTCAAGATCGCTGTTTTGTGGGTCTTTTTTTTGGTTGCTTTTCCTTTTCTTTCGCTAACTTTGTAGCCCCAACACTCTTCGTCTTGCTCGTAAGCCCAAGTATGCCCGCAAGAGTGTGAACCATGCCACTCGTTTGGATGAGTTCAAGATCATTGTCAGTCCCGTCAACACCGAGTCTGCCATGAAGAAGATTGAGGACGACAACACCCTTGTCTTCACTACCCACTTGAAGGCCAACAAGCACACCATCAAGGCTGCTGTCAAGAAGTTGTACGACGTTGAGGCTGTCAAGGTGAACACCCTCATCCGTCCCAACGGTACCAAGAAGGCTTATGTCAAGCTCTCTGCTGACGCCGATGCCCTCGACGTTGCCAACAGAATTGGTTTCCTTTAAACGATTTAGTTCGGATACTTAATGAAGGTGACTGTCGGTAAATATGAGTGGTTTTGGTTACCATGTGAGTCGCGTGTTTGTTTACGAGGTTTGTAAGGTGGGCTCGCACGTTAATCAGTGTTTGCGTAAAAGGGCTTGGATTTTTGAAATACGGCATTAGCTGGCGTGGATGTGTTGCAGGATGTCTTCTAATTTTGTTTCGTAAAGTGGCAGTGACAAGCGGTTTAAAGGTATTTCTCACCGCGACGGTCTTTTCGTATAAGATACAGGGCGATAATGCCGCCGGTGACACCCATAAGGAAGAGCAAGAAGTTAGTGAAACGGGAAGAGGAGTGACTCTTCATGGCGAGCTCCTTCAAGTGTTGCGTCTCGGCTTTCGTGAGAGTGTTGAGTGAGCTTTGAGAGTTTTCGTATTTGTTAACCGCATTCTGCAAGTACTCCTCGAGAAGGCGAATGTGCTGTTGGTTTTGAACGAGCGTGTCGTACAAAGCATCATACCCCTTGGAGGACTTTGTTAACGTCGACTCATCGAGTCGAGAAGCAAACTCGTAAACAGACTTTAGCCGTACGGAAAGTTCGTTCAAGCGGCTCATGACATTGTCCATGCGGGACTCAAGACGCGAAAGCTCGCCTTTGAGGAACTCGTAGTGCATGTTCAATTCCTTGTTGAGCTGAGAACTCATCACAGCACCCCCGCTCGGGGCGACAGCCTGAGGTTGTTCTACAGCAGACTGGGGCAATTTTACTGCATAAGCGTCACTCAGATGCAACGAATCGATTTTCACAACGTCGTTCTGGCTCGCAGATGCGGAAGTGAGACCAAACCAAAAGTCCGTTGGCAACGCAATTCCCGGAGCTTCAAAGCACTGTTGTCCATTGACGTCAAGTTTGAGAACATTGTGTTCGTAGTGCAAGTGGGCATCGTACAAGGCGGAAGGGGAAGCGGACACGGGCTTGTCGATGACACATTTTGCAAAAGCTTGCATATCAGGATCGGTGTACAGAGAAAGTTGCAAGGATCCGTCGTTCAAATGACCACGAACTGTCACTTTACCAGATGAATCGACGGTGTACGTAATGAGCAAACCATCCCAACCGTCTTGACTGCCGACGATTGGTCCCGACACACCCTTGTTTCTCGTGTACCACATTCCTGCGCTGCTTTCAGATGACTCCACGATGGGAAATATCATCTCTGCTGATAAATCCCAGCTTTTGAAAGAGTTTGTAGATGAGGTCCACAGTCCACCGGTTCGGTAGCTGCGACCGGAAACTTGTGTCAAAGCGATAGAGGTATCAACAACCTCAGCACCCTCAGAAATCGTCCATTCGTGGGGAAGCTGCTTGTCCGAGCGTTCAAAATTTAGTTGATCTGGATTTAACGCAGCATAGCCTGTCCCCAGACTCGCAATGCCGGTGAGAATGGCAAATATAGAAGAACAAAAATGCATGACAATGTGTGACGCGGGCAAAAAAACTTTGTATGTGAGTTTAACGCAGGCTCACTTTCTTGCCAAAAAAAAGCCAAAATCAGTTACAGATGAGGAAGAAAAAAGACTCCAAAACAGTCAATGTTGGTTCAGGACGCGCTGAAGGAAACGATAACGCTTCTAAGTTAAGTGTTTTAGCAACTACTGCTCAGTTTATTAGACACGTGGAACAAGGCAAAGAGATCGGTTTTTTTCCCGCGACTTCACGTGAAATGACTGTTATACCTTTTTGACTTGCAATATTACAAAATCCGCCACAAAATCCAAGACGAATTGAGCTTTTCAGTTACTCGTCAGCTATTCTCCCACTGTGTGGTTCTTCCTCCGCCAGGCATATGCCTGGGTACTTCTAAGCACGGGGTTGCCATGCCGACGTCGTTTACGAATAAGGTTAGTGGGGCTCAAAACCTTAATAGTAAACTACGTCATACTGGGCTCATCTCGGAACTACCGATGCGGGGGCAAACGAGTGTCGTCGTCTAAAAGTGGTACGTGGTTATGCGATGGATAACATGCAGTCACTTTTTGTCCGCAGAAATACGTCGTGTCCCTTCATCTACGGGATTACTCCGTATGAGTAATATAAGCTGCTAACGCACGGTGTTATAATAGTCAAAGAAAACACGTTCATAGCTTAAACATCCGAGGCCTGAGTTTCAGGAGCCCAACTCACACGCATCTCGTGTGGTCTGACGTATCCTCGCTTTTTCGCCTCTTTCGCCTGCACATCTTCCGGTCCAATCATTATTCCCGCGGCAAATCTTATTTTCTAATTCCCCCGGAAAACAACTACTTTTTCTCATTTTTAGTACGCACGTGCACCTACTACGTAATTGCGGTGTTGAGGAGCCGAGAACGGTAAACCACATGCGTGTGCCATCAGGCTCACCTAACCTACCAGCAACCAAACCCAACGTATAACGTATTAGACGAAAATTACTGTTCGTGCCGAGTTCTTTGGTAGTTTACATTCAGTAGCTGTTTCTTGGGCCTTGACACTCACTTTTGGTCTTTTTTAGCGAATTGGTTTACTAGGAGAGTCTGGTGCCTCTGAGACCACTTGCAATCCCGAGAATCAGTGCTAGGAGTTTGCTCAGATTATTTTATGAGCAGTGTTTATTTATTTTTTGAGAATTCTGCTCTGTCTGAATTACAGGCTACGGTTATTGTTGTAAAGTGATCAGTGGGCTTTGCAGAAGGAAAACACAAACAAGTCTCTCTCTATCGCTGTATTCTACTGAATAGATGGAGGGCACATATACTAGCACACCTCCGAGACGTCGGCCTGTAAATGCTGGCTATAGTGGGCAGCCAATCCCAAGCATTCAGGTTGTTCAGCCGCCAAACGCTGCTCAGGCTTCCGCAAGTCACAGGATGAACCCTATAGATTCTATTATGGCACCTCAACGAGCGAAGAGTCTTTCTCGAGCCATTCCAAAGGTTCCACCGCATCAAGGAGAACTGAACGTCAAAAGACAGGCTTCTCTTCAAGCGCCGGCTCCCAGATCTCAAATGGGGCCTCGTGGAGGCAGTCTTCGTGTTCATACTGGTGCTGCAGCAGAATCTTCGCTTCATGGGGAACGACGCCGTCCAGAGAAACGAAAAATAATTGGCAATTACGTACTTGGGAAAACAATTGGTGCTGGTAGCATGGGCAAGGTTAAAGTTGCGCATCACATGAAGGACGGGGAGCAATATGCTATTAAAATTGTTCCTCGGCTGCACCCAAATGCACCCCGGCCGAATGTATCACCTCAGGAAGCCGAGAAAATCGCCATTACTGAGAGAAGTAAAGAGATTCGCACTATACGAGAAGCAGCATTGGCGACTCTCCTTAGACACCCCTATATTTGCGAAGCTCGAGATGTTTATGCTACGGCTAATCACTACTATATGGTATTTGAGTTTGTGGATGGAGGCCAAATGCTTGACTATATAATTTCTCATGGAAAGTTAAAGGAAAAGCAAGCAAGAAAGTTCATTCGTCAAATTGGCAGTGCGCTTTCGTACCTTCATCACAATTCTATCGTCCATCGAGACCTGAAAATTGAGAACATTTTAATATCTAAAACCGGTGACATTAAGATCATCGATTTTGGTTTGTCCAATCTTTACTCAAGACAGTCAAGACTAAAAACTTTTTGTGGCTCACTTTACTTTGCGGCACCAGAATTGTTGAACGCGCAGCCGTACATTGGCCCAGAGGTGGACATCTGGAGTTTTGGCGTTGTTCTTTACGTATTGGTATGCGGTAAAGTTCCTTTTGATGATCAAAATATGCCTGCTTTGCATGCGAAAATCAAACGTGGTGCTGTTGAGTATCCAACTTGGATTAGTACCGAGTGCAAAAGCGTCCTTTCCTCGATGCTTGTAACGGACCCTAATAAGCGTGCGACATTGGATGAAGTACTCAACCACCCATGGATGGTGCGTGGTTATGATGGTCCGCCGTGTTCTTACTTGCCGGAACGACACATTTTGACGCTGCCTCTGGATCCAACTGTCGTTCGTGAGATGTCGGGATTCGATTTTGGTCCTGCGGACGTAATAATGCGCGATCTCACAAGGCTTGTTGGAAGTGATGCCTATCAATCGCTAGCCAAGTACGATCTATACTCATCTGCTACATCACCCGAAAAGAAGCGTTCTTTCTTTGAATTTAAAATCCGGCATGCTAGTCATGATATTGAGAACCCTACTCTCTCTTCAACAAATACCACACATGATGTTCTGGACGCTTACCACCCTTTAATTTCTATATATTACCTCGTTCTTGAAAGACGCCAGCACGATAGAGGGGTCAGTTGGCAAAACATACATTCACCGAAAAATTCTTCAAATACGCCATCATCATCATCGCCTTCCGGTACCGGTTTCCCTCCCATGCACAGTTTACATCCCACTCCAGAGGCAAAAGAGATTGTCACTAATAGCGACCCGACTTCAGAACTTGTTCGTGCTACTTCGAAGTTGACAATTAGCAATCCCATTCCGCTTTCCGTGGGACAACAGCAGCAGTTCTCTCGTGAGACCACTGGATCTGTTACTCCGCCATTAGAAAAGACGGAAAAGAAATCGGGAGGACTGTTCCGCCGATTCTCGTCTAGAAGAAAGAAGTCAAAACAAAGTCTGATTTCCGTTAGTTCTACTGGTACCGACGGCTCTAACACGGAAATACCTAGTCCAACCTCTGTGGCTGCTCAGCGCATCAAGATTGGTTCAGCAAGCAAGCCTCCTGTCTCCGCTTTGAACAAGTACTATAAGACTGCCGCAATTGGACGATCTACTTCTGTTAATGAGAGTCAGTATAGACAAGCTAAGATGGAAAGACAACGGAATGAGACTCAAGTTAACGCATCTGCACCAGTTACTGCGAACAACAATTATCTGTCTCCCCCGACAACGAACACCAGAGCACAACTGTTGAATAGTCGGGGACGTTCCGTTGGCCATATGCAAGGATCTGAGTACGCAGAAAAGAGAAGGGCAAGAATTTTGAATGAAACGATGGGAATACCGGCTGGTGCTACGTCTGGAATTGAACAAACAAAACCTGAGGAAAAGATTGAGCCTATTAAACCAGTGTTCCTGAAGGGTTTGTTCAGTGTTTCTACCACGTCGACCAAGAGTACTGAGTTTATTCAGCGAGACCTTATACGTGTACTGCGCTTGCTCAACATTAAGTTCTCGGAGATAAAAGGCGGCTATTTGTGTATATACAACGAGAATTCAGCAGTGTCCTCACCGAGTACCAAGAGCGGACAATTGGCTCCCCCAGATGTCACACAGGAGGCATCATTGGATTTTATTCCCGATGCAGCACCTGTGGACGACATGTCTCCGCGGGGGTCGAAGGATGTGTGTTTTGAAGTTTACATTGTTAAGATTCCAATTTTGTCGCTGAGAGGCGTTTCGTTCCACCGGATAAGTGGTGATTCTTGGACATACAAGAATTTGGCAAGTCTCATTCTTAACAAACTGAGACTTTGATTTGAAACAATATTTATGATTGATAATGAACTCGAGACTATTATACTATTCTCTTACGAGCACAACATGGGTTTTCTTGTACCTCACCACTCATTTTTGTTCTTTGTAATGCATAACAGCTACTGAATTTTAGCGTTAAGAATTTCATTCTTTTGCAAAGATCACCCATTATACTCTTTCTTTAGCAACTAATTAGAGCTGTTTTTATTATTAAATAATGATCACTTGGATGGATCGCTTGCAGGCGTTAAAGACTGTCTAAGAACGGATGCTATGAAGTTGTCATATGTAGAGTACGTGATATTTGGCGAGGCTATTGTGTGATCAGCGGTTTTCTTCACAATTTCTACCCTGGTGTGGGTGAACATTGAATTGAATGTTTCTCTGTCTGTTGTAACAATTCCGTCGTTGGCTTGAATGACCTCTTTCACGATGTCGATTTTCTTTGGAGGAATGACTGATGGAAGTATTAGAACGACGGTGTCGTGAAGAAACCTATGTTTTAGATTAGATTTAGCAGTCAGTGTCTCCTCCATAGATATGGTAACATTGCTGTATGCTAAAGGTTCCGTTAACACGAAATCCTCTTCAGCAAGTTTCTTATTCGCATCAACACATGCAAAGAGCCAAGATAACTGAAGGATGTATTTCGCATAGGGAAGTGCACACAAAAACTTTTTGGTTTTTACGATTTTTGGTGCTATAAGGTGAGTGCATTGTAGGTAATCATCAACGATCATGATGCCAAGCTTCCTCAGCCTTTGGAGAAAATCTTTGGAAAACGGAGAAGTGTAACCTGTAACAATTGCAACAACGAGAGAAGACGATGCTTGCAATTCTCGTAACAATTTCTGTGGAGAAAAGCTCGGTCTATTTCCCCAGTAATCAAGACGAGAAGTTTCCATGTCATAGAATACAGAATAAGGAATTGGTTGTATTTTAAAGTCAGCCCCATCTTGAACAGAATATTTTGGCTCATCTGCCTCGGGAACGGTAAGTTCTCTATATGCATCTTGAATCCATTCATGATTAACAACAGTAATACCCCAATCCATAGCAGCAAGATATTTGCTACTACTTGTGCTAAGAATAGTTAGACATGCTTGTTTCGGTAGGGAAAACATACTTTTGGGCCAGCAAAATATTAGTCGATTTTCGTAAGGTTTTCTGAAAAGTTGCTCCAGAACAGGAAATCAAGTAGGCTAGAAAATCACGTTTCCTTCGAGAAAATCCTGTGCAACTAATTTCCATATCCTTTAATTTATTAATGCCGCCAAAAACTCGAGGAAGATAAAGAGGATTGCATAATGGCTGAATCCATGTTTCAGTCTGAAATACACGCAACAGCCAGTAGAAACTTGCAACGGTTTTCTTTACGCGCAAAGCACGATAATACTCTTTCCCATACCGATGATGACAAATATATACATGAGCATCCTCCCAATTTTTTTTAACCGATAAACCAAAATTGTCACATAGAGTTAGTAATGCGAGTTTAAACTCCTCCGAAGAACTGGCAGCCTTTCCAAAGCATATAGACAAATCGCGAAAACAAGATGGTCGTGTATTAAGCAAATCTTCATAAGTAGGAAGGGTCTCACGCAATGGTAATTTATACATGCTTTCATCACGTATTTCAAAGCAGGCCAACGAGTGGTACATCCTATGAATTAGTGAAACTGTAAAATGAACAAGACATACCACTCCGGAGTAACTATCATCACTTTGTAATTATGTTTCTTCTTGTGCATATAGGAGGAAATACTTTCTTTACTGTACGTAACAAAATGGGTTGTTGATGATGAAATGGAAGATGCGATTCGACCATGAAACTGCGAGACTAAGAGCTCAATGACTTCCATGTCTCCAGGAAATACCTATGCGTTAGTATATTAATAAATAATACTACATGCTGCATTGAATCATTTACTTACGCCATCAAACACGAGTTCTAAGCCAAAAAAGGTAAAACATGAACGCCATAAAAATGGACGTATACTACTTGTTAGCATCAGAAAGTAGTAAGTATCTTCACCATACTCAACAATTTTTCCCTGCTGTACACAAGAATGAATCCATGCGCTCTGTTCAGCCGCTGTTAGTAATTGCATAAAGCGTTACAAGAAACACACCTTTACTAACGGTATATTTGTTTGACCAATGTTAGTGCCTAACACTGCCGGTGAAACATCTGTAATTATAAAGTCGATAGCCAAGAGAACGTCATTATTTGAAAAAGAACAGGCCTTCCCGAAGAATGATTCAAAAACCAATTTCTACCCGAATTAGAACTCACAAAGCTTAATGTACACGAAAATATGGTAGTACTTACTGTTCCTTCGCAGTACAGAAAAGACCCGACAAGGTCCTCGAATAAATTATTCCTTGCAGAATCGGTCATGCTAGAGTGATTCAGTTTAACAAAGTAGTTTCAGAAAGCAAAGATATTATAGAGATGGAGTTGCTTTATTTAAGGAAGTAATGGGGAAACCAAAAAAAACTTGAATATTAGCATGGAGGAATGGTTTTGGTTTGTGATTTTTTTTGCTTTGTTAGCTGAACGAGATTAATAAGTTGTTATATGAAAAACGTAAAGCATGTATTACATATAATACAGGTTAATAATATAAATCTGGAAGCAGAAAGCTATGTCTTAGTTCGTGGATTTTCGCATTGAGTGGCCGAAGAGCTAACATAGGGCCTTACCCTAGGGTCCACACTGAGTGTATTATATTCAACATTTAGCCATTCCTTAATCAAACAAGCTCCTATATAAACAGTTATTTGTCGCACGTGTGAACGATACTACGTCAAACTTAAAAAATATGGCCAAGAAACAGAAAGCGAGGTTTGAAGGAAGAATGTTAGAATTCATTATGCTTACCATGTCGATGTAGAATCTTAATCAAGCTTCTTTCCTCAGCAGGCACTGGTTACTTTTATGTTCGAAGCCGGGCTCGGACAGCACCGAAACTGAATTTCATTAAATATGATCCTAGGTATTACAGGCCAATTTGGATTGTCAACATTAAGTGTCCAGAAACTTATACTAACATGCGAAGGATTGGTCGAAGAGTCATATTTAACGAAGCGAAAATGAAGTAAACAGGAATTAGGCAAATTATTATGTAATGGATTTAAGATTTGTGAATAAGCAGAAGTTATCTTATGTATAAAGAAGACAATTAGCATGTTTATAAAAAAAAGAGTTCTTTCTTAAGCTACAATAGTCCCCATTGTTTTATGTTGCTTATTTTCTTTTAGTTAGAGCAAGTTACTATCAATAAGATGCTTATAGAATGTACATAGTAAGTGTGTTTATTTCTTTACACAGTATTTGTTCCTTTCTTGTTATAGAATATAATTTTAGTATTGCATTTAGTAAGAGGCGACTGTTTGTTTGCTGGATTTATGATATATAGATTCACGGCTGGATATTAATTCGGCTTGTCTTATGTTTAGTAAAGTAATCAAGAAAATAATTAATGAATTGAAAACGCATTATGTTTTCTTTTGTATAAGTTTCTTGCTCTAACCTATAGTGCTTAAATTGTATCATTTCATATTCTCTTTTTATATTATTTTATATTATTATATATGCTATACCAAAAAGTCATTCATACATGAAATGAAAGCGCAGAAATATTTTATGACAGTACACGGTTACAAATCAATTTCTAGAAATAATAGTTTGCCCAAATCATATTCCTCTCAATTGTCAACTTTATTGTCCTGTTCTCTTTTTTTTCGTCCTCTCCACATCACAATCCGAAATGTCCAAAGCGACCAATTTAAACCAGCTGGGCTGGAAACCTGTCCAAATTCCAGACAAACTCGATGATTTTGAGGGACTTTTAGAGCTTGAGGAGCTTGACGGTGTAGAAGTTAAATATGAATCTGCTGGAAAATTAAAAATGCCGGTCTATGAGGTATGTTCCATTTAATTCTGGACTATTAACTAAACATTAAAAGCTTGTGAAACCCGACACAGATGCAAAGAAGTCTGCGGAGGAAAAAACTGATAGAAAGGAGGCAAAACAGAATAGCAACCTGAAAAGAAAGCAGTCGCCGGAAAGTCAAGAAACCAATTTAAAGAAGAAGCAAGGAAAAAAATCTAAGAAGAACAAGGCAGAGCGACAATTAAAGTCGGAAACAGGCGGAGATGATGCAGAAGAAATCGAGTTCACTGGATTTGGCAGTGAAGATGATTCCGATTCAACAACTCAAAAATCTCATTCTTCGGCTAGTGGCAACGAGTTTCAAGCCCTTGAAGATGAGGATGAAGCGAATGCTGTGGACGTATCAAAATGGTCAAATATTCCCTTGTCAGCTGCCATTCTCGGTCGGCTTTCTAAACTTGGTTTTTCAGCTCCAACACATATTCAGGAGCTGGTTTTACCTGTAGCTATGGCCGGTTCTGATGTGATTGGTAAAGCAGAAACAGGTTCCGGTAAAACCCTTGCTTTTGGAATCCCTATTTTGGAACATTGTTTGCGGAATATCAATAAAGGTATTCAAGCTTTGATTATGGCTCCTACCCGTGAGCTTGCTCAACAAATCTATAACCATTTGGAGCAATGTAACCCATCGACTGACATTCACATTGTTACCGTCACTGGTGGTTTGGCTATTCAAAAGCAGCAGCGCTTGTTAGCTAAAAAACCATCCATTGTCATTGGCACCCCCGGCCGTTTGTGGTCCGTCATTTCGAGTCAAGGATTCGACGAAGAGTTTAAAAATGTTAAAATGCTTGTTCTTGATGAGGCAGATCGCTTGTTGCAGAAGAATCATTTTGAAGAGTTACATAATATTATTGATTTGCTTGGTAACCCCAAACAAACAAATCGCCAAACATTCATTTTCTCTGCCACCTTTGACGCTCACTTGCAAGAGAATTTGCGTAAAAAGCAATTAATTGACGGAAACGATAAACAATCCATGGGTATGAAAGTTATTTACATATAATCACTAACATTCTTCAACAGGCTATCTGCTGAAACAAATCCATTTTCTTGGTCGCCCTGAGTTCTTGGATGCAAATCCCGAAACATCTGTCGCGACAAAGGTAACTGAAGGGTTAGTTGAATGCATTCCCTCGCAAAAGGACCTCTATCTTTACTACTTTCTACTGCGTTATCCCGGAAAAACAATTGTTTTTGCCAATGGTGTGGAAGACGTCAAACGGGTTACCCCATTGCTGAAAGAACTTGGTGTTAAGGCTCATTCGCTTTACGCTCAAATGGAACAGAAAAAACGTCTTCAAGCATTGGAACGGTAAGCAGTCATGTTACCATTAATTATTTGCTAACGAAGTAATGACAGGTTTAAGTCGGAGAAGGATGCTATCCTTATCGCTACAGATGTTGCAGCGCGTGGTATTGATATTCCCTCCGTCAAGCATGTTATTCACTATCATGTTCCACATACAGCTGACATGTACATTCACCGTAGTGGTCGTACAGCTCGTGGCACTGAACAAGGTTTGGCTATTCTGATGTGTGGTCCCAAGGAGTTGAACCAATTGAAGAAATTACTTTACCGATTGAAACGTAATTTGGACGAATTGACCACATTCCCGGTGGATGTGGAACTACTTGGACGGTTTCAACCCAGAGTCGATTTGGGTCACAAAATTGTGGATTTAATGCGTCAAGATGGACGATTGGGTCGCGAAGAAGCATGGTTAAAGGCCGCCGCTGAAGAACTTGGTTTGGAATCGTCCGACGATTCGTCTGACGAAGACGGTGGTCATAGGTATGTATTGACAATGCGAGAACATGTTCTCTTGAATTAATGCTTACGATAACAACACTAACCTATCCCCTTATAGCAAAAAGCAGGTATCCGCGACTCAAAGACATCAAAAACTTCGCGTACTGCGAAGTGAGCTGCGCGAGTATCTAAATGAGGAAATCCGCGTTGGATTTTCCAGTCGTTACCTTACCAGTGGATTGGTAAACATGGCCGATAAGCTTGTTAAAGGTGAACAGCATAAGACTCTCATTGGACTAGATACGCAGGAGGCTATTGATGTTTTGAAGCGTAAAAAGAAGGCAAAGCCTCAACATTAGCAAATAGGTAACAGCACGGTTGCTGAATTGGTTATTGGGCACATCATAATTTTTTTGGGTTCTTTAAACTAATAAAATGGGTATAACAGTGGAAATTGATTGAATAAAATAGACAGATATGCCGAAAATATTGATTGATACAGTACCAACTTCTATTTTGCTCATGGTTTGTGAGGGTTTTTGGCTATATGACATCGAGAGTCTTTTGCTTTTATGAGCAACATTTACAGTGCCAATTCAATCTTAAGTTTGGAATGCTCCTCTAAAATAAAAAAGATAAGATAAACGTGACAAGTTTATTTCTTTCGCACGACCTTTAGGTCGGCGAATACTCACAAGAAAGTTCAGATCTCGATCTAAAATCACGAAAAATGAAAATTTTTACAAAAAGGCGCATGCGCTTCTCTCCACTGCTGACAAAGCATCCGGTATTACGAAGATGTTTCGTCTGTCAACTCGATGGAAAATTATCAGATAACTTTTTTACCGCTATCTGATGAAAATCTGGCGCGTGACGGGGTTTAGTTAAGATAATTCGACAAAAAAGCGCGCACATGATGAAAGGAATTCACGTGTTCACACTAATACCCAAATTATCGTGATTCTAGGTAACACGTTTGTCGGCTTTAGGGGATGATGCGACAAATTCTGGTAACAAAATGGGAAAAGCCGACTGAGCGAGGATTGTCCGTGTTCAGACGATGTGACACAATTGTTGAATTTTTTATGAATTGATATCTTTTGGCATGATTTTCCAGGGCTTTGCTATGGTATAAATTAGTTACAAATGCTTGCCTTTCTTTCGTCAAATATCTTGATTGAGTTGCAATCTTCAAAGTAACGAAGATATTTGGGTCTAATTAGATTCGCTTTACAAAGTGTTCTTCTTGCTGCATCAATCAAGCGCTCAGTTATTAGTCTCCTATTGCTGCTATAACAGCATAAGTTTCGCATTTTTAGACTGACCTACGAATACTTCTTATTTTTGTTGATTATCAAAGACAGTCGGAATAACGATGCAGAAATCAGAAGGTGTCATAAACAGGGGATTGTCATTTATGGATCCAGAGTCTTTTAGACCGCGTCTGAACAGCAAAAGCGAAAATAGTGGAAACGATATCCAATTCGTTGATGAAACTTCTGACTCCACTAAATCAAATGAAAAGGACAAGGATACCAAAGAATGGACGCAAAATATATCACCAATTGACAACCAGAATGAAGTCGATAATAAGGATGATTCGGATATTAGTTCAACACAAGAACTGTCCGGTGTGGAAAAAGCAAGAAAATTGCGTGAATTATGGTCGCGCAAGAGCATGTATATTGCTTATACAACTGTGTTTCTCCTTACATTCGTTCTCAGCTTCCAAATGCAAGTATACTACTCACTCTATGCTTACGCTATCTCGTCTTTTCGCGCTCATTCGTTGGTCTCTACTATAAGTACTGTTGCCAGTATCGTCAATGCTGTTATGAAACCACCATTGGCAAGAGTATGTGATGTTTTCGGTCGACTGGAAGCTTTTACTATTTCTGTTGTTCTGTACGTCATTGGCTTGCTCCTTATAGCCTGTTGCAAAAATGTCCAAACATATGCCGGCGGCGTTGTGATGTATAACGTTGGCTACTCTGGTATGGAGTTCATCATAACTGTGTTTCTGTCTGATACATCGAGTCTTGCATCAAGACCACTTATGATTGCCATTAACAGCTTGCCATTTGTCGTTACTGTTTGGATTGGTCCCTTAGTTGGACAAGCGTTTTATAAGCATTCCACTTGGAGATGGGGTATTGGTTCCTGGTGTATCATTGTTCCCGTGTGTGCGTTGCCATTCTTTATCATTTTCTGGATGCATCAAAGAAAAGCTACCAAACTTGGTCTTGTAAAGCCAGCGACTGCAATCAATCCGCGTCGTTTGTTCCATCAATTCGATGTTATCGGTATCTTTTTCATGACGGCCGGTTTCTGTTTGTTGCTAATCACTCTTACTCTTGCCGGTTATAATGGTAACAAATGGAGACAAGCCCGCTACATTGTTATGTTTGTCCTGGGTGGTGTTTTCATTGTCTTCTTTGTGGTTTACGAAATCAAACTGGCCAAATATCCTTCTATTCCTTTCCGTCTCATGCGAGAGCCCACAATTGCTGCCTGCTGTACGATTGCATTCTTGTTATATTTCACTTTTTACTGTTGGGACAACTATTTGACTAGTTTCCTTCAAGTGGTACACTACACTACAATTAACTCTGCTGGTCACATAGCCAACACATACTCGTTTGGAGCATGTGCTACTGCCATTATCGTCGGTATCCTTGTCCGTGTTTTCAAACGTCAAAAAATATTCCTTTTGCTTGCTGTTCCTCTGACCGTTCTTGGACAAGCATTAATGATTCGCTATCGTGGTACACAATACAACTGGGCTTACCAAGTAATGCCTCAAATTTTTGTCGCTCTTGCAGGTGGTACTATCATGACTTTAATTGTTGTGTGCATGCAATCTGTTGTTAAGCAGGAATACTTCGCTATTCTTACGGCCCTGTTGTATACTGTCATTTCTACCGGTGGTGCTGTTGGAAGCTCCATCTCTGGTACTATTTGGATTAACATGATGCCATCCCGACTTAAGCGATACTTACCTGATGCTTATAAAAACCAGACCACTGCTATTTTTGAAAGCTTGGTCACTCAACTCAGCTACCCGCGTGGCTCGGATGCCCGCAATGCCATCATCCACGCTTATGAAGATGTTCAGCGAGTTCTTACAATTGTCTCAACCGCCTTCTCTGCCATTCTTATTATCCCTGTCTGGTTTGTTGCTAATCCCAAGCTCTCCTCCAAGACAGTTTCATTGTTTGAAGACGAGAAACAAAGAAGAGGACAAATTGCTTAAAATACCGGGGGTTTTTCTCTTTTATTTATTTTTCATTTCCTGTGAGTGAGATTGTTTTATTTCTCCTATTATTCGTTTTGTCTTTTTTGCTTTTAGGCAAGTGACTGGGATCATTGGCACTAGCGTAAGCTTTTAATGAATATACATTGGTTTCAATGTCTATTCCAGCTTTTTTTTTTACACCTCCCAGCCTGTTTAGTGTTAGAGAATAAATTATCTAAATACATTTAAAGTTGGTATCTTTCTTTAGCGATTGAAAAGCCCGTCTGCTTGCTTTTGAACACATTTTGCCGCATAATTTGCTTTATTATTCGCATTTTTATCGCCCCATTTAAGGTTATAAAATACGCGAAAAATGACGTGCTATACGATTTGGTCTCGCAGTGCCGAGAAAGAAGCTTATCCACCTGACATTTGCCGTGGCTCGTGGCAACCCACCCCATAGACATCAGAACGTTACCGACAAGAATCCACAACAAAACCGTGGTCTATTGACGTCCTTCCCTTTCTGTTATCTTTTGGGAATTTGCAGAATTTTGTAGCTTGAAGATATTGCTACGGCTAGCAGATCATGTCATATTTTAGAATTTTTTAAAAAACAGAATCTTCAATTATTCCATTCCTTTTAAAGACATGAACGGTAAAGATCCTGAAGGACGAATTAACTCGGCCATTTTGGACTTGGAAGGATTGACGATATCCCCAACCACCAAGGAGGAAAAGTCGCAGGAAGTTCAGCTCATTTCTCTTAGTGATGACCTTTTAGATTCCCAATTTTCGAATTCTCACACGAACAAGGCAAATTCTGGCAGCACAGGACATAGTCGTGATAATTTGAATGGATCCGAGGATGCAGTCAACGTTTCCGTAAAGAGTTTAAAAAAGGATGAGATTAAGGAACGGAACGCAGAAGGAAATAAAGATTCAATTTCATTGAAATTGAATCTTTCGACAAATGTCAACTCTTTTGACTTTCACAGTTTCTTGGAACAATTGCGTTCGAAACCCGCCGAACCTGTTGCAAAGTATTTAAAAAGTTTTCTATCCGAGTTTTCCAAACGGCAATGGCCTCTTGTCTACGAAACAAAACTCATTAAAGATTTCATTAATTTCATAGACGAAAAGCTGGAGCAGTACGAGCCTTTCAAATCATGCTCTGAGGAAGAAAGGGAAAACGCACGCGAAGGTATGGAGAAACTTGTTATGAATCGCTTATACACACAAGTGTTCTCTCCAGAAATTAAGAAAGCCGGATTACCTTTGACAGGTGAACATTCAGATGACATTGAACAAGATCGGGTCGTGTCTGAGAAAATGCGTTTATTTAGTTGGGTCAGAGAAGAGCATTTAGATATAACACCCCACAAGTCAAATTCTCGCTTTTTTGAACTGGCATCCAAAGAACTTCGGCGAATTAATGATTATCATGCTCCTCGAGACAAAATCATCTGTATACTGAACTGCTGTAAAGTCATTTACAGCTACCTACGCATAGTCGAGCACGAAGAATGTGCTGATAAATTTGTACCCATCCTCATCTACGTCCTTCTTCGTGCAAATCCCAACCATCTTGTTTCCAATATCCAATACATTCAACGTTTTCGTAATCCGATTAAACTTGCCGGTGAAGTATCTTACTATCTTTCAACACTAGAGGGAGCATTATCATTCATACAAAACCTAGATCGTTCTTCGCTGACTATATCAGAGGAAGATTTTAATACTAACATTGAGAATTCTTTACAAAGAATGGAACAGGACAAAGCGGAACGTCATGCTATTAAAACCCAACAAGCAGACAATTCGCAAAGTGCCAGTCGTCCAAGCGCTTCCAGTTATGATTTTTTGGCGTCCACCTCACAAGTTCTAAAAAGCCTTCAGAAGCCCATATCATCCTTAACACGCTTATTTAATGACCCCATAACAAAGTTAACGTCTTCCGGCCAGAATACTCCGAACTCTTCCGTCAGCATTTCCAGCACTCCGTCTCAAACGCCTCACGAGGAAGCAGCAAAGCCAGCTGAGCCAGGAAAGCAACTCGTCCAAAGCATATCTCAACTAGAATTAGAGCTTGAAAGGGCCGACCGTGTTGGTTCACCCAGTTCATCCGTCGCAAGCATCGCAGTACCAACTCCAAAGTATGCGACCAGACCAGTTCATTACCACGAAAACTCGAAGGCATTACGCGCTGCTCGGACAGCTTCTCTTGAAACTGCTGAGGCAGAGAGAATTAAAACTCGTGAGCGTCAAGAGGCGATATCCGCTTTACGCGCTATGTTTCCTGCCTTTGACACGGATGTCATCGAGATGGTATTGACTGCCCAACAAGGCCGTTTAGGTTCATCTGTCGATTCGTTGCTTGAGATGAGTTAATGTCACTGGAACCCTCTCTACTATGCCAAGGCAAAACGATTTATGCACCTCTTGTATTCTAGTATAATTAAGTATCCTACCGACTAGATAGTTTTTCATGACCCAATACCCTGCCCGTATTGCTTTCCATTTTGGCAGATTTAGAGCCGAATTGAATAGCTCTTTTCTTTTCCTTACTAGCCAACTCGCAACCCAATAGGTGACACAATTTCCGCAATAGCAATTTATCACCTCCTTGCTCTTGCAGTTGCATTTTATGCAAAGTTGGTAGTGCCTGAAGAAACGCCATGACGTTGGCATCAAGAAATGCGTAACGAACCTCCTTGCCTTGGTTCGAAATAACGCGATCATCTCTGCCTAGATTTCTTGTAGGAATTCGAGTGATGTCCAACCGCAGCTCCTTCTCCAATTCTAACAAGCCGCCCCGTTGAAATGCTCTCAAGTGTCTGGAATAGCCACCAAGCTGTTCATCTGCACCAAGTCCACTAAAGAGAACTTTGGCTGAGCTTACATACGGTTGCTGCCTACTGCCATCAATGTTGGTCAAGTAGCCGCATCCAGTAGAAGCGAAATAAAATGCTAGGGCAATTGAAAGATCCATAACCGTTGCATTTGGGAACATAAGGTCCAAAACTGTTTGTCGATGTTCTGTTACCTGGGAATAAGGAACATCAATGGAAACAAAATTCCAAGTACGATTTGGGCAGCAACGTTGAAGCTCTCTCCAACCTTGAAGCCCGGTCACTCTATCCGGACAAAGTTGGTAAATGTCATTGTCTTTTTCTCCTTTCTGTTTACGAGCATTCAGCATACGGGGATTTTCAAACGCTACATTGAGTAAATCAATAGGTGCCCGGTCGTCTAAAACACTGTGTATTAACCGAGCAAGTACGGTACAATCAACACCCCCGGAGTACAGCACTGCAACAGGGCATGAACTCGAAGAGGAAACAAGGGGAATGGTTTGTACTCGGATACGAACTGCTTCGAGAAGATAACGATGAAATGCTTCGACCGGGTTTGATACATCGTCGTTCGGAATAAGGATGGAGGGGTCAATAACAGGTAACGGATGATAATCCGTAGGCGGAAGAGCTGAGGATTGTGGCATTACCGAAGCTGTAGCACTAGAAAGCTTACAGGAATGGAAACCCGGTTCGACATTAACGTACTCTCCACCTTCTTCAGCGACACTCGCAATAGTAAGTGATCCGTTTTCACGCTTTATGACCAAAGAACGCATACCCAATCTATCCCGACCCCAATAAAGCGTTTGAGTCTTCGCCTGTTATAAGAAATCATTAGCCCAAGTACAAAAACGCGCTGTAGTAATCATACGTGATAAAAGACAAACGCAAACGGCCCTTGAAGGGAAGACAGTGTATCTTCTATTGAAGAACTTCTCTTCAGCACATTGAATAAAATTGTACCATCGTTTTGTGAGCAGCATTGTAACAGTTTCTGACTCTTTAATTCACCAGGACCATTCCAAATTTCACCATTCCAGCAAAGAACATTTCCCTCAGGGTCAATATGAGGTTGAGCAGTTGGATGATTGAATGGACCTCTGAGATGTAGCACACTGGAATAAAAATTGAGTCGGAACGATCCTGCAAGACATGTGTGTGAACCAAAGCTGTCGGGACCTCGATTTTTTATCCGAACTAATTGCTGTTTATTAGGTTTAAAGGCTGCATCCTCATTATTTTGTAAATGAAACAGAATTCCGCACATTCGCGAAATCCAATAGATAGGGGAATTTAAGAATGTTAGTCAATAAAATGTGCTGGATTTCAACAAAAGACGATGGAAGTGTCCAAAATAGTGTATAGAAGCGTTTAGATGTACTTGACGCTTTGTTTTTTTCAGCAAGTCATGTCGTGTCCCAGTTTTACTTTCAGAACAAATAAGGTGTTCGCTTAATTAAACAAGCGAAAACTCTATAAATTATTGTCGCAACGCGTGACGCCTTCATGACGAAGTTCTAAAAGAAACAGTACATAAACGGAGACGCCTTTCTTTAACTTACCCAGAACCACTCATCAATTCTCAATTTACTCAGAACATGTTTTACTCGTGAACGATGCGATGGATTTTTAAATGAATTAATTACTCTAAACAAGGTTTAATAGCTAATTTTCTACTTAGGATGTTACAGGCGTTCTGGATTTTTAAGAATAATGTTTATACTAGAGATACTCTTAAACATTGAAGATGAAAAGTCTACTTAAATTCATTTCTTTGAGCTACTTGAGCCGGCCTAAGTTTAAAAAAGCGCCATCTTGTCGGCTGCTTACTTCATCAGCGCAAACGTCAAGCTCCTTCGTGAATTGCTTAAATTTAACTTATCGTTCTTGTTTTGTGCTTAATTCGTGCGTTCCTGGAACAGTATGCCCATCCGTGCTGTTTTAGACAGTTTCTCAACTTCGATCTAATAGGCATTTAATTCGCCGTAACGTTGCCCAGCCAACCTACACAAAACATTGTCATCTACCACCACGGTACCAACTTGAAACTTGCATATTGCGATACATGGAGCATTCGGGATTAAGTTTTCCTAGGTAAGTGGCTTCCTTTGAACGTGTTTTAACTAACATGAGAAGAGTTCGGAGACTCACAGGACCTCGTGAGCTGCATCCTCATATGAAAAAACCCATCACGCCAGCTCCTGCATCTCCACCAGAAACGCTGGCTGAACGAACTCCTGTTTCATTCAATTCTTTGGACGAGAATGTAGTTCCAGTCGCCAAAGTGCCATCTATAAATGTAGTTGCTGATCCTCCCTCACATCTATCGAGCAGGCCTTCACTGTCGACTCCGCATGGCTCTCGTCCTCTTCCTTCGGCACGACAAGCCGTAACGGTTCATCGTCCCCAGTTACCCACTCCTCTTCCTTCTTCCAATACTTTCGACCAGTCTACCTTTGAGCACGCCAACGATGTTCATTCGCTTCCCAGTCTTCCCGTTGCTCCTGCACATTCCAATCATTTGCATTCCACCAAAATCTCGTCGCATACCCCCGTAAACCTTAACAATTACGCTCAGCGATGCTCCTCCTTGTACGAACCTAGCATTCGTTCAACGACCCCTTCTCTCCTTCATCGTTCAAGTTCCCAAAAACTCTGTTACGGCTGTGGACAACCTCTTCGCGCTGGTCGCATCATCACCGCTGCTAACCAAAAAATGCATCCAGAATGCTTTCAGTGTGCCACATGCTCACAATGTTTAGAGCATGTTGGCTTCTTCTTTCGTGAGGGCCAGTTTTATTGTCATTTAGACTACCATGAGCAGTTCAGTCCTCGCTGTAAATACTGCCAAACTCCCATTGAAGATCGTGCAGTACACATTAATGGTGACTGGTTTCACGAGAATCATCATTTCTGTGCTGGGTGTTCTGAAGTGTTTCAAAGTAACACGCCTTGCTTATACCGTGATGACCTGTACTGGTGCCAGAATTGCTATGACAGCAAGTACGCAGTCAAGTGCGAAAAGTGTCGAAAGCCCATTCTCGGTATCGGCATTCGTGCTATGGACGGCGAGTACCACGATTCTTGCTGGGCTTGTGGTGCCTGTGGAAATCTTTTGGGTAAACAAGGGTTCTTTATTATAGAAGATACACCTATTTGCCGTAACTGCAAAGCAATTTCTGTCAAATTTCACTTAAAGTAAGTTTCTCGTTCATTTTTTTGTATACTCAAACTCCTGGTATTTAGCATTCTGCTACTTGCTCATAAAAAGCACATTGAAAGTGCAACCATACTCCTGGTTAATGTTACATGAAGTTCGTTTACGCTCACCTTCTATCTACCTTTTATATATGCCTTTTCATTTTGTTCCCATTTAGGTTTCTCCTCGGTCTACGTTTTCCTTTCACGGTTCCAATTACACACTTAACGCTCAATATTTGACGACTATTTTTGCAATGTCGCATATGCCATTCGTACTTTTTTGTTTGTACGTTCAACAATCTCAGACAACCAAAAAAAAATTATATAAAACTTTCAATAATCAAATGAATTGTAACAAAACCTCAGTAACCATATATCCCTATTTGTAAAGTAAATATCAACTAAAATAATTTGTATGATACCGCCGCAACTCATGTAGGACATTCGTATCCCGCATAAGGGTTAAAGTGGTAAAAGACAGGAAAGAAAGCTGATGCTGTGCTGTGATTTTGACGAAAAAATGATTGCACAGTATTCGAGTTGGAAATCATTTGTCCGTTTTTTTAGTATTTGTGAATGATTCCTTTTTGAGATATTCAACGGCCATCCTCGACTTAAGTCCACATGCGAATTTCACCATTGGCACCACAGCTGAAAAGCCATGCCTCTTGAGGATGCCAGCACGCATCAAGGACACCGACACTATTCACTACCTTGTGTTTGCCAAGAATTTTGAGCGGAACGATAAGTGGATTGGCCATCAAATCATTATAAACCCGTCCGTGGAACACCTGAACATTACCATCATCAGAGGCCGAGCAGAAGAGAGGAAGCGTAGGATGGTATGAAACATCACGAATAGCCCGATCGTGATAACGCACCGTTTTATAAGGCTTGTTCGATAAATCAAGATCAAACCAGCACAAACGACGGTCGTAAGAACCAAGTAATACGTGATCACCACTAGGATGGACGTCAATACTAGAAATCCACTTTACACCCGTAATTAACGTTTTCACTAACTCTTGCTTTGCAAGGTTATAGATACGAACATAACGTTGAGTAGCTACCAAAAGGTAAGGTTGAGTAGGATGAAACGAGACTTGTTGTATACTTCCACGCGCTTTCGAGAAAGGCGATTGACTAGCTCCCCTCGACAACTGATGTATAATGACGGCGCGATTTGAAGAAACAGAAGAGCTTGTAGCAACATAGTCACCACGACGATGCCAAGAGAGTGCCTTGATAGTAAATTGTGTAGTAACAACGGCATGCAAAACGGCACCACTCAAAACGGTGGTGAGCGACTTGGGACAATGCTTCCACACACAAGCCGACTCAGAAAAGTCCTGTGACACGGCATTCTTTGCATTCTCAACCAGTTCGGGGTTGAATATGGGAGGTGTAATCAGGTACAACTTGGTATCAGCGGCGACAGCAAGGATAGGTGTAGCAGTGTTAGGAGACCATGCGACGGCATGAATGATACTTTGTTCATCAGTGGAATCCTCATCATCGTCGTTTTCAGATGTCTCACCGTTATTGAAGTTACGTAAGGACATAGACCAAACGCAACGGCCAGTAAGGATTTCCCAAACACGGACAACTCCGTCATCACCACCGCTAGCAAGCCATAAGCCCTCACGATGGGCATCAAGAGAACGAACACGACCCTTGTGCCCGACAAAAGCGTTCGTACAACGAGTAGGGAAGGGCCGAAGCTCTGATGGAAGAGGGAGTTTGGGAATAAGAGACTCAGGATCAATGTTCAACTTTTTGCGGCGTACACGAGGGGCGAGATACAAATCAAGACAACGCTCAAAGCGTTCCTTCAGAAGCTCCTTGTACGCAGGGACTAAACGAAGAGCGTTATGCTTGCGAGGCAAGTAATTTTTAGGGCGGTCCTCAGGATCAGCCTCCTCATAGGCTTTGGCTTCCTCGGGAGTAGGAAGATACTCTTCAGGAGGATTGTAACTCTCATCGTGAGTAGGAGGAGGAAGACGAGGTGCGGGGGCATACATGGGATGGTTAGCCATCTCATTAACAGCACTATCATCAGCCCAAAGATCCTTATCCGCAACGAAAGAACGTTCGCTTTCCTTACGCTCAAGCTCTTCACGCTGGGCGGCGGTAAGAATACGTCCCTTCTTTATAGCATAGGCCAACTGAAGAATACGTTTGCGTTCATGTTTTGAAGGAGCAAAACGACTCTTGGGCTCAGGAGCACTGCTGACTGGGGTTTGTTGAACGTTGTGAGTGAAGAAGTCGACAGCATCTTCATAAACGTTGAAACCCTCTTCAGGGATCTCAGTCTTTGCAAGACGCTTAAGCAACTTCATTTCATCATCCGTCAAATTGACTGGCTGACCAGTAGCAGTATCCACGATACCTGTCCAACCACTTCCCTTGTCCATAGATGCAATCAGGGAATCCAAAGCAGCTGGAGTAGCAGGACGAGTAATTCTCTTACCGTCAATGTCATAATTAATGTACAAGCCAGGCTCATTTGGAGACTCGTATAAACGAGCAGGACCGTCCTCCGTAGAAGAGTCTGAGGAATAACCAGCGTCAATCTCTTCAATGTCACTTTCGTCCTCAGAAACATCGGGTGAAAGTTCGGGCAAAGATTCCTCTTCAGATTCAAAACCAGCAAAAGAGTCCTCAGAAGTTTCACCTTCTTCTTCTTCCTCTACCTCGTCCTCGTCCTCGTCTTCGTTAATTTTTTGATCATTCTCCTTTTCATCTACTGGATGTTTTTTTAAGTCCGATATGAAAGAAGATCCATTCTCCTTCTCATTCTGAGCACCTGAGACGGCGTCCAAAAGCTTCTCACTTTTCCGTTTCCGCTGCTGCTGAATCTCCTTCATGGTGGAGGATGGCAGAGTCTTGCATACGCTTGCTCGTTCGAAACCTTAATCCTGCCGCGGAGGTGGTAAATTTACCAGCGGGATTTCCACGGAAATTTTATTTAGCACGTGTGACCTTAACAAGCACGCAAACTTAAGCGATCCAATCAAATACTTTTTAAAAATTGGAAGGGCCATGGATATTCCGCGGCTATTTACACCACCAAAATGAACTTGTTTGTGAGACGAAAAGCGGTAGAGTCAAACGAGCAGTCTCCCAACGTGTCTATCTGTTGAACGAAAGACGTCTCGTCTATATAATTCCACCGCGTCACAAAATGACTGAGAAGACTCCGAGTTCGCTATTTGTGCGGAATTTAACGTTTTCTACGACGAGCAATGACTTGACGGATTTCTTTTCCAACGCTGCTCCTGTAAAACATGCCGTTGTCGTCACAGACAAGGAAACAGGACAAAGCAAAGGTTTTGGATTTGTGACATTCAGTCTTCATGAAGATGCAGTCCGGGCCCTGGAGGAGTTAAAAAACAAAAAGCTGGATGGCCGTATTCTTCGAATGGAGTTTGCTGCTCCTCGGAAACGTAACGGTGAGACCTCAGATAAACCAAAAAAGCCGGAGCAAGTTCGCAAAGACACACGTCCGCGCTTAATTGTTCGGAATCTGCCTTGGTCAGTCAAAAAGCCCAAGCACTTAGAACCCTATTTTGCGAAGTTTGGAAAGGTTCGTGAGATTAAGGTGCCAACGAAGGGTGGAGGACGTATGTGCGGTTTTGCTTTCGTCTGGATGAAAGACCGGGCAAGTGCCCAGAAGGCAATGGATACTTTAAATGCTACTGAAATTGACGGCCGTGTTGTCGCCGTTGATTGGGCCGTCAGTAAAGATGAGTTTGAACAGAAAAAGACGGAAAAGGGTGAGTCTAACGACTCCGAAGAATCTGAGGACGAGTCAGAGGAAGAATCCGCCGACGAAGATGAGAGCGAAGAGCAGGAAGAAAACGAGAGTGAGGTTGATGAGGAAGTATTAGTTCACAACTCGGATTCGGGTTCTGACCTTGAGGCTTCTGAGGCAGAGGACTCAGAGAAAAACTTGGAAAAAGACAAGGAGGATGCTGAAGCAGACGAATCAGAAAATTCTGCTTCTGAAGAAGAAGAAGATTCTGGCAAGCCTGAAAGTACCATCTTCATTCGTAATCTCTTGTTCGAGACTACCGAACAAGCTTTGTATCAACACTTCCGTCAATTTGGTCCCCTCGAATATGCTAAGATCGTCAAAGACTATGCAACGGGTCTCTCACAAGGTCGTGGTTTTGTTAAATTTCGCTATCAAAATGACTATGAAGCTTGTCTTGAACTGGCTCAACAGTTGCCTGAGCCTGAAGCTAAGGCTGCTGAGAAGCATCATCTTCCATCTGTGCTTGCCAGTGAAGAATTTCTTGATCCAGACAACAACATTGCCAAATTTACTCTCGATGGTAGACTACTGCTCATTACGCCGGCCGTCACACAAGACGAGGCCTCTCGTATTAATGAGGAAGGCAAGAAAAAACGTCAGTTGTTGCAAGGAAAGGGTGTAGACAAGCGTAATCTGTATCTTATTAATGAAGGTCGGATTACTGCTAATCATCCTCTGTATAATATGCTTTCCGAAACGGATCGTACGCTGCGTCAGGAGTCACTTCGTACCCGGAAAAAACTGTTGGAACGCAACCCCACTCTTCATGTTTCACTGACGCGTTTATCTATTCGAAATCTTTCTCGTCACATTAACGTTAAGATTCTTGGAATGCTTGGTCGTCAGGCTGTCCGTGGTTTCCTTGAAGAGGTAAAACAGGGTGTTCGTCAACCTCTTACTCAAGAGGAATTGGAACGTGATGGTATGTCTAAATCCCTATGCCAGCTGCTTCTCGCAAACATGGAGGTGCTCTTAAGCAAGCGAAGGTGCAAACAGAGAACAACGGTGCAGGACGGTCCAAGGGTTTCGGTTTCCTTCAGTATTCGGCCCATAAATATGCACTTATGGCTCTTCGTTGGTTGAATGGAAGAGAGGTCACCGTTCACAGCATTGTTGAGGCGGAAAAAGAATGGGCTCGTGAACATCGTATGCCTCTTCCCGAACTTCCAATCATCGATTTTCCTGACAAGAAGCGTCGCTTACAGGTTGAATTTGCTATCGAAAACATCCGGATTGTGAAAAACCGTGCACAAAAAGTTGAGTCTCTCCGCAAGAAGGCTGCCGATGCCAAACAGAAGGAAGCCGATGCTTCCGCTGATCTTAAACGCAAACGTGCTAGTGAACTAAGTGAAGCTGAACGTGCTGAACATGAAAAACGAGCAAAGGTTGCTCGTATCATTCAACAAAAGCGTATGAAGCGTCGTCAACGTAAGCATTAATAACTTATGTGGTGCACGAAACAGTGGATCGATGAAAGGACTCCTGCGGGAAAGCAGAATCGTTTTTAAGCATTTTTTTTGGAATGGTTTGAGATCTTATTATAGGGTTACATAGTTTTGTATAAAAAATAGTTTTGCTTGGGACGTGAGAGATAGGAAGCGCGAATGGAATGTGAGGCAGAAAGAGCGAAATTTCATTCATAAAGTCATTGCTCAACTTTTCTTTTGTTGCCCATGGCCTGTCTGCTTCACTGCCTTTACGACTTTTTGCGAACGGAAAGGTTGATGAGTCGCCTCCAAGAATCGACGAACTTTTGTTGGACCGAAACCGTCAATCTGTTCAAGTTCTTCCTGAGTTGCCGTTAATGCCCGTTTCATAGAACCAAAGTGGGCGATCAGACTTAAGCAATCACTCTTGTTAATTCCCCGGATGCTTGTAAATGTGTTCTGCACACGCTCAAGATAGTCCGTTGAAGGCCGTTCCATGATGTTAGTTGGCGCTGCGAATTCAAAAGCCTTGTATGTTTCAATATAACGAGCTGCTTCAGCAGATGACCAAGCCAATATTAACGTGTACCGGTTGACAACGCTTGTTTTCACGAGTTCTTGAATAGACTCACGATGGTTTTCCACATCTACTACGGCGAGTAGAATGCGAAGCTCGTAAGCCTTTCCAAGTTTGCCAATTCGACTGTAAATATATTCGGGATGGACATGATGATATTTCAAGCTTTCCGTCAGCGAAAAAGTTCTTAGTAACGATGTACAAACCTCAGAAACAAGGCACATGTTTTAGCACCCATCACAAAGTCAGGAACTATCTCAGAGTATTCCTAATACCATGTTAAAATTCAAAACTCAGAACATGAACAGACTGAAAAGTATGTGATATCTTTATGCTCTTTCCCTAGAGCCGCATTGGACTCTACGTCTGTTTAAAGTTTTGATCCTACGTACCCATGGAACATTCCTTAAATGCGGCTGTTTGACACATAATGGTTAGTGAACCAATGTTGTTTTATTCATAGACATCAACTCATACCAGAAGCGGATTTCCTTTCTACCAAAATGTTAACTAATCATTCATACCAAGAGACTTCCTACTTGACGAAATGAAACCAAAACATTGTGATTCACTGATTTAGAGACCAATTTTGGGACAAACTGTTTTGGGGCAGCCTCACGTTCTGCTTGTTCAACAGCAGCAACTGCCAATTTCTCGAACTCTTCATCTTCGAAGTCGGACATGGTCTACGAATGTTCCTAGTGGTAAAATCAACGACTTCGCCTTTTGTAATTTAAAGTACCTCGACAGGCCTGAACGAAAACCCTCAACATAGAAGACAGAACTCAAAACTCACCGATACAGAAACAGCATACAAACACAACACAACGAACAAACACAATCCCAAAACCTCAAGAAAAATCTAAGTCAAAGCACTTTTATTTCTATAGTTTTTATTACAAAATATTATCATACACACACTGTTAGTTAGTAATAAGAACCTTAAAAAGATCAAAAGCTGGTAACTCAGTTATAAAAATGGTTTTCTCTTCGTGTGCCGGGGTCTTAATCCGACTCAGTAACACGGACCAATTTCTGTCATCTTCGTGTACCAATGCTCCTGTAGGGAAAAATAGATACATACCTAAAGATAGGAGAGAAGACGATGCACAACTGTGCACCGATGGTATTCAGCAGGATTTTCACAGTGTTTATATAGCAAGAAAAGCAGTCACAAATTATGTGAACCAGTGTTACGACCAGAAGGACCTAGGTTACGTATAGATATAACCTAGGTTAGTTGAAGGGTTGACAAGAATAATTAATAATAGGAAATGCGGAAAAGCAGCGAAAATAATTCAGCTACTTCCTTCTTAAATTTTCAAGTAAATCTAGTGAAACCAAATGAATGACCTACCAACTCGTTGGCACAGTGTTATAGCAGCAGCATTCATGTGAACCTTAAAGTATCATTGTCGTAACAGAGGGTAAAATATTACATTGGTTTGTATACATAAAAATAAAACTACATAAAGAAAGTGAATGGACAGTTTTGATGCTCATAAAGCAATGTCCAAGTCAAAAAGATTTTTGTGAACCGGGAAGATGAAAGCAGGTAGGTAGGAAGTGGTATGGATGAAAACCACAGATGTCTGTTTGGTATTTAAAAGGAGGGAAATGCAGAATCATCACGAGGATGAACAGGATTGCTGGCAATAATAACGAATACCAAATACGAGAAAGAAAGTATGTCACTCCGCATTCTTTCAAGAAGAACCAGCAATGCCTCACACTACCTTCCTCCCCCATACAGTTAGCATCCGTATGAACGGGTTAAGTGTGATGCAATTGTTCGAGGTTTTCTTCTTTTGTGGTTTTTTTATGCCTTTTTGAATCTGTTAACTCCAAACTCAGGATCTCATTTCAGAGTAACGAACGCGCCTATGAAGAGACTCCAATTAAAAGGTACGAACAAGGTTAAGAAAAAAGATTGTCCAACGGATCGGGAGGCGGAGGAGAGGAAGGGATGCGTGGAGAAGAGAACTTAAAGGCATGGGGAGATACGACAGGAAAGAATCCAAGTAGGCCAAAATATCATTCGTCTTCTTCTGAATGGTAAACGAGAACACGGAGTCGACGGATCGAGAGATACGGCCAAACGTATTCACCAAGGCAACAACCTCAGCCGGACGGAGATCCGACAGCTTCGTTTCAGGCTCCAGTAACAGCTTCAATGCCGTACCGTAACCAGCGGTTTGGACTTTACCCCACAGGCGGCACTTGTCGCAACCAACGCAATTCATAATGCGGGAGATGTTGCGGAAGCGGTTTCTGAATTCTTCCTTCACGCGACGAGAAGAGTCATCGCTGAATAATTGCTCGAAAGAAACAACGTGAGGATCCTGAGCCACAATTCCAGTAAGCTGGTCGAATGCAAGACGTGTATTTTCGTCAAGTGCGGCATTCGCCGGGCAGAAAGAGAGGAAGGTGTTGTTAGGAGATTCGTGAATTAAGTGAGAAAGTCGGACAAGAGCCTGATGGAGAACAGCGTAATTGAAAAAAATGTTTTCAACACGCTCTGGAAAATAACCAACTTTCGCCATCCAAAAGTCGAGATTAGATTCCCAACGTTGCGTTTCAGCGTTGAAGTATTCCTGACACACATGTGTCGATATACTGGCGTGAAAACCCGAGATAAGACGGTTAAACATACGCTTTTCCAAACATGCTCCGGGCATTTCCGCAGCTTCCTCGACGCTTTTAACGGCGAAAGGATCCATGGAGTTCACGTCCAAAGTGCCAATCTCGGTTGATGCTTCCGCATCGTCTTTTGTCTCACTTGCTGGGAAGCAATTCTGCTCATAAATACTCTTCCAGATTAAATTGGAATGCTCACCAGCATATCCGGTAAAACGTTCTGGGTTCTTTACAAGCGATACATACACACAATGGCTGTTTGTCCCGTCATCCTCATCGTCCCAGTAGCAGTAATCCATCCGAGAATCGGGCTTCCACATACACGCCGTCGAATTTGACTGTGAAGAGGGAGCCAACGCGCTGAGTGTGCGCCAAACCTCTGGAATCTCCGTTTCGTTCAGTGTATCGACGGCACAACCGCGATTGGAGCACATAGCATTATTATTGTCCCACAGAGGGCAATCTTCATCATACAAATTGATCTTATAATGAGAGAAATAGTCGCTACGCTCCGTCAGGACGGGAATTAAGGTCCGAACACGCGTATTCATTTGATATACCTGCTGTTGATTCAATTCCGTGTCCGCAATTGGAGCACTCAGCAATAAAAATGCATTAGAGAGTGAGGTGAACAGCTGAGAAACTTTCATATTGCCTAACAAACCAACAATTAAGGCTGATATATATCACAAGTTCCTGTTTGCACGTCTAACGCCGCCAAAATGAGTTTGGTTGTGTGTCGGTTCGCCAGCTGAGCTCGGTGTTTACGTGTGACAGAAGTGGGGGCGAGTGTGGCGGACAGTGGAGAGTGAAATGTGATCTGAATAGTTGGCCGAGGTGGTTAAATACAGGGGGAGTATCCGTGGCGATGGCGGCCAAGCTTAGTCAGGCTTTTCGCCTGAGTTTCACCAAGGCTGCGCTACTCAGGTTATGGAACCGTCTCGAAAGCGTTCGTCAGCGAACGCTTCGAGTCGCCTTTACCGGGCAATTTCGCCAAAATGCGACCCCAAAAATCAGTTACCGAAATGAAATACGCGTCGCGTCGTAAACATAGAAGAAGCTGGGAAGAATACGCTACGAGAAAATAGGCAATTCTTAAAAGAATTACTAGCAATGATTTAACTCTAAGACATACCTTACGACTGAAATAAAAATGCAACGAATTCATTAGATAGTTGTTGTTATTCATAGTTACAAAATTTATCATCACTAAGGGTCATTAAAGGAAAAGGAACGTTAGAGGAAACAACGAATCAAACTTGAAACAAATACAGAAACAAACGGAGATTATCAAAAAAGATCCGTCAAACGGAGTATGTTTCATGTTATCCAATTGACCACTTTTGGCGTAGTCTGCCATAAGCAAATACTTTCACATACTACTGCTTCGGTTTATTAGCAGTGTGATTCTCCCTTACAACAAGATCATCGTTTTCCTTGTCGATGTCTACCGTTTCACCAGAACGAACCTGGCCTTGAATTAACTTCATTGCAAGGTCGTTCAAAATACGTTTCTGGACAAGACGATTCAGAGGACGTGCGCCATATGCAGGAGAGTAACCGTTGTCGGCAAGCCATTCCTTAGCAGCCTCAGTAACGTGGAGAGTAATTTTGCGGTCATCCAAACGCTGCTGAACTTCTTGCAAGCGCACATCAACAATATCACGAAGATTTTTCTTTGATAACTTGTTGAAAATAATCAAGTCATCGATACGGTTGAGGAATTCGGGTGGGTAACTCTGTTGCACAATTTCCATAACAGCTGCGCGAGAGCTCGGTGTAACAGTGGTGCTGGGATCAGCAACCAAGACTTCACTACCCAAGTTGGATGTCATAACAATGAGCGTAGAACGGAAATCCACCTTGCGGCCTTGAGCATCAGTCAAGAAACCTTCGTCCAATACTTGGAGCAGCAAGTTTGCAATATCATGATGGGCCTTTTCAAACTCATCGAACAACAGGACGGCATAAGGCTTACGGCGAACAGCTTCAGTCAGCTCGCCAGACTCCTCGTAACCCACGTAACCCGGGGGACTTCCGATGAGACGAGAGATTGTGTGCTTTTCTTGGAACTCTGACATGTCAAAACGAATCATAGCCTTCTCAGTATCGAAAAGGAATTCTGCGAGGGCCTTTGTGAGTGCAGTTTTACCAACACCAGTGGGACCAAGGAATAGAAACGAAGCTAAAGGACGGTTGCTGTTCTGTAAACCAGCACGGGAGAGACGGACGGCATCTGCGATGGCCTTGAGTGCTTCGTCTTGACCAATAATTTTCTTACCAATGGTGGCCTCCATATTCACCAAACGATCACGCTCACCACGCATCAGATTCGTTGTCGGAATGCCAGTAGCACGTGAAACAACCACGGCAATATCATCACTGGTAACAGCATCATGCACTAACGAAGGCTTTTCTGATTCAAGTGCTTCCTGCTCTTTGGGAAGCTTGTGTTCAAGCTCTGGAATAACGGCATACTGAAGCTCGGAAGCACGTGCATAGTTTCCTTCGCGTTGTACACGTTCCAGTTCAATGCGAGCCTGTTCCAACTCGCTTTTAGCAGCCTTAATTTGTTCAAGCTTTTTACGCTCTTCTTCCCACACGGTTGTCAATTCTGCGGCCTCCGACTGCAGCTGTTGCAACTTTTGTTCAAGCTTTTCACGACGCTCCACAGAAGTCGTATCGGTCTCCTTTCGGAGAGACTCGAGTTCAATATGAATAGTCATAATTTGGCGGTCGAGCCGACGCAACGCATCTGGCTTCGACTCTTGCTGCAGACGCAGCGAAGAGCACGCCTCATCAATCAAGTCAATGGCCTTATCGGGCAAGTAACGATCTGTGATGTAGCGTGAACTATAGGTAGCGGCCGTTACGATGGCATCGTCCGTAATACGAACACCATGATGCACTTCGTAACGCTCCTTCAGTCCGCGGAGAATAGAAATCGTATCAGCAACTGTAGGTTCTGAAACGAGTACTGCTTGGAAACGACGTGCAAGAGCAGCATCTTTTTCATATACTTTCGGTATTCGTCCAGTGTTGTCGCACCACAACATTGTAATGTTCCGCGCGCGAGTGCTGGTTTTAAGAGGTTCGACGCATCAATAGATCCCTCTGCCTTACCGAAGCCCAGCAGCAAATGCATTTCATCGACAAACAGAATAACCTTTCCTTCAGCAGCTTCCAGATCGCTCAAGACACCCTTCAATCGCTCCTCGAAGTCACCACGAAACTTGGCACCTGAAATGAGAGAGCCTAAATCAAGCACAATTACTCGTTTGTCCTTCATTGACTCCGGCACCTCTCCTCGAACGATACGAGACGCAAGACCTTCCATAATGGCCGTCTTACCCACACCGGCAGGACCAACGAGGGCCGGATTGTTTTTGGTACGACGCGACAAAATTTGAATTGTGCGTTGAATTTCTTCCTCACGCCCAATAACCGGATCAAGCTTTCCTTGACGAGCCAATTCTGTCAAATCAGTACCATACTGCTTCAGAGCATCGCCCGGTTTAGGTCCACCGCCTAAATCCATTCGAAAGTTACCCCCGTTGGGTTTCGCAGACGAGTAAAAACGCAATTGGCGCATTTCTGTCTGCAACGAACGAAATTTTGTGCTCCATTGAATCGTCTTTGGCTGTAGACTTAGCTTGGGAAGTGAAACAAACGATCGCTGGTTTTTAAAAAGGCTGTTCGACGCGAAATTGCCGGCCAAGGGACGCGTCAAATTCCGCAAAGACAGCCTTCGTGCATTGAGAGCATGAATTCTTTGTAAACTACTCATGAAATGAGGATTCTAAGTATTAGATTCAAAATTGAGATTGGGAAAAGGAGTGTTTGTACGGGCAGACGCGCTCTTATGTATACGCGGGAATCGCCGGGTGCGACGTCATCTGGAAACATCGAGAACGATCTCCGTGCACCACGGTAACGTAGCTACAACGGGCTGAAGTGCATCCCACTATTTACGATAACCCATCGTTATTTCTTATTAAAACATATATAGCGTATTGCGTAGTATTCTAAGGAGACATAGTTGTGTTGCACTAATGAATAAAGATACCCCGCAGAGGTTATGCACGTGTCTGACGTCCCTGAGCATGTGTCCCAGGCGACCTATCGCGCCTCAGCCGTTCCAAGACGCAGATCCCCCGCTGATGATTTCTAGCGATCGCCATGTAGCTTATTACACATAAAGTCACTATACTGAATTGACGAGGGAGTGCACTGCATGCCTGCCAGCCAAAGGAAAAAACAGCAGCACTGGAGGAAGGTGTGGTGGCACGATACAGCGCTACACGTTGCTTCTCGCGACGAGCATCTGAAAGAGCGGAATGTTAGGGATACCGAATTGTTTAAACTGCTGAGCAGCAAAAGCCAAATGCTTAGTTGTTCTTGAGATTCGTAGACAGCCATTCCAAACCTTCGTAAAGACCATCACCGCTAGTAGCACAAGTGGCTTGGATATACCATTGACGGTGACGAAGGGAGTGGAGTCCGAGCTTGTCAGTGATCTCGGCGGCGTTCATGGCGTTGGGAAGATCTTGCTTGTTGGCAAAGATCAACAGAAGGGCATCACGGAGTTCATCCTCGTTCAACATACGTTGAAGTTCCTCACGGGCCTCGGAAATACGTTCACGATCGTTAGAGTCAACAACGAAGATGATACCTTGGGTGTTTTGGTAGTAATGTCTCCACAGAGGACGGATCTTGTCTTGTCCACCGACATCCCAGACTGTGAAGGAAATGTTGCGGTATTCGACGGTCTCGACATTGAAACCAATAGTGGGAATAGTCGTGACGATCTCACCGAGCTTCAACTTGTAAAGAATAGTGGTTTTACCGGCGGCATCCAGACCAACCATAAGGATACGCATCTAAACAAACACGTTAGTTAGAATTATCCAGTGGAAAGCTTTCATAAACGTACCTCCTTCTTGCCGAAAAGGCTTTGGAACAGCTTGCTAATACTCAATCCCATTTTGTGAAGTTATACGTGGTCACCAAAGGCTCGCGATGAGAGGTTGTGGTTTTGGTTAAGGGAGAAAACAGGTTTGGCGGTGGGAGAGGTTAAAGCAGGTTGCTAGGTGGCCAGCGGTGTAAGCAACACCACTAGTCTTTTGGAAACAAACGACAATTCTCATGCCTCAGAAGGCAATTTTAGCAACGCAGTAAATGTAAGACTTGTTTTAGTGAACAGAGACGACTTTTCCGACACAAACAAGTGGAATTTTTATAGAAATATATGCCTTTCTAGCTTCAAACGAAGGTCTTTTGTGAGCGTGAGGAATGTTGGCCCTCGCTTACGAGGTGCAAAAGTTGCGAATTTGAGAATGAAGAGTTTGTAGACAGGAATAATGTACTCTATGTGTTGATAGAATTGTATCCAGTTGATTCGCTGTTTCCTTCTCGCCGTATCTCTACTGAAATTCCAGCAGCAGCATTGGGCATATACATCATCAACATAATTGTATACATGGAAGTAATTTCTGAATATATTGAGTGCATTACATGTATGTGTATTACTTAAATTTCACTATTCTGCTCGTCTTGAGTTTCTGATTCATCAAAGAGATCAAGCTCTTCTTCCATGTCAGAGGGCAGAGCAAAGCCTGTGTCCATGTCGAGATAGTCTAGCTGTTGGTTCTTTGGGGACGGCTTCCAAAGGAAGCTGATTGTTATAATTATGAATAGGTGCAAAACGTCAAGCCACCCATCGACGTAAAACCATTGTACCTTCCAGAATTTGTTGGCAACTTTGTCGCGAGATTGGACTCCAATGCTTACGTTTACAATGAAGAGGAATGCAAAAAAGAATGCCAAGAGTATGACCAAACCGCGGACAATACGATAGTTCTGACGAACTGCAAACTTGCGCTGCTCAAGGGATCTTTGGATACGAATTCCGAGAAGAACAAACATCTCATAAAGCAAATACAAAACAACACCACTTTGTACTGCAAGAAGAATTACGTAGAAGAAGTTGAGTTTGTATGGTTGGGTGACGAGAGCACAGAACCGAGTCATAAACAGTACGGGAAAGAGTACGGAGAACTGCATCGCATACTTGGCACGAATCTGCTCCAAGTACAGAATAAGTTGTCTCGTAAACCCGAGACTAATTGAAAAGAGAATGCCAAGATCAATCACCATGCGTAAAGCAAATAGTATAGACATTACAAACTGGCCAAAGTGAATCGCGAACGTTGTTCCCGTGCGGTTTTGGGCGTCAAATACCCAAGAGTTGATTGCTTGATCCACAATACAAAAGATCAGGAGCCAACGGATAGTATGCTGGACAGGGAGCATATTGCTTCGGTATTGAAACTGGTAGAACATCCACATGGTAAGGATGACACTGTAAGCTATAGTAAGGCCACATGATGTGGGGTATCGAGGAAATTGCGAGGCGTCCAGTCTTCCATAAGGATTGTTCCAAGAAACAGTAGCAGCGTAGTCCTCTTCCTCCTTGTGTGAGCGAGACAAGGCACAGTAATAGCCAGTACTTGGTACTTCATAAATGGCAGAAGCGTAGTCTTCTTCTTTTGTGACGTTGAACTGCTTGAGAGTTCTGGCATTTGTATTGTTCCACAAAAAGTCACCCAGTTGATTCCGAGAACATAGCTGATCCTTCTCTACTGCATCTTCATCACAAACGTAAGCGATACTTCCATCCTCTCTTTCGAGTCCAAGCAAGCTTTGTTCTCGCCAATCATAGAACACTACGTGAACGGAATTATCCTCCTTGACAGACTCGGTCCAATTGACTGTATACGAGAAAACACTTGTTAGCGATCAGTGATTTATAGGTATCTCTAAACGTTACATACACTGAATCGTTGGCGGTTTCGTGCCCCCAGCTTCGCGTTTTGAGTAAATGGGATTACAAGCTTTGGGATGTTTCGAGGTCTACAAGCGTTAGAGGCAATAATAATTGATATTAAACACACCAATGAAGCAGCATGAGCAAGTGAAAGAGCGGAAAGTGCTGAAAAAACAGTGAGAGGCTTCACTTTCATAATGTTTCATAAATATGGGGTGAAGAAGAAGCAAGCTATGTTCGGATGAAAACTATCACAAAACTGGAAAACAATGAATGTTATTCTTTAGTAAGTGTCTACGGCTACTAGTATCTATTTTTGAAGTATAATCTACCAATAATTTTGTTTTTACTCCCCTCTGCAACCATCATCCAAGAGACGCGACAACTCGTACTTCCCAGCAATTCTACCGTTTTTTCTAAAACAAGCGCTTAAACAATATCCCTAAAGCACAGGAACATTTTTATGAACTCGATTTTGTATACACCGGTTACAAATCGCTTATTTCTGTCATAAACTGTTAATTCCGAGCGAATATCACCAGTCGGTTCAATATACACGATACAATCATAGTTTTCGTTCGCATTTCGACTGTCATTGCAGACCACTACGTGCTTACTTTTGGTATTCATTAAGCACTTAGTCAATTTCTCTCAACACGATTTTAGGTTCGGTGTCAAAGTTAATTTTACTACTTTCATGACCGTCTATGGAAGTCATAAGAATGGTCTTGATCGGCTTCCTGTTGAAGTAGTTGCACTTATTTGCCGCTTTCTCTCAGTGCCGGACATTAGCAACCTGCTTGTCGTCTTTCCGCAATACGAGTCTGCGCTACAGAAGACTAGTACGCTATTCTGGAAACGAAAGGCGTTTCAGATTGTCAATAGACAAAAGAAGTTAGCTAAGGAGGCGCTCACTAATAGCAGTTCGCCGGAGAGTTCTGCTAGCGGTTTTGTTCTGAGCACACAATTCACGAACAATCAAATAGAACGTGAATACTATAGTAAAGCCGATGAATTAAAAGCACTCTGTGGATTGGAACCTAATCCTCTTAAAGTTCAGGATATTGCTACAGCTTTAAATTATCTCACGTCGAGAGTTACTCAAAAAGGAAAAGGAAAAGTTAGTTTCTTCCAGATTCCGGACGTTAATGATGAGTGGTTGACTTCTGTTCAGAAGCAACTAGTTTCTTTTTTCTCTCCTGCTGCAGTTGAAGCATTTAAATCATTGCATGCTTCGAATGCTACGGTTCTCTTTCTCCAGGCTATCCTTATCGGGATGTTGTTTGAAGACCAGATTTGGTACTATTTTAATTTTTTCTATGATGTTTGTTCCACTACTTCTATTGAGTTCATGTACTATTTCCAAGCGATGCTTACCATCGTAAGCACTGATTGTGAACATTTTCGCGAACCATTAACACAGACACTTGTGTCCACAATGACAAGGGTTTCAGAAGTTATCACCTCAATTGAGAATATAACGTTCAAGGATTTCAGCGTCGGTCTTACACAAGAACAACAGGACATTGTGAATTGTGAGCTTAACGCCGGAGAAATATTGAAGGTCAAGGCCTTTGCAGGAACAGGAAAAACAAGAGCATTGTATGAATTTGCGAAAAAACGGCCGAATGATAAACTTCTTTATGTGGCATTCAATAAGGCTGCAAAAGAGGAGGCAGAATCGCGATTCCCGCATAATGTCAAGTGCTCAACCATGCATGGACTTGCGTACGGTGCCATTCTTGCAAATATTAATTTACCTGCCAGCAAATTAGAACGAAGGCTATCAAATTCAACGATTGCTGAGTTACTATCTTTGCACGCTCTGTTTCCAAAAAAAGCAAAAAGCGACAGCGGGGAGCGTCCAACGGCCACATTGGTTGCCTCACATATTATGTACACTTTAAATCATTACATGCACTCTACCGATACCCAATTGGGCTATCAGCACATAAGTAAGCGCAGCTTAGATGCGACACAGCTGTCAAAAAAGCAGATGCTCATGTACACCGCACAGCTATGGGCAATGATTACAAACTTCAATAACATGCAAGCGCCTTTGATACCAGATGCGTACATGAAACTCATGCATTTATACGATATACCAAACGTTTTGACCAAATACGATTACATACTATTCGATGAGGCACAAGATTTCACACGTTGTATGGTTGATGTTATATATCGCCAAAAGCATGCTCGCATCGTTATTGTAGGTGATGCTCACCAATGCATATACGGATTTCGTGGAGCAGATGCTTGCGCTTTCAATGAAACGTTGTATCCTTCAACCAAACAGTTGTACTTAACAAAAAGCTTTCGTTTCGGAAACAGTGTTGCTGCAATGGCTAACTTCGTGCTTTCACTCAAAGGTGAACGTGTAAAACTGTGTGGTGCACAACAAGATACGGTATATCGTATGGCTTACGCTGGAATAAATATGGATCCCAACAATGAAAGACAACGTTTTATTCCACATACTATAATCTTTCGTACGAATAAAGGTATGTATACGATAAGGTTTTTTTAACTAACACTTTTTAGAACTCATTCTGCATTCCTTGCGGCTTGCCGTGGCTTTACCAAAAAACATTCCTATTGTTATCCTCGGGTCAATGAAGAAAAAGGCGTTCCAACTACTAAGGAGTGGTGCTGATCTGGCTCATGGCCGACGTCCGACGTACCCAAAACTTCGAGAGTTTCCGACTTGGAACGCATTTGAGACTCACATTAAAAAGTCTGCTGAAGAAGACCCCGAGTTATCACTCGTTTATGATTTGGCAGAAGAACTATTTAGTGATGAATTTGTCAACAAGCTTGAGTGCTGTGAACAACGTTTGAATACATCGAGCGATGACGATAATAATGGTGTAATTCTTACTACTGCTCATCAAGCCAAGGGTCTGGAATGGGAAAATGTTCAATTGGGCGATGATTTTCGACCGAAGTTTGATAGCATTTCGTATACACGGATACCTTATTCACGTTTTCTACAGGAGGAGATTAATATCCTCTATGTTGCCTTGACCCGAGCAAAGAAGAATCTTATCCTTAATCCAATGTTGACGAAGTACTACGCTCTTCTTAAAGGGCTTGCACGGTACGCTGGTGGTCTTGTAAAAGAAAAGAATGATGAAGTTAAAGACTTGGAGCCCGTATTCTTAGACTGGCAAATTCGCGAGAACAGCTTCACGCATGAACCCATTCCTGATGGAGGAAATTTTTTTGTTAACTTCAAAGAATATCCAGTATGGGATTTATTTTTTGGAAAAACCACGGGACCATGGCAGAACTACATTGTTTCAGCTAACGAACGGTTAAAGAGATCGATGGCATTAATTGAGGAATTGTTTAATTAATAGAGTTCAAAATAAAGCTAATTGCCACTTATACCCCATATCATAGAAATCTTAATTATTGTTGGGAATAATCTACGAGCTTTGCATTGACTTCTAACATAAACTTTCTTTTCTTTTCTTCCTCCCAAGGTTACCATTGCCCATTACTAGCATTTACAGTTTTGATTCATTCTGCTCCACCAAGTATCATTTTTGGTGTTGAGTTTCGCAAGTCGCACAAGCTTTGCCTCCACACATATCGGCTGCGTTTCTTGTCCCGAACGTTGCCGCTCACCTTTGTCGTCTTTTCAACATGGGAAAAGTACGCGTTAAGCAAAATACTGCCGCTAAAGATGCTGCCTCACGGAACACCGTGTTCAAATTCAACAAGGATTTTGGTCAACACATTTTGAAGAATCCTCTGGTTGCTCAAGGAATTGTTGATAAGGTATGATATACAGCTGTTAGAGAGTTTGCCAGATGAAGTAATGGGGATTGTGTGCTTGTTTCATGGTATACACTCAACTCCCTGAGTTTTAAATCCTTACTCCGTTGACTCTCTCTCTCTGAAACGTCCATAATGGATTGCCTCCTTTCAATGATTTCTATTCGATAAAGGTGATGTTAACCCTCTTTAGTCTGATTTAAAACAATCCGATACCGTTCTTGAAGTTGGTCCCGGTACTGGTAACTTGACTGTTCGTATCTTGGAAAAGGTTAAAAAGGTTACTGCTGTTGAAATGGATCCCCGTATGGCAGCAGAGTTGACAAAACGTGTACAAGGTACTCCACAAGAAAAGAAGCTGAACATTTTGTTGGGAGATGTCATTAAGACAGAGCTTCCTTACTTTGATGTCTGTATTTCGAACACTCCTTACCAAATTTCCTCACCTCTGGTGTTCAAGCTGCTTAAGCATCGCCCTGCTCCCCGTCTCGCTGTACTTATGTTCCAGCGTGAGTTTGCCTTGCGACTTGTCGCCAAGCCCGGTGATCCGTTATATTGCCGTCTTTCTGCCAATGTTCAAATGTGGGCACATGTCAAGCACATTATGAAGGTTGGCAAAAACAACTTTCGTCCTCCTCCTCAAGTTGAATCCAGTGTCGTTCGAATCGAGCCTAAAATCCCGCCTCCTCCTATTGACTTTGACGAATGGGATGGATTGTTGAGAATTGTATTTTTGCGTAAAAATAAAACCATCAATGCATGTTTCAAAACCGGATCTGTACTCGAAATGATGGAATCGAATTATCGCACTTGGTGTTCACAGCACGAACAGATGATTGAGGACGGGTTTGATATTCGTGGACTCGTTGACAAGGCACTCGACCAAACGACGCTTCGCGAAGTTCGTGCTTCGAAGTGTGGACAAGAAGAGTTCCTTACTTTACTTCACGCATTTCATCAGGTGGGTATTCATTTTGCTTAAGTGGACCAAACCACGACAAGGAGGAGAGATAATACGGGAATTATCCTATGGTTATTTCTCAGAGCGGCTATTTCTTGTTTTCTCTTGTTTGGGACTGGTGTTTTTTTGTCTTTTCGTTGTACATTTTTTGCACTTTTTTGATTCACAAGCGGCACAATCTGTCGGTATTTGGGTTTAGGATAGAATGGGTGACGCTTTTAAACGTGTACGTATAGTATTTATATGTGGTTTAGTTTCGGGTTTGGATTCGTTATGTTCGTTTATGTACGCTTTTGTTAGGCCTTGTTCAATAATAATAGGCTATATAATATTGTGAATTACTAGTAAATCAAGAGCTCCCGTGGCCTAATCGGCTAGGGCATATGACTTCTAATCATGGGATTGTGGGTTCGAGTCCCGCCGGGAGCTGTTCTTTTTGGTGCACCTAGTGGCGGTGACTTTCAGAGATGTGCTTGTTATTGGTGTCTGATCCGTATTTTAAAGAGTGAATTAACCGATGTTTAGACCGTTTTCATAGGAAGCTGACACTTTTTCGTGAATAAGCTTAAATGTTCTTTATATATATATATATATATATCTTTTTTTTATTCTATCATCTTTTATTTCTACTGACCCGTAATAAAATAATTGCTATCCTAATTAAAGTTTCATGCACATTGTACGCAATATACAATTGTCCGTTGCCTAACCTTAGTGAACAAGTTAGCTTCTTTATAGATTTAAATCGGCAAAGAATTTTCCTACTATTTTACACACCTTGATTTCTTATTTAAGAAACCAAAAAAAAAAAAAAAAAAAAAAAAAAATAACTTTACACGGTTTTCAAGGATGATTCTGATTTATTTCTTTATTTATTGAAACATATAATTTTTAGCATATACAATTCCGGTTTGTACCTGCGGTTTCGTTCATACGAATATGTATTGGTAGAACGGGCGATAATTTTCGTATAACATAACCCTAAGACTAAAACTATTCCGAGTTCATTATAGTCACCCAGAAATAAATTGCTTTTCGTATCACCTCACCAAACAATTGAAGGGACGCTGTTTCTAGCTCATGCCACTCACGTAGTTCATAAGCAAAGACGCACTTTCAACTATCAGCCATAATCCATAACAAATGCCTCCCTAAACTATCGCAGCTTTTGGCGAATTTCTCGCTACTCATTACGAGTAACCTAGACCACAACGAAAACACCTTCTTATTGCGGAGTCCATATCACCGAGATAGTTTCAGTCCGTTGGCAATGCATATCACACTAACCCTCTTTGCTAGCATTCCGACAAACACTAATTCGATTCTCTCCCCTACCAACTAACTACACTTCCGTACATTATCCAACAACAACGACAAACAGTAAACATCCGTAGATACTCATTTTAACGCACTCATTTTGTACAAAGAAGGCGGCTAGGTTCCAAACACGGAATTACAATTTATACACTTTTGCACATTCCATATGACATTGACTTCACAGAGTGAACCTTAATCCAATTAAAAAGCCACAAAAATGTCGCGCATGAATACTGCGCCTAGGAGATAACTGAGTTGAAAGGCGGTAACAGGGGTACAAACTACAAGCGACAATTTATCGTCCAACGACTGCAGGCTGCTTTCTAATTTCCGTTAAACGACTTTTAAATAACGAAGCTAACGTCATGCACAAAGTGACCTCGCTTAATTTTAAGGTTAGCTTCGCCGACAGTTAAAACAACGACACTGCTCTCCTTCTTCTGTTTCTTCTCCTCTGCATTCCTTCACACGCGTAGCATCGTATGTTGGTTTTTCCGATCACTTCCGATCAGAGTGTCTGGATTTTAAAGCGTTCGCTTTACTGAACTTGTCGTGCATACATAACGAGGCCATAGGAACTAACTTCTCCCTCGTTGTTCCAACGAACTCCTTCACGCCGTTCAGGTAACGAGATGCGATCGTTTTGCTGGCCAATGTAAAACGTCTACGGATACTGACATCGTTGGAATGCAGCGAAATGCAGTCGAGCACGGATGCGTACGGTAGACTACCGTAAACCAAGTGTAGTGCACCGCAAAAGTTGCAGTGCACGAGTCCTAGGTTTTTTGCATTACCCCTAAAGCTTCTCACTATCGTTCACTGCCCCTCACTATCCAGGCTCCCACTGGGAACCCAACAAAGCCCACCCCTCGACAGCCCTCACTGAGCCTATTGAGGTGAAGCAAGTGTCGAATCAGCAGTCCTAATCGACTGTCTCGTATCTCTCGTTCCTCGTATCTAGGTCCTTGAGGCGAGTCCAATTGTCACATACTTTTTTTCCAGCCTTGTTCCTCACGTGTTATAGTCTAAGTCGCATTCGCATTCAGCTTTTCTTTTGTAATTGTTACATCATAATCGCACTTGCGCCCTGACCCCCGGGGGATTCACGTTAGGGGAGGCGGCGACAAAGAGTCGGCAAGGCGGCCCATACGTGACCCCCAGGACGCCTCCAGCGGAGCTGCGAATTTGTCGTCATAGACAAACATCGAGATGAGTGATACGTTTCTCCGGTGTTCACACAGCAATCTATTTTCAAAAAAATGAAAAAAAATTCCAGGGAAGAGAACGGGGACACGGAACGCAAAAGCATGCAGGGCCGAATCGCCGGTTCGTCGACAATGCCGATAATGCTTCCTAGCTTAGTAGTCCCTGGAGGAACGCGAAGCGACTCACCGCTTTCTCCAGCAAGCACTACGTCACCGAAACCCCGAAGCAGTCACGCGCGTGGATCGCTTTGGCTGATCTACACGTCTCGCAAATCGCCTCGTTCCCCTGCGCCGATCGGACGATCGAGAGGGATGCTGTCGCAACGTAACCCTAAAGTGTGATGCTTTTGCATCATTGAAATGCCTTCTCCACATGTATCCCCACAGTCTTAATCATTGTACCTAGAAAGCCGAAACGATGCCCAACGCCCGTGTTTTCTCAAACATCTTTCATCCGAACCGGTGAATTCCCATCGGAGAACCGGACATAGCAAATTGGCGTCCGTTTACACATAGACAATGCATCAATGGTTTACTGTTCCTGGTTTCGTCCTAGGAACGGGTGTTCGGATGTTAGTGCTTGTCGTTATTAAGCGAAATATCGCATTAACGTTCAATCTCCCACGGAGTCATAAGAGCGTTAGCGATATTATTGGTGCTTCGAATATTTTCACTTCCATTATTGGCGGCTTTGGGACCAATATGGCACCAGTAGCCGCGTAATTCGGGTTTGGAAAAACACTTTGGTGCTGGAATAAGGGATTCCCCGTGTAAAATCCCCTTATCGTTCGTAATCAGCGTACTAAATCGTCTTTTTTCTCGCTTTGTCGCCCATTTATCTTCGCATCCCCTGCTCGCCTACAAGGGGCTGACAACCCTAATCCCCTGGCGTGTTCACCATCCAACGTCATCCTAGCGCCGCATCGACACGTGTTCGCTTGGAATAACCTTTGCGCTAAAATACTCGGAACGCGCCATGCGACGCTTCGCGGTCCTCTTCTATACGAATCCTTTAGACGAGCTTTTACCGGTCGACATCAACCTGCCCAGAGCACCTCTCGTTGACGCGGACGACCCTTTCTTGTACGATAAAACATGTACTGAAACCTACGAAGGGTTTTCGCAAACAATTACCACAACGGAGGATACAACGGAACTACAAAAAAAAGTAATGTCAAATTTGAAGAAACTCGATCTAGGTCGAATTGGTCAATATCATTTATATCGTAGTAGCTCAGCAGCACGAGGACAACTTTCAGCGACTTCTACAGATTCTGGGTTACACGAGTATACGCTCTCCCGGACTTCCTAGAGACGAAAGAACGGATTCCATGACCGAAGAGGAGGAGTTCAAGGATTCATTAGAAATGTTTGAAGAAGGGGGCAGTGACCCACGGAATCGGGCAAGGAATATGCTTGCGCCTAGCAATAGCAGTGTCGTCGATATGGATGACAACCGCAGTATCAGAACAGCAACGCTGTCTGAAATTGACGATAAAAGTGTACGCGATCACCCAATGTCTTCACAGGCTTCCATTGCTCATTCTGTTGCGCACTCGGTCGCTCATTCGATTGCTCATTCTGAAGCAAGCACAACAATATCAGTGGCTCACAGCACGGCTGCTAGCGTAATTGAAAGAGAAAGAGAGAGAGAGGCAGCAGCAGCAGCTGCTGCGAAGGCAGACAAACAGGTGTATCAGGTGCCTCAGATGACACCTGATGGACGGATCTTTTTTGCGGATTCTGAAACTAGATCGTCTAGCTGGGCTCTTTCTTTTCGACCAACGACCGGTGCGAGTTCTTTAATGCCAAGTGCGAATCTCTCGTCATCCAAATTGCCTATGTCGGATATAGCTCGGCGACGCCTGAGCTATACGACAGGCTTTCGGCCTCCCACTACGGACCCGGATGATGTGGCCGTTGCACGCAAGGTCAGCATACCCCTAAGTTTACGCTCGGAAAGCAGTGCAAGCAGCACGCCCAGCACATCCACAGCCGCCCTTGCTAGCGGTGTCAGTGTGAAACGCAAAGCGTCAGCCCATAGTCGAACATGCTCCATCGCTTTTGGCGGCACGGAGCTGGAAATGTTTCCCCCGGAGAAGCCTGTTTGTCTTCAAAATCTCTACAACCTGATGACTGCTTTGTGTTCAGATCTTCACGTGTTTGTGAAGGACAACGACTTGGAGCAGACACATGCAACTGCCAGTAAGCTTCGTGCGTTGTCATTCGATCTTTTCGTCCGCTCTGGTTTCTTCCATTTCATGTACTCAGACAGAGATGAAGCCCAAAGTGCAATGGTCAGAACTCACTTCCGCCATACTTTCTCGCAAATGAGTAAACTGATACTGATGGCTGACTCATGCCTCAGTTACAACAAACCCCGTGACTACCTTGATTACCTGCTAAAGGTTGGCCACTCTGTCAAGCTGCATGTGCAAGAGTTCGTCACGTATTGTGCGGGCATTGCTGCGACTCTTCCAGCTAAGGTTCTTCCAGCTTTCGTTGAGAACGCAGTTCGAGGAGGTGAGTGGTCTACTAATGATTCTAAAAATTGCTCTTCCCGACACCAGTGGTCTCTTCTTTCCTCGGCTTACATTGCCTCGTTAAGTGATTTGTTTTTTGGTTTTGAAAGAATGGGTAACAACCTTTCTGACACAATGAGCATTGCCGGGAACAACGAGGATGCATTGGTGCAACCTACAATCGCCTTGTTGCACAGTGGCCACAGCATTCTTTCTCACATGGAAACTCTTGACCTTGGTCCTTTCATTCATCACGCCTCCTCTCACGTCCGGACCATGGCGACAGACTTTTTGGACTGTAAGCAATATTGCTACAATCTTTTGACCGATCTTTTTATGAAACTGCAAACATGCGTTCATGATTCGGATACCCTTTCTCATCAACTCACCTCTCTGAACAATACATTCCGTAGTGCTGTTGTCACACTGAACATTTTAGAGCAAGAACGCCCGACTTCCCTTGACCCAGTCATTGTGGAGCGTTCATCGTTCCAAAGCTCGGAGGACCAGCCTATCGACTCATTGCTAATGTCACCCATGGAGAAATGCTGTTCCCGTGATACTGATTTGTCCCTCACTCGCTTCCAGCATCTTCGTGACAGTGATGCCTCCTCTCCTTCGTTATCAAGCGCTGACACTCCCCGTCCTGGCAGTTCAATGGATGACGATCCCATGGCTCAACCTTGGTACTTGCTTGACAGCAATGATGGCGATCTTGTCTATAATCGCAAAAACCTGATCAAGGCAGGTACTTTGGAGGCTTTAATCTATTTCCTTGTAAAGCACATTCGTTCTAGACGCACATTCACCAAAGTGTTTTTCTTCACTTATCCCACATTTACCAGCTCCATTGATCTATTCCGAGCTCTGCGCGACCTGTATTTGATTCCTCCTCCAGAGGGCTTGTCTACGTCTGAATACAGCGTTTGGATATCGCATCGTAAGAAGCCATTGCAGGAGAACGTATGCTTTGCCTTGCAGGAATGGCTTCAAAAATACTTTGCTGATGATATTTCGCCGCCGGTGGCAGCGCGGTTGTTCTCCGAAATTCGCGCATTCATTATCCAAATGGTGCAATCAACCTTTCCCTCTGCTCAGGAAATTCTGAAGCAACTCGATGAGTTATCTGTTCCTGACCGCAACATTGTCCGTGAGCAGCGTCTTATGGTCCGTCCCGCAAAGCCGAATTACCGCGTTGCATTGTTGGAGTTGGAGCCCGACACACTTGCCGAACAATTCTCTTTAATTGAGCATTCCATCTTTTGCGCTATTCTCCCTCATGAATTTCTTAAGAAATCTTGGAGAAAGAGTGCTTCTGATACCCAGCATCATATGATACGCCATAGCATTGCGTTCTCCAACAGTTTCGTTTACTGGATAATCAACTCTGTTTTGACTCGTCCTAACTTGGAGGAACGAATTGCTGCCCTTCGTTTCTTCATCGCCTTCGGTATTAAGTGCCTGAACATGAACAATTTCTCCGCAGTTGTTTCCGTAATTTCTGCTCTTGATTCTGCACCCATATATCGCTTGCGCTCTTGTTTCGGAGCACTCGATGCTTCTGATAAAGCTCATCTTCAGGGCTTGCGAGAAATCGTCGATTCCCGGAAGAACTTCAAAACGTATCGTACGCTCCTCAAGCGTGCAAGACCTCCATGCGTTCCCTTTTTGGGTGTCTTGTTGTCGGATCTTACTTTTATTGACGATGGCATGCCGGACATGTTGAACGATTCTCAGTACTTCATTAATTTCGGTAAGCGCCATCGCCAATACGAAGTCATTGCTGATATTATATGGTTGCAATCAACTGATTATGGGTTTACACCTTTGCCAGACTTGCAGGCGTATATGATGAAGTCCTTCAGAAATGCGAACCAGGATGTTACATCTCTTTACGACTTGTCACTTGCAGTTGAGCCCCGACAATAAGGTGTTTTTTTAATTCCCTTTTTTGTTTCTCCCCTAACGACCCACATATCTTGTCCCTGTTCTTACCACTTAATTGCCTCTTCTGGATTTCCTTTTTGGTGCTTATTTCATTTTTGCGTTCTTTGTATGTCTATAATAATATGTATGGATTTTCGTCATATAAATGGTTGAGAGCGAAATTGGTAATTCTTTCTGGTCGATTAGTTTTATGTTCATAGGGCAAACTTTTATGCATGATTTTTACCTTCTCACGTTTACTTTCTATTAACTGCCCTGAAGGCTGCTCGCTTTGGCGGCCACCTGTCCCCACACGTCCCCCACAACCCCATACTGACCCACATGCCTTTAAACAACGCGTCTGTAACAAAGTTATTTACACTCCACCAACTTCAAGTTGCCATACTGCTTTCATTAAAAGAACGCGTATATGGGAGTACTGGAGGCGGAATTGATTAGTAGTTAATTGTTAGAACTCCTGGAGATGTCAATTTCATCGTCTTTACAGTCACCTGTAATTGAAGATAGAAAAAGACGCCTTAACGAACCCAGCACTCAGTTTGGAAAAAAGTTTCGAGATGCCAATGGAACGTCAAAAACCACTTTTGTCGAAGAATTAGAGCACAAGGCTCATGAAGTGGAGAAAGGTTCGCGAAATGATGGCGCTAAGGACCAATGCTGGCCTCGTCCCCCTTTAAAAACGATTAATCCGGACATTGACGACATCTACTTTCAACAAATTGACTGTGAAGAAAATGTTGACGAACAGGTTCCAACAATTCGAATGTTTGGCGTTACAGAAGCTGGAAATAGTGTCCTGACTCATGTCACAGGGTTTCTGCCTTACTTCTTTGTAAAGGCGCCTCCAGGTTTCCAGCCGTCTATGTTAAACGACTTTGCGAAAACCTTAGATCGGGCATGCAACGGAGGTGTCGTCTCAAGATGTGAAATTAAAATGAAGGAAAATCTCTATGGGTTTCAGGGCAATGAGAAGTCTCCATTCATTCAGATCTATATATCTGACCCAAAACTAGTAACTCGCTGCCGTAATGTATTTGAGAGAAACGAGCTTTCATTTAACGATATGTTTCCCACCTCGGTAATGACTTATGAAAGCAACCTGCAATATCTCATGCGTTTTATGATTGATTGCAATGTCGTAGGAATGAACTGGATTCGTCTTCCAGCTAAAAAGTATTTGTTGCGACAACAAAACAAGATTTCTGACTGTCAAATTGAGGTGTGGATTGATTATCGCGATCTGGAAAGTCTTTCAGCAGACGATAAATGGTCTAAAATGGCTCCGCTTCGTATTCTGAGTTTCGATATTGAGTGTGCAGGTCGCAAAGGTGTCTTTCCTGAGGCTTCTATTGATCCGGTAATTCAGATTGCCAGTATTGTCACACAATATGGTGACAATTCTCCTTTTGTTAGAAACGTGTTCTGCATAGGAACTTGTTCACAAATTGTCGGCACACAAGTTTTCGAGTTTGAAGATCAACGAGAAATGTTGGCAGCATGGGCAAAATTCATCCGTGAAGTTGACCCAGATGTTATGATTGGCTATAACATTTGCAATTTTGACTTTCCTTACTTGATAGAACGAGCAAAAGTGTTGAATGTTCCCAGTTTTAACTATCTTGGTCGTTTGACGAATTTCCGTTCAGAAGTGAAGGAAACGTCTTTTTCGAGCAAAGCCTATGGTACTCGTGACAGCAAAGTCACTGTCATACCTGGTCGTTTGCAATTGGATATGTTGCAAGTAATGCAGCGTGACTACAAGCTTCGTTCTTATTCGTTAAATGCTGTTTCGGCTCAATTTCTTAAAGAACAAAAGGAAGATGTTCACTATTCCATTATTACAGATCTACAAAACGGTACACCCGACTCGCGCCGGCGTCTTGCTATCTATTGTCTGAAGGACGCATTCTTGCCGCAGCGACTAATGGACAAGCTCATGTGCTTCGTCAACTACACCGAAATGGCAAGAGTAACCGGTGTTCCTTTTAACTTTTTGCTGTCGAGAGGCCAGCAAGTAAAAGTTGTTTCTCAACTGTATCGTAAGGCACTGAGTCACGACCTTGTCATTCCTAATATCCGGGTTAATGGTACCGATGAACAATATGAAGGTGCAACCGTCATTGAACCCGTTAAAGGTTATTACGATACCCCTATCGCAACACTTGATTTCAGTTCTCTTTACCCGTCAATTATGATGGCACATAATCTATGTTACACGACTCTTACAGACCCCGAAACGATGTCCCGCTTAAATATGAAACAAGATGAGGACTATATCATTACACCTAATGGGGATTATTTTGTAAGGTCTAACATCCGTAAGGGTTTGCTTCCACTTATTTTTGAAGATTTGTTGGGTGCTCGTAAACGTGCCAAGGCGGATTTAAAAAAGGAAACTGATCCATTTAAAAAGGCTGTTCTAGATGGTCGACAGTTGGCATTAAAAGTCAGCGCGAACTCCGTTTATGGTTTTACGGGTGCTACGAATGGACGGCTGCCATGTTTAGCCATTTCTTCATCTGTCACATCTTATGGTCGACAAATGATTGAAAAAACAAAATCGGTCGTGGAGCAAACATATACAATAAAGAATGGTTACTCTCACGATGCCAAAGTTATCTATGGTGATACTGATTCTGTAATGGTTAAGTTCGGAAAGAAAGACTTAACAGAAGTTATGAAACTGGGACAAGAGGCTGCTGATTTTGTTTCTGATCAATTTTTGAATCCAATCAAGTTGGAATTTGAAAAGGTCTATTTTCCTTATTTGCTAATTTCAAAAAAACGTTATGCCGGTTTATTTTGGACTCGACCTGAGAAGTATGACAAGCTTGATTCTAAGGGTATTGAAACCGTCCGCCGTGACAATTGTCCCCTTGTTTCCTATGTGATTGATACTGCATTGAGAAAAATGTTAATTGATCAAGATGTTGAAGGTGCCCAGTCGTAAGTAACTACTATCAAAAATTTTGAAGGATTATTTTGTCTAACTTTAACAGATTTACGAAAAAAATTATTTCTGATCTTTTGCAGAACAAAATTGATATGTCCCAACTCGTCATCACGAAAGCTTTAACAAAAACCGACTATGCCGCAAAACAAGCACATGTTGAATTAGCTGAACGTATGCGCAAACGTGATGCTGGTTCTGCTCCTGCTCTGGGAGATCGTGTTGCTTATGTAATTATTAAGGGCGCACAAGGCGACCAATTTTACATGCGCTCTGAAGACCCTATGTACGTACTGGAAAACAACATTCCAATTGATGCCAAGTATTATTTAGAGAACCAACTCGCAAAACCCCTTCTTCGAATTTTTGAACCGATTCTCGGTGAAAAAGCTAATTCACTCCTGCATGGTGACCATACGAGAACTATTTCTATGGCTACTCCCAGTTTGGGTGGTATCATGAAGTTTGCTGTGAAAACCGAAACTTGTATCGGTTGCAAAGTACCTATTCGTAAGGGAAAGGCTGCATTGTGTGATGATTGTCGTGACCGTTCTGCCGAGTTCTATCAAAGGCAAGTAGGTCTCGTCAACGACTTGGAGGTTCGCTTTGCTCGCCTGTGGACAGAGTGTCAACGTTGCCAGGGCAGTTTGCACCAAGACGTTATTTGTACCAGTCGTGATTGTCCCATCTTTTATATGCGTATGGCTGAACATAAAAAATTGAATCAAGCTATTTCATTATTAAAACGTTTTGATGAAATGTCTTGGTGATTGACGAACTTCAAAGCTCACATCCAGAAGGCACAGCCATAGTGAATGAGCATTGTTTCAATGACACTTTTCTGATACGATAAGTTTTTGTATCACATCTATTCGCATAATTCATGATCATTTTCCTTTTTTGTAAAAAGTATGCTACAAAAGTAGCCTCGTTGTACCGGAATGCGTGTCTTAATATAGGGCATCTATTCCAAAAGTAATGAAGTGGTATTTCTATGTTCAACTTGCAAGTGAGCTGTTGGATGGACTCTTTTTCGAAACCAAAATAATCGTTCTTGATGGCAAGATTCAGCAACTTGTTGAAGTCTGCATACGAAGGAGGGTAAGGCCGGTTTACAAAAGGATGAACAACTCGGGCGAAAAGCCTGATACCATTACAGGGAGATTGTTTTCTTTGCTCATGAAACCGAAGGCTAGTTCTTTTAAAAATGGTGAATGAAGAACATGGACCAAAGTCATGAGAGTCAGTGGCTTTATTCAATTCAGTCTTGTCGCCAAACAGTTCGTAAGCAAATCCAACGCCTGTAAAGTCGCAGGTATAATTGGAATATTGTTCGCATAATTGGTGTGCCCACTTCTGAAATTCTGAACGTGTCCATTCAAAGAGATGATCATCATGCCTGAAGCCATTCCTCCGCGAACGAGTACCGTTCACTGTTTTCGGGGAGATCATACGCAGAAGTGGATTAAACTCGCTGTTTGGTGTGGATACGATGAAAAACCTGGGTTGGATAACATTGAATACGAGCTCTTCCATGGAGTGTATCTCTTCGGGGGAAAGATGTTCAATAAATTCAGAAGCCACAACAGCATCAACATAACGAAATGAATGCAGCTGTTTGATGTCTCCTTGATACAGCTCAGCAGTTAAAGGGCGCCAGCGAAGGCGCTCTTTATCGTTAATCGCAATACCTTGCTCAGCACTGTTTAAAACGCCTTCATTAATATCGAATCCGGCAAGATACTCAATAGGCACCTTGTCATTGCAAGTTACCAAGTATGATAGTAATTGGCCTTGCGAACAGCCGATATCCAGTAACGACTTTATATCTGTAGCTTCTTCCAAAATCTCATAGATCTTTTTTCGCCGTTGAAGATGAAGAGGTGGAAAAAACCCATGATAATGCATCACAAATTTTTAATAATAAACGCACAGATTCTTCAGTGCAGAGTTATAAGATATCTTTATATGATAATGATACATGCAAACAAGAACATTCACAAAAGTCCAGTTTTAAAAGGCAGTCTACTGCTAATACAAACTACAGCTTGACGCACAACGATGGTAGCCAAAACATATTTGAAATTTACTGGTTTGAGCTTGCGCAATATTCGGACACTAAACCATTTTCATCCTTTCTAAAAATACAACGCCACAGCAAATGAGATTACACTCTATAATCGCATCCACAAAGTATAAAACGAAGCGTTAAGGGCACGAACCCGGGCAACAATTGCGTTTTCATTTCTATTTGAATGCTTCATGAAATTTAAGCTTATCTTAGCGAAACCATATTAGAGCTAATTCAAGCAGGTTTCCTAAGACATATTCACAAAATGATATGTCTGAAGCAGTTCGTATCAAATTAAATTGTATTTTTTAAAGTTCCTTGAATAAAAAAGGTAAAATCTATAGGTAATTGAAACGAGAGAAACAGATAAGTGGTACATCTCATAACTGTCCTGCACCCATTCGGGCAAGGCGATCTGCTGCTTCATTTCCGGGAACATTAGAGTGACCAGGGACGTAATGAATACTAATATCCCTATCCCTTTTCAACTCAAGAGCCGTCTTAATCAAGTCCTGGTTTTCTACCGGTTTATTAGAAGCACTCTTCCAGCCATTTTTGATCCATTTGCGATGCCAGTTTTCCAAGCATTCTTTAACATAACGACTGTCGGAATAAACATCAACACTTCCCTTTGTAACTTGCATCGCACGGATAAACGCATGCAATTCTGCCCTGTTATTCGTATGAGTATCTCCAGGAAGTGGTTCTGCTAGACTAGCTTCAGGCATATTGGGAAAGTAGATACCAACTCCCGCTCTTGCACCGTGTTTTCCATTTCCTAAGCAAGATCCATCAACGTAAACTGTTGTCCGATCAGAATTGGAAGTTGAATTTGTGGTACTGTGGGGGTTGTAGGCATTAGATGATTTGTTTTCTGTTTCATACAACTGCACTCGAAGAGAAGGATCATGTATGAAAGAAAGATGTCCGGTAGTTATTGGAGGTTCGCTTTTCCGAGCAGTATGTACACTTGATTTCTCAATCGCGTTGTTACCATAGCCAATTCTGGATTCTGGCATACCACTTTTTCTTGCAGTGAATCTTTTTTCACGTCCGTTTGCACTATGATCATAAGCCTTATAGCCTGGGATATCGTCTCTAAAAACTGGCGGATTGCTTTTTCTCGCAGTGAATTTTTCAGCACGTCTATAACCATCGTATTCATAACTTCTATTACCCGTTAATTTATTCTGCAGGACAGGAGGGTTGCTTTTCCGAGCAATAAATGTTTTGACAGAGTTCCGAATAGCGTGATCATTGTGTGTGTCATAAGAATTACAATTGGAGGAATTGGAAGATGTTCCATATATTGCCTGTTTACCTTGTTGGCAGAAATTTTGAGCTTCTTCATAAGAAGAGAATTTCTTATACTTAGCGGAGCTGTAACCGGTAACTTGTTGTTTCGCGTCGTCCCTACATCGTGTTAGTGCGGAAATTACCATGCAACTGAATGATGATACCAATTCGAGTAGATACCAGGAGTTCTGCCATTTGCAACGGCATAGTAAACACTTTTAGGCGGCATTTTTGAACCGTAATAAAAACGGTTCAAGAATGAAGCTTTGAATAATCCAAACACAATCTTGAGTATTTATCAAGTCCAGCAGCTTAGAAAACGATTAATCAATATACAATTCGTCTCTAAAAAGGGAAAAATGTGCTGTCACTGAATTGGTGTTTGGTGGTGAAACTCACCACCAAGTTTTTGCCTCTGTGAGCTCGCCCCCAGAGTACCGTACAGTTTCTTTCTTGCGTTCAGAGTTCGAATCGCACATGCGGAAACATGGATTTACTTGTACGGCATTGTTCCGAAGAAATTGCTTTGGACGGAACCTCCGGATGTCACGTTGATCGTTTGTGGTTTTTTGCAGAAAGATTCTATGCTAAACAAGGAATTGTGCAGAACATTGATGAAGATTTTAAAGCCTTTCTATGGCCATTTATCCTTCGTCAAGATGGAATTGAGGTGTGGATTCAACATCCAAAAACAACCGCAGCGAGTTTGATTACAGACATAACCGAAAACTATCGTGCTATAACAGAAGACGAAAAGCGACAACTTGTTCTACGAGCATCTGAAGATCGACAATGGCTCACTCTTACGTACAAAACGAAAGAGGATTCAAAAGTTCAACCTTTGGCTTTCGAGTTGCTATCATGTATTTCAAAACACAGAGAGGAAGGCGTTGATCGAATTCAGCTCTGTAAAGAAGCGGGCCAAGAGGCTCGAAGTGTGTATGGTCGCATTCAAGCGTTGGAAGATGCAGGGCTAATTTCAAAAATTGCGATTCACAAAAACAAAAACCTCACAGCTCTGCTTGTGCTGAAACGATTCGAGAATGAAAACAAAACTTTGCGTGATACTGTTGCACAGGTGTCAGGAAAGCCAATATATAATACGGAAAAAATCCGAAAAGACATCTGTGATATTGTTGGATCACAGAAGAATGGCATTTGCCGACATGTTGATGCTTGTCGATTGGTTAACCTTAGCAATAACAAATGGGAACGCAAATATTTTGCTCGACAAGTTCGGAATCTATACAGAGACGGCTACGTGAAAAAGTGTCTTTCGCAATCGCGAAACAGTGACCGTTCTGTGCGATGCATTCAATTCATAAGGTCTTACATTCCTCATTCTTCAAATGTTCCTGAAAGCCAAATCTCTGATGATGATCTTGAGGGCGAAGATGATGTGGAGGAAGACGAATCGCTTTTTGATACGAAATCCGAGATAGATGCTTCAACTATACAGGACGTGACTGAACTCCCTCAGTGGATGCCAATGTGGATACGTTTCCAATCAGTTGAGTACCAATGCTACCGCACTATTCGTGATCAAGGAACAAGGGGTGCCTTAACGCTTCATTTATTGAACACACTCACAGGCGAGAATTACGTGAAACCTCTATCAAAAATGCTTGAAGCACTTGTGGATAATGTTGCTTATGTTCCGCCTCATTTATCTCATTTGGCTATTGTTCGTGCCGAAGATAAAACCAGAAAATCGCGGCAGTATCGTTACTTTACGTGGTCCTCACAAGCTGATCGCTTATTACAGGATGGACTCTCTCTGGAAAGCGTATCCGCATCAGTACCCATGGTTAATGAAAGTGCAGGTGAACTTCCACCTGTTGACCACACACAATTTATTAATCCAATTGTTGCTTCGGCCATGGGCCAAAGTTCTCCAATGTTTTCGCTCATGTCGCCAGATGGAATGGGCTCCGTCAGACGCAAACGCGGCCGTCCACGAAAGAATACGCAACCTATGCTACCAGAGCCTCAACCTGTTCATCCATTACAAGTGGTTAATGCATCACCTACTTCAGCCATAAAAAAAGAGTTACAAATGGCGTCGGATCTGTCCATTCCTCCAACTCCGAGTCTGCTAAATTTTGCTAAAACAAATGATGGACTTGCTATTGCTTCGCCATTTTCAAGCGAGTCATTGGCCAAGATGAACCCTGAAACGGGTGACGTTTCGCAACTCAGTAACGTTAGTAAAATGGGCACTCCTTCCAAGGATTACTACTCCTCAACATCGCAACCTGTGTCTGTTTTTTCTACACCGACACCTGCTTTTGTGCAGCGAGAACACTTGGACAGATTGCGCGTTAGTACGCCGCCAGTAAAACGACCTCGCTTAAACACTGTTGATTTCCTTTCTCTTCAGAGACAAACTTTGCTACTTGCCTATTTGGACTCCCAAAATGGTGTATTCGAGGTCGGTAATCATTGTTTGGAAGCAATTGCTGACCTAAATATGCGCAGAAATCCAGATGCAGGTCGTACTGTAATGGATCGAAGAACCTTTAGCGGCATCGTTACAAAGCTTATTCAATCGAAGAAAGTACGGAAAGTTGTCATGGCATTTGAGAATGGTGCCGGCACGCTTCAAAAACGAGAAATTATAATTCGTTATGATATATCAATGGATGACCCTCGGATTCAACAAATGAAGGAAGTTGTGAAAAAGCGAATTCAAGAACAATCTATATCGAATCGGAAACCGCTAACAGTTTTACATGATGTGGAGTTTGACGTTTTAAAGAAATCCCGTAAGAAACCCAAGCCTACTGTTGCTGCTCCAGTGCGTAAGCAGCCACGCGTTCAAGAGTTGAATAATGCTCAGAAAATGAAAGCAAGTGCTACTATTGCTGCAAAGGAAGCAAAACGGCGCAGTAAAGTCAAAACCGAAAAATCAGGCGTTGATAAGGTTTTTGATGAAGGAAGGCGTTTGCTCGAATCTTTAGCACCTAGTGTCGAGAAGTTAACTCCAGGTTCCTCTCCGGCATTGGAAAAGTCGGGTAGCAAGTCTACATACGTGCGGCAACGAAAAGATCGTTATGCCTTGGGCTCAGACGATGAAAATGAAGAGCTGCCAATGGGACCTTTGATCATCAAACGATCTGTTAAGCGGCTCCGTCATGACTTTTCAAGTGAGGAAGACGATACATTGGTACGAGCTGTTACTATTACTCAGTTCTTTTATGGTGGAAATAACAGACTCATCAAGTGGAAAGCCGTTCATAAATGTTTACCACATCGTCCACTCGATTTGCTTGGTAGACACTTCACTACTATTCGCCAGTATCCTAGGTTCAAAGCTCTACAGCAATTTCTTTATGAGAATTGGGAATATATGTACCGTGATGCTTTGTCAGGGGTGATCTTGAGCCTGTTCCCGAGAACAGTGATGAGTTTAATCCCGAAGCCTACGTTGAAGCATCTCGAAGACCATACCTTTTAACGAACAATGTCTCTTCGGACTTAAACTTTCCAGAGTCAATGGAAGAGCTGAACACGCGTTATGACATTCAAGAGATTCCGCTTGTCTTTGTACCAAAGAATCATGTGTTCGATACATTTGTTTCTGCAACATCACGGATTAATGCCTTTGCCGACACGGGGTTTATTATTCCGTCATCAGAAATAACAGATACAAATGACAATGATGAAAACGCTGGGGATAACAAAGACGAACGCCAGCAATCGGAACTTCAAGATCAAGAGCTTGACAATGAATTGATCTTTCAAGCAAAATCAACTATTAAAAGTATCGTTGCCATTCCTAATGACTCGTATGATTCTGAGTTTGCCAAGTCAAGGCTTTTGGTTTACCCGGAAAAAGTGCTTATTCTCGCCCACCAGGAGTTGCTTAAAAATCGTATCACTAGTCGTGTGCATTCTGAAGTCACTCGTCTGCAGCCGGGACGAAACTTTCAATTTACAGAAAAATTTGCGAATTCAATAAAGTCTTTGCTTTCGCCGTTATTCCTTCCTCAAGCAAACCAGTTCAGTCGATATCTCACAGACGGCTTTTCTGCAGGGAAAAGTCACTTGTTACAAGAGCTCTCAAACAATGGTACAGTGGGCTGTGTTTTGGATCTACTTTCTCAAAGACTGATAGATATATCAATAGTACGAAGTAAGTTCACCGAAGCTGGAATTACTGAAGGCTATAAGACGAGGCTGCTTGAACGTGATAACATTAATCTTGGTCTTGTTTTGACGAAACGAGCCGATGCTTCAGATCCTTTTGACTCAACCGTTACTGCGAGGCCTCCTAAGCAGGAGCCTCGATTATGGTTGGATGGCAAAGCAGAGTTCATAAAGAAGATCTGGCTTGAAATTTTGCACGCTATTCTACATCAGCTTATGCGAAAACCTGGCATCAGTAGAGCACAACTTGCTTATCTACTCTATCCGGGACTGGAACGTAGAGAGTTTGATGAAGTCTTGAACTATGTCATCGCTTCTCGGGCTGCCAGGGAGGATGATGGTCTGTTTTTGAATCATGGCTATTACAACTATTTATGGTAATCGATTTTCAAATAAAGGGACATTGGAATGTAGGAATAGTTTAATAATTCACTTTGTATTCTAGTAATCTTGACCTTTTGCTTATGAGCGTTTCTTGGTATTAACGAAGAGAGTATTCGGGCAAGTACTAGTGTTAAGTAACCGCATCAAACCTGTATTACTTCATTCTGTTAAGATTAGAAGAAAAGAAAGCGAAACCTCTTATCTAAAGGAGAAAATGCTTATGTACTCTTGATTAAGAACGTATTACTGTCGTTCAAAGAGTCATTCACAAACAAAGTTCTGTGTAGTTTTGCATTTGAAGTAACTTCAGCAACAATGGAAACAGATAATCCAATCGAGTTAATACAGTCAACATTAGCCGGATTTCAAATAGGACCGGACCTTAAATCACTTGCTCATATACAGATTGCTAAAGAAGAAATTTCAAAGCATCGGCAGCAACAATTACAGGATTCAGTGAGCCTTTTAAAAGGTTCGTTTAAACATTCATTTATCCTTTACTAAATGATTTAGCACTATCGCGGAAGTTAGAAGTTTCTGCTCAAACTCTTGTTTCATTAGAGAATTCGAGCAGAGAAAATGACCACGAGAAAGCAGTCGTTTCTTTAGATCGCCGCCGTTTCCAATTAGCGAAAGCGATTAATGATACGGAAACGGAAATCATGAGTTTGGAATCCACCCTGCAAAATATCAAGACGCAATTACTCGAGTTGGAAGAGACGCCAAAAAAATCACAGGAGGCCTCAGAAGATGATGCAACGCTCTTGAAATTACAGTGTTATAGATCTCTCGGCATTGAACTAATGGAGGATGAAACAACTGGTGGCCGTAAAGCAATTATCCGTATGTGCGAGAACGAAAATATTGAAAAGCAAACATAATAGAAGCTATACTAACACTTCACACAGATACGGATAAAAAAATTAGTGTTGTCCAGATTACACAAAAGAATGATCCATTTTTCTACTCTAATCGGTTATGGGAATTACTATATGAACAAAACACAGAATCATAATATACCAATGATCTTACAAGTCAGCAAAATCTTTCAGCTTTTTCTCCAGAGAACGAACTGCCAAATACACCTGATGTGATTCAATTCTGAGGACATTAGCTGCTGCAGAGAATATTCCATTAGCGGTATCTAAGTGCATTTTTTTACTTGCTGTTAATGGTACGTAAAGCTGACCAGCAGCAGTACTATTGTCCTTTCCTCTGCTTTTGAAAGTCTGGCAAGTGTTAAAAGCACTTTGTTTTTCTTGCAGCTGATACAAATCATCTGAGTGAGCTACACTTTCTGCTTCGCTATTTTGCATGTGTGTATCGGTGTCCTTTGACTGCAAAGGAAACAACTGTAATAAACCAGATGGTATATTATTTGGGTTTTCATCTACAACCCACGTGTTTTCGAACCAATCCAGATAATTATCGAGATCCTTTGCATCCATTTTGAGTATGTCTCTTTCGACGAAATCCGAAGATTCCTCTAAGGCTGGAGTCTTTTTGGTTTGATGGCTGCGCAACCACCGATCCCAATTCGGCAAAACTATAGAAGCATCCATATTGGAATTCGGTTTTCCTTGGGAATAGGATAAGCCGTAGCACATATTTAGAATGATGATTAAACAAGCCATTAGCAAAACTTCGGGTGATTTGTGAGGATGTAAGCGTTTATAACCAGTTTCCGAGTTTGTATATTGGTGATAACTCAGGTCCAAGTGAAAAACATTTCGAAGCCGAAGGGTCGGTAATAGGAGTTCGGGTGGAAGGACAAGGCGTTTCAGGTAAGATTGTAGAATGAGTGGAGTATTCAAGGAAGGAATTAAAAGAGAAATCTTCTCAGAGAAGAACCGTATCATTAACCCCACAGATTCATGAATACGTTCTGTTGAAGGTTGCACTTTTGGAGTAATTTGTCGGACATAGCCGACATGAAGCCGTATCCGTAGAGTATTTGGTAAAAGATTATATGCTTGCATATATGGGATTTTGTTTGTCGATGTCCAATACTGAATATCAGAGGTGGTGACAGGAAGTCGAAGTAATAAACATCCAATCTGTATTAGAGCCAAGCTATGAATCAGTTTTGGCCATTCCATTTCCTTGTCAACCTTAACTTCGTCTTGTTGTTCAGAAGAGGGTAGGTGCTCAAAGTCTTCCAAGTCAGAGTCCTCTTCACTATTGGGTTGTTGCTGTACAGTCTCGTTAATAGCCTCGGCCAGGTTTTGATGAAAGGCAGAGCTTTTGAATACATTAGAAACAATTACTGCCCACAAAGAACGTATGACTGCTTCACAACGCTGATCTACTCCAAGTTCGTTTACCAACGCATGTGTTTGAAGTTGAAGAATGTGTTGCATTACCTTCAAAAACAAAACTTTTCCCTCTGTACCGTAAAGTACAAAAGACGTTGGGGCGCTTTCCAAATTGTTTGCGACAGCCTTTCTACGTCTGGTGGGTGCAGCTAAAGAGCCCGGCTCGTCATCTTCAGCAATTTCAATTAAACCCTGATTTTGGTTAGACAAGAAACGGCCGAACAAAAGGAGAACAAACCTCTTGTGCATGTCCTCTACGACAGAATGTTTGACCAGAATTAGTGAAGTACCAAACGCTCTTGCAGTTGTTTACTTGGCATGGTTTTCCTTTGAACCAAGGACTATTTGCGCCGTTCATAATTGAAACGGCTAAATATGTTCGGATATTCTCAAAAAACTGATACGAAACACCAAAAGTCCTTTGATAACGACAGAATAATGGTTTTTATGTGTGAAATATAGTAAACTGAGTAAATTTAATAAAAAAACGCGTAAAATGAGCAAAAATCAGCAAAATCCAAATCTTTTTGAATGATCTGTACAGAACCCTCAAAATTGAAATGAAATCATTGCAGATTCACGATCAATTCCACTGAATCACAAATCAAAGAATTCTTGTCGTTGGGAGACGACAGATGCCGTCTCAGCGACCCCGCGGCCCACGACAGGTCACGTGGACACAAATTCTCTCGCTTAATGTCGCTACTAGTGTCGGCCGACGTCGCAAATATCTACCAATCAAAAAATAGCCGAAAAAGTTTGCGACACACGCGCGCTACACTGGTTTCACAAAATACAACAATTTAAACGTCCAAACACCATTTATTTCAACGGTCGGGTATATTTTATTTCAAAAAGACCGAAAGGAATGTCATGTCAAGCACGTTATAAGCATGACCGTGCGTTTACGCACAAGACAATCACATTACGGAATCCGTTTATTGGTTAGGGGCGTCACGGACACCGAGAGCGCACTCCTCACCCATAGCGGAAACGACGGTGATGATGAGCTCTCTGCCCTCGTCAAAGCCCTCCTCAATTTGTTGGCCGAGCTCGCCCTCAGGGAGACGAACATCGTCCTTGGTGCTGCCATCGGCAGTCATGAGGGTAAGGTAACCGTCTTGGACATCAATGAGAGTGTACTCGTCACGCTTGACGACAGGGACCTCAAGGTTGTGGGTAGAGGGGCAGATATCCTCCATCTTACGGCTATTGAAGATGTCGAGAGCGACAATGTGGACCTTAGCATGACCGTGCTTACCGGTCTTAGAGGTAGACATGTCGACAATCTTACAGGGGCGACCCTTAATGACGACGTGACCGTTCTTACGCAAGGCAGAACATTGCATAGGGAAGGTAGCGGAGGCGTTAGCCGAGCCGCTCTCGAAATCGTGGTGTTCTTCAGCCATTATGATACGCTCTGGCCAGAAACAAGCGCATCGAATCGCAACTTGTTCTGTTGTGACTGCTGTTTTTGCCCTACCCTAAACAAATGACACGATTTTTGTGAGTTTAGGTTATTTGAATAACCTAGGTGTTCGGAATTGGGGTTTTTGGTCCTAGCGAGGTTAGGAAGATGGGAGGTAGCCAGAAGGGCCCATTGGGATTCACCATTCGGCTGCTACAAACGAATTGTCATTTGTCATTGGCTTTCCTGTATTGGTAAAACATCTTACCGGTTTCTGCGACATCCAGGAACTGAATGGCGGAAGGTAGTGAAGGAACATGCATTGATCGGTCGCAGGATGTCTGTGAAACGCAATCTCTAGAAACAATAGTTGAACGTGTGGAGGAAGCGTTGACGAACTTTCAACGAAATTTGGACATTGCTTCCAAGGATATGAGCATGATTAGCGACCGGTCACGGAGGATTCAAGTAAAATTGAAGAATATGGAAGCTGCGCAAGCAAAGTTAGTTGGTGAAATCGACAACTCAGTTGTCCCTCCTCCTCTCATTCGCAGTATCTGTTCCGGTGACATGGACGCCCCAGAGTGGCTCTTGTCTCTAGATCAATTATCAACGTTACTCGCAGCTGGTGCACAAAATGAAAAGCAGGGGAAATTTGTCGAAATGCTCCGAGACAAAGCTATAGAACGAATTCGTAACTACATTGTCGCATCTATCCGTGCTTTCCGACGAGCTCTCGTTGATATCAATGGCTTACAGCAAGGTCATTTCACTTCAAAAGCACCGTTCTATGCATTCTGTTTCCAATACAACAAGGAACTGGCACTCGAGTTGCAACAGGCTTATGTGAACACTATGCGTTGGTGCTATTCCTATCATTTGGAACAATACTGCAAGTTTTTAGAGCAGCTTCACGTTCAAAAGGGAGAAATTATTAAAGTTGAAGACGATAAACGGGGTTTCTTTTCTCTTACACGGACATCTGCATTAACTGTGCAGCAAAATTTCTCTCTTGGTCTCCGTTCCAACGAGAATTTAAATTCAATCATTACAGTCGCTCAGCTACCCAGACTTAACACGCAACACATTCATTTGGAAAGGGTTTTTTCTTCTTTAGAATTAGTACTTACGGAAAATGCCAGCTCTGAGTACAGTTTTCTGATGGAGTACTTCTCTCTCTCTGGTGAAGAGCGCACTACTGTGTTCAATCAAATCTTTGAGCCTGCTTTCTCTGTATGTAATCACTACCTTCATGACCTTATTCATGCATCTCAGGATTGTTTGGGCGTTCTCATTTGTATTCGGTTTACCCAAGGACTTGCACTTGAATCCCAGAAAAAACTTGTTCCGGTGTTGGAACCCCATTTAAATTCAATGCTCTTGATGCTTTGGCCACGATTTCAAGCTATCATGGACTTGCATTCGCAGTCAATTCACAAGACTAGTCTTACGATCAGGACTGATGATTCAAGTGTTCGACCACATCCTCTTTCACAAAAGGTAGCCGAGTTAATCCACAGTTTGTCTTCACTTTGTGCTCAATCACGGGAAGACGAGCCAGTGGAACGAAGTGTGGCTCGTGTAGTTCAAGAATTTGTTACAACTTTAACGAAATTGAGCAACACGATTTCAGATCAACATCATAGAGCTCGATTCCTTTCAAACAACTACACTTTGGTATCTGCAGTACTAAGTGGAGCTCCAGGAAGACTCGCAGCTGAGCAGAAAAAGTATTTTGATGAGTTAGATACTTCGACGACTAATACGTCTACATGATAATTATAGTATTCATATTTATGCTTTAATTCCTTTTTATAACAAAATTTACAACGAATTAGCACATAACCACATAAAAAAGGGAAAATAAACTACGTTTGATGTTCTTTAACGACCCTAAGAAATCCTGCAACTCGTCCCATATCAACTTCACCAGGTTGCCCGTCGCTTTCGACAGCTTGTAATAAGCTTTCGAGTAATGAGTCGACGCGCTCTTCTTCAACGCCTGTGCACAAAGAGACGACACGTCGGCATTTGGACTTTATGTCGCTGTTTCTTTGCCAAAGTTCATTAGATAAGCGGTTGAGTAATTGTTCGTTCTTTTCGTAGGCGTAAATGAAACGTTGCAGCTCCTCGACCGACATTTTGCTAGGATCTTCGTCAATAGCTATAGGCATACCAGACGAAGAGAAAGAATTAAAGCCAACATGGCTTCCTTCTCCGATGCGCGCAAGCTCGGATTTTTGTTCCTGTATAGACAGTTCCAAGTTTTTGCTCCGCTGTCGTAACTCTGATAACAAATCGGCTTGTCTCCTCGAACGATCGAGCTGCTGGCGGAGGTCTGCCAAACGTTTGGTTGCCTCACGAAGTTGTGCATAAGTAGAGTCAACCATTGACTGTTTAGCGGCCATTTCGTCCTGAAAGTCACGATCGAGAGAAGTAATTACTTCCGTAACTGAGGAAACAATTTCTTGACTCTTGTTTTGTACCGGTAAAGTATCCACGTTACCCTTGTTTGTTTCATTTTCACGGGAGATTAGATCGTGTACACTGGCATTTTGAACAGGAATAGGTTGATCGCCGAAGATACCGTAGTCTTTAGCACTTAAGCCGGCACGATTGGAGATAGCAATAGAGGCACCTGCTTGCATAAGTATATGAACCATTGCTTTGTTGCCGATGCGAGCGCAGATGTTGAGAGCTGTATCTCCATTTTTGTCTTGATAATTCAAAAAATTCTCAACGAAACTTGACAATGTGAAGTTTTTAGAATTGCATGAGAATTTGAAGGACCATTGAAGAAAGGTCTCTAGATAGTAACGAGAGGCAGAACCACGTCCCTTAACGGCCCCGGTGAGACAGATGTGGTGCAAAACAGTTCGACCTGAATGATCCACTGCTATTAAGGAAGAGTACAAGAGGTCAAGAAGCTCATGAAATGAGGATTGGTTAAAATGATTTGTGACAAGTACAGCTCGGTGAAGGGCCGTTTCGCCCGAATAGTTTCCGCGCAGCGGATTGGCACCATTACGTACAAGTACTTCAATAAGAGGAATTCGAGCCAAAGCCGCAGCCCAATGAAGAGCGGTGTTTCCCAATTCATCAATGGGCACATCCATGTTCAGAGCTTTGGAAACTTTTGCTTGTAAATAAACGGCATTTTCTTGAGCGGAATCAAGAAAAATAGAGGTAAGAACATCACGAGAAGCAGCAAAGTCCTGTGTTGAGTTCTGTTGTAGCGGGGGTAAGCTTGGAATGATATTGGTAAAAGAGAGTGCAGGATTCAGCACTGGGACAGTTGTCCCGTTATTATTTTCCGACTTCGTGTTCGACGGACCGAGTTTACCTAAGTTGTAAGAGTTAAGGTTTCCACTGTTTAAGCTGGTGCCATTGCCAGAAGTGGATTTCTGTTTCTTGGCGGAGGGCTCCATGGATTCGTCAATGTCATTAGACTCTGGGGCAGCTAGCGGGCCAAAAGCATTAGGGGTATCGTTAGTGTTTTCACGTACACGGGTAGTGACCAATTTGTTTTCATCATTGTACGCAGGAAGTTTGGGGCGCGAAAAGGACGAAGAGATATTCGTGTTGTCTGGGTTGCTTTGGCTCTGCTGTATCCCAGAGGTGGTTTGATTATTGTTTGGAAGTGCGTTCGTGTTGAATGAAAGCAAAGGTTTCAATGTCTCAGTTAGTCCGTGTTTCTCACAAATGTTCCCGATGCGTGAAAGAGGAACCCACACTCCATTCAGTTCAGCATCTCTCCCATCCACATTTTCAAAGTCCCCAGCAGCAATTATAGGATCCAATTCTCGGGCGATTTGCATGGGTGAAGATCCAATGAGTTGCAGTACATGAGATAGATTTACATAAGAGTCGCTACAACGACGAAGGACGCGTTTTCCATGATAGAATAGCTCAATGTAAGGCTGACCAGAATAGCTCACACTGTACAGATTAAGCAAACTTCCGTCTTTTTGCGACTGTGAAAATAGACTTAGTCTTTGCTGATCAATATCTCTTTCTAAGACGCGTTTATTCACCGAATTTCCCATTAATGAATCATATTTTAAGGAATTCTGCACTTGTTGGCCGTGTAGTCTAGCGCGTTCTTCTGTATTCTGGGTCATCGATTCAGTTGACGGGTCCATTGAAAGGCTCGTTTCGTTACGAAAGAACACGCGAAAAACAAAGGATTCGTTCCAATTTGTTTATTTTGGAATTGTGCCTCTGTGTTTATTAGTATGTACGTGTTTAGAACAAAAACACGAAACAATGACCTTTAAGATATTGGCGTAGGGTGGACCTGATGGTATGTGACACGTACACATACCGAGGTTACGCGGTATATTAAATGGCGGAGAGCGTGGTGGTGGAACTAACAGGGCGATTGAAAGGTGGCATTAAAATAAAGAATTATAGGATACTCGATTATTTTTTTAAAAATAGGTAAACAAATCCTTAGGAAAGATTTAAGTTTTTGGATTATTTTGTTGATTTTTCCTGGATTTTTAGTATTTTATTGACATTGTTTTATAATTATCGGTTAATTGATTTCTAATAAATGAAATTGACTGGATTTTATTAGAACAATATATCACAGTTTTATACAATCCATCAACTCATCTTAAATTTGAATATGTCATTTATCATGGCTGCTAGTTTTTATTCTAGAGGAAGAAACTTCCTTAATATCATGAATTTCAGTTGATCCGAATCTCTTAAATGGATACAAAATCCAGACAACTTTTCCTGTGATTAATCCAGTGGGGACAGGTCCAAAGCTGTTACTGTCACTATCCGTTAGTTAGTAAACTCTGAATGTTATGAGTTGCTTAAATCCATACACTGAGTGAAATTGTTCGTCTCCTTCAATCCAGACATGTCCTTTTGGTATAGTTGTCGTCTTTTTAGTATGTGGTTTACGTGTACAAACAATGTCATTTTCAATTGCAACAATTCTCTTTACCATTGTAAGTTTGGGATTCAATGGGGAGCTATTGAAAGATTAGTTTAGCTCTCCTTTTGTAAACTTGTACTCACAGCACAGTAACAATGTCGCCGCGACGATAATTGGAATTCCATTTGTTCAACAGAACAACATCCTCCCTTAGTAAGTTGGTTTCCGGGTTCAAAGTGGGTTTCATTGATCTTCCTTTAACAGACGAGACACTGTACAAGTTATGGTCTACAAAGAAATATACCGGAATCCATAATCCAATGCGAAGAACTCTGTGCGTCCACGTACGAAATCCTTGCGAAAAGGAAAACGTCCATGCCATTGTGGACCTCAATCTCAGTAATCAAGTATAAACACCCACCTCTTAAATGTGCCGATTCATGAAAATATTAAACTTGATGCTTTGTGTCATACACCAATAATTCTACTACGAACGAAGTGATAATACTGGTTTGAAGGACGTTCTACAGTTTTTAGAATTTTTTTTTTTTCTTTTTTTAATTAACTATGTAATTGGGCTTGGAAGGCCGATTCTATACATGTTTTGAGCTAGTGTGCGTTAGAAAGGGTGAAACGAGTTGCAGAATTAAAAGTAACTTACTTCATCATAGGAAATGGGTGTGAATTCCCTCTCATCTCTTGAAACGAGCACGATACGTTTATTGGAACCGGCAACCAGCTGTTCGCGTTAGTATATTTGTTCGCTGACAATACTAGCTTTTCATTCATAGTTTTGCATACCTTGGATAAACAAGTCAAAACATGTTGCAGATCAAGAACAGGGCTTCCGCTCTCATCAACTTGATGGAAAACGAAATCGCGGAAAAGCTGGGAGAGTTGGACGCGTTTTTCCTTCGTCAATGACCGGGGATTTACAGCGGCATTGGGATTTTCTAAAACATGAATAAGCTTGAAAAGAATCCGCACAATACGGTTGTGCTCCATTAATCCCGACAAGCAAGCCTCCGTTTTTTGAGTCTTTGCAAAAGAGTTATTTACAATTTGCATAAGTTGTGGGGCAATGAGGTTCATAAAGTTAGTCATATCCTTGTTCTCATGTGTCTCTGATATTAAAAATATAATGGCCTTCCAAAAATCATGTGAATAGTTTTTGCGAATGTTCGTTGCGGCAGTCGTCAAATCTTCATCAACATTCCCAGTACAAAGAGCAACCATCATTTTTCCGAATGACTTTATGTCATCATTCTTAGATTCTTCAATTGACAGAGTATCAGACTGCAGAAGACTTTTGGTCGCACAGCTGCTTAACCGTATACTATTAAGTTAGTCGTGAAGTTAACGACATGCTTACCGATTATTCGAGTCAACGAGAACTCTTGACAAGGAAATACCAGATGGAGAAAGTCCGTGATTGTGTAAATAATGAAGCGCAGAAGCAGTTTGACACATAAAAAACCAAAGCGTTTTTTCGTTCAAATCATCAATGCTTGTTTTTCCTCCAGAGTTTTGTGTGCTGAAGTACAATTGATGAAGCGAACGGGAACAAGGGTAATAATCGTACACGAACATCAGCGCTGCAAATGTTAGTATAAATTTTCAACAGCGTACAACTCACAAGAATCGTTGAAAGTATTAGTGCTGAAAACGTCATGAATGCTTATAACGTTAGGATGCAATAAGGAACGCCATTTTTCAAGAAGAACTTTGGAACATTGTACATTGCAGTCTCAATTGTTAGCGTCATTATAATTATTGAAACCGTACTTTGTACTCGTTGAAGAGTGTAGGTCAAATTGTCGAGAGTAGATATCGCTTTGTATGTCCAACAGGGATACCCTAAATTGTGTTTGAAGCGATCCAGTTTCGTATTTAGTGGAACAAGGGATTTATAAATCGCGACATCTGTTGGCAGGGCTAATAAATTATTAGCGATCAAATCCTAGAATAGCAACATGTAGTTTGTACACACCTGCAGCAACTTGATGGGAGGCCTCGCACTTTTTCTGAATACTTTCACGAAGCTTGCTATCAATGAACAAGTCATTTGTCAGTCGCTCGTATGGTTGCAAAATAGGCGGATGTTGCAACGGAGGATTGTAAAGATGATAATTTGTCTGCAGATTAGCAAAACGTTGTAAGAAAAGGTCTTACAGGCTGAAAATGAGATTGCTGGTTATAAAACAAGCTGAGGTCATCGGGATACTGACTGTTCACAAGAAGAGAAGAAGTCATATAAGAACCAGAAGGAGCCTGTGCGTTAGTAGTGGAGCATTGCAAGAAGCAGTTGTACATTCGGAATGTTTTTTGAGGAGACCGAGCCCATCGAATGCAAACTCATGCTACTGCTCTCCCGACTGCGTGGAACGAATACAGGAGCGTTCGCATTTTGAATCGACAAGGACTTGTTGGGTTGAAAAGATGCAGAAGCAGCATTCAATTTCTTTTTTCTAACGGATGAGCTTAGGGTTCTTGTATATGGTTTTTCCATACGTTGCAGAAAGACTAGGCGAATTGGCCGGTGAAGACTGAATTGAAGTTAGAATGGGTTCGAGCCGCTCCAGTCTGCGCAACATACAATATCATGACGGAACTGACAAGTTTTATCCGAAAACTTGCAGTGTCCGTATAGTAGTATATTCCGACAAAGTGTTTTTTTGTTTTTTAACTTTGGGCTCCCTAAAAACGCGACTGTTAGATTTTTGCACACAAATTTTAAACCATACTTATTTCCTGCTGTTTTTGATTATTAGGTGACCCCATTACGCACCAATTTTAGTTGGAAAAGGTCAATTCTGGGGATTTTGGAGGATGCCTAGTCAAGGACGGGGAGCTGGTAAAGGGGTATAAAGCAGGCCCGCCAAGCATTTAGAAATTGCAAGTACTGAATGTTAGGACTGATGTAACATTAGTCGCTGGTTGAGATAAGTACTGTTTTTATTGAAATTCAGTTTAAGACATGCTGTGCTGTGTTACACAGTAATGTGATTGCGTGTGAAAGAAAAAGATCTCGTTATAGAACACAGGTTTTATTAACGAGATCATAGCGAAATTACTTGCTTGTATAATTTAACTACAAGAATTACATGAGAGTAATAAACTGATAGTTTTAATTTACTGTAAATTTAATTAAGCGAAGCGAGTTCTTGGCTTGGCAGAAGATAACGAAATCTAGCTACTCTGAACGACAAGGCATAGAAAAATATGATTCTATCTATGGTACTTACGGGCCTATTTCTGGACAATGATTATTTCTTGGAATAGTTCCTTTGGTCACGGGTCTTTGATATTTTATTATGTGAACAAACAATATGTTGAAGACAAGCTATATATGCTGTACAAAAAAAAACGAATATTGGCTACTGTATGTCATAAACAATTTTAACAAATGGGACTTAGACGAAAATGATAAATAGACTTTTGTGCAATTTAAAAAATAATTAAATTATTACGTAAATAAAATAAAATAAAAAAGGAGAAAAAACATAATGTCTCAAAAATATCATTGCAAATCAACACAACCGTTGTCCAAACCATAAGGTGTTACCGTTTTATTTATTCAGGTTTTCGTGTTTATTGCTGTCAGGTGTATTTAGCCAGGACCCTAGTAGAGCCTAACATCCACAACCTACCAAGTTTCATACAGAATGAATTCTGTGGGTTCTGAGCCATGGGTCACGAAGGAAATAGGTTATTCTGAAAAGATCCGAAAGGAAAAAGGCAAGGAATTTGCCTTCCTGGTCTCAGAGACTATGGATTGGCTAAATGAACATATGTCTGAAATATCTAAATTGCAATTTGAAACGTAAGCAACGGAGACTCCTTTACCGTTCATTAACAAAATCAGAGATTTCTATTCATTAGTGAAAACTCCTAGTCGCTTCAAAGCGAAGTATGGAACTCCTGCACTGAGTCCTGTCAGAAGATGTATGCTTCCTACCCCGAAACAGCTCCTCGCGTCTTTTCAGCAACAAGATGAGAGTGTAGAAAGTGAGGAACACATGCTTGTTCCGTCGGATCCAGCAGCTTTGAAGAATCATCAAGTTCACGATTCATCAGACTCTTTACTAGACATCATCGACAACGGTGCAGCTCAGCATGCGAAGGAACATGAGAAGGAAGAGGAAGAGGAAGAAGTGAAGAGAGAGTCTGCTCTGTCTGAAGATTCAGTAACTCTAGTGAAACAATTGACGAAGCAAGAATCGACATCAGCTGAAAAAGATGACGCAAAGGACAATTCGACCACTTCAAAGGGAAATGAGCTACAACTTTTTAAGGAAAAAAGTCACGACAGTGCTGACGAAGTCAAGGTCAAGAAAGAAAAAGCACCAAAATCACCTGTGAGCCGTCATCTCTTTTCCGATAAGATTTTAGGTGCTAAGAGGGGCATCGTAAAGCCATTGATTGAAAAATTCAACAAAATAAGATTACCGGCAAAGCGGAAATCGGAAGTGCTTTTGGAGGATGAGGATGAGAGCAAAAGTTTGAAGGAAAACAAGCGTACTGTTACTCATAAACCTCAAGACATCGAGGCAGATCCAGAAACCATTGCCGCCGTTGCGGATTTGACTTCTGCAAATGTTAAGGACGAATTATCGTCTAGCAGTGCTAGAACATCTCATGTAACTCGGCCTTTCATGAAACGAATGTTATCATCACCTACTAAGCAAGACCGAACCTCCCCTGTTCGTCGCCAAACAACTACGATAACCACGCCTCGTAGTGAACGGACACGCGTATTAGGTGCATTGACTAACCGAAAGACTTCACATGCACCATTGACGCCAAAGATATCAGCTCCCGTTGATGCAGTTTTAAATGCCGTCAGAAATTCTGCTGCCAAGGATTTCCAACTTGCGAAACAGAAGATGGGATCACTTACGCCGTCTCAAGTGTCTCGTAGTCCAGAACGTCACACTACGGTTATTAATGAACTTCCCAAGATACCAGTTATGCCTACCTACTCGAAATTATCCACACAACAAACGCATCAACGTTTAAAGATACGTGGCAAGAAAAACTCGAATCCCTTTGCCGATGAAGATACGAACGAATCGTCTTCCTCGTCTCCAGCAAAGTCATCTTCTGGCAAAACTCAAGAGAAAAATACCACAGCATTAACTGAGCGATTAGAGAACGCAGCAAAGAGCAAGTCTGCCGATGAATCTGCTGCTCGACCATCTTCAACTGTCTCAGAGGCCGGTTTACTCTCTCGTTATGACTTACGAAAACCTGTTTCCCGTATGACCTCAAACTCTTCCAAACCCGTGGCTATTCGTATTGCAACGGCATCTCAGCGTGAGTTGGGCAACAATGAGAAGCGTAAAGCGAAGCCTACGTCTTCGCTACAGAATAATCAACAACACCAACCGGTTGAAAGCATGAGTACGTCTATTGCTGCAGAAACGAATGATGCGAGCACACACCAAAATGAATCAACTGTTCGTCGAACGCTTCCTAGTCGACAAATGAAAACGCTGTCGTCAACAAAAGCAGCAAAATTGCGTGACGGTAAAGATCATTCCACGGCATCCTCATCTGCATCTTTTAAACACGAATCTAAGGCACGTTCGGGGAAGGATCATACGGGAAAGCATCCTGAAGACGCTAAATCGGATGCCCCATCTCGTATTACTACGTCTGTTTCTAATACAACATCATCTTGGCAATCTAAATTAAGCAAGCGTGCTGAAGAAGCTTTGCGAAAAAGAAAAATGATGACCGATGATATTGGTAAATCCAAGCTGGTCTTGAAACCCAATTTAACCCGTGTTGCTTCAAAATATTCGGGAGCACCTACACGCGAACTGCCAGAAGACAAGTCAATTGGTTTGCATAACGGTACACTGAAGAAGACAGGGTCTGACAACTCGTTGGCATCTCGGGCTTTACCTGCTGGCGGTAGCGTTGGCGCCCCAAAGCTTCAAAAAATCTATGAGAACCAGGAAGCAAAGCATACCACAAACGCACAATTGTCAAACTATCACAGTAAGGTGAACATGCATCTTGGATCATCTTCTCTTCTTGCACAAAGCGTTTTACGAAATGCAAAGAAACGCTCCTCGCACGATAATAATGGTTCTAATAATCATTTATTAAAAACCCCGGAAGCAAACATACGCTCTTTTGGTTCAAAACACACCGGCTCTTCTGGTAAGCATCATCGTTCACCTGCCGAATCGACGTCTCCTCTTATTCCCAGTGAAGCAATTGAACTTCCAGAGATTGATAGTGACTACTCAGACAGCAGTGACGATGATGAACAGAAGCGAAAGCAAAAGTTGAACCTTCCATCTTGGGCAGAATCACCTGAACTTCGTGAACAACTTCGGCGCCAACAAAAATTGGATCCGGACAAAATTTTTGGAACCATTAAACCTCCGGAGATTGAGGAACTTTTTAATTCAAAGGACCGACCCAGATCTCGCTTTCGTCCTCGTAGTTCATCTGCTGACTGGTCTTCACAGGATCGTTTGACTCAAGCGGAAATCGAGCAATACAAGAAGCAAATGGGGTATCTATAATAATGAGTTATGACTGCATAGAAACCACATTTTTTAATGAAATTATTATCCCTTTGTTTTGATTTAACCTTATACAAATAGCTACGAGTCTCGTAAGTAACAACGTTTCGCGTGCGATATGTTTGAATGTGTTTGACTTCGTTTGGGTAAATGAACATAAAAAACAAACAAGCTTTAAAAAAATGTTTTATTTACTGTGTCTATTTACAAGCAGTATTATTCAGTGTACCTTTTTACGATCGTAGTTTTTTTTTTTTTTTTTTTTTTTTTTTAATTTAATTATTTACTTTTATTAACTTATGCTTCAGTAATATCTGATCAAATATAACAATTTATCTTAAAATTCGAGCTGCAATTGTTCCGAACTCTACTAAGTAATGTAACAAACAATAATGTAGCTACTTAGAAATATGACTGCTTCACCATCTCCTATTGGTTTTAATTTCTTTCGGAGAAGATATCTGATGGACGAACATCAATCAAGTTCTGATTACGAAGAATTCGACATAGAAGAGCTCGAACAGCTTTCGACAATCATTAATGAACAGTCCTGTACAACAGAGGAATATTATTACTTGAATGATTCATTGGAGGATGAAGCACTTTCAACTGCTGAACAAAGTACAATATCGACTTATAAAAACAATATCTAACTCAGACAAACAAAACTATGTGAATAAAAACCTATACGAAATGTTTCGTTCCGACAGGGGTTACCTAAAGGTTGGTTTTGTAATTATAATGGGGTTTTAACTTTTGCCAAAAAACAAAGCACTAACATGTTTAGGTCACGGACATGGTAGCTCCACTTTGGTGCGGTGTACAACATTCATACGCTTTACTAGATCGTGTAGAACGAAAAACTCCGGCTATGGAGAAAGGGACGATAATTCATCTAAAGTTGGAACTTGAAACGACACCGCCGAAGGAACGCGTTCGAACTGATGAAACACTTGCGGAGGAACCTTGGGCGCTACATATTCTTTTGCAACTGGATGGACTCTTGCTTTTGACTAAAAATGGCATTACAAGGGAATTTCCCATCTGGGGATTTTATAAAGACAGCTTATTATTTGGGATTATTGACGAATTGACAGTTCTTAAGACGGAAAAAGACGACAATCTCTTAAGCATGAAAGACAACAAAACCAGGGGAACCATTACTATTCCTTCGCAATCTCAAATTCTTGGATCTGAACTGCAGCTCATGTATTATTACCATCTATTCCAAGAATATTTCCAAAATGCAGACTCCTGGTGGGATTCCTTTCTAAAACAACAAGATCTCGATGGAAAAAAGAATCTTGGCCAAAATTTCCTGAAACAGGCAATTGAAACATTACCTTCAATTGATCCGAAAGAATTGGAGGCGCACAATACTCTTAGCGGTTTGCATGCTCTTGCAACGCGTCTGACGAAGGACTTTCAATTACGAAGTTTGAGTCCAAAATTAACGGTGGTATGTGGGCTTTCGTATTCGCCTAGTTTTGCTATTTTGAGGCGACTTACTTTGATGCAGTCTCTATTCGTTCATGCGTTTACTAACTTTTCTGACGACAGACATATAGACACAATATCTCTGGAGATGTCATACGTAATCATATCTTTGATATGAACTCAACTATACTGAATCATTACTTTCACGAGATGTTCGCGTACTGGCACAATGAGGCAGAACCAAAAGGCGTACCAGAAAATGAAACATTCAAATGCAAATACTGCGAGTTTTCAGAACGTTGCTGGTGGCTGAATGAAAAGGCTATAGAAGTTTGGAATAGGAAGCGAAAAAGACTATACCCATGAAAGTGCACTTCGGCGGCGAATTGAGGTAATATTGACTTTACATTACATCTTATCAAGAACACCCGCTCCGTGATTAACTCGCACAACACTGAGCCAATTTTAATGATTCATTCCTTAGTCATTGTTGGTTATTCGAAGTATTTAACTAATGGTGCGATCGAAAAAAGGCTCAAATTTCAACTGCGCAAGAATGCATTCAACACTCATTGGACTCCTTTTTGCGTTCGGCTTTGACTCTGTCAAGGCCGTTCCCCACAAGAAACCCATCATTTCCATTACTAACGATGTCCCTGGTGCAAGCAGTCTCGCCTACGAGAATGCCACTATGAACAGCACCATGCCTGCTAGCGGTGATGCATCCACTAACGCTACCCAGCTTTACTTGGATGTTGTTATTAACAATGGCTCTTCTGTCATCACCAGCCGCGAACCTTTTTGGGCAACTGACCTGTATCATGGAAGTGACTACAGCGTTAGCTCCATCAACAACGCTTTGTGGGGACCCGTTCTTGACCGTCTGAGCAACCCTGTTCTGGTTGTTGTCGACGACACAACTTACAGCTCGTTCCAAGACCTGCAATCTATCTCTGGCATTGTTTCTACAAGCGCCTGCCAGGCTCCCAATGCGTCGAATGTTAGCCAACCTGTTACCATTCCTTACGAGAACGTTACCACATGGAACACAACGACTGGTACCAACACGACTACTGGTCCCGCCGAAACCTGTACACCCAACATGAACACTATGGTCGCTTCTCTCTTGGGAATTAACAGCAATGTGCTAGTCAATTACCAGTCTGCCAAGATCTTCATTGTTGGTCAACCCAGTGTTCAGATGACAACCGTTTCCGTTAAGGACTCTGTTGACGGTGCCCCTACCCAAACTGTATCCCAGCAAGTGAACAATGTCTGGGACACTGCATCATGTTCTGTCGTTCAACCTGGCATTGAGGATATATTTGGCAGCTGGGTTGCTCAAAACCTGTTCTATCCTTCGGCTTCCGTTGTCACCAGTTTCATGCACTGCACAGAGCAAGACAGCGCCCTTGCTTTAGCCCAAGCCGCTCTTTCAGAGGGTATTACTGGCGGTCTTTATGTACCCGCAAACTCTCGGGGTGACAATGCCTTCTTGAACTTGTTTGGCACTCAGCCCAAGTTCTTTACCGGAACGGGTAACTCTGTCCTCATTGTTCAAGCCGAGCAAACATGTTCTTGGGAGGCTTGGAGAGCTTCCAAGCAAGCCAAATTCATTGACGTTTCCAGTGAGAGTACTTTGAATGCTTCTGTCATCACTGCTCCTACTCCCAGCTGGAATATGACCACTCCTAGCTGGAACGAATCTTCCCCCGGTTGGAATGAGTCTGCTCCTGCCTGGAACATGACTGACACCTGGGCCCCCGATTACGCAAGTGGCATTTACAATTATTCTGAAGGCTTGGACAGTTCCGGTGATGGCCGTTTTGTCGTGATCAGCAGTGCATCTAACACTACGTACAACGACTTTTACATCATTGGAAACCAAACCGTCGTCAACAACGATGTTTTGCTCCCTGTATTGTATTAGAAAGCTTCGGGGTGAAGCAAAAAGGAACATCAACAGCACACTGTAATTATCATTTTAATTGCTCCTCTTTTTTAGTTTAGGCCTTCTGCCTGCTCTTTCATTGGCAGGCCAATCTAATGACTTAGTTTTTAGTTATCAGTGCGATTTTGCTCCAAACGTCCTTTTAATTAAATGATTTTTAGTCGTCGTCAGCCATGCAGGAGGGTAGAAGCACCGGCAACGTAGACAGTAATGAACAAATTGCCAGCTCGAGGTATGCGTAAACGGCTATCTAGGATGACCCTTGTATCCTGACAACCTTATTAATCCAATTTAGCCAACATTTCAATTCGTTTCAAAAGCTTCTCTTTGCTGGCCTCCCCCATTTCGCCAGCAAGAATTATTTCATCAAGAATCGCGCTAACTTTGTGAAAGTTGAAGACGAGGTCCAACTCACAGACGTTGCCAAAATAGGAGTCCAAAGCCTCAACGAAGAAGTGTATCATTTCCAGAATAGCCAGGTCGTTGTCGTCAACATCGACACAGAAGCAGAAGAAAAGTCCTGCATATCTTCGGTACACGATTTTGCTGCTGCTGTACTCAACAAAGTTGGCTTGGTAGCGTTGATCACGCTGAGCGACCAAACGATGAACACGACCCTTCAACTGAATCTTCTCTTCATCCTAATGGTTTCGTTAGATACTATTTTTTTCACAAACAAACCGCCTCGAGCGTGTCACGACCACAACGAACATTGTACGGAACGTAGAACTTGGATAACCGGGTTTTTCCGTGTCGATTTTGAACAAGAATAAAGTGTATCATATTTTATGGATGAATTGAGCGGTTTTTTAAGGAAAAACAACAGTTCTATCCACAAAAAGTCATTCAATTGGGGTCTGCTGCTGTTTGGCGGAGGAAGCAAGCTGGCCCACTCCTCCATAATTAAGGTTACATAATGGCGGGGCCGAAGCTTATTCTGACGCAGTTGTGGTGGTGACAAGACGTTCCAGTGCGGTAAAAAAAACAACGCATTTCTTCGTACTATCTCCAAACACATTAGCTTTCGTTATGCCACCTTACACCACACAGCTCTACGGAAAATTCCACTAAAACGTTTAACGAACAACGCTACACCACACTCTTCACAACCTAAACAGTTCCCTCCCTCTCACTATACTCTTCCCACAACCAAAGCAGTTGAATGCAGTGAAATATCGCCGATGCTCACGATTAAGCGGTATCCTGGGGCGACAAAGTTTACTGTGTACACTAGCAAGTGCCACGGGACGCAGATGTTTGCTATATGCTTCATATCGTTCGGAATTGGCGTCACCGCCATGGCTTTTGAAACGTCGCCCCGGTTGATCGTGTTTTTGGCACAGCTTATCTTCATTCTTTCGATGTACGAGATTATTAGTGGTGTAAATCGTATGTGAACCTGCTTAACGCGTGCGTATATTGACAATTACAGACGAATCATTCTTAGTCGTTAAGGGTTTGGGCATCCAGACGAATTGTCACTCTATCGTGCCTTGGAAATCATCCTCGAAGCTAATACCCCTGTCCTCCATCCGGGAAATATTTATAAACGAGGGTTTCCGGCGGTATGGTGTCGTTTACTACATGGGCATCATTGTCGAGCACGAACCCATGATCCACGTCGTCTTCCCCACGCTGCTGCCCCGGAAAAACGTGCTTATAAAGGTGTACACGGAAGTCAGAAAGACACTGGACGAGTCGATATAGCCCAACCGTCGAGCAACAGCCTCTTTTTCGCGTCGATTCTGTTGACACTTTAACCTTTTGCAGCGCAGCAGCTCCTACTGCTGCCCTACGTCACGCGTCCCTCCTATTCCTCTCGCCTGCTTACACCACCACAAGGCTGATCCTGCTCCGCCGCTGGTTTCGGTGCGGCTCGTTATCCACTCTTGTGTGTCCTTGCGCACTCCACCACAAACCCCCACTCCTCTTCCCCCACAAAAAAGCAGTCACGTTCGTTGTGTACATGGCAAGAACGAGCTTTCCTGCAACCCACCCCAACGAAATCTTCATCTCAGCAATGGCACAAGCCGGTCGTCCCTCGATTTTGAATGCAACTGTATGTGGCTGTTTGGGTGTGTTTTAGTACATGTTCAGGACACTAACGACACGCGTCTAGGATGATGATATCAAGCAGCTTCTTGCTGCTTCCTGCCACATCGGTTCCAAGAACTTGGATGTTCGCATGGAAAACTACGTGTGGAAGCGTCGCTCCGACGGTGTCCACATCATCAACATTGGCAAGACCTGGGAGAAGATCGTTTTGGCCGCTCGTGTGATTGCTACGATCGAGAACCCTGCCGATGTTTGCGTCGTCTCTTCTCGTCCCTACGGTCACCGTGCTGTGTTGAAGTTTGCCGCCCACACCGGTGCTACTGCCATTGCTGGCCGTTTCACTCCCGGTAACTTCACCAACTACATCACCCGGACCTACCGTGAGCCTCGTCTCATCATCGCCACGGACCCCCGTGCTGATGCTCAAGCCATCAAGGAGGCTTCCTACGTCAACATCCCCGTGATCTCTCTCTGTGACACTGACTCTCCTTTGGCTCACGTTGATGTTGCCATCCCCACCAACAACAAGGGTTACAAGTCCATTGGTCTTGTCTGGTGGCTCTTGGCCCGTGAGGTCTTGCGTCTCCGTGGCACCATCTCTCGCACATCCCCCTGGGACGTTATGGTCGACATGTACTTCTACCGTGATCCCGAGGAGATTGAGCGTGAGGAGGAGGCTAAGGCTGCTGCCGAAGCTGAAGCTGAGGCCGCTGCCACTGCCGAGGCTGCTGCTGAGTTCGAGGTGACTGACAGCGCTGCCGGCACCGTTGACCCCAGCGTTCTTGCTGCTGCCACTGCTGGTCAAGTTGGTGAGTCCTCCTGGGAGGAGGCCGGTGACTGGAACACCACTGGTGCTGCCCAAACTTCCGACTGGGCTGCCACCGCTGAGGCTCAATAAATAACAAATCCTGAGTCGTATGTTTGGGAGTAACAAGTTAAAATAAGAGGCGTGTAAACTGTGCGAGGAAAGAGAGGGTGGAGGAGGTGGGTTTGAGTGTGAGTTCTGGTGCCTAGCAAGGCAGCATCCTACGGTTTACTCTACTCACTAGTAAGGCAGACCATGTGTCTGTCCCACGTACATCGCTTAGAAAGACCTCCAACACGAACCCCACTTTACACTAAACAACTCAATTTAGGACACCCGATTTTCATTAGATGAGTACGACTCTAAAATCTCAAGGGGGTGAAGAACCAGGCAGACTTGCCGGATTGGTACTTCTCCTCAAAGGTCTTCTTGACGGTCTTCTTAGCGTCCTCACGTTGGGAGGGCTCCTTGAAGGTCTCCTCAGAAACAAGACCCTTCAAGTTCTCCAACTCAAGAGCGTAACGAGTGGGCATCAAGTGGTTGTAGTTGATGACCTTGATGAAGGGCTTGACCTTGGAACGCTTGGCGACACGCTTAGCACCCATAGAGCGGGTGACCTTCAAGGGGTAGCGCTCGACACCAGCAACGACGGCATGTCCGAAAGGGTGAGCCTTGTTGCCGTGGTCAACGTTTTGAAGGACAACAGCCTTCTTACCGGCGTAACGGCCACGAGTAATAAGAGCAACCTACACACAAACTCGTCAGCAAACCACGAACAGACGACAACAGCTCACAAACGTACCTTGCCTGGCTTAAGAATCTTCACCATTGTTGTGTCGGTGGTCAGGTCGTTTGGCGTAGTTTTCAAAAGGCCAAACGTTGTGACTGCTTTTCCAAGTACCAGGGTAGGGTTCAGTGCACGTGCTGTCGCAAAATGTAGATCATGATCTGCGGGGGAGGTGTTATTGTGTGGTGTAGTAGATCATGTAGATCCCATGGGGAAGAAGAATGAGGAGGGAGAGGAAGGGCAGGACAGGACAGGACGGATGAAGGAGGATTGACGGATTTTTTGGAATGAGGATGGAGAGGAAGATGCGTCGAAAAATGTTAATACTGAGTTTCAAGCTTTCACCACGGTAAGGAAGGTGACGCTGTTGGATGGACCAAGTCAGGTCGGTGTATCCCATTAGCGGCCTCAGACTCACAGACCCTTAAACTTGCTCCTCCGACACGCACACACAATTAAAAACGTAAACGTGTAAAAGTCGTTACTACCGTTGTCATGGTAAGTTTGACGTGCTAGTACTTCTGACTAACGTTTTTTAAGTCGGTGATAAAGTTTAAACGCGGTCGTCAGACCGTGTTTGTGTATCTTGATGAAAAAAAACCGTCTTTTGAACTAGCAATCGAGCAATTACGGACAGCACTCGTCCTGAAACCTGAACAGAACATTCGTCTTGCCGTGAAAGACGCTGCGGATGGAGAATGGAAGCCGCTGGATGCTTTGGATGATGATACTACTCTAGAAGCTTCAGAGTACGCGTTCGCTTTGGATGAAGAAGAGCCTTTCCTTGTTGAAATACCTCAGGTATACGAAGACGAGGAAGAAGAAGCTGAAGTCGAACCTGCGCCGGAGGAAACTGTTCCTCCAAACGAAGAAAATTGAGCGGTTCAGCTGTGTCGTTTTGTTGCATTCGTTCGCAATCTGTATGTTTACGACGTGTGGTGTTTTGCATTTCACCAAGCGCGTCTGCAAGTGTGTTTGTTACCTGAAATGTCAACCCAACGTAATGCATCGCAGTGCAACGCGAAAAATCGACGCGTCTCTCCTAGTAAGAGTAACAGCGTTTCCCTCCTCCTTCTGGCAGACATAGAAGACCGTTTGTATGTGTATTTCGTGCTATTCTGCTGCGTCAGCTTCTTCTTGTTATAGACCAACACGTCTTTTTTATGCGCCGAGGATATGACGAACGAGCAGGACAATACAATCTATTCGACTCCACGACATAAGCGTGTGCAGCCGGGTCAGCAGCCCAGTACGCCTCGGACTCCTGGTTTTCGAATTCTTCAGCCTAAAGGACCTCAGACGCGGGATCGTTCGGCGAAACGGCGAAGAATTCGGTTGGAGCTCGAAGAACATCTCGAGGATGCAAGTGACGAGGAATACGATGACAAGGTTCTCGACTTGACACAAGCTCTTCCGGCTCCTCCTGCTCTAAAGCTGAACTCTCTGACTTCAATTGCTGAAGAGGAGGAGGAGCAGGAGCAGGAGCGGGAAGCAAATAGGATGGACGAGAAAGAGGCTATTCGAGAGATGGGCATGCCCGTCAATTTATCAAAAGAGCTGTCGAACGCCATGCCTGCTCCCATTTCCCCCGTCAAACGCGGTCGTGGACGACCTCGAAAGTATCCTCTGGCGAAGCCAGTCCCGGGCAAAACAACCAGAGACGTAAGTCGCGGGGGAACCATTTCCACGACTACCAGTATTGACAATGCTCAATCGGGTTCTGGCTTTGAAGAGTACTTTGAAAAGCTCTCCAGCAAAAAAACATCCAGTAACACGCTTTCTCAATTGCCTGTGCTGGAGAATGAAGTCTATCTCAACCTTGTGAAACGCATTCACGAGGAGAATGCCGAAAAAACACAAACACTCATTTACTACCAGTGCCAGAACTTTAATCAGTGGTACTGCGAGCTCGTGTATGGCGGATTCAATCTGCTTTTCTACGGGTTTGGTTCAAAAGAGCTTCTGCTGTCTCAATTTGTCGAAGCTAAGCTAGCTGCGCAGTATCCTGTGTTTGTGGTGAAGGGTTATTTCCCCAGTTTACAGTTACGGTCGCTGCTCACCGGCATTCTTGAGCTTCTCGACAGCCCGCCCACGGTTTCGGCACAGGACATGGTGCAGCGGATAGTGGATGTGATGAATGATCCTCAACGGACGTATGAAAAGCTTGTTTTGCTGATACATAACATCGACGGGGAGGAGCTGGTGGATGAGCGCTGCCAAACGAGCTTTGCGACTCTGGCCATGTGTCCCAACATTTACCTAATCGCTTCTGTTGACCACGTTAACTTTCCTTTGCTGTGGGATTCGGCGCTGGAATCACAGCTGAATTTTGTAATGCACGATGCCACAACGTTTGCTCGCTACTACAACGAAACTACCTACGAAAACTCTCTCGGCATTGGACGTGCCGGCAACACAAACAAGGAAAAGGCCATCAAGCACGTTCTCTCCTCGCTGCCAAGCAACTCTCGTGCCATCTTCAAACTGCTATTGATCGAGCAACTCGAACGTATGGTCGACTTGTCACCAGCCGAATGCAAGCTCGGAGAGCGTGTCGGTGTTGAGTACCGGCTATTCTTCCACAAATGTAGCTCGGAGTTTCTGTGCAGCAACGAAATGAACTTTCGTTCCCAACTCACCGAGTTTTTTGATCACGATATAATATCGTCTAAACACGATGCTTCCAATCTAGAGTATCTATGGATCCCACATCCAAAGGAATTGCTGGAAACGCTTCTAGAGGGACTTATGGAAAGTGTCTAATTCGGAGCACAAGCAATGCCGGCCGGGTCAAAAAGAACCGTGAAGGACCGAATGGAATGAAGCAAAGGCCGATGCCATGAGAGAATGGAAGTTTTGAGGACAGTAAAATTAACTCATCGGTGGGTCTTCGGAATATGCTTCCTAGTCGTCATTATCGTCCTTCGTCTTGCCAATCCTCACTGCTCAACTAGGAAATCGTTTTTCACTCCAAATCCTCCCTTCCAATCTTCAACTTACAGCCTCGTGAACATTCTCTTCTCTTCCCCTTCGTCCCTTCCTTCCCATCCTTCCCGTTTGCCCTCCTCCTCCACCTTCTCTGCTCTATGTTCCCATCGTCCATCCTCCCCGCGTTCTAAGATCCGCAAAACCCCAAGGGCCGTCGGCGCGATCAACTGGATCTTCTTCCTGCCTCGCATATGGCACGTTCTCAAGCTTCATCTATTACTTAATTGCGCACTCTTTGCTGCTAATTCCCACTTGTACTGATATCGCTACTGCTTCCCCTACTTACTAGTGCATGACGTAGCAACTTCGTCTGCTGGAACGACAAACATAACCTTGCTCCACCTTTTGCTTACAGTTAGCTTCAGCTTCTCTCCATTACGCACAATTTACTTGAATCCGGTCCTTTGCTTCTCATTGAACCACGCAAACCGTATCAACCGTTCGCAGTTCGACTTTGACGAATTTCTCTATTTCTTTTCTTGTCCGGATTGCTTAAAACAACGTCTGTTGATTGTTTACTCTTTCTTTCTTGTGTTACACGTTTCGTCGTTTCTCGTCGGAGGTCGTTTTTTGTAAAGTCTTCTCCAAGTGCCGTTTGACATTTTTACGAAACTCTACGTCCTCACTGAACTCTACAACGTATTCTGTAAGGTTTTATTTCTGTGAACGAATTGAGTATCATCGGAGTTCATTGACGGTGTTACTACAGAAATTGTTTGAAACAGTCGCTGACATTTCTCCAGCTTTTGCAAGATTTACAACACTGTTCTTAAGTAAACTACACTTTACAGTCCTATCCCCGTACCTAACTCTCGAAAATCTTGCTTTCAAAAAAAAACTCGCAATTCACTTGCTTTTCGCTACGTCTAACGACCCTTCTTCCTCTTTCCTTCCCGTCTCTCTGTTTCTTCGTTTCTCATGCCTCCTCACGCTCGTCTTTCTTATGGAGCTGACAATTATCAGCCAAGAGAGTTGGATAACCACGGTATCGTGGGTAATATGCACACATCAGCTATGATTTCAGTCGATGGCAGCGTGGAAATGTTGTGTTGGCCCACATTTGACTCGCCCTCTGTGTTTGCTCGTATTCTAGACCCGCGTGCTGGTCATTTTGTGATTGCACCCGTTAGTGTCACAAACAGTAAGCAAATGTATGAGCCCTCTACAAACGTGCTGCACACCAAGTTCTATTCCGAGTCGGGTGTCGTACGCTCTCTCGACTTCTTTCACCGGCCGTTCGAAGACTATGAGCCTTTGTATCCCTGGCTGATTCGCCGTGTCACTTGTATTCGTGGCAACATGCGAGTAAAGATGGAATGCTATCCAGCATTCAACTACGCCCGCGAAAACCATACGACGGAAATCATTAATCCTGATGGCGGGTGTCCGCGTGTTGAGTTTTCTGCCGAGTCGGGCTCACGAAAAATGATTCTCAATATGTGTTCCTCCGGCAGTATTGAGACAATCACACTCCAACAAAACGTGCCTGCTGAACATCTCATCGATGGTGGAGGTGTTTGGACATACCTTGACATGGAAGAGGGCGATGAGGTCTTCTTCGTTTTTCGGCAGGAAGGCCTTGGTCCAAGAGTCGATCGCATTACGATTCCCTTGCTAAATAAGCTTGAAGACTCTACCAAGCGCTACTGGCGTAACTGGATCTTGCAATGTACATATACTGGTCGTTTCGCCGAGTTTGTGCAGCGAAACGCTCTTTTGCTGAAACTGTTGATTTATGAGCCCACTGGCGCTGTTGTCGCCAGTCCCACATTTTCTTTACCTGAAGGCTTCGGCGGCGAGCGGAACTGGGACTACCGGTTTACGTGGATTCGCGACTCTGCCTTCACTATTTACTCGCTTACGCAGCTTGGATTTAAGGATGAGGCTGTGGAGTACATGTCCTTTATCTACCACGTCCTGAAGAAGAAGAATGCTGATGGAAGCATTAACATTGTTTATTCCATCCACGCCAACCTAATTGGTTTGGAGGAGGTTGAGCTGCCTCATTTGCGCGGTTACCGTAATTCAAAGCCTGTACGTGTTGGTAACGGTGCAGTGTCCCATGTTCAGCTTGACATTTATGGAGAGCTTATGGATGCCATCTACATCTACGACAAAAAATGCCAGCCCATTGCGTACGATTTGTGGTGCGAGGTTCGCCATATCTGCGATTTCGTATGTGATCATTGGAAGCGGAAAGATAAAAGTATTTGGGAGGTCCGTGGACCCGACCAAAACTTTGTCTATTCTAAGGTTATGCTCTGGGTAGCTTTGGATCGTGGTCTACGTATTGCATACAGTCGATCGCTTCCTTGCCAAAACCGTATACGATGGATGGATACTCGTGACGAGATTTACGACAACATCATGTCGAAGGGATACAATTTTGATCGGGGCTTTTTCGCCCAGTCTTACGAGAGTCTGGATGTCTTGGATGCTAGCATCCTTGCTATGCCTATTGTCTCCTTCATTTCGCCCACGGATCCACGCTTTTTGAGTACTCTTGACAACATCATGAAACCAGTTGAGAAACGAGGCCTGATGAGTAACGGTCTTGTATTCCGTTATGACACTAGTCGATTTTTGGATGGCGTTGGCGGAGATGAGGGAGCCTTCCTCATGGTCTGTTTCTGGCTTGTTGAGGCCCTTGCAATGGCCGGCTGTCATGGGTATCCCAAACTTATTTCAACGGCCATGAGCATATTTGAAGACTTGACGCGCTACTCTAACCATCTAAGCTTGTACTCAGAGGAGTGCTCTTTGTCTAGTGAGTCGTTGGGAAACACACCTCAAGCCTTCAGTTCTATCGCAGCAATTGCTGCCGCATGTGTTTTGGACAAGGCACTAACTCTCACCAATACCGGCGCTACCACGCGTATTATATAGACGGTTCTTTTTAATGATGTCAAGTTGCAAAAGCATACAATCTCGCTTCTCTTCGAGCATGTAACTTTTGTTATAGCAAGTTCCATTGAGAGCACTTACGTACAACCAACCCTCTACTAGCAAGGGTCCAGTGTGGGGTATTAACATTGTGGGGCGCGATTACAGTGATGATTTTGCTTGATGTAATGCCTTCGTCATCTTGCTGATCCCCACTACTACCACCAAAAATGTATTTGCCCCTCAGTATTTACTACCCCCACTAGATCTAAATTAGTTTTGTTAGTCTACAGCGTAGGAACGGGCTGGTCACGGCAACATCAACTACGCGTCAGTACGGTAATTTCTTCTCTATGGAAAGTCCTGGATCAGAACTCACAGAGGAAAATCATCGTAGGAGAACGCCAACTCAAAATGAAGCATTCGGTGCTGGTACGGCTGAATTTAATAAAACGTAAGTGGTATATGGGCATAAACAGACGGAGAAAATTGAAAAGAAGTTTGAACGAGGAAGTGAGAAGTTTTGTTTTTTTCAAAGCACAAAAGTCCCAACTACTGTTTAGTGCCGGCACAGAATCATTCCTAAATGCTGAACCTACAGATTGACTAACACAAAGTAGTGCATTTCTTATTGCTTTGAGAGAAGCTCGACTGTCGTGTGTTCGAGGCGCATTTCTTGAGAGATTCGATCCCGCTATAAATTACCAACTCTCACAGGGAAAGCTACGAGCGCGGATGAAACCACTGGGAACGGCAACGCTATGCATGGGTCCGTTGCTGTTCCCAGAGACTGAGCTTTTCTTCGTTTCTTACGGCGACTGGAGAGCCCCACTACAACCCCCGCGAGATACCCCACTTCGCCCACATGACCCGCCCTCGAATGCAGTTACCCCCACACCAGGTGGTGTCTGGGTGAAACAAGAGCCAGTAGACGGAGATGACCGGATGAACAAAATGATGATGATGGGCAACACTGGGACGCAATCGCAACCCCAGCAGCTGCCGCCAAAAATGCCACAAGCGTCTCCACAGCCACAGCCGCCGGCACCAACACCTGCCCAAGGTACCCCGCAGCCCTCTTTGGATGAGGATCGACATTCGTCAGAGGCGCCAACACCCGACGAAGCTTCTGCTGCATCACTAGTTACTGAAGATGCAATTGCACGGTTGGCGAAACGCGCATCCGAAGACGCCAATTTGCGTCGGACGTTGCGACGCATTGTGAGCGGTTTGGGAACACCAGAACAACTCATTTTGCTTCACACTGAGCTATTAGGGCCATGCACATTTGCTCCTCCAAGACGGGGGAAACGGCCGCCTCGTAAACGTATTACACTCACCATTACACAAGCTGATCGGGATGCCTTTCGGGCAAACCTTGCTGCCGGTGTCCCCGAGTTGCGCCGACACTTTGATGTTGTCTGTCGCTTTCGCGAAAATCCAGACGCAATGTGGGTTTTGCCGCGAGAAGCTATGCTGACCGTAATGCGAAAGTTGCCGAGCCATCAAGTGGAGGAGCTGCGACTGTTATTCGCCGTATTCCACAGCGGAACGAATGGAGAGCCAATGCATGTTAAGCTTCAGATGCGTATTACGCATTTTCGCCAAGAAGTCCTAGAAGCCCTGGAATGTGTTACGGGCGCTTCGCATACGGATCGCGTTTTGGCCGAGCGAAAACGTAGAATGTCTCGAAGGGAATAGGCTGAAGACGGAAGGAAGAAGAAAAAAAAAACAAAACATTAAAAGAAAACGAGGAAGGTCATGCGAAACATTCGTGCACCGTATCCCGTAGGAAAAAAACGCGAATCGTTAAAAAATGCGTTGGTATGTATAAAAAAACGAATGAAATGATGTCATGTGCTAAAAGCCGACTAAGCGACAATATGGGGAAACTGTAAAAGCATTCTTAGGTTTCGGCTGCAGTTTGATTTGCCAATTTCGCATCGGCATGGCGCTTCGAGTCGCCTCCAGGACGCCAGCGGAAAAAGTTGCGACGCCGGCTGCCAGTCGAGGACTTTGCAGATTTCTCTGCCTTTTCCGACTTTGCGGCAGCTTTACGCCGTTTGCCTTCAAGCACGAGGTTTTCGAAGATGCGACTTTCATCGTCGGGATCGGGATGCACACTGGCAAAGACGGTGCCAATGGTTAACAGGGCCTTAGCCCGCTCCATACGCACGTCGGCAGGCTGTTTCTTGCTGAGCAAACGTCCACAAACTTCGCGCAAAACGCTCATAATCTCGTAGCGCGTTCCTTGCCAACTGGCTGCCAAAACTTTGCTTGTTACACGACGATCCAACTCGGCCTTTGCTTCTGGTGACAAACCCTCAGGGTTCTGTAGCTCTTGCTTTGCGACTTCGTCCATTCTGTAGTGTATATTGGTTAGTTAATCGTTTCGTAGGGGAGTCGGTAGAGGCATCCTTTCAGATTACGTACACGAGCTTCGCATCAACGGCACTTGTTATAATGTTCCATGTGTCCTTTGCAATAGCACCTTTTTCCTTCACACGGTTCAGAAAGCCGCCAAACCCAAACTTCTTCGATTTAAGGTAGGTAGTGGCTTTCTGGACGTAGACAGAACCAATAGCCTGCAGTATTTCAATGCCAAAGGACTCCACCCGAAGATTTTGCGCTTCCTCTTCGTAGCGTTTCCGGAAACGTTCCATATCTTCAGGCGTGTGTTCCGACTGAACCCATTCATCGAGTTTTACACGCAACTCCTCTGTCAGCGTGTCTACCCGACGATCACGCTCCTCGAGGATTTGTTCTTCACGACGGGCGGCCTCCTCCTTTTGCTGCCGCGAAACATATTTCTTGTGTTGATTGAATTGCTCGCGCATCGATGGTGTCGGCTCCGCGTCTTCCAGCATCAGCGGTTGGTGCTGCACACCATCACGAAGAGTCGGACCCGTTGACGATGTGTTTTCGTCGTCGCTGCGCAGCATCTCTTTCAGCAAGGCCAATTCGCCAATCCATGGTCTGAACGGTTCACCTCCAAACAGCGACGCAAAAAAATCATAAGCGTCGGCAAAGCCCTGCTCGGGGACAGCATGTTCAGCACCAAACTCATTGTACTGTTCACGCAGTGCCGGGTCACTCAGCACCTGGTACGCCTGTGATATCTACAAGTAACAGTATTGTTAGCAGGCAAGTGGTGAAAGTGGGGTAAATGAGACAAGTGTGGGGGAAGAGTGGGGAAACGTAGAAGCAGGAGCAGTGGACGAGAAAACGGGAATTGTCTGTCAATTGCAAGGTCCATCACCCATTCAAAAGCAAATCCCACAGGAAAGTGTTTCTAGAGCAGTTCCCGTTCCGCAACCTAAATGGTCCGCCACACGTTCGCGTCTGCGTTGCTTCGTACCTTTTGGAACTTGTCACTTGCAGCCTGAGGATCATCGGGGTTTTTGTCGGGATGATATTGCACAGCAAGCTTCCTGCAACACCCGTTAGTACTCTTGACTCGTTCAACACACGCAAACGGCTAAAAACCGCCATTGTATGCTCGTTTCCGTGAATTCGTCCACCCAAAACTTACCGATATGCCTTTTTGATTTCTGTCGCTGAAGCGGTCGGCAGGACGCCCAGCAAGTCGTAGTATTCTGTGTTTTGCACAGTTGCTGCTGTCATTGGTATGTGCAGACGGTAACTTCTGTCTGCTGCTACTACCAACTGTAGGTCCAATGATAACGCACAAACGTCATGTGCAGAATAAAGTTAAGCTCAGCATAAGCGAGATAAACCGATCGCAGGACCGGCTGTTCATTGGAGGAAGCAAAAAACCAAAACTCACCACCAAAACCACCACACCAGAAAGAAAACAAAATAAATAAAACAGGAAAAACAAGAAAAACAAAAGACACACTCACACTCACACAAGAACCCAAACAGCTTCCCTAAAAACTAGTTCAATCATAAACTTCTATTCACCGACTACTTAATTCTAGCAAATCGCCAGTGATAAATCTGGACAAAAACATCAATCAAGTATCAACTCTAGAGCCGGTTTAATTCATAAGTCAAGAAGAGGTCACTTAGGCCTTGGTGAGGCGGATCATGGAAGACTTGCCAGCACCAGAGGTCCAACCTTGGATGACAACAATGTCATCACCCTTCTTGAGGAGACCGTAAGAGATAGCGCGCTCAGCACCGAAGGCAACACGAGCGTCAACATCCTTTTGCCACTCACTGCCCTCAGCAGCAACGGGAGCCTTCTCGTAGACGAAGGGGTAGACACCACGGTTGAGGTGAGCTTGGCGGGCCTTTTGGGCGTTGCGGGTGACCAAGATGATGGGGCAGGCAGGGCGGTACTTGGAGACGAGACGGGGGGTGGTACCAGTGGTGGAGAGGACAACGATGGCCTTGGCACCGTTCTCGAGGGAAGCAGCGACAGCGGCAGCAGCGGTGGTCTCAGTGGGGCACAAGGGCTTCTTGGCAATGGCGAAGAGCTCTTGGTATTGTTGACCGTAAGCGATGGAGTTCTCAGCAACACGGGCAGTCTCGGCCATGTAGGTGACGGCCTCAATGGGGTAGCAACCCTTGGCAGTCTCACCGGAAAGCATGACACAGTCAGCACCGTCAAGGATAGCGTTACCGACATCAGAAACCTCAGCACGGGTAGGGCGGGGGTTGTAGGTCATAGACTCGAGCATTTGAGTGGCACAGATGATGGGCTTGCCGGCAATGTTAGCCTTGGCCATCATCATCTTTTGAGCGACGAAGACTTGAGGAGCAGGGATCTCAATACCCAAGTCACCACGGGCAACCATAACACCGTCAGTAACCTCGAGGATAGAGTCGAAGTTGTTGACACCTTGTTGGTTCTCAATCTTGACGATGATCTTGATGTCCTTACCATCCTCACCGAGAACCTCACGGATAGCGAGAACGTCCTCAGCACGACGGATGAAAGAGGCGAAGATCATGTCGACACCGTTCTTGACACCGAAGCGGAGATCAGCCTTGTCCTTCTCGGAAAGAGCGGGCAAGTCGACATCAGTCTTGGGCAAGTTGACACCCTTCTTGGAGGAGATCTTACCGTTGTTGTTGACACGGACCTTCAAGTTCTTGTCATCGATCTTCTCGAGGACAGTGAAGGAAAGGATACCGTCATCGACGTAGATGGTCTTACCGACCTCAATGACCTTAACAATGTTCTTGTAGTCAACGAACATGATCTTGTCGTCACACTTGGTGGCATAGGCGTCATCAGTGGTGAAGATCATCTCGTGGCCAGCAGAGATGGGGTAGTCTTGCTCACCGACAGTGAGACCAGTACGGATCTCGGGACCCTTGGTGTCAAGGGCAATGGCAAGGGGCCACTCGGGCTTGGTGGCAGCGGCCTTGCGAGCGTTGTCAATGACAGATTGGTGGTACTCGTAAGAACCGTGGGAGAAGTTCATACGAACAACGTTCATACCAGCATCACGGAGAGCAGCGAGCTTCTCGACGCTGTTGGTCTTGGGACCGATGGTGCAAATGATGGAGGTACGGCGGTTGATGGGAGCAATGTTGGTCTCAGTGCTGAGGGAAGAAAGCCATTGCTTGTTGCTCTTGAAGGAAGAAATCATTGTGAATGTGTTGGTGTTGAGAGTCGGTGACCGGTTGATGTGTCTGGTTGGTGGTGGATTACAGTGGGCGAGCAGCGGCCCTTTTGAAGCATTGGAGAATAGCCTGGTCAGGTGAACGGCTTCGGATAATACTCTGTACTGCATAATTAGTATCATTCTGCTCATTGAAAACAACTGAGAACGGTTTGTGTTTTCGTTTTGCTGTATTCAATAGTCATGCAAAAGCTTCTCTGTTCTTCTTCCCCGTCAACATCACTTGCTTGTCTTGCACTCTGCGACCGACTGCCGTGACTGCATTTGCATGTTGTCGCTGCTGGTATGACGACCCGACTTTCCTGACGTAGCCTCGCTGTCATAATGTCGCAAAATGCGATTTACGACCCAATTACAATATAGCCGATAGCTTATCTTGTGCAAAATAGTCGCAGTTTTCGCTTTTACTACTTGCCGAACCAACCGGTATGAGGTGCAGAGTGCCGGAGCTTCCCACACCCACTTAGCTCACCCAATCACACGTTGACATACGATTGCCGAGCCGCTCCGCACGACCAATACGTAATGAAATCGGAACAAAACGACCAAAAACTGCTCCACGGTGCGAACACGTGCAAGGGATTCGCGTACACATATGTATTAAACGGAGTATTTACACAAAGACAAGCGATCTGCGAGGACGTCGAGAGCGCTGGAGTAACAACAGCAGCAGCCCCTATACGGGCGACGAAAACACTGGGGGTAGTCGTAGTCGCCCTTCCCTACTTCGGCCAGTCTTGGCTGGGACCCTCACACTCTATCTCTCCACTCTAGTGCCGTCACAATTGCAATAGTACATAGTAGTAACAATAGTCATAGAAGAAAAAAATCATGCTGTCCAAAATAAGAATGCCCGGGTATGGGCCAAGGACCCGCCGGCAGGTGGGTTGTTGTGGACTGGCAAAGTCGTCAGGTAAGTAGGTTGCGAAGTCGTAGGGAGAGAGATATACAGGCCACGTATGCGCCTATAGAGGTGTTGTCGTAAGGAGGGGGAAGCGTGCGTGTGTCTGTGTATTCAAAGGAGGATGGACACCCAGGGAAGAGGGAAAATATATGTGTTGCGAGGGGTCCAGTCGTCGTTTGCCGACGGGAAATCGTAGTATAGAGCACGGCCTGTCCGTTTCAAAAGAATACAAAGTCATGCAGAGACTATGGGAGGAGGAGATTTAAAGTTGAGCGACATCAACATCGTGAAGGGCATAAATTTGGTCTGCTTTGGCTTCTAGAGCCTCTAGCAGTCGACACATCTTGCCCTTCAAGGCCACCCGACGACGCTTTTGGAAGCCAAGAGGTAGTGCATTGTACGCGTCAACGAGTTTCTGATAACGCAGTTTTAGATGCATCATTTCGTCTTTTAATTGCTGCGCGACAGAATGGAGAGCGACCTTCGGCTTTTGAGATGGACGTATGGTTTCCTGGCTGGCGCCATCGGTGTGCATATGGACTCGTCGCTGAGCTACATTGTCGTCGTCATCCTCAGTAGCTGCGGTGTGAAGGGCATTGAATGTTGCATTGGCTGTATTTTTTCTGTTGCACACCGTGCATGCCGATGGCTCGTGCGCGGCCATTTGATTGATGATACGCTGAACTTCGTTCGATATTCGCGGGAGATTGCCCTTTTGCGCGGTTGGGATTGGAACAGAGGCAGACCGAGCGTTGTTTATTCGAGTCCTAGGCGCAAACGCATACTGGCCCCAGTCGAAACCATCTTCATCCAAGTAACTGTCTAATTCCTCGGGCTCCTCTTCCACTCTTTTCGGTATACTTGATTTGCCTCTCGTGGCAGGAAGCTCATCCATATCGCTCTCAATTGATAGGTCATCGTCGGAAGCATCTTCAGATACCTCACCAGCGGAAGAGATGTCACCGTCGCTGAGTAAACCATCATCAAGTATGTTAGTAGTGGCCGCACTTCGAGTTTTTCGGTGGGAGCTCTTCAATTTACGTTCCATTTCTTTTCGCCATTTACGTTCACGATGCAGTTGGACTCCAAGCAAATGAATCTTTTTACTCATTTCATCTGCTGCCGAAGAATGAAGCTGAGTTGTGCTGCTGGTTGCAACAGGTTCAACAATGGGCGGCAGGTCTGCGGGCACCTTGGCATCCAATCGCACTGGCACCTGTTCTTTTCTTCTTTGCTGCTGGAGTTCCAATTCTTTGTGCCGCAGTTCTTTTCGCAAGCGCTCAACCTCCGCGTGCAGACTATTCAGTTCTGGCAGTGCTGAACCTAAACGCTGTAACGACAGATTGTGTTCATCAATTTTTTTGTTGAGCGATTTACGTAGATCTTCGTTGGTCAATTCGGCAGCTTGCAATTTACTTCGAAGGCTCTTGTTTTCGTTTTCCAATTTAAGCACCTTCACTTCGTACGCCATTTTATCAAAACTCGAACGTTTCTGGTGTTCCTCGTCATTTTCTGTTCGCTTGCTGGGAGACTGCATACTGATTTGCTTCTTCAACTCTTTCGCGTACTCTTTCATTTGAACGTAGGCATCACGAGTCTGCTTGAGATCCAGCTCAAGCTTTTGAATGGTAGCGCGGTTGGAATCACGTTCCTGTTCCAGAAAACGAACTTTTTGCTGTGTTTCTCGTAAAGCAATGAAAAGATCCTTGTCACTGTTCGCAATGTTGATCGGTTCGAGTGTGGGCAGCTGTGAAGCCGAGCGGCGGGAAGGACGTAGAGGAGAGGGAAAGGTAGCAGCATCGCGAGAATCTGAAATGAGAGACGAGAGATTGGTTAAGTTGGGCAAGCGGATGGATGGAGCATCCAAAGTAACTGGTTTTACAGGTTTGGCAGAAGTAAACTTGTCCTTAACAGCGGATCCGCCCAGTGGTTGTTCGCGATCAAAGCTGTTAGCAGCTCGAACAGCAGATTTGAGAGAGGAAGGTGTGTCGAGCAAATCTGAAGGCTCATGGGTGTCATTTGCCTTATTGACTTTTGGGGTACTGTTTGTTCGGAAAGCACTTTTTCCCCAAGGTGTCTCGGGCTTTTTAGGGAAATCATCTACGGGGGAGTCGTCACTAAATGCAAACGCCGACCGTTTTGGTATAGGGGTGCGTTCCAACCCGGCACGCGGACTATTAGTACCGTAGCCAGCGCGAGGACTAGAATCGCTCATTGTGTTGCTAGAGGAACGGTTAAGAGCCTCCAAAAAGTGATTCGTTCGGCGTCTTGATTTGTCTATTGAACGAGGTTAGTTTTATGAGACAATGAAGATACAATAGAGCACAATAGATACAAAATGAAGGGTATTCAATATGTCTGCCCTTAGGTGTCCAGCTTCTCGCGTACCTTTGGCAAAGAGATTCGTTTCTGACAAGGAAGGACTTGACAATTGGAATGAGAGGTCGCGATGAAACGGTTTTTCGTCATGGGGATCAATGGCTAGACCATGTTCCACGCTGGGAAGACTCGAGAGGGAATTGTTGATGCTGAAATCGCGAAAATGCTTGTTTAAGCTTCGTGTACTGGGTGAATTTTCAAAAAACTGAGAAAACGGGGTTTCAGGAACATCACCAGCAGACCGTCCGGTGCTTTCTTGTACAGCTTCTGTTGAGTCAAAGGAATGTCCACGTAGTTCGCGGCCGAGTGCCATTCCAACCCGCGCCATATCGCGGACTCTTGTGTCCTCTTGGCCCAATTCATCAGCAACTTGCTCCTGCATTCTTTAATGACGTCCGAAACAACGAACGAATGTATCAGAAGCCAACGCTACGGAGATGTCGCTAGTAGGAGGTCAAGCGTGGTCGCTTGGGGATACGAGGCATAAAGTGTCCAGGGAACGTTAGCAAACGAAGGGCGCATAACAGCATTTCTAATTAATGTAAAGGCATAGTACAAATCTATCGAGTATATCACTAAATTACTGTTACATAGTTTTGTTTTGTTGCTTTTGTTAATGTTCGGCATTGTTACCTGAATGTTTCTTTTCAGGGTTAGGGTTGCTGCTTTTATTTACTATATAAGGAGCCGGGTTTTGCTCCTAAACATCATCCTTCCACATTCAAGTGAAGCATGATGATTGCTTGTGTGTAACCTGAAAAGCCATCCCGGGCGAGCCGTTGGTGAGCCTGTTTGGAAGGATACATGACTGCAATACCGGCGCAACCTTGTTACGTATTACCGGTATTAGAACAAATCTGATTTTCACCTTGTGGATGCGATATTCTTAATTAGTTCACTTAGTGGTTTATAAGCTTAGAATAGAAAAACTGTTTCATTTATTCTTGTGTGTGTTGTTTGTTTGTCGGTTGCTTTCGTTGGTGCTCGGTTATCGCATTTGGGTTGGAGTTGTAAAAGCTTTGTCTTCTCTGTTTTGATTGGTTAGTAACGGGTTGCCGATCGTAGTTTTTTGCAGTTTTTGGTAATAGAGTTTTAAGGTTGTGCGGGGTTGATTACATCACTGACACCAAAGCCGAGCACTGTTTGGTGGATTTATGGTATAAGGGTTCACATTGAGTGGACGAGGCTTTCAAGGTCGGCTGTGGGCGGCACGTAGTGTAGGCTAGTTCATTGACAAACGCAGACGAATCGAACGTCTATATAATATCAGACCGCCACACGAGTGGACAATTTGTGCTTAAATTCTCTTCATTACTAGAACCAATTCCAGACTAACTTATATCCAATTATTATTATTCTTTTTTTCTGGGTTTTTTCTCTATTTTTTATTATTTAAATTCCGTTTTCGAAATATCCATCCGTTCAAAAACAAAACCAAAAAAATCTTATTTTTACTACACTTCTAACCATGGGTTATTTGGGACGTAAACTGGCAGTTTCAAACCGACTCCGTTCGCAAAGAGAGCCAGTGGCTCTTGCTGCAGGCCATTCTCCATTGGACTGGGCTCGTTTGGTTGCGAGTAAGCAGAATTTGTCGGTATGTTATTCTACAAACATGCATGAGAGTGGTTTCATTCATTGACGAATGTGACAATTTCTATGACAATTCAGTTGTTTACCAAATTTTTCTCCTGCATACTATTATTCTTAAGAACAGAGAGTTTAACATTACTAGGGCGTTCCGACGATTATTAAAGTTTCGAAAGAAGAGCTTGCAAAACACAACAAGCCAGATGATTGTTGGATGTGCATTAAAGGCAAAGTATACAACATCACACCGTACCTGCAATTCCATCCCGGAGGCGTGGGCGACCTGATTGACTATGCGGGTCAGGATGCCACAAACAAATTCAGTAAGTAACCCTAGGGTCTTGCGATTCGTGAGAATTACTTTACTTGCCAAACCCCTCAAAAAAGTGAAGCATGATTTGTCTCTTGGATAACCATGCGCCATTCCTTTTTAGCATTCGCTAACATAAACAGTGGAAACGCACGCTTGGGTGAATGAAGAAGCCTTGTTACGAAACTGTTTGGTCGGCTTTCTTGTTTAATTACCATTGCATGACAAACGAATCCATAGGTTTTCTCCGACATACGGCTGTTGAAATGGCAAAAAATAGTCAACAGCAATTAAACCAATTCCTTTTTCAGCGATCATATGCTTAATTTCCTTTTTTCTTTGGCCATCCTTTTATTAATAACAACCTGGATTTTATACAAAGTGCTTGCATGTTCCTTTGTATCTTTAGAAAACGTTTAATGATAATAATTATGAATTTGACAATAGCGTTTAGACGAATCACCGGCTTTCGTCTGTGCTGTGAGTCTGTTTTTTGAATCGAATTTTAAGATAGTATCGGATATCACGCAGAAGTGAAACAATCATCGGTAGGAGCAAAGGCCCAAAGAAAGGTGCATACACACCAAATTTGTATTCATCGGGAAAGTACATCATGGTCACCATGCTCGGATGAAAAAGGGTCTTCTGAGAGGTGGAAAAGGCATCATTTGTGTACTTCAAAACAAGTTTCAGATTGTTATAGTGCAGAGCTTCACGGCTTTTCTCAAGCAACTGGATTGTTTTCAAAGCGAGAGCTTGAACCTCTTTAGGAATGGCCATATTGGGGATGAAACGAATGAGACGAGCTAGTCCGGACAATGATTCAGCCGTTTTCATACTGCTTTCCACGATCCGCTGACGCATTAGACGATCAAGAAGGAAGGCATTGAGCTTCCAGCTTTGGACATGGCTTGCACCTAACAACAACAGAAGGTCACGGGCAAAGATGTGGAAAGATAGCTCGAGCTGTTCGGGCTCTAATGCCGAGACGGAGGAATTCGCGATATTGACAGTGTATATGGAACCCCACTGTGGTAAAAGCATCGAGTTTGATGGGATGGGTTGTCGCGTTTGGTCTTCAAGTTGCAAAGGCTGGAGCGGAAAACTTGGAATGTAGATAGCGAAATGAATGGTAGGCTCGTCGGCATTAGTAGATGGGGCTAAACCGTGTTAAAAAAAAACATGAAAACAAAAAATGTGCTCAAAGTTAAGACATCCTCAACGGCGATTACTTACGAAGAAATTTTCCAAAGTTGTTAACAATTCTGGGGAGGTCATCAAAGGCAATGCGTTTTGTTCCGTCGGGCTCAATACGCACTGGGGCATCGTCAACACTGAATTGAATTTGGGATTCGACGTGAAACTTGGCAACAGGCGATAACTGTTGTAAAACGGGTGCAAAGTGTTTCTGAAACGCTTCTTTTAAAGGCCAAGTAATGAGGTGATCATATTGTTCGCCAACAAGCAAACTTAATAAAATGTGGTATCTTGGACTGTACGGCACGACACGCTTGTCTTCGTTAAGCATGGGTAAGTTAGGTGAAAGCTCATGCTTTAAAACGGAAAGGCGATAATCGTATTCTTGCATTTCTGATCCAAAAATATCCCAAAGTTTGTTAACCACCTCGTTTGCCGCTTCCAAAGTGTCATCGTTTTTCTTCCAATGTAAACGCAACGTTCTTCCTTCCCAATGTGTAGCTGATGTTTCATTCGCGAGGTCGACGAAATAGTCTGCATCGACACTTTCATTTACAATGCGAACGCTATAGATAGAAGACATTGGTTCCTCGTTCCATATAGACTGTATCTTTTCTACAACCATAGCTTGATCTGGCACATGTAGAAGTTTAACATTGGAAGTCATTTTTAAATTGGACAGTGTATCTTGGATGATATTACTCATTGCTTCTAGCGGCAGAGTATATCTAGCAGGGTATGCTAACTTTAGCCATACAGGAATACCTAAGATAATAACAATCTACCTTGTGTTAGTGTTTTGTCCTCAATTTGTGAAAGTTTAATGTCTTACCCAAAAACTCAAAGTTACCCATCTTCTCTGCCGTAAATCTTTCAAGGAGGGATACAGAAACGTATTTCTGGATATATTTTGTTTTTTCTCATTCATTTTAAGCGCAATTACCCAAAAATAGGGCCATGAATAGGGTGGTCGCTACAGTCAAGCCGAGGAAGTGTATGAGTATAGAATCGGTGTACGACTAAATGAATGAGAAAAGGATGTATACTGTAACTAAGCAATTCATTATGTTATTCTAAAGAATCTAACTTTTAACACACCATTGACAGCTCCTTGCGGATTTCTGTTGAACTTAACTTTTGCTGTGCAGTTCCAAGTTGGACAGAAATTTCGATGGATATGAGACTAATGGTAAAAACTTTTAGGGGCTTTAACTTAGAAACCTTTCTCTTAGCTTGGATCATAACTCCACCTTGTTCGGTTTCTCTTGAGACGACCAAATAGTCAATATTAGGTTCAGTTATTGTCGGACCGAAAACATCATACAGAGGAAACAAGAATGGATTTGTGTCTTTTCTTACAAACTTAAGAAACTTTGCGACTCCCTCTGTTCTGGCGTCAAATGATTCAAGCATTTCTTTGTACTGTTTGTTCTTTAAGAGAGCATCACCTTTTTGGAATGTCAGCAAACATGACTAAAGACAGGGAACGGTTAAGTAACATACATGAAATGCCTATAGAAACGTTGTTTCCAAGCCAGGCCGACATCGTGAGTAATATTTTATGGCCAACGTGCAGATGGTCAAACGTGCCGCCGGCTAAAACAGAATAAACATTAGCAATTGCAACGACAAAAGATTTTACAAACCTGCAACAACACTAGAAGAATTCAATGATTCTGAGATAGGAGGATTTGTGAACAAAGAGGGTTCATACTGTTTCTGAGTGGATTCGTCATAAGCTTCCCATTTGTTACATTGAAGCAAAGTCGATTGTTGAAGTTCCTCTACACTGGTAAGCGACAATCTTAACCTTAAAACATACCATGGGATAATCCAGAGGGATAAAACACTATGCTCCAATTCTGTCTTATTTCGCTTAATTTCCAACCGCACCATCCAGCGAACAGCACCGTGACAGGTAGAACATCTGTAACTTTTTCAGTGGGACTTTGACAGCCTGAAGTATACAGCTTTTGTAAAATGGACTCTACGTCCTTAAATGTTTGTTCATGATTTTCGTTTGCGAAAATAGGACTTGTCACCCAAATAATTAATTCTGTGTTTGGATCCTTGCAAATCCGTCTTGATAACTCAGAGATTATTTGAGTTTTCTGTGTTGCATCATTAACATCTTCGATAGAAAGTAATAAAAGAGACGACTCTCTCTCTGTGTTTTGATTCATCTTTGAGAAGATATGTTCTGGTGGGTTAGTTGAAGAGGTTGTTGACAAGAACAGAAATAAGATTACAACTTTGCGAAATGAAGTTACTGCTTACTCAGCAGACGGGAAACCAATGACATACTTACATGTTTATGAAGTTTCTTATTCTTTGCAGTTCGTGCACGAAGCTATTTATGAAACTACCAAGTATGCCAACCAAATTTTTGACAAAGAAAGAGTCAATTGAATTATATTGAAGAGTTGGTGAACGTTGTTTACACAACTTCCGATTCTCACAACCTTTTGCTATTTGTATTTAGGTTTTCTTCAAATCTTCTTCAACATTACTTCATCCAAAACATTCATTCATCGTGGAAGCTTCAGCAGTCGTGTTATGAGAAAAACATATGCTTTTTGATGTTTTTATTTCTTGAAAGCGCGTGATACTGTCGCTACTGAATGCAATTTGCTTCTACATTTTGAATTCTTTTTCGTTCTTCATAAACAAATCAACAAACAATATACGGCGATTGGTTCACACTTGTTTACATTACTGAAAACACATGTCTGACGGAGAGTTGACGCTATGAATTGTTTGTTTACATTTGGCTTTCCAGTTTATATAAGTAGCAGTAGTTCACATTCTCTTCCTTAACCTTTTCCTTTCAACATTTAGAGCATTTCTTGTGTTCTTGCTTGAGGCAGAGGTTTGCGATTTTTTTGTTTAGAGCTTTTTGCACATCTATCAAACAGTGAATTGAGTCGAAGACTTAATTATTTGTTTGCAACAGATCCATTGGACTCAAAGCTACTCGTTTTCTTTTGAATCTGTTCTCAAAAACATAAAGCTGTGCGACAAAATATTCCGGCATTTGTCCTTTCTCGTGAACATTTGTAACAAACACTTCAGTCACTGAGGCTTCGGTTTTGGTTTTGAAATCGTATTTGTTGCATCTTGAAAGAAATCCAGCAGTTTCCTTCTCGCTAAATCTAGGACTTTCTGTTTTCAAACAAGCCTGCTCCAGTCACACATTCATTTGGTTCGAGTATGCAATCAGTTTCCGCAACAAAAACCCCTTCTTCTTTTAATACCGAAGAAGCTTCTGCTTACATTCTCAATCTTCTCGATCGGCCATCTATTTTTGAAAAGGGAAAGTATGCTTGGGAACAAGATGATTTCATGGGCTATGACGATCCCCGCAATGAAGAACTGCACAAGACAATAGATGCAAATCTGCCGCCAATCTCTTTCAATAAAGAGACATTCTGTCCCTCAAAGAAACCGGTCGCCTTGAAGGTCATTCTTCCGTTTAGTAGCGCTTGCAAACGGCTTATTCACCGACTATCTCTTCGGTCAAGAACCAAGAAAGCAGAACGCAAAGAGGCATCAGACGGAATTCTTAGTATCCTTCGCAAAAAGCTTTCCCTGCGTTCTCGCAGACACAATCAAAAGGAGAACGGGAGAATCAGCAAAAGGGGAGGCAATGGTGCACTTACCAAGACTGTTAAGAGTCTCGTTGACTCGACTAACCGCGCGTGAACGACGTCGACGTCTCGATTATTTTCATATTCATGTCCGCCTTCATTAGCTAGTAATGAAATGCCCTCAGCGAGAACCATTACCTCGGGTCATGGTCCCGCTCTTCTCTCCCTGCCTTATTTAGTAAATCCACACACACACACATACACCAATCGTTGTTTCAGATGTACTCATATACTGTCATATTTTTTTTTTGTTTTCTATGCTATGCACACGGAAGAGCATGCAGCTAATGAGACTTCGCAAACTCTTCAACATAAGCAACCAAACGCTTCGTTTGCTCCAAAGTAACGGCGTTATACAACGAAGCACGAATGCCACCAACACTTCTATGGCCCTTGAGTTGCATAAGGTGAAGCTTCTCGGCACCACTCAAAAACTCGGCCTCCAAGGATTCGGGCTCGATACGGAAGGTGATGTTCATGCGGCTGCGTGCTTCAGGCTTGACAACAACCTTGAACAAGGGGTATTTCTCCAAAGTTTGGTAGAGAAGCTGGGACTTCTCATTGGACTCGTTCTCCAAGTTCTCCAAACCACCGTGGGCCAACATGTAGTCAAAGCCGAGATTGATGGCGTGCAAGGTAGCAATGGGCAAAGTGTTGTAAAGGGAATGGTTGTCAGCCATAATCTTGTAGTCACCGACAGTGGGACCAACGGGAATGCCAACCTTGTGCAACTCCTTGGGCTCGGGACGCTCAAGAATGGAGTTACGGACAAAGACGATGGTGATACCAGCGGGACCGGCGTTCTTCTGAGCACCAGCAAACACAACATCGTAGTGGGAAAAGTCCATCTTACGAGAAATAAAGTTGGAGGAGGTATCAACCACACGAATAACACCTTCGGGAACGTGCTCCAAAGGACCATTGAACTCGACACCGTGAACGGTCTCGTTGTCACAGTAGTACACGAAGGCAGTCTTGTCTGCAGGAGTGAAGTTCAAGTCCTCCTTACGAGGAAGAGAATCATACTTGCCAGAGACTTGCTTCATGTCAACGGCGATATGGCAAGGGAAACCAAGACGTTCGGCCTCCAAGTAAGCCTTCTTACTCCAGGCACCAGTAACCACGTAATTGGCGACCAAGTCCTTGGCAACCTCGGGACGCTTGGCGGCATGGTGAGCGTAAATGTTGTACAAAACAGCAGCAAACTGCTCAGTGCCACCTCCTTGCATGAAAAGAATAGAGAAGTCGTCAGGGAGCTTGTACAGCTTACGAAGGTTCTCCTCGGCCGACGAAACAATTCCACCGCCCTGTTTGCTACGGTGCGAAATCTCAGCAACACCCATACCCAAGTCCAAGAAGTTTACAAAATCCTTGCCAAACTGCTCGACGACAGGCGTCAGCATGGCTGCGGGTCCGGCAGCAAAGTTAGCAACTTGTTCCCTAGAAGGCATAGTCCGTAATAGAAAATCTGTTTATAGAAGAGAGGAAGGATAAGGCGAAAGGCAGAAACACAGCAGCCTTATAGCGGCCAGGGCCATCCGCAAAAAGATGGCGTTTTTGATGCTGAGTATTCGTGACTTACGGAGATGCAGAGGGGTGACAAAAGTAACGCCGAGGTAACAATCAAGTAGCAATCAGGTTACACAAACACTACACCAAGCATACGAAGAGTAACAAACACTACCACCATATGTGGGGGCCACCCGGCCACGCAAAAAAATAAAATTAATGATGAAAACGAAAACAGAAAACCGAGAACCGAGTCCGAACCGAGAAATGAGCAGATGAAGAAGAGATACCGAGAATAGAGTTTGTGCATGTGTGCGTGTGTGCGTGAAAATGTGCTTGCGTGCGCTCTCGCCTGTCTCAAAATTTTACGCATTAAAACAATAAAATTCGTCGTGCAAGGACAGTCTAATAGCTGTCCTCGACGTATTCAGCATAAAAACTAGTAAAAGTAACTATGACTTTACAGATTGAATAGAAAGAGACAGACGGAAAAACACTACACCAACACAACGGCAGAACCAAGGAAGATTCACTCTACACACATTGGAAGCAGAGGAAAAAGACAACACTTTGTGCTTTCATGGCAGTAGAGGAAAAGGACAACGAACGGTGTTCCGACCACGCAACTGCAGCTGCTTTAACAGCTAAACAACAAACTTGGTGTTCAGAGCAAATCCGGCTGGAACGCTTAGTTGAGGAAGACGGGGACGTTCAAGAGAGTGTGGTGAACGAGTGTCGCATCATTGCCGGTCTTGACATTTCGTTCAAAAAATCCTCAGAGGAGGCTGCTGCAGCCATTGTTTTATGGGATTCACATACCCAAAAAGTTGTATGGAGATCAGCCATCTGGATAGATCGAATGGAGGAACCTTACATCCCTGGATTTCTGTCTTTCCGTGAAGCGAAGTGGTATAGAACGCTGCTCAACAGCATCCCTCAAGACGTTCCGCAACCAGAGGTGATCATCGTGGACGGCAATGGTCGATTACACCCAGTGCGTAAGTGCGTGCAAATGAGACCGGAGCAAGTGAAATAGCCAGGCATAACAATGTGTTCAATATTCAATGCATTCGGTTGCCAACAACAACTTACCAACTCCTGGTCCCGTCATCTTGAAACCGACTAACAAGCAGTGTTTGGCCTCGCTTGTCACATTGGTGTTATGACAAATAAGCCAACTATAGGAGTTGCAAAAAACTATTTTTGTGCTCCGAGTTTGAATGAAGATTTGAAAGCTCACCGAGTCCACATCCAGCAGCATTTGTCCACGATGGGGCCACAACACCCCATGCCATTGAGGGCATTGCCAGAAATCGGGTACGGGGACAAGCCGATTGGGATGGCTGTGTGGACAAGCCCACATGCAACGCGGCCCGTATACGTCAGTATAGGGCATAAAATTTCACTTCCAGCGGCTGTTGCTGTCGTTACATTGTGTAGCGGAATCCATTCGCGCGTTCCTGAACCAGTGCGTTTAGCAGATATATATGCGAAGGAGGTTATCGCCAAAAGAAACTTATAAGTAATTCGTGGTACACATATCAAGAGAAGAGTTGAGTCAAACAAGTGGACAGCACCCGAGTGCATTGCGCATCGAAAATAATAAATGAAGAGAAAGAAGAAATATATTATAGAAATGGTAAGGGTGTCATTCGCTTTCAGTATTTGTCAAGAATATACTCATGTCGAAGCGTTTAACGGAAGCAACCCATCTTATTAAAGAGACACAGCAATAGAAACCATTGTTGGAATTGAAGTTGAGTAGAAGAAGTAAAGGAAAAACAAGTCGAAATAAAAAAAAGAAGAAGAAATAAGAACTATTACCAGATTTGAGAAACCAAGGGAATGCAACAGAAGTTGTAAGAGGAAAGTCGGAGAGCATAACTATGCGTCTGTCATTTGTTGAATAATGACAAATGGATCATGAAAATAAGGCAAGGTGAGGCACAGGAAAAAGCATCACCAATGAAGAGAACTTTATGGGCATGGACAGTTGCACATGGCGTTTGGTGCACTAGGTTCGCGCGGGCTTTCGTTCGTCGGGCTCTCGACGACTTCATCATAACAAGGTGGGCTTGGACCCACACTGTCGAACAGCGGTGGACACTCTTCGTCCCAGCTGACACCGAGCCCTGGTTGTGTTGTGACCACGAGCTTCACCTTCATGCGAAGCAAGCGTGCGTTGGAGTCCACGGGTTGCGAACCAACGACCTCTATCATTACCAATTCCAGCACAAGACAGTGGGAGATGTCGAGCTCGGTGTTTCCGCAGTTTAACCGCAAGTCGCACACGTAGCGTGCGTCGAGTGCGAACGAAAGGGGCAACTCGAACAGTAAACGGTCGTTATCGATTTTCCAGCCGCGTTTGTAGTCGTTGGTGCCGAGAATGCGCGTGTCCTGGTACGTGTGGACTTTGTCGGCATCGTCGTGGCCGTGACACGAGCGGATTGTAGTCTTGATTCGTTCTTCTATGCGCCAGGATATGCGGGAAACAGCCCATGAGGTGGAACTGTTTGGCTCCTTGAAGCCGGTGAGCTGGAATGTGACGGGAATATAGCTGGAAGGATGCACGACATTGGGCGTTTGCAGTGTCACGTTCAGTGACGTTGGCGGAAACAAGCGCTGGAAGGACTTGGGCGTCGAGGGAAGGATTGACCGGCGAATTTCGATGGGGTGTCGCTTCTCCAGCTTCGATGTAGGCGAGAAAATGAAGGTGGCCTTGAAATAGTACTCGACCTTCACCGTACAGCATTCGAACGAGTGTGGCATGTGGCCGGGAATAAGAGCACTGAAAGGCCATGTCGTCTTGCCCTTGGTGAGGGAGGTGCGGGCACTTACGAACTGCCATACTTGGAGCCGCTCGACGTTTTTACAGCAGTGAGGACAGCTGAGGTGCGGCGACCGTTTGTTCGTCTGCTTCTTGATGAGTTCGAGATTGACGACTTCGACGTCCAGCAACGGAACCTTTACGTCGGCCACCAGCAAACCACTGGCTATCGAGCCTGTGGACGTTGCTGGCGGGCCGTACATCACGCACGGTGGTGATTCCATCTGCACATAAGCGTCCATACCAACGGCAGAACTTTGACCCGCAGAAAGTGCTTCCGAAGAGCGTCCGTGACGACGAAGAAGCATTGACATGGTTGCTGACGACTGTTTGCAAGCAACGGTTAATTAAAAGTCGCTGAAATGAGTCGCGACCACAGGCAAGCCCGAGGGAGGGAAAGGCGGCAGTGCTCGGTAGTAAACCAGCTGCAGCAGGAATAGCAGTACCGTGACCAAAGGACAAAGGGTGCACCGAAACCGCGAGGAAAGCGTCCGAACAGCGTCACCGTAAGGGATCTCTGTGCACACACGACGCTCGTACACCAACCGCTGCTCAATTGAAGGGTCGTCCGTGAAAGCCGAGACCGTTCAAGCGTGTGGGAGAGGGCAGAGAACGTCTCCCGAGAGATTACGAATTTTGTAGAAGTAACGTGTTACTTGGGCCAAGAACGCAGCGTTGCGCAGCGCACTGGAGCACGGTGGAAGTGGGGGTGTTTTAGTGGAGGGGCGTGGAGTCAGGGGTGATCGGCGAGAGAGCAGTCAAGGGCTTAGCAAAGGCAGCGAGGGCAGCAGCAGCAGCAGCAGCAGCAGCAATAGTGACAGCAGAACGACGCAAAGGGAGCGAGGGGATATGAGAGGGGGAGAAGGAGTGCGAGTTGTGTTTATAAAGATGAATTCGTTAGACCCTACAGATCGCATCAACAAGGTTTGATAGGGTCTGGTGGGACAGAAAAAGCGAGATGACACGTGGATTAGCGCATCCTGGAGTGATGTGCGGGAAAGGAGAAGAAGACAGGAGGAGAGCAGGGTGTAGAGGACGAGAGGCAATACGTTCTACGAGCAATTGGACTGCAACGCAGCTGCAGTTGCAGTTGCAGTTACAACCACAGAACTACAGTGACAGCTTCAATTGCCGCTTCCACTGCAACTACAACTACAACTACGGTGGACGTTTCTGCTGTGCCTTGCTGTCTCTCGCTTCCATTACTTCCGCATCCGTCTGCTCCACTATTCCCTTCTAAACTACGTCCTGGAGATCCTAACTCTCCAGGCTGAGTTGGACAGGTTCATTTTGGCTTTATCAGCGACCAAGTGTTGTTATATACGGAATCCAGTATTTACGGATTATCGTTGGACCATCGCATCGTTTGTTTTTTTGTCAGTCGCCAATTCGACGATCTCTCGTTCATCAATGTCGCAGTAAAAATTCGTCTAGCAAACTCTAAACCTACAGGTGGACCGTAGTACGGGGCAGAGATCCATAGCCGAACGCAGACGTAAACCCTAAGACTAACCCCAGAACACTAGACCCAAGACAAACCCTAGGATAGTCAGACAAACCTAACTAGTAGACCTAATGCATCCCCCCATCCCTCCATCCCCCATTAAGGTTTTAAGGTTCCTCCGAACGGAACCGGCGTCGCCGAAACTGAAAGGGGCAGGTGGGAGAAGGTCGTGTAGATCTGGCCCGCTCCCCCTCGGGCGGGCCGCCTGTGGAGCAATTTTAAGCCAATTGCATTCGTGCATGCATCTCTTCATTCGACTCTGTCCAATAAGCATTCGCCTATATCGCTTGTCTGGACCACTCCGTGATGGGTCTTCTGAGCGATCATCGCTGCCCTGGCCAATCAGACACCGGTTTTACGAGTTCACGTGCTTCTGGCCCCATCGGCTGTGTTCCGATCGCCTGTGTCGTCACGATGACCAATCATCCCCGGCCTAATATCGCGTAGCTCGCTTCGTGATCCTCGCTTGCTGTTGCGTGCTGTTGCGACAGCTTCGCCATCGCTGCCGAGTCTGACACCGAGTCGCGTTCATGTGAAGAAATTCACGTCATTCTTCCGAATGTCGGAAAATAGAAAAGGCACACACCCTGTACGCTTGTTCCTCGTCCTTCGTCCTGTCTAATTCGCCGATCAACGAAACAGAGTGCAGATCATTGCTTGATCGACACACAATTGACGGCCATCTGATTCCCGCCGATCATCCTTCACTCATTCTTACATACACACTCATACGTTCATACGTCCATACATTCGTACATTCATAGCATGCCTGGGAACAAGCTGCTGAGCCCACAGGGGCTCGACAAAATCGCCATGCTTCTCGTGAGCGTCGATCGCCTCAGTTCGCCTTCGACGAAGCTTTTCTCAAAGGACGTCGTCGTCTTCCTCAACGAATTCCGCTGTGCACTGCGACTGCCCGGCCTGTACAATCTCGTGAACGGGTTCCATTTCCAGCAGAGCAGCTTCTGTCAACTCGTCGTCACCCTAGTGCAAATGGCTTACTATTTGTCCGAAGGCCTCGCCTTTCTTTCAAGCAAGGACGTCATCCAGCTGCCTAAGCGACTGGAAAACTGGCTGTGGCTCGTCTCCTGCCGCTGCTGGCTGATCGGTACACTGATCCATTTCGCTCGCTTGCTCCTCCACTGCACCTCTGTCAGCCCCGTCGACCTGCTGGACGATTTTGTCATCGACTTGACGGCCCTGCCTATGAGCCTCCACTGGTCGCTTCGTCGCGGCTGTGGTCTCTGCACCACTCAGCTTGGAGCGCTAGGGCTCGTTAGTGCAGTGACACATCTCCGGAGGCTCTTGAACGAGTCGTAGTGAGCCCGACAAAAACCCGCCCCACCACTATTGGTCCCCCTCTACGTTGACGACCCCCACTCATCCAACCTGGTCCGCCGCACATCCTCGATACCCCCACGAACCATGTCTTAGAAGTCTCTCTTTTCTGTTCTATTTATTTGCTATGTTTTATTATGTATGAGAAAATATAAATGTACTTGTATAAAATTTATGTTAGAAGGAGGGAAGGGAGGAATGTCTGTGTGTAGTAGAGTGTTCATTGTGACCACTTGGAACTTGCCTATAGTTGTGATCACTTGGAAGTTTGTTATTGATTTTTACTTTCGTATTATTGATATTGATTTTAATTCATTTGTTTATTCTGAATTATGTTACTGCTGCTACTGCAATTGTTGTTGTTGTTGTTATTGTCACTATTATCTATTTGTTTTTACCAATTACAATTACAATTTTATTTTTTTTATTTTAATTTATCTTTACTTTACTTTGCTTCACTTCACTTACTTATTATTCTCCCCCACCTCTCCCTAACCCCGCCACACCCCTCGTTGCACCTCGCTACACCCCATTACGCTACCCCCACACCCCGCTGTGACTGCTACCACGACACACCCAAATCACGCTTCTCGCGCTGCCACCCTCTACCAACCACCACCATGCTTTTGTTCAAGGACGTTATTTCTGGCGATGAGCTTGTCTCCGATGCTTATGACCTGAAGGAGGTCGACGACATTGTCTACGAGGCCGACTGCCAAATGGTGAATGTCAAGCAAGGTGGCGATATCGACATTGGTGCCAACCCCTCTGCTGAGGACGGCGGTGATGATGTCGAGGAGGGTGTCGAGACTGTCAACAACTTGGTCTACTCCTTCCGTCTCAACCAGACTTCCTTCGACAAGAAGTCTTACATGACCTACATCAAGGGCTACATGAAGGCTATCAAGGCTCGTCTCCAGGAGTCCAACCCTGACCGTGTTCCCGTCTTCGAGAAGAACGCTGTCGGTTACATCAAGAAGATCCTCGGCAACTTCAAGGACTACGACTTCTACACTGGTGAGAGCATGGATCCCGATGGAATGGTCGTCCTTCTCAACTACCGTGAGGATGGTGTCACCCCCTACATGACCTTCTTCAAGGACGGTCTTCTCTCTGAGAAGTTCTAAGAAGTATGAGTAGTTGAATGGGATAATTAATTGGGACATTTATGGAGATTGCGAAGCGGTGACATAGGGCTGGAGGAAGCGAATGTGCATAGGTGCATGTATATATGTGTGAGTGTGTGTGTGGGTGGGAGAGTGAGATTATCCTTCGTGTAGCGGGACAGTGTGTGTTCGATACGAGGGGTTTAGTTCCCTGGCCGATCGGCGGTGTTGCAGATCCCCCGCAGTTCTTACGAGTTTCCTTGTTACCCCGCATTTTACCGGCGCACGTGCATTGCGTCATGCATCACTCTTACCTTCCCCAGGCGCGCCAACCATCCTTCCCTCTACCAAACTCAAACCGAACCATGTTTGACGTCTATACTGTCCAAAACAATGCATTGGTATGTTCAACTGCGTGTGTTACCCGGAAATTGTGCTCATCTCTCCTTGTAGTCGGACATTCGGGCATTTATTAAGTCTCGCACCAGTTATGATGTCTTACCTGCTTCGTTTCGCTTGATTGTATTTGACAATTCTCTCTTTGTAAAGGCTAGTTTGAGCCTGCTGGCCGTTAATAGTAAGTGGACGCGTGGGGAACGACTGTCGCACGCTCTTTGGCAGCGGTTCTGGCACGTACTGACAGTTGTGACAGACATAGTGAGTGCTCCCTTGTGGGACAGCGAGCGAAACCGTTTCGCCGGGCTGCTGACAATGGCCGATTTTATCAATGTCATTCAATACTACTACCAAAACGCATCATATCCCGAGGCGCTTGAAGAAATCGACAAATTCCGGCTGTCGGGCCTGCGTGAAATCGAACGCAAGATTGGTGCCATCCCGCCAGAGACCGTGTATGTGCATCCCATGCACAGTCTCATGGAGGCATGCACAACAATGACGAAGACGCGAGCCCGTCGTGTTCCGTTGATTGACACGGACACGGAGAGCGGCAGTGAGATGATTGTGTCGGTACTCACACAGTATCGTATTCTCAAATTTATTTCTATGAACGTAAGGAGCAAAGTGTTGAACGATATAAGAGCGGGACTTGCCAGAGTCTCACTAATTGCTTTTCTTTGCAAGGCTTTCTCTCGTTATTTTCTATTGCGATGCAACTTCAGCATGCGCATTTTTTGTGTGCTCAAAAAACTAACACCTTTTAGTGCAAAGAAACAAGTCTCCTTCGCGTCCCGCTAAGTGAGCTCGGTATCGGCACTTGGGACAATCTCGCTACGGCAACGATGGATACGCCTGTGTACGACATTATTCAGATGCTCGGCACGTACAGCATTAGCGCCGTTCCCATTATTGACATTGATGGTATGTCGCACCTTACCTTATTGACATGCACAAGCCGACACTCGTCACTCACGCGAGCTCAGGTGATGTGGGTGCTTCTTGCGGTTTTTCATGCGTGTCCACTCGTACTAACTACTCGGATTTTGCAGGCAAGCTTCTGAATGTGTTTGAAGCGGTAGATGTCATGCTATTGATTCAGCGCGGCGATTACCACAATCTTGATCTTATGGTGGGAGAGGCACTGCTCAAGCGCCCATCCAATTTTCCAGGTGTGCACACCTGTCGGGAGTCTGACCACCTTGATGGCGTTTTTGACGCCATTAAACATTCGCGGGTTCACCGTCTCGTTGTTGTTGACGAGCATATGCATCTGAAAGGAATGCTCTCGCTTGCCGACATCATGAACTACATTATCGGTGAACAGCCTCCAGCTAACCGGGCCTTATTCAAGAACGAAGACGCCGATTCCGATGAACCCATGCACATTGAGCAAGCTGGACCCCAATAGGTTTGGCGCCTTGTTCTTGATTCACTAATCTTCACAGGGTGATTGCAGCGAGTGTTGTCATATGCTTCACAATGGCTTGCAGCGACTCCAGCCCACTCTCAAGTCATGCTTTACCGCGTCATGTCTCGTGTGTTAACTCTCACGCAGGCGTCTACGAGTATGCCCGATAGACTGCGACCATGTGCGAACGTTAGCGTATCGCATGGACCTTCTTGGGCGCTGGTTTCTGCAGCCGTTTCCCGGTCCACAAACTCTCAATGGAGTATTGGGGACGTAATCTCTTCATCAGCTGCCATTCATATCGTCTTTGTCCGACCCTTATTCTGTTTTTTCGCTCCTTTAAGTTTTTGACTTGGTTATCCCCACCCGATTGCTCTTTTCCCCCGCCTCAATGGCTGCGCCAACCCGATTTTTGGGACTGGCTTTCCTTCGCCCTTCGTGTCTAAAATTTGACTATATTATCTAGCATCATCTGACTCAACGTGTTGGTCGCCTTTCCGGGGTTCAAAGCGCAAACAGTTAAGAATGGAAAAATCGCATTCGCTGCCGTGAGCGGGAGTGTCGCGCAAAAGAGCCAGCGGAATTTGCGTCAATCAATTGTTGGACGCCCACAAGAACGATCCGCCACTACCCCTGCGAACGTTCGCAAACAAACTTATGGAAGTCCCTATTTCTCCAATGGACGATAAAGGCTCGCCGTATTCCACAGCATCTTCGGGGTCGACGACAACGTTTGTCGAAGAATGGACGCCGTCGCATTCAAAAACGTCTTCAGCTTCGAAGCCTGCGGCACGGCCAAAATTAAAGACAGTACGAATTGCAATTGTCGGAACTGGATTGTCAAGTCTGACGACTGCCTACCTATTATCGACGTGTGAAGCAGAAAAATATGGAGTACATTTGGTGGTCGATCTTTTTGAACGAGGCTCTTCCATTGGCATGGATGGCCAAAGTTTGACAGTTGAAGTTGGAGAAACGAAACGGCCGCAACGAATTGATACCCCTTGGCGAACTTTTAATCCTGGTTATTATCCTAATTTGACTGGTCTGTACAGATACCTGGGAATCAACTTTTATCGGAATCGCTTGAGCTTTGGATGGTTTCATTTGGACGAGCTACCTCAAATGTTCCCCCCTATGGAAACTCACGAGTCGCTTTCGACCGTACGAACTTCGTATTGGTCCCCGTTTGCGACCCCGCGCAGTATTTCGCGCACACTAAAACATTGGGTTGTCCAGTTTTCGGGCGACGTTAATTCTGGTCCTTCGCTAACACTCGCGAGTCTCTGGAATGTATATAAGTGGTGTGGCAGTATATTTCGGTTACTGGCTATTTGGTTTGGCTACGTGTTGTTTTTGTGCGTCTGCTCTTACCATGGCCGCCGTGGCCATTACCGTCCGGGTGCTACGCATCCCATTCAAAAAAAAACGGTGCGACAATACGTCGAGTCCGCTTGGTACCTGCCCTCGAGCTTTGTTCGGCTCGTTCTACTTCCCATGCTTATGACCTTGTGCACCTGTTCTAGCGAGCAGTTGCTCGAGCACCCAATCGCTCCTCTCCTTGAGTACAAATGGAAGACGCACAGGGGTACACATATGCTGGTATCTGATGGTGTGCGGCAGGTTGTTCGGCGGCTGATCGAAAAAGTGGACAATGTCTACTGTAATGCTGGCATAACAGCTCTCGAATACGTTCCCGTTAGCGATGGCGTTGACAATTCGCTACGAGTCCGTCTTGTACTCGAGGATGGTCGTTCAATTATTTACGACCATGTTATTCTCGGCGTTTCCCCCAAATCAGCTCTTAATCTAATGATAGCCGCGGAAACTACCGCCGAGCTTCTCCCACATCAAGTGAATTCTCTTAAGCTTGCTTTACAGCGTTCGAATGCCAGTCGTGCCATCGATGCCTTTTCCAAAGCTGCACACAATCGCGTGGTTGTAATGACTCACAAGGACACCACTATCTTTCCAGAGTGTAAGCGTCTACCTCGTGTTGTTGTTGGTTCTACAGATTCGCAACGTACCATGGTGACGCATATTTCGGCGCCCGGTATCTATCAAACAACTATGCTTCTTGAGGAAAATCTTCCGACGCTGGATTCTATTCTATCGATATCCCGCTATGTCCGGTTTGTACTCACCATGCCATGGATGCGTGCGCGTTCCGAGTTTTGCACCGAGACTGGTTGCTGTGGTCCGGTACAGGGACCTAACATTTGGTACGTTGGATGCTGGTGTCACAATGGACTGCCTTTGATGGAGGGCTGTGTAAATAGTGCTAGTGCTTGTTTCCTTCAGTTGACCAAAGTGTTGTCGATACCTGCTTTTATTCCTTGGGAACCTTCTCATGACTTTATGCCTTCTGCCGAGGAACCATTTCATTAGTTAACACAGGGAAGGTGATTGTGTCTATACTTTGTTTTGTTTTTCGCCATTTATTTTCTGTTTCGTTTCCGCTCTTTTTTTATTCTTTCCTTTTGTTTTTCTTTTTTTTTGAACGAGCATCATTGGACATTGGTAAGAGATTTGGATTTAAGGGAATGGTTTCTTAATCTTTGACTATCTTGTATGGCGACAACAGGGTATATGCATCCTGTTAGCGAGTATCGTCTTGCTGACCTTGTTTGGGTCCGTGCATCGCCCGTTACTCTTATTACTATCTTAAATTGCCAACACTAATACCCTTGAAACCTTCCTTTACTGTCATCACCTTGTGTTTTTTTTCTATCCGTCATCTCTTCGCCCTCTTCCCTCCCAATTAATATTGCGCTAGTAAAACACCCAGAGTCATTCTGGTCATTCCTGAAAAATATTCGCAGCACGCGTATTATCTCCATCGTCTGTACGATTGCTATTGGGCGCCATCCACTCCGCTGTATCTATTACTATAACTTCTTATGAAACCGCTCGGTTGAGAGCCTATGGATGCGAGTGCAGGCAAGCAGGTAAAACAACCGTCTCTACAGAACCTTGAAAAAGGGTGAGGTGCGACAGCGTCCTACTTGATAATTACTGTATGTTGGAGACACAGCCTACTCTCACCGGCGCGTCGGTTACTTAGTCGACGAGGCGCCTAACCTCAACTAACAGAGTAGGCAAAGTAGCCGGCATAAGTGCTACGACATGAGTCATTAATTGAATTATAACTAAACTCTTAAAGCGTCTACCCGAGCAATTATGTGGACCGGAGGACCCTTACTTAACAAACCCAAAGTCTGAAAGGAACGTTTTGTGCGAGCTAAGGGAAATAATGCCCTCCAATTGCTACACATCTCCCAAGGACTAGAAAGATGTATGGTAGTCGCCGTGACTAAATTAGATGCCGAAAAGCTTCTTAAGCTCGGCCATCGTGTCCTCGGGGCATGTAACAGAGTGACCGATGGTGCGAGGGTCCTCGTAGATTTCATAATCGTTACCACCCTTGTAAGTCTTGTCACCAAAGAAATGGATGGTGTCGAAACCGTCACCCTCAACATGGCGCAAGCAGTAGGTCTTGTCCCAGCCGGTAGGGAAGACGTCGAAGGAGATTTGACCGCCAATGGAGAAGGTCAAACCATAGTCACCAAACTTCTCGCGAAGAGCCTCGACCATCTTGGGACGGATTTGGTGAATCTTGTCGTACTTCTCGAATTCGTTACGCTCGGTCACACTGGCATTGCGGCCAATGGGGGAGATGTTCACCATACCGTTACGGAACTCAATGAAGGTACCACGCTTGACAGGAATGTCAATGTCAGCAAGGTAACGAAGACAGAAGTTGATCAAGTTCTTGTACTTTTCCTCGCCCAACCATTGAATGAAGGATTGACTGGCGAGTTGCTTGCTGCAACGGTAAGCAGTCAAACCATTCTCAGCAAAAGCATAGTCAAAATGGTCAATTGCTGAACTTGTTAGCAAGAAGAAGTTGTGTAATACATTTTCGGCTGTGCAATGCGAGCGGGTCTGAAATACACACACACACACATATGCACATAAGCAGCCCTTTATCATTATCCTTACCATTCTCTCCGCTGATGGAAAGTTGTTCTTGTTGCTTGGACAAGTCACTTCCGCCGACAAAACCAATAACGGCGACTTGTCTGAGCTTCTGAAGGAGGTCCAACATTTCAGGACTGATGCTCTAAGTCAATGTTAGTTCAAAGAAAAAGAGTTGACGCGTAGGAATATGACAAAAGTTTTGGAAAAGCCGAAAAAGCATTTCCAGAGAACGTCTGGAGACCGGAAAACATGCAAATATGCAAAAACACACGCTGTGCGTCTTGTAACCGCATTTCCGACTCACGTCACAGGTTCCGTATTTTTACATACCTGACGAGCAGGGGTCAAGGTGCCATCAACGTCAAAAAGGACGAGAGTTTTGGGGAACTTCCGTTGCTCAAAAGGAAGGATCGAGGACATTGTGGTGCAGACGGGGGGAGTGGTAGAGGGATGGAGAGAGAGGCTCGGACGTTACGCTTTCCTGGTGGTGACTTTATACCAACCGTCACTCAAATAAGCTCACAAGTAAACAAACGTGACGCGAAAATGGCGGTGTGCCGACGCTAGCGTCAGCTATGCGACAGCGCCGTCGGGCGCTGTGGGCGTGCAACGAATGTCGTGAACGGGCGGTGCAGGCGCAAGAGCAATGCGAAAACATTGTGAAGGAATTGCATGAAACAGGCGCGTTCCCGCTCGGAAAAACTGGCAAGTCGCTCGCGCACGCGAGTGACCTTCCGTTAACGACTCGCGTCAACGCGTCAAGCACTTCTCCTCATTAAGTCTCCTTAATTATCGTTAACTGAAATATGAGGGCGTGGTAAGTCTCGTAGAAACGGTTTACAGAGTCACACCGAATATGTCATAAACACGTTACACTTCGTTACCGTTCGTTACAAATCGCTAACGTGCACTAAATAACGCTAAATTGCACTATTCTCTTCTAAGCGCTCGCTCCAGTTCGTTCTATTTCATTCCATTCTCTTCCATCTCGCTAAATCGTTTCAACACGCACCATAAATCTCGCTACGCCTCACTCGCTCTCACTAAATCAAGCTATCTTTTCAGCCCTCCCAGCTGAACCTGCCAACTCCCAACCTCACTGCTTCCTCCACCCCATCCCAGTTCAGGTGCTAGTTTAATTGAAAATGTCTACAGACCTTTGGTACGAACGTTAAGATCTCCTCAACTGTTTTCTAACTGCTTTAGTCCTGTGTATGCGCGAATTTAAGCTGAAGAGTTTGCTCTAACATACAGTTACGCGCCCTTTTTCGGTGTTATGGGCTGTACGGCAGCCATCGTCTTTGCCAGTTTCGGTGCTGCTTACGGTACTGCCAAGGCTGGCGTTGGTATCAGTGCAATGGGTGTTTTGCGTCCTGATCTGATTGTGTAAGTAGAAATGAACAGCGATGAGGGAATTCATCTTTCGAGCCTTTTCTCTCTGGCTTCCACGCTCTCCTGGCACTAACACGATGACCTTAGTAAAAACACTATTCCCGTCGTTATGGCTGGTATTATTGCCATTTACGGTTTGGTCGTCTCGGTGCTGATTTCCGGTGGCCTGAAGCAAATCCAATCTCTCTACACTGGTTTCATCCAACTTGGTGCCGGTCTCTCTGTTGGTTTGGCCGGTCTGGCTGCCGGTTTCGCCATTTGGTATCGTCGGTGACGCTGGGGTGTCCGTGGTACCGCCCAACAGCCTCGTCTCTTCGTTGCCATGATTCTTATTCTTATTTTCGCTGAAGTTTTGGGTCTTTATGGTTTGATTGTTGCTCTTCTGCTCAATACTCGGGCTAGCGACAACGTTACGGTATGACAACTAAAAAGGGAGTGAAACGGGATGGAAGTTGAAGACATGGCAGTTTGGTCTGTCTTGGATAGTCTTGCTTTCACTCCTCTTACCTCTTTCTAGGCGTTCACTTGTACTAATCCTTCTCTAGTGTATCTAAGTACAAACTCCCCCTTTCAAGAAGTATACATACACTCTCTCTCTTGGATAAACTACAACAACCTGCGTTGCTTCGACGCCCGTAATGCAATCATTTCGATGCAGACTAGGACTTTGATTAATACTCCCTCGCCGATGGCAGATGTTGCAGGCTCTGCAGTAGGTGCTATTTCTTTGGTCCATAACCGTTCTTAATACAGTACATTTCTTTTGACACGAAAGGTCGGTGAGGAGGCTCAAGTTGAAGGCGGTAGTATACGTAGACGGGGCTAGCTGTGAGTGGATGTGTGTGCATTTGTTGAAACGGCAGTTTGTAAATTGAGAAAGGCATGTGTTGGCGGTGCCAGGTTTTGTCTTTTTATTTTTTCTATACAATGAACTGTGGTCTTTTCGTAGTCAATATATTCTAAAGCTTGGTCGCTCCTGAGGACCATAACATAATTTGTACAAACGAGTATTATCTCGTTGGCGCCGTCGCGTCGGATGGTTCATATGCCCAAGTATAATAAGTATATAAAATAATAATACAATGTGGAAGTACGATAAACAAATAGAAACGAGCTTCGTGGCTGTCTCTCCATCATACGTCTTCCACCGTTCCTCTATGTCATAACAAATGTTTTCATAATAATTAACCAGAATATAATGTACAGAAGAAATAAAAGAGCGAAGAGAGGAATTGACACGGAAGCGGGGGAGTAAAAGAAAAACCAAGTTACAAGATGGGGAAAGCCTTCATCAGATGCATGCGTAAAAGGTATATCGTGAAAATAGAAGGGAAAACACAGAGAAACCGAACCAGTAGTAATAATAGCAGTAATGATAATAATGACCGTAGCTGCGACGGAGTTACGCCTTCTCTTCGTCCGTCTTGCGTACACATAACCGCGTACGAGTGGGTGAGTACCAATGGAACTTCTGGATACAGTGCATGGCAATGGCTGCGACTATGGCAATACCTACCATGCCACACATAACTTCGTTGCTTTTGCGATACGTCGTATCGCTCTTCCAACCGGAGTAAAGTGCATATGTAGAAATTACACTGCCGATGTTTCCCAAGCCGCTAACAATGGCCAAACCGGCAGCAACACCAACGTCTCCGTGTGTAGGTCCCATGGCATCAGAAACCCATGCCATGATAATGGGCACTGTTGGACCCAGGCCGAAACCAAGTATGAGAAGACCAATATAGCGGCCCCAAACGCCAGGCGTAAACGTTGTCACCAACAAACCTGCTAATATAATACAGGCACTGCTAACGAAAAATAAAGCTTTGCGCTTGTAGCGATCGTGCAGAGGCAGCACGGTAAGAATGGCAAGAGTATTAAAAATATAGATGGGTGCAACCAATAATGAAACGGTCACATCCGAGAAACTAGCATCGATCTGTCGGACAATAAGGCTGCTATAGTTTGCAATACCATTGCTGACACCGACGACGCCGAAGAACATGAAAATGGGAGGCCATAAACGGGCATCAAGAGTTGCTGCAACCAAATCGCGCCAGTTCCAAGAACGGCCGACATTCAGTCCACGCATATAACGCTTGTGAAGTTGCTTCTCTTTTGGCGTGAGATGCGACTCCTTAGCAGGGCGAAGGAAATTTAAGAAACGTGGGCATGGAATCCAGGAGAACAGCTTTTCGCCCTTATTACCACATTTAATCGGAGGCAACCAAGGACCAATGGTGAGACCCTGCAGAAATGTGACAATACCCCAAATGAGAAACATCCATTGGAAGCCATACAAACCTCCAAGGTTATCCATTTTTTGGAAAACTGCAGAAAGCAAACTCGTGGTGACCGACGCTATTTGAGCGGCCGTGTAGTACCAACCAATCCGTTTACCCAGATGTCTGTCGCGGTACCAACGGCTTGTATAATAGGCAAACCCCGGCCACATTCCGGCGATGGCAAGGCCATTAAACAGTCGAAGAATGATGAATGTAGAAGGTCTCGAGATACGTGATCCCAAAATCGTATGGCATGCTCCAATGATACCTGTGGAGAGCTGGATACGAGAGAGCCAAAGTCTTGGATCTGCACAAGTCATGAGTAGGTTGGACGGCAGATCGAATACAATGAGTGCGACATATGATACAGCAAGGCCGATCGATAACGTGTGGCTGTTGATACCCTTTACGGTTTGCAGCAGCGAGTGTCCATCACTTGTGTTCATCGTATACGACATACTCACGCTGTAAGTAACGCTCCGTGACAGAAAATAAGTCAACCAAATGCACGAAATGATCCGAAAGTCGCACTTCCGCCGAATGACAGACAATGCTTGTGTTTCTTCGGCCGTCCACGGAATTTCTTTCTCGCCCTCTTCATAAAAAGATTCGTCACTCGGAATAACAGTCTCGTCATTTGTGTTGACTGGGGAGACTCCTTTCGGGTCAATATCTCGCAACGTCTCATCAAACGTGACGAGGTCGTTTAGCTTTTCAGACTTGTACGAATCATTCGTCTGCACGGTTTTCATAGAAGAGATGCTGCCAAGGCTACCACTGCTGTCTGCACTGGCAGTACCTTTATGTAATGTTACAGAGCCACTGGGACTCTCGTCCGTAGTTGTAACGGTTCTGTCGACCGTTACTACATTAGCTGGCTGAGTAGGGAGCTGCATTGGAGATGCTGCTGAAGGATGCAAATGCATCAGAGTTTATATTCAACGAGTGTAGTATGGTAAAATGCACACAAAAGAGCTTCTATAGCTCACAGAATGGACTGGCGGGGAGATTATAAGGGACAGGAGAACGGACAATAGGAAGAGCCGTCGTCCGGAGCGCGATGAAAAGCGCTGGGTCGGACTACGATCGTTTAACGAAGTTGAATCTGAGTGGTGATAATGTTTGACCATGGACTTAGTAGGTGTGAGCGTTTGGTCACAGCCTGTATGGCACAGCGAATGAGCGTCCAGGATTACTCGTTGTGGGCCTATGGAGTAAAAAGACGAACAAGACTGATGTAGGCTTGGGAGGATGTTGGAACAAATCAAAGCTCACGCTTGGAATAATTGTTTAGAGTGCGAATAGGCAGTTGATGAATAAGCGGTCATTCCGGTTAAATATAGTTCCAAGGATACATGTAAAATCAAACCATCTGAGCAAAACAAACTAGACTCCGGTTACAGTAATGGTGACGATGTCGTGGCACATTAAAAACAATAAGATGACGAAATGAGACGTCGTTAAGATAGGAATGAAAATAAAATGAGGATGAACTGAATAATAGGATTCAAACCGAGAAACGTATTAGTAATGGGATGCGTGGACGGTGGGAGAACTTGCAGTTGTCTTCTATTTATGTGAACGCGACGCGTTAACTTTCGGGAATAAGGTTGTCGTGTTGCGTCCTTAATGCAACCTTATTTTGCGACGCGTGCCGTGGAATAAGTGAGTAAAAAACAAAAAGGTAAATGGTAAATGGTACACGAGTCGAGACAATTCCTAAGAATTATTAAACGCAGTGTTCGTTATTACACATCTCGAGAAGTTTTTGATAACTAGTTCACGCTTATAATGACAACTACAACAATAATGATAGGAATATATTGAGCGACCCATTATACACGAAAATAAAATAAAATAAAATAAAAGTAGAAGAGCGGGCGAGTGAAAATCGGAAGGTTGCGGGTGGGTAAGCTGAAAAATGAACACGGAGGCTGTACTTGAAATGCGCTGTGAACCATACTCATGTTTTGACTCATTCATTCATAGACATTCCTTCTTTTGGTTTAATGGATTTGTGATTGGTACTGCGGTATCTGTTGGGTCCAAAGCTTAGGAGGAGCCGTTCAATGACACACGAAACAATGGAAATACCAATGAGACCGATGCAGACATCATTACTCTTGCGATATGTTGGGTCGGAAGACCAGCCGCTGTAAAGAGCATATGTCGTAAGAACACTGCCCAGGTTTCCCAGACCGCTGACGAGCGCAAGAGCAGAAGCAACACCAACATCGCCGTACGTTTCAGACATAACCTCTGAAGCCCACGAGGTACAGATGGGAACTGTGGGTCCGAGTCCAAATCCAATGAGCAGGAGACCCACGTAACGAGCCCAAACTCCATGAGCATAGGTTGCAACAACGAGTCCAACAATGATAACCACGCAACTGCTGCAAAAGAAAGACATCTTGTTGCGGAAACGATCGTACAAGGGCATCACAAGCACAATGCTCAACGCATCGCACAGCCAGATGGGCGCCGTTAAAAGAGACACGCTAATGCTCGAAAACTTTGGATTAATCTGACGGACAATGAGCGTGCAGTAACCAAAAATACCGTTGCCAACGCCGACAACTCCAAAGTACATAACGATAAACGGCCACAGGCGCAAATCCAACAGCGACGCAATTAAATCGCGCCATGACCATTTACGGCCATAAAGCATCCCTGAGATGTAGCGAGTGTGTAGTTGTTTGTCTGCATCTTTCAAAAACGGTGTGCGGCTTGGCGAGAAACGCTTTAGAAAGTCTGGCACAAAGCGTGAAAACAGCTTCTTTTCGCTAAAACGAGACTTCACCGCCGGTAACCACCAGGCTACTAAAATGCCTTGAGCAATCGTGATAACACCCCATACAAGGAACATCCATTGGTAACCGTACAGTCCTCCATTCATATCAATCCGCTGGAAACCAGCAGAAATCAAACTGACTGCTGCTGCTGCAATCTGAGCAGCCGTATAGTACCAGCCGATACGTTTTCCCAAATGTTCACCGCGATACCAGCGCGACATGTAATAAGCCAAACCGGGCCACAGACCTGACTCGGCAACACCCAGGAAGAATCGTAAGCAAACGAAACCCTGAGCACTGGAATGTTTGGAGCCCAATATAGCATGGCAGGCACCAATCACACCGATAGACACCTGAATTCGGGCCATCCATATACGAGGGTCAATGAGAGTCATTACCAGATTTGAAGGGACTTCGAAAACTACGTATGCAACGTAAAACAACGCCAGTCCAAGCGAAGTATAATGAGCGTTGATGCCCGGGAGAGTTTGAAGTAGACTGTGGCCAGCAGTTGTGTTCATAGTGAATGCAAGTGATACACTGAAACGAATGCAACATGACAAGAAGTAAAGAATCCAAAGGCACGGAATTACTCGAAGATCAATCAACAAACGAATGCGCTGCAAATTCTTCATCTCATCATGAGTAAACTCCTCTTCTAATGAAGACGGAGTTACTTCCTGATCATTGTTTTTCTCCAAGTCAATCGCCTTCTCCGTCAGACTGACAACGCCTTGGTTTTTATCAGTGTCGGGTTTGACATTCGTTTCATAAGCTTCGAGAGACAGCCGATTCCGTGTCTCATCGATCATTTTTACTTAAACAACACAGAAATTCGAAGATAGTTAAGAAAGAGAAAAAGAGAGAAAGCCTTGAAAAGAATATTAAAAAAAAATACACGTTGTAGGAGAATTATACCCAACGGCTGAGCATGATTAGTGCGACAATTCTTGTCTTTTGGTGAGTCTTAGTAGATGGACACAGATAATTTGAATTGTATGAATTCTTGTTGGCCAAGAAAAAAACCGCTGCTTCGTAAATAAACTCGATAGTTATGCACGCTCTGAAATCTCACTCCAGGATAGAGAAAACTTCACTTATCTCGTTTATGATCTTCTTCGTTGGTAAATTTCAGCTGAGCTGTGCAAGGAAAAGCGAATGAATCATTGACAATTCAACTTGTTTCACCAAGGGAGAAGTCACAGAGCAAACAAAAGCTCGTAAGTCAGTTAACTATAATTAGCCCCTAATAACTTCATTGCATGATAAGATCGAGTGATGAGTTTTTTGCTGATTGAGTTTGGTGAGAAACAAGCGATCCAATTATTTCGTTCGTAAATCACAGAACTCGTTTTGTAAATCGAATGAGAAAAATTGCGCAAACGGGAATTTGGCGGCGAAATTGAGTTTCTTAGAAGAAGGTTAATCGCACGAAATGCTTCTGACTAAGGATTAGAGGGAACGAAAAAGGCACCTCCTAGACAAATTGTTGCCTATTGAGCCGTTTCTGGTGTATTGGAGGTAAAACTCCACTGAGAGGCGAACACCAGGTAGTAAACAAATAATCGAGTAAAAGGACTCCGTTCTAGCCTGTAGCTGTGGTTAATTCCTGACAAAAATTCTTTTTGTTTTTTTCCGTTTGGTCATTATATACTATTACTCTGAGAGAAAGTATTGATCGGTCATCGTTTGCGGTTCATGTTTCACCAAACCATATAGAGGTTAAAAACGCTTCTAGTAAAAGCAAAAAATCAACAAGTTTACCGTTGACCGGTTTTTGTTTTTGTGTTTCATCTTGTCTTTATTTTCATTTCATATTCATAACACGATTTTGTCGAATCAGTAGTTCGTAGTCCTCTACATCTTCTCGTTGCAATGTCTCAATTCGTTCGATGCACTTGGTCCGATGGGAATAGGAACACCTGGCCTAATGCAGTTTCTTCCCGAAATGGCAGTACTCGAGGCTCGCAGAACTTGGTTGAGCTAGCAAAAGCGACACGAGACATCACAAATTTCGGATGCAATGCGGTAAGATGCTTGCCAAGCACGTCTTTGGAGGCTCCGGAACCACTCAGGCAGCATTACATATCTTTGAGCAATATGAGGACGATGTTAGTCCTGTCAGCCCAATGATCACAAACACGCCTGTGAAGGAGGGGGATCCTTTGGATATGCTAACAAGTCGAAAGACTTCCTTCTCTCAAAAGACACCCGAGAAGGCGCCGGTAAAACACCTAAACACTGAAGTCAAAGGATTGCCGACAGACGCAAGCTTCGACAATTACGTCCTTGGAGAGCTGCCTCAAAACTACGAGCTTTTCGTGAAAGTTGGTGCTCGAAATAACACATCTGCTAAAGCAGACTTATGGTTATTCGGGCATCCGAGTGGAAGACCCTTTCGCTCGGCGGTTGAGTTTCAACCTCATCTGTATTGGCTTGTTACTGACTTAACTCACGATGTTCAGAAGTGCTGTTGTGTTTTATGTTCCAACCAGGATACAAAATCTCGACGTTCTCAGCAGATGGAAGCCGAAAGGTTGTATCATGAATGCAAGGACGACACCTACACATGGCCTGCATCATTCCGTCTTGGAGAGCTTATTTGGGTGGATATGAATGGGCAAATGCTACCCGGTATCGTTGTTTCTCGCAACTTACTGACAGTAGAAAATAGGTCAAATGTCGAGGATCATCTCATGTTGAAAGACTCGTATTTGGAGCCATATCAATATCATTGTCGAGAATTAGGCAACTCTCGTTATTTTTTTAACATGGTAGCTGCCGATGTTGAGCCATGGGTTTCTCGTAAGCCCGATCCTTCAAATAAATCTCACGCTCTGGGTATTGAATTGACCAAATCATGGTGCTTATTTGGTTGCTATCAGCCATTGGACGAATCGCAATACATTGAACACGAAAGCAACCGTGCTCCGCGTTGTGTACTTCCTATTCTTGAGGAAGCCTCTTCCGAAACCAATGACCATTATTATGGGCTCTTTCTCGGAGCCGAAAAGATATGGGTAAACGATTTGTGCGCATTACATGAGGAATCCCTTCCCGAAAACTTCAAAGAAACTTCGTTTATGCACATATCCGATATTTACATCAACGATGCAGACATTATTTGTGTACGTGGTACACTCTGGAAAGTAATTGCAGAAGAGAACGATCGGCACTCTGCATCTGAAAAACAAGAAAATGAAAAACAACTGCCTCGGCGGTTATCCATGATATCGATGTGCGTCGGAATGACATTCGTCCGTCTTCACGCACCGGAGGATGAGTATGAATGCGAACTGGCAAATATAAAAGGTCGTTGGTATGAACCTTGGATGTTGCATGGTCCTGTTTGTGAAACAGAAATGCCGTCGCTACGCGTCAACAGTCGCTTGGAAGCAATTCAAGAAGAAAATTGGGTGAACAGTAATTTCTATGAACTGCTGTCCTCCGAAATTGAAAATATTACCCCGGTGGTCATGTAAGTATAATGACAAGTAGTCAAGTGATGGCGATTCATCTTATAATCTCCGAGCTTTACGAGCTCTATTTCCGCCGAACTTAATAGGAGTTGCGTCTCGCACCCGAACAATTTTGTCCCGAATCCAAAAGCCTTCCTTGCCCAAAAGGCACTTTTGTACAGCTTCTCGTCCCTTTCCAAACCCAGAAAAAATAACCTCCAGCCGGGAAACTTTCAGTTCCATTTCTTTAATATTTTTTAGCACTTCGGAACAAGCCGCGTATGCTGCATCGTATTCTCCTCGTTTTACTTTTTTGTAGCCGACAGTTCCTCCTGAGGCAGTGTGTATAATGAGGTTGTCTGTTCCGCAGAATGTAACATGGGTGTTGTTATTACTGCATTTTACATGCAGCTTATACGGGAGTTGCTCTCGTAATTCCGAGTTTGTTTGGTGCGTTTTCGATTTCATGTTCTTCAAGCCATTGAACAAAATATCTTCGACAGAGTAACCTTCCGTAACATAACCTCGAAAATTAATGAGTACTGGTATTTTTATTTTGGAAATTGAGACACAACTCTTCAGTAACGGGCACAAATTCATTTTTTTCGTTTTCAAAAGAGCGCAATACGTGAATCAGTAGAATCCAAAGAAGAGTAGGAAAGAGGGAAGTAACAAGTGAATAGAAAAAAGGCAAAAAATGAAAACTAATGAATCACTTCAGCGGATCGTTGCACTATTGGGAGTAAAATTGTGTATGATGAAAACAGAGTGGTCTAAACTCCTTTCTAACAGTACAGTACCTAAATATGAACGCAATTCAACTCCCAAGATTTGTATTTTACCAGCAAGCTTACAGAAGAAATTGTTTTGATTTAACTTAAAAGTGGTCACTCTGCGATTCGAACCGTAATCATTCACGGAAAACACAAATGCGCTTTGATTCAGCTCGCGCGTCCGATAGCATAGAAGACGCACTTTTCCTCTAACAATATGAAAGTCTCGGAAACGTCAAGTTTCTGGCTAATTGTGCTGTTATATGTTTCAATACACATTGTATTACACACACTTGACTTCTCAAGTATCCTGGAAAAGCGAATTGAAATTTCTACACCCGCTTCCAGTTTCTTACGTGTAAAGGAAGGTTATTATTTATACAAAAAAGGAATTGATCCATATGAGGGTGTTGTCTTCTTCCAATCGCCTTTTATTTTACTTTTACACACTTGTTTGAGCGTTGTTTCTGTTCCTAATTTTTCCCGGGTTCTATATCCTGTCGCCGACATTGTCGGTGCAACTGCTCTTCGTGCTTTACTCCTTTGTTTAAAAAAACAGAAGCGTTTTACTTCTTGGAGTGTAAATGGACTTTGTTCTCTGTACGTATGATCAGCGATAGTGACTGACTGACAATTTTCTTTCGTACTAACCAAAAAGATATCTGCTCAACCCATTAACTATAGCTGCTAGCGTCGCCGGGTCATCGGATTGCGTTTCAAACGCACTCACGCTTATAGCTTTGTACTGCGCTGTTGTTGGATCTACTGCTGGCTTGGGATGCAGCATTGCCTTGGTGACCTTTTTTAATCCATTCAATTGCGTGTATGTGCTTCCTCTCTTTCTTATAGCACACAAAACTACAAAAAAAGAGAGTACCTTTTCCTGGAAACGCTGTTTATTTATAGACTTAGAGTATACTGCTCTACTCTTGCTCACTAGTTATCTGTTTCTGGGCTCCTGGAAGTTCTTAATCTCAAGTATCACCTCTAATTTCATCCTGCAGAATCTCTCTGTGAGTCTTGGTCTGTGGTGGTACTTCTTTATTGAAATATTTGAAACGTTTCGCTCGTTTTTCTTGTTTGTGTTTGCAATTCATCCATTCACGTATACGCTTCCCGTTACAATTAGGTTACGAAAACAACCATTGACTGCTTTTGTTGTTCTCGTGGGAGTAACTGGTCTTTTGAAATCATATCCCAGTATTGCGGACTTGTCACTTTTCGTTACTCTTATCCATATCCTTGATTTTGGAAAGAGCCGTTTAAAGTTCGTATTTTTGGCGGGTAACACACTTTTATACTCTCTTTTTCTTGGCCCAGCATTCTTTCAAGCTTGGATTTACCTTGGCAGTGGCAATGCCAATTTCTTCTATGCCATTACACTTGTATACGCGCTTGCTGTTGCCCTACTCGTGTCCGATATTCTCCGTGCCGCTCTGGAAAATGAATTCTACCAGGAGCATCCGGAGTTTGTTGGTCAAAAGCTGCTGCAGGTGTTCTAAAGTACTAATTGCTGAAAACGAACGGGAAATTCATTTATTAAATGAAGATTATATGTTATGAAGATGCAAATATTTCCTCTGCTGCTATGAACACCAGTCTCTAGATTGAAATGATCTTCAAAAGTTTAGCTTCTATCAGTCTCCATTCTTTCACAGTCATCCCCCCCTCTTCTACGCATTGTTTTCATCCCAATTCATGATGCTTTTAATTTCGACTCCTTAATTCCTGAATCTGGCACTTTCTGTCAAGTACATCTTTTACTTCCCTATCCACCACGACAGATGTTCAACTCAAAAAAGTACCTGAATTCGTACGGATGGCAAGAGGGATCTGCGCTAAAGGATGGAGGTTTGAAGAAACCCATTCTAACGTCTCGGAAATACGACACGCGAGGTGTATGTTCACTACAAATTGTGCAAATAACAAGTTTGCATAAAACACATCAAGTCAATGAAGGAACACAAATGATTAACTCTTAATTAGCTTGGAAGTAAAACAGATCATGCCGATCAGTGGTGGGATGATGTTTTTTCGTCTCAATTACAATCCATTAAAGTTGAAGCAAACCATGGAAAGGTAAGAAAGAGAAGAAAAGCCGTTTCTAGCTTTTGTTGAAGTGTTTCAAGACAGCCTCTAACTGAAACGCATTAGATTAAAGTGCAGTCTACCGGTGCGGCTGCCAAGATTGCTATGGCAAAGTTTCATAGTAAATTCTCGCCGCTATCCACTGTCTTTCGACACGGAGGTGTATTGACGAGCACGATTGAGGAAAAGAAATCAGCTCTTCGTGTAGAGTCACATATCATAGAACGAGCCGACAAGAAAAGTCATTCCAAAAAACGAAAACGGGACGACACTGACCGAAAGTCGAAGAAGAGCCATAAAAAGGCAAAAGAAAAGAGTTCCAAATCAGAGAAGAAGCACTCGGAAAAGAAACACTCTAAAAAAAAATCGAAGAAACATCATCACAAAAAGGATAAGTAATTACTTCTTAGGGTCCATTCTTTGATGTGCTCCTCCGCTGTACTTGCCCTACATCTCATTTTGTCAATTTTGCCATGGATATCGGATTAGATTTATAAGAAACAATAGGATTTGGGAAATAATTGTTCTGTAAAGTGCATCATCTCGTAATTAATGTTTTGTACGGCGCGTCTTATTTGTTTATCACGCGTGCGGTTTTTCATTTATGGGCGTGTCGTGTTTAGCAAAGACGTTTCTTAGCCAAACCCATCCTCTACCTCGTGTTTTTTGCTCTAAAGTAACGATTTTGCACAAATGGAAGAGCTTTTAACGAAACAAAAGGAAGAATATAAAGAATTCCAGTCGACTTTGGCGTCTATGCGCCGTCAGGGAAAGTCTGGTAATAAAAAGCAAAAAAAGCAGTTGAATGAGAAAATTGCTCAATTGGAGTTAGAATTCAATCAAAAACAGCATGAAGAGCGTCAAAAACTTCAAAATGTGCTTGATCCTGAGGAATCAGCAGACGAACCGCTTTCTGCGGATGCATTACTGAGACAAATGGAGAAGGTTAGTTTGTCGTCTCCTTCGGTTTCTTCTACTCCAAAAGCTGATGCTGAAAACAATGTAAAGCCCAGACGAAATCGTCAAAAAGAGCGTCTGGTATGTTAGGGGGTGTTATCATTCTAACCATTTGTAAATGGTATAAACTTGATGAACTAACAATTTCAGGAACGCCGTAAGGAACGAATGGAAGCCGAAATGAGAGAAGCTGAGCTTGCAAGTGCTAGCATGGGAAATCACAGAGGAAACGAAATTACGAAAATGAAGAAGCTTTTAGAGAGCCTAAATTTAAAGGAAAAGGATATTCACACAGATGGGCATTGCCTTTTCGCAGCGATAGCTGATCAAATGCAAGCGGTTTATGGAAAAACTCTAGAGGTGAAGCAATTACGAGAAATGGCAGCAAATTTTGTTGAGCAGAACGCCGACAACTTTGCTGCATTTTTATTTGATGAGGAGACAAATTCAGTGACACCTATTGACAAGTATTGTTCAGCAATTCGCAAAACGGCAAAATGGGGAGGCGATGTTGAACTGCGCGCTCTTTGCAATTCGCTCAATGTACCCATTAAAGTACTGTGTGCAGATGCACCAACTATTACTTTTACTCCAGAAACTGAGACGAACACTGTTGCGGACAAGAAACCACTTACTCTATCTTACTATCAACACCTGTATGGTTTGGGCGCACATTACAATAGCGTTCATGAAATGAACGATTGAGATGCTCTTGTCAAAATTACTTTGTCTCATGTACAATCGGTTACGTATAATTACCGCTTCTTTTTGCTAAATTCTTCACTTGTCATCTTTTTTGGCGATTATACTGACACTGATGAATTTGCCAAGTTGGTTTTCGATCCTTGAGTATCTAGATCAAGAACTTGTTGATGTAACTGGTAAAGTTATTGGAGATGATTTTTGAACGATACCCAAACACATTTAAAGTATTGTTTTGCTTGCCCCGTTTGAACATTAGAATTGAGGTTTAATGGATTTCACACTGAACTCTACTATTGGACATCTTCGATGGGGTAGCAGATTTCAATTCGTGTATCTCTTTGAAAAGGTTCAATTACTACTACTAAAGTTACGGCACCTTCAAGATACCACTAAAATTACTGTCACTTGAACTGTGCTTAGTGTGAAAGCATTGGAAGTCGAAAATGCAGTTGATACCAGTGCGTTGGAAGAATTGAAGCGATGAAAGGCAAACTCTGTTTTTTTGAAAATTTATAACGAAATATTCTCTTAGTGACTGTCCGACGTCTCTGGCTAACCGCACTTAATGAATTGACCTTTTGATTGTTTGAAAAAGGACATATTCAATCTACCATCTAATAGCTTAGTTTAAGCACTCACTCTACATTATCGTTTTTGCGAGCGCACCTTTGACCTTATTTCTGAGAATACGACCAGGGATCGGGTTAAGTATGCTTATGTGAAATAGGAGTTGCTTTTCAGTGCTAACGGAAGAAAGATTATAAAGCTCGAACGTTGTTATTCATCGTTATTGTGTGCGGTCGGGATAGAAATTTACCAATTGTTAGAAAATGACTCTCACTTAGTCTAACTAATTTTATAATTAAACGGTAAACACTAAATAAACGGGTCCGTTAAAGTGTGTACGGTCCCAAACTGAAAAGTTGTTGGCAATAAGCAATATAATAACAAGGTCTTCATTTTTTTCCTCACGTTATTACTTTATTATCGAAATTAGTCATTGTGCCATTCAATTATTACATAAAAACTCATAAAACTTTTGCTATGAAGGGCAATATCTTATTACCTCTGTCCAAAATGTTAAATATCAATCGTCAAATCGGTTTTTTATCAATTAAGTATTAGATTACATTAACAAATACTAAAGATATTAGATAAGCACTCACATACTTTTGCATCGTTCCGTAGTTAATGAACAACTCGCCGATCATCGATTGATGTGCTCGAAAGTATCAAAGCATATGGTCAACCAGCAACTTGGTGTTAAAAGCTATTAATTCAATTTATTTGTATCGACTAAAAGTGTATTTAACACAATTACGCTTGCCGTTTATTTTCAAGCACACTTCAATTTGAGAGGGTATCTGTAAACTATTAAAATACAAATTTGTCTATGGTCTTTTGCTATTATATAGAGACTTAAAGAGCATTTAGCTTGGGCTTTTGTTTGCTGCACTAATGTTGCACAAATCGATTATTTCGTTGTTTACATTTCCTTCATTCACTCTCGCCAACGCGTTAGGGTTCGAATCCCACAAGTGCCACAAAAGAAATATTCGAATTGGGCAATTTCTGACAATTTGTTCGATGAAATAGGCCATCTGAGATCTCAACGAGCTGAACAAATTCATTAACACTTCATTAAAGATTGCTATTTACTTGGTAATACGTCCTCGTCGGTGTTTTATATAATACCGCGCTTCGACCGAGGAATAGCCTGCCGACTTCGATGGCCAAAAACAGTGTCTAAGATTAACAAGACGGGTTAAAACAGCAATTTTACGTTACTTTGAAGCCATTTTCTGTACATTTATTGACTTTCTGCTAAAATTTGATATCGGAAAACTGTCAGTTTAAATTGTACATGGCATCCTCAAGTACTGAGAATCAAATGGACGATCAGATTGGCGAAAAGAAACCGATTCTGGAGAAAGAATCTGTAGAGGAGAAAAATGACACTGACATTCATGCAGAGATAAAAGACTCGATCGTCGAGACGGAAAATAACACAGAATCAAAGACGTCAGAAACGACGACTTCTTTGGCAAAAAACCCTGTCGTTAACAAAAAGCGGTTATACAGTGAGTTAGAGAAAACAGGAATTAGTCTAAAATCTATAAAGGTTACAGAAAAACCAGCTGCCATTGAAGAAAAGAAAGGCGTTATACGATTTTGCGTAGTCAACAATGATAACAATCCCGAGAGCTTTGTCATTTTGACGGGTTTAAAAAACATTTTTATGAAGCAATTGCCGAAAATGCCAAAGGAATATATAACGCGGCTGATTTACGATCGCAACCATTTGTCTATGACCATCGTGAAAGGCGGATTAAACGTCGTGGGTGGTATTACTTATCGGCCCTTTGAACAGCGTGGATTTGCTGAAATTGTTTTCTGTGCAATTGCTTCCTCAGAACAGGTTCGAGGATATGGTGCTCATCTAATGAACCACTTGAAGGACTATGTACGCGGAACCACTAGTATTCAGCATTTTCTCACATACGCTGATAACTATGCCGTTGGTTATTTTAAAAAACAAGGATTTACTAAAAATATCACGTTAGACAAAAGCTTGTGGATGGGTTATATTAAAGATTACGAGGGTGGTTCATTAATGCAATGTTCTATGCTTCCCCGAATCAAATACCTTGAGTCTAATCTAATTCTTGCCGTTCAACGAGCCGTGGTTCTTGCAAAAATTGCTAAACACACCCGATCAAACATTGTGTACCCAGGCCTAGAGCAGTTCAACAATGGTGCCACTCATATTGACCCGAACGATGTTCCTGGACTTAAAGAGGTTGGTTGGTCAGAAGAAATGGAGAAGCTTGCTCAACAGCCTCGCAGAAAACCTTTTTTTCCTGTATTAGAAATGCTTTTCACGGAAATGCAAGCTCATCCCTCTTCGTGGCCTTTTGCACAACCTGTTCGGAAAGAGGATGTTCCTGATTACTACGATGTCATCAAGAATCCCATGGATCTTTCTACCATGGAATTTAAGCTTCGTAACGATAAGTATGAATCAGTACAAGAGTTTATACGTGATGCCAAGTATATATTTGACAATTGCCGATCTTACAATGACTCTAATACAACATACTATAAAAACGCCGACAAGCTGGAGAAATTCTTCATGCAAAAACTCCGTGAAACAGAGTATTCGAACTTGGCAGATGCTTGGTCGAACTAGTCAGATTAACGGCAGCCTTTATCTCCAGAACACGCATCTCCCTTATGATAATGTACTTACACCGTTTTTTGTTTGTCCTCTCTTTTTCATTTTTGCTTTATAGTCAACTTAAAACAAAATTTTATTTATACTCTTAGAATATAGCAATTAACTTCATGCGGACCTGCCGCTATTAGTTTCTTGGGATTCATGTACTTGAATTTGCATAATCTCGAGCAAAGTTTGTACCATCGGTTTCTCATCAACGCGAGGAATGCTTTCTTCGGATTTTTCGTCGCTAATTGTTTCTGGGGACTCAGCGAAATTCTCAAAGTAATCTTGAAGGTCGCTGAGCAAGTCATGTAACTGAAGTCCAAAAGCTTTGAGACTGTTAGATATGCATTCACAGATGGCAGAATCTTCACAGCATAACCATGCCAAGATGACAACTATAGACTGAAAAGAAAACAGGCCCATGTCAATTTGTTTTAGAAAGAGCGCGAGACTATCCTCTTCTAAATTTGTTTGTGCTTTTGCTGATTGCCGAATTTCAGTAATTGGCTTTCTTAATTTGCTATAGAAATCCACTAGTTTTTTTGTTTTGGTAAAGTCCTTTTCAACGAATTTAGCGAGAAACCGAATTCGTTCTGGGGTATCAGCAGCTAATGACCGAAATAAAGAGGCCATGATAGCGCAGATGTGTTCGAGCATTTCTGCCTCCATTTTTTTCATGAATGTTGAAAAAAGGTACTTTAAACCTCCAAACTCAACAAACCGATTGCATAAAGGTAATGAAAGGGGTCCAAAAAGTGCGTGATCAACCAGTTTAAAAGCCGGCTTTCTACTTTGTTTCTTTTGTTGAAGCATGAGCAGACAAAGCTCTATACCCTCTTCTTTTAGAAATTGCATTTTTCCCTGTTGCTCCTCAACTACAGAGCACAGGACATCAAATGCATTTTGCATGAGTTCGGCTTCCAGACCCGGAACAGGATTTCTTCTTGCATACAAACTGATGCGATTTAGAAGAATTTCAATTCCGTTCTTCTCAACAATTGAAACTCGAATTGCAGGAGATTTACTACAAAGAACTGCCAATAGCTCAACAGAGAATTGCAGATTCTCTGACACTGTAGCCTCTTGTTTTGAAGCGCGATTGAGTAAGAACTGAATCAAGTCAGTATTTTTAATTTCTTCACAAACATCTGCATTAATGGAAACCAGGTTTTCAACCAACTGAAACGAAGCAAACACACCATGGGCGTCATCTTCATTTTCTTCGTTCATTCGTTTCATTATTTCCGTTATTATAGAGAATAAGCCTTTTTCGATTAAATCTTTTTGCAAGATAATTAACGAGTCTGGTTCAACATCTTCATCTGTTAACTCAACAAGTAAATCAATGATGGCTATCACAATGTCAATATTTTCGTGTCCAAAAAGCTCAAACAGCGTATTTGTTGTATTGAGTTGAACAAGATCTGAATAAAGTTCTGGGTATTCCGAAAGAACAGTAAGACCATGTATCTCTGCATCAAGATCTGCCTCCGACTCAATGAATTTCTCCGGCGCATTTGGATATTTTGTTCTTAGCATCTGGTTTTTATTTAACGCTTTTTCCAATGCAATGATTTTCTTTTTAAGGGCTGCAGCGTCAAAAGTAGGTTCATTGTCACCGTCATCAACTGTATTTAAAAAGTTCAAGGCCTTCTCCTCTTTTTCAGTTAAACCTCCCCCGAAAAAACGGCCGCCTTCCTCGTCATATTCCTCTTCTGATTTGGATTTTGTTTCCTGTTCGGGATGACCATCATGATTTTCAGCGTCAACGCCTACATAACGACCATCTTCCAGTTTCCTTTTTTTGTCTAATGGACCGTTTGATTCCTTAAAAATTGCATCAACATTCATGTTACGTCGTAGATGAGTGTTTGTCAGTACAAAAAAGGAAATATGTGACTTGTAGTTAAATATAATCCGTATTCTCGATCGTAATTACGATAGTTGTCCTAGTATCTTTATTTTGCACCTTGGATTTAGGATCAACCACTTGTATATTCAATTTGGATTTATTTTGAAGAAGAAACGTATGCAATTTTTTAACGAGCCAGAGTAGAAGAAGAGGCTTTCGAATGACGATTAATACAAATTGTGCAAGATTATAAGAAAGAGAGATGAATTTGTCGTTGAGAAAGACTGCCGTAGGCAGACTAGATACGGCAAAACTGGCGCCAACGTTCACGGTACTGACTACATATTAGGCAACGTGCAAGAGTACATGTTTAAGTAACGAAAAAGAATACTGGCAAAAGGATCAGTAACGCCGTTTAGATTTTTTCATTTTTCGTCGTTTTTGCTTTTATTGATTTTATGCCATAGTCTATAAAGCATTTTACGTTAGGACATAACAGTCCCTAATAAAAGGTATAAACTATACATCAGATGAAGCCGCTATTTCAGTGATAAAACGAAGTCTACTTTAACGAGAATCAGTCAGTAACATATAGTATATCCACACACCTTACTTCCGTGCTCAGTACTGCCATGTTTGAAGCAGAAACGACTCAGTTGAAACACATTTTCTTAAGTCTACGATGCATTGATTTTGTCAAAGAATGTACAGTTGAAATCTATAAAAAAGGAATAAAATTCGGAGTTGATGAATCTCAATCGCTTGATGGTACGTGCTGGAAATGTTTATTAAGACTTCATGATGGCCTTTTATTTGTGATTCATATTGCTAAAACTGTACAGCTCATATATATTTACAGAAGCCCTTATTTACGGACTTTAAAGTAGGAAACATCTCCGGGGACGAAGACGAAGCGGTTTATGCATTTAAAATACAGCTTCAACCCTTGCTACATTGTCTTTCCATATATGCAGAAAGCAAAGATCGAATGTCAAGCATGCAGTGGGACCAGCCAAATCCTACGGGTTTCATGAAGCGTCATGGAACACGATGCATCATCAGATACCACGGAAAAGGCGACACGTTTGATTGGATGTAAGCACACATGTTTTGTAAGAAGAGTTGCTGACGCATTCAACAGCATTGAAGATGCTACAGGATACAAGACAACTTGCGAACTAAACACAATGGAAGAAAACGACGCTATGAAGACCGAGTTCATTGCCTCACGGACAACGGTGAAGGTGATCATGAAAAGCAAGTGGTTGTATGATGCATTACTTGAGCTTGACAATAACTTAAGTGACAGTCTGCTTATAAAGACACTTCCCGAAAAGTCGACGTTTGCACTGCGGTCAATCGGTTCCATTTCCTCAACTGAAGTTGAATATCCAAGCGCAAGAAATGTGCTCGAGTCTTTTAAGACCATGTCGGAATACGTGCACGCATACCGGTTTTCTCTCGTTCGACATGCTCTCAAAGCACTTCAGGCAAGCTCAAAGGCTAGCATTCAAATTGATGAAAATGGGCTGTTGAACTTACAGCTCATGTTGCTTAGCCCACAAGGACTAAGCAGCTTTGTAGACTTCAAGATTCTTCCCCTAAATTTAAATGAAGGGGAAGATGAACAAGGTAGCGACTGGGATGGACGCGGTGATTCGGAGACGGACGATGCTGACACGGAGGACGAATAAAGTATGAACTCTTTTTATTGCTCTAAACCACCTCCATAAAAACCCTCTTTAGTATCTTTTCCATCACTCAACAGTTCCTTAGTAAGGAGTAACGGTACCGTTTGCGCTCCATTTTTCAACTCCCTTAACACGTTGGTCACACACGCGGGCAGATTTCAAGTGAATTTTTACAACTCGATAGTTTCTCGGAACAACGTATTGTTTCGTGTTGCTCTCAGAATTGCTTTGCAAGTGCTTTTCACGGAAGAATTCTTCTTCCTTACTGCCTTCGGGAAGAATAACTGCCAAACCATTGAGGGTCACTGAAGTGTGTGAAATCTCTTGTTGGTTCAAGTCGTACAAAAGTGCACACAGTGAAGAGACATCCTGCTGTTCAAATGGTCTACGATGTGCAGACCAGTCGTGTACGAGAACAGAAACCTGGGGGTTGTTCATGATATTGCTGTACTTCTTACTGTTTTCATCCATCGTTAAAATAATAACATCGTCATTCTCAAATGGTTTTCCCTCTCCACTGGGGACATAGGTAAAGTTCATTAAAGCAACATGAGGCTGGTCCTTGTAGCAGGTAGCAAGATGCAAGTATTTAGATGATTGGAAACACCGTTTGATGTTTTCCGGCAAAACCGTAGCGTTTTCGTTTTCAGACATAATTTCTAATGGTTACAAATCAACTTACTCTCAACGAATTGTTGTTCTTTAAATTAAACAACTTGAAATTGAGGATAGGTTCTGAAAAAAGGTGGAGTCTGGTTGTGGAGACAAAAGACAGCACTTGATAATTCATAGGTGATTTGTCTGTAATGTAATAAAGAGTCATATTTAGTCATAGTTTCTAATAAAAAGGAGTGGCTAAACGAATGACCGTTTCACAATTACGATTCTTAAAAACTTTGCAGTATTTTCTTACCGAGTTTTACGTTCATATTACTGTTATATTGATATAATCTACTCGTAAATTTTAGGGAAAACATAATGTAGAAATTTTCCTCGTTCAAAAACGGCTACCATGAATCAATCTTCATAGTGCCATTATCGACAAGGTTGTTGTGCATCTTGAAAGCCTTGTGCAACATATGAGGTTCATGAGCAGCACCACGACGAAGACAGTACTTGGTAGACAAGTCCAGATAGTCCAAAAGCATAGGTTTATAATCAGGGTGTGCACATTTGTTAATAATTTCGTAAGCGCGTTCCTTGGGTGACAAACCACGCAAGTCGGCGAATCCTTGTTCAGTAACGATCACATCCAAATCGTGCTCCGTTTGATCAACATGCGTAGCCATAGGTACGATACAAGTGATACCTGAAGGATCTGTCTTGGTCGGGCGGATAGAAGGAGTGTGCATAATACTAAGCTTAGCATTGCGCAGGAAATCGGCTGAACCTCCGAGGCCATTAAGCATACGGCTACCCAATACATTCGTACTGTTAGCATGGGCGTAGATGTCCACTTCGACGGGGGTATTCATGGCAATACATCCCAAACGACGGATGATTTCGGGACTGTTGGAAATGACTTGGGGACGAAGCAGGATGCTCTTCTTATAATGGTCAAAATTGGCGTAAAAGTTCTTGAAGCCTTCAGGCGACAAACGGGTTGATGTGGCCGTTGCAAAACGCACCTTTCCATTTTCCAGCAAGGGCAAGAATGCGTCTTGGAGCACCTCAGTCCAAACTTCAAGGTCCTTGAATGGAGAGTCACGCAAACCACCAATGATTGCATTTGCAATGTTTCCAATACCTGACTGCAGAGGGTGCAGATTGTCAGGCAAGCGGCCATGCTTTGTTTCATGGTGCAGAAAGTCGACTAAGTGCTGGGCAATACGTTGGGAAACAGCATCCTCCGGAGAGTTGGGACCGGTTTTGTCCATGTAATTAGCTTCAACCACGGCAATGACCTTACTAGGATCGACATACATGGCAGTTTTGCCGATGCGATCGTCGACCTTCGTAACTTCAAAAGGTTTGCGATGAGGAGGATTGTCAACGACGGGAATATCGTGCAGACCCTTGAAGGAAGGAATAGCAGTGTTCACTTCAATGATGACTTTATCAGCCATACTAAGGATTTCTGGCGAAGCTCCAACTGATGAACCCGGCACAATACCGCCGTCTTCCGTGATCTCTGATGCCTCTATCATAGCAAAGTCAAGACTGTTCTTGGACTTATTACGAGTGTAGTAACCGTACAAGAGATCTTGAGGAAACATGGAAAGGTGTTTGTCAAAAAATTGGATACGATTCTCGTTAATGCCTTTAGCAATCGGCTTTCCAACTTGATGAGGGGAGCGTCTTTCGATCATGTTCAAGTTCGCCCAACGGCATTCAGTATCGGCGCCTCCTGAAGCACCGACGAAGAGCTTGAAACGCAACTGTCCTTGCAACTTGTTTTCCTCAACATAATCAGCCAAGGCATTAGGAAGCATTTTGGGATAGCCCACACCGGTAAAACCAGACCAACCGACATAGTCACCATTCTTAAAGTATGGGATTAGTTGACGAACATCCTGGACAATTTTGTCTTGGAATGTTTTATTCAACACACGAGATTTCAGCAAAGAAGACATTAGTAATGAAGCTTATAAAGATTACAGAAGGCCTGGAATCATGCTATTGCACAAAAGACGTTAAATGCAGCTGTGAAACGAGTAAACAGCGGGTATGAGTGTGGTACTCCTCGAACGGTTCAGACAAAAAAGAGCGGTACTTTCCTTAGTAAGAAAATCGGTTCTTGTTCTCAAAAACCAAACTTATGAGTAGCTTTATTAATTATAGTAGTATTAGGATGGAGAAAAAATGTTTCTTAGACTTTTGATTTGCCCGAAACCAGCCCTGACGTTAACGTTGCGAAAAAGCACGAGGCTTTGTCTTCTTATCCTTCCCAAAGGGAAAAATTGCTCGAATGAGGGGTGGGTATACATCCTACGAGTAGCGTATTGCATGTTAATTAGCGTGGAAACACATCTCCATATAGTAACTGGGAATCTGAAAATGTAAGTTTGAAGGCGTTTTTGTTGGGTAATTAACAGGAAAGAATGTAAGAATTGCGATTTTATCAGTTGTATTCTACTTTTTTTGTTTAGAGTGAACAGGCGTTTTACAACTGGGATAATCCAGCGATAGTCAATGAATATAAATTATAAGTGTGGACGAGATTAGCAACAATAAATGGTTTTTCATAGCTGGAGAATGCAACTGTTGCATCAACAAGTGTTTGAACCAAGGTTCACTGCTTCTGCAGGTTGTTGTGGCTAACGATGCTTATAATAAGAAATATGAAGCAGTTCATTTACCGTCTTAGTTTGTTCAGCTAGCTACAAAGAAGTGGATGATAAATATTAGCAGACTATATCTGCTAGAATATCAAAAAACTACGACGCCTGATTAAAGGGTGCCAGTAAGCGGAGGTGTTTCATTGACTCCAGCCGATTTTCCAGAATGTAGCCCTTTAATTTCACGATCGTAGATTACAGTAACTTGACTAACTTAAAGTTCCATCTAGTATCGTGTTACTCTACAAAAGTTGTGTGTGCCTTTGAACTGCTACGTATGATTTTGAATGGCCCCAACAAGAGGGCATCATATACTTCGATAATTAGTAGTTCAATGAAACGATAATAAGAGCAGTTAGGATCAAATAGCTCGAGTAACATCATAAGTCGTTTAAGATCATACAACTACAGTTATTGTGTGGCGCTCGCTTATTTCTGTTAATTGTTCTTTCGTTTCAGATGCACATGATTTATTCGTTAAATGATTCTTCGTCTTACAGAGTAATACTGTAGGTCTTCGTTGTTAATTTTTCATTTAAGTTTTTTTATTCCTTCTCATCTGTCTTTATTCTGTCTTAATTACAGTTGAATACAGACTTCTAAAAAAACAGTAAACACTGCTATCAAAGAACTGTAAAAACCATTTTTAACATTTGGAGGACATGACGAAGTACAACCTAATACTGTAGGATGATGAACTTTATTTTTCTCTCACAGTCTTACCCAGTTTAGCAATTTTCTTCGGACCTGTTGTCAATGTAAAATACCTTCGTCTCTGTTAACTGCTATTCCTTAACATTTTAAACTCTTTAATACGTTTCTTTTTGTTAGTACTATTTTTTTAAGAGTTTAATACTCACAAAAAATTGTATGATTATACAGTTCAAAGTCTGTGATAATTTTTTGATATGAATTTGGGACTTATTGATCCTTTTTCCATTTCAGACTACCCGGAGTCGTTGGGAAACGTTTTAAAAAAGGGGCATGCCACAAGTATTCGTTTTAATGAGAAAGGAAGCGCGCTAGCTGCCGGCTTAGTGAATGGAACTGTTTTTGTATGGAACTTGGTAACACTTTCAGTCATACGCAAATTAAAGGGACATACCCGGGCAATTCAATCTGTACGCTGGTCTTCTTGTGGACGTTACTTGCTTACAGCGTCAAGGGATTGGAAATGCATACTTTGGGATCTAAAAGATGCTACAATCGTTTATAGCATACGCTTTCAAGGACCGCTATGGCAAGCGGAGTTACATCCAAGTGATATAAACAAGTTTGTCGTATCAATTTACGAAGAACTCCCTCAGTTTGTAATTGTTCGTGATGGGAAACCAGAACGTTATCCTTTGCCCACAGACTCTTCAGCTATCATATCCTCTACGGACACAAAAAAGAAAAGGAACTCAAAATTAAAACATGTTACTGTTTCATGTGTCTTTTTGTCCAACGGAAAATATGTACTTGCAGGAACATCAAAAGGTTGGTTGAATGTTATTGACACTGAAACGCAAAACATCATAGCCTGCCAACGCATCGCTTCACAAACGATCAAACAAATACGGTTAAGCGTATGCAAACGTTATGCAATTGTCAATTGCACCGATAGAGTGATTCGAACGTTAAGCATTCAAGACTTTAATCACTTGGAAGTCGAACACAAATTCCAGGACGTTGTTAATAAACTACAGTGGAATGCTTGCGGGTTTAGTCCTACGGGTGAGTATGTTTTAGCTACCGCTTATCAAGCCGCACACGCCATTTACATTTGGGAACGCAGTATGGGATCACTAGTACGAATTCTTGAAGGACCGAAAGAAGAACTCGTTGATGTTGACTGGCATCCGGTGTTTCCTCGTATTGCTGCCGTTGGTTTGGACACTGGGAGTATTTACATCTGGTCTGCAAAGCAAGAGGAAAGTTGGAGTGCATTTGCGCCAGACTTTCAGGAATTAAAAGAAAACATTGATTACGAGGAAAAAGAAGATGAATTCGATATTTATGACGAAGATTTGGTCACAAATACAGAACAAGAAGATCAATCACAAGCTGTGACACTAACTCTCGGTGACAAACTAGAAACACAATACTTGGTACCATTGTCTCTAACTACTACTAATTCCTCCGACGCTTCTTCCTATCAGGATGACTAGTACTACATAGCACACATCAAATGTTAATAAAAGGTCATTATTTCTAACACATAGACAACAAAAACTGATAAAAGAGTGGAGGAAGAAACACATCGCTAGAAGAGGAAAAAGTAGACTCGTAAGGCGTACTAGCACAGCGCCTTGCTATTTGACAGATAGCTTACGAATCAAGCGGCATACGGATTTTTGAAGGGATTGTGTTTTGGTTGAAATGCATGAGTTCAACTTTCTGAGAATAGGCAACTGTAAACCGTTAGAATGTATTACATTGTGATGCATGACTTACGATATCCTTTCAAGCCTTTGTCAAAGTTTTTAAGACAACAAAAGTTTATACAGACAGTTACAGTTAACATGAACATAGTTATGACAGTTAAGACAATAAGGTTCATGTGTCGGTACAGATATTGAGTATAGTTAGTTTCACGTTGTGTATGTATGGCACGGTATCCAGCAAAAGCGAAACCCGCAACAAACAATGCTTGAGTAACGTAGAGCATTTTACGACTCTCTGTGGTTACCGCATATAGACATAGAGTTAAGACAAAGAATGTAAAGACTGCGGTCACTATAGTAATGTAAAACTCTGCGTCTCGATAGTCGTCCCCGCCAATGAGGAACTGTATTACCAATGTCAAAACTACAAAGTTAGTAAGAGCACGTTTTAGTAAAGCATACAGAAGAAGAAATCAAACTTGAGCATGGAGACAAGAATCAAATATGTCAAGTAGTAGCGTCGCATTCGAAGATCAGGTCCAATCTTCTGGTAAATATTCCAACCAAATTCTTTGTATACACGATATGTGAGGAATGTTATAGCCAAACTGCAGACAGTGGTGATGATGGGAATAAAAATAAGAACAGGTTCTAAATCATCGTAAAATTTTGTGCCGTTGCTGGTAGCCTTGTCGCGCCAAAGAAATTCATTGAATACTGCAAGAGGAGATAACCTGTTCGTATTGAACCCATACTCATCGGGAAGTGTAATAATAACAGTTTTAAAAGCAAAAATTTGGGTGATACAGTAAAAGTCAAGTAAGTAGTGAAAGATAGCAATACCGAATAATTGAATTGAATTCTTCGTCTGTAAAGTTTCATATGAGATATAGCACAGGAACAATATTGCAAAGGAAATAAATGCTAAATAGCTGTATATGGACCGTTCATCACTGAGGTATTCACTGCTTATTCGATATTGACCAAACACGTAACCCTCAAAACATAGAACGAGAACGCTCTCAAAGAATACAACAATTAAGTATCCCAATTGTTCTTTTCCAATGTCATTTGGATAATCTTTAAATTTGTTTGCTTGTATGAAGCTTTTTGTGAAGTCCCACAATGCTGAATTATCAAACATTGTGAAAACTTAGTGTAAACACCTGTAGTTCCCTAAACGAATATATAATAGGCCTTGATGAAAAACGAGTCAAATCTCTGTTCAAAAGATCTAATTCCTTTACTAAAATAGCATTTCTAACTTGTAATTTAATTACCGAGGTCTAGTTGTAAGGAGAAAACAGAAAACAACGACGAAAGAAAATTCAGGTAAATGAAAGATACTAAGTGAAATTAACCAAGCAATTAATAAAATAACATCAACTGTTACACGATATACTTCTACTGTTTGTATTATTTAAGAATTTAAAAATAAAAGTATCCTTGCGTCAAAGGAAGCGTCTTGGACGGTTCCGCAGTCATTAATTTATTGTCAGCCTTAACGATGTAAGACTCGGGATCAACATGCATAGAGGGTTGGTACGTGTTGTATACCATATCCTTCTTGCCAATGTTTCTTGTCGAGGAAACGGGATAAACGCGCTTCTTAAGGCCATAAGTATCCATAACTCCGTTTTCAACAGAATGTTTTGAAGCAAACACGATACTTGCCTGAGGAGCAAGAGCACCAAACATCTTTAAGGTTTGGATGGGAGAAACGGTAGGAATGGAAGCGTTCGGGTCACCCATTGCAGCCATCGCAATGACTCCCCCCTTTATGATCATGTTTGGACGAGCGCCAAAATCAGCAAAGTCCCAGAGAACAAGATCAGCAAACTTACCAACTTCGACACTTCCAATGATTTCGGACATGCCATGAGCAATGGCAGGGTTAATCGTGTACTTGGAGATATATCGTTTCACGCGGAAGTTATCAACCCCAGTACCTTCATCTTCAGGCAAGAACCCACGCTGGATTTTGTTTTTATGTGCTGTTTTCCAAGTTCTCGAGATAACTTCACCACAACGACCCATGGCTTGAGAATCGGAACTAATCATGGAAATCGCACCCAAGTCATGAAGTACATCTTCAGCGGCGATTGTTTCAGCACGAATGCGTGATTCGGCAAAAGCCACATCTTCAGGAATATTTTTAGATAAATGATGGCACACCATAAGCATATCAAGATGTTCATCAAGTGTGTTACAAGTAAATGGACGCGTAGGGTTTGTACTCGAAGGCAAGACATTGGGGTTTTGAACGAGAGAAATGATGTCGGGTGCATGACCACCGCCAGCACCCTCAACATGATATGTATGAATAGTTCTTCCCTTGAAGGCTTTCGCAGTTCCTTCAACGAATGATGATTCGTTCAACGTGTCAGTATGAATTAGACACTGCACATCATACTCATCACAAATCTTTAAACAAGAGTCAATCGCCGCCGGAGTAGCGCCCCAATCTTCATGTAGCTTCATACCACTCATTCCAGCTTCAATTTGTTCCCGTAAAGAACGATGACCTGAGTCATTACCCTTGCCCGTCAAGCCAATGTTCACTGGCAACGTATCGGTTGCTTGAAACATTGCGCGCGCTAAATCGGCATTCGGAGTGCAGGTAGTAGCGTTCGTTCCCGTACTGGGACCAGTGCCGCCTCCATACATGGTCGTAATACCAGAAGCAAGTGCCTCTTCCGCCTGCTGTGGACAGATGAAGTGCACATGAGAATCCATACCACCGTACGTAACAATCTTATTTTCAGCTGAAATCACGTCTGTAGCCGATCCTATAGTCATATTGGGTGAGATGTCATCCATTGTATCGGGGTTACCAGCTTTTCCAATGCCGACAATAAAACCATCCTTGATTCCAATGTCTGCCTTGTAAATACCGGTGGAATCGATGACAACGGCATTTGTCAACACAGTTGACAAACATTCAGACGCACTCTTTCCACTGGCTTGTCCCATTCCATCACGTATAACCTTTCCACCTCCAAAAACAGACTCATTACCATAATCCGTAAAATCGTGTTCAATACATACACGGAGAGCGGTGTCACCGAGACGAACAATATCGCCTCTGGTGGGGCCGTACATGGTAGCATAAAGTTGACGAGGAATTGTGAACGGTTTAGGAGGTGTTGCTGTCGGGGAATCGGCCTCTGGCTTGTGCAGGAAGCCTTCCTTAGAAACATTTTCCATAATTTCGTCAATGCGAGAGGGATCCACAGGGCCAGAAGCAAGTGCATTTCCACCCTTTATAATGCGATGACCACTTATTGGCACCAAGGTTACACGCTTCGTAGCTCCAGGCTCAAAACGGATAGCGGTACCAGAAGGGATGTCAAGACGTTTTCCGTACGCCTTCTTACGATCAAACTGAAGGTAGGGATTTGTTTCGATGAAATGATAATGTGATCCTACTTGAATGGGACGATCACCAAGATTGGAAACTGTCAAGTTTATACGAGGAAGATCTCTAGAAAGTACAATGTCTCCCTCCATCACTTCAACATAACCAGGTGCACTCTCGGGGGAATAAAGAGCCTCCTCCTCCATTGCGAACAACGAATTGTCGGGGACAGGAAGAAAACTGCCGTACAAAGCGTTTTCCAAATTACCATCATCAGAGCAAATGGGCTGGTGAATTGTTACCAAGTAAGACCCGTCAGGGAATGTGGCTTCAATCATAATTTCATGTAGAGAACTCACGACATAAGGCTGTTACACACGCGTTAGTAAGATTGATAAATAAGTAAGGTTGAAAACAAATCGAGCATAAACGAACGAGAGCAGCCAGGTAAACGTTCAATTAATAAAGAATTAGCTTCTGAAAATTAGGAGAAGCAGCCAAAATCCGTCTTCTCCACAACAACGTGTAATTCCAAATTTTCATACAAATTCCATCGAAATTTCGCGTTTTTTTCGTTCATTTTTGCTCAACTCTTTTTAACAACTCTAAACGAACCTGAACGTGTCTCCGGCCGAGCATTTGTCTGCCGATATCCATCAATTCGGCCACAGTATGTCTGCCATCTCGGATGAATTCTTGAATTTGCGAGGCAATGAGTGAAGTAGCTTCTAGTTTGTTTAACTTGACTCCTCTACAGAGACGTTTCTGCGCCAAACTTCCAAGCTGATGCAGAAGAAGTTTATTTAGTTCACGAGGTTGCATGTGGAAGAGCGCAGCGTGTGTCGACCACGCATTGTCGCGTAAGTAACTACCTGAGCGATGCGCCTACGTAACTGATAGAGGATGCACCGCGGACCTCCGAAATAGAAATCCAAAAACAGCACAAGCGTCTATTGTTAGATAAGGTGTAGCATATAGGCGAATAAACGAACGTTAGCGAGATGTTAAGCGAAATTTAACAGACTTCACAAAATCTCCGTAACTATCTTAACGAAAATGATACTCGTCACTATTAAATTTAACGAGCTTTTACATAATGCAACGTGCAAATCCATCTGTCCAGATACGACACAGGATTAACAGTAAGTCCGGGAGGTCCCTGTTCTCAATTCATCATTATAAACCGTATAGCACTAGAATTGACATCTAGAAAAAAGAAATTCATTATTTTACACTTTATCGACGCTAAGAACCGTGTTTTTGGTGCGTTTGCTGTTCTTCGTGAGATAAGCACTTTTCAGACATACTCCTTGTCTAATGTTCCCGTGCATTACTCAAAAAAGTCCTCGTTATTAAATCAAAAACCAGGTTTTTTTTTTGAGATTGCATACTTTGTTTCTGTTTTGAGTTACATAATCCACTTTTTTGTGATTTTCAGTTTGCACCTTGTTAAAGCCTCTTGGATACTATGAAAATGGACAACAGTGAGGCATTTTGGATGGACCAGACGGATAGTTTTCCTCCGAGACTACTCGCCATTTTCTTCAGCCTGTTTGATCCTTTACAGGGTCCATGGGTAGCTATTGAGTCTCCCCCCGGCTCTGTTACGGAATCTGATGGCAGCGAAGGAAAAGAGCTGCTAGTTCCCTTTGATTCAATTTCCGAGTATGTGATTCCCAAGCCCGAAATCTGCAACAAAACGATAACAGTAGCTACGGGGGGCTACCGCATCATTGGGCACCCGGTGTCCTTAGTCGGTAATCATTACGAGCGAAATGCTCTTATTTTCAATATGTGCATGATTTTCCATGAAGACGAGAACGTAAGCAGCTATATTCCTATTGTGAAACGCCTGTCTCGCAATCTTAAGGTGCTCGAACAACAAAATCAGTATGTGTCCGACCTTTCCAAGCGGCCAATTATCATGAGTGTGATGGAACAATTGCTGGAAGATTTAAACAATTTCAGCGAATGCATGATTCAATTAGATCCACAAAATTCTATCAACATTAAACTCTTTCCTGTTTTTCCCTCTCCCCCGACTGTAAAGGGCTTTCACGTTCCCATCCTCACTGTCCAACTTGATACTCTTATGGACAAGAACTGGGATATGACAATCCAAAAGGTATATACCAGTTCCACTTCTCGTTTGTCCGCTTCACTGTTTACTAACAAGAGCAGGTTTACCCTTTCATTAATGGAATTAATTCGGTACAGCGTGTTGCAGAACTAGCTAACGTTAGTTTTAATAACTGCTGTCGCTGCATGGAACATTTAATGTATTACGGTTGTCTGATTATCACCGATATATTTCAGTTTCACAACATCTATGCAATGACAACGAACGTTCCCAACTTAATGCAAGATCCTAACTTCCAAAAGGAGTGCGTTTCGTATGTTGTTTCAGGCAATAGTGCGCGAGTAGCTTCCACAACGTTTTCCCAAATCTTCTCCTTATATACCTCCTTAAGACATGGCGTACGGGTGAAGGATTGGATGAGTGAAAACAGAGAAAAGTTCCATGGGCTCGATGTCCGGCGGCTCATTTCGTTTGGAATCATCAAGGGCTTCGTGTACCGTGTTCACAAATACCCTATCCTTGGTAAGCAAGTTAATACGGCAGCATTAACGCCTGAAGAAAGCAAACTCGCTTCACTCCTTGATGGACAACATCATTTTGATGAGATTTGTGTTACTATGAAAAAAGGTCCGAAGGAAATTGACTTAATGCTTAGTAAACTGGGGGACACGGCTTACATTTATCATTAAGAGAGATGTCGAATGAACAAGGAAATGAAATTTCCAAACCGTAAATCTTCTCCCTTTTTAGGAGTCCATCTCATTTGCACGGACACGTTTGTCCGCTGGGTCTGGTATATCTTCGGCTGGAGTTGCACGCTTTGAACCGATCCCTTGTTCGTCCAAGACATTCATACACTTTTCGATAAATCTGTCTAATGTACGTTGCATCTCCAGCAGTCTTGCCTCGTCCATTCTCCGTTCAGCTGCAAACGTGACGTAAAATCTTTGACTAGGAGTATCAAGTTTGCCATCTAGCAAATCCAATCCCATGGCTTTAAGGATGTATTTTTCGACAGTGTACACACGGAAGTCGTTCTCATTACCCTTAATTTCTAATTTCAGGTGCTGACAAATGTCTTCATACGTTAAATAATTGCCAGTCTTTGCGATCGCAATGTCCAACAGTGTTAACAAACGAAGTTTCTCTATACAACCGGGTTCCAATTCTCCAATTCCTTTTGTCTCATGCAGAAGGCCCATGTTTCCCTCTCGGAACAGCTTCAACCGGCTTAACGCCGCTTCACTGATGGAAACTTTTTTACGAAGAGCTTGAAGGCATTTTACCCAAAGATCGTCAAAATTGAATATTTCTGGGTCCGAAATTTGCTGTTCTATCTCCTGTTCCATGGTGTCAACAACAGCACCGATACAGTCGGAGTCGTTCAACTGACTCGGGGTTGCTCGACCGCCAGCATAATTTGGCCCAGTGACTCCGCTTAACCAAATTTCCAGGAAGGCTCATTTCAGTAAAGAAAACGTCCAATTTAGCCACTTACTTTAAGCATTATTGCTTTTTTCCCGCTTTCCAGGCCATTTTTGCTGTTTTGTTATCTTGGTAACCAACCTGTCCGCTGTCAGTGGTTGTGTAGTAAACATTCATTTTACTACTCGAGTTTACGACCCATTGACCCCAATTCCTAAAGCTTCATATCCTTTAAATTCGTGCACTCGTTCAATTGGAACTATTTTCTACGGATTAATTGTTTTCGCTGATTTGTTTCTCGTTTTTTCTCACGACGTTGACAACCCGATTTAATCCGGTTTTTTGCCGTTCAAGCTTTTGCAACCTTACAATCTTTCATTCTCTCGTCCTTTGACTACTAAACGATGCAGTATGTGGGTCGTGCGTTTGGTTCTGTCAGTAAAACTTGGAATTCAATCAACCCGGTACGTATAAGACATGAATGATGAAGGGGCACCAATTGTATCAGCATTTGTCTAGAGTGTTGGGTGGGTAAACCTGTTCATGTACTAACATCTGTTTATGTAGGCCACATTAACTGGTGCAATCGATGTAATTGTCGTTGAACAACAAGATGGAAGCTTGGCTTGCTCGCCTTTCCACGTCCGATTTGGAAAATTCAGTTTACTTCGTCCTTCGGACAAGAAAGTTGAGTTTCGGGTGAATAATGAGCTGACGGATTTCAATATGAAATTGGGTGATGGAGGTGAGGCTTTCTTCGTCTTTGCTACGGAGAACGATGTGCCCCAAGAACTACAAACTTCACCTCTCGGATCTCCCTCTCACTCGCCTTCCGGGTCGCCGGTTGCTTCTCCAAAAAATCGTGCATCTGTGGACGGATTGAAAGAACCAAGCGAACTAATTCTCGATCACAATGAAGAGCAAGGCGCATCTTCAGAAAACGATGCATCCGGCGACCGTACTGGAAAGATGGACCAAGGAGATGGTACACAGAAAATCCAAAGACCCCGGTCTGCTTCCAATGCAGCGACAGAGGGCCCTATGTCACAGAACTGGCTGCGACACGCGAGATACTCAAGCGATCCAGGAAGCTGTGAACCCAGCACTCCAACGAAATCTGGCTCGGGGTCAACTACCCCTACTCATGAAAAACGAGTTATGCCGAAACCAGAGCTACTCCAAAAGGCTATAGAGCTAGGCAAGCGTCTTTCGGGAAAAGAACTTCCAGCGCATGTTACCGACAACGGCGACATTGTGATGGATATGACTGGCTATAAAGCTAGTGAGCTGAACAGAAACATCGCCGACTTTGCTCGAGAAACATTCAAAGACGAGTTTCCCGAAATCGAAAAACTTATTGCGGAGGATGAGAAAGGTAATCTTTGGTTTTATGCCAGCGAGGAGGCCAAAAAGAGTGCTTCCCCCGGAATCACCTCTTCTCCCATAACTTCCACTCTTCCTGTAGCGACTGATGATGAAAGCGAAAGCCCTAACGTCTCGGCTCCTGCGTCTCCGAAATCCGATTCTGCCTTAATGCGAGAGGACCATTTGGAACGGATGCAATCCATACGCGAAGAGTTAACACGCTCCCCTTCACCATCCAAACAATCTTACTACTACGTAAAGACACTCCGTCTGACATCAGAACAGCTATCTTCACTCAAACTAAGGCCAGGCAAGAATGACATGTCCTTTACTGTCAACAATGGAAAGTCTGTATGCTTGGCCAACCTGTACTTTTGGCGGTATGAGGATCCGGTTGTCATTTCTGACATTGATGGGACGATCACCAAGTCAGATGCCTTGGGACATATGTTCACTTTTATCGGCAAGGATTGGACACATCCAGGAGTTGCCAAGCTATACAGCGATATTGTGAGCAATGGTTATAAGATCATGTATCTGACTAGTCGATCTATTGGTCAAGCAGACAGCACAAGGCACTATCTTTGGAACATTGAGCAAGATGGTTACACCATGCCTCATGGCCCTGTCATTCTTTCTCCTGATCGTACAATAGCAGCTTTACACCGCGAGGTTATTTTGAGAAAACCCGAGATTTTCAAAATGGCATGCCTTCGTGACTTGTGTGGATTATTTGACGTTCCTCCTCCAAAGAGTCCGTTTTATGCCGGTTTTGGAAACAGAATAACTGATGCTATTTCCTACAACCATGTCGGCGTCCCACCGACGCGCATCTTTACCATTAATTCCGCCGGTGAAGTTCATATGGAACTTTTGCAACGAAGTGGTTATCGCAGCAGCTATATCTACATGAATGACTTAGTTGACTACTTTTTCCCGCCTGTGGAAGTGTCCGTGGAACCTGAAGTGAACACTTTTACCGATGTTACTTACTGGCGTACACCGCTTCCTGAGCTTTCCGACGATGAGGATGAACCAAAGTCTAAAAAGAATACTCCAAAATCGCAAACCAAAACATCAAAAAAGCAAGGCTCTCCCAAACCAGAACAAGATTTGGCGTCTAACAATGATCTTGAAAAAGAAGAAGATTCTGAGAACGACATGTCCGCCATTTTGGCTCGTGCCATGGATTTGAGGGACCCTGAAGATAATGAGATGAACGACGAAGCTACTTAATGGATAAAACGTAACGAAATACACACGTTCTCAACGATACTGTTTCCCCAAACAAGATCCTTTGACTTACAACTTTAGACGTGCGCGCATGCAACATTATTGCTAATCCACCTTAAACATTTGCGTACGAGTACGAACGATTACGAGTTATGAGAATGAAACGATAGTGATCGAGAATACTGGTTGGGATATATTATCATGATTACTTTAATGCTACTAGGACCATTACATTAATGATGAGAGGGTTGCTGGTTGACAAAGAACGAGTAGACATCCAACAACTAAATTGGACTTCTTGAATTCAAGGCCTTTTCTTTTTTCTGTTGAATTGAATTAGCAGAAGTTGACTCTTCACACATGTTACATACCAAATTTTGTTTGAAAGCATCAGTTTTCTTAAGTGCTTCCTGGAGAATGGTGTTTTTCTTCTCTTGACGAGCTTCTTTGTTTCGTTCAAACTTTTTTCCTTTAGGCCGGATAACACTTTGAATTATACGGCGATTCTTTTCACCATTCCATGTTTTTTGACGAGGAAGTAAATGCTGTAAATTGTGCATCTTCGCCAATTTAAAAAGATCAGCCTGTTTTCGATTCGAGTACACCGGGCCTCTCCAGGCACCGGTAATTTCGTTTTTTGCAGGTAAAAACGGATTCGGCCTTGCTGTACCGAGGGACCAAGCTTTCTCGGTTTCTGGTGGGAATTTCGCAAAAAATGCCCTTAGCTTTGCTGGAAGCTCTTTAAGTCCTAATTTCATATTTGACAAGCGTATCTGAAGTTTTCGGAATGCCTCCGCTGAACCACTGATCAGCTCTGTCTTTCCATCAATGTCTTTTGGAGTAGTACTTCACTGTATTAATAGAGTTTTTTAAGGACCGCTTAGATAAGATGATAAGCGTGGTCACGAACAATTGTACTTTTGTGAGTTTTATAGAATTGAATTTCATTGAGACACTCTTGACGGGGATTCTCGCAACCAAATGGGCCCTGTTGACATTACGGATCACTGCGTAAACAGAAAAATGGATATGACACGACTCACGGTGTTTATAGTTGCATATACAGTTTTTTATAATTAGTGAATACATGAATCTGGTCGTATAAAGGATGGCAGCATATGTTGTGTCTTTATAACAAGAAGATGAAAACGAATCAATAAAACAATGCTCTTGAGGTCAAGTCCAAACAGTTTGCAAGGGCGTCAACAGTGAGTTTGATCTTTAAAAGTTCAATAGTATGTACATTACCAAAATAATTGAAGACTTTTTCCTTAAGAAGACTGTTGTTGTTTTTCCAGCTTGTCAATGATAGCTAGTAAATCTTCGCTCATTTTCATTACTTGTTCGCGTTCCTGTCGCTCAACCGTGAGCTGATTAGAAACAACACCGAGTCGTTTGTTGAGGTTGTTGATTTCTTCTTGATGCTTCACTTGTTGCTGTTGAAGAAGCTGATCATTTTTCTCCAAATTAGTTTTCAATCCCGTCAAGAAGGTCGTCATTTTTTGCCGCTCATGCACAGCACTTTCTAGTTGCATTCGTAACGTTTCATTATCATTTCTTAGCTTCATCAGTTCTTTCGTCAGTTCATCCTGAGAGCCAGAATTTAATATGAGAGCATTACTGTTGACTTGGTTCTGTAACTCTTGAATTGTGCTTTCATATTTCTTAGCATAGTTAGCTTTGAAAGCATTAATTTTCTGGGTGTGTTTTGCTGAATACTGAGCATGCAGCTCTGTGGCCCACTTCTCCATCCGTTCGTGCAAAATTTGTTCAAGCTGTTCCTCCGTAAAAAGCTTGTCATTGTTCGCAGGCGGCGGTGGAACCGCTGCAGAGGCTGCTTCTTCAAGAGAAGATTGAAGTTTTTGAATTTGCTCACAAGCGGCAAAGAACTGGCCAGACAGCTCTTGGATGGAGTGTTTTAGTTCGGCGCATTCTTGGATAGAACCGGTGTATTTGGCTTCTAGACTCCGCAACTCTGCCTCATACTGTGCTTTTTCTTTGTGAGCATTGGTCAAAGCAAACTGGAACGGTGCGTTAGAGGAAGAAGCGGGTGTTGCGTCAAGAAGAGACTTTTGGGGTATAAGTTCAGGCGTTTTCGGAGCATTGTTTTGTCGTAAAACAGGTTTGCTAGGCGGAGGCACGGGAAACGTGGACGGGGATTGAAAAGAAAGCAGATCCTTAGAGCCTGGGTTCGTGGGCTGAGCTCCATTTACCGGAGCAGCTGGAAGGGGAAAATTGGCTTTCGGGGTAAGGATAGACTCGAGATTGCGCTTGCGATGTTTGAATTCCGGAGTACGCTGTGCAATTGACGGCGCCAAAGCAACCCGAGTTGGTCTGGGCGTGAGAGCCGACACTGTGCGTTTCGAATTCGTGTCTGAAGGGGGCCGAAATGTGTCAGCATCTTCTTGTTGTTGAGGGCCAGTCTGGGACTTTGACTGCGCCGTTGTTGTTGTACACTTGCAGGAGGGGGAACAGCGAGTTCTTCACTGCAGTTGGAAACGGCAAGTGAGGTCTCTGTTGATGTAGATTCATTTTGAGAAGACGAACTCGAGTGACTGGGGGAAGCCCCAGGAGGGATATCATTTGGCATCGGGGGTTGCTGAGTATTGTCAGACACAGTCTCCTGCTCGGCGGCGGGTAATTGAGTAGTAGTAGCTACTGCTTGAATTTCAGCCATAATGAGTACATACACAGCGGATCCACAAATTGAAAACTAAATAGCAGGAAACGAGCCGATTGAACCGTATTTAGCAAGACTACCAATTGAAAGAGCGTTTGTTGAAATAACAGAAAGAAAAAAAGGTCCGTGATATACGTAAAACTAGAACAGAATGCTAAAAAATAGCAGAAAAAAAAATTAAAAAAAAAAGTAACAACCAGACGAAGAACAATTCAAACAAAAGCTTTAAGGACGACCGATATTTTCAGGTTTGTAGATGTTCCAATAGGACGAGCACGGGAAAGAAATGTACAAATAACACAGGTCACAAGCTAAGGAATTGAAACAAACGGGTCATATCCTAAAACGTCGTTGCCCTGTAGCGGCACTGCTACTAAAGACAATACACAACTGTTTAATGCGCTCGAGAAAACTACGTTAAATTACTTTGTGAGCCTCAGTAAATATATATATGAAATTAGAAGGCGTTTTACTGTACTGAATAAAAGGTTTGTTAAGGTAAGCACGTGACATATCTAAGCGGCAGCTTGGTCGCTTGATTTAGTGCTTATGCAACTATAAATGAACAGAATGCCTTGGACAACTAGTAGAGACTGAACGAGCCGCGAACCAACGACGGAAACCTCAGCGTCTGCGCACTTTTGCTGAGCCTCTGTATTAAAATTGAGATGACTCAATGCAGAATAGAAACAAAAATGCTTTTGTACGAGATCCCTCCGTGTTTGCCAGATTGTAAAGCTCTAACACGTTTACTTATAGACCTCGGCCTCGTACAATGAGCTGGTCTCACGGCTCTGTGATTCCAAGCTCACAACGATTGGTAACTATCGCTTAGAAAAAGTAATTGGAGAAGGTATTTTCCCATTCATTGTCCCTTTACTGTCGTTGTTTCGTTTTGCTGACTCTCACAGGCAGTTTTGGGAAAGTCTATTTAGCAAGCCATATCCTCACGTCGTCAAAGGTATACACAATCATCGTTGTTGGACGCTGTGACTCTTAGCTCCCTTCATCTGTTCAGAACAACGGATTAACACTATGTAGGTTGTGCTAAAATCTACTTCACGTAAACATGCAATTCCTTTGGCTCGTGAAATTCACCATCTACGTCAGCTTAAGCATCCTAACGTAACTCGTCTATACGAGGTTGTATGCACAAAAGACTCCATTTTCTTAGTATTGGAGTATTGCCCGGGCGGAGAGCTGTATGAGTGGCTTTATAAGGAAACACGTTTTGAAGAAGATGTCTGTTGTCGAATCCTATGGCAATTGTGCCAAGGAGTGAGATACATTCACAACACTGGATGTGTGCATCGCGATTTGAAGCTTGAAAACGTATTTCTCGACAAACAGTACAATGTTAAAATTGGAGATTTTGGACTGTCCCGTGAATCTGATTGCAGTCGGAGAACGTTTATGAATACACGCTGCGGAACGGTTGCCTACACTGCTCCCGAAATTGTTCTTGGCCAGAAGTATATTGGAGAATTTGTTGATATCTGGGCTCTAGGCGTCATCATGTACGCCTTACTTGTGGGAAAGCTACCGTTTGATGAAGATGATGTAAACTTAACAAAATCCAGAATTGTCCACTCTACTCCAGTTTTGCCAGAGTCTCTATCAGCCGAGGCGAAGGACCTAATCCTCATGCTGCTTCAAAAGAACTATCAACAGCGACCTTCCTTAGACAAAATTCTTACTCACTCGTTCTTTACCTCTCGTGGATACCATGTGTCTGATGTTACCAAAGCTCGGTCGACGAAAAAGGCAGAAGAAAAGGTTCGCAGCCGGTTAGCACTTGTCGGTGTTGACATGGAAGAGTTGGACAAAAGCCTTTCCGAACTGAGATGTGACGCATTGTACGGTTGGTGGTTCTTACTGCTCGAGCGTGAATTACGAAAGGAAACTCGAAAGCAGCGCCGAGGTTCCACACCGCACAAAACTAAGGACAGATCACTCAAATTTTTTGCCGTTCCATCCAGTCCTTCGGTGAAGGAGATGACGATTTCAGCTACTCCAATGCGTGCTGACTACAAGTCTTACGGCAAGTCGTCCTCTTTGCTGACAACATTTCGTGAGTGGTTATTCCATCCGAAATATAATCCGGAGAAAACTCCTTTCAACTCTGATGCTGGCGGTGACATTTTGTGTTCGAGTTACTCCAGTGGAACCGTGGAAGGAAAACAAACGAGTAATACGGAAGTTCATTCTGTGTCCAAGAATCAGTGCAGCCCGGAGTTTAATCGCATTTCTCTCGGCAAACAGCAGACTTCTTTATATAAACAGGGTTCAGATGCTGATGTGTCTGACAATATGAATACATACGCGGCAATGCTTTCTACTTCGTCCGATTCTAATCATTCTCACTTTTCCTCATCTTCTCTTAATTTTGGTCGACCGCCTGATGACAAGGACTCTAATGGCCGTGGCGTTGAGCGCTCTTCTTCAAATGCCTCATCTTTCAAATCTGTTGGTAAAAAGGCCTGGCGATCTCGTTCTCTGTCTAATGTCTCTTCAGCTTCTTCCAATTCACTTATATCCATTGTATCATCTAAACCTACTCCATCCGCGCCAGCAATCGCAAAGTCCTGCTCTTCCATCGACCCGCTGCAAAAATTACATTTGCCGAGAAAAGACACTACCTCATTAATGAGACACAATGCTTCTGCTATTCGAGTGCTGGCGCTCCCGCGAAGACTGTCTCAATCCACATACATGAAGCATATCAACGAACCAGCATTTCAAGAGGAGGAGGAAGAAGAAGCCGAAAACAATGACGGTTGAGCACAAATAATTAATGGTTAATTAAATAAGAATGTTCGTCTTTCATTTATTGACGGCAAAACTGTCGCATGTCGAAGGCACTTACGGGTGTTAGATTTTTACAAGCCAATATGCAGACACATTGAGTAACTTTCACTACACTAACAGGAGGTTAGAGACTTGCCATAAGCAAGTCCGTCTTATTTTCATTTCTCTTAATTTTACCATGTCTAATTCCCACACGAACAACTAGTACCCAACCGATTTTTATTATCACAAAAAAGGAATGAGCTTTCGCAGAAATTGAAACGATACGAAAACTCAATAAAAGATGTAAATATTTTCACTCTGAAGAAGCGATGTCTCCTTTTGTAGACTGGTTAATTTGTAACTGCTTATCCGTTCCTCCAGTGACAATGCCGGTCGACGAGTTCCAGTCAATGGCAAACAATTTGTCCCAAGTAGACTTACTTTGAACGTTACGAGACAAAGTGTACAAACTACCAGACGTAGCCCGAATATCCCAAACCTTTGTTGTATTATCATGGGAAACAGATGCAAGCATGTATGGGTTCTCAGGGCTACAGGCAAGTCCTGAGACAAAATTTTTGTGTCCATTCAAAGTGATGGACGTCGTCTGTTCAGCAGAGGCTCTTGGATCATGAAGAGTAATGTGACGACCGGCGGAACCGCAAGCCAATAGGTTAAGGTCTCCGATGTTTTGAATACACAAAAGCGGTGCGCGAGTGATACGAGAGTTAACCAATTGACCGGTAATCAAGTCCCAAGTTTTAATTGTATGATCTTGGCTTACAGAGTAAGCAACACTGGTATCAGTAGCAAAAACCATGTCCGTAACAGGTCCATTATGGCCAGTGCACATAAGCAACGGTGCCTTGGCACCATTCTTTGGAAGCACTTCAGTGTTCTTTTTGCGACGCTTGCCAGTCACTGTTTGAGTGGGCAAACCTGTTGCAGGAGAGCGTTCTAGATCCCACACTCCCATCATTTTGTCAGCACCAGCGGAGAGAAACAAAGTACTAGAACCGGTACGAATCCGCTCTACGACGTTTTCGTGGCCGACAAAAGCACAATCATAGTCAGCAACAACGGCAGAGCTTTCGTCGTCATCCATAGGAACATCAGCAGAAGAATATGACCATAAGCTAATGCCTTGATTGAGCGAAGCAGTCAAAAAACTAGAGTCTGTAGTCCAAGCAACCGACTTTAATGAAGAGTCCAGAGATGCTGAAGTAACACAAACTTTTCCGCTCTTGTTCCAAACACGAGCAATTCCATCGTAAGAGGAAGTGAGAATGCTATCGTCCTTCAAGGAGATTCCTGAAATCCAATCCTCGTGCGGAAATGCTGCCAAAAATGAAGGAGGCAGTGTAGAAGGAATGTATTCCAGTGTAAGAACAGACTCGGTGGACAGACCATTCTGCACGATGTACTCATCCAACGAGGTAGTCAGGATTTTACCATTGACCAAAAAATCAAATGGAGTGGGAGTTTCTGTAAAGTCAGTGAAACAATTCGTATAAAAGAAGATCTAAGACAAGATCCGATAAGTAAACAAGGTTTATTGCACGCATCGAGCAGCATAAATGCCAGCTTCAATTACAACTGCTAAATGAAAAATAAATTTACTTCAAGCAGACGAATTGAGCAAATGTAATTATAGAAAAAAAGCACTATTTTACAAGATGAACGTGCTTGACCCTGTTTGCTTACGAATGTAAAGCGTGAAATTAAATTCATACCTTTTTCCAGCAAATGGTTCACAATTTGTGATAAACCATAACGTCTAAGCGTCGTAGGAATGAGAATAGGCGTATCTGCTACTGCATAATCAGGATCGCGAGTAGTAAAACGCACTTGAACCTGTGCTACTTGCTCGTCCTGACTGGACATGGTGTTGGTTACTGGTAGGTGAGTTCTTCCTGCTTGAAACGCAGGAGGACGCGAGGTCAATTGTAACCAGCGTTAAATTTTGTTCGTATTTCGGTAGGGTGAATTAATATTAGTATTTCGACTTAAAACACTTTATCATACTGGTACTCTCTATGCAAATGACAGAGATTTTGGTTCCGCGGTATAGCCGCGCATAAACCTTTATTTGCTCAAATGAAAAAAAAAGCGCGGAGGTTGATGGCGAAAATCAACACCAAAACCTCACCACCAAGCAGCTCTTGCTCTGTTGCTTTTTTGCACTACTACTGCCCGAGAGACATCGCAGAAGCAGCAGCAACCCTGCACACAGCAAGTCCAGAGCCCGGCCTTGGTTGATTTTTTCATTTTGTTGACGAAATAGAAGGAACTTGGTAATTATTATTATGGGACTTGCCGGGGAACCCAAAGTTCGCCAGCAAATTTATGCGGATCCTCGCAACACAGCTTGGGCAAACAACACTGGCCGTCTGGGATACAAGCTGTTGAGCTCTTTCGGATGGACGGAAGGTGCTGGTTTGGGTCAATCGTTGCATGGACAAGTGCAAAATATTAAAGTGCTTGTAAAAGATGATACTTTAGGTATTGGTGCGAAGGCATCCAACGATCTTGAATGGAGTGGATTGGGTGAATTTAACGCTATTTTTGGTCGTTTGAACAATGATTCAAGTGCATTCGGTGTCTCGCAAGAGACACTTAAAGTCCAACGCGTGCAAGATGAGAAGCTGGATGCAAAGAAGAAGAATTTGAACTCTGTTGCTCTGGCTCGTCGTTTTGTCTTGGGCGGAACATTCACCAGCGAGTTTGCTGAGTGGATGAAGGAGCAACAGATGTCTGGTGGAAAGAGTGTTACTATTACAGAAATTGATTCGAAACATAAGCACAAACATAAATCCAAATCCAAAGAGGAAAAGAAAAAGAAGAAAAGCAAAGATGAGACAGAGGCGAAGAAGCATCATAGCTCCAAGAATCACTCCAAAAAACACAAGTCAAAACATACAGAAGCAGAAAGTGATTCTGACGCAAGTGTCTCTTCTACCACGTCTACTTCTACTGACATGAAATCCAAGCACAAGCATAAGTCCTCCTCGCAAAAAAAGAGCAAGTCCAAGTCGTCGAAACACAAGGACAAGTCTTCTTCATCTCCATCACGCAAGAGAAAGCGTGATGAGAAAGAAAACGCGGAAAAGAGCAACACGGTTGCTGTGCATTTGGCTGCCCGTCGCAAGTTCTTGGCCCAGAAGCGAGCTGCAGTGCAGGACCCTGCTGCCTTGAAAGCTATTCTTGGCATTCATTAAATTTCACTCATTCTACAATTGAATGAAGTATTCTGCTTCTCAAACTCATACGGTTCCCTCACAAATTTGTTCATTCGATAGGTTGTTTTAGGTAATAGGATTCCCATTTTGGTTTTTACTTATTTCTGATCGTAGAAAACAGCATCAACTAGCCCAACAAATCGCCTATAATGAACAACAAGAAACAAGGACCATGCCACTAATAAACACACTAAAAATAAACCAATGGCACCCCAAACTAGCTCATAAGAACGATTCAATATATTCAAATAATTTTAATTTACTCTACTTAAAACCTGCCTGTGTTAGTAACAATGTCGATGAAATGCTCACAGAGGAAACACGAAATGTCAGAAAAATCTACTATCTATTTCCCGAATTTTTCTCATCAATGGAAATTCTGTTGTCCCTATCAGGTAATCATCCTTCAAGACGTGTTCCCCCTCAAAGTTGCTTACCATCTTCTTCCTCGCAAAGCACACCGGGTGTGTGCTCTGGTTAAAATATTAAGAACATCGACGCCCTTATATAGACGATTTTTCATTTTTACTACAAACATTAAGTTTTGTGTTTTGATCTCAAATAGTTTTAATCTTTTGCACTATGTATTTTTATTAGTAGTATCTTCATTTTTTTGGAATTCCGACTTTGAAGACAACTTGTTGCTGGTGCATCCTTGGACGTGCTGGCACCCTAGTAAACCACAACTTCTCGTGTCGTTCGGAAAACATGAGTGCACCAGCTATTTCACATAGCGAAGATGGACTCTACGATATCCTGCACCGTGGATCCTCTGCGATTGAGACAGCAGAGGACCGGGACTCGAAATTTCCCGACCTTGGCAACATAATCGGGCGTACGTCGCAATTGTAGCCTTTTCCTGTGCTAATGATTTATAGAGGGTTACACAAATGATTATACTATGCCCACTCTTAGCGGCTGGAAACCCTTTTTCCGGAGAGAAGTCATAAGTATTCCTGATATCATTTTTGAACAATATAACAGTATGTGATTTGGTAAACTAATTGATCTGCGAAGCAAATGTTGACTTCTTCTTAGGAACGGAATGTTTCACGCAAATGGGATTGTTTGCTGAGATCCAAAGAGCTTGGATTACGGTCGACAATCGATTGTTTTTGTGGGATTTCATGTCGGAACAGAATTTCCAAGCTTATGAAGAGCTGAAACACACAATTACTTGCATAAAACTTGTTCGTCCTCGAGAATCTGTTTTCGTTGACGACATAAAATATCTCTTGGTTATTGCTACAACACAGGATATGCTTCTTCTGGGTGTGTCTATTGATAGCACCACTAGAGATCTCTCGTTTTATCACACAAAGATGCAAATTTCAATCGGAGGGATTGGCGTCAACTGTATTGAAGCTACCTTGGATGGTCGCATCTTTTTTTCTGGTCGCCAAGATTCAAACCTGTATGAATTTGTATACCAAAGCGAGGAAGGTTGGTTTTCAAAGCGTTGTGCAAAAGTGAACCTAACGGCATCCTCTCTCGGCGACCTCTTACCATCGTTTATGTACCAAAAGGGTGACAAGGAATTTATTGAGCAAATTGCTATTGATGATTCGCGCAAGCTTCTGTATACTCTTACGAACAAATCATCGGTTGTCTGCTACAAACTTGAAAAAAAAGGCATTCAGCGTTGTGTGCATTACTCCTATCGCTCTATGCTTTCGCAAGCTCAAATGCTTAATGCGTCTTCTGTCTTGCTTGACCCTCGGTTCGTAAAATTGGTGTCTATCGTTCCCATTCCATCATATGAGTCACAACAAATTTATGCAGTGGTGATCACATCTTCCGGATGTCGTTTGTACATGAGAGGCGGACGCAGTACTTCGCCTTATTTCCAAAAGGCAGACTTTGCTGACCCTCAGTCTGCATATCCCAGCACCCTTCAAATTACACACATTAGATTCCCGCCAGATCAAACTACTGACAACAAATTTACACAGCGGCAAAATGCTACTGGACCCTTTATGACCAATGTATCACAAATGAATGGCCCCCAAAATTCAGATGTCGGAAAGCCGGTGAAACCGTTGCAATGCAATTCGCTTAGTACGATGTTTACACCTGGGCTTTTCTTTGCCTTTACACCCTCTTCTCAAAATGATGGCGATCTTTTATTTGCAGCTGCACCGGAATTTGGTAAAATCGCCAATCTACAAAATTCAGGCAATCAACTTATGCTTTGTGAATCAGCAATGTTCTTGCCTATTGAGGGTTATGTGCAAGGAATTATTTGTTTAAATCCTTCCAAACAATCCAATGAGTTGGTTTCTCAATTTACAACGCCTGCCCCTGTGTTTGCTATATTGACGAATACCGGTGTTCACATAATTGTCCATAGAAGACCCCTCGAAATTTTGATGTCTGCCATTCGCGTTGGAGCTAGCCTCACCTCTGGCGTTGACAGTCAAGTTCGTACATTCTTTGAGAGCTGTGGCCGTGCAGAAGGGTGTGCGACTTGTCTCGGCCTTGTATGTGGTCTTCGGGATAGTGCTGCTCGTGAAAATGGACAGTCCTATTTTGGATCATCTAAAAGCACCCAACCAGAGCTTATTGATATTGCCAAGAAGTATTATATCGAATTTGGTGGTAAAACATTTATTGACCAATCTCGCTACAACAGTCAACAGGATGTTCCTTCCTTGGAATTTGTTCGTCTTTCTGGAAGACATGATGGTTTAGCATCGTGTATTTCTCGACTTGTTCGTTGGTTTTGGGGACAACCGGTTGTTACACGTGAAGACGGCAAGAATGTTTTTAAACTTAACGCTGACACTTCTCTGTTGTTGACTGTTCAATCACATCTCTTATCTCTTTATTACTTCCTCGACATTAGTCGCAATCATATCGAGGGTCTAGCGGGACCAGACCATTTTGCTGGTTTCAGTAATACTAGTGATGAGTTTGCTCTTCAGGCCGAGCATAGAGCCCTTCATGCACTGATTACTGTTCTAAAACACATTATTGAGGGTATCTCATTCGTCATCTTATTAAACGACAGTACCTTTGGCAGATTCAACGATATTGTCTCTACGATTGCTCCACCAACACAGGAGGCGTGCATGAAGCTTACATTTGGTAAGTTGTTTACTTCGAAAGAGGGGAGAGTCGTGGCCAAGGAACTTGTAAATACTCTCGTTAATCGACAGCTCGCTTCTGGTGATAGCATTGACACTGTCAGTCAAATTCTTCGTAAAAAATGTGGAAGCTTCTGCAGTGCTGATGATGTACTCATCTATAAAGCAATTGAACTTCTTTGGAAAGCTAGAGACGCTTTGGATGCTGATGACCGTGCCTCGTTAATCTCTAACTCATTTGATCTTTTTAAGAAGGCAGCCCGTGTGTTTTCTCTGGATGATCTTAAGGATGCTGTAAAAGAATATAAATCTTTGGGAGCTTATGATACTGCCGTCAAATTGATTCTCCATCTTGCTGCAACTCAGGATCTGAAGGATATTGCTTTCTCGTACATGGCCGATGGTCAACCAGAAGACGATCCTCGTAAAAAGATTTTTGACTTTCGCATAGCTTGTTATGAACTTGTTTTCTCAATCTTTGAAGAAGTGGAGTCTCTTCCGTTTGAGGAATCTTCAAAGGCGAGTATATCTGTGCACGACATCCTTAAAAGCAGTAAAGATGAGCTGTTTCACACTACATTTTATGACTGGTACATCTCGAAAGGTATGACCGAGCGCCTTTTGGACATTGATTCGCCTTATATCCAAAGCTACCTTGAAAGAAACAGTGGCTCCAGCCTTAGTCTAGCAAGCTTGCTTTGGCAATACTATGCGAAACGCGAAATGTTTTATATGGCAGCTCTTGTGCTCCTTGAATTAGCCTTAAGCGCGTTTCCTATATCACTGGAGCAACGGATTGAATATTTGACTCGTGCAAAGGGCTTCGGTAATTGTCACATCCCAAGTTCTTCAAGAGCGAACATGAATAAAATAATGCATCAGGTCGTTGAATATCTTGATGTTGCTAGCATTCAAGACGATTTACTTATCGCTATAAAAAACGATGCGCGCTTATCGAAGGAACAAAAAGATGAAGTTGTATCTGCTTTGGACGGTCAGATTCTCAACATTTCTGAGATATTCAACAAATATGCGGATCCTATGGACTATGGTGAAATTTGCCTTTCTATATTTCAGGCGTCTGGTTACGCTGGCATTGAGGTTGTTCGCCGTTGGGAACGGATCATTCAACAGACACACGACCAGGCCCTCCATCTTTATACCGGTGCCTCAATCGTTGAAAATGTATCATCTGTCCTGCGCAAGCTTACTATACGTTTTTCGTCACAGGAGAATGTCTTTCCCGTGGAACAAATAATTGCTCTGGCAGAGAAGTATGCTTATGAATATCGGGACGAGGAAAGTAAAGAAGGTTGGGTTCCCGACACTTTCACAAGTGCAGGTGTTTCTCATGAGGTTGTCTTTATTGTATTGAATCAACTTTATGATCGTAGAGAAAAACCCTGGCAAACGAAAGAGGCACTTCTTTATCTTATCCTTGATTTAACACATCTTCTTAAATCATGGTGTGAATTATGTATTAAAGGGGGACTTTCGTCAACGGACCGACCCAACTTTAATGTTTCCGGAGTTTTGGAATCAATTGAAAAATACAAAAATCTCTTGGTTAATGATACCTCGAGTAACTCTCAACGTTGCAAGAAGGAACTGCAGCTGTTGGAGAATACTATACGCGAGGAGTGTTAAAAGCATGACAAATGTATATTCCATTTGTAATGTCTTATTCCTTCCATCTCTCAAAAATCATTGTTCAAAGGTCTTTCGTCCTTTCTATACCCCTGTCTTGGTCAGGCTTTTGAGCATGCTGGTTCAATGGTTGTTATTAATGCTACGCTATGCTAGCTATAGGCTGCTAAAATTGTCGCTACAATATCACTCGGTTCTTTTTCTTTTATGACTAATTTGTAGTATTTTGATAAAACGTATTCTGATTTAATTGTAAGAGAAGTATAGCTCGTTGAATGAAACAGTAATATCAACGGCAGGTTATTTGTGTACGGAAGTTGGTAACTATGATTATGCATTTTATTGGAAGGAGGTATGTCAGCAAATCATTTTGTCATAAACATATTCACATTCTATGATACTATTAGTGAATACGTATTTGCTTTTGCTATTTTTCTTTTTTTTATTTTGGTGAATTTGAATAAATTTCCTTGTTATAATATATTGATGCTTTTAAAAAATCACAAGTTATATGATAAGCACAGACCCATTTACGTTCAAGTGCTTACCAAAAACAGTAGAGATAGATAGCTAGGCCCATATTTTAATATTAGTTAAACTTTTTTATCTGCTCTTTCGAAAAAAAAAATGCACTTATTTTCACCACCGTAGGAACTACTTACAAAACAATCATCAAACATGTACTTAACAAAAGATAGCTTTTATTTCATTTCAAAAACGATTGTGAAATCTCAAAACTTACTAAATATACCGTCAAGTTTTTAAGTACGTAGAAAGGAAAACCAGAACCCGACCATCAAACCGAAATGCTTCTGAAAGAAAACGTACAGTTTACAAAATAAGAGTGATATGAAAACGACAGGCTATTGTTTAGTCGACCATTTTTAGCACCTAGAAAGAGGGTTAGCGTAAAAGATAAAAGAGAAGGAGAACGAACATTCTAAAGAACAGGTTTTCAGAGACCGCCGATCTCGAAGAATCCGTAGGGTTGAATGTGTATGACAAGTTAATATCCAAATCTCTGTGATTACGCTCAGCAGGCTTGCATGAAATAGTTCCACTCAATGTCTCACCAGCCTAAAACAGTTAGTCATTGATAAGACCGAGATTCACAAACCTTAATAGTCAAATTTTTTCTCGTATAGAATACGGTTTGCTTCCAGTGAGTGTAGTTAGTGAAAGGACCAGTACTGAAATGGACAGGCTTATGACAGGCAGAGAAGTCAATATCAAACCATGCCAAGAAGCCATGAATGAAATCGTTCCGTGTAGCAGTAAGTTGGAACGACGACTGGAACGAGAGATCTTCCTTTTTAACAGTTTTAAGATCAATATCAAGAACTGTGCATGTGTTCGTGTTCACAGCATGGGCCTCAACAGTATCAACCAAAGGCTCTTTCCAAACGTCCTCCTTAATAGGAGAAAAGTCGAAACCATAGACATCATCCCAGACTAAATAGACCCGTTAGATAATGTTTATAAATGAAAGACCTTACATCCAATCTTTTCCTCTTTGTACTCAGAGTCTTCAATAGCAGCAACAAGTATTCTAGCGTGGTCAGGGAATAGCAGACCATCCTCGGCGAGATAGCGATCGCGAGCATACAAAACAGTATCGAGCATACTCTCATAAAGTAAAAAGTATCCCATCCATTCAGACACAATAATATCGACCTTGGCGACAGGCAATTGAATGTCTTCCATTTTTCCCTTCAATAAAGTAACACGATCATCAAGTCCATTGACCTTGACGATTTCCTTGGCCTTGTCGATAATGTTACTCATGTCAATCTAAATCCCAAGTTAGATATACGAAAGGTAAACCAATTAATAATGTTCATCCCACGTACACCATAAACATGTTTGGCACCAGCTTTTGCACAAAACATTGACAATATACCCGTTCCACATCCAACCTGGAAACTGGTTAGATCTTGCCTAAAAACGAAATGAAATAAAAACCGCTCTTACATCAAGGACAACTTTTCCACGGAACAAGTGGGGATTTTGCATGATTGCATCACGATAGGAAAGTGTACGCACTTCATCCTTGAGCATTTCCTCATGAATTCCCCAGTGAGAGTAACTATCAGGAACATAAGTTAGTTTTTTCCAAGACATTGTCTTAAAACTAGAAAAACATACCTATCAAAGTAATCTGTAGAGCAGGAAAGGTTAGTTATCAGATCCCGGATTATACTTTCCGCATAAGATATAACATACAGTCCTATTTTCTTGGTTAGCAAATAACATTTTTTGAAACATAGCAACACGATAAGCAAATAAAACAGTAAAACCGTATTGAAGAGAGATGACAAGAACAAGAAATCCGGTTTATACTCATGGCAGATCCCTTCAAAAAGACATCTCAATTATTACAAGTTCTTGCTATTCTATATTATATAAACATGTACTACTGTTATTCAGTACCTTTGCAGTCATAGAAGTGTCTGCCCCAGTATCCGTATCCATCGACATGATGCTAAGATGCAATTGGCAAAATTTTAGAGATTCACCTTTGGTGTTGGCTCTGGTCAACTTGCGGGTTCGATAGGGTATACCTCAGACCTCAACACAATGAACCCTACCCTAACAATTCAATAGGCAGTCACCGAACACCACCACACCGAAACTGTTTACGGATGTCTTCCTTGCGCAAAACCTCTGAAATGGCCAACACGAAGAAGAGTGCAATCAACCAAGTCGTTACTCGTGACTACACGATTCACTTGCACAAGAGACTTCACGGCGTCTCTTTCAAGAAGCGCGCTCCTCGTGCCATCAAGGAGATTGTTGCTTTCGCCCAAAAGCACATGGTATGTTTGCCCTTGTTTTTTTGTCGTATCCTGGGACTAACAGTTTTTTAGCAAACCAAGGATGTTCGTGTTGACCCTCAATTGAACAAGGAGGTTTGGAAGCGTGGCATTAAGTCCGTTCCCCACCGTCTCCGTCTCCGCTTGTCTCGTAAGCGTAGTGACGAGGACGATAAGGCTCTTTACACTTACGTCCAAGCCGTTGAGGTCGCCAACCCTAAGATGGAGACCACTGTTGTTGAGGAGTAAGCCATTTTGCCAAAAGCGCGTTTCTTTTAAACATCTTGTATTGTATTGATCGTAGGTGGGGGTGAACTGGGCTTGTAATAGAGTTGTGATAAGGTGTGGGTTTGGCGAGTCACGTGTGGCCGTCGTTGGGTGCGTGACATGTTACTTTCCCGTTGTGTTGCGAGTGTATGTTAAATTAGTTTGCACACTCTACAGAAGTGCAACGCAAGAAAATAGGGTTAGGTTCTTGAGACTCAAGTTACCCTCTACCAACAGCAATGGCGACTCTTCTGCCTCCTAAAAGCAAAAAACAGAAGAAGGAACATGCTAATCCAATCTCAATAGAGGTTCCGGAGAATTTTCCTCTTGTACAAATTGAATTTAAGGCCTCAGATGGCTCCAATTCTATTTCTTCACTTTTAGTTCCTGGAAACAGTTCCGTCAAGCAATTGGAAACACTTGTGAACCAACTTATTGGAAATGTGAGTAATACTTTTTCTTTCAGTTATGCTAATATAGTGTAGAAAGATGATCCTGTTCCATTGACGTTCGCTCTTGAAGGTGACGCTGGTTCTAACTTGGAAATTCCAGACAATCTTTATTCTACTATCTTTCAGCCTGGCTTGAAGAAGACAGAAGATCATCTAACCATTCTTTATACTCCACAGGCTATCTTCCGTGTACGGGCTGTCACAAGATGCAGTGCTGCCATGAATGGTCATGACGGTACAATTATCGCGGCTCAATTTGCACCTAATAACAGCTCTCGTCTTGTTACTGGTAGTGGTGATTTCACTGCCCGTTTGTGGGACTGTGACACAGACACACCGATCGCTACATTGCGTGGTCACAGAAACTGGGTTTGTTGTGTTGCCTGGGCGCCTGATGCCTCGGTCATTGCTACGGGTAGTATGGACAACACTGTATGTTTTAGGTTACTCTGTCCTTTTTCAATTTAACTAACATAAAAAGATCCGGTTTTGGGAACCAAAAAAGGGTCTTCCTCAAGGAGAACCTTTAAGACGACACACAAAGCCCATAATGTCTCTGTGCTGGCAGCCATTACATCTTTGCAAGAATAATGAGTCACCGAAATTGGTTTCTGGCTCTAAGGATAACACCGTCCGAATTTGGAATCCAAAATTGCGCACACTTCTGTTTACACTTTCTGGTCACACTGCCCCAATCACTTGTGTGAAATGGGCTGGCAACGATTGGATCTACTCCGCATCTTATGATAAGACAATTCGCGTTTGGGATGCCAAAGATGTAAGCAGCAAACATTCACTCTTGGTCTCGCTAACCTCACTAGGGAAAATGCCTTCACATTTTGCAGGCACATGCTGCTCGTATTAATCATCTTGCTCTTTCCACTGATCATATTTTGCGTACAGGTGCTTATGATCATACAAACTTCAAGCCAAAATCTCCAGAAGAAGAACGTGTACGTGCTAAGGAAAGATATGAGGAAGTCATTAAATCACAGGGAGAGGAGCGACTTGTGTCTGCCAGTGATGACCTCCAATTGATGCTTTGGAATCCCTTAAAATCGACCAAGCCTATTGCCAAAATGCATGGTCATCAAAAAGTTGTTAACCATGCCTCGTTCTCTCCGGATGGACGTTACATCGCTACCGCTAGCTTTGACAATTCGTTGCGTTTGTGGGATGGTAAGACGGGTAAATTTATCGCTACTCTCCGCGGCCATGTTGCTTCTGTATATCAATGTGCATGGTCAAGCGACTCCAGACTGTTGGTCAGTTCATCTCAAGATACAACTTTAAAGGTGTGGGATGTGCGCACGAAACAGTTGAAGTTTGATCTTCCTGGACATGAAGATCAAGTCTTTGCCGTCGATTGGGCCCCAGATGGACAACGTGTAGCATCTGGTGGTGCTGATAAAAAAGTTCGTATTTGGAAACATTGAGTTTTTGGTTAAAAGCTTTATATTTTTTTGGAAGGCGAAGGGAATACCTTCATTTGACTTGTATACCTTTCTACTAGGTTAGTGTATTATTTGGGTGCACTTCACTTTTCTTTCTTTCTAAAGGTTATTTGGGTTTGTCTATTTTAACTGAAGTATGAGTAAATGTCTATTCGTGCTTTAAATATTATGCGAAAATGTTTGAGGTCTTGTTGCGTGAAATTGAAGAGCGTGGTCGTAGTTTACATCACGGTACAATCCATTCCGTAAATGGCTTTGTCAACTTCGTGTTTAACGTAAAACCAATCGCTTCGACAGTGTGCAAACTCGTAAACTTCTTCTGGTCGAAATACGGAGAATCGACTGGAATCTGTGGTAATTGCACCAATTTCTTTAGAGTTCTTTCCATCCACAATAAATAGATTGGCAATTTCTTTTAACGCCTTAAAATACGGAGCAATGTCCCGTTGTTTTAGCGATAATGCAAATTGATAGTACCGATTGGCATCACTATAAGTATTAGCACCATTAGAAAATTTGTTCGAGGATCCGTGACATACCTTAAGAAGCGAATTCCACCGGCCGTAGTAAATTTTTGCGAACGTATGAATGTACAAATAGATGAGTACAGGCGCATACCGATTTCTTTGTAAAACACGTCAAGGATTTCGCGGTCAGCACAACCGACAATAAGCTTTAGGTGATATTCCAAAAATTGTACGACGTATTGACAGGCCTTTGAAGGTTCAACGATTCCAATTTCCTCAGTAGCGAAGTAATCAGGAGGTGTTAAGGTTTCAAGCAAATAGTCGACGTGCTCCATTAATACATTTATTCCTTTGTGTAAGCCCTCGGCTGCTTTCTCATCAATAAGGTGTTCAAAATTCTTTTTCTCGGAAACGGCGGGATCAAAAGTGTCATCCTTAACACAGATATTTCTCATTTCTTCTTCGTAGAATGCATCGATCATCTGCTGGATCATGTCGCCAACACTAATAAGTTCCAGGAATTTTACAACTGGTTCGATAGTTTCAGTTATTTCGTTCCGCGGATCAAATGAGGACAAATGTTTGATGGCCCGGTCAAACCCAGATTTTAAGTGACCAGTTCCCAAAACTTTCAAAAGTGTTATGAAAAGCGATTTGCACAGCTTTCTAACATCATCATCTTGGGAAGCCGATACACCCAAAAATACGTTGGCTCGAGCAAGACTGTTCTTGCAAGCATGAATTAAACTGAGCGCCACTTCTAGATTAAACAATGAACTAATTCCACTAAGTCTTTCTTTCATAAGGGCGACTTGCAGCTTTAGTTCATTAGTATCCATTGAAGCGGTACTATTGTGATGAGCAAAAGCGTGTGAAGCCGAGTCGGTCAGTTCTAAAGAAACCATGTCATTTTTGTGTTCTCCTGCGTATAAGGTATCTTCGTTTTCGGCGTCATTAGTATTAGAAAGAGAAAAGAGAGAGGTAGGGCGAAGCATAATTTCCTTGAACGCTTTAAGAAAAGTGTTTTTCACCATTGACTGACTCATAGCTTTCTGGTAAACGGACACAGTTGCATCTGCCTTTTTTTCTAACTCAACATTCCAATCATTAACAATTCGTTGAGTTTTTGAGTTTAGTAATTGCAACTCCTGTGACATATAAACGTCAATTTGTGTTTGGAACGCAACGTCCAAAACCACAAAGCCATCCGAAATATCAATAAATGATTTGCATAGTGCATAAGCTCCTGAAATTACTTTCAAATATGATAAAAGGTCCTCATCACTCAAATGTTCACATAGAGCAGTTATATAGTCACGTAAGTAAGGTCCAATAACTTCCCTTGAATAAAGAAGCATGGTAAATTCCGGTTGTGGCATGTACTTTTCGACAATTTTGCTTTGACTTAATGTATACTGTCGCAACTGTTCAACAAACCGTTTTAATGGCGCTAATTGAACAATTGTATCCTCGCTAATTGACAAACAGCTATACGGATCAAACGGAATAATAGATCTTATATAACTGCTTTCCTTTTTAACATACGTATCAAGATATGTGTCTGGCCCTGAAAAGTCCTGTAATACATTCGCAAAACGGGCAATCATCTTAAAGTTCCGTGTATCACAGCCGACTTCGAATTCCACTAGGCAGGCTTTAACAAAAAGATCCGCGATTTTATGAATTGCAATTTGAGATTCTATGCTCTCAGGATATCCATGTGGAGCACAATGACCAAATCTAACCAACAGCTGGATGACTTGTGCCTGTTCTTCAGGTGTTGAAAAAGCTGAAAGTGCAATCGGGTCAAGTGTATTATTAGCATGAACGATATCATCATAAAGAGGAAACAATACCTGATAAATGTACAGAAAGTCTTGCCTCGCAAGTTCAACACGATTATGAATATGGTTAAAGACTTCTATAACCGTTTGCTTTCCTCCCTCAGAATAGTAATCAATATGCACAGGAAATTGTATATCTTTTTTAACCGTACTATTTGACTGTTCAGTTTTCACGTTTACATCGTCACTTGAAGAAGTAAGGGCCTGAAAACTTGACGAATTGAGGGAGCTGTCATTAGAAGTGCTAATAAATTGGGAAGACAAACGGTCTTCTCGATAATGTTCTCTAGCAAGACGAGTATCCCAGGCCTCTAATCTCTTCAGTTTTTTAATGAAAAAGGAACGATTGTGACAAAGTCTGTAGAAGGCTTTACATGTAAGAGCACAGGTTCGAAGATCACGGATTGGCAAGAATGTTAACACTTGCAGATAAATATTTGGAGTAAATACTCCAATTTTGGCAGCTTCAAGATCATCTAAGCGCCTATTTAAAGTAGCAATATACTGCTCATACTCATTTCGTTTTCTTCTATTACTTTTCATCCATGAAACTCATAAACGTGGTGAACTTGTTCGGTTACAAGTTTAAGGCAGGATTTGAAACCAAATGAATTTAATATATATAATTTAATTAGAAACGCATATACGATCAAAGGTCTTCAGAAAAACACTTGAAAGTGTTTTTATTCATGATAATAGCTAAAATCCGCAAATGAATAAATAATATTAAGTTTTGAACAGCAGTATCACCATTCATTAAAACTTATTTGAACAGAAACCAGTTTCTCAAAAAGTATTATTTAGATTTAACAAACATTCTATATGTACTCCCAGATATGAAAACAAAGAAGACTAAAAAACCAAATCAGAGGGAAGTGTTTGGCACGCCAAACACAGGGCACATGGTGTTTCTCCTTGACTAGGGGAAGGGTTAGCGAGGTCCATCCATTAAAATGAAATGAGACTAAATCTCCAAAGCATCGAAGCGATTTGTCACGGAAAGAGGCGCTTCCTTCTGTAAGCGTAAATTAGCAACATGCTTAGTGTTAGGTCGTCTATTATGCACACGCAGAAGTCGATCTTGTGAATCTACCTCACAAAGCTCGCAGCATTCAATGAGGCCTGGTATCACTAAACGGCGATTAATTAATGGGCGCATGCTAATAAGAAGCGATAATAAATTCCGTATGGTGTCCGAATTCAAAGGCCTCATAATATAAGATTGCTCGACTGCGTGGAAGGACCATTTATAGTCTGACACATAAGAAAGATCGCTCAATCGTTTTTGTAGTTCAACTTCATCAACTCCATCACGAACATTAAGCAGAATTAACGCATTGTAATGTATTGCATCTGACTCTGGGGTAGCTGTGGTTTGTATAACCTCAGCCTTCTGTAAAACATTTGGATATTTCGATGCATACACAAGAGCAGTACTTAAGGGTATACTTGGAACCTTTGAGATACCGCGATTATGAACAACAACACTCCTGCGCGGTTCTGGATCCATAGATTCGGACTGCAAACAGTAAATCGCTGACAATTGATGAATAAATCGACGAAATGCCGTCTTCATAGGAGGAAATGAGTATAAAGGTCGAACAGACAAGCAGAAACTACGTAATGTCTGTTCAACACCTTCGCAAAACTCCTTGTTTTCGGCGTAAAATTCAACAACATCACTGTTGTACTCACCTAAATGCCTAACGGCCCTGTCAGGATCAATGTTTAGTGCCTCCGCAAGCTTTCGATTGCGTTCGGGTATTGCACACTTATCATCACAGGAAACCTCGTGCTTGGGCTCTGGGTCATCAAAGCAGGTTGCACAAGGAACCTTCTCCTTCCTTAGGCCGCATTTGCAAGAGACTTCAATCAGCTCAGTGCAGCGCTCAAACTCGTTACAGGGCGATCGTCCATGACAAGGCTTCGAACAGTGATGTTCACAGTAAGTTTTTTTCCGACCGCAGATGCTCGTACATGAAGATTCACATTTTCCCTCGGGATGGCATGTCTTTTTACATGTATGTACACCACACGGCAGAAGCTTTCCGCATACTTTTCCGCAGAACACATTTTCCTTCCAGCAAGGTTGATTTTTTACCAAGGTCTTCCGACAAAGACAGAGCTTCTCCATAAGAAAAACACACGAAGGACATGGTTCGGTGGTTGGATGACAAGCATGCTTGACAGCAGGATGGCCGCATGCTTTCTGCAACGTACACTGGTAATTACAAACAGGTGGTTTTGCTCCACACGGAATAGGTGGGTAGAGTTTTGTACGTCCACACGTACATGATAGTTCATCGAAAGAAGCTTGAAGACAACGAGGACAAGGACCTCGATGACACATATGCTCGCACTTGTGGAGGCCGCACGACAGAGTTTTGCCGCAAGTGTGAACACAAATATGTTCTTCTTCGAACTCTTCAGTCATTAAATAGCGTGTCAATCTCGGACCCTTGGGACGCTTGGCTAAACGTTTTTGGGCCTTCGGATAACCGGGACAACACTTTTTGTTACATTGGTGCCGGCCACAATTTCTTAGCACAGGGCAAAGTCGTTCACACGTAACCTCGTGGCCTTGTTGGATAGATTCACATGGAACCTCAAATTCATTGAAGCCACAACGACAGCTTGTTTTCACAACAGCGGTGCAACTGAGACACGGACCGAGATGACACTTTGACTGGCATTTGTGACCGCATTTCAGTGTCTTTTCACACTTTTCGTTACATGTAGGTATAGGATCGCTGCAACTTGTCCGAGGTTTCGTGATAATGTTCTTTAATTCATTTTTCCTGCATGGACAATGTGTGACATTCTCAGGCGACAAGGGACACGGACCCAAATCAGCCTTCTCAGGATGGCAGGGTTTTCCGCATTCGTGCACACCACAATTGTAACGGCGTTTGCATATAGCCCCGCAACTATACGATCCTTTCCAAGATTTCACGCTACCATCGTCGGTAATTGTTTCGCAGACGGCAGGTGATCTGGCGTTCTTGCAGGCAATCTTTTTCGATTCATTTCCACAAAAACAAGTGACAGTAACCATCTTATCACATTGTCCACAAGTTCCAGAATGACAAACGCGTTCACAGGTGTGTTTGCCGCATGGTAAGAGCTCACCGCACACATTCTCACAACGGAATTCTGAACTTAATCCGGATTTTGCTCCACATCGAGTCATTCTGCTTTCGCTTCCGCAGAGACAGAATTGCTCGATGACAGAAGAACATGGCGGGCAAGGACCAGGGTGACATAACAGTGGACATCTATGTTCGCATTGGGGACCACGCTTCTTACCACAGGGTTCGCTACAGGAGTGTGGCATAGACCCACGAACATATTCTGGTTTTTCATACTTACCGCACCAACAACGATATTTTAAGTCGGTTTCCTCTTGCTGTGTTTGGCAAGCTGGGCATCTCCAATTGCGTTCGTTCATATTTTGTAGTGAGTTTGTACACCACTTTGTAATGCATTTTAAATGAAACACATGGAAGCAGGTATTACAGTACCACACGGGATGGCGATGCTTAACCGAATCCGTACAAATAAGGCACTCATACTGGCCGGTCTTAATCTCGTATGTGATTTTCGAGCCAAGATCAAGCTTGGAGATGTTAATCTTCCTACGATTTCGCTGCTTCTTCTGTGTTTCCTTCTTAGAGGGATTGTGGGCTTCAGTTGAGCCATCGTTCTTCTCAGACGACAGCTTCTTTACTGCCTCATCCTTTCCTGATTTTGGTTTGCCTCTTCTTCTATCCGTTTTCTTATTTGCAAGTTTTTGGTCGGTGACTGGTTTCGCAGATGATTCACCATTGCCTTCAGATGCCTTGAATGGTTTTCCTGGCTCAAAAACAGGCGCAAGCAGAGACAATTTGGAAACTTTAGAAGATTTAGTTTCATTCTTTTCCTTCAGTTTAGTTGCTGAATTCGAGTTTGCCTCTTGACTGCTTGAATTATCTGCAACCTCGACATCATTCGCTTGTTTTGCAGATTTTCCGCGTCTTCTACCGCGTCTTCTCCTCTCAGAGTTTCTTTTCGGTACAGAAGTGCTCACATTTGACTCAATTTCAGTCATTCTCTTTAAGAGATCCTGTGCCCCGTGTATGCAAAAGGATGAACGCGTTCTATCCGGATAACTCAATTCCACGCCACTGAGATGAAACACAACTCATTAGACCAAATAACGTATTTTAACGATATATGTGTTGAGTAGATGTAGACAATATTAGCTTTGCTATTATCCGCTTTACAGCTTGAATTTGAGTTTTGTATTTTTTCCACCGATTAATTAATATGTCTTTTAAGTTATTTAGGTAATTGATATTAAATATCGTAATGCAATCACATAATAACTGCAAGGTTGTTGATTTCTTTTTATTGAAGTAATGAGATACTTTACGTTTACTATAATTAATACTGTGATAGTATATTTTGTGTGTTCTATTAGAAAAATACCATTAAGGAAGAGTGCAACCTTGACTCGGAGAATGCATTACCCATAGATTGCTCGACGTAATTGATTCAGGTAGTATCCATTTTAATCGATAAGACACATTACTCAAATCAGAAAATTGACGATATTACAAATTCATCGTAAAGGTAAAAAACTATTCTCATACAGCAATACTATAGTATAGTCTCGTTAATGTCACAGTTCGATGGCGGATGTCTTTGGTTCAAGAAATTAATTTCAATATGGCTTCAAACAGTAATGAAGCTTCTCGCTTAGTTCTGCTAACAAGGTTCGCCTAACTGAGCCTTAAATTGTAAAATGCGAAAAATAGAAAATATAATGAATTAACTGTAAAACAAGCTCGTAGTGTTCAGCAGCTTTTTGGTGATTGAACTTACTAATATTTGAATGAATTATTTAGAGACAAATAATGTAATCAATGTTTCTCTTCTGGTTGATTGGGCGAAAGCTAGCCATTTGACCGCTTGATTGCCAAGATTTCAAAATGGCATACAGTCCTTAGCTTAAGCACGCTGGCTTCATGACAGTGAATTACATCTAAAATTGAAATTATTCGGGTTTTCTATCAAAGTTCGTTGTCACAAAATAATTTGTAAAGCGACTTATTATAGCAATGTAGATTAATATACTGAAAACGCTCACTGTCGATACTTCTTACATACGTGATAGCGTGAAAATGAATCAATGCTACCCCGTATTATATTAAAGAATTAAAATCAAATTAAGGCTATATAAGTTATCTAGGAAATTAAATTTACTGTAGCTCTAAGCCAATGTTCAAAGTCACGGATTAGAAAACCATGAGCTTCTCCATTGTGTTATAATGTTCAAGCAAACTTTCAGTCGAGTTGGGGTAATACTCTTCTATTCGATTCAGATATGGGTTTCTGAAAATGATATGCAAACTTTACTCTTCTTCTTCTGAGTCATTATCGGTAAAACAGTAGTAAGAGACCAAACTAGCTGAGAGCATCATCAATGACAAGAATATGACAGTAGCAGGGAATCCAAAATGGATACGCAAATAACCCGCAATAATAGGACCCAGAATCATACCGAATGAATATACAACGTTCATAACGCTAAAGATTTGAGTGTAAGGACCACTTGGTCCAAAGAAAGTAGGATGCGTCTTCTCATACTCAGTCACATAAGCGGTCAATTGAACGAACCCCGGAGATGATGTAAAAGCCAATATGTATCCGTTTAAAGCCATAGCCGCGATAAATATCACAACATTAGCAGTGGTACGGGAAGAAGGTATTAAGAGTAGAAACAAAGTAAAACTAAGTGCGAGGTAGGCATAGAATCCAATTGTCTTCGAACCACGGCGATCAACCATTTTACCGGCTAATGGACCACAGAAGAAATAGGGAGCACTTAAGACACCGAACGTTAGGCCACATTGTGCCGAAGTAAAATTAAACAAACGCTTTAATTCCAAAGGAACAGTAGCATCAAAGGAAGCCAAAAGTACAGAATTTACAAACGATGTCCAATAGGGACCACACACTTTACGATGAAATGTCAAACGATAAATCGGCAGGAAAACGGAATTCCAGGCAGAGAGCTTTCCGGTCGTTTCCAGATCAAAATCATTTTGCCGCTGTAGAATGGGCACGTGTTCCTCTTCCTCCTGAGAGAGCTTTTTCTTTGCTTCCCTGGGCTCAAGTACAAGACAACGAAGGATTATATCAATAATGAGCAATACAAAACAAGTACTAAAAGCCCAATAGTATCCGAAAGAATCGTATATTAAACCACCTAGCACAGGAGAGATTACTTCACCGACTGAAGTAAATCCAAAAATTCCACCAACAGTGAAACCAACATTTCTAGGACCGACTGCATCAAGAACAAGAGCCAATCCAACGCACCAGACAATTGAAGCAGATATTCCCTGCATAATCCGAGCAAGTACAAGTATATGCATAGTATTGCTGAGTGTCAACAATAAAGTAGCGAAGGGTAAAAAACACTAGACCAAACAGCATAGGAACCTTCCTGGTTGAGAATTGGTCTGCCAAATAGCTCACAGGGGAACTGGAAACAATCAAAGCGACGGCATATACTGAAAGCAGCATAGAGATTGCCTTTTGAACATCTTCAGGAGGAATACCAACACGATTAACTAGGGAATACGGTAAAATAGGAGTAATAACACCATATAAAAAGAGATCTGTTCAATTCTGTTAGCTTCAACTTACTAACAAGGTGTCATGTTTAGCGAGTTTTGTTTCCGATAAGATATAACGTAAATTCAATTTTAAACTGCTAAACGCGACTTGCTGATGAGTTAAGACGAACCTGTAAACAGAGCAACTGCAACAGTTACGACAATGAACTCTGTACTGCTCCTTTTCGCCCAAAGTTCATTGAATTTTCGGCGAGCTTTTTTCGCTATTTGTACCATTGTAGTTTGTATTGGAGCTAATGCTCAGTAACTCTGGTGAAATTTAAATTCTCCACGAGCGTACTTGTCAACAGATATACACCGCCTCTTGCCAATAGTCGCAGAAAGCCAAGCTTAACTGCACTACAGGATCACCACTTACTTGCTAGTAGTGGGTGAGGATTTTACTGCTCCCTAATTCCAGTCGACTTGGCGTCCACCATACCACAGTTCTGCTACAGAAAGAGCAATTGCTCCTGTTTCTGTTCTCAAAATCAACTGAAGGCTTGTAGTTTTGAATTAAAAAATGCAAATACCAAAACCGAAAGTTCAATGTAAACGAAATCCTATTGTTTTCACTATCTAATGTATGTGTGTCCAGATTATGACCCGAACAATCTATGGAACGCCATGTCTTCGGACATACAGCACAAACTTCCCTTACGAAACGTGCAATGGGTTGATTCTTTTCAGAAACAGCGACACTTTGTTACAAGTATAGACATTGAGTTCATTCCTTGGTATGAGAGTTACAATACCAATCCAGCTACAAGAACCTCGTCTATTATTAACACGCCGTTGGTTAACATGATGTTCGTTCCTCATGAGGTCTGTACACAAACATTACGGGAATCACTCTAAAGTGTATTCATAGTCTTTCTCGCTCACGATACTAACCCTAGAAGGATATAGAGACATTCAAGAACCAACAGCTGAAACTAATCCAGGAGTGGGTTGATAAAGTCTCACAACGCGAATCTCAACAGTGGATGATTGTACTTGTGTCAACTTCCAAACCTGTAGCTAAACCATCAACATCAATGCGCCGAACTCATACTCGTTCCAGCTCATACTTCTCATCACGCGTGTCTGTGTTAGATAGACTACGCGCTGCTTACAGCACGGAAGGTTTTGACCGTTGCGTCCATTTGGATTATCTACGATTTGGTACGCCCGATGCCGAGTGTTGGAACGCTTTCATAACATGCCTAAAAAACTGTGTTGTTTGTGCGTTAGACTTTCGATTCACGCAATTGGATGAGCAAATTAAGTCTATGCCCGTTGCACCATCTTCCGATCCTTCCATGTATATACTTTACTTCACCCAGCTCATACGCCAAGCGTGCAGTTACTATGATGTTTCTTTATATAATGAGGCCCTAGAACATTTCGAGGGCATCTTGGCATTCTTGATGGATAACGTACATGAGCTTCTTAATACCAATCAACCATTTTCAAAGCTCTTTGGAGAAGGTACGGACGCAATTCAAATGGACAAATTACTGGACTACCTTCCATCTAAGCATCCTTTATTCGACAACTTTCACGAGTTATTGGCGTCCGACAACTTGACGCTTTTCAACTTCATACTTTACCTATATACCCAGATTATAAAGTTGCAAATTCAGCTGAATGCTCTGCAAACAGTACATCTGTCTCTAAAAAATCTCTTTCGTGTATTAGAACAGTGCTTTAAGGATGTTGAAAAAGCACCTCTATACTATCGCTGTTGGAAGTTTCGGATAATCCAAGAGTTTCTGCAACTTATGCAACCCAAAGTTGATGCCGACAAAGAAAATAGCTTGCAGCTTTCTTCGTATGCTTACATGTGTATTATGCTCAGAGAAGAACTACTTTTCTTAGCTGTTGGAGTCGGTGCTATACCATCTGAGTCCTTATTAGCTGAACTCTATATTACACCGTCGACAGATGTCACGGCAAATGGAACTGAAAAAGATTACCTACTCTCAGTGCTTCCGACTCTCGAAACCGATAAATCTTCCCTGGGTTACTTTGCCGATCTTACCAAAAATGCTTTGAATGTTTTAGAGCGTAAACAACATTCACATCTATCGCAAAGAATGATGAGTGACCTAGCGATCTGTTTGTTTGAATTGAAAAATTACGATTCAGTTATTCCCTTGTTACCTTTTTTGCTTCGTGCTTCTGCTTTCTCAAACCCAGACGTGGATTTCAAAAAAATCAACCTGTGTTTGGATGTTTTTGAGCAAACTGAACGCTATGATGATGCCATTGATTTGCTTTTAGATATCCTTTGCAGCGAAGGATACAACGAACGATCAGAGCTTTCATCTAAATATATCGCTGCTCTTCATCAATTCGTGACATTAGACATTGATAAAACTATTTCGGCCGATAAGTTTTTTACCATTGAATATTCAAATCGAGTTGAACTGACAAATAGCGGTCATCTTTTGGAGGTTAAGCTTAAACGCTTGACAGATATCTTCCAGACTTCAATTGAATCGGCTTCTTGTGATTTTGTTTCTACTGACCAAGACTCAAAGCGTTTGAATTTACAGTATTTAAGCACCAATAGTGAGTTACCAAGTACGGGCATTTCTTCCTTAACATTCGGGACAAAGGTAAGCTAAGCGTTATGTCTGTGCTATGAATTTTAACTTTAAAGAACATCATTCCCGGAACATATTCTATTGAGAAAATCGAATTCAAACTCAAAGATAATAATCTGAGATTTGTACAAAGTTTTACTTCATCCGAACAAAACATATACGTTCCCAAACCATCTCGATTTTCGGAGCATCCGTACATCCTTAATGATCGATTATACACATGTTTTGTTAACAGAAAACTTTGCTTTCCTGTGGCATTGGAGCTTCCCGATTCACTTTGTGACGTTTCTCTTTCGTTTCCTGATTTTTCCAAGTTTAAAGACTGGTCATTACAGGATATATTTCTTTACACTGTCGAAGAAGGTACAGCTTCTATTGAAGTACAAGAAGATAAAATCCTTATTACGAAGAAGGCTGAGAGTCGTCAAAAAATACAGATATGTATTCCACATACTGATGAAATATCAAAACTTCAAGAGGTAATTCATACTACATTTTGTTCCATTACATTCACTCACAATCTAGCTGGAATTGCGTATTGCGTACTCCATTGAAAAAGAATCAACACTTGTCATGATTGCAAATTACCACATATCTGAAGACGACATCTTCAAAGTTGATGTTGGTACATTACCCACAGGCGGGGCGGGTGAATGTGCTATCATGATGAAATTAGAACCTAAACTTCCTGTCTATCTTCATTCGTGGACGGTTTGTGAGAATGGGGAAGAAAAAGAACCAAATGTTGTCAACTCAGCCGTTCTTAATAGCTTCAATCTGGCAACTGCTATTGATGTATCTTCCCTTGCATCTTTTGACACATTGTTTTTGCATTTTGATTATACATTTTTGGAGGATTATATACTTGCATATTTATGCGAAAGCCTGCGTTCTTTTCTTCCCAATTCTGACAGCGAGTTTTACTTGCCGTTGTTGAAAGAACTAACTTCCGAAAACTTAAAGCATCCTAACTCTGCGTGGAAAAAGTCATTCTTTGAGTTACAGAAAACCAAACCGAGTGGACGGATGATTTCAATTTTTTCTAAGGAAGAACTCTCAATTTTTGATGAAAAGCTGAAGGAAATACCCCAACTTATCTCATTCCAAGATATTCATTTGCGACTACTTGGATCCCAACACAAAGGTACTGTTGACGATTCAAGCTCTCCCATTTGCCTAAGCCGGACGGCGCCCCTTCGACCTTTTACACGCTTACCGGGAGATGTGATTGACTGCCATTGGCAATCGATTACGTCGGACAATCACGTTGGAGCCCGTCCGTTCAAGACCACTGTTGGACAGCCCACTGACATTGAGCTGGTCATTCAAAGGACTACACACAAGGAATCCGCTTCTTCTACCGAACAACTGCAACTGCAGTACAAGTGCACTGCCGACTCGAGCACCTTGGCCATTGGAGGACCCATCATCGGAACTGTCATCTTTCATCCAGGACAAAACGCTACTCGCATTCGTTTCACACTTACTCCTACCGCTACAGGGATATTTACACTTCCCACCATACACATGGCAAACGCAAACGACGATGATATTTTAGCCATAAGCAACCCGGACTACCTCATAGTAGAGGGTCTGTTAAATAGTGCAGAGTTACTTTAGGAAATTATCTTGAGCAGAAAGCTTATTAAGAACTCTCTAACGCAAACGTCTGGCTTCACGCTCGGATTCAAGAAGGACGAGAATGTCATCCTCGCGAACAGGACCCTTAACGTTACGAATGATGGAACGGGAAGTATCATCCATGAACTCAACACGGACTTGGGTGACACCACCACTAAAAGAGTTAGATTTTGTAAATCAACATGGCTCTAAGAATACTACTTACCGGGATCCAGTGCGTCCGAGAACTTTGATGACTTTAGCCAACTTGACGGGGACCTTCGAGGAATCCATTTTGGTGCGATAAGTTTGCAAGTGGACACAGTTTTGGTATACACACTTAAAAAACAGTCACTTGTTATCACGCTATTCCTCACTATTCGATTTAAGTGTAAGATGAGAAAGTATTTTCGGCTACGCTATGGGATCGGTATTCTATTTAAAGTATTCTAGCACAAACACGGTAGTTGCTCAGCAAACACAGGACACTACCATTTAAAAGACTGGATGGTAAAATACGACTGATTATACGAACATAATATACAATCAAGGAAAAAGTAAAAATAAAGATTGTGTTTAATTAATATATAACCGAGACATTATATTCATAAAGAATTCATAAAGTTGACTGCGCCAGCGCAGCCTATAAAAATGAGTCCAAAATAAGAGGTAGACGTAAAGTTTGAAGTGGTTTTTTGTTCGCAGAGACAGAACATAAATGGAAAAAATCACTGGCAAGGGTGATGGCATCACTCTCAGTTTGTTTCGTTTGGGTAAATTCCTCCAGCTCGAGGGACTTTGTTTCGGCAACTTGAACAACCTCCTCAGGCACACTCGCCATACTTGCAACGTTCATACCATATGACTTGGAACAAACACCGTCAACGAGTTTATAAAGGAAGGTGACACGACGACCTGCCTCATCGACTAAAGCCGACATCTGCATCATACGCAACTGCTTGTGGTGCACAAAATCGGTGCAGAGGGACTGATAGTGAGTAGAGAAGAAACCCAAGCAACCAATGTTTGATACTAAATGATGAAGAACAGCGTACGCTATGGCTTGACCATCATAAGTACTGGTACCCCGACCGAGTTCATCAAGGATGACCAAGGTTCGCGGTGTGCTTTCATCCAGAATTTTTTTCGTTTCGCTCAGTTCAACCATAAAAGTGCTTCGAGAAGACATAATGTCATCATTCGCACCTAATCGGGTATGGATACTGTCCATTGGTGTTAATCTAGCATGTTTTGCAGGGACATAACATCCAAGTTGTGCCATTATCACTGCCAAGCATGTTTGCCGTAACAGCGTTGATTTGCCTGCCATATTGGGTCCAGTCAAAACAATCATGTTAGCGGACATACCGCCAAGCTGAACATCATTTGGTACGAAAGTGCCCGCTGTTAATGTACTAACGCAAGGATGCCGAAGCTCTTCAAATGTCACTTCGCTTTGCTCTTGATCCAATATTTCTGGGCGGCAACATGGTTCACCCAAGGCAGCAGAGGCTAATGCAAGACTGTACAAACAATCCATACTGGCAACGGCTTTTATCATTCTCACCCAATCAGAGTATTTCTCGTCAAATCGGGCGTAGAATTTATCCTGCATTCGAGCTTCGATAGCAAAATGTGTTTCCTGCGACTCTAACAGTTTTTTTATCTTCTTCCGAAGCTCATCTGTGTAATAGCGATTGAATTTTTTAGTTCCCGACATTTTACACCAGCTCACAGGCACCTTAACATCGACAGGGACTTCAACCTGGTACACCTCCTTGCCGATATCTTTGAAGGTGAGTGAAGAGCACTTCAGTTCCTTTTTATACCGATTTAACAGTTCATGCAAGTCATCGATGAGCGCATTTTGATGAGTTTTTGATTCATCATACTCAGGCTCAAATCCGGGTTCAGGGACGAAGACACCCTCATCACGCGCCCGAGACCAGCTGAAAGCGCGCGACCAAGAGTCCAACTCTGAAGCCATGTCTGGCATTCTTTCGACAATTCGTTCCAGGGCAGTGCCCTTCATTAAAGTGCCAAAATCCTCTTTCAGTTCGTGAATACCTGTATCAATTCGTTTAAAGCCTTCTAATATCCTGAGAAAATCGATTGGTTTGCAGCGACTTGCATGGACACGGGAAATCATACGTTCTAAGTCAGGAAGTTTATGAAGAATACCAAGAATGGCATCCCGAAGATTTGGGTTATCCAAAAGCAGCTCAACAACGTCAAGCCGTCCATTAATTTGCTCTGGTGAGCGAAGCGGATGATTCATCCATGAATGGAACAAACGCTTACCAAATGGTGTAACACAACGGCACATCAAACGGAAAAGGGTTCCTTCTTCACCACCGTCAAATGAGTTGTTGAAGATTTCCAAATTTTTCAAAGTTTGTCCATTTAGGAGAAGGGACGTAGATTGTTGCGAGGCATCGTAGATATGGAAGTTACCCATGGAGAAGATATCCTTATCCAACTTTAACTGTCGCAAATACCACACGAGTGCACCAACGGCAGACGCAGCCAAAGGATTCTTGTCAAGCACATTTCGTAACGCATCAGGCATTTCCTTGTGCTCATCAAAAAAGTCACAAGAGTCAAACTCACGAACAGTCCGTTCTTGATCCCAAAACTCATTGTAGGGCTTTATGTTGTGAATAGTACTTGAAGCACTTAAACCATTTTTTATGGTACGCATTGTCTTTTGTGAAATTCCCGACTTTTCGAGAAGCAATTCCCGAGGACGAATTTGAGTAAGAAGTGTGTCCAATTTAGTCCGCGAAATATCATCCTGGAATTCACAAGCACGAACAATTCCAGTAGCAGTGTCTACAAAACAAACACCAAGTAAAGGACCATCGGCTCGCGATTGAGGATTAGGTGCCTCTTTTAATGCCATACAGTAAGTAGACATGTCAGAAGTAAGCATGGATTCATCAACAAGTGTACCACTCGTCAACACTTGAGTCAGTCCACGCTGAACCACCTTCTCTTCTCTTTTGCTGTTCTTCCGATCCTTCATTTCCTTGCCCAATGCTGTTTCCAATTGGTCAACTCGGGCAATGCGGTAGCCCTTGGCGATGAACTGTGCTGCCCAATATTCAAAAGTAGCTTCGGGAATACCGACCATCTTCATATTTACACGGTCGGTCAATTTAAGAGCAAACACTTGATGACCGATGGCGGCATCGTTTTCATAAAGTTCGTAGAACTTTCCTTTTTGAAAAAACACAACAGTGTCCATCAGATTTTTCTTAATCTCCCAGTACTGTTTCTCAAACGGTTTAAAGGATGCCCAAGCCGAAGGTGGGATATACAACGTCCGAGGATCATAATCCTCATCCGTAGGCCGATTGCCATCAGCATCGCGTATATCAAGCAACCATTCATAACGACCAGCGTTTGTCTTTTCAAAGGCAGCCATCCGGACCTTGCGCTTTTCATCACGGCTCAGTACGTTATTGCGACCACTGCTCATACTAGGAGTACTCATTCGAGACGTGCTCTCACTCGCACTGGGTGTATCACTAGTGGAACCCATGCGAAATGCATCAAGAGCGCCTGAGCTCCGAGGCTTGCGTGGCTGACGAGAAACTGCTGGTTTTGGCTTTTCATCATCGCTTACAATAAGATCTTCATCCTCGTCAACAGCATCCAGCATTTCCTCATCTTCATTTGCGGCTGGAGATGATGCAGGTGGAACATACTCATCAGCTTCATCGTCATCGTCTGCGACAATCCTCCGTCTACGGGTCGGGCGACGAGATTTTTCGGCGTTTTTTAAGTTACTGTCTTCGTCATCACTTTCAGCATAAGATATAGCCTGCAAGAAAAACTGTTAGTAACCTTCTCAATTCACAAACCACAGAATTACATACAGAACGAGCACGCTTGGGAGTGGAAAACGAATCTGAAGTGGGCGGGACAATTTCGGAGGTTAAAGAAGGAGTAGGAGGGAAGTGAGGAGGTTCAGCGGCCAATTCCGGCTCCGCCTCTACCGCTTTTGTGTCATCCTTTTGTGAAGTTGAAATGGACGAAGGACTTGTGGGCACTATCGGCTCTGTCGCTTTCGGAGTCGAAGAAGAAGCAGCAGAGCCTGCTGCCGCTGCAGTCTTCTTTCCGAAGAAGCTAAACAGAGTTCTTTGTTTTAACTTCGCAGAAGGCGCTGACGTCTGCTCCTGCTTGTCATTCATGGGCAAAGGTGTTTGGAAGTGGTCAAGTGGTGGACGCATCTCGCGCAGCTATATACTTCAACGCGTCCTCATCAACGTGTTCGCATATACTCCAACAGTAAACATGAAAAACAGCACAAAGTTCAAGTTCTCATTCAAAGACGCGTAAAGAAACGCGTCAAACACGAAGATTATGTATGCTAAAATTCTGTTCGTGTTGGTGAAAATCGAACTCGGCGCGACATGCAATAGTGAAGAAAACCCCAAAATCCGCTCGGCCATGCACGTCATTCATTCGCCAAGTGATTCGCGAAAATCGACCCAGCATGCGAGCGAATTCGCTAAATCCTCGGTTACTAGCCGTTGCTGATAAGAGCGACATAGGACTGTTGTTACCATCCCCTCTCGGTGACTCTTAGTGGTGGTGGTAGTCCCAGTAGCGATGACAGCGGTAACATGGATGATGGCGGTGGTGGAATCTAGCGTCGTCACTAAGGGCATCAGCTAAGATACCAGCCCTATAACTACAACACCACCCACCTGTGACCAAGTCTTACTTAGTCTTACTACCAGCACCTCTACACCATACCGCTACCAAGCACTACTTGCTGCTACTGCTACTACTACCACTACCATACCTACTACAGCCTTAGCACACACATCTCCACCACCGAGTAACTAAGGCCTTATGGAGCAGTTCGCTGACGATATCAAAGAAATTCTCTCGACCGTAAACCGCGAGACGGTTTCGGCGAAACAGGTGCGCCAACTGTTAGAGCAAAAACGTAATGTCAATCTTCATGACGTGAAAAAGGAGTTGAATGCTGTTATTTTGAAGTGTTACGAGGACACAACTAAATTACCGATTCCACCTTTCGTGGACAGGGATGCTGTAGAGGAGAAGAAGCCCGAACCAGCTTCTCCTGTTGCAGAGCCCAAGAAACAAAGAAGAAAAAGAGCCACGAAGGCTGACTCTGAAGCTGAAAACGCCGAAGCCGGTAGTGCCGCTCCTGGCGAGGATGCCGACGGCACCCCTGTGAAGAAAACTCGCACCCGCAGAAAGAAGGGCGACGATGGCGAAAAGGTTGACAAAAGACGTAAACGCAACCAGGACCCTGCCAACAATCCTCTTAACAAGCCTATGAAGTTGAAGGAGCCCCTTGCAGAGTTCTTGGGTGTGCAGGAGGTATGTACAGCAAATAGGAGGGATGGAATTGCGACTGTAGAGTGCGTATTATCGGGGTTGTCTGCTGCTGTACATCAATTATGTGCAATGACAAACTCGAGAATAGCCTCTTTCATTTTGCCCAAATGCCGACTTTTACAGCTTCCCTTTCATTTGATACTGACCATTGTTCTAGCTTTCTCGTCCCCAAACCGTGAAAAAGATCTGGGAATATATCAAGGCTCACGACTTGCAAGACCCAGCCGATAAGCGTACCATTATTTGTGATGAAAAGATGAAGAAGGTGTTTGATGTGGATAGACTCCACATGTTTGCTATGAACAAGGTATGTGATACGATTTGGATGTGATTGATTTTCACGTCTTTGTGAAATGTATTTTTTGCTAACATTGGTTTTAGCATCTCACTAGTCTATTCGAGAAGGCGGATCCCGCAGCAGCTGCTGCTGCCGCTGCGGAAACAGCTCCTGCTGCTGATGCCGAATCTGACAAGTCTCCTGCTGAGCCGGCTGCTGCCGCTGTTAAGGAGACCTCGGTTTCTGCTGAATAGAAAACTTGCGCACAAAATTGTACTTTCTCCTAGAAAGGACTACGTACTTAGTTTTACTGTGAAATGCTACTACGGATGCATGACCCACCATGAGATTCCATTACTGGTCCATCCTTATCCGTGGATCAAATTTACTGTAAAGTTTTTCTTTTCGCGACCGCGTACTCCAGAAGCATAAGGTACTTGGTACAAACTGGAACCTGTGTCGTTTGTTTCTTTTTTTTTGTTTGTTTGTTTTTCCCGGCCGTGTTTTCTACGTACTACTCACTGGCACACACTCCCCCACCTGTGTTCCTGTTCCAGCTTGTTCTATATAGTGTTTCGTCTTCTAGTATTGTTTGATGGGTTGGATGGATAGTGATTCTTTTGCTTCAATGGATTGTTTGGATGAATGTTTTTGCGACTAACTTCACTAAGTTGTCGTCTAGCGCATAGCGTGTTGCAGAGCACTTTTGCGATGTTCATAAAAAAAGAAAGCAAAAAAAATCCCGTCTGGGATGCTCTAGACAATTGTCCGACCCATACTTTTCACAGACCCGAAGCTGATTATCTTAGATAAGATGACGGATGTTCTGTTGGATGGATTTCAAATGACAAACAACCGAGCGCAATTCGAGGGGTAGAGTGGTCTGTTTGTAGTTACAGCATAAAATGCCGTGGGCTGCATATAACGGGTGTAGTGACTGGCTACTCACACAATTCACGAACCGAAAAGTGTCAGTCTCACAAAGAAAAGTGCAAACAATTGTAAGAACGAATAGATCATATATATTGAGTAATCAAACCGCTGGAAATATGTATTAATATAAGAGGCTTAAAAAATGTGTTATTGAACACATTGACTGCATTAACCTAGGGAAACATCACTTTCAGCGCACGCTCATTTGTTACCCTGTGACTTCTTGTTACTTTGCAAATATCTTATCTTCACGAATGTAAACTTAAAATCTTATCAGATAATAGCACCGTTGAAGGCATTTCTTTATTATTCGTTAACATGCGTTAAACGGTGAAGTGAGGAGCAGCACAGAGCTTGCTTACGCTGCTAGTCGAGTAGAGTTCGCTCCTTAGAATAGCAAACGAGAAAAATGGCGAACTCGACCGCCAACAAAACGAAAGCTTCATCGGGAACTGAGCGGAATAATACTCGTTCCTCGCATCGGAGACCTAGAAATAGTAGGCATTCTTTCAGTCTCTGGGTTTATTGCTAATAAGTTTCGTGTGTAGGAACGAACCCCAAAAAAGGTGCGAAAAATGATGAAAAGAGCGTCAAGTTGAAGCCAGAAGGCGAGTCTGACGACACGGATGCTGAAGATTCCTCTGAAAAGAAGGTTTCAAAAGTTACTCCGGTGGAAGAGGAAGATGATGAAGACGGAGAGTTTTGTTTCATTTGTGCACAAAATGTCACTTACATGTGCATTATGCCATGCAATCATCGTACGTGTTGCTCAAAATTACTTTTATTTTTTTGATATCTAACTCTGTAGAACTGTGTCATGTTTGTGCTCTTCGGTTGCGTGCGTTGTACAAAACGAATAACTGTACCTTCTGTAAGACAGCATGGGACCAAGTACTTTTTGTCAACCTCCCTGTAAAGGAGACGTACAATGAGTACGATCTTAAGTCTATGCCGTCTGTGAACAAAAAGTACGGTATCGTTTACGAGACGGAGCAGATTAAGGCCGACTCGGAAATGCTTCTCCAATACAACTGTCCAGACCCAGACTGTGATACTGTGTGCACGGGTTGGTTTGATCTCAAATTGCATTGTAAAACTCAACATCACAAATTGCTGTGTGACCTTTGCACTCGTAACAAAAAGGTCTTTACACACGAACATACATTATTCTCGAAGAACGCCCTTACGAAACACCATGAAGTTGGTGATAAGGGAAAGGAGCTTGAGGTCACGGGTTTCAAGGGACATCCGAAGTGTGAGTTTTGTAAGGCCTTCTTTTATGACGAAGACGAACTTTTCAAACATTGTCGTGAGAAGCATGAAAAGTGTCATGTATGTGACCAGTTAGCCGGTCGTCCTGTGCACCAGTATTTCCGCAACTACGAGTCATTGGAAAAACATTTTGAAAAGGACCATTTTGTTTGTCGTGAAAAGGTCTGTTTGGAGAGAAAGTTTGTTGTTTTTGGTACGGATATTGATTTGAAGGCGCATCAGTTGGAAGAACATCCACAATCACTTACGTCCCGTGAAATGCGAGAGGTTCGTCGTATTGTTCCCGAGTTCTCTTACGATGTTCCCGGTTCTACAAATCGCCGTTCGCGAAACCAGAATCAATCTTCTTCCACGCAACCGATTTCGAGTACGGAGGCAATCGCTGAATCACTTTCAAATGTGCACCTTAGTCGTGAAGAGATGGCTCGTCTTCGTCAAGAAGAGTACATGCGCGAACAACAAGCTCGTAATCAAAGCTTTGGCTTTGGTTTAACAAGTGCTCCAACTCCACGCTCAACTGCCAGGGTTGTTGCATCCTCGGGAAACCGTAGAAACAACGCTCTTCGTTCTGAAGATTTCCCTTCTCTCGATAGTCTGAATCAACGGAATCAGCGTTCTGGAGCGTCAACGCCTTCGGCAACCGCCTCTCATGCACATTCGCCGGTTTTGTCTCGCATGGCGAGTCCTTCGCCTATGGCAATGGATGTAAAGGCCCAACACCAGCAAATCATTGATCGTATTCTTCGTCTGACAAACAACAACGAGAACGCTTTGAGCGAGTTTAAATTTGCCGTCTCCTCTTACCGCGGAGATGTAATGAGTGCGGAAGAAATGCTCAACCGTATTGGAAAACTCGTTCCTCAAGCAGCGGAGCACCTGTCACCCGTCATTAATCAGCTTTCTTCACTTTTTGAGAACGAAGAGAAAGGTTCCGAACTTATTCGCGCTTGGAACAATTGGCGCGCTAAACACGGTATAAAAGCGACAAATCAGTTGACAAATACTACCATTTTGCGCATGAAACAAGGTGGGCGTAACACGCTGCGCACTGCTAGTGTTTGGAACCGCATTGAAAAAGCTGCTAGCAAATCGCCCGTAGCCTTATCGCGACCCAGTTCCAGCGCGACGTTGGCCAAAATTATTCCTTCGGCGAGCGCGGGCAGCAATAGGCGCCCAGTCGCTGCACCTCGTACTTCTTGGGGAGTTCGTGCAGCGAATCCCTCAACGCTGAGATCCACTTCAGAGGCAGACTTTCCATCACTGCCACCTGCGACACAAAAGCGTATACCAATTGCACTCGGCAAAAAGGCACCTCGCTCAGAAACATTTAATTCGTGGAGTCCAGGAGGAAAGAAGCCCGCAGCTTCATCATCGTCTTCAGCCAAAGTCGTGAAAAAAAATAAGAAAAAGCAGACTGTGCTCTTCCACTTAGGATAAGCCGATCCGCTCACTTATGAACCCTTTTGCCATATCTTGTCCCCCAATCTGCCATAAGCCCTCGTTAACCAGTACTCCATTGAAACAAAAAGGATAATTAGAGGATTAGTAATCCAAACATGCGTTTCGCAATAACCGCATTCAACAAATAAATAAAAACCATTGAACTCACAATTTGCCTTGACCCTCGTGCGCACATACTTTTTAGCCTGTAGACCCCGTTGTTTGATCGACGGTCATGTAGATCATTTTCTGTGTGTAGATCAAATGATCGACAAGACTCTAGGTGTCTCCCACCATGGACCTATGTGTTTCGAACGATGTTTAAGAACGCAGTCACAGGATAGCATATAAAAACATGGTCTGTCCGCACAGAGACAGCACACGTCAGTGAGGCGCGATAGCTTGAATGAACGCTGTTGAGCATTAGCGGAGGAGGGAGGTCGAGGTTTTTCTGGTTGAGTGCGTGAGGTGTTTTTTGAAGGCCTTATCGAAGCTTCGTAACTTGCAAACCCACGAGTTAGGAAGTCAATAGTAGGCCGACATTGAGTCTTGAGAGCTGCAATTCTGACACCAACCTGACGCAAGGACGAGGGCTTGGCTTTGATACAATAATTTGCAGTACATCCTAGGCATATAGCAAATGTTAGTGAATCAAAAGGTTTTATATCTTGGAACGTTTTTTGTTTTGATTTTTGGCAATCGTCGTGTTTCTGTTGTTCGTCGCGGGGTGGTGCATGTGAATTGGTGAATCTTTTTTATTCAAAACCGTCTAACTTGTCAACGGGTTTTGTTGGAAGGATTTTGGTGCCAAGGACGCTAGACAGGAGCCGGCATTTTGCTTCAATTTTGTTCCAAAACGTGTCAAACGAGTGTTCGACATCCTTTGTCTCGTTGTGAAAAGGCACCTTTTGGAGTAGTTGATCTAACTGCTCCAAATGACGTTTTGCCTTCCTCAACTTTGGGTGCTCGTCCGCATGCGCCAACCAGACCGTACAGCGGCCCTGTATTTCTCCGAGCAGGAGAAATCGGTTGTACGCATGTTCTAGTCCAAAAAGGAGTGCCTCCTGACGTCCTTCCTTTTCACCGTTTTTCAGACCCTCCTCATAGCCTTCGCGGTAGATGGATTCCTCCATCTCTAGCACTTCGTCAAACACCATGGCTGCCGCGTGTGTAGGTTTCGCTCGACTGCGTTCACCCAAGGTCCCAAGTCTAGGGTTCGTGGTAGTGGTGGCGGACGTGAAATAGGTGTATGCAGACGAGCAACAAAATCGAAGAAGCGTAAAAATAGCGAAGAGCGCAGAAATAGCTTCATAGTCTTCACGACACGCATCTTTTAATTTCACCGATTGAAAGAGAATATAGAGGGCAGTCTACGCAACGAGACAAGTGATTCATAGCAACTTTCAGGACTGAATACGACGGCATCACCCTTATAATTTAACAGACCTCTTTTAAAACGTTTGTGTTTCTGGTTTAAGAGTTGACGAGTACCGAGCTGCTTGAGTGTTCCTGTTAAAAAAAAAAAAAAAATACATCAAAATTTCATAAGACATCATATCAAGTCATAATCGTTATGCAAAAGCGGTGAGGAAATACTAGATACATGTGGTCAGGACTGGGGAGAAGAACAGAGACCAAGAAAACTAGAGAACGGGGAAAAAATTTGTTCACGCAAAAGTAGGAACATTTGGTCGAGTCTGTGAGACGCGCAAACGAACAAGTGAACGTAGATATGCGCGACGTGCGTGAACTAAGTGTGTAAATAGTACAATGAGTCAGAAATGACTCGTTTTCGACTGCGTCGACTTAACAACCTCACGTCGTTAACTCGTGCTGGCCTACTTGGTAGCCTTCTTCAGATAGGTGATGACATCGTTACGGTCCTTGTCCTTCTTGAAACCGGCAAACGCCATCTTGGTGCCGGGAATGTACTTCTTAGGATTGGCCAAGTACGTGAACAGTGTGTCGTCGTTCCATGTTATTCCCTTGTCGCGATTGGCCTCGGTATACGCAAACCCCGGTGCCTGGCCAGTTTTGCGACCAAACAGGCCGTGTAAATTCGGTCCGACCTTGTTAGCCCCACCGGCTTCAACGGTGTGGCATTGGGCGCAACGAGTCTTGAACAAGGAAGCACCCTTCTTCTCATCTCCCGGTTGCGGGCCTGTCTTCTTCTTGGGAGGCATGAGAACTTACTGCTGTGTCGCTATGTGTGTGTAGACGCGAATAAGGCGCGAAGTCAAGTGATTCCCCAAAATACAACAAACGAGGAACCAGTTATCGTGGAAGAAAAACAAAACAGAAAAACCGTCAAGAGTGCCTACGGTTGTGCTCTTTTTATGAAGCAAAATTCTTCAATGGACAGCTGACAATGGCTAAAGGGATCGTGCTTGCCAGGGACGGCCGCCTTTTATAGTTCCCCTCAGCGACTCGCGTCATTGCTCAAACCACGTGTCTTCTCGAAAGGCGACCAATGACGTAAGGGCTAATGGCTCGTAATAGACAATGACAGCAATGCAGGGCGAGCTCCAGGAAGCCCAGGTGGGGAAGGTGGTGTGGGGGCGTCGGTTCCCACCCACTTCATCCCCTTTTAGCTTCCGCACCCACTCTGCAAACAAGTGCAAACGTGGTGGGGGGCTCAAGGCAATTGCCAAACGGATATGCCGTTATCGAGCAAGTGATGCATAAGGGGTACCAATGTGTTTGCCGAGCCGTTTTGCAAGAACCGTTCCGCTCAGATTACCGGCAATTCTGCACTAATGACGGTGTTTCGGAGTGCAGTTTTCGTCCCAGTTTCATTGGCACACGCATCTCTGTCGCTGCGTTCGACTTGCATGCCCCCACAAGCCGAACCCCCACCCGCAACCACCGTAGCCAGTCGGTGGATGTGCGACAGAGCAATGGGAAAGAGCGCGATTTCGAGCGCACCCACAACCAAACCATTCGTCATCATGACGCCTTGATGCAATATGCGACAAAAGAAAATGCGCAAGCGAGCTGTTTGGAGTTGTGTGGGGAAAACTGTATTGGCGGAGAGAGACCACGCGATGCACTGCGATCGAATCCTAGAGAAAATCAACACCGCGTCACTCTTCGTTAGTTGTCGCACCACGTGTTTTTTGAAAAGTCACGGGACATTGAGAGGGTGTAGCGAGGAATTCGATGGCTGCGAAGGCACCTGGGACGCAGAATGCCAGCAGACAACAGCTGAACTGCGGCAGACGCGTCTGCACCCCCTATTCCCGCGTTTGGCACCCGTCCCGTTTACAGGGGACCCTTTCGACTTACTGCTCCACACGTAAAAGCCCACACGTCATGTGTTTACGCACTCGTCCGTTCCCTTCCGAAACGCGTTTACCGGCTTACAAACCTCCTTGTTCCAGTTAAAGTTGTCGGCAATGACGTAAATTGCGTATCGTGACTCAAGCGCGATAACATTGCAAAGGAATTGCCCTCGGCGATTGGTCTTCTATAACCACAATTGCTCTTATTCGTCCGCGCCTCAGGAGTAGTGCCTCCAAATCCACTACAGCACCGCCTCGCTTAGACAACCGAGCGTTGTTCGCTCATAGCTGCGCTCTTGCTGCTGCGAAGGAGCGATCACTTACTGAGGCATTGAAGGTTAAATTGCAGGGTTTGCTCCTTGTTCAACCCCTGCACCATCCTGCACATGTCTAATATCCGTTGTTTTCGGAATCACCTTTTACACGCCTCTCTTTTTACCACCCCCTTTGCAATTATTGGGCGCGTGCTTTCCTTTGCAAGAAGGGTGCGCGGTTGTTCAGCAGTTGCCTAGAAGCTTAGCGACCAATCAGCGCGTGAGACCGTACGACTTAGTTGCCGATTCTTCCGCACGCGTTTTGCATAACATAGCTGCCTGCGTCACCTCTTCCCCAATTCAAACGCGTTTTCCAACGTTCCAACTGCCAAATACACTTCACTTCCACAGCGTCGCCCATTGAAACCTCCTGTCAAAAGCACTTGGCTTTGTCTGTAGGTTGCTACCAATTCTTGAATAGACGTTATTTTTGGTAAGTCTCGGTGTCGTCTACGGCTGCTGCGAGGTGCGTCGTCTCTCAGTCTTGCTGCTGGGATCGACGTGCAGCATTAATGTGTGGTGTGTGCACATATTCCCTGGGATGTCGCGAAGGCCCCGTTCGCCCCACTCCAGAGATTATCCCACATCCATCCCACCAAATCCCACACGCTGTGGCCTCTCAGCGGGCCCTCAGCCGCCCACTCGACATCCCATGTCCCACCCCCACTCGCCCCGTCGCTAACACGCCTTACAGTCTCACGGTCCATTGTTCGAGTCCTGACTCGTCCATAGCCCGCTTACCAGTGTAGTTGTTAAACGAGCGTTCGCTTGACGCACTGTCCTTTTTGCTACCACCACCTGCTGCGTGCTTGCTTTTTTTGAACAAGTAAACCACACGCACTTGCTTCTCTCCGTCTCCTTCTATCTCCACCGCTACCGTCACACTCCGACCCAGTCTTCCCTCACACACTCACTCCTTTCTCTGTGTGTGTCTCTGTCTCTGCTCGTGTGTCTTTGCATCCGCCCCGTCTCATACCGACCCCCGATAGTACGAACGAAACGCTCGTGTTTCCTCCCACTGTCCAAGTCCTTGCGTGAGATCTAACCGAAATAATTTTGCACTTGCTGCTCACGTTTTCGTGTCCTCCATTCACGTCTCACTTCGCTTCGAACTGTCGCGTGATCTAGCCGATAGGTTTTAGTCTCGCTTTTTACGCGTATCATAAAACAAATCGTCTTCGTCGTCTGGACGCTGCTGCTGCTGTTGTCGCTGTTGCTTCTGACGCCTTGGCTTTCTAAAACAACGGTCATCGTTAGTCGTTTGTGCTGTCTCCCATCACCTTCGTCTGTGCCGTTATTGTCTTCTCTTTCTGTCTCCGTTTCTATTAACGATCGTTACGTTTTGTACGCTTTTCTTTAAACCACAAACGTGTCTTATACGAACCTCTCTCTCAGCATGACAAAAGTTACTACTACTGCCGTTGAGCAAATGATTATCCAACCCCCCTCCCGCTTCTACGAGGACTCCTCGCTCCCCAAGCCCAACATCTCGTCGCTGGACGAGTACAAGGCGATGTACGAGCAGTCCATCAAGAACCCCAACAAGTTTTGGGGAGACATGGCCCGCGAAGTGATTGACTGGGACCGTGACTTTTCCACAGTGCTCCAGGGAAGTCTGCAGGCTGCAGACTTTGCATGGTTCGCCGACGGAATGCTCTCGCCCTGCTACAACGTGCTTGACCGCCATGCCATTGCAAGACCCGATGCCACGGCCATCATCTACGAGGCCGACGAGCCCAACCAAGGCCGCCACATCACCTACCGCCAGCTGCTTGCTGATGTGTGTCAGTGTGCCGGAGCTTTGGCTTCTCTTGGTGTCGGCAAGGGCGATCGTGTGGCCATCTACATGCCCATGATCCCGGCTGTCGTTGTCGCCATGCTGGCCACCATTCGTCTTGGTGCCGTCCACACCGTTGTCTTTGCTGGTTTCTCCGCAGAGTCGCTCGCCGACCGTGTGAACGATGCCGGCTGCAAGGTGGTCATCACCTCCGATGTCAGTTACCGTGGCAGCAAGGTGATCCCCTTGAAGAACATTGTCGACAAGGCCGTTCCCAACTGTCCCTCGGTCACCAACGTCCTCGTTTTCCAACGCTCTGCCGCTCCTACGGCCTCTATGGTCGACGGACGTGATATTTGGTGGCAGGACATCGTCCCCAAGTTCCCCCGTTACATTCCCAATGTCAGCGTGTCCGCCGAGCATCCCCTTTTCCTCCTTTACACTTCTGGCAGTACCGGTAAGCCCAAGGGTGTCGTCCACACCACGGCCGGTTACCTTCTCGGTGCCCACGCCACCTGTAAATACGTCTTTGACCTTCACCCTACCGACCGCATGGGCTGTGCCGGCGATGTCGGCTGGATTACCGGCCACACTTACATTGTGTACGGTCCCCTCATGATGGGTGCTGCCACTCTTGTGTTCGAGAGTACCCCCGCCTATCCCGACTTTACTCGTTACTGGAGCACCGTTGAGCGTCACAAGTTGACGCAATGGTACGTCGCACCCACTGCCATCCGTTTGCTCCAGCGTGCCGGCGAGTCCTTCGTCAAGCACGACACCTCCTCTCTCCGTGTCCTCGGCAGTGTCGGTGAGCCTATTGCTCCTGAAAACTTTATGTGGTACCATGATGTTGTTGGTAAGAAGAGCTGTGCTGTTGCTGACACCTACTGGCAAACGGAAACGGGTTCGCACATTGTCGCTCCCATCAGTACCGTTACCCCCACCAAGCCCGGTTCCGCCACGCTTCCCTTCTTCGGCATCGACTTGGCCATTGTTGATCCTTTGACTGGTAAGGAGTTGGAGGGCAATGATGTCGAGGGTGTCTTGGCTGTCAAGCAGCCCTGGCCCAGTGCAGCCAGAACCGTCTGGCGCGGTCATGACCGTTACATTGACACTTACCTCAAGCCCTACCCTGGCTTCTACTTCACCGGCGATGGTGCCGCTCGCGATAGCGATGGCTACATCTGGATCCGCGGCCGTGTCGATGATGTTGTGAACATCTCCGGTCATCGTTTGAGTACGTCCGAGATTGAGGCTGCCTTGATGACGCACGCTGCTGTTGCTGAGGCCGCTGTTGTCGGTGTGCCTGATGAGTTGACGGGTCAAGCCGTCAACGCCTTCATCTTGCTCAAGGACGGCTTCGAGGTGAATGCCGAGTTAGAGAAGGAGCTCATCTTGACCGTTCGTACCCAAATTGGACCTTTTGCCAGTCCCAAGAAGCTTATCTTCAGTGACCTCCCCAAGACTCGCAGTGGAAAGATCATGCGTCGTATCCTGCGTAAGGTTCTTGCTGGCGAAGAGGATCAATTGGGTGACGTTAGCACTTTGGCCGATCCCAAGGTTGTCCACGACATCATTCACGCTGTCCACCGTGCCCACGGTAGAGCGTAAGGGAAACGAGAAACCAGCGTGAAACGTGTTTGATGAGGCTAACCCAAGGGTGTGCGCTCGGTCGCCAGGATGTTTGTGGGTGTACGGGATATGGTATTATTGGTATGCGTGTGTGTGTCTCTAGCAGTTGCTATGTGCCGCACTCCTCCTCCTCCTTTCCACTTCCCAAATGCACCGTGTACATTACGTGTTCATAACACAAATCTTGCATTGATTTTTGATGCCTTGCATTGATTGTTCTCTCCTCTATAAACACTAAGACGACAAGAGGCGAGCGAGCGGGTGAGTCGATGGGTACAACAGCCAAGCTTAAACCACCACTACACAACACTTAGTGCGTGCTTGTTTTCGTTCGCACTCGCTCGTGTTCGATGAAAGAAGAATAATAAAATTCGTTATTTTTCGTTATAAAATATAAAAAGGTTGAGCGTAGCAGAAGGAGGAAGGGCGAGCGAGGGGAACGGTACCTTCCTTAGAGCGCGAACATTCTCGGTAAAGAGCGGAAAGTGTGCTTCAGCGAGACCCCGTTGTCTGCAATAGCGATGCGATAGTGATGAACTAGTTAGTCGTGTTACATCAAATAGTGGACCCTCGTTACAGCTCGCGGATACTTAACAGTTAATAATAGTCGTTGTTGATAGTCGTTATGTCGTAATGTGACGGCAGTGCCCGCATTTTAGCTAGTAGGGGCAGTCGCCATCGGGTCCTCCTGAGCGACTGGCAGGGGAGTGGGATCGTCGTAGCCGACGACGCTGCAGAATTGACGCCAGAGACGGAAACGGATCTGATCGTCACTGTTGAGATTTTCGGGACGCGTCCGGACGGTATCGTTAAGCAGAGTGCTGCGTGTGGTGTTGAGCAGCTCGGCGTCACTCAACTCGTTGCGATTTTTGTGAAGCCAAATGTCGGTTAATTCGGCGTATGTCGAGTCGCCGACGGCTTGTTCGACAGCCTTAAAGAAAGATTCGTTGCAGGCCATTAGACCAGCCATTTCCTCTTGTCGATCATGGAATGGAAGCAAAATTTCACTGCGAATAGGATGCAGGTCAATGTGGACATTGGCACTCAGACGGCGATTCGACATCGTGAAAAGAAAAAAGGACTAGTCAAGCGAATATATAGAGTCTCTTGGTCAACAATACTAAGTCAATCAGCTATATGTTGCTCAGTGGGTGTATGAACGTGCAAATATCGAAATGAACAACGATTGATTCAGTCAAAAAACGTAGAAGGAGAAATTGCCCGTTGTATGAATAACTTAGTAAATTTTAGTAGAGGACGTGGAAAATTCGGTCGTTCCTTAGGCACAGCAATAGCTACAATCGTGTCCCAAGTCGAACACAGGGTGTGATGGCGAAGGTTAAGTTTGCACACAGGCGTACGGCGAGCGAGACGTTGATATGATTGTTGTGTCCAAAACAGTATTCGTATATCGCTCACGATGTCGTCGGCTTCCCCTTCACCACGGCGCGTGTTACTGCTTCCTGCATATCGCTTATGACGTAATGTTGTCTGTCAGAGGCTTCCACAACACTGAGATGACGTAAAATCGACACTCAGCGGGGGAAGTGGGGTGGAGAAGAGAGGGTTCTGGAAGGTGGTAGAGTGGAGCGCAGCGTTGCGCAGTGTTGCGCAATAGTGCTTTATGGTTTACCGTAACGCGTTTACCGTTGTTTAGCGAGTATTTTGTATTTTTACTTAACGCAGTTCACCGTGATCTGTTAATCTGCTATATCTCACACTGTCTTTATTACTGCATTCAAACAACACGCTGTAATCGCCTACCAGCCTGTCGTCATCACATTGCTGACGTCGACAATTGCTGTTGGCGGGACGACTTTACCATGCATGGCCATGACCTAGCTCGACAAGTAATAAATTTTTATCACCATCACTTTGTTTATCCTCCACGCGATTGTCCGGGAGTTTTCTCAAAGAATATTATACTATGAAGCCAAAATTCAAAATCCCTTTCGAGTTGTTACCCCTTGCAGCTGCTATTTCTACTGCTGTGGGTATCGCCGGCTTTACAATTGCCCGTAAATTATACCGTGACAAGACCATCCGCGTAAACCCAGCTGAACGGAAACAAATGTAGGCAAATCGCCGGACACGGGGCAAATAAGAAGGTACTGAGAAACTCAAGGAGGCGTCCAACCTCGGATCCTCCTCCACTCCATTCGCAACACACCGACAAGTCCCACGGCCCAGGCACGTAGTAGCGAAATGAACACAGCAATAAGATACGCACCAACAAGTACCCGCTTCCACACATGCCAACAGTAATAAAACACACTCCAGCCCACTACTACACCCCTTCCTCTCTTAACTCAAGAGTTCTAATATAGACAACCTACCGTATCAAAAATCAAACCATACAAAGCGAGATGCTTGCCTGCAAAACAGTCGCAGTTGAAGAGCTATTAACAAGAAAATTAAAGCTCATCATCGCTGACATCAAGACCAGCCTTACGACGGGCCATACGCTCCTTCTTCTTCTTACGGAGCTCAGCACCAGTAAGCTTCTTGACCTTCTTCTTCTTTTCGATCTTGTTACCGAAAGCATCGAATTGGTCGGCCTCCTCCTTCTCTTGGATACGAGGACCAGAACCTTGACCTTGAACCCAGTTGTGGCCGGAAGGAGTCATGTGACCGTTGTTGACAGCCCAGACTTCCTCAGTCAAACCCTCAGTGAACTCACGAGAGTGAGTAACCAAGACGACACCACCAGCGAAGTTCTTAAGACCCTTGGAAAGGGCACCAAGAGAGTCACGGTCAAGGTAGTTAGTAGGCTCATCCAAGACAATGACGTGAGGACGCAACCAGGTACAGGCAGCCAAGACAAGCTTGACCTTTTGACCACCAGAAAGACCCTTAATACGGGAGTGAGAGGTGAGCTCGGGCTCAAGACCCAAGAGGTTGCAGTGCTCCTCAATCTCCTTACGGACCAAGGGACGGAATTGACCGCTCTTCAAAGCCTCAGCACGATCAACCTCAGCAACCATCTTAGAGTGAGTCTCCATAAGCTCACCACGAGGGAGCCAGGCGTTGTCAGTAGACATCATGGGGACCCAGCGCTCACTCTTCATACCAATGTTCTCACCAACAAGGAAAGAACACTCGTACTCGTAAGAGTTCTTGAGCTTACGACGGCTGTGAATACCCAAAATCTTACGTTGAGTACCCTCAATCTTGAAGATCTTGTTCTTCATAGCCTCCTCATCGGCCTCAGTGATGACGCGAGAAGCCTTGTCCATGGACTCAAGATCCTCACCGGATTGGAAACGCCATTGGATATACTCGGAGGGAGTCTTGTCACCGTGGTGACCCAAGTGAGTGAAAGCAGCTTGGGCAACGTAGGCGATACGGCAGTTCTCGTGTTGGTAGATCTCACCAGTAGTGGGCAAAAGCTCACCAGTAAGAACCTTAATCAAAGTAGACTTACCGGCACCGTTGGGACCAATAACGGCAATACGGGAAGAAAGAGAAACTTGGAAAGTAATGTCAACCAATTGGGGCTTGGTAGTACCGGGGTATTGGAAGGACATGTTTTGGACCTTGATGATAGCACGTTGCTTGGTCTTGACACCCTCGAGATAACCGGGCTCGGGGAACTTGAACTCGAGCTCAGAGGCACCCAACTCGTAGTAAGACTTTGCGGGAGGGTACTTGCGGACGAACTCGGAAAGGTTACCCAAGTACTTCTTAAGCTTGAAACGCTCGTAGTGGATAATAGCTTGGCAAACGTGGTCAAGGAAACCAGAGTCGTGAGAAACGATGATGGAAGAAACATCCTTTTGGTTAAGCAAGAAAGTCTCCAACCAGGCGACGTTGACAACATCCAAATGGTTAGTGGGCTCATCCAACAAAAGAATATCGGGGTTCTTGAACATGGCACGGGTAAGAGCCAACTTCATCTTCCAACCACCAGAAAGGGAACCGATGGGCTTAGCAATAAGCTCGTCAGTGAAGGAGTTGTCCTTCAAGGCCTTGATAACCTCGTCACGGCTCTTGATAGTGACATCAGGATCGTTAAGAATGAAGTCGACAGAAAGAATGTCGGCCTCGGACTCATCGATATCGTGCTCGACGTAGACGGTACGAAGGTGGGTAGGGAAGCCCTCGACTTGCTTGTTGACAATGGCACGCATAAGGGTAGACTTACCGGCACCGTTGGGACCGCAAAGACCGTAACGGCGACCACGCTTGAGGCGAAGACGAGTACGGTTAAGAAGAATCTTAGCACCATAAGCAAGAGAGAACTCACAGTTGCAAAGGTCCTCACCCTCTTCCTCCTCCTCAGCTTGGGAAGCACCACCGGGAATCTTGGCAATAGACTTGGTACGGAGAGCCTCGACAACCTTGTGGATGTTGGCCTCGTTGACGATGGTGGTCAAGTAAGAGGTAGTGGAAAGGACCCAGTTCTCGTTCTCATTGTCCTTCTCCTCAACAAGTTGAGCGGCAATGGAAGCGACGTACTTGGCAACAACGGGGTTGTGAACGGGGATCTTGTTCTCAGCCAAGATAGACTTCAAGGTCTCGTAACAAACCTCGGGGTCAGCAGCGGTAGAGATCTCAGGGATCTTACCGTCGACGACGTTACCGACGCGCTCCAAGGTGGAGATAGCGCGTTGAACGACGGAACGACACTCAGGGTCACCAATGGTGTCCTTGATGTGGTAAAGACCGGGCAAAAGCTTGGGCAAGAAGGGAGCAACAACTTGAGGGTCCTCGACAAGCTTGGACATGTTGTCAATAATGACAGCAGTCTTACGCTTGATGGGAGTGGAACGCTCGTTCAAACCACGAGCCAAAAGGGGAACCATAATGGACAAGGTGGGGGATTGGACCTCAGTAACGAAAGTGGTGGCACCCAAAGAGTGAACGGTCTCAGGGACTTCCTCGGGGTGAGCAATACAGTTGATCAACTCGGGAATGAAGCGCTCAATATCAGCGTTAGCGATAAGAGTGCAGATTTTAGTCATGGTCTCCTTGGATTGCTTCTTAACCTCGGGCTTGGTATCCCACATAGACTCAGAAACGACGGGGATAATGCTGGGAACAGCATAAGAGAGTTGAGAAGGAGCGGTCTCGACGAGAGCGTCCAAAAGTTGGAGAGAGTTCATCTTCTCGACCCACTTACCAGTGGTGGTAATGGAGTTGAGAATAGCAGGAACGACAGCCTTGACGGCAACGGGGTTGACGGCACGAACAATAGCTTGGGAAGCAGCAATAGCAGCGTTCTTGACGGCGGGAAGCTTGTCAGCAACCTTCTCAAGAACAGCAGGCAAGAGCTCGACCAAGAAAGGCTCAACATCGGCAGCGACGTTGGGGAACTTGGCAACAGCCTCAATGCCCTTCAAAGCACGCTCACGGGCGACAGGGTTCTTCTTGTCACCGACTTGCTTCTTCAAGGAGTTGAAGATGGTGGTAGGGGCATCTTGCTCCTCGATGGGACCGTTGATGAAAGAGGCCAAGGAAGAGGCGGCATCGACCTCTTGAGCCTCGTCACAGACGGTAAGGCGGTTGAGCAACTCTTCAAGAGCTTTGATGGACTGCTTGTTCTCACTCTTTGCAGACATCCCGGAGGTTGGTTGTGGGTAAGATCATGCGGCGGTGAGTCGTATTTGTATACGTGTCAATGGCAAAACATTAATATATAGCATTAACTATAGCATTATGATCGCAAAAATTAACTTTACAAACGTACTGTATAGCTGTAATCTCTGTTACTTGTGACTGCTTCATCGGTATGTTGTTTGGTTGCCAATGCTTATTCTCAGCTGGATTTAGTGAGGGGGGCAACGCAAAAATTGGACCGGATTTTGGTGGTGGCAGTTCCTTCTCGGTTACCAAACCTTGCTGTTAGCGCCGGTCCGAGTTGGCTAATAAACGTGGTTGCGTTGGAATGGCTGTCAGTTGGTCCGTTTTCGTACAGCATATTGAATGGTTATTTATTTAGTTGCAGTTACTTAATAATTGTTTTTTTTTTTTTACAATTTATGTCTTAGGGTTTTACGACTTTTGTATGTTTATTATATGCTGTTGTTTTTTGGACTTTATCATTAAAGCCAATACATTTTTCACTTAATATTTAATATCAATTACTGCTGTTTCATTTTTCATTTTTCATATTTTATATTTTATATTTTGTATTATATGTTTATTTTATTTAATATATATTATTTGTAGACAATTTACTCGCTCAACATTAAAACATGTCAAATAAAGTATAATTACACTTGTGAATTAGCCATGTCTTCTACCTTTGTTGCTTGATCTTGTTTACGTTTGCTTCCATACCGTCAATAAAGATTCTTCCCTAATAGAGATGCATCGTTTTTATTTAAGAATATCGGACGATCAAACTATTTACTAAAAAGTTTAAAGTACGACAAAATGTCGCTTTGAGATGCACTAATCAGTTATCGAATGGTATACAAAACATTAATATAGAATTACTCAACAACGATCAAAACAAAAAAATAGAAACATTGCATTCACAAACATCGTAGTACTTACGCCTTCTAAGCAAGTTGAGCGAGTCCCATTAACATCTCGTCCGTTTTTCTGCCGTAGGATAACTTTTAACGACTCCAACAACGCTTCCACCAGTTAGAGCATCATTTTTCTTGTAAAGCCTTGGGACATTCATTGTTGACGAATCTCCGTCTTTTCCATCTTCGTATAACAAAGAAAGAAGGCTACGAAGCGTACGCGTTGAGCTAGAATTCGTGTCGTCAATGTTTGTTTTCCAGCAGGTGTTTACGAAGGACTCATAAAATTATGGATATACCATCCACACATCTTGACCAGAATATCGACAAGGTTGTGGATGGACTAATACGGTTGTCTCTTTCAAGTTCCCCAGAATCCAACGATCCTGAATTGATAAGCAAAAGACTTGCCAGACACAGAAGAAACAACTCACTTAATAAACCATTTACAGCACCATCCTCTCGAAGAGGGAGCTTTGGTAAACATCATCGAAAGACAGGAACAGCTGAAAGTCGATTGGGTGTCCAAAGATCTTTCTCTGGAATGCCTTCCTCGATTGGCTTATACAATACTTCAACTCCGCTTGCTAGCAGTGAAAAATTGCCATTTCCAGAAGTAACCCCTAGTCAATCCTCTGCTGCTGTTACTTCAAGTGACAAGAACAAATCGACTAAGGACGATGGAGACTCAGAAGACAAGCATCCTTCAAATACACCAGATGAGTTCCCTACTTTTCCGGATGATAATAGCGGCGATGACCATGATGATGACCATGACGATGAACGGCTCTCTCCAGTGCTCTTAGCACTTCATACAAATGAACAAGACAGTGATATTTCAGACAACGAGTTTACTCTTAACCCGCATGCCGATACAAACAATTTACTTGGACGCCTCGATGATGAGCTCAACCCACAAAGCCCACGAGTCACCGGTTCTAACAAGTTATCACCAAATGATTTAGAAAACGAAATTGGTAACGCTACAAACATTAACCTTCAGCGCCGTCTTTCAGACATATCCATTCCGGCCTCTGCTCTTAATGAGTTACAGGAACGTCATGAAAGCATCAGGCGTGAACTCAAGGAAGCTCAACCTTCATCCACCCTCACCTTGAAAGAACAAGCGCAAGTCATTGACAACCTCCGTAAGGAGGTATTTGGCTTAAAGCTTAAGTGTTATTTTCTGTATGACCAGCTCAACAAATTTCATGATCAAGACATGAAAGATGTAATGAAGCAAAATGTTGATCTTAAAACATTGACAATGGAACTTCAGCGTACGGTGGTTGGCTACGAGAAAAAGAACCAAGAGTTACAACGAGAGTTGGAGCAGGCAATGCAAAGTGCTGCGGCAGCCAAGAGAGATTATGTAAACGGAAACGAACGACCCTCTAGTTCTTCGACACAACAATTTACTGAGAGTGAACAGGAGCTTATTCTGAAGATGCTCGAAAAGGAGCGCTCGGAGAATGCTGCCTTAACAAAGGAGCTGGATTCCTTGCGAATAATTGCGAAGAATAATACTGACCCCAATTCACAATTAGTTGAATCGTTACAGAGAAACAATAATCTTCTGCGTAAAGATCTGAGTACGCTTAACGAATCACTTATGATGGTTACGTACGAAAAGGACCAGCTACTCCAACAGTTGGATAATGCTATGGCAAAAATGAAAGAAGAGAAGGAGCGGGTACTCCTGGATGCCGAAAAGAGTCAAAACGAAATCTGGGACCAAATGATCTCTTTTAAGATGAAAACTCAAGAGCAAGCGGTTGAACTTGCACGTCTTCAAAGAGAGCTTGATTCGCTTGAATCGGATTCTGAAGGAAAGCTTTCTAAAATGGAAGCTCAATGGAAGGAAGACGTAGAGCATCTTCAACAGTTCGCCGAGGATTTAACTGCTGACTTGGAGCAGAAGAAGGAGGAATTGACTCGTACCACAAAAGAATCACAGACTTATGAAAGTGCATTGAATACCCTTCGACAAGAGGCCGAAGCTGAACTCGACAAACTAGACAAAATCATAAAGGACAACGGCGAAAGCATTAATCTCTTTAAGACCGAGATAGAGAGACTGAACGAGGAACTCTCAGTGATGACTGAAAACTACGATAAGAAGTGTGATGAACTTGATTCTTTAAAGAAAAATTCATTAAGTAAGGAATCAGAACATGCCGCTGAACTTGCAAATATTAGGTCAGAGAAACAGTCCCTCGAAAATAGTCTCAAGGAGGCCAATGATGATTATCATGTTCTTCAAGAAGAATTGGATTCCATGCGCACGAAGATTTCTGAATGCGAAACGAGTTTATCTGACAAGGAACAACAAATCAAGACACTGCAATCCGAGAACGAACAGCACCTATCATTGGAGGAAGATCTTAAAGATCAATTAAAGAAATCAGAATCCGAGTTGTCTGACTTGCGTGAACAATGCCAGCAATTATCGGCTGAGGAAATTGCCATCCAACAGCAAAAGTGTGAGGATTTGAAGAAGGAGACCGCACAACTTCAACAAGAAAAGTCGAAACTTAATAAGGATTATACTGTTCTTCAAAGACGTTACTCCGTTCTTGAACAAAGACTGAACTCTTTGGAGGATGGCATAGTGAAGACTTTTGATCGAAAAGTTGATCACTGTTCTACGGAGATTCTCCTACGTCAAATCAAATGGCTTAAGGAAATTGAACGACACAACTCATCAGATTACGATATGATCCAGCGGAAGGTCACAAGGCTCGAGCAAAGTCTCAAAGATCGTGACAATGCTCTAGATAATGCCAATGTGGAGCGGAAAGAGCTTAAGGTATTACTGGATTCTGAGAAACGGGCTAAAAAGATGTTGCAAAACCAATACGAGTCTTTGAAGCAGCTTCAAAGATTGTCGCAGCTCGATGCCGTTGGCTCCTCACCTTCAGGCAAGGCGAAGGTTCGCGAAATTAAATCTCTGCAGCAAATGGAACGTAAGTTCAAGGAGCAGAGTGTTGAGCAGCTTTCTTACTTGCAAACTTTTGTACAGCGACTTGGCAAAGTGTTTAGCATCAATGGTTTGCCTTCATTTACACCTGTGTCTTCGGATTCTCCTGGTTCATCATTCCTTCAGCTCCAACGAAGTGCAGACTTCTGTCTTAAGGAAGCGGATCATCTCCTAACTGGTGTGACACGGAAGTACAAGGTGATGGAACGCAGTATGGTCACCGAAATGGCGAAACTAAGTGATGCCCTAGATGCTTGTATTAAGCGAACAGAACGTCTCGAAGGACGTTTACAAAGTAATTCATCTCTTATACCCGGCTCCCCTCGAGGCCGAACTTCAAGAAGTATTTCTCGGGAAAGTGTGACTCGACGGTCAATGGACGATCGACGTCCGCTTAATGTTTCAAAAGAAAAGCTTCTTTTGCAAAAGGATCTTGGAGAGCTTAAGCGTGACACCGATGAAATGGGCACTGTCTGGCTCGCAAGATTGCGAGATATGGAATTCCAATTGAAAGCCGAGCAGGAAGCGCGAAGAAGAGATAATAAGGGAGCAAAGGAAAGATTAGATGAATTGCTTAAGCACAATCGTGACCTCACCACACAGCTTTCGAAAGATCGAGCGTATGCGTCACGTACGGGTTCTTGGAGCAGTACGAAAACTCGAGATTAAAAGCGATGGTGAAGCAAAAGCATTTGTTATTGTTTTCTTCTGACACCCTTTTTATTTATTGTATATTTTCATTTGGTTCCGTATAACAACCAACGCTCGAATGGCTTTCGATTTTACAAGTCAAAAAGTTTATGGCATCCTTTATCACAATTACAGAAAAAACAAACAAACACATTCTTTTTTTTTTTTCCTTGAACATAAATTATACACTCCGTCTTTTTGAGTATTATTTACTAATTCCTGCCTACTTTAATCAATTTATAGAGTATACTTTTTGGTTGCTCGCCTTCGAGTAATATAGGAAATCCTGTAGGTGGAAATAAACGACAAAAAGGTCACTAGACATTTAACAAACTAAACATGATTACTTGACAGCGCTTCAATAACTTCATTCGCCCTGCTACTATTACTTCGCTATGTATATGACGTAATTCGGGTTCACTCAGTTAAGGTTCATATAACCTCATCGGTTGTCGAACTTGCGAAACTTAGTGAATCAGCATAATACTCAATAGCGGTTTAAATGAGATTGAAAAACGACGAATTGAAACGACCTGCTTCTGGAAAAACGAAGTTTGAAAGTCCAAATGACAATGACTACGAACGAGTAAAAGGGGGTTCAAAAGTTGCTGAGTATACAGCACTCAATGATCGCAAAATATGGGATAAGGAAAATACGCTCGAGAGATTGTTTGTTCCTCGATTAAATGCTTTAAAACACGGAGAAAATGAAAATTTGAAACCGCATTCAAGTCAATTCTCCATTTGGGATCAAACTGACCTAATAGAGTCCGGTGGCTCGGACCAAAGATCGCTAAGTCTTCGATTGCTTGAACCAAGTCAGGTACAGCTTCTTCGTAATCGAAAAGTACTGCGGAACCAGGCTGCGTGTCAATTGTTTTTCCTGAATTATTACTCAAGGCTGTTTGAGTACTTAGGTCGCAGAAGCGAAAGATTTCGACAATTCAATTCGAAAGCTCTCTGCTTATCCAAGTTTACACACAAAAAGTTATGGAAGGAGTATTGTGGTCGTGAAAGAGCTTTTCTTCGGAAGGCAAGAATTCGACTTCAGGCCTCACAGTTTGATCCAATTATAAAACTCGGACAGGGGGGTTTCGGCTCTGTTTGGTTATCTAGAAAAAGAGATTCAGGCGAATTGGTTGCCTTGAAGATATTCAAGAAAAACGTTCTCAAAATTCGCAATGAAGTACGTGATTTGCTTGCAAGGGGATAAGCTAACACAAGAAAGACGAACCATGTAATGACTGAACGGGATATACTATCTAACACTGATTCGCCGTGGCTCATAAAGCTGTATTACGCATTCCAGGATCCTGAATATGTTTACTTGGCCATGGAGTATGTTCCTGGAGGTGACTTTCGCATGTTTCTTCTAAATCATGGAATTTTAAGTGAAGATCAAGCACGTTTTTATCTTGCTGAAATGTTTACCAGCATCGATGAAATACATAAACTCGGTTTTATTCATCGGGATATCAAGCCAGAGAATTTTTTAATCGATATAAAGGGACACATTAAGTTAGCTGACTTTGGTATGTGTCTTGGTAAAATAAACGAAGAGCTTATAAACTCACTAAGGGTTCAATTACAAAATAATTTTGTTCCAGAAATCCAGGAGGAATTAACTCACCAGCAAAGGATTAACATCTACAGAGAATATCTAATTGATGGGAAAAAACGAGTAAGCAACTATGCAACCAATTGCGCTAACTAAGTTTCATTAGATTCATTCCTGTGTCGGATCAGCGGAATACATGGCTCCAGAAGTGCTTTATGGAGAACCATATGACCACAGAGTTGATTACTGGTCCATCGGTTGTTTAATGTTCGAATGCTTACTAGGCTACCCTCCTTTTTACGGTGGTACTGCGAATGAAACATGGAATAATTTGTACCACTGGAAACATATTCTACATGGTATTAAGAGTCAGAAGGAACTCGGTTGTCTCGAAATAAATATTTCTGACGAAGCTTGGTCTTTAATATTTCAGTGTATTACCGATTCTCAGTTTCGATTGCAGCGGTTTTCTGATGTTCAAGAACATCCATTTTTCAGTGGCATACAATGGGAACGAATTAGAGAACAATATCAGCCACCTTTTATTCCAGTTCTCACTAATCTACTTGACACGCGTTACTTTGATGATTATTCCAATGAGGACGAACCACTGTTCTCAAACAAAAATCAAAAGTCTAATCCGAAGAGTGCAATTAATGGGACAAAACATCGGGGACCATCGATGGAGAATGCCCATAGGGGCACATTTTTAGGGTTCACGTATAAATATAAACCTGCAATGATTCACGAATTTGAAGATTTAGCTTAGTAAACTGTTAATAATAATAATAATAAAACAAAACTTTTGTTAAAATGTATGCGCTTTATGAAATTTAATTTAGCTGCATTGAACAAACTAATCGTATATTGCTTTTAAACCCTTTCTCTACAGTAATGATTTGACGTGGCATTAAGTTGGAGCCGTTTTGAGAAACCTTATCATCACACTAAAAATCCTGTAGCTAAGTTGAAGAGCGTGCTGAACTTATAATTAAGCAAAGAAATAACCGCCGTGAAATAGAATTGCATTACAACAAAAATGTATATTCAACTTTGAACTTTAATAATAATAATAATAATATGGAAAGAAGAACCTATTCTACAATTATTGAATAAACTATATGAAAAACAAATATTAAAAACAAGCGTGCGTTCGGTAAAAGAGCCCTTATTAACGCGGAGATGATCAATAGAGAAGGAGTAGAATGAAAACAATAAACGCAATAGTCGGAATGAATCAACATAACAGGAACGAGGATAACCGGATTGTCTAAACAATTTGACCTTTTTTCTCTTTTTCATCTTCAAAGAGGGATACGTTTTTGGTTGATAACTTGGGATTGGCAACGAACCACAAAGGAATATACAATGTCGCAGAGAAGGCAGTTGAGACGATTGTTAATATGCGTTGGACATCTTCATATGCATGAATGATGGCATTCCTTACGTTAGAGCCGCGAGGGAAACTCAATTGAGTTACCAAACTTTCAAATATAGTTGTACTTTGGTTTTTGTAATCATCGGGTAGATATTTATTTAGACGACTCGGCATCGTGTTAATCCAAATGGTACCGGAAACGGAACTTCCAACTGCACTACCAACGGAAATGACAGTATACAAAAGCGCTGTGAGCATAGCAAAGTTTTCTTGCTTACCAACCGATTGAATGCATACAAACATCAGAGTCGTGATGACACCATCAGCAACGGAAACGAATATTTGTGGCATTACTTGATAGCCCCAATTATACTGTGTTCCACGGTAACGGATCATTAAAACCTGACCAAGAATAGTAATGGGTATCGCAAGAAAAAGGAATAATTTGGGACGCTTGTAAATGCGAACCAGGATACCGACAAACAAACCTGATAGTGCCGAGCAAAAGTAGAATATATTTGAGATGTGTCCCGCTGAATTGATGGTAGTATAATGTACAACTTGGAGAAAACTTGTCAAGTAATTATCCCAACAATAGTACGTGAAGTACACGAGAAAGACAATTACACAGCATGCGGAAACAGTTGGCTCTCGCATAAGGTGGAAAGGGATAGCCGGGAATTTTGCCAGCTTCATTTCATAAAACACAAATAGAATAAGAAAAACAACACCCAGAATAAGCATAATAATATAAAGTGGTTGTTTCCATTTATTACCATCATATCCGGCAATCGTAAGAGTGATAAGCAGTAAACAGAAACCAGCAGACATGAAGAAAATGCCTATGAAGTCGAATTGCTGAAGAAAACGACCTATTTTAGTTTTTGCTTGAGGTTTTACCAGACCTAGCTGACTGGCCTTCCTCTGATAGACATAGAAAACGATGAAGAATGGAAGCGCACACACAGGAACGATAGCACCCCAAACACCAATGCCCCATCTCCAAGTTGAATGCCTGTAAAACGCTTGTCCAACTAGCGGTCCAATCCAAATATTGACAAGAGATGGAAGCATCGAAGTGCCTAACATTAACGGACGAGCCGCAAGACTCGAAGTATCAGAAAGAAACACAGTGATAATGAATTCAAGACCGGTGTAGCCAACATTATACAGCACCACACCACCAGCGTATGTCTGAACATTCTTGCACGTTGCTACAAGAACGAGGCCAACAACAAAACAAACGACAGAGACGCTGAAGGCTTCTAGTCTGCCGAAGACGTCACATAATCTTGCCAACGGAGGCTTCATAACAGCATTGACAATGTTGGCAACCGTGGTAATTGTTGATACCAGTGAGTGTGCTTGAAAAGCCGAAACAGCGTATGCATAAAGTGAATTGTAGACTTGCATTTGGAAATTAAGAACAAAGCAGAGAAGGAAAACACTTGCGTAGGCAACACACAGGCTTTTTAAAGTCCAAAGTTCACGAAGTTTCTTAGCTTTCTCCACACCTGCCAGTTCCTGTTCCGATTTCTCTATTTTACCATCTCTCGAATCGGGTTTGTCAGGATGCTCAGTGGGCGACAATGGCTCTATTCGACTGTTTACATCTGTGTTTTGCGACCAAATGGTACATGAAATGTCACCATTGTCCTTATGAACTTCAAGCTGAGCCCTTTGCTTTTCTTCAGCAGAGTAATCACTACACGTGTTCTCGTTTGATTGTGCTACTCGTGCTTCTGGAATCATTGCAGACGTTCCTTCTTCTGTTTCTGACACGAACGGCTTGTCTCATACAATCGCTAATGGCGAAAGTGGATTTTTAAAAAACGAGAATGATCGCTTTTCACTTTGCACAATTTCCCTTCGCAGACTCAATGGCTCTCAATGATGGCCAGAGGTTTGTTAACAATGGCAGAAATTCTCTGGTGCTAAATTGGTTGTCGAGTTGTGAATTTGAAATCGTGTATTATTTTCAGGAAAAAAGGCATTGCGGAACATGGTAATTTATACTACAAACAACAGCTAATTCCACGGATGGAAACGCCAATTCTGTAAAGAAACGTTGACAACTGTGTCAATTCGCCTGCCTACGCACCGAACTTGGCTCAGGCGATTTTTCGCGCGCTTGTTACCTCGAGACGTCGCAAATCCCCTGAATACCCGACATTTTTGTTACTTGAGCCCCCCGATTACTAGATTTTCGTAAAAACACGACAATCATGACGTAGAAGATCTACAGCAAAATCCACGTAACAGCCTATCATCCTCCTGATTCTCATCTGATAATAATTAGCTCGATCTGATAATATACAAAGAGCTTAAGCGAAGGAAAAAAACTCGGCGAAGACTTATACCGAAGAGGCAAGCAAAGACTGATTCCCCACTTTTCCGTTTTTTTCATAACGAGGATGCTCGTTACGAACGCGTTCTAAAAGCGGATGCGGAGTCACTTAGTCATCAATGCAAGTCAATTTTCGGATTAATACTAAATTTCAAGAGTCTGAAATAGAGTTCGCTTATCTTATCAATAGGCGACAGTGCCGAAATGCAGAGCAAGTGCCGAGAAACAGTATAGCAATAATAACCTGTGACAAAAACATTTGCTGCACAATCGAACTCTCTTACGGAAGCTCGAGAGCATAACGATCCTACACTGCCGCTTGGATGACCGAAAACACTATTTCTCACGATTTAGGAGTTACAATTGAACTTTTCATTCAAACTAGTCTATAATATTCATGACAAAAAGATTTAAACACGCTTGTTGATGGCAGCAGTGAGCTTAGCTTGCTCGACCAAGACGCGAGGGGCATCAAGAAGGGGCATGTGAACCTCAACCAACTGGATGACATCAGCAGCAGCGAACTCCTTGTTTTGGAAGAGCTCGACCAACTCGGTCTCGGTGTGGATGTTGTAGGAGCGGGAGTCCTTGGCACCGTAGTCCTTGAGGAGGTTTTGGTAGTTCCACTCGGTGTTGATGTCGTTGTAGACGGCGTGAAGACCGTGAATAAGACGCTCAATGGTGTAACCGTTGTTGTTGATAACGAAGATGATGGGCTTGAGACCTTGACGGATGCAGGTGGAGATTTCTTGGACAGTCAAGGCAAGGGAACCGTCACCGACGATCAAGACAGTACGGCGGTCGGGCTTGTCAGAGTCCTTAACGGCCAAGCAAGCACCGAACAAGGCACCGACGGACCAACCGATGGCACCCCAGAGAACTTGAGAGAGGTGGGTAGCGTTCTTGGGCATACGGCAGTCGAGGGAGCCGAAGTTGGAGGTACCAGTCTCAGTGACAACGACATCGGAGTCCTTGAGGAAGGTAGAGAGAGTGGGCCAGAACCACTTTTGGGTGATGGTGCCGGCAGGGTAACCCTCGGCAGCAGTAGGGGTGGGGACCTTGAAGTTGACGGGGGCAGCCTTGGCTTGAACGGCCTTGAGGTCAAGAGCAGCAATGATCTTGGGGAGAAGGGCCTTCATGCCGACCTTCTCGTACTTGGCGGTACCGACTTGAGTCCAGGTAGAGTGGAGCTCAATGGTGTTGGTGACGGGAGTGCCGTAGGTGAAGGTACCAGTGTTGAAGTCAGAGCGAAGGGCACCAACGTTCAACAAGAGGTCAGCAGACTCGAGGCGCTCCTTGACATCGGGCTCAGTGAGGGAACCGACGTAGACACCGTCGAAGTAGGGGGAAGACTCGTTGATGGCGGTCTTACCCATGGGGGTGACATAGGTAGGGAAGTGAGTGGCATCGATCAAAGCTTGGGTCTCCTCCTTGGCGTCGAAGCGGGAAACGCAGGCATCGACAAGGATGGCAGTCTTCTTGGCGCTGTTGATGCGGCTGACGATCTCCTTGAGAGCCTCGGCCTCAGCGACGGGGCAGTTCTCGGGGTAGCTCAAGTTGAGAGGGGTCTTCAAGCCAGAGGCATCACAGCTGAAGTAGCCGGAGTCGGAGGGAATGGCAAGGTAGACGGGCTTCTTCTCGCGCCAGCAGGTCTCCAAGATGTGGTCGATCTTTTGGGGAGCGGTCTCAGCAGAGTCGAGGAATTGGACCTCAGCAGAGATCTCAGCGGACATGCGCTCGAAGACCTTGAAGTCACCGTCACCCAAGGTGTGGTGAAGAAGGGGCTTGACGGCCTGGTTCTTGGTGGAAGGGACACCGACAATGTGAACGACGGGAATGCGTTCAGACATGCAACCAGCGATACCGTTAAGAGCAGAAAGCTCACCGACACCGAAGGTGGTGATAATGGCAGAGATACCCTTAACACGGGCATAACCATCAGCGGCGTAGGCACCGTTCAACTCGTTGGCGTTACCAACCCAGCGGAAGGTCTCATCACCGACCTTGTCGATAAGGTCAAGAAGAGCCAAGTTGAAGTCACCAGGGACACCAAGAATAGACTTGATGCCCATTTGGAGCAAACGTTGGAAGAGGTATTCACCGACGAGAATTTGTTCAGAAGACATGATGGTTAATGTGTGTGTGTATGAGTAGAAGACTTGTCCGAAGATAAGCCGATGGTCTTAACGAGAGCAAACTTCCCTCTATTTATATTTTTCTGAGTCCGGCTGCTCCCGCAGCATGCCGGCGGCCGACTGTCGGCTCTCGGCTCAATGAACACCTTTCCTTAGTGCTCGCGCCAGCCTCTCGTCTTGATTGGTCGGAAAGCTGTAGGTGGCAGCTGACGAGCAGCAGCCTCTTCAATAACAATGTTACAGAATTAAGCGTCTAACTAAGCGAACTGTGGGTTACCCGCGTTCTCCGAAAAGCACCTTTATGGACGCTGCCAATTGGCAGCTTGCCGCGGAGGCTGTGTGTTGTTGATTGAAACGCGCAACACGGTGCGAATGGTCAGAATTTCGGTGCGGGTTTACGGCTGTGGTGAAGTGAAGGAAAAGGTTTTTTTGCAAGAATTGCGGAAACAAACATGGTCTCTGTGCATTTTGTTTGGATTTTTAATTGTGTTTTTTATTTATTTTATTTTATTTGTTTTTATTTTATAATTATTATTATTATTATTATATTTATTATCATTATAACACATATAGTTTTTCTTTTGAATTCAATGAGAATTGCCAGTGGTCCGAAACATAAAAGTTTAGTGTAAAAATGAACATTTTTACTCTTCTAGTCTCATCACTTAGTAGCGGTGGCACATCTTCGTTATGTTTCCTTTTTGAAACTAATACATTTCTGCATTACGTACTACTAGACGGGGTTTCAAAACATTAACTATAGAGTGTGCTTCATACGCTTAATAAATCCGAGCAGAGAAGTTCCTCATTTTTGAGTCGTTGTTTCAATTTCAACAGGCGCACACATTCCGATTATTATTGTTAGCACTCTTTGATTCCCGAAAATCGCCGTCTTCATTCGGCATCATGCCATTGGCAGAAGAATTGCACACACTAGTTTGACCTCTAAGGGAAACCGAGGCAATGTGTGAGATCAAGACGACTGTCCTTTACTTTTTCTCAACTGCATGAGAGAGTCGTATTCTTTTTTTTTTTTTTTTTTTTTTTTTTTTTTTTCTATACTATTCAATTCAATTCAATTCGATTCAATTAATCACTCGTTTACTGAATTACCTCGGAAAGTCTCATTTTTACATCGTATCATCGAATCAAGTCGAAACGTTTTATATACATGTAGTACATGTACTCAATTATGTAATTATGTCACCTCTTTACATTCTTGTAAACATGACTTGTGAAGCTATCAAACAGTAACATCGGTATGCCAAGTACATAAAACCATTGTTGAAATTGGTCTCGTCTTTCTCGACAAAGAGAAAGTGGTGGCATGAATTAGTCGACTTTTCTATTTGCTCGACGCTAAACGAATTTATTCACAAAGTTTTCATACCTGTGAGAATTCGCAATTCACTTCATTTCAGGACTCAGCGTCTTCATTGTCATTACAGTTACCGAGTAAATTAGGCTGCAGCGAAGGAAAAGCTTCACAACACTGCATTCCAAAATTGGTCCATATCTCTAATGAACCTCAACTAAATCACTGGCGCTTTAAGCTCAACAAACAAAAACAAATACACTGTCAGCGAGTCTTGAAGCTCGGAAACTTCCCCGGAATAAGGAGCCCGCTGACGCTACCAAGCGAATGCCCTTTACAGGAGTAAAATGGAGTAAACTGGAATCCTCGTCTCTTCCCTCTTCCCTCTTCCCTCTTCCCTCTTCCCTCTTCCCTCTTCCCTCTTCCCTCTTCCCTCTCCCCTCTCCCCTCTTCTTCCCTCTTGTCCACCATTCGCCGCTACTCTCATCCCGCCTTTTCTAAGCGAAACCTTAATTTAACACGTACACTTTTACCTTTGGCTTCCGAATTTAGCTGTTAACCGCTACACGTAAACAAAACCATCGTCGTTACGAGAAAGTTTCCTTTTTGCTCTTCTCATTAAGAAAGATTCAAAAGCAGCTGCTAAAGTTTGCTTTATGGGGGACTACACGGGGCCTGTGAGCTACCCTCAAAATGTATTAGAAAATGCACCATTAACGCCGCCGCCAGTTCCTCCTCACTCAATTCTCTCACTCAAGGAAGAATGTGATTCCGATGAAGACACCTTTCCTGTTACAAGTATTCAGAGACATCCATTGAAGAAGCAACTCCCGAACATTCCGTCTCTGAATGGACCGCCCAACATGTCAATTCCGGGAACGCGAGCTTCATGGTACTCCTATCCTTTACCGGATGTGGACGGTAACCTTCAACCAAGGCAGCGGAGCCCTTTATACAGCCTGATTATAGAGCTCAGTCATCACCTCCAACGCATCGATACGACTTTGGATGAACTTACAACGAAATCGCTTGAAGCAGAGAGTGTCTCGCAGCTTGAGTTGGCTCGCGACGAGGCTCTGCGTGAAGACATCGACTCTTCGTCGGATCGCGTGTACTATGCCAAGCTTGTGATGGATGCTGAACGCTCCACAGATGCCGAGCTTCAGATGTTTGCCGTCCGCCATCGATCAGAGACCTTCCAGTTGCTTTCTTCTCTTGTGAGTGTTCCTAGATCTGCAGATGATGACCCGCAAGCATTGTATTTAATGGGTGTTGCGTACAGCACAGGCGCACTAGGATTGGAGATCGACCACGCACTTGCATTCCGTTTGTATGCCGATTCCGCCAATCTACACCACTCAAACGGCGCATATCGCACAGCAATTTGTCTGCAAATGGGCGTTGGTACAGACCAGGATTTAACAGAAGCGGTTTATTATTTTTCAGAGGCTGCTGCTAACGAACATGTTGGAGCAATGCATCGGCTCGGTATCATCTTCCTACGAGGCCTGTACGGCGTGGAGCGCGATGCTAGTCTGGGCTTGTGTTGGCTAATCCAGGCTGCATTATCTTCTACCGTCGAGCATCCACATTCACTTTTTGATTTGGCACAAATCTATGAATCGCCAAAACCAGAGCAAAAAGGTTCGCTACATTGGGGCGGGCGCGGGTGTCTGTGTCTGTACGTTTGCTAATAGTAGCTACAGGTCTCATTGCACAGGATATGCATAAAGCGTTCTTACTATACTTCAAGGCTGCTTGTTTTAATGTGCCCGAAGCACAGTTCCGTGTTGCTCTCTGCTTTTCTCATGGCGAACTTGGCTGTCCTATCGACACACAGAGAAGGTATGCACTAATTCCACAATACTCGCTAATGAAACAGTCTTCTCTGGTATACACGCGCAGCCAATAACCAGTATACGGATGCAGCATGGGAACTAGCCAAGATTTACTACAACGGGTACTATGGCATCAACACAAAAAACGTTCCGCTTGCCATCGAATGGGCCAAAAAGGCAGCTGCTCGGAAGCACCTCGAGGCTCGGCAATTTCTACAGACCATACGCCTTTCTTCACCATCCAGCAACTCAAGCAACTCATTTGCGATGCATAACGAAACAACTACATTTTGTTCCCCGGGCAATTCGAGACACCACCGACTCAAAAGCAACAACTGTATCGTCTCCTAACCATGCACAACACCGTCGCATACACACAAGCACACGGAGAGTGCCCGTCATGTAACATTTCCAGCAAAAACATAGCGTAGCCGACGCTCTATCCTCTCTTTCCAGCTTCTTCTTTTTGGAATCAACAGACCAATTTTTCGTGATTCCTCCTCTCTCAACCGCGCATTTTAACCCCTCTTTCTCTCACCTTTTTTATTTCTCTCATTTTTTTTTATTTCTCTCTTTCATTTATTTTTTGTATACATTTTTGGATCTAACTCATCAAAAAAGTTGTACAGCATACAGGTACTCGGCCATCTGTAACCGGCGATTGCTGTCGCTCTGCTTTTAAAAAGTTCAAACACTCTTTTCTACGCCTATCATACACATTATGACAAGTTTTTGTTTCCGTTAAAACGATAGTATATCCGCTACTAAGGGATACACCCTTAAAGAACTATTTTCAAAAGACGTTTTCACAACACCAGCAGAAAGGCTTTGCCTCTTGGTCGGCGTTACCACCGTCAATTAGGCTCAATGATAACCGAGCAAACAATACTACTTTTGACGAAGTAATTGCGACTCGCGTTTCCCGCTGACTTGGGAATTGTGAGAGACGACTGCGTCAAGACTAATATGCAACACGTCTGTTTGTTCGGCGAACACCTAACCCCATTCCATTTTGGTTTGAGCTAACCACTCTCGTCAAAAGCCATACTGCAACCGCTTTCACATGCGCGATGGCACCGGAACCAACGATAACCCCGTTCCTTGAGCCTTATTCTACTATGGGCTCTATCACTTGACCACATGGGCTGGCCAAATTCCTCATATCTTGGGATTATAGGGAGACAAGACACCTCGACCTATGGCTTAACGAGAATCGCACAGACCAATTGAATTATTTCAGCCACTTGCTGATATAGCTGTTCACTGCGTTGCAATGCGTATGACAGCATACTCTCTCTTCTTCAATATTGCTACTCGATTCTCTCTGGCCGCCGCCTCCGCTTAGCGATAGCGCCCCATCATTTCATTTCTTGTCACTTTGTCGACGACCCTTGTATAGACGACGTCATATGTAGATCGTCGATAACGCAGATCCCCCACCTTTCTGATGTCATTTTCATCTGTGTGCGACTCTTGCTCGAAAGTCGCAAGCATTACAGAAGCAGGGGAATGCCCTAGACTTGTCAGTTGGTTTTAAGAACTTTCATCGAAAAGAATGCGTTGCCTCCATAGCGGAACCGCTCCAATAAATTGTCGATGCTGAATTGCGGGATGCTTTCTTTATTGGTGATTTTAGCTGCGGCCGACTTATCAGAGTGACGGCCGCACAGATATAGAAAACTGCGAGCTTTTTTTGTTGACGATACTCGATGTGCGCAATCGTGGTCTCGCCGCTGGTATTGCATAGTATTCGACAAAGTGCCTGATAGTCGTGGGATAGGCTTTACCTCATTGACTGTGGTATCTACTCGAGTAAGTCGATGACACCAATGGAACATTGTATCGCGTATCTCCCACGCGGGATACATAAAAGCACCTCTTGCTGCTATATGTTCCGGAAAACACACAGAACATAAGGAACATGCTGCTGGCGGCCGTGACCAAGTCTCCTGCACTGTGCAACATTCGGTAGTGGTTCCATCGCAAACCAGAGTCTCCAGATTCAACGACTTTAGGCGTCAATTTTCGCTCACCATGTAAAACACGGAATTCCAGAAAGCTCTACGACGCCGCCGGACTTGTGCATTTTTCGTTTTGTCGTTTCTCTGACTTCTCTTCTCCGGTTTTTCGAAGATGTGCCCCCACTCACGTGCTATGCTTGCCCCCACGCTCACCATCTTTCCCCTGACCTCACCACGCCCGAAAGTCTAGAAGGAAACTGGGGACAACACAACTCTCCCTCTTCCATTCCCCTTCCATGCGTCGTTCGACCATCGTCCCTTCTGCTCTTGGCACTCGTCCGTCTACCAACGGTCCATCTACGAATGAACTCAAGTCGCGAAACATTTCACGACTTGCTGAACAACTTGCTCGCCTGGAATCAAATTTATCTGAGCTCCAGAGCCATGTTCGTGTTACTGCTATCCAAGCCGAAGCAATCCGCCGTCTTGGAGGACTGCAGGCCGCGCTGTTAATGGCTTCCGGTCGAGTACTGAGCCAAGATGTCCGTGATGACTGAAGTCTGGACTCGAAGCTGTGCGTTTTCGTCTTCAAATGGCTTGTTTTTCTTCAATTTCGTTCTTGTCGGTTGCGTTGACGCGTGTCGCGTCTTAAGGTTTCGGCGCCCGAAGCGCATGTGACTCAATGAACCTTAATTGCGTCTTTCGCGACGCGTCGGATTGGTGACGCGTCGCGTGTGTCTCTTATTACGAATTCTCTCGGCGTTGATTGGTTTTCGTTTCGACTCGCTTCGGCACTCGCCTATTCTGCATTCGTGACCCAGCCTTGCTACGCCGCGCACGAACCCTCCGCAATTACCTCGAATTCACTGTTTAAGTGTGTTTATCGAATTTCCGTCGCGTTTTGTCGATTGCTCGGATCTAAATAACTGCATAGCGCATCGTATTTGTTTTGATTGCGGAATATAACTTTCTGACGAATTGGATTATTCTCGGATAAATTGTGTTGATCAATTTGGAATTTGCTCGTGGTTTAGATTTTCTTTCTCATTTAACGCGTTCATTTGGTGTCGTTTCATATCCACCTACCGTCTTCTCCATTACAAGTGTTGATTCGTGGCTTCTTCGTTGTCCTATTGCATTCCGTTTGTTCTTCGCCACTTATTAAAGGAATTTGTATTTGAAAAGGCACACGGACACTTTTCGGCCACATTCTCCACCACTTACACTGCCGTCGTCACTCCACAAGAACTGACAGCAGCAGCTTTCGTGCTACTACCAGTTACCGTTACCAAGTGACTTGTTCTGCAGACAATTGTCTGTGCACGTCGAACCTCAGTCGCACAAGCTATCCCCGCTATTTCGCTTGTAGGTCCTATCTGTGCCCCCCGCTAAAGCACCCCAACTACCCCCGCTCACCCCACCAACTGAATTCGCCTTCGGCGTACATATCGCTGGTGGCTTTACTGGAGTAACTGGGAAATTTGCAATCGCCGACACATCTTTCCCGCTGGAGGCTTCCTCAGATCCCAGCGCAATTCGCTTCCCCGTATCACCCCTAATTGCCGCGATACAACCTACCGTTGCTGCTTTATCTATTCGGTAACTCCACAACGTGCTCTGCTCTCATTCGGCAAACAATACCGAGAATTGATTCACGTGTGTGCAAAGACAGTGTGTCATACCACTCATTGGGTTGACTCTTTTTCTTCCATTTTCTTAACGGGAGCGCTTTTTTTGTCACAGTTCACATTGTAAAAGCAGTGTGCTGCGGACGAATTTGGCTGACTTTGACGGTGAATTTACCTGCTTGTAAGCATTCTGGCTCGTCCAGAGCTCAATTCGTCTCCCTCGGCTGCTTTTAACCTGGCGCACGGTTTCCGGCCCCATTCGAGCGCTTTTTGCGTTGCCTTTTCACGAGTGTACATTGAGATATACAGCTTTTTGTAGCTTTTGGAGAGCTCTTTTGGCGCTTGTCCGTTTTTTTGCATTCCTTTCTTCCAAAAACTGCTTTTGAGCCTTTTTCGTTTCGTTGAGCTCAAAAAAGCTTGGTAGTTCGTTTTTTGCGTACATACCCTGTACTTTTTCCCTTTCCACTAGTCATAACGCGGCGTTGCTGCGTTTTTTCGTTTCTTTCCCTTTTTTTACGTCCTAATTCTCTTTCATAATGGCTTCTGAAGCATTTGACATTCTTAAATCCTCCGAACACCCTGCACTGGCGGCCCGCCAGCCCAACGCTGCGGATTCATCGCCGTCGCTAAAGCCAGATGAATTTGAAGCAGGCGACATATGGAGAATGATTTCCAAGGCGAAAGCGTCCGTGCCTAACGGCCACCGCGTTGAAAATCTCACATGGCGTATGATGTCCATCAACCTTCGCAAGTCTAAGCTTGGGTCGTCTCCGCTCTCCCCTGCCTCGTCTGCAGATATGCAGTATGGAGAGCTCAATTCTGCGCACTCTTTACAGCATAGTTCACCAAACACTGTATCATCACACTCTATGTTTTATAATACCGATCCAAAGACCGCCAAACACACTGAGGTCGCACTTGTATCGCCCAAACACTCTGACGTTAGCGGTGGTGATGGTGCAGATGTCGACATGCTGCCCGATGCAATTCCCCCGGCGAGCGTGCCCGATGTTGGAACTGGAAGCTCCTTTATGGAGTTCAACTACGTGCAGCGTAGAGTTCGTAAGACGAGCTTTGACGAAAGCGAAGCGAGAGGCAAGAAACGATCTTTCACCCTCACGCATTTCCCCGCATCTAATGAGAACGGCGGTCAGCCTATATGTAGCACGCCGAAACTGTCTACAACGGCAAACAACAACCTTCCTCTAAGCTCCAACTTTTCAAACCGCACAGTACCAATCGGCAAACAAACTGTTCCTGGTGACGCGGGTTTTGCTTCGACTACTGGTGCTACGGAGAATCCGATGCAAATACCAAGAGGTTCAAGCGGGGCTAACGCCCACGGGGAAGAGAGCATTCCTGAAGATCCTCTCAACCTGGACTTTGATGTTCTATCTTCCGAACCTTTTTCCTATCCCGACAATGCCACGTTTTCTGGTTTTGTTGACGCGGGTAGTATCACGCAGACCGCGCTCTCCTCCTCCCCCGCGCATACAGCGTTTTCCTTTGAACAAAACTCCTTGAATCAAGCCACGACCGATATGCCCAACTCGTTTATGAATAATGCTTCAGAAGATCCGTTCAGTCGCGCTTCTTCATATAGCAGCCAAAGCTATTTTGGATTTCCCTCGCCTGTCAGTGCAGGTCTTACTCCGACGCAATCTTTCATTCCAGAACTGGCTGCTAATGGCGTGTTTGATTCACGGGCTCGTGAGTTCTCGTCCCCTATGACACCCAATTGTTTGCCGTATACTCCTCAGCCTAATTCGCTCCCCGCTGCTTCTAGCAATTCTTTCCCTGCTCGCCCAAGCATGTATCGTGCCCCACACAAGTCTTTTACCAACATTCACCACGTTACCGATCTCAATGCTATGGATAATGTTACGCCGGCCGAAGGATCGTTCCCTAACAGATGGAATCCTAACGAGACTGAAGTAATGCCACCTTCGTCTCAAGAGTCGTATCCAGTACCTCAGTTTGTGCGTGTCGGCACTGCAATGGGTATTGATCCTATGCGTAGCAGCGTCCCCTCGTACTACAACAACTCGAATTCCAACCAGTTTGCGCATCGTGAAATGCCGGCTCAGGCGCCTGCCGGGGTAAGCTCAAGCCCATTAAACTTTAATCACATGCCTTACTTGTCTTCTGCCACAGCTGCTAAACCTGGACAGGTACCCGCTGTTGATACTGTGGCCACAGGCATGAAGAAACGTGTCGGGGGAGTGCCTCAACAGTATGCTCCTTCGTCATTAAGTTATGGTTTGAAACAAAGCTCCGGTGTACAATTTAACAAGTACGCTGCCGTTCAGAAGAATAAACGGGAAAAATCCGAGGAGCGGAAAGCGGCCGAGCCTAATACTGCTTTTAATGATGCACCTAGCGCCAGCAAAACTTCTGGCGCGAAAAACAACAGCAACAATAGCAGCAGCAACAACAATAGTAACTCTGGCAACAGCAACAATAACAGTGGCGGAAATGCCAAAAACACTAAGCAAAATGTGCCAACCTGTACAAACTGCCAGACGCGCACTACACCTCTTTGGCGTCGGAGTCCAGATGGACATCCTCTGTGCAACGCCTGTGGTCTGTTTATGAAGATTAACGGGGTGGTGCGTCCGCTAAGCTTGAAAACAGATGTGATTAAGAAAAGAAACCGTAGTGGTTCTAACAATTCTGGTTCGCGTTCTGGTGGTGGCCGCAAGTATTCGTCTCGCAAAAACAATTCCCATTCAAATGCCGCTCATGCCCAGCAGCAGCAAAACGTGAACGCTGCTAATCATATGCGGAAGTCCTCTTCAGTGAGTGATGCTAAGCAAAATTATCCTATAATGGCTAATGCGCCTGCGCCCGTGCAACGGACATCGCAGGTGAACAGCCCTCCCGTGATTAATGGTTTAGACCCTGCCATGTCATTCAATATGCCAACTGTTGTGCAAAACGGCTTCCCGTATGAGAAAACTGGTATGCCAAATGCTATGGATGCTGGTCTAACAAACGGATCCATGCAGAACGGCGTATTTGGTACGCTTGGTGATGCTGCAATTCCTGATTCCCTTCCCGCAGACCCGCAGTCGCTGAGTCTGGACTCGGTTGGCCTACAAGGCATGTCTCGTCCATGGGATTGGTACAGTGTGATGTGAGGTGGTGCTTTGTGAGTATCTTTTTCTCGCATTTTGTTCTTCTAATCTTCCACTCGTGGAGTGCTGACGGCTGTTTCGTGATATGCAGTCGTCGTGTCGCGGCTCGTTGATACTCTGGACAGTATCTGCTGCTTGCTTTTCCTTGTTTCATTGACATTGATGAAACGAAGCGTGTACATTGATTGTGCCCGGGCTCCTTCCGTCCTTCGTTACTCATAATTTATGGGCGACTCTTGTTCATACAAGTGTCTTCCTCTGCTTTGGTACGTTGTCCGGTTCTTCGTACAGGTTTAATATTCGCCGTTTACCGGACATTGCCTTAATCGTTTCCGTTATCTTTCAACTTGTTTCCTGTTTTTTGACCTCACTCTGTCTGGGTTCGTGTTTAGATGCAGCTAGTCAGTTTGCTAAAATATGTGTCTTGGAACGTTTGTAGAAACCTCCCAATTAGTTCTGTTACTCTTTAATTAATTACTCTTTCCAACTTACCGTAAAGAGCAGTTGTTTTTAGCGAACTTTATTTGTAGGCAAATCGGAGAAGGCATACGTGGGGAGCATAACGAAATAGTTGTTGGATCGCATTTGTCGCATACAACCTTCGTCTAAGTCTGTTGTATTTGCTGTTGTTTATACTGACAATTGCGCTCGTTCGCTTTCGCGTTTTTGTTTATGACGTGCACGCCTTTGGCCCATAACAGTATTTACCTTAATTGACCAACGCTCGCCGACTTGTTTGTTGACATCTTTATCCGAGCTGCTAACCGAGGTTAGCGAAGTTCGTGCTAAGCTAGTCGCTCATACACAAATTAAATTGTGCCCTCCGCAACACTCTTTCAGCAAGTTCGAAACACATATTCCTCTTTAATCCGAATTAATTATCCTTCACGAAATAGTGCTTGTGGAGTAATCGAACGAATTTGCGGATTGGACCTCTCTACGTTGTGCAATCGTTTAATAACTCGTTGAGCAATTAAGCTCACCTTGTTTATTACCTGTAGTATATTACACCAGTCGCAAACAGAGCAAATCTTAGCTTCTATGAACGGAGATAAAAACACGTCGCAGAAGAAACTGCGGCTGTTGACAGGTAAGAATGAGAAATTTCATGTTTGTCGCTAATATTCAGTCGGCACCAATGCTATCTCAGCATTCTTAAGTTGGAGGCTTTCTGAAAGCAAATCCTGCCATGTTACAATGGTTTGGAGGTCCCAAGGATCGAATATAATGAATGACGGCATTCGTTTTCGTTCCAGTGTATTTGGAGCCGTCAAGTGGAAACCAGATGCAAGTATGTTTCTCACGCTAAGCAAAGGCTTCAAGAGCCACACCTGAGAGAACAATGCTAACAAGTAAATTTACTAGATGTATCTACTATCGAGGAGCTAGAGAAGGAAACCGAACCTTTTGATTACATTCTTTTATGCGTCAAAGTACTACCTGATGTCTACAGCCTGAAAAATGTAGTCTCGAGTGTACTGACACCAGGACATACATGCATTATTCTCAATACAACTTCTATGATAAACGTGGAACAGTATCTTACCAATACTTACCCCCGCAACCTGGTTTTGTCATTTGTCACAGCGGACAAGTTTACTCAAAGAGGTCCCTTGCAGTTTGAACACATCACGCCTGCAGAGTCAGCCGCAAAAAGCGTAGTGCATGTGGGCTTAAGTGAGGAGAACAAATGGATCTCGCCGGAGACACAAAATGATATCGTTAGCTCACTGGCACTTTCTTTTGAGGCAGGCGGGTTAGAATGCAAAGTACAACACTCTATTGGCATTAAACAGTGGGAAACCGCTCTTGGCCACATTGCCTTCTTTCCCCTGTCTGTCATTGTGGAAGAACCAAACCTTGCTGCTCTGTACCGCACTCCACATCTCGCCAAAGTTGTGGACGGACTGCTGGAGGAAGGAATGAGCATAGCAAAAGCACAGGGTTATTCAGTTGTTTCGAATACTCAGCTTGACGAGCAATCGTTTCGGCGTCAACTTGTCAACCAGATGCTTGCCTTACCAAAGCCCTCACATTTTTATCAAGATTTTCTGTCTCTACGCCCCCTGGAGATCGTAGTGTTGCTTGAGAACCCTATAAAACTCGCTGAGAAGCTTCACGTGCCTGTACCACGAATGGAAACTATCTACGCTCTCCTTGAACTGAAAAACAAACGGAACAAACAAACCTCACCCACCCAGTCAGTCGTTTCTCTCAAGTACGCTTCCTCTCGTCGGAGCGTCCAGGGTAGCTTTGCTCCATCTCCGCTTCAACACCCTTTGTCGAACAGAGGTTTGCGTATGGCCAGTATGGATGACTTAACATCTTCGCGACATGTTACAGCTGCTGCTAAGCGGCCAAACCACCTCTACAGCAAATCAAGTGTGTCTCTCACAAACTTATCTCTCTCCCCAGAGTCCTCCTCGTCCGAGAAACTCTTCAACCGTCCGCGCAAAAACTCACATAATCCATCACGGAATTCCATGTCACGACTACCTAACGCAAGCAGCATTGACGACTTTGCCAATCTTGTTCCTGACTTTGACGACAATAGTTCCCCTCTTCAGCGTCCAAAGTCATCCGCCTCTTTCAGGTCTGACCGAAGTCAGTCTAAAGAGTTTGACATGCTTTCTGCAACTCAAAGAATGCTTCGTCGACATTCACCTTCAGACCAGCACAACATGGACAATGGAGGACGTCGAAACACGTGGACTGGACGGCCGCCCCCACCTTCAAGTACGTTTTCATTACAATGATTTTGTTGTACTTAAGACTAACCCCGTTCAGTGATCTCAGACCCTGTTGACCCAATCATAGAAGACGAGCTTGCTGCTTTCGGGTCAACGAGTCGCTACCCCTCGGCCGGTTCACCAACATCCAAACGTTTCAACACGGCCAACTTCGACTCTCTCTCCCTCCATGGTCATACAGTGGCCCATTAATGACCTCATTTGTTAGCAATTTCGTTTTTACATCGAAATGCAATTCTACTGGTGCCCGTTACCTATCCTTCGTTACAACTCGGTATGCTCCGTCAGGCGGTCAAGTTTTTGCACACCTGCGATCTTATATTCCAAACCTAACTTGATCACCAATGGATTCTCTGGCGTCCATTCTGTTGCTTTTGGAATTGCAAGATGAATTTAGTGGATTGAAAATTCCGGGTCGTTTGGCAAAACTTGGTTATCCGTTCAAACCAAATAAAAAATACAAAGGAGCAGATGCGTCACCAATAATTCAAACGTTGCTTGACCGTATAATTTTTACAGATACGCTTCCTGGAGTTAATAGGGCGCCTCCGGAATTTTGGAGTGATCATTTGCAAGTGATATTGGAAGCAATGAGTGAAAGCAATCTTTCCGATTCTTATGATCATGGCCGCGTGAGCAAAAGAAAGATGCTGGGCTTCGCGATGGTTACTGTATTACACTCACTTGCCAAGGGTGTCTTCGGTAAGGTCCCAGAATTTCAAGATGCACAAGAGGAGCAGACGACGTCGCCCGACGGTGATGAAGGTTCACAACAACCTTCCCAACAAAAGGTGAAGGAGGCCTATAGGCTGCTTGTGTATGAAGATGGTGTAGACCGGATGGTTGAACTACTTCGGGAGAGTTCATCCATCGATAACTGGCCTGAGCCTTTAAGCAGCTTGCTGGCAAATGCTCGGTATACAATGGCACTCTTACTTCACTTTGTGTTTGTTGGTAATAATGTCGGTATATCTGCAAATTTAAATCAGGGAACTGCAGGTGTTGTGGAACGTATATACACAAGCATGCCTTGGTTTCTTCTTCGTCAGGTGGTCAGGGTTGGCAATGTAGGTTCCTTGGTATCGGGACTGACACGGTTGTTTTTAATAAAGCCAATGTCGTGGTTTGGTAACAGCCGTAACCTGTTACAAAGCATTTTGGCAGGCATCTTGAATGCGGATGTGCACCATGCTGACTCAGGAATCGATTCTATCGAATTGGATTGGGATGATGACCCATTGTGGCTAGAACAACGTGACGCTCTTCTGTGGTATGTCGAAGACTTGGACCGTATTCAACAAATGGAAGTACGTGAGAAGAGTCTGAAGAAAAAAACAAATATCTGTGTTTGCATTCTACAGGAGTATCGGGCTCACTTAAACAAGCCGCCTCTTCCCGTACCTTCAGGCCCTGCAACTGGAAATGACTCATCGGATTCTCAACAGGTTGAAGCGTCTGAGAACAAATTTGACGATGATGAATTTAGCGGTCAAACCACTTTTTCCCCGTTTTCGGAAGAGTGTGTGGATGTGTCTATGAGATACCTGAATGCTCTTCTCATCAAACGCGATCGCAAGAAGCTTACTAAGATTCTTTGTGATGACGATAAGCTCTCAGAAGCGGTAAAGGTAATTATGAATGTCTTCTGTGACTTTTTATTCGAAGCTCATCGTGCTGCCGATTTCTCTCGGGCTATTTATGATTACCAGTGTTTCCTTCACGACCTGATTGCGATCGCCAAAAAGCGTGCTGAACTACCGGAATTTGTTGCACTTGTAGATAAATATGCGCCATGCTTTATGCGATTTGTTCATTGTCTTGTCAAGAATGCTCCAGATTTGTGTAAAGAATGGTGCGTCTGGTACGATCATTGTCTTTGTCAATTTAGAGTTCAGACAAAACTGCAAGACGTTAGCTCATGCGCTCGCAAGGCATTTGACTCGCTGGACGATGAATCTAGAGAACGTGTAAAGAAGGAAATTGCTGCTTACGAAGCAGCATTGTTTGAGCGTATGAAAGGCAGTGGTGATGTTGCTCGTGAGTGGCTTTCTCACTTGTCTATGATGCATGGTTCTGCTACGGTCACTCCCGAATACGCATTTTCCGAGCCTAGAAGACAGGTTCCCGGCTGTGAATTTGGTTTGGAGTTTACTCGTGAAGTTCTTGTTCCTGTATTTAGAGAACTCATTTCGAAGGATCCGGTTTCCGGCACTATTTCTGCAGACGCACTTGCGAAGAAATTAGATACTGCCGCTGTAATAACAAGTAATGATGTCGATTGATGCCACTCATCCAACTTAAGAAAATAACTACTAGGTAGAGGCATCGGGCTACATGTTCAATAAACTGTTTATTTATTCCCTTAGAGACATCTGTAAACTCGTATTCGTGTGATGTTCGTGCATGATGTTGACAGGATTGTGTCGTATATGTTAGATAATTATCCGACAAGTTGTATAATGGCTCAAGCATGTTTGTATATCAACTACTCCTTAGAAACAATACTCTCATGCTTCTCATTCGAATTATATGGGTCGTATTAAGCCTTCTGGTTGTACCGGGACAGGCATTGATACGAATTAAAAAGCGACCAAACCATCGTTTGTTCACATCCCAGTTTACATCATGTTCTGTAGATTCTCCATTGCAATTTGAATTGTTTGATGCAACATATTATGCGCGGAATTTCTCTATTGTGTTCAATATTTATGGAAGGAGCTCGGTTGATATGAATGCCACATTAGACATTTCAATACTGGCATATGGAGCACGACGCTCGCGATTTGTGTTTGATCCCTGTGAAATTAATCTTGATTCATTTTGTCCTGTAACGAAAGATCAAAATATGTTCGCACAGGGAGTTTTACCTGTAAGCCCGCAAGACGCCGATACTATTCCAAGTATAGCATGGTCAATTCCTGACTTTGAAGGTCTCGTCACATTCCGCGTATTAAAAAAGGAGGACCTTAATGCAAGTTTGCCATTAGAGCAGGCTGCAAGCGAAGCACAACCCATTGCTTGTATGGTTGCCTCCTTGGCAAATAAGCACACGTTTCGTAATCGTGCCATTGTAGCTGTATCAGCAGCAGCAGTAGGATTAAGTTTTATTGGAAGTATTGGTTTCCTACTTATTTGCACAGGAAGAAGCATCAGTTTCGCTCACACAACAATCACTCATTCCATACCAACCGGCTTACAAGTGATTACCCTGTTTCAGACAATTCCTTTGATAGCAGCTGTTGGCGTACAACATTCAAGAATATTTACGGCGTGGGCTAGTAATTTTGCTTGGACCTTGGGATTCACAATTACAAGCGTTATGGAAAATACAATTAACAGATTCCGCAATCAAACAGACATGCACAAGCTGCAGACATTCCAAACAGTGAGCTTGGATGATGGCACAGACATTAGTGTGCCACGACTAGCACAAATGCCAGGGATATTCCGAGGTTTTCACTCGTTAGCCATTGACAGAGGGACGGTTTTTACTAACCTGTTCATGTACACTTTCTTTTGGCTCCTAATCTCAATTGGTATAGTTGTTGCGATGAATGTCACTTTCAAACTTTTTATGGCTATCATTACAAAAACCAAGCTAGCACAAAAAGATTCAAGAGTCTTTGTCCGAAAGTACTGGATTCGAGTGACATTTTCGTTTGTTGCGAAATGGGTACGCATGCCACAGTACATATAAGAAAATACTGTAACGATATCTAACCTGAGACAGTTACTCATGGCACTTCCCGGAATAGCCGTGTTGATTTTTTACGAATTCTCGCTGCAAGAAGCATGGGGTCCAATTCTGCTGGCAGCCTTACTGCTGGTTGCACTTGTCGCTCTGTTTACATGGTCAGCAATTCGAATTACCGCGTTGGCCAAATGTAGTTTGGAAACACTGGGAAATCCGAGAGTCCTGCTTTTTAGTCATCCAAACGGGTATACTTGGTGGGGATGGATGTATCTTCCGTTTCGTGAAGAAGCCTGGTCATTTTCATTCCTTCAACTTTTAAACATCCTTGCCCAGTCATTGGTGCTAGGTCTTGCCCAAGAAAAGCCAAAGATCCAGGTTATATTGTTGCTTGTGTTTCAGGTAATATGGGCTACTGCTGTTTTCTCACTTAAGCCATTCTGTGGACGGAAGAACATAGTATGTTCATACTTATGTGAAGTAACAAAGCTCGTCTCTATCATCTTAGTGACTCCCTTAGCCTGGAATTTATCGTCAATTGCCCGGACTATAATAGGCATTGTACTAATTATTATCCAGGGACTAATATTCGTCGTGTTCACGTTCTGGTCGCTTTGGAATGCAATTGAAATGCTGTTAACGGCTCTTACGTCCGCAAGATGGGAGCCCAAATGGCTTAAGAAATGCCAAGCAACCTATGAAGAACAATTGCAACCAACTGAAACTATTAGATCTTCTCAAAAGAGCGAAGACATCGTCACATCCATGACCCAAATGACACAAGCTAAGACACCAGACACAGAAGAAAAAGACATTATCCTTTAATAACTCTCATATTTTTGTCAATTTCACTCTTTCAATCCATAGCGCACTTCCTTATTTCAAATAATGAATCTTACCGTTTTTCACTGAATGAACTTCAACTAGTATATGTGTCCTTAGGTGTTTAAACAGTACCCAAGCAGCCTGGGACTAGAGGAATCTGTATCGTTCGGTATGATTGAGCTTGATTCTGTGACGAAAAACAACGTTAAGGTCTTGGAAACGATTAACTCTGTCTGTTTACCAACGACACAGTTTTCAGCTCAATTTTATAAGGACTCGCCCGCTATCGGTGACTTAGCTCAATTTGCATATTTCAACCAGATTTGCGTCGGCGCTGTAAGATGCAAGAAGGACAGTAGTCACAAGCAACCAAAGCTGCAAATTAACTCTTTGTGTGTTCTCCCTGCTTATCACAACCAAGGCGTTGGTTCCAAGCTGCTCGAGCATGCGTTGGAACAAGCATCAAACATCTCTGCTAAGGAGATGTATGTTTACATCAACAAGGACGATCAAGAGGCCATTGGCTGGTTTATGCACAAAGGCTTCACTTCACAGCCCCCTAAGAATGGAAACGAGGACGTTATGTTTGTCTCCAAGCAACTTAAGTAGGTAATAGAAAATCAAATCAATGAAACAAAAAGAGAAAAGAACGAACTATGCGTAGGAAATGGTGGTATATGTGCAAAAAGATGTGATAGTTGGCATAGATGTTCGAGTATGCATGAAACTATCGTTCAAATGAAAAGTACCATACGCAGCAGTTTGTTATCCATGTCAAACAGCTGTAGCTACGTCAACATCAACATCCATTGAATCAACGTTTTTGTTAGCGGTATCGTTTTCGTTTTCTTCATCTTGGATATTTTCCTCGTCAGAACTATTGCCATAATCGACAATCGCTTTCTGCTCATGTAAAACTTCTCGAAAGTCTCGATGCATATTGACTTCGTCAAATGTGATGGCAAATGCGTTGGCCCATTTGTCCGTTCCTAACTCGATTGCACTGGCAACGAAAGCCGCCCGAATCATTTTAATTTGAAAACTCTGTTTTGCAACATCATTCGTGCGATCAATAGGATCCTCAATGGATAGTAATTCAGGCCGTGCATCAACAGTCCATCCTTTTGATTGTTTTGTCACAAGCTGACCCGTCAGAGGCCGCAATACGAAAACATCGTAAGCCCATTTGTTGCCCCAGAAATCAAAAAATTGTTGCAATAATTCTCGAAGAGGAATCTGTTCAGCTGATATATTCTTTTTGTGATACTGCATTTCTAACCAGCCGATAATCATATAACTCAAGGCAGAACTTCCAAGTCCGCCAATATAGACATGATCCAGTCGTCGCTCAAAAAGCCAATGTTTTAATAGCATAAACAGTTTTCTGAATACAGGATGATTGTCGGCGTACTCATTTTGTAAGTTAGCACTACTTATGGCAGATGCATTGTCAAACGTGATATCCACACTCAGACCGCTCTTATCTCGAAAAAAGATCCGAGGAACACGGGCAGTTGCATGAAATTCTGCTCCAGCTGACAAGTGTTTGCGTATCGATAGTACAATTCGACGTTTTTGAATCTCGCCCACTTTCGGTTGAAACATATTTATGTCGATATCGCTTGAATGAATAACGGTTTTTGTACGCATGCTTCCATAGAACTCGAGTTTTGCATCCGGACATATTTCTTTAACGAGTTCCTCTATCCTTTGCAGCAATCTTTCTCGGTAAGCTTGTTCGTCCGGGGTACACTGAATGAATTGTATGAACGCGTTTATTCTTTCATCATCAGTTAGAGATACATTATTCCAAGGCGCTTCTTCAAGATCTACGAGTAAACGGCCCATTTTATTCTACCAGTACATGGACTTTACAACTCGCGCTGTATGGAATAAACCTAGGCGGAGACAATCGATTACGGTGAAAACAATCACTGTTTTCAGTTACAAGACAAGTATTACAGGATGCAGAGCAATTTCAGTTAAAAAATTATGTATCTTTCGTAATAATTTTTGCATGGAGATAATAGAGATATACAACCTATATTTTATTCGTAGTCATTTGTGAAATCATAAACAATAAATCTTATACCAGCGTCAAATTTAAACTAAAGTGTACAAAAACTATTGCTAATACCTTTAAATCCAATCCTATCACTCCTCGTCACTTTCGTCGACAATAATCTTGGATACCCTACTTCGTTTCCTTGATAATCCAAGTGTTTCATCGTTCATCTCATCAGAAGATGCATTGTCGAGTGAATAACTGTCCAGCAGTGAGAAATCTGTACCTGTTATCGCAGTGCTGATGTTATTTGTCTTGCCGCGAAGAGCGTTTCGCCTGCGAAGCTCCTCTTCTGCAGCAAAGAAAGCGGCATCTGCCTCTGGGTCGTCATCAGAATCAACGACAAATTTACTGCTTTTTATGGCAGACTTCTTTTCCTTCTCCTTATTCTCCTTCTGTTCCTTACGTTTGACAAGTTCTTCTTCCGAAATTTCCCTTCTTCTCTTTACTGGTTTGAGTTTAAGAGTTTGTTTTCGGTTAGCAAACGTGATTGGATCATCAGGCTCAAACTCATTGTTTTCATCCTCTGAGTCTGAGTCTTCAGAGTTGTCGGGAGAAGGAAGTCTGACATGTCCCCTAGGTTTTTTGATAAGCAGTGCTTCTGCTGTTGTGCCTTCGAAAACAGGTGGCTGCTCAGTAAATCGTTTCAACAATTGTGAGTATTCGGAAAGCTTTTCGTATGTAATCGATGAAGGGAGGAACCAAGGGTCTTCTGGGTGACGAGGATCAATGGGTTCTTGGAATTCTAAAAGTGAGAGCAACAAGCGAAACTTACCATCTTTCAATTGAGCATTTCTAAAGGCCTCTGTCTCGCCCTTTAAGTAAAAGACAGGTACTGCTAAAGGGTCTCTGAACTCATCATCAGGTGGTGCTTCTGTGTTAAGTGCTAGTATACGCTGCTCCCACGCTTTTCTCTCATTCATCGCAATACCAATGGATGTTTTAAGTTCATCCAACAGTTCAGTCTTCTGCTCGTTAATGAGAACTGCAACACAAACAGCAATTTGCTGCTCATAAGTGAGACCAGGAACAAGCTCGTATAAAGCACCCCGGCGAGAGACATGATTGTCCTTCGCAGGATCTTCTCCGTGCTGTAAATAATACATCGTGCCGGAAATTTTGGGAAACAAAAGTTCGGTATATAATGCGGGAACCCGCATCAAATTGTCCGTAAGCTTTTTTGCGTAATAGCGATAAAAAGCTTCAAACTCTTGTCTAGCTGGATTACTCCGCGGAAATCCTACATAATCGTCAGAAATTCTATCAAATAAACGCAGAATGTCTAAACGGTAAAGTAGAACTTGACATTTTTGGCGAACAAATATCCTGTGAAAAAACGTAATGACACGTAGAATCTGTACAGGAGATAGTTCTCGATAATGATACAGAAATGTAAGAAATGTATTCACACAAGCTTCGTGACAAAAGCGTGCCTCATACGCGTTGAAGCTGAAAAGCCGATCCTGTTCAATTGTATCGGCCTGTTCAATCTCCAATTTTTCTTCCTCGACAATGTCCAAATTAGACTTCTCTCTGTTTTGTTTTTTCCGTCTTCTCTTCACATAGAGATATTGTTTTGCACTCGAAAACAACTCAAGTTCCTTTAAAAGCACGGTAACAAACTCTGTAAGGGCATTTAAGAAACCAAACGATTGCAATCGGTACGACTTTAGGACAGATACAACGAGTTCCAGGTTGCTTTCTTCATAGAATAAGTTACTGAGCATGTTATCAGCTATGTCCTGAAACTCTTTTTCTGAACTTAAAGACATTGAATGAATAGTGGTAATCACTTTTGTGAAGGCGAGTAGTCCAGCTTGAAAAAGCGGCCATTGTCTCAGTTCGAAAGCCTCCCTTAACACACGCTGCAGCATAATTAAGGCTCGAGGATCGAGAACAGAAGCGACTAGACCGTATGCATAATCATTTGAATAAACACCCGACTTTACAGGGTCTTTTAGTATCAAGCATTCGAGGAAGAATGACTGCACATAAAAGTAGTACAGCCTATGAATTTCTAGAAACCTTGGTTCTTCTCGCTCCATTGCCCGAAGCAAACTCTCAAAAAGTGGGTTAAAACTCGAGTCCATGAATGTCGTGACAAAGCCGCGCAGAACAGTTTTTGCATCTGCAGAAATTTGTACGGATTTGTCTATGTCATCTACATTGTTCTTTTTTCGTTTTGCTCTTCTGTACTTTTTAGTAGAGTCAAGCTTTTCCAATCCCGTCCCTTGCATGTTTTGCCCAGTAACAGTATAACGGCGATTATCGCTTGATACTATGGAGGTCATTGTACCAAAACGGGTATGTCTTGTAGTCGAGTTTTTACTGTTGATCCGTTTCGAGCGCAGTTCATCTTGAAGAAGTTTGTTCAACTGGTTTTTGGCAGATTCCTCACTTGTGAATATAACTTTCGGAGCTATACCGCGAATTAAATAGTAAATTATCTCGAGAAAAACCACGTCTAGTTCCTGGAACTCAGCAATACTGGAACACGCAGTGACTATAAAATCAAGAATATGACTTGATGAAAACGAAAGTAGGGTTTCCGAGCGACTTTTAATTTCATCGATTCTCGAAAGATTCCTGAACAGATAAGTAATAATGCGAATGATGCCATTGTCTCGATCCGTTCGTTTTTCATAGGAAGTTGAAAGAGGACGAAGTAAAACGGCCAAAATGGACTTAATCACTCTATTTTTAGGATGATCAATAATAAGAGTCTTGTAGTCCTCTTGAGCTTGTTTGAGGTTTGGGAGCATCTCCCAATTTTCACGAGAAGTGTTTTCATCGGTCTCCAAAGGCCATGTCAATGGAACAAGAATTTCTAAACAGCCAAGTGCAATTCTCCAACTCTTTGGATTTCTGAAGTTCCCATCCCAAGAAGACAAGATTGAAAACAAGTCTTTTTTTACAAGGCAAAGTTTTGCCAGAACATAACGGACCTCGAAAGTGTCGTACTTCTCATCAATAAGACGCAGCCACCGCTTGATATCTTTTAAACATGTGAGTGCGTCTTCACTAAGAACGTAAGGCTCATCCTTTTGAGAGTAGTCAATACTACCGATAGCAGCTACTGTTCCCTGGACAGTAGTAAACAAGTCCATGGATATAGTCCACTATTGAGGAAAAGGGAAAGTTGAAAAAACAACCGTACACGTAATATGTAGTATTAATATAACTTACTAAAAAAGGTTGGAGACTTAACTTCAATATTTAGGTTGTTAAAAGTTAATTTACTTAAGACTTCAACTTGAAAGGGGTGGACTATATGATAGTGATGGCTGGAAAAATGTGACAGCGCACAGCAGTTTTAGCACGATAGATTTGGGCAATTAACAGACTACTTGATGTAATTATACAAATAAAATCGTATTTGTAAAGAAATTATTAAGATTGATAAATCAACGTTATTTCAAAATATTCGTCAAAAGAGCGTAGACAAATGACGAAGCACAAAAATCCTATAACTGTGCTTAACCGAGCCTTGTTGACCATTCGATAAAACATAAGATAATATAATAAATGATTTGTTTTGACTTAATTCGATTTGTTTGCTTGGTCATCTGTATGTAGTAAAGTGTAAAAAAGTAAAGGGAACATAAGGATAAACGTAAAAGGGGTCGTGGCTTACCAGAAACTGCACCATCCAATATAGCAAAGACAGAGATTTTCAATAGAAGTAGCTTGCTGAATAAGTTTCTCCACCTGACTAGGTACGTCAAGACTTCTATTAGGTTTGAAGTCTCTTCCGGACAGCTTGTTTTGAATCCTATTTAAAACAGTAATTGCCCGCTGATTTAACACCTCCGGCTTGTTATCATTGTCCTCCGCAGTCTCAACATGATGCTTTTTGCCAGGACTGTTTCCATATGGCTCAACAAGCTCTTCTTGTTTCGGGACAGCGTGGCCAGGCTTATCTGGAGGTGATTTAGATGTAACCAGTCGCCAATTAATTAATGGGTCATAAACAAAAGCCTCTAATACAGCCATTAGAGATTCCTTGTTTTCTCGAAGAACGCGCATAACATGCTCACAAGTGATACGGAAAGTACCCTCAATTCCACTAACCTCCATAGCGTTTACTAGCATACGAGTTAAACGGAACGGGATTTTCTCTGGAAACTTTTCACGGTGCATAGCAACTTCAAAACAATCACCAAAATCAATGTGAATAATCTTTCCAGTGTAGCGATTGAGCATCAAATTTGAAGGATGTCGATCACCAAGACCTAGTATATAACCGACCATTGACATAACTGCAAGGCTTCTTGAATAATTCGTCCGGCGATCAAGCCAAGCTTCAGAACTTCTGCTCTTTAACCATAGTACTCTGTAAAGATCTTGTCCTGTAGTACTTAGAAGAGCATATTCAAAAACTTCCACTTTTTGCAATACGGTAAGTCTATCGTAGTCTGGAGCCATCTGAACCATAAGTCGATGTTCGATATTAAGCATAATCTTGCGGCTTTCTCGATAGTCCCGAATTAGAACATGAAGAGTATCACTGTCAGGAACCCATCCAAGGAGACCCGAATCTGGAGATAAAGGAATAACCGGATAACGCTGGATTGACAATTGGCGCTTAAAAGTTTCAGCATCAATCTGGAGCAAATTATTACAGAGTCCAAATAATTGCATAACACGCTCGTCTTGACGAATGTCTTCGTGCCCCTTAAGCAGATATTGATAATCTTTTCCATCACTTCCTTTGATCGTAAATCTCCTTGGTCGTTGCTTCGAAGTAATAACAGTGAAGGTTGGCATAAAACTCATAATTTTAATGATAGGTTTTCCGCTAACATACGTTCCCGGTACAGCAAGCTCCAAGTTATGAGCATGTAAGAGCTTGGGTGACACATATTGAAGCTCAAGTGTGATTAATTGCGGGAGTTGCTTTCGAATTTTCTTGAACACTTGATAATATAAGTCCCAAGCCTGATTCAAATCCGAAATGTCACCTGTCTGTTCAAAACGAATGCAACACTCCCTAGCCTCAAGAAGATCCCTTCCAAAAGCCTGTTGGAAGGAAATTTCACGAAGAGTCTCTGGTCCTCGTTCAAGCATGTCATGTAAAGGACGCAATACAGCAAACATTCCTTCAATGTTGTGATCTCCGAAGTAAAGCCTCGATGCCTCTTCCAAACCCTCGTGCCATTGCTCATGCCAAAGAACAGCTACACGAATAAGTTCATGACTTACAATCCGCGCCTGTTCAACCAAGCAGGGACTATGCGTCTTTAACGAATCCATAATAGATAAAGCTGCATTTTGCCTGCTCGAACTTTGAGATTTCGCTGCAACTGTCAGGGGATAAACAAGAGCTTGAGGATGCGCCCTTCCAACGTCGGACAGAAGTTGGTGAATGGATTTTCTAACATTAAGTTTGGGCGAATGGATTCTAGCAATAAGTTGGGGTAACACATCAAGCCATATATCAATATTAACAGTGGAAAAGCCCTCATTTAAAGTCCGTATGACCTCATTACTGCTGCCAAACTTAAACCATAGACTAAGTAGTCTTAACGTGTCTTGTAAATTTCCTTTGCTTAAAGCGATAGAACGGAAGAAGCCACGAATTGCCGGAATAATGTATTGTTCATAAACAGAGGCTTGCAGCGAATCTCCACTTTTTTCCAAGAAAGAAACGACGTTGAAATTTGCAAGCGCCCATGAATGCCAAGCTTTATACCAAGTGGAGTCAAACTGAGTAGCGTAGAGATATGACTGAAGAACTCGGGAAGCAACTTCTAAATCCCATTTGTTTTCTAATTCTTGTTGCCATAATCCCTGCTTGTGATAACAACGAGCAAGCAAATGGAAATAGTAGTTAACTTCTTCTGGTGATTTTTGGCTATTCGATAAGTCGTTGTGAACGAAAAGTGCTGGATCAACATCAATTTCGGTGACCAACTGTGAGGTAAACTCCTGCATTCGACTAAGTGCTTGACGCTTGTTCTTAACGGACCAAAGGAACTTCAATTGAGCGTAAACAACCGCAGGATGCGGTTTTTTATTCGATGAGCCGTCAATGTATTCATCGTCCTCTAATAAAATCTGAAGTGATTTCTCAGCTAATCCAATTCTTCCAGATTTTCGACTCAAATTAGCAAATTTTATCCACATTTCCATGTTTTCTGAAGGGGAAATTACTAAAGCACGGACACGAAGCATTCGTTGCCATATATCTACATTTCTTTGACATCCCTTTAATCTTCGGTCCCAAGTCTTTTTTATCATCTCCCGAACCTCAAGATGATTTTCGGACTGTTTATAGCGAATAATCTCTTCCAACTCAGACAACATCTGAACTCGAACGACAACGCCATATGCTCTATTATAACTTTCACCAACCAAAGCGGTCAATTCAGTGTCAAGCAAATCTCGTGCCTTAGTGATATATCGAGAAGCTTCATCATATTGAGAACGATGCAACGAAACAATTGCACGAAAAAAAGCTTTATCGGGAGATTCAGACTTCATAACCGAAATATAGTCGTCCATCAATTCCCATTGTCCAAGGCCCCAAGCTGCAGCAACAGCAAGCGGTGCAATATAACGTCGAACATCTTGACCAGAATGATTCCATTTGTCTTGAGCAAGTTGAGATAGGCGCTCCCACTCCCCTAAGGCGTGAAGGCAACGCATGCGGCCCATTGTAATTTCAAAGCCTGCGTTTCCTTCTTTCTCTCTTTTTTCATAAGCAGCAAGCGCATCATCCCAACGTTGAAGCTTTTCATACCAAGCTTCCTTTAAATTAATTTGATCATGTCGCTGTGCATGCTTTAAGATACCAATGGCAGCGTCTGGCTGTTGGAGTTGATTGTTTATAGATATCAAAGCTTCAACTGTATCTGGGGAGGGTTTGGTTACCAACTCCTCTTCGATGAATTCGAGTTCCTTATAATGCAAAGCTTTTGCAAATGCATGACATTTTGCAGCATATGCACCAAGGGTGCGAATATCAATTGGAAGAGGTTTGTCATCATGTTCCATGAACTCTGCCAAATTCAAAAGAATCTGTAGAATCTCTGGGGGAATGTGAGGCGATGTCAAAGCAATTTCAATACTTTTAACCAATTCTTCTTGAAAATGATCGTATAATTCAGACCAACAAGAAACAAAGCTTGCATTAAAAAGCACTCTAGCGAGAGGTTGATATGTACTAGCCAGAGCAGCACATGCACGTAACGCATGAGATGGTGATTCCTTCAAGAGTTCAACACTCAAGCGACGTATCCACTCATGCCAGTCATCCTTCGTAGACCTTTGCGAAGCCTCCCAAGCATTTCTCAAAATTTCTTGATTAACGGGAAGCTTTTTAGCGGAAATATCGGCGGCGGATGCGACAACATCTATTTTCGGGGGATCGTACTTTTCATAAGGATTTAAGTCAATCGGTAGTGGTTTTTCGCTGAGTAATTTCTGTTCCAACGCAAAATATGTTTCATGAGTAATTCTGTTTACTCTTAAACATTTATCAACTATCGGAATAAAAACCGCATAGTCCACTTTCAATTGAAATACCAAAGCACATAGCGTATCGACACTGGTTCGCTGAAGTGAAGTATTACCGGACGCGATTACTCGAAGTATAGGATGAATAATTCTAGATGCATACTCAGTAAAGTCAATAGAAGTGGAAAGCCTTCCGAGAGTGACAATAACATTTTCACGAATAGCCGAAGGGACATCATTGCGTTCATACAAACGCAATAATGGAGGAAGCGCCAAATGGACATACTCGCTTAGTGTTTCACCGAAAACAACAAGGGCATGAAGTACTTTCTTCGTAGTAGCATTTGAAGGTGAGGTATCCTTTTCGAATACCTGTAACATCAGCACGAGTAAAGAAGGTAAGTAAGGCTTAAATTCACCTTGTAACGCTTTTGCCAAAGACTCAACCAACGATAAAATTGTTAACTGTAGCACTGAACCCGAATCCCAGAAATCTCTAATGAGTTTAAATACATCAGGAAGGAAGTTCCGAATATGTTGCCTTACGATCAGAACTAATATACTAAGTTGTTGAAAATAAAACTCCAAGATGTTAGCTGGGCAAGTGCGCATGATGGACAAAAACTCCGGAATAATTTGTGAGAGAAAAGGAGCACATCGAAGACCCATTGTTTTAAAAATGTACATTATAGCTTGAATTACCGCGGTATAATGAACACTTAAGGAAGAATCTCTTAAAATAGCCATTAAGGCATTAATAACGACCGTTGGATAATACTCTTCCGAAGAAGGGCCAATTCCTGACATTAATAGTGATATGTCAGTGGGAATGGTTTTCTGATCTGGCGCATATTTATCAGCGCTTTTCTCCAAGACTTGATGCTTGTTTGGATCCAAGGCGCCAAGCGTGCCAACAAGCTTAATGGTTTCTCTCCGGATTTTCACATCTTGTTCTGATTTAATAATACTCGTAAGGATATCCAAGAGCTCTGGGAATTCAATGTATGGGTCGATAACATAACCAGCACTTGCTGAAAGATTTCCCAGTGCTCTCAGCGCAGCTGTTCTCTTAATAGGAGAGCTTTGATCCTGCAAAGTCTCGATAATTACTGGCATGACTTGCCGAATATGAGGCGAGATACCTTCACCGCCAACTTTACACATTTCGCCAATGGCAGTAATAATGCTAGAAGCCACATCAGGACTTACATCTTTTGCTTTTGGTAATAAAATACCGAGAATGGTCCCGACGTGCGATTGAAACAAAGATGGCGCCGCAGAGATAAGCTGGCTAAGTAACAGTGCGCTTTCCTCCTTAGCACGGACAACCGTTGTGTAATCTAGTTCGGCTAAAAGCTTCATCAAATATTTCCTTAAAAAGGGCATAACATAGGCTGGATTGTGTAATACCAAACGGCCCAGAATCCTTAAGGCAGCTTCCCGAACGACAAAAACTTCATCATTCAAGGCGATAAAGAGAAGACGGATTTTGTCCGCCTGAGCCAAATGTTTATCAAAACGAGAATCGAGTGAAGTTAGAACAATTAACCGAATATCAGCGTCCATGTCCGCAATTCCCACCGTGAGTAGCTTTTCAAGAACTTCTGCGACAACTTGGATAGCATGATCACTCGTTTGATACAGAATTGGATCTTTTGCCAAAAGCTGACAACTCGTAACTGCTGCCGTTTTTCGAACCAAAATATTGCTATTTTCCAAATACGTCACAACATAGTCTTTGACAAACTCGTTTAAAATGTAACCAGAAAAATCAAAGTCTCCTAAGATTTTCAAGGCTAAAGAGTAGACCGAATCATCGTAATTGGGATATAAGGCGACAGGCTTTTTGTATGATTGAACAATTCTGGAGGCAAACTCATCAGGACAGCCAGGGGGAACGAATGGTCTCTTGCTTAATATGATGCTCAAAGTGTCAAGCAGACGACCTTGAACAGCAGGTAATAGAGCAGGAATGTGATGAGAGACGTCTGACAAAGTTTGATAGGCGGGTTCTGAAAGGCCGCAAGCAAAAATAAGGTCAAAAAGATCGTATGCGTACTTTGTAAAGCTTTGCCCTAAAGCAATAGCCAACATACTGATACATTGAAACAGAGAGGCATCTGGAACTGCACGGCTTTTAACACACATGGAAAGACTTTCTTTGATAGCGGAACATATGGGATCCAAATACAGGCATATACTAAAGGAAACAGCCATAGCAATTTTTCCAATAGTGGTAAACGCCAGGATTTTCGATTTTTCCTTTTTTAAAAGAGCTAACAAGTACATCATACATTGATTTAGATGTATGCTAACAAACTCATCAGGACTATAGGCGGCTAAAGTTGCAATGAGTTCAGTCACCGTCGCACGAACGAGTTGGTCGCGATGATCTTTATAACGCAAGATCATAGTAGAAACTTCTGTGTATCGCTCATGCATGAACATACCAGATTTTAGAAACAGCTGTCGATACGCAAGTAAACTGCCATGGATAGCGGGAACGGAATTTAAAGTCATTCCACGCTGGGCTTCACTTAGAATTTTTGAGTACCACTGTATCCGAATAGAGGCATCTCTGTGACGGATGATTTCTAAACATTCGCTTAGAGCTTCTGCTGAAGCGCATCGAATTAAAACCTTTGGATCTCGAAGACCATACCAAATTAACTCAATGATAGAAGCGACATGAGAATAAATTAAGGTTGATGTGTTATGTGCTAGTTCCTTAAGAATAAGAACGGCAGCATAACGTCTATTTTCATGTCGCTCACCTTGTAGCCATTCCAGAGCACGTTTGACTTCAAAGTTAACAAACTCTGAAGTTAAAGCACCACCAGGAACAGCTAGTCGACCCAACGCCTGAGAAGCAAGTTTAGTTGCCTGAAGGTCATTTCCTGGAAGAACAATGCGAAGGTAGTTGGCGAATCTAGTGATCCGAGTTGTGTCTTCTAAACCCTCGAAATCTATAAGTCGATTGATTGCAGTAACACCGCCCAGTCGATCACTATTATCTGAACTGTGAATCAATTCGTAGATTTTTTTGTTAATGTCATTATTCAGTTTGTTTAGGGCCTCTCTGGATAATTCGCGGGAAGAAGTTACCACGAAGTCGTAAAGCTCATTCGCTGCGCGATTTCGAACATTTGGATTTTTGCTTTTAAGATCATTAAAAAATTGCATTCTTAATAGAAACACTTAATGCTGCATATTATTAAAGCAAAGAAAGCTACGGGCGGCAGCTTTTTTAAGTGTGTTTCCTTCTCCAGATAAAGACACCAGAAAACCGTCGAGTTTTATCAATATGAAGACCTAATGGCAACAAAGATACAATTATCCAAAAAGAAATGTGTTGTTTTGTAGAGTATATGACGAGAATCGCAATTTCTGGCGATTTGCCGTCTGTGGTGGATGTTAGACACCAGCACTCATCAACACCTTCCTTTCGAGTTTGGACAAAAACAACTTTCATCCACAGTTTTCAAGCTTATGTTATTTAACTGTACATTATTGATTCAAGGCTGTTAATATTGAGTTTCTTTTCTTCTCATAAGCTCGCAATAGAAAACTGTCTCTGTAATTGACAAATAAAAAATTGGTACCACTCAAACGATTACCAGAGTGTTACGATGACTACAAATGCATTGAAACAATATCGGAGGACAATTCACGCTTTATCTTCTTCAAATTGGAAAATAACACAAGAAGGACGATGCAATGAAAATGTGCTTCGCTCAATTGCCGATGAATTAAAAAAAAATGACCTAGCTGAAACATACATCAAAACGTTAAGTACCTATAAATTTCTTGAGACCTGTCTTTGGCCAAACTTACAGCAAGATGCTACAGCTCTTCACGTAGGATTGACAGCTTTGTGCCTCTGTTACAAAACACGCGAAGCAAATAATACTTTTTGGGAAGGAATTGATGCTGATAAGTTCTCTATTCTTTTTCAAAATGCACTAATATTGTCTTTAAAGACAGAAGATTATTGGTCTGTCGTATGTCTTCAATTCTTGAATTTATGTTTTCTCTCAGTCGATGTTGCTTTGATCCGTCGGGCAGTTATAAAAGTTGTAGGTGTTGGTACCTGGGAAACAGTTTCATCGGTACCAAAAATCCTGGAATTGGTAAAAGAATATCCTGCTTATCAAAAAGCTTACCTCAATTATCAAAAGAAGAAAAAAGCAGGAGAAGCGGAGGATAAAGAAAATGTGTTCGCACCCTTCAAGTGGCTGTCTCTTCTTTTAAGTAAGGCTATGCAGCTTTCACAGCTTTCATCTTTTTCAAAATCGGTTGCTGCATATCTTCAGAGTGTTGTACAATTACTAAACTCTTTGATGTCTCAGTATCCCACTCGTCGGTTTACCCATTTTGTTATCGGGGAAAGTAATATAATCTCAGTACTTTCGTTGTCTTCACTTTTTGAAACTTCCGAGTCTTTTCGGTTTTTACTGAATCGGTTGAAAAACTTATTCCAATTTCCGTTTGATAATTCGCGAGGCATCGCCTTGTCAGAAGCGGAATGTATAAATAAGGCAAATCAAGGGCATAAGTCGTTTCAGCTCCTTCTTTTTCAAAAGTTTAGAAACATTGTCCACGATGAGTGTTTAGCAACAAGTCGTCAGCTACAGGATACATCTTTCTTACGAAACCTACTTGGAAAGTTTTCAGTTACTCAATTAAAAGATCTTTGTTCAGATCTATCCATCACTATGTATGGTCTTGAATTTATTCCGGAACATAAGGTCCGTAAGTTTATTGAGAACTTAGTGGCTTTTCATTTACAGAGATTTAATGGAGCAGACATTGAGAAACATAATGAGTTAGATCTGGAATCTCTTTTGAACAATGATCTTTACTCGCAGATTAGCATGTGGTCTGTCTGTAAGCCTTGGCCTTGCTGGGCACTGGCAATTCAATACCTGACTCCTTCGGCATTCTGTATGCAAATGGGGGAATTAAGTCGTCTCGCTCTCCATTACACTGTTCGAAAAGAGACAGTTGAAATGCTTCAACGTGTACAACCGAAGTTTGACTCTTTAAAACGTCGATTTGTGTTCTCTAAACAAAATAGTCGTGTTGTGCCGTTGCGCACTAGTAAACTTGTTAAAGTATATCCTCCCAAGGTTGGTAAAACCTATCCGCAATTCGTGAAGCTTAGATTGATGATTTCCAACACTAAAGATAAAATGTTTGATTCCGCATCTCTTCAAAAGTTATACCGCAAACCGCTTTATTTACTAAATTTTGAAAAGCCCAATACTCAACTTGTCAATTCAGCTCTCTCTAGCGACATTAACCTAATGCTCAAGTCCGGAATTAAAAATTCTGTTTATTGTCATCTTGAGGACATTTTGGATGAAAATGAAAATAGCCTTATTAATCTTGAAAGTGTCACGATTCCATCTACAATACTCGTTGACGTCTTATGTGATCCTTTCTTCAGTATGAAGCTGCAAAATACGTCTGATATCAAGCGTCAGTATGCTTCATTTAATCTCCTTTTCTTTTTCAGCGATAAAGTGTTTGAACTTCGTGAGTATTACACTATGTTTGCCAATCAGTTATCTAAGAGTTTCTTGCCTCAATGGTTAGAGGATGTGTTCCTTGGTTTTGGTGATCCGGCAGCTGCTACTTCTGTTGCATTTTCGTTTCAGTCTTTACGTCTTCAAAATGTGTTGAAGCCAGAACACCTTCCTTTATTTCAAATTCCGTCGGATAACGAAACTTTACCCAATGACGTTCTTTTATCAGCAAAGTATTCTAACGACTCAATTACTGGAGGCATTTTGCCGATCAAAACCGACACTACACTTAAAGTATTTCAAAAAGCTTCTTTTAATGTACCGTCTTTCACAACTTCGCAGTTGCATGCCTTTCTGCAAGCTGTTCAGCCGGGTCTAACCCTTATAAGCGGGCCTTCGTGTTCTGGAAAAACGACAATTGCCGTGAAACTCGTTGAGACTTTGAGTAAAAATTATGGAAATGAGCGTGTACTTGTTATCTCTCCTTTCATGGATAAGTTGGAGTATTTCTTCTCATTATTAAAGTCCTCCGCTATACCGGAACGATACTTATATTTGTTTTCTGAAAGCCTAACTAGTGCTGCTGGTCTACACTTTCTGTTTGATCAAAAAAATAATGCTTTAGAATTGATTGCGGCATTGGCAAAAAGTCTCAATCTCACAGAAGCACATGCTGCTTCCTGTGAAAATGCACAGCACTTTAATGAAGCTTATGTGAGGCCCATGTGGAATTCTTACAAAGAAGGCGAAGTCGAGACTTTTCCTTTCATTACTTTTTTGAAGGAAAAACTCGGTAATGAAGCTGATCGTCTCTTAAAAAGCAGCTCAACTCTTGCTGACCATTTTTATGAGTATATACAGGAGCTGTTCCTAACAGTAGGTGAATTAAGACCTTGCGAACTCATCCAGAGCGCAACACCCATTCAGGACTACATTGTTTCCAAGCAGGCCAGAGTTCTGGGTATCACGTGCAAGGATTTAGTTTTGCAGAGTGGACACTTGGAATCAATACAGGCAAACTTTAATACTGTTGTTATGCTTGATTCTGAAAGTATTAGTGAGGAGTGTGCCTGTTGTTTGCTGCGAACCTTTGGAGCCAGTTCTGTAAAACGACTAGTGTCTTTTGGAGACCCATATCAAGACAATTTTGACGAACAGATAAGCGTGTTTCGGCAGGCTTCCAACTTTGGACGGTCCTTATTTAAGAGACTTATTCGATCATCTGTTCCAACACTAAGACTTTCTACACAATGGGGCGTTCGAGAAAGCATATCAGCTCTGTATAGATGGCAATACAGTGTGGAATCTCAAAATGAAAAAGTGTCTACGGATTTGATAATGCCATCCCTGACGCATGCAAATACTGGTTTCTCTTGTACCTGCCAGTTTGTCGATGTTCCACATTTTAACGGAGTTGGCGAGTCCGAACCTGTTCGTGGATTTAAACAAAATCTCGGAGAAGCAGAATACGCAATTGCAATTTATCAATACATGCGCATGCTCGGTTATCCGAAAGAGAAGATCGCAATTTTGACTCTCTTTGATGGACAAAAGGCTCTACTCTCAGACATTGTCAAAGCCAGATGTGATCAAAATTCCTTTTTTGGAAGCCCACTTATTCTTGACAACGTCACCACATATGGCGGCCGTGCCGTTGACTTTTTAATTTTGTCAATGGTATCTACAAAACACATTCCCGACGAATGGTGTCTATCACAACTGACGAAGGCTTTTAGCTCGCTAAGCTGGGCTTGTATGTGTTATGCAACAGAAGCTTGCTTACAAAAGCATCTAATTTATCAACGATGAAGGATGTTGCACTTTCTTCACCAGCCAAATTGTTATTGACTGCCGGAAAGGTCTACCCAGATGCATATTCATTAGAGGAAAAAACTGAAACATTTGAAATGGAAGATGTGGTACATCTATCCCGTTTTGTTTCCGACATGACGAAAAAGGCGTTAGAAGTTTCTAAAGCTTGAAGTAATGCGATTTGGATTTAAAATCCGTACGATTAAAATGTATAGATGCTAGCTACGAAATAATGCAATTGTAGAAATTCAGTTACTTGTTCTAATCAGTATCAATTGGCTTGTGACACGGTGTATTTGTTTATTATCTGCTCGACGGTACACTCATTTGACTCTTTGGCTTTAATGCCGCTCATTACTCTCGAACTGCTTCTAGCAGTTCGAGAGTAATGAGCGGCGATAGCGAAAGTGTCACTCGTTTACATTCAACTGTATTTCAGCTTTACTTGTTAATTCTAATATTACTCTTAGCGACAGCCGCTCTTCCTGGATTCACCATCTTAGCGATATCTCCGTCGCGGCTAAAGTAACAATGTGACTGCCACTTAGTACACAAAATATGGTTCAGACAGACACATGGATGGAAGTCTGTCAATAAATAGCACATTTCCGACGCTTTAACGTTAGCGTTTACTTAAAATTGTGTTCTATTACTGTGCGTCCAGTTAAAAATGTTAAAGAATATTATTTTGGGAATATAGTTAATCTTATCTCGAATGCGAAAGTGGCATTTTTTGCCGAAAATAAAGTTAAAGAAAAGGCCTTTAGGAGTCTTATTATACTCGTTTTTGTTATTGAATTGGTCTTACTACATAAAGGCTTTTCCGGTTTCTTTTTTCTTCTTTTTTTGTCTTCAAAAAAACTACCAGTAAAAAGTCTTAAAGTCCAGGTAGAGTTGGATTAAATGGGGCTTGTTTTCTTTGTTCTCTAACAATTGTTTTTATTGACAGGAAGGAATTCGTTCTTTTGTCGCTCGTTTTGGTTTGCCGTACCTATGTAAGTTTGCTATTCCGTAGTTTTACTGTTCTGTAATATGACAACTGTCTTTCTACCTTGTTTTTCACTCTACATGTATTGCGCTTCGTAACGATTTTATGTTTGGCTGTAACATCCGTTTCTCTTTCCTACTCGTCCCGTTTTTTTCGATTTTTTTTTCTCATATATAAGTTGGATCTTTGTACCTATTTTACCGTTGTCAAAATTCTGCAAGGTGGATCATCACGATGATTGAGGAACTGGTCACAAAGTATGCAAATGCGGTATCAAAGAATACTCGTATCAATGCTCTTACAAAGCTGAGAAGCCTTGACGCTTTGAAAAAGGAAGCTACCGCTCTTTCAAAGATTGGCTGTGAACTGCCTCTGAAAGGTCGAATTTTGACAATCAAGGAGTGTATTTGTACAAAAGAAGATACGGCAACATCGTCTTCTAAAATTCTTGAAGGTATGGACGAAATCTAGTTCGGTGAATTTTCTATTTATATCGCCTATCTATCTAATGAGCCGTAAACTGAAAAAAAAAAGAAAACAAAGTTTTTGTCGAGGAACTGAACACTAACGGGTTAATGAATAGGCTACCAATCGCCGTTTGATGCAACGATCGTAAAACTTTTGCGAGATGCAGGTGCTTTGATCCTTGGTTCAACTAACATGGATGAATTTGCCATGGGTGTTAGCTCAAACAACGAGTTGTTTGGCCAAACGGTGAATCCTTTGTACGATCACGACTCGTTTGTCGCTGGAGGAAGCTCGGGAGGTGCTGCTGCTGCTGTTGCCGCTGGAATGTGTCATGCCTCTATTGGCACAGACACCGGAGGATCCATTCGTTTGCCTTCGGCTTTTACGGGCGTTTTTGGCTTTAAGCCGACGTACGGTCGTATCTCTCGCTTCGGTGTCATTCCATTCGCAAATAGTTTGGATACTATTGGAATTTCTGGCGATAGCATTGATTCCGTTCGACGGATCTTTCATGTCCTCAATCAACATGACAAAAATGATCTCTCTTGTATGACTAACAACCAACGTACAAAAGTCGACCATTTGATAAAAAATAGTAGCTCGAACGAAAAACCTGTCGTTGGCATTCCCACCAACTGGAATGTCGCCGAACTTGAGCCAGCTATCCTGGACAAGTGGAATGAATGCATTGCCAAGCTGGAAGAGGCCGGCTGCACGGTGAAGGAAGTGTACTTACCGAACTCTTCGTATGCTCTGAACATTTATTTCGCAGTAGCATACGCTGAAGGGCTGTCCAATCTTGCTCGCTATGATGGTGCTATGTTTGGTCAGCATTTAGTGGACGAAGAAACCGGCCGTCGACTCTCGGTCAAGGAAATTCGGAGTATGCTTGTGGGTGAGGAAGTTCAAAAGCGTGTTCTCTTGGGCGCATACTCTTTGCGTTATGGTTCGGAAAAAGGATTGTTCAAGAAAGCTCAACAAGTTCGTCGAGAAATTCAGCGCGAGTTCAACAAAGCCTTCCGTATGCAAAATGCTTTGTGCCATGACGATGAGTGTGGAACTGTGGACTTTATCGTTGCACCCGTTTCTTTGAGTTTCTGCCCTAAAATTGGAGCTTCTTCGCCGAATGACCTTATTACTGATGCACTACTTATTCCTGCAAATATGGCAGGTGCACCATCAATGAGTGTACCTTGTGGAAAAACTCCTGAAGGTTTTGATGTTGGACTCCAGGTCATCGCTCAGTTTGGTGACGATGAACGTTGCATTCAGTACTCTGATCTTGTTCATCGACTTATGAACCCGGACCAGGAGAACGTGAAACCAACTTCGAAATCTGCTGTTAAAACAGAACACTAGAGTTTAATCGTGATTACTTCTGCTGATTCCACGAAGACTCCACCTTTCTTTTTGTTCGCGAATCACTTTACCGCTTTTCATACCCCTTACAAACGACCGCAAAAATCCCACCTTATTCTTTATTTATATTTATCTTTTGGTTTTGAAAAAAATTGGGATGAAACTAGCATTTAAATTTGGATCCGGTTTCAAATCAGGCTTAAAGGCCACGATGGCGTGTATGGATGATATTCTGGATAGTTATATATTATCTATTATTTTGTCTTTCATAGTTACACCTAGAATGCAAATACATTGTGTTTGTTTTACAAGGAAAAAAAAAAGAAAAAAACCTCCGTTTAGCTTTCAATAAACAGATCCTCCGTTATAAAGTTGCTCGTCTTAAAATTCTTGTAGCCTTTTCTCCATTTTCTTCTTCTCTTACGCACCCGTCTCTCTGGGCTTATTTCAAAGCATTCCTAATTGACTCTTTAAACTGAACCAGTATTCCTCCATTGCCACTACGCGTTTTACTTTTGTATTTTTATAAGTTAACGTGCAAAAAGAACACAAGGAACGTCTTTTTGAAGGTGGGTTTTATATTGTTCCTGTAGTTTTGTCTGAAATTTATCTGTAAAGACACTATTTTCATGGCTTCTAAGCAGTGGGGAATTACGCCTCCCATTTCGACAGCACCGCCTACAGAGAAGGAGAATGCTTTGAATACAGCTCTTGTGAATGAGCTGAAGGCTCAGAATCTGTTCGAATCAGCACAAGACTCTGAAAAACGTGTTCGTGTGTTGCAAGAGTTGCAGGCCATTACAACTGAGTTCGTTAGAAAGGTGTCATTGTCAAAGCATATGAGCGAGAAAATGGCTAGTGAGTCTGGTGGAAAGATTTTTACATATGGTAGTTATCGTCTTGGCGTCTATGGCCCTGGCTCCGATATTGATACCTTGGTCGTTGTCCCTAAACATGTCTCTCGAGAAAATTTCTTTCAAGATCTAGAGCCTATGCTCCGTGCGCGTCCTGAAATCACAGATCTTGCTGCCGTTCCCGAAGCTTACGTGCCCATTATTAAATTCAAATTTCTTGGCATTAGCATCGATCTTATTTTTGCTCGTCTTTCTATTCCCCGTGTGCCACTAGACCTGGAATTGAGTGATAGTAATTTGCTTAAGGGTGTTGAAGAGCGCTGTATTCTGAGTTTGAACGGTACTCGTGTCACCGACCAGATTTTACAACTCGTTCCTAACCGTGCTGTTTTCAAACACGCGCTCCGTGCTATCAAGTTTTGGGCTCAACGAAGAGCTATCTACGCTAATGTTGTTGGTTTCCCAGGAGGTGTCGCCTGGGCCATGATGGTTGCTCGGATATGTCAGCTTTATCCTAACGCTGTGTCCGCCGTTATCGTTTCTAAATTTTTCCGTATTCTGTCACAATGGAACTGGCCTCAACCAGTGCTCTTGAAGCCCATTGATGATGGTCCTCTTCAAGTTCGTGTTTGGAATCCCAAACTGTATCCTTCAGACAAGGCTCACCGTATGCCCATTATCACACCTGCTTATCCGTCCATGTGTGCTACACATAATATCACCCCTTCTACACAAACCGTCATTCTTCGTGAAATGGCTCGTGCTGGTTTAATTGTTGACGACATTATGGCCGGCAAAAAGCCTTGGTCAGCTTTGTTTGAAAAACATGATTTTTTTCATCGCTATCGCTACTACCTTACTGTCACTGCCGCTTCGAAAACAGCTGACAGTCAGCTGAAGTGGTCTGGACTTGTTGAGTCTAAGCTCCGTCACTTCGTTACTCGTCTTGAACTTGTTGATGCTATTACGTTAGCCCACCCATTCAACAAAGGCTTTAACAAGATTTATATGTGCAAAACGGAAGAGGAAGCACAACAAGTTGCCAATGGCGTTTCAACTGCTGTCGTAGCAAAGGACGCTAATCTGGAGGAGGCTGCCAAAGCAGGAGACCAGAATGAGCACAAGGAAGGCGAAGGCGATGCGGCTGATGAGAAGAAGTTCTCCGTCTATACAACTACCTTTTATATCGGTCTTGAAATTGAAAGAAAGAAGGGTATGCATTCGATGAGTATTCTACTAGAGCATTTCCTTAAAGAAACTACAAATTGTACCCACAGTTTCTGTGAAACGCTTCTTGTTTTGCTCTTACACGCACCATTTATCTTTGTTTTACTAACTCTGAAAACTAAGGTCCCCAATCAAAACGCCTCGATATTACCTGGCCTTCACAAGAATTTTCCGAAATGTGCAAAAAATGGGACAAATTTGACGATACCATGATGACCGTCTTCATTAAAAACACACGCAAGTATGTGATGCCGATTTTAGACTTTAGAGCCACAGATGAACATTTCCAACTAACACACAAAATAGTTACACCCTTCCGGACGAAGTCTTTGAACCGGGAGAAGAACGCCCTAAGCCCCCGACAAAGAAGAGAATTGCTTCCGCCGAGAAGAAGACGGAAAATGATGTATGTGTTTCCTGTTACAAGAATGGTTCAAGCTCAAGACATGTTTCAGAGTTAAATTGACCGAATCATTTCTTTTACCATCTTGTTTAGCCAAACTGTTTGCTAACGCTTCTTACCCAGCAGGTTCCAAAACGTCAAAAGGTTCCGCAAGCCTAGACACCTTAGTTTACTTGGTATGCTACTAAGTACTCTTCACTTATTTTACCTTTCTCTCTTTCTCTCTCTCTCTCTCGTAACACACGTATACACACATACACACACAGCTCTTCTTTAAAATGCACAACCTTGAAATCACGCCTGTGCTACACCCGCCCAATTTGACCCTTGAAAAAGTGGACTTTTCTTACACACACGCCAGCGCGCGTCCCACACAAACAGTGTTGTCGTTGTTTGTTATACAAAACGGTAATCCATAGTCCACAAGACTCTTTACCATCTTGTGTGCTATCGTTCATGCACAGTAACTCGTTAAATATAGAAAGGTCATATTCGTTGAAATTCCATAGCAGATAGAAAGTAGTGAGCTCCTTTCATCAAGGGAGGAAGTAAGAAAGGATGTTATGTCGTCTACTCGGAAGAAGAAGAAGAGGTGAAGAGGTTCTTAATGCGGCTAGGGCTAAGCACACCATTAAGGGTGAAATCAAAACCAAGAAAGTACAGCGTGACGCCCAACGTAGTGAAAATAGCAATGAGACCCATGACAAGACTGAGGGCGAAGTATTGCATAGCCTCCTTGTGCTCTTCCTTTTGCTTTTTAGAAAGAACAGCCTTTTGACCCTTCTTTTGAGCCTTCATCTTAGTAGCCACAGCTTGTTCATACATATCACGGAAGCGAGTAGGGAAGGCAGTTTCACAAGCTTGTTCCACCTTACCGCAAGCGATAGAGATTCTCAAGAAATTAGGGTCATCAGGAGTGTTTTTGGCGTGAATTTCGCGGGTGTAACGCAAGAAAATATCACAAACAGCTTTAATGTTCATGGCGTACATGATAATCGTTACAGCTTGTCCCTTGCGGATTTTAACATTCGTTTGGAAAGTCTCGGGGTTCTTGAAGACAGCGGCAAGCGTAGCAATGGCCATGCATTGAGGAATCGCAACAAAGTTGAACACCTGCTGGTTTTGAAGTTGGCACAAGTATTCAATAGCGCTGGGAGCGTGCTCCAACGCATTGGCAACGATCTCTGACAAGCAGTAAAGAGCCTTTACGTTACCGGGCTCACAGAAGCTGCCAAAATCGTCGGTGTACTTGGACCAGATGGCACGGGGCCAGAATTGGCGCTTGTCTTCAAAATCTTCACGATAATCACGGATAATGTTGGTCTTCTGCAAGAAGAGACCAACCGAGTTCGAGAGTGCAGGTTGCTTGGCCAGATCCTTGGTCTCCAAATCACTGTTTGCAAACAGACGAGAAAGACCCTCGCCAACAAGACCGGCAACATAATGGCAGTACATATCAAAGTCCTCCAACGACTCGACCGAGTAACCATCATGTTCCTCAGCAAGTGTAGCATACTTGGCCATGCCGCTGCCCATTTCCTTCGCAATGCTAGAAATAACGTCACGGTAACCCTGCTTCAAGTTGTGATATTCAGCAATAACGACCTCAAACTCAACAAGCAGCTGACGGTCCTTTTCGTTAGGTCCACTCTCCTTGAAGTTCCAGCCTGGTTGCTCAATGAACTTATAAAAGTCCAGCAACAAGGGTTTCTTTTTCTCCAGAGAGATCGTCATATCGTCTTCAATAGTGTCCAGACCTCTCAAGACCAAGTAGAAGATCATGACTGCAATACGCAGCTCAGGAGTCAGCTCCATGATCACTGCAGCGAACGAACGAGATGTGAGCTTCAGAAACTCGTAGCAACGACGCAGGTCACCGGGAATAGTTTCATCCTTTTCAAAATTGGGCTCGTCGTGCCACAGCTTGTACTGGCACATGCAGCGAATTTCTTCAACTCGATCAATGATTCCCATCGTGCTTATTTGTTTTTGATACAGGTTCTGCTGTTTCTGACGACGATGTAGCGGGTTGGCACGAGGAAGCTCTGGAGTGGAGTATCAGCAAGTGTGTGTGGGGAAGGAAGGCGGGGACTGTGGGAGCGAACACTCTGGCACGTGTCGATGGAAGCGTCATGCGGGGTGTTCCCACCACTACCACCACGAAAGTAAACATCTAGCGTGGGGTAAAGAGTTTTAGTCAGCAGCCGTTGAGCCGAATTAGCTAAGCAGACAGGAGGGTAGTACCCGACAAGTCATTGTCTCGAGCAAGACACTTATCGCTGCGTCTGCAGCGGTCTCTGCTTAACCCGTCTCTCTCTCTCTCTCTGTCTCTGTCTCTGTCTCTGTCTCTCCCCGTGCAACTTCGTCTTCGCTACGGCACTCGTTTCTCAAACATTGCCGGCACCAGTCCTTCCACCTCTGAAGCAAACGTTGTCGAATGAGAATGACATTCAATTCATGAAACTCCAAGTCGAAGAGTAAAAGCTCAACATGAATGAGTCGAGACGGGAAATTAAGTTTTGTCGACAAACAGATATGCTGCCGTACCACTGGTATGCAGGCCCTCCTGAGATCTTTAGTCTAGCTTACCATACAAGTTCGCCAGAACAAAAGTTAAAGTTATACTGCACAACGGCAGAGTTGTCGAGAATAGCCAGCGGACTGTAACCAACCGCAACAACTGTTGTATCATTCAGGATTTCATAGCGAGGAAGACCGGCAACAGCGACTCCTTTGTTGGAGAAGCTGACACTGCCGCTGGACACGCCTGCCGGCATCCACACTGTGCCAAGAACGGTGGCGCCGATTGAAACACGGACATTGTATCCAACTGGCGAGAAAGAAATGAGCGTAATCAAGTCCTGCAAGTTTTCGACATTCTGAGGCTTGCCAATTGGATCACTGGTTGCAGTCGCCGAAATTGAGTGGATCCGGTGCATGAAGAACAATCTACGGGCTCCGTCGTAGTCTGGAGGGAGGCCGGTCGTGTTGTTCTTGTACATGCTGATGAAGTATGGGAGCGTACGACCAATGGCCGTGTGCGAGAAGGCATCGACCCATGCGTGTGAGGTTTGTCCGTCTACCGGAAAGTCAGCGCTGTAGTTTGTTGGACCAACGTAATGGCTCTCGCCATAGTCGTTCCACGTAAGCACCTCGATGTAATCGGGTTGCAAAGTAATAAGGTCCATCCAACGCTGATACCACAACCCCTCACTGAAGAATGTGTAGTTTTTAGAGGTAAAGTGTGTAAAGAACAGCGGGCTTATTGTCGCCATATACTTCTTGCCGACACTCCGGGCATTCTTCAAGTAGATCTGGTCTTCTGCTACCGACAGCGGCGTACTGGTGAAGTAAGGCCAAGCATTCCACTTCATGAAGCCATCGGCAACGGGGTAGTTCTGGTAAATTGTGTTCGCATCCAAGGACCAGCTAGGCATAAAAAAGGCATTTACACCCTTAGAAGCCAGCGCGTCCTTAAAGTTCGTTTGCCAACCCTCATTCACCGACGTACCCCCTAGCATGAGCGTCTCACCTGCAAATGTACCAACCAAAACACAATTATTAATTGTTGCTTGGTGCGTACGGCTGGCAAACGTCGTGATATAGCTTACAATCGTGTCTGCAGACACGTCGGCCATAACGGCCATGTCAAGAGATATGAACAAGTAGAAATCCAAGCTCAGTGCATCAGCGGCCGCATAAACCAGCTCAAGCTTACTCATCATCCAGTAGTCATTGCCGATATTCAGTGCAAATCCATCCACACCGGCTGCAACAGCGTTGGTGATGTCTGTTTCAAAGTCGGATTGGGAATACGTATACGTAAGGCCCATCATAAAATGAGCAACCACGTCCTTTTCACCGACATTATACGTTTGTGGACCGACCACTGTCTCGTCACGCTTGGGCGACTTATGGTGAGGATGATGATGCTTCGACTTGTACCACTTCATGTGACGGAGAGGGGAGCGGAGGATGTCGCCGAGCGATTTATGATGAGTCATCGACAGGGTCTGCATTTCCACAAACTGAATTGACGCCGGTGACGGCTACGGAGGCTCTGGTTAAGGGAAACGAATGTAATTGAGAAAGAAGTAAGCTCTTTCCAAAGAGCAAAAAGCGCGTCGGCCCCTTTTATAAAGAAACAGAAAACCAAAACATACACTAGAATTTCTACAGAGATACAAGTTGAATGTATCCTACACAATGGAACTACTCGTTGCTCGTTCTATGACAGTCATGCGCGTCAATTGTGCATCCGTCCATGCATCTCCATTTTTGAATGACGCCAATTCCAAAGGCACCTTCATAGCTGGCACCGATCTGTTGCACCTCCCCAAACAAAAAAAAAACTAGTGGATCAAATTGTACGGCATACCTCCATAATCATTTTAAAAGAAAAAATTGGTCGTTTTCGTGTTTGCATTACTGCCAAAAGAAGGAAACTAGTCGGTGACGTCAGCTCCTGCCTTCAGGAGGAGTATCATTTTTTAGGTTACGCGGGGCAAGGGGCCATGCGCACAGCAAGCAAATCGCGTATGACGTTTTTGTTTACAGGCGAAAGGAGTGCAAGAAGTGGAAGAGAAATAGCAAGCAAGCAAGAAGCCTGTTGGCCTACACAACTGCCATGCACATGTACAGAAAGCACAGTGCAGAATCGATGTGTTTGTGGTAAAAATTTATGCGTGTGTGATATGTGTGTGAGCTGAGAGTCTGCATGTTTAGAGTATAGCGAAGTTGCAGATGAGGAGTTTAAAGAATAAACGGGATGTAAATCTTCCGTGAACGAGGGTAGTTAGGGAACTCCTTAAGGTAACGAGCGTGCTTCTTCTTGGCCCAGAGCCACATTTGTGTCGAGCTAACAAAAAGGAAGAGCCAGGCTAAAGACGAAAAAGGTTAGTGAATGGTTTACGAAAGAGAACATTAGTGGGGGGTGTACGTACCAGCATAAGAGTTGGTAAGCAAGGCAAAAGCAAACCAGCAGAGGGATTCGAAAAAGTAGTTGGGGAAGGAGACCCAGTTAAAACCATAGCCATAAGGGATCACATGTTTGCGAGAGCCAGCAGGGCGAAGATCGCGAAGAATTATATGGACTTTGGCGTTGGAAATTTCAGCAAACTAAAGGAGGGCAGATTAGTAAAGGTGCAAGAGGCAAACGAGGAAAGGATAGGTGCAAGGGACAAACTCAGATGAGAATAAAAACGGGAGCCGTGCGCAGACACAGGCCTAACACAGTCGGACGCCAGCATAAACCCTCTTGTTTTTCCTGTCCTTCCACACTATTTTCACTTTTACATACCAACCAGAGACCGGTAAGCGAAAGCAGCTTCTTCACCGAGATGACATCCGTAGCATGCCAGGGTCCATATACAAAATAAGCCAAAAGGAATCCAGAAAGAACATGATAGTGGAATGAATTCTTAAAGATGTTTCGTAAAGGCATAGTGTCGGCCGAGAAGCGGTGAACGAAAATACTTTCGTACTCGCGTTTCAAAAAATGAAGCATTACCATGACAAAGGCGACCAGCTGCACCGTGGACAGGGAGTATGAGCTACCATAAATGCTCTTACGGTAGTACACAAACAGGGGATGGATAAACAGAGGACCAAGATACTCGTAAATGAACACAGTTCTCCAACCGACCTGGGGACCCAGATCCTTTACCCACACAGTCGTTCCACCGCCAACTCCATAATCTCTTAATGTTTTTCCGTCTGCGAGTACCGTTCCGTCCACAGTACTCAAACGCAAACGATGCAAAGGCAGTTTTGTATTCTCGGAGATTTGCTGCTTTAACACTTCAATTCGTCCGTTGAGGTCAAAGTCAACACTCTTGGGCAATCCGCGGATCTTTTTTCCTCGAGAAGCAAGATTCAGCGTCATGTTTATGGTGAATGATAAAGCTACCGCGTTTCGTTCTGGGTAGGTGCAACGTGGGTTGGGTAGCGCTATTGCTCCTACGCTCATGGTTCGAGCATGCCATGATGTCAGAGCGTGGGGAACATGGGGCACATTCGGCGCACGTGGGGCGGGGATTTCAGGGGCCTTCTGGCCAGGATATACGGAGCCGTACTGAGACGGTTCGTAGCGCCGTTCGAGAACGTTAGTGTTCGCTAACCTTATTTGCAGCCATGCGACAAAGTGCGAGGTGAAGCAAGGGCGAAGCTGACAAGAACCAAAATTGTTATCGGCGCGAATTCGCGTGCGTTTACAGAGAATTCTGCAGAAATTCGATCAATTTCAGCTTGTTTCCTTCATAGGCCACCGTTTTAATGGAAAAACTAAACGGTGGACGTCTACGGATTGGCGTCTCCTTCTTGGCCTTTGGTTTGCTAAACAATTTGCTTTATGTAGTCATACTCTCAGCTGCCCTCGACTTGGTAGGCAACAATGTTTCTAAAGGAGTTGTTCTGTTCTCCAACATCCTTCCCTCTCTGCTCTGTAAAGCTTCAGCACCTATTGTTCACTTGAACGAGTACTCACCAACGTAAGGATACGGGGAGTGGAATAGGTTGTTTAGACAGAGGGTAACTGTTCTTTTTTGATTGTCTCTATCTCCAATTCACTTGTTCTCCCTCCCCTCGTCTATTCGCACACTAACATATTGCAGGAAACGTATCCACCTCTGTGTGCTTCTTTCTTTTGTGGGGATGCAATGGGTCGTATGGTCACAAAAAGTGTGGTTGAAGATGGTCGGTGTGGCCATTGCAGCCGTGTCGTCGTCTCTTGGTGAAGTTACGTTTCTACAGCTGTGTCATCGATATCCATCAACTACGATGGCGTTCTGGGGATCAGGCACCGGCCTTGCTGGTCTGCTTGGCTCCTCATGCTACCTTGCGTTGACGGTCTACATTGGTCTGTCGGTCCACACGACTCTGCTGTCGTCGAGCGTGTTTCCGTTGCTCATTCTCGTATTTCTCTACTTCGTGCTACCTAAGCCCGAATACGAGCCTGTGTCGCCCCCGTCACCCTCTGTAGCCGGCGACACCCTACTGCCCATCAGCATTGCCGGAGGCAGCGGCAATGTTGCTTACAAGCGCGGCGGTCTGCTTCGATACATTGAGTTCGTTCTCCGGCTTTGGAAGCCGTACTTTGCGCGGTACATGTTCCCGCTGTTCCTTGTCTACTTCTCCGAGTATACAGTAAACATCGGCATTGCTCCTACCTTACTATTCCCCCTCGGCAACACAAGTTTTAAACAGTATCGCGACTTCTATCCTGCGTATCAGACGGCCTACCAACTCGGCGTGTTCCTATCGCGAAGCTCGATTGCGCTTTTCGAAATCCCTTGGTTTCCCTTGTTGTCTTACATACAATTCGGGCTTCTCGTGCTCATGACCTGCCAGTCGTTGTTCATGCTCTTCACCTCCGTGCATTTCATTCTCTTCCTCTTCCTCGTGGAAGGCCTCATAGGAGGCTGTGTCTACGTCAACGTTTATCATTCCGTCCCCGGTTCATCCCGCCAAGAGAAGGAGCGTGCAATTGGAATTGTCGGTGTCTCAGACAGCACCGGCATCTTCCTCGCCTCGCTCTGCTCTCTTGTTCTCGAACACAGTCTCTGTTCATACCAAGTGAGCCATGGCCGTGAGTGGTGCACTCTGCCATAGTGCTCAACAGGTGCATTTACGTTTCATTCATTACTAAGAGAGAGAAACACACAAAAAAGCAACAAAGTTGAAAATAACGTTTATGTTTATGTTTACGTCTATGTTTACGTCGACGTCTACACCTCTACCGCCGCAGTTACGATGGCTACGGTTACCATCACGGCTGTGTTGTTTTTACCATGCCTACTGCCACGGAACACCGACTAGGCTATATGTGTGTTATCTGGTCGCTGTCCTGCTAACCACCTCGCAGTCGTGGGAGTACGTACGACTTTGGTGCGGCGGATACTGAAACGGTGCAAATTGCTGTCGTCTAAGTCGTATCATGGCATGACATCAACAACAACTACCGGACACCTCATGGTCAGCGACTGTCCATTATATATGAAAGCCGCCTGTGCAAGTGACTAATTGCACGATTTGTTTATTGTTACACCAGTTTTTCGGATTATACGACTCCGTTTGCAGGAGATTGATGGAATGGCTGAAGCGTTGATTGAGCTGTTTTCGGACGATGACTGCACTCGCTACACAATTTTCATCGCGGAATCTATAGCCCGGTTACAGGGCCGATTCCAGGTGCTGACAAAATGTAACGGACAACATCTGCGAAAACAGTCGGTGTTCACGGCGACAAAGAATTGTTTGAAGGCGTTTGATCAATGGGCTCTGCGAGTTGTGCAGAAGACCGGGAAAGTGCTGGATCCAGCACTTCGAGAACACCATGCGGTGAAACCGAAAAAGGAAAAGGAGAAGCCCACTAAGGCTCAGGAACTCAGTCGAGAGCAATTGGACGAGTGCTTCATCAAATGCTTGCTGCTCATGCTCCTTTCACTCGAAGAGTACACTTCGCTTTCGAGAGCACTTCTATTTGAGGTGTCTGGAGGCCTGCAGCTGCCCGTGGACGTGGTATACAAGGCGGAAATGTCAACCACGTCTTTGCTGCTCGAGACCTTCAAGCAGTTGGAAGCTGACCAGTCTGTTACGCAGATGTCCAGAAAGCAACGTATCCGGCGTCGCGTGCTCATCGGCGTTTCGGGACTTGCCGGCGGCGCCATTCTTGGTTTGACAGGAGGTCTGGCTGCACCGCTTGTGGTTACGGGTCTGGGTACATTGTTTGCTGGTCTTGGACTCAGCACGGCCGTCGGCGCTACGTGTCTTGGCACGCTGGCCACGTCAATTCCCTTTATCACGACCCTGTTTGGCGGGTTTGGTGCTAAGATGGGTGTCGAGCACATGCGCAACATTTCTCGCGGTCTCAATGATTTCATGTTTGTGCCATTGAGTGTCGAGTCACGGCTGCCTGTAACATTGTGCGTCTCCGGCTGGCTCACTGAGTACAACGACTTTTCTGAGCCCTGGGTGCCGTTGTTCACTGGCCCCAAAAGCTTTGTCCTGGGTGACGCTTATGCGCTGCGTTTTGAAGTCGGTGCTTTGTTGAAGCTCGGCAAGACGTTTTCGGAGCTCATGTACTCGACAAGTCTGAACTGGGTCAAATACGAGGTTCTGCGACGGACGTTCGCCTCTGCACTGATGACGGCTTTGTGGCCCGTGGCTCTTGTAAAGCTGGGTCGCGTGGTGAATAATCCATGGCGAGTTGCATTTAATCTGGCCGAAAAAGCCGGCGTTGCTTTGGCGAACGCGTTGTGTCAGCGTGCACAGGGCCAGCGGCCAGTTACATTGATCGGTTACTCATTGGGCGCCCGAGTAATTTCTCGTTGCCTGTTGTGTTTGGCTGAACGTGGCGAGCATGCCCTTGTTGAAAATGCCATTCTGCTCGGAGCGCCCGTTCCGACCGACTGGGACGAGTGGTTCATCATGAGATCCGTGATTGTAGGGCGATTGGTAAACGTCTACTCGACACATGATTACATACTCCGTCTCGTGTATAGAACACAAAGCATCCAAGCCTCCGTTGCCGGCTTGGAGCCGGTGGAGAAAGTACCGCTTGTGGAAAACATTGATGTGAGCGACATGGTTGAGGGTCATTTGCAGTATCGCTGGAGTCTCCTTGAGATCCTCAAAGATCGTGTACGTCTTCCTGGCATTACAAGTGAGGATGTGAAGAAGGCCGGACAGGTCAGTGCACAAATGGAAGCTCGTGAAAAGGAACAGTATGCAGAAAAGAAGGAACATGTCTTCTTCAACGCTGAAGTCAATCAACCACCTCCACTTCCTCCGCGTTAATAAAAGGGCAGTCGTCAATTGACTCTCGTATTATGCTGTATTAGGAGGTGTCCTGTGTCGAATTTGTCGCTACCGCGGGCTATCGACTCTGGGCTTTTTCTACGTCTAGCGGAGCTCTACGTCAACTTTATTCTGCTACAAACTCTCTTTCTATCTTGTTTCATTAATTCTCTTTCTTTTCTTTCTCTCTCTCTCTCTCTCTCTCTCGCCCTCCTTCCCTCCTTCCCTCTCTCCTTCCTCCACCGATCTGTCCTTCCTATCTACTCCTCTTCCTTACTCCCTCCCTCCCCAGCTAGTAGTACACGTGTCTGTCTCCACTTGCGCCGACAACAACCACTACCACCACTACCATAGAAACCAATACGCGCTGCGCATCCCACTCCACCTGAATCCCTGCAGCCCTATATTCCTGAGCAGAAGGCACAGTTTGAGCGAAATGAGTACCTTTGCGGTTGTTGCGATTGTTCTGCTGTGTATTTTCGCATCTCTATTTTTGGTGTACCTCGGACTACATCTGGGAGCAAAGCTTCGTTCTAGACGTGTTCTGAACGCATACACGGGACGATCGTGGTCTTCATGGATCCCATTCCGTAAAAATCGAAACTTTGAGGCATTGGATGGTGACGAAATGTGGGATACTCGGGTTGACGAAAGCGAAGTTTTTGGAGCCGAATCCCAAGCTCCTCTGGCTAAACAATCCTCGGAATACGCTCCGTTTGTAACTCTGCACGAAGACTCCAATGGACGGCCGGTTGCTCCGTCATCTACTCTTCCGTCGTCTCGAGCAGAGAATGAAAATACGATCTCAACCTCCAAGTCAACGTAGTTATGTCTTTCTTCCTTATACATACTCACACGCACACACAAACAAACACACTTATCCGACCTTGTTTCGCTTTCTCAAGTACAGCGAGCAATCCCTATTTTCCTGCCATTGCCGAGCCGGCAGTACTATCGCTAGCTACTTTTGTCGACATTGCTCGTCTTTGGCCAATCCGAGTTCATTCCCTTTCGTACTGTCGTCCCAGTTGTTCGTCTTTTCTGTTCCTGTGCCAAGTCACGCACTACATGGCTTTCTCACTCTTATAGTTCATAACATGGTTGCATTCAAAAGAGAAGGGGGATAGAGAGGACGAGGGAGAAAAAGGTGAGAGCACTATCTGAGAGAGAGAGAAAAAAGAGAGAAAGAGAGCACAAACATAGTGTTACTACGGCGTTAGAGCGTTAGAGCGTTACAGCGTTTATTGTGATATGAAAGGGTGCTGCGGTGAAGGTGTTATGTAGCATTTTTGTTGCTGATTAATTTCGACATCACGATCACGATCACCGTCGGTTCCTGTTTCTACCCTATTGTCGTCGCAAGTGCACCTGACGCCGGACAAATTAGTTTTTCGTCTTCATATCTATAACATCCAGTGTCCGGCCGTCTTACACTCGCGGTCGCTGAGTAGAAACAGCGGGCACGGGAACGACAATGCGTTCTTCAAGTGTGTTGTGTGCTGTGGGCGTTAGTTTGATGATGGTATGGAGAGGCATGTCGATAAAGGGTATATCCTCGAGGGAAAAATTATGGTAATAGCCGTAGATACAACGAAGTATGGCCTGGTGACACACAATCATCACATTCCCTTGTCGCTCCAGCTCCATGATGATGGGTTCGAGACGGTTGACCACGTCCATGTATGATTCTCCGCCCCGGTAACGGTAATGGAACTTGTCGTTGTTGCGAGCTGCTGCTTCATCGGGAAACGCATCCTCCACATACTCGTATGTATAGCCATCGCACACACCTGCGTTCAGTTCGTCGAGGGCCTTCCACTCAAGTTTGTTGTAGTGAATATGCTGAGCTGTTTGAATGGTTCTTTTCATGGAGGATGTCCATACAATTAACTCATCGCTCTCATTCACACACTTGGCAACGAAGTCTGGAAGCAGTTTCGCGTAACGATGACCGCGCGAACTAAGGTTGGAATTCCCGCCAATGCGGCCGGCAACGTTGAACTCGCTTTCACCGTGCCGGCTAAGCCAGATACTGCGTTTTCGTACCCGCAAGTTTGAAAGGTAGTAAACAATTTTAGACTGCAGATAGTTGGACACCTTGTGAATAACGGTTTGTCTTCCCACATCAATGATCTTTAAATAGGAACATCCTTCATCTTCCGAAAGTCCTTCGTAGCCGCGTTCCTTTTGAGCAATGTATTGCAGGAAGCGTTCACGAGCCTCATCAAACGGTTGGTGGGTATAGGTAGGGCAGTTTTGACAGATGTCGGCTATGCTTTCTTCAAGAATTGAGCGGTCATGAATAACACTCTCAATAAACATAACATCAGATTGTTGATGCTTGCAGAAGAACTGCACCATTTGCCGGAACGCTTTTGAACACTCACCAAAGTCGAGAATAGCAACTGCACCTCCGTTCTCGAAAAAATCTCCCACCGGCTGCAATGCCTCTCTCCACCGTCGAATGCGGTGTGAATGCCAATTATTGTCTTTCTCGTCCTCACCAAAGTTGTCTTCGAAAAGCTGTGTTTTTACGGAAATCCAGTTGAGGTAACGAGAAAGCTTTTTGGCTGTGAACGTTTTCCTCCGTGCTGGAAGTCCAACAAAGCATAGACACAGACGACTAGTGTCATTTAAGGCCGCTAGCAGATCCTGGATGGAACCTCGTCTTTGGGAAAGTGGATCACTCATGACAAAACAAATGCAATTCGTTTGGACAACAAAATCACGGTAAATCCAACGAAAAAAGCACAAAAACGTGTGCAGTAGTCCTCAGTATTAAGTTCCAAAAAGTTATTGCGACTGAATAGCCACGATTAAGAGAATTAAGGCTGAATCAAAACCTCAAACAGTAAAAACCAGAATGAATGAATTCTGCCGTGACAGAGACAAAACGCCTTTACAAAACAACAGAACAAAATGTTTCTTTGCTATCTGCTCTTGAATGAGGAAAGTCCTTAATGTTACAGGTTATGTGGGAGGACATTCGTAGAGAGACTCAAGGAGAAGTACGATTTGTTTACAACGGGAGACGAAGGCGAGCGGATGACACAAACCTAAGCAAACACCCCTCACCTATTCACCGCCATCGATCTAAACGATCCTAGATAATTTGCTATGATAGTGTGTAGTAACTAGTGAAGGAAAAGTCTTTTTCGTTAGGAAGAATGGAGCGATTCATTACCGTTTCCTGAAGAAGTTTACGATTATACGGTTCAAGTAGTAAACACCACATTTCAAAAAAATCAGCAAAGCATGTCGCAAAATACGAACGTTCTCGCCACTAAGGGTTCACGTATTTTGTCTTAGAATCCTTATTCCTTTCATTCTTCTCTCCGGTATTTGCCTTCGGCTTTGTTAAATAAGGTTGTCGCATTTGTCGCAAACTGACGTAAGTGCTCGAGAAGCGATGCTTTAAGTCAATTTAAAGTTCGATTAAGCATTATTTTGAGCTATAATTGGCTATTATAGTCGCAAAATTACCGACGGCGTTTTTGCGGCATATTATAATACGGCGTAATAAAACCAGTTCACACGAAGAAAGAGTATGTATTTATATTCTCCACATAGTATGAAGAAAGCCCCTTGCCCCTGAGTACTTTCTGCCTTCTGTTTGTCTTCATTCGGTCGCACTCGCGTATTTTTTTGTTTTCCTCGGTTTTCGTGCTTTTTTTTTGCGTTCTCGTGCTTATCGTTCTTTTAACGTTTTTCGTTTTCGCAAAATCATTACGATACGCGCTTTGTTTTCGCGAATGATCTTATTTTCAATCATTTCTTTTAAAGTTCGCAACTAATGTTCGGACGCTGCTTTAAGGTTTTCCCACCAACCCTAAGGCTTTGGCGTGAACCAACACCGCATCCTTCGTGAACGTCGAATTCGTTCAATTTCGACAGAAACTCGAGCCTTTCTTGTTGCAAATAGTTGCAGAATACGTGTGTGTTGTTTTTGATTCATTTTAAGCTCCGGAAATTTCTTTACCGGTGATTTTATTCTAGGAGTTCGCAAATCCTAAAAAGCATTATTTGAAGACCTGTTTTCACAAACTAAGGCTCTTCTTTCTAGGTTACACCTTGTGGTCCGTTTTGAAATTTGTTTTCTAGTTTCTCAAGCACTGAAATCTCTTGTCTATATGCGTATAAAAACGCTGACCCTTTAGTACCGTATTAAAAGTCTAGGAAAGTTTATTCATTGGGCTTCTTCTTTCTTTCCCTTTTTCTTCTCTGATTCTCTATACAATTTGTCTTCTCTGAATTCCTTCTGTTAAACAATGCCGTTTCGAGGAAAGTTTTGGGGAACCTCGAAGGAGAAATCCGTCACTACATGTACAAAGCTTGAAGACATGTACGATGTGTTTCAAGAAATTGGTGACGGTACGTTTGGTAGTGTTCGATTGGCTCGCCGTCGAAATTGTCCTGGGGAATTATTTGCAATCAAGTCTATGAAAACCCCGCTGACCAAGACATCTGATTCGACACGGCTGCGTGAAGTACGCTCACTCGCAAAAATTCCGCGGCACGATAATGTCGTGAAGGTTTTTGAATTGATTGTTGATGCGAAGAAACATTTACACATGGTAATGGAAAACCTACAATACAATCTGCTCCAGCTCATTACCAAGCAAAACTTAATCCCATTCTCCATCGACGCTGTTAAAGACCTAGTCCGTCAGATTTTTTGTGGTCTTGAGCACATTCACCTGCACGGGTACTTTCATCGAGACATGAAACCCGAGAACATCCTTATCTCCGAGTTTCCCGGCGTGAATTCAAGCAGGTATGTGGTTAAGATTGCCGACTTTGGTCTTGCACGAGAGCTGCGTTCTTCTCCTCCGTATACGGAGTACATTTCCACACGGTGGTACCGTGCGCCTGAGTTGCTCCTGCGCGATCCTTCATACTCATCGCCGGTTGATGTGTATGCGGTAGGCTGCATGGCTTTTGAAATTGCAACACTGCGCCCTATTTTTCCCGGCCGTGATGATCTTGACCAGCTGTACAAGATGTGTGAGGTTCTAGGCAGTCCAAAGGAGTGGCCTGAACTGGGGGACGATGTTGGCGGTGGTCCATGGCCTGAAGCTTATGAATTGGCGAAAGACTTGGGATTTCAATTACCTACGAACATGCCGCTTTCCTTTCATGAACTTTTTTCTCCACCGTGGAATAATACCTTTGCAAGCATGCTTACGGCTATTCTCAAGTGGGATCCGAAGAAACGTCCGACTGCTTCCGAGTGTTTAGCAATGCCTTTTCTCTATGTTCCTCCCAAGTCACTTTACGGACTTCCCAATCACTCAACCACAACTGCATATCTCCAAAAAAAAACATCTCGGACGTCTACGCGTCACAGAAGCTCAAGTCTGGTGGAATCGCTGTCCAGTGAAGAGTTTTCGGAAATCACACTCAGTTCCCCTCGTACGAACAAGAATTTGTTTGGGAATGTTAGTCGAAAGCTTGTTGGCGGCTTTAAACATTCTTTTAAAAAATCCGTATCTAAACCAAAAGCTGACAAATCCTTGCATTCATCCTCGGTTGTGAATCTCAGCAGCACAGCCTACACAGACTCTTCTTCTTCTAACACCCTTCTATCTGCTAACAGACCGCTCTCCCTTGCCGCACCTGTTGCTCGAACCGGCAAGTTGTCTGAACACAAAGCAGCACAGAATATACTCTTTCCTGTGCTTCCTGAACTTCGCCCCACGACGCCGCTTAATGTGAAGTTGAGCGGTCTTGTTCTGGTAAGCCCTACGCCTTCGACAGCATCAAGCAGCGGCGGCTCAATAGCTCAGCCGCGAACACCTTCCTCAAAGAGATTCACTTCCGAACGATCTTCTGTTGATCACATTTCCTCACCCTCGCATGCTGAACGTCATTGCCATTCACCTCGCTCACCACGTTCACCCTCCCGACAACTTTTCAACGAAGCATCAACTACTTACAGCAATGCAAGTACCATCGCCAGCATCAAGTCCATGTCTGCAACCATTTACCAACCTCTACCCCGTCCCCCCACGCTTTCGTTAACTGAGGTTTCAATCTCCAACTCATCAGAAAACTCGTCCTCAAAACCGTCAATAAAGTCCGAAGACCTCTTAAACCCAGACACCTTTTTTACTGAAGGGTTCCACGATTCTTTTGATGAGCTTTCGTTGGCCAGCACCCTTCGAATTCCCAAGTCGGCACATGGAGCCTAATCCAGTTTCAGTCGATTTTTTTTTTCTTTTTTATTACTACATTTCTTGAGCAAACGTTCCGGGGCCTCGGTTCGCAAATACAGGTCGAAACTCGCTGTCAATTGCTTTTTGTTCTGCATTTTCGACTTTGCTATCTGTCGCATTCGGCGCAGGGTTACGTCACCCCCACATTATGCCGACAATCTTATTGGGATAAGCGATGGAATATCTGCGCGGCGTTTTACTGACGTCATCTATGAACTCATTTATATCGAATTGGACAGAGGCTCGCAGATTTTTTCCGGCCTGAAAAGCAAGGCTTGGTCACCATCTCGTGCCATATTATTTGATACTGCATTGCCTCAAGCACGCCGCATATTAACGACTTAAAACGGCCATTTATTCGGCTTTTTACTTGCAATTTTTTGTCGCAATAACACACTTTACTTTGGTTCAAACATCACCCATACGACACATTACTACGAAACGAGACACTACGGAAACTAAACATTATAGCGAAATTCGCGAGTTGTTACTCACATTCATCAAATCCCGCAAATCCGGTTCAATTGTTCTATCTTTAACTTTCTGACAGAACATTTTTCTCATTTTTGGTTAAAGTCTCGATTATTATTCATTTTTCTTCTCTTTCGTCTTCCTCCTCACTTATCCTTCAATCATGTCCTCAGATAATGAGTTTTTGCAGGAGGCACTCGACATCCTAGACCGTGCCTATCACGAGTTTGTTGATACTCGTCAATACCGTTTGGGAAATGCAGTGGCAAGTGCTGAGACATACTTGGATAATCATGTGTACTTGATTTGGCCGGTGGCTGTCTATATTGAGGCGTTGGCCGATAGTTTGAAGTTTTCTGGCAGATACGAAAAGAAACTCGAGGTTGTATTCAAGGCTATGAAGCAGTACTGGCACCCTTCAATGGGTGCCTGTTGTGCGAGTCTTTATTTTGACGGAAATGACGATGTTTACTACGATGACAATGCTCAGCTGGCTATTGGGTTGGCTGTTGCCGGATATTATTCAGGCACATCAGTCCATCGTCGACAATATGTAAACCGTGCGACGAGCATTGTTGAACTTACCATTCAAAGAGGATGGAACAGTGAAAAAGGCGGTGTTGCTTGGCACACCCGCACAACAGGCCCCCCTTGGACAAATTTGAATGCCTGTTCCACTACCATGGCTGCAACAGCAGCTTGTCGTTTGGCTGCCGTTACTAACGATCCTTCACGCCGAAAGGACATGCTAGTATTTGCTTGGAAGTGTATTCTTTGGGTTCATGATCATCTTCTAAATGAGCACGGACTTGTGTGTGATGGTTTATCGCTGGAGAATGGTCACTGGAAACGTGACCCGATCGTATTCACATACAATACTGGTGGTTACATACTTTCAATGTCGTTACTGAACAATTTCCCCACCGACAATCAAATGCTCCCGAATATTGACCGACTACCTAGTATGTTGGAGGACGCGGTGAAGGCTGCATTGGATACAAATGGTGCCTTGTACGAACAAGCATGTAACGGTCCCTTCAAGAATTGGGCCGACAACACCTTTTTCTCACAGATTCTTGCAGAGGGTTTAGTTGCTTTCTCGTTCACTATGCCGGGTTCCCCGTTGGCCGAGCCAGCACAGCAAATGGTGCTCGACCAAGCTCGTTTTGTGATGAAATATATTCGTGATCCCAAGGATGGCATGTATTTCCGCAGTTTAAGTCTCTACAAGTTGAATGAACAAGGTGTTCGAATCTTCAACCAGTTGTTCCATGCCAACAAGACATTGGAACCCTGTGCCGAGGATCGTGAAAGCTTAAAGGATGTGCCTTTAGAAAAGCGCCCGCCTGTTAAAACGTTACTCGGAAATGCTGGCGCTGCGCGCCTTCTATTCTGTGCTGCCGAAATCGTCCTTCGAAGACAATCAAAGGGTGCTCCTCAAGATGCAAGTGCTGGCGCTTTTATGCAAAGAAGACCAGGAGCTTCCACAGCTTCCGGCGATAAGCTAAAGAAGAACTGTATCATTTCCTAGTTTTCTTGCCCTTCATGTTTATCGCTATTTTATTTCATGAACTTACGGTATCACCTAACGATTTATTTTGTGCTTGTTCTTGCATAAAATCATGTTCTGCTTTCCCTCACGTTTTCGTTTGTTTCTCCTGCTTATGACTAATTTTATTCCATCAATGTCTTCAGTTGCTTTCATCATTACTTTACTTACTTTTGTATACTAAACAACGGGCTGTTCATGTAGCATACATAATAAAAATAACACCTATTAAAGGACTTTCTGTTTGCCACGAAATGTTTGTCAAATCCTAGTAGACCCACTAAATATATATGTAAAGATATACTGTTGCACGTTTCCCCTTAATAGACTGGCTAGCGTCTTGAGAAACCAGAGTACGGGGAGGAGGATTTGCCCTCTCGCGGGCGGTAGCGATGGCTGTTTGCCGGCTGGTTATAGGATCTGTTCTTTTGACTCCCGTTATAATGATGGTTGCTCGTTGAACTCATTCCTGGCTTGCCGAGAAACAATTCAGGTAGCACTACGGAATCCATGAAACCTTGAGACATGATAGATGCTTCGTCCATTTCCTGTAAAAAAAACGAAATGTTAGTACGAAAGCAAGTTGTTTGTAACTTACCTTATAATAACTAGCAGCTTGAACAGCAGCGATTTGCATGGCGGTACCTTTGCGAATATGATGACCAATTCCCCTTACGGAGCCATCGCACCAAACTTCTGATATCCAAATAACGCGATTGGTTTCACGGATGGTTACATGGAGGTAGCGCAGAGACACCGTCTTTGGTTTCGTTTCCTTGCAGGGTGTGACGCACAGGTATCGACCAGACAAAGGTGCCTTTTTGTCCCAGTTTTCTAAAGGCATGTTCCTCAATTTCTTATAGCGCTCTTCCACAATTGCCCATGTTCTCGAATCTTTCCGAAAAGATGAAACATTTGCTAAGTAACGAAGCACAAGAGGCTCAATTCTCGAAGTAGAACATGCTGATGCATCAGGAAGCGCAAACTTTTGCGAACTGGCACTGTCTCCATCTCTGTTCGCAAAAGCATCGGCGGCTTCTCTGTCTTGACGGAGTTTTTGCAGTTTTTTCTCTTTATCCATCAAAATCTTCTCCTTGTTTGAGAGCTGTTCTTCTAAGGTAACCCTTTCAGAAACAAGTTTGATCAGTAACAGCTTCTTCTCTCCAACAAGCTCACACATTTCACCACAATCCTTCGTTAGTGAATTGTTCTCTTTTACCAATTTCTCCACTAAGCCATGAGCAGCTTCCTGAAGATGTTTTAACTGGCCGTTTTTGGCCAAAAGTTTCTCAGCCTGAGTTTTGAGTTGAACAACAATAAGGTTTAATTCCTTTGGTTGAAGAGTTGCTGGAAGCAATGTTGTCGTAGTAGGCAACACATTCTCATCATTGTTGTTTTCAGCTTTCAAAGATGATTGAGACTTCCGTTGACTGTCGAAAAGTCTCGATTTTAGAGATAGGTAAGATTTAAACAAATCGCTGTCCTTTCGACGGAAATCATAGTTTAACTGGGCAAGTTCATAGCGTTTTGCTAGTACATTTTCTGCACTTAAGGCAATTAATGGATGCATACCATCAATTTTTCGTTCGTTGAAACACAACTGCTTAAAGGAGGCACACATTTGTTCCTACAAAAGTAGCTGTTAGCAATAGAAGTAGATTGTTGGCATACACTTTGTGCTAGTAAGTGAAGTTTGCCTTTTTCCTGAAAAGCGACATTCTGCTTTTCCTTAGACTGTGCCAAGAGTTAGATACAAAAATTGTAAAGACAATCGGGATTGCTTTACCAAATATATTTCCATCTCTTTAAGCCGTGTTTGCGCAGACTCCTTTTCCGTAATAGAATCTTGATGAGCTAAACGTAATGATTTCTAGGCAGTATTATTAGTATTAATCGAACGATGCTTAACATGTTTAAATTACCATCTCGCGTTGAAACTGTTTGACACGTTCTTCGGTTTGCTCTTGCTGTTTTCTCTTCTCCTCCTTTAAGACCATCTTTCACATCATTAGTATTCTCAGTTTGGCCGTTTGACCACATACAAGTTTCTGCTCCAACTGAGCAACAAACGAGTTGGGCTTCGTTGTCTCAACACGAGTAACGGAAGCAGATGCAGGCGCTGTCCGAGCAACAGGAATTACGTTTCTGTGCACAGTAGCACTGCTTTTTTCAACACTTGATGGTAAATTAGATTGATCACTCGGAAAGTTTCCGTTGCTAGGAAGCTTCACCGGGCTTGACAGAGTTGCGGTTTGAGATTGGTTTGCATCAATGGAGGAATTCATTCGATATTGGTCTTGCCATTCCCGAATATGATTCCAAAGCTGCTTCTGTTGTTCAAGAAAGCTTCCAAAAGCCAACATATTCGGCGGAATTTCTCCATAGCCACTAGCTGATAAATTTGGGTTCATGCTTGGAAATGCAAAACGAGAACTGGTCAACGGGGACTCACTCGTCTCAGTCGCCCTCATTCGTTTGTTATAATCGAGCTCATCAACACTTTTATCGAATGCTTCCGCGTGTGTTCTCGGCGTATGCAGAGAGTTTGACATTTCAGTCAGTTTCATATCGTTTGCAGCTCCCTGAGCCCACGGCCAGGATTTATTATTCATGTCAATCGTTTAATGATACAAGTATTTAAGAATTGTACGGCTATTTGGCCCTCTGTTGGTTTAATTGAACGTTTATCCTTTCGTTGTTGTGTATGGTTCTCGTTCGGTTGAGCAGGACGTTGCAGAAAGAGAAGGTAGGTAACCAAGGAAGCAAGGAAACACCAAAAAATAAAAACAAAAAATAAAACAGCATGAATAGCGGTACCCTGTTTAAAAGTGTTCTGTGAAATTTGTGTATAATTATTTATATATGCATTATGTTTTACAGAAAAAAGAAACAGATTCTCGACTTTACGGGGGAAGCATCATACCATCATTCTACTTAGAGTTAAAGCGAACAACCATAGATACGTCCGTAGAATGGTCTTGTGAAACCAGGGAACCGTTTCCTTTAAATTGACGTCCTTTTTCAAACAAGAATAATAAACCCAAACGTAAAAAAATCTTTGTTAGCACAAAAATGACGAATTTAAATAAAAAGAAAGAAGAATCGGAGGAGTGGATGAAGTAAGCGTGTAGATGTGTGTTGTAGCGTAATATAGCGGTAGACATTCAGGAGAAATAGGAAGCTGAAGAAGCGGGCGAATTATAAAAAATAAGCGGGAGGAGATTGACACGAACTCAAGGACATACATAATCAAGCCAACTGGGATGAATATTGCCCATCCAGCTGCCTTCAATGTCCATTCCTTGGTCCGAATTGGCCCAGTTGATTAGGGAGGAATCTGTAATTAAGTCGGGAGACGGATGAGTGCTCTCGAGACCAAAAGCTGAACCAAACGGATCCAATTCCGTCCGAGAAAGAGCAGGCTGAGATGTGTTGAAGAAATCTGTAGGATCGCACGTTCCACTAAGAGCGGGAGTCACAGAACCACTCGGTGGAAGACCAACTATTGGTGTCATGACATTGTTGAAGGAACTCATCTTTGAACCTTCTTTATTTGACACTTCCGCAACCCACTTCTGCCAAGCCATAAAACCAGATTCGCTTGGATTCACTTTTCCAGCACCACGTTTCCCTTTCAAGTGGGCATCAAATAGCCGAATGATGCGTGCGCAATTTCGTGCGGGTTCATTACCCTCAGCCATGTAATCTAATGCAGAATAAGCATGCTCCATCGCGATATCATCCTCCTCGCAAGGTTCTGTGACGCGATGGAGCAATACAACTAGGGCACTCGAAAATGTATAATTGTAGTCAAAGAATGAGTAACACGAAAGCTTTGAGTGTAGTTGTAGTTGGCGGACAAGGAAAATTAGGTGTCTTGCGGCAATTATACAGTCGTCGTATATACGATTCACGGCGGGTGATGTTTTTGAGTTCTTCATTTTGTGCAACAGAAAGGGCCGTGACATTACAATGATGGCTTGGTCGTAAGTCATGTGAAGATGAATATTTGCGCGGAACAACGGGTCAGATGGGTCCAGGTTTTCGAGGACTTGAAACGTTGGTAGCTCATTCTTCCAATTCTCCAAATCGGCTCGCAGCGACTCAATAATTTTAATGGGATTTTTGCGGTAATTCACCCCGCCATACAATTGCTCCATTGTCTTACCCATAATACGAGCAATTTTTGTCATCGAAATGATGTTGTGAACATTAGAGGCCGATCCTTCCACCTCCAGTTCAGGCACCACAGTCGGCAAATCAGCGTCACATTCGCTATCAGTAATGGAAAGAGGCCGGCCAGTTGCAATACTAATTAGCCGATCAATCGTGTACACCGACCACCACAAACGATTGCGAAGCTCTCGCGTCTTTGAGTCAATGTTTGGATTTTCGTATGACCGGTGTAACCCGTTAGCGACGGCTGCCGAGAGCGAGAGTCCAAAATGTGAGTACGAGCTCTTTTGTGACAGACTGGGCTGCAAGTACAAACCCATCAACATAGAAGCTTGAACCAAACTAGGCTTGCATTGTTGCATGACCTGTGGAAACAACATGCGAGCAGCATCGAAAAACTGTTTTCCGGGATTATCGATGGGCGAACGCGCACTGCGTATCTCCATGTGAGCAAACTGACTACCGAGGGCAAAGATCATCATAGCTAAGCAGAGAAATCCCGGGTCAACAGGAGCACGGTGATGAATCATCAAGCCGAGTCTGTAGCGAAGTAATTTTTCATGAAAGAAGAAAAAGTTTGCCTGAACATTCGTGTAGAATGACTTGATCAAAAAGTCAGACACCTCGGGAGGAGGAAGAAGCTTCCACGCTTCTTGCAAGGCAAGAAGATCATGATCACTTGGCTGAAGTGTCCGATGAGAGTTGGAATAGGCATCTAAATCTTCAATACTTGGATCAACCAAAAACTCACGTTGGACAGAATCCATAAACGCTTCACCAGCCGAAGCACCGATATAGCGAGACTCGCCATTTGGATCAACCTTTATGCGACCAATAAGGTCCGCAATTTCGTCGACATTTTGCTCAGTATTATCGACTGGCTGCACAGCCTTGCTAGTGTCATCGTCCGTACTGGGGAGCTGGTTTATAGGATGCGGCTTGAAGGCATATGTATTGGTCGAAGATCCATCATAGGAAGAGATAGTGTTGAAGTCATTAAAGGGCATTTGCATGGAGCTGGATGTTGACGGAGGAACCGAATCACTAGTAACAGATGCTACAGGAGGTACAGAAACCACTGGAGTTACTGAAGCTACCGGTGGTTCAATATGTAGTCTTGAAGCGTCTGTCGGGACACCGGTGTTCTTCAATTGGGCAACAATGTCAATCACATCGCTGGGCGTTACCAATTCCTTCGTCTTCATGATGCTACACATTGACATGAGTGTTGTCGTGTCAAGAACCGGAAGTTTGTCGTAACATAACCTTTGTACAATGTACTGGAAACACAAATGTCGATTCGACATGTCTACAAAGTATTCCTTCGCAGACTCAAAGGGGCTTTCTTCCTTCGCAGGATATGTACACTGCAGATTTCCCGTCATGCAGGATTTGCAAGGATGAAGCCCATCGCAGCGAACTTTTCGGTTCCTACAATTTAAACAAGCTCGATCCACGCGTCGTCTACGTTCTGATGGCACACGACGGCGACGACGTTGTTCTTCTGCCTTTAAGGCATCAAAGAGAAGCTCTGTATTTCCCGGAGAGAAATCGGGCGGCATCACAGCTGAAATGCATAAAGATGAATTTTCAAAAAAAAACAAAATAGCTCACCAGAAACAGCCCCAAATCCAAATACTTAAACGCTCTTGTTCCCAGGGAAATATCCTTGGCGTATCCTTGGTGGGGATATGGGGAGGGGGAGGAGGAGCTTCGCGACCGTTACCTGAGCTGTTGTTACCTGAGGTGGAGCTGAATGCGGCGAAATAAAAATATGCGCTAAATGATACTGTGGACGGCGGCTGTCGGGGAGAGAAACTGCTGATGCTATCGTTCGAATGTGAATCGTCTACGGAACTGCGCTTTTCTAATTGAGTAAAATGTGTAGCTAGTAAAACTCGGTGAAACCGCACGAAGGTTAATCGACGCGTCGCAACACGACGCGACGCGTTGAAATGAAACCTTATTTACACGCATCAAAAGGGGCGGAATTCACGACGATCCACATCTTCTCCTCTACACATCTCTACTCTCTGAACGAATCATTAGTAAAATACGCAGAAATGTCCCTCCAGGTGTTTTAGAGAATAATATGAATTCATCCAGCCAACGTTCGTGTCAATTCCTTTTCCGTTTGTGCGTGTTTACTGACCAGACAGACCGTCTTGCGACTCAACCGGCCATTCGAGCATTCGAAGCATTTCGTGCTCCAGGATTCAGTTTCAACTCTAATAACCTGGACAATGCGTTTGGTGGTACGGGCTTAAAACGTGGTCAAATATCTGAAATATGCGGTCCTTCTGGAAGTGGAAAAACAACATTGGCGTATGTAGTAAGAATTGAAACGAGGTCTCAACGATAAAACCTTTTTCTCTAACTATTAAAACAGTCTAAATGTAGCAGCCAGCGCGTTAAGTGCAGGATACAAAGTGATATGGATTGAAACTTGTCAACGAATTCCTTTAGAACGACTCAAGTACATGCTTTCATGTCAGGTTCAGTCGTCACAAGCCGAGGAAGTTGAACCGACAGAGGATGTCTTGTCGCTATTGGAGATTGTTCATGTGCCGCATTTAGCGCAACTTGTCGTCTTTATACAACAAATGAATCTTCAAAAGAAGATCGAAGATGAGAATTTAGGTCTTGTTGTTATTGACAATCTATCTACGGCAATCCAACTCGCCTTCCCTACAAACCCCGACGATTACCATGCAGCTCGTGCCCGAAGCGAACGGCGGAGAACACAATCACTTTCGTCTGCCTCGAATAAAGAGAACATATCTCCCTTGAAACGTACTCCAGTTACGGGAACAACGACCGAATCTTCCTCCTCTCACACTGTGAATAGCTCTTTTCCAAAAGCTAGGGAGAGCATGAAGTTGCGAAAAAAACGCGTTGAAGGTGAACTGAGCAGTATGCTTTCGAGGATGGCTTCTTTCTACCAAGCTGCCGTCTTGGTTACAACTCAACTTACCTCAAAAATCGAGCCTGGAGCTGGTGCTAAGATGACCCCGTTTCTGGGCCGGGCATGGACAAGCAGTTTGGCAAACCGCTTAATTTTATATTTTCGTCACCCGACCTCTGAAATTCGTATTCCGGACGATGTTCGACGAGATTCATCTGCACATATTTCTACGGGTGATCATCGTAAGCTTCGGTATGGATATATGGCAAAGCAAGCCACTCCCAATGCAAGCGACCGCGAACTAGTATTTTATGTAAGACCTACCGGATTACAGGATCTTCAGGTGATCTCTATTAGCAGTTCGCAACGGAGGAAAAGAATCTTGTCCGAAGTTGACTGAGTCAGCTTTGGTCATTTGCGTGTAACTATACTACGGCGAAGACATTCTCTCATGCATTGAGACTTGTCAGCATCATCATCTGCAGATGACTATTATTTACGCCCGGCTTGTTGCGTCATTTTAGTTGGCTCTCGAGATCATTTGTATCAATGCTTAAAATATAACTATCTATTGAGGCATTATTCGTTCGAGGATTGTTGCTCTAAAATGACGCTTTCAACTTCCCACTCCTCATCGATGTGACTCAGAAGTGAGGGATATATGGAGAGTTGACTCAATTGTTATGTCACTTAAAACTTTCTTGGAACTGACGCCTGCGTGAATGGCTACCAAAGCTGTGAGGCAAGAGCAAGAAAACGAGTGCGTAGCTGATTTTTCAGCGGGATTACCGCATACGAGTCGTCTCAGCATGACGTCTCGGGGGCATTCAATATCATTAAAGACGCCTTGCTGGCAGGAATGAAAGTTGCAACTTTCCTTGAATCTTAAATCAAAAAAACTTGGAAGTCTTTTCTTCACAACACGCCACCCACGTTTTGAGGAAAATTATCATTTAATCTTTCGACATAATTCAATTTCTTGTATTGTGTTCATTGCCTGTTCCTTTTAATCCATCTCTATTTACAAACGGTGTAATTTGTTGGCATAATGCATCGTTCCTATTCTATGCGAAACCCGAGAGCGGCCACCGGCAGCCAGCTCACGAATCCTGTCCCTCAATCGAACCTTCGTAAGGGCGGTAAGAAAATGAATCTTTCAAAAACATTCCGCACCCAGTCTGTTGCCATGTTCACACCCGAGATGGCCAAGCGTTTGGCTGCTTTGGTAAAGATGGAGAAGGGCCTCTTGCGTAGCCAGGAGGTCGTTGCCTTGGAGCGCAAGGATTGCGCTCGTCAACTTTCTTACTGGGGTGAGGACTGTGACGATGACATTAGTGATGTCAGTGACAAGCTCGGCGTGCTTTTGTACGAAATCGGTGAGCTTGAGGAGACCCTTATTGACCGCTACGATCAATACCGTCTTTCGTTGAAGAACATTCGTGACATTGAAGCTAGTGTTCAGCCTGCTCGTGAGCGCAAGCAGAAACTTCTCAACAGCATCTATGACATCAAGCACCGTGAGCCTGACTCTCCCAAATTGATCACGTTGGAGCAAGAGCTTGTTCGTGAGGAGGCTGCTTGTCTTGTCGCTGAGGCACAACTTACAAATATCACTCGTGAAAACTTTAAGTTTGCCTTCAACCTTCAATTCGATGCACTTCGTGAACATGCTGAAAAGGTTGCTATGATTACTGGTTATGCCAAGAACTTGCTTGACCTTATTGACGACGACCCTATTACTCCAGGTGAGATGCGTCCTGCCTATGATGGTTACGCAACCAGCAAGCAGATCATTCTTGACGCAGAGAAGGCCTTGGCTAGCTGGACCTCTGACTCGACTTCTATGCACGCCATGATTGACGTTGACGGTTTGCCCATTGAGCCTCGTGTTCCTGTGGGCTACACGACTATGGACACTACTCGCTTCGACTCTTCAGCTGCTGTTCCTACCATCCAAACTACCAACTACACAAGCAACGAGACTACTCGTCCTCGTTTTGAGGAGACCAACAATGCGATGGATACTGAACTTCCTCGTTCTGCCTATGTGAGTCACGTTGACCCCGAGCAACACGGCCAAGTTGTTCAGACATATGACATTGGTGAGGAAGACGATATGGAGGCCGAATCGGTAGCCGACAACGGCTATTCGCAAAACACCCACACCCGTATTGAGAGTGAAAACCCCTCTATGATGGCTGCTGCCGCCTAAAAACACACGGTGTTTTCTTGTGTGTATTAATAATGCCTTCTTCGAGTATGTCGCCCACGTCTGTATAATTTACGTTGTCTACGATTTCTTCTATTAACGGCTTATGCCGTGCACTGTTTACGTTTACTCTTTTCATTTCGTGTTTGTCCTTTTTCTATGACGCCGTTAGTGGCATAGGACAATTCGATTTGCAGTCCGTTACTTCTCATCCTTTTGTATTCACTGTTTCCAGGTTTTAGTAACTGCTGTCTTGAGGTCTTTACTTTCATTTTGGCTTCAAACATTTTACTTTTTTTGGAAGGGAGCCACCTCACTGAGCTTAATTTTTTACATGTTAATCATACTTGTTCTTAGCAGTGAATCGATTTGTTACGAAGAGAGTGGAAGGGCTATTTAGAGAGCGATAACCCACCGGCAGACTTCAGTGGGTATGTCTAGCAAGGTACATGTAGATGTATACATGTGTATAGTCAGTAGAACTTTTGCTTGATGGATGTTTTGTATTCCTACATACAGAAATCAATAGGACCTCCACACCCCCATTATCACCCCACTAATCCCCACACGGACCCCACTGTTCTTGTGGGGAGAGGATTCACACAGCTACAGTCTTGCACCGTCTGCGGCCGGTTGTATAGAAAGGTGAATTGTTCAGTACAATTCCCTTGCATATTTGCCATGCAGTTAGATGTGTTTGAGACTGCTGACAGCATTCAATTGCACGATACGAAACGAAATGCAATTTTAGAGATATCTCGTGTAAACGGTAACATTGGAGTCTCCCAAGCTCGAAAACCACCGAATGTAACGTCAAAACCGGCAATTTGCTTGTACGGAATCATTCCCTTAAAGCTGACAAAGTATTTGATTCTCGTTAGAAAGGCAAGTCATGTAGCCTCAATCGCCTCTCATGAAATCTATGAAGCAACATCGTTCGCGGTGGTCCCTTTAATGATGACATTGGCAATTCTTCGAGACGAGACTGAGCAACAATTGCTCCGACTGCTCAAGCGTCATTTATCAAACGGTCATATCTACTTCTCCCCAACTACAAACCTTACGAATACGTTTCAGCGGAATGCAGAAGGTTATGGTTCACAGCCATTTTGGAGACATGCAAATCCTTCTTTTTTTTGGAACAAGTACGCATGTTCTAGCTTGATGACATCGGCAGAACAAAACCCACTTGTGAATGACTGGATTGTACCCATGATTCACGGTTTTGTGTCTGTACGAAACGTCTTCATTAGAACGCATACGGTCGAACTCGGAATTATCACTCGTAGAAGTATTTATCGAGCCGGCACTCGATACTTCAGCAGAGGCATAGACACAGCTGGAGATGTTGCAAACTTTAATGAGACAGAGACTACGCTGTTTCTCGAGTCCCTGCACGAGCCCACTGAAAATCGAATTCTCATGGTATATGTCCAAATACGAGGCAGCATTCCACTGTTTTGGTACGAAGTGAACGATCTTCGTTATTATCCTCGCTTGCATTGTGCCTCCAGTTTGCTTTCAGAGGATGCTGCACAAAGACATTTCTACAAACTTCGAGAAACTTACAATGGTCGCATAGTTGTTGTCAATCTTATTAAGGAAAGTGGCCGCGAGAAACCGCTTAAACTGGCCTTTGAGAGTGTGCTTAACAAACTCGATAACCCCGACGTAGATTATCGTTATGTCGATTACCAAAAAGAATGCGGCGGTCTTCCGAACCAAGCACTGTTATACTTTACTTCAAAGTTTGAAGATGACTTTAAAGAGCCGACATACTTTTTGGTGAAGGGAAATACCGTCGTCCGGAGACAAACCGTATTTATGCGAACCAATTGCATGGACTGTTTAGACAGAACAAATCTAGTACAGAGTTTCTTCAGTCGTTTCGTTATTACTCAACAACTAAGAGACGTCGGCTTATTAACAACAACCCAGACACTTGCGGACTTTCCCGAATTTGTTACCAATTTTCAACAACTCTGGGTTGCAAACGGTGATTCGGTGAGCACATCGTATGCACGTACACCGGCATTACGAAGTGATGTGACCCAATACGGCAAGCGAACTTTGAAGGGCTTGTACAATGACCTCGTATCTAGCCTTAAACGCTATATAAACAACAACTTTTATGACGGAATGGAACAAGACAGCTATGATTTAGGGCTCGGAAACTACATACCTTCATTGTCAACGGATTCGCGACTGTTTGTCGACACTCGGCCGTGGCCCATTCGATGCGCTCCACTTTTCCTTGCTCTTACATGCTTATTTAGTCTGGCAGACGTGTTAAGTGTTGGCATCAATCCATTTCGTCTTACGCTTTGGGGTATCTCGCTGGGATGTTGGCTCTCCATCATTCTCGTTTATCGTTCCTACTACGTTAACTGGCCTATTCTGAACCGTCCGAGTTTCCTGGATACTGAATTGACTGCGACTCTCACGTCATGGAATCCGTTGACCAAGTTACGTCTCGTGTGGTTGCGGTTACGGCGAACAGGAAAAGATGAATAATGTTATCAGGAGACGGAGGGGATTACAGTACTTGTATTTAAGCATAGTCATTAAGTATCTATACGCATAGCCTACTTGTTACAATTGCAAGACGTATGTTTTAGCTAACTCTAGACCAACCGTAGCATTCACTTCCATAAATACATCTTCCATCTTAGCTAAGCTGGTACAGAGTCCCTAAAGTTAATTGTTAGTATTCAACTGAATTTGCAGCGTAACATATTCGCAAACCTTCGCCGGAAAGAGCATGCCGTAAGCATATCCACCAGGGTTGTCATCAATCGCCTTTCTTGCTGCTTCTTCGCTTTCAATTCCAGGCATTTTACGTTTGAATGACTGCATCAAGTCGTCTTTCTGAACATTTTCGCGAGACATTTCGGCAGCAGTTTGCATCTGACCTTGTTCGTCAAAGAAAATATACCTGGGAGCTCCATTTTCCCAGCAATCTACAAATTTCGACAGCGGTAACCATGTACATGTAGTAGGATTCAGCAGGTAACTAGGTCCGTATCGTCCCTTGTATTTCATTTTTTGGCATGTGTGAATGTAGTAACCTGTCAACGAGTTCTTTAGTACATACACATTCAAAAGCGATGAAAAGGTACTCATCTGTTTGCATTCTTTCTTACCCATATAGTAATATTGGTAGCCCATCCGCTTAGCCATCACTGTTTCGTACGTGGCACTCAGCTTACCCAGCGAATAGCCTTTATAGTCGGGATCGTAAAAGAAATACACGCTGGATACAGCATGTGGGAGCAAGTCAATAACGCCCACTGCGACAAGTTCATCATCTACACTGTAAAGTTGATGGAAAGATCCGTATAAAGGGTGATTGTTCTCGTCATCGGAAAGTTCGTCTTCATCAATATCACTGTCACACACCTCCTCCAAGGGAGAATCACAGAGAAAACGCACAAAGCCCTCCTCCGTCAATTCTTCTTCCTTGTCATGATGAATTGCTTTTTGGTACTTTTTGTATAATTCAAATTTCCTTTTTGAAAATGAAGATGGCTCCAACTCCACTGTCAGTTTATGAATTACTTTGTCATCATCAAGACTTTTATCCAAAGCATTGGACCCAATGTAGTCGTCTAATTGGAATGGTTTGTTTGCATACACTTTTTGATAAAGCTTGTCACCAAGAAGAAAACGTTTCCATTTCTTCAAACTCTTTTTAACCTCTTTTGAAGGCTTAAATTGGGTTGCATCCAGTCTGTTAAACTCGATAACTGTTAGTGTTCACATTTCGTATAAACATATAGTTTCACCGAATCTAATCTTACCGAATTGTATACATACGGCAACAGGAATTGCGTAGATTGGGTTTGTATAGATATTTACCAGATCGTCTGAGTAAGTTAGCATAAACGAAAGCGATGTGGATTCGAGAAAAGAGGATTTATTTCCGTTAAATAAATAAGCTGTTCCATAGAGTCCGCTGCAAACACAGTTCCAACGAAGTAGTAACTCTGCTTCCTCTGCAGTTGCTTTTAATTGCTAGCATACCTCCATCCTCGATCAATTAGAATCTGGTAAGCCTGTAAGGAAGAAGTCAGTTTTACAGACTCTATGTAGCAAATTACAACTCACCTCAGAAGTTAAGGCATTCCCAAAAAGCCCAAACTGTTCATTCTTGTTTTTTTCTTCACAATAACCACACTCTTTGCCATAATAGTAACCCGCATAACTTAAAACGCTGTGCTCAACCATAACTAGGAAAAAGTAAAAGAGACGAAGAACAATGGAATGAGTCTACAAAAGCAAAATGAAATTACGGTAGCAAGAAAGACAAGGGTCGTGATCGCAGGTGGAAGAAGCGGATTTGCGAAATACTCTTGTTAGGACGACACTGCTCCTTCTCACAGTAACTAAACAAAAACGACCAGAAACACAACCAAACGCCCATGCCATGATTAAGTATATAAACTCACAGAAAACCATCTATTAATTCTATAAGGTCAGGTCCACTCTATGCAAGTGCCGACGATCAGTAACCAAAGACAAAAACGAAAAGGTATTCCACCCATTCCTCCCTCTGTTCTTGCCATCATCAGCAAGCCAGAAACAACATTAAAAGAGAAAGCAAACAAATTACCGAAGAATTAGAAACCGCAAACCACTTCCAACAAACAATCCAAGTGCTAAATATGATACCGAGTGGGGAGAAGCAAGGTAAAAGGAAGGGACAAATATAACGAGTAGGGAATTCAACTAACGAGGGAGGAAAAAGAGAAAGAAGTGCGATACGGAAACTTATTTCCTTTGAACATGCATGCACACATCAGTGAACACACTTTCACAATCCCTTTACTCCTCCTCATCCTCAGAGTAGAAGGTCGAGGGTTTGGGGGTTCCCTTAGGGGAGTTCAACCAAGCCAATTCACGCTCACGAGCACGGCGCTCCTTGGCCTTAATTTCGTTACGCGTAAGCTTCTTCTTCTTGGCAGTCTTCGTCTTAATCTTTTGAAGCTCCTTCTCACTCAAGTCCTCGAACTTGTCCACGTCAACAGTAGTCTTACCCTTGTGAGTAACACGACCACTCTCAACGTGCCATTGCTCAGGACAAAGGGCAGATACGAACTCAGCGTTGTGAGAAATCATAACGACACCACCTGCCCAATCGCGAATAGCAACGGCCAAACCTCCCAGAGCATCACGATCCAAGAAGTTAGTAGGCTCATCCAGCACAAGCAATTGAGGGTTGTTCCACAAACAAGCAGCGAGGACAACCTTGACCTTTTGACCACCAGACAAACTGCTAATAGGGTTGTAGTCAGCAATATCTCCGGGAAGACCAACTTCTTCGAAGTGCTTGCGAATATCTTCAGGCACAAGCTCACGGAAACCCAGACCCTCACGGGAAGACTCCATATCATCGTAAGCTTGCACAAACTTCTGGAAACCGTGCTTAAGCAGCAACTCACGAGAAACCCAAGTGTTGTACTTGTGAGGCTTGCCCTGCCACTTAATCTCGTACTGGAAGGACTTCTTAAGCTTTTGACGACCGATCAACAACTCCACACGACGGCGCTCACCATCAACAATAATTTCACGCTCCAATTGGGCACGGTCTTCATCAGTCAGTTTACGAGACTCCTTCTCTAAAACCTCACGATCTTGACCACCGCGATAACGCCATTGGATGTACTGACTGGGTGTCTTCTCCAAATGCTGATCCAAATGATGGAAAGCATGTTGAGCAACATAACCGACACGAAGGTTAGGGTGCTTAGTGACCTTACCCGATTGAGGAATAACTTCACCAATAAGTACCTTAATCAGGGTTGACTTACCAGCACCGTTAGGACCCAGAATGGCAACACGGGAGGAAAGAGTAAGACCAACGGTAACATTGTCGAGGGACTTCTTCTTGGCACCGGGATATTGATAGGAAGCATTAGTCATCTTAAGAATGACACGTGTGTTCGAGCGGACACCCGTCAAGATACCAGGAGGGGGGAAAGTGAACTTCTCGTTTGTGGCAGTAAGAGTGTAATAGGATTTAGCCTCAGGCTTGCGTTCAACAAACTTGGACAAGTTACCCTTGTAGTACTCAAGTTTCTTGGGGGCATTCTTCACACCCTCGTAGTGAACAATATCAGTACAAACGTTGTCCAAGAACGAGGAGTCGTGAGAGACAATGAGACATGTGATGTTCGTTTGTGAGTTCAAGTAGGCTTCCAACCAAGCAATATTAGCAACATCCAAATGGTTAGTAGGCTCATCCAACAGCAGAATATCGGCCTTTTGAAGCATAGCACGAGCCAACTCAAGTTTCATTTTCCAACCACCAGACAGCGAACTGACGGGATCCATCTGCTTTTCTTCGGAAAAGCCGACAGTGCGAAGAGCACCGGCGACATCATCACGAGTGACGCCAATAGCAATCAGAGCCTTATCATTGCACACGAAGTCCAAGATAGACGAGCTTGTGTCTTCACCTTGCAGACTGTGAGCGACAAAACAGGTCTTGACCTGTTCAGGTGCAGGGAAGTTCTCGACCTTGTAATCGGCAATGGAGCGAAGAAGAGTAGACTTACCACAACCATTGTGTCCAACAATACCGTAACGGTGACCACGGTAAAGCTTAAGAAGGGTATGGCTCAAAAGCAAACGTCCACCGTAGGCAAGAGAAAACTCGGTGTTAACAAGCAACTCATCCTTCTCTTCAGGCTCCTCCTCAACCACTTGGTGCAACTTTTCGTACAACTCGGAGAACTTTGTGAAAAATTCCTTGCCAACCTCAGAAGCCTTTTCGGCGCCCAGCAAGGGAGTAAGGTAAGGGACAGTGTATTCCTCAACCCAAGTCTTCTCCTCAAAGTTCTTGGTATAGTATAGCTGCTCAGCATTGTCACAAACGTAGGCAATGACATCAGTGGTAATATCTTCGGGAACAGTGGAGGAACTCTTAATGGTAGAGGCCAAAGACTCACGAATGCCCTTGACAGAAGTGGCCTCGGTAGTGTCGCTGGCCTTGGCAGCACGAGCGGCAGCAGCCTTATTAAGTGTCATCAAAGCGTGCATAGCCAAGCTACGGACCTCAGGCATAGCGGCGGTCTGTGCAATACGCTCAATATCGGGAATGAGCTCTGGCAAAAAGTCAGCAGCCTCCTCGGGATCGGGAACCAATTTGCACAGGTTGTCGGTAATAATAACGGCGGAACGGAGCATAGATTGCGAACGCTGAGCCAGAGCACGTCTCAGGATAGGAACCAAGACGGCCAAGGCAACAGACTCGACAGTAGCAACGAAGGTAGTTGCACTCAGAGCCTTCACACACTCTTCCAGAGTTTCTGGCCGAGCCATACAGTTGACCAACTTAGGGATGTGAGGAACAATGTCGTGGTTCTCGACAACGGTACAAAGGTCGAGCATGCATTTGATGGCAGCCTGAGAGACTTCACTTTTTGTTTCATGCATACGCTCACGAATGCAGGGAATAAGACTAGCCAACGAAGAAGTGACAATTGCTGGCAGACGTTTGGCCAAACTTCCCAAGCAACGCAAAGCAGCCACCTTGCTGGGCCACTTAGGAGCCTGGCTGTCGAGATACTCCATCAAGGCGGGAATTAAACGCGTTTTGAAAGCCATAGAGGGCAAAATGTCCAGCAACGAGTCGAGGGTAAGCTGAGCAGCCTCACGAACAACCTGACCTCTGTCTGCAAAGGAGTCCAAAATGAGGTTAAGGTAGGGAAGAAAATCAACCTCAGTAGGACGTCCCAGTCTCTTGATCAACATGGAAAAACCAATTAAGGCAGCCTCGCGATGAAGACCATTTTTTTTGTTACGAGCAGCGCGCTCCAACGCGTGGAAAATGCTAGTAGTACGAAGCGTAACCAAAGGCTCGTCTTTCACGAAAATGTCACCAATTTTCTCACCGACCTTAGCACAATCCTCGGATGTTTCAGCATTCAGCATCTCGTCCACGAGTACGAGGACATTGTCCTCCTCAATTCCAGATATTAGCACCGAACCCGTCATTCTATATCGAGGTTTTGCTATAGAGTGGTTGGTAAACGGCAGGTTTCAAGCGCATGGGCGAAATCGCTAAATGCATTTTTTACTAACGCGTAACGAGCATAACCGAACTCGTTCGGTTAAAGGGTCCTAAGCGTGTTTTACCGTGAACAGAAAAGTAGTGTTAGTGCGTTAAACAGATTAGTGACACACTAAAGTTCATTATACACATAACGTACCACAACACTTAAGCGCTAAAACTATATTCCGCATTCTAAGACATTACTTTATATTCATTAACGCATTATACAAAACTGCCTTCTGATTTGTTTCGGTTCGTTCAGTCTCGGCAACGTTCGCTTATGTTCGCTTAGACTAGACAAGGCTTCGAACAAATGCCAGGACAAAATTCAAGAGCAGCCCAAGGACGATGGCCAACTGCATTCGAAACGGTGTGAGCGACTTGTGCCAGCGGAAAAAGAAGGCGAAAGGCCCACCAAAAAAACCAAGAATTGCGCCCGTAAGCACCATGTCCTGCGTCATCTCCAGCTCCTCAGTCGCCTGCTCCTGAGCCGGATTGTCGATCCAGTTATCCTCTGCCTGGCGGATTGCATCCTCCGTCAACGCATTCAAGTCTGTTCCACGAAGTTGGTGAAACTGGTTACGTAGGGTTGCAATTTCGTCTTCACCAAAACCGGCTTCTAATAATCGGTCGAAGCCGCGTGGACCACTATTACTTAGTACGTTTGTACTGGGATATTCTCCCGGCATTCCCGAAAGTTCTTCTGGATGCTGTTCTTGTTGAATTTGTTCAGGCGTCAATTCTGGACCAATAATACAATGAATGAATGCTCGTTCTGAAGTCTCAGCAGCAGGAGTCACCGCCCAATTGCCCTGAATAGCTCTGGAAACCGTACACAGCGGACTGAGCAACCGTCCTTGACAGACCATTTTCAAATGCTTATTCCTGCACTCTGGGACGCGTTCTCTGACATAATTGATCAGTTCCTGTATGGAGAAACGGTCTATGTTGTTAATCGTAACCTCTAGATCCGGTAATGCTGAGGCAAAACGCACGACAACGTATCTGTCGAGCGACTCCCCCATTTTCGCGAGTTTGTCCTGTGGAAACACTTTCTGGGCATGCAATCAATTCATTCAAAACCACTGGACTTGAATTCGCTGGGAATTTGGTTCAATGTTACAAGTATAACGGTTTCTGGAATGCTCGAGGTAGGGGAGGTGACAGGGACACGCGAGACGCTACTAGAGCTCGTGGACATAACCTTAATTGTCGGCTCTGAGCGTAGCCGTTGTGACATCATTTATTTACGCTAGTGAAAACACGCGAAGAAACAAAACACAGGAAAAAGCATTGCAATTACAACCAAGCAAATAGGACATCTGCTGCTCATTCGCATGTAAACAGCGTCAGGAATCCAAAGAAACAATCCCCATAACAAAGAAATATCTTATTTCTAAACATTACATAACTCGGAGAAAACAAAAACGAAACAATAGCCCCAATGCGCCTAATAAGCGCCAAAAAGAGTGTCTGGAAGATTAAAATGAGAGAGTTGTGTGTGTAATAGTGAAATGTACACACCTCTCAGAATGGAAGAAAGGAATCAATCAACTTTTTTTTATCAAAAAACCGAGTATCGCTGCCAAAAAGAAATGAAAAAGTGTGGGAAAAGCGACGCGATAAGTCAAAGGAAGAACGAAAAAACATGTGCAGGATACGGGTAAAGTCGGCTATAGCTGGTTCACACACGTTGAAAGAGTTTAAGAAGCTTGGTGACAAAAAGTAGCCCAACTTACTCGTTATCCTCTTGCATGTGTTCGTCGCCAGACACTTCTTCAGATCCGTCATCCTCATGAACAACCTGCTCATCTTCGTCGTTTTCCATGTCGGAACCCGCAAGCTCGGCACCCTCTTGCGAAAGTTCGCTATCCTGATCCTCGTCCTCGTCGTACTCTGAATCACTTTCCTCATCATCATCAGAGTAGCCCTCGATGATCGTCTCATCTAAATGCTCATAGTAAACCGACAATGGTTCGTTGTTTTCTGCATTGTCTTTTGATCCGCCGGCCTTTCGTAACTCCACTTGAAACATCACCAAATCCAGTTTTCCTTGAAGTGCCTTGAGTCTAGAGAAGCCAGCAGCTCTCGCCTGAAGCACGGCAAAGAGGTCTGCCAAGCGCTCCTTTAAGCCAGGAACAACAGAAAGCTGAGCAGCATGGTGAATAAGAACCGCTCGGATCCACTGACTTAATACGCCGGCACGATTAGGGCGACTGGCCATACGTTCGGCTAACTTTGACAAAAGACCAGGAGCAAGCGTACCATCCAAACGTCGGATCGTAGCATTGATGGTAGCCAAGTCTTGTTGATGGAAACAGGATTCGAGTAGGGTGTTGTCGTTTGTACGCAATGCTTGAGTCAGCACACTAGCCAAAGAAGCAGAAGCAGATTTTGTGCTAAGAGGAGCTGATTGAGCTTGCTGGTCTATACGATTCAACGTCTGCAAACGCTCAGCAAGACTAGGTTCCTGCTCGTCAACGCCCGACGCTTCATTAGCATCAGCTTGGTCTGCAGATGCAGCAAACTGTTCACGTGTTCCTGAAACAACACGGGTATTGCTTTCATCGTACGTAGTCGTCGAACGCGCACCATGGCGTGCCACAGAGGACTGAGGTTTGGAGCGAACAATTTCAAGAACACCGTCTACGCTTTGAGAAGACAACAAACGCCATTGAATGCTTTCAAACACAGTGCGGGCGCCCTCCACCCAAGAAAGCACAAGTGTATCTGCAGAAAGCAGCTTCAACGAGCGAAGAGGAACAGCAGCACCCCCACGAGAACGAACAATTCTCAATTTTAGAACGGATTTTTTTGTATTCACCTTGTTACGGCGAGAAAACGAGGCAAGAGCGCCGGAACCGCGGCCGGCACCCTTCGTCGAAACCCATGGTTGTTCAAAAAGCTCGACATTGTTATCTACTGTCAAGGCAGCGAGAACAGGCGCTTGTTTTGCTGCAGCCGAAAGGGAAATCTGAGAAATTTCAGAATCACACACCAGTGTACCGGCTGTCTTTACACCTCCGGCAGATACTTCAATTGCAGCATTCTTGTGCGGGAAAGCGGTTTTTGTGTCGTCAGAGTCCGGTTCACCAGACTCCTGCTGTTTTTCGGGTTTCGGAAGAGTTTTGACGAACAAGTTGACGAAACGGTCCGACGCAGCTGCAGTAGCAAACTTGATAGCGTTCTCTTCTTTGCAAAAATAAGACTCGAGGGAATGAATAAGCGTTGTGTGTGCTGTGAGAACATCCAGCGGTTCGGATTTTGGGAGTTGAAGCAATAAAGCGTTTCGAGAAGTAGCGAAATACAGGTCCGTCCGAACGGGGGCTTTGTAAAGGCCCGAGAACTCTTTTCCCAGCTCTTCGATTGAAGTCTGCTTTTTCACGTCACCAGAATTGGCGTCAATTTGAGCAAGATGCCCGTCAATGTCCATAATCCAGCCATTGCTGCCGGACAAGGAGCATCCAGTGATGCTTCCAATGCTTGGAAACTTGTAGTTCCGTGTTACATCTCCCAATGACTCTGCATACAGTGAAACACCGCCGTTTTCACTGCTAACGACTATAACCTCTCCGGCGCCAGAAATTTCGTGAGCCAGAGTCTTTTCTCCCTTTCTAGCCTTTTTTCCCCAGCAAAAACACGTTATTTTTCCCTGTTTTTCAAAAGCATATTCACTTTTCAAAGATCCAGTTGAAGTGTCAAAAACTCGCAGTCTTTGAGCATCTAACCCCGGAACAACCACAGCAAACAATGTGCCGGCCTCATTAAATGAGTATACCGACCCGGAATCTATAGAGGCCGTTTGAAACGACGATTTTGATCGCGTTTTAGGAGCCATGTTGCGTGTAGAGGTCAGAGCTACTTGTGTCCTCCTCGAAACCTTGGCTGGTGTTTGCGCGGGCAAATTGGGAGACCTACTGTATCGCTAAAAGGTATTGTGAACTGTAACGATGCATAGCGAGTAACTCACCACCAAGCTTATGTTCGTTATGGGTGAAGAAGAGGTGAAGGAGAGACGGAGAGAGCGAGGAGATTGAAAGGGAGGCATGAGAGCGAAGAGTACGAGGAGTAGAAAATGAGAACAGGAAAGCCGCCTCTCACGTAAGCCCAAACGTGCTCTGGATCATTTCTACACATTTACACCCTAAGCACAAACTCTACCGCACGCAATGCAAGATAAACAATACTCATTAAGTTTCAAAAGACTCATGTACATATACAGGACCTCAAAGAAAAAAAAGAATCGAGGTGAATTCCTGTTCAGCAGGACAAAGGTCCGATGCCAAACGAAAGGAAGAACGGGGCCCACAGGTGAGGGGAACGCTATGGACCCATAAGTGCAATCCAGACTCTGCTTCGACGGGAACGGGAAAAGGAAGTAACGGAATCATACAGCAGCAGCAGCCACTTCTGGCTAGCAGGCGAACGCCGGTAGGTCTTATTATCGCACAAAAAGTACACATACCATAGCGTTCGCCCCAAACCGAAGAAAGAAGGCTGACGGCGTTGACGAGGAAAGGGAAGAAGATGGAAAGACCGACGATAGAGCAACAGGAAAAAAATGCGGAAAGGGTAAGGGTGAGAGAACACGACAGCGACTGACGTGAGCGCGAGTTATATGGTAAAAGTAAAAGACAGAGAGAACAAACGACGGACTGAAGGATCGCAAAAACCAATGGAAAGAACGATGAATGAAACAAAGACTAGCGAAAAGCTGTCCAAATGAAAACGTGGTATAAGCAGCTAACTTTGTGTTTCGCAAAAGTTACTGTTGACGACGCCAATGTGAGACAGCATGTTTACGCGGAATCACTGCTTTCGCTGTCTTCGTCGGAGGAAGACGAAGACTCGTCTTCAGATTCATGTACACCACCACCGGCGGGACCAGACGATGAAATTTGATCGGCAAACTCTGAGCCGCCTGCAGTGTTAGAGTTCGCGTTAAATCGGTCAAGCTGTGCACGCAATTGGCGGATTTTTTCAGCCTGCTCTGCTTCCGACAACACACGACCCTTTCTTTTATCCCGCATAAGAGGCGGTGTGGGCATTTTATCCTTGCACACGTAGTAGTACACTTGATAAAAGACTTCAGGTTCCATGTTAGCCACGTCAATTTCAATTTCATCGGTATCACGCAACCACGGCATCGCCTGGCGCAAAATCTCCGCAACGTAGGTTAATTGCTCTGCAGTAAGATAGTTACACTGCTCTGCGAGCTCCGTCTGCATCTCGTACGTGATAGGAGGATACTGGGGTTCAGCACTCTGTGAGCGAGCACGGCGGCGACGAGATATGGGGTTAGAGCGCGCACGAGACTTCATTTGCTTCAGCGTGTGCTGAAGCATGTTGATTTGGCGGTTGACGGCTTCAAACTCCTCGCCCTCTTCCTCGTCATACTCATCGTCGCTACCGAACACCTCATTATCGGCATAGTAGTAGTCAGAGGCAGACAAGGATTGGGCAGTAGCTTGTGCCTCGAAGTCGGGCTTTTCGGCCCATTTTGAACGAAAGACAGTTTCTAATTTTTTGCCCATTAGATACACCGGCGTTCCCGGAGGATTAAATCTGTAGCAGTTTTTGAAGACCAAGTTGACATCAGCCTCGAAGTCCTTGATGTTGGCATATTCGTTGTGGTTCAACTTGTTCTGCATGGTACCAAGATCCATAGGATGCTTGATGACTTTAAAGTAATCGGGACAGCCAAACGCAACAGGATCAACAGGCTGGTAGAAAGGATAAGCATACGTTTCGTGCTGCTTTTTAAACAACTCCTTCAGCACTGCCTGACAGAACTTCATCTCCGTTGCATCCTTGCGGCGACGCTGCTTCATGTCGAAGGAAGACTCGCGCATGAAGGAGGACGAGGCACGGCGTGTGCGAGCCGTCGTGTCGCGCAGAGTCATGGATCCCTTGCGCTGTCGTCTTCCGCCTGCATCCACCGGGTACGAAGAAGGAAGCTGCTTGAGCTGCTTCGTGAAAGTGGCCTGGAGGTTTTTGCCCATCACACCCACGGGCGACTCGGTTCCGTTGTAGAGGAAGCAGTTGTCGAACATAAGGTTCATGTCGTCAATGAACGATTGCGCGCTGTCATACTCGCGGTTGGTGAGCTTGCGCTGCATTGTGCTAAGGTCCATGGGGTGTTTGATGATGAGAGGGTAATCGGGAATGTTCTGCTTTACGGGATCCACTGGAACACGGAAAGGAATGCTGTCGCGGCAACGGCGTAACTGACGAAGCATTGCTTGAATGTATTTATGTTGTTCTTTCGTCAGCGGAGGACGAGGGACATGCTCCCGGGCTGGTGAAGGCGCACGGTGACTGAGTGCGACTTCGGAATTGTTGTAAAATGCGGTGGTGTTGTTGTAATTGCTGCCAGCAGCAACGTTTTCCTTAGGTTGTGTGTCATTAGCAACCACAGGTGCAGATTCCCCGGAGGTTTTCGTTTCGTTAAATGATTCCGCTTTCGCAGTCTCTGTCTTCGTGTCGTCAGAAGCTGTACGAACACGTTTGGAAGGAGGAGCATCGGCGGCGTCTTCACTCGATTGTCTGCGAACGGAAGAGCCATCGGCGCCGCGCACCTCTTCCTGGAATGGACGTGCAGCTTCCTCCTCTTGTTTTGAGACGCCCCCACCAGCGTCCTGGAACTCGTGCGCGTCGGCCTCATCACCCTCGACGGATGGACCGTCGCTGTCGGGGCTTCTATGGGCGCTCACTGACTCGTTTGAATCCTCGTCAAAGCTGGTGTAAGGGGGAGTGGGGTGGAGGAAACGGCAGCTGTCGTCGTCGTCCCCGACATCGCCGGCTGTACCAGCGTCCAGAGACGGCAACTGAGCATCTCCAAACAAGTCCACCTGGTCGTCGCCATCACCAAAAAGACCCTGTGTGTCGGTCGAGTATGGTTCGGGCGAACGCGGTGTGTAAACTTTGGTTTCCTGTTTGACAGCCGTTTTCACTTGCTTTAGCGCATTAGGAGCTGTCATTGTTATTGATTGTGGAAGCTGGGAGTTTTCATGAGACGACATCGAGTTTTTTTCTTCGTTTGCACTACAATATTAGTATTCTGTCGAACCCTTGTTTTTTCTTCTACTGGTAGACCCGTCCACGATTCCATGAAATTGTTATTTGATGAGCACACAGCCAAAGATAAAACAGAACACTTGTTCCAGCCATGTGCAAAAGGAAACAACAATACCAACGTCATCAAGGACGAGCCCTATGAAAACAATGATTCGAACACGCCTAGCCGCTATCCACCAACGCACATCAACGGGATCAACAGGGGGTGGGAGTGATGAAGCGCCAGTATCAGCAAACACCAGCACCACCGTCTGTGTAACTGATGCGGTCACCAGTAGCAGGAGGAGACCCTTTCGACCGGCCAGCCTCTTTAACGCTTTTCTGATGCTCCGACATGACCAACAGTGATCGGCGAGCATGTTCATGATCGCCAATGATCGTTGTCGTGCAGATCAGGATCGTAGCCGAGTGGTTTAGCGATTAAACGAAAAGCGACCAAGCGAGGTTCCGAGTTTGTTGCTCCAACACCAACAACACCACATACGACCAACTCGGTACATTCAAATCACCCGCTTTCCACCACGACGACTGCCACAACCCAGCGATTTACCGGCAGCATTGCAACAGACGTTGAAAAACGAGAAACTCGCTGATCTTGGAGAATTGACGGGTGAAGAGAACTTGAGAAGGTCGACAAAGGCGTCTATGGAACAGGAGAATTAAGAGAAATCAAAGACCGTTCCATCAACTCGGAGAAAACCGCCAGACAGCACCAGACACGGTCGAATCATTGTTTTATACCTACAAATCACTTACATGAAAGTATCACCATTCATATTCTTGCTGTTTTGACCTCGGTAACATGCGGCACGCTTGCTTGCCTATGTTTCTGCCAGAATTTGGTCTCTTCTTTGCAACAAAGTGTTTGGGAGAAGGAAGAAAGCTTCAGGTAGGTTTAAGTCGTCGTCAGGGTTAGGGTTTTGAAAAAAAGGATAGCGAATAGATACGCGCTCGCGGGGTAAGCCACTTAAAAACACGCGTCAATGTGCGCACGGGGAGGCGAACCGTGTCGATTGGCCCGGCCAATCTGATCTCAAGATCACCGTGTCGGCGAATTACGACCAATCACAAGGCAGAAACTACGGGAATGACGCTATCGAGGGGAAGAATGCTCAAAGGCGGCGGTGGGGTGTGAGGGATGCGGCCTGGGAGCGGAAGTGACAGAGCACGGGGGAGAACAAAAAAAACTACGGAAAGGGACAAACCCGAGGTATTACGAACCGTCGAAAAAGCAAAACACCGAGAAGGCCGCATTTTCCGGCATCTGCAGGTGTCGTAAAGGCTTTTACCGGTCTGGCGAGCCTACTGACATGACGCCTCCGGTCCTCGGTGTTGGTGGAGTCAAGGAGCGGCAACGTTTCCGCGTTGCTCTAGTGGCAAACAAACCGCGTGACGTTTCGTTTAGTGATGATCGCCATCGCGCGATCGTGATAGCTTAGCGGCGAAGGTTATAGAAACAGAGTGACGTCATCGGCTTTCAAGAAGGCGGAGAAGGTTTCAGGCTCCGCCGATCGCGCTGAGTAAGAATAAGACAGCCTAGCGATAGAGCGGTTTCCAGTGAAACGTGGTTCTAAATGAAAGCGCGTGTGTGACGTAACGCGTCAGTAAGTAAACAAATCGAGCGAAAGGCAGCGAAAACAGAAAAAGGTCGAAAAGTCGTGATAAGGTGAGCCAGAATCAAAGTGAAATGAGTGTTTTGCATGTCTTCGTGGACGTAGAGGTCGAACGGAGTCAATGCCGATGGATTAGAGAGCGTCGCAAGGCAAATTACCGCTTCTGATGAGCCTGCTTGCAAAAAACTCACGAGGAAAAGGCAAATTGAGAGGAAGCGATGCTGATGGAGCCAATGTGAGTCCTCGCTAGCCGATTCATTGAGGACATATGCTGTTCCAAGGAGTGCATGGAGAAGAAATCTCAAAAATAATCAGTTTACACACCTTCGCGCAAAAACTGGCACAGACAGCCGTAAGAAAGCGTTACAAGGCCTAGACAGCAAGTCAAAGATGTGTAGAACCCTTCTGTAGGATTCACCTAGCCGTGCAACAAACGTACGGTGCTGAAATCTCAAAAATACGTATTCCAAGCATGGTCCTTGAGAAAAGCATAAACGACCGAGAACCATTTCTCTTATGTATCCATACGAAGACAGGAGGTACTATCCTGCTGCCAGCATTCGCGAAGCTTCTCGCACATTTCCATACTGTCTGCTTTTTTTTACGCAGAAAGTTCATGCCAGTGACTGGTTACCAAAAGTGGAAATCCATTTTCAAGTTTTGTAGTACATCATTCGTACTGAACACGTTTCAAAGAACTGTTTTTCACATTTTTTCAACGGAAGACGAGACAAGCAGGAAGACGTTTTGCGCTAGTAACTTTTCCTCCGCCATCGATTACACCGGTGTCCACCGTCACCACCAAGGTCGCCGGTAGCGTGTGACTTGGTGACGAGCGATAAGCCGCGGGATAGCCGGTGCGATCCCACGGAGAGGGCTGAGCAGTGATAAGTGGGTTGGAGCACAGACCTGGGCCAACATGCCTATGGATGTAATCGTACCGTCTGTAGCTGTTCAATAAAACTATGCATTTCATGAGAGCATGTGTCTGTGCGGCTGATTTTTGATGGAACGGTCAAGGGGCATAGCCAAGGCCACGGGTCGAAAGTTACCACCAAAAGCCTGCGAATCCGCACACCAAAAGTGTGTCCATAAGGGTGTGCCTCTAACGAAAGACCCAAGGTTTAAACCCAACCAATTCACGAATTCTGTTTCACCAAGTAACGGAAACTTCCCTCTGACATTCCAAAATGGCCAATACCTCGGTAAGTTGAAAAGACACCGAAGCGATTCTTCAGACACAGGATTGGTTTTCTGTCGACACTGGCAGCCAAGCTTATTGTTGTTGAGGTTGGAATACTCACAAAGGTGTGTTTATGCGTGTGGTGCCTTCATGATTTGCATGAGATGGACAGAGGGAGAGGATGAAATGTGTGTCACACACACCACCAGCTGTAACAATTATCAATGAGGATGCAATCCCAGAGAAACGGCAACCATGGACACTTAGTAATTCATCTTTTAAGCACACTTTTGCATGAGGATTCCAAATGCTCGTGTCCACTATGTTGCGTTGTAAACAACAGCTAACTTCGTTGTATTAATAGCCTGAAGACGCTGCACTGGATTTGTTTCGTCGTCTGAACCCAGACAAAATCTCGAAAAACTTGGACACCGTCCTTCAGTACCGTCCTGACTTGAGTGAAGTTTTGCTCTCCTCCATAGATCAGCCGTTGCGTTCAGAACGTTGTGCAGATTCGGGCAATCAATATCTTTTGTGTGACTTCAATCGCGATGGAGACTCGTATCGTTCACCTTGGAGCAACAAATACGCTCCTGCTTTAGACGACGGAATTGTGCCCAGCGATCATGTCCGTGATATTGAAGTTCGTTTAAACAATGCCATGCGTGTGTACGTCGACATGTACTATGAAGGTGGTGTATCGAGCGTTTATCTTTGGGATCAAGATGAGTATTACGCTGGTGCCGTCCTCATCAAGAAGGGTATGTGTAATGTTTCAACGAGGTGCACGATGGCCAGTGTTCGCATGTTCTAACCTAGCTTTAGGATCCAGCGATGATGCTTCCGGATGGGATTCTATTCACGTCTTCGAATGCTTGGAGACGGGGGAGCCGGATAAGTGGGATTATCAACTCACAAGCACAATCATTCTCCACATGCAATCATCATCCAGCTCAGCGGATGAAAGCAAGCTTGGCTTGTCCGGCCAACTGACCAGACAGACCTCTCAGCGTCTGGAGGTTTCAGACGTTTACTCGCAAGTAGCTAATGTGGGTCGTATGGTTGAAGACATGGAGAACCGGATGCGTACATTTTTGCAGGAAGTTTACTTTGGTAAGACGAATGATGTTGTCAACGCCATCCGTTCAGTGATGCCTTTGGAAGAGGTCAAAGAGAATGAAAAACGAATGAGTAATGTCGTTAGTGGCATGAGCAAAGCATAGTCGGCATAGCTGTAATTATAACAATACATTTCATAAACGACATTATTACAGTGAAGGGCGGTGCATATCTTCACCGGGTAGCGGTGTGGGAGAGTGAATTGGATATGTACTGGAAAAAAGTGCTCTGGTCGATGGGAAAGCAACGTGAGGAGCCGTTCGTGTATGAGAACGGCTGAATACGAAGTTGCACAAGAAGGTAGCCCAGGTTTTGCATAGTTTGAAGAGCTTGAACTTCTTCAGCGTCCACCGAAAGAATCCATGCACCTGAGAACCAGGCTAAATAAGCAATGTTATACGATACAGCGTACGACTGTGCTTCCGAAGACCATTTTTGTTGTCGATCACCAGGATGAGGAAGATGCAACGAGCACGGAAGCACGGTATGCATGTAATGAGCCAGAAGTACACACAAAAAGGAAAGCACCAGAACAGCATCTGGATTTACGACTAGTGAGTCGTGTTCTTGTAGAACAACAGGCACACCGGCTACAGACACTCCCAAGGAGAGGAAGTGCTCGGGAGAACCACTACTATCTAGAGAAACTCTCTCGATGCTGCTCGATAGGTGTGTGTTTGCCAGACCGTCTGTAATCGCGCTGAGCGTTGTTGTCGACGTTTCTAAAAATTCGTCACTACCCCGTTTCTGAGATTTGAGATCAAGATTCCACTTCAACTGAAACATGTCTAGTACCTTTCGACAGACGTGTTGTCTAATTCTTAGCAAACGAGTACCAAGAGTCTCCACATAGAGCTGTCTTTGATAGGAAGACTGATCAATGTTGCTTAGTGAGATTTGGGACGAGGTTTTCAACTCTTGCTTCCGTTCAGCAACGCCGTCCAATTCATTCTTGAGTTTCTGTTTGCGCTGGCTAACTCGTAAATGTAGTGTAGATACTCTGAATCGCAAATCCCGAAGAGAATCTTCGAGTTCCTCAAGTTCTTTTTTTTTAAGAGAAATTGCTCGTTCTTTTAATATGAATTCCCGTTCTCTGCTCAACCGGTCGAGACTTTGTTGAACATTTACTTGGTCATCGTTAAGCTTCTTTATTGTCCGAATGTGTTTTTGACATTGTCTCTGAATACAATTGATACAATACGCTCCTTTCTTACTTGCACAGATCTCACAAATTACTGCTTGAGGCATACCATTGTTTTTCTGCTTAGAGGCAATATTTTGTATCGTATGCAAGCTGCCACTACTGATAAGCGCGGAAGTTCCGCGGTGTAACCGTGGGATTCATGTCAGCGTTCGTAGGGGGGTGTGGATGGATGTGTGAAACACGCTGTACAGGGAGTACGCCAATTAGACCGATAAACCAGGTTGTTTAAGTCGTTAATTACCCGATTAATGGTTATTGCTTGCTTCCAGACATAGTTTCTTTTTTTTGTTGGTTTACCTACTTTGAGTCGGTAAATTTCCTAAAAGGACAATTTGTTCTGGTTATTGACTCTTTTTAAAAAATCAAAAAAAAAATAAAAATAGGAAAAAAAAAACCGGAAGGTCCAGTTTGGACATTTTGGAATCAAAGGAAATTTTAAAGAAGTTTGGTATTTTTATTATTATTTTTTTTTTTTTCTCATTTTTATTTCATTTTTCATTTTGGTAATATCTTCATTTGGTTCTTTATTTTTTGTGTACTTTTGATTACGACTGGCATATCATACTTGATTTCTGGACAAATTGTTTACTATTTCTTCATAGCGTTTTATCATAATGGACGAATTGAGGAAAAAGTCGGTCAACTCTTCTTCAATCGCCAAGATAAAACCCTTTTTTCCTGGTCGTTTACAAAAATCGCTTGATGAGACTAGTAGACTTCTGAAGTATAAACGACCAGAAGAATCGAGGCTAGCTATTTTGGAACAGGTTTCAAAGAAAATGGATTTGAAGTCCTGGCCAAATTTGGACAAATTCAAATTTGTTGCCAACAATACCACTTCCGACTATCCCCATTTACACTCAAAATTGGTCAATGTTGAACAAGTTGAAAATGAAACGACAGGAGAAGGCGCTCGCGAAAATCGCAAGAGAAGTCGTGTTAATCTTTATCCAAGCGATGCCGAGGAAAGTCCTACTTCGAGGGAAAACAAGATACCTAATCCTCCTTTTAAAAAGCTAACTATGCGGGAAAAGTATTCCGGACGAGATGTTCTGAAGGCTGCCGCTGCATCTTCACTGTTCACTGAGTCTCCTCGGCGTCCACGTTCCTCTGCTCAAAATTCAGATACAGACAATGATGAAGACGATGAGGCTTTTCGAATGCACGAGGATATTGAAGACAAATGGGCAACCAAAATCAATCGGGAGGCCCTTGAGCAAGAAGTATTTTCTTACTTGAATACCTGCTCGTCAAAGGATCTAGTGGACATGACTTCCTTCACCGTGTCTGAGGTTGAATTACTACTTAGCAAACGTCCATTTGAATCATTAGAAGCAATCGGCGGAATAAAAATGCCAAGTGTACAACCGCGACGGGGACGCAGAGGCCCTCGCGAACGGTTTACTCTAGGACAAAGGGTGGTAAACACATGCACAGACTTAATGCGAGGTTACTTTGTTGTCGACGAGCTCATTCGTCAATGCGAGGTACTTGGTGATAGAATCAAGCAAAGAGTTTCGTCTTGGGGGTTTGATGAGTCTTCGCTCTTGACGGGTGAGCTTCAGCTTTCCACGGAAGACTTGCAAAAATCATCAAAGACGTTCGTTTCGGAAGCACCAAAAACGTTTTCACCAGAACTGCACTTACAAAACTACCAAGTTGTCGGTATGAACTGGCTTTTCGCTTTGTATCAAGAAGGCCTTTCTGGTATATTGGCTGACGAGATGGGTCTCGGAAAAACATGTCAAACAATAGCATTTTTGGGTTTACTCAAGGAAATGAAGATGAGCGGACCGCATTTAGTCATTGCACCCTCTTCTACCATTGAAAATTGGCTTCGAGAAATTAATCGTTTCTGTCCTACCTTAAAAACAGAGCTTTACTATGGTAGTCAGGCAGAGCGAGCAGATTTGCGCGATAAAATCGACGCAGGTGAAACGGGCTTTGACATATTACTCACTACGTATCAGCTTGCTGCTAACAGTGCAGATGATAGAAAGTTTTTACGAAGCTTACGATTCAACGTTTGTGTCTACGACGAGGGTCATTACCTGAAAAACAGAATGTCTGGTAGATACAAACACTTGATGAGTATTCCAGCAAACTTTCGTCTTCTGTTGACTGGAACACCGCTTCAGAATAATCTGAAAGAACTTATCTCGCTGTTGGCCTTCATCTTACCAAATGTATTTGACATGGGTCTAAATAGTTTGGACATTATTTTCACGCTCAAGAAAACCGCAGATGCAGACTTGGAGAGGACCATGCTCTCCCAAGTCCGTATTTCTCGGGCAAAGTCAATGATGCAACCTTTTGTTTTGCGCCGAAGAAAGGCTCAAGTTTTGAGTACATTACCCCAAAAGATTCGCCAACTCGAACTTTGTGACTTTTCCGACAAAGAGCGGCTTGTTTACAGCAAAAATTTTCCGGAAAAGGATGTTGATAGCCTTTTAGAATCCGCTATTACAAAGGAAACAACTAGAGAGTCTTCGTCGCTTGCGACACATTCACCTGGATTTCTGCTTATGCAGCTTCGAAAAATATCAAACCATTTCCTCTTGGTACGAAACCATTATACGGATGAGTTACTTAAAACAATGGCTTCCGAAATTATGAAAGAGAAAACATATGCTGATGCGAATGAGCAGTACATTTTTGAAGATATGCAGGTTATGACAGATATTGAGCTGCATCTTCTGTGCTCCCAGTACTCTTCATTAAATCGGTTTATGCTCGCTGGTGAACCGTGGATGGAAGCAACAAAAGTTAAAAGAGCCGTGGAAGTCATGAAAAAATCATTTGAACAAGGAAACCCGTGTCTTACTGTTTAGCCAGTTTACACAAATGCTAGACATCTTGGAGCTCGTGTTAAAGAACCTTAAGGTCGAGTTTCTGCGTATAGACGGATCAACACAGGTTGATTCTCGGCAGGATTTAATTGATCAGTTTTATGAAAACGAGAATTACAAGGTGTTCTTGCTTTCAACAAAGGCAGGTGGTTTTGGCATTAATCTTGCCTGTGCAAACGTCGTCATACTGTACGACGTTTCATACAATCCCTTTGATGATCTTCAGGCAGAAGACAGGGCTCATCGGGTTGGTCAGAAAAAAGATGTTTATGTACATCGTTTGGTTGTTAAGGATACAGTTGAGGTATGCTCATGTGTGTTATAATGCTTACTAACACTTAACGTAGGAAAACATTCTGAAACTTGCGAATACGAAGGTCGCCCTTGATGAAACAATATCTGGTGCTGTTCATTGAAAAGAAGCGGATACAACTTATCGCTGGCGATAAGTCCAGAAGGCATGGCGTTTATCATTCGTTTACTGAAACATAGAGATTAGTGTATTTTTGTTAACAAGTTTTTGGTACAGTAAGCAGCATTGTATTTGCTTCTAGTGTGTATGAAGGGATTTGATATCATCGTTGGCACAACAAGCACATCAAACGTTCAGTTTTCAGAGTAGTGTTCATTCAGCGTGTATCAACAGTTTGGTAAAATCGCAGTATTGTTTACGTTAATGAAGTTACCAGTCAAATGTGTGATTTGGAATGACCATATTTTTTAAGAAAATAATGAAAGAAAGCATAAAACAATTATGGTCTGAAGGTTAAATACTTTTCAAGCTTACTGATAAAAAAAAAATAACAGAACAAATTCGTTACTGAGAGCTTCTTGTTGGAATTAAATGTGTCACAAGCAGTCTTTTTAAATGCTAATTGGAATGCATTGCTATTAATTTGGAGAACTGCATCATTGAACAGAGTCAATCTGAATAAATGTCACTCAAACAGAACAATCTCTTTCATACTGCCTGTTGCGTTGGAATTAGTTCTATAATGTAGAAAAACATTTACTCAAATAGTTCTACTTTGAATTCGTCTCTTCGAAGCCATTCAAGTTTATACAATTGTTCCCTTGTCATACATTACTGAGCAATTGTTTTACACGAATTTTTCGCTGCAAGTTAATTGCTATTGAAATACGTCTTAAACTTTAAGAGTGAACAACATCCTGAGTTCATTCCAATACATTTTTTATTTACCTAGCTGCCACACTTCTTTTACCTTTTCGCTAATTTCGCCAAAAAATAAGATTCAAATTAAGCGACACTTTAAATTAGTGACAGGGAAAATACAAATGATTCATAACACGTATACACGAATAATTGATTCAAATTAGAAAAAGAAGGACTACTTATTATAAAAAAAAAGAGTTAAATAACAAAAAAGTAGAGCTCGTAACTAAATCGACACTAATAATGAAAATTAAAATGAAAAATAATGATATATCAAAAAAAAAAAACAAAAAAAAATCACCACAAGCCTGCAGCAACCCCAACAGAGTAACGCATCACAAATCTTCATTACTAAGCAGCTCCGTCTTCCTCGTTTCCTGTTTCGCCTGTTCTCAGTTCCTCACTGGCAGAATTATCGCACTACGTCACTTTGCGACACCTCGATAGTCTAACCCAATAAAAGATGTCTCGGTTATAACAGCCCCTTTCCCTAATCACCTCTAATGACCTTGGAGACAACTGACGTCACTGACAGACCCTCTACTGAAGGCTGTCCCTAGTGGACACTGTTCGGGCTCCAGAACTGGGCGCGGTCGCGACTGCTCCCGGTCATCGAAGACATCGAACGGTTGAAACACGCGGGGTTCCTGGTTGCGTATTTTTCAGCCATGTTGACGGATCAGCGTGCAATCGTTGTGCTCCAGTGGTTTCAAATCGTCCAGTTCTGGTGCCATTGCTCTTACGTGTAAACGTCACTCCGAAGTCATCGCCGACAAATGTTCAAGTTGCTTACTAAATGTCAAGATATAAATGACAGTCTTATTACCACTGTTGCATACCAAACAGTTACAAGCATCCCGAGATCCTTCAGGAAATCGCTCATATAAATTCTCAGTACAGAAAACTCGATTTCAGTTTTTTTTGCGAATATTTTCACATTTTTTCTATTTTTTTCTATATCGAAAAACAGCACATTCAGCTATAATGGTTAACAAAGTTGCAATTATCATTTACTCCACTTACGGACACATTGCTCAACTTGCTGAGCAAGAAAAACTCGGTGTCGAGGCTGCTGGCGGCCATGCAACTATTTATCAAGTTCCCGAGACACTCCCAGACGAGATCCTTGAGAAGATGCATGCTCCTAAGAAGCCCGACTACCCATTGGCAACGTTGGACGTGTTGAAGGAACACAATGCATTCATCTTCGGTTTCCCAACCCGTTATGGAGCACCTCCCGCCCAATTCAAGGCCTTTTGGGACGCTACTGGTGGCCTCTGGGCCACTGGCGCTCTTCACGGCAAGTACTTCGGTGTTTTCGTGTCAACGGGAACCCTGGGAGGCGGCCAGGAGGCAACAGTGATGAACTCACTGTCTAACTTTGTTCACCACGGCATGATCTTCGTGCCCTTGGGTTACAAAAACACCTTCCCCTACGCTTCCAACTTGGACGAAGTCCACGGTGGCAGCGCCTGGGGTGCTGGCACATTCGCTGCTGCCGATGGCTCTCGTAGCCCCACTGAGCTTGAGTTGACGGTTGCAAAGATCCAGGGCCAGTCGTTCTACCAGACCGTTGATGAAATTTAGAAGCATTCAAAGTTTCTTAGCATTTGACCCTTTGTAATAGTAATGTAAATGATACATAATGAACTGTACAGAGATGGGACAGACGAGAGCATAGTGCAGGTAGTAGTTATTGGAATTTATAAAGTCCATAATTGAGAGCCCTCCAGTCAAATCTATTGACAGCGTCCAAACGGGCTTTCTCGCCATCGTTAGCCATCATTCTCGCTTGTGTGATCTGTGCGAGATTCAGGGTGACCATGTCTTGCGTATTTATGAACATGTACTGCAGTTTGTTTGTGACATGAGTATGACAAACAGTCATGTTCAGCTTCGAGTAAAAACTCACCAGTGAAGACTCAGTCATCTTTATGACATGAAAAACATGATGTGTAGATAATAAGAGTAAGCAAGACCTCACAGGTCTTACTACTCACTGTTATAAAATTGGTATTACAGCTGTCCAGCAAAAAAAAAGAACTAGCTTGAAGGTCGGTTGAAAAGACAAAACAGATCCCAAAAACGGTTAGAGTTTAACCAAAAGTTATTAAGGCTCAGATATATTCAGTGACGAAAACATACAATGATTTCGTTTGTTGTCTTTGGTGCTTCGGGCGATTTAGCAGCAAAGAAAACATTTCCAGCTTTGTTCCAGCTTTTCAAGAAAAAAGCCATAGAAAGGGACCAGTTTCGGATTATTGGATTTGCCAGAAGCAACCTTTCCAACGCAGACTTTGAAAACATTATTAGCATGCACAGCGGCGAAGAGCAGGGTTCCACTGTTCTTAAAAGTTTCAGACAACATAGTGAATATTTTCGAGGAAACTATTCCGATAAAGCCTCATTTGAGAAGTTGAATGAGAAGTTGAAGAGCTACGAAGAGCAGGACAAGTCGGTACTGAGAATATTTTATCTCGCTGTTCCGCCCAGTGTGTTCTTCGATGTTTGCTCGAACATTCATAAGACTACGTACTTGCCAAACAACCGGACACGCATCATTGTCGAGAAACCGTTTGGCATGGACTATGACTCTGCCGTAAAACTGAAACGCAGCTCCTCGACATCTGGAAGGAAGAAGAAATTTGCGCATCGATCATTATCTAGGAAAGGACATGATCATGAACTTGCCCATAATGCGCTTTATGAATCCAGGTATTGACGCAATGTTCAATCATGAACACGTCGAGTCGGTCGAAATATTCATGAAGGAGAGCGGTACGTGTGAAGGCAGAGAAGGATACTTCAACAGCAATGGCGTCGTCCGTGATGTGCTTCAGAATCATTTAATGCAGTTATTTAGCGCCGTCGCTATGGATCCGCCTCGCTCTGCGGATGCATCGGATATTCGAAATGCAAAGGTCAAATTGTTACAAGCCGCAAAACCGTTTCGTCGAGAAGACACCTTGTTTGGGCAATATGTTAAAAGTGCAGATGGAAGCAAGAAAGGGTACCTCGACCTAAAGGGAATTCCAGAGGACAGCAACACAGCAACTTTCGTTGCTTCTACGCTATACGTGGATAATGAACGTTGGAAGGGTGTCCCTTTCGTGTTTGTGACAGGCAAAGCTTTAAACGAAAATGATGTTCACGTTAGTTTGCACTTGCGGCCAAAGGATATGCCGTATCAGTCAAAGGGCAATCAGAGCAGACTTGTCACATTCTCTATCCAACCAAAGGAATATGTTGCTTTTGATTGTTTGATTAAAAGGCCTACCATGGCCGGTGGACTGCACACAGCAGAGTTGAAGATCGACTATGACAAGGATCTTGAAGACGTATACCAAAAGTATGATGCATACGAGGCATTATTTTATGATGCTATCAAAGGCAACCCTACGCGATTCGTTCGCAGTGATGAAGTTGAGGCAGGATGGAGGATCGTAAACAACATTCTCGATCCCAAGGAACCCTGTGAAAAGTATACATTTGGTTCTGCAGGCCCGAAGCAACTGCGAGAGTACCTCCACAAGTACTTATATCTTGAGACGAGTAAAAAGACATAATCCATTATGGACACAATCCCCATCGAACAAGTTGTTTAGTCTGTGAAATATATACAAGTAATTAAAAACTATTTCATCGAGACATCGTTAAAGAAGGCATTAGTTTATCCCTTTTCCATTATCGTGAAAATAAACCACCATATCCATGGTGAGCAACTCATTAAAATAAAACCGATAGCATTCACATTCAATAGCAGACGATTCTTTAGGTGTAGCATTCAGTGAACTTCTGAGCTCCCAAAGACAGCTTGGCATTCATGCAGTGCGTGCGAGTTTGTCTCACAAACATCACACCAAACACTGTTCGTTGCTGTTGGTGTAGATGACATATCAGCAGGTGCTTCTGTATCTGAATCCGTAAATATTCCCGAACGTCTTTTAGCTAAGGTTTCCTCATACTGCAGTGTCTGTATAACCTGCGCTTCTAACGCATTCTCCAGCTCTGCAAGTCGTCCTCGCAGAGCAGTTATTTCTTCACTGTCGCTTGCTCTTGAACGAATGGACGCGGTGCGATGTGAAAGGATCGAACGGTTGTCACTCATTTGCGCAGCCTCCAACTGAAGCTCAAGTTCATGGATACGGATATCCTTTTCCGTACATTGCGTCTTTAATTTGTCAATTTTGCTTCTTAGAACCTCAATCTCAATTTCATAAAACTCCAACGTTTGTCTTCGTTGAGGATGGTTTTCCGGTAGCGAAGACGTGAAAACATGCGGCGTATCTTCGTTCGAACGTGAAGAATCAGCAGCAGAATGTGAAGGAGAAACATCCTTCATCGCCGCAGGATCAAGTTTCGAAACATACTCCAAGGCATTTTCCAATCGCAGCTGAAGTTTGTCAACCCGACTCAAAGCTGCTTCTCTCTCTTCACTCAAAGTCTGAATCACCTCGCTTACTCGTTCGCTGCTTGAGGTGAGCTGTATTTGCATTTCCAGGTCTTTTATTCGTCGTTCGTAGGCTTCACTTGCGCGTGTCCCAGAGTCTTCCAAACATTCAATTGTGGCCTTGAACTCCGAGCGCCTCTTTAACGCTTCCTCACGCATTAATTGAATACGCTCCTCTTTTAATTTAATTCGCTCTCGTAGCTCATCAACTTCATCCTGTTGGTCAGTGAAGTTGACCACGAATGATTGTAACTGTTCAACGGTAGCCAACACTTCCTCCAGTTGTCTTTGATGGTTTTGTCGTTCATATAATAACTCTTCAATTCGTTTTTGCAATATTTTCTCTGTAGGAGTCAGTGCAGTTGTAGAAATTGTACTAAGACCCATAAGCGAACTGGACATGGAGGAAAGACGTGGGATGCCGGAAGGTGTTGAGGGTTGATTATTGTTCGGACTGTAGACGGTGGGAGATGAGTTTTGAGAATTTGATTTTGGAGAGAAGCTTGTCCCGATAGACGAAGCAAGTTCGCATTTGTCCACGGGAACAAAAATGCCTGTTCGCTCTTGTTTTACTTTGAAATACTCCACCCCGTCTACGCTACCGCTGTTTTTTCCAGCACTAGCATATTCAGGGAGCAATTCAATTCCGACGAACGTCCCATTTTTGTTCTGAACAGAACCAACATATCGAACAAATCCCCGTTCTCCGGAAGAAGTTTCGACCACACTTCCGATAGGAAACATGTATTAAACAGGAGCAGTTTTAGTGCCACGAAAAACAAAAAGACTTGTACAAGAAATCCCAGACTTAGCAAACTTTAGGGTAAGGTCCCCAAAGGAATTAGAAATATAACAAAAGGAACGATTAAACAACGCGATACAGTCAGAAGGAACAAAAATTTGAGTTAGGAAGAAAGAGGGATTAACAAAACAAATAAATATCCGAAATACTCTAATCCGTTAGTAGAAGTTCAATCGTTTCATTACGAACAACACGTGGAAACATGTTGCTAGAGACTTTAAGTGTTATGAGCTCGTCTGATTGCATACCAAAAACAAATTGTAGAAAATCTAAATAATTTCATCACAATTGATCAAACCTCAAAGATACAGCAATTAAAATCGAAAAAGTTTACACACAATCTTTCGTAAACAATAGAATGGCAGCTTTTTCCTACAAATTACAAGTTACACTTTCGTTCTCGATTCGGCGTATGTTGGACAGGTAATGCTGCATTCGTGGAACTAAGGGCTGCACTAGGCGTCGTAAGAGTGCGTAAAGCTTGTATACGGACGATTAGTGAAGCATAACGAAGAAAGCAATGTAGATCTTTTTTGTCGGCTTTTGAAGGGTTCCGTTACCCCTCAAACGAGTTTCTCTCCACACTACTCCACTTATTAGAAGTAACATTTTGCGGGGATTTCTAGAAATTTCGAAAAGCCTATAGCTTAAATAGTCCGTTGCTAGAGCGACCATGGATATCTTCCAGAGAATTAACGTTCTCAGAACCTCCCCAGAACCAATACCTCCCTCCATACACCATTATGCAGATTCAAAAATTGTCGTTTCTTTCCCTTCTTTACGTGCTGTACGCTCGCGGAGCCATTGCTTTAAAAAAGGAAGAAATTGATGTCCCTTCGTTTACGGTATGTTATATGCTGAAATAGCGGTTGCTTGAACGGTTAAAACGGAATATAATTTTTTTGCCGTCACCCGTATGGTGACCATGATGACCGAATCCTCGTTTTATTCAGTTACTAACGACAATCTTAGCCCACAGAGATCAAAGGACCCGTAGTCGAGCAATTCCTGGGAGACTGGGAGTCTAGATGGAAGGTTTCTAATGCCAAGCGTTCTGTTAACGGCGTGGAGGAAATGTCCTACGTCGGAACTTGGGCCGTAGAGGAATCCACCGTATTCAACGGACTTACTGGTGAGCTTGGTCTTGTTATGAAGGATGCTGCCGCCCATCATGCTATCTCTTATGACCTGGATGAACCTCTCGAAAAGACTGAAGAGCCTCTTGTTCTTCAGTATGAAGTGAAGCCCCAAGAAGGACTGGAGTGTGGTGGTGCCTACATTAAGCTTCTCGCGGAACCCGCTAAGGGTGAAATGTCTAATGCCGTTCCTTACCGTGTAATGTTCGGTCCCGACAAGTGTGGTGCCAATAACAAGGTGCACTTTATCTTCAACTACAAGAACCCTCTTACCGGCGAGGTTCAAGAAAAGCACCTGAGCTCTCCCCCGCCTTCGAACCTTCGTAAGGGAGCTACCAGCATTTACACTCTCATTCTTAACCCCGATCAAACCTATCAAATCCGTGTCAACGGCCAAATCCTCCGTTCTGGCTCTCTCTTCACCGATTTTGTTCCTCCCGTTCTTCCTCCTCGTGACATTCCTGATCCCGAGGACAAGAAGCCCGAAGACTGGATTGATGAGGACGAAATTCCCGATCCCGACGCTGTCAAGCCTGAGGATTGGGACGAGGATGCCCCTGCTCGTATTCCCGATCCTACTGCTGAGAAGCCCGATGATTGGTTGGAGGACGAGCCTCTGTTTATTCTTGACCCTACTGCTGAGAAGCCTGAAGATTGGGATGATGAAGAGGACGGTGACTGGGAGGCACCCTCTGTTCCCAACCCTATTTGCCAGGAGGTTTCTGGTTGCGGTGAGTGGAGAGCTCCTCTGATCCGTAACCCTGCCTTCAAGGGCCCTTGGAGCCCTCCAATGATTCCCAATCCCGAATACAAGGGACCTTGGATTCCTCGTAGAATTCCCAACCCTGACTTTTTTGACGATGATCACCCCTCTCACTTTGGTCCTGTCTACGGACTTGGTTTCGAGCTTTGGACTATGCAACCCGATATCCGTTTCAGTAACATCTACCTTGGTCACTCTGTGGAGGACGCCGAAAAGCTCGGAAATGAGACCTACATTCCCAAGGCCGACACTGAACATCTTCTTTCTTCTTCAGAAAAGGACAACCACATGTCTTTGGATGAGGACGAGGCCGAAAAGTTGCCTTTCAAGAATGATCTCAAGTTCACTGAAAACCCCGTTGAGTTTGTTAAGCAACGCCTTTCTCTCTTCTACAATGTTGCCATGTATGATTGGAAGTTTGCCTTCAAGACCATGCCCGAGGTTGGTGGTGCTATTGTTGCTGGTCTCGTTTCTGCTTTAGCTATTTTGGTCTCAATCATCTCGTTCTTGACTTCGAGCCCATCCAAGCGCCCCGCTCTGAATGCCAACGAAAGCAAAACCGAAAAGAAGGCCAACAAAGATTTCCAAAAGGAAAAGGGCAAGGACGTAGAGGTCTCTTACGCCCCTGAGTCCGAGACCGGCGATTCCGCCGAATCCAAGGAAGAGTCCAAGTAGGTGAAACTCTTTGAATTGTAATGTGTCAAATGAATGTCTAAATAATGCTCTGTTTCCTATATACAATATATGATTTGTACGTTTGCATGAATATCTGAAGCACGTCCGGAGGAAACGGCATGTAAATCCATCAACGAGCGGGCGTAGGAGAGGAATTATCATCGTCTGTCGCCGCTGTTTTGTTGTCCTCCTTTCCAGCTAACGGCACGACGGTACAGTAATTAGATGGAAACCAACCGTGCTGTCCGTTCCTTTTTCTGCCATACCACCACTTACTGTCTCTATTTTGAGAATCGGTTTTGGAAAGCACAGCAATAATTTCATCGACAGCTAAGGGCAATTCATTTGTAGGGTCCCGTGGCGTGAAGGTGTAATTTGCTTTGCAAAACTCAATTGGCTCTGTCGAAACAGTAGAGCGAAGCAGATTGTTTTGACTCTGTTTGTACAGCTGTTTGCACAGTTTAACAATGATGTACGGAAGTCCAAAAAGTCCAGCCAGTATGGTAAGCACAGCTCCCCGGGACAAGCTGGGACCTCTTGACTCGTTTTTCCACTTGTCAATGTCATCGTTTGCCACGTTGTAAGAGTAGTCTTTACTGGTTCTTCCCAATACACGGGCGATAAGTCTCCGGACACGTTTTACCAGTGAGAAAATACTGAATATAGATTGCAAGGAAATGCGCAGGCGATTAAAATTCTCAGCCATTGACATAAATGTGTTGTATGTCATATGAGCGGCCATAAGACTTGATTCAAGAACTTGGGCAATTCCTCCAACAGCACTCACGATTCCTTCAATAAGATGAAATGCTGAGATTTCATTGGGATTATTATATAGAGCTCCTGAAGCAGCTTCCATGCCCGGATACGCGCCGAAAGGAGCAATCCCTGGGTTTAATGCACCATACCCATTGTAACCCATTTTTAACAAAGCAGCCGGAGTACCGTATTGTGGATACGAATACGGATACATCATTCCATTGGAAGCAGGTATCGTTCCAGGTACCAATGCTGCTGTATTTCTTTCCGGAAGCGCCGGTGATTCTTCAGTACTGTTAGCAGCATTCTCACCCGAAGATGTTTTCCGTCCATTTTCACCCAATTCCCAAGGTTTCGGAGGAGAATCGACCATCGTGTTGCTCGAGTGTCTTACCTTCACCCTCACAGGCATTTAGCTGTCTTGTTACCTGGAGGTGGTAGTGTTCTAGGGAACAATTCAGCGATAAGATAACTTTAGGAGAATTAGATAAGCTTATTTTTAACTAGTAGAAGTTTAAAATTGGCCTAAAAAACAATTGAGGAAGATGGGAAAATAACTTATACATAAATAATCATAACTCATTAGTTTTTTGTGTTCATTGAGCTTTGTGCGTGGCATTGTCCAAATATTTTTGAACGACTTCAGTTTTCGACAGTTTGTGAATTGTTTCGTCAAGATATTTCATAGCCTCAAATAACAAAACTCCCTCAATCTCCCAAAGAGCAAGGCAATCACCTGTACGTTGAATTTTGTTGCATTCTGATCGTGTATGAGCAAAGGCGTTAAGGATTCGAGATACAAGAACACAAGCCCTCAATGTATACAATTCTGCATTTTCCGATTTTCGAATAAGTATGGGCAATTCGCTAGGGGCAGGGGATTTTCCATCAAATGTCCAGTTGATGTTTCCATTTGCATCTTGGTCAAAAGAGGAAAAGTCCTCAGCATTAAGACTGGCCAAATAGAGAAACGGAGCATACCAATATATACCAGATGCATCGCGAACGACATCAAGTAGTGGAGGTCTTCCAAACAAGCGTCGTTTCCAGACATCCAACGCATCTTCGGTGTCACGAGGAATTAATAGCTTAATCTCGCTGTATTTATCTTCATAATGCTCTTCGGGACAGAGAAAGCCATACGAAAATAAGTACTCTGCGGCACCCTTTGTATTTCCATAACATAAAAGAATCTCCTCTTTGCTGCTAATATGCTGTGTAGCCACAAGTTCCACGCTCGTCTCCCCAAATCTCCATTTTGCATTTGAATTATGGGAATGATTGCATATATCAACAACAGGAACAATAGCTTCAGAGCCGTCAGGTTCTTCCAATGCTCTACTGCGATACAAAGCATCCACATGGGTCCAACCCTGAAGCGTAGGCTCAATGTTCCACCACTGTTTCAGTAGCGTACGCCATTCCATCCATTCTTCCTTCAAAACCTGCAATTTTGCATTTATGGGTTCCCACAAGGAGGTACCCTGCAATTGATTCCGCTCTTCTTCGATCCATTCCGTAGGTAGAGTAGTAGTAAGAGGAAGACTTTGAAAGTAAGAATCCCATTGTGTTGGATCCGTTTGTGTACTCGCGCCAAAGTAGTATAGTAATAGGAATAGTAATCGCAATTCAACCTCGCCTGAACGAGCAGATACTTCTTTTAGAGCAACGGCAAAAGAGCCGTTTGCTTCTGCAAATTTGTATACACCTTGCAAGTCTAAAATATACTTGCGAGGGACTTCGAATATAGTAGACCCCGTTGAAACATCATTTTTTGAATATAAACCCACTCCTTTTCCTGGAAGAAACTCTGAATAGACATTTAAAGACTTTGAAAAGTCTCTTAAAAACGCCTCAATAAGCTGTAATCGTGCTGTTTCATAAGCAGCCATACTATGCAATACTTGAAGAGAGTAGAGTTAAAAAATGTAAACAAATGAACGAAAATGAACGTAGCATACACATTAGTTTACAAAATGCACAAGAATAAGGTTCTTAAACCAAGGAACGTTTAAAACAATAAATGGACTTTCATATATCACACCGATTATGAACGCAACTACAAAATCAACGCCTTTTCAATCAAATTACTAAGCTTTTGGAAGGATCACATTTTGCTCGTGTTCTCCATACAACGTCAATTGAGCAATGCAAGTTCAGTAACAACTGACAGGCTATATGCTCTAGACATAAGGCGAACATGGTGGAACACATAAGCAACAAGTAGAAAAAAGATGGTATAATACTCGTTTGCAGTTACTGTTATGAGTTCTCAAAAGTAAAAGGTTTAGGCAAGAGACGCATACAGAAGTTTGCACTATATCATATTCAAAACCAAACAAGGGAAAGTACCCATCTGCAAGACGAGGTTTGGAAAGTATCGAGATTTACGAAAACTTCCAACGATTACCGCAAACTGTACATTCACAGAACGTAGTCATAGGTTCATCTGCCGATCTAGTTTGCATTTGGAAGTATGAAACCTTTTTCTGCTTGCATTTGCCACATGTAAACAGATCGGTGATGGCTTTTTGGGGTTTGGCGCCTTGGGCATGGAACAAGTTCTCCTGCTCAAGTTTTGCATCCTCCTTGCGACGATCTTCAGAAGCAAGCTCCGCGGACGACATTTCACTCAGACGTTTCGGAGAAATTGCGCCTGAGATAACCCTTTTCCGCAATTGAGGATTTTGCTTGTCCTTCAAATTCATGTACAAGGAACGCATTTTGTTACGGTAAGCAGAGTCTGTTTTTCCCATAGACATGGAAAGTACTTGCACATCAATGGCCGAGGCCGTTTTCAACAGAACCGATGAAGGTTCGTCTGTATCCATGGCAAGCGCATTGTATAGTAAGCCAATGCAATTGTTTCTAATTCTGTCATCAGTGACATTAATGGAGACATTATCAGTTTTAAATGTACGCTGAGCATTTGATTCAGCTTTCTTTGTAAGTTGGGACACAGCTGCCGATGAAGTCTTCTGAACAGCTACAGAAGCAGAGGAGGAGGAAGTCGATTGCGAGGTCTTCGAAGGACGCTTGTGGGTAACGTCTGCCTTCCACTTCTTCACAATTTCCCGAGCCTGCTCACTGACTTTTTCGTTTGAATGAGAACGAAGTTTACCAACAACCAAACCCAAACGAGTTTCCTAGTAAAGAGTTAGAAAAACAATCAAAACAATATCGTATTCTTACTAACCTTAAGCAATTCCTCTGTAGCAACGACTCTGGCTTTCAAAGTGCCCATAATTCTGAGAATTGCCTAAATGTTGTTAATATCGCCGAAACCACCAAAACTCGACAAACCTCAATGTTTTTGTCTTGAATAGACTTCTCTAAGGAAGACTTTACCGAACGAATTTCAGCAATATCCATCTTGGATAACGTCTTTGACGAATTCACCGTAGGGTGGAGGACAGGTGTGCGTCTGGTGTGTCTTGCACCGCTCAAGACTCTCCCAATTCCAGCAAAATATTGGATGGAAAAGTAATAAGAGCAAAGCTGTGATTACCTAAATATCCTTAGAATTGTAATTCTTGACTCAATGGGCCCTTTTCTATCGTAAACCATGCTGTCTTTTAGTATAAATACTTAATACAAGCTGTGAGTGAACATTGCTTTAAACTGAACAAAAGGGAAACGAAATGAGACTAATAACAAACTTTATTCAGATAAATAATTACCAGAAAACTCGTTTTTTATCCTAAATTGTCGGTTTCTGTGAATCATTACAGGTTAATACTCTTTTTCACGCTCTTTTCTGAGAACATTAACGAAAAAAATGACACAATTGTCTTCTCCTAATACAATTGCAAATGTTGACTCTGTACGACTTGACGATATTAACTTTTTACCTGCTTTACAACTTTATGAAAACGAAGAATTGGACGATAATGATGATGACCATAATGAAGAAAGCTCATTCTCGGATAACGACTGGGAGGCCGTTGTCCTAGGAAATACCGACCAACTGGATGAACAAATTTTATTGAACGATACTTGTAGGTCTACTAAGGAGAATACGCCTACTAAACCCCAAAAGCAATTGACTTTGGATGGTTCCATCGACAAACGACAAACTTATGTAGCTAAAAGGATCGAGGTGAAGGAAGGTCAAATCACACACTACCTGGACCGGTCTCTTGCAGCGCATTGGATTTACCCTACCTGTGTCCCCTTACGACAATACCAATACAACTTTTCAGCAAGTGCATTATTTAACAATGTCTTGCTAGCATTACCAACTGGTTTAGGTAAAACTTTTATTGCAGCTGTTGTTATGATGAATTATTATCGATGGTTTCCTCAAAGCAACATTGCTTTTCTCGCACCGACGAAACCGCTTCTTTATCAACAAATGCAAGCTTGTATTCACTTAACGGGTATCCCTGAATCAAGCATCGTTGAACTTAATGGCGAAGTGAAACCAGAACTACGTAAGCAGTTATTTCGGGATAAGCGTGTATTCTTCGTGACTCCTCAGACTTTGAATAATGACATACAAACGGAAGTGTGCGATCCACGCTTGTTTGTTTGTTTAGTGTTTGATGAGGCACACCGAGCTACAGGGTTGCACCCATATGCTCAAGTGCTTCGTTCTGTGCTTCGCTACAACACTAGCTTTCGGGTATTAGCATTGACGGCTACGCCTGGTTCCAATGCAACTCAAATTCAGAAAGTCGTTGACGCGCTTCACATCTCAAAAATTATTATTCGAAACGATGACAGTTTGGACATACGACCTTATATTCACACAAAATGCGTTCGCACTGTTTCCTTTACCCTTAACGACCTGATGCAAAGGGTTCAGACTACTTTTGCTGGTCTGTATAAACCTTTTTTTCAATTCCTAAAGGCGTGCAAAGCTTTACCGAAATCAATGACTGATTATGTACATTTACGCTCGTTCCCTGTATATAGAGCATGCAGATCTTATGCCATGTCTTCCACACGAGCGAACGCCTCTCATCGTAAAAAGGTTCTGAGTGCTTTTCATGCTTTGATTACATGTACTCACTTAGTATACCTTTTAGAGTGTCATGGATTATCGCAGTTTTACGAAAAGCTTGTGGAAATACAAAAGCAAGCAAGGGAAAAGGGTTTTGGTGAACTTTATCAATTGTCCTGCAATACCCAATATCAATTACTAATTGAATATCTTCAGGAAGAAATATCAAAAGATGGCTATATTAGTCACCCAAAAATCGAAAAACTAAAAGAGTTACTTGAAAAGCACTTCACGAAAGCTAGCCAAGAAAAGCAGAACACAAGAGTAATGATTTTTACTGAATTTCGGTCAACGGCTGAAATAATCATGGAAAGTTTAGCTACTTTTGATGACTGTGTACGACCATCGCTTTTTGTTGGCCAAGCTAGTCGCAGTGAATCATTTGGAATGTCACAAAAGTTGCAGAAAGAGATCCTACAACGTTACCGTTCTGGTTTAATTAATACCTTAATAGCAACGTCAATTGGTGAGGAGGGTCTAGATATCCAAGACACTGATATGATTATTTGCTATGATGTTTCTTCTTCCCCCATTCGTATGCTGCAACGAATAGGTCGAACTGGCAGAAAGCGGAATGGACTAGCATACATATTTCTTACTCAAAATTGTGAAGACAATAAGTGGCAACGTGCGAAGGACTCTTACCGGCGTGTTCAAAAGCAACTCGAAAGTGGAAAGAAGGTTCAATTGAAGACAGACGTTCCTCGTATTTTACCCGCCGATATAGTGCCGGAATGCTTATTCGTGGATAACACTGAACAGCGTGTCCAAGCACAATTGGAGCATTCAGAACATGTATTCTCACAAACACGGGCTTTGTCAAGTAGTCCCAATTCTTCATCATGTCAAAGCGCAAACTCACAAACAAAAGCTGCTCCTAAACGATATCTGCCTAGTATAGTTGACGATGTATTTGAAGATTTGAAAAGCAATCTTCGTCGACCAACAGATGACATTAGTTTAAGGCGGTATAAGATGGATTATCGCGATGCCAATTATGGTCTAAATAACAAAAAACTGAACTTGAAGCTACACGATTTTGAAAGCCCAACCAAAGGGACAATTATAAAACATTCGATTATTACTGAAGCTATTTTCCGTACAACATCTTTTCGGAAAGACAATCTCAGCAATCAGCTAAACCGTTATAAGCTATACACAGAAAAATTTGAACGTAAAAGGAGAAAACTCAAAAAAACCGACAATTTTTAGAGTGCTTTATTCTATAGTCACGAAGGAAAACATGAAATAGATACTCAACCGCTTCAGTATTCATTTTGGCATCTTCCCAGGAGTCGCCCCATGCATAAATACCATGGTTACGGACTATGACAGCACATGTGTAAGGGTTTTCGTTAATCGCCTTTTGAAGATTGCTTTGAAGATCACTTTCATGTGCAGTGTTGTTAATGACTGTAACTGTTAGTTTCAGGCACTTCGTATAAACGTACAAGGAATCCGAATAGTATCCTCAAATTTATAAAACCCATTCTTCTTCGAGCCCCTAGGTATATATCTTTGAACATCAAAGCCGCTAGATTCGAAATGCGTTTTTTGGGCAAAGAGATTAGAGAGCAGGACCGCTTCTTGAGAATGAGTATGAATGCATGCATAAGCATCTCGAGAACTTTTAAAACGCTTTAGCAAAAGATAATATACGTAACTTACGTGTAAACAGAAAGGAATAAAGGCGTGCACTGAGACGGTTTGCTGTTCTGTTTAGGAGTATGCAAATAATCCCGTGTTCTTAGCATTGATATGTTAACTTCAGCATTTACAAATAGCTTTGGTTCCTTACGTCAAAGACATCACAAACATGTCTTTTACTTCAAGTTTTTCCTTTTGGACACCAGAAGGTGCAATTACAATATGATCGCTTTTCATGATTAGAAAGACTGAAAAACTCAAAACGTTCTTATTACCCTGTACGGATAGTAATCCCTCCTCTGTGCGGTTTAACGTTGTTAGCAGACAGTATTTCATTTATTTAATAAGCTTCTGTTATACCCTGTTCCAGTAACCCATCCAGATTTATATAATTGTCTGCAAATACTGCAAATCAACTCGGCACAGTTATGTATTTCATTGTTCACCAAAACATCCGATTTTTCTTTTGCAGCAGCCATTATAGCTTTGGGCGAACATTTTTAAAAAGTCTCACTCGAATGGTTATTCGCTTAGACTTCAAGTCCGCAACTTTATTGGAAATAGCCAATCTAAAATCATATCACAAAAGTTTCTAAGCGATGCTAGATTTAAATAGAGTTAAAAACCATCATTATTGAAATTCCAGAATGAGAAAATGAGTGACAACGTGAAAGATTCCTGCGAGGCCTATATATAACATATATCATAGGCATCTGATACGCAGAAACTCAGCTATGTTAGTTACCGAAAATAGCTTCATAGATACTGTCCTGCGGTCGTTCTTGTTGTAATTGTTCCTCTTCATAGCTCATAATTGTAGGCTCTAACCGTTTTGCTTCAGATGTTTTTATAACTTTTGCATTGTTAGGCAGCGGAACGCCGAATCTCTTGCATAGTAGGCTTTCTGGTATGAACTCAGTAACAATTCGTGACGGTTCGAGGAACTTCTTGGGAGGAGCATCTGTTGTCGGCAATTGTTTGGATTCATCACTCTTAGACATCGTAGCAGAAACAAAACGGTTTCCCATAATTGCTGAAAGCGGACGATATAGCGAAGCAGTTTGCATAAACTCGGACAAAAGTACTGCCGACATTCCTGAGAGTAATGAGGAATCATCCTGTAGATGCGCTTGAAGAAATTTATCATATAAAGGTTTTCGTTCATCTTCATATGGGTGATCAGGTCGCTCTGACGCTAGTTGAGCAGTCTTCGAGTCTATGAGACGCCAATCTGAATTCTGAGAATTGACTTTATGCGCTTTCTCATGTGTATTTAAGTCTCCTTCGAGCCGTCGTCCTCTCTCGTCTGCTCGCAATTCCTTAATTGGCAAAGATTCTGATGCTGAAGAGCATTTAAGTTTTTGATAACGCAAGTACTTGGGTTGCCAATCCGCTGGAATGTCCGGAAGAGTACTATGTGAGGTGATCGAAAGCATGAATGGTTTGGCGCGAGTGACAAAACCAGGGAACAAAGTTGATTCAGCTGCTTGTACCTTTTTTTCTCCTTTTGTGGAGACCAAAGATACATTGCTCTTGCTCTTTTTTTTTATGAAAGCATGCCGAATAGTGGGTAGGCTGTTCGATAGAACGGGTTTGGGTTTTTTTATGGTAAGGGCTTTATCATAGTGTACATTAATTGGAGGTCCTGTATCATAAATATCGGCATCTTCTTCTTCTTCGTTGTTAAGCGCACCTAAACTGATGTCTGGGTCTCGTTTCCGCAAAACATTAGACTGAATCCGAGTTGCTTTAACCCGTTGAATTGTCTTATCTTCCGCATATCCGAGACCATGGTATGCGTGCATGTCTTGTGGAAAGACCGGGATATCTCGTCTACCCACAAAGGTTTGGCCATTCCACCCCATCTGTCGAAGGAGTTTTTCTCCGCAAAATGAGTTTGAAGACGTAGTTAATTCTCGGAGCAAAGGATCATCTAAAGAACAGGCACTGTTAATAGTGGGCTGTCTCGGGATAAATTGTAATGACGCATCGCGATCGGCGAGGTCCTCTTCGTCCATTATGTCCTCCAGTGTTGGTGCATTTGCTACTGATGCCCGATTTGTTCGGGAACTCGACCACGAACTTGGTGTCCATCCTTCCTTCGAACCGACCGTGTTAAAATAACCAGCAGAGAAACCGCCTGTAAAAGCTCCATGGAATCTTTTCCGTCCAGATTCATCTCTAGCTTCTTGTAACCAGCTTGGAGGGTGTGAACCGTATTGCTGGTACACAGCGTGTTTAGGAGCCAAAGGCACCCCATATACAATGTATGGAAAGTCTTCACTGGTTGGCAAAGACCGTTTTCTTAAGGAATTCATAATCATAAATTCAGTAAAAGATAAACAGAGGTAACAAAAAGGACGATGACTTAAAGTGATTAAGTAATAGAAGAAATGATTATCATGAAGGAATATGGAAACAAATTATGATTCCTAAAAATACATATACCACCAAATGTCACAAATAAATCTCTGTTTCAGTTGTACAGTGAATGGAGTCCATTCCAGTGCCAGTCAGTCTCTTACTCCGCACAGCACGACAATGTTGTTTTTGTCCGTTTCGGGTTTTGGTGGTGAATCCGAGTCATCAAATATCCTGGTTGGCAGCACTGCAACCATACAGATGCTAAACGACAGGTATCAAAACTCTCAAAAGAGTTGACTACACTCCTAGTAATTTTCAATTTGCATATGACAATTTCTTTTTTTTACTCTACACATTAGTTTTCTTTGTTTTTTTGCGTGGCCGCTGAACAATAAAACTCACCACCAAAAAGTTGCTCTGGATTAATCCGCGATGCTGGGGAATCAGCGGAAGCGGAAGTGCTGGAACAATCCTACTTGATTTGAAGGGCTGCGGCCGGTAAGACTGCTTCTCTTACCCCTTTTCTAAAGACTGTTAAAAACCTCTCAACTGTTACGAGGTACGATTACTGGCAATCTGGCCTCTCGCAGGTCAACGCAGTACTTTTGCTCATCAGATAGAACATTTTGGAACAACGATTGCCAACTTGTTGAAAAAGGATATCTTTAAATCGTAAACTGTAATATTACCAGTTTCTTAGTGAACCTGGTTTCTCGACGAATTTTCACGTCGAGCAAGTTCGAATGTTTCAGGGCTTTCCTTCATGATACTTGTGTTTTCTTTTCTTTTATTTAGAGAGAATCAACCGCATCCTGGTTTCTTTTGTCATTGATCCACGATATCGGTAGGACATGTCAACCCCTATCACTAATACTGAGACTGTGGACAGTGTTTTTTCAAACATTGGAGATTTTATTGATTCTTTTCCTGCTCGAATACACGTCAACACTCGAGGAAAACTGATTGTCATTCATCGCACAGAGTTGAACTTTCTTCCCGAGTGTCTACTTGCCCTTATACTCCCAAATGGATTACAGCCGTTGTTTGAAAACAAAGGCGCCACGAGGGAGACGGCGCTTCCCTGTACACGAATTGATCCTTCTGTTTTAAGTTGGTTGTTAAATAGTTTTCAGAAACTTACACGTGATACATACCTTCAGAGCAACTGGATTTCACAATCATTCCCCGGAACTTCCGCATCTATTCTTCTAATTGAATATTGTGATATTTTTGTCGTTCCTCAAGACCTGAAACCAGTGACGCTCGAATTAAAAAAAGAGGTGCTTAATAATGTTCTTCGCCAAAATAAAGTGTTTCAGGATTTACTGGAACGAAAAAGCGATTCAAACTCTAGTTTTCCGGAATATGCTTTAATGGACTTACTATGTTGCAGGTAATGTCCGGCGTTTTATAACGTGAAGTATTTTACTCGTGAACTCTTATTTGATCTAACAATGTTTAAGTGGATTTAGCGCGAAAGACAAGTGGATGAAACGCATTAAAGAACCGGGAAGGACAAGCATATGCTCTTACAACCTTGTTTGTATGCGGTGTTCCGATTTGAAAACGGATCAAGATGATTCAATCTCATACAAACTGCTTTTATTTTGGAGAAAACCATCGGTATGTTTTTTAAAAGATCGTTAAGATGTTACGCACAGACTTGACATATGACGAAAACCTTGCTAACGTTAACTAGAGCAAATGTTGGTGGATACCTTCTACACAAAAATTGAATGGGCGTACTGTCCGCGTTTGGAAGAGGAAAACATGGGTATTGGAAGTGAATGTATTTGGCAATGATTCCCCTCTTCAATCGTTGTAGTGTTAATTTATATGATAATAGTAAGCATTCTATCCTTGTAGAACGGTGATAGCTATGTGCACGGACTTGTGATTACAATAACTGAAACACTAGAATACTCATTTGCTTAAATCTTTAGACGAACCTGTTTCATGCGGGTCGTGTTTGCATCTTTTCCACGTTCGACATCGGTTTTCTCCAAAACTACATACGTGTCCATAACATGAACCAAAATGAATCACTCATAACTAGTAACTCATTTTCCAATCTCTCTATTAAGAGAATTCGGGAATTACTTCCTATAGCACGCTTTCGTATGTAAACCTTATGGAATTTAGTGCTGACTGTTGTCAGGCCGGGAACTACTGTATCTCATTGAAAACCATCAAGTTACTGTTGTTATTGGAAGCACAGGATGTGGAAAATCTACACGTATGTACAATTTCTACTTGTCATTACATATGATACCAGTTCAGCTCTCTTACAATTATTGATTAGAACTCACGCAGTACCTTTATGAAAGTGGTTGGGCTGAAAGCGGAAAATGTATTGCATGCACTGAGGTAACACGGCTATTTTTTAATGTTCATTGTAATTACTAATTTGATACAGCCAAGAAAAGTCGTGGTAAAAAGTCTTGCTCAACGTGTAGCCGAGGAGATGGGCTGTACGTTAGGGGAAGAATGTGGATACGGAATGTCTTTTGAGTCATGTACTTCAAAAACAACAAAGGTGAAATATATAACTGATGGTTTATTACTTCAAGAAATGTTCATTGATCCACTACTTACTCAGTACTCCGTGATCATGCTCGATGAAGTTCACGAAAGAACCATAGCTACAGACCTTCTTTTGTGCCTTTTAAAAAAGTAAGCTTATTCTTGTGTTCTTCATATCTAACTTGAACTCTTCATCAGAATTCTTAAACAGAGATCCGACCTACGCATTATCGTGGCCAGCGCAACTCTTGATGCAGAGAAGTTAGAAGAGTATTTCAAAGTGGATCAGCTTTCTTGTACTACATTTCATTTAGAGAGTCGTCTTTTTCCTGTTGATGTATTCTATTTGTCTACTCCTACGGAAAATTACCTGGAAAATGCAATTGAAGTCTGCTCAAGCATTAACAAAACGGCCCCTGCTGATGATGATATACTGGTCTTTTTAAGTGGAAGGGCTGAAATTGATGAGTGTGTCAAACGTCTTGAAACCGCTTCCTTGAGAAACATAGGTTCAGCGCCTCAGATGGTTGCACTTCCCTTATACTCTGGCCTCACGCTCGATGAGCAGATGCGTGTATTCCAAAAAGTTGAACAGGGATCAAGAAAAGTTGTATTTGCTACGAACATCGCAGAAGCGAGCATTTCCGTGGAAGGAATTACTTACGTGATTGATTGTGGTTATGAAAAAGTGAGAGTTTATAATCCATACAATCGGTCTACTGCACTTGTGAAGACTAGCATTAGTCAAGCTAGTGCTGACCAACGTGCTGGTCGTGCTGGTCGGACGAAACCCGGGAAGTGTTTTCGACTATACACTGAAGCTGCGTTTTCTGCTCTCAAAGCAAAGTCTTCTCCTGAACTCACTCACTCAGACTTAATACAACCGCTCCTCTTCCTAAAAGCTATGGGTATTAAAAACATTGTCAATCTTTCATTTCTTGACAATCCACCGACTGTCCAGTTTATGGCTGCCTTAGAGGTATACATTGAACGTACTAGTCACTTTGCTAATGATTTTATAGGAACTCTACTTTTTAGGTGCTCTGGATGAGATGGGTCATCTTACTCGCCCACTTGGATACAGTATGGCCGAGTTCCCTTTACATCCAAGATTGTCGAAGACTGTAAGTGGCCATTTCACCGATCAATGAAACTAAACATAATAGCTATTAACTGCAGCCAAATTTGGATGTGTCCAGGAAGTACTGAATATTTGTTCCATTCTTACGATCACGACGAACTTGTTTATCAAGCGTTCCTCGGCTGAATATTTCAACTCTTTTTACAAATTCGCAGTCGAAGAAGGAGACTTACTGACACAGCTTAATGCTTTCCACGCGTACTTGAAGCAAAAAAGGGAATCACGATGGTGTTCGAATCATTGTCTGAATGCGCAATCCCTGTTACAAGCGGAACAAGTGCAGCAACGATTGCAACAGTATCTACGAAAATTTGGAGTCTATGCAACATCGCGCAAACCCACTGATAAAACCAACATTCTGAAATGTTTCTTAGCCTCTCATTATTCTTACGTCGCGAAGCGCCAAAGAAATGGTTCTTATAAAACACCCGAAGGATTGAATGTCTACATCGATAAAGATAGCGTACTCCACGAACAAACACCTACATGGATTATGTATTATGAAGGTATGTTTATTGCGTTAACCACTTTCGTTCGATCTCTAACTCCATTAGCGGAGACAATTGGTGAAAAGACGTATGCTAAGGTTGTTTCGGTAATTGAGGGAGCTTGGTTAAGAGACTATTACGATGAAAAAAAGAACACAACTGGAGCAGCCTAACAAAAGTGTTTCTCTACAAATTGTATCAAAAGCTCAGTCATGTTTTCATCTTGGTATCCTTTGTGGGCAAATTCAAATAACCAATTTGTTCCGCAAAAAAAGGAATTTTAGTGACTATTCAACATACTGCTGAAACTTCCCCATTGATTATCGACTCTGCGAACCTTCCATTCGTTTATCTTCTTTTCTTTTTGAACCATATGCTTACTGTTCCCCCACATTATCCCACCACCCCCATTTCCCCCATTTGTCACCACCGAGCTCTGCCGAGTTTAATACAGCCATTGGTGACCTCAAGCCGCTCCGGTAAGGCAACAGAAATTGTTTACCCTATACATCAGTTGAGCCAACGAGAAGCATTTCCGTGATACATACGACATGAGTGACATAGAAAGTGTAAGAGAGGCGTCTGAAAAACAATAATCTAACGTAATAGATCCGAGCCAAAAGATTGGCGAAACTTCAAAGCGCTTGCTCTAAACGCGAAGCAAGTACGGAGGCAATACATCCAGAAAATTCAGCAAAAGTTGATCCAAAACGGAAAGAACTCAAAGGGAAGAGTTCATTGGTATCATTGCTCCCGAAGGTGAAGAAAGATATGGACAAAATGGACATCGATTCTGCTAGTGCCTCTATCTCGAGAATTAGTTCTCCTAAACCAAAACAACCTTTTAATTTAAAACTCTGGAAACACAAAGTGGTTTGCCGGACTCTGTCCGTCACCCTTGATGAAAACGAAAAAGACAAACAGTATCTTCCTTCTCTGAAAGCAGAACTCGAGGAGTCTGGCCACGAACTACTATTTGATGAAGACCAGGCCGATTCTGCTATTGTCAGTCAACTCAATTGCGGAAAGAAGGATGTGTTAGGCTACTTAGTTGATTCTTGGAAGAAACTAGACGCTATTGCTAGTCGTTTCTCAAAGGACGAGAACTACCAGTCAAAGATGGACTTTATAAATAATCTGAAACGGTTATGTGTGAGTTACGCTGGAATTTCCATCTACCTTCCCGATACTTTTAATCTTCCTCCCATCGACTTCGTAAAGGAGTTATTGAAGGGAACTGCTGTTCCGTTTGAGTTCGTAGCTGAACTTGTACAACGTTTTGAGAATGACGGACTAGTGGAAATCTTTGCCCCTGTTCTCGAGTCTTTATCGTTAATGATTGGCAGAATGAACGTTGAAAATGTTGAGCCTCGGTATATGCATTTGCTTGCACAACTTTGTTCGTTGAAACCCATTGCTGCCATTGTTACAACACTTCCATCCTGGCCTTGTTCAGACAAAGCGTCACAGGTTGAATACAACACCTTCTTGGGACGACTTGCTAGCTTGTCTGTATTCACTAACGAGGTTGCCGCCAAATATTTTTCTAATGGAAACGAGCGTTCGTATCGCGAGATCTCATCTTCCATTAGTTCATTACAATTAATCATGACCAACCATCAAGAACAGCTTTTTCAAATTGTCAATTCACTCATACGTGTCTCTGCCGGATCTCGCGAAGCAGTGCTTGATTTCTTTGCCAAAGTCGCGAACATTAATCACAAACGTCAGTCTTTACAAGCGGACTTCTTGAGTATATCTTCGGATGCTCTGATGATCAATTTGACCTCGATATTGAACCGACTTTCTGAACCATTTCTGGATCTGAACTTTACCAAAATCGATCGAGTTGAAATTGAGTACTTGCGTCGTTCTCCTCGTATCGATATTCGTGAAGAAACAAAGCTGGATGCTGACCAGAAGGCGTCCGACGAGTTCTACTCGAAGAAAGATTCTGGAAAGAGTAACTTTATTTCTGAAATCTTCTTTCTCAATTTAGCCTTTCATTACTACGGTATAAACGGTTCTTACAAGGCCTTTGAGCAACTGTTGAATGGAATCCGTGATATGGAGAACTACCGGGATAGACTTATTGCGGACAGTCAAGGTCTTGCAAGTGGCCCTCAAGCTGCTCAAGTACATATGCAAATCGATCGAATTAATAAAAAGCTTGACTTAGACCGCTCATTTGTGTACTGTTACGAAGTAATGTTAAGTCATACTGCATGCGCCTCTAGATCGTTCAACTTCTTGAATTTTGTGATTGTTTGGCTTTTGCGTCTCGTGGATAAACAGCATTCCTATCCCAAAACGCCCTTAACACTTCCGTTGGCGAGGGATGTCTCTCCTGAAGTATTAGTGTTGCCTGAATACTTCGTGGAAACAATTGCCGACTTCTTGCTGTCATTGCTCAAGTCTGGCTCCTCGTCTTTGGAATTGCACACCTACGATAACCTGGTCGATTTTTGCATTGCCTTTTTGCCTGAGCCATTGTACATAAAAAACCCTTATTTGCGGTCGAAGCTTGCGGAAATCTTATACTTTGGAGTGATGAATAATCGTGGACGCGGAGGCATTTTAAACGATGCTCTGAACACATCGAAACTGGCTACGCAACATCTTATGCGAGTACTGATGTCTTTCTACATTGAAATTGAATCCACAGGCCAATCTACGCAATTCTACGACAAGTTCAATATTCGTTATTTCATTTGTGAGATTTTCCGCAGTATCTGGACTCGTCCTTCGTTTATGGGAAAACTGGAGAAAGAGCAGCAGCAAGACGAGGACTTTTTTGTGCGCTTCGTCGCTCTTATGTTGAATGATGCTACATACTTGTTGGATGAAGCTCTTATTAAACTTTCCGAGATTCACAATCTTCAAGAAGAGTTTTTGAGGGAAGTTAAAGCTGAGGGTGTGAGCAATGAAACCATGGAGCGTCAACAAAGACTTTCCTCCGCTGAACGGCAAGCAACCTCGTATTGCCAACTCGCAAATGAAACGATGTCAATGCTTCGTCTCTTCACTTCCAGCATCCCGAAAGCGTTTTGCGCTGTGGAGATTGTTGACAGATTGGCCGCTATGCTTGACTACAATGTCTCTGCTTTGTGTGGCCCCAAGTGCCGCGGACTGAAAGTGAAGGACCCTAGCAAGTATAACTTTGATGCTAAGCGGTTGTTGTCCGGTATATTTGACATCTATCTCAATCTGATTCCATATGAACGTTTTATTGAAGCCGTTGCTCATGATGGTCGTTCTTATAACAAGGAATTGTTTGACAGAGCTATCACCGTTCTTACCAAGTATAACATTAAGTCGTCACTTGACATTCAGACACTGCGTGGCTTTGTCGTGAGCGTGGAGAAAGTAAGAGCCGAAGAGGCTGCTGAAGAGGAAGACCTTGGCGAGGTTCCGGACGAATTTTTGGATCCTCTTATGTTTACGCTCATGAAAGATCCAGTTATTCTTCCACGCTCTGGCGTTTCCATTGACCGTGACACCATTAAGTCTCATCTTTTGAGTGATCCCACTGACCCGTTTAATCGTATGCCGTTGAAGCTGGAGGATGTGCAGCCCAACGATGAACTTCGTGAGCGCATTCAAGCATTCCTCAGTTCGAAACGCAAGAGAAAAGTTACCTCCGAGTAATTAAGGGCGTTGGATCACGTTGTACCATTTATTCCGTCTTTCGCGATGAGTAACCCGAAGAATCCTTTCCCTATTTGTTTTCGTTTTTATAGTGCGTAATTGAAACTTATATTAAAAGCTAAGCTGTATATGAATTAATATCATGTCTCAATATTATACACACTGCTAAGGAGCTTGTGTAACGTATTTTCTCGTCGCAGTTGATTTTTATTCACATCTTTCTATCGACCCTCCCCCCCATATTACAATCAACCTAATTTGTTTGTGTTGTAAAAACGTGTCTTTATTACAGCAATAAATTATAAGCAATGAATAAATTTATGATCTTGAGTAAACTGACAATAGCCGACGTATTGTGCGTTTAATGAGAAACATTGATGAAGCGCCATGTGGGAAATGCATGCTGAATATATATATAGTTCGTACCGAAAATGACATACAATGACCATCGGTAGTAACGTATTAATGGGAAAAGGTTATAGATAGTACATAGAGACATGCAGCAGCAGCAGCAACAGTACGTGCAGATTTCGTAGTAACAAAGCGGATGGAAATATACGAGTTTGTACATGGGAAAAGGGAAGAGGCGATAGACCTACAAAGGAAAAATTCCATGGGGTCTAGTGATCAACTCGTGTCTGGCTGCATATAGCACGCCGTAAAGAGAAAAGAAGAGCAATGTTCTTCAGCGAGCTTAAAGAACGATGCAACGCTTCTTCTTCATCTTTTGACGGGAAGGTGCTTTGTACTTCATCATGCTTGCACGGGCTGCAGTTTCGAACACCTCTTGGACGCCATCATTCTGCTTTGCAGAACACTCAAGATACTTAAATGCACCAATCTTCTGTGCAACAGCTTCACCTTCCTCAGAAGAAATCGGCTTCTCGTTCGTCTTCGACAACTCCTCAATAGTCTTAGGGTCGTTGCGCAAATCCTTCTTACAAGCAACAAGAATAATGGGCAAGTTGGAGCAGAAGTGCAGAACCTCAGAAATCCACTTCTCCTGAACATTGTCCAAACTCTCAGGAGCGTCAACGGCAAAACAGATTAAGATGACATGTGAATCGGGGTATGACAATGGACGCAAACGATCGTAATCCTCTTGACCAGCAGTATCCCACAGGGCAAGCTCGATATGACGACCATCAACATTCACATCAGCGACGTAGTTCTCAAACACAGTGGGAACATACACTTCAGGGAACGTTCCCTTAGAAAAAACACTGTTTGTTAGCAAAAGGAGTACAAAAGGCAAAGCCGAAGAACTTGGGAGCTGGAGGATGGTTGAGGAGAATTAGAATGCAGTACTGGCGGAAGAAGTGTTCTCAAGCAGAGCACAATCGCTTCTCATTTCTATTTTTACGCAGAAACGTAGAAACAAAATCAAAAGAGCTGTAACAAGTAGACACAATTCCCATCCAAAGGGAGCTGAATAGACGCATATATCAACGACATGGGTATGAAGCCTCGTAATTGCCCTAATAAGTGTCGATATTCCGTCCGTTTCCTAAAACCTTCCAATCTTGTTCGTTTTCGCAAAGTCGCACGAACAAGAAGGACGAAACGCGTCCATTCAACCAAACCATCCGTAATGAGCGTCCCAGGAGCTCCAGAAGGGTACTTACATCAACAGACATGTTTTTCCGCATGCACCGTCACCGACGATAACCAGCTTTCTACGCAATTCTGTAGACATAATGCAATGTAGTAACGCAAAAACACGAGGCCTAAATCAGAGTCGAGGCTACTAATGAAACAAACCGTAAAGACGTCAAAAACTCAAAGAACTGCCAACAACAAAAAGTCTCTTGGTATCAAGCTAAACACGGAGAAAAGCGTGCAGTGCAGTGAGAAATGCAAAGAGAGAATGCGTCGTACTACAAACGCGAGTTTCCAAGGGGAATAAGTGCTAAGAATGGCACAAAGGACAAACGGCGTTGGGAGAGAGCAGGTGAGTGAGTCGGTCAGCAAGGGGGAGCAGGGGGAAGTAAGGGCGCAGCGATGACGAGCGAACTTTTGCGAGGTTTAGCGAAACGCGAGAACACGGTTAGCGAATTGTTAAACAGTTTAGTGAGGGGTTACGCGAATTGATGAAGTTTTGTACAAACTGGCATAGTGTGCTTCGTTGTATTACGACACAGTGCACACGAATTCCTTAATTGATTATGGCAGTACTTTAGGTTACGTTATTTTAATTTTACGATCCATAGCGTAGGTTAACGCGCTGTTTAGCATTCCTATCCATCTCGCTCTGGTACCGCCTCGCTGCAAAACTGCTGGCCCTCCTATCCTCTCCGTAGCGCCATGACTAGCAAGGATACTGGCAATGCCTGTTCTGCTGTTGGCCCGCGGGACCCAGAGGCGTCTGCTGCGCGTCCCCGTCGGCTGAAGCAGGTCTCGGCAGCAGCTGGGAATCTCCTGTCGCTACTGTTCTTTCTCAAGATGATCGTCTTGGTGGGACTTGGCTTCGATGTCGGCGGCATGTTCTGTGGATTGGTATGTTTTTTGCGCACAGAACGCGTAGAACTTGAAGAGCGCTATGTTTCTGACACGTTAGTTCTTAACACTGCTCCTGGAGCTGCTATTTCTGTTCGTCGCGGTGCTTAAATGGACTGGTTGTAGAAGAACTGCGTTGGCGTTGCACGTTATGGAGCCCTTGCTGCTAGCGGTGCTGCTTATTGTCGTGCTGGCCGCTGCTCCTGTGCTTCAGGAAACCTGGCTGGCGCGTCTTGTCGATGCATGGAAGTCTACGTTACTGCAATTAACACCTCTGTTCACCTTGCTTGAGGGCCTTGCATCGCTACTGGTGATTCAGGCCCTCGGTGAACTCGGCCGGTGGCTTGTTTACCACCGGTCCGAAAACTGGATGGTAAGTCGCCGATATATGACCGAACGGTGTTCTCAAAACACCGTTGTACTTGAAGCTACGAGAAACGAAATCTGTATATCAAATGTCGTTGTTGTAGCTACTTGTGTGTGAGGACAATTGTATTGCGCGTGAACGGTTCTCTCATGTTGGGTTGAAGTGTGTGCGACTGTATTGCTAACTGATCAATAGTTTTTTATTCTCATTAATGCCAGTGTAACGATTTCCACCAGTCTTTACTTGCTGTACCGTGTCTCGTCCTTCGACATATCTACCGGTAATGCAGTCATGATCGGTATTTCCCTTGCCACGGCCGTTGCTGTCTCCGTCTACGGCATTGGATCGGGCCGTGCCAGTGTTACTGAGACTTCACTCATTGTAAGTTTGTTCGCCGTCGGGTCCGGGCCTTTTTGGGTCTTCAGTACAGGACCCGAGACTTCCTCTTCGGCCCTGCTAACCCACTTAGTTTTCCTACATCGCTTACTGCGTCTATATGGTCTGCACCGACTTCGGAAGTCCCCGGGCACAGTCCGTGCAGAAGCCCGAGTTCTCCGCTCTCCCACCGGACGTTCTTCAAAGGTATGACATGCGTCACAGGGCTCAGCCTGTGTTTCCTTCTTCGCTTATTTTAACCTTAAAAGTATCCACTCAATATTTGCGACCATTACGCGAATGCTTCCACAGACCCTGTACAATGTGCTCGTGTTCCTGTTTGCTGTTGCTCAGACCGTATCTCCCAGCGTGTTCGCCGTGTTCGCTTATCGTATTGCCGTTCTTTATTCCGTCACGCGCATTCTCCCCGCCATTCAACAAAACATTTTATTTGTGGAGTACAGCCGCACCAAGCGCCAAGGTCTCTGGACCATCGTGTCGCCTTGTATTTTGATTGCCGTGTACACGAATCTTCTCCTTCAACACCTTTATCCCTCTCCTGCTTACAACCCTTCTAGTCTTCGCAGTTTACTGTATTCTGCACAAATTTGGCGCTGGGTTGGCGCCATGTCTACACTCGTTCTCTACGCCATTGAACTCGCTTACAACAAGGACACATCCACTGGTCAAGCCCTAGCCTCTCACTTCAAGCTGGATTAAACTTGTTCAGGCAACGACTATCAGCCTTCCTCTTGACGTTACGATCCTACCTCAGCCAGTCCTCGTGAACACTTCTGCTTCCTCCCGCTAATATTAACGCCCTCTTGTGATAGAGATCGTCGTCTACTATAACCAAACTTCCTGTATTAAAAGATGTTCACCACTTCAATTTCGAGATTCCACGGCCACACGCTTGCCAACTTCCGTACAACCCCCCCTCCCGCCAATAGTCCTTCTACAACCCCAAACGAAACACATTCCCCCCATGTAAAACATTCACTTGCGACAAAATAGATTGTCTACGATCTGGGCTTCTCCTTCTTCTCGTGGAAGAGGGCGGACAAACCGACACCGGCGACCTTGACGACCTTGAAACGGACACCAGGGATATCACCCTTAGCCTTGCCCTTACGACCGAAACCAGAAAGGAGGACCTCGTCGTTCTCGTCGACAAAGTTCAAACAACCGTCATTGGGGACGAAAGCAGTACTGGCAGGGTTAGTGAGGAGAAATTACAGAGGAAATGAGAACACGGACGACCGGCAACGAACACATCACCAGCCTTAGTCGTCCATCTCCGTCGCTTTTACTTACACCTTCTTGCCGTTCTTGATCAATTGAACACGGACACACTTACGAATGGCAGAGTTGGGTTGCTTGGCCTCGACACCAATCTTCTCAACGACAATACCCTTGGCGTGAGAGGAACCACCGAAGGGAGAAGACTTGTAAGCAGTACCGAGAAGGCGCTTCTTGTAGTGAGCATCAGCCCAGCGCTCCTCACGGCGGTGGTTGCGAAGCTTGCGAGCAGCGTTAAGACCAGCGGGTTTTCCCATTTTTCGTAGACGGCGTGGCAGCTGTCAAGCAGTTTCGTGTCTGTGTTGGTGTATACACATTTACCAGTCACTAACCCTACCCTATAATTTAGGTTATGGTGGTTGTAACCTAGGGTATGGCGATTTGGAGTTCAAGCAAGCTATCGTGGTCTCTTACCAAGCACCCTACGTTCGATCTATCGAGCGTTCTTTTTGGCAAATTTCTTCTTCGTCTGTTCAATAAACAGGGAATTGGACGGTTTCATTGCAATTTCTCTTTTTTTGACGCTTGTTTCGCAGAGGAACGACGGATTTTGCGCATCAAATGACGGTTTTAGAAGCTGTTGAGGAGAACCCTACCAGTTTTCTGTTCCCTGATGAAAGTCAGGGAGCTTCCTTTCTAGACGAGTGTATAAACGCTTTTTCGAGTGTCAGTGTTCCGAAAAAATGTCCAATTCAGCAGATCCATACCAAAGGTTGTGATGCCTGGCAAATTTACAACCAATTAGCTCTTGCTACAAAGTATGCTCTTGACGAGCTTCCTGATGTCGACGTTAGTGACGAAGAACAGGGATCTGATTCTGTTACTGGCAGTGCAGCAGAAGTTAGTGACGTTGAATACAACGAAGATGAGGAAATGTCAGTCGATGGCGAAAATTCTGAAGAGGAAGAATTAGATGGAGAAGAGCAAGAAGATGAGGAAGACGAAGACGAATTTCAAGGATTTGACGATGAGGCTGACAACGCTGAGGTAGACGTTGTTGAGAAACCAAAGAAAGATGCATTTGGACTAAATGATCAGTTCTTTGATATCGACGCCTTCAACAAACAGACTCTTGAAATGGAGGAACAGGATGAGTCACAGACTATTGCCTTGAATGACGACGAAGATGAAGAGAATGAAGATGAGATTGATGTGTTCGGGGACGTTGACGAAGAAGAAGGACCTCAAGCCGACTCTATCATGTACGAGGACTTTTTTGGACCTCGTAATCCTCGTGACCGTCGTCAGCAAGTGCAAGCGAAGAAAAGAGCTGCCCTGAAGAAAAAGAAACGGCCCGTCGCAGAAGAGCCGTCTGATGACGAGGAGGTTGCGAACGTGGAGGAGGACGAGGAGGAAGAGGATGCCGCTCAAACGTTTGAGCGTGTGCGTCAAGACTTGTTCGCCAGCGATAGTGAGGAAGAGCAGGACGATGGCACTGGATTGTCTGCTTATGAACGCCAAAAACTTGAGCTTACGAAACAAATTCGTGCTCTCGAGGCCGAAAATGTGGCCAAGAAAAACTGGACATTGATGGGTGAAGCTTCTTCCAAACAACGTCCTCAGAACTCTCTTCTGGAAACTGAAGTTGACTTTGAGCAAAATGCAAAACCTGTTCCTGTGGTGACGGAAGAATCTACGGACACATTAGAGGATTTAATCAAAAGCCGCATTCTGGACAAGAATTTTGATGACATCCCTCGTCGTCTTGTTTCTGCGGTCCCCGATTTCAAGCCTTCTCAGCTGTTTGATCTCGACGAGAACAAGCCTCAGCGCTCTTTGGCTGAAGAGTACGAAGAGGAATATCTCAAAAAATCAGACCCTACAACATTTCAGTCCAAAGAAGACAAGAAAGTCGAAAAGGAACATGAGGAGATTAAGGGTCTGTTCAACAGTGTCGCTCATATTCTTGACAGCTTGTCCTCTTGGCACTATGTACCTGCTCCCGCTGAAGCTAGTGTGGAGGTGGTCGCCAATGCTCCAACTCTCTCTATGGAAGACGTTCAGCCTGCTGCTGCTTCTGAAACTATGGCTCTGGCACCTCAAGAAATTTATAATGCTACTCAAGGTGAGCGTACGGACGAAACCGTTACACGTTCCGGTATTGCTATTTCTAAGGCTGAAATGAATCACCAAGAAAAACAGGCACGCCGCAGACGTGTTCGTCAAAAACATGCTCAAAAGCGGAAAGAGATGGCTGAGATCCGTCGGAATAAGACAAGTGAAAAGGTTGCCCGTACCTTGGAGAGCGGAAATGTTCAAATCATTGGTTCAGATGGACAACTCAAAAAGGTGGAAGGAAAGAAGAAAAGGAAAGAAAAGCCTGTTATTTCTTCGTCTTCCCACTTACTTCTTTAAAGTAATGAATGGTTTACGGGCTCATTGGGAAAAAAATACACAGTATAGACTTGTTATGCTTGCTCAAGTTTGCGCTGTTGAAATCTGGTGCGAGCATACGTTGTTCTTCTTAATATTGAAGGTCAACAATTTTGGCTTACATTTTGTCTTCATGTACCTAGGAAAATATATGGTCTGGTTAATAACAATTTGTCATTTTACTCACTTAGAGTTAGAGGCAGGAAGGAGTATGTATCATAAAAATGGTAGTCATCATCATTAATTTTTTGTTGATCTCATGTTCTACGACGTGTTTATTACAATTGCCATTGAACCCACTTGTCTGCCTTCTCTGGGAGACATGTGAAAGAAACGGGAGTGATAGATTGAAATCCTTCCTTCACCGTTGGTTCTTGATACCGTGATTTGTATGAAGCGAAAGCGACATCAGGTAGCAGTTTGGTTTTCCTTTCGTGTATAGCACGGAAAACGTTGTTGTGTTTTGCTACGCTTTCAGGCGTGGTAAAAAGAACACAGCGAATAGGCAAGTGCTTTTCTTTCGCGAGTAGGATCCAGTCTTTCCGAGTCTTCTCATCAGGATTTGTAGCGTCGACGACGATGGAATGACCTTGCTCTAGCTGTTCGCGGGCAAATTTTAAACAGCGAGCTTTTGTCTTCAGTGTGTCTTGATTTACGACTATATAGTTGCTGTGGGAAGCAATCTGTGTCTCAAAAAAGGTGCTCTTGCCGCATGAAGGCAGACCAACAAAAACAACGACTTCTTGTTTATCAAGCGGCTGGAAATCGGTCTCCTTGTTATTTGAACATTTTGTTTGAAGGAAGTCTTTAGGCTGAAAAGGGCCAGCATTGGGGGGTTCGGTTTCCTTGTGAAGAAAAAACTGTTCAGGTGTGTAGAACTGTATACCTATGTTCTCGGCGAACTTCCAATCAGTGGACGCATGATCAGCGGACCGTCCAGCGGCATCGCCGACATAACATGCTTGTGACTTATCAATTTTAGACAACCATACATTCTTCATTTCTTCCCACATGCCTGTAAGTGGTTTGCGGTATTTGTCTTTCTGAATAGCGGCGTATACAAGTATAGGAATGTCTAGGGCTTGCGTAAGAAGTTCTATTTTCCGACGAAATAAAGGGGCAGTAGCCGGCCTCCGAGGAATGCCGTTCTGGTTTGTAAAGATGACAATGCTTGCGCCACTAGCATGCTCTTCCCGTAACCTTTTGGGCACAATGTCACCATACAGCCATACCCAGTCATTTTCATCTTTTGGAAACGTTCTACCGCTTTTTGGCCGTATGAGAGTACCATCCAAATCAAACGCGATAATTCGATCTGTCGGTGAAAAACACGGACTACGGCCAACGTATAAGCTTGGATATAGTTCCCATGCTAAAGGCTTGTTTGTTATTGCCGGAGACGACTGACTGGACTTAACAAAATGCGACAAAGTACTTTGTCCTCGCGTTTTCTTCACACCCGCAGCGTCATTTACGATTTCTTTGGGGCAGTTTTTCTCGTTCCCTGATGTTGACGGTTTTCTTTTCCGTTTGTTTTCAGAAGTTTGTTTATCAGAATTCCCCATGAAATAACAAGGTAAAAATAATTCCCAAATACTGTTTTGAACAGTACTATGTTGTTCGTATTATAAGTTGAACGCTTGATCTTTAAAGAAAGTCATACACAATTATGTTTACAAAAGTGCTCACTACAGAAAGTAGAGGATTCTGTATACGTTACTGCTGTACAAAATGTTAATGGAGGAGCCACCAGTGGAGGAATTATTCTTCTAAACAATGGTTTCTGTGCTAACTACGTGAGCACTTTTTTGTTACTAGGCTGCTGGAAAATGCTAGAAGCCTTCTAATGAGTTTGGCAGAGGACAAGTTCGGAAATCACGGATTTATGGAAGGTCATTCGGGTCGATGACGTGTCCATTGATAAACATTGTCCAGCCAGCCGAAATGAACTTATCCTCTACGTACCACATACAATATGAGCGAGTACACCACCAGATCCGTCGGTGCCCCCAACACCCTTGAATACAACGTCTACGTTGAGAAGAACGGCAAGCCCGTCTCCAGCTGGCACGATATCCCTCTTTACGCTAATGCCGAGAAGACCATCTTGAACATGGTTGTCGAGATTCCCCGTTGGACTCAAGCTAAGCTTGAGATCACCAAGGAGGACACTCTTAACCCTATCAAGCAAGATACCAAGAAGGGTAAGCTTCGTTTCGTCCGTAACTGCTTCCCTCACCACGGTTACATCTGGAACTACGGTGCTTTCCCCCAAACTTATGAGGACCCTAAGTCTATCCACCCTGAGACCAAGGCCAAGGGTGACAGCGACCCTTTGGATGTCTGTGAGATTGGTGAGGCCCGCGGTTACATCGGTCAAGTCAAGCAAGTCAAGGTTTTGGGTGTCATGGCCCTTTTGGACGAGGGTGAGACTGACTGGAAGGTCATTGTCATCGATGTCAACGACCCCTTGGCTCCTAAGTTGAACGACATTGAGGATGTCGAGCGTCACATGCCCGGTCTCATTCGTGCTACCAACGAATGGTTCCGTATCTACAAAATTCCCGATGGCAAGCCCGAGAACTCTTTCGCCTTCTCTGGTGAGTGCAAGAACCGCAAGTACGCCGAGGAGGTTGTCCGTGAGTGCAACGAGGCCTGGGAGCGTCTTTTGGCCAACCCTGGTGAGGCTAAGGAGGAATTCGGTTTGGTTACCGAGTCCTCTCCTGAGTACGCTAAGGCTGCTGAGGCTGTTCCTGCTGGTCAAGACCTTCCTCCTGCACCTGTGGATCCCTCTGTTCACAAGTGGTTCTACATCTCTGGCTCCCCTCTTTAAACGTGAGTAGTAGTCTTTAACGAATGTTATTTCTTGCACATGTTTTGATGAATGCTTCGTGTTGTGTGTGTGTGTGCAGCTCTGAATGGATTTGTTTGTGTTTGCGGGTAAGTTTTAATTGAGCTATCTTTTAGCAGTGGTCGCCTTTGGGCGCCGCATGAGTATGTAGCGGCTTGCTCATGGTTTATTATGTCTTGCGCAGCAGGGGTATGCCTCTTTGGTCAGTCAGTAGGTGTCTGTAGTATTTGTTTTATTCTATTGACATTTAATTTTATTGTTACAACAAGATTTACACCTCAGTCGCCGTCCAGTGAAAAGGTGTAGAACTATATCTGTTGCATTCTGAGGAAAGCATTCACATTTTATGTTTTAATGTGTTGTTTTTCGTCGTATATTTGAGAATTGGTTCTTGTGGTAGTTACAGTTGTTTTAATGAGAACATGATAGAGCATAGTGGAATTCTCAGTAATACTTTTGTGTTCTGTCTTTACTATCTAAAGTAGGAAGTGTATATTGTAACTTATAGTGAGACTATTAAACATAACTTCTACTCAATAATTTTAGCATTTAACAAAACCAATTTTTCTGTAAGCTCAATATTTTTCCAATCTGCGCAATTCTACAGTCCTATTATTCATGCATAGAACAAGTGATGCTTCGATTGTATGAGCATATATATGTATTGTGTTAAGACTGTAAAGTGAAAGATGGTACGGGTTCGACTTTATAACAAACACCTGGAAATATCCAGCAATTGTATTGATTGGTTGGTAATCAAGTGGTTATTAATCTAAAGTACTCAGAGTTAGCCGTTGTAAGGTGAGGTTTTGTCCTTGTGATATATATTATATATATAATGTTTTGTTATCAATTGTTATGCTGTGGTATGCTTGAATTTATCCCTTTGATTTTTTATTGTAATAGATATAACAAAATCATCGTATTATTTAAAATATAATTAGAATTTCAAACTGATTAATAATACAATACAGTTCTCCCCTTTCGAACCCGGGATGGAGACGGGATGATCCCCTGACAAAAATAGGATTATATTAAACGTAAACAACCGTAATACAAATCGTGATTAGTCCATAATATGTAAAAAACAGAACAAATTGCAGCACGCTTTTCCAATCTCTAAGAGATACAAAAAGTCGCAGAGTTATGCCGCACCTGGTTTTGTTCATCGAACTTGCGATTAGGCCAACAAAGCGCACCAGAAAGCTTGTATTTGGCGGCACCTAAGCACTGTCGCACAGAGCATACCAGTCTTAAATTTGTAACGGATGGTTTGTATTTAATAGTTATTACTTCTGTTTCGAACAGTACATTAAACTGTAGTACCCAGTTATAGCTTGCGTTTTCCATACTACGAGAATGAAATTGCCTAACCCAATTTCCTATTGTAACCATGTCGGCGAGCCGTTTTCGCGTTTCTCAACCCGTGGGACTGAAAATGCCTTAAGGATACCAACGTTTTCTGATCTAGTGAAAGAACATGGATAAAGCTCTCAAGCCTTGTGTTAAATAGAAAAGAACGGCCTCGGCTTCGGACCCAGAATTACAATGTCAACCTCTCTTACAAGACGCGATGGATTTTCAAACAATTTCACTATATGCTCCGGTGTGTATTATGCGCCTTGGGGTTCAGAATGTCAGAGATTTACTGACACTGTTTATTCGCCGTCAATCAAATTGTATCCAAAATGTCACAAAAACGCTGCATTTTCATACATAGTATATGATTTTGACAAGAATCTCAACATCACGAGCAACGTTACGTACGGAAATGGAGTTTCAGCAGGATTTGGAGATTTCGTCGTGCATAACGGGTCTGAATACGTTTATGCCAAGGGGATTTTTGGACCAATGTTTAACGATTCATCAATTAAGGAGTTCTCGGTTCCTTTACCAAAACCCGGAAATTACTGTTTAGATGTTCAATCTCTGAAAAATACAACAAACAATAAAGATTACGAAGTTAAGTTTATCATGTATGGAATGTATGACCAAGATTATGAAAATGCTGCTTTCCGTATCTCACCTCTTCTACTGCCTGCTTTTTTCTCGGTTATTTTGACACTCTTATTCACAATTTAATATACTTATCGTTGTACGGCGAGTAGTGTAGGCAGATACAGTCATTTATAAGATATTATAAAGAACGCTACTTATCCTACTTGTAAAGATAGCATATTATAATAAAAAATAATACAATAAGACGATCGTAATCTAATTTTTAATAAATGTCCTTAGAGGAGCACTTTTAAAAGAATCTTGACAGTAACAATGAAATCTTATCCGTCAGGCTTTGCTCAAAGAAAGTCTTTGTTGTCGAACTCTAGGCTGTACTTTTTGACTATTGAATTACTGCAAGTGAATTACTCATAGTCGCACACCGTGACACCACTCTGTCATTATTCGATGATAGAATATGTTTAGTTCAATGAGATTAATTATTGTAAGCTTCGAATTGAAAATGAACTTGTAGTACTCAATCTTTAATTGAGCTTACAAGGGTTTGTGTTTAAAAAAACGTTAAATACCTAAATAACTGAGAGAGAAGTCCAGAATTTCAAGTTTTTATCAATACAAGAATTTTGGGATTCAAGGAAACATGTTCAGACCAAACTGGTCGTAAAAGTATTGTGAGTGACATTTCCGTTTTGTTCAGCTAACCGAAGCTAGCAGAATCCCATCGTATAAACACGATAACTATGTGACACGCTTTTGTCACAGCACAAAACTGATATAAGTGTTAGCTTCAAAAACGTATTATAAAGCGACTTTTGGGTAACATATATTATTCACTAAAAACAGTAAACTTATTAAAACAAATAAAGTTTATTTAACCGAGATATGTATACTACACTAAATGTGTTAAATATAAGTGGATAGCACAAAATAGTTAGCAGTGAACACCTGGTTTTCCAGAGTTTACCGTTACAAGCTATTTGATAAATAAATTCGCTTATTATGATGAATTGGTTAATGTTGAATAACCAACTATTCTGTATTCCGAAGGTGTACAAAGTGAAAAAAGAAGAAAGAGAGTAACACATTTAGATGCGATAGATAGTTTTAAACCAATGTATTGCGTTTCTTGGGAGACCCATTATAATTAGTCGGGGCTCCTACGGTACTGACTTAGGTGTCTGGTGATAGTCCAAGTTTTGACTGTTGTTAATTTTAATTTAATGATCAATGTATTTATCATTACAGTAGAAAGATAAAATGTTGATTGACGAATTTAACGAGTAAAAAGAATCATCACAATAGCACTAAAAGTCAATGTACTAGTTAACAGCCGCCAATACGATTACTAACACATGTCTTCAAGTGATTGCCTGAATCAAGCATGAAACCACTCACAGTGTCTCTCTCGCTTCCAATCTGAGCAAAGTTATCACAATGATCCATGATTCTTCGAGCATTTGAGCGAATTTCATTCGAGTCAGGAATGACAGCCGAGTCTGCCTGATAAACAGCAATTGTGACGTAGCAAGAATATAGCGCCTGTACGCGCTGACTGGAATGATTGACTACCCATGAGCGAGACGGGATGGAATTCAATACTAGCTCACAATCATCAATTTTAGCATGATGGTGCCAACAGCAATGAGCATCTTCTCGCTTAACGAAGGAAGTCTCCATCTCGGTGACATTAAAAGGCACAGCGTCACTTGGAAGGGAATAAACTCCAAGAGCCTTGACTGCCTCCAGTAAGTTATTGTATTGCTTGAATGTTTCAGGGTCGTTCTGGCTGGCAACGAGATCCCTTAACGAATGATCATAGACCGCTTCGTAATTATCATAAGGGCGATCATTCTGAAAGTATACCGTAGCTGCACCATAGTAGTCCTGGGCATTAATCAGAGTAATTAATGCAGTCCAGTTGGTAAGATAGATACCGTTTACAGGGTAATTCAAATCTTGGAAAAGACTGTTGTAAGGTGGTCCAAGAATATCCAAAGAGGTGTTCGCTGCTGGAATGTTGAAGGTGTACGCTGCCGGTGGAATATATGCTGAAACCAGTGAAGCAAAATATGCCGCAAAAACAAAAAATAGGGACTCTGTGCGCATTGAAACAACTCAAGTTCGAAAAATATCAGATGAACTTTTGCTTGTACGATGTGAGCTCCTTCATATACATTTACTGTCTCTTGCTCAGGGATAGATCCTTTGAATTCTTGATTTGCCTGAGATCTCTTGAACAGTGTTTCCCATGAAATTAAATGTTTTCTGCACTGGATTGAGTTTCCCCTTAATGAAGTCCAATGAATTATTATACATCACGACCACAGTGACCCTTTTTCCTTCCAAAAGTAAAAAAAATATAATGAACCTAAGGGATAAATCTTCGCAGAAAGAGGATTCAATTAATTCATATGTCGGATGCAAATAACTGCGATAGAAATTTTGATTCCTCCTTCAAATGTAACGTTACAAAAAAAATTTCTAAATGATTTTTCGTTTGCTAAGGGAAAGTGTCGCAAGTATTTTGTCGTAACTTATGATAGATTTCTGGTTTTTTGCAACCAAGCGAACAGAGTACACAAGAAAGCTTGAATCTGGTGGTGATTAAGACACTATCAAACAAACAAGTCTTGTGTCTGTAAATGCTGTTGTATAAATGACAATTATCATGTTTGTATTAGTGAACTAATTAAACTGTAGTATCCAGTTATAGCTTACGTTTTCCATACTATGAAAATGAAATCGCCTAACCCAACTTACTATTGTAACCATGTCGGCGAGCCGTTTTCGCGTTTCTCAACCCGTGGGACTGAAAATGCCTTAAGGATACCAACGTTTTCTGATCTGGTCAAAGAAAATGGATAACGCTTTCAAGCCTTGTGTTAAATAGAAAAGAGCGGCCTCGGCTTTGAACTCAAGATTACAATGTCAACCTCTCTTACAAAACGTTATGGATTTTCAAACAATTTCACTATATGCTCCGGTGTCGATTATGCGCCTTGGGGTTCAGATTGTCAGAGATTTACTGACACTGTTTATTCGCCGTCAATCAAATTGTATCCAAAATGTCACAAAAACGCTGCATTTGCTTACATAGTATATGATTTTGACAAGAATCTCAACATCACGAGCAACGTTACGTACGGAAATGGAGTTTCAGCAGGATTTGGTGATTTCGTCGTGCATAACGGGTCTGAATACGTTTATTCCAAGGGGATTTTTGGACCGATGTTTAACGATTCATCAATTAAAGAGTTTTCAATTCCTATACCAAAGCCCGGAAATTACTGTTTAGCCATTCAATCTCTGAAGAATACGACAAATCAAAAAGATTACGAAGTTAAGTTCATCATGTATGGAATGTATAACCAAGATTATGAAGATGCTGCTTTCCGTATCGCACCTCTTCTACTGCCCGCTTTTTTTTCGGTAATTTTGACACTTTTACTCACAAACTGATTTGCTGAATTACTATCGTTGTACAGCGAGCAACGTAGACAGATCAAATCGTTTGTGAAATAACTATATTGTGCATTCTCGCTGCAGTTTATTCACAGATAAACCACTTTTATTTGTATGTTTTGTAGTTGGTTACAGAGGGCGTGTATTTTGGTCTTCGTTAAGTTAGGTGAATTAACTGAAATCATGAGAAGTCGGTACGCTGGATACCAATTATGGAGTATATGAGTGAATGTGCAAAGAATTTAGTACTGAGGTTGGATAAGTCTGTTCTTAATGAGGCTTATTGTTCGAGATTAATACAATGAATAACTTCTTTCTTTAGACCTTTCTAAATAAGCTTCGGTTAATAAAACCCTAATGTTTTGTTATGCGCAGTAGGTTCTGAAAGTTGATTGTTGAAAGAAACAAGTGAGGTTTAACGGATTACAGCCATTGGACCTTTGCATATTTGTAAAAACTATTTACCTAATACTATCTTACTTCGTATCTGAGATTTATACAGGTTATAAACATGTGAAAAATAAGTTTCAACAGTTTAAAAGATGAGCGAACGTAAAAACAATAACCTTGAATTGCCTCATAATAGCAATAAAAACATGGGATTCTTCACTATTACATATAAGAAACCAATCAATTGAATGATTGAAGCAGTATTTACATATTCTCCAATTTGTGTATAATAGAATAAATCAGCAATTAGAATTTAGAATAAAATCAGTTTTATTAATATAATAACTTGTAATAGTTCAACAAAATTTCTGTTGAACACTTTACAAGCACAATTGCTTATATCAATTGAATGTACGGCTTTCAAAGACAAGCAATTGTGTGGAAGGCTTAAAAAAAGGGAATTTTAAGTTAACAGTTGGATCAAGCCGTGATAAACTCTGTCACAATTCGATTGCCCGATGACTTTGATTCAAGAGACTAATTCTTAATTGGCTACAAACAATAATAAAACTGCTCACTTAGTTTTCGAGATAAGGTTCGCTTAAACTAACCCTAACCGCAAAATGCGACAGTAGTAAACAGGAGAGGTTGGTAAGCTGAATTTGGTCATCATAGGACTTAATCTGACATTATATTACTTATGCAAATCTAATTGACATGGTCTATCCTTAAAAACTTATTGGCAGTTCTCTTTCGCATGAGACATAAGCTACTACAAGTCATCCACTTGACATAAAGACATATTTTTCAATAGTTTTTGGGTCTTCCTATCGACTATCTGATCACAGGTTCTGATACTTCAATATTAAATTTTATTAAGCCCACAATTAAACCAGCTTGTACACGCTAAAAAAAATGGATTAGTTGTTTACACATACTGCAAATTAACTACTCTATGTTTCTTACAATATATCGCATAACTTGATTATAATACTTCTTAATAATAATAAACTAATTAATGTATAACAGTGTCAGTAGGACAGATGAAAAAGCAGGTAGTAGGAGAGGCGTGATACGAAAAGCAGCAGAGTCCACATGAACACCGTGCGCTGTAAATTTCACCGCGTAATCCTTACGATTTGTCGAATTTCTCAGAGTCCGGCTTTCTTTGGAAGATAGAGCGCAAACTCCGGTGACTCTTTGTATTGTTAAATAGGGAACTACACTCCTTTTTCAAAAACGTACTCGAAACCGTTAGAATAACAAAAAAATGATGGATTTCCATATTCATCTGTAACATTAAATGTGGAGTAAACACGACTTCATTCATAGACCGTATATGCAACAGCAGCATCTGTTTAACATTTCGGTTTTAATATAAACCTTGGCATGTATCCGTAGTCTTTAATTAAGTCACACACTCCGCCCCAAGGCGGATAGACGACACTAGAATTTACTGTGTTGTTGTTAGAACGAATCGCATTTTGTGTAAAAGAGGTTAACAACGTGAATTTCGATTCGGAGAGGAGAATGCCCTCTATTTACATAGTACTTTATACTTACTTCATTTCTTAGCAATTGAATAAAATTGTCATGCTTGACCATACTGCAGTCCCATGGGCTGAGAAAAAGCAATAACGGTCGGTGATATGTTAAACAATAGTTTTGATTAATTGCGAGCATGTTTCCACAAATATTTAATATTATTTATTCTCTAGTTAATTAGACAATTACTGTAGTTTGTATTGTATATTTACTTTACGATCGCTGAGTATCTCGTTATCATGTTTTGAGCACTGTCGACTTTGGGCTTCCTGTTGTAACGTGCTCGCTTACTCGCAAAAGCGAAAGCAATTGAGACTTAAAATTCGTCATGTTATTTTCTCAAGGGCTTTGACAAACTTGCGGCAATAGCGCTAAAACGATTTTCAGGGACTAATCAAAAAACAGGAGCTGTGAAAAGGAAGCGACATTCTTACTACAATTTTTGGGTTCATACGATCGCCAATGTCAAGTATAAATAATTTGTGAGTTTGGGCTATATTAAACGCTAAATTTACAGGTTTAGATAGTGTTATAGTGTTTTCTAGCAGAATAACAACTTCTTCTCAATACTAAGGAGGAACGTACCTTGTTCATTTAAAACCGTGTTTCCTATACTCGAAATATTTATGATTTACAAAGTCGGATAAGTTATCTAAATGCGATTGACGATTCCAATATTTCTGAAAATATAATGAATCCGTTTGCTCAATTCTTACAAAATAGTGAGAACGGACAAGTTAACTGTTGAACAAATTTGTAGTGTTCAATGGCTTTCAAGCAATTGAACTTACAGGTATTTTTATTGTTTTTTTAATTTAAAATATCTTTCTAAAAGACAAAGAATTCCATAAATCTCAAGTTTTCATTAAAACAAAAGTTCCTGTTTAATAAAAGCGTTGTTAGAACAGATTTGCTTCGTAAAAAACGCCGTGATTTACATTTACGTTCCGTATGGATAACCGAGAGCTAACCATTGACTCGGTATTGGGGTTTTTGTTTTTAAAATTGACAGAATTAAATCGTGAAAAACGACCATTCTATGAGACAAGTCATGTTGGGGCAAATGAACTTATGTCATTGACTGTGAATATTATTTAATTTTCGAAATGAAACAACCATTCAACTAATTGGTTTCTTTAATTGAAGGGCTAAGCATTCGCTAGCATTCATTGCTCTTAAGAGTCAATTCTAAGTTATTGCTTTTCCATTTGCGCATCTTGCAAAAATATTGAATTTTGTTTCTCAAAACTTAACAAACATAACAAATATGAACTAGTAACCAAATATATTATCTATTGAATAATTTAATATAAATATAAATATACAAGAGTTCAATGGCTATAATCCGTTGAACATTACTTGTTTCCTTCAACAATAACTTTCAGAACATATTGCACGTAACATAACATTTAGGTGTATTAACCGAAGCTTATTGGAAAGGTTTAAAGAAAGAAGTTATTCATTGTTTGAAGCCTACAAACAAGAATCCCCAATCGAGCTAAATATATCCGTTCTCAAACCATGACACGTATTGTCACAGTTCAATGGCCATGTTGACTTTGGTTCAAGAGATTAATTCTTAATTGGCTTCAAACGGTGAGTGAAACCATTCACTCAGTTCGTTAACAAGGTTCGCTTAACTGAACCTTAATAGTAAAAATGCGAAAATAGGAAATTGAAAGAGTTAACTGCTGAATAAGCTTGTAAGTGTTCAACGACTTTATAGCAATCGAACTTACAAGCATTTATATTAATTGTCTAATTGATAATATTTTTCTAACTGTAATTGCTTATTAAGGAATCGTAAGATTCTGATAAAGCAGAAGTTCCAGGCTTTGCAAGAACTTGCAATTAAAAGAATTATTATAGAGAGTAACAATGTGATCAATGTCTCTCTTCCATTCATCCGTTTGAGCAGGCAGAAAGCTGGCCGTTGGTTTGGCTGCTTTGTCGCTAAGATTCCAAAAGTACATGGAGACCATTGCCTAATGGCTCCATAGCAAAATTATGTCAAAGACAATACTCCAGATGCCTAATTCAGAACTCCGGTCTAGATATCTATTCGCCACTGTCACAACAGTATAAAAGACCCTAGGTAACATGCAGATAGCTGTTGAACAATAAATTAATCAATACATATTCACTATAACGTTCTCTAAACTAGAAACTTCCTTTCCTGGTAAACGATTTGTCCGACTAATAAGCAACATTCAACTCCAACTAATATTAGAAACCATAGTTAACAAAATAACGACAGGCCTCGTGGCCTAGAAGTAAGGCATTGGTTTCCGGCGGACATCCGTTGGCTGTCAGGTGTACCAAAGATCGCGGGTGCAAATCCCGTCGGGGTCGTTTTTTCATAACTTTTTGAAAAACAAAAAAAAAAAAAAACTCGAGCTGTTTTTACAGGAAGATTCAAAATAGATTGCTTACATGGCGATACGCCTTACTGAGAGCTGACATTATATTAACGGAAACAAAAACGACCATTGGGAGAATTAATTGTGCCGCCGAATGTTTCCGTCCTAACCACCAAAAACCGAAACTGTAAAGGAACTTGTTCGGTAACATCGCAAAAATCTATTAATTTGAAACATTAAACGACTGCTAAGTGCTGGTGTTTTATCAAAAAAATATTGGTATAATTCAAACGGATTATTTCCGGGGCTTCACATTTATCTTTATTTTTAATTTCAGCCGTACTACTAATGTCCGTTAACGACAATGAACAAGCTATCGAACAACTTCGTGATCTATATTTATCTTCAATTGTAGCGGAACCATTCAGTTCTTTGGAAGAACTCAATGGCAATTATCTCAGTAATAGCAAGATTACAATTGCTCAAAAAGCAAAGGTCGTTCCATTGCGTTTGCAGTATGACGAGCGAAAGCTTTTGCGCTTATTAGAAGCCTCGTATGTAATCTGATAAACTTTTGCAAGTTTTCTGTTTTTTTGATGATTCTATCGCGTATCTTGTTCGATAATATTGTTAACCTATTTTTGTAGGCTCAACGTTAGTGATTATACTGACGTAGTTGATATTTTGACATTTTCTACGCCTGCAAAACGAACTGCTACTCAGCTGAAAGGTATTTCATCTATTCTTTCTGGAATAATGATCGCCTATGATTACCAGGTTGGCCAGGAATTATTAAAACATCGAAACTATGAGCAGTATGCAGATTTTTTTCAATCTATTTTTGAGATTGGCAGGCGTTACAAAGTTTTGAATCCAGACAAAATGAAGGTCACATACGGAAAAATGATGTACGTCGTACAGGATTCCATGTTGCCTGAGGTTAAAGACGTGCTGAGCTTCAGCTTGTTTAAACCAATTTTGACAGTGCATGAGTTTTTAAGATTACACGAAGCACTTGGTTTACTCGATGATCCCTTGGTGAAGCTGGCTACTGCCGAAATCATTCCGGACAATAAATCCAGAAAAGTATTACAGAAAGAAATTCGTGAGAAGGAACAAGCTGTGGAAAAGCTCGCCCGCAAGTACACAAATACAACCACGTCCAAAGATCAGATTCGTTGGTGCTTATATTCACTTGCCGACAGCAACGCTTATTTACGTGCTAACCGGGATCCTATACACAAGTTACTATCCATAATTGAACAATACTTCTCGCCCACAGAAATTGAGGACGATTTCAATTTGAGCATCAGTGCCACAAACGGTTCTCGTTTAGTGCATGATCACTACAAGCAGTATCACTACGTCGTGCAAAGTCTACAACTTTGGTCACTTATTATGGGTGAGATCTTTTCACTTTGGGCTCTCAGCGATTTAGAGCTGTGCAATCCTGAAACAACTTACACCTTAATCGATAACGGCCAGGGTATACATCGTATGCAGCCTTGTCCAAAAATCCGTGAAGCAATGGAGCGTATTCTTCGGCGTGCACAAACGGCCTCTGATTCTTGGATTGGTAGCACAACAATTCATCTTGGTGATACAGCTGTACCTAATGCGCTGATTTTCATTGATAAGTATATGCAAGTCCCTAGAATTTTGTCGCCCTTAGTTTTAGTACTGAAGGAACTTGATGAACTGAAGGATCCGGGTGTATTGCAGTATATTGAGAATGCCTTTATAACTAAGAGAGACCTTGAGAAAACAATTCTTGCCGATTTTATGAGATACGCATTTGACGGCTCAGGAGCTGACAATTGGTTTGATGTACGTTTTATGCTCCTTGCAATTTTTACTAACTTTTTTTAGGCTGGAAGTTGCATTGACGGAAGATTAACAAGCGCTTGGAATTGGGCCAATACTATTCATACGCGTGAATACTATCGGATACTCTTGATGTCTGGTTTCTTAAGTTTTAACGGTGAATAGTTGGATACAAGGCGCATCCCCTGCTGTATCCCTGTATCGCTACGACCTGATCGATATTTAACGATTGAGTTGGAACTATTAAACAGAAACACTGGCTTTCCACACTTCTCCCGTGAACTATGAGTAATTGTGCTCGCATATCAAAAACCATATTTTCGATTTCCCCAGTAGCTAGAGTCTTCCAGTTTGCTGTTTTATCCCTTCAATCTGGAAACCATACGACCTACAGCACCAGTTATATTTTAGAATTTTCAGCTATAGAGAATAAAAAATACATCAATAATAGTTCTTAGTAAGATTATAATTTCTACAACATCTAAGCTTAAAAGGTTGTAAGCTTTACATTAGATTAAAATATAAATTTTGGTGAATAGAAGAACCAACTTGCAGCAGAGATAATATTCGTGCATAGAATTGGCTGTGACAATACAGAGTTATCTTTTCGGGAGTTACTTTTTCATGAAACTTTTATCTTCGTTCGACCATCTTCATTGACCCATTGGTTGACTGAATAATCTCACATTCATGTCTAATATTAAGGAAAAGCCATGCAATCGACCCCAAAGAGTATCTTATTTTGATTGTAGAGGCATCGTTAAAGGAATTGCAAAAATAGACGGGTTTCCGAACCAAAAATTTTATCATATAGTTCTCGATAAACAGGCCAATCCTACACGAAAACTGTTTTGCAACTTACAGAAGAATCAGTTTGTGTAAGTTGCTTCTTTATTTTAACAACAACGCTGCTAATTAGCAACTAGTATCAATAAAGGTGCATTTTACTTTATCTACTGATGTACCACGAGACGTTCCTTGTGGATTTTTTGAAGCTTTAAATAGAAAATACAATGATCAAAGCGATCTCGTCCAGTCAATAAATTTGACACATTCAAAGAAAATTGATTTTGTCGGTTTTGAGCAAGTCCGTGAAATTCAACGTTCCCTTCAGTCACTTAAACTTATCGTTTTGGAAGATGAAAAGATCAACCGATTTGAAGAGGAATATCAGCTGGATACAACTGTTCAGGCTGTGGAAGACTTGAGCCTTACCGGAAATTTGTTTGATTCTATTTTTCACATTTTATATTCACTTGAACCTTTGGAAAATTTAATCCATCTGAACCTAGATTGTAATTACTTCACTGATTACAGTCGGCAATTGAGACTTCCGGTGCTCTCTCGATTGAAATCATTAAGTCTTAATGCAACGCGTGTACCATATGAATTTCTTATAGAGCTAAGCAACATTTTCCCGTCTCTTGAACATCTTGGTTTGGAGTATAATCGGTTAGAAATCCCAAGTGATCCTGGTCTCTTTGGACACGCAAAGTTAAAAACGCTAAGTCTTGCTAACAATCCTGGACTGCTATTTTCTAGACTTGACTTTTCCAAGTTAACATCGTGAGTACTTTTATATTGTCATACGGAATTTTAACCACTTAGTCTCGAAACACTCAATCTTTCGTCCATTAGTATAGATGCGTTAGATGAACGAACGCTACGGACGCTTAAAAATTTGAAGAACTTGGATCTGTCAAACAATATGATTCAGTCGTGGTCAATGGTGGACTCTTTACGGAAACTAACTTGTTTGGAACGACTTCGTATTCGTCTTGATTTTTTGCATAAGGATACAGTAACAGCTCGGCTGTATCTGATCGCCAGGATTCCTCAACTAATATACTTAAACAATGTTCGTATCAGCAATAATGAACGTCAAGATGCGGAGCTTTATTTCGCTAACTATATACGACGTATAATACATTCGGGTGCCATCAGCAATGAAGAAGAATTGACATTACGAGAACCACATTGGAGATATATATGGAGAAAGCATGAACTTGAAGAGCTGAAGCTCGGCGAACGGTTGTCTGAAAGAGTACCTGGTCGTCTGGCTGATAATGTTGTCCGCAATGTGCGAATAACGTGTAGCAACTATCCCGAAAAAGTTAAGTATCTACTACTACACATGAATTGGACTGTACTCAACACAAAGGCCTTGTTGGCAGCGCATTTTCATGTTATGGCTAGGCGTTATGTGATTGCTTGTACATTCTCAAATTCCATAGAACAAATTTGGGAGGATGAAGACAAAAAGCTATCTGAGTACACTTCAGATTACCCGGTTGAGCTCTGTTTACGGATGACTGTTCCAAATTAGAACATACACACACGCTTCATAAGATCAAATTTATGTCCTCCAGCATGAACGTTTTTGAATAATAAAATTTATATATAATATATAGTATATTCATTAATGAAACAAAAAATGCACAGACAAACCCAAGAATCCGACTTACCCAACTACACAAGTCGAAGAAAACAAAATCCAAACGAAAGCAGAAACAAAAAATAAAGGCAGGGGAAGAATAATAGAACGGAATGCAGCAGTGAAAGTTTAAAAAGATGCACTCCACGGAAAGGACCTGTAAAGACAAGTGACTTAGCTTTTTATGGTTTTTTTTCATTTTCTCTCTTTTTTTTTGGAAAGCATAAATGGGGAATCATTCCCAAGGCAATCATAGAAAAGCCATGTAAGAGACCGTACATGAAATCACCGTTTCTCTTGTACGGGTATCGCGTAATAAAAGAGATCCTGCAAGGTGATGTCAAAGATTAACGATGGCACAACAAACCAGTAGTCGGCGACGTGTAACCTGCAACAAAACTCGTTTACGTTGGCTAGCTTATAATAGAAACAGCAAGCACAGCAATATTTTGCTAGTAGACCACTTGAGTCCAGAAGTCCAGAAAAAAGAAACTTATTTTACATAACCCTCCTGATACGAGTTAGGACAATTATACACTGGTGAAATCCCTAGATCTCACTAAATCCAATTGTCTCAAACAACGGAGAAAGTTCTGGTGTCAAACCAAAACCATTTTGTTCCAATTTTGAAAAAGAGTCATTGAGGCCATCTCTTTCTTCAAGGGCAGATTGAAAATCAGAATGCACCTGATGGAATGAGAGTTTGCGAGCACGGCGCTTTAAAGCACGGCGCGCCTTCCTGAACTTGAACTTTGCGCCGCCAGCAGAGCGAAGCTTCTGTCTGCGTTTTTCACGCGTCTTTTGTGCAAGCGTGCACCACTCATCACGAACAAGTTCTTCCTTTATGGCCATGGAACGAATGTACTGGTTACGACGAAAAGTGCCGATGGGAATCCTATCCCAGCGACTGAGCGATTTATCTTCCTTGTGCTCAACACTTGTACAACTATCCGAGATGGTTGACCTGCTTGTGCTTTGAATAAGAGAAGTATCGAGAATTTCCTCAAGATTTGTTTCACGAACGCTAGTATCCTCTTTTTCTGTAGTGTCATCAACACTTCCATAGGATATAGACTCAGAAATAGGAAACGGCACAACTTCTTCAAAACTACCGTCATCATGGACGTGAAGAGTATGACTGCCATCAATAATGGCATTGGGTTCCTCCATTTCCAGGGCCCAGACTCCCAAAACAGGCAAGTCCGAAGCCTCAGAGTCGTTCGAGTCCTTGACATGAACTTCAGCAACACATTGAGAAGAGACACGTTGCTCATTAACCTCTTTTGTTGGTAAAAACGTAGGGAGCTCATCGTCAGTGGCCTCACTAAAATCATTCAAGTCATAGTCAGTCATTTCATCACCGGAACTATCGAAGAAGCATTCCCAACCAATTAAATCAACATCATCTTGTTCGTCACCAGTTGATTCTTTTTCATCTTCTGAGCTAAGGAAGCCCATCAAAAAGTCATCTTCAAGACGTTCATCCATATTGACGTGCGGATAGAAAATTGCATTTTCTTGTTGCTCGGTGTCGAAAGCAAGCAAGTCGATATCAAGCTCATCAGGAAGGGCGACGATAGCATCCGTAATGTCGTTTAAGAAGCTTGAAGCAAATGGAGCATCTATCATTCCTTTCTCCGAAAGGAGTGGAGAATCATCAGTGCCGGGCAATCCTTCAATTACCGTCTCGTCGTCATTCTCCTGTACTGGCAATTCATTTTCAACGGCTAGAGAGAGCTTTCCCATTTCCTGGATATTAAAACTCGCCGTATAAGCCGGTTTCCCGTTTGTTGCTAGTGCAGCGCATGGCTCCTCGGATGTCGTCGAACTCGCAGATGAGTTATTTTCTTTTTCTGGGGTCATACTAGTACCTACAGCACTCCCGTCTATAGAATAATTGTTTCCATCTTCTTTGTTAGCATTTCACACGACAATTCCAGAACATCATGTACCATATTTTACGAAGTTCTCGTTCAGGAACACGCCAGCGGTCAATTTCTCGCCCACGGCTTTCTCGTTAATTAAACCATCGTCTCCTTCAACGGGAGACGGTTTTTGCATCATTTCACACGTTGAAGCCATTTGTTGCGAGAAGGTACTGCTATGCGTGAACGGGACGAGAAGAAAGGTCGTCTGCGGGAGGAAAAGGGTCTCCGCAACACCAAAACCCCTCGTGTTGGTGTCGTCTGCCGTCGTCACCGGAAGCGGTCAATCGAGCCACAATAACCATTCGCAGCGTAAACACCAATCACCTCGTGGAGTCGAGCCCCCTTCGTTACGGTGTGGAAGCTTATTTAAGCGAGGTCGCACTCCTATAGTATCTCGAAACACAGAGGACGTGCTTATTGAGCAATGATGATAGAACATTGCAATTCTGTCTTCTTATCGCATAAAGTACTTAGTTCATAAATTACAAATTCACTGCTTAGCATTTGCAATTCATTTCATCTTCCATTGCAGATAATTGCGGTTGGTAAAGGGATAGTGACGCACATCAAAAGCGGAAAATTATTAATTATGAAAATAAGGTTAAGTACTAAATGATACATTCAGAACACAATGATGGCGCTTTTGAAAATGTAATCATCCCTTTGGATTTGGCAAAGGATCAATCACAGTAATTATGCTACTATATGACCGCATTAAATGAGACTGGGAATATTGTCTATGGTATGAGAGTAAAAACAAAAAAAGCTAAAATGCCAAGGAAAATACCATTGAAGTTTAAAGAAAACAAAACGGTAATTCAACATGGTTGGGCGAAATGATAAACACTGTACGCAATTTTAATCCCGTTTTGCGTATTTCTTAACACGCCTTTTCCTTCTCCCAATCACATTCCTGTCTGTTTCTCTGTACTCAAAACAACTTTCACATATGCGAATCTCAGCTTCAAATTGAACTGTGTATGACGCTTTCGACCCAAACACTGCGATTTTTATCTTACTATTGTGCGCATATTGTTCGCATGGTCGTACGCGATGCGTTGCCACATGAAATTACCGTAACGAATGCCAGTAAACAATGAATTCCAAACAAAGAAAGGACTATCTATCGTTAGAGCCTTTGTTCAAATGATATTGCTTTGTCTGGGCTCATGAATATCTTGTTTAAATGAAATTGCATGCTTTCCTTTCTAGTTGATTTGTATTTTTATACGTATCTTTCTATCCCTTCACAGAACTATCAAACATCGCGCTTCTAACGTCTAATGCCACGGGGTCTACACATTACTCCTTTCCTAACGATGGAGGAATATTGATTAAAAGAAATCCACCAGAATTAAATACAGAAAAAAAAAAAAAAAAAAACGGTTATCTGTATACATGAAAATGCTAAGAAAAATCAAAAGCATTATGAATAAAATTACTTATACATTTTTAATTTCTTCTTCTTTTGCCATCCCATTTGTCTATATAAATGGTGGTAGCGCACTCCATGCACCTCCCCTCTCCCAACCACTCCCTCACCCTAAAAACAAAAATGTCTTACGAAGGAGGTTACAACAACCAAAACGGTGACAGTTACCGCGGCGGTGGAGGCTACGGTGGCCGCAGCTATTCTCGCGACGGCGACGGTGGATACCGTGGCCGTGGTGATAGATATGGCGGTCGTGACCGTGGTGGATACCGCGGTGGTAACGATCGTAACAACGACCGTTTTTACAACGGCGGTAGCTCCTTCGGTGGCGGTGCCCTGAACGAGAAGCCCAACTGGAGCGAGGAAACCTTGACTCCTTTCCAAAAGGATTTTTACAAGGAACACGAAAATGTTCGTCTCAAGTCTGATGCTGAGATTGAGCAATTCAGAAAAGAAAAGGAGATGGTGGTCATTGGTGAGAATGTTCCCCGTCCTATCTCCACCTTCGAGGAAGCCGGCTTCCCCAACTATGTATTGAAGGAGGTCCAGGCACTCGGTTTCGAGTCTCCTACTCCCATTCAGCAACAGGCTTGGCCCATGGCTATGTCTGGTCGTGATATGGTCGGTATTTCTGCCACTGGTTCCGGTAAGACGCTTTCTTACTGTCTTCCCGCAATTGTTCATATCAACGCTCAACCCCTTTTGGCTCCCGGTGACGGACCTATTGTTTTGGTTCTCGCTCCCACCCGTGAGCTTGCCGTTCAAATTCAACAAGAGTGCACTAAGTTTGGTCACACTTCACGTATTCGCAACACTTGTGTTTACGGTGGTGTTCCCCGTGGTCCTCAAATCCGTGATTTGGCTCGTGGAGTAGAGATTTGTATCGCTACCCCTGGCCGTTTGTTGGACATGTTGGACTCTGGCAAGACCAACCTTCGTCGTGTCACCTACTTGGTTTTGGACGAGGCTGACCGCATGCTGGACATGGGTTTCGAGCCTCAAATCCGTAAAATTGTCGATCAGATTCGTCCTGATCGTCAAACTGTTATGTTCTCTGCCACTTGGCCCAAGGAGGTCCAACGTCTGGCTCGCGACTATCTGAAGGACTATATTCAAGTTACTGTAGGTTCCTTGGATCTTGCCGCTTCTCACAACATCACGCAAATCGTTGAGGTTGTTGATCCCGCTGACAAGCGCGCTCGCCTCTCTAAGGATTTGGAAAAGGCCATGGAAGACAAGGAGTCTAAGGTCCTTGTTTTCACTGGCACCAAGCGTGTTGCTGACGAGATCACTCGTTTCTTGCGTCAAGATGGTTGGCCCGCTCTTGCCATTCACGGTGACAAGGCTCAAGACGAGCGTGATTGGGTGTTGAACGAGTTCCGTACTGGAAAGTCCCCTATTATGGTTGCTACCGATGTGGCTTCTCGAGGAATTGGTATGTATTTCTTATGCTTTCACGACGAACCGCGTGTTGTGCTTGCTGTTCGTTCTCGTGACCGGACGAGAGATGATACGAGTGACGTTATTTTGAAGAGACTGTTGATTGAGCACTTTGCTCTTGGCGCTGTGAATACGTCCGGAGACACGATTGTGTCGTTGAAGGGCGCTACGAACATCGTGGGCGATAATGTTGCTCCTTTGGCTCGTGCAGGCTGCGCAGTTAGTTGCCAAGGCATGCTTTTCTTTTCTACAGGGGTTGGTTAGTGTGGAAACTTTTGTTAGTGGCCTATCCCCACGCTGCCACGATTCAAGATTTTGATCCCGCTGCTAAGAAGTTTGGCTTGCCATTTCAGCTAATTTGGTTTTCAGTGACGGTTGCATTTGTCGGCTTTGAAACGGCCGTGAATGTGCCAAGCCATGAAACCCAGATGACCTGGCGTATGCTAGCCTGAGCATGCAATATTTGCGAATAGCATGTGTACGGCTTTTGTTGTGCGCAAAAGGGCATCTGTTGACATTCGCAGCCCTGTCTTTCATAAACCTCTTCAACTAAAACCACTCTTCAACCTCGCCTGAAACGATTTGAACCATGAAACACGCTTGTTGTGCATCATTGGTTGTGTCAACTGTGTCGCTCTCTCGCAGAGCCTTTTGGCAACCTTTTGAATGCACTAATAGCAGCAGCTCATTATTAAACGCCTGGTTCACCGGCGTTTTTTTGATTGTTTACTAACTGATTACAGATGTTAAGGGTATCACTCACGTCTTCAACTTCGACTTTCCCGGCAACACCGAGGACTACGTCCATCGTATTGGTCGTACTGGTCGTGCCGGTGCTAAGGGTACTGCTTACACTTACTTCACCCAGGAGAACTCTAAGCAAGCTCGTGACCTCATTGGTATTCTTCGTGAAGCCAAGCAAAACATTGACCCCAAGTTGGAGGAAATGGCTCGTTACTCTGGTGGCGGTGGTAACCGCCGTTGGGGTGGACGCGGCCGTGGCCGTGGTGGTTATGGTCGTGGCGGCGGCGGATACGGCGGCCGCGGCTACACTGGCAGCAACAATGCTCCTCTCGGCCGTTCGAGATGGTAGTCTCGCTTTTTGTTTGCGGTCTGGCACTTGCTTTTTGCGAGACAAACATTGTGCGACTGTAAAATCGTTGGTATATTTTTCGGGCTTCGTGTACAAGGGATGTTCTTAGGTTATAGAGTAGTAATACTACCGTTGGGATTAATGGAAAATGATGGTGATTAGTGAGGTCTGTGTGTGTCCGTGCGCTCTGATTAGCGGTGGTTGTGTGCGATTTCGTATTTTAGTGCTGCCGTTCGAATGCCGTTTTGTTCCTTGTTGCTCCGGTACACGATAAATACTTTATTATTCCTCAATTTTGTCTCGCTTATATTCGCGTAAACACCCAATCAGAATTGGTTTCGTTTCATATTCGCGTAAATCGCTTAGTGCACTTTATAAGAGAATTATTCTCCCCAACCTTCTTGGTTTCTACCAACTCGGTGTTTCAGTCGAATTAATTCGTTTGGTGCCAAATTTCTCGCCGTTTGTTGGATTTAGCTAGTTGGGTTACTGTCTTTACAGTTTAATATTTTTTTTCACTATTATAGAAAAAAAAAGATTTGAATTTGAGAAAGCTGTGATTGTTTTGATATTTATATGTTTGTATTTCTTATTTTTCGTTAAACGTATTGATCCAAAGATTAAGAAACACTTTAATCTTTATCTTGATACTAAGCTCGCTCAGTGTAATATTGGATTGTGAAGAAAGCATTCACAGTTTATTGAGGCTTTTCTACGACAAAAATTGAAGCTTACGACAGTCTTGAAGTAGCGTCCATAATCCTTTGGATTGGTTTACCGAATTCTCTTTTTCGCTGCTTTTCCTGGCCTTCGTTCTGATACTTCTTTGAGGTCAAATCTCTGGAACTCTATTGTGCTGTGTTGAGGGCAACTGGCAGTTTTTGAAGTCTACTGCTCCTTATAAAAATTACTTCGTTTTTATTTTATTTTATCATTTTTGGAATTTCTCCCGAGACAGAAGGCTGTATTTCTCGGTACACTCACTCTTCATATACCCAGAAATCTATTTGACGGTTCTAATTTCTTCGTTCATTCGTTTGTCTCACCGTCAACTGTACTATCACTCGAGGGACATCTGATTTTCCCTTTCTTACTATTTGTGATTTTTATGTCCTTGTTTTTCTCGTCTCCATTTTAATTTCTTAACTTATTATCTGCTCACATTTATCATGTCCAGTGTAATCTACTACAAGTTCAAGTCTCAAAAGGATCCCTCCAAAGTGACGTTTGATGGCACAACTGGCATGTCCGTCTTCGACGTGAAACGCGAGATTATTCAACAAAAGAAACTTGGAAACGGGCTCGATTTCGATTTGCTACTTTACAATGCAAACACAAATGAAGAGTATGATGACGATACTTATATTATCCCCAGATCCAGTTCTGTAATTGTACGTCGGTTACCCGCCCAGAAGCCGGGTCGTGGTACTGCTGCTCGTTATGTCGCGGCGAACGCGGCTCCCAACGTTGGAAGAAACGAATTTGGCAAAAAAAATGTTCCCGTTGTACAAAAGTTGAAGCCTACCGACAATCCCGTGTCTCGCCGTCCGGCCACAGCTGAGGATGCAGCAATTCAACAAATGCTGCAGACATCTAGTGACCAGTGGCGTGAAACTCAAGACAAAATGGCAACTGCTACTCCTATCTATAAAAGTAATCAAAGACGGGCTGCTCCCGCATTTGTTCCCGAGCACCCTCCTCCTAATGGTTACATTTGCTTTCGCTGTGGCCAGAAAGGCCATTGGATTCAAGCTTGTCCTACAAACTCTGATCCTACGTATGATGGAAAGCCCCGCGTAAAGCGTACAACCGGTATTCCTCGCTCTTTTCTGAAAACTGTGGAACAACCCACTGATGGTGATGCCGCCAATGTGATGATTAACGCTGAGGGCGAGTATGTTGTCGCCCAACCTGACGTTGCTTCTTGGGAATCTTATCAATCTAAGAAAAAGGCTCTTAGTGCTAGTGATGTGTACAAAATGGAACCCAAAGACGCAAATATGGCTTGTGGTCTTTGCAAACATTTTGCACGTCAAGCTTCAGTGACGCCTTGTTGCAAAAAACTGTTTTGTGAAGAGTGTATACAGAATGCATTACTTGAGAGTGATTTTGTTTGCCCCAAATGTAAGCAGAAAGATGTTCTTTTAGATTCAGTCAAACCGGATTTCCGTGCGCGTGAGAAAATTGACGCTGCTGTGAAATCAATTTTAGGTGAGCAACATAATGATAAAAAGGCAAATGATGCAGCTTCATCTGTAAACGATCGCGGAGAGAAGCGTAAACATACTGAGGATGATGACTCCTCTGCACCGGCGCCGAAACAAGTTAGTCGTTCTGTCCCTGCTCACGTAGTACCAGCTAAACCAGTTTATGGTGCTACTGCAAATCCTAAATTTCATCAAGGTAATGGGCCTCTCCCCGCTTTCCCTCCTTTTCCGCCTTTTATGATTCCTGGTCTACCAATTCCTCCAATGATGCCAGGTTTTGCTGGTGTTTCCCCTTTCCCTCCAAATACTGCAGCACCATATGCCAAGAATGTTCGTCAAGGTGTCGCATCTTCTCAACGTTCAGAATCGGGCTCTCCTGCTCAGCAATCAAACAATGCGCGTCAACCTTCGCCTTCTCGCTCTCAGTAATGGATGCCGTTTACCGTATTGATTATTGCCTACACATTTTAAATAGGCACGAAGTCTTTGATCGGAAAAAAATCTATAATCTAATTCTGGGCATGAAGGCTATTATTGGAAAGGGTTCTTAGAGGAAGGTTATTGTTTAAAGAGTTAGTTGACACAGCTCATTCATCGGCGTTACGAGACACAGTTGATTGTTCAATCTATCTTCCAACTTTTGGTCTTCTACAAAAAGTTTATGTTTTATTACTAGTCAGTCATGTATTGACAATGCTTAATTTTTTTCTTCAACCATATCAACATTCCTCATGTAGGAAATGTTTTGTATCCTGGATTTGTCGGATGCATATCATATGGCCTTGATTGCTTTCGTTGAACTCGTTTCTTCTTCCGACCTATTCTAGTCATTTTTAATTTAACATATTATATATTGTAACCCTTCCTATCAAGTTCATGCTGTAGTGTTTTGCTTTTATAAAATTTAATTAACATTCCAATATGTAAATGTTCACACCAGAATCACGAGTCGATAGGCCTCTGACTTACATACTAGGGAATGTTAATTTGAGACAGCTTACGTTGTTTCCGTATGCATTTTCAACTTACTACGATAACATTATTTGTGATTTAACCATCTCTTTCCTAATAAGATTCAGCACTTGAACGAAATTTGACTAATACATCAAATTACTTATTGTTTCTTAGGCAAAGATCAATTTAAATAAAGATTCTAAGGCTATTATCTCAATCTTAATTGAGAAATCGTGTTCGACTGCATAATATCTTGCTTTTAAGCATTAATGATTAATTCACGATTACCCAACCTCAAGTCATAATAGCTCATAAAACATGACTAATCCAACATCGATCCAAAAAATATTATCGAGAGAAACTCCAAAAAACGGAGAAAAGAGCCATTTTGTTATAAAAACGACACAATTTCGCCCGATTGCTTTTCGTGTCTTTACAAAAAAGTATAACCTCAATTTAAATCGAAAAAGCTTAGAGTGTCTGTCAACATATGTCGCCAATAGGTTAGGTTCAACTTGGAAAACCAATTGCGAAAGTGTCTTGGATGAAATTGCACGTACCTGGAAACGCATGCACGGTGAGTCAGACTAATTTCTTTCAGCGAAGCCCTTATTAAATGGATTTGAGGATTTTAACTGACCTATGTTTAAGAGTCCACACCGATTGTTTCACATGAATTACTAGTTCCCATTCTGAACTCACTGACGGTACCACATGAACCACAAAATGTAGAGCTTGCTCGAATGCCTTCAATTGATCCGGCTGCTGTTTTAAACAGGTCAAGAGGCTCGGAAATAAAGGTTAATGTTGATGTAAAAAGTCAATTCAAAGTAATCGATGCCTTCAAAATGCCCTACTATGAATACCAATCATCAAGGAGGTTCTTTGAACGCTCTACCAAAAAACTTTCGCTGCTCCCGCAAGCAGAATCATTTACGAATATGTATCAGAGACGTTTACAAGTGATCCAACATCGCATTTCACAGAATGATGCATTTCAGTCAACCTCCTTTCATAGGACATTCTCTAATGGCGGACAAACAAGTATTACTCCAATCAGAAGCTTACTGGGTCGCGCCGGTAGTGATTTCCTCTTGTTTGGACAACTCAACCTAAGACCAGACGGTAAACCCTGGTTAGAAGACTTGGACTCTCAAGTGGAACTAGATGTTAGTCAATGTGCTTGGGGAATGGGTTGGTTTTTCCCTGGATGTCTTGTTCTTGTTAATGGTCAATTTTTAGAGAACGGAAAGTTTCTTGTTTTTGAAGTTTGTCACCCACCCATTGAAAAAAGAGACGCTACGTTACGGCATCAAGCAAACTTGGACACTTTAGGATTGAACTTGGATACTAATCAACTCGCTTACATTCGAAGAGCTGAACGCGAATTTCAAAATGCTTACTTTGTTATTTGTGCTGACTTGCACCTAGACGACAGACAAACCTTTATTGCATTAGAAAAAATGCTCGGGATGTATGAAAACAATATTGATGAACTTCCGGTAACTTTCATTTTTTGCGGCAGCTTTTATTCGACCGCGTTTCACAACACTGGTACCTCCCTGCAGTACAAAGAGCATTTTAATGAGTTTGCTACACTCTTAGAAAAGTTTCCGGGCATTTGTAAAGACTGTCAACTTGTTTTTATCCCTGGCCCTAATGATCCTTGGACCTGTAATGGCATTAGTATGCTTCCTCAACAACCTATCCCACCTTACTTTGTTAATCGCATCCGGAGAGTCAGTAAAAATGCTATATTTACCTCCAATCCTTCTCGTATATCTTTCTTTAGCCGAGAGATTGTTATTTTCCGTGACAATATAACAGGACGCTTCCAGCGGAACAGTTTTCATGTGGAAAAACCGGAGAGACCAACCACATCGGATAAAAGAGAGGATGCGTCATCGTTAGAAGTCCATCAAACTCAATTAAAACGCAAAGTATGTAAATGTTCTCACTAATCAGTGGCACATATCAAGCTCATGACTAACTAACACTATACAAGCTTGTGAAAACGCTTTTGGATCAAGCACATTTATCCCCATTTCTTCACTGGAAGCGACCTGTTCTATGGGATTATGATTATGCACTTTCTTTGTATCCTGTTCCAGATTGCGTACGTGCTAATTATTTTCCTACAATTACTAACAAAACAGATGGCAATTGTTGATACTTCTATACCTGCTTTTAACGTCCATTATGCTGGGTGCACGTCCTTTAATCCCGGTGCTCTTATTGTAGGCAATTATATATCCTGGCAAGAAGTTCGACCGCTTGTCAAACAAGTTAAATGCATAAAGGAACACTTGTAACAGTTCTAGGTTTAGAAACTTTCATGAAATACTACTAAAAAGTTAACTGTTTGTTTCATTAATCTATGTTTAAAAATACGTTCAATTCCGTTCTTGTGTTTATGAAAAGTAGCGGTGCTTTTTGTATACTTGAGTAATGTTAGGCATCTACGGTCTCACAATCATTTCTATTACTGTTCTTCTTCAATCCTTTTCTCGTTGTTATACTCTTGCACATGTAATTCTCACAACATCTCTTTCAATTCATCGGTTATCCCGATTGCCCAATCATTTTAGATGTTTCATTTACGTGTGAAACTGTTATTCTTAGTGGATTTTCCCATCTGCTTACTCATTAATTATGTTCGCGTCTTGAGTTTAGCCGCTCACTCTTAGAGTATCTTACTACCAGTATGGACAATTCTTGTTTGTAATGACAGAACAGGTAAATTTCCCAAATGAATAACAAGCCTCGCTTTGTCTTCTTTTCAACTAACTCAATTTCTGCTTTAGAATACCCGTCCGTCCGCGATTGACTGTTCCGAAAGTAATGTAGGTATTCGATCCAAAAAAAGACATTCCTATTCAAATTCGCTATCTCTAAAGAAAACACCGAGTCCGGAAATTGACAAAGAAAGGTGTGTACATAAAAAGTTAACGGTTTGTTTTTTCTTTTTGCTGACCAATTTTACAAAAAGTACAACAAGCAAAGTTGCTCAGTTTTGCAACCGGTCGTTCAATGCTTTCAGAAACGCTCTTGGTAAAAAAGTGAGACCTGGGGCAAATCATTTCAAGGCATTAGATCCGTCTTTTATGCAAGCACGAGGCCCAAAGTCAGCTCCATTACATACTTTGCGGAGAAGTATGTCCATTGACTCAACGGAACGAACTCGATGCTCGATTGATCGTCCTAGAAGCGCAACAAACACTCCTATTAAAATGCCAGTGTCTGAAGGAGTCCGTTTGGAAAAAATGACAGCTCTTTTGGAGCAGCCCATTGTTGATTTAAATGCTTTGCGGAAGCTTGCATGGAATGGCATCCCTGTACAGCTACGTGGAAAAGTATGGAAGCTTCTATTAGGTTATATGCCAAGCAATGCCGTCCGGCGTGATGATACTCTTGTGCGTAAAAGAAATGAGTACAATGAAACAGCGAACTCTCTCTTCGTGACAGGCAATGAAACATTGGATGCATCTTTAAAGCATCAAATACACATTGATGTCGAAAGAACACATCCCACCTTGAAGCTGTTCCAACAACCAGTCGTTAGAGGGATGCTCGAAAGGATTCTGTACGTTTGGTCTATACGGCATCCCGCAAGTGGTTATGTCCAGGGCATAAGTGATCTAACCACCCCATTTCTTTTTGTGTTCCTTAATAGTATGAACGAAATTAACGAAGACACATCCGACATTGAAAATCGTGTCTCGAAGGAGGACCTTCTTACGGTTGAAGCAGATACATATTGGTGTCTCTCTAAACTTCTTGACGGTATCCAGGACAATTACATCCAGTCTCAACCGGGTATCTATCGACAAGTCATGAAACTTCAAGAGCTCACACAGCGCATCGACGTTGATTTAATAAATCATTTCAACGCTCAAGGAATTGAATTTATGCAGTTCAGCTTCCGATGGATGAACTGTTTACTGATGCGGGAATTTGCATTGCGACACATTATTCGTATGTGGGACACTTACATTGCTGAAGGCTTAACTGGAGTTTCAGATTTCCACGTATATGTTTGCGTTTCCTTACTCATTAAATGGTCGGAACAGCTTCAAACAATGGACTTTCAAGACTGTATTATCTTTCTACAGTCACCGCCTACCCGAAATTGGTCTGATAGCGAGGTTGAGGTTCTGTTAAGTGAAGCATACCTGTGGAAGTACTTGTTTAGCGATGCCTGTGCTCACCTCAAGTGAGAACTGTAATGATGATGAGCGCTGTTCTCAACTACTCGCTCCTATTGCTGCTGCTGCTCTTAATTCTCAAACCCTCTTTAGCCGGCAAACTATCCCACTCTTACCCTTCGTCTCTCTTTCTTCATCGTCACCACCCTCAGCTTCTTCCGTTCTCCGTCATATGAAATCTATTGCGTTAACTTTATGTGTGCTTTCTTATTCATTAAATAAACGAGGAATAATGCCCTACTCGTAGTAATTGAAGTATAGTGCTCCCCTTCGTCATCCATAACCTTGGAAATTTGTGTATGTGTGTTTGAACGAATGGAACAGTCAGTAGATGTGTACCAGCAGGGTTCCTCAGTTTTTACATAAAACACGTTTAGCAAAAATGTTTGTATGCGGCAGTGTTAGTATTATTATGCGGAAAAGTGTGTATGAAAGGAAATAAAGACTTCAGTGTGTAAGAATCAAAAAAGTAAAGGGGTAATAAGGAAACTGAAAACAAATAAAGAGAGAAAGTGTTTGAGTATGTTGATGCGTGTATGTGTGTGTGCGTGTGTGAGATAAAAAGGCTCCGCCCAAGCGAATAACCAGAAGTGCGTAGCATTAAATATTCAGAGAATGCAATTCCTTTGGGCTGAATTGCCTCTCCTAAAAAAAACTTTGGTTATGCGTCCCTTGCATACATATGAGGTCTACGACCACTTCCAATGGATCGCAATTTCCACAACAAAGGAGGGAGCCAGTGAAAGAGGAGAAAGATGAGAAGACCAAAGAAAACGAAAACAACCAGAACCAACGCAATCCGCCACTTGAAAGAGTGTCGCAGCATCATGGGAATCGTTCGAGAAGTACGTCGCACATGACCAAAAGCATATGCAGGTCGGTGGTAAGCATTGTGAGTGTATGGACTAAACATGTTTGAGTTGGCTGCATGACTGGCCGCCGGAACAGTCGCAGCCCAGTTCGTACGGACATTTGTGAGGTCCGTGTTCAGTGGTATAGAGGAAAACATGAAGGCTCGATAACCATTTGCAAGGCTTCGATTTCCTGTCACATCAGTTGCGCCATATGTGCTGTGTTGTGGTCGATTCATTGCAAAACGCAAAGACGACGCAGCTGATGATGTGGAGTTTGTGGGTGAAAGCTTTGCTGCTTCGATATTGGGCATGACATTGTTGTCGTACACAAAACTCTCCGTCTCTTCATCGTCTGCACATTCCTCCACAGCTGAAGCAACTTTAGCAGCAAAAACAGCAGATTTAGACCGATCTAAAATGTTAGACACAAGAACAAAACAAGTAATGAGAAGAACAGAGCATCATTTCGTTGAAAATCGTTCAAAATGAAAAAGTCAGGCACAAAACCGCATCTACAGCCCGCAGTTTCACAGACAACGAGTCGAGATCCACAGCTCACAGACTCAATAACCGTACCTGTCAGCAAATTGACCTTTGGCCTCTTGAAATGCTTCTTAGACCGAATTGTTTCCGTTGAAGTTTTCTTCGTAAAGGATGGTTGGATTTGTACTTGAGAAACAGCCTCCACCGTCTCCGTTTCCACAGACATTCGCACGCCCCGATTGTTCAACATGTTACTTAGTTCAACACTGAGATTAGAGCAAGGTTCATCACTAAAAAGGTGCTTTCATATGCCGAATTGGGAACGACGCGTTAACGTAGAATATGGTAAAGGGTAGGCGACACCACGTAATTTAGCCTGAACACCCACAGTCTGCATGACGTCAGGGATAAGTTTAAGCTCTAGTAGCAGTCACAAATACATCATGTCAACTCAACTCGACCGATGGGACCTACCAACTGCCAACACTCGCCTCCTTAACTTAAACCATGGCGTGTAGCTGAGGACTGCGCACTGGCGTGACGTACGGAGAAACTCCAAAGACGAGCAAAGCACAGGTAGGGACGCGTGTTGTAGACACTCCCTCTTGATATAAAACCACATTGAGATGCCGGGATCCTCAAGCAGAAGGGTTCTTCCGGTCCCTGATGACTCCACTGTCAGCAATTCATGTTTGGAGATATTATCCCTGCTCGTGAACGAACCGGTTTCCCTGAGAAACGAGCTTAATGACGCATCAACGTCGGTCGTCCAGGAGAAAGAAACCCGTGTCCTGCGTCTGTGGGCTGAGTACGAACAGCTGTTGCAAGAAAAACTATTCCACGAACGAGGTCCTGAATTTTCTTCTTTGACGAACGTTTCGACAACGTATCTTGGTTCAAACGTGCTACTGCAGGTTCTATGTGATGCACAGTCCACTGCGACTGTGCGTCAGCTGGACACTAGCCCACTGGGACTACTATCACTGTTGTCCCGACAGGCTGACCTAACGAAGTCGTGTCTTCAGATGCTTCATCGTGCGCAGGAAGAACGTGATCACGGCATTCGGCTAAGTGCGATGCTCCAGGACACCGTCGCAGAGTGTTCGGAATTGTACAAGCGAATCCAAATTACCTCTAGGAAGCAGGAGGCTGCGTCTCAGTCCATTGGGGACGTGGTTACACAATACCGGCAAGTCCGTGGTCGGTGGGAAGTGCTAAGAAATGTCGTCCAAACACTTGTGCTGGAAAGCGGTGTGGATTGGACCGACAACCCAACAATCATGGATATCATGAGTGCCGTTGGTGAACTTGAGTCGGACTTTGAGGACGCTTAGGAAAAAGGTATGTTAAATTGTTGAACTCCCCATGATGCTTTTGAATTTCTTCAACGGAGGCAGTGCACCAAGAAGTGCCTGTCGTTGGACGACAATGACACACTGAGGGTTTTTCGGCATTTTTTTTGCTGTTGATCAAAAACTAACATGAGCAGTTGCAGTATTCTTCCGAGAGCTGAATCTAGCAGTTGCAGTATCTCTACTGAGCGACCATTCGTTGGGCGTCGCTTACGTTATAGCTTACTCATAAAATCACTTTCAACAATTTTATCTGGAGGTTTAATTCAGTACAGCGGTGCGAGTGTGGCAGCCGTCGTTGATAATTGAAGTTGTGTATCTGGTGGAATAATGCGTAACTGGCTGGTCGTATGGGACACGGTCCTTTCCGCTGGTTTTTTACTTCAGTTCCTTACAAGATTATGGGCGGGAGATGTTAACAGGTTTAGTCGGTCGTCTAAGGAAGAATCGGGTTTTTGTGAACACAGCAATCCTTGCATGGTAATTTGCTGCCTCAGTGGGTGCTTGTAGAGGAAATGAAAGAGTGGATGCGCCTGTAGCAAGCAGCACGACAAAACAAAACGGTATGGAACATGGCTTTTTCAAGAGCAATTTTACGCTTTAGACTTTTGGGCATTACCGGCATCGCGGGAACGATGCTCGTAGGAGGAGCGGTTTTTGTTCATAGGACGGTAACCACGCTTTTGGTTGCCATTACGATCATCCGAAGATTTACGGTCGTTCATCTTCATTCTGTTGGGGAAGATGCGACGACGCTCCTCAATTTGCAGCGTGCCGCTGGGAACAGCGAGCGAACCGGCAGCAAGAGCAACAGGAACGGAAGCAGCGTCGACAAACTCGATGTAAGCAGTACCCTTCTTACGAGCGTATTCGAGACCCTTCACAGCACCAAATGCGGCCATATGGGTCTGGACGGTAGCGGAAGACATGTCAATGGGAATGTTCTTCACGAACACAGACGTCTCCGTTGTCGGAGGGGCAGCGACACCGTTCATCGAGCGAGGCGTACGCTCAGCAGGAGCAACGGGAGCAGCGGTGGCTCCTGGAGCGACAGAGGTGGCAGCGGGAGTTTGGAAGGAAGGGGCGGGAGCGGATACAGGGACAACGGGCTCGACAACGGTGGTTGTGTGCTTAGGCTCGTGGTTGCGTGAAATGAGTTTGGCCCACGTTTTGGGAGTTGCGGGTTTCTGCTCAGAAACCACAGCAGCAGCAGCAGCAGCAGCAACCGTAGAACTAGCAGGTACAGCGGAAGGGGCAGTAGAAGCAGTGGTAGTGGAAGCAGTCATTGCTGGAGTGGCAGCGGCCTGCTCAGGAACAGTTTCCTGTTCCTTGAGAACAGCGGTATCAAGCGCAGTCGTCTTGGGAGCAGTTCCAGCAGCAGCAACATCAGTGCTCGGAGTCTTCGAAGCGATGATGTTGTCAGCGACAGCAGTAGTAGCGGCTACCGGTGTCTCGGCAGCATCAACTGCTACGCTTTCTTCCTTTACCTCGGGTTCAGGAGCAGCGGCTGGGGCCACGACTTCCTCCTCCTCCTCAACGTCCTCGCGCAAAAACCGGAAAATGTCGTTCAAGACAAAGTAGCCGTTCGGTTGCTCAGCGAGAAAAAACGTTTGAGCAAACTTTCGCGAGAGACGTCCCTTGTTAGACATCTCACCGAGGACTTGAATAACAATACCGCCGTTCGAAGAGGCGAGACTGTCAACGTTCGAGATAAGGACCTTACAGTTTTGAAAGTCCAAATCGACGATTTTGTTATGAATCTCCTAAACCATAGTTAGTTTCGTGCTCAAAGCGACGGTCAAGGTAGACAATGAGGTTTTAGGGGAAAAGATACAAAGAGAAAAGCATCCCGGTAAAGACTTGTGTGCATGATCCGTTGAAAGACATGACCAAAAACACATCGGTTTTGTCTAACCTCACAAAAATCTACACCCCCTCACATCACGTTCCCTCCGAGAAGTATACTCACCTGCTGACCATGGCAAGAGTTAACGCTCTCACCCTCCTCACCATGAACCAAGGTCGAACGTTTCGTGTAAAAGCACTAACCCGTTAGTAATTACTCGACTTCTAAACAGACGACCGCTGTTTCAGCGAAAAACGCGTCCGTGCGTCTGAAAACCCCAAAACAAGGCTGAGAACGAGTCCGAACTTACATGAAGACGGCTGGGCTCCTTGTTTAAATATGTGTAGTATTCCTGCACAAACATCCAGCCAATTTCGTCTTTTCCAAGCACCGTTTCCACGGGAACAGAAGCATCTGTTGGTGTTTTAGAAGCGGATTGCTGTTGAACGTGAGCCATGATCTATTTTGAAGGAGTTGAAGGTGTGAAGAAAATTGTGTACCTGCTACATAGGTAGAGCCTGGGCAGCTGGATTGAGTAGCGAAGATGTCCGGGAGTTCGCCGAAAAGCGGCGGTGTTCACCGCGGTGTGGTGTGTAAGATGGCCGAAGCGTAGCCGAAAGAGTGGGCGAGGAAGTGAACAAGAAGAGAGATGCGAGGGCGGTTGCACGTTGTGCTTGTACACCGAATACGCAGCTTTGCCGCAAGCCGTCGCTCGTCGTGCTGCAAACAGCTTCCTCGGAGTTCTCCGGCACTCGATGTGTCTTTCTCGGCTTTTTTCGGTGCCTTTTACTGCCTTCTCGGGAATGTTTCGGTCTCCGGAAGAACTCCGCTCGGCCACCTCGGTCAACTTCCTTAGCATACAAGTGTAGACCTGTCTTTCCCCATCATGGCAAAATTGGGCGTTATGGATGTTAAGCTGTATGCAGAGCCGAAGCCCGCCGAAAAACCCGAGGTTGAGGAGTCTGATTCTTCGGATTCAGAGGCTCCCGAGGAGGTTTCCGTGAAATCAACCGCTCAGGCTATACACGACGAGCAAGAACGTTTGTCTCGCCATGTAAAAGCGTACGTGTTATAGCTTTCAGACACTGGACATTCGTACTGACCCCTACAGACTAGAACAATCTGCAAAGGAGCGCCGTCGTGCCGTCCAGGAGCAGAATCGCTTACAAAAGCTTACGAAAGTAAACGCGCAAAAACTGGACCTGAGTGTCCTCCAGTCGGCCGAACTCGAGGAAGAACAAGAAGAAGATGCGGAGGAGGACGAGGACGACTTCTCAGAGGCTGCTGACGAGCAGGTCATGCCCACACGCATCGTGTTTCCCGAAGAGACGAAACGTCGTCGCACCCGAGTCCGCAAAAAGGGTGCTTTTCGCGTCGCCGTCCTGCCGTCTGGACGTGAGTCTGTCCTCCCTCCCGCGAAAGAGGTCCGGATGGCTCAGAAAAAACAAAACTGGCTCAACAAGCACGCCAACCGCCGTCCTGCACGGAGGCCTCTTTCTTGGTAAATTCCTTTGCCTTTAAGGAGCTGGGTCGCACCGTGCTCCAGCACGGTGCACCTCAGAATCTAAAAATACCGAACAGGAACAAAGTGCATTAGCGAAATAGTGTGCTGCACTAAGTATTCTTGTTTATCTTAGTGAGCTTGTGCACTGCACACACTGTTGCATTATCTCTCGCTATTCCTCACACTAGTTCACTGGCTCTCGTTGGAATATATCTTTCCACCACCAACTCAGCTCTGCCTTCGCTTTCGCAGCAGCATGTCAGCTCAGGATGTCAACAAAGCGGTGCAAATCGCGCTTGACGCGAGTGCTGATCCAGCTATAAAGGAACAGGCAACGTCTTTTCTAAACTCGCTAAAGGATACTGCAGGAGGATGCACGCTCTGCTTGGAAGTATTCAGCAGTGGTCAGACATCAGACGCCTCTACGCGTCTTGTCGTGCTGCAGCTGCTCGTGGAGGCAGTACGCTCTGGAACGGTGCTGTCTGTGTTTCCTGACTTTTTGAAAGTGCTCCAGGAGAAGCTTTGGGCGTATATTCTCGCGAGACAGTTCGTCGGCGAGCCTCCCTACATAAACAATACTCTTCAGCATCTTCTGTCGCTTTTGCTCGTTCGGACATACCCACAACAGTGGCCGGACTTCTTCAGCGGCTTTCACACGCTCATTGACGGCGTTGGCACCGGCGCAGGCGACGCAGTTGTTGAGTTTTACGCCAAGACATTGCTTGCTATCGGTGAGGAGATTGGCGACGTGCTGACTCCTCATACTTCTGAGGAAATGCAACGCATTGCGGATGTCAAGGACGCTATACGGTCGAACGATGTTTCCAACATCATCTCTCATGTTTATAATACCATGCTTCGAAGCAGTGAAGCGAACAAAAACAATCTTGTCGAACTGTGTCTGCAAGTGATCGCAAATTGGGTCTCGTGGATCGACATCAATTTTGTTGTGAATGAACCATTTTTGAATGCTCTGTATTCCTTCCTTCAGTCCAACGATTTGCGCAACACGACATGCCGGACCCTGGTGGAGATTGTTTACAAAAAAATGAAACCGCCCGAGAAGCTTAATATCCTAAATCTTCTAAACCTCAATTACTTCATATCTCAACTGCGTCAACAAAGCGAGGCTGACCCTGCGTTCGACGAGGAGTTGGCCAGGCTTGTTAATGCCCAAGGCGTGGAACTTGTAAACATCTGCTTGAATGCTAGCTCGGCGGGTTTGGGGGCTGATGCAGTTGAGTCGGCTTCGGCTCTGCTCTCCCAGACTTTGGGCCATTTGATTTACTATTTATCTAACGAATACGATGAGACTTCAGAGGCGGTGTTTCCGTTCCTCACAGACGTACTTACCATGTTGCGTAAGGAAGCTTCCGGCGCAAAAACCATGGACAGCACACGCCAAGAGCTGTTGGTGTCGATTCTGAACGCCGTAGTGAAGAAGATGAAATACGATGATTCGGAAGAGTGGGACGACGATGCTGAGAGTGAGGAAGAAGCCGAGTTCCTCGAACTTCGCAAAAAGCTTAAAACATTCCAGGACGCCATTGGCGCTATCGATAGCAAACTGTACAATGAATACATGTACGACGCCATTAGCACTAGCGTTACCAATGCGGCGTCTATGTCTGCAGGCCGGTCCTGGCAACTCATGGAGTTTGCGTTGTTCGAGCTTTACATTTTTGGAGAGGGCGTCAAGGGCTCCGCCGCATTCATTACTGCCGACAAGCAGCCCACAAACCTTTCTCGTTTGCTGGCGTTAGTGATTGGCGCCAATGTCTGCTCGGCGTGCCCGCATCCTCTTGTCCAAATGCTATACATGGATATCTTGGTGCGGTATGCTGGTTTCTTCGAATACGAGCCCAAACTTGTGTACCCTGCGGTCGAGTTTTTCTTGAGCGATATGGGTATTCACAGCACAAACACCAGAGTCTGCGTACGCGCTTGGTATCTGTACTACAAGTTTCTGAAGTCGGTCCCAAGACACATCCCCGAGTTCGCTGCTGTGGCTTTAAAGATGCAAAGCGACTTGCTCACTGTCTCCGACAACAACATCAATCCAGCTGACTTCCCTCAAAGTAGCATTGAAACGCTTGTCCGGCAATGCTCCTTTAATTCTCGTCTCTACCTATTTGAAGCTGCCGGTATTCTTGTCTCGGGATCCAGTCAAGCACTCTCAGACGCAGACAAGTCAGCGTTCTGCGACTCGTTAATCAGTACATTACAGAACCAACTGACGCAGGGATTGAGCAGTGGCCTGGATTCGTTCGATAATCTTGTACGTGTTTACTGCTCCATTCTGGCTATTGGTAATCTTGCAAAAGGGTTCCCACCTTTCTCTGATCGGAGTGGACCTTGGGTTTCTTGTTTCAATACAGCCGCCGAGGTCTTGTTTCAGGCGCTGCAGGCTTGCAGTACTGTTGTTGATATACGTACGGCTACTCGTTTTTCGTTTGCCAGAATCGTTTCCGTTTTGGGTCCAAGCATGTTACCCAAGATTCCACAACTGGTAGATTTGTTGCTCAGTTCCATCACAACAGACGAGCTAACAGATTTGCTGTCATTCCTCGGTCAGCTGTCACACTTGTACAAGGCTGAGCTGGTTTCGGTGATCAACAGTCTGCTGGGTACGCTCTTAACACGCATATTCGCCAGTCTTGCGCAACAACCACAAGGAACCGATGATGCTATTAAACAGAATGACTTGCGGAAATCGTATGTTGCCTTTCTGGTGATGCTCGTTAACCGTGGCTTCTCCCAAGTGTTCTTTACCGAACAAAACCAGCAGTATTTTGATGGAGTTTTACAAAGTGTTTTACACTTTGCCAATAGTATTGGCGATCCTTCCATTCAGAAAAGCTCAATTGCTCTACTAAGCAAGATGGTTGTTATGTGGGGCGGTGATGGTGGAATTGGTGGTTTTGAAACGTTTATGTATTCTTCATTATTGCCATTGTGTTTTGAAATGCCGTTTAATCAGTCCTTCAATGTTAGTGATGGTATGTCACACGTGGTATTGGGCGAGCTTGCCTTGTTACAAAAATCAATCCTTCAGGTGAAGGGCCCAAGTTTTGTGGAGTATTTGACATCCGTTTATTTTCCTTCAGTCAACTTTCCTCAAGCTCTTGTAGGAGAGTATGCGGAATCGTTAACGACACTAGCCGATCGGGCTTTCAAGCAATATTTTCAAAAGTTTATCCAGTCCATGAAAAACTAAAGATTATTAGAAGTGTGTTTTACAACAGGCACACTTAGGTTTAACTAAAAAAGAAGAAGACGTCTATTGCCTTTTCGGAAACTACATCAATCATTCGTGAGGGGTACTCACACACACACATTTGAAGAAGGTCCTAAGACCTTCGTATCGTCGAATGGAAAAGAGGGTGATGTTGTAATTCGGCCGCTGTTTTTTCCTACAAAACTTGTGGTTTATAGCATTTGATGGCTAATGTGACACTGGGAGTTCTATTTAAAACATAATATTTGTGTAGCGAAGAACATATATTCGACCGCGAATTTTCACATTACATTTATGCATATAGCTTTTGTATCTGCTTTTGTTCATGAAAACAATCTTTAGAAGGCGGAGGCTATCATTTTCATGGAACACATGTGACCCTCTTAGCATACTAAGCATCAATTGTGAGCGATACCATGCATGCGGCTTTCAATTCCTCTATTTTACATAAAAGTTTTAGTAACTGATTTATTCTTGTAAGGGAAAGCTTCCGACGATAGAATGGAGCAGGGACAAGCATTGCATTACCTCAATTCGATTTGTTTTCATGTCGTGTTTGTTTACGACGCGTCGCGTATTTCATATACAGGTATAATTCTCTATTGCGTGTCTCGCCCTAGTTGACGCTCGCCGTCTTGGGACATGCCAAAAACCACGACTTTTGCAAGCTCAATCGTGTCATTAAACAATTGACGATCAGAAGAAAATAATGTTTGTTACAGAGACCGATAACGACGCGTTGAATTTTAGAATCTCCGCTACGAAGGCCGGTTACATTGAGGACCCCTATGTGCTTCATTTCCAAAACCGAAACTCGTTACCAAGACCACCATTAATCAATCGTGGAACATTTGTTAGAACATGGTCTATTGATGCTCTTTGTGAAGAGTTTATTCTTCGTGTACCTGGAATGAAACAGATTATTTCACTTGGTGCCGGTACTGATACTCGAGTTTTTCGCTTCCTTGTAAGCACGTTCTTCTTTTTTAAACATAAATACACCCGCTCTAACATGTTTACGTGTAGGCAAAATACGGTCCTTCCAAGTTTGTGTACCATGAATTCGATTTTCTTGTCAATTGTGTCAAAAAACTACGCGTCATTTCTCGACACAAGGACATGTCAGACCTTTTGGGGGGACCTGATGGTTTTAAGATTGGTATGCTTGTGGATTCATTGCCTTGGATCGATCATTTTTGTTAACAGATTATTAAGATGCTCGACAAGGTACCCTCCGTTCCGCTTCCTATAACCTTACTTCGATGGATATTAATGACCTTGCGAAGCAGCCCCTGTTAGAGCACATACGCCCAGACCTTCCGACCATTCTGCTCTCCGAATGTTGTCTGTGCTATCTAAGTGTCGGCGGTGTAGACGCCATCTACCAGTGGGCTACGTCTACTTTTCCCTCTTTAATGACCATTATCTATGAACCAATCCGAAGCTCTGACCCTTTTGGTGCCATGATGGTTCGAAACCTGAGTGTAAGTGAAGAAAAACCCGATACAGCAGTTTCATATGGACCTGGTCAGTGCTAACACTCATCAGGCTAGAGGTATTACGATGCCTACTCTTTCTCATTATGACACACCTGATGATCAAAAGAAGAGAATGCGCGAATACGGCTTCTCTTTCTGTAATGCTCTTGATTTTTATGAAATTGAAAAGCAATGGTTTTCACAGGAACTTGTTAAACGTTTGAACCATATAGAAATGCTTGATGAACTTGAGGAATGGGCTCTTTTGGCTTCCCATTATTGTCTTGTTTATGCTATCTCCAAGAAGTGTGAAGAATCAATAAAACAAAACAAGGACTTGTCCGACCACAATACCAAGTTATTCCCGTTTTAGGTATTGTATATTGTTTCAATCCCGCACTTTTTGAATCCACGGTTCTCCCGCGGAACGTCCGTGGAAACCACTTCGTTCTTAGACGATCCGTTGAAAACGGAATACTGAAAAACTATCAAAAACCGCGCGTATTTTTGCAAAGAATGCAAAATCTTGTCTCTGTACAAGAAGAGCCTGGCGCAGGGCTCGGTCTTGGCGTTACAGCTGATATTGAACGAGGTACGGTCGAGGGATGCTGACGCACCTGTTCTAAAGCAAACTAACATTTCCAAAGGCGAATGTCTTTTAGAAAAGCGACTTGATCTCTATGTGTTAAACAATGAGCTTCTGAATGAGGCATGTTCGTACTGCTGTTCGCAAACGAAACCAACAAAACGATGTGCAGCTTGTAAACAGGTTCACTATTGTTCAAAGGTATCCCAGAACAAAAGGAAGGAAAGGGAGTAGCAGCTAACCGTCAAAAATTTAGATATGTCAAAAACAAGACTGGTCAATGCACAAATTAGAGTGCAAGGCATTAAGAAACGCATCTACAAATGGCTTGCTACCAACCGTCTGCCGGTTACTGATTCGACTCTACAGCCAAACTCAAAAAGATCAATCTCTGTTTGCAGATTGCAAGGATCATGAAGCAGAAATTCAACACAACACAGCACTTTGGTCGGACGCTGAATTGATTTCCTCTGCTGCTTCACATTACACCGAAGCAAGGGATGTAAATGCATTTCTTTCCCTGTTCTGCAAGCTCTCTATTAATGCCATGAGTTTGGTAACTCCAGCCTTTGATGCCATTGGTACGTGCATGGATTCTACGCTTGCTCGAATCAATCACTCATGTCAACCGAACTGCGTTTTCATGGTCGAAGGCGCGACAGCTCGATTGGTTGCTTTGCAAACACTTCAGAAGGGCGATTTTGTGCATATTTCATACGTGGATACAACGCTGCCATATAATGTCCGAACCAATGAGCTGCAGCAAAAGTATTTTTTCACTTGCACTTGCCAAAAGTGCATGGAGGAAGCCCGGCGAAGTGACAATGAACATGGAGTCACTTATGTTTCCTTGGAAAAGGCATCTCAAGGTTCGCTCGAGGATTGTCGCTTTGCTCTCAAGACCTTACGCGATAATCACTGGCCTATGACCAAGTATCCCTGGCTGAATATTCTGAACACGTTTAAGCTATATTCTCTTGAGACTGGTGCTTACGACGCTGCCTTTGCGGCTGAATTTCTCAAGGTTACATGTGATGATATAAGCTCCCCTATTTATGCTATTGATTTGTACCAAGTCTTTTTGCTTGGTAAATTCCTCTGTGAAGAATACTCCATGAATGTTAATCGTGAGCCACATTCGAAAATGATTTTGGGTGTTAAAAATATAGAAAGGGACTCACTATTACACTGGTTACTACTAAAGTCAGAATGGCTAGAATCCAACGTTCTGGTAACACATAAGGATACCGAATTCGGAAACCAAGTTGTTCGCAACGTAAGGGAATTCCAAGCTGATTATCAGAAAGCAAATCCAAATCTTCCGCCGTTAGATTTGGAGTCTTTTGAATCCGCACTTAAAGAACGTACCTTGGACATTGTCTGTAATTGAGTCTGACTCTCAACGTCTCTTGAAATATTTAGATAGATCTAAAACTAAGAATACCTCGGCACTAATTTCGAGGGCCTTGATGCTGTTATAAATGCTGTAATTGATAGGATTAATCAATGGGATTATAATACTTATTTATTTCTGCTTTAAAGCTGTCCTGTGCAATGAAGCCCAAAGTTTTGTTTTGTCTGAACCCGCTTCACCAATGATTTTTCGTCATAACCTTCGAAACAAACACGATTTAATTAAGCACCATGAAATCAATTGGAACTAATCTTTGTAGATTCATTGACTTTTGCATTAAGTTTTAGCCGTTTTCAAGTTGTTTCACATTTTTCGTTCCATTCAAGGAAGCACAACCTCATCAAGCACTTGATCACTTCCAGTGACTTCAAATGCTTGCAAATCGCTTGAAATACCTAAACTAGCAAGAGCTAGGTGTATTATCTGTACTTCTTAATGAATATAGCAAGTTGCTATTGTTTAATCTTACTCGTTTAGAGAATTCTTGCTTTCATTTTTCCAAGTGTATCTGGGCTTCATTGATACAGTCTTGTTCGGAGTCTCGTCCTCTTATTCATGCTCAATATACGATTCCTATGATTACCTTGTGCAAGAATTAAACTGAAATCGTTCTGTTTGTTTGTAGCATTTCTATGTTAAAAAATAGAGCCGCTAGCGTTTTACTAGTTCGTGCCTCTTGGAGCGCAAAAACTTCAAATGTAGCCATTTTTCAAGGTGCTATAGTTGCTACCGTTGTGGGAAAAACATGTCTACGTTTTTATTCAACAACTATACGCGAATCCCATGCAGAAACAACTGAATCTCGTCGCATAAACTCTGTCGGTATTCAATATCTTTCTCCGGCTCTACAGACCCAGATATTCCCAGGGGAAAAAACAGTTCCTTCAAAGGTGCTGGAACAACTTTCCCAACTGCATTTGACACAGCACCATTTACTTGGAAAGAAAAGTACACGTTTTCCTGTTTACAATTTCTCCCTTCCTCCATTGCAAGGAAAAAGCTTAACTGAGCATTTTAAAAAAATTGGGGAATGCTTTGCTGAACCTCACTTGTCTCGAGCAAAGGCTTTAGCCTCCATAAGTCTTCCTTCCATACCAACTTCGATACGTGTTGCTTCTGGATGGACTCGCTATGACAGGGAAGGAAATGTAGAACCAGTTCCCTATCCTATGGAAAATGAGATTGTCTTTGATGTGGAAGTACTTTATAAAATATCCCCTTTCGCGGTAATGGCATGTGCTGCTTCTGAGAAAGCTTGGTATACCTGGTTATCTCCTTGGCTGTTGGAGGAAAGTAAAAATGACCGAAATTTGATACCCATGAACCCTGCTGGTCACTTAATTATTGGCCATAACATCAGTTTTGACCGGAAAAGAATTCTCAATGAATACAGCCTGCAAGGTTCAAATAATTTCTTTTTAGATACTATGTCATTACACATAGCGACGCATGGAATGTGTTCCCGACAGCGCCCTACTTGGCTTAAAGTACAGAAGGAGCGTAAACTTTTGGAACAACTTAATGATGAGGATTTATTGGATGAAGATATTATGGATTCTCATTTGTTTCTTTCGAACTTGGTTGAAAGTGACCCATGGCTTAATCATTGTGCAACAAATTCGTTAAAAGAGGTTGCAAAGTTTCACTGCAACATCGATATGAATAAAGCCGTGCGTGATGAATTTGCTACTTTGGACAAAGCAGAAATCTTGAAGGATTTACAAAAGCTGGTTCTTTATTGCGCAAACGATGTTGACACGACACACAAAGTTTATGCCAAAGTATTTCCTAGATTTGTCGAAGTTTGTCCACATCCGGTGACCTTTGCTGCAATGTTAAGATTATGTAGCTTATTCCTTCCCGTTAACTCTTCATGGCCGGCTTATGTGGAAAACTGTGAAAGGATATTCAAGGAGGTTAATGAACATGTTTGGCATCATTTACTGCAGTTGGCGCAAGATGCTTTGGATACCCAGAAGAAGGATCCCGATGCAGTGAAAGATGACCCCTGGCTAAGTCAATTAGATTGGTCATCATGCAATCTTCACAGAAAAGTAAAGGATCAACCAGCTCCTCCTGTTGTCCCTAGATGGTACAAGCAAGTGTATGACACGAAAAAAAAGAAGATAATTATTACTCCAAAAACTCGTTTAGCACCTATTCTCTTAAAGCTTCGTTGGCTTAATCACCCGCTCGTTTGGTCTAATGAACATGGCTGGACCTTTTCCGTCGAGAAAGACGCTGTCAGTGAAATAAAGCAGCTGCTTGATCGAAAGTATGTTCTGTGCGAGATTTCACCTACTAAAGATCCAAACATGGATTCGGTAAACTACACTTTTTTTAAGGTTTCTCACAAAAATGGAGCAGCTGCAAGGTGCTGTAATCCTTTAACAAAGTCATACCAAAAGTACTTTGAAAATGGTACCCTTTCTTCCGAATTCCAACTTGCAAAGCATGCGCTTTCGATGAACGCTACTTGTTCTTATTGGAGCAGCGCGAGAGATCGGATTAAAAACCAAATGGTTGTGTGGAATTCAGACCTTGAACAGAATATCGATAAGCGACAACCCAAAGATCTTGGTCTTATCCTTCCTTCAATTATCCCTATTGGTACCATTACTCGACGAGCAGTTGAAAATACATGGCTAACTGCATCAAATGCCAAGAAGAACCGATTGGGTTCAGAACTCAAGGCAATGATCAAAGCACCGAAGGGTTATTGTTTCGTCGGAGCAGACGTTGATTCAGAAGAATTGTGGATTGCTTCTTTAATCGGCGACTCCCAGTTCGCACTTCATGGAGCAACAGCTTTAGGATGGATGACTCTTGAAGGTGAGAAGTCTGAGAAAACAGATTTGCATTCAAAAAGTGCAGACATCTTGGGTGTTACAAGAGATGCAGCTAAGATCTTCAATTATGGCCGTATTTACGGTGCAGGCTTAAAGTTTACCGTTCAATTGCTTCAACAATTCAACAATTCTTTAACTGAAGAAGATGCCGTTAAGTTGGCTACGAATCTTTACAACTCAACAAAAGGTGTCAGCAAACGGATACGGATTGAAAAGAATAATGGAGTTAAAAGGGAAAACATCTGGGCAGGTGGCACCGAGAGTTTTGTCTTTAATAAATTGGAAGAAATGGCCGAGGCTCATTACCCTCGTACTCCCGTTTTGGAAGCCGGAATTACAGAAGCTCTGCTCTCAAAAAATCTTCCTCGCCGTTCGTACATGACATCGCGTATTAATTGGGCTATTCAATCTTCCGGTGTAGACTATCTCCATCTTTTAATCATCTCCATGGAGTATCTACTTAAGTATTTTGGTATCCATGCTCGGCTTGCCATCACAGTGCATGACGAGATTCGCTATTTGACACCGTGGGAGGAGCGTTATCGTACAGCGTTTGCTCTTCAAATTGCCAATCTTTGGACTAGAGCATTCTTCAGTCATCGACTGGGTATTAATGAACTTCCACAATCGGTTGCGTTCTTTTCAAGTGTCGACATTGATGAAGTCCTACGTAAAGATGTTCAAATGGATTGTGTGACTCCATCAAACCCGATTCCTATTCCTCCAGGGGAAGCTCTCAACATTGATGCTTTACTACAAAAGCTTTCTTCTGAACATGCCCAGTATAAAGGGCAACCACTCATACAACCGTTCCATACGCCTCCTGATTTCTACACAATAAAGTCCAACCCACGACCCGTTACGAAAACAGAGATCGCATATGTAAAGTCTCAGATTGTTGGAAACACGTTAAGTAACCGAAAAAACACCCCTCTTTCGAGAAAACCACATACATCCGTTTAACCTGTTTTCCATGTCTGCTTAAATAGAAGTTTAAATATAATATTGAAGGAAGAATGTAAGAGAAAGTCATATGAAGTTGGATACATGACACTGCTTTTAATGTAACTGCAGTCTAAATGAATATAAACACATTGGTTTCAAATTTAACATCAACGGATACTAGCTTCCCTCATGAAAAAGAACGTAATGGGCCCAACCATGTTCTTCTTTAAGATCGCCCTAAACACGCCGACAAGCATAGCCGTAGACCCAATACATTAGACGAAATATTAATTGGGAAGAAGAACACATGAAAATATACGTTGTCTAGAAGCATGAATCCTGAGAATGGCACGAAGGGTTTGGTCGATAGAAAACAAAACAAAAAGGAGGCAATGCGAGTAAATGCTTATGTATGAGGTAGGTTACGCAATTGTAGATAATGAGATCGACGCAAAACTTTAACGAGAGGATAATTGAATACGGCTAGCAACCGGACTGAGGTTACCTGTGGACTTATCAATGGCTGCTTTCAGAGCACCAACCCACATAACCAACGACTGTTCATCGTGTACGCGGAACTCAATTGGCTTCAGCTTAGTAATTACCGTAAAAAAAACCTTGTGAGCTTTCGGAGAAATGTTGATCTCAGCAACGTCTTGAATTTCTTTTATGGAAATGACTTTCAGTGGTTTGTATTCGTCTTCAGAGGTGTATAAAAATAATCCACTGCCGCGAACCACGGCCCAGCTCTTTGACCAGTGATGGATGCTTCCATGGAGCCAGTGGACAGGTCCCTGCATGAGTACCTTGTTTTCATTAAGTAATTTCATAAGATTTTGGATTGAGGCTGAACGATTGTGTCCCGACATACAGGCCATTCGGGCAGCATCGATGTCCTGCAATCGTGCGTGAGAACTCTCAGGAGGCATAGACTGTTTGCTGACTTTAATTAGATCATACAAGGACATTGGACCACTTTGGGCGGGTTCAGTAGCCGCTGAATTTTCGGAAATGGAAGGATTAGTATGTACATTGTCGTGTTCATGGCCAGATAAGTTAATTAAGCACAAGCTGGCAGGGTAGTCGCAAACAGGAGCATGGTATCCTGTTGTCATCCGTAGTTGTCGGACCCAGGCTTCAGCCAGGTCTACAGATTCAGCACCAAGACGAACAATTTTGTCGTTAATGTAGAGATAAAACGCTAGGCTTAGTTAGTAAGAGCTTAAGAGAACTATAACAAACGACTTACATTTGGGATGCTTGTGCTTGTAATGAGCAATGGCTGAGATGTCTTCATTCGAAATTACTTCCTTTGATTTGTATTCCTGAAGCAAGAGTTAAAACACATTCACAGGAGTAGTTCTCCACGTACCTGTTCGTTTTTGTAAAAGGTAAGCTTTTCTGGTCTAAGAACGACCCAAATACGCTTGTTCTGTAAAGGTCAGCAACATCTCAATTTACCAACTATTTGCTCAAAAATGCATACATTTGTCGTTCCTTTCTTAACAAGCCAGCCAGAAATTAGAGCTTGCTCTCTTTCTGGAAGTCTAATTGCTTCGCTAGACCTCATTTGATACTGTAGTTTGTCATGTAATACGAAAACTCAACTTCGGCGAAGAATAGGATGTTTCACAAGTGTAACGAGTTTTAGAGAAAATCGGACGAAAGAGGGATGTTATCTCAGTCTCAAGAAAGCAATTCGGTAGGTCCTACACTTCAAATTGCTAAAAGAAACCATATACCCGTATTCGTCGTGGTAGGTAGAGTCCAAGTTTTGGCGTACACAAGACCGTTTGCAATAAACACAGAAAAAGCAGGAATCAAATCTTTAAGTCAACAGAATGATTAGACAAATGACACGGTCGAAAGAAATGGACTTGTATAACGAAAAAAAAGGTCTTTTCAACAATATTAAATACACACTACCTAAAATGCATCTTCAAGATGTCATATAACAAACCAAAATACCATTGGCAAATCAACATAGCTCATAAAATGTATCATTGTAGCCGTACGCCAAACAAATACGAAAGTATGTAAGGACATGCGGAAGAAAATCGATGCTAAACATAACGTGAATACACGCCATCTGCTATATATACCTCTAGACTTCCGTCTGTATTTGCTCTTCAAGCATTATCAGAGAGTTTATCTTCTGTAGAGCCAGCTCAAGACACTCTTTCTTATGCTGAAGTCTTAGTTGTGAAGCAATTCTGGGATTCTCGTTAACAAATTCCGACAATTGCTGAGGTGTTAGAGAATGAATCAAACGGGAATCAAGTTCCCGAGGAAACTGGTGATAAAACTCAGAAAGTAGCTCTATGTTTATAAACAGAACAGCGGTGTTCACGAGTTTATTCGAAACAACGTCTAGAAATATTTCAGGGCAAGAATACCTGGCCTCCTTGTGTTTACATGTCCGAGATTGAATGGTAGAGAGACGCAAACGTAAGAGGTGTTCGCGCATCCGTAAAAAGATCGCCATTCGTCCTTGCTGTAGAGCAGCGGCACTGTGAACAGACTCTGGGGATTCAGAGGCAACTTGATTTTGTTCAAGGAAACGGATAATCTGATTAAGACGTTGACTACCAATGGAAGTCTTGATCTTATTATATGCGTCTCGGCAAAGTTTCAGCTCATGGTTCAATAATTCCTGTGCATGAACCCGACTATTACTCCACTCCGTATCGTCCACTTCAACCTCAAACTTGTAAGGCTTAACACAGTTTTCCACTTGTTCAGACGTGCTGTGGTACCGACGACGAAGGATCTCCGCACAAGAATTGGAGATGAATTGCATCGCAGTCGGGTGGTCACCAAAAGGGCTTGCTGCTGCCAAATCAAGCACACGCTTCGACAAGACATCGGAAACGAGAAGCGTAGCAAATCGACCCAGACCCATGCGTGTCAATGTCGACACCGAGCTGTCCAGTTTATATGACCAGTAGCCATCAGCAACGCTTCGATCACCCGTTGTCCATTTTTCAAGCTTATCATCCATCCAATAACGCTCAGCGAGTAAATCCATCACTTTGTTGTCAAGAGACTCCCTCAGTAACTCACGGACTTGCTGCTTACCAAATGTCTCTGAGAATTCTTTGAAACCCGCTTTCAGAACATCTAAGCTTTCGGCTACATACGACTGTGCTGTCAGCTTTCTATCATTGTATTGCACCTTCAGTTGGTAAAGAGATTCCTCCAATTCTAAACGAATGGTATCCGCTGTCGTTTGAAGGCTTTTCGACATAGAGTACTCCAGCACGTTGATCAACGTTTTTCGCAAATTACGAACACCCAATGTATTGACATTCGACATAGACCGAAACGCAGGGGAGGAAGAGAAGTAACGATCCTCTTGACGGGAGACAGCATCTGTTAAGTTGCGATTGTGCTGCCACGACATGTTTCTGGGAGCCTTAGCAACAACGCCGACATAGCCGTAGTTTAGTGGGTAAAGATTATTTTGAAGAATTTGAACAGCTTGTTCTGGAGTCACCAAATCTGTTTTTGTGATCACACCAATAGTACGCAAACCCAATGGATCTACTCTCCGGCTTGCTTTAAGGGCAGTGGAGTTTGCTAAATCCACATCCGCTGCGCTGACAGACAAAATGATGTTGGGTTCTTGGATGTACTTGTCACACAGCCGTTCAATTTTTTTCTCCAAATCCGTAGGCTGATCTTGAGCGGATATTTGAATGTACCCCGGGAGATCAATTAATGACAAGTCGGGAATGTTAGGTGAATGTATTACAAGACGGATGGGGTCATCACTAACACCTTCTGATGGAGGGACAGCCATGTTCAAGTCTGTCAATGTTCGTTGAATCTTTGTAAAATCCGTCAAACGACCCAAACTGAGGTTAGGGAACTCGCCATAGGGAGTCATAGTTTCAGGAGAATGCACGAGAGTAAGTTCAATTGGCCGCCTTGTAACCATATTGGTTCCCTTCGGTAAGAATTCGTGACCAACAAGTGCTTCAAGCACACTGCTCTTTCCACTGCTCTGAGCACCAATAACAACGATGTTAGGTAAAGCAATATTGTTCTTCTCATCATCAATTTCCTGTAAGATGTTGCGAATCTCAATCATTTTCTTTGTAAATAAGAGCATTCTATCGTCTTTTCCATTTCCATCACCACTTGCATCTGAAGTCTGTTGCTCAGATTCGTCTTCCACAGAAGTATCTTGCTCAGCGTCTTCGTCAAGAGCTCCACTCAACAAGCCTCCAGCAGCAGAAACCGCTAAAGCTGGATCCAGTTCGTTATCTACTGGCTCGGAAGGCTCATTAGAACTTGGTGTTTGCTGTTTTTCTCTTCTCTTTTCCTCTCTGGCTGCACGCCTTTCTTCACGCTCACGTCGACGAGTTTCCTGCAAACGTCTCCGTTTCTCCACACTCTCCTCGTCTAAACGGAGAACTTTTTGAAGCCATATAGGCATGTGGAAATCCGGGATGTCAAGATCAAAAGCATCATTAGCTCGATCCCGAGCACGTTCCCAAAAAGAACCAACAGCATCAAATGTCCGACCAAAAATGTCCTTCGTGTAATCACTAACTTTTTGAAACTGTGATCCAATATATGCGGCGGCACCAGCAACAATTGAGAATCCCGCAGCTGGCAGACGTAAAGAGCGAAACAGTAACTTCGTAATTGACGAAAATGAAAGTGTCCGTGTGGAACCAACACTGCCCAGTCCATGAACAGTAAAGGGTCGGGTGGCCTGTAGCTGGCGTTGTCTAAATGCAGAAAATGGGAATGTTATCAAAGGGGACCGGCGAAGAATGTTTTGATTTTGTCTACCGATCGTTTGGAAAGACCGACGCCATAAAAACCTTGGAGACTGCAATCCCCGGCTTACAAACACACGTCGAGAGATAGCATTCGACGTAGCTTTAAGGGACTGCAGCCGTATGGCCCGGAAAATGACAGAATTCAAACCCGCAACAGTAAACCCTGCGAAAAAAAACAATTCCAATCGGAAAACACGTTTCGCGTCTCACGAGCAGGATTTGAGACAGATCACTCACTATATACCCGTACGATCGACAAAAATGACTGAATTTTTAGTGTTTTCTATAATGGTAGTTGGCTGATTTACCAAGTGGTGAAGTAGCTCCAAGTAGTAGTAGTAGTAGCAGAAATGGTTGAAGACAAGAAAATAGGAAGAGCCGGGTACAGAACAATTAGATACACTGTGGGAATGGAGTGGAACGTTTGAAAGAATGTCTTTGAGTGATATGTCATGTTCGCGATACAAATTCCGGTCTTGTTCATATCTTATAATTGAAAAGTCGGAAACTAAATGCTTCAACCCAAATATTCTTCTCTCCGTAGGACAGACGAATGTAATTTTACGAGAATTACTGTCCGAGATGGGTAACTTGGGAGTGGGACAGTATGTGCAGTTGCTTTGCAAGGCTACAAAATTGCTGTTAGGGATTTGAAATAAAGAGGAAAAGGACCTTGGCAGCTGAACAAGTCTAGCGCCTGTATGTACTTACGAATTGAGCACTAGTGAGAAATCCTTCAACGATTCCGGCAAGATAAGCACAACAGTTGAGCTGGTTCATGTTCTTGGGAACGGATATGAATTTGTTGAAAACAGGACTATTATCCACAATCATGTCTGTCACGTTAGTAACACTGTAACACTGGATGTAGTTGCATAATTTCGTATCAAGAGATGGCATTGTCCAGTGCAACCGACGTTACCATCTATTGAGCATAAACAACTCAACGAATCACAGATGCATACATTCATCGTTCACGTCTTTCGACTTTTCAAGAGAGTCTGCGTGTTTTCCAAAAAGTTGTTTCCATAAAGAAGAGTGAATAAACTGCAAAATACCGAGAACTCGAGTTTCACGTTTTGGACTACGCTCTCTCCAAACGACTAATTCAACTAAACGCTGTCCCACACGGAATCCATGTTCATTAAGTCTGTTGAAAGAGTTAGTAAGGCTTCGCTTCTTCCTTCACGATGTCACTCCTTCACAGCATTGTTGTGTGCATGCACATATCGGAAACGACAGTGTACCTCTCTTCAAAATCCTGTATTCCAGTAACTCGAGATTGTGTCCGTTGAATCAACTCGCTGAACAGAAACGCAAATGCTGAAAGACTCACGTCTGAGTTTTTTATTTTGTTTAAGTTTTGATCACAAATATTTCGCCCTCTTATGGGCAGTGACGACTGCGATGAAGCAGAAACAGAACTTTTAAACATTGGTTTACCGTTAGGCTGCATTATTGTATCGTGATCATGAACAGACAGGAATGGATTTCTCTATAGAAGCTGGGAAGTAAAATGGGCGATGGGGAAGGTTGGCCCTAACGGACACTAATACGAATAATAAAATGATACAGAATAGTCCCCTAAACCACTTAGGACTACAAACAAGACATTCATGTGCTTACCGTTTATGCATTAGAATACACAAGTACATTACTACGGAAAATGAAGAAAATAAATAAAACTTTGATAATGAACTCGTCATTTACGAGACTTGTGCATTCATTAGAAAAAATCGAATGCAACGCTCTTGCACTTGTGCAGGATATTTTAAATAGAAGCAACTGAGAAGCAAGACAGTCAAAAAAAGACTACACACAGAAAATTATTGCTGGGACGCGAGGCACAAAAATGACTCGTACAGAACAAGCGAGCCGTGCTTTTGCCGACGACACATTAAGACAGATCTCCTGTGTTGGAGAAATGAGACAAACAAGAGGAGGAACATAAATTACAACAATACACAGAAATTGTTGTACACAGGACTGTTGTACATTGAGAAAGAGGATGTGCTCGTGAATCCCAAAACAAGGAAAAAAAACGAGTATACGAGGCAGCTAGTTAGGATAAACCTAGCTACTCAAATCATCATCTGACTCACTAAAAACTTCATTATTCATAAGGTCGCGGGCACCAAGTTGTCGGAAACGAAGGCCCATACGTTCACGATGAGCAGTGCGAATAAGACGAGCTTCATCCTCCGTCATTTGAGCACCTGGCTCTCTTACTGCAGGTGACGGGGAAAACAAGTAAACGTTTCCTGGCTTGACAGTCGAGTTGTTATTCTCCACCGCATCCGAAGAAGGTGGAGAGTCAAGATCATGAAGCTGAGAAAGGTTATCCACGTCAGAAGCAACAGATGAGCTCAAACGGCGATGGAAACGGGAAGGCAGCTCTGAATCACTGTCCTCAGCAGACCCAGTTGTGCCTGGGGTGATGAGACGAGGAACGTCCATTTCAGGGAACAGGTCAGGAGCAAGCGAGTTGAATACCTCAGTACATTGCTTAACAAGCTCTTCACGTTCTCGCTGTATCACATAAACAGCATTAGCAGTTCGCGGATTCAGTGCCAGGAACAACGGACGAATCGATTTGTACGTATCAACACCGACCTCACCAAAACGAAGAGCAGCATAAGTTACCATGGGAAAGAGGATCGCGGAAAAAAACGGTGTTGCATACATAAGCCAACTGGAGTGCGGTACGAGATTATAGTGATATATAATCCATTCGCAAAGAGCAGCATAAAACGTATACAACACGGGTGCAAAACCTAAAGCAACAAGAAGCTTCCAGGTAGCCAGGACGTCGCGACCTTGAATCTTGACGGTGGAAGACTTGAGTGCTTGCTGAGCTTTCTTATGACTGATACGACTGGCAGCGATGAATACTGGAGAGAAAAGGATGCATCCAGGAAGAGCACCCAACGCCATAATCGTAAGCCAACAGCAACGGTAAATGAGCTGATACAATATGCGAAAACGATTGTACTTGAACTTAGAAACTTGGTGATCACGAATGCCAAGCCGGTAGAGCTGACGGTTGTACAATAAAATGCGATCACGCAAATGTTGTACACGAGGATCATCCTTGCAACGGTTATAGCCAATAATCAGTTTTCTGTTTAAATCTACAACACGTGGGAGTGACATGTAAACATGATCCGGACGGTACAGGCGACGACATGCTTGGATAACCATAAGCGTCTCAAAGTCTGGAGCCTGAACGGTCACGGAAAGCAATGCATCATACACGAGATCCAGCACACGCTGAATCGCTTCTCGCCGCTCGCCGCTCTTGTACATTTCCACAAGCTCTGAGGGGATGGAAAATGGTGCACCAAACTCTAAGACGGCACGGGAACGAAAACGGTGTGGATGGAAGTAATTCATGCCACAAGGAACAATAGTCAAACCGCAATTGGGGTCCTTGGCCAAAGTGCCAAGGGCCATAATGGCAACACCGGCCTTCAAAGGCAGCATCTCAGGGCGATCATGAGAACCACCTTCGGGAAACAAACCAACGCAACTGCCATGCAGCAGTCGGTGGTACACGCTTTCAAACACTTGGCGTTGGTCAATCTTCGGTGCTATCTTGAAGTTGGATTCCCCACTCCGAAGTTTCTCTGAAGCAGATGAACGGAATGGGCGTTTGATACGCACATGCGTATCATCCTCAATACTCATAATTTCCGATGTTCCGGCATTGTTGGGAAGAATTATGGTGTAGCCAATCTTGTAATTCGTGAATTCGGTACCGTTTCCGACGATGGAGCATGGATCATCACCAATTCGAATGGTACCAGCACCCTTTTTAGCCAAATCCTGAGCTCTTTCAACAGGAATTGCACCAAACGCCTTCGCCATTGTACCAATAAACTTCATTCGCATTGATTTTGCAGCAATCAGAAACGAAATCCGGCGACCAGTTTCGCGTCGCAACTGACGCATGAAAATGACAGGATCCACAAACTAATTTCGTGTAATTAGCAACTGAAACGATGCTCACACAGGCGTCAAAGCATACCTGATTTGCATGAGGAGCGGCGACAAGAATCAAAGGTCCTTTTCGAGGAACACGAAAAGTTCCACGCGTGCGAACTTCACGAAAGAAGAAGTCAATTAACACTGGGCGGTCAGTCAACGATTGCAGAGCATACAACTAACCTGAAAACACCCATAGAAGGGTGTCATAAATGAACGGGTACTCCATTGTCCGGCATAAAACGTGTGAGCCAGAGTTGTGTTCCGGAGAAGCTTTGAAAGGAATGACCGCACGACCCCACCCACGCTAATGAGGCGTTACATAGTTTGGTGTGCTTTAAGGAGTGATAAAGAGAGTTACCGAGGTGCAACGTAATGTAGTGACAAAAATAAGGAGGAACAGTGAGAAGTACTGCAGAAGCTCGGGTTCACGATTCAGGCAACGGCAGAGACTGGACAGGACCCGGCACCAAACATTTGTTTGTAAAAGCAGACGTGTTTCCGTTGTGCGTTCCAATTTCAGAACAGACGCCTACGACGTTGGGAGAAACCATTACACGAGGATTATTGACGTTTATGTGCGGTTTGGAGCGTAATAAGTCGCCAATTCCTGGAGTTCAAGTGCAGACATCCATTTTGACTGTTGGTAGAGGATAAAAGGATGTGTAAAGGAAATTGCCTAATTATCAAAAAAGCCGCTCACTAAGCGAAGGGATCGACAGTAATAGCATTAAGGTTCAGGGATTGAAGCCCCCAGGGTTTTCGGCCGAATATGTCATTTACAATTTTCTCGCTTAAAATAAACTTTATATAAGATACGCTGCGGTGTCCCAAACCTCATTGTGTTGCGTTACGGCGCGTTATAGTACATTTTCGCGGAATTTCAGAAACTCGGTAAATCTCGGTAAACGAACTTTATTCTGAACTCTCGTCCTTGTCTTCATGTTTCTTCCGGGATTCTTCCTTTTCGCGTCTGGCGGCCTTCTTACGCTCCTTTTTCAGCCGTTTGCGGTCCTCACGACTCAGCTGAGACTCGTCGTCCTCACGAGCATGTTTTCTCGAGTCTGCGTCTGCTGAGACAGCCTCAGCGTTGCTCAACTCCAGGTTGGTTTTTTCATTTTCCACCTCCAAATCGGCTTTTTCGGCGACAATTTCGGTTGTGGTGGGAGGAATCACTGGCAAAGGAAGTTCCTTTCCTTGAAGGAAAGCACAGACGCGGTTCAGTTGAGCAACAATGCTTTCATTGCCGGATTTGTCGTCTTGGAATTTGCTCAAGACGCCAATATAACGCTCCAGAATCCCAGCAGCGTCATCCAAGCCAAGAGGCTGACGTTTACCAATACGAATAGGAGGAGGACACTCGGTCGACATTGTTTTTCTTCCCTTTTTTACTTCGATTCCAAAGTTTTTCCTTCCTCACGAACGCGTATGTCCGGGTGGGAGACGACAGATGCAAAACACTGGTTCGGCAAGGAGGATGAGGATATAGAGTGGTCACATGATGTGAATGCATTATCTTATCTTAGCGAACCGCGGGGTCTCTTTCGGCATTCTTATATTCAAAGCTACGAAGTCCCAATTTGTAGCTCCAGCTTAATTTAAATTGCACTATATAATTAACTAGTTGTTGTAAATAGCAGTCATCTCAAGTAAATATCTTTGATCAGTGTTTGTTTTGTCAAACTCCCAGAAATTCCTATATTCGCATCGGTTTTAATGTCGGTGATTCAGTGCGTTTGAGAAGGGCGGATGGATCCACATCATTGTTGGTTGAAGCAACGTTGAGAAATGTGCGTTTGATGATTTGGTTTTCGGGTTTAAAGTTTTTATAACGTAGATGAGAAATCCACCGCGACGGTGTAAAGTAGTTCCGACGAACAAAATCGATCATCTCCGGAGTCTTTACCGTATAAAACACTTTCTTTTGTTTTGGTCGGGAGTTGCATTGGAGAATTCCCTCTTCCAGCATACGCGTCTCCAAGCTTTTGGCTGCTGCCACTCGGCAGTCTAAAATAAAAAAGTTAGAGAAATAAAATGTCCAAACAATCTTAAACTCTGTAACATCCATCAACTTACTCAACCGTCGGGCAAGCAGTCGCCAACCCTGGTGACCATACACCCAGGCACACTTTATTGCTCTTCTGTATGCACACACGGCAGTGAGCTTGGCAAAAAGCTTTTCGTCGGACTCCATCAACAGACATCGATAGCACCATATATCATCCGGTTGCCGTGGGTCAATGTCACTTTCGAAGCCGTAGCAGCTACAGTGCACCCATCCCTCGCATTTGGCACATTGAAACTAATATGGTTAGAAAGCAAAAGAGTCATTTATACAAACCATTTCCGGATCCTCCGAGTTGTCACCACACTCACAGGAAATCCTGTCTTTTGTCATCTTTGCTCTTCTGTCGTCAGAACGGGGTGTTAATGGTTTCTCTGTTGTTGGGTTCATTAACTCTGTTATAAGCGGCATTCCATTAGACTGCGACATCCCGTGCCTTTCTGTTAAACCAACCTGTTTACATGATGGCAGAACCACAGTTGATGCCTCCAATTCTGCGAAATGAATACTGGGGAGAGAAGATGAAGTGGGAGGACTGTATGGAATAGCAGGCGCGTCGAAGAGTGTATCCACCGGTTGTGTAGGCTGAATATCTTGTCCTTGTGTACAACTGGTCGCATTGTTTCCGTTCAAGAACTGGTCCAGCTGCATCTGGATAAGGTACTGTGAGTCTTGTTGAGACTCGCTCTCAACCTTTAATGATACTGATGTTTGTGAAAGATTGTCTTCTTGCATTTGCTGCGGTTCTTCCTCCATAACAGGTGAGCATTCACGAGTTAGCTGCCAGTGTTCGGGAGCAATTGTTATTTGATTAAAAAAGGAGTCAGTGGCATCCTCGTCCATTTTACAAAACTTATTTTCCAAATCATCCACAGTAATACTAGAGTTGTCTAAATACACCAGGAACAATTGCAGTTCTCTGTATGAACAATCCGTATCTAGACTGGTTTAGCATTTCCATCCCCCACAAACTGTAAGAAACGGACCTTTTAATTTCATAAGTCTCAATTGCGAGCATAATTGTGAAATAAATTCAACGATAGATACATCCCGTTCCAGACTTTGTTCTTTTTCTTCGTGCTGAATCATTAAACGAGCAAAACGTCCATCCAGAAAGATAAAACTATATATGGTGGAAGTGATAGGGCATCCTTCGTCTTTAAATAATGTAATTTGAATACAAAGCTGTTGGGAATCCTTCTCAATGCCACTCAGCGCATTCTTTTTTCCATATTAGCTTCGGAAACAAGTTATCCAAGCATACCATTGCCGAAAGAAAGTCTTCGACTTGTGAATTGTAGTTGTTTTTTAGCACATGAAAACACAAAACAGAGTCGTCTTCGGGGTTTCCGTAAACAGCCTTTTTGTAAATTTGTTCAAACGCGTCTGGTGGAAACAATTGTCTATTTAACACGATATTAGCGTCCAGTCAGCGCCTTTGAGACGTTTAAAGCAAACCTTCCGTAACATATAGTCTGTGCAAGCAAGGAAATGAGTTCTTCCTCCCGCAATTCTTCAATAACTTCCATTCCTGAACGCGTAGTTGTAATGGCAAAGGACAAGATTACAGCAACGCGTACGCGTTTTCTTTTAACTCACGAGGAAGGGTAAAGCATATTCGTGAATCATTCCCGAGGAACATACCGCGGCGGTCCACGGCTCCTGCCCACCAGTGTCATTTACTAATATTACAATATAACATACATTTAAATGCTGCCACAGTTCAGTACCAAGTTAAGAAAAGCAAGAAGTTTTATTCAGTAGCAAGTAGTTTCATAAATATTCATATTTGAAGTGCGGGTTGTAAAGAGCTCAAGAACTAAAGAAGAAAACGTGTTTGGGACGAGAGTAGACTGTGTGCGAAGATAAGGAAAAACGAAGGTTAATGAAAGAAAAGGAAAAGTTTGTAACAGAAGATAAGGTAAGTGACGCAGGAAAACCAGTAATGCCGCGAAACTGAACGAAAAGCAAAGACGAAAAAACGAATTGAAGAAATGGTAAGGGCCAAGCCTGAAAAACAAGGAACCTGCTCACTACGCTGTCACATCACTAGTGATACGAGGAGAAGTAGCATTGTCACTAAAGTCCAAGATATCGAGATACATACGGTTGTTGCGAAGAATTGCCGCAACACATTTGTACTCAACAAACTTAACTTGGAAGATAAGTTGCAAATCCGAAAGCAGGTCACGCACAAATGTCCCTGTACGAACGTCCCATAGCTTCAAAGTTCCATCACTAGAGCTTATCACTTTACTCTCATCGTGCTGAAAACATGTAACATGTCGAAGATGACCCTTAAGTACATGCTTACACTTGCCCGTTTCAGCATCCCAAACCCGCAGAGTGGCATCTGTAGAGCCCGAAACAAGAATGTCTTGAGTCAAACTAACCTGACACACAAGACTCGTGTGGCCCGAAAGTACATGCAGACATTCTCCAGTAATCAAACTCCATATCCGAATGCATGCGTCGACGCCAGCACTTATGCAACGCTGTCGCGTTTCGTCTATTATAACGCTGTACACTCTGTCCACATGACCTCTCAAAACATGCAGGCATTCACCTGTAGACGCTTGCCAAACACGAACCGTACCGTCGTAACTGCCGCTCACAACAATGTCACCCGCACATGCAATATCACGTACTGTTAATGCATGGCCACGGAGCGTTCTGATATAGTAAGGATTCGAGTTGTCGCGGTCTACAGCCGCAGATGCTGCTGCTTCTTCAGTATTAGCAGCAGTTGTTTCTTGTTGTGCTGGAATGGTGGGATCAGTTAAATCCGGCAATTTCCACACACGAATGGTCGAGTCACGCGAACCAGTGACGATGTAAGAGTTCAAGGGCAATGAATTGGTGATGACGGGAGTATTTTCATCGTTTAATGTTGGATGTAAATCATCGTTTGTCACAATTCGCAAACAACGAATGACAGACGTGTGTCCATAGAAGACTTGTTTGCACTCACCAGTTTCCATATTCCACACTCGGACAGTCTTGTCTGAGGAACCGGAAACCAACGTGTTTCCCACATACTGAAAAGCCCACACTTCGTCTTCGTGGCCTTCAAGACGCTGTAACAGTTTCCCAGTCTTTGTGGAATAGATGTGAATAACATAGTCGTCGGAGGTTACTACAACCTTTTCAAAATCAAACTGAAGAGCAGTAATAACATTGTTTGCTTGAATAGGAAAAGAAAGAACCGAAGGCTTCGTGTTTTTGTCAAGCCATTTATGGCGTAAGCGATGATGCCGTAAATAAATGCGCTTCATAATAGTGCACGGAGATACAGACTGTTGTAGCCATTTTTGGCGCAGCTCCTCATCCTTGCGTTCCCAATGAAAAGCATCAGCACGAAACAAATTCTCCCAAGGCTCCCGCGAGCAGTTTAAAAGGGTGTTCCATCTGCGAGACACCTGCGCTGCCATACAAAGCGAGCTCGCATCCAGATAATTAATTATGAGTCGGCAAATTTCTTGCGGTAAAAGGGCCAAAAAGTCCCGTTGAAAGAGAGGGTTTAAAAGAGAAGAGATCTCTTGGATTGTGTGCTTGTGTGAGTTTTGGAGAAAGTGAAAAATTAGATAGGACTGAACGGGTTTGGGAAACGAGGAGAAGGAAGTCAGAAGACTTTGCATTTTCATCACAGCTTCCATTTGGGAAGGAGAAGAATGAATTACGGGAGCATTGGTTGGTGTATGGACGGCAGAGGTAGCGGAGCTCGTTGAAGAGGGAGAAGAAGGCGAGGAAGAGGGAAAAGCAGCTCTTTGAGAGAGGGAACCGCGTAAGGAAGTGGATGTTTGAGAAACCAATGGAATAGGAGCAAAGAGTTCCGAGCTGTGGTTGTCAGACGCGGAGGTTTGAGAATTAAACTGCAAGTCGCTACGACTTGCAGACCGTGGTTTGTCCGTGTGTGGAGACCCTTCATTACAGTTGACAATCGCATCGGTTTGCGATGTTGGAGAAGCACAAGAAGGTCCACGACACGTGTATGTCGAGGTGATCATTCTACGTTTGCGTAATTCGCGTCTATCGCCCCCGAAAAGAGCCCGTTTCAGTTGCTGTGATGGCGGTGAAGCCAACAAGTCCGGTCCTGACTGTTGACGAGCAAAAAACGCGTTTAAAACCACCTGCAGCAGCTCCAGGTTTTGCACAGCTGGTGTCATCTCGTTATTTGTAAAGTGTAGATCATTTCCAGACGGCGAAGAAAAGTGAAACGAGCTAAATTCTTTTGGTACAAAAACCCTTGCACTTAGTGAGCCAGATTCGCTGTTAGAGGACCGCTCTCGTTTTTCGATTATAGGCGAATCGGATCCCTCACACGGATCCAAGGTTGCTTTAGAAAGGGTATCCTGCTTGTCTCGCTCCATAAAGGCCAGAAACGTTTGTGACAAGTTATTCGACTTGGACACAGATGGAAGCAGTGGCATCGTAATAGCTCATACGTCAAGTAAAGCAAGAAACAGCAATAAGAACGAACCTGCTCCGTGAACACAAACGACCTCTTACTGAGCTGCGAAAGCTCTGAATACGACGACAAGGGTTGCCTCGTGTTAACACAGGAGCTGGTTTAGCCGGCGGAGCGTTCAGGTGTAGGCATTTGCGGGGGTGTTCATGTGGGGTGTGGAGATTCCGCGGGGGTAGAGTGGGGTAGTGTGAGTAAAAGGGTGAACACGAGGAAGCTAGTGTCTAAGGAAAGCGTAGCCAGGTTTGAGCAAGTTGCAAGTCACAGCAACAGCTCATTCAGCTGCATGATTTTCATTGCTCAACACACAAGATTCGTTACGAACCCAATATCTAGCGAATGGGAACGGACATGACAGGGAATTGAAGCGACAAATGCGTTTACTGTGTTGGCGTTCAGTGTACTACCACAGGACCTGTAGATGACAGCTCAATTCGGATTAATTGAGTCCATTGCAACTGTCTCGCATCGATTCCGAGGCAAGCGACAGCCGTTAAGAACATTCTCGTTGTTACAAACTCGAAAACACGCAACAAATCGGGATGCTGTGATGGATAAGTCCAATGATATGCGAAAACGTGATCACATTCGTAATGTGCAGCGCAATTTCCTGGTTCTCGCCGCTTTCTACGTAAAATCAAAATTGCCAATAACTTCTATTAAGTCGCCTCCACTGTCGGCAAGTAGGGTCCACTGCAGTGATGTCACTTAATAAACGCCTCGCTTGAGCGGCAGCCGCCAAAATGGACCAATAGATAACGAAGCTATTAGAGATACCCCAAACTGTAACTACCGTGTCCGCCAATGAGCACCGCTACCGACACCTATCTGCGCATATATGCTACTGCCGCCGACACCCGACGCGACCGGTTTTGAGGCCAACCATGGATGCAAAATTGCAAGTTAGATGTGGCAATTGCCACGAAGAACAAGATCAATAATGAATTGTTAGAAGTTGGACGAGAAGGATTTAGGTATATAAGGTCTGGAATCCATTCAACCAAACCATATCCCTCATTCTTTGGAGATCATCAATTCATTCTTTTCCAAGTCTTTCATTCCTTAGTATCGACTTGTCGCTCATTCAAAATGCTCTCCAACATTCTTTTCTCACTCTTTGCCATTGCACCTCTTTGTGCCAGCGCTATGCCCATGGGTAACCATGCTCGCAGCAGCAAACACGGTCATGTCCACGTGGCCGAGACTGCCAAGAAGTCTGCTTACAACGTCACTGCTGCTATCGACGAAGCCATTGCTGCTTTGGGCGATACGTCTTCGAAGATTCGTGTCGCTCGTGACGGTGGTTTCGAGAACGGTGTGTACGACTGTTCCGACTTTCCCGAAGACCAGGACGGTGTGGTTCGCCTCGACTATCTTGGCTTCGGCGGTTGGACTGGTGTCCAAAAGAATGACGGTGCTTACGGTACTGCCGAGACCTGTCAGGACAACACTTATTGCTCGTACGCATGCAAGCCTGGTATGTCAAAGACTCAATGGCCTTCCGATCAGCCCTCGAACGGTGTCTCCGTTGGTGGTTTGCTTTGCAAGGACGGAAAGCTTTACCTCACACAGAACGGTACCAGTTCGTTGTGTAAGTCGGACGATGACTCCGCATACGTGAAGAATACTTTGGGTGAGGGTGTCGCTATCTGCCGGACGGACTACCCCGGTACAGAGAACATGGTTGTTCCCACTTTCATTGATGGTGGAAGTCAGCAACCACTCTCTGTTGTCGACAGTTCATCTTACTACACTTGGAAGGGTGGTGAGACGTCCGCGCAATACTATGTCAACAAGAAGGGCAAGACCGCTGAGGAAGCCTGTGTCTGGGGTAACGAGGGTGACGATTACGGAAACTGGGCTCCCATGAACTTCGGTTCTGGCCTTAAGGATGGTAAGACCTGGATTTCCATGTTCATCAACCCCCTTGCCACTTCTACGCTTGACTACAACATTCGTGTCAAGTCTGACGGTGGTGAACTCAGCAGTGAGTGCTATTATGAGGACGGTGAATTCCACAATGCTGACAGCAGCGATGGTTGCACTGTTGCTGTCACCGGTGGTAGTGCCTACTTTGAGTTCTACTAAGCAGTTATTACTCCTGCTGGCAGATGCTTAAAGTAAGCCAAAAATTCATTTTCTCCATTAGACGATCCGTTGTAGCACTTTCTCTCCTTCTTTCTCCTTCTTGTTTATGACTCGGTTTATTTCTCTTTTTGGCTTTTGGAAAACGAAAAATATAACAAATCTCCGCACTGTTCAGCACATCGCAGTAGACTAGTCATAAAACCAAAAAAATAACATAAATTTTGTTTTCCGGAAAATTGCTTATGAGCGAAAAAGGATTGTCAATAGGGGTGTAAAAGTGAGAGTCTTATCAGGTCATAAGAGGGGGATTTAAATGGAGCAAAAGGCCTGATAAACTGTCAAGTCGGATGAGGCAGTGAACGTAATATCGTAGTCGGCGGAAACGAAGACGACGGTACCTGGGGAAAGAGAAATTTCTGAACCGTCCTTGCCGACGATGGAACCGTTGCCCTCCGTGGTAAGCACAATGCTAGGTCCCTTGATGGAGCTAACACTCTGCTTCTTACCATTGGGGACGACGGTTTGGAGAATGCTAAACTCCTCAATGGGGGGATCGTACAGCAACGTCTTGCCCTCGCCATTGGCACCAGCAAAAGGTACTGGAATAGTCAATTGTTCCTCGGCGTTTGCGGTTTGATAAGTCAAGTTTTCAACAAGTGTGTTTACATCCTTGTACTTTGGAGTGAAGCCAACACGAATAACATTGTCGCTGGCAGCCATGCACTCAATGATGTTACCAGAGACATAGGCATGAGGATCCAGGGCACGCAAGAAAACGGCTTGGCCTGGACGAAGGGATACATAGTTAAGGAAGAGCGTGACAAACAAACCGATGTCATGAGGGAATTGTTTGTTCAGGCGGACAATTAAGTTTGCCAAACTGTTGCCGCCAAACTTCTTACCGCCGAAGTCAACGGGATTTTGCTCGGCAGCAGCGACAAGTTTGTCGGTGTATTGAGCAATACGGTCATTAGATTGGCGCATAACGACATTAAATAAGTTCTTTAAAGCAGCACGCTGATCTTGCTTGTAAGATTTAAAAAATTCATCAACAGCTTCCTGGCCAACGAACTCGTTTAATGCGGGAATGTTGTTTAAGAATTCAATGAGTTGTTCCACGGGACGAAATCCACAAAGAGCACTGAAATCAGTGAGAGCGATCGCCATTTCCGGCTTGTGGTTGTCATCCTTGTAATGTTCAGGAGCAAGTGCGTGCAATTTCTTACCTAATTGCTTGTCTGGATGAGCCTGAATTGACAAAACCTTCTCGATGGAGAGCACCTTAAACAAGAAAGGAAGAGTCTTGCCATAAACTTCAAAAATCCTTGGGCCCATAGTCTTTTCATCCAAAATTTCGCTCAGAGGCTTTCCGGATTGCTTACAGAATGAGGGACCAGAGGTGTGAGATCCCATCCAAAGCTGAATGCGCGTTAGATCAACCAAACATGCTCATCGAGCACAGGAATTTTCTTCCTATGCCCCACTGTCCATAACTATTCGTACCTCTGCATAGGGTTTGTCATTTTCGACAATCAAGTCACTTCCGGCCTCAGCGAAATTTGCTGCTAAGGAGTTGCGACCGACACGGCCCCAGTCGTAGCATTTTGCTTCACATTTTAACTGGAACATGATTATGAATTGTGCGTTTTTCCTGTACTAAGTCAGAATATGTAGTTGGCTTTGGTTAAGTGAATTTAGTGCGGTGAAGGACAGTATCGACGCGAATATATGTGCAAGCTTAAATCGCAACTTTCGACGTCATCGGTCTTAATGCAACGCGTCGTAAACAAAAGACGCGTTCAGTGTTTAAATGAGGAGAAAACCGGAAAATACAGCTAATTAATTGTTATACTCATACGAGTCTATTGGAAGAGGCTGCGGATGATTTTTGCAAGAATGTTGAGATGATGCACATAATTGTGTATTGTTAGTGTATGAATGTTTAGGACTAAGCTATCAAAACTCGAGAAGAGATTGAGAAACAAAAGACATTAGCTTCTTTGTCATAGTAGCACACTAAGATTACTGCGTCGATGATACTACAGAGTTCATTGCTAATCCAAACCTTCTAAAAAAACGGCAGAAGCGGGCTTGTCGGTCTGGATCGTCAGAACTTCAGTAAAGTCAAGTGTTCTGGGTTTCCGACGGTAAACTCGAACAAGGTTATCGTCTTGAAGAGCCACAGCCATCAAGCTGGTATCCTTAGTTAGAGAGAAATGGCGTGGACAGCGACCTCCCAAGGACAAGTGGACTTCAGTACCTTCAAACAGTAACCCAGTGTTCGCGTCAATTTGACAACCCCAAATGGTGTCTGTGGAAAGCTCTCCGAGAAATCGATTGGAAGCTAAGAGGAAAGGACCATCCGGTATAAAAGCAATCTCACCGGCACTGGGTGGTTGAGGGAATCGCGGGTCTTGTTTTATCTCGGTGCCTGGGGGCAGCACGGAAACGTCCTGCAAGCACTGAAATTGCATGGTTTCGTACACACAAATGCGGTTTCTGAGTTCACAAACGACATAAATGAGAGGTAGGGTCGGATGGAATGCTACATGTCGAGGACCATAACCTTGCTTGGTATGGATAATGGCTACGGGATCCGTGTGGTGATTATGCGCATCAAAAAAGGTGATACGATCCAAGCCTAAATCGACAGAACAAACTAAATGCTTGTGTTGGATTACTTGATGAGGATGCGGAGATGTTTGTCGGTGAGGGTGCACAGAATGGCCTTCATGAACCCAAATGTGAGGTTTTTCCATGTCTGGATGGCACTTGCTGACTGTTCCACTGTCGTAATTGGCAGTAATTACGGTACCATTGTCGAGTACACACAAACTGGTGGGACCATGTCCCTCAATGTAATAAGTATCGATTAAGCGGAACGAGTTACCTGTCCACTCGAAAACGCTAACGGAACCGTTTTGTGTTTCATTAGCAACGTACAAGGTTTGTAACTCTTCGTGCCATTCGAGCCAAGTAGGTGAAGAAACTTCCTTTAAAGAATCAGTGAAGCATTTCTTGTTTAAATCATAAACGACAACAGGTTTATCGAGAATAGTTCCAATTGCAAGTTTCATAGTGAGTAAGGGGAGCAAGGGGAGAAGGTGTTAAAACGAGAAGAACTGGTGATTAACGATGAACAGATCAATTTTTAGTTTGAGAAAGACGGGAACGGATCGATAATGTATAAACTGAAATGCCAAGAAACGACGAATAAATGAAGAAAACAACAGACAAACAAGGTCGAAGAAAAGAAAGGAAAGTCTAGTAAATAAAAGTGTTATCTGCTACGAAAAAGAGTTTTGTTGATGGAAGTGGCAAGGAAAGATAGCTGTTGGGTGTCTGGTCATTTTGATCCAATGACAGTAAGCGATGTTAATTATATTTACAGTTGAGAATAGGCATTTCTGTGAGGAACTACGAATGGAGGGAAATGAAAAAAATGAAAAAAAAAACGTATCAAAGTGTGAAGGAAACCCTTGTCCAGCTAGCAAAAATTTAGAGAGAAATGTGACTTCAATGAACGCCGACGACTTCAGTAGACCACTGGAAGTTTCGTTTCTATTTCATTAAATACACTAGCGATATTTGTTATCTTTAATGGATTCATTTGCTTGCTTCTCATTTCGTTTGCTCAACATAAACACTCAAATCACATTTCGTCCCATGTTAGATAATACTTCATATTATTTATAGCTCGTAAGAACTTCACCAATTGCAAAGCGACTAGAAGTAGCCAATTCATGCCGCAATTACGTAGTACAAAATACATAGCTTTCTGTTGTTGAACAAATAAGAAATGACAAAAGGAGCAAACGTGTCAGATAAACACAAATGCCCTTGCATGCATCATTATATACCATTTTTTTATCCCTCAACCCTTGTTAAGGCTTTTTCTTATAAACCAATTGGCGAGTTTTTATGGGCATCCATTTGAACCGCTTTAACCACAAGGTTACAGACCACATTAACGAAAGTGTTAGCAACACCTGAAAGCCCATCTTTTTTCTCCGGTCAAGCTCTGGCATAGAAGCCCAATGCAGAAAGTTCACAACATCCTTGGCCTCCTGAGCCGTTGAAGCTGGTGTCCCGTCTTCAAACTCAACAGTTTCATCAAACAGTGGACGAGCCATGGCAATTTGTGTACCGGGAAAGAAGGGATTAAAGTTCAGATTTTCACCAAGCTTTGTTCCCGCTGGAGGATCGACATAACTCGTCAACAGGGAATACACATAATCTGTACCACCGTGTCGTCCACGAATGATAGAAGACAGGTCTGGAGGAAGGGCTCCTGCATTTGCTGCTCGAGCTGCTTCTTCGTTAGGGTATGGTGCAGGCATATAGTCCGACAGTTTTCCAGGCCGCTTAAACATATTTCCTTCCTCATCGGGCCCGTCTTCGTACTCAACTTCCGCTGCTAATTTCTTGGCCTCATCCGCCGTATGTGTATTACCAACGAGGTCTCTCCAAGCGACTTGATTCAAAGAATGGCATTGCGAACACACTTCTCGGTACACTTGGAAACCACGACGAAGACTCGCGTGGTCAAATCCTTTCAACAAATGGTTTTGTGGCCAGTCGTGTTTGAGAAAGTGCATGCCTTCTTCCACAGGCGTCATAGCTTGTAATCCTTTGTGATAAACCTTGTAATATAAAAGTGCTAGTCCAATAGATACACAAGTAGATCCATACAGTAGTGCGTTCGATCTTCCATTAGTCTTCTGTGTGGCTTTAGAGGCCGTAGCAAATCTCTAAACTTTGTTAGTTACTGAATTGAACAGTGAGAGAACAAGGAGGAAGAGATAGAAGAAGCAAATTAACTGTGAGAGAGACTAAATAATTAAGAAGAAGTAAGAAGACCGTAAGCAAGCTAACGAAAACGAGAGTTTTCATAAACATAACAAAAACATAAAATGATCTGTAAAAACCCACTCTCTGCAACTAGCCTTCTCAATCTTCCACTCACTCTTAACGATATTAACTCATCAATTCGTACCTTTGGCCGTAGGTGAGATTTCGCTACAAAGCACCATGTCCGGTGCGCATTTGCAAACATTGTCTAAAGGAAAGACCTTATTCGTCTTGTTTAAACTTAATTGCAACCAATCTGAGTTGATATTTGGGAAAGATGAAATTGTTCAGCTGCGAGAGGCCGGTTGGATAAATCAACAAGTATGATGTAAATATGAGGAATCGGAGGGCAATGAGGACGTGAAGACACAAGAACAGTTGACAATGGCTCACGAAATACAAATCTCTATAAAGCTGGCTGTTTCAGGTTGTGCTACTACTGTACAGGAAGAGCAAGTGCCAGTAGAGGCGAAACAAAAGAACAGTTGGAAATACTTTAAAAACTCCATAGCATTACATGACATAGCGCATTCACTAGAAACTGTTGCAAGATGAATAATAGGTTTTTTAACTTAAGAGATCGTTCAAGACTAAGTTGTAGCTGGCGTAAAGTTTGCGATGGTACAAAGGGTGATTATAAGAAGCTCAATTTAAAAAACTTTTCAACTCAATGTACAATATATTCTTGCATTCATTCTGGGAGCTGATAATCATTGACATCGCTGACATCGTCAGCAGTATTATCTCCTACATTCGTTCCATCCAAATACCTACCGTCAACTTCATTAGGCTCCATCGACCGTAAGAACGACTTGTGCTCAGACCACACAACCTTCAATTGTTCATGGGCCGTTTGAAGAAAACGCTGTTGGCAAGCAGCGCAGGTATTTACACAAATGGAGAGAATTTGCTTTGCCTTTTGCATGAAGATTGGGAGTTCATCCATTAAACAGTTCCCCAACAGTGGGAAATCCTTGAGCTCTAATCCAACATCCTGTCGTGCATGTCGCCGTTTGGCAAACAATATGCCCGACTGTAACCAAGCGCCGCACACTTCAAGTGGCCGTTCGTAAATGTTTAGCAAGGGTGTGATAAACGTGTCAAGCATTCGATGACAATCATCGTAAAGTCGCAGAATTGCCCCACGTGTTATGTTTTCAAGTGCATTCGTCGCGTTTGTCCACGAGAGTGAATTTCGAGGCCCCTTACAAACTTGACCGTAGCACTGAATTATATCGGATAGTTTGTTGAAGTGAGTGCGTGCAGCATTCACATAATCGGCGACACTATTTCGAAAGTCGAGCAAACAATTATGTGTATAGGCAAGTTCTTGAATGAGAGCTACGATTTGTTCGTGGTTGGGAATGTAAAGCGCGCTTACCGACGTTTGGATCTGAAGCAGAGGCTTTGGTTATTAAAGAAATTGCAAGCTTGCACAGGCAAGTACTTACCCCTTTCATTTTTTTTAGGAGCTGTAGACGACCCGCCGTCCGAGGTTTGAAGATTGACCTACTAGAGTTGTGTCGTAGGGCCCGTTCTACCGTCTCTTGACGAAGCTTCATTTCGTTAACGCATTGAGCAGCTTGCTCTGTTTCACTACACGCCTCTGCAAGGAGTGCAAAATTAGTGGAGGCAGTCGTTAGACTTGCCCGATACAGCTGGTTAAGGAGGAGAGGGTATTTGAGAAACCGTTGCATCGGTTTCACTAGGAAACTGTCCAGGTTCCAAGAAGAACTCTCAATCTTAGCAATACTATCACACTGATTGATGACAGACGTTAAATTCTCATCCCTAAGCCATTTTTTTACTTGCTCTGAACAACGGTCTTGAACGAGGCAGTACCGAGAATATGTATCTTTCAGCTGAGGAAGCCAGCGCAAGAACTGCTGAGCAATTAAACCGCTGGATGCTGCGTTTTGCCGTACAAGAGCAATCTCGTCGTCAATAGCCCGACACAGGTCTTTCGCAAACCGGGCCGCAACAGAACACAGCGGCAAGAATTGACCAAAAACACCCCGCCATTCTTGTTTGTCCAATACGGGATAAAGCCTTTCAGCGTAGAATCTTTTTGCAACGTACAAGTCATGAATATATGCTTGCTCTGATTCTTTCATTTCAAGCAAGATGCAAATAGCGTTTGAAGTTTTGCTCTTCTGTAGCTTTAACCAAGCTTCATAAACACCGTTCGAGGAAACTTGAACTTTGAGAAAGAGGAGGGGATCAATTTCCTTTGATCCACAGGAGGAAAGAGCTTTGCGTTGCACAATAGGAATTGCTTGCACGGAATCTTCACGTTGATCAAGAATTCGTGTACCTCTGTGATGAAACATTTCAGAAGAGCCAGAGCTACCCCGTGAATGCTGCTGATCTAATGAATCCAGTTTGAAAGGTTTTTAAGGGTTTATCCAGAGAAAAATAATGTGTTTATGCTCTCAATGCAAAAGCTCGTATTTATTAAATCGTCTAAGTATTTTTTTCCGCCAAACGAGCTAAGCTCCACGACGTTTTGTAAGTATTATACTCCTTTTGTTCACGCCGTTAACGCAAGTACGTATTGTTTGGAGAGCCAAAGGCTGGCTTTTTTATTCTGTCCCTCTTTAACAAAGAACATCTCAAACAAAGAAAACTTACCCGGCAAATCGAGGCGGCTGGAAATCAAAAGACAAAGCCATAAACAAAGAGTTTCGCAGTGCACGAAAGCGAATGGGCAGAAAGCCTTTTTGGGTGGTATTTTACCGAGTACCCTTAGGTAATGTACAAAGATGCAGCACCAGGTACTTAGCAGCAAACTTTTTTAACGAAAGATAGAAGAGAAACATAGAGAAATAGATAATGTCAGATAATCCGCACTAACATGACTAGTGCCCGGGAAAGTAGGAAGGGAAGTATGCGCATAGACACAAGAGGATGGATAAACCTTGTCTCGCCGCTTTTTTTGTTCTCTCATCCACTTTAATGTCTTCTAGAGCGCTTAATCTTTTTGCCTTGCTTTTTCAGCTTTTGTATCTTCTCGTGAGCCTCCTTTTCGCCCTCTTCTACAAGCCATTGATTGTCGAGAGCCTTGTTCTTACCGCCATAACCCCAGCGGGGAACCCATTCGCCAGAAGCCTCATCATAAACGAGCTTGCCTTCACGCTTCTTTGGAGCGATTCCCTTAATACGGGCAAACTTCTGCCATCTCGTCTCGGGTTTGGGCTTGGGCAATGGTTTAGCACGAGGTAAAGGAGTAGTACCATCCGGCAACAGGAGCAACAAACCGTCCTTTGTACTCTCAGTAGGAAGAGAAAACATCTGATTAATCAGAACCTGGGCGTTATCTCTAGCGAGAGCCCGCAGTTGTTCTTCCTTGATACCCTTTGACACGGGAGCAATGTCAAAGGCGCACATATTACCGAGATCAAGCTCAAGAGGAAGCTCTTTTTCAACGTGAACAGACATTGTGTATGTATATTGTATAAGTAAAACCCAAAAAGTAATATAAAACCCTAGAAAACCGCTAAACCTGAATAAAATCCGACGGAAAAAAAATGTCAAAAAAAATGAAATAACAATTCGAAAGAGCACTAAAACTCAATACCAACTTTTATATTCCAAAATACCCCTACGCTTTGAGTCGTTTAAAGCTCAATAACGGCCTCAATCACACCTCAGAAAATAATAGAAGTGGTTGGTTAAGGGTAAGTTGAGTGCGTGAGGATGGGAGAGAATTAAAATTCGCGATGGGACCCCTTAAGTCACGTTAATCTGGTATAAACGAGCTAGTGCGTAATTTACTGAGATTCTTTATGTCGAAAACATACCACCATAATTCAAGTATTCATGGTTCGAGTCGCTTTGATGCAACCTTTTTTTCTTCATCTGTCCTGGTATGCAGCACCTAGGCCTTGGTACAAGAGGAAGTTGGTATTGTTAGAAATCTTAGATTAACGTTTTGTTACTCTTCTGCGCCATCAAACAATCTGTTGACAAGTTCTGTTGTGTGTAATTGCAGCCGGGTGCACTGAGACCGGCGAGCTCTTCGTACATATAATATTATGTTTCTCAGTTGTATCGAGTCTTCCATTTTTAGGACTACGATTCAGTCTACACTAAAACAATGCCTTTGTGTTTCTCATGCTAAACGGAAATTCATGAGCGTTCGTATGATCGCTAGTGATGCGAAAGCCGGTGTGACTCCTTCTTCACAGCGTGAATCTGAACCAATTGCAGCCTCAAATCTGCTTCACCATAATACTCCTAAGCCTACGCCGTTGAAAATCGGAGCCTACGATGCCAAACATGATTGGTCGAGTACGAAGAACGGCTGTGTGTTTAGCATCCCTAAATCTGCTTACGAAAAGCTTGACACTATGGGCTCCATTACGACTCAGAAGAAGCCGTTCTCATTTTTCGATAAACCGGCCCTGCTGCAACGGAACATTACTTCAACGATAGTTGACATTTTACAACGACGTACCGAGTTTAATTCAAGGGATGCTCGTTATATTATTGATGGTGAACCTGGGTCCGGACGAAGTGTCGCTTTAATACAAGCACAGCTTTATGCCTTTCAACAGCCGAACATTCTGCTCCTTGCTGTGAATAACTGTGACTTTTGGACCAATTCCACGAGCGCGTATGAGTTCGAAGAAAACAGTCAGCAATGGATTCAGCCCAACCTGACGGCCTCCTTTCTCAAACCAATTCTTGAGGTTAATGGTAACCTTTTAAAAAAAATGGCGCTCTCAAATATACCATCCGACACACCTAGTGCCCTTCAGAATGTCTCTCATTTGCACGACCTGCTCTCCATTGGAGTGAAAAACACTACCGCTGCTCCAGCGGTTTTGAAGCTTTTCTTTCAGCAGCTTCAACAACTCCATCTTGTTGACAATGCTCCTGTACAGATACTGCTTACCGTTGACAACTTGTCGATTTTCACTGTCCCTACTCGGTACAAAGATCCGGAAAACAAACCGATTCACCCATTCAATTTTCAATTTATAAATATGATTATGGAATTCTTGTCAGGAAAACGATACTTTGAGCATGGCACTGTACTTGCCGCAACGTCGAGTCGTCCACAAGTATCTACTCCATCACTTAACCAAGCGCTTGGTAAAAAGGCGCCAAATCCATATGCAAACCTCGATGACCGTGTTTTGCAAACACTAAAGGAAGTCAATGTACTTCAATCTGAACCTTATTCACTTGAGGAGGCTCGGGCCCTAATGACTTACTTTGTTGAAGCGAATGTGTGTTTGGAAAGTCTTGACAAGCATCAGCAAAACTATGTCCTTAGCGGCGGGAATCCACGTCAATTTTTTCACGTTTGTACTAGTTTAACTTAATTGTCTTTTTTTCTTCTTCTTTCGTTTCAGCACAAATTCTCAATCGCTTTTCACAGTTTTGTTTGATTCTTCTATAGCGAGGGATAATGCAAATAAGGTTTCGGTTAATTTTAAAGCTTTCACGTGGTCGCTAAATTCAGTAACAGTTTGCACCAATGTTAACGTGAACAATTGCAACGCAGCATACAACAAGTTTGCAGCGTTTAACCGTACCGAAACTGGATATAAAGTCTAAGAATGATCTTGTTACTGAATCTAATGCTTCAAAGAAGTTAAATATCTTTCAATTACTTTCCAATTTTTATCCACATATTTTGACGCTTAATGATTATACTGCTCTTTCAAATCCTTCATTGAATGAAAATGATCTATATCACAAACACAAAGACTATCTACTGAGTACGATTGTGTGTTTTCAGTCACCTTTACGGCCGCCATGCGAAAACAATTCCGTTCGGTGTTCTCAAACAGAGGTAGGTTATTCATGTTTAGAACAATCTCTTTCACTTTCCATTCGACAACTTCTTACAACTATTCTTAAGGTACTTGATAATGTCATTTTATGGCATTTTCAGCATTCAAAAAACAAACCAAATAACATTTTAACAAGAGGATATCTTGCGGTACGGAACCCTTTCTCGTTTTGTTCTGTTCTCGCTAATACAATCTTAGAATAATGAAAGATACAAGGCCACTCACTTCTCGAGTCTCAATTCAAACGTGGTCATTGTTTTCCCAAACGACTATGTATCGATTTTTCGTTCAGAACGTTGGCAAGATCTCTTAAAACTGTATGTAAACGAAAGCTCTAACGAACACATGTTTGCTCAACGGAAAGTCTAACAAAGTTTATAGTATGGGGGAGGCTATGATGTCCTACTTATTGACTTTTGGAAGTATATATGTGCATTTACCGGGGAAGAATTATGTCCAGCTGTGCGGTGTTCCTCTTTGTGATGTTCCTGTTCTTTCACGAACCGAAGATGTACGAAAGAAACGCAAGACTCGTCCGTGGCCGGATGCTCCGAAATCACAAAAGAAACCGAACTCTAGAGAATCCATATCAAAGAAAGTTTCCATTCGACAAATTCTGTTTACAATGAATCCTACCAATAGTAGTCCGAATTACTCTGTTGGGTTTGATAAGAATTGTGTGTGCTTTTTCTGCAACTCCCGTTGCTAACTCATTAGACCCTCTGAGCATTTCTCGACCAAGACCCTTGCATAAAAGAAGTTTATATGTTTTGTGTTTAATGTTTCCAAAACAAATTCCTTCCTCTCACGAATCTTCAGGCTCAATAAAAGGAAAGACCGATAGTCAACATAGCAGCTTTTCCGACTTCGTGATACCCAAACGCTTGAATTCGGCTTACTCAATGATACGACAGTTGTTAAAACGTTATGATAAAACATCATATCAAGAATTGTATCAGTATTACTGTCCCTTTCCCAAGGTATGATTCATCATTCTTTCTTAAAGATTAACTCCTCAGGATGCAATTGCAAAGAGGGAAGCTTCTACATCTATCACTGACTTCAGTGTTGGTTCACATCAGGTGTACGCTTTTGTCAAAGCGGTTCTTAAGCGTGTGATTCCTAAAAACTTTTGGGGATCAACAGCCAATTTTCAGCATTTGTTAAAGGGTTTGTGTCTCAATTTTTATTTTCGCGGATAGAGAAATTGACAGCCGTTTAGCCGTTAAGTTTTTCATTAACCTTCGACGTTACGATGTGTTGAATTTGGACCATGTTCTTTTGGATATTAAAGTATGAGTGTAATTTTTATGTTCTCTCCTTGTTCTGACAAATAGATTAAAGATATCCGGTGGCTTGAATTACCTTCTACGAAGGGTTGTAGAATGAGTCTCACAGATTTCAACAAACGTAAAGAGATATTTGCTGAATTTGTTCACTGGCTTTTCAGTTCGTTTGTCATGAATTTACTACAGACATCGTTTTACGCAACGGAATCGTCTGGTCAAAGGAACAAGATTTACTTCTTTCGGCGTGATGTGTTTCATGACCTTTCAGAACCATTTTGCCATGACATACGCAACCGACTTTTTGAACCAGTTGATGCTGTAAGTGTTTTATTTTTTATTTACATGGGTTTCTGCTTACCCTTTTTGTAGAACGAACTTGATGAGAAATTGCATGTCGCAAGTATTCGGCTACTTCCTAAGAGAAACACGTTTCGACTAATTGTTAACTTAAGCCGCAAGCTACAATTGGTGTGTTATTGAAACAATAGTTTTAAAGCTAACGGGTTTCTTTAGAAAGAATCATTTACAAAGGAAACCACTTTCCGGAGCTCGAGTACGAATACTATGTTACTTCCATTAGCAACGATCCTTGGATGGAAAACAAAACTACTATCGAAGAAAGAGGCTGTTTACACAACCCTTGCAGACGTATACACGGAATTGATAAACTATAAAGCCAGGCTCTCCCGTGTCGACATGATGAATTGCAAAAAGTACTTTGTAAAAGTTGATATACGAAATTGTTATGACTGCATTGATCAGAAAAAGCTTTTACGCATTGTGCGAACGCTGTTTGATGAGGATGAATTTTTGATACGGAAGTATGCAATTGTTCGAGCTTGTTATGAAAACTTTGTGAAAAAGTATGCATTAAGCGCATGCACATATGCCGATTATCTGAACTTTTTTCAATTCGCTATGCAGTTCAAGGGAAGAAGAGATTGCCAAGTCTTTATTGATAATGTCGACTCACAAACTCGTACAACAGACGAACTAATGCTTTTGTTGAAGCAGCATATTACTCAGCATACCGTTAGCTTTGGCAATGGGTGCTATAGACAGACACAAGGTATTCCACAAGGTTCAAAAATTTCGAACACTTTATGTTTCTTTTACACTCGAGACTTGGTTCGGAAACGCCTGCGTTTTGTCAACAAGGGCAATTCTGTTCTTTTACGGGTTGTTGATGATTTTCTATTTATTACTACAAGAAAGCGTGATGCGAAACGTTTTCTCTCACTAATGGTGAAGGGTAATCATAATTCATGATACTACTGTATACTAACGGCAGGTTTTCCGGATTATAATTTTTACGTTAATGAAGACAAGACAATGGTGAATTTTGATCCTGGTCCCAAATATTTAAACAAGATCAAAATTGCATCTGATGAGTTGTTATTTTGCGGGTTTCGTGTGAACTTACGAGATCTTAGCATTGGGCGAGAATTGTACATTCAGTCTAGCGCTCATCGCCGCATCATAACAGTTGAGCACGCTTCATGCATATGGCAAGTCCTGTGTAAACGATTGATGGGGTATGAAACACAGCCTTTCTCAACGACTAACTTAGTGTAGAACTGTGTTTTCAAGTCTGCATCCTATATTTCTTAATGCTTCACATAATTCACCTTCTGCAATTCGGTACAACGTTTATACAGTGGCACACAACACAGCTTTTCGCTTACGTCAATACATTCACGAGTACAAGTTGTTACCCATTAATGTACATGATATTGTTAGCAAGGTTTGGTTTGTTTTGTCGACTCGCTTTCGTGTTTATTCACTTGGAGTTGTGAACTCTTCGAAACCGGAAAGCTTACAGTTTACTTCAGCTGAAATGAAGTGGTATGGTCAGTATACTGTTGGATTTTTTTACTAATTAGAAGGCTTATTATTCAAGGTGCATTGGATGCTCTTCGGCCAGTAAAACAACTGGCAGCATTCACTTTAAGTTTATCTCGCGAACAGAAGCGGCTTGAGAAGAAGATTCCCGTGATGTATTTGAGACAATGTGTTTCCTCCAGAAGGTTTCGGGCGATAAACTTGCGTTGACACTGCGTTTTTTACTAAATATCATCACACTTCCCGTTGCAACAGAATGCTAGGCCGCTGCTGGTATCCATTTTCTAAACTTTCTCTTTCAAGGATACTATCCCCCATAACACTTTTTCCCAAAGTTGTTTATCATAAAGGTTACGCTATTTTGATGCATCCAATATCCACTAAGATAATACTTTCTGATTCGTATCCTTGACATCTTCATCTGAGGCAGATAAAAGTTCAATTTCTGTATTCACATGGCTCATTACTTTATGTAAATCATTGAAGTCATAAGAGAGTGTGTTGTTCTCATCCCTGTTACCCGGATCATGCCGGTGATGTGTGCAAAGATGTTTTTCGACTATCCGATTTAAACGAACAATTTCATCCTGTAAACCTTCCAATGTTTCTGCGACCTGCCTCCTCCGAGCGGCGTCTTTTCGTTTTGCACGAATGTACTCTGAAAGGATGGCCAAACCGGCTACTGAGCTGTGATGAGTCGAATGTTAGTTAATTGCATTTGTGTGTAAGTCGACCAAAAACCTTCTACGCCTGGTTTTTCTCCCCCCTTCACCTGCTTACAAAATGAATGTCTCTGAAAGGAAATTTGCACCAGTCTCGACAGCTTTGGCATCATTCAATGGTCGTATATGAAGAGGCACATTCCCCGCCCGATTTTTTGTTACGCCTAACAAACGAAACTCTGCTCGGTGCATTTTCTGAGCAACATTTATGCACATCTTTTGTTCATTAGTCAACTATCGTTACAGATATATATATCTCAGAGCGTACGCGACGAAATGCCGGATGTTCTTTGGCCTGTGATTTAATTGTATTGGCAATGGGTTTAGAAAGAGTTCGTACGAGCAGCGATCCGATTTTGAATGCTAATGAAGACATAATCAAAGTCCTCGTTGCAAAAGATTTTGGGTTTCAGCAACTTTTGCAAATTATGATACCTACAAGTATCTCAACCAGAAAACCGAAACTGTTTCAAAAACTGTACATAGGAAAACGTAAATAGAAAATAGTTTAAGGTTCTTCGACAGTAATTGTTCAAAAACTACACGGAAGTTGTGTATTTTGCGTACAGGCGCTATCAACGGAACAGACAATTATCAGGCTCGATTTAAAAAAAAAAACAGAAAAAAAGAGTACCAGCAAGTGTGAGCGTTTGAAGGGGTACGCTACTGCCATTACTTTGCTCTTCGTTCCGTTGCTTCAATCCAGAAACAGCTACACGTTTCTTGAGTATCACAACTCAGATGCAAGTTCTGTTCGTATTAGAGGACACATGCTATCAAACTTGGACTACAGAGTAAAGCAAAACGAATAGAAACGAGTAGTAAAGTCAATTGAAGAGTGAAATGCTAATACTCTTAAAGCTCTTAGAATCATACACACGTTTTAAGAGGCGCTAGTTAATTGGAACAAACGCAATTGCACAATTGAGGACCCATATTCTTCACAAAGAAGAGCAAAACGACAAACAAATAGATGATCCTACACAGCAAGGAAATAGTGAACTACCCTGAATGTGTGAAAGGGGGAGAAGCAGACTTTGCGATCTTTGCGAATAAAACGCCCTGTAATAATTAAGCCAAGCCCGCAAAAAACGGCGAGTTTCAGCGCGGCAGAACAACTGGGTTTGAAGGCTTGCACAAGTGCTCCTTATTCAGATGAGTAGGTCCATTTTTGCTCTTGAGCGGCGTTTGCGAGACAGTGGTACAAAAGAGTGATGTGTGTGTTTGACAAAAGACACCCAGCGAGTTAAAGAAAACGAATGATAGATCAAAGAGCTGGAAAGGGGACGTATGCTTATGCAAGTATTAGGCCAGCCGAGCAATGAGTTCCAACGAACAAAAAAGCGAAGTGTGGGAGGTATAATGTGCGGGTAAAAAGAGAAGGCGTTCGGAATATTTGAAGACACGCAAGAGAGAGCGCAATCAGATTAACAGCAGCCGCTGGAGCTTTGGGAAACATTGGTGCCCTGACCAACCTTCACAGTAGTCTTCGAAGAGGCGGTGTTAAGAGTAGAGTTGCTCATACGCTCCTTAATTTGACGAGCCATGGTCAAGAAAGCCTGCTCAACATTGGTCGAGTCCTTAGCGGAAGTCTCGAGGAAGGGAATGCCCAAACCATCGGCGAATTCCTTAGCTACAGTGTATTCGACGACCTTCTTATCCGTAATATCACATTTGTTACCTACCAGCAAGCAGTTGACGCCCTCCACAGCAAAACGGTCAATCTCTTGAAGCCATTGCTTCACATTGTTGAAAGAGTCTTGGTCGGTAACATCGTAAACGATGATAATACCGTGAGCACCACGGTAATAGGAGCTAGTGATGGTACGGAAACGCTCCTGACCGGCGGTATCCCACTACATGCGTGGTTAGTTTACGAATTGTCTTGAACATAACCGCAATCAGGATAAACGTACAATTTGAAGCTTCACGGTTTTTCCCTCAAGTTCGATCGTACGGATTTTCTACGCGCGTAAAAGTTAGCTGACACGTCCACAAGCCAAGAGCATCCCGTCAGGCGCATATCCACATACAAAATCGACGCCAATTGTGGAAATGTAGGACTCGGTGTAAGTGTCATCGGCAAAACGCAGAAGCAAACAACTCTTTCCGACACCAGAATCACCAATAAGAAGCAGCTTGAACAAGTAGTCGTAACTAACGTGGTCAGTACGATCGTCCTTCAAAAGTTACTCAACCGAGTCTCATCCAATGTTCACAATCCGTGTATTTTCCCGAATAACCACGGCACCAGAAATTGCACAATTCAGACGTTACTCTAAACATTGTTAGCACCCATTTCACTCGTGAAATACGTCAACAAACTCGTTAAACTTACTACTCTGGGTTCATGTTGATGAATGTGTAGTTGGTAGAGGGTGTGCGTTGGCAGCACTAACAAGCTTCCACATAAAGCCACTATGCGCGCTAAGTCACGCTGGAATGCGCTGGAACATACTTAACGTGTCACTAAACCTCTGTATGTGTACATAATGTATTTCACTGAGACGTACGGTGCTATTCTAGATGAAGCAAAAAGCAGGAATGAGAAAACAGAACAATGGATGTACCGGGAAAAGGTCAGAGAAAGCTGTTGCTGAACAGGCGCGCTGATGAAGAAGCTACAGTAAATATGGACGATTAGGAGCTCTTTGCTCGTTGACTGGTGCGAACATGCGTAGTCGTAAATGTATATTGTATTTAAGAACGAGAATGAAATGGACGAGATGAAGGAAAACGGGAAGGAGAAATGAGGCGAGACGGGGTGAAACAAGATGGATAAGACGACAGTGGAAGCGAGTATACGTGAGAACGGGGCGATTTTTTCCTCTCTTCAATTACGTGAAATGAAACATACTCTTGAATAACCGAATAACCCACTGAATGAGCCTTCGGACGGACCCGGTTATGTTAAGCTTATACACATACCAAACGACAAAGGCAACAAAAGAATTCCCAGCAAACAACTGACACAAGTTAGTTGGAAACAAAAAGAAATTGCAATTTCACTTACTGTTCCAAATTTTTTGAGAAGACGGACCCACTGCCCGGGTGATTGAGATGCCTCGAGAAGTGTGTAGCGTTCACTTAGAACAGTTAACTGTAACTTAAGTCTGTCAAGAGTTCGTTCAAGTAGCTCGACTCTCTGTATTTGGCTCTTGTTACAAGAGATAATTTCTTGTAACGAAGCAGGCGGAAGAACAACAACGGAAACATGTTTGTCCAGCGGTTTTATGTCCTCTGAATTATTCGTTTGCCTGGGTTTCAGCACACTTTTTTGTTGTTCAGTTGAGATTTCTTCATTATCGAAAAATGGTTTGTCAAGAAGTAGTTTCGGTTCCTTGCTGACATTTTGTTTTGGACGAATGATGCACCAGATGTCCTTTACATGTGGTTTTGTTTTGTTTCTTACTAGCGGTTCACGTTGAAAGTGGTAATTCCATATTCCTGACATTGTTCACTCGAAAGTCATTTTTCAAACAAATAGAGCAGCAGAGATTCCCAATTGTGTTATCGGCAACGAGAATACACTTTCTATACACTGCAATGACGAAAAGAAGGCGTGTCTTTTTACGAAGCTGACTTTCCTCTGTGAATGGTGTGTGCACCGCTATATATAAGGGCGAGAAAATGATTTTTCATTAAACAAGAAACGCAATTTCCGACGGCTAGAACATGTAGCAATACTGAAAACTATCTACAAACCTGTTGGTCGATCGCTTTGTCGCACTTCCTAAGAGGGGAATTCGCAATTGTTTCTTTTGAGTGAACAGCAAATCGTAGCCAACACCTTCTCATAGAACAACATATTCCGTAAAAGGAAACGCAAATGACATTTACTACAACGAAGGATGGGTAAATGCAGCGTCGTGAAATGTATCGACCGAGCAGCACAAACTGAACGCACTTCAGACTTTCATATGGCTGCATAATAAGATCCGCTCAAAGCCTCAACATTGTAAACGTGAATACGAAAAGCAAAGAAAAGAAGAGAAGCTTACACATGCTCCAAACGTAATCAACAAACCGTCAAGGCCGCAGCTGAGTGTAATTTTGTACGAGGATGGCACGAAAAAGAATATGTACCATTGATAGTAGTATAGCAAACGCAGTGAACATCTCGAATCTTAGCAACTAGGCTTCCACTTTTGGCTGTTCATTTTGTTGGCGTTGTTGCTGTTGTTGCTGTTGTTGTTGCTGCTGCTGCTGTTGATTGTATGGGTATTGTTGTTGGTTTAAAGCACGAAAGTTATTTGAACGACCATAACCGTGGCCACGACCACGGCCACGACGTCCACGGCCGCGTCTGTTGCCTGCAACAGCGACACCAAAGGTTTCCAAGTTCAGATTGCGTTCATGGTCACGGATGGAGCGACGGTCAATTTGCTCCATGGTCTTTTCTTTGCTCTCACAACTAATGTTGTCAAAAAATGACTTTTTAGGTTCATAAAATTCATCCTTTGAGGAAGAAAGCTCTGCAGGCGTGATCGAAGCGCGCAATTCCTCAAACTTTTGGTTAGAGCTGGCAAAATCATACTCTTGTTGAGGTTGTGCCAACTTTGGAGCGTTGTTCTGTACGCCAGTGAAAGGCTTGTGGGCATTCTTCTCGCGGTTTGAAGGGTGTTGTTGCTCGTTCGGACGGAATCCAGCAGCAGCAGCAGCTGCTGCTGCTGCTGCCGACTCGTTGTCCTTAACGGCTGGAGCCTTTCCTTCATTGTCTTGTCTCGGAGCGGCTTGATTGACTTCGGAAGCGGGTGGGATATTTGCCATTGCAGGAGCACCAGCGCCGGCTGGACCGTTGCGCATTTGAGCAGCACCCATCATGGCCATGTTGGGGTCCATAGGCATCCGGGGATCGTAAGGGAACATGGGACGACCGACCATAGGGTTACGGAGGCCGTTAGCAGGAGCTTGGTAGGGAGCAGCAAGAGGTCTGTTAGCCATAGAAGGTGAAAAAGTATCCATAGGAGGACGGTTAACGTTTTGAGCTGCCATGTAAGGAGATCCACCGTAACCGTAGGGCATCTGGTTTGCTTGTTGACCTTGGATAGGGGCATTAGGTTCTTGCTTGGCGAAAGGAGGCATAGGCGATGTCATATTTTGCTGCATAGGCATGCGAGCATTGGTATTGTTCACTGCCCAAGCAGGTTGACCACCGTTGGACTGGTCGGTTAGCATACAGGAAACATCAGTCGTCTTTTTCATTCGACAAACACATTACGCCAGTGCGTAAGTTCGCGTTTTCGTACACTGATAATAGCAGGATCATTAGGGGGTTGCATCTGAGGCTGTGGAGGAGCAGCAGGTTCTTCAATTCGTAAATCTTTCACATCGCTTCCACGAAAAACAATGTAGTCGAAAACACTGTCAGACGCTGGAATTTCTTGCGACGGATCTCCTTTTCGACCTTCTGTACCGCACCAGAGAACTATGAAGAGTCAGACTTGTCGTCTAAGGCCGTTTCGTACCATTTTTCAGAGTCAATGTCGATTCCCGAGAATTGATATCCTGCAAAATTCCGACATATCTGGCGGATTAGCGTCGTTCTTTTTTCACATACTTACCGAATATCAGATTTACTGATTAAACTAATTCGAGAGCCTATAAATTCTGTCATTCAAGTAAGGACACGTAAAACGCCGGGTTCGTCGTGGGTAGAACGTGGCCCTCGTTCGCGACGCAATAAATGAGGTGTGGTGGAGCTTGTCAAGGAAAGAAGCGCGCTGGGATGCGTTGCACTTCTGTATTCGTCTATAATGAGGAGGAATGAGAAGTAGCGTGGTTGGGCGCGGTCGAACACAGTGTCTCATTTGGTCTATTTGGTGAAGGAAACGAATGTGGATGATAATTTTAGGTGAATGAATTTGACGAGTTGAAAGGAGCACGAATTCGTAGCTGCAGTCGGAACCGGATACTCGCTTGGTAGCGGCGCCAGATGCTTTTTACAGCGGGATAAACGTTTGGTTGTTGAGTCGATGAAGGCTCTTTACTGTCTCTTAGTAATACAAGTGAACCAAATGCCACGATCTTTTCCACAGTCTATTCTGACAGTCTTTTAAGCTTTCGGTCATTGACGTAGACTTTAGTCTTTAATGAAATCTATTTTACTCTATTTCGCACATGCCTCTGCAGCCTCTTGCATAGGAGTATCGGCGGGCTCGGTCACAGGCGTCTGAACCGGTGTCTCGGTTTTCGTTCGTTTAGCACTCTTGCTGTTTTTTGCTCTGAGAGAACGTTTAGGGAAACGACCAGCAGCAAGGATGTTGTTGAAATTACGAACCTTGATAGCAGACAATATGTAACCCATGTCACCGCGTTGAGTCATAAGAGGATGTGTCCGACCAGGGAGCACTTGGTAGGACAACTGTCTTGCCTCATGAATGTCAAGACCGAGCAACTTATCGAAGGCTTCAACTTCAACAGGCTTTTCCGTTCCTTCTTGCACTTCCGAATGGGAAACAGGGTGGGTATAGGAGACGAGTGCATGAGAAGTCTCGACGAGGGTGTTCTGATAGGGGGAGTAAATGATTACAGGGCAAGAAAGTCCAACCTTGGGCAGTAAATATTTGAGCGTGGTTTTAGGATGGTAATTTGATACATATAGAAGAGCATCATAATTACCAGCAGCGTAGTCTTCCATATCCGACTTAAGCTTGGCGTAAAATGCCTTACGGTGCAGATAGCGTTTTTTATGACGGGGTTTCAGAGCTTCAAATGCTTCAGGATCAATGTCCGCAACTTCGAATTCACGAAGTTCCTCCTCGGGATCGACTGCATGAAGCCAGTTTAACGTCCGTAAACTCTCGTTTTTTTTCAGTGCCTCTTCCGTGAACGACGAGCCCCAAAGTTCCAAACACGAGTTGTTTGGTTGTTCGTTTGGGTGAATAAGCATGACTTGACACTTTCGGTTTACGCGTTCCATAAGAGAGCCCAAAAGCAAACAACCCGATTCGTCCACAACGAGGTAGCGACCCCCAGGACGAACGTTGGCCAGCGTAAGCATGAGACCAATAGTCTCTGGTGTCAAGTCCAGCACTTTAGTAGGATCACGTTCAAGCATGTACCGAGCGATTACTTCCATGCATGGCTTTAAAGCATGGAACTTTTGGAAATACTTCTCACCCTTTCTTGCCAAATACTTGGCCTGAGCAAAACTAGTCTTTTTGTCAAAGGTCGTACTGCTCTGAGCGATTTGCTCAATCAGCTTTTCGTCTTTGAGACTGCCAGTCTTCAGATTTCCTTTCAGCTTCTCAATTTCCTCGTGTTGAAGCTTTTGGTTTGACCCGCTGTCAACAAGTTCTTTGTTGTTCTTTGATTCGTCTTCTAACTCCTCGTTCGTGAACCGTTGAACGACTCTTATTTTTCTGGGTTCGTAGATTTCAAAATACTCATCGTAATGCTGTCCAATTAAGCTATTTGTCAAAAAAGAACCAAACTTTCCTAAACTTATTGTGCTACAATGGTATGTTAGTAAGAGGTCGTGATTTTTCTGAAGTAATAGAGCAAAAATACGTATTTTTGTTTGGGGAAAAAAAATTCAACAACTTACTTGTTTGGCTTCGCGTGAATAAACCGCACATTTTCTGACGGCAGTCTAATAAAAACAGGATCATTTTCCCGAATAACGTCTCCTTCAGAGGTCATGATGGGATGTCCTGTGTAAATGGTGTTTGGCGGAATGGAGAGTTGTTCACTAAGACCGGTACTAATTCGGACATTTGAGTGAATGTCTATGAGTTATTGAGAGGAAAAAGATTTAATGTTAAGCCGTCAATGTGTTTCTCGTGCGTTGGTTGACATTGCTCCGTTTATTCATTTGCAACCGAAAAGGACAAAGTAAGTGTTTTTCAATGGAGTCCCTGAATGTGTTTGGGATTTGGCAGGAAGAGAAAAGAAAAGCAATTGAATTTCTTTTGTTTAGGCAGGGTAGTGTGTGGATGATTGGGAAGAAAGTTTTGTATTAGATTGACGAAAAGGTTGGTACTTATAGAATGGTATTTTTATTTAGTTCATGAAAACCATTCACAAAACTCTTTATTGAACATAGCATATGGCTTGATCTTGTGTAATTGTCTTAAATGACGAAAACAGTGCCAAGTTTTTTTGGTGACATTATAATTGTCTTTACATCCAATTCAAGAAATTGAGGAAAAATCGCAAATGCACTACTGTCGAGCAAAGCATTGCCTAACGCCTCTACTATTTTGACACGCGCGAACTCTTTCTTGTTAATTACATTATTCATTTATCAAATCGGTCGGGGAAAACGATTTATTGCTGCATGTCTGATGATGCTAATCAACTGTTTATGAAATGAATTGATTCGCATAACATCAAGTCCACAATGAAACCAATCAACCATTGTTTCACACATCTTCGTCAGCCAATTCTAGTCATGGTTCAGTAAAAATATCAGTGAACTAGGTAACACTAAGTCATTAGACTAAATCCGGAACTTGGCGTATTAATCTAGTAATGTTTGTTCTTGCTTTATTCTTTGGAGACCTAACACTTGCGACGACAATTAGGATTTTGAACTCTGCAATTAGCCGCGGTTCAAAACTTTCATAAGAAACAGCGTTTATGTCCTTCAGATGTTTCTCTCGTTCTAATGTGTAACCAGTTCAGGATTCATACAGTAGTCGATTCTTCATAATCCTGTTTAGTCGTTCCCGTGTCGCATTTTCGGCATTTGAAGAAGGTTAAATAATAAGCGATAAATGACATAATCTCCAAGTTTGTTTTGCCAAAATTGCAGCGTCGAAAAGGAATCCCTACGATTTCTCTGTCTTGCATTGCGGCTATTTTGCTTGTTTACTGCAGTCGTGCCATTTATTCGGCACCAATTCTTACATGCTGACACAAATCCATCCAGCTCCGATCACCCGCTAACAGATGTGGCCCTCTTTCGAGTTTTGTTCCCTATTGCAGTTTCGCGTTGCTTCGCTTCTTTCCAGCCGACGCAAACAGTCCAATGCTCTTCGCTGTCACAGCTTCGACGTTAGTAGTTCTCCTCAGCTCAATCTTGCTACGAGTTTTCGGCACCCCATGCGATGCAAGCGATTTATAAGAAGGGGCAATGCCATAAGGAAACGTGAACAAATGAACATGTACCGTAGTGTCCATATGTCTTGAGCTCCGGTAGCTGATTAGCTCGCTCTCCGGAACGAATTTATCCTTAGCTTCCAACATTCTTTTACAGCATAGTATCCTCTTCCCTCTTCAGCTTTTTTCGCTTCCCCATTTTCGGCCGACAACAAGCGAAACTTTATTCCTTCCACTCCATCACGTGCAGCCTTATTGCCGATTTAAGTCGTCGATCTCTGCGACGATCCTTGTCGATCAACACCGTACTCCAACGAGAACCAACGCGCATCCCCATAAGGTTTTGTTTTCGTTTCGGGCGCGTCGCTCCTAATCTTAACCATGATCCTGCTTCGGACAATTCTGCAGCTGGAACACGATGTCCCTACACGGAGAATGGACATTGCACACTATAAGCAAGAAGACCTGATTGAGATGATGGCAACTCTTCTTCTGGAGCTCTCAGAAAGTAATTTCAGCACGAATTCTCTTCCAATAGACGCCCTAAAAGACCGTGAATACGAGTCCTGTGCGGACTCAGTTTCACTATTTTGCGCCAAAAAAGCACCATCTATCACAATCCACGCGTATTTGACGCGAATCTTCAAGTACTGTCCCGCTACGAATGATGTTTTTTTGAGTTTGCTCGTGTATTTTGATAGACTCGTGGTCCTCTCCGGCGGAGCCGTGGTAATCGGCAACGAGAACATTCATCGCTTGCTGATAGCGGGATTCACGTGTGCGAGCAAGTACTGGAGCGATGTTTACTACACAAATAGTCGTTCTGCCAAGGTTGGGGGTATCCGACTGCAGGAACTCAATACCCTCGAACTCCATTACTTCTCGCTCCTAAAGTTCTCACTCTACATACGACTGGAAGAGCTTCAACAGTATGCGGACGGTCTTCTTCACTGGTATACGAAGCGACAGCAACTCAATGGCTCCAACAACAGCCATGAAGCCAAGATACCCAAAACCCAAGACAACGACGACTAAATCCTCAACACGACCCGAACAAACGCACCAGCAAAAACCGACACAACGATTCTACTCTCTCCTATTAAGACCTCGTCCCAGCCTCTGTCTCCGAGTCCTCGATTCCCGGACTGACATTCGTTTCATGCACTATGTGCTCCCACAGCACCCGTTCCTCCCGCAACAACCAGAGACATTGACTCCCCCCATTATAGATCCTCTCTTCCCGCATGTATATCTCCTTTCTTTTGTTTCCGTAACAGCTCTGTTCTGCAATTTTGTACCGAGTTGCTGTGCAACTCGGTATCAACTGTCTAAGGAAACTTCTTGCATTCCCGCGGAATTAGCCTTTCGTCATTTCTTCTCCACATGCGCAGTCATCGCACCGTCTGATTTAAAACATCGCCGGGCTAAATTTACTAATCTCGCCCAATTCCAGCGAGCTACCTTTTTGTGCGATTCCTGCCCTAAAACAACATTGAAGTGTGTGAACAGCTCGGCAATATATCTGCTCAGTACAACAACATACTCCTAAAAGAACCCCATTCCGCTATCTGTAACACCCCTATGAGCATCTCGTCCACGGTTCTTGAATGTTCGTGAAAACGGAAACAGCTACTGGCAAAACGAGTTCTGTTGCGGATGACGGCAGAGAAGATTGTGGGAGACACGAAAGACGTTTGCGAAGGAGGGAACGTGACATGCCAGAGCTTCCTTGCCGTCATAGCCGGTTGCAGCAGTGTTTCAGGACTCACGCAACAGACTCTGCAGCTTTGTAGCATCGTGAACGATAAAAAAACATAGAACTGACAGGTTGTGCTTAGTTTATGATGTCTGCTTCAAGAAGGACGATTTCGACGGTCTTCACAAGCCCAATTGGTAGGCAAAAGATATATATTTAATCCAGGGACGTGCTGCTTACCTCGTAGGATTACGGATACCGACATTGATTTGTTCTATGAACTGATTGAGCGGTTCTGGTTTCCCCAGCATCCTTCTCAGGCAAAGGAGATTGTACTCCTTCGGCCGTCTATAGTGCTCCTGTTGGCACAGTCTCAACGTATGTCAGCATAGCACACCGGCACCTGCGGTAGATCTGTGTCCAGCAGTGCGGCTGCCGGCTCGCTCTACACCGTGCTGTGCCATGGAATCTGAACCGTCTCTGACTCACAATCGTTCTTGTAGTTTCTCTCCACGACCTGCGTGAAGTTCTTCCTCCAGAGACTTTCACAACGAAGTATCTCTTCCTCCCCGTCAACGACATTAGCAAGGGTGTCGAGGGGGGAGGAACTCACTGGTCATTGCTTGTTGTCGACGTCCCCGACGAGCAGTGCTATTATTATGACTCTCTGAGCAACGGTAAAACCAGAGACTGCACGAATGCTCTTTGCCGGCTGTCACTGCTCCTGAACAAGCGTATGTCTAATTTCTTCAAACACTTTGCCATCTCTATCTGTGTGCTAACCTCTTACCCGTAACAGACTTCTCCATCCACCCAATGAAAGTGCTTCAGCAACGGAATGGTTACGACTGTGGAGTGCATGTTTGTTCAAACTCGATAGAACTTGTGCGACGTCTTTTGTTTTCGCCCATGCCGACGGCTTCCTTGTGGGATTTGGAAGACTTTACTGTTGACGTTCGCAAGGTTCGCGCACAAGTGATTACCTGTGTAGAATACCTTATTGAGCGTTATGGTCGGCGCATCATGAAGGATGCGCCAGACGCCACTGATATAGAGTTTGCATTCTTTCGTCTCGAGAAAGACCAGCTTCATTACTCGGAAGAAGACGAGTTTTCCGACATTGACGAGACACCACTCCTCACAGCGCCAATAAAGCAAATGGAAGACCGGCCTGCATCTGCACTTTCAGTCGTATCCTCTACAGGATCCTTCCGCTCCGCTATGGAGTTCGCCAACATAGACGATGTTCGAACCTGGAAGGCCTTGACGCCTTTGTGAGCGGATACTTCGTAGCAGTGTTTCATTGCCTCTTCTCAGAAGAAGAGGTCTAATCATTTCATCCTGTACTTCCTAACACATAACTTGTACCTTTTAAACATAACAAAACTGACGAAATCTCGTCGTCGTTATCATCGTCGTTTATTCACTACTATGGGTTCTGATTCATAAATCACCAAAAACAAAATCATGCTTCGCGCGAATCTGCCGCCTTCATGCCGAGCTTGATCACAATTAGAAGAAACTTTTTACAGAAACGAGAGATCGAAGAAAGAGAGGTCTGTCTAGGTAGATAATCATTAACAAACGAGTACTGCATCATTGCTTTTACATCAGGTGGTGGTTGTTTGCCTTGGAGATTAGGGAAACTGTTTTCATAAATGGCGCTTTGCTTTATGCGTCCTCGTCTTGAACGCTTTCCATTTTTGCACCCGTTCTAGTGGGTACAGGGACGAGATGTTAAACTTTTGGGAGGTTTGCTAAAGGTGAGGACGATGATGGTCCGTGCATTGCGGAATGCGCAGGCAATGCGCCATCGTCCACGTTTTCTATTGCTGAAGAGGAGGCACTGGAGGATGCAGCCTCATTAGGTTCCTGCAAGGCATCAGCAACACTACCGCGTTGAGCAAGAAGCGTGCTAAACCGTTGGAGACGGACGCGCATATCTTCGTTCAGCTCCACAAGCTCGTGGAAGCGTTCACGGAGTTCTGTATCAGAGATTGTATTCGCGGTTGCGCTCCTGACAACATTGTTGCGTTCCATTTGCAGAGGAAGGAGATCAGGAAGCTCAAGCGTCCCAGCACGAGGATCGGTGTACCGGATATGACCATGCTCAACAACCATAGTAGACGACGAAGGTGTCTGAATGCTGGAGGTGGTTTGGGTAGAGGCTCTTTGTTGAAATACAAGCGGCGCGTCTCTTCTGCTCAGATACAGTTGCATGGGTTGTCCAGGTGCGTTGTTCGTAGTAGGGATTCATAGGAAGTATGTTCCATCCGGGAGGGGGAGACGCATATTTCGACGCAACGTTGCATACCAACCGCCGCCGTTTCCGCCATTGGCGTCTGCGTTAGCGGCACCCGCAGCAGCCGTACCCTCAGGCACGACCAGGAGTCCCGTTTGCTTCCCTGCTGATTGCGCACATCAAAATGTTGGGAACAGCGGCTGCACCCTTTGGTTTAGCTCGTCCAATTCTCACTGTGCCGCGAGTCGTTGTTGAGTACGGGGCGGCGACAGACAGGACATGTCTGTTGCCGCTCAAGCCAGTTGCGTAAGCAGTTGAGATGCAGGATGTGACCACAGGGCAGGCGTTTCGGTGTCATGTTCAGACCGGGAGGAGGCGAGTCAACGTCGTCCGTTTCTGCGGGTGGATGATCACGACGGAACATTTCCTCACGGCAAATAGTGCATGTGCGGTCAGACGAGTTGAGTTGTTCCTCAGTAGCGTCTGGGTACATGGCATCCATGTTTCGAGTAGCTTGGCGATACCGAAGATGCTCTTTGCAGCGACGAACAAGTGAAAAGGTACAGATGTAAATTTGTCGCAGGGTGTACAGCGGCAAAGACTGGTAACTGAACATAAAGAAGAAGAGAAATAAATACACGGCCAAGCGAGTTGCATCCCGGATTACCTCCACGCGGAAGACATAGATAGGTTTGCTTTCCCAGACCTGATTGGGTTGACGAGCCTCGATACCGTGCAGCCAAAACTTTGCAACACTGGTGAACAAGTCGATCAGTAGGACCAAGAACTCGCACAGGAACATCATGCTGAGCTGGGGATGAGCCTTGAATGTGCGAGAAACGCACACATATATGATAGAGACATCGAGAAGGAACAGAGTCACATACGTAAAGATCATCCGCGAGAACATTCGCCAGTCGTGGTCTGCAAATTGGATCTGCGTGCGTTCGGTGCGGAAGGCGCAAATCGAATGAAACACACGGGCTAGAGTGAAGACACTCAGGAGGAAGAAGAAAATGAATCCAAACGTCTCCCGGAACAGTACGGCTGCAATACAGGTCTCGGCAAACGTAAACCAAAACTGTTCGTACAAGTGTTCCACCTCAAATGACTGTAATGTTCCGAACAAAATCGTTTTGAGTACATGAGCAACCGCAAAAAAGAGACACATTATCACGTTCAGTCCAATTGTGATATGTAGCGGGCTCTGAGAAATCATAATTGTTGCAGCGTATACATTAGGACTGTTGTACAGGCACAGTATTACAGATATACCGAACAAAAGTGCCGACGCCTAGTTTGTTAGTGATTCTGGCCCAAAATTAACCGCACGTACCAGCAGATAAAGCACGAACTTCATGGTGCTTCAGTCTTGTTGTGGAGCAGCAATTCACGGCAATATAAGGAATAAAAATGCAGAATTCAAGCCTGGCAATGGGAGAGCAAACGCCGTGTTCATGGACGTGGCAGCTTCCGCGGGGGTTGATGCGGTAAGTGGCGGTGGAGTGCAGTAAATATGAATAACGAGAATCGCGGAGACTCAACGAGAATGTTCTGTCGGGTAGTCAGTCTCCTTCTCGCTTGTCTTTTCTTGGGGGTGGATTCCCTCCCCGTCGGCAGTAAGAGCCTGTAGGTAGTAAGTAGTAAGTAGTAGTAAGTAGCCTTTCGAGGGGAAAATGAATAATAGGGCCCGTAGATCAAGTCGCTGTAATTGCCGAGGAATCAAAGCATTCGTTGTAATCAGAGTCCTGGTACATTGCTGTGAACTTTGATTTTCTCTACAAAGACTCCACGGTTGTCAATTGAATTCCACATTGGCGAGCAATGTCAAGAGCAATAGAACGAACTTCCATAACCTCCTCTCTTGACGCACCGTGATTCAGAGCTCCTTTCAAATGACCACGGAGCTGGGGATTCACATCGAGGGGTATGAGGGCAGCGATAATCACGAAACTTGTCTCCAGAGGAGATATGACACCAGAGTATGAAAGCACTTTACCGTAAGCATAGTCAATAGCCAAGTTTGCGAGATCAAGAGAAGAATTTGTCATAGAGTCCAGTACTCGTTGTGTCACTTTTCCATAAGTTTTGCCAAAATACTCTCTGCCTCGTTTTTGGGTGTCAACGGTAGCATCACTTGCTCTCGCATACACATCCATACACTCCTTTGGAGCGACTGCGGACATTTCTCTCAGTGAATTAATTGTCTACATTGTTAGCGGAGTAAGCAAAAATCCGAGATTTTCGTTTTTTTACAAAAACCCTACTCAAACGTACCCGTGGAAATCCAACCAAAGGAGCAGTTTTCACAAGAGCCTCTCTCAGTTTAGGAAATATAGACGGACCAACTTTCTCCACAGCTTCACGGGCAATCTTTGGAACAACATCTGGCCGATTCGATGCTGAATACGCGACTACGGACACGATAAACCGATGATCCAAACTCAAGATTCCCCTTGTGCTCATATCGACAAAGAGTAATATTTAAATAATGTATAAACGCTGTTAATAAACGGATTCCCCAAATCAGAGGTATGGTATGAAGACAAGGTCGATAGTATATACTCGGAAGAAAAGAGTTAAGCAAGACTTGAACAAACAGGAAACCGTGAATGCACAGGACGCTCTCAACTCTTCAAAAGACTAAACACATGTTTCTCTTCAAGAAATCCGACTCGTTTTATCGTACAAACCGATTCATTAACAAAATTTATGCTACAGAATGAAGGATATAAAAGGATGAGACACAAGAAGCCATTCGAGCACACAACAAACGCTCTGTATTAGAAAAAGAAATCGGGAAAGAAAAAGGGAATTCATTGCGGAGGTTCGGAATACATGCCGAGTTTTTCGTTTTCATCTAAAGCTTGGACGAACGATTTCAACGCTTCGTACTCATCATCCGTTGGTTCGTCCAAGGGCTCTTTTCCGATAAATTGAGGTCCTGGCCAGCAGAACACATCCAATCCATCTACGGCCAAGGAGGGAATGACGAGATTTCCATACTCATTTGTCTGCAGTGACTGAACATCGAGCAGCGCTCGTTCAAACTCCTTCTCAGCAATAGGCTGGATGGCTTGCGACAACTGGACCATCAACGACAAGACATCCATATCATCCACGCTCCGAATGATGCCATCTAGATCCCAGAGCGGTTGAAACGCTGCACGCAGTTGTTCGAGCGTGGACAGCCGAAACGTTTGCACCTGTAAATCCAATTCCGACCATCCAACCCAACCGTGGTCGAGCGCTTTGTCAAACACACTTGTTTTGTCGAGCGAACGGATCCGTTCGTATGCTTGCTTGATTCGTTTTTGTGTTGGAAAGTAAACGAGTGAGACGAACTCTTTTCTGAGCCGAGAAAGCTCTGTCCGTGATTTTTGCCGTTCATGGACATAGTGGACTAGTTGACGAACCTGTTTTAGAGAATCGCGGAGTGCATACGTAATCTCCAGCTGCCGTTTAGATGGCGGTTCTTCCTTTCGAACTGGCGCATTGGCAATTTCGGTCAGTATACCTTCTGACCGAAGAAGTGCTGCGTTTCTTCGAGAACGCCGTTTTTCACGGTAATATGTGCAAAAATTTCGCGTAATTGTTTCGTAAAATTTCGACTCTTTCAGCAGAGCCGATTCATGAAGGAACTTTACAATCTTGTGAACAATATACAGGGGAATATGCGAAGTCGTCCACCGTGGTTCGGGAACGGTGGGCGCTGCAAAACAAGAAAGATAGTTGAAGGGAACGCTGGCAGCAAAGTCAGTGTAATACTTTCTGGCGATGGGCAAAAGCTTATGCATCCCAACGTGCAGATGCGATGCAGAGGTGTGCTTGTCGCAGTAGCACTCTAACTCAACAGAGTCGTAGTTTGGTGAGTGCTGATGTATTTTGTAGTACAAGCCAGCACGCCGAGCGCAGGTGATATGGAAAGCAACGTAGCATGACTTGTTCGTACACTGAACACAAGCACCCCAGCGCTGTTTGCAAATGCTGCACACGAGCTTCCAGCGAGATTTCGGTATCATAGGCACATTGCGGACGAGGTCCAGACGAGGGACATCGTGAAACCAGACTTCAGGAATCGCCATTGCACACAATGTGTGGCACCAGCGGCCATCAACCGTTGTCCGGAATGCACCTTCATGATCAGGACAGCACACGCAAGAGATAATTTGGTCGGGAGCGATGCGACACTTTTTACAGAACCACTGTCCCTCGGGCACAAATGGGATGCCATAGCAGTTTTGATGGACAGCCAGATTACAGCTATCGCAAAACACAATAGCGTTGTTGTGTTCGCATTCTGACTCATTGCAGATCGAGCAACTGCCGTCGAGTTCTTCTACCTCCGTCCGTACCGGTTCCAACTTCGGAACCTGGGCATCGAGCAAGGCGTATTCCCTCTCGATCATGGTAATAAGAATTTCTAAGAATTCGTGATTTAGTTTTTCCCAGTCTGGGTGTTTTGATGCCATGTACTCGTTGTAGTAAGTCAACCACATGGCATCCAACTCGTCCATATCATACTGTACTTGAGGGAATTGCTGCACATGGTGCCGAATAAGACCTGTTCTTGTTAGCCGATGGTCAACTTGTTACGGAATGAGAAACAGCGTGAAGATGGTAGTAGTTCTTCTTTCCGTCGTTCCTTTCCTTGGCGGTTTACTCCCTCGCTATACTCTCACTCCATCGCACTTACGACTCGTTTTGGTGTAATGGTAAAGCGACTTTGGTTTCTCCGTTTGTTTGTCGACATAACCAAACGACTTGTACTTGGGCTGAATGGTGGAAGTGTCGACCTTTGATTCTTCAATCACTTGGACTTTTGCTACCGGCAGTGTTTTCACCACGTACGACGAGTATTGATTAGGTCCATTTTTGTAATACTCAAATCGCTGAAGATTGTCGTACTCTGTACGATTTACAATTTTTAGCGGCTGCTGTATGTTGAGAGTAGGATGAAATACTGCATAAGGAATTTCTTCACGCGGTTGAAACGCAAGTTGTTCCTGTATATTTTTAGACATTACGAGACGAACCACTGCATGAATAGAAGCGCGTTTCTCGTCGTTCTGAACGTCCAAAGCTGTGACCAGTTGGCTTTACAGTACTGGTCCATCCAACAAGCAATGTGTTCCTTTGGTGGTAGTGGAGTATTAAGGGGGACGACAGCTTAGGGCCCAAATCGTCCACGCCAAAAAATTGTTGATACGTGCAAAGCACTATGTACTGTTTTTCTTGCCCGTGAGTGCAGTCTTCTTCGCGCAATTCATTCTTTCAATCTCGGTCAAATTGTACCCATTTTGTGGTGATACGTGGTGGAGTATTTGGCAGCAAATTAAAGTTAACGAGCTGTAACGCATTGTAACCCACTAATCAGCCTAAAAATTTTGCCCATGCAGTCTCCCTCTCCCAACTGCACAATATGGCACCTCCTCAAGGAAAGCCCGAAAATGTGCTTCGTGTATGTGGACAACGCTGTTTCTCTACGATTTCTATTTACTAATTCCGTTTTCAGCTTGCAGATGAGCTTATAGCTCTTGATCAGCACTCTTCGGCGCTGCAGTCGCTTCACGAGATGATTGTCTCGAAGCGTACACGTAACACACAAGTTTCCTCTTTGGAACCGATTATGATGCGTTTCATTGAGCTCTGTGTCCATTTGCGTAAGGGAAAAATTGCCAAGGAGGGCCTTTACACGTACAAGAATGCCGTCCAAAACACATCGGTAGCTACGATTGAAAATGTCGTGAAGAGATTCATTGAATTGGCCAACGAAAAGGTGCAGACCGCTCAAGCTCAAGCTGACAAGATCTCTCTTGAGTATGTGGATGATCTTGAGGCAACCGAGACACCCGAGAGCATTATGATGTCGTTCGTTTCTGGTGACTTGACCAAGAGTCGTACGGACCGTGCTCTTGTCACTCCTTGGCTTAAGTTCCTGTGGGATGCTTACCGCACGGTTTTGGATATCCTCCGTAACAATGCCCGTCTCGAGGTTATGTACCAGGTGATTGCCAACTCGGCCTTCCAATTCTGTCTTCAATACCAACGGAAGACCGAATTCCGCCGTCTCTGTGAGCTCCTGCGTTCTCATCTCGGCAACGCTTCCAAATTCTCCAACGGTCCCCACGCCATCAATTTGAACGATGCTGAGACCATGCAGCGTCACTTGGATATGCGTTTCTCGCAGCTGAATGTCGCTGTTGAGCTCGAGCTCTGGCAAGAGGCTTTCCGTTCGACCGAAGACATCCACAGTTTGTTGACCTTTTCCAAGCGTCTTCCTTCGCCTGTAATGCTTGGTAACTACTACCGTAAGCTTATCAAGATTTTCCAAGTTTGCGACAACTTCCTTCTTCATGCTGCTGCTTGGTATAGATACTATTCTTTCATCGGCTCCGCCAAGCCAGGCACCGCGAACATCGTGCTTTTGAGCGCACTTTCCGTTCCCATCATTGACGGTGTTAAGCACACACCTTTGGACGCGGAGGAGCAAAAGAACAAATACTCTCGTCTTGCAGCTCTTCTGAACCTTAGTAAGATTCCCTCTCGCGAGACTTTGTTGAAGGACGCCCTTTCTCGCGGTCTCCTTCGCTCTTGCGATCCCATTATCCGTGAATTGTATCAAAATTTGGAGCTTGAATTCCATCCTCTCAGCATTTGCAAGAAGCTGCAACCCATCGTCAACAAGCTTGCTGAGAACCCAGAGACCGCTCAATACATTCCTCCTCTGCAACAAGTGATCCTTACTCGCTTGTTCCAGCAGTTGTCTCAGGTTTATGAGGCCGTGTCTTTGAAGTTTGTCATTGATTTGGCCAAATTTGACGCTCCTTACTCCTTCACTCCTGCCCAAATCGAAAAGTTTATTATGAACGGTAATAAGAAGGGTGCTTTCTCCATTAGAGTGAACCATGTTGAGAACTCTATTACTTTCTCTTCCGAATTGTTCTCCACCTCTGTTGCACCTGGCACCGACTCTGTTTCTCTCCAGCCTACTTCTGCTGAGTTGGTCTCTGGCCAACTCTCTCGTGTCGCTAACTCTCTGTCGAGCGTTCTTTTGCGTTATGATACCGAGTTCGGTATGCTTCGCAAGCAACAATCCGAAGCCGCTTATGAGAGGGCTATTGCTGGTATTGAGCAAGAGCGTAAGGCTGCTCTTGCCCGCATTGCTCTTATCGAGCGTCGCCGTGAGCAAGCCGAGTCTATTGCTACGAAGCGCGAGTCTGAGCTTGCTGCTCAACGTGCTCTCCGTGCTAAGCAAGAGGCCGAAGCCGAGTCCAACCGTTTGCAAGAGGAGGCTCGTAAGCGTGAGGCCGAGCGTATCCGCCGCGAGAAGGAGGCTATCCGTATCGAGGAAGCTAAGAAACTTGCTGAGGAGCTTAAGGCTAAGGGTGGTCTTGAGGTTAATGCTGATGAGTTGGAGCACTTGGATGCCGACAGTTTGCGGGCTATGCAAATCGAGCAGGTTGAGAAGCAACATCGCACGATGAACGAGCGTCTCCGTGTTATTGCTAAGCGTATCGACCATCTCGAGCGTGCTTACCGTCGTGCTGCCCTTCCCTTGTACGAAGAAGACGCCAAGAAGCAAGCCGAACACGACAAATTGCAGTTCACTGAGCGCGAGAAGCAACGCCGTGAAGTTTTGGAAAGCAAGCATGCACAGGCTTTGGCTGACAAGAAGTTGTTCAGCCAATTCTCCGACTACATTGTCGACTACAAGGCCGACCTTGATCATGCTCGCGACGCTGAGTACGAGGCCGCCATTGCTAAGCACAGTGCTATCATCGAGGAAGAGCGCGAAAAGCGCAGAAAGGCCTTGTACGATCGCAAGCTTGCAGAACTTGTCGCTAAGGTTAAGGCTGAGCGGGAGGAAGCCAAACGTCTTGCTGCCGATGCTGCCAGACGTGAGGCCGAACTCGCCAAGCGCAAGGAAGCCGAGGCTGCCATGGCTGCTGAGCGTGCTCAACGCGAACGTGAACGCCAAGAACGTCAAGAACGTCTTAATCGCCAAGCTCAAATCCAAAGAGAGCGCGAAGAGGAGGCTGCTCGTAAGATTGCTGCTCGTCGTGCTGCCACCACGAGTGCTCCTCCTCCTCCTAGCGGAAACGTCTGGAGAAGAGGTGGTGGTATGGCCGGTGGTCCTTCCAGATACCAAGCTCCCCGTTCTTACGGTCGTTCCTACGGAAGCGGCGGCTCCAACTCATATGATGACCGCGACCGCGGCGAACGTCTTCGTCCCTCTTCTAATCCTAATGCTTACGTCCCTCCCAGCAGACGTCGTCAGCAACAGTAGACTTAATTATGAGTCTTGTACGCATTTGGCACGGCCGTTTGGTACAACGGTCATATAAAAAATGGTTTGTTTTGCGCAACTTAGAGCCATGTTTCATAGTGGTTAACGAGCTTGGAATGGATGACATTTCTTTACTGTATATCTGTACTATAGGTATCTTGTTTCTACTCTTTTGGTGTTTTCTGCCTTGTTTTCGTAAATCTTTAGTGCTTCGGCGCCAGTAAATAAACTTTTTAGAGTGTTTATCTAAGCGAATGCGGGGAAAGCTTATTTTCACTCAGACAAAGCTGGCCAGGGTATGACCAGCTTGGGCAAGCTGTGAACGAAAGTCTGCATCTCCTTATGTACCGTAGCTCACGAACAAGGTCTCAAAACTCGGGGAAAAAGGCGACTACGTTGTCTTTGGGTACCGCTGAGTATCCAACGCGATTGAATTTTTACCTTGATCCTCCTACTGGGGAAATTAGTCTAGAGGAGTTTGAGACATGGGCTCTGGATCGATTGTACGGTACGTAATTTCCGGTGAAAATGAGAGACACAGTTCTGTTTTTACGAGGAGACGGTGAACTAAGTGTTTAAAACACTTAAAACATGTATCTTTTGGATTGTTCAATTTTTCTAATCAACAACAATTAGTACTCAGTGAAATTGAGAATGCAATCTTTCGAAACAAAACAAGAAAAGAATTTGACCTTTTGCTGCGGAAAGTCCTGGATAAACATCTTCCTATGAGCAGCAACATGGCCCGAAGCGTTAAAGGTGCTCAGGTGGATGCAGAACGATGCAAGGATCATTACTCACACTTTATTCTAAGACTTGCCTTCTGCCGGTCAGAAGAGCTTCGTCGCCGTTTCGTTCGGCTGGAATCGATCCTTTTTCGTTTTCGGTTCATGCAAGAAGAGGCTCGGGAGCGACAATCCTTCGTTGACAGACTCCACTTCCAATGGGAACTTGTTTCAGAGGAAGAGAAAAAATTACTTCATGACAAGTTAACGAATGCCTGTCAGCGGAATATTGATTCAGACACCTTCTTCAAGGTTGACTTTATTCGTGTTCCCGATCTCGTTGAAAGGCGGTCTGTGTATATTTCACGTGGTAATGCTTATGTACCTTTTTCAGAGCAAGTCAGTCTTGTCGTTGATGATTTCGAGCAAAAGCTGTTGATGGCGATGGAGAAAACTGCAAAAATACTTCCACGGTTAGACGAAGATGACCGGCTGGTGCCTATTCTCGACAACCTAGGAAAGGGCTTTATTGCTCCCGAGTATAATAGCCAGTCTGTTTCAAAAAAAGCTGGCGAATTTGGAGCAGACGATATAGACGGTTTAGTTCGTTACTTTCCCCTATGTGCTCAACATCTCCATCATTCCCTCCGTCGCGATAAACATCTTCGTCACTTTGGACGACTGCAATATGGTTTATTTCTGAAGGTATTAATTATTTCATTGTCGTCATTTTGTTCGCAAAATATCATATACTAACTAATCATAGGAAATGGGTCTGAGCATGGAAGAAGCTCTTATTTTTTGGCGGAAAAGTTTCTCAAACATTTCAGACGAACGCTTTAGTAAAGAATACCGCTATAACGTTCGACATCAATATGGCCAGGAAGGTAACCGCCGTGACTACAAGGCATTTTCTTGTCAACAGATTCTAACGGGTCCTCAGCCTGGACCGGGCGATGCTCACGGATGTCCTTACCGGACATTCTCTGTCGAAAATCTTACACAGGCAATTTCTTCTCTTGGCATTACACCCGACTCTGCCGATGGTCGCGAAATTCTTGACGCTGTTCGTAACCGACACTATCACATTGCATGTACACGGGTCTTGGAACTCTCGCATCCCGCTGTGGGTACGCTGTCCGAAACGATTAATCACCCAAACCAATACTTCAACTTGGCATATGCTACTCACCCCGCAAGCAATACCGGCAAGTAGAACTCAAAAAGAGCATTCCATACAACATGCACAAAAAAACACTCCTCTATCAACAACACCCTAGCTATACATTGCACACAAGCCTTCCACAAAAACACTTGTTCTGTTATTGAGCAAATTACATATATACAGAAGACGAACTGACCGGCAGTTAAGCGTTTTCCCCCCTTTTCTCAACCACCCTACTGCGGAGCAGATGAAAAAACGGCAGGGCAAGCAGGCTTTGTAACAAACGAGAATCACAGCAATTAATAAACAAGCATGAAAGACGATGACTTTAACTTCAGATGGCAGGTGTCTTAAAAGGCACACAAAACCATCCTCATAAAGCATGTAGATTTTAAAGATTAGTCAGTCAATGGACGCCTTCAGTAGCATCCTTCATAACGCAACGCTTTGAACAACCGGACGCAAGTCGTCCTCGTAAAAGCCAGAGAATAAAGCAGCGATCACGCGCTCTACCCCTGCCCATCAAGGAGACTAAACGAAAATAATAGATATCACAGCTTACGGAACAATACAACCGCAAAAGTGCAACGTTGGCTCGCACAATAAGAATAAACAGTTTCAGTTATAACCAAAAACAAAGGGCGTGCGCCTTTTCATTAGTCGATTTATGCGACCTGAGCCTCAGCAGTAGCTTGCGTAGCAGCAGGAACGACTGGCTTAGTAGCAGTTGCCGTTTCAGGGGCAGCGACTTCAATGTTCGTGCTGTGCGCTTGGAAAGGCTCTTCCTCCTCGCTTGAGGAGTCGGGCAGACGACTCGTATGAACCTGACCGTCATGGACGCTCAGTTGATTCATCTGCTCAACAGGGGCGGATTCCTCGCCACGAACGTCGTACTCGTTCCACGAGCGGGTCTCGCTGGGAACCTCCTGAGCCTTCTCCTCATAGGCGCTTTCCGACGTCCAGGTGCTAAGAGCACGCTCGGCGTCAACAATGATTTGCTTGCTAGTCTCGTAGCCGTCGTACGCGGGACGAGTTTCGCCAGGGGTGACAGGGGTATCATCGATGAGATTCAACAAATGCTTTCCATAAGATGCAATAAGAGCCATCTTTTCACCATGCTCAAAAAGAGCATCCAGGTTGTAGGTCAAGGCTTGCTTGAACTTTTCACGGGTGATGTTGGAGAGTTGAGCCTCGGCAACTAAGCACGCAGCCTCCTCGCGAACAAGTTCCTGTTCCAAGTTAATCAACTTGGGGGATTCAGGATCCTTGTGTTTCAACATGTAAATCTGGTCCAACAACTTCTGCTTCTTCTCACGTGAGGGCTGGACAGAAGCCTCGATGTTACGAACAGCCTTCATAGTAACACGGTATTGGTCATGGCGATCAATGAGATAATCCTCAAGCTCAGCAAGCTCGTAAAACAACACACCCAGCTTGTCGGTGATGTCGCTAATGTCATCATCGCAGTCCTCTCCCCAGTAGGAGAGCTGACGAGCACATTCGCGGCGTTCACGGCTGACGGTCTCCATGCTTCTCATGACATTCTTCTCCATCTTCACCAAAACAGCCAAACGCTTAGCCAATTCGGGCATAAAGGTGGCCGCAGCATTTTTTCTGACGCTGTGGGAAAAGGAACCAGCGCCGAAAATTCCCTTGTTGGAACGGGTCGACGAAGGAGGAGGAGGAGGATTGGAAATTTGGGATGCGGTAGGGGCACGCGAATTTCTCAAGGAGTAAGCGCGATGCATACTGAAACGGGAATTGTAGGATTAAAACTTGGAAATTAGGATGTAAAAAAGGTCACACAGTGAAGTAGAACAATGTATAACGGCTGAGTAAATAGCGAAACAAACACTCGGTGATAACCACTATTACTTAATATTAGAATCGTTAACTGTCTGCCGTAAAGAACGGGTAACTAGATTCAAAGACAATGGATAGGTATAAACAAAAGACAGAAAAGTGCAGCTGGTAGGAGGAGGGTAGAACCCCAATTTATAGCAACGGCCAGCCCCTTGTTGATTACATCATAGGTAACAACAATGCTCGCGACAGAGAACAGTGCATGAACAAAAAGAACGCAGCAACAGAAAAAGCTTATTTTCTATGAAATAGGCCAATTAAGTCGACCTAAAGCAATTAAACATACGCAACTATGACGGTCCATCAGCGACAAACTTTGTAACGTCATTTTAATGACGTTGCTTCTCCAGCTTTAGAACCGCCCAGCCAATAAACAAGCGATGTAAATTTGATTGGGCTCGGTACTGGACCCGGCAATAATCTTAACGATGCTTTATCTGTATTGAAAGACGGTTCGTTGCTTTGACATTACCGGCACAATTCTTCCCACAAGAAATAAGCAACGCTAGTGTGCAATAACAGAAGTAGGTCTGATTTACACGATAGCGGGGGAAAAAATTAACCATTGCAGGATAGATTCTTTTTACGTGATTACAATGATATTTTTGTATAATCTTTGCTATTCCTAAGTGCAACTAACTTCGGAGCTGCTTTCTCATAGCTTTATTCACTTGAGACAGGATCGGCATCTTCTCGAACATGATGTTAAAATTACATCATTTTTCAAGAGGGAGAGCTGTCGGTAGTACTAATTTCCAGCATCAATTTGTAATTGGTGGAGAATTGATCGTTCGCGAGCTTATGACGTATGCAAATTTGGAGAAATGCGGGACACCGGATACATGACGTCTTGAGGATTCCCCTTCCTCGTGCTCATTGAGTACGAAGATAGTGAAACAAATGTCTCCTGTGCGTGGTCTGCAAATTCACCTTAAACACATTTATAGAAATTTCAAGTGTATTGTAATAATCTGAATCTAAGTTTAAGGTTCCATGTATCGTATTGCACTTTTCGTGTCGCATTAAGTCACGCAAACTCGCGTAAATTATACCAAACGCGTTAACGAGATGTACCGCCTAGTTCTATCGGCAAGTACTGCTACCGTGTTGTTGGTTGAGGTTACGGGAACTCCCAGGACCGTCAGGTAGAGTAGGTGTACGTGGTGTGGTTAGTGTATCGAATCTGGCGTTTGGTTACTAAACAACAAGAGCAGTCCTAAAGGTGGTGAAAGCAAAATTGCTGTGGTGTTAGCGAAAACAGAATTTCAAGCCCGTATTCCTTCGTGTAGCCGCATATCACACGAGCCTACTTACAGTCGTTTTTGACGATACAATTTTGAGTGAAGCAGTTGTATTTTACTGCTCACAATCTGGTTTTTGTCTTAGTTTAAAGTTTACAGGACAAAAACGAAGAAACAGAGCTTAATTGACAAAATTCAAGTTGAAAGGACTACGGTAGCAGGATTTTCATTATTTTTTTAAAGCATATATTCTCTTAATCATTTACTTAAACCCTACTCGTGCATTTAAGACAGAATGACGGCATTTTCAAAGTCTAGATTCACGTTTGATGTTTTAAAACAGCTTCCTTATGAGTGTGACAGTCGGTCAGAACAGCTCTCGAAGCTTGAATTCATTTTGTCCAAACTGTACGGTGCCCTTACGGTCTGCAGTTGGGCCAGCATTGCCAAATGGGACAGTGAGCTTGAGAAATGGCTCCAGTTGGAGTACAGACTGCCCAGAAAGGCGCATACGACGCTTGTTAGTATCTACTATGAACTGGCAATTACTTTAAACCTCCCTGAATGGGTTGATAGAAAAGCCACAGATCGTTTTAGAGAGTTATTGGACCTTCCTTCGTGTCCGGATGAGAGTTGCAATGGCAATGTCTGTACCCATCCTATCGACAAGCGTTATCTTACGGTAGCTGACTTGCAATTGGATTGGCGTCTGGCCTTTGGGCTTATGGAGAAGCAACTTCATCCTCTCGAACAGTATTCCGCAACCATCACACCTAGCTACTCATTTGATGCGGAGTTGGTTCATGCGGCGAATGCATTCTTTCCGGCAGAAGAGACGAAGAACGTGCTGGATGAAGTGCTTCCTCTGTTTTCCTCTTCCCACTCTGCAGATGCGTTTGTCGCTATCGGTGTGCTCTCGTTCTTACTCCCCACTTCCCCTTCCTCTTCAGAGGATCCGAGCTTGAATCCGCAGACATGGCTCCCTACCATTTTCCATCTGTACAATATGTCTACGAGAAGCACCGTTGCCGATACTATGTTCTTCGATATTTTTGCTCGCCTGGCTGCCAGCGGTCTCAGCGAAAATTCTAAATATCAATTCTCCGAGTACGGCGTGTTTACTCCGGAACAGGCGCGAGCTTTGTTTCACTATGGTCTTCGCCTATTCGATGTTGACATTCCTAATGGAATGACCTTTTTTTCGAACTCAGAGCAGTATACAGTAATGTCCATGTTCAATGCTGCAAGTTCTGACGCAGTTTCTCGGTTCGCTGAATGGATTGTGTGTTCATTAAGTTCGAAATGTGAAGAAACAGGAGACAGTATTCTCACTATGTTGAGTGAGCTCTTTTCCTTGATTTTACAGTATTACCACCCATCGGTCAGTGGTTCTAGCAATGAAATGCTGTACCAATTTATTGCTGAACTATCGCAGCGCTTTTTGAAACGTTGGACATACGAAAATGACGAACAAGTTTCCATTCCGAAGGAAAAACGTTTGACAGAAGCTATAAAAAAGGAGTTCGTTGCGATATTAAAACCATCAGTATTTTTTGGTATTTATTCAAGGACCCGTTACTTACGTGAAATGGCACAGGTATCCCTCTGGGCGCTCGCCATTCTTGAACCTGACGTTATTGTGCCATCTATGTTGAAAAGGATTTATCCAGCGTTGCAATCATTACTCGAAACACACCGTACCCTTGTTTCATTGGAGTCGCTTATTTCGTTGGCTCAAGTCATTGCTTCGACGAAACGTTATCAGCCCCATATTCTCCCGCTTTTGGAACTCATTCTTCCCGGAATTGACCCTAACGATTGCGACAAAACAAAATTGGCCTTACAATTTGTGGCCATCATTTCCCATTGTGTATCGTTTCACAATATTGATGAATATGCTGACCCTAACCTGTTCCTTCATTGGTTTCAAATGGAAATGGCTAAGTTGGAGCAGATGAAATTTGACAATCCTGCATCAGACAATGAACTTGATGAGGGTGATGTTGATTATGACAAAATTATGGCTAGTGCTATGACTAGTTTCTGCGACTGGCTGCTTGCTTTTGAGGGACGCGTGTTTACACTTCTTGAGAACTTTCCGGATGGCGACAATAAGGAGTCTATTGAAAAGTACCTCTCAATGACCATGGAGCCGCTGTTGGATTCTCTGAGTGATGAGTGGCTTGATCTGGCTCTCTCAAAGGTTTGCCATTTTATTTCAACGAACGTTGTCTATCAGTCAATTGATGCCATAAACAAGGTTTGTGCGGCGTTTATGTGTACTGCGCCCGAGAAAACTTGGAAGACTCTGTATCCCATTCTCTTTGCCAACATTTTTTCGGAAATTGACGAGAATAAGGCAGGACTATCTCGAGGTAGCAACTCAAATGAGATTTTGCCTCGCGACCGTATGTTGGTTTGGAATCTTAGTATTCTTCGTGCCGTTATTGGCTCCAATGGAAAATATTTCATCGGAAAAGAGGATGAATTAACACAGCTGCTCGACAAGCTTCTTCTTTGTCGGGGTTTCACGGGATCCTTGACATCGTCGTTCGTCCTTCAATTGGTATTTCTTTTGATTTCTGTGTACCCTGCCGCCTCTCCAGAACGACTACGACTCAAACCGGAAAAATGGGGGAGACCTTGTGATTCGGAGTCGTTCAAAATGTGCTGGAACATGCCTTCTAAGCAAGAGATTGAACTGGCTATTTTCCTTTGCAACCGTTACATGACATTGTGTATGGATCGCCTGCAAGAATTGGTCATTACTAACAGGCCACACACCGCAACAATTGAATGGATTGATGAAGTTTGCACATATTTTGAATGGTTAAACTCTTTAACTTCAGCATCAGCGGAAATGTATCGGGTACCCGACGAAGAGTTTGTTCCGGAGTCTAAGCATGATGAATACAACACCTATACTGTCGATTATCAATATGTACGTTCAGCGGTCCGCAGTCGCTGGAACTTGGCTTCTCAACAAAGTTCTATCATGAGTGCTTTACGGGAACGTTTAGGTTCACTATTGATTGAACTTCACAATGTTATTTTCGACTCCGTCGATTATGATGTTTGTTTATTGGCAAATTTGGTCACTTGCGAAAAATCCTTTTTGTTGGATTATGAGTATCCGGAGTCTTTACGGCTTTTTGAGAATATAACATTCCGTTATAATCTGTTGGCTTCGTATTTTTCCTTTAAACCGCAAAAACAACCTTTTAACGCGACACTTCTGGGTACGAGAATTTATTCGGTCTTCCTTAACCATCTTCGCTTGTCGTACGTGACACGAATTCCTACTGCAAACGAAAAAACAATATTAAAACAGCTCATCAAACCTTGTTGTTCGCAATATGCTGTTATACGTCTTGCTGCTCAAGCTTCTCTGGCATCTTGTGTCGTTCTTTTCCGTGACACACGATTGGAGATTTTCCAATCTTTGGTGGACATTCTAAATAAAGCCGAGGATGTTGATGTGCTCGAAGGGTCGATTGGTGCTTTAGTTATAAGCCCTTCGTTGTTTAATATGGTAAAACGACAATGGGTTTTCTTGTCCCCATTACTTCATATTATTATTCGGTTACAACGTTTCGATAAACCCATACTACAAACCATTGCTTCGCGAGTTTTTGAGAATGTTATCACAAGCATATGCTATGAAACTTTCTTTCCCGTTTATGAACATCGCTACGTCCCTAAAATTACTTCACCAGCTGAGATTGAAGAATTAAACAAATTATCTGCTGCATTGAAAGAACAAAGGCAAAGAGACCAAGAGGCGGCTCTTAAGACTCGAGATGCGTTTGTGGAAATACTTCCTGGTGCTCATTGGAAAATTCAGGAGCTTATCACACATGCGTTTTATTCTTCGTTTGCCAATTTCTTTATTCCGCCAACGCCAAAAGTGTTAGAGTTAATGGGCGAGGGAACTATCTCTTCACATCCGACCATTAGAACCAACAGTTTTGCTGGATTTGTTGAAGTTATGTATTATATATGGGAAGTGTCTCTCTCTAAGGGTAATACAAAAGATTTATTGTGTCAAAACATTCGTCTTCCCAATGAGATAACGTTGAAGAGGAATTCTGAAAATGTTGAAGCAATGAAACGGGCTATTTTCGATTTTCGAAGCTGTCGGAAATCGTACTGTGTACTATCAACTTACCCCGGTTGGCTTGTCTTACCTGATCATTTGGATGTTCTCGAGCGTACTTGTAGTGATCAGATAGACTTTTCGGCTGTGCAAGACCTTGTTGATACAGCTGTCAAAGTTATCAACGAATCTTGGCTTCAAAAGCTGCTTAGTTACCTGGTTCAAGAACCTCGTGTCGGTACTGATGCTGATGATTCTTCTGCCAGAGGAAAATGGAGAATTAACGTTGTCTATATTTGGGAAGCAATTTTCAAGCTTCTTTTTAGCACGAAGTCCTATGTTTCCACAAACTTTTTACATAAACAGGTTGAGACTTTATGCTCATCTTCTGATCGCTTTTGTAACAGAGCTGGCACTGAACTGCTTACTGGCATCATATTGAGTTTACCACGATGCAAAAAGGAAATTGCCGAAAAACATTGGAATTGGATCGTTCCTCTTGTAACTGCTTTATTGCAGACAGGTCTTTCTTCGGAGAATTTGGGTTTCTGGTCTTTACTTATACAAACTGTCTTCATGGATTCCGATCCTACTCTTTATTGGCCATTGTATCATTTATTGGTTAATTTGCATCTTAATGTAACATTTAAGCACGTTTTTTGGGACAGTGCAAGACTTAAGTTAATGAGGAAGCTAGTCGAAACATTAGGTTGGCATTTTCAATTTGAGCAGCCTTTATATGATTTATTGCTTTCAAACTTACAACAACCATATGAAAAGTATAGAAAGGAAATCGGGTCTTTGTTGGCTGAGCTCGAAAATGCACAAATTCATGAATCCTACGAATCCGTTGACGCTTTACTAAAGGCGAATTCTACAGAAGGCCCTCTTGGTGCATTCTTTGGAAAAAACCCAACTACAAAACTTACTGTATTGATAAAAGCATACGAAAAACTCGAACTTCTGCGAATTGAAGCGAAAGACAGTTCAGACCGCAAGACTTATGTAAATTACGCGAGTACGATGGCTCGCTGGACCGAAAAACTACTCATGTCCCCTTGCGGTTTTATTGTCTTGCCTATCGTTCCCGGTACGGTATTACCAGCTGTACTCCATATGTTGGATGCCAAGGATGATGACGATTTACAAAATGCAGCAGCTTTCCTATTACAACTTCTAGGAAATCTTACTTACCCAACTACAACTGTCGATGAATTCTGTGATGCGTGCCTAGCAACTATGAAAAATCAGGATTCGTGGCATCACCGCTTACATATTCTTGCCGCTCTTCTTCCGTTTATGTTCCGTCATTCGTTTATTGCGAGCAAGGAAATAAAGTTATCTGTTTTAGAGGCGCTTGTTACTATGCTTGATGATACACAGCTTGAAGTTCGAGAGGGCGCGGCTGTTTCTATGGCTATGCTGGTTCATTGCTTCACAAAGTCACGCCTTGATATTATTCTCAACTTGCGCAAGAGATTCCTTGAGGTGCTTGATACCACGCTGTCGCCTATCTCCAAGCTTGCAAAGGCATTGGTACAGGACGAATATAACGAACTGATTGCTCAAAGACATGCCGCAGTTTTGGGGCTTTCGGCATTAGTTAATTCTATATCATTTGATATGCCCCCAGACTGGATGAAGCCTATTCTATTGCGTTTAACTGCAATAACAAATCATCCTCATCCTATTGGCGCTAGCGCTAAAAAGACCATAACTGACTTCAGAAAATCACGTTCAGATGTTTGGCAGTTCATGGACAGCTACTTCACAAGAGAGGAGCTTGATGAGCTTAGAGGTGTATCATCTCATTCGTATTTTGCATAGACAATAAAGAATGAGATTTGAATAAGATTAAAAACCTACATTAAGTATCTAGATATATATACTCAAGGACCTTCGCGCTTCATTCGTTGAATGCCTTCTCTCAAGCGACTAGAAATGTCACCATTCTCAGACCAGCTTGTTGTTTCCTTTGGACTGTAGGAGGTAAATCGTGGGTATATTGAGGAGCGTCTTGAAGTGAGTGAGGATATGCTTGGCAATCTTAAATGAGATGGTTGTAGACGTACTCCAGATTCTTTTGCCTGAGGCTTCACTTCTGGCGTGTTTGCGGACACGTCGACTTCCATTGAACAATCGTCTGATTGCTTTTTCTCCAGTTCAAGAAGCACTTGTTGCAGTCTTGTGTTAAGCTTTGACATCTCTTTTTTCAAATCTGTTATTTCCAAATCTCTTTGTGAAATGATAGCCTGTGAATTTAAAAGACCTTCTCGCAGTTCTGAGTTTCTGAACTGTAGAGTGTTGATTTCTCGCAAAAGGCGTTCTCTTTCCATGGCATCTTCATTTTGCCTAACTTCACGAACGGCTTTCTCCGTGCGAAGCATCTCTAGTTCTTCCTTTTCCGCATCTGTTGCTGTTGTTACGGAACGCAGTGTTGATAAATGTGCTTGTCTGTCGCTATCACGCTCTTGCACCTCATTCCTCGAGGGTATAATACTCAGTCTACTAGAACCTGATTTTAATGAAGAAGAACGGATAGCTGACTGGGGTACTTTTAGGAGCGAAACAGGTCGAGTCTTTAACGAGAGATTGTTTGTCCGAGCAGGGACCGGTGTAGTAACCGATCTACTGCCAGCTGAAAACTGAGTTGTTGGTGTCGATTTACCTGATGTAACTGGAGAAGCTTTTTGATTTAGGCCTTGGGTATGCGGTGATCTCGGAAGAATAACAGAAGGCTTAACTTTTAATGACAAGGATATGTCCCGAGACTCCTGTGATTTTGTATAAGGAGAGGCGACCCTTGGAAGTTTTGGTTTCGGCTGAGAAGGATGGGCGTTCACTTCAACATCTTCGGAAAGGTCAATGACTCGAGAAAGCTTTTTTGGTTCCAAACCAGGAAGGTACTTGTTTAAAATCGGTTCTCCAAACATCTTCATGAGTACCGCAAGTAGACCATAAGTTGCGATGCGGACGCTTTCAGACGTATCATTGACAAGATTAAGAGAAGCGGCACAAAGTGATTCCAAACATGCACGAGTAGGGCAAGAACTACTAGCAGTGAGACATCTACTAATGAAAGCCAATGTTTCTGCCCTGACTTGAGGATTCTTATGCTGCAAATAACCAAACACTTCATCATCAAGAACTTCATTCAAACCACACTAAAGGTTAGTTTTAAAAAAAAAAAAAAAAGAATGAACACATACGGATTGAAATATTGCATCAGACGCTTTCGATAGGGCAGCCACGATTGATGTTTTCCTCTCTTTGAATCGATCCAAAACAGCAGGAAGAATCTATAAATGTTAGTGTACTTGCTCTTATAGTTATGAAGTTTCATACAATGCTCTTATACGGAATGAAAAAGTTACCCAGCGCTGAAGCCAAAGTAGCAACGCATTTTGCAGCCATGCTTACAACAGCAATATTTGCATCTTTCAGACACTTTGCCAAAGAGCGCATTATATCACCATAGTTTGCATCACAATCCAACTGGTTTTTGGAGCAAAGTTCGTAAAGCTGGTCTAAGGCCATTTTCCTGTCTTTCCATTTGGGCTGATTAAGGTTCGTAAAAAAACCCTCAGCTAGCTTATCATTGAGATTTATGGGAAATTCGCTAAAAGTAGATGCGGCTTTGGTTTTGACAGGAGAAGAAGGAGTGCTTTGTTCTGCACTCTTTGAAGAAAAGGAATTTGGTGATGTTTGGAGAGTAGGCAATGGAGCTCGAGTGTTCAATGAGGGCTTTCGGGAATGCCGATGAATTTCATTGCTCTTCGTTTGTTTTTTTGGCTTAGTTTGTTCTGGAAGGCTAATATTTATTGAAGCCTTTTGAAATTGTTGTTCGAGTTCTGAAACCTGAATTGGCTTCAGCGAAGGGAAAATGGCGGTTTTGACAATATCACCTAGAGTTTTATAGACAGCGATAGACAAACTTGCAGCCGCCTGTCTTATGTTCTTGTCTGAATTAGTAAGAAGGCCAGGCAGGGAACCAAGGAGTGCAGTTTTTTGACTTTGAGGAACACCGTTTTGCTCAATAAAAGCACTGAGCACCTTAATTGCTGCAAGGCTTTGCTTCGGGTGACGAACTTGACTCGATGACAGTAGACCTTCAAAGACGATATCGCCAAAGCCATTTTCTGCGTAGAGGAATAAGACCCCCTGTGAGACGGAACGCGTATTAGGCCGTGTAGATGGTAGACACTTTTCAAGTATGCATGGTATTGTTATGGGCTTGGATGTCATAAAGCCCTTGCGGCCACTATGAAGCAGAAAGGAGTGTAAGGCTTGAATGGCCGCCTCCTGCACGGAGACATTATTGTCGCACAACCCCAATTTCCAAAGGTTGGGTTCACGAAACCATTGAAAGAAACAACGTTCATCTTCACTCGAAGAGCTCTGAAATGCATCGTTTAATTTTTCGAATGATTCTAACCTGACCTTCCATGACCTGTCAGAAAGTAATGTCTCCACGTCGAAATCAGGATCGTCAAAATTCATAGGTTATTTGACGAATCTTTTTATGAATATTTATGAGTATAGGTACACAGACTCCAGTGATTCTTCCAAACGATGGTGTGAATTGAGCTGCCAAAAAAAAGTAAAGTTTTATACGTTTAAATCAACTGAACGTGAGTATCCAGGATCAATGTATCTGCCGTATTCAATAATTTAGTAAAAGAGAGGAACGAGACGACCGCGTTCAAGCCGGATGCTGTAATTAAATTGTACGAAAAAAATGAATGCACGTATATTCCCTTTTGGTAATAAATACCTGGGAACAATGCGACAGAATAGATGAATAATTAAAGGGAATCAATAATTTGTAAAAAGTAAACACGATTTCGGGGTTTCCAGGAGAACATGTAGTTTCCTAGGTTCGTGTTGAAAGTTGGCTCAGTAGGTCGGGAGACAATAGAAGGCTTCAGATACTACAGGCGGTTTACTTACAGCAATTCATCTGTAGAGAACATATGTTGTTCTACGTGACTTTTAAAGAGTACTTTTACATAGAGTTGCTTCTGCTATTGCCGTCATTGTGATGATCAAACGTAGTAACACTCTGTCTAAATTTTGAGGTAAAACCATAATTAATTAGAGTAAACTTAAAGAGAATTGCGATTGTTTAAAGTATCCCACTTTAAGGAATATTGTTTATTTTGGTAACTATTTGTGTAATTAGGACATTTCATGAAACCATGGAAAGAACTTCAGTACGCAACTTACAAGGCCTGTTCTGGCTGGAGTAAACCACGTTTAACGAACAAGTCAAATGTAAAGGACCAGAGTTTTTCGACGATCGCAGTACTGTGATCGCGAAGAATGCGGCCTCTTTGAATAACAGCTGTCAAGTACATGCCGTTATATTCGCTTTGGTTCAGCTTCGGACACGTAGCCGCATATACCTGAGTAAGTGCACCACGTTCGGGAGAAATGGAGAAGCCAACTTTGTACAACAGGTTTTCCATGCTTGCGCTAGAATGGCGATAAAGGTCGGTATGAACTGCACCAGGGTGAACGCTGAAGGAGTGAATGCCGAAACCCTCCAGACGCTTAGCAAGCGCCAAGCTGTGAAGAATATTTGCAAGTTTGGATTGTCCATATCGAGCATACACACCGAAATAGGCGTCCTTCATATTAAGATCTTCAAAGTGAATGCCATCACGAGGTGCAAACAAATGTCCAAGACTAGAAACGTTTACAATTCGAACCTCACCGCTAGGAGAATGTGAAGCTGCACGTTTGAGAGCGGGCACAAGGTACATTGTAAGCAAATAGTGAGATAAGTAATTTGTTTGAATCATAAGTTCAAAGCCATCTTTGGAGAGCTCATAGGGGTTGAACATGCATCCTGCATTGTTGATGAGCAAATGTAATTCATCTTCAGCCTCCAAGAATTTCTTTGCAGCCTTAATAACGGAATCAAAGTCCAACAAATCAATATTCATGAAGACAACATTAGCTTCAGGAACATGTTCTTTAATGAAGTCGATCTTCGCATTGCATTTGGACTCGGAACGTCCTGCAAGGTAAACTTTTGCGCCTTTACGGGCTAATTCTAATGCTGAGACATATCCAATTCCGCTACTGCCACCAGTAACAATAGCAACCTTTCCTTTCAGGTTGGGAATATCATTGTACGTCCACTCTGGAGTGTTGTTACCGAGGTACTCGGTAATTGTTTTTTTAGCACATGCAAAGATACCCATTGTGGAGATCCGTACTACTCAATTGTCTGTAGATTCTTATTAATTCATACAGGAAGCTGCTTTTTATAAATAATTAACCTCAATATTGCGGAAGTTTTGATATCCTTCTGACGTAACGAGACCAACATTATTTTAGTCATCATTAATGTATTCAGTACCGAATGGGCAACATACGGAAGTACGGCATTATACCTTGCCTTACGGTACGCTAAAAAAACATACCGAATGCTGAGAACCTCTTAGTAGGTATAGTTTTTTGGAGCAACGTTAGCACCAGCAACCTTAGCCACATTTTTTAGAGGAGCACAAAGCCTTGATCAGTATTACTCATGAAGTCTGTGAGAACGAACCTAAATACTAATACATACTGAAACCATAAATTAAGAAATGAAATAAAACAAACAAGTTTTAAGGTTTTAACTCAGTTGAGTGCCGGACTAAGAAGCCTGCAAGAAACTGAGATGAAAATAGTAAAAAAAGAAAAAAGAATCCGAGTAACACAAGTGCCCCATCAAAATTGGTATTAATTGAAAGCTTAATATGAAAGAAACAAAACTGAAATGGTCTTAGTGAGCTCTTTTAAATTGTATATTAAAATGTGCTGAATAATCGTATATTGTGGAACACACCTACACGCTTTCAACTAAGGTTTACCGAGTAAACTCACCACCATATGGCGGAAGCAAACACGGTGTGCCTTTCTCCCTTCCCCAACATCATCAATATTGCGGGTTCAGCCTCGTTGTTCAGTCTAGTGTCTCAGTGAACCTTAAAAACGAAAATTATATTACTATAAAACAAGGATTTATTTTTGCTAGCACAGTCTCTTGGAGGAGCGGTTAAAGCCAATACTGATTTCATTACAGGCATTTTATCATCAGCTTTAACCACTAAACTGTTAACCCTGTTCATAACGCAGCTTTTTTTTGGAAAGTTATTCTGCGATTTTCATTATTTTTTTGGTTAATTCAAACAAGTACAGTCGTCCGTTGTTTACATTGATAAATTTTGGACAGTTTCGACCATAACAGCTTCACCTGTCAAACTTGTAAACTCAAAAGGAAGCAAAACACACTGTGACAGGATTTTGTCGAAAACATCTAAAAGAGAAGATAACTCGCTCATTAATAATAGCTCTCAATTCCTCTTGCCATGTCGAATTCCAATGCTTCACTGCAAGCGGCTGCCATACCGAGTATGGAGGCGTTAAGAACGCTATGGCGTAAGTGTCCATCTGAATCGTTTTTGTTTTAACATAACTAACTAGGTAACATAGCTCCTTCCACTTCCGGCGATTCACAAGAGGCCCGGAGTGTTTGGGCTAAGCATCCAAATGATCCTACGGTTCCTGCTGCTGCTCCAGCTGCCGCAGGTCTTTTTTCCTCTCCATTGAAACGCGGTGCTCCTGATTCAAAAGAGTATATGGATCGTCATGTGCTTTCAGAGCCTGTTTCTGTGAGCAGTGCTACTGTGTATGACTTCTACCGTCACTGCACTGATTACGGCCATTCTTATGATTGGCCCTACTTCCGTTCATTGCGTCGCGAGTTGGCATACCGCAATTCTGTCGACGCTGCTCCTTATCCTCCGTATCGCCCAGAACCCAGTCCCCGCTACGCAGTACCTCCGTATGGTCAACGTTCTCCGACAAATTATCCCATGCGTTATGAAGAGTCTTTGCAGTCTGCAGGACAGCCCCCGCTAAAACGTCGTACTTTATTAAGTCCACATTTAAGTGGCATGAACTCTCGGTTAATGATGCCTTCACGGTATGAAGATGAGTATTACACGAGACCTTATAATTATGGTAAGGCTCCTGCCCAAGCGTCCTCTTTTCAAAGTACCATGCATTCCAATGGCTACACTCCTGCACGACCAGAAAGTGTCCCGGAATCAGCTGGAATACATGGATACCACCCTATGCGGCAGGATGCTGGCGATTCACCATTGTTTTCGGAACCAACTGCTCATACTGAAGGGTATCGCGATTTCGATCCTTTACACGGAAAGTTTGCTCCCCCGTCCTCTCATTCGTATGGCATCGAGCCTTATGACCATAAAGCCGAACCTCGTCGTGAAAAACCCAAAACACGAGCACCTACACCCCCTCCGTTGGATTTTGAGCATGCTCACGAATATCGCAATGAAAAGGGTGAACGTGTCTCCATGATCAATCCACGTGTTATCCTTGATGAAAATGGAATCTCACATAGTATGTTTGTATGCGGTCTTTCACAACATGCTAACGTAGTTACAGGGTCGCGGTACTTCATCATGCTGGTGGATAATGAAACAGCAATTAGTCATGCCAAACGAAGTTCTGTTTGGAGTCTTAAACAAAATTATGCGAACGCTATCAGCGAAGCTTACAAGGTACGTACCCTAACGTTTTTAACTGGTTTCGTTTACTAACTCTTTTGCAGCAAGAAGCAAATGTCTATTTTATTTTCATCAATGCCAAGTCCTATAATGCACTGGGGTATGCTCAGCTTACTTCTGATGTCGGGACTGTTGCGAAACCGTTTTGGGCAGATACCACATACACTAATGGTGTAAATGTCAAGTGGATTAAAACGTAAATTTTTAAAGGCACGGTTAATTCGGTTACTAACATATCAGGTGTAACTTGTATTCAAACGAAATTTCAGAAATTGTGAGCCGCATGGATCACGGTGCTCGGGCTAGAGATGGTCAAGAAATGATGTACGACGAAGGAAGTCGTCTCTGTACCTTGATCAATTCGGCGATTATGAAACGTATTGGTAGAGATCGTTGATGTCTTAATTGTTTAATCACTTTCTGTGCAACAGCCGGACTGTTACGGGAACCTCCTTTTTGATGATGTGATGAATTCAGCATTCAACAAAAACTCAAGTCTAGTTTTGTTTATGTGCTCATCTAAAGATGCCCTTTCTGTAATGTTTTGGACCTCTTTAAGAGTCAAACAAATCGAAATTAAAAGAAAAAAGTATTGTTTAAATTTGAATCTTAATTTGGTTTAAGGGACTTGGACTCTACAGCTAAATGGAGAGATTAACATTCGTATACGGCATTATGTTCGTTTAAATCAATAATACTGAATTATTTAAAGATCACTAAATCAAAAACATGAAATACACTGTTAAGCAAAGGGTATATATGAAATGTTCCGTTAAGTAAACGCCATCACATGAACCACATCTTCGTCTTTAGCGAAGGAGCAACCTTTCTTAAGGGTTTCACCTCTTCAGGTTCCGTGGCTCCAGAGGCAACACTGCTGGCATCATCTTTAGCAGTATCATCTTGGAAACGAGCCATGTTGCTAAGCAAGTGAGCATAGTAAACAGGTGGCACAAGAGAGACAGCAGTTGTCGCACGGGCATAGACATAGCACAAGTTGTAGCACAATGACTGGAATTGATCAGGAGGCATTTTAATTTCATCATACAAGACAGTATAATGAATGGGCACCGAAACACCTTGCAAAGAAGGATGTGACACAAGGTAAAAGTCGTACTCAAAAGGATGTGTAACCACCTTTTCCACAATAGTACCAGGCTTAGGATTACCATTACGGTCACCATCTTGAGGTTTTTTAACGAAGAAACGAGCGTGATGACGCTTTTGCGTAGAACATACTAAAATTCTAGGCTTGTACTTTGGAGAGAGAAAGTAGCAGGCTTGCTTAATTTCCGCAAGCTCCTCATCAACGACTTGCTTAAATTGACCGTCAGAAACGCCATCACGGAAATAAATAATTTGTGCAGGTTCCTTCTTCGTGATATGGCGGAAACCTTGTAAGAAGTAGACAACCATGTCTTTCATTCCTTGAATCATTTCCTGGTTGCGGTTTTGAGCGCGGGACATGGCTGTATATTTACAGCCATGAAGATCAATACTGCCAACCATTGATCCAATGGAAGCACCAGAGCCTCCTCTAGCAGGGTGATACACATCACCGCCGAGGATAATGGTAGGGATGTTTCCAAGTGGAAAAGACTTGGGCTCAAGGTGAACATTAACGCCTCCGAGTTTCGCGTTCACCTTCATACCCAAGTTCGCACAATACTGAGGCTTTGCGCCTTCAATATGCTTTCTTAAAGCACATTGACTAGGAATACCAAACTTGGTATTACAAAGTCGTTTAATTGTCGCATACGGCTCAGGTGAATTAGAATCCAGAATGAAGAACAAGTAGTCAGGAGTGGCCCTGTGAAAGTCGGCAGTCTTCTTAATCACGTCTCCTAAAAGACCTTCCAAATTACCACGAGGATCTTGACGATAAATGCGAGGATTCTTGCACTCAAAACTGATTCCCAAACCAGTAAGGGTATTCACATACGTTCTCAAGAAATTCTCAATTTTATTGTTGGGCAGAATTCTTGTGGGCAAGAAACAAACCACTGCCCAAGAACGTACGGGTCTGTCGGGAGTGATAAGGAATCGCTTTCCTCGAAGGTTCCAACGACCGTCACGAGGATGTTCATAATCATCATGATACATAATGCGGGGTGCATCAAGAATTCGTGCAGGTACATCAAGCATGTTTCGTGAAATTCTCATGCCATATTCCTTCAAGTTGGGATCCTTGTCCCATGCTGACGAATGAACAAATTGTTCAATATCCTTGACACGCTCATGAGGACGCTGACAAGCAAAACGAATCATTTGTGCAGTTTGGTTACTATTCAGTTTTGCGCTGTAGCGTTGACCCTTCACAATGTAACACAGTTCAAGTGGCAGCTTAGCGCCATTCTTAATGATGGCACAAGGCAGGTTAGGAAATTCCAACCGGACATTATGGTGCTCCAAAAAGTAATCAGCAACAGAGATGCGTTCCTCTTTGTCAGAATTAGGTACACGACGTAGGAAAGTTTCATCCAAGGCGCTGCCGCTAGAGAAACGTTCAATAGAATACTGTTTCTTGCTCAATGCAGTACCGGCATTGTTACGATGTTGACATGTGACCTTAAGAAGACGGAATCTACGACCGATTGCCGCAAGTTGCATTCTCTCCAAATCATTTGGATGATGACGATTGGTATAGTCAAGCAAAACACGAAGTAAAGAATCTTCACGCCAGAAAGCGCTAGTACAAACATCAATATTGACGGTCATAAAACCCTGTCCAGGTCGAATAGATTGATAGAAACCCTTCCAGGCATCCAAACCGCCGCCAAGTTGATAAGGACGATTTCCCGTAAAGAAGGAGCGGTTGAAGCCATACAAAGTTTCGCTAGGTGTCTTCTTTAACAGTAAATCGAGGAACATAATACCTCCCAAAACTTGGGGATCAAGACTGTAGCGAGATTGTACAAATTGAGTCACCGTTTCCAAGTTGATGTTACTTGTTCTTTGAATGGCGAAAGCCACTTTTCGTTCAGGACGGTCAGGATCCACGACAACGTCCGTTGCTCCATCCTCAATCTTGTCCTTGGAGAATAAAAGACTGCGTCCATCAAACACACAGTTTTTCCAAGACTTTTTCAAAAACTTCTTCACATCCTCAGAATTCCAAATCTTGTTTACAAGCTTTCTAGGAACACGTGTACCGTCTCCAATTACAACCTGAGCGAAAAAAATAGGTTTAGCATCCTAGAGCGAAAAAATGACACATTCTACTCACTTACATGATATTGATAAATGGTATCATTGGGAAGGTTCTCGATTCTGTAAAAGTTGGACAATAAAGTGATGGGTCTTCCAATAGTACCGTAACCATCCTTTGAGTATTTATCATAGTTGCTACGCAAAACAAGATCTGTTTTGGGTTTCATCGTTGAGGAAACAGCTAAGCGTTATTATGTCTGGATCCTTATTTCAGTGTATTACTAGTTATTATCTCTTGTTGAGGGGGAATGATGTTCTCTGCAGATACTCTGCTGTGGGGATGTCTGGGTCAAGCGTTTTACGTCAAGGCAAAAAACAAAAAAAATGCTCTAGTAATTGTACAGCAGTTAGTAGTTGTATGTGTTTTCACTGTGAACTCTATTGTATAAAAGTAAGCACGTTATTATATAATGGGTTGAAGCATTTGTTATCGTTCTATGTACAATCAGAGACAAAAAAAAGTAAATTAAATAACTGGTAGATACATCGTTATGGTTTCATTTCACGATAGTGATATTAATAATTTTTACTGGCTGGAGAGGACGATCGTACTTGTCTGTTTCAGCATCTTCAATCCGATGAATAACATCCATCCCGGCATACGCACGAGCAAAGATGGTGTGTTTTCCGTCCAACCAAGGTGTCAGCGTAGTTGTTATAAAAAATTGGGATCCATTCGTGTTTGGTCCGGCATTCGCCATGGAAACAGTGTATGGACGATCATGCTTTAGACGATCAGAAAACTCGTCTTCAAATTCCTCTCCCCATATGGATTCACCGCCAGTACCATCACCTTCTGGGTCACCTCCTTGTATCATGAAGTTTTTGATAACTCTGTGAAAGATGGTATTATCATAATACCCATTCAGGGCATGTGTTGTGAAATTCTCCACAGCTTTAGGTGCATCATCTGGTAGAAGTTTAATGCTAATGTCTCCTTCAGTTGTGTGCAAAATTGCTGCCTTGCCGAGAATGACAGGCTTCTTTTTCGTAGCCGCAGTAAGGGATGCATGGGCATGTAAAGTTTCGTTGAAAGCATCTCTGTCCGCTAAGGTTTTTAGGTGCTTGCTAGAGAACAAGTAAAATCGCGACTTCTTCCATGCACAGGCAGCCAGGACAGGATCTTTTTGTAGGCTTTTGATGAAAAGAGGATTGTTACTTGAAACGACATCAAAATTTGTAGCAATACTTTTCTCAGGCGCTTCTTGATAAAGAGAAAGACGTGTAAACCGTAGTCCATCCTCCTTACCGAGAATTCGAAGCAGCTCATGCTTGTAAACACTGGCGATTTTTATGCCAATAAAGCTTCCATAAGAAATGAGTTGACTCGTCTCATCAAATACAACATTGAGATTTGATGTTAATGCGGCTCGGCGGATGTCGACTTCAACGACCATTCGCCGCCCGAGTTCAACATGGTTCATGTGATAAGAATTATTAGGATCCTCTTCTGCTTCTTTTACAAGTTTCTCAATTGTTGGCAAGCTTTCGTCGTAACACTGGACGACTTTCCCACTCAGCAAATCGAATACCCGTATTTGCCAGTCAGGTTGTGAAATTGTCGCAAAGAGCTTTTTGTTAGGACTAATTGTCAAATTGATCGGGACCGCTTTGGTCTTCTTAAAAAGATATAAATCGGTTTGACTCTTAAGACGAAAAAGCTGGGAATTGTCAGGCTTTGTGTGAGGAGGTTCAAGTGACCAGTATTCAATCATTCCTCCCACGTCAACGGATATGCACATGTCAAAAGATGAGAGGTATTTTAGGAGATGAACTGGTTGGGCATGTTTTTTCACTGTTAATTCCGGAACATCGCCTCGACTTTCAGCATTGTAGATATAAATTAAAGGAGAATCAGAGTCTGTCACTGCAAGGAGGTACTCTGCGGACTTTCTCCGTATCCAACACAATGCTTTCGGTGTAAATTTTACAGAGAGCACGTTTACCATGTCCACATTTTGTATATCAAATACCTTCACATTTCCTTTCTCGTCACAGGAAGCAAACATTTTTTCATCATCGCTAAGACTGGTTAAAATAACCTTTGATTCATGAGCCGAGAAGTCTTTTATAAACTCAATGTTATCCATTCGTTTCTGCCATATCTTTATATGACCGTCAATAGACGTAGTAATTAGAAAGTGGGATTTTGTGAAACAGCAGTCAATTATATCATCTCTATGCATGTACGAGCGAACATAGCGTTCTGAACTTGGTAGCTCTTGCAAAATGAGAGCCCGTTTCGAGTTACCTGAAATAATTAGTTATAACGTTTGTTTACTAAATATACATACTCTTCTGCCTTTTTACATTAACTTGTTCATCTAGTGCAGCTCTCTTTTGTAAATTTTCTGCACTTTCCGGCATATTTTTGTTCACTGAAACAGGTACCCAAGTGATAGGGAAAATGCACGGTTATTGCAGCGATTAGTCATACTCTATGATTGTCTTGAACGAAAGGAAATTAATCTAGAATATTGTGTTTACCAAAGGATTACTGCTAAGTACTACTGTAACACGAGTTTTTTCCCGACAGTTTCACGTTGCTTTTCTATAACTGTTGTTGTGTCGCGTTTGTCAAATCTAGCATAGATATCATTCAAAATATCCCGTTCAGATTTCGAGAGACTCGGTTTAGAATTATTTAAAGCACATTTTATGTGCTCTGTTAGTAATAAAACCTTACCTGGAGCCTTGTATGAAGCAGTAGTTTTTGGTTCACTCAGGTCAAAATTATTATCAGCCGGAGAAGCTGTCGCAATGGAGGTTTCAAAAAGTCGGAAATGGCATAGCTTACTTGACGTAATATCGTCAAGTGTGTCATTCGTAGAGTTATTTTTTTGAGTGTTGGCTTTCTTCATTTTGATAGTTTCGGTCTTCAGGAAATGATGGACGGACAACAGATGAGCTTCAGAGAATATAGCAACAAGGTCCGCAGGTGAATAATTTTCTGTTTCCTTTGCTAATGTGAGAAGAATGTCTTGATGCTCGAGATTAAATTTTTTGGATGCTCGTTGGAGTATATCCAGTCTTTCTAATTCATTTGGTAGATTGCAGAATATCGACTTATCGAGACGACCAGGACGTAACAAGGCAGGATCAATTAAATCTGGACGACTAGTGGCTGCAACAATAAAGACATCGTCCAAAGACTCGGCTCCATCCATTTGTGTGAGAAATTGATTAACAATCCTATCCGTAATTCCAGTATTGTCACTACCACGACGAGGAGCTATTGATTCAAATTCGTCTAAAAATAACACACATGGTTTGGCATCTTGTGCCTTTCGGAATATGTCACGAACAGCTTGTTCAGAAGCACCAATATATTTGTTCAACAGTTCTGGGCCCTTAACGCTAAGAAAGTGAATGGGAAAAGAGCTCGGTATGGCAGACGCCAGGTATGTTTTTCCACAACCAGGATAACCATAAAGTAGAACACCCGTTCGCTGTTTAATGCTACAGGAATGAAAAAGGTTCTTGTATCGAATCGGCCATTCAATACTCTGCCTAAAATAGTGCTTTGCAGAAGTCATCCCTCCTATATCATCCCAATTAGTGTCAGGTTTTGAGAGTTTTATGTCGCCCAAAACGCTTGGCGCAAATTTCTTTAACGCGTCTAGTATAACAGGCTTTGGAATTGTTTTTTCGGATTCCGGAAACTCACTAGACGAACATACTAGGGCTGAAATACGTTTTAGGAACAGGAAAATATCCGAAATAACGAAGCTTTCGGTTTGCTGGACTAGAAATTGGATGTTGTCGGGAAGTTTAATGTGGAAATAGTGCGCAAAATTGTGAATCCATCGAAGTCTCTGTTGATTCGAAAGGCGTTTTAGGTACAGAGTTTGAGAAAATACATGAAGATTATGAAATTCCTTGGGTAATTGAACGTTTTCGTCGCATGTTGCAATGAATAATATATCATTGTTTTCGGTTGCTTCGCGCATGCTTTCATAAAAGAGTGTGGAGTTGCGTTGACTGGTTAGATTGGACTCAGCAGAATTCGAATCATCCGGAGAAGTTGGAAAAAAAGAACCAAAATCATCTAACAGAATCACGGCCGGTTGACAGCTTGAAGCAATTTGGATCATGTTGTGCCATACAGAGACAAGAGATTGAAATGATTCCAAAGCTAGTGGTTTACAGTCGAGTTGTTGAACATGGCGTAACGAGTTATGTTTCAATTGCTCTGCAAGTTGTTCTAAGAACACGGTCTTTCCTGTTCCTGTCCGACCGAAAAGGAGAACCGATTCGTTATTATCCTTAAGCAAATGAATAATATCCTTGAAAACTTTTTCCTCATCCATAAAATAGGGCGGACGCTGGAAAGCAGGAATATTAGATAAGTCCATCGAAGAGCCCAATGAGATATCATTTGTTGAGGTTAGAAGACCATTTCGGCCTTCTACGAAAAACGGTACTTCCTTCTTACACAGCTTCAAAGTTACCCGCATACCGGTGTATAATATACAATTGAGCAGTTTTTGAGCGGCAAGTTGGATATTTTCCGTACTCAATAAACTGTCAGAAGACGAAGATAGCGGATGCAAGACAAACTTAGCTGGCATTGGAAGAGTGGCCGGCCAAAGGCGTGCAAATTCGCCAGTTTTCAGTTTGTATTGCTCAGCAATGTCCGTATATACCTTAACGTGTCCAGGGGTACAATTATTAGACGTATATACCCGACACATAATGGGTTCAATCATATCTGAAGTTTGAAAAAATGCAGCATCAGCTTTCCATGAAACCGTATTACCAAGAATAATAGCGTGTTTTGAATTTTCGGGATAGGAGCTAGTACGTTTTCTAGCATCAATACGAAGAGATACCAAGTCTGCTTTATCCGTTTCCTGTGTAGTAGATCGCTTTTTAGGAGCAATAGAAAGCTCTGTCTCGTTTGCTAATAAAGCACATTTTTCAACGGGCGGTTCAATAGAGAGAACGCGCAATTGTGCTATTGATCCTGAGGGAAAGAATATTGTTACTATATCTGTTGATACAACACGAGCTTGTTGGAGCAATTTCGCTTCAATCCATTCCGAATTTGATTCAATAATTTCCCAATCTGAGGAAGTCAATGGCTCAAATACTACATGTTTTGCTGCTTTATGCACCCGTTCGATGGAAACTTCAACCTTGTATGTTAGCTTGAGTTGCCATAAATATTAACGTACCTTAACACTTTCTTGAATTGACAAACTGCTCGCATATATTGGATCAATTTCAATACACTGATGATCCGTTGTATCAGAAGAAGAAAGCCCACTCAGTCCAAGAAAGTGCACATTCTTCGTATCAATGATTTTTAGTTTTAAACAACACTTCTGAACAGCATCATTTGTATCATCTAGTAACTGTGCAGGAACATTCACGAGCGAAGAACCTAGTGACTTGAACGAAACAGTGCATCTCAACGGCATCTGAGAGCCGAACAGCTCTGACATTGCCACAGTTTATGTAGCCAGGTTTTTTTTGAGTAGGTGAAAACTTTCCCATGTATAGCGATTTTCTAAACAATCCATCTATGCATACTACGCAAATGTATGTCATTGGTGTAGTTAGTTTGCATAATTACAATATAGTATAAACACAATCTAAGTATTACGAACATTGGACCCCTAGCACTAAAATTGTATAAGAAAATCTACACTAATCCAAGCGATCGTAATCTTCAAACTTTGTAACGAGGGTATCAATCTTCTTGTTTTGCCAGTTCCAGCCTGGATAAAGGAATTGACGCAAATCGTAACGGTTATCATCAACTCCGTAACTTTCAGCATGGTAACTAGGAGTTAGGGTAGTCATCTTATGTCTATTGATTCCATAGTAATGAAAGAACCGCTTGACCTTGGCGGCAATGTCCGTTGGTGACAGTTCATTACCCCAAATATGCATAAGATGTATAAACATGCTGTAGGGTCCACATTTGGATACTTTACGTAGGCGGCCAAAAAGACTAAGTTCAGCATAAGTCATGCCCATATCAACCTCGTCACTCTGAGTGTAATTTTCAGTAGAAGGTTCAAGTTCGGCTGTAGGAGTAGCATCTAAAAACTCTTGAAGAATTGGCAAATCAAATTGCTGCTTTGCCGAAGCCAAGAAAGACTTCAAATCCAATTTTGAAATGCCGCCGATAGGATTAATGTCTGCGCTTGAGCAATCATACTTTGTTAAGTAACCACGAAGACTACGAGCGGGTTAGTTTAGGTCAGATTCTGCGACTAACATACCATTCATCAACATTAGAACTGCCAAGAACCAAAAGAGAACCAGCCTTTCCACGAACCCAAGGTAATAATTGAGCCAGTAAGTAACCTATTAACATTCTCGAACGCGCTTGAATATTTTGCAAAGCAAGGTTCTCAGCATTCGAACCACCCTGAGAACGGAATCGAGGAGTTCGATTTGTAACAAGAATGAAAAGCTTTACCACTGAATTAACAACGGTGTCGATACTCATGTCAACATGATAACTACCGATAATGTCGGCAAGACGTTTGGCCCGAGAACGAGTTTCTTTACTGGAGTGTTCAGTACCCATGAAAGTCGTATAAAACAGATGATTTGCCAAATCTTTTGGGTCCTTGGGTGTGTATTTTTCATCCTTTACGAGGCGTCGAACGTCAGACAAAACGTGGTCATCTGGTAAACTATTAGTTTCTAAATGTAAGGCCGTCAACGTACCATTATTTTTAACAGCTTCACAAACAATTCTACACATGCTATGGACAATCACAGCTGTAGAACAAGAATCAAGACCACCACTTAAAGGAAGGAAATAACCGGCAGCACCAGAACGACGTAAGTAATCCCATAACCAGCAGGCTGGGCCAAAGGCTATTTCCTCTTCTGGAGTGTGCAAGTGAAGTTCAATGGGAAAGGTGGGTTTCCAATGAGGATTGTAGTCATTTCCTCGGTCACATAGACTATAATCAATCTGAATACGTTGATAACCCTCATGAAACCGGGATTGCAGGCCATGAGAAGGTAAATAACGATAGGAACGTACGATGTCCATATCAACAGTTGCAGTGACAACCTCAACATCATGGAGAGAGAATTGAGAACCCTGTCCAAGGAGTTCACCATTAGCAAAAATCATGGCAGAACCATCATAATACAAGCGGCCTCCGTCGCAGCCCCGCTGGTTTGAATACAAATAAACACCACCACATTTCATGGTAGCATTCTGGATTAAGCGAACACGAGTGTTAAGTTTTCGAAGCTCATGGTGGGAACCTGAAGCATTGATGAATATTTCGACACCATTCAGTGACATGTCAATGTGAGGACTCTGGGGCGTGAAAAGCTCCTCACAGGTTTCAATACCAATCACGGTATCTTTACAACCAATGATGGCATCACCAAAAGGAACGGATTCTTGGTTCAATTCTTTTGCAATAGCCGAAGGAAGATAGTGTGTCTCAACTTTTCTTGGTTGCAGCCATGGTGTAAACCAGCGAGATTCACGAAAGTTACCATCATCACAAAGCCAAAGTTTAGGACGGATCAAGAGGATTTTTCCATTTAAAGCTACAACACGGCAATTGTAACGAGCACTTTTGTGCATCACAGGTACACCAATATCCAATAGTATATCTTGGACTCTAGTGTCGCGAATGATTTTCGTCAAAATTTCCATGGAATGAAGGAATGTATCACTTTCTAAAAAATGGTCTTCACAACCATAACCACTTTTCCTGTTAACAAGATACAAATCAGTAAGACGTCTCTACTTACGTAACCTCCAGTTCTGGTCCAACACGAAGGGCTGCACCTTGAGCTTTCGCAACTATAATTGACTTCAGGATCCTATCACAGTTTCCCTCAAAGTCCATAGCCCATTGATTAAGCTGACTATATCCAACCGATGGTAAGCTTCAATTCTCTCACTATGGGGTCAATGAGTACCATGTCGATACTGTTGCAAACCGTTCCATTTGGTGTTACAATTCTTTAAAAGTTCAAAACCTCAATTGTTTTTAAAATAATACTTGCTCACCGTAATATAAGCTCTTGGGTAATGTTTCGTGAAAAACGAAACTGTTGCCGGAGCTGAACAAATGATCGTATAGTGGTGGTGATGAAAGATATCTGTAAGAGCGGCATTCTAACCACGCACTTTAGTTAAAAATCATTAGTATAAGTGATATGTAATAAATCTTCAGTGTCTGCTTTTGTTTTGCGAAGATTTACAACTTGTTTGATATAATTTTCGCTTAGGTTTTCCTACTCAATTATTGCATCTTGGCTAATTTCCGAACAGATAGTGCAACTCATTGGATTAAGTAAAAAAAAATAAAACTGTTAAATTATACAATACCCAGAAACAATCTGAATCCCAAAAAGAATTATATTATATTCTTCATACCAAAGGTGCCTTTTTGTGTGGTCCTTTACCTTCCCTGTAACATAAGTAAAGTGTTTAGATTTGGAATAATTCCTTTTTGTATAAACCAAGTAGTAGTTTTCTTTGCTTTTTGCTTCACAGCGTGTTCTAATAGATTGGCAAGAAAAGCATCAGCTGTTTGGCGAGGAAGTCGAGCCCGCAGTGACTCATTCCAACATTTATAAATATACTGAATTAACGTTGGCGAATCCTTTAGAATGCAATAATCAAAACTGTTTTGAAATATGAAGCCCTCATCGCAAGTTGGTTTGTCTTCACACAGATCTTGGCTGACTATTGTGCATACTCTTTCAATTGTAGTATGGTTACCACGTTTAAGACTTAATAAAAGAGCATGAGATAGCGTTGATTCTTTAATAAAGAAGCCTCGAAGCTTCAAGTTGCGTATAAAGTCTACAGATTCTGGCAGCAGGAGAATACGACGGGGGATAAATCCCTTAAATGATTGATGAACTATTTTTCCATCAATAATAGTTTCCCTGCTATTCAATTGAATGAAGCCACGAGCTGCCAAATCGTCAATTGTCTTTAATGTTGTTAGACGAAAGTATCGTCTCGCAAGTGCATGTTGGGTCGCTAATATTACGCTTTTTCGATTAAACATTAACGTAAACTGTATGGACAATTTAAAGTTTCTTGAAGAGTTGTATGAGAGCCGATGCCAAAGAATTTTTGAACAAACCGGCAAATTAGCGTTTTTGGATAATAAAAAAACTTCTACCAAAATTTCGTATGGAAGAAGCTCTAAAAGCGACCGTTTTGTCGTGTAATTAGACACAGTTGTTGCTTCTGTGCATTTTTTCTTTAGTTTTCCCTTCTGAATAGACTCTGAAGGACCTTTTCGCTTTACAATTGGCATGTCATGAGTGACGCTGGATGCGGGATTCGAATTGGGACTAATAACAATACAGGTATGAAGGGGAAGAGTCTAAGAAAACGAAGTATATCATTACTGCCCAAAATGGTTGTTAGAAATAAAAAGAATGTGAAAGCTCTTTACATAATATAATAGGACTAAACTATGAAACAAAATCATCATCATTATCAGCATTAATGAGGCCACCAGTGCTGCTGAGACGCTTTAATTTAGTCTTTATAAACTGAATTTTTCGCGTTGTGCTAGCAAGCGATAGCGTGTTTACGAAAGGAAGATCGTAGGGATGGGAAATCGGTGGAGAGTGTAGGGAATAATGACTGGTAGGTAAAGACGTTTTACTTCGACGAAGTGGGTTCCGTGAAGTGAGACGTGTGTTAACAACCGTACTTAACGGTTTCTCGTTCACAGTATTAGTTGTACCGGTACTTATTTTGGGAAGAGGAGGTAACTCAGGAATGGATGATGGAGGCGAATCAGCAATAATAGGGGTGGTATCCTGAAATCGCTTCCGGATATGAGATAACGGATTGGAAAAGGTATCAAGGATGGATTTCGTTTTTGGTTGAGGCGAGAGGACAACGTGCTTACAAACAAGTTTTCCCGTCCGTAACTGCACACCTGGTCTCCGCGTCTTACTCGTAGGACGTGAAGGGGCAATAGACTCGAGGTGCTGAACGGTTGGTCGAGGAGGGTGAAAGGGCTTTGAAGCCAAATTCGGAAGGCGTTGCAGGTTCCGATATCGTTTGTAACCCGTGGCAATCGATAAAGGACTATTTGGTTCGGGGACGGAGGAATTTGTTGTTTGAGCAGAAGGGCTAAACGCGGAAAGTAACTTGCTTACTGGCATGTTTGGTGAAGATGTCTCTGCTTGAGCATTTTGCTCTTTGCTCTGTAACGGAGTCGGTCGTAAGGGACGTGGGTTTGTGAAAGAAGAACTTGATTTCTGAGGAAGTGATGGGGTCGATTTCGCTAATGGAAAGGGGAGAGGAGGAGGAGCAAGAATGGACGGTGATGGAAAGGGCTCTATCCCCTCTTGATCATCTTCGTCAATAGTACTCGGGTCAAGAAACTCTGGTGAAGACGGAATATCTGGAGCTTCCGGTTCTGGCAACGTTTTCGAAGCTAGTTGTGCTCTAGCTTCGAGTGTTTTTGTGAAAAGATTCATCGACGGTGCATGCACCGTTCCATCCATGCATGTTACCCGCCTGTCGGCAGGCCGTCGAAGAGTCGGAATCTGCGGCGGACGGCGGATTCTTTTATTTGTCGGTACGGCAGCAACATCCTTGGGGGCAGGCGATGAGACAGGAGTCGGCGTTCGAGTAGTTGTCGCACTGCTGGAGGGGTTACTAGATACATTTCTAGGTCTTCGCAGTACTGGTATACATGCTGCCAGCTTATGTTTTTTTGGAGTTTTTGAGGAAGGAGCAATAGACGGTAAGCCTGAAATGCTTCCAATGCTAGAGGACGGACTGGAGGAGGGAGGAGATATGAACGGATGGTTATTGTTTTCAGCAGGTCGATGGGATTGGATCCCGTTTGATGAGGAACTGGTTGAAGGTTCAGTTGGGGTTTTAGTGACAGCAGTTGCTTTCACGAACCCCGGGTGCTGAGATGTGAACGGCGTAACATTTTTACTATCGGGATAGACAACCGTTCTACTTCGCTTTTGCAGTCGAGGTGGAGCAGACAAACGAGGCACGTTCGTCGTCTTCTGTATACTACTTGGCCGAAGCACAGGGGTTACATCCGTTTGAGTGGTGTTCTGTAAGGCCTCCAATGTTACCAAAAACCGATCCAATTCCAATTCTTCACCAACCGAAAGAGTAGACCGCATGGGGAGAAAGGAAGTAGCGATGACCCGATATTCGGAGTCGTATAGTACGACGCGTTGATTGAATGAATGGAATTTCATAGTCCCATCCTGCCATTGCTTATTCTTTTTCCGTTTATGGGCCGTCCACAGCACCTCAAATTGCAATACATCATGCAAATTTTGACTATTGTCAGACATAGGGCGTCCTTGTTATCACGAACAAGGTACATAAAATATACGATCAAAAAATCGAGGAAATATAAAAATTGAAACGAAACACTGTACAGAGAAAATGGGTAATGAAAAATAGTTTCTCGTACCGTAATCCCAGCGCTTACTATAAGTCTAGGCAGAAGAATTCACCTACACGATAAATCGTGGTGTACAGGATAGGAAAGGTGAACGAGTAGCACCAGCCATAATTAGTAAGAAAATCGGAATTCTGTAGTAGAATAGGGGAAACGAAAAGCAATAGTAGTCTGTGTAAGAGTTTTTTTGGTTTGTCAGTCGAATGTCGGTAGCTGGTTTTTAAGTGCGGAAAAAAAGGGCACAGCCATGAGTGCACAGAGGCAATCTCGAAGGATGTAGGAGTTTCGAATTCAGTTTGTTTATCCGTTTTACCTGAGTGTCAAAGGAAGCGTTTGTAAATGGGTCCTTAATTGTTCTTGTAAATCATCGACTTCGTGATTTCGTAAAGAACGCTCCATGCTTCGGTAATTTATTCGGTAACATAAGCTCACATTTCCATCTTGTTTTTGGTAACGATCGATTAGTTGTACCGATTCCACTAAGTCTCCGCAAATATTGCGAACAGCTTGGTGAAAGTCCTTGTCTGAAAAGCCTTCTTTTAGCCAGAACGAGACATCCTTGAAACATATAGGGTATTTACTGAAGGGGCGAAACGCTGTAATGCGACCTGGCTGAAATTGGGATAGAAAGCGTTTATCGTGTGACCAAAACAATCGAATGTCTGGAATTTGATATAATAGCATAGCTAAACGTTCTAGTCCGATACCAAAAGCCCAACCAACGGAGTGTTGCAAGTCAGCATCAAGCAGCAACCGTTCTTGAACAATGCCTGCACCCAAGAGTTCAAGCCATTTGTCATTCCATAAGACTTCTAACTGGTAAGAAGGCTGTGTAAATGGAAAAGAGTCGTTGGTCCAACGAAAAGCAATTTGCTTTTGCGACTCTGGGGCTGTGAGAAGGAGTTGATAAATAGCTTTCATGATAGTCCACTTTAGATGTTCAGAAAATAGCTGCACATGTTCATGTGTATGAAGGGCAGAGTTTTGTAAAGTGTTACTCTCGTCAATGCTTGTTTCATCATAAACACTCACGGAGTGTTGTTTGAGAAAATATTGGACTGATTCAACTTCATGAAGTAAAAGAGATTGATCGTCTGGCTTGGCTACAAAAGCGCCCTCGGTTTGATGGAAAACTGGGTAATGGCAAGCATCAACTTCATCTTTGCGGTATGTGTCAGCAGTAATGAGGAAACTCGTAGAAATGCCACGGGATTCCTTGAGTAATCGGAAATGGTCTGGCTGATGCGCAGATGTGTGTGTCCTTAGACAGTATTGCTTGTTGATGTAAAATGTGTCAGAACGACTGCGTCCAGGATGATTTTTAGGAAACCCTAACTGGTCAAAATTGTTGCGCACCGATACAACGGGACTTTCAGAAACATCAGCTAATAGCGTGTCCTTTCTTTTGAGAGCGCCTTCCAGGAGAGTGCGAATGGTTGCAATTGGGTGACCATTGATAGCATACAGTTTCCGATTCACCTTGTCAAGAACAGACTGGGGGATATTAAACCAATCATCCTTTACCCAATTCTTTCCTGAGACATTAACGGAGTGTAAATCCAGTTTGTTGCAGCTTCCAGGGGAATAAAATCGGTTGGAGAGCCGACGGAGTATGTTAGATCCTCGAGTAGCAGAAGTGATCATTGTAGCGTTCATCAAACCTAGTGCTACAACCGACAACTAGATGAAAACGACACTAATTTCCAACAAAGCTGTACTTTATGTTGGGTACTAAACAACATCTCCTAAAGAGACGTGTGTTAAACCGAGAAAGAAACGTACTGAATAATGGGGGTTTTATGTTGCAATACCAGTACGGTACAACTTGATGAAAATTATGAAATGTTCAAAAAAAAAAAAAAAAAAAAAAAAAAGGAACGAAAACGAAAAAGGAAATTGATAATAGGTTTCTTTTCTATGGTTTGAAGCCAATTCATTTAAGAATTTAAAAAAAAACTGCAATGAGCAGAATGAACTAATCCTATCAACAATTAGAAAGAAAATTACTAATAAGTGTTTCAAAAAATAAGAAGTAGATCAAGAAACATAATCAAAAAAAACAAAAATAAAGGTATGCTAAGTAATATCCATGATCGCATTGAATAATGAATTAAAATGCTGCACGTCATATAGAACACCGCAAATGAAACGAACTAATATGAGCTACTACATTTCCACTGTAGCAATTCGACTGACCAGTCCAATTGACAGTTTGTTTATCAATGAGACTAACGGATTTTATTGCTAATACGAATAATGAATCCAATGGCTGCTACAGCCTATTACTACGAAACTGTTGTAATGCTGCTGTACTACTATTGTCGCTATCATTACCACCACCATCAGACAGCCACGTTGGATTACGCTACACCGCGCTATCCCACAATGACACAGTCCACATATCACATTTACATCATAGTGTTCTAAAAACGCTCGCTTAAAATAGAGTTAACTCTATTAAGCTGTGCCGAATTACGGCGGACAAATGCCGTTCGTTTAATTTCTCCAGCCTTTCTGAGACAGCCTTCAATAGCGGACCAGCCATGCCGGTTGAATTGATTGCATCGGTTCGGGAATTTTTTGCGGAACGGTAGAGTCGATGTTGCGCCTCTTGTCCTTCGTATTGGAAATACTCCCAGACACCGTTCCGTACACTCACGCGCACGAACCGCCCGGATTTTGGCCTGTAAAAGTTTCCGCCGCTGTCCCAACAATGTTTATCAGGAGAGCAACCGTTGAACGAATTGAAACGCTGGTAAAACACGTTCCTTTTACGGGCCCCACACCGTAATACGCTGGAGGGCACGAATTATACGCACTCGGTCATTATATTAATGACATCACCCGTTTGGTCAGCGACTCTATCTACGTCATCATCATCTCGTGTAGATCATCGCCTGGTGTGAAAATTAGGCTACGGCTAGGTCCGTGAGTATAGAAGTAGAGCCTAAATCCACCTGCGCGAGTTTGTCCTCCACCACACACAACGTTTCCGTTAAAAGAGCCAAAAACGATAAATAACACAAAATTCGGGCAAATTCCGTAACAGAAAATGAAGGTTAGAGTTCGCGTTGGCCCGGATCCTGAGCACACACAAATTGCTTGGGTGAATCACGAGGGAAGACCGACCGAAATCGATGGTCCCTACTGGGTTGGACGAATTCTTGTCAGAATCCGGGATTTTAGTGGAATTACACCTGATGGAAGTGCCCCGAAACGGGACAGCGAGTATTTTAAAGGGAGATCGCGTAAATTTCAGATCCAGGCTGAAGGTCGCTTTAAGAAGGAGTACAATGGTGACCAAGTTATCTACGGCACTCAATTCGATCATATGATCTCTCATTTTCCTGAATGTATGTTTACAAAGCTACGGGAACAGCAGGAGCAGCGGCGAAAGCAGTACACGCGATTGAATTACTTTTGACCCAACTGGCATACCTTTACGGATATCCCAGGGGTCAATGTCTCACAAAACCCTTTCATATCGCTTACACACGCTTAATTTGGATTCAATGACGGTTCAGCATCGGTAGACCCTTGAACGTACATCTTGACGGAGCAGAATTTTGCCGCTCCGCGCTTGTCCATGCTGCTTTTGCTGTTCTTCATGCTCACTTATACTCACCAATTGTTTACTAATTCTTAAATAGCTGCTTTCCGAGCTGGAATGCGCATTGCCAAGTACATTGACCCTGCCGTGTACTATGATAAAAACGCAAAGTCCCCATACATCATGTCACCGTACGTCCTAACGAGCTAACTGCAGTCGTTTCCATGTGTTGCCTGTAGTCGCTAACGAACTAGTTTTGTGGCCTGTGTGAATACACTTTCAGCATGGCCGGCTCCCTCCCGTATGGAGGATGCCGTTATTTCGCTAGTTGAGGCGGACGCCCAGGATTCTGACTCTGAGCCTTTACCAGATGTTAGTGATACTTTCGACGAAACCGAAGATTTCACGGACTTCAAAAAGCCAGAGGAAAAATTTGAGCCGAAAAACAATGCCGAGTTTATGAAAACTCATTTGCTAACGTCTCCCCCGGCGATTACTGTTGAGGGCCAGGATGCATCAGAGATTGAGGATTCTCCAAGAAAGCCTAATGATTTTGACGAGCTTAGTCTTATTTCCACCGATTCAGGAAATACCACTACACCTCGTCATCGTCGCCAGCGTTATTGGAGTTTTGCCGGTTTCAATGATAATGCCCGATTTGCAGATCTCAATAAGACGAGCGGGCCATCACATCCCCAAAATCTGGATGTGCCCAGTGCTGTGCGTCCCGGTTCTGCAGGCCAGTATGGTGATACCGGTGGGTATAATAGCGATGAGGATGAAGAGCTTCTTCTTCATCGTCACATCACCAACACGCATAAAGACTTTAGTACGCACGTGAAAAATGTTGGTCTGTACCACAAGCAGTCATTGGAAGATGAAAGCGAGGGAACTTCTTCTGCATCCGATGACACTTCTGCGGACGATGAGCGGCTTCAACGTTACTTCACTGCACTTGAATTGCAGGTTGATAAAAGATCGAATGAGGACGATAAAAAGAAAAAAAGCGATGCGTTACACAAATTGACGCATCCTTCTTTAAAACTCGGCAAAAAGCTGTCGGCTCCTAAACTCATTAAACGAATGTCTATTCGTCGTAAAAAGAAAAATCATGAAGACAGTACGAGTGATACTAGTCCCACGACTTCGACCTCTAATGGTTCCCCGGTTAAGCACGAAAGTAAAAAGTCGGCTCCCCGTCGGTCATTAGATCGTCTTATTCGGTTTGGTTCTATACGGCGTCATCACCATCACAAGCACGAGGATATTAAGGAACCTCATCGTTCAGATTCTGTTCCAATTTTCCCCTCGCGCAAGTCATGGTCTTCCTCTCGTCCTTACTCGACCCATTCCAGCGGAACTTCCCCACGCACATCTACGGAGTCCCCTCTCATCGAAAGCAAATACATGAGCGCTACTCAACCACCTTCTCGTAAGTCAATGTCTTATGTTGAAGGTCAAAGCACGTATCTTTCAGCATTGCCAAGGGCACAAGAACCGTCCGAGGAGAAGATTCCTGAGGAGGAAGGTGACACGGTATCTGCCAAATCTGCCAAACTAGAGCAAAAGCATGAGACACCCCAATCTGGAAACCTGCTCCAGGTTCCCAATTCCCGCGCCGTGCGTCGTAAAAAGTCTGGTATACCGAAACCTTCTAAGCACATTCCTTCAGAATCAACGTCGTTGGATGCATGTCTGGGTCCATGGAGATTCGGTAATCCGAAGGTTGATCCCATTGAGGATAACTCTTTTATTTTTGGTGATCTAAAGTCTGTAAAAGAACGAAGAAAGTACTTTTCTAGCTCTTTGGCTGCTCGAGAAAACTTTTATTTTGACCGCGACGTTGTCTACTGCATGAGTTTCTTCGCTCCTTACATGGACTTCAATACCTTTAATTTAAGCTTTGGACCGTATGTTATCTTTTTTTTTTCTTGTTCTTACATTACTTACTAACACTGTTGCAGAATCCGCTTGAACGTTAATAGAAGCTTGAACTCTGAGGGAAAACAACCTATCCGTTACATGATGCGTGAAAAAGAAAACGAAAAAGCAATTATGTTCGTTGTCGACTTCGATCTTGTTGAGGATGACGACAAAAGCGTACTTGAAGAACAAGCGAGAAACCGAGAATTGATCGCACAAAGAGAGTTAGGCTTGGGAAATTAATTCTGTCCTAAATTGTATACGGTTTCTGTTGTGCTGATTCCAGTTTAAACGTTTCAATTTTGGATTTACAGTGTACTTAAGACATAAACAGTACTACATATCCCTTGGTTCTTCTTTCTTGTTACCATAATACAGCAATCTGCGTCTTAATCAGGTATACTTGTCGCGTATGTACTATTATTACAAAAATTTACCTTTACGATTTTAGTTGCTTTCCCTTGCTTTTTTCCGTTATGAAAGCTGGCTACATATTTGGTGATTCCTTTTTGCTGAAGTGAGAGGTGAAAAGATGATATATTTAGTTTTGTAACCTTATTAGTTCCGACCGGAGAGATTTAGGCCGAGTCGAGGAATGCTTTCTCTTTTGTATTAGTATAACAATAAACACGACACTGGTCGTTCGTATCTTATGAACAGAGTGGGATTACAATTGTATGAGACTGTTAAGTAACGCCCTGTTCTAAGGTTCAAATGTAGGAAACCCGGTTAATGCGACAATAATCACTAAAAATTAGTTTATTAAGCAGAAAATCTATGAAGTAACTTCGAATTGAGGAGCATAACATTTCAAATGAGCGTATGTTGAAGTGTACAGAAAGAGCAAAATTGTAAGGACACCATAAGCACAAAGCTTATTAGGCGAAGGTATATTAATAGGATGTCCGAACTCAAAATTATTTGCCCGAGGTAATTAACCGTTTAAGAGTAACGACTCATACCAATTCCAATCCTTGTTTGCTTAACTTGAGTAACACAAAAGAAGGAAAAAAAACATTCCTTGCGAGAAAAACGGGACACCAGGTCAATAGTGCCTAACAATATAACTTTTTATAATGAGAAGACGGAGAACGAAATAGTCGAATAGCAAAATTGAGTTTACGAATTCTTCTCATTTCGACTGAACCGAAAACAAAAGCAAACAGCCAATAACCTCATCTAAGGCCTTACAACTGAAGTAGATGTATGTGCAGAAGTAAACGATACACCGTCCATGTCATCATTCGGGAACGAAGGCGGCTGCAGATCAACTGCTTGTTCATGCTGACTTACCGGTTGCTCCGCCGCCAAGGATGAGGTGTCTTGAGCTTGTCTGTTGTGAACAGCGTCACTGCCAATAAAGGTAGCAGCTTGAGAATTACCTTCGGTGAAGGTGGTGCGTGAGACTGTATTGTCAATTGGTTGATGCACCATGGTCACACGTGAACGAGAAGGTAATGCGCTATTAACAACGTTGTTAGGCAAAGCGGTTGTTGCCGTCCCATTAACGGTCGGTTGCTCGTTAGCAACTTCCACGGCGGCATTATTTCTAAGAGAAGTTGCCGCAACTGTTGGTGCAGACCCGAGGGCTCCCGTGACATTAACATCGTTAGTTGTCGGCGGTGTCGGCCCACTATTATACTGAGATGCATTTTGTACGTCGATTGGGGTTTCCAAATTAGTATTTCGCGCCTTTTCATCACGCTTGGCTATCGCATCTAAAGCGTGTTTATGGTAGAACATATACATGTGCAAAAATGCAAACCAAGGGGTCATCACAAATCCCAATGTACCTCCGTAAATAAGTTTGAATAGCTGAGGCATTGGAAAGTGATTGTAATAATACTCATTGCCACGATGTTCGCCGGGAGCACAAAGAATACCCATCGTAGCAGGCCAAAAAAGGAAAAAAAGTGGGACCGACCAGAACAAGGCTCGAACGGCATTAACTACCAACCATTCAATAATCCGACAAAACCAATTGGTGAAATAGTATGGGGTGCGATAATCGAGAATGAACAGCATGAGCCGACTCTTCGGCCACCATCGCACTCGAATAGGTTTTACAATTCCGGAATGTAAATCCGCACGGACAAGTATGATTTCAATCCAATAAGTAATAATCGTCTGTACAAATAGAGTTACCGCAGCATCACCAGAGAGCGTGTTAGGCAGGCGCCAAAGGCGTACGGGTTGATCCGCATTGTGGTACATGCCATAGGCAATAGCGAATTCTACACCGCCCGAAATAATAAACGAGCCGACTGCTTGTATGAGCAGATAAAGAATACGCGGGATAGAGAACTTAAAATGGTACAGGTGCTTATAGCGTTTCTTTTCAAACGCACAGCTCATATCGATTTCTGATGAGGGATCCTTTGAACCTGCCCTAGGCTGGGTCTGAGAACCCCTCTTTGGCTTTTTGGAACCAAAGAGCTTCATGGACGTTTACGAAATACTGTCTGTTGTAAATTGGCAAGAACAAAAACAATGAAAGACGGACGACAGTGTTAAGCTCCGAACGAATATTCTTCCGTAAAAACACGTATTCCGCGATGAATTGAGCAAGGAAGAAATGATAAAAATTACAAGATCACCAATGGAATGGTGTTAGTCAAAATCAAAGTAATCTCTTCGTGATCGCAAGTAGTATTCCAATCTCAAAAAGACCCTTCGTCTTGTGTTCACAGGACGGATAGTGTACAATACAATGCTCTAGCAGAATAAAAACCTTTCTCTAGACTCTCACGAAACACTCCAAAAGACAAAGAGTGCTATAACAGTAAAATTCCTTCACCAATTTATGGAAAAAGGAGGGATTCTTAAATGAGCTTAATCCGAATGGAAAATACCTCGGATACTGGGAAATGGTTAGATTGTGTACTGTCAATATGTCATTGGCCTTTGTAAGCATAAATTACCTAGTAACAGCTCGTTAAGAGCAGAAAGTATTTGACGGAAGTTAAGTTTCGTTTTGTAGACGCGACAACAAAGTTACAATGTTGACGTCATGCCTTTATGCTCGATTTCGGCCCGTGCAGAGAACTGAGAAAAATTTGCTCCGTCACGGCATTTGATCAACAAAACCTTCATTCTTATTCGACGTTCGGCTTTTTTAACCGAAAACTTTATTAAAAAATGCCGAAGAAAATGAAATCGGCATTGGAGTACTAGCCAATTGGATTAATTTCCGAAACCAACCGCTTGGTGGAGCACTTTGACTAGGGGAAAACCACTACACCACAACTCGACAACGCATTAAAAGATATCAGACCCTAAGACTAAGAACCAAAGCAAGAAGAGTCATTCAAATGCCTACGACACCCCAGGATAAAACACACCATACCAAACACCAAACCGAAGTACGCATCCCTCTACACCACCACAACGACTAGTTTCTTTTTATCCAACCGATCTCAGGCTCTTATTTAAAAGGACACTTACGACATACCCATCAAATTAGATAGTGCTTTTTTAATCAAAAGACCCAGCTTACTCCAAATCCTTCTTGAGAGTACCCAAGAATTGCTTGGCCTCGGCAGAGGTTTGGAAGCGACCGTGGCCGAACTTGGAAGAAGTATCGATCCACTTGAGGTTGATGGGCTCCAAAGCCTTACGAGAGGTGTGAGCGAAGAGAGACTTACGGAGAGTCAAGACACGCTTAACGGGACCGGGGGTAGCACCGTTGAGCATAACGTAGTCGTTCTCAACGGAACCGTAGCGGACGAAACCACCCATGGGGGTGATACGCTTCTCGGTGGCATCGAAGTCGGTAGCACCGTTCTTAGCGTCATCACCGGAACCAATACGGTAAATCTTGGAGTTCAATTGAGTACGGTGCATGTAACCGTTGTTACCAGCACGGGCAACGGTCCAGCCAACGTTGGAAGGATGCCAGGCACCAATACAAGCGACCTTACGAAGACCACGGTGAGTCTTACGAGGCAAACGCTTGGTACCCCAACGAGTGGTGACACCCTCAACACCCTTACCCTTGGTGATACCAATAACGTCGACAATCTCGTTTTGCTCGAAAACAGACTTGACATCGACAGTCTTCTCGAAGTGCTCACGAGCCCACTCGACCTTGTCGGCAACGGAACCACCGTTGATTTGGATCTCCATCAAATGAGCCTTCTTTTGGGTAAGAGGAGTCTTGCGAATTTGAGTGTGGGCAAGGACACGAACAACAGAGCAGTACTTCTTGATACGCTCAAGCTCACGGGTGATGGATTGAGTGGTCTCAGCGTACTTCTTGGCGTACTTGGTGAAAGCCTTCTTCTTGCTCTTGTACCAGTTCTTGTAGAAGCGACGCTTGATCTCCTCAGACAAGTGCTCGGCCCAGAACCGTAGCGCACGAAACCACCCATGGGGGTGATACGCTTCTCGGTGGCATCGAAGTCGGTAGCACCGTTCTTAGCGTCATCACCGGAACCAATACGGTAAATCTTGGAGTTCAATTGAGTACGGTGCATGTAACCGTTGTTACCAGCACGGGCAACGGTCCAGCCAACGTTGGAAGGATGCCAGGCACCAATACAAGCGACCTTACGAAGACCACGGTGAGTCTTACGAGGCAAACGCTTGGTACCCCAACGAGTGGTGACACCCTCAACACCCTTACCCTTGGTGATACCAATAACGTCGACAATCTCGTTTTGCTCGAAAACAGACTTGACATCGACAGTCTTCTCGAAGTGCTCACGAGCCCACTCGACCTTGTCGGCAACGGAACCACCGTTGATTTGGATCTCCATCAAATGAGCCTTCTTTTGGGTAAGAGGAGTCTTGCGAATTTGAGTGTGGGCAAGGACACGAACAACAGAGCAGTACTTCTTGATACGCTCAAGCTCACGGGTGATGGATTGAGTGGTCTCAGCGTACTTCTTGGCGTACTTGGTGAAAGCCTTCTTCTTGCTCTTGTACCAGTTCTTGTAGAAGCGACGCTTGATCTCCTCAGACAAGTGCTCGGCCCAGACGGTGGTAAGGGAACGAAGACCACGAGGAGTCTCAACGTAACCAACGACACCAACAACAACCATGGGGGGAGTCTCCAAGACAGTGACAGCCTCGAGGATCTCACGCTTGTGCATCTTGGAACCAGGACGGTCAAGATCACGGACAATGTGAGTCATACCGGCCTTGTAACCAAGGAAAGCGGTCAAGTGGACAGGCTTGGAAGCATCATCCTTGGGGAAAGACTTCACCTTACCACGAGCGCGGGCGGCACGCTTACGAGGCAAGAAACCAAGAGAACCGTGGCGAGGTTGTTCGAACTTGCAGTGAGACATGGCAAGAGGTACCTTGTTGGTTGGAGATGAGATCGGTGTTGTGTTTGCATTTGCATGGTGATGAGTATGTGACTGTTTGATAATTAGGGTAGGGTAAGAACTCGTCTTTGAACGTGACGCGCCCTGCATCTAAAGACACAAACGCGTCGCGTCTCATTTGTTTACTTTGCTTGGTAGTTTTGTTTAATAGCAAAAAACAGTCTGTATTGCCTAAAGGACGTTCGATAGGTGTATTTTAACATACAAGCAATCATCTAATGAGTTCGAGAAAATAGGTTATCGTTTCCTTACTGCCAAACCTTCGTTCTTCCACATTAAATGTACAGCTCTCCTGTAAATATAAGGAATATATTGAAACGATTGCACAGAGTAATTTCGGACTTCCAACATTAAGCATATATTTGTATTCCTCTCATTGCGCTTAAACATTAAAAAACTTGGTGCTTATCGTGTCTTTCCGATTCGCTTTTGATTTGAAAGAATTTCCTAATGGACGAATTTCCTAATGAAGATGATATTGATGTTTTGCTTGCGGAGGACAGGCTTCCTTCGTTAGGAGAGTATGAGGATCTTATTGATGAGGAGGAGAAGATTCTACTTGAAGAGCGAAATCAGAATTCTATATTGCATCTGGAAGAACGTAATGTAATGTCAAATCTTTTCAACAGTTCTCAACCGCCCGTTTCGCCTACAAGGAATGGAAATGACTTACCATCTCGTTTGGACTTGTACAGCGACACTTCTGATATGAGTGATATTCTTCCCTTCGATTTGGTCTCGCAGAAATTAGAAATACCAGATGGTCTTTTCGTATCCCCTGGCGGCGGTCGAGCTGATGAGACGCAATCACTTAGAGAGAGAAAATCGAGCCTTTCACACGATACTCACAGTTCTGTTGCCGCACGAACCACTTCAGGAAAGGAGCTGATTTTTAAGAAGAGATATGACAGAAGAGAGTTAACAAATACCTCTGAATGCAAGTCTGTACTTGACATCTCAGATTCCTTCTCCTCTTTGGTTCAAAGGGTTGCTAGTACAGGGACGAAATTACTCCAGGAAGAAAAAGCGCGGCAAGAGGAACGTCTACTTGATCCTGACACTTCCTCGGTGTCTGTATATTCACAGACTTCGAAAACGGATGGTCTCTTATGGACGGATAAGTACCGTCCCCAACTGTTTCGTGATCTAGTCGGTGATGAACGGGTACATCGCAGTGCTATGCATTGGATAAAAGAATGGGACTCATGCGTCTTTGGACTCAGTCCACCGCCTTCTCGGAATGGCACAGCGAAGCCGCAATTGAAACTCGATCCTTACGGGCGTCCAGAAAAACGCGTATTATTACTTACGGGACCACCAGGTTCAGGAAAAACTACCCTTGCCCATGTCATAGCTCGTCAAGCTGGTTACAATGTTGTCGAGGTTAATGCCAGTGATGATCGCACTGCTAATACTGTGAAGCAGAAAATTGCAGAAGCAATAAACACACATACCGCATTCAGTAGCAGACCTACCTGCATTGTTGCTGATGAGATTGATGGAGGAGATCCGGGATTTGCTCGTGCTCTTGCTGATTTGTTAATTGGTGATGAACGAGCAACTTCAGCAATCACCAACTCACAAAAACGAAAGAGAAATACTAATCGCAAACTGATTTTAAGACCTATTATTTGCATTTGTAATGATGTCTTCACGCCTTCTCTGCGAACTTTGCGACCTTACGCACGAATCGTCTACTTTAAACCCGCACCTCAAGCAGCCCTTGTCGGTCGGTTGCGCACAGTTTGTCGCTTGCAAGGACTCAATGCCGATAGCAGATCCCTCACAGTTCTTACTGATCTATGTAAATTCGATATCCGCTCTTCGTTAAATGCGCTTCAAATGCTTTCCAGACACTCCGATTCCATTAGTGAACAAACAATGAAGCAGCTCATGTTTCCAGACTCAGGCAATGATTTAAGCAATCATGCAGTTGGGCTGTTAACCAAAATTTTTCGGCTTCCACAGTCAAAAGAGCTTCGCTTTTTGAAGTCTGTAACTCCGCAGTATACTCATTTTTCATCATTACTAAATTCTTTGGAGTCCGTTGATGATAACAATAGTACTCTCATGCATTGTTTTCAGACGTTTCTTACATTGTCCTTTGCTGATCATCTATTCACGAAGGTTATATCTTCTGGTGATTGGTTGTACTTTATGGACAGAATCTTGACTCTGCAATATCAGGGCCATGCTGAACTTCTACGCTATTTTGCCTCCTCGCTATTGCATTTTCACCAGCATTATGCGACAGTGGATTGTCCTCGGTTTACAAAGCTTCCTAGAGATGACTTGGAAATGATGAAGAATAGAAAGTCGAGGTCTGAAATTTTGGACGACTTCTTTAACAGAATCCCACTTGTTAGTAGACAAATGTATTCCAGAACAACTGTTCTTTTGGATGCAATACCTTTTCTTGTCAACTTGGTTAATCCAGACATCAAGGCGGTAGGTGTTATATTCATTAACGCAATTACTAATATCGCGTATAGGTTTCCAAGACGTTGGTTAATCCTAATGACGAAAAGGCTCTTCAACACACCGTGGATCTCATGGTGTATTCTCATTTAAACTATGAACAGCTACCATCATCTGAAGGTGGTTTCATATATCGCTTGGATCCGTATGTTATAGCTCATCTTATCGGTACTAACTGTCTAGCCCAATCGATGATTTATTAATGAACCCAAAACGATCTTTCTATTCTTTGCGACAACTCATTTCAATTCAGATTTCAAAGGCGAAGAGAGCTATCCTTTCGAATAAACTAAAGAATTCTAACGGATTAAAGAAGGATGCTCCGAAACCGGCAAAACGTAAACTTCATGAACGAAACAACATTCAACGCGACTTTTTTGGTCGGGTTGTCCAACCAAAGGATGAACATTCTACATTAATGGTTAACGAACTTCCTCTAAAGCTCGCCCCTGTAACTGTAAAATATCGTAATGGATTTTCCAACGCTGTCCGAAAACCCATTTCTCTACGAGAAATCATTGATTTGCTTTAGCGACTTTCCCTTTGAAGACGTTATTTAAATGTAATGAATGATTTATGATCCTATATCTGCGAGACATTATATTTATTGAGATGTATACTATTCTCATGTTTTATTTTCACATTTCTTGATGCTTTATATTTTGTTTTAATTTTATTTTTTTTTTTCCTGCTTTATGTTATCTCTATCTTTCAATACTTTTGGATTGAAGTCTTTAATATTTTTTACATTAATGAAGATTATCTTTTTTTTTTGCTGCAAATCTCGGCATTGAGTCTTCTCAAAAACAATAGCTTTATTAAAGAAAGTGTGCAGGTGTCCAGTGCAATCGAATGTTAAGTAAGGTATCTAGTTTTTGTTGTTTTACTATTATGTATTCCTAGTACGCGACCTGTCTTGGATCCTCAGACCTTACAAAAGGCCAGCTATTCCGAAGTAGAGGATTCGAGCCCAGAGCTCAATTGATCGCATCGGTGGTCGAACAAACGTTACCGTAATGTCTAATAGCCGCGTTCAAACAGCTTTATCACGACTTGCTGTTAAAGTTCTTCGAACCGAAAAAGATAACCCAGAAAAATCGTCATTTGAACGGGTATTTAAGCATTTTCAAGAAATAACTGAATGGTATTGATTCCATTAGCTTCATTACTAACCTCAGAAGTACCTATGATAAATACAGTATTCTTGATTTTGATGAACTAATAGCCTTAATTTATCAATCAGGTATGGCGAAGTGTTAGGTGCTGTTTTTGACCTTGTAAGTACAGAGAAATGGATACTCTTCAGAGATATTAGTTCGTCTCTCAAACCTATTCAGCAGACTTCGTACCCAGTCTGTGATTAAGCAAAAATCAGCGGTATTGTATATGTTGAGCCTTCTTTCTCCATTAATATCAAAGTCGAAAAGTACTGCACCTGTGCATAAGATACCTCGTCAAAACAACTTGGTGAACGCCCCTATTTCGGTGTCTCCTAGGATTGGCAAAACTACTCTTGCTACGAATGCAACAGAGCGGCAAATTCTATCATGTGTTCCATTTATGCTTCAGGGGATTAGTACGACGTTTGTAACATTTACAAATCAAGAAGCACAATTATCAAAAAACATCCCCCTTTCTTTTGTTGAAGCGGTTCGCATGTTTTCAGAATTGGGTTTACTTCATCGTTTTTTTAAAGATTATACGGAGAGCTCACGGTCAAATCCACAAAATTTAGGCTTAATCTTACAGAGTTTTAAGGCTGCTTTAACTGAAGAGTTGATGCAGTTTCTGGGGTTGATTGCTTCTTTAGAATCTCATATACGAGCGGATGAGTTGAACACTGAGAAAGTTGTTACCATCAGGAAGTGTGCAGTTTGGACCAGTGATGCGCTTTTACTCTTTCGAGTATTTTATTCTTTGATTCACAGAAAACCAAATCAATCAGGTGTATTGTTATTAAACGCGATATATCCTTTACGTATACATGGTGATCCTTTCTTACGTGACCTGGGTGAGAAGCTACTGCAGAAAGTTTCTCGACCGTTTTATGAAATGGTAGAATATTGGGTCTACCGTGGTGAACTGATTGATCCACACAATGAGTTCTTCATTCGTGAAAAGGCCGAAAATACGCATGATAACGACGTGCAGGGGACGGGTCGAATTGTATGGAAAGGCAAATACTTTGTTGACGACTCGCTGATTCCTGTATTTATTTCACCTAATCTCGCCAACAAGATTTTCCTAATCGGAAAAAGTTTGAACTTTATCAAGCACGGCTGTGGAGACCAACAGTGGAATGAGGAGCATGTCAAAACATTATCAAAAAGTTCGTTCACTTTTAAAACTCTTTACTAAATACTAACGTTTTATAGAATTAAGCTTCTGCGATTCAAGACTGCTAGAAGCGCATATAGACGAAGCTTACGCCAAGTCTAACCGGCATCTAGTAAAATTGATGGAAGACAAATTTCATCTAAGCACACACTTGGAAGCAATAAAAAAATACATTTTGCTGGGACAAGGCGATTTTGTTGTTTTATTGATGGAGAGCTTAGGTGATTCTTTGGACGAGCCTGCCAACACGCTATTTCGGCATCATTTAACTGCCTCTCTTGAGAGCGCAATTCGGTCAAGCAATGCTGCTTACGAACCAGATTTTGTTCTTAAACGTCTTGATGCTCGATTACTTGAGCTTTCTCATGGAGAAATTGGATGGGATGTCTTCACTCTAGAGTATCGTGTTGATTCCCCCATTGATGTGATTGTCACACCGTATTACTCTAGACAATATCTTAAAATTTTCAATTTTCTTTGGCGCTTAAAACGAATTGAGTTTGCTTTGTCACATTCCTGGCGTCGTGGTATACTCGGAGAACGAAATGTACTCCGAAATGTAACCTTGGTGCAAGCGGAATGGCATTTTGCGCGTTGTCACATTGCTGAAATGATCCATTTCGTCTGTCAATTACAATGTTACATTTTATCTGAGGTATGCCAGAGCATCACAGTACTCTGTAATCTTACTACTAACATTTGTTTTAGGTAATAGAAGTGAATTGGCAAGAACTTTTGGAAAAGCTTCAAAAATCTTCAGCAACTTTGGATACCATTATTGAGGCACATCACAACTATGTGACCAATATTACGCAAAAGGGACTACTAGGCAGCGGATCCTCATCTAGTTCTAAACCACAATTTTTGGTCCAATTGCATGAGTTACTAAAAAACATTCTCTCATTTTTGGCCACTGTTGATGTGTTATATACATTCTCTGTATCACTTGCAACAAAAGTTCAAACAGGTGCTACTTATAATGAGAATGATACACTACAGCACTTGGAGCCAATACAATCAGCGTTGAAAGAAAAAGCCTCCTGCTTTCAGACTTTGTTGAAACGCCTTTTACATGGACTGGCGACACAACCAGATCTTGAGATGCGATTTTTGAGTGTTCGATTGAACTATAATGAGTTTTACTCATTGCATAAACGGCGAGCAAAACGTACAAACTCGGGAGCACGGCTTCCTTACTGACAAAATGTTATAGAAATTTCAAGACCTGAGACGAAACGCACAAAATTACACTGATCGCGATTGTTTTGCCTAGTGTTCCCTTAAAAAAGTATGTTGATCATAACTGGCCCCATTCTGCCTGCACCTTTGATGAAAATTATTCCTTTCTATCAAGCAATTGTTTATACAAGCCAGTAAGCAATAGAATAATATTGCGCTAATTTACTATGTTGGGACTCATTTATTATGTTAATGATTATAATCTATGAAACTAAGTTAATTTTAAGCAGTTGATATTGAATACCGGTACATATTGATGATGAGAAAAAAAAGAAAAAAGCACCCAAACAGCTCGTTTGCTAAGTGAAACATTCATTATAAAACACGACTAGAAAACCATTATTTTCGTTTTTGTTTTTTTCTTTTCGTATGCTGTGTCATTCATTTCGTTCTGTCCTACCCTTACTAAGTAAAAAAAAACACTAACACCATTAACCAAGAATCCTGGGACTTACCCTTACTGTTAGAATTGTTGCAGTACGTGACAGAGGAACCATCCGCCAACCGCTTCGATCTGTTGCTTGTTTTGCAGAAATGTCCGCTCCTACAGGGAGACTCCAACCGCAAAGATTTGCGGCTCTTCCCTCTCATTTAACCTCTGAAAACAAATTCTGGAACTCATTTAAGGTTCCAATTGTTGCAAAAGAGTATGCAGCTGTAACCAATATTAATTTCTCTCAAAGTTCGCCCTACGACTTTGCTGTGACTAGCGGAACTCGAATTCAAATTTATGGTGCCAGTTCTCGTTCTGTGAAAAAAACTATCGCCCGGTTTAAGGATACAGTATACTCGGGAAATATTCGAAATGATGGCAAGCTTATTGTTGCAGGAGACGCGACTGGTCTCATTCAGGTTTTCGATACTGCTACAAGAAGTGTATTAAGATCACTGAACTCACACAATTTGCCCGTCCGTGTGACTAAGTTCTGTCCTTATGAAGCAACATCGTTTCTGTCTGGTTCAGATGACAAAACTGTCCGAGTTTGGGATCTCTCCACGGGAAGAACAACTGTAGAACTCACCGGACATGAGGATTACGTACGCTGTGCTTCTTGGAGCAGTGCTACGCGACTTGTCAGTGGTAGTTATGATGGTACAGTCCATCTATGGGATATACGGTCTAGCAATCCCAAAGTGATGTCTTGGAGCCACGGTGAAGCAGTGGATGCTGTGTTGAGTATGAAGTCCGGCACAGCCGTTATTTCTGCCGGTGGTCCGTCGGTCAAAGTTTGGGACTTGGTTGCTGGTCGGTCAATTCCCATGAAGACACTCATCAATCATCAAAAGAGTGTTACATGTCTTACCACAAATGCGGACGAATCTCGTTTGCTTAGCGGTGGTTTAGATGGTCATGTCAAAATTTACAATGTTGCCGACTGGAAGGTGGTCCATGGTATCAAGTACTCTGCACCTATCTTGTCACTTGGCCTCTCTCCTGATAACCGCAATCTTGTTACTGGTATGGTCAATGGAACGTTGTCCATCCGTTCACGTCGCGTCGAGAAAAAACCTTCGGAGCTGTCACAAAGAAAGCTTTTCTTGGGAGGTGTTGGAAGCGCATTTGGCGTTCAACAACAGAAAAAGCCTACTTATAAGGGCCAAAATGATGACTTCTATGTTGAAGAAGTCAGAAGAAAGCGTCTTCGTCCATATGATAAGGCCTTGAAAACGTTCAATTATGCTGATGCTCTTGACATGGCCATTCAAAATGGTTCCCCTATCTTAATTGTCACCATGTTTGTCGAGCTCATGAACATCGGGGGTTTGCGTACGGCTTTGATGAACCGCGACGATCTTTCGTTGACACCGATTCTTAACTTTCTTCGCAAATACATGCAAGATCCTCGGTTTGTTAAGGTTCTGTGTCAAGTCGCCTCCACAATTATCGACATCTACGGTGTCTTCTTGGGCGGCAGTGTGCTTGTCGAGAAGGCAATTTTGAAACTAAAGGAGAAGGTTGAACGGGAAGCAGCAATTGCACAGCAAGCAAGTGAGCTCTCAGGCATGCTTCAAATGCTTATTGCTTAAGAATTTTCATTCATTTGTTTGATGTAGCAGATTTGGTGGTCTACTGGTTCTCTGGCTGGCGTGTAGGATAAAATTATCGCGTTGAAATTGAATTTATGGGATATTAAAATAAAAGAACTGGAATTAGTTTATTAAAAATAGAAGCTTTCACCTCTTTGAGTAAACAAAAGTAAAGAAAAGATGCCATTAACCGGGGTGTTTAACCGTTTCATAATCATTATGGGTCATAAACGTTGAATGTACAAATAGGAACCAAAATTGTACGCAGTGTTTTAGTGCTCGTTTACAAGCAGCGGAGTTTTTTGTTGCGTGGGTTGTGAGACCTGCTCTGAACAACCTTCTGCATTTTGAATTCGCTCAAGAACATAGCTTCTCAAAATAGGTTTTCCTTGACGAGCTCGGGTGAATAAAACGGCTTGCACATTCCCCAGAGAATGCAATTGGCACCATTCAGGAACAAGCTTTGAAAGAATGCGTAGCAGACGCATACACTGTTCCTCAGTGTAGTTTGTGCTGTAGGATTTTTGGAAAGTAGACACAATTTCTCGTAAGGAAAAAGAGCATTTGAAGGGAAAAGAGTGTAATAAAACAAAAAGGGTATCCACCACACGGTCCAGCCGTAAGCTTGAAATTTCGTACGCTTTTTCTATGGGAGTTTTTGACAACTTCTTTTCCGCAGCCTCTGCTGCCAAACGAGCTTGCTTCTTTTTAATACGATCAAACAGAGAAGTTTGTCGCAAACTCAATTGGGCCATGCTTGGTTTTTTAGGTTGGGTAGTATTGGCATGACTTTTCAACAATGGTTTCTTTTGTAGCCGAGGAGAGTCTTGGAGTCTTGCTTGAATATTATCCAATGTTGTCTTTGCAGTTTCAGCCGATGGTGTACCAATGGAGGCGTTAACAGTCGACTTCTTTTCCGTAGCTGTCTTGTTTCCGAAGAAATTGCTTTTGTTTTCTGATAAATCTGGTAAATCGACCGAAGGAATTTCAAGGCCGTCTTCGTGCGACTGTACCCAGTCTTGAAGCTTTTGCTTAAACTCTGGCGTACGCGAATGAAAAATGATATTCCGATTTTCCTCGTTCAATGAAATCTCGTGTGTCTTAATACGAACGCCTCCATGAAGAGCATATGCTGGTTTTAACGCGAAGACACCAGGCCAAATTGTCAATATCTGACCCAAAGTGAACTGATTGAATGTTGTTTTTGCCATTCTCGATACTTGCTTCTCAAGAATGTGCATTGTTGGTTTGGTGTTGATGGAAATGTGAAAAGTAATACAGGTCTCTAGAGCCGCGAAAATCGAAACCAATGGATGTTCCTCGTCCTGCAAGGATACTTTTTCTTCGATTTTCGCTTTAGACTCAACCTTCTTCGGGCGAAGTACGCGTGTTACACGCTTATGTTCTGGTTGAGAGTTGGTATCCGAGTCATCATCGACTTTTCTCTTTCTACCCTGAGGTTTAGTAGGCACCCGTTGAAGAAAGTCTTTAATATCCGTCTGCATTTTGTGATTACAGAAGGCACCCAAACTCGTCTCTGATCCGTTTGAACAATTCTAACGGCGGAAAGCTACTCCTTTTATTAATTCGCGACGCGAACACGAACGCGTACACAAATCGCGTCGCGTCGCGACGCGTTTTTACGCGTCGAAATTAATGCAAAGCGCGACGCGAACTAAACACCATAATATCCCCACACCAGCCATGCAAACAGTATCTTAACAACATGTAAACAACAAGCTTATGGTTCACTCGTTTTGACAGCGGCTAAATCATTGTTGCATAACGTAATCTGTAACAAGGCTAAGAAGAGTGGCTGCATAGGTTATCGAGACGTGCTTACAGACGCTGATTGAAGAAAATTTTTTTGGCTACTAAGTCAGCACAATTCACCTACAACCGTTCCATTGGATTAAAGATTTAGGTCTTCTTGAGACGAATCAACGAATTAATTACGCTCCGAGAATCAACTTGGACTTGCGAATTTATTTAAGCAAACACCTGCTGTTGTCTTGGTTTTGAAAAGAAACCTCTTTATACGAAGGATGGAAACATCTGAATTATGGAGTTTTTTAGATAAAACAGTAGAGACGTGTGTTGGCCATCAACAGCAACATGATCGGGGCATTGTCGAAAGTATGGCAATCAGCAAAAAACGCAAGAACTCAAGTGAGCCTGAATTACGGTTCCGTGAACCTTCAAGTGCGTCAAATGGCCTAAAACGCACTGCCAGTTTGGATGTTGGATCGTCCATGACTTCTAAAATAAATGTGGGTTCACGGTCGCTTGTTCGTAGTAACAGTGCGACATACGAACTGTCTCGGTCATACATCGAAGAAAAGCCATCAGCAAACGCAGCGGATATCCAACAAAATACGTCTTACAAAGATGAACTTTCGGCTACGGAAACGGAAGATGATGACGACGAACTCCAAATGAAAAGCATTCATGAATTACGATTATCGGGCGAGAAGCAACGAATAATGGACGAAATTGAGTATCTCGTGGACGGAGTTTCCCAAAGCAGATCTCCTCTTGCCGCATATTCCAGTTTGCTAGAGATTTGCACACATCTTGACAATACGATGTTTCGCCTCTGCTTAAAATCAAACACCGAAACCTTTTTCCGGGTTTTTAAAACTATTATCTCAAAAGACCTTTTACGGAGCTTTTTCCAGTTGCACATTCTTGCTAGTATCTCGTCAGAAGTGGAATGTGTAAAAGCACTTATAGACTTGCATGGTACCAACATTTTAACCTTGTTGAGGACCACTCTTTCTACTGATGGGGATGCACTTGCGTCTTTTCTAAAAGAACAAAAGTTATCAAAAAACATGCAATCTGCCGTGCATGCCTTTATTAAGCAAATGCCAGCTTTGCTTGGGCTCAAGAACATGGACGAGGAAATAAAAAACCCAAGCTTTCTTGCTTCCCTCACACTTTTTCGGCTTTTGCTCAACGGGCTGCATTTTACGACAGACGTCCAAAATCTACTTAATAAAGCTGTGGGTGTGACTTTTGCAAAACCTACCGTTTGTGAGTTCCTTGTTTTTCTCTTGTGTGATGCAATCGAGCATGTCGATTGCATGGGATTGGGTGAGAAGGGACTTCGCTCTATATGTGCTTTTCTGTCCAGGACTATCGTCGGTACACTAGACGAAGAATCAAGCCGATTATGTATACGTGTTTTACAGCTTCTGATTCAAATCACCGATACTGAGAGTGCGTTACATCCGGTGGACATGATTGTCGCAAGCGGCGTTCCTCGATCTTTATTTTTGCTTTTGCAAAAGGTTCACTCTTGCTCGGAACTGAATGATTACGACAGTGATTTACTTGCGATGGTTTTGGGACTCTTGTTGGATGTTTGTGAAGACTCGTCATCCTTTGCAAAGGCAATATGTGATACGAAGTGTATGGGGTGTACGACGCAACACGAATTTGTGGCACTAACAACTACAGGTAATGATCAAACATACTTGTCCATACTTCAAAACTTCTACAAGATAAGTGTAAGTGAAGTTCGGTGCTTGTTCTCACTTAGGTTACTAATGCATACTCTTAGAAAGATCAACCAGTGTTAGAAGGCTATTCGGCTGCTGTTCTCAGCTTGGTGTATGTTCATGGCGAAATACACGACCACGAAGATATCAACCGTAACATGCTAGTTCAAACCCTTGAAGACTTTGTAGAGTTTCACAAGAATTTGGAGCACGAGTTGAGTTCGTTTGGTGCTAATGAACTGGCTGTCTTATCGGTTCTGCGGAGGCTTATTCATTTGCTTCAGGAAAAAGAGGTCAAATCTCCGGACCCTTCGAAAGATTGTTCAAGCTCTTCGTACAATTCGTAGATTCATATGTATTTACTATAAAATCCCTAGTATCACGACTTGAATGAATAAATGATCAGTAAATACCGTTTTTTATAAAAGTTTGTATCGGAGCAGGAGCGAGTTTCTGTTTTGCATATTAACCACGCAGGTTTGAACTACAGTTACGTTCTACATGATTCTTTAATTGTTCTATGTCTTGCCTCCGAGCGGCCATGGTGGTGTGAAGAGCTACGATACACCAAGGCTGAGTTGGTGCTCAAACCCAGAGTACGTAAGACGCTCCCGAGTCTCAAGATATTGACTATATCCCAGTACAATCGGCTTAATTCAGTTATCAAGAAACACTAAGCTTGACCAATGGCACCTATTAAGTCAAGAAGAATTGCCATCCTCGGTAGCAGATCCGTCGGAAAATCCAGGTAAGTCAATATGTCCCTTTTGGTGCTTTTTCTTTCCTTAAAGTGATTTGTTTCACTTGTAACCTTGTTCTTTTGAGTGGAAATTGGCAATTGGTTCCAGTAAAAAAAAAAATAACAGACGATCTCAATTAATGAACGATCCCAAAGATGTGACAATTCTATAAAATTGAAGTCTTTACTAACAGCTCAGTTTAACTGTGCAATATGTTGAGAATCATTTTGTCGAGTCGTATTACCCGACCATTGAGAATACCTTCAGTAAAAATATAAAGTACAAAGGACAGGAGTACGCTACTGAAATCATTGATACTGCTGGTCAGGATGAATACAGTATTCTCAACTCCAAACATTCTATTGGTATTCACGGCTATATTCTTGTGTACAGCATCACGAGCAAGTCTTCATTTGAGATGGTGAAAATTATTCGCGACAAAATTTTGAATCACACAGTACGCCTGATTGAGATAATTGATGGACGAAATCTGTTACTAACTAAATTTCTAGGGAACGGAATGGGTTCCCATTGTTGTGGTCGGAAACAAGAGTGATTTACACATGCAGCGCGCAGTAACATCCGAAGAAGGAAAAGCACTTGCTACCGAGTGGAAATGTGCCTGGACTGAAGCTTCAGCTCGCCATAACGAGAATGTTGCTCGTGCATTTGAACTCGTTATTAGTGAGGTTGAAAAGCAAGCAAATCCTACCCCAGCAGGAGATAAGGGCTGTGTCATTGCCTAATTAATAAAGGTTGTACTAGTGTCTCCAGAGCCCTTACATGACAAAGAAAAATTAATACCATTAAGAATCAGCTTTTTTCAAACGGAAATTAAGAATATCAGTTTTCCCACTGACGATGGGTTCATCCTCAGCGATATTTCCGTTAACACCAACAATGGACATGGCTTCTCCTCCCAGTACCATGTGGGAGACTTCTCCGGCTGTAGTGCCTTTCTTCACCAAAATACAGTCGCGGAACACGCCCTCGCTCACATTGCCATTGGAGAAGTTGTTAATATTTTTCACAGAGAAGACGGGTATCAAGCCCAACAACTCAATGGCCTTCAGTAAAACGTTAACTACGCCAGTGGATCCATGCCGATATAAAACCATATCTTGCAAATTGGTGATATGGTTTTTCAGTTTTTCGTCCATTGGCTTCAAATCAGAATCTGGCAAGTCGTCCTTTGTATCGACGAATTCTGATCCTTCTTCATATTTAATGAATCCTTGTTTTGCGAGTCGGCGGAGCAGAACTTCAGATATTGCTGACGTAAGGACGAGTAAGTTAGGATTTTCTTTTCTTGCAATCTTAGAGATGTTGGCGTCAGCATCTGGGTGATCGATCTTGTTTAAAGCCTGGTTTATTGTGTTTAGTTAGTAATTGCACGTGAATGAACAAATAATCACTTACAATGACTGTAGGGAATTTTGTTCTAACAAATGTATCGACAATTTTGTCAATAGTTTCTTCATCCCAATCTTCCAAAGGAGTTGAAAGATGAAGCTTATCGAGCACCTTTGCGGTGATTGCTGGTGTACTACCATAACCAGAAAACTGGTTTTGCAACGTTTTCACCGGATTGGCTTTTGTAGCGATATGACGGCGACGAGTATTAGGCCATTTCGCTTTCAAGTTTCCACCAACCCAGGCTATAATTTCGCCGTGAAGCCAGGCAATATCGACTGAGGGATCATAACCACGGCAAGCTTTTCCTTCTGAATCAGTAGTACCAGAAACATCAACAACATGCACCAATGCATCAGCATGCCGGAGGTCATCCAAAAATTTGTTGCCAAGACCTTTACCCGCATGGGCTCCTGGGATTAGACCGGCAACATCCAGCAATTGAATGGGAACCGACCTTCTTCCGTTGGTACAACCACCATACAAAGGCTTGCACTTGTCTTCCAAACCGTAGCGACTACAAGCACAATCAATTTGGACATAACCTACTGCCCTATTGGGCTTCGTTGAGTTAGTACAATGCATGAAAATAACATCAACGGATTATTTATGCCTAAAACGCTTGCCAATGTAAAACAAAGACATAAACGCAAAGCAACAGACGTATATATACCTCAATGGTCGTGAATGGAAAAGAACCCGTTTTCGCAGTAGCATCCGTCAATCTTCGAAATTTAGTAGAAAGTCATTAAGCAAGATTTGAAAGTGATCATACGCATTTAGCATTGTGGATTTTCCACTAGAGGGTTTACCTACAAAACCAATCAATATATCCCGTCCCATTGTTGTTGTTTGAAGGCAAAAGTTCAGTTTTCTACTTTACCACCATTTAGGGTTAGCGAATTGCTAGTCATGGCTCAGCTGGGATTCTACAATAACAACTAGCGGAAAAGCTCTGAATATTTACTTCATTTAAAAACAGCTTTTTAATTTTTAACTATTATAATAGAAGCTAAGCAGAATGGAATAAAACTAGGGATAAAACAAACTAAAAAATGAATAAGAAATGATTGGAAAACAGAAAAATACAGCAGGGACATATGACAAGCAAAGACTATTGGCCCAATACCGTGTACCATTTTTTGATGAGGGTTAAGACCAGTAAATACAGCAAAACAGTGCGGTTAATAAAATAGCGTAATACGGGTCGGACAATGAATGAAAAAATATAAAAAATAGCATTTTTGTGTGAATATACAGGTTTAAAAAATGGAATATAATAATTTGAAAAAAGAATATTTCGAAAAGGTCACTATGTCCGAGTGGTTAAGGAGTTAGACTCGAATGGTTGGCTGTTCGTGACATCTAATGGGCTCTGCCCGCGCAGGTTCAAATCCTGCTGGTGACGAGTGCGAGGTAGGAGAGTGGAACTCCGACGGGCTCATAACCCGTAGGTCCCAGGATCGAAACCTGGCCTCGCAACTTTTTGCTACTTGGTTCTTGAGGATCTCCAGCAGTGGTTTGTAAGATGGTAAAGAAAGTTGGTTTCGTTATCATTTGATATTGAGTAGTCTTTCGTAAGCAAAGCTTTGAGGAACGAGAGTGAAAATAATTACTTTAGATAAAACAAAAGAAAATCACTGGACGTGTTAGAGTCAATATACAACAACTCGCTTTACATCATATTTCCAGAAACTGTAAACACGATAACCACACCAAAATAAAGGTTATTCCAAGTACAATTACCTTTCGAAGACTAGATTAGTCAGTAGAACACATTCCTCATCATAGCTACTAGTTCAAAGAAATGGTTTATGCCGATTCAACCCTCAAATTGTGTATGAAAAGTCGTTACCCATGACAAGAATGTGTGTCACGGTTCGAGGCCGGATGTGTTCAGTTCGATTGAGGATTCTTGTTCGTAGGCTTCAACAATGAATAACTTCTTTTTTTAAACGCGCATTAATTGTTGAAAGAAACAAGTAGTGTATACGAATTGTAGCCATTTAGCTCTTGTATATTATACTAACTATTTCCTTGATAGTATCTTTGGTTACTAATTCATAATTGTGATGTTTGTTAATTCTTGAGAAATAAAAAACTAGTAACTTTGCAAGATTTGCAAATGTAAAAGCAATAACTCGGAATTACTTCGTAATAGAATTGAATGCTTGTTTCATTTTCAAGTTCAAAAGCACTCTGAATCCATGACATAATTTTATTCACTCTGCGACAAAGTGTGGTAGCCCCTATGGCTTAGTGGTACAGCATCGCACTTGTACTCGCAATGCGAAGATCCTTGGTTCGATTCCGAGTGGGGGCAACAGATTTTTGTATCTGCTTCATTTCACTTCTCTTTGTTTGCTTGCTTTCGTGTCTTCGCTCTCCCGGTTCGATGGTTGGTCCTTCTTTGTTTTTGCGCTCAATTCGCCTGCCGATTTGTTGCTACGGCCAACCGTTACTGAATCACAGACGAGGAGCACTTGAACGATTGGTTATGTTTACGTAGAGGTTTAAAGCCTTTACCTAATTAACTCGTTTAAGCACTTAAGCATTTCATAATCTCTTGCAATTCATTCTAAGACTAAATAAAATCCAACCGTATTACCACAATAAATAAACTAATTTAATAAATCCTCCATCATTCCCCGTTTTAAATACAAGTTTGGAGAAATTAATACCGTTACCGAGTCTGAGATATTTCACCAATAGGCATTGGATACTCGGTAACGGACGAAATCGGTACATCATGCTTATTTTGCTCGATCGTATTCGACTGCGCGTAAGAAGAATGAGTATCAGCAGATGATACAAAACGGTCTGAAAGAAAAGGGTTTGTACTAGCTGCAGGGCTCCGAAGTAACTCCTCAATGGCATCTTGCTCTTCTTGTGTAAATGAGGATACCATCGAAGCGTCACTAGACACGGGCGTTTGAGGTTCACTTACGTTTGGAAGAATTGTGGAGGGATTCTGCTCAGGATTCTGAACAGATTGCTGAGCAGAAGGTAAAGTAGAGGTCATCGTTTCTTGAATGAACGAGGACACTCTAGCTTGGCGTGCCGAACGAGATGCATCTGATGGAGCGGTTGAATGTATTGTGGCATCCCGTTGTACTGTAGTAGGCAAATTTTGAGTGGAATTGTTTTGTGAATCTGCCGTATGCTCTTGTTGCGCCGGATTGGCATCCAGCAAACTCAAGCGGATTACTTCGTCTATCATGCGCTGCTCCATTGATTGAAGATAACTTCGACGAGAGCTGACACTGGGACGGGATGAATTTCCATGCACTGAATCACGACTATTACGACGTCCTGGTAATTCGAGAAGATGCTGGTTTAGCAGCTCAGCATTCGCAGCACGTCGTATTGCTCTACGGCGGGCTCTCTCGAGCTTGTATTGCCAATCAGGCCGAATAAAATCCGTTGTGACCACACAGTCGTCATTCGGTTGAAAAACTGTGTCGTGCCGAGGTGGCCAGGGCATTTTATCAAAGCGACTTTTTAATTCGTTGAAGGACTTAAACGAAACTGCGGTGTCTCGTACGCTAAAGTCATACACCCCATAGCAAAACGCCATTAGGGCGGCCGAGGGCTTGTACACTATCCCGAAGCGTTCGGTCATGCAATAGGGACAACAAGCAGGCTCCGAGATAAGGTCTGTTTCACGGGGAGGTGCCTCATTCACGTGCACTGTTGGCAAGTGAGGATCAGCTCTTTTGATTTCGACAAAACACTCAGAACAAATAGGTTGACCACAGCACCGAGTGTAGTTGAAGTTTGGAGGATAAAAAAGGAAACAGATGGGGCATTCTACAGCATTCGTATATACGGTACTCAAGGCATCCTTCCCGCGTCCCGACAAATTTGAAGAGGAGTGATGGGCCGAGTTTGATCGGACTCTTGAGCGACCCTCATGAATTCGAGCAGAATGCTCTCTCAACGACTTTGCATTGGCTATACTGTTACCACTGCCCCTCCGTTGGGTAGAGTTTAGTAACATGGCCTTTTGTGGTCCTAACGCTTTGGCAACAGCCATTGAAAGCTCCTCATTGCTCCAGCGACTTTCAATGTTATCCAGGCCCTTGTAAAATGGCATAAGACGGCGCGACAGCTATACAAACGTTAATAATTATTCAGCGTAAACACGTTTTTTCGCAAGCCGCCTCAACCAGTCTTATCACCAATGATGAAACGAAGAGTGTTTCGGGCGTAATCACACACGCGACCAAACGCGAACTACACACTGGGAGAGACTTAGACAGCCTTCTTCAACTTACAATTAAGTTTTTGACAATAGACTTTTTGTACGTTGGGCCATTCGAATAGACACCCTGACTATCGAGAAACCCTCCATCAATTAGTTGTACAAGACATTGGTAAGAGTCTCTAGAATTGCTTTTTTCCTTTCCTATAGTATTACCCATAGTAACTGCAGAAACAAGCTGGTCCGAAGATGAAGAAAACGGCACACAGGAAGCTTCTTATGTTCCGCATATGTGGTGGTGAGTATCCATGAAGAGCCCTACGCAATTCCTGCCGCATCCGTCACGTCAAGATTCATCGATCGCTATATCTCATTAGAGCACGTTAAGGATACACAGGTATCGGCGCATGAATGTGTGCCACAAGCGAATCCGACGCGTAAACCGAACGTACCTTCTACATAATATTAAATCTGCGAGCGGATAATCTTTTGATACTAGAGCAAGCTAATAATTGCTTTGTGAAAATTTAGTAACAATGGAGACGATTGAATTGCTGGCTCCGTTAAACAGTTGCGGAAGAGGGTAAACATCACAGTGTATTTTCAAACGATATAATCAAGCTGCGGAATCACTGAAACTTCTCAAACAAGATCATCGGTTGTCATGTGGATATTATCACGAATCAAATTTTAAAAGCGGGAATATTCTCCCTGTTTCATGAAAAGTACGGTAATGGAGCATGTTCCGTTATGTTGAGGCGAATATGCCATGGCCCGTATATCTACAACTGTCTCGTCAATTCGAGTCTTAAATATTGTCAGCTGTCAATGAAGAAGGTCTTACGCTAGTGGCTCACCCCCTCTTGTTTACCTAATGGGGTTAAATTCGTCGATTTATAAAAACACTTACAGCATGATCAGGAGCGATCTGTTGTGCTCGGATTCGGTAACTCGGTCGCTTGTGGGGTCGGCCAGGAGTCCGACTTCGCTTCGTCTTAATTCACTATTGAGTTGAGAACGAAGCGCTAAGTCACGCGGTATTAAACTTTAATTATTTTCAACCCTTTTCGTTTGACTGCCTTTGTCCAGGGGGGTTGGTGTCGCGTTGATACAAAAGTACTGACGCACAATGGGCCTATAGAACAAAAAGCTATTGTTGGGCGAGTCTCATAAGTATTGGAGTCCTAACGGCAGGTTCACGCAGTTTACTACTTCTGCAGTGTTAAAACGTCTCGAATAGCCCGATATCCACCAAGCCGATATGTCGAGCGACAATGGTGAAGGGAGTTTGAGTTCACTGGAAAAACGCTCAACAACATTGTCTAGTATCTCTGTCCTCAACAAAAACAGAGACGAATCAAAAAAGTCGAAGCACGGCGATTCAAAAGCCGGCAACCATGACGACTCCACGGAAACTTCAGATGGTTCTCGCTGGCAGCATATGCTCCTTGGTTTCACGCGACGTGATATCCCCGTTCTCATATTCGTGGTTTTATTGACACTGAGTACTGGCGTTTTAGAACCTCTTATGACGTGGGCTTCTGGACGCTTGTTTGATGGTTTCTCGAAATACGCCCGCGGTGACTATTCCACACGCGACTTGAACAAAAATGTAAATACAAACGTTGGACTGGTAGCTATTTTTGGATTGATTTCCTTGTTCCTTGATATGATTGTCCGCTTCTGTTGGCGAATCGTTGGTGACATGGTTGCCCGAAGAACCAGATTGCTAATATTCGGGAAGCTGGCAGAAAAACGAGCCTCGTTTTATTTGCTGAACGATAATACAATCGGACTGATCAATTCGATGGATAGAAATGTCCTTGCATATCAAAGATCAGTGAGTCTTTCAATGAACGCCCTCTTGGAAAACCTCGCTATTGTTGTTGCGTCTTTGGTGATTGCATTCCATTACAGCTGGTCTCTGACACTGGTGGTTATCGCTATTTTCCCTGTTCTGGCTATTTTTGTCGGAATAATAAACAGCTTACTATTCTCATCTATGGAGAAAGAAAGGGTTACATCGGAGAATTGTGCTTCACTCCTTGAACGAGCTGTTGCTGCCATTCGGACTGTGCGTTTTCATTCAATGAAAACATTCGAGCACAATGAATTCATTCATGTCATGCATGCATGTAGCAAGGCGTTCCTGAGGTTTTCGTTCTTCACGTCCATTCAGGCCGGCGTCACTGCATTTCTTTTGATGGCTGTTTTCTTCCAAGGCTTATGGTACGGCAACCACTTGGTTGTTGTCGGAAAACTGACACCTGGAAAAGTCGTGACTGTATTTTGGACTTGCGTGAGCGCGATGGCTTCTCTAAATCAAATTGTCCCGATTGTGCCTGACTTCGTGCGTGGAAAGTATAGTGCATTCACCATTATTGAGTCCTACAGTAAGCCTGCCAAAGGTGAGTATGTCCAACAGATTTCGGGTGATTACGCTCCGGTTTACTGTGATGGCTCCATACAATTTCAGAATGTGAGTTTTCGGTATCCGACATCTGAAACGGCGGAAAACCGCTATGTGTTGGTTAATGTTTCCATGGAAGTTTATCCAGGAGGTTTGACCTTCATTGTTGGTAGCAGTGGTTCTGGCAAGAGTACCATTGCAACACTGTTGATGGGGTTCTTTCCGCCAACCTGCGGTGATATTTTCATTGATAATCATTCCCTAAAAACTTTGGAGGAGGACTGGCTGTCTGAAAATGTAACGTTTGTGCAGCAAAGCCCAGTTGTCTTCAGTATGAGTATTCGAGAGAATATTTTATTGGGAATCCAAGACGCCCCAGTTGACGCGTTTGAGAAGGCTTGCAGACTTGCACTCGTTGATGAGTTTGTCAACAATTTACCAAACGGTTATGATACTTTGTGTACGTCGGATACTTTAAGTGGTGGTCAACGTCAAAGAATTAGTCTTGCAAGGGCATTGCTTCGTGATACCCCTATTTTGGTACTCGATGAAGCAACCAGTGCACTGGACCCGATTTCTAAAAGTCTTATCAACGCTGCTATTCGGGAAAATAGACAAGGAAAAACGACGCTTATCATTACTCACGATTTCGAGGAGATTTCTGCCGAGGATTACGTTTATGTAATGAATGAAGGGCATGTAATACACAGGGGTCTTAAATCAGAGCTGAGTATTCTGGATGACTTTGGTAATCCTCTTGCTATGACAGAATGTTACAATCAGCCTAGCACTTCTGAGGAACTTTCTTATTATGATACCAACGAATTCCAGAGAAGTGAATCAGAATTTGAGACTTGTTACGTTGGATCTTCTTTCGCATCTTTCTTTACGGCTTTGAATAATGAGGAAGTTCGTGAGTTTATTGAAAGCAATCTTTCTCTGGCTTCAATACGCAGAATAGATAGTTCTGTCCACAAACGACGTGCATCTTCCAAGCATCGGAGAACTATATCGATACCCCCACTGCTAACTGAAAACGTAATGGATGAAAATGTGGATACTACTATGGGTATGGAGAAAACTCACACGTTCATGCAAATATTCAAGAGCGTGTACGAAGTTAAGACTGCTCGCATATTCGTTGGCTTGGGTCTGATTCTTGCGCTCATTGAAGGTGCTACTACACCGGTCTTTTCTTTCATCATTTCTAAGGTTTTAAACACATTTATGCAGACTGATATGGGCAAACATGCAGCTTTTTGGTCCTCTATGGTTCTTGTTGTTGCGTTTGTTTGCGGTATTGCCAAGGGCTTTTGTGAATATGTCCTCTGCTTTGCTTCTCAGCAATGGACCGATTTTCACCGTTCGAGAGCTGTCAGATGTATTTTGGCACAAGATCAGACTTGGTTTGACAATCCGAGAAATACGCCATTGCTTTGCTCCAAGACAGTCGTTAACTATGTGACGAACATGAGACTGATCTTAACATCTTTACTCTCACAGTTGGCAGTTGCTTTTTGCATGACATTCATTGGTCTTCTCTGGGCATTCATTATTGGTTGGCGACTTTCTATTGTGGTCTTGGCTTTGGTCCCTGTAATGCTCATATCTTCAAATGTGTTTTCAATTGTGTATGTGAAATTAGAACAAAAATGTCAAACAGCCACAATCGCTGCTACAGAAGCTTTGCACGAGACGATTGTTAATCTAAATGCCATCAAGGGATTGGGTGTTCTTCCTTATTTTAGAGACAAGCATCTTGCCGCGGTCTTGACTAATTGGAAGGCTGGTGTGAAGCGGAGCATCTTTACGAGTATTGGATTTGCTTTTGTTCAAAGTCTCAGCTACTTCATGCGAGCTCTTTTGTTTTGGTATTCTGCAAAACTTATTATGAAGAATGAGTATACTGTACAGCAGATGGTAACAGTTTTAGCCTTGGCCGTCTTCTCGTTGTGTTCCGCATCTATGTGCATTTCATCGTTGCCGAATATTTCAGAAAGTCGTATTTGTACGAGTCGTATTTTAAGACTTGCTGAACTTAAACCCGGCCAACAAGAACTTTCAGGAAAGTTAACCTTTCCTTTTTGCGGAAAGGTGGAGTTCAAAAATGTTACCTTCTCGTATACCAAGTCCTCGCCTGAGGGTCCCGCACTTAAAAATGTTTCATTTTCAATTAAGCCAAACGAGAAATTAGTGATTGCTGGTGTTTCCGGTTCCGGAAAATCGACGATCGCTGCTATCTTGATGAAGCTATATGCCTGTTCTGGCGTATATATCGATGATCATCCACTTTCAGAAATAAGCACCGAATGGTTGCGTAAAAAGATTGCGATTGTTGAACAAAAGCCTTTCCTGATGGGTAAAACGATTCTTGAAAGTCTTTCATATGGTTCAGCTCCTAGTTTGGATGAAGTGAAGGAAGCTGTTCGAAATGCGCACGTTGAGGACTTGATTGAGTCTTTGCCAGACGGGTTCAACAGCTCATTAAAAGAAAATTCGGGTAATTTATCCGGTGGTCAATTACAACGCCTTGCCATTGCTCGTGCTCTCCTAAGAAAACCGCGGCTATTAATCCTGGATGAGTGCACATCTGCCCTTGATCCACATTCAGCGATGCTGATTGAAAAAACTATATCTGAACTTTCAGATTGTACCGTCTTAATTATTACGCACCATCCATCCATGATGAGAATTGGTGACAGGATCATTGTGATGGAGAGGGGATGTTGTGTTGAGACTGGAACCTTTGAAGAATTAATGATCCCGAATACCGTGTTTTGGAGCCTCGTGCACAGAGGCATCTGGAGCGATTAATGCTCTAGCATTTATGTTGTTGTTTTGTTTGTATATGTTCTCCATCGTTTGACAGTTTAACCCATTGTACGACTACTATGATTAACCGCGTTTCTATTCTTCCCTCTTCTATATTTAATATACTTCCTTTTTTTCTGTGTTTATAGAAAGTTTTAATAATTAAATGCATTTTGTGACATTCCGCTTAGTAAAGTTATTAAACCTTTCTGATGACACCGGCAGCAACAGTATCACCCTCTCGTCTTAAGATGATTTTACCGAGGGTCTTGCAGTCATCGACCGTGCAAATTGGATATGAGCCATCCAAAAACGTGAACTTAACGATGGCTGTCTTTCGGCTAGTAATATGTCTGACCTTCTTTCCATTAACGCTTTGGAGTTTAATGACAACCGGAGCACTTAGACGTCCCCTATGCAAGACCAACGTTGCGCCAGAAAGAATCGGCCTTAATAGGTCAAAAGTCTGAATTTCCGCGATGAAAGATTTTGTCTTTTTTACAGGTTGAGAAGTGGTAGTTAAGATGTCACCAGGACGAATTTCGTTAGCATCAATATCAGTAAGTTGCATTGTAATGTTGTCTCCGGCAACGGACCAATCATGTGGATGACCATTGCGAATGATACTTTTCACGTATGCATCAGAATTTGTAGAAACATTAAACAGTACCTGATTGTTCTGAACGTTTCCGCTTTCAACTCTTCCTTGTACACATACGCCTTTAGCGGAGCGATACGTGTCATTGACTGTGATTCGTAACGATGCTTTTACAGGCTTTGTTGGAGGGACAAAATCATCCAAAATGTTCATCAAAGTAGGACCATTGTACCACGACAGAAGTTTTGGCTCATCACGTTTTATTAAATTCTCACCAGAAAGTCCGCTTACCGGAACGATGTGAACCATAGTCTCTTTGAAGCCAACTTTGCTTACCAGGAAATCAAGAATGTTTTCTTTGATGGCAATGAAACGTTCATAAGACCAATCAACAGTGTCGAGTTTGTTAACACAAACAGCGATACCCTTTACGGACAATGCTCTAAGTAAATAAGCATGTTCTCTCGTTTGTCCATTAGAAAAGAATCCGCGTTCAAAATTATTGGGCGAGGCGTCAACAACTAAGATAGCATAATCAGACAAATAAGCACCTGCAATCATGCCTGAAATAAAATCTTTGTGTCCGGGAGCATCGCCGATCTGATAAATGTGCTTTGAGCTTTCAAAAGTAGTGTCAGCGACATCCATGGTGACACCTCGGGCCCTTTCTTCGTCCGTTGAGTCAAGGAGCCAAGCATAAGAAAAGCTACCTTTCCCTGCATTCGCAGCAGATTGCTTTAATTTTTGCATAGATCTCTCATCTACCATACCAACTTCGTATAATAGTCTACCAATCATTGTACTTTTACCGGAATCAACATGACCACTGACGACAAGGTGGATTGATGGTTTTTCATGTTCCTTTTCATACAAAGATGGGATGTCCAGCAACTTTGGCTCTTTCTTTTGGGGAATTTGGGCATGCTCGGATTCTGTTTTTGTTGTTTGAGGTATTACTTGCTTTTTCCGAAGGGCGTTAGACGGTTGGGATATGGTAACTTTTTTAACAGCAGCTGTAACGTCTTTGGTGCTGTTTTCCTTGGTTTGGGATTGTGCTACAGGTGTTTTTTTGGCATCCTTTTCCTTGGCTTTGATTGCCTTCGAAAGCAAATAGTTGACAGACTTATTTACATCAAAATAATAGTACCAAACAGTGTCCTTTATTTCCTGGAAAGGTATATTTGTCCCTTCAAGTGCTGTTTGTACTTGTTCAATTGCTTCGCGATACGCCTCTTACAAATGGTAAACTTTCCACTCAAATGACAGCAATTTGTAATATACATACCCTCCTGATCTTCTGTCAGTTCTTCTTCAGCCTCAAATTCATCTTCATAATCTTTAATACTGTTAGTAACTCATTTCTTGCATTATCTCATTTCGTAACGGCTTAAACAAGACGCGTACTACAGAATGGCTTTAATATGTACCATTTAAATCCAAGTTCTTTAGATCCTTGTGTCTCGACATATTGTTTGCAACATCCACATGGAATGCTGAAAACTTTTGGAAAATGTTTGGCTTGCTTTTGTTGGTAAGCTCGGTTGGTGAGCAACATTTTAGCCAACTTTAAATAACATCATCGTGGAAACGGGGAAAATATTTCCCGTCAGTAGTGAATACAGAACAGTATTGACAATGACAATTGCATGAGGGGTATTAATAATTACTACAGTTTTGAGATGTAAAAAAATAGGTGATACTTTTTGTACACGTATTCTGCATACTGTATTGTCCTCGCGTGCGTATACAATACAATGTGTTGGAAAAGTACCCTGGTTTCATTAAAATGAATCATCTCATCAAACTTCTAAATTATAAAAAGTCATTAACGTCATATTGTTCCCAAATTTAATTCTCGTACTCTTTAATATATTTCTTGATTGACATTCTCAATTACAGTTGAACTTATGAACTGTTTTTTATATAAATTTTTTTGTTATTAATTTTTTATTTTTTAAATATGATCATTTAAATTTACTTCATAACGATAATTAAAAACCTCTTAAATACTAAGTTAAATAAATAGGTAAATTTCCAAAATGAACACTCTCAACCGTTACAGTCTCCATTTAAAAATTTAGCGCAATATCTTTTGGAGATGAAATTCTCGCATTACATTTTTTTTAGGAAGGGTGGGACCAAATTTTGCACGTCGTTTTCGCTTCGGCGCCTGTAACAACGTATTGAGAGCCATTCTCCTATGAATGACTGAATAATACGATCGCTTTCTTTTGTCATTTTGAAGAAATAAAAGACTACCCCTAAAGACTATTAAAATGTTTGTTTTATCAGTTATTTCAGACGTTGTCAAAATTCATCCGTCTGATTTTTGGAAACCCACAAAAGAGGCTTTAAGTGACGAGATTAACAAAAAATACGCCAATAAAGTGATTCAACAAGTTGGTCTTGCTATTGCAATTTTTGATTTTTTGACTATTGGTGAGGGTATCATAAAATTTGGTGATGGTTGCTCATACATGAATGGTAAGGAATACGAATAAAAATGGTTATGTTCTCTTCAAAACGTTTGACAAACTTTTGAAGGATTGCAAATCCATTTTCCATATTTTTCGCAATCCACAGAAAACTGTATCTAACTTTTCTTAGTGAAGTTTCGCCTGTTGGTATTTAGACCATTCCGGGGTGAGGTTATGTTAGGTCGGATTAAGTCATGCACAGAACTTGGAATAAGAGGTAAGTTCTCTTGAATGCGTTTGATCAGGCTATGTATTATCTCTCTTGTTGTGAAAATACTCGCTCAAAACATTATTTCAGTCAGCCGAGTTCCAGTTTCCAATTACACTGATAACTCTGCATTTTAATTGCATTTATTAACTAATATCTAGTTACCCTTGGCTTCTTTGACGACATTTTTGTTCCTAAGGAAATGCTCCCTGATCCATCCGTGTACAACGCACAAGAACGGGCTTGGGTTTGGAGGGTGCCATCTGAGGAAACCGATGGTGAACCGTCAGAACTGTTCATGGATGTCGGTGAAGAAATTCGTTTTCAAATTGAATCGGAACATTTCATTGATATCTCTCCGAGTCGGCCATCTGCAAACAGTGCGGCAGCAACTACGGACGTTCGTACAGAGGCTGAAGCCCCTTATTCTCTTGTGGTAAGTACACATCAAACCAGATACAATGGTCCATCACACATGTACAAGAATGATTGCTGTCGATACCGTCATGTAACTAAAAGTTGGAGAATCTCGCATCCAACACGTTACGTAAAGACCTCCTTTACCTGTCAACGACTGCAATTTTCTTGCCCATTTAAATTTGTTTGTGACTATTACTAACTTTTGTTTATAGGCATCATGTTCCAAGGATGGTCTGGGCATTCCTGCTTGGTGGAATTAGCCTTCTGACCTGGCGAGTTAGACTCGACGTTGAGTGGCTCTCGAAAATGATTTCACCATTCTTACACAACACAGAGTGCTAATTTGCCTCCAAGAAAACGTGCTTTAATGGGATTACATCTGTATATTAAAGTCATTGGGGATGTAATAAAATTGATGCGACAATTAAACAGAAGTTTTAAGCATCTTGAGGGTTTGACGTTTATTCTAACATAATCTATCTTCAACAACTACGAACGCTTCCAAAAGGAATTTTAGTCTCAATTGTCTTTCAAAATACAGTGTCCGTCTTGAAGGATACTTCCACTTTCAAGCCTTTTCGCAGTGAAAGAATCCATTGAGTTCAAGTTGATAAGGAAGTGCATGTATTTACACTTTTTTGTGGACAAATACTGTATGTAATTTTGAAAATGGCTACGAAATGCTTTTCCGGGAAACTATTAAAACAGGATCTTACTTGTGTTGTTCAAAAACGTTGGGCTCACAATCATCATAAATTTGTCATTGTTGGTGGTGGATCGGCTGGAATTACAATTGCACATCAAATCTGGAATAAGTTTGATGCTAATCGCAATTCGGCTTTACAAGATGAAGAACGCTTGAAGCCAGGAGACATTGCTATTGTTGATGCAGCAAAGTATCATTACTACCAGCCGGGCTGGACCCTGGCTGGCGCTGGTTTGTCTTCAGTTGCCGCAACAAGGCGGGAGTTAGCTAGTCTTGTTCCAGCTAAATTCGCTTTACATCCCGAGTACGTCTCAAAATTGCAACCAGGGCAGAATGCTGTTATCACGAAGAGTGAAAACGTGATTAGCTACGATTACCTTGTGATTGCCGCGGGTATACACTCAGCGTTTGAGAACATTAAGGGACTTACTAATTCTCTTGATGATTCTAACGTTCCTGTTTATACAATCTATTCGGAGAAATATGCTGATTCGGTATTTCCCGCTATAAAAAAACTGAAAACTGGTAAAGCAATATTTACCCAACCTTCCGGTGTCCTAAAATGTGCTGGTGCTCCCCAAAAAATTATGTGGATGGCTGAAGATTATTGGAGCCATCACGGTGTAAGAAATAAAATTAATCTTGTATTTAAAACAGGAATGCCAACTTTATTTTCTGTGAAGAAGTATTCCGATGCATTGGAGCGGCAGAATGAAACCGAAAACAGAAACGTTGACTTGCAATACAAACAGGAGCTCATTGAAGTCCGTGGTCGTGAGAGGATAGCAGTTTTCAAAAACAAGGACACGAATGATACTTATGAGGAAAAGTTCGACTTCCTTCATGCTGTTCCTCCTATGACGCCTCATAAATTCATTGCCGAGAGTGAGCTGGCAGATGCTTCTGGTTTTGTCGCTGTGGATTCTGCTACCTGTCAGTCGACAAAGTTTCCTAATGTTTTTTCCCTGGGCGATGCCTCTGGGTTACCAACTAGTAAAACATTGCAGCCATTACTTCCCAAGCACCTGTACTCACTCATAACTTATGGAATTATGCTCACGGTCGAGAACTCAATGCTCAGTATTACCGGATACTCCTCATGCCCTCTCCTAACTCGATACGGAAAATTAATATTAGCTGAGTTTTTGTATGGTGGCAAGCCAGCTGAAACTTTTGGCAAGTGGACGTCTTTATTAGACCAAGGAACACCTCGACGGTTGTTTTACTATTTAAAGAAGGACTTTTTCCCTTACGTCTACTGGCATACTGCCATGAAAAATGGACGCTGGTATGGTTCTCATGGATTCATTCCACCTCGCTTTCCAAACGATTAATACAAATGACATCGGAACTCTATTAGACAATATTAATGGTATTTTTTTTCTCTTAGTATCGTTTGTGTTTACACAGATTTGGCTAGCGTTTAAGTTCCGAAGGGACTAGCCCTGTCTACTTGAGCACACGCTGGTGACCGGGGAGCAATACTATAATGTTACAATACAAACAAGGAAGGACCAACCAACGAACCTGGAGAGCGAAGACACGAAAGCAAGCAAACAAACAAACAAACAAACAAAGAGAAGTGAAATGAAGCAGATACAAAAAGTCTGTTGCCCCCACTCGGAATCGAACCAAGGATCTTCGCATTGCGAGTACAAGTGCGATGCTGTACCACTAAGCCATAGGGGCTATCACACTGTGTTGCGGAGCAATGGCCAAATTGTTTTTGGTTCAAGAGATTAATTCTTAATTAACTTCAAACGGTGATTGAAACCATTCACTCAGTTTGTTAACAAGGTTCGCTTAACTGAACCTTAATAGTGAAATGCGAAATGGAAGTAATGAGTTAACTGCTGAATAAGCTTGTAAGTGTTTAATGGCTTTTAGCAATTGAACTTGCAAGTATTTATATTAATTGTCTAATTGTAATTGATTATTAAGGAATCACAAGATTCCAAAAGTACATGGAGTCCATGGCATAAGCCCAATGGCTAGATGACAACGTCCGAGGGTCTTTTTCGCATCGACGTGTTAGAGAGCCTTTATTCTAAAACGTTGATGTCAATGCGTCTCTATTCACATTGAAACAATAGTTACTGCATAGCTATGGTTTGTCGTCCGACCCGTGTTTAGTTGAGTATTCCTATTGAAAATATTATTTGCGATGTTTTAAGTGTGTTTATTGTTCTCAATTCTCGTGTGATACCGTACAAAGCTTGTTCTCAATATTTTACTCCTTGTAAGTTTCAATTCTTTTTATTTTTTTATTTTTTTCTTTAAATAAAATACATTCTAGTATTTTATTGGCATTTTTGAAATGATAAATTCCTTGACTTGATGGCAATTTATGAGTCATAACGTTCAGCTATTATAACTAAATACATGACTTTTACTAAAACTAATCTCAATGATACTATTTCGCCAGATATGCGAAGTCGTGCTCAAAAACTAGGAACACGAAGCAAAGACAATTCACAAGCTAACAATGTCCGAAGCTGAATGTTTAACCTAAACATTATCTCACCAATTATACAAATAACTCCAGAATCAACACGTTTGAAACGTAAAGTTTATTTACGATTGAACAAGGTACACTGCAAACATTACCGATCTCTAAACCAAACCGTAGACATAATGTCCTTTCAAAAGAAAATGGACATAATAATTCATAAAAAGGACTTCCAGCCCATCATTCATCCAAGCTAATCGGTTACAGAACTAGCAATTTGTTCTGCTTTCTTTCTTGCGTCATCGATACTTCCAACCATGTAAAAGGCAGCTTCAGGTAAATCGTCATGCTTGCCCTCGAGAATTTCTTTGAAAGAACGAATAGTTTCTTTTACAGGCACAAAACGACCCTCCAAACCAGTGAAGACTTCTGCGACAGCAAATGGCTGTGATAGGAAACGTTGAACCTTACGAGCCCGTTCAACAGTCAACTTGTCCGCTTCAGATAGCTCGTCCATACCAAGAATAGCGATAATGTCTTGCAAAGATTTATACTCCTGAAGCATCCGCTGAACACTACTTGCAAGGTTGTAATGTTCCTCACCAACGATTCTGGGATCCATCATTCGTGATTTTGAGTCCAAGGGATCAACAGCCGGATAAATACCCATTTCAGATATGCTACGAGACAACACAGTAGTGGCATCCAAGTGTGCAAAAGTGGTGGCAGGTGCGGGATCCGTTAAATCATCAGCAGGAACATAGACTGCTTGCACGGAAGTAATGGAACCCTTTTTGGTTGTCGTAATGCGCTCTTGCATGGCACCCATGTCAGTAGCCAAAGTTGGTTGGTAACCTACCGCAGAGGGAATACGACCCAACAAAGCAGACACCTCTGAACCAGCTTGAGTGAAACGGAAAATGTTATCGATGAACAACAAAACATCCTGTCCCTCGACATCACGGAAGTATTCCGCAACCGTCAATCCAGTAAGAGCAACACGGGCACGAGCTCCTGGAGGCTCATTCATTTGTCCGAACACAAGTGCAGCTTTGGATTCTCCATCAAGCTTGATAACACCGGTTTCTTGCATTTCACGGTACAGGTCATTACCTTCACGAGTACGTTCACCAACACCCGTGAAAACAGAGTAACCGCCATGAGCTTTCGCGATATTGTTAATCAATTCCTGAATGAACACGGTCTTGCCCACACCAGCACCGCCGAAGAGACCAATTTTACCACCACGAGCGTACGGTGCCAATAAGTCCACAACCTTGATACCGGTTTCAAGAATCTCCGGAGAAGTTGATTGTTCCTCAAAAGACGGAGCTTCAGCGTGGATTGGGGAATACTTTGCAGCCTTAATTGGACCCCGTTCATCGATAGGCTCACCAATAACATTCATAATACGGCCTAACGTGCCTGGACCGACCGGCACGGCAATAGGTGCACCCGTATCGATAACTTTAGAGCCACGGACAAGACCCTCTGTACCATCCATAGCAATAGTACGTACAGTATTTTCACCCATATGTTGAGCAACCTCAAGCACTAAACGTCTTCCATCAGGAAGTTTAGTCTCTAATGCGTTCAAAATTGTGGGTAACGCCTGAGCATCATCAAACTGACAATCAACAACAGCACCAATGACTTGTTTAATTGTACCTGCTTTTTTTAAAGACTCGGTCGAAGCAAACCGGGCCAACTGCGGGACCACTGAACGCAGACCGACACGTTTTACTGAATGGAGTACGCCATTCAAGCCTGTAAGCTGTCGAAAACTGCTCAACACATGCCTTCGAAACATGGTACCGGAACAGGCGAATTAACGTGGACGAAAAACGAACGACGTAAACGTATACGCGTGATCAACAGTACACTAATGATTCCGGCTATATAAATATAACTTCGTTCAGAAATGTTATGTGGAGATGGTAGGTTGCTCGTCAATTCACTTCAAGCTTACAGTTCGACGACGTCAGAGAAAACAGAACAAAAATACCAAATTATACACTGAAACGACTATTACAATACTATTTTATTAATTTATGTATTTATTATAGATTTATGCGCTAGGAATTCTTCATTCTTCCCCAACTCTTTGACCTTGTCCGAGATTCGCAGTCACATTTCAAGTTGACCTTGTCGACACAACGCATCCACTTTTGACCAGGGTCGAAATGGTAAGCGAGTTCACCACCAGTTATTTCATGAAACTAATGGTTGTTTAGGGAATTGACATTAAGAGACATCACGTTAAGAAGTCTCAGCGCACCAAGCCTGCGTCTGAGAACGTGTACTTGAAGCTTCTCGTGAAGTTGTATCGCTTCTTGGCTCGTCGTACCGACTCTCGCTTCAACAAGGCTGTTTTGAAGCGTCTTTTCCAATCTAAGACGAACCGTCCTCCCATCTCCGTGTCTAAAATTGCTGCCAACGTTAACCGTGCCAGCTCTAAGCACCAAGGCAAGACTGTTGTCGTTGTCGGTACCATCACTGATGATGAGCGTCTCTTGAGCCTTCCTAAGCTTTCTATTGCCGCTCTTCGCTTCTCCAAGTCTGCTCGTGCTCGCATCTTGAAGGCTGGCGGTGAGTGCTTGACTTTGGACCAATTGGCCCTTCGCTCTCCCACTGGTGCCAACACTCTCCTTCTCCGCGGTAAGAAGCACGCTCGTGAGGCTTACCGTCACTTCGGTTTCGGTCCCCACAAGCACATGGCTCCTTTCGTCCGCTCCAAGGGACGTAAGTTCGAGAGAGCTCGTGGTCGCAGAAAGTCCCGTGCTTTCAAGGTATAAAAACGATAGCGAATACACGTCTGACAAGTCTCTTAATGACAGAGCGTTATATAGCGGTTTTCATCGTGTGGTGTGGGTGGAAAATATGGTTGGTAGTTGTAGGATGCTTGTTCATTAAGATACTGTTTGGCTCGAGGGTGGGCTATTTTGGTCAACGTCCCGACAAACGGGTAGAGAGTGCGTTAAAACGGTACATGTTGTTCCTTCACTTTGGTGAATTTCCTAGAGTCCGCATTATATTGGTAAATAGAGCAAATTACGTCGTATGTTCCCAATTCAATGCAGTATAGTGAATGGAGCGGTAGCCCAACATTAAACATTTCCTACCATAAAAAGTTAGTTCATGACATTCTTCCATAGAGAGTTGAGTAGACATACCTGTTGGCTGTAGTTCATAAAATAAGTCATAAGAATGCTCGAAACAACCCGATGCGCAACTATCAGTACATTACCGGGAAGGCGTTCAAGTTCCAGTATGACTGCATGCAAACGATGAATGACATCCAAGTAACTTTCTCCGCCATGCCCCGAAAACCGGTACAGGAGCTTGGATGCTGCTGGACTATCAGGATTCTCAGGAAACGCACTTAGGAACTGCTCAATAGTCAAGTTCTCAAACTGCCCGGTGTTCATTTCATCAAGCATGCGAATGGCTTTTACATCGTAATAATTAGGGTCGAAGAATTGTGTCATTTCGATGCCGCGTCGTCGCATTGAGGACCAAACACTGAACGACACTTCATCACCTTCCCTAAACCGCAAATGCTTTTGCGATATGCGCTCCGACCGTTGACTCAACCACAAAAGTCGTTGTTCGTTAATAAACCTTGTCAAACTTTGCGCGTATTCAAGACCAGCTGTCGTCAATGATGAATATCCGCCAATGATACCCCCAAGTGAATCGCTGGATTCGCCGTGCCGAGTAAACCATATTTGACGACGCTGCAGATTCAGGTTTAGCATAAAGCAGACGGCCTGCCCAGCCAGAAAGCCCGTAACGTTGTGAGTCACCACTTTTTTGCCAACGTTGATGAGCTTCACATATTGGAGTTTGTCTAGTCGTTCATCTTGCTCACCCAGCGTTTCATAAGTTTTCTCATACAGTGCGACACGTTTCCTGAAATCGCCCAATGCTTCCTCCTTGTTTGTTCCCTTGTAGTCAGGTCCGTATATTTTAAGTCGGATGTTTTCTTCAATAAGCTAAACAACAGAGTTAGTAACCAAGATGCTGCAAATTGTATGTCACGACGAACCTTCTCATCTGTGCAGATGCTTTCAACAAAAAGTATCCGGATACTATCAATTTGGGAGATACGGTCCACAAGTAATTTCCTTCTCGAGAAAGTTGAATTCGTTGCGTCGAGAATTCCTACAACGCCATTCTCGTGTTGCAACCAATGCAGCATTTCCTCTAAACACGACTTGGCAAGTTCCTCACGAAACTGCTTAGCTTCAGGGTTGTTTGGGTCAAAGAATGAAGCATCCATACTGTATTTCTTCTGTCCCTCTTGTCTGCGACGATTTCCGACATTAAAAATCTTGCAACTGTATCGTAGCCAGTTATAGTATTTTTGAAGTCTGTAATCGTGTTAGCATACTGAATCATTCACGCCGCCAAACATACTTTTTCCCAATGTATGATTTTCCTCGTGCCGGCAATCCTACAAGGATGATAGCGAGTTTTGCTTTCACATTATAGGTCATTTGTTTAATTTCTGATCCAGGCTGTATAGACATAGTAAGTCCAGGAATGTCTATAGTAGTTTCTCTGCGAGCCCTGTGCTTCGGTACCTTGCCTTCGATTTCATGTGAATACTCAGAAGACGCTGTTGGTTTCCCACCTTCCTCATTCAATTCATCATCGTCTCCGAAAACGGCCAGATCTCCATAATTCTCCTTTTGCTTCTGTAACCAAATTCTATAGTCTGTCCGTATCCGGTTTAAATCTGGTCTTTCCTCGTTCAGAGGAATGTTCTCTTTTTTGCGTCGCTCCGATTCAGCTGCTTTAGAGGTCTCGCCTTTTTTAAGACATTCTTTAGGCGAAATTGGAGCATCTTCCATTTAACTTTCTCGTGTGTATATAAAAAAAGGTCCAAAAAGTCTATTAAAAGTCGATGCCTTTTTCTTCGTTACACTCCTTGACTTATGTATCACGATATGTTTCTCACTGCGAAGAGAAGGACAACACAAGGTATATGAATATGAATCCAAACGAAAGAGTTGTAAAGAGCGGAATGAAGTAAAAATAGCCGCGTAATTATTTGGACGGATAATAGCTGTATGTCACACTTAACACATAGACCTCCTTGTAGCGAAAGCAAGGAAAAGTTACGGACGGACTAGCGAAGCAGCTTAGTAGCCGAAAACACCAAGACATAATTCATTCTCAGTTATTTAGTCAAAACAGGGGCACGTAGTAGTAAAGTTTTCGTACGATACAAAGCGCATTCAAAATACGTATTTCTCCGACATCGAATTGCAAGTCAATCATTTTCATTTAATATTTTTTCAACAATAGACTAGCACCTGAAATATACATGAATGTTACTGTCTTCCTACAAACATAAGTGATTTAGGTTATCATAATACAGACAAAAACACGGGAGGAGAGTGCCTGATGCTAAGCATCTGTGACGCAGAGGAGATTGAATACCAATGGTAGTGAAGGGAAACGAAAGTGAATACAGGAATACAGAGGTTTACTTTCCCGTTCTTCGACGACTTCGTCAAGCATAAGCTTGTGTTAACAGAAACGTTGCTAGAATCATTAGATTGGCCAAAAAAGCCGATTAGAGAACAGCATTAATGATGCGAAATTAAGGCGGTTTTGCACTTTCATAAAATTTGTAACTAAGGAGTGGTGCTCACCTTCTCATCAACCGAACTATTTTCAGCAGAGATAACTCGACCAGAAGTCGTCTCTGATGCAGGCGAAGTCGATCGATAGTCGTCTAACTTCTCGGCCAATTTTTCTCCCATTGAATTTACTGCGTTCCTGACACTGCGTTCAGCAAAGGCTTTCACGGGCCCAGCAAGACCCGTTTGAACAAGAATAAACAGAAAAGAGACAACAATTAATAGAAGAGTCAAAAGCACAGGGTTCTTGAGAACAGAAACAAACTCATTCCAGCCCAAGACTGCCAACAAAGCCCAGAAGTAACCCGGTACCCGAGTAGCTGTGCTAATGATAGAACGCTTGCAATCCAAAAATACGAGATCAGCAGCCCGTTTCACAGAAACGTGAATATTCGCTTTCTTCTTGCGGTTGAGGAATGTAAAGAAAGTATCAGCCTCCAAGTTGGAAGCTGTGTCCTCACCTTCTTCAGCCAAAGGAACATCAACTGTCGGGACACTGCCATCTTTCAGACGAACGATTGCAAGAACATCAATCAACTGAAGAGTATCCTGCAGACTCTTATTGAAATCATTTTCCAAAATGTCAGACTTCTTCCACATTTTAGGAATGCCACGGCTGTCGTAACGAAAACTGTCCTCAAAGTGAGTACGCAAACGTTGTTGCAAAATAGGCTCAGCTGTTTCATTTTCAAGGGTTCTACGAAGCACAAGCCATGTACTTCTTTTCAGCTTAAACATGTGTTTAGTACGCAAGAGCTCCGCGTCTTCGTCCATTTCATCATCGATGTACTCATTTAATGAGCGGAGCATTTCATCGAGCACTTTTTCACGCAACTCATCAAATTTGTGCATAATGTTGTCCCAAATGTCTTTTGTCAAATGATGAAAGGAGACATCAATAGCATCAGCAAACTCCTGTTCGAATTGGACCATGAGCTTTGCTGAAATCTGTGCGAGACGTTCCTCACGCATGCTTCGGACTAGCTGCAATAGCTCCACTCTCAAGGTCTCGACCGTCTGTTCCGCATCACAAACAAAACCCTCCTTTTGCAAGGCCGCAGCCTCGGAATGCATGACAGAAACCATTTCAGACACGGTGACGCGGGCAACATCCTTGAAGCAGGCATCTTTAACAAGAGTCGCAATTCGCTCTGGAAAACCAGCGACAAGTTCCTTATGGATTGCAGCTAAGTAACGCTGGATGGGAACCGCAAGTCGCGTCTTCATCATACGATCCAATTCTTGACGCTTTTTTGTATACACCTCACTTTGATAACGACGTGCATTCTCATCAAAGATGGAAAACGTTGAAGTTTGAATAGCTTCCAAACGTTGCAGAAGGTTTTCAATCGATTGGTGTGTTTTTAAGAATGTAAGAAGTTCCTCGCATTGCTCGTCAAACGAGACCATGGCTTCAGCGATAAACTCATCGCAACGATATTGAGCCAACAATTGTTGCTGTGTAGGAAGGTCGAGATCACGGTTGTTTTGGATAAGTTGCCAGATACCCTGCGTGTAAAGAGGGAAGCCATCAGCAGGAATCCGTTTATGGTAGCAGGGCTTGAACAGATACTTTGGATTTTTTTCATCAAGGAATTGTTCACGCAGCTTGTCAGTTTCTTCATCGAATGCTTCAGCACACAAAACCTTGTGCGGCAGGGCTGAGAAGTCAACGTCGAAAAAATCAGTAATGACAGAGTTCTCGAGACCTTCGGGCTTGCTGATCGAAGCCCACGTCCGATTCAGATCGGTCATTAATGTTTCTGAAAGGTTATCGAGCGAAGTACTGCCCAGAAAGTCACGGATTACGAATTGCAACCGTGAACGTTCGATGTTTTCGTGAAACAGTTGAAGATTGACTTCAAAGACCGTCTTCAACAGCGTCATGTTGGATCCTTGGTATAGACCAATTTGGTTCTCCCACATGTTAACGATAATTACCTCACTCGTTGCGATGGAGAAGAGAGCAGACTTGCGTTCAAAGTCCTACGGCGAATTAGCTAAACTGAATAATCGACGTTGCACACGCATCACCCTTCGCTAGGGAACGCTCGCAATCGTACCTGATCGTCTCCACGCTCACGACCGTCTGTGCCCTCAACGTCCATAATGAGAATGGATGAATCTTTTCCTCTTGAAACCCATATGCCTATAGCATTAGTATCATACTTTCAGACCTTTGCACTGCTGAACAGGGAAGAATAGGAGATGCTGCATGTGTAGCATTACAGTATTATCCAGGTCACCTTCTTGTAACCAGATAGGACAATGTACAAGTTCACTGGATACCAGGCTGATCAATGCAAAGCTCGAATTCCAACAAATCGCATTTCGTCAAGGACCGTTCATAGAACCTGACAGTCCGTCGTCTCGTCCAATGATTGTATGCAGACCGATATAACTTGTTTCTTGCAGCCCTTCTCGTTTCTCGTTTATCCCACTCAGTGCTGTCAGAAACTTACCCTTTGTTGTTTGCTGCCGACGAACGGTGTCCATAGTAGAGAACTGTGTTCCAAACAGCTTATTTAACAAAGTGCCTACCCAGAATTAGCAAAAAAAACTTGATGAACGGAATTGAAAACGAACTTTTGCCAGTGGATTGAGAGCCAAGAACGGCAACAACATGGTAATCAAAACCAACATTGTCTAGGCCGACATCCTTCAAGAACCGAGGAAAGTCCTCGTTGAATTCCTTGTTTTCAGTAATCAACTGCGCAGATTGCTGCATGTTGGGGAGGACGGGAAATTACAGCACTTCGACCGAACTGGAAGGCGTCCGGCTGACGGGTGGACCGCACGATGTGGGGACGGTGGGGGCACATGGGGCTTGCAGATGGCGAGTGGGCAATGTGGGATGCGGGGGGGAACAGCAAGAAGTGGAGGGATAAGGAGGGGGGGCATACATATAATAGAATTGGAGAGCCAAGCACGAAAAGAAGGTTGTGTTAGTTAGACCAAACGCTTAATCGTCATACTCCTCGTAGAAAGTTGGCATGACAGACATTGTGCTATCGAGTATGACGAGTCCATTGTCCAAAAATTTAAATGTGGCTTCGAGGTAGGTGCCAATTCGTACATTCGTCAAAAGGCTATTCTCGAAAAGAACGACAAATTGTGTCCGCTTTGTCTGCTGAGGATACAGGCTTCCTGGCGGATCCGACACACGAAGACTCGCCTCTACCAACTGCTCTGGGACTTCGCCAGGTCCAGAAGTTGGCATCGCTACCCTATTCGTCCAGGGCCGAACCGACTCCAACCGAACGAGTAGATCTTCAGAGTCCACAATGTTCCCTCCAAGGGCTGTGGGACCTAGAACGTTCGTAACGTACTCAATTGCTTGCTCCGTCGTAAAGCGCCTGACTGCGTCCGCGTGTAGCGAAACCGTTGCCGAAGACATCGCTGTCGGCTCCGTTGCTGGCGTATTCACATCTTCCTCCCACATGTTCTCCACCTCAGGAACGGCTGCCGCCGTTTCTGAGGTGGAGGTAATTGTGGGGGAATCCGTAGCTGTGAAAGACGAAGAAGGAGCAACGGTTTCGGCATCCGTCATGGTTGACTCTGTGACGGATGCGGCGGATCCAGAGTAATTGAACATGGAGCTCTCACGTTCCTGAGGGTCCCAAAGCCCACGCTCGGTGTAGATTGCCCGGAGCGCATTCTGCAATCGACCCGGAAGTGCCACGGAAAGCCGCTTGCAACTCACCAGCTCCACTTCTGCACGCACACACAGCTCGCAGGCTTCGCGGATGTTGTCCGCAAACTCTGGAGCGACATTATTGTGCAGCAGACTGCGTAAAAAGTTGCGGATCAGCTGTGCCGCCAGAGCCAAATGGGCTTCTTCAACTATACCGGCACACCGCTGCAAGTACGATGATCTGCATGGTTCGTCAGTACACGTGCTTCGAACGTTTGCGGGGTAGTGTCGATCCCGCACAGAGATCTTCCGCGGAAGGTCCGCGGAAAGGAGATATGACGTACAAGAAAGTGCGGACGACCCACAGAAAATCAACGTCTTCGACGTTCTCCATGCGCTCATCGTCAATAAAGTCGACGGCCGACTGTGTCGCAATTTCCGCAGCATCCTCGGCGTTGTCGATGTCAATGCCACCGGTGAACTGCTTCTGGCCAGTCGCGATTCCTCCGAACGCCAGGTACATGCTGAACAGTCGGAGTCTCACCGGGTCGCTCCATTTTCGCCGAAGACGATAGCGCTGAATGAATCTTTCCATGCGACTAGAATCGCGGTCGCGTGTTAGTTTATGATGACATCATTGTCGTTTAGGGACGGATAACGCGCTGCACAGAACCAGCATACCGCTGCGCAGCGTGTTCGTTCCGGGATTACCGCGGCCTCGAACCGGTTCTCTTTCTTAATAATAACATACACGATGAGTGGCAGCTTGCTGCGAGATTAGCAGAGCTGATGCTGCGAGAAGGGCTTACCTGTCGTAGAGTGCCGTGTTTTCCTTGACCTCGTCCGGAGTCAGTTCGGGTTCGACAAAGTCGACCTCCCAGCCAGAGAATTCCTGTGCACGTTGTCAGCATGCAACCAACGCGTGCAATCTGTGCTACTCACATTCTTCCGTCTCTTTCTTTTGTTTTTCGCGTTTTGTCTGCGCTTTCTGCGCTTTTGCTCCAAACGTTCTGCCTCATCCAGTTCCATCGGGATAGTTGCAGGCGCACACGCAGCACCAATGTCCATGCATGCAGCACCACAACCTATTGAACCGCGGTCCAGCCGACCTGCTCAAACGGAAATAGTGCAGTCTAATGCACTGTGCAAAACTCCAACGTACCCTGTTATTGTAGACTACGCAACACAAAGTATCGCAGTAGGTTTCGTAAACCCTCGTCAACCGACTTTAATGAACCACAGCGCGCACCCCTTTATTCACCACATCCCACCAAACCCACTATCGTAGTCCGCCATCCCCCGGCAGGCATTTGGTGGCCATCGCCGAGTCTCCGACCCAAGAAGCCACCTTCTATTTCGTTACAATCCCTTATAGCTTCCTATCTGCCAGACACATATATATATATATTGCCGACCCGCACCACCTGGCACTGACTGCTTTGTTTTCCACTTACACGTAGCAAGCAAACATGAATTTGAGAAAGACGATTTTCTTCGACCTGGACAACTGTCTGTACCCCAAGTCGTACCAGATCCACGATATGATGGCTGATCGTATTCGAGAGTACTTTTCTGACAAACTTGGTATCCCGGCAGAGGAGGCCGAACGGTTGAGGGACGTGTACTACCGACACTACGGTATCGCCATTCGAGGTCTCGTGCTCCATCACAAAATCGATGCCGTGGACTATGACCAGCGGGTGGATCAATCTCTGCCACTGGAAACGGTAATCAAGCCCGACGTGGAACTTAGAAACATGCTGATGAGATTGCGCTCCCGGTACCGTTTGTGGGTGTTCACCAATGCGTACAAGGTCCATGCTCAGCGTGTTCTGAAACTTCTTGGCGTCGATGACTGTTTTGAAGGACTTACATATTGCGACTATAACACTGAAAGCATCGTGGCGAAACCGATGCCTCAGATGTTTGAGAGAGTAATGGTCGAGGCTGGTGTGTTGTCCAAGGACGAATGTCTGTTCGTTGACGACTCGTACGGAAACATTAACGGTGCCAAGAACTTTGGATGGCCTGTCTGTGTTCACTTGGTGGACAGAGATGACCCCTTGCCAGAGCCCATGGCCGGCACTCACGTTATTCGTGACATCCACGAGTTTGAGGGCTTGGTCAAGTCCCTGGAGTCTGCTGCCGGCTGCGGCAAATCAGCAAACACAACCTCAGAGAACGCTATTGCGAGTGGTGGGGACTGCATAAGCACTGTTGGCCAAGCATCGTCTGGTGTCGCTGCCAACAGAACTACTACGGCTGGCGTAAACACCGGTGTTTCCGAGAAGACGGTTTCTGCTCGTTGTTAACGGGTGTCGCCGACACCTCTCTTGTTCCTCCTTTTTCATTCTTTACGAGAATATAGCTTTTTGCGGCTGACTGGGTCAGACGAGGAAGCACCGACGAAATCGGTCCAACACCGCCAGTCGAGGTTGCTGGGTCTTGGGTTTCCCTCTGGCTTGTTCTCGCTGTATTGTACTGTTCCATGATGAATTTTTTTGCCGTTTGAAGCATGCCATACCAGCTATGGACCTTCCTCTGATGAAAGGTATGAGTGTTTAAGCCGTTTTCCTCACTCCATGCCGCTCTCACGGTCTTATCTTAATGATCCCTTTTAACGTTCACGCTTCTCCTGAGTGTTGCATGGATGCACAAATACGTGCGCTTGTGCTCATCAGAAGTGTTTTACCCACCCTGCTTGTTTCCCCGTGCATTTCCACGAACATGTATGACGATCCTTTCAACTCTTGTTCTGTTAGATTGTTCAATAGCATAGAGTAAATTTTTCTTTTTTTTTCTTGTCATGTATCAGGTACAATACACAGTGCGGCGTCGGGCGAGAAAAAGTGATTGCTGCGGCATGTTTGTGCGGCGGGAACACATGGACGAGAATTAGGCCGTTGCTGCTTCTCACACAAAAGCGAAGGGGAAGCGCTATGCTGGCTAGGACCATTTACATAAGACAACAGTTAATCGTAGAAAAGATATAAAATAGAAAACGTAATAGCCGGTCCCGAACAAAAGCCGAGCAAACTTGCCTTGAAAGTTTGTGGCCTAACATGAGATAATGTGGTGCATAGCTGGGATCACTGAATATCGTCACGCTAGCAAGCATCCTTGAAACAATATATTAAAAGGACAATGGTGATGGTGATGACAAACAAGTGTCTTATGCTTGCACCTCACTATCCACATTATGAAAAGAAAGAATTTCTGAATACATCATAACCTTCCAAGTTTCAACAGGCAAATCATTGTCCTGGAAGGACCAGTCAAACACCTCCTCTGCAACAGGCTCGTCCGTAGGATCATGATACGGAGCAAGGTACTCGTGAGCGAGGGCGTCGGCAGCACTGATGCGCTTGCGAGGATCGAAGACTAGCATTTTTTCTAAAAGGTCTACCGCTGCGGGATCGGCATTTTTAAACCGTTCCGAAAAGGGAACTTTCTCGCGTTTAGGGAGAGACTGGACAAAGCGCAATGTATTCTTGCTGCAGATCGTCTCGATTACTTCGTCCGGCGGAGTTCCAAGGAGTTCAGTAATAATGGAAAACTGGTTTACATGGTCACGACCAGGAAACAGTGGCTTTCCTTCCAGCATCTCGGCGAAAATACAACCAGCACTCCAGATATCGACTTCGACATTGTACTTTTGCCATGTGAGCATGATTTCCGGAGCACGGTAGTAACGAGTGGAAACATATCCCGTCATCTGTGGATCTTGAATACGAGCGAGACCGAAGTCGCAGATTTTTAGATCACAGTTCTCGTTGATGAGAATATTACTAGGTTTGAGGTCGCGGTGAATAACACCAGCACTGTGGACGTACTTCAGTCCCCGCAGAATCTGGTACAGGAAGTATTGGATAAACTGGGTCTCAAGAGGCCTGGACGTCAGAAGACGATGCAGATCTGTACCTAGTAATTCAGTGACAAAGTAGATATCCTCGAACGGAGAAATGAAAATGTCACTTAGACTGATGATATTCTCGTGACGAAGATGTTTCAGCAACTTCAGTTCACGGTATGTTCGCTTTGCCAGCACAGGCGTACTGAATGGCTTCATGATTTTTTTCACAGCGACATTTTGTCCTGTCAGTTGGTCGCGAGCAGAACATACAAGACCGAACGCGCCCATGCCAATGGGTTGCAAGTCTGTGTAACGTGTCGTGATTTCGAAGCACGTTCCAAAAATCTGTGTACGAACAAATTCAGCCATGGTGAATGAATCTTGTAGAAGAACGAGAAAGTAAACGACTCAGCGTGTAAAGAAAAATAAAAGAAAAAGACAGATTTATCGTGAAATGTATCGTGATTCGGTAACAAGTGTCTTTCGTAAGACCTGGTTTTTGTTTTTGTCTTTGGTACGAAAGAGTGAGTTATTTGTCGTGAAACCTCTATATCTTAAAGACGCGTCAAACGAGACCCTTTTATTAGAAAATCGAGCAGTATAAAATTACACAGCGTAATAGCAGTTATTAGGTGGAATACACGCTGTAGAATTTTGAAGTGAACTTTTAAGAGACCAACTACTTTCAGCCACGGATTATCGATTGTCGCTTCGATCGGACACTTGAGAGATGGTAGAAGATAAACTCGACCACTGCTTAATTGTGAGAATTCCTAATTCCTCAGTCTCCCGGTGAGCAACTCCAACGGTAATGTTTGACGGAGATTGGGTAAAGAAGGAAGATTGCTTATCCAGCGGGGTCTTTGTGAACGTTATGGGAATTTTATCGTTGACCCCACATGTAGTTAAAGTTATTACTAAATGGCTGAAATATGACGTTATTTACTTCATCCAATTGTTGTCCATGTCGATCCTTGTTGAAACCAATACATATGATTGCCAAAAAATGCTCCACCAAAAAGTTGATTAACGTTGGAGCGGGGTTAGGTGTGACGTAGAGTGTGGTGGTATGTAGCTGAAAGGTTGCTGAGCGGTTGCAATGTGATGGATGGGTACGATAGGGGAAGAAGAGGTGCTCAAACGGAGAGTGACTTGTGTAGATCTGCAGCTGCTGAAATTACATATGTTATGGCGAGCGTCTCCAGCAAAATTCCGCGTAACAACATCAGCCCGATTGTATCCCTGTCCTCTTCTACTTGTCAAGTGTCTAAAACTAGATTGATCTTCCATTTTGACTACTGGTAGAAAATTAGATAAACATGTCATGTATATATTACAAACTTTAAAAATATCATCTTCCTCAAGTTAAACAGAAGGAGACTGGAGTTCTATTTTATTTTAATATGCTCTTCCTCCGAAAACGCGTGCACACTTTGTAAGGTTAAGAAACCAAAAGTAGGAAAGAGCGCTGGTTGGCACATCGTAGCCGTGACGAGATGCGGTTGTAGACGAACACATGGACTTTTTAAGCCAGGTAAACATACTCGTCCCGACCTTGTCTTTCCAAGTACTCTTTTTCGATGAGGATATCGATGCAACGCTTAATGTCAGCAACCTCGGGCTTGAAGCGAGACTTGATTTGATCAATGGTTTCTTTCACAAGCACAACGTGTTTCAGCGTCTTTCGTGCCTTCATGATACGCACAATTGCAGACTGCAGTAGCAGTTTTCTGTCCTCTTTGATAGTTTTTTGTGTTTCAGCGGACTCCTGCTTTTGCTCCGTTTTGATAGGTAAATTAAGGGGAAGACGAATGCGGCGCGAACGAAACTGGCGGTTCAAAGCAAACACGGTCGACGGGTCATCAAGCTTGTTGTTTCCTTGCTGGACCAAAATTTTTGCACGTAAAAAGATACGCAGAATGCCACTCAAATAAGTTGCTGAAAGCTCCGTGTTTTGTTGCAGCTCTGCAAATGTGTAGGAATCAGCCGCGTTGTATAACAGTAACACTCCCATCTGGTATGTGGAAACTTGTAGAATATAGGTAGTGGAGGACGAGTCACCAAACTTTGCCTTCATCTCGCCCTTGGACAAGTGCATCAGCCAGTTCAGCTTACGGCCGCTATGCTTGTTCTGGTAGAAGTTTTGAAAGGCATCATGTAGCTCAGCAAGCTCGTTAGGTAACCGAAAGGTTGTTGAAGACGAAGAAAGCGGCCATGAAGATGTACTGAGGACAAGGATATTAAAATCAATGGGAGACAATTTTGACGGCTGTTGAGCGTGGAAAGCATCAGTAAGATCCGATGACAAGCCGATGTCCTGTATCATTCGCTGCAGCTTATTAGTGTATTCAAAACCACAGGCCTCCTTCAATTTCGAAAGCATACTCGATTCGCTGTCTTCCGAAGTCGAGGTGCCGTTTACCAAACGCTTTGCTAGGAATTTTGCATAAAACTTTTGGAAGACATCTTTATCCTCAACGTAACGGAACACAATCATTACGGAGGAGAGAACCTGTTCAATGTCCTCAGTGTCGCCAGTCTTACTGTTCCGTCGCAAAACAGCATCAGTATATCGAGCTAGCAATTCGGGAGAACGGGATGAGGAGGTCTTGCACACAGCGTTTCGATTAATAAACTCGCGACAAGCATTATCCAAGTATTTGGTAAACTCCGAGTCACCATTAAACGCAGAAGTGACGATTTTTCTGTACCGTTCATAAACGGACAAAAGAGCATGCAAGTAAGCATGTGGGTCCGTGTCTTCGCCTGGATTGGTTGCAGCAACGACATTGTCCACACTAGCCAAACCAGATTTCCGAACACACATTTCAAACGCAACCCGCAGAGGTTGTAAGCCGTTGTCAGTGCGGGATAGCAACTGGTACATACGAACCACATCTTCAAGTCTGCCATCTTCAAGCAAACCAGGGAAGGCTTCATGTAAGGTACTGGCATGCAACGTAATCAGAGTATTCTCAACAACCCTTAAAAGTGGCTGTAAAGTTGACTCATGAAGATATAGCTTGACAAGTTCTTCTTCTTCGGAAAGACGTGTTTCCGCCTTTTTCATGTAGTCTACGACTGAGCACGACTGAATGAACCGTGCAGCCTCGTCCTCGTAAAATGTTTGGGTAGCGCTTAGGAACTGACGCTCAAAGAAATCTTTATACAGTTTGAGAGTAGGTTTTGACAAGTCGGTTTTGTCGAAACTCAACGACGTAATAGACTCTATACATATTTTGACATCCTTCATGTCCACCGGCTCATAATGGCGGAGCTTCGTAAATAAACGGAGAAGGTCCTGTAATAGGTCCTTCGATACATATTGAAAAATATGTTGCTGCCAGCTAACCAAACACAGAGTATACACATCGTACACATATGCCTCCGTAAATTGGTTTTTTAGCTTCACCCAGTAACGGTTCAAGTAACGAAATAGATGATTTAAGAAGCCGGCAGCCGTAGTGTACTTTTTCCAACTTGCAGCATACGCTTCTAGCGCAATTTCTGCACTGTCGTAAAACGGAAGTTGCTAAGCGCTTTGTCAGAAACGTCCAGGATGATTGGAGAACGACCATACCTGTCTCAGCTGTTCTAAGTATTTTGAGAGGTACAGCACAAGATTGTTATACAAAGCTTCACCTAATACACTCACGCCTGAAGATGTTAGTATGCAAACATCCCAGTGAGACACATTTTAGCATTAAATACGTACTCCGATCTCCAAAACTGTCGGCAGAAACAGTTTTTGAAGCATCAGCACAGTAGTTATGAATAGCACTAATCCGTTAGCAACAGAAAATCCAAAAAAAACCCACAAACTTACGTGTATAACTCCATGTATCGTGCAATTGTCATTCCATCATCAAGTTTTTCAAGAATTTGGGCGATGCCAGAGCGTAGCAATGGCCAACTAAACATCCGTTAGCTTTGTAACGTAAACATTCGTTTCTGTATCACATACTTCCCGTTTAAATTATCATAGACTTGCACAGCTGGCAAAACTTTACCATTGTTGGAATTCATAAAAGTGGATGGATAAGGTTTATAAGGTTTCCCTGGTATGAATTCGTTACTAATTACCTGACAGTAGCTACTTGGCGGAGGACTCTGCCAAGTGGGATGTGGGGGTTAGTTGGTGATTAAGAGAACCAAAAGTCAGCGAGCAGTAAAGCTGCAATTTGCTAATGCGTTTCGTAGTGATTGAAGAGACAACCGTTGTGATAAGAAAAATGTTTTGAGACCAGTTGATTATATAGCGATACCCTAAGAACAACGAAGTAGGATAAGGCGGGTTTATCTTTTTTTTTGTTTTTTATTTGGAAAATTGACGTATTAAATAAACAAATTTCATTATATAGATTTCGGAATTGTCGAACAGTACAAAATAACTGTATGTACTCAATCGTTGGCTGATTGAAAAGCAAGAAAAAAGAGTGTGACTTTTTGCAACATACAAAGTAGATTAAAAAAATATTTCATTCAAAACAGTGAAAAAATACAAAACTATACATACATACAATACCTCTTGTGTTTTTGTGTTGAGTGCGGTTTTTTATGTTGTTAGGCGCGGGTATTTTTCTTTAGTGAGGCTTGTTTCACCAGACACCTGAGGCAACACTCCATTAGCCAAACCTGTTTTTTGTGCCAACGGTTAGTGCTCTTCCAGCAGGGAGTTCTTTTGCTGTTCATTTATTGCCCCTGCGTATTTGCATTTGTCCAGACTGTGTTACATTTAGTTTTGTGAGACTTACGGGAGAGAGGACAGACGGAACGTGTTTTTACTGAAAAAAAACGCGACCTATTATTGGTGATACCCTTGCTGTCCTTGTACGAAAACAGAGAATAAGCACTTAATCAGAGCATTTTGTGTTATTTTTTGTCTTTGTACAGAACTTAATCCATTTACCGACAAGGTCCAGTAAAGCAGTATGTATAATAGCAACCACGGAAACTACTCAGACCCAACTATTCCTTCCAGCTCTCAAACAAATCCTATTGGGTCGTTGTACAACACGCATGAAGCCAGCATGTCATCTTTAAACAATGCCAACGCTTCTTCAACTCGCCTGCTCCGTGGAGCAACTTCTTCTACCAACTTGCCTGCAGCAGTCCATCCTTTTGGTGGCCGCAGAGCTAGCGGGTACTCTTCTCCAACTTCTATTGCACCAGAAGGAGGAAATTTGAGTCGTTATCCTAACTACATACCAGGGACCAATGGCACAGACAGCCTCTCAAACGGACAGGCCTCAATGGATGACCTTGAAAACATTAACAGATTAGAGGATAGTGCTTTTTCTGGTCCTTTTTATCGTGAAAATGACTTTGCTATGAGTCAAGACAATCAAGAGGAGGACGACTTCCTTTACTATCCCGTTGCTAGTAAAGCTCTTAGAAAACCATTATTTGCTGGAAGTGAGGGTGTTATGCAAATGTTTTTCCTTGCGTTCCTTGCTTTTGGTACTGGCATGCTTTTTATCGGCTTACCAATTCTTACTTACACTGGTCACAGCTTGCTTTCTAGTACTTCCGATAGTCTTACTAGCAACAAATTCCGTTTGCTTAGCGGTATTCGCACCAGCCTTATCGATCCTACCACTCCTTTGGACGCATATACCCGCACATCCTTTACTGGTGAAACGTTACAGCTTGTCTTCTCTGATGAGTTCAATGATGACGGCCGCAGCTTTTATGATGGTGATGATCAGTTTTGGGAAGCTGTCGACATTCATTATGCAGCTACTAACGATTATGAATGGTATGACCCTGATGCTGTCACAACTGCCAACGGCTCGCTGAGATTACGTATGGATATGTTTGCAGAACATGACCTCAATCTTCGAAGCGGTATGCTGCAGTCTTGGAACAAGCTCTGTTTCAAGGGTGGTGTGTTTGAAGTTTCTGCTTCTCTCGGTGGTAAGCCTGAAATGGTCGGTTTTTGGCCTGGTATCTGGGCCATTGGTAATTTGGCTCGACCTGGTTATCTTGCTACTTCAGAAGGTGTTTGGCCATATTCATACAATGAATGTGATGCTGGTATTACTCCCAATCAATCCGACCCGAATGGTATTTCGTATCTTCCTGGTATGCGTTTGCCTTCTTGCACCTGTAGTGGAGAAGATCATCCGAATGTTGGTGTTGGTCGTGGTGCTCCTGAAATTGATGCTTTGGAAGGTTCCATGGGTGATATTTACATTAATGGTGAAAAGCATTCAATCCCTGTTGCTTCTCAGTCTGGACAGTTTGCTCCTTTTGACTTGTACTACTATCCTGATTATGACTACATCACCGTTTATAATGAATCTATCACGCAGCCCAATAGTTACACTGGTGGTCCTTTCCAACAAGCTGTCTCCGTTGTCACACAGTTGAACAATAATTGGACTGATGGTACTATATACCAGACATATGGCTTTGACTATGAACCTGGCTCCGGTGTTGACGCATACATTTCCTTTTTCGTTGGTAAGAGATTCACATGGACGTTAAGACAACCGGGTGTCCGTGCGAACGGTAATATTGGAAACAGATTGATTAGTGAGGAGCCTATGTCAATTGTACTCAACTTCGGTATTTCATCGAGTTGGTTGTACTTGTATTGGCACGATTTGACTTTCCCTGAAACGATGTACATCGACTATGTTCGTATTTACCAGAACCCGAACAACGCAAATCATCAAATTACTTGCGATCCGGATGGATATCCTACTACAGAGTATATTTCGAATCATCCGAAAGCGTACAAAAACCCGAATGCTACTTCTTGGAGCATGGCAGGTTACACGAGACCCAAGAATAGCCTTCTCGACGGGTGCTAGTTCACCCGTAACATCATTGAACCCATTTTTCCACTCACTTCATAAAACCTTCATACCAAATCCCACACAAGCTGTCTTTACCATCTTTGGGTTAGGCTCATTGACATTTTGTTTCATCACCTTTTATGTTAATATAAGAACAATTCATATATATTACAATTTACTTGGTTTTATAAGTATTTACTCTTGCAGATACAGAGTTAACTATTGTTTACGCCGGTAATACACCGTCTGAATTATGAATATTTTGTTCCAGTCGTCTGCGAGAATTCAAAAGTTCACGTCTCATGTACAATTTCTCATAGTACACGTCTTGTCGCATTTTTTCGAGTTCTTGTGATTCAAGGCGTAGATGTTGTTCCAGTTTTTCAAAGTGTGATAACCGTAGGGTAAGTTTTTCAATTTGTTTTTGAACGAGTTTGCGGTTCAATTCAATAATTGATTTCTCATCTTCCGAAGACAACGTTTTCTTTTCTCCTTCCTTTTTCGTACCAGCGTCATTTGGTGAATTCCGCTCTTCATCTTTGTTTACCTCAGTTTTCTTATCCTCCTGCATAAGGTCTCCCTTCTCCGGAGGAACGTTTTGCACGGAAATAGAAGGCTTTTCTGGCTGCGCTTGTTCTCTTTCACTTTCGACGGTAGTTTCATCAGTCGCTTCAGTTTTGACTTTGCTCGACGTTTCCTCATTATTTGCTTGCTCCGAATCAATTTCCATACTGCTGTCCTGTGTGCTTCCCTCGAGCTCATGTTTGACCTCTTGGCCGTTTTCCTCTTTAGGGAATTTAGCAGACTCTGTCCGTAATTGTTCAGAAATATTGTGCAAGTCGATGTTTAAGTCCTTTGCGAGTGAACACGGATCCGCTAATTTTGCAAGGAATGAAACAAGAGAGACAATTGGATTTTCTTTTTGAATAAACCCGATAGAGGCTCTATATTCATAATCTTTAGCTTTGTGTAATTCGGCGTCGGAAGGTGGAATTTGCAAAAACTTAAGAATACATTCATCAGCATTTTTTGTGCCAACATGCTCAGAAACTTTTTTCCAGTCATTAGGGTACAGCTCTATGCCTTCAGAAAGCAAAAGTAATTCTTGAGACGTCCATTTGTGTTCTTGTTGTTCATTATCACTGGGAATTTTGACAAAATTATGTAAGCCAAGACCGTTGGGGAATTTTTGCTCTTCAAAACAGGTTGCACACAGTTGAAATCTATCTGGAGTATTACTTTCATAGTGTGTAGTGTTTTGAACAGCTTTTGCACAGCTTATACAGGATAAGTCCAATGAATTGTGTGGTCCGTTTAAACCATTTTTTGTCTGTTGAAGAGCTGGGGAATTCGTAGCATGTGTTGATGAGTGGGTGCCGCTAATAATGTTACTCGTTTCTGGGTTGTAAATATTTTTACGATTCGCAGTAACTGATTGTATAGGTTTGCTTTGCGACTTCGGGATACTAGGTGCAAGAGGGGGGACCAGTGGTGCAAGACCTCGAGGTGTGTCTGCGTATACTTGAAAATGGCCCGTATACGGAGGAGCAATTTTAGAAGGTCGCGTCTCGGGACGGACTGAATAGTTAATTAAACCCCATTGTTCAAGAAATCTATGCACGCGAAGAATAACGCACACATCACCAGCGAGATTCCGTCGACAAGCAGTGAAGGTCAAGTACACGTCTGGCTGCATTCGATAAGCACATATCATAAAATCACGGTAGTCTTTATAAACAACCGGTGTTTTCGACTTATTTTTGCCATCAAAAAACTCTGGCAATGACTTTTTTTCGATATCGTGAATCGTTTTCATGTCAAACCATTGAGCAAATGGTGGAATTTCACATTGCGGAGTTTGTTGCAAAAGAGTTGCCTTTGCATTGCTTTCTGGTGTTAACGTCGTTCCTGAATCAGCCCCATGAACAGAAGGCTCCAAACTTTCTTCTTTCATAGCAACGTCTGCTGCCGTCACATCCATTTGATGATAACTGTTTTTAACCCCACGAAAATGGTCTAATCGTAAAATAACAAATCAAATAGTTTTTAAAGAGAGTTTTGTATACAGGTAATATAATTAGACTTGCTAATTTTAAGCAATTGTTATTAATCTGTAATTTACAGTGTTGGATGTGCTCCTTAAAAAAGCGTTGGGAATGTTTTGGTGGTGAGTATCTCTCGCCAAACTCACCACCACAAATTGGCGTTGCGAAGTTATAGCATAAACTTTAAGGTCGAAAACAGTGACGGGACGTTTTGGGTGGCTCCATTGTTTAGTGTAATGAATTTTAACTACCTACGCCTTCACTTCTAGAGTAGCATATTCTGCAGTTTTTCTTTTCCTAAAGTTTTGATTTAGTAAGCTCTCGCACGTGTCAATTGACAGTCAGGGTCTTGGCACTGCAAGTAAGCAGAAGTCAAAGTTGAGCGTTCACACTAGAAAATGGACTTGGTAATAGGTCACCAATTGATGTAAGTAGAAGAATTAAATTTGTAAGCTATTTTACAGGATATACATTACTCTTCCTCAACCTCTTCAATAGTCGGTCCACGATACTTTGGCTGGGCAGGAGTTGGAATGGCAGTAGAGACAGACTCCGAGGCCTCTATTTTCGTATCACTTGGTTTAACGGATTTCTTAGCTTTAGCATGCTTTTTAGACTTCTTGCCTGGTTTCTAATGCAAACGTTAGTTATACGTAACATATATATATATATATATATATATATATATATATTTGCAATCAATACTTGCAACATACCTCATTCCAGCACCAGAGAGGCTTGAAGCTGTCAACGAAACCAACGTCAGCAAGCAAATTGGGAAACCTGTGTACTAGTTAGCACCATCTTTAACGGAGATTTAGAAACTTACAACCAGATACCGGGGGAAACAATAACGCATGAAATGCAAAAGAGGATGAAACGGACAATAACCAGTCCAACAAACGAAAGGATGAATCCGATTGCGACCATGCTCATGTAGTAGGCGCCTTTACGCATAGATGTAGGCCAAAGAGGATAGAAAATGAGTGCAAGAACAATAAGCACTAATGCCAGGGCTCCAAAAACAGCACGTTTTTGGAGTCTTTCGTACAAAATGACATAGTGCATGTCATCCTGAAAATCCTGGTTTCGATTTATTTGAAGTTCGACAAGTGGCTGTTTTTTGTGTTTTGCTGGAAGCTTTTCCACACGGACAATCATTGAATTCATAATTAAGAGCTTCAGAACATTAACCGCCTCCTCACGGTTTTTGACAACTGGTAAATCCTTGCCGCGTTTTTTGTCATAAGCATCTGACATAAGGTACCGCAAAGCACGCTTTACACGAAAGTAAGTAGTTCTTTTTCCATTCAGGACAGCAGGCTTTATCTTAATGTCCTTCTGCGACTTTATAAGCTCCGTGAGAGCGATTGCAGTTTTCCGTAATTTCACTGCTTCTTCGTTAGGTGCTTGAGGAGGACCATTTTGAGGTTTTGCCGACATAGTACTGTATTTTTAGAAGTGACAGCCACAAAGTTAATCAGTTTTAAGAGTTTAGTACTGTCTAGGCACTTGTCCGAATGGGGAGGATTACGTTAAGGGTGAGGTACACCAGTGGAGTAGTAAGTAGAACAAGGAGTGTAGTACATGGACGAAAAGCAGGTCTCAGTAAATTGTAGAATTACTATATACAGAGAAAAACTATAAATAAAAGATACACGGAGCTGTATAGATGATGCGGAGACAGAGACATGAGAAATATCATTTACGACTCTTGAAGTTGTAATTGCTCATCCAACCTCGCAATAGTTTCTTTAATAGGGACTAGACTCGCAATGAGGGTTTTTAGTTCATCAAATTTCCGTTTCTGCTTTGCTTCTTCTATCATTTTTTGAACGAGAAAAAGCTGCTCTTGGAACACAATTTTCTCTGACATTATTTTCTCTTGAATTTCATCAGCATCACTTTTCATACTGGATGATGCTTGAGAAGTCATAGTCGACATGGATGAAGCCCTGTGATGTATCCCGATAACAAGTTCGCGGCGTGGAAGTGGAAGAAGCATTGTCGTGCATTCGTAAAATATATACTTAGCATGCTGATCAATTGCGTTTTTCACTCGTTCTATCGTTTCTGAGAGAAAGAGTGAATCCTGGACTTTCAGAGCTGTTTGGTGAAAGCGCATGGAAAGCTGCAGAAACTTGTTTCTTTTTCGCTTAAGTTCATTGAAGTCACCCGCCGTAATTGTGTCAAAAGATGTTACCCTTTTAACTGCCGCATTGTAATTATGTAATCGAGATAGAAGTGCTTCGCGATATGTCCAAAGGTGCTGAGCATGGAGCAAATAGGGGGGCGCTTCAGCGCGCTCCATGTCGAATTTTAACTTCTCGAAGTAACAGTGGTTGCAGTTTTTACAAATTAGCAGCGAGGGAATAACTGTAGTAATTGAAATTTCAAAGACGCAATACCTGCAAACAACCTCACCACATAAACGGCAGTGTCGTCGACGTCGTTGCAGGCTAAATGGGTTCTTGCAAACAGGGCATGCATGTGTTCCCTTGTCATCTTTCCAGGGCACGATACTCTGTTCCAATTTTCTTTCTTCGTTGAACAGCAAGTTTCCGACGAGAGATACATTGCGTTGCAGCTTCAAGTTCTCGAACTTTTTGACTCTTTTCTCCAAAAGTAAGAAGTTAATTTCCTGTTTTTCTTTAATGGGCTTGCGCAAAGAGGAGTAAGTACTGAATCGTGAACGCGTTGTACCATTCGTATCATCATACCCCGGCCGTTGAATGAAGCAGGAATAACAAACACGGCACCAAATGCCGTGTTTAGAATCGTAGCCAGCGGACGGAGAAAGTTTCGCCTGATACAGGGTATGCTCGTGACAAAATACGAGACCGCATTTTCGACAATGGATTCGCCCAGAGAGGAAGTTCAAGGTCTTGGAGCAGCCGGGGTAACTGCATTTAACAGCAGAGTTTTCTGGTTGCCAATGCTCCCGTGTAACTAACTGGTCCGTTCGTTTCGTGCGCTGAAGACTGAAATTATCCACGATGTCTTCGTCAGTATACTTTGCAATAGGTGATATGATTTTTTGTACAGCCCTTGACTGCAGCTTGGAAGCGTTTTGTACTGTTTTAATCATCCATTCCTGGATGTCTTCGAATTTCTGGTCACGGTCATTTTGAAAATGAGCGTGTTCCATATGGAAATTGACTTGCGAGACACTAGTTAATTGTTGACCGCACAATAGACAATCAACGGGCCTTCCCGAAGATTCAGCCGAATCCAATGTTTCCTTGGAAGCCGAACTGCCTTGAATAGACACTCGCGAAGCTCTTCTGGGACCAAGGACTCGGCGTTCTGATGGACTACGATGAGACATAGCAAAAATTTAAGTCAAAACGAAAGAAAAAGTATGCTCAATTCGTTATTCCAGTAATCAACAAGTCAACAGTGCATTACTCAGCAATGGTCTTTCTCAAACCGCTAATATCATTCTGATGTCTGTAGACACGTTTCACAGATTCTTTAATATTCGCAGTAATTGAGAGCTTGGAAGGAACTGTGAGGGCAAAGATTTCCTTTTCTCAAATGTGTATCCACGATGAACGAAGGACGCGGTAACGTTCGATGTATCGATACGAGTAACTAGATTTGGTTTTTAGCACCAGCAAATATAAACACTAGTCATATGAACAGTGATACGGAGCACGCGTATATCGGGCCAGAACGTAACCACTAAGACTCGAATTTCGCTTCTCAACGGAAGTTTGGATGTGTTTTAATTCGTAACTAGACAACTGAAAGATAACGACGTTATATGAGGTGTGGTAATTGTGCTTAAAGCAATCTGCCGATCGAAACCGGTGGTGCGTGACTTTTGTTAATTTCCCAAAAGATGGATAAAGAAGCATGACTAGCCTCAGATTCATCGATATATTAGCAGCAAATTTATGTTCACCTTGTTACTCATAATTCGTTTTGCTGTTCTTGAGATTTCTGAATGAAGCCTTTTTAAGGTTTCATTTAGCGCGTCGCGTTCGATGACGTAGACTAAGTGGTGAAGTCTCTTTCTATATCCCTAGGTAGGCTAACCAGAGCCAAACAGAGAGCAAATTGTTTCACGGGATTACGTTCGTTAGGGAATTTAGGCAGCAGGTGTTGTTGAAAAGCACTTTTATTTATTTTTTACGTTGTTTGACGGTATGGCAGAGGATCTACTGAGCTCACTTGAAAAGTCGTTTCAGAACATTCGAAAGGAAATTCGAGACCCGTTGGATGTCTTAAAGTTTGAGAAGAACCTGGATTATGCTCGTAAACTTTTTTGGGAAAACGGAGAAAACAGTCTTCTGAAAATCGGTGAACCCTCGGCGTTGGCAAAACGGTTTATGGCTTTACAGGGAGAATTGAACGAAATGCGTGCTGAACAGGAGATGTATCTTGACTACAAACAACAAGAATTCCGGAAAAAAGAAGAGGAACGTTTAGAAGAATGCAATCACCAACTTCGTCAGCGTCGGCTAACAAATGCACTTAACAAACAAGAGCATGAAGAGGAACATTCCACGGCGCGTATACTGACACAGCAACGCTCGTTACAATCGGAAATCAGCAGCTCCCTTCTGTCAATGGCCTCCATTCTCAAGCAGAATGCACTCTCATTCACAAATGCCCTTGTGCAGGACGCTCACGTTATTCAGCGTACAGGCGAAACACTTGAAGGAAACCAGACAAAGTTGGAAACAACGAACGAACGTGTCATGAAGTATGTCCGTTCAAAGAAGCTTGGCTTCTGGAAACGACTAAGCATGGTGCTGACGGCGGTAGTCGCGTTTATCGTCATGCTATTTATCATTCATTTTACGAAATAATTCCCTCTCCTGCCTCAATGAGACTACGACCACCTTCAACCACCCACGCGAGCTTCTCGTACACACAACGCACACAGGTTACACAGTCGTCCTATTTGTTGTCACACAAAAAAACTCGAACTAAAGAGCTCGTTCCATTCTACAACCACTCGACCAGGGATGTGACAATTCAAGGCAGCTTCTTATTAACTTACTCGGATTGCTTTCTCTTGGCCAAACGCTTGCCGGTACCAAAGACCTTCTTGCCTCTGTTCTTGCGTTGCTTGCGTTGTTGACGAGAAGCCTTCTCAATCTTGTTGGCTTGGCCAATACGGACACGACGGTAGTGAGGCTCGAACTTGTTCAAGGCCTCGTTCGAGTCGTAGATGAGAGCAAAGCCGGTAGTCTTTCCACCACCAAATTGAGTGCGAAGACCAAAGGCTTGGACGTTCTCAACGCTGGCCTTGTACATCTCGGCCAACTTCTCGCGCAAGTCGTCCTTGGAGATGTTAGCCTTGCCAGGGTGCAAAATGTCAACAACCTAAATATTCTGTCAGTACAGCTTCCTTCTTGTGTCTACTGTGCACTAAACCTACCATTTGCTTGCGTTGAAGCAAGCGGTTAGTCATGAACTTGCGAGTTCTGATGGTCACTGCCTCACTCATGTTGGTCTTGGTGATGTTGATGGAACCGGTTTGCAAAATATCCCGGATGGAAAAAATGCAGTCACAGTTTACTTGGTGTTTCAGCAAAATTTAGGTTTAAGATGATCACGTGCCTGGCATCATTACTGGATATGATGTCATCCCCACCCTCTGGCTATATGGGTCCCCGAGATGTCCAGGAACCTGTCAAAAACAAACCAAAACTCGACAAAAATTCATGATTTCATTCCAATGAAGCATATGCTAACACCTTTTATCTCAATACCGTCGAAGAACTCAAATGTAGTCGACTGGAAGACTCCGTTGAAGAAGTTTTTTGAAGAGAACTACGGACGTGATCAAGACCTCGATGAAATTGTGAGGAATTTCGACTCTTTACGACGAGATGCAATTAATGTTGATGAAACCCCTGCTGGTAGGGAAGTTATTTATACTTACTACAAGCAGCTAAATTACCTGTCTTTTCGATTCCCCATTGGAACGAATGAAATCGACGTACATTTTGAATGGTCTGACACACTAGATCCCAAAAATCGACTTGTGAAGGAAATGTCTGTGGCGTTTGAAAAAGCAAACGTTTTGTACAATGTTGCCGCCGTATGCTCAAAGACCGGTGCAGAATCTTGTGTTCATGAAGGCGTAGACGGACTTAAGGAAGCAGCGAATGACATGCAATGTGCTTCTGGTGTTCTCGCAAACATACGAGAGTATTTCCTACGTTTGTCGCAGAAAGATTTAGATTCCTCATATCTCTTGGCAATGTCAAACATCATGCTTGCTCAGGCACATGAGTGTGTTTTAGAGCGTTTGCGTATTGATGGAAACGGAGAACCCGCAAATCTATCGCTTGCTTCCAAAATTGCCAGTGCTACCGCTTCTCTATACGCTTCAGCAACTCAGGATTTGAAGGCTGTTCAGTTTTCTTTACCGAAAGATATAATTGAATTGGTGTCTGCCAAAAACAATGCAATGGAAGCGTCGGCTTCGTATTATGCTGGGCAAGCTGAAATGTCCATGGATGCAGCGGGAGTGGCAGTTGCACGTTTTCAGCAATCAAAACGGCTTGTGGAGGCGGCGTTCAAGCAGTTTTCAAGCATTCACCCTGACCCTCGCTTCGTAAGCCTTCCGGTTTTGGAGGATTTCAATCAATGGTTCAAGCAATACATTGATAAAATGGAAGGAAAGTTGAGGGAATTGATTAAGCAGAATGATTTTGTCTTTCAAGAACGCGTCCCTCCCGAAGAAGAGTTAGAGCCTTTGCCTTCGAAACATGTTCTTTCCCCCATACATGTCACGCAAATGTATGCTAGAAACAGAAAGGACGTTGCCAGCGCTAAGGATATGTTTCGCAATTTCACGCCAACTGCGCTAGCTTCAACGAGTTCCCTGTGTTCCGAGACCGCAGCGAATCTAGTTCGGAGAGAGGAGAAGCTCGTCGAAGAGCAGAACACATTGTTGGCAACAATGCTTGCAACTCTTGACATCCAGAATTTGAAAAGGATGATCCGCTGGAACTTTTACAAGAAAAACGAGATACCTGGTGAACTGATGGAAATACATCAGCTCCTAAAAGACAGCAGTCATGAAAATAGCCTTCGCTTGTTGGAAGCAAAATCCGCCGAATTAAAGGGATTGATTGCTGATATGAAAAATGATTTGGCAGTAGAAACAACGCAGAATGAGCAAATGCGCGCAAAGCTGTCGTCGAAATGGACACTGAGTCCAAGTTCCTCATTTTCCGCCCCTTACTTAACCCAACTAAATCAACTACAGGCGTCCTTGGAGGCGGCGGATGAAACAAACAGTAAACTGTTTGAACTGCATGATAGAATTGCTAACGACGTTGCCGTCATTTGCAATTCTACAAGACTTCACGAAGAATTATGCACGCCAAAGCCCGCTCGACCCGAGAGTCTGCTTGATTTGCCTATTTCCTCTCAGGAGCAGACAAGAAATATGGAGATACAAATTGACATGCTCGATGAACTTCAATCTCGTATCCAAAAACTTGTTCCGGACAGAGAAAAAACGTTGGAAGCAATGCGCCAAAAGTACAAATCTTTGGACGTGTCTGGCGCCTTGATGGATAACAGTATTATGAAAGACGATGCCTTGAATCCTGACGAATTTTGCAACACCGAAGTGAATAAACAATTTAAGCCATTAGTTGTTCGACTTGGCGGGACAATTGAGCAGCAGAAAGTCTTAATGGACGAAGTCATCGAAGTTGTCCGCAAGCTCAAGCATAATCCCGTGTTTGAGGAATGCGTTCAAAACTTTTCCGCTCGTCAAAAACAGCATGAAAAACTTATTGAGCACTACAAAAAATCTGGCGACGCTGCAATGTCACTTCACAGTGGCATAAAAAAGGGAATTGAGTTTTACGATGGTGTTTCTGCAAAGCTTAAGCTTTTGCAAAAGCAACTTCAAGCGGAGCTCCTTGAAAGGCGCAAACAAGGGGCAGAATGCATTGCTCAACTTAAGTATACATCAGGAACAAACGATATTACTTCTGCCATGAACAATGTGCGGCTATAACTTTTGTAGTTGTTGCTTCCCCTGAATTTGGTGCCACACCAAGGTTCATTTCTTTTTGACGGGGGCACTCCCAAACGAACAAGTCACGACTCGTTTTCTCATCCCTTTTGTGCCTTTCTCTCTTTAGATTACGACTTCGGCGTGTGCACTGCTGTTAACTCGTATTCTTGTTCACTATGTCTTTTGAAACGCTTCGTGCTTACGAACAAACAAATGCCGTTTGTAAGCCATTTTTGGACAAGCCTTCTACGGGGTTTGCACTTGATGCACATATAAAATTTCTGGAGAGCTCTTTAAAACCCTTTCCGGCTCCGTATACTGTTCTTGATGCATCCAAAACATGGATCATTTATTGGGAACTTGTGTCTTTGGCATTATTAGGGCGTCTAACAGATGATGTCAAAGAACAAGCAGTGCATACGTTAGCGACTTTTCGTGGTCCTAATGGTGGTTTCACTAATGGTCTTGGACATAAAGAGCATATTTTGACTACTTACGCAGCGGTTCTTTCAATATGTTTGTGTAACAATTCTGAGGCTTACGATTTAATCGACAAGAAACGGTTGTTAGACTGGCTTATGTCGCTGCGGAATGCCGACGGTTCTTTTCGTGTTCACGATGAAGGTGAATGTGATTCCCGTGCCTCTTACGCCGCAGTGTGCATTGCCTATTTAGTTGACGGTGTCAACTATCCTCATTTATTTGATGGAACCCTGGATTGGCTGCTGCAGTGTCAGACGTACGAGGGAGGCTTTGCAGGAAACCCAGGTACAGAGGCACACGGAGGTTACACGTTTTGCTCGTTGGCTGCAATTTCGGTGCTTAATGGATCATCTCGGGTTCGGCGTATCCCTCTTGCCCGCTGGCTTACCCAAAGACAAGACGCCATCCTGGGTGGTCTTTCGGGTCGTACGAACAAGCTCGTTGACGGCTGCTATAGTTGGTGGGTTGGTGCATCCGTCAATCTGTTTGCATTGGAAGCAAATAGTGACTCGGACACACGTCCTCTGATCAAAAGTGAGAAATTGCAGGAGTACATATACCAATGTTGTCAGCCTGCTACCGGTGGACTTAGAGATAAGCCTCCCAAGCCCGCCGATTTGTATCACACTTGTTACTGTCTCCTTGGCTTATCGAGTATTGCTCACAATTACCGTCTAGTCGATAATCGTGTTCATGCACAAAACAGTAGCTCCCCTCGCTATGATGATTATCCTTCTCTGCAACCCGCTCATCCTGTATGCTGCGTCCCCGTTAATGATGCAGAGTCTATGATTACCCATTTTTCTTCACTTCAGTGTTGATAATGACACGCAGGTGTCCTTTGCTATAATGTAGTTAAGGATATAATGAAAGCTCATGAGAATACATTCTATCAAATGAATTTCAGTGTTCGATTGGAACATGACTATATGTACAACGTCTGAGATTTATAATGAATAGGAATTATTAGTTACGGATAAAAAAAGTACTAAAAGCAGTAAAGGCAAGCTGAAGTCGTATCTGTGTCATAAATTAGTGCATTATAAAAGACTTCAATGGGTCCAGCGGTGTTTTTCCGCATAAAGTAAAAGCAAATCTGTTAAAGTATGCCGACCATCATCTCTGTAAAAATAGGGCTGCCAGTCGTTATTGTCGATAACTTTGTCGCTTAGCAAATGATTGAGTATGGGAGTGATTCTTGGAACAACGAAGTTCACGGTGACTACATCCATAGGAAAGTCGGATTCAGGTAATGCATCTGCGGTTTTGTTTAAGTAAACCTCTGAACATAAGTAATTAGGAGCTTTGTAAAAAGGAAGAGACATATGAGGTGTATCATCACCACAGACACCAAAGGCATCATCTGTAGTGTATCCAGGCCTAATGGGGAGGCTATTATGGACCTTAAGAGATGCGAAAGAAAAAGAGTCCGGCTTTACATTCATCATCTCAGACTCGCTCAAGTATCCGGAGTCCTCTAATGCAAACACCAGGTTCTTAACCACAGAGGAAGGTATATCTTTAATGTAAACGAATGTGTTTTGTCGAAAAGGGGATACTTGGAATAATTCATCATTTGTAAATGGGCCTTGCTGTAAGCCACCACGAATTGCTCCGCTATTGATGGCAATTAATCTAGGGACAGAAGAACGTTCCGGGTTGACAACTATTTCTGGCAGGACGTGGTTTTGATAAAAGTAGTATATAGACCGAGAAGAATTTGGGGGGACAGATGTTGCAGCAAATGATTTTGGAGCATAACCAAGGATTTGGGTTAAGTTTAAAGAAGCACGGTAGGAATTAATTTGCTTTTTCAAAGCTGAACCCTCCGGTGTGTCGAATTGATTATCAGTGTATTCTTTATACATAAAAGAATGGAAGCCAACATCTGAGTCAACTCGGAGGGCATTTATATGCCACTCGAAGCCCTGCCGGCTCCAGTCAATGTATTTTCGGAAAAACGTAACGCCATTATTTGGATCAGGTAAGCCAGGAAGGCTTTCGCGGGGAGCATCAAGGGAAATAGGCCTACCAGCGAAACGTTTAGCAGCTGTTGTGCCATTTAGCCCGTCCAGAGTCATCCACCCCAATGTTTCACAATAGCGACCGGACTGAAGGGCAGTGGAAGAAGAGTCGTATATTGTAAAATCACGAACATGAGAATGACCGCCAAGTATCTGAATAGGAACGTGAGGAAAAATTTGGCGCAAATGAGCATGAAGAAGCTTTGTATCAAGAGATTGTCTTACAGGTATGTGGAGCAAAAGAATAATAACATCTACATTCTTTATGTTCTCGATTTCATGCCACCAACTTTCTTGGAAGACATCAAACATACTCTGTACACGAATGTTCTCAGCAACGCCGGAGAAAGGTTGAACAAAACCGAGTGCGAGTACGTTGAGAGAGTGCTTGGTTTGAAAGAAGTAGAAGCGTTCTCCAAACGGCACATAGGTAGATAGAGTTTCGTTCCACACCTGAACATTAGATGCTAAATAGCGACCTTGCCACAGTGGTACAAAATTAAGATATGTGTCCAAGGCAACTTTAGGTACGTAAAGCTCATGATTTCCAGCAACAAGAAGATCGTATGGTACCGAAGAGAATAATTTGTTGGTCAATGAGCCAGGAGGATTAGACAAATCTGAAAGACCTGTTCCATCATGAAGATCGCCAGTGTCGACAAGCAATAAATCAACCCCTTGTTGTTCAGCGATCTCTCTAACATGCTTTACGAATGAGAGAAAGTCACCAAAGTCAGCGTCGTAACGTGGGTCATTCCTGTGTCCAGCAAGCCAACCATGAATGTCTGTAGTATGAAGAATGTTTAACTGACCAAGTTCAAGGGGACGGATGCTTGAATTAGAACAGTCTGAGACATCAAGTATCTGTTGTTGAGGTACATATAGTGAGGTGCATTGGATAAATAATTGAAAAGTGAAAAAACCTTGTAAAATAAAGGGGAGCATCAGTCTGTTTTCAAGCCTGGCTCGATTCTTCTGATTTTGTTTATGTTTATATGTAATGTGCAAAATAAAAGGCACTTATTGTCTTAAAACAAAGAACCTGAAAAATAGAAAAATATGATGAAAGGGGCGGGACTCGAACCCGCGAGCTTTCGCACTAGGGAGTTGCTGTGTCAACCTAAACCTAGCTCCATAACCACTCGGACACCCTTCCTGTTCGAAATGTCGTGAGTTGTAAATGCTTATCACCAGCTTAATTAAACATTTTGTTCTTAGGCTTATAACGATAATGAATAACTTGCTTTCTTTAAATGTTCTGAAAATAAACATCGGTTAATGAAACCTTAATGGAATATTATGCGCAAAGGGTTTTAAAAGTTAATTGTTGAAAGAAACAAGTACTGTTCAACGGAGTATAGCCATTGAAATTTTGCAAGATGTGCAAATGTAAAAGAAATAACTTGTTCTTTGCTTCGTAATAGCAATGAATGCTAGCGAATGCTTAGCCCTTCAATTTGAGAAACCAATTAGTTGAATGATTGTTTCATTTTCAAAGTTCATTTGCTTGTGACAGTTCGGTGGTTTTCCTCGCCTCTACGTATAACAGACCTTTTATTCTAGCATGTGTGTGTTTCTCTATTCACAGTAAAACCGCAGTTGCCGCACTGCTACGAATGGCGTTCAACCCGTGCTTCGTATTGTATTCTCACTTTTCAAACTCGGTAGTTGCGATGAGTTGAGTGTGCTAAATGATTTCAATTTTCGTATAATGCTGTATATAGTCTTGTTAATACCTTGCGAGTTTCGGTTTTTTGTGTTTATTTATTTATTTAAAAATAATAATCATAATAATAATAATATTCTTATTCTTCTTCTTCTTCTTCTTCTTACTCTTCCTTCAGCTGCATGCTCAACAATCTTTAGCAATATATAATGTTTTTATTTATTCTTGTAGAAAGGAAACACCATGTTTACGAGCAGATAAAATTACTTTACGTAATCAACAATTGTCAAACCAAAAGAAATAGTAACGGACAGAAACAGTGTACAGCCCCTTGCATTGACCGTAAGTACCCTAAAACAACTTATTTTCTTCGAACAGTATAGAACATGTATAAAATCATACAGGACGCTTTGAAGTACCGTTACTTACTATCCCTCGTATGTCGCTACAGATTATTTGTCGCATTGCTTAATTTAAACGTCAACGTATCCCTGAAAAGCCGACAGGGGTTCTACACGAGAATATGGTCAGAAACAGACACAGCATTAAAATAACCATGCTTAAACCGGTCTATTGGAAGCCAGTTCCTTGATCCTTACTAAGTATAGTTGAAACCCTGCGATTGAGGTGATTTTACGGAATATAACCAAGAAAATGATGCGGGGTATATTACCGATTCAGGGGTAGTATTCGCGATGGTCGGTCTACGAGCACCGATACATGTGTATACGTCATTCTCTCATTCTCCCAACGAAGACCAAGCTAAGGAATCTTCCCATGCGGAAAAAAGTCAAAGAAGATTTATCGATATTATGATAGATACACAGAAAATCAAGTGACAATTGCTCAGTATGTAAGACCAAGCTGAGTTCATGAGCCGCAGTGTTGTCGTTATCACTTAGTAGTAAAGGAAAGTAAGTGTTTTATTAGCACTACACCAATTTTTTGCATTGCTCCTTCCTTGCTCCCATAAAACGTTGAGGACACACATACAAAAAAAAAAGCACACAGTCTTAACGCATTATTTACATGCATTAAGAGCTGTAAATGTAAATAGCGTCTTTCTTGTTTTTTCCTTTTGCGTATCTTACGCTAAAAGTCCTCGTGCAGACAACTTTAATTTTGCTTTTCATATATATTGCAAATTTTATTTCTTAGTATAAGCATGAATGTAATAAATTGGATTATGTATCGTTTTGTTAATTTCTGTTTTTTCGCGGATTCGCTTTTCTCTATTCCACCCCAGTCGAAACCCTAACTTCTCCTAGCTTCTACTAACAAAGAAACAGGTTGCAATTAGCTTTGAGGAGGGGTCATACGCCAAAATTAGGTGCGTAAGGGAGGTTACATAATGAATTGATGTCTGCTTGCATGTTTTTCTCTGATTCTGACTCGTTTAGACGCTCGTTATTTGTTACCCGTCTTTTCAAGCCCAGCAAACTTGCTTTAAATGGGTTCACTGCAGATCACAAGGGCACGGTAATTGATCCACGTTCCTGAGCAACATTTTTGACGTGATGACGTCGATGGAATTACCGAGAATCTTGTCGGCTACAGTGCCGTCTTCACATAACCGAACCTTAATTACCGAGAAAATATCAGAGAAATGCGAGGCGAAGCCGTGCGAACAGCTGCAATCAGAAGATTGATTTCCGATGTCGATTCGCTTGGTGGCCCTTCAGAAGTGAACGCTTTATTAGCCCCTTCAAGTGGAATGACTCTGCCCTGCAGATTTGTACGTCATTGGCCAAAAATGCGGCCTTAAAAAGAGACTAGACAGGAGAACGGCTCGCCGCTTTTGTTTTTTGTCGGCTGCTAACAGTTTTTTAGTCGGTACCGACATTTTTGCGTTCGTCAGAACGAGGTTTAATTTTGTGCCGAAAAACTATAAACCAATTACCCCGGTTTGCCAAAGGATTAAATAACAAAAACACCTCAGCATAAATTGTTTATGCTCCAATAGAAAGTTACAACAGCTTTATCAAATTATCAAGAACAACTCAACGCCCTCCTACAGCCCTTAGGTGTCACGGAATCCGTTGTTTAATTGATCATTTCCACTCCTTCTCATACCCGAGATCGTGTCGCATTCTACAAAATTCGCGCACTTTCCTTTGATCTTAGTGGACATATTTTCGCTGCTTAATCGCCGAATATATATTCATTTTCCCTCGACCGGTTCTCGGTTTCACAAGAGATTGACAAGCTACTTCGGCGTCCAGGAATTCCGTCTGCTGGGGCATTATTTGTCTCACACTTGAACTTGTGCTGCTTCTTAAGAACATCCATACTGTCGTTGTCCCTTATTACCCACAGGGTGACTTTTCCTCTCTCCCTTGCTTCTTTCATTTGCCCCTTATTTATTTCAATTCTATTTTATTCAGTCATTTTGAATGGATGCCTCTCCTTGGTATGGCTATATACCCACAAAATGGGTCGGCATTGTCGGCGTTGTTTGCTTCTCAGTGGTTGCCATCGGTGAAGCGATCCAAGCTAGCGTCCTCAAGGACTATCTTCCAATCATTCCTTTCATTGGTACAATTATCGAGATTGCTGGTTGGGGCGCTCGTGTTAAATCAAGCGCAGATCCACTGAGCTTTAATGCGTTCGTGTGTCAGGTTGCTGCACTCATCATCGCACCCTGCTTTTATACGGCTCAGATTTACGTGGTTCTTCAATACCTCGTACGCCTTTATGGACCCGATTATTCTATTTTAAGACCCAAGTTATACGCAATTGTTTTTATTTCATGCGACATTGTTGCGCTTGTAATTCAGGCTGTCGGCGGCGGCATCGCTGGCTCAAGCAGTACAAATCAACACACGATGGATACGGGTGGAAATGTGATGCTTGCGGGCATTATTATTCAGCTCATCGGCCTTTCGCTTTTTTGCTACGCCGGCATTGACTTTGTTGTCCGTTATTGTAAAAATCGTCCTTATCGCACCTCCTATGCCTATGGGGTTGTGTTAAATCCTGATCTACAACCTCCTTACTCCTCTAAACGTTTCTTATCCATTGGATTGCTTGTTGCTGCTACTATTTCCATCTTCATTCGTTCCATTTATCGCGTTGTCGAGCTTGCATATGGCTGGAGCGGACCCGTTATTACGCGCGAAGTTTATTTCGATGTGTTCGACCTTATTCCCATGGTGGTAACTTCGGCGTTATTACTTGGTGTTATGTGGCCCGTCACGGAGGTGAAACAGCTTCCTGTCGATGTACAACACATCACTGTGGAAGATGATAACTTTACTAAAGTTAATACATTAACTACAGACATGTCGCCAGCTGTTTCCTATGATGTGACTGAAAACAGTTTGATGGGCGATTCTTCTTATGATCATGATAAAAAGAACAGCATTTTGAGCTCAGTGAAGGTGTAATCCTTTTGCTCCGTTACGTTTTTGGCCATTCTTTTCGTTTTCTTCCCCTCCAATTGAGTTCCTAACGTTCATAAGCGCAACCAGTGATTATTAGCATGCTGCTTTGCTTTCTTGCTTCGCAATTACTATGCGGTTATTATTTATCCTCTTTTCCGTTTTCTTCCATTTTCAGTCTTACTTTTCTTAATCCATCTTAAGTTCGTTTCTCTCTTCTTTCTCCATACCCATTGGAATGTTACATTAGAATTATGGCGCCCTTAGCTATGTGTATATCATGAAGTTTCCCTAGTTATTAATGAACCCTCTGTTAAAATTGTACAATTTGAGCACACTCTATTAGCGTGAATTCTTACAAAGTAATCCATTCGAAGCATATATTCCACAATAGGTGCAACGCACTCTCAAACCAGCAACTAAATTTGCCAAAAAAAAATCATAGTAATATATTAATATAAAAAAAGTAATATTAGGAAAGTGATAAAGAAAACGGTAAACATAATTACCAAACATAATTTCAAAAACAGGGAACCCAATAAAGGATAGCAGAACTTAAGAACCCATCAAGCAAATCCTAAACACCGAGATTGCCCGTGCAACAAACTTTATCATGTCTATTCAGAGAAGAAAAACCATCGAGATTATTGTTTCATACGACCTGCTCAGTTGCTGCAAGTCTTGTTCCAGTACTTCTGAGCATAGAGGGGAAGAAGGTCAGTGAGAGAGTCACGTCCATCATCACGAACAAAGTAACTCATCCAGTCGCTGTCCTTGTACAGAGTCTTGTTGGCAATGACGTTGAGTGCATTGGTCACCTTCTTTTGGATGAAGTTGATGGAAATAAGATCAACGTAGTCGGGCTCAGTTCCGTTGAAACTGATCTCCTTGTACAAAACGTTAGGGGACTTGTAGTAAGGAACCTCAATGTGTCTCGTGTCATCACCGTCTTCACCCAAGTCATCAGAAGTTGTGTAACCAGGGGTCATGAAAAAGCCCTCCAAAGCATCGGCTCTAAGAGTGGGACCGTTGTTCAAGCTAGTGTACACATACTTGGCATACTTGTAAGGAACACTAGGAATGTAGTTGAAGAAGTTGGTAGAGTAGGGAGAAACCTGGTACATGGTGTCCGTGTTGAACTCACCCTTGTACAGATTGCCACGGAATCCACCGCCAATGGTAAGAATAACATGAGGGTAGGAATCACGCTCCTCGTTCACAACGATGGACGGGTAAACCTCGTCATTGAAGAACTTGTACAAACTGTAGGAGGAGTTGTGAGGAACCTCAGTCATGTAGTAGTTTTGAGGACTGCAGCCATAGGGAACAGAGATGTTGAGCTTGTTGCGGTAAGCAGTAATTTGCTTGGTAAGATTGTAACCGGCAGTAGTGTTGAAAGTGCTGTCGTTAGTGTTCGTATGGAACATAAAGGTCTCACGGTTGAAGTCAAGGTAGCGACGAGAGTAAGAAAGAGTGATGTTCGAGCCGGTGACGTTGCTGTAGCTTTGACGAGAAGTAATGTTAGCAACAGTCTTGCCAATGTTTTGAACGGTAGCGTTGGAGGAAGAGATACCGTCAATAGCGAGCCAGCCAACAGTCTCACAGTAACGACCAGACTCCAAAGCAACGGAGGCATTGTCGAAAACGGTGAAATCACGGACATGAGAATGACCACCAAAGATTTGAATAGGGGTGTTGGGGTGGACAGCACGAATGGAAGCATGGATGGCCTTCCACTCGTTCCAGTCACGGATAGGAATGTGACCCAAAACCAAGAACAAATCTACATCTTGGCGGCGAATTTGGTGTTGGTACCATTCGGTCTGGATAGTGTCTTCAACCTTGGTAATAACAGTAGCATTGCTGTTACCAGTGAAGTCGAAAAGGAAACCGAGCACAAGAACACGCACACCGTGAGCAGTGGTAAAGTGGTAATAACGCTTACCGAAGGGCACCAGGCTACCAGTGTTGGTGTCGTAAATGTCAACGTTCGTAGTAATATAATGACCGTTCCAGTGAGGCACAAAGGTGTTGTAGGTGTGACGAGAGACGTCAGCCTTGTAAAGCTCATGGTTACCAATAGTCAAGAGATCGAAGGGAAGAGCCTTGAAAATCTCGTCTGTGTACAAACCATCGGGTGAAGTAACATCAGAGAAACCGGTACCGTCGTGCAAGTCACCAGTGTCGACAATGTACAGATCAACATCCTTTTCGGCAGCAATTGCCTTCATGCGTTCAACAAACGACTTGAACTCACCGAAATCGGCCTTGTAGCGGTCGTCGCCCAGATGGCCCTCCAACCAACCATGAGTGTCGGTGGTGTGGATGAAGTTCAATTGTCCCCATTCCAAGGGGCTAATGAGCTCAGTGAGGTTGTAAGTGGTGTTGGAGTGATAATTGATCCAGTCGACATCAGTCTCAGTGGGTTCCTCGGTAACGCTTTTTCTAGCGAAGCCCGTGAGTGCCAGGAGGTTAGCTGCAAATGCCTTCAGAGTGGGAGCCATTGCAAATCCGTGACACGATATTAAGAATTACACAAAAGCGGACGAAGAAGGGACGGGAAAAAGAAGAAGGAGGAGAAGAAAAAAGAAGAAAGAAAAACAAAGAAGGAAACCGGGAAAGTTGATACTTTACCTTGACTCGTTAATTGAACAAGTCCAAACTCAAACTTCCAGTAATGGTAGCCTAATAAGCTGCAAGTGTCAATGACAATTCACAGTTGAGAAAGAGGAAACGCTGCTTGACTGGTGAAAACAAGGTTGCGAGACTTCCCTTTATATGCGGGAATCGAGTACGTCCAAGAATAACCAAAACCTTTTTTTCGCATGCGAGCAGTCATCTTCGCAAAGCTATCGACTTTATCGATGAACTGCGATTGCCATGCGACAAAGAGCCGACTCAATTGGTCTCAGACTGAAAACAGAAACCCCGACAACCGAGAAACTCCCTTACCGCGGAATGCAACCGTTGAATGCCATTCTTGGCGGGTGCCCATTATCGTTGTGAAGCGACGAAAACGTGCGTAATCCCAAGGAAAAATGGCTCAACAGCAGCAAAGAATTCGTTGCAAGTACGCACAGCAGACATCCAGCAACACCGTGGAGAGAAAATGCGGATCTTGGTGACACGATTCCGAGACAAGCGCAGCAGGAAATACCGTGAATGGCCTTTTCCTTGCACAGCAATAGTGCAATTGCTGTCACATTTGCACTCAATTGTCCGAAAAGCCTCAACAGGAAAAATAAGCACTCATCCGCTCCGGACACAACGGGTTCTCCAAAAAGCACTCAAAAAACAGCAATCTTAGATAAACTGATAGAAAACTGATAGAGCAATGAGTAAGCAAACTTTCATCAAGAAATGTGCTATCGTTCTTGTGCAATTGCACATGCAACGCTTATAGGGCTTCGGCTCACACGAGGAAGAAGCCTCGCGCATGTGACCACGTAAACGCTAGTGACACCAGTAAATCCGCCTCGAGTGGTGTTTTGAGCCTTGAGATGCGACAAACGATACGATTTAAGGCCGTCGCTAGCGTCACCTGCGGTCCAATGTCACCAGTCATCAGCTTTGCATTATGAATAGGCCCGATGAAAAATGCTCCATGAACTTCCGCGCTGCCGGTCACGGATACACGGAACAACCAAGGGCCCATTCAGCTGCAAGGCCCTTGGTGGTGAACGTGTTACAGTACCATTAAGAAAAGAAGAACGCCAGAAGAAGGGCAATAGGGGTGAAGCAGTCAGTAGTAACGGAAGGGGTTGCAATGATTGCACGAAGCATATTGGCACCAAGGCTTCGGGTGCATGAGAATCTCTGAACGAGATTGTCGAGCGTCTGGGTGCAAAAAGGACTCAGTTTAATGGATGGGGTGGAGTAATCTCTCTCCTGTATCCCAAGGATAACCCCTCTAAATCTGCTCACTGTGACCTTAGATCATCTTGTACCGCTTGCAGACAATGACAGACAACACCGCGAACACGATCAGACTGCTCAGGATGCCGAAAAACCAGGTGAGACCAGGAGCATCTTGGCCGGGGACTTTGGTGTTCATGCCCCATAGACCCGTGACCAGATTTAGAGGAACGAGGATGGTGCCGAGAACGGTGAGGCGAGAGAGGACGTCGTTGGTTTCGTTGGACACAAGTGTCATGTTGATGGAGATCTGTGCAAGGTAATTAGAGTGACTTCGGGAAAGGATTTTTTCGTAGTGATTAAGATTCTGCACCATAGTGACAATGTGGTCTTGAACATCACCTAGGTAGAGGGCAATTTCGCCGCGCGGTGCTACTTGCCAGGCCTCATTACAGCGTTTGGCAAGTCCGCGCACAACGTCGGCCTTGTTTGCCAGTAAACGTAGTAGACTCATAATTAGCTTTCGACACTCGCCCACACGTTTCAGCATGCTTTCCTGCGGCTCCACCTCCCGCACGTGTTCGTGATGAATGCCAAGAATGATGCCGTCAATAGTATCGACTTCGTCTTCGATTTTCTCGATTAAAGGCGCGAACGCATCTGTCGTGTCGTCAATCAACGCATAGGCAATCCAATCCGCATCCACAGTCAGGTAGCCATTCAGCTGCCGAATTCGACGCCGGACGTTCGGTGGATGTGGTGTCGGATTCGCATGAAATGTGAGAATACCATCACGGAAAACAACCATGTAGAGGTTGAGCGGCTTTAAGTAATCAGCACTGGACGGCAACTGGTTGAAGGAACGAAAGGTGACAAAGTAGTAGTTGCGAAACAGCTCCACCTTTTCACGATCCTCTTCCATTGTTATGTCCTCAACGGTCAGTGGGTGAATGTGAAAACACTTGGCAAGCAGACGCACTTCGTCAGCCGTCGGTGCATACACGTCAAGCCACCAAGTGCCTCCAGAATGGAAGAGCTCGCGGAAGCTCTGCCCCTCCTGCGGCAGCTCCCACAGGTTGCGCGAGTGAATCGTCGTGGGCAACTCGTCCGTGAAAAATGTGAACCGGAATGGACGCTCGCTTTCGTGCTTGCGAAAGTTGGCCCAACGGTCGCGAACTCGATAGCGCCCATCCACTAGCATAGGCTCGCTCATCTTTCGAGCACGCTGACGACGACGCCCCGGGATAGACGTGCTCTCGCTATCTCCGTCCTCGACGTTGCTTTCATTTGCCAGAATCTCTTCTTCGGCCCATGCATCCAGCACATCAAATTCTGGATTAATGTTAGTAGGCACAGTTCCCGGAATCGGTGTAAAAACACCGTCCTCCGACTTTGGCGAGCTCTCACGCTCGTGAGCAGAGGCTCGTGACGATGCTTCTTCCTCGTCAAAATAATTATGGACAGAATGGCTCGACATCTTGTCTGAAGCCGAGTGAGAGTAAAAATCTTCGACTGCCTTTTGCAGGACATTCGAGTCTGAGTGTTCCATGTTCGAATGGACACTGTGAGCATCCTCATCATGAGGCGATGGACACACAGAAGTTGGCATAGACGGCGGATTGTTCACATCCTTTGCTGACACTCGAGCAGCATGACTTTCCAACCATGTACGAGTCAGATACGGATTCGGAGCTGCTGCATACGTCCGCGACAGCCTTTCGCTCGTTGTGTGAGTTCTGTCCAGCAATGCGGTCCGTTCGTCAGCATCCACATCAAGCGGCTCCGACAGCAAGGGTTGATGCAGTTGTTGTAGCTGTTGCTGTTGCAAACTAAGACCTCGGACTTTCCATGTGGGACGGCGAGGCGGAGTGTCATTGTTCTTACTCTGTCTCGTGGGGTTTGTACCGAAGGCGTTGTTCGGTCCCTTCCCACTCAATTCTGTATCATCTCCCAAAGTTGACTCTGAATAAGCCCGTGAAAATTGAAAAGCCCGGGGCAATGAATGTGACAGGACATGTTCTTTCTGAGTGAGGGGCTGCGACTCGTCTCCGCTGTCGAAATCCTCTCCTTCATTCTGCTCGCGTGGTGAATGTGTTGAAGAAGACTCGATCGTGTCTCTTCGTTTCACAGCAGGAGACAGCCGCTGTCTCGACCTCAAAGGTGACAATTGATCTGTATCCTTGACGGTGAAGGCTGCTGCAGACGCCAGATGAGCTCCAGGCGTGTCTACTGGAGAAGAACCTTTCGGAGACGAATTCATAATTCTCTTCGCGTACGACTAAACATGCGGTGGACAAAAAAATTTACAAATACACAAATAGAACTTTGTAATCTACTGAATTGCACTGGAAAACCAAATCTACGGTTCTGCGTCTTCGAGCTGTCGTTGTCGAAGAGCAGCTGCTGTAGTGACCGCCAAGTGTGCTCTATCACTGCCCTCCTCGCCTCAATGGTGGTGGGAAAATTGAGTAGATTAGAATTTGTATTAAGCGAGCATGACGACAGCAATCTAATCATAGTGACAACACACACGCTTATGTCACCGATAGCGGTGGGGAGAGTAAATCCGGGTGCGCGGGGTAGCGAGAATGGGGGTACCGGAATAATATGGGCAGGACATGGGCGCGTGGGGGAACATGTGGGATGTGTGGGGAGTTTAAGCGAGAAGGAGAAAGGCGGAATGGTAGGAAGAAAGGGGAGCTGGTCGTAGAAGAAGGAAAATAAGATCACAGGCGAAGAATGTAGAACGAGTTGTGTGCAGTAGTGCGTGGATGCATGCGGGGGTGCGGCGGGAGGATTGGGGGAAATCTCAAAGACAGATGCCGTCGGTTCAACAATAGTTGTCGCCTCCATGGACAGACGAACATGAAATGATCAGCCTTTTCGTTCCCTTTGAGTAAGAAAAAGGGTCCACCGCCGACGAACCAAGTCCCAAGGTGAGCCTGACGGTAACGGATTTAAGTGCTGCTTTACGATACGGCGAGTCACAGGGGAAGGCACGAGTCGGGGTCGAGAAAGGAGGCGTTCTATAACAATCAAGACTCCTTTGCTGTCACGACGCTTTAGACAATGAGCAAGCACGGTGTTGTAAGTGGACAGAACAGATTGCGGTCGAGCGTCTTTGAGAATTGATTCTAGCTGGTTCCAAAGGGAGAGAAACTTTGCACTAAGCGAAGGGGAACCGGCAGTAGCATCGTCAGCACGGGTATTCGCTGCTTTTTCTTTCCCGGGACTTGGCAATAGCTGTGAGTGAAGGGCACATTTTAGGTAGAAAGTGATTAGATAGGCATCCTGAGCACGAAAATGGGTACGGAGTTGAAGAGATCGACACACAACAGAATGGATGGACGGTAAACTGTGCTCATGAGCCCAGAGCCGTTTCATAAGCAACACAACAACATAGGGAGAAGGCAACAAGGACTCAAACCGCAGTACGGACAAGAATAACCGTCGAGCCTCTTTCAATTGATTGTGCTCAAGCAGTGTTCGCAATGTCTTTGTTAGCCATGTCCGTGTTAAGTAAGGAATACAATTTCGTTTTTGAAGTATGGACAAAAGGACAGCAGACACCTGATGGAATCCGTGAACGCTGCTTTGTACGTACAAATGGGCAAGCACCTCAACGGCCGTCGCTGCATCCTGTAATGGCAATTGTATGGCACGACAAAAGGCCACTCCCTCCAACGAAGCAAACACGATATCTGGCACACATACAAACCATTTCAGTACGTTTTTTAAAGCCAAGAGTGAATGTGGAGAAGCACCGCTCCTCTTCAGATGCTGGCAGGGTGCCACAATGATGTTGCATTTCCATAACCGATGCAGTTGCTGAAATAGTTCCGTCGCCTGGTCTCTGGTCCACTGTAGCGTGAGATTTGGTTTCGTAATAGTAAAATTTGGCACATCTACGACCGTACTGCTATGTTGAGAGGCAGGACAGCCCGAGGCAAGACACAACTCTGAGCTAAAAGACCGTACAGCGGCCGTTTTTTCGTGGAAAGAGCGTGCTATTTGTAATCGAGCTCGTGTTAAAGCGTTACGAGCAAAGAAAAAGCCAAACAGACTCATACAAATGCCGTTCGACCATTTCTGCTGCTGAGCAGTACTCGACAGACGCGTCGAAGAGGGTCCACAAACAAAAGTAGCACGTTTGTCTAAAAGTAAATACACCCGTGTATCCCATACATTCTCAGCAATATGATTCATGTAATGGAAGTGTATAACCCCGTTACTGATGTCATGTTTTGCGTCTCAGCCGCTGGGTTCTTTTTGGCCAGCAAGTTTTCCCTTCTCCCCTTCACACAACCAACCTCACCTCCACCACAACCGACAACTCGTTGTTTGTCACCAAAAATCTGTCTCCCTACGTCGCTGTTGAACCAGTTTTCTAGCAAGTATGACCGCTTCCCGCGAAAACTCGGTATACCTTGCCAAGCTCGCCGAGCAGGCTGAGCGTTATGAAGGTACGTCGTAATGGGATATGGGCGTTGGCCACTTGGGACAACACATCCCTTTGTTCTCCACTGCACGGAAGGCGGTCTAGCGGTGACCTGGGCCCGTTCTGAGGCCGTTGGGTCTCAGATTGACTTGCTTAACTGTGTTGCAGCTGTTTCTGCACTATTTCCCACGGGTTTTTTACTAACAAGCCATAGAAATGGTTGAGAATATGAAACATGTCGCCTCTCTTGATGAAAAGCTCTCTGTTGAGGAGCGCAACCTTCTTTCTGTTGCTTACAAGAACGTGATTGGTGCCCGTAGAGCATCCTGGCGCATTATTTCTTCGATAGAACAAAAGGAGGAAAGCAAGGGAAACACCAAACAGGTCGAGCTGATCAAAGAGTACCGCAAGAAGATTGAGGACGAGCTGACCACTGTGTGCAACGATATCCTCACTGTCCTCGAAAAGCACTTGATTCCCACCGCAGCCACCGGTGAGTCCAAGGTGTTTTACTACAAGATGAAGGGTGACTACTATCGTTATCTTGCCGAGTTCGCTGTCGACGATGCCCGCAAGGAGGCTGCTGATAAGTCTCTTGAGGCCTACAAGGCTGCCTCTGACATTGCTGTCGCCGGTCTCCCTCCCACCGATCCTATGCGTTTGGGACTTGCTCTCAACTTCTCCGTGTTCTATTATGAGATCCTTAATGCTCCCGACCGCGCTTGCCATTTGGCCAAGCAAGCCTTCGACGAGGCTATTTCGGAGCTCGACAGTCTGTCAGAAGAATCATACAAGGATTCGACACTGATTATGCAACTTCTCCGAGACAACCTCACCTTATGGACGTCTGATGCTGAGTACAATGCCGGTAAAGAAGAAGCCGCTCCTGCTCCTGCTGAGGCCGAACAGCCCACTGATGCCGCTTAATGTTCCATGAGAAGTAATTCAAGCCAACTTTTTTTCTACAAATGAACAAGTTTTAATGTTGCTTTCGTTTGAGGGGCGGAGGAGGGGATGAGAAAGTGGGAGTGAAGAAGGGGGGTGAATTAGTAACTGTGTATCGGAAATGAATAAGGAGAGAATAAAGAACTAATGGAAATAAAAATCCCTAAGGCATTAGATGCCAAAGAGGTAAAGGATTTCTTCTCGGCGAAGTCGGAAGGCCGACCGCCGCTCGTCCTCGGCCATAGCGCTGCGGACGAGGCCGCGTTTTTTTTCCTGAAGAGCTGCAATACGCTCTTCAATACTGTCTGCAGTAATCATACGGTACACATGGACTTCCCGTTTCTGTCCAATCCGGTATGCCCGATCAATTGCTTGTTCTTCAACACTCGGATTGTAAAACGGGTCGAGCAAGACAACATGATTCGCAGCCGTCAGGTTCAGTCCAGTGCTGCCAGCTTTCAGCGACACTAGCATAACCTGCACCGACTCCTTGTGCTGAAACCGATGAATTGCCTCGTCACGCTGGGAAGCCGACATGCTTCCATCGTACACGACGAACCTGATTCCCTCACGCTGCAACGGCACACTCAACAATTCAAGGAATTGTGTGAACTGTGAGAATATGAGAATCTTCTCACCCGGTTGCTCCGTTCGGATACGGCGCACGAGCTCGATTGCGCTTTGGATCTTCGACGACGGCACCCATTCGTCGAGGTGCCGAGAAAACCGTCGATAGAAGCGCTGGTCTTGTGCGTTGGACCAACACAATTGGACACTCTCGCTGCCGGCAGCTGCCGATTTTTCCGCATCGTCGTCACCCGTTTTTGTCTCTTTCGAATCCTTTGACACCAACGGAGCAAAGGCGCGCAACTCGTCGGGATACACGGAAACAAGTGTTTCCAGCAGCAGTAGATGTGACGCGTCAAGAACACCACGACACAAAGGACAACGCGACGTACCAGACGAAGATGACGTAGCAGAAAAGGCGCCGCCGCCATTGCTGGGGTTTAGCTTCAGTAACGATTCCATACATTCCATGCATGCAAAGTGACCACAAGGGGAGATGAAACGGGAGAGCATGTGACATCCAGACACACACCACACTCAAAGTCATCTAGTTCCGCAACGCGCTTCACCACGCTTGGGCTTAATTGCTTAGCCAGCTTGCGTGATTGTTCCGAGTCCTGTAACACCTGAATTGCAGCAGACGGTATGCTTGGCGACAACCACGGGTGGCAGCATGCCTGTCGCAGCCGTAGCAAAAATACAAGCATGCCACCAAACGAGCTGCCATGCGTGAGTGTTTGCGTGCGGGCCAGAAACGCATGGGCCTCAGACAAGCGCGCAAGGTACCGAGAGCGTTCGTCTTCTGAGAGCGTCACCGAAATGATTTTCGTGTGTTTCCGCGGCAGCTGCACAATTGGGGCATTGTTGATGACGGTATGTTTCGTACGACGAAGCATTAGCCCCTGCAGCAGGATCCGTAGCTTCGACAGCGCGGTCTGCACATGATACTCGGAAGTGCTGCGTAGCGGGCGGGTAAAATCTTTCTGAAACACGGACCATTTGCAATACGGTTTGACGCGAAGAAACTTGAGCAGGCTGTACAGCTCGCCAATGTGATTCTGGATCGGAGTGCCGGTGAGACACCAACGGTACGAGGCGTTCAGCGCGCAACAACCAACAGCAGCCAATGTCTCATGGTTGCGAATGGTGTGCGCTTCGTCCAGCAATATGCGATACCATACCGTCTCAAGGAACGGGAACGATTGCGACGGCGCGTCAGCGTCTTGAGCAAGTTTGGCCTGGTAGCGCTTGTACGACTTGAATTCAAAAGCGATGGTATTGTAGGTGGTCAGGACAACATCAAATTGCGACATCTGGTACGAGTCATAGTCGCGTTTCGTAGATCCATGGTGCACGTACACCTTGAAGCGCTGATCAGCTGCAACTTTGGACTGAATTTCATCAGCCCATTGATGCAAGAGTGCGACACTCACAACAATTAGGTTTGTCTTCGGGCCATCGGCCGCGCACGCGCGTCGACTAGTGAGTAGGGCCAGTGCTTGAACGGTTTTGCCGAGACCCATATCATCCGCGAGGATGCCGCCGTGCACGAGACCCTGTTCCATCCCACACATCCACCGCTGGCCCTCAAGCTGGTGCGGCATCAGATCGATGGTTAGGTGCGGAGGTTCGATCTCATTAGCTAAGGCCGCGGCCGACGAGTCGCGTCCGGTCCCCGAGTCCTTTGCGGTATGCACAACCGATTCGACAAGAGTGCGCAGTTCGCGCATCACCTGCTGATCTGGACGCTGCTGCAGTGGCTGCCCTCCATACAAAGGAGAGGGACCACCAAAAGAGGATCCGGCCGACGGCGCACAAACACCCTCGGCTTCCACTTGTCGTGCTGTACGGAACCCGGCTGGACCCACAGCGGCGGCCTGAAACGCAAACGACGTCTTCAATGCCAATGGCAATGTCGACGACGAAGACACCTCCAACGTGTTTGAGCAAAGCACGCCATTGTCCTCCTCTTCCTCCTCGTTGTCGTGGATCTCTATAGGGCGAGAAACAGTGCCAGGACAAGGGGCATGTGTCGGCGGTCGCTGCACGCGAGAAGGAGGCTTGAAGGGCGTGCTGACGTAGGCGGACACGCGTTTCTGCACGAGCCGCCGCCGCGACCGACCAAGGGCAGAGGCAGAACCGGCCGCTGAGGCCGCAGAAGATGATGCGTTGGACAACGCCGAGGTAGAAGATGCTAGACGTTTGGGTGACGGGGCTTCGAGCCCGGCGAGGCGCCGAGCCAGACGCTCGTCTTGTTCGAGCTGGCGCGCCCGTCGTTCGTCGTCTCCGTTCAGCTGCAGAGATAGTTCACGAGCGAGTTCTTCGTCCGACCTGATGTTCCTGCCGTTAGCGAAACGAGATCGTCAGGCGCGTCAGATAAGACGCATAGGCACAGGCGCTTGCATGTTCTACGCGCGAACGTTTTGTTTTTCCCGTCGCGGCCCTATGCACAAACATTGGCGTCTACAATAACGAGGGATGCCCACGAACAACTTACCGAATCTGCCGGAGCGTTCTCAACTCCTCCTCAGACCCTGGATGGGCAGGCAATGACATGGGAAGAAATCATGGTGGTGAAGCAGAGTGGGCGGCGGCACTACGACGTTTTATAGGCGCGACGAGGGGTCCGGAAGGCAATGTCGGGCGCAAGTATACGGCATAGAATGAATTAGCTGTGAGGGACAAGTGTACAGAAGGGAATGGGCGAGCTGTATGCAGGCAGATGTGTATGTGTTTGCGAGTGCACGGAAACTGCCATGAGAGGCTGCTGCTGCAGTGTGCGCGGAGGGAGTGGGGGCGTTCACGTGGCGGCCAGAGTTATTCCCACGTGCCCTGAGCCCATTCGTGGAGCACCCAGGAGCTGCTGCAGTGTGGTCTGATCCATTCAGAGCGAGGCGATCTTCCCCGCCTCGGTTTTCGGCTCAGATAAGGAGGCATTTTAGCGAGCGAGCGACGGCCGAGCGGGGAGAGCCGAGCCGGCAGCACAAATGACGCGCCATTTATATTGGAGCCTATGGTGACTAGGAGGACTAAGGTTTGGTGTACGCGTCTTCCCAACGAGGCCCGAACTAAGTTCCGACAGCATGCGAGATATAACGTGCGAATGACGTAGCACAATGACGTGTGGAGAGTAAGGAGAGTGGAGGAGCGGCACAGCATCAGGCGTGAGGCGTCGAACAGCTGGCCATAGCAGCTTTCAAACTCGCACGGCCGAGCGTCAAGCGAGCGATGGTGTCTGAATAGCGGGTTTCTGCCTTTGTCCGCGCTGCTGCTGCTGCTCTGCTTGGAGCTGCGAGCGCTGCTCGAGCCGCTCGCCTGCGGAGAAACCATATATCGGGGAAGCCTGTCCCAATCATCCTCTCCCTGTCTCATGACTAGTATATTTGCCCTTTCTTCATTGGCCCCATTTTCGCTTGCGCGCCAGATCTTGTTAATTTTAGTAACAATGACATCATCCGCCGTCGCACCTACATTCAAACGATGGGGGGTGCGCTCGTCCAGAGTATATAGCAACACCCGCCGCCCCTTCCTGTCACTGACTTTGCTGAGGCTCTACCGCATCGCAACCTACCGCACCGCACTGCATCGCCCTGCATTGCCTTCGACTCTTGCGTCATAATCTGTCCGCGCCCAGCCGAACCGTGCCCGCTTGTTTGCGTCCGCGACCGCCCTATCGCCAGTGATTGTCCGTGTTCTTTGTTTAAGATCCGCTTGCCCATTAGTGCGGCATAGAACAGCCAGCCCATACGCGTATCCTCTGCTCGTTTAACCCCTACCTTACCACCACATCTGTCCCCCACGGCTACCCTATTTCACTGCCTCCTCCACTCCCACTACACACCACTCCACTCCACTTCCCACCACACCTCTCCACTCGCTCACGCTCACACTCCCGCCCTACGCTCTTTTCTCTCAGCCAAGCCTTGCCCAGCTCGGCTTTTTGTTTTGCGCCAAGCTTCCACGCGCCGTTTTCAGCACGCTCTTTTTGTTCGTCCGCGTTTTCTAGTGTCATTGCCTTAGTTACGCACTTGGTTTACGCTTCACGTTTGCAATCTACGTTTGTGCTTTTTGTCTCATTTGTGCGTTCTTCTCTGTACGCTTTGTGGAGGCATCTCATTTTCGTTCTCAGTCTGTTTGGCTCATTTTCGAGCGGATTCGCGCATTTTCTTTCTCTCAACTTCTCCTTCTTACGCTGTTCGTTCTCACATCGGCGTTGTATTTTTCTGATCTGCTGAATTAGTCTTCACTGTCATCTGTGTCTTCGTTAGTCCACCACATTCATCGATACCATTATCGTCATCGTCGTTTTTGTCTCTCGTGTCTCCTTCTGTCACCACCGCTTCATCCGTCGCTCGCTTCTTCTGTTCTACCTTTGTCGCTGTACCAAACACTAGTATCTTCATTTATTTTTCAACATGATAACCGCCCGTCTCCCTTTCGCCTACTCTCTCGGAGCCCTCCAGAACCAGCCGCAGACGCTGGCTCAGGCACAATCTCAACACCCCCAGTCTCGTTCTATCACTCCGCTCTTTGCAGCTGGACCTGCTAGCACAAGCGCCAATTCATCGTCGCCTGCAGCTGCCGCTCGAGACGGCAATGGCAGCTCTCGCAGTGCCAGCCCGGCCGCCTACGGCCTTCCTCCGCTCTCGTTCTCCGCTGATCACAAGCCGAATGATACGCTGTGGATGGGTGATCTCGAAAGCTGGATGGACGCCGCGTTCATCCAGCAACTTTGGGCCTCTCTTGGTGAGACTGTCCACGTCAAGCTCATGCGCACGAAGTCGTCTGTGTCCGAGGGCTGCGTTAGTTATTGTTTTGTCCAGTTTAGTTCGCCTCAGGCTGCAGAGTATGCGTTGTTGCGATATAACAACACTATTATCCCCCGCACGCACTCGGTTTTCAAGCTGAATTGGGCCACTGGCGGCGGGATTCAGCACTCGGCCAAGACGCGCCGTGAGCCCGAGTACAGTGTTTTCGTTGGCGACCTTGATCCCGAGACTCATGAGGCCGAGTTGTACCATACATTCCACTCTGTCTATCCTTCCTGCACGTCCGCCAAGATCATTATCGATCCTGTCACCGGCATGTCGCGCAAGTATGGCTTTGTCCGTTTTTCGGACGAGCGTGAGCAACAGCGTGCCCTTTCCGAAATGCAGGGCTACCTTTGTCATGGTCGCCCGCTTCGTATATCCGTCGCTTCTCCTCGTTCACGCACGTCCATTTCTGCTGACTCGACCACTCCGACTGGTGCTGCCTCTACTGCTAACGGAGGTGCTGCTGCCAGCTCTTCGGCGGTTGCCACTGGCGTAACTGGCGTTCCTTCGTCTTCTTCCTCGACGCGTCAGCCTGACCAGGGACTGTGCAGCATCGATCCGTTCAACACGACCGTTTTCGTTGGCGGCCTGTTCTCGGGCGCCACGGAAAAAGACCTCTTCTATCATTTCAGTCCCTTTGGTAACATTCTCAACATTAAGATCCCCCCTGGCAAGGGTTGCGGCTTTGTACAGTACACCGAGAAGGCTGCCGCTGAAAAGGCTATCACCATGATGCAAGGTGCTCTCGTTGGCCCCTCACACATTCGTTTGGCTTGGGGTCACAATACCTTGCCTGTCTCGGCCATTTCGGCCAGCATGGAAGCCATGGGAAGCAACGGTTCTGTTAATAGTGCTGCTGCTAACGAATCTGTTCATACCCGCGCAGCCACTGCTCTTCATGCTAACTCTGCCGTCCCCACTTCTGGTTCCGGTGTGGCCTCCCAAAATCCCTCCTCTCACTCCTTGCTCTCTAGCTCTGTGGGCCTCTCTCAGTTTGCACCGGCCTCTCTATCCTCTGCATCCGGCAAGCCTAGCTTGCTTTCAACCAATGCCCTGATTCCCCCTATCGCTCATTCTACTCCTTCTCTCAGTGCACCACCTTCGGCCGCTATTGGTATTCCGTCCTCGCTCTCTTCGCGAATGACTTCTCATGCTGCTGGATCTGCACCCCTGTCTGCGCCTGCGGCTGTCGAGCTCTCGTCTGCTTGTCGTTCTGGCACCCCGGCGTCTTCGTTCAACATCTCGGACTGGTTGCCCTCGCTTTCGGCTCCAAAGTCATCCTTGCTTTCTGGTGCCACGACCGCCCCCAGTCCTTTGCGTCTTGGTGGTAGTACGTCTGGTTTCCATTTTGGTGAGGATATGTTGGATGGTGTCTCCGCGTCCAAGTCTCGTCAGTCGTCTTCAGGCTCGTCTGCTGCTTCGTCGGTGGACTCGGCGACTGCATCCTCGGGCATTAGCACCAGCACTGGTAGTCTGTTTGCATCTTCCTTGAGCGGCGGCGGCGCGTCCAAGGGCTCCTTTCTCAGCTCGGCCTTTTCTCACCCGCTTTCCGCTGATTCCTTTCATCCGTTAAAGACGAACAAGCCTCATGCATTGAAGACTCCTTACTCCTCTTACTCGACAAGTGGCAGCTTCCTTTTTTAATATGTTATGGAACTCACTGTTTTCCCTCTTATTTTCGTCTGTTCTGTTCTTTGTTTCCTCTGCGTTTTTCACGTTCCTCTTCTTTTCCTCTAATGCATGAAAAAATGCTTTCCCTATTTTGGGTGTTTACTATTTCATCATACTACTTTCGACTTGTCGTTTCTTTTGGATGTTGTGATGAATGTTTGGGCCAAATATCGGCATGGGGCGCTCGAGCTTCTTATTAGGCGCACATTTTTCTTGCCTTAGTTTGTTCTTGTGTTCCATTCGTTTCTCTTTTTTTTCTTTCTAAATCTAAATCCGTCTCTCTTTATTTTTGCTCATTTGCTCCTTTCCTGCCGCCCATTCATTCATCACACATTGCTTTCGTGTTGTTCTTCTTGCTATTACGGCCTCTTTTCTGGTTCGCATTTCTTGTTGGCGCTTTCTACAACTCGTTTCGGCATGCATACGCCGTCCGTGCCTGTATCTTGTGTGTGACTTTCGCCTGCACGCCTTCAGCTGTTACTGAGTCCATGGACAGTTTTAATGGTATAGTGCTCGTAATAAACCCTAATCTTTATTCTTGTGTTAGCCCATGCTAAAGCAGGTAAGCATTGGGATAATAAACCCGGCGCGCGGACTTCTGTTATACTGCTGTTTTTTACGGGTTTTTATCGCGAGGATTTCTCGAGACTTTTTTGCCTCTTCTTGTCGGTAAACGCTCATTTTTCTTTTTCTTTCATAGCATATCTCACTTGAATAAATAGTCTTTCTTTGTGCATACGATATTATTCCGCTTTTCTTCATCCGCCTGACGTATCTTCTGTAGTGGTGTTTCTTCTCTATCACACTTTTTAGCGAATAGTGCCTTCACCGTTTTGTGTAGCAGGATAGTAAGCCATAGGTGAATTGTAGAGCTGTTCAAAATTTTACGGTTCTAGTACAGCTGTTTTGATTTGTCCGTTTCTGTACTTCGTAATTTCGTGTCCCACATTAAGCCGACTTTGTCAGGGGAATTTCGCCCATATACTCCTTCGCTTCTCCAATTCTCAAATCCCTTGCACCTTGTATTTACTTCACACATATACATGGCCTGCAAACGAAAACCATTACCTTTGCATGCTACTGAAGTCGTTGCGAGTGAATCTATTTCTAAAAATGATTTATTACATTGGACGTTGAAAAATGTTCTTGTCTTGGCCTTAATCGAGCGCTGTAAGCTCAATACTTGTACAACGGCACATCTGAACGATGCGTCGAGTGAATCGACATTAGCTTCGTCCTTAGATATCTTTAAAACGGACACTTCAATTCGTTTTCCGAAAGAGTTTCTTAAAGTCCTGTTCCAAAACTTAGAGCGTATAAGCATGGGTCGTGACGAGAAATATACGGATCAGACGGTTCGCGGAGTTGTCGCTGTCTTTTACAATAATGTGTCAAAGCGGCACATAATGAAGCAAATAAAAAGCAGTCGAAAGGTCGAAGACCTGGTGCTCCTGTTCACTTCCTCATGTTCATCTGAGCTTCAGAAAAGACGTAGTGAGACAGCTGACAAGCATCTTATGGAAGATTACCTTTATCAGTTCATGTGCTTGTGCGAAGACACTGCTGTTTCATGTCAGGCTTGTTCTGCTGCATGTGTCTCACACATTCGAATGTACAAAACCAAGCTACTGAAACATAACGAAATTCTAAGTTCTAAACGGGCTACTAAGGGTAATATTTCTATTGATCTCTCTTCTCTCTCTTCTCTCCAAATTATTGCACAGGTTTTCGAAATCCCATTTGCAAAAGTTCTTGTGGATGCAGAAAATATATTTGCTACTGTAGACGCGGCCTCCATGCTCGAAGATCTAGCACTGCTTCGTGCAGATCTTGAAAATGATGTTTGCAAGTTTACGTATTCAGTGATGGATTTTGCGTCGTATTCAGCATACGCTTTCTGGAAAGCAAAGGAAACGCAAACTTTGGACCAGTTGACTAAAATGGTTACCAGTTGCTCTCCGTCGTTGCAAACTGCTACGCCTGTCAAGACGAGTCGTACAACGCTCCAATATCTTCCCAAGTTTTCGCGGAGCTATTATAGACAGCTGTTATTTCTTTGCATTAGGGCATATCTGAATGGCAGCACAACGTATGCTGAAAGTGAACTTCGCTCATTCGTCCGCGAATGTGGGATTTTTTGGCGTATCCAGCACCCGAGTCGTGTTGCCGTTGCGCTCGATGTTATTCGTGAACTTCTTCAGGCCGGCTTGTTTTCCGCAGATCTTGTGGAGCTATTTTTTCGTGAGAAACAAGCCGTACAAAAGTCATGGCCTATTACAAATTGGTTGCTTGTAGATGTACGTGCTTGGGACGATTTATCCTGCAATTGATGAAATTGAAAACAGTAATTACTAACCATATTTATAGAAATCTATTCTTGAACAGGCGATTTCGCTTATTAAAGATTTGCTTGTTCAACGATTGAAAACCGACCTGAATGCCTTGTTAGATTGCCGACCTTCGCTGTTCAATCGAATGATGAGCATATTGAATCAATATATATACTCGCTGCCACAGTTTGAAAATATGTCAGATCAAGATTTAGAAGAATTACGAGCTTATGTTAATGTACGTACTTCAGTTTCTTTGGAGCTCGCTAACATGGTGCAGAAAAAAGCCAAGTTTCTTTTTGAGGAGCTTATAAAACAAGATCAAGATGAGCACACTATTGACGGATTAATGCTCGCCGTGGACAATGTCCGCAATTATTTAGTTTCCTTCCGTAAAGTGGTTGCTGATATTCGACTGGGGTATGTACAGTTCTATTTGTTATGCACTGAAATGGCTAACCTTTTTTTAGAGCTACCGCTCTTGCTTACATTGTTCAAACACTTTTCTTGTCGGGATTGGGAGAGACCTTGTCGTCTCAAGCACAGCTTTACGTGGCTTCGGCAACTGCTGATGAAATGCAATCCACATTTAACGATATGATTGCGCTTTATCTTGAAGTTAACAACTTGTTTACCGATTCACCAGAGCTTAAAGAAACAGTAAGCTATAAGAAAATTGAGGGTTTCTTCCAACCATTCATTGACGCCTGGCTTACCGAAATGGAACAACATGCCGACTCTTGGCTTGGTCGAGCGTTGGAAAAAGACTCTATGCCTACTCAGACAGGTGAGCTCATGCACAGCAGTTCGGTCGAGGATTTATTTCAAGCCTTTCATCAAGCACTGAGCATGCTTCTGCGTTTTAATTGGACCGATGAATTGGTTAACGCTCGTTTCTTTTCCAAATTGTTTCGTAGTTTCTTCCTCTCTACATCCAAGTATGCTGAGGTTTGCTTGTCAAAGTTTAACCAGTCCTTAACTTCAAATCATGAGGCTGATGAAGATGTTGAGCATGCAAAAGCTACTTGGCTTTCTCGGGCCAAAGATATGTTTTCGAGTTCAGCAGCTCATGAGGCATTCTTTTTGTCTCCAGAAATGTGCATCCAGCTCAACAACGTTAATTACGCACTGTCTGCTTTCGAATCTTTGGAAAACAAAACAGAGGTTCGTCAGCATATTAGAGCTTTAGGTGACCTACAAGGACTAAAGAAGTTGCACCTGAACGAAAAGGCATACTACACAATAACGGTGCTTCGTGGTGAAGGTCTTCCGACTGATTCTTCTGGGCGTGTTAGAAACGTTTACGTTGTTTTGACGGACAGCGGTGGACATCGTGTTGGCAAAACTAAGTCATTGTGTACCTTAAATCCACGTTGGAATAAATCTTTTGAGATGAAAAGTAAGGGACCCGTTTGGATTAATGCCACTGTTTGGGAACGGGGACGTCTAAGAAACCATGAAGTGATTGGTCGGGCATCATTCTGTTTAGATCCAAAGGTTTATGGTGATTATGTTCCTCGTGAGATGTGGTATAATCTGAATACAAAAGGCGAACTGCTTATTCGGACGGAGATGGAGGGTGAAAAAGAACATATTGGCTTTTACATTGGTCGTACATACCATGTCTTACAGCATACGAAGAACGAGATGATCAAATCCATCGTTGATAATATGGTCCCTGTCATGGAGCAGTACCTCTCGCCTTCAAATATGAAGCAGTTTGTTAATAAGAGTAGTTGGTCCAACTTTGACAAAACGCTTTCTTCAGTCACAAATTTGCTGAGCAGATCAAAAGTAACTCCTTCAGATGATGATGCGAACGCTGCCAGTCTTTCAGAATCCGAAGTGGAAGCTGCCATTAATTCACTATTTGACTACTTTGACCTTAACTTCCCTGTATTTGCACAAAACCTCTCCAAGTCTTTGTTTGACGATGTAATGTCTTCTGTTTGGGATGAAGCGCTGAGTATTTTGGAAGATTTATTAATCCCTCCTCTTTCTGATAAGCCAAGTTCGCGAAAACCGTTGAATGGAACTCAAACTCGGATTGTGTATATGTGGCTTCAATTCCTTTTGAATTATTTCAATGCAAATGGGGAGGGAGTTGACATGAAGACATTACAATCTGACCACTATAAGGAACTCTTGGTAATCCAAGAATACTACAGTCGTCCAGAGGAAGAGTTAATACGGCAATGCGAAACGAATGCAGTTCGCCTTATCCAGGGAGTAAAGTCTGGTGAGTCTGTAAAGTCAAGTCACGGCTTGGCTGATTCTAAGAAGCTCATTTATCGTATGGGAACTATTCGTAACACAAGTACATCGTTGAGCACTGTAAATGAAGTTGAACGACTAGATACGATCATTTTACGAATTCTTCGTATGCGATCAAGCGCAAGCGACTTTTTGCGGAAACACATGAAAAGAAAAGATCGATTGTTACTACAATCTGCTTTGAAAAAAGGTGTCATTCCGACTCTCCCCAACCATTAAGTTTTATGATCTACTTGTACTTTATTTCTTGACCTCCGGATGTTTATTTATTAATACATAATACGAATATATTAAAAGATACTAATTAAGGTAAAATAAGGATGGTCTAAGTTTCAATTATTTTTTTCTCTTTTTTTTTTGGTTTTTTGAAGAATTTTGTGAACTAATTGTATTTGTGAAACATTAAAAAAACTCAAACTTATGTCAAAGTTGAATCCTTTACTTGTCATTAGTATGTTATAAAGAATGAAATGATAACAACTAAACAAACGAATGAAAATCCCAAAAAAATTAATGTAGTAAAATGAATAAAATGGAGAATGGAGTAACGAATAAAATAATAGTAATAAGCAATCAGAAAATAAGAAATAAATAAAAATATGTTAATATATATATACGTAAGGATTAGACCACAAACCATGCAGTATACAAGGATTTTTTCTTTTCATATATTGTTTTCCATTGTAGCCACCTCAATCACCCCACACACCCCCACAATGTCCGATCAAGGTTGGCGCAACCGAAACATGCAAACGCGGTGGTGAGAAGGCAACGCGAAGGGTCGGCTGAACTATCCATCCACCTATACCGGTCTAATGAAGTAGTGCAATTCTATGAGTCTCGAGCAGCCGATCCAGAATAAAAATGGACCAAATGCGTCGTCGGAAAATGGGAATGAAAGCTCCAAGTTAAAAATTCGGTTTCGAGTTCGTGAACCGCAGCTTATTGTAACTCAAAGTGCTCACGTTTTGCCATCACCGAAATTCTCTTCATTGAGTGAATACTTAAATGAATTTATATATTTAGACGATGGGGAGCATTCCAAGGAACAGGCACTTGAAAGCTGTAAGCAGCAGGTCGCGTTACGGCGGCGAATTAATACTTTAAAGAGCCTTGGCTGCTTTGCAAAAACTCAAGGTTTGGAACACAAAAAGCAACCGAACCCATACAAGGAGCCGGTATTCCACGATCATTTGGTCTCTCATGCTGTCCATTTGGCAAAGATTATGCATACAAAACGGCATCAGCATTTGTCACGGGCAAAAAAGGTTTCCGGACTCATTACAGCGTATTTCAAAAAGCTATCAGGCGCTGATGAGAAACGGATAAGAGATGAGGAAAAACGTCTAAAGCTTCTCGCAAAACGCACAGCTTGGGAAATTAGGAAAAAATGGAAGGTGATTGAACGTGAGGTTAAACGAAGGCAAACCGAACGGGCTGAAGAAGCAATGAGGATTGCTGGAAAGGAGCATATTGCACATATCATTGAACATTCAACCCAGCTGCTGGAAGCTCGGTTGGAAAAGAAACGTCCTTCATCAACACACTCTATCAAATCTACGGAAACGGATGAAGTCGATTGGGATTTCCTCGGTAAAACACCGGACAATGAGTTGAGTGTGGAGCAGCTGCGTTTGAAGTACAGCAACCCAAATCGTATTCAGTTTGACAACGAAGATAGCGAGGACACTAGTGACACCTATGATGATTCTGACATGTCTGAAGAAGTCGTTGAGGATGAAGAAGGTACTCTGGATCAAGGCTCCACTCAGTATGACAGCGAAGATGAAGGACTTACCGGCAGTGAAGATGAGAATGACGCTTCTGATTCGTTGCTCGCACTCTTTTCGTTCGAAGAACGGTCACAAATGAGCAGCAGAACAGAGGAAAAAGATAATGCCATGACGAAAGAACACGAGGATGCTGGCGTTCTTGTGTCCAAAAAAGAAACCAAAATCAAGCAAGAGCCTGTTGAGCAACAATTTGCGCCGATGAAACGGCGGCTTCGTAGTTACACTCCTGTTTCCCCAGAAAATGAGCCTACCAAACGCTTAAAGCCTTCTTCTGTTGAGGAAGAGTCGAAACCGGCACCTCAAAATGAACAGGAAAATGACAGCGTGGATGAAACCGTTGTTATTCCGAGGACGTTTGAGCATGTGAACGTTCCATTCTTGTTCAGGGGACAGCTTCGTGAATATCAACACTATGGTCTGGAATGGCTCGCTGCACTTCACGAAAGCCGCACAAACGGTATACTGGCTGACGAAATGGGTCTCGGAAAAACCATCCAGACGATAGCGTTGCTTGCATATCTGGCTTGTGAAAAGGAAAACTGGGGTCCACATTTAATTATTGTTCCAACCAGTGTGATGCTTAATTGGGAAATGGAATTTAAAAAGTTTTTACCAGGATTTAAAATTTTGACATACTATGGAAATCCTCAAGAAAGAAAAGAAAAACGAAAAGGTTGGTATAAACCGGATACATGGCACGTTTGCATAACATCATACCAGCTCGTTTTACAGGATCATCAACCATTTCGTCGGAAAAAATGGCAATACATGATCTTAGATGAAGCCCATAATATCAAAAACTTCCGCTCGCAGCGATGGCAGGCCTTGCTAAACTTTAATGCCGAGTACCGTTTGCTACTTACAGGCACTCCCCTTCAAAATAATTTAATGGAGCTTTGGTCACTCATGTACTTTCTAATGCCGGCAGGCGTTGCGAATTCCGGGGTTAGTTTTGCAAACCTCAAGGATTTTCAAGACTGGTTTTCTAAACCAATGGACAAAATTATTGAGGAGGGCGATCAAATGGACTCTGAAGCGTTAATGACAGTTGCCAAGCTTCATCGGATACTAAGACCTTACCTTCTGCGAAGGTTAAAATCCGAAGTGGAAAAGCAAATGCCAGGAAAGTACGAGCATGTAATTCCATGCCAACTCTCGAAAAGACAACGTTTCCTATATGATGACTTTATCACACGCGCCCAAACTCGGGAAATTCTGGCATCTGGAAACTTTATGAGTATCATTAATTGTCTTATGCAATTGCGCAAAGTGTGTAATCATCCCAACTTGTTTGAAGAACGGCCAATCGTCACATCGTTTGCTATACGAAGAGAAGCCGTTGTTGACATGGAAATAAAGGATTTTCTTGTTCGAAAGCGGTTACTTGAAACAGACCCTGGTATGACATTAGATTGCTCTACATTGCGTCTAGTAAGAACAGATTCGGAGCAGTTTGACTCTTACGTTGCGGATGACTTGTACGATTTATGTGCCAATGAGGGTTTTAACAAACAGATGACCCTTCTGGAAATGCAAATTGACAATAGTACAACGTTAAATTACAGCTCGCGTGCTACGTTTAGCGAATATTATGCAAACTGTCGTCTGAGGGAAAAACTTGAGAAGACCAAGCACAAGGATTATATCAACCGCTTGCGATGTGACCGGCGGCCTATTTTTGGACACAAGTTTCTTCAGTTACTGACTTCGCTTCCGAAAAAGTGTAATGCCATGGAGTACAACGCGAAAGCTGTGAATCATGCCGACTATCATTTACGTTCAACGAACGCGCTAAGACAATGCGTACTCAGCCTCAGTGACAGAGCTGAGAGCATGAGAAGCGTGTTCCAACTGTTTGCGTGTATCACTCCAAACGTTGTCGTTGTCGATCTACCGCAGCTAGTTTGCAGTCCGTTGCGAACATACATCACGCCTGAGCTCATTTTAAACAACACTCCTTGGCATCAAATTTGTACGCGGTTGGCCATTGCATTTCCTGATCGAAGACTATTACAGTATGATTGTGGAAAACTGCAGAAACTGGATCTCTTGTTGCGTGAAATTGTACCTGCCGGACACAGGGTACTTATATTCACACAAATGACTCGAGTTTTGGATATCTTGGAGCAATTCTTGAACATTCATGGGTATCGGTACCTTCGATTGGATGGTGCAACCAAAGTTGAACAGCGGCAGCTGCTTACGGAGCGCTTCAATCAAGACGAACGAATTCCGGTATTTATCCTGTCTACTCGAAGTGGTGGTTTGGGTATTAACCTTACCGGTGCAGACACGGTTATTTTTTACGATTCAGATTGGAATCCACAGCTAGACGCACAAGCTCAGGATCGTTCTCATCGTATTGGCCAAACCAGGGATGTCCATATCTACCGTCTTATCAGTGAATACACTGTTGAATCGAACATGCTTAAGCGTGCGAATCAAAAAAGAATGCTCGACAAAATTGTCATACAAGGCGGTGAATTCAACACTGAGTGGTTTAAAAAAGCAGATGTTCTGGATTTGTTTGATGTGGAAACGAAGCCCACGGCGAACATCCAAGAGGGTCATGATGAGGAGAGTAACTGGGAAGCAGCTTTGGCGGCGGCTGAGGATGAAGAAGATGTCAAAGCAGCCCAAGCTGCACAACACGAAAATGCACTGGAGCGGAATGAGTTCTACGACATACCTTCCGCAAAAGGCACCGCAAGCACTCCCGGCAGCACTATCAGCAACGACCAGTCTGAGGGTACGGAAAGCGTGGCCGATGAGTTGAACGAGGATAATGAAGAGGAAGACGATACTGTTGGACACATTGATGAGTACATGATTTTGTTTTTGGAACGTGAAGGAACAAGTGATACGTGGTGATGATAACGCGCTCTCCCTTTTTATTCATTCATTCTTTTTTTACTTAGAATTGTTTTTTTTTTGTTAATGACTTAATTTCATTTTTTGTTTCCTATGGTCTAAACAAGGAGTGCACGAGGGAGAGTCATGAATTGGCAATCTGTTGGGGTGAAAGCCGACAGTTGTAACTGCCATGCTTGTTTTTATTCGTTCTAATCTCTATGTTTTGGCATTTTTATTTCATTTTGTCTTTTTCATTAATAGAGTTTTCGCCTACACAACACGTGAAACTCTAAATGTTGTCAACGTCATAAAATCCATAAAAGGCGAAAGCTTGAACTCGAGCAGAACCAAAAAAGTCAATTAGCCATGGACAAATATAAAGAGCTTGAAGCGCGGAAAAAAGAAATTGAGAAAGAGCTTGAGACGCAAGAGACCGTTTTACTAAGGGTAAGTCTGGACGGTGGTGAGAAAAGTTGACATTCCCGTGTTTTCATGAAATACAAAAGAGTTGCCCAAAAAGGCTGCGTTACTGTTCTCAGCGGTTACAAGAAGTGTATAATGTTTCTAACATGATTTAATTTGTTTTCATTCGACTTCACATTCCGCTTTTATTTCCTCTTATTATAAACATGAAATCCTAACTCTCCTCCATAACGAATCGTTTTATACTAACAGATCAGGAAAATGTCAACATGGATACTCCATTGATCACGGTGGACGGATTTCCACGGTCGGATATTGACGTTGCAGCCATCCGAATTGCTCGTTCAAAAATTAACGCTTTAAAAAATGATCATCGACAAGTGGAACAGGAACTTCTGGAACTGTTACCACAGCTGTTTCAACAAAGTCAATCTCCCCCGCAAAGGGAACAGACGAAAAGCGTTGAGCCTGAATCACTCTTTTCTCCTAGCACACAAATTGAATCCGAGTCAACAGGTACAGCCACTGTTCCTACTCTGGGTCGTTATCCCACATTTTGTTATGTCGATGCCGTATCACCAGGCAGTCCAATTCAAGAAGCTGGAGTCTGTTTGGGTGACGAAATTGTTCGTTTTGGTACGGCTACTCAAATGTCTGATCTCTCAGTCGCCGTTCAAGCCAACGAAAACAAACCCATTTCGGTTATGCTTGCACGCGATCAGGGCAATGGCTCTCACACCCTCGTAACCCTTCTCGTTACTCCCCGACGCTGGAATGGCCCTGGTCTTTTAGGCTGCCACCTAATGCCCAAGTAAGTAGGTGTACATATTCTACAAATATGTACACAAAAGCTAGGTATGATGAACATGATTATAAGTACAATACGGAACAAGCCAGTTTAGTTTGAAACTCAATTTTGAACTCAAGTTCGTCTCGCGAAAAAAAATACGTATCATTATTTACAGCAATTGCTGTTCATCTAACATTACGCTCGTAAACCAGAAAAAAAATAAGAAAAGTCTATGAAGCGGAGTCTTTGGCAAAAAGGAGAGCGGGCATGTTTGTGTATAATAAAAAAAAGACGTGGCACAAGAATAAAATAAAATGGTACAAGGAGTCAGGGTACCACAGCCAGAACAGAAACGGCGGTATAAAGGAAGCAATGAGGAAAAAGGAAGCGATTGGGAATGTGAACACGCTCGTGTGTGATCAGAGATAACCAGACAGGCAAATTGCCTTGTTGGTAGGGATAACAAAAAGCAGAGAGCAGGGAAAGATAAGGAATTTGTGTGAGAAAGCGTGCGTATGTGTGCGTGTATGTGTAGTTTGAAAGAAGGTAAAGCAGGTGTGTATGCGTGTGTGTGTGTCTCTGATCATACTTTTTTCATGGATACCCATCTTCAGAAAGCTTGCAAACATTAATACGCAGTTTGCAAGGAATGGTCATCCTCCAAGCTACCTGCAACCCAAAGGACATCATCGAGAGATGAGACTTCGGAAGGGTGACAGACGTTGGATTTCATTTCGGAAGACGAAGTGGGAATGGGAGAAGTCGTTACTGGAGGCCACCAAAGAAGGTTTTCGCTTGCGGAATTGAAGTCCGCAGACAAAGAATCAATGTATTCGATGGGAAAAGGACTCTGTGCTGGGACGGAGATGTCACCAGTTATTGTGGAAGACGGTTCGTCCACAGCCGTCGAAGAAGCCGTGTCCGAAGCCAGTTCATTTTTAACCGCTGAAGCGGCAGCAGAGGAGCGAGCAGCGTACGATGTTGCAGGTGCTGGTGCCGTGTGTCCAGCGATAGAGCTTGTAATTGCGGTGACTCTGTTAGGAAGGACGCATAATCAAATCCTTGTCCCGCGGAGGGGAATGGAGAAGGTGAGACGGTCGAATTGGGAACCGTAGATGCGGCTGAGGAAGAGGATGCCTTCGTACTCGTCATCGGCGGCTTTGGACTGGATGACTTTGCGTCAAGAACCAAAGCATCTGATGTCGGCGCATACAGAGACATTTCATTCAGGTCCGTCGACGTAGAAACTGTGTTGGAGCCAGCTGGTCTAGTGCTTGCGACTACAGCTTCCCATTCAGCGGCCGTAGGCAGAATCGTTGCACCAGGAGCATTCGAAGCAGTACCGGAAACGGCACTCGTAGCGTCCACGGCCGTCGCAGGGGAGAACAGTGAGGTTGGCGACGCGAAAGGAGATGTCGTCGGAGCAGGCCAGGCGGCTGTTGCATCGCCGCCAAATGCAAACCCGAATCCCGTCTGTGAACACATATAGTCGGGCGGAAGTGTCGCTGAATTGGAAGGCGACACAACAGTTGCAGAAGGAGCAGCAGTAGCAGCAGCCGACGGTGCCGTCGCGGGAAGGGCACTACCCGGCTCAAACTCAAACGGATCCAGGGAAAATGTGGTGGGAATACGGCATGAACCGCTCATGGAACCCACAGCGGCGGTCGACGAGAGCGTCTGACCGGGCTGCTGCAAAAAGGGCATTGAGTAGGAACGCAACGGTGGGTACGAGGGATCATTCTTGAGCGTCTCCACCGCACCGGGGACAGCACAGTGTGCTGCTACTCCCATCGGGACTGCGGTGCGCGGCATCGTGTGCGCAAGGAAGGTGGGTCCCACAGACGCCGAGTGCAATGGAGCCGACTTGCGGCGCGAATTGCGCATGGGCGCTGCTGCAAAGTGGCATTCCGCGTGCGCCTTGGAGCATGCGGCACACTGGTGGTCAGGCGTCTCATTGCCTGTGCATTTGATCTTTCTACGGCGACAGCGGTCGCAGGCCACCGCAATTCTTTGCCTTGGGCCCGAGCTTTTTCCTGCACTCATGTGGGATATTCGTGGGGTGTGTGGGGTAAATGGGGGTAACACCGGGATGGAAGTGTTTTTTTTGGTGTAGCAAAACAGCAAGATGCGCAGTAATGCAAAGCGACTCGTTGAACAGGATAACGAGAGTCAGTGTGGAGCCGTGTATACTAAAACGACAAAGAGCGAGATGCGTAAATCTGTAGTAGCGCACTACAGCAGAGTTTCGGTAATTATTTTGTCGTATTTCAACGCACTGCAGCGTGTCTTTCCAAAGGAGAGAAAGTACGAAATAAGCAAGCAGCCAGTTACAGCCAAAGTGGAGCGGCGGAGCCGTGTGTGGGAAACAAGAGGGACGAGTTTCCAAGGAACTGTTGACGACGGAAAACACTAGCCAGCGGAACTCGGCCGTCTATTGAAGCGTGAAAACGTGAAAAGACTAACGCAATTGCGAGCGGGACGAGCACGAATGAAAACGTTGAAATAGGAAAGCGGTTGTTTTGCTTAGTGAAGAAGTCCTATCCCGCTGGTGCACTGGGACCTTTATATCGTTGAGCTCGATGCATCTTGATGAGTATGGCCACGAAAGGCAGACGAAAAGGATGACGAGAATGCTCTCGGCCCGACCCAGACCTCTATGGACTCTCCAAGTCGCACGGCAGTCAGTGGGAAAGAGCATGCGGTCATTGGGTAGTGAAAATCAGTATTTGACGTAAGCGGCCGACCACATGTTTAGCACGACCGAAAATGATATGGGAGAGAGGTTTACGTAATGGGTCGGTGTGAGAGCCGAAGCTTTCATTGCCGAAAGTCTGGGACGAGCGAATGAAAAAATAGAGGCGATCGGTAATGGGCGCCCCGGGCAATTATGAGCAAGTGCCGAAAATAAGGTAGCGAAAAGGTGGGATAAAGCGACAATTACCGCGACTCAAGTGCCGGGGAAGGGGGAGGTGTGTCATTCTCAAGTCAGTGAATTTGACCGACGATATGCATTTCCCCGCACACTCCGGGGTAAGCGACACACCCAATTACAACGATGAACTATTTGCCGAGGTGAAGAGCTAAAGGAGAGCCAATGAGCGGAGAGATTATTTGTGCACGTGGAGCAGGTGCCGACTTCAGGGACCAAGCGGAGGCTGATCGAAGAGTGACGCGAGTGACGAGAGTGACAAGAGTGCCGGCAGTGCAGCGTGCCCGGCGGCACTAACATGCACTGAGATATTGGAGTAGGTGTGACCTGAGAGCCACACTGCGCTGCACTACACTACACAACGCACAACACACACAAACGACATTCCTCTCAGCTACTTCTCGCTTCCCCTCCAGTATGCATCTCCACTTGCTCTCAGTCCCCCCACCTCCTCACCGGCCGGTCCAGAAAGTGCAGGTTAACGAGCTTCAACGTATTCACACCGTCATTCAAAAGCTGGTGACAGATTGAGCAGATTGACAGATGAATAGTCCAACTCTCCAAATCGCTGCGCATGCGCTTAGTGTTTCACTTAGCGAAAATGACGTATGCGCTAGCCAATGAGCGCATGCAAGGTTTTTCGCGCGATCCCTCGCTTATCCCGCGCGCAATTACCAAACGGTGCAAATTGCGCATTTAAGCGAGCCTAATTTTGCACCAGCCAATCGTGGGTGAGGAAGCTGGCGGCTGAAGAATACACTTCTGCATACCAGCCCACCAAGCGAAAAACAACGCGGCGACGCGTCAAGACGCGTCGCTGCGTGCATAAACGGTGTTTACCAGCCAAAATACCGTTTCTTGTCCCGTCTCTCTTTGAGCATAAAAGCACCCAAGCAGAGCCCAACCAGACCAACTCCCGTGCTCCCAATTTAGCATTCACACCCCTTCCTCTTTCACTGCAATCTCCACTCCTCGTGCCCTCACACGAGATTTGCCCCGCCCAGTAAAGCCTTGACAGAGCGACCATCAAAGTTCGCTTTTCTCTTTCTTTCTCTCTCACCCTCGATCTCATCCTTACGTCTGCGTGACGTGAGAGCTTAAAGACAGCCTGCCGCTAGCACTCGTTGCTTTTCTTGTCTTCGCGTTAGCCTTCGCTGCACCACACTAAACACCTTTCGAAATCACCTAGGACCCCTCGCACCTCCTGATGAAGCTGATGAACCTGCGTATCTGGACAGCTGTTCTCTTCGGCATCTGCTGCCTTGCCGGAGCCTCGGCAGACCCTGCCGACGAGGCCTCACGTGTCTCCTCGGTGGCATCCCCCACACCGGCCCCCACTACTGAGTCGAGTGCCGGAAGGTCTACAGTCACTGTGTACCTGGTCACGACGGTGAACGGTGCGTCTTCGGCATCGGACGCTGCTGCTGCGAGTCCTCAGCCCGTGGCTACGGTGGTGTCTGTCTTGAAGCCGGACGTCATTACAGTCACCGCGTACCCCGACGCATCCAGCTCGGTCGCGTCCGGTTACAGCGTGCTGATTGAGTCGGTTTCCTCCGGCAGTGTTGTCAGCACAGTCGCATCCCCTTCTGACTCGACCTACAGTGCGAGCATTCACGTTCCATCGCAGAATGCGACGTTCTTCACCACGCGCAACCCCCTCGTGTCTCTGTCCACCAAGTCCATTGCTACCTCCTTCTCGCTCGCCATCCCCACGCAGCGCTTTGTGACGAACACCACCTCGGCAAATTCCTCGTCGGCTTCGGCAGTCCCTACCTCGGTACTTGCATAGCTTGTTTACCGAATCCTCGGCAACTCATGTTTAGCTACGACGCGGGGCGTCATAGCTTGACCGCGTGCTCTCCAAGGGTCGATTCTCGATTGTTGATGTAAATTCACGTTTTTGGCAGGATCCAGGCGTATCTACACACCTTTTTTGTTCTTTTTGAATACGGTTTCCTTTATTAGTTGACAAATGAAATTTCACTAAAAAATATCCCGAAGCGCGTTCACTCTCGGCAATAGGCGGGTCGGCAAACGCTTAAGGTTTTGCGGGTGTGAGATCGTGACGTGACGTAGGTGATGAGTGAGGGAGGGAGAAATTGTGTGTGTGTGCATGTGAAGATGAGGTGCAGTAAAGCACGCTCAAGCTCGTTATTCATTTACTGTGCTCTACTAAAACACACAATCCGACTTTATGCAATTCACCTTGCTCCGCCCTCGATCTCACTACGCTGCGCTTGTGCTCACTCCATCTCACTCTGCGCTGCTACACCACGCTACGCACTCTTATTCGCAGCCTCTCCCCGTTCCTCTCCTCCTCCCTCCCTCACCATGGATTCCGCATACATCGCTCGCGTCAAAATTGCCCACGCGACAAATGCCGCAACGAAAAAACTCATTGTTCTTGACTTGAATGGAACGCTATTTGCTCGCGTGCTGCCCAAGGGCCAGGAACAGACCCCAGCAAGGTCATCCGCGCTACTGTCCCTCCCGTCCTTCGGCCTGGTCTCAGCAATTTCCTCGATTATGTCTTGCGTCACTTTGACGTCATGGTTTGGAGCACCATGGTGCCCAAGAGTACGGCATTCTACGTCGAGCGGTCGTTTACGCCAGAACAACGTAATCGCTTGCTGTCCGTGTGGGATCGCGACGTGCTGAATCTTCTGCCGAGCCAGTACGAACAAAAATCCGTCACCACACACAAGGATTTACGTCTCGTGTGGTCCGACACAGATTTGCGTAAATTCGCCCCCACGCCCGACGGCTGGTCTCAGGACAACACAATCCTCATTGACGACTCGTACAGCAAGGGCGAATTGCAGCCGTTCAACCAAATCCTCGTGCCTACGTTTCGGCCCGACAACACGCAGGACCACGTTCTCGATGACGTCATCCACGTCCTCCAAGAACTGCAAAACGTCCCGAACGTTTCGCACTACCTGTGGAAGAGAAAGTTTTCTCGCCAAAACTCTAAGTGAGCGTCGGGAACGTGCGTCTGCGTCTTTCAGCCTGTCGACGTCTGTCCCGTATTTTTGAACGCGTTCCGTGTTTCTCTTTCGTGCGTCCGTCGCACAATGGGGTCGTGTTCGCTGCTTGTCGCACGTGTCGGCGAAGCGACAAAAGCTTATTTCGCTTGTATTGTGCGCCTCGTGAGTTTCTGCTGTTTATGCTCTCATGGACGGCTGTCGTGAATGTGTATATATATGTATAATGAGATTTATTTAGCAATTGTGAACCCTCTTGATTTATTTCCTGCTGTTTTTCTCATGTCGACCTGTTCTGTGTTCGTCGGCTACTTCGTTTACCCCGCCTTTGCCCCGCTGCATGACGTAATAGGCAATGCTATCCGGTTTTAGGTGGGTGCCGCGACAACACGTCCTCTCCTTAACCATTCTTCGTGTCTTCTATTCACCATGTCTTTTCAGATTGATACGAGTACTAACGGCAGAGATATAAATGCTGTGTATGAGCGAATTCTCAATGATGATCCCGCGTGTTCGTGGGCTGTTTTTGGTTACGATAAGGGCAGTCAAACGAGATTGAAAGTTGTGGCTTCCGGAGGTACGGTGTTTGTCAATAAACGCAAAATCCAGTCGCGTCACATTGCTGCTCTAGGTGGCATCAATGACGGTGTTTCATTTGTGTCTCATTATCTAACACTCGCGAATTAGACGACAAAGACGAATTCTTGGAAGAGTTTGACGAAAGTGCGGTTTTGTATGGTTTTTTGCGCGTTAAAGATGAAAATACACAATTGAACAAGTTTGTACTTATTGGCTGGTGCGGAGAGGCCGCTCCTGGTTACAGAAAAGGCTTGTTCAACACGCATCTGGCTTCTGTGACTAAGTTATTACCGGTAAGTTTGTGCTAGGAAGGCAAAGCCGTAGAATGGAACTTGGGGCAACGAAACCGTTTCCTTAAGGCTTCTTCTAAACCTTGTTTGCCTTTTATTTTTGATCTGAAGCTAACTCTCTTTACAACAGACATATCATGTTCAAATTACGGGCCGTTCTGCTGGAGATATTGATTTCGACGACATTATGAAACGCGTCGCCGATGCTAGCGGCAGCAAATACACTCATAGAGGCGAAAGCTTCGTTGCTTCTCGTCGTCCCGTTGCTTCTTTCCAACGTCCTCCTCCTGCTACAAAATCAACTGCTCCTAAATTACAACACCCTACCATTGCTCCCAGTCTTCCTAAAAAGTCGACACAAACGAAAACAACGGTGGATGAATGGGCAGACACAAAATCCTTGCCTCCCGTTCCTTCCAACTTGCGCATTCCAGAAAATGTAAAGCCATCTATGTCGTCTAATGCCCCTTCTCTTCCTCCGTCGAAGCCAGCTACGAGCTCTATTCCTACTCCAGCACCTTCAAAGGCTGTCGAGTCCCAACACGCAGATTCTGCACATTTGCAGCCGCCTGCAACTAGTTCCATTGATACTAACCGCCCTTCTTCTGCACTTTCAGCCTCTAGCCGCTCCACGACTGAGCTTGGTGAACTGCAGGCTTCAGGCGCTGTTGACCTTGATGCTCGAAAAGCTCTCTTTGAACGCCCGGGTGCCCAGAAATCGACACTTCCTCCTGCCCCTGCCCCTGCCGTGAAGCATCAGATAAAACGGGCTCCTACGGTTTCTGTCCCGGCAAATGCTCCTGCTTCTGCTCCTGCTGCTGCCGCTGCTGCTGCTGAAGAGGAGGAATCTCACCTCAGCGTTTCACAATTACGCGCTCGTTTTGCCAAGCAATCGGTTAACGATGGTCACTCATCACGACCTCGGGCTTCTAGCACCGGCCGCAACTCAACAGGCGTTGCATCACGCATACAGAGTTTGAAACGCTCCGTGACTGAACAACAATCCGTTCCTCAATTACAGCAACCGTCCATTTCCAGTGCTCAAGAGACGAAACCAATTCCAGCACCCAATTTTCCTCAAGCGCCCGCCATGTCGGAGACACCGATCGCCCCGCCTGTCCCTAAAGCACCTGAATCCGTTGGCGTTTCTTCTGCCTCGGTTCCTCCACTTCCAACTGCATCCCGGCCTTCTGCTGAGGTAGAAACTTCAGTGCCTCCCCCCATTCCTCAAGAACCAAGAATGGAAAAGGAGCAGGAAGTACCAATTGCGACAAAGCAGGAGGCTCCTGTAATCCCACAGGCACCAGAGCCCGTAAATGAGGAAGCTCCCATCGTCTCTCCTGCACCACAGGTTGCAAAAGAAGAGGTTCCAGCCGTACCTCCTATTCCTACAGCTCCCAGACCCTCAAATGCTGTAGAAGAATCTGTTGCACCCACTGTGCCACCTGTCCCTACAGCTCCTGCTGCTCCTGCTGCTCCTGTTACTCCTGTTGCTCCTACTGCTCCTGTTGCTCCTCCCGCACCCGCTGCTCCTGTTGCTCCTATTGCTCCCACTGCCCCTACTGCCCCTGTTGCTCCTCCCGCACCCGCTGCTCCTGTCGTTGCAAACGTCGCCAATGAGCCAGCTGTTCCAGCAATCCCTGCAGAGCCTGTCGCTTCTTCACATCCGGTTGTTCCTGGAGCCATTGCTTATGCTACAGCGCTCTATGACTACGAGCCGGAAGAGGAGAACGAGTTGAAGCTTACCGAGAATCAACGGATTGCCATTCTCGAGTTTGTCGATGAAGGATGGTGGTTGGGTGTCAATGAAACTGGCGCTCAGGGTCTATTTCCTGCAAACTATGTTGAAGTGACCGAGGGAAACAATCCTGCAACCACTGCTACCGCCCCTCAAACTTCTCAGTCTGCCGGAGAAGAGGATTCTGGCGTTATGGTGCGAGCTCTCTATGACTATGTCGCCCAGGAGGATAACGAAATTTCATTCTTCGAGAACGACCTCATAAAGGAAGTTGATTTCATTGACAAGGACTGGTGGGTCGGCACTTGTCACGGAAGACGTGGAATGTTTCCTGGTACGTATACACACATATGGTGCTTCTTGCGCTCACTATTTGTTTTATTTTTCCCTTGTACTAACAATCACTCTAGCAAACTACGTCGAACGAATTTAACCAATTCAGCCAACTTTTCTGCTTAACCAATGAATTTTACTACATTTTCTTGTCAAGATGTACTATCATTCGGAATACTCTATGATCCGTTAATGAGCGTATATCTTTTTTTCTGAAGGACTCACCATTCAACCAAAAAAAAAACAAAACACAAAAGTGTCGTGGCTGAAACAGACGATTTTGTTACGTCCTTACTCATGTAATATGATAAACGAAGGACGAATCACGCTTACGTGAACTCTATTTTTTTTCAACTACATCATCCACATGGTGGGTCATGTCGCAAGGACTCGTATATCCCACCTACATTTTCAACCAAGGTTTTCTAGAATTGAGTAATCCGTTACTGGAATTCAGGAAGTGGGCGATCAGAAGAACGCTGTGATACTGTTGTTTTCAAAAAGATCGGCGATTCCCGGGATTCCAGTTAGTTGAACGGGGCTTATCCCAAGAACGTGCAGTAAGCCCAACCGTCTGCAAGACCATACACTCTGTTAGTTAAATGCAAGCAGAGGATTCTTCAGGTGCACAATTACAACAAAAGTCACCCCAGGCGAAGCAGCATTGGCGGAGAAGAAGTGCTCTTGTGAGTTTACGTGATCTGTCTCCAACTGGTGAAGCCTACACAAATGAAAACGATGACACGTTTCATGAAGTGGAAATTCAGTACCCCACGGAATCGTCGTGGAGGGAAAGAGGACGTTTTCGGTTTTGGCGGAAGCGTCTTCTTTTTGCAGTAATTGTTTGCTTCCTCATGCTATTTATTATTTTCGCAATAATTAAGACGAAAGGTTTTGGAAAATATCCCCTGTTTAAAAAGAGAAAACCTTTATTTCCAGAGTCGGGATTCTTCAACGACTCTTTATTGCCTTTTCACATATCTGTTTCATGGCTTTTGCTTCCTAACGGAGAAAGCGTATTTTACGACAAACACAGTCCAACGGCTAAGCTTGTTTTTCCAAATGGAACCGTGCTATTTGAAGCCCCTACGCTCACGTCTTTCGTTCAGGTATGTCACCTAATTAGATACGCTCGCAGTTTAAGAAATTGGCTGATCTAACTAGTTATAGAATGAGGACTCAGTAGACGAATTTTTTGAAATTTCTTTCTCGAGTGATGCCCGATATGTGCTTTACAAGTTTGAAAAGAGAAGAAGATGGCGGTATTCGTCTTACATGTACTTTTTCTTGCTTGATGTTGAACGTCAAGAGTTCACTCCATTCCACACAGAATTTGGCGACGTATTTCTAAACGCGTTGTGGTCTCCTGTAGGGCATCGTCTTGCTTTCGTTGCCGACAGAAACGTGTATATCTGGCACGACGTTGGTAAAGCTATCGAAAACGTGACAAAGGATACACCAGAGAGTAACATATTCAATGGTGTCCCTGACTGGATGTATGAGGAAGACATTGTTCAACGGGACCATACACTGTGGTGGTCACCCGACGCTTCAAAGCTGGCGTTCCTTCAGATTAACGATTCTCTTGTTCCGTCATACGCACCTCCGTCCTTCAGTGGTTTATCTTCGATTGTAGGCGAGAATGATCTGAGTAAATACGCTGATGCCTTATATGCCTACCCTGTGCCTGGGAGCACCATTCCCGATGCCGTTGTAGTGGTTCATCACGTTTCTGAGCACACTTCCTCGGCTCAAAAAGCCGTCTCGTATGGCTTTCTGCGAAAAGAGCGCTATATTACAGAAGTTGCATGGACTGATTCGGATCATTTAGTGTACAGTGAACTGAATCGTGATAGCAGCCAACGTGTTACCATGCTTCTAGACTTTGTTGCAGTTGAAGAAAAAGTTGTTCAAAAAGAAGTAAAGTTCCGTCATGGTTGGTTGGAACCACAGACTGGCCTTGCTTATCTTCCGCCAGATTCAAGGTTGGGACGTTCTGAAGGTTATGTTCGTTTAGTCGCATATGAGTTTGGCTATTCTCTTGTATTTTATGATTTTTCCACACAAAAGTCCACCGTCTTAGTTGAAGCACAGGGCTTTAGTATTCTCGAGCCACTTGTTGCTTCTTCCGATGGCTTGAACCTTTTCTTTACTATTTTAGAAGAAGGCGGCACAACCAAGTTGATGAGATATTCGTTTATTGACAGCGCTCTTCATTCTTTACTTCCTAGTAAAAGAGCCGGAGCATATACGTTTCATTTATCACCTTGCACTAATTATGTTCATGTCGCATATGATGGTCCGGGTGTTCCTTGGCAGCGTATATACGAAACACTTACCATGCATCAAACGCTTAGTCTAGAGGAGAATGAACAGCTTTTGGAGATTACAAGCAAATATGCGTTTCCAGAAAAACGCGTTTACCGCCCGAATTTTAAGTATGAGTCGGTGAATGTGGAAGAAATTTTGCCTCCTAATTTCAATAAAAGAAAAAAGTACAGGACGCTCTTTCACATATATGGTGCGCCGGGCGTACCTATCGTTACGCATGGTTTTGAAATGGACATAAACGAATACCTTGCTGCGTACCTCAATATTATCGTTGTGAAAGTTGATTTCTTGGGCGAACTTGCTACGTCTGGAGGTATAAAGCATCTTTCTCGGACTTCTCCTTTTGAGTTGATTCAATCCTGGATTGATGTTTTAGACAAAATTAGCTCGAAGTCGTATATCGACCGGTCTAACATATCCATTTGGGGATGGAGTTTTGGGGGTTATCTCTCATTAAAACTTGCTGAAACTGGGAACTTGTTTAAGTCAGTATTTGTTGTTTCACCAGTTACGGATTGGTCTCGCTATAGTTCTTTTTACACGGAAAAATACCTGGGCCTCTATAATGATGACAACCGAAAGAGTTATGAGCAAGCAGCTATTCACGTTGACTCATCTATACGTTCTCTAAAAAATCTGTATGTTGTTCAAGGACTGTCTGATGACAATGTCCACGTCGAGCAAACGGCCTTGTTGGCAAACTCTTTAATGGAGCATGAACAATATTCCCATAACGTGATGTATCTAAATCAGGAAGCCCATGAATTTACTGGAGAGGGAATGAAACACTTGAGAGGAATAATGGTTAATTTTTTGAGTTCATAAGTTTTTCCTACTATATATAAACAACATCTTCATAAATAACTAATGAAATATATAATGAACATCGGTAAACAACGAACGTTGCAAATCCGCATGTCAACTACAAATTGACTGCACCATATTTCTAATAATCTATGTATTCAGGAAGAACAGAAGAAACCTTATAATCATTAAACCTAGTTTTTTTTAACTCCTAGCTGCGTATTTGCGTTAAAGAGGACGAGCAATTTCTACGTTTGCAATTGCTGCTTAATCATATTCATGCTAAATCATTAAAATGAGTCCAAAAACTCCTTTATGGCCGATTTCAACTCGTTCTCCGTAGCTTCGTTGAGTACTCCTTCGTTTCGAATCGCATCCAATACAGCCGGTGCACTAGTACGCAGAAAGGGGATAAACTTTTGTTCGAATTCCGTGACACGCTCAACGGGAATTCTATCCAGATAACCATTGACACCGCAGTAAATTAGGGGCACCTGCTCTTCAACAGCCAAAGGAGAGTATTGGGGCTGCTTCAAGAGTTCTGTCAAACGAAGACCTCTGTCGAGGGTAGCACGAGTACCAGGATCCAAATCTGATCCAAATTGAGCAAATGATGCAACCTCACGATACTGGGCCAAGAACAGCTTGATAGGACCGGCGACCTTCTTCATAGCTTTTACTTGTGCAGCGGAACCGACACGAGAAACGGAAAGACCCACATTAATGGCCGGACGAATACCTTTAAAGAACAGCTCAGACTCTAAAAAGACTTGACCATCAGTAATAGAAATAACGTTGGTAGGAATATAAGCTGACACATCACCACCTTGGGTCTCAATAACAGGCAAAGCAGTCAATGAACCACCCCCGTGTTTAGGATTCATTTTAGCAGCACGCTCCAATAAACGAGAGTGCAAATAGAAAACATCACCAGGATATGCCTCACGACCAGGTGGGCGTCGAAGCAATAATGACATTTGACGGTAAGCAACAGCTTGCTTTGAAAGGTCATCATAGCAAATCAAGCTGTGCTTTCCATTGTCACGGAACCATTCACCGATTGAGCAACCAGAGAAAGGTGCAAGATATTGAAGTGGAGCACTTTCTGATGCAGTTGCTGCAACAATTACCGAATACTTGAGTGCATCATTCTCCTCCAATTTTTGTACAAATTGAGCGACTGTGGAACGCTTTTGACCAATAGCAACGTACACACAGTAAAGTTTTTTGGATTCGTCGTTTCCATCGTTCCAACGCTTTTGGTTTAAGATAGCATCCAAAGCAATGGCCGTTTTTCCTGTTTGACGATCGCCAATAATTAACTCACGCTGACCACGTCCGATGGGGACCATTGAGTCAATGGCTTTTAAACCAGTTTGCATGGGTTCACAAACAGACGTACGAGGAAGAATACCTGGGGCCTTGACTTGTACACGGCGACGTTCCTTAGCATTCAAAGGACCCTTTCCATCGATAGGCTGACCCAACACGTCAACAACACGGCCCAACAATTCCGGGCCCACAGGAACATCGACAATAGATCCTGTACGTTTTACAACATCACCTTCCCGTACGAGTTTGTCATTACCAAACAACACACAGCCCACTGTATCGAGTTCCAAATTTAGGGCCATACCTTTAATGCCGGAAGAGAATTCGACAAGTTCTTCTGCTTGTACATTCGATAAGCCGGAAACACGAGCAATACCGTCACCGACGGACAGCACATGACCAGATTCTGCTAATTGTGCAGCACTATATGCACCACGAATACGTTCCTGAAAATGAGTTAACAATATAAGGAACGAAAGAAGGAAATTGGAAACGAAAATTCGAAAATAAGATGCTGTAATTGTCACGAGAAATTAAAAGTAATTGTAAATTCGTATACAGGTAGAGGAGTGTCCAAAATAAAAACACAAAACCGTTCCTACCCATCTTAAAGCTTTTCGTCTCTTCAACGTACCTCGAGAATAGAGGGGACCTCCGTAGCCATGGCTTTTTCGGCATAGAGACGAGCACTCAACTTTCGTATAATTGTTAACAAACAGTTACTGTAAGTTTTAGGCACGTCATGGGATTTTAACTCTCAAAGACGTTGTTCATGTATCAACGTACAGAAAATTGCCTCGACAAAAACCTAGGCACTCTGGAAAGAGCATTACAAATCCTCCGACTTAACATCTTGCGTAGGACGTGAAACCGCTAGAACGTTTGCTTCGAGGTTATGCGAAAGACGTGAGGTATAAGCTTCGTGCAATTCTTGGTGGAGCATCTGCCATGGATAGAAACCCGAACCCTAGAATGCGTCCACGCAATTAATTCGTAAGAAATATCGGAAAATGGTTGTAGCAGACGCAGAGTTAGCGAGATGAATGAAGGTAAATCATAAACATCCTACATTGTAAGCATGTCCGGTATTTGAATGTGGTATTAATGGTGATGCTGTGCGAGTCTGAGTGTTGTTCGGTTGGAAAAAAGAAACGTGATGATTTAGTTATGTACGATGTGGAGTAGGAGTAATAAAAGTAACAAATCTTCTCCGTAGGAAACAGGTCAAAAGTTTCGTAATTCATCCTTAATTTCAGTTCCTCAATTATTCATTGTTACTCCTCCAAATCTTCAATAGGGTCATCAGGTTCTTCGTACATTGATACAGTATCTGCATCCTCTAAGCGTCTTTCGTTGGAATAAATGGAAAAGTAATCACGAAAACGAGTCTTTTCCTCCTGAGGAAGCTGAGGCCGAAATTGCAGTTGCCGCCAGCGGCGAGGAACGGGAGTCGGAAGATGAATAAGCGTTGCTTGCACGGCATACCAGGCAGCTAGCTCTTCTGCGACAAAGTTTACGGGATACGCAGGCACTAAACAGTCAGCCAAACTTAAACAATCACACACTTCAGAGACGTAGTTCACGTTTGTACACGAACTGGCGTAGTTATCAAAAATTGCTTGTCGAAAGATGGAACCTGTGGCTCCACTGGTATGAACCACGTCCGCAATATCAACCATAGATGGGCGCTTTGCTACAGCTTCGGTCGCAGTCAATGGTGTCCAACGCTCGTTATCAATCTCAGTGGCCTCATCATCGCCCTCACGCTTATTCCAAATGACTTTTCCAACAGCATGAAAGAGGCCGAGGCCAAAGTCGCGAGAAGATTTAGAGGACACGGCAGCTCGACAGGTAAAAACGTATTGTAAGTTATTAATGGCACTTCGAAGATCACCCTCATTCCCCTCTATAATTTGTGATATGACTTGGGAAGTTTGAGCAGCACTCTGTTTTACTTGTGTTTGCAACCGCATGACGCGCATAAGTGCTTTTCGCATGAAAGAAGACGCAATTGGATTAAATGTGATGTGTGTGACGCTTGGGTCTTTTAATATGTCGTCTCCCAATAGACGGTAGGCTGTATATTGGTCTTGCCAATCTGCATCCTCAGCCATAAAATACTGTGTCTCGGTAATGTTAAGGATGATAGAATTGCACCCCCGCGATTGCAGTGCTGTTAAAAGCAAAGAGCGAAAAGTGTCTATAGTACCATTGCGGTTTGAAAGCATTGGCAACTCATCTAAATAGACAAACTTTTTAGACATGTGAAAACGACTGGAGGCAATTCCACGGATGGGAGCTGAAAGAGGCAGTTCGGGATATGTTTCACAAGTTGCCATAAACTGGCCGAACTTTTTCCAAACAGAAGCTTTGTCGTTGCGGCCATTAACATCGTCGACAGCTCCTGCATCCAAAGAAGGATTTGACCATTCAATTAGACTAGCATTCAATTCCCGCGCAAGTACTTCGACACACGTACTTTTTCCACAACCGGAAGGACCGGACAAAACTAGAAGTCGGCTTGAGCTGTGATCTTCTTTCATCCAGTTTCGTACGGCAGTTACCTTTGCCTTGTGAACAGCAAGATCGACTGACAGTTGGGGAGCAAATTTGTCTGTCCATAGTTCACTTTCATGATGAACGGTACGAATAAGATTTGGTGAGGGCTTCTTGTCATCATCAGAAATACCGTCAAAGGAATCATTCGAATTTCCCTTTGCTCGCAAAGGAATGGAATGGGATTTGATTTTAGGGTTTCTCTTTCGTAATGGACTCAGTACACTGTGAAGCTTTCGTTTTCTCTCCCTCCTAATGGAAGTTAAAGAGGTTTGACGCATTTCAATGCGTTTCTTTAAGTTAAAAGCCGCGTTTCCGTTTTGTTAATAACGGTAGTAGGAGTATATGAGTACTTCTCGGGAGAAAAATCCAACTGGATGAGTTTGACAGGGAAAACGCGGTCGATACCAATAATTGAATGACTTGTCAAATAGTTTTACACAAGGAAGCTGGGAAAACCGAATACTGGCTCAACGCCCTTGGTTCGTGAAGAAAGCGTTCACGGATACTCTTCTCGACAGCGTATTACAATATATCATAAGAAATCCTACAGAGTCAAAAGCTTTCTTTTCTACGAAAGCTTCAGAAATTCATAGACGTTCTTTTCTAATGATTTGCGCGAGCTTAAAACGGAGTATTTTTGCAAAACAGCAGAAATCGTAACTCTCTACGTCCAATCGTGAAAGTTTAAATTCACGCGTCGTGTTTTGCATTTAATTCTTGTTCCGCGGCAGTCCCGGTGTCACCGCGGACCACCAAATCTAGAGAGATGGGAGTACGCGCGAGCACACGCAGCTCGCACCTGCCAAGAACCAACAACAAACGCCCGGAAAACATGTCTCAAGCAAGAGGATTTGACAGAACGATCACTGTATTCTCGCCAGAAGGTCGTTTATACCAAGTAGAGTACGCTTTTAAAGCTTTCAATAACGCTGGAATTACGTCTGCTAGTGCGACCGGCAAAAATTGTGCATGTGTAGTTACACAGAAGAAAATTCCCGATAAGTTGGTTGATGCCAGCACAGTAAACCATGTTTTTCGCATTAGCGACTCGATTGGATGCGTTATGACCGGTTCAATTGCAGATGCTCGTGCCCAGGTAATTCGTGCCCGTGCTGAAGCAGCTGAATTTGAATATAAGTACGGTTATCCTATGCCTTGTGATGTTTTAGCCAAGAGAATGGCCAACATCAATCAGGTTCATACGCAAAGAGCTGCCATGAGACCCTTGGGAGTTGCTATGACTATTGTATCTGTGGACGAGGAAAAGGGACCTCTTTTGTACAAGTTGGATCCCGCAGGATTCTTTATTGGTTACAAGGCTACCAGTGCTGGTCCTAAGCAAACGGAAACAATGAACTGGTTGGAAAAGCAATTAAAGCGCTTTGGCGAGCCTAAAAATGTTGACGAGACAGTGGAGACATGTATTCAAGCCTTGATGAGTAGTCTCAGCACAGATTTCAAAGCCAGTGAACTCCAAGTTGGCATTGTTGAAGGCGACAAGCCTTTTCGTATGTTGGATGAGGAGGAAATTGGTGCCAGACTGCAAAGCATTGCTGAGAAGGATTAAGCCGTATGTGCGGATACTCCTTTGTAACACAGAACTGCTTTTTAGAAGCCATCTTATGAATGTTTTCACGATTAGAGGTAGTATGATGTTTACCCAAAAAAATAGGCCTTGCTATGTACGCCTAGAACGAGAAGGTTAGGAAGGTACGCGATGCCGTTATTCTGGGGTTCGTTCTCTGAACAACCTTACAGGATGCTATTCCTTCCGAGAATGCTATCCGGAGAGCTTTTGGTATACATGCACTTTTCCGGAAAGGCCTCCACAAGCTATATGATTTCCGTAACGCGGTTCCCATGCTAGTCGATTTAATGCGCTCTCTTCACGGGTTGTCGCCTTTGCAAGCATCGGCTTCGTTTCGTTAGCAATGCTCCATGTTCGAATACAACCGTTTCCATCCACACTCGCCCAAATATCCGTGTCTATAGGGTTCCACTTTACATCAAACACTATGTCTTCGTGAGGAAATTCATGGAGAAGCTTTGAACTTATGCTAAGCGGTGTTGATTCTTCAGACGGAACGCTTGTCGTTTCTGAATCTTCTGCTTCCTCACGAAGTGACCACAGCCTTACGACTGCATCAAGTCCACTTGTTAGGACGTAGTCTGATTCCATGGAAGGTGCATCTGGATCAAAGTGGCTAGAAATGTCGACACCAGTGACGAAACAGCTATGTGCTGGTGTCGGGTCTAAATGTTTCTGTGTGTCTGTTTGTGTAACAACGTCTAGCAAGCTAGTTGTGCACATGCATCCATTTTCCAGGCCCACGGTGATATAGCCTTTATTTGATTTACAGAGCGCCATACTGGAGGGTGATAGCGTCGACTGTGTTGCATTCGTCGATGCATAGGGTTCCTGATAGTTGGAGGCTTGTTCGGTGTGAACAAGTGTGATTTCTCCTGCGGGACGCGTGAGCATGGTTGATTCCCAGCTTTTAACTGTTCCATCTGTGCTGCAGCTGATGATGCTGCTGCCTGCTTGCGAACTGCTATATTGAAGACCACAGACGGGCATGGAGTGTCCTCCAAAGAGTAACGAAGAAGACAAGACGGGTAACGGTCCTTGGCGAATATCCCATATATAAAGCTGGCCATTGTTGGCTCCTCCACACACAATATGTGCATGCGCGGGAGATGCAGCGATGGTTATGACTTCGCTTTCACACTGTAATGTATATTCGGGTGCTTGCAGTAAGTGCGGATTCCATGCTGCCACGAGCCCGTTGATAGCTGAGAAACTCGTATCACTTGTGTACGCTGCCAGAATAGAGCCGTCGTGTTTTAGAGAATACGCAACTCCGTTCACGGCTCTGTTTTGTACAATCTTTTCGTTCGTGAACTCTGTGGTGCAAGTGAGGCCCATTCCCTGGTCCACCTCGATTCCTTCGTCGCCTTCGTCGTCAATGTTGAACTCTGCAAAGATATTTGCGACATTTTGCATCAAAGCTCTGCATGCTCTTTTTTTTGCAGTTCGAAGGAATGTGTTGATATGCAGCTGTTTTTCCTCAAGTTCGCTCTCTTCTGCAAAACGTAACTGCTTATTAGTCGTTGGAGGCTCATAGGCAGGAGGTAGGTCTTTTTGCTCTTGCTGGGGCAATCTTTCCTGTTCTGATAGTGGTGTTTTGTTGGCGATGTCGTTTGGATCGGTTTCTTCCTCATCTGTTTGCTGTACTGTGTCAACCTGCACAGACTTGTTGTACTGTTGCCGTTTAGGAAGTGTAATATTTGGTTGCTGGATCAAGGACAAAATTTCGGTTTGTGCTAACGTCGGTCGACCGTGTTGCTGTTCTCGTTGCTTAAAAGCAATTGACTCAGTCCCTACTTCGGCTGTTTTACTGCTTGTCAGCAGCAGGTTTTCGTTTGGTCCTAGTAGTTCCGACAAAATGGAATCCACGTCTACAAACTGTTCATACCTCGTTAATACGAATCATTTTAACTTGTTCCTTTATATAATTCAGGCTGTAGTCGCAAACCTTCTCATCTTGTCTCGGACAGTGGACGGAGAGTTCTGAAACGCGTCCCTTACGACGCTGCTCGCGTCTTTCCTGTAGTTCCAAAAGTTTCGCTCGCCTTTTTGCAATTTCCTTTTTCCATTGTGAGGACATGATGGCATTTCATATCGAGAAGAGGGGACTTGCTTGTTAAGCCTTTTGTATACGATGCTTTGTCTATACGTTCTTTGTTACGCGACGCGTTTTTCATTCAACCTTAATTGTAGCGCGCCCGAACTCTACTACAAGGAAGCAGCGCAAAAAACAGTTTGCATCGTGACACTGAAAGTTTCTGACCACATCAAAAAGTATCGCTCTTCCTAATATCATTATCTCTCATTGTTTTATTGAATACTTCCTGCTTCACCTTTTCGCCCCCACATTTTCCCCCACCCAGCAGACGCGTACTGCTAAATAAGGTTACGGCGACGCGTGCCTACAATCCTTTAACCAACAATAAATGCCGGTCATTGATGCCAATTTTGACGTGTACGAAATTCTTGGAATCCAAGAAGATGCAGAAGAAAAAGATATACATAGAGCTTGGCGGAAAACGTCGCTAAAATATCATCCTGACAAGAATCCTAATGACCCGACTGCCATTGAGAAATTCCACAAGTTACAGGTCGCCTACAATTTACTCATTGATCCTGCGACACGGAGAGAGTATGACACAGAACGGCTGGCACGTCAAGCTCAAAAACGCAGAGAAGAAGCTTTTGATCTGAAACGGAAATCCATGGTTGATGACTTGAAAGCTCGTGAACAAAAAGCTTTTCAGGAAATCGATGAGAAAGAACGCGCTCAATTAGCACGATTGGAGAAACTTCGTCGACTGAGAGAAGAAAACGAGCAATTACGACACGAGTATCTCCAGAAACATGCTCGAGCAACCACGGGAAGCGGCGAAAAACGGGATCGAACAGAGTTTGAAATGAATAATGTACCTCCTAAAACTCTCGACGATATTGACCGCACAGTAAAAGTTCGCTGGAAACAGAAATATAACGAGTTTATGTCAAAAGAAGAGCTTTTGCGAATATTGGAGCCTTTTGGTCCTGTCCAAGCTCTTATTGTACGGGAATTGGACATCAACAAAAAATTCAGCACCGCTTACGTCGTATTCGAGCGACTCAGTTCAGCATACGCGTCCGTTCATGCCGAGACGGTACCCAAATATGTAAAGGATATACAATGGGCACGACAAAAAAATGAACATGGCTCAAACAAGGACAAAACAATGAATACCACTGGCGAAAAATCACAACCATCTGATTTTTCTAAACTTTCCTTTGAAGAACAGACCCTTTTTCGGTTAAAACAAAAGAAGAGAGCATAATGGGATATGCTCATAAACGTTATTTTAGGTGGCATCCTATTTACCATTTCTTCAGCGCTACCCTTCTCACCGACTTGCCACGGCATATTACCGCATAGTGCCTCATCTTATTTTCGTTCTGTGATAGTCGCTGCTCTCATGTCGCAGGGTATTTTACAAATTCAACGGAGATGGAAAGGAATTATGGTTCTAAGAAATTGCCGCGCGTTCAGTGTCTGGGCGGCTTTGTCAAAGAAAAAGACAAACATGGACTTTTTTAAGGGTAGTTCAACGTTTTTGCGAGATTGTTCAAAAAGCTAACGGCCAGTAATGTTACAACAGCCGCAATCAAATGTGTTCCATCGAGCAGGGATGGATTTTTTAGCCGTAGAAGAAGGACCTGCGACCTTGAGGACCTACTCCGTGGGTAACGTGGCTCACGATTACCTGGACGTTCATGTACCACCGAAGCCTGAAGAACCGCTGAATTGTTGTCAGAGTGGTTGTCCTATTTGTGTTTGGGACATTTATGCCGATGATCTGAGAGAATACCAAGATGCACGGATTCGGGCAAAAAAGGCTTTTATCGAACGGAAAATGGCTGTTCCTACAGAATTGAAAGACCAGCAGCTCAATGCAAAAGATCCACTTGAACAACTACCGCCATCAATCCATGCTTTTGTTGATTTGGAAAAGAGGTTAGCGAAGAAGAAATTGGAGAACGATAGCTAAATTCGGACCTAATTCCCCTTGTAAAACAGTTTCTTTTTGGAGTAATTCGACACACACGAAAAGAAAACGCTCTAGTGTATTTTTTTCTCTATACAATTATTTAATGATTTTGTTTTATTTTGTTCGTGACATTCATATCTTAACCGTTTAAACATATAAGCAATAAAAGAGTCGCGAGGTGTACTTCTTACAGCTTGTCCTTACGAGTGTTTGTTTCATTTGTCCAAAAAGTAGCCATTTTATACAACGGAATAACGGCCTGTCGGTGCGCTTCTATTGCCATCTTCCAAACTGTGGCCGATACCTTCCAGTAACAGGCGGCGTAGCTCAGTAACCGCGCGGTTGACATCGAGCTCACTGTGGCCTTCAATGAGAAGGTATAGTTTCTCTTCACCTGCCTCGGGATTCTTACCGGGTAAGTAGAAGTTTCCTTTCGTCGTGATACTCGTTCCCGTCAGTTCCGTTACATGAACAATGTTCGCGCTGTTCGTAACAGCCCATCTAGCCTGTTGAGGGTAGTCATTGATCTCCATCTTGGCCTTAAACTCGTCATTGTCAGTTTTAATGACTGTAATGGGTTGTGCAAGTTTGTTCTTTTGGAGTTGAGAAGCACTGAGTGCCCGTGCTGCAATACCGCCGACAGCGGCACGAACCCTGTCAAGCGTAAGGTCACCTGTAGATTGGCCTTCGGGTAGAGGTTCCAATGGCTTAACAGCCTCCTCATTCTCCTCTTCTTCTTCCTCCACATCCTCTCCAAACGCCCGACGTTGCATTTTCCTTTCGGCATTTCTCGTTTCATCCAAACGAGAAAGACCTTTACCACCAAAACCGCTGCCAGCAGCCTTCTCCTTGCCACTTTTAACGTTCTTAAGGAACTCATTGGCAAGGTTCTGTAATTCTAGCGGGACAGGTTGCTTACTCATTTTCAGGGCCTTGGCAATACCCACAGCATATCGAGACTGGTCAGGTGTGACAAAAGTCACAGCGACACCAGTATGACCTGCCCGTCCTGTCCGTCCTACTCTGTGCACATAGTCTTCCATGTGATTAGGACAATCATAGTTAACGACAAGCTGTAAAGATTTCACGTCTAGACCTCGAGCGGCAACGCTAGTAGCAATCAGCACATCGAAAATACCCATCTTATAATCTGAAATGGTGGAATCACGATCGTGCTGATCTTTACCACCGTGTATAGAATTACAGCTGTAACCACGCTTCATCAGTTGTGACAGAAGTGCATCAGCGGACTCGTGGCGGTCAACAAAAACCAGTGTCCGCACATCTGGCTGTGTATTGTACAGTTCTCCCAAGAGTTCAAGAAGCCGAGGAAACTTGGATTCTTCTGAACGAACTTCTACAAGTTGTTCAACCTCTGCAGCGACAACAGAGCGACCGCCCACCGTTATTTCAATGGGCTTTTTCAGAACCTTTCGTGCCAATGCTTCCATTGCTCGAGGAAAGGTTGCGGAGAAAAGAACGACTTGCCGATCTGGTCGAATATTGTTTAAGATGCGCATTACTTGAGGCTCAAATCCGAGATCAAACATACGGTCAGCTTCATCCAAAACAACATAAGTGCAGCGATGCAAGTTGGTAACTCTTCCGGAGTTAGCGTTCAACACATCGATCATTCGACCGGGAGTACACACAACAATTTCAGCACCCCGTTTAAGTTCTGCAATCTGATCCTTGATGGGAGCACCGCCATAGGCACAGGTAGCACGAAGATCTAAGGCTTTCGCGAACGGTTTACACTCGCGGAAAATCTGGACAGCGAGTTCACGAGTAGGAGTCATGATGACCGCCACCGGGCCTTCACCGTTTCGTAGTGGCCTTTGGTCCATGATGTGCCGAAACATGGGAAGTAAGAAAGCAATTGTTTTTCCACTTCCAGTTTTTGCAACTCCAATAACATCCCGACCAGCGGTGATGGCTGGAATAGCTTGTGCCTGGATAGCAGAGGGCTCTTCGAAACCAAGAGATCGAATTACAGAGAGTGTTTGCACTGATAAACCGCACTGACTCCACGAAGTGACTGGTTTAGGGCAATCGATTCCGCGAATTTTTATGCCGCCCAAAGACAATCGTAACTCATCGACCTCCTCTAGAGAAAGCTTCTTCAACTCTTCGGGCTCGACATAAAAGTTCTTCCGAAAATCTTCGTAGTTTATTTTAGAATGATCCACTGTAATAAAGTCTTTCTTTTTCATCCGCTTAGCGGCTAGTGCCAGGATGTTTTCTTCTTCGGCCAAAGTTGTAGACTGCTCATACAAGTCATCCTCATCATTGGTGCCATCAACCACTTCAGCATTCAAAAGACCAGGACGTACTACGTCAGTAACGCCCTCTAAAGACGCCATGTAAGCGTCGAGAGGATCAACTTCATTGTCATGGCTGTTCCCGGGTACCGCAGCCCCATCGGTGTCCATTGCAGAATCATCATCCTCCTCCGCCATCAGTTCTGCAATTCCAGGACGCTTAGTCAAAACCTCATCGTCCATTTGAATTCTTCCAATACGGACTGCATTATTTTGTTTGACAATGTTGAAACCAGAGATACCGGAAGAAGGCATAAGCGACGGGACAACGCGTTTGTTGGCTTTTTCTGTATTTTCCACAGACGAAATTTCTGAGTTAGCCGCCGTTTGAGCCTCCTTCATTTGTTGTAAGTTGCTTTCGGCCTTTGCCAATTCCTCTGCCTTGGATTTTTTCCATGCATTCAAACGCTCTAGACGCGCTTTCTTCTTTGAGTCAAGGTCTTTCGGCACACGGACAGCGTTGGCAAGGCTTTCTGCATCTACTGCACTACTAGAGTTATCTGGAGCTGACGATTTAGCTACACTCGACTTTGCTGGAACAGTGCTAGAGGCCTGAACTGAAACAGTAGGCACAGTTAATCCTGCTTCTGAAGAAGAAGAGACATTACTGGCTGCTGCCGGAGCAGCAGAAGGTTGATCGAACCTTGAGCGACGCGCGCTTCTGCCAATTGCTTCACGAGGAGGCGACGAACGTTGTTCGTGTTGGGTTTCTTTTCTGTGTTCATGACTGCTATAACGTCCATGAGACGAACGATCGGAAGCATGATAGTTTGAGCGGTAATCTCGGTCAAAACGACTCGAATCCTGTCCACGACGAGATCTGTCTTGTGAGCTACGTGATGAAGAATCAGAATATCTGTCGTGTCTCCAAACGTCTCTGTCATTTTGTCTATTGCGATCACCTCTGTTGTCTCTAGAGACATAATCATCTCGTCTGTAACTGTCTCGGTTTCGTCGATCAGAGGAACCGTAACGACGCCGAGAGTCTTCTCGGTCATTGTAGCCTCGTTGATCACTGAAATTCCGTTTTCTATTGTTATAATAAGAATTCCTGCCATCCGGAGAACGGGAACGACTTCGTTTAGACATTTGTACGTTTTTAAGGAAGGTGCGTTCCAGTCATAGATGAATGAATAATTGTCGCCTCCTATACTCTACGGGAAACTCTAACAAAAAAGAATTTAAAATATACACCCTCAAAACGTAATTATATTTGGCTGATTCTATGAGTGCTAATTGAATAGTTATAGGTTGAAATAGTGTATAATATGATTGTATTTATTTCGCTGCCATTTGCAAAAGCAACTCGAGTAGTATTTACGCTTAACCAGACCAAACTCTACAACAGGAAAAATAACCAGACAAGTCGATTCGATGAGTGAAACAAACACTGAATCTCAAGTCTCGCAGCAAGAAGAAGTTGTTTATCAAGTTCCAAATGAAAATACTGTCCCTAAAGAGCTTGGAGTAAAAGGTGAAGAATCGCCTGAGAATGCCCCTAAGAAAACCGGAAAACAAAAGTCTCAAACCCGCAAACCTACTAATCTCCCTTCTCGTGGAAGATCTGCTTGGCAAATTTTTGTCTCTGAAAATGTTCACGGTACTACGTTGAACAAGGATGTAATGTCTGACTTGTCTCAGAAATTCAAATCGCTCACCACGGAGGAGATGGACGATTTGAAGGACAGATCTCAACGGTCTCGTGAAGATGCCCAGAATGCCCGTCAAGAGATTATCAACAAGATGACTTCGAAGGAGATTTTTGAAGAAAACTTAATTCGTAAAGAAAGACGTGCTAAGGGAATTAAGAAAAACTCAAAGCCTATCAAGGATCCATCTGAGCCTAAGAAGCCGTTGTCCTCATTTTTGTACTTCACCCAAAAGCTTCGTCAGGACCCCGAGTTTAAGCAGAAGCTAATGGGACCTGCTGTTTACAGTATTACCGAGTTCTCGAAGAAGGCCGGAGAAGTTTGGAAGTCTCTTTCGGACGACATTAAGGCACCTTTTATTGAAGATGCTGCGACTCGCCGTGCTCAATACAAGGAAGAGTATGAAAAATGGAGAAAAGACACTGGCATTGACCAAATTGACCTTCGCGATATTGAAAAGAAAATCAAGAAGATCCATGAGGAACTTGAGAAACCTACAAAGAATGGTGAGAAAAATGAAGCTGATGAAAAGGACGATGATCATGACGACGGCGACGAAGAAGAGGGTGAGGAAGAGGAAGTTGACGAGGTTGATACTGATGAGGAGGAGGACGCTGAGGCCGACAAGGAAACTGATGGCGTTTCCAAGAAGGGTCCTCACAATACTTCGGCCTAGTGTCTTATGGAGTCTCTTCCATGGGAATGAACTTATGACCTTAAAACTAGATACCCAGATACCCTCAACATTGCCCACTGATACCCTTCTGGGCGTGTTATTTTTGGATAGTTATATAACAAAAATATAGATGTTTTATGAAATTTTGTCCATACTGAACATGGGTGTGTCAACGACTTGAAATGAAACGAACGAACGTCTTCCTATGTCACGTTTAAGTGCCCAAGAATGGCCTTAACCATGTTTATTGATTCTAATACTTAACATTGTCTATAAGTCTTCTACTAACATAACGAAACCCACCCGTTCAGACGACCTGAAAATGTCCGCTTGAATTTTTTCTTGCAAGAAGCTCATGAGATGGAATTCGAGGCAAAACTCCCATTGTCATTTCAAAAAGAAATTTTTGAAGAAGTTAGAAATGAGGATGGCCTGTGCGTCGTAGCGCCCGGACTTTCTTCGCTGAGAATAGTCGCGAATATACTTGCATACTATTCTGTTCCAGGATCACTGTTAATTCTCTTGAACGCAAATGACACAGACATTGAAATACTAGAGAAGTACCTAGATGAACTAAAAAAGCCGTTGGTGTCTGTTAATACAGATAGCATGTCGGTAGATGGAAGGTAACAAACTTGATGAATGATGAATTATTTTATTTACGACTTCTTAGAGAAAAAGCTTACAAGGGCGGTGGAATATTTGCTGTCACTAGTCGTATTCTTGTTTTGGACATGCTTACTCATCTGATTCCGGTTGAGTTTATTACGGGTTTAGTCGTTTTGCATGCCGACAGAATAACTGCAACGGGATCAGAGGCTTTTGTCCTCAGACTGTTTCGCCAAGGCAATCGTGATGGTTTTATCAAGGCATTTACGGATGAACCGGAAAGATTGACGATGGGTATAAACGCATTAAGCGGCTGTCTACGATGTCTTTTTCTGAAACATGTATCCATTTTTCCACGATTCCATGTTCATGTTGCAGAAGCGCTCGAAAATTCACCAGCCGCCGTTGTCGAGTTCAACGTTGAAGCAACTGAGTCTCAAAAAAGTATGCAGACATGTATTATTACGTGTATCGAAAGTACGATAAAGGAGTTGAGAAGGATCAACTCAGCACATCTGGACATGGAACAGTGGACAGTTGATTCGCTGTTACATCGGAGCTTTGATATCATTATCCGTCGACAACTTGATCCTTTATGGCATCGTTTAAGTTCAAAAACAAAAACTCTGGTATCAGATCTAACCACACTGAGGTCCCTTCTCACGTAAGTCTTTTATAAACAAAGGGACAAAGTTCTAATTATGCAGTTCACTCATTTCTTATGACTGTATCAGTTTCTTAAAGTTGCTTGACACAGTGATTTTGTCTGCAGGAGGTCGAAATCCCATGCAAAACCAATCACCATGGCTGCTTTTGGAACCAGCTAATACTTTAATCAACCTTGCCAGACAACGTGTCTACAGCGTGTCTCCAACTTCGCCGAACGTGCAAGTACCAGTCTTAGAGGCACTCCCGAAATGGGATATATTGAAGACAATATTAGACGAAATAAAACAAGATGCCTCAAAAACAGACGTGACGCGTATGTTGTGGTCTCATGCAAGTTCTTCTTTGCTAACAGTGGCATAGCTTCAACGTTAATTATGTGTGCTGATGATCGGACATGCTTTCAGATAAAAGACTACCTGCTAAGTTCCTCCTTCGACGAGGATGCTTCTCTAAAGTTGATGCAACGAAAGCTTAGGGATTACTTAGATTGGTTACAAAGATACAAAAAAATTAAGAATGAGCTTCAGATAAAAGGTATTCCGAAACAACGATTAGAAAGCAGCAACACGTTTCGGAAAGCCGTACCACCCAACAAACGTAGACGAGTCCGTGGAGGATCAAATGCTACAACGAGATCTACTACCCCGGTAGAGGCGAACGATAATATCGAACCTCTTTTTTCTTTAATGTACGTCTAATTTTTTGTTAAACCTATTAACACATTCTTAGAAATTCACATGTTACAACGCCGGAGACCGAGAGCAGCGAATCGTCCTACTTCAATGACTTCTCTCTTAATATTAAGTCCTATGATGGTGACTATGATGATATTCTATTAGAAGAGCTGTCTCCGAATTATATTATAATGTATGATGCCGATCCAGCTTTCATTCGACGAGTCGAGGTATATCGAGCAACTCATCCTGAAAGGCAGTTAAAGGTTTATTTTACATACTATGGGGGAACGGTGGAAGAGCAGCGATACTTGTTCGCAGTGCGCAGGGAAAAAGATTCATTTTCACGCCTAATTAGAGAAAGAGCTGTACGTGCTTTTACTACAAGCCCACATTTCTAACAACAACTTTTAGAATATGACTGTGCTTTTGACAACAGCGGAAGAAAGTCTTACTGATCCTGAGCACAAGTTTCTTCAAAGTGTTAATACAAGAATTGCAGGTGGAGGTCGCGTTTCATCAATGTCAACGGAGCAACCGAGGGTGAGTCAGTCGCACAATGGATTATAAAATTAACTTGTGATAGGTTATTGTGGATCTACGAGAGTTTCGAAGCACCTTGCCTTCAATGCTGCATGGTCACGGTTTCTCAGTTGTTCCTTGTCAACTGACGGTTGGTGATTATATCCTTTCTCCAAAACTTTGCGTTGAGCGCAAATCTGTTCCTGATCTCATTCAATCTCTTAATAGCGGTCGACTATATTCGCAATGTGAATCAATGCAGGATCATTATGAAATCCCAATACTCCTAATTGAGTTTGACCAAAACAAATCGTTCCAACTGGAGGTATGTGGCTTCGGGCTGTTAATTTACTAACTGGTTATTAGCCATTTGCAGAGTTGTCGGCAGAAATCGGAAAAAATGATCTCCAGTCTAAACTCGTCTTACTGACGCTTTGTTTTCCAAAATTGAAAATCATATGGTCTAGTAGTGCATACGCGACGGTTCTAATATTCAGTGACTTGAAAGCTTTGCATGAAGAACCCGATCCAGAGACTGCTGTATCATATGGACTGGAGCCTGGTCAGGATGCTACCAGCACATTAAATCGTGCACCGGTAGATTTACTGTTGGGTCTCCCTTATGTTTCTCAGAAAAACTATCGGAATATTGTTTACAGTAACGTTAAAAATGTTACGGAATTATGTGACACAGAGCGACGCAACTTAACAGAATTAATTGGCCCAGAGTGCGGCAACGGTCTTTATAATTTCATGAGAAAAGAACTTAAAGATGTGTAATGCGCACGGCTTTCTGTAGAAAAATTGCTTATTGCCTTAATATATTGTTTTGTTCTACTTTCTATTCCTACTTTCCAATATCCAACGAAGGACGTTCCGAGGTATGAAAACATCAAAACTCGAAGAAGAAGAAAACATCCAGGAGCAAAAACTAGTAGAACCTGTCCCTGTTGTATTTCAATGCCTAAACTGTTTACAAATTGTCGGTGATTCGAACTCCTGGGTCATCTCAAAGGAGGAATTAAATACTGTAACTTTGCGAGGTACAAAACTCAATTTGCTTGGCATTCTCTAACAACAGACGTCCCAGTAGATCGCGTACGAGTGAGTAAACGGTTAGAAACAACGAAAGACGGACTTTGGTATGGTGCTTTATCAAAAGGTCATAAATTCAAATTAACATATGGTAACTAGTGTTTACTCAAAAATATACTGTTTAAAATGTAATTTTGAGCTTGGGATGGTATTCCGTGCAACTTCAAAAGCTCTGGATGAATTACGGTACGAATTGCTCAAGAAGAAGAATTGGTTCGCTGAACTAACGGTAAAGTGATATGTACACATTTCGAATTGACAAAATTGAATCCTATGAGCTCGGACAAAAATCATTTGACACACTCGGTAATACTCGATTTGATATAGACATTCAAATGAAAGAGGATATCTTGAAATTAAAGTCTTTCTGCTTATCCCTTTCTGAACGCTGGCAACTACATGATGAAAGCTTACAAGCCATATGGACTATCCTCAATAATGACAAAGAAAAGAACCCAATAACTGAAAACAATGTCCGTCATCGAACGAAAAAGGTGAAAACGCAAAACACTTAAACGGCTTTCATGCGTAGTTGTGACACTATTTTTTCGTCCAAAAAACTAAACAGCGGCCAAGTTCGCTCAGTTTATGCTCCTAATAGCATGTTTAGGTTTACAATCGTCAGAGTGACTAGAGCCGCATTCCTTGAGCCATTTTTTAATTTGTTAGGCAGCTTCCTCGAACTTGTTAATGCAGCAACAGCATGCACATAAAAAAACATGCTTTGGTTTAAAACCCTTTTAATCTTGTTACTGAGTCTACTTGTACAGGGTATTGAATTAAATCTTAATAACTCTGAATCCATCGACAGCGCGCTCAGTCTGGTAGCAGATGGTATGCTTAATTACTACGCTGGAAAGAACTATGGCGGTACTATTGGCATGTTCGTACCTCCTGCTTACTGGTGGGAGGCAGGTGCAGCATTTAATGTAAGTCGTTGTAAACTATTTTTCGATTAACATAGCAGGGTTTATTGAATCGTTATTTGGCAACTGGAAACGATACTTACAATATGTTAACAATGCAAGGCATGCTTCATCAGATCGGAGACAACTCGGATTACATGCCGGCAAATTATTCCACATCTGAGGGTAATGATGACCAGGCGTTTTGGGGATTGTTAGCGATGTCAGCTGCCGAATCCAACTTTACGAATCCGCCTCCAGATGAACCTCAATGGTTAGAGCTAGCACAGGCTGTTTTCAATCAACAGGTGTACCGCTGGGACACGGGAACTTGCAATGGCGGTTTACGTTGGCAAATTACACAGTTTAATCATGGCTATACTTACAAAAACTCGGTTTCTAATGGGGCATTTTTTCAGCTGGCTGCTCGTTTAGGTAGGTATACTGGCAACCAGACATTCTTTGAGTGGGCAGATAAAGTATACAACTGGAGTGTAGCTGTTGGACTTGTTCTGGATGATTATTCCGTATTGGATGGAAAGTCTACTAAAGACAACTGTTCTGCTATTGAATTGACTCAATGGACTTACAATAGTGGATTTTATATGGCGGGTTCAGCATTTTTGTATAACGCTGTATGTGAATGGTTTTTTTATCTTTACTAATAATTATACAGACTGGCTCAGAAGTCTGGAAAAACAGAACGTCTGGGTTCGTGGATAAGGCTGCCGAAATGTTCTTCTACGAGTACATTGTTTATGAGCCAGCATGTGAAGTGTCTGCCACATGCAATTACGACCAAACATCCTTCAAGGGTTTCTTATGTCGATTTATGGCTTATACTGCAATGCTTGCTCCATTCACCCGGGAGACCATTGAGCCGTACCTAAAAACTACTGCACGGGCTGCAGCAACCGCTTGTTCCGGAGGCTATGACGGCGTTACATGCGGTAATCAATGGTGGTGGAACAATGGTACTTGGGATGGTATGTATTGGAGTTTATTAGATGAATCCCTTGTCACTTTCATTCACTAACACGTACTAGGATTATATGGCCTCGGCGAACAAATGTCTGCGCTTGAAGCAATTGTAGCCGTCCCTTTCATGGACGCAGCACCACTTTATACACACGCCAATGGAGGTTCCTCCACAGGAGATAACATGGCAGGACTTTACGATGATGAGACAAGCTGGGCTCCTCCAAGCTACCTGCCCTTAAACTCCATTCTACTTCTCGTTTTATTTTGGATGCCAATGCTAGTTATATAGTATCATCTCTGTTTATTTTTTGTACATACTTTTACTTCTTTCACTTATATTTAATACTTTACCCGTTCTCCCTCTCTTCATACTATCCCCCCAGCAGTGAAGTGTGGCCGACTACAAAACAGATCAAGTAAACACTGTGAGTTTTTAGTATAGTATATATGTTATTTATTCGCAACAAAATATGAAATCTAGCATAGATAAAGTCCCGCCAATCGTTTGCTAGTTTCTAAATGAAATGAATTTTGAAAAAATCTGCAAAGCAACGACAACAAACCTCTTTGGGGAACTCAGATTAGCACTGCTGTCATAAGAAAGACCATGAGAAATACGTTCCAAACCAATAGCAGAGGTCGAAAAGATTGACTTATGAACATAGCTGTAACAAGGAAAGCGAGCAAGCTTATAAAAGCGCAAAAAACTTACATGGGGGAAGCATGGATAAAGAAACAAAAGGACACTCACTGCTCATTTATAGAAGGGCGCCGTCCCCCATGAAGGAACATGCGTATCATTGTGATTGTTCTGGTTTAGCAGGGAGAGGTTTGGATAATTCACAGAACCTGAATGCAGGTTGCGGTTGTTCGAATGTGATGAGCTGGGAGAGCGCACACCAAGTGGATTTTTCGAGAAACTAAGGCGGATACCACCTTTAACACTGCTAGAGAGGCAAACTCCTTGGAGGGCTTTAAGTGCCTCAGTGGCATACGCAATTGATTCAAACTCGACAAAACACATAGGACCATTTCCCTTCGTTCTGAAACAAAGACGCTTGTAACCCGGCTGGGTAGAGAACAGCGCCTTCAACTCATCCTCTGAAGTAGAAGGAGGCAAGTTACCAACATAAATTGTATTGCAAGGGGGATTTTGATCAGCCGGGTTAATGTTCACAGGGGTAGTTACCGGAGCCCGTTGATGAAACGAGTGGGAGACGAAGGGCGCAAACGGAGTGTTTGGCGACATTGAAGAAGCAGAATACAGAAAGTCGCGATGCGTCGGCGTAAACGAACCAGGAGTCAACGGGGGTGACACAGAACGTTCACCAACGTTCGCAGTGAAGGCGCGGAAACGAGGAGACTGCGTAGAGCCAAGAGGGCTTGCATGGTAAAACTTATCCGGTGAAAGTGGCGATCTGTTGGAGAAATTGGTGTTAATGGAAAGTGACTGAAAAGAGTGCTTAGAGTTAGGGGTATCTGTTGAAGATTTCAGAGTAGGCGTGTTCATCCAAGGACTGGAATCGTCTTTAAGACCCGAGAACGGTCCTCGAGAGGAACTGCTTGGTGTCCATACACCATCTGTTCTCAACGGCTTAGCGGCATCACCGAGGGGACCAGAATGAGAGAATAGATTGTCAAAGTGGTTATTCACGGAATATAAAGACGATCCTTGGCTGGCATCACTAACATTCTTTAGCTTAAGCAAATCAATTTGCGACAGCGATTCACGCATGGCAGAAAAATGGTAAGACGATGAGGTGGAACTGTGACGGGAGAGTAAGGAGGGTTGAGCGCCAGCGCTAGCCTCAGCATGCTCAGCGTCGCTAGGAGTGCAAGACCCTTGGCAAACCTGATGTCCGTTATTGTCCACCACAGCAATTCCAGAAAACGAATAAAACTGGCTCGTCATGAGTATGGAACGAGCATAGACAGCAGCCTCGTAAGAGCGGAACACTACACAACCGCTCAATGTTTCAGATTCGGTTGTTGCCGGAGACAGTTCACAGGACTCGACATCTTTTGCAAAGGTAAAAATACCAGCAAACTCGCGGAACGACATGTCCCGAGGAATGTTCTCAATGAACAGGGAAGCTAAGATAGGTGGCGGTGATGCTGTCTTTGATACACGGCTAGCAAACGAAGACACACGAGAAGAGCTCGATGATCGTTCTTTAAGTGCATTACCCTCAGCACGAGAGCTAGTCGAACCGTCGGAAGAGTTTGAAGAGGAAGAAACATTGGTTGATGATGCTTTAGGCGACATGTGCACATATGATGCGTCGTCGTCGCCGTTCAAAATCCCTGTGGGGAGAAGCGAAGTGTCCTGGAGCTTCTCGCGAGACTCTTGTGGCGAAGATTGGACGCATCGAGGGAGAAAGTAGCTAGTAGATTGTTCTTTTAAGGTCTCCATCGTTTGTGGTACGTCAGGAGAGAGGAGCTTTAAAGACATGATAAGAGTTGGCTTTGCTCACAGATATTTAACGACACTGTTTGATAGACGGTATTAAACAATGTATGGTATCGTGCAAATGAACACAGGGTATACAAGAGAAAACAAACGCAAAATGAAGCCTTTTCTTTCGCTAAAAAAATGCAGCAAGGAAAGACGATGGGAGTAGAGCGACGAGGGAAGAAATGAGGTTTCCGTTTCGTCTGTCAACCACAGAAAAATTTGTGATTTGCTAAGTGGGTAATGAGGTTATCCAAGTTTCTTGCGCAAAATAAATGGCTGAAACTCAAAGAGATGCAGAAAGAAATGCAAAAACAGTGCAATGAGATGCAATGAGGAGCTTATGTTGATCACAATGAAAAAGGAAATGGAAAGAAAAAAATGTGACCTTTCTCAATGAAAAAAGCACGGAAATTTTCTTGGACAAGTGGTTATGTGCTAGCGGAATGCTGGCAATACGAATGATAATTTGTCAAAAGATGAGAAAAACGCAGGACGAGAAACAAATCAAAAAACCAAAACTAAGAGAAATTGGGGTCACAGCGTTAAGGACAAAAGCGGGTTATCAGTAAAAGAAAATGCGTTTTGAGCAGTAAGAGTGAGAAACGACAGGCAAACGAGAACAAAAGGAAGCAATGAGACTGGATGTGCGTTATAACGTAAAAATGTTGGGGAAAAGCGGGCACCAGCTATCGATAAAAGTAAATAAAACAGCGAAAGGCCTCAGTGGCGGGGAACTCTTTCCGATTGCTTGGACAAACCAAAAACAAACTCTCCACGTGTAGCGTAGCTTAATTTTTCGCTCTTTTCACAGATGGATGCGGAGGAAAAGAGAGATCCTACGTTTTCGTTTTTTGTGTTCGCGTAGATAACACAAAAATAAAAAAATTATATGTAAGATTCCGAAATAGATCAGTGTATGCGCTTAAACACTTAAAAAACAATTTCGGTTAGGAATGGATGGATTTTCAACCGTACCGTAGTATTTTGTGGCCTTGGCTTTCTATGAAAGCCTTCTGATGTTTTTTGCTCTTGTGAAGTTATGTCGGAACAACATTCGCGCTCATTAGTCGTAGTGAACACCAAGCAAAGAAGGCTGGTATCACAACGCTTTGTACCAAAACCCTTCGCTTGCGTGGGAGAATGACAGTCGCACAGAGATTAGTAAGGAGGATACGCCGTCTATACCAGCACAAGTTTCGGTTTTTACAAGAGGAAACGCTATCGACGGATATCAGTCAATGAAAAAGAAATTTTGAATAAGACGACGAGAACAGCGAAAAAAACGCCGACAGGATTGTGTGATAGACGGCGGCAACAATCGGCTGTTGTCGGAACATTTCGTAGGAAGAACCGTCTTTTTTGGAAATGAATGAATGAGGAGTCTGAGGAAAACGGCTGAATGTACACGAGAAATCATGCTGCAAAAGGCGATTCGTAGTAGTTTCAGGGTTCAAAAATGACAATTGAGAAGACGATAAGGGAAAAAAAACAGGAGGATCGGTTGGTAAACGATAAGGAACCAGCGGAGACAACGCGTTTGTAAGACAAACGACGGTTTGCATATGAGAGTAAAACACGTGTATAGGGACATCCATGCGCACCGCAAGGAGCTTTTCAGCTCCGAAGGCTATACACTTTGTTGTCGAAGGTTTATTGGAGGTTAAGGCACAAAAGTCGCTCGTTAAGGCTTTTTAACCTTTGCGGAGGTTTTCCCTTGAGTCTTTGGATTTTGATTTTGGTTCTGTTTTTTGTTTTTTGCCGTTCGAGTGGGCCGAGTGACTACGACACGATCAATCTTTGTAGCTAGAAAACCCGTTGCTTCGGAAGAAGACGGCCAAGATGGAGGGGAAACGGTCTCGAGGATGGGGGCAATGCTGGGCAGTATGGGCGACGTAGAGGCTACGGCAATGGCTCGAACACGACTTAGTCCCAAACGAGACGCAAAAGCAGCTTCCATTTCGTTTGGGATGGCTACGAGTCGGCATTCTGGACGACTTTCGTGTGCTTGGGTTTGAGAGAACGCGTTTCCATTGGCGATTAACTGTGGAAAGTGAGAAACGAGGATGGAATCAGTTGGAAGAGTCACAAAAACCACACGAGGCAAATCCGAACCAGTCTGGATGCAATCCTCTATCAGTTTATTCGTTTCATTTAGTCCAATTGTAAGTCCAGTAGTCCTTGCGTCCTGGACATTCGCGCCCATTCCTTGTAAAAGCAACCGACATAGTTTTTCCTTGGATTCCGTTGTTGTTTCAGGCCATTCGGCAGTCAGCGGATTGTCAAGAACTAGTTTCACAATTTCCTTCTTCTTTCCCTGCTTTTTCATGCTGTTTAAAGTGTATTGACGACGTCAACCGTTTGCTGGAGTTTGGTTCTGGTTAGGTTTAGGTGTCGCATTTAGCCGATATAGTACGCGAAGATGCTGCACCACGTCATGTATGACGTGGATTTCTACCGGACGACGCGCGTCGCGTCGTTTATAAAACAAAAGGACGATTGGAGACAAGCGTGACGAAAAGGAAACAGAAGATGAAATATGGCGTTTTAATGGTTGAACTAGCGCAAAAAAGATCGTCTCGGGTGTTTCTTTGTTATTCTACAAAAACGCTATTTTTAAACAAAGAGTGTAAATTTAGTATAAATTAAAACAAATACAGTAACTTTGAAAGCAGTTGTTTTAGATAAATTAACCAGCGTTGAGGATGGTTTCTGTTTCTTATCAGCTTTCGCAGATAAAATAGTAGTGATAAAAGGCCAAGTATGACTGCTGTCGTTGTTTTCCAGCGTCGAGAGAGAAACGCTTTTAAGATGTGAATTTGTTGAAAAGTGGGGAACAGAGACGTCGAACGAGCAGATGACGGAGATGGAGACAGAGACGACAGAGACGAAGGTAATTTGTCTTTTGCTAATGATTGCTCAATGACTTTATATAAAGCCTGTATTTGTTAGAACGAGAAAATGATAACAATAAAAAAATTAAAAAAATAAAAAAAAAAGAAAACAATCCTAGCATACCCCTGGATCTTCACCAAACCTGGCAAATTGTCTTGCTAGGTCATAATCTTTAATTGAACATGCAGTACGAACCGCCAATGGAAGACAACGAATGAACGGAGAATGAGAAAACAATGGAAGGAAAGAGTATAATAAAGTAATCTTCTCTTTTGAATTTTCTTTGTTTAAAGGTGTAGACAAGCAAGAAAAGACGCTAAAGAGTTAGAATCAATTAACATAGTATTTCTTTTTTTTTTTTTTTTTTCATACAAATATTCAACAAGTTGATCAGGAATTGCTGAACCATAAATATCATGCAAACATGACCACATCTCCTTCCAGTCATCATTCAGATCGTTACATATTTTTATTAACAAAGAGCAAGCCTCTGTAAGATTAGATGTATCCTTTTGGTTGTTATAAACGAATTGCCGCAAGAGTTGTCGGGCATCCTGAAGCTTATCATCAAGGTAAAGCTTGTACGCGTGCCCCAAGGGCGATGTCGTGTAAACGGCACCGTTTCTCGTCGTTAACATGGAGCGGTGAGTAATGAGAGAGTTTAAGCAATAGAGGGATGATGGGTCGAGTCAAGGTCAAGCATGGACCAAAAGTCTGAACCGGCAGTCATTCCCAAATGCATCACTACAAACACACAGCTCGCCTAGCTACACAGTCCTTACATTCGTCTCGTAGCTGATTTAGTTATCATAATATAATTTTTTAAACTACATTTTCCTAGAAAGGTTTAACCGGTATCACAGTTCGTGTCATCCACGCTGTTTATGCCTTGTTTACTACGCAGTTCGCAGGATAATGTGGAATCCACTGCTAGACTCGACAATGTCGCTGAACTGATTGGGGTTTAAGGCAAATGCAGCATCTTCAAATGGTTTCTGCATCTCATTGCGGCCGAAGAAACCCAGATCACCCCCACGCTTAGCAGAGCTGCAATCAGACTCACGCGAAGCCAATTCCGACATGGTGACAGCACCGGAGCGAAGTTGCTGAAGGAAGTTTTTAGCCAATGCATACGCTTCCTCCTTAGAACGAGTGATGTTTGCTTCCTTCCACGAACTCGGCCGACGACTTTGATTGTGCTTAACGAGAAGATGCTGCACGCGAATTTTTGCCGGAGAAGAGCCAGCAGGTGCGTTTCCTGAACTGGATTCCGTCATACGGAACTTGGTGGCAATGTATTTCTTGAGCAAATTCAGGTCTGTTCCTTGAGGTGGTTCCCACAATGACTCGGCAGTCTTCGTATTGTAATAGTAAGGACGGTTACGAGAGCGAGAAAGCTTCACCACCCAAAACTCGGGAAGTCCTGTTTGTTCCATTGTGTCGAAACACGAGTATGTAATTTGTCTTTACCGAAGGAATAAAAGTGCAAATATATATTAGTTACCGAAAATGCCTTGGGGTGCGCAGATGCGTTCTCTTCTTACTGGTACTACTAAATGTTCCGCGAATAGAGAACCGTTACAAGGGGCTGTTCGTAGTGTCGCTTAACAGAAGAATAGCTTTGACGTGAACTATTACCGTCTCCGTACTGCACAACTAGCAGGTTCAGGACCTAGTGGTTGGTTGTTTTTTTGGTGGTGAGTATTCATCACGGATACGTAATGCACGCGGAACCTTATTTGTGCACGTTATACAAATTAAGCTTTTTGCGGGACGTCTTGAAGGCGATCAAGTATTCACCAACGGATAACAACCTGCCAGAAACCAACCACTTCCTAAAGTCTTTAATTTCATATATTCTTGTTTTGTAAACGCAATTGTTCATACAGAGTGTGGATTTCGTACCATCGGATTTCGGGGTCGCGGCGCACGTTTCATCTTAAAGAAGTCAAAAGTTTCGTGCTGGTTGGAGCAGTATTCCTCCTTAAACGTGTGCTCCTCTTATTTAGGACAATCAAGAACAAACTCCGTTGACATCCATGAGGATCCATAGAACGCTGGAAAGCGAAGAAGTCAATACCTTTATGAACTCGGAAGGTGACCGAGAGATCCCGAAAGGAGAAGACTCAGTTTCAACAACCAGCTCCACGATGTCTAACGACACGAGGCTCGTGTTGAACAACTGCTGTCAACTCTTGCATTCGGAAGACGACACAAGTAAGCTTGTCGCGTTAAGCATGCTGGCAAAGGTTCTTAACGAAAACCCTGAAGTGCTTTCCATCTGTTGGGAACGGATGGACATGCATTTTCTCGATCGGTTGCTCGTTTCCAAGCGCGAGGAGTACGTAGATGTGGGTGTATCCGTTCTACTTGCTTTCTGCTCTGACGAAAGAATTCTGAACAGCCAAGAAATGGCACAGCGGATTCCCGCTGTGATGAAGTGTTCCAAACGATACTGGGATTACAGTGTTTCGTTGTTGTGTGCGTTCTGCTACGCCAAACCGTTGTCAAAAGTTGTTCTGCGATACGCAGACGTGATCCTAAGCCATGACTCGCTCGAAAGCGCGTTGGAAGTTTTATCTACGGCTTTGTACAACCAGGACACTGTTGTGCCATACCTGCCGACCGTTGTCTCAAAAATTACAGCTACTAATGCTTGGTCTTCCGGTTTCGTTTTACACTTTTTCACCGAACTGTTTTCCCGCTTCCCCGTGCATTGCTGGTACAGCGATAGCCTTAAATCAAGTTTAAAACCTCTGGTAGAAGTAGTCATGAAGCACTTTGTCACTAAAGATGATCTGGTGTCGACGTGTATCATTACCTCTGCCCTACTGAAAGCATTTGGTGTGAAGGCGATTATTCATGATCTTAAAATGCTTTTGCTGGTTACGGGTCGTTGCACATCGGAAATCCGTTCGTGTCTCTCTCTGCTCGTGGCCTGTCCCCGAAAAAGCGAACAAAAAGCCGTGCCATTAGCGATCTGTTCGAGCTTTGGCGTGATCAGCATCTTGCTGAACTACCTCTGTGAATATGGAGATGAAATTTCAGGCGAAGCCGAGCCTGAAGTGTTTTTCAAATTGCAGAAACATTTGAGCGAAATGTTTTTCGATACGATGGAATTTATGCGTGAGTTTTGGGACAACAACGAACAACGCCGTATTCAGATCTCCTCCAACGTATCACTGGTGAACGCCATGTCAACGCTGTGTTTCTGGCTTGCCGAGGATGACAGTCAGCTTGAGCAAGCAGCAGGTCTCATGGACATATTCCTCTCCCTGTGGCAGTTTGGATGGCAGAACCGTGTGGACTATCCAAAGTGGTTTGGTGTCATTATGCCAAGCTTACTCGGCACGAAGATTGGTTGGCACATCTTTGAAAGCATGCAAGGATGGAAGGTTGTTTGGAAAGACTTTTGTCTGTGCAATCAAGAGGCTGCAAAACAAGGTGGCTTTCAGCCAACTCAGCTGCAGGACCAGGAAGCGTATGTGAAGTTGCTCAATGAGGACTTGTATATGCAGGCCTGCCAAGATTTTAATATCCTCATCCAAGTCCGTAAACTCATTCCTCCCTACATTTGGGAGGACCCAATTTGGCGTCTTTCTCCCTGGAAGGAAAAAATTGCCGAAGACCTTCACTGATCACCTTCTTCTTCCTACCCTTACCCCTGTTTTTGTCCTCATAAACTGTACACTTTTACGTTGTTTTCTTTCTCAAAAAAATTCACCGACAGCTACAATTTTCCAGCAACAGATTGCTGAAGACCAAATATTTCTAATCTCCACCGATCGCCAAGCAACTGCGGCGTTTGTTTCAGCTGCTGCGTAGACACTCACATTTACTGCTACATGGAGGCTAAACAATTGCAGTTGATATCCTTTTGGTGTGTTTGTTCTTTCTATTTCTAATTTTCAAGATTTTGGTTCACTTGCACGCTTGTCTCCTTTGGGTAGACTACTGTATACTATGGATGATATTAGTTTTGTTTCATGAATACATCAAATATTAGCCGTTACGAGAAGATGGGGAACAAGTGGAGAAGGCGGTGAACGTGTATGGTGTGTGCTGTGGATGTTACGTGTAAAGTCTTTTGTATGCTATCACGAACAAAGTTACTTAACTACAATGCTGGAAGTAAGTTTCCAACTGTTAAGCTAACAATTAAACAAGGAGTTTATCTGTTACTACTGTACTATTGCACAGCAGACCCACTCACTTCTGTGGCCCCTCCTCGCTCACCACCAAAAACTACATACGGTACTATGGTCACCTCCACACCAAACACTACACCAAGTCAACAAGACAGACTCCACAAAATTAGCCAGGATGGATCCCCAGGTATGTGCTGGTTAACTTTTTTTTTGTAAACTGGAATGAAATGAGAACGTTAACAATTGTGGCAGATGCTTTCTTTGCCAACGGAAAGTGAAGGTATGTCGGAGGTCGGAGGGAGAGAGTGTGTATTTGTCATACACAATATGACAACGAAGCACGAGAGCTGTGTTTGTGTCTTCAGCATTCCTATGTGCTAACCAAAACAAAAAAAAGATGATGTGTACAGAAGAAAAACCACACGGATTCGTAAAAAAGTTGCAGAAGTCGAGGAAGAATGTGAGAAGCTTGCCGTGAAAATTTATACTGCAAAACGAAACATTCAGCGGTTCCGTTTGGAGCAGCAGTTGTTAATGAACGAACTCGAAAGTCGGAATGTTCCCTTATCGGCACATCAACACACAACGGTAAAAACGGAGGAACAGATTTAAAAAAAAAGGGCCCCTTTCATAGTCACTAAATCGTAAAATGCACACTAGAACGCACCCCAGATTTCTTTTCTTGTAAGGGACGAGACTGAAACAATGTCGAGAACTTGGCTCTACATGAGACGAAAGTCCACCTGTTTGAATAACAGTTAGCGCATCCATTTTTGCATTAGTGCGAACCTAAACCCTTAAGACTTACCGCTATACTTAACACAGCGACGACAACCAAAACTGTCAACAGAAGCACCAGAATCCACTCGAGTGATTCGTCGTGAGTGTGTGTAATCTGCTCTTTCAGCATAGACAGGAGGTCTCCAATCACCTCTACTCGCTGATTTAACAAGGCTACGCGCTGATTAATCTCAAGGTAAGACCGTGCAGCAGAATAAATTGGTTCAAGATGTGGCTCTGTCCACATCAGCTCTGGGCTATCCAACACACTACCTTGTAAGTTGATGTTGATTCGGAGGATGAATAGTTGTCCCACTGCCATCATAATTTCTTCTCGACGAAGCATGACCCTGCCGGACTCGGCAATATACTGAGGAATATCTTTCATAGCATCAATCGTTTCATTCACCAATTCTTCAAAAAGAGATATCTATTGCAGGCGCATGTGTGTGAGAATGTGGCCCGAAAACATAAAAAGCGTATAAACAGCTCCACGTTCGTCGAGCAAAAAAAGTGTGTACATACCTTTACCGATTGAGCAATTGCGTGCGAAATGGACAACCGCACCATATAGGTAGATGTTTCTCTGAGCGCAATAAAATCGTTAAATATCTGTTGAGCAACAAAGTTAGTACTTGGAAACGGCCATTACCAAAGCAGACAACAAAACTCACTCTAGGTTGATACAGGGTTGTAATATAGTAATTGAACTCCTCCAATTCAACATCATCCATTTCTGCGGGCAGAGTTAGCAATTAAATCAAGAAAAAAAGGAGCAAATTAAGTCGACATCACAAACAAAGGGTCGAGAGCACACAGGACCTTCAGGACATCCGGTCCCCTCCAAACATACTTAATTTTTCCACCTCAAAACGAGCCAGTTCCTTAAGAAACCGGTGTTCCTCTTCAATTGTGTAGCCCCACATTACGACGACACCGTAATTAAAACAGAATACCTCACGAAACAGAGGTTGTCGTTTGTCGAGATTCAGTTCAGAGTCACCAGACCCACCGTTTGATTGTGATGAGTCGTTTCCTTGATGATGCATCTCTGGAACCTCTATTAAATCGCCAGTAGTTGGTTCGTCATCTGTAACATAAGAATAAGGAGAGTAGATACTAGCAAACTCGTGTTAAACAACTTGTTTCTTTTTCGTAGCATCGCAACTAACGGCCAACTCTGCGTACCATTCGTCGAATTGTTTTGGTCGGGCATGATGACTATTCCGACGAGATTGAAAGAACTTAAAGAGCAGGTCCATACGATACGAATCGCATGTACAATACGCTGTTACACGCGGTAACCGTTCACGATGGCGTTTACCAAGCTGTTCAGCATCTCTCCGGGCGCTGGATCCTTCAATGTGCGGCAGCTGCGTATAGACGTCGGTACCGGTTTCCTGCCAATTGCTGCTGTAAAATTCCTCCGCTGTCGGCAGTAGCCGCAGCTTAGCCGCTGTTTTTGTTGTACGCTGAGGACCAATTCGTGAGGACATGAAGAAGACCAAAAGTCCTGGTGCGCTGAATATGTGTGGTAGCTTAGCTCAAGCTGGACACGAGCTGAAGCCGGGAGAGAAGAGATGCGTTAAGATGTGTTGGAGCGCGGTAAAGTATTTTCTGTGGTGGAGCGAAGTCGAACATAAGCATGTTAACATTCGTTATTTAGCTTTAAACCTGTTTAAGACGTTTTTGCGATACGCTCGCTCATGAACGCTGTAACTCACTCCGTCGCGCTCGGCTACGTAGTCGAGAGAAAGTCGCTAAGACTGAGAGAGGCACTAGATGAACTGGCCTGCTTGGAAGACTTGGTGACGCCTTTGATGCCACCCTTTTTGGCCAACATGCCGGCAAGACCTGCGGCTCGAAGTCGGTGACGTTGACGATTCTTTGCGTTGCGAGCAGAGGCACCAGGCATTGGCAAGGGTGTCGCTGCTTTCGGAGGAGGAACCAGCTTGCTCCGACGAAGCCGAGGAGGAGCGTCCAAGGGAGAAGCGGTTGTACGTTGGCATGTAAAGCATTGGACCAGCAATTGCGCTTGCATACGTGCTTTTTCCGACGGTTTGAGGTCTGTACGGTGTTTTCGTGTAGTGCTACGCGTCCGAGTCGAGCAGTTTGCACCGGCAACTAGCAGAGAACCACAAGAACGACATGCAATTTTCATCATTTCCGGCGCCTTTTCCTGGTTTTCTTCGTCCAAAATATCATACATCTTAAGCACATAGTCGTTGGAAAGCGTCACGTCCTGCGACCGCAGGAATGCTGCAGCATTCAACAGATACTGAGCGCGTTGCATAGGCGTAGTTGGAGAACGACAAAACTCGCAGGCGCGACAGACAGAGCTTGTTCAATATAAGCTTTTTCTCTTTCGTCCAATCAGACCTCGAGCCGATCGCAACACCAATCAAACCTCGCAGAGATCATTGGCCACGCGCAAAACCCTACCCCCGCACACCTACAGCCAATGGAACCTATACACCACACATCTGCAAACCCATCCCTGTTCTACACGCCTTTTTATTGGATCACACGCTTTGGATTCATATCTAAGCGATGAGCTCGACAACACCGCCAGCAGCCTTGATCTTCTCCTCGGCCTTGCGAGAGACATAGCGGGTTTGGACGATGACGGGAGTCTCGGGGAGACGGCCCTTACCCAAAACCTTGCCGTAGCCAGCGTTGAGGACGTTGATCACGGGAGCAACCTCAGTGTTCTTACCCAAGTACTTCTCACGAGACTCGGTGGGCAACAAGGTCCAGAGACGGTCCAAGTTGACGGTAGGGCGCCATCTGGGGTTGTTGTCACGGTTGAAGTGACGCATACCGACCTTACCAAAGTAACCAGGGTGGAACTTATCCATGTGGGTACGTTGGTGGTGCAAGCCACCAGCAAGACCACGACCACCGGGATGCTTTCTGTGCTTGCCAATACGACCGTGACCAGCAGAGACGTGGCCACGAAGCTTGCGAGTCTTAGTTGCGTGAGTTGGCATTTTGGTTGTCCTGCGGTGGTGATACGAAGCTTGCAAGAAGTGTTTGTTCCACAAATGGGTGGTGTTGTTGGGTAGTCACAAACCCTACCCTGATTTGTGACCGAGGTGGGGGCAGTGGGATTTAACGTGGTGTAAGGTAAATCGGCGAGAAAGTCATTGATCATGTGAGAAATAAACACTCACCACCATGGTCTCCCGCAGGGGTGATTACTGTCGCGTGCTCGCTTAGTGGTCACTCTAAACGTTATAAAAGCAAGAGTGTTTCTCGGCGCATATGTCCATGAAATAACGATTGTATTACTGTTGTCAATGTGTTCAGCGTGTCTCATCATACTCAATTGCCAAGACCCAGATTTCCTTTACGAACGCTTTATCTTAAACCAAGCAGAAATGAATCATTAAATATTTTGTTAGATAGGAAAGTACACACACTAGTACCGTCTCGTCCTCTTCTATTTTTTTTCTTGTCAAAAATGGTGTTGATCCGCTGCTGGAGTGAAATCCGTTGGCAATGGATGGCGGGGCCTGGGTCGTCTGTTCCATGCTGGGAGAAGGTTTGAAGGAATGAAGTTACAACAGGATAGGAAAGCAAGCAAGAACGAAGTGACATAGAGGCGGGGGAGAGACTGTGTGCGAACAAGGGTAACAGACATCGAACAAGCAGAAGAAAAAACAAATTCATGAAATTCTCATGGAGCGGTAGAGGCAGCCAAATCTGAACGAACGGGATCGCTCAATCGATAGATGGAAACGTCCTTGTCAAAGGCCACATGACCCATATCCTGTGGAGTAATAAAAATAAACTGCTTTTCAGAAGAATCTTTTGCTGAGTCGACCATCATTTTTATACTAACGAGTCGATTAACGGCGTCCATGAAGACATCAAACTCATCCAAGCAGCGGATAGGACAACTCATAGCCTCCCAGATGGAAAGCAACATACACACCGTTGCAAAAGATTTCTCGCCGCCGGATAAGCCTTGAACGGTATTTTGTGAACGCGATGACTGGGACTGGAAACCAATGTTGCGGTTGGCTGGATATACACGCGGTTCAAGGAACTCGTCCTGATGACGAATGACCAGTTTTCCCGTGAAATTACGTTGATTCAGATATAATTCAAAGAGTTCTTTTGTGCGCAACGTGATAAGTTTACGAAACTTGGTCCAGCGCTCAACACGTTTCCGCAATGTTTCCTGCAAAATCTCGAGTAACTTTTCCAAGCGGTCAAGTAAAATCTTAGCACGATCGTGTTCTTCCTTTGCTGCCAAGTACTCCTCGGCGGCTTTCTCGATGGAAATACCCGTTTGTCCTCTCCATTCTTGAATTTGAAGTTCTAATCGTTCAATTTCCACATCAAGTTCTTCTGGAGTGTGTTCCACCGGAACACGTTCACATCGACTAGATGCTTTTGCGGTGAAGTCTCGAACAATTTGAGCCCGAGTTTCACGAGAGTACTTTTTCTCATTCAATGTGTCAATGCAATTCTGTACTCGATTTTGATAGTGTTCCAAGTCAACGTCATACTTCGTTTTGGAGTCGAGTAAAGCATTCAGCTCTTGCTGCGCTTCACCCAACTTTTGACTTAAACGTTTAATCTCCTCCTTGACGGAGTTTAGTTTCTCAACCACTGGCGCTTGTTTTTCCCGTAGACGAGATGCCGCATTTTCAGCATCGTTTAATTGACCCTGATAACTTTCAAGCTCAGTCTCTGTATCGCGAATTCGCTTTTCCAAGTTTTCAATTTTACTCGTGTCCATAGATGCAATTTCCATAGCTTCTAACGAATTTAGCTTACGCCGTTTAGACAAAACGGTTTGTTTTAGTTCACTGACTTTTTCAGTAATGATCGCCTCTTCACGGTAAGCCCGAGAGTAGTCAATCTTCGCATCCTCCCAACTTTTAACAGCTTGATCGAGCTCTGCTTTAAAGGCGGCCAGCGTCTCTTTTTCTTGCTCTATGTTCATGGTCACCGAGTTACCAATCCGAGGAGGGCGATTCCAAGGTGAAACCTTAGAGATACCAGAAGATCGTTGATTACTAACGATTCGAAAACCATAGCCTTTGCTTCTGGGATCAATGGCGTAGCACTGTGTTACGTTCGCCGGACCACTCTTCATAAATTGTTCTGCCTCGCGTCGGTCCTCAATTAATAGCATTTTTTCAATACCCAAATGATTGATGAGGGTATGCAACACCTCATCATCCGAGAAGTCAATCATTCGCAAAACAGTTGGATACTTCTGCGTTGGTTCACCTGCGGAATAGTCAAATGGATCGTACTTGCCAACAACGATAGTGGCACGACAATTAGCTTGGCGCATTAAAGACTTAAGCAAAGCTTGATCATGATGGTCACGAACAATGAAACCATTGATTACATTGCCAAAGATGCGCTCCAAAATTAAATGCCATTTATCATCTTTCACATTCATGTAACGACCCATTGGACCTTTTGGCTTACTGATAAAACGTGTTTCCCGATTAATCAAGTACAGCAACCGAGACATGTTTTGGCCAAATGCACTAATTCTGTCGGACCGAACATCTTCTATGATACGCAGTTTTCCTGCTTGATCTGAGCATTTTGAAGTTGCAAGTTCCTTTGCCTTTTCACGTTCCTCGAGAACATTCTTTAGATCCTGCACTTGTTGATGAAGTTCGTTTTTGCGAGTTTCTTGCTCAACAATTAGTTCACCTAGGTTGGCAATCTCTTTTTGCAGAGCCGAAGTTTCAGTAGCTCGTTGGTCATGTTGGCCATCACCGCTTTCCTTGTCGCGGTTGTGTTCTACGGCAAGTTGTTGACGGTAAGCATCCGTACATTGTTTTGTCGCCGTGATACTATTTTGAATATCTTTTTTCTGAACTTCAATAACATTCAATTCCGAGCGGTGTGATTCAAATTCTTGGGCGAACTCCTCAAATTTTCGCCGAAGTTTTGTTTTCTCCTCATTGAGCTCCTCGATTTTCTGCTTCTTTTCTGTGATTTTTTCTTCAACCGAGTTGTTGCTTGAAGCATAATCTCTTAAGTTATTCTCCGCGCGTGCTAGGTTGGCTTCAGCGACTTGAACATCCTTTTCAGCAGCGAGTAGCTCTTTTTCAACCTCAATGACTTGAGCCCAAGCCATCTCTGCTTTTTTCTGTTCCACAAGTAGATGCATATTCTCGGCTTTGCGAGTTTTTTCCCATTGAAACCGACAGCGCTCTTCAGTTTTCGAGAGGTTATGGAGCGCATCTTTCTTGTTCAGCAGAAGATTCTGAGTACTACTGATGCTGTCCTCGATTAATGTATAGTTTTTCTCTAGTTGTTCTAATTGAATGCCTTTCATGAACAGCCGATACTTTTCCTTTGGACTTGAGTTTCCAAGGAATTGTCGAGCAGTGTCCTGTGTCAAGATGTTCATGGGATTGTCAATCTGAAGACCCATGTGATCGCAAATATCATCAAGCTCTTCCTTTCTTGTTGATACGACGGTTCCATCCTGAGCACGAATTTTTAAGTCGTTGGCGCTATCCCTGCGGACGGTACGCTCAATAGTAATGAAGTTTCCATACACATCATGTCGGAAAGCCTCTGGACCTCGGTTACTTATAACGATAGACACACGGGCCTGTGAACGGCCTTCTTTAATCAATGTTTTTAGATTCGCACCACGATTCGTTGAAGCTGCTTTCGCACCCAGACATACGACAAGACCGGTGAGTATAGCACTTTTACCGCTACCATTATGACCAATAATAAAATTGATCCGAGGACCGAAATCCAGTTTCAGGGCATCATGACACATGAAATTGATAAGATGAATAGATTGTAACACGCCAACTCGATTTGCAAAAAGAGCATCATCCTCGCGGACATCTAACTCCGGGGAAACGAGCCGAGAAGACACGTTCGAGTCATTTTCTTGCTCATTAGAATCGTCTTCCTCTGCTGATTCAATAGTCTCTTCCCGAAGAGATGTAACCTTTGCGCGTTTATTTGTCACCTGTAAGCAAGGTCAGTGAACCATTGTTTTCTGCAACAAGCACCAGTGACATTAGAGCAGTAAGGGCACATACGTTTTCTTGATTTTCATTATTTAGTTGTCTTTTGTTTACTATTGGGGTTACTTGCTCCACGGAATTCGTCTCGAAAAGGTGTTCATTGTAATGATTGCTAATTTGACTCAACGACATGTAAAGAGCTTACAAATTGTGACGAATATTAGTACAACTGGCGAAATACGCCGTAAAACGCGCTTTAATCAAGGAAATATGCGTTAACACAGCTGTTCCCGGCAATCTGTGCAAGCGTTGAGAGAAGAGTTCGCGACTCAATAAACCACAGAAAACTCGACGAAAAGCAATAATCGGGATTGACGTCTCGCGATTCCGGAAAAGAGACGAGACAAACAATTGCACTAATATTATCATTTTTAGCTTTTTAAAATTTGCCGCGATTTTTTCTGTTTTTTATTTATTTTTTCTGTTATTTTGGAAATAATAAAAAAATAAAAAAAATCATCATTCACCAATTATCTACGAACTTCCTCAACTGTTTATGGAATTTTCTCCAGATATTTCATAAAAAATGCCTCTAAACTTATTAAAGCACAAGAGCTGGAATGGTATGGGACCAAATAGAATACAGGTGATAACTTTACAGTCTACAGTGAAAAAAACCGTGAACGTGTGGAAAGGGATGAAGAGTTGGCACGCTTAGAAGCTGTGGAAGCAGCAAAAGCCGCGTCCTGGAGTGTACGAAACGAATCATTAGAGTGCCTGTTGCCTTGCTAACTCTCGAAACTATAAAGCGACAAGGAGAGAAATTAACAGAACTACCTAATGTGCGAACATCATCACATGCCAACTTTTGGGAAAAAGAGGAACGCGAAGTATGTCAGTGCATTCTAACTATACATGCTAATAGGCCAATTCAAGCATCTGGAACATGAACGCTTTCAGCAGGAGCACAAGCGAGAGCTGGATGCGATGAAAGAAAGACACGGACTGGGTAAGAAACACGTTTCAACTTTTGAACGATGCCGCTTTCGCCCGACTCTTACAGATTTTATGTACTAACTACCTGTAGGGCCGCTTCCATGGTATGCGACATCGCCATCAAAAGAAGACAATAATCTCGATCCACAATTACCCATCAAGTCTGTCAAAGGTTCCAGCCTAGAAGACCCTCTGGCGTTCATGAATCGTGTGTTGAGCACAAAACAATCACAAGATTCTAAAACAACGGCCTCTGCTTCCCATAAACGTTCCCATAACAGAGTTCACAAACACACGTCCCATCGACATCGTCGAAGAAAACGAACAGAAGAACACAAGCCGTAAACAAGAACCTTCTAACTGCGCACGAACGAACGAACAAACTCGACTTAACCTTATCCATCCATACTTCTTTTTTCTTCGACAATCACACCCCTCTAGTCATTACCCTCCTAAGACTTCTTGCGCGCCTCTTGTATTTAGTAGTCTTCTTCTATGTAATATTAGCTGCCTATTTATGTCGTTTCGGTGGTTCTTTGTATGGGAAATCTTGTTGTAGTTTTTTTTTGTTTCCTTTGAACAGAATATTCTGCTTACTTCGCCCCGTACAAGCCACATGAAACACAAATTCAGCATATGTTATTGATGTAACATATTCCCAGGGCTTTGGAAAATGCTTCGGCAATGAGTGTGTATCGGTAATTAAATTTACGTCTCCGTTCCTAGTTCGCCCTTTCGTCCCTTGCTCTAAACTATCAATAACCTATCACATTATACAATAACGAAACGTCTCTCGCGCGATACAACTGGCGCGACAGAAACGCGAAAAATAACCCTGAAAGCACGTTGTTAAGGAGGTCCCGATTTATTCACCGCTAGTACTAAGCAAATCTACTTTTCCTTAACCAACAACCTTTTCTTTCGACTATTACTACGAGATGGCTGATTTGTATCACAAAGAATGGAATGACGTCCATGGAAAACCCATTGCTCGTGTCCTTTTCGTTCACGGCTTTGGTGAGCGTATCGAGGCATATCCCGAGTTTTTTGAGCGACTTAACAAATTCGGCATTGAGGCCTGGGGTTATGACCAACGTGGCTTCGGAAAGTCTATGAAGAGCGAGAAAGAACGCGCTAGAACTGGTGGATGGGCTAAATTATTCCCGGATTTAGACTACCAGGTTGAGCGTGCTAGTCAAGTCGGCCTCCCATTGTTCCTTTGGGGCCACTCTATGGGTGGTGCTATTGTTCTTCGTTATGGAGTCGTTGGAAAGCACAAGGACAAGCTTTCGGGCATCATTGCTCAAGCTCCCATGTTGGAGACACATCCCGACCTCTCGCCCAATCCTATCTTGGTTAAAGTGTAAGTCGCACTGGTCTCAAAAGTTAGTAAGTACATCTGTTTGAATTTAAAACAGAATCGTACGGACTCTTTTTTGCATCTAAGGAGTTGTTCTCCTCCGGTTCCCTTCTTGTATTTTTTATATTCTAACATAATCAGTGGAAGCTGGGTATCTAAGGTGTTCCCTAACATTCCCTATAACACGAAGGTGAATGAACTTTTCCACATCACTCGTGATGCCGAAGTGAAAAAGCGCCTCGACGACGATCCTCTTGTTTCTGACATTGGAACCCTCCAGTCCATTGGGGACATGCTTAATGGGTATGTCGCTTGTTAGACGTATTTTTGGGCTGAATGCTTACTTAATTTAGCGGAAAAACGATTATCACCCTGGCCCCTCAATTCGAACTTCCCTTGTTGATTTGTCATGGCACCGATGACAACGTTACTTACAACGTTTCGTCTAAAAAATTCTTTGATAATGCTGCATCGATCGACAAGACTTATAACTCATACCCTGGTTACTATCATTCTCGTACGTCTAACTACGAAGGTTTCTCATTACTAACATACTCCCAGTTCACATCGAAAAGGAGCCAGAGGTAACCGAATATATTCGTGACGTTGCAAAATGGATCATTGAACGTTGCAAGCCTGCAGATGAGGCTGCCGAAGAAACAGATGCATAGAGAAGCGATGTCGTCTCTAGTGCTTCTTATACATACATACTTGCGCTTACAAGGGAGCAGTGAATACCAGTACACAAAAATTAAAGACATCGCGTCTACTAACCATAGCTACATATGCGCCTTTATAATTTCATAGCATATAGCTGCCGTTTCAATATTAGTTAACACACAAAAACGCAGGCTCCACCCATTTATGACCATTTGGCCGTTCTCATTTCGTAATTTTTCATTGTACTCATTAAATTCGTCGCACGGGTTTAATGAAAGCTGGGATACCATACACTACCGGTGCCGCACCGTTGAGATAGCGTAAATGGCAACAGTCTCGACTTTTACTGACAGCCAGGCAAATGTCTAAGGCTGGCCGCAGTCTGTCTTTGGCAAAAAGTCCCCATCTTTCAAGCATGTTTTGGCTGAATCGGTCAATGTCTTTATCCGTTATATCCCAAAGATTTGCGACAAGAGTCGGGCAACCTCCGACCAAATAACTAACAGGCGTTCCCCATGGCTCGTATAGCCCAGATTCGTGTAAAGCGCCAGAGCTACAACCCATGAGAATGCTGACAGCACAGCGATCTAGCGACATAATATCCTGAGACGTGATGTATTGCTCCCCACCACCGTGACCAAAGTAGAGAAAAACATCAGAATGTTTGAGTAAGTTCTTAAACTCATCGGAAGTTGGCGGCTTTCCAATGTATCCAGGCCATCCCAATTGGATTAATTGTTGCTCGAATTTCTGCTGAGTGTTTCTCAAGTCCAATGCCGGATTAAGAATGTACGAACCTTTGCTAGGATCGACTTCAACAAATGAATTGTCAATAGTCTTATCTGCTAATATAAGACGATTTAGCACTTCAAAGGATGGTACCCTAGATACAGACTTTCCTCTTAAGGAAGGCAAAGACTCCCAGGGAAAAGCGTGTACTATTTTGTCAAGAACAAGAACAGTGTGTTCGTTGTCGGATTCCTCCTCAATGCAATTAGCATGATATGATTTAAGGGCTTCCTGTATATCCACTGTTACCTGATCGAGATCGATTTCATCATACGCAAAATGAATACCGCGAAAATTAAAGATGTCAAGGATAAAGTAAATAAGGTCTTCCAACAACTGCTCAAAATCCTCCGAGTCTGGAGGTCCGAGATTGATAAAAAGCTCCAATATCTCTGGTGCCAAATCAATCGATGAATTCTTAGTAAGAAATGTAAGATTTTTACCAAGAACTCTCTTAAATTGATAGGAAAACCGCATGAAGCTTTCTTTGTGAGGCCTTTTGGATGAAAAAATACCCTTGAATCCGCCAAGCCAGCAGGATTCTATATTGTTTAAGAGTGCAGCTAGCGTACAGTCTAATTCCCGACGTTCTTTCCACCATCTTTCTTTTTCTTCTCTTGTTTTATAGTCTTTTCCTTCACGAGTAATTTGATTACTCCGATCAATGATAGATTGAAGCTCATCGTAGGCAGATTGAAACAAGAATATCTCCTCATCAGCATCTCGTGAATTATGCCGCTGAAGAGGGAGGCGAACAACAAGGGGATTTTGATTTTTTCGAACTTTAGAAAGAAATAAGTCTTCTTTTGACTCACTGATAGCAATGCTTACGATACTCCAATTGAGTGGAAGTGTATCAATAACATCGCATTTAAAGTCTTGTACCTTCGGGAGTCGCCGCATGACGATACTTTCATCATCAAATTGAATTTGGGACTTCAGATCGATTTTGCGCGACAGATTGCGAAAGAAAATGCGGTGAGAAATGCCCAATGCTTTACTTGATTCTAAGAAATAAGAAGCTATAACAGCGTCTGGTTCTTTCGGAGGATCGAGGTTAATTAGCCCGTTTTGCATAATAGTCGTGTAGAAAAGCAACTCATTTGTGTTACGACATAACTGTACTGAGCCCTTTGAGTAAACCTCCTGGAATATTTCCTCACAGTTTCGGCTTGCTGATTCAAGAATCACACGTAAACGATCACGAAGAATGTCCATTTTGCTTTCGCCTTTCTGAGTAAGATTTGAGCGCAACCTTGGACTATCTAAACTAATAAATGCCTTAGTTTGTTTTTGCTTTTGTTTGCTTACTCCTGGAAGAGAAATAACTGAATCCCGTAAGGTTCGTAAAACAGGATCACTCTTCAGTGTGTACTCTGTTTCGTATAGCATAATTTTTGATCGAGCAATTTTGGAAGACACCGTATTGTAGAAGTTGAGAATGTTCTTACGAAGTGAGTCTTTAAATAACCTTTTTGCATCGTCTATGCAATACTGACTAGCCATATGTAGTGATTGTTTCCGTGTAATTGTTGCTTTTAAATCGTTAAGAACTGCTGTTCCCATACCACCTTTATTGTCATTTTCAGAAGATCCAAGCGAAAGAGATAACGAATGTAAATCCGCAATCAATGAAGGTAGCTGTGCCATTTTGGAACAGTCTATGCACAACATAGTATTGATGAGATCTAAACACATGGCATAAGTATCCATAGTTTTGTCAATACACCCGTTCGCTTCATGTGATTCTGCGGCCGTAAGTAACCATAGTAGCTTATGGTAGGGTTGGTTGAGTTTTAGTAATGCTTCTGATTCAACCAGTAACTTTTCGCCTTCGGCAGTCCGTCCACTTTTTGTTAGTAATAGGGATAAAGGTAGATTACTCCGTAAAGCAGAAACTTGAATACCAGTTTTCCTGGCAGTTCCAAGAGCCTGTCGATGGAAGAATTCAGCTTCGCGAACCAAACCCATGTGTTCATATAGCTGTCCACAAAACTCATACAACCGTATACAGATAGGTAGTAGTACCCAGCAAGAAATAGTAGTTTCTTTATTGTGGACTTTTGACGTGAACGCCTTTATAAGTTTTAAAGCGTGAAGAATAACACACAAAGCATACTCCGTAAATCCCAAGTAATAAAATGCCAATCCAAGTTCCCAGCCCTCAATTAATAGAAACTTCATCCGATCCGAAATAGCCAAATGGCTGAAAAAATTGTCTTTTAATTTGGAGAGCGAACACTCTTTGAGCATGGCAAATCTGAAAGTTAGTAGTGCTATCATTCAATCTCCACTTACGACTTATCGAAGTTTCCCGTACGCACAAGATATTTTGAGTAACAAATTCGCCATAAATTCACAAGTTGTTTTGTTATACTGCTCTTGCGAAAGTAGGCTTTGCTGGAGACAAAATGACTGTATGCTTTTCCAGAATAACCAAGTTCGAGGTACTTATCAGCAAGTAGAACAGAAATATACACAACATACTCGCTAACAGAGTGTTGAGATGATTTTTTGAAAATCTGTAGCATCTGCTCTAAGAACGAGATAGTGGCATAGGGCTCGTCGTTAATATCTAATAAGTTCATGACCGTAACTATGGCGTTAGTAAAAGCCAATTCAACATTTTTGAAAGCTTACAGATATAACGCGTTACTTCCAACATCTCATCTCTTTCTAAATCCAGGCTCGTTGCTTCCTCAACAAGTTTGGTCCCAGGCGCATCCCATAATGCCAGCAATTCTTTCAATACATCAGCCTTAGCAGGTCTATTCGAACGCAAGAGTTTCCTCCATGAATTATAAACATTGGACAAAATAAATATGGAAGCTTTCGAATGCACGCCATCGAAACAACCAGACGGTATGTTAAACGCCTGTGAAAGAGAAGTGCATGGGAATGCGTTCTCAAACGCTAGGGATCCGTAAGAACATGTAATACTAATGGTTAGCGCCGTTGGAAAATCATAGACTTACAGCAATTGAGAGCGTAAACTTTTACACTTGTGTAATAGTGTATCAATCAGCACATTTAGAACATTGATGTTGTCATCATCGTGATCTCGAATGTAAATGAAAAACTTTGAAAGTAACTGGGAACTTGCAGGCATAAATAGGCTTCTGAACTGTTCCTCTCGTAAGTCTGGGAGTGAACTGCATATAACAACAATTATTTCATCTATGGATGAATCATTAGGGGGAACTTGGGAAAGTATGTGATCGGCCAGTCGAAAAGATTCCTGAAAAGTTTCTAGATTTGGGGGGAAATCTTTGTCTAGAAGATTTAGTTGAGTCCACTTATGCGCCTTAACCAAAAAATCTGAGGAGACGAAGGGGCATAAGTAAGAGATTTTCAAGCTTGAATCAATAAGACTGAGCTTTTTGCCTCTCTCCTCACTTGTTATGGCAAAATTGTAGAGCAAGTTGGACAGTCTATGCAAAAACTCTGTACAGCCTATTGCCCTACAAAAAGAACATAGGTAATTGTAATATGGTACAAAGAGTTCAGCGACGATTGGCTCTCGCAAAAGTTGAAAAACGAGACTGAGTACTCTGTTAGCCTTTTGCACGACCTTTTCTTGGGCAGCTTCTTCGTAAGCAGAAAGAGTAATACCTTGAAGCAGCTGAAAACATAAGCCAATGAAATCAGCTAGCATTGAAAGGTTTACAGAGGACTTAAATAATTGATGCAGATGTTCCAAGACATCCAGAAGGGTTTCTGCGTGCGAATGATTATTGTCTTTAGAATTACAGAATGAAAGCGCAGAGGAGAATGTTTCTGGGAAAGAAAGTGGAACTTCCAGTCCAAGGATTTTAAGTGCGTATATATAAGCACTAAACCTCAGTCTATAGGATGGATTATCAGTAGATGATTGAAACCCTTCTAAAGCGTAGCTCAAGCATTCAGAATAAGCTTGGTAATGAAAGTGTAAAAGAGTTAACTGGTAAAGAATCTGAACTTTCTGTGGGGTTGATATAGTGAATGGGATATCCTTGAGATCAAGAAAGAATTTTCGGAATGTTTGATAGGAGACCTGCTTGTAATTACAATGAGCGAGACTTTTAAGAAGAGTCGAAGCCATACTCAAAATGTACTTTTCAGAGATGGAAGCCAACGGTAGCCAACAATGACAAGCACACAAGTATAACAAAAAGGCATGTGAAGGGTAAGCTGAAGCTGAGGCAAACTTCGCCAATAGACGTGCCAGCATCTCAAGACGAGGTATACCAGCTTCACGATTTTGAGTAAAAAGATATGTACACCAATGTACAGGTCCAGTTGGTGAGACAATGCTTTCAATAGTTGATTTAGATAGCTGTTGTCGTTGAATGGAGTACAAGAACCGAAGTGCATTAATTTGTAACGTAACGACAGAAACTGAAACATCAGAGTGTTCCCCTTCCGACAGCAGAAAGAAGAGAGACTTTTCCAAATTAATGGAGGCGGCTGAAAGAGAAGCAGTAACCCATTGATTTTTCCATTCAACAAGGTTTTCTGAGTTTTTGTATGAAAGCAAGAAATTCAGCGCATTGTAAGCTTTCTCAAGCTCTTTCAGCGTGATATCAGACAATTCAAATTCGAGGAGCCGGTTAGTAAATGCCAACTCGTAGCGAATTGAATTGTGTAACTGAGAAGGATCCGCGGCTCGAGACAAAAGGAACGCAGATAAAGACCTACAGCATTGAATGAGAGAGGCAATGGGCAAGTATTTCCTGCCAGAGCTTGTTTTTGACTGACGGAGAAATGATCGGCAGGCTGGCCTTTCCTGGGAGGGTAATGTGCTCCACAGCTTCGACAGGTTTTCTAAACAGGCTCTAAACGCCGTTAAGCCATCATGAAATGACCACTGTCGTTTGCTTTGTAAGTTATGTTCATTCTTGGAAGAATTGCTTAAGAAGGAAACAAGCCGATCCTCAATAGCAGCTGAATGACAATCCAAATGATTTAATGCATCAACAAATTTATCCACTGACCAGGTTGTTTGGGATGCTACAGTTGTCCTCATGGAAACGGCCAGCGAGCACTCTTTAGCGTTCGAAAAAGGTTCGTTTCAAGCTTCCGTGATGAAGGGTATATGGATGGGGGGAGCGCTCTGAAGGAAGAACAAGTATAGAAATTAAGCATAAAACTCAGTTAAATTAAAAATCAAACTAAGTAAATATAATTTGTTTCTAAGGCAAATAGTGGGGACGAAAAGCTATAAGCTGTTTTGTTCGTATTTAAAATTCACACAGAACAAAAATGCTTGTATAGGGACACTTTAGGTTAATGGAATTGGTTGTTGTGTTTAGTCCGCAATTCTTAAACAGTGAATACGGAAATCAATTATTTTACCAGCTCTGTTTGATGGACTTTTAATGTAGTTTATTTACACAATATTGCTATATGATATTTACCCTGTTTGCGTGCACCGTGTGGAACAATGAGAACGGCTGCCAGAACAGAGTAATTACATTCTTATTTGTTACAGAAACGCTAATTATTAACAGGGTTGAATAAGCTCTCATAGCTTTCTTTATTATCTTTAATCAACCAATTACTGGAGCACATTCGAGCAGCTCTAGCTATTAGAATCCCTTTGTATATCAATTGTTTTTTATTTATAAAAATTATCCATAATTGGTATGCCGTTCGCCGAGTATTCATTATAATCAGTTCTCCTTAATAAAATTAAACTCCCTTTTTCTGGCGACTTAGTACCAAATAAGACTTCCTATTTAAACTGTCTTCACTCGTCGAACAAGCTCAAGTGCATGAAATTTATCATCTTAATTTCAAAAAGCACAATAAATTCAGTAGTGTATTAATGAACAATTGCTATATTGAAGTACAGAATTTAGCATGTACAGAATCATTTCCTATTACAAAACGACATTTCACATTCATTTTCCGACACTTTCCTGCCAAAATAATCCCAACCTGCACTAGTTGCACTCCGATTTGAAATTTCGCTCAAACTATCGATAGATAATTCCGTTTAATGGCAATCACACTATAAAGTATCATACAATAGTCTAAACTAAAACTAATTTACCACTTTATTGACGTTATTTTACTTCTGTCTGTTCATACTCTCTGCACTTGTTAAGTGATTCCTCGCCTCCCACCATACCTCCAAATTCTGCAATAGAATCCCAAAACTCCAGCGTTTGCTCTAGAACAGTTCAAACAGCAAAGGAAGTATCCTCATTCAAGTATCGGCCAGTAAATTTGTTGTTTTTCAGGATGGCAACGAAAAACGGGCCTAAAGCCCAGGACTTGAACAAAATTGTCTTGGACTATCTTGCCAAAAAGGGATATCCAAGAACGGAAGCAATGCTTCGGTTGGAGGCTTCATACAATGGCGTTTCTGTAGAGGAACGGCTAAAAAGCATCGAGGAAACTCCCGATGCATGCGCACATACTTATACAATTTTGCGAGAATGGATTGATAGCTCGCTTGACCTGTACAAACCTGAGCTTAGAAGAATTCTTTTTCCTGTTTTTGTCCATTTTTATTTAGATTTACTTTCTCAAGACAACGTTGAGTACGGTAAGTGACCTTTCATGAAAGCAATATTCAAACGACTTTACTAACAAACCCGTCTACAGCCAAAGACTTTTACAATAAGTTCGTAGGTGATCATATTGAACTACACGAACGTGATGTGACGGCACTGAAAGCCTTGAATTTACCGCAACATGTTGATGAGAACCAAGTTGCGCAACAATACCGCAGAAACAAGTACCGTTTAAATTTTTCACGAATTACCTTTGATTTACTTCTTCACTTTCTTTTTGAAAATGTCTCTAATGGCGGAAGCATTGTCATAAAACTTATCAGCAAGTTTATAGAAATCTCAATTGTGCCAGGCCGTCCAACTTACGTCGAAAACAAACATGTTTTAAGTGAACAAGAGGGAATCACAGGTCAAAATTACGAGAGAAGTGATACCAATCTTCAAAATGTTAAGCTAAGTCCTATGCCCATGGACAAGGAGATGGAAAAAGCTGTTGAAATGGACTTGGAAGAGGAGGACTTGTTGCATGCAAGTTCACCCGAGAAAGCCGACCAGCCGACGTATCTAGCAGAATTCCGTAAGCTTCAGCAACAGGGAACGGAGGACGCGCCCTCGCGCGATTACATTCCTTTACCGCCCCCAAAAGGTTCAGATATTGTTGCCGAGGTGGAAGCGGTAAAGGACTGGACCAAACGGTTACGTCTGGGACCGCAAGCCTCGTTGCCTAGTGTTTGTATGTACACATTCCATCATGCAAAGGGAAGTATGAATTGTGCCGAGTTTTCTCCTGATACAACAATGATCGCAGCTGGTTTCACTGAAAGCTACATTCGCTTATGGTCTATACGGTCCGACAAAAAATCGTCAGGAAAAGCGAACTCTCTAGACGAAGGCATTACATCCACCAGGCTCCTCAGTCATTCAGGTCCCGTTTACGGGACCACATTTTCCCCTGATAACAGACACTTGCTTTCTTGCTCAGAAGATCGATCTGCACGGCTGTGGTCGGTAGATACGAAAACAGCTCTTGTTGCATACAAAGGACACACCGGTCCCATTTGGGATGTCGCCTTCGGTCCCTTTGGACACTACTTTGCAACTGCATCCCACGATCAAACTGCGCAATTGTGGAGTTGTGATCACATTTACCCTCTTCGCATATTCGCGGGACACTTAAGCGATGTCGATGTAAGTATAATCAACTGACACACGTTTTTCTAACCTTGCATACTAGTGCGTTACTTTTCATCCTAACTCAGCATATGTTCTTACCGGATCCTCCGACAAAACATGCAGGTTGTGGGATGTCCATCGGGGGCACTCAGTGCGTGTCTTTAACGGACACACGCATCCCGTCAATGCAGTTGCCATTGCACCAGATGGACACACAATGGCCAGTGCGGCTGACGATGGCATCATTCATCTTTGGGATTTGGGATCTGGTCGTCGTATAAAAACGATGCGTGGACACAAAGGCAGCGTGTACTCACTCTCCTTTTCCAAAGAATCTACCATTCTCGTCAGTGGTGGTGCCGATTGCACTGTTCGTGTTTGGGACGTAAAGAAGACCGCCGCTTCTGAAACCCCGTCCTCTTTACTTGATGCTGCTTCCTTCTCGTCTCCGGATGCTACCTTGGATCAAAATGCGGGTGACACTAGCTCAGACCAAATGGTCGCCCTGTACACGCGTAGCACTCCCATATACAGTCTCTCATTTACTCGACGCAATCTTTGCATGGCTCTGAGTGTTTCTTAACTAATCTATAGCGTCGCTTGAGTCCGTGCAAACTTATCTAAAGAGTCATTCTGCCGCCAATAACCGCACGCAGTTCTAAATGCGTCGTTTTCGTCTCGTGAAGATGTTCTTTCACTTCGCGTTGCCTTGTTGGACCTAGAACTCGTGACCCAGCTATAACCTGCTATCGCCTTCCTTCCTCACTACCACACACACACGCCTACCACTACGGGTCCTCTCCCTCCCTACCTCCGTCCTTTTTTGGTGGTGAATTTCTAACCTACCTTGTGCACCTCACCACCATCTACGCGTCTCGGCCGTCCTTTTCACCACAACGACAAACGACATTCAACCAGAAGATCGTGGGTGAATGTGCTAAAATTCACTTTTACTTACTCAAAGCGCATCCAAAAGGGCTATTTTATGTTCAATACTAGGTACAATCAAGGACCGATCTATTCTGGAACGCATCCTAGGATTCTCACACCAGACACTCAGCATGCGACAATCTTACCTGTTCACAATTCTCCCATTGTGGAGTCGTCGAAACTAACGGATCACTGGAAACAACAGATTTCTCTGGCGAACCAATCGAGAGCATTCAGCTCGCCGCACCAAAGAGCACACAATGCAGCAGCATTGTCTCGTGGTGCAGGAATGGGATATGCCGGGTCATACAGTGGTACAGTTACGCCTGCTGGAGGGGTGTCGAACTCAGCTCCGTTCTCAAATGGGTCTCCAGGGCCAAAAATGAACGCGGATGCGAATAAAAATGCTGGTACAGTGTCGGCGCAAAACGACGACGCTAAGAACGCGTCGAATACAAAAACAAAGTCGGAACGTCAGGACTGGTCATGTTTAGACATGGGTGGTGTCGGTCTCCGGAGCCTCAGTGTGGAATTGTTTCGTTTCACATTTCTCACTGAATTATACATTAATCATAACAACCTGACTCGTCTGCCTCCAGAAATTGGAAAACTGCGTAGCTTGGTTGTGCTTGATGCTTCTGGTAACAATCTGCGAAGCATCCAAAAGAGCTTGGTCTGTTGACAGAGCTGCGGGAGGTTCTGCTATTTGATAACCTTATTAGCGCTATACCTTCCGAACTCGGCACGCTGTATCAATTGAAGATACTTGGAGTAGAGGGAAACCCTCTGCAGGACTTTTTCAAAAACCAAATCATGGAAAATGGGACTGCTGGTCTTATCGCTACTCTTCGTGATGGCTGTCCAGTTTCTGCTCCTCCTTCTGAGCGCAAGTGGGAAAAGCTGGATTCAGAAGACACTAATGATGGCGTTAATGACTTGCGTTTCACTGTGATGAGTTACAATGTTCTTTGTGAACGGTATGCCACTCCAGTCATGTACGGTTACACCCCTTCATGGGCACTTGCATGGTCCTACCGCAAAGAGCTCATTATGCAAGAAATTGTTGGCTACTCCGCTGACATTATCTGTCTACAAGAGGTTGATGTGGAGAATTACGACAGCTTCTTCGCTCCGAAAATGAGTCTAAAGGGTTACAAGGGTGTTCACTATCCTAAAAGCAGAGTTCGCACTATGAACGAGGCAGAACGACGGGTTGTGGACGGATGTGCTACGTTCTTTAAAACTTCAAAATTTGTCATGCATGATAAGATTCTTATAGAGTTTAACCAAGCTCCTTCACTACGTCGACAAGACATCAAACTCACACCCGATATGTACAACCGTGTAATGACGAAAGACAATATCAGTATTCTCACTATGCTCGAGTCGAAGGACACGGGCACCAAACTGATCGTTGCTAATTGTCACATTCATTGGGACCCCCAATTTCGGGATGTAAAGCTCATGCAGGTCGCCATGCTGATGGATGAATTGGCCCAAGCCGCTTCAGATTTCCAACGTTCTCCTTCAAAGTTGCCTGACGATCACTTTGACGGCTCAACGCGCAAAAAACCCTCTTACACACATTACTCCAAAATTCCAGTGCTTATCTGTGGTGATTTCAATTCTGTTCCTGGCAGCGGAGTCTTGGATTTCTTGTCATCGGGAATGGTTGAACGTAAGCATGAGGACTTTATGGAGCACGATTATGGTGATTATACGGTAGCAGGTCGGTCACACACTTTCAGTCTTAAATCTGCGTACAGCGCAAACAACGATTTGCCTTTTACGAACTTTACTCCCGGGTTTAGCGGTACTATTGATTACGTCTGGTACACAAATAATTCGCTTGAAGTTACTGGTTTACTTAAAGGTGTTGATCCTGACTACCTTTCTACTGTTGTTGGCTTCCCTAATCCCCACTTCCCTAGTGATCATATTTGCTTGCTGGCCGAGTTTAAAGTGAAGAACGAAAAATCACATCCCTCCTTTGATCTTAGCAATGACAAAAATTAATTCCTAACGTTATGAAAACTACGAACTGGTTGAGGAGGACTGTGCGTAGTATTGTGTTCTAATTTGTCTTAGGGATACGGCATTATTTATAAGGTTTCGTTGGTTGGTACTGGACACAAGAATTAAGAAGACAATTTATTCAAGTTTGATTGGTTTTACAATTACATGTACGATTCCTTGCGAATCGGCCCTCTCAATTATTCGCTCGCTTCTGTCGGCCAATTCAAAACTTGGTCCTTGGAGAGGAGACACATTGAGCAATTCTCGACGAAATTCGTCTGGTACAATAGGGGTGTCATGCTTGCGCAGAATCGTTTGGATTAATGTACCAAGTCTTTGTGTGGGCAACATGGGATCGACGTCGATAAGTAGTTCCGTTTTTGAGGTTCCTGTACTGTTCAGTACGCATCGAATAGTTATCATTCGGTTAGGAATGAGCTCCCTGCAGAAACGGCGGGCATACAGTTGATAACTCAAGCTTCTTGGCATTTGTAGTCTTGACAGAGTCATCTCTCGTGCCAGTGCCTTTGCTGGTTTTCTAATTTGAACGTCGTCTAACTTGCTGCATACTTCAATCTCGTTTAATACTTTGGCGTCAACTACTTGCATTGCAGATATTGAATTTAAATGTCGATAGAGCAGGATAAACTAATGAAAGTGATTATGTCTTCACAATATCTGTATGTTCACTTTGTTCGTAAACATGCTTCTTTTTCATTCAATGTAAACAAATAGTTTTAAGAGATAAACAAACCAAGCTCAGCAACAAGCAATATGCAATCCATAAAGATTTACACCATGTTTTCATTTACTTAAACAAGATCATGTTTTTTTAACTATTAAAAACCCCTAACTGGTCTAAGACGAGGCTAAGACTTACAGATATAAGATTCACAACCAATTCGTCACAGTATTTAAACATGAAAGCCAGACAGCGTGGGTGTGCATATCGTTAATGAAAACCTGGATAAAAGATCGAAACCTGCCGTAGATCGCTGCATGAACCACTGGAAAGTGAGGAAACGGATGAGATAATTGCTAGAGCCTTGACATCAGACAAGAGTAGATGGTTGATTATTACAGAGAAAACGTACTGCAAAGTTCGCAACCACATTGTTTATGTGATTGACATGACGGACATCGTTAATCATCTTCTATTGAGTGAAAGGAAAGGAAGGAAGGATGAGACTATGCATTTTACGAAATGGCAACAGCCAGTTTCTTGAGATGACCCATGAACACTTGAAGTGAAACATCATCAGTGAGAACCACATTAGCAGCAGGAGCAGCGCCGTAGGCGGATGCCGCCGTCATGTGAGTCTCGGAAGGATTAATACGAGAAAGCAGGAAACGGGCCTGACTTCCACCTTGGTCACAAACGATGAAACGAGGAATGGGGAATCTATCAACCAACAGATCTGCAGCCTCCAATCTAGGAGCCTCAAGAAGTTCCTTGAAGTTTGCATACTCTGGTTGGTCTTGGTAACCAGCATTTCTCCATTGGGCAATTGTCTCACCATGGAAAATAAGGATGTGGAAGAAAGTATCCAGCAACAAAATCGCATCAGGTTTAATGGAAACAGCATCCAAAAGAACGGGGACACCATCAGGATTTTCGAAGGAGTATGACTGCAACGTTGGTTGAATCATAATCAAAGAGTTATTAACATCTTCATGATTCAAGATATGACGGTAAAAGGCAGTTTCGTCGGGCGAGTTGTTAAAGACACTCAAAAAGGGGCTTCTGCGAAGATGATACATAAATTGAGGGTAAAGCGTAAATTGCGATGAAAGACGGAAGCTAGCAGGATCATCTTTACGATACTCTGCGAATTTTTGACAGAGTTTAATAAGCATGCGATCGATCCATCTCAGCACATCAGGACCATCATCCACCTCGGCCTTGAAAGTAGCAATACGAGCCATTGCGACGGCGGCAGTTTCTTGATCAAAGGAGTTGGCAATCAAAGGACTACCACCGTCAGCGAATTGGCGGGCAACAGTGGTCACACGCAAACGGAATGTATTGGAGGAATGCTGATAGAGAGTGATGAACTGAATCAAACCACGCGAGTTGGCTTGTGTGGCAGCAGCGGCTTGAGTAGCAACCTCAAAGTAGACAGCGTAAGTAGAACGAGGGGAGATTCCACACATTTTCCACTGGTTGGTGTTACCCAATCCAATTTCTGTTTCGCCAACATTCGAGCTCTTCTTGTTCATGGAGACTGCATGTCCAATTAATCCAGAAATACGCAATTCCTTTGTAGTTAAGACCTCCATACTAGCATTAAAGCCAACGGAAAGTTGTCCGGTGGCATCACGAGTAAAGATACGTTGGAAACTTTGACGGAAAATAGAAGTAGTAAAAGCATCAGACAAGATCATATGTCCACCTGTGGCAGTAGTGGCACTCTTCATCTCCATCAAACCAACTTGATCAAGACAGCCGGCGAAGATGTCAATGGCATGGCCATTGGCACTTGCACGTTTGGAAAGGTGCTCGTAAAAACGACTGGCTTTCTTCAAATGTTTAGCCTGGTCGCGCTCAATGTCATGATGAGAACGAATAGGATCTTTCAAAGCCGTAGAAACGACCATACCGGGGCCGATCGTGGCCGGTCCAGCAGAAAACAGCATAATTCTTCCGCCAGTGTTGGGACATGCGCTTTCCATCAAACCGACTGCAACGCTCATTGCAGCACCAGTGCATCTCTGGGGACGTTTGTCGTTGGCAACAGGCCAAGGATCAGTCTGCAATTGTTCCAAGATGTTGGTAAGCTGGAACTCACATTGCTGAATTGGAAGCAAAAATCTTGAAATGGCAGCAGAACCTTGGAAAGCCATAGGAGGAACGCCAGGACCACTGGCATGTACACCACTAGCAGGGAGACCAAGCATCTCTTGAATATTCTTCGATGTATACTCTTTCGTACCACGGAACACATATGATTTGGCACACTCAGTATATCCCAACTCGTACACACTGACAGCCGTACCGAAGGTAACCAAACCAACCAAACACTCAGGGGGAAGAAGACTGAGACTAACAATCAAGGAGTCCTTCAATGCCTTGAGATTATCGGCGTCTTGGCAAAGATCGACGACAAAGAGAAAGACAGGGTACAGCTGAGGAGGACGAGGGAGTGTGTACTCAATTGTCGTGTATTGAGGCATGAGCTCCAAGGGCAAGCTAGTGTTTGAAATGTCTTTGTATTGAGGAGGAAGCATATTACGCTGCAAACAAAAGGGACCTATGGGAGTTAGTATGCACGAATAATAACGAAACGGCCTTTGATATGCATAATTAAAAGCGCCGAATGAAAGATGATCTTGAGACATGATATGGGTCCTAATAGAAACAATTCATAATCCACGGACAATGCTCTTTGTCATCAAGATCAACTCTAAAAGGATCAGGGAAACTTACAAATCCAAAACTTGGCTCTAATGTCAATATGACTAATCGTGTCAGTCCAAAGTTCATAAAGTATCAAACGGCCCATACCAATAGGGGTTTAGAATTGCTCTGCAAGGCGCTTTACACGCTACAGGATCATAGAGAACTGGAGGAAGATCAGGACGCTCGTTCAAAGGCTTGTACATAGCAGCAATGGGAACGACTGCCCTGGAGCTTTCTATCCTGGTAGAAGGAAAGACGTTCCACGTAAAACGAATTCCTAGAACGTTAGACGACGTCCAAAACAAAAAACTATACCATCTCTTTCCTCTATCTCCTCAAAATTCATGTTTTTTCGAGACAAACACTCAAGTGAACGTGTTGGTGGAGAGTTGGTTGATGGTATGGGGCAGTACCGAGTATGACGAGTAGTTCATCCTAAGGGAATGCAGTCTAAGACGATCGTATCCTGTTTAATTTTTGTAATCAGCTACTATTAAGTCTTACTACTCAGTTTAAGACTGTTGAAAGTTCACGTGAACTTTGTTTTTACATTAGCAAAGTCATTAGTACTTACACTTGTAACAAATCGTGTACAAATTAGAAACATTACTTCAACAACTCTCTTCATTGTTTACTGTTCCGGTTGACTTGCTTTCATAAAACATTATTTAATTTTGGCTCAAAACAAATTGAGTTTTTCTTAAGTCAATTAAAGTCCATTAGCTTGAATTGCTTGTTTTCTGTACCTACAACTGACTTTACATCACCGTTCTCTTAACACGATCAATGCCATCGTCTCCCGTCAAAACAATTGAGCTTGTTGCAGAATGGCTCTCTAGTCAGGGTTATAACGATGTTCGTCACTAATGTAGCTCTAGCATTGGCTCTACTAACTCAAACACAGACTTTAAAAGAACTGACGAACGAATCGGGCTTCCCTTTTGAACCCAAAAACGAGATAAACCATCAGGACAAAATATCGTTGGAGAAACTTGTTCATGAGCACAATATGCGTGAGCTTGCAGTCAGCATGCAGAAACTCAACAACGAAATGTATGGTCTTGAATTATTTATTTTCACATATCTTCCATGTTTATTAACATGACATAACAGAACTTCATTTGATGAGTGGAGCAAAGTTGAGCCAGAAATGCAGTTGCTTATTCAATTGCCTGACTCAGAAAAAGTCACTGCTCTGCGATATGCAGGAAAGGCTCACGCTTTTAAGAACCCTGTTCTTCTTATAGCTACCCAGGAACGGAACATCCGAGTATTTGATGTAGTTCATGGGCTCATATTGCATTGCTTTCAGAAATTGCCTTCCATCGTACTAAACATCTGTCCCGTTGATGAAGATACTTTTGTCACAACGAACATGGATGGTAAAGTTTATGTCTTCCATTACTCAACAGATGAGTATGAAGTGCTGGAAAAGAAACACCTGCGATTTGCAACAAACGTGCGCGTGTGGAAGAACAAGTTCTTAGTAACTACTGGTTTCGATGGAAACGTTTTCCTCTACCAAAAACTCACAGAGGATAACGATACGAGGCTCACACAACAGCCGTTTCAATTTGTGAAATCAATTTCCTTACCCAACCGTATAGATTGTATTGAATTTCTCGAGCAGCGAGACAGCGAACTTCCGTTTCTACTGGTGAACACGCACGATTCCCCGTTTGTTGAAACGTATTCTGTGCCCGAACTCGTTTGCGTACGTCAGACAAACCTCAATATAAATGAGGATTTGTATGTTTCGTTCAACATTATGGATGCCCATATATGCCCCACGAAGCCACAAATCCTTGGATTGGTTACGGACAACGAACCGTATGGCCGTTTTCTCGCTGTCTCCAATGAGACGTACAAGACTATAGCGGACCACTGGACGAATTCTCCGCAAACCAAGTTTTCCCAGCCAAGGTTTGTTTGGAGAAGCGATGCTACAGGCGTTTGGATGAATGGTAAGTTACACGTACAGCTCTCGAAAACACACTTTTGCAAATCTAGCTAACATCTAAAACTCCCAGGTGACGATACTGTTATTCGTGGGGTGGAAAGCAAATCCGGAAGAGAAATGTGTGTCATTGAAGGACACACAGCACCAGTTCGCTGTTTGGAAACCGTGATAATAAAAGGGAGAGAGCACCTGATTTCCGGAGCCCAAGACAGCACCGTTCGTATATGGAGGCTTACTGCTTAAACATAACCAACTTGTCGAGCATCATAGGCAGGCTTCATACTAATTAGCACACCAACAAGTGCAAGACAGAACGGAAGCAAAAAGAACGCAGTTGGAACGGTAGTGCTTGTAATTAGATATACGGATGCAAACACCATGTATGAAGAAAAGATTCCCAATCCCTCAAGCCATGCCATCGCACGCAACATCCGTACACTTTGAGCTTCAGAAAAGTAGTGCACGATTAAAAGATTCACAACGGTTGGTCCGATAGCGAGTGCAAGTCCAAGAGAAAAGACGCCTGAGAATAAGGTGCCCCAGTGATTCCAAGCCAAGCCGACGCTACCGAGCATTTGTACGGCAAAACAGAACGTCGTAGTTCGTAAGAGTACTTCTGAGGACGCATTCCTGAGATACATTGTTGTATACAATGCGCCAGTGAGTGCGCCCAACGATTGAACGCCGTTAATGAATCCGGCTTTTACGAGAGAGAAAGACAGAACATCAAGCTCGTACTGCACGAATTGTTCAGAGAAAGAGGTAAACAACACGAAGAAAAAGAACTCTGCGAGAATTAAGATTTGGGTGACAGGAAGTCGGGTTGATCTCGTATTTTCGCCCAGACTTTCATCAGACTCAAGAGTAACAAGTACGTGATGTTCAGCCGCTGGCTGTGTCACAGCGTTATCACCATTTCCCTGTTCTTCTTCTTCTTCTTCTTCTTCCTCTTTTGAGGTCAATAATGCGCCTTCGGCCATTAGTTCTCGTGTGCATTCGTTGAACTTTTTACGAATGTATAGCAAAAAGCCACCGTCGAAGAGATGGAGTGACCATGTCAACATGTACAGTGCATGCAAATTCCAACGCATCAGTATGCCCGAACCGATGAACGAGCCGGCAAACGTTGACACAAAAGGAGAAAAGCTCATCATGATGGTGAACCCGCTGCCCAGGTGAAACTGCACAGCAGTGTTTCTCCAAGCTGTATTCAATGAGGGGCCCATACCCAGACTGCCCAACGTAATAGCAATACCAAAGATGTATACATATGCCAAATACTTGGCCAGCTGAGTCTGTTTCAGCGCAAACAACGATATGCCAAAGAACAATTGGAAGCCAATCCATGTGGAAAACAGCGTAAAAATGTTTCCGAAGCGTTTCATTGCACGGCTATGAAAGGGAACCGAACATACAGACAGCAAATACTGAAGAATGCATGATTGGGCACAAACCACTGCAACACGACGACCGACCTCGCTCCTAGGAACATCGTGATACTCAGCCAGCAGATACTGAATGAGTTGAATACATGAAACACTCACAAAAGCTTGACAGCAATTTTGTATAGTGAACCAAGTTACAATTGCCAGCCCAAGCCTATGGGTACTATTCGACGACATTGTGCCCAATGTAGAAGGGTCTTCTCTGTGCCCATCCAGTTATTATAACCAATGCTTACGGGGTCAATTGCAGTTTCTACAAGGAATGGAGAATTGCGAACCTCCACGAGACCATGAACAGCCGGAACGGTGTCCCCGGCGAAGATAATTTGCCCCAAGACGTTGACGTTTGCGTAAACTGACACTGTTCAAAAACACAGGGTCTGTCGTGGTGTTGAAAAGCCTCAATGGCTGTCGATTCTATAAATTTGTTTAGACAGAAGCTACAAAAACCGGAAAAAAAAAATAAACACACAGACAAACAAAGAACGGCGCCCAGGAGGTGCTCGAAAAAGTATTAAGCAATGATCAATGGGCTTTCAGCAACGTCTTTCCCTGTTACCGGCAGCCACTACGAGTGCAGCTTTGGTCCTTCTCCTAAGCGAACCCTTCATAGGCACACTCAAGGCTCCCTACGCGAACAAACGCGCGCATCCCGGTTTCTCCCCGCAGGGAACACCAAGGATCCCTGGCCCCGCATCGGCCCCGCTCCCATGATTCCATGCTCACGTCATCCGCCTCGAAAAAAATGCCCCACACTGCACCCCACTCGCCCCACATATCCCACCTCCGACGGCTGAAGCGTCCGACCCTTCCCGGGGCCGCGAAAGCTCGCAGAGACAGCAACCCCAGCTGTCTTCTTCCAAACGTCCAAAACAAGCCGGTACTTGGCCTATTGCCGCTATGGAGCCTGATGTGGATACCATCATAGAAAAGTTACTAAAAGGTACTGCGAAATTGCTGCGTTATTCCTAAGTTATTTGTGGACGCGTCACCATTTATCGCGTTTTTACAGACGAACTTTAGCCATACTGCACGAGAGAGTGAAAGACTACGGGCTAACATACACTCCCAGTTCGTAATAACAAACCCGGAAAACAAGTTCAGCTGGCTGACTCTGAAATCCGTTTTTTGTGTTCAAAAGCCCGAGAAATTTTCTTAGAACAACCGATTCTGCTGGAATTGGAGGCTCCATTAAAGGTATGTGGGAAGGCGTCGGGCTAACTGTGAACAAGAGTGCTTCGCAAATGTCCTGGCGTCTTTTGGACATCTTCTTTCGTCTGTGAAGGGAGTTCTCTCAAATCCAAAACGGAGAGGACCCTCCTAGCCACGGACAATTCATCTGGGCTGATCTTTTCTCTTGACGACATTCCTGTCCTCTCCCCCCTGGTTTCCTGTGTCCCTCTAACAAGTACTAGATTTGCGGCGATATTCATGGCCAATACCATGACCTTCTAAGACTCTTTGAGTACGGTGGTTTTCCTCCTGACGCAAACTACTTGTTCCTGGGCGATTATGTAGATCGCGGTAAACAAAGTCTGGAAACAATTTGTCTGCTATTTGCATACAAAATTAAATTCCCCGAAAACTTCTTCCTTCTCCGTGGAAACCACGAGTCTGCAGCCATCAACAGAATCTACGGATTCTATGACGAGTGCAAGCGTCGGTATAGTATTAAGCTGTGGAAGCAGTTTACCGACTGCTTTAACTGCTTGCCCATTGTCGCTGTGATAGACGAGAAGATTATTTGCATGCATGGTGGTCTCTCACCCGACTTGCGGTCCTTCGACCAAATCCAGCAAATCATCCGACCCACAGACGTGCCAGACAGCGGTCTGATGTGTGATTTGCTTTGGTCGGACCCTGAGGAAGGCGTTACTGGCTGGGGAGAAAATGACCGTGGTATTTCGTACGTCTTTGGAGCAGACGTGGTGTCGCGATTTTTGCAAAAACATGATATGGACTTGGTGTGTCGAGCCCATCAAGTTGTAGAGGATGGCTACGAATTCTTCTGCAAGCGTCATCTCGTCACTATCTTTAGTGCACCCAATTATTGCGGTGAATTTGACAATGTGGGCGCCATGATGAGCGTCAACGACAATCTGCTTTGCAGTTTTCAGGTACGAAAAAACGGAGCGGAGAAGGGATTCTGTGGCGATGAATGTCCATCGGTTGTTCTTCGACATGCATCCAGGCTCATTCACTTCGCTTCCCGTAATCCAATTCGATCCACTCTCCTCTTGCTCCTTTTGCTAACTTTACGTCTGCAGATTTTGAAACCCGCTGAAAAGCGTCAGCGCAACAGTCAGGTACTAGCCCACGAAGCTGCCCGCACAGCAAACAACAAGAAGCCCAAGAAATAGTGAATTACTTTTGGCTTCAAGCTTCCCGAAAGAACTCATCCCCCCATATAAACCAAACCTACGACCCCTCCCTCTCCTAAAACGTACTTGTCTATTAGATGTATCTTTTCCAAATATAATTGTCTGTAGTTAATACCGGGAAGACAGTCGTGTCTGTGATGCGTGCAATCGCTGTAATCGCTATGCATGTAATTGCATAAAACCATACCCTATAACTGTAATAGGCGATTACTATCCAAGCACAATGAACTCGTTAACCTGCGAACCGTCTCGTTATTTATTATAGTGTGTTGTTCCAGATTGGTTCGTACGACGCAAAATTGGCCTGCATTGCGCAGCTTTTTGCTAGTACTCACTAACTCTCTCTGCTCCGCCTTTTCCCTCGCTGCTCATCGCTGCTGCTCGTTGCCGCTCACTTTTTTTTTTCGCTCCTCAGCAAAACAGTCACAAGGATAGAAACAGTCACGGACAACCAAAACTCACCACCAACCCTACCAACTCTTTGTACCACACAGAGCAAGATGCCTCCTAAGGTAGGTTTGAGAAACGTCGGTATTTTGCTTAGATTCTAACGTCTTTTGTCTAGTTCGATCCCAATGAAGTGAAGATTCTCCTTATGAGAGCCGTTGGTGGCGAAGTTGCCGGTGGTTCTACCCTTGCTCCCAAAATCGGTCCCTTGGGTCTGTCTCCCAAGAAGGTCGGTGAGGACATTGCCAAGGCCACCAAGGACTGGAAGGGTCTCCGTGTCACCGTCAAGTTGACCATCCAGAACCGTCAAGCCACCGTTTCTGTGGTTCCTGCTGCTTCTTCCTTGGTCATCAAGGCTCTTAAGGAGCCTGCCCGTGACCGTAAGAAGGACAAGAACATCATTCACTCTGGCAACCTCTCCCTCGATGAGGTCATTGAGATCGCTCGTACTATGCGTTTCAAGTCTCTTGCCAAGGAGCTCTCCGGTACCGTCAAGGAGATTTTGGGCACTTGCTTCTCTGTCGGCTGCACCGTCGACGGCAAGAACCCCCACGACTTGCAAAAGGAGATCGACGCCGGTGAAGTTGAGATCCCCCAGGAGTAAAAAAGTCAAGCGTGTTGTTAAGAAATATTAATATTCGCCGTTGGTACAATATGCAGGTTGGGTACAGCGTGCTTCTGGACTTGTTTAGCTGTAGGTGAGAGTCGTTGTAAATATACTATATGCTGTGTTTCACGTGTTGTTAGTGTTTTGGCGTTTTGGAACCGAGTTCTGTATTTGTTTACCACGCGTCGCGTTTTTCATTTCACATTGAGTTGAGGAGGATCTGCAAATTGTTCTGTTGTTGATCATTTCCCCATGAAGATCATTCAAACCTTAATGCTCGGAACGATCTCCTACAACAATGCCAAACACCTTCACGTACAACGTGCCTCGAGCCAACCACCTTACTCACGACCAAAAAAAGCACAGTTTGCTGAAAACTATCAATCTCTACGCGCAGTCACTTAGTACATCTTCTGCAATTGAATAATCTTAAGCATGACGGACTATAAAGCCCATAAGGTTACTGAATTACGGGACATGTTATCGAAACGCGGTCTTTCGACCTCTGGTAACAAAGCCGAGCTCATTGAGCGGTTGAAGAAGGCAGACACCGATGCAGGGAATCCTGCTGCAAAGCCCACGGTGTCTACAACTGCGTCTGATTTGGGTGATCTTGCTCCTCCCGAGGATGACATCGATTGGGGAGATAATGACGCCGATGATGCACTTGGAACAGAACCGATGGCCGCAAAGGATGCTACAACGGATGCTACCGAAGTTTCAAACTCTGTTACTGAAAGTTTAGAGTTTCAGGCACCCGAAACAGCGTCCAACGGAGGTTTGACGAAGGAGCAGGTTTCAAAAAGTAGCAGCATACCCTCCGTAGCTGAAACCGAGTCCAAAGAAAATGCTACAGCAGCAACTACTGCTGCCACTGCAGACGCACAAAAAAGTATCTCACAAATGTCGGAAGCTGAACGTAGATTAGCTCGTGCTAAGCGTTTTGGCGTTTCCCTCGGTGATGAGAAGGTAAAGCGCTCTCTTAGAGAGGCACGTTTCGGTGGAAACGGAAATAAACAAAAGAACAACGGTGCAAGATTTCCTAAAAATAATGGACGGGACAACAAAAATCGGTCACAAAAACAACAAAACAGAAACGACAAAAATGACAAGGCAGCCGCCAATAAAAAACGTAAGCCTAGCATTCTTGACGATCCTGTTGAGCTGGAAAAGGCAAAGAGACGTGCTGAACGGTTTGGTTTGAACAAGGCGAAAGCCACTGAAGGACAAACCACTACTACCACTACGACCGATACTACGTCTCTTTGATGTGTTTTCTTGCTCTTGTTTTCTTAGTGCTTTATCGTTACTGCTACATCTAAGTGAGGGGGCGTCTCCGCAGACAACTTGTATGACAACGTATGTCTTGTTGAATTCCTCATGAAAAACCGTATGCTCGTGTGCACTCCCGGCCACCCATACCCTACATGCTTGTACTTTTGCAATCGATTGGAACTCTCAAGTGCTTTTCTCAGGTATTACAATTGCTACACTACTGTCTTTGGATCCGCTTCGCTGAAAACGTGCTCTGTTGTTCATATTCGAGTGCTAATGTATATCATGCTGCAAATAAAATCATCTCTCCGATTTCTTACTAAATTTTACTTAAACTGATGCGAGGAAAAGAATTCTGTGTTATCTCATTCCTTCTCCTAACCGGCTTTTCCGTATGGCTATCACGCCTTGTTTAAATGTTCATGATGGGTTCCTTTGTTTTTTCTTTAACGTGATCAAATCAACCGTTTGCTTTTTTGTTTTATTTTCTAGTTTGGGATTCATTTCTGTTATCCTTTATTTTCATTCCCTTATCATCGTTGTTTACGAGATTACTCTATGATTTGCTTTCTCCGTTGTACACTACGATCGGTTTTCGTGGTATGTAATTTATGTTTATTCTTTCGAAGTTATGTTCCCATGTTTATGCATGATCAAATGACTCGGTTAGTTCATTTGGTTATGATTAGGTGTCGTTAAACGAACATCCGCAATCTCCTTAATTATTTGATGGTCGTGCGTCTTAATCTTTACATTTGAGCGGATAATAGCTCAAAATGCGTTACTTTTCCTCTTCGGCTTGGCGTCAGATTTTTACAATTTCCGTAGTTATGCATCACTGTGATGCTCACTACCGAATTATAAAAGCTCTCTTCTCGCTGCTAGGTATGCAACCATATCATAATACTAAACGTTTGTCTTTTTTTTAAACTGGGGCGGACAACATTTATCGTTCATTGATAAACGTTTCACAAGTCCTGCATTAACCCTCATCCTGCCCTACGTTCCAGAATGTCAGATACAGCAGATACACCGGTGAGCGGTTCTGTTCGCATGAACCCTCCTGTTGCTGATATCAATATTGACAGCAAAGGCGCCGATGTGTACTGGACCTTCTTTTCCATTATGGGCTTTTGTTTCCTGGCTTTCTTTTTGGTATCCCTCTTTTCGTCTCCCTCAAAGCGACCATTTTTTCTCTCTTTCCTTGTCGCTCTCACCATTTCCTCTTTTACATACTTTACCATGGCCTCGGATTTGGGCTCCACCCCAGTCACTGCAGAATATGATACTTATGCTTACGGCACACGTCAAGTTTTTTATGTGCGTTACATTCAATGGTTTCTCGTATCTCCAATCGAGTTGATTTCACTCCTTAGTATCGCTCGAGTTCCTCTCAGTCTTTTGATTACTTCAGTATTCTCCGTTTGGGTGTTCGTGATTGGACTTCTTTCTGGTTCTATGGTGCCGTCTTCGTATAAATGGGGTTACTATATCTTTTCTGTGCTTGCATACTTCCATCTGCTTTGGAAGCTTTACTTGGGTTGCCGCTTGTATGCTTCGAAATTGAAGCAACCTACTCGCCGTTATTTCCGCTGGTTGTGCGTGTACATTTCATTCATTAAGCTTCTAATTCTTGTGAATTGGGCTTTTTGTGAGGGCGGTAATATGAACCCTCCTGTTGGTGAAGCTGCAGTGTATGGAATTTTGGATGTGTTGGGTCTTCCTGCTTTCGGAATTTTATTCATGTGGATGCTCGAGGGCCTTAATGCGCAAAATCTGTCTCACCAACAGTATCTCTCGACGATTTTATTTAACCAACCTTGTTGTGGTACGCACTCTTACTCCTCGAATCCTCGCGATAGCAATTCTGAGAAGAGCAATAAGTTCATTAGTTCGGCTGCTTCTGCAACTACGGGGAAGAACACAGAAACGTATTCATCTCTCTCCGTAGGACCCGTTGTACCCCCTTTTACGAACGAAGCGAATGACACTTCCGAATTTTTAGGACAGAGAACTAGTGAAATTTAAATTGCTTATCCTTTATTTTAGGAGTCCTGAAGCAACTATATGGACTATTCATTTCCGTTAACACGGCCATAGGAAGTATTATTGGCATTCTCCTATTACGACATGCATACTGGAGTTCATCCAAGTACGATGAATTTAACAACTGGCAGTATGAAAGCAACTAACAACAATCTGCGTCCATTCTTCTCTGCTAGAGTTTATAGACGGTGCTGTTTGTAGCAGCTGAACTTGACGTCGCGTTGACTCTGGGTCGAAATACTATATTAAATGAACCCAACCCCCTGCAGGTCCAGCTTTATAGAACGTGCTTTCAAATTAAATTGTACCAATACAATGAATGAATGTAGCAGCGTAAAAGGTTCAGATTCATAACGAATAATGCAAAGTTCGCATGTATATGATATTATGTTTGTGTTTACATGATAATGTACAAAAACGGTACGTAAAGGAAAGCGGTATAAGGACAAAGTTAGGCAGGCTTAGTGCACATATTGTGTTCAGAAAGACCGGACATTCAGTGCAAACTCATCTACCGCGCAGTATGGATATCCTCAAAGTCGACACCGCTAGAACGGCGTACGTCTTCCACAGTTACTGTGCGAAGAGGAGCGGAGGGTCCGACGGCAGGGACAGCGCTGCCATCAACTGAGTCTCGCTTGAAAGAAAAGTTCGAACGTCTACGAGAGCTCGAACGACTGTGATGAGAACGAGAATCACGGTGGACATAGGGAGTGTTATCAGAAGAAGAGTCTTCGTCATCCGTGAGAGGCTCGCTTTGAGCAGCGCGTCTGGCCCTAATTTCTTGTTTCATCGCCTCAGTTCCCGCACTTCCAATCACAGCATCGGGTAATTTAGCACGGTAAGTCAACGGCTCTTCTTCAATGTCTTCAAGGTCCCCTACATCATGCATAACATGCTTGGTACCAAGGGAGAAATCGACATGCTTATGAGCTGCAAAACTGGAAGAATCAAAAGGTGTAATATTTTCGTTGGAGGATGTAGTGTTCGCAGACGGTTGTCGCAAAATTCCATGCTTTTGAGCTGCACCTGGAGCATCACTTGGCGGGATCTCCTCAGTAGGGAATGGATTGTTGCTCGCATCATGGTTGAAGTATTGCACATACATAGGAGAGGTCTTAGACTTACCAGGTGCATTGTAAACGGGCGATTCAATACCACACTCTTGCATATAAGTCATCAAAGCACACATAAACATGTTCCGACGACGCATACGCATGATTTCGTCTTGAAAACTATACTTGTGAAAGAACACAATACTCAGTTGTACAGAAAACAAGTCAGGAAGATCCACAAGCTCGGTCAACAAAGTCGGTTTAAAGTCGCGTTTCTCACGAATCAAAAAATCAGACAACTTGGAGCGAAGCATCTCAATCTGCTCCAAGGTAGTACCAAACTTTAATGTGACAGTAACAGGGTCAGCAACACTACCACTTCTTCTCATGTTAAGAATCCAAAGTGTATTCAGCAAACTGTTTGGTGCTTGGATGATTTTTCCGGTCAACAATCGGAATTCTGTCGACATAATGGAAATTTCCTTAACAAGTGCAGACGTTACAGTGCCATTGATGAGAACATCAACACGGTCACCAACATCATAAGGATGCTTAACGAACACAAAAATGATGGAAGCAATAACTTCTTGGGCAGAGCCGGAGAAAAGCCAAGACAAACCCAGAATAGTCGTTCCTGCAGAAGTCAAAACACCACTGAAGTTTCTTGCAATAAGATAGAGGAAAATAAGGACGATGATAATGGTAACTATAAACATGCAGATTTTATCGAGCTTGCTAATAGAATCGTTCAGGTCACGAAGAGATGCAGCAATACTCTTGCGTTCCTTTCCAATTTCAACACATGCAAGCTCAATTTCCTCACATGTAATGTCGCCATTTCCATCACGATCAAAAATGTTGTAGCAGGCATCCAAGGTCTCAGTATCCACTTCACCTTCTTCGTTCGTATACACAGGGATAAAGTCGTCCACAACAATATCCTGGTGACCCTCGGAAACCAAAGCGTTGAACATACAACGAGCCAATGACTGACATCCTCTGGTACTGCGTAACAGGTGAAGTACAACACTTTTAGGGGATCCAGAATGATCCTTTTTTTGGTTCGTAAGTTCGCCAGCAACTCGACTCATCAAGTCCTGAGCAAAGTTAAGGGCATTTCTTGCATTCGTGGTAGTTTTGTTCAAAGCCTTTTGGGCAAGCTTCGCGGCCGAATGCCCTTTCTTTCCCTCTTGAGCTTTTGAGGCAAACGTGAACACGTTTTCCTGAGCTTTACTGATAGCTGCACTGAAATCAAACGAATAATTTCTAGCATACTCGTAAAGGTGTGCCAATTCGTTGATGGCAAACTTGTTAAACACAATACGCGTTTCGTATTGACGTTTGTGAAATGACATTGCGACAAGCTGCATAATAAACTTTTCAACAAAGTTCAAGATTGAAGCAATGAAAATGGTAATCAGAATGTTGTCAGCAGTGTTTTCCCAACTGAGTTTGGTAGAATTCCCGGACACATGGTGCTTTGTCATAATGGGCAAGAAACTAACAAATACCGCCAACATCCAAAAAACTAGAGTAAATGGAAATTCAAGCGCAATTGCCATACTTTTCCACTTATTCACATTGTTACTGACGAATGAAGTAATCATCACAACAATATGGGGAATAAATTTTGCAGCAAAACGAGCGGCCCAAAGAGTCAACCAAATAATTTCCCACCAGATACCCATCCACATGAGATGAACGCCGCCAATGCTAGGAGGACGTTCCTTACCGTTGCTCTCGTCATTAGGAGCAAGTCTGACCCAACGGCCGATGAAAATCGGAATCAACAGCAATAAACCAAGGGGAACCACATAAATCATACCACGCACGAGAAAACTTTTCTTTTGTAAATTGCTGAACAGCATGCCTAGGGCAGTGACTGGATGCTCGGGTGGTTTAATGGACGACTCGGTACCGAAGGTAACGATACCAAAGTTGTCAAGACTATGCTCCATTTCCTTGCTTGCCTCCATAGAATCCTGATCGCCCGCCCCATCATTAGGCCTGGATTTCGTAGAGACGCTTTTACGAAGGCTCGCAGGAATGGAATGTTTGCTTGAAATACTGTGTCTCTTACCGTTCGCTTGACGCATAGAAGTCATTTTGCGTCGCAAAGACTTGTTCGTTTTTGACATAACAGCCAGTTCTGCCTCAATTAGAGGCCGCTGGTCTTCAGACATCATCTGTCGGGCCGAATCCGTAGAAGGGCGACCATTTAACTTGCCGCCCTTCACCTCAACAGAGGTAGTATTTTTACCGATCGTGTCAGAATCATCACCAAAGAAAGTATCTTGCATAGAAGTGGTGATGCTGTTCTCGGTGGAAGAGGTTGAGCCCTCATGCTTGTGTTTGGGATTTTGTCGATTAGCGTTTTCAGACATTTTGATGAATTGTCAACAACAGTAGACTGAATGAAACGAGAGAAGTTGACAGAGATAGTGTGTTTAAACGAGATAACAAATATAAAAGGGAATAACCGATTAGAAAAGTCGCGAAAAAAAGTAATAAAAGATAGTAAGTGTGTGAGTGTGTCTAAGTCAAGAGACAATAAAGAATAGGCCTGTATTGGGTAATTGGAATCAAGTAGGAAAAGGATCACAACCAGAATCCAAACCAAGAAGAGAGGAATACGTAATAAAAGTTTTGAGTTTGTAGTTTATAATAGGAATAGACAGCAGTTGTAGGTTGTCAGAAAAGAGAGAATATACACAGATAGATAGAAAATTAGAGTGGAATAAATAAAGAATGCACAAAGAAGAGTTTCGTGGCTGGAACTAGTAATTTAAGTACAATTCCACATCGAAAATGACCCAGAAACTCAATTGCTCCCTAACGAAGAAATGAAGCAAAAAAACAATAACGAAAATCAAAGTCTTTGACTCAAAACAGAAGATTTGGCTTGAGAAAACGAGAAACAGTAAGTATGCTCCGAATGGCACCTGGTTGGCTTTGGAAGACTGGTAGGGCAGGGAATCCTTTCTCTTATATGCTATTGAGCACACCACGTCATAGGCACCCCGTGAAGTGATTAGGCTTTGCGGCTCACCCAATGATATTTAAACGGCGCACCTTTTATGACGTATGCAACAGGCCGACAAATAATAAGAAGAACAAAAGTTTAAGCGGAACTTCACGTAGGAAAAGTAATATTTCTATCGCAATTGTTAGATGAAATCAAGCGCCGTTGAATTTTCTATCGTAGTTTCTATAGCGAAAGCTAGGAGCGCCTAATTTCCCATTACTGTCGGCACTTGTCGCGTTGGATCGCTCGTAAGCGAGGGACAAAAGCGAACGCCCCACCGGAGCTGCGCAGCTATGAAGCAAATTACATGAACAGAGGCTGAGTTGTTGATACTGCTCACGCGTAAAATTCACATTCTGTAAATGATCATTCTTGTTTTGAGCCTCTTTCTGTTGCGTTTTCTAATTTTTGACGCGTCGTCTTTGCTGCGTCCACCGCGTCATTACACGTCATGAATTACTCTACATTGGTGTTCAACTCCTCCACCGGAACACGGAGAAGAAGCGTCTTCCACTACACCAGAGGGCGTTTAATGAGCTCGTACGACGTTTACTGCGCATCGTTGCAACACGCACTATTGCGCTTCACTCATGTTTATATCGTTTAGGGCTGTCACGTGTATCACGACCCCGCGAACGATTGCTACACCACTGGGTTTATGCCCTACCCTAATTGTGACTGCCCACACGGAACTCAGTCATTTGTTCAAGTACATGCCCTCCCATCTTTACAACACCAGCACACACCATGTCGAAGGTTTCGGTTGCCACGGTCCGTAAGAACGTCGAAGACATCCTCAAGGGTGCCGAGGAGAAGAAGCGCAACTTCGTTGAGACTGTCGAGCTTCAAATTGGTTTGAAGAACTACGACCCTCAACGTGACAAGCGTTTCTCCGGTACTATCAAGTTGCCCAATGTCCCTCGCCCCAACTTGTCCATTTGCATTCTTGGTGACGCTCACGATTTGGACCGTGCCAAGCACGGTGGTGTCGATGCCATGTCTGTCGAGGACTTGAAGAAGCTTAACAAGAACAAGAAGCTTGTTAAGAAGTTGGCCAAGAAGTACGATGCCTTCATCGCTTCTGAGGTTCTCATCAAGCAAATCCCTCGTCTGTTGGGTCCCGGTTTGTCTAAGGCCGGTAAGTTCCCTTCCCCCGTCTCTCACAACGATGACTTGTACGGTAAGGTTACTGAGGTCAAGTCCACCATCAAGTTCCAACTCAAGAAGGTTCTTTGCTTGGGTGTTGCTGTTGGCCACGTTGAGATGACTGAGGACCAACTCATTGCCAACATCATGCTTGCCATCAACTTCTTGATCTCTTTGTTGAAGAAGGGCTGGCAAAACATCGGCTCCTTGGTCGTCAAGTCTACTATGGGCAAGCCTTTCCGCCTTTACTAGACGTGGTGAACGGGGTGTCGTTTCAAATCGGATCTGGAAGTAATAAGACGGTTTGATGCCAAAATCGTAAATGTGAAGGAAGGAGACTAGTAGTTTCAGAGTCAGAGCTGTGTCGTAGAGGGTGTAGGTTTTAGGTTGAGTTGTAAGAGCTGTTTGTTACATGGTTTTCATGTGGTCGTGTCCGCCGGTTTTGGCTTGCTCCGCTCTATTAAAAGCCCTTATAGTTTCATTTGCAACGAATCTGCAGTTCATACCCATGATTTCTTGTCCTCAGCAACTGTCATTTATTCTTTGTATCCATTGTAATTAAGAATTGTATTGCGATGCCAAACATACCAAAAATTTTAAGTCCTAAAAAAATACCAAAACAATTTCCTCATTGACCAGATCCCTTACTCGTCGGATTGATGTTGTTCAACGTACTCAGCAGCACGTTGTTTCACGTCTTCAACACCCTCTGGGGTACCATGGTCCTTTTCAAATAAAAGCCATTTCTTGAAAACGAATTTAGCCTTCTTCAGGGAAAGTTTGTTGGCCAGAAGACGTTGAAACAAACGGCGCACGATTGATACGTCACCCTGCTTGATTTCCATATCCAACAGGACATTCCACAGATCAAGACGCTTAGGATAGTTGCTAAGAAGACCTTCGAAGATAGTACGTCCGCGCTCGGGATCACCTTGTTTGAATTCGAGCAGAGCGAATTTCTCAATGGTGGAAACATGATCCTTCTTTGGCAAACTCTGAAGACTGCGTTGAAGTAAACCCCGAGCAGCTTCAGCGTCATCGTTGCTCATTAAGAATGTAGCATAGTTGAGCCAAACAGAAGCGATCTGACTGAACCGCTTAACCATCCGCTCCATATACTCCTTCGCTAAGTCAAGGCGCTGTTGCTTAATGAGTATACCACACAGGCGCTCATAAACGACAAGCTCGTCGTAAAAGTGGCAGGCCTCCTTGAACGTCTTGTCCAAAGTCTCTTCATTGCCATAAGCAACCTCCAAGTTGAGTAAAGCAACCCAAACATTAAGCTTTTCTTCCTCCTCACGGAAGTTGATTGCCTTCAAAGCACGTTGTCCGATTTCACGAGACTTGTCAATTTCGTTTAAGCCCAGGTGGTAAGCCATGTAGCCAATCCACAACAACGATGAATTGGGCTCTGAAAGAAGCTTTCTCTCAAAGTCAGCGGGACCTTGCGGAGCATCGTCCAAATCACGCTCTTCGTCGTCATCCTTGACGTTCTTCTTCTTTTTGCGCTGAGGACCATCCTCAGCGTCCGAGTCTTCGTCCGAAGAATCCGCAGATGCCTCTTTATCAAAAACAGTAGAATCGGCCTTCCAGTCAAAACCCGCGGCCTCTAAACCCTTAGCATCCTCTTTTTCCTCATCACTAGACTCGCTTTCTGAATCAGAGTTTACTTCCTCTTCGGCAGACTCATCCATGGCTTCATCAGAGTCTTCTTCTTCGTCAGCAGAGGATTCAAGATCCTCCTCAGCTCCACTTTCATACATATCGACATCCGAATCGGCATCAAAGTAAGAAGATTTTAATCCGAGAGCAACACGTCTCTTTTCTGGATCAACACTCAAAACATGTGCACGCACCTTGTCTCCGGCGCTGTAAAGCTTGGTCACATCATTGACGGTAGTGTCAGCAATTTCTGACTTGTGACACAGGCCAACGATATTATCGGTACCATCCAAACGAATAAGAACTCCAAAGTCCTCACAACGAATAACAGTGCCGTCAACGTTGCTGCCGACTTCAATTTCCGAAAACTCCTTAGCAGAGGCTTCCTTGCTAGACACGCGGCTAGGCTTCAAAGACAGTTCGATACGCTTCTTTTCCTGGTCCACGTGAACGACCTTAGCCTTAACAAGCTGGCTGACTTGGAAATGAGGCTTCCACTCCTTGATGAAAGAATCAAAAAGTTCTGCGATCTTTACACGACCAACAACGTTGCGACCAAGAGTCACGAATAAACCAGTATCCGCAACGTTGGTGACGAAACCTCTGTAAACTCGGTTCATCTCCACATCTTCAAATGATTTGATCTCAGGATCCTTAATCTCCTTGCCCTCCTCGAAATGAGAAGCTCTAGTACTCAAGGCAATCTTTCGGTTGGGAACGTCAACACTCAACACATAAACGCGAACAAACTGATTGCGCGAGAAAAGAGAGTTAGGAGATGTTTCAAAATCATCGGAGACATCGGTTCTTGATACACGACCGGACAAAGCACCAGGGAGTTGGACAATCATTCCCATATCATTGATATTAGAGATTCTTCCCAAGAGTTTGTCACCAGCACTGATAGTTTCGTAATCTACAACATGCTCCATAGCAGAGAGTGTCAAAATTTCACCGGATGAAAGCACTGTACATTGAATAGCACTGCCGACAGGGAACTTTTCAGTAATAGAGTTCAGTGTCTCAAGGTCGTTCGACGCATCCAGGGCAGCAATACGGCCACGGAGATTAGAGCCAACGGAAACCCAGATGCATTCAGGAGTTGTGTTGTTAACAAAAGCAATACAAGTATCACCCTTCTTGAACGTTAAAGCTTCGCCAGAGAACTCGGTCTGCTTCATCACGGAAGGTTTGATGCTCAACTCCAGAAACTGACGAGGTGATACGCGATGAGATATAGGCAAAAACTTGTGGTTTTTGGCATCATGAGTTCCGAGAACTCTGACCTGAATCTTGTCGCCCTTTTTGAATGTAGAGAAAGGTTTGGATGGATCCGAGATATCCTCAAAATTATCAAAAGCCTCAGATACATCAACACGGCCATGGACGTTCTTAGCGAGATCAATATTGAGCTGCGTAGCCTTTACGGAACTAATTACACCCCAGGTCAACTTGCCGGTAGTGTAATCATAGGCCTTGGTTATAGATTCATCAACGGGTTCGATAACGACGTATTTACTTTCCGTAATTTCATCAACCTTCTCATTAACCTTGTCCAGTGGCTTCAATGAAACCAAAGCACGCTCCTTCTCCATATCAATGGAAAAACAGACGCAAGTCAAAGACTGGAAAGGCTTGAACAAAGCAGCAGGCAGGGGAACATAGTTCTCCGATAAATAAGCCTTAGGTGCTAACGCAGTAACACCATTAGCAAATTCAATAAAAACACCAAACTCGGTAATGTTTTTGACAAAACCAGCATACTTAACACCTTCTTTAAGATCAGACAAAGTCTTAGGAAGCATTCCGGCCTTAGCGGCATCGATTAAAGATTGCTTCAAAGTAAGAAAAACAATACGCTTCTCAAGATCCTTGCGAAGAACAAGTACCTCGGACAGCTTCGTGGTAGCACGAATTTTGCTAAGAATCTTTTGACATTTTTTGGCATCACCATCGGACAAGTGTCCAACTTGAATAACACCGTTTACGCTGTTACCCAAGTCAACAATGACCGAGTTCTCGGTTTTTTGAGAGACAGCTCCGGAGACAACAGATCCAACTTCCAAGTCAGTAAACCGTTGTGAACGTTCGTTGGTCCAGTTTTGCTCGCGACAGCTAAGACGCATCTTGCGAGTCTCAGGATCACAGTTCACGACAGTAACAGAAACGGTCTGACCAACCTTGAAATGATCACGAGCATCTTGAATGTAAGCTTCGCTCATCTCAGCAGTGGGCAAGAAACCACGAACGTGATTGTAGAACTCAACAACAGCACCAGTGTTGAGAATACGAGCAAAAACACCAACAGCCTTGGCACCTGGTTGAACTGACTCATAAGAATCGATGATAGGGAGATCGGAATTCAGCAAAGACTTTTTAAGTGTAAGAAGGACGCGCTTTCTGTCCGAGTCAACAGCCAAGACGCGGCACTTAACGGGAAGACCCTCCTTAAACTTTCTCTCGGGGAAATGCAATTGAACATCGGCCATATGGGCAGTGGGAACTAAACCATTAATACCCTCAGACAATTTAACGATGACGCCTTGTGCAAACAAGCGAACAACACTTCCTTTAATGACTTTTCCAACGGGGATATCATCAACACGAAGGAAGGGTTGGTCAATAATGGATTCTTGAAGGGAAAGAACAAAAAGGTTGTCGACAAAACTAAAACCTGTGATACGTGCCTTGTGTGTAGAATGCAGCTGATAGTCACCAGATGAAGGATCGACCTTGTCTACACGCGAATCCGAAAGACGGGAAATGTGGGCAAAGCCGCGAACGCCCTCGACACCAACGTCGCAGAAAATACCCAAGGAAGGGGAGACAGCGCTCACCTTTGCCTCTTCAACAGTAAAGCCGAGCGGAAGCTTCTCAAGTGGATTTTCCTGTTCAGCACTGGTTTTGTTAAAATCTACAGCATGGGGCAAGAATGTTACGGCGACGGTGGGAGGGGAAGAGGGGATAGTGTACAAAATACGAGCTGGTCTCGTCTTGGCAATAGTAAACTCGTTTGCGAGGCGTTCGTTTTGAGAAAGGGATGAGTGCATCAAATCACTAGTTACGTTTAATACACCCATCAGCTTTCCGGTAACGCCATTTTCAAGGACGTCAGTAATGAGAACGTTGGCAAGGTTACCGGGAAGAATTGCTTGCACAGATGGGAACTTATCTAAAGCCTTAGGAGACGCCTGATGCATGGCAAGTTGGAAGACACGATCTTTTTTAGATGTAACCGTGCAGAGCACGGTTTGTCCCTCCATAAACTCTGTTTCCGGGTTGTAGGCACCCAAAGGAAGGAAACCAGTAAAGTCCTCAATACCGAGGTCCATAGCAATGCCATGATCCTCCCAGGAGGTAACGACAGTTTGTATAACGGAACCCTTAACAAAACCGTCTGCACCGAGCCCACCATTCACATCTTGGGGACGCAAGCTTAGCTCAATACGTTTTTTCTTTTTAGAACTACTATCGTTGGTGATAGAGGTAACACGGGCACGAACCCACTGGCCGACCGTGTAAAAGTCCAACAAGTCAGGGAATGATTCCTGTGCAACCGACTTGTTGTCCTCATCAACTTCGTCCAACTTGTCCAATCTCTCTGACAACGAATCAGAAATGCTAGTGATAGGAACATAACCAGTGAGGCAGTTGGGAAGGGAAACAGCCAAATCCAGAGTATTAATTTCGCTGATACGACCAAAAACAATGGTTCCTTCAACAACTGATTTGTAAGAGAAGTGAGATATAGGCACCGAGCCTTCATCGTCGTCATCAGCATTGGCTGTTTTCTTCGATTTCTTCGACAATTTTGATTTTGAACGCGCAGCTTGTTTCGTCTGCTTTTTTTCAGGCTTAGCCTTGCTTTCGGTGAACAAAGCGTCTCGTTTCGCTTCATTGACAACTTCCTTGTACTCTAAGGGTGTCAAAACGGAAGCACCACCACGAGGGAATGAAGTTTCGTTGTCGAGCTGCAAAATGCTCGAATTGGCGGGTTTCGACCGCGACTCTGAAGAAGAGTCACCAGAGCTAACTGGCTTGTCTTTTTTCCCCTTTTCAGACGATGAATCCCTCTTTCTTTTGAATCCAGCCATATGAAACGGGGTAGTGGTGGTGTCTAACTTTCTTCTAACGACTGCAGGGAAAAATATTATTAAGGTTAACGGAGAGCAAGGTGATTTAGTGAGATTTAGTGTGGTTTAGTGTGGGGTTGTTGTTATGAATAATGAGATGTAGTGTCGAGGAAGTCTACGAGCAGAAGCCGAGAAAGACAGTTGGAACAAAAAGAGAGAGAAGAATTATAAAAAATAAAAATAAAAAAAAAATAAAAAAAATAAAAAAATAAAAAAAAATTGTGAAAAAATCATATAAAAGTAAAGACAATTGCAAAATAATTTCTACTTAGGATTTGTGGTTAGCAATGCTTTTCATTCTTTTGTAAAACTCTTCTGAGTTAATTTATTCGTTAGGTGAATAGACAGCAAGATATTTTCGTGAATCGGCTGCACTGCGAACAGCTAATTGTATGTTTTTAAGTAAGGCGTTGCGTTCTAGGTCCCTTTTCTGGTAGTACATGAGCTCTTGCTTTAGAATTTGGTTTTCTTTTTTCACTTTAGCAACCATGTTATTAGCCTCGCTAAATAATGACACCGACAGGTCTTCAAGTTCTTTTTGCGTTTGCACTAATGTTCGTTCTATCTCAATTCTTCTGGCTCTTTCCTCATTCAATTGCTGCACCAATGCTGCATACTCGATTTTGTTGCCAACTTCCATTAACGGCGCAGTTGCATTTTCTCCTAGATCCATGACGTTTGAACTGACGCCCAAAACTTATAAAATTAGCATTTTAAAACAGGATACACAAGCACACTTACCATTACTCGATTTCTTATACTGATTCATGTTCTCTTATATGTAGTAAAGTGTTTGTTTACTACTTAGTATCGGCAGGTATATCGCAAGCCGACGACGACGTCATTACCCCACAGTCTAAATGAACGTTAAACAATACTCACTAAAACAAATAAAACAATCTACAAAAGCAATTCGGGGAGCCGAATTGCTTTTTCTATTGTAGTACATATGAATGATTAAAGTGCCTAATTCTCTGATTCCTGTTCTTTCGGGGTATCTTCAGTTTTAGACTCTGCAGAGGTCTTCTCAGCGACAACCGAGCCTTTCGAATCCTCTGTCGCCTTCAAATCCTCTGCTTTGTCTGTGCTAGTGACCTTCACGGAAGTTTTCTCAATCGTTGTTTTAGTCGTTTCGCTTGAAGTTGTTGCAGTAACAACTTTTTTTACTTCCGTAGGTAAAGTAGCATCTTTTGGTGCCACTTGCTTTTTCTTTCCAGAAACTGCTCCCCAGTCAATGCAGTATTCCTCGCCAAACTTCTCCTTTAGCCATTGATTCGTCTTCTTGAAGTGTTGGCACTCAAAAAAACCACGGTGAGCAGAAAGGGGACTGGGGTGAACGCTGCGGAGTACACAGTGAGTTGCAAGGGAAAGATTTTTCAATCTGTTAGCTGCTGGTGTTCCCCAAGCGAGGAACACAAGACCTTTAGGATGACGTTTCAAAATAGTCTGTAACACAGCATGTGTAAAAGATTCCCATCCTTTACCAGCATGCGAGTTTGCCTGATGTGCACGTACAGTCAAATTCACGTTTAGCATGAGGACACCTTGTTCGGCCCAAGGTACAAGGTAGCTAGATATGTGTTAGCTCACCATCGTCATGAAAGTTGTTTTCTTAATATATAATATAGAAAAACATGATCGGACAGTACATACCCGGTGTTGGGTATTTCAAAATCAGGATAATCGTTCTTAATCGTCCTGTAGATGTTTTTAAGACTAGGCGGACAGGGAATGCCAGCACGTACAGAAAATGACAAACCATGTGCTTGTCCAACATTATGATATGGATCCTGTCCCAAAATAATTACGCGAACTTTGTTTAAGGGCGTAAGTCTTGACCATGAATAGATGTCTTCCTTTGGAGGGAAAACTCGTTGACTTTGCCATTCAGTCATCAAGAACTTTTTCAGTTGCAAAAAGTACGGTTTCAAAAACTCATCCTTCAGTGCCATAAACCAAGAGTCATCCATAGTTGTGATTTCAAGCCTGCACAGAATTATTCGTTAGCAATTCATTAATAAGATACATGAGCAACATAAATAATGAAAAAAGAAAGAGCTAACTTACTGTAACAGTTTTTTCTGCTCAGCATTCAAGTTCTTAATCCAGTCCTCCTTCTTTTGAGTCCGTGTATTCACGTCCATAGTAGATGCGCTATTATTGACAGTTTGTCTTTTGAAAAACTGATTAACGCATCGCTGCTTCAGATTCTTCATTTCTCCCAGGACGGGAGCACCTGGATTCTTTCTTTTCATCGAAAACAAAAAGATTTTTAATATAATCTTTGCGGATTCTGCTTGTTATTGTTTTAATGGAGGATATGTCCCTGTACCATCCAAGAGCGTATAGCTCGGTTATTCCACGTTTAATTACCTTAAAAAGGGCATATCAGTTAATGGCGCAAACGTTAGAATTGCCCAGCAATTGCAGAATACTTTATCTAAGTTAATTCCGTTAAAACGATACTTAATATCTGGACTAATTGTTTCAAACCTTTAATTAGTTATTTGTTACTATGACTGAAATTCCGGCAGACTTTAAAAATCATGCGCCTGGACTTTCTTATTATTCGCTTGTTAGTTCTGTTTTAGAACCGCTTTCAAACACTCGAAAGAACAGACACTTGCCGACAAGGAGCGACGTTTACAAACGGAAGCATGACATACTTGAAACCTATATGAATCGCTGGAGGGAAGACGTGGGTCCGGACCTGTATCCTATGATGAGACTGTGTACGTTTGCGAGGAGACATGTTTGATTATATTTACTAATGAGAAAAGTGCTTCCTGAAGTATGACAAATTGCTGTTCGCAATTGATAATAACCTTGATAGCTGGATAGACAACGCAATTCGTACGGATTTAAAGAGTTTGGTTTAGGGAAACTTTTTGTGAGAGTTAGTTTCAAATTTATGGCACAACATTATTCATTACTTACCAACGATAGGCATTCCATTTGAGTCCCCATTCGGAAGATGCTCTTGCCTTGAAAGAATGGAAATCACCACAAAGCAAGTTTAGTGGAAACTTTATTGCTGTTGTCCAAGGTTAGTTACTTGTTGAATGACTACTAACGTGGTAATTAGACGTAATCAATCGAAGAGCACTTCGAAATTATCCTAGCACTTATTCCATAGACGATGTTAACTCGTTTCTGGATGACATATCTAATGCTCCAAATGAGTACGTTTGAAAATAACGATGATATACACCCTACCATTATGTCACAAAACTAAACTTCCAGGGCTACAAAAGTGAAAGTTCTGGAGGAACTGTATCAACACATGTCGGCTATTGAACTGAGATGGCTTGTTCCTATTTTGTTAAAAGGTATGCTTGTCGCTTGCTTACAAACAAATAACCAGATTAGTAAGACGATTTGGAACTTCTGAAAACTTCATTCTCTCCGTATTTAACATTGATGCTGCCCGTCTTTACAGATTGTGTAGTTCATTAAAGCGAGTATGCTATGAATTGCACGACCCCAATAAACGGCTTACGAAAAAACAAAAAGAGGTAAATGTTTTCAATTGTTTTCAACCACAATTAGCGAACTACACAAAAGTTGAACTTAAGGAGGTCGTGGAATGTATGCACAATAAACCTTTTTGGATTGAAGAAAAGCTGGACGGAGAACGTATACAGCTACATTATGCTAGAGGTAACTTTCAATTCTACAGTCGCAACTCCTTCAATATTACAGATGTATACGGTTCGTCATATAACGATGTCGACTCAAAGTTGACAAAGTACCTTATTGGATCATTTCAGGAGAACGTCAGGGAAGTTATACTTGATGGAGAAATGGTCACTTGGGATCCAATTATGGAGACTGTAATCCCTTATGGAAGCTTACGTGCAAGTTCTACGTCAACTAATGAAGAGTATTCCTACTATCCTTACTGTGCGTTACATTTGGGACGGCATTGTACTAAACGGAGCAGATGTGGTATTCGACATACTATTTTTGAACGGCTTTTCTTTATTGAATTATTCGTTAGAATCACGGAGAAAAATACTGAGTAAAGTTATAATTAGCGAGACGCGCAGAATGAGTGTGCATCGCTATACCGAAGGAAGCACAGTGGACGATATTGATCGCGCACTTAAAGAAACTGTCATAGAAAAGTCAGAAGGCCTTGTGATAAAGGTAAAGTTTTGTCGTATGTATTGCTGTCTTTAACACAAGCAGAACCCGACAAGTCCATACACACTTGGTGAACGCACAAACGACTGGATCAAAGTGAAACCGTACTATATGGAAGGCTTCGGCGAGGTAAACATAAACTCAGTGACAATCACTAATGACCAAATTTTATAGGATTTAGATTGCTTAATAATGGGTATGGTTCAGTGGGCGCAACCTTTTATTAATTCATGCAGGCGGTTATTATGGTAGAGGAAACAGGAAGCATTTAAGCTCATTCCTCTGTGGATTAAGAGTTAGCAAGCATGATTCAAAAGAACCAATTGAACAGTAAGGGACGTCCTCTAAAGGCATACGACTAACAGTTACAAGATTCCAGTCATTCTTTCGAGTAGGAGGCGGGTTTACTCGAAATGACTATGCATCCATCAGGTAATTACCATTCTTAAATCGCAGCATTTACATTAAAATTAGGGAAAAAACAAATGGAAAATGGCACGAATGGAATGATGAAGCATTCCAATATCATATATTGGCCGGGGCTACGAAAACCGTGAACAAACCGGACTTATGGATTCGGCCACATGACTCTATTGTTTTACAAATTAAGGCCGCCGAAACAGTTCCCACCGATAAGTTTTCTACTGGATTTACACTTCGTTTTCCACGACTTCAACATATTCGGCTGGACAAGGATTGGAGGAGTGCTCTGACATTTAATGAGTTTTTGGCTCTAAACGAGCAAGCTAAAAAGATCCCAAAAGAACATTCGTAAGTTATGTTGGATTAAATAAAAGTAAGCTAACTCTCAGACGGATCCATCGCAAAAAAAAGGTTGTCCTTGGAAAACGCAAACGCATGTCTTTTCCTCCTGAGTATCAGCAAACTGGCTCGCCTCTAAAAGTCGAGAGTAATCTCTTTGAAGGCTTTTTATTTTGTAAACTTCATGAAAGTTATACTTCCATCAACTAACAATTCTAGTTGTAACGGCACTCGAAAGCAAGGAGTATACGAAACCCATGCTTGAAAAGGAAATTCTTTCGCATAAGGGAAAAATTCAGCAGTCGATTGATTCAAACGGAAGAGACTTAATTGTTATTGCCAATAAACGTATGGAGAAAGCATTTGTAATGTCCGTTAACACTCCTAAATTTAGCAACGCTAAGAACATCTTTGGCGACGACACGAGGAGTAAAGCGAATTGTTCGGCCAGAATGGGTTATAAAGAGTATTCAAGAGGAACGCCTATTGCCGGAATATGATTTGTACGAAACGTATCAGTTTCATAATTTCGATTTACTGACTAACCTAATGAAGTCTACTATTTCCTCAGCAGCCCTGGGCTTATGAAAATCTTAGCAATGTTTTGGAAAATCTTCATTCTGCTGATTTGAATATAATGGCTAGATTGTGTGATTCTTACCATCAAATACAGTTTGAAAAAACAAAAGCTTTGGACCTAAGTTTACTGATTACAAAGGAATTTCAGCAGTTCTACCCATTTTATAATACGCGAGCGTATTTAGCAAAGCAGAAACTTGACGGGCAAGATGGATTTACTCATCATGCAAAATGGACACTAGCAGTTGATTTGTTGAGAGTCTATGGGGCGACTATACAGCAAAGTCTCAATAAGGATACGACGTTGGTGGTTTTTGATTCAATAACATCTGAAGATGAAAGTCACTTGGCTTCTGCTTGCAATGTGTACGTTTTAAAGAAGGTAGCATGCTAATATTAATGTAAACAGGAAAGGAATTACAGCAAAACTTGTTTCTTTACACGCATTCTTGGAAACATGGCAATCGACAGTATCGGAACTTCTTGAAACAAGTTCCCAAGCAAGTGCCAAAATAGAAACTGACAACGACTAGTGTTATTATTTGATAGTTCTTTTCATAGTCAGTTTTGAATAACATATTCAAGACTTGTTTTAATTTTCTATACAGGCTACCAAAGGACACTCACTGCATAATCGTAATTTAAGAATCGAATAAGACATTGAAAACGCACAAGTAAGTGCAGCAATCACAGCTTTTGTTATGTATCATATATAGAAGCAGTATTGTTATCCAATATAGCGGCCGCGATGGTGCAAGTTGTCTTTCGTAAACGAGTGAAAATGTCTAATGTTTTTAAACGATGTTCATATGCCTTGGATCGTCCTATCTCTTCTACCAGACGTTTAACAGTAAAAGAAAACGATCGTGGACGCTTAGAGGCACTTAACCAGGCTCTTACATGTAAGGTTATATGGCAGCCATTTTCTTTTTTTTTTTTTTCCGTCATTAACAATTACAGGTGTCCATAAAGCTGATGTTAAAAAGCTTCCTCGTCTCCAGCATGGCATTGACAAAGCTCTCTTTGTTCCGGGAATTCTTTCCCTGGTAAAAGGAAATAAAGGTCTAAGCAAATATGTTCAAACTATTCACCGACTTGAGAAATTCAACTATGACCTTTTGGCTCCATACTATGAGCCCAGTGAGCATAAGGAATTAAATAACCTGGCACGGAAATTCCATGTTACCTTCACCGGATCTACTAGCACTCTTTCAAAACCATTAAGTCAGCTACATTTCTTCATTTCTCAATGGAAAAAGCCAAGCACCGGGTTTCTCGGTGACCCTTTTAATGACCCAGCAACAACCACGTTTACAAGACTAACAAGGTTACCCTGTTCGTTCACGTTGAAACGCAATGGCTCTGTCTACTCTGTCAACAAAGACATTTTTGACGATGACTCGGGAAACAAAATATTAATGTCACTTGGAAAGAGCTTAGAAACATTTCTCACAGTTGATAAGCAAGAATTCTCCCGATTCTTCTATGACAACCCAACCGGCTTACAGCCATCTCAGCCAGTCAACTTGTATAATTACTCAAAGTTCGGCAGTATCCTCATGCGTTCGCAGCTCGACTGCTATGATCATCGTGTAAGTCGATCTGGCATTTTTGATTTAAAAACACGAGCTGTTTTTGGTGTCCGAATGGACAGAGAGCATCCTGAGCTTTATTCCAAATTCAAAATTTTGGGAAGATCCGGTATCTATTCGTCTTTTGAACGTGAACAGTATGACATGATACGGTCATCGTTGTTGAAATACAGCATTCAGGCACGCATTGGCAATATGGCGGGTGTCTTCATCACCTATCACAACACACGGGTCATCTTTGGTTTTCAATTTCTCGCATTAGATGCTATGGACAAAGTGCTGTATGGTTCTTCAACAGTTGGCAATCAGTGTTTTTCGTTAACAGTTCAACTCTATGAAAACATTCTAAAAAGATCAGTAGCAACATATCCAAAAGCTAATCTTCGGATTACATTTTACACTACGAATAATACGGAACCAAAGCTGTTTGTGTTTGTTGAAAACCTAGATTCAATTATTCCGGCAAAGTCTGCTTGTTCATCGAAATCCGCTGACAGTTCGACCCGTTCACGTACAGAAGACAGTGATAAAACAACGAAACGGCAACATATACACCCCACAAGCTGTTATGTTTACAGCCTCCGTCACAATCTGAACGGTCAATGGGTAAAATCATTACCGCAAAGCATGCTTACAACAAAAAATTGGTTCGTTGATTACGTTTGTGAGAGTATGACAGACGAGTCTCATATGCTTTCCATACTTGATCGGCTAAACAGAACTACTCGGAAATTTGCGGAAAAGTCTGCCAAACCATCTGCATCACTTCAATTACTTCTCCAACAACTTGCTTCCAATCCAGCTCTCTATAAAGATTTCAAAGTGATGAAACCTCAAACGCTGTATTAAACGGTGTGTTTTTATGCCCGTCTTTCATGTTTCGATTCCATTGCCTAGAACCTCCTTGACCTTACTCTTCCAACTCTCAAAGCTGCGAACATCTAATCTTACTAACTCTTTTGACTATTAAACAAATAGAAAACACAATTTTTGATCGTTGTCTGCTTACTTTTATCCTCGGAACTCGGCTTTGAGTGTGTTTCTATAAAATACCGAGTGTACCTTTTCACTTTCTAATCCCCCTCTCTAAACCCTTTTGGCGACCTTTCCGTTCGTTACATTAAAGATATTATTTTAGAAATGCTAGTTCCGCAACAGTTTCCGCTTTCCGTTAACGCCTCATCTCAGGACTATTTGCTGACGGAGTTGATTTACTTGGCAAAGGATTTTGTTGAGGAAAAACTGGGTCCGGACACTCCAGAGGAGCAGAGGGACATGCACACCTTCAACTTTCTCGAAGCCATTGGTTTTGAAACGGGAAAGCGATTCACTGAAAGGTTTGTCCATCATCTAAAATTTGCTAGACGGAAAACAAAGCGATATCTAGTCTACTAACAACCATTATCGTTGCAGAATCATGATTCAGCATGTCAGATTGACGACTACGCTCGATATGATGAGATTCATCTGTCGTGAAGCCTGGGCTATCGTGTTCAAGAAGACAATCGACAATCTTAAAACCAATCGAAAGGTGATTAACGATTCTCAGAAACCGAAAGTTTCTGTTTCACATGGTTCCACAGCTCAGTTACTAACATATATCATAGGGCATGTTCATCCTGACGGATAATAGCTTTTGTTGGTTTATGAGAATGGCCCAAATCCCAGAGACTGAATTGACAAAGACTACAGCACCGTTCCTCTGTTGGCCGGCAGGATTTGTTCGTGGCGTTATGCAGGCTTTTGGTTACGAGGTTCAAGTTGCTGCTCATTGTCCTTCATTGCCTGTAGCCATTTTTCAGATTAAAGTTCTTCCTCGTGAACCCCGGTTACCACAAGGAATGGCTAGTTTGTCTATTTCTGACAAGTCTTCAAGGTCCTATTCTATTTTCTCCAACTCCTACGATTACAGAACTCGCTCAATTGCCTCTACAACGTCATCCGAGAAGTTGGATACAAACGCTTCCCAAGCAGGAACATTATAACCGGCGAGCTCACGTAAAAAATTCCCTCGGATAGATAACTTTTGTGTTTTGTATTGTCTGTTGTCACTAGGTACGCACATACACACACACACACACAATCAACCATTTACTTTTCGATCAATAACTTGGTTATTGATATTTCAACTATCTACATGAAGGACTTGTATAGATACCATTTACTTTTTAGCAGCCTCCAAACTGTTATGTGTTAGCTTGAGTCAACTCTGCAAACATAGAAGCCCCTATTTACCTTTTAATTATTTGAAAGTTGCAGTCAAGATAACGCTCAACGCAATTCGCTAAGCATTGTTCCTCGTCTTTACCAAGCTTGTCATTGACCTTGGTGATACACTTTGGCCAACAGATAGAGGTAAAGTTGTGAATTGCTTTGGTAATTCTGTTAGATCAATAAAAACAAAAAAAAAAAAGAAAAGGCGAAGAAATCGGGATAGAGAACGGTCAGAAATAAGAGTGAATAGCCATAATGTCTGTTAAATGAACGTGAGAGGTATACGACAGGTAAACTTATGAAAAGAAAAAGTGTTACCGACTCAATTACTCTTTCATTCCTATCGCCCGTATCATTCAGCTTTACTGTTACAAACCTTGTTGAAGCTTGGCCTTTTGTTGTTCAGTTTCAATAAACTTTGCAATTTCTTGTTGTTGTTTTGATGAAAGTTCGCTACTGGGAGCGCCTGCTTCTGGACTTGACATGACGGAAATTCGTGAGACTTCGTAAAGCAAAAGAAAACAGAGGAGGAAACGTTAATGAACGACGGCTCTTTCGTGAATTCTGTGGCCTGAGTTGTGTGTTGCTTTGCTACTCTTCAGCAGAGAGGTCACCACCAGTTGTAAATAATAAGATGGGTTTGAAATTGAAAGTTTAGACACCTGTACGGAGTCAATGCCAGGAGGTTGTAGGGAGAGATAAACTGTAGGTAAAACGCTCATATGTTTTTGAGATTAAGATGGAGAGTTGGATGGGTACAAGCTTTCCAAGAACCGAATATCAATTCATTCTTTTTACAAGGTGACCGTGAGGATGGTACGGTTAAGTAGATATAATGTCGACCAAATGACCTGGTAAATTAGTTTGGGACAAAAAACGCTCCATATGAACAAGTGGTTTCGTAATATCGTGCACGAAGTACATAAAAAGAACAAGCATGCCGTGCTAAACAATGCAAACAACATGGGTTTTGTCTGTTTTGCTTGAATCTCATACAGAGTCCACCAGAGAGGACTCGAAAACACAGAATAAAAGAGCAACATGCCGACAGGAAAAACTCGATAGGAGCTTAATCCATTGTAGGCATTCATTAGGTCGATAGACGAGAGAGAATTTGAGTTTCCACTAGTGAAAAATGACATTTGCTCGTACACGAATCGCAAAAGGAAGGAGTAAGTGCTTGAGGTTTGCGGAATCGTACTGTGAAGAATGTCATATAAAACGTAAAGAATAAAGTTGTTAGCTGGGGTTTGCAGTAATAAGAACACTCGTAAGGATTGCAGGAAAACACGACGACGACGAGAGAGAAGTATTGCTGCGATCAACAAAGTGAAACACAGTCTGGCGACATTCACCTGCAACGTTGTATTCGCAATCAGGCCAATGGAAAACGCTGGGTACAGCTGCAATGATTTTAAGACATAAACGCAAACGCCCGCCGCAGCAACAAGAAATGAATATGAGCGCTTGCAGACAATGTAAATGGGAAGGAAACATAGTAGTAATGCAAGATAAGGACGACCTACCAATATGTCATCCACTAAACCAGGAAGATCCGCATGCTTTTGACCAGTTTGGTTCCAACGAATGAGTATAGAAAGAGCGACCAGATGGACGATGTTGCGCGGCACAGAATTAAGAGAAAGGAATTGCAATGTTGCTAGAGTCCCCGCACAAAAGTACCAGAATACTTGTTCTTCCTCAACAAAGCTGCTCGAAAACATGCATATGGCGCTTCCAGCGACAATCGGGAGAACCGAAAGAAGTGACGAGTAATCGTGATATAAGGCAAAACCAGCCCAGGTAACGGTTGACAGAAAAAGTAAAACAAGGCCAAGAATCATAGTCTTCAGTTTGTATGAAGAAGCACTTGACGACAACTGTTCCTGCAAGTTGTATAATTGCTCTAAAAGAACCTGGTTTGCAGAATGAAGAGGAGGCCAGAGATCATTAGCCGTCGAAGTGAGTGCCTTTAACTGCTTCAGATTGTGGTATAACACTTTTTCTTGTTCCTGTTCATCCCACAACTTTAACACCTCAGGCACAATCACACCAATGCTGTTTTTAGCAATGGGGATCCCTAAGAGCAATGACAGCGTAGGGACTAAATCGCTCTGCTCGATTGTTCGATAGATAGAATAGGGATTCGCACGTTGCTCTATCGGAATCATAATGTTGGTGTGTTCCAAATCATAGGAAGGGAAAAGTAAAGTCATTGCTGCAGATGTTTCACCGGCAGAAGAACCCCCATGATTGCCAAGCTCGTTCATACCATGGTCACCACACACAACCATCATTGAGTGCGTATTCGTTGAGTGGTCGAGTTCCTGCAGCGATAGGTAGACTTCTTCGATGACACGATCCATTTCGCGAAGCTTGTCTGGCATCAATGGACTCTTGGGTCCATGGAGATGGCCAATATGATCGACTCCAAGGTAGTGCATGATCACCGCGTCCCATGGAAGCTTTCCTTCCTTATCAGTTGCAAGGATATGACCCAGGTGTCTTGTTACATTTGTGTCCACGGTTTCATAATCCGACACAAAAAAGCTTGATGTGCCGTCATAAGCAGTGAACATGTTTGGAAATAGTTTCAGCCATGTGTTGTCCCCGTAGAACTCGATGCTCTTATTGTACGAGACAAGCTGGCGGATCCAATGGTCTTGGGCACTCAAACTGCTTGCGTCGGATTCTGCAATATTCAACAAGGTATCTAGAAAGTTGGGTATGGAGCCCGTTGTTAACGCTTTCAGGCGGGGCATTGTGACAGTAGGAACCCGTGCATAAGATGAAAACGCTAGAGCATGGCTCGAGTTCTGTATAAGTTGTTTCATAAACGACATGGGCGAGTCTTCCGCAAACATGAAATCTGAACGCATGGAATCAATCATTATAAACACTAACCGTTGAACAGCAGCAGTAGGCATATTAGCATCGCGTTCAGCAAACCCAGTTGACGCAACTCGGAAGGGAAAAAAGCTTCCAATGAAGCAGATCAAGCCTGCCAGGCCCAGAAGACACCCAAAGGCCCGAGCAAGGAACATTATATAAGTAGTGAATGAATAATAGTGGAATACAGTACCAGAAGCAAGCTCTTGATTAAACCCCGTTAAACGAGGGACAGAGACGAGAAAATTAGTAATAACGAACGGAGAAGGCTGAGATAGAAGACCACATGCAAAAATAAAACAGCAAGTAGCTTCGTTGACGAACGAAATTATCCAAGGCTATGAAAGCACACAGAAAGTCGAATTTTACCAGCGAAAAAAAAACCACATTAATTCGATAAGCAGAACGTTTTGAGGAAACGAGAGAATGTAAAAGATAAGAAAAAACCACGAGAAACAGAGCTGGTGCAATAAATTATAATAGACGTGTCGCGTTTCATCAAACCTTAATTGTGTATATAGTGAAGCATAGTACACACCGTTATTGTTTTTAAGATATTGCGGAGACTCGCACTATACTGGTTACCGTGGGCTTTCGCAACCTACCGAAGCCTGACGCTGTGTTTCGAACACAAAAAAACAGTCACACCTGGACGTGATCTATGTTGTGGGTGCAGCTTCTCTTGACCACACCCAAAATGGCTGTTGGAAAAAACAAGAGACTCTCCAAGGGAAAGAAGGGCATTAAGAAGCGTGTTGTCGACCCTTTCTCTCGTAAGGAGTGGTACGACATCAAGGCCCCTTCCTTCTTTGAGGTTAAGAATGTCGGAAAGACTCTTGTCAACCGTACCTCCGGTTTGAAAAACGCCAACGACGCCCTCAAGGGCCGTGTTGTTGAGGTGTCCCTTGCTGATTTGCAAAAGGATGAGGAACACTCTTTCCGCAAGGTTAAGCTCCGTGTTGAGGAGATCCAAGGCAAGTCTTGCCTTACTTCCTTCGGTGGTATGGACATGACCTCTGACAAGCTCCGCTCTCTTGTTCGCAAGTGGCAGACTACCATTGAGGCCAACCAAACCATCAAGACCACTGATGGCTACGTTTGCCGTATCTTCGTTATCGGCTTCACTCGTCGTCGCCCCAACCAAATCAAGAAGACTACTTACGCTCAATCTTCTCAAATCCGCGCCATCCGTCAAAAGATGTTCCAGGTCATCCAGAACCAAGCTACTGGCTGCTCCATGCGCGAGCTTGTTCAAAAGCTTATTCCCGAGATGATTGGCCGCGCTATCGAGAAGGCTACCAACAACATCTACCCTCTTCAAAACGTCTATGTCCGTAAGGTCAAGATTCTTAAGGGCCCTAAGTTGGACGCCCAAAAGATCCTTGAGCAACACGGTGAGGCTCAAGACGTCGGTACCAAGGTTATTAAGGATGTTGCTCCCTTGGAGTCTGTATAGAAATATAATTTCTTGATTTCCACGGCATAGGAGAATGTGTTTTGTACTGGGTAGAATAAGGTTTGATAGGTGTCGCATCTTGTGCGGTATGTGGGTTAAGCTCTGTTTTCGTTAAGATAGTAGGTCCGCTTAGATAACTGTAATAAGCTTAAATTCTACTACCACCAACTTTCGTGAGCGTGTAGCGAGTTGCATTTAACCAAGAACAAATCACCGTCTACCGAATTCAAACGGTCATATAGCGCAGCCCTTCCCATTGGAATCGGGAACCTGGTTCATGAAGGACTGTATAAGTTGTCTAAGTTTCTTGCATGTCTGTAGCGCCTTTGGCTTGCAGTTTGTCACTCGAAAGATACTCTTATGCTAAAGTAAAACCGCGAATACGTTTTCAATACGGCGCTTCTGAAAACTGTGAACTGTTTAAATTACCAACTTGAGTGCTCGTAGTTAGTTCATTTCTGCTTTCAGTTGCATTGCAAATCTGGCATTGCATATCACCGTATAATGGCTACAGATGCTAATGGCGTCCTCAAGAACATGCCTGACAACTCACTAAAGTCTCCGCAACCTTCTCGTTTCTTTCACTCTGATTCAGAAAACGAAACTGACTCCGCTTCTACCAGGACTAACACACAAACAGGCAGTAATGATTCTCTGAGTCATCGTTCCCAGTCCTCATCCTCTTCTTCCTCCATCCCAGCACCTACTGCTACATCTTCCGATGACGAAGCATTTCAGGCATATACCAGCATCATAGGTTCGTCTGATGAAAATGCGAAACAACTATGGAATCTTGCAAAAGGTAATCTTGAGGTAGCCGTAAACATGTACTTCGACAAGACTACCTCCTCTGTTCCAGCATCAGACGAGCACTTTCGTTCAGAACCTTCGCCTTTTAACCGTTCCGAAAGTGATGTCGGAACATACAGTTCACCAATCTCTTCACCGAAAAAGAGAAAAAAGCATTCCGATTTTTCTATCTTTCGCGGGGCCCGTAAAAAACAGGCTTTTGAAGCTCCCGTACAGCCCATCTCTAATTTCTTCAACAGTTCAAAAAACAACAGAAAGTTTGTTGGTTCCTTTGGTGCCGAAGCCTGGTCAAGCGTTTCCGGACACCGGCTTGTTTCGGCTGGTGAACGTGTGTTTCTTGAACCTCAGAAGCTTAATGCTCGCATAGGCCGCGGCGGTCGGAAACGCTCTAAGAATCACTCCAAATCCAATTCAGAAGCCCTGCCCGGAACACTTGTTCGCTTCTACAGTGAGAAACATGTAGAGGTCGGACGTTTACCCAAGGAGATTGCAACTATTGTTGCTACTCTTTCGCATAATGGGTATTGGTCTTTCGAATCGAAATGTATATATGCAGACGAAGAATTACATATAGGGAGCAACATTACTCTGCAGCTTTATTGTTTCCTTGATTTAGAAGCATTGTCCCATCGCTCACCCGTAAAGTTTGCATCGACAGTGGAAGAAGAAGGCCATTATACTGATTTGGTTAGACGTCAACGTGATTCTTTGCTTCATCTTTTATCTTCCATCGCTGCCGTCCCCATAAAAAAAGCCATAAAAAACGAAGATAAGTCTGGCCCCTTGTATACCGATATCCTTGAAGCATCCGCAAAAGCACAAATACCATTACCGCTTTCTCAACAAAATGAAACTCCTGATACAGAAGAAGATGAAGTTATAGACGATCAATTAGCAACTCTTTATACAAAGGCTCAAGTCTCATATGCTAATCTTCCTTCTGCTGAACCGCCGAACAATTTCAAGCTTCAACTTCGTGGCTATCAAAAACAGGCCCTCCACTGGATGTTGGAAAAAGAACGGAAAGCTGATTCACAAGACGATGATGCCGCAATGCATCCCCTTTGGGAGCAATTTCGGTTCCCTTCTGCTCCTACTGATGAACTTGAAGGCATCGTTTATGATTCTGCCGACACGACACATGAATACTTTTACGTAAATCCTTACTCGGGGGAGGTGTCCATTCACTTTCCTCGTTCTTCTGACAAGGCATACGGTGGCATCCTGGCTGATGAGATGGGTCTTGGAAAAACAATTGAAATGCTTGCGCTAATCCATTCAAGACCGTCTGATGAGAATGTTAAAGCTGATCATAACACAAAGCAACCTTATGCATCCAAAACAACACTCATTGTTGCACCTATGTCTTTGGTCGACCAATGGAATCGTGAAGCACGAAACCTTTCTGAAGAAGATGCATCAGAAAAAGTACTGGTCTATTATGGTGCTGAAAAAGAAATTGATTTACGCTCAGTATTACTTCGAAAGACAAAATCACCAATGATTGTCATCACAAGTTACGGTGTTCTACTTTCAGAATATCAAAGAAAAAACGAAGAGATATCTGGAGGATTGTTTTCCGTTCGTTGGTTTCGCGTTATTTTAGATGAAGCTCATCACATAAAAAATCGACTTAGTAAGACTGCTCAGGCATGTTGCTCGTTGGAGTCGTCCCACAACTGGGCAGTTACAGGAACTCCAATTGTCAATCGGCTTGAGGATCTCTACAGTCTTGTCCGTTTCTTACGAGTAGAACCCTGGTGTAATTATACATACTGGCGCACTTTCATATCCTTGCCTTATGAGTCGAAAGACGTTCTAAAGGCGTTGGACACCGTACAATCTGTCTTGGAGCCTTTGATCTTGCGGCGTACAAAGGAGACTCGTAATGCAGACGGTTCACCAATTGTTGAATTACCTCAAAAGCATGTACATATTGAACGGCTTGAGTTCACGGATCCCGAAAAAGAAATCTATGATGCGGTGTTTGCTAAGGCTCGAACGACGGTTGACGAAAATATCGCCGCCGGAACACTTTTCAAGAATTACACAACTATTCTTAGTCTACTTTTGCGATTGCGACAGGCCTGCTGTCATCCAAAACTCCTGCTTCATAAAGGAAGTGAGGCCGAAAATGCGTCTTCACTTGCAAGCAGTCAAATACAAGCACTGGCAGAAACATTTCAGATTGAAAATCCTCAAATATCATCCGCTTCCTTGGGTCTTAGAAGCACAGATGAACTGAAAAATATCCTTTCTGAATGTCCTATATGTTGTTCAGAGCCTGTCCAGAATCCAGTGCTTACCAAATGTAGGCATGCGGCCTGCGAAAAATGCCTAGCTGAGCATTTGGAATATCAAATTAAGCGTAACATAAATCCACCGCTGTGTCACACTTGTCGACAACCAATCGATAAAAAGGAGGTTTATTCTCCATGTTCAAAGGATGACATATCTCTACTAAAACCTCAAAATTTGAAATGGCGAAGTGTTCATCAACATCAATCCATCAAGCTGACTTCTCTGCTCAAGCACTTACGTCGGGTCTTTGAAGAACATAAAGATGAAAAGGTTGTCATTTTCTCTCAATTTACTACATTTTTGGATTACATCAGCACACTTCTCCATTCGCAAGGCATTGAACACACGCGTTTCGATGGATCAATGTCTCAAATAGCACGGGCAAATGCGCTTGAGCACTTTCGTGACAGCAAAACGAGTAATGTCTTAATCGTTTCGTTAAAAGCAGGCGGTGTCGGCCTTAACCTTACATGTGCCAACCATGTTTACTTGATGGATCCCTGGTGGAGCTGGTCCGTGGAAGCACAAGCACTTGACAGAGTACATCGTCTCGGACAAGAGAAAGCCGTTCATGTAACTCGTTTTATTATTCGCGACAGTGTTGAAGAGCGAATGTTGAAAATCCAAGAACGAAAAAACTTTATTGCAGGCACGCTGGGCATGTCAAAAGAAGAGCAACGCGTGCAATCCTTGCAGGATATCAAAACCCTGTTTGAGTAAGCCTGTCCAAGTCAGGCCGTTCAAACCAAAAAAGCAGTTGTCCCGTCCCTTCTACCTCCATCTCGACTCCCCGAGTCCTCCTGTCTCGCTTTCCCGTCTTCCCCGTATTCATATACTTGTCCAAAATCCATTCTTGAATCACCAAACACACTTGCTTGTCTCATTCTCATCTATCACTTTATGTACGTCGAGCGTTCATAGACTACGACGGCATATCTAATTTTGCTTGAGGTCAGCGTTGATAGCTTGGTACTTTTCGAAGCTCTCCTTGAAAAGGTTGGCATCTAAGGCATTGTTAGTAAATAAAGGTTTCCCATACACCACCGGTAACGATATCACAATCCAATTGTACATACTTTCAGAGTTGGCGAAACGAATAGCAAAAGTCTCAGCAGCAGGCTCACCCTCGCTGACATCAGCAGCAACAGTCCAAACCCAGCTACGGTCACTGCCAACATTGGGAGTCAACTTCATCTCGGGCATCACTAGAGTCGTTGTTAGCGTTATGATCCTGATAGAGAGCATGGAACGGGCATCCTTAGATGCAGTCCAAAGTCGCAATTAAATTCACTTCAAACTTCACTTGTGAATTGTGATCTCGGAAGCAATTGAACCACGTAATCAACAAATGAAGTTTACAGCTCCTTAGACTTCTTTCAACCCGTTCCATATTAAACTTACACAAATGGTTAGCGCAGACCTTAAGAGTCTTGTCACGACGCATGACAAGACGGGTCTTCTTAGATTCCTTGTGTTGGAGAAGACGGGCATCACCAGTACCACGCTCCTTCCACTCATTGTTAGGCTTGTCAAAGCGGAAAAGCTTAGCACGCATCTTGAAGACGACATCTTCGTCCTCCTCGTTGGTCTTGGTCTCAACAGCCGTCAACTTGACGACGGGCTCGAAATGAACCTCAGGTTCAGTCTCATCAGCTTGTTCTCCAGCTTCAGCCTTAGTAGGCTCAGCATCCTTGGGCTTCTCCTCAGTAGTTTCCTTCTTGGCCTCAGGAGCCTTGGCAGAGTCACTGAACACGGCCTTGGCCTCCTCCGTCTGCTTCTCAGTAGCAGCGGAAAAAGCGCTCTTCTCTCCCTCCTTGGAAGTAGTGGTAGCTTGAATATCCTTCTCTGCCGACATGTTGCCCGTGTGCGGTTCTTGGTACGATGGAGTACTTGGAGGAAGAGCTTTATGTGGAAGGCCTCCAGGGTCGAAAGAAGGCAGTTCATTAAATTGTATCGTTTTATAAATATACGGCTCTCTTTGAATATTGCGAGTACATTGGAATATTTTGTTCTGTATACTAGTGTAAGTTTTTGTGAACAGTTTCTTCTTTCCTTTACCAAACTTTCGTTAATTAAGGCGAAAAAAACATAAACACAATGTGGACAAAACGTTGTCAATTTGGGGAAAAACCCCAGAGTTCTGCTTTAAACAACGGAAATGAACTATTAACTCCATATAATTAATACCTCATTATGACATTTTTGCTAAAGGTTTCAATGTTTCTATGAATATCATACACAAACGGCAGCAACCGTTCCCTGTCTTCCCTTCATCATAATCAATGTTGTTTCTCGTGTTAATATTCTTGTAAATAATCAAGATACATAAAAACTAGAAATAAAAGTCTAGTCTAAAAAGCCGCCCATAATGTCTGCCCATTCCTTAATACAGGCACCAGGCTTCGCTTCAATTTCCTCAATGTTTGGGAGACATTCGCAGTTGCAGCCCAAATTTTGGCCACAATGATAAATGTCAGAATGTCTGTAACCAAAGTCACGGAAATAGTGAAGTTGTTCTTTTCGCAAGAGGAGACCTGCCGCTAGGGAGTGAAAGGGAGCATCTCCCCACTAAAACATTAAGTTAGTAAATAAGAAACAAATAGTTAGGTGTAAATATTATATACCCGTTCACGCCAAAATCCTCCGGTTTGTTCCATTTCATGAAAAAATTGTTCGTATTCATCATTCCGAAATAAGTCCAAGTTTGCTATCTCAAAGTTGCTCCAAAAATGACACATGTTGTAGGCATCACCCTCCATCTGTGTAGTTGAATCTGCATTCTCATCCACAAGGAGACCCTTCAGTGAGTTTTGAGGAAAGTTCTTAAACGCATGCATGATTTGAGCTTTCTTATCAATGGTAGTTAACGGCATCGCAGAGCGAGCTTTCTTGTCCTTTTTAGTAATGAAGAAGTCCCATAAATCAGAGTCGAGTTTGTGTTCACGTTTGTACGCTGATACGTAACGAAACATGTTTGGAACTGTGTCTTCTAATTCTTTTATGGCAATCACAAACCCATACATTTTTTTGTTGATGTCCATGTAATAGAAAGGGTCGTAGGTAATGTCACAAGTGAATTCAATGTCAGGCTCAACTCGCCAATACCACTGGTACTTTTGCATGAGTGGATGCTTGTAGAAGAATCTGTCCTTGCGTTAGTATTAAAAATCCAGTTACTTAAACAAACACAATGTGTCCCGTACCCAGAGAAAAAGCGGCACATGTGGTGATAGCTTTCCATATCACCATACATAATTCCAAGATCCCCCTGTTTGGCAATTTCTTCCTTCTCCACTTCGAGGTTTGCCCAGTTTGGAAATCCAAAGCTCTCGGCGTCCAGCGTTCCAAATTCAACAAATGCCGATGTTTCCTTTAACACTGCATCCTTAAAATTATCGTCAAAGGGAACATCGTTTAAAAACACGTAAGGATAGTTGAAGTGTCTGTTGAAATGGCTTTCTACTGAACGCATGGAGGACACGACTCCGTCAACTTCGGAATTTCTTGCCAAGACGACGAATGTAGCATTCATTCGAGGGTGCATTTGTGCTTCCAGGGCGACATTTTTACACCCATGAGAGAATACAGCATCAATGGTTTCATTCAAAGCTCGCAGTGGGGGATGATAAATACTGTAACTAACATGTTTGTATCCAAACCAAAGGGTGAAAAGAGACAAAATCGCCAGAGGTGCAACAATGAGCAGGGAAAACAGACGAAATCGGTAGAATGGATGCTTATTGAGCCGAAGGTTTTGGAAACCGTTACTCAACAAAACCGGAAAAACGCCTTGTTTCCAATGTAACATTGTAACAAACCCAAGCTCACGTTACACACTCTAACGTTCTGGCTGGAATCAAAAACTTGTAAACAAATATAGAAAAGTAAAAGGAATTAAAAAGTAAACAAAAATCATGCCTACTCACATAAACAATAAACACAGAAATTAACAGTCCTCAGATGTATATACAAAGGAATGAAGAGGATGAGAATGAAAGGAATTGGATAAGATACAGTTTCAGTAGCAAAGAATGAATTATGTTTGGGTAGCCATCGCTGATTTTCTAATCCACTGTAAAGTTTTTAAAGCATTGAAATGTTGCACTTCCTGTTTGGAAAAAGCAATGCAAAACTCATTGTACTGTGACCAGTGTTTTGCGAGATCCGGAAACAGAGACCAGTCTACAGTTCCAGAATTGATGACTTTGTTTTTCACAATGTTCCACGAAGCTATAAACTGGTTCATCTCCATAGCATATTTGCACCATTTGATTTGGTAAACTGACATGGCCGTCATATAGTTTCCAATTTCTCGCAAATCATCCATTGAAGGCACGGTATCAGGAGGTAAAGGCACATCGAGCTGCGGAAGTTCAGGAAGGCTAACCTTCCCAGGTGTTGCAGAGAGATCGATGTTCTTAAATAGGTTATCCAAGTTGGAAATGACTTCTGGATCAGTTTTGCCTGGATGCTTGGAATTTCCAGGTCGTCTTCTTCTAGATTCGGCTGGACGTTGAAAAGATTTAGGCGGGGACGGTATGGGCTCTTGCTTTGAAAATGCATTTGGGGAAAAGAAAAAGGGATTTTGTTGAGAATTTCGCAGCTCCTCCGGAGTCGCTTGTTGGGAGAATTTTTGGAAATTGGCGTTCTCAGCATCAGCTGAAGGAAATGAGTTGGTGGGTCGCGGAGGCGTTTGGAAATAGCTTTCAGGTTTCGTTGATGCTTGATTTCGGGTATTTAGTCGACTTCTATTTTGGCGTAAACGAGTACGAGAAGAAGAGGTACCGCTCGCAGCTGACGGTTGAAAGGCGAAAGGATTGTCGGTGTTTGGGGGAATACCCGACGAAGGAAATGTGCTCTCCGGTTTTGGAATCTCAAAAGGATTAAATGAAGAATCTGGTGCAGGATTCGAAGATGGTTCCGGTGAATTGGCAGCAAAGCCTTTATTGGAGGCTGCAGGAGGGACATCGTCTTCATTTAAATTATCATCTGCAAAGGCATTAGATGATTTTGATGCGGCGGGGTCAAACGAGCCGGCTGCTGGGTTTGCATTTTCTTTTGTTTGCTCTGCAGGCTCCGTTTTCGTGGTCCGAATACCAATGCCCGAATGAGGATCATACTTCTGCGACCGGTTTTGGTAAACATAAGAGTAACTAGAAGCGGGCTTTGGTGACTTCGTAGAGGTGTTGTTTTTTCTGGAGTCTCCTGTTCGACGCGAATTAGGAGAGCCAGAAGAGGAAGACGAGGTAGGTCGGTTGTTTTTCCCCCGTGAATTGAACCAGCTCTGTGAGTAAGCTTTATTTTTGTTCCCTGGGCTGTTATTACGTTGACCTTTAGGAGAATTGTATGCACTGTAGGCACTACGGCCACTATAAGATTGCGAGTTTTGGTTTGACGCATTAGATGCTCGTCCTGTGGACTTCCTAGGTGTTGTTTTTGTTTTTCGACCTTCTGTCCGGGTATTTCGTAAGACTTCATGGTACAAACTATCATAAACACGTTTTTTGGATGGGTCACCTAAAACCTCGTGTGCTAGTTGTAACTGCTGGAACAACTGTACATATTTATCCTCTTGGCCAGGGTTTCTATCCGGATGGTATTGTAGGGCTAGCCGCAGGTATTGTTTTCTGATGATTTGCGCATCCGCATTTTGGTCTATTTTTCTAAGGAAACAGAGCGTTAGAAGCTGAAAGTTGTTTGTTTAGACATACAGAATGGCATAATAATTTATTTTAGTGTCACGTTCTGGGCCTATGGACATTGATTACGGCTCAATGGGGTTCCTTGGGTTTGGATGGGTCTTGACAGAGTGATCCTGAAAGAAAAAGGCAGGACGGGAGAGCAAATACTGGATGGAACGGTGGCTCAACACTCTTGCACAAGGTGTAGAAATAAATTAAAAGACATTACGGATCCCGAGGGAATGAAGATTTGGTAGAATATGTTTGTTCATATTTCTTCTCTATAAACTAAAAGTACCAGTATCAGTTATGCGAACAATTCCGTATAAAAACCGCACATAAGTGGTCTAAGGTGTTTATACAATTTCCCTATTTTTCTACTAGAAACATATGTATAGACGCATGAGTAGCTGTTACAATATCTTCAATTCGCAAAAAAAAAAGTTGGGTGCTTTTGAACACAGCTTAAGGCTTGCATCTCTCAGTGAAACGAGGGAACAGACAGCACTCACGAACGGTATAACGGTTAAGAAGCCAGGCCAAGAAACGCTCAAGACCGAGACCGTAACCACCGTGAGGAGCCGAACCATACTTACGTTGGTCGGTAAACCAGTAGTAAGGACTAGGGTCAATACCCTCGCGCTTGTAGCCTGCAAGAAGCTCATCCATATCATCAATTCTCATACTGCCACCAACGATTTCACCAACGTTAGGCATCAGAACGTCAACACTCTCGGTAATTTCAGGGTGACCGGGAACACGCTTCATGTAGAAGGCCTTGAGCTCGGTGGGGAAGTAGGTAAGGAAAATGGGGCGGTTGATTTGGTCAGTCATCTTACGCTCAGCAGCTTCGGCAATATCATCACCGAACTTGTGTTGCTTGCCCTCACCATCAAGGATGTTGTGCTCATTCAAGTACTTGATGGCATCGGCATACTTGAGACGCATGAAGGGACGCTCAGGCATCTTGAAGCCAGGGTTCAATTGCTTGATCAAAGGAGCAGCGACAGGGTCAGCCAAGAGACGTTCAACAGTTTGACAGATGAACTCTTCCAAGTGTTGAAGGTACGTCTCAAAATCAAGGAAAACCAACTCGGCCTCAACATGAGTGTACTCGGACAAATGTCTACGAGTAAGTGACTTCTCGGCACGGAAACTCTCTTGGATACAGAAAACATCACCCAAGGCAGGGAGAGAAGCCTCCAGATAGAGTTGACTAGACTGAGTAAGATAAGCGGGTTGACCGTAGTAGTCAAGCTTGAACAACGTTGAGCCACCCTCAACTTGCGTTTGGACCATACAAGGAGGAGTAACTTCGGTAAGATGGAGGGCCTCGTAAGTGTCGCGAACGGCACGAAGAGCACGAGCACGAACCTTCAGCACAGCAGAGGCAGTTTCACCACGAATGACCAAGTGACGTTGGTCAAGCAAAACACTAGGATCGGCCTCAGCGTTGAGCTGGTTAGTGAAAGCCTCCTCACCAATAGGAGCAGCGTGAACAATGGTATAATAGTCGACGACCAACTCATGACCTCCGGGAGCTGACTTGCCCTCAGGAACAGGCTTCAAAGTACCACGAAGTTCAATGGCACTTTCGGGACCAGCAGTAAGAAATTCGTAGTTGGCCTTTTCGTACACATCGCCGGTCAAAACAGCTTGAAGATAGCCGGTACCGTCACGCAAAACAATGAAAATAATGCCCTTCTGGTTACGAAGACGGTGGACCCAACCGTAAACTTTAACGCGCTTTTCACGAAGAGGCTCCAAGGCGCAAATTTTCGACTCGACGGCAGCAGGAGCATCAGCGGGCTCCTTCAAAACCAAATTCTTGGCAGCTTCCAAGCGAGCAGCGTCGGCAGCCTTAGAAGAAGCAGCCTTAGCAGCAGCAGCGGCCTTTAATTCATCAGCCTTAGCCTTCTTTCTAGCGGCTTGTTCAGCACCCTTACGAGCCTTCTTCAAAGCATTCGTACCAATGGGTTCAAAGGGCTTGCCGGCTTCTTTTCTGATCAAAATTTTGCATTCCTTGTTCGTCTCAACAGCCTTCAAAGCGGTCTTGAAAGGAGCACTTTCAGAGCCGTTTCCGGTCTCATTGTTGCCTGCAACCTCGTCAACGTAGTAAGTGACAGAGGATTCCTCCAGTTGAAGCTTCTCAGCAACCTTTTCAGCCAGGTCCGACATTTTTTCTATTTGGTTTTGGCTAGATGTCGCTCAGCACAAAAAATGCAACGGCTGCCACTGACCACCAAAAGATACGATCACTAACAAGACACCCGACTAGGACAAAACCGAAAGCATGCTCAATCAGCAGTCCATGAATGAGAGGTTTTGTTCCTAAAATAGAAATTCATGTGAGCGTTTTTGAGCGAGGTTCAAATGATTGGATCCAACAATTGAGTGCCTGGAGCATAGACCGTAATACGAACACATCGGTAAAGAGCATGAAGCCGTTTTAAGACTTGCTTTAGAGTCCTCCAAGAACATTTATAATCGCTACGTCGCGACGATTAACCGGTGTGGAAGAATACTACTGAAACTGTCAAACGCGATGAGCAATGATGAAGAGCAGTTCCGAGAGTGCGTGCGTGTATGCATATGTAACGGAGAAAGGAAGACATTGTAGTAAATAAGTAGGAATGGTTTGTAAAATGAAAGAAAATGAATGATGATGCAAAACCAAAATCGGTAAAACGTAAATCAATGGGCCAAAGAAGTCTGTATTGATGTTCAGGAGGGACAAGAAAGAGGGACCACCTGGAGTAGAGAGGCTCTTCCAGTGGTTGCTGACACGGACAATGAAAAACAGTTAAGGAAAGAGGCTGTGAAAGTGAAAGCAAACAACGTATGGTTGCTTATGGAAACGTACGTCACATTTGTATTAGACATTTCGCTCACCCAACTATACTCTTTCCTCTGTACGCGGAGCAAGGTTATTAGTTTCGGTATCCCATGTCAGGTAACGATGATCAGCCAGTTTTCGCGGTTGGAAAAGGTGCCGGATAGTAAACAAGCTGCCAAGAATTACGCAGATGATGCTCACGATGATATACGCGAGGCCTAGGAATGGATTCTTGCCACCTAGGACGGAACGCGTAGTGAGTACAAGGCTCTTCGTGCCATCATATGCTTTAACCGGGAAATGAAGACCAATCTTTACGGAATACAAACCGGCCTCTAGCACATCAACGTCATTCCGGCGGGCAAGTTTGTTAAAGGTTGGCAAACCTGCGGTACGCATCCAAACCTGCAAATTCTCCATCGACGACAAGTCAGGCATATTCTCGACCGTGTAACCGTTGGGATAGCGGGCAACCCAGTTAGGCGGAGGAACAACTTCATCTGGTTGATACTGGGTGCGCTTGAATCTGTGCTTGTCGGAGGGCCAGGCGATGTTTGTATCGTACATGGCGAATTCGTTAAGAGAATCGTTTCCACCCTCCAAGCGTTCTAGTGATGAGAAAGAATCGTTGAATAAAGAATTAGCAATGAGACCACATGGATAGTAGGGTTTTCCATCTTCGTTTGTTTCCAATGGCGAACATCCACCTCCTTTAATATCTTCTGCTGTACGCGCCTCTCCACGCAATTGCTCTTCGTCTAAGCTTTTGACGTACCGCCGATGATTTTGGTAAAAGTTCGTTAAACGGTAGTACATAAACAACGGAGGATTGAGATTTACGGGCACAGCAAATTTGATTTGGCAAGTGGTCACGTCCGTGCTCAGAGATGAGTCATACACTGAAATTAATTTCCAGTGAGGCACATAATTTCCGTAAATGGACTGCATATTCGAGAATCTGCTCTTCACATACGAATTAGGTATTTCGCTGTAAGTACTAGTAGCAACCGACGAACAATCCGTGTAGTCAATAACGAGTTCTTGTACCTGGGAACTAGCGTACAACAATCCGCCGCCAATTGGTGCAAAAATGATTCCGAGAACGAACAAGAGAGGAAGAACGGTCCTCGGGGTAAGGATAGGTTGCCATGATTTCAGTCTTTGTTGACGAAAAGAGGTGTTAGGGCTTGACAAGGTTAGTCATCACATACAATACCAACGATTAATATTGAGAAAACAAACATACGGCTTGCGGCTCTTCTGAGCTTCTTTAGCCATGTCTTAACGTAAAAGAAACTTCCGTATTCTTGTGAAAACGACAAGCAACCAGGCCACAATTGCTTGTTGTTAGAGTTGGTAGTGAAAACGTTGATAATTCGCGTAGCCCGACGGGTGCATAGATAAAATGTTAATTAGGTCTACGCCGATTCTATACATGAAAAATGCTTAAATGTTGTTCGTAAAAATATACGGAGGGATACTGTATTATATAAATGCTGTTTAATGTGAATTAATTTAAAAAAAAACTGTTTTTTGGCTGAACTGTAGTAAATAGGCGGAAAAAGAAAGTTTACAGATGTGTATTGTTAATAAAAAGGATGCTTTAATCATGTACAAAATAATAACTCGTGTAAACTATTATTACTACGCCGAGAGAATGCTTCGAGTAATAGATCTAAGGATAACAAGCGAAACGTCTATGTGGGACACCGAGTAGAAAATGTACCCATGAATTTGGCCTGCCATATTTAATACATTCAGGAGCTCGAGTCGCCCGTTGGTTGCGATAACTATCGCTAAGCATCAGTCCGGATATCGTCCACTGAGAATAAGAGTTCATGTATCTCATAGTGAACAATTTCGCTATCCCTTCTGTCTTTATTATAAGAAGTCCCAGCTCCTAAGCATTTGGGTTAAAAAGTTGGCAAGCACTGAGAAGCAAAAATAGTTCAGAAATCCTGTTAGCAATGGAATTTCAAGTTGGAGACTGCATACCCGACCTGGTATTATTGAATGAAGACGAGCAAGAGGTTTTCCTCCGCAAAATCATTCAGGATAAGGGACTTATTATCTTTGCTTATCCAAAAGCCAACACTCCTGGATGCACAAAACAAGGTTGTGGTTTTCGCGACAATTATCCAAAACTTATGGAGGCCAATTACGAAGTTTTAGGCGTCTCCTATGACTCTTGCAGAGCCCAAAAGAATTTTAAAACAAAACAAAATTTCCCCTTTCACCTATTGAGTGACAGAGAAGGTACTTTGATACAAGCCCTGGGAGCACGCAAGCCTGATGGGAAGTTATTTCGGAGTCATTGGGTCTTTGAAAGGGGAACCGGTAAATGTTTGAAGAAGTGTATAGGTGTAAAGCCATTGGAAAGTGTAGAGGATGTCATTTCTCTAGTCACGAAGTAGTCGTGACCTTGCCTTTAGAAGAGCATCTATCAAAGAGATATAATTACCTACAGTACACATGAACCCGACCGTCCAAGCCAGCAGACAGTAGGTATTCCTTTCCATCGGGAAACATCTTTGTCCACAAAAGTGAGGATACACCTGTTCCATATGAACCAGAGTGAGTAGAAAGCGTAGCTTTGTGAGTAAGCTCGTTGTGCATGAGGGCAAACAATTGGACTGTTCCATTTAAGTCACCAATAGCAAGTTCTTGTCCATTGTTGGAGAAACTTGCCGTGGTAGGGACTGTTTTAGAGATAGATTGCTTATGTACCAGTTTTTGTGAAACGACATCGAAGATGCGCAGTGCACCATCGGTATGTAGAGTCATTATTTTGTTTTCATTCATTAATAAAACGTGTGTGACTGAGCTTGGCTCATCCTCATCGTAAGCAGCAATTGTATGCGTAACGTTAAAGGTTTCAAGGTCATACATACGCAAGTAACCATCCGACCAAGAAACAACAAGACGGGTATCATAAATGCTCATACACTCTGGTTGTGTTTTTTCCAGTGTTACCCTGGTAATCTCCTCACCAGTAAGTTTCCATGCACGGATAGAGTTATCAAGACACAAACTCATTATGGAAGGAGTCTTGTTCTTGTCTTCAAAAACGAGAAGCTGTTTGATGGGATTGCCGTCCAAGTCAAGAATAAGGCTATTGTCTGGGCTTTCTGTAGAGGGCGAGGATGGATGAAGGGATGGTAATTTCCAAGCCCGCAAACAGCCATCAGAGCCGCTCGAAAATATGCGCCGAATATTTGTGGGAAAACAGAGTGAAAGAACAGATCCCTTGTGTCCTACGTAAACCGCAGCAGGAGTGGGAAATTCGTTAGAGGTATTAGAGTCAAAGATACGGTAAAACTTAACTTGTCCATTGTCGTCACCATACGCAAAGCTAGGGACACTGCTACCAAAAGACTCGTAGGCCAGACAGCGTACGGGTGAAGAATTGGTAAGCGTACACACGGTTTTCCAGGAGTGATTGAGAATGGGAGAAGGAATTGCGTTTTTGCTCAAAGACGGTGCGATGGGTGTTAACTCTTCAGTCGTGTCTATTTCGTTCTTTAAGGGCGAAGGAATGGGTTTCTGTTTTGCAGCGGCAGGGTCAAAGATTTCATCTTCAATCAAGTCATCATGGATATAGGCAGCATCTTCATTGTCTTGTTTCACAGGACTCTTTACCGGGACTTCCTCGTTAACAGAAGCCCCGGAATGTTGTAAGGGACAGTTGAAAGCTGCTTGCTTGGAAGCAATCATCTGTTCATTTTGAGCAGCGAATTCCTCGGGCCAAAAAGAATTGTATGAATCTGCTGACAATTGTGGTTGAATATTGGTCATATACGTGATCTCTTGAATGCATTTTTTAATAAAGTTTTTGCTTTGTTCAAGAACCTTGGAAAGCTTGTTGTTATCGGATTGGAGAGCCAAATTGGATTCGAAAAGAGCACTCAATTCATCCGCTTCCTCATTATCCGATTCAGACTTATTATTAGAAATAGTTGGCGAGTTCCGACGAATAGCATTTTCCAGCATCTTTGTTCGTCGAGCATGAAATTCAACAAGTTGCCTCAACTTTGCGTTGTCTGTTTCCAGCGATGCAATTTTTCGTCTCATTTCTGTCTTTTCAATTTCATTTAAGTTCCGTTCTCGCTCAATCCTAAAATGTTCTCCTTGCAGGAAGCGAATGACTCGAGGAAGCGTATAATCCGATATGCCAGTCTCCATTGTTGCAGTTTGTTGATAACCACTTAACATAATAGGCTTTAATTACTCGTCATTAATGTACAACAGCTCTTCTAATATGCGAACTGTTGTTAGCTTCCTTTTTTTCAACAATCTGTAAACTGGTGAAGGGTAAGTGGACTGTAAATCCTTACTACGTACGGACTAGGACAGAACAGGAGGGGAAAATATGACTCTAAGTATTAAGTGAACCTATAGTACAGAATAGACTTTATTAGATTAATTTATTGGATATATTGTTCTACAGATTATATTATATAAACTATATTTTTTTGGGATATTGGTTGAAGGAAATTCATTAATAGAAAAAAATAAAACTATTGGTCATTAAGATTTATAGTAAGGAAATTGAAGACATTAAGAAATGATGTGAATTAACCAAAGTTAGCTTATATAGTAAATGGTACACTCATCATTTTGGCTTTTGCTTGCCTTGTGTAACAGAAGCAACCAATTCGCGAGGCAGATACTGCAAAGCCAATGCTTCTAAAGACGTTTTTTTTGTAATCTTCCTTTGTCTAAATTAGTTAGTAAAGTAGAAAGAGGCGGAGAATGATTACCTTTTCAACAACAATATCACATCTTCCGAGTTTATGGTCTTTCGACTTGCGTGGTCGGCATAGGTCTCCAGGTCATGAAGCATTTGAGACATAAACTTGTTAGAGATTGACACAAGATGGTCCATGGCTGAAGCCGAAAGTTTCCGAGAAGAGAACCGATGTGCTAACTTACGGATTGCGATAGTTGGAAGAAAGCAATCATTTGCGTGAGTCCGTTTAGGGACTCGGAACACAGGATTAGGGAAAGGTGGATCATTCGGATGTTGTGGTGCAGCTGCAGATTCTGCAATTGTCTCTACAGGCGGAAAAGCTGAAGGTGAAATATTGATATCATGAAGACTAGGGATCTCTTGCTGTTCATCATCAAGCGGGGGAAGAATAGGTGAGCCAAGTTGATCTGCTTCAAGCACATGTTGGTTTTCACGCTCGGCCTGTTGCTCCTCTGCAAGTGCTTCATCTAAATGAATAGATAGTTGAGCCGATGAAGCAGACATTCTAATAGAGGGCTCGTGGCGTATGGAAGGTAGAGAATCATCTCGGAGAAGATCGTCGGGCAGTGTGAAAATGGGACTTTTGAGAGAGGAACGTTCAGCGGCGCGTATAGTTCTGTGTACATCAAGTGTTAGTTATACGCCTATTAACGAATAAAAGGAAGGTGGTTAAAACGTACTCTGGATCTTGGTCTGGTTCGATACCAGATAATGAAACATGGTAAACAGGCTCTTCAATATCATCATCACCTCCTACATCCAACAACCGGTCCTTGGATGGCTTAAAATAAGCTTGCTTGTTCGTTGTCATCGAAACGAACGACGAGGAACTAATTCTTCGAACATCGGGAGTCAATAGTTCACTGAGTCGATTATTTAAAGCTCGTCTAGGAGCTTCGATACTTTGGACACTGATTTCGGCATCTTCTTCTATAGCATTTTCATGTTGTTGAGAAAGGTTTCGTCTATTACGGATTGGAGTAGATTGCTGCGAATTACTCCGCGACGAAAGTCTGCGTCGCACAGAATCCACTGCATGAGAGGAATATCGTGATGGAAGCGGTGTGTTTTCAGCTGAAGAAGGTGATGGTTCAGGATGTTTCGCAAGCATTCGGCTGAGGAGTCGCAAATTGTCACGAGGAGTTTTTGTGAATGCTTTCCCGGCCGATGACGATAGTGTTCGACGTTTCTTTACTGAATTCTGAAGAATTAATGCTCGTTGCTTATATGGGGTAATTCCTCCCTTGAGCGAAGCACGATTAATTTTTGAAGATGACGGGGTGTAAAGCCGTTTGCTTGACAATGATCCAACTAGTTTTTTGTACGGCGTTACTGAGGAAATACGTTTAGAAGTTACAGTTGGTGATTCCTCAGGACTCATGTTAGAGAACCAAAGTTAAATGCCTACACGGGCGAAGTATGATTAGATGGGGAGTACGGATACCTTAACAATTCGTCGTTTCTAAGTCTTAAGTAAACGGGGAAATCGATCAGGACAGAGCGTATGAATGCCAAAAGGAAGTAAGGAATACTTTATGATGACTGCAGTCTTTCTGGGAAGCTAACTGAAAACGTTTGGATTTTGTAAGTTTGGGTTCATTAAAGTTGGATAGAGTTTTTAAGCGAGAGAGAGAAGAATTGCATTTACGAGGTTGTGAGTAATTCACTGGTAGAGAAAGCTTGCATCTTTGTCACGAAGGTTGTTGACATGTGTTGTAGCACCGTATACTTCTTTTTTTTTTTTTATTATTTTTTTTTCGTTACATTTGTATTCAGCAATTGGTTTTAGGATTTATTTATTTTCAGATGAAGTCTAAATGATAAAAAGCATTGACTTTGGTTTAACACTATAACCTGTAGCAAGAAAATATACAACGAGGAAACAATTGAACTGTAGAGAAATAAATTTTGATTTAATTAATATAAAATATGAAATAAAAAATAAAAAAAACCGCCGAAAAATATTCAATACTCATTTAAGTCTTACAAGTATAGCTAAAAACAGAACAATTTAAAATCTCGAGACTTTACTAATTCGCAAATTCAGTGTTCTGCTACTATCTACATACTCACCTTCACATATCAAAGGGGAAGCTCACACTTTCCAACGGTAACCACCTTTTCCTTCACTAAACACCTACGAATCCCAATATTAGCTCGTGTTGTTTTCTATTTATTTTTTCTTTTTGCATTCAAACAGTTCTTTCCTTCGATAGATCCAGTTACACCAACATACGCAAAACATTCACATCAAAATGTCTCAGCTGGAAATTGTCAACTCTGCTCTCGCTGAACTGAAAAAGTATCCCGTAAAGCATGACTTTGAAACACGTCCTGCTATTCCGGGTCCATTTACCAACACGGTATGCTAGAGCAGATTTGAAGAGCCCAAAAGTTCTCAATAACATAATTAACACAGCATTATAGGTAAAGCTGGAGCTTCCTAAAGCAACCTTCCGTTATGTTGAGAGAAAAACATCCAAACAAGGTACGTACAGATATGAAGGTTTTGACAACCCATTTAAATTGCTTCACTCAAGCCTTACGAAAAGGACGATTCGTTGCATAAAACTCGATGAGAAGGTGCTTTCTCTAAACATTATCTACGTTTACATTCTCTTTGTCATTTCCTTTCTTTTCGTGCACTGTTTACTAACAATGATGACAGGTTCAGACTCTACCGGTGTCACGATTCGTCGTATCGCTACTTCGGATGTTCAAAACGTAGACATCTCCTCTCATTCTACTGTGTATCAATTAAAGGAGCAATTATCAAATTCTTTTCACATTCCGTTAGCTAATGTCAAGCTTCTTGTTGAGGGCAAATTACTAGCAGACACCTCTGTACTCGACGACGTGCTTGTTAACACTGAGGTTAACGACATTCAACTCGTATTAGTTCAGTAATTAATACTGATGTATCTATGTCGCCTTTCTCGGACATTTTTATTAACGTATCCCATCGTCCTTTACCAACGCGTCCTTTTCCTCTCCCGCATAGACCGCTCGCTGCCTGCTTTCGGGTTTTTGGTGGTGAACAAGCGGACCGGATACCTTGGATGTCCACACCATAGTATAATATATTCAATAGGGAAGCGTTTTCGTCCATTTAAAAGCATGTAGATGAATTCAACGTAGTTTTCGACACCTGTTCCTTTTTTCCAGGCTTCAAAATACACACTTTTGAGGTTTCCAACCTATCTCCGAGCTCAAGGTGTGGTTCATAGGCGCCTTTTCAGCACCACTCAACTGTAACCTTTACCCACTACCGTTTTGTTTTCCCCCGTTTATTTGTGCCGTTTCGCGCCAATTCTGCGTGTATTATTTACGAAACATAGCATACGAATTAATTCTTGCTAAAAACGAACTTTGTCTGCTTAAATTCAGTTCTTTTGTCGTCGTTTGCCATTATCGTCTCTAGTCACGTCCGGCTGTTTACCATTCTTTTCTTGTTTTGATTAGTATTGCTTTCTCTCACTCTCTCTCACACACTCTCTTAAATTATTTACGGACCGTTATCTGTTTTCCTCGTATTCTACTGTGTGTAATTCGCACCTATTTCTCTAATGTCTTCTCCTCTGAGTTTTACCACCGACGAGCAGCGAGTGTATGGACAACTGTTCTCTCTTGCGGACAAGCAGGATCTTGGCGTTGTAACCGGCGAAGAAGCCGTTCCATTTTTCGAAAAATCTGGTCTTCCTCCTCATGTTTTGGGACGCGTCTGGCAATTAGCTGACCAGGAAAATCGCGGTTTTTTGGTGAAAGATGGATTTATGCTTGCTATGCGTTTGATCGCATTGGCTCAAGACAACAAATCTCTTGATTACGAACAGTACAAGACCTTTTCTCGTTTCCCTTACTTCAAAGACATTACCACCGTACCTGAAGTCTCTACGTCTCGCAAGGCTTCCTTTCTCTCAGCCCCTGCACCATCATCTGTTACTGCCTCTCCCATTTCTCCGAATGTTACAAGCTCCCCTGCGGTAGTGAGTCCTTCTCCTGAAGGCAACGTTGCACTACCCCCTATTTCCTTTGCTGACAAGGCCCGTTACCAAACCATGTTCTCCACCGTTTGCCCTCTTAACGGTGTAATGACTGGTGATAAGGCAAGTGCATTCTTCTCCCGCGCGCCTTTAGGAAATGAAGTGCTTGCTCAAGTTTGGGGTGCCGTTGATACCCAAAAGCGGGGTGCTTTGGACGTCCGCGAGTTCAGCGTTGGTTTGCACTTAATCAATTTACTTCTGACAGGTGCATTGAAGTCTGTTCCCTCCAACATTCCTGTATCTTTTCTGAACGCAGCAGCTCCTAACACACCTGCTTCTAACCAAAATGCACCCGCTGCACCCCAATTGCAAAGCATGCCTACTGGCGGCTACAACATCACTTCTCAAGATATTGCGAGCTTCACTCAACTCTTTAACAACATTGATAAGAAGAAACGTGGCTACATTACCGGTGAAGAAGCTTATTCTTTCTTTCTTGCTTCCAAGCTTCCCGAAGAGGTACTTGCTCAGGTTTGGGATTTGAGTGATACCCGTAATAGTGGTCAGCTCAGTTGCGGTGAATTTTGTATCGCCATGTACTTGATCAAATTGAAGCTGAACAATAAAGAGCTTCCTTCTCAGCTTCCTCAAAATCTTCTCGCTTCAGTCGCGTCTCTTATGCCTCAGGCTCAATCATTTCCTCAGGCACAGGCCACAGGAGGTGCTATGCCTGTTCATCGATCCATGACCATGCCTGCTGCCTCACTCAATGTGCCCCAAATGACGGCGCCTGCTCGCACCTCTTCTGCCACAGAGGACTTGCTGTCTCTTGATTTCCCAACAACCGCGCCCGCTGAGCAACCTGCTGCACAACCCTCCAGACCTCCAAGAGAGAACAAAACTGGTCCAGCAGGTGTAGGAGCACCTGCAGCAGCACCCTCTCCTTCCCCTGCTACGAATGATGCAATTCCTCCCTTTACCAACCGTCGTGCTTCCATGCTTGCAAGCTCGACAACTACTCCTCGCTTTGTCCCTCAATCCTCCTTTGGACAATCTTTGGCGCAAAATACAGGTGCTCCAGTAACAGCTGCACCTACTACTGCTGGTGCCGACTTGTTTAACAAGGACTCTGTGAAGGCCCAGGCAGAGGTTGCTACAATGAAGTCCAACACACAGCAATATGTTGAGCAGCGCTCTGCCTTGGAGAAGGAAGCTGCTGATGTTACCATGCAAAAGCAATCTGCGCAAGCCCAATTGGATGAAGCCCGCAAGCAATACGACATTGAGCTTGCCAAAACGCATGAGCTTGAATCGGGTGTGAAACGGGATAGAAGTGCCATTGCCCAAATCATGAAAGATAAGGATTTGCTGGAAGCTACTTTGGCCGCTCTGCGTAAGCAAAATGAAGACAAAGACGTTGCTGTTGAAGAGGCAAAGGCAGACTTGGATGCCGTTACATCCATGCGTGACGAAATCAAAAAAGAAACAGAGGCTCTTCAAGCCGACATTGCCGCGAAGGATACTTCTGTCCAAGACATGAAAAACGCTTTAGATTCCGTCACCCAAGAGCTTGTTGCAGTTGAAACAGAGCGTAATGCTTTGTTGGAAAAACAACAGGCGGTTGAGCGCGAAATTGTTTCACTTCGCGAAAAGCTCAATGAAACGAAGCTTGCATTAGAACAACAGACAGTTCAGCTCGATCAAGAGAGAAAGGCTTTCAAGGAAACCGCAGAGGAGGCAAACGCTGTTGTGGAGGAGCTCAAAAAGGCGTCCGCAGTGCCTGTACCCGTGCCTGCCTCAGTTCCAGCTCCTGTATCTAATCCTGTCCCTGCCATTCCCGTTCCTCAGGCTGCCAGTCCACAAATTGCGAACGTTGCTCCGGCCGGTAGTGCGACAAATGAGACACCTGCACCTACGACACCGATTGCTAGTAGTTCTTCTGTCGCACCTTCGTCTAGTGCGGCAATGGCCGAGACGTCTTCCATCAGTAGTCGTACATCCAATGCTGCTCGTCCCAGCAAGTCTCGCAATCCCTTCCATCACCTCAAGGGCCAAAGTGCAAGCTCTCCTCTGTCAGACTTCTGGCAAAACGAGTTCTTTAAGGATGCTGCCTCAAATTCTCCCGTACTCGCAATACCCAAATCCCAGCCCGCTGATGTTCATCCTGAGAATGACTCTCAAAACCTGTACTCGGCTGAAAAATTGAACGTTTCTCAGAACATTGAGATTCCGACACCTAGCATTGCTACGAGATTGACGTCGTCTCCGACCTCCGTCTCTGCTAATCCTGAACCCGCTACCCCTCCCAAGACCCGTGCTGCCGTACCTCCCGTGCCCCCTGCACGTCGTACTAGTCTCTCTCCAGCAGTTCTCGCTTCTGTTGTGATCCCTGAGCAACCAAAAACAACGGTTCAGCATGAGGACGAAGAGTTCCCGGCTATTCAAGAGTTCGAAGTCGGCGAAGACAGCAGTTCAAGTGAAGACGACTCGGAGTCCTTTAAGGACATTCCCTCGGACGTAGACGATGCCACATTTGATCGCACCAAAGAGCGCCAAGGCCCGAGTAACCAACCCGCAGCTGTTGCCGGTGAGCGTGCCGCTTCACCTCTCCACAAGCCTTTTGATTTTGAAGCAGCCGATAAGGAAGACTCGGATGTTGATGAAAACTTGTCCGAAATCTTGAAGGGACAGCAAGCCCAAGCTTCGAGAAAAGCTAACGAGGACCTTGATTTCGATAAGGAGTTCGAGAACCTCGAGATTGCCAAGGAGGTGAATGACAACGATGATGAAGCATTTGAACAAGATGCTGACACGACCACGAAATTTCACTTTTAATACATCGACTATTAAGACGTTCCCGTACTACATATGAAAACGAAGGGTTGTTGAGAGTGTGGTAATGCATAATACACTGAAACAGTGAAACATCAACTAGTTCATGATCACGAGGACAATAAAAGCAAAAAGAGGACCCTGCCCAGGGACAGACACCAGTGACAAAACAAAATAATACCCTTCCCAACTACACTCTTTAACGCTCGCACCTCAATACGTTCTTACACGCCCACACATAAGCACAAATGACTACAATTTACTCGACATTAAGACAGCACAAGATTGTCATTTTTAAACCTCGACCATTTCACGGAGACGACGGATGGTAGAGCGAGCACTGGTAGCAGCAGCGGTGGAGACAGTCCAGGCACCACCGGCAATAGACTTGCCACAGTTCTTACCAGTGCACTTCCAGATACCTAAGTATACGTTAACACACACGTTCCAACATTAACATCGAAAACAACTTACCAGCAGCTACACGCTTCACGGTAGAACGACCGCAGAAGGGGCATTGGTAACGAGCATGTTGCTGAACCTCAATCTTGCGGATATCACGACGGAGAGAGGCACCATAACGGACACCATACTTGCCGGTAACGCCAACCTTTTTCGTTCTCTTGGTCATCTTGCCGATTGGTTTTGTGCTGGGGATAAGAGAGTTGTGAAGCTAGGAAAAATAAAAATGCTACACCGTGACTGCTTTTTGAGCAACACAAAATGATGACATGGCGACAGCAGCTGCGAATAAAGTTAAATGAAAACGCGCTACACGTAACCGAGCACTCAAAGTAAGTCACTTAGGGTAGGGCAGTGAAGTGGAAGGCGCGGGTCACGCACACTGTTGTAACGGTATAGCTCTGTAAAACACAGTATTCCACGTTGAAGCGCAGTAGCCCTCACAAGAACTCCTTAAACATAAGCAATGACAAAACAATAATGAAACAAAACATAACTAAGCATCTACAACAAGTCTCGCACGGATGGTTGCCTCAATGACCGCTCCTCTTTTGTCCTTATAGTATTTCCCTCGCTCTCATGCTCCCTGCCATACGTGTGGGAACACTCTCACAGTACTTGTAATTCGTAATGATCAAAAAATATTTATATCGGCAAAACAGAAATGGTGAGTGGGTATATATGTTCGTAAAGGAGCAAGCACGATAGAAAAGGATGTCTGCTCTTTGAATAGGCGCTAAAGGCGATGAGTGGGAGCGAACAAATCGTCAGGTATCAGTAGTGCTGCTGGTTGGTATATCGACATATGAATTAAACTTTGATCGCAGGGGCGGCGGTGTATACGTGTACGTGTGTGTATGGGTATGTTTGTAGTGCATGCGTCAAGGCGGCGTACGAGCAGATACTCTCACATTCACCAATTTTTTCCAAGGTGCGTGTTCACGACAGGTCGAAGTGATTTGATCATTCATCACCGTCTCGATAGGCGTGAGACGCACGAAAAGCGACTTGCTCTACAATGCAAAGAATAAGCACGACGCCTAGTACTCCTCTTCCATATAATCAGCGTCCATAGAATCTTGACCAACTTCTTCGTAATCACGCTCCAAAGCAGCCAGATCTTCACGGGCTTCGGAGAACTCGCCTTCTTCCATACCTTCACCGACATACCAGTGGACAAAGGCACGCTTGCTGTACATAAGATCAAACTTGTGGTCCAGGCGAGACCAGGCCTCAGCAATGGCAGTCGTGTTGGAAAGCATACAAACGGCGCGGTCAACCTTTGCAATTTCACTGTTGGCAACGTGTTGAGGGGGGCGGTCACAGATACCAATCTTGAAACCAGTGGGACACCAATCGACAAATTGGATAGTACGCTTGGCCTTAATCGTAGCAACGGCAGCCTGGACATCACGAGGGATCACATCACCACGGTACAACAAACACGTAGCCATGTAGCGACCGGCGCGAGGGTCACACTTGACCATTTGATTATAGGGTTCAAAACAATGGTTCGTAATCTCTTGCACGGAATTGGACTCGTGGAAAGCCTTAGCAGCACTGACAATGGGCGCGTATGTGACGAGTGGGAAATGGATACGGGGATAAGGCACAAGATTCGTTTGGAACTCGGCCAGATCGACGTTCAAGCTGCCCTCGAAACGAAGAGAGGCAGTGATGGAAGAAACAACTTGGGCAATTAAACGGTTCAGGTTTTCATAGGAAGGACGTTCAATGTCCAAATTACGGCGGCAAATATCGTAACAGGATTCGTTGTCAACCATAAACGTGCAGTCGGCCAAATCAAGCGTAGCGTGTGTCGTCAAAACGGAGTTGTAGGGCTCGACAACCGAGGTACTCACTTGAGGAGCAGGGTATACGGAAAATTGAAGCTTGGACTTCTTAGTGTAATCCATAGCCAAACGTTCGAGCAGCAAAGCACCAAAACCGGAACCAGTGCCACCGCCGAACGAGTGGAAGACAAGGAAACCTTGGAGACCGGAACAGTTGTCGGCAATACGACGAATACGCTCAACAACATCATCCACCAGCTCCTTACCAACCGTGTAGTGACCACGAGCATAGTTGTTCGAAGCATCCTCCTTACCGGTAATGAGTTGCTCAGGATGGAACAAGTTACGGTACGTACCAGTACGGACTTGATCAATGACGTTGGGCTCCAAATCAACGTAAATACTACGAGGAACATACTTTCCTTGACCGGTCTCAGAGAAAAAGGTGGAGAAACCATTATCACGCTTTCCCTCCATGGCTTCAGGGCTCATGTATCCATCGGGTTGGATACCATGTTCGAGACAGTAAAGCTCCCAGCAAGCATTACCGATCTGAGTACCAGCTTGACCAACGTGAATCGAGATAATCTCTCTCATTTGAATTGCCCCGACGTATTTTTTTGTGGTGGTTGGTATTTGGTTCGAGGGAAGTAGGAACGGTCCCAGTAATATTGTTCAGGCGTTTTTTTAGTGGGCAATACGAGACAAAAATGCCAACAAACAATAATAAAATGAGCATATTGAAGATGCTTTTAAGAAATAAACAGAGTGTTTGATTTCGTTAAAGCATCTTGGATTTTCGAGCGACGAATTTAGACCACGTTAAAGGGTTTTTCTTTCGAACGAAAGTTATCAACACGGTCGTTGGATTCTGGCTGTAATTTAAAGGCACACGTCCATACAACACATTCAAAGATGTCCCGAGGAATGTATTTCTGTTCAAAGCTCTTTGAAATCCCGGCTTCATTTTGTGTGCCTGCTATTCAGCAACCATGAAAAAAAAGTTGCCATCTACCACGCACCTGAACACAACAAAACAGGTCCCTTTTTGGTTAACTGGGTCTTGCGGAATCATTTCCCAGCAACGAGATTTTGAGTAGGTTCTTCTAAATTTCGAAAAAGAACGTCTTCTGCATCTTTTTTGTTGAAAGTTTTCAAAGGCTTCCTTTTTACAAAAAACGGTTCATCTTAAAAGATCATACACCGTATCGTTCATCACACTAAAAGCACAAAGTTTTTACCCATATGAGCACTGTATACAAGCTGAAAACCCAGGCCCAGCGCCCGGCCGAAGATGAAGACACGGAGACTTCTGTTGCTGTCTCCGCTCACGGCAAAAAACATTCTGAGGGTTTCGTTTCCATTAAACAAAAGGTTCTTATCCTTTCTTCTCGTGGTGTCACGTACCGTCAACGTCATCTGCTTAACGATTTGGTGGCTCTGATGCCTCACTGCAAAAAAGACAGCAAGTTTGACTCGAAGGATCGCTTGTATGAATTAAACGAGCTTGCCGAACTCTACAACTGTAATAATGTGTACTTCTTCGAGGCCAGACGCAAGGAAGACCTGTACCTGCATATTGCTCGTGCCCCTAACGGCCCAACTGTCAAGTTCCACATTGAGAACTTGCACACTATGGACGAATTGAACATGACGGGAAATGCCTTGAAGGGCTCTCGTCCCATTCTCTCGTTCGACAAAACGTTCGACTCGGAGCCTCATCTGCGTCTGATTAAAAATATGCTTGAGCAGACGCTCGGTGTTCCTAAGAATGCTCGCCGGAGCAAGCCTTTTGTTGACAGATTGCTTACGCTGACTGTCGCCGATGACAAAATCTGGTTCCGTCACTTTGAAATTCGTGAGAACGAGGACAAAACGAAGGAGCCCGTTTCGTTGATCGAAATTGGACCCCGTTTTGTCATGACCATTATCAACATTTTGGAAGGTTCTTTTGGTGGACCTGTGATTTACAAGAATGAGACCTTCGTGAGTGCCACGATGATTCGTGCAGCAGTACGCAACCAAGCTGCTAACCGTTACGTTAATCGCCAAGAGCACAAGCTCGAGCGTGAACAACGGGCTCGCGAGAACGTTCTTCCTGAAGATCCCTTGGAAAAAGTGTTTGCTTAGGTAGTATTTAGAGATTGAGAAATAATTGGATAACTGGTTTGCGTGGTTTCATAGTACACACCTCATTTATTCCTTGGTTTCGTAAGCATATGGAAGGCTGTGGTTTTATTGAGCCTGGCCGCGTTCCCAGCGTACCCAGTCGACGACGTTGGCGCTGCCTAACAAGTCTTTCATAGTCTTTGAGTTGTCATACACGCTTGTATTATGCAAGAAGTCGTCTATACTTTCAGGGTCCTGAGCGACGAACTCGCGTGCAATGTCATCGGCAAGGCCTGCTTTTTGGGCGTTGGAAAGGCTAACAAGGCATCCAACGCGTCCAAGGCTTGAATGAACACGCACATCTGTGCCATGTGTGTACCGACCCAACTGATGTTGAGGTTTGGTACGCTGAAAAACAATTGCACGAGACAGTTCAATGCGTTCACCGGTTGTAGACGTTGCGTTGCTAAATGCATCGAACAGCGTGTTCCCGAGATTGCTCGAGGAATCCTTGTCAGAATGAAGGATGATTTTTTTCAGGGAATCCAAGTCGGTGCTCACGTTTCGCTGTTCAGTTGAATCGGCGTTCACCCTGTTGAGACTGTGCAAAATGGACGATGCTGAGGACAGGGCAAGTCTCTGAATCTTTGGGTTCTGAGCGACGAAATCAGATTCGCAATTTAATTCAAGCATACAAGCAGCCTGGGCATCTGGTAAAATTGCTGTACAAATCCAACCTTGTTTGGCGACTCTTCCTTGCAATTGCTGAGCCAAACGTTGACCTCGAGCCTTCATCTTTTCAGATAAAACTGATTTTGCTTCAAAGAAACTTTGTCCATTTGTTTCTTCTACAGCCTCTTTAATTAAGAAAATAGGTGCATTCGTTTCTTGCCGTAATTTTTTAATAAGCGTAAAGGCAGAGCCTTTCGTACTGTAACTTCTCGAAGACAGCAAAATGTTGTTGTACAAAACCCTCAAGCCTGAAGGACAGGACTTGCACAAGAAACTGCGTTTTGCCAATGGGGCTTGAATAACAGATCTGAGAACTTGAAAACCCATGAAATAGTAGCTATCTGCCTGTTTAAAGAATATTGGGTGTATGGGAAGAGAGCTAGCAAGGGAGAGAAGGTGAGACAACGTAAAAGGAGAGAAAGAAAACCGATGCTTGAAGACCAAGAGGTAAAATATAATTGAACGCTTTTTGAAACTGACTACATTGCATCATCACTTCTTTTTGAAACGGTAGTTTGTTTCAGAGATTGAATAGCATTCCTTACCTGAACGGTAATGTCGTCGGATCGTTTGTTCTGTAGATCTAGAGAGTAAACACATGTATTGCCTTTAAATAGACGAAACACTGGACTTTCTGAGTTTTCAGTGTGCCGTTTTATATCAAACTTTACTTTGTAATTGTGATAATAAAGAGAAGGAAGGTCATTAAAACAAAATTTCCTGCACCATCATTGTTAGTATCAAAGGTGCACTATAAAACGTACCTAGAGCCCATATGACCGTTTTTGCTGTCGCGAGCGAATGAAAGCTCAACTTTAGTGATCTCTTTTGGAAATTTGATAGCTAAAGCACCGTTTCGAACGTTGTTTAAGACCGCCATAAGTTTCCTTATGGTTACAACCATTTCTGTTAATAAGTGAAAGACGCGTTGGATGAAGTAACAGTAAAATAGGAGCAAATAGTCGATAAGTAACTATTCAAAGTTGGTACTTAAATGAGGATTGAGGAAGTAGGCCGCGCTGAGGGAAAGTTAAAGCCGTATTTATCTATGTGAATGGAAGAGGGCAAGTTGTACTTTGCGTCTGTCTTAGAAAATGATCGCTTTGCATACGTCATACAAAAAGCTTAATTTAAAATTATGCGACAAGACGCGAGCAGTGAATATAAACGGTAATTACAGAAAAACAATAGAGAAAAAACAATAAAAGTGATGTTTTTTGCATTCCGTTTGATATTTAATGTGAAAAGAGCGTGTGCTTCTCTTTGTGGCCCGCCGCACTTGCTTATGTGCAGTAATTGACAGCAACGAAGAAGACATAAATTGGTCAATGGGGAGTCCCGTATTTTGCGAAGTTTACTACAGAAATTTGAGTTGTGGGAAAGTATGCGGTACAGCAAAGATTTTTCTGACTCTCTTCTTCTTTACTACAGTAATATCCTTTCATGCCTTCCCCCTTTGGTATACTCAACCAAACTCCCACATTTTATGATCTTAGCGAACGATCATAGAAACCTTATGTAACCTTAGTTATTATCTAATCTAAACACCCGAGAAAAGGTTGGGGACGCGGCCGGACAACCAAGAAACAGCAACGAATTTGGTTTTTTTTGCAATCATGAATTCTGAACCGAATGTGACAATAAAGAATATCGGAAAAAACAGTGTGGAATTTGTGCTGTCCAACACAGATCTTTCGTATGTGTTTTGGTTAGAATAACGCGTGAAACTAACAAATTTAGTCTGGCAAACTCGCTGCGACGCGTAGTTTTAGGAGAAATTCCTACTGTTGGTAAGTGAAAATGATTGGTATACGTCGTATTGACAAGTGGTAGCCATTGATTTGGTCGAAATCTCCGTCAACACGTCTGTGATGCCAGATGAATTTCTTGCACATCGTCTTGGAATGATTCCTTTAAACAGCAACAACATCGACGAACCTCCACCGGTGGGTCTGGAATACACGAGAAATTGTGATTGTGATCAGTACTGCAACAAGTGTTCCGTAGAACTGTCATTAAATGCAAAATGTACCGGTGACGGAACAATGGAAGTGTACGCTCGTGATCTTGTGGTCGATTCAAACTCTACACTCGGACAACCCGTGTTAGCAGATGCAAGATCTCATGGACCATTAATTCTGAAGCTTCGTAAGGAGCAGGAGGTATCTTTACGTTGCATCGCCAAAAAAGGAATTGCCAAGGAACATGCAAAATGGTCGCCAACGGCAGCTGTGTCGTTTGAGTATGATCCTTGGAACAAACTTAAGCACACGGATTATTGGTTCGAAACCGATGCTGATGAAGAATGGCCGAAGAGCAAAAACGCAGATTGGGAGGAACCTCCTCGGGAAGGCGAGACATTTGATTACAACGCACAGCCTCGGAAATTCTATATGGAAGTAGAAGGTGTAGGATCCATTCCGCCTAATCAAATCATCCTTCAAGGCATTCGAGTTCTCCAAGAAAAGCTCGCTGTGTTAGTTCGTGATTTGGACGAAGAACAACGGCCTGGCGGAGCCATGGATATGGCAACTGGCAATATGTCTCCTGCGAACCAAGCCGATAATACCTGGTCTCCCTACAACGAAGGCGGAGAAGGAGACGTTTGGGGACAGGATGGAGGGTTCTAAGTTCGTTAGCGTCGAGATAGCATGTACATTTTTTTCGCTCTTTTTGGCCGCTTCATGCAAGAACAAAAAAAAAAAAAGACGCGAATGCCAAATAATTCTTTGAGTGCAGAAAGTACTCTCTCCCACAAAATCTTCAAGCTAATTCACTGAGTCCCTCTCTTCCCAAACCCGAACTACTGTCCGACACAACCTGCTGTATACGCCCCCCTTTTCAAAACGCTCAAAAGGAATAAATCTTTTCTTTTTTTACTTAGAGAAAAAAAAAACCAGGAAGAAGCCAAAAAATAATTCTCATCGTATTCTTTAAATGAAAGCGTTCCCCTTAAAAATCGAGAATTTCAAGTTATCTACAGTAAAACCTCTATTCCTAAACAATGACCATCCTATGTGCCAGTCATTCGTAATGGAATGAGAGGGAATATGTAAAACTTACTCAATTCTGGCGATCTGCGTAGTATTGTTCGGCCTCTTCAATTGCCGTAACGTTGGACTTAAGCTTGTTGATAGTTTCAATATACTCAGCTTGCTCGTCCGAGTCGTATACAATACCACCACCAGCTTGCAAGTACAGTGTGCCATTCTTGTAGACCATAGTACGAATAGCAATGCAGGTATCCATGACATCTTCCTTGTATCCCCAACAGCCGACAGCACCTGCATAGATGTGACGCTTCATACCTTCCAAACCGTAAATCAGTTGCATGGCACGAACCTTGGGGGATCCACTGACAGTTCCAGCGGGGAAGATGCTACGGAAAGCATCGAAGCGTGTTTTGTCGGGACGAAGCTTACCTGACACTTGGGACACCAAATGTTGCACATGAGAGAACTTCTCAATGGTCATCAACTTGTCCACGTTCGTTGTGTCAAGGTCGCATACCCGACTAATGTCGTTACGAGCAAGATCAACAAGCATAATGTGTTCAGCACGGTCCTTTACACTTGCCAACAATTCGTTGGCAAGCTTCTCATCCTCCTCCTTTGTTTTACCACGAGGAACGGTACCGGCGATGGGGTGGTTAATCATTTTACCATCCTCAGACTTAACAAGCAGCTCAGGAGAAGCACCGATGATATCAAAATCATCACAGTGAATGAAAAACATGTAAGGAGAGGGGTTCACGCTGCGGAGATGACGGTAAAGGTTAAAGGGATGCAAGTCAGTTTTGCGGGAAATACGTTGACTGGGCACGGCCTGGAAAATGTCACCTTGACGGATGTGTTTCTTTAACGTAGAAACGAATCCCTTGTAACCCTCCTCACCGACATTTGACTCGCCCTTGTAGCCAAGGTGCACCTCTTTTTGAACAGGTTCAGGAATCTTCGGATCAGCCAACTTGTCCAAGGCCATTTTAATCTTGAAACTGGCAGCCTCGTAGGCTTCCTCAACAGGACGACCCATTCCCAAACACACATGAGAAATGATCTTAATCTTTTGGTATGCGTGGTCAAAAGCGACCAAATCGTCCGTCATGAAGAACATGGCCTCCGGCAATCCCAAATCATCCTTCAAGTCAACGTTGGCAACGGTGGTAGGTTCAAAATACTTGATGCAGTCGTAGGAAACGTAACCAACAGCACCACCGCAGAAAGCAGGAAGTCCGTCAATGCTAATAGTCTTCACTTCTTTCAACTCGCGTTCCAAGCGTTTCAAGGGGTCCGTAACACCGTCAGCAACCACAATACGGTAAGGACTGTGACCAACAAAACTGTAACGAGAAATGCTCTCACCTTGAGTGACACTTTCCAAAATATAAGCAAAGCGTTTTCCCTCTGCCAACTTCAAGTACGCCATTGTTGGCGTAATCAAGTCGGCAGACATCTCTGCGTAAACAGGAATACGAGTAGGCTCGTGCTCATCAGCGAGCTTCTTCACCTCTTCCAAGCTCGGAAAAATCTTTATCCAGTATTAGCAATCTGAAGGAAAAGAAGCGCCTACATACCTTCATATTGAAAGGAAACCTCTAACAATGTAGGGAAAAAATGCAACTACCGACACTCGTTAGTAAACAAAAACCGAACCCTTAAGATTTGCATATTGTTCCCAGAACTCGTCAAAACCCGTCGAAATCGGTCGGAAAAAAAAACCAAAACTTCAGTAGTTCAAAAAGGAACAACAAACCGTGTAAATAATCAGAAACTTACGTGTCAATTGCACAAAACAGGGCCAAAAAGGACAATGGGCGTGTGGGAGAGGGTAGAAGGTACGCGGTGGGTGTATGCCGAGGACTAACGCACTGGACGGTTATGTAACGCATCTTTGGAGTGTGATAAACATATACGGCAACGCAGCGAAAGGAATGAAACACTAATCCTCTATCAAACACCTTAAACAAGTTTAAGGCAAGTTAACGTGCAACAGGTATCCACAGGCCATCCCTACAGCTCGACTTGGTCCCATTCTCCTCTTTCTCCCACCAGCTCACACAATGGCCGAAGAAGAAGAAGAAGAATTCACTTTTAAGACTGGTACGCTTTCTTCGATGACCAATTTGTGTTAACTTGACCGCATTCGCTAACATTTTGCATTTTTAGCGGGCTTCGATGCTAGGTAAGTGGACCGATACATAATGTACATAAAATGCAACCTTTAACACTAGAAACAAGATTTCCCAATCAAAATCAAACAAAACGTAAGCAGACTCGTCGTTTAAGAAGATGAATTGTGCCTAAAATCGCCGGCTCTAACTACTTGTTAGATTGTTTCCAAAACTATGTGGATTATTTTCGCTGCATTAAGGCAAAAGGAGAAGATTTTATTCCGTGCAAACAGTTTTGGCAAGCCTATCACTCGCTATGTCCTTCAGGTAACTCGTTTCGTATCATTCTACTCCTTGCTGACGATTTGTTCATACGCAGATTGGACCGACAAATGGGACGAGCAACGCGAGAATGGGACATTCCCTGTTCCAATATAACTTCATAAGTAGCTGAATCTGTTTTTAAACGACAATTTATGTTGTTTTTCAGTGTCTTCCATTAAGGTTATTCTTTTTCTCTCGACCGATGCGCGTCGGCGCGCGCGAAAGCGAGTTAGCGTTGATATGACGTAGTAATGATTACTCTAACATCATCCCTTCGCTTAGTCGAGCTTATGTAAGACTTTCCAGGGTGTTCTGGGAGAACGAATCACAGACGCCACCAAGCGAGGCAAACTCACCACCACACATCGCCGGAGCAGTGCTTTAAAAGTCGGCGCGGTCAAGGGCAGAGAGTACGTAATAAAAGAGGGAGTGATCGGCCAAGTGTATCAAAGTCTCAAACCAGAAGTTTTGGAGCAAACACTTTCTTAATTATCCGTTCATTTTTTTTTATTCCACACATTCATAGAGGTTCGTTCACCTTTGAGGATTATCAACACTTCGGGTTCATCGTTTACAACAATATCAAAATGTCACTCGATCTTAGGATTTCTCGAGCAGGCGATGTCACAACGTTTAAATGTGATGATAAAGAGACGGTGCTGTGGTTGAAGCAAAAGATTGCAGATCGATTCCATGTGGAAGACACCTCCACTATAAAGCTGCTGTACAAAGGGATTTGTCGTGATGATCAAATTCTCGGAGACACTTTTAAAAACAATGCGAGGATCATCTGTTTAACGAGCAAACCGAATGCTAATGCAAAGTTACCCCTTGTACCCACAGAATCCACACACCATGACATTCATCACGTTAAACTAGCACCCAAGAAGCCCGCATCGTCGAACGTTAAAAAGTCGTCCACGTACACCTTCCATGAAATACAAGTACTCAACTTGCCCAATAAGGATCAAGCATGGCAGTACATGGACCGGCTCCGTCACGACCCTGGCATCCAAGCACTCATGGACAAGTACAAATGGAGCGTTCCCATCTTGTCAGAAATGTCGCCCGCGGAACATACCACGCATGAATCACGGACCATGGGCTTAAACCACAATCACGGCCAACAGATCGAGCTTCGAATCCGCACCGATAGGTATGATGGTTTTCGGTACTATAAAGACGTGAAAAGCACGCTGATTCATGAGCTCACACACAATGTACATTCCGAACACGACTCTGACTTTTGGACTTTCTTCAAACGGCTTACCAAAGAATGTGACGCTGCAGAGTCCTGGTCTCGACCAGGACAGTACCTGGGAGACAAACCCGAATACACCCCATCGGGCGAAGACCCTCTGGATGAAGAAGCGGTCAATCATCGACGAGACATCTTGTTTGCCGCAGCCCAACGACGCTTGGAAAAGAAAGAGTAAATTCATCACACAAACATGATCGGTCACTGAAGAAAGGGGGAAAACTGAAAGTGTGTAGTTAGGAGCGAGAGTTGCAGGTCCATGCGTTCGTGCTCAACGTTTTTCTCTTTTTCGTTGTGATGTGGTGTACACATAGCTTCCACACACACAACGAAAGCCATATCATTGTCGTTTGTCATCATTGCTTAGTTCACACCGGTTTCATTACTCTTAAGCTTACAGCTGATCAAGGTAATCACGGATTTCGGTTGTGGAAAGCTGGTGGAAACGACCACCGGGACGGCCTACGATGCCGCTTTCGCCTTGGGTTTCCGAAACAACGGCAATTTCGACTGTGTCTTCTGTGAGTTCACCTTCAAAGGTCTCCTTCAGTGCGAGAATAGCAGTGTGGATAGCATCCTCGAGCTCCATTTCCTCGTTGAAACGCTTCTCCAAGAACGTCTTGGCTACCGTAGACGATTTTCCAATAGCAGTGGCCTTCCAAGCGAAATACGTGCCCGAAGGATCCACCTGGTACAAAGAAGGACCGTTGTCGTCTATTCCGGCAATAAGTAAACTGACACCGAAAGGACGGACACCTCCAGACTGGGTGGACTCTTGCATGATAGAAGCGACCTCTTGAACGAGAATTTTTGTGGGAGGGTATTCGTTATAAATGCGTTTATAGTTTGTGTGCGACACTTTACGAGCCTTATCGACCAAAACACGGTAATCAGGACCCATACCACTGTAAACCTAACCATTCGTTAGAGTCCAAGCTAGAAAAAGACTTATAGAAACGCGTTTAAGGCGTCTGTCGCGTCTCATACCATGCCAACGTCGGGCGTGATGCCGGAAATCTTTTGAAGAGAAGAGCCCAAAGCAAGCTCAGTGTTTGTTTTCTTTTCAGTAGCCAGTACGACACCGTTTCTTGCTGTTTCTTGTGTTAATAGACGCGTTTAAAAGCCGAAAAAATTGTATATTCAAGCGAACTCACCTTTAATACCAATGCTCGTCACACCAGCGTTCACCGCATTCAGTGCGTATTCAATTTGGACAAGCTTTCCATTAGGAGAGAATGTTGTCAGGGAGAACGCGTATCTATCTGCCATAATAGGGAATAAATGTCTAAGAACGTAGTGTGTAGAGGGTAGGTGGTGGGTGTGCAACAGCTAGCTCGGTTTGTTCAGAAACAAGGTTAGTGGGGGGTACCGCAGCGCAACGCAAGCAAAAACACGATGTAGGGAAAGGTGCAGCTGTAGTTGGTGTGTGGGTGTGAATGTAGCGTGTTAGGATTCGTTACGAATCGCTGTTATGTATTACGCACTGTGTTATGCAATATAATGTTTTGCGTTGGAGTTCATTATACGGCACAGAAGAATTACGATATGGGTCCTTTTGTGTGCGCCAGTCTTCATTCGTTCTAACCATTTAACTTGTCGTCATATAATCATTAAACATAAGGAATTCTTTTAACAAAAAGGAGGGCGTCAAAATCGTTCGTGCTGCTTGAGTTTCAATTTTCCCTGCAGACCATACTTTGTCCTCCGGCCCAGTAGCCTCAAGAAGAAGGTTTTTTCCGATCAAACACATTCTGAACCGTGGTCTTTGTACGGTCAGCATACTCCTTTATGGTCTCAGACATCTGTGTCTCCTTCTCTGAGACGAATTCTTTAGCCCGTCGACCAGTGGGACTTTTCTGCAACACATAGTTGCTAGCTTTCTGATATGTCTTCGGGAAACAGTAAGAGAAGGCGATCAAGCCCAATGCTGGAGGAACCGTCCATCGAACGGGCAGAGAACGACGCCGAACTAGTACGGTGCCGGTCATCCAACTAATAGCAACATAAGCGAACCCAGGAAGAACGGTTTCCTTCTCCTCAACGACATTCTCTCGCAGGACACGTATCAATTGTTGTTCCTCCGTCGTGCTTCGCTTCCATTTTTCGCTGAACTTTGTCGTCCAATGATCCCAGTAATGAAAACACTGTGATCGAAGACGATGAATACGATCCGCCAGCCAGGGGCACTCGTTCTTCAACTCTGGTAGTGGAAGGTCGGGGATCTCTTCATAGAAATAAGACATGTTTGTTGTCCAAATTTCACCAGGGTGGACGTAATTCACTAGAACTTGTTTACGTATGTATTCCTTAGCAACTGCGTAGCAACGCCAACTGTTTACTAGATGGAGGTACTTTGTTCGGTGTACTACAGGCTACTTAACCACACGCCAACACCAAGCAAACAAGGAGCTATGCACGTTTCTGCTTACTCAGATTACTCCTAGCCAAGGCTTCCCTGTTGTGTTCGGTATACCACGAGTATCCTTGCATCTCATCTCATCTCGTCGTAACTATAACGTAGCGTAAGCACGGGGTTTGAGAAAATACCCCTCACAAAGCTTGTTTTCTCCCCGCAAACACGCGCAATTCACGTGATATAAGCTTCGCTTAACTTTGCAATAGGTTATGAGGCATAACCTAGGTGTTGATTTCACGTGACTTGTCGAGATTGATCCAACACTCGTTTTTCACTCCTGCCCTTAGCATAACACAGGAACGGCACAACCCAGAACAAGAATGAGCGGTGAGTCGTTTGACGGTACTGTAAAGCAAGAAATGTCTTTAGAGGACCATGAGGATGCTCCTTTTTACGGAGATGCGTCTGTGAAACACGAGGATGGGTCACCTCTGTCTCAGGCAGATTCAGGTATAGTTTTGTAGACGATGGCGATGAATGGGTGGGTGTGTGTCGCACAAACGTAGGTAGATACGGCAGTTCAGCTTCATCCGTTGTCACATTTGGCGTTGAAAGTCTTGGTTGCCTTGGTTTTTGGAGCTCTTCGTTAAGCTTGGTGCTTATCCCCACTTTATTCATTAGTCGCTACTTATACGGAACCTAGCTCGTGCTAACCAACTCGCTGTAGATGCGTCTAAGCGTAAATACGACACAATGACTCCTGCTCAGCATAAGTATTGCCTGGCCATTGTGCGTCAACTGAAACGGACAAAAGATTCCATTCCCTTCAGAGCGCCTGTTGACCCTGTCAAGCAGAACATTCCCGATTATCCTACGATTATTAAGCATCCTATGGATCTCGGAACCATTGAAAAACGTCTTACGGGCCATATTTATAATTCAGCGCAAGAGTTTATTGATGACATGAGATTAATGTTTTCTAATTGCTTCACGTACAATGGTACAACTTCACCGGTAGGAGTGATGGGTAAAAATATTGAAACAATTTTTGAACGTCAATTGAAGCAATTGCCCAGCTCAAACGCAGACTTGCCTCCTACGAAGAAAACAAAACGTAGGGGCTCAACAGCATCTTCAACATCGACTGCCGAAACCCGTTCTCGGAAGCTGCATTCACCTGCAGTGAGTGTCCCCGCTCCGCCTGTTGCTGTTGTCAACGACACAAAGTCTCAGCGGCGGAAGCTAAGCTCGCAAATGCGTTTTTGTTCCACGATCATTAAAGAGCTTCACAAACGTCAATACTCTACCTTTGCTTATCCCTTTTATCAACCCGTGGACCCCGTCGCTTGCGACTGTCCTGACTACTTTGACATTATTAAACACCCTATGGATTTAAGCACTGTTCAAAAGAAACTGAACAATGGAGAGTACGAGACGCCCAGTGATTTCGAAGCGGACATCCGTCTAATCTTCAATAACTGCTACACCTACAATCCTGTGGGGACGCCGGTTCATGAAATGGGTCGGAAATTGGAAGCAGTCTTTGATGAAAAATGGCTTCACAGACCGTCGCAAGATGACACTGCTGCTGCTGCTACTTTTAGCGGCACTACTACTGCATACACTCCTGTGGCCGCTCCAAAACAGCAATCGCCGTCGACCACGGTCGCTGATGATGAGTACGAGGAAAATGCATCCACCGATGAAAACTACGGCAATGACAAGTTTGCGGCTGTTGACAAGCAAATATCCATGCTGCAAAATACTTTAGAGGCCATGAAGGCAAAGAAAAGCAAACAAATGCGGAAGACGCAAAGACGCCGTAATTCGACTGAATACGGCCCAATCACATATGCCATGCAAAACGAATTGGCCGAACGCTGCAACTATTTGTCGGCCGACCAACTCACTCATGTGGCCGAAATTCTGCGAGAGGCTATGCCGTGGCTGCGTGATACTGATGAAATTGAAATTGATGTGGGTAACATGGAACCGGCTGTGTTTCACAGCATCTATCGTTATGTGTGTTTGGCCCAACCCGAGAAGCCCGCATATCGTTCTCCTACGCCTACTCAAGTGTATCCAGCCACAACAACGGCTCCTTATGCAAAGCCAGAGAAGAAGAAGGGTCGTGTACTATCAGAAGCCGAGCAGGCAGAAAAAATTCGTCGTTTACAGGAGCAGTTAGATCGTTTTTCGGGGAAGAGTCGCACTTCGTCTCCCGCTCCGCAGACAAATGCCGTCTCTTCTCAGTCGGACGATTTGGCACCCGGTTCAGCTGCGCATCCTCAGATGCCTCCTGCCAGTCCATCAGGCAGTACCAGTTCCAGTGAACACGACAGCGAAAGTAGTGACTCTGCATAGTCGCTATTTTGTTTTCTTTCCTTTGGTTGCCCGGTCACTTGGTGATCGAAAGCGCCAGGAATTATACACATCAGATTATTGTTTCTGCTATGCTTTATAATGCTCCCAGCGACGGCTATATTCCATTCTGCCTGCTGTCGGCGAGCGTTATTTTAAACAGCGTGACATTGGTCCGAGTGACAATTGTCTGACTGTGTTTGTACCTTAAACTATTTTACGTCTTCCTCATATTTGCTCGCCAACTGCAGTCAAGGCAGCGATACTACTCCTTCACCTCTTCCTCCCCGCGTCTCTCTTTTTGTTTGAAATGCGTGCGTCGTATTGAGGGTTTTCGCACCATCTACAGGTATTTACTCGTCATTAATTTGCTTGAAAGAGCGTCGCACACGTCTACCGTTTATGTATGTATCCCTCGTTTTCCTTAATAAATCTTCCTCTTCATAACAATATTGACGACATCATTAAATATCAATTGTTTTTTTTTTATGGGAATGGTTTTGTTTCTGTCGCATTATGTCGCTTAAAATGCTTAAACTTATTAGAGTGACCTCGTGACCCCGCATGCGAAGAATGCTACACCATTTCAGCGCTGCTAGACTGCCGCAATACACCCACAGCAAAGCTTCTCTGCAGAACGATTTCTACGCGTTTTCAACCTTTACTGTCGTCATTTTTCTGCACCTGTATTCTCTAAAATGCTCACCAAAAACATAGTTGAAGGTGCAAAAGACGCAGTGGACGTCGACAAACTGTTGCAGTCCTGTTTAGAAACGGACGATGTAAAGACAATTTCGACCTCTGTCCGAAACATGGACGGAAGTGTCGCTGCAGAACTGTTATTAAAAATGATTCCGCTATTGTCCACGCGAAAATATACGTCTTTGCCGCTGTGGATGCATTGGATGATTGTTACTCACGGTGGATATTTGACGACGGTCACAGAAGTTCAAGAACCACTTGTAAAACTTCGTGAACAGCTTCTTCTTTGCTTAAAAAATGTTTCGTACATAACGACCCTGCGTGGTCGGCTAGATATGACTCTGGGTCAGGCCAAGCTGCGTAGACAAAGCTTTTCGGAGCTTTCCAATCAGGACGAAGACGATGACCTTGATTCTGAGGAAGATTTGTCTTCGAACGATGAAGATTCACAAGAAGAATATGAGATCCAGGTTGTTGACGAAAGCTTGGGTGACGCCAATTCGGCTGACGAAGACGAGGATGATGAAGATGAGGCGGATGAAGAGCTTGCGGCCGATTCTGTGACAGACAAATCCTCTACTTCTAATCAAGAAAGCACAGAACAAGGTTCTCCGGAGTCTCAGCAAAATGATGATGAAGACGAAGAAGAGAATGGAGCATCTTCTTCGGAGGACGATCTGGACGACACCCTTCCAGATGGACAATTCTTCAAACCACAGACAAACAGCTATGTCAGCATTGAAAGTCCCCGCAAAAAGGTTGCCAAAGCTGTCAACTAAGCGTCGTGAGTCTCGCTTAATGACTCGCAAAAAAGGGTTTTTTGTTTGGTTTTTATTCAGAGTGTCTGGGAGTGTTATAGACCTTGGCACAGATTGGGGCAATCATGTATATTCGAAATTCAAAAGGACTACAAGGTTTAAAGCTAGTGGACTTGGTGAACGTAGTTGAGTGAACTAAGGTACTTGGGAGCACGAGTTCTCATGCGTAGGTGCACCGGTTGCGATTTGTTACAAAACCTGGGAGTATGATAACTCTGTAATATAAAACGGTTTGCAAAGAGAAGGTAATATCGAAAACTGGTTGAAAACTAGTTTCGGTAAGGCATGAAGATTGTCCTTTGTATAACTTTGATGAACACTTCAAAACTTGTTCACATTGATACATCCTGCCTGTCGAGCCTTAAAAGCATGCATTTTTTTTGCTAGTTTATTAACAAAATATGTACTGTATTCATGCGTGGGATACGTGGTACTTTTGTCATTCGTCTACAATAGGATCGCTTCCGATATATTGACAGTACCGTTTCGTTTTCTACGATTTCTTTTCCGTCAAGTAAATGGAAGACTATTACGGTTTGAAGTAATCCCACGTCATTCTACGATCTATTCGTTATCACAAAGTTGCTTATATTTTATTCAGCCTGCGATTTTTGATTTTAAACTTAGTTTTATTTGTCTCACCGTAGTAAAAAGAAAACCGGTCCAACCAACTCACCTGCCACAATAACAGAACACGAAATTAAACAAACATGGAGGACGAGAAGGTTCCATGGGTTACTACCCTATTCCGATTCCCAAGTCCTTTGACCTACTGATCCGATACATACACGGTGGATGCACAGTACGCGTGAACCTTCGCACAACCACCTCCATAGCGGCAATTCTTGCGGAAAACCAGTCTTTTGAGCCCTTTCCTGTATCAAAACTCTGGTTCTTCAGTCTAGGTTGCGTTTCGTAAAGAGTGATCTTGCTTTTGACGACAAATCGTCTTCGTTACGCGAGTTCTTTATTGAAGCCCGGATTTCGCTACTTCTACAACATCCCTCCTTGCTTATCTGGTTTAACTTGTTTTTTCAAGGTTCAATGCACGTTTAGCTTCTCTTTTTCAGTTCTCTTTGATATTGGTTTTCTGCCTTAAAACAGTCATTATCTCTCTTTTCCATTTGTTTACATAACTTCAAGCCGCTTTTGCATTCTTCCATAACTGTGGACTACGTGGAGTGTCTGTGGAGCTCTTAGAGGTTTTCAGCACTTGAAAACAAACAGTTACACACTGAATAACCTTCATTGTTTGCTTTTTGCAGATGCAGTCTGTTCCTCAAAACACTTCCGTTAACAGCAGGCCGCCATTGCTGAGACGACAAACAACAGAGTATCCGTCTCCCCAAGAACCGATTGCATTTGAACTTGATTTAAACGGAGTAATTCCTTTTGTCAGCAATCCATATCCGCTCTTTGGCCTGCCAAAAAAAAGTGTTGTAGGACAAAACATAAGTTCCGTTTTGCCCTTTGATGTTCAAGTGTACTTCTCTAGAGCTGTTTCTTCGCTACTCGTAAACGATTCACACAGTTCCCACATTCATTTTCAAGCGTTAGTCCCTCGTTTTGAATCTTCACCGCTCACATCTACTTCCAATGAGCTTGGTCAGTCACCAGAAACTCAGTTACAAAAGCAGTTTACACCCTCTAAGGTCTCCTTCACCTTCAATGGAAATAATGAGCTAGAATTACAAGAGTTCGATGCAGTGGGCATCCTTGTGCGCGATCGTAATACTGGTGACCCCAGTCATACTATGTGGGTCGTTCGTAAATCAACACCGTACAACAGTGATAATGATTTTATCGACAACTCTCTGAAGGAGCTGTTGGGATTTGGCGCCAATATTTTGCATGATTATATTCATCGCTTAAAAAACGTCATGTCACTACAGGAAAACTTAGAGTCACTACCACTTCCGGAACCTGTTTTCTGTCGTATTTGTGAACGTGACATCCAGGCTTACTTTTTTGAACTACATTCTGAACTTTGTTATGTTGCGAACACATGCGAATCTTTTGTACAGGAGGCACAAGATCAACTTATCTTCCTTCGAGAAAAGATATCAGCTTTAATCGCATTTTTGAAAAATCATCCAGACGAAACGCCTTATTACGATGACCTGCCTCTCATTTTGTCCCCCTCAAATTCATCTTCAAGTTTATCCAACTTTACCTTTCCCAAGGTGAAGAGTAAATCCTATAGCCTTCAACGCTCTATTGAACTTGCTTTGTCTTATATTGAAATGGCGCTGGACATTAGTACTCCTGCCGTTAAAGATTCGGGAACTCTTTCCAGCATTTGCGACTTACGTACACAGTCACCTGTATCTGAACAACTGCTTGCTCGAGTTCAAGACTTCACTTATCCAAAGAACGTTGGTGAAGGCCTTGCAAAATTGTTCGAAGATACACAGACTGCCTTACAGTACAAAGTTGAGAGTGTCCTTCGATTGCGAAATACTATCCAATACTCCGAACGTATACGACTTGAAGTTGATCAACAAGTACAGGAGGTTATTGATAATGTAGTCGAAGCATTCCGTCAGGCAACAGCAGAAACACCAAGCATGAACTCAGAAGCATCCAATACCTTAACGCAGCATGTATCAGAGATCGCCAGTGAGTCGGAGCTAGAAGGGGATGAGAGTTTGACATCAAAAGTTGATATGGCCTTTAGTCATCATATGGAGTTTCCGTCTGCCACACTGAAGAAAAGTAAAAAAAGCAGTGCTTCTTTATCAGAAGCCAGAAGAACGCTTGACAGTGAGCTACAGGCCCCGTCTCCTACTACCGTTCCTCGTCCCGAACGTTGGCCCAAGTCACTGAATTACACTGCGATGTCAAGGACTACTTCCCAAGCATCCCAATGTTCAAATGATGCATCAGAAACTCGTTCCATCGATAGCAAGTTTCTAACACCAATGTCTAGCCCGCATTTATCTGCATCTGATGTATCACTTACTTCGACACCCAACAATGGTCGATCCTCGCGTTTGTCGCGTGGCAGGCAAAAGTCTTCTCTTGACATGGGGTTCCGTCTTCCATCTCCTTCTCCAAGAATACAATCTGTTGTTCCGGCTCCCAAGGCTACCGCTCCTTCTATCAATGATTACATTATTGTAAAACCAATAAGCAGAGGCGCATTTGGTTCCGTTTATTTAGCACGAAAGAAGGCTACAGGGGATTATTTTGCCATCAAGGTTCTAAAGAAGTCAGACATGATTGCAAAGAATCAAGTCACTAATGTGAGAGCTGAGCGTGCTATTCTAATGGCACAATGCGAATCGCCCTTCGTAACTAAGCTCTACTATACTTTTCAGTCTAAGGAATACTTGTACCTCGTAATGGAGTACATGAACGGTGGTGATTGTGCTTCTCTATTAAAAGTGTTTGGTTGTCTTGAGGAAAGTTGGGCTAGACGATATATTGCAGAAGTTGTTTTGTGTTTGGGAGATTTGCATGCCCGAAACATTGTCCATCGTGACCTAAAGCCAGACAACCTTCTTATTGATTCACGTGGTCACTTGAAATTAACAGACTTTGGTTTAAGTCGTAAAGGTTTAGCCAGGCGTCGCAAACACGTTAGAAATCCTTCTGACTCGAGTGACTCCAACCAAGCGACAGTGCTTGAACCCGCTGTTTCAGACAGTTTTCATCTTCGCGACTTTGGTTGTCGTCCAACGGAACCGACGGTCGATGAATTTGGTCTTCAAGTCGACAATTCCGACATACGTTCTGTTTCGCAAGCATTTTCTTTGGAACGTAATTTCTCAAGGACTTTTGACGACGATGCATCCAGTATACACAGCAACCTTAGTTATACTTCACTCATTCCTAGACAAAATACTGGGGGTACGTCTGGTACGAACACTGGCAATATGCAACTCTTTGATCCAAATGACTCTTCGAGAACGTTTGTTGGAACCCCAGATTACCTTGCTCCTGAAATTATTCTTGGTGAAGATTATGGAGGCATGGGTGATTGGTGGTCATTGGGCTGTATCGCTTTTGAATTTTTGTTTGGTTATCCTCCTTTCAATGCCGATACGCCGAATGAGGTTTTCCAGAATATATTAAATCGTAACATCAAATGGCCAAGCAGAGAAATCATAGCGCAGGTTCCAGATGCTGTTGATCTTATTAACCGACTTATATGTTCTGATCCCAAGCGGCGTTTGGGTATTCATGGAGTACATGAGGTAAAACTTCATCCATTCTTTAAAAATATTAATTGGCGAACACTATTGTCAGAAACGCCGGACTTTATCCCGACACTGGACATTGAATCGACAGATTACTTTGACCCCCGTGGTGTATCTGATCTGGTATTCGATGATGATAAGGAAAGTGATTTTAGTGACAGTGATTTACGAGAGAAAGTTCAAGACAAAAATCGCTACTCGTCTACCGTGGCCTCTGCTATCCCAGAACATGTATACGAGCCGACGAAACCTCGAAGACGTAGCAGCTCAATTGAAACACCGGAATTTGGTTCTTTTGTTTATCGAAATCTAGATGTATTAGACAAAGCTAACCGGAATGTTATTCAAAAGCTTCGCAGCGAACATGCCTCCACTGACTCGTCAGGATCTATAAATTCTGAATCGCTTTCACGTAGAACGAGCAAAAGCACAAACCGGCGTGTTTCACAAACAAGCTCTCCTTTATTAAATATAAACCACAGTCGCGGCCCATCGGGTTTATCAGCTTCACACTCCGCGGAAACGTCCATATCCTCACCCATTTCACGTATTCATTCAAACGATGCAGAAACGGAGCTTTCAAAGGCAATTACCAACTTTCACCTTGAGAATGACACGAGGAATGGTAATGCTCGGGCTTCAGTCTCTTCCACCTCAACAAATGCACAAGAAATGTTTCCCATTGAATACCAAAGACCTGTAACGAACCCAACAATGCTTGACCCCGATTGGTATTCCGCTGAGTTTGCTGAAAATCGATCTTCGTTCGTTCGTTTGTTGAAACGAAGAAGAAATAGTATAAGGCCAAATGCAGATAACATTGATTCACCCATTACGGATTTGAATATTGTTCTCTGCAAATCCAATCCTGACCTTTTGAATTGCCTTCAGCAATTGCTTTCAAGCACCCAGTCGAGACTAACAGTATTGGAGGATAACATTAGCATTGTCCAGCGTTTGAGTGGAAAGCGGAGCTATGATATCGCCTTTCTTGATGTGAATTCGTGCCATTTAACAGGTTGTGAAGCGGCAAAGCTGATTCGTTCTGGACACAATAAGAACGCTACCATTCCAATTGTTATCGTATGTAACATGGTTTCGGAAATCAAGTCGTTTGAGCTATTGGATGGATGTCTTCAGAAACCTGTGACCATTGAATGTGTCGATATGCAGTTACGGCACCTCTGTGGTTGGAAGCAGCCAATGTCCTCGTCGTTACTGGTTCACAATGGGAGACTTTCCATGGAGTCTGTATAAGCGCATACTACTGACATTCTGAGATTTTTTTATTTTCTTGTTTATGACCTTTCGCTCTTTATTAATGAATTTCATACTTATGACTGATACCGCCACTCAATGGAGATTAGAACGTAAAGGAGCTGCAAACAAGAGCGAACGAGGACTCACATTCAATACGTTTGGAATATCAGCATATAGCCAATATAACATTTTTGTCGCACACATAGTGGTTTCTTATACCCTGCTTTTCGGTAGCTCAATAATTTTAAAAGTCATGTGATCACCTTAACGAAGCATGTTTAAAATGGCAAATACAGAGATGAAAGGTTTGCCCTCTGCCAACACCCAATTCCCGGAATTCATACAAGAATGGTGAAGCTTTCAGCCGAAGACCTGAATGATTATCTAAATCCGGGTGTTGCTTGTGTTAAACCCGTGAAAGTTCAAAAAAAGCAAGACAATCAACAGGTACGCGTAGTTGACCGCGTTATAACGCAATAACCGTTTTGATTGAGAGACTGACAACTTTTTAGAACATTAAAGTTAATGGGGAGTCCTATTACGAGGTCACAAAAGATACTGGTGAGGTTGAAGAATTGGGAATTGCATCTATTTCCTTGAACGATTGTTTGGCATGCAGTGGTTGTATTACATCTGCTGAAAGCGTTTTAATTAACTTACAATCGTATCACGAGGTATTAAAATTTGTCAATGCTAAGGAAGCTGACGACTTTTTCATTTTACAAATGAGTCCTCAAGCAAGGGCCAGCTTGGCCGCTTATTATAATTTGAGTGTCCAGGAAGTACAACTCTGGATTCAATCAGTGTTTACAAATGAACTCAAGTTCAATGTGGTTGTTGACACGGGCTTTTCCCGAGAGATTAGTCTTCGACAGGCTGCTATTGAATTTTGCCAGAGCTGGGTAGCTGCCAATGCTGCGAAGACGGTGTATAACTCAAAAAGTGGTGAAGTCGCCCCTAAACCCCTCCCTGTGCTTTCTTCAAGCTGTCCTGGATGGATTTGCTACGTGGAAAAAACACATTCTTCATTAATTCCACATATATCCACTGTTCGTTCTCCACAGCAAGTCGCTGGTCGACTGCTGAAGGATTGGTTCTCTTATCAACTTGGCATTTCTCGTAAAAAAATATGGGTCCTTAGTTTAATGCCTTGTTTTGACAAGAAACTCGAGGCCTCTCGGAATGATTTTGTGAACGAACAGGTTCGCGATGTGGATTGTGTGATTACCCCGAAAGAGCTGGTCGAGCTTTTAAAAACAAAAAACATCTCGCCTCAGAGTATGGATCTAGACAGCCTTTCTATTTCTGAACAAACCCCGTGTCTACCGTCTTGGTACGAGCCGGTACAGTTCGAACAACAAAACGGCTCTAGTTCTGGCGGTTACTTACACTACATTATGACTTTTGCGGCGAAAGCTCTGTTCGACATTAATGATTTGACGAACAGAATAAATGTATCGCAGAAAAACGCCGACATGATAGAATACGAACTAACAAGTCCGGACACCGGCGAAACATTACTACGAATGGCTACATGTTATGGATTTCGAAATATACAAAATCTCGTTCGTAATGTTGGACGAAAGTCGGCACCCAGACGGGGGCGAGTTTTACTGAAACGCATGAAGAACATGTCAACGAGTCCGTCTACTGGTACAGGAAAACAAAAACTTGATTATGTTGAAGTGATGGCTTGTCCCGGTGGATGCATTAACGGCGGAGGCCAATTGCCTCCTCCTGAATCTAGCGCTGATTTCTCTGGTATTTCACGTGAATGGATGCGGCAAGTTGAAGCACACTATTTCCAGCCGGGTGTTCGTCAAGTCGATAACGCTGCAGTTGATGCTGCAGTTGAACACTGGTTACCTTCCTATTCTCTTCAACAATCCATCCTTCATACAAAGTATCATGCCGTACAAAACGATACCGAAAATCCCGTTGCTCTCGCGAACACTTGGTAAAATGTTTAAAGGCACGGGTAATTCTGTACAATTATACCAATTAAAAGCCTTCCCCCCTACTTCCGATTAGGCTTTCAAAAGTTTCACATCTTTGTTCTGATTTTTTTCTCCAAAACATTCTTCTATTTCTCTTCTATTTTTTTTGAATTGTTTTCTGTTGTATCTACACCTGCCACCTTGCCGTTATCGCCCTTGTTACGTTTTTGAATCAGCAACTCAATATTCATTGGTCCAAACATATCAAATCGTCGTTCTGTAAAAATGTTGTTTTCCGTCTATCTAACAGCCTGTCGTCTTCTATTTTACCTGTTTTAAGTGGGTTGGATCATTCTCGTTTTTTTCGTTGCCAATCGTTTTGTCCTGGATGTGTAAAGCAGCCGTCATAGCATCCGTCAGTCGAATAATGTTTAGTTGTTTAAACACTAGTGCTATCGTCTTTATTGTATTCCTACGGTATTCTGCCTTGCGTAACAAGTGAAATTGAGCGGAATGGGTATTTAAGGATAACGTAAGACACAAGACGGTAAACGAAAAAAAACTGCTAAATCTATTGTCTGTTGGGTTTGTACGATTGTCATTGCCAACTTTAATTCCCTTCCATCAAGCCCGCGTTCCTTTCAGATTTGCTCGTTATTGTTATAGTTACCGTTATGGACAATCAAAGAGATATTGTAATCGTTGGTGCCGGTGTCATAGGTTTATCGACAGCCTGGATTTTGTCAGAACTTGGTCTGGGAACTCGAATCATCATTGTCGCCAAACACACACCTGGTGACTTGTCCATTGAGTATACTTCGCCTTGGGCCGGTGCAAATTTCAGTTGTATTTCGTCTAGCAATCCATCCGCATTACGGTGGGACGAAATTACCTATAACCGGTTAGTGTATTTGGCAAATACACAAAAGCAATCAAGTGTAACGCTTGCACCTACGCGGGAATATTGGGAGCATGCTCAAACGGAAACGAAAATCCAGTCACTTGGCAAATACATGAAGGATTTTAAACTTATTCCGTTAGAAGAACTTCCAGAAGGCTGTAAGTTCGGGTACACGGGGACGACAATTTTGTTGAACGCACCGCACTATATTCAGTACATTTACGATATAGTCATTAAAGCCGGTGTCCATGTGGTAAAGCGAGAGCTGAAACACATTTCTGAGGCTTTAGAAGTCACCCCCTCGAAACCAAGCGTTGTCTTCAACTGCACAGGTATCGGAGCGTACAGGCTTCCCGGTGTCGAAGATCACAATGTGTATCCCACACGCGGACAGGTTGTTTGTGTTGATGCTCCTCATATTAAGGAAACCCGGTCGTTAGACACGGATACTAGCATAACCTATATCATTCCCCGACCCATGGACGGAGGTGTAATACTCGGTGGGTATCTTCAACGGGGAAATTGGGATGCTGAGGCGAAACCCGAAGAGACGCAATCCATTTTAGAACGAGCATATGCACTCATGCCAGAGTTGACGCACGGAGAAGGTGTAAAAGCCTTCAAAATCCGCAGTGTTGGTGTTGGTCTGCGGCCTTCTCGAAAGGGAGGTGCCCGGGTAGAACTCGACGTGGTTCCTGGTTCTTCAGTTCCTTTGGTTCATAATTATGGTGCCTCAGGTACGGGTTATCAAGCGGGTTACGGCATGTCCTTGGATGCAGTTATGCTTGTTTTGCCCAAACTAATTGTTCGTCAATCTTAATGTTGTTTTGATGCATTGATGGCAACTGTCATTTACTGTGATTTTAAAAAAAAAAAAAAAAAAGTTTGCAATTCTTAAGTTAGACTCGTTCTGTCTAGATTGAAAAAGCGGCAAGGATGAGTAGCGATCGTCAAACGGGGTTAAACCAATGAAGGTCAAGTCAATTGAAGCTGTCTGGTTAGACTCGATGTAATTAGTTACTTGGGGCCGGTACTTTAATTAATCGTTCATTAGTGTATGCGTACATAATGAAAATGGTATGACTAAGTATGTTGAAACTATTTCTGTAAACACGATCGTTTAAGAGCTTGACTGAACTCATGTACGATCGGTGTTTGGATGAGGGACAGATAGATGTTCACGATTTGTTGATTGAATACTTTACGTTTCCAGTTCATTGTTACTATGCCGACATTCTCGATTTCCAAAGTTATTGTAATTACTATCAAAACATTTGAATAATCTATAATCTACTGATTACGAGGTAGTGCGTCTGTAAGATATGAATCGTACAGAGCGAAACATATTGTAGACACCCGTTTCTCCAAGACGATTCAACTCGAGTTCTATTTAGCAAAGACATGAAAGTGAACAAATTGTTTAGTGATGAAATTATTCCTAGATTGTAGTTCAAACAAGATCATGACAACATTTTCCTTCTTCACTCTATAACAGCCCAACGACACCTTTAAATTTACGCTGCTGCAACCGTTTCTCAAATGTCTTTGATTTTCCCGTTTTTGCATCGTCAGCGCAACAAAACCTTAATCCATTTAAGCAATTATCGAATATCTAAGCGAAATCTTAGCACCTCGCTTAATGCCCCGTCCCTACAAGAACAAGACTACCTTTCCCCTTACTCATCGAAAAACGCAGTGTAGGAAAAACACAGTATCTCCTGCTGTTTGCTGACTATGGGTATCAACAGAAAGGTTTGTGTCTCTGTTGCCATCCTGCTCGTGCTGAGTTTCGTGCAATTGCTCACCGTTTGCGTGTCCTGGGATGCTCTCGACGTGAAACAGCATTTACATAAATTATCAAAGCAAACCAACAACTACGAGCCCTCTGTTTCAAATGCGAAAACAGGAACGGACTTTGCGTCGCTCTTGGAGCCACCAGTAGTCATTTTCAGTCGAACGACTTGTCCGTACAGCAGGAGAGCCAAGCACTTGCTTCTTGAAACACTGGACATTGTTCCTAAGCCTGTTGTTATTGAAACCGACGAACACGAACACACAGATGAGCTCCGGAAATGGCTCGAGAGCATCAGTGGCATTGCGACTGTACCAAACATCTTCGTCTACGGACAGAGCATCGGCGGGTTCACGGATGTCGATGCATTGCACTCGTCACAGGCGCTAGAAAGCGTTTTCGACCGTCTGAGTCACGGCGATGTTGTTATTGTAAAGGAATAGTTGCGCTGCACTGTCGTGCAGCGCGTTAAAGTAATTAACGAGAGAACGAAAAAGTGCGTAACAATTACGATATTCTACAGAGGAACACGGTATTGCACGGCAGTTTACGGCGGAGTGCAGTAGCACCCCGTAAGACACGTTAACTTTCACTAAACAGCACAAACCACCGTTACATCTCGCTGCATCTCATTGCAGCTCACAATCCTCCTTCCCTTCCCTGTCCTCCTAACTTCTTCCCGTCTTCATATGAGTTCAGAATCAAAATTCTACTACGTGGACACCTTCTCGTACCAGCCAAGCAAGCCGTCTGCACACGAGAATTTGACGGAGAAATTCGAACTGCAGGACTTGGCGTACAAAGTGCGCCGGGTGGACGAGCAGGGTAACAAGCGGAAAATGAGACGGTCGTACAAGGCGTACATCCAGGATCTTCCTGGCTCCATTGAAATCGCCAAAGACAACACCATTCGGCAGTGGTACGCTGAGCCGCGGAACGGCCCCGTCGAAGTCGATCTGCACCAGCTCCACGCCAGCTTCCGTCTCGAGCCCGGTCTCATTCCCGGCTTCAATTCAAAGATTTTCGGTCTTGACGAGGATGTCACCGAAACGATGAGCCGTGACTCGTCCATGCCCCGGAGCCCTGCTCGCCGCCGGAAGAGGGTATAGACCCCCGCAAACTAATGGGGTTACAGGTGGTGCACCACATAACGTAGATAATTAATTCATCGAGTATTGCTCATCCCACTAAACAAATGGAGCCCCGCTCACCCCCATTTCTACCCCACACACCAGTCGCCCCCACTCCTCACATATCCCATTCCTGAATTAGTTTTATTCAAAAAATTGCCAGACCTGTAGCAACCTTCTTACAACTTAGCCATAGCGGCGACGTCAGTAGATTGGACGTAGTCCTCAATCTCCTCAATGGTCTCTTGGAGCTCATCGATGGAGACCTTGTCGTCCTCAACGACAACGGACATTTGGAGCTTGCTGACACCGAAACCAATGGGGACAAGCTTGGCGGAACCCCAGAGGAGACCGTCCATTTCAATAGCACGGACAGCCTTCTCGAGCTCGTCCATGGGGGTCTCGTCGTCCCAGGGCTTGATCTCAAGAGTGACAAGAGACTTGGCAGCAGGCTTGGGCTTGGCAGCCTTGCGCTTGTTGTACTCGGCGATACGCTCGGCCTTGACACGCTCAGCCTCCTCGTCAACCTCGTCGTCGGAACCGAACAAGTCGATGTCGTCCTCATCGGCAGCCTCAGCGGCGGCAGCAGCGGGACCGTAGGCAGAGAGCTCCTTAGCGGTGCCAGGGAGGGCAGCGAGGTCCTCAGTGGCAATTTGCTTGTACCAGCGAGCAGCGTGTTGGTACTTGGCAGCATCGGGAGCAGAACCGACGGCCTTGTAGACGACGGCGTCGGCTTGGCTGGCCTCGTGTCCCTCAATGAAGGACTTGTCAGCCAAAAACTCGTTCAATTGCTTAAGACCAGCCTCGGTGGAAAGATCGGAGAAACCCATGTTGCTGTTTGGTTCTTGGTAAGTTTGTGGTGGCGGTGTGGGTGCTATTTAAAGGCTTTGGTTTGGGGAATAAAAAATTCAAAAATAAAATTTTTTGTTAAGGCGAAGAAGCGGCCAATTTGGAGGATAGTGAGGACGAGCGAGACTTAAGGAGAATGAGCGAGAGATGGCGGGGTTTTAAGAGCTACAAGGATTTTCACCGTACTGTAACGATGGTTAACGGAAACCCTATTGCTCTTTAACGTTCTTTCGTACCGCTCGCAAAAATACTTAGTGTGGCTTAAGAACTTCTACTGGGGCTCATTATACCGTGTGCAGCCCGCGCACTGACTTGCAGCGTTCAACGCCGAGGCTCGGAGTGAGCCAGCGAATCATAGGAGACGCTACGACAGCTCGTCTACGCGCCTGCCTGACGTCACCAAATACATAATGCTTCTTCTAGTGTACTTCTGTACCTGTCCTCTACCAACTTCACACATCCATTGAGTGTTTGATAATTTATTGTGCACTGTCTATTTCTCTCTCTGCCAATTGTCGCAAGGAGTCTTGTTTTGGTTCAACTCGTTCTGTGAGTTATATCACTTTTTTGCTGTTTCCTGTCCGTTTTATAGACGCCGTTCCCTATTTCGGCAATGCTGGACGCTAAAGAATACCATTATCTTAAGAAAGAGCTCATTTCTCTTCAGGTAGAGCGTGAATTCTCTATTTTGAGCAACCCGGACAACTTGGCTCACTTGGGTCTCCCATTCAAGCTTCCCGATGGATCCTTTCTCCGTTACGAAGAGTCAGAGACTCCTGTAATCCGTTTTATTTTCCGAAGATTTGCCCTTACATTCCCCTTTCTGGATTCATCCACTCAAGTAGAGTTTTGGAATGAAAACGTTCGAAGTGTATGTCTTGTGTGAGACGGTGTTGTGCCATGTAATGCTCGACACTGACTGTTATTGCATCGAGTGTGTGTGTGTGTCTGTCTCTCATTCGCTCGTCCTCTTTTGTGCTTGATCGTCTAACAGTATCTAGTTTCTTGTCGCAGTGGCCGAAGCACAAAAGAGCTTTGTTTCAGATGCAGAAAACTCGTCCAAATTGCGTCGTCTGAAACTCAAGCTTGTCCGTGTTTTCGTTCTCCTCATTAGTTCTGCCATTCATCTGGTCGAGCGAGAGGAGATGATGGATGTGTCGGAAGAGGAAAAGACATTAATGGCCCACTTTGAGTCACTGTCGCTAAATGCCAATTTGTACGATTCTCAACCTATTCGAGCAGATGTCCTTGGTGTTCGCGTGAACGAGCCAGCAGGTATACTTCGAAAGCGTACGTTTGAATATATGATTCGCGTTCAAACGAAGACCGAGGTGTATTACATTGCACACCGTTACTCTGCCTTTGAACAGCTGAGACGCGCTCTTCTGAAGCGTTTTCCCAAACTGCATGTGCCTACGCTTGCCAAGCAGGACACTCTTAGCTTTGTTGTGCACTATTCGCCAACACGCATTTCCACCGACTCGGGGGCAGATGCATTCTTGTTTCATTCAGAAGGGGCGATTGAAGGCGATTATGATGAAGTCGTCGACAAGACGTTGCATAGAGAGCGGACTCGCTATTTCCTGCGTACATTCATGCACCTTGTTTTGTCCAAGACGGAATTTCTTGAAAGCGATTGCTTGCAGATGTTCCTCTTAAAGAATATGACTGAGCCGAATGACGAGGAAATTCTTGACATGCGTATCCGTGAACAGCTTGATCGTGTTCGCGAGCAAGAGCAGTTCCAGTTCAAGAAGGCAGCAAATGAGCGCATGCATGAATTGGAAGGTCATATGCGCAACTTCAAGCAAAACATGATTGAGCATGGTATGAGTTTTATATTCCGAGACATTGTCTTTCCAGTATTTGCTAACGTAACTTAGGTGGCTTCAGTGCGCTGTTTTCCGAGCTGAAGGAAAAGGACAGTATTGAAGAGCTTTCTCCACCACTTCAGAAGACCATCAATTGGGCTAAGGTTTGTCTTGCTTCAACCATTTACATGACGTTCTTTGGAAAGGAAAAATCTCTGGATACGTTTTCGCGCATCAAGCGGATGCACAGTATTATCCCTTATACCATTCTTAAGGGTGTTATGCGTCTTTCAAATCCTGTTGCCATGATGAAGCATGTACTGGATGTGTTTTTGGCCCAACCTTTCAACAAGCGGTCTTTGTTCCAGCGTCTCATTGGTATTGGTTTGCAGGATGACATTCGCTTGCTGGAGAAGTTGGTTGGAAAGTATGAAGCATCCATCAAGAATGTGGAAATCTGTAACAGAGTCAGCAATTTTGTTGAAGCACCCGAGTCGTATGCTGACGTGGATGTCGGAATGCCCGATACCGCTAAGTTGCTTCTGCAGGTAATGACTTCGGAGCAACACGAACCGGTCCTTTCGCCGGAGTCCTTGGATGAGATTTTGCAGGGCTATGAATGCTGGAAAATGAGTATCGAAAGCGATTCCTATCCTGCGGACGGCGAGTACTTGGAAAGAGCCAAGCGTTATGGTTACACCATGAAGCTCCTGAAACTTTCTATGCAACTTTCTGGCAAGCAGAGTATGGTGAAGCTTTTGTTCGAAGGTGTTACGGGTACTTTGATGCGCGACGTTGTCGTCATCTTCTACAAGCCTCTTATGCGCGTGTACAAGGCTGCAAGCGTATATCAATCGTATGTTCAAAATCACTCTATATCAGTGTTGCTAACAAAAAATTAGTGTGGATGATTTCTCTGCCTTCATGGATGATATGCTTGGCTTAGTGGAGAAAACGCAAAACTCGTTTGAAATGAACCCTAACGCTGTGGTGAAGAAGTTTATCGACCTTGTTTCGCGCCATGAGCAAAGCTTCTTCGACTTTGTTCATAAAATCTACACACACGACGATGGCTTGTTCATTGATTTGACCAAGTGGATTGAAACTGTGTTGTATTTCTTGAAGAAGGACTCGACGAGAAACATTGAGATGAACACAGTGTTGGAGACTTTAGAGCCCGAAGATATGGTAACCTTGAAGCAAGAGTTGACTGATCTTTTGGACTGGAATCACCGCACAAAGGTTGCCAACTTGATCAAGGTTCAATGCCGTTATGGAGGCATGGACGAGTCTAGTTTGCCAAACGTTCAATCCGACGACTTTGGACTCGATAATGAGCTCTTCCGCGAGCTGCAAGATCGTCCAGAGGAAGACGACGACGATAATAGTTTGCAATTGTCACTTACTGCGACGAACGATAGCATAAGTATTCTTGAGCCTGATGACCCTGTTGGCGAAGCTCGTGTGGAGGCAGCCCGTGCACTTGCACAGCAAGCAGAGAACGCGGTGAAGCCCGACTTTGCGATTATACCCAAGCTCCTTCCTGGATTTGTTGCCCAACTTAGAGAAACTCTCCTTGAATCTCTTCACGAGAACTCTCTTATGGCTTAGGACGATTGAATGCTCTTCGCGGTTCCCAAGAACCAGTCCAGTCGCTCTGTTTCTCACTTTATATTGTATTATTACAACGCTGGAACGGACAAGGCTCGCGCCCGTGTTGGTTCCACACACATCATTTTAGTTTATGCATTCCTAAATCTGCAACACCTGTGTTCGACTTCCATGACATTAGTGTTGTAATAACATCATCTTAACTATTATTTCATTTCAAATATCATGAGCGCATTTGGGGTCGTATGGGCGCAATTAGAACTTCTTTTTAAAGTCCTCAACATGAGCAGCTACGATTTTCTCGACGTATTTACCGACCTGGTCCACTTCAACATTTACCAAGTCACCAATGCTCTTCTCGCTCAAAGCGACCTTTGACTGTGTGTAGTAAATCATCATAATGCTGAAAGTCGTTTCATCGACATTTGTAATGGTGAGAGAAATACCATCGAGACAAATGTAGCCCTTGTAAACAATGTACTTCAGAACAAAAGCATCACGGGGCTTGAAGGTGAAAGTGATAGCCTCACCGTCAGGCTTCTTCTCAACAATCTCAGCAACTGTGTCGACATGGCCTTGAACCATATGGCCGCCCAAACGAGTAGTAGCAAGAATAGCACGTTCCAAATTGACCTTGTCGCCCTTTTTCAAGAAACCCAAGTTCGTGAGACGCAAGGTCTCGGGAGCAGCACCGACTGAAAATGTTGTACTAGTGAAATTCAAAATTGTTAAACAGGTACCGTTCACGGCAATGCTGTCTCCATCATGAGCATCGGCCAGAACTTCGGGAGCTTCAATAGCAATAATTGTTCCTTCACTCGTTTTCTCTAACGAGATGACAGTTCCAACAGTTTCAACGAGTCCAGTGAACATTTTTTAAGCTGAACGTTGCAGGTGAAGAAAAATTGGCAGAGGATAGAAATACTTATATTACAACGAAAAAACGCTGCAGTAATAAGTTGTGATGAGTATGTTGTTATTGACCACTGTATAAATCGAGTACAAAATCGTCAGCCAGCAATCCAACGATTATTATGTAAGCCGAAAAAAGACCAGACCACAATAGAACGAGCAAAAAAAATAGTGTTTTGACAAAAACGAAAATTGCTTAAGCGGTATTGGACGAACAGATGATGAAATCAGTTTAAAATGCTCATTAGTGCGAAAACCGTTTATGACGAAAAAATGTGATTCGTGGGAAGAACTTTTGAAATAAGAGGTCTTACAAGTCTGGTGACCCCTTTTATAAATAACGTTAACGATGCAAGGATTAACGACTAGTGATGGCTAGATAATGACGGACGAGGCTTGAAACAAGAAGTAAGATCCAAGATTAAATGGTCGATTGCGAGTCCAAAAGTTTTGCTGCTTACTCGTGTTATTTTCCTGCTATTTCATCCATCTAACATTTCCTTTAGTCCAAAGGAAATGATTCCAGAAAGTGGATTGTTAATCGTAAGAAGATTACCGAGTTCGTCGCTGAATTGTTTGGCAACATTGGCGACTTGGGCGTCATTGGAATGCATGCAAGGAAACAAAATGTCGGAAAAAGAGAGGAATGCTTCATTTAGGTATAGCCGGGTGTCAATGTCTGCTTCTTGTGTGCATTTTTCGTAGCAATTGTGAATACACTGTGTGATGTACTGCAATATTTTTGCCAGAGCAGGAGAGTTCTCATTAAGGAATATGAGAATGTTTTGTAGTATGTGTTTATACATGTTTAATCGGTTCACGTAAGGTTTGGTTGATTTCCCAAAGTTTGCCTGTTGCACCATATGTTTGTGCATTGGAAGCAATAGGTCAATCACACCCATGGCTGTTTCAGCTAGCTTATCTCCTACGAGAGTATTCTTGGGGAATCTCAAATGTAAGAATATATCTGAAATACTCTGTGTTGCACGAGCGACTAGCTGATCGCTTCCTTCGTCCTCCAGTTCAATCATCTTTGGGTTGCCGAAATTGCTTAAAAAACGATCCAACGCGCAAAAGGTTCGAATTACATGGTTCACTTGAAGCGTTCTCCGACATTTTTCAAAGTATTTCTCAATCCATTGTAATTGGAGCTCGTCTTTCACTCGTTAATATAATAATAAAAGTTAAGTACATACCAAGATTCTCGGCCAATTCCTCTTGTCTTTTGTCTTTTATGTCTATAATATCAACAACGTTACAGATGGCCATTGCTTTTCTCTGCTGATGCACCTGTTCTTGTTCTCGAGGTTCATTAACTTGTTTTTTCGTGTTCCATCGACTTTGTAACTTTTCTATGAACTCTGGAATAGTCAACGAACGAGGTTTGCATTTTACAATTGAGTACGCAAACGCAAGGCGAAAGGAATCTTCTCCTCCATAGAACAATGGCTCGTTTTGGAGCATGTTTTTGTTAAGTTTGGAGACGCGCTCGCGACGCGCGTTTAACGAAAACGATCGGCAATGCAGAAACCGTATTTCATTTAAGCATTCGCTTAATACATTTCATAGAATGCAGGAATCCATGTAATGCGAGTAACTTATTGATTAATTCAAGGCTATAATGAATACGCATGGTAGTACTCTAGAATTATAGTACGCAAAACTTAAATAATATCATCAATAAACTTTTGTTATTTCTAGCATGAATAAAAGATTACAAATTTTTGCAAGGTCTCATCAGTGACGGCTCACTTTCGTAAATGCCTCCCCGATAAAACGCTGTGCTATGAAATGTTCATCGTCAAAAGTTCGTGTGTCAAAACTAGTCGACCAAAAACTTTTTCGGGATGTAACGTCTAATAAAGTTGGAGACAGAATTCCACAAAGGACTTTCTTTGGAGAGAAAGTAGTACCGAAAAAGACTTGGAATTTGAAGGTAACTCCCAAGGACAAATTTGAACGCTTCCATGACATTGTGAAACTCTATAACAAAGTCACGACACACCTCGTTAATAAAGGCATTCACACGGTCAATGAAATTATGCGTAGAAGGCGGCGTAATACGGAAAATAACACTCTTCATCGAGGTTTTCATGCGCACAAACATGCTGGGCTTTCTGTGGGCTTCCTCGTACATCTTCTCAAATTCATGAAAGTATTGAATAGAACGTGAAATGCGGTCAAACGTATTGACCAAAGATGCCAACTCAGCTTGATGAAGCTTTGTGTTAGAAGTATCTTGGTTTTCATTAAAGTCGGTGTCATGTTCAGGGAATTCAAGCAAAATCTTTAAGGCTGTTCCCAGACCGTTTGTTTGAATTTTTCCCCAAAGCCGGCACTTTTCACAGCCGACGCAATCCATTAATGCAGACACATTGCGAAAATGCATACGAAACTCGTCCTTCAGTATCTCCGCAGAAGCCGCATCACCGGTAAACAGCCGATGTTCATCAAATAACTTAGGTGCCTTTGTAGCGGCTCTCGTCAGTGTGCGAAGACTCTTACGGATAATAGAATCTTGCGTGGAATCGTCGTAGCAGAAGGACAACTCATCCAACCAGCCGTCAAGCTTGCCCAAGGCGCGCAGTAAAACCGCATAATCAAAGTAAAGGTTTTCCACACGTGATGGATGGTTGTAAACTCTGTCAACAAAGCACTCAAGATTTGGCACCCAGAGACCGGAAGATTGATTGAAATAATGGTAACAGAGATGCGTCGAGACACTCGAGTGCATGCCGGATAAAATACGGTAAAATACATGTTCTTCTAGCGACCAGAGTTCCATATACTTGTCAATATCTTGCAAGCGGTTATCAAGTTTCTCATGAGGTGCAAGAGAGTTCTCAAATGGGGACATAGGCTCCTCATCATGCTCAGACAGGCATTCATTATAAATCATCCTCCATATAAGAGTAGCGTGGGGACCACTATAACCTGTAAAGCGTTCGGGATTATCGAGCAAAGAAACATATACACAGTTTTCATCCTCATCATCGTCAATATAACAATAGTCCTTAGAGGAATCTTCCGTATCTCGTTCCTTCAAACACGAGGGTGATATTTGTTTGTTTCCCGGAAGGATGGAACTGGATGCACGGGATACATCTTCAGCGTGTCTAGGCAGGAAACCTTCCAAACGACCCAGGGCACTGGAGCGCCATGCTCTTGGAATGTCGTTCTCACTTTTTAGAACATTCACCGTACAGGCAGAGTTTCCACATACCGCATGGTCTATAATAGGAAACTTGCATTCACGATTGAACAAGTTTAAACGGTAGTATCGGAAGTAGTCAGACTTTTCAGTAAGATCTGTAACCAATGGTTTGAATTCTTCATTAAGTGCATCTACAGTGTTGTAATCAGTCTGAAAGATTTCTTCGGTGATGTTGTCGATATCTTCGTTCTGACTTGCAATACTGTTTTCTTTACAAGCAACAAGCTTCAAAATCGATGTGAGAAAGAGTGAAAATGAGAGAAGACGAGTCATTGCAAAGAGTAGTGATCTTCGTGGAAAATGGCTATTTTCGTTATTTAGATAGAAAGTAGAATAAATGACAAGAAACGTTAAGCTGCTGTAACAGAAGAAACAGCAGATCAAATCGTAGCAAGAAGTACGTTACTACTTCGCTTGCTTGGGAGCTGTCGTCTTTTATCGTTCTTAATACAAAAATTGAACTGTCAGGTTCAATTAACAATAAAACGAATTGTAGGAAATCCAAGAAAAGCGCTACGAAAACCAATACTTAAGTAACCAGATTGGATAGAGAAGTATTTGAGTGTTATTCTTACTAATACTCGGTTTTTTTGAGACACACGTCCGAGGGTGGAAAAGCCTCTTTTCACCTCTGCAAGAGTTGATTTTCTCGTAGAAAGCTCCCAGTCCTTCTATATACCTTACGACACGGAACGCCAAGATGGGTTTTTGGGGCAGAAATACTTTTAAAGTGAAAGGAAAGGTACGGAAGATTACTGGCTGAAGGAAAAGAGGTTTCCAGAGTATCACACTGGTTTTTTCCGGCCGTTTTGGTTTACTTAGAACTAATGTTACATAAATTAGAACGTTATTGTAACGGGAGGATCTCAAGGACTTGGAAAAGCAATTGCAAAGGAATTGGTTCTTCGTGGTGCAAACGTTCATATTGTTGCTCGAACAATTTCAACATTACAACAAGCCGCGGATGAATTGAAGCAGTTCACGGTTCTTCCCGACCAAGTTGTTGCCTTTGAAAGCGTGGATTTGACGAATAAATATGCTGTAAAAGAGTACATTGACAATTTGCCTTTCTGCCCTGATCATGTCCTGAGCGTCGCAGGATCGTCGAAACCCGGCTTCTTTGCTGAAATGGATTTGGAAACATTCGAGAAACAAATGCTCCAAAACTATTTCAGTACCGTGTATGTGTGTCATGCTGTCATCAATCGGATGCGCAAATGCCCAGTCCCATACAACAGACGTATTCTTCTTACTTCCTCTATCACAAGCGTCTTGCCCATAGCTGGATATTCTGCTTATTCACCTGCAAAGGCCGCTATGCGTGCTCTCGCAGATACTCTTCGACAAGAATGCATCATGTACGACATTGAAGTCTGCATTTACCTTCCTGCCTCTATTTCTTCCCCGGGTTTTGAAGAAGAAAATAGAATTAAGCCCGAACTCTGTAAGATTCTGGAAGACAGAGACCCCGTTGCAACTCCTGAAGAAGCTGCTCGTCGCTGCATGTCTGGTTTGGACCATGGAGATTTCCTTATTACAAGCAATTTAATCGGCGATTTGATGAAAAATCGTGTACGCGGTGCTAGTCCACAAGATAATTTGCTTCTTGATACGATTGGTACCGTAATTTCCTTTTTCGGTTGGCCCCCTTTCAGACGTGATTTGGACAGCTCCGTTTATAAATACGCAATCGAACATCAAATGCGTTGTCCTAGAATAGAGCGATCCAACACATTCCCCTCTCTCGCGGTGATCCTCTTGCATCTCGTTTTGATTTACTTTTCGTTTCCAAACTTGGTGCAATCTCCTGTCCCGACCTTAACGAAGATGGTACCTTCCCTGTTCGCTCTTCAATTGATTCAGGTATGGCTACAACGGCCAAAAGTGAATGGAATATTACCTTCTATGGCGACCGCTATTCTATCTTCTTTGGGTGGCAGTGTTCTTATTCAACTCATTGTTGTCGCTTTCGGTGCTCCATTAATGAAGAACTATCTGAAGACATTTCTGTGCTCGGTAATCCTATCACTCCTTACAGTTTTCCCAATTTCCTTCTATACACGTTTTGACTTCCGACGTTGGAGAAATGTTCTCACTCTCCAAGGTCAAGATTTTTGTGGAAGTTTGGTTTATCGAGCATGGGGAGTCGTGATTGGAGCATGGTTAGGCGCCATTCCTATTCCTTTGGATTGGGATCGTCCTTGGCAGGCTTGGCCTATTACCGTGGTGACAGGCGCTTTTCTAGGATATGGCTTCGGGGGTCTTATCGGTGAACTCTTGAAGTAATCGACTCCAATCACTTTGGAGATGTGTTGCTGTTACCTTGCCGTCGGTATCTGCTTTTTATTTTGTTTATACTTTTTAGCTGCCGATAACAAGGTTATGGAGCATTTCCAGTATGAAAAATGTGATTTTTTTTTATTAGTTCATTTCAGATGTGGTTTCTGAAAATGCCTTTATGTTTACTGACTCGCTTTCTTCATTTCTGCAAATACTCTCGTCGGGACTGTGTCCTTCAGCAAACAAAGAATCCTCGGCTATATAGGTTAGCATTCTTACAGTCTGGGGAAAATATAGAAAAAAAACTAACAAACCTTTTTCAATTGCCAATTCAATTTTGCATCGAACGCGTAGCAACGTAATTGCCTGCCAGGCAGTCCGTTCACCCACGAGAATCCAGTAGTTAATGTGATCGGGGGAGGGTTCTGTAAATGTATGGACTATGTCCGAAAACGAGAAATTTGGAGTTAAGATAATATGTGGACTGAGAACAGCATCTTTTAATACGAACCTTCTAAGTTTTGAGGGTACGAAACCAAGTAAGTCCAATTGACGCATGCGAAATGCGAGACTTAAACTAAGAACTCGAAGTAATTTGACCCAATAGACATGATAGGAATGATGATGAAGCTCATCACTAATAAAAGGAAACAAGGAAGGACGAGATTGTGTTATGACAAAATGATTGACGTTGAAGATTTCCGAGATTCGAGCGAACGCACTAGAAGAGAAAAAGGCATTTCGTTCAGGTCGAGAGCCAACAAACTCTTCCAAAGCACAGGATTTTAACGAACCATCGGATTGCTTTGTAATCAGTTTGGAAGAACGGAATACTGGTGCCCAACTATTGCTGGTGCGGGCAGCGCTCCAAATGAGCACATCGGGGGCAGTAAGATAATTGAGCACGACTGGGCTACCAGAGAAGGCAAACGGAGTAATCACAATGTTGATTACGCGACCCGTCCGGTCATACGCCTCTTGGAACGTCATATTCCCCGTGCATTTACGCACAGTCTTCAATATAATGCTGATATCGAGCATGTTACCGTAACGAAGAAGCTTGGAAAGTGAAAAGCCGACTGTGTATTTACAGGTTTCCCACAAATTGGAGGAGAATTCGGAAAACATACGGGGGTATTCCTCTTTTGTGTACACGCCAAGAAGGGCAGCAATCAAAGCGCCGGAAGCAGACCCAGCAATGACACGCGGAAGCAAACCACGTTCCCATAGAGCCTTAGCAATGCCGAAATGATATAGACCATAGGCAGTGCCTCCGTTAAAAAACAGGCACGTTCTCCCAATGGAAAGTTTTGCTGCAAAGAAAAACTCGAGTTTCTCAATGCGAGGAATTTCCTTAGACATGCGGACACTGTGAAGACACTTACATGTTTCGTGAACGTAGTCTTCAATTAGAATTTTTGTTCCATAGTATGTGCGAGTAAAGAGAGAGGGGTCGCCCAGATTTCCTAAATTACGGATAAAACCTGAACGTAAAGTACACATGATAGCACGGTCGTTTTTTTCGGACCGGTAACGTTTAAGACATTCTAATCTTCGTTGGATCAATTTATAATCGTACTCTGCTGAAGCTGTATAGTATCGCCATCTGAAATTATTGGTACGTTTGTCTAACGATAAAGCTGTTTCCTTCCAATCCTGCCATGAGGTACAGTCGGAAGCTGCCAAACGTTTCCGTTTCACCGTTCCGTTATTGTCGTGTCGTAAAGCATTCAAAGAACTTAATAACCATTCAAATAGAGAAACCAAAAGTAACCAAATCGTACTAATTGTACCGTAAACGTAGCCGCGTGAGTCACTATTTCGCTGAAGCATTTTGTCTAAGCTTCATTTATCAATGATAATGTGAGTGAAGGGCCAGGTTCCATATAATTCACCGTGAGAGTAAATAACAGGTTATTCCCGGATAATATATTATCAGCAATTGACGAGAAGTATCAAGAATTATTCACTATTTACATATAAATTATCCGTCGCAGCTCAATTTTTCATTGTTTAATAAGAAAAAGTGCTGAAAAGCTGGAAACGAGATTGGGAAACGCCAGGAGCGGCAGGCGCGAATTTGCTTACACGACGAAATCGCACGAGTCAGTCCAGTGGTTACTACACGTCATAACATGAGATAAGGTTACATTGAACAAACCTTAAAAGTTGCACGTGGCAACTATAGAAACTTAGTAACAATTTGCGACAAAACGCGTCGACGAGACGAAACAAGGTGTTACTTCTGCCTGTACCTTTGATGAACACAAATAGTTAAAACCGCTGAAAATACATGATAAACGAAACATAAACGGCGTTCTTGATGTGACTTACATGAAGTTTCTTTGTGAACAAGGCAATTGCTGGTAAGGGAGATGATTTAATTAGTAAATTACGCTTTGCGTCATTTCAGTTGGCGTCAAAAAACTGAACAAAGCGAAAAAAACGTAAATATAAAAGGAGAAATGTTTCATGGAACTGTTCTTTTATTATCGACAACTGATTCTGAAACGTACGAGTGAATATAGAAACGAAAGTTGCTATTTTTCCTTTGAAGTTCCTGTTGGTTTCTTGTTGAAGGGACAGTTCAGTACTGAAGACGAGTTTCGCGAGAAATGCGTGCGATAGCTGTTGAAGATTACCAGGATGATCATTCGGAATTACCTCAACTTAGTTTTTCTGTTGGGGACATTATTCATATCACAGAAGTCCTTGAGAATGGTTGGCTAGAAGGAGTTATCGGAAATCAGAAGGGATATTTTCCAGCTAGCCATGTGGAATTTCAAGATGAACGGACAAACATTGTAACGCCTTCTATATGGCATTTTCCAGACGCAATGCGCCGTTTGTCTATACGAGGAAGTATATGCTCAATGCATGAGAATGCATTCCAATACCAAAAACGAATTCTCTTTCGTAAGTTCTGCCAAGACATTAAGAGCAAAGTGAAAGCACTTCTTTTGTCTTTTTCCTCTACCCAGGAATTGCACTATTACCAGGAATGTGTTTCTGTTTTATCCCAATGTCTCGTTCAATTTTTTGAAGCGCTTGGACAATTTACGACCAAAGTAGACGAAGGACTTCGTAAAATCCTCCAGCTCATTTCCAAGCTCATGGTATTACCATATTACTCCTCCCAAAGTCAGGATTACCAATTATGTTATACAGCGGCGTTGAAATACCTTGGCAGATTGGTGCTTTTATTACAGCAGCGCACATCTGTGTCTTTAACGGATCAGTTACCACCAGATGGTGTACCTTATCACACTGTTTGTTTTGTTCCCGTTCAGGGTGATCTGCTTGGGGCTACATTCGATGCATCAGAAGACGCTTCACTCGAGTTGAATGCTCGCGTACTCACAAAGCTCTTGCTAGCATCATCAAAACTTTATAAAAGGCTTTCTGTTTTGATTGAAATCGTAAATGACAGAATTTCTACAGACGAATTCACTGATCTCCTTGATTTAATAAAGCGCTTGTCTCAACTCTTTTCACTGCTAACGGACTTGAATTTGAAAGAACTTATCTTGGACGATTTCAGTGTTCCTTCCTTAAGCGTATTCACGACTTTAAAAGATACAGCAATAGATGATATCTGTGAGCTTTTCTTGCTGGTGCAAACATTTATGACGACTGCTAACAATGATGGTCAAATTTCACCCATAGAATGTGAAGAGAACTTGAAAACCCGGCTTTCTCGTTTACAGGAGACACTTGTGAGCTTGTGTACGCTCACTGTCTCTTTGTACCAACAGTTTTGCATCCTACGGGAAGACATGAATTCAAAGAGTATACCTGGTGATTTTTCTGCCGAAAATTTACCAGATGATGCTTCTTTCGCGGTGGAATCCTTATTGAAAAGGGATCCTATCAATGAGCAGATGTGTTCCCTTTTTGTAGATTTACGTACACAAAACAACTTGCGTGTAAATGCAAACGGTCGCGTGCTTAGCGGGAACCTCTATTCCCTCTTCTGTTATTTGTTTCGCTATGATCTCGACAATAGCAATTACACAAACGTGTTCTTTTTGACGTATAATAGTTTCACTAATTCTCTTCAACTATCCAGTTTCATTGCGGCAAAACTGTTTGGTGAATTGAAGCAGCATTCAGGAAAGAATACGAATTTTGGTTCCACAAGGCAAGTAAGAAGAATGCTGCAATTGATGCTTACTTGGCTTGAATTAAAAAATGGTAACGACTTGAAGGAAACAGAGTTTATGTTACTTATGAACAACGTGTACGGTATCATTCACGCTTTGGAAAGAAGACGCTTTGATATGAGCTCCATGAAGAATTTGTGTCAAGAGAAACTGAAGCATCGCAATAAGCGCACTCTCTTTAAAAACGTGCAAGGTTTATATAATGACGTTCCTAAACCTTTGGTACCACCCTCGTTTGCTGGCTTTCGTATTTACAACCTAAACCCTATGGAGGTTGCAAGACAGTTGACATTAATTGAGTTCCGTTCTTTCCTTAACCTCACAGACGGGGAATGTCTCATGAAGATGTGGGATTTGAAGAACGCTTTGTATGGAATCTCTGAGAATGAAGGTACACGAGCTGTTTGCTTTTGCTCGAATCAACTTGTTTCAGCAATCATAGCCGAAATTGTTGAAGGGAAAGAACTTAAAATAAGGAAAGATATTCTGGCATTCTACATCTGCCTCGCCTCTGCGCTCTTTGAGCTACAAAATTTTGCCTCCTTGTTCTCAGTTATTTCAGCTTTGAATTCTTCGCCTGTGCATCGGTTAAAGAAAACTTGGGGAATTCTGACTGTGAAACAGCAAAAGATGTTTCAGTCTTTGGAGGAAATTACAAACACTTCAAAGAACTATCTGTCATATCGTGAATGCTTGGAAAGAAGTGCACCTCCATGCTTGCCGTTTATGGGGGTATTTATGACGGATATTACATTTCTGAAGGATGGAAACCGTGACAAACTTGAGAATGGCTTATCCATTAATTTTGAAAAGCGCTGGAAATTTGCTAATTTGTTGAATGAAATTCGGCGCTTCCAGTCGGTGCCTTATGCATTTGAACCTGTAGAACATATACAGGAAATGATAAACAAGCAGCTCGAAAAGGCTTATGATGCTGACAAGCTTTATGCAAAGTCACTAGCAATTGAACCTCGAGAGCAGGAAAACAGACAAATGCAAAGGCATAATGTGACAGTTGACCGACTGCTCAAAGAATCTGGTTTTTTATAGCATATTCCTATTGTATTTTTAGATAACAATTTCATTTACCATAACATTGTTGCATACGATTATTGCCCTATCGTACGACCGTAATATTGCTCAACTTATTCCTTGCATATACATACATTGTACATATTGCTTACTTCCACCAGGATAACGTCCCACAGTATGAAACAGATAAAATCACTTCGTAAAGCCGTCGTGGAGGGTGCTCGTATTGCCAGAGATTCAAAAGATTACATTACTTACTGCACATTACTTGATGTTACGCTACAAAATGGTTTGGAACTTGATAGCACAGAATCAACTCAGTTACTTCAAGTGCTAAAGGAACAGGTGCTCCTGGAACGGAATGTAAGCTAGCATAAACCTTCTAGGCTTCTAACGACTTTCAGAATCTTATTTTTAAAGAAATTGCTTGGGACCTTATTTCACCAGTTATTTTATATTACGAAAAAGTTGAGCCCGAGACTGTAAACTCGCTACTAGATGTTTTTGGCCAAATTGGTAATCCTCGTGAGCTCTACATTCGGTGTAATGAGCTTTTCCATGAACTGAACGTCGACGAAAGTTGTACCTTAAAAGTCGTTGCTCTTGTTAATTTAAGTAGACAAGGTTTGTGCAGCTTCGTTACTTCCAAATAAGCTAACCATTTGATAAGCCCTTTCAAGGATTGAGACGAAAAACCCAATTTTGTTTATCAAACCACTATTTGAATCTATCTGGAGAAAATTGGAAGAAGTGATTTGTGCATCTACGAACCAAGTAAAGGTGGTTGAAGCAATTTTAGACCTTCTTGATGACTTGGTTTCTCAATGGAAGGATAATTCTGACTGCATTAAACTGTTTCCCTCTGCTATGGCTTTGTTCACCTGTATCATCTTTGAAAGCTTGAACTTCAACCTTGCAAGAGAATACGTCCAACAACACTTCAATAGCCCTAAAGTTGCCTTTCGCTGTCAACGTGAGATTTCGGATACTGATGATATTGACTTAAAAATAGTTGCTTCTCGAGTGCTTCAATTATTAAAAATTGCGAATGGATTACAATCATGGCCAAAGATTGTTTCAATTACTCAGAAAATGGGTTGCTTTTTGGATGAGCCGCAGATCACCGCTGCGGAAGAAACTCGGTTTGAAGAAGATATAGTTGACGCAAAACTTAATGCTTATACCAAAGGTTATGTCGCGGGCTCGGTGATTAACGAGTATTTTCAGGATGACAGATCAGATATCCCCCAATCCATCGATGAAGTATATCCTGTTGTTGCTCAGCTTATACAATGGGAAGGCCAAGGTTGGTTGGATTTAGGGCTCTTTTTAGCCATGAAATATCTCGATTGCAATTTTGATGGAAACGTTACAAGTAGAACAAAGTTTTTCTCTGTGCTTCAGCTCTTTCACTTCGTGGCTGCGCTAAATGAGGATGCAACTGTGCGACTCATAAGCAACGAAATCGTCCTTCGGTTTTTGTCCAAGGTTTCAGAGGAAGTAAAAATAACCTACATTCTTGACGTTTTACACGAATGTCCCTTTTTAAATGTAAAGACTGAGATGCTACGTTATTATCAAGAGCTTTACTGCGATGGCCAAGAAAACTCGATGTTTCAAGAGACGAAATATGTTCGTCAGGTCATTGAAGCATGCACAAACATTCCAGAGCAGGTAGATGGCTCTTATGCTCCTTTTTTTCAGCAATGTCTTGCTTTTCTTTTCGTCGTTCAAACTCGAGACAACGAACAACTAAAAGCTCAGTCCGTGCAACAGTTTATTAAGACTATGAGGATAGTCACAACTACGGATGAAGACAGTGATGACTATAGTATCCTTCAGCCAATGTTGGACAAATTGGATCAACAATCCATGCTGACAGATGTACATCAGAACTCTAAAGCAGATGTAAGACCTAACTCAATTGTTGAATAAAATAATCTGTAACACTATAATATGATTGTATCAATCACGGACGGCATTAACCAAATACTTATCAACTATCTGTAACTTTTCCGAACGTACCCCCCGGCCAACCAATTTTTATCCTTTGGCAAAAGTACATTTCACTGGAACGCACTTTTAGCAAGAATGGAGGTTCCAATACCCGTGCAAACACGAGGAACGTCTGGCTATACTGCCGTCATGGTCGCCGGAGGTTTAGGAGGAGGCCTCGGCGATTTATTAATGCATTCTTTGGATACAGTCAAGACCCGGCAGCAGGGTGCGTTAAATGCACAAAAATATAAAGGTTTTCTACATGCTTATCGTACAATTTTTGTGGAAGAAGGTCTAACTCGTGGTTTGTATGGAGGAATATTGCCTGCAATGATGGGAAGCCTTCCTGCTACTGCGATCTTTTTCGGTTCATATGAATTTAGCAAGCAACGGTTATTGTCATTAGGCGGGCTCCCAGAATCACTGTCCTATATACTATCGGGCTTCATTGCTGATGTTGCTGCCTCTTTTGTCTACGTTCCTTCTGAAGTTCGTCACAATTGCTTTTTACTTGTTGCAAAATACTAACTCTTAGGTTCTTAAAACGAGATTGCAGCTCCAGGGGCGGTACAACAATCCATACTTTAAATCAAATTACAATTATCGCTCTCTTGTGGATGCTATAAAACAGGTATGCCTATATGCTCAAACAAGATCGTTATTCAAACATCCTTCTTGTACAGCTACTGCAATAAGTAATCATTTGCAATCTAACGAAACCCTGTATGCAATAGATCACTAAAACTGAAGGCCCGAGAACTTTTTTCTACGGTTATCGGGCGACTTTGCTTCGAGATATCCCATTTTCCGGAATTCAATTTTTGTTCTACGAAAAAGTTCGCAGCCTTTTTCAATCCTATTATGGGCGTGAAGATATTGGTCTTTTCGGAGAGCTAATTACGGGCTCTATTGCCGGCGGCGGTGCTGGGTTTCTCACCACGCCTTTGGACGTAGCCAAAACAAGGCTACAAACGGGTGTGCGACCCAAGAAAAATGTTGTAATAGATGCTAAGCTAAGTAGCTTGAGCAGTCCTATGTCTACAGCCTCTACAACGGCGATTCCCAAAACTCAATCCGTTCGAGCTTCTGTGACGATTACCTCCGTCTTAGCAGACTTGTACAAAACCGAAGGATTAAGAGGAATTTTTCGAGGAGTGTGTCCTCGTATCACCTGGACTTCAGCTCAAAGCTCCTTAATGTTTGTTTTTTATGAATCGATACTACAGATTTTTCGACGTTCCAAGAATATTGAATGAATAATCAATCACATACATATGTTCATCACATCTACGTTTTCATGCTTATCTACCTTCCGGATTGGAAGACTACAAAACTGGTTACTCAAAACTAACAGATTAAAGTTTCTCCCAAAAAACGACGCTTTCAAAACAATCCACAGTCGAAACATGTCTATAAAACTCACCGCCAGATACAATAACAATATTAATTCATTACTCATAAACAAAGCTATGATACAGTCTTACAAGGAATGTCTATCGTGCTAACAATGCATAACGCCGAGTTGTACGGCACAAAGCATTAACAAAGCCTAACATGAACAGCAGACAATGGTTTTACACCTCACAACTAACCTGCCCGGCATTCTAATATTAGCAACGGGAGAAGTCCCACGAACACGGCAGTAAGGGAAACAAAAACCCAGCAGTAGAAGACCAGATAGCTCAAAAAAATAATAACCTTCAACCAAAAGACGGAAATGACTAGGACCAGTGCGGACGGTGAATGTTCGGATTACATGAAAACGCGGGAAACTGTTTAGAAACCTAAGAACCAACAAAAGAGAAATAAAGGACGGGGATGAAAACGATTGACAAAAGGTGGGATTCGGAAGTGAGACGGAAGTTTTCGCAATGAGTTTGGGCTAAAACCTAAACCTCTGCTTCTAAGTTTTCATGTAATGCGTTATCCACATCATCATCATTCACAAAGCCCTCACCGGTTTTTGTCTTCTTGGCAGCCAAGCCAAACGTCGACAGTTCGCCATCCTCATGTTCCGTTTCCTCATCGCTGACGATGTTCTCTTCCAGGTCTTGCTCAAAATTTCGTTTAACAGGCGTAGAAACGTTGGAGCGAACGAACTCGCTCTGCCGCGACTGATCCTCGTCTTCATCAGTAACTGCTTGCTCTTCCAACTGCTGGATTCCATTTGACTCATAATCGCTTTTTAAGTCCGCGTCATCTTCAACAAGTTCAGCGCCGCCGGCTTGCACCAAACCTTTTTGTCCTTCACTAACAGTATCATCGTCTGTAGCAATTGCAGCAGACTCATTCTGTATCTCGTCGCTAACCATAACACTTTCTTCAACCTCATGCGTCAACGGGACAGATGGCTCTCCTTCGAGTCCATCATCTTTGCCTTTTTCCGTGACAACCTCTTCGGGACGGCTCTCAGAATCAGTGTCAATACGTCCGAGCTCCGGTTGATCGCTGATAATTGAGCTTTGTTCATCCACATCTTCTTCAACATCACTATTCGCTTGTGAAGACGATCTTGAGGAGCGCTGGACAAGTTTATTATAACGTGCGATAAAACGCGGTTGTGTAGCAACGTGGATACGAAACACCTGGTTTGGTTCAGATTGAGAGGCAAACAGTCCAACCATGTCCACAAGGTTAATTTGACTTGCGTAAATATTATCCTCAGCCATAGATAGGTCTAAACCCTCAAAACTGCAAACGAGCTCAACATCGTCCGCCAACAGACCAAGGGAGTCCAATCGCGCACGAAGTATACCAAATAAATATTCCAAGCTCATTGATTCCATGAAATCTTCATCACCGGAAAGAATAGGAGGTTGGAAATTCGACTCAGAAGGACCCCCCAACAAATTCACCTCGCCCAAGATAGGAAGGACAACCTTTGCCTCAACTCCGGCGTCCGCATCATCAACAATATCACCAAAAATGTCCCCCTGGTCTGCCGCAGTTGACAATGGCTCTACAGAGTTGATGGCATCGCTTGTTTTGGCTGCGTCAATCGGGTCTTCCTCTTTGTTGTTAACGGCGCCATTATTGACGCCAGTGTTTTCTTTTTCACTTACTGTAGCTGAAGGTAACCTTTCGCGACCAGTGGGGTTTACCGCTGCTTTCTTATTGTTATCTTGTGCTTCAAAGGCAGGCTGTGTGAAGGTGTTTAAAACACTTTCAGCGTTTTCCTTAATTACATTGGCGTAATCATCGGACAAGCTTTCTTCCAATTCGGTATTTATATCATTTTTTACGGCTGTGGGAACAGTGGCCGGAGATATCATTCTCACTTCGTTAGGAAATGCACCACTCATTTCAAGCAAGGTTTCAAACTTTTCATAATCATCCAAAAGATATGGAGAAAGCTGTCTCTCAAAAGCGACTTGCTGTACTGATTCCATTAATCAGAAACAAGAGTATAGAGAAATAAAATATAGCAAAATGTACCAGTAGACAGAGCAATTGAAAATATATCAATCCTAAGACCTGCTGCGAAAAGTACGGATTTACACAAAAAAAAACACTTAATAAGAAATTCTCTGTTTAACTAGTAAAAATAAAAGCTTATAATTGTTGAAAAATAGCTAAAACTGTCAGTAAAGACACGAATTTACCTGTAGTCTTTTTTCCTAAAGTATCTGTGTGGTTGGTAGTTGGCAGGACGTAGAGGACGGAGAGTGCGTAAAAAGCATGTGGTGCGTTAGTGTGCGTAGTACTACGTTATTTGGCATTACTGCAGTTTAAGCAGAGTACTGTAAACAGTTTACTGAGAACTAATGGAGTCCACCGCATAATAACCTCTCAGGTAACTTGTACAGGACTCTCTTGACCATAGCAAACAACAGAAATAATGGTAGGATTACGAGGTTCAGGCTAATTACTAACAGTGATAGGTGGTACTGGCTGCAGGTATTGTTAATAGAGGCGGAAAAGGTATGTTAAATTGGTTTGTGCTCTTAACTAACACGGATAAATAGCTGTGTTGTCGCGTCAATTTCGCGATATGTCCAGAACCAGAGTCGAGAGTCTTCTTTCTACGTTTCCTGGATTAATTTCTAAGGGAACTCAACACACGAGTGTTGAAACGGAAAACGTTCGGTTTGTTTATCAGCCATTGGATGAATTGTATATGGTTCTTATTACGAATAAGCAATCCAACATTCTTGAGGATATTGAGACGCTACATCTTTTCAATCAGGCTGTCACTTCTATGTCTAGCACTGCTGATGAGCGTGATATATTGGAGAACGCATTTGAAATTCTCTGTGCCTTTGATGAAATCACAAGTCTGGGTTATCGTGACAACGTCTCGCTTTCACAGATTAAAAAGTATCTTGAAATGGAGAGTCATGAAGAGAAAATTCAAGAAATTGTTTCTAGAGTAAGTGACCTACGTGATTTGCAATGCGAGCTTTTTTCAAACGGACACGATATAAAAGTACATAACCGTGTACAGTCCATAACAAACAAAGTGATCATATATCTTCACTCACTTCTTTGCAGCCGCTATAAATGTCGCTATATATACTAACAATCTTTTAGAACAAAGAATTGGAAGCCAACGAGGAGAGAAAACGGAGAATCAAGCAACTGGAGTTACAGCGCAAAGAGTCCTCTCGTCGTGGTTTTGGAAGCGATAGTTACGAAAGCGGAGGCTATCAAGCCGTTTCAAACCCTGTTACCGCGGAGGTGAAGGAAGAAGTTATGGATTATTACTATACATCCTCTGAACGTACCGCACCTGGACCCAAGGTGAAGGGAATGCAGCTCGGCAAAAAGGGCAGATCCAACCTGTGAACGTAAATGGATATCAATTGCATGTTAACGCATCCGCCTGGTGCCTCTATGTGACCTTGTTTGAGCTGCACCGATAATGAATTGGGCCATCTGAAACTCGCTATTGAGATTAGATTGTTACGAAATCGACCTATCGCCGTTGGGCCAATGATGAACGCTCGGGTGTGCAAAAGGTCCACAAATATTAGTACAGCAATGCATTTCCCTGACCATACCTTTATTCTCTGTGTGGAAAGCTGTGGTTTGGGATTTATTACGGTAATAGATAGTGATACATGTGCAGCAATGTCTGATGGCTAGCCGCTTTTAATGATGTGATGAGGGTGGAAAGCACGCACATATACAGTTCGGGTGAATTATATAAACAGAAAGAGTAACTGAACAGATGAAAACAAGAAGAATCAAGTTGGATCCTGGAAAGAAAATGTACACTGCATTCTTCGTGAAGTAAAAACCCGTGGAATACATGAAATTGTAAGCCTAGGAAGACGTGTTCACGGAAGAGCGCAAGACGACACAACAATGGTGCCTGTAAATGGTGTTTACGAGAAAGTGAAATTTGAGTAAAGAAAGAGAGTGTAGAGAGGGGCTTGAGGAATGCTTAAGTAGACAAAAATAGATGGCTCGGCAAATGAAACGGTGTTAACGACAGCATACCAGTTCTCAAACTTGTCAAATATGAAGGAGAGTATCAACACCATATGCGTATAGCGATGATATGTCCTCATGGAGTTACGAGAACAAGACGTCAAAACATTAGTAGCACCGGTCAAGTATATAAATCTTTATGCGATTTGTCCCCTCAGAAACGGTAAATGGAGTGAGGCTGTAGTACCTCAAACTTCATGTCAAGCGATACCTCCTCCGCATGACTGTGAAGCTCCTGGAGAATAGCATCCGATGCAGAAGAGGTATGTCTTGGATCACTCTTTATATGGCAGATGAGACAAGTTACATTATGTGTGTTGCCTCCTAAGTTAGTAACCATCTGTTGCAATGAGTGCAACTCGTGAACAAGAGTATTTGGACACATATGTCCGAAAAGCAGCTCATTCGGCACATCAACGGTAGAGCATTCAACGGTTATATACTTCAGTTTGTCCTGTTGAATTAAAGGAGCAATTGTTTCCCAGATTTCATGATTATAATGTTTTCCGGAAGTTTGATCGGCCTCAACGTCACCGAAGGCAATGAAATAATGATCAGTAGTAACGTTACGAAGCAGAAAGGCAGACGAAAGTACTGTGTGTCCGAAACTGCAACCGTGGCTGACAATAAAAGGTCGCACGTGAAGAGTACTTGTGATGGGAGAGTACAGATCGGGTGAAATACTAAAGGTTAGTTACAGAGCTGGGAATGGAAAAGCTTGCAAAAAGATATGGCAAGTAGTTTTAGCACTGCAAATACATTCTTCCCGCTCCTGGGAATGACTATTCATCCAACATGATTTAGTTTGAAGCAAAGATATTCCCAGTGAGCAGTTTGAGTTGTTATGGTTCATGGGCCTCCCAATTGATGAGCGCTAAGTTTGTACATACCTTTTGTATATAAGAAAGCCTGCTTGGTCAAGTGCTGGCCAAACGATGTTGTTAAAGATGTGTTTTTTCATGCTCTCAATATTGAAGTCAAGAGCTGCAATCTGACGAGGATGCTCTGTAGTAAAGACGGCACTGTTAATTATGAGTCCGGCGAGATGATCAATATGACAGTGTGAAATGAGGAACGTGTGTATGCGTTCTTCGGAAAGCAGCCAAGCTTTATAGTAAGAGGTAGAGATGTTTTCGTCGATTTTTGTAGGAATTGCACAGCCATAAGCTTGAGTAAGCTTATAGAAGCCAGGTGCAGCGTCTTCCGAATCTGTACTCGTGTTACTGTCCTCGACAAGGCAGTTGGAGTCAGGAGAGCTATCGCCGGACTCCTTAATAGCGATTACTTCATGCACATCTCCAACAGAAAACGACTGTCCCTCGGCATGTGAGCTTGTGGATGCTAACGGGGAGGTTTCTCTTGGTGCTTTCCTCGAGCTTTGGTTTGATACACTATCCATGTCTTCGTCACTGTCATTACGGTGTTTTTTGGCGCCAGAACAAGACGATGCGTCGTTTTTATTTTCTACACCGTCGTCCTCGTTGTCCGAAGACTTTTTCCATTTGGATATCGTATCAAGAAATGGCGAGTTTTCAACAAGCTCAATCAGACTTGACAAGTGAGTTCCTCCATCAATTGAAATAACTTCCTCAAAGTGCGCATCTGAAACCAAATGACCACTACAATGAGTTTCTAATGGACCACCCTTCCATCGAATTAGTAACGAAACGTGAAAAGCTTGTTGTAATCACTCACATTGTTTCCCTGAAAGTTAGTATTGATATTTTCGCAAAAATATTTAGTCCAAACAATAAGTAATCGCCCTTACCAGTGAAACCAACGTAAAAGAGGCTTCTTCAGCCATTTTAAAGCGGTTTCCTGAACAGCAGAACTGGACAGGTAGAATTGGGCCAGAAGGCTCGTTCCAAGCGGTAGCCCACATGTGGGCGGTGGGGGTGAGACATGTGGGGCATCCCACTTGGCAGAATGGACTAAAAGATTTGCTAAATCAAAAAATGCAGGGAACAAATGAATTCGTTCAGCAGCTGGAGGAACGTTTTGTTTTACTATGGACGATTACTTCGTGCTGGCTCGGGATTTCTTTGAAGGACATTGACGTGATGAGGTGTTGTATACTTGGTAAGGTAAGCGAGATGAGGTAAGGAGGATGATAAGGGTATAGAGAGTTACTGAAATTGTTGATAACACGACCCTTGCTGGGATTCCACATTTGTATATCTCTGTTTATTTTTTTTATTTTTTTATTTTTATTTATTTTTATTTATTTATTTTTTTGGCAATCTTAATTATGCGAGTATATGAAATTTAGAAGTATTAGCGATCAGTTTGTTTATTTGAGCCCAAAATAGCTGGGAACACTAAAGAGTATAAAGACTATTAAATCGTATCTCCGGAACAAGTGTTTATCGTCACAGGGATTCCATGACCTTTCAAAATTTTAGATAATAGTAGCCGGTATGATCTAAGCGAATGACAATGTCGCTATCGAACGCAATTCAGATAAATTGTAATGTAAAACTGTGTCATATCAAGTGTTGAAACGATGAGAGGTGTTACTTATGGTAATGTGCGTTAATTTCTGTGTACCCTGTATGCAAAGAAATAACTGTCACACACTGGGAACCTAATTAGTTACAGCCGACTATGTAGACCAAGACGAATGAATTTTATTGATTCAACCTACTCTTTAAAGGGCTTCGGACGCCCCGATCTATTCAACTAGTAATTGTTTCAATAATTATGATTCTGGACCTTCGTCGATTGCAAAGTGTAGAAGCATTACACTGCGAGCAATAAAGTTTCTTGTGAAATTTAATATTTTGCTTTTTCGTACGTTCCTTTACATCAAGTTATCGAGCAAGATAACAAGTTATGAAGTAACGCGACTCTATAATTCTACGCTTGAGCGAATATACTTGTTTGTTTACCCATTGCATCCTCACATCGCTAACTAGCACGGACGAAATCTCGCTTTTTTGAACTAAGGTTTCGGCGTTGCGAGTTTATGAACATAGTGTTACCACTAAAATAACAAATGTTCCTCGGTTAGATAATCTTGAACGAATGGAAATGTTCTTTGAAAAACGAACAAATCCAGTTGTGGCGACGAAAACGAACAAAGCGCACCATGCCACTCAAACCAAACCATTGACTAAAAAATCACGTTGAATGAGTATACAGATACTCTAAGCTACCTATTTGTAGACAAGCAACGCATCACAGTTTTCCTTGCCAGTCGTACTAAACACTCGCTTAGATAATTTAAGCTTATCTAAACATACATATTCAACCTTCCGCCCTCACAGGCCCCGCCGTCCTATTCTACCGCCCTGCCAGCATTACCCGAAATCACCTGCCTACCGTCCGTCCCCCCGTCCAGCTTGGCTGCACTAACCGCTGCTCTTCTGCCATGAACCGTCTTCGAATCTACGACACCCTGCACCGGACGGCTGTTTCAGCTCTCATTCTCGCAACCATTGGCGGCACGTTCCTCACAGGACGGGCATTCATGCAACATCGAATGCGCCGTTTGGAGGCACTGGAGCGCATGGAGCAGGTACGACGATAAATGCCAGTGTTTGCTCACGCACTGCGAGACGAAACGCTGACAAAATAATCTAACCAACCAGATCGGCAAACTTAGCGGCTCCCAAAGCAGCGAGAACAATCTTGGGCAAGAACAGCAAAACGCACTGGACCAGGTTGTCGAAAACGAGCTTAGTCAAGTAAGCCCAAACAAGAGCAGCGCCGCAGCAGAAAGTGCAGCTCCGCAATAACGACCACCGGTTTAACACATGTTTCTGCACAAGCAATCAATGAAAGAAACGGACAACACGCCAACGTGGTACTGTTTCAAGTAAAAAGTCATTTAGAGATGAAAGCGTCTCCCTCCCATAAGGCACCATTTAGGAAAAACTTGACCATATGTCAAATGAATTCGTAGTCCTTTTAAACCATTTTCATTACTCCCTTTAAAGGTGTTTTTCTGTATCCAAGAGCAAAATGATGCTGTGAACACACATCTCCTTGAGTGTGTGTACGTTTTTTACGAGTCTACTGAGCAGCAGTGGCAGTCCAGTCAGAGGTAGAGGCACCAACGGTGCTCCAGTCGCCAGTAGCAGCCTCGTCCCAAGCACCCTCACCGACTTGGCCAGCAGTAGCGGCAGCAAGGACATCGGCATCAACAGCTCCAGCAGCGACAGCCTCGAACTCAGCGGCAGCCTCGGCAGTGGTGGCGGCCTCAGCAGCAGCTTCGGCAGCAGCCTTAGCCTCCTCCTCGCGCTCAATCTCTTCGGGATCGCGATAGAAGTACATATCGACCATAACGTCCCAGGCACCAGTACGAGTAAGAGCACCACGAAGACGCAAAACCTCACGGGCCAAGAGCCACCAAACGAGACCAATGGACTTGTAACCCTTGTTGTTGGTGGGAATGGCAACATCGACATGAGCCAAAGGAGAATCAGTGTCGCAAAGGGCAATGACGGGAATGTTGACATAGGAAGCCTCCTTGATGGCTTGAGCATCAGCACGAGGATCCGTGGCGATGATGAGACGAGGCTCACGGAAGGTACGAGTGATGTAGTTGGTGAAGTTACCGGGGGTGAAACGGCCAGCGATGGCAGTAGCACCGGTGTGAGCAGCAAACTTCAGAACGGCACGGTGACCATAGGGACGAGAAGAGACGACACAAACGTCAGCGGGGTTCTCGACGGTGGCAATGATACGAGCCGCCAAGACGATCTTCTCCCAAGTCTTGCCAATGTTGATGATGTTAACACCATCAGCACGGCGCTTCCACACGTAATTCTCCATGCGGATCTCCAAATTCTTGGAGCCGATATGGCAAGAAGCAGCAAGAAGCTGCTTAATGTCCTCTTCGGTCGCGTTCAAAACCGAGGGGTGGGCCACAGATTCAGCCATGAATGGACAAGGATGATGGTAAAAGGAAGAAGTCTCGCCCACCAATCGATCAGTGTGGTGGTGTCCGTGACTGTTTTCTATCAGCATAAAGTTAAATTAAGCGACCACGTGACGTGTTTAGACTTGCAACCTGAACGGCAAGCGAACTTTACGACGCATTCCCCGCTGCAACCTAAAATTAATACAACACTTCGTTCTATTCCAACTAACCATTCATTAAGAAAAAGAAATACAAACAATAAACGAACGTGAAAGCGCCTGCGCTCTAAAAGAACGCGACAAACTTATGCAGCAGTGGCCTCGGTGAGGACGGTAACGACTTGAGTGGTGGCATCAGCGGTAGAGTACACGTAGACGACCTCCTCGTCGGAACCATCCTGGGAGGAAACAGCAGCAGCGCTCGTGGTAGGAAGTACCTCAGAGGTAGCGGCAGGAGTGCTGGAAGCAGCAGCAGCAGCGGGTTCGCTAGAGGCAGCGACCGGGCTGCTAGCGGCGGCGGGGGCACTAGAAGCAACAGAAGCAGCAGGTGTGCTCTCAGGGGCTGCTTGGGTAGAAGGAGCGGCACTGGAAGCCGCAACAGGAGTAGTAGTAGCAGCATCCTGAGTAGTGGCAGGGGCAGCACTAGAAACGGGAGCGTCGCTCGAGACAGCAGCGGGGGCACTGGATGCAGGAGCCGCGCTAGAGACAACAGGAGTCTCGCTGGAAGCAGGGGCGACACTAGAAACAACGGCAGGAGTGCTGGAGACAGGGGCAGCGCTCGAGGCGGCAACAGGAGTGCTGGAGGCGGGAGCGGCGCTAGAAACAGCGGCAGGGGCACTGGAAGCAACGACGCTCGAGACGGGAGCAGCGCTGGAAGCAGCAGCGGCACTGCTTTGTGCAACGGAGCTAGACTTCACCACAGTTGCAAAGGTGGTGGGAGTAGCAGACGAAGAGGCACGCACAACAGAAGAGGTGGCAGCAGCGGAGGAAGCACGAGCAGAGCTGCTCACAGCAACAGAGCTGGAGCTAGTAACGGTACCGTTGGTACCATACTCCTCAATGATGATACGAGCGCTGGTACCCTTGGGGAAACCAATAACACAGAAACAAGCACCTCCAGCACCCGTAGGACTGCCAGGAGGGCAGCCCTGGACACCGCCTTGACGGGGGTCAACGTAGCAGGGGAGACCCGAGCAACCGTCACCCTCACACTCAAGACGAAGACCAAAAGTGGGAGCGATATCGACCCAGTTAGGGTCATCAACATAAATAGGGTTCGAACCAAGCTTAACGTACGTAATGCCGTTAGCGTCCATGTTCGCACCAGCAACGTAGGGGGACCAGTTACCGTAAGGGTTGTCGGTCGTACCCCAAACGCAGCCATCGTCGGTGCTAACACCAGGAGCATTGATGTAGTAATGGGCGGCAGTACCGGCCCAGTACGAGGTGTCGGGAACAGCCAAGACTTGCTTGGAGTTCGCACTCACCCAAGTGGGAATAAGCATGGCTTCGTTACCAGGCAAAACAGTTTGGCAGAAGGAAACACCCTTGCCAGTTCTGTCGACAGCATACACGTTACCAACACCAGGGTAACAGTAATCCTTCTTGGGGTATGGCTTCTCCATAGTACCGTCCGAGTTACAGTAGAGACCACCGTACATGGACTCGGGGTAGGAGTAAGTAGTGGCCTCGGGATCCCATTGGCCCATCAAATAACCAGGCTCACAAGCGTAGGGACAGTAGTTTCCGGGCAAACAAGGCTGATCGGGGGACATGGCCCACCCAGCGTTCTCGTACTGCGGAGTAACGGCGACCATCTTGTCGGCATAGGGGAAAGCACATTGCGTCGAGCCACGGGCTTTCACGGATGAACGGTGAGGATGCGAGTGAGAACGGCGAGTGTGACGAGCAAGAGCAGAGCCCGTCAAGAGGGCATAAACGATAAATGCAAGTGACTTAGGGACCATATTGAGAGTCTATAGACAAAACAAGATATAAAGCGAGTGTAAGTGGTTGGGAAATGCAAGTTACACAGATTCTCTATGTAACGCTTGTGCTTAATGAGGCTGGACAGCTAAGAAGACAGTATGAAGTAAGAATTGAAAAAGAGAGGAAGGTTTAGCAAACAGGGAATAAAAGAACGACCAATGCTGCTAAAAAGGAAAGAACCAAAAGAATACTGTCCTAAGCGTGTACACGACTCAAAAAAGCGGTATCCAGGCGAACGGTAAACAGTGATACAACGGAGTAGTTGGTTAAGGTTAAGTGAGTAGGCAGCGGATGAAAAGCTTATGAATAAGATTCCGTACTTGCACGTGACCTGGGGCTGCGATTGATTGGCTACTCTGAAGATCAGGGGCCTCCTTGTCCGGTTATTGCTGATTGGTTGACGTGCACATGGCAATTTATTAAGAAAGGAAAGTATAGTGGCGGTGGGGAAAGCGGAGAACTAGAGATGGGAAACTTCGGTTCCATCGATAAGCGAAACAAGCGGTCGTAAGGTATGTCAGGCGGTGGCCGCAGCACGAGGACTGTCATATCGGTTTTTATACGGGCTGCTCCGTTTTTGTGCTCGGCGAAACATATACGCAATTTTCTTTGTGTTTTTCCTTTGTCTGTGTTTTCTTTGTTCTGATGCGATACATCGGATAGGGAGATTTAAGGAGGCTCAAAGTAGCGTGATGGAGCGGGGTACGATTCATTAAGCCTCCTTATATTAATTTAGCGAGCGTCATCCCACGACTCGTTCCCCACCGTCTAGCCCTACCCTAACCGAAAAGCCAGTCACGCACGAAATCTGCTATACCAAACAATGGCTGTCGACTCTACCATCACCACAATGGCAGCATCCATCCCCGCGGAGGTTTCTTTGGACGAGAGCGGAAGCATTAAGCTTTTCAACAAGTTCCCCTTTGAGGGTGTTGAGGTGAAGGACATTTCCTTGGTGTAAGTAAGAAATGTGCTGGTCGGAAGCATGAAGCGTCGTCGTCGACACGGGCCTTCTCACCAGTCCCCATTACGGTATCGTCCATACTAACAAGTGTCTAGTGACTACATCACCATTGGAAATGGCCAACCCCTTCCCCACACTGCTGGTCGCTTCCAAACCAAGCGTTTCCGCAAGGCCCGCTGCTTCATTGTCGAGCGTTTGGCTAACAGCTTGATGATGAACGGCCGTAACAACGGTAAGAAGCTCTTGGCTGCTCGTATTGTCAAGCACGCTTTCGAGATCATCGCTCTTTTGACCGACCAAAACCCTCTCCAAGTTTTGGTTGACGCCGTTGCTGCCTGTGGTCCTCGTGAGGACTCTACCCGTATTGGTAGTGCCGGTACCGTCCGTCGCCAAGCTGTCGATGTCTCTCCCCTTCGTCGTGTCAACCAAGCTATTGCTTTGATCACCATTGGTGCTCGTGAGGCTGCTTTCCGCAACGTCAAGTCCATCTCTGAGTGCTTGGCTGAGGAGATCATTAACGCCGCCAAGGGTTCTTCCAACTCTTACGCCATTAAGAAGAAGGATGAGCTCGAGCGTGTCGCCAAGAGCAACCGTTAAGGTGGCTAGCTTTCTTCTGTCCGTGTCATTGGCTATATTTATATGTAGTCTACGTTAAAATGGAAGCTGTCGGTAAAAAAGAACATTTTGTAAACGAGGAAAAAAAGAAAGGAGATAGTAAAGGCGAGTGAAGGTTTTTGATTGTGTTGAGGGTGTTTGGGAGAGATCGGACAATGGAGAGGGCGCTGGGCACGATGTCTTGCGGCATACGGTTGTGCTTGTGCTCTCTCGTCCGCGCATTCATCCTAGTAATGGCGCAAAAGGTGCTGCTTCATCTTCTCAATCGCATCCAAAAAGTCAATTGACTCGTCCATCTGGTATAGCCAGTGTTCTTTAGGCAGGATGCTCGTAATGTATATTGCCTGCAGCCAGTTGGCACATTCAAAGTCAGGAGCCCTGTCGACAAAGGTCTTAAATTGGTCCACTAACTCGTCAACCTGCTCCAGAGTAACGTCTTTGGCGAAACTGTGATCTCGCCAACATAAACTCCGTGATCCAAAAAACGAAGACGTGAAATAAAACCAACCGTATTGAAATGCATGATTGTCATGCATGGGTAAAAAGTGGAACGAAGGGTGGCCAAGCCGGGCGAGCGCTACTTGCTTCCTAAATTCCACTTGTTGAGGTGTGCAATTGTTTTCATCTTCAATACTATCCATTGTATTCGCCAGTCGAGTCCAAAACTTCAATGGATCGTGTGTGTGTTTGTATAAATATGTTCCAATAGCCAATGTCACGATAGTTTCGATTTCTTCACATTTTGACATGGAACGATACTCGCTGTAAAATGGTTCATCAAAGATTTTATGGTAGCCAAGAATAAAAGCTAGGGATATGTCTTGTTCGTGGGGCGTTAAAAAACGCCGTGCAGAGTAATGTTGAATGTACTGATGCAAGGCGTGGATGGTCCAGGCAAATTCTATGCTTGAACGTGAAACTTGTGCTTGAGTCGCAGAACGGGCCAGCGCAGTGCCACATTCTGAAGACACGCGTCGTGCCGTCTCATTGCAGTCATTTGTTTCCTCCTTTTCGTGGCAGCAAAGTCGTATCCATAGCATGGCAGGGAAGAGAACCACGCCGGTTACAGTCCTGAAGAAAACCCTGAGACACTTTTTTAGCTTGGAATGTTTGAATAGTTTCGTCCTAGTAAATGATCCTAGAACAACATGCATAGGCATTAATGTTTGTTTACATAGAAATAGGCCTACAAATTTAATGGCCGGTATTCGTTTTTGTGTAAACAAAAAAAAAAGATGATATGGTATAAACGTAAATAAAATTGGGCACAAACAGTACAAAAAACGTGAATACTCTGTAAACGAAACGTAGACTATAACATGTCAGAAGAAGAAGAAGCCGTCAAGTTGAAACGCAAATCAAAGTTGCGCCGTGGACTAATACGTTTCCAACGATTTATTATGAACATGGTCCTTTGCAATGCTGTGCAACCCGTTGATGCTAAGCAAACTCTACTTAAAATACAGCTAGAATCGGATAAGAGACCCGTTGAATTGCCTAATGATCCTCTGCTACTACAGCCGCCAAAAAACGCAAAAGGAACGGTCAGTCGGATGGACGTTGTAAGCTGTAACAGCGCGGCAGAGAAGATGATTGCCATTGGAAGCCCATCCGGTGTACTGAACTGGCACTGGGCTTGTCGTGAATTTGTATACCATTTGGCACAACTCGAAAAACAATGTAACCTGCAAAATGAAATCAATAAGAACCTCGGTATTTCCGAACATCGGCTTCGAATGATCAAGTGCTTGACTGTTTGGAATGACAAAGCTGGAATGAATTTTGGACTTGAAAGCATCGAATGTGCAGTAGCTAAAAGACGCGAAATATTCATTCGCCTTGTCGCTGGTCAAAGACTCTGGACTATGAGTTCTGAGCTGAATCGTCTTTCGATGTTAGTGAACTCATTCCGCGTGCTTGAGCAAGAAAGTCAATATGAACTACCACTTTCTGAGACGGAACTCGTATTCCGACATCGGGTTTGCATGTTCCAATTCGGTCATCCAGCATTTTACTTTTTACCAATGTTCAACGAAGTACAGTTGTATTACGCATGGTGCAGTTTTCTTTCCGCCTCCGTCGAACACAACTGTCCACTGGAGATTCCGTGGAACCGACCCAGCAACGTTGGTGATCCAATGAATCGTTGGGAAGAGTTGTTGCAGCTAGCCCCTAATCAAGCGTGTAGGAACTGGATACACATTCTGTTTCTCACGGAATTGCTACCAAAGAATTTGGTTCTATATGAAGTTGACCCACAAATACCCATATCTCAGACGGCAGCCTATTTGCGCGACGGGCTTCGGAAAGGATTGATTTTCTGTTTGTAGAGCATATTCACACCGCGAATTAACGGATGTGACACTGGGAATATCAAAAGAGAATACAAACAATTTCAGTAAACCAAAAATTGACCAACAAAACAACTGTTAATGAGATTCGTAGTAAGAGTAACAACGCGTATATTCGTGACCAGAGAGGACCAACATTTCAAAAAGAGTTATTGAGATGCACCGTCCTTTTATAGAGCAGTCGCAGCAATGAAATGAAGGAAATTTCACTTTGTATCGGTATTTGCGCTCCAGATATTCGTGAAACAGAGAGTATTTGATAGAATCTCGTGCTTGTTTCTTCTTGCTTCAAGGCAGAACTCCCGTACCAGCCAGTTTGATTCCTCAAAACCCACGAGAAGCCTTCTTTTGTTTCTTTTTATTCTTTGCGGGAGATTTTTGATCCCTAGTACTAGGGTTTCTCTTGCTTGCAAATTTTGAAGGGCCTTCTGCTCTGCGTTGTTCACGCAACGTTTGAATTTTTGAAGCTAGCTTCTCGCGAAGTTGCAGAATGGACTCATTGCCTCCATTCTCGGAACTGATATTTTCAGCATCCTTTTCGGCAGAGGATGTATCTAGCTCCATAGGAGTAGACGCTCCCGAGTTTGTTTCGTCAGCAAGACCGTCCATACTAAACTTCTTCATTCTACGCTCCTTTTGCTCCTTTTTTGTTCCTTTCTTTTGTTTCCACTGGTTCTAGTAACAGTTAGTACTGATGCTCCGTTTCAACAAATATCACTTACAGAAGTTTCTTCATTGCTGTACAATTTCGCGGGAATAAAACTCAGTAATTCCTCAAACTTGGCATTCCATTGTTGGATGCGTTCCTATTACGTTAGTAAGATTTGCTAATTCAACAATCCTCGTACTTGAGCTTCAGTCATTTTTGCAAATGTTGGTAGCAGTAAAGGAAAAAAATCCACGCACTACGGTTAAGATACCTTTTTGCTAAAATGGTGAACTCTGAGCAGATAGAACAGGCAATTCGGGCATCCTTAGAGCCAGTACATGTTGTACGTCTTAGATTTTTGAAGTATTTCGCTGACACTCTGAAGGAAATTAATGATTTGTCGGGAGGATGCGGCCAAAACTTTGATGTGTTAATCGTGTCTCAATTGTTTAAGGGAAAGACTACTCTTGCTCGTCATCGTTTGGTGAACAGCAAATTGAAGGATATTTTGAAGGATATCCATGCTTTCACTCAGGTAGGTTGTAGCAATAGCTGGTCGCCATAAGCACTGAGCAAGCGAAACGGTTTAGACTCTTATTTTGCCTTGTCTTTGTTCATTGTCTGTTTTTGGTACTCCTACTAAGGCGCTGTGTTGAATCATCAAACAATGCGATTCCTTTGTGAATGTGAAAAAGAAAAAAGACTAATTACTAATATGTATAACAGAAATCTTTGACACCAGAGGAATGGGAAGCTCGTAGTGCTGCTAAAAATGGCACCGCGTAGTTTTATAATGCATTTTTTTGATTTGAATCCAGAAATAAAGTGAACTAAATCGTGAAGAGAATTGAGAGAAAATGAATGAACAAGGCGAATTATATCTGCGTTAACCAAATTTCATGATCATTGACAAATTTAAACTTTGACTGGAATTACTATCAAAAGTTCAGCGAATCTCGTTAACGCAAGAAACCAAATGATTTTGAGCTGGCCAACTGTAAATAGATTACAAACTTGTTCAACAAAATTTGAAGCTGATACAAGAATAAATAGCATTACTCAACTTCATCTTTTTATCAAGTAATACAAACTTTTTAAACTAAACAATGAGAAGAGGTTTTGCTTTTCAGATAAACACAGCTTCTATTTATTTTACATTTTCTAGAAATTAGCAAAGTAAGCTGGATTGATCCCATAATAAGCACTCTAATATATTACAACTGCTCCGTCAATTTCACAGAAAAACAAATTCCTCTCCTTTACCCCATTTTCTCATTCTTGGGCGGGAGCTTTCTTCTTATCAGTTGAACTAATAAAATGCTTCCTGTATGATGTTTATAACAATAAATGCTAATCTATTAGAACTTGCGACGAATTTTCATGCTCTTTCGAAGTGAGGAGGAAGAGCGGGCATACTCAAGAAGAGCGGTTCGTACTTGTGCATTTTTCTAACGTGCTCTTAACTAATTATGTTCTAAGTTCTACAACTTCATTGGTTTCATATGCAGCGGTATTGTTTTTAGCTGGATGATTCGCAAACAACGTCAATTACCGGCTCCTTGAACAAATTCTATATGAATTCACAGCACACGAACAATACACTACCCAGTCAATAGCTCTACTGTATGTTTGTATGAGAGAATATATAAAATTATTGAAGTGGAACAAATCTAAAACAGCTTAGTAGCAAAACCTAAAGAACCCAAATTAACATCATCAACAACATTGCAGCAGAACATCCAAACTGCTTTTTTTTTGTTCTTATGAATAAACAATGCGTATCCTTTTTTTTTTTTAAACACTGGAATGTGTTTACAAAACGAATGAAAGAATGAAATAAAAAAAAAAAATACTTAACTCAGTAATCCCTTGGCGATAACCGTTTGTAGACTTCTTTACCAAACTCATATGACGCCCAAGAGACAGCTGTTGCAGGCATGGAAACGATGACTCGCGGACGTATGCCCTTGAAAAAGGCACGGAAGCCGCCCAACCTGTGAATGATTGCAATTGCCTCTTTTAAGCCGCGACATGACCGAACCTCAGCAACGGAAGACGAACCGCGAGTTTGAAGCAATGTTTTCACAACGTCCAGGGGCGTAGTAATCGCAGCTGCTAACGCACCCGAGACACCACCCGATACAATGTGTGACCATGGAGCATACACGCCCGTTGGATTAACGATGCCCATGCAGTAATCGTATGCTGCAACTTGGGCGGCAGTGAAAGGTATAGACATGGCGATAGAGGTCGGATATGAGATGAAGAACGCGCCAATGCCTTCGTTTTTGTACACAGAACTTGCGCAATGGAACACAGAGCGATACCGGTGATTTGGCAACTGCATGCGTTGCTTAATCATGTCGAAAGGTGTAAGAAAAGCATCACTAATTGTAATAGCACTGCCGCCAGCGAATGCCGTTGCTAATGGTCGATCACTAGAGCCATTTACGTGCGACTTTACAAACTCGAATACCGAGAAATAGATAGCATGTGCAGGTCCTGCACCCATAACAACGCTTGTGACGCCCCTCCATAAAGAAGTAAAACCTTCAGCCGAGGAAATTTTGGCAACAGAACCAAACACGCTGCCGCTAACACCACGGCCAGTGGAGTTCAGCAGCTGCATCCGTGTTTTGATTGCGTCCACCGGGTACATAACGGTGTGTTCACAAATTCCGGCGAATGCACCGGCCAACAGATGCGCGTAAGTAGGAGAACTTACAGGCATTCCTTCGTAGTCGTAATCCAAATCTTCCATGGTAATGTGAAGAACTGAAAATGAAAACGGAGACTAGGAAAGTTATTATAATGAAAACGGGTGTTGTAAAAAGGTGTTCCAATGACAAACGAAATCGCTTGAATACTGCTTAGGAACAAAAACTTCTGCACACCGTGCTGAAAAGAGACGAACGAATCCGAAAAGGAGAGAAAGTAAATGTGTATGAACGAATAGAGCAATAATAGATATCTTGCATCTAAAAGGATTAGAGGGGACTGTACGATGCCGAGACCTTGGTAATTTGAGTAACTAAACCAAGAGATGGACGTATAAAAACAGAAAAACAAAGGACTCCTGGTGACTGTATGGTACTAAGTAAACCTCAAGAGCGAACTTCCTTTCCTAAGCGACTGTAACCAATTTTTTCTTTCTAGTGACCGCAAAAAACAAACCACGAAATAGTCCAAAATACTGCTAATTGCCTTCTATAGGACGTAATTTCTTCGTTTCAATGAAAGAGAATCAGAAACTAAATGAGAAGAAAATAAGAAAGAAAGAAAGAAGAAAAAAAATAAAAAGAAAACGACAACAGAATAAAAGAGAGAAAGGGAAAGAAAACACAGTTGTAAACGAAGACAAATACGAATTTCAAAGAAATACAAACACTGACGATCCGAGATCTAAGACAGCACTTGTTGTGCGTGGTTATTAGATAGAGGAACAAAGAGTAGATTTGTGTCCACACAAAAAGAAACAAAAAAGCACACGGTGGTAATCAGAGTCTTTCAAGTGCACTTTAAAGAAGAATGGACGAACTGTGTGACCGTTTTGCAAGCGAAAAGCAGCGATAGAAGGCGGCGGGAGGATGTGTTGGCGTTAATATTTGGTTCGCTAGCTACTGCAGCCCATTGCCCATTATATACGAATAAGAAGTCGCAAAACCCCAACATGCAAAACTGGCAATCATTTCTCGGTAAGATTGCATCCGATTATTTCCTTTAAGCTAACAAACTGCCACTCAATTCTGTACTGTAATCACGAGCCAATCGCTCAATGCAATCCTGTTTCTCCGTCTCCTTAGAATAAAGTGGACTATCAGATTGCATCTGATAAGATACTGGGGCGAATGTAAGCGAATTTTAATTTTTGAAACAATCGCCATCTGATAAGATATTTTCTAGTATCCGCAGGAAATTAACGTTTATCAGATGAAACCAAGATAGAGACAAAATCAGCTGCTCAGCCGGATTGGCTTGCTGCTGCGGCTTAAAGACCTATCCGCTTTCTAACCCAATCACCCAACTTCCCCGCTTAGATAACCGATACTTCGGACCTCACTCGGTGTAATACCGAAAGGAAAGTTATCGTGCACGTGTAACGCTATGCATGATTAGGTTTATTTAAAGTTTGATTAAGCTCATTTAACGTATGCACGTTTTTGTGCAAATCATTACAAGCGACATACGTTCTAGTCAACACTCAGTGGATCGAGAATCCCTCGTTTAACAGCAGCAAACTTCTTAACTGAAATAACAACGGCTTGTCACGCTGATCAACGATCTGCACCTTGCCTTTAACGATCATATTCGTTGCCGCTGCTATTGACCGACTAACCACTTTCGTTCGATCAGGATTCACCACAACCACTACAAAAAATCAACGACTTGGCAAGCCAAGTAGACGGGTCATTTCAGACCATAAATGGTGTAGATCATGCCCAATTCTTCCGGCTCCTCGGATTTTGTACGTTTGCGAACGTGTTCGATTTTTCATTCGGACGATGTGGCTAATGAATCGAATTTTAGGTGCGAAAGCTCTTCAACATGCTTGAAGACCCAGAATATAAACATATTCTGAGGTGGAGCGATACTGGAGATTCGTTTATCGTGGTTGATGTAAGTTCTTCCGTTTATCTTGGATATGCGACTTGAAGACCCTGAAGATAGAGGGGTACAGTATGTGGTAAAAACAGGAATTGGTTCTTCAGAGTGATGAAATGGATGTCAGGCACAATGATGAGTGAATTTCGAGGATGAGGTGTATGATAAGGGTTCTTCTCGAGGGTTGATTTCGTCTAAAGGTGCTCTTATTTTTAACGTCAGGATATGATGGCATTTTGTTACGTGCCTGACAACTTACAAGCTCAAGATTATTGGTATCGTGTTCAGTCAGTTGCCATTGGTAGCGTTCGTACTTGTACAGTTCTGTTTCGGTTCCCTTATATTTCATGCGTTGTAAGCATTCTCCGCCAATGTTCCTGTTATTATTCCGTGTTTCTATTAATCATCTTGTTGCCCTCGCTCTCTGACTGCCTGCCTGTCTGTTTGTGTTCATCCCTCTTCTACTCGGTTCCCATTCCCCGCTCTTCGCTTCTACTGCTTTCTCCTCGATTGTCTTCTGACCCATTCTATTCTTAACTAACTCTCCTTTAGCTCAACGAGTTCACGAAAACAGTGTTACCACGCCACTTTAAGCATTGTAATTTTGCGAGCTTTGTTCGTCAACTCAACAAGTAAGTCTTGGTCCTTTTTCAACGCCTACTAATATGTTTCAGGTACGACTTTCATAAAGTCCGTCATGACGATGGCGCTCCGAGTATTTATGGAGAAGGAGTAAGTGTAAATCGAACGAAGCTACGGGAACGCACCAGCTAACTGAGCCAGGCTTGGGAATTCCGGCATGATGATTTTCAGTTACATCACAAGGATTTGCTTGATAACATCAAGGTATGTATATTTATAAAGTGTGTGTATTGCTTCTCTCCATTTACTAACACTGCTAATAGCGAAAAGCCCCAACCTCCAAACGAAACACGAACAATGACAATACTGCAACTGTTTTGGAGAGTTTACGGCACCAAGTAGAATCTATCACGGAGTCACAAAAAGTGCTGGATCGCAATTTGTGTTACTTTACATCAAACTACCAAAATGTGCTGCGTCGTATGTTGGACATGAGACGCAACATGGAGACTCGTGACGCTTTTCTGCGCAACGTAATCTCCTACTTGTACAACCTTGAAAGCTCTACTCCTTCTCAACAGAGTCCTTCATCCATGTTTGTTCCCTCTCAGCCCTTGCGAGACTTGATGAACTCTTATAAAATACTTATGAATGAAAGACATGAGGAGCATGCTACTACTCCTTTAAGCGCATCGTCACTGAATGAACTACAGCAACAAGATGCAACAACTGTGGATGTGAAAATGCATCGGCAACCAGCTTCTTCCGTTTACTCACCAACCGCGGCCACTGAGTTTGACGTTAATGCAACTCAAGCTACTAGCTCTTTGTCCATGCTCATGTCAAATACATCCACATCAAGCATTGCTGGCTTGCGCAACTCTGCAAGTAGCGCCTCTATTGTTTCTGCCGCTCAGCAACAACAACCTCAAGCCCCTATTCCGCGTCCCGCGTTCGTAAACAGTTTCCCCCATGTAAACAATCACCAAACAGCCGCTTACATGCATCTCGAGTCGGAATCCGCTCAGCCATTCTCCCATCCATCCACCGACTCGCTTACAGGAAACGGACTCATTACCAGTCCTCAACCACAGGTGCCCATCACCGGTTTGTGGACGCGTCGTCCCCATATCCTTGTCGTCGAAGACGATGAGTTGTCTAGAACGCTTGTGGTTAAATTTCTAACAGAGTTCGAATGTCAAGTTGACTTTTCTGTTGATGGCATTTCTGCGGTTAACAAGGCAAACTCGGTTTCGTACGATTTGATTTTAATTGATTTGGTTCTACCAAATTTAGATGGCCTCTCAGTAACCTGTTTAATACGCCAGTATGACATGAACACTCCTATTGTCGCGATGACTTCTAATATTTCAATGGACGATGCTATGGTCTCATTCAATCAGGGAGTAAATGACTTGTTGCTAAAACCATTTACGAAATCTGGATTGATGCGAATTCTTAAAAAACAGCTCTCTGGCTTATTCCGATCGCCCAACAATGTTGTTGATTCAGGTATGCCTTCGTCTAATGCCGTACCGAAGCCTAAACAAGGAGTTTCGTTTTCCTTCGAAGGTGATTCGCCTGTATATACGCGTCAAGCCGTTGAAGACAATTCTATACAAGCAGAAATTCCTCAGCATCAACAACGTCCTTTGTGAGAAATCTGCTTCCCGTCATTTGGTCGCTGACAGCTTTTTGAAAAAAAAAATATCGGCATTTGGTACCGTTTGTTCCGGTCTACAACAATGCCCGTATCGCAAGTACTGATATATATGTATATTTGTGCATTTAAGCAACGCTACACTCACTATTTATTGATTAGAGTCAGTTTTAGATAGGCATATCGAGTTGGGACTCAATCATAACTGCTAAGAATAAAATGGTCTTTACAAGCGAATGAATAAAACTGTTCGGCAATTTGATTAACGTGTGAAATCCTACACAAAGAACGATTCAATTGTTTAACTGGTTTCACTAGAAAGAATTTTCTACACCAATGTAATTGAATAATTCCAGCAGACGGCGCAAACATTTTATTTTACCGAAAATGAACTGTAATCTATAAACTTTTTTTGTCCCCGATGAAATGAAGATTCCAGCTCAAGGGTCACTTTAGGCTTCTTCTTCTTCTTCACTACTGCTTTCACTTTCGGCAGTATCAAGCCATTCCATAAATTGTTGACCAGAGCCATTGTAAAGCGAAGCATTTTCACCGGCACTGGCGCGAGGATCATCATACCATTGATGGAAACCGTCTTCATCGACCACCTCTTCATTATAAAAGTATGTGAGAATAAGAGGGAAGTAACGAGAGGCGTTGAAGCGCACACAATATCTTTGTAAAGACAACATAACGTCAACCTGGTCATCTTGATTAAACGTTAACCGTGCAAGCAGGGGCGACCACCGTGACATAACTTTGTTCACAGCATCACGAATAGGAGAACCCAGTGCAATCATGTACTTAAGAAGTGCCATAACAATGGCGCTTCTAACTTCGTGATAATTCGCGTTCATAGCCATTCTGAGGGTGTTTAGTTCTAAAACAGCAATATCAACTTCATGATTTTCTTCGAAAGCACGTTCAAGACTTTGTTGAGCCTCTTTGTTAAAGTCCCCTTCGTCAAAGTCCTCTGAATTCATAGTCGTAACAGAATCACGGCGAGCTGAAAAGGCGTTGGGGAAGTCCATATCATCCTCGCTTGAAGACGAGTAGTCCGAATCAGAGGATGACTCAATGTCAACTGCACTGAATTTTTGAACCAGGCCAGAAGCCTCCATCAACTCTTCCTCATCTGAGTCTTCTTCAGCGCAGTACTCCAAACCATGACCGCCTTCACCGACAAGTTCAGGGTCATCGGGTATTCCTTGTGAATGTGATTCGTGAATCGTCAGACGCATATCACCGGGAATAACAACATTGTTGCCAACAACGACACCTGATGCAATAACTGCACCTTCTTCAATCGTACAGTTGTTACCAATGGTAACACCATCAGCAATGATGGCTTTCTGAATAGTACAGTTGTCTCCAACTGAAACGTTTTCCCACAAAAATGTATCTTCAAGCTTACAGTTAGATCCGATGGTACAATTTCTTCCAATAACTGTATCAGATACGACAGTGGCATCGCCAATAGTAGTGTATGCACCAATTAAACACTTTGAACGAACAACACACGAGCGAGCAAGTACAACATTTTCTTCCTTGTAAATCTGAGAGCGTTGGTAGCTGAAAGTTTGGCCCAAAAGGTTGCTGTCGGGTACGAGGGGATAAGTCCACCGAGCTATTACATCTTTGCTAATAGCATCGTACGTCTGTAAACTACGCACACGAGCAGCGTAGTGATCTTTAGCTACATAGCAATGGATTTTTTTGCCAAGCAAGTCTGAAGTCAGAACACCGTAAACAAAATCTTTACGAATGTCTTGATAATCAAAGTTTTCGGTGAAAAGCGCAGGAACATCGTTGGAGCAGATGTCAATCTGGCAGTCAATGAGGTCATTCCGAATTTCAAGCTCTTCATGTTCACTAAGGATTTGAGGATCGAGAGAAATAGCTTTCTTTCCCTGTTCATTTGCTTCGTAATGAACACATTGCTGTGTTTTTTTGTCAATCACAAACACGGACGACTCGCTTTGAGCACGAGTACGATGGTAAGGACTCGCTTCACGAACAACCATTGTCATGATTGAATTTTTGTCAACCTCTCTCCTTGCTCTGTGCTTTGCAAGAACGTCAGCAAGGGGAACGTTTGACACGACATCACCAGAAACAAGAATAAAGTCAGACGTGATGAGTTGCTTGGCGTCCAGTTCTCGCAAGGCGTCACCAACTGAAAGTGATTCTCGTGACACAATGGTATAGACCTTGAATGGAGAAGCAGAGGTGTTCCATTTAGAGTTCCTTTAATACGTTAGAAGAAGAATGAAAGAGCTTGAGAGGGAGACTTTCATACGCAATATAATCACGGACTTGATCGGCGTGTGCACAACAGAAAACGTAAACCTCTTGGACACCGGCAAGTGCCAGAAATTCAAATGTGTATTCAATGAGAGGGGTATTCATAAGCGGCAAGAGGCACTACAACGTTAGCAGTTGCCCTCAAAAAGCGATTTTCGTACTCTTGGCTTATCCAAAGTTAAAGGTCGAAACCGATAGTTATAAGAGTCGGACAAAACAATTGCTAATTGTTAACGTAAAACTGAATATTGCAACGCACCTTGTAGCGCATGCTCTGGCTTCTCGAGCTTTGCATTGAGGCCTTTTGTTGAAGGTGCCATTTTCCAACGTGAGTGGTAAAGGGCAGAACAGAAAACACAAACGTTTAGCGACACAAGATGCGAATTAAGAGAGAATTTAGCAGAAGAAGAAGAGAGTGGTTTGGAGGGAAGAGAGGGACATAAAACTCGCGTGTGAGTAGCTTTCTTGAGTTTCTGTTGTGAAGGTTGACTACAGAGTAAAGAATCAGAAAAAAATAACTACTACAGAAAGATCACCGAGACCCCAAGACCAAACCATTACGGGAGTCTCAGTTCTATAATAAACCGTTACACGAGGCAGAGTAGGTTGCTTTAAACGATATACAAGACTAAGAAAAGTTGGTTTATAGGAAGGCAAGAGAGGATACACAATGAATTATTGAGAGGGCAAATAGGAAGGGGAACGTAATTGCTAGCAGAGCGAAACATTAAACAGGACATTGCTGTAGCTAAACAAATAGATCATTTCAAAAGAAGAGAGCATCATTTCGTAACATCTCAAGTGGACTTGTTTGGCATATTGCGCCAAGACCATGTATTAGTATAACTTGTAAAGTTCAACATCAATGACTGGAATTCGACTTCCGTCTTCATATGCAGGACTCAAGGGTGCATTTCCAAAAGCAGGTGTAAAGCTGGAAGTAGCATACTCTAGGGATGCATTCAGCCAAAGACTGAACTTGCCGTTTCTACAACAAGGTTAGCACATGAATTCAAAACGGTTTCAAAGACTACGAGTATAGCGCAAAGAAGAGTTTACAAAACTCAAGACTCAAGTCTGTTACACTTCAGCCGCTAATGTCGCTAAACTTACCCTCCTCCAAAGCCAAGGAATTCTTTGGTGCAGTATAAAACGAACTGATCTTGTCCACAATGAGGAAATGCTGTGAACTTATCTTTTGACTTCGTCCAAAGAAAGCATTCTTCGGTGTCGTAGTAGTGAGGTTTCTGTCTCAAGTAACTCGTGAAGAAGCTTCCAAAAAGATTTCCAGCATCATCTTTGACGAGTAGAACAAACGCTGGAGGATATTTTGGAGCATGTGAAGTTGGTTCAGTTGCTCGACACATGGTATTTAACGAAGCACCATCATGGTACAACGAATACACTCTTTTCCACACTTCTGCAGCAGCATATCTTGTAGGCAAGAACTCTCGAATCGAACAAGCAAGCTCCTTCGTAAGGTGTCCATTCTCAGCTTGTATATTGAGCGTGGAGTGGAATAGATCAACTGGTGCTGACATTGTGGTAATTGACGATTTTCAATAACAAAAACTTATTAGATGTGTAAAGGAGAAAGCAGAGAGTGGTAAGTACAATTTAAGTCACAAGTTTATATCGAGAATCGTTAAAAATTCAACTGCGGGATTTTTTGGTGGTATCGGTGTTGAAAGAGGGGAAGTGAGGGCAGTCGGGCAGTAACAAGGGGAGCAGGTAGGCGGCAATGGAGGAGACGTTAGAGGAGGCGGTAAAGAGGGCTAAGCAATATGGATGTTGCTGGTCAATTCGGCGGGACCATGAGGATGGAATTGAGTACGGGTCATTGGGACTGTTTCGTTGAATAGAAACGATTGTCTTCCTTCCGTGATTGATCCTTCCGTATTCTCTCCTCCATTTCTTCATGCTCCCTTCGAGCACATGTAAATGCCTCCCGTATACTCAATTCCTGAAATGGTACCTGTAGAATGGCCTCAAGCGCATCTTTTCGTGCTTGTTTATCCTTACGTGTTAAAGAGTCTTCGTAGTTAGAAAGTTCCCTTAAGGCTTGAGAGGCATTTTGCTGCTGTGCTTCAAGGCGAGAATGCTGGTTCGAACGAAGTGTTTTGAGAGCTGTACGAAAGTGCTCAATTTGGTTCACTTTAGATGCCGTTGGCTTTGACGCGAATTGAGAGGAAGTGTCTGTTAAATCCTCATTATCCCATTCAGACAACCACCTTTCTGTCGTAGAAGGATGTTGTTCCACTTCTAGTAAACCATAGTCCAAAGCTGTATTAAAGAATTCTGCCTCAAAGGAATCCATTAACAAGCGCAAAGTAATTTATCCCTCAACTAGTGCTCTTATTTGCTCGATTTCCGTTTCTAATTGCTCGATCTCTTTTGCTTCTCTTTGTAGTATACTGTCCCGAGCAGAGTCCTGTGTGGGGGGACGAGACTCTAAGGCTTCTAAATCGCCTTCTAGTTCTACTGAAAGCTGTTCGAGAGACTCTATAACAGTCACTGATGCGTTGTACTGCTGTACAAGCTGTTGTAAGCGTGCTTGACCGTCGGCCACCGGGAAAATCTCAAGCAACCGTTCAATAACAGCAACGTAGTCTGCTGGGTTCTCACTTTGTAGAGCCAAATCAATTTCCGGGGGCAGCGAAATGATTGGATTAAGCGTTGAAGGTTCAGACTCGTCAGTGTCGCGAATTAAGTCGGTGATTTCTGCCGTATGGAGGATTGCATTCGTAAAACGCGTATCCAGCGGCTCTTCAGGGGTAGAGAGAGAGTTAGAAGTTTTCTCTAAAGACTGGACAAGCTCAGGCAGATGATGCATGTAATTTGGGAGTAAACTGATCGTTTCACGGACAAAACCGTTCGTGAACGCTGTTGCATCAGATATGATAGAAGATAAGCCTATTACAAATAAGGTTTTTATCTAAACGAGTGTGCGTAGAAGTTCAATGGTATAGAAGTATAAGGAGTAATACATAAATGAAAAATATAATAAACGAATGAATACAAAATACAGTTGTTCACTACAGCCACTCTCACACTCTCAATCATAGTCCCCTCTTCTCCCTCGTAACATTTTTCATTAAGAAAGGGAACCTTCCCTACATACGACGACTGTTGGCCAAGTCACGACGACAAGCGTCAGCCAGCAGAATTGTGTCAACATGAGAGCTTGACATGTGAACATAACGAACGACACTTCCACGGATAAATAGATTTTTTACAGCGGCCTTGAAGGTGTTAGCTCATAGGCAACAAAAACGACACACAACACACGCAAAAACATACCAAGTGAGGGTATTTTTGAACATCCGTGACAGAAATATTCTCCAACTTTACATTTAAGAATTGGTCAACAGACTTTAGAACTCCACGGATACACATGTCATTCTATAACGCGAACAACAGTTAGCAATGCAACTTAGAAGCCGAAAAAAAACATTTTTTTACATACCTTAAGCTCTACCGTAACCTCGGTATCTATTAACGTCTTGAAAAACGAGTAAAATAGCATTATTTTCGCGTTTTCAAAAACTGAGAAGGACCAGTGTACAATAGAGGTGTTGCGCTGCGTAGCCGAAAATAACTCGATACGAAAATAAGCGAGTGTTCAAAACATCCTGAATTCGAGCAGAAAGAGCGTAATTAAAAGAACAAATTGCTGTTTCCATCGTTTCTAACGTATAAGGTTTATCTTTTATTGCTTCACCTATTTCATTTACGCTTTTTGGCAGTTGACAAAGAAGTAACGTGTTACTTCAACATACTCTAAGGAGTTGCATCTCATTCGGTTTTAGAGGACAATTTTGTAAAAGTAATTCGTAAGAAGTGCTGCAATATCTTTCAAACGTCTTTTAACATGTCTAAAACACATGGAAGCGGCATCTTCAGTAAGTTTATCCACTTCATTCATTGTTTTGTACGCCGGTCGTAAGCGCTAAACTCACCACCATTTTCTGTGCTTGGGCATGTCTCATTCCTCCTTCCCGGAACCAAAACGTCGAAACATTAGTGGAATGGCCAATTGTGTATCAGGCAACGATGTTTCACTAGACTATGTACACAAAAATGATTTAAAGAAGGAGGATACTGTTACGGCCACTGAGAGTCCCAAAAGTCCAGTACTTGCGAATGACTCGTCGGCTCATACCGTTGAAGTGAATTCCCCTTCAACCCCTCAAGTAATGATATCGCCTGCTGAGACAACAGTTAAAGGGCCCGATTTTGTGCGAACACCTCCTTCTACACATGCGAATCCTGAAACTCCTACAGCTGCAGCCCCTGATCGACCGCAACAGTCCTTGAAGAAAGGTGTTAAAGACTTTAAATTTGGCGAGATTTTGGGTGAAGGATCGTATTCTACCGTAGTAACTGCTACAGACATTGTCACTCATCGGGAATACGCTATTAAAATTGTTGATAAGCGACATGTTATTAAGGAGAACAAAGTTAAATATGTCAACATCGAAAAAGATGCACTACACAGGCTGTCTCATCACCCAGGAATCATTCGGTTATATTTTACGTTCCAAGACGAGTACCGGCTCTATTTTGTCTTAAGCTTGGCTAGCAATGGCGAATTGTCGGACTATATTAGAAAGGTATGCTGCCCCATGCGTGGTAATGTTAACGAGAGTCTCACACTATTTAGTTTCATAAGTTTACAGAGCCTTGTGCGCAGTTTTATGCCGCTCAGCTGCTTGATGTCATCGATTATATCCACGAAAACAATATCATTCACCGGGACTTGAAGCCTGAAAATATATTGCTAGATGAAAACATGCGGATTAAAGTAATTGACTTTGGTTCTGCCAAACTTAATGTCGTAGATACTCCTATCAAAGCCGACAGCGAAGACGGTGCGAGTAAGCCTGATGCTCGAAAGTCTTTTGTGGGAACGGCTGAGTATGTGTCTCCAGAAGTGCTGTTGGACAAGTATGTGTGCCGTGCCTCTGATATCTGGGCTTTTGGCTGTATACTATATCAAATGTTTGTCGGACGTCCACCCTTCCGCGCTGCAAACGAGTATCAGGTATTCCAAAATATTTTACATTTGCGTTATGAGATACCCGATGATGTTCCACCCTCTGCGGCGGAACTTATTCGCGAAATCCTTTTATTGGATCCCAAAGAACGACTTACAATTAATGAGATACGAGAGCATCCATTTTTCGAGGGAGTCACCTTTGGAAAGCCATTGTGGGAAGTGACTCCGCCGAGACTGAAACCATCCCTCTATATCAACTTGCCCAACGATAACCCTGCCCTCGATCCCAGCACCATGCTGAAGCCTTCGGACACTCCTGTTGAGCCCTCTTTTAATCGTGAAAACGCTAGCCCGTTGTCTTTGACGCTTTCCTCTAACTTTGCGTCTATGTCATCTTTGCAACTTGCTGAAAAAAGCCAGAATGCCGCCGAACTTGCGGAGTTCAATAACGAATGGAGCGTTATCTTACAACCGGGCGAGGCTGTCTGTAGAGCGGGTATAGTGAACGTTCTTCCTTTGGCCGGCAGCAGTGAGACGGAAGTTCATCGATTTTTCTCAAAAATATTTCGCAAGCGTCGACGTCGTCTGTTGCTTATCACCACTCTGGGTCGTTGTCTATTTGTGAGTAAAAACAGTGACGGTGAGAAGTCTATCAAAGAGGAAATTCCCATTCAAAGTGTTGGTCTTCGTATAAAACCTGTGCCAAACTCGCCAAATAGATGGACTGTTGAGACGCCTACGAAGACGTGGTCTCTTGCAGACCCGCATTGTTTAGCATCGGACTGGATTGAGTGTCTCACGAATGCGAGTATGATATCTACAGCGCATGCAAATGGTTCTGTTTCGAGTTTCTCCCGGAGTGTGGCTCGTTAAACTTGGAGTTGGTGCATCCTTCTTTACTGCTTTCTGGTCTTATATTCATCTCCATTTTGACGTGAATATGCTTTTGTTTATGTATTGTATGTATGCTCACTTCATTTTGCCGGGCATTGAGTTCGGTTGTATTCAAGCATGATTCCTTTTGTTCTTTTCTTCTTCTCTCACTTTCCCTTTCATTGATCATTTTTGCATACGAACTTTCCTTCTTTACACTTTTCTACCTTCAAACAGAATTTTAGTTGCTGTGCCGGCGTGTCTCGATTCCTTTCTTTATTAAGCTTGATTTTACTTAAGTAATGTGTTAAAATAGACAATGTTTAAAAGTACTACCACAAATTCTGAAACGTGATTTATTGACTAGTATGGCGAGAGAAACTTGCATACACGCTGTGTATGAATGTTTCGGATGCCATTTATTGGCTTATAAGAGTTGAGGCCTCTATATAGGTATATGTGTTTATAAATGGGATGACTGTCTAATGAGCCAGATATTTTTTAGAAACGGTGTCAAAAGTTTCAGAATTGACGGCAAAAGCTCGCAAGAAATCAATTTCCAAATCGTGAACATTTTTACCAATGATAACCATACTGTGCAAAGGGGCACCAACATCAGTTTCGGCCAATTCTGCAAGAGTACCGGCCTTGATGGTTTGGTCATCAGAACCCAAACGAGCCACGGCGACCGCGAGAGTTTCGGGGGAGCAAACTGAAGCTTATTAGTACATACAAGAAAAGATGAATTCACTGGTGTATAAAACGTACTGCCTTCACCACGCTCTTCTTCAACTTCGAGCATCTGTTGTGCAGCCAGAGAAGCCGACATGTAACGAGGAGGCTCGTAAATCTTGCGTCCACGAGCCAAGTTTTCCCAGCTCTGTTCCTTCACTTTGATATCTGAGTGGAAAAATGTTAGAGAAAACAAATATGAGAAGGGAATTACGGATATTATACATACCGAGCAAAACAAGCGTATGGAAACCAAGTTCTGCGTTTTCCTTGATACGGTCGTAGAAACTTTGAGGACGGTAGCCATTTTCAAAGAAGACAAGACTGACAGTTTGACCGAATTTGTACAATTGCAATCCACACGCACCTTCGACAGGTTAGTAATCGTCCATACTTTTTTTTTGAAAACGCACCAATAGCATTCATAATGGAAGCATTGTGAATCAACCGCACGGGAATGTTGGACTCACGAGCACGGAGAATCAAATCCGAGTGAGTAGTTGCTCTATTAAAGGTTAATAGACATCCAATTGTATATAGATGATTTGAAGGAAATTGGAGATTTTCAATGACAACTGAAACTCCTTCCTACAGTTATTTACCCCATCGGATCACCAACAACAAGCATAGCGACATCCTTTTCTGCAGCACCGTTCAAGATTTCATCGCTACAGCTCTCGACCATTTCACGGTCTGCAAGAATTACCTCTCGACCATAAAAGCTCTCGAGTCTTTCTTTCTCAACCATCAAAATTGAAGTGTATGCCTCCAAGTAAACACGCTCACATTTTTTAACGGTCTCCAAACCGCGGACAGTGATGTCCTTTTCATCAAAAAGACCCAAACCTATCAGGTAGAACATTTTTTGCGTTGGGCGAGGGGGACGAGAGGGACGAAATAGCAAAAAGGAACACCCACAGAGATTTAAGTCGAACAAGATCGACGACGGTTGTGGAAAGAGGTTTTAAGAAGAATAACGGTAATGAAAATGTCGTTCGTTTAATAAATTATTGGGGATTAAAAGGACTGAAGATTAAAAAAATGAAAAAAAAAAAAAATAAATAAATAAATAAATTATGATCTGTATATTGGTTACCTGAGCTGTCATTCATTGATGGCTACACATTGTACTCGTTATGTTTCATTACCGAATTGTGCGTGATTCGTACGTTCAATTAATCTAGCTATATTATAAAGAAATAGTTACTTTGATTTGATACTTACTCAATCTCATACAGACATTTAGGGGTGAGTAAGAAGAAATCATGTCTCAGTAATGATTCACTTACCTATACAACCTAAATGGGAATAATCCTGTGTTTTAATATAGTTTATACGAGTATTACAAATGAAATGACTATAGCAACGACATCCGGCTTTACAATTCTCATTCAACAATTGTATCTGACAATTGCAGTTCATAATACATTTCCAAGATTCCTTCATGGAATCAAGTTGAGTTCATTTTTCTGAATAACCTGCTTGCCAAACCGTGTCTCTGTCAGACAAGCGTCTACCAACTCGCTGACAGTCATAAGCAACTCTATGAAGTACAACTGTAGACTAATTTGCCGTTCTATTTCTTCTTCAGATTCCGAAGTTGCAACTCACGAGCAATTTCGGTTTTCGCAAGAAACTCTTGACGCTCGACATAGCCATCTTTGTTCCGATGACGAAGTTCCGTCTCTATGTCATTCTTTTGAACAAATGATTTCCAGTCTTGTTGCGCTTCCTGTAAAGTGTTGAGCTTGGGCTTTTTCGTCTTGGTACCAGATGCAGATGCAGCAATTGGAGAAGGACGACGCCTCCGAAGGGGTTTTTTCGTAGGCAAACGAGAAATACTGGGTGCTGCCGATGCCTGAGATGCAGGAAGAGTCTGAGTAATCGTTTTTTCTTCCGTGGTTTTCGTCTCAACGGTTTCTACAACTTGAGCAACCGGCTCCGAAACGAGCCGGGTTTCTGCAGTCTCTTTTTTCTCCTTTAGGGGTTCCTTTTCCTTAATTGTCTTTGCTTGTTCGTCGTTCTTCGGCAATTTAGAGTCGTTCGTTGCTAGCGGTCTGCTTTCACTTTCTTCCTCACCATCGCTGTCATTTGTATCGGAAAACTCACTTTCTGACTGCTCAGTGTCTTCTAAAACAAAATCACTATCGTTTTCCTCGTCCCAATCTTCCGTGTTAAGCAGTTTTTCAATCATCTTGAATATGGAAAAAGACGAAGAGCTTCTCTCATTAAATACCTTAGCACGGATTCTGACACTTTACTTTTCACCCGAAAACAGAACCAAAATCACACCTACAGCATTGACACTGATTGCTCAGTACTTAAAGATTTACACCAAAGAGGCAGTATGGTATGTGGTCTCGTTTTGCGATTTTTTTTCGCACATAAGTTTTCTAAAATTCAAACATCAAAACAAGTATCTAACATGCTACAACAGTCGGGCGTATGAAGATAAGAAGGAAAAAATGATGACTGGCGACGATGATGAGGTTGTTCTAGAGATAGAAGATTTGGAAAACGGCGTTGCTGCGCAACTTGCCTTAGACTTTAGCTAGTTTTATTGACTCGATATCGTTAGAGCAAATATTCGAAAGTTACTAGTAGCATCATTAAAGTTTAAAAAAACTGCTATCTCTCTATGTCAATAGGGAAAGCGTCGACATGATTGTGCAAAGTATAAAAAAAAGTGGAACAGAATTCCCGCGTGCGTGAAGAACAAAAGTAAAGATCAACAAAAGGAAAAGAATGACATCGGATACCAGCAGCTAATCGGCGACAGAGGTTCACAAACAGATAGACTTTCTTCCAAAAAAAAAAAAATAAAAAACGGATGTCATCTTTTGGGAGAGTCTACTTCAGAGCCGCGTTCAAGAACTGCTCCAATTCAGCCAAATGCTGTTGCTTATTGCCTGTAGCCACACTAGCAGAAGGAGGACGTCCGGCATAACGCAAAGGAATGTCGCGACCAAGATGGCGAAGAGTAGTCAAGATGCGAGGCTCCATAAACGACCAAGCTCCAGCATTAAGTGGCTCCTCTTGACACCAAACAATCTCTTGCAAGTTGGGGTACTTTTGTAAATTCTCGGCAAATTGCTTCCAACCGAACGGGTGAAGTTGTTCAATACGGGTAAACGCAATGTCATCAATCTTAGCATCCTCACGAGCCTTAAGCAGGCTCACCCAAACTTGACCGCTGCAAACAACCAAACGCTTAATCTCTTCTGGAGCCTTAATACTCTTTCCGTGCTCAGTTTCTTCCAAAATGAGAGAGAATGCACGGTTTTCATCAAAATCTTCAAGGGTGGAACGAGCGAGAGGATGACGGAGAAGAGCCTTTGAGAAGAAAACAATCAAAGGCTTACGGAATTGACGGTGGATGTTTCTGCGAAGAGCGTGGAAGTACTGATGTGGTTTCGTGACATAAATAGCCTGCAAGTTGCAGTCTTGGTGCTGGCGTTGCAGTTTTTCTTCAGAAGGGAACTCACGGGGATCCTCGTTACAAAGTTGCAAGTATCTCTCAATACGAGCAGAAGAATGCTCAGGGCCTTGGCCATCGTAACCGTGAGGCAAAGATAACACGATACCGCTACGCTGCAGCCACTTTGTTTCACCAGCAGCAATGAATTGGTCGATGATACACTGAGCGTTGTTGGCAAAGTCACCAAACTGGGCTTCCCAAACAACCAAAGCATTAGGAGAGGAAAGCGAATAGCCATACTCGAAACCGAGGACACCAAATTCAGAAAGTGAGGAGTTACGGATAACAAAACTGGCTTGGCGAGGGCTGATGTAGTTCAGAGGAATGTAAATGCTCTCATTCGTTTGATCATGAAGAACGTCGTGTCTCTGTGAGAACGTACCACGCTCAACATCTTGTCCACTAACTCGTACATGATGTCCCTCCTCCAGCAATGTAGCAAAAGCAAGGGCCTCGGCAGTTGGCATGTCAATTTCCTTACCATTTTCAACGGATTTAAGACGGTTGTTTAAGATACGGCGCAAATTGCGATGCACATCAAAGCCCTCGGGCAATGTGTACAAGGAGCGACCGACACGCTTAAGAGTGTCAACCGAGACACCCGTTGGGTAGGAAGGAAGAATCTTAGTCATTAAGTCCTTAGGAGAAGCAAAACCGAACCAAGGATTAGAGAGCCACTCGGTATGGTCGACCTTGTAATCCTTGGAACTCTCAAAAGATTGTTGAAGAATATCCCAAACCTTCTTCTGATGGGCCTCAATATCCTGCTTGGACAGTGTCTTTTCTTCGACCAATTGCTCACTGTAGATTTTGTAGGTAGAAGGGTGCTTGGCGATCGTTTTATACATACGAGGCTGCGTGAACAAAGGTTGATCCGTTTCATTATGTCCATGACGACGATAGCAAATGATATCAATAATACAGTCGGACTTGAACGTCTTACGCCAGTCGGCGGCCAATTGACAAACAAAGGTGACGGCCTCAGTGTCGTCGCCGTTTACATGGAAAATGGGTGCCCCAATCGTCTTGGCAATGTCTGTACAATAAGGAGTAGAACGAGCGAAACGGGGATCAGTGGTGAAACCAATCTGGTTGTTCACGATGATGTGGATAGTACCACCGGTGCTGTAGCCAGGAAGAGCGTTAAGACCGAGAGTCTCGTAAACAACACCCTGGGCAGCAAAGGCAGCATCACCATGAAGCAAAACACCCATCGATTGCTCATGGGAAGCCTCATCACTGGTGTAGTGCTGTAAAGCACGAACCTTGCCCATAACAACAGGATCCTCTGCCTCCAAGTGCGACGGGTTTGCGACAAGGGACAGGTTCACACGCTTGCCAGAGGGAGTAGGACGCTCGTAGTTCATACCCAAATGATACTTTACATCACCAGAACCCTCATCCTCAGGATCTTGAGTACCTCTGAATTCGGAGAAGATAGCCTGTGCTGGTTTACGGACGACGTTGTGCAGAACATTCAAACGACCACGATGAGGCATACCGATGACGATGTTTGAGATACCCTGATCGACAGAGCGGTCGATAAGCGCCTTCATACCGGGAACCAGGGCTTCACAGCCTTCAAGACCAAAACGTTTGTCATTAGGAAATTTTTGTGCCAAGAAGCGCTCGAATGAATCAGACCAAGTTAAGCGGTCAAAAATCATTTTCTTTTCTTCCACCGTGTAACTGTAAGGAGAAGGGATTTCCACGCGTTCGCGCAGCCAGTTACATTTTTCACGAGAGGCAATGTGAATGTACTCAAGAGCAAAGCTGCCGCAGTAAATACGCTCACACTCGTGAATAATATCCTTAAGTTTCAGAGTATCGCGACCATTGCGGCAAAAGCGAGGAAGAATACCGGGACCCAAAGTAAACTCACGCTCTAAATCTTTCTTAGAAAATCCATAATGCTCCAAAGTAAGTTCGGAGGGACGGGTTTTGGGGATGTTGATACCCAGAGGATCGAGTCGAGCCATCAAATGTCCACGAGACTGGTAGGCACGCACTAAAAGCTGAACTTTGAGGTGATCAGCAATATATGAGCTACTTGACTCAGCAGACCCATTCACTTTTGGACTCAATGCCGCGTTAATGGCATTGATATCATGCATGGTAGCAATGGAAGGTGGAGGCTGAAAGGCCTGGGCAGCAGGCACAGATCCATTTTCCATGTTCTTAAAGTAAGCTTGCCAAGAGACATGGACGCTTGTAGGATCACGTTTCCACGCATCGTACATTTGATCCACATAGTTGGCAGTGGCTCCAGAAAGGAACTGGTCGTTTTCCACAGGAGCCGTAGCGTATGACCGAACCACTCTTGCAGCTGGGTGAGTTGAACGAGCGACTGCTTTCCGGATAGCGGGCTGTGCCAAGTGCTTATGACACTGGGAAAACATCGAGAGACGTGTAAATTGAGACATGGTGACGAAGGAGTAATACTCGATACCGGCAAAACGTAAAAGTAAAACGAGAATTGAGTGTGTGTGTGTGCCCCTATTTATAGCAGTTTGACTTGTTTCAAACTGAGAGACTTAAGACTAAGTGAGCCAGGCAATTGACTCTTCGTTAACTTATCCTTAAGCGCAGGCACAGACAGACCTTGGGTGTCTTTAAAACCGATAACTAATGAAAGTTGTCCAGCCTGAAAATTAATGGACTAATAAAATAGAATGTCCGACTGGAGAAAGGACTAACGGTAGTCCAAGAAGGAGAATAAAAAATTCAGCAGAAAGTGTTCGTTTGTAACGAACGAATAAAGCTAGGAACTAAAACTCATTCGGTTAATACGTGTTCGTAGGCGGTAAATTAAAAAAGCATCCGAGCTGTCTTAAAGCGCGTCGATCGTCGCAAACGATTTTCCAGTCGAAACAGCAGCCAGTAGGAGGAATCACACGTACCTGCGACAAAAAGAACAGTATTCACTGTACTCTGCTATTTCGAGTGCAAAAAGTCAACGCACCGTGTAGTTGGTCGTTGGCAAGCAGTGAAGGGACGAAACAAGGTTATTTAGCCCATGCTCGCATTCGGTCGCGGCGGCTCGGGCGCAAATGACGTAATTGAAAGGGCTAGACTTTTTTTCAAGCGAGACAAGCGAAAAGACAGTCGTTCTTACTGAATTCACATTTGTTGTCCTGATGAACGCTCCCTTAAGCATGTGCAGATCCCGTCGCGTTTTCTTCGCGGTTCTCCGCTTAAACGTCCCTTGGAATTTCTGACTATTTTCAAAGTTCTAGACTTAGCGTTGTCAGCCGAAGGTCGGCGCATATTATCGAAGCCTGAAATAAGAATTTCCCCACTATGAGTCGTATCGCGAAGGTAAAAAAATTGTAAGAACATGAATACGAGTGGATATGAGCATCGTAAAAGAATGCTTTTGATGAATAAAGCATGCCGAAAGAAGTATTTGGTATGTGTAATTTTTCCTTATTCATGTTGACAAGACTTGCCTGTGTGTACGGTCGGTCGGGGACCGGCATTTGGCGCATTTAGGCGCCGAAAAAATCGGCTTTTTATTTGATTGGCTGGTTGGTATCTTGCCGAAAGATGGTTATTTTCTATCACAAGTTTGTACGATTGGAGGTTTTTTACCGGGGCTCGGCGATTGGCTGTTCGTGTTGAAGCGCGTATATCACCTTCACATGATATGACGTGGGACGCGTATGAAGGGAATAAGTAAACAATTATGGAGAAAACAGCATTTTAGGCGATCGCTGTTAATGCGGAATATCAGTTACTGGTAAGTGTTGTAAGGCCATTTTCCGAAGCCGAGTTCTTTATAATTGTCTTTTTTGACTCGGTAAAACTGGGTTTTAAGGGTTATGCATGGTTGATAGGTAATTCTGCGTTATGGAGTATGTTCCGACAGGATAGATAGTTTCAGCCCTGTACCTGTCTTTGCCAAGGTGTAGCGTTGTCAGATGTTATTGAGTCGTATCAGCAGTGAATGCGTAACCGGTGTTCATGGAGTCATTTGCGTGCAATTGCACAAAACTGCATGTTATGATATGACATGCGTTTCTATTAGACCAATATCTTACATAGTGTATTATTATCAAACACGTGTATTCAGAAGGCAATGTTTCCGCTGTAAGAGATAGTCGTCTGTACCGTCAACTGTACTATCTCGCTGCATAATATGCAACTTTGTGAGTTTTTTTTATTTCTACATGTATGTCACGTTTTAGAATTTTTCAAGAAAGTCACTATGTCCGAGCGGTTAAGGAGTTAGACTTGAATTCGTTCAGGCATCTAATGGGCTATGCCCGCGCAGGTTCAAGTCCTGCTGGTGACGGTCTGTGCGAGGTAGGAGAGTGGAACTCCGACGGGCTCATAACCCGTAGGTCCCAGGATCGAAACCTGGCCTCGCAACTTTTTGCTGCAGCGGGGAGGATTGACAATATGAGGGAGTTGTGTGTCTATTTTTGCTTCTTAAGGAGTTGAATGGATTTTAAAGTGCATTTAATATAAGTCGGTAGAAGCAGCAAGTACTAATAAGCGTCAAGATTACCGTTTATTACGATTTTTAAAAATGACATTGACTATTTTTTGTAAGCACTAATATAGAGTTTGAGATAAGCGAAATGTTATTATGCAAATGCAGTTGTGTTGCTTAGAAATTGACGACTGTCTGCTTTAGTACGTACTGAAAATGGTCGATGCTTTGTTTATAAACGATATTACTTATTGCATTTGGAGGGAGACAAATTATTTCTCATATTGAGCCCGGCTGTTCGCACAATTCTCATTCATTCTCCTACATACATGTGGTGCCAACACACAGCTGAAAACGAGGCTTTTCGTCACAGTTGACGGAGTAAGACAATGAAAAGTCTTCTTCTAAAAAGTTTCCTTTTGACGACACAATTCGCAAGTCTGAAACCTTAAATGTGAGTATGCGACAAAAGAATTCAGCATGTCTGTTGCATGTTCTTGAACTATACTGTTTAATAAAGACGCTGAAATTGTATGCCGCATATACAAAAAGAGCTGTTCTGCCTAATCCAGTTATTATAGAAAATACTTGAGTCCTGGCAGACAATGGACAACGAGTAATTATACGGATTGCTTTGGTTAAAGCCACAGGAAGTTATAATGACTGCGTTCCGTGAAAGCCAAACGATATGCTTTTTCGGCTGCTGTGTCCTTAATGAAAGCACTGCCCGCCGTATGCATTCTCCAAAGCGCTTACATACATACACACCATGATTACTGATACAATGCTGAACTTTGAATATCATAACTAAGGGAAAAGGTGAAATGGAACATGGATAATAATAACAAACGGACAAAAAGAAATAATTAGACTAAGGTGAAAACATCAAAACCACCTCAATTAGTTTGTTCTTCTTGTGAAGTGTAATTAGAGGCAACGATTCCCCGGTGAAGGCAATCGATTACAGCACTCGTAACGTCAACATGAAAGAAAGGGTACTCGGTGGAGATAACAGGATAGTAATGGGTTTCCATTACTCCTCCTGGAGCCTTCTTAGAGTAAGTTGTGGTAATATCGTACTCCGAGTCCCCATCCGATGCAGGCGTATCAATTTCTTCTTCCTCATCAAAACCTCCGGGGCGATATGTGGATCTGTAGGGCATATGAAGAACATCAGAAGGAAGGTCTTCCAAATCCCGCAAAGGTGCAGCACTTCCAACTTCAATAGCGCGTGACTTGAGAAGAGTGTCATCTTGTGCCTTACCAAAACCAACTGCCACAAGAGACCGTTTAATCCAAGGGTTAGATATATCTGTAAAGTGGAATTCAACTTCTCCACCAGCGTAAATCTCAAGCTCTTTACGGGTATCCACTAAAGCCTGAACACCGGTTGTGTCGATATGATTGACCGCACTAAAGTCAAGGATCACCGCTTTCAGAATAGGTCTCGTGTCCAAGGCTGGATCGATTTTTTTGGAAGCCTTTTCGTAATCATTCCAGGGACGGTCACCCTTTCTGGCGTAACGATGATTGTTGAGTCGCCGAGTCACCTCTTTCGCCTTTGAAACAAGCATATCGTTGACGTGACCGGCATTTGGATAAGTGAAACTCTCTTGCAAGCGGAAGATAAGCAAGCCACGAGGTGGGGCTTCAACAGTTACATTGGGATTCAAGCCTTTCTGGTCGAGGGGAACAAAGACTTCACGCACAAGCTCCACGGCATTGTCATCAACGTACTTGTTTGCAATACGCAGTTGTCCGAGGAAGGAACCAGCAGGCTTGGCAATACGGAACAAAAGCAGTGCGGCGGACAAGCACACAGCAGCGTAAATTCCATTCTCAATAGACGAAAACACGGAGACGAGAACAGCCGCGAAGAAAATCATGGCCTCCAAGGGCTGCACTCTCCAAAACTGCTTCATCTGACTCCATTTCGCAATGAGATCACCGACAGCGTGGATAATGACGGCGGAAAGGATGGCATTAGGAATGAACTTGAACGCACCCGTCAAGCAGTAAAGAGCCATGATAACAACGCCAGCCGTCCAAATACCTGCCAAAGGCGTGCGGACACCGGACTTGGCCTTGATGGCAGAGCGCGAGAAGGAACCCGTAGCGGGGTATGCGTTGAAGAACATACCAACCAAGTTAGTAGCACCAATTGCAATAAGCTCCTGGTCGGGAATAATCTTGTAGTCATTGACACGACCGAAAGACTTTGCGATGGAAATGTGCTCGAGCAGCAGGACGATTACCGAAACAGGTAACTCGCCGGCGAGATCGGAAACAAGCTTGCTTGATACTTTGGGGACACCGATGTGCTGGAAACCGCGAGGAACGGTTCCCAGGACAGAAATAGGCGGATTGTCCATGCGATTTCTGCAAATTCCATATGAAATGAGAGTACCGACAATGATTACCATTCCACTGCGAAGTACGTGAATAAGGAAGGTATAACGACTGTAACGTGGATAACGCGCTCCAAGCTTCTGGCAGAGGAAACGGATGGCATAAAGAACGAACAGTGAAACCAAACCGAAGGCGGCATCCAGTTTTGTGTGGGGCAGGTTTTTAAAGGTATTAATGACGACTTTGTAAGTGGCATCCTGAGTGTGAACACGCTTTTTGTAGCCCATTAAAGCAGGTATTTGGCCCGAAATGATGTTGAGAGCTGAGCCAGTCGTGAAACCTGACACAGCCGGTACGGGAATAAACTCAATAATGAAACCAAGACGCAGAAGGCCAATAATGAAGGTGATCGCACCTGTGAGCATTGCAAGGGCCGTTGCAATCTCTGGAGCAGTGTGATTGGGATCTTTGGACTGTACGGCGGTAATGACTTTGCTGGTGACGAGACTCATAACGGCGACGGGGCCAATGGACACATCCTTCGACGTGGCAAAGAACGAGTACATTGCAACACCGACGAAGGACGAATACAGACCATATTCAGCGGGAAGACCGGCGACGTTTGCGTAGGACATACTCTGGGGCACAATGACCGTACCCACTGTGAGACCGGCGATCATGTCGCCAACGAGCCAGTCGACATTGTAGTTAGGGAGCCAATTGATGATAGGGAACAGCGACCGAAGATAGCTGACAAACCGATGCTTGAAGTCGTGAGTGACATGCTCCCTGACCCAGTCCTTCATAGTAGGCAACTCGTCAACATATTCGACTTCGCCGCTAACTTCTTCCACCACGGGATGAGTCGAGGTGTGAATATCAGCGTTCGACGACTTTCCCGACTTGGTCAAGTCGCTCTTGGATATTGTCGGGGCGGCATCATTGCTCGCATTGTAATCGCTGGTGGACTTGTCTGCACCAAACTCTTCGTCCGGTTTGCTAGACTTGTTGCGCCAACCTTTCCCTGACAAAAAGGAGCTGTTAAAACGCATATTTATAGGCACTCGTATGAACTAGCGCAGCTTCGCGAATCTCTTTGTATGTTCCGTGAGTTGTACAGCACAAGGGATGAACAATTGAGACGAATTCGGCGTTCAATTATTGTTGTGAGAAGCTTCTACTTTTCTGGCTGGAGCAAAGCAATTCCTTTTCTCTTATTTCTTTGTCAATGTATTTCCGAACCCCCTACAATGAACAAATTCCGTTCTAATGACAATAAAGAATGAGCGTGATCTTGCTTCCGAAACGGATAATTATGTTTTTTTTTTGTGGAATCCTTAACACACGGAGACCCCTTAAAAAGGACCGGAGTTTCTGTTTCAATTCGGTTTCAATTGACCTGTTCTTCGGTGATGGTTCTTGAGGATCCGAAAAATACAAGCTGCTGCACTACTGGGAATTAGCTCCCATGCAGTGGCTTTTTATGTATTGCCCGTCTGGAAGACGAGCTCACCGAGCACGCACCATCAAGTGGTGATGACGCGATATTTGATGTCGTATACAGCAGGCGAAAGAGAGCAATTCTTGCTGTCGTTTTTTTGTTGTGATGATTGGTCGTTTATGAGGAGGATTGCGAATAGCCTTTTAATAAAAGTAACATTAACACTGATATAGTCAAATCATGGATCAGATAAATAGGCTGAGTTAAGGAGAGTGTTGGCAAATTCTGATTCGTTTTCACGACACATATACGACCACGGCGCGCTGTTTCTGCTTCAGTAGTTCGCCCGAATCCTTCTGTTTCTTGGCGTGCTGCTGTTTCTCTGCTCTCTGGCCATTCTGGCTGGCTGCTTACGTGACCACAGAATTCGCCATCCCGCAAAATTTCCGCCCATCAGAAAGGCGTTGGCTATCTAAGGTTAAATAAGGTTTGTGTTATGCGACACGCAGCGCTCGCAAATGACATCATGGAGTGATTACATAAACATGTCGTCATGCATGGGACAGCACCTCACGCGGGGAAATTACAAGTCTAGGCAGACGGACATGCAACTTCACCTACCAACTGCCAACTACCACAGTGAATTGAATGATGTCTGTTTCGGTAAGAGAAGGCAACAAACGGGCCTGCATGCTGTTGTTTGCTAACATTGAGAATGATAGTGCGTTTCCGCCGCAATTGCCGCCGCAATTGACGCTGATTTAATGTTCATCGGCGCGTTCTCCATTGATCAGTACGGAACACTCGTGCTTCACCACTGAGTCATCGTCCGTTGAGCTGTTTTCTGACGTTTAGATTGATGGAGCTTGCAGGTCTCTCCGTATCACAGGCCGTTTTCCGAGAGTATCCCGTGAAAACACACACTAATGTGCTAGTGTGCTGCGGCCCTGGAAACAACGGGGGTGATGGTCTAGTCGCTGCTCGCCATTTGTGGCAGTATGGCTACAAGCCTGTTGTCTACTATCCAAAGCCGACGCCGAAAGATCTCTACCAACGTTTATGTCAGCAATTGCGGGATCTGAATGTTCCCGTGTACACGAAACACGAAGATTCCGACTTTCGGCATCTGCTCACATCCTCTAGTCTCGTTGTAGACGCCTTGTTCGGATTTAGTTTCAAGGGTCCTCTGCGTGCGCCGTTCGACAGCATTCTCGAAGCCATTATAGGTTCCAAGTTGCCAGTGCTTTCGGTAGACGCCCCGTCGTCTTGGGACATTGACAAGGGACCCGATCACGAAGGCCCATGCAAGGGATTTATGCCATCGGTGCTTATTTCACTCACTGCTCCAAAGCCTTGTAGCTTGTTCTTTAGGAATAAGCATTACCTCGGTGGCCGCTTTGTGAGCAAGGCTTTGCTCAACAAGTACCATCTCGTGCTGCCTCCTTATCCTGGCATGGATCAGATCGTTGACATAACAGGCTCTAAACTGGAGACGGAGGAGAGTGCTTAACCGCAGCGAATGTGGACCACAAGCTGAGACCCTATCTTGAGGAATTTGTATTAGGAGCGAGCATCTGGTAGGATCTTCGGGAATGGTCTCCAGATTTCTTTTGACTACTACAGTTCAGTTCAGTTCAGTTCAGTTCAATGCAATGAAACGACACGATCTATGTCCTACGAACAAACGACTTGCTTACGCCCACCTCCTGCTCCCCACCATCTCCACTCTTCTACAGCCTTCCCATTCCTTCCTGCTTACTCGGAGGCAACAAACTCACCACCATATAAACCAGATTTTTTCTTACAGGGCAGCACAACGTTTTTCCTTCCCACTGACAGTGTTCACAAACGAGAAGCTGTGTTCTTTTAATCAGTGAGGCTATTAACGAACTTAAATCCGTGGACCAATTAAAAACTTTTCCTGGTCTTTTCTTCTTCACTTTTCCAAAATTCAGTCTAAAAGAAAGTTTGACGATATGAGCGAACCTAAGGACACCGTGTTCCAGGACATCGGTGCTTCTGCTGCTCAAGCTACCGCCTCTGAAGATGCAAGCGAGAATCCCGTTAGAGAGGTGGATTCTATGTGTATGAAATGCCAAAAAACGGGCAAGACAAAGCTGTTGCTGACGGTGATTCCTTACTTCCGTGAGGTTGTCCTTATGTCTTTTGAATGTCCTCACTGCGGCTTTAAGAATGCTGAAATCCAGCATGCTGAGACTATCCAACCAGAAGGTAGTATCATTACTTTTAAGGTTCAGAATAAGAACGACCTTGACCGCCGCGTGGTCAAGAGTACGGAGGCCGTGGTTAAGATTCCAGAGGTCCAATTGGAGATCCCCGGCCGTCTGAGCCAGCTTACGACCATCGAGGGTATCATTACCCAAGTCATTACCGATTTAAGCAATGACCAAGAGGAGCGCAAGCAAAAGCTTCCCGAGGTGTATGAACAAATCAACACCTTTATTCAAAAACTGTCCTCCTTGTTGGAGGGCAACACTCCCTTCACATTCGTGCTGGATGACATGACCGGCAACAGCTGGGTTGAGATGAAGCCCGGTGAGGACAAGGACAATTGGATGCAAGGCAAGTACTTCCGTTCGGCTGCCCAGAACGAGCACTTGGGACTCGTTGACACGAACGGTGCTTCCGTTTCCGGCAACGATGCCATCACTGCTGGCGAGCTGAACAACGAGGTTGATCCCAGCGAGGTGCAGACCTTCCACGCCGCTTGTCCCTCTTGTCGTCACATGTGTGACACCCATATGAAGATGGTTGACATCCCCCATTTCAAGGAGGTTGTTATCATGTCTACCACCTGTGACGCTTGCGGTTTCAAGTCGAACGAAGTAAAGACGGGTGGTGCCATCCCTCCGAAGGGTCGTCGCATCACGCTCAAGGTTCTTGACGCTGAAGACTTGACGCGTGACATTCTCAAGTCTGAGACCTGTGCTCTTAGTATTCCCGAGCTTGGTCTTGACTTGCATCCCGGTACCTTGGGTGGTCGGTTCACCACCGTTGAAGGTATTTTGGCTCAAGTTCACGATGAGCTGTACGGTCGTGTTTACTCGAAGGAGAGTGATTCCATGACGGAAGAGCAGAAACAAAACTGGCAGTCTTTCCTTGACAACCTTCAGGCCGCTCGTGAAGGTCGTTTCCCCATCACCGTGAAGCTTGATGATCCTTTGGCACAAAGTTACCTTCAGAACTTCTATGCTCCCGACCCTGATCCAAACATGACCGTCGAGGACTATGAGCGTACGTTTGAAATGAACGAGGAGCTCGGTTTGAACGACATGAAGACCGAAAATTACGAAAAGCCTGAGGAGCAATCGACTTCTCAAAACTAAGGGGATGGAAGAAGCCTATCGTGAGCTTCTTGTTTAATTGTTGTTTTTTGTATAAGTAGAGAGGGGAGGTTTTAAATAAAAGTCGGTTTGGTAAGAAGACAATTGAGATGGGAAACGACGCTTGAGAGAACAGTTTAGAAACATTCCATTTACTGTACGAGGCCTAGCATTCGTAGAAGGCTCTTGTAAGTGTTGTGCATAGTGTCGGTACGTCTTTCGTTCCGACTCCTTAACTTGTTAATTAGATTTGGGTCTCCAGACGCGTCTACCCTCTGCCATCATCAATTCCAGAAAGGTGAAATAAACGGGAATTGTTGCTTTTGAAGCAATATAAACCGTGTCTTTAAGCTCCTATATCAATCGGCCAACGTTTTCTGCTTCCATCTTTGACGAAACGGTTCGAATGAGCGAAGAAACGTTAACAAACCATGAAAGTATAATTAAGAAACCAGACAAGCAGCCTAACATTCACGCAATTCAAAATCAAAAGGAAAACGCGCACCAAAAACTATTTAAAAAGTTCAAATGCCCATCATTGGCCGTCTCTGGTGCGAGAAAGGAGCTGCAGCTTCGCAAACGTCGTCGAGTTAATTACACAGAAGTCGATGTCGATGCAGCCGTCGACTCGACGAAAGATGGCACATATGTGATGGAAGAACGGCAAGGGCTCGCTACTTTGAAGGAAATGAACAAAATCATACTTAGTAAGCAGCCGAAAGACCCTGCACTTGTTATTAAGAAAAAGTTTACGATACCAAAACCGGCAAAAGGACACGAAGACTTGGTTCGTTATTGTCACAATCGGCCGCCTCCCTCTTTGGGTATGAAAAAGCGTATAGATTTTGTACCTAGGCCGCTGTACGATCCTGCTGACGAGTTTGCAATTGTGCTATACGATCCTACAACCGACGCAAACGAAGAGATTCCCGACTTGCATCAAGAGTTACTGAAGAAAAAAGAAGAGGAAAACGCAAAACGAAAGAAAAGGAAGCATAGCCGTGTGGAGCCCGAAGTGGAAGAAGAGGCGACACATGCTCCTGAGGAAGGCAACGCTGAATCGGTGTCGACGGAAGCAGACGCTTCCAAAGCTGCGGCGGACGACAAATCCTCACTTCGACGGAAAAATCGCAGCCTACGCGATTTACTCGGCATCACGAAAGAGAAGCCTCCTCCTCCGCCAGTGGCCGTGGTGATTGACCCCAGACTTGCGCGCATTCTTCGTCCCCATCAAATTGAAGGTGTCAAGTTCCTGTATAAATGTGTCACCGGCAGAATTGACAAGGTCGCAAACGGATGCATTATGGCTGACGAAATGGGTTTGGGCAAAACATTGCAGTGCATCGCTCTTTTGTGGACCCTTTTAAAGCAATCTCCTTTAGGCGGAAAACCCACCATCGAGAAGGCCATCATTACATGCCCATCATCACTCGTTAAAAACTGGGCGAATGAGTTAGTGAAATGGTTGGGGAAGGATGCCGTTACTCCTTTCATCGTGGATGGAAAAAGCACAAAGCAGGAGCTGATAGAAGCTCTTCTGCAATGGGCACACGTCCGGGGCCGACAGATTACGAGACCCGTGTTAATTGTGAGTTACGAGACACTCCGAAGCTATGTGGAGTACCTAAAAGGTGCTGAGGTTGGTTTGCTGCTTTGCGACGAAGGCCATCGGCTGAAGAACAGTGAATCACTGACTTTTACGGCGCTCAACAGCTTGGACGTCCGGCGTCGAGTCATTCTTTCGGGAACACCCATTCAAAATGATCTGAGTGAGTACTTTTCGTTGCTGAATTTTGCGAATCCAGGCTTGTTAGGCTCTCGACAAGACTTTCGCAAGAACTACGAAATCCCCATTCTGCGTGGCCGAGACGCAGATGGTTCGGAGAAGGACAAGGAGCTGGGTGATGCAAAGCTCGCCGAGCTGTCAAGCATTGTGAACCGCTTCATCATTCGGCGTACGAACGATATCCTGTCCAAATACCTGCCCGTCAAGTATGAGCATGTTGTTTTCTGCAACCTCTCAGAATTTCAGACGGCGCTGTACAGTTACTTTATTACTTCACCAGAAATCCGAAAAATCTTGCGCGGTGCAGGCAGTCAGCCTCTGAAAGCCATTGGCATTCTTAAGAAATTATGCAACCATCCCGACTTGTTGCACATTACAGAGGACTTTGAAGGATGCGAGAAGCTGTTTCCTCAGGGATTTGTGCCGAAGGAACACCGGGGTCGCGATCGACACGTGGATTCATCGTTGTCGGGTAAAATGCTTGTGCTGGAGCGAATGCTGTATCGCATCAAAAAAGAGACAGACGACAAGATTGTTCTCATTAGCAACTACACGTCTACGCTAGACCTGTTTGAGCAGGTATGCCGAACACGCGGTTACAAGGCACTGCGCTTGGACGGAACGATGAACGTATCCAAGCGTCAACGGCTGGTGGACGAGTTTAACGATCCGGAAAAGGACGCGTTTGTGTTTTTGTTGTCGTCGAAAGCCGGTGGATGTGGTATCAATCTCATTGGCGCCAACCGGCTAATTCTGTTTGATCCCGACTGGAATCCAGCGGCCGATCAGCAGGCACTGGCTCGTGTTTGGCGTGATGGCCAGAAGAAGGATTGCTTTGTGTATCGGTTTATCGCTACGGGAACCATTGAGGAAAAGATCTTCCAGCGACAATCACACAAGCAGTCGCTGTCATCGTGTGTTGTCGACGAAGCGCAGGATGTCGAGCGGCATTTCTCGCTGGACAATCTGCGCCAGCTGTTCCAGTACAACCCGAACACCGTCTGCGACACCCACGAGACGTACAAGTGTCGGCGGTGCAAGAATGGACGCCAGTTTATTTCGAGGCGCCTGCGTTACTGTACGGGGCGACACGAGCACATGGAACCATTTTTACGAATCCCCATTTGGACAAGATCGAGGACCCCATTTACTCAAGCAGGAAGTGTGGAAAGAAGGGAGGTGAGTATGGTATTCCAGTTTACAAGTCGCATTTAGGGAGGGAGCGAGGGGGAGCGAGGAGAAAACCCGAGGAGAAAACGAGGAGGAGAGACGTTTTCTCGAGCTCGTTTTTCGAGCTCGTTTCTCCTCCAGAACCTAAAGACATTTTTTCTCGTTCTCTTCCTTCCTCTTCTCCTTCCTCTCCTCCCTCATGTCCCTCTTCCATGTCCCTCTCTCCTCCCCCATCATCGCTCTCCCTCAATGAAACCGCTTCACTCCTCTTCCTCTTCCTCCCCCTCCCCCGTCCCCTCTTCGCTGCCGCTTGATGAATAATGAATATATTAATAAAAAAAAAGTTTTAATAAAATAATAATAATAATTAAGTCCACAAAATTAGCAATGTTTGTTTATAATATAGGTTCGATGACATAACAATCATCATGTTTTCAATGAAAAGTCCAAGAAGACAAAAAGGTTGGACAATGCCTTGGCATATAAATAGGGGAGACGGACAAGGGCCGCTCCGTGATTTTGTTTTAAGAGGGGGATGGGCAGGAAATGGTTTCTGCGTGCCATCATTTCTGCGCAAGCAAGGACGGCGGATGCAGTGGGCAGTAGTAGTAGTAGTAGTAGTAGTAATAAAAAAGTGATGCAGTGGATAGAACAGCAAAGAACAGTGAGTAGCAGAAACAAGTCATGATGAGAGAGAGAGAGAGAGAGAGAGAAAGAGTATGTCGTCGTCCACACACATCCAAGAGATTTTACTGTCCCAATGTCGGCTCACGTCGACGCTTGACTTTACACACAGCAGGAACATTTTTACCAAAGGGGGAGAGTGAGAGGGAGGGAGTGAGAGAGAGACTGAGACTGAGAAAGAGAAAAAAAGAAACAGACTTCACTCTCAGCATTCATTCCCTACCTCGTCGCCCACTCGCTACCTTACAACCCACGCATAAACGGTCTCGCATGAGGACACCCCAGTCCCAGCGACTTTCGCGACATCAGATTTGGATTCGAAGCGCAAAAGAGACACGGGGTGTTGAGGGAATGCTTGCGACGACAGAGCTCACGACGGGTGCGCTCCTCGGTTGTGAGCAGGTCTTGCAGACTGCTGGGGAGATACTCTTCTTCGCAGACGTCGACGGGAGCATCGTTGCCGACGGTCCAGGAAGAGAGTTTGAAGGGAGGAGGCGAGAAGGGCTGTTCGGAGAGCATGAGAGAGGTGCAGGGACTGGCGAGCGTGGGCGTGAAGCGGGAGAAGGGCCGGACGAGGGTGGGAGTCGTAGCCATGTAGCTGTTACTGAGCGTCGATGTGTCAATGGACGAGGCAAAGTAGTCGAGGGCGGGCTGGCCGGAAGAGAAGAACGAGGGCTGCTCGTCTGAGTCGGAGAAGGTGATCTCCTCGTCGGGGGGAAAGATGAAGTCGTCTTCTTTGACGCAGAAACTGGCGGGGGAACGGACGAGGGGGGTAGACTGAAGGGCTGCGGCGGCGGTTGCACCGGGACCAGCAGAGGGCGTAAATGGAGCATCATCCACAGCGTCTGCTGCAACAGCAGACGCTGTGGTCTTGACAGGCGTCGTAGGAGGTGAAACGGAGAGAGCCGGGGCGATGACGGGCGCAGCTGCAGCTGCAGCGGCAGGAGGGACATTGACATTGACGGTGCCATTGCCATTGACATTAACGTTAGCACTCGACGCCGTTGTCGACACCGTTGTCGTCGTCGACCCGCTCTTCTCAGCACTACCGTCTGCTGCTGCTGCTGCCGCCGCCGTCTTCACCTTGATCGTCTTCACCGGGCGACCGCGGACACTGAGAGCGATGCCCACGTTTACGCTACTGACGCTAGAACTACTGGAATGCGTGCTGGCAGCACGGCGGGCGGTCGAACTGGAGCGGCTCACCGCAGAGGAACTGGACCGGCTGGCAACGGCACTGCTGCTGGGCGTGGAGCCGGCGTTCGAGCTGCTGGCATTGCCGCCGCTGCCGCTGTTGCCGGCCGCACCGCTGCTGGTCTTCTTGGCCTTTGGATGCAGCAGCGCGCACTTGGCGCCGAACTTGCAGTTTCCCTTGACAAAGTACGGGCACACGGGCTTCTGGATCTCCTTCACCAAGTAGTGCCCAAACTTGCAGTTCTCGCCGGCAGAGCAGCAGCCCTTCTGGAAGAAGCGGCATGGGACAAGCTTGAGGCCTGGAGCTGGGCGGTTAGCATGGCGCAGAGTGGTGGCTGGCAGGGGACGTGCCTTTTTCAGAGCCAGCGAGGGCTGGGCGAGGGCCGGCATCAGCTGGGCGAGCTGTGGGCCGTTTGACGCCGGAGGAGCGACGTGCACTGGCTTTGGGCTTGGGTTTGCGCTCCATGAGAGGAAGGCAGAGGAAGGGGAGAGGGAGAGAGAGAGAGAGAAAGGGAAGAGGAGGAGGAGGAGGACGCAGAGGGTGGACATGAAATCGTAGCGCGCACGTGAGCAAGCAGCGTCAGCAGAGCGAGCGATGCTGTGCAAGCGGAGCGGGCGCGCCGGAGAGCAGGTGACGCGCAGGGCGCGCCCAGGACGAGCCGGAGGCAGATGAGGTGCGCGAGGGCGAGGGGAGCGCCCAGCAGCGCCCAGCGGTGGCTCGTTTTGGGCGGCTTTGGTGAGTTTGGTGAGCGAGCGAGCGCGAGCGGTGGGCAAGCGAGGGTGTGCGAGGGTGTGCGAGCGTACGCGAGGACAGCCGAGCGCAGCCGACGAGTAGCGTTTGGTAGCGTCCGGTAGCCTCCTGTAGCGTCGAGTAGTTTCGGTTGTGCGAGGATGTGCTCGCTTGCGCGAGCACACCCTCGCTTACCTTCGCTAATCTGCGCGTGACTGCCACAGCGCCTCTATAAAGCAGGAGGGGCGGTGCTGCGCTCCCCAGCTACTCAAAGGCCGGCGGGACGTGCACCGCGATGTAGCGCAGCGCAGCGGAGCGTAACGCAATGCAGCGCGCGCGAGCGCGGGCCTGGATGACCGCCGGTCACTCTAATAGCTGCGAGGGACGCGGAAGCGCTGCCTGGGCCGAGCGGCGGCACTGCGGGTGGGCCGCGGCGAGGACCGGGCGGACATTTCGGATAGCGATGCGGAGAAGCTCGCTGGAGTGAGATAGCGAGGTTTAATGAAATGCGTCAATCAGAGTTAGTGAGGGTTAGCGAGGGGGAGGGGAGGGCGGAGAGGGAGCAGGGACGGCGGTCGAGCGCTCGGAGGGCGGTCGGGTGCTGAGGGGAGAGCGAGCTGGTGCTGAGGGGAGAGCGAGCTGGTGCAGGTGCTGAGGCGCCGTAGCTGGCGGCGCCCGCGCGCGCGCGCACAGATGACACCGCCCGCTGAAGCTGCCTCGCTGGCGCTCTGCAGCTTCGGCTCTGCAGCTTCAGCTTCGCTTCGCCGCTTCATTAATCCTTGTTCAAACTCTTCGCTGTCGCTACCGCGCTCTGCTTCTGCTGATAACTGCCCGTGGGCCCCGTCTTCCGCACGCTCTTCACCACGTCGTCGCTCGCATACCCCGGCAGCCGGATGTTCCAGTTGCGCTCGAGATGCAGCTGCACGTCCTTCACATCCAGCGTGTCCGACTTGCGGTGCTTGGCCAGCCGGCACGCAAAGCTCGTCACCGTCTCCACAAACTCGTCGGCCACCTCCAGCAGCAGCTCCTCCACGTCCGGCTCCAGCCGCTCGTCGGGGTCGATCTGCTGCAGCAGCTCCTGGAGCTTGCGCTTCGACAGCAGACGAGTCCCGCTGTCGAGCTCGTAGTGCGGCGCCCGCGCGAGGCCCGGCGTGCTCAGTCCAATGCTGCCTGAAGCGTAGCCGCCCGTCAGCGTCGCTCGTCCGGGCGGCAGCGAGAACGGCGTGGGCGACTTGAGCTCCATCTTCCCGTTCACGGCTGCGGCGGCCGCCATGCTTCCAGGCTGGCCCGGCTTGTCCATGCCGCTCGCCATCGCCGCCTTCTGCGCGGCGCCCAGGTGCGCCATCGCTGCTGCGTTTCCCGGCGAGACGCTGCTCTCGGCCATGCCGCTGCTGGCACCGACGCTGCTGGCATGGGCTGCAGAGGCGGCCTCGTGGCTGCTGCCGGCGCTTGCGCCGCCAGCAGCTCCGGCCGCCTCGTGGCCGTCAGCGGTGCCGGGCTTCGTCTCGTGCGCAAACTGCTTGTTCTGGATCTGCTGGATGGACCGGATCCCGTTCGCAATCGCCGCCGTGTACTGCGTGATCTTCGTCACCAGCTCGGCCTCCTGCTTCATCAGCGCGTCCTTCGTCACCGCGTCCAGGCTATCGTTCGTGGCCAGCTCGTGCTTGATGCGGGCGAGCTTCTCCTTCATTTCGTTCAGATACGTCTGGGCCGTCTGCAGCTGTCTGTGCCGCGCAATGAGCAGCGTGTGCTCCTGCGGCGTCAGCGGGGGCCGGCTTCGAGTGGCCGTCTGCTCGGGCACGGCGCCGCGCTGGGCCAGCCCGGCGTTCGCCTGCAGCTGCTGCAGGATCTGCTGGTTCGGCAGCTGCCCCGACTGCGCTTGGGCCTGCAGCTGCTGCCTGATCGTCTGGGCGTGCAGCAGGTAGACGCGGCCCTGCGGCGTGTTGATGCCCACGTTCTGCGCGAGCTGCTGGTACATCGACATCGTGCTGAGCAGCGACGTGAACTGGTTCGTCCGCTGCTGGTTGTACTGCTGCGCGCTCACCTGTCCGTTGGCCGCCCGCTGGACGGGCGTCCCGGGCACTGAATGGTTCCCGTTCATTTTTGTGTGTTGCAGAGGGAGAGAGGGTGGTGTGGGCGACGACGTGGGCGGCGACGTGGAGGACGTGGACAACGTGGACAACGTGGACGACGAAGGAGGCCACGTGGGAGACTAGTGTGGCGGCGATGTGGGGAGTGGAGGGATGTGGGAGGGTGTAGGCGAGTGTGGGGAATGGTGGGGTGCGGTGGGATACGGTGGGGTGCAATGAGATACAGTGGGGGCCTCTCTGAGAATATGCAGGAAACGAGGAATGCAACGAGGAATGACTATTCGTTCCTGCGGATGGCATTGGTTAAATCATTCATAACAAACTAGTTCTATAGCCGGGCAAGAAGCGCGCGCCGGAATGGCGCTGGGATGGCGCTGAGGTGATGACCAAGTGGGTGCAACGGCAAGCAACAGCTTACGCCGTTGCTTGCCGTTTGCCCTGCTCGCCATCCTGGTCGGCCTGTGCTTCCCACATCTCCCGGTAAATCCCCCCTCTCGCGAGCAGCTCTGCATGGGTTCCCTGCTCGGCCACTCGCCCGTCCTTCATAACGAAAATAAGATCACAGTCGAGAATCGTCCGCAGCCGGTGCGCAATAAAGATGCTCGTCTTCCGGCTCTCCTGCAGGAGCCAGTTGATGTTGTTCAGCAAGTCTCGCTCCGTCGTCGTGTCAAGGGCGGACGTGGCTTCGTCGAAGAAACAGATCTCCGGGTTCTTCAGCAGCAAACGTGATATGGCGATCCGTTGCTTTTCGCCGCCAGACAGCATCAGGCCCCGCTCACCAACCATGGTCTCGTAGCCGTCCGGGAACCGCTGGATGATATGGTCAATGCGCGCCCGTCTCGCTGCATCGATGACTTCTTCCTGGGTCGCCGACGGCCGACCGTAACCAATGTTCGCTCCAATGGTGTCGTTGAACAGCGGCGTGTCCTGCGGCACAATGCCAATCGCCCGGCGCAACGTCGATAACCGCATACGCTTCACTTCTTGTCCGTCGATCAGAATCCGGCCACCGTCTGCGTCGTAGAAACGGAACAGCAGTCGCAGAATCGTCGACTTTCCGCATCCGCTCGGACCCACAAAGGCTACCTTCGAGCCGGCTGGGATGGTAAAGGTGCAGTCGCGCAAGATGGGCCGCGACTTGTGGTAGCTGAAGTTCACGTTTTCGAAGCGAATCTCTCCGCCTTGCAGCTTCAACGGCGGCGCCGCCGGCTCCTCTCGGATGCCTACGTTTACACGCATGAGCCGAGAACAGGTTCTCCATGTCGGTTGAACGAACTGGGCGCATTTCTCGATACACTGACCCCCGAGGAAGTTCAGCGGAAAATGGACAGCTGGAAGACGAGCTGGTTGATCATGACCAAATCACCCACTGTCAAGTTGCCCCGAGACAATGCCCTTGCAGCCCCCATGTACATCATCGCCGTCAGCGCCGTTGAGAAGATGATGTTTTGACCAGAGTTCAAAAACGCCAGTGAAGAGGCGACTCGGATACTCGCTTTTTCGTAGGCACTCAAGTGTTTGTTGAACCGTTGCGACTCAAACCCCTCGTTGTTGAATGCCTTCACGGCCTCGACATTGATTAACGAGTCGATGGCCACGGTCGCAGCCTCGTTGTCTGCCTGATTCGCTTGCCGCCGGAAGCGTGTCCGCCAGGATGTTGTTTTTATCGTAAACACCGAGTACGTTCCCATGGTCAGGGCCGTTAGCAGTGCAAACGGAGCGCCATACTTGTATGTGAGAATGCTGCACACCATGCCTATTTCGAGCGTGATGGGGATGATGTGCAGGACCATGGACGACAGCACGAAGCTGATACCCTTTGTGCCACGATCCATGGCTCGAGTCACTTGTCCTGTTTGTTTCTTCAGGTGGAAATTCATGTCGAGTCGAAGAAGATGGTCAAAGATGTTGCGAGAGACATTTCGAATGGCGTTTTGCGACACCGTTGCAAACACACTGTTTCGGATTTCTTGGAACACGGTTGAGAAGACGCGTGCCAAACCGTAGCCTAGCACAACCGCTCCCGCCGTCGACCAAACCGGTCCGAGCTGGCCGACGACGGCCTTGTCCATCGTGTCGACGATGGACTTGAAGTAGAATGGCACTTGAACATTGAACACTTTGGCGCCCAGCAACAGAACGAGAGCACTCACCACTCGAATCTTGATGCCTCGCTGGTTTTTCGGCCAGACATACTGCATCATATTTTTCACAATTCCCCATTCCGACTGCTTTTCTGGTGCCAAAGAGCCGAGTCCTTCTGGAACGACGGAGCTTTTCTTCGACTTTGTGGTCGTTTTCGTTGTTGACTGTTCGGGGTCTTGTTTTTTTGTTTTCGGAGCATTCGAGTGAAACCGAGACAATTGTATAGACAGCAGCAGTTTATTTGGCGAGAGGCGGTTTCCATATCCAGACCAAAGTGTTCGACAAGGCCCTTGATACGCAAAACCGGCGCGCTTGCACGGAAGAAGTAGCCTGCTGCTTACGAGCCTCATTGTCGACACCGCAGTTACCGCAGTAGTAAATTAAAGCAGTGATAAAATGTACACACACACACACACACACACACGCGCGCACACAATTTCGACAATTCACCTAACAGTTTCCTTTACGAAAAAAAAAATAAAAAGACAGGTGTAAACACCAGAGCTGACGCGCGTAAACGAACAAGAATATCTCTCAACAGCCAGCTACTGGAGACAAGGCACAATTAGCTTTTTTGGTGTTATTTTTTTGGTGTGTTACATACAGTGTGAAATGAATGAAGGTGTAGGTTGAGAAGCGAATTTCTTGCTCACGAAACAATGGCGTCAAATGGCGAAAGAAGTGAGGTTGAGGGTTAGGAGAAGCAGCAGAATGCAATGAGAGTTGTTTTCGGGACGAACTCGTGCTGTGATAACGGATTTCGTCTGTTGTCGGTACTAAATCTGATAAGATAACCTTAATATGCTTAAACGAAAGATGGCCCAGAACGAGACCACGAGAGACGGCGTGAACACAGTGACGAGTACATTGTTGCTGATATTCGGTCCAAAGATCCTCCTCTGTTCATTCTTCTCTCCTCTCTCTCTCTCTCTCTCTCTCTCTCACACACATTTTCCATTCCCTCCCTCCCTCTCGTCCTTCGTGTTCACCACCAAAGTCCAGAAAAACAAAACTCCAAGACATCATCACCACACAAACTCCCTCAATGGTAGTGCTGTATCCCATTTACTTTGACCGTACTCGTCCCAAGGGCTTAAGACGGGTGCCCAAAGAGCTCGCCATTGAGAACCCGCTGGCGAAAAACATTGGCGATGTCGTTTACAAATTGGGTTACAAATGTGTGCTAAATCCTTCTAAAACACATCCTGCTGACTGGGCTAATCCCGGAAGAGTTGACGTCGTTTTGCCCGACAACATGAATCGTAAGTAAAAAAATGATAGATTAGAGAAGAAAGTAGCTTCCCACAAATCCTCGTACTCCCGCTAACAGTCTCTCTTTTTTTTGGGTTTAGGTCGCTCCCTCTACAAACAAGTTGCCCAACAACTCGTGCTGAATCCTACGAAAAGAGAAGATCCCTTGAGACTTCCTGTCTCGGGTCTTCCTGCAAAATTGCCAGAACAGCCGCCTGCATACCCAAAGGGCATGAAGGGAAACACAATTCTCCCCCTTCACTCGCCGGCTGTTTCGGGAGGCGGCGTCTCAGACAACATGCTGCAAGATATGATGCAAGCCTTCCAAAATCCCGGCAACGGCGGAAACCCTCTTTTGAGCTTGGGAGCTCCTTCTCCAGCTTCGAATGCCTCTTCTTCTTCTCCCCCCGCCAGCTCGAGAGAAAAATCAAAGGGGAAGGGAAAAAAACCTATTCAGCCAGAGGACATGGTTATGGATTTGGACTTGGAGTAGAAACAGATTCGATGTGGTCCAGAGTCTGCGATCGATAATTCGCCCACCATTCCACATGTGTGTTTTTAGTAACGAAAGTCAGTAACAAGAAGGAGTCATCTACTATTTATGCCTTTTAAACACGGCTTAACCATCAACTCTGCAACTCGTGTTCTTCGTTACCAGCTTCCTCTACAGTCTTCCAGAGTGGTCGCTCCTTGTCAAAAAAAGTGACGAGCCGCTTTAATGCTTGTAACCACTATCGAAACTGTGTTAGTACAAAAGTTATGGAGTGAATGAGAACATACCTTTCTCGTCATCTCGTCGTTCAACACATGGCCGACGGAATGGGCGGTCAGCCGTTCTCGCGAACTTCTCTCGTGAATGCCGACCATGGTAACACCGATGGGCCATGGAGCATTGCCAATGCTGACCCGGAGGTATGCATCGTTTGCTTTGACAAACTCTTCCTTTTGGCACCAGTAGCAGATCTCCGCAACGCGCTCAAACACTTCGTTGTCAATTTGATCGTCTATGATTTTGTTGATGAGTAGTTCAAGATGCTGGGAAGCTTGTTGGAAAACTTTGTACTGTGCTTTTGTTGTAGATAAATCTAGTTCCTCAATACTTTTCTTCGCGAAAAACTCTTGCCAAAGGCGTAAACCGTGTCTAATGAAGACGATCAGTTGCCGTGCAACTTTTGACCGTTGGGTGTTGCATCTCTCCCACTCAATGATTTCCACTCGTTGGTTTTTGAGTTCCTGCTCGAGATCGCGCTTGCGTTGTTCTTTCTGCTCTGATTTCCAGCGGGTACGTATCATGTCTTCGTTTTCGCCAAATAGTCGAATTGGTTTCTTCATCGCCCGAAGCTGAGACTGTATTGTAGATATGGGCACAGTATCTTCGCCATTGGCCTGTGCATCTGATGATCCCTCCGTAGTTGCATCTTGAGGGGGAGCTTTTCGCTCCTCTTTGTCAGAAGGCAATCTGGTTTCCCCGGTTTTTTTCTGCAATGCCGTCTTGGACTGGATAAGTTTTTGGCGCATCTGTTGCAACTCCTCCTCATGTTGTTTCCTTTTTTTCTCGCGTTCCTTCTCCCGTTGAGCCTGTTCCTCTCGATATTTCTCTTCTCGAGCCTTCTCCAGGTCTCCTCGTCGAAACGCCCTTTTCACTGGTAATTCTCCATCTGCTTGAATTTGGCGACGTTTTCGTTCAATCTCCTCTTTCAAAAAGTCCATCTTACAGGAGCACCTGTGTTTCGACGATTATGGGCTCTCGTTCACCGGTTCCTAGTGGCAGAGAGGAAGAATGCCCTTGCTTGGTAAAAGTGAGCTATGGCTATGATACAAAACACAAACCATTTGATGTCCTTAACAATAAAACACCTGCGGTGGAGATTTATGTTTGGTAAGGCGGCATTTGTTTCATTCGTTTTGGCGTTTTGTTAAGGAACGGAAAAGCTGACCGGTTCGATTTAGGAAGTCGATGAGCTTGTACGATGTTTCCGTGCTTATCGCCGATCAAACCGTCTTGCAGAAAGAAGACACTCGCCATGCTGAGTGGAAATTCAGCTTTCGGATTGCTTATTTCGATTCGGTGCGAAGGAAATCCGCCTTTCGCGAAATTGGATCGGCTTGTTTACATGACCCGGATTTACTACAAGGAAATAGACTATTGAGGAATGTTGGATATCGATATGGTGACATTCTTGATGTGTCCATAAGACCGGACTCGATACGTCTTAGTTCTGTTCATTCAAAATGAGGGGCACAAGTTCGTAAATTGTGTTTGAATTGCCCCGTTCAAGGGGAATGGAATGAAAACTTGAACTTAATGCACTATAAAATGCTTCCGGAAAGGCGAAAATGCTGTTACATAGTTGCAATCGCATTTGTGGAATACAAAAGGTGTACCAAAGAAAGACCAAAACAGGAACGCTACTTTCCTCCTTTCCGTGCTTTATACCAGTAAGCTTAGTTTTAAGCTGCATCTCATCAATCTTTCTTCTGCGTTTACAAAAGTTTGCTTACATTCACAGATCAACAATTTAGCAAATTGATCCTTTTGACAATGCTTTTGGCCATTCTCCTAACCGCGTTCTTCCCTTCCATAATTCATTAATCAATGAACCGTGGTTCTATCTTCTGTTTATATACACTCATGTAATGTCACTGAAATTGTGACAATGACAGTGCACCGGTTTTGATGAATAGTTTCGACAAATTGGTTACATATACCTCCTCTAATTGAACTGTTTGCTTGTGTATTATATCACCCTCTTCGTACAGGTTCATCCCATTGTCGTTTGGTGCACAACCCCGATAGATGTATTCGCGTAAAAGCGAGAGTTGTCAATTGTATCTTCAAATGGTAAAGTAATATATTCAATGAACTCTAGTGTCTTATGGGATCCTGTATACTGACCACGTGTCACAAGTTTAGTGAATTGTTACTGAAACTATCTTTTGGTTTGGATGCCAACTTGCTCAGACTACCATACGCAGCTTTTTGTCAACTCTCTCTATTTTCCATAAATCTGTTCATATAACACCGTACTGTTCTGCTTTAGATAAAATATACGAGAGTTGAGCCACCAGAGCTCCGTTTTAGTGATGAATTTGTCAAATTCCTCGTTCTTTTCCACTCTGTCAGGATTGGCTTCAAATGCCAAGGAAATTGCCAAAGCTACAACAAATTCTTTCTACACTCATCGAGATTATGATAGTTCACATTTGACAAAACTTTTGTCGTCGAGTTCGACGGCAAATAACTTGGAAGCTCTTCAATTTATCATCAGTAGAATGGCAGCAGGTGAGGATATGTCCTCTCATTTTACAGACATCATTAAGCTCTTTGCCTCGAACAATGATGAAATTAGAAGACTCGTTTATGCGTATTTATTGCAGTATGCAGAGTTCAACCCAGACTTGGCATTGCTCTCTATCAATACGGTGCAAAAATCTCTTAATGACAAGGATCCAAAAATCAGAGCCCGTGCTCTTCGCGTAATGAGTAGCATTCGTGTTCCCGCAATCCACGGTATTGTACTACTGGCTATCCAACAATGTGTAAATGACTCTTCCGTTGCTGTTCGCAGAGAAGCAGCTATAGCCATTCCAAAATGCTACTCATTAGATCCCTCAGTGGGCCCGAAATTGAGGGAACACATTGCTACGTGTCTTTTGGACAGTAATGCCGAAGTAATTGGCCCGGCACTTGCTTCCTTTAATGAGCTGTGTCCCAACGACTACGAAATAATCCATCCGGCATACCGCCGTATTTGCACACTCTTACCGCAAATGAACCATTGGGACAAATGCATAGCTATGCGGGTTTTGGTTCGCTATGCACGCAGAAACTTTCTCCAACCGCAACCAGATGAGCCTTTGGATAGAGATCTTGTACTCCTCAAAAATGCCATGCTCTCTGCCTTATACTCCAATCTCCCAAGCACCATTTTGACCAGCATAAACAATCTCATTTGTTTAAATTTAGTTCAGGATGCCTCCGAATTGGTTCAGCCAATTCTCTTTCTTCTATCGAACAGTAATACCGCAAAGCTGATTACCCTCCAAAACCTTTACCAAATTTTAACCCAGTCTATCAATGGAGTTTCGGCTGCTTTTACAGAAAGTTTGCGTGATGTCTTAGCACCGCATTTCCGTTTACTATTTTTGCTTGTATCAGACACAGACGAAGTCATCCGCCTAAAGCTAATGCTTTTGACAAAAGTCATTAAACCAACAAACCAGTCTCTTATTTTGTCAGAAATGTTTTATTATGCCCTTCGTCATGATTCACAAACTGTACAATCTTATGCGGTGAAAGCCATCGGTCTGTGTGTTTTGCAAGTCAATGACATGATGGATACATGTCTAAATGCAATTCTCCACATGCTTACAGGAAAGAACGAGCAACGGGTTAGGGAAGCGGCAGATGCGCTTTCTGCTTTTCTCGATACTAATGCCGACCGTAAATATGTGCAATACCTTTGTGCTATATACAAGGAGGTTAGCCTCGGACATGCCCGCGCTGTAATTCTTTTCCTTGCTTCTAAAAACTTGGATATGGTTTTGGACTTGGCACCAGATCTCCTGCGTGTTGCTCTTCAAACGTTCACTGAAGAACCAGAGGAAGTGAAGCATAGCATCCTATACTTTGCTACGAGGTTACTGATTCATACACATCAGGAGTCTTACTCTTATGACATTAACACAGGCACGGACCCTATAACTTTGATGTACAAATATCTTCAAAATCTCATTCGTTTTGATGCAAGTTATGATCTCCGTGATCGTGCGTTGTATTACTTTGAGCTGGCACGGACACCCTATACAGACTTTTCCAAACAAATTGTGTTACAAACGCAACAAACAGAGACCACTGAAGCTGCTGAAGAAACCCAGTTTGCTTTAAGCTCTACCAGTCTTGTTTTGAAAAAATCCATCCGTGGTCATACCGCAGTGCCTGAGTGGGCGACTGCGGACGAATTGCCTAATCCAAACGTCCGTGATGTTGAGCCTCCATCACTACGTCCCTTGGAAGTTGAGGATATCGTACTTACCCCCAAGGGAGTTGGGACACCAAGCCCTCTTGGAATGCAGAATCCTTCTCATTTGGTTCAACTTGTCGAAACAAGTTCTCAAGGTCGTCCACGCATCGTTGGTCGCCAGACGCTTGATGAATTCTACCAAAGTAGTTCTGAGGACGAGCAAGAAGAGGAAGCCGAGACTGACGAAGGATCCACTGAGTCGGAAACTGAGTCAGAAACTGAATCCGAGTCTGATTCTGATTCTGCGTCTACATCTGCGTCAGAGTACACGGAAGAAGAAGAAGCCGAATCAGCGTAATGACCCAGTAACAGTCCTTTTGTTGCGGAGTGCCGCAATTCGTTTCATCTTAACATAAGCAGGAATATGGAAGAAGATAGACGCTACTGTAAAGTAATGAACAAATAAAAAAAAATACTATCATTTAACTGTCGTAGAGTAACTTTTCGTCAATACATGGAGAAGGATAAGAATCACCAAGAAGCTTTTCTGGAAGAAAGGGATTAGTATATGTATAACAGTTTAATGTCGTACTTCGTTCCTGGGACAAGATTCTTTAAAATACGCTCTCGTAATGGATACTATTCGAGTTAGTATGCGGCGGATTAGGCTGTAGAGCTTACCCGAGCCATCTTAAAAGCTGAAAACACGCCTCGTCCCCGGCCTGTTTCAAGACACCTGTTGTGGATTCCGGTTGGATGGGCATAAGTAGGAAGTTTTTCAAGTTTTGTTTTTGCCAAGGTTCTCACTTCAAATGGATATTCGGGATTTCGCATTATATACCGTAAAGCTTCTCTTTCTACCTCACATTTTTCAAAGACTTTGCGGCGAATGAAGTCCCTGATGCTTCTCGCGGGCATTCGTTTTAAACCGATCATTGTTTTTTGGTATTTTGAGAATCAGAGAATACCTAAGGTAAGCCGTGATGAAAAGTACAAGAATATCGTCTCGACGTTCTGACAAAATGACCACTGGAAGATTCGGCGATGAGAGGCGTGATTGTAGAAATGCAGGTGTAATTGATATGCGAAATTTTTGTAACTTTTTTTTTTATCGTTCATCAGTTTTCATGACTGACAGAAATGTCATAAACGAGTTTTGGGGTATTCACCGTTAAGAAATGAAAGAGAAAAAACAAATACAACTTTAAGCTTAGCTCCATTAATCAAACTTCGATTACTTCTTCAAGCCTTCCGTTTTGGAGCACCGTACTCTGGGTCAAGAGCTTGTATGTGAACTTCGCCGTGCTTCTCTTCAGCACATGTTCCCACGACGAGTAGCGTTCCGTTTGAATTAAAATCAATGTCCGATATACTAGTCTTGCACATTTTAGATAAACGTAAACGTTTCCGTACATTCAGATCCCAAACAGCGACAGCTCCATCCCCTCCTGCCGTAGCCAAAGTTCCATGAATTGGGTGAAATGCAAGTGCGTTAACCGGATAAACAATGTCTTGATCACCTTGTGTTTGACGGTGACATTTGAACGTGAAATTTCGGGCTTGCCAGTCGGGTGCTGGATTCAAAAACTCAACAGAAGTACGTCCCTCAATGCTTGATGAAACGAATCCTTCGTTGTCTGGCAACAAACAAACTCTTCGTGTCATATATTTAAAGCTTGACGGCTTTTTGAGCAGCGGTTCCTGCATATTTCGAACATCGAAAACAAGATTCTCGCGCATGGAGCAACCCACAGCAAGTCTGTAGCCATTATTACTAATTGTGAACGGTTTCCCAGCCAATTCTTGTTTGTGCTGACGAGTCTGGGCACGCGGATCCCAAAACTGAAGCGTCTTATCCCATGAAGCAGAAATCGTACATCCTACAAATCAAAGTTTCAGGTTAATAAACGAACTAACATTACGAACAAGACAAGTGTACCTATGGAAGAAGCGTTTATTAGATCACAAACACCCAGAGAGTGTGCATTCCAAGCACGCTCTTCGCCTGTTGTTAAATCGGAAACTCGTAATTCTCCATGAAGGTACCCAGAAACAATTTGTGTTGGAGAGCAGAATGACATGCTCAAAACGGGCTCATTATGGGGAATAGAGAGCTTTAATTCACCTCCTTTGTTTGTACTGAAATACTGCAAACTTCCATCCCAAGAAGCGACGAGCAATTCGTCCAATACTCCCGGTACAAACTTGACTCTCGTAACTCCGTCTTTGGGTGTTGGATATAGAACGATTGAAGTCGACATTGAGGCGAGATATATACAATTCCGCCGGTAAAGCGCCAAGTGCAAGGAGAATGAGGCGGACTGAAGGCAGAAAGCGCAGACGTAACAAGGAGAAATCGGTGTACTAATGCATTGTATATACGTGTAAGGTCAACTTGACTGCAATCCATGCGATGCAAAGACTTGCAACGACACCGTTTTTCCCGGTTTTACTGTTAAAACCACGAGCCCGTTTGCTTCTTACTCACCCTCACTTACAGCTAAAACGGGGCATACACTCACTGGCACAGTCACCCATCGCTGAACAAGCCTATAAAAAACAATAACCGTACACTCTCTTACTTCTATGCGTAACACAATGCATTCTTCATAGTATACAAAAACAATCATAAACAAAGTTTTTAAAACAGCTGTTTTTTCAGGGAGCTTAGTAACGCAACGCGCATTGTGAGAATCCAAAAAGTGTAAAAACACAAGCAAACGCGTGTGACCGATGAAGCCGTTCCTCTTTGAAAAGTCTATTGGTTGTGGTTTTGAGTTCAGAAACAGCAAGAAGTCACACGCATCAGCAAGGCGAGCCACATTATGCGACCCGTTTTGGACACCGGTACGCAGAAACCTTGGTAGTTTGCTTCACATAAGGCATGTCGCCAGCGACAGTGAGCACATAATCAGCCTAATAGCCGACGCGGAACTCGCTTTGCTTTCCAGAGACATAGGGATCAACGTTCTGGCGCTCAACGGTGCTCTTCAGCACCTTCTTGAGAGTCTCAACAGCCTCCTCGGTGATTTGGATGTGGAGAACAATACGGGGTCCTTGCAATTTAAGGCCGGCCTTTCTACCCTCGTCAATCAGAATAAAGGGATTCACACCGGTAAGGGTAACCATGTTGCTGTGGGTAGGGACCTCGAGCTGGAGACCCAAGCTCTCGGCGTACGAGGCCACGGACTTGGCGTACTCGTGAACCTTAGAAAGTCTGGGGAAGTTCTTCTTGATGGCAAACAAACCGGCGGCGGCAAGCATACCGCTTTGACGCATACCACCACCATAGGCCTTACGGAACCACTTGGCCTTGGCAATGTAGTCCTTCTTACCAACGATGATGCAACCAACAGGGGCACCAAGACCCTTACTCAAACACAAACTCACACTGTCAAAGTACGAGCAGTACTCCTTGATGGAGATGCCAGTAGCAGCACTGGCCTCCCATAACCGAGCACCGTCACAGTGCAGGGGGATCTTGTGCTTCTTGGCCAAGTTCGAGATACGAACAATCTCCTCGATGGGGAAGATTGTACCCTTCAAGGTGTTCTCCAAACAGATGAGTCCGGTGGGGGAGAAGTGGATGTCGTCGCCGACAATGAGCTTCTGCTCGATCTCCTCGGCGGTGATGTAGAGACCGTTCTTGGGAACAATGGGACGGACAATGGCCTGGGTGAAAATACCAATGGCACCGGCCTCCCAGTTGTACACATGGGCACGGTCATCACAGATGATGCTGTGAGGAGGCTGGTGAAGGTGGGTACGGATACACAATTGGTTACCTTGAGTACCGGAAGTCACGAACATAGACGCCTCCTTGCCAGTGAGGGCAGCAACATAGTCCTCGAGCTCGTGGGTGTTCTCATCCTCTTCGTAAACACAGTCACCGTCAGTAGCAAAGTACATGACGCGACGCATTTCCTCGCAAGGAACAGTGAACGTGTCACTACGGAAGTCATTCCAGCAGCGGGGCTTCTTGTCCACAGCCTTGGCGTCACCGAAGGGAGTGGCGGGAGAAATATCACTAGGTTGAAGCATTTTTCACGAAATGAAAGTCAAAGAAAAAAGAGAAAAATAAAAGAAAAAAAAATGTCTATGTGGATAGAGAGAATTCGTTAGCAGAGACTATTTGTTTGAAAAAAAGTCGCTCTGTTGTAAGAAAAAGGGTGCACAAAAAGGTGTTTTATTCGACTTGAGACGCGAAAAAAGTACCTCGGTTCGAGAGAAGCTGTTGAAGTCCAAATTGAGGCAATAACAAAATTGTTTTTTAGTGTTCCAGTTGAGGGAGAGCACTACGATGTCCGTACGGAGTCACCAGCTAAAGCCTACGGCGAGAATCTATGTTTTGTTTTTCGTATACCACACCGGGGTGTTGGAGAAGGATAACGTTGGATTCGGGGTGTCCGCCTGGTTTTAAGCAACCTTATCACGATATCTTGAATTGACGTCATAGTACTCCACCAAAAAACCAATCACGCAGATTTACCATTCATCGGCAAATAGAGCTTATTCAACAAACGTGACTGACCCCGTAAAGCACGACAACAGGGCATCGCGACGCAGGGCGTTCGGATTCGGATCTCCACAGAAGATTCGTAAGAAATGCGGTCGGGATGGCTCGCTAACAGTCGCGACCAAATTTCATTGCTGGAGAAAGAGAAGAGACGATGCGGGGGGATACGACGAAACGTGAAGGTGCGAAGTTGCGACAATGCGAATTCGCGGAACAACGGTCGTCGCCGCATCAGCAATCTAAGGAAACGTAAATTACAGAAGCTGTACGGAACATTGCAGTACTAGCAATGGGAATCATTAACCGAAGTTGCCGGACGATAAGCTGCCGCTGTCGCAATTTCCTTAGTGACCTTATTCCTCATTTCGGCAGACTTGTTCCTACTAGAATCGGCTAGAAAAAAAAACGGTGTTGGGTTTCCGACTACTCAAACTCTCTGGCCACTCGCTACTGATGAGGGAGCGAGATGGTAGTCCATCTTTTGTCCGATCGACTCCTCCACCACATCCTGGTTAGATGATGATTCAGCCTGGCTCCGGTCAGCCGCTGATGCCGAAGGAGCTTTTGGCCAAAGCTAGACTATGTTTACTACGTCTTTGTTCGCACAACAATACGATGGCGGAGAACAAAATTGCCTGTGCGAATGGGGCGAAGAAGATGGGGAGGATGCAAACGACGGTTGTGGTGACGATAGGAGAAACTGCAGAACGGCCGGACAGGAAGATGATGCTGAGAGATTTGTGTCAGACACTGTGTGTGCGCTTTCGTTGCATCCGGTAAAATGGTCGGTAGGATGCTCGGTTGTGTTTTAAGGTTTTTCTAAGCGAGTGGTCTTCTTGGTGGTGATGACGTATATGCGAAAAAACGTAAAAAGCTCCGTAGGGAAGGGACCGAACGTACTTGACGTAGTCCGAGGGATAGCGGAGGAGGGTCGGAACGTGGTGGAGTGCGTTGATGCGCGTTAAGTGGCTGTAACGGTTGCGGTGCATTGCGATATGTTTCTTTTACGTGGTGTAATGCGGCGTACCGCAGTGCTCACAGAGGTTCTTACTTAATCGTTAAACACAGCAACGAGTTGCTGTAAGATGCAGTATTCTTTTACCGATGTTTATGGTGACACTCGCTTCGCTCGCTAGCACCGCGAACCTCTCTTGTCTGCACGCCCTGTTCATTTGACTTCAATTCGGCTGAAAACCCAATAATTTCCCTCTGTTTACCCGCAAACTTCATTCCCCCTTTTCTTTCTAGTGCCTGACCCTTTTTTCCCGCTCTCAAAAGCTCATTTTTGGTTTCGCGTGTTCCCAATGTCGAGCTCCAGTTTAAAAACGCCTTTCTTAGTAGAACAGAGGCATATGATTATTGTGCCTTCGTACTCAGCATGGTTTAACATGTCTACGATCCACGAAATCGAAAAAAAGTCCAACCCGGAATTCTTCGGTGGAAACTCGACGCTGAAGACGCCCACTGCGTACAAGGACATCCGTGATTTCATGATTAATACGTACCGCCTTGATCCGTCCGAGTACTTGACTGTAACGGCCTGTCGTCGGAACCTGCTTGGCGATGCCTGTTCCATTATTCGTGTCCATGCTTTTCTAGAGCAATGGGGTCTCATCAATTATCAAGTGGATCCCGAAACACGACCAAATTTCAAAGCCCCTCCTTTCAACGGCAAGTACAACGCCGTTAACAATACACCCAAAATGACTCAAGAGGTTCTCGCTCAGCATGAAGCGAAGAACAGTGATGAACCAATTCCCAAGCAAATCACGCTGCAAACAAAGGTTTACAACAGCGTGACCAACCAGATGGAGCCCAAGGATGCCGTAGACGAAACAGAACAGGACAAGGCGGAGGCCCCCTTCGTGCACGTTCAATGCTTTACATGCGGCGTCGATTGCTCACATGCATACTATCACAATTTGAAAATGAAAAAGCACCATCTGTGTCGCGCTTGCTATGAGCAGGGCCGTTTTCCAAGTTCGTTTACTTCTGCGGACTTCTTGCGAATGGACACTGCCTACTTTCAGCAGTACCGCGACGACGAATGGACAAACCAAGAGACGCTTTTGTTGTTGGAGGCCATTGAAATGTATGACTCTGACTGGAACCAAATCTCAATGCACGTTGGAACCCGTTCGCGGGAACAATGTCTCGTGCACTTCTTACAGTTGCCCATTGAAGACCCGTATCGCATTTCTGTAGAGAACCAGGTCTCCACACTAAAAAACCACAGTCTTCCTTTCTCGGAGGCTGACAATCCCGTTTTGAGCATCTTAACGTACTTGGCTTCTGTTCTGATAGAATCTAAGCAGAAAGCCCACAACAACAACGAGACTACGAAAAATGACGGTGAACAGTCTGCTGAACCTCAGGCCTCCGAAACCTCACATTTAGAAAAAGCGGCCACAGTTGCTCTCAAGGTGGCCGCTCGCAAGGCCGGCGTGCTTGCTGACTACGAGAAACGTCAAATGCAGCGTCTTGTTTACCTTCTTGTGCAAACGCAAGTTGAGAAGGTTAACTTAAAAATGGAAATCCTTGATCAATTGGAAGAGATTTCTTCTTTCGAGTTCTTTGAACTTGATCGACAGCGGAAACAACTGCTCATTGAACAGTTGTCGACCAAGAAAATGCTTCTCGATGTTGGAAAGCAGGTGAAGGAGGCCCTTTCTCTCGGAAATGATCAAGGTTTAGCAATCATAGACAAACTACTCTTATCCGAAGGAAAGGAGATACCTCTAACATTTGAGAGTCCACCATCTGTTAATGTACGTCCGATTAGCGAGGAGTTTCCCTCGGAGTACCGAAGTATTGCTTTGTAAGTGATATGAGCTATACTTCTGCATCACTGGCACACTCGTTAAAGTGTTTTGGGTACGCATGAATGCTTTATAATGTAAATTATGTTTATAGGTTGGAATAAAATAAAACAAGTAATGAGACAAATGCAGATGATAGGTGAGAAGTTAAGATGTAATTTCCTATTAAAAAAAAAACTACCATATTTGGAAGGGACTCTATGTTCATTTAGTACGTTTAGATCATAACTTAAAGGCAATTAGAAAAACAAATACAACGGACGAAAAAAGAAAAGGAAACAGGTCTGCTTAACTCGAGGTACCGCAATCATGCATCAGCGAATTCTTGGGCCATCTGTATCCAGCTCCCTCCCAAGACGTAGCGTTTGGATTGAGATACGCTTTTGGGTGTGCTGCAATATATTTGGTTGTTGGATAGCCTGGAGGATCGCAAGTAACATGCATATTCGTGTGTTCGGGATCCTGATATATTCGTACGTAATCAATGTACAACTTGGCAGGAAACTGGAGCCTGTGAAAATAATAATATGCCCAATTCTTAGATATAGCCAAGTTTAGAATAATTGACATAGGCTCCTCACTAATTATTCGCGGCCCAATATTACCGTTGGACTTTACGGCTTGCCCCGTCATAGTCCATGTTTTGTTCTTTCCAATAAACCATGAAATGTAACCATCACTCGTTCCGGGCATATAGTCAAAACCGTAGGTTTGAAATCCTTTCCGGTCATACCACTCCGGATTCAGTACAGTAACACCCGACAACGCTTCTTGAAATGGTCCGCCTGTGTAAGTATTCATGCACGTAACACTCTCGTTGTGTATCGCGATGAACCTGTAGTCAGGATAATAATACAAATCGAATGGTGCAAACTGCCCAGACTGACAAGCAACACCAATTTCATCAGGGTCGTCGTCATGAAGTTTCGTATTTGAACCTTCCAAAGCATCGATTTCGGGCGCCCCCCGACCTTTTCCCAAACTAGGATGATCCTCTCCGGGACAAGCACAGCTGGAAAGTTTTTGACCGGGAAGATATGATAGACCGTCCGGTGTAGATTGATTGGGCGTGATTCCTGAATCGCATTCATTATAAGAATACGGCCACACACCCTCAGTTGTTGCAAGGTAACCAGGCCGTCCAAGGTTTCCAAGAGTCCATAAGCCGGGCCAGAATCCAGCAGACTTTCCTGTACCGGCAAGTGAAGCAGACACCTCAAAGATGCCACCCTTGAAGCAAAGCTTATTCCATGACTGAAGCATAGCGGAACGAAAGTTTAAGTTGTGATTTGAGAGTGCATCCCATTGTAATAACCAGTGTTCCGTTTTCGGTTGTCGCAGCATCGGGATCATACCATTCGAGATCGTTCGTGGCAGCGTAATGCAGATTCACTGCTTCCCAATACTGGTCATCACCCGGGTAGAAAGAACGGCCTTCGTCATTAAATTCGTCAGAGAACACAAGCTTGTACTTCTTTCCATTGGCGCCAATTTTCTCATATGCGTTGACCGGAGTATCCTTGTCAATGAGACTGGTACGAAGATAGCGTAAGTTTCCAAACAAGTGATCTGTTAGCGGTTTTGAATTGGTGACACGATTGCTTGGATCAAAGGGGTCATTGCCAGAAAAGGTAAGTACAGGAAACACGATAAAGAGAAGTGTTATGCCCAGCATAAGAAAGATTAAAAACATAATATCACAAAAGCGACCCCATCCTAAATAATCATCAAGTTCGTCCACATGTCGTATGTGATCACTAGAGAATTCGCTCGTTGAGAAAATATCAATTGACTCATCTGCCTTTCCTTTTTCTTCAGTTTCCTTCAGCCGGAATACTCCTGTGACTGTATCGTAAATCTGTTTTAATATGGCTACTTTGTTGAGAGAACTAGTATGACCATGATATTCTTCCTTCGGCGTTTCATTAGTTAAAGGTGGATATCGACTAAATTCTTGTGCAAATGACAAGGATTGGGACAAAACTTCATTGTTGTAGGGACCGATGTCATTGTCAACAGACACACACGGCAAAGAGGGACTTGAAACTTCAAAGCCCTTCTCTTCTAAAGATAAGTCTGAAGTGAACTCTTGCCCATCCGTCTCTGACTGAACCGGAGTTCTGAATGGATTCTGGTAAGTCGGAGAGGGAACTGTGATGTTTCGATTATCGTCTTGGCCATACATGGGTCGTTCACTCAAACAACTTGACAATAACAAGTTGAGGAAAGGCTTGAAGAAGAGAAGATCCAGAGGCTTTGTGCGTTTTATATATACCGTGAATAACGTCACGTTTCAATGCCTAGGATTCTGAGCCATTTTTCATGTTTGTAAATTTTGAGAACAATATCCACGATCATGACGTACTTCTACATTTATGTAGATTCATGATTAATGGCTCGTCTGTATCTATCTTCAAGGGTCTCGCCTTCAACCAGCTTCTTTAAACTTGCTGGATTCCCTTTTTGAAAGGCTTCGCAGGCTTCCATAAGCATTGGTAATACCCGAAGTTTTATAGCGCCCGTGTCGAACAGTCTATCCAACTGAGCTGCTCCTTGCATTGCCCTCCAGTTACAGTAAGCGCGGTAGCAAAGATAGAACCCTGGAAGGTTAGGAATGAGAGGTATTAGTATTACGGGTATTGTCAGAGGAAGACCAAGTATGTTTCCTAGAAGATATTTTGAGTGCAGCTGTCTTTGCATTGCCAGCTTCCCTAGCTGTTCATACACAAAGGAGCTTGAGATATTTGGAGCGTGATAAACGACTGTTGAGTCATGCAATTGCTTGTTGCTAACCTTTCCTGCTGCTGCTATTTCCCGAAGAGCCAGTTCCTCGTGGCCAGACATATTAACAGCGTAGTTGCCAAATTCAACAACTTTTTTCTTAATTGTACTGTTTGACATTTTCCAATTATTCCACGTCTTCGCAACTCTATTTACAATTTTGTCATGTAAAGTTACAGTCTGATTCATCTGTAATGTCGGCAGACAGTGAAAAAAAAGACGCTTATTAGGCAAGGGCAACGCATATATTTTCATTTTTTATTTTTTTTTTAAATTGTAATCGCTGTTGCAAACCAAGCGATGTAATTTTAGAAAATAGAAGCCAATTCACCCAAGCAACGTCAACAGAAGAGAAGAGAATGAGGGAAACAATAAATCTAAACCCAGAACGAGTTGTAGAGGGAGTTACTTTGTTTTAAAAGCAGCTACACGTGGAGTAAATTGACACCTCTCGTACCAAGTGGTACCAAGTAGTACCTGGTCATGACCAAGTCTACACAGGAGCTAATACCTAATGGCAAACACTGAAACGCGTTTTATTGGAGTATATAAAGAAATAGTATACATAGCCGAATTATAATAACAAAAACTGAGGCTCTTCTATTCATAACTTTAGGGTCAATGAACGCCTGGTAAGCTGTTCCAAACACAACATCATAAAATGCCAAGGCCGGAACTTTCGAGCCTAGATAAAAGTAATTGGCAGTTGATAACAAACGATACAGATAGAATCGTTAAGTGTAAGCTATTGGGAGTAGTGAGACGGAATAAAGCGTAATGGATTTCAACCTTCAGAGGGAAATCGATAATTATTCCAATAGTCTCACCAAGTGAGTAAAAAAAAAACAGATGAAATGCAAAAGCTGACCAATTTAGGGAACGGGCAGTACTGAAGCGATCAGCGGAAAAGTAGTAAGTAATATGAAACCCTAAAGTTGGGTAAATAGATAATCAAAACACGAAGCGACCTGAAAGGGTCGTATTATAAAACATCAAAAAAAAAACAAAAACAAAAGAAGATGTTGGTTCTGCTTAAAATATCAAAGAAGAACCGCCTCCACGTAATAGTTCATCATGACCAAAGCATGTCACCCTTATTCGAATACAGCAAGCATCATGGTCATAATTAAACTTCAAGATTGAATAGCGTTAGTACTCATTGTCATCATCAAGGCATTCAGTAACATAAAGCCAGCAGTCAAAAAAACGGAATGAACAGAATCAGGACACGGATGAACAGGCCCCGTAAAGACTGCTTTTAACAGATGCCAACTTGCTTTAGACTGTGTTGTAGGATAGTCTCCTTTACAGCATTAAAAACAACACGAATATTCGACGTATCAACGGCAGTTGTGACATGAGGATAGATATTATGTCGCATTCGGTTCACATTAGGATTTATAAAGAGCCACAGAATGTAGCGAATCACTTGTTTCACATTGTTCTTTCCATTATAGTCAGGGAAATGCTCATTAAACGGAACATGATCCAGCTTTTGCCGAAATAAATCGAATTTGTTTAAAAATAAAATAATGGACGAGTTGGAGAACCACGGACTGTTTAGAATAGAATCAAAAAGAGCCACACTCTCCATCAACTTGTTTTGATTACGTGCATTGCCTTCACTCATTTTCTTATCATAGTCGTTTAGGGAGACACAAAAGATGATCGTGTGCACATTCTCAAAACAGAAAATCCATTTCCTGCGCTCGCTGCGCTGTCCGCCCACATCAAACATATGAATCTTCAGGTTGTCCAAGTTGAACCTCATTTCCGAGATTCCTTGTGTCGTACTACGCGAGTGAAGTACATCACTCACAGAGGGCACGTAGTCAGGTTGACAAATTTCCGAAGCACGCTGGAAAAAGTATGGCGCAGAATCAAGGAAGTTAGAAGCGAATTTGTAGATAAGTGACTTAATGGCCGTGATATTCCATAGGTCGTAAACAGCCTTTCCAAACTCAGGCGAGAGATGCACGGTTAGACTTGCAGCGGGAGCGGACGTAACGATGGAACAGTTCCTCGAATTCAAAGGATCTAGTTTTATGCCTTGTTGTCTAACAAGCGAAACGAGTAAGAGGGCACTGTCATACAAGTTCCTATGAATCACGGGGCGGACATCTACCAATTCCTGTTTACTAAAACCACTCTGGTTCAGGATTTTCATCTGCTTTGTAATGGTACTTTTACCACTGTCAGATGCACCTATAGACGTTAGTGAGATGCAAAAAAAGACGAGAAGAATGGTTGAGTCGAAGAGATTGCAATGGATAGGCAGGTTGCTACAATTGGTGAGAGCTGTAAACGGTAGCTAGACGTGTTGAACCAGAAGAGAAACCCCTTGATCGAAATATGCCAATTCCCTTTTTCAGTATGCTCTCTAATTTTTCTTCTTTCTGTCCTCCCATTGCCCAATCTCTGTCACTTTTATCCGTTCCTTTTCTCCGTTTTGTAACATACCCAGAAGCAGAATCTTGTAAACCTCCTTTCGTTCTCGAGCTTGAGTCGCAATTTGCTTTTCAATCTGCTGATTAAGCTTGCGGGCATTAGCACCGGCATCTCCTTTCTGGAGGAGACCATTAATGACAGACATTCTTCGTGTCCGTAAAAAAACAGAAGTTCAGTCAGTACTTTTGTCTAGATCGTCTCTTATGACCTCAGATTGTAACAACAACTTCCGTTACAAGAAAGTATTACGCAACTATAAATAGGATGGCAGTACCGACGTGCCCGATGCTCAAAAATGTATCGTTTATTGCTTAAACCTCCCCAATTAAAGCTGTTAACACAATTATGAGATTAATAAGTGGTGCAGTTGGCAAATGGTAGACTGAATAGGGGAGAACAGGATGATTGATATTTTAGCCGTTCCAGGAGGGGCCGGCCACATGAAGCACTCCGCACTCTTTTACTAATGCCACAACAGCTTATTTCTCAAGACCGCAAGCAAGGAGTGACGAAATGGTAACCACCAAAACTGCGGTTCGGCCAGGTCCACGCTTTCCTGCGAAAGGAATGATGATTTAACACGTGAATGCTGTTTTTGCCAGACGGAAGGAGTTTTTCTCCGCTTGTTGGATTGTTTTATATCACATTCTTCAGTTTAAGATAGGTTTGTAGTGGGGTCGGTGTAGAACACCGGTTTGTCGTTTTATTCTCGATAGAGTGACCGTAGAGCATCCCGTGGACATTTACTTTGTTCATATGAGCATTTCGTATCGGAAATTGTGCTGTTTTCGCTAATATTTCGAAATCATCTCACTTCTCCAACAGGACCTCCCGTCGTCCCCATCCCGATTAGCGCAACGAGGAGAGCTCCCAACGAACACATTGTCTGTCAGAATACCACCAACAGTGTCGACTACTCCGTAAAGAACACACACGAAGCATTCCTTTTCTATAAAATATCACACTGACACCGGCACAATGGGCGAGCCATCTCGGGAAAAGGCCGTAGTCTGTGTAGTCTCCGTTGGTTTGTATGTTTGCGAACAACAATTTTTTAGCGAAGCGCTGCTACACCAATACGGCGAATAGGCGGGCTCTATGTAGCGATAGAAGCGCTCCTAATGCTCAAGCAGTTTTCAACTGGAAGGCTGTTTGATGTTGTTGTATTTGTAGCCAGTGTTTATTATTAACTAAACCTAGTCATCACTTTCGAGGCCCGGAGGTAGAACACGTCTATCCAGAAGAATTCAAGCTTCCAAAGGAATGGAACCTGCTGCCGTTTTACGCGTTACCCGACGGTTCCCATCAGGTTGGTGATGTTTCTGCGTGATGACGGTAATGTTAACAGGTTTGTGCCAGAGCGATCATGAGTTCGCGTATTTTACTCTTCCTGCGCAAGAAAACGGGCACATGACATCCTTCTTTGGCATTTCTTGTGTACGACAATTGCCAATAACGGCATTAAAGAATGCTCCACCTCCAGATGTTACGCGCTCGTATATCCAAAAAGCTGTTGTGGTCGTATTGAGAGCTCCGCTGTACGGCATCTTAAAAGAAAAGCTCGGTATAGCTTGTGGAACTTACTTTGAGCAAGCAGATTTCTCTCAATTAGACATTTTAAATGTAAGTTGTGTGTCGGACGAAACCACATAGTCGTTTCCCGAGGCTGACAATGGTTGATAGGACTTTTACATGAACATAAAAAATTTAAACGCTTCAGATACAAGCAACTACTACCTTGGATTGCCATTGGCTCGATTTGTGCAAAGGTGGGAATCCAAAGTGATTACCATGTTAAAACTGATACTGCTTAAAAAGAAGGTATGCCAATTTGTGTCAATTAGTCGCTTAATTTTGCTTTCCAGGACTAACTCATTATAGATTTTGGTCTATGGAAAAGGCGCCGACGCCGTCGGTACTCTGCAGTTTTGTTTAGTATCTCTTATTCCAGGGCTCATGCAGCATTTTGAGGATGCCGCTAGCCCTGAGATTGAGATCTGTCAGACAAAGCTAGCAAAGTCTACATCGCTAAAGACAAGTGATAGAAATTCACTTCTTGCCTATATGGGACTTCCCCTGATACTGTTCGGTAAAGGGTCGTTTTTCGCACCCTATGCTCCCCTTCAACAACTGCCAATGCTCCAATCTCCCTTGACTAGCAGTTGGCTGGCGGGAACAACAAATCAATTGCTTATACAGAAACAAAGCAAGCTGGCGGATGCGATCATCAATTTGGAAACGTGTTCTGTTGAAATTTTGAGTAACGGAAATCTTTGTTCTGCTGCAAGTCCAACTTGGGCTGACAAGCGGTGGATCTCTGAACTGCTGTCCATCGTGCACAAGCCAGAGATGGACGCTGAAAGTGTAAACTATGTTGGCAACGATGACTGGTTGCGTGCCCAGTTTGAAACGTATATTCTTGGATTTTTGTCTACAGTCAGATTCTACGAGTTTATGGAAGGATCCACCCCACTTCAGCGGTCCATGTATCATTACTTACCCAGTGATGATTGTTTTGATGACTATGGTAGACCATTTCTCGACGCCTGGAAACAGACTACATGCTATCAATTGTGGAACGCCGTTACTGATCATGATATCTTTGATGTAATTGAACCAAAACACCCATGCCAAACTTCCAGGGTGTACAACGTTGGCACCCGTTTGGCTAGATTTGCGCATACTCTTTCAACGACCTTTGCCGCGAACATCAAACAAACGACGTCGCCGTTTCTATACAGAAGAGTAAGCACACAAGAAGACGATAACGGTGAAGGACAAGGAAGTAACGAAACTTCATCTGGCCCTGAAGGACCGTCTACCAGCTCGTCGAACTAAGTACGATTTCCCACACTCTATCATGCTATTGGGGAAAAAATCTTAAAATTTTATTATGTGTTTATATATTCATGGTCAAATGCGATCGTAACAAACATGAAGAAGACCCGTGTCCTAGTGATCACGGTGGAGCATGCTTAAAACTTGCGGCCATGCTTTAAGTCCTCACCCTTTTGAATTCTCTCAGGGTTGTTGGAGACCTTGCCCATCATCTTCTCCATGCTGCCCTTCATGCGGTCGGTGAAGGATGCGGTATGCTCCTCGGCGCCAGCATAGTTTGAGCCATGGGTGCCGTATTGACCGCTGTGGATGTTCGAACTGTCCTGGGTGTAGGAGCCACTTCCAGTGGGAACTCGGTCACGGCCAACGGCGCTGGTAGCGTATTGACTGGCGCCAGTGTGGCCCGTTCCATAAGGCTTTTGACCTGCAACATCGGCACCGTAACCGGTTGATTGTTGATTGCCATAAGAAGCAGTTTGGTTGGTACGGCTGGATCCGTAACCTTGGCCAGATGTGCCATAGTTCGACTCGTCGTTACCAGTGTACTTGCGAGCACCGGAGGCGTTAGAATTGTCATAGCCATATCCGCTGGACCCATAAGCGCCAGTGTCGGCATCTGCACCAGTGTTGCCAGTGTTGCTAGAATAACGGCCACTCTCAAAACCGCCGCTGGTGGTACCATAAGTGTTGTCCGAGTTACCGTAATCATCGGCGCCAAACATCTTGCTGTGCGACTTTGGCTGCGAAGTGGATCTCGTTCTTGACTGAGAGTTGTCACCTGCTGTTCCCAAGGTGTCACGTCCACTCTGACTTTGATATGTGTTCGTGTTTCTTGGCGAAGAAATGCCATTATAACCTTGCGTAGTGTAGCCGGTCTCTTCGACACCGCTGTTTCTGCTGCTGTAGTCAGAGAGTCCGTTACCGCTTTGGTTCGAGTACGAGTCGTTGCCGTAGTCATTGCCCTCGTAAGGAGAGCTACTGCGGTAGTTTGTCTTTCCTCTACCGGTGAGCTTCTGCTCGGCACGGTTCATCTTATCTTTCATGTATGACATTGTAAATAACTTCTGTTTGATGAACTTCCACTCAGTCTATGAAGCCTTTATATTCCAATTCTACATACGACGCATTTCGTCACCAACGAACTTTGGTTTTTGCCATCGCATAATCCATTTCGGCTCCATTTTGGTGGGCAACTTGGATTGGGCTTTGCCTGTATGAGATCATTCAATCCTGAGGGCTTGTTTACTACGAATAGAAAGCTGGCATGCGATCATCAATATGATGTGTTTTTCGATTTGTTTACTAAGGAATACTATTAACCTTTTGTTTCTCCGAGAGTATTACTATCGAAAAGTGATTGTAATGAAGTTGTTGAGCATTATTATATCATTGCGTTAGTAATCCAATGAAGGCAAATGAAACCATATGGGGTAGGAACTGAAAGAAAGAACGACAATTGAATTTAAGATGTATACAACTTCCTAATTCGGTTGATCTTTTTCATCATTCTTAGTTTGGCTATACCTCTGATCAGCACAAGTGGTTTCCTTCTCATTCCTCTCCTACGTACACTACCTGCTTCCACAGCGTACTACCTACTACTACCACCACAAAGTGTCCACTATGAGTCACAAATATGCAAGTGGCAGCATTATTTGCAACCTTTATTCGTCATATTCGTTGATTCATAAATCAAGGACTACGTATGGATTACGTTGAAGAATGTTCGTATGAGCAGTTTCTTCAGCGTTACTTGAAGCCAAATCGACCTGTCATATTGGGACCGAAGCTAACAGCAAATTGGATTGCGAGACGAAAATGGGTGAAAAGGTCAAATGAAAATCGAACGGATCGCGAAACTGGCTTGCAATTGAGCTCCGAAACGGCGTCTACTCCCAATTACGAGTATTTAAACGAACAATATGGATCACTAGCGGTTCCTACAGCTTTCTGTGATCAAAAGGACAAGTATGGCTCTCAATTGAGGAAAACACTTCCATTTGAACATTCTTTACTCCAGTTTAAAAAAGACGGTGGCCGCTCAACCCTCGTGTATCCAAAGGACATGCATTTGTTTCGGGACAGGCCCTCTGTAAAGGCCTACGAAACGCCAGAATTATTTATGGACGATTGGTTGAACTTGTACGTAATGGAAGTTGAAGGTGATGACTTCCGGTTTGTATACATGGGTGCCGATAGGTCTACAACTCCCTTGCATACTGATGTGTATCAAAGTTACTCATTCTCCGTTAACATTTGCGGTACGAAACGATGGCTATTCATCTCACCAGAAGATGCTCTCGCTATTGCCGCTCGTTATGGTTCACCAGAGATGCCGTCGTGGATTCGCTATGATGACTTTCAGCCGGGTGGTCCTCTGTACGATTTGCGTAGTAAGATCCTGGACACGTTGCAACGTGAGGGTGAAACGGTTTTCGTTCCTAGCGGTTGGTATCATCAAGTCGAAAACATTGGCGTGACACTTTCGATCAATCACAATTGGTGTAATGCCTCGTGCATTGAATACATGCACAATGCCTTGCATGCCGAGTACGCGAGAACAAGAGAATCGTTGCAGGACTTGCTGGACGATGGAATCACTTCACGCGAACGGTTCTCTGAGGTTGTGGACGAGGTTGTTGCCGCCAATTATGGATGGACTTGGAAAAAGTTTTGGGCGATGATAGAGCATTACTTACGACGCATCCGTTTACATGAACCACGTAAGAAAACCACAGATACACCAATGTGGAACATCCCTCCTCAGTTCATTCCTCCTTGGAGCTATGATGCAAGTGCGCTAAATCGTATTTTTGAGAGGGATGGGAACAAAGTTCCGTCTTCTGTTCTCAGTACATTTCAGCAATGTGAGAACAAGGTATGTCAATGACATGGATAAGTCAAGTACCTTCCATTACAACCTATCTGTCGCAATACCTAATACCTGTTTTCGCCATTCGGTGAATTCGGTGTTTTGCGGCAAGTTCTCCGGGTTCACCGACAACCTGAGACTGCATGTATCAAAATATAGCTCGCAGTGAAGCACAGCAATTCTCCCTTACTTTATCACTTGTTACGAATTCTAGCAGAGGATGACAACACCCCTTACGCTAGACGTTAATCTTTCGTCTGCTGTTGCAATCGAAGCGACGAAAGGTATGTCAATTCCTACAAGCTTCATCTAATGTTTGTGTTAGCTTTACTTCATGCTATTCTATTTCATCGCTTGCTGGGTTCTATTCGACCGCAAACGATCGATTGTTTAAATGTTACAGTTCCAATTTTGGATGATGAGGAACTGGACCAGCAATTGCTAGCGAAAGCTACCGACTTCGTCGACTCCTTGAAAAGAGACACTTCAAAGGGGAACCAGGTTATTCTTCTATTCTACGAGCGACCTCCGAAGAAGACTTGGTTCAGTCGGCACACGACTGAACCTTGGGAGCAATGGGTTATCAGCGTCAATGTCATTGACGAGGATCCTCCGTATGCACAGTCTTCTGAAAGTCTTCAACAGGCCTTAGAGAAACTTGTGCTACTTGTAAATTCGCGGGTGTGTTCTTACCTTCCCCCAGTTGTATCTGAAAACGGTCAGTATCCATACGAAATAGTTGTGAACTCTGCGTCCGAAGGCTGGGGAACACTTTTAAAACGAATGTTGATTGAAAATGTCTCTAGCGGTGAATAGTGGAAATTAGCAGCGGCCACTGCTGTTATCGTATATAGCGATATTTGTAATGTGTAATGACCTAATGAAGATGTTTGGAATGCTTTAATGTTTTTAGCTATAGTAAATGTAGTGCTCACATACGGTCGTCTTCATCAAAAATAGAAAATTTATCATGCTCTTGACATCGTCTTCAGCAACATTCCCCATTTTTGCATTTGTTTACAACGTGTAACGCGTTTGCATTTCGCATTTAGATGACGTGTACACAACTTAAGGTTCTATCCTGCGTAAACAAAAACCTGTCCTCCGCCATCCACGCCATGCATTTCCTTCAATTCTTGGTTTTCTTTGCCGTTTTGTTTCCGGTTTTTGGCGAACTTGTTACGTTGGACCATTTGCAGGTGATTACGTTTCAGAATGCTCTTTCTAATTCATTTTCTTACTCTGATGCCAAGGCCCGAAGTATCTGTGAAGGCTCTCCCTGTTCTTCTTACGCAGCTGACCTTGTTGTGTGTAGACACAACCAAATAAACGTGGATCCTGAAAAGATCCGTTGGGATTGCTCGTTTTACGAGACCTCTGATCGAACTGTTGTTAAGAATTACGCTGTTTCTTGCTCGGCATTCTCCTCGATATATGGAGCCCAAGATCTTGCCAATACGTGCAAGTTAACTTACCGGTTAGAATGGTCTACGAAGGGACTGCTTATGCATCGTCCTTGGCGTTTGTTTTCCTTTCGGGTGTTCTCCTCTACAATTCTTCTTCTTATGGCAGGTCTATTCTTTTTGTTCGCCTCGTTTGAAGTATTTGGGACTCTTGGACGTTCTGGTTCTCCCTATGATGATGGAAGCCGTTGGGCTTTGCAAATGTTTTTGGAAAAGCATTTGGCTTCTCCATAGGGAAATCGTGTTTTAGCCGAATTTTTTGGAGGCGTTTTTGGAACATCCAGTTACTCAGACAATCCGGCTTCTCGTTTTCTCATTCATTTTTTTCTTCATTCTGCTGTTTACGTTTTGTTCAGCCGTTCATTCGTGCATTTGTTTTCTTGGTAATTTCTCCCAGTTGCACCCTAAGCACCCACCCTTGCCTCTCAAATACACTATTGCATTTCCGGAACATAATCATTTTGAAGCATGGCATTCATTTTGTTATCTTGTGTCACATAACCTCCTAACACTGTTTTCCCTTGTGTGAACCTTTTCTCCTTGTGTGGTCCTGTGTGTATACTGCACGCCAAGACAACACACAAAACAGATCAACGCTGGCATGCACAGGTGAAGATTGACAATAAGAAGCGCTCTCATCGACCTTCCCGTAAGTTGTAATAGTAATCGACGACGAGTTGTAAGTCTTTGTGGTGTGTTTGCTTGCACTTTTGTTCTGTTATTATAATTTTTCCCTCAATAATCTAATCCAAACAATACCGCAAACAATTCTTTTTCACAGCATTTAATGGATTCCGCAGCGGGCTTAAGCGTTTCTAACTCAGAAATTGTCACCTCGGAACCTCATTCTGAGTTTGTGAATTCTTTGTCGACAGAACAGTCATATTTTCATGCTCGCTGGAAAAAAAACGCAAGGTTTCTCTACGATCTACTCGCTACTCATGTACTTCCATGGCCCTCGCTTACTGTGCAATGGTTTCCGGACATTGAGCGGCTGCCACAAAAGAACTGTCTTCGTCAACGTTTACTTTACGGGACACACACCCCTCCAGACGTGAAAAATCATGTCGATTTGGCTAATTTCGAGCTCACAGATATCTCTTCCATGACGTTGGATCCTAGCAAACATTACGATGAAGACGCTGGTGAATTGGGAGGATATCGCACGGAACAGGTTTGTCGCTTTCATCCTACCCAGCAGATGCGTCATCAAGGCGATGTAAACAGGGCTCGGTACATGCCCCAGAATCCAGACATCATTGCTACTATGAGTTCTGGCGGAGAAACATTTGTTTTTGACCGAACGAAACACACGCTTGTTCCAGGGAGCGAGTGCTCGCCAAATATCCACTTCCTGAACGGACACACTGAAGAGGGATATGGATTAGCATGGAATCGGTTACGGGAAGGACTTCTTCTTACAGCAGCGAATGACGGAAAGGTTTGTGAGTGGGACATGGAAAATTATACTCGTTCTTCGCACTCTGTTTCACCTGTACGCGTTTTCTCCAAACACAAAGCTGCTGTTAATGATGTCGAGTATCATCCACAACATGTAAATGTGTATGCTACGGCGAGTGATGATGGTGACTGTTCTATTTGTGACACACGGACAGAGAGTCAGACTGTTGGGAAGATTACGTTTACAGACTCAGTTCGTGATGGTCTTCCTTATGCAGTTGCGCACCATCCTGTTCAGGCAACTGTGATTGCAATTGGTACTGAACGGTGCATTTCTCTGTATGACTATCGCGACACAAGTCGGCCATTGCGTGTAGTGTGCATGGATGCCGCATCGTTGGGACCTGTGGATTCCCTGCCAAGTCAAATAACGTACCCACTTGGCGCTACTAGTTTGGCGTGGTCCGCTTTCGACAGTAACAGACTGTATTCGGCATGTCAGAGCATTTGTTCTGTGTGGAATTTCTCGCTGGAAGAACAACCACTGCAATTTGTCCATGCAGGTCACAAAGCTGAAGTTTCCGATTTGAGCGTCAGCTTGCACGAACCTGATCTTGTTGCATCAGTGTCGCAGGATAATGAACTTCACATTTGGAAGCCGTCAACTAACATCCTGCATCCGCAAAAATAATACAACCGAGATTCCTCATGCTGCATCTTACATTCTTTTTGTTGTTCTGTTATCCAGTTTACATAAAAAACACATTCTCGTAATCGGCACTAGAATTCATAGCACTCATAAAGTCATTTAACTCGAAACGGAGACAACAGCCCTTTATAATTTGTCCTTTAGATATTTTCTGGTTTGTTAGAGTTTGTCTCAACGAGCCTCTGTAAGGAAGGGCCTAAACGTACAAAACGAATTGTTTCTCTTCTTCGCTCGCAGCGTCGAATTCAGGAACGCCATTATTTGCCATGTTGTTTGTGCTGCTTCCAAATACTTTTTTGTACACAATGGGACCGAGAAATGCTGTTCCCAAAACAAACATGCTCAACTAACGGCAGATGGTTAAATAACAGTAATTCTATTCCACTACGTACATGGTGAGATGCCACTTTACGGCCGGCAATTGTGTAGTACATGTTATTACTTTTGTTTGTAGAGCGAATGGGAGAGTGTGATGAAAGTAAGAAGTGTAGTAAGGTTCAGGTTTACCATAGAGAAATTCGGATATGTTACGGCTTAAGACATCGACAGTCTAAGATAGTAACATTGTTATCCGTGTTTTTTTTATAAAGTGACAGAGTGTTTGTGCCGTTTGTTTCATGGTTTAAAGGGTTTGGTTTCAACGTCATAAAGAGTTTTTTAGTAAAGTGCAACGATTGCAAAAGTTTCGTTTGGAATGACCCGGTCCCGGTAACCTTTGAGCATGGATCTATTCTGTTAGTATGAAACTCGAAACAAGGAAGTTTGGTTTAGGTGTTTCAGTTTACCGGACACATACAAAAGAATAAAGAGAGCAGCAATCCCCACAAGAAGCCATTTCTTCAAACGTTCAGTGTGTAATTTCTTCTCTAACAGAATCATTTGTTCTCTCGTGACCATAGAGAATTCAATAATTCGTGAACGCTCGTAGCCAGTAAGAGCTGCACCTGTTTTTTTGGCCAACGCAAAACTTGATCCCGTCAATTTTCTCGTGCGCTTAGAGTTTTTTCTTAGTGATTTACGAACAAGATTCTCTGAAAACATATTGATAATGCGATATTGCTTTTGTAAACGCGAACATTACGGGCAGTATTTAAGCTTTACGACGCGTCGCGTTTCTTTGTATTCAAAATTTAATAAACGCGTCTAAAGCGAGACACAGTACACCTCGTTAAAGAGCATAATGCGGTGAACAATAATTCACTAATGTTGGATAACGCGCTACAGTGTGATTTAAAGAGACATTGCTCTTACAGTTCCTGTTCCCAGCGTCGTAGAGGCCAGAGCCAAATTCATTTTCATGGCAAACCTATTGGTTTTGTTGTGGTCCCTGGCGCTAGGATGCTTATTTTCATTGACTGATGCTGTTCTTGTGAACGAGATAGGCAAAAATGACTTTGCGTTGCAATTAGTTGGACGTGTGCAACAAATGCATATTGACCATAGCACGACTAGCGTCTATGTGTTGTCTGACCGTCATTTTCTGGCTTCTCTTGGGCTTGAAAATGGTGAAATTAAATGGAGACAACTGGTTTCGCCAGAAACGAGTGTTTTCGTAAACGAAGGTGCCAATCTGTTAATGACTTTGGAACGAGACTCATTAATTGCATCTCTTTGGAACTCAAAAACAGGAAGTCTGTTATTACAGAAGCAAGTTGACTGTGGCACTAATGTTGTACCTACTTCTACAGGCTTTGCTTGTATAAATCAGGATATGCATTCTGTGGCCGTTTTCAGCAAACAAAATTCGACCTTTTCAGTGAAAAATATTGATACTCCTACGGAGATTATCGGCGTTGGCGTCGATGGTGATGATATTTGGACTGTGTCTTTGGAAGAGGACGATGTTCACGCTCTCCCTCTTGGTCAATCAGCAGTACATTCCAAATCATTACTTGCAAACGTGCCTGCAAGCAAACATGAGAAGGGATCTGATTTAAAGATTCACCTTCTTTGGCAAGGTCTTGTAATTTGGAGCAAGGAAAACACAGTTTATGCCCAACAACCGATCATTGAGAGTGAGCCTGTCAAATTGTTTGATGGTGCGTGGAAATCATTGAGACTGTGTGTTCACGACAACGTCCGTGCGTCTGTGGATGTGTATCTTTCTGATGAGAACGACTCGGCTGTTTTTCTTTCAGTTTCAGTGGACGAACAAGGACGCCCTATTGTAATAAATACCAGTGTATTGCCAGTTGGTAAGCTTACTAGTTACACTTTCACTGAAAATGGGCGTTACTCTGTTCATGTTTTGGAAGATGGCACGCTAGAGGCATTTGCTGGAGACAAGCAATTGTGGAATCGCGAAGAATCTATGGCATATGTTGCTGATTCGTTTATGGTTGGATTACCTGAACGAGACGAGCTTTCAAAACTCGTCCAGCAAGAAGAGTCTCATTCCTTTCCTTTTTTCAGTCGTTTGATGCGTCATTTGAAGGCACTTCCACAGTTATCGCTTACTAAAATTATGGAGCCCAAGGGACAGTCGGATGCATTTGACAGTATCTTGATCATCGCCTCTACCACCGGTAATTTGTTTGCTTTGGATACAAGACAAAATCAAAAGTCTTATATATCGTGGAAGAAAGTATTGGCTCCTTATCCCTCAAACGTGCGTTCTTGGTTGCTCAACCCTGCTACTAGAGATTACGACGTCGCAGTTGTTGCTTTCGTTGCAGAATATCCCAATGAAACAATTTACTTTGAGTTAAATGCCTTTACAGGTGACATTTTGTTTCAAGAACGTTTGCCTTATACCCCAGAGGACTACTTTGTTATTGAAAATACGAACAATGACACTCGGTCAGTTACGGTTGCTGCCGTGAATAATGCAGCAATAGTGATTACAAACAAGGGTCTTGAAGCCAACAGATCCTTATCAGACACTGTTTTTACGAGAACAAGAGACCATATTGTAAGTGGTCTTGTCCTTCAACCTGATTTGACCTTTATTGAGAAATGGCGTTTCCCGTTTACTGAAGACGAGCAAGTCTTAAAGGTTGTGAAGCGAAACCCTAAAGAGATGATTCCTTCTGTAGCAAGAGTTTTGCACAACAGAAACGTCATTTACAAGTACCTCGACCCGAACATGATAACCGTGTTCACGAAGCGTTCAAATACGCTTCATATTTATGTGTTAAACGCCGTTTCCGGCGCTCTTCTTTACTCTACAAAGCATACCAATTTACCTGAATCCATAAACCTTCAGGCTGTTATGTCAGAAAATTGGCTTTTGTATAGCTTTTGGAGTGACGTTCCTAACTTGAGTACAAAGGTTGTTTCGGCTGAATTCTTTGAAAGCGACAAACCAAATGAAAAATTGCCGCTTGATAATTATGTTTCTGGAGACGTTAATGCTTACGTTCCATACGTTGTGACACAATCATACATTATGCCGAAGGATATCATCTCTATGGGACTGACAAACACCGCTCAAGGTATCACAAGCCGGGATGTGTTGCTTGGTCTGTCAACGCAACAATTAGCCATGCTTGCTCAACCCTACTTTAATCCTCGACGTCCATTACTGCCACCCAAAGCGAAGAATAAGGATTCTACTCTCATTCCCTATGAACCTGTTTTGCCGATGGAAGACCAAACGGTGCTCTCATACAATTTACGTGTGTACAATTTGACCCAAATCTCATCTCACCCTAGTGTTTATGAAAGTACTACTTTGGTATTCGCATGTGGACATGATATCTTTTATACTAAGGTCGCACCAAGTTTGCCTTTTGATATGTTGAGTACCGCTTTTGATAAAAGACAACTTTTGCTCACAACATTTGCTATCTTCCTCGGTGTAATCTTTACACGGCCTATGGTAAGATTAAAGCTGCTGAAGCAAAAATGGTATTAGTGAAAAGGAACCCTTTATGTATCTTAGTCTTTTCCATGTTTTTGATGTTTGTTCGCTAGTACAGCAGATGGAAAAAATGTCTATTTACCAGTCTTGTGTACCTCGTATTCTAATAGACTACTTCATGAATGATAAATGAAAAATGAGCAGCATGGTAAATATTCTTAAAAGAAAATGATAACTTTTTTTAAAACAAAATCCTAAACAAAATCGTACACTAAGTTTATTCGCAATTGAACACCAAAACTGTTTTATCGTCCGAACCAGAAATCACTTGTTTGCCGTCAGGCGCGACAGCCATGCACAGGATGGGTTCCTGATGACCGCTAATTTCTGCCAACAACTGTCCTGTACGAATATCCCATTTTCGAATAATACAATCGCCACAGGCAGTAAGCAAGTAGGGAGAGTTTGGAATAAACTCGCACGATACAACAGCTTCGCTATGAGGTAAAGACTTTCTGAACTTCAAAGAAGCAGAGTCGTATAACGCGACAGTGCCATCAACACTTGCACAAGCAAAGATGGGAAGAACTGGGCAAAGGGCGATCTTCTCAACACTCTCCGTTTGTGTTTCCAATGATGCGAGAATAGTGCGACTGTTAAGATTCACAACCTTCACTTTACCAGAACTTCCGCCCAGAAACAGAACGTTACCCTCCTTATTGGAAGTAAAACAAACCCAACCACCGGCGGTTTCTTCATTTCCTGGATCAAAACGTTGATCATCACTGGTCAATCTGACTTCTGCCTCACCCGACGCAGGATTCCAAACGATAGCAGTACCCATGTCATCGACAGTAGCAAGACGCTTACCAACACCGGGTGGGATAAAGGCGCCTGCATTACAGGGTGCAGTGTGACTATAGAAGACATTGGCGACCTTACCAGAAGGCAAAGACCACATCCATACGCTACCGTCATTGCAACCTGCTGCAAGGAAATGACCCTTAGGATGCCATGAAATCCAGATAACTTCATCGCTAGTCTCCAAAGCAGCGATGAACTCACAGCCAGTGGACATTTTCCAAACACGTATTTGAGAGTCCATACCACCTGTAGCGATATACTCGCCATCAAAGCTCCATTCAATAGCAATAATAGAATCGGTGTGACCAGTCAGAGTATGCAGACGTTCACCGTTTGTACGATCCCAGATGTAAGCCAAGTCATCTCCTCCTCCTGAAGCACACATATTGGGGTTGGATTTGTTAATGGCAACAGTGAATACAGAATCCTTGTGCTCAAAGAAGCCCTGAACAGACATATCAGGCACCATGTCAACCAAGTTTTCGCCTTGGAAACCATCATCGTTGCCTTCACCCTCCTCGTCAAAATCCTGCTGCATGCTGTTTTGATCTTCAGCAACTACTTCATCGACTTCATTATCCTCAATGAACTCGTCTGCGGGAACATTTTCCTCTGCCATTTTTTATTTATATTTGTTTATTAAAGCGAACCTGATGGAGGTGTTGGTTCTGGTTGAGTTAAATGTATTCAGTAAAAATTAATGGGGAAGCATTTAGTGTCTCATACGTTATGTTTCAATGTATATTTTATGATTAGAGCTTTAATGACTAAATTGTTAACGTAGAATTTGAAGATTTTTTATGTCTGATTCATCTAACTATAAACTTCGCATTAGGGAACACAACTACAAGTAAGAATAATTTCGAGATATGAAAACATTAATCCCTAACGTTTAAACTTATTATAAGTATTATAATTTTCTTTTTTTGTATGACAATTTTTTATGAATATGTTTCATGCATTTCTAAAAAATACAAGAGCTTTTTTATCATAATTAAACATTAATATTAAAACACATTATCTGTGCACTAATAGAAAGCTCTATACACGTATAGCAATGAGTGAATAAGTGAATGAGAAAAGCTAGCTTTATTTTTACTCAATTCCTGAAGTGATTACAAAAACAGAAATCGTCATTGAGGATTTGCATGCAATGAGTATTGAGCTTTGTAAAGCAAGATATTACATACCAAAAGTACTTGATTCGTTAACTTCGTATATGAAATATTGCTGCAACTAAATCATTAACTATAACATTATAAAGGATTGGAGACGGCACTTGATAATTAACAAGCGATTCATCAATTAAATACTGCCCTATATCTCGTATAATTACATTTTAAATAAATAGATAATTGACTTGAATAAAGTCAGTCCCTAGGATTTTCATGCATTTTATTGCATAACTGTATTTTAGGACGCCATGACAATATAGCATTCTCATAAACAGTAGAAGTGTATACACACTTTATGTATTTTGATTGAGTGAAACTATGTGACATTGCATGACGTGTGTTTACACTTGCTTTTATGTAAACAAATAAACAAACCTCAATGACTTTAAAAGCTTGAGGTTCCCTCTTAATTTCCTTGGACAACAAATCACCAAGGATGAAACCAAGAAACATTCTATCAGCAATCATCCAGCTGGTGTCCGTACTTGAATGTGTGTCCCCGGTACTGGCACTAGGCAAAGATGAATGGAGACGCCAGTCTATCTATTCGATAATTACGGATCGATTCGCTGCATCAAATCCTGCTCCATGCAATCCAGAGGATCGTGCCTATTGCGGTGGAAATTGGAGAGGAATTATCGAGCATCTTGATTACATTCAGGGTTTGGGCTTTACCGCCATTTGGATATCACCCATCGTTAAAAACATTGAAGGTGTTACCAAATACGGAGAAGCGTATCACGGCTACTGGCCCCAAGACTTTTTTGAGTTGAATCCCCATTTTGGCACGGAAGACGATTTGCGTGAACTCGTTAGTGAGCTTCACAAACGTGGAATGTACATTATGGTGGATACTGTTGTTAATCATATGGGCTCACTAGATCCAAAATCCATTGATTTTGCTTCGTATCGTCCATTTAACAACGAAGGCTACTTTCACCCAATGTGTCCTATTGACCAGGATGACCCACTTTCAATAGAACAGTGTTGGATCGGAACAGAACATATGACACTTCCAGATATTGATACCGAGAGTCCAGAAGTCATTGAAATCTTACATAACTTTATCAGTGATCTAGTCAAAAAATACGAGTTTGATGGTCTCCGTATTGACGCGACAAAGCACGTAAGAAGAACATTTTGGCCAGGCTTCTGTGAAGCAGCTGGCGTTTATTGCCAAGGTGAGCTTTGGACTGGTGACCCGGCTCAGTTCTGTGAATGGCAAGACTACATGGATGGATTACACAATTTCCCCGTCCAAGGTGTTGCTGCTCAAGCAGTCGTTCCAATCAATGACCGCGGTTTGAGAAAAACTGCATACGCTATGGATCGCGTTGGAAAACTTTGCAAGGACAGTACCGTATTGGGACTTTTCTTGGAATCTCAAGATGCACCTAGAATGGCTGCGCTAAATAAGGACGTCAATGTTCTGAAAAACGCGATGCTGTTTAACCTCATGGGCGATGGCATCCCAATTGTATTTTACGGTCAAGAACAAATGTTCGATGGCAGCCATGATCCATTCAATCGTCCGGCTATGTGGGACAAGGGTTACAACACCGATGGCGTTCTTTACCAATTCACATCCAAAGTGAACAGTATTAGAACAGCTCTTATCAACGCACCCGGAGGTGAAGAATTCATCCGCTCGAAGTCCAAGATAATGATGGTTGGTGACCACGTTATGCTTATGTACAAAGGCGATGTAATCACTCTGGTCACCAATTATGGATCCAAAGACAAAGAATACATTATCAAGATGCCAAGCTCAGAAACCATGGTTGATCTTCTCTCATGCCAAATGATTGAACAATCAGACAGCATAATGAAAACTTCCGTTAAGCGTGGAGAACCAAAGCTGCTTTACCCGTACGTTCTCGCCATGCGTGATGGATTCTGCTTAGATGAACTTGTCGTTCAAGATGCCATTGATGATGTTATGTTCCCTGGCAACGAAATCCGCGGTCCCGATCTTAACTAAGGCGTTATTGTCTTTTCATGTCTCTGTGCCATTTTTAGTTATGAACAGTAGTTTCATTTTTACGATTTTAGTTCCAATTCCAATAATAATTTGCATGTTCAAACTAACAGCTTTTTCATTTCCTAACTTCCTAAAACATTTCATGAGGCTCAACATACAATTTTCTGAGTACGTAAGCCGTAGATTCTTACTTGCTTTCGCGAAGACCTTGAATGGTGCAAACAATATGGCGAGAGTGATATGCTCTACGGAACTCAGCGAGCTCAATGTCCTGCCACGTACCAAGCAATAAAGAACCATTGCGAATGGGAATCGTCAAACTGGGACCCAACAAACTAGACTTTACATGAGCCGGCATATCATCGGAACCTTCATCTGTATGGCGGTAAGGGGCACTCTCTGGTACAATTCTATCCATGGAATCGGAGAGATCCGTTCTAGTATCGGGATCCCAATTTTCGTTCACTGTTAAAGCGGCGGAAGTATGTTGCATGAACAAATTGAGCAAGCCAACGGAGAATTCTTTGATTTCAGGGAGATGAGACGTAATTTCCTTGGTAATAATATAAAAACCCTTGTTACGTTGCTAAACGGCACATATTAGCAATTGAAATATTTTCTGATAGCTAGTTGAAAATCGCATATTTTTAAAGTTAAAAAAATGACAGCTACTAACCTCAAGAGTAATTATTCTCTGGACCATATCCATTTTACTCATCGTTGATTCTTTCTTTTTAAGCAAAATTTGACAAGTTTCTCAGCTGAAAAATGAATAGTTATTGCTGATGGAACAAATATTAAATCGGAGGACTTGTGTTGTGTAAGAGAATCAGACGAGCAGAAGCCTCAGTGTTAGAAAGTTCATAATAAACTCAACAGTAAATGTAGCTATAAACGATTAAGACTGAAATGATAAAAGAATTGAAGAGCTCTGCTAAATTAAATCAATACTTTGGCTACCTCGTCAGCACTAGGATCTGATCACAAAATCATGTACTCCAATGCTATTTTATTAAACAAATACAACAGCGGAAAGGTCGTTACTAGCGTTTCATTTAAATCATTGAGGACGTATAGGCGCAGATGACTTCGTATCACGAAGGTCATTGGTAAAATCATTAATTGTTCGTCTCCCCCAACCTGGCAGACTAATCACAAGACAGCTAAGATCGTCAACTGACCCAATGCTTTGAGCATAACGCAGGACGTTTTGGGCTGCATCTTGTGGATTTGAAGAAAGCTTAACTATATCGGTCAATTCGGCATCTGTGATTACGTCGGTTATGCCATCTGTTACGAGTATTAGGAAAGCCCAATCATCACGTAAGCAAGACAACGAAGTAAGTTGTGGTTCACAAGAAACGCCAAGCCGCTTCAGCTTGTATCCTTCACCAAAACTTCGAGTATTCGCAACATACGCAAATCGTCGTTGACCAAACGAGTCCATGCAGAAATTAACACTATACTTCTGTAACCGATTCGCTTCACCGTGATTGGAAAGATTGTGTTGGAAGGTTAACCGATGAGCTCTTCCGGTGCGAGCATCGCACAGAATGGCTCTTGTGTCACCAACATGCGCTAAATGAATATGGTATGCATCGCTGTCCCAGTACGGTTTTGAGGTCTGTGTTGTGATAACGGCCACTGTACCCACTGAACCAGGTATAGCCTTTTCTGAATCAGGACTCATGTTAGCACGAAGATACCGTAGATCTGCATCAAGAAATGAGTAGTACAGTTTTGCTTGCCAAACTCTCGACTCAGTACGTAGATACGGTAACAAGCTTAGTGGAAACGGGCTCTTCAGTTTCTCGGCATAACCGCCTATGGATTTTGCTTCGTGTAAAATAGCCTTCGCATTCGCAAAGTTGTTTTCTTCTAAAATCCGTCCGAGATTCTCAGCAAGGTATTGGCTGCACTCAGACCCACCGTGTCCATCAAAAACTCCATAAAAAAACGGGCTGTCATGTTCACCATTGCATTGCTTTATACCATTCATATATCCATATGCGAGACGATCCTCATTACATGGATTGTCGCCCCGGGCCGTAGCAATGCCAAGGCTTTGAGGAACATGATCCATGGGAATTCGGAGGAACCTTCCATATTTTGGAGTGTAATAGGTCTGATAACTACGCCGACTTTGAAATCGAAATGCACGAGATATGGTTTTGAACATGCTCATAAAAGAGAGTTAGGTTTAAGGAACGATCAGCAGAAACTTTCTCCTGTTTCAATAAACGACAAATGAATCAATTGGGGTCAGGCCAATATTGGCGAGACAAACAACCAAAAAAAAAATAACAGGATAATAGACAATAAATAAGAAAAAAAAACCTACAGCAATAAAATTACAGCCTAGAAAGAATAATTAACGGCACAAATTCCAGGATACTGCTTTTGCTTTCCTAAAAAGTGTTTCATTAGCTTCACTCCGTAAGCGAACTGTGGGTGTGCTTACTAGACGAATGGGAGGGAGGGGGGATAACAGAGTCGTTTGTCTAATCAAGTCTAGTAGTGTAAGGGAAAGAAAGCAATCGCAATTGAAGTGTTTATTCAAGAAACATTGCGAATTTCTCAACGTGGTTTTGTGATCAAGATATAAGAGATCTGGTTGATAGTATCCCGTTAGTTAATGCGGTTTCACTGAAAGCCAGGAAGAGAAAAGCAGGAGTTAGAGGATGCGGGAATCCACGTGTACCTGCATATGAAGGGGATATCAATTGAATGAAAGAAGGTTTGACACAAGCCAAAAAAAGGTTTTGAGTTCTTTATTTTCTTTTCGGGTCCCCCATTTAAAGCAATGATTTGGTATTGTTTCCACAATTTACGCAGGTAACGAGACTTTTGGAAACATATCAATCCATTTCAACCACGGGGAGAGTAGAATGCAAGGGGCGAAGTGTTGATTATTCATCCATGTCTAAAGAAATCGCTTCAGAAGCACAAATTTCTCTTAATAAGCAAACGTTCCTTTAATCATTACGCTTATGTAACTCACTCTCCTGTTATCAACTTATCATTTTAGCCATAGTAATCACTAATTAAGTATCTCTTATTCGTATAAGATTTTTTTCGCTAACAATTGCTACTGCATTTATAGTTACGAGACGCCGCTTTAGCGCATTCAAATCCGCTTTGTTTCTTGTTGAGCAAAAGTCACGTTGTAGAAGTCGTCTGTCAATTGATTCCAAAATAAAGCCTTCAGCATTGTTTACGGTTTCTCACGAAACGACAATCAGCATCCCTCTGAATATTCTATTCATGCGTGCTTTTTTCACTGGTACAAAAGGCCGCAATTACGTAAGAATTTAAGATTCCCGATTTCTAGACCTTACTCGCACAAGTTGTATTCAGTCTATTCAATAAATCAATACTATTGTCAGCCAAAGTTGTTCAAACGGGACCTAAGCATCAACATAAACCATGCTTTGTACAGTATATGATGCAGATCACCTGCAATGATCTGCATATTCTGATCGCCCAGCCTGCAGATCATTTCTGTCTATTCGCTAAGCTATCTGCGTTATCTTCGCATTAAGGGAGGTTGCGACGTCGGTAGCGGAATCTGCGAGTGCTGACTCCGAGAAGGGTTGTGCTAGTTTTGTTCGTTATTCAACATTTCTTGTGTGATAGATAGTCATTTAGTACGTGTTTACGTAATCTCAATATCCAATTTCTACAGTATGTGGCTACAGGTGCCGAGTGCTGGTCATCTATTCGGTTACCTTTTCTACCTTATCGCGCCTTATAGTAATAAGTGACGTAATGCATCTGAGGTCCAGAGCAGTTTAACAGACTGTTTCAGACATTGCCATGAGGAAATTAGGAAAATCGAATTAATAATATAACGCATATAGTTCATGATATGATAGCATTAAAACTAAAACCGCCTGAATGTGTTGTATCTTGGGTGTTGGCTGTTTTCAGTGGCACTATCTCTGCTGGCTTTGTTATAAGGGTTAGGGTACAAAGCCGGGAATAGTACATAAGGAGCGGCTCGCCTCCCGTAGAACCATACCGTATCACATACGCACACGAAGCCCTCATCTTGACAGTTTCCATCGACTGTCAGTTCCATTCGTTGTGTCCGACTCAAAAATTACTTGTTGGACAGCAATTGTGTTATTTTCTTCTGTTTTTCTCTTCTAGAACTCCCACTGCATCTTTTGATCAATTCTTTTAATTGAGCGTCATGACTGGTTTCTTCCCCAGCATTTTCTCTGCCTTTGTGGCATTCTCCGCCTTCACGTCTGGTGTTCTCGCCATGCCCGTGGAGGGTGGTATTCGTAATTTGGTCAAGCGCCGCGGCTTCAAGCCGTCTGCCGGTGCTGAACGCTTTGAAGGATTTGCTTCCGCCGACTCGGCCCCTCTTCTTTCTTCTTCCAACGCCGATACTACCGGCTTGGAGTCCGAGTACATTGTCTTGCTCCAACCCAACACCGAAGCCGATAGCGTTCATCGACACCTTCAATGGGTGAAAGACCTTAGTCGCGAGGATGCCGAGATGCGTGCTGTCGACGCTTCTTTGGATGGCATTGACGTGATGAGCTCCGTTAAGCACGTTTATGATTTGAGCGACCTTGGTTTCCAAGGATACTCTGGTCGTTTCAGTTCCTATGTACTCGAACAAATTCGTCAACATCCTGATGTTGCCATTGTTGAGCGTGATCAAGTTGTCCGTGTTCAGGACCAGATCCAACAATCAAACGCTCCTTGGGGCCTCGCTCGCATTTCCCATCGTGAGACGTTGGATGCTGATACTTTGACCAAATACGAATACGACAGCAGTGCTGGCGAGGGAGTCGAGGTCTACATTATCGACACTGGTATCAACACCAACCACACTGAATTCGAAGGCCGTGCCGTTTGGGGCAAGACCATCCCTACTGGTGATGCAGATGTTGATGGTAACGGTCATGGAACCCACGTTGCCGGTACTGTTGCCTCAAGAGCCTATGGTGTCGCCAAGAAGGCTAAGGTCATTGCCGTCAAGGTTCTTCGCTCTAACGGTTCGGGCACTATGTCTGACGTTATTTCCGGTATTGAATGGGCTGTGAAGGATTACATTCGCAAACTTGTGAAGGGCAAGAAGAACACTTCTATTGCCAACATGTCCCTTGGTGGTGGTCGTAGTATCATCCTTGACTTCGCTGTTGACGTTGCTGTCCGTTCTGGTGTTTCGTTTGCCGTTGCTGCGGGTAACGAGGATGACGATGCTTGCTATTCCTCCCCTGCCGCTTCAAACCTCGCAATCACTGTTGGTGCTTCGACCATCAATGATGCTCGTGCCTACTTCTCCAACTATGGTGACTGTGTTGATGTCTTTGCCCCCGGTTTGAACATTCTTTCTACTTGGATCGGTTCCAATGTTTCCACCAACATCATCTCTGGTACCTCGATGGCCACTCCTCACATTGCTGGTTTGGCTGCTTATCTTGTCGGTTTGAATGACACTTTGTCTGTTTACGATATCAAGGATCTTATCCTTGACTTGGCTACCAAGGATGTTCTTTACGATATCCCTGCCGACACCCCTAACCTGCTTGCCTACAATGGAATCAGCGCCTAAGTAGGTATCGACGGCGATTCATGAAATGTATATAATGATGACTGCTCTCTCATGTGCCTTACTGATGTTTCATATTTTTAACAATAATCTCAACGTTAGGAAATGGTGACCAAACTCTTTCAATCGTTCACTCTAACTGTTGCCTTATGATTTTTAACGTTGTCACAATAAATTACCATTTTCTATTAATAACTTAACAAAACGATAATCGTTGACAGAGATGGGATGAGGTGCTAGTTAGGGTCATTGGTGCGGATTTCTAAAGTAGATATCACCTGGTCCGTAGACTATGCGAACTACTAACAAGTTTCGGTAATGCTAATAAGAGGAATGTTATAAATAAGTGTGTAGGTAGACCAGAAAAAAATGAATGTTGTATGAAAATTTGAATATATGTAAAGGCATGTACAAAATTGAAAATTGAAAACGTCGTTAACTCATGAAAAGAATAAGGCCCGCCAAATTGCAAATACCGCGATAGACCTGCTGACACGGTTTGCACATAGTTTAAATTTAAAGCAAAACGCGATCAAGGTGAAAAGTCCAGCGAACGAGACGTTCGATCAGGTTGGTGAATATCATCCATGAGAAAGCGAAGTTTGGCATTCCGCTTTTCAAGACGAACAACTTTACTTTCAAGCCTAGTGCGCTCATCACTTAATTGTGAAATCTGTGACTCCAACCGACGAATTGTTTGGGCGTTGTTCCGTAACAAAATATCATCCTTGGATTTTTGACGTTCTAACATTACAGAAGCTTCATGAACCTCAGACAATTGTTTCTGAAGTAATTTGACATCTTTTAAGGTGGATGTCGACTGTGCTTTGGTGTCCAACTCGAACAACTTAAGCTCCAACTCCTTCTTTTGGCTTTCAAGTAAACCGAGCTCACGATGTAATCTCAGGTTTTCCTCGCGGTGTCTGTTGCTATCAAGCTGTGTTTTGTTGGCAAATGTTTCGGTTTGTCTCATTCGCTCAAGGATAGATTGCATAAGTTCTTCTTTCTTAGAAGTCTCCTTCCGTAAAAGAGCAAGCTCTTCCTGAAGTTGAACAGATGAAGAATCCCCATTCAATTGTCCATAAGCAGTATCAAGTCGTTGAGTTAGTTCTTCAATCGTTTTTTCCAAAGCATCATTCTTTTGAATAAGTTGACGAGTCTCGGCCTTCATCTGTTCCATCGCTTGACGCATTACATGCAGCTTTGCAGTAGAGTTAGGTGTTTCAGAAAGCTGGAACGATTGACGTGACAAACGTTTAATCTCCTTTTGCAACTCTGTATTTTCACGCATTAAATTTGACCGACTTAGCACAGCTTCATCCATTTTAACACGTAATTCACCAAACTCTTTATTAAGAAGTCGCGACTCGTTTCGCAGTTCAAGATTCTTTTCACGTTCCACCTCTGCCTGCCGCTTAAGGAGTGCAAGTTCTTTCTGGTATCTTTCGTATATGTTTTGCTCCTGTTTTTCTCGATCCTCCAAATCTTGAGTCCTCGTGCTGTAGAAATCCTCCACTTGGTGAAGCAGTTTATCACGTTGACGTTGCAGCTCTGCCATTAAGGAATCCTTCTCCTCAATGACGTCCTCGACCTCACGAAGCTTTGCCTCTGCAGCTAAGTACAGCTGCTGATATTTGGCGCATACTTTTTGATTTTCCCGCAAACTTTCCTCTGTATCTTCGAGCTGATTACGCACAAGGTTCTGAATTCTTTCCGCTTTTGCCATAGCTTGTAAACTGCGTTCTAACTCTTTCTTATACTGCATAGGATCCACTCCAGCCTTAATGGATTGATAACCATTCCTAGCACGTGCGTTTTTGTGTTGGAAACCCGCCCCAAGACTTAAGGACTTCTGCAGTGTTGTGACATTCTGTTTGTTGTTTTCGTCATCAAACATTGAGTGACACGTAGAAAAAACATCGTCAGTGAGACCAGCGAGAGTATTTAGAGAGTGAATTGAAGGACTAGGCTTCAATTGATTGCCGGTAGGGAAACGCTTTTGTCTCAAACTGGAAAGTGTTGCGGATAAACCACCGACACTGAATCCTTCTTCGCTTAAATTATCGAGGAATTTAGTGAGCTGTTTTATAAATGTTTCCTTATTAACGAGTCCTCTCGAAGCGGCTTGATCAAGCTTTTGAATAATTAGTGATACTCCGACATCCTTCGCAGCAGCAATATCGGCACTGGTCGGGGAAGTTATTGAATTTCTTTCGAAATTTCTGATTAAAGCATCGACCTTTTCTGAGCGTTTAGAAGGCGAATCAGGTAAAGATTCTGCATATACTGCAGGAATGGCATGCGCTTTTACTGGACTAGAGCCGGTTGAATAAAAACGATGTAATAACGATACTCCGTTCTTACTGTCATCAAGACTCTTTGACAAACCATGAGAAATAGAAGGATTGACTTTGTTGGTATTAGCCGAAATACGCAGCTTTTCATTAGAGACAGAATGGGTTCCCATTCCAGTTGCATTCAGCTTGTGAGGAGGGCCCATAACTTCATTGACATTTCTTTCAGACAAACTTCGGCTAACAGACGGCTCAACAGCATCATTTTTGTACCTCCAAATATCATAGTGAGTTTTCGTAGACTTGCCAAAGGGATCCGTCAAAGTCCGATTATGTCGTCTTTCGTTACCAGTATCAATAAAAGAAAGATCTCCAGAAGCGCTAGGCTTGGAAATATCACGAGAATTGCTTCTGCTTCTACCGGAGTACAACGGGCGTTTTTCTTGCTTCTCTGCCTCCAATGACTTAATTTGCGTTTCAAGCTCTTTGACTCGGTTTTTCAAGCCGAAATTCTCATCTTTTAGATCAATCTCCGTCTTGATACTTTCATCAAGAAGACGCCTGTTCTCACTAATGCGATTGTGCAACCGAGACGCTTCTTCTGTTTGCAAGGATCTTAGCTGCTGTATCTCATCAAAAATGGAAACCGTGTCCGGCTTCGGATGTTGTTCTTCACCAGAGTTGGCGGAGTCAACAAAACGAGAATAACCATAAGCCTCCAACAGCTCTTTTAACTCCTTGGCGGTCTCCGGAGAGGAAGTCGTTTCCACAATATCCGCCAGTTGTTTTTGAAAGGAAGCAATCTCAGACTCACGCTTTTGGTACATGTCTTCAGCATCAGACAGACTCTGAACCAATTTGTTCATCTTGCTATTATATGACGCGACATCACTGTTCAAGTCTTCTGTGTTCCCCAAGACAGACGTGGGTGTCAACAATTGGTCAGTGACATCCTTCTCGCCGTACCTCGAGTCCTGTCCAGCGTTTTGCACTGCTTCGTTGCAACTGCTTTGCTGAATATCATGGTGACCAGATTCCATTGAATGTAAAGCTGCTTTAAGCTCTTCCACCAAAGTTTCCTTTTCAGCAAGAACGGAGATTTGCTGTTCCTTCAATGAAACTTCTTGCTGTAAACGTTCATTACTTTCCAAAAGTTCTTCATTCTTTCTGGATAAATCTTGCTCAAGTTCCTGTATCCGCTTCTTTAAGTTCGCGATGAGCTGATCCTTTTTCATAGAATAAACTTCGGAACTGTTACCTAGCAAAGGTTTCATACGAAGAAACAACTTCCACCAAGGAGAGTTTGAAAACCGCTGGAGTGTAATCAAGTTCGATTGAAGCAACAAAATAGCCTCGTGTTTATGGCTTTTCCGATATAACCGCCGTCTGATTATAAAACCACGTGCGATAGCAGAGACAGAAGTAAACACCTTCTGCAAAACTTTGTTGCGTCTATCCTCAAGGTTGGCTAAAATACCTGCCTTAAAGAATACTTTGGTCGAACCTAGACGATAGTCATGTTTGTCCAAGTTCAATTCTTCAATAAGTTTTGAAGTAGCAGTTTTCGGTTCAATAAAACCAATGTTTCGGAGATTCGAAAGAATTCCGTAACGTGAACGAAACTCGGTATAAAACAGACGATTTGGAAAGCCTGAACGTGCTATGCGAATACCTTCCAGTACACCGTTGCAGCGCAATTGATGTAAAACAAGTTCCTTGTCAATGACATGTGAAGATTTCTTGTTGTTTGGCAAAATGCAGCGCACAAAGTGTGGTTGTGTGGCCTGCAATTGATTCATAAGATCTGAAAGTTGTCGCCGATGCCGTTGGGAAACAGTGCGAAACATACCCTTTCGCTCAATAGAATTTGAAGTACCGTCCTGCATATAGTTTTCCACGAAGAGATTCGCAACGTACGTGTTTTTTGAAGATGCCAGTAGTAAAGCTAAGCTTTCGTTGAGCGGATCCCTGTTTTTCTCAAGCCAACCTTCCGTGTTGTATTCCACGTCAGAGGCATAGTGTGTGAGAATAAATCCATCACTTAAGAACTTAGTTGGTTTATATTTTGTCGATTTACCCTTCCAGATTGAATGAAGCTTTTCAGTAAAAGTCGCGTCTGTGGCCATGGGCATAACACATTCTTCATCCAAGCACGAGAAAATACCAACGGGGTCAGACTTCTCAATAATATCGATAGTAGGTTGCAAATCATTGCCATAATCCACAAACGACCACTCAATGTTTTCGCGTGAATATTCTTCTTGTTCCAGAATAAACATATAATGATTAAAGTATTGCTGCAGCTTTTCGTTCGTATAATTGATACAAAGCTGTTCAAAACTGTTGTGGTCAAAGATCTCGAAACCGGCGATGTCCAGGACACCGATAAAAAGCGTACTCTCTTTAGTAGTGAGCTGCAAAACTTGGTTCAAGCGTTTTACCAAGTTACTGAATATCCGTTCATACAAACTCTTTGAGAGGGCTTGAAGCGAATGAACTACTTGTTGCTTTGTTCGAGAATGAACAACTAATTCCTTACCCGCTTTTGCCTTAGGATGTAGAACAGAGGCGGTGAATTCGGGTACTGAAACACCTAAAAGTTTACAGAGAGTATTCACTTGCTCTGTGTTTCCAAAACGTGCCTGGCCAGAACGATCTCCGCAAACATTGAGATTGCCAATGTGAAGGATCGAGGCAATGACTCGAAAAAGATCATCCGTATCAGTATCGTTAAATCCGATCGTCTTTAAACCTGAAACCAACTCATTAAAAGACTTGCCATCATCTATGCCTTTAATGTGCTTCCGTCCGCGCTTTAAATACTCGTACTGCTCAAAAGAACGAACAAGATCTAGCGATTCTAAAGACTTTGAATCCAAGCCTTTCAGCATTTGATAAAATATATGATAATTGCGCTCAGCAGCTGACTGCTTGATAACACGAGATTTCTCTAAGAGATACCATTCCAAACTGGCACCTGCAATGGCGCCCGACTCGGTAAATGAGATGCGAATGAATTTGCCAAACCGAGAAGAGTTGTTGTTTCGAACTGTTTGAGCATTTCCGAAAGCTTCAAGAATGGGATTACTCATTAAGATTTGTTGCTCTAGTTTTCCAGAAGCAATGGAGTTCGGACTTCCAACAATTGTAGTTAAAAACTGGATAATCTTTTTAGTTGTTTCTGTTTTACCAGCACCAGATTCACCAGTAACAAGTATAGCTTGATCTTTGCCTTCAGACAACATTGCCCGATAAGCAACAGCAGAAACAGAATAAATATGCGGCGAGAGTTTTACCACATTACTCTCGTTAGCATAACGCTGAATAAAGTCGTTGCCATATATAGGTAAAGAGCAGTAGGGATTTACAGCAACCATGAACAAGCCAGAGTAAGTGTAAATTTTGTCATGAAGATACCTTTGCTCCAGATTGTGTACAACTGACGGTTCATTTAAATGTGTCAACTCTGCCATATCTTCGACCATGTCGAATTTCGGCGGGTTCACTGGAAAGACAGACGACTGAGGAACGACAGCTATAATTCCTGTACGCTTATTTCGTACGGTAACATTGCCTGCTGAATCATTTGCACGCTTATTTTTGCTGAACTTTGAACCCGTAGATTGCTGACTGTCGCTGATTGCAGCTTCACGTTCACCTTTCCGTTGTGAGTCACATTGTTCAGTAGAGGGAACTACCTCTGCGAGGTAGTACGTTTCCTTAACGTCTGTAACCCAAACTACATTGGGTTCATTGAACTTGACTAGCGTTTCAGGTCGCGCCGCTTCTGTCATGCTTGTGTTTATCGGTACCATATCCCCTGCACATTGTTTTTCTGGCAAATCCCTGCTCGAGTCTTCTCCGTGCATGAATTGGGTTCCGTGAAGAGCACTTGGGTACACATTTACAGGTGGCATGTGTCCCACTTAGTAAACATCGTTGTCATAGTAACGGAAGGCTGTGAGAGTAGTAAACACTAGTGAATAACAGCATTGGCAAAGATTGCAGAAAGAGGAGGACAATCGTTTTCAAATTCAGATGGAAGATGTAGTCGACCATGCACTCTTGCAAATGCAATTCTTGTATGGGTTTGAGCAATTCGTTTTTTGTTAGCTTCTAGTAACGGAATCTCGGCTTCTAACCACCGCCGTAAGGCCTTGGATTGCACAGTGCCAATGAGGTTAGTCGGCATGCTTACGCCGGCCATGTCTTCTGGAGGTTCCATTTCTCTGGCTACATTATCTTGAGTTACACGCAAACGTAGCATACCAGGCAAGTTACTTGGTAACTGACCTGTCAATCTTCGGTTTGAAGACTCGAAGGAAGGATCCGTTTGCCGCAGACACCAAGCATTAAAATTGGCAGTCCTCGAGAGACTGGTTTTGGTTGCCGTTGAAAATGGGAGCGCTGTGACGACGTGACAGCAATCATCAAAAACCTCGTAAACAACTTTTGTATGCCGGCCATCGTACTTATCGTTAGCCATTTTATGTGCAAGGTAACAAATCTCGTCGCGAATAATTTCAGCGCCTCCTGAAGTAACCATTACTGGGCATAACCCTCCTAAATTCGGCATGAAGACGGGACTAACAAGTGGATGTTTCAGCATATGGTTGGGTGCGTAGTATTGCACTTGAAATGGGAGGCGACGAAGAATGTCTGTTAATACGTTATTGCCATCAATCGGTAACCGCGTATTACTGTCATCCAGCTTCTTAACAACATCAAGAATTTCATGGCATTGATCTATGCATTCAGTTAATTTGAGTTTGTAATGATGATAAAGTTCCTTGTCGCTCATGTCATTTAAGCTTTTTGCCGACTTCGGTAAAGTTTCTGCTAAGAGAGAAGGGTTAGAAAGATTTGTAACCGGCCATAATTTGCTAGCACGGCTGTGAAAGCCACAAGGCGGAATGTAGTCCTTGGTGGCTTCACTCGTTATGGACGGAAAACTGTGTGTCAAGTCTACCCACGGCGATTCAAGAACGGCGCCTGCAGGAAGTGGAAGGTTTTGATCACGCAACAAGCATAACATAGTTAAAGCAACAGAAGCACCTGAAGAGTCGCCCATAACCACAATGTCTTCTGGTTTTGTGTAAGTGAGTAAATACAAGTACGAAGATAACGCATCATGGACAGAACATGGTGCAGGAAACTGAGGGGCAAGTCGAATCTCTGGAGCGAATGCTTGAATACCCAATGTGTCCATGTGTTGTTGAATATGATAAGCATTCACCTTGACAGTACTCAGAAAATGAGCGCCTCCATGAACGTAAAACAGGACCTTGTTATTTCGATATTTTTTATGTTGTTTCCTGTGCTTCATAGACCATGAAATTAACTTTTGTTTTCGGTAAAGCCACCAATTAGGCCCTCCGAATTCCCTTAGTGCTTCGGGTCCAAGAAATAATCGAAGACGTTCGGCTGCATTATCAATACATTCCTTGCTTATAGTCACAGGAGAAAACTTATATTTTGACTTATTGACGAGAGAACGGGAACAAAAAGTTTGGACGGCCCCGACGGGAAATTTCCTGCTATCGTCAAGAAATTGCCGCACCAAATTGATGCCAAGTTGCAACGGAAATTCAACATCATTGTCGCCTTTTTTCTTAAACAATCGCCGCCAACTATCCGAAACAAATGTCCCTAGTCCAGAGAATATAACGTCCCAAAAAACTAAATCCGATTGAAATCCCATTTCCAGTCAGATTTAACAACAAAAAATTAGAATAAAGAGAAAAAAAGAGGACAAGAAGACACTGTATTAAGATTAAATTAAGAGGATTCAGTGAAAACGAGAGAATTAAGACGCAAACAGGCGTTACGGATTTGGGGTTGAGGGATGAATAGTGGGATAGTGAGAGGCTAGGTGGGGGTGTAGTGTTAAGTAATAGGGGAATATACACTAGAATGTGGGGCGGAAGAATGCCGTTCATTGACAGAATCCGGTAAATGCTTAGATTGAATCGGCCGTATTGAAGCGACCAAAATCTATTAGAAACGTCCAATCGATGCAATTGCACATTGAAGATCGTTTTTCTTGCATTGTCTTTTGAAATAGAGTATTTTTGGAATACCGCTTAGAAAGTTACGAGTCAAAACCTACATTGAAGCTGTAAAGCGTGTTTGTTCTATACTCCGATTTTAGTAATTAACTCAACATTTAGAGTAGACGAATAAGATTCATGTCAATAAAGAAAGGCCGTTGGGGAGTATTATAATCGAGCGCAAATGGCCGATTTGCGACTCGCTAAGATAAATTAAACGAGTCCTTGCGAACATGTTTTGGAAAAACAGAACATTAAATAACGGGTTGTATATGGATTTAACGTTTCATGTCCAGCTTTATGAACTAATCTACAAATTGATGTGATCCAGAATGACAGGCTGAGTAACCCTATCAAAGGCATATCAGTATTTGTCCATGTACATCGTCGATTCATTGTCAAATCATAGCGTTTTAAGTGAAAAAACACATGATAGTGAAGTTACTTAGAAGAACTACCTTAGCTCGCACTCTTCGGATTACTCCAATTTATGGTCGCTTCAAGACCCATTTTATAACTATAAGTTTCAATTGACAGTGCACTGCCTAACACGCAAACAAATCAACGTTTACTGCATATACAACATTGTGGTAGCTTTCAGCTGCATTCTCAAAATCAGAAGCATACGTAGAAAATTCACTACACTAGGGAATGAAGAATTGCCTCTGACGAGAGATGAAAGTCGTAAGAAAGGACGAAAGAGTACTCATCAACAGTTCAAAATAAAAAACGACGGAAGAAAGAAATGAATAGAATGGAAGGATAGGCAAAAGGAAAAGAGCGGGGTTTGTGATTGCGAAAGTGCCCTGATAAAAAATCCAGAGCAGCAAGTAAGCAAAACAGAAAGAACAATGGTCATGATCAGCTCATGATTTTGGAGAAAGCGGCATATAAACCATTATCGTTGATAATAAAGGGCCTGCAAAATGGCGACTAATTGGAAATTGTCACGGGGCTAACTCAAGCAATGGATCCGCCGAAACGCGCTTGAACAGACTAGATCGGGGGGAGAAGAAAAGAGCCGAGGGGACTTAATGTTGTCCCTAAACTTGGTAACACTTCGCATTGAAAAGGAGCCACAGGATAACTTTCGCCATCCAACGCAAAAAAATGTGAGCTTTCCGTGAGTATTGGCGTAAATCTAAATGCTCGAACTTTGTAATACTCAAGGGTATCATTATAGAAATGCTTTCCCGTTTCCACTTTGGAAAACATGTCCATCAAGCTAGAGCGGAAATCGGTGCTGCGCACTATTCCAATATCAATTGTACCATCATCGTTGCGTACAGTGGGAAACATTCGAACATCAGGAGCAATGTACTGCAGTTTTCCCGCACAAAAAACAACCAAGTCTGGTATATCAAGAGAGACCCAGTTCTCCGGAATTGGGGAGGTCTCGTCTCCGTACTGTAAATTAGTCAAATCTCTGTCTCGTTGTAATGGTTTTGGGATTTCCCGTTCCAGAATTGAGCCCGATGGGAGTGTGCGTAAGTACATCCTTCTTATTTCCTCTCTATTTGATGACACAACGTCCATATCAACACGGCATTTCCAATCTGGCGTACGAAATAGACGCATCAAAAAGCCAAGAACAGCCCGGTTTTCGCCCATGAAACGCAAGTTGTCTGTTCCAATATCCGCATCCGCGACGATACCATAATTGGCAGTGAGAAATGACACGCATCTCTTGCCTTTTTGCGTGAAAGATAGCAGATCGTAGTGAGTAGGAATGCCTTTAAGGATACGAAAGGCGGCCAAGCCAGGGTGTTTCGTTTTAGTGGCATTAAACCCAAAGGCATTACCAGTACCTCCCGGGATCATACAAATAGGTGTTTCAAACGCTTCAAGATGGTCCTTTCTCTCAGCGACACCATTCAGAATTTCGTGAAGCAAACCGTCACCACCGACAGAAATAATAGCATCGACAGTGTTAAAGTCCATTTGTCTGATGACTTCCCGCGCATGGTTTTGGTATTCAGTACATACAATCTCATATTCGCAGTTGCCTGCAGCAAAAATGGGTTCAGCTTGATTCTCCCAAATTTGTACCGCTTGTCCTTTTCCGCCGAAAGGATTAATAAATACTTTAAAACGTTTCTTTATCTTTGCATCTGAAGAATGTTAGTCCGCGGAATACACACAGAACGGAGAGAATGAATTATTATCCCCGAGCATATCAAGACTCGTCATAACAGGTATCAAGCCACAGGAACAGAGAAGTTCTCTTTATGACTACTGCCTAACTGTATTGCTTACCTTTATATGCCATATCGACGACTGTGTCGCAAAACTCCTGCACATCGGCAATACCATCGATCTTGCATTGCTCCACTTCAGCTTGTTCTGATTTAATATACTTCAAAACCGCCGAAGATTGATCCCATGGATGAGCCCAGAGGACATAACTCAGAGGCAGGTTAAGATCACCCGTGTCAGAGACTAGGAATGGTTATTACGGAACTTTTTTCAAGGAACCTTTATTTTAGATATCAACAGTGCGGAAAAATAAGTTTAATCCGTAAGACGAGACACATACGACTTACCAGTGGAAAAACAAAACCGCATCTTTCTTGAGTATGTGACAAATGCCGACTTCACGCGGAGCATGTCCGTGCGCTCATCAATCACAGTTGCGCCGTCAATTTCTCCCCAATTCATTGTTTCTGCATCTACAGGTCAAACTTATGAAGAAGATTAGTTCACTCTTGTCCCTCAGCGTGGCTATATTCACGTTTTTTTTCAATAGTTCAATTTCAACTGTACGCCAACCTGGTGGTGGTGCCGGCATTTCAAATGTCCCGTCACTTGAAATCTCATGGTGAAGACGATCATGGGCAGAGGGGCACACTATATGTTGCCGGTCGATACGGAGATGAGATCGTGTCTCGGGAATTGGAGTTAGATCATTGAGGCGTTTATTCACTTGTTCATCGTTTACGTCTTTCCTATGGAATTTGTTATGACAGTATCAAGAATATGATAGTTCCTTTGAGTACCTGCCAGCGAGGTTATGTATGTAGTATTTTTATAATGAAATGAAAGTAACTTTCGACGGAGGAATGGTGCTTCGATTACCATAATTATTAATTTACACTAAAGGTGATGTCGAAATCGAAACTTTATATGGCATTGCTGATGATTCTCCGAGAAGGATTCTTGTAAGTGTGTTAGCTGGTTATAAACACTCACCCATTTATTCTGGCCTCAGTTTGTGTAACATTGCAAGAAGTTCTTCACGGATGGCGATCTCTCGTTCTTGAATATGAAGCGGTGTTTTATTTTTGTCCAGCTTACTGATTCTTTTCTCAACGGTAGCTAGTCGATCATGAATCTTACAGAGCTGGTTCTCCACGTTAACAGATGAGGAGAGCGTTTTTCTTGACAGTCGGTAACGTAAAACTGTTTGGCTGGATACAACCAGTTTTCCAAATGCTAGATCATTTTCTGCCTTCAAGTTTCCAAAGAATAACCGACAATGACACCCAATTTCCAGATCTGTTTGAAATTGTGAAAGTGCAGACAAATCGGTTTCGACATATATACTCGCATCCTTGCTTGACTGCTGTATGTTTTCCTCCTTAAGAAGTCTTCGTAAGACTTTTGCAAGGTTCATAGCTTCGGTGACAACCTGTTCCGCTTGCTCATCTATAGGATACGCAAGAAAATCTGGTTTTGGGAATGGATGATCAACAAGTAGCATTGGATCATTGGGCTCAAAGATCGAATGTAGAACCTCGGTAATTTGTGGGATTAAAGGATGAGCAACGTTCAGTATAACTTTGAGCGCTTTGTTAAGAAACGAGACGTAGAGGATTTGCTTTTCTTCACTTTCGTTCAAAAAAGCAGCCCTACTCAGTGTGACATAACTGTTGCAAATATCGTTTACAAGAATATCATAAAGTGCCGGAATGGCATCCTGAGGCTTGTTCGCAGAAAATGCATCATTACATGATTTTAATAAGCGACCGATTTTCGATCGAAGACCACGAATCAAAACGGGATAAGTTGTCTGTCCTTTAAATGTAGGCTCTTTTGTTTGTGAGTAATGAATACTAACAAAGCGAAAAATATTCCAAAGCTTCGTTACAAATAAATGAGCATATTCGAAATCTTGGGTGTCTACATTTAAGTTGTGTTCTTTTCGTAATACACGTAGCAGTCCGAATCGTAAGGCATCAAGGCCATATGGTCGAAGGCCGTTGGGGTATTTCAATCGCAGCTGGCGTATTGAATTTTCGCGTTCCCTTTTTGTAAGATTGCTAGAACGAAGTTGTTGTACCATTTTCTCTGAAGTTGTACCTTGGACTACATCTGTCGGGTCGATAACATTACCCAGGGACTTTGACATTTTTCTTCCTTCTGCATCGCGAAGTAAAGGATGAAGTGCGATCTTTTTGAAAGGGATTTTGTTTGTAAAATGAGAGCACAGAGTCGCCATTCGGACTATCCAGAAAAATAAAATGTCCGAACCGCTTTCTATCAAAGCAAGAGGTGGAATTGAACTCTTGCAATGGGGCCACGAGAAGATGGAAATCGGAAGAAGCGCTGAAGAAAACCAGGTGTCGAGTGTGTCTAGATCTTGTTGTACTGGTCTCCCGTTTGACTTTTCTAATGCTTCACTTAAATTTCTTGCTGCAACCCATTCATCTGTTCCTAAAACCTGGTAAGCCGGTATACGATGGCCCCACCAAATCTGGCGGGACACGCACCAATCTTGCATAGAATTCAAGTGTTGTGTCCATTGTTTTAGAAACTTTGAAGGCTGTATATCCAGAGGCTGTGTCTGCATAAGACTTAAAACTTGGTTACCAAGTGGCTGCATATGTATGTACCATTGTGGAAGCAAAAAAGGTTCTATGAGATCACCAGTCCTGGAACAAAACGAAAGTGTTTGTTCGTGTTCTTTAACGAGAAGCAAAAGCCCCATGCTTTGTAACTGCTCGACCAAAGGTACTCTTGCAGCTAAGCGATCCATACCAACGAACATTACGGGAACATTCATCAGCGTACCATCGTACGCGATTGATTGCTTCTGTCGAAGATTATGTCTACACGCAATTTCAAAATCAACAGCACTATGTGACGGTGTTACCTTCATTGCGCCAGTACCGAAATCCGGGTCCACAGCTATATCGCCAATAATGGGTAACTGAACAGTAAGGTCAAAAGGGTGATACACGTATTTTCCGATAAACTGTGTATACCTTGAATCCATTGGATTGACTGCAATTGCGACATCACCAAACATCGTCTCAGGTCGTGTGGTAGAAACAACGATATACCCATCCGAAGAATCAGTTAATGGATAGGCAATGTTGTACATATAACCGATAGGACTATGCCTGTTTTAGCATCGATTGAAATCGAGAAGGTATTATTTCTTACACGTTTGTATCTCCGAAAGTATATGTTTGCCCGTGTTTGACATCCATATGGGTAACTTCAATATCTGAAATTACGCTTTGAAGTTTACAGGACCAATTCACAAAGCGCGATTTTCTGTAAATAAGTCCCTGTTCGTGCAATCTGACGAATGCATCAACTACTGCTTCAGACCGTATTTCGTCCAAAGTGTAATACATTTGACTCCAGTCGAATATGGCAGCCATGGATTGTAGCTGCTCTTTTATTTTTGCTCTGTAGCCCGCTTCCCAAGTTTTTGCGTACTCAAGCAACGATGAGCGACTCAGTTCGCGAGGCCTGCTCTTTGGATCAGTAAGTTAGCGTGATCTGAATATAAATACTGGGTTCATTTTACCCCTATCCTTTCTAGGTTTTGTTCAATAACGCTCTGAGTTGCGATACCCGCATGGTCCATACCGGGAATAAAGCGAACCTTCTTTCCAGACATTCTCATGTAGCGACATATTGCATCCTATAAAGATCAGAATTTTTTAGAAATCACGAATACATACCTGTATTGCGATAGTTAGAGCATGACCGATATGCAGCTTGCCTGTAATGTTCGGGGGAGGCAGTAAAACAACTTCGTCGTCATCACTTAGGCTGTTCTGTTCTTGATAATGTGACGAGGCATTCGCTTTTTGCTTCAAGACGTAAGCGTAAGCACTTTCAATGTATGACTAAATTACGTTAACATTTTTTGCACAAGACGTCGAATTGATGAACATACAGCTTGGTAAGGTTTTAATTTTGCGGTACGATATATTTGATGAGTATGAAAATGTCGGAAACAACGTGAAAACATAATTGAAATTTGATTTCAGAACGCTCATCAAAGAAAAGCCATAAAAGTGTTTAATTATGAAAATGGTACCATAATTTCCTTTTAAGTTTTGAAATGCAATCTTTACCCAGTGAATAAAACTCAGCTGAATTGCAATACAGCAAATGATTGCTCAATATGTTCGAGACGAGGAGAGAGTGAATAGATTGTTAAGTTTGAGGTCTTCCAAGGACGAACGTCAAGTTCTTTATATTTGAAGTGCGCCCAAGGAGTACACAAGCCAAACTGCCTTAGAGAAGAAGCAGCAGGCTTTTGAAGAAGCGAAATTGAAGAAAAGGTGCGCAAATCCCTAAGAGGTAAAGTTCCAACTTTGAGACATGCTGAAACCTTGAGTTATTACTACAAATTGGGGGTTGTGATATTTCAAAGGAAGAATGAGATATAAAATGGTTGTCCTAAATAAATGAATCAGATGATTTGATGACAGGGTAGCATTTAGCGGGCATAAATTGGTTGTATATGGAGCTAATAATCACTACGATTAATGTTTCATCAAATTAAGTGATTAGCTGTAATAGATATGCACATTATATTATTTTTTGAACGGTTCAGAGCCAGCAATGTGACTTGAATAATTGTTTAAAGCATTTATTCGATTGCACTTGGTATTCATTTTAAGCTATTCTCCATTAAAAAACAGATTAAAGATCGGTTAAGCGAATGTAAAGTTCATTGCACGGCAAAATAACGGGTAAAAATAGGACTTTTTTTTGATAGTAAATATAGTTTAGTATTGTTTTTGATAATGATATACTAGAAAAAAGAATACAAAAACTTAATTTAAACACATGAATAAATTAATAAATAAATCCGGAAAATCCAGAAAAAATTACGCACACATACAGAAGCTGAACGCATTCGTTATAGTGTTTCTATTCAACCTTCAAACGCCTTGGGACATCTTTAATTATTTCAACTCTCGCTTAAGTTCGCCTAACATCGCTTAATCCTCGCAAACGATTGAGTGCCTTAGTGAAGGAGTAACTGGGCAGAGTTACCAGGAACCAGCAACAACAATGGGAGGAATTGGAAAGAAAAGAGTGCGTTGAAACGCGTTTAATTGATTGTAAATGCTAATAAGAATTTAGTCAAAGAAAAGAACCCATCTTAAAAATGATGCTACTGCTTCTGGACAGAGTATTCCGAAGTCGGTAAGTGTTTTCCTCAAAATCACGAAGAAATTAATTCTGAAAATTATTTTTACTGATAATCTTCATTCTGGCTGTTTTGGAGCTAACGTACCTGTGTTATAGATGGTTATTCGTACCGGAGCATCAGAAGTTGGCAAAAGTTTGTCTTATCTAACTCGCGATATTCGACACATGATGGAACCCCACACGGCAATTCGTTTAAAGGTACTTTCTTTTTAAGTCAATAATGTGCTAACGGTGACTAGGAACGTAGAAGCAATAAGCTGAAAGATTACATAACCATGGCTGGTCCATTGGGTGTTACACATCTTCTTGTTTTGTCAAGAACCGAAAAAAGTCCGTACTTGCGTTTCATCAGAACACCACACGGTCCTACACTTCACTTCCGTGTTGTAGATTACATGCTGAGCAAGGATTTGCGTCGTATGCAGAAAAACCCGAAATCTCCTACTACGGAATATCTTACTCCTCCTTTGCTTGTGATGAATCACTTCAACACAAAGTCTTCTAAGGAAGCTCCCCATGAAGCTTTGATGAGTACTATGTTCCAAAACTTATTTCCTCCATTGTCTGTGCAGAGTGCGAACATCAATTCCGTGAGACGTGTTATGCTCTTGAACCGTAGAGAGGACGGTTTAATTGATGTTCGCCACTACATCATTACAATGAAACCCGTTGGACTTTCTCGGCCAGTCAAGCGTCTTGTAAAGGCACAACAGAACCCAGGCAATATGCCTGATTTGCACTCCGTCCAAGATATTTCCGACTTCGTCTTGAAGGGTGAGGGTGCTTCTGGTATGGCCAGTGACTCGGAGGTTGATGAGGATGCTACCGTTGAGGTGGATCGCCCTGCTTTACCTTCATCTCTTGGCGACTTGGGCGACATTGATGCATTGAAGCCGCGTCAACAAGCAGTGAAACTTGTTGAAGTTGGTCCTCGCATGACCCTCGACTTGGTCAAGGTCACCGAGGGTGTGTCTGACGGAAAAGTCTTATACCACAAGCTGGTGCAGAAGACAGAGAAGGAGTCCGCGGAGCTTGAAAAGCTGCACGTCGAGCGCCGTGCTTTGAAGGAAAAGCGCAAACGTGAACAAGCTGCCAACGTTGAGCGTAAAAAGGCAAGCAAAAAACGCAAAGAGTCCGATGTTCACCAGGATAAACCTGCTGAGGATTTCGGTTCAGATGCAGAGGCAGAATCTGATGAGCCATCCGGAGAGGATTCCGCCTAAGCTCGTCGAAGTCAAATCTGTTGGCTTAAAAATATAAAAGTGGATTTTTGGTGTCGTTAATTTAACGCCTTTAAAATAATAGGCAGCATTTGATAGAAAAATGTATTCGGTTTCTATGGGTATATCTAAGGGGAATGGGCAGAGAAAAAGAGGATCCTCGCACGTAGAGCTTATAGTTGTTCTGCAGCAACTAAAAAAAGTCCATGCGAATCTCAATGGGCCTTACGATTCTTACAATCTCTTTGATAACTAACTCTGTCCTACGGCAGTTCTCGTCGTGTTTCTTACAATGACACCTTTTTCTCGGCAGTCCCTGTACTTCTCTCCCCTCCTCACTACTCAGCTCGGGTGCAAAAAGGCAGTAGTACGGCACCTACTTCGGCATATGAATCTCCTATCTTGTTTTATTTCTTAACTCATTGCATCTCTTCCCAGCCGGCCTTACACCCACAGCCCCCACCTCACCTATTCTCGGTGTGGCCGCTGTGTGGACACAGACGGTGCGAGGTGTGCGGAGACGGGAAGAGACTTCGGTACCAGAACAACACACTCCCTTTGTCGACTCAGCAGGGAGGGATAAGTTCATCCATCTTCCGTCTTTATCATAATTACCCATATTCGCACCAGGGCTCCATCGGTCTGCCACAATGACCGAGTTCGCCAAAAGTTTGTTCCATGCGAAATGTCCATCTCCTACGCAGATTCCCGGCGGTTCGCAGCAGAATCGAGAGGCTGCTAATATTTTCTATGACCCAGATGCCACGCCGACTGCGTCTTCTGGCCCATCTCCTTCTTCGAGCTTTGGTTCCTTTCGAAAACCAACACTGTTAGATTATCGGCAGCCGTCCATTCCACATTTGGTACGAAATCATTCGCATAGCTAGTCCAGAAACAATGGGACGGAAGGGCGCGTTTTGAGGTTCGCTAACAGAAAAAAATTTAGGGCCTGAGTAAATTAAACAACTCTAACCAATCCTTGGCAGTTGATAAATCCTCCGGTCTTAAAAACAAAGTCCATTCTGACTCACATTTGCGTACTAAAAACAACACGTCCAACGAAGACGTCGCAAACGGTTCATTCCCTCCAACATATGGCCGTTTAACAGTGAAACTGTGTGAGGCCCGTGACCTTCTTATATCTGAATCACGAGCCGAGCCGTATGCGGTGATTTCATATGAAAAGAACGACTTCGTAGTCGACGCCAACACGTCTCAAGCTCCATTGTCATCATCACTTTCGAGCCGCAGTATTTCCATTCCCTGTAGACCGCGGCCGATTGCGGATCCAAGTCATCACAACTCGTACACACAGCTGCACTCACTCGATCTTTCGTACTCTGCCTTACGGTGTCCCAAGTGGAACCGTGAAGTCGTGTTCGATGTCGCCAGACCGAGCGGTGAACTTTACATCAATCTGTATGACCGCTGCAGACACGACGCCTTTCTCGGCGGTGTGCGTATTAAGCCGGTATTTGTGCATGAGTACATGCATGAATCATGGTACAAGCTTGAACCATTTGACATGGGCATCCCCATGGACGGGGAGATCTTGGTTCAGACGATATTCGAGCGTGTTGAACACAAGCACTACGGTCCCGAGGACTTTAAGGTGCTACGCCTGGTTGGAAAAGGTAAGGACGAAAACGTGTTTATCAGTCCATCTCATACTAACACTTTCTTAGGAACCTTCGGACAGGTTTACCAAGTCATGAAAAAGGACACAAAGCGTATTTACGCGATGAAAAAACTTTCAAAGAAACTCATCATTCGGAAAAAGGAAGTCGCACACACCATTGGCGAGCGAAACATTCTTGTGCGCACGACGATGGAGGAGTCGCCATTCATCGTGTCACTAAAGTTCTCCTTTCAAACAGCTACCGATCTGTACCTAGTGACTGATTATTTAAGCGGAGGCGAGCTCTTCTGGCACTTACAGCATGAAGGCAAGTTTCCTGAACCCCGTGCGAAGTTTTATATTGCAGAACTCGTCCTGGCCCTTGAACATCTGCACAAACACAACATTGTATACCGGGATCTGAAACCCGAGAACATTTTACTGGATGCGAATGGCCATATTGCTCTTTGTGATTTTGGCTTATCCAAAGCAAACCTGTCCACGAATTCTACGACAAACACCTTTTGTGGTACGACGGAATACCTTGCTCCTGAAGTCTTACTGGAAGAGGGTGGTTATACCCGGATGGTTGATTTTTGGTCTCTAGGTGTACTGGTTTTCGAGATGTGTTGCGGCTGGAGCCCATTCTATTCCGAAGATACGCAACAGATGTATCGGAACATTGCCTTTGGTAAGGTTCGCTTCCCCAAGGATACACTTTCTCAGGAGGGTCGTAACTTTGTCCGGGGATTATTAAATCGTAACCCTCGACATCGGTTAGGCGCGATTGGCGACGCGGAGGAGTTAAAGGAGCATCCTTTTTTTAGCGACATTGACTGGGATGCTCTCGCGAAGAAAAAAGTTAAACCGCCATATAAACCGCATGTATCTAGCGAGGACGACGTATCGAATTTCGATACCGAATTCACCAGCACAAATGTGTCTCGATTGAACGATCACAACGACCTTGCTCAAGCGAGCACTCCCATCTCAGATACAATGCAAGACAGATTTAGGGGCTTCACGTTTGTCGACGACGATGAGGCTCTTAATGAAGAACTCGATAACCTTTCTCTCACCCACCACACTGACGAACACGATGCTAGTCATACATCGCTCTCGAACTCCTCCAATTTGACTCGCAGTACGACGCTCAATCTGCAATCCAACGGTGATGATGATGATGAGACAAGTCTTTTTGGATCAAAGTTCGATACTTAGGTTGAAAACGATTTGATTAATCACCGTGTGCGCTTCACGGTTTTCGTCTCCTTATCCTTTATATATTCCTATGCTTATGACAAACTAGCTTTATCAACCTTACGGTTTCTGTTGCTTTACATTCTCATACACTCGACTCTTTTTAGCCTGATGCACATTTACGGGTCCTTTGTCGTTTCTACGTTTTTGTTGTGTTTTCTTCGTACAGAAAGATACAGGCGTTCGATTCTTGTTACTTAACTGACGCTTACTTAGCTGGTCTGCACTAAAATGTCTAAGCCTTTATCATGACACACATACACAACTACCGGGCTTGATCCTCAAACAAGGTTTGTTTCCCTTGTATTATATTATGGTTGGTAAACGCATGCGTTGTCATTCACACTTTTGTTTTTGAAAAGTATACCTTCCTCGAACTCTCTCGTTCATGACTCCCTTTTATCGTTTTTATTTCTATATTCCGCAACCCATCTTCCATTCTCTTTTTTACTCAAGCCTTTTTTACCATTGTTGACTCAATCGCTTTTACCGTCCAAATTTGGGCTTACTATATGTCTTTTCCTTTTTTGTTTCACACTGTTGTTCGCTTGCCATCCTTTCACTATCTATTCCTTCAAAGCTTGCGACTTTCCCAGTTGTATTATTTCACATACTAGTAATGTTTTTCTATAATAGCAAATCCGAATTTGGTCCACAGTGGTAGCGGACATGTGCGAAGCTGTAGAAAAGAAAGCTTTCAATTGTTTACGACGCGCCCGCGTTTGCATTAAGAATGGATTTAGCGAGCTTCTCGATTCGAGCTTGCGACGTTTCAGCGAATCAACTGTTGACTTAGAGTATTTCCACGTTTTTCTTCGACTTAGCAGCTTTGTCCAACTACCAAACACAAAAGATGTCCGGTATGCAGTTTTTGACCGTTAGATACTAATAGAGAATGTCAGATTTCAACGCTTTGGCTACTCAGTTCACCACCTTCTACTACCAAACGTTCGACGCTGATCGTTCTCAGTTGGCTCCTCTCTACGTACGTTTACTGGTTTTTATTACCGATATGAGTGCTTGTACTGACTTTGTATTTAGAGAAATGAGTCTATGTTGACTTTTGAAAACACCCAAGTTCAAGGTGTTGCCAACATCACAGAGAAACTTTCCGTATGCAGTGACGATCGATCCTGAACCCTCAATTCTAACATAACATGCAGTCTCTTCCCTTCCAACGTGTTCAACACCGTGTCTCCACCTTGGACGCCCAACCCACAGGTCAAAATGGCAATGTTATTGTCATGGTCACTGGTGAGCTTCTGGTAAGTACATTTGTGTCATAGCCCATTTGTGTACGGTATACTAATGAATACCGTCTAGTTGGATGAGGAGCAAAACCCTCAACGCTACAGCCAAGTTTTCCATCTTGTCAACGACAACGGAAACTACTTTGTTTTGAACGACATCTTCCGCCTTAATTACTGCTAAACTAGTTCTGGCAAGGCACATGATATAACAATATAAACATTCTTTATCAGCTCAAATTAGTAGTATGTGATGGAGAATAAAAGCTTCGTTATGAGAAACTCCTTTTCGAAAACATGATTTTGTCATGTCTTGTTAATATTAAACCTTTCTCTTTATGTTTTTACAATCATTAAACAAGGGTCTAACGTTGCCGTTGCCCAATCGACATCCAAAGTTAATTGCTAGAAAATGATTTGTTCTCTCGTTGAAGAGATATAACGGAAATGCAGTTAAACTGGTTGGCATATGATGTTTTCCATAGACGCACACATCCATCGTCGCCACTGGTGCTCAAGATGGTGCCTGTAACGTTGAATTCACAACGCCAGACCTGGCTCTTGAAATGATCGTAGTTTCCAACAAGCTCAACTTCCACATCTTCGGCTTCAACATTTGAGTTTGTCATTTCTCCATCTTCGTTTTCAGACACGCTGTCGGTCATGAGGTATGGCTGAACAGCGGACTCAAAGTTGCGATTCAACTTGAATAGACGCAGTCTGCCATCCTTGCAGCCGGTAGCAACAAGATGGTAATTTTTGCCGAGACTTGGGGCCCAGGCGATGTCGCGAACCAAGTCTGTGTGACCATCAAGTGAGCCGACCTTTGTCCACTTGTTTTTTCTATTATATGAATACAGCAGGACTTGGTCCATACAACCGACGGCAAGCATTTGGTTGTGCCAACGAGAGGGACACCAACGAACGCAGAAAGAACACTCGACATTGCGAGAAGGTGGATTTTTCATTAAGCCAAACTCTTCTAGCAGTGTCCAGCTTGCCATGTTTCCAGGTTCTATGGCTTCGTAAATACGAACAGTAGCATCAGCAGCTACTGTTGCCAGTTTACAGCCCAGACGGACAGGAGCAAAGCAAATATCCATTACAGAGCTTCGGGCATCCGTTAATCTAGCACTTTCCACCCATTTCTTCGTGTCTGCTTCTGCTTCTTGTTCGGTGAATATGCGTACTGTACGGTCCAAACTGCATGTCGCGACTGCTTGTCCATATTCTGGATGGGCCCACATTAGACGCAATACACTTGCGTCTCCGGCTTTGAATGTCGCAACGGGAACCCATTCCTTGGTGGATTCATCCAAATCATATATTTTTACATGTTGGTCCGCCGAACACGTCGCCATGCGTTGTCCATAAAAATCTAGCAGATGTCAGTAACAAATCCTTCTTTTCTCCTAAATAAGACATGTAATGTAACCAGGTGTTTCCTGTGGTTCTTCAGTTCAACAGCACAACTTACCGTACGCGACATCAAGAATCACATCCTGGTGATTGGTATTAATTACCCTAGTATCAACTGTCTGCTCCATGACAAACTTATTTTTCTATAACGTAGTTTTCCTTCTGTTGTTCCCCCGCGGCGGAGATGACATGCTCGGTAGAGTGCGTCAAATCACGGAAAACGAAATAATGAAACAAGATCAATTATCACTAGAGTCCATTAAAATATATAGTGAAAACTAATGTTGTGTATAATAGATAGATACTGATAATTACGGTACTACTAGTTAGTTTTCCAAAAAAGTTTTTCGCATCACTATTACTCGGTAATCGTTGCCTCTCCATACCCCCACAGTGACTGCTCTTCCCCACACGGAATCACTATAAAAGGGCACGACTCGCTCCACGAAAAACCATCGACGATACTCCATAGGATCATTTCTATAGTATACGTCCGGCTTGGGTTTCCTAACCTAGCCACAGAACTCAACACGGATGATGATTGGAAGCACCGTTGCCCGAAGAGTGAGACAATTCTTTCTTCGGGAGGGAGAGGACATACTCTTTTGGGTTATTCCTCTCCCCCTTCGGCGATGATCTCTTACACTTCGGGTTTCTCGTCCTTTGGACGGTCCCGTCGTGTAGGGCAGCTGGTGTATTCTGACGTGTAGAATTCCTCTTCTTATCGACTGTAATGGCCTTGCTGCTTCAGACGATGTGATGGGGATGACTGTGGTGAAGCGAGTAGCGTAGTTTGGGTATAGCGTTTATATGTTGGAGTCGAGCGCGTGCTGCGAGAGGATTTAATGAGTGCGGTTTCTTCTTGTCTTTGTAGAGTTTCGTACTGCAGGTTACGTTGAGTCGCGACTTTACCTTGATCCCACATTGTCTCCATGATACCTCCTTATCCTGCGATTGGGCGAGTCCTCGAGTGTGTAAGGGTCCCCGCTGTGTTGGCTTTTGTAATGTCGCGTTAAAACTAGATAATACAATTTAACGAGTTACAGTATTGTTATTGCTGCATTCTTGTACTACACTATTGAGATTAACGCTGTCTCGTATTCACCGCTAAAATGCAATAACGGTGCGGTAAACATCCATAAACAAGTTGACGTATTCTTTCAAAGTTCGTTAAACGAAATAACGTTCTTCTTTAGAATGCATTGCTTCGCTTAATTAAGCTCTAAATTAAGCGAAAATCTGTTCATGCAAAAAATTCTTTGCCCCAGGGATAGCATTGCGCGGAACGATTCTTAGATACTTTGATCCCGAATCTCTCTTGTTCCGCGACTTTTTGTTGACGATTTTTTGAGAGTTTCGACTAGGCACATGTTCCAATCTCACTAACGGCACCATTGCGTCATGATCTGAGATGGACTTCCACCGACCTAAGCAGGCCTAAACTCCCCCAACACACAATGGATGAAGAATACGATGTTATTGTGCTCGGTACTGGCCTTACTGAGTGTATCCTCAGTGGTTTGCTGAGTATTGACGGGAAAAAAGTGCTTCACATTGATAGAAATGACTATTACGGAGCGTAAGTGATGGTTGGCACCATAATGTCTTTTTCGGCTTAAATGGGTGAATTAATGGAATGACCTGTTTTTTCTCAGGCGAATAAACGTTGAATGAATTCTTTCTGACGCTTTTTCATAGTGATTCCGCCAGTTTAAACCTGTCACAGCTATTTGCTATGTTCCGGGAGGGCGAAAAGCCTCCAGAGAGTTTGGGTCGGGACCGCGACTGGTGTGTAGATCTTGTCCCTAAATTCCTTATGGCCAACGGTGACTTGACCAACATTCTCGTCTACACAGACGTTACTCGCTACATTGAGTTCAAGCAAATTGCTGGCAGCTACGTTTACCGTGACGGCCGCATTGCTAAGGTGCCCAGCAATGAAATGGAGGCCTTAAAGAGTCCTTTGATGAGCTTGTTTGAGAAACGCCGTGCCAAGCGATTCTTGCAATGGGTTGCCAACTATCGCGATGATGATCCTAGCACACAGAAAGACATCAACCTTGACCGTGATTCGATGGAGACCGTGTACACGAAGTTCGGTTTGCAGTCCGGAACTCAAGACTTCATTGGTCATGCTATGGCTCTTCATCTTGACGATAGTTACATCAAGAAGCCCGCTCGCGAGACCCGGGATCGTATCATGTTGTATGCTTCTTCCATGGCCAAGTTTGGCAAGTCCCCGTATATCTATCCTTTGTACGGGTTGGGTGAGCTTCCCCAGGGCTTTGCACGTTTGAGTGCTATTTACGGTGGTACTTACATGCTCAACCAACCCATTGATGAAATTGTCTACGATGACAATGGTGTTGCCATTGGTGTTCGCAGCGGAGAACAGGTTGCCAAGGCCAAGCAAATTCTTGGCGACCCCTCTTATTTCCGTGAAAAGGTTCGCTGCATTGGACGTTTGGTTAGAGCTATTTGCATTTTGGATCATCCCATTCCAAACACCGATAACCTTGACTCCGTTCAAATTATCATTCCTCAGAAGCAAGTTAAGCGTAAGCATGATATCTACATTGCGGGTATCTCTTCCGTTCACAACATTTGCCCTAAGGGATACTACTTGGCAATTATTTCGACGATCGCCGAGACTGCCAATCCTCTTGCAGAGATTGCACCTGGCTTAAAGCTTTTGGGACCCGTTTTAGAGTCATTTTCTCGAGTTCAAGAATTGTATGAACCTATGGCTGATGGAACAAAGGATCAATGCTACATTTCCAAGAGGTATGGCTGAGAGTTTTAAGCTGGTTCGGGTTACTAACAACTGTAGTGTGGATGCCACCTCTCACTTTGAAACTTTGACATTGGACGTTCGTGATTTATACAAAAGAATGACGGTATGCTAACGGCTTTGTGTTTGATGATTACTAACATATGGTTAGGGACACGATCTTGTTTTGAAGCAACGCCCCAAGCAAGAAAACATGTGATGAATTATGTCTTTTTTAACGTGTTTGAGTCGGGGATGAAAGATCGCTTTCGTTTTTGTTTCATGATGCCACCGCATGGTTACATTAATAAGCTGAGAATTATGAGACTCTTGTAAGAGGTCGTTTGTATCTGCGATTTTCGCTTTATTCCGTGACTGGCAATAAATCGCCTTCCCGTCACCTCGTTTACGACATGTATACAAAACTGCTTGCAGTGATAGACTACAAATTCAATGTACAATGGTTGGAGGCTTATCGTACATCTATTAATTCGTATGAAAGAATGCTAGACAGTACTCAACCACAACGGGTTGGGAGTAATAGTGTCCATAGACTAAATGATTATTATATATACATACTTGTCTTGAGCATGGTTAACGAACGAATTGACACGCACTGATGCAGAGCTCCATACCATACTAGCTGAAAGGCGAATTGGTGCTTCTGTCCATTTTCTAACTAACCTCTATACGACATAACAAAACAAAACTATAATAACAAGCAAACATACAATCCTTTGTATGATGCAGATATAAATTCCAAGTAGTAGATTTAAAGAATGGCGGAAGAGAAACGGACTTTGCCGGGTGGAATAAGGGGCACCTACGGACTAAAAGGGTGTTTTAAACAATAATCAAGCATCGACCGTAAATGATCCAAGCTTTCAGACAAAACGCCAATGAGTTTCGATGATTGTTGAGGTAAAAGCCGCGAAACCTGCTCTTCTAAATGTTCAGTGATGGCTGCAGGATGAATGAAGTTGGGGTACTGTTGATAATGGTCTACCCAGTCCCTAAATTTGAAATCATCAGTCACTTTAATAGATTTGCAGACCTCTGAAACAGTAAGGATGGAAGGCAGAAGAGCGACTTCAACTCCCAACAATCCGTATTGCTGGCTAACGTCGATGAGAAATTCGGCGTAAGCCTGGCAGGGAGCACTTAGAGCGGTGTCCGTTACCTGTGATTTCGATAATTGGAAACGTTCACAGAGATCAAGATAGGAAGTGCTGTTGTCCTTGATCTCTTGAATGATTTTTGCGCTGTATTCAATGGCAGTTAAACTAGAAGAGGAAAACGCCAACTGGCCTGTCGAACGAGCATTGCTCATGAGCATCTGATATTTTTGGATGAGATACATCTGAAAGAGGTTCAACGGCAACTTGTCTTCCTTTAACTGGTTCACAAACGGATGGGTCATTACGACGTTCCAATGAGAAATTACAGAGGGATGATGCCGCAGGTAAGAGACGAACGAAATGTTCATGGATGATATATGGGACATGGCGAAAACATGATCTAGAGAGTTTGCACCATGGCCAAGTTGAAAACTCTTCTCCAATGCGGCCTGCACATAAGCAGCAGCATTAAGCGCAGCGTCATACAATGAAAGACCGTTTGCTCTGTTTGCAGCAATTGCCGAGGCCAACGTGCAACCCGTGCCGTGAGCGGATCTGGCGGCAAGCCACTTTTTTGGTATAATCTTTGAAGTTTTTGCATCGCCATAGACGTACACAAACCAAACTGCGGAATCTTTGTTTGAGGTACACTTCAAATCATCGTCGAACCACAAGTTATTACACTTAATCAGGACACTTTTGCATCCTGCGGCAACTAATTTTTTGGCAATGAGCTCGACATCTGAAGCATTGTGAACGCCTATTGTTTCACCTGTCAATTGCTTCAGTAAGATGAGCGCCTCTGACAAATTTGGTGTAATAAGCTCAGTAAGAGGAATAAACTTTGTAACAAACACCTTAACATACTCCGGTTTCACCAAAAGCATTCCTTTTTTCGTAGATATTAAGGGGTCAGCAATAACATGTTTTATGTGGAAATTATTTATAACATCAATGAGTACATCAAGGATCTCTTTTGTGAACAACATTCCTAAGGGATTTGTTAGCTAATGGACATTACTTGTCTTGGTTGAAAAGAATCAAAAGTTACAGTATACTTCACATCCTGAATTGTGTACATACCAGTTTTCAAGACATTGCATTCGATATCCGTCAAGCAAGCTTCGATCTGCTTCTTGACCACTGCAGGAGGAACTGGAAAAACACCGTTTACTCCAACTGTGTTCTGAGAAGTGATTGCAGTTACTGCATTCATGCCGTATACGGAATGTGCAGAAAACACCTTCAAATCTGCCTGAATACCAGCGCCACCGCTGCAATCGGATCCAGCAACTGTTATGCACGCAGGAAGCATGTTGTTATGTGTGAAAAAAGACGACGGAAACAGAAAAAGCCAAAAAAAAGTAATACAATCAAATTGATGAATTTTTAAATAATATCTGCACAATTATGTAAACAATAACGTGCAAATGATATATAAACGCGCGTTTTCCCGCGGCTAAGTAGATTTTGTGTATTTCGTAGGAGGAGCGAGATGACTTGAAGAGGGATGAAGGAAGGGTGCATAACCCCCAGAAAATCCAATTTTAAGCTCGATTTGCATGTGTGGGGAGTTCAGGGGTGTTTTGAGTGGACGGAATAGACAAATGCGGGGTCGCTTACAGCAGCGAATCGGTAAAACATACGTGCGTGATTGATCGGAATTAAGCGAGTTAACCGACACGCGACGTACAACCCCCTCGTTGAAGTAGTTGATCCGTGGATTAGAAACAATAAACCTCGCTTAATCGAGTCTTAAGCGTGAGCATGTTCGGATAAAATTCTTCTGGCTGAGTATAGAATAAACTAGTTTAAAACGTGTTTGAAAACGTGCCAACTAAGATAACGTTAAGTATTTTAAAAGTGGTAAATTGGTAGAGTTAGTGGTGGGGTAACTAGTAGTAGCGATATATAGTAAGTAGTGAGAAGACCCTAGGTAATAAGAATAGAAACGAGCATATATAGATTAGTCGCTTTTTTGTTGATAGGGACAATTGAAGTATTAGAAAGATTTCCGCTCTTCAGACGGATGATGGTTAGCTGTTTTCGGTAACGGTAATAGTTTGGCAGCATTGGTGCTCTTAGATGAAAATGAAATTCATTTTAATGAAATTGGGTCATCAATAACTACAAAAAAAGCAAAAAAAAACATGCGCACACATTTAAGCGGGAAGGACGGCGGGAACATAATTGAAGTATTGCTCAGAGCCATCAGCCAAGCCGTTTTTCACAACGTATTCTTGGAAGGGAGACTCCCAGAACAAAATCTCGAATCGGCAACATTGAATGAAAATTTCAATAACCTCTTCTAAGCGCTTAGGAGACAACTCAACTGCAATTCTTTCGAGATCGGCTTTACCCTCAATGACGGCGTTGTGGTATTCCTCCCCGATATATGTTTGGATCCAACGCTCGTAAGGACCATTGGGCTTATGGAATGGCGCTGCAGCCAATCGAAGACCCACTTCACGGTAACCAAGTAGACAAGGTGCCATTGCAAATGTGAGTGCATAAGGATCTTGTTGCATGCCCACGTCAAGAATGTAACGTGAATAGGCCGTGCATGCTGGACTTTCATCTGTCACGTTCAGAGCCTCCAACGTGATACCATACTCAGAACACATTGAAACATGAAGGCTTTTTTCGTGCAAAATGTGGAGCACGCTTTCGGCACTGCGCCGAATGGAATTGAAGGTGTTTTGCTTAAACGCCTTAAGCGCATAGGCACGAGAGAAATGAATAAGGTATCTGTAGTCTTGCTTTAAGTATTCTTGGTAGGCCTTTAATGGAAGCGTGCCCTTAGCCAACATGTTTGTGAAAGGGTGGTTAATGTACTTTTTCCAGATGGGAGCTACTTGCGGATGCTGCAAGATATAATCCACAAAGCTTCCAGGAGAAAATGGGAGAACTCTGATGCGATTCGTGTGGTTAAGAATGGCTGTAGAGCAACGGTTGATGGCAGGGCTCAAGCGAATGGCTCCGTGCACAAACTTAATTGCAGACTTGCATGCAAAAGGCATCTCATAGCCCCAGGCGAGATACGAGGCGATGGTAGCGCCCAAAGTGCAGCCCGTACCATGAACCTCTCCCAATTCAAGATAATCGGACTGGAAGTGATAAAACTTTTGACCATCGTAAAGCACATCCATGACGTACAGACGGCCCTCGCTAGTTTTATTTCCATCTTTGTCGACAGTCATGTGTCCGCCCTTCAGGAGCACATACTTGGGGCCGAGTTCGTGAATGACTTTAGCGCACTCTTCCATCTCCTTGACGGAAGAAATACTTTTGAATGGTTGCTTACCATACTTGCTGAGAACAAGTGCCTCAGGAAGATTGGGAGTAACAATGGTAGAGATTGGCAACAACTCCTTCACAATGGTCCTTGCAACATCGTCCGAAACCAATGAGTCACCGGAAGTTGCAACCATAACGGGGTCGACAACCAGCTGGTCTATTTCATATTTTGGAAGTGTTTTGGCGACTGTCTTCACAATCTCACTTGTTGGAAGCATACCTGTCTTTGCGACTGTGCAGCGGACGTCTCTAAGACAGCAGTCAATTTGAGAAGCAACCATTTTCGGTGTCATGCATTCGACCATGTCCACACCGCCAGCGTTTTCGGCAACAACACTGGTCAAGGCACTCATTCCATACACGCAATTGGCCGTCATGACTTTCAAATCAGCCTGAACTCCTGCACCACCGCTACAGTCTGAGCCGGCCACAGTAAGACAAGCAGGCATTGCAGCACGTGCATGAACCTGTCCAAAAGGATCCATGAATGTCTGGATGCTACCTCTTTTTGGGTCCATAGTTTTCTTGTCAACGGTCATCGTGCAAGGAATTGATAAAGTGTCGCAAAGATGAAATTCCAAAAAATCGGTTCGTGATAGAACACCTAGGAAGAAGGGGAAATATCAGGAAAAGGCAGGATGAAAAAATAAAGAAAAACTCTCCTGTAATACTGAGCGTTTCAAAACCAAGATGCGTGATTAAAGGTTAAACGTCCGGTCCGTTTCCGTTCTGATAAAATCCCTCAATACAATAAAAATTCGCGTAATGACAATTGCCAATTCGCTTCAAGGAATAATGAAGAAACTGAACACAAACGTCCGGTATTTGTGCGAATTCGTCAAACTACAACCGTTAACTTCATGTCCGGTGACTCTTTACCGAGTACATTCGGTAGTAAACTGCCGACAAAAAATCGCAAAACTAGCAGGATGATCTATCCCGAGGAAAAGCCCGAACGATGGCAATGAGAAATTTGTTCATATGGGAAAGGGGTAGAAACGAAAACTGAGGCTTATGAGTCCATTGCAATGACTCCTGAATTAACATTTGGATGTCTAGACAACTTTCGTTTTTATAGCTACACACTCAGGTGGGAAACAGCCGCCGCTAGTTTTCGCGTGGCTAAAGCTAATTCTACTTTAACTAATCATGTGCAGAAAGGCGAAATGGAGACGACTCTGCCCCACTCAAGCTTAAAAGCGCGTGCTCCATTAGCCTTAACCTTAATGCAGATCACTACGGCCGGATCTGCCGAGCACCACGTACCATCTACCAATACCAACCGTTTCCAAAAAATAAAAACGCATTTTACATGCGAACAACACACTCTGAATCGGACCAGGCGGCATTAGAACAGCCCTTGTTGGGGAAGGAATTTATAGTTAACTCTCTGGTACGAATTTTTTTTTTTTGTAGATTGGATACCTTACTAACGTTCTTCCAGTTGCCATGGTATTCCTGTCCTGAAGAGCATTTTCCGCAGCGTAGACGCGTCCGAAGACGTGAGAGGGAAAAATGTGTGTCCACTGCAGGAAAGACTGCAGATGTGTCCGTGGAGCAGGAAAAATCAGGTGAAAATGTGAATGAAAATATTTCGGATGCCTCTGAAGATGGAATACACGCGGACGTTACTACGTCTTCTGAGACGCAACCTGCAAAGTCCAAGTCTTGGTCTGCCGTAGCGAAAGCTCATGCTCCTTCTCCCAGCAGTACACATTCGTCTCCTCGCTTGCACCGTGCTGCAGAAGTGCAGCTGCAGGTGCAACCCACGCAGACGGCACTCACAGACTTCATGAAGCAATTTGTTCCGTGCATTGTGAAGAAAACCAACATACAGCCCCGTGGTTTCGTAAACACCAGCAACATGTGCTTCATGAACTCAATCTTCCAGGCTCTTTTATACTGTGTGCCGTTTTACGTGCTTATGCGTAATCTTGGGAAAAAGCTTCCCCGATTGTTCAGAGACAAGGGCTCTCTTCTTGGTTCAGTGATTACGTTGACCCAGGAGTTTCGCGAGAATTGGCAGCCTGGAGAGGAGGAGGGTGATGCGTACATTCCCGAAGTAGTGTACCGGGTGATGAAAAACAATCCGCGGTTTGATCTTGTGCAGACCGGTGAGCAGGAAGACGCGGAGGAATTCCTTAATTTGTTTTTGGATGAAATGCATGAGGAGTTTGTTCGCACTGGTAATTTGGAGAAAGCCTCGTCTCCTAACGCTGACGCCGTCGACAAGGACAAGGAGGACAAGGAGGAAGAGGGGTGGTTGGAGGTTGGTAAGAAACAGAAACCTGTTATAACACGTTCTGCCACTGTTTCGCATTCTCCTATCACCGAAATATTTGGAGGACAACTTCGTTCTGTGCTCAAGGTTCCCAACGCTAGAGACTCCGTACTGCTTGAACCGTATCAACCGTTACCGCTCGATATACAGCCGGATCACATTCATTCTGTTTTGGACGCCATGGACCATCTAACAACGCCAGAGACGCTTAAGGGATGGCGCTCGCCAAAGGGACACACGGTCACTGCTACGAAGCAAGTCTTTATTGAAAAGCTACCTGCTGTACTCATCCTCCATCTGAAGCGATTTTTGTACGATGACCAGGCAGGCGGCACGCTCAAAAACACCAAATTGATATCCTATCCGCTTAGACTAGAGATTCCTACCCGAGTCATCAGCCCAGGAAAACGACCTCTGGGACCGGCCAGATACCAGCTTACTGCTGTCGTATACCATCATGGTTTATCGGCACAGGGCGGGCACTACACTGTCGATGTTCACCAACACGATGGTAGTTCCTGGATCCGTATTGACGATACAACAATCCGTACTATCTCAGAAAGTGATGTTGAGGTAACCGAGAACGAAGCAACTGTTAATAGCTCAGCATCTTCAGATCGGTGTGCTTACTTGCTGTTTTACACGCGCTGTGAATAAGCAATTTTATGCTGCTATTGGGTTGTTTCACAACACTCCCCCAACAACGTCCTCTTATATATCCCATCAGCGAGCTGTGTTCTTTTTGCGTGTCCCAAACCACTCATTTTGTGCCGTTTACATTTCGTTCCAGTTCGTTTTCTTGTTTCTCTTTCGTGCTCGTGCGCAAATACCCTTCACCCATAAGCGCCTGTGCACCTGAACAAAAAACCCTTTTCTTCTTTTTGCTTTTCCGATCATCTTTTACCGGTTAAAAGTTTCTGTTTTCTCTGTCTTGCATTCCTTCGTCGTGTCCTCCCGTCAGTGTTTAGTATCGAAGTTCTTTCGTTCACGAACACGCCCTTTACGCTCTCTGTTACTCACTGACAAGCGCTCGCCTTCACTACTACTCCTACACAGTCCGACCTCCTCTTTCGTCCTCTTCGCCGCATGCGTGTGCACGTTCGCAGTGTGCTTTTTAATTTGATTGCTACACAACAACAATCTAATTTATAGAAATGCTTTTGCGGCTAGTAAAGGGTATAGGGAAGCCAATTGAGTTATGAGCAGGATGTGAACTCCGTTGAAGAAATATAGCTAGGCGCCGGGTTTTATTATTTTTCTAAAAGTTGTATTTTTTGTTTTAATACGTAGATTCTTAAGCTCATAATATGTATTTCAAATGGTGAATTAGGAAGTGTGTGATTTCGCGGTGATTCTAGGATGTTGTCCGTTGCCTGCAGATTTTTATTGATTCTTTCCCTCGTTTGTCGTCTCTGCCGTTTATTTACGTGTGTTGTTTTTCATTTATACACAAACGCGTCAACAAACCTGATACGTCATGGGGCAGGCACGCCCACCACCATTCAAGCCTATGTATTTGGCGGTACCCAACTTGCTAACCTGTAAACTCCACATATCGCTCTTTTGGCACAATGTCATTTTTTAGCGCATTAGGTGAGTCCTACTGTTTAACTTAATTACTAACGAGACGCAGGCGATATGTCGCATGTCGCAGCGATTTTGCTGCTAATTCACAAAATCAAACGGACGAGATCCTGTGCAGGTATTTCCTTCAAGTCTCAATTGCTCTTCTTGATTGTTTACGTGAGTCGTTATTTGAGTAAGTATACTGTTCTGCAACCACGGTTCGTAATGGCGCATTTTTCGCCTACGACTCGTGTATCAATAGTTCATTTTGAAAGAAATTGTCAATTGCTGACACACTGAAGACATCCTTTGGCATTATGGATCCCTATACTTCTATGTGATGCGTCTTGTGTTTATAATAGCTGAGGCATACATCTGTTACCTCATGCTTGTTCCCCTTCGTCCAACAAACGACAAGCGTATTGACACATTTCGAATTGAGTACCTCGTGGGTGGTAGTGCAATTCTTGCTCTCATTACGACCACTAACTATCGTGTTGCTACAATCCTTTGGACATTTAGTATCTGGCTCGAGAGTGTTGCCATCCTGCCCCAACTGTTTATGCTGCAACGTTCTGGTGAGGCTGAAAACCTGACGGCCCACTACTTGTTGGCTATGTGTCTATATCGTGGTTTATATCTGCCTCATTGGGTTGTTCGAATTGTCCGTCGTCTTCCAGTGCGTTGGGTCACTATTGTTGCCGGACTCATTCAAACAGTTTTGTACGCTGACTTTGCAGTCGTCTACCGTCGGACGGTGCTTCAAGGAAAAAAGTTCCGTCTTCCTTCCTAAAAACCTATTTACGATTCAACGACTCTCTGAGACCTTTCTTCAAAAGTATTTTTATGAAACAACAATGTCTAGGCAATGGATCGGTTCGTGAATTCTTCTATCCATACGCATAAATGCTCGCCTGCCAACAGCACGAGCGGCATAAGCCGCTTGAGCAGCTCAAGAGTATTGCATCCTCATAGAATTCGGCTTACTGAGCATTCGTCCTACAGAATAAAGAGCAGGAGTGCGGTGTAGGAAGTTATAACGCAATACTAAGCAAGTTTAAGGAATACCATCAGTTTATTAAGGGACTCTAGAGATGCACTATACTTTTACCGAGATCCAAAGTTTTTGAAAGCACTGCATTAATGTTCGTTATTTTACCTTAAATAAAATAACGAAGGAAATAAACTCACTCCACCGCACTATGTCGGCACTCTCCAACATCGCGTTTGCTTTCTCCATCCTTCCACCATCAACCTCACGACCGAAACAAGTGTCGAATTCCGGTAGTTAGACCTTATAAACTGCGTGGAGATGGGTCGTCGTCAAAAGAACAAACAGGGAGTTCCCCCTTCGCTCGATGAGATTAAGAAAAAGGCTCCGAAACCGGTCCAGAAAAAACGGAAATTAGAGGCTGAAAAGCCGGTTGCGTCCCGTAAACGGAAACTCGAGAAAGAGAAAAAGGCTCTCTTCGCTGAAGAAGAAGCAGAGGACGAGCAACTGGTTGCGTCTGGCGCTGAAGAGGCCTCTAGCAACGATGATGAATTCACTGGATTTGGCAGTGAAGGCGAGGACAACGATTCTGAGGTTGAGGGTGCCGGTGAGACGGACGAATTCGACTTAGATGAAATGGAGGATGATTCAGATGAAGAAGATTCAATTTTCGATTCAGATGAAGAAGCTCAGGCCCGACCTATGTTCAGTGATGACTCCGGTGACGAGCAAGACTTAGAGCTCGCCAATATGGAGGCCCTTTCAAAGCAGATTGAGGAAGAGGAAGAGCAGGAAGCCGAAGAAGCTGAAGAGGAGCTTCACACGAACGTTGTTCCTGAGGCCCCTGTTGTCCTTCCACCTCCTGGTGAAGATACGGATGAAGCTGGCTTGTCTCAGGATTTGGGACAAGTACAATTACGTATGCAAGAGATTGTTCGTGTGCTGAATGATTTCAAGACGTTATGTGAACCTGGACGTAGCAGAACCGAGTATGTTGATCAGCTGCTTAAAGACATCTGTACCTATTACGGTTACTCGCGTTTCTTGGCTGAAAAACTTTTTGAGATGTTTCCTGTTTCTGAGGCCATCGAGTTTTTCGAGGCCAATGAAACTCCTCGTCCCATGACCATCCGTACCAACACCCTTAAAACAAACCGTCGTGAGCTGGCTCAGGCTCTTATCAATCGTGGTGTCAATTTGGAACCCATTGGTAAATGGACCAAGGTCGGTTTACAAGTGTTTGACTCTCAAGTGCCAATTGGTGCTACTCCCGAGTATTTGGCTGGCCATTACATCCTTCAAGCCGCATCCTCTTTCCTTCCCGTTATGGCCCTGGCTCCCCAACCTCACGAGCGTATCCTTGATATGTCCTCTGCTCCTGGTGGTAAGGTTACTTACATTGCTGCCCTTCAAAAGAACTCTGGTGTTATTTTTGCAAACGATTCCAACAAAGCCAGAATCAAGGCTCTGTCAGCCAACATTCACCGTCTTGGTGTGCGCAACACAATTGTTTGTAATTATGATGGTCGTAAGTTCCCTGAAGAGGTTTTGGGTGGCTTCGATCGTGTCATGCTTGATGCACCTTGTTCCGGTACCGGTGTTATTCACAAGGACCAGTCTGTGAAGGCAAACAAGACTGCGCATGACTTTGATATGCTTGGTCACCTTCAACGCCAACTTTTGCTCTCGGCAATTGACTCTGTTGATGCTGAAAGCAAAACTGGTGGCTACATCGTCTATTCTACTTGTAGTATTACTGTCGATGAAGATGAGGCCGTTATTCAATATGCCTTGAAAAAGCGACCCAACGTCAAGTTGGTGTCTACTGGGTTGGAGTTTGGTCGCGAAGGCTTCACTCGTTACCGCGAGAAACGCTTCCATCCTAGTTTGAAACTGACACGTCGTTACTATCCTCACGTTCACAATATCGACGGTTTCTATGTCGCCAAGCTGAAAAAGCTGTCCAACAAAATCCCCACTATTTCCAACACAGAGGAGGAAGTGGCAGAGGAGGACGAGCATGAGATTGCTGTCAGTGACAATCTTGGTGCTCATAGCGAAGAGCTCACATTCAACGATGAGGCCGACAAGGAGATCATTGAGGCCAGTCGCAAGAAGTGGCTGAAATCAAAGGGCTACAAGGTTTCTAACAAAAAATCAGAAGCGTCCGCCTAGGGTCGGAGTGCGTTCGGTTGATCTTTTTGGTTTTCTTAAGATTGATGCATTCTTGGGTTGTTTGTGAATATGTTTGGGGTTGCTTGTATTTCATCTGCACAGCAAGTGCCGGCGTCCCTCTTTAAGGTTAGGTTGGTTTATAATTTTGTTCTTGTATTCAATAAAAACAGTTACCCATACCCATCAATACGAATTGTTTGTACACATGGCATCCTCCAGCCGAATGCCATAGGGCAAGCTGATGGTTCATTTCATACTCTAAGGACTTATACAAGAGTGCTTAACATAGAAAAGCTAGATCATATATTAGAAATTCGTTAAATGCCAATGGCTTCTACCTTCATTAACGTCTTCTTTTCATGGGTCTTTCGTCGCCGCGATCGTGTTTGGCGTCCTCTTGACGGGCTTTCCGTTCAAGTTCATCCCAATCCTCACCGCTTTCTTCTTCATCCTCCATTTCGCTTTCGCTGTCTTCATCTTCGCCCTCGTAATCACTGTAATCTTCAGACTCTTCAGACTCGTCAAAGTCGCTGCCTGAAGCTTCATACTCGGATACTTCTTCTTCACTTTCGCCAGCTTCCTCATCATCACCAGTGCTTAAGAAGTCCCAACCACCTTCTTCAAAGAAGGCAACAGGATCATCATTCACTGTTTTCATGATAGTAGCCCAGTTCAAGTTCAATGGTCCTTCATAGAAGCAAATGTCACACGAGTCAAGCCATTCCTTCACGTTGTCCAACTGATCCATGGGGATAGTATTAATGTGAACAGGCGCACGATGAAAATCTTTGAAGACAAAAACCAGATCAAAGTTTTTCAGACCAAACTGAACACGCTCAAGATGCGCAATTTCTATTTCAGAAAGTGTTATTACAGTAAATGGCGTATCAGTAAGCTGTACAAGACAATCAGTTGTAGGCTGTAGAAGTACATTGGCACGGAACGGTACACCACTGAATGCGAGTTCGCGGAAAGGAATATCCAGTTCGATGCGATTATCACTTGCCTCGGCAATCTTCTCAGCAAATGCTCTGAACTCGCGGTCGAGTTGAGAACGGCGACGTCTTTCTTCTTGCTCTTGTTCAAGTTCATCCTCGTCGCCGTACATATATTTACGCTTTCTATTTCCCGTTTCGTCAAATTGCATGTCAGATACCTCTCGGTAAAACTGAAGGTCTTGTGTTTTTCTTTTACCGACCATAATGGGCGCCTTGAGGTGAACATGAATCAAAACAATGAGTTCGCCCTCACAAGGTTGGAAGAACAAATGCTTCATGTTTGAAAATAGCAAATCAATGTGGCTATCAGAACGCAGCGGGGATTGGTAACGAATACCGTTTTGATGAACTTCCAAGAAACCAGGCAAGCGCTTACCATCCAAAGCCGGGCGAACGAATACGTCGTTTAGATGGGCAGGACGTTTGCTCTTCATTTCAATGAGCTTATCTTGCTCAATAACATCGGCAAATTGTTTTCTCTCGGCCTCGCGTTTTGTAGCGGCCTTTTTCATGTCTTGGATTTCTTTGAAAATATGAGACAGTCTCGAGCCTTCAGCGCTTCTAAAGATGAAGCTCCGAATGAACTCAGCATTTTGGTCTTCGAATGGTTGTTCGTCCTTCTTACCGCCAACTTGACCAGGCGTGATGAAGTTCAGTCTAATGTAAACGTAATCGCCTTCATCGTTCTTGCTAACATTTTTCAATGTCGAGATGTGAAACGGAACTGGACGTCCAAAGATAGGAAGAATTATACTTTGAGCACGGGTATCAACCAATATTTGCAGGTTAGCAATAGCGTGAGGAAGTTGTGTGTCACGTTTGTAAGATTCATAACGTTTCACAATAGTTTTTTGTTCGTCTGTATTATGGGCAGAACCATCCGAGAATCTACGCAGACCTTCCGTCTGCTTTTTGGCTGCCAATTGTTTTTGATGTTCAATGCGTCTTTTCTCAGCTGAATCATCTACATCACGAGTTTTTCCCTTGTGACTTGATATAGTAGCTGTGGTACGAGTGGGTTTTCTGGTGGTTTGTTCTTTTTCTGCCGTCGTATCTTCACCAAAATAATACGAAATGTCCGCATGCGATTTTGGAGACTCGGTAAAAACCAAAGGTGCATCTTTTGTAATTTGAATTGTGTCAATTAATAACAACGAGTATACTTTTCCTTCAGCAGTCTTTGCCTTTGAGTTCTCCAAGTTTGCGAACCCGACACTTAGATTTACAGTCATCCCAGACTCCAATTTCCTGGGATTTTTGGCATTAATGAGGTAGGCAGATTCACGAAACTCAATGCCGATACCGGCACCAAGGTTTCGAACAAAATGAGATTCGAGTTCAGGGTATTTGGAACGGACATACTCAACAGCCTTGGCATAAATTTCCTTTATGACAGCACCGTGGGTACAAAGTTCAAGAACCTTGGTTTGTAATTGTACAAGGAAGTTGTAATACTTTAATTGATCTGCATTAGGATCAAACAAGTAAGTACGTCCAATGTTTGAGCAATAGGATTTGTAGCGCAAACCCAGCGAGCATAAGACAACGCCTCCATGTAGCAACTTATCATTCGAAATTGCTGATGGTTTCAAATCGTAAGAACCGCCAGATTGCACAATGGGAGTATAGCACCACTCCAACTGGTCCATATCCATGTTTCCCAAATGCAGAGCTTTTTGTTGGAAGAAAGATTCGTCGTCAATCTTTTGCTCGATTAAGTCGGAGAATCGTGAATTGCTTATTTTTTTCCCCTCATCGATGAATTTAGAGAGTTGATCGGCAAAATAACGAGTCATTACACCAGTACTTGCACGAGAAGCTGTCTTAACGATGGGCAATTCGACATCGTCCTTGACAGACATTGCGACGGCCACGGGTAGGGACACATCCACATATTCAAACTCAGCCTTGGCCTGTTCAAGGGCAGCCTTCCATTCGTTGACAAACTTTCCATCCAAAGAATCCTTAGGAAAATGTCCCACTTTTTTATTTGTCGCTGATACAGCCTCAATGACTTGCTGGAACAGTTTCAAATTCTCCTCTGGGTTCTTTGTCCGTTTTAAAAACTCGAGATTAATGGAGCTTCCGGAACTTCCTTGTGAAAGCTGCTCTAGCATAGTTATTTTCTTCGAGGAACTTAAAAATGTAACCTTTGTCTTTGTAAATAAGATTAAGGTCTGAGGAAACTCATAACCAAGAAGCCATGTGTGAAGAGCAGCAGATTTCTGATAAGGATTTTCAATGTTTTCTGTGCCAGTAACCACGAGGAGACTGTCAATGCCATGAAAGTACTCTTCAGAATGACTTGGGTCGTTCCAAAGGTCCAACAACCGTTGAATCCTCTTAAAAAAAAGAGGAACGTCGATTTCGTACTCGGACATTCGTTCAGTATCTATTGTATTATTGTTGTTGGCGATTTAAGAGGAATCTGAACGTCGGAACACGCAGTTTCACCAAATAACGTGTAACAAGGCAAATTTTTTATCAATTTTATAGCAAGAAGGCGTTTGGGCTTTTTCCTAACAAGAGAAAAGAATGGTTGGCTGTAGGATGGGCCTCAAATCCTGTCTGGTGGTGGATGGTCAAGTGGGTGTGTGTTAAGAAGAAAAAGCCAAAAAAGGTTAGTTGGAGACGAAGCTGATACTAATCATAAGAATAAAGAGAGGATGGTAAAGAAAGTTGCACGGTTGATTTTGTTAATTCAAAAGTTTGAGTTATCGACAGGAAGTTTCAATGTCCTAAAATAATTTGTACGGGTTTTCCTTTTGGATAGTGTGTAAGAATATGAAGAATATGCTTTATCTTGGTAAATGACAAAGCAACCTTTTTACCTTGGCTGCAAATGCGAGATTAAAACGCGTTTCTGCTTTAAATTCGTGTAAAAAAGGAAAGGACAAAATTGAACGAAATGAACACGAAAGAGTAACTCGATGTTGAATGTTAGAGCATATCATTTTTTAACAACACTTATAACCACTCACAAGACTCATTTGGAGTTTTCCTTCTCCGGTTCTCTTCAATTAAGATTCATTTTATCAGAACTACCCCGTCAACTTCCTTGCTTCCACCGATTATATTAGAACTAATTTAATAAAAAAGCAGTTATATTCTTTGATTCTACTTTGTTTCTTTCCCTTCTATTCTCTTACGCGTCTTTCAAAATAAGCTTTTCATCGTGTCGGCTAAGTTTCGCGTTTAATTATATTTCTCATTTAGCGCGTCGCATCGTCTCCACTTTTCGCAGTTTCACCACCATAAACAATTATTCCCAAGCTTAAATCTAACGTCCGACCCGTTTTTAATATTCATTCATGCTCTCCACCACGGATTTGACGTACCGTCTACCATACTCACTTTCTTCTCAAGAATATCAATTACGCGTACGATACGTACCGTAACCAGTTGTTTTTCATACGACTTGGTCAATATACCTTGACCGAGTTAATTTATTGAAGTGTTCAGTTCGAGCTAACACTTTGCATGATTTCCTCTGACGTTGATCGAAAAGACGGAATGAGCTCTCAGAAAACCTCCTCTGCCAGCAAGCTTAATGCTCATTCAGCTTCATTTGTTCCTTCTGTCTCTTCAGCGCCTCTGAATACTGCATCATCGCGTGCACAAACCCCGAACAAAACCGGCACACTCGCGAATGCACCTTCGAATCAGCCGAAACGTGGTCGTGGCCGATCGGCAAAGGGCAAGGCGGCCGCTCCCCGAAAGAATCAAGGTCTTGCTGGCAGCAACCAGTCTCAAAGGAACCGACGCCGAGCCAACAAACGAATTGAATCTGTCGCAGACTCAGTTGCCATGACTTTGGACGAGGGAGTGGGTGACGAATACGATGACCTTATAGACATGCTAGTTGCTAAAGGCGGCGGTCGTGTCAATAAACGTGGACAGATGAATCTGAACCACTTGTTGAATTTTAAGTTGCCTCCTCGGACAACATCATCAACTGCAGCTGCTCCACGTCGACCCAAGGGATATGCATCCTATGGCTATGGTTCTGGTCATCATCCAATGGACAAGGCAAGATTTGTAAATGCCAATTATCGATTTGTTGTATCGCCTTTGGGCGATTACACGATGCAGGTAAATAATCCTGAAATGCCAGTGCCTTGGGAGGATGTTTGGCAAGTGCTCTCGTCCGCTGACAGCCAAACGGCTTCATGTCCTTTCTGTTTGGGTGAGCAACCCGTAGCTGCGCGCATGGCCAGATGTGGTCACGTTTTTTGCTCCCGTGTTTAATTCGTTACGTTGAAACGCCAACGGCAGAAGAGGCTAAAGAAGCAACAAATAGTAAAATACGTCCTAAATGTGGCGCCCGTACGTGTCCTATTTGCTGGGATGTGCTTCGTATGCGTGATATGAAGCCGGTTCGTTGGGTCCACACTTCCAACTATCAACGACTCGAGGAGAAACAGAAGCTTCAACTCGTACTCTACATTCGCGTTCCCGGATCCGTGTTAGCGCTTCCTCGTACACTTGGTTTACATCAGGACATGCAAGACCCAACAATTCGCGATAACCTTCCTCGTGTAACATCCGAGAAAGCAAAGTTTGCTCGTATTCTGTTGGGCTCGCATGAGTATCTGGTCGAGCAATTCCTTGAGGAGATTCAAGAACTCACCAGGGTGCAGGACGAAGATCGCCAGTTGTACGGTGAGTCGGACGTTTCCTACGAAAAAGCCATCAACACGATTTCTGAGAACATTTCGCTTTACTCACAAGAAGCGTCGGACTCTATTGAACAGCTTGAAGTATCTTTGAAACGCTTAAATGTTTCCCAATTCGCCAATAACACGAAGTTGGATGCCTTGCCGCAGTCCTCCTCTAAACGGGACGGAGGAGCTTCGTCCTCTTCTATGGCTGTCGCTTCCGGGAATGTCTCTAATGACCCCTTTTTGTTCTATCAACCTTTTCCGCACTCTCACATATACCTTGCCCCGCTTGATGTACGCATATTGCGTTCTGTTTTTGGTAGCTACCAGGCGTTCCCCGATGAGATTCAGCCACTGGTGGAACATGTGTCTTCTGGTCATTCAGTCGATCGTGAACTGAAGCAGCGATGTAAGTATCTGAGCCATTTGCCTGATGGCTGTGAAGTTTCATTCATTGAGTGTGACTGGTCACAGGTTGTTCCTGCTGATGCGTTAGCTCCGTTCAAGGATGCCATTCACCGCCGTCGTCGTGCACACAAAGAGCAGGATAAGTGGGAGGAACGCCAGCGGAAACGTGCTATGGAGGCTACGGAAAACCAAATTTACTCTGAACTGAACCTGCAACGACCATTGAATGAACCTAGACCTCCTCGTGATGAACTGTTTGGTGTTGACGCTTTTCCCACTTTAGGTAGTGAGAAGTCGCAAGCTTCTACACCCAAAAATGAAAGCGCCAGTGCTTCTACCGCTTCGCTCCCCGTAAAAACTACGGTTTGGGGAACTCGTGTGGTTGATACATCAACCGGCAATTCTGACTCTGATGAGCCAGATGGTTGGGGTGTTGATTGGAAGCAACTCAATGCGTCTCTTCAGAAAGACTCTTCAACTGTTGACAATGGCAACAAGAAGAAGAAAAAGAAAAAGAAAAAATTGGTTCTTTTAAGTAGCGGTGGCCCTCACCGTTAATGTGTTCGACATTTATTGAATTGTACCATTCCTCTTTATTCTTATTTTTCTTTTCTATTTCCGAGGAATTTCTTCTTGCCTTCTTATGTCTTGTATCTTTTGGTACGTTTGGTTGCACTTCGCTGCACCGTAAACAGCTCAAATGCAAATTCATGTACCGTTCGCGGTCTATTTTTTTTTAAAAAAAATATAAAAGAGCATGCATGGTGACATTTCACTTTTGGTAGTACGAGTTTTGCTCTATTCACCGAAGCTAGAATCACTCACCACGCATCAGCCAGAATTACAAACTCGGAGCCTTTTCTGGCCTCTACAACGCAGTTTTCCCTAGCTGCTCATACTAATCATTTCCCATCCTCCTTACAAAACCTCTTCTTCTATAGAACCCATTTATGTCATCGTTCGTTTATGAAATTTCCTTTAGTCCATAATGACCGTATTGGAGAATTGCGTGTATATTGTATTAACATGATCGTAACAGAAGAAAACCCGGGCTTCACCACAAGGTGCCAAGGAGTGAATATCATTGCCCAGGTGCAAATTAAACAAGCTTCGTAAGATGTATGGCTGTATTGAAGGAGGAATATTGCAGTGTGTCAACGAAATCGTAGTTGAAACTAAAAACCTCGTACACATGATTTGATGGGTAAAAAGGAGAACGCAGGGTCGACCAAGAGGCTAGAGATGCGACGCCTCGCAACAATCGTTCTCACAACGCGAGTTTGGGGAAAGGGAAAACAAAGCTGAGAAGAACAGATATTACAGTAATGACTCGGTAGCATCGGAGAACAGAAAATAACAATTCGTAAAGAGAACATCAATTTAACAAGAACACATAGTCAGCTCTTTGCCAAAAGTATTCTCCCCCGAGTATGTAATGTACAGAAAGCCATCATCACTCTTGTGTTCATCGTAAATAGTAGACATTAAAGCGGCAGTTGGAGGAAGAACTTCGTCAACGAAAATAAAGATGGCCTTTTCGGGCGAAAGCTTAATTCGTTTTCTGATCACATAAACAAATTGACCGACCGTAAGATCCGCAGGCACAAGGTACTTCTTCTTATCAATAGTGGCGATGTCCGACTTGTCTACCTTCTCGCAGATGACCTTTTCGCAGATGGTTAGTTGGAAACGATCTAACGGAACACATGTTCCAGACAACGCCATGACTAGCGTCGGAGGAACTAAATATCGGAAACAACATACGGGAATTCTATCAGGATACTTTTCGCGAATTCTTTGAGCTTCAGTCTTTCTCTTCTCTACATCAAACAATGTTAGAAGCCGTCTTTTAGTAGAGGGCAAAGAAGCTTAAACAACTTACCAAACGAATAATCGTCCTTGAATTGCGAACGCATAATGCTCGGAGAGGTTACTGTTCGGGAAAAAGAAAACGAAAAATGCGTTCTAAAACCCTGAATTGACCTCGAATGGCAAATTAGGGACCAACTGGTTTGTGTACAAAATGTGTCGCGTAGGTAATGGCTAAGGGTAAATGCACCACCGGGGTGCCCGACGTGTCATGCTCCAGATCAAAGAAAGCATATATGTCATAAAAGTAGGAAAAGAATGTGCTAACTGGATTATTCAATCTATTACGGTACGAACGAACCCAATTTCTATGCAGATTTCAGCGTATTCGCGTTTTGTTTTGTTTTTTTCACTGTATCGAAAAATAAATACAGTTGCCATGCCAACCGGCTTTAGGTAAAGCGTACACTGCTGGGGAATGACGCTTCTTCCTTAACCAACATGAAGTGGTTTCGTTTGACTTTCCTTTTAACGCTTCTGGTTGCGTTTGCATCCGCTTACAAGGGACCTAAGATCACCGACAAGGTGTACTTTGACGTTGAACAAGATGGTAACTCCCTTGGTCGTATTGTCTTAGGTCTTTATGGAAAGACTGTCCCCAAGACCGTAAGTGACTCGTCCCAGGCTTACTCCTTGCTAACTCTGTATTCAGGCTGAAAACTTCCGTGCTCTTTCTACTGGTGAACAAGGCTTTGGCTATGAGAACACTATTTTCCATCGCGTTATCCCCAAGTTTATGATCCAAGGTGGAGGTAAGTCGAAGTGAACGTGAGCAAACATGCAATTTTACTTCTTGTTTGTTGAGGACGTTTTACCATCATTATTAAAACAACAAAGAAATGGGTCTCTAACTGTTTTTCTTAGACTTCACTAACTTTGACGGCACTGGTGGCAAGTCTATCTACGGTACTCGCTTCCCCGATGAGAACTTCAAGATCAAGCACAGTCGTAAGGGTCTTCTCAGCATGGCCAACGCCGGTCCCGACTCTAATGGTTCCCAATTTTTCATTACGACCACCCCCACTCCTTGGTTGGATGGTCGTCATGTTGTGTTCGGCGAGGTTCTCGAGGGTTACGATATTGTCGAGGCCATCTCCCGTGTTCAGCGTGATGCTCGTGACAAGCCTATCAAGGACGTCAAGATTGTCAAGTCTGGTGTTCTCGCTGAGGAGGAAGAAAAGAGTGACAAGGAGGCTCAAGAAGAGGGTTCCGAGTTGTAAAAAAGACCACTCAAGGCTTAGCTATATGACGTTGTAATAATGAACAAGTCAAATGACTGTTGTTTTACGAATAAAAACTGGTTTACTCATGGCCATTTCTACGTGCGGCGGACCCTGTATTTGTCATTGAAAGTGTTCAGATGCGTTTTCGAGTGGCGTTTGTTGTTCACGCGTGGCGCGTTTTAATATAACTTTATTTTTAGCCGCAACCTAATATGTCATTATAACCGCCCTCTCTCGACTTGTCTTCCGCCATAACCAGTTTCACGCAATTCTCCACTTTCCGTTGACACTTGTGGGATCATAATTAATCGTCTTGATACTTTGCATCTCTTCCGCGTTTTGGTAAGTCGTATTTTAACTGCTGATGCGGCCTTTCTGCTGGATCCTTATTAACAAAAATGTTAGCATACATGGGGTTCAGAGTAATAAAGAGCAAGCTGAAACCCGTTCAGGCCTCTGCCAACAAGCTTCACGACAAAATATCGTCCAGACTTAATAGTAAGCCATTCCAAAGGAATTCTATGGTTAAAGTGTCTTATTAACACGTATGTAGGAGACAACGACTATGATAAGGAAGCTATCCATAGCGAAACAAAGGTCCATGTAAAATACCAGGATGTGGAGAAGTTTCCTCCTCCCCCAAAGCATTATTTACAGCTGCATCCTCCTAGTCCAACTCCGGAAGAAGGAAGTGACGAAGAAGTTGGTTCTCCTGCCACTGTCCACCATTCTCAGGCTCCTCATCCCGCCGTTCCTGCTAGAAAAGAAGCACCCTCCGTGCCTACTCACCCTATGCCAGATCGAGCAGATGTTCCCCATCGGAATGGTCCTCCACGGCCACCTTTAGCAACGCAGTTGCCCGTGAGCTCTCCGGTTTCGAGTACAGCATCCCATACTGCCATGAGAGGCGCCGTTCCTCCTCCTCCTGTACGAAGACAGTCGGCTTCTTTTGCCTCTTCAGTTCCTCCTCCTCCTCCCAGAACAAACTCTTCAACTTCTTCCATACCCTCTACGGCACCAAGTAATAGGTCAATGGCTGAACGCACTTCCTCTTCTTTTGTGTCTCCTTCGGCTCGTGCATCTTCCGCACACTCTGTTCCCACAGCACTTACTATGTTGGGTAACAAGTCGGCTGCTCCAGTTGCTAAGCCAAAGAGAAAGGTCCCTCCTCCGCCTCCGAAGCCGAAACATTTGTCTGCAAATGTGACTTCAAATACCTATTTCTCTTCTCCTTCTCATCGTTCTTTGGCCCATACGCCTGATCCATCAGCACCTCCGCCAATCCCTGGGAATCGCCCCAACATTTAGTTGTCCACGCGTGTTTTATTGAAGTGTTTGGTATCAAAAAGGACCGAAATTTAGGTTCTCGGCTTGTCTCTTCCCTTATGACAGATGGCAAGTGTAACTTTTTGAACCATACATTGGTTACCTTACTCTCTTCTTCCTCGTTTTATTCCCCTGTAATTCCTTTTTTTTTATTTACCTCATTCCCTTTAAACTGATCGAGTAAAAGATTGGCTCAAATTTCCGTGCGAGTCCCTGTGATTCAATGGTTCCGCTTTGGAATTAAAGTTGACTTGTTCTTTGACTTCGTCACAGTTTACGTTCTTATTATGTATTACGCAAGTGACTTGTCTGAAGTTTATTCTTTTTATGTTTTGTTATGAAAGTGTTAGAAGCTTGCAAAAGTGTTATCTATTAAATGTACAAAATTTTACATACTAAAATACGTACTTCTCTTGATATTTGCTTCGTAACATGTGTCATTTCAAACTTAAGAGATGGGTTTTCGTCGCCAAGTGAGTTTTAAGGGCACAGTGGCCTGCTGCAACAGGCTTACAGAGTTACGCGAATGAAATGATTCTGTCTATTCTCTCCGAATGAGTTCAGTTAGTCGCTAGTGTGCTGAAATACGCAATAAAGTACTAGGTGTTTATGACTAAGACTAGCTGTGACAGTATATGGCTCATGGTTTTCGGTACGGATGATGATCAGATTTGTGTCATGACTTATTCATGACCTTCATAATGTTGGTGCATCCTTCTTCTTGAGACATTTACACATGACAATCTGTTAAGGGCTCTTCGCTTTGCTGAAATTGAGTTTTCCCTTTTCGTTCCTCTAGCGCTTCAGTAAAACCTTTAAATCGATGTCAGAGTTTCCATTTGCTATGGCAGTCAGTGTGTAAATGACAGAGCTTGCCCTGAATATTAGGAAACCTCATGACAGCCATGAACGACTTCACAATGTCTCTGCCAAAGCTCAAGTCTTTGGTTAGACAAAGCATGGGAGGACCTCCGATAAGCACAAAAACCAGTGGAACTACAGGGAAGCCACATCACAAGGGACATGAAATGGTACGTAATTAAATTGGGTGGAAGGTCGTTTCACTCGTACTCAGTGTGAATCATGTCGAATGTGTTGGACTAATAATCATGCTTGTAGGTCATTGGAAATTGCTTCTGTTGTGGATCCAGACTTTCGTATCCACGTTCTGTACCCTGTTTTCGCTGCACTGTGTGTCTAACCATTAATGACCTTCCTTCCGCGAAAACAAGTCTTATTCCAGAACACATACAGCGTATAGAACCATTGTCGGTTAAACGCTTGCGTCACTTAGTTGAGAAGGTGAAGCGTGAAGCAGCTCTTGGTCATGCTTCTGACGACTTAGAAGCAGTCTCGTTGGCACACAAACCTCTGCGACTATGGTTGAGCCATGCTTTTCGCAACTCTGTTATATTAAACAAATCTTTTCAAAGTAAGGAAGAGCCTGGAAAAGACCATTGTGGTTTTGATTACGACGAAATCAGCGAGTTTTATCGAATTGTTTATAGTCTTCACAAATGTTATAAAGAAGACATACTTCAAGCTTCCGAGGCCCTTCTCAAAAGACCATTAAGATACTGTACCAGTGTCTATGATTGCAGATATATATTGATATTTCTGCAAAATCCTCTCTTAGCAGATAGCTCGTCAAAAAATCGCATGTTTCGCGACTCCTTTCTAAAAAGAATATTTGGACTTCTCTCTAACTTGAAGCCTGATATGCAATATCAGTTTGTCATGTGGTTTACTCAGGGACCATATAAAAACGCTTCAGTGTTTCAACAAAAAGTTGAGCTGGTGAACTCATATATAAGCGTTCGACTTTCCAGAATTTATAGTCACGCCTATCTTGGTTATTCATACACAAGTGACTGGAAAATTAATGCCGCAGCACAAACTTTGGCTCTGCTATTTTCTGCTAATAACAAAATGAACCTGTTGGACGGAAGTCATTTTTACAATACAATGGTTGATTATATTGACCTTATTTCCGACTTTGATTCGTGGGAGCAACGAAGCACAAAGTTCTGTTTTTGTCAGTATCCCTTTCTCCTGTCAATGGGTGTTAAAATGCGAATTATGGAATACGACGCGAGAAGACAGATGGAAGTTAAAGCGAGAGAAGCATTCTTTTCATCACTTTTATCGAAACGTGTATTTCAGCCCTGCCTTTTGCTTCGGGTGAGACGCTCACACTTGATTGAGGACAGCTTAAAGCAGATTCGTCTAAACGAAAGCGATCTCAAGAAAAGCCTTCGTATAGAGTTTATCGATGAGGAAGGCGTGGATGCAGGTGGTTTGCGAAAAGAATGGTTTCTTCTCTTATGTCGTCGTGTTTTCGATCCTGCGTTTTCTTTATTTCAAACATTCGACGACGGAACCATTCCAATACTTATGGTTTAATTCGACCACAGAAATTCAGGCAGAACACTTCTACCTTGTTGGGGTGGTCATGGGAATGGCTATTTACAACTCAATCAACTTGGACATTCATCTGCCCTTAGCTTGCTATAAAAAGTTGCTTGGTATTTCTGTGGGTATCAATGACCTTGAACTTTTCCGCCCAAGACTAGTAGCCGGATTCAAGAAATTACTTGAATATGAAGGCGATATTGAGAGTACATTTGGCTTGACATTTTCGGTCAACCAACGGGCTGGAAATAGTGTCCAATTATTGGAACTAGTATCAGGAGGTGCCCATAAGCCGGTCAATCAAGATAACAAGGAAGAGTACATACGTTTGTATGTAGACTTTTTGCTCAACAAGTCCGTTGCGACCCAGTTTAAAGCGTTCAAGAATGGTTTTCTTCACGTCTGCGGAGGGAATGCGCTTTCTCTTTTCCGTCCAGAAGAGATTGAACAACTTGTTCGAGGGAGTGAAGAAGAAATTGACTTGTACCAGTTACAAAGTGTCTGTGTATATGATGTCTATTCAAATCCTGGTCCTGATGATGCAAGTATTCACAGCTCTTCCACGTATTCTGGCCGCGCTCGAGGAAAACCGGAGTCTAGTGTTATCATGGATCAGCAAAGAGTCATTCAGTGGTTTTGGTCTATTGTCTCAGAGTACACGCCAGATACATGCAGACGTCTGCTTGCATTTGTAACCGGAAGCGATCGGCTTCCCGCAACAGGCATTGCTAGCTTGCAATTCCGTATTTCTATTGTTGGAGCAGATTGCGACAGATATCCTGTCGCGCACACATGCTTCAATCAGCTCTGTCTCTGGGATTATTCTTCCCGTGAGAAATTACGTACTAAGCTTGAACGTGCTTTATACGAGTCGCACGGTTTTGGACTCAAGTAAAGTATACAGAAGCATTCAGCACGAGGTGAAGAATTGCTTTCTTTCATTTACGACCGCGTCGCTTGGCAGCTCACAACCAAAGATGTGTACAGGCTCAAAGTGCAAATAGTCTTGAGTCAACTTTCTTTTCTTTTTCCATCCTGTAATTTATTGCCCAAGTGCTAAGTGTTCTTGTTCGCACTATATCTTTGGAATGTATCTGCGAGGTCATCACCAAAATCATCTTCATCCTCGTCAAAATCTTCATCAAAATCATCTTCAACGCCCTGCGTATCTTCAATAACATCGTCATCCTCTTCTTCCTCAATGGGTGTTTGGACACGTGTAGTTGCAGAACTCTTTATAGTGTTTCTTGCAGCATCAGCTCGTGGCACCTGCTGCTGTTGTTGCTGCTGTTGCTGTTTCTGTTTCTGCAATGCTGGTTTAACAGTGGGTACAGTTGTCTTTTTGGCAACTGGTTTCTTCGCAGAGCGCTGTTGATCACGGAAATAACTCTCTTCATCATCGTCGTCTGAATCTCCCCCGTTCAAGAAGTCCGTGCCCACGACAAACTCATTGTCAAAATCAACATTGTTGTCTTCGGTCGACTCTTCTACACAGACCTTACAACGAGGTTCAAATGTTCTCCTTTGACTTTTGGAAAACTCGTCCAGCTGTTTGTATTTCTCACAACGAGTGCACTGGAGAATTTCGCTATTCTTGGCACTACAACCAGTGCACAGGGCCAGGGCATCAGGAAGAAATATGCGATTGCCTCGTTCATAGCGAAAAGCCTTCTCCCATTGATTACTATTGAAAGATGATCTAGGTTTTTTTTTTCTGCAGACAGAACATTGGAGAAGAAAGTTTGTATGGTTCATATTGCTAGATTTCGAAGTTCCCCGGGGAACAAGACGAACAGAAGAAACTCCTTTTGGTCCTTTCTTTTTAAAAGTAGACATCTTGTTGAAGTTTTTCGTAATAAAGGGAATGAGACGATTCAAAAAAAAGGCAAGAGCCCAGGAAATCTAGGATCTGTTTTTTTTAAACTTTTTATAAATAAATTTTTAGAGAAATACTGAAACTTAGTACCGAAGTCCACAAGATACTAAGTAAATTCTCCCCTCTAATACTAACAGACAATAAGTTGCCGACACGAGAAATTTAGTGAGTAATGTAAGTAATGGTGGTGAGTTTGTCAGTCAAGCCCACGCATAAAATTCAGAAAAACTACGAGACAGAGTGACGAATAATCGGAATTACTGGAATAAATATGTTAAACAATTCATCCTTTTAACAGCGATTATGTTATCGAATGACTTAAAATTTACTTTTGTAGTAGCCTGTTCGTTGGCTTTGTTTTTTTAAGTTCATTTACTCACCACCAAAAAACTTGTATACACAAAAAAGCAGTTAAACAGATCAGAGAATTACGAGTAGGTTTTGTGTCTGTTTGTATCTAACAAGAAGACCAAAAAACGTCTACTTTTTCCTTTGTTTCTCATTAATTTCGCCCTATTCATGTCCTGCTTGTTATAGAAATGCGTATCCTTGTAGTTGACTGTGTAAGTTATTGGGTGTTCACAACTATGGAGATTAGTTCTTTTCGTCTGCATTCTTTTGTACTGTGTTCTAATGATCATTTTTAGTATGATTCATACACATACAATGTCTGTGATATGCTTCAGCGGATATCAAAAGATATCCACATTGTCCTAGTTCACTGGGATAAAATTGCCGAAAAGATTTGGAGTAACCTTCATGTCTTCGACGCAATAGTTATTGGACCAGGACCGGGGCACCCGAATGATTATTCCGCTGTGCTTAACAAATTCTGGGAAACGAATATACCTACTCTTGGTATCTGTCTTGGATTTCAGTCTCTCTGCTTATATTATGGCGCAACGGTAGAAAAAATGAGCACACTTCCTTGGCATGGACGTGCGGCGACAGTGATAACAACTGGGGAATCTATTTATCAAGGCGTCTCAGAAGTAAAAGGTATGAGATATCACAGTTTATATGCACATAATATTCCCGTGAAAGATCTCACTATACTTGCAACAACAAAAGAAGATAATTTAGCAGTGGCTGTCCAAGCGAAACGAGCTCCACACTACGGAATTCTTTATCATCCTGAAAGCATCTGCTCGACTCATTCCCAAACTGTCATTAACAACTTTCTTTTGCACGTTGTTAAACCCAGTACCGCCGATCTTCCTACATCCATTTCTTCATATAACGTTCGTCCGACACCTTTTGTTGATTACTCAGTTCAGCCCTGTTTCAAAGTTTGTACGCAAGAGCTTTCTTGGTTCGATCCGCTCAGTTTCATTGAAAAGATAGAGCGCGACAATTCATTTTTTTGCTTCTTGGATTCAGCAAAAGAACCTGGCGAATTCTCTATGCTTGGATTCACTACTGGTCCGAATGCCTATACAATTCACTATCAAAAATCCATTGATGAAACGACGTTTACGCATTGCGTTTCTCAGCAACAAAACAAAAAACCGTATAATATATGGAAGGCGGTTGCCGAATTTATGAGCGAAAGGAAAGCTGTCGGAGGCTTAAAGCAGTTGCCTTTTCACGGCGGACTCATGGGAGTGTTAGGCTATGAAGCCAATGAGATGACAAAGAAATCCGCATCAGAGTATTCAAGAGGGTTAAACGCTTTTGCGAGTAAAACCGCAGAATCTTATGTGGATGCAGAACTCGCTTTTGTTGACCGCTCCTTTGTTTTTGACTTAGTACAGAAGCGTGTTTACGCTCAGACCCTTATAAAAGAGGAACAAACTCTTGAGAATTGGTGGGACGAATTACTTTTATCAGATTCCGATGCTACATCCAATTCTTTGAGTCATAAAGGGGACCAACCAAAAACACCGACTGTTACTATTTCCGATAGAAAATCCTACTGTAAAAAAGTACAAGACTGCCAGTCTTATCTCCTGTCTGGCGATTCTTATGAACTGTGTCTCACAGATCATATTTTAGTCCAACCTTCCAAATCTATTCACGATTTTGACTTATATAAAAGAATTCGCAATCACAATCCTGCTTCTTATGCTGGCTTTATGCGACTGCCTCATATAACACATTTATCCGCCTCTCCTGAACGCTTTTGCAAATTTGAAAATGGACACTGTCACTTTTCACCTATTAAAGGCACTTTGAAACGGACACCAACAACAAATATAGAAGTTGCTAAAGAGACGCTGCTTAATGTTAAAGACTCTAGTGAGCTGAACATGATTATTGACTTAATCCGTAATGACCTTTACCAACTTGCAACTGTTAACTCCGTTTCTGTGCCACAGCTTTACTCTGTCGAAGAGCATCCAACAGTATATTCTTTGGTTTCTCATATATATGGTGATATAAAAGCTCCTACTACTGGTTGGGACGTTTTGGCACACAGCTTCCCTCCAGGTTCAATGACAGGTGCGCCAAAACTTCGCAGCATACAGTTGTTAGAGGAACTTGAATCACTTCCGCGAGGTGTATATTCGGGAATATTTGGGTATTGGGATGCGTCACTTGAGAAAGGTGAGTTCAGTGTTATTATTCGTTCTACCTTCCGCTATCACAATGAAAACATTTGGCATATTGGTGCAGGAGGCGCCATCACAGTTCTAAGTACACCTGACGGTGAATTCGATGAAATGCTGTTGAAGGTGAACAGTGTGCTGCCAGCATTCAGCAAGTCAAATTAATCAAAACCTTATAATGTTGTTTGTTTCTTGTGTCGTATTTGTTATTCAAAAGCAATACCGCTACCATTTTATTCATAAACTTGGAAGTGGCACTTGCTAAACGTTCATATATTTATCACTGTCTTAATGCAGAAAACACTTCATAATTCGTTTGATAACAACATGCCCATATATATTATAAACTGTTACTTCATTTAATATAGAATTTAGAAAAGTTTTAAGCTCCATTGTTAATATCAAAGATGTGTGAACAGAAAAAGCAGTTTAAGGATGCAGCATATTGTAAGTAGATTAACATAAGCCACATTCTTTAAGTATACATTCATTTGACTGTTAATTTGTTTCAGATTCACTTTCTCGTGATGCCGTTCGAGGGGAAGTTTGATTGAAAAGGTACACGCCCAAAGAAAAGGTCTGGCAAAACAGCGGATCTTGACATACCCATGTTTAAAAGATGCGTCCAATTCGTGCCCTATAGCATAAACGTTAGCAATCACGTATTTCGCAGTGCGGAATAAAATAATTGGTAAGATCGTTCTACTCACTTTGTAATACTCAGCAGCCATTTCAGCTGCTTTTTGAGCGGCATCATTTTTTTTTACAGCGTGACCGAATCCGCGAACAATTCCGTCGCACCAGAGTTCTGTGAGCCACAAAATGTTGTTTGTGTCACGAAGTGTGACGTGAAGAAAAACAAACTCTACATTGCGTGGATGCGATGCCATTGTAGCTTTAGTTTCGACAGGCTTACCAGAAATTGGTGTCGTATAGTCCCATGAACACAGGGGACGATTTGTTAATTTCAAGTAGCGAGATTGTAGCACGCCAAATACACGCTCATCTTTGGCAAAGGATTCAACCTGTGTAAGGTATCGAAGGACAGCCACTTCAGAGTAAGACTTGTCCGATAGCCCAACGCTACTTGAACGTTTTCCCCGGTCAGCGGAAGGCTTTGCGTGCGATTGAACAGGACTGAAACTCCGGTTGTGATTGCTGTGCGAATCTCTCAATACATTCCTGTATCGATCCGGTTTGATATCGGCCTTTCGCGAAAGTAGTGCTGATTCACGCTCAGCATCTTTCGACAGTTTTTGAATCATTTGTTCTTTATTGTCGATTATCGTGCTTAAAGAGGACTAATACTTGCGTTAGTTTCCGTAAATATACACAGGCATACACTGACACTTACGTGTGTCACCTTCAGCTTGTCAGTTGAGTCTTGAAGAAATTGCAGATATTCTGACATGTTCTTGCGGAGAACTACTGCCTTTTCGTGGACTTCGGGTTGCTTGTTTTGCATAGAAGCCATGAATTCAGTTAACCGTACGATCTCTTCCTGCTGAGCTTGTAGCATTTGACTTTGTGCCTTGACGTGAAACGCGATACATTCAAGTTCACGGGGATTGAGTGTGATGGGTTCAGTGAATTCAGCTTTTGAATGATTTAGAATGTATGTAGGATACAGACACTTCACCAGATCATTTGAATCTTTAAATGGATTCAAAATAGCAGTGACCAGTTGAAACAACGGTAATTGTGCTTGGGCTTCAACTTTTGTCATCTGTTCGTATTCCTCAACTTTGTTTTGATACCAATCATGACTTTTCTTCGCATGAGGAGAATTTGCTGGAATACTTGAGGACAGTAAAGATAGCTTGTTAGTATAGGACATGGCCGTTTCAATGTATTCCTTAACAGTTAGAACCCGGTTCGACAAGAGATGAAATTACCTGCTCCTTTTTGCATTGTGAGTGCTGATCTTTCTGCGCATTTATTTTCCCTTCAAACCATTGCTGTTCTTCATTAGTCTCCGACAAAAAAGATCAAAAGTACGTACAACTTCCTTCTCCAATTTTGATATCTCTGTTTCAGCAGTACGTTTCTCCTGCTGTATTTCCATTTGTTCAAGCTGAAGAGATTTCTGTCAATGAGTTAGCAAGCCATTTACGCGTATTATGGATATTTTATACCATTTCACGTTGGTAGGTTTTAATTTTTTCATCAGTCTCTGCCAGTAAATACTTCTTCTCTGTCTCAAGTTGTTCCTTCATGGGTGTTAACAGACGCTTCTCCGATTTAAGGAACCAATCTTACAATTTCTGCTGAAAGTCGAGCAATGTTTTGGGACTCTTCTTCTGTAAAATCGGCTGGTTGTGCAATAGGTTCACTGGAACTATGCTTTTCGACGTGTTTTTCCTGTTTGGGCAGGCATTGCTTGACTCTTGGAGAGCTGCCAACATCTAAATCTCGATGAGGTACTTTCGTAGCCTTCATTTATGTTAACAACCATATCCAAGCTGGACAATTTGACCGTACACTGCTTGAAACACTTGGTACAGATTGGAAAGGAGCACTCAGAGTTGGAGTAACGGCGCTGTAAACGGGTGATTGCGTTGCAGGAGAAGCAGTATTAGAGTACATAGACATAAGGGCATCATTGAAAGCGAATGGTGAGGAAACACCTCCTTGTTTTTGCATATTCTGAAAAGCAAGCCACATCAACTGTTGTTGCTGCTCCAATAAAGCCGCCTTGGAATTAGGAGACAGCGGAACTTGTTCTAATCAACTGTTAATGCAATTCCTTCGTCAATTTGGGAAAGTGTCGACATCAAACTTAAATGAAAGACTACAATCTCTCCCGCGAAACCAAGACAATACCGTTTTTCATTTCCGGTTAATGTAATGCTGGAGAACAATTTTTTATGCTCGTATAAGCGGATTCCAAGGCAATTGATTATTTTGTAGGCAAAAGAAGTTGCTGGTAGAGGATAAACTCCGTATGATGAGGACACGCGACCAAGGTTCGGGTACTCCATGCATGACGTAATGAAAAGCTTAAGAACGCGTAAACAAACACGACACGAAAAGTCAGCGTCATAAAACAAAAGATGTAACTAAATAAAAAAGGAGTGTTATTAAGTGTAAAGACGAAAGGTAGAAACTAAAGAGACTGAGTCCGAAATGCCAACGTTTATGCCAAAATTAAAGCATCCCGTTTCCTAGAGTGTTTGCCTTACGCATCAGCTTAACATCCACTCGAGACAATTATACTGTGAAGAAATATATGAGAAATCATTTTAACTAGAGCTACAAAAAAGGACAGCAAGGTATTAAGAGATAAGAGGAAGAATTAAGAATTAGACAATTTGCTCCACAGCGGTGGTCATAACATGCACAGTCCTCTAATGCTGTTTACAGAGTATGAACAAACGTTTACAAACGACTGTCCCATACTATGGAAATTTTGTTCCGCCTTGCTCCTGATGATGTACAACTTCGGCCCAACTCATGAATGGTAAAGAAAAATCCGTACCCTGGAAATTGTACATAGGGGCGGCGGGTTGAAGAATTTCGGAATTCAAGACCGGTTCCGACGACGATTCTGAGGACTCTCGTGTAGCCAACAATCCTTCCTTAGGTTCAATAATTGCCGCAGGCTGAGCTGCGGAGCCGGGAGAACCACGGCTTTGTGTATTACATGTTAGGTCTTGACCCAAGTAGAAGCTTCCATTGCTGGATAACTCATTGACCCATTGGATCCATGCCTTATAACCCATTTCCGTCTTCTCTATTGGTTTGTCCCACGTAGGGACTACGGGGGCAGCCTGTGGCACAGGCTGAACTTCCCTGAACATATTTAAGAGCAGCGCAGTTTTGCCAACAGTATCTGGGCACTTGCGTCCAACCAGATTGAGTAGTCGAAGGGCCGTCTGCAACGTTGGACATTCGATGCGAGAGATGTATTCATGAAGAAATAGGACACTGGTTGCCGCAAAAAGACATTCATAGGTCGTGAAGGAATTGCACTGTAGCCGATTTACATGTTCCATCTCAGCGAATTCTGACACGAGCTCGGTGGCCGAGTCAACACATGCTTCCACGCCTTCTTCAAATTCAGGGGGATAACGCTGAGGGAGAACCTCAGCTGGACAATTCAAGCATAAATGAAATTTAGCCAGTAATAAAAGGCGAGAGCTGTGGATGATAGAGAAATGAAACATTGTTTTTAAAAGAACGTTTGGACCAAAATGACAATCATCAGGATCGTGACAGCCACTCAGCTGTCGATGTGTCAGGCCCAAGCGCCATTTGTGCAAACGCTTCCGTATTTCACTGGCGACTTCCGGTAAACGTTGTAATCCCTGTCGCATCCTGACCAAGTCAGCCGTCTCATCGGCCAGGGGTGCAAGGATCCCATAGAGGCGATCACACGCCCAGGTGGATAACAGCATAAGTTGAATAAACGCACGCAGATGGAAAACGTTTGTTGGTAGATGAGCAACCTCTAAGCGCTGGAGTACCGTGGGGAAGGGTGGAACAAAACTGGGCAATGCATGATTGCGTTTTGAGGATGTCGCATTTGATACCGTGATCATGTCCTTAGGTGTTGAAGCAGCCGTAACGCTCATAGAGGGAGTATCAAGCATTTCGTCAACATCAATTGGAGTCCGCAAAGACGGCGAAATGCCTTTGTGTTGATAAAGAAATCCGTACATGCAGTGCATTGTCCAGTATAGCCGCGAACATATCTCTCGTACAGCCGTCTCATCAGTATTGGAGGGAGAGAATCGTTGATAAAGCCCGATAGAGTCAGAAATATGAGAGGCAAATCCCAAAAATCCATGACACATTTCAAGCCTCGCCGATTGAAGATGATAAAGGCCGTAAAGCAAAAGTGCCTGCACAGTTGTTACGGTGTAACAATCATTAATTAAGCCAGAGAGCAAGTGACTTGCAGTCTGGAACAACTGAGGAAGATTAATGAGAGAAGGGTAAGCATTGTTGATGTCATGAAGGGCCATTTGTCCCAAACCAAGAATCAAAAGGGCGATTACAAGAAAGCCCAAGTCCAAAGATTCAACAGGAATGGTGGCAGAAACAAGAATGTCATAACGGGCAAAAAATAGCGATGTAGGATAAAAGTATAAGGGACCCTGGAAACGCTGGAAAAATGCATTTGCAAGCGTGTAGGCGTCTTGTGCCTTTGGAAGAAGAGACAGCGCAGAAGCGGCCATATGGTGCAAAAACGGCGGCACTGTATGAACTGCCGAAAACGGAGAGAGTGCTGAGGGTGTTTCAGGTGATAATGGTATATCTAATGAAGGGCGATTGAATTGATGTAAGATACGACGAAACGTTAGCGCAAAAGTCGAAGAACATGTTGCAACACCCGTGTCTTTTTGGGCGTTCCTTCGGGAAGAGTTTTGCTGTTGTGAAGATTGCTCGTACAGCGATTTCGCTGCCGCAAGCTTTTGTTGATTTGAGTAGACAGCACAAGCGCTATGGACCGAAGCAAGAACACGATCCTCTACCGAGTAACCAGACGGCAGACTCTCTACATTTGAGGCGGCAACAGCAGGCCGTTCACCTGAAAGCAAAAAGGGTGACAAAAAAGCAGGTCGCACAAGACCAGTGGCAGCAGCCATCGCAGCAGAGGAAAGTGTTGAGGTAGGTGCCGTTGATGGCGATTTTGACGGAATCTTGTCATTTTCGGGGACTCCAGCAACAGTTGGCGAACTTTCCTTGACAGCGTCGTTGATGGAATGACACAAGCGCAACATATCAGCCGTTTCCAATGAAACGTCTGGACACAAAATACTCATCAAGTACTCTAGACATCGTTGGCGCTCCAAAAGCTCCTCTAAATACTGTCGCGAAGGCGGCAGAGCGCGCTGCTCTGTAGGATATTTGCATTCCAGATTTGCTGAAATACAAACTTGACAGGGTAAGCAGCCATCGCAACGAATCTTTTTGGCACGACAATTCAGGCAAGCTTTGCGCACTCGCTGGCGATGATCAGCGGGAACGCGTCTCCTCGCCTTCCGTTGTTGTGTTTTGACGTCCAAAACCAGTTTGCGTGTCGCAAAACTGTCATTTGCGGGCATGGCAGAGCATAGAAATCATGCAAGCGAGACGCTATTCTACTTCAATCGAGTTGGGTCAGGGTCCCCGAAAAAACATTTACCAAACGCCACAGCGTTGCACTATTTCGATACAACGAGATGTCTAGAGATGCAGTATTTCTGCTTAGCGTGTTTTAGTGAAGTCGACGAAGGCTTACGACCGAGATTGAGAACCGAGAGAACACAGAAATAGTAAGGAGCGAGTTGCAACGCGAATACTGCACACGGAACCTTGATTATGACCCGGAAGAATACTTCTAGCATCGTTTATCCCAAATGTGTTGTTTTTGACCTGGATTACACGCTGTGGCCTCTGTGGATAGATACCCATGGTAAGTAAACGCGTCCGACGTGATACTGGAACCTATACGCAAACGAATAATGCGAAACGTTTGAAAGTTTTAGAACCGTTACATCCGTGAGAACCACGTTTCGTTCAAGTTTCATGCATTTAAAGCATACAGTTTCAATTGGATCAATCAGACTCACGTCAACAAGCGTGGACGCCGCATTGAGTGTGAAAGCAAAGCTTACGAGTTAGTGACACCGCCTTTTCGTGCTGATGAAAAGAATTCTAGCATTGTGTGGGACCGATACGGCACAGCCATCCAATTCTACGACGATGTAGTGGCCATTCTGCAAGATTTACGGGACCATGGAGTTTCGTTGTGTTTGGCTAGTCGAACATGTGAACCTAAATACGCGTTTCGAGTGCTGGATTTAATGAAAGTTACCATTGACGGAAAAAAACAACCAGCCAAGAACTTTTTTGCTATCGCAGAGATTTATCCAGGTAAGAATGGAGCAGAGACGCGAATTGCACGCACAACCATGTCAAACAACCTCGAGAGCACGGTCGACAGCGAGAGAGGGAGTTTATGGGAGACGACAAGTTGCCTTGGGGCTGCAATTGCCATTTATAAACCATGGTCACGTGTTGGCCGCGACGCGTTTTTCATTTCGAGAAAAAGCTAACGTGGATGCGCGCACCGACGCGTAGAACAGGAAGCAAGATTACGCACATGCAGAACATCAGCAAGAAGCTGAATATAGAATACAAGGACATGTTGTTTTTCGACGACGAATCAAGAAACCGTGAGGTAGAACGTCTGGGAGTAACATTCCAGTTGTTACCTGATGGACTCAACAAAGCCTCCAGCCTGGAAGGCTATCGTGCCTTCGCAATGCGAAATGGCTTGAGCAGATAAAAAATAGATAGGTAACAATGCAACAGAACTGCGAGCAGAGAAACATTCTGCGCTTCACACATACGACGGCGATTGTCGGCAGTTTTTGCCTTCTAAGACAAAGGAAGGAAATCAACGGGATGTATGTGTGTGAAAAACAATGAGCGATTGGAAGGATAATGGAATGGAATAAAGAAAAAAAAAAGACAAAAAGGAAAAAAAAAAAAGAAAGATAATGTTGGCGTGCACTAGAGCTTTCTAACAAAAAAATAGGCATGCCGAGACAGGGGCACGCTGACGGATAAGGAGAAGGTATCTGCAGTAAAGAACAGAACGGGAGAAAAGAGAGTATGAAGTACAACGGTACAGAAGAGAAAAAGAAATTGGAAACACGAGTAGGTAGTTTCGCAGTAGCGAAACCCAAAAATAGGAAAGAGGAGACTGGAACCATGACCAAGTCGGAGGGCGTGACCAACTAGTTCTCGTCTCGTAGCAAATACATCGCGGGAGTTTCGACAACGACAACGGGTTGAAGCACTGGGCCTCATTCAGGATTCATCATCGTCCTTTCGCGCACGTTTCCGCGGAGACGATATGGGAGAAGAGAGACGGCTCTGAACGACAGCCACCTGGAGAGGGAATTTGTTGTAAAATACAGGCGATGGAAGAGGTGCACGAAGCAACAGCATGAGCGCGTTCACACACTCGTCCAAGCGCTCTGTGCGCAGTGTATCGAGGTACGTTTGGAGGACCATATGACTTTCGCTTTTCCTGGTCGGCAGCAGCTCATTTGGCGTCGTCAGTCGTGTCGGCGTTGCGGGGCGTTTGTGGGATGAAGGCGGGGTAGAGCCGACGAGCGGGGGCGATTCGTCGGCGTCGGCGGACGGACAGGGTTTTGCTTCTTGATCGACAAGTTTGCAGCAGCAAGAGTAATCATTGCCATTTTCCGGACGATCGCTGGCAGGCGGGGTTTCTGCGCTGCAGTCGCTGTCATTGTTTCCGTCTCCAGCATCACTTTCACGGCCCACGCGCCAGTCGATAGGCCATAAAAAATTGGGGTTCCATTCAGCCTGCGAACGGAGCTCAGTACCGATGAAACGTTCGGCAACGACGACAGCTGCGGCAGCAATACTAGAGGCGGGAAATGTGAGGAACTGTTCCGAGAACAGTGAGACCTCGAGCAGGAAAAAAACCATAGGGTGAAGGACGGGAAGGAAAATATCGGCGGTGGGTTGGGCAATATCCCAATTGAGAGTAACGAGAATGTGACGCTCCATTTGGACGAACATGGTTTCAGAATAGACATCACGACACAGCTCTTTCAGCTCCTGGAGCAGCGGGACGCGTTGCTTGTGCTCGTAAAATTTACATGCGATCCACAGGCACGCGCAGCCAAGCAGCTGATAGTGCCGGCGGTAGACAGTGCGTTTCGCTGTGTAGCGGTCCATCAGGCTGACCGCAAGGAGCAGCGTCGCAGGCGACAGCGCAAAGCCCAGATGAACTTCAATGAGAAAGCTGACGAGCAGCGAACGCATGCTCCAGGTGAGCTGTGGTTGGTGACGCATGGCAGCGACATTAGGCAGGTAGGCCGACTGGCGCGACTGCAAATACGTCAGAATGTCGTCGCGGTACTCGCTTAGAAATCCATCGGACGCGGGGGAGTGCGGGGGAGCTGCTGCGGGAAGCGCACGCGGACGAGTCATGCTGAGTGATTCGAGGGAGTGCCAGGGCTGCTGGGGTCGAGAGTGCCGTTGAGGGCGAGTAGACGTAGGCAGAAACCGCAAAGGCATGGATGGCGACTATTAGATCCAGAGGCTGACGGTCCAGTAACATTGTGTTCTGTTCGGGATTAGTAGGTGCGCGGAGAGGACGGGAGCGTAGCAAAAATGGAGCATTAACGAGCCGCAGCACAGCGCAGCGAGTTTACCGAGCAGCAGCGCAGCACGGAGCGGCAGAACGCAGTGGATTCTTTGCGGTACACTGCGGTAAAATGCACTATTGTCGTAACAGCGCAGTGCGGACCGCCTCGGTGCGCAGCCGTCGCGCTCCGCAACGCGGTTTGCGTGCCGCAACGAGCTGCACGGCCCACAAAGCTGCCTAGAGCCGCGTAGTGGTGCGTTAGCGTGCACTGACGGCCGTTCTTCGTGCAGAACGTCTGTTTTTGTGGACGTAAGCGTAGCCGTTCTCTGGTGCACTCGCTGACTCTGCTACGGCCGTTAAATCGCCATCCGCACCGCTTGTAACATACTTGGACTGCGGAGGAGAGGTGAGCCTGGTTGTGCAGGAAAAAGGCAGCTGCCGCACATCCCGCGCGCTGAGGGTCCCTATTTTGTTTACACACTAACAGGCGTTTTCAAATAGCGAGACGCAGCGCACGGTAGCGATGCCGCCGTCGCTCCGATCGGCTGGCCTGTTGCCGGAACGTGAGTGGCCGGAGCTCCCCTCAACAAAGCAAGCATCGCCGGTAAGCGAGTCGTTTCGAGATACTGTGCGGGGAAGCGCGGGCAGTGTTCGGCACCCGTGGGATACACAGCACCGGCCGTCTGAGTCTCTTTGACAGTCGGCGGCGGCACGCACAGCAGTTTGTCCCTGGCGAAGAACGTTAAAACCAAGTTCGCTCGAGTTTAGTGCGCTTCCCTGCGTGAGCCTGGCGTGCGCCGCATCACACAAGCCCTCGCTTGCCCTTCCCTGAGCGCTCCATCAGCTTTTCCACACGTGACGTCATCCGCGAAAAGTGGCGTCTGCTAGCCTGTTGCCGACCGCGACAAAGCCCGTGCGATCACGAGGGCCCCTCGCGTCTAGACTCCCCTGTGCGATTAAGGTTTTGTTCAGGCGCGTTACGTCATTTCAGGGTTCGGGCATGCATACAAGAACAATGAAAACAGCAGCGGGTGCAATCACAACGTGTCCTTTGCCAACCACAACGAAGGGACGGGAAGCGAGTGCAAGGGAAAGCTGGTGCTCGGACGGGTGGCAGGCTGCGTAATTGAAAGAGCTGGCGAGCGAGACAATGGAGCAGGCGGTGTAGGCGCGCGCGCGTGTCGATGGGATGGGATGGGATGCGCTGCGAGAGCTGGGAGCCTGCTCAGCTGATGCTGCTCCCTTTGCAGCAGCATCACTAGCGATGCTTACTTGGCCGGCGATCCGGCAATTCGTTTGCAGCGGTCGGTCGCGATTTCGTCAAACACTGCACTCAGCTGCTGTGGGGAACCCCACATGGCCCCACTCGTGGTTGCTCGAATGCGTTGGGAAGTGCACGCCGCCCTTTTTTATCAGTCGCAACTTTTCTCGCGCTGACGAGCAACCCAGTGGAGCCACGTGAGACGCGCCCCCACATCTGCTGCGACTGTGGTTGGCCGATAAATTCGCGCAAAGCAGCAACCGAAATCACGATCACGTGCCTCCTGACGACACTCGAGCTTTGTTTGAAGCACATGCAAGAGAAGCAAAGCACTGTGTTTACTAAACTCGCTAACATCCCTGGCGCGCATCCCGCCGTAGCAAGGGGCGCAATAAGCCCGGCAACCGCTTTGTCTGCCCCCCCTTTGTCTGCGGACCCTGTGGATCAGCATTTGCATAAGAAGGCGGTGGTCGCCGGCGGCCAGTTAGACGATCGCTGCAAACAAGCCTGACCTGACCTGACCGTCCAGCAGAAGCCCAGCCCAGCCCAGTTGCTCCAACGCTCAGTCGCCCGCTGCACAGCAAAGTCGCCCCCGTTCCTTGCGATGCTTGCAGAAATTCGCCTCGACTACGCGGCATTCCGCCAAACACAGCCCATCACAGGCGCCGTGTGCATCGAGACTAACATCCCGACGTCGCCGCGCTCCTTCAGCATCTCGCTGCGTCTTGTCGGACGCGCCATCTACAACAACAGCTTTCTCTGCTCGCCATCGTCGCCGGGCACATGCTCTTCATTGGCTGCCGACGACGAGGTCACTGAGCTCTGCTCCGGCACCTCGAATGTGTCGGTAGCTGCCGGGCCCACGGGTCGCAAACACGCTATTGCCTTCCACATGCGGCTGCCGCCGCCATCCAACGGCGGCTCTGTCGCGTCGCTGCCGTGCACGCTCACAAACGACTCCATGGTCAACATCTCCTACCTGCTGACGGCAACCATCTCCAAGCGACATGCCCTGTTTGCCCAGTCGCACACCTGCCAGACAGAGGTCGTCATTGCCTCCGCCAAGGGCCCTGCCCCCGCACCTGCCCCGCCTCTGCGGCGCGCACCCTCCATCGCATCCAATGCCCCGTCCAACCTTATTTCGATGACGGGCGTGAACGGCAGCGGCGGTGCCAGCAACACCTGTGCATCGGCCGCGTCCTTCAGCAGCGCGACGTCGACGGCCCCGGTGGCCTCGCCCATTCCCTCGACGCCCACCGCCTACCGGTACAATATGCCTCTGCCGCCCTATCTCCACACACCGTCCTCGCTCGCACTGCCACTCGGCTCTCCCGCCGGCGCGTTGACCTCGTCGCCCCCATCCACCTCTCAGCGACACTACCGGACTCCGTCGGCGGAGTTGTTTTCTCGCACACCGTCTCTCGTTGATTCGGCGTCGCCGCCGTCGCCGCCGAGCTCTATGCGTATGCAGCAGCACCAGCAGCAGCTGTTCTACCAGCAGCAACAGCAACAGCACCAGCAATTCTTCTCAACTTATGGGTGTGTTCCTCCCACACCCTTGTCGCTGTACCCCACAATGTCACCGCCGTACACCACGCGACACGATTCTGCCGCGCTGCAGCCGCCGTACGTGTGTCTGGCGCCGGGTGAAAAACTTGCATTCAAACTGCGTCCCGACGACCTTTCATTCGAGGATGTGGAGGACGACCATGGCGGGATTAGCGCTGCTGATGCTGACGCGTTCCGAATGGCTGAGCCTTCGCAGCTCGACATGCGCTCGATGTCTGTGGGGCACATGGACGAGGACGTGCTCTCCTCAGTGTCGTCCCGTTCCTCCAACAGTCGTCGGTACAGCCGGCGTTCGCTGAAGTCGCCCGTGGCTGTGACGCAGATCACACCCGAGCAGGAGTTTGATATTCTTATTGATGAAATCCTGAACGCTCTCTAGGCGAGCATGAATAAACAAGAAGAACAAACAGAGCGGATGGGAGGGGCAAGCTCAGTTCCGGCGAATTCTCTGAGTTCACTGAAATTGCCTAAAAGTCTTGTACACGAGCCCGAGCATTCCTCTGTCGAACTCGATGTATCCCTCGTCCGTCCCGCCGTCCTCCCTTTCCCCTCACTGCCCCATCCACACCCCTTCACCGCCCTCTTTCCGTCCATTTTTCAACCTAATTCTTTTGTTTGTGTTTCCACTGTTCTTTTCTGTTTTTTCCGCTCCGTCCATCTGCTGTCGTGCATACTTCCCCCCTTTCTGTGATATCCATCGTGTGCTTTTGTCTGTTTAGCAATCTCTCCCCTAGACGCCTGGTGACAAGCTTGCACGCTTCCACGGAGGCCTTGCTGCCGAGAGGCAGGCAAGAGACCTGTTCGACACACGCAGCAGTTTTGTCTAGAGCGCCCGCGACTGGTGCATCCGGTCCAGTCCAGTCCGGTCCACTCCACTTCTGCACTTGTTTCTGGCATTCGCGCATACAAACACACACGCGCACGCAACCTTTTTTCTCCATCCTTTTTTGAATCAACTCTTCCTTACTAATCCGCCCGTGTCGGCACTGCCATCTGCGCCATTGCGGCACCGCCACTCCTACTCTGACCAATGACTCGAGGATGAATTTACGTTTTTGTTTTTGTTTTGCGAACAGGACCCGCGTGTTATGAATGAAATGATTTCCGTTGACTTGTGGGGTAACAGTAGCAAGCGGCTCGTAGCGCCAGCACTAGTTGGTGAGTAGCGGCGGTGGTAGTGGTAGTGGTGGAGTGCGTAGATCCTCCGGCCTCAGTGCCGCGCTGGACCCGTGCAGGCAAGGCCCTTGCAGATCTCTGTGGATCCCCTCGTCTTCGTCGATCATCGCACGCCGCAGATCCACCCGGGTCCATGGATCCCCTCCACTTTCGCCCCCCACTCGCGCTCAATTTCTCTTCAAAACTGCAAGACGCGTAACAATTCCTAGCGTCGTTCTTCTTCTCGCGTCCTCTTTTCCGCTGCATAGACTTCTCCTAGACCACGCAGGTCCTCTGGTTTGCGACGCTTTTTCTCCATGAATCCTCCTGGTGACAGCCTCCCAGACGACCAGTACAATTTCTCCTCCTTACCGACTGCTGGACAGTCGAACGCAGACCCGTACGACGCTCAAAATTCCGGAAATCCTAATCAATCGCATTTGGTAAGCAGTGAGCAGGCACTATGGGCGATTTTGGGCGGCGGACAGCAGCCGTTGCCTTCTCCTGGTCTCAACAATTCGCTCTTTGCTCCTTCCCCGTTTCGTGGTGATGCACACAATGCAGCAGCAGCTTCTTCTCAAAATTGGGCCACGTTCGCAACAAATTCCGCAGCAGCAGCAGCAGCTGCTGCTGCTGCTGCTGCCGTTTCCTCTAATCAAAATGGACCTCGCTACGATCAGTCCTTTCATCCGTTCCTCGTTTCACAACAACAGGCTGCTCAGCATGTTCAACAGCATCCTCATCAACAGCAATTGGTTTCAGAACAGCAAAACGAACAGGCACAACACTACTCTTCTCTCACTCAGCAGCACAAATTGTCCTACGGCCCTGCTTCTCTAGCTGGCCATGATCCTTCCTCTGTCCATGCTGCAGGCTTGAGCATGACGGACGCGAATGATCATTCCATGCCGCTCCCCTTGTCTAATACACAGCAGGGCATGAACCAACCGAACGCTTTTGTTCCCTTTCCTTATGGCCCATTGGCATCTCTTGATTCTGCTGCTGCTGCTGCTGCCCATCTTCCACCTTCTCATGCCGGTCTCCTTTCATCCCTCCATCAAGCACATGCAGCACCTGCCCCTTCTGCCGTGTCTTCCACAACATCCTTTCTTCCTCAAGGGCCTACGGCAACATTGGATGCCCGCCATCAAGTTTCCTCCCAGCGCACTGGCAATTCTCCTCATCTACAACATCAAAATCACTCTGCGGCGGCGGCGGCAGCTGCTGCTGCCGCTGCCGCCGTTGCACTTCGTGCAAACTTACCAGACATATCTCAGTCAGCGGCTTCTCTTCTCAGCACAACCTCTCAGCAGGTGGATGCTCTTCAAGCGGTTGCTGCAGAAGAACCAGCTGTCCAGACAACTTCGACACCTGCCGACTGGCCCTTTCAACTGGCTCGAAATGCCCCTCCCATGCCCGCTGCTAGTCTCCCTACTTCCTCCCTCAAGTCTTTCTTTCATGCCTCTGCACAAGCTGCTCGCATGTGCGGACTGCCTTCATCTACACTCCTAGACGCCGAAAAAACCATGTTGTCCGAGTCCTTGGACAGTCCTCATACTCTCTTTCACTATCTTCACATTCGCAACGGTATATGCTGGCTTTGGAGACGGAACCCAACGGTCCCCGTTACAGCCGTCGAGGCTCAGAATTTGTGTCTCGATCGACTGCTGTTTCCTTTTGCTCTCGCAGCACTCGAGTTTTTGACTCGCTTGGGTTATGTTAACATTGGATGTCTTTCATTCACTCCTTCACCGAATCTTCCTGGAAACCCTTCCGTTCCTCTGCGTCGCCGAAAGGTTCTCGTAGTTGGTGCGGGCATTGCTGGTCTTTCTTGTGCACGACAACTCACCTCGTTGTTTCAACAGTACAGCAGTCACTTCCTCTCGTACGGTGAGGATATTCCTGAAGTAGTTGTTTTTGAAGCTCAAAATCAGTATGGTGGTCGACTTCGCTCTGTTACATTTCCCTCGGCTGCAAAAAATGGCCTCAACTTGCTCCTGCGTCTTAACGAAACTGCGGATCGCAATGCTTTCGACGTGAGCAGCACCGACAAGAACCAGCTCGGTCTTGGGACAAAGGTCGATGTGGGCTTTCAATTTGTATATCGTGAACTTGACAAAACACTGTGCTTCTTGTTGGAAAAACAAATTGGTCTAAAGCTAGAGTCGTTAACGGGAAACGATTTTGTGTGCAAGTCGAGTGGAGATTTGTTTGACATGCAGAAGGTGCATTCTCTCCGTACCCTCTGGGATAAACTGTATCGGTACGCATCTATTCGTTACCATCTTCGATCCAAGCAGAATCCCTCATCGGTTTCCAAATGGACGGATGATTTTTATGCTTATTTGCGTGAGGCTTTCTCATTTCCTCAGCAAACCATGCTGCCGCTGTCAACTGAAAAGGGTGCCAGTTTTTCTGAACTCTTAAATACCGCTGTCCATTCAACTGCCACCTCGGTATCTTTGTCAGAAGAAGATGTTCAATTACTCAACTGGTTTTCTGAAAGTGCGGCTGAGAACGACTGTCTTGTGCCTCTCAGCGTTGAAGATGCTATTCAAGATTTTGTTCTCATGAGTCCTTGCATTGTCCGTGATGGTCTTTATAAGCTAGCAGTGGCTCTGTACAAATACCCTTCTCCTCTTGATATCCAGTATGGTAAACGTGTTGTCAACGTAAGTCAACAGAACGACAAGTTTATAGTCGGCTGTGGAGATAATTCGGCTTTTGAATTCGACAAGGTAGTACTCGCGGTCCCCCCAGCTCAGTTATTGCGAAAAGAATTAAAAACACAGCCTGAACCATCTGCCGCTTTTTATCAGTACGCAAATCGGCAGACAGATCAAACAACCCCTCGATTTAACAAACTAATACTTCGTTTTCCCGAATCATTCTGGCCTCCTAATACTCAAAGCATTGGCCTTTTGCCTACCGGTAAAGACGGCAGTGCTTCTCAACAGCTGCCTTTCCGTCGTTTGTGGGTCCTAGCAAACACGCCGGGAAACGCGGTCTTAACAGCGACTTTCGACAGCAGTAAACTGGATGGTATAAATGTTGCCGAAGTGAATTCATGGGTTATCTCGACGGCGATGGACGCGTTGAGAACGTGTTTCAGTAAGCAGTCCTCGTCAGTTCCCGAACCACTGGATGCATTTGTGTCAACTTGGGATGCTTATCCCTACTATTCGGGATTGCATAATGCCTCCTCTGGTGCGGATAATACATCTGAAACACTTTCACGGGAAATTCGAACTGTTGCCAAGGGCTGTTACATTGCAAGTGAAATAAATACTTCACGGAAGCAGACTCGTTTCCTTGAACAATTGTTCGTGAACGGGGTGCGTGTGTGTTCAGATGTATTGGAAAGCCTTATTCCGTTGACGGCTGTCATGAGTACAGCACTTTACGAAAGAGGCACACAAAGAACTCGAGTCCAATTTGAAGGCTCGTGCTCATCTTACCTCTTCGTTGCTTAATTCCAGCTTCCGAAAAAACAGACTTTCTTAATCGTGCACGGTACCCGACTGATGAAACAAGGAGCGTTTAGACGAACACAAAGAAGAGAGAGAAGCTTTTGTTATTGAAATTACTTGGACAACTTCCCGATAAGCCCTCAAAACCCAGCTCGAACCCGTTCCTGCTGTACCAAAAGATGCAATGGCATGTATGCCGAGCGCTTGCCAGTGAAGAAAAGCGGCAGCTTACAGGCGACAGTCGCGCGAAAGCAACCATTAATGAAATTCGATCCAAATTAGGCAAGATGTGGCGCCAGCTTGACGATTTGGGCAAAAAACCATGGATTGATGAAATTAACAACAGACGAAAATCTTATGCCGCACAGCAATCTAAGTATCAAAAGCTGTGTCAGGATTATGAAGCCCGAGCTGAACAAATTCGTGCGGAGCATCTAGCTAAAAGTGAATCGGAACCAATACCGGAAGAAGAAACTCGTCTTTACTTGTTGTCGAAACAAGAGGAAGAAGAGAGTCGGCGTGCACACGATGAAACGGCTTCGAATTCAGAAAATGAAAGCGACGAATATCATGATGAAGGTTCATCCGACTCTAATGCTAACGAACAAGGCTTTTAGAGGGGAAAAAAAGGTGAACTCTCATATTGAGCTCGAATTAAAAAAAAAATAAAAAACAATTACTACCCTAACTCATCTGATTGTTTCTTTTAATTATTATCTCCTAGACTTCCACTTTTACCAATCCCCTCCTCTGTCTTCTTTGCCCTCTCTCCTCCGTGATTGCTCACTCGTGTACCAATATATATGACTAAATTTATTCTTTCCTTCTCAATGTCATTTTCATTCCATAAACTCATTCTTTCAAAACAAGACACAGTCAAATAAAAACAAACTCGTACTTCTGTTGATCTTTCAGGCAGAGCCACCCCACTGTTTCCGGCAGAAATGGAATGTGAATGAGGTCGTCGGGATTCCAGCAAAAACTCATTTCATAATGCATTATCCGTTTCCGTATTCACATGTTTTTACTTTTTGCTACCTAACATTTTGTTGTTTTTCCTGAGCCGAACGGCACCCGTAATACTTACGCGCTTTGCCTGTACGAGACAAACCCACCAGAAACAAACGACAAAAAACTCTTTGTAAGTTTCTACAAAAAAATGGCGGTTCTCCCGTTTTATGAATTCTCTAAATTTGGAAAAGAAGATGACAATTTAAAATGGTTGAAATACACTGGCAGAGTTGAAATCCGTATGACTTCGTCGGAGGTTTTTGAGCAAAATGTTAAAAAACTCACAAAGCTTTCTGAGGTCGTTGACACAATCGTAGACTGCTCTTCTCTTTCCATCGACCAATGTTACAGCGTCTTAAACGCCGGAGCTCTGGCAATTGCTGTTACGGAGGAGATGTTGCCTGAACTCTCATCGATTACTCCTAGCAGACTTGTTCTTAAGACTTCTTGCACAGATGTCGAGAAGCTCGAAAAGTGTCTCCAATTTGCTTCATCTATTCAATTGGTTGCCTGTGAGTCTGGTTATCGTCCTGAATTTTTGGAAAAAATGAGCAAAATTGTTAGTCAAGAAACTATGATAGAGGGTGGCAGCCGTGTGCTGTATCTGGAGTATCCTAGTATGCCTAGCATGGAACAACTCAAATCTATTTCTGTTCATTCAGTCACGCCTGTGCTTACAAGTGCTTTCCTGACTGTTGACAAGGCTGAAACTGACAAGCTTCATTTAGCTGATTTGATTCTTGTGAACGCTGTCACCGACAGACCCGACGGTCTGTACACCACGCTTGTTGTCGACGAGCTTGGTGGTGCCTTGGGTCTTGTTTACTCGAGCAAGGAAAGTGTTGCCGAAAGTATGAAGACCGGCACTGGTGTATACCAGTCTAGAAAGCGTGGTCTCTGGTACAAGGGTGCCACGTCTGGCGCTGTCCAACATTTGATTCGTATCGATCTGGACTGTGATCATGACTGCATCCGTTTCGTCGTCTATCAAACCGGCAAGGGTTTCTGTCACCTTGACACTCAACACTGTTTCGGTCACAGCTCTGGTCTTCCTCAGCTTGAGCGTGTTTTAAAGTCTCGTAAGCAAAATGCCCCCGCTGGTTCTTACACAGCCCGTCTCTTCTCTGATCCAACATTGCTTCGCGCTAAGATTATGGAAGAGGCCGAGGAGCTCTGTGATGCAGCCACGAAAGATGAGGTTACATGGGAGATGGCTGACCTGATTTATTTCGCCATGACTCGCTGCGTTGCCGCTGGTGTATCTCTCGAAGACATTTCTCGTCATTTGGATCTGAAACATCGCAAGGTGACGAGACGTGCAGGCAATGCTAAAGCTGCTTGGACTGCAAAGTTGGAGGGTAAGGCCGTTGCCGACGTCAAAGAATCCAAGTAGAGAACATCGTGCTACCTTTTTCCTATCTTTGCTCCGTGTTTTCCGTTCCTTTCTCCTTTTCTATTCTTTTTGGTATCCGTTTATATAGTTCACCACTCATGAAACAAGCTGTTACCGAAAATGATACTCGGCGGTCTGCAAACTATTTCGTACAAGTATTTTGAGTAATACATGTAAAAGTTCTTCCCATACATAATCACCCAATACCTAGAATAATCAATACAACTTGCTTAAACAAGCAAGCTGGTATACTTAACTGCAACACTCAATCCCATTCACGTGCTGGTTCACAAAGTAAGAAGAACGAATACACAGAATTATTATTTTTGACCAGTTAATACTACAATAAACAAATAGTACACGGGAGAAGACGCATGATAAGTGATGCATCATCACCTTTGTAACAATACACGGAGGAGGAATTGCTGAACCAAAAAGGAGCGGTATTCAGACGACATTAGGAACGGCCATGTAGGACTGTTGACCCGAAGAGATACCAAAAAGTCGGCGAAGATGACGACGTGGAAAGGATAGGAAGTCTGACGGAGTTTGTTCCGTTTCGTAGTCCGAAGTAGCCTCTTCTTGAAAATCATTAAAACGCGAGGGGCGTTTCCACCTTTTCAACATGAGACTGCTGCAGATAACACTCAAACTAGAAAACATCATGGCGGTACTTGCAAACATAGGAGGCAAGTAAATACCCCATGGCAAAAGAACACCCATTGCAACGGGTAACATAACAAAATTATAAGCACAAGCCCAAAGAAGGTTCAGCCGGATTCGACGAAAGATGGAACGTGCAAGCGAAAAAGCAACAACCGTATCAATTATTGAACCGACGCGGGTCAAAAGAACATCGGCACTCTCAGCTGCCAAACCAGAAGCCGTAGAAAATGAGATGCCAACATCGGCGAGAGTTAACGAAGGTGAATCATTTATACCATCGCCAACCATTGCAACGATGTGGTTTTCCTTACGAAGCGCTTCAATGAACTCTGCTTTTCCTGCAGGAGAAACGCCCGCACGTACGTTGCTTTTCGGAATGCCTACCTCATTAGCGACGAACTCCGCAGTCTCCGGTTGGTCACCAGTGAGCATATAAACATTCTTATGCAAGTTTAAAAACTCGGAAACTGTTTGTCGAGCATTTGGTCGTATTTCATCGGAACACGCGACAACTGCCACAACCCATCGTTTCGCAGAAACAAATATACATGTCTTCCCTTTGCTGGAGTAATCGGAATAGTGATGTTGTATCGCTTCACTCATAACAGCGTGACTTGACTCCATAAGAGAGTAGTTTCCAATCATAACTCGCGTTTCCTTTTCGTCAAATATAATGTCAGCACCGACGCCATAACCCGGTATGGCTGAGAAGTTATCCATTGAGTATACATTGAGCGAATCAATTTCGTTGGCTTTCGTTAACATGGCTTTTGCAGTTGGATGCTCACTTGCACGCTCAATAGTCTTCACTGCACGCCAAACCGAAGACTCGTCACTCAAACCTGAAGCAGCCAAGGCTTCCGCGTCAAAGGCATAATCGCTAACACTTAATGAACCTTTTGTAAGGGTGCCTGTTTTATCCAAAACCACAGCATCGACACTTTCCAATCGTTCTAAAACGTCACCACCTTTGAATAAGATTCCATTTAGAGCAGCAACACCAGTACCCACCATTACAGCAGTTGGCGTACTTAGACCAAATGCGCACGGGCAGGCAACAACGATGACACTCATGGTAATGTTGAGACACACTGCAAAGTTACCAGCAGACGACTGAAAGAGAGGCGGCTTGTAATTGGTAAACTCTGTCAAACAAAACCAGAAAATGAATGTTGAAAGAGCAAGCAATAAAATCGCGGGAACAAATATCGCACTCACCTTATCCACAAAGCGCTGGATAGGTACTTGGTTCGACTGTGCTTCCCTCACAAGCTTGACAACAAGAGCAAGATGCGATTCCCTTGGTACTTTTGTCGCTTGCATTATAAGGCGCCCATTGCCGTTCGTAGTACCGCTGAGAACCGTAGAGCCTTCTGATTTGAAAACAGGAGTCGGTTCCCCAGTGACAGAGCTTTCATCTATGTATGAATGTCCTTCAGTGATAAAACCGTCAGCAGGAATCTTGTCGCCGGGCTTAATAAGAAGTTTGTCATTACGTTCAATCAGATCAACACATATATCAGTTTGTTCTCCTCCCCTCAATAACGTAACACTGGAAGGCACAAGATTGAGTAGATGTGAAAGTGCTGTAGACGTAGCGCCCTTTGCCTTATTTTCCAAAAAACGACCCAGCGTCACAAAGGTAAGAAGCATGTTACTTGTGTCAAAGAACACTGGTGCGCGTTCCTCCAAAGACAAAACACGATAATAAACGAGAAAAAAGATACTTGCAAAAAAGGCAGTCAACGATCCAATGGAAACTAATACATCCATATTCGCACCTCCGTGTCTTATAGATCGATACGCAGTAACAAAATATGCACGACCTACGCAAAGCTGAACAGGTACAGAAAGTAAAAAAGCTAGAACATCAGAGAGATAAAAACCATACACTGATGGCATTTCAAAAAATTCGTGAAAGTAGTTGAAAATATGAGGCAATTCATCAACAGACATGACAAGCAATGAAAAGAAGAGGGCAAACCAGAACCGAAACCCCCAAATACGTTGAGCGTTAATTCTTTTAAGGGACAAAACTTGGGCTGTTACATTGTCAACGGGCTTGTAAACACATGGGACCTGGCATCCATATAGTGTGTATAAGATGCGACGAGGACCAATGCTCTCTTCGTCAAAAGCCACTTGTATTTCCGAGTTACTAGAACCCAAGAGAACTTTTCGAGCTGCGAGTACACCCTCAAGAGAGAGTAACTCTCTCTGAATTTTGGACCAGTCAACATCTCCCAAGTCAGACTCAATGGTATAGTGAGCCACGTTTACATGTTCACCACAGCTCGAATGTGAAATCTCAGCATCGAAACCGCAATCTTCAATATGCTCCTTGATTTCTTCAGCAGACAAAGTGGCCGAATCATGCAAAGCAACAGCACGCTCCAACATCAATGTAACCGTAAAGTTTTTCATTCCGGGAAGCGGCTGCAATGCATTTTGAATGGAGGCGACACAACTCGCACATGTCATTCCTTTTACAGACAACACCGTCGTAGTGACATTGTCTTGAGACATTTTCCGAAGTCAAAAATTAAACCTACACGCGGAATTCTCTCAACCGACAGATGTAGTAGAAATGAACAAAACAAGCGAGACTGCCAACAGATATCGCGTTTGTTGTAAGAACGCACTATTACCGTGCTTGAATCAAATGTCGAAGTAATTCGCTAAAAAGCTCGGGTTTAAACCAAAATCAAAGGAAAATAAAACGAGAACTGAAAAATAAAGACACAAAAGTCAGCGACAAGCGTAGTTTATCATAGCTCAAATGTCGCAGTCCCCGGTTATCTCACACCATGCAGATCAATCTCGCATCTGATAAACCTCTTCAACCACTCAGCGGCAGAGTGCGCATGGCCCGGTGAAGAAGCATCTTAAATAATGCTGAAGAAGAGAGGAGAATGAGGAGAACGATTCGCCGAGGCCAAATTTGAACGGGAAGAATATTTCCGATTGAGTCGCTTTTCGCGAAGATAATACCAGAACAGGTGCAGTTTCGTCATAGCCTCTGATTAGTACGATGTACTCTGTATTTGAAACAAGTGCCACAATGCAGTCCAAGAAGTTCACGTTACAAACGACATGTACGATTTGTTAGCCGAAAGAGTCCTGATACTCAGTAAATTCTCGACATCCTCGGACACCATTTATCCATCTTCCATACATTTTGCATGTTAAATAGATAGTACAAAACAGCATTATCGAAAGAATATAACAAACTTTGAAAGAAAACCACAAATGATTAAACATAAAAACAGAATAAAAAAAAAAGAAACCGTCATAAAATAAGCGTAAAAACCATAATCGTAACAGTAGAACTTAAAGTTCATAGGCGTTAAGCACGCAGCTCAAGATTTCCAGATCATTCGTATGGCTTGACATAATCCGATGTCGTTTGAGTTAAATTCATATAAGCCAAAAAATGTGAGTATTGTGAAACCACGGAGAACCCACATCAATAGTGGAAACATCACCTTAAAGCGACGCTTTGGGAAATAGTCAATGATGCAAGATTCAAAACCCAAATGTGCGTGAGGAACCAGCGTACAAGCGAGTAATGCATTCAGCACAGCATTACTCGAACCACTGGCCAAAGCATAGGCTACCTGTGGCGCAACCATTATGGCGATGACGCGCTCAAAGTTCCAATGAATGCTTCCATGGGCTTTACTGCGTGGTGGAAAGACAACAGCGTCATTCACCGTGCCTTGGATGGTTTGTGGAGGTGGAGGGAAAATGCGACTGATGGATGTAACGGTGAAGGGCCGAATATTTGTTATCGGCTTTACTAAATTAATAATGCGCGATTGTTTGCACGAAAAAAGACCAATTCGATTCAACAGCATCGTCACAATCGCTAACTAAGATCTCCCGCAGTCAAATCCAATTGATTGCAAGTAGCCAGGTTCTGTTAATTTGAGTAGGTGAATGGGAGAGGGCAACCCACTCTCCACGATTGGGCGAGTTAAAGAACATGCATTCGCTTACCGCAAACTTTAAAAATCAACTAACGCGTAAACAAAATACAGAAAGTGTGATTATTGATTTATATTTGTCGACATGTGTAATGAATGCGATAATATATTGTCGTCAATTTGGGCGTATTGCTTAAAGGTTCTCGTATATGCATTCTCCCTCCACAACCACTTACTCAAATTGTAAAAATACGGTAAGCATGAGTTCATGAAGCACATCCTATACACCGTTCAAAGCGGCAGTAGAACACGAGTCTCAACAATTTGAAACTTATTTACTTTCTAACGTGCAGCTTTCATTTTCCCATTAAGAATAACGACCGAAACGACGGCATTCCTGAACAAAACAATGTCAAGTCCCATTCAAATCAGTATTCAAAATAACTCTAAACTTTTGAAATACTGTATTCCTAAATTTACTTGTGTTGTTTGATAATTATACTATTTACGAAGGGTCTTAATTACTCACGTTTGCTCCACCTGTCTTTGTCAACTTGCTCTAGCTCGTATGGACACCATGCTCTAGCACCTTGCTGACTATTGGTGTGCGAGTGAGGTCGGGCGGTAGAGTGTTGCTGACGTGTTAGTGACTACAGCAGACAAACTACGTCGAGTTTCTGACAGTGCGAATTATCAACAAACGTATTAAATAAGGAAAGTTCGGGGAAACACACTGTGCTCTATGTTTCGGCTGCGCTCTTTTCCCAAATTGACTCGCAGATTTGCGAGTTTGTCTCTTCCAAAAACTCAATCCACGACACTGCGTAATGGCTTGACTGTGGCTACAGAGTACCACCCTTTCGCTCAAACAGCAACAGTACTCGTCGGTGTTGATGCTGGTTCACGTGCTGAAAACGAGAAAAACAACGGTGCAGCTCATTTCCTTGAGCATCTCGCTTTTAAGGGCACGAAGAGCCGGTCACAACAAGACTTGGAGCTTGAGTTTGAAAATGCGGGAGCACATTTAAATGCTTACACTTCTCGTGAACAAACAGTATACTACGCGCACTCGTTTAAGGATGAGGTCCCCAAGACAGTCAGTGTCCTTGCAGACATTTTGCAGAATTCGACCATATCAAAAGACGCTGTGGAACGGGAGCGTCAAGTAATTTTACGCGAACAAGAAGAAGTTGACAAGGTAACAGACGAGGTTGTTTTTGACCATTTGCATGCTACTGCATTTCAGGGACAATCGTTGGGACGTACCATTCTTGGTCCTCGAGAAAATATAGAATCCCTGAGACGGGAAGACTTGTTGAAGTACATTGCCGACAATTACCGTAGTGATCGCATTATCATCGCTGGCGCTGGCGCTATTCCTCATGAACAACTTGTTGAACTTGCTGAAAAACACTTTTCCGGTTTGAAGCCATCGGATCACCCCGTTTCCATCGGTTCTCCTCGTAGCCCCAAACCTAGATTTGTTGGTTCCGAGGTTCGTGTCCGTGATGACGAAATGTCTACCGCCAACATTGCTATTGCCGTCGAAGGTGTTAGTTGGAAGGATCCCGACTACTTTACAGCTTTGGTCATGCAAGCAATTGTGGGCAACTGGGACAGAGCTATGGCAGCAGGCCCACATATGTCTTCGCGTCTTGGCGCCGTCGTCCAAAAGGAGAAGCTGGCCAACAGCTTTATGAGCTTCAGCACTAGTTACAGTGACACCGGTCTCTGGGGTATCTACCTAGTGTCGGAGAATCTGCTTCGACTTGATGACCTTGTGTACTTTGCTTTGCAAGAATGGACAAAGCTGTGTAATCCATTGAGTGCAGAGGTAGAACGGGCCAAGGCTCAATTAAAAGCCTCTCTGTTATTATCTCTTGATTCGACAACAGCAATTGCAGAAGACATTGGTCGCCAACTTCTGACAACTGGACGCCGTATGACGCCTGAGGAAATCAGTAAAAACATTGACTCAATTACTGAGAAAGACGTGTCCCGTGTTGCTCAGAATATGATTTGGGACAAAGATATTGCCGTTTCTGCTGTCGGTGCAGTGGAGGGTTTGCTTGACTATAACCGTGTTCGCAGTGCGATATCTGCTAATCGGTATTGAGAAATAGATTTTGGACTCACAAAATCTTTTCACAAGTCTATTCCAATTTTATACGCGTTTTTTTTGCAATTGTTAACAAACAGTGCTTTGAAAATGTTTACAATCTCAGCTTTTCACGTCCCATACAGCTTTGTTCGTTTCCCGGTTGAATTAATTAAAAAGCTCAAGTGCTTATATCATGGAACTTGAACTTGGTTAGATATTGATTTTATGAAAAGGAACAATTATGTGACACAAAGTGCGATTAAATGTGAAACACTCTACCTAAAACGATGAACAATATTAATACTACAATGTTTTAAATCGTTGAAACTGCATAATTGCGCTCACCATAAAACTAAAGCTGCGTGAATCCGTTAAATAATGAACAACGGTTTCGAGCGAAGCTTATTTTTAGTTGCCTTGAAATTGTTTCCTCACAAATTCTTATCAATATCTGTTACTCATTTGTGTCTTAGTATACATTCGCGAAACTGTTCACTCTTCTAACCTTGAACTTCCTTCTCCTCACGGCTTCGCGTTTTAGAACAAAGTCGCGTTACTCGCTATGTCAATGCGTTTAACATTTAAAGGAGACAAAAAAACGTAAGTGTTTACCAAAGCATCTGCTTTATGTAGTGTTTTATTACATTAATTTCATGTTTTTGTTTTTTGACACCATTCGCTAACAATTACAGTAAAAAAAGGAAAAGAAAAACAGATCACTCTTCAAAAAATGTCGGCTTGATTGCAAGTGAAAGTAACGACGACGTTTGGATGAACGCTTTGAGCGTTTCTGAATTAAAGGGACCCATCGTACTGTGCATCCAGGGACGGCCAGGTGAGCCATGGGAATGCTTGAGCAGCCATCCAAACAACCCTAATGTTCATGTCCTGCAGATGGAAGACGAGTCTCATGCTCCAGATAAAACCGAACAGGTCTGGGTGTGCAGAGAACTCGATGGAAACTATCAATTAAAAAATTCAAACGGCTACTATTTATCTGCCAAGCCAGATGGTACTCTAGTTTGTGACAAAACGGCGATCAGCATCACAGAAGAATGGCAACCCAAGTTTCTTGAAGCTGAAAACGCATGGACCTGGAAGAACGTTGGTATCAATTCTTTCCTGACACTACAAGAAGGTGATTCGGGCGTTACTGTCTGCTGTATACGCGAGAAAGATCAAAAGCCAACCAAATGGGTTTGCCGTGTACAGACGAGATTTGCGCGTGAAAAGCGGCAAGATACATCGGACAAACACCATATAAGTCGCCAGACTTTGGAAGCAATGGCTAAGCGACCTCTCACGTCTGACGAAGTGAAGTTGCTCAAAAAGGCTTATCGGAACGGCATGCTTCATGAAGCCTTACTAGATCTGCGTACAGCCTCCAAAAGTGACAAGTATGGCTAACACGGGTTTGAAATGTTTTATTAAGCTTGACTAAACCAACAATCTTTCCTCGCGCCTAAGAATGAACAACGGATAACAATCCCCACAAGTATGATCCTTCATTTGACTATTTCTAATATCAACAATGCGCCCAAAGCAACCTAAAACTTGGAGACCTGCTCCTTGGAGTATCCCATTTTAAACAAACGGCCGGTTAAGTTAAAACGTCCAGAAGCAGGGTCCTTGTCACCAAAATAATCGATAATAAGAGGTTTGGGACCACTGATGAAAATCTTGAACTTTTTGCCCGAATCGGGGGCTGGAATGTACTTCTTCAACAGCTCGGGACTGATGCGACCAACATGCGTAGCAAGATTACTGTTGTCACGTTCAAGCACACGGACCAGCTGGAATTGATTGGGGAACTCTTTTGCCCATTTTTCAGTAATTTCACGAAGCAAAACGTCCTCATCAGAGACATGTGTATCAAAGTACACAATCTTTGTCTTGTCTTCTGGGTTTTCAAGGATGCGACGAGCGACTTGGATCATAGGTGCCACACCAGTGCCACCTCCGATTAAAAAGACGCTCTCAAACTCGTTTGTCTTCAATGGGTATTTAAGGCCAGGGCCGCAAAAAGGCAGCGAGTCTCCAACCTTTAAGTTGAAAATAATAGGACCGAGAATGCCCTCAGGGTAACGCTTGATCACCAAGTCCAAGAATCCTGTTTGGTTCTCACGAGAGACCGGGGTGTAAGCTCTGGTAACCTCATTGCCGTCTTGGTCAAGGATACCGGGGGCTTTAATGATGACAAAGCCAGCATGAGAAACACCGGGCACATGCGATTCACTTGGCAGAGCGAAGCGGAACAGCTTGGTATTATGCGTCTGGTCCTTGACATCAACCAGTTTGAGGTCAATCCATTTGCTGAAATCAGTAAATGTGGGTACGACAGAGGGAACAGTCATGATGCTTCTGTAATTTGCTACTGACAAGGAAGAGAACTTTGAAAAACTTTGAGGACGAAAAAGAACGTAACCGAGGAGACCACCGACACACGCGAGAACTGTAGAACGAACTGTGAATTTTCTTACTGCAGCTCTACGGAGGTTTGTTAAAAACATAAACCTTGCTCCGAAAAAAAGCAACCCGTGTGTTTCAACGCAGACGCTCCACCCAGCCGACGCTTTATACTACGCAAGTTTCCGCTCCTTGCGCTACGCTGTACCTCGTCAGTCCTTCCAGAAACGAACAGACCAACATTAGCTCGCTCAGCCAGTAACCCAAGGCTCCTCAAAGCTGGTCAGGATCTAGTCTTTCACGACCGATTTTCTCTGCTAAGCCGACGTATCACCATTGCTCAGTCTTCTCCATGGACAGGCTGTCTGTGGTCTCCGCTGTATCTTATCAGATCACGGAGTTATGCGATACGGCTTGAATGTTGAGTGGCCAAGACACTGCATAACTCCACGAATAACTTGCAGTGTAGCGGTATAAGAAGGCCCAGATATAATGAGAATAAAGTATAATAAGATTATCTAAGCGAGACATACAACGTCTCTAACCGAGCAGATCTTTGTCTAACCACAAACTCTTACAAAGGAAACAAGATTTTTGCATTGCTAAGCAAATACTCATTAATTACCTATTCGTTCTGTTAAAGACTGATCTCCGTCTCTGAATAATCCTTAGCTCTTCCAATTAATCGCTCACTTTAAGCTTTAATCTAAAATCTATTATCGTATCAGATAACTTTAATTTATTGAGAAATAAAAATGCAACCTTTAACGTAAAAAAAGCAAACGATAGTTGTGCGTGTATATAGAAAAACTCTTCTTCGTTCTCTTAAGTACTCGCAGACACATTGTCTCTCTCTCTCTCTCTCTTGAATTTCTTCTTTGTCGGTTTCTGCTTCTTTCCCGTCATTACCAACAAACACCTACACAAAATTAATCTTACATCTCCCTCCATGTAATGGACCAAACGGACTCGTCCATTCCCCCCGTTTCTTCAGTGAACGAGATTGGAAACCCTAATGTAGACGACCATATGAATGGTCTTGAGAATACTGCAAATGCTCTTCTACCGGTTAGTGAGTTTTCTGCTAAGGCGTATTTTACGTCTACTTCCAATTCAACGTCCTTACAGGCTACTGATGAAGTCTCTCTTCCCACCGGTGAGAGTCTACCGAACATATGCATTCCGGTTACTCGTGATACAAATGAGATATCCTCTGAGTCCAGTCGTCCTCAAACTTTCCAATCAGCCCAAGAACAATCAGACTCATCATACGCAATTAATAACACTAAAAAGGATTCAACATTCGCTTCTCATGATTCCCAGTCTTCTGCTAGCACTCTAGCTGCAGCCGTACCTTCCCAGAATGACGCTTCGAATTCATCTACAGCAGCAACAGCAACTGATACTGCCGCTGCAGTACCTGCAGTTCCACAAAAACGTGGTCGTGGACGGCCACGAAAACATCCACTACCTACTGTCGTGGTTAATACAGAGAGTACGCAAGGTGCCCAGCCAAAACGGAAACGTGGTAGACCTCGAAAGTATCCACTTGTCCAAATTGAGAAAACACGTATAGTAACGCTTTCTGCAAACACTCAGACAGAATCTGAATCGTCAACGACTTCTGCTGACAACAAAACGAATTCCACAACGGATGCTCCCGTAAAACGTCGTCGAGGCCGTCCTCGTAAATACCCAGTAGAGCAAGAGGCCCCACCAAAAGTTACTCGTCCACGCGGTCGTCCACGGAAGCAAACGACGGAGGACAGCTCAGAAGGACCGGCAACTCCTACTTCTCATCGTCGACGTGGCCGTCCTCCAAAACAACTTTCACCTTTACGGACAACAAGCCTTTCGCCTGAAAAGCAGCAAAATTTGTCTCTAGACCTTTCGCCTCGCTCTCCTACAAGTCATTTGCAGCCTTCAACCGAGCTTGGCTTCGATGCTTCACCTACTCGCTCCCGCTTAACGCAATCACCTTCGCTTTCCGTCTCTTATCCCTACTTGCCTCGAGACCTTACCGCGAGCCTCCCTTTACCTCCGGCTTCTCCATCACTCTTTGCTTCATTAGAACCAGGAAGTCCGGATATCCAAAACAAAATAACTGCTAGCAGTAGCAGTAGCAGTTCCAGTAGGCGTTTACGTTTCGAAGTGTCTATTCCCTCATCCCCAAAGAGAACAAAAACGGATGAGCCGAGCACACCAACGAATGCTGCTAGCTCGGCGATTTCGAGTCCAGTAAAACAAATGGCAGAGCCGGTAGGGTTTACCGGTGATGCTCTTAATGCTAACGAGGGAATGGAAGTTGCCGATGAAGACTTGGCCCAAGCGCAGGAAATCATCATGGCTCGTCTTACAGGACGTACTCACATTCCGCTTCAAAATCACACGTCTCAGTATCAGAGACTTTACCAATGGTTGCATCAAACAGTTACCCTGGGTGAAGGTAACTCAGCTATAATTGTTGGCCCACGAGGGAGCGGCAAGCGGACCATGGTTGATGATGCATTAAAAGAATTAAGACAATCAAGGAAGGAGTTGTTTTACACTATTACTTTAAATGGCCTGTATCAAACAGACGACAAAACAGCATTGCGGGAGATTTCTCGGCAATTATCTGTCGAGCTGGATGCAAGCTTTGGTGATGACGAATCGTCTTCCGCCGTCGAAATGACGGAGTCGAGCTTCGCGGACACTTTGACAAGATTGTTGGCAACGCTGTCCCTGCCGCGTGCGCTGGACGACGCGGCGGACGGCATGTCTATTTCATCTGCCGTTGTGTTTGTGCTAGAGGAGTTTGACTTGTTTGTCCAACATCCTCGTCAGATGTTACTTTATAACTTGTTCGATATAGCACAATCGGGAACGGTGCCTATTTCGGTGGTAGGTTTGACGACACGCTTTGATTGCTTTGAGTCACTCGAGAAGAGAGTGAAGAGCCGTTTTAGTCATATGGTTATTCAAGTGTCGCCTCCTAGTACATCGGAAGAATTCGGTGAACTTTTTGAAAAGGTTCTTGGACTGCCTGATACGCGGCCTTACTTTCGTGAATGGAATCAGCGCATAAAGCGGTTACTCGGCGATCCCCAGTCCCAGCTTTCCCGCTGTGTTTTGTATCACTATACGCATACGAAAAATCTTCGGTCTCTTTACGCTGACATGATAGCACCGGTGCTGGCTCTGTCGCCTACGGAACCATATCTCAAAGACGGAGCCTTATCCGACCCCAAAACCCGTGTTTCTGACTATCTACTTGATGCCATACGCGGTCTTACGCTACTTGAACTTGCGTTACTCATTTCTGCTGTTCGTTATGAAGCACGAGACGTCCAGGCATGCAACTTTAATAGTGCGTACCAGGAGTACAAGGCTTTACACCAACGGTCGCTCATCGATTCCGCTGCTGCCGGCGCTCTCGTGCATAATGCTCGATTGTGGAGCCGTGATGTGGCTTTAGAAGCCTGGGAGAAACTCATATACGCAGGACTTTTGACTACGGTTCAATCCTCAGCGAAGAATGCTGGTATGGTTGCGCGCGAATGTCAGTTGTACTCTGCTGAAGTTGACTTGCAAGACTTGCAAAATGTGCTGCGCGAGTTCCGTAAAATTCCTTCGTACTATCATCGTTGGATTCGTGAGGTAATTTAAGCATTCTCCTTGTTTAACGATAAGTTTGAAGGCTTTCATGAAATGCAAATAAAAGAGTAAAACAATGACGACCGCTGTTGCTGTATCTTTAACGACAACACTTCCTTTAAGACATTTCAAAGATGTATATAACTTCTGTTACGCCCCTGTTATTCCTTGTTCTTTCCTCAACTACTAATTGTAGGAATGCGTTTAAAATAATTGACAAAATGGTAGCTCACTCAGGCAGCGAATTGGACAACTGTTAGATGCTGCTGAAAATTGTCATGTGAGTGCATTTACTATGTAGTATTCCATTTCACTGATCTGTAGCGTTTCTTTGTATTGAAACAATCTCGTAATTCTCTGTTTTGTGTTTGAAGTATTCGTCCTCCTTATGCACCACCGACAGTCTCCTTAGCACATAAAACCATCCGCCATTGAGTTGGCAGCATCCACCACAACCTCTTCGGATCATAGGCTTCTAGTGCTCGGAATTTGCTCTGTGTGTTGGCCGTCTGCATCCTTCAAACTTCTCGTTGCGTTTGCTGTTTGACCTGACGTTGAATTTGTCTGTGCTCAAGTGCTGCTGCTGGAATGACTTCGTTCTTGGACTCGGTGCCTGAGGAAACACCCATCAAGGTCGACAATAGGGGAGAGAAGAAGCCAATTGTACTGCAAATTCAACTTCCGAAAGATGTTTTGGAGCAGTATCTTGCCGGAGAATGGACCGAAAAAGTGCAGCTTATTAACGGTCCCCGTCCTGTAAATTCATTTTTTTGGTTTAGAGCAATTGAGGTGCTAACATAAGGTCTAGTCCTTTTGTATCGGCTCCAAGAAGTTTCAGTGCACTTCCATTCCGGAGACAGCACCGCATGAAGTGTATCGAGCCCGCCGGTCAAACAGTCTCGAACTCGTTGGACGCATCCAGCAAAAGCTCATGCTTCGGCGAGAGCTTGATGGAAATGCTGCTCAACGGCTCAAGTCGCGGACAGCTCGTGTTGAAAATGAGAAGAAAGAGAAGAGGTATGTTTAACAATTGCGCTGATAACGATGTACAGTTTACTAAAACCTACTGCAGAACTCGAATTGTAACATTACGAGACACAGGAATGCACAGAAATGGAAGTGATCCATTTCATTCTCGTCGAAGTGGGCCTAGTCTCGTTGTTGCACCTGTATCAAATAATGGAAGCAATTCAACTTCTTCGTCTCATCATCAACAATACCCTTCTGCTGGATCCAACCCTTCTGCTACTCATCGTCCCGGAAACCATCACGACGGCGATTCTCCTGGCGTATCTCGGGTAGAGTTAAAGAGACGAGTTGTTCATCTGCTTGCTCTTCGACCCGTCACCGATGAAGTGCTGAAAAATCGCACCAAAGCATCACTAGCCGAGATACGTGTTCTGCTGCCCGAGGTGGCCACAAAGACACCGGTCCAGCAGTGGGAGCTTCGTCCTGAAATGTATGCAACTCTCCGTATATTCGACTGGACTCCGTACACACCTGAGGATCGTAATCTTGTTGTTAGAAGAGCAAAAGCGGCCTTTGATTCTCTTTCTCTTCCGCCTGATGCACCAGAAAGAGCAGTGCTTTCTCCCGGTGGTACAGTAAATGTTTCCAGTCCGGTCGCTGGGTCCCTACCGTCAAGTATGTCATCGGCATCTTCACGACAGAATTCAAGACCTTCGATATCCACAGGAGGAGAAAACCTGAACAATACACCTTCCTCTTCCACTCACAAGCAAAAACTTCCCGCGCATCGTGCGTCTACCTCTCATCCAACAACATCCTCCCCTCGGAAACAGCAGCAGCAACAGCAGCAGCAACAACCACAACAGCCACATTCTCATTCTCATTCACAGCATACCATCTCATCAGACCCTCCTACGCAATCGTCCGCTCGACGTCAAGAATCACCACATGTCAATCGCGATGCAGCTAACGTGCATGATGCTTCGTCAGATTCACACTCAGCTCCATCCGCGTCCTCTGCTCGTAAACGAAAGGTAATTGCCGAAACCAATAACCAAAGCAAACAGACTCCTGCGAACTCGGATGCTTCCGTCCGTGTGAAAAAACAACGAAACGGAAAACGGCCGCCTGCTGAATTGTATGTCATGGCGCGGCGGTTTCGTCAAGCCTATCCAAAATACCAAAGTCTATATAAAAAGGTGCTACATCTTACCGAAGTTAAAGATGCCGCCGACCCTGATCTTAATGATTTGCAAGAGAAGTTATTGTCTCTTCATAAACAATTGAAGAATTGGAAAAGCACTCTATTCTCTGCTTCGAAAGAGTATAGCTAGCTTTCCTTCTCCGCCCCTTGGACGGTTTGTCCATTCGTTCTGCTATTCGTCCACCACCTAGTCCCCTTTTTCTTACTCTTTTATGTTTTTCTTTCTAAACAGTTGCTCTAATTCTTCACTTTTAATTCTCTTTCAAAACAAAAGCAGCCTTTTTCTACCCTAAGTGACCAATTATGTCAACTAGGAAAGAAAGAAATGAAAAGAAGAAAACAAAACAAACGATAAAAAAGAATCCCTGTTTTTAAACTAAAAATCCCAATAAGGCTTTTGTTTTGACAAATTTATTTTATTTTTCTTAAGCCACAAAAACCAAACAGCTTCACTACCATATTCCAAATGGGAGGGGAGTACATAAAAAGTTATCTTTACTTACTCAATAAACACAAAATTTATTATTCTAAAGTAAAGCATTATTTCTCGCTGTGAGAAGTCGTGAACCCTCATATCTTTTTTGATACAAATCCGAGTTCAAGTGTTGGCACAGATTCAATGTTATTTATATTCAATATATCCATTGAAATAGTGTTGTAAATTTTATTATACAAACAGAATGTTAGCTTTAAATAGTGAAAGGAAGCGGCTTAAAACCATGCTTAAAGGCAATAAGCTACACGGAAAACAATGCCTAGCAAGGCTGTGAATAATCACTTGCCTCGGCTCGTTAAACAAGCCACAATGTAACCAAATTCGTGCATCATAAGAGAAAGGAAGGTGAATTATCAAACTCGTAACATATTGCAGATAAAAGAAATGAAAAAAGCCTGAAGGTTTGTGACCCGTTAAGGTGGCATGCAATTCATAAGATCAAAAAATATAAAAAATAAACAAATTTTCACACTCTCGAGAAAATTAAAATTTGTCAAAAGCCGGGCCGGTGCTCACAGGAACGCTTGCCTCTGTATAATGAGTGAAAGTTGGTTTCTTTGGAACGGCAATAGAGCCAGCGAGCGGCTGCACGGCTTCAGAAGTAGTGCCATCTTGTGGAACATTCGGCAAAGGTCGAGAAGGCAACTCTGACAGAGAAGACTTGGTGAGTTTTTGACGTGCTGGAGCGGTGCTAGGGCGCTGAGTCTCCTGTCGGCCTGTAATGAAGTCGTGTTGCATAGCTTCCTCAGGAGTCATTCTCTCATTCGGGTCCCAGCGCAGACAAGCTGAAATAAAGTTAAGGAAGGAGACATCTTTGCATTGCAAAGCTTGGTAAAGTGACTTTGTAAACGGCTTTCTGCACTTGCCCTTAGATGAAACAACTAATCTGGGCTTTCCAGCAGAATCGAAGAAGACTTTGCGACGAGTGCATTTTTCAATTAACGAAAGCTCAGGGGGACCGAATATTTCCATGATACAGGCTAACTGTTCTTGTTCATTTTCACCCGGGAATAGTGGGAAGCCAGTAAACATTTCAGCAATAATACAGCCCAAACTCCACATATCGATAGGTGTGCCGTACCCTAAACCTAGTATTACTTCAGGAGAACGGTAGAACCGAGACTGGATGTAAGTGTAGACGCGTTCGTTTTCGAAACAACTGCTACCAAAGTCAATCACCTTGATTTGAGATTTGAGAGGGTGGCAGAGCAGTATGTTTTCAGGCTTAAGATCGCAATGAATTACATGCTTGGTACGTAGCAGTAACAAGCATTGCAAAATCTGTTTTGTGATACTGCGGATAACAACAATAGGAAGACCTTTAAAGTTGTTGCTTTTAATTAGCTCGTACAAATTCATGCCAAGAAGTTCTGTAGCGACACATAAATGGTCTCTAAAATAAAAATGGTCGGTATAGCGAACCATACAACAGTCGTCATTAGGATCCCATTCACGGATTTGCTGCAGAATTTTAGTCTCGACGAGAGCTTGAACGTGGAAACGTTTTTTGTTTCGGATAATTTTCAACGCAACAAGTTTTCCTGTCTTGTAGTCGATACACCGTAAAACTTGACCGAAACTACCTTTACCCAGAAAGTCGATGACTTCAAACCGGTAGGCAATGTGATCACCAAGAATGACACGGTAATCACCCCGCTCGTCGTCAAATCCATTATTATACGGTTCATTAGGACGGGTCTTGTCAATTCCTGGTGTTCCGGTAAAGAACACGCAGTCGTAGTCTTGTATTTCTTGATCTTCAAACTCTGTCAACGTTGCACCGTTGAGTAATGACGCATCGCTAGAAGGAACCGGCAAGACTTTACAAGCACGATCCAATAAGGATTGCATTACCTTTGCTTCACTGAGAAGCTTATTGATTCGCTTGCTGTTGATTGCCTTCATGGCAAGGTCGGCAACTTTTCGATCGAATGGCTCAACAAAAGAAGTCGACGCCGAAATCGAAGGACTGACGGAGAGAGAAGGGATTGAAGTGGTCGTGGTCGTGGTCGTGGTAGCAGCAGTAGTAGCAGCAGTAGTAGTAGTGGCCGGTGCGTTAGTGCTCTTTCTGTTATCGCCAAATGACACACTGCGGTATGCTTGTTCTGGCTTGTCTTTTTTCAATAGAGCTGTAGGAAGTGCGGGAACCGGAGGTATGTCGGATTTCTTGAAAGGCGATGTTGCCGTTGCTGCTGGCGCCGGTTTGGCGTTAGGATTACTTTCAGTAGCACGATGGCTTCGAATAGTCGTTACACGAGTGTCAACGGGGACTGGCGGAGGAGGACTGTTACTAGCAGTACTGGCCTGTTTACTCCGGGAACCCTTCAACCAACTGAACAATTGCTGCATCCGGCTCTTGGTACGAGTTGGTGTCTTCTTTCCATCCTTCAATTCTTTGGAATCTTTTGACTTCAAGTAGGTAGCCGGAATAACCGGCACCGTCGGTGCGTTTTCTTCTTGATGTTTGTGAGCTTTTCGGTTACGAGAGGAACTGCGAGAAAAGCTAAGACGGCTAAAGAAGCCACCACGAGAGGAACGCCCCTCCTTGGCCGGTTTCGCAGGTCGTGAATCCTCCATCGAGGGCTTTCCCCTCGAAGCCCTTCGTTCGTGACGCTGGGCGCGGGTAGACGGGTGAGCCTTCTGGGAGATAGAGTGCCCGGCTGCGTTGTGGTTCTTGTCAGCATGACCGGAATTCTCTTTGGAGAAAGGAGTTGACGGATTAAATGCAGCAGAGGAACGTCTGCTGTGAGAAGCAGATTTCACTTGATTTCGGAAATCCGCTGAAACACGGCGTGAACCCACAGAATGCGGCACGCTTCCAGTATACTCGCTAGGAATATTCGGCACGGGGGGGACGGCTGAAGTAGTCTTACAGGGGGTGACGGGTACAGAACCGTTAAGAGCATTGACACCATTCATTTGAGCGTTCACGTATGTGTTCACGTTGACACTGACGGGCCAATTGTTCCGAAGAGTTTTGTTGGAGACGTACGACAGACCGTCTTTCGGAGTGCCGAAGGGTGATCGTTGCTCTGTGAAGCTGGAACTAAGCGAGTGCTGAGAGCGAGAAGTGTCGGTAGTTTTTTGGGATTGAATTGAGCGAAAGGAAGACAGGGGTGCTCTCGGCACAGTTGTGGAGGAGGAAACATTCTTGAAGGAAGATGAGAAGGAGGATTGAGCCTGGGTGTCCTGCTGGGAGTCGGACGCATCCATAAACTTGTCCAGCTTGCTTGAATAGCGTTTTTCCGAAGAAGGAGTAATGGAGAAGAACTGGTTAGTGCTGTTTCGACGACCGAGTGATCCGTTCTCGTCAGAGTTCGTGACGGTGGTCTGGCTCGTAATGGAAGAATCAATGGAAAACCGTTTGTCGTAGCTGCCAATACGAAGTTGGGCGACGTTCTCTCGGAGACCTGCTAATTTATCGTTTACGTCCTTTGTATTATAGTCCCAGCGCATGTTGAACGAGTGTTGTGACATGGGTGATGTCAATTAATTCAAGATAAAGCGACGTCGTGAAACGCAGCTGGAGAATCTCCAAAAGTAGTCGTAGGGCGTTTCTGAAAAAAAACAAACGAGTGTATAACGGCGGATGACCGTAAATTCCTGCTTTAATCCACCGTTTTGGTGCTATCGCGAGCAGACTCGCGAGATCAACAGTTGGCGCTGGGAGAGTGTGTTTCGGGTGTGAGCAGCGAGGTATAGCGAGTGGTAGCGAGAGGGTGCGAAAGGCGTGGGTTGCGGCGCGTTGGGCTTCAGTGCGCAACTGTATAGTATGCTGCGGAACGATAACATCCAATAGTGCAGTTCTGTGCAGTGCTGTCAGCACTGCGCTATTTCATTAAACTGATTAACGAACTATACTGAGTTTTTTCGTCCTGCACCGCCACTCAAATTAAGGGTTAGGGTTTCGATGCGAGTACTATATAAAGGGCAGCGCGTGCTCTCCAAAGCACCATCGTCAAAGCATTTCACAAAATCTATCGCATCTATTTCTTGCCTTTTACCAGAAATAGCCGTTTGTGAGGTGTGTGAATTTGACTGTGCAATTTTTGTTACTGTTTCCCTAACGGGGGACCCCCATTCTTTTCCTGAGTGTGTACCCGGAGATCGAATAGGAGTTTTTCGTGCGGGGTGTGCAGGGGAGGGAATAGTTGTGAGTGTGTCGCTCGCTGCGTTTCCATAGAGTTCGGTAATTGGTTTTACGAGATGTAGTGCGGGCTACCCGTCTGTCTGGGTTGTAAGAAACTGGGAGGGGTTCAGAGTTGTTTTTTTTTATTTATTTTATTTTTTATTGTTTTCTTTTATTTTTTGTTTCTGTTTTATTTATTATTTTACTCTTCGTTTTTAATTTTAATTTTTTTTATTTTTCTTTTTATTCATTTGATCTTTTACAATACACATAGTTTTAATTTTTTTTTTTTTGTCTTTGTTTTTTGGGGATTTTCCTCCTTTTACTCGTTCATCTAGTAGTATTTTAATATTATTTTCATTCTCTGATCATTTTGCTTTTATTCAGGATTCCGTCCTTTCCATCATATTCAATACTTCCTCCGTTGATACAGTAATTTTTTTTTTCGTCTGCTGCCAGTTCCTTTCAGTTGCTACAGTTTTTGCAACACAATGTCCACGGAAACTGATTTCATGCAACAGCCTCACATCTTTGGCCGATTGACGCTGCGTCCAAATCCGCTGTCTGCTGAAAAACCAAACCTCAATCGGCTTTGGATCGATTCATTGCTTCAGATTCCTTGGACAAACACCACAGTTCAAGGTCTCGAGGATTTGGCTAAACGGTATAGGTAAGCAAGTAGTGGAGTGGAGGGCACGGAGTTGAGACGATACGAACCGAAGACGAGGATGAATGATGATTGCCTTTTCGTCTTGTTCCTCGTCCCCAGTCCCTTTAAAGCACCTTACTGACTCTTCCTTTTTAGACTTGACGTATTTGTAGACACCTCTCAAGAGGGAAAGACTGTTCTCAGTTTGGCGGGAAAAATTATCCTTGTAGATGTAAGCATTACTTCTAGCAGCGACAGTCGGTAACGGATCTCTCCGCTCCTTGAACTCTCTACCCAGTCCCATCTAACAAAAAACCTCTTATAGGTCACTATCCTGAAAGAAGACCCGACAAAAGTCAATCAAGTAGCTCTTATATTCGCCGATGCCAGCGGGGAACAACATACGGACGAAGACTTGGAACGCTGTTTGAGAGACGCTATCCTCCATGAGAACACCTCGGCTTTCGAGAGGAACATTGCTTTTCTTGCTGCCGGTGATCATAGCTCGCCTTCCGTACAGCAGAGTGCGTTTCTGTACTTGCAGCAGATTTACAAGGCCGTGTTCGCCGTTCATGAAGATGAATGCAGGCGAATGAAAATGAACGATGCTCTCCTTTATGGTCACGGAGTGCCTGTCCTTAACAAAAACGATATTCTTGGTCTCCAGCTGACTTACTGGGAGTCGTTACATGAGACCTTCGAGGCACACTTGATTCTCGACGACATGCCTCCGCGCGGTGTGCGCCATGTAGAGTATGCTGAAGGACCACTGCTTAATCCTCAACAACCCTTCCTGCCCAACGGCGATCCGCAATGGGTATCGTCCACGGCAGCCGAGGACACTTTAACTGCAACACTCGTGTTACTTCTTCGTGATCACCGCTCTCTTTGGCTTCCTCTTCAAGGCATTCAAGCTCTCCTGGACAAGCTACAGCTCACAGACGTCTTTCTTCCTTGGCCTGAAACCCTTTATGGTGAATTGGTATGTATTTTTAGAAAGAGTTGGAAAGGAAGGGCCAGAAGAGAAACGTTGTTTGTGAACCTGATACACAGTTTTACAAGAAATGCTCCCCTTCTCCACTCCCTTTCCTCTCCTCTGCCTTTCTTCTTCCGCCTCTAACATCCTGCACAGCTCCACTTGCCATCTCGCTTCACATCTTCTTGTGCACCCTTGGATGGAAATGTTGATGTAACATTAGAAGGTCACGACATTCCAGCTCGCCAAGTGTACCGCGTTCCTATTGCACATCCCAGACAAATTCTCCCTGTGCTGCACATTCTACGGCAGTATCTAGTACTACAGTTGCTGCTTACTAACTGTGCAGGACCTACTGCAACAAGTGAATGCAACACGGCTTTACGCATATCCCTCACATTCACACCCATGCCATGTCTCAAGGTCCGCTATCAATGGCTTGGATCCCAATCGGCCGAAGACGTCGTCACATTTCTGTTGTTCGTGCAGGAGAACGGTCATTTACTTATTGACTCTCTTGTCCGTGGGCTGCAATCTTGCACGGACAATGCCAAGACTGCTCTTCACACTCTCCTCACTCGAACGCATCACATTCCATTGTCCCTTCAAACGTGGTCCTCCCGTTAAGGACGTTTAAAAACCGCAGCACTATCATTAAAAGACTAGTTACTTATCCTCACCACAGTGTAGCTTTGTAGCATTAAATTACATTTTTGCTAGTTACATAAAAAGAGAGAAGAAAAGCAACGGACGAAAAGAAAAATCAGAAGACTGCTGCATAAAAACCGTTTCCATACACATGGATCAACAGTAACGATCGCCTTGCGACCAGAAAAATATATACTAGAGATAAGCTCAGTCTTCGCTTTCCTCGTCATCGTCGTCTTCATCCTCGTCCCCAGAAGACTCATCACTAGCCTCTTGAAGCCAGGCCAAGAAGGGTTGAGCGGCCTCGCGCAATTTCTTGCTCGTTTCACGATCAACGTACTTCTTGCTAGCCTTGGCTCCCCATTTTTCAAAGGCACCCTCAGACACAAGGTCGTTTTGGTACAATTCCAAAAAGACCTTGGGCAAAGTAGACAAGTGCTCAAGCTCATCAGCAGCCATAACGCGCTCGAATCCGCCAAGAAGAGAGCGTTGGTGCTTGTCAGAGGTACAGAGCTTGTGGAACAAAGCACTGTGCTTCTCAAATTGTCCGACAAAAGGTTCCTTGAGTAGACATTGAACAACAACAGCAACAGTCTTGCTCTTGCGGCTGATACCCAGCTCCTTAATCTTTTTATAGATTTCGACATCCGAGACACGACCATAGTTTTCATCGATCCAATCACCCAAAGACGAGTAGGGACTATCACTGTCACCATCACCGTCTTCATCTGGTCTCAGCACCAGAGAATCACGAAGCTTTCCTTCCAGTTGTTGCACGCGAGCGCGCACGGCTTCTTCACTTGTGTCGACGGCCCATTCCTCTTCGACAACCGTATCGGCAGAGGGCAATTGAGCAGCCTCAGCCTGGATACGGCGCGTAAACTCGTCATCAGAAGCATCCGCCTCGGCCTCAGCTTCCTCTGCCTGCTTATGCTTCTTCGACTTCTTCTTCTTAGGAGGAGGGTTCTTCACAATTACACCCGTCAGCTTGTGGCGGCCGTCAATTTCACCATGGTAGCCGCACGCCTTGCAGTCGTAGGAGATAGTCTGGTCCTTGTTGATGCTAAGCTCCGTCTCAGGGTTCTGGCACGACTTGCAAAGGACAAAACGCTTGATAAACACGTCCAACAGATCCTGGAGCTTATTGGCGTCATGGGCACCGTTCACAATGTAGCGGTCCATGTCAGCAATAATGGTGGTCTGGGCACCGAGCTCAAAACCAAAGAACTTGGTCACGTACAAGGGAGGGCGACCGAGTGCCTTAGCAATGTCAGACATGTTCGGAATGACCGTCTTAATACCGTTGCCCTTGCCCTCGATTTTTGACTGCAGACGAGGCATGCGGTAGCGATAAAAGCTATCCTTAACATCGCGTCTAATGTTGATAGTGGCCATTTTGGAAATGAGAAAAGCGATTGGGAAATGTTCTGTGTTCTTTTAGAATGCTCTCCGTGATTGGTGTGCTAGGTGAAGTTTGGTTTGTAAGAGTTGATATGTTTTTACTTCTTCGACGTGGTAAAAATCATAACAACGCGCTGGTTTCTGCCAGAAAATCTTCGATGTTCGTTCTTGAATGGAGTCTTACTGCTTAAGTAGCCAAAGCGTACGTTTTGCTTATTCGAAATTTTTCGAAAGGATTCAGTATCACGGTCATGTAAGTCCTTTGGATTCTATTTACCAAAGGTTTTTCGGTCACAACTTCGTTTTCGAGGTGTGTGCTACGCAGACGGCAAATGCGGTCGGGCGGCCTTATATACTCACTCTAAGTCACGTGATTACCACCACCATGTGTGGGGTGAAGTGGGGAAGCCACCCGGCTTGGCCCGCGGCACTAACGGGGAACCGGAGGATGCCCACGCCCAAAATAGCAGTGAGCTTCGCATAAAAAAACGCTCCGATAACGAGCAATCTCTCACGTAAACCTAATGTTTGCTCGACGATGTGACCGAACACCGGTTTGTGTTTTTTTCGTGAAACTGCTGCGCTGGCCGTTGCTTCCCCGCTAATGTACACACTCGCTTAGGAAACTCTAAACGTTTCCTGCGCTCAGGCTTACTCCATCGTTTCGTGAACTGTCCGTCTGCCATTCACCTACTTTACCGTTTCGTGGTTTTCCTGCCTTAAACGCAGTCTTTGTATTACTACGCGTTTTGTTTTTTGACAGTATTGCTTAACAAGAAAAGGCTGGTCCTGCTGTCTTACACCTCATCCTCCATCCGTCTCCGGTTTCGCATCTAGCTTGCTCCAAGCACAAATTCACGTCTCCAACTGGGTTATGTGTGTTCTTTTGTCTCAAAAGAATTCGATTGTGTAAGTATTCCACTCTTTTCAGGGAGTTTTGACCATTCTGGGGTTTCGTAGGACATTGTGGGATCGAAACACGATTTGCTGCCTGATACGCAGTTTTTTAGAGTCTGATGAATGAGGGGATTGTGTGTCGATTGTGTCTCAAGTGTGTTTCATTTTGTTTTCTTTTTGTTTTCTTCTCTCTGGTTTTGTTTTTGCGAGGTGTTTGACCTGTATGCTAACGACGAATAGTCCTCTGTAACCTTTTTTTGCTGCCCCCTCCTCATGCGATAGAGATCCCTTGAGGATGAAAAAATCGAATACCAACAAGTCTCGTTGTTTCTTTAGTACTCTGTTCTCGTGTTTCCGGTCAAGCAGCGCCGTAGAGCCGGTCCCTCCCGTTGAAAAACAGCAACAGTGTGTCAGAAAAGAAGCAACGAAAACGCCTCGGAAAAAGACAGATGACACGGCGTCCGCCGCCAGCACAATTGGTCAAAGAAGTCTGCAGCGGCAACGTCTGTCCCGTCTTCTCGCGCCCGAGAGTGTCCTCGAGACACCAACCCCTAGCCGCCGATCTGTATCCATCGAGTCTGCTATTGTATCAAATGGAGTTGCTACTGAAGTAGAACAGCCCGAAGAAATTCAGCCAACAGTCGACTCGCATGTCCATTTTGGCGAATTCAATGCTTCCCAGCCGCTGCCGCCGGACCCAGATCTTCCAGAAGTGAAACGGTACGGAGAACAGCACTGGTTGTTGCCTCCTTTAAGCGTTGAGGATTCGGGTAAAAAATGTCTTATTTTGGACTTAGATGAGACGCTCGTGCACTCATCCTTTAAGTACTTTGAACCCGCTGACTTTGTGGTCCCCGTGGAAATTGACGGCGTGATGCACGAGGTTCGGGTGGTGAAACGTCCGGGTGTGGACGAATTTATGAAAAGAATGGGTGAGTTGTTTGAAGTTGTCGTCTTTACTGCATCGCTGGCGAAATACGCAGACCCCGTGTTGGACAAACTCGATCTGCACAAAGTTGTTCGTCACCGGTTGTTCCGTGAAGCGTGCAGCAACTATGAGGGGAACTTTGTCAAAGACTTATCCCAGTTGGGTCGCGATCTGAATGGAACAATCATTCTTGACAACTCACCCTCCAGCTACATTTTCCACCCAACACACGCCATACCCATCTCCTCGTGGTTTAATGATATGCACGACCTAGAGCTTCTCGATCTTATCCCCTTCCTTGAGGATTTGTCTCGTGTCCCGGATGTGAGTGCAATTCTCGACTTGCATGTCTAAAACCAAAGCCTTAGAGATTTGCATGTTTCCCTTACGACTGATCCGACCCAACAGTTTTCCGATTGCGTTCGCAGTATTTATGCCCCAAAACCTTGTTGTCCACCTTCTTTTGCCTTCCACCTCTCTTGTTCTTGTGCAGCTCGGCTGACCCACTACAATTCACATACTTGTGAACCAAGCATCCTGCACACCTCTACAATTACATGAACATTTCTTACGGCGGGTCAGCTATTTCTCACACAATCCTCAATTCCTTTTTCGTTTGTTTTCCTACCATTCCATTGACACGTTGATTGAGGTAGCAAGGCACATATGCTCTTGTTGCCCAACTTGTACTCCCATCACACGGTTTGTGCAACCCCAGGCAATATTTCATCCTAGTTGTTCATGAAGCCAAAACAACGCCTTTGTGCATATATTTTTCCTTGCGTCGTTTGGGCATCTATTGTATCCCTTGGACCATATTACAATAAGCAAGTTTGCAGCGTCGGTACGCTGGCTGTAATTCCACAGTACCGAAACAGTATCGTAGTAATTGAATCTAGTTTACAGTAAGAGAGAACGACTATAGGGGTTAGTGGATTAAAACAGAACTCTACACGGCCGCAAAGTAGTAAAATTACGGTCTTTACGATGCGCTCAACATAAAATGAATGAATGGTTTTATTCAAAAACTGATGCTATTCCTTTCCAAAAAAAAAGAGTGAAGGAGAACAAAAGATTTTAACAAGCCCAAAGGCCCAGCTTAGAGCTTGGCAACCATGGTGTCAAACAACTTCTTAGCTCTAACCCAGACAGGAGCACGGTTAACATTTTGAAGCTGGAAGAGACTAGGCAAGAGAGCCTCGCTGAAAGCTTCGGAAGATTCACGGGGCAAAAGAGTAGGCAAATGGTCAATAGAGATGACATCCAAAGGCAAGTTACCAGTGATACCCTTAACAGGAACGGTAGGGTGGTCGAAGGTAGTGTTAACGTTGTAGATGGGCACAGGGTTGTTAGGGTTCGTGGTGTCGCAACTAACATCGCAAACAACACGAAGCTTGCGACCGGGAACGTTAAGAGACTCCAAAGTGCAGAACTTGGGAATGGGAACACTCAAGTAGATGCAGTTAACGAAGATATCAGACTCAGTGATCTCCTTGAAGGGGCCACCCTTCTTGGTCTCGTTGATGTCCCAACGCAAGATCTTGTTCTCGGGAATACCGGCCTTGGTAGCCAAGTCAGCAGCACCAGTACCGCAGCGACCAAGAGCACCAATGATAAGAATTTGAGGGAAGTCGCCCTGCTTCTTAGCAGCTTGACGTACCTGGCGAGCGACGTGACGAACAAGAGCACGCTCGTTAGGGAATGGACGAACTGCGGGGAAGGGCTTTCCGGGACGCAAGATTTGGTGAGCCCAAACGAGGCAAGACAAAGCCGAACCGGCAAAACCAGCATGGTAGCCGAAAGCAGCAACACGGCGGCCATTGTCGTCTTGGAGGAACTCCAAGTCGTACAGAGTACCGTTGCCAGCAGGGAAACGGGAAAGGACATCGCGCCAACCCTCTTGGTTCTTGTAGCAATGGGCGAATTGGATGTGAGTGTGGTGAAGGGGAGAGTCATCGTTCTCGGGAAGCTCCTTCAAACCCAAGATGTAAGCGTCCTTGGGGGCATTACGCCAAGAACCCTCGGGAGCCATTGTGAAACCGAGTCTTTACAGGGTGTTAGCATTGAAGAAGAAAAAACAAGCAATGGAAACCGTAAAACATACTTTTCGTACTCACTGTCCTTGAAAGCACGTTGAGAAGAACGTTCGATAGTGATTTTGAAACCTAAAGAGCGTTAGAAAGAGCGTGGAAAGTGAAAGGAGAAGGAAAAAGGTTGATATGCAACATTTGTCATCAATACACTGTCAATTTAATGAACGGTAATCGACACCAGACTGGTAAAACTTGACTGGATAGAGAAAATTTCCTTCACCATCCCTAGACAAGAAGAACCATTTTACAAATAATCGCAAACCCACCTTTGGTCCTCTCTTCCTTACTTTACATACCAGCATCAGCGAGTTTCTTAGCAGTAGTAGGAGTCAATGCGCTTCTCTCCTCGAGAGGCTTGCTCTCAGCACGCAACCAAATGTGAGGGGCACCCATTGCTGTAGTTGGTTAAGGATAACTTCAAATTCGGACGTGTGCTTAGGTCAAGGCAGCAATTTTTGGTGGTGAGTTTTGAACTCCTTGATGGAAGATGTACCAGAGATTCAAAAGAGTTTTTCGGAAGTGACAATGCTATAGGTATCAGCGGTGTTGAGATAGATAGCTGTATTTGATAATACCAATAGATTGTGTGATTTAAAGGGTGGATGTGATGGTTTATTTAATTTTTTTTTTTTTTTTTTTTTTTTGGTATTTTATTTATTCATGTATTGCATTAATATATCCATTATTGTGCCCTCCATTTAATGATATTAAAATGTCTATTAATTCTAATAAAATTAATAAATGCTAACAACAACCATACGAACTGCGTCAAGCTTCTTCGATAACTTTTCTCACTCTCACTCTCATGACTCATACTCAGAAAATTAAAAATGAAGACTTGGAACTTCAGAACATGTTAGGAGAGGATGAAGCAACCCAATTATCCTCAGCTAAAATGCCATTTTCTGAAACAACGGAGCCACCTAGTACAAGTAAATATAAATGGAAATCGTGCTCTATTGCATATTACTTTGACACCATGTCAATGTGCTTGACAGCTGCAAATCAGCTCCGACATTACTACCGATATGGCTCTATGGACGTATGCAAGGACTATTGGAAAGACTTTAAATGGTGCCTAAGTACTAAAGTAGTGGACGCAGCCGAGGAACAAAAACGACTGAAACAACGATATAGGGATCTTTGGACAGAAATTCGAAACGGACCTAACAGTGAAGACATTTGGACCGTTCGACCAGACAAAGACATAACGAGGGATCAGAGAGAAGATTAGCTGATACTGTTTTCTTCATCGAATCTAGTATCCTCGAGATTGTAGAATAGTAAAACTCATCATTTCCCTTTGGTAAAAGGAGGACGAAAAAAAAAATGTGAAATTTATAGATTTGCAAAATTGGGACAGAAACAAAACAAATTATGTATAATTCTATATAACAATGAAATAAAATATGCATGTGCATACAGAAGACTGAATGATACACTGCTTCATTTGTTTTTTTACTGAGGCGACCAAAACATGTAACGAAGTTCGTAAAGGCTTATATTTGAGTTTGGAAGACGTTTGTATTTCGTAGATAGTAGTACAAAAGAAGGGACCCCGTGAATGGATCACCACATTAATACTTCTTGCAGAATTATAAATTCACTCAAATATCATCACCTTGCTTGCAAACTCAAAGTCAGCTAATTACTTTACAAAGTACGATAACTATTCACATCTCAACCTCTATAATACTAAATTGTCTCTTTTTTTGTGTTCCTTTATAAAATTGTGCGATCCGACAACGTCCAAATCGTAAATTCGATTCAATAGTAATATGCTTACAAAGTGGATACACATGTCTTTGTAACAACGTTCTATTTCATATTTTACGTTTAATCTCTGGTCATAATTATGGTGAAAAGGTTGACTTTTCCTTAGCGCGAGCAACGAACTGCTTAACCTTTGCACTAGCGGAAACAAAAACAACAGCGTTTTGTCTTTTTTCAGTTTGTCGTTGGAAACAAGACTTGTTGTATCTTGTAGGAAGAACAACTGCAAACGACTGGATCAAAGGACAAGCTATAGCTAGGGGAAAATAAAGCGGGTCTCTCGGATTTTCTTAAATTCTATAAAACGGAAAAAAAAAAAGACACGAAAAACAGCTCTGTAAAAATGTTTTCGCAGACACAGAAACAATTCATTGAGGAGGGTGATCTTGCTATCGTTTGGTTAGGAAAAGGAAAACTCACTCCGATTGTTCTCAATTCTACTGAAACACTGCACAACCAATTTGGTGCTTATCCTCACTCGGAACTCATTGGTAAGCGTTATGGACAGCAAATTGCTTCTTCATCGAAGCAAGGCTTCATCTATCTGCTCCATCCAACTCCGGAACTATGGACTTTAGCTCTACCTCATCGTACCCAAATTGTTTATACCCCAGATGTCTCTGCAATTGTTCAGAAACTACGCATCGTTGAAGGCTCTCGTGTTATTGAGGCAGGAACAGGAAGCGGAAGTATGACACACGCACTTTCAAGAACTATTGGTCCGACTGGAAAGCTTTACACCTTTGAGTATCATGAAACTCGTTATCAAACAGCTTTGAAAGAGTTCACTGACCACAAAATGATGGAAGACGTTGGTGGAAACACCGTTCTGACCCATAGAGATGTTTGCAAGCAAGGCTTCGTATTAAAAGAAAGCAGCCCAGAAGATATCCATTCAGTATTCCTCGATTTGCCAGCTCCTTGGGAAGCCATTGAACACCTTGGCCCATGTCTTAGAAAGAACGGAGGCACTAGAATATGTTGTTTTTCCCCGTGCATGGAACAGGTGCAACGCACTGTGCAATCTCTTCGTGAAAACAAATGGACTGAGATTCAGATGATCCGTCTGGACCATAAACTGTGGATGGCAAGAAAAACCAGAGACATGGATATTGAAGAGGCGCTGGACCGGTTACGATTCGTCAAGAGAAAGCGTCTTGACGGATTGGAGCGGAGGCGCCAAAGACAATTACAGGAGAACAACACTGCAGATGATGATAGTAGTGAAACTCAAACAACGGTTGTCGAAGAACCTCGAGCACCTTCGCCAACCCTGCCCGCAACGAACAAGCGAATTCGTGAAGGCGACGAAGCATACAATTGGATTAACGTTTGCAAGTTAGAAAGTGAGGTTAAATCACACACTAGTTATCTCCTGTTTGCTCTCCATCTTCCATCTGCAAACGAGCAAAACACTGCAGAAGTCGTTTCTGCAGAAAAAGAGTCAGACTAATTTTTTTGAACACAAATATACTTACTAAGAAATTATAAAAACCTTAACACCGCTTCTATTAGATTTGTTGTCATTACTACCTACATTACATTTTTAAGCCCCTCCATGATTAAGTTTTTCTTGAATGTCATGCTCTGCTCCAAGACGATCTACTTGCCGTTTTAATTCAAGCAGCGTGACAATATCGTTTTGTAGTTGAGTAAACTTCGTGCATGTGCGTTCGGTAGGCATAACCAACCGCATGGGGATCCCGAGTTCAGCAAGTATACCATAAACTCGTTGGGTCAAAGAAGCCTTTATTGTCGGGAGTCTCTGAGACCGGACAAACGCACCTGTTTGTAGCTTTTCATGCCATGAAACACCGTATATAGCGTCATCGGGCATAGGTCCACGTCGGAGGGAACGCCCATTCATATTGCGAACTGGCGCGCTTACCCTGCTACTGTACATATCGACACCAGATGTGAACTTTGGATTTTCAACGCGCTTCCGAGCCTTTTCTGTAGCCGCCATATCTTGCACAAGTCCTGAAAGACCACTGCTTGTAAGGTATTCTTGTGCATTTGAGGTGGGTTTCTGTTCACTTAAGAGGCGGAGAATGTCTTCTCTGTCACGAATCATCTTTTCTTGTGTAGCTTGGATACGTTTTAACTCAATAAACAGGGCTTCCTCTTCGGCAATCTCCTCGGGCGTCCGCGCCATTAATCGTTCGAGGTATTCTTTTCTAGCAATTTCTTGGTCCTTGTCATAAGCAAGGCTATTGTAAAGGGCACTTTGTGCGGCCGTCATTGTGTTTAACGGATGCCGATCGACCAACAAAGCCCTTTGGATTTTGCAGAGGCGATCCTTTATGTCTTCAAGTCTTCGTTTCCTCCCCTTAAAAATGTAACGATCCGCTATGATGAAAAAACGCACATCATATTCTTTACACAGTTCCATCAGATAATCGGTTTCTTCTCGACTCCAGTCATCATCTTCAACAAGTTAATATGAGAAACGTAGCCCTAACTTCACAATCGTACCTCGTAATAACCGTTCATACTCATCATCTGAATATGTTTCTAAAGCAGCATGTGTGTTGAATTTTTCAAAACGATATGCTACATAGTTAACGTTAGTTAGCCATTTTGATTTAAGAAAATTATGAAGGCTTGGCATACCTTCTGGTGGCGTTTCAGATTTCTGAACCCAATGATGCAGGACCAAACCATCGTCTCTCGCATTGTTTGTGAATGGTTGCCAGACCCTGTTTATGTTAGAAAATGAAACAAGAGTTACTACACAAAAACCGTACCATCGTTTTGCCTTTTGATTGATTTTTGGTCGTTCCTTTAACTTATTTTGATATATAACTAGAGGAGCAGAATTCTCGCCAAGCAAAGAGAATAACTCTCGAGAAATACCCTTAGGCCGCCTTTCACCTACGTGTTTCTGCTTCTTCTTTGGAGCAGCGTCTGTCAGAGGAAGCTCAAAGACGTCACGGACATCTGCGCTGGTCATTTTGTACACGCTGAGTCTTCTGACCTTCCGATGCTTCTTTCGTTTTCTTATTTTCCGTTGTTCAGCTTCTGCGGCAACAAAATTTCACCACCACAACCCGCTGTAAACCGGTATTTCTCTCAATTATGAAGAAATACAGGTATTTTGATGATTTAACGTTGAAAAAAGACCAAGGAACCAATATGTAGAAACCCTTTTAAGTAAATTTATTCGATGATATTGGGAAAGTTGGACTACGTTTTGGAGAAGGAAAAAAAACAGTTTACATGTAACAGGTCGTTACGGACGAAATTGAGGGAATATGAAGTGGCAAAAGTCAAAGACGCTGCCTTCAAGCTTAGTCTGAAACAAAAATTTCATCTACACCAACAGTGTGAAGTTTTTGGTGGAACATTTTTGGTGTAGTGTTTTGAGAATGAGGTTTACAAAGATTCGAACACGAGGTGAATGAAGGAAATTCAGTAAGGAAGGTCAAAAGAAGAATTATGCAGTTATGCAGGCCTTACGCAGTAGAAGAGATGCGAAAAAAAAACAGCAACAGAAGTAGCTGCAATAGCTAAACCGCTATGATCCTACTCTTTGCTACCTCATCACAGCTGTTCTCCTTAGTTCACTCTACTTAATAAATTTACATTGAATCGTAATAATTAACATGTACGCTTTGTATATGTATACTCATGTATTCTCGTCAAATATGCATCTAAGTACTTGCAACAATCTCACTAGCTTGAAGCAAAGACTCAACCATCTTCTCACAGTCCTTGCGACGTTGCACAGTTGTTTCGCTTTCTTTTAGTAGCTTGTCGATTACACCTGGCTTGTACAGGTGCTCCAACAGCTCACGATGCATATTTTCCTTAGCGTGCTTTACCATCTTCAGCATAATTGCCTTGGGGACCATATCAATAAGTGTTCTCTTCACAATGTTGAAGTATGAAGTAATTAACAGTTCTGTCACAAATGTTAGCACACGTCAAACGGTAGACGAAGTTAGCATCAACTTACTAATGACTTCTGTATCCATCTTCTCACGCTCTGAGAGAGTAGACGAAGCACGGAGAACGGGCGGAGGAGGTTCCATGGTAGCGAGCTTCTTTTTGTTTTTAGAACCGAAAAAGCTACCAAAGAAGTTGCTACTACCGGATGAAATATCAGTTTGGGACTGGGAATGGGAGTGATTACTCATTAACGGTTTTCCGGTTTTCGGATCAATGGTAGTCGGCTTCGCTTGTTGCTGCTGTACAATAGCAATGGCTTGTTGGCCTGAAAGAAAATCAGGATGTGTACTGTTGATGTAACAGCCTTCCATGGCTACCATGTCGGAAACAAGATTGTTTGTAGGTTGCATGCATTTCTTGTAAAAGCCCACAACCGTGCGATGAAACTCCTCCTTAAGCAAAGGATAGCGTTTGAAAATCTATATCCAACGGTTAGCTGTGCACTTAAGAACTTACTTCACTTACGGGCTTCTGCAAAAGTTGTGTAAGAATACGGACCAATTCGTCAAAAATGAGGTTCACACATTTCAAAGACGGATCCTCAAGACGGCGAATTTGTTGTTTCACAATAACTTCAAAGGCAGCGGTACCCATGAACAACCCAGGTGCGGATCCAGACGAGTTGTATAATATGGTCCGAATGTCTATATCTTTAATTTCATCAAACGGGTCAATAGCCTGGACACCATTGGAATAAATTTCATGAAACACGAAAGCAATTCGAGCACCACCAGAAAGCTCAAGTGTGGAAAGCTCTTCACTTCGACCATCTAAAATGGTACGGAAGTCTTGACAAAAGTCGGTAATGATATTCAACACGATGTTCGCATTATCTCCAACGACCGTATCGCCCAGAGAATGCAATTCAGCTTGGTACTTTGCCAAAGCGGCATTAATGCGAACCTTGATTTCTGGGAGGGTATTGCGGATGTGATGCATGAGAATCTAAATAGCGTTAGCATAAATTGATGAGGCTCATCGCACTTACCATGTTCAATTTTCTTGCGAGATATGGTGTACCACAGTACTGGGCTTTAGATGAATAGGAAGGATGTTGCTCAAAAAACTCCTTCTCAGCTTCCAGAGCGTTACGAATAGATTTCTTTGCGTCGATATCCTTTTGTCCACGGTTGATTACAGGGACATAACCAAGTCGCAATGGAATGACACGGCCAGCCAGAATATCAACAACATCTGTTCCTTGATCCATAAGATCCACCTTTGTCAACACACCAATGGTACGCAAACCCTCCGGGTCAACTTCACGTGCAAGTTTTAAGCCGTCAGAGTTAGCGAGATCGGTGTTTGCAGCATTTACTGCGAGAATAATAGCATTTGGTTTCGTAATATATTTCAAAAGCATCTCGCGAATCTGCTTCTCAATGTCTCTCGGTTGATCGCCAACAGGAACCTTTGTCAAACCGGGCAAGTCGACCAAAGTCAGTGTTAAGACATAGGGGGAATAGATTCGTAAGTTAATGGGAGCGGCTGATATTCCGACGTTTCTACCGGTTTTGGCTTCCGTCTCACGTACAATTTCCTCACGAATTTTGTTAAAATCATAAAACTTTTGTCCAGGAAGGTGCAAAAACTCTCCCCATTCCTCCTTATTGTTTCCATTTTCATCTTCTTCTATTTCATTCTCTGGTCCCTTCTCTTTTGGGGTGATTTGTCGATTAATTAATTGTAAAACAAGAGGTCTTCTCGTAACAATGCCCGTTCCTCTAGGAAGAAAGTCACGACCGACAATGTTTTCCAAGACTGAAGATTTACCGCTCGATTGAGAGCCGACGACCTTACAATTCATTAGTTTCTGAGGATTATTATATTTTACGTACCGTAATTTGGGGTAAATCAATTAAATTCTGCACACCGACAGTCGAAAATGCATCTTGTAGCTTATTTACTGTTTTAATAAGTGAAGGATCCATCGTCCTGCTGGATTTGGATGGGAATTCGGTAGTAATGGTAAAAGGCAGCTTCAGTTGGTCCGGTCTTCGTACCCGTGGCGGTGTCTCAGTTGCAGTTATGCAGACCTGAACACCAAAACCTAAATACGTTAAGGAAAATAACTTCAAATAGTATCTGCTCGCGGGACGAAAACGTTCGTTGTTAAGCTGTTTCATTCATTTTCACGTTTGTGTTTTCCGTCCTACATTCATCAAAAAACGATCTCAACTTTCAACCTGGCTTCTGTTAAGGAATTGGATGATTCTGCCCTCAAGTTCCATGTATGTGATGCGCTAGTACCATTTATACAATCTGTCTTTCGATATGTGAGATCTCGGGAAGAAATGCGGGTTCCGTTGAGGCCTTTCGTTGCTTCTTTGGGGAAAAAGAAAGCACCACTGGAACTCAGTGAATCAATGGCCAGAGTCTTGCACTGCTTTGGAGGTTTGAAGAAAATTATTCGTTTTGAGACATTTCAGACTATCTTCACTGTTACTCCGACCGGTTTCCTGCAGCTGAAAGATCCTGTACCCAAAAGGCTAAAGGCGAACAAGGTCAGACCGCTTTTGGAACCCATTCTGGAAGAACGTTACAACACTGTAGAACGAAAAAGCTTTCAGGGCATGTTGCAAACCACTGTTAAAGCTTTGAACGAGAAAGACAAAGTTCCTTTAACAACGGTCGGCGAAAAGAAATCTGAGAAAGCAGACGAAAAGACGGTTGAATTGAAGACTGTTGAGGCTAGGGTCTCTTTAGATGATGGAGATTTCGACGAGGATGATCTTTATGAGGAGGTTGTAACTTTTCAGCCTTCAATAATGGCATCAGCTTCTCCTCCAGCAATTGATGACCAGCTAAAAACCAATTACGAAGTAAAGGAGGAAGTCACACTTGAGCCAACAGTCTCCCTTGAGGCCACTCTAGAACGAGTGGAAGTAATAAACAAGAAAGAGACCGAGACTGTTCGGGTTAGTGTCAAAGAGCGTGTTTCCGAATCCTTAGAGGAAAGCAAAGCCACTGCTTCTGAGACTGATTATGTGACAGAAATGGAGACCGAGACAAAAATTCCTCATGATGCCCATACAGTCATCACTCACAGCAGCTTACTCGTGGAACAGTTACACAGCTGTAAACATACTCCGATATCACTTTTTGCTCTAAAAGAATGTTATGTAAGGGGTAGTGTGCAAGTCGACAGCCTTTTGAATCGTTACAAACTGTCGACTGATGGCGAATTGTCGGGAAAGACACTTTCCACCGTCCTGGCTTCACTTGAAGACGGTGGTCTTATTCAACGTGAGGCCCATGAAAAACAGCGGTTCTACATCCGTATTACCGATAAGGGTAAAAAGCACTTTTTACCCAAAGATATACCACTTGCCAACCAATTGTCTAGAACCCATCCGGAAGCTGCTCTTTGGGAACAGCGTGAAAACGAGGTTACGCAATGCCTAGACATTCTCTTACCAAAACCGAGTGTGTTATCTAAAAGACATTTATTCGTGATGGAACTTGAAAAATATTTGTCCAAGATGGAAAGGAGAAAAATTAAAGTTTACCCGTTTGGTTCTTCCTTAACAGGCTTAATGACAGAGAGCTCAGACATTGATGTTGTTATCAAATGCAAAAACAAAAATCTTCTGAGTCGAATTTATCCTATAGCCGATCATTTACGACGCAAATACACTCAAGTCCGAGTTGTTGCGAGAGCACATGTCCCTCTCATTAAATTTAGAACAAATTCCGGATTTTGTTGCGACATGAGTTTCAATGGTTTGCTCGCAGTGTACAATTCTGAGCTGCTCTGCCTTTACACTCAGATAGATGAGCGCGTGAAATATCTTTTGATAATGGTCAAGTTTTGGGCTAAAACGAGACTCTTACACAAGGTTCAGCTTCAGGCTTTGTCAAGCTATACTTGGTGCATTCTGGTTATTTATTACTGTCAGCGGAGAAATCCACCTCTTTTGCCCAATCTTCAGCAGTCAGAGTCTGCCTTTACGAATCATGCAACAGATTCTAGTAGAGAGCAATTGAACTACGAGTGTACTTTTTCTCGGACTATTGATGTTTTCCGCCAAACTGTAAATAAAGTTGATGCCAAAATGATCGATTTACTCTCTGGCTTCTTTCAGTTCTATGCTGCAGGTAGTGAGAGTAGCTTTGATTGGAGCAAACATGTGATAGATATTTCACGAGACGGATATGTTCTCAAGAAGAAAGCGGAGAAATCGAAAGTGATCATTCTCGATCCTTTTATAAAATCAAAAAACCTGGCTTCTGCGTTGACAGAGTCATCAATTGCTCGACTCAAATATGAGTTTTACAGAGCATTACGAATTATTCATGATTCAAAATCTTCGTTTGTTGATTTGTTTAGTGTAGAAAGCGTTTAAATAGTTACAGTTATTCCAATCTATGAACTCATTATCCATAAAAAACAAGTTCACATTATTTCTATTTAGTTTCGTATTGTGTCATTCTATATCTTGTAAATGAAAATGCTGTCTTGCTTTTTCCTTTTCGTCCACAGACACACGACGCCGTCTGGCAATAATTGGGAGAAAGGCAGTAAACGAATGCAAGGAACGGAAACGTTTTAAAAACGCTTAAAACTTTTATATTATGGACAAACAGGAGCCTCTTAATGAATACAAGGATAAGAACTTACCTACTGATTCATCAAAAATGATCATTGTTGAAAAAAATGACACAGAGAATGGCACGGAGAAACACAAACCTTCTGGCCTTAAACCGCTCCAGGGAACAATCAAAATAGCTGGTCAGATTGTGGAACTGGCAGCTCAGCCTGACAAACAAGTCCTTCATGAAGTGTCATTACCGGCTGATTATGATTACAAACCTATAGAAGAACACGTAGGATCGACCTCCCCAGCAAGATCCTATGAATTTTCCTTGGATCCATTTCAAGCAGCTTCGATTGCTTGTGTTGAACGGAAAGAAAGCATTATTGTTAGTGCTCATACTTCTGCAGGAAAAACCGTCGTAGCGGAATATGCGATTGCACAAGCTTTAAAAAACGGTGAGCGTGTTGTATACACGAGTCCAATTAAGTCACTCAGTAACCAAAAATATCGTGAATTTCTTGCTGAGTTCGGCGATGTAGGTCTTATGACGGGCGATGTTACCTTGAATCCAAATGCAGGCTGTCTGGTCATGACAACGGAAATCTTGCGCTCCATGCTGTATAAGAGCTCTGAGCTTACACGTGAAGTTTCATGGGTTATTTTTGATGAAGTTCATTACATGCGCGACAAAGATCGGGGGGTTGTGTGGGAAGAAACAATTATCTTACTCCCGGATGCCGTTCGTTATATCTTTTTGTCTGCTACCCTACCTAACGCCAAGGAATTTGCCGATTGGATATGTAAAATTCATAATCAGCCTTGTCATGTTGTCTATACTAGTTACCGACCAACACCATTACAGCATTTCTTATTTCCTAGGGGCGCTAATGGAATTTACATGATTGTTGATGAGCATGGTAAACTTATGGAAGGCAACTTTCAAAAGGCAATGTCAATTTTGAATGAACAGGATGAAACTTCGTCAAGAAAGAAACAGAAACAAAATAAATCTGTGCCTGAACTCTTTCGTTTAGTAAAAATGATTACAGCTAATGACTACGATCCACTAATAATCTTCTGCTTCAGCAAAAAAGAATGTGAAGCTGGTGCAGTAAGTATTAGTAGCCTGGAAGTCATAGATGACAAAAAGAAGGAATTGGTGGACCAAGTTTTCAATTCCGCAATGAACCAGCTTTCCGAAACTGATCGATGCATTCCTCAAATAACGAATATGTTGCCGTTACTACGTCGTGGCATTGGAATTCATCACTCTGGTATGTTGCCCATACTGAGAGAGGTAGTGGAAATTCTATTCCAAGAAGGCCTTATCACAATACTGTTTGCAACAGAAACTTTCTCAATTGGACTGAATATGCCAGCAAGAACAGTACTATTTACTGAAATGCAAAAATTCTCTGGAGAATCATTCCGCTGGATTAATTCTAGTGAATACACTCAGATGAGTGGAAGGGCTGGAAGAAGAGGACTCGATGAACGTGGGCTGTCTATTGTTATGGCGAACAAAAATTTTGATTTGGCTACCGCAAAAGCGATCTTTACTGGTCCTCCTGCAGCTTTAAATTCAGCATTTCGCATCAGTTATAATATGATACTGAACCTCCTTCGTATTGAAGGGATAACCCCGGATTATATCTTGAAACACAGTTTTTATCAGCACCAGAACGAGGCCAAGTTACCCGAGCTAAACAACGAATGCTCACGGATGAAGTTGGACATGGAATCCATAGTCATTCCTCATGAACAAGATGTTCAAGAGTTTTATGATCTTAAGCTGCAATTAAAAACTTATGAGGATAGCATAAGAAAAATCATGGCCCATCCGGAATTCTGTCTTCCTTTTCTGCAACCTGGTCGGCTCATTCAAGTGCGTTTAAAGGATCAGGTGTTTCCCTGGGGTATACTAGTGAATTTTCATAAGGCAGAGAATGCTAGTCTTCACTTGCAGATAAGAAAATCGAACCCTTCTGATTTTTATGTTCTTGACGTTTTGTTACCTGTTGACAAAAATACCTTCAAAACTAACAAAATTGCTTCTTCATTGATGCCTGGTCTTCCAGAAAATGCAACCTATGAGGTGGTTGCTGTGTCCTTATCCTCAATGCACTCAATTTCTTCATTAAGGGTATCCCTACCATCGAGCTTAATTACCCCAGAGCAGAAAAAAACTACATACCACATTGTGCAAGAGATAAGTAAACGGTTCCCCGATGGAGTACCCTGTCTTGATCCAATCGAGCATATGCGAATTGACAGCGACTCTTTGCGATCCGTCATTCACAAAATTCAGATCCTTGAACCAAAGGTCCTAAACAGTCCGTATTACACGGACGAAGAGTTTCAAGAACACTATGATGAGTACTGTCGAAAACTTCAACTCAGAGATCAGTGGAAGGCATTAAAGGCAACCATCAGTAAAACGGAATCAGTGATTACACTTTCTGAACTCAAGTCGCGCCGACGTGTTCTCAGGCGCCTTGGATACATCAATGAGGATGGGGTCATTGACATTAAGGGACGTGTTGCCTGTGAAATTAGCACAGGCGATGAGCTTGTTCTTACAGAGATGATCTTTAGTGGGCTATTAAACCAGCTGCCCATTGATCAATTTGCAGCGCTGTTGAGCTGTTTGGTATTCCAAGAAAGTTCAAGTACTTCTGCAACGAATGTGGACTCTAGGCTCTCAAAGCCCTATCAAGAACTTTTAAAACTGGCAGAATGGATTGCAACTGTCTCGAGGGAAAGTAAACTGGAAATTACTGAGGAAGAATATGTTTCTCATTTCAAACCAGACTTAATGAGTGCTGTTATTGAATGGATGAACGGTGCTTCATTTACTGAAATTTGCGGTATGGTTCACATATACGAAGGCTCTATTGTTCGTTCTTTCAGACGCTTAGAAGAGCTGCTTCGTCAACTACAAAGTGCAGCTCAAGTTTTAGGAAACAGTGAACTTGCAAGTCTGTCCGAACGTGCTGCTGATACCATGCGACGTGATGTTATTTTCAGCGCATCATTGTATTTGTAATAATAACCCGTTTACAGTTTTAATACCAAAAAACCATTGCACCACTGTCCCACCCGATCGAGTTAATTACAATTCCTATTGTGATTGCAAACGAAAAAAAGTTTTATTACTAGTTCCCTTTTTTAAAGATACCCACATTAACAGAATTAAGTTCACAAAACCAACTCGCAGTAAGCATTGACCAATTCTGTTTACCCTAGCTTTAGACCTGTTTAGCCAGGGTAACAATTCCATGGTAAAACCCAGTACCATCTAAATTGAAATGATAAACCGACCGATTAACCATAATGCAACACCAAACCATAAAAAAGGACTTCAAAAGTGAGTGAGAAGTCATAAGTTTTCATAACAACAATCCCAGAATCGCGTATCACTGCGCAGCAGAATACTAAAGGAAGAACGACTGCTTGCAAAGCTGTTGCTCCATAAGCAATCACGAAGACACATCAGAGCATATACTGCTTACAAAAGACGGCCATTAGCAGATAGTTCCGCAACAGATGCGCGTTTCTGTGAAGGGAACACAGAAGGGGATACTTGAAAAGCAGGCTCCTCTTTCAGAGAGATGCCAGCCAAGTGTTTAGACAAACCGCCCATAAAGTTGGGATTGGAGTCTTCACGAGCAGAAAACGGATGCTGACCGTTACCGAAAAAAGACCCAAAGTTTGAAGGCAAAGAGGCCGGCATATTAGGGTGAGAAGTGGCATGAGGAGCATTACAGCGCAGACAATTCGTTCGTCGCCGGAAGTTCGTAAAACCACACTCACAAAGCCAGTCCCCTTGATCCGATGTATTATACGCCCGTGCTGGGCTCTCCTTCATCCTACTACTATACTCCTCAAAACGGGATGTCTGAACGCCAAATGATGAAGCGGAATGGCCTCCACCCGACTTCATTAGTTGGTTCAATGACATTTGAGAGTAAGGATAGACATTAGAAGACAACAAAAAGTTGTTCTGCGAAGAGCCCCCACTGAAAGGCGACGACGAGAAATTAGAGAAAGACCCATGCGGAGTCGCCGGATTAATAGCTACACCAGAAGAGTCTGCAACAACCGAAGCGGTAGCTCTGCTAGCACCGCAACGCAAGCAACAAACATTCTTCGCAAAGTTGTGATAACCACAACCACCCGAACCACACTTCCAATCGCCAGCTCGAAAGGGGACATTACCACCAAAGGAATTGCGCGAGTTCGAAGAATGAACACCGGAACCGCTAACACCATTCGGCATGGAAGAGGGTTGCAAAGAAGTGTGAGATGCGGAATGGAACGAACCAACGTGATACCCAGCATTGGCGACTCCACCATTGGAATGGGGACTATTGCCATAAGAGCCAACAAGGAACTGATCGTGGCCTAGGCTGCCGCTAAGGTTCTGTTGCGAAAGATTGGAGGAGCCAGGAAATGAGCAACGGAAACAGGAGGTTCGACGCTGAAAATTGCTGAAACCACACATAGGGCAATTCCAGTCACCAGGACGCGGTCTATTCTTGCTTGAAGGAAAGCTTGTTAAGATATCAGAAGCACGCTCAAGTGTTCTAGGACTACTCGGTGTAATCTCGAGCATACGATCACCAAAACAAGAACCATTCAAGTTAAGAGCATCCGTTGCATCCTTGTGAGATGAAAACACAACATAACCTGTACCCGTCGATTTGTATTGATCAGGAGTCTTGAGCGTCCACAGAGCCACCGAACGCAGACCGTGATTCACGAACCAATTCTCGAGCTCAGCCTGAGTCGTGTCGTTTGCGAGACCAGCAATATGAACAACGGCAGATCGCTCAGCCAGAAAGACTCGCAGATCCGCACGACAGTCAATGGGACGAGTGAGAACTGCAAGCGACGAAGATGTACCAGACTTCGTCGGTGTTCCAGCAGGACTCAGGCTTTGCGAGTCACGAGAAGCACGCATGAGAAGCAGGGTCACAGCATTTGCCAAGCGCCAGCACTGAGTGAGACCCTTGGTGACATACGCAAGATCGTCCGCACTAATACCAAGGACAGAAGCAGAGTCCGCCAGTGGTGGCAGAGAGTCGACATCCAGCTTACCGAAGATGTGCGACAGCGTAATTGTGTACGGAGGGACAACACCTGAACGGACTTGCCATTTAGCATACTCATTCGACAGATCGAAGAGACGAGGGTACCGAAGGTACGAAGGAAGAACAATTCCATGGTCCTTTGCCTGTTTAGGCAACAAAACGCGTAATTCCCTGGCGTTCATCACGACAAAGGTGAAGTTTCGATTCTCGAAGCTCAAAAGCCGTTGCAGAACATCGTCCAGGGTGTACACTGCCTCCCGAAATGACTCAACACTCGTATACACGCCCGTCTTGATGGATTCATCGCGTATGGCACAGGAACCGCAATGCTGCTTCTCAAGCGTCTTTCCGTCAAGAATGACCCAACAAATCTCCCGTACTTCGCATGGCGCACGTCCAATACTCAGTCCATGGTCATCTAGATTCGTTTCAAAGTGTAGAACGACCAAGTCCCCAACAAATTCTGGCAAGGCCATTCTTTCCAAGAACAGTGGTGGTGAAGGGTAAGGCCAAAGGTGCACCTGAGGGGGGTTGCGAGGCAAATACAGTCACGGTCCGTGCCTGTGGGGGCAAAGAAACAGTGATCGTAATCGAGAATAAGCGATGACGATTGAGAAAAGCGAGCGAGACGGACGAGAAGAACACGACCGATTGGTCAATAGCCGAGCAAAGTACCGAAACGGCGCACACAGACACCCTAAATTCTCGAATCGATCTCCAAGCGAGTAAGCGAGACTTAGAGCCTCGGAGCTCGATTAACAAAACAATTGCAGGAAACAACAGCAATTGTTCCCGTACAGCTGCAATTATTTTCTTTTTAATCACCAAGTGCCTGAGCAAGTTTCAGTTTGCTTGCTATGATGCAACGATACGCAACAGCCATCGAGAATTAGAACTGGAGGGAAGCGCAATCAACAATCGTCGTGCACGACACACCATAGGAGAAGAGCGATGCAATCCCGAAGGAACAGATGCGATCACAGAAGTAACAATTGTATAATGCATGCGCCGGCGGTCATACTGTCATTCGGAAGTAAAGAAAAGTGTCATCAGTAGAGAGAAAAAACGAAGTAAGTCGGTGATCGAAGGCTCGATAGGGTTGTGGGATATGACACATCAGGACTTAAAGCCGAGCAGGTTTTTTTTAACTGTCAACAGGAATCGGCTGGGGTGCACAATCAACCAAGCTTTGGCACGATTGCTTTGCCATCAGTGAATTCTCCCACACCAAAGGCGCAAGTCCGACATACGGTTTATTGTGGCAGGGCCGAACTTAGTCGGTAAAGTACCTAACTAATTGCCTCGGACTAACTTAAAGAGCCGCACTCCGATAAGACTAGAAAATCCAAGAAAAATTCATCGTGTCATACCTGACACAAACACCCGGGATTGAGTAGAAATCATGAATCATACGGATGATAAACAGGAGGCATTGTTGGCATTCCCAGTAATTGCGCTTTTGGCCCGGAGAAAGACATTCCAACGTACGTATTCAACACAATAAGATACAGGAAACTCGGAAAGTGTTGCGATAAAGGTGCGGGAATGGGTAGTGAGTGAGAATGAGAGTAGGTTTGCTGCGCATTGTTGCGACAGCTCAAATTAACGCACGTATGCGTGCAAGAAAATTGAAAAAAAAACAAAAGCCGTTTCGTGATACATTGCACGGTTCAGAAACTGCCGAAAAATGCAGCCTGTGAGAGCAAACCGCGTGCTGTCAATGTTTGGTAACAGAAAATCATTCACTCATCATCAAAAAGGAGCCGGTTGGCCCGTTGTAGTAGGTAGGGATCAGAGAAGCGTAAACACATTAAATCACAGTTTTAAAGTCAGTCTTGGCCAAAAATGCATCTGGCAGCATTACAGTTTCGTATGGAAAAAAGCAGAATGCACTACAATGCCCTAATCATGAAACGTGGGCATGCGTAGCAGATAGAAGAAGAAATAAAGACAGGAGGAAGACGTAGCGTAAGAGAAAAAAAAAAAGAAACAATAAAACAAAAAGGGATGTTTAGTTCTGAGGGAGCACGTGCTGTCAAGTGGGCGACTAATTAGTACCGCAGAAACTAGAAAGTCGACGATACGGAACGAAGCGGTCACGTCTAGGCAACACCCATTGGGTTATTGCAAGCTCGCTGGGATGTGTTGAATAGCACAAACACGTCTAACGACGGTACGAGGAGTCCATACTGACTTTGCTATGGCTACGACCACTGCTCGTACTGCCACGGCGTCCAATTCTGGCTGTAGGTTGAGGAAGAGTGCCCTTAGTTTGCGCAAGAATGACATAAATCATATCCGTAAGACTAATCATGCCAAGCAACTGGTTCACCTTGAGACCAGCATTCGAACCAGGCATCAAGTGAGAGTTGCTGCTTTTCGGCGAGGGAGGGCAGGAAGGCGATTGCACAAGCCACAACCGATGACATTGCGTAGCCACAACCTTAGCCATCGTAAACGCAAAGGTAGATGATTCGTAAACATTGAATGCGGGGGCACTGTCCTTTCCAGCACGGATGCCTTGTTCGCTTTTAATAACACTCAGAAAGTGGCCGCAAGTACGATTGAGCAGGTAGATGGAGGAGGAACGAGTTACGTACTTAACATCGACCAGCGAGATGTTACCCAAGAGTCGGTACTGCGAGTCCACCACGGCTAAAGAACCGATACCGGTCTCGTCTGTGTGGAGAAGAGTTAGGATAAATAGAAACAAGAATTTTGAGAGAGAACGTACGCATTTGACGGAAAGCAGAGATCACCTTTTTGTCTCCATTGATGCAGATAAAGTCAGAGCTGCCAATGTCGAGAGAATGGATCTGGAAGGGTGTTAGTAAGGTATGAAACGCGTGAATTACAGCAGCACTGCCAAACGACCGAAGGCAGTACCCACGATAACATACAGTACGACTCATAAGAGGTTCCAGAGCGGGGAACGCACGGACGTTCGTCCACAGGAAGCGAATGAGCTGCCGCTGAGAGGCAATGCTGAGGATCTTGCGGTTTTCGTCAACAACAGCAACACGACGGATGCCGGTAGCGAGGATTTCTGCGAGATCACCAAGGGTGCTAGTGGCAGGAACCGTCATAAAGGGATCCTTATTTTTACCCAGCTCTGCCACCTGGTAAGCTGTAATTGGGGTTCCGTTTTGGACCTCTTGGCTCAGTTTTCTGTAAGCGTCAGTGGCTTCCTTAGCGTCATCAATGTGCAAAACAAGCAGCAAAAAAGCAGTAAGATCGGAATAGTCAAAAACACGGGCAATATCATCGCTGCCCTTAGCGGCACGAATGGGAATGGAACTAAGATCATTGTCAATGAGGAGGGCGCTAGCTTCCTCTATGGGCGTGTCCGGATCGACAATCGCAACATCCTTGTCGAACAAGAATCTAATAGGAATATCTTGCCACTTGTTGGAGGGGAGATTCGTTGGGGGAGGGCATTGAGCGAGGAATTCGGATACAGAAGCCATGCCGAAAGACTGTCTGCGGGTGTCCGTGGGCTCCGGTGTCAGGTTGGAATGTGGCATAGTAAATATCGTTAACTTATATGTATTAACACTGGTTTTTTTGTTATAATCGTCTGGTAACCAGAAGGATTAGGTTTAGTTGGTGGTGGTGGTTCTGAGCAACTAGCGTTGCCGTCCGTCCCCCCACGACTCTCCGACGGGCAGGCAGAAAAAGAAATGAATATACATGAAAAATCGTGTCATTCGTTTACTAAACAACTATTATGAAGCACTAATAAATACTTGTAATTGTCTTCGACTCTTCGGTAGTAAGCTTTCACTGAACCTCGTTCAGCGCCTGTGTTCCCCGTGTATTCACAGCACATTTGAGTGGCTAGCCCCGGATACGTTTTAATGACGTTAATTGTCACAGTGTGGGGCATATTTACCCCGGAAAAGCTTAAACCGCTCTGACAAAAAACGTGAACAACTCCTTGCGTAACCGCATTCAAACATTCAAATAAATAACGCAAATGTGCAAGTGAGAAACAGTAACCCTAAGCTTCGTATCGAAAAGCGAGGTGCGTACCTCGTAAACGGGGTCCATGTACGATAACTCCTCGTGCGAATGCCGGTGGTGGCTCGCTTTCCCTTCCACATACAAGTGCGATTTTACGTAATTATGAAGCTATAATATTTCCCATCCAATAGATTGCTCGTATCGTAGCCCTCGGGGTAGTGTGCCGTCTTATGGCTGTGTCGCTTAATTGCCCAACACCCGACCCAATCAGCACACTGTCCAAGTCTAACTTCATCAGATAGTGTTCACAGTAGTGTCCTTTGCTTCACCTTATTCGTCACCCACGCTTATCCCCGCATGTTCCTCGCTTTGGGTTGCTACTAAGCGACACGTTTGATAAGCCAGAGCCCCGCAACCGGACGATCTCCAACTGACACACTGCGCACCACACATCATCCACATCACAAACCTTCCTTACGTTGCTCAGTAAAGGGCTTCCTATATTCTTCCGGGGGGACGTCTCCTCTTTGTCCCAGAACCTCTTCCTTTCGGCATTCTCCGTTCCACTGGCAGCGTAGCCTTGTGCACTAATAACGGGCCTTTTTCTGCGTGCTACGGTAGCAGCAGACGTTTTAAGGCTTTTTAGTTTATTTTTTCTTCCATTAAACGGTTTCCTTCTTTTTTATTTTTTTCTTTATTTGTGGATTTGGCTGCGTTCGTGGCTGTTTTTTCTTTTCTTATTCTTATTTCCGCTACTTCTACTTCATTTTTACCCTTTTTCAACATTTCTTGCTTTTTTTCGGCCTTTTCCTTCATTCAATTGCTGGTGTTTGATTTTTGTGATCTTCTTTCCGTCTTTTCTCTTTTAGAATATCTTTCTTCGTCTCTTTTTTCATCTTTTTCAAACCTTAACGCTCTTTTATTGCTTTAAAATGACATCCACAGGATCGATGGCTCACGTCACGACCAACATTCAAGACCATGATGATGGTTTTAGCCAGGGGAGCGGTTCCCAGCACCTCTCGGTGCTCTCCAACAGAAACAGTATGTCTGCCCTGTACACGATTGCGGCAGACAGTGAACCGCCCGTTGAGGACGAAATTTCAAGGGTTAAAGCTGAGCTTCGAACCTTGAAAAAAAACATATCCGTGCAGTCAAAGCGAAACTTTGTGCTGGAAAAGGATGTTCGGTTCCTGGACTCACGGATTGCCTTGCTCATTCAGAACCGGATGGCAGAGGAGGAACAAAACGAGGTCGCAAAGCGCCTGAGCGACGTTTTCGTCGAGGTCCAGGGCAGTTTGCCCGATGAACGAAAACTAGAATTGTACGGTGTGCTTTTCTACGTCCTGCAGACAGAGCCGGTGTATACGGCTCGCTTGGTGCAGAGAGTAAAGATGGCAGAAATTGACATGCTGCTCCAGATTGTCATGTTCAACTTGTATGGCAATCAATATGAAAGTCGGGAAGAGCACTTGCTGCTCTCGCTCTTCCAGTCGGTGCTGTCTGCACAATTCGCTTCCGTGTCGGAATTCTCGTCGCTGCTGCGTGCAAACACACCTGTATCGCGAATGATGACCACGTACACCCGGCGGGGTCCTGGTCAGTCGTACCTGCGGTCCGTTTTGCTTGATAGTGTTCAATTGGTTGCGAACAACTACAATCGTTCGCTGGAAATCAACCCTTTGCGTGTTTACATGGAGCTTGCGCACGCTGGGGAATTCGAGCACACATATGCGCCAGACGTGTCTCCCGAAGAAATTCTAAAGATTCCTGCTGTGCGAGCAGAAGTTGAGTCGCGTTCTCTTATTCTCCGCGATATTACGTCGAGGTTCCTCGACTCTATCCTGGATCACGTTGATACCGTACCCTATGGTATCCGTTGGATTTGCAAATTAATCCGTAACCTTACTTTCCGCAAGTTCACCAATGTCCCCGAAGAGTCCATTTGTTCCCTTATTGGCGGCTTCTTTTTTCTCCGCTTCATTAATCCCGCCATTGTTTCGCCGCAGGCGTACATGTTGCTTGACACTCTTCCTTCCGAAAACGTGCGCAAGAATTTAAACGCTGTTGCCAAAATTGTCCAGAGTCTTGCCAACCGCTCTGCAAAAGCAAAAGATATCCCCAATGCCCCTCTTGACTCTCTAATTGAGGAGAACGGCGCTCGCATCCTCACGTACCTGCGGAAGCTGTGTGAGGTCCCCGACTTTTTCGAAACGCTTGAACTCGATCAATACTTGGCTCTCTCTAAAAAGGATCTTGTGTTAAACGTTTCTCTTAACGAAATTTACAGCACCCATCGTATTTACTACGAACACTGCGACCAAATAGCTGAGGAATCGTCTCATCTGCGATCAATTCTCTCGGAACTTGGTCCGCCAAAAGAGTTGGTTCCTGCCGGCGACAATGTTCTCATTGCCTTACCGCTTACGAACCGCTGGGACTCCTCCATTCCTGATCTCACCAAGACCTTTAGTGTGACCAATGCCGACGTTCTTTTTGTAAAGGCGAAATCATTGTTTATTCAGCTCCTTCGTGTGTTGCCGGCTGGCCACGAAATGACGAAGCTTCCTTTCGATCTTGTAAAAATCGCAGACAGTGCCGCTAACCTACAAAATATGCACTTTATGCATAAAGGTCTGCGCGCTCTTCAATATCTTGAAGAGCTCTCCAAACTCAGTGTTGTTGATCCCCTTAATCGTTACGCACCTCTTGTAAGCGAGGTGGAACACGAGTTTCAGAACTTGGATGCCGTGTACCAGAGGCTGAAAACAGAGCGTGATGCTCTTTTTATGGTGCACAAAACTATCAGCGAACACAATGAGTATCTGAGGTCGCAACTCGACATCTATCGAAATTATTTGCAGAATGCCCGCGTGCAATCATCCATTACTAAGCACAGTGATTTGAAAAATGTTTCCCGCGGCGTCGGAGTCGTTGGTTTCAAGGGGAAGCAACAAAAACAGACAAATGCTTCTAAATTCTCGCATGCGCACCTAGTGAAAGAGCAAGTTATTGCCGAATGTCTTTTTCCTGCACACACTCTCATTGATACGTACTATGTACTATCTTCCCCTCTCCCCGGCAGTTTTGTCGTTACCATTTTCCGTCGAGGCCAAGATCAAGGTCTCGTTAAAATTGATGTAAAAATTGACGATCTCCTTGAGATGCAGCACAACAAGAAAGAATTCCTTGATTGTGAATTTGTAAAGTTCAACGTCAACAAGTTCCTGTTGCTACTAAGACGGCAGTTCAATCGCAAATGAGAGCAAAAAAGACATTATCTATCATATTATTTTACTTACATTTACTACTACTCTTCCTCTTAATTCCCGATTCCTTGGTGCAATTTGTTTATCTTACTCAGAGTAATACACGTCTTCCGCTAATGTTCGGTGGCCGTAAGTACGTACAACTATAGTTTTCATTTTTCGTATCGTATGAATATCAATGTTGGATGTATCATTTGAATACAAATGCAAACACAATGAACATTTTCAGAACCCGTAGGCTGTTGTTTGTTTTTACGCCGTTTAAGCATTACCGCCTTCCTTCAGACTGGATCTGCCTGCACGCAAGATTTGGTCAACACTGATCAAATTGCTAGCGATAACAGTAGCAGAGTGCAGCATGTGTCGAATGACACGATAGTTATCATACACACCTTCAGTTTCGGGGTCAAAAGGCTCGCCAGTGCGAATATCGAGACCAACCTTGTAGCCCTCAGCAGCCTCCTCCTGGAGAGCGACAATGGCGTCCTGAACATCATAACTGGAGTTGCTAGCCAACGTCTTGGGAATGATGAGAAGAGCATCGGCGAAAGCGTAAACACCGAACTTCTTCTTACCCTTCACCTCCTTCAAAGCAAAGTCTCCCTTCAAATGTTGGGCACAAGCAATTTGGAAAGCGCCAGCTCCAACAACAAGACACTTGTCCTCAATTGCGTTTTTGACGGAGCGAAGACCGTCACGGACGGCGTCTTGAATTTGCTGGATGGTATAAGAGTTGGGGCCCTTGATGAGGATAGTAACACTCTTGGGTTCCTTCACCTCTTCAACATATGTGAACTTTTCCTCGCCCAAAGTACGTTCATAAACGTGACCAGCCCAACCAAGGACCTCGGGAGTAAGATCGTCAACACTGTTTTGGGCAATGCCGCCGCAAACGAGCTGGAGTCGCTCCATGTTGCGACGCTTTGCACGGCGAAGAGCCATAATACCGTTCTTAGCAAGTACATCAAGAGAAAGTGGGTCAATGCCCTTTTGGTTAATGACAACGAACCCGGCATTGGGATCCTTTTCACAGACTTCCTTCTTCAACTCTACAATCTTACGAAGTTTCTCGTCAACGAACTTGCGTTCACTTTCCACAAGACGTTCACGCTGCTCAGAAGTACTGTAGAAGAAGCCCGAATTAATCTCAGTCTTTTCGTACTCAAGCGACACGTTGAGAATGAGAACGAAAGCGTTCTTCACGTCCTTGGGCATGTCGGGATGGCGAGCGCCGTGATCGAGAAGCAAACCACGGATGAGTTGGCTCTCGGCCGACGAGCGGTGTTGCATTTTCATGATTTCGACCATATGAAGATCAATGGGCTCGTTCGGACGCTGAATGGCGAGAACAGCATCGGCAACAGCAGGTGACAGGATCTCTACCAAGTCCGCGGAAACTTTTGTGCCAAGGCTTGTCTTGGCGACAGACAACAGGACCTCACGGTCAATTTCTGCCGTCGTTTTGAATTCGTCCAAAAACTTGAGAGCTTCAGCCTTTGCCAAGTCAAAGCCATCGCTAATGAGGGTGGGATGGAGACCTTCCTGGATGTATCTGTCTGCTTGCTTAAGAAGCTCGCCGACGAGTAAACAAACGGACGTAGTACCGTCACCAGTAATGTCGTCTTGAGCAGTTGCAGCTTTCGCGATACAAGAAGCAGTAGGGTTTTGAATTTGCTAGAACAGATGGTTAGATCGTCTGTGCACGAAGGAACACACGTTACCATTTCCGTAAGCAAGACCTTTCCGTCCTTGGTCAGTTTAATTCCTCCGGCACCATCAACAAGCCTGAATTCGTCAGCCAACTCAGTTCACACAGCTCATGACACGAAAAAACGCACATTTTCGTTGTTCCAGTGGGTCCCAAATTGCTCTTCAAAACGTCTTGCAGACCAATTGCTGCAGAAATGTTCACCTGCACATGTTAGTACGCGAAAAACGGCAAAAAAACTGCGTCCCGCCGCGAGCTTACCTGCAGGGCTTGAGCTCTCTGCAGAGACTCTGCTTTGGGGTTTAACATAGACAGCATCTTCGTGTTTTCGGTGTGCCGAGGTCCAGGTATGCAAAGCGTAACTTGCACTGCAGCAGCCTGGCGCGCTGAGTAGCTCGTCTCAGACAGGCCGCCGCGGATTCGCCGCGGCATTCCGCGGTCTAATGCAACACCAAAACCGGTGAAGCTTAATCGAGGGGGGACAGTCACTGGCACGCCCGTTGACCAAATTTTCCCCTCTACCACACGCGGAGAGCTGAAGCCCAAACTGGTAAGCAACAGAGGAAAATGGTTGATTATCTGCTCTACGAGTCTGCTACGGGCTACTCACTCTTTGATGTCCTTGGAGCGGACGAAATAGCGTCCAAAACGAAGGAAGTACAGAAGTCTCTGCAAGACCTCTCCAAGTTTGGTAAAGTTGTGAAGCTCCGTAGTTTTATTCCTTTCAAGAATGCTGCTCATGCTTTGGAAAACGCTAATGACATCTCTGAGGGTGTCATGAACGACTTCTTGAAGAACTTCTTGGAGATGAACCTGCCCAAAGCCTCGAAGAAAAACAGCGTGAAGCTCGGTGTCCAGGACAAGAACTTGGCCGTCAGCATCAAGGGTGGTGTGGACGGTCTTGACTGCGATAGTTCGGAGCTCACGCAAGATCTCCTGCGTGGTGTCCGCTACCACGGAGACAAGCTGTTGAAACAGCTGTCTCCCGGTGATTTTGAACGTGCACAGCTCGGTTTGGGTCACTCTTACTCCCGTGCCAAGGTGAAGTTCAATGTCAACCGTAACGACAACATGATTATCCAGGCCATTGCCATCCTTGACCAGTTGGATAAGGATATCAACACCTTCGCCATGCGTGTGAAGGAGTGGTATTCCTGGCACTTCCCCGAGCTCCTTCGCATCGTGAATGCCAACGACAAGTACGCTGAGTGCGTCAAGTTTATTGGTGACAAGAACACCGTCAACGACGACATGCTTCACGACTTGGCCGCCATTGTCGACGATGACAAGGACATTGCTCAAAGCATCATCAACGCTGCCAAGATTTCCATGGGTCAAGACATTTCCGAAATTGATTTGGAAAACATCATTTCTTTTGCTGACCGTGTCATCAACTTGACCAACTACCGCAAGCAGCTCTACTCGTACCTTGTCAACAAGATGGCTGTTGTTGCTCCTAACTTGTCTGAGCTTATCGGCGAGGTTGTTGCTGCTCGTCTTATTTCCCATGCCGGCAGTTTGACCAACTTGTCCAAGTGCCCTGCCTCCACGGTTCAAATTTTGGGTGCCGAAAAGGCTCTTTTCCGTGCTTTGAAGACCCGCGGAAACACCCCTAAGTACGGTATCATCTACCACTCGAGCTTCATTGGCAAGGCTGCCGCCAAAAACAAGGGTCGCATTTCTCGTTTCCTCGCCAACAAGTGTTCCATTGCCAGTCGTATTGATAACTTCAGTGATATCCCAACCACCTCTTTTGGTCAGATTCTCCACCGTCAAGTGGAAGAGCGTTTGAACTTCTACGACACCGGTGTCCCCCCTACTCGTAACAGCGTCGCCATGGCCCAGGCCGTCACCAAGACGAAGACTGATCTTGCTGCTGACGACATGGACGTCGAGGAGCCTGCTGCGGCAGTCAAGTCGGAAAAGTCTTCCAAGAAGGAAAAGAAAGACAAGAAGGACAAGAAAGAAAAGTCCAAAAAGAAGCGTTCCTCTGATGCTGGGCTCGAGGGTGACAAGCACAGCAAGAAGAAGAGCAAGAAGAGTAAAAAGGAGTAATCGTTTTTTGTGCTTTTATAACTGGTTTTGCTTTGTATTGAAAGAATTTATGTTAGTTTATTGAAGGAAAAGGAGAGCGGGGCAGCGGTGGGAAGGTCTGTACGTTTGTCTAGAGAGCGTTGAGCATTCTGAACATTAGCTGTAACAAGTATCCTGTAGTGCGTTCTGTCCTTTATAATTGACAATCTGCATGCCTTCGCCCTCCTCTCCGTCTCCTCTCCGTCTCCTCCTACTGTTGTTCCTCGTTTCCACTGTGTCCTCTTTAACCTTCGATCACATGCTCGCTTAATCTACTCTTATGTTAACTTTATGCTCCACCAAAAATGCTATAACCTTAAGCAGGACCTACTTTCTCCTTCCTCCTACCGCCCAACACCGACTATTTTTGTAGCTAAGATGGGTGCCGAAAACGAGGAGAATCCCTCTCTTGGTAAGTTGAATGAAGGAACGCAAAGGTGCTAACGACGTCTAGCTGTCAAGTATGATCTTTCTCAGAAGATTATGCGCCATTTGGACCGCCATCTGATTTTCCCTCTCCTGGAGTTTCTCTCGTTGAAAGGCATCTACGACTCGAAGGAGCTTCTGCAGGCCAAATACGACCTGCTGAAGGACACGAACATGACAGATTATGTGGCCAACTTGTGGACAGAGTTGAACGGGGGAAAAACAGACGAAGCTATGGTGTTGGAGTTTGCAAAGAAACGTGAAAGCGTTTTGGAGGAGCTGTCTGAACTCGAAGAAGAGGCCCAAAAAATCCTTACAGTACTTGAAGACCCAGAACTGATTGCAGCTCTTCGTCAGGACAAGGGACAAAACCTTCAGTACCTGCAGGAACACTACAACATTACGCCTGAGATGATCTCTGTGCTGTACAAATTTGCCCAGTTTCAATACAACTGCGGCAACTACGGCGGTGCGTCTGACTTGTTGTATCATTTCCGTGCATTCAGCAAGGACTCGGAGCTGAATGCTTCTGCCACTTGGGGCAAGTTTGCCTCTGAGATCCTTACTGTCGACTGGGAAGGCTCTATGGAGGAGCTGGGAAAGCTGCGTGAGATGGTCGACTCGAAGAGCTTCAAGGAGTCTACGACTCAGTTGAAGAACCGTACCTGGCTGCTTCACTGGTCGCTTTTCCCCTTGTTCAACCACTCCAACGGCTGTGAGACGCTCTGCGACATCTTCTTCTACACTCCCTACTTGAACACCATCCAAACCTCCTGCCCCTGGCTTCTTCGCTACCTTACGGTCGCCGTTGTCGTCACGGGTCAGAACAATGCGAACGTGAAGCCTCGCAACCCCCGCCAGTCGTACCAACGCCGTATCCGTGACCTTGTCCGCATCATCAACCAAGAGAGCTATGAGTACAGCGACCCCATCACCTGCTTCATCTCTGCTCTGTACACGGAGGTCGACTTCAAGAAGGCCCAAAAGTACTTGAAGGAGTGTGTCGAAGTGCTCAAGTCAGACTTTTTCCTCGTCTCTCTGCGTGACCAGTTCCTTGATGCCGCCAGAAGACTTCTTGCCGAGGCCTACTGCCGTATCCACCGCGTCATCAGTGTGGACGAGCTTGCCAGCAAGCTCGAGTTGGAGCACAGCCAAGTCAGAAGCATCATCGAGCACCAGAGCGACTCTTCCGCCAACACCAATGCTGCTGCATCGAACAACAACAGCGGTGCCGCTTCCACTACAGCTGCCTCCGAGGAGCCTGCCACAGCTGCCGAGTCAGAGACTACTGCTACGGAAACCGAGGAGCCCGAGCAAGACATGCACTTTGGATTCAAGGCGAAACTGGATGGGGTAAGTCGACAGAGGGCAGATTGCCAGTTTGCTGCGAATGAATTACTAACGAATACACAGGAGTCTATCATCATCGATCACCCGCCCTTCTCTGTCTTCCAACAGATTGTTGATCGCACAAAATTCCTCGGCTATGAAAGCCAGAATCTGGTCCAATCTCTCGCTAAGGTTACTTCTGAGCTGAAGCATGCTGCTGCCTAAGTAATTTCGTTTATGCTGTATTTTGTCCAGGCACTAAAAATTGAGATACCAAAGAGGGAGACTGGGGAGCGGAGCGGACTGGGGGGACTTGAAGAGCGTCGAGTCTAGCGTGTGTGCGTGTAGATTGTTGTGTGCGTGTGGACTTTTGCGTTTTGTTTGCGTTTTGTTCTATGTGCTGTGTACGGTCCAGCACGAGGCTGCGGCTTTCTGTTGACAATGATAGCAGCAGCAGCAACGCTGCTGCTGCTGCTGCTGCATGTTGTCCAGAACTGCTCAACCTTCCCCTCCTTTTCCTGCTGCCGCCGTTCCCACATTCGCCAATATTAGTCATAGCTCGATAGTAAGCATCGCCCTGTTACACCCTCTGACGCCCTCTTACGCCCTGTGTGACTCATCGCTACCACCGCCTTAGCTCGCCTCCAGCTCGCTACTCGCTGGCCATATTGCCGCACCTCGTATTTTGTTAATAAAATGTCTATGCTCGTCTACAGTAGCTATCTTACAGCTGTTGCGCTCGCTCCGGCACTCGCGCCAGCTTTTGCTCTCTCAGTCTCCTCCGTCGCACGGCAATTGAGCTGCAGTCCATCTGCACCAGTGCCGATGGCAGTTCGTGGGCAGCAACGCGGGTTCTCAGGACCCCCCACCAACCCTCTCCGTCTAACAATATAAGCAAGCCCGACGACGATTGCGTAGCTTCCCGCTGAACAATTGCCATGTTTTCGAGCAAAAAGAAAGCCGCCAAGGCAGAGAAACGAGCAGCCGTAAAGAAGGAAAATTCGCCGCAGACGTACAAGGAGTTGACGGAAGAGTACGGCGAAGTAGAAGGAACACAGAAGGAAGAGAGCAAGTTCAAGCTCATCCTGTCGATACTGAGACAATGTATCGGTGTAAAAGACCTGGCGACGTTCCGGTTTAGTTTGCCGTCACAATTACTAGAACCAGTCGGCAACCTGGAGTACTGGAACTATGTCGACCGGCCAGATTACTTTGCAGTAATGGGTGACGCCGAGGACGAGGTGGGCCGCATGCTTGGAGTGCTGCGGTGGTGGTTCACAAAAGACATTCGTTTTGTCCGGGGCCGTGTAGTCAAACCTTACAACTCAACTTTGGGCGAGTTTTTCCGCTGCCGGTGGGTCATCAATGAGCCTGCGGTGCGTGACGACGAGACCATCGACCCTTCTTCGTCACAGCTGAATGTTTTGGCAAATCCGTCCACCGAGTCGACCAAGTATCTCGAAGGAAACAACTACCGGAAGGCCGTAGACACGACGGCTGCGCCGTCGGGCAGACTGAGCCGGTTGAGCAGACAGACAGCTGGTTCTCGGGCAAGCAAGCCGCTGAGGGACAGTAATTCTTCGAACGACGGCGGTTCGTCGACACGATACTCGACGGGTTCATCGTCATCATCCACAGCACAGGAACACGTCGTCGTTTTCATGGCCGAACAGACCTGTCACCACCCGCCCGTCAGCGCGTACTACGTTTGTTGTCCGTCCAAGGGTGTCGAGGTGTACGGTTTGGACCAAATTGCAGCCAAGTTTACCGGCGGCTCTATACGTGTCCTTCCAGGCGGCCACAACCGCGGCGTCTACGTTCGTTTCCCTGAACGCGACAACGAGGAGTATCTGTGCACACACCCTTCTGGGTCTGTGGGCGGCGTTCTGCGTGGAAACATGCATATCAACATGCACGATTCCACCTTTATCACCTGTCCCAAAACAGGTCTGAAAGTAATTTTGACATACACTGAAGAAAGCTGGTTGGGAAAGCCAAAGAGTCTCGTCAATGGTGTAATCTTCAAGTACGACCCGAAGGATGATAAATATCATACCATCAAGTCGGTGCCGAGCAGCCTAATCCTCGCCAAATTTCACGGCAGCTGGCGTAATTGTATCTTTTATGAACTTGCTGAGGAGAAGAAAACGCGAGTGCTCGTCGATATCAACGAGCTTGATATGGTGCGTAAAAATTGTCCGCCGCTGGACGAACAACTCCCTTTCGAATCTCGCAAGATTTGGTTCCCTGTGACAGAGAACATTTTTTTGAAACGTTACTCTAAGGCTACTCGAGAAAAGATAGCCATTGAGGATGAGCAACGAAAACTTGCAGCAGAGCGCGAGAAGAATAACCAAAAATGGGTTCCCCGATTTTTTGAAGAAGGCGACAACGAAGGCCGACCGACACTTTCGAAAGCGGGTCGTGTTGCCTTGCAACGTATGATTGAGGGAGATACCGTGCTGGATGATCTCGTCAAACTGTAATTTCTTATTGTTATCGAAATGATGTGAAGGACGTTGCGGCTTCCTGCCACTGGTGAGTGATGAACAGTGAACAGCTTCTCACTGAGATCTCTTCAAACATCGGTTTTTGCGCTTGAACATATCTTGCAGCCTCAAAAATGGCGTTGTCAATGACGTTGTCTTTGGAACGGAACAGTCAACTTCTTTTTCACATACACTGGTGTCACGCATTTGTTTCTACGTTGTTCCATCTTTTATGTATTCCAAGTCCTGGACCTTAGCTTTATGTGCGTTAGGGTTTTGGTGCTTGTTATGAGTCGATTAACTTTTTGTTTTGTTTTTTCGCACATGATGTATTTCTTTTCCTTTTTTGTTACTCCCACTATTCCTGTCACTTCTATTATTGCACCAAGCAATGGCTTTGATATGTGTACAATATATAAGCAGATGATGATATTCTCAATTGAATGAAATGTCTCGAGTTACTCAGTTACAGTTAGTGTCGTCAAACTAAAAGTTCTACTACTGTAGTTTTAGTCGGTATAGATGAGGAGGAATGGTGTTTGTTGTAGTTTATGGGAATTTGTTTTGCTGCCAGTATGAATTTTTGAGAGTGACTTTGCTGGGAATGGCTTTTATGACACTTGAGCAGTTCTCTCGGGCTTGTTGCAGTGTATGTGTGAATCTAATAGTTATTCAGACATTGATGTTCTGTTTAATCCAATTTCATTCTTCTAAAAAAAGTAGTGAGTGAAGAATACTTTCATATATGAACCATGCATTGACAAGTTATTTCAGTAAACAATTCTCAAACTATATCAACGCAATTGCTTTTCTTTGTAGTGTATTAAATAAGATCTTTTTATATCGGCATATAATCGGCCGCCCGCTTAGAGGAACATTGTTGTATTATTCTAAAAGTTTACTGAATTGAGTGAAAGCACGGACATGGCTACATTTTGCTACGCGTCGGTGTTTTGTTTAATGACTTTTGTAGCAACGAGTGTGTTATTATTATTTTTTCCAAACCGTTAAAAATCAGAATGAATGTATATAGAATTGACTAATAGGAAGGACGATTCGACTGAAGAACAGAGCGCATCATGCTTGGAGAAAAGACTAAATTTGCAATTGTCCGTTATAGAAAATAGGGAAACTGTTCCAGAGTCTTTTCTGATAGGAATATGTGAAAATGCTAGTTTGTCATCAACCCAAATATACTGCACGAAGAACAAGAAACCGGGACCCTTATACATAGATGCAATGGTCGTTTATAGGTTTTTTTGTGAAGTGCAATATACTATTACTCGTTGTCGGATCCGTGTTTAAATATTAATTGGATTATATAAATAAAAAAACTTTGTTCTGCAGCAAGGTTTACTATTCTTCTTCTGACATGTGGGTAAAACATTGTCTTTTTAAAACTACTGAGACTTCTATATTACTTAATGAAAACGTGATTACCAACTTTTCCGTAATTTTGATATATGAAGAGCAACGTTGTCGTCTCAAACTACCGGCTGAAGGGCAATAAAACTCTAGCACGAATTGGGATTACAAACTCAGTTTTGTCGCAATCTTAGAACCGTCAGAGTTTCAATTTAATCAAGTGGTTTATGTATACCTTACAACAGAAGTAGTTCTAACTTAAATTCAAGTTTAAGTGTACGTAAATATGAACAAGTGGAACCTCTGCTTCTTGCACATTTATATTTCCTATAAACTGAAAAGGATTCTATCAATTGATTTCATTGAAGATCATATTCTCCAAACTCAAATCATGAAAAAACCGTTTTGCATTCGCACTCAAATAAATTGCAATGACCGGATTGTCTTAAAGTTTCAAAGTAGACTCCGCTAATGCTTGTGACGAGTACTGCATCTGCACAATTTTGTTTTCTTTCGGCAATCATACTGCTCGCTTATAAGTTTAGACATACTTACTGTTACCCATGTAATACTGTATCTCCATAACGAATTGCATACGCTTCCTGCAATCTTTCATCTCGCACGTGGTAATTTTCGTTTCCAATTTTTTACCGTATAACTTATGTTTCACTTTTCATTTTCGTCCTCAATTTAATCTCGTCCTTTCCCCATAATATTGTAATGAAACAGCAAAAAACGATATCCTGTTTCCTATGCCTCAATACTTGTCGATAAGAGCACGCAGATATACGTAAAATTCGTTATGCAACCGTTTCATCGACTACTCAAGCTCATCCATATTCCTGTTGTCTAATTTGACAAAACAGAGCTTAAAAGAAACATTACAGCAAAAAAAACCATTAGGTTTAACCATATACATTACTTTTATGCCATTTTGAATTGTTAGTTGACAAGAAAAGTGGATTTTATGGAATTTCGGTTTGAAAATGTGAAGCCTGCTCGTACGCCCGCAGTAGCATACCCCAAAGAAATTACTTGCTACAGTGTCGACGGGAACAGAGATATCTTGTATAATGATTCCAATTTACGTTTCTATTATCCTCCGCCATTGGGAACTGATTTGAATATTGGGTTTCCTAAACGATACACGAAACCGCTAAACCAGCCGGACAGTATATCTATCGTTGAAAATGCGCTTCTTAATAATTGCAAAGATGTTATAAGTTCTGCTGAAATTGTAAGTTGGAGGGGCCTTCTCACCAAACTCTTATGTGCGCCAGTGGATTACAAATCTTCTTGGGACATTCTTGTGTACAAAAAGGAATCGACACTGTTCTTTGAAGAACCCCCAAGAGCTCCGGAGAAACCGTATGCAAATCAAGAACGAATGTGTTTTTGGGGGTACAAATTTGAAACTGTCTCAACTCTTCCCAAAATTTGGGACGAATGTTCACGGTCTTCCATTGAGCAACGTGATTACGACCATGTGAACCCAAATGAGCAATACTGCTCTATTGTCAAGACCAGCATTGGTTCCCACAGCATGATATTGGGCGGGGAAGTAGACTGTGTCTGGGACATAAAACCAGACTATGAGGAAGATAACCCTTGCACTCATTATGTTGAGCTGAAAGTAACGAAAAAGCTTCCGCTAAACCATGTTGGAATGCGCAGAAAACTTATTAAGTATTGGGCACAAAGCTTTTTGCTCGGTATACCCCGAATTGTCGTTGGGTTCCGTGACGATAACGGTGTAATTGTCGAAATTAAAGAAATGAGCACAACAGAGATTCCGAAGCTGCTGAAACCAGCGGTTTCGCGGAATGAGTGGACTCCATCTCGTCTCTTGGTGCATTTGGAGCAGCTGCTCACATGGCTGAAATCAATCGTGCAAAATGATTCACATACATCATGGAAACTGTCGTACCGTGGTCAAGGCTCCATAACGTTGCAGAAAACATCTTCATCTCCCTAAATTCGTTAGAATTGTTTCGTGAAATGGTCCATGGAATTACCGCGGATTTCCCGTCCAGTTGAGCGGTCGAAGAAAGAACCTGCCTGCACCAAGTCATTGTCAAAAGCGGTTTAAAATGACTGGAATTGTTCGTTTAACGAGACAGTTTGGTCGAGAAATTTATCTAATTGATATTCAAGGCGACTTGGAACGCTCGAAGGCTGAAATGAACATAGGAGACCTTACCATTGTCCAAGTATGACCATATCACAAGAACATGAAGAGATTTGACGAAGTCTTGATGCTAACAGAAAACGTCTGTTTAGTCAACTGAAAAGAGAGTAAAGTCCACTGCAAAGTTGATTGTTGGTAACCAATGCTTGGAGGGAACTGTTGAACCATTAAAACAGCCAATGGTAATTCTTAGCAAAACGAATAAACGACCTCGATTGGAAAGCGCTGAAACAAACCCAACCACTTATGTTTCTATGGTTTCAGTGATTAGAGAGAAAATAACGTTTCATTTACGACCTCAATTAATTCATCAATGAATAAGCTTATACATAATAGGGAGTTTCAGCTTGTCAACAATTTCTATGGCAAACCCTACTCTTCCACTTATAAAGACTACTTTCTCCATGGCAAAAAAAGATTTCCTTTTAAAAGCTACCTCACAAAAGACAGTCTATAATACAACTTACTACTTGCTCTGGTTGCCTTCTATTAATTACTACTAACTGAGCAGCGAGAGGGTCAAGTGCTAAGGGGACAAACACTTTTCAGATACTCCCCACCACAAAAAGTGCCACAACTCATAAAACCTTTGTTTCCTGTTTTTTCTGGTACACTTGTCTGTTATTTGCAAAATGCGTGAACTTAAACATCGTAAGTATTTTTCTGATTTTTTTTTGGAGCCTTTTCTTTTTATTTTTTATTTTTTTTGGTTTTAAATCGAAAAAACCAAAAAAAAAAAAAAGAAACAATCCAATTCGTCTCTATCGCACCGTTCTTTGTTGCTAACCAACTGTCAGATGAGAGAAAATTGTTAAAGAAAGTTGATTTTCTCAACTACAAGCATGATGATGGAAATCATCGTGACTTAATGGTAATGCGTCGTTACCATATCTCTAAGCGTGAGGAGTATCAAAAATACAACATCGTCTGTGGTAAATTGAGACAACTGGCACATAAGTTGTCCCTACTGAACCCTCAGGATCCCTTTCGTCTTAAGTATGAGGAACTTATTCTTGAGAAGCTCTTTGATATGGGAATTCTTGCCTCCAAATCTAAAATGTCTGATGTTGAAAACAAAGCAAATGTTTCTGCTATTTGCCGTAGACGTCTTCCTGTAGTCATGTGCAAGCTCCGGATGGCTCAGAACGTTTCAGGCGCTACAAAGCTTGTTGAACAAGGTCACGTTCGCGTGGGTCCCCATGTTGTCACGGATCCTGCGTATTTAGTTACACGAAACCTTGAGGATTTCATCACCTGGACTGACGACTCGAAAATCAAGCGTACAATCGCCAAGTACAACGACAAGGTATGTCTTCACGAACTACTATACGGAAACATTTTACTAACACTCTCTAGCTTGACGATTACGATCTTTTGTAAAAACATTGTATTGGTATATTAGGGTTCATTGAATAAAAATTATTCCAAGGTTTAGGTTTAACATTGTCCGGTGAACATTTGGGGGGATGGGGACTTTATGGCTCACCTCGAGAAACAGCTTTCACTAGTACCAAAAGAACCGGTTACTTCTATAGCATATTTTTGTTACGGAAATACATAGTCTAAACTTATCATTAAATAGTCAAGGAAAGAAACAAGCAATCGCGATCACTAGTTGTCGCAAAAGATAAAAATCACATAGCACAAAACATAACACTTTTTAGGCAAAACCGAAACCCTCCGAGCCTTCATTGATTGCTGTCAATAACATGGAGCGCAACTGTTCATAGCTCTCATATTCAGGCAGATCAAGTTGGTTAAAGCAGGTGTGTGACTGGGGCAAACGCTGCAAGGATCCGTAACTCTTATGAATGTTGAAGCGTTGGAAACCAGACATTCCCTCCAGTTCCTTAAAGCCATTCAGCGGAACTTTTGAAGTTCCTGTCGTAAATTGTAAAAGCTTCGCACGTTCCTCCTCGTCGAACGAACGCACAGCGCGCCAGAACCATTGAATCTGGGGAGACGACATTGTGTAATTGTGATACTCGGTATTGTTACGCCAGTCGTCGATGTCAATTTCAGGCAAGCCGGAAATTAAAAGTTCGAGTTCACGTTCATTGAAGATTTGAACAAGCTGGGGAGCAATTATATCATAAAAACCGTCACAAAGACTTTGCAGTTGATCCTTGACACTCTCCTTTAGCTTATAATTCACCATCAGGTTCACATATTGATGCTTGTTCTCCTCGGTGACTGGTATATTTCTTCCATTTTCAATAAGATCCACAATTGTCCGTTCTCCAAAAACGTCCTTCTCGACAGCAAACTCTTCAGTAATAATATCGCTGATGTTATTGCTTAACATCCAGACCAATGACTTGTAGTAATCCGGATCAAGCGACTCCATGTCCTTCAAAGACAATGGACATTTCAGAATCTGCTTGTACACTGCTCTGCTGAAATGACAATCTAAAAGACGGCCATCATATAAAGCCTTTCCGATAATCCGACCAGTAAACTTAAAGAACGAAAGATGGTCAGGATTAACAGCAGAGTCTCGGTTGGGATGGAATGTGGTTGAATCACCGACAACAGGAAGAAACAACGCATAATCAGGGTTAAACATTTGACGAGCAAGCACTTGCAGCCATTCACGAGTCACGCCTCCCGCATCAACACCTTCTTCATCACGGAACCGAATATTGAGTTTGGAATACTTAACCTCGTCAGCATTCTTAAAGTGCAACGCACGATAGGAATCTAAGAAAACCTGATCACGTCGCACAGTGATGTTGAGCGGTGGGTACTGTTCCTTGGGTGCACTCTCATGTAATTGCCGTTGGAAGAAGTTTCGTTTGTTCTCAAATTCCAAAACCTTAGGGTTCTTTACAAGTAAAGAGAACGAGCCGCTCATTAATGAAGGTGTAGTAAATACCATCATGTTAATAATTCGCTTGTGCTCCTCCGTAAATGTCAGGAACAACGTTTTCAATGGATCCATAAGCGACTTCACTGATTCGCGTATATCTTCAGGCAAATCAATGTACACGGGCCGACAAATAACCATGAGTGACTCGACTAACGGAAGCAAAACAGTTGACACATGTGTTACTGTTTCCTTTTCACGTAAAGCGGTCAAACACTCACTAAGTATGGACCAAAGTTTTTGTGAATTGAGCTTGGAATAAAACTCCAATAATTTGGCAATGTTGACATGATTGCTTTCTTGCTTCTTAGGGCGTCTTTCAAAAATGTAGTCAAGGGCTTTTAAGCAGCGCAATAATTTTGCTTGCGCTGAACTAGCGGGACAGAATGGAGAAAGACTACTTTGAAGTCCGTTCTCATCCTTTCCAGCAAGAACATTCTTCGTGAGACTTTGCAGATCCTCAACTAAAATAGTGATATAGCCTTGCGCGTATTGAAGGAGTTCATTACCGATTACGTCTTTTGCACGAGGAAGCGCACAGAGATTAAACATAACTGATAATGCATTTTGGAAGGTACGACTCGAGCAACTATCCGTTGTAATCAAACTTGCGGTAAGACGCAAATTATCATCTGAAATCAAAGGTGGTTGAAATCTCTTCGATTTCTTAGGTTTCACCTCAGCTTCCTTTTTATCCTGAGAAGATCCCTCAGCCTGGGGTTTATCCGTTTCTGTGGTCGCCGAAGCTTCCACAGCTGGCTTTTCGGCTATCTGTGCCTTGTACAAGGAAAGTAAAGGCTTTGTCAAAATAGCAAGAAGTTCGGAATAACTGTTCATAAGCATTGTACTGGCAAAATTCTTTTGTCTGCCAAGCAATCCCAGCAAAACGTTTATCGGAGCGGTTCTACCAACTCCACTTTCTCTGTTTCTTTTAGCCGATGCTTTTTTCGGCAACAAAGAAGTATAGTCTTGTAAGCTTAGGAAAAATGAAGGAAAGTGATCAGCCCAATTAGCCAAGTGAACCAAAAGGTCAACACACTGTTGCAGAAGTAAAGAGGGAGTGGAAACTCCAGCGACGACAGGCATGGTACATAATGCATCAACGGGCTTCTGGTTCTTTTTCAACTCCTTCACATGGGATAATCCAAGGGAGCGCAAAGTAAGCTCCTTGTATGATTTCTCAGCAGACTGGTCATTCACCGATGCTTCTTGCAGCAAATACAGAATCAGACCAACCAGCTCAGCACGATGTTGCTTGTTTTCACAAACATTAATTACAACATCGTAAAGCTGATTTTTGCTTGAATTTTGTGGTACAAAAAGTAACCTAATAAGAGAGAAAGGTCCAAAACGATCAAGTAAAGAAGGAACAGGTAACTTCTTTTCAGCAGCCGGCTTCTTCTTAGTAGTGCTAGCAGTTTCAACTTCCGGAATATCCATGGAGTCAGTCTCTTCCACGACGGGTTCATCAACATCTGCGGCGTTGTTGGCAGACATCTCCAATAATCTGTTTTGTACAGATTCCTGGAACAGCAAGTCTTCCCGTAACTCCAAGGGAAGAACTTGTAAGAAAGAGGGGTCTAGTTGTTCAGACGGGTCCGTAACAGAAGCCAAATACCGCTCTTGAATCCGTTGATAAACCACCTCCTCCCGCATTTCCTCGGGTAGGGCCTCCAAGAAAGTGACATCAATGCCCAATGGCGAAACGTCAATTTCTCGACCACCAACAGTAACCATTGCTGGTGGTCTTGCAGGAACTTGTGCTTCAGCTGGGGCACTGGTGACAGTGCGAGGAGGAGTTTCAGGTTGTCGCGACTCCTGTTGGTTTTGCGTCTCAACACTCGGAACGCTAACCTCGGGTTGACGTTTTATCTCAGCTTCCTTCGCACGTTCTGCCATCTCCTCCTTCTTCTCCGCCTCCATAGCAGCAGGAAGTAGTATATCCATTATTGAACCAAAGACACGAGAGGCAACACTGGCAGCCTTTCGTCCATAAAGCATAACAGACACACTGTTCCAGCGTTGTAAAGTAGAAAGAGGAAGAAAACCAGAAATAGCCCGCAAAGGATCATCTTGCTTCTTTGAATAAAGCGCGTGCCATGGCTGAGTAACTTCAGAATTACGGAATTCCTCGGATAAAAGATAAGCAATACGTTGGAAGAGGGTACCACTAGGTACATGATCCTGCAAAACAGTCCAGACATAACTGAACTTGTTATACTTCATTTGCGAGGTCCGCGAAAGCTCCAACAATAGTGGATGCCGCAAAAGCTCCTCGGACTCAGAAGTCAAAGAGAACATCTTTTTGTGTCCGGAATCGGATGGATTGATAATCATGACTCTTCTGGACGAAATTCCTGGCAATGGAATCAGGTCTTGCAAGATATTGCTGGCTTGTGCACTAAGGTTAATACTTGGATTTCCCTCAGTAGGCCAACTCCATCGGAACTCATCATCATCTGAAAACGAGTCTTCCGGATTATCCACAAAATCAATTTCAACAGGGCTTAAGTGTCCAACATCATGTCTCGTGTCATCCTCATCTTCCGAAGATTCAGTAAACACGTCCTCAAGGGCATCAAACGTCGTTTCTCCAACTTCAATGTCTTCGGCTTGGTGTTCATCTGAAAAATCTTCCACAAAGTCTGAAACATTATCATCATATTCTGAACCTTGACTTGAGACATCTTCATCAAGATCATCAGAATCAATGGAGATTAATTCATCAACAACTTCTCCATCCGAGTCAAACGACTCCACACTTTCTTCTCCTTCCGAGTCTTCATCCTCATTTATGAAGTCAATATTCATCTCCTCACCATCCTCATCAAACATTGTGTCATCAGCTTCATCCTCGCTAATTGCACTTCCGGCACTTCCTGAGGCTTCATCGTCGTACTCCATGTCATCATAAAGTTCTTCATCTTCAGAATCTTCGTAGCCATCTTCCTCATTTTGAGCAATGTCTCCCTGGAATATTCCCAATACAGAATTTCTGTACAAGTCAGGTGGTTCTTCACGATCCATGTCAGAACTATCTTCGGAAGACGAACTCTCAACTTCTTCGACAGCATGATCTGGTGCATTCGATGCATTCGAGTTAGCAACAAATAATTCCGGGTTTGTTTGACTCAAAACAACCGATTCTTTCGTCAACAGTTGCAGAGGTTTCAATATATGTCTGACAACTTTGCGCGAGGCAGGAAAATTAAGATCAATGTCCGTAACAACATTCGTTAGAATAGGAATGAAACCCAACTCCACCATAGATCTCAGATTTTGATCTTGCGACTGTCTCAATAAGAAATTCGTAGAGCGTTGTGAAAATGAATGAATATCAGCAAGTCTGTACGAAAGCTCAGTCAGCACTAACAATCTGCAATAATAAGATTCTTGAGTTTCATGCTGAGACATTGGAGTCTTAAGAGACTTGGCAATGTGACTAATTACTTCTTTCCGGACAACGTCAACACGACTCTTCTCTTGCTCAGATGTATACGAACATAAGAAAACTAATGACGAAATGGCCCAATTTGATACAGCGAACGCCTTTCGGACGGCAACGTCCTCAGTAAGATGGATACAACCAAATGGTAGAAGTTTTTCCAAGAAGTAAGCAAGCAAATACGAAGGATATCGTTTAGTGATACTTGAATCCCACGATTTTTCTGGTTTATAAGAAATAAAAAACTCCTTGCAAGAAGCATAACTTGATAAAAGTTCAGTAAGGCACTGCAACAGGAATGCATGATAAATATAAGGTCCACTCGTATGGGAATCAAACTTTTCCTCTGATTTCGTGTAATCGGAAGAACCCACACTTAATAACTCTTCAACAAGGAACTTCATAACCCATTCCGACGATTTGGAGGAATCAAGGGTGCTTTGAGGAAGTTCATCTTTCAAATCATCTTCGTTAAGACCAATGAAGTAATGAGATGCATACGGGCTGAAATTCGTCAAATGACAGTGATTCTTTATAACATTCAGAATTGCAGTCGGAGAACGCAAAACCATTTCCGAATTTGTACGAATGAACGAAAGAAGTTCGGTTTTCTTAGCACGGCTTTGGAGCTTAAAATACGTGCGAACATCGCTGTATATAATCTCTTCAATCATTTTCTCACATTCGAGTAAGTTACGAAGAATGCTAATGAATGGTGTGTGCAATGTCTCGTTACATTGAGCAGCAAATCTTCTCATTGTAGCGAAGAGCGCGAAAAGCCCATTTGCATTGACAAACTCCAGTGCGCCGTTTTCGTTCATAGTAAGAACACTCAATATACGAAAGACACAAACAGAAAGTCTTAAGTTGAGGGAAGGCAAATTAAGTAACTCGATAAGATAGGATGTCGTCAACTTAAGTTTCGGAAGTCCAATTTCCTCAAGCTTTTCTTTTAACCGAATTGGAATTTCAGGAGACTGAAATTCCAACTCAGTGGGTTTTCTCTGATTACACAAGATAGATTCGATAATGTAACAGAGAGGGACAAGCCATGGCATGCTGACATCCAATGTTTTGTCAGCTTCCTTTGTAGGCTTTAACAAACTTATAAAAAAGTCATAGTGTTGAACAAGTTGCTGTTTAATTTGGGAAGAGACTCGCTCATAATTAATGAACAACGAAAGCAGTTGTAAGAGGAGAGTCATCGAAAGCAAAGAGGCAGGTGACTGCTCGGAGTAAAGTTGCTGTATATCCTTAAACACAGTTGTTGTAATATGCTCCTGTTGAGTAGAGTTTAGTCCACAGCTTGCAAAGAGCAATTCCGTAAGTTCATGAGTAAGCGAGCCGTGCTTTTTACACACAGACACGACCATGTTGAGGAGATCTGTTCTCGCATCATCAAAGCTTTTTTGCAGCTCGGGCACCAACTGATTTACTGCAGCAATTTGTCTTTGAATTTGCGCACGTTCAGAAGCATCATCACTTTCATCAAATGTATACATAGCATCCTCAGTTTCTGCATTCACGTCCATGTCCTCCCAATCTACACTTGATTCCTCGGTTCTAGTTTCAACAGAATTTGAAGCATCACCCTGAAGCCGACGACCAGAAAAACGTTTCTTAATTATATCCTCCGAACGGAAACAGGAGCAAATAAGCGAAATAAAAGGCTGTAGAACAGAACGTGGATAAGATGGAAGATAGGAATCTCGGCAAACAGACAATACCTTTGGGAACACGATGGACTTAACCCGGACGACAAAGCCTGCCGAATCAAATGCACCAGCATTCTTCATAGCCCTGGGATGGCCGGACAAAGCGCCGGCTTGATTCGAGCTCGACACTGACTTATAATCGACAAGGGCAATTGATGTCTTAAGCAACGTAGCTATGCAACCAACTAACAAACCATTCAGTTCATACGAGGCATCAGGATTCTTCCGAAGCAGCTCAAACAAGCTAAGTAAGGAATCTGTCAATGTATTGATTCCACCGTTTTCAATCAAACCCTCACCAACAAAAATCTGCAAATCGGCCTTTGAATCATCCTCTTTGACAATGATGGACGCGTCTAAAGCGTTTGCGAGAAAATATTTAAGAAAATTAACTTCCGAAAGACTCGAAGTAATATCGTCTGTAGGTAAGGTAATAAAATCCTTAACTACAGAGGCTATACTAGCTCCAACCTGGTATGAAGCTTTCTTATGTGTATGGTCCAATGGTTTAAAACCGACCAAAACTCGAGACAAAGCAGACATCAACTTGCTTATTGATACGGCCATTTGTGAATAGATAGAACGCACGTTCTTGAAACGCACGAAATCCGAATCCTCTTCAAAGACCTTTTGTTTTTTCTCATATATGCCTCTTTTTTCTTTGTCCGAGAAAACAGCAACTAACGGAGCGCTACAGATAACATAGTCATTGGATACAGTAGAACATAACAACACATCTCCCAGTGTAGCTAATTTTTTCATACTTCCCAATGACCACAAAAGACCAGCAAACTTAGAAGGGCTCGTAAATAATTGAATCGTAGAGAGCGCGCCAGACTTGTGCGGCGCAGAACTTGAAGAAAGAAGTTCAGAGAATAAAGCTGTCATATTGTTTAAGATAGCAAGTTTAATAGTAGCTTGCAGTACTGATTCACTCATGGGTGAGTGACTCAGTAAGGCCTCATTCATTTCTGCAAGAAATTTAGAGTCCAAAATCAAGGAAAGCTCATCAATGCTTTTTGAAATGATTTCTAAAATTGGCCGGAAAGTTCCAATGGCATCCATAACTTTAAGATGATGCAAGAGAGCATAGCAGGCATTGAATATGGGTGATTCAAAGAAGCCAAAAGCCAAGGAAGGATGTGAGACCAAGTCTAAAAGTTCATTTAGAATTTTTTTCTCCATGAAGATCTTTCCATGTTTTTCATTCGCTACAACATTCTCCAAAAACGACATAAACGTTTCTATATGTATGAAGTGTGGAGGTTCGTTATTGCCAATGTAGTCAAAGGGTGAATATGCATCAAGAAACTTTTTCAAGTCATTGATACATACGCCCGTAAAGTTAATGATAGGTTCTTTCAAGGAAGGTTGATGACGCATCAGTTCATCGATATAATTTCCCAGCATAACAGTACTATCGCTAGAAACAAGTGACTTGCAATGGGGCAACGACGTGAAAATGCTGAAGAATTTCGGAAGTGGGTTCTTTTCCAAGAAAAGATTCATACCTTCAGTATTCAAGCAAATTGCTCCAAAGGCAAGTGGAATAGAGGTAATCGCTTCCGGTGAAGTGAATATCCGCCGGTTGGTAGCATCTAAAAAGGCGCCTGACAAACCGTTTTCTTGAATAATTCCGTAACAAGTTGGCTCATTGTGAATAAACGTAGACATGATATTCGTAGCAGATGCAAACAGAGTCGAACCAAACGATTCTGCGTGCTGAAACAGGTAAGTAAGAGAAGTGATTAAAGACGAGTCAATAAGATTTCTCAGTTCGACCACGGAGCCGCCCGATTGGATTAAATGGAGAATGAACTTTAGCATATTTTTTAAAAGAAAATAACGATCGTAAGGGATAGCATAATCCATAGTTTGACAGACTTGAGTGTTTCCCATTCCTTTCTCGACTAGATCGATGCAGGTTTTCAGCTCAACATCCAAGCGTTTAACCAGCATTTCCAAACCTTTCGACTCTGAGAAATCTGGGAGCGCCATGGTATAGCTGTCAATGAGGTGGTCCAAAAGGTTGATGGATCTGGCTACGACGTAGGAAACATGGGGAGTCGTTACGTCTAAGTGTGCGCCCAGCAAAGACGCCAATCCAGCGGAACAAGCCATATTCCCGCCTAGCGAAGACGTACAAAGAAACTGAAGAAAATCGTAAAAACTATCCACGAACTCTCGAGAATAGTTGGAATCCTGAGTTTGGATAGTTGTGGTAAAGTCTCTGACAAGATTCATTAACAAACCATAACTCACAGAAACATTTAAAGCGGCGAGAACACTGGGAACCATATTTTTTTTAAATAGAAAAGCCTTCAAACACTCAAAACAAACACCTTTGATGTCCTGTGACAAATTGACACTCTGAGGAATCAATGAAGCAAGGTGATTCATGATCTCAGGGTCAAAGAGAAGGAACCGAGACTGTACGACCTGATAATGTGCATACACGGCATTGGCGAGAGCAAGTAAGCCAGTCCGAACCATCTGTCGACGTGTTTCAAGCTTGGGGAAAGCCTTCCTCGAGATAATAGAAACAAGAAGCTCGTTCATGCAGGGCTTTGGCAAATGCTTTTCGGCAACAATTCCATGAATCAAGCTCTCTGTGGGTTCGGAGAGCACTCGCGAAGAGTCAATGCGAAAACCCACCATTCCATCCTTCCCCTTCTTCTCCTTTGTGGGCGAAGAAGTGCTCGCGTAGTAAGTAAAGTACAAACTAGACCAAGTGGAGGGGACCTTTTCGTCAAAAAGAAGAGTCATGTAATTCTGTGCGGTGCCAGTTTTTGTAGGCTCCTGCGGAAGTAGACTGAGGAAACGAAGCAAACGTTCTTGAGATATAGAGTACAGCTGCTTGGCTTTTCTGAACGTAGCTGCCTTTTGTACAATGTGAAGGAGCAGCTCAAGTGTGGCTTCGAGAACATCCAGGTTCGTGCTATTCAAAAGCTTATCCAGATGCGTGCTCGAACTATAGAGGGCACGATTAGCACAATGGCTCAATAAAAAGCTCGAGAACCGTAGGATGCTCAGGAGCAATTCTGCTGCTGCAGGGGAAAATGGAGTGGCCTGCACTTCTTCCAGCTTGTATTCGTTCGTAAGACACTCTAAGACTTTGTCGAACCGATTCAACACAGGGATCCATGAGTACAAGTCACCACGAGGGTAGGGCCAGCTTTCCTCGCGGAATCTTGTAAGACTATCTATTAAATGTTCTTCATCGCACGATTTCTCATCAGAAACAAACTTTATAAGCTCTTGGATTCTAGGAGGTGGTTGAGAGTACTGGTTTTTCGGCGGCGTTTTCGTAATTTTCATAATTCAAGCGCGAAAATCTTGTTTTATTGTAAAGACCTTTTCTTCTTCGTAAAACGAGGTTCTTTCTTCCAGAAAAAAAGAAAAAAGAAATCCCAGCAGTCGTGTACAGGGTAGCTCTTGAACTTTCCGTAAGAAAAGCTAACACAAGTAGTTCAACTGTGAAGAATTTGTGAAATGAAAAGTTGGTGGACAACTGGTAGAGGGTCAGCCTAGCCCTCGGCCATAGCCCACTGCCACTAAAACCACCAACATTGGGGGGAAGGAGGACAGGTGAGGAGGGTATGGAGGAGGTATAAGAAAGGTATGGGAAGGCACAAGAGTGAATAAAAGAAAGCAGGAAATTTGCAGTACAAATCTTGGCTTTTGAAGTCCAATGAATGTCAACAATGTTTTATCAAAAGAAATGAATTACTCTATTAATTTTGAGATAGGTTTGTACGTAACAACGCATGCAAGTTGTGCATGAAAGAAGCCGTTCGCACAAACAATCTCTTTTAAATGCTGCTGTGTTTTGTATATAGATACATATATATGTATTTTTTTTTGTTCGGTTTTTGGAAAATAGCAAAAACAAAAGTGTTCTTGTACGAGTCGTAGCTGTAAGAATCATAGAACGGGTATTGTTATATCGTGTAGAGAGTTTTTGTCTTGAAAGTCTAGGGTTTAGCTACCCTGCTGCTGTCTAAAAAGTTTGTCGAAGTGAGTTACGGTTCTCTGGACTCGACGGTGGCAGTTCGTGATGCACTCTCAGAGGGTGCAGAATCAGAGCCCGATGCAGCTGTTGGGTTGTTTGTCTTCCCCTCAGCCGCTGCCTTTCCCTCTGTTCCCATCCGCTTTTGTCGAAGAGCCTTCTGATACTTCAGGTGGGATTTGGGCTCGAGCCGCTCTTTAAACAAAGAGGCCCTCAGTTTGCGAATGGCTGAAGTGCTATGAAGAGTTGCGGCATTCAATAACCGTGTTGCTTGCATAAACTCGCCTCTAATTTCGAAAAGTCCTGCCTTGCTAACTGTGCGGCCAACCTAAAAGGTAAGTAAGGGAACGAAGAAGACGGAGAAGAGAGAAGTATGAGAGAGCAACGTACATTGTGTGTAATTTCAAAGGGATCTTCAATAGCTAGTACGTAGCGATCCTTGATCACTTGGTCGGCCGAACCAGTGTGCTCTTTGGCCAAGGTCCAATCCTTGTCGACCTTTTTTAACAGCCCACCTGGCTGACGAATAGAAATAACAGACTCCCGGTAATTGAATTCGTGTGCGAAAAAACCATAGAATCCCGCCAGCAATTGTGGTAACGATTCTGTATTCCGCCGCGCAACCGTAGTACCACGAACAAATCCAACATTAAAGCCTGTTCATTTTTTGGCTGTTAGTATAAAGAAGAGCAAAAAAAAAATAAAATAAAATAAAACGCAACATGTGTTGAAACATACCCTCAACGTATAAGTCCTGCTTGTGAGGAGAGTCCTGCAAATTTGGCAACACTGCTGGGCGGACTACATGGATGAGATAGAACAGCACCATCAACACATAGCCGTAACTCGACAGGGTGCCGTAGTATGGCGAGTTGATGCGCTTTTGCTTGGCCCAATACTTTACAAGGATGGCTAACTGTTTGCACCGGGGATCAATCAACGAGTACTGATGCAGGAGAGAGGTGTTGTATATAGCCAACTGGTTATTGAATCCGATGTCGCACTGAAAACCGTAGTAGTAGCGATTTTTCGTGTCAGACAAGAGCTTGATGATGGGAATTCGCGCCTTGCGAAGATACTTTCCCTCGAAACCGAGCGCGGTAAACCGTTCGAAACACTCAGAGGCAAATTCTTCCATCTCCTCGCCAATGTCGGGTAGTAGGATACAAGCATCAATGTCGGAATTTTTGAGTGCGAGGCCAGACTGGATGCTGCCAAAAGCGACGATGTCGGCCTCTGGTCGAACACTGTGAACAACGTGCTTCAGCAAGTTCATGATCGCATCTTTTTCCCGCAGTTCGTCGTCAGACACGCGGACATCATCGTACGTGCTGAGAAGGAAGCAAGTTACAGGGTCTAATTCGCGTTCAGCGGCAGCAGCAGCAGCAGCAGCAGCCTGGTTCCTCTTCTGAAGAGCAAGATTGACAAATTGGCGCTCAATCTCTTCCACCGTATGGACACCCGGGATAAAGTGTCCGTTTCCGTTTCCAGACATTGAAAATAAAAAACAAAAAGTAAAACTAGGAAAAGATAAAAGACGAAAAAGGAAAAACCAAAAAAATAAAAAAAATAAAAAATAAACAAAAGAATGAAAGACACCACGTCTTGTGTGTTTTGCCGAATGGAGAGAAAGACCAAATGTTGAGAGCCAAATGAGAGCAGTAAGAAAATAATAAAATGCCGCAAAAACGTGAACCAAAAAGTACCAAAACCTACGACGAGAAAGAAGGAAAGTGTGTCTGTATCTATTTATGAAGAAACTGTGTCGATAAAGCTTTGGTAAAGCAAGTTCATAAACGACAACGGTACACAGTCAAGAGCCAAAAAACCACGGCCACAGAGAAGCAAGGAGAACGTAGTTTGATAAGTGAAGAAAAGCTGGCGGAGGTGTTTTAATCCATTCTGTTGTTTCCGCTAGTTGTTGACAAGGTGCAACGTAGTGAGAACTGGTGTAGGCGAGGGAGGAGGGGAGGAACAGGTGGAGGAGGAGGAGGAAACGGGAGAGGCAGGAATGGAAGGAGGGTGAGGATGGAGCCGGTTGACGAAGAAGCTCATGAATTGGATATGTTAATGAGACCCCAGCCGTGAATTCTGCACTTTCATCGACGAGATGTTTGCTCCAGAGCAGAACTCTCGTTACCAGTTATCCCTACGGAAGAAAGAACGACTGCACTAGAAAGCCAGACGAGAAAACCACCTCAAGAACAAACTCTATACGCTACCTAGAGAGAAACCAACCTCGCACTGCTTATCGCTCACACTGTCTATCACTCACACCGTTCATCACCCCCACTCATTTTTGTCAAAAGACATTCATTACTTTCTATAGATCCGTAACAGCATTAAGACGTTTAGAACTTGGCGGCAGCAGCCTTGATGTAGTCAGCGGCCTTGGCACCAGCGTAGATGGCCTTGTCACCGAGAGCCTCCTCGATACGGAGAAGCTCGTTGTACTTGGCCAAACGCTCGGAACGGCAGGGAGCACCAGACTTGAGTTGACCGGCGTTGATACCGACAGTCAAGTGAGCAATGAAGGTGTCGGCGGTCTCACCGGAACGGTGAGAAACCATAACACCCCAACCGGCCTCGTAAGACATGCGGACGGCGTTCAAGGACTCGGTGATGGTACCGATTTGGTTGACCTTGAGAAGAAGGGCGTTGGCGCACTTCTTGTCAATGGCCTTGGAAAGACGCTTGACGTTGGTGACAGTCAAGTCATCACCGACAATTTGGAAGTCGGAAGAGGCTTGGAGATGAGTCCAGGCATCCCAGTCATCTTGCTCGAAGGGGTCCTCGATGGAGACAATGGGGTACTTCTTGGCGAGGTCGGCGTAGATCTTGCCGAGTTGCTCGAAGGAGAGCTTGTTAGCGGGGTTGGGGTTCTTGACCTTGATGTCAACGTCGTACTTGCCGTCCTTGTAGAACTCGGAGGAAGCAACATCAAGACCAATCTTGATCTTGCCCTCGTAACCGGCGGTCTTGATGGCCTCGTTGATGAGGTCAAGAGCCTCCTCGGCCTCCTCGGGAGTTGCAAGTCAGCACCAGACTTGAGTTGACCGGCGTTGATACCGACAGTCAAGTGAGCAATGAAGGTGTCGGCGGTCTCACCGGAACGGTGAGAAACCATAACACCCCAACCGGCCTCGTAAGACATGCGGACGGCGTTCAAGGACTCGGTGATGGTACCGATTTGGTTGACCTTGAGAAGAAGGGCGTTGGCGCACTTCTTGTCAATGGCCTTGGAAAGACGCTTGACGTTGGTGACAGTCAAGTCATCACCGACAATTTGGAAGTCGGAAGAGGCTTGGAGATGAGTCCAGGCATCCCAGTCATCTTGCTCGAAGGGGTCCTCGATGGAGACAATGGGGTACTTCTTGGCGAGGTCGGCGTAGATCTTGCCGAGTTGCTCGAAGGAGAGCTTGTTAGCGGGGTTGGGGTTCTTGACCTTGATGTCAACGTCGTACTTGCCGTCCTTGTAGAACTCGGAGGAAGCAACATCAAGACCAATCTTGATCTTGCCCTCGTAACCGGCGGTCTTGATGGCCTCGTTGATGAGGTCAAGAGCCTCCTCGGGAGTTTGCAAGTCGGGAGCAATACCACCCTCGTCACCGACGTTGGAGGCGGAAGAGCCATAGCGTTGCTTGGCGATCTTCTTCAAGATTTGGTAGGTCTCGGAACCATAGCGCATGGCCTCAGAGAAGGTAGGGGCACCAGTGGGGAGAATCATGAACTCTTGGAAAGCGAGCTCACCACCAGCGTGGGAACCACCGTTCAAAACGTTGAAGGAGGGAACGGGGAGAACGAAGGGTTGCTTGGTACCGAAGATCTCAGCAATGTATTGGTAGAGAGGGATCTTCTTCTGAGCAGCAGCAGCAACAGCGGCAGCCATGGAGACACCCAAGATGGCGTTGGCACCCAACTTGGACTTGTTCTCAGTACCGTCGAGGTCAATCAAGAACTTGTCGAAAGCAGCTTGGTTGGTGACGTCGAGGTTAGCCTTAACGACAGCGGGAGCAATGATCTCGTTGACGTTGGCAACGGCCTTCAAAACACCCTTGCCACCCCACTTGGTCTTGTCACCATCACGGAGCTCAAGAGCCTCCCAGATACCAGTGGAGGCACCGGAGGGGACGATGGCACGGTGGACACCGGTCTCAGTGGTCAAGTCAACCTCGACAGTGGGGTTACCACGAGAGTCGTAGATTTGACGAGCTTGAACCTTTTGAATTGCCATTGTTGTTGTTGAAGAGATGTTGTTGTGAATAGGAAATGTGTTCCTTGATGGTTATACAGCGGCGGACAGTGGAGTATTTATACCTTTTTCGGACAATTCGGAAGCGGGCGGGGATCTTTCGGAATGTCGCAGAATCATGTGAAAGCTCGGCGAAACTCGGGTCGGAGAAATTCGTCTAGGTTGAGTCTAAAGACAGTCAAGTCGCCAAGGCTGCCGCAGCCGATGTGGCTCCACGAATGGCGGTAAATGCACTTTCTAGGACCTTCTACAGAACGTGATGCCAAGGATGCACGGTGGGACGAACGTGAGTGGGCGGGCGGACGAGAGCCGGGGATTAAGGTTGGTGTTAGCGACGCACGTGTCGTCGCAGTGTCGTGCACGTGTCGCACGTGGCCGCGCCTAATTTCGCCGATTGCCCAGCTTACTTGCTTCCTTGCCTTGCATCCGCTCGCTACTCTGCACGCGTACACGCCAACTAATTAAAATGCGTCATAATTACATATCAGAGCTTACACAAAAAAGCACGTCGCACGTGTTTGGCCGCGCACGTGAAAGGCTAATCCAGGCGAAGAAGAGCAACAGACAAGACAGGAAAAGCGCCGCCTGCGAGTGCAATTGGCAGCCTCCACAAGTCTTTCTAGCGCTCACGAGTGTTTCGCCGTGGAATGCCCAGGCGAGCGTAAAACATTGCTTCGCGGGCTCGAATACATTCGTTCCATGTCTTTTCAAACGAGCACGACTGCCAGACACCGCGTAGAATTTGGTGCAGGAAGGCGACGAAGCCGCAGACGCTGCGAAGGCGGCCTACACAGTAGTTGCAGGCGCAGTAGGGTGTGCCTTCGGGTCGCGAGCGGAACTCAAAGCTACGCGGCGGGACAGACCGGTCGTCGCCGCACAGAGTGCACGGCAAGTGTGCCTGAGAATGGCTCGGGGAAAGCGGATTGACGATGAGGGACGCTTCAATGATAGCAGACATGATGGACCGTCGCGCGAGCCACGAGAGGCCCGGTGCAGCGTCCAGACGCAGGGTCGGCTCAATGTCTTCTACCAAGCAACGCTTGAAAAATAAAAAGTCGCGCAGGTTACGCGAGGTCTGTGCGTTGGAGGCAGCGACTGCAGCTGCTGAGGGTGACAGTCCGTCGGCGCCATGTGCCGACGACGAGATGTTGTGATGAGTTTGCAGGGGAGTGAAGGGCCGAGGGATTCCTTTTCCATTAACGGGTGTGGATGTTGTTGAATTAGGGGTGGGAGAAGGTGTTGAGGAAAATGTAGTCGTACCGCGAGCAGCAGAGGATGCTGCTACTGCGGCAGCTGCAGCTGCCGCAGTACCACTAGACCCTGTAGTGACGGAACGTCGCACATAGGCAGGACGAGAAACTTTGGAATGAAACTTGTAGAGGTGCAAGAATTCTTGGTAAGGTGGAAGTGAAGCAAGGGAGGCGGATGGTGACGCGGAGGGAGTGTGAGTGGATGTGTGCGAATGAGCGATGGAAGACGTGGAAGACACGCGCGAGAGCGGTTCTGTGCCGGCGGCGGGTTTCTTCAGCGGGGTAACATTGACGAATACGTCGGAAAGGTTCGTTGCACCGCCTGTACCGCCGTAGCTTCTTCGACGTCGCGCCCCAGCAGCATCTGAAGAATCGTCATCGTCTGCTGGAGCCGCAACCGTCTCCGATACCAGCTGCTCGTTGTCGTGTGCATCCTCAAACTGTTCAGACTCGTTCGTGCCGTCATTCTCAACGCTTCCACTGTCGCCAGCACCGCCGCTGTCGCCGCCGCCGCCGCCGTCCTCCTCCTCCTCGTTATCGCCTGTGTTTGTCGTATCCTCGGACGGTGCGTCGGACATGCTTTGCAGAACGTACTTGAGCTCGACGAGCTGTTTTTGTGAAGTGTTGAACAGGCCGTCCAAGTCGTTCAGTTGCCGCTCGAGCTGGCTTGCCCGGTGCTGTGCGTTGTAACACTCTCGTCTTGCGTCTGAAACCATTTTGTTGGCCTCCTCAAATACCGATCCGGTCAAGTCCTCCAGCTCACTGGCCATGCGTTCCTTCGCCTGTTCAGCCTCTCGTTGTCTTTGCAGCGCTTCCTCGTACTGTTGTTGAAGTTGTGGCAGCAGATTCAATCGTTTCAGCTTCTCAGACCATTCTTCTCTGTCCGACGTGATTTTGCTCAATTGTTCCTTCAGGCGCTGGTTCTCTTCCAAAACAACGGCATATTTGTCGTCAAGAGCTGCATGCTTCTCAACTGCCTCAATAAGTTTCCTCGACAAGGCTTCTTCTGACGTCGACATTGTTGTTTTTTCTTTGCATTTGTGTCTATACCTGCTCCCTTAAATCACAGATGACTTTCGTTCGTTTTCGTTCCTTCACGAATAAAAAGCCCAGTCAAGAATGACGCAGAGAACTTAGACAGCTGTATCAAATGAAGAACTTTCGGTTCTCAAAGATTTGACGAAAAAGACGTAACAATTGGTACCAGTAGGGGTCGAACGCCAAACCGCATGGTTCTGGTGTGTGGAAGAAGATCGGTGGGCCTAGGAAGGTCTGGTATAGTGAGCCCGAAGGAGCTCGTGCGCGGTGTTTATAGTGTCAGGCGAGAGGAGGCTGAAGACGACGATAGTGGGGTCGCATGCTCTAAATCGCAGGAGTGGAGGAGTCGCGGTGTAGTGCCATGCAGCTCGTTAGAGAGCGTCCAGCCTCGCTACCGCTCGCTGCAACTCACCACATAAAAAGCCATAGACGATTTACTCAACGGCAGTAGTAGCAGCAGCAAAACAGCAATGGATGAGGAATTAGAGGCGATCCGTCGCGCACGTATTGAGCAGCTGAAGCAGCAACAGCAGCGCCAGGCACCCTCCAGCGGTGCGTCTGGAAACGGAGAAGTGTAAGGGAAAACAGCGAATTGCTTCTGCAAGTTCCGTAGAAAGAAGAGACGACGAGTGGAAAAAACAAGTCGGAAAAAATTCGAAACTTGAATATGAAACTGACATTCTCGGTAGGAGCGCGGCTCAGCAGGAGGAGATGAGACACAACATGGTGCGTAAACTCAGTCTGGTCTTGTACAGTGTACGGCTGCTAACGAACGCAGCTTTCTCAGATCTTGGAACACAGTGCCCGTGACCGCTTGTCTCGCATCGCCCTGGTTCGTAGTGACCGTGCCAAAGGTACGTACGACACTGACAGCAATGCTTAGAGGCGTGCGTACGACGATGCATATCGCATTTGCAAGACCGTACACATTCTCAGCTTCCCTCCAACTTGCACACACACGCACACACACGCACATTCGAATACTAACAGATGCCAGCGATTGAGGAGCTGCTTCTTCGAATGGCAAAAACTGGACAGATTCGTCATAAAATTACCGAGTCTGAGCTGATTGACTTGCTGGAACAAATCTCGGGCCAAGAGACGAAGAAAAAGGAAACAAAGATTGTGGTATGAAGAAGCACTGTGCATAATTCTTGTTGGTCTGTCATTAAGGTGTCTGCTAACGCTCTGCAGGTCAATCGACGCAAGTTTGATGACGACGAGGACGACTGGGACTTGTAGAGACAGTAATCAAGAATATTGATAAATTGGGCTTGTCAGCAGAACGACTGATGAACAACTAGGTTGGTAAATCGTTCGAATTACAGATATTATCGGACAGACAGTAGTTAAAGAAGAAGCTCATGCATTATAGATTACCACAGTCTGCTTGAAACTTGCGTCCGCATGGCTCGGTGCAGCAGATATGAAGAACGAGAGACGATAATGCGGCATGCACTAAGACACGACGAGAACTCTTGAGCGTAGTAAGCTGGACGCGAAAAAAAGATAGTTCATGGGAAGTAGTAAGAGGGATGTTGGTTGGTAGTAGTTGTGTCGTGTTGTTATAGATAGACCTTGCATGATGGAGCATAAACCTTCACCAAAAATGTCAACGTTTCGTCCCCAGGTCTGCAAGGATGGTTATGTTCGTATGGGAAGGGGTGGGTGAAAACGATGGTTAGGCGGAAATAAGGGAGCGGGAAGGGATGACAGGCAGCATTGAGTAAGGTGAAACAGCTCTTGCATGCTCCAATGAAACGGTACCACAGAGCAGATCTGCTCGAGAAACCGATCCACAGGGGAGTCTGCAAAGACTGCTGCAATGCCGTCGGGTTGTAAAGTGGACTGGGAAGGTCATGTCACAAGGAAATCTCGCAGAATGAAGCCTACATAAGCGTGCAAGAGGAGCCCTTGGCATCGTCTGCCGCATCCTTGACGCCTCTGGGTTGAGCCGCCAAAGCAACTCGGGCAGCTGCGATACGTTAGTAATCAGAAGAGAACGCGCATCCAATCTACGAACCTTCAGTAAATGCTTCATTGACACCACGATTAAGCTTGGCACTGCATTCTAAGAGCGTTAGCAGGGGAAGAGAAAGGAAACGGGCGGCGAAAGGCAATGAGAGAGAGAGAGAGAGAGAAAAGAGGATGAGATGGTACAGGATGAAAACCCTACAAACGCACCTGTCTCCGTTTGTCCTCTGTCTGACTACGTCAACAGCAGACTGTTCTGCTGCTGCTGCTGCTGCTACCATTGCTTCCGCCTTCGCTCCAGCTTACCCAAATAACGAACAGCGTTGATCTTCTTCGCAACAGCAAGACCCTCCTCGTAGTCAATAATCTTGCTACGATTGACCTGGTCGTCGTCGGCACCACGAAGATCACACTTGAGAGCAACAAGAACGAGCTTGACGCCTTCACAGTTGTTTGCAACCTCAGGAACCCACTTCGACTGCACGTTCTCCAGAGAATCACGCGAATCCACAGCAAAACAAATCATAATAACATGTGTATCGGAGTAGGATAGCGAACGCAGCTGGTCGTACTCTTCCTGACCAGCCGTATCCCACAACGAGAGCTCGATACTGTTACCGTCCACAAAGATGTCATGTATGTAATTTTCAAAGCTGTAAAAAGTCAGCAAATTCATCCTCTACAACGCTAACACTGTACTAACATTGTCGGTTCGTATACTTGAGGAAAGTAACCCTTGGTGAAAACGTTCAAAAGCGATGTCTTTCCTGCAGCACCTAATTGTTCCGTTAGAACCAGCTCAACGACGTCTGAACAAAGTCTCCCGTCTCATACCGTCACCGAGAATTACAATCTTGCGGTAAATTGGCTTCTTTTTTGTTCCAAAACAGCCAGACATTTTTGCAGTGGAGTGAACTGGTAGAATGGTCGGCCGGGCTGTTGCTCTCCTTAACCTTGCTAAGTACATGACGACAGACAAGCGAAAGAGGTGTAAGCGAGTTACGCGAAAGACGCGAGGAGCGATTAAGCGAGTGGTGTGGCGTCGCCGGAGACAGGTGAGTGAGAGGGTGGTGCGACAGCCTAGTAGCGCTGAGAGCGGGGGTGACCTGGTGGAGGGCGAGCGAGAAGCAAGGGAACGAGCAGGATAGCCAAAGGGGATTAGCAGGACGGGGAATCGGGAATTGAGGGTTATCACATTCCTTAAAGTTTGAATTGAGCTGCTTGTGTGGTTGCAATAATTATTTTATTTTTTGTGCTTTTTTTTAGATTTTTTTACGTATTTTTTGGAATTTATTTTGATTTTTACTGAGATGGAATTATTCCCTCAATTTATTTTTGGACCGAATTTTCCCTCGCTAGTTTTGTCATTTTTTGTAGGACTGTTGTACTGTTCAGTAACATCTGTTTTCAATAAAAGAAGAATTGGCGTCCAATGACCCCAAATCCAGTTTATCCGGCACCGGACGCTCATTTTTTGTCTAGTTTGCCTATACATGTGTTCGTTACATACTTCACGACTCTTCGCTGCCTGCTCGTTGCGACGATAATACTTATGACCGGCGCGCAATGGCACGCGACTGGATGTGACTTTTGATACGCCTGTCCTTGCGTCAAAGAAGCAACAGCTCCAAAGCTTACTTTGTGCCATTACATTCACAAGTCGGCGAGGCGCAATCATACGTAGTATGTGTCTTTCAGATTGTTGTTGCTCCTGCAAGCATTCACATGCCTTTCAAAGCATGCAATCGACGTTCAGTAACGCGATAAAACAATGACTAGACATATGAACCAAGCACTGATAATGTTTCCTCCCACAGCTTAGGGCGCCAGCTTGTTCCCAGAGCCGGCAATTGAGTCTGCAGCTGCGTCTGCCACTCTCAGATGTCGTAACAAACGCACAACGAAGAGTTTCCACTCGTTAGCTAGGTTTTGAAATTTCGCAAAGAATTGCTCGAGCAAAATTCTCGCGTGGAAATCGTAGAACCAGTGCTCGCTCTGATCAGCACGTTGCTTGCTCAATAGTTCTTGGCTGTAGTCACGGAGAAACGTGAAGATGCTCTGACGAGCAGCCGTGCAAAATTTCTGGCAATTGTCTGCTTCTCGATCAACACACTCGACAGACATGCTCGTTTTGGTCTCTGAAAGCATAGAGATAAGGCTTCCGAGCTTATTTAGCTGTGGCCTAAGGAATTCATATACGGCGTCCACACGTTCCTTTCCTGTTTTTCCTCGGCACAGTTCATCTGTTTTGTCGTGGGCTATGGCAGGTGACTCGGTGAAGTATTTCCACTCACCTTTCAGCAGTTGGTTTGCATATTCATCCCAACATATAATCAACTCCTCCTTCTTAGACCGTGTCATACCAAAGTTCCTGACTGTATGTTCGTTGCGAAAACGCCAATTGAAGAAACAAAAGAAAACTCGTAGCCAAGAATTTCATTTACGCGTCGACGCGTCGACGCGTAAATTAAGGTTTTGGTGGCCGACGCCTATGACGTAGCACTTCCCTCCAGGGCTGGCTCGGCGATACTCGGAAAAGCCGAGGACTTTTTTCTGACTACACCAAAAAAACGCACGCTCCCCTGAACCTGCCCTCCACCAAACACTCAACCCAACAGTTAGCGGTCTGTTCTAGTCCAATTTTACCCCCCTTCTCAGCTCATTTTTTAGCCATGCCTGCTCTTCTCCAAACCAATTTGCCCGCTCCCTTCCGTAAAATCGCGTCCGGAAAGGTTCGCGATATTTACGAGTGCCAGGAGGATTTATCTACGCTCTACTTCGTCGCTACTGACCGTATCAGCGCGTTCGATGTGATTATGGAGAACGGTATTCCCGACAAGGGCAAGATTTTGACGAAAATTTCCGAGTTCTGGTTCAACGTTTTGAAGCCCCATACCGCTACTCACTTGGTCACCTCGGAATGGGATAAGATGCCCGCTGTCGCTGCTCCCTTTGCCGACCAGCTGAAGGATCGCACGATGTTGGTTCGTCGTTACAAGGTTCTGCCTATCGAGGCTATCGTCCGCGGCTACATTACCGGTAGTGCTTGGAGCGAGTACAAGAAGTCAGGCACTGTTCATGGAATGCCTATGCCTGAAGGCATGCAAGAAAGCCAAGCATTCCCCGAGCCTCTGTTCACCCCCAGCACCAAGGCTGCTGAGGGTCACGATGAGAACATTCACCCCGACCAAGTGAAGGACATTATTGGTGCCGATCTTGCTGCTAAGGTTGCCGAGCTTTCCGTGAAGCTGTACAAGGTTGCCCGCGACACTGCGAAGGAGAAGGGTATCATTATCGCCGACACAAAGTTCGAGTTTGGTGTGGACGAGCAGAACAATGTCATCCTTGTTGATGAGGTTCTCACACCCGATTCTTCTCGTTTCTGGCTTGCGGCAGACTATGCTGTTGGAAAGCCCCAGGAAAGCTTCGACAAGCAATACTTGCGCAATTGGCTGATTGCAGAGAACGTCAGAGGCAAGCCCGGTGTTAAATTGCCCGAGAACATTGTATCGAGCACTCGTCAAAAGTATATTGAAGCTTACGAGATGATTTGTGGCAAGAAGTGGGTTGCCTAAGCAAGCCTCGTCATCTTTCGTTTGTAATTGCCTTTCCGCACCTTTATCTTTTGGAAAACATTTTTTTGATTAGACAGAATACGTCTTATTCCCAAACAATCCCATCTCTAGTTACCAGTGATGAGAGGGGAGACCAGTGTTTGTACGGGTGGGTGTAGATAGTGGAGTGTCGGTAATGCAGGTAATGTAATGCTTTATTACTGTCAGTGTAGTGCGTATGTATTAACCAAGTTAAAGACAGCTCAGCTCTTTCACTTCCTGTTCATTAGGAACCCTTCCTTGGGAGTAGGTCGTGTCGTCCATCATTTAAAATAAGCTTATCTTAGATAACCTTAACTTGAAGAATGCGAAGAAGCGAAAAACAGCTGTTTCCTCGTCAAATGGGCTTGCGTTGGTTAACAAATTGGCGTCGTTGTACTTATACTAAGTAGGCTTATTTGTATTTCTAATTTTATCCGTTCTTTATTAATAGAATCTTTGTTTACAGCGTCGCTTCTTTGCAGCAATTTTGAATTGAACGCAGTTGCTCACACAGCCAATGATTTATCTTAACAAAAAAAAAAGTAGCAAGACAAATCTACCGAAATTTAGTCCAAAAGTTAATGAAACAGGCAGCTCATTTCATGAATTAAACCCCTTAATAATCTTCCCAAATTAGAAGTCGACAAGGCAGTTACGCGTGGCGCAATGGCAGCGCATCTCATTCCTAAGCGGTTCAGTAGCTACTCAGGAACTTCATGAGAAGGTTGCGGGTTCGAGTCCCGTCGCGTAAGACTCTTTTTGCTTCTATTTGTTTTTTCCTTGTTCTAGATTATTTGTTTGTTTGTGAATGCACTCGAAAATCGACCTTGCTTTTATTTCGTAACATATTTTCTCGAAACTGCACCTAGCTACTACCTTCCAACACCTCCTCTCTCATAAACTGTCTGCAAGATGTTTATTTTACGAGCTTCTACGACCCTGGCCAACCCGACTGTTTTTCGATACTCATTTATTCAACGATTTTCTAAAACTACATATCAGCAGACTCCGCCAGTCCATAGAATTTATCTACGAAAGGGAACAGCTCAAGCCCTCAAGCAGAAGGAAAAAAAAGCAAACCTGCCATCAAAGAACGCTGTTCATCAATGTAGTGCTTGTCAAGCAAAAGTAACTAGCACTAGCATTGTGTGCGATCGATGCCAAACTCTTCGTATTCCAGAGAGTCGTGGAGCAGATTTACTGAAAAGCGGTCGAAAATCCCCACATCACGAGTACAGTCTCGACGAATTTCGTTACATGTACCGCAAAAAGCAACGCATCTTGCGACAAGCGTTGCAAGACAATTATCCGCAAGCAAATAAAGTAGCAAACGAGCTGCAAAAACTACTCCAAGAAGCATGGACAAGTGCCCAAGAACAAGTCACGAAACGTGGGAAAGTGGGTGGGTAGAAGAGGGGTGGCAAGGGAATAAAAGATTCCGTCTTTTAAAACGGATGGACTTTACGGTCTGCTTCTCTCAAAAGACTCGTGCAGCCATACGCTGAACAGGTCTTTTCGTACACTGTTCAGCTCTTTTTTCCGCTCTCTCTCTCTCTCTCTCTGCATGTGTGTGTGTCTTGGTGCCTCCTTCTTAGCACCGACTCATTTCACCTAGTTCCCTTGCTCATCTAACACTTGGTGTTACCGACTTTCCCGTCTCACCCACCGGGTCTTGTCGATGAGCTGCCAAGAGTAGGTGTCCCCTTGTAGTATAGCCTGGATGAGCTTGACAAGTGCAGACTTGGTGATAGTTCGGAAGGAGGGCCGCTTGTCAATGAGCGCCTCCATAACATCGCGAACGTCAAAGCTTGGAAGGTGACGAAAAGGCGTTAGTATGGGTCGAATGTGCGCCGGCGTGACCAGCGTATATGCAAGTGAGTGAATAATGACAAGCCGGCCCCGACGGACGAGGGCATCCAGCGCATAGCTGATTACGAGCGTGTTATTGCTTCCTTTCCACTCCGTCATGCCCGTGTCTACATTGAAGACAGGAAGCTGAGGCAGCTGAATGTTCTTTGCCTCAATAAATTCGAGCAACCTGGCTGCTGTAAATGCAGCTGAAAGATCTGCATACTCCGGCAGTCTTAAAATATGCAATAAACAGCGACAAAGGTTCTCGAACGGGGTACGATCTGCTTTTGTGTGTGTGGACGTACTCAAACTTTGAAACATGGGCAATACATATCGGTCGAGAATTTTCTTCTTATACCGAACGCGTGTTTGCCAAGCTCTCCATTCAGCATCGGGATGTTCGAGCTCAACAGCTTTGTTTGCCAGAAATCGACGATTAAGGCCTATACACTGCAGCCGACCGTCTATTCGGAACGCCTTGCCAATCCAACTCGAGCGGTCCTCCCGAGTCCACGGTATGTTGGTCGTCTGATCAATGCAGCAAACAATTGTTCTTCCACTCGCATCATCCACTACAAACGGAAACAGTTAGTCAGTCTGGCCCGAATTTGACGGCGTCGGTGTATTTAATTACCCGTGACGTTAGTGCGACCCTCATACTCGTCAACACTCATCACAATTCCAACAATACGCAACCATATGACAGGTAACCTATACCAAAATAGTACTTTTCAGCTTAGTATATAGCGTCCCTAAGTGACTACTTCGTGTCGCTTCTAATCTCGGCGTACCTTCTTCGACACCTGGTTTCCGAACCAAGGTATACAGATCACTGATAAAAATAGGAATCCATTTTGTCAGCGTAGGACACGCTTTCACCAAGGCATTTACGGCACTTGTGTTCATTCAATGCCTGGCTATAGCTGACAACGTCTGTATAAAAACCAAGACCAGAATTCGGAAAAAGGAGAAAGAAAAAACCAGGAAAAAAATTAAAAATGAGCCGGACAAGGGGGGTACGGGATAGTGTCGCCCGGTTACGCGAAAGACGATCAATTCAAATGAATGATTGTCAAACGGTCCGTACCACTGTGTCAATTGGGTAGTAGAGAGACGAACGGTTAGACGGTTAATAATTCACAAACGCGAAGGGGGTAAAATTTAAAAAAAACTAAAAGTCCGTGTAATAAAAGCTTTAGAGTATTATCGTGTATTCGCGAATGATTGAAGAATGCAATTCACCGGTAGAAACGGAGACCGTGGCTTGAGTGCGCAATTCCCATAACTTAGCAAGGTTAAGAAAATTAGTTAGAATAGAGTAATAAGAGGAGAAAATGAGTTGACAAAAAAAAAAACGAGAAGGTGACCATAGAAAAGCAGATGCTTTGTAGGTGTTTTTGCTAGATGTACCTCTGTATAAACCGCCTGATCATTTACGCTATTTATGCAGGAAGAAGGGACAAAGAAAAAAAAAAAAAGCAACACAATTATCGCAGACAAAGCCATGCGCGCTGTAAGAACATGTCATGCATGAGTCGTGTTATTATTTCGCTTTGTTCAAACGTAACAATGGCTGTTGTGAAAAACAGGACTCAATTTCGTCGCTGTCGACATTGAACATGCCGACGACGAATTGCGATCGTAAGCGCCAAACGTGGAGAGCCAAGAAGTACCGTGCGACCCGTGTGGTGTCAGGGTAACAGGGTTCCATTCTAACTGCGCTCATTCTCGCATTTCGTTTCGCAACATCTCGTCTTATCTTAATTCCCTCTCTTCCTCCCTTGTCACTGCTTCTTTTTTGCCCCACATGCACCCCACATAGGCATTGTGTCCTCCACCCCCCCACTCTCGTGGTGGTGTTTCTGTGCTAGAGACAAGAACCAGTCGTCGTCTTTGACGGTCCCACTCCATCATGACTACCGCCGAGCCTGTAGAAAAAGTTGAAGTTGACGTGTACAGCGACATCGACGAAGACTTTCGGGAGTCGATTGAACAGATCGAAAAGCTGTTCTGTCTCGTCCTTTTCCCCATAGTTGGCCGGTTCTTGGGCCGGAAATTTGCATTTTACGGTATGGAGCACTCGGACAGCGACGCGTGAATTAAGGTTACGAACCCAATTGACGCGTCGTTTCGTGCCAGTGAAGGAGTTCTCCAAAATGCTTGCTAACATTTAGCCTGGGGTCGCTGTATGGACAAGTATGCCGCTGTTCATCGGTAAAACTGGTCGAATGCTGCATTTGCTGCGACTGTGCTCGAAACAGCCGCGATTGAGTTCGAACGTGCATCACTATTCTGTTTAACGAATTTTAATGAAGAAGCAACTTGTATTGATAAACGAGATAGAGCAGGATAACGAGAACTAAAGAGCGACAGTGTGGACTTGTGAGGTTTAACACCACGCGTTTGACTCTCTAAGCACTCACAATGCATCGCTCCAGCTCATTATCGCTTACTAACGAAAAATAAAGCACTCCACCGTGCAGACCCTATGACCACCTCGTTCATCCCCTCCTGCACCAAAGCACCACGCATCAAGTATGTTTTTTAAAGGAATCAAAGGACCGAATCCTGCAGATCTGCAAGGCAGCGATCTGAACGTGTTAATCGTGCATGCACGCTGGAACATGGATGCTATCGAGCCGCTTGTGAACGGCGCCATCGACAGCATGGTGAAAAAGCACAATGTTCCTCGCGAGAACATCGACGTTCGTAGCGTCCCCGGCAGTTGGGAATTGCCGATCGGTATTTCGATGGCTCTCAAGACCGGCAAAAAGTACGACGCCGTGATCGCCATTGGTGTGCTGATCAAGGGATCCACCATGCATTTCGAGTATATCGCCGACGCTACGTCACACGGTCTCATGCGCGTCGGACTCGACACCGGTGTCCCAGTCATTCTTGGTCTGCTCACGGTGTTGAACGACGAGCAAGCCTTAGAACGCGCTGGTTTCAATGGTGGCCATAACCACGGTCTCGACTGGGGTTCTGCTGCCGTAGAAATGGGTCTTCAACGTCGTAACGAACTTTAAGGCGGATATTCATCAACCACCGCGTTACGCGTTTTCATGCAACCTTATTTTTCGCGTCGCCGAAGCGTCGCGCGTTGCACGCGTTAGAAAGCTTAAAAACGCGTATTCTTATGAAACAAACGTTGCTGGTTGTAGAAGCTCTTTCAGTAGAGTTTTTCAAGTGTGAATTTTTTGTTCTCTCATGGATATATCATTCATTCTCCCGTTTGCAAATCTCTGTAATCATGAAGCGTTTCAGTTTGGAAATGGGTCCGCAATGTTCAATGGCGACGGTGTCGCCCACCTTTGCGTTCATCGTGTCATGTACGAGGTAATTTTTACGAACTTTGACGGTTTTATGAATCTTGGGATGAAGCTTGAGCTTGGTGACTTGCACCTTGGCCGTGTTTGGCATGAAGTGTGACACGACCGAGCCAATGAATCTTGCTTTCATGAGGGACGTGGAGGTGAGACGAAGGTGCAGTGAGCGTTAGCGAGAGTAGATGAGGGAGACCTTCAGAATGCGGTGGAGCGCGCTAGAGCTTCTTAGCCCCCACTTTCTGCCCCACTCACTGCCCTCCCCCACTTGCCCCACCTTCCCTCGCTAACGCTCACTGCATCTCAGTTCCTCTCTTCCACCCCGTCCTTCAGCCATGTTTGACGATCCTGAAAAAAAGGTTGCATACTTCGAGTACGCGGTTGGACTGGTCTTCCACTCGTGGCCTGTGATGAAACAGGCCGTTGAGGAGGAATGGGGCGGCGTCGAGTCCGCTGACAAGCGAGATTGGATGGCTGGAGCCGTTTTCGACTTCATCACCGCCAACCCAGACGTTGAGGCCGACGACGTTGAGGAGATCATCCTGCAGATCCTCACCGACGAGTTTAGTGCTGATGTCGAGGATGACTCGGCTTATGAGGTACGTAATGATCTGCATGCCCCGAGGGATGGAGCTACTACGCCCGCGGGGGTTTGCACGTGGCCCGACCAACGCTAATCAAATTGTAGTTGGCTACCGACCTTGTTTCGCTGTGGAAGTCGTCGCAAGAGGACGACTTTGAGCCCATTCGTAAGTTGCACGAAACCGTTGGCAAGAAGTTGCTGGAGAAAATGGAAAGTGAAGGAGGTGCAGGCGCCGGATCGTCCGAGACAGCCAATGCTGAGGCAACACCTGAACTCGTGGAGGCACCAGATGCACAGGAGCAGTCGCAGCAGCAACAGGATCCTGTCGTTGATGACGACGGGTTCACTATGGTGCAACGTAAGCGTCGTTACTAGGAGGGCGTGAGAGAGAATGCGTGCGACACGGCAGCAATTGTTCTACGGTTAGCACACACTCAATCCTAATCCAACTCGTTTTGAACACCAAAGGAATTTTGAACAGAGTGTGGTTGCTCCAGATAACGGTCTCTATCTCTATCTCTGTCGTTGTCCCTGTCCGAATCCCTGTTGTCGTCGTCGTCGTCGTCGTTGTCTCTCGATTCGAACAGTTCCATTTCGACAGCGAAAAGGTCGTCGCCGTTCCTTCGCTTACATACATAAACGAGAGGATGGTTTCGGTAAAACCGTTGAATGGATATGTGCACGTGTACGAGGGGCAAGACGACAGTCAGGCTCTTAGGATCAATGATTGCATTGCAGAAGTCAGCAATGAAAAACGTCCCGGGTTGCAAGCGCACTTGGCGGCGTTTGTTGACGTCCTGCATATCGTGTCGACGCTTCTTGTCTTCAGCCGTAGCTTCAAAGTATTCCAGTGGGAACGCTTGATTCTTAGAGAATCGCATTTTCGTCATTGTCGCATACAGCGGCGATAAAGCGTATGGTCTTTCGCAATGAAAATCATATTCCAGGGATGGATCGACAAAGCGCAAACCCCGCATCATTACCTGCCAACCAAAGGGCAGATCGTCGAGCACGTGGTAGTCAAAAACATTACCAAACATAAGATCGTCGGCCGTCAAGTTCTCAGCTCCAGCCTTGAACCGGCCGCTTATCATCAGTGAGCAGTTATCACTGCTCCTCCTCAAGTATGCTGATGATTCTCGCGTATATCCGCGGAGTCGCAGGAGAATCTGGCCCTCAAAAACTTCGTTGCTGACGGCAATTGGCACCTCGTTAAACAGAAACGGGACCCTGCGTCCACATTCCCTGAAAAATGACTGGATGTTCATAGTAGCAGTACTGAGCAGCATGTCTTGGGGTTTTCGGCGAGCAGGATCTACGTCATAGATCGGAGATCGGCGTCAGGGAATAGCGAGGGGTAGAGTGGAGTAGCGGGGAATAGTGAGACACAGCACACTGCAACGTCCAGCCCTCGGAAATTCCTTAACTCGTTTAACGAGTTCCCGAGCAGCTCCGCCTCATTGAGCCCCGAGGCTTAACGAGGCAAACAAGGCCCGTTAGGATCGGCCGGCGCATACGAGCGGCAGGTGTTCTCGTCTCAATTATGACCGTTGCAATTCGTCCTCCTCGTCCAATCCACACTCTTCCTTTTGTGCACTAGTGCGCTCCTCCAAGCTCTTCCTTCCCACCCCTTTTTTCTAGCTTCGTTTAGGTTATCGCTTATTTATCTGATCTGTAATATCTAATCTCGTATCTCAGCCCATGCTAATTGAACTCTGCTAACACTCAGAGCAATAAAAGACGCAAAATGCGACAAGGACAGAGGGCTTTGCTACCAGCGCTACTCATGTCACGAATCCCAGTCTTCTTTCGTTACATAGAATGGATCTGCCTGCTGGTGGTCTGTGTGCTGTACTTTGTTCTCGATTTTACGCTTCGTCCATTCGAACGTCAGTTCGCCGTGTCTGATTTGAATATTTCTCATCCATACGCTGAACATGAACAAATTCCTACTGAGTACCTCGGTGTATGTACCAAATGGACAGAGTTTGGAGAAAAAAACGAGTCGAATCGGTTGGTGAAGTATGGTTCTCGTTCACCTTTTCTGTGGCTTCAATCGGTGACTAAAGCACCTTCTCTCTCTCTCTCTCTCTGTCACTCACTCTCTGTCACTCTCTGTCCATACTTCCTGCTTCAACTTGCTAACAGTTTTCTAGATCATTGGTATTCTCGGACCAATTGTCGTCATCTTCTGCGTAGCTGCATGGAAGAGAAGCCCAGTTTTGGCGAGACAAGCAAGTTTGGGTTTGCTGTACTCAACAATGCTGACCGGCTTATTGGTAACACTTACTAAGAACGCCGTTGGCCGTCCTCGTCCCGACTTCCTCGACCGCTGCAAGCCTTTGTCGTCTGCTCCGACAAACAAGCTCGTTACTGTCGCCATTTGCACAACAGATCAGAAGAATAAGCGCCTCCTGGATGGCATGCGTTCCTTCCCTTCCGGCCATACTTCTTTCTCCTTCTCCGGTCTCGGTTACTTGGCGTTGTTTCTCGCAGCACAACTCAAACTCAATTCACGGTTTTCGGCCGGTTGGAAGTTTGTCATTCCTGTCATTCCGCTCGCGCTAGCCGGCTGGGTCGGTTTGACACGGTCGCAAGATTATCGCCATCACAAGGAGGACATCGTCGTAGGCGGCTTGTTTGGCATGTTGATGGCCTTTGCTGTGTATCGTCAGTACTTCCCATCCATCGGAAAGACTGACTCGGACGTTACATACGCCGAGTTTATGCCTTCTGAGTCAAGCAGTATTCGCTCGAACACCGACAACCTGTCGCATGCAGAAGCTATGGTCTAAATGATGCATTAAGTGGTTATGAGGAGCCCGCATCTCTGCGGGCTTCTGTCCTCATTATCGGCCTCTATAGCTCGACCTATTCTTCAATACCTTCTTCTTCATCTCTTTACGGAATATGCGTGGTAATGTGCTTTTTTTTTTTGCACTCCTCTCCACCTCTCTTTGTTTGCTTTCTCTTTCTCTGCTGCTTCAACTGTTTGCGTCAGCAGCTTTTCATAGTTTCTTCAGCCTTAAGGCTCTACTAGGTGATATGTACACGTATACTCTTATTCATCAAAGTCATCTTCATCAATAACACCACTATTTTCATCTTCGAAAGCTTCGGCTTCATTCTCTTCTTCTTCTTCATCTTCAGAGTGCCCAGCAAGTACGCTGCCTAGCGTTCCAAGCAAGCTTTGAGCTGAAGGGATCGTTTCATCTTCCGCACTTGCAGGTCCATTTTCAGAGTTGGATGCATCAACTCCTTCCTTTGCATCTGTTTTCGCTTCTGTCCCTGCTGCTGGTGCTTTGGATGCCGGTTCTTCGGAAACCATTTCTTCTCCTGTTTGCAAGTTTTCGTATTCGTCCTCATCAGTAAATTGGACGATGCCGTTAGAGACAACGTACCAAACAAACCCGAATACGGAAGCAGTGATGAAAAATCCATTACGAGCATATGCAAGAAGCTTGTCCTGGTTTTTCATATTTTTAGAGATGTGCAATGCTGACTCGGATACTTTTGAACGCACATTGTTCCAAGCAATCGTAGCCAAGTCAGTAAACCCTTGAGGTTGCGTTTGAACCGGAAACAGCCGAAGAATGCTATTGTCATCGCCGGCCCAAATATTGTGTAAACGGTTTAAGAGCTCAAGAAGTTTTGGACTTTCTGCCGCTAAAGCAGGAGTCGCAACTGCGTGGGGAAACTGCTCCCATGCATACACGTGAAGGGAAAGATACCCATACAGGACACAATCAAGTGAGCTCGGTTCGTCCCCGAATATATAATCCCCTTGTTGCCCGTCTTCATTAAGAGAGAATAGCTGTTCTATGGTCTTGTAAAAAGACAAGGCAATGCTATGGATACGAATGTCACGGGCACACGCCTTAAGCGAAGCCTGCTGTTTGCGGCGTTCGTTTTCCCACATACGAGAAATAGGCATGTTGGATGGCACATATTCAACATCGCTTACATCAGAGCCCCAAGAAGCACGCAGACGCTTCCACGCCTGTTGTTGATCGTGTTTGGGTTTAATATAGTTGAATGGGAAACCAAGAACTTTTGACCACTCTGGTCGAGTTGACTTTACATAATTTTCTTCAATACAATAAGCGTCTAAAAGCCAAAGATCATTTCCCTTTCGTTCAATGAGTCGTCCAATGACAGCAGCTGTATTGGTGTCTGCTGGAGACAGTTTTTCATCCAAATTGTAACCCTTCTGTTTCACATAAGCGAGAATTGACCTCCAACCACCTAACCAAACATTTCCGTCCATTAGAGCAGGCAATTCCTGCGTAGGACTCATTCGACTATTGTTAGTGCGATATACCAACAACTCATCTGCAGGAATTGCCAAGACACAGTACGTCAGCGCTGTTAAACATGCTGGATCAATAGACGGCCGACCAAACCCTGGTCCATACACGAAAAGCTGAATCATGGATATATATGAAATGATCGTCTAAATGTTGTCAAGGGCCAGGTGCGTTTGACCGGTAGAGATAGGTCCGGTTATTTTCTAAAAGTGGTGTTTTCAGATGGTCATAATAGCCTAGTGGTGAGCTTGAACAAATTATTGTTGTTTCCGTCCGGGTTCAATTTTATATGTGTCCCCTTTTCTGGGAAAACTCACCAAGTCCAATTCCCACCACCGAGACAACATAGCTGGTCGGCACCTTTTGGATCCATCAAGCCGTGTTTTTTGACAGGAATGTTGTCGATTTACGTTCCTATCGTTTATGTAGCTGTACTTATCGGGTTCCTTTATGGAATATCCGTTTTTGTCCGGAAAAGAAAGCCTAAGGGTAAGTGTGGACAACGTGAAGAGTATTTTACTTACAAGTACTATAGGTCCGGAAAACTTGTTAGAAGACTGGTTTGGTCCCTGTCATGCGAGAAATGTATTTTTTTCCGTGCTTAAGCAGAAGCCGCCGGCTCCCGACGTAATTCTCAAATCGAGCTTGGTCATTCGTGGCACAGAGGATTTGAAGAGACTCTTAAAAATGAAGAATTCCCGAAATGCATTGAATGTCCTTATTAACCGTGGTGCTGTCGGCGACGAGCTAATTCAAGAATTTACACGACTTGAAAAGGAAATGGAATTAGAGTTAATGGACGTTGCTAGAACAGCAAACACACTTCAAGAAGGCTGGAACCAGTTCTTCTTCCAGAGCTGTAACGAAATTATTAACAATGAACGTATCCACAACAAACTTGACGAAATTCCCAAGAACATTGAGCAAGCCTCTAAACGCTGGCAACAAGAAAAGGCGGAATTTGAACAAGTCGAAGAACAAAAACGCATCCAAGCTCAAAAGGAGCTTGGTGTTTTGTAAACATTCGTTTTATGTGTATAGCTGTCGAATCCAGCGCTCTTGGAGAGGACAAAATCTCTAAGAAAAATGAAATAAAGACGGTAGAATGACCTGTGCTAAACTAATGAAAAACACTATCACAGTTGTGTATCCTTTCTTCTACTATTTATGCTGCTTTTCATATTCCGCAATGAGCTCCTTTTGAACATATCCTGGTGCTGGAAGGTATTTGAGAAACTCCATTGTAAACTCGCCTTTTCCTTGTGTGGATGAACGAATGTCAGATGAGTAGGAAAACATACTGTTCAGAGGGACTTCAGCTTGTAGTGTAAACTCCTCTTCACCAATGTCAGTATTAACGATGGTCGCCTTACGCTTATCCAAATTGCCAATTACGACACCTTGGTCATCTACAGGCGCTGTAACGGTTACGTTCATAATTGGTTCCAAAACGATTGGTTTTGCGGCCATGAAAGCTTGCCGGAAAGCATGTGTCAAAGCAACGCGAAAAGCTAATTCGGAAGAGTCAACAGAATGTGCTGCTCCGTCCTCAAGGACGAGCCTACAGTTTTTGATAGGGTGTCCAGTAAGAAAGCCCCGCTCAAGACATTCCTTGAATGCTTTCTCACAAGCTGGAATGTATTGACTAGGGATGGCACCTCCAACAACGTGGTTTACAAATTCATGATCCACTAGGCGGCCATTTCCATCTTCCTTTGGTTCCATGTATTCAATATAACCTTCCACTTTTGCATACTGGCCAGCACCTCCACTTTGCTTTTTGTGCAGATAACTGAAAGGAGCCTTCGTGGTGATCGTTTCACGGAACGCCACCCTGGGCTTGCCTGTAATGCACTCGGTGCGATATTCCCTCGCCAAACGCTCCAAGTAAATTTCGAGATGCAATTCTCCCATTCCGCTGATAATTGTTTCATTGGATTCCTTGTCAATGTGAACACGGAAGGTAGGATCTTCTCGTTGGAATCTAGCGAGCGCCTTGGAAAAGTTTGGTGAATCTTTATTTTTCGGTTTTATCGATAAGGAGACAACTGGTTCGGGAACATACATGGAAGACATCACGTATTTTATGGACCCGTCAGTAAACGTGTCACCGGAAGCACAGTCTACTCCAAACATAGCACAAATACTGCCTGCTGGAGCTTCCTCAACATCTTCCATTTCATCTGAATGCAATAAAACCAAGCGTGGAACCTTGATTCGTTTTCCCGAGTTAACATTTGTAATTTGATTACCACGTTTCAGTACACCTTGATACACTCGCATATAAGTCAGTTGACCAAACCGCCCGTCTTCAAGCTTGAAGGCAAGTGCGACAAGTGGTTCATTGTAGTCGGTGTGTAATGTTACGGACTTTTCTCCTTGGTTCACATCAAGCGCCGTGTTCGTTACATCAGATGGATTGGGTAAGTAATCGCATACTGCATCCAAGAGAGGTTGCACACCAATGTTTGCGAGTGCTGACCCCATAAAAACCGGTGTGAATTGACGAGAAAGTGTAGCTGACCGTATTGCACTCATTAACTGTTCGGGAGAGGGCGTTTCTTCCATCACGTACAGCTCGCCAATCTCCTCATCAATGTTAGCCAATGTTTCAATAAGCAGAGCTCGTTTCTCGTTTGCTAATTCTTTCAAGTGTTCAGGAATAGAACCTGTAATTTCCACTTTCTCTCCTTTCTTCCCACGATTATAAATACTCTGCATATGGATTAAATCAACAACACCTTCAAGATTGTCTTCAGAGCCGATGGGAATCTGCACGGCAGCGGCGGCAATTCGAAGTTTCGCGTTCAGTTGTTCAATGGCTCGCCAAGGGTTAGCACCCATCCGATCCATTTTGTTTATGAATGTTATACGGGGAACATTATAGCGCCGCATCTGACGGTCAACCGTTATAGTCTGTGATTGTACTCCAGAAACAGCACATAAAATCAGTACAGCTCCATCAAGCACACGAAGCGCGCGTTCGACTTCAATCGTAAAATCAATATGACCAGGAGTATCAATGATATTAATGATATAGTCCTGTTCATCGCCATCTTTTTGCTTGCGTTTCCAGTTACAGTATGTAGCAGCGGATTGAATAGTTATACCCTTTTCACGCTCAAGTTCCATAGAATCCATTTTAGCGCCAACATTGTCTTTACCGCGAACTTCATGAATGTCTTTAATTCTGCCCGTGTAAAAAAGTACACGTTCGGTAAATGTCGTTTTTCCGGAATCAATATGGGCAGAGATACCGATGTTTCGTAACCGCGATAAGGCGTCTGGGATGCTATTAGCACGAGAACCAGTTGAGTAGAAAAGGCGTTTGGGTATAGCTTGTGAACAGAGTCTCGCTGAACGGGAAACAACGTTGTATACATTCGTAAACTGCCGCAATAAAGTTTGTCTTCGTATGCTATTCATCTCTAAGACTTTCAATCTCATAAACATGTTCCCTTATTGAGATTATTTTTAATTAAATTTGTGTTGGATCCTAATTCATTAATATTCAGCTATATCAGTTCGCAATAAAAAAGAAAGAATTTCGTAACGTCGTTAAACAAACAGAGTATCGTCCAGTTAGTAAGTTTGGAAACTGTAACTTGCACAGAATGTGTTGATTTCTGTGTATTTTCAGGTAAAATGCTTTAATCGAGCTTTTTTTTTAATTTGGTGTGCAAGTCAGAGTCGTTTTTTGTAACAGGCCATACAATTGTTTGAAAAAAAGAAATCTTTTTTCAAGTAACTTCTGTATCAATACGTAAGCTTGTATACTCATAAATAACAAGGGCTTTACGCGTGGTACTGTCTTTCTGCAATAGTTTCTTTTGTTTGTCTACAAAATTGAACGGTTCACTTGTGTGAAACGGTTTCTTCAATAATTGAGAGACTGCACATCATTTACAACACTTGGCGTCTCTAAAACAAATTTGACTGTTTATTTCTCTTCTTGTTCTTCATTTGCATTTTCTACAAGAGTGAAATATATTAATATAACAGCTGCAAAAATATTATGTGCCATAAAGCAAAAATGCTAAAAAAAGATTCTTCTGCCGCGGGATTTCTAAAAAAAAGTGATTTTTATGGACCCGTAACAGCTATTTGTTCCATAAAGAATGGCAAGTTTATATGTGCTGCCCAAGGTCCTTGGATCAAACTTTATGATTCTAATAGGAAAGTTACTAGTATTCATTCCGGTTTTCAACGCAACAAGATACACGGAATCAAGGATTTTTTGGATAACAAAGTTATCTTATGGGGAGCAACGAGCTTTGGTATACTTGATATTGAAACTGAAGCGTGTGCAACATATCAATGCTCATACTGGATTCACGATATAATTGCCCTATCTTCTACTCAGCTTTTACTTGTAACTGCAAAAAATCAAGTCCTTTTTTATTCCAGCAGTCCGAACGGAAAATGGGAACATACCAAAACTATCACATGCCAGAAAACACCAGTATTATTTTGTGCTTCGCTGGCGTTTTATGATAACCATGTCTGGGTTGCCTCGGCTTCTGCTTTTCGAGAGATCCTTCTATGGTCATTTCCGTTAACTTCTGAAGATCACTATGAAGTACCGGTAACGGCAATTCTTCGCGGACATGACGGAGCTTGCTTCGATTTAAAGTTCAGTAAAGATTTCTCTACTCTCTGTTCTGTGTCTGAGGACCGTTCTGTTCGACTTTGGGATTTGAAAACAAACAATTGTATTGGCACAGGATATGGACATACAGCACGTGTGTGGAGAGCAATAATTTTGGAAAATGGTTCCCTTGCGTCCGTTTCAGAGGATGCAACTCTTAGAATTTGGAATTTAAAAGGAGATAAACTTGTACAAGAGAAAACATTTGAGGGTCACGGTGGTAAACACATATGGTGTGTCACAGAAAATGAAGCTACAAAACAGCTGTTCACTGGCGGAAACGATGGTGCCATTCGAGCGTGGAAATTGGTTACCCCATCACATAGTCAAGATATTGACCTGAAGGGCATTTTCCCCTCCAAAACTATCCCGACATCCATCTGTTTTAAAAATACTGGCAATCTCCTATGTATATCTAAGGCTGGGTAAGTTTTTATTTTAAATGGTCGCATGTCAAACTAACAGATCAGTGAATTATCATCTATATCAGACAAAGAGCAAAAGTTGCTGAGCGTGTTACCAGAAGCATCGTCATGCGCTGTCCTTGCTTCTTGGTCCCAGAGTCCATACATTGCAATTGGTACACGGTTGGGAACAGTAATCGTCGGCAGTGTAACATCAGTTGGATTTCAGAATTTGCACTCTTTAAAACTCACGGATAAAAAAATTCTACAGTTACTAACATGCGCTACAGATGCATCGCTCTATCTGTACGTCAAGTCTCCTATAGGAAAAAATAAGTTTCGTGTCGGCCTTCAGCAATTTAAACAAGACGAGAAAAGTCTTCAATACGTCAGTGAACAAACGTTAGAAATGCCAGAAAGTTTTGAGCCGGTTTCTTTTATGGTTTCCGAGAATCCTGGTCTGTATATTTTGGGATCTAAGACAGGATCCTTGGCCATATTTGACAAAAACACGAGTTCGTTCATTCATGTTTGGCGTGGAGTTCATAAATATGAATCCCTTTACAATATTATAATTGAGTCTTCACAAGAAAGACAATTGCTCTTAACTACTGTTGGCCGTGATGCGATGAAAAAGCTGTCACTCAAACATTCTAAAGCCGAAGGTTGGACCTTAGACACACTTGTGCTTAGGAAGCCTCATAAAGGATTTTTCGCCGGTGTAAGTTTGACATATACTTCATTTTATTGACTAATTTTAGGGTGCACTCAACGCTGACCGCGTCTCGTATACTCTGTGGGGTTTCTACTCATCGGAATTCTTCGTCTACAATGAGTCTTCAAATGTAGAATCATATAGCATTGAATGCGGTGGAAGCCATCGTTTATGGGGTTGCTGTTTTGAAGAAAACAATCAGTCATTTGCTTTTGTGAAATCATCGATCCTTCACTATAAGCAATTCAATGTCTCCACAAAATATTCCCAATATTGCATACAAGAAGGACTTCATGGACGCGAGGTCAGAGAGCTTTGTATTGAGCCTTCGCGAATGTTAATGGCTACTGGAGCAGAAGACACACAGATTATACTTTCACAATTATATCCTTCTACGAATAACATTCGTGTTCTGGGGGCTACTAAAGTTCACAATACAGGAATCCAATCATTGCAGTGGTTTAATGACCAACTTTTATTCAGTAGTGCTGGTCTTAACGAACTTTTTGCTTTCTCGGTACCTCAAGATGTTAACGCCTTAACTCATGAAGACCGTCAAAAGACGCTTTTGCTAACATCTACGTGTACTGCTGAAGATTTGAAAGATGTTGATCTCAGAGTTATGGACTTCGCTATTACTCAGGATAAGACTGACAACAATTGTCTTTGGCTAACGGCTGTGTATTCCGATTCATCTCTTCGTTTATGGATCTATAACCTCACGGAAAAAGAATTTCGTCTGTACAAGAGTTGGAAGTATAAGTCCTCTTGTCTACTTCAGATCAAGCAATTTGTTTTTCGTGACGAGGTTTACGCTCTCGTCGCCTCTACAGACGGTCATATTATGATTTGGAACCTCCAATGTAAAGAGAAAGATGCCAATCCGATTCTTGTTTGGAGGAAGGCCATTCATCAATCCGGTATATTAGGAATTGATCTTCGTATCCAGGAAGAATCCGAAAAGAAATTGCTGCTAACATTAGCAACCGGTGGAGATGATGGTAGTGTTTCTCTATTACAATTATCTATTAAATGGTCTGATGCACTCCATATTGTTATATTCATGGAGTTACTTCACACAACTTTCCCGGAGGCACATGCATCTTCTGTTACTGGTATAATTCTTTTATCTAACGAAAAATTCATTTCTGCTTCTATAGATCAACGACTTGTTCTTTGGCATAACGAGTGTAACGAGTTAATGAAGGTTGGAGAACATTACACCTTTGTTCCGGACGTCTGTGGTATTACAAAATATAAGGATCTTGTTATTGCACATGGTTTGGGTCTCGAAGTTTTTGAATTACAGTTATAGATGGATTACTAAGTTAATAAAATTGTGGTACGAATGTCTTTGTCTTTCTAGTGTCACTTGTATTGTCTTTGTCTGTATTGCTTAACAATTCTTTGTTCTGACAAATTTCTTTGTTTCAAAGCACTTAATCAAAAAGTGAAAGGCTATAAAAAGAAAAACAGCTATTCCTATATTTCCCCATTATAAAGGCTTAACGGACGAACGACTGGCATTTAATACTAAAATGAATTTTGTTCAACAACATATCAAGACCATCGTCTCACTATACCGTTTAATTCCGTACCCTTCCTATCTTTCCAACATAATTCTTGCTGTTGGTTGGCTGTTTTCATGTCTCCTGGTTTGTGGTTGTCTTTCTAAGGAATCCAGGACTATTCGAATTCTTCGACTTACAAGCCAAAACGTAACTATTGATGTTGGCTTTTTCGGAATTTGCTCAAAATTGGCAAATAGTTCAAGGGAATGCCATGGTTTAAAATACTGGAAGGAATCGAGTAACGCAAATGCCAAAGAAGCCGCTGTTTATGTTTGGAGTTTAGTTCATCCAGTGCTTCTGGGAATCGTTTTTGGCCTTTGCAGTTTGTCCATTGTTTTCACGATATTAAAATTCCTAAATAATCGTAACATCCGCTATTGGGCTATTAGCTGTCTGTACCTAAACCTTTTGGCTGCATTCTTTCAAATTATACAAATGGCTCTTTCACATCTTTCTGCAACATCGTTTGCACTTGGAATTGAGGCACTGGGTACTTCCTCTGTGACCCAAGCAAAGTTGGGTATTGCTGCTGTGGTTCTTGGTTGGATATCGGCGCTTTGTTTCTTCTTATTCGCTTTAATCCATCTAGGACTATGGCTTATTGAATGCAACAAACAACGAATTTTAAAAGCAACAGAAGAAATATTCGCGCCATTAACGAAACCGCAAACAGAAACAGACTCTACAGCAAAAGAGTCGGTTTAACTTAAAACGTGTCTGGCACAGAGAGCCTTTTGGTGAAGGAGCCATTTCCTCATGAATGATGAACTGCTTTAAACTTTATTGAACCGGACGTGCAGGCATATCCGGGCAATTCTTTTTAATTTCTTCTTAATTTTGTTTGTTCTTAAACTATCTGTATATACTGTGTTTTTTTTTTTTAACATAAGGACTAATATCTCTAAGTAATTAACTTATTAAAGCAAAACTTCGTCCAAAACAAAGGAAGAGGTAAGCTCAATTGACGTTTTTGAATTTATGAGCTAAAATATGATTATATAATACATCAAGATGATACCTATGGCAATTTATCTTTATAAAAGTAATTGAAAAAGGATTTTTGACAGACAAGGTCATTAAGTATGAAACTTGCGCTGGCTAATCTACAAAACGAAAGAACGAGAAAACATTTGATGAAGGTGCGTGTGTATAAGAGAGAGGAAGAGAAAAAAGAATAAAAGCAGGTGGTGTTTGCCAAAGAAAAATTAAATGACAAACTAAGAAAAATCCAGTGACCAAACGTGATGTTTGATTTCACTTCTTAGGGATATAACATAGAATCAGTTTGCGCTTTCTAAAGCACTTCGCGAATACCAAAGTAGTATTTTTCCTGCATGGTCGCACGTAAATTCCACTGCTCATTTTCTTTCAATGGACGCCATGAAATACTAGATGCGTCGTCTTTGTGAATAGACACAGCACCTGTAGCCATAGATACGAATACGATATTTTCCAATGTTTCATTTCCATCAGGATCGTTTTTTCCAGGTGCAGCTATGGGACACTTCGGTTGAAGACACTCGGGCAAATGAACGTTCGCTGCGTAATCAGTTGCCTCATATTTTAAAGTCCAAAACTCGTCCTGATATCTGCCAATAGCAGTGACTCTCCATTCAAATGTTTGAGCTATTATGCTTTTCTCCGAATTTTCTAAGAGCTCGGAAGAACCAAGTGAGTCCAAATCATCATCGTCTTTGTGCTCTGCGATTGTGTCCTGTGTTCCATGCTCCCGTTCCATTTGTTGTGCTATATCGCAACCATCAGGCATAGGCATATTGAAAAAAGTATTTCTCAATTTATAAAGGTCGTAAGTAGACACGGAGAAACCAGAACACTCCTTCTCTTTTACAATGGCATACTTGGGCCGTCCAACAGAATTTGCTTTTGCATTGTGCGTGTCAATCATCATCCTTACTAGATTAAACTCAGTGTGGGGATCCAAATGACTCGGGGGCTCTGAAACGGCAACGACCTTTAATTTGTTATAGCGTGGATTGTTTTTTCGAAAGCGCATCCAACCATTAAAGGCTTCGATATGAGAGGGCCGATCTTCATACACATAGATATTGTGGATTTTTGAGAAGCGACGAAGCACCTCATTGAAAAACCACAGTTTAAACTTCAGTGTCTGTGGTACTTTCCCTGTTTTTTCCTTTAGCTTGAACACAGATCCTTGAAAGCACAGTCCCTTAGCAGAAACCATACGATCAATGACGCTTCGAAACTCTTCATTACGTCCAGTCAGTAGAATAGCCAATACATTCGGAGCAGCAATTGACTGACGAGCTTTCTCAACTCTGTCGTAGTTGTTAGAGTTACAAGTAAAAGAAAAGAGTTGGATTGTCACAAAAAAAAAACGGAACTTGTTTTTACGCTCAGATAGAACACTTACATATCTTCATTCCACCAACCCTTCCAACCATCTTTTTCTTCGGCGTCCATGCCTCTTCCAGTGGCGGCAAGAACACGGCTGTCAAAAAACCATCCTCCGTTAGCCAGATCTATAAATAAAATAACAGGTTAGTAAAGTTTCAACCAATTGCGAACGCTCGAGACCCATTTTATGAAAAATTATACATCTAGATAGTGTCTTAAGGGTCCTCATTGACACCAAGGAAGATTACATACTGTTAAAGCCCATTAGAATCCGAATTGCTTCAGCGTTCCATAAGGAAGCATTTGGCAAAGGCGTCTGAAAGAGAGTCTGTTAAAAAGGACGTTAGTTACTTTTGTCATTAGGTACTCACAACGTCCACGGTGAGACGTACATTGTCAAAATCATATACGTGCATTTCCGTATACCGGTTTTTCTTAGAACAGTTCCATTTCTCGAAATTGTAATTGATGAAGTCGCAAACTCTCGACGCAGACATAATACAAAGACTTATACTTGACGAAAGCGGTAGAGTTACAAAACTTCTTCTGATAATGCCGAATGGCATTTGACAAGCGCTGATTTGTGTAGCTTGTAGTTTTCGTAGCGGAGCATTTTGCGTCATGTTCGCTTAGAGAAAACTTTAACTGGCGGATTACGTAAGAAATAACTAGTAAGACGAAGAAAGCAAAACAAATAGCAACAATTGATAAGGAATATACTTACAGTCAGTACTCATTCTCTTTTATTCATGGAAGATACCTAAAATCTGACGACTTTTAGGCTGTTTAACGCCTCCGCCTGATTCGCAGGATGTGCTTATACTTATGTGCACGAATGCATTAGTAGCATAAAATGAGTTCACACTACAATTATTGACTCCTCAAAGCAGATTTCGTTCAAAACAAACAGATGTCTACAGATCTCTCAATTGCGCCTTTTTGCTTTCGTACCCAAATATATTCCCCTAACGTGAAATGATCCAAACTGAAATTCGTAATGCGGAATTGCAGCTGAGCTCTATTTAGAGTAAATGTTGTCGTAAATTTTTGATAAAAAGTCAAAGTAGTCCGTGCCTTCCCGACTTCTGTCCTCAATGAACAATGATGTGAGTTCCGCTTCCAATCCATCCATACCTTGACGAACAAGCAAAGGACGCAAAGAGTGTTGGGGAAACTGTTTCTGAAGAGCGTCGAGAATATTGCGAACTTGTAAATTAAGTTCTGTATTCAATTCAGGAAAGGTTAACGGCTCTAAGGGCTTCAGGTTCTTCAAGTCGTCTACATCGAGCAGATCCTTGAGGAGCAATGGCGATGTCAGTCGGTGTAACCAGAGATATGCAGTTTGAGCATTGACAATAAGGAATGCACCGCCCTCTTCAATAAACTTTCTGGAAGCACGTACAGGAGGGGGGAGGGTGACGGTGGGTTGGCCAACGGCATTCTCTGCGTAAATACCTTCATGTGGTTGAAGAACATGAATTGCAAAAATGTGAGGATACAAAGTTAGTACAAGTTCCGGAAGTCCTATAGAACGAATCTTCCGCAAAAAGTTGACACGGATGTCACTGTGAATGCTACCTTCACGCAAAGCAAGCGATTTAAGCATACCCAGTACATATATAGGCAGAAGAGCCAGATTGCGAGGAAGTACCAATTGACCCGGGGAAGTTCGAGACGTGATAATCTTTCGGTAATGCTTAAGCAAATTAACAAGCTGTTCTAACAGTCTAGTGTTTGCCTCTTTGATAGATTTAAGAGAAACTAAATCGCATGCTTCCTTGGCGAAGATGCCTGCAATCGGTTCGGTTGATGCGAGCACTAAAGAGTCCTCCAAACGAGTTGCTACGGCACAACAGTAGTTAACAACTCTAACTCTGCGTTGACCCGTAACGGTAGTATAAAGTACAGCAGTTTGAAAATGAGCATCCAGACTAGTGCTTAACTTGCCTTCATGTTTAAACAAAACTGCAATCGCCTTATCTGCATCAAGACCACCCATTTCAATATCTTGTGGTGTTCTTTGGAAAAAGTTACCAATGTAACGACTAACGCGCAAACCATTAGAGCAACGAGTCTTCATCATCACACGATAGCCTTGTTCACGAAGCATTGATCTAGTTAATTCATCAGCTAAACGGGGGGCATCTCTGCTTGGAACAAAATTACTGTAATAAACGACCTGACCACCCGTGAGTGAAGCAATAGAGCCCACCGTGGCAATGTCAACGTAAGACGAAGTAGCAAAAAATAAGTCTACACAGATACCGCTAGTGACAAACTCGTCGGCCAAATTCGTGTAGAAGTTGTCTTGAGCACTGAGCAAAGTCTTCTCAGCTTCCGTTCCATACAAACGAGCATCTTCACGATGTCTGAGTTTACCGGCACCAACGGTGGGAAGGGCGCTAATAAACATCGAAACTTTTCCGCCCGTAGCCTCCAAAATTTGTTTAGCAGCACGCAAGGTACTACCTACCGCTGGTTCAGGGACCTTATAGCTACTGAACATTTCGTACAAGTTGTCTAATAAGTACTCAAGGGGTTGCTGCGACGCAATTGGATCTACGAGCAACCCATCAACAAATGGTACAAATGTGTTTTCCAAATCGGGAACGGACAACATTTGTGGTTTTTCCAAGTTCGGAGACAAGTTGAAAAAGTGGATATTTCTGTCGAAAGCGATCACGGAGACCTTCACACCTTGTGGAAGACGACGTGGACCGTAGAGAATCTGTTTAATAGCCGCAGCCGCTACACCCGCAAGACCTTTAGCAATTGATTCGTACGAAACATCAATGGCAAAAACTAAGTGCATGGGTTTCGGCTCCTTCTCATCAACCCAGTATTCTTTACCAACAACGAAGTCAACTGTCCCATATACGAGTTCTGGGTGAGCTTCATTCTGTGAACGACCCATAACAGCTGAAGACATGGCATAATAGTCATCAGTAAAAGTATTTGATTGACCGCAAAGGTTACAAATCCAGCAGCTTCCACCTCTGGTAAATTGAATGAAAGGATTGATGTAGCCTCGACATTTTTGACAACGGGCTGGGTTTGTTTGGGAGAAATCGACCACGGGGACAGGAAGCTCCTCTTCTCGCTTTTCAGCAAACGGCTGGACGATCATTCCAAGGGGAATATTCAACTGATTAAGCATGTCCGTGGTAGGCGGAATTGCGTAAGTCGTCATTTGGACAAACTTTGAGGATGAGTTACCTTGGTCATTAGAAATGAATGAAGTTGTAGGTAAGGGAGGATAGTCTTTGGACATAGAATCAACGACCTCAGTCTTTGCTTTTTGTTGATCAGCGTAACGACCTTCAGGAACCGATGGAAGGCTAACTCGATCCATTAAATTCGTGTTCTGAGTGCTCTGTGCGGGAAGACTGGGATTTACAGCATTAATTTGCCCCATCGGTGAAGGAACTGGTACAGGAGCAGCTGGTTCTGTCAGAGACATATCATATGCATGTGCGTCCCTGTGTTTTTTGTGACGCACAGCAGGGAATTGAGCTTGTTCGTTGAGATTCATATTTGCACTCATTTGTTGAGCTAAAACATCAACTTCTGGACTCGATTGACCCGTGTACGGAGGCATAACAGGTGCTCCTTGTGCACCAGTATTGCTATGTCCGCCATTTGGCAGTGTATAGGGCTGCATTGGGTTCATGGCTCTTCGTAGCTGCTCTCGGTACTATGTGACCACAGTTTAGCGGTGGGTTCAATACATCTAAAACGGTACACTTTAATGAAAAACGCGTCGCGCTTGTAAATAAACTTAAAATAACAATAATAATAATGTTTCAAATGTCTATGGACAAGGTGGTTTAGAACAATATTTTCTGCGATATGTCAGCGTTTATTAAATACCTGAAAAAGTAAAAAGCGAAAACATTATCATTGAAACTAAACTAGATAATACATGGTATTTAAAAACGATCGTATGTGGGAATTTTTTAAACAAGATAACGAGCAAACTTCCTTGACAAGGCACGTTTAACACTCAACTTTTGGGCGTTAATGAATGAGTCAATGGTAAGACGAATAGCCCGGTTAATGTGCGAATTGCGCACAAAATCGCTGAGTTCCATCTTGGCAAATGCTTCACTGAGCCGAATTGCGGATTCAAGATGACGGACGGTGATAGGATAACTGCCAGTTGCCAATGATTCCCTACGCATATCACTGTACAAGCTCGAAATAATGTCCTCATTCACTTGTTGCAGACGAGGATGTATTCTTTCGCGAGCGTAGTAAATGTATTTTCGTAACAGATTTTGTTCGATTGGTTTTACGTCCAAACCCAAGTCACTGGGTAATTTCGTCAGCACATCAATATTCGGATCGAAAAGTGGGTGAGAGCGCAAGTGACTTGAAACAACAAATTGTGCAAGTTGTTCATCAATGTCCGGATTTACAGTGTCTTTGACAACTTGAAGCACATCGAAACGTGAAAGAATGGGCTCGGTAAGCTCAACATTTTGGTTAAAAGGAACGGTTGTATTGTAGCGTCCACCGATAGGATTAGCAGCAGCGATAATGGAACAACGAGCCTGCAGGGTGGTAACGATACCAGCTTTGGAAATGGAAATACTTTGTTGTTCCATAGCCTCATGGATGGAAGTTCTGTCCTGGTCATTCATTTTGTCAAATTCGTCAATTAAGCAAACACCTTTGTCAGCCAAAACCAAGGCACCGCCTTCCAGTGTCCATTCACTCGTTACCGGATCCTTACGAACAGAGGCTGTTAAACCTACTGCACTAGCACCCTGACCCGTCGCAAAAACGGCACGATGAGCGGTTTTTTCAACGTACTTTAAGAACTGGGACTTTGCCGTACCAGGATCACCGAGTAATAAAACGTTAATATCACCACGAATTTTATGCTTTCCGTTAATGTTTTTTGGGACACCACTAAACAGAGAAGCAGCAATTGAAGTTTTAATGGCTTTGTGGCCATAGATAGAAGGTGCCATTGAAGCAACGATTCTGTCGATAATTTTTGGGTCTTTGGATAATGCGCGGATTTCACGTTCTTCCTCATCCGTTAAACGAGTCAGAGATGCTTCATCCTCCTGCCCGTTAGAACCATCAAGCTGTGAGACATAGTTGGCCTCGATGATTGTTGCGAAAACAGGGAATCCATTTTTAGTATTTAAACTTGCATCGAAGTTGTTGCGGTAAATTCCTGTAACCTCAATCTCCTCACCAGGCTTTGCACTGTCAATAAGATCAGCCAACAAAATAACCTCACGGTGTCTTGGTAAACGACCTGAGGGCACAGTACCGGGTGCTTCTTGTAACGTCAACCGTTGGTAATTATTGTACACGGTACGTTCTGAATTAATAACGAACGGGCCACGGCTAGAGCAATTATAGCAGAACGAAATTTTAACTTCAACACTCGAATCCTGGTAAAAAGGACCAAGCGTTGCACCGCACTTTGTACAATTGAAACGAATATGTTTCAACTGAGGAAACACACCTGTACGGCGAGTGACAACACCAGACACCCGAACTAAGCAGTTCAAGTGTGATTGACGCAATTCACGAAGAGTGAAACATGTTGGCAGATTGGTGATACGGACATGAATCTCGGAGTGGATGCGTTCATAATCGGGATAGTGCAGTAACGTAGCCTCCAGCGCTACCCGATCAAATATGCGAAGAACTTGAGCGGGTGCATTTGCGAGGAAATATGCAAGAACAGGTTTTGATTCACCGAGATGCGCGTAGTTAACCGGAAGTGATTCAGAGTTGACCTCACCGAGTGTGCGGATGCGGTTTCCGTAAACAGAAGTACCCTTTTCATTGGTATATTCGAGCAAAAAGTTTTTAAACTCACGTGCGATGGTTTTACGAACAGGAGCTAAAGTAACCCACTCAGCAATGGAGTCTGCCTTCACATCAGCAATAGCTTCTAACTGCAATTCTCCGTCCTCGTCCATGACTGTTGCAGTGGGTTCCAATTCATCGTACTGGCGATTACGATGTTTGAAAGGAAAGCCAAAATCCGAATTCAAATCTTCATCATCTTCCTGAAGGAAGGCAGCAGGTTTTCCTTTTCCACTAGCCTTTCCAGACTTTTGATCACGCTCATTCAGTTTCTGCTCAAGGGCTCTGCGCTCGCCAATGTCCATTGTCTCAAACTCATTTTCGTCATCCAGGTCATCAATATCATACCGATCCAATTCCAGGTTTTGAACATAATCCCTGCACGCGTGTTAGCATTCCTGGAGTTCTTATGGCTACAGATACAGCGAAACATGCTCTGAGAAAAGCTATGTATTCTAGTATTACAACTTGGAGCACGGCGAGTCACATACTTTTCCATATCTTCACCGAATAAATCTTCACCATCCTCTTCGTTTGGATCCGGTAACTCGTCATCTAACTCGCCGATTTCCTCCTCCACGACGGCCTCCTCTGCTTCTTCATCAGAAAACTCTGGAGGAGGAGATGAAGGCGGCAAGGGAGTTGGGGTATTTGCAGCGGAAATTCCGTCTGAAGGTTCGTCAAGACCTTCAGAGTCGCGTCTTCCGCGTTTCCTGAAAGAATCCATCGCCTAATGCGTTTTTTTTTACTGCCCCAGTACGTGTAAGGTTCGTGGTGGATTTACTTAGACGCGTCAACGAAAAGCACAAGAAAAATAATATAATGAATAGAAAGACAGAGGGATTGGTGAAGATCATGTGTAGCTTCGTACTTATTTACATAAAAAATTTTACTTTTTCGATTTTTTGGCAGTAATTATTCAAGAAAAAACAAATAAATTAAATTAAATGGAACAGAAATAAACTGAAACAACAGAAAATCAGTAGCACAATCAAGCAAAGTTTTTGATACTCAGTAGCGGTAAAATACAATTCTCTGACTTTATTTGTTATTCTAAATTGTTTTTCTCTCCGGTTTGTTACCTACGGTGAGGTAACAGTGCATGAATGGCGACGCGACGCGATTTTAATTAAATTGCAGGCTGGCTTCAACGCTACCTATAACCAACAACTGAAATTCTTTTTAATTGAAAGTGTGCAATCATTGCATTTTTTTTGGAACATGGAGGAGGAAAAAGATGGAATTACTGTTGAGCGTTACTTAAAAGAACAGCGTGAACTTGAACGGCAAGCACGCCTAGCGATGCCTTACAATTTTGACAAATGTACGTATGATATGGGATATATCAAACAACCACTCTATGCGTGCTTGACATGCAAACAAAACGGAACACAAAATGCCGTCTGTTACAGCTGTAGCATTTGTTGTCACAGTACACATGAACTTGTAGAGCTATTCGATAAACGTAACTTCACGTGCGACTGTGGAACAGAACGGATGGGACAAGGTGCAGTTTGCACATTGAGAAAAGCCTCATCAACTGCTGCTCCCGATAACCAGTACAATCATAATTTTGAGGGTCATTTTTGTACATGTGATAAATTTTACGACCCAACAAAAGAGGAGGGAACTATGTACCAATGCTTAATTTGCGAAGACTGGTTCCATGAAGAATGTATCGCTGCAAGCTGTATTTTTCCGGATCCCGATTCGTTTGAACTTTTTCTTTGTCAATCGTGTGTCAAGGCGAACCTTAAATATCTTTTTCATGAAGTCTCTGAGTACGAAGGTGGACCAGTATTCCTTCCAGAAGATTTCTATGGCACTCTCTGTCAATGTGAACGCTGTCTTCCCGCACGGCAAAAGGATATGCCCATGTTGGCTGCTGAAGAAGACATTTACAAGCCACCTGAAGATGAAGAGCTTCCTGACGAAGACAGTGATGAAGAACAAGTTGATACAGAAACTGTTGACAGCATCGTTACACAAACTATGGACGAAACCATGAAGCTCATTGACAAATTACCTCGCGTTCAAGCCATTGAAGGCGTCCACGCTTATGCAGCATTGAAAGATGATCTCCTAAGCTTTCTCAAACCCTTTGCCTCCAGTAACAAAGTTGTTACGAAGGAGGATGTTGCTTCCTTTTTCGCTGAACGCATGCGAGACAGAAGCAAGTAAAACAAAAAATACGAAACTCAGACGGAATATCTGCCTCAAAACTATTTCTATACTTTTATTACTATTTATTTCAAGAAACTGTTCTCAATGGTTCTTGGTGAATGTTTCTGTTTTGATCACATGGGTTCGCGCCCGACCAACCCACCTACCACGCGACACAAAATTCCCATTAATTGGCCTTTACAAGAGGCATTTTCTGCTCAGAAATAATGAAAAGAAAGGCAGAAGAACAAGAAGGCTTCGTTTTTGTGCGAAAACGTAGGGAAACTGTTGCTGTTACGTCAAAAGAAAGTGAGTCAATAAAAATCGCTTCTCAAACACCTAATGGTGCCAAAGAACAAAAAAATGAAGAAGTAATTATTGCTCTACCAGAAAATGACACTCCTGTGATTGCAAAAAACCAAAAACTTCGCAAAGCGAGTGAGCGACGGAGCAGCTTGAGCCAACGTGGAAAACGTGCCAGCAGCATTGGCCTCGGTTTCGAAGCCTTACCACATGCAGATGTTCCTACCTCAGAGTATCATCGACACATATCCGCTGACCTATCTGAACCGTTGCGGATGAAGCAATTGATCATCTGGAGCGGTTCCAATTCCTTAGATGAGCAACGACGCAACTACGCAGAGACAAAAGAATCCAGCGAGGCAGCAATTGCACGCTCCATTGTACGAGAAGTCTTAAACGACCTAGTTGCGGGAAAATTTGACGTCAGTTGGTACCAACGGCCACCCGGCTCAGTCATTCCAACGAAACCCCATCCTCAGAACATTCGTAATCATCAGCTTGTGGACGAATTGAGCGTCAAATTAAAAAAACTAAAGGAGGAGGAAGCTGCTTGGAGGGCTATCTTTAGCTCGTCCGCCAATTCCTCTATGTTCGCTTTGCCGGAGACGAAAAGTGTCCAGAACAATGCCGACAACGGCGACGCGATTGAGGATGAAGTGTCTTCAAGCAATCAGTACGCCTCTCAAATGAATGAGCGACTAAATGAAGTGGAAGAACGAGCAATGATTGCCGTAGACACGCTTTCCAGCCAAGTTCACACTATTCAATCGCTGACTCAATTGGGTCGCCAGTATGGTGAAAATGTTATGAACAAAATGGCGCGGCAATACGCGAATCATCTTACAGAAGTACAGAGCCTAAGAAGTCAAACAGACGACGCTAGCATTTTACGAAGCATATCTCGCATCGAGAACGAGTAAAAAATTTTCATTTTTTTTAAACAACGCAAGCGAGCTACACCTGATATTACGTTTACATACTCCCATGAAATAATACGTATCGTACGTGTTGGTGTGCAACTGTGTCCATTTTATTGCTTTTCCAATCAATTTTTCTTGGGGCCCTATTCTGTTGGAGTTGTCAGAGTAAAAGTCCCTTAGAATACTTTGACGCGAGCCAAACTTACATGATGAGCAAAACCTCCCCAACTAAAACCCAAAGACAACCCGGTGCATATGCTGCACCCATAGCCGGTGTGCTATCGGGCATGACAAAGCTTTTTGCGGTCATCCCATGGACACTGTGAAGGTTCGTCTTCAAGTTAATCCTGAGCGCTTCAACGGATTGTTTCGTTGCATCAAAGAAACATGGGTTAAGGAGGGAATCAAAGGTTATTACAAGGGTGCCACTCCCCCATTAGTTGGATGGACAATGATGGATGCGGTCATGCTCGGCTCCCTGACGCAGTATCGCCGGTTGTTGAGAAAGACGACGCCGAATGGTGTCCTGCATTTGAGAGAACATGCTCTTGCGGGTCTTGGAGCCGGATTTACAGTTTCTTTGGTTGCTGCTCCTGTAGAACTGCTTAAGGCGCGCTTGCAAGTCCAATACTCCGCTGCCCAAAGATTGTATACAGGCCCTTTGGACTGTATACGTAAAACAGTCGGTCAGCACGGTGTTACAGGGCTGTGGCATGCGCTTCCTGCAACGTTGATTCAACGATCTTTCTTCTCTGTGTACTGGGGTACATATTATTTGACAACTGTAGCTCTTCGCAAGCTCTCAAACAACAAGTTGAGTGACTCTAGTCTCTCATTCTGGGGAGGTGGAGTGGCTTCCCAAGCATACTGGATTTGTTCGTTTCCCTTAGATGTGGTAAAGCAACGTATCATGACTGACGTTAACTACAACTTCAAATCCTGGTTCCAGGCGTTCCGCGACGTTTACCGCAAGCTAGGACTGCGTGGTTATTACAATGGTTTCGTTCCCTGTTTGTTGCGTGCCTTCCCAACAAACGCTTCTGCTGTCCTTGTTTTTGACACTACAATGCGTGTATTCGGCAAAATTGCTGCCAGAAAGGCTGAAGAACAGCAGTAAGGAAAATACAAACGTGTTGCTGGTTTAAGTGCTAGTGTTACAGTCTCTGCAACCGTCGCTGCGCTTTTTCATTTAAAATCAAAACATTCTTTTGTTATTTAACAACTACGTGATTGGCTCTGTCACTTTGTTCAATTTGTCACACCCATTTTTGTTTTTCACATCACCATTGGCATCTGACATCGTTCCGACTGATACCACTTGGCATACCACCTCCGAATACTAGCTTTATCTGCTATTGAACAATTTAAGATACCTTTAACGAATTTTCCTACTTTCCCATATTTAGAATCCCTGTACTCTTTGCCGCCTTCTCCGCGTTTAATAACTATCATTGCTTAAATGCTCATATGCAGATCTAGTGACTAGAAAACTGCATCTCTACCTTTTCGCGACAATGTTTTACACATGGACCGCACACAGCAAGAATACCCTTTACTTCAGCAGAACAAATATAAGCGAGAGCACTCAATCTGGGTGTTACTGAAGAGAACGACACATACAGTGGACGAAGCTAGCATGATGGTACCCAGACAATTCTTATAAAATTTTTAACAATTGCGAAACATGGTCATTCTCTGCGGCCTGCTCATTAAAAATGGAACAGAGGTGGAATGGGGGAGAGCACTAGACAAAAGCTGTAGCAAAAGAGATATCGACCTTGACTAGTGGAATGGGTTAAAGACTTCTCGAAACAACCAAACAACGGCGCAACCGCTGTCAGTACGTTTACAAGCATTACCTTTATAACCCACATCATAGTTCTCCCGAGTTCTACCTCAATATTAGGAGGATAAAAGGTAAAAGGTTCTTGCACCTGGCATTCACCTGTACCAAGAGAACGTCCCTTTCAGTTCGCAAGATCCAAGACGACCAGTCTCATTAGATCTATATGGATGGATAACACTGGAAGTAGGGAAAGAAGTAGCAGAAGGGATTATGTTGTGCTAGAACGGAGGAGGAAGAAGAGAGTTTGAGAAGGAAGAGTTCAAAGAAAAAAGTGCACAGTGAAATAGAAAACGTTGATAAAAATCATAGGAAAGAAAGTAGTAAATGTTTGGAATTGTACAGCCGCACCTGGCCATAAATAGACGAGCCGGCAATGAAGGAAGGAGCAGAACACCTACTCATGGGAGACATAACAGTGGTTTTGTCGTGCACATTGAGAAACATGCTCGTACTCCTTTGTCGCTGTTCGTCATGATTATCGTCTGCCAATTGTTTGGAAGACGAAGTTCAAGAGGCCGCCTATACAATGGCAGCCTTGGACTTCTTACGAATATCTGCTCCGTAGAAGTAGAAGATAAACGGAATTGGAATGACACCAACGGCAATCATACCCAACAAGAAGAAAGCCCATTCACGACCCATACCGTCCATCAAATAATCCATAAACATAGGGAATGCTGCACCACCAGCTGAACGGACCATAGTCTTGGCGGCCAATGCAGATGCACAGAAGCGTTGATACACATCAATAAGGTAGTTGTTTGCACTGAAGTAAAACAGCACCATACCGTAACCGAAAGGTGCACCACTAAAGGCAGGACCAATCCAAATCAATTGCGGATAACTTGTCCAGCCGAAAATTAGCAAACCCAAAGGAATAAAGGGTGCTGCAATCAGCATACCAATCAAACGCCATTCGGGGATTGACTTGCCATTGTTAGCATCCAACTTTGCCATATACTGCTTTTCAATAAACGGGGTTGTAAGCAAAGCAAAGAAGACACCGACCAGAACAGGAATGAACATGAGACCGGTAATACCTTCATTGAGACCCTTACCCTTAACGAAAACGTTGGGATAGGCAAAGAAATAACCATACAGCAGAGCGTACACAAGAGCAATGTACAGACTGATAGACAACAAAATGGGCTCCGTAGCCAAAAGCGAAAGAGGACGCAACAAGTTGACTTGTATAATTTCTCTCAAAGTCATCATTTGTTTCTCTTGAGCAGTGTACACCTTGCGGCCCGTTTCCTTACGGATACGCTGAGCACGCCAGCGAAGCAAGACAGGAGCATACGTCTCGGGAATAGGAAGGTTAAGCAAGTACATGACGAACATATAAATCATGTTCACCCAGAAAATCCAACGGAAATCCTTCGTGCAAACACCAATCCAACCACCGACCAAAGGACCAATAGTGGGACCTGCATAGGGACCGGCAGCAAAGAAAGCAATGGCCAAACCACGATCACGAGTCTCCCAAATATCGGACAAGACACCACCTGCCAACGTTAAAGGAGCACAGCCAAACAGACCACTGATGAAACGGCAGACCAGAAGACAAGCAATGTTGGGAGCAAGAGCACAGGGAATCTGGAACACAATGTAAATGGCGAGGGCAACAAGATACACGATACGGCGACCGATCATTTCACTCAATGGACTGATGACAAGAGGACCGACACCGAAACCGAGCACAGTCAACGAACAAGCAAGATTGGCAACCTCAGGGCCGACATGAAGGTCTCGACTCACGTCCTCCAAGTCACCAGCAATAACAGACGAACCGAAAGCACTACAAACAACAAGAAGAGAGTTGACGAGAGTGATATACCATTTCCACCCCTTGGACCAGTTGTGAGGGTTCTCGGGATCATTGAGTGTCCAGGTTACGAGCTCTTCGTCCTCTTCATTAATTGTAGGATCTCGATACAAACCCTCTTGGGTTTCGAGATTGTATTCAGCGACATCGGGAGCACCACGAGTAGTTGTAAATGGATAATTCAAATCAACACCGTTGGGGAATAGTGTCTCAGATTGACGAGAGGTTGTCCGGTTCAAAGGATTGCCTTGCATGTCAAGCATACGGGAAGGCGTCATCTCAATAGGAGCCATTCCATATTCATCAACGGCCGAGCGAGACGAATGTGTCGAACTCGAACCGTCATGATATCTACTAGCCTTTTCGTTCTCCATGACGAGCAGTAGTTGTAATGAAGTACAAATTTATTGCACTTGCAGCAGTTTTGTTGTTGTATTTGGTATTCCTTGCTGATAAAGAACAGAAATTCTGGTGATCCGGTTCCAAAAGAGCAAATACGGGATATAAAAGATAGATGTGCCTTAATTACTTCTTTAGTGATTCAAAGCTTTGCAATAGACGCGTTTTTGAGACAAATATTTGTTCAGAAAACACACAATTGATAAAAACACGGGCAATAACGCGTAGCCGATAGTTTAAAAATTAAGGTTAATAAAACGCGTGAACCGTTCTAAACCAAAATGCAAAATAACGAGAAAAACAAGAAAAAGAGATAACGCTCCACTTAATAAACGCGTAATTAGCAGTAAAATTATTTTTTTGGAGGCGTTCTTAATCAATTCGTCGTAAAAGACAAAATAGGTTCGAAATCCGTTTTCGAGTATCAGCGACTTGAAGTCTGTTCACAAAGACAGACAATTGCGCCTATGAGGTTGAATTAACGTACAAACAAACGGGGATCCGCTGTTATTCACCGAGTTGCAGTAGCAGACACGCGCAGAAGTTGGAATGCTGCACTGGAAAACACAGACTTATATACCAGTTGGGTGTGGGGGTCAGTGCTCAAAGAAAGAATTACCACAAAGACGATGTCTTCGGTGTACAAAAGGCTTGCGGGAAGGCAGGGGAACCTGGCACTTAAGTACTCGAGCGCTTTCGTCTTTCATTGCCGCGTTGCGAAAAGTCAATTGCCGTCCGGGCGTGACCCCGCGTTTTCTTACGCTTCTCGAGACGCAATACTCGGCAAAGTCTCCAAGTTTCTCGACATGCCGAAGAATGACGTCACCCAACTGCCGAGAACGGTTGTGCCGATGCTTCTAGGAGCGGACGGGCGCGCGCGAACGCGCAGCTGTGGAGATGGGGGAAAGACGGGTACGGCATTTTTTTAAGTTTTGCGACAAAACTTCGCTTGAACAAGGATCGTGTTTCGTTGCGTACTCTTCAGTTGACACGTCCATTTCGCTGTAAACTCGCGTGTCTGAGACACATTTTCAGGGACTCTGGAGAAACGGGATCCCTTGGGGCGCTATCAAATAAACTTCCGGCTTCGAGACGAGCCCCGATTCTCGTATCGAAAAGATTGTCGCACGCAAGGTCCAGATTAAGAGTCAACTACAAAACGCCTGCGTCAGTAGATTAATTAAAATCGAGCGGCAGAACCTAGCATGGGCATGCATAGATACAGCTACTGTGTGTATGCATGTGCGTCCTCGTCGCTTTCTACGTCTTCAGTTCTCCTCCTATCGATCCATGGATGCATTTCAAACTAAATTATCAATGCCGGCTGCATCTACCGAACTCATCGCAAATCCTTCGTCGGTCGGTTACGTCTCACCACACTGACGGAGACTCAGCCAATAGTCGTCCTTCTTTTTTCCCGGCTTGGCATGTGTTTGCCGAATAATCACTACCCTTGCCGAAGCGGCACACGCCTCTTTTAAGCTCAAGGACGCCATCGGCAATGGGGGACAATAGGGGCTGTGTAGTAGTCCGTTAAATTGTTTAATGTAGTACAGTGCAGTCTTGCGTGCTGCGGTAAATAATTTATGTAGTTCGTCGAATCGCGCTATCTGAAATAGTGTTTCTCTCCGAGTCACAATAACAATTACCGTATTGTGTTGCTCTTCGGTTCGTCTATCTCCTCGGCTATGACCCCGCCCTCGCCACTGTCGATCATGAGGGTTCGGGGTAGCGATCCCTGAAGTCACGAGCGGAGTTGCGGCCACTCTTTGTTTAGAGCGTGAACAGAGTTTGTGGAAGCTTACGCGTCGACCCTGTCTCCATTTGCCAACACCACCGCCGACGCCAACACACACAGAAAAACTCAAAATTGTTGCTGCGTTTTGCTAGAATTCGAATTATACGGCAGTTTCAAAGAACTTTAAAAGAGTTTTTACGGGTTTTACTTTTTTCGCCGTCTTTCTAGCTGTTTCTTTCGGGTTTTTAGCAGTTTTCTCATTTTTCGACACCTGTTCCCAAGTTTTCTGAGAGCGTCGGCTGTGTAAGCGCTCCTACACAAGTTGTTTGTGTTTTCTTTGAGGATTTTCTTCTCAATTCGCGTTTCTTGTGTTCTTTTTGGGTAATACACACAAACGACGGAGCATTTCTCGTAGCTGTTCTCTTTCGGGCTTTCCACGGTGTACATCGTATTCACAAGCAACACACATACAGCCAGGTGAACGCGACACTGCCCGTTCTCCTCTCTGTCCTGTTTTTTTGCACAATTAGATTCGAACAGATCGCGTGTGTTTCGAAACACGCACGAGTACGGCCTCTGTCTTTCTCTCTCTCACTCTCTTTCTTTGACACATATCTCCTGTTTCATCCTCTTCGGCTTTCACAGCAAACATCTGCGTTCCTCTGTTCCGCTGATTATTGCTGATTTATTTCTTCGCTTCTCGAAACCTTATATATATACATATATATACTCACAGACATATATCACACAGCGTTTTATTGCTCACCCAATGAGTGAAAATGAACTACTCTGAGTCCGATTTATTAACACACAAGTTTAATACGCTCGGTTTGTCGGAAACGCAAGACTCGTCGTCAACTTCTACTTCGTCTTCTAGTGACGAGATTCTTGAGAAGGAGACTTCTCCGTATGCTGCTTCGCACGAAGCTAATCCTCTTCCATCTGTTGATGAGTTGTCCACATCGCCGACATCGGTACGGCCTCACGTTACCACACGGCGCACCTCGTCGTACAAAACAAAGGACTTGCCCAATGCTATTCCAAGTGTACGTATAGGTCGTTCCTCGTCACAACGCTTGCAACAGCTTCATGGAGGTGGCAGCGTGCATGCAATAAATCATGGCAACGCGGGTCTGTCTTCCAGATCGCCGCCTGACTACAATGGTCGTCCTACGTCTTCTGTTCCACCTTCATCTAATTCTCTCGCTACGTCCCCTACCTCTTCATCTTCTTTTCGCCTCTCTGGCTCCTTATCCACCGGTCTTCAGGAAAAACTGAGGGCCTTTCATGCTTCTCGTTCTCGTTCCCTCCCTGATACTAGTATGGATACCGCCTCTGTGTTTAGTCCTTCTTTATCGCCTAACGTTCCGCCGCTTTTGTCTCAACCTCCCAGGATTACTTCTTCCTCGAGCGTGCCTGCTTTGGACACCAGTCGGTTTTCCAATGCTCCCGGTGTCGTAACTGCACCAGAAACAACGTTGGCTCGCTCCATAGCAGCCGCACGAAATCCTGCGCAGCGCAATACCCAACCCTCTAATATTTCCGCTCCACGTCCTGGTACCATGAGACGTCGAGGACCGCCGGGTCGTTTAGACTTGTCGACTCCGAACAATCCAGTTGCTATGCCCTCTAAAAGTATGGCAGCTCGTCGTGGCATCAAGCTTTCCAACGTACCAACGCCGCGTGCACCCAACGAAACACCTTTTTCCGCCTTTTCCGATATCCTTGATGCCAAATCTGGAAGCCTCAACTTTAAAAACAAAGCAATTTTGAACTCTGAAGGTGTTAACTTTTCTTCTGGCTCTTCCTTTAAGATTAACATGTCTGAATTAATCAAGTTGGATGAACTGGGCAAAGGAAATTACGGTGTTGTCTACAAGGTTCTGCACCGGCCAACGGGGGTAAAAATGGCACTAAAAGAAATCCGTCTCTCCCTTGACGAAGCTACTTTCAACCAGATCATTATGGAGCTTGACATTTTACACAAGGCAACGAGTCCATACATTGTTGAGTTTTACGGTGCATTTTTTGTTGAAGGGTCCGTTTTCATTTGTATGGAATTCATGGACGCTGGAAGTATGGACAAATTATACACAGGTGGTATCGAAGACGAGGGTGTGCTTGCTCGAATCACGTATGCTATTGTTCAGGGCCTCAAAACCTTGAAAGAAGAGCAAAACATTATTCACCGTGACGTGAAGCCTACAAACGTACTCATGAATACGGCTGGTCAAGTGAAGCTCTGTGACTTTGGTGTCAGTGGGAACCTTGTTGCTTCAATATCAAAAACCAATATTGGCTGTCAATCATACATGGCACCCGAGCGCATTCGTGCTGAGAATGCTGGACAGTTAACATATACGGTACAAGCAGACATTTGGTCGTTGGGTTTAAGTATTTTGGAAATGGCTAAGGGAGCCTATCCATATCCCCCAGACACCTTTAATTCTATATTTGCCCAGTTGTCAGCCATATGCGACGGAGAACCGCCGTCGCTGCCTGCTGATAAGTATTCACCAGAAGCGATTGACTTCGTGAAACGGTGTCTGAACAAGGATCCATCTCGCCGTCCAAGTTACGCTCAATTGGCGATTCATCCTTGGCTTGAAAAGTATCAAAAAGTACCCGTTGATATGGCTGCTTGGGTAAAGGGTGCTATGGAGCGTAGGAATAGTGCGTCTGGAAAAGCAGACACATTCAAGCCTCCATTGCACAAGTTTACCATGGATGAAAAGAAGAATACGGGACTACTGTAATGAAAGTTTTTATTTAACGGGAACGGTTTTTTTTCTCATCACCAATCTTGTATTGGCGCATTTTCTCGCATACCTAATAGCGGTGACAGGAAGACGTTTCCGCTTGTGGTTCGCTTGTATTGCTTTCCTAATCAAATATTTGTTAATGGCAAGCTGCTCGGTTTTTTTTGAAATTCTGTTTAATGAAAGGTGCCTTTTTTCGGTCTCTTCTCCTTGTTTTACTTTGGACAATGTATATGTCCTTAGTAGTAGACTTGTTGGTTTCCTTCTTTACTATACACACTTTCGTTCCTCTTTTCTCCAACTCTACCTAACCCGTTTTACAAGTCCTGAATTGATTTCGATTTTGGTGTACAGAATGTAAATAATGTGGCATACATTTAATTATTTAAATGAGTGAGTGGGCTATGGTTTTACCTGTGACATAAGGGAGCGGCTAGTAACAGGCCAGTAACTATTTTGAACAAGTGCGATATATCTGTTCTCCTTTTCGTCCTTGTGTCGAGATTAAGCATTACGCTTTTCGAGTTGGTTTTGTGTGTGAGATTGTATGCGCTGCTGAAGTGTTTCATTCCATGTTCCTTTATCAATCTGGTCCTTTACCGAAAGCTTTAAGAGTTCGAGAAACATGCCGACAAAGTTGTGCTTCCGTAACTGGTTCTCACGTTTCCATCTTGCTCTTTTTTCTTCTTCGACTGCAAGGATAGCAGTTTTCTCTGTGTCTGAGAGACTAGGGTCTTGTTGAATGATGCGTCTCCGATCAGGGGAAAGAACCATGAGGTTGAAACGAATTTCGTTGGGTGGGTATTTTGCAATTCGTGATTGTATAACGGGGACAACCCGGCTTGCGAAAAGTGGTTTTTCGCACTTTCCATGGCAAATGGGTGCTGGTTGAAGACCATCCAATTCGTAGAGTTTATCATTAATGAGGGTGTATGCGATGAAATGGTAAACGTCGTCATCGTCTGTCGCCGGACGGCTTTCATCACTGATAAACGGATCTGCGCGAGCAAATGAGTTGTGAACGCAACGGATCAACTCTGAATTGCCTAGAGCCTCACCCTTCAAGTCCGCTGGCAGTTCCTTTGTGAAGTCGTAAAATTCGCGTAAATCATTTCCTATATCAATTTCGTTTGTGTGGTTTAACAGGATGGACATTAACGCTTGTGTAGCACAAGCATTGGAGATGATTTGTTGCGGGAAGTACAATTCATCCAAGGACGCATAGTCCAGTTCTCCATCAAAGTTGTCAGCTTGTTTCTTCCACTTGAACAGAAAAATGATGCCGTATATTTTCCTATTACGATTAGTATTGTTGAACTGAGAAGGTATCGCTTTTTGCCATATTTTTTTCTTTTTTTCTTTCTTTTTCTTTTATTCTATTTCTCCCTTCTATGAAATAAATATAACTGTTTTAACACAATGTTTCACTTACTGAAATTGCTGTAACGTTTCCACATCCAAACAGTAAAGTTCATCAACTTGCACGTCTTTAACGCCCAAGTTCTCTATAAGATCGGTAAACACGCCTGCATCAGACTCTAGTGTTGACCAACTCATGATTGCTGTGGTTCAAATGATTGTACTGGAAAAATAGAGATTGGGGCGGAACGGGTGTTGACGCTTATAATAGAAGTTTTGATGCGCTGGTGGTAGGAAAAGTTGAGTTCGTTTTGCTCAATAATACTTTCGTAAACACCTTGAATCGTGTGGGAATGGACGTAGAACTTAAAGTTTTATTTTTTGCGTTGGTATTGATTCTGTATGGTACGCTTTATTATCGTAGCTTAGTAATCTATGGATGTGAGATGAAAGAGGTTTAATAAGAAGATCTACGACTGTTCGCAAAATGATGGATGATTTTTTTTTGAAGGTACAATTAGAATTCGATTTGTTAGTCTTGAATTTAGTTATGTTGAATATATATGTTGCTATAACCAGAACGAAGCATTTGTAAGGCAACGAAACAGTAAGAACTATGTATGCGGTAAACTAAATTAAGAACGAAACTTAAAGGGAGATACACATTACTATTGAGAGCGACGTTAGTATTCTTTTTAAAAACAATGATCATGTTCGTGGATTCTATGCCGCGATTATTTATTACGTGAACAAAAAGAGCTTCATCGGTAATGAACAAACCCCCCTATGGACTTGTTAACAAAGACTAGCCTGTACTGTGGATATAAAGATATAATTATGAACAGACTATAAACATACTCACTGAAAGAACACTTCAAATGTACAATTAGTAGAAACTTTTAGAACGCCCCTTTATTGAGGGGTTTCATCTAAATTTGGCTGATTTCCTATTTGCGAGTTTCTGATAGAAGGATTCATATGGTTGCTATTATATACATACAGAAAGATGAGCATGTATAATAAACAATTTTAATTTTGAGTAACAAAATTACATACTCCCTCTAATGATATTGCCGAACTGAATCAATAAATTACATTATAAAAGTTTGATCCTTATCTCGCTGAAAGGAGACGGATTAATAATAATCCGTTATTTGTTTAAGTATAAGGATGAAACATGAAGTATTAGTCCGATCCGTTGTCTCCTGGACTTCTTAAGATTTCAAATATTTGTTTCTATTGTGCACTTTTAAATAGCTGCAATTATGTTCCAATTATTATGTTCAAATAAAATTGGATTGAAAGATTTCTTCATCATTTATCGTGTCTTTTTAAGTACCGTATATTCAATCAAACAAAAAAAAAAAAAAACTTAAATTGAATTAAAAAAAAAAAAATAAAAAAAAGTCACTCATTCGTAAGACAAGTAGCATTTACATCATTCACTGGAAAAAGCGAACGTTAGCTCCTCTTTTCCTATTATGATAAATCACCTCCTCATTTTTCTATTCATCTAGAGAGCCACCGAAAGCTTATGTCCGACCCGCACCATAAAATGCACTAGTCAACAACGCTATCTATTGAAACTAATATTAACAGAATTTTAACAATTCCTTTAGCATAACCACAACTTATTAAATGTAAAATCATATAAAAGTGTGCTGAAGTGCTTTGTTTTTTAGATTTCCCGTTCATTCTTCTGCAATTGAATTTAATGTCATTTGTCATTAGCTTCTTAGAGGGACTATTGGCATAAAGCCAGTGAAAGATTGCCATTTAATCGGTAGTAGCGACGGACGGTGTGTACAAGGGACAGGGTTTTTATTAATACCTTTTTTATTAACAAATCAAACTAACTGTGTAACTTTACCACTTTTACTTATAGTGCTGTTTTCTAAATTTTTCAAGAAAGTCACTATGTCCGAGCGGTTAAGGAGTTAGACTTGAACTCGTTCAGGCATCTAATGGGCTATGCCCGCGCAGGTTCAAGTCCTGCTGGTGACGGTCTGTGCGAGGTAGGAGAGTGGAACTCCGACGGGCTCATAACCCGTAGGTCCCAGGATCGAAACCTGGCCTCGCAACTTTTTACTCCAACGCAGCTAAGATACTAATGGTCTTAGTAAGTTAACATCTTTATTCGCTTAACTTCTACATATCATTCAATGGACATATGACACTGTTCCTCGATGTGATGAACATAATTGTGTTTGCAGCATTACATCTTCGCGTAATTACTTTCCTTGTGAATTGTGTTTTCTTCTATTATTTTTCACCATCTCGCTTAAATTGTAAGCTTAATTAGTTTCGCCGTAAGCGAAGCCGCAGATCACCCTGACGGTAAATTTTCAACAACGGTAAACGATTTAGTTGACAAACTGACGCTTTTAATCGTCATCCGTAACAAATATTGCTCAATTCTAATTTCAATTTACCCTAAATAATCATGTGTTAACCGCTTTTTTAGAGCTCCTAGACCCATCGATCGACGCTGATCGACACTGATCTTCAATTTTCGGCGAAATTATACGACGATCAGTGCCGCCCCCTTCTGTTGTGATGAAGATCATGTCGATTTGTGACTGCTATTTACGCGCAATGAATGAGTTTTAACACCCACACCAAAACTTCTACTCCGAGCAATTAACAAAACAAGATGGTGGTATGTAGATTTGTTATGCTGGATTTGCATTAACGCGTGCAGTTGACAGTCGATCTCTTGAACCCCAGTCACGAATCTGAGTTGCGCAAGCACAAGCTCAAACAGCTCGTCCAAAGCCCTCGTAGCTTCTTCATGGTAAGTAATTCTCTTTCTCCTTCAATTAGAGCAATTGTAAATTCGTACGAGAACTAAAGCATTGCTGACATGTTGTAGGACGTGAAGTGCCCTGGCTGCTTCAACATTACCACGGTTTTCTCCCATGCTCAAACCGTCGTCATCTGCGGATCCTGTGCGACGGTCCTTTGCCAACCCACCGGTGGCAAGGCTCGTCTCATGGAAGGTTGCTCCTTCAGAAGAAAGAACTAGATTGCTGCTCCAAAAGCCTGCTGGCATCGGTTCTTCATAGCATCAATCTATCATCGAGAGGTGCTGTGAAATCGAGAAGAGGTGGTGGAAATGTGGGGGTTTACGTAGGAAGGGAGAGCGAAGTAAGGTTGGTAGGGGCTCGGTGGATGGTATTTGTAGTGGGATGTGTGAGAGCCCCCACATAGAGGGCTTCTATTATCGACAGTACCCAAGGAAGCACGCACACTCTCCCACTCTCATGTCGCTGGATGAGGGCTATTACATGGCTTGGTGAGTCTCGCCGAGAATGGCAAAAACGTTCGTGGGCGCACATCAATCAAAAATATGACAGTACGGAGCGTGTTGTGCTGTCTGGTTGTGAATTCGGCGAACTTTCGGTGATTGAAGGACCGAGCTGCTCGGGGAAAACTGAGCTGCTGTACCATTTGTGTGTGAATGCATTGACGCGTCGCGACGCGTCAATGCGTCCGCAGATAATTTACGTTATCTCAAGCGAATGGGACTGGGATGACGAAAGGTTGTGCATGTTGCTGCAGGAACGAATCAAAAAGAACTGTCAGAAAACTCAGACTATGCAAAAGACAGACGTTCAATCACTTGTTGGTACACGTGTCATCGTTCGTCGACCTACAACTTTTGACGAGCTCTTGGAATGTGTACCAACGGTTGATGAATTTCTTCACCAATTCACCCAACGCGATGCGTCGGTCGCCTACGTCATGCTCGATGGACTTTCGAGTTTCTACTGGGACCTTCGCTTGTGTCCGGGATACACCAAACAGCTCGCCATGTTGCAGCAGCGACTATCTCAACTATCACTTGCTCTTGGGTGCCCGGTGGTTTGTACCAATTGGTTCCTTGGTGGGAAACCGCATCTCCGAACATTACGGTATCGTTCCGTGAACTTAGAACGACGAACAAACGGCCATGTTGTTGCTGAATGCCGTGCTTCTGCTCGTCGCTGTACATTTACTCTCAGCGAATCAGGTATCATGCTCGACGATAACGACGCATAAATAGCTCACAGCAAACAACTAAGATATCGTTTGTCGGTTCCGGATTAAGCGAATCTCATTTTCAAGTTCGTTTGTCTTCTTGTATGCTCACTTGCGATTTACCGACTGTACCCCATGATTGCTTATTATTTGCTGACTGTCGTTTGATAAATACCATTTTAATCATGTGTATATTTAATTTCCGCTTTCTCACCCCGCTAGAGCATTAGCTTTTTCAGTAACGAGTATGACATCACTATTAGATAATTCCACGGACTCGCTATCTTAAAAGCTAATCTTTAATTAAAGTACTGTGATTTGCTCGCTTCGGAGTTTTACGGACCCATATTTTTGTATTCGCGTGGAGATTCACATGGATGGAGTGGGTTTATGAGGCAAAAGAGGTCATTTTTTGAGGGTCTCGTAAGGGAATCGGCAATTGTACTTTCTTCTGCAGATTCCCTTGATGGCAGTATGCGGGGAAGGAGCCCAGGATCTTGCTGCCTGCTTGCAGCTATTGACTAAGCAAATTTCTCGGAACCCTCAGACATTGCGTTTTTATCGCTCATTCTTTGGATGTGAGGTTTCGTCTCAATTCTATCTCTGACGTCGTTAGAGACCATGTGATAGCTTTAGCGCTTTGTCTGCAGCTCTTGCTTCTGCATGTTTACATAGATACGTAATGCCAATCCCTCTGTATCTGTTTCGAATGCCGTGTTCTCCAACATCCCTGTGAACACTGAGTTGGGGTTATGACGAAGGGCTCAATGACCTAATCACTTACATTACCGAACTCAAAGTGCTAGAAGGTTGCATGCCTGCGACATCGCCAAGCGACATACTGCATGGCCGTCATGTGCATCTCTGCGTTTTTCTTGATTAACAATTGCTCTCTCTGACGTTTTACTGCCTCATATCTTCCAACTTTTGCTGTCGCAATGCCGTTTATGCCCTCCCTGCGTCTTTTTCGTTCACTTTTGCACACGTCTTGCACCCGTATGAGCACATTCCTTTACGTCATAAACTTGCTGATGATTGGTTTATTGCGCATTTTCCGTCGGCATTTTCGGCTCATGTCGTCATGTTTATTACGTCATCGAAACCTTAGAAAGATATTAAAAATGCAAGACTGCCTGTCTCCTTTTCAGCGTTAACCATTCTAATTGGGCTTTTGAAAACGAGCAAAGAACTTCATCTCGTCTTCCTTCACTTTCTGTTTCACTAATCTTTCTTTCCCTTCGGAAATAATTTCACATAAAGCTTCGCAATGGTAAAACAATACGGACTTTACACCTGGCTGATGCGCCCAGCCCAGCTCATCACTGCTTCAATTGTACTGGGTCTGTCAGCAGCATTGGTCGATCAGCAAACCACTGGTGGTTCTCCTCCCAGAATTAACTTTGCTGTCGCAGTTGGTTGTATTAGTATTATTTGTTTCTTCATTACTGCCTTTGGTGTCTTCCTCCCCAACATCTTGGGTCATCCTTGGTTCATTTCCGCTCTCGACTTCATTAACATGATTCTTTGTTTGGCCGGTGGTGTTGCTCTCGCAGTTGCTATTCGTGTGCACGCCTGTAACAACCAACCATACTTGGATGCCAACAGATACACTCAAGGTTCTGGTAAACGTTGTCGTGAGTTGAAGGCATTGACCTTCTTCCTTTGGTGGCTCTTTGCTTTGTACTTTGTGTCTTGGGTTGTTCAATTCTTCATCGCAAAGCAGAACATCCCTTCTTCAACTTACAAGGGTCGCAAGAGAGGACCCGCTGTCGCACCTCGTCCTGCCGTCTCGGCTGTTTAAGCCTAGCGGCCAGCTGTTTGCTCGTGTGGCAGACTAGGCTGATGCGAAAAAATAAGAGAATACGAAGTGACAGTTGCAATTGCTATACGGACCTGCGTGTGTTCACAGTACCTATGAACACACAGCTTCCTTTTTTTCAGCTTGTCCGCCAGTTGCAATTATTGTTGCCTGCGCTCGCAGTCTCTTACACTCGATGACGATGATGATATTAATAATGTGTGTGTATGTGTGTGTGATTCTTTTTCTCTTTTGCTTTCTTCTCAACGACGACTTACTACAACTACAACTTCTGATCAAATCTTTTTTCTTTTTATCTCTTACCTTTTCCTTTCCTTCACACTTCTCAACTGCTGTGCGGCCGTCTGTGCCGCCTCGTCTGTGTTCGTGTGGAGGAAACCCCGTCGCACGAAATCCGTGTTTTCTTTAATCCTTGCTGTTTATTATCCAATTAGCAGTGAGCATGTTTCATTACTTCCTTTTCTCGTCTTTGCTTACTAAACAAAGGCGAGGTAGCAATGGCGGCGACTTGCAATTTACTGAATGGACCCTGCCACAAAGTAAATGACCGATCATCAAATCATTGTAACTCATCCCGGCTTTTAACTTCTACTGAAATTGTCACAGTTACTAGCGTGTTGAGTGCATGATAGCGATGACATTCATTCGCCGACCGTCTCGGATGATAAGAACAATTGCCTGTTGTGCAAGTTAAAACAATCAACAGGGTCGACTTTTGTTCCGCTTTCTATTGAGAGCAACTATTAAACGTGGGAAAACAAACGGATTTTCAACAAACTGACTGATGCACCGTTGTCGAAGATGTGGAGAGGAGCCTCTCTTGGTGTGTGCTCTTTCTTTTGTCTTTTCCTCTTACTCTTCGCCAGCAGGCATTTCGCGAGGACTCGATTGCATCAACGATTGAAGCAATGCATTCCGTTGTCATTGAGGGGCGAATTCCTTCGTGGTTTAATTTCGTCGCAGAAATGCCTCTAGTATTTCTGACGGCGGCTGCAATAATGCGTTCCCCCATGGGCGTAATGTGTTTGCCTTGCCTTTACTCGTGATGCTTCCTATCCGGAAAACACTGTCTTTCCGATCAGTACGTGCTGTCTCACATTTGGAGAATATTCATGATTACTGGCTCGTCTAGATTCATGCAAACTTCTATTCTTCAAAGGACCTACTATGCTGACGCGCTGTTAGTTGGTGTACCATATTTTTTGTATTGTTATGAACGTGATGCCACATCAATTGATATATGACTGAATGAGGGGAAGATTGTTTCTATGAGTGAGTGCTAGGTTATAGTAGCAATTAATTGTTTGTTATTTCTCTCATCAAGGATTGTTACGTCGTGCGTGAACTTCTAAAACTTTCAATTTCTATATAGAACGAAATACACATATCTTTACTATAAGGTAACCTGCAATAGTCATTGCAGCGTGGCGAGGAATGCCATATTTATACACAGAAACCAGAGGAATACTTGATGATTGTTAATTTGCGTCCATTTATCAAGAACTCCTTTATCTGAAAACATAAAAGTCTAATATGGAGCATTCACAATGTCATGTTTAGATGCGAGGTTTCGCATAGGCGTACAGATAGATTCTCGCGTTGGCTTACGCAAACTAGACTTATCAATCATGGCAACTACATGGAAGTTAGTAAATAATAAACTACCAAGTTGCAAAGTGGATTGAGCACATCGTTTGCTATCCACGTTTCTTACCATCATTAGGCAATGTAACAATTAAATTCCGGTCTGTACCAAAACGGAAATCGTCAGCTTTAATTTCGGCTTCATAACGTCGAATCTTGTATTTGTCGGTCTTTCCGCGTTTCACACGTTCCAAATTCCAAGTAATTAAATAGGGTCCTATGCTCGAAACGATGGTAGTCTCCGTTGCTTCGATACCTGTGTTGAATTTTCCAGGTGTAAAGCTTGTAGAACCTTGAAGTTCGCTTTGCATCATGGCAATGTGTTGTGGACTAAAATGTTAATTCTTGAAAAAGCTGTTCATCATCCGCAATATAACATACCTTAACTGCAGGCGCTTGGGCTTTGGTTTACTATTCTTGCTGAAACTACGTTCAAAGCCAAGCTTACCAGCATAACGACCCTCCTTAATTCGAGCGTCAATAAGTAGCAAGTATGTCTTACATGTTGCAAGAACCCAGTTACCGTCAGCTGTGACATCAACACCGATAATCGGTTCTCCCAATGCTGGAAGGGCAGTCTTTGCATTAATACCAATACGGTCAAATAACCGAATATCACCTTTGCTGCTGGCCACAGCGATGTAGCCTTTTTCAGTAGTAGCCGCGGCACTGAAGGCATTCCGGGTAACGTATTGCTTGAATTGATCATTCACCACCTTGCTTCCCCGTTGGCGAGGATCAATACGGAAGAGCGAATTGTTGGAGATACCCACTAGTGTTTGCTCAGGTGTCATTTGAGCAAACTTATTATCAGGAGCGAAAGTGACCACAGGAACATCCTCATGCACCTTCCATTCATCAACAATTGTTCCACGTTCCAAATCCATGTGATATAGATTATTAGGAATACGTTCGTCCTGGAAGACGATCGACGAATCCTGGTTATGTAACATAATTTTCTTGGGACGAACCTTTTGACCAGTGGATGTCTGCAAGTTCTCAATTGCCGTTTGAAACTTGAGCTGATTATCATCGGTGTGCTTGAATACGCCAATGCGATTACCGCGAGCAACATAAGAACGGTCATTTTTATAACCAACCGCCAATAAACTATTTTGTTCGTCATCGGAAAGGCCCTTTTTAGACCGGATAGCCTTCCTGTTCGCAATTTCATCCTCGTCGTCACTAACTTCACTCTCGCTTTCTTGACCAAATGGAGCTACCGAGTCTTCCATCATAAGTTCCGGACTACTGTCTTCTTCACGCTCAGAAGCATGTTCTTCCACATCTTCCATTTCCTCGTCTTCATTGAACGCATCAAGCACGTATTCCCGGTCGTCATCCTTAATCTTCAACCATCTTTGCTGATTCAACGTTTCCCAAAGTGCTCGCATTAGCACTTCTTGAAACTTTTCCATAGCATCCTGATCATCAAAACGCAGTAACCATGAGAAAGCGCGACCATCTTCATCGAAATAATTCCAAATGAAAGAAAGGTGCTCAAAAGAGAAGACAGGATTCATTTCCGGCTCAACCGGCTGACTAAGCCAGGTTTTCTCGCCCGAGGATATCCAAAGCCAATATTTCCAATTACCCAAATCATAAACGCCTGCTTCCACGATCTCATCTTGGAGCATAAAAGTTTCTTCTTCCGAATCGAACAGATGCAGTTCGGCTTGCACGCTTCCTAGAAGCTCACCCTCAATAGAGTCACCTTCACCTTCATCGTCATGCTCCGCATCAGCATCGTTGTCAACGGTCTGTTCTGAAGCCTCTTGCGTTGGCTCAACCGGCTCAACAATAGTAGTAGTTTCTGGTGCAGTATGTTCTTTTTCAACGTGATCATCAATCGTTAATTTTTGCTGCACAATGCTTTGTAAAGCAGCAATCTCGTCTTCCTCATCATCATCTTCTTCTTCGTAGATTGAAGCGGGCCGTTCGACCTGTTTTATAGGGGCCTTTACAGTCTCAATCTTATGTGTAATATTCGTTTCTTCTGGTTCATCATCTTCAATGGAGTAGCTGAATTGTTCCAAATCCGCAAGCGTCGCCTTTGAATGCGATTGGCGATATTTCCGTTCATACATACATTGAAGGGCTACCATTTCAAACGTACTAGCAACACCGTCTTGTAGTCCAGATTCGCAAACAAATTCGTACATCGTTCCATCTTGAAAGTCTGGATTGTCCCACATTAAACGAATGGAATCTTTTTGTACATCGAACCGCAAGTGGAGACTCTCATCCAACAGGAAACTCTGTTCGTCTTCAGCTTCATCCTCTTCCAGTTCATCTTCTCCCTCCTCATAAGCTCTTTGGATCACAAGCTGATACTGAAATTCAGCGGTAGTTCTACGAATAGAGGCGGTAGCATCATTAAAGCTAAAAAAAACATAGTTAGAAACAAAAACATAATATATACGAGTTCAATTGACGTACATGCACTCTCTGTAGTCTTTATGTACGGAAAATAACCGTCCATAAGGAATTTGGACCAATTCTGGGGATCGCGAATTGCCCCAGATATACTTCCTATAAAAACGACGAGTAAGTTTCAATATTCAAAGAAAAAATCGTACCCTAATGACTTTAGAACAAACATAAGATCGTTCGTGAAGTCTTTAATAAATAATAAATCAGAAACGCCGTAAATATCCTCTATATGTTATGGTTGGTGGCACGTCGGGCGAAATAGAAGACATAGATATACGAGAAAAAAGTATTTGCATAAAATTAAACAAAATCATATTCAAGAGTATCACAAATAACTAATGAACCAGTCAAAGGAATGTTATTATAGACGAAAGGTTTAGGGAATGCATCATAATGGGTACTCATTAAAATCAACGCTGCGAAAGCGTTCATCATAAATAGACAAAGGTCATGAATAAGACAAAACTGAATTACCTACACCGCAGGAGAGATTACTCCTTTGGCTGAGGAGCAGAAGAGGCTGTGGACAATCCGCTGCCTAAGGACAACCTTTGCTGGCTTGTCGATGAAGAAGACACCGAACGCGTTAGAGGCAAAGCAGTCAGAGATTTACGCCGGACGGACGAATCAAGTGGTTTGAAAACAGGAAGCTTCTGAACGGAAGGAAGTGCTGTTGCACCAGTGCTTTTACGAGGTCTTAACGGTGACGGAGGTAACATTGTTCTCGGGTGACTTCGAGCACTTGCGGCAAGCCGTGGTGGTCCCAGACTAGCACGAGGATGTGAGAAGTCAGACGAAGGCATTAACACAGCATTCGAGGCAGGAACAGTAGCCGAACTGAATCTAACTCGCTTTTTCAAAGGTTTGAGTACGGTGGATGATTTGGTTGGCGATCGAGCTTTCCACCGACGAGGTGACTGAATGGTTTCAATGCGCGGCGAAGCACCTTGTTGTTGGTATTGAGTCCTAGTTTTGGAACGAAAGTTTTTCGTAGTTGGTGTAATTTCAATGATAGAATCAAGTGCAGAGGCTAATTCTTCATTTACCTCGGCATCATCATGAGCAATTGCTGGAAACATTAAAAACATGTTCCGAAGTACTCTTCGAGTTATTTTTGGCAAAAACTCAGACTCATGTTGAGTGTCAAGTATCTGATTTTCGACTATAGACTTGAGAAGATCAACTTCGTCTTGAAGCATGTCAGCATACATAGTACAATCCTCAGCGCGAAACGCTGCAATAATGTGTGAAACACTGTTCTGGAAGGATTTACAAATTTCCTCTGGATTGATGTTGGAGGTAACGACAGAACGTTGTGTATACAGAGAATCTAAATGATCTTTCGCGAGCATAATGTACTCGTTAGAGAAAGTATTCTCCTTATCCGCAACGTCCAACCAAATCTTCACTAATTTTATATCATCTTCCAGACGTCTGAGCTCCCGGACACTTTTCATCATATCGCTCAGTAATCCTTGGGAACCTTCAAAGGCACTTTTTAAAAGCGAACGAGCCTCTTTCATCTTTGTCTCGAACATTTTAGCTTTTATATAGTCCTTACTCGCAGCAGAATTTTGCGTTTTCTGAGCCAATTTTTCATGAAGAAAAGCGACTCGCTGTCGAAGGTCTTGGATAACACTTACATATTGGTTGATATGTAGGTCGACATTCAATACATTCTGCGTGGTTTTCGTCTTAATATTTTTGGCTCGGTTTCCGTATTTAAGTGTATTATGGGTTTCTTCGTAATGCTCAGACGATGGTGAAACACATACTATCATAACCGTTTTACAGTTTCCACCCAAACTGAACTTCAAAAGCCGAGTCAATTTCGAATCGCGATATGGGACATGCTGTCGTCTCCGTGGATCGCACAAAGCATTAATGCAATTTCCCAGAGCAAGCAACGACCTATTAATATTTGCACCTTCAATTAACCGTTCTCCACGATTTTTTGTTGCACTAGCACGCTCTGAACCAGCCAAATCAATTACAGACAAAGTAGAATGCAAAGTTTGGTTAGGGTTATTTTTCAACGTCTGTTTCAGATGAATCTGAAGAACAGCATGCGAACGTGAAGACACGGCATTCGCTTCGGTCGCCGACATGGTTCGGTTTGCATTTCCTTGTATAATGATATCCATGATTGCATCAAGATTCGTTGGTTGGAACACGGTTAATCCGGGGACGGTTATGCTATGGTCACTGCTTTCACGTAAATTTAAATTCCTGTGTGAAGTAGATGTATTGTCTGGATCAAGCAAATCGCGAATAGTTTCATTGTAAATCTCCAAGTATGTTAACTCGAGTTTTATCGTTCGTTCTGAACGCAACTGTTCCATTCGTTCAAAAAGATCACGCATGGTTAAAAAAATAATACCCGGATCATCAACACGACCACTAATTGTGTGTGTTTTTCCGCATCCCGTGGCTCCGTATGCAAAGACCGTCGCATTAATTCCCTCCATAATGCTTTGCAATAGTGGTTGTGCAGTTCCTCGATACACATCTTCCTGTGTTGCTGTATCGTCAAACAAACGGTCAAAGGCGTAACGTATATCTTTATAACGCCGTCGAAACACCTGCATGCCCTTTGGGGCACCTCCATACGAAGGGTTTTCGTCTGGAGGGTCGAAAATTAGAACATTATCGTCCAAAACCTTAATGACTCTTCGAATTCCTCTCTCGGGAATTTGTTCATTCACAGTTCCAGCTGAAAAAGATCCATCACCAAGAAAGTGCTGCTGCGACGGGGTCGAGATTAAGTTTCTAGTTTCTCTTTCAGTAAACGGCCGGACCCGAACTGTTTCACAGTGAACGTTAATGACAGGCAACAATTGATTAAGTTCACGTACCAGCTACACATATCGAAGACGTATCACCCATTACATGGACGTACAGCAATTCGGTACGGTAATGGCAGACGCTCTATGAAAACCCGTACTAACTTGGTGTGTTTGTTTAGACTCCAGTTACCGCGGAACCTCGCGTAGCGTTCCACGGATACTCCGAAATCAAAGTTTAAATGAATCAATAAATCTTAAGGTTTATACATAAATATTTGCATAACTAAACACATTAAAATCAAAACAGATAATTGCTACATTTAGCTTTGTTTTATTACATACCTTTGTATATTGCTATTTGGCGACAGAAAATTTAGCAGTCACGTTGCCAAAGGTCTCCCACAACACAACCGTCCTTCCAGACAGACCCTATACTGCGAAAATGGCCGGTGTTTCTGTTAAGGATGTGGATGCTCAAAAGTTCATTGCTGCCTATGCAGCTTTCTTGAAGCGCTCTGGTAAGTTATTGCTGATTCGAGACGCTGGTTCTCGTACATTTTGAGACACGTGTTTACTGACGTTTGTGAACAGGTAAAATGTCCACTCCCCAATGGATCGACATTGTCAAGACCGGTACCCACAAGGAGTTGGCTCCTTATGATCCTGACTGGTACTTTGTCCGTGCTGCCGCCATTGCTCGTCACATCTACCTCCGCAAGACTGTCGGTGTCGGCCGTCTCTGCAAGGTCTACGGTGGCTCTGTCAACCGTGGTATGCGTCCCTCCCACCACCGCGACTGCTCCGGCAGTGTCCAACGCAAGGTTGTCCAAAGCTTGGAGAAGATTGGTGTTCTCGAGAAGGCTGAGAACGGCGGTCGTCGCATCTCCCAACAAGGACAACGTGATTTGGACCGTATCGCCTACTCTCTCATTGACGAGGAGGACGAGGAGTAAATAAAACGGGAATAAATTTGTTCTACGAATATTGAGGGAGTCAGTGTGATTTGTGTTAACGTTTTGAGTGGTGGTGTATCTGCGGGTCACACGTGAAGAGTGTTTACGAATTAAGCTTTGCTGATAACTCGCTTAATTGCCACGTGGCTATCTTATTAGTCATTCTTGTTTTAAGGTTCACACCGAACGCCGAGTATTCATTAACCACCATGCCACCGTAGAAATTGGCACTTTTATTGAATACACGTTAATTGTGCTTTATAAACATAATAGGGCTGTTTCTAGTATTGTTGACTTGCCTATCGACATCTGCTGGTCCTTTTCACTATCGACAGTATTTTTTTAACGACAACGAAGCAAATCTATACTTCAACTGTAATTAAAGCTTATACCCTGCAGAATTTGGAATCACGGAGTGTCACTCTCGTTTCATTTTATTTTTTGGCGAAAATGACTGAGAAGGAAGACGTTAAAGACACGACAACTCATGCCCCTCCCACAATCGTGGAGCAGAGAGCAGAAATCGAGCGTCTCAAACAGCTTGCGGGCGTCGAGGAAGTAGAAGTGAACGGTCCTGCCGAAGGAGATCCAAACGCCAAAAGGCAAAGAACAAGCAAAACGGTCGTTACGGAGGAATACATTCAGTTTGATTTCTCCAAAGTAAAAGACACAAAAGGTGGTTTCTTGCCCGAGGACGACGGACCTCAGCGTGAAAAACCCGCTGAACGAGTTTTACGTGAGCAAGAGGAACGGTTACGTCGTTTGCGAAATGCTCCTGTTCAACTTGACCCAGAACAAGTGAAGACTTGTTTTGAGTGTTCGTCTGCCGAATTGGATGCCAAGTATTTGGAGGTTTTCCGGTGTCGGGTGTGCCACGTTTGTCGAGAGAAGTACCCTGAAAAGTACTCACTGCTGACTAAGTCTGAGTGTAAACAAGACTACCTGCTAACAGAGCCTGAGCTGCGTGATGACACTGTCATGCCTCATCTTCTGAAAGCAAATCCTCATCAACAGGGCTGGTCCAACATGATGCTGTATTTACGTTACCAAGTGGAGGAGTTTGCTAAGAACAAGTGGGGTTCACTTGAAGCTCTAGATGAAGAATTTGAACGTCGCGAGGCCAAGAAAAAAGAACAAAACGAAAAAAAGTTTGCTAAGCAGTTGCTTGAGTTACGGAAACGTACGCGTACTAGCAATTACAGCAAGATGAGTATTCGCCAAAAAAACAAACACGTCCATGCATACACGGAAAGCTTTGAGAAAAAGGACGAGCCAGGTGTAATAGTCCAACGGTGTTCTTGTGGTCTTGAAGTGGAGCAACTAGAAATTTAAAACGAGAGGTAACGCTTGTGAGCTCATCTGGCTATTTGAGTCGTTCATTTTGCAAATCGTACCCGCAGCGTTTCCCGAATAATCATTGCATTCCTTCCTACCGCTCCTACCCTCTCTCTCTCTCTCTCTGCCTTTATGAAGCAACAACAGATCCACTTGCCTCCCTCCCACTTGTCGCATTTCGTTAAATGAAATATCGTAGTACGTCAAATATTACTAACCCAATTAACGTCTAGCAACGTAACACGTTCTGTAATTTCTTGAGGCGCTGTAGAACAAGGGACCGGTCAGCAGACTCGCTACGTCAGTGGAAGCGACCACGAGTTGCGTTCGTTAAAATAACGGTAACGTCCGTCAATTCTCATTCAGGGAAAGATCTGCGATAGGATCCCATTGAAGATCCCTATCACATCAATGCAGTAGCTGCGCACTTGATTTGCTTGTTTAACGTAACACGTTTGTACCGTGGGCGTTATATCCACGGGCATCGGCGAATTCTGAAACGCCTTTGCGCAACACATAATAAGACAGAAGTAAATACACTAGCACACTTCTTAGAATACATTGGTGCATCTGTTCTGTTTTTGCTGTATATTTTTTTTAAAGAAATAAGCTTTAAGCCTCGTTTTTCGATCGCGTTGACGTCGCTCTCAACTCACCCTCTACCAACTACTTACTACCTTCACTTAAGGCTCTCTTATTTGTTTTTCCCTGCTATTTTTACGCAATGTCTGCTCAACAATTCTACGGAAATGACAAGGGCTTCGTATGTGAAAAGTCGCTTTCTTTTCTCTGTTTACGAGAGCTAACAATGTGTTTTGTATAGGTTCCCCAGCCTCAACAAGCGTATGGCGGCCAGCCTTACTACCCTCCTCAACAAAACTATCCTCCTCAGGGATACGCACAGCCTGGACCTGGATACGCTCCTCAGCAGCCCATGTATGTCCAACAACCTCCTCCTCAAAACGATGGCAGTGACATGTGCTGTGGTCTGTAAGTATACACAAGTTGCGTGTTTTAAAAGGAAGCGATGATGACGCGTAGGGCGGTGCAGCTGTCTTTGTAACACCAATTCTCGATCCTGGAGTTGCTTCTGCAATGATGGTCATTTTGAAACCCATTGAGTCTGTTCATCTCGCGTGGAACACAGACACAGCACAATTCCCCTCTCCTTTTCTTTGCTTATGATGTTTTCCTGTCGGTTTTGTTTTGTTTATGATTGTTTACAACCTTTGTGTGCACCACCTTCGCGTCTCTATCTGTGCCTTTCTTCTGGTTACGCGTTTTTTTATGTTTCTGTTGTTACTAACTGTGTAGAATGACTGGTCTTGCATGCTGCTGTTGTTTGGACGCTTGTTTGTTCTAAGAACTGTTACTCTTTTTCTTCTTAGCACTCAGTGTTGGTGCCGTTGAACAAACACTCTTACATACACGCTCACTCAGAAACTCACCCTTACACACACACATTTTTACATATTACATACATTCACACTCTTACACATTTAACATCCACGTCCAAACTTCGCATTTCAAACGCGTGTGTATGAGTTGTCTTCATTGGATTGATCATTTGCTTTTATGCAGGATAACGAATCAAATGCCTTTTGCGTTTGGTAAAAAGAGTAGGCAGTTGGTTTTCATCTTCTGACTTGCTCGTTGGTTCGCGCCATCGCGCGTTCTAGTGCATGATTCGTTGACAATGTCCGGACGCCATTGGTATCTTGTTATTTTGTTTCTTTTGACGAGGCTTCTACGGTTGAGCAACTACTTAATGCTTGAGCTTGGATAAATTCTTGTCGTATTGGTCATTGACTTTGTTGATAGATGCCTTTTCTTATCCTTTCTGTTTCTTATTATCCATCCATGGAAAAGTAATGTAGAATGTGGGAGGGGAGTGAGTAGGCTTGTGTAGCGGTTCGAATTGTCATGATTACTGTTTCTTGATATAGTGCATTGTCTCTATCATCAAATGAGTGTCATTTATGATGGATGTTGCTGTTCATATTCCTTCCTCGGCAAATTCGCGCTTTCGCCGCGCTTCGCTACACAGTTTTTGGTGGTGAGTCTATCCACGCATTTCTTGGTATAGTACGAACACATTAGCTCTTGACATGCACGGTACGGCGAACTTGGATGAATAAACGAATTGGCTAATGTTGAACGTAGATACGCCAAACACACCGCCTCCATTTGCATGGGCGATGAAGGCCCTGTCTAGTAAAATTACTGGAACTGTTTCTCGGTCTTCACAGTCGCACGACGTGTTAGGAAAGAAAGGTGACGATTCAAATGCAATTCTTGCAAATTCAACGGATAACTGGGGAAAGGACACACCAAACCAATCTAAGAATGTACAAAATGGTATACTAAAAACTCCAGGAACAGCTCAAGCCAAAAAATCTGTAAAGTTCCGCACGGCAGAAAACGCGCCGGTTTCCTCCTGGCAATCACTACTTACTCGTCGATTTCAAAAGGAGCATGACCTTTCCGGGGTGGATAAAGCCTTTAGTCCTCGACCTTCGCGATTGTCGCAGCTACAGGAAGACGAAACAAAGGATGATGATGATACCTTTGGTGCGTCCATTACCCAACCATTGTACACGAAGACGAATGAAGTAGACAATTTAGATGGGCTGGTAGAAAAGGTCACATCCCAAGAAACGAACAACGCTGATTCCGAAAATGCAGTTGAACCTGCTCAGTCAAATGACTGGACAGAACTATTAAAACGATCTCTTCGAGATGTGGTTAACAACAACCGTCGAATGTCATCCGTACTTCACGATATGCTTGTCGATACTTCGCAACAGTCCATTGTACAGCCGGACGATGCCATTGAGGATCCAGATTACACAGTCAATTTTGACTCGCCTAAATCATCTTCTGGCAAGTATTGGAAAGAGAAGTTTTCCACACTCGAGATCATCAATTCCAAGCTTGAAAAAGATTGGAACATGCTCAACAAGAGCGTGACCGAGTCCATCGCTGAAAAAGATCGTGAAGTTGCTTATTGGAAGGGCAAGTATGAAGAGCTTCTTAAACGACAATCGTCGAAACCGGCAGCCGTTGACACCCCAGTTGAGCAACTCACAACAAAACCAGTGCCCGATTCGACGACCCCTTCGCATCCTACACCTCAACCCCGAGACATGTCAGAACTCGCTGCGCAAATGCTATCACACTCTGCTCGGAAACGAGCCATGCAAAAGAATGCTCTTAATCTTACAGCTACAGATTCACCACGCACTCCGTCCAGGCGTACTCCTGGGTTGCGAGAACGACTACTAAGAGCCACACAAACACCCACGCCCATTCCTGTCACACCGACTGTCGAGACAAAAGAGAAGCGAAGTGCTGCTGCACAAGATGAAGACGATGTGTTTCTCGGCAAAGGTGTTAACGATGGTACTTTCAGAAAGGGTAGTGACATGCTGCAAATGCCTGTGAAGGAGAGCCGCTTGGAAAAACCAATTACTATTGATACTCCAGATTCGCTTGATCATTTAGCAGCAGCAGCAAAACGTTTGGAAGAGCGTCGTCGTCGTTGGAAGTTACGGAAACAAGGTCTCTAAAACTGAAACAGCAATTGCCTTCGCTCCGCGCCGCAGATGTAATTTTAGTCTTTGGATCCATATGCATTTTATGATTCCCTTTGCATTCTATAGGTCCTGGGCCTTCTCTTTGATGACCGCTTATTTTTGTTTTTTTTTTCTCATTCCTCACCACGCACTTTTCGCTCAGCTTAGCGAGTTTTACTCCTACCCATCCATCCAACGCATACTCGCTGATCGTCTTTCCGTCTTGTTTTTATTGCATTCTGCTACATTTCTTTTGTTCTATATCCAGCATTGTTAAAAAGCGCTTATCAAAATGGGAATTCTTGAAAAAGTTCGTTTATTTCAATTTGCCAAGAAAATACCCACAAACTAACAAATATGGCATATAGATTCAAGAAATTGAGTTCGAGATGCGTCGAACTCAAAAGAATAAAGCTACTGAGTACCATTTGGGTTTGGTATGGATGATAAATATTGTGTCATGCGAAATCAAATGAGTTTTTCGCATTTGAAGCAATTCTTGCTAATTCTCTTTAGCTGAAAGGTAAACTGGCTAAGTTGCGCCACCAGCTTTTGGAACCTCAGACAAAATCGGGTCCCAAAGGTGAAGGTTTTGACGTATTAAAAAGCGGTGATGCTCGTGTCGCGTTTATTGGTTTTCCTTCGGTTGGTAAATCAACCTTGCTTACTTCCATTACAAAAACAAAGGTACACTACACTGACAAAAGTTTTTGCGGTAATGATTCGAGAAATGTCTGAATAATTTTTTTGGTTTAAAGTCTACAGGCCATTTAGTTTTGTCAGACTGACTGATGTCTACTGCATTCACTGTCCCTTCTCTTAAGTGCTGTTAGCTAACTCACGATTGTAGTCGGAAGTTGCTTCTTACGAATTCACTACCTTGACGGCCATTCCCGGTGTGCTTGAATATGATGGCGCTGAGATTCAAGTTTTGGATTTGCCCGGTATCATTGAGGGTGCTGCCCAAGGCAAGGGTCGTGGTCGTCAAGTTGTGTCTGTTGCAAAGACCGCCGATTTAATTTTGATGGTGCTTGATGCATCCAAGTCTTCCGATCAAAAGCAAAAGTTAGAATATGAGCTTGAACAAGTAGGCATTCGTTTGAATCGTCGACCTCCAAATGCCACGGTGACTGTGAAGAAGAATGGCGGTATTAAGTTCAACCATACCGTTCCTCTTACCCACATGGACTATAAAATGGCCTATAATATCCTTCACGAATACAAGATTCATAATGCTGATGTTATGCTTCGGGAAGACATCACCGTTGATGACTTTATTGATGTTGTTATAGGAAACAGACGGTACATTAACTGTATCTACTGCTACAACAAAATTGATTCGGTTTCCTTGGAAGAGGTTGATCGTCTGGCACATCTGCCACACTCCATCGTGATCAGTTGTGAACTTAAATTGAATTTGGACTATCTCGTGGAGCGGATTTGGAGTGAACTGAATTTGCTACGTATTTATACGAAACGCAAATCTGAGATGCCCGACTTTTCTGAAGCTCTCATCGTGCGCAAGGGTTCAACAATTGAGCAAGTCTGCAACCAAATTCACAGAAGCTTGGCAGAACAGCTGAGATATGCCTTGGTTTGGGGTCGCTCTGCTAAGCATAACCCCCAACGTGTCAGCCTTACTCATGTCGTTCAGGAGGGCGACGTGGTTAGTATCGTTACAAAATAATATATCTACCAGCTAGAAATTAACAAACTACCGATCGAAAGTTTGCTTTGTAATTAGTGTGTCATACAGTTTTCATTTTTACAAGGCTATACCAAGAAAGAAAAAGTCTCATAGCATATACAACGAGGGGGACCAAGTCGTCAGCTCGACAGGAAAAAAGGAGTATTACGGTCGTCGAGGTATTTGTCAACCAAGAACTCCTAATTGCTGCTTTTTATCAGTTCACAGTTCAGCTGTTTTTATGAACGGGGAACTTTTTCATTTGCAAAACTCACTTGTTCTTTTTCCTTGAAAGAAAGACAGGCATTAGCGGAATGAGAGACAGGAAGTGAAGCGGTTGCGTCCCGACACGCAGAGATGAATATCTTCAATTACTCAGCAACACCAAATGGACTGCTGAAGATGTCTCCTTTGGATTCCTTTTGAAGTTGCTCGTAGTAACCATAAATGGTAGTAGTGCAAAGCAAGACAGCAGTACCGGAGCCCAATGCGCCGAGCATGTCAGAAGCAACAGCCAGGGCACCGACACAAGCACCGGAAAGCCAAGCGGCAGTAGGGATGACACGCTTCAATTCCTTGTACATACTACCTTCACGATGTCCGGCCATAACGAGTTGTTGATCCTTAAGTTGCTTAGCGACATCACGAGGGCTGGTGCCGGAAACCTCAATCCAAAGCTTGGAGAAGACAGCACAGACAGTAATAGTGAAGGTAACGTAAACGGTCGTATGGAGTGGACTCAAAAGAGCAGCTCTATAAGAGGCAGGAGGAGACATAAAGTAAGCCAAACCAGATACAGCACCATTCTCCCAAACACCCAACAGACGGACGAGGAAATTGTTGGGGAAACGGTTGTACAACATACGGCTGGCAAGGAAAAGATTGGAAGTAAGAGCAGATTGCAACATGATGGGTGTGCTTGAAGTGTAGAGAAGCTTAACGGGGAAGGCACCGCGGTGACCACGGAACTTTTGAGAACGAACGGGGATTTCTACACGGAAGTCTTGCAAGTAAATAACAACGACAAAAATGAGTACCGTAGCGATCAGATTCCAAAGATTGGGCAAAACGAAAGGATAGTTTGGAGGTGTGCTACGGAAGAAAGACTCGTACACAGCAGCGATCTTGTTGGGCCACTTGAGCATCAGATACAAAAAGTTGATCACGGCTCCCTCAAACTGGGGACCACGAGCGGTATTGTAGGTAGTAGGGGAGAAAGCCTTCCAGAAGATGTTTTCGCAGTTGATCGTAGCAATAAACAGGTTGATACCGGATCCAAGGCCGTATCCCTTTTGCAACAGCTCGTCAAGCAAAAGGACAATCATACTGGCAGCAACAAGCTGAAGAATTAAGAGCAAACAAACACCAGCACCAAGATCAGAAGGGCGACCATACATGCCAGTCAAAACATAAGCAGTAGCTTGTCCAAAGGTGATGATGATGGCGAGGACTAAGTTGGGTTAGCAATGCAAATGGGAAAAGGAACGGTTAGATAAACAGCAATAAAGTCTCGTGGATAATGTGTGCTCGTTATCGCTCCCGTTTCCTGCTTTACATACATTTTTGAGCCAATTGATAAAGTTCACGATCCGACTTCAACTCCATGTTGACTTCAATGAATTTGGAACCAACAAGCAGCTGGACAAGCATGCTTGAAGTGACAATAGGGGAAATACCAAGTTCCATAAGAGTACTGCGAAAAAAACGGGTTAGAGAAAGGAACATGCGTCGTGAAAAGTCTACAAAGCAAGAGAACATACCCTCTGTTGGAAGCCATAATCATACGAATCCACCTAAACCGAGGTCAGCCGCTGTTATTTCTTTACAAAAGGAAGAAATGTAAAACTGCCTCAGCGCCATTAAAACATATCCGTTCAAAATGCTGATCAGTCATTATTTTTCTCCTCTGTCGTGTCCCACATACATCAAAGGATCAGAAGAATCTGCGGAAACAATTCCATAAAGAGGAACTTGCGACATGACAAGGAAAATAAGCAACGTCACTGAAGTCCATAACAGCTTTTGCTTAAATGGAATCTGGCCGAGTTTGTTAGCAAAATATAGCCTACAGGAAGGTTCAAGCACCGTACTTTACGCTCTGGAGCCGCAATCTCTGGGAGAAAAGGGGCGAACGGTTTGACGAGGTCTAGAAATCGAACTGAAATGTCCGTTAGCGACTACGAAACAAGTAATCATAAGAAAATATCTCATTCAGTAGACACATACGTTCGCTCATTGTGTACAACTATGGGCACAGCAGCCTTTGACAACGTAGTTGGTTCTGGGACACTTCGAGACAGAGCTGGATTATGGTGGTGGTTGCTTTCGTACTAGGGAGGAGGAGGATAATAGCGTCGTCTACGCTAACCCAGTCAATGACTGCGAGAATAATGCGACTAAAGCGGGGTGAACGGTCAAAGAGGGTTTGTTTGTGTGCAAAAAGGGAAAAACGCGATGAATTTTCCGAATCGTTTCGCTTAGAAATGCAGAGGATGCGGTTCGGGATAGCCGTTATTCCATAAGAGTAACAATTCTATGGTTTTAGTTAGTAAATTTACTGAAAAAACCCGCAAAAAAACACAAGACAACGTCAAAGTTGCGGAATTGCTAAACATAAAAACAGCAAGAAATCAATGCTGTCACGTACAATCGTGTTCTAAAAGATTCACTCATTTAATTGTTAAATTGAATATGGGTTAAAAGAAGTAGAGAAGGGAAACTATGTGCTTTTAAATCTCTTTTGAACGCGTTGACGCGAAATCTGACGCGTCACGCGTCTTCATTAAACAAAGCTTATTTCGCGAGAAACGCGTCCCGTCTGAACTTGCAAACTACAAACACCTAAAAAAAACCCAAATAGCACTTAAAACTGCTGTTATTTCGTTTTGTTTCTTTCATTTGAAACAGACTTAACATTGTTTCCTTTTACTTTGAGTGTATTGTGATTGCAGTTTGTAGATTTAAGGATTGTTGAGGAAAAAAGTCTATGCTCAATAGAAAAAACGAGGGCACAGTCTCGGGGTAATTTCATACTATATTTAAAGGAATTGGCTTTTATTGTTTTCATTTTCTTTATTTCTATTGCACCTTATTAACGAATTGACGCTCTTTCCATTCATGTTATTATATTAGCAATTCAAGTTCTTGCTTGTGTGTTCTCTCTCTCTCTCTCTCTCTCTTTTTCAACATCTTCCTTCGAGTGCGTTTTCATATTTCCTTTTTGTCCCCTTTTTACCATGTCCGTGTACCAAGATCCGTTAAAGCATTCCTTGGACTCAACTCTGCCAGACTCATCATCGCATATCAATGCTTCCTCCTCTTCTTTTGTTCATGGAAAAAGGCCACGACGAGTACCACCAGGTCCTCTATTTGTCGAGTATTGTAATCTTATCGGTCACGAAAAAGCTGTAACAAGTTTAGCGGCTTCTCCAAATAAACGGTGGCTCGCCACTGCGTCTTCTGACGGTGTAATAAAAATTTGGTACACTAGGTCATTCTCTCTTGAATGTACGCTTTACGGTCACACTGCTGGTGTTTCACAAGTCGCATGGTCTTGCGACAGCAAGCTACTCGTTTCAGCATCAGACGATAAAACCATTCGTGTTTGGAATGTCGAAAATGGAAAATGCGAGCGCGTATTACGCGGCCATACGAACTATGTGCTTTGTGTCGATTTTAATCACGACGGCAACTTAATTGTCTCAGGCTCGTGGGACGAGACGGTCAAAATTTGGAATGTCCAAGAAGGAAGCTGCCTACGCACGTTACCTGCGCATTCAGAACCTGTTACGGCTGTGTCGTTTTCGCACGATAGTACCTTGCTAGCGACAGCAAGTTACGACGGAATGGCCCGTATCTGGGATGTGCCCACAGGCCAATGTCTAAAAACCTTAGTCGAACCAGTAAATGTACCGTTAGCCTATGCTACGTTTACGCCAAACAGTCGATATCTACTTGTCAGCAACCTCAACTCCGAAGTTCGTCTTTGGGATTACCGGACTGGTCACCTTGTTCGACTTTACAAAACGTTTCCTTGCCAGAAATATTCATTACAAGTGGGTTTCCTTGACAAACGAGCTATTCCTCGAGCAGAACAACCAACTCATTCCAGCATTTCTCTAAGTTCACTTATCAGTGATCAAAGCACGGTCGCAGAAGATGCAGACGGCACAAGCCAGGTCACGTCCAGTGACATACATGCTACATCTTCAGCGCCGAATGCGACAGATGCTTATTTACTTCTTCCTTCCGAGGATGGCCGAGTGAGTATAGTGGACGCATCCACTAAACGAGTCATTGACGACTCAATTCACGTTCAGCCACCACATCCCATCCTTTGTGTCGCCTCTCTCGGTCCTTTTGTGATGACAGCATCCATGGATACAACGGTTCGCGTTTGGATCCCTTCACATTTGCAACCGAAACCTGTTGCTGTGAACGAAACGACTGACTCGTCCGTCGCGGATGGAATGATGGATACTGTGGATACTACTGTTGTTTCTATGGACATCGACATTACGCGTTAACTCTACAGCTAATTCTCAACAGCGCTTCATTTTTGTGTTTTTCATTCTCAGTTCGACATGGGTTTATTGTTGATATTGAATTGCGGGCGGGGAAACAAGGTTTCCCCGCATTGACGTCATTAAACACCTTAAAAACTTTATCGATCCCTTCTCGGCAGTAGTTCTGCTTATTTCGTCAGCTATTGAGCGGAGAACTTGCGCGTAACACGAGTATATGTTCTCCTGGTCTTTTCACTCGTCGCGGTTTTCTCCCAACCTCTGCCGCAGCATGCTCTCAGCTCCTCAGCGTAATGTGTTCAACGTCATCATCGCTTAATTTTCTGATTGGCACATTCTACGTCAGACCCTTTTCTGGACTAGCCTCTGCGGAAGGATTCGCGTTCAAAAGTTGGCTCCAGAACGCGGTTCACATTTGAGCCATTGGCTTTATTCCCAATGATAACGGATTGACCAAAGAGGTATAAAGAGACTCTTTGCTCGTTGGTGTTTTCTACATTTTCTCCAACTTGATTTGCTGCTTTTTTCTCGTTCGGATTCACGCGGATCATTCCAGCGTGTGTTACTAAACAATAAGCAGTTTCCAATCAATTTTGCGTTGACGGTTTGTGGGTACTAGAGAAAGGATCCACTCTATCTCTCTAACTTTGTATTCTTTCCATACACATTTTCTTTGCGGTTCTATTCCTCCTGACCTTATATCTTCCATTTTCTCTTTATTTATCATGACTCTAGGCCTTAAACCAACGACTGTTGATGCACCGTCAGATGCCGATCCGAATTGTTGTAGGAATGCACTTTGTAATACAGACAGAAGTGAACGTCCTGGAATTGTTCATCGGACGTCAGCTCGCAGATACATTGGTGACGAGATTACTCATGCCCGTATGTGTACGGACATGGTAGATGCAGAAGAAAGCACTGATGCTAAAATTGCCCTTCCACAGCTACCTCCTAATACTATTGAGGTGAGCGATTCCGAGGCAGAGGAGCCCAGTCCTGTCGAGTATGCTATTGCATTTGATATTGATGGTGTTCTCCTCCGAGGAGGCGACGTGATCCCAGGAGCGAGTGAGTCTTTGAGGATTTTAAACGGAGAAAATAAATACGGCATTCGTGTGCCTTATATCTTCTTAACGAACGGCGGCGGAAAATCGGAAGAATACCGTTGCAACGATCTCAGTCAAAAACTTGGCATTCCCGTTTCTACCTCTCAGTTCATTCAATCACATACGCCCATGCGAATGTATGCGGAAAAGTACAAAACTGTATTCGTTGTTGGAGGTCATCTTGATTCATGTCGACAAGTTGCTCTGGAATACGGTTTCAAGGATCCTGTTATTCCCCTTGATGTAATTGCCTCCTCACCTTCCATTGCTCCCTTCCATACATTGACTGAAGAAGAAACAGCGGTTGCCCGTCCCCGTGATTTTAGCAAGTTGAACATCGAGGCCATTTTTGTATTTGCAGATTCACGAGCTTGGGCTTCAGATATGCAAGTTATTCTTGAGCTGCTCACTTCCGAGAACGGTCGATTTGGAACACGCAGCTCTGATTATGAACACCAAATCCCCATTTTCTTTTCCAATCCAGATGTGATCTGGGCCACTCAGTACTCTCTTCCACGGTTTGGCATGGGTGCCTTGCGAAAGTGTATTGAGGTACTCTACGAAGATGTGACACATGGCCATAAGCTTCATTGCATACAACTCGGCAAGCCGTATGCTACGACGTACGATTATGCTATGTCAGTGCTGTCTCAATGGCGCTGGGTTCACAATCATACCCGAAAGCCACCTCGCAATGTGTACATGGTTGGCGATAATCCTGAAAGTGATATTAAAGGGGCTAACGAGCATGGGTGGAAATCCGTTCTTGTGCGAAGCGGTGTCTTTCAACCCTCTTACCCTGGAGACAAGGCAAATGCGGACTATGTCTGCGATAATGTGCTGGAGGCAGTGAGATTCATTATTCAACTTGAATTTGTACATGATCGAAAAATGCAGGCACTCGATTAAGCTAGATGTTATTGACTTCGATATACCTATAGTCTTTACTTATCCAGTATTTCCGTACTACATCCCACGTCCGCTGTCTTCCTCACAAATCATTCCTATACGTCTATATTCTATTTATTTTAACAACAGCAACCACAACGGGTCATCTCTCTTTTATGTGAATGCCCACATTTCTAAATCCTTCGTTTGCATATTTTTTCTTCGTTTTCTCTCGTTTTTCTTCCGCCATCAACAACGTTTGCTAAACGTTACTTATACTAAAATTTAGGCTTTCAGTATGTCAAACCAGGAACAAACTCAGTCAGCGAGCGCTACGGACACAGATAACTTTACACTTGACCTTGTTGCGAAAGAATGGATGGCTAAAAAGATTGCTGAGGAAATTGAACGGTTAAAAAAACAGGGTGCTAAAGCAGTTCCTCTTACAGTTAAAAACACAAGCGTCGTACTTGACGAGGACACTGACACAGTTATTAATCGAATTGAACTGAATACCTCTTTTGATTTTTCACGCATAGAACAAATCATGCTTTCTCCTCCTCAATTATATCCACACAACGCAAACTTGCAGTTTGTTTTTGTTCTCTGTTTTACGTGTCTTCCTCACCCGCTGATTATCCCTTACCTGTACGCTCCCAAACTTGTCGGCAAAAATCTGCTTCCCCGTGCAGATGGTCTCGTTGAAAATACCCTGAAGCGTTGGGCATTCATCAATGACAAGATGGAGCGCGCCGACCATGTGATTCATGAGTTTCAAGATGTTACAGCTTAGAATCTCTCGCACAACCATTTCAAGATCACTTGTGTTAATAGATTTGTTAGCTTGAGAGGCCAAGACACAGTATAGTTCCAATTGCACAAAAGCATAGAAGAGCTGCGGCATCCGGTAGACTGAAACAACACTCCTTAGTCTTCTCGGAACTCTCGCTCTTCTACTCGAGCCTTCCATCTTAGTTGATTACATTCACCAATAATACTCTCTGTTTCGAAGTTCCCTCACTAAATCCTTTAGCAATAAAAATAACAACTGGTAAAAACCGGCAGTATTCAGCTTGGCATTTTATTTACACACCTTACCAATAATGGATGCCGTAGAAAGAACGAGTGAAAATAAAAAGAGAAAGAGAGAGCGAAAACACAGTGCGTGCAGCGATGGTTTCAATAATTGGTATGAATCTACGTACTCACGGTTAATGTGTGATAGACTCGTTGTAATGGGGGAAACCTACACTGCAATGTTCTTAGTATCCTCATTGCTGAGGATATCAAAGATGCTACACATGTGAGACATGGTATCCTAATCAAAAAGGACGCATGTTTTGGAGAAACAGAACGAGAGACTTCTCAAGGTATGAAGTGCGCCCGGTGGAATAACGGTCGGCTTACACTACATACTGGTAAATAAACAATGAATGTTTCCATCATCAGGAACGGAAGTATGGACGAGACAATTTTCATCAAAACAAAACAATCGGTAATGTAAAAATAAGAAAGTCGCTAGCAGCAAAACTGAAGCGTATTCATACTCGTGCGATGATGCATCATTGCCAACATGGCCATCAAGTCAGGCGTAGAAACTTAACAAATAAATAAATAAATAAATAAGTTCTCAAAATTTGGTACGTAAACACGTGAGTTGCAAAAAAAGTTCGTACGTATGAGCGTCAGTGAACGTGTGTATGTGCGTGCATAAGAGAAAAAGCGTGTAAGTATGTGTGTGAGAGAGTATAAGACGTGTACGTGCATAAGCATTCATAAGGAAAAAAGACAAAAGTGCAATGAAGGAGCTCAGCAGCTTACCTGTTGGCAAGGTCTATACCGTTCAAACAAACTGGTCTTCGCAACATAACACTGCTTGTACAATTGAGTATCGGGGCGAAGAAAACTCAGACAAGCGTGCAACCGCTGAGACAGTAACAAACGACGCATGAGAGACGTCGGGCAATCGCCCCGAATCTCCTTTTGACTCGCATTAATCACATACATGGCATAACTCTGTGCAACCTGACAAAAACGTTCCTTCGAAGATACACGGGCAATACACCCGCTTTGAAAGATGGAACGAATGTAGCCAAGATGTTCATCCTCCAAGAAAGAGAATGGGTCAACCGCATTTAAGAACTTGCTTGCATTTGCAGGCCAACTTGCTTCGGCTACCGGATCATCAGGAGCGAGATCAGACATGTGTTTTGTCCATTCCCAGGAATGGGCAAGTAGCTTACAAAGCAAGGAACGAGGCAACCAGTCTTCAAAGGAAAGAAAACATAGTAGCGAACAGGTCACCACCTTTTGCTTGGTTACTGCTTCCGACCCAAGCTGAACGAGTTCGGCAAACAAGTACGACTTGTGCATTTTTGAACGATCCAAACGCTTCGAGACCGGCAACACGGGTGTCACTTTTATGTTGCGAAACGGCGGAAGCAAGAAAATTGCGGATTTGGCTAACGCACACAAAAACACGATAACGCGAAATATAAACATAAAGGCAGAAATGGCAAACGCACCTGAAGAAGACATCATTCGGTAAAGTACACGGAACATGCCCCGAACTGGATTGTAAATGTACGTCGAGAGGAGGTGTGTGTCGTCGCTGTCATTCTTCTTTGTGTGCTTGGCATGATCAACGTGAAGAAAGTAGAGTGAAACACACGTAAAACTTATAAATATGATTCGTAGAATGAGAAACAGAGAAGAAGGAATTGGGAGGAAAAACATAGCAAAGGTATCAGAGGAAGCTGCCTTGTCGGGATTTGTTAAAAGGTTCAGCGTTTCCACACCAGCCAGTCCTCCCAAAAAAGTTTTCGTCAGTCCTGTGTATGGATTGTTGAGAGAGTTTACGGAAGAAGTTACGGCAGCCGGATTCATAGGCAGTTCGTTTAGTACTCCTCCGCCAGCACCGACCATGGCACCGGCGTCATGATTGTCTCCGTGAATGGGCTGCTGTCCATTATGCATTAAGGCTGTTCTTGTCGCCGTAGCACCAGAAGGAACTACGTCTGAAGAAGTTTGCCTCGTAGACATAACCTGCCGTTCTTGTCCCATAACAGAACCTGCTTGTGGGTACGATGATAGGGCAGGATTCGCATTTGCCGCTGCGGCGGCAGCTGCAGCAGCTTGCCAATTCCAAGAGCCAGAAGGAATTGGAGCCCCACGCTCATCGACGTGCTGCATGGCTACTTGGTTTGCAGCAACACCAGTTGGATATGGGGCAGAAGTTGGAGCCTGCTGGCCATAAACAACAGACTCTCGTTTGACTTGGTTGGCGGCACGTGTGGCCGCCTGTAAAGCCGAGCTGCAGTCTGACAACCGGGACTGCAGCGTTAAGTTTTCGGTGAGTAGCTCTTGATTTTTGTTTTCAAGGAATTTGATGTACTCGGTAGCCTTGGTTAAGACAGTTGCCTTATTAATCTTGCGGGCAACAAAGGTCGGCGTAGCATCCTTTTTGTCTGGATCAAACGCTGAGCCGTAAACAACGGCACGCAAGGAAGGAACGGCGTCTCGTAATTCGGATATTTTGTCGTTAAGGTTGGAACGGTAGCGTCGTTCCACGATATTATGACTAGACTTTTTGTTGGTTTCCGTGGCGCTGGGGGAATCGACCTTGTTATTCGGGCTGTCACTTTTAGTGGATCTTGCCGGAGCAGCAGCGTCTGAGGCGGATTCCGGCAAAGAATGTTGGTTCATGTTACCAGCGGCGACGGAGGAGGAGGGTAATGAGGTATTCATACGCCCGGATGAGTTGTACATTGAAGTTTTATCTGCACCAACGAGGCCAGCCGCGGACGGACTAGCTGTAGGAGGCAGGGCGTTGGCGCCATTGCTGGGAGCACCATTGCCTGCAGCATATGCGGCAGACTCTGATTGTCCCATCACAGCTTCAAACTTGCGTTTTTGGCCCAAGGTAGAACTATCGACAGAAATCGAGCCGAACGCGCGTCCGCCCGTGCGACTGTCAAGGCTTTGTCCCGTATAATAGCGGTATTGGGGAGAGCCCGGCGAAGCATAGTTGTCAAGAGACGTCGAATGCTGAGGATAGTTTGAAGGCATGCGGGCGTTCATCCGGTTTGCTGGGTAGGAAGAGGAGGGAGTGCCCAGAGCAGACGTGTCATACGGGCTCGAGAAGACCTCCTTGGCGGTTTCGTTGCCGGATGGACTGAGCACACCAGCCGTTGGTGTGTGGTAATTTTGTACGGGTTGAGACTGTACAGGAAAACCTGCAGCAGCACTAGCCAAATCGTAGTTGGCAGCATATGCCGACGAGGCAGTTCCATGCCCACTAACAACGGGACGGCTGTGAGCCACATATTGTGCTGCAGCTGCGGATGGCATGGACGAGGGGGATGTCACACCTGCGGGGTATGAAGCAGCAGCGGCTTCACTAGGTTTGGTGAGACTGGTGGCAGCAGCAGCAACTGCTTCACGATGTGTTTGTTGTTGCTGCTGCTGCTGCTGTTGTTGTTGTTGTTGTTGTTGGTCATATTCGGGAACCACACCGGCAAATGCCATGTTTGAATGTTCGTGCTGCTGTTCGCCGTGCAACAGATGACCCTGTGCACGACTGGCAGACGCTGGCGATCGGGATGGTTGCTGCTGCTGCTGTTGCTGCCGTTGAAGGTCAGCGGCAGCAGCAGCATATGTTACAGACGATGGCACCGGAGGATAATTCGCGTACGAAGCATCAAACATAGGAGCCATCGACGCGTACGTCGCCTGAGCCGGGGTCCAGTATGGATGGGATGCCGACGACGGCACATACTCTGGTGCCACAGGACCCTGAGAACCCGTTTCCGGAGGCAACTTAGAGTCACTTGGGCTCATCTGCGCCGCTGCTCCACGACCTGCTGGGACATACACGTTCTGAACCGGAAGACTCTCGTCCGGTGAATTCGCTAGAGACCAAGAGTCGGATGCATTAGCCCCATTCATTCCTCAACGTCAGCTCAATTGTTCCAGGAAACGATTTCGAGACAATCCGATGAGCACAAATCACACACACAGCACAAGATAAAAAAGCAAAATTCTGAAAGACCCAATTAAGAAACACAACCGTTCTACTCAACCTTGCGAAGATCTTCACTCGGGAGAAGGCCTGGGAGAAAGAAAAAACAGCACCGAGAACGCCAAAACTGGCAAATTGAGGGAAGGGAGTTGGCAAAGGGGAAGTTACGTTCGCTGGACCTTGGAGGAGGTAACACGTTGTAGTGCGGTAATACTGGATAGTGTGTTGTGGTGGGACGCGGTAGATATATGTGTTCGGTATCCCAGACCAACGTCATAGTAAGGCGATGAGAGGAAAGCTAGAGGCAAAAACGGCGTGTAAACAAACACACGAAGCAGTCAAAAAAAGCGCGAATTAAGCGGGAGCAGGGAAATTGCGACAAGAAAACAGCTCGGCGCCATCAGACGTCAGCTAGCGAAGAAAACGCCGTACACTAAGCGGGCGCCGCGCTTCGTTAGTCAGCTAAAGCCGACGTTTTTAGGCAACCCCAAGACCGCGGAGCCTACAATGCCACATTTCGGCGTCGGAAAGAGCATTACCGAGAGGTGAAATGCAGCAGGGGCCTGTATCCTCGAACGGGAACATCGATCGAAGCTGTCGGATGTGTGGACACATGTTGGAGACGCTCCGTAGACGAAGCCGTCAGCAGACACCGGGTTTGGACCCTGTTGCACTCGTGTCCAGAAGCTCGGCGCTGATTTGTCGAGCCTCGTCACGTGCCGCTTAGAATAAACCGGGAGAAGACAATTGGCTGAATCCTCGCTCCCGCTTCAAAGTATGCGACAGCGAGCGAAGCTCCCTCGACTTAGTGCGAGCGACACTAACGAAAAAGCGCAGGACAGCCGAGTTCGGAGAGACGAAAGCAGTCAACTGGACCCGTTCGCACAGTCACACGTGGAGTAAGCGAGCGAATCCGTCGGATGGCGCTGCAGCCGCTCCTCTTCTCGCACCGACACTCGCAAATCCCTGCTCCACTCGACGCGACACGTGGCTACCCCGGTCGCAGCTTATATGAGAGTGACGTCACGTCCACAAGGGTCCAGTAAGAGTGAAGCATGCCGTGTACAGCCTCATCGGCAGACAGCAGCAAAAGTTCCATCTGTGCAGTTACTCCTTATGGAGATACGCGTTTGGCCCACGTTCCTGATAATGGGGACAAAAAATAGTTGCACATGACGGTCCCCTTGGGCGTTGAGGCATGGTTCGAATAGGCATCGAGCATTAGCGAACGCGCTTAGTTTCGAAGTGTGCGAGCGGATGTCAAGGGAGAAATAGGCTAGCCGCATAACCGAGTTGCGATAGGGTTATCAGATGATCGTGACGTGGCGGTAACCGTAGAACCCTGTTGAACGCCGGCTCTTGCTAGAGGCTCAGCTGTGATGAGAAGTAGATATCGTAACGTGGAGACACATGCGGTCTCCTCCTTCTGGGGTCCACTCGACTTCGGCAGGCGCTTGTGTGCGCCGCGTGTCAGACGCATGTTCACTGCATGCCTGTGCATTGGTAGGGTTCAATGTCATCGGAGTTGTCGAATTCGAACGGCCAGTCCCGGACGTTCACAGCGAATTCCAATTACCGTCCGTTCGCGATAGCTAGGATTAACGACGCATTCGTTTCAACACTTCTTGATTAGCGGACTCAGGGATGACGAGCCACACGTTAAGCACAACGTGGGAAGAATGCGGGACAAGCGAATATACCCCACACGATCGGGCTCGCTTCGACCAAAGCTTCCTTTCAGCCTCAGTCAGAATGGGGAGAAAGAAGCATACGAGCCACGGTGTAGCGACCAGTGATAGCTCAAAACCACAACACTGAGAAGGTCAAAAACGTCAACCCCAAGAAAATGGTCGTCCGCATTCGTCTAGCTCGTCACGGGTTCAGAAATCGTCCCTTCTACCACATTGTCGCTGCGAATGGGAGGTAAGTAGTGAGGAGGCAGAAGGAATGGAGGAGGAGACATAGAGGGTCCCAAAGACACCACCGACGGCAATAGTGCTCGACGAAATCAGTGATTAGTTGTGGCTTGATCTTGCGATGGTGATAGTTCTGCACGGAGTCCCTCCATCACCGCAGCTCTTCTCGTTTCCAACGCTAACGTGCGTTTGCTAGAACATCATTGCGTTCGCAGCCATTAGAAACGCTTGGGACATTTGACCCAATCCCAAAAAAAGTCAACATTACGGACAAGATTCCTAGAATAAAGGACATAGAACTCAACGTCCCACGATTCAAGCACTGGATTAGTGTTGGCGCACAACCCACGTACGCTGTTACAAAGCTTATGGAAAAGGTAAGGTTTGAGAGGGTTGAGTAACAGAACTGGCAATTTTGTTACCAAAGCAGCTAGTTCACTGACTTACCATTTTGTAGTTTGATTTGCTGCCTGCAGCTCCTAAGGTTTTACCAGTGGTAAAAAAAGAGCGCTCTTCTTAACATGGGGCAGAGCACCCAAAAATTGTTTCAGTTCTGTTCGCTTCAAGCGTGTTTCAATTGCCTGCTGCACTGTTCCGTTATTAGTTTGTATGAGTTGATTAATGTTGGTTTCACTTCTTTTCGCCGGTTTGTTCGTTTCCGTGGTTTCAAATCCAGTTCACTGTTAGTATTAATCATCCACCACACTTAAACTGTCCGCCTTTCGCAAGCATATCTCGATCCAAAAGGAGAAAGAAACTTAATAAAATTTAACCCTGTCCAGTTGTAAAAAACCATTCACCGCTGAGCTTGTTCCATGCAACACAGCAGTGATACGCATCATCAACGGCATCCTTCTCGTTACACCACAGCACACACACAATCATCGCACCTTGGAAGCGCTTCTGTACGCCAAAACAACCAAGGGCCTGTCTTTTGTGCCGGCCACCATTTGTTCCACCACGCGCAACCGCCTTCACTGCTTCAATAAAAAACGTTTTGAGCTTAGGACGAAAAGCTTACGAAGAGCTGACAAGTACAAAAGCAGCGCCAAAACACATAAAGCAGTTCACGGTCGCCTGTGGAAACGGTCATTCAGGGAGGAGGATGCGAACACGGTAAACGCGCCTGTTCATTTAAACACAAGCACACATCAGCCGTCATACCACCCTCTAACCAAAGAAAGGGAGATATGAACAAGCCTTAAAAGTATAAGATGAATCATGCATAACAAATCGTCATGAAAATTATTGGGCAGCAGCAGCATGCACAGAATCTGAGGGCGCGGTTGTGACAGAGACGGAAATGAAGAAGAGGGCTTGCTGGGGAGAGTGTCTGAGGCGACGGCCGCTGCGCGAGCGCTTGTATCAGTGCTCACACTGCCATTACGAGACACATTTGCTGCTTCGGAGGTGAACGTCGTATCGTACAGGCTGCTAGAACTGTCGCCGCGAACGCATTCCGTTTGGTCATCGTCAGCTGTAGGGTTCAGCAACCGGTCACCCGTCCAGACCCAAGTACCGCGATCAACGATTTCTTGCAGGAACTGGCCAAACGCAGTACGCAGACCAGAGTTGTCAGCATCCCATTTAAAGAATCTGCACTTCCACGGGCGATGCTCTGCGCGCTCGCGCTTGCGCAACTCCCGCTGTTCTTGTTCAATTCTCGTTTTGGAGGAACTTGCCGCGTCATAATCACCCTCGGCAAGGGCACGAGCAACGTCACGCCAAACACGTCTTGTTTCGTACTCACCCTGCTGCTCGATGGGAGCAACCGTTACCGGAGTAGGTTTTAACTGACGGAGGTCCAGGAACGTAGTGCCATCGTGTTCGCCTTTATGGCGGATTTTCGATTCACCGGTCCAAACACCTTCTACCACGTAATCGGCCTTCTCGCCCTTCTTATAAACATTGGCCTTGAAACTGTTTTTCGTGCCAGAGAAATAGCCTCTGCCGTGGTAGTTGATTTTGGTGATATAGCCAGTTGTGGACACGATGTGTGTCGAGTTGTGGAGTTCAATGTATGGAGCCATGTACCAGAGCCCCTCCAAAGTCAGATTTGGCAGGTTGAAATAGTACGTCTCGTCATATTTTTTCAAATGGATGCGGATCTGGCCAGGCTGTGAGACGGCAAGAGTTCGTCCGGAGAAACGACATTTGTAAGGGTTGTAATTCAAAGCTTCAATGCCTGCCTCTTCGCACACAGCTCGACAAACGGAGACGGGAGGGTGATGCGACACTTGTTCCACGGTGATATCGACCTTGCCCTTTGACGAATCCCAACTTCCAATAAGCAGTTCACCCAAAATTGGATTCAAGGGCTTCTTTTCCGTACCGTACTACATTAAGAGTTGTTAATAGCGTGAACTTTGTCAAATAAAGTTAGAAACGTACGCTTTGGTTACGAGAAGCGTATTCACGGTTAATACCGCAAATGTACCATTTCAGCACATTCATCATTCTCTCGAGGGGTGTTTTACCGTCAGGAATGGAGACAAAAATCTCGGGGTACTCGTACCAATACGACAGGTATTCAAGCAACGAAGTACCCGACAAAATAAAAGACGGGGCCGTCAGTGAAGAAAGGTCACCTGTGCTGCATGATTGTTAGTCGAAGGGTTTCTGGAAAAGCGGGTTTTATGAGAGGCTAAGAAAGGTGCTAGAGTGAGGGCAACAAAAAAAAGTATCTGCTCCATTCACCAACTGTTTTTGTTTATATGCAGAAAATCAGACAATACATTACAGTCCCAGTTGCAGCTACTCAGCACCAGTCTCGTCCGTCTTCAAAGTGTACGTACAAGGTAGCCAGGGTTTTGAGAAATCCCTTGAAGCGTCTCCGTTAGCTAAGTTCCAGAATAACAAGACTACAAGTCGACAAACCGACGTACCATCCATGATTTTCTGTACTGGTTAGCATATGTTCGCACAACATCGTTTTTCTGTTCCAACAGCCGGCCAATTGCGGCTTTTAGGCTCGAAAAAAAAATGAGTTTACTTACTTCGAAACAGGGCCTTTCGAGGCCTCCTTTTCGGACTCGGGCACCGTTTGTTCCCCTATTCCCGACATGTTTGGAGCTCAATTCCTAGCAGAGTGGTGTGTAGAGGAAGAAACTGGTTTTTGTGGGTTGAAATCAGGTAAGCGCTGTTGGTAGGTGCTGGAGGGTACGACCTTCCAACCAGCATACGGATGTGTCCACTCATGCATCACATCTCGTTACTTTACTTGATGATATCATAGGTTTGCCGATTATGCCGATAAAATCGGCCGACAAAGGTAAACAGAAGCTGAGCGAAGCGCGTTTAGAGGTAGAAAATCAGTCGAGTTTAGTTGTGAGCGCATAATACCACGCGATTTTATGGGCGCAGGTTTGGGCCGTCTGAGACCGTTATGGAGGACAGAAAACAAGCATTGGCCAAAGCACCAGAGTTTGAGTAGAACACTGGAACGCGTTATTCGGATGCTCCTAGCGAGAGCTCATTGAGGTTAAGTGTGTGTGCGTGTGTGAACGTTTTGTCGGGTTGCCGGACCCGTAATGACTAGTGCTGTTAGTAATGTTTAGCGGCCGTCGATACGGTTTATACCCAGTAGGAAGTTGAGCAAGGTTGGGTTTCAGTAACGTTCAGTGAACTGTAAGAAGTTTCAATGGTCCCTACTACTTAGAGCAGAAATAGACGAGCATTTTAGGTTGAATGATAGGAACAATATTTGACATATAAAAGACGGACATGGTTACAGAAAAGTTGACGAGATGCCAGCGGTAAATACTCTTGAGTAGCACGCATGATTGTGCATGCCAGTTTTAGCTTTTTTGTTTTGTCGGCTGGTTGGGCTCAAGTTTCATGTTCGTTTTCACGTTTACCTTGCACAGTTTCAGCGACACGATGTTTCTTTGAGTCCGTTTACGTTACTTGCTCGGTGAAATAGCAAGGATGTGTATGTAACAGGTATGATTAGTCGATGATAGGATCACACTCCATTGCTGTGATCCTGGGGAATGCAAACAACAATTTAGAAAGGGAGAGGCGGAGACAGCATTGTCAAACTGCTAAAGGAAACTTCAAGTAGTTACCATCCGCTAGTAGGTGGGAGAGAAACAGAAAACAGAACATCTAAACAAGGATAGTAGAGATAGCTAGTCAGAAACACGTAGCAGCTATCATTGCAGAAGCAATCACATAATAGTACAAGCACGGGGGTGATACCTCAATAAAACATTCGCAGATTTGACAACCATTCAATCTCACCGGTAGGGTGCAGTCTTGAGCAGAACAAAACGGAAATCTACAGTAATGAGTGGTTTTCACGAAAAAGAGAACGCCATCAGGCTAGCCTCAGCTTTTCTACTTCTGCAGAACCATAGGAGGGTCTTGAGCATACTGAAGCAAGGATGATCTACTTGTTTCAGACTCGTTTGTGGGCGGTGCACGCAAAGAGCCCTGAGGGGGAAGCGCAGACTGGATGGAAACAGTCGACATACTTCCATCATCAGCAGCGGCAGCAGCAGCTTCGTTTCTGTCATCATTGTCACCCGATGCATACGCTTCAAGAATAATAGATTGAACATCATCTTTACCTGACTTGGAAAGCGTAAGGCTGTTCCGGTTCGAGTCCATCGGGATGTCGTTGATGTCCTCAACGTTGACGTACTTGACACGCTGCACAAATTCCGACAGACGTTTTTCATCCATAGGAGGACGGTCGATAGACGGACGCATAAACGAGTCGTCGTCCGTAGACTTTGCCGATATGGAAACCGAATCCGAATCCTTCTCGATACGTCCATTGTACACGACGGGCAGTAACTTCTTTGCATCTTCACGAACAATGGGGACATCGAGAGGCTTGTAGAGTGCTGGATGACCAAACTCAATGTCAGCCATTTCTTTCGAGGCCTCAGACATCTTGTTGTCAAGAACAGACTCTTCATCCCTAAGCGACAAGTACGAAGCATTTGGATCGTAAACGATACGGCACCAGGCCTTAAATATAAGAACAAGCGCCAAAGAAGGAATGACAAAGTATGCGCGCAGGTGACCACCATTGGCCCAAACACACAGGAACATGATGACATTCGAAAGCTCTAAAGCCACAAGAGCACGGTTGACGAGAGGACGCCAGAACGCACCTCCGGACTCCGTAGGCGTTTCGCATGCGTACAGCATAAGATACTTTTGCGAAAAGTAGTTTGCACAGAATAAGACGAAGGCAAACGGCAGAACAAGAGGGTTGATGGATGCGTAAGAGATAGCGATGGTGAAGTAAAACAGCAGCTGGTTTAAGCGAATAGCATAGTTTTGAGGGTCGGGCGACATCCACTCGAAGAACTCACGGGGCGTTGGTGACAAGAACTTGGACTTCAGCAAACGAATTACCAAGTTAGGCAACAAGGCCATATCCATCACGTAGCCGGAGGTTGCATGTGCAATATACATAATCCAAAAACTTGCAACCTGCACAACGGAAGAAACGATCTTTCCAACAAAATCATAGCCTTTCAAAGTGTCCAAACCCTTACTCAGACTACCTTCCTTGGCAGCAGTAGCAAACACGAGAAGTACAATTTGGAAAATAACCGTAAACAAAGTATAGATAATAAAATTGTCGACAGTGAAAATAACATGCAGCTTATGAAGCACATTACGTTCGCGAGCAGACTGTGTGAAACTTCCCTGCCACACAGCAAGGTATCGCATCAAGAACTCAAGGAACATAAAAGTGAGGGCAGTAAGAATGGGACCCAACACACCTTGAACCAAAGACCAAAAACCAGAGTTTTTCTGCAATTGGCGACCAAACCATGGCCACAAACTACCAATGTTGTGGAAGTTTGCAACGAAAGTTGCAATAAGAGCGGTCTGGAAAATCCAAACAACAAGAACGACACTGTAAATCAAAAATCCTATGCATCTGTTCAAGAAACGTGTACTCCAAGGTGTCGCCAAGTTCTTCCAAATGATGTCTTCGGGCATGGGTGCTGGGAGACAAATGATACCCTTAACCTTCTTGTTTTTTCGGGCAAGCTCATGGGCTATGAAAGGAGAGGCATACGTGATGAAACCGTACATCTCATACTCATTTTCACGAACAGACGCACGAGCAATGTTCAGTTTCAGTTCCACAGTCTCGATTTTCTCAGTGTAATAATTGATGGCATCGTGCTTCTCCTTGGTGAACAGAAAGAACTTCTTTTTCTTATAAACAGGGCGTTTCTCTGGAATCTTATCTGGATTCTTAAAATACTTTGATAACACAGACTCGAGCGAACGCACCAAGGCAGTATGCTTCTCCAGCATGTCCGGAATCTTTTTCACTGCATGACAAATATGTACATACAAAGGTGTTTGTGGATCACGGAAACGATCCGACAAAGCGATGAGACCCGTGTTAGAGCGGAAAGCCACAGGAAGATCAGCGACGAGAATGGAACGCGCATAGATTGTGTCATGGTAGGTCTTGCTACGGAAGTAGCGCTGACGAACCTGAGTTACAATGCGGTAATACCGTGAAATGATCCAGATGCTAATAATGTTCACGAGATAGGTGGTAACAACGTGTCCCCACATCCAATGTCCCTTCACATTTTGGATAGAGACACGAGCATACGCGTTGGTGTTGTCAACAGCTGAAGTGCTTCGGTTGGTCGCAATCACATTCAAGGGAATAAGAATACTGCAGCCAAAGATAGACAGGAAGAAGAAGAGATCCCTGCACATACGCGAAAAGAGTAAATGGATGGTAGCATCGGGGCCAATGCTATCGAGAGTCTCCTCTACTCGAACATCGTACAGAGGTTTTATCCAATCCCAGGGCTTGTTACCAATGTGTGGAATCGCTGGATCCTGCCGTTTTTTATTTAAACGTGGTGCATACACGTTCCGGAAACCTGGTCGAAGGATACTGAAGGCAGCGATCATGCAAAAAGATAAAATAGCTGCATAGCCAAGAGAGACAAGAATAGAGTCCCGGTCAAAATTTCCCTGACCATTGTTGGTTTCAATGTACTGAATAACCTGGTCAACGAAGGACGTTCTCTTAACGAGCGACATGTTTCAAACAGTCGTCCGGGATAAACAGGGAACAGTGGAATATAATGCGAGAATCGGCACGCGAAACACTGCGTGCACGCAAGAAAGGAAGCTGTAAATTAAGCTTAACAGGGGATTAAGAATAGATTGGTGTTGTGTTCTGAATTTCAATTCCAGTACGATTTCAGCAAGTGACGGGAGAATAAAGATGGAACAACGAAAACCGTAAATTAAGCCAGAAACCGGTCAGATTATAATGCATACGATGTGATACCGGTGTTCTGTGGAATATGTACACAAGAAATGCTTTGTGAAACGCGTCTGGCGACAAAGAATGCGAAAGGAACTTTAAACACGCGAAAGTAACAACGGTAACCAGACCGAACACGTACCGAGACGTTCAAAAGAGCAGCGTAAGACGTTTCGAGCGCGTTCAACGCGTATAAACTAAATATACTTAACGAAAACCGAATTGCTTCGCCTCGCAAAAAAAATACAATTAGCCGCGAAGCTGTAATGAGCGGCACGATCAAGAGACCAGCTCCTAATAGATTAAGAATGCGAATACAGGCACTAACGGAAACTGTTCCGCGCGAAGTAGGGACTGTTCTCAGAAAATGGAGGGGATTGCAGGGTTTAAGTGTCTGGGAGAGGGAAGAAAAATTGGCTAGTTGCTGCAGTAATACTTGAGCTTATGTCATACCTCACCAATAACAAGCGAGAATGCCAAGAAAACAAGTGACGTGCAACGAACTAACCGACCAAAGATCGCTTATCATCTCACAGGCTGTACGAGGCTAAGTTGCCAATCAGAAGCGTCAACGAATGACATGTGCTCATGAGAACTTAGTTTCGCTTAATAAGCTGGAGTGCTTTTAATTCGTGAGGCAACCTGACGTCTGCGGGTCGGAGGTTCCTCAACGCCTTAAAAAAAATCGCATGCAGCGCGTTATGAGCAACGACGAGTCGCATTACCATCTTCCGCCTGCAACTTATATTAAATTTAAATTTAAAGGAACTTTCGGCTGGTGGCCGTCAAATTAAGAATACGAAAACAGCATTCGGTTACGTCGGACATTGCGATGTTTTCGCCTGCGAGCCGAGGGCGCCAACAAAAATACCAGCCGTCCCACCGGGGTTTTCAGGGTCAAATCCGGTTACCATGAGGAGAAAGAAATGGGGTAAGGCGGGAAAACCCAACACACACGGGTTCAATGCGAAACGCGACATTCCGTGACGCGTTTGGATGGCAATGCATCCAGTGTGACATACAGTGCGCCATCCTGACGAAACACCCTTGCATACGAACAGCGGGGAACAAACGTGATACGAGATTTGTGTTTTCTCACCCCTTTACGTTTTTTTTTTTTTTGCCGTACTATGTTTCCTATCGCTGCTACTAATTGAATTCGTGGTGCGCGTTCGTTTTCTGCGGCAACTCGGAGACACTTTCGTCTCCTTTAGCCGGCGTTCCGGACAACTCCCGTCGCATGTAGATCATGACATCATATACGAAGATCCTCCGCATTTTAACAATCCATATTTTCCCACTCGGTAGTTTAATTTCCTTTATGCAGGCTCCTGCTCCACCAGAATTTGAGTATTTGCCTCGGTAACAACACCACCACCATAAACGGTAGCTTGACCTCTGCAAACCATTGCTTTGCTGAAAGCCGATATTTGTCGCTCGTTAAAACGTGAACCTGACCATTTATCGTTGTACAAAGTTGTAACGCATGCATCTATGCAGGAAGAACCATCAACGGATCATTATTTGCGAAAGAGTGGAGTAAATATCGCCCATGCGAAGACGGAAGGGCCGGACGCGGTGTTTAGAGCGTCTCCTGCATTCAGAGCATCTTCATACGACGCGTTTGGGGACGTTCACGGAGTACAGAACTCGGCAATCGCTGAGTCTTTAGGTAGTGTGTCGCCTGGTGATCTTTCAAGCCGAGGAGCTTGTCCGTTTACGTCGGTTGACGTGCCTACGGAAGCGGATCTAGAGCTCAGCAGTCGTTTGAGTAATTATCTTTCTGTTGATGAGTCACCGGAGCATTCCTCACCATCAGCTCGTAAGGCTAGCAAGTCGTTGCGTCTGTTTGAACCCTCGACCACGTCTAGACGGGAAAGCAAGGATCGACATAGCAATCCCCAGTCTGAAAAATCACATAATCGTCATGACAAACGCAACGGGTCAGATCGTCTTCGACGATCCTCCCTTTCCAAAAACACGGGTTCTGCGTTAACGACGGGCGGACCCGCGGAGACGTCGAAGACAACAACAGCCACTTATATTCCGCATCACCCTTCGTCTTCTGCGCTTCTTCTCCATCCGGCAGTCCCCTCCACACCCGTTTCTAGTCGACATTTGCGAACCCTTCCTCATGATGATGACCTTCATGACACCAAAGAGCATCCCCCGTCTCACCAAACTCGCCGCTCCTCTATTTCATCTGCCTCTTCCGCCTCCTCCTATTCCGTTTCCTCTTCAGCCGTCACCTCTGCGTCTACGTCGTTTGACAACGAGAATCCTTTTTTTAACTGGGATGAAGATTTCCCCATAACCGTTCAACTCGAACCATTTAAGCATCAGGTTGGTGGTCATACTGCCTTTTTTCGCTTTTCTAAGCGAGCCGTATGCAAACCATTAACTCGGAATGAGAACTCATTTTACGAAACCATCGAACAACGATACCCGGCCCTGCTTCCTTTCATTCCCCGGTACATTGGTGTGCTCAATGTCACGCATACATTCACAGATACGGAAGAAGCCAATGCTGAGCAAGGCGCTGCACAAGCACGAGGCAGAGCGTCTGATGCTACTAATTCAAATCAGAGTGATGAGGTTAAACGGATTGTATCGCACCGTTCATTCGATTACATTCCAGAGGTGAGTGTTGAACAGAATCGACATATATTTCCTGAGTGGATGTTTCACCATCATCATCATCATCATTGCTGTAGTGATTCAAGTGAAGGGGATCATTCGCCGTCTGTGGGTTATCATAAATCTTCGTCCATGTCTGGACTCGACTCTGGAAGCGAACGACCTTTTACGGATTCGCAAATGGAAAAGCAAAGAAATTGGGGTACTACTGTTATTAATCGAAAGCTCAGGGAGCAAGTTTTACGTGAAGTGTTTGCTCCCAGACGTACACGGAGAAATGGAAACTCAGATTGTCGTTGTCGACGCTGTCACCATCATCGCCATGTACGCCCTCCTGTGTACCGCGAACAAACAATATCTGTGGGAAGCCAAAACCACGAAGTTCATCGGAAGAACAGGATTGAAAGTGAGGAAATGAACATGCCATTACCAAAATTGTCATCAAGTGTTGGTCGTAATGCAACATCTATACCAATGGAAGAAACGGATGAAGAGACGGGTGGCCTGTCTGATTCTCATGCACATACTCGATGCCGTCGATACTCTTCTGATGCTGTATGGGAGGATCAGGACGCCGATGATTATCCTTCTTTATCTGAGCGCGTGGCACAATTGCCTTCGTACCGACGTAGTTCCAAGCAAGAGGCGCCCGTGATTACAGACGATCAAGACACAATGTTTGACATGGATACTGAGACTGTTTACGGTGGGGATGTTCCTCCTCCGCTTGAGTCGCCGAAGCTTCCTCAAGAACCTATTGCGTCCAAACAATTGAGTGTCCCCGAGAGTCTGGAACATAAAGTGGCACCTACAAAAGCCAAACCAATTCACCCATCGTCATCGTTGGCCGCTGATGAGTCGGCGCAGGTACATGCGCAGACGAAACGAACTCAGATCGAACGTTACATTGTCATTGAGGATTTGACTAGTGGAATGAAGCGTCCTTGTGTACTTGATTTAAAGATGGGCACACGTCAGTACGGCATTATGGCGAATGAAAAGAAACGTGCTTCACAGAGCAAGAAGTGTGCTATGACTACTTCTAGGGAACTCGGAGTTCGGATATGTGGAATGCAAGTTTGGCATAGGCAAGCTGGCTCGTATACTTTTGAGGATAAATACGCTGGTCGTGACATAAAAGCAGGAGAAGAATTTCAACAGGCGCTCATGCGATTCTTAGGAAAAGGTGAATCAGACGAAGGAAATGAAAACGTTCAAGTCCACCACATTCCAGTTATCTTACGTAAACTCAGAGAATTGGAACGTATCATTCGTTCGTTGAAGGGATCTCGGCTATATGCAAGTTCCTTGCTCTTCATTTACGACGGTGAACCACCAAACGAGTCTTCTGACGATGATGAGCATAGAGTTCGTGAAATTGATATCCGAATTGTCGATTTTGCAAATTGTGTATTTGCTGAGGATAAGGAAGCACTTGCTAAAGCAACATGTCCTCCACAGCATAGAACTGCACACGATCGTGGTTATGTTCGCGGTTTGAGAACATTGCGCTTGTACTTTCAAAAGTAAGTTATTTTCTATCTTTTATACTTTTACTAACTTTTTCTTCAGAATTTGGCGTCAAGAAATGGAACACAGCATTTACGAGCACGGCCATGGTGCAGAATTTAGTCATGACAGTTTTGATGAATGTTTCGATGTATTTCCTGAAGGTCTGGATGATTCTCAGGATAGTGAAGTTTCCATTTAACAGCGCAAACTTATCTATTGCTTTTTTTCCCTTTGCTGCTGATGTGCTTTTGGAATTGGTCTTCTCAAAAAACGTGTTTGAGTTTGGCAAGCTTAATCGGCTTACGTTCGGTTTTGTCTCATATAGCTCTCTTTCCTTTTCGCTCTTTCTTTTCCTCTCTTTCTCTCTTTCATCCCTTCATTAAAAATACAGTTGATGGTCTAGTTGTTATTATCTTCGGGTCCGACAAATCTCTAGAAACCTTTTGTTCGTCGTTTTCTCTTTTTGGGTTGGGAATTGTGCTTTTATATTCATAGTCATTTCCCAAGAACTCTATCTACTTCATTTACCTAATCGTAGACATTAATATAGCTTTCACGATGGTATTTAATTGTTCACATATTCATTGTAGTCCATTCATAATTTCTTCTTCCTCGTAGATAGTGATACTGAGTTTTGAGTCTTGACTAAACCTCCACGTACCCATTTGTATGCATTCTAACAATTTTCGCATTGTACGAAGGGAAATAGCCAAGAATCCACCCGAGAATCGTCATGGAGATGATGAATTGTTGGATTCTGAGTCCAGTAGCTCACAAAATCGGACAAAGCATAAACGGGGCATGTCCAAAAGATTCCAGCAGCAAGAGCTCGAAGGTTCGCGATAAGACAATTGTGCGACTGTTACTGACATAATGAAGGACTAATCAATGATATTGAGGATGAATGGAAAGATTTATTTAAGGAAAATGTATGAGTATACTTAAACAGAAAATCGTCTAACAATCAACAACAGTATAATCCATTGAGCACGGCATTGGAGTTGTTGGACAAAAGTTCCTTTGGAAGAGGCTATGAGAACTTCATTGAAACTTATGATAAAGTCAAATCTGCTTTGCAAAGGATTTCTTCTGAGAATAAGGAAGACTTTATGCAAAATGTAACTGCTTATGGAAGAATTATGGACCGACTGAATGTCACAACCTCCAAAGTATTGAATTTGAAAGCCTCCCTGAAGTCGGCGCAATCAAGTATTGATAATATAACAGGGAGCAGTGAACTTCTACAACTCCTGTCTCGAAGTGCACAGCTGAACATCATTATTGAGACTCTTCAGTCAGTCCACAGCGCCTTTCAGTCGAGACAAAACATTGAAACTCTTATAAAGCAGAAGAAGTATTATGAAGCAAGTCAGCTGCTTGTCAAGACTTCACAGACATTGTCGGAAAAAAGCTTCGAAGGAATTAGCTCAGTTGACGGTTTAAGAAGTCAGATTAGTGCTATGGAGTCGTCGTTTTTTGAAACGCTTGTCGATGAACTTACGAGAATTGTTTTTCTTAGGTCTGATACTACATATTCGTTGGAAACACCGAAGGATAGTCCCATTAGTAAGTTTTTTTCTCTGCCTTCCAAATGCTAACCTCACAATTACAGCTACAAATCCTTTCTTTCTGCGTGAGTTTTTGGACAGTATCAATAAGGAACCATCAATTCGGCAGGTAAATAAGCTAAAAAAGATTGCAGAAATTCTACAAGAACCGGTAAGAAGTGATGCGTTTGTCATAGCGTACTAATATTTTTAGTTGGATAAAGATAGATATAAAGAACACGGTACAGATAGCTTTCGTGATCTGCGCATGGTCTTGGAGTCCCTCAATAACCTGAACAAACTGCGAGACGCATTAGCTGTGCTTAAGCAAAGAACTCCAGCAGAGGTCTATTATCTTGTTGATTGCGTTGTAAAGCACGCTGATACTACTTACTCGGCCGGTTTTAACTGTGATATTCCTACTGCCACACAATCCATATTTGATGCTATGTTTGATAGCAAAAACGAGCAGCAGAGTAAGATATTCGAAAGGTTCTTTCATTTATTTTCATTAAAGCTCGATACACTTGTATTTCATTACAGGTTGATTGGTGACTATCTTACTCGTCTCGTCGGTACTGATTCTATGGGTGTATCTCGATATGAATTTTCCTATTCTCCCTTGTGGGATGCATTAAAAAATGAACTGGGTCTATTGTTAAAGGATTATCTCATTACGCCAGTTGAGTATAGCTACTCGAAACAATCGAAGGCTGCAGCGAGTGATTCAACAATACATACCAATTATGAGTTTGATCAGAACAAGAGTTTCTTTAGCTCGGTTAATGGATGCCTGCCTCAAAAAGATGATAAATCATTTGCGGCTGAATTGACGAAGATAGTTAAGGACTTTTCTTTGATTAACGTTGGAAAATCGAACTCAAATACCTCAACCACTGATTTGAATCTGTATGTAAACCAGCAAGGTTCCATGAAATTCGCTACCAACCATAAAATTATTGCTTATCCTTCTATCTTTGATGCCCCCATTGTGTTAATGTCTGTTGTTTCACTTCTTACAAACTTTCGCTACATACTCGACGGAGTATCGAATGTTCCTCAAGGGGCATACGTTCGTGTCATTTCGGCCTTTCTCAAAGATACATTCCTTCCACATTTTACCGATATCATTTTCTCCTATTTTGATGACATTATGAATGACCCGGATGCCTTCAAGGTTCATCCTGACTGGATAAAATTTCATGACTATCCTATATACAAAGGCTTTGTTTCAACTTTACAATTCGTTGAAAGTCTTACGAACTCATTTCCTGTTATGGCTTCTAACCTGGTGGAATACTACGAGATTTTGCTAAAAGTTCTGCGAAAACTTGAGTCAAAAGCAGTTCGTTTTGTGAACGAGCTTTGCGTAACTACTTTATTGAAGAAGTATAAGTTTACGAAGAATATTTCGGACTTAGGTACTGAAACTGCTCGTTTGAAGACTGTTGGCAATGAGAAGCTATTCAATTCATTCAGTAGTCTCTGGAACAGTCCTGATCAACCTGAATCAGAGTGGACAGAATTGTACTTAACGGAACGAAAAGGTTCCCTGTTTTACGGAAGAAATGAAGAGGATATAGAAAACTTGCCAAAGTCTATCATTTCAAGGGATTCAAGTGTAGCTTCGCAAATAGCTTATCTTTACAATTCCTTGATATGGTTTAACAAAAAGTGTTTCTACCAATTTCATGCTAATAAAACGGAAAAGGAAAACACTTCTGAGAACAACATACAATATGGACGTCCACTTTTTGTGATGCGGGTATTGGACTATGATAATCCACAACATAAGAGTTTGATTGGGTATGTGTCCTTGCGTACTAATACGTTTTATTTTTTTTCTAACCAACAGTGACTATGAAACTGTCATAAGATCTTACAGAGATCTCTCTTATCAATGCCTTCTGTTATTGCGGATGGAAATTAGACTCCTATATTTTAACACCTTAGTCCAAATTGTCAAAGTACCAAATTTCATTCTTGAATACAAAGGCCGGCCTGATGACGTGGTTATTGAATTGGATTCAACAATTATTTCCGTAAATTTTGAAATTGAACGAAGCTTACCAGAACGAGAAAGAGCGTACGTTTACATTATTCGATTTTCGTTTACTAACGCTATTAGTATGATTTGGAAGGGACTTGACTTCATTGTGGATCATCAAATGTATGAGATATTCCGAAGCCTTAAAAGTATGAATCGTGGTGCTTGCTTACAAACGCTTCGAAACTTGGCTGTTATGGTTCAGACTCTAAAGATTGTGAACGACAATCCAGATGCAGTTGGGTTGATGCGGTCAATTCGTGCTTTCGGTGTTTATAGACTTGGTCTTAAGAAGGTCACAGAGTTCTTTGCTTCAAAACCTACTGCATCGAATTATGAGGATGTTAAGCACATGGTGTCCATATTTTATCGCAAGATGCTCAATGAAGCTCAAGCTCAAGAACGTGATGATCTCGTAAGACAATATACGAGGAAAGAAGCTGCTTATAATGCTGAAATTGACCGGATTGCAAAGGCCGCATCTATCGAAACCCATCTAGTCAAGAGCAATGAATCTACCCCTAAGCCTAGAAAGTGATCAATTTATTGACCCGACGTCGAATGAGAACAAAGTGAATTTCTATTATAGTATTAAGGATAAATGAACAGGAAATACGAACCGTAAAAAATAAATTTACATTAAACAGAAATGACAAAACCCACTGAGTGTTTCTCAAAGTTGTATGAGAATGATATCTGATACGCCAAAGGCTCTTCCACAAATTGGGCACCGCCGTTGGCGTGTTTCAATACGCTTTTGAATGCACTCGGCGCAGAACCCATGACCACAGAGCGAGATTACCCTGTTCTTCCACCGCTCAAAATTACATACAGAACACTTACACATTGCTCGATATGTTTGCAGAGCCTCTGTAGAAGGCGCAGTTCCACGTTCATTTAGCTGTTTTTTTAATCTCTCGTGGGTTTTGAGCGATGTTTCATTTTGCTGAACTTGATGGGACAAGTCATTAAATTGTTTGCGAGTATCGTTAAGCTCGCTTTTTTTATTGTTGTAAAACTGGCGTAACTGAGAGAGAACAGATTCTGCTGTCTTTCCCACTTTTTCATCACGTCGCTTTTTCAACTTGCTTTTCATAAAGGTTGAAGCTAATTGGATTCGCTCTTCCACGAGAAAAACGAGCTTTTTCTCTGTTTCCATAACGTCGACAATCCGATTTTTATGATTTTCCACAGATTTTTCAAAAAGATCATTACTTCGTTTGTAAAGATCACGAAGATTTTTCACATTTGATAATAGTCCATCTCTTGACTTCATAGTATCAAAGTATTTTTGATCAGCTTTGGTCTTCTCCAAATTGTATTTCAATAACAACTCATCTTTTCGTTTTGATATTTTTGAATTCACCTGCTGGTGGGCAACGCGAAATGCTTTTTCCGTAAACGAAACCTCGCTAAGTAGTGCCTCAGACTGTTTCTGAAGATAAAGCAGAGAAGAATTGTCAGAACCCACGGATGGTACATTCGGTTTTAAATCCAAACGAGACTTCAATTCTTCAATTTTTTTAGCCAGTTGCTCAGCTTGTTCAATTTTGTTTTGAACACTTACAGCCCGTAATTCATCAGCACTACGCGCCTTTTCATTTGCTTCACGTAACTGAACCGTTGTTTGTTCAATCCGATGCATGTCGGATTGTGAGTTCGCCATTTGAGATTCAAATTCGGAAATAACGCGAGCCATTTCCTCGGTGAAAAACCCTTGTGAGGCTTTAATATTTTGAAACATAGATTCACATCTTGTAGCTTCCTCCGCATAAATCCGCCGTAGAAATGCAGAATACTCAGAAACACTTGTTAAAGAGGTCTCGACATCCACAAATGCCAAACTGTTCTCATATTGCTTCTGGCTCAGAGAAAGAAGAGCTGAATTAGCTGTAACAGTATCCTCTTCTGTCGATTTAAGAAGTGATTGTAAGCGAGAAATAACAGACTCCCGTGAGGAGAACACTACATTCTGTTCATCACGTAATCGCTGTAGCTCTCTTGCATCCTCATCGGCGCATTTTTGTTTATTAGATGTTTCGTTCTGGGATGTCTCAACCTGTTCTTCATTGGTGTCCTTCGGGTTAGTATCTTGAGGATGCTTAAGAACAGCCTCAGTAATGCAGCGTAGAGTATAACTACAATTCCGGTCTTCGTTCCTTCTGAGGTTCACGTAGTCAGTCTCAATGTCATTGAGACGCGCAATTGCATCGTCAATGGATTGCGATGTAGCTTCATTCGCAGCAGTTATGTGTGCTATTTTCTCTGCCAGACCATTATCCTCAACCTCAATCTGGTCGGGTAAGGAAGCCGCGCCTAGAAGATTCAGATTTTCAGTTACGAAATCAAGCAGGGCAACTTTATCATTGGCGAAAATGGTTTCGAAAGACGCAAAAGGCATATGGGTAGTTAGGGCAGTCATGGAACGGTCCAATTGTTTATTTGGAAACGGTCGTCCTCGTAAACGGAAGCAATGTTCTATAAATCTCGGCCACCAAAGAAAACAACACATCAGCTGCGTCATTTTTTGTGTAAATACGTCTAGTGATATTGAGTACTCATTTGTCAGACGATCATACTCACGCCGTGCCTCCTTCACTCTGACCAGCAGAGCTGACTTGGGCACATTAATGAGTTCATTTTGTTGTGTTGATTCGGCAAAAACGACACGTTTTTTTGATATCGATTCGTCAAGTTCGGTTGTAAGCCGCTTCTCTACCATTGCAAGCTCGAAACAATTGATGAAACGAACGAAAACAGGAATTTGCAGGTAAAACCGCAAAATCCGGGTTCTCCGACTCGTTTAAAAAATTTCTCAAACAAACAAATGTCTGGGAGTTCGATAGAAGTCCTAATTGTAGCAAATTACGATGATTTGTACAATTTTGTGTGTCTTGAATATCGGTGTTCTGAGTACTCGGTGGAACAGCTTCGTGTTACAGATAAAAAAGTTGTATAGTGTTATCACATGCTCGCTAAGTTTCGCAACTCAAAATAAACTTTGAAGGCGGCCTCGGTTAAATAGCGTTAATGAGACGCTTGTGAGTTTTTTGCAAAAAATGGTTCCCTTCAAAGCAAAAGTGTAAGACATGTCGACTCAAATTTTGGAAGATAAAAATCCGGCTCAAGCAGAGGAGAAGAAAGAAGAGGTGAAGGGAACCGAGTCGACGGAAGCGACTGCAGAAGCAGCTCCTGCAAAGCGAAAACGCCGTGAGATTCGTGCCGAAAAATTGAGAAATGAAAAACGTCAAAAGGCATTGGCCATTGCGGATGAGCAAAGAAGAAAACGAGTCAGTATCGAGTTTGTGACGCTGAAGAAACTCTCCAAACTTAAGTCTTCGTCAGAGAAAATTAAAGTTAAAGATAAAAAGGAACGCTTGGTAATTGACGACGGAAGCCAGTATGGAGACAGCAAAAACGCACTGTTAGTATATCATTTAGCTTGTGGTACCGGTGCCAAGTTCACAGAAAAGTTGTTTGACGGTATTTCTGAGTTATATAAGGCACAAAATCCAGTGGACATGGAAAGGAAATTCGTTTTCGGATCAACATACGAAAGCAACAAAGGAAGACTTGTTAAGACGAAGGACACCGTCAACACGTTGGGCTATAGCACATTCATCGAAACGTTTAGTCCCCTATTTCGATTTGCCAGTGGTATTATTCACAACCACATACCCGAGTTTCATGAGACCATGCTTAAACTTAAGCTTGCACCAAAACAAGATCGTTTTGGTGCCTTTCCCAATTTAGCTTTGGTCCCATTGAAAGAAGGACATATTAATCTTGGCGAGGACCCCATAAAGTACGGGTATGCTGTTTTAATTTTTGCGGGTGACTTTGATGAAGATGTATTGCAACTTCCTAACATAAACGGTGTAATTCGGCTTCACGGTGGCTCCATGGTTGTGCTGCGTGCGGGTTTACTGCAGCAATACTTCCAAACGAGCAAGAAAGAGCAATCTGAGAACAAATTCTGTGCAGTTTTGTTCGCCTCTCAACGGCTTTGGAAGCATGTCGACAATGAAGACGTGACTAAAAAATGGTAGTAGTGTTTTGACAATACCAAAAATATATATGTATCTTGTGAGTGCCGCAGTGATCTGTTTCTTGCTCAACTCAGAATTGCTTTATAGCAAGAGACGTGAATTTACTGAAAAGCTTTAAAGTTGACGAGGCGTGCGAGGAGGTTTAGGAGTACGAGCATTAGCACTCGGTGTCCAGGAAAACTTAGGAGTGTCAATGACTCGTGTCCGTCCTGTCAAGCGTGAGCCACGCGTGCTCAGAAGCAATGTTGATGGCGTCCGAGCAACTGATTTGGGTGTTCGATCGACATGCTGACGAAGTAAGAGCTCTCGACGGGGTGTGTCCGGAACACGAAAGCTCGAGGACAACCTACGAGAAGCGTCAATCTCGTTTGCGCCAAGAAGAGTGTAGCCATTAACAGTACCGCGTTCATAATCTACCGCGGGACCAGAATGTTGCGAATTAGAGTTTGTGGAGAGACCAATAATCGAGGTGGGGTTCGCCGCCATTTCAGGGGTGAATCGGGTCGCGTGCGGCACTACGTCAGCGGTAGCACGAACTTGTTTTGATCCACGTGGCATCGGCAAAGCCAACTGTGCTGTTCCCTGCTTTAGGGCAGCACTGGAGTCGTCAGTCCAGGTGCAGATCTCTGCGCTAGGAGCTCTCCAGACAATAGAGGCTGGTCGTGTCCTCTTCCACTCACGTGGACGCGGTTTCAATGCTTCGCGTCTTGCCTCTTTCTGTGCGCGTTCCTCCCGCATTAGATCTGCAAAAGACGCATTGTCTTCTGACGTCACTTGCGACTGGTACGTCATGATCGACGGGACAGAATCCATGGTGTCGATCTCCCTTGTTGAAGAATCAGGGTCCACTGCTTCGAGCCCGATAGCCTCTGAACGGAGCCGAGGAAGGTCGGGAAAGAACCGCTGCTGAACCACGGTAGCAAGTCCCTCAGTATACGCGTCCTCGTCGACGACACGTGGAGAAGTCATCTCTAGTCAGTAGCAATTGCCTGAATTGGGAGGAGACTTCGGCCGCTCTAAAGCGCAAATGCAGACGTTCAGAGTTGCAAACTTAAAGTTGAAAGCGGCAGTTTTTCTTCATGTGTCATTCACCAAGTGACATTCAAGATGGTGACTATGGAACAGTGTCGTATCACATAGACTGGATGTTCTTGCAGGAGAGGACGACAAAGGTGGACCAGGTTTGTGGAGAAACTGCTCGTTGAGAAAACCCTAACCCAGGGTTATGTGGGGGTAAAAGGGTACAAGTGTGGTGGAATGAAGACCAAGAGAAGAGAGAAGAGAGAAGAGAGAAGAGAGAAGAGAGAAGAGAGAAGAGAGGAATAACGAAACGAATCTAGTGAACGGTGAGTTAACTGGCAGAGTTGTTGGGGTGAGGTGAGGTGAGATGTGCGTTTTCTCTTTTTTTTTTTTTTTTTTTTTTTTTTTTTTTTTTTTTTTATTTATTATTATTATTTTTTTCTATATATTTAATATTGATCTGTTTTTTATTTATTATTTATAAAGCTTGTTTTTAACTATATGTTTCAACTACTCGGGCATTAAACCATTGAAGGAAACCACTGACCAATTCGTCATGAAAACCTTAATATATATACTTGATCCTGTTTCTTATCATCCACATTTACTCATACAAGTCTTAAAAAAGCAATTACAGAATTCTTTGTTTTGGATTTTTCTCCATCCGTACTCATTTGTTTTATCATAGAATTACTATTGCTAAACGTTTCATGATACAAAAATAAATATAGCTTCTTAATAATGATTGTAAAAAAAGATAAAGACACTGATATATGCGACTTCCATACTCGTAAGACTAGCAAATAGCAATCAAAAAAGGCGGAAAAAGAAAGTATGTCCATTTGAAATGTTCGCTGACAAAATGTTGATTAAGGTATGGAAAGAGTTGAAATGAACGTATATAAAAGTGCAGTTTTAATTCGTGCCGGCAAGACGCAACAGGATGTGTGTACAACCCATTGTCTCTGGTACAAAAGATACGTTGATCGCTGAACAATTATGACACATTAGTCAGAAAATGGGTACCCGCCATCGTTGGCTTCACTCAAGCAGAAAACGAATTTGCAAGGGAAAGCATGGTGACAACATGAAGACCTAACAAGTAGCTTAAAAACATTAAACGTGTGGCTTTGTTTAACAGAACAAGTTTGACCAAAGAGTACACAACCCGCTCCAAGGGACCCATTCGCGAATAGGCTCGCTCCATCTCCTAAAATGAGGATTAGTATATACAGTTAATGAAATTGAATGAGGAAACAAACCTTGCTCCGGAAATTACTGTAGGGCGATATTTTTGTTTCATAAGACTGATTTGCGTTTCCCAACTCCAGATCTGACGGATTCATGTACTGGCGATACGATGCCTTGTATCGGGCTTGTTCATAGAGTGAAGTAGTTGTCCGCTTCATTTCCTCAATCTCCTCTTGCAGCTTACTGTTCTCTGACTGTAAGGAATTCACTTGCTTGAGCAACTCCATGTTGCTATTACGGAAACGATCACGCTGTTTTTTTATGATATCCATAATACCAACTGTTGATTCTGCATTTCCGGTAACTGACATTGTGTGTCCTGAAATGATACTGGTGTTTCCGCCATTCAAGATTGTTGAAGTAGGAGAAGAACGTCCATATTGTGAATGTGCAAAATTCACAACGCTACCACTCTCAACATCTACGGAGCGTAATTCATTCTCCAATTCTTCAATAATCTTTTTGTGACGAGAAGACTTTTCTTCTAACTGTTCAACACGTGAACTATACTGAGCACACTTCATCTGGAGCTCCGCAGCTTGCTGACGATATGTAGCAAGTTCGCTCGCCATCCGTCGCTCTTTCTGCATAAGACGTGCTTCCAAGCTGAGTGGTTCGGCACTCTTTTCGTTCTTCGATTCCTCCGTGCCAAATTCAACTTCCTTAAATACTTGTAATTCACGCTTGACCTCTTCATAATCGGCGCATTGGTTCACCTGTGCTTGCAGTTCTTGAATGCTGGCTTCCTGCTCTTGTAGAAGGGATGTAATCTTCTCCAGCTCAGCACCGTACTCCGCCTTTGCTTTTTCGTTGTGCTGCAATTGCTCGTGCAACCGCTGTGTCAGTTCATCGTTCTCTGTTTCCAAAAAATGTACGCGACTGCTTGACTCTGCATCGGCATTAGAGTCTTGAGCTATTGCAGACCGTTGCTTCAGCTCTTCGTTTTCCTGTTGAAGTTTGGCAATCTTTTGGCTTGCCTTCTCAAGGTCAGTCATGAGGGTATTGAAGCCCTCCATGCTCGTTAGCTTGCTTTCACTAGCATCGGATTTTTGAGACAACTGGATACTTTGCTCAATCTGACTTAATTGAACAGTTTGGAGTTTTTGTTTCAGTTCTTCAATTTGGTGAGCGGCCTCAGCTTCTGCATCTTTGTGCATAGCTTCTTGTTTGGCGTACTCACTTTCGCATTCCTTACGCGTATCTTTCACAGCTTTCCGAATTTTGGCTTCATATTGTTCTGCTTGCTTTCGCATTTGCTGCTTCAAAGCCTCAAGCTCTTTTTGTGCGTCCTTTGCCTGGGACAATTCAACTTGTGATGCGGCATATTTGGAGCGAATACTCTCAAGCTCGTCTTGTGTTGAATTGTAATCACTCAAGCTTTCCAGGATTGGGAAAGGGTCCGGGACATCTCCCAGGGCCTCGTATACCTTTGCAAATAAGGCTTCCGAATTCTTTGCTCGTCTCGTTAAAGAATCTATTCCTGTTTGATAACGTTTTAGAAGTGCCTTAATCTCAAGAAGCTTCTGGTCATCTTCCAGCTTTCTAAAATCTGCACAACAGAGGTAAACTGTCAGCAAAAAACGTGCGAAACTACCGATTGCAAAATCCTAGATATACAAACCTTTTGTTTTGCTAGCGATTTCCTTTCTTTCTTCCAGTGAATTTTTCTGTACATTTGCCAATTCAATGGCTACAGAATCCATTTCTCTCTGTAATTCCGTAAAGTTTGCATCTATTTACGTTTAGCCATTGAACGTCAAGAGCATCTGATGCATACTTTTCCATGACTCCTTAGCACTCAATAGAACACTTTCTTGCATATTTAAATTTGTCAAGTGCAAGTATCGACGAATTTCCCAATTCCGTCTTCAACAGAGCTTGCGTGGTTCTTGGTCGGTCACTCTTCCAGACCCAGCCAAGCCAAATGCAACTTCCTTGCTACTAACTTCTCGGAGACCAATTGATCTGATCGTCGTTTGATTGCTTTCATAGTAAACTGAGCGTAATAACGGGTGGGGATCACTTATTCTATACTTTTGTTTGTTCGTGTAAAGGGTAAACTTTTACCGAAAAGTAGCTTTCATGAAGCAATTCGCGCTCCAGAGCCTCAGTATTCCCTCAGAAATAAAATCAAAGGCAACATGCATTGTTACTATAGGTATTTTTTTTGTTATTTCTGATTACAGTAACTAACATACAGGTGACTTTATAATTGTCGGTGACAACCAAGGAACGCTCTACCAATTTGATGTATCCGTTCAATCCAATACAGATTATGCGTTTTTACAAAAGAAAACGTTAAAGCCGGCGGCATGCGTTCACAGCCTTACAAATGTTCCATATGCCAAACTTCTACTAGTACATTATGGTACTTGGCTTACATATGTAAACCCGTATACGCTCGCACGAAAGAATGTGTTCCTGATGGATCAAGTCAAACAACTTGCGTTCGATAAACCACTTTCGAGTCCGGCCACAATGTTTCTTGCTATCACGGAAACTCAGCTGAAAGAATTGTACATTCAGAAAGATGGGATATTACGCAAACACAAGGTATAAGTTGACTTTTGCAGCCAGCATGCTAATGTCGCCAAGGAATTTCCATCGGGAGATGTTATACAAGCTTCCTACCGGAAAGGAATCGTTTGTCTTGCGGGAAAGGAAATGTACACGCTAATCGACTTACAGGCAGAAACAAGCCTTCCTCTATTCCCAACACCTATGTGTAACCCGGAATCAAAATTAGAAGATTTTTGCGAACCGCTGATAGCGAAATATCACGACGAGTTTCTTCTAATTGCTGGAAGCGCAGATGCTGCAATTGGTATGTTCATTGACAAAACAGGCTCAGTCACCAGAAACACCGTACTGTTTCAAGAGTATCCAAAAACACTTTACGTTAATGATGGAATTGTATTTGCATTCGGAAAGTCCAAGCTACACATCATTAACGTCCATGATCAAGAACAGGAACAGGTGCTTGATTGCAACATATCTAATTATCCATATTTTTGCCCTGTGAAATTACCTGTTTTTGATCCAATAGACGTGGATAAGCTCACATTCGTTTATGCGCTTGTTGATTTTCCACCTGCATATGAGGATGCTGTCCTTGCAAAGCGCGCAGCCTGCTCTTATTCATTCTTCGTACTTTTAGGCTCATCTGACTGGTTAGCCGTTCACGTACAATCACCTTTTCTTTTTCTACAAGACAGTATATTGAAGGGGGAAGTAGACTCTACGCTTAAACAATTACGGAAGCGAGCACAAAATCCGTCAAAATATGGACTTTCCAATGAGACCATTTTTCAACAAACCTTGTATCTTGAACAGCTCATCGCTCTCCATTACTGGAAGGAAAACCTCTTTGAGGACATGCTCAAATACCTGAAGAGCTCGAAAATGGATCCCCTTCTATTACTTTCCCTATTCCCGCGCTACCGTGTTGCGACTGATACGGTTATTGTTTATAAGGGGATCCTCGAGCAGATTCGCAGCGTTCCTCCATTTGATGAGTGCATAATTGAACATCTAAAACACAATGAGCTTTACAAAGAAGCTGACGACGCAACTAAATCTCAGATCCTTAATCTTTCAAAAGAGAATGCCTTAATAATGCTTCATAGATACTTATCCTGGTTCCGTGGACAGAAAGGTTATGGAAGCTTGTCTGGGAAAAATGATCAGGAAAAGTTCAAAATTGTCGAGAAGACGCTTCTCCACTTGTACTTTGATGTCCAGTTTTCAAGTGATCGTACAGATGATTTGAAAGAATTGTTGAGAACAGCAACAGATTTAACAGACGAAGCGCGGCGAGTCCTCGAGTCGCATCATGAGTATGGGTTGCTTGTGTATATGTACAAAGTGACCCACAATACCGAAGGAGTTTTAGTCACGCTTAAAAAGATCATCAGCGGTGAATGCGACAGCACTACCGTTCCTGACGCTGTACTTCAATTATACGACGAACTCCTTCATACCAAGGTTTCTCCGCTCTTTTGGCGCTACGCAACTTGGTTTGCTCAGCGCGATCCTTCGCTGGCCTCCGACGTTCTCGTTGCGCGCACAAAAGAAGGCAACCTTGATGCTGACGATGTCGTCAGGAACTTTGTCAACGAGGATGGTCCTGTTTTGATCCTTTTTTTGAAGTATATCAACAACCCGGTCTACAGTAATCTCTGTATCCAACTATGTCTGCAATACGTTATACGCTGCATTGAAAATGACAACACCATCTCAACTTTCTTCCGCAAGCTTGTTGGCTCTTACCGCTGTTTGGGTCTGAAGAAACCGTCTTTTGAGCAATACATCGAGGAAAAGGTTTCCCAGAGTGAAGCCCTTGATTCAATCGTTAAAATCGCTTACTTACAGTTAGTGCACCTACTGTCAGAGACAAAAAGCATGGAAGACAGCAAGGCAATGCAGCTCATCGAATGCATGACCAAGGTCAAGTCGCTACTTCCTCATGTTTCAGCTCATCTTTATCACCTTGTTGGGGATCACCAGCAAGCCTTGCACGAAATGCTACAGCTATTTGACTTCAAGACCGCCAACAAATACTGTCTCGACAACTACCAAAGAGAAGAAAAGTGCTGGGAATGGATGCTACAAGGGCTTCTCGAATGTAATTCGACGCCCCTTCCTGAGAGGGTGCTACTGGATGAGACAGAAGAGGATGTGTCACAACTCGAGCTGCAAGAAGTAGCCGAGTATATTTCACATTTTCTTGCACGCAATTTCATTCACTATGACTTTTCGATGATACTAAAGCATTTCAGCGGAGACTCCCCGTTGTGTCTGTTTACAGAATACTTCAAAGCCCTTCAGAGACACCAAGCAATGCGTGCCTACAAATCTGAAATTCGTCTCAATCTCCAAAAAGGTTTATGGCGACAAACACGCGATCTTCTGACGGCCCTGACTGAGCGCAAGGAAGACAAAGATGTTAAAATTCATGACTAGCTACTTGAGCAGCCCATCGCAATGACCGGCTGAACTGTTTATAACTAAATGAACCTTTCTATTACGAAATACAGTACTAATTTTACTACAATGATACAATGTAAGCGCAGATTCCGCCATCTAAACCCTACCACTTAGGCTCACTAGTAGCGCTTCCTTACCGAGCCCGCCTGACCATCCTAGCCTAATGATTCAGCCCTGCTCGCTCGGCCAGACCCCCACGCCACGTGCGACCAATCCACTGGACATGTCACTCGAGCAGGCAACGATGGTTGGTGGTGAAAAAGCCACGGTTTTCCCGCGATACTCCCGTGGCAAGCCTTGAAGGTACAGACCAGCTAACGAGACCACACCTGTTCTACCCTTAACCAACACCTCAACTTAGTTCAAGCAACCATAGCGTATGTGAGCTTTTCTGGAGACCTGTTGTTAACATAATAGTTTTAAAGATGGCAGAGAACGTTGACATTACTGGCAAGCGGGTCGACAAGCTTTCTGCTGCACCCACACCTCATAACACGCCTTCTGGTACTGCTGCACCTATCTCCAGTGCTAAGGCTCCCCAGTTTATGACGATTGAAGAGGGTGATGAGGGACTTGGAGAGAAATTGGGTTCCTTGGCCTATGACATCTCGTCATTGCCAGCCAGCGTTCGTCGCCGTTTGTCTGCTTTGAAGGGACTTGAGGGTGAGCGCAACAAGTTGGAGGTTGAGTTCCAACACGCTATTCTCGAGTTGGAAAAGGAATTTTCCAAGAAATACGAGCCTCTGTACGCACGGAGAGCCGAGATTGTTCGCGGTGCTCGTGAACCCACGTCTGAGGAGATCGAGAAGGGCGAGTACGACGTTGAGTCCAACGGCGAAGCCGAGCAAGAGAAGGCTGTCGAGACGAAGGGCATTCCCGAGTTCTGGCTGACGGCTATGAAGAACGACCTTATGATCTCCGAGGCCGTCACGACCGAGGACGAGGAGGCGTTGAAGCACTTGGTCGACATTCGTCTCTCCTATCCCGAGAAGCCTGGCTTCACACTCGAATTTGAGTTTGAAAAGAATGACTTTTTTACGAACACAGTGTTGAAGAAGACGTACTATTATGGCGAGCAGCCCACTCGCGAGAGCATTTTCTTATACGACCATGCCGAGGGCGACAAGATCGAGTGGCTTCCCAACCGCGATCTCACTGTCCGCGTGGTCACGAAGAAGCAACGCAACAAGACCACCAAGCAGACGCGCGTCGTCAAATCCACCGTCAAGCGTGACAGCTTCTTCGACTTCTTCACTGCTCTTCAGGTCGGCGAGGACGGCGAGGATGCCGAGGTTGATGAGAATGGCGAGGACATCGATGATCTTATTGCGCGTGACTATGAAGTCGCTGAAAACTTCAAGGAGCGTTTGATTCCTCATGCCGTTGAGTGGTTCACCGGCGAGATTTTGGCCCTTGAGAATTACGACAATTTCAGTGACATTGAGGAGGAAGACGAAGAGGATGAATTCGATGACGAACATGTTCTCAATCTTAAGGACAAAACTAGTGCGGACGACGAAGACAGCTTGGTGAGCGACGACGACGAGGTCCAGAACAACCAAAACCCAACTGAGTGCCGTCAACAATAGACGCTTTTTAGCATTTTTTTTCGACATACAGATCGTTTTTGCATAATGCGATGAAACACTATACGCTTGACGTTTGACGTGGTTGTGCTGCGCAGTGCCATCTCGCTTTTGTTGAGCGACACGTTGTGCATCAACTGCCGAGATGTTTGCAAGCCTTTGCTGTCTAATCCCATCATCCGACCTATACACCTACTTTTGTCTCACACCTCGTCTCCTGTGCGTCTGTCCCCCCTTGTGTTTTGTGCTAGCATGCCGAATGCTGTTCTAGTCTACCATGCATAACGCTCGAAGATACGAAACTCAAATACACACTCACACACACACACACACACATATACATACATTCATACACACGCACGAGTGCACGCGCACACGTGGTGGTTCACCAAGAACACGGCATTGGAAAGCGGGGATCTCTCTATTCTGTGTCTGCAGATGTCGATGCAAGCAAGGCCACTCGCAACAGCGGTCACCGGATGCGTCCTCTGTGTTCTTCGTACGTTTGCGCGCTGGATATGTGTTTTTGGAAGCAAGGCTGGGCTGTTCCCGTGCAACACTGTTGAATTTTTGTATGCAGCTGGCTGGAGCTCCTCCTTCCTCTGTTCTTAGAGGGGTCGACGACTACTCGACAAGATCTCTTCCGGTTCTCTCCGCAGCCGCTGTTGCCCCTTACAGCGCGAAACAAAACACGTAGTCACTTTTAGAAGGTTACTCTTAATACTGTTCTTCGTTTTAGCGAACGGTTGATCTGTGCAAAATCTTCAACATGCGGATAGAGGTCTTTGTGTGCTCAGGGCTGGTTTCGTCGACTGGTGACTGGTGACTGACGACCGTTCGTGCGACGCGAAGATGAAGGCGTAGACGTAGGCGTAGGCGTGTGTGTGTATGAATGTATGTATGTGTGTGTACAACCAGCGGAATGAATCCGGCGCGGGTCCGGCACGTTTCGTCCAGTCACTCAGTCACTCATCCACCCATTCATTCATTCCCTGTTCGCTTGTAGATCCGCACACGGACAGCGACCTTTCAGTCTGTTTGGCGGCATCAACGGCGGGACATCATCAGACCTGTTCCTTGTTCCTCTGTCCGCGTTCCCTTCGTGCTTGCGCTCGTGCTCGTGCTCGTGTCGCTGTTACGAATAAGGGTCCAACATTGCGACATACGCGTCTGCATTAGGAATAGCTTCTTAGCGCTTGCGACTTTAGGACTGCGGACCGCGTGCTCCTACTCGCTTGCATTCCCTTAAACTACGTCATAATCGCATCTATAATCTTTCTGCCCCAGATCAGCGCTTTCGGCTCGGCTATCTAATTCGCGTAACTTTAACCCTGAGAATAACTCAGGCAGCCATTGGCGAATGGCCTGTGAGAAAAAAAATCGCGATCGCGCACGCGACTTAACAACTGGAAATTTTTTATTCCGAAATATTAAGTACCGTGATTTTAGGTATAAAAGGGCCGCCGTCGCCTCCTGGTTTCATCGTAGAACCTTGTTTGGCTGTGTGGAATTCGAAAAAGTTTTTCACCGCTCTGTTCCTTTGCTGATTTTCATTTCTGAGACGTCTAGATCCACTCGTCTCTCTCTTTTTCATTTTAAATACCTTCGTTACTTTAACGTTTTCATTTAACAACCCTCATCTCTTTATCATCCAGAATGCCTGCTCAATCTGTTGCTGCTACTGCCCCTGCTGCTGACGAGAACGCCTTGTCCATGTCTCCTCCCAGCTCTGGCTTCTCCCTCATGCAACAAAACTTCACTCGTGCTCGCTCTCACTCCCGCCCTCCTCCTCGTTCCCTCAAGCCCTTTGCCACTGAGGACATCAAGATCCTTTTGCTGGAGAACGTGAACCAATCTGCCCTTGACAACCTCCGTGAGCAGGGCTACCAGGTCGAGTTCCACAAGAAGTCCCTTCCCGAGGAGGAGCTTATTGAGAAGATCAAGCACGTCCATGCCATCGGTATCCGTTCCAAGACCAAGTTGACTCGTAAGGTCTTGGAGCACGCCGAGAACTTGATTGTCATCGGTTGCTTCTGTATCGGTACCAACCAGGTCGACCTCGACTACGCTGCCGAGCGCGGTATCTCCGTCTTCAACTCTCCCTACGCCAACTCTCGTTCTGTTGCCGAGCTCGTCATCGCCGAGATCATCTTCTTGGCCCGTCAGGCCGGTGACCGCTCTATGGAGCTTCACCGTGGCACCTGGAACAAGGTTTCCAACGAGTGCTGGGAGATCCGTGGCAAGACTCTTGGTATTATCGGTTACGGTCACATTGGCTCTCAGCTCTCTGTTCTCGCTGAGGCCATGGGTCTCCGTGTCTTGTACTACGATATCATTCCCATCATGCCTCTTGGTTCTGCCAAGCAACTCTCCTCCCTCGAGGAGCTTCTTCACAACTCCGACTTTGTGTCCCTTCACGTCCCTGCCTCTCCCGAGACTACGAACATGATCTCCTCTGCCGAGTTTGCCGCCATGCGCCGCGGCTCCTTCCTCATCAACCTTTCCCGTGGTACTGTCGTCGACATTCCCGCCTTCATCGCTGCCAGCAAGTCTGGCAAGATTGCCGGTGGTGCCATCGATGTCTACCCTGCCGAGCCCCACAGCAACGGTGACAACAAGTTTGTTGACTCCTTGAACTCCTGGACTTCCGACCTTACCTCTCTTCGCAACGTCATCCTCACTCCCCACATTGGTGGTAGCACTGAGGAGGCTCAATACAACATTGGTGTCGAGGTCAGCGAGAGCTTGATCCGCTACATCAACGAGGGTAACAGTACTGGTGCCGTCAACTTCCCCGAGGTTTCTCTTCGTAACCTTACCGAGGCCGACAAGAACCACGTCCGTGTCCTGTTTGCTCACCAAAACGTCCCCGGTGTTTTGCGCCAAGTCAACGAGATCTTCAAGGACCACAACATCAAGTCCCAGTTCTCTGACTCCCGCGGTGAGATTGCTTACTTGGTTGCTGACATCAGCGACTGCACTCCTGACTCTCTCAAGGATCTCTACAAGCATCTTGAGGCTCTCCCCTTCAAGATCCGCACTCGTCTCTTGTACTAAGCTTGTACGAGCTCGTGTCGGTAAGCTTGTTGCCTAAATCTTAAAAATTTTCTTCAACCCCTTCCTCTCTCTCTTGTGCTGGTGCTCTGAATGCCCGGCATGTACAGCTTTTCAACCATGATGACCATCAACGTCCCTTCAACTGAACGCTGATAATGATAAATTCAGTAAAATTTTGTAATTCAACATTAGTGATGATACGGTGGGTGGTGTGGTGTGTAATGTAGCAGTGTGTCATGTGGTATTGTGGTGGTATCCGAATTCGTTTCTCTTAGGAGCGTTTGCCTTGGGCTTGTCCTGTTCGGTGTGTTATAGGGTGTTGTTGGGTTAAGTCATGGTTTAGGGGGATTGGTGAGATTCGAACGACAAACGGAAAGGGACGGCAGAACAGTGATGAGAGTCGGACGCGACTCGAACCTGTAACAAAGTACGACCGTAACCGCAAGACAATACTCAGTTCTAAAGGACACCATTAAACCCTTCCCTTTACACCGTAAGACATAGCCCCGGAAAGACCATACCCCACCTACAACACTCAACCCAAGTTACACGCTTTACACACCCTACCCCCACACCCCAGCTCTCCCCCACTTCAGTAATGGGATGGTACTCAGAAATGGCATTCATTTTTAGTTCTCGACGGCAGCAGCACCACGAAGAAGACCGGTACGACGGGCAGCAATAAGACCAACCTTTTGACCAGGAGCGGATCCACGGGGGACGGTGGAGGACTTACCAATGTGTTGATGGTTACCACCACCATGAGGATGGTCGACGGGGTTCATAGCAACACCACGAGTACGGGGCCAGCTGTTGCGCTTGACGCGGTACTTGTGGAAAGCACGACCGGCCTTGAGCAAAGGCTTGTCAATACGACCACCACCGGCAACGATACCAACCATACCACGGGCAGCAGAGGGAATGACCTTCTTGGCACCAGAAGGCAACTTGACACGAGTCTTGCCAGTGTCAACGTCGTGACCAACGATGATGACGTAGTTACCAGAGGAACGACCAAGGGAACCACGGTCACCAGTCTTCTCCTCGACGTTGGAAGCGATGGTACCCTCGGGCATCTCACCAATGGGCAAAACGTTACCGACGGTCAAGGCAGCCTTCTTACCAGCGTAAACGAATTGGCCGGTGTACATACCCTCGTTGGCGACGAAGGTCTCGACGTCGGTCTTGTAACGGTAAGGGTTACGGAAGGCAACCTTAGCCAAAGGAGCACCACGGCCAGGGTCGTGGATGATCTTCTGGACAACACCGCGGATGTAGCCGTGGCGCTCAGCATAGTCCAAGGTACGGAACTGAGCAGCGCCCTTGCGGAGGCGGGTGTGGGCTTGGAAAATTCCACCACTCTTTCTTTGAGCTCTGATGACACGTCCCATTGTTGGTGAAGGTGTTGGTTGCTGGAGAAGTCAAATTCGTGGTGGGAGGAGGAGAAAGTGTGTTTCCTGTGACTGCTTTTCGCTGAGTCTAGCGAAGCTCGGCGGAGATCGGTGAAGCCTGGTATCCTGCGGTAAACATATATAGCGCGAGACGACGACGTGCGGTATATGGTGTATAGTGATGTGCACCGCATTGTATGCCAAATTGCATTATTCATTATAACAACGATTCGCAACGTGTCGCAACGCATCGCATCGCGCAGCACCGCCCGCTTAATAACTAAACAGTGTACCCCACCCTGGTGCCCGCATATTCTAGTTCAAGTTTAATTAACAACTGGAGAAACACAGTAAAGGAGAACAAACAGTGACCTCTAACTTCATAGCCCGCAGCCACGTGCAGTGCTAATGAGAGCACAGCGCAGCGTAATACGCGCACAGCAGTGGCGCCGGGTTTTGACGATTGGGCTTTTCGCTCGCTCGCGTGTGGACGAGAGGATGATGTGTGTGTGAGTGTGTGGACGCAAAAAGTGAGTGAGTGCGAGTGAGTGAGTGAGTGAGTGTGGATACAGTAAACTACAGTGAGAGCCCACTAAGCCGGTTAGTGAGGCAAGGAGCGAAGTAAATGGGTGTCCACATGAGTCGGGCGAAAAAGACTGAGGGCGAGACTGGGAGTCAGACCGGAGGAACAAGTTCGGGTGGAGATCGGAAAAGTAGTAGGTAAAAAAAGTTTAACGAAAGCTGCAGCGGCAAGCGCCGCACTGCGAGAGGGATTTTGGCAACAATGCAAACAACGAACAACAGCAACAAATGAATGCAAGACCAAGGATTGTGTTAGCATCAGCGTGCTCGCTGCAGTTAAAGAGGGTGAGTCGTTCGTTTCGAGCGTGTGTAATTGCACGTGTGTGAAATGCGAAATCATAGTGCGCAGCACTCGTCGCAAATCACTGTTTGACATTGCACAATTTTACACGTGCATGGAATCGCCCATGCCGCTATAGACCACAGAGGATTGGTAAAGCGTAGGATGAGAATTTCGGCTAGGAGACTGAGGCCGCATGCCGTGAACAGCATTCGCCGCGGCTTGATGGGATTGTTGTTGCTGCTGCTGCTGCTGTTGTTGTTGTTGTTGTTGCTGTTGCTGTTGTTGTTGCTGCTGTTGCTGTTGTTGGACAGCCATTGCAGATTGCATAGGAAGGTTAGCCGACGAAATGGAAGCTCGATGTTGCTGCTGTTGAGACATCCACTGCTGGGGAGCAGCTCCCCCAGATACAGCGACCGTGTGCATCTGTCGTGCATCACCAGCGACGTTTTGTTGTTGAACAGCAGCGTTTTGGTCAAGAGAGAGAGCCTCTGGAGCCAGTCCCTCCGCGCTTGTATCGGCCATTCGCATCGCAATATGCTGTTGCTGCTGCTGTCTAGTATTAGCAGCAGCCGCAGCAGCCATCGAATTCATCATGTCTTCCGACATGGATACCGCTCCCCCACCAGCATCAGCTGCAGGCATGTCACGCTGCCCCTGCTCCGAAACAAGCTGTGGTGTTGCTTGTGATCGCTGCAGTGTTTGGTGCTGTGGTGGCGGCGACTGTTGCTGCTGCTGTTGCTGTTGCATAGGTCGAAAAGCCATATGCCGCGCTTGAAGCGCGTTTTGTGTATTTTGGAAGTCTGCCAAAACAGACCGGATTTTAGCGGAGCAGGGGCAACCTTGGTGAGCAAGTAACTGACTTTTGAGTCGAAACGCCTCCTGTTGTAATTGAGAAAGCAAATGCTGCATTTGCTTGGACTGCTCGACCGCGGCGTTTGCCGTCTGCTCCAGATTTTTCACCCATTCTTTTTTCTTCTGACGAAACTTGGATGCAGCAATGCGGTTGCGCTCCAAGATACGACGACGCTTTTCGTCATCAACTTGCTTTTTCTTGCTTGTCATGTTGGTTAGATTGAAGAGGCCGTGCGGAATGGTGCTGGTAAGAGAAGACACTGGGTGTGTTCGACGATGTTTAGGAATGCACACAGGCCCAGATACAGAAAAAGTAGCGTCGGTTTTTGCACGGGATGATTTTTAAAGACAGGATTCCCGTTGAAGGTAATTGTTGTTGGTAAACTATATGTCAGAATATGAGATCAAATGAGAAACTTATGTGGCGACACAAGCAGTAAATACAAGTGATTGAAACGCGAAGGCAGGAAAATGAGGATTCTGTCCAGCAAACAAGAGATAAAACATACACGCTCAAAGATGCAAAGCCAGCGAGGTTCTGCAGCACAGGTATAGGTCAATGATGCCACAGAATCGCACCGACACTCGAAAACTTGCGAAGGCGTGTTGCTGCCAAGGAAAAACGTGCAGGAAACGAACAGGGCGGTCGGTTAACGTATGCAAACACGGGACCGGTAGTATCTTACGCGTAAAGCGCGTCTCCTAACTCAAATTTGCCAAAACAGGTTCTTAAAGCTTACAGCTGGATTCTCAAAACACAATCGTCCACGGAATTAACCAAGGACAGGCCGTGAACGCATGAAAAACTGCTTGATTGTGTCCGTATCACTGATGTACAGTCGCACAGGTGTTCTTACAAAACAAAACGCCTGTCCGTTAATTCACCCTGATCTTCCGTATTCGGAAACTTTGTGAGTTCGCGTCAATGCTGACAATCGCTCTTTACAACAGATCCTCTGTTGTGTCAGACACGGAGAATTCCGTTTCTCCACTGAAAATGGTAAATTATACCTTAATCAAGCAAAACTCCTACAAATGCGGTGCTCGTGAAGGGTAAGTTCGGTCGGGTGTTAGTGTCGACCTAGGGTTCTACTAGGCGGGTGTCAGCGGAGGCGCCCAATTACATAATTGCCACAACACATAGAGTGCACGGGTAGGGTAAGGAACATAGGTAAGCAGCCGAGTAATTTCGAAGCAGGGCTAGAAGGGTGGCACACTAAAAACCGTATTGTTCAATGAGGAACGTTGTCGAAAAACCGGTAGGGGTGAGCCAGGGGGGCGGGAGTGGGCGAAACAGTAAAGATGAGATGAGGTGCGTGAACCCTTAATTGAAAAGGGTTGCGGGGAAGTCGAAAAGAAGACACGAAGAGAAAACGAACGACTGGCTTATGCCAAGGAGAAACAAAGTGCGTAGTGCAAGTCATAGAGCTGTAGAATAAGTAAATCCCGAAGCAAAAAAACGTGGTTTGGACGGCTGTATGAACTCCCGAGATAGTATAGGCCTTTTCATGTATTCGTGCTTGTAGTCCAGAAGAACAGTGGATGATTTTTAATCCCGACAAGGAGCCAGCGAACTGAATCGATTCTTGTCTTATCACCGAAACTCATTTTCATGATAATAAGTTTGATCGCCTGTAGTCAATTGTAGCGAGTATAAATAGTATGGCGTTGGACCCAGACGGCGTAGTTCAAGACACAGCACACAGGTCTCGTTGTGTGTCACCTTATCGGAATATCCCCTTCATTGCTTAGAGATGAGAACACATGTCGCAGCTGACTCCATACCAGGACTGTACAGTCCTGTGTTAGATGCGCACTTGTTCGCCATTGATGCGAACACACAGCTTCGAAAGAAAGACAGTCTACTGGAATGCTTGCAATACATTGTGAACACCACCATAGAAGAGGGAAAAACGTATCCGTTTTCGGAACCATTTGGGTTAGATGAGTGCAGGGAGTACTTCTTCAAGCATTGCACGGTTATCTGTGTCAAGGTTCCAGCAATTGTGCGCAAACAATCCACACTTGGTGTAGATGCATTAAAAGACTTGGATATCGATTGGAAAGAAGCATTACTGGGTGTGTTCTACGTCAAACCGAATTATGCAGGTCGCTGCTCGCATATTTGCAATGGCGGATTTTTCGTTCATCCAGCCAAAAGAGGACAAGGCATTGGTAGAGAGTTGGCGAAAGCGTACCTTTATTTTGCACCGCGTTTAGGCTACAAGTCAAGCGTATTTAATCTTGTGTTCGCAACAAATACAGCAAGCGTCCGACTATGGGAAAGGCTTAATTTCACTCGAGTCGGTGTCATCAAAGATGCTGCGTTCATAAAAGGTCGTAAAGAGCCTGTTGACGCATTTGTTTATCAGTATACTTTCCCTCCGTTGGAGAAGAATACTGTTTAAGACAAGCACGAACTGTCATTACCAAGCATCAAAATTTCCAAAACCCGTACGGGCCTTCTTTTTCTTCGGCAATGAGGGCTCAACGAAAGATGGTTTTTTTTCCTCCGCTGCTTTTATATACTTACCGACAGGAACCGATGAGCTTGAGCCGGAACTTGATTCGCCCGTAATTCCTAAACGTTTTCCTGTCCATGTAACGCGATCGTTTTCTTCATCATGTAACGAGGATTCGTGTTTTTCTTTCTCCTTCACCTTCTGTTGTTCCTCTTCACGCCAAAGCTCGAAGGGGTCAACGTAAATGACTATATTTTCAATCTGGATAGTTGTTTTTGGTCGATCAGTTTCAGTAGTGGGAACTCGCTCCAGGGCATCGAGAACGGACATGCCACCCACGACGCGACCGAAGATGGCATGTTTTCTGTCCAGATGTTTCGCTGCGTCGTAACAGATGAAGCTGGGATTTTTGTTAGTACATTGTTTTCAACTCTCGTAAGCAGACATATTACATACAATTGGCTTCCATTTGTATTTTTACCGCTGTTAGCCATAGAGACAACACCCCGGCTATCGTGTGTCAGCGGATTAGTAACTTCATCTCGAAAAGGCTTGCCCCAAATGCTTTGACCTCCACGACCGGTAGCAGTGGGATCGCCTCCCTGAATCATGAAGCCGGGAATATTCCGATGAAACTTCGTACCATCGTAATACCCTTTTTTGGCGAGTTCCACGAAATTATACACTGCCCGAGGAGCATACTCCGTGTGCAATTCTAAATTTATCTCACCAAAGTTCGTCACTAACCGTGCATAACCCTTGTGCCAAATACGCTTGGGTACGAGCATGTAATCTTCCTCGCTGATGATAGCATGTTCATTGCGGGTAACGGGGGAAAACGAAGTTGAAGTGAGTGCAGAAGCCGCCAAACCTTTGGTGTGAATGGCTTTGTGTGTAGGCAGTAAGCTGCTTGTATTTTCTGTTTTACCGCTCGACTGGCTGGACGCAGTTGCGTTTTCACCAAGAGCTCGTCGCTCACGAGAACGTTGAACGGCCTCTTTGGCTTGCTTTATCCGTTCCTCCTTGGACACATCTTTCGTGGAAGACTGTTGGTTCGGCAGACGACCGAGCTCTTGAACGGTAATAATGTCCGAGCGTTGAAATGGTGTGTCTGTAACCAAGTCCTTCCAATTTTTAGGTTTTATGTTAAGATTCTCTATGGTGTCATACGCAAAACAGTTTCCAGTCGGCTTTATGGCGACAATGTGTGTGTACTGGTTAAATACCTTCATCGTAACGGGGTCACAGTATTCGCCAGTAGCATTTTTTGTGAAATTCAGTTTCATGAGTTGACCGACTGTTAGCGGTTCCTTTGTAACTGGATTAGTCCCATGCTTTTTGATCCAAGGAACAATATGTCTAATTCATATAATATGTTAGGAACTTGACCTTTCGTGCCATTAATTTATACATACCGAAAATCGAATAAAGTAGCAACATTTTCACTGTCTAATACGCAGCAGGGATGGGTGAAAGGCTGAAGGGATAGCGCGCAGTAATTGAAAGGTAATTGGGGCCGTGACGATGCTGCTTTCCGCTTCGCAATTCCACTCATTCCAGCGTGCCATCCATGCACACCCGAGTGTTCTGACTGTGTGATGTACAGTTTGTCCGTGTTTTTTCCCATTTTCTATTAATAATGTTTATACACTTTCAACTGTAGGTAGACCAAAAAGAAGTATGCAGTATCTACTAGCAGAAGACAGGCGAAAATGCACTAAACCAAGTGTCGTATATAGCTTCAGTAATTTTAATTAGTAGATCTTGTCAATTCCTCGTTTTCTATCGATAATTGCAATTATTTGCCCTGGAACAAGGGAAACGGAGAGGGTGCGTGTGTGCGTGTGCAACTTCCTCAATGAATAAGCTTGTCGCATTTTAGGTTAGGGTGATCACGTGTACTCCACCACAGAAGAACGTGAAACTTTAATCTGAGAGCGAATTTGACCAACGCGTTGTACTGGCTGCAGATGCTGTTGTCGTTTACCACATCCACCAAAACACGAACGACACTTGCGTGGTCCTTACCGAAATGGACGCGGGTTCTCAGGTAAATAATCAACAGGATAAGAAGCTTGAGGCACCAAAACCTCAAGAAGAAAATGGAGTTCAGGTCGCGGTTGTCCAACCAGCAAAAACTCTTTCTGGCAAAGAGCTTAAGGCATTGAAGAAGGCTCAGAAGCTGGCTGCCCGTAAAGCTCGTGTTGATGCACGAGGTCCTACTGAGGCCAAGCACGGTCCTTCCGACCCCAAGCAAGGGAATACTTCAAAAAAGGTCAGCAACAAGCCTGCTCCGGCTGCCGGTGCTCAACAAACCAACGAGCAGGCTGCCGAAAAGGCATTGTTTGAGGAAAAGCAGGTGTCTATATTTTCGCATTTGGACTCTCATCGCCGTCGTAATACCGAGAATGCCCCTAAAGATGTTCACCCAGCTGTTTTCCGTCTTGGTTTAAGGCTTGCGAATTACCAAGTGTACGGATCAAACACTCGTTGTATTGAGCTTTTGCGCACCTTTAAGCGTGTTATCGAGGATTATCAAACCCCAGCTGGAACAACCATTTCTCGTCATTTGACAACACATATAAACACGCAGATTGCGTATCTCGTCTCTACGAGGCCCCTTAGCATCAGCATGGGCAATGCTATCCGCTTCTTAAAGCTTGAAGTGTCCGTCCTTGGCATTGACTTGACGGAAGACGAGGCAAAAGAAGTGCTGTTGAGCAAAATCGATAGCTACATCCGGGATCGGATTATCGTTGCCGGCAAAGTAATCATGCAAACTGCATCCCAAAAGATTCAAGACGGTGATGTTGTGCTCACGTTCTCCAACTCCAGCACCGTCAACCAAGTGCTCATCTATGCAAAGTCCATTGGTAAGAATTTCCGAGTCATCGTTGTTGATTCTCGCCCCGGCTACGAAGGAAAGCAAGGAGTGCGCCAGCTGACGGAGCACGGATTATCGTGTACGTACGTGATGCTTTCCGCTCTGGCCTACGTTATGCAGGAAACAACAAAGATCTTCCTTGGTGGTCACGCTATGTTGTCGAATGGTGCACTGTACTCGCGTGCCGGTACATCTCTTGTTGCTCTTATGGGTCGAGAGGCTAATGTTCCTGTTATCGTTTGTTGTGAGTCGTACAAGTTCAGTGAACGCATCCAGTTAGACTCTCTCGTGTTCAATGAGCTCGCATCACCCGATCAACTTGTGAATGATTCTATTAATGAGCCTGAGAAGCCGGGTGCATTAAAAGATTGGCGAAGCGTTAAGAACCTCAAGCTGTTGAGCCTGAAATACGACGTTACTCCCCCTCGCCTAATCACCGTTTGCGTGTGTGAGATGGGACTCTTGCCCTCTACTTCAGTCCCGGCTATTATTAATGAATTTAAGCAGATTTACACCTGAGCAATTTCTGTTGCATCGTCGAGTTTGCAGTACACAGAGGAAAGTGGGTAAAAACTTGCGCATACTGAAAAATTACTAGAGCACGCACACATACACACACACTATAGTTGTTCGTTTTTGACTATTTAGATTCATTCGTAGGTTTCGTGACCGGGATAATGACCTTATTTTTTGAGCGGCCGTAATGGGGGTAAGCAATGAAAGAAAAAAGGAAAGACATATTGAATATGACGGAGTAAGAGGGTAAGGCGCAAGTCCGTATGTCGTTCGTAATCGTTTTGTGCAAAATTAAGCTTAGTATGTTCCATTGTGCTTCGTTACTTGTCGTCATTCATGGGACTAGAAAGCAGCACATCAGTTGAATACGCTTATTACAGCATCCTAGTGGTCTTCTCTCACTCCATTTCTTCTCAATATTGCATTCCCTCTTTTCCTTCTCCTTCCTCGTTCGCTTAATTTAACCTTAATTCAAAGACTCAATCAAACTTCTCAAAGTATATCTTATCGATAGGTATCTGCCTGATTGATAAGATACTATTAGTCAGTACAGCTCCTGTGCGGGAGCTTGTTAGACAGGATAGACAGAGAGATGGGAGACCAGGTTTCGCCAAACTGGGAATGAAGGACGCGTACAGCTCAGGAATGACAATTTAAGAAAACAGACGAAATGATTACTGGAACCTTTTCACGGAAACTGAGCAACAATTTGAACAAAATTCGACTTCCTCAACATACTAGAACATCGTTTTTTGCTGACCGTAGACTCGTCTTTATTGAAGGAATAGACACGGTAAAGTTTTTGCAGGGACTGGCTGCAAACAAAGTCGTTGCCGGAGAACCGAAATACAGTGCATTTTTAAACGCCAAGGTAAACAAAATTGTGTGGTAACAAGGTGCATTTATGAATAGTTGAACTGATACTTTGCTCAGGGACGGGTTTTATTTGATGCATTATTGTACCCTCTGGATTTAAGACAGAGAACTCAATTGGTTGATAATGTCCAAGGCCAAGGAGATGCCTTTGCTATAGAAATTGATGCAACCCGTGCTGCTGCCTTTTTGCAGCATCTTCAACGATTCCAACTTCGAGCAAAGGTCCGACTAGCCCCAGTGGATCCAAGCCGTTGGTGCGTGCAGGCAACGTGGAACGATACACGAGAGGACAGCAGCGATGATGGCCTCGTAGACACTCGTGAACACTTGATAACGTCTCCGTTGACACAGTTGTGGGATCCTCGCTTTCCCGAGACGAACAACGTTCGACGAGCCATTGTTCCTCCTACATCTGCACCCGCCCAAGAACTTTCTATGGAAGCATACAAAGCTTTTCGCATACAGAAAGGTGTTGCTGAAGGACAAAGGGAAATTATAAGCGGAGAGGCATTTCCTCTCGAAAGCAACTTCGATAAGCTGCACGGGGTGCACTTTCAAAAAGGCTGTTATCTTGGTCAGGAACTGACATATCGATCGTACCAACGAGGAACTACTCGTAAACGCATTCTGCCCTTTCAATTGAGCAAGCGTCCCGATGACTTCTCAAAAAGAATATCTTATTCGTCGAGTCCTTTTTCGGTGCCTGCTGCTAATGAATTGTCGCTATCCGAAGCAACGGGAACGGATGCTTCTACTCAGACACGGACACGAAGAGGCCCTGGTCGTGTTCTGACAACTCAAGGAAACATAGGTCTCGGTTTGATTCGTCTTGACTACATAGATCAAGTTCTTCGTTGGGGAGAGCTCTTCCTGAAACCATATCGTCCACCGTTCCTTTTGGACGACTGATTCGAGAGTGCGGAACCACTCATCTATGTCCTAGCAACCATGAGAACGTTGTTTAAACCGTTCTGTTGCTCATTCAAAAATAGTACGACGATCTTTCAAGTCAAGGAATGACCCGTAACATCTCTAATAACGACACACGCATGGTGTAAGAGAAATACCAACAGTTATTAATTACATAGTTTTGTTATTGCTACTATTACTACAACTACTACAGTCACCGCATATTCTATATTCAGCTCTATCAACACGAAGTACATTTCATCTGTGCTTCACATATCCATTCCTTTCGTTTACTCCCGTCTCTTACCTCACATTATACTTCATCGTTTCCCACCAGCATAAACGTTCGCTTGATAGGCACGTGCCTCTCGAACTGGCCGGGGTAGTTCGGTTCATTGCCCACACGTTTTTGCCTTCCACCACTACCTCTGTAGAACTTGACCATCCTATCCCTCCGATTCTTTGGGTGAAACATCAGGAAATTGAATTGTTCTTCTACTTATAAGAACAGTTTTTTTGGCTTTCAGTACGTAGAGTTGATTTTGTGAATTTTCGGTGACGTCTTGTGTGACTGACTAACAATGTAAAAGGCCTGTAGTCAACTGTCCTCGGGATCCACCTTTTGCCTGACAGAATCCATCACATTTTTTGCTTTCTCTCTCTCTCTCTCTCTCTCCCTCTCTTCCTTTAGTTTTCATTTAATTAATACGGGTCAAGAGTGCTGAACACTTCATACTCACTGTTTCCCTCACTGTTGACATTCGTTCTCGCAGTGTAACTTCGTACAGTCTCTTACTCGCATCTGCATCTATTTAAGGAAGGGGATATTAGTCATGTCTAATGAAAAAGAAACCTTAGAGGCTCCAGCAAAGGCTGAAGAGAGCCTGTTGGAAAACGAGTTTGCTCCCATTCTCGATCCTTCATATAAACGCGTCTCCAGAAATCCCGTTCCTGGAAAGCTTTTTCAGGTAGAAGACGAACCTTCGTACTACTATGTTGTTACGACTTATTTCACTTATCTTACTCTGATTATCATTGGTCATGTTCGTGATTTCTTCGGAAAACGCTTTCACCGTGACGAATATGCTTATCTGCGTGATGACGACGGTTATGCTCCTCTGTATGATGATTTCGACAACTTTTACATCCGTCGCTTGCAACGTCGTATCAACGACTGCTTCAGTTTTCTCATTCGCGGTGTTCCCGGTAGAACGTTGACGATTCTGGATCGTTATTCAGAGGACAACAACCAAACGTTCAAGCTCACTGGTGGTACCACAGTTGCTCTTAATGTTTCTTCCTATAATTATCTTGGTTTCGCTCAAAGTCATGGCCCTTGTGCCGCAGCTGTGGAGGCTTGCATGAAGGATGCCGGTGTTGCTACTTGCAGCACAAACACTGTCGCCGGAAGTTTCAAGATTCATAGAGAAGTCGAGGAATTGGTTGCTACGTTTGTCGGAAAGCCCGAGTGTGCCATTTACTCCCAAGGTTTCGGTACTAATGCTACTATTTTTTCTGCTTTAATGGGTCCTGGCTCCTTGATTATTTCCGATGAGTTGAATCATGCCTCCACCCGTTTCGGTTCCCGTCTTTCTGGTGCTAATATTCGCGTTTTCAAGCATAACAACGCCAAGGATTTGGAGAGAGTTTTGCGTGAAGCTATTGCTCAAGGTCAGCCTCGCACGCATCGTCCCTACACTAAGATTCTGGTTGTTATCGAAGGTCTGTATTCCATGGAGGGTAACTTTGCCGATCTTCCCAGCATTGTTGCACTGAAAAAGCGCTACAAGTTTTATCTTTACATTGACGAGGCACACTCCATTGGCGCTGTCGGACCTAATGGCCGTGGTGTTTGCGACTACTTTGGTGTTTCTACAAATGATATTGACATTCTTATGGGTACTTTTACCAAGTCTTTTGGTGCTGCTGGTGGTTATGTTGCAGCTAGCAAGGAAATCATCGATAAGCTCCGTGTCACCAATGCCAGTTATGTTTTGGCCGAGTCAATGAGTCCTGCTGTGCTTACGCAAATCAAGACCAGTTTGTTAGAAATTATGGATACCTCTGGTGTTTCTGATGGTTTGGAACGTATTGAACGTTTGGCTTTCAACAGTCGTTACTTCCGTCTTGGTTTGAAGCGTTTGGGCTTTATCATCTTTGGAAATGACGACAGTCCTATTGTACCTTTGCTGATCTACAACCCCGGTAAAATTAATGCTTTCGCTCATGAGATGCAAAAGCGTAGCGTGGCCGTCGTGGTCGTTGGTTACCCAGCTTGTCCCCTGTTGACCTCTCGTATCCGTTTCTGTCTTTCGTCGGCACACAACAAGGCTGACCTTGACTACATGCTCCGTGCTTGCGACGAAGTTGGTGACCTTTTGCAACTCAAGTTTTCGTCGGGTGTTGCTGGCGAGGACGCTGGTCGTACCAACATTGAAAAGATGACAAACCACCACCATATCAAGCCTCCTCGTTGGAGAATCGAAGATGTCTTGAAGCATAATGTACATGATACACTTACTCAATGATTTATTTTCGACTACTATTCATCAAACCAAGCACAAGCGTGTTAAGAGAAAAATAGGACAATGGGCAACAAGCATGTATTCGTTTATACAAATATATTTGGATTCATTTTCAATTACACCCCGTCGAATGGAACGTGGCGTGCTGGCTGTGATGGGCAAAACCTTTCCTCTGGCTCCGCGAGGTATAAAGTTAATTTTATGAAGGAATTCGTACTACGAGCACCACGCCATCCCCGCGAAGGAACATCTTGCTAATGAATCTGTCTCTGTTGATGGGTTTTCCCTTTTTTCCAGAACTCGTCTTGCGTCTTTCTGTCCACATCTATAACGAGTTGCGTTAGCATTGAAACATATCCCTTTTTTTCATGTGCATCGACAACAAACGACGATAAATATGCGTGAGCCAAATCGCGACATCAGCACATTTCGTTGTAGTTGATCTTGGGTAAACGTACCTCCTTCACGTTTTCCAGCACCATGTTGGAATGGCGGTCAAAAGCTTTTACTCTGGCCAATAGTTTTTTGTTATTCCGGCAATTGATAAGGACTTGGTCATGATTCTTCACGGCTTTCATATGGTTTAGCTTATGAGGGGAAAATGGAAGAGTAATGTCTTGAACCTGCAATCACTTACCTTGTTGGAGAACACTCAACGGACCCGACGAAAACTCGTACTCCTCTAAGCGTGCGAGTTCCGCTTCAGTGAGTTCACCCTTTGGTTTATTAACAAGGTCACTTCATAGTTTCTGTTAGAAGAGCACAAATACCGTTTAAACATACGCCATAGAGAGAATTTACTGAACTGTTTACGTGTAGAGGTTGAGTTGAACCGTGTTGCGCTGTTGCGTTCGACTAGGTAGCACGTTACTTGTTTCTTTGGTGGTGAGTTTGATAATAATTAAACGTTCTGCACGTGAATACTTTATTTATGGCAGAAATGAAGGAAATAAAGCTGGGAGAATCAAGAAAGAATGCTCTTGCCGACCTTGCTAATCGGAGGAGCTATTAGTGCCAAGATACTGTGTGTGAGTGAAGAAGAGGGTTTGGATGGTGCATAAATGAAATTTCTTTTGTTGAGGATTATCAATGAAAACTCAAACTCAAAACGTCTTACTCATAGCGTTGTTTCTACGCACTGGTGGCAACTACTTAAGAACAATGTTCGAAGAACGCATTTTGAGATACTGTTGATCGACACCAGGAGGTAATTCTTGAAGAATGCTGTAAATTTCAGCATTGTGATAGCGGAGACCCGTCTTAGGATCTGTATATGGAGCCAGGAGACCAGTAATATCACAAAATTTCTTTTGGGGAATAAAGCTGGGAGGTGCTTCAATTGACACGTATGTTAATTGAGTTGGGTCACTCATAGCTGGATCATTTTGCACAATTTGTTTAAGGTTTCTGTTTCGTCTTGGTTTGGCTTTGTAGTTCGGATTTCTGAAGGGTTTTTCCAGTAAACTAACATCCAAACTTTCAACCGTCGACATTTGGAGGTGAATTATGTTTTGGCAACTGTCGTTCTCCACTTCCGTCCGCCGTACAACCACCACCTTCATTCCTCCTGGCCATGGCAGCAAGAGTTACCTAAAAACATTGTTACCTGGTGGTGTTGAGTTTCAAGTAACAGAACGCGACGCGTCGTAAACAAATAAATGCACTTTAGGTGCTGAAGGAAAGGGAGAGACGGGACAGAGAGTGGGAAGAGAACAGTGATTTGTTACTCATAATTTTGTTAAATGGGAATATGATGAACCCGAGGAGGCTTTTTCTGTGAGTTGGCTTTCATGAACCAACCTCGGCTGGTTCGAGTCACTTACGTGACTCAAACCATTATAACTTGTTGCTATTTACCTATGCAAAACCGCTGGAAGACTTGCGAAAGCACTTCCTCGTTATTCATTGTACCAATCATCATTTCTAAGGAATTGGAAGCAAGTCTTAGTTCTTCAGCCATTATAGTTACATCGAGATTGGGCGTTAAAACAATTTGAAGATGTTGACAACAGTCTTTCAAACATTGTCTGTATCTATTCTCGGAAGCCAACTCATTATTTTGAATATTTCGCGCAGTGAATGAACGAAGAATAGTGCTCACTTGGTTCAGGAATGAGTCGAGGCCATTGCCTGTAAGACATGACAGTACAGCTACTCTTTCGGGCGAGAGGCCAAATTCAGAACACACTGCTTTTTGTGCCTGCTGCTTCTGGTGGTCGTTTTCCAGTAAATCTGCCTTGTTCAGTATAACAAACAAGAGACGCTGGGAATTGTTCTCATCACATGACAGACTGCGCAATAGTCCCTTGGCTTCTTGGGTGACAGCCTGAGAGTTGTGAAGATACTCGTTCATGGGAAGTACCAGAAACAATAGTTGTGATTGTTTTGTACGCTGCTTTGCAAGTTGGATACCAGCGGCCTCGACGGCAGACGAGACATTGTGATGACGAAGACCAGCAGTGTCTGAGAGCCAAACGGGATACCCGTGGATGTTGAGCTGAACCTGCAGCGCATCACGGGTGGTCCCCGGTTCGTCGCTCACCAAGGCTACCTGTCGTCGTGCTAATGAGTTTACGAGAGACGATTTTCCGGCGTTCGTTGGACCGAACAAAACAGCTTGTGTACCGAAGCGAAAAGCTTCGCGAGTACGCTGGCGAATTTGAAAAGAATGCATATCGTTAAGTAAACTCCGTGTTTTGTCAAGTACGGCACGCGAGAAATCCTCCTCCACTGAATGCTCTTCAGAAAAATCTAAAAGCGTTTCAAGGAGGGCTCTGCATTCGAGAATGGTGTCCCGCCATTGTGAAACACGTTTACGCGTCTGTGTATCAATGTCTTCATTTGCCAAATAAACCTGCTCGGCAGTTTCTGCGTCAATAACGTCGGCCAAACTTTCCAACTGTAACAAGTCCATTTTTCCATTGTAAAATGCCTGCTTAGAAAACTCACCACGCTCAGCGTAACGTAAGGCAGGCAATCGGGTTTCAGCAATGGCAGTCAGTGTCTCCTGCACAACTCCGCTCCCTCCATGCGTGTGAAATTCTATTGTGTCTTCGCCAGTAAAAGACGCTGGCCCGGGAAAGAACAGAACAAGAGCACGATCAATCTGTCTTTTCGTTTTTGGATGCAGCAATCTCAATAGGGTAGCCATTCTTGGCTTCGGAACACTCCCGCAAAGAGTTTTAGCTACCTAAAGACGTTTCATTGTCAGTATGAAGAAGACCCAAAAGTGATGTTTTTGCGTAACGAGTAGCAGCTTACCTACCTCTGAAGCTTGTGGACCAGAGACACGAATGACAGCAACTGCAGCCTTTCCCGGCGCGGTGGAGAGCGCGTATACTGTGTGTTTGCTTTGTTTCGTCGCAAAGGTGCGTCTCAATGGTTTGTAGAGAGCCGCACTAGAAATGCTTTTCCAAAGTTTGGGAAACATCTACAGACAAAAGAACGAGTGTAAGGATGGTTTCTAAAACTCTATAATAACCTTAAAACTACGAAAGACAAGAAAAGCAGTGTTTTGAGAACAGACCGAAATATTTCATTTGAATCGAGTTCCTTGTCTCAAGAAATAATTCTGCCAAACGCAAGTTGTTTCTCCTTTAGAAACTCGAGTTTTCTGCCAACTTTTCCTTAGAACCTCAGAATTCCTTGTCTAGCATTTCCATGGTGGTGAGTTTTTGGTGTAGCAAAGATCGCTTTGCCAAAAAAGGAGGATAAACCTTAATAAAACTAACGAACAAACAATTGTTCTGAACGAAATCTCAACATTATGTGGTTGTACAAGTTCTTTCGGCTTGAAGGAGATTCATTCTCGTGCCCTCATAGAAAATCCAGCTACGTTTACAAGTTTTCTCTCTTCAGAATCGCCTCGGAACCTCAGTAAGCACCTCCGATCGTTTTGTGTTTCGGCCCCTCTTATTGGTTGCAAGGCGAAGCGATTCGCCGCCCCGCCGCACCTTATTTAAGTAATTCATGACGTACACTTAGAGAGGCATCGACGTCATAATTATGAAGGCAACACAGCCTTTCCTGTTATAAGCGGCAGAGCCCCAGAGCGGACCGTATATATCTTGCTCATTACCAGAACCGTTAAACATACAAAAATTTGATTAATAACGTGTCTATCTGTTCAATTATAGGCAAAACATATATATTTTCGACATGGCAACTTTTCAAGAAAAACAAGGCCAACGCAGAATTAAAATGCGTACTGGAAACTTCTTCTCCCGTATGTGGAATGCCGTAATTTTCGGTTTTGGAGCAGCCATTGGTGCCACAGTAGCCAACGCAGCTCTAGGTGCTTGCTGTGGCTAAATAGCGTCTCGGAATACCCGTTAGTACCGTGTCACTCAAGCAATGTCTTCTCGTGGTACAACGTCTCTTCCTAGTGATTCAGTAAATGTTCAGGGTCAATATCGCGTTTATATTGTCATCTCCGATGTTCACTGCTCGTAACGAACGACTAAAAATGCCTGTTTTTCAACACTGTCGGCTTCCTTTGTTTCGCGTTTCATCTTTTAAAGCTTAATAAGCTTAAGCTTGGTTTAAGCCAATGATAGAACCGTCCTTGACATTGTATCCCTTTACTTTGTCCTGACTATCCTCTCCTGTGCTTTACCGTCACGCGCTTTTATGAACGTTTTATTTCTTTTTAACGATTATAAGCACTTTTTAATGATATTAATGGGGTAGCAAATTAAAGTTTGCGACAGAGTGTCTTAGACGATAAGCAACGATTCCGTCGAAGGTGGACCGTATGGTAGAATTCCTTTTCCCTTGCACTGTAGCTGTTTCGTGCCTTGTTTCTTGTTTTTCATTCATTTTCAATTTAAGCTCATTTACGCGAACGCGATTTCATTAATCGAAAGCTCGCGTGTCTCTTTCCACTACAAAGCGGCTGACGTCATTTACGCTTCTTATTCAGCTTGCTAGTTGCCTGGAACACTTCTCCTTTCCCAACCACAACGTAGAACCAGGCGACTTTTGCTTTCTTGCTAATTACCGCAATCAGGTCGACGAATTCTGCGATTTTTGTCGTTTAAGATGCTCTCAATGCAGAGGCTTTCTGTCGTTCTGTGTTTCTTTTTGTTTGTGTCGCTGATTTCTCCGTCAGCGGCAGATTTGCTCACTGCAGTCAATTTTGATGAAAAGACGGCCACCGGACTTTGGTTCGTCGAGTTCTTTCAACCTAACTGCATTGCCTGCCAAAATCTTTCTCCGAAATGGAAATCGTTGGTTGCTAGTCGTGAAGAGGCCGGTGCTGCCGTAAACTTTTACTTTGGACAGGTCGATTGCCAGAGCAATAAGGAGCTGTGCAGCGCTCACTCCATCATGAAGACACCTACACTCCGTCTGTTCAAGAACGGTAAGAAGGTCGAGGATTATGATATCAGTCGTGGCCTAAACGTTAATAACTTGGCCGCCTACGTCGACCCTCTTATCGCAGCTGCTGAACAGGATGAGCCTCTTTCTACAAGTGTCACGGATACCGCTGGTGATTCTGTCGCAACGTCATCTATCGTACTTCCCTCGGCTACGGACTCTGCAGTTTCTGTTCCCTCGGCTTCTCTTACACCTTCTGCTTCTGCCTCTGCTTCTGGTACTGATGCCTTTACTAACTCTCTTTCTTCTACGCAATTGGTGTCTGGATCTGTTGAGACTGCCTCTGCCTCTGCTTCTGTGAGTGCCAGTGTCGCCGCTACTAGTCTGGATGGAGACAGTCTCTTTACCATTCAAACCGCTGCTCCTGATGAGGGTGAATTGAATGGCACACCATTGGGCTCGGAGAATTTGGTGAATGTGGAGGGTCTCAGCAAGCGCTTAATCAAGTCTGAGGATATTGAGAACGCTGTCAAGTCACCCAACGGCTGGTTCATCCAGTTCTATTCGTCTGAGTGTTTGACGTGTGAAGATATTACCGATGCTTGGAAACAAATGGCTCGTCGCATGCGCAATCGCTTGAATGTGGGTCATGTTGATTGTGACACTGCTCGTGAGTTCTGCAGCAAGCTTAACATTCACAAATTCCCATCACTGTACTTCTTCCGCGAGGGCGAGAGTGTAGAATACTTGGGTCTTCGCAATTCTGGTGACATTTCAACCTTTGCTGACGATGCTGCCAATCTTGAGGTGCGTGAGGTGGATTCTTTCGATGTCCATGAATATGAAAAGAGTGACGACGTTTACTTCCTGTTCTTCTATAATGAAAAGACTACCGAGTTTTTGCCTGCCATTCGCAAGACTGCCATCCATTTGTTAGGACATGCCAAACTTTTTATTACCACGTCAGCATCACTCGCTAGCAAGTACCGTGTGTACAATTGGCCTAAACTCATTGCTGTTCGTGATGGTAAGCCCAACTACTTCCCCTCGAAGCAGCGCAACATGGCCGACTACAAACTGATGCTTGATTGGATGAAGACGGTTTGGCTCCCTTTGCTCCCTGAGCTTCGCTCCTCTAACTCTCATGAAATAACTGATGGAAACGTTGTTGTTTTGTTTAACTTGGACCCTGAGTTGCCCGACTTTGAAAAAACAAAGAAGATTGCTAAGGAAATTGCTACTAAGTGGACCGAGGAAGAGGCTCGCAACTTCCAAACAGAAAAGCAAGAGCAAGAAGATAAAAAGAATGCTGAAGTTGAGAAGGCCGAAGTTCAAAAGGACGAGAAGGCTGTTCAAGCTGCTTCGAGTATCCCTGTAACGATGAAGACCTCTCACATCAAATTCGCATGGGTAAATGGCAACTACTGGAACCAATGGCTCAAAAACTTGGGCGTTGATGTTAAGCAGGATGGTCCTCGTGTCATTCTGTATGACTTGGAGAACAAACGGTACTGGGATACCACAATCAAGGGAAAGCATATCCCCGTTAATGAAACTGAAGTATTTGAAACTTTGGAAGCTGTGCAATCCGGCAGTTCTCTGCTTAAGCCTAAGGTGTATTCTTCCCAACCCAGCAACAAATACCTCGATTCTATTGGACTGCCTTCTAATGTGGTTAAGTATGCTGTCATTATGTTGGTTATTGCTATTGTTGTTGTCATTGTTTGCAAGCGCCGTGCTGATGCGGACTACCAAAAGCTTCACAACTCCTCCATCTTGCCCATTGCAAACAGAAATGCTGGTGCTACTACAGGCAAATTTGATTAGCCTTGTTCGCTGCTTGTTTCCAACCGTATCGCTCATCCTACAGGTGATACGTTAACTCTCTTTTAAATCTCGTTTATTCAGCATATCGTTTGCGTTAAGTTGTTGGATGCCTTCACTCACACTAAGATGTGGTGCATCGTTCCTAATGCAAGTATAGAGAAATGGCCGCGTAAGGTGACCAGTGCTCTTCTTTATGTGACGTTAATGCGAAATGTTTGTTGAGTATAAGTTCACTGCTCAATGACTTGTTTATTCATTGGTATAGATATTCTTTCTAAAAAGTATTCTGTCGGATGATTTTTTCTATCAGGCGAAACGGCTTAAGCAATTTGTCACACTCCTTACTCTATGGGGATTTGCTTGTACGTTCTTGCTCGCCCTTATGTATTTCATCGTCAAACGTATTATAATCTAAAAATAAGGTATCATTCATGCATTTACTTCAGAATGTCTTACAATCACGTAGGTGTTTTGAACCTTGACTTCGGGTGTATTATTGTAACAGATAAGCGTGAAAAGAAGGTCGTTGTTACATTGTAGCGTTGTATTAAGAACTAATTGATCCTTTCGATGACAGTAAGGTTGCCGACATAACCGTTCTCTTCGTTCATATCCCAGAGATTTATTCCCTCAAACAACAAAAAATCATTTTATTAACACTTAAATTCCAAAACCCATCTAAACGATATTAGAAAATGCACGCTTTTTACCATCATTCTCCATCAACGTCCTGTCGACATCTTCAAGAGAAGAATTGTGATTCATTTCCCACTCTCTCTTTAAGTAGGACAGACCAGCATAATTATAGCCGATCATAGAGCGTTCTTTCGACAACGACTTCCGCAGACTAGTACGGATGTTGTTTAATAAAGGAACCATCACCTCGTTTGAAGAAAGCTGTTTGTTATATGTGCGAATGAGGAAAAATAAAACACGGCAACAAAGAGGAATTGCCCATTCTCGACGAGCCCAGATATCAACGAAACGGAATAGACCCAACACCCTATCAAAAGGCAAGACCAACAATGCATCCTCAAGATGACTAGTCCGAATCTTTTTCAGAACACTAAGGACATACTCTTCAGCCGAGAGCTTAAGATGTGCCAGAATGGGGTTTCTCGGTGGATGTGCCATGTTGGGTCGTGTTCTCTTTTCTAAAAGATACTGAATTTCCAAATCTAAATCAGCAATACCAATCTCCAGCGCTTCCATCAATTTTTCACCATCCTTTAAACTCTCCACCGTTTGCTTAGTAACCGCAGCAACACTGTCTTGTTGTGCCTCATCCGTGTCGGCAATTTGTTCATCACGTTCGTAAGAGTTGACGAGTGTAGATTCGTATTGCTCCTCCAACTCGCGTTCTTTTTCTTCTTCCAAAAAGACTAAATCGTCGGACTCAGCCCAAACACGAATAGAATGATCATGAGAACCACTTACAACGAAGGTAGGGGCAACGGCAATACACCAAACCTCCGAATGGTGACCACGTAATTTTAAGATGAGGTCAAAAGAATCGCCGTCCCAGTAGCGAACCTCATGGTCTTTTGAACAAGTGAAGAAGTTGTGAGAATTGGGTTGGAAAGCCACATCCATAATTGAATCTTGGTGAGCGAAGATAGATTTGTGACAATCACCAAAGTCCAAACCCCAAAGCTTAACATTTTTGTCGGCACTGCAAGTGACCAAAAGCTTACTATCATAGGCAATATCCATGGAAAGTACTGGCAACTTATGACCATAAAGATTTAAAAACAGCTTTAAGGTATCCAAATAATAAACCTTTACGGTATTATCAAGTAAGGATGCTGCTATTAAGCGACCGTCAGGTGAAAGCTTGACAGAAAGAACATCGTCATTAAAATCAATCTGGCGTGTTTGTTTAATTTTTATGGAGTCAATCTTGCGTGTAGTACCAGGCACCAAGTCCGTCGAAGCTTTAATGGACCAGAGCTTCACGGTCTTGTCAGCCGATGCAGTAGCAAAAGAACTACCATCCTGGCTGACAGAAAGATCATAAATCGCACCATCGTGCGCCTTTATAGTTTCAACGAGCGAAGAACCAGCAACATCATAAATCTCGATGTCACCATTTTTGAAGCAGCGACAATATACTTGTCGTTTGCGATGAAAGACGCAGCTAGTACGTATGCACAAGGAAAGGTACGCAAACACGTTCCAGTTTTAACGTTCCAAATTTTCAAGGAGCCATTCGCACCACTAAGGAGAACATCGTGATTTATGGACAAAGACAAGGTTCTCACATCAGCACGATGTCCAGGAAGCTCAATAGCATGCGTCTTCGTATGCCGCTCTGTAACGGGAACGTCAGCAGAGGCCTTCGTATTCAAAGTATAAACATCTATAGAGTTGTTCCCAAGTGAGCAAACCAGAGCAGGATTCTTTCCATCCACGGTCCACGAAACCGAAGATATTCGAGCGGGTGCACGGATGATGGCAAACTGTGCAAATTCATCCTTTAAGGCGAGCGAGACGTCCTCACTCTTTTTACGACGACGGCGACGGTTTAAGATTTTTTGAAGCTCCTCTTCGGTACGGAGTTGCAAAACCTCAAGAACACGATCATGCGACTGAATAGCAACAAATTTGCCGTTGTCATTAAACTGAACACTTATAGGGCGTTCTTTGCTCAAACGGGGTATCGAGCCCAAAAAAGATATAGCTTTTACATCAGGTCGAAGAACGCCATCCGATGGAAGTGAAATGGACCAGACTTTTATGTCTGAATCCGTACCAGCCGTCAGACAACGTTTTTCATCTGGAGTAACGGCCAGAGCCCAAATTTCGCCATGATGTTCAACATGTGTCTCAATGCAATGTTGGGCAGACAAATCCCATAATTTTAAAAATGAGTCCTTTCCTGCAGAAAGAAGATATTCTTGTTCAGAAGTGGATGAAGTATCGGTCTCATCACTAATTGGGGACGCCAAAAATCGAACTTCCGTAATTTGGTCCTTATGACCTCGTAAACGGTATAGACCAGTTTCACCGACGACATCCCAAAGAATAATATCAGTGTCCTTGCTACCACTGGCAAGCTTCGTACCATCGTTATTGAACTGCAGGGCAGTAACTGCATTTTTATGTCCGTTCAAAGTAACTTGAAGAGAACCTTTCTGCCACAGACGAATTGAACCATCACTATAACCCACCGCGAAGAGCTCACCAAAGCTACTTATGGCAGTAGCACTTGCAGAACAGTCCGAGTCTCTCCATTTAGATAACAACTCTCCAGTCTTTAAGTCCCATTCCAACACAGATTCGAGTGCTCCAACGAAACATCTGCCAATTGACTTTGATCCCTCAGAACGTCTTGTAATAATGTTACAAGTAGAGGAGCAGACTACTCCAAAGTTGTTTAACGGCTCATACCGAGTATAGCTTTTCACCATCACGTCGGAGGACTTGCACACGGTAGGTGTTCGAGGCAGCTTGGAAGCCTTAGGCAATACACAATTTTGGTGGTGAGTTTTCTGGAGGGAAATGTTCACCACCAAGAATTTGGCCACGCAATAAAAAAAACAAATGAACTACCAGGAAAGCTCATTAAATGATCAGCAATTAGAATTGTCGTTCCGGCTAAAGTGCAATATAATTTCTACAACAACCTGTCAGTCCAAGAGGCACATTCTTTGAATACATTCATTTTTAACAAGAATGTGTAAAAATGCCACAAACCACTACTTCTAATGCGGGTTCTCAATCTTCACATGAAACTCCCTCTTCTTCCTCTGGAAGGAGAGAATCGCCAGCTAGTCTTCGAAGCATCGCCGAAAGGGAAAATCGGAGGCTTGCTAGACTTGCTAATCAGCCCGCCGACGAAATTCAAACAATTGTAGATGTGCCTTCTCAAAACAATACCGCCAACGGTGATAGTAACGAAAACGAACCGATTAATACTGATGATTATTCCAGTCAGATATTGGCAGCCGCCGAAATGAGAGCTCGATCACACTCAAATACCCGGCCATGGGAAGTTATAGAAGAACCAGATGACTCACTCATCATTGAGGATTTTGGTGCGAATTCATCGAATAATTGCATTGATTTAACGAAGACCGAAAAATCCGGTAAACCAAAACGAAAAAGAGCAAAGACAACAAATAAAAAGAAAGAAACGACTAATGTTGGCGGCGACGCGTCATCAAAGCCGCCTCAGGAATCTCGAAAACTCGCTGACTATACATGTGCTATTTGCTTAGACAGCCCAGAAAATCTGGCGGCGACACCGTGTGGTCACATTTTTTGCGATTTTTGTATTCGTAGTGCTCTTGGAAAAACACCAGCTACGCAAAAATGTCCTGTGTGTCGTAGAAAAGTGCTTCCCAAATCCATCATATGTCTAGAAATGATGCTAGGAAAACCTAAAACAAAGACGGATAACGGTGCTTCTGTCGAGCCTGAGAAGAAGCAACTTTGATGTGTGGTATTATGCAATAGACTTTCATGACAATCTTCAATAGAGGTTTATTTTGAAAACGGATGCTTGTGTAAATCTGAGTCCCAAAGGAAAAACCTACACTGATAAGGATTCTTTTCATTCGTAGCACTTGAATTCTCGACGACTTCGCCAACCGGACGAGAGCAGCACCAGAATTTGCGGCCATAATTAACGCCGGGTTTCTTAACATCAAGTTTTTTGCATGGCTCCATGTGTCCAGTGCACAAGGGCACTCGTGGCTTTGAGAATGCTTTACGAAATAACCGAAGTGATTCGTTATCCACATTGCTGCTTAATGTGCTACATTTTACTTGTTCATTTTCAGTATATGTGGAGCTTGAAAACGTGCTTTGACTTACGGCATAACTTTCTTCCTCATCTTGAAAATTCTCTGTACTGACTTCTTCTTGGGTATGTTCTGATGAGGTCCTAAGAAGTGCATTTTTATCCGACGAATCTTTCCGTGCTGATGCTTCTTTTGGAGTCTTTAAAAACATGCTTAAGAGCGTTTGGTTTTTGCTTTTCTTTGTGACCTTTTCAGTTGTTTGTGGTGTGTCTGAACTTCGTGTGCGCTTATTAGACTCGTGTTGTTCGGATTCAGAAGGTGAATCTTCAGTTTTTGGGCTACTTTTTTTGGTAGCCGAGTTGTTCGTGGAAACTCGTTTAAACATATCGTGAATGTTCTTAGAACGTCTGTACCGTTCACCTCTAAGAACAGAGAGCAATGGAAACGTTTCGGAATGCGAAAGTCTGTCGTATAATGTACATCCATCAACTGTCTCCTTAAAATCAAGAAAAACAGGGCAATGGTCGGAGCCCATAATTTCGGGCATAATGTTTGCATCTTGCATCCACGGTAGCAAAGCAGGTGATATGCAAATGTAATCGATGCGTGTTCCTAATTCATATGTTAGTTTCTAACCCAAACGGATGTATTCTTTCAAAAAAAAAAAAAATCCATACCAAAGTTTGTTGGTCGAGTATTAAGTCTTGTATTCCAGCAGGTAAACATGCCCCGCCTTACAGGATGTCGATGGCGAGTTGTATCGATTAATAAACCTTCCGGATGTGGCTGCAACATTCCACGAACCCATTCACGAGACTCTCGAATACTCTCATCAAATTGTTCTTTTTGAATGTCCTTATTGTCGGCGGTATCGAGCTCATCGCGCAAGATGTTAATATCACCAAGAAGTATCACATTGCGTTTTGCTTCTTGAGTAAGTCGGATAATTCTGTCCCGAAGGGCATTGTAAAAAAGGCGACGAAATTTTAGACGTTTCTCGCCAGAATTTACAGGGCAATACACGCCAATCAAGACAAACAATTGAAAATCAAGTAGTATGCACCGACCCTCAGAATCAATGAGTCTTTCCGTAGCCTTGTCTAAATTCACAGGGTAATAGCCGATTTGTTCGTCCTCTGGTGCATCTTTGTAGCAGTAATGTCTGTCGGGAACGGGGAGAATTCCCGTAATTCCTTCTTCTGCTTTACATGGAACAGTCAAACTTTTCTTCACATACACTCCAACTCCACTATAGCCCTTTTTCTCAAGAGGAAAAGTAAAATACGCGTCGTAACCTTCTATCAAGGCAAATTGTTCAGGAAATCCTTGTTTCTGTGCCTTCAATTCTTGAACACAAATAATGTCAGCATCTAACGTCTCGAATACTTCTTTGTAAGACTTTTTTGACCTCCATTGACCGTAATTGAACGGATTTTGTATCCCGTTTACGTTCCATGTCAGAATGCGCATGATGGCATTTTGCAGGTCTTAGCTGAAATAGCCGTATTCTTATTGAATTAAAGTATGGAGATAATATTTAAGCTTGTCACGTGAATTTTAAAAACCGTAAGCGAGCGATGTGTAAACTTTAAAAGAAGAAAATGAAGTGATAAGGACGAAAGAAATTGAGGGAAACATAATCAGATCGTTAAGATTTTCCGTTGGTTGTGGCTATATACTTTTTCAGCCTTGAATAGGTTCTGTGATAAGAGCGCGGTTAACCTTCTCGTGAATAAATAAAGTTTTCGTATCAGATACGATATAACAAATAAAGTTCGGTGTGCGAGGACTTTGCGATTCCTTCAAACCAAAACTGCATACGACGAATGATGACTAAGCTAGTTGCAGAAAGTACATATTCTCTCGCACATTCCTTCTCTCTATAATACAAAGCCTAAGACCGACCCCATAGTTGACGTGACCTAACTACACATTAACGTTTTTTCATCTACTATAAAACTCTTATCAGATGATCTCTTGCGCATCACAGTCGAAAAACCAATTTAGTTAGTAAGTTCTTTGAGGGTGATGTTAAATCCGATGAAAATGGCCTGTGATCGTTGTAGCTGCTCTCTTGACTCGTTTGTGTAATCAGTATTCGTTTTATTTTCAAAAATGTCTAACGTCAGTCATTTTACTCCCATAGTCAAACATAAAAGTAGTTTAACTGTCTAAAATAGAGAACCACCACGGAAGCCCGAGGAAGCGGCAAGAAAAGATCTCATTCGTATAAGAACGGTTTAGCGCGTTCCGCTAAACGATCTTGTTTTATGTCTTAATATTCTTCATATTCCGCGCAACTTTGCTCATCAGCTTAGTCAGGATTACGAATCAAAACCCTCGGCTGCTGGACGGCCCTCATTACGTCATGAATACTAACGTTATTTCGCTGAATAAAGTTATCTAAATATCATACCGAGGTGCCTGAACTGATGTCATCATCAAAGGCTTACACTACGACTAGCACCTGAAATAAGCTTTATAACTCCCTTCCATCGTCCCCTAACAACTTGTCCTTTACAAACACCTGGTTGACGATTCCCACGTCGTTTAGAGTAGATTTTTGTTTTCCACGTCCATAATGACTCAAAATTCGTTCAAGTAAGTTGTTCCTGGTGCAGAGTGCTTGCATTGCTTCTTTTGACGGATTTCATCAAAACTGCTTTTTTTCTGTTTTCTTCGCTTTTTCGAGCAAATTGACGATTATTTTCGTGTTCTGGCAGCTTATTAACTTCATTACTTGCAGATGTATTAAAGACAACGCTTCTATCACCGTTTTTGGCGCCTCCGGAGATCTTGCCAAAAAGAAGACGGTATGTTACGTACACTTGAAGCATTTATGTAGTTCAATGGAAGCAAAAAAACGCGTCAGCACTCTTCAAACCATGTTGTTATGTTCTCTCATTTCAGCTGTCGTTTTTTCTTCTGTTTCCGGCGTTCTTCGTTTTCTCGCGTTTCTTTTTTGCCGCTTGTGCTAACGTGTCTGTAGTTCCCTGCTCTATTCGGTCTTTTCCGTGACGATTTATTGCCAAAAAATCTTGTAATTCTCGGCTACGCTCGTTCAAAGCTCGAACACGATGATTTTTTGAAGCGTATCACTCAATACATTACAGTTAATTCAGAAGATGACAAGCAAAAGCTGGAGGCCTTTAAGCAAAAATGTAACTATCTTTCTGGTGCTTATGATCAACCTGAGGCATTTGAAACGCTTGAGAAGCGTCTCCGGGAACTTGAAGGTGAAAGAGACGTGCGGAATCGCATGTACTACCTTGCTCTCCCTCCTGATGTTTTTGTTCCTGTTGTAACCAACTTGAAAAAGAAGTGTTACCCTGAAAATGGTATTATGCGTGTTATTATGGAGAAGCCTTTTGGCCATGACTTGAAGAGCGCAAAGGAGTTGCAAGCTCAATTAGATCCATTGCTTACGGAGGAAGAGCTGTACCGTATTGATCACTACTTAGGAAAGGAGATGGTGAAAAACATTTCCTTCCTGAGGTTTGCGAACCCCGTTCTCGCTCACATTTGGAACAAAAACTCTATTGCCAACGTTCAAGTAACCTTCAAGGAAAGCATTGGTACTGAGGGCCGTGGTGGTTACTTTGATTCCAGTACTATTATTCGCGACGTTATTCAAAATCATTTGATCCAAGTGGTCACTTTGCTCGCCATGGAGATTCCCAGCAGCTTCAACTCGGAGGATGTCCGTGACGAAAAGGTCAAGGTGTTGAAGCGCATGCGTGTCGGCGACATAAAAGACATTGTTCTTGGCCAATTTACAAAGAGCGAAGATGGCAGTAAACCTGGTTACCTCGATGACAAGACTGTCCCCGAAGGTAGCCGTTGTCCTACCTTCGCTGCCATCCCTTTCTTCATTGACAACGAGCGTTGGAAGGGTGTTCCTTTCCTTCTCAAGGCCGGCAAGGCTTTGAACCAGTCGAAGGTGGAGATCCGTATTCAACTGAAAGATAGTGCTGCTGGTCTTTTCGACGATATCTATCGCAACGAGCTTGTGATTCGCATTCAACCCGATGAAGCTGTTTACATGAAGGTCAATGTCAAATATCCTGGTCTTCGCACTGAACCTATCTTGACGGAACTCGACCTGACCTATTCTCGTCGTTTCGAGAACATGAAAATTAATGAGGCTTACGAAGCCTTGCTCCTTGCCGCGTTCCGTGGTGATCAATCGAACTTTGTTCGTTCCGACGAACTCGAATATGCTTGGGGTATTCTCGACCCCGTGTTGTCCTGGTTGGATAACGATCGTCCTGAGCCTTTGCCCTACACATATGGTTCTCGTGGTCCTGCCGCTTTGGACGAGTTTATGCAAAAATTTGGTTTCGTGCACCATGGCCCCGACAGTTACCAATACCCCACGACTCGTCTCTCTTTGTAAAACTGTTTTACGTGTGTACTCTGATATGTTTGTTACGAATGGAATAGGACAATGAGATGCTCAAGTGTGAGATTTCTTTTTGAAACGTTGGTGCATTCGTCATTTAAATTTCCGTTTTTTAAAGAAACCATTTCTGGTTGTTAAACGACTGTAGATAAGTACAAGGAGGTGCCGCTCTGCCAGCTGCTTTGCTGAACCCCGATAAACGTTTGGGATGCACTTTCTTAATCTTAAAAAGCTACTACATTAAATGTGCCAACGCGGCAGTTACGGTGGGAGAAAATACATTCACAGATGAAAGAGCCTGTATGGCGCTACCTTTGTTCCTTATTGTCCTATATCGGAATGAACATAAAGAACGCTATGTCGCTTTCTTCTTGGGATAATTTCGTGCTTGTGTTACAATTCATAGATCATATCGTGCCATTCAGAGTTGCCAAACTGGCATTCGCTCTTACCGACGAGACTGAACCCGAGCTTCTCGTACATCGGAATCAACTCTTTATGGGCTAAGAGCGATACGCGTTTTGGACGGGGAGTAATGATTGTTTGGCAGCGGAAAATCAGCTCCTCAATAAGTTTTCTGGCGTATCCCTGACCTCTGTGTGCAGGGTGAACTGTGACTGAGTGCAGAGCGACATTGCTTCCGTTGCTGTCGTTCTTCTCCATCGATTCCATAGTCACAAAGTCGGATGAGGTACGAGTTGTCAATAAATGACCAATCAACATGCTAGTGTTTGCCGTTGGGGCAATAAGACCAAGCTGGAGTGCTTGGTTGTTACTAACTCTGCTGCGGATCTGGTTTTCGTTTTCATTTAGTATCTCTGCCGAAGAAAATGTTTACATTGAGCCGTACCTTTGCTTCTGAAGCGCGTTCATCTTCTGGAAAACAGCTTGCCTCGAGCTTAGCTGCTTCCTTGACGTCTTTCTTTTCCAAATTACGAATACAAACCATGTTGGTGATGATAGGTGTTAGTTATTAACTGAGCTTAACAAGAACGCTGCTGTATTGCAAGCCTTAGACAGGTCTTATGTAAGTTGCAGTGGGCAAGTAATTTATTAAGTTACGGTAGGATCTGGGTGTTCTTAAGCAAGATTGCGGGTTTGTCAACGGAGAAGAATTCCAATTTGGTATCCGGCCAAATGAATGATTAGTAAGCCTGAAAGGCTGGATAATGCGAACTAGCACAGCACGCTATCTGCGTAATAACACTTCACGAAAAGTGAGTGCGTTACGCAACGTTTACAGCACTGCGCTATAAATCTGTAATACTTCATTAGGAACACACGCTATAACTCACAATTTCATTGCATAAACAGCTAGTGGGTTAAAATCACTCATACTTAAATCCTAAGGATGAGTCACCTGGACATTAGTTGGTTCATTTGATCGCTCAAAAATATGATCGTCGTCAAGTAGTAACTAGAAATAGAGAATACATTGAATGAATTAGCGTTTGGTACTCGACAGTTATATAAAACGTTGCTCAAAGGTTGTTAGATTAATATGACGGCGGCGGGTTAATCCCTTTGCAGGAATTTTCTACTGAAAACTGAGCTATTACTTGTAAATAGGATCTTCCACTAGTAAAGCAGAAAGGAAAGCAAATAAAGTTGATGCAGCATGACTATAAGCGATAATGACATAGCTTAGTGTGTTTTTATTTTGAATTTGCAGTATTTTAAACCGGTAAAAGGAAACGAAACTTCATTGAGCAGTTATGTCTACAATTATTAGCCTTGTTATTCCCCTATGTTCGTAATGTGAAATTGAATGAATCGAAAACAACGTAAAATTAATTAGATATTACAAGCAGCAACTGTAAGCGTGTGGTGCGGAGACTTTTTTTCGTAACAGACTATTCTTCCTCTTCTTGCATTTCTTCGTCCAATGCCTCCATGACTTTGCAGGAAAACTCTTTTTCATAATCAACGCCGACGTATGAATCGCTGAAGCAACTTAACTTAAGCTTCTGCTCTCCCTCTTGCAACGGTACGAATTGCAGCTTGCTCGTTAAAACGCGGTTTAACGTAATTTTTTTGATGGCCAACAGGTTTGTTCCATCTGACAGAACGAGCCACCAATGCTCAGTCTTTTCGAAAGGGAAGAAGGGGGCACATACTGTGGTATCCGCTGTCTCGTCTTCTTCTAGTTCACGCGAAAGCTGCACCACAAGTACAGAAGGTGCGTTCACCCGAACATTGTCTGGCTCTTGAAGTTCAAAATCTATATCAATGTCCGGGTATTTGTTGATAAATTCGGCACATTGTGCCAACTGCGCATTGTCCATCTGCAACAATTCCGTTCGTTTGTCGTCGTCCAAGTCAATGATATCAAATACATCATTCACATTTGCTGCATTGCAGCGAGCAATCCGTTCGTCAGTAAAGTGGGGAATTTGCTTTAGCGGGCTGTCACGGTCCCAGACAGCTTGCGTAACCATCTGTGACATCTCCATAGGCCGAATGGAGGCATTAAGATGATTATCTGAAGAGAGTGTATCCACACAAGCACTTAACAGTCTGTGCGCATACTTTAGCACTGTTTTCTGATCCAGTACCAAGTTTGCAGGCAGTTGGAAACGCGAAAAATGAGCAGCTAAAAGAATGAAAGCTTTGCAGTGGGGCTCTTGATAATTAGGAGCACTTAGACGTACTGGCAGATTGCGGTGTATACGATCAAGAATAATATCCTCGTACTTGCGGATGGGTAAAATTTCATATTCTGCAGCCGATGAGATAATCTCCAGCAAACCCTTCATACGAGTCTTGGCAGTAAGACTTAAAGCGAAAGTTTGCATGGTAATGTAAGTGATGTTGTAGTAGGACGCAATCATTCCCAAATTCAAAGCGTAACAACTGTCATCTTCGTCGTCTATAGCAATTAATCTTGCTTCATTCAGTTCGCTCATGGTATTCTCAACCAACTCTGAAAGATATTCAGATATAGCTTCATGGGAAATATCTGTTAAGCCATAGAACGCCGGATTCGCTACCAAGCGGCGATACATATAAGTCCATGTCAGCCAATCGACGGCGTCTTGTTTGTTTTCAATGGTTTGCGAAGCAATTTCGGAGACAAATGCATCATGTAAACCAAGCTGCAAGTGACTCTCAATTGGTAGGGCTTCATTTAAAAACTTTTTGTAGTATTCCTTTTTCGAAGTAACGGTCATTAACGTCGCTTCACCAAATGCGTTAGGATTCTGATTGGAGACAACGCCTAGCATTTGAAGAATATCACTAATAGGATAGTCTATATAGCGGTGCTCTTTTCCGTCATAAAACTGAGTTCCCATAATGACTACAACATCAGATCGAGCACGAGTAGCATAGATGGCGTCATGACTTATAAGCAAAACACGAATGATACCATTTAAAAACAAGTGCTCCATAATTGCCTTATCTTTAGTGCTTGTTATTTCGCTTAAAAACCCAACACCATGCTGCAGAGACTCAAGTAAGGCCTTGTCTTTTACAGAATCAAGTAGGGGAATTTCGTTCGGAGCAAAGAAACGCTCGTCACCATCAGAAATAGCAAATGTAACCAAGTCTAATGCAAGCTGTCGTAAAACACTCTTGTCGGGAACGTACACAATGGAAGTCTTTTGCTTATCGAACGAAGAACGAAGTATTTGGTACGTCGGTTTAGTCATGGCTAACATTAGTGAAGGAAAGTGAGTGATCGAGTACGATTGCAAACGAATAGTTAAAGGATTTGGTCGGTCCTTTGGGCTAAAGTTATAGATATTTTGAGGAGAGGCACCTAACCATTCACCTAAATCGCGGGCATTCGCAAGTGAAACGGCCAGACCAATAATTCTGATGTGCTTTTCCATTTGAGCGGCCATGTAACGAACCCGTAGGACGCATGTTTCGTATGTTGGTCCTCCAAGACCACCTAACATTTGCAACTCATCACAGATGAACAAATCAATGTTATGAAGAACACGAGTTTGGCGCCATCTTTTCGAGAAAACATCCCATTGAGCAGGTGTAGCGAGAATGAGATCAGCAACTTGTAAAGAACGTAAGTCCCGACTTCTTTCGCCCGTCAACTTGAGAACGGCCTTGCCGAGTTTTTCAAATAAAGGTTTCCATTCAGCAAAACGTAACTCAACAATTTCCTCAAAGGGTGCTAAATAAACTGCCGCACCAGTATCTTCTTGGCTCCAATGTCTCAAAAGAGCCAGTTCAGCACAGGTTGTTTTTCCACTTCCATTCGGAGCGCCGATGAACGAGGTTTCTGAAGTACCATAAATCGTATTGAACACCTGAGTTTGAACTTTGTTAAAGAATGAAAACTTTGGCGCATACAACGAAACAAACTCTGGAATTTTTAACGCTTCAACGGATGTAGGTTGAAGACTCAAGAGTTGCGTAGGAGGAGGAAACTTTTCAGGCATAATAAGCTTCATAAACGATACTGGTATTCTCTTGGAGCAATGCAACCATCTGTCAGAAACAATTGAAACAAAATAATTCGGAGGCAGGGGATCAACCAGCGGAATGGTAAATGTGACGATATGTTCGTCCTCACTATATTTTTTAAGCAAAACGAAGTACTCGTAATGAAGCAGCCTTTCACCATCGACATCTTCAACAAAAATCCAAAAAGACTCTGCTTGAGAACTGAAAGCATCATCCCAATTAAAGTTTGCTGTAATCAACAGTTCAACACGAAGCAAAGAACGAGTAACTGGTTGCAAATGAGCATCCAGGTTAAGTCGAGGGAATGAATGTACCATACTGTACACTCGCCTTCCTTCCTTGGGAACGCCAATTAGCTCACCCAGTTCAGCAGGATCAAGATCGAAGTAACGATGCCATGGAAAATCCTTCTTCTCAACACGTCGTATAACGTCTGTGGGACAATGCGGAAATTGACGCAACGGGCTCATGGTGCTCCACATGCGCTTATCAATCATTTTACTGATGTCAAGTGCAAGTTTTGCAACAGATGCCCAATTTCTACGCAATGCAATTTCAAAAATAGCTCTCATAATTCTTCCGGCAGATTGAGTAACATAAACCATATCTGAAATAAGAGCAAATCCTTCTAAAGACTGTCTTGAGATATAGGACTGTAATAAAACATTAATTTTTGCCGGCGCCTCATTAACCGATTCACGGACAGGAATAGGGACTCGTTCCATAAGTTTTGTTAATTCGACTTTCTCTTCTTCGCGTACAGGGATATACTTAAATTCCTCAGAAAGGCTGAATACACGGAATAACTCAATTAACGATACCGTTGAATTGAGCATCTTGTTGTATGTGTCCATTGACGTGTTCGAAATATAATAACTAGAGGCAACCTTTCCCAGTTCCGTTGGATTGAAAGTACCATTGTCTCTATTGTACACGATTAGTTTGCACTTTTCTAAAATAACAGCAGCAGCATGGATAAGGTCAACGCGTTTTTGGATCAAGTATGTGTCATCAGCATATTCAGGACCAACATTATACAGTGCTGGAGATCTCAGCATTCGAATGTATAAGTAAGTATAACCAAGCCAGCGAACGGCATCAGCAATAGACTGTATTGTTCCCGTAGCAATTTCGGCATTAAGATTGTCTGGTAGTTTAGACATGTACTGGGATTCAATTGGAAGTTGCTGGTTCATCAACGAAAGGTAGTATTGAAGTTCCGAGTGCGTGGTTATGATAATACCTTCGCCGTAGCTATCAAACTGAGGTCTTCCAGCACGGCCCAGCATTTGCAGAACATCTTGAGGACTCAGTTCAGCCCATCTTCCTTTCTCAGGAGAATATACTTGAGTACCCTTGATGATGACAGTGTGAGCTGGGAGATTGACACCCCATGCAAGTGTTGCAGTACTGACCAAAACTTGGACAGTACCGTCTGCAAAAAGATCTTCAGCACTTCTTCTGTCTTCACGACGCATGCCTGCATGATGAATCGCAAAACCATAAGGAAGAAGATCCTTCAGGTCTTCATTCTTAGTAGTATCCGCTTCAGCACGAAGAATTTCTCTTGAGGCAGCATCCGATCGCAACAAATGTCCAATTGTCTCTTCTTCCAAAGCCTTGTCTCGAATAAATCGAGCCGTCTTTGCAGTTTCTTTTCGTGAATGAACAAAAATTAAAACCTGATTTTTGCCTGCATGTTCCATCACCTTTTCGTAGCACGCTTCATTTAAGACTTGAAGTCGCTTAATAGGTTTTTTCTCAGTTACACCTATGAACTCTTGCTGGAGAGGACAAGGCCGGTAACTTGAGTCAAAATAGAAAAGACCATTTTTTAACTGTACACGCAAGAAGGCTGCAACATCAACGTAGTTTGGTAGAGTTGCCGAAAGACCAACAAGACGAACACGTTCAAGTGACTCCTCCTCATGACGAATAATACGGGAAACAATAGACTCCAAGACGGGACCACGCTCGTCGTGAAGCAAATGAATTTCATCAATGATAACGAGACGTACAAGATTTGTGTAGGATAAATCGTTTGACTTGCGTGTAATAATATCCCATTTTTCAGGAGTTGTCACAATGATTTGTGTCGAACTTATTTGTTGCTTCGTTAGCTGCCGATCGCCCGTAAGCTCTGACACTGTGATTCCATAAGGAGCAAGTCGTGTGCCAAATGTTGTAACCATTTCTTGCACGAGAGCTTTCAAAGGAGCAATATATACAATTTTGAACTGATCAGTCGCAAAGTTACCAGTGGCTTCGTTCCGGTATTTTGCGAGCTCACTTAAGATACATAACATTGCTACATTGGTCTTACCTGCACCTGTAGGTGCACAAATCAGCAGGTTTTCATCTGTTTTGAAAGCAGTGGGGAAAATTTTGCTTTGGATCCGATTTAGAGTTTGGGTTCCGGTAAATGCTTCGTGCGTCCACTCAGGCATGTCAGTAATAGGAACAAGCTTTTCGTTGGGCTCCATTGGCTTTTTTTCCGGAGCGGGAACGTGAATTTCTTCATAGCCTTTACCGGTGCGTTTGTAAGATCCTTCAGGAAGCTTAACCGACTTGTTGGACATAAGCCGTGCACCCTCCCTGAAAACATAATTCTCAAGATCCACTTCGTGTGCGGGTTTAAGTTTAGAAGATTCAGGTAGCTCATTAGAACCGCTAACTTCAGTGGTATCTGTTTTTTGTTTTTTTAGACTTGGTTCTTCGTCCTCGTTTTCTTCAACTCCACGAAGCCTAGCCAAAATTGCTGACTGACCAGCAGCCAGCAGGGCATTTTCGACCATTTGTCTTTCTTCTTCGTTCTTCGCACGAAGTAATCTAGTGCACCAGACAATTACAGGTCTGTTTGACACCAACAATTGAACTAGTTCAAAGTGTTCATAATCAAAAAGTTCCATTAGCGAGTTTTCAAGTTCACCAGTATCGGTGATCGTAGACAATAATTGAAAAGCTTTTTGCGTTTTTTCTTGACCAACATGAGCATCTTGATAGACCTTGGAAAGCTCGCGTTGAAGCCAAAAAGCGTCGACGTCGCGGGGATGAAGTATGGGAACAACAGGCTCCTCGTGATTGTCGCCTTTAATTACCGTTACTTCATTGTCAACTGGAGTTGGAACGCCTTTCTCGGCTTCTGTTTGCTCTTTAGAGACTAGGACGTCGTTATCATCTTCTTCCCCAACGCTCTCCTCGTCCAATGCCGCCTCAACGTCTTCTTCGTTTTCATTAAATACGACGGGAATTCCTTGTTCATTTAATTGAACCGTCTCTTCTTCATTATCCTCTTCCAATCCATAGTCTGTGAGTCTTTTAGCCAGGTTCTCAACTTGAGAATATTGAGTATCGTCGATGGAGCTTCCAAGCACCTCCTCGATACTTCGTTTTCGCTTAGCGTCATCGAGTTTTTCATCCTTTAGATACTCAATGATGAGATCCAATGCTGACCGAATAACATCTGGAGACTCCTCTCCCATAAAATGATGTGTAAAAGAAAGCATATAGTCGTAAGCTTCACGGGTGTCATCAGTTAAAGGCCGATAATTGAGTGTTTCAAAGTTATCAGTCGAACTAAGAAGAGATGTATTTACAGAGATACCAGCAGGTCCTTGTGGAGCAGCGGACTGTTTCGTTTTTTTTGAGAGGTCTCGATCTTGGACTTCTTTCAACATTCCCGACTCCAATGTCGTTTCCCGTTCCACACGAGCACGAACACCCATTTCAGAAATGTTTATACGATTCGCCAACGATTCAGGTTCACCAGTCGGTTCAACATCGCGTCGAGTGACGAAGCGTCGGTCTGCTTGTGTCACAAGGTTTGACATTGCACTATAACTATATTGAGACTGGTCCACCTTTGGCTTGTTTTTTGACGAGCCATGTCGCGAAGACTCGCGAGCATTCCCTTTTGAATGAGAGCTCGACATTTTTGAGCTTTTAAGGAAATGACTTACGGTGAACGTGTACTACGGTTGCAGCCTGCTAACATGGTACGCGTCCGGGTTTTGTGGTGGTGAATTAAATAAGCTTATTGAAAATAAAGTTCGCCAATACCACCTCCACGAACTTAACCAGAGCCTTACAGCTCCTCGCCGCAATTGCTGTCGAATTCTGCTAAAATTCAATTGGAACCCTTTTGGAATGTGACTCCTTCTTCAACAGGTGGAATATAATTACTTACACCGATTTTATAGTTGAAAAAGCGGAAGTTTTGCTACTGCGTTCGAAACTAATTAAAATCTGATTCTGAAATAAGAACCTATGTACGATTTAAATTCTAAGAAGGGAATATCACCGAATTTGTAATTAAGGCTTGTGACGGTTTGTTATTGTTCTCTTGTCGAAAAATGGCAATTGACCCTTATTTGAGTGATGACGATTGGGACGACATTGATGAGGAAGCTGTCCAACAAATAGAAGACACCTATCAGAATACACAAAACATATTAAAAAATGGAGAATCTATTGATGAATTTATGAATCGGAATGTCACAGAGGATAATATCACTTTACAGCACCAATTGGACACAGAGGCAGCAAAGACCTGGATTTATCCAATCAATATTGAACTCCGTGATTATCAGTTCAACATTGTTAAAAAAGCTCTGACTCAAAATGTACTAGTCGCACTGCCGACAGGTTTGGGAAAGACATTCATTGCAGCGGTGCTGATGATGAACTATCTTCGTTGGTTTCCCCAAAGTTATGTCGTTTTTCTGGCGCCAACGAAACCTCTTGTAACCCAGCAAATGGAAGCATGCTATAAGATAGCTGGAATCCCAAAATCGTGTACTGCTGAATTGAGTGGTCAAGTTCCTGTTGCTACTCGAGCAGAATTATACAAGGAGAAAAAGGTGTTCTTTTTAACCCCACAGACGTTGCAAAATGATCTGAAACGTGGTATATGTGACAGAATGAAAATATCATGTCTTGTTGTTGATGAGGCTCATCGCAGCTTGGGTAACTATTCTTATGTCGAGGTTGTTCGATTAATTTATATGGGCAATAGGAACTTTCGCGTGCTAGCATTGACTGCGACACCGGGATCAAAGATTGACACAGTACAGAGTATTGTGGACTCTCTTCACATCTCATGTATCGAAATTCGCAATGAAAACAGTATTGATATTGCCCAATATGTCTACAAAAAGAATGTCGATTGCTATCCCGTTGATTTAAACCCCCTACTCTGCGACATTCGTGATCGATACTGCGAGTTATTGGAGCCTTTCTTTACCAAACTCACAAAAGGTAATCTTTATTGGGTTAGAGATATTAAAGACATTACCGCTTTTACTTTATTGCAAGCGAAACAAAAATTTCTTGCTACCGCAGGACAAAGCTACACGAATAACCAGAGGTGGGATGTTCTTAACACTTTTGATGCTTTAGTAACCTTCGCTTATCCATTAGGTCTATTATTGTACCATGGTATCACACCTTTCTACTCCAAGTTGAAGGAAATACAAGAGGAATGCTCGAAAGGAAGAGCCGGGTATAAGAAGCGAGTTCTCCATGATCAAAAATTCATTGATTTAATGAGTGAAATGAGTTGCTACATTTCACAGCCTGATTTCTTAGGGCATCCAAAACTGGAGCATTTGCAAGAAATTGTGTTGAATCATTTTGGAGAAAATAAAGATACTCGTATCATGGTGTTTGCCGAAATTCGATCTAGCGCAGAAGAAATTCATCGTCTGCTTTCAAGAAATTCACCGACTGTTCGCTCTGCCATTTTCGTGGGTCAATCTGCAAAGAAGGCTGGAGGTATGTCTCAAAAGTTACAAAATGAGACTGTACAGAAGTTTCACGAAGGTGAAATCAACACTCTAATTGCAACATCCATTGGCGAAGAGGGTTTGGATATCGGCGAAGTCGATCTAATTATTTGTTACGATGCATCTTCTTCACCTATTCGTATGCTTCAACGAATGGGTCGTACAGGCAGAAAGCGTGAAGGAAATGTGTCTATGTTACTTACGAGGGGAAAAGAAGAAAACAAGTGGGCACGAGCCAAAGATGCCTATCGCGTTATTCAAGAAAACGTGTCTAGTGGCAATGGTATCGTTCTTTCTGACAAATCTTACCGAATTCTTCCTAAACAATATAACCCTGAATGTGTTAAGAAGGTGATTGAGATTCCTAAAGAGAACATAGAATCAAAATCAGTAGAGAACAAAGTGGCTACAAGGCGCAACGGAAAGAAAACAAAGAAGAAGTTTTTTATGCCAGAAAATGCGCTTTTGGGTTTTATTAAAGTATCATCTTTGGGGAAACGAAGCCAACCCGTTGAGGAAGAGGAGTTTTTGCTTGACGAAAAAGACGATTGGACAGAACGGCATCCAGACTTGTTCAAAAAATATCAACAGACTAGAAAGGATCGGCAGATGTATTTGGAGACAGGGCCTGATGTATGGCTTATTGGAGGGCGCACGGGGCGCATTTCACATTCATCCAGCTACAAAGGATTAAAGCAAACTATACGCTCCATACGAGGCATCCGACCTAATATCATATGTAGTTGGAATCGTTTACTGGACGACATAAAACGTGAGGAGCGTGAAAGGAAGCACGGCAAGCTACCGGAAATAAACCGCGGAACCGTAAAAGAGCTTTTAGGGAACGGCGCGTATGTATTTTTTAACCCTTGCATTGATATAAATACTAATAATTTATTAGCTCAACAATTGGTCATCGCAGTATTCAAAAACCGCAGTTATTGCAGAAAGCTGCTTGGGATAGCGACGAAGAACAGAATGATCTCCCAGACATCAAGTTCTAGTAAGTATTGCGTTTTGCTTTTCCTTTTGGGTTTATTCACGCAAAACTAAAGCCAAGTCTGGAGGCGGAATGATGTTTCAAGCAAATAGTCGTAACATTCCATTTGAGTTTTCGCTTTTTCCCATGTTACTCCCCATCCAATGATTCCACGTCCTCGTATAAGCACTGCATTGACGGAAGAGTTCAATTGCGTTACTTGTTGAATTGATTTCAAGATGTTGGCAACATCACCATTTTCAATAACTGTCTCGTCAATACTTGGCAAACTAAATATCTTGGGCATACCTGGAACTCTTAACGTGTCAAAGCAGGACAAATAACCATCTTTGGGGGTACCTTTAGGAATACCTTTAATCATTTCCTTGTCCGAGATGACAAATTCCTCATCAGTATTTGTGGAAATAGCTACGGCAGCCTGTGAGGTTGAGTAAATTATGGCTACAGCCTCTTTCTCACTGAAACTGGTCAGTTCATGGAGTTGTCGCAATATTTTACCGGATAAGATATGCAAAAATAGGTGCAAGTTCTACTTGTGTCGACTCGGGTTCTCTGATTCCCGTTAGAAATAAAGCAAAAATATGTCTGCATACGAAAGACTTATTAAAGCCAAATCATCGTTCGTGAGAAACTCTCGTTGAACTCGATCTTTAGGGCATAAAAATTGATCTCTACAGACGTAAGTGTCAGGGACAAGTGAATGACAATTTTAAAATAATATAATTCGGTTATACCCAGACTTAAGACAATAGGATCCGCTAAGCAGTTATGTTAGCACATACTGGACTATTCATACTAATTAGGAGTTCTATTTGACAAACCTTCCAAAGCGCATCCAACCTAACTCGTAAAAGTGTTTACATAGTTGGATGACCAATTCTACGACACTGGATAAGTCTTGCTGCATTCTATTTATGATAGGAAAAACTAAAGGCTATGTATGGAAGAAAATGTTGTTTCAGATTGAGGATAATTCAAGTGGTGATTCGATGAGAGACAACTCGCTAAATAAATAACTTAATCAAGGTTAACAGGAAGCGATCGAACAGATGTGCCAAGTGAGATAAACAGAATAGTAGAAGAGTAATCTCAGATACAAACAACATTAAAAACTGATGAGAATGTCTGCGCTCCAAGCAAACATCTAATTTAGGCGGACAATAATTAGTATCTGTCAGTACATTTTCGAGCAACAATTAATTCTTAATGAACGTTTAAACTCATAGTTGTTGCCATGAACGTACGGCAAGTGATACACGAAATTAAACTCACATATAGGATAACTAAATGTATAAAGTAGTAGTTTACTTGATTATTTAACAAAATGGGAATTTAAGATTCACGAACGCGCCTCGGTTTGCCGGGTTCAGTCCATACGAAGTGTTTCTGAGATATCCACAATGAACCTTATTACAAAGGATGTTAATCTCATTTCGAGTGATCACCCGCAAAGGTAAACTTCAAAACATTTCTAGAGAAAAAAGTTTCCTCTCATTCACTAAAACGTTATTCCCATTCCACAACGTTTTTAAATGGACGAAACTCATGGTCGATTCGCTCAAACCGCTTTCACCTGATGATAAGCTCTACTTTATACGTGCAGCCGTGTTGTTTATGAACCATATTAACCTCAAGAAACCAAAAAACTTTTTAAGTGGTCTGCCATAAAAGACCCAGAGCGCAAACCACGTAATATGCAAAGAATTAGAAGTCTAGCACTTACTTCTTAACAATGCAAACAACGTCCTCGTCCATTAGAACATGGTTCAAACCAACACGCATACCGGGGTATGGGACGCTTCTTCCCCAAACATAGGCATGCTTGAATTGGGACTTAATACTCGAGTGAATGTTGTTACAGAAATCCTCCACCGAACAATGGCCCGAACGAAGAATGACAGGCTCCGAGTAGTCTGGTTCAAGACCCTTAGGCCGAGTATAAACTCGAGTCAAGTTCAGGTATTCCCACCTGCGTGAGTTAGCAATCAGTAAAAAACGGGCTAGTTTATCCTGCAAAGCGTACGAACAAGGTCAGCGGTATAACTTACATCTTTTCTTTCAATTCATCAATATTCCAACCCTTGCTTCCGCAAATGGGTACGGCGTTGGGAATACGGTTAATCAGCTCCAATTCCTCTAATGTAATGGCATCAATTTTGTTAAGCACATAAAGAGCGGGGATATAAACGCGGTTGCCCTCGAGAATGTCAATCAAATCGTCAATTGTAGCGTCGCAACGAATGGCGATATCGGCGGAGTTGATGCGGTATTCGTTGCAAACAGCTTTGATGGAATCATGATCAATACGAGTCAAGGGCACAGTATTGGTAATATTGATACCGCCACGATCCTTTTTCTTGAAAACGATATTGGGAGGCTCCTTGTTTAACCGGATACCAAAACCTTCGAGTTCCTGTTCGATGATACGTTTGTGAGACATAGGTTTCATGACGTCCAGCACAATGAAAATGAGGTTACATGTACGAGCGACAGTAATGACCTGCTTACCACGACCGCGACCGTCTTTAGCACCCTCAATAATACCGGGAAGATCCAGAATCTGGATCTTGGCACCGTTATGATGCATTACACCGGGAACAGTGGTTAAGGTCGTAAACTCATATGCGGCTGCCTCACTAACCGTTCCAGTAAGCTCACTCATAAGCGTACTCTTTCCAACGGAAGGAAAACCAATGAAACCAACGGTACCAACACCTGTACGCGAAACATCAAAACCGACTTACAATAGTTAGTATCTCGCACGACATTCATTAAAAATTGGATGTCCCAGTTGCGACAGAAGAAACAATCCAACCGTGAAATCTGTTTTTAAACTTACTGCCAGGACCGCCGCCGCCTCCACCAGGAGGATTGATGAGTTCTCGTTTCAGTTTGGCCAATTTGGCCTTGAGAATACCCAGATGCTTCTCCGTGGCCTTGTTCTTCTGGGTTTTGGCCATCTCATCTTCGATCTCTTTAATTTTCTCCGCAGTCGTCATTTTGCTGATTTGAGCGAGGGTGCTAAGGACAAGTTTCCAAGTTAAGGTTTGAATGGGTTTTTGGTGGTGAGTCCTTGTGGGTGAGTTTGTTGGAGGACTTTCGTGGACGAACTAGTCCGCCACCATAAAACAATATGTGTTCGTTTAGAGGGATTAAGGCCGGTTTCAACGTACTGGAAATTGAATTGTGAAGATTTTGATATGAATTAGGCGTTTTGCGGACAATTTAGTTTAACGAGATTTAATGTGCTGTAGTAAAATCTACGACACTGCTGTGCAGAACGAAAAAGATCTTTAATTATGTTTACCGCACTCTTACGTATTGTGTCCATAAATGCAAACGCGTACACGTTGTAAACATTCATAATTCATATACTAGGTCATTATAGAGAAAAATCGTTAAGAGGAAAGTGGCACAAGCAAAACGCACAAGAGTGGTCGCAGAAAATTATTCCTTTTGCTGCCTCTCCGTCTACGCGACGAAGGGAATGACGGCTTTTCGTTGTGGAGGATACGAAGAAAACGTTTTTTGGTACCATTTGTGTGTGCTTCTCGCTCTTGGAAACATAAACAGGATTTCAGCAACAACAAATGCGATCATTGGCCGAGCTGAAGGACCACAGGCTATTGCGTATCCTGTCCACTCAATCCATTCGCAAAAATAATTAGGACACGAAATAAAGCGAAACAGGCCACCGAAGGGAATACGGTAACCGTCCCTGCTAACCTCCGAATTTTCGTTTCCTTGTTGAGGAGCCGACGAAGTCCGCAGCTTCTGACGTCGCAGTTCGTAGAGGATGTTATCGTGGAACACGTTTCCATACAATCCAAAGGCCCACAACCCAAGCCCTGCGACAAACGCCAGGGTCGTGGAAGCACGTTCGTTTCCTTTACTAAGGGACACTAGATAGCCCGACATCCCCATCGCATTGAGGTAATTAAAGACGATAGCCGAGATAAGCACCGACACGTGCATTGGGGCTATATGCGGGGCAAATATAAGCGGCCCAATTAGCGAGCGGTTAATGTAATGGATTAGGTAGAACATACACAAAACAACAATTCTCGGGTTCCACTGGACGTGACCGAACCCTTCGTTCAGAATCAGTCCATAAACAAACGTAGTAGGAGCAACCAGTTCCATTAGCACCCAACCGAAACGTCCAGGCAGAAAACCACTCCGAAACAATCGGCTTTGATTACGAAACTTACCGTGCGGTGCATCCACAAATAGCACAGCCGGAGCGGCTAACGCGATATACACCTCCAACAGCAACAAATACCGATCATACACTGCCATAACAAGCGCAATTATCTTTCCAATATCTTCCGGCTACACTCATTTTAAGCGAAAATTTCGTTCCCTGACGCAATGTCCTGTGACCGGTTTTTCTCACGTGACTTAAGCTACCTATATATAAAGACCGCACGAGCTTCTCATCCCTCCGAAAGCCCATCACTCGGTGTGTTTCGTCCAAATCCGTTACCCCTCTCTCAGAACCTTTCTAGGTTAAGCAAAAAGTTAAATATGCAATCCAGCGTTCTTGGATTCCCTCGTATCGGTAAGAACCGTGAGCTCAAGAAGGCCACCGAGGCCTACTGGTCCGGTAAGATCAAGCAAGAAGAGCTCCTTGCTACTGCTAAGGCCATCCGTGCTGAGCACTGGAAGCTCCAAAAGGCCCAAGGTGTTGACATCGTTGCCTCCAACGACTTCTCCTTCTATGACCATGTCATGGACCACTCCTTCATGTTCAATGCCATCCCTACCCGTTACCAAAACCTTGGTCTCTCCCCCTTGGACGTCTACTTCGCTATGGGTCGTGGTAGACAAGAGGCCACCGTTGACGTTCCCTCCCAAGAAATGGTCAAGTGGTTTGACTCCAACTACCATTTCATGAGACCCGAGGTCTCTGACTCCACCGACTTCAAGTTGAACTCTACCAAGCCTGTTGACGAGTTCAACGAGGCCAAGGCCGCCGGTATCAACACCCGCCCTGTTCTCTTGGGTCCCCTTACTTTCCTCCACTTGGCTAAGGCTACCAAGGACTCCAAGGTCAAGCCCATTGCTCTTCTCTCCAAGCTCGTTCCCGTTTATGTCGAGTTGATTGGCAAGCTTGTTGCTGCCGGTGCTGAGTGGATCCAAGTTGACGAGCCTATTCTCGTCTTGGACCTCCCCACTGAGATCCTCGAGGGCTTCAAGCCCGCCTATGAGGCTATCGGCAAGGCCGGTGCCAAGATCATGCTCGCTACCTACTTCGGTGCTCTCAAGAACAACGTTGAAGTCTTGAAGGGTCTCCCCGTCGCTGGTATCCACGCTGACCTTGTCCGTTCTCCCCAAAACTTGGACGCTGTCCTCCCCATCCTCTCCAAGGAGCAAGTCTTCTCCGCTGGTGTTGTCTCCGGACGTAACATCTGGAAGACCAACTTCCAAAAGGCCATTGCTTTGGTCGAGAAGGCTGTTGCTGCTCTTGGCAAGGAGCGCGTTATCGTCGCTTCCTCCTCCAGCATCCTCCACATTCCCCACACCTTGGAGAGCGAGACCCAAATCAAGCCCGAGATCAAGCGTTGGTTCGCTTTCGCCACTGAGAAGTGTGCTGAGCTCGCTGTCATTGCTAAGGCTGTGAAGGAGGGTCCCGCTGCCGTTCGTGCCGAGTTGGACGCTAACGCCGCCGATGTCAAGGCTCGTGCTGAGTCTCCCATCACCAACGTGAAGGCTGTTCGTGACCGCCAAGCTGCTGTCACCCCCGCCATGCACGAGCGTGCTGCTCCTTTCGAGACTCGTATTGCTGCTCAACAAGAGATCCTCAAGCTTCCCTTGTTCCCCACTACCACCATTGGTTCTTTCCCCCAAACCAAGGAGATTCGTGTCACTCGTAACAAGTTCACCAAGGGTTTGATCACTGAGGCCGACTACCAAACCTTCATTGAGAAGGAGATTAAGAGCGTCGTCGACTTCCAAGAGGAGGTTGGCCTCGACGTCCTTGTCCACGGTGAGCCCGAGCGTAACGATATGGTTCAATACTTCGGTGAGCAAATGGAGGGCTTCGTTTTCACCTTGAACGGTTGGGTTCAATCCTACGGTTCTCGTTGTGTCCGTCCCCCCATCATTGTTGGTGATGTCTCTCGCCCTGCTCCCATGACTGTCAAGGAGTCTAAGTATGCTCAATCTGTCACCAAGAAGCCCATGAAGGGTATGCTTACTGCTCCCATCACCATTCTCCGTTGGTCTTTCCCTCGTGATGATGTGTCTGACTCTGTTCAAGCTCAACAAATTGCTCTCGCTCTCCGTGACGAGGTTCAAGACTTGGAGGCTGCTGGTATCCGCGTCATCCAATGTGACGAGCCCGCTCTCCGTGAGGGTCTTCCCCTCCGCACTGAGGATTGGGCTGAGTACTTGAAGTGGGCCATTGACGCCTTCCGTTTGATGACCGCCGGTGTCAAGAACGAGACTCAAATCCACTCTCACTTCTGTTACTCTGACTTCAACGACATTTTCGACTCTATCTTGCGTCTTGATGCCGATGTCATCTCTATTGAGAACTCCAAGTCTGACATGAAGTTGAACAACGTCCTTAGCCAATACACTTCCTGCATTGGTCCCGGTCTCTTTGATATTCACTCCCCTCGTGTTCCCCCCGTCACCGAGTTCAAGGAGCGTATTGATGCACTCTTGAAGCACATCCCCAAGGAGCGTCTCTGGATCAACCCCGACTGTGGTTTGAAGACTCGTGCCTGGCCTGAGACCAAGGCTGACTTGGAGAACATGGTTGCTGCCACCCGCCAAGCTCGTGAGCAGTACGCTTAGATGTCTTTTCATCTAACTCTCAACATTCAACATGGGTGAGAGAGGCACTGCCGTTCCACTTTGTTACGATTTTTTGTGTAATGATTGTCTTAGGTTTTTCTCTTCAACTGAGGGTAACGGAAAATATACTTGTATAATACAAATAAAAATTTGGGAAACATCTACATTACTGGGTGGGAGCTTAAGAGGTGTTAGTAGTGTTGGTTTTTAGTGTAACTTGTTTTTTGTTTTCGTCTTTTTCTGTGTTGGGTGTGCCTAAACTTGGTGCATCTGTCGCCTTTAGGGTTCGCCTTTCAATTTTAAATAACTTTATTCACAATAAACATTTCCCCACGTCATTTACTGCGATAAGCTTTGAGGCGATTGATACTGGTGCCGCGTCGACTGACATGGACCGTTACCCATAACATCCATTGCAGATCCAAGTTCTTCCAAAAACAAGTTTCAATAATGCTTTTATAACTTACTAATTAATTGCTTATACTTTTGTTCAAAGTTCTCAACGTTTCTTCCGGTAGATAACAAAAGAATGTTGAAAACTGACCATGGTTCTGTTTCATTCGGCATCTATAAAACAAACAATGTACGAGTAGTCTAAATTATGTTTCGCTTTCTAACATGTTTTAGTGGTTTTATATCGTATGTCGAAAATCAAGCCAGAATGAGTATACTATTCTGAAGCTGTTCTGGTGTCCCAAACGAGGACTTCAAATGCAAGAAGGCCAAACAGTCTACAATACGGCTCAAAAGAATAGCATTCTTGATTCATTGGCTAGTGGAAATGCTGTAACTGGTGGATTGACGCATATTGCTGATGCCCGTGCAATCCTTGGACTCATGCGATTCACTGCTGGTTATTATTTATATGTCTGTGTGGAAGCAAGTGCGATAGCAATCATTGGTGGACATCATGTTTTTCATGTGGAAAAGACAGAATTAATTCCATTGACTTTACATGCTACAACTGTTTCTAACGAGGAAAAATGGTATGGAAAAGATGAACCTGCGAGATCATTTTATCCTTCTTTGGCTAACACATTAGGTTTATGACATGCATTCAGCGTTTGGACTTGTCAAAGGCATTTTACTTTAGCTATACGTACGACCTTACTCAAACGACTCAGTACAATTTTACGCACCCGCGTTTACAGAATGGTGTGCGAGAAATGTTTATGTGGAACCGTCACATTTTGAAACCACTTACTGCTATCTTTGGGTTTGACTCGCCTTGGTGCATTCCCATCATCCATGGTTTCGTTGACCAAGCAAGTAAGCGATAAGCAATACATCTGCACGTATTCTTCTTTTACTAATTTACTTAGAACTAATTAGTTGTGGTAAACTAATTCTGGTCACATTAATTGCTCGACGATCGCGGCATTTTGCCGGTGCTCGTTATTTGAAACGTGGCCTAGAGGAAAATGGTTTCGTGGCCAACGAGGTCGAAACGGAACAGATTGTTTCTGATGGTTCAGTCTCATCATTTCCGTCTGACGTGAAAACGAACGGATACCCTGGCTATACGAGTTATGTGCAGCACAGAGGAAGCATCCCATTGTATTGGTCTCAAGATTTCAACAACATGACGCCGAAACCACCAATTGATATTACCCTTCGAGACCCGTTTTATTCTGTAACAGCACTTCACTTTGATCGACTTTTAGGACAGTATGGTTCCCCGTGTATTGTTCTTAATCTCATCAAGGCGAAGGAAAAAATTAGACGGGAGGGAATTTTGCTGGATGAATATGAGCGTGCAATTGCATACTTAAACCAATTTCTCCCGGAAGACAAGAAGATTCAGTATCTTGCTTGGGATATGTCGAATGCGGTAAAGAGGTTTGTTGTTATTCACTGACGAAGCAATCATCGATTAACTATTAATGTGTATCAGAAATCAACCTGTCATTAAGGTGCTCGAGCGAATGGCAGACTACATTATTAAACAAACAAAGTTCTTTTCTACTGCTACGAGCTTCGAACCAGCTAGCTTTCAAGAGGGTATTGTTCGTGTGAATTGCATTGACTGTCTTGATCGGACGAATGCGGCACAATTCATTATTGGAAAAACAGTGTTTGGACATCAATTGTACAAATTAGGTGTGATATCTTCGCCAAAGCTTTTTTATGATTCAAATGCAGTACGCTTGTTGACTGAGATGTACCATAATCACGGCGATGCCATTGCCTTACAGTACGGAGGATCGTTGCTTGTAAATACTTTACAAACATATCAACGGAACAACCAGGTTTGTTTTTACAAAACCACAACGACATTGTTTCAAACTAACTTAGTGATAGTGGTCAAGCACTTCTCGCGATCTTATAGAAAGTATCAAGCGATTTTACAGTAACACTTTCGTGGATGTCCAACGTCAAGAAGCCATAGATTTGTTTCTTGGAAACTTCACAACTCAGGGAAAGAATTTTAGTGTTGGTTCTGTGCCAAGAGAGTGTGTTAGCAAGCGATTCCATGACGGATTGGTTGTTCGACGAAACTATCAACATTGGTGGACTCCTTTATACATCAACATGCATTTTCGATTACGCCGGTGGTCGTTGGAGTATGCGGAAAATTCTAAACATGCCTCAAGTTCTCGAAGTTATGACGAGTTGTACATGTCTTCAAAATTTACTGGCCTTCATGAGTTACTATTGTTTAACATGTATTCAAATCTTTATATCGCCCCATCAAGCTTCTTCCCTATGCTCACGAGCACCATACTTCCTTTGTCCACATTTAATACTACAGTTAATGAACACGGTCTTAATCCATTTTTGCGTCGTCGAAAACCTGCAGAACAAGCTGTTATTAGCCAGCCATACAAACGCGACAGACAAAAGCGCAGCGGGAAGAAGAATGGAGGTCGCGGACATCGCCGGGGTTACTCTTCAGCTTCTAACTATACCCATCGGTCACGAAAGTCTACGCACATGTGGGAGTCCATTGACATCAAGAAGGAAGACTTGGATAAATACGAATTGTTTGTTGAATTCAAAAACTCTGCTTCTGAGAAGCTGTCTTCTAAGAGCAAGTCCGAGCACTCGACTGACGAAATGGTGTCGCTGGTTCAGAAAGACCTGAGCGAACTAGTTGTTAGTGATGCCCGTGTGCTTGATTACAAAGCTTATTTCGAGACTGAAAAACGACTGAGCGAAGCTAAACGCTCAACTGACATTGCGCCAGCTGAAACAATCGCTTTTTACAGTTTTTGGTTAACGAATTACAAGTGATTACGCCTTTTATATGTATAATCGATATTTATAATGATAATGATATTGTTTCTATGCCTAAAAATCGCAGAGTGAAAGTTAACTCTTATTGTGTAATTAACCCTTTAACAAATTGCTCGCACTCTGCTATGGAAGCATTTGTGTGGTCAAATTGCCATTCAATAAGCTGAGAAAGTAGGTCCTTGATTTGGGGTCCGGCTTTGATTTTTAGTAAACTGGCAATTTGTTTTCCCTGGCGAAGTTAGTTGGATGAAAGCTAACAGAATAACATACATTAAGAACGGGTTTTAGCTGGTATGCATTTTCAAGTTGTAGTGCTTGTACTTTATTAAAGAAACCCATGTACTTCTGTTTGACTTGATCTTTGTTATCAGGCTGTTTCAAAAATTCTAAATACTGTGCCCACAAGATGGCCTGTTTCCAATTAGCATCAAGCGAGCGGATTAATACACCATAAAAAGATGCCGGTAGTTCGTAAGCCGCTTTGTGTGCCCGATTCACCGAGTCTGTGATACTGTCTGTGTTTGAGTAAAGGTAATCTTGATAATTTGCAACACTGTTTCCCAATTTAAGACTTTCTTTTGCCAAAAAATAAGGAAGCGTCTTGTATTGTTTGCCTTGAGCAAGAGTTACATATCGCCACGGAAGAAAGGCTATAGCCAACCACATCATATATATATCGTCGACTGAAAGATTTTTATATGCAGGGTCCGAAACAATTAACTGTTGGAAGAGACTTGTCGCTGAAAAGATATCAATGTTTGTCGCGGATTTGGTTCCTTGAAGTTTCGACTGAACATCAGGAAGCGGACCAAATATAGCGTCAGCAATGTGTAATTGATAGCTTAAATCAACAGCAAGCTTTGCATTTTTGTCTATTTAAAGGTTGTTAGCAAACAGATACGAATCACATAAAACTCGAAGAGACAAGTAAGCGTACTTTTAAGCATCTTCTCCACTTCTGTTCCAATCCTCTCTCTACTTATACTGTGGAGTAGAGTATGCTGCACCGCTGGATTTTGAATGCCGGCTTGTGTTTCAGGATGTATGCTGAACTGAAACTTGCTTGCAAAACGAATACAGCGAACGGCACGCAGGGCGTCATCAGAAAATGTTTCCATAGCTGGTAGAGGTGTCTGAATCACTTTTTTTTCAAGATCCTCTAAACCCATTTCTGTGAAATCTTCAACAGAGCGTGTATGGATATTGTAGAATAAAGAATTAATTGTAGTGTCTCTCCGGAGCGCATCTTCGAGCGGGGTTCCAAACTTACATATTGTTAGTTGTCATTTTAATTGATCGAAGGATAGTTACCTTGTTCTCTTCAGAATGATGTGTGTAAGCATGCGAGCGTAATCCGACGAAATCGACATCTATTCCGAACAAACGGCCAGTAGCGGTCTCCAAATGTTTTGATTTAGAAGGATTGGCATCGATTCTTACTACACGACCACTATTTTGAATATTGTTTTGCTCACAGTATCTGTGAACCAGCTGGGCAAACTCGAAGCCGGACATGCAATCAACAGCAACGTCTATATCATGACAAGGAATCGATAGAAGCTACGCGTTTTTCTCTATGTTAGTAAAGTATGTATGCATTGTTGAATTGAATGGAAGCAACTTCATACCTTGTCACGAACCCAACCTCCAGCAATACGTAAAGTCGGTGTTTTGTTTTCCGGACATTGTCGCGATACTGCGTCAAGAAGGTTGCATATTTTGATTTCTGTGTCATCAAGTGCAACAGTAACATGCTGAGAAGAACTTTTAATATGCGACATTTTATAATAACGACTTAAGAAAGTAGAAGGTAAAAAAGCGTTAAAGTTACTAGAAATATGAGAACCTAATCCAAGTTTGAGACCCTTCAACAGCTTTGACATGCAGAAACGATAGTTTTTGTTAATGAAAATGCCTTAAAGTTGGCTCTTGGTATAGACCCTTTTTAGTACTAGGTAAGCTAAGACGGTATGTATAAATGGAAGAAATCGGTATATGGTATGCCGATTTAGCACATCAATAGTGATTATGGAGCTGTTTTGTGATGATTATAAATCTGTTATTTTCGTTCTTGCCCGTTATAAGAAAGTGTAATATCAACAATGAGCAACTCGACAGTTTCTATGAAACTCAGACGGAAAATCAGGAAGTGAGGAATTATAAACAGTTGCATTTAAGGAGGTATTTTGAAAATCTTCAATAGCTGATTAGTATTCCATTGGATATTTTTTAATTAATCATTTTTAAAGATTTTAATAATTTTTTTTGGGAGAAGATTGGAGAGACAAGGTTTGTATTTATATAATTGATTAAGGAACTTTAATATTTTCTCTAATTGTATAAATTCGTTCAGTTATTCACTGAGTATCTTTATTTTTGTCAAGTGCCAAAGTTTCTCTAAACTACAATACACTGCAATAAAATAAAATAAAAAAAAACAAAAAAAAATTATGGGAGCCACATACGTATACTTTCCCAAACAAGGGAGTAATATTAAATACATTCATACATTCGATATTTCTGCCATTCGCAATTTACCTACAAATCAGTCGTATCTTTTATCTAAGCGAACCTTAATGACCAACGCCATAAGTTCATTTACATTAACTCAAAAAAAAAAAAAAAAAGAAACAAGTAACGAAAATAAACTATGCATAGTAAATGACGAATCTTTAAAGGTTAAATGAAACGCGATTAAGAATTCTCATATAACTTTCTCCTCACTAAATCTCACTAAAACTCGCAAAATCAAAAGTTGCTCCACCAAATCTGTATTTACACTCGCCAAATCAATCCTGCAGTTCCCCTACTACGCAAATTCTGCTTTTTTTGAGTATTTACGCTGAATTCTGGCTCAATGGCAAGAGGGAGCCGTAATAGAAGCAAGGAATCACGTTCTAAGAAACGTCAGGAGCAAGAACAGGAGCTCCAGGACCTTGAGGAGCGTGTTTCTTCTTTTTCTGAAGTTGTTGATCATTTTGAGGATTTACCACTTTCACAACCTACAAAAAGTGCATTGAAGAACGCTCACTTTGTAAAATGTACAGATATCCAAAAGAAAGCGATCTATGTCGCTCTAAAAGGACGCGATATCCTCGGTGCTGCTAAAACTGGTAGCGGTAAGACGCTTGCATTCTTAATTCCCGTCATTGAAAACCTGTATCGCAGAAAGTGGACACCTTATGACGGTTTGGGAGCTCTTATTATTTCTCCTACGCGTGAACTTGCCATGCAAACATTTGAAACTTTGGTCAAAATTGGTCGTCTTCATTCGTTTTCAGCTGGTCTAATTATCGGTGGAAATGATTATAAACAGGAACGAGATCGCCTTTCACGTATGAACATTCTTGTTTGCACACCTGGTCGACTTTTACAGCACATGGATCAAGCTATCAATTTCGATACCTCGTCTTTGCAGATGCTGGTTTTGGATGAGGCAGACCGTATTTTGGATATGGGTTTTCGTAAAACGCTGGATGCCATTATCACATCGTTACCCAAGAAAAGGCAAACAATGCTCTTCTCTGCCACACAAACTTCGGTGAGCGATTTGGCTCGCTTGTCTTTACATGATCCCGATTACATTTCAGTACATGAACACGCTGATCATGTCACTCCTGACAATTTAAACCAGTTTTATCTTGTTGCACCGCTCCCAGAGAAACTGGATATATTATTTGGATTCATTAAAACTCATTTGAAGTTGAAAATTATCGTTTTCTTCTCATCCTGCAAACAGGTTAGATTTGCTTTTGAGTGCTTCAAAAGATTACGGCCCGGTGTGCCACTGATGCATTTACACGGTAAACAAAAGCAGGCATCTCGTACAGAAATTGCAGCCAAGTTTACTTCCACAAAGAACGCCGTCCTTCTTTGCACAGATATCGTTGCCCGTGGTCTTGATTTCCCGGCAGTCGATTGGGTAGTACAGGTTGATGCTCCTGAGGATGTACAAACTTACATTCATCGTGTTGGTCGTACTGCTCGTTTTGAGCGCGGCGGTAATGCGTTGCTCATGCTCCTTCCTTCCGAGGAAGCATTTTTAAAACGTTTGGACTCGAAGAAGGTCCCAATTGAGCGCATTAACATTAAGGAAGGTAAAAAAACTAGTATCCGAAACAACCTTCAAGCACTATGTTTCAAAGATCCTGATCTAAAATACCTCGGACAGAAAGCTTTTATTTCATATGTGCGTTCTGTTTTCCTGTTAAAGGACAAGGAGGTTTTTAAAGTGGACGAGCTTCCCACAGCTGAATTTGCGGACGCTTTGGGTCTTCCCGGCACTCCGAGAATCAAGTTTCTTGAAAATCGCAAATCCAATGCTTCAATTAAGAAAAAAGAAGGTAAAACGGCACTGGAAGCTAGTGACGAAGAAGAATCCGCTTCCGACGATGAGGAAGAGGCTAGTGATGCATCTGAATCGTCGGAGGAAGATGAAGTCAACTCCTCGAAGAGAACTATTCGCAGTAAAGTTGACCGAATGTTTGAACGTAAAAATCAAGGCATTTTGGCTGAGCACCGTGAAAAATTACTTGAACGTTCATTCAGCGGTGCTGTTGCTTCTGACAGTGACTCGGATGAGGACTTCATGCGTCTTAAACGAGTGAGTCATGATTTAGATGATGAAAAGAAAGAAAAACCTTTCTTAATCGATTCTAAACGAAAGGAGAAGGTTGCAACTCACAAAAAGACACTCCTTAAATATAGACCAAATCCGGAGAAGCTTGTTTTTGATGAGGAAGGTAACGCAGTTCCTTTCTACGCTGTCAATAACGAGGACACTTTCCTGAAGGATGGTGCTGTCGCTGAACAAATTACTTCACATTTGCAAAAGGAACGGGAAGCTCTGACACAAGCAGATCTTCAAGACAAGGAGACAGTTCGGGAGAAGCGACGTGAAAAGAAGCGGATTCGCAAAGAAAAAGAGCGTGCAGCAAATGGCTTTGCTGACGATATTGACAAAGATGATCTCGGTAGTGGAAACGATTCTGCTGCCTATGAATCGGAAGGTGCTGAAGAGGAAGCAGTACCGGTCAAGAAACAAAAGAAATGGTTCCAAGTTGACGAGCCTGAAGTTGACAGAAATATTGTTGAGACCGAAATGCCTACGACTTTAGAGGACCAAGAAGCGTTGGCTCTAAGATTGCTTGAAGGTGCTTGAAATTCTTCGCCTCCTTCGCAGCAAAAAAATAACTCATCATTTTGGGATTGAAACCTATGGCGGAATACCATTTTGTGCATTTCATAGGAAATAAACAGTGTTTTGGATTAGGGTTTATAGAGGCTATCATATTTAATTATACAAGTATTCCATTCAAAAAGTCAAAACATTGTAATTATCATAAATACGTATATTTTTTACTCTATAAGAACATAAAAATCACTAGTAAATCATAAACATTAGTATCGTGATTCTCTTTTTTAAGAAAGTGTATTTAGCAAAATCACGTATTTAAGACAGTTCAGAAAGTTTCGCTTGCAAATTTGAGAAAGTTTCAAGAAATTCTTTTGTTTCAGAAGTTGTCTTCCTCGATTTAGCATCTTTCACGAGTCCAAACCATTCTGAATTTTCAGACTGAGGCATTGTTTCAGCAAACCGGGTATAATCTTCAAAGGAATTAAGTACAGGTAACACCAAGTTTGACGAGTCACTTAAGGACAAGTTGCATGCTGGAGAAAGGGACTCTTCACGTAGAAGTTTGGCGATGATAGTGTTTAAAACTCTTGTGTCATTTTCATCAGACACCTTTCCTCCATATATGACTCGAGACAAAAGTAATTGAAACGCATCCCATGGAACCAATACGTTTGGAGAATTCACACGTTTTTTTGAGCTTAAAGCCCATTCTTCAACTAGCTTAATTGACAAAGACAGATCAACTTCATTGAAGTCGTAAGGCTTTGACCAACCCAACGAACCATAATCAAGTCGGCGAAGGAACACTGCGTAAATCCAGCAAACAAGAAAACACACCCTTTCTTCAAGAGCAGAAAAGCTCGAAGTGTGAAATTCATGTGCTCGTATAAATGAAGATAGAAAAAGCTGTTTCAAATTAGAAGCGCCATCGTATATAAGAAAACGGGACTGATAAAACAAATCAGTTGGCGGACTGGATGATAGCTCCAAAGTTAGTATAAGCCGAAACGATTTCGACTTTTTCAAAGAAGAAACATAAGGGAGGAGTTGGTTTAGGATATTTATTGACAAGTGTACATTCTTAAGAAGAACCATTCCACCTCTCTTTGATGCATCAGAGATTGCATTCATTGCTTCAGTTTCACTTTCTGATGAACCCAATGAGATACTGTGAAACTGAACTTGCAGCGCCTGTATGCATTCTTCTGCATATGAACTAGCATCATGCCCTGGAACAGAAGCCAACAGTAAAGGAATGTCTGGGGAAGACTCTTCTTTAAGCGATTGAAGAAGATCAGTTCGATTGGACAAATTGTATGAATCTCCAAATACAGTACTTAAGAAAATCTGAAGCTGCTCCAAAAACCTTTCCCTAACAAACGTTCGATATAGAATAAGTTTTTGTAATAGAAATTCTTGTTTAGCAGTCTTTTCCTTTGGTATATCACAGTACAATTGTGATATGCTTTTTTCGTCAATTGTGGTTGATGCTACAAGCTTATTGACAATATCGTTAGGTATTATTCCAGACTCGCGTATATGTGCCAACATATCCTCTGGCTCACCTTTGAATCCGAGGCAAAGCAAAGCGTTCTTATATTGCGGATACTTTAATTGAATCAAAAATAAGGCAAATATATCCTTGTCTTTCATAAAAAGACTAGGCAAGACCGATTCCAGAATATTTTTGAAAAATTCCTCCAAAACAAGTTCAAGAATAGATTGGCCTTGCTGAAGAAACTCTAAATGAACGAGTGATAATGACTTCGAAAACACCTTGTCAACAAAATCTAAGGAAAATTGATACGCGGGAGAAAGACAACTCAACGCGCTTAACAGTTGGTATACTTGTCGACATGCTTGAGCAATCTCTGCGTATTCTGACATTTTTAAATTAATAAGCTCAGTGGCCTTCTGATTCGCAGCAAGTAGCGTCTCCACCTTTTCTGCATCCTCTTTTACTTGCTGCAATGTGGAAATAACCGAGTCATTTTCAAGGATCGTTCCCTGTAATTTGCTAATGGACTCGAGTAAAGTGTCTTCCAAAGTCTTCAACTTTTCGGTGTACTGAGTTTTCAGTCCAAAGTTTTGTTGCAGTTTTTGTCCAATATCAATATTCTCAAGCTTAAGTACCTTATCGATTGCTGACAGTTCTAAGTTATTTGGAGTCAAGCTGTAGTTAACGAAGCAAACGAGGCTTTTTGTCCGGGAGTTAATGAAACAATCCGTTTTCTGTGTGACAAAGTAAACCTGTAGGGGAACATTTATTTCGTAAGTTCTTTTATTGAAGCAGACAGTCACTTTACTAGAAGAATCGTCTGAAGCTTTAGCAAGTACAGAATTTACGATCGGATCCCAAGAATCCGCGTCCTTAACAATTAAAGGAGTGCGGAATTGGAGCGCTGCTTCAAATTGCTTAACAAAGGCTGCACTCAAAAAGCTAGTAACAACAGGATGTTGCTTTGCATGAAGATTTTGTAATAGAGGGATAACCCGAGCAGTGGGATCAATAATGAACGGTCGTCGTAGGCTGTTCTCCAACACCGCCATATTCTCTAACTTTTGAGCATCTGTTGAATTGTAGTCACCGGATGTTACTTGAACTAATAACTCAGAGAACGGCAGGTGTTTATTGTAGGAAATATCACACGAATCAAGACATTGCAAGCAATCTTTAATGAATAGATGACGGATAGCAAGGTCTGCGTAGCCACAAAAATCAATATAGAAGGCCAATAAGAGTGTATCGCCGATTAGAAACTCAAGTTCTTTCTCGAAACCTGAAACAGAGACTTCCCATCTTTGTTTTTCGTTGTTTAAAGCTGCAAGAAGCTTTTCACTTTTTTCAATTTTTCTGTTCACATTAACCATCTCTGTCTTTAGCTGTTCAATTTCTTGCAATAATTTTGCATAGTTGGCTCGATAAATTTCAATCTCTTCTTGTAGATTTGATATATCACTTTGTGTCGCTTTCATCGTTTCTTCTGCTTCAGCGTTTTGTTTGGTAAGTAGGTCGATTTCCTGTTCAAGAGGCTTAATGTCATTAACAACCTGAGCATAAGATACTTGGGACTGTACCCAAAGGACCAAGGGACCACATGCCCTACTGGCCCTATTGGCATTTTCATAACTGTAGTTAGGATTATTGAAGTATTTTGTGTTTAGAACTTCAAAAAATCCACGCGGTAACTCTTTCTCCAGTTTGTAGTTTAATATGTTGGGAATTAAATCGTCTTTGCGAAGTAGTGATTGAACGTCTCGCCATGTTTTAAATTTGTAGCCTAAAAGAAAACAAACGGATTCCATAGCAAGTTTCACCGTATCCGGAGGATGTCCCATCGATCGCAATTCTATCAACTGTTGTTTTGATATGCAACTGACCGATTCCTTGGCTTTCAACAATTTAGGCTTGACATCAGCGAGTCTATGCATCGCTTGTTGTTTTCTCGCTTCAATTTCTTTCGAACGTATCTTAAGTACGTTTTCAAATTCAAGAGCCTTTCTCCTGCTATCTTCGGCAATTTCCTTCTTCCCGGCCATCTGTTGCAAACTTTGATTAGCTTCGGTGTCTTTTGCTGTCAGTTCCTGTTCCTTATTCCGTAAAGACTCTTTCAGAATAGCAACTTCCTGATGCGTTTCACAAAGTTTCAGTAAGCCAGTGTCCAAGCGAGAATGACTATGAAGCAAGTGACTATATCTTTTCTTAATTAGGACAAAGAAGTGTCTCAAAAACTCAGAATACCAATTGGCAGGTATGTTAGAGTAAAATGCGCATCGAGATGTATAATTCGTTGGCACTTCACTAACTTCTACAAACGCTTTTGCTAAAGCTAGTGTTTTCTCACGCAAAGCTGAAGCAAAAGAAGGAAGTAAAGGTGTTTTTGCAATGAGGGATTCAAGAGCCGATACTGCTAACAAACGTTTTTCTTCGTAATCCAATGGTGTGAAATAGTTTACAACACATCTGTTAAATAAAGCAGGTGATGCAAGTAATGCCTTTGTGGCGTTCTTTGGATTGTATTCCATAGTTATCATCACATGAAGATTCTCAGAAACACGATTTTTCAGAAAAGTATAGATTTCTTGTTCTGTTTTTAGATCAATATTCTCTGTACTTGCACTAACTTTCGCTTCAGTAAGTAGTTTGTTCCAATCTTCAGCATTGTCGTAAAAGACAGAAAACTCAGAGTTTGCTAACAACGTATTCATTTTTTCAATAAAAAAGGAATTAGGTGTTACAGTGTCATCAATCATGAAACAGACTTTCTCTCCTTGAAGCCCCACTATTTGAATAATCTGTCTCAAATCTGCCTCAAAGTCATCATCTTTATATGATGACCGAAATGGGATTTCAAAGAACTTATAATTGTTCATCCAAGATACAAATTTTAGTATAGCCGATCTTCCAGTACCGCATTCACCCATGAGTAACATATGTCCACGTTTTTGTTGTATGATACGATTCGCATATACTATATGCCGAATTGTTCGTTTAGACAGTACAAAAGGGAATTCACCTTCTTCAGCGTAATAGGTATTGAGCCTACCGTTTAAGAAATCTCTCAATTCCTCAATAGTTACCGTTCGCAATTCCCCGCTTAACCAGGAAGAAAGAATTAACCCAGTTGTGAACGATGTTTCCTCATCAACATTATGAATTGCTTGTTGCAGCTGATAACATAAAAGGTTCAAGACTTCTCTTCGCTCTTCATCATCAATAAGTCGATTGCAAAATAAACGTTCTGCCTCAAAGATTACGCATTGAATCACAGATTTGGTGTGAACTTCAGGAAGGCAACAAATGAGTTCTTCAATACTCTGGAACCAGCGTGTTAAGTCTCTCGGTGATAAAACGAGGCAAGGGTTCTGTTTCATCAAGAAACAATGCCTAAGTTCTATAAAAAAGTTCACCATTCCTTCGCACAAAGAGGACCTAACAGATAGTAATTCAGGAAAATTCCGAAATGCAGAGCAAAGCTTAAGATTGTAGATATGAAGTAGTGATTCTCTTTCTGGATAGTCAATCATGAGAATAAGAAAATGTCTTAATACCCTTTGTGATAGGGTAAATCGCCCATAATCAGAAGACGGATTACAGGCAGCAGCAAATTGTATGTTTTCAATGTAAACTAACTGCTTTCTTTGTGGATGCCAGAAAAACCGTTGTTCAATTAACTGCCGTAAGAAGAACACAGCTGTAGCTTCTAAACGCTTTTCAGTGCTTTGAATATTAACTTCATCACAAAAACACAGCAAATGATTACTCGAAGAAATTGGAGAAAGAGTTAATCCTTTAGATAAAAGTTTGTACGAACAATGTTGTTCAAGCATAGTTAACACAGAAGTAGGAGTAGTTGAACTAGAAAAATTTAAGCATACCAATTCATAATTTGGAAGTCGCTGAATCGTATCAATAAATAGCATTGTTTTTCCGGAGCCAGGAGGACCACATAGTAAAACAGGACTGTTAATGGAAAACGAAAGTTTGATTAAGTCTTGATTTCGAATGGTTTCAGTAGTTGGTATAACAGTATCAAGTGTTCCGATAGAAAGCCCCTTAGGCTTGCCATTAGGAATTTGTTTTTTTAATAGTTTTTGTGTATTTGGATCAACATGATAATCAAGAAGGCTAAGTCCATCTAGCATAATTTCGTCTTCATGGAAAACCTTCATCAAGTAAATTGAGTAATCAACTCTTACGCTTTGAGTACTATCACCAGCGCAAGCAAGCGTAAGATAAATCATAGCATTCCTTCTAATATAGGTCTCAATACTTGAGTAACTTAAGAGGTCCAATTGTTTAGCTGACAAACGCTCAGTTAGTTCAAAGACACAGTGCGGCAACAAGGATAGAAAGAGATCAACAGCTCGGTTCATTGAGAATTGAAGAATGTGTGGAATGGACAGTGAATAATGAAAGCAAGCCTGAAGATCCGAAGAGGAAGACAGTAAGGCTGAAATAGTATTTTTTACATGACGTTTGAAAGTGGAGGAGAGATTGGTTTTTTTGAAAAACATTGCTGCACATCGTTTCGTCTCCTCCCTCTCAAAGAAATAATTCATGTCATTTTGAAAGGAAGACAACTTATCTTGAAGCCTTATCAAATCGGAGTCAAAGAAAACCATACCACACCGAGTTATGGTAGCCCTTGTCACTTTTTCAAGATTATCAATTTCAAACAGAATACGTATGTTCGGAGTAAGGCGCAAACGTTCACCATTCGGAAGCGTTAGAAGCTTATTATCATCTAAGACACTATTAAATGCTTCAATCCAATCTGCAGATATTTCACCATCGAAAATAATCCAATGTTGCTTCTGCATCTCAGACTTCTCATTTAAAAATATTGATCGAAGTATCTTGGTGAACACACCATCACTCCATTCTCTCGTCGCTTTATCGTAATTTCCAATTAGAGCGGCCTTACTAAGAATATTTCCATCAAGTATATAACTTATATACTCAACTCCGGTGACCATACGCAGAGTTTTTAAAAGCATACGAACAGCAGTGCTTTTACCAACTCCGGGTTCACCAATAAGCATAATTCCGTGGTTAACTTGAGAGACCTTGTAGATCTGGATGATTTTTTCAACAAACCCGGCATTAGAAGACAGATTCTCGGACAATATTATTTCATTTGCTTGCTCCTTCAGCTGTTCATCAATTGCAAGTTCGATAACTTCGCTACCGAATATATCATCCTTAATCTTTTTAAAAAGTGTCAAATCAGACCGTATCAATTTTGGCCCAACGAGATCAAGGCAAGCTTCCCATAAAACTTGACCTTCCGTAAATTCAGTTGACGCGCTTTTTATTAGTTCTCTCATAAAGAAACCCGACGCTTTAAGTACTGCTTTAATAGTACGGAGACCAAAATCGTAATGCGAACATGAAGTTAGCTGCTGTTTCGAACAGTCGAATAAAGAAACAATGTTTTTCGCTAAGTGAGAGGCATTCTTAAATCCTTGTGAAAAAAGCGTCACTTCAGTAATCATCGCTTTATCGGGTGAATACATCTGGAAAGAGCGGAATAAACGTTTCAAATTATCTGGAAGTTCCGATCGACCAATGTAACCTGGATTCATGGTAATAAAAAGTGCAGTTCCAGTCTCAACTTTACCAAGAACGCTCGTTCCTGTTTTTGAAGTAGCATTGATTTCTCTTAGTGCTAATTGAATTGATTGAACAAGCTGAGAAACAGCGCTTAGAGTACCTTGCTCTAAACGATTAAACTCATCGAAACAAACCCAGGCTCCCAATTTGCAAATTCCTGTCAAGATGCGTTGCATAGTTTCGAAATGAAATGATTCATCACAGTTGAATACAAAAACTTGGCGTCCCAGATAAGAACCAAGCGCTTTGATGGTTTCTGTTTTACCAGTACCAGCCGGTCCACATGGTGAGCCACCAAATCCCTTGATTAACGCATGACTCATTGCTAAATAGCAATAACCAGTTAGTTCAGTTTGGACCAGAAAATCAGGAGTGCCGATGTATTCGAAGGTATAGGAAAAACAGCAAGTAGCTATTTTGATGTTGATTTCATCCTTCGTTGAAGAAAAGTAAGTACGAATTTGTTCCAACCAAGACAAGCTATCAAGGGAACAAATCTCGTTGCGCTCAAGCTTATTGATCAGCTGAGAAAAATGAATGAGTTCATTGAGAAGTGAACTTGCAATATATAACTGATAGTCATTTAAGTCTCCAATAGTGTTCGTAATCTGATTAATATGATCTAGTGTTGCACGCTTCAGTTGAGTGTAATCTCGCATTTGAATGCACTTCTCGATTTCAGCAGTATAAAAACAGCGTAATGACAGCAATAACACTTGAAGCGGATAATGTAGACACCAGTTGAGCATGCGAGTAGACCTATCGTTTTCAACAAAAGCGTTCATTAGCTCAGTTAGAGAAGAACGAAATAATTGTTGAAGAGTTTCCCGTATTGCTCGCTTTAGGGACTCTAACAACTTCACAACATTAGAATATTCTTTGAGCGAAATGGGATGTTCCAGAATAATTTGTTCGCCTTTATCAGAGCAAATTCCTTGTATGCTTATTGCATTATCATCCGCAATAATATCATCGATACCCGGAATGATCTTTTTCAGATGAGGACGCAACCTATTTAAGTGATCGCCCGTTGTAAGAACTTGCAATAGATCTTGGTCACCCAAAAAGTAAAAAGCGGGAAACTCCTCCCTCATACTTTCAAGATATTCTGTTAGCGCCCTTTCCAGAGTAACTAAAGACTGGTGCAATACAGTCAGCTTCTGTGTAAGAGCAAGTGGATTTTGTAGGGAAGCTATAAATTGACAGGAGCATAACTGATCAATGATTGTGTTAAACTCCACTGTAATATTCGAAAACTGATAGCATTGTCTCGGAAGTAACGCTTGGATGTCAGAATTACAAGAGAAAGCATCTGAGAGGTCAAGCCATAACTTTTGAACCTCGAAGCATGAAGTAAAAAGAGTGTTCATGGAGCATAACCATGTTTCTATTTCTTTAGCAGAATCACAGAAAACATGATAGTATGCTGAATTCTTCATTGACGTTAGAATGCCCAAGTGCTCTTGACTTTTATCAAATAATGTATCCCAACAGACTAAGATGCGTTGATCATCTCGATAGACTTTAAAATGGAAAGTACAATTGTTCCAATATTCTTTTATGTCTTGCAGATGAATATCAACATCATGTTCGCCTTTAGCTGATGAGAGCGTCCGTGCAAACGTATCCGAGTGATTAAAAAGATCGAGAGACAGTAGATCTTTAAGTGAATGGACACGAATTGAGTTATTATCTTGTTGTTGAGACAATTCGGAAAATAGTCTTGCCCAATGTCTTGGCTTAAAATAATCCGCCTTTAATTCTGTTATCATTGGAAGTAAATTCCAATATTGATTAAGTAAACCCTTTGCAACTCCATACGCAGGACACACTCTAGTTTCCACAGGAAGATCCTCTAGTGTAGCAATTAAACGTTTAAGTTCCCGTGCGACAGACTTCACTTCTAAATCATCCCATGAGATATCTTCTAGTTTATGGATAGAAGTATCAACCTGCTGAACAGATAATACTACATTATACGTATGTAAAATATCTTCATAGGTATTTTTTAAGGTTGCCAAATGCGAAAACTCGACTCCAAAAATTGTGCTTGTTTGAGCATATTCATTTGAAGAGTTCTTCAATTCCTCTATAAGAGTAAGGTGTTTTTGAAGTAACTTTGCAGTAAGTCCAAGATCTTCGTAGCTGATATTTAATTTATATGAGTTCCAGTCCGCAATTGCTGCAGATATTTCAGAAAATAACACATTACATTCTTGTTTCACCCTTTCTCGCAAATCATCAATTGACACATCCCTCTCAGTAGCCTTTTGCTCTAGGAGTTGGAAAGTATCTTCAAACCTTTGAGAGACGGTCTCCGATGATACACAAACTTCTAAAGGGGCAGTAGCAAGCAGTGAATCAGCCTTTTTAATTAGTGTAACCTTTTCTTGAAACGATTGCTTTTTTGAAATCATAGTTCCGAGATCAGTGACGAACTCTACAGCATTTTTTGTAGGTAAAGTCACAACTTGAATTCCTTCAAATCTATCTCGACATAAATCGAATTCATGTAACAGAGTTTGGACTTCAAGGGCATACGTATCAGCAACATTCGAAAGTGCCAGGTTTTCAAGCTCATACAATCTATTAAGGGAAAAAGTTTTAGCGTACCGCAAATTAAATCGTACAAAGCCAAAACTTTGAGATTCACTTAACGCAACCAATTGGTTTTTGTAAAATAAACATTGTTGTAAATAAGAAACCCAAAACGCTAAATCATATGAATTTAGCTGCTTTGTATTGGACACTGGAAGATTGAGCAATGGAATCAATTGGATCCACTCAGAATTCATCATTTTCAAATTATTGAAGTAAACGTCCAACGCGCGTAGAGATGAGAGTACATTATCGCAGCTTCGTAGATACAACTCATTAAAAACGGTTGTACTGTCTCCACCGATCTTTTGTTCTAAAGAACTCGAAGGAACTTTCAGTTTTGGCAATTCAAAATATTGTCTCAATAAAACGTTGAAGAAGTCTAAAACATGGCGATAGACTTGCGATAGAGTTGGATTAAATAGCAATGATTTCCCGTCAAATTCAAGATTGACGGGTATAGGAAATAAGTTACTGAAGGAAGCGAGTGAATATCGTTTAATGAGCGTATCAATAAAGGAGTCAGTAACAACAAAATGTGATAGTTTATCGGTCCATAAAGACAAAAGCGTATCAAGTTTCATAGACAATAATTCCAAAACCTTTGTGTTAAGAAGATCAAAGAATAGCTGTACTTTCGTGTAACTTGTGTAATCAAAATTCTCAAGGGTTTCTTGAAATTGCCAAAGTGTAGATCTTAATGATTCGATATCCGAGTATTTATCCAAAAAACAAAAATACTTATCAACTTCGGTCAGAAGGACTGATAGATTGGTAGCCTTATGGGAAAACACACGAACTCTTTGGATGAGCTTATGATAAAAACCAAATGCGCTAGATGGTTCTTCCAATTCGATGGATTTATCGACTTGAGGTTCAAGAAATTTCATCCATGAAACATGAAGTCCTTGGAAAAGCAGGTTTCGAATGTCATCCTCAATATCAGAAATAAGAATCAAGCCATTCACAGAGAAATGTTCCATACTTTCAATGGCTGAGTAACTTTGAAAACAGTCTTGTAAGCCTACGGCATAAGGTAGTACGTGTTGGATTTGCTGGATTTTTTGGAGTATTGGTAACGAGGCCTCTTTTCTCGAAGTTTGATGTTTGCTTGAATTAGAGACACATTTTGCAAGTTCGATGTTAATGCTGACTGTAAGCAAGTAATAACTACTTGAATGATGCTTCTTGGCAATACTTATTAGACATCCATCCAAATTGAGTTTGTTAGATTGGAGGTTTTCTAACACGTTGTCTGCTGTGAGATGTGAACACAACTTTTCTCTGAAGTAATCACATTCGGTTTTCAACTTTGCTCCTTCAGCATAAATAAGCCACGAATCACCCAGCACATCATTGGCGCGCTTCATACGCATATCCAATTGTGCAAGAATTTGTCGAACCCATAGTAATGAACCAGAGTGCGGCGGTATTCCTCTTAAACGGCATATGGCATCAACAGATTTTCTTGAAATATTCGAGCTATATTTGCTCTTCAGTTGTTGTATATCATTCTTTATGCAGTTGATTAGACGACATTGGTGTTCCAACATAGCGTTTTGAATTCGCGTACGGTTTAGATACACTCTATAGTTCATATAAACGTCGTACAATTCATCCGTCGATTTTGCATTAAGGAGTAAATTTCGCAAACAAGAAATAATCACATCTTCAATTTTTATAACAACACGGCTGTACTCACTCGTCTGGGAATGCCAAGTCTCGCTGTTCGCATCTGAGGATTGAAAATAACGATCAAGAACGATAGAATCGTAAGCGCTTTTAAGTGAAAGTACAGCGCTTTCGTCTAGAAATTGAGAATTTATCGATGTATCGTAAAGGGCAGTGATAAAGGATTCATGGTGAAGACGAAATTCACGCACAGTATCGAGTTTATCGAGCAGCCATTTAAAGTTTGTGTCGAGATTTTTTACGGAGAAGGGCTCTTTTCTCTTCCGTATCACGCTTCTTGCTAGTACTAAGAATTCATTTAGTTCAGTATTCCACTTGTGGATGACATTTTTCGCTGATTCCAATCGGAAAAGGAATTCTTCCAGTGAAGTACACAGTAAAGTCTTGGGTTCCATGATTCTAATTACGGAAATAATGAAAGATTCTGTAGCTGAATTAATGAATGTGATTGTACGCTTCAGCGGGTAGCCAGAGTTTTTCCAACGCTTCCGGACGTGATTTGAAGCTTGCTCGATAGCAGCTTGTAAAGATGAAAATGTCCCGGCAATACTCATAGCGCTTAATGGGAACTCTGAAAGAAAGGTGTTATAAGCGACGACTTTCTCATAAGCACTTTGAATACCAGTATCCGCTAAAAACGATATTGTCGCATGAAACCGTTTTGCGTGTTTTAAAACCTCTAATGTCAGTACTATCCCGTCGTTATGCAATTGAGCCTCGATGTCCCGCAGCGAGGTTGCTAATGATTTGTAAAAAGTGATTTCTTGGGCAGCTGTTCCCTGGACTTCCTCAAGAAGAAAATTTGTAACACCCTGTATCGATTTAATCCATGAGTTTACGGTGCTTTGCAAGGCATTCAAAAATTTGGGATCTTCAAGAAGCTCTACCGGGATACAATCAATTGTAACAGGGGTATTCGATGCCTTGGCCGAACATACCGCTTCGTGAATTCTCGGATGAACGAGGAAGTGTATAGTTGGAACGCTGTAATCATCCTGCAAACGAGCCAACAATGCCTCTAATTCTGCAATCTTTTGCTTCGTAAGATAGACATTTGTCTGCGTGCCCCGATCGCGCTCGGAACTATTAGTGTGCTTTGTAATCGTTTCAAAAATAGGATGAAGCACCAAACTGACATACTTTTGAAGTAAGTTTAAGCCCCCAGATGGATCGACAGAGTTTCCATGTGTGCTTGGTGTTTTGGGTAATTTCACAACTAAGAGCTGCTCATTATATGATAAAGAAGGGTCAGGTGTAGGGAACCGTTTAATTACAGCTACAGCCGCAATAAATTCCAACGAGTCCTCCAATTTTGTGACCCACAGTAAACGATAGTTTGATGTTGTATTGCTTTGAACAAGATCATCCTTAAAATCAGACCGTGAAACCAATTGCAACTCAGTTAACGCGTCATCTGTCCGAACAAGATACGCAGCAGACGTGGAAGGGTCGTGAATAAAGTCCTCAAATTGTTTCATGAGCTGCTCGAGTTCTACAGAAGAAATGCAATCAGTTAAACGGGCGGTGTCTATCAAAGGCTGAAGGACAGAGCACTCAAAGAATCGCTGTAGCAGGTCCATTTGGTCAACAGAAATCTCATTCATCTTGCTAATTGGAGTCGGTACGGCAAACGAAGCAGCACTGACACTCTTCATGATTTAAAAGAGACCAAAAGATCTAGCAGACAAAAACCTACACCCTGTATCGTAGTTATGAGTTGGTAAATGAACATGGCTGCATAAAATTTACAGAAAACATTGTGAAAACAAAGAAATGCACACAAAGAACGAGCCCGTAGAGCTGGTCGCCGTTGGATACGTCGTGTCGGTACACGTCAATTAAGGTTATCATAGACGCGACACCGCATTTTGTACGTGGAGCGTGTTTTAATTAAACAAAGTTATAGTTACGCGTTGAAACCATTTAAATAGCAACACGACGCCTCTTCTTCCAACAAAGAGCCACACGCTTTAATGGAACTTGTATTCAAAAAAAAGTTAAGAAGTGCACTCGTTGTGAAACTGATTGATTCTTGTTCTATTCAATTGCTCTAGAACAAACATATTTCAGTCATCTGTGTAATGCCGACTACGAAAAGTGTGCTTTTCTCTAAACCGTGATAACAAGGCTCATGAGCGTAGACACGAACACACTAAGGCTGACGGATAAATTGGAGAAAAGCGCGAATTGCGACGTGATCTAGTCCCCGGAAGAGCCGTTCACATATTTTTTTAGTTCACCCGTTGTCTCCACTCCTCGGGATTTGTGATTCTCCTGGCTTAAATGCGTGTTTTTCGCACTCACGAATACTAAATTCGCCTTTTTTTCCCACATTCCGGATTCGCTCAGCCAATCCTAATACGGCCGATTTTTTTTTTGATGTTCAACAGCCTTGTTATGTTGTGATTTTACTAGCGTCTATCAAGAAGCACTGGATCTGAATCCATATCAATAATTTTATTACAGCGAATCGCCTTAATGCACGTCGTTTGCTGTACGAATTGAGCTTCTTCAATAATTGTTAACCGTTTCTTTTTTTTTTTTTTCTGAAATTGAGCACGCCGACAATTAACAGGCTAACTCCGAATTCACCATCATTCGATTGGTTTTCTATCGAACTATTCTGTGACCGTGAATGTTGACGATTGGTTCCTTGTAACAATTGCGGAAAGTTTCATAGGTTACCGGTTCGCATCTTATTTATCGACTTTGAGCCTAAATTGCCATCCTTCCAATTAACTCAAAAGGGCGGTATTTCCTCTTCCCTGTACTCTCCGTATCTTCTCTCTAGTTTGCTAAGTTCCTCGTTGCATTCGTCGAATACGCATATACTAGATACACATTTCGCAAAATCAAGTTTTTGTTGACTTTGCCTCTTTTTCAATACTCAACAGAAATCGGATATCGGTTTTTGTGGTTTTTTTCGCACATCCCTCTGCATCCACAGTCGTGGTTACATCGCCCCTCAAAACACATCCTTTCCTGAACCAACACCATGTCTTCTGAGACTGCCAATCAAAAAGTTGACCAAAAAGTCATTGACGAGCTCGAGAGAGTTCTCGTCAACGCCGACAAGAAGACTCATCTCAGTCTTCGTTACCGTGCTCTTTTCAGCTTGAACGCTTTGGGCAAGAAGGGTGACTCTCGTGCCATCGACGCCGTCTACAGTGCTTTCGGCGATGATTCCGAGCTTTTGAAGCACGAGATGGCTTACGTTCTTGGCCAATCCGGTCAGAAGTACGCTGTTGAGCCTCTTACCAAGGTTCTTAACGACCTTAACCAACAAGTTATGGTTCGTCACGAGGCCGCTGAGGCTTTGGGCGCTTTGGGTTTCCCTGAAGCTCTTCCCGTTTTGCAAAAGTACTACAAGGAGGATCCTCTCGTCCCCATCAAGGAGACTTGTGACCTTGCCATCAACCGTATTTGCTGGAAGAATGGTTTGGAGCGCAAGAACGAGGTCATTTCCACCAGTGAGTATGACGACGTTATTGACCCTGCTCCTCCTTTGCCCGATGCCACTGCTGCCGATGTCAGTGCTGAGGTGAAGAAGCTTCGTTCCGAGCTCATTGACCAAAAGCTCCCTCTCTTTTATCGCTACCGTGTCATGTTCCGTCTTCGTAACATTGGTACCGAGGAGGCCGTTGAGGCTCTTACCGATGGTTTCCAAGATCCCTCTGCCCTTTTCAAGCACGAGGTCGCTTTTGTTTTCGGCCAATTGACCTCCCCCAAGGCTATTCCCTCTTTGGTCAAGGTTCTCGAGGACAAGTCTGAGGCTCCTATGGTTCGTCACGAGGCTGCCGAGGCTTTGGGTGGTATCGCTACTGCCGAGTGCATTCCTGTTTTGGAGAAGTATGCCAAGGATGATGTCCGTGTTGTTGCCGAATCTTGCATTGTTGCTCTGGACATGATCAAGTATGAGCAATCTGGTGAGATGGAGTATGCCTACGTTCCCAAGGCCGGTGGAAAGGTCCCACTCGAGAATGAAGAGTAAACGTATCACTTTGTTTAAGAGGCGGGGATTTTATTCTTCCTAAGGTTAGCCGTTCTCTGTTCTTTTTTTTTGGTTTCTTTTTTTCTCCCTAGACATACAACTGCGCGTCTGAACAAAAGGTTCAGCATTTAATAAGATTGGTGAAATGGTGGAAGCTTTGGGTAGTGAACCATGTATGTGTATTCGGTGTTATTGATTTGCGTGGTTGTTTAATTTGATTTGAATTTTTTATTTTTTTTGTTTTTTTGAGGAACTTTCATTTTCATGACCTGCTCACGACTTTACGGCGAGGTGAGTTTCCTTGCTCTATGTTTCGTAAAGTAATTCGCAATGGTCAATCCTTGCTGAGGTTCATGCCCCAGCATCAGCTTCCGGCTGGAAAAAAACCACTGACTATTGGATATTTGTCGAATTATGATTTCCATGAAGAAGAGGTTCGATATATCATAAATAATTATCGAACTCTTGCGTCGCGAAAAAATATGAAAATACGATGTGTTCCGCGGCAATTATTACGGCCGTTTGCTCGCTGGTACAACGAGAATCCACTCTGTCTACCTAAAATAATACATCATGACTATCCCTTTCGGTTAGTTATAATGGCTGTAAAAAAGCTGTCAGTAAACTGGCTGTCACTCGTAGTCGGACAAAACGAAGAATACGTTCGGCTTTCATAGAGGCCTTGGAGCGCTCGTACAATGGAGATGGTGCCTTGATTCCCAAGGAAAATGTGGATATAATCATTCAAGTGTTTGATGACTTAAATGAAGTAGCTCCAGAAGAACTCTTCTACAGCGTTCAAGGCCTATGGAAATCTGCTATAGCAAGGTATCCAAAACAGATTGCACGACCTTGTTCGCAAGAGACTTCTTCGAAAACGGAGAATTCGAACGATCAGTCTATATATGATTATGTGAAATATTGGTTAGAAAACAACGGGAAAGCTGTTGATCATGAGGCCCTTCATCTAGCCATGAACGTGGCCAATGGTAAGTTTAGATAAGAGAATAGTTATGTGAGTGCAGCTATACAAACAGTAGTTAGACTTATGCATTGTGTAGTAATACGGAAGCAGCCCTTCATTTGAACGTGTATTTGTTTTACGTAAAAAGCATCCTGCTAGTCACTTAGAGCTACTCGGGATATCTATATAAGAACAGATGCTATTTATTATTAATTAATCATAAAAAAATATAAAAAAATAAATAAAGCCGAGATTCTATTGAGAAAATGACTAAAGTTGTGTCAGGCTTCCTATGAAGTAGTAACATTTATTATTATGAATCAGTACGTACGACAATTAGAATGAAACTCGTACAACCAAAAGATGAATATACTTAGGATTGTTGTTACGAATTGCGGTAAGAGTAACTCGTAAATCATGAATAATCTCTAAAATAATATATTGTTTCGATATTTAAGCGAAGGGATTCACGGTCATACATGAACCAGTTTACCTTAGTGTTAGAAACAACTCTTTTCGACGAAGACTAAAACCCTAAGACTATAACTTAGCTACTTTTTGTCTATATAATTACACCATTTTAAACTGTAAACTGTATCTGCACCTTAATTAATAATCGCTTGGGCCACTCATTCTCGTCCACTCAGTCTGCAATTAAATCGCTAATTTATTCTATACAAAAATGCTACATACAGTTGCTTATGATAAGAGAGACTACAATTACAACTACAACTACAACTAAAATTATGCTAAGGTAGACTACTACTAACCCTAAACCCTAAGACTTAACCCAAAACCCTAGATTCCAGAGTGTAAACAAACATACACCAAGTCTACACCCTCTAAACTTAACCCTCATTTAGGCCCAAGTCACTGCCTACCAACTCACACCTCCTCTCTAACAGACCTGCCCCCGCTTAGCACCCCCAGCACCCCACCTACCCACTTAGCCCACCAAGACCCTTCGACCACCACCACATGCCCCCACAACAAAAAACAGTCACAAATGAGAAACTAACTTTCTTCCCTCCCAACGCATCTCTTTCCTAACCAAGTGAGGAGAAATGGCACTCAAGGAGTATCAAGTCGTTGGTCGCAAGATTCCTACTGAGCACGAGCCCGTGCCCAAGTTGTTCCGCATGCGTTTGTTCGCACCTAACGCTTCTGTTGCCAAGTCTCGTTACTGGTACTTCTTGAAGATGATCAACAAGGTCAAGAAGGCCACCGGTGAAATTGTTGCCGTCAACGAGATCAAGGAGGCCCGTCCCTTGCAACCCAAGGTCTTCGGTATCTGGATCCGTTACGACTCTCGCTCCGGTACCCACAACATGTACAAGGAGTACCGCGACACCACCCGTGTTGGTGCCGTCGAGTCCATGTACGCCGATATGGCTGCTCGTCACCGTGCTCGCTTCCGCAGCATCCGTATCCTTAAGGTTGTCACCGTTGAGAAGAAGGCTGACGTTCGCCGTAACTACGTCAAGCAACTTCTTGAGCCTGGCTTGAAGTTCCCCCTTCCTCACAGACGCGACTTCGGCAGCAAGCTCTTTGCTGCTCAACGTCCCAACACTTTCTACTAGACGCTTTGTTATGCTCAATGCGTGTAATAAAATCACGTCTGGAGGTGAATCTCTGTTTACTGCGGGTTCGTGTAGAGGCGAGTTATTCAGTACGTTTGGTTTAGTGTGGGGATAGAGTTCGAGCCTATTACGTGCTCCGTGGGTTGTGTAAGAAAGCGGAACGAAGTGCGGAGTAATGCATACTACGGTGTAATCGCAGTTTAACGAGGAGCAATGCACAATAAGGCACTTTCTTGCATTCTCCAACACCTCATTAGCGTACGTTCCTCTCCTGACGTCATTCAGCATTAACGTTCTTAGAAGCGCGGGGCACGGGTCTACGCGAGCATTTCAACACGTGGGCCTACTGCACCAGAACCCTTCAGCTTCCACACCTGTCGACTCCTTCCTTTCCCTACCACGACGTAGTTTCGGGCCGTGGAACTAAATTATGTCTCAGCAACTACCAATACGGTTTAATGAAATTTGCTCTCTCAGTCAGGCTAATATTCAGCCGTCGTCCTTCGTGTCGACGAGCTTGACGCTCCAGTCTGATCATTACGTTTGTGTACGCGATCAAGTTAACGGCACTCAACAGGTCGTGATTGTGAATTTAAAAGATCCCACAGATGTTCTTAGACGGCCTATCTCTGCAGACTCAGCAGTTCTGCATCCCAAACGGAAAATTATCGCCCTGAGGGCTCAGCGTCAGCTGCAAGTCTTCGACTTGGATGCCAAGAGCAAAATTAACAGCCATATTATGCCTCAGGATGTTGTATACTGGACATGGATTAATGACAATACACTGGGTATCGTGACAGAAACGTCCGTTTACCACTGGAGTTTGGCCGGCGGTGCTCCTTTCAAGGTATTTGACCGTCATAGCTCGTTAAACGGCTCCCAAATCATTTCGTACAAAAGCAACTACAACGAGAAGTGGTTTACCTTAATTGGTATCTCTCCTCGCGACAACAGGATCGTCGGTAACATGCAATTGTTCTCTCAAGACCGCCAAGTGAGTCAGCCACTCGAGTGTCATGCCTCAGCATTCGGTGTCATCCGTCCTGAGGGTTATGCGAACGATGTTCAAGTTCTTGCCTTCGCCAACCGCATTCCAAATGGCGCAAAGCTGAGTGTCGTTGAGATTGACCGCAAACCCGGTCAACCGGCATTCACTACGAAGACTGTTGACGTATTCTTCCCCCCAGAGGCCGTGAATGATTTCCCTGTTGGCATGCAGGTCGGCCCCCGTTACGGTGTCGTGTACGTTATCACCAAGTACGGTTTCATTCATGTTTATGATCTCGAGGAGGCCAAGTGCATCTTCATGAACAGAATATCTGGTGAGGGTGTTTTTGTCACTGCTCCCGATGAGGAGACTGACGGTGTGATCGCTGTCAACCGTAAAGGCCAAGTTTTCAGCGTTTCCGTTAATCCTGATACTGTCATTCCTTATATTATTAGTAAGCTTAACGACCCTACTCTGGCTTCCCTCCTTGCCTCGCGCGCCGATCTCCCTGGTGCTGATGACCTCTACATCAAACGTTTCCAAACGCTCTTTAATCAAGGTAATTACGCCGAAGCTGCCAAGGTTGCCGCTTCCTCTCCTCGCGGCATCCTTCGCACCTCGCAAATCATCAACCAATTTAAGCATCTCCCCACCGTCCCTGGTCAAATTGCTCCCATTCTCCAGTATTTTGGTACCCTTCTCGACAAAGGACCTTTGAACGAGCACGAGACTTTGGAGCTTGCGCGTCCTGTAATTTTCCAGAACCGTATCCAACTTTTGGAGAAATGGTACGGCGAAGACAAATTGGCCTGCACTGAGGCACTTGGTGACCTTGTGCGTCCTATCAATGCCAACTTTGCTTTGACTGTTTACGAACGTGCTGGCGCCAGCGACAAGGTTGTCTCCTGTCTTGCAGAGCTCGGTCAGTTCGACAAGCTTGTTACTTACTGCTCCGAAAAGCAAATCACTCCTGATTACATTTCCATTCTGCAACAACTTGTGCGCACGAACCCCGACCAAGCTGCCACCTTTGCTTCCCAAATTGCCGTCATGGATCCCTCCATTGATGCCGAAAAGATTGTTGACATTTTCATGTCCCAAAATCTTTTCCAACAAGCTACCGCTTTCCTTTTGGACGCTTTGAAAGATGACAAGCCAGAGCAAGCTCATCTTCAAACTCGTTTGCTTGAGCTGAATCTGCTGAACGCTCCACAAGTTGCAGATGCGATTTTGGGCAACCAAATGTTCAGTCACTTTGATCGTGCTACTGTCGCTTCGTTGTGCGAACGTGCTGGCTTGGTTCAGCGTGCTTTGGAGTTTTATGAGAAGCCTGCCGACATTAAGCGTGTCATTGTTCACACCAACTTACTTAACCCTGAGTGGTTGGTGAATCACTTCAGCAACTTCCCTCCCGATGACTCTCTGGAGTACATGCGTGAAATGCTTCGCGCTAATGTTCGCCAAAACCTCCAAATTGTTGTGCAGATCGCTACTCGCTACTCTGATGTTTTGGGTCCTCAACGTCTTATTGAGATGTTTGAGAAGTACAAGACGTTTGAGGGTCTGTACTACTATCTTGGCAGTATTGTCAACTTGACATCGGATGCTGATGTGGTCTTTAAGTACATTCAAGCCGCCTGCCTGATCGGCCAATTCAAGGAGGTGGAGCGCATTTGCAGAGACAACAATGTCTACAATCCTGAGAAGGTCAGAAACTATCTCAAGGAAGCCAAGCTTGCCGACCAACTTCCTCTCATTATTGTCTGCGACCGTTTCGATTGTGTGAATGAACTGGTCTTCTACCTTTACAAGAATCATCTTATGCAATTTATTGAGATCTACGTTCAGCGTGTTAATCCCTCAAAGACACCTGCTGTTATTGGTGCCTTGCTCGACGTCGACTGTGATGAGACCGTTATCCAGCAACTTCTTAGCTCGGTTCACGGTCAAATTCCCGTGGACGAGCTAGTTGAAGAGGTGGAAAGCCGTAATCATCTCAAGTTGTTGCTCCCTTACTTGGAGTCTTTGTTGGCTGCTGGCAATCAAGACCGTGCCATCTACGATGCTCTCGCAAAGATCTACATTGACTCGAACAACAATCCCGAGACCTTCTTGAAGGACAACAATCAGTATGACACACTTACCGTTGGTAAATACTGTGAGAAGCGTGATCCTTACTTGGCATTTATTGCCTATGAAAAGGGACAGAACGACATGGAGTTGATCAACTTGACCAACGAAAACAGTATGTTCAAGCAACAGGCTCGCTATCTCTTGAAGCGTTGCAACTCTGATCTTTGGGGTTACGTTTTGCAAGACAGCATTTACAGAAGACAATTGTTGGACCAAGTAATTATTACTGCCGTTCCCGAGTCTTCTGACCCCGAAGCTGTTTCCATTGTCGTTAAGGCTCTTATGGACGCCGATCTGCCTTCGCAACTCATTGAGCTTTTGGAGAAAATCATTCTTCAACCCTCTCCCTTCCAAGACAACGCCAGTCTTCAAAACCTTCTCTTCCTCACAGCCATCAAGGTCGACAAGTCTCGTATTTCTGATTACATTGAGAGACTTGACAAGTACGATGTTGATGAAATTGCTGAGATTGCCGTAGAGAACGGTTTGTTTGAAGAGGCATTCTCTATGTACAAGAAATTCAATCAAAACGAAAACGCCATGAAGGTTTTGGTTGAGGACATTATGAGCTTGGATCGTGCTCAGAACTTTGCTGAAGATATTGACACCCCCGAGGTGTGGTCTCGTTTGGCTAAGGCTCAGTTGGATGGACTTCGTATTCCTGATGCCATCGACTCTTACATTCGTGCTGCTGATCCCAGTAACTACGCTGAGGTTATTGAGCTTTCTCGTCGTGCTGGTAAGAATGAGGAGCTGATTAAATTCCTGCGCATGGCTAGAACCCATATGCATGAGCCTGATGTTGACAGTGCGTTGTTGGTCGCATATGCCAAGACCAAACAGCTTACTGAGATGGAGACCTTCCTGATGGGTTCCAATGTTGCCGATGTTGAATCTGTTGGTGATGAATGCTATGAAGATGGTCAATATGAAGCCGCTAAAATTATGTACAGCAACATCTCAAACTGGTCCAAGCTGGCCTCAACCCTCGTCCACTTGGGCGAGTACCAAAGTGCAGTTGATTGCGCTCGCAAGGCCAACTCCATTAAGGTCTGGAAGCAAGTTTGTAAGGCGTGTGTTGATAAAAAGGAATTCCGTCTTGCTCAAATTTGTGGTTTGAACTTGGTGGTTCATGCTGAAGAACTTGGTGATCTTATTCACCTCTATGAATCTCGTGGCTATTTCGAAGAGATTGTTTCTCTCATGGAAGCAGGTCTTGGTTTGGAGCGTGCTCACATGGCATTTTACACGGAACTTGCCATTTTGTACTCTAAGTACAAGCCTGAAAGTATGATGGACCACTTGAAGCTGTTCTGGGGTCGCTTGAACATGGCCAAGGTTATTCGTGCTTGTGAGCAGGCTGAAATGTGGCAGGAAACCGTATTTTTGTATGTCCATGACCAAAGCTTTGACAATGCCGCCGATGTTATGATGGAGCAACCCACTGCCTTCGACCACCAATCCTTCAAGGATATCATTATCAAGGTCGCTAACCTTGAGCTGTATTATCGTGCACTTAACTTCTACCTTGAACAACATCCTACGCTGTTGACTGACTTGCTTGCAGCTTTGACGCCCAAGATCGATCATTCCCGTGTCGTTAGATTGTTTGCCAAGTCTGAGAATACTCCACTCATCTTCAATTACCTTACTGCCGTTCAACATCTGAACATTGAGGCCGTCAACCGTGCTTACAATGATATTCTTGTCGAGATGGAGGACTACAAGTCATTGAACGTTTCCATCGAAAGCTACGATAATTTTGATGCTTTGAGCCTTGCTAAGCGTCTTGAGAAGCACAGCCTTCTTGAGTTCCGTCGCATCGCTGCCAAGATTTACAACAAAAACAAGCGCTGGGTGCAGTCTATTGAGCTGTCGAAGCAAGACAAGTTCTACAAGGATGCAATTAACACCGCTAGAGACTCTGGTAAGGTTGACATCGTTGAGGACCTTCTCAGCTACTTTGTCCAAACCGGAAATTATGAGTGCTTCGGTGCGATGTTGTACACTTGTTACCACCTTCTTCGCAACGACCTTGTTATGGAAATCAGCTGGCGCCATGGCCTTCAGGACTATGCTCAACCCTACTTCATTTGCTACCAAGCTGAGATGCACAACAAGATCATGAGCTTGGAGAAGCAACTGAGCGAGCGTCAAGTGACTGAACCTGCAGCTGGTGATGCAGAGGCACCCATGGCTGGCAGCGGTATTTTGGGTAACACTTTAATGCTTACTAATGGCAATTTGGAGAACGGTAACACTGTTCCTCAATCTATGAGTATGCCTCCCGTTGGTTTCGGTCTTTAAACCATGGGGCTAACTCTTCCTAATATTTTAAAATGACTCTATTCAGATGACTTGATCTTTTTTATTTCAGTTCTTTTCGCGGGAAAGAATTACCTATTGCTATTTTGTGTTTGTTCCATACGAAATCTTAAATTCCAGTATCAACAATCTTTGTGGGGAATGGGAAAAAATGTAGCAAGGGACAATGTAGGAACGTTAATGGTGTGTATTTAATCTCATAGCGTTTAGCTTTTCTTTTCATTTTTATTAAATCCTGTAGACTCGGTTTCTTCGGAAGATCCTCGGTCGGTCTCCGCGGCCATTCCGTCTTCTCACAGCAAGTAACATGTTACTCAAGAATGCTACACCAAAATTGGAGTTCAACGCCGACACACAGTGCTTCAACAGCAACTCTTCGAAAAACAATTGCAGTCCAGGATGTCGCGGCCCGAGCATATCGCGCCTCCCGAGATCGTAAGAAATAGAAAACAATACGTGCTGAGATTTCTGACTCATTTAGTTTTACAATGATGTGGAAGCTCGGAAATACTCAAAAAAGTAAGCAGTTTAAGTATGGAACAAATTGTTAACAGACAAGTACCCGTATTCAGTCTATTCAGGCAGAAATGACTGAGAGAGCTCTGGAACTGCTGGATCCCGAAGGACCATCATTTATTCTGGATATTGGATGCGGTTCGGGAATTTCAACTGCAATCGCAGAGTCATTTGGACACACACTGGTTGGAATGGATATTTCTCCGTCCATGCTCTCTGTAGCTTTGGAAAACGATGAAGTGGAGGGTGATCTGCTTCTTGGGGACATTGGAGCAGGTGTTCCGTTTCGTGCGGGCACTTTTGACGGTGTTATTTCCATCTCAGCTATTCAGTGGCTGTTAAACGCCGATAAAACATGTAACGTTCCTCAAAGACGTCTCACACGTTTCTTCGAGACACTGTACAGTAGCATGAAACGGGGTGCCCGAGCTGTTATGCAATACTACCCCGAATCCGATACTGCTCAGCGCATGATTCTCGAGACCGCAAAGAAGTCCGGCTTTTCTGGAGGTACTGTGATTGACAATCCAGATTCTAAGCGTCAGAAGAAGTACTACTTGGTGCTACAAGCTGGTGGAATTCGGACATTAGACACCTCAGAAATGTCTGTCGAAGACGATAACAACAAAAATCACAGATTAAAGAAGAGAAAGAAGCAGGACATGAGCGTTAAGGACTACATTTCTCACAAAAAGGAGCTTAATCGCCGTCGTGGACACAGTGTTCCGCGGGACTCCAAGTATACTGGTCGTCGCAGAAAGACGGCGTTTTAATCGTCATTTTGGACACAGCGCATACAAACTTGCGTGTTTTAGGGTACGGAAATAGGCATTACAAGGATTTGTTTTGTTTCTTACTAGAGTACATTATCAGAAGCTACATTAAGACATGCAAGGGTCGATGAGACCAAAAGTAAGCTACTCCCCGCTCTCGCTTAATCCCAACCTTAAAACCTTAACTACAACAAGCTCACCCACGCCAAATTCAACCGCGTCCTCCGCGTCGCGACATGGTTGTGAAGACATCCTCGCATCTCGTTTCTTATTATTACTTGTTGAGGACAATGGCATCGTACTTTTGCTTGAACCATTGGATGGTGTCCTCAGCGTTAATCTTGTGAGGGGCACCAATGCGAGAGCGTTGAGCCTTGCGGCGAGCAACACGCATACCGGGGCGGTCCATGACGACGTAGAAGTCCATACCGTAAATACCGATAGAGGGGTCGTACTTGATACCCAAGTCAATATGCTCTTGGATACCGAAGCCGAAGTTGCCAGTAGCAGAGAAGTTTCTTCTCTTGAGCTCGAACTCCTTGACCTTAAGTCCACGCTCCAAAATCTCCTCGGCCTTGGGGCCACGGACGGTGACGTGAACGGCAATCTTTTCATTACGGCGGATACCGAAACGACGAATGGTGTAGCGAGCCTTGGAGAAGACAGGCGTTTGACCGGAAAGTTGCTCCAAAACCTTAGCGGCACGGGTCAAACGATCACCGGACTCACCCAAAGAGATGTTGAGGACGAGCTTCGCAATACGAAGCTCCTTCATGGGGTTTTGCGCCTTCTCAGTCATTGTGCTGTTTCAACGTGCCAACCTAACCTCGGTGGATGTTTTGCTAAGGTTGTGGTTACTACCACAAAGTTTTTGTGGACAGTGACTGCTTTACGCAATTAGGGTAGGGTTCAGCTGATGATGCTTACACCTTACCAAACCAGTACTACGACGTGTTTCGAGCGACTGCTTAAAGGCTGTCATAAAACTCTTCAAAATGGTAAGCAATTTTGAGCAGTAAGGAATGGAACATTGTTGTTTGCCCGTTCTTTTTATCCTGTCACCGTTTTTTTCGCGTTTAAAACTGACACTTTTGATGTAGGGTTCCTCTAAAATGGTTTCGTTGATTAATCACTCATTAAATGTCACGACGAAGGATGGTCGCACCTTTAGTGGATACCTCATGGCTTTTGACGCCCATATGAATCTGGTGCTGTCGGATTGTCAGGAATTTCGGCACATTAAAAAACGGAATGCCAGTACGTCCAACTCTGTCTTTGAGGAAAAGCGGATGCTTGGGCTTGTGATTCTCCGTGGTGAATTCATCGTGTCCTTGTCTGTTCAAGGACCACCTCCTATGGATCCTTCCATGAGGGGAGGACTTCTTAGCGGTCCTGGTATTGCTCGTCCTGCTGGTCGGGGAATGCCTATCACTCAATTGCCAGCAGGACTTACTGGACCTGTGCGTGGAGTCGGTTTTGCTGCTCCCCCTCCTCCTGCTGGTCTTGGTAGAGGTGTTCCTCCTCCGGGCTTTCGCCCTATTTAAATTGGGTATATATGCATGTATGTGTATGTGTGTATATACGAGCTTTGCCAAAAAGCTTATCCTTACCGTGTATGACTTTTGTACCTTTCGGTATCGCTGGACGGTGCAAATAAAAAAAGTTTGGGAAAGAGCCTCTTTATGTCTGTGGTATTAAGCATTCTTTTTTGCTGCTGGACACTGTGCTTCCCAACAACAGCAGTTGTTGACTTGATGGTTCAAATTGCCCATTAATAGCCGACAACACGCAACTTGTTATGTACCTTACGTACGATTCTCTTTTTCGGATGCGACAAAACAAGTTTCCGCCCTTCATTCCCTCCTGCTTTGTTCTGTTACGTATGATGATTGTTCTTTTGACTGTGGCAACCTTCACTAGTTGAGCTAGTTATTAATAAAAAGGTAATAGAGACGTAGCCGCAAACACAATTTGAGACCTAAATCCGGTGTTCGCCTCTTTGGTAACTTGAAGTCGTTCGCGCTGCAGGATTAAGGTTTTCTATGACGGAGAAGATATAACTTTATGTACGGTTCTCCTGCACCCTACGTGAGCAATTCCAGGTTCAAGACTGTCGCTTGTTTTGGCGACTTTTGTCCAAGTAAAAGAATGGAACTTTGCATTAAAAAATATTTTCAAAAAGGGTTTTCATCATTGCACAAGTTGTATGCGCTACGACGTTGCAAAGCCTGCAGGTTAATTAATGACATTGAATCAGGAAATTGTCGGCTTAATAAATGAAAGAGAGACATGGCTTGTTGGCAAGCAATTAGGCAGATTTTTACCATATATCAGGGAAAGCGGAAACATTGGGGACCAATGGGGGGCGTAAACAACATTATTGTACATCATGCGCGGATTGTGCTTGAAGTGAAGTGAGAGAATCAAATATATCGTTGTAATGAGTAACCAAAACTGAGAAGATCTCAGAGGGTATGTTCAAAGTGGGAGAAAACACGATGCTAACGTTCCGAACGCTCATCTTGTTGATACGCTCATACTTAACGATACGGTTCAAGTGATGCAAGAGTGCGTCAAGTAAAATAAAGTTCTCTTCAGGCAAACGAGAAATAATATCACGCAGACAAGCAACTTGTTCGTCCACAACAGTCATCTCTGACACGACTCCAAACTTGCCATGAAGTTCATGACCCAAAAGGTTGGTGGGAAGGTTCCGCAAATACAATTTCAATAAGCCTGCTACCGCATGTATATCGTAATATTCCTTGGAGGAAACGATATCAAAATCGCCATAAGAAAAGGCCTCTCGGAGATTCTTGATAGTAGAATTTGAACCACTGAGACGGTAAATGCCCTCCTCTTTTTCGGCCCGTTTTGCTTCAAGATATTCGATGCAGCGATACACCACAATAGGAAGCTTGCTCTGGTTATATTCGGCAGAAAGAGCTACGGCTTCGGCAAGGGGTAATCCGAAAATGTTCCGAGAAACATTGGAAGGTGGCATTGGAGGGCTCGTCGTTGGCATGGCGGGAGAATGCATTCCACTGGAATCTGTTGATATAGAGGAAAATTGAGGGCCAGCAACAAAACTTTGGCGTGGGTCTTGAGCCCTGTCGGCCTTATCCTTTTCTTGTGTTGGACTTCTGCGATGGTTGAACATCCAGAACTTCTTACGGTGCTTCTTATCATCCAATGGTGCCGTCTGTGTGGAAACCGGGCTTTGTACTGTCATGCTTGAGAAGTCGTCTGTCAAGTGCTCCGACGCAGCGTACTGACGATGAGTAACAGGCCCGACCTGATGAGCTTGTTTTGGCGGCGAATGCCAGGCCATATCATCGTAACCCAAAGCGACCAGAGGTGTGTCGTTTTTGGAGGTGACGTTATGAGATTGCGTACGAGCATGTTGCTCCAATGGTTCTGTTGATGCAGAGCGATGAGGTACAAATTTAGACTGTTGCGCAGAGGCCTTCGTAAGATCAGTTGTTGAAGTGACACGCGAAACAGTAGAGTTGGTCTGTTGCCCACGGCGAAGCAAAAACAACCACTCATCACGCTCCTTAATACTCGATGCAATCAAAACATGAATGGTGTCGGCTCCTTGACGCAAAACACTTTGAACCTCCTGAATGACAAATGCATACTGATAATTTTCACCAGTAAAGAAAGCGTGTGGTGGATCAATAATGGAAAATATAGGCAAATTCACATCATAACAGTTCACCTGAGCATCCTCAAGGTTAATTGTTCCTAGAACCTGGCTTTCTTCCTTTTCGGCGAAAGAAAGAACCCTGTTCTTTAAATAAAAATAACGGGAAACCAATCCCACACTGACTACGTACTTGGAAAGGTAGCCCTGCTTCTCCGCGTCTGTAGGAGGTAAGTAGAATACATTCTGCAAAAGTTGTCTTTGCATATCACGGGCAAAAAATCGGAATAAAGAATAACGCTGATGCAGTGTCAATTCCGCCTGGAATAAATAGCGGAAGTAAGTTTCCACTGAGCGCTGCAGCAATTCCGATTGCAAAAAGGATGATTCACCAGTAAACCATTCAGGTGTTGGGAATGGCGGTGCACCAAAATCAAGTTCAATAGACAACTGGAAATCATGACAATCACGCATAGTACGTGAAAAGGTCCAAATTTCATCACGCCAGTTGGGAAAATGTGTCGCATTCAGCTTAACGCTGACGGAAAAATGGACAATCACCTCGTAAAAGGAACCCTCAGTAGTGTCCACCGTTGTCTCAATGAGGTCGTACAAAAAATTCTCTATCATCTGGTCACTTGGATGGAAAGCAAGCGGTCCAGGTACTTCAGGAGGTCTGGGTATTTCTGCATAAAACTCAGCACCCGGTGCTTGAATAGTAGAGTGACCACCACTGCTAAACGAAAACTGATCTCCCTCTGCCGGCTTTCGAGCAGGCGAAACAGAACGACTATTCGCACTGGGGGCAGGGAAATTAGGAACGGAGTATGGATTGGCCTGGCTCGGGTCCAACTTGCTCTTGACATCACCCTTAGCTTCACTCTTGGCTTCACTCTTAGCATCGCTCTTAGCATCGCTCTTCGCATCACTCTTTAAGTTATTCGCCGAATCCACCTCAACAACATCCGGGAGGTTAGGTGATGACGGAGGAATAATGGTCCATGAACGGTTGGTGTTAGATCTGCTGCGTCTGCGAGTAAAACAAAACTCTGTTTCTGATACTGTAATACTGTCCTTTGAATTCTTGGCAGTATGTGTAGCGCTCGCTGTAGGATGAGCCACGAGAACGGTATCGGATTGCACATTGTGAAGCGACGAAGTAGGACCATCAGGGACCTTTTCAGCATGGACATCTGGAACAGGCAAATGAGTATCTTCCCCTCCGGTAATCATGGGAGGGACCTTTACCGCGGGGATAGGGACGGCAATAGGTTCTGGATTGAGTTCCGGTGCAGAGGAGATACTGAGTTCAGAAGCATAATGTGTCAGGGGATTTAACGGGTCAAACTTCTTTTGAGCAGTTCGAGGAGCAGAATTCGTTTTCCGTAAGGGATGTGAGGAGGTAAGCTCTATGTCGGGCAACAGTGCATCGGGATAATCGCTATGAGAAGCTTGAGAAGTATGCGAAGGAGGAAAGAGGGCCGGTATAGAAAATTCAGCTTTCGTAGGCGATGGCAGCGAGTCTAAATTCCATACTGCAGAAGCATGCTTCTTCAAACGTTCATGTGATTTCTCAGTCTTGGTTGTATGATTAACTGTGTTGGAGGAAGACAATTGTTTCTGACTCGCTCCTTTATTGAGATTCAAGGGTGCAATATTCAAGTATTTGGACGAAGTTGTCGATTCTGCAATAGATGCAGTGTCGTTCATTGGATACTCAAAGTCGTTAAATGACTCTTTTACAGCCTGAGTTAACTCAGAAATCTCGTCTCTCGTACTTTTCAAGCTGATTGCAGTTTCACGTTCTTTATCGTGCAGTTTATATGTCAATCGCCGGTTTTCTTCATTCACACGTTCCAGCTCTCGATAGAGTTCATAAATCATCGTTCTTTGTTTGTCCACAAGCTGCAGAAGTTTTGAATTCTGCGTAACCAAATCCAACTCACTAGATTCACCTGTCTGCCCGGAAGCAGACCGTTCCAAAGAGGTGAGGTCGTCTTTCACCTCATTTTTGGATGTTTTCTTCATGATAAAGCGGCAATTATCGACATCCAGAGCCACGTTAGTATAGATTCATGGAAGAAGTGAAAGCTGGTGGCTCTAAGTCAGGTACAGTACTGAAGGAAGCCCCAAGACTCCCTACCACCACGTAACGGAACAAAACAAACGTCGGAAACGTGTACAATTGAAACATTCTTTTGCATATTTAGTTACGTTTGTGTTAAGGATTTAGCAGCTGCGCTGTAGGGTTGCTTTTTCCCAATTTTTTTTGCAGGCTATGGAGGGCTGCACTGGTAAGTTCCTTACTGCTTAATCGCTTCTAACAATGACATAGACTGTTTTACTACCATCTCAACCTCCTGCCTCGAGAACGATGAGACGCTGGTTTTTGAACTGAAGGATGAAGACGGGTATGGTCGAATGCACCGGTCTTCCGGAATGTTTATCGACACAATTCTGGTATGGACTAGAGGGTATCGGTGATGAGATTGCCGGTAACGTGGAATGATAAGGATTACTTTGGCCTGTGTGTACAGTTACATACGGGATTCAGTTTTTTACATCCTGAAGGAAGTGTATTTAGCGATTTAGCTACCGTATCGATCTCATCCGGTCCCCCCTCACTCTCGCAAATTTCATTAAATAACTGCTAACCATTGTTCTAGGACCCAATTCATGGAGACCATTTCTTAAAGTTCCCCGCGAGAAATAGCATTGACTTTTCTATTGAATTACAAAAACGAGTTCCCCCTCATACAGTGTTTCTTCTGAACTGTACCAATCCGGATGCTTTCCAACACGTTCTACGTACTATACAAAGCTCCCAGGACGCTGACCGATTTGCACCTCTCGTCGCGCTCCCTCAGTTAATGTGTGACAACGAGTCATATACGTGGACTTGGACAGCACCGGCAGATTGTTCGCCTATAGGCTTGTCCGGATTGCCTAATTACGTGTACTTCATATCGTACTCTGAGCATGAAAAGCGTTTTCGTGTCCTTGCTCGTTTTCGCTTTTTTGTTTGTAGCGAAGTTATCGAAACTCCTACGATCAGTCCGATGCCCCCCTTTTCCTCTAGTGAATTATTATGCACTTCTCCTCTCTCACCAGGATCTCCCTCCTCTCTCAACTCTGAATTATTGCCCTCTTCAGGTCATCAACTACAACGTTTGCCGAGCACAGCCAGTCAGAAACCTAGCACAAAACTGGTGCATTCAGCCACTATAGTGCTACCCGATGATCCAGAGGACAGCCCGGGATTTCGCTCCATTCTCCGCGAGCTGGGCAGGAAAACCGAGTGTTTTCGCGGTGATGTGAAAAAGTTGCTCAAAAGAATTCAGGAACTGAGTGAAGCTTTTGAGTTTATTGCTGGAGCACTTGGCCGATTTATGGAATCAGTGCTCACTGCTTCTGCTACATGTCCTGCAGCTTTTCAGCCGCTTGTGGAGACATATGTAGCACCCTCTTTGCAGCATCAAATCCGATTATTTAAATCTACATGTTCAGACCTCATTCACTATGTATTTGAACCTCTGGAGAGAATATACGTCAACGATTTGAAGCTTGCAACCGTAAAACGCATTGAATTTGAGGAATTTAGTAAGAACTACTATACCTCTCTTTCTCGTTATTTGGCAAATAAAACCACTGACATGGCAAAAGATGAATCGAAATATCTCGTGAAGAAGAAAGATTTTGAGCTGAGGCGTTTTGACTACTATTGTTACATTCAAGATTTGCATGATGGACCTAAAACTCAAGACATTTTGGCCATATTCACTAGCTATTTTTACCAGCAACATGAAAAGTGGGTTCACTCCTCGGAAAGCATTGACAGTTTACATGCACAATTGGACGGTGTGCGGAATGGCCTGGCAGACTTAACGCTGGGATTAAATGATTTGAGTAAAAAACGCGAATCTAGGCGTCGCAAAATTATACTCGAAACAACGGTTGAAAGTCCCATCCGAGAAAAAACAAACGAAAAGCCTATAAAACAATCGTTCCCACCCGGTGGTCTCGGTCTCTATCGCCATCAAAGTGTGGGTGCTGCTTCGAATTTGTCTGATAAGTCTAGTTTGTACACCCCGAGTTCGCCTGCAAAAGATGGGAATGCCATTATTAAAGAAGGACTCTTGCTCGCACTTTCCAAACCTACCTCCCACACTGAAGTGTCGATGGTAGGCAAAACTAGCTGGCACAAATATTGGGTTGTGCTTCAGCGAGGAAAGCTCGCCGAATACGTAAACTGGAAGCAAAAGTCTCTAAGTCTGCACAACGAACCAATATCCCTTGCATATGCTTGCGTAAAAAAGGCAGAAAGCACAGATCGTCGCTTTTGTTTTGAGGTCATTACACCTAAATTTAAGCGTGTTTATCAAGCAACCTCTGAAAGTGAGCTTCACTCATGGATGCGTGTTTTACAGGAAACTATAAAGGCTAACATACTGTCTGGTGTCAACCAAGAGCGTACCGAATTTGTTTCTAAAGGTCGACCTCGAGGTATGCGTCCAGTGTCTATGTTCAGCGAGTCTATACAACAGCATCCAAAATCACGAAAGTCACCAGCAGCAGTGCTACGAAAGGCGTTTAGTGGTCGCAAGAATTCTTCATGGGGCTTTCGTGAGATTTTCCGACCAGAACCTGAGCGGATACCATCCATGAATTTGGAAAAACTGCATGAGAGCTCGAAAATCTTCATTTCAATGTTATGTAAAAGTGACCCAGAAAACTTGCACTGTGCTGATTGTGGCTCTTCGTCAGATGTCACTTGGTGTGCCATCAATTACCCCGTCATCTTGTGCATCGAATGCAGTGGTATACATCGTTCTCTAGGTACCCACATTTCCAAGGTTCGATCACTGCTTCTGGATTCGCTATCCCAGCAGCTGAAGCAATTATTGTGCAAGGTGGGCAATACAAACGTGAATGCTGTTTGGGAGGCTCGCGTGCACGAATCAGACTTAAAAAAGCCTTCTTCACGCAGCGCAAGCATTGATAAGCAGGCGTTTATCAAGAAAAAGTATTCAGAGCGCGGATTTCTGGATATTGGCAACGTTGATGCCAAAGCACAATTAGTCGAAGGTATTCGGACGAATAATATTCGTATGATACTGACTGCACTTGCCGCGAAACCGAATTTCAGCAGAGATTCTTGCGATTTCTTGGCTGTTATTAAGCCAGACACTTCTCAGCTTTATTTACTAGAGCTTTTGCTTGCAAATGGACTTGTCATTCCACCGGAAAGCAAATTAACAGGGCTCGTTAGTCCAGAGGTGCAGGCATTCATACGGCTCAAGCGTCCATCTGGACAGTAATCTGTTAAATTTTGCATTTCAAAGTTTGCTCTAGCCGTTGTTTGGTTTTCATTTTGTTGTCCCAGCACCAGCTGCGCAACTCATCTCATCCTTCACGGTCATTCTCACATGAACAGTTTGCAAAGCTGATCTAACAGCTGTGTTAACAATCATTGTATTTTTGGTTTTCATCCTCCGATCATTTTCACCTCTCACACGAACCTGACTGTACTATTTCGGACACATAGTCCAACTTGGTTTTTCCATTGAAAAGTCTCAGCCTCAACTGTATTCTATTTCTTACGTCTTGCCTGTCCTAATTCGATAAAAATATTCGTCTACTGATTACCTGATAATGAACCGGAGGGCATTTATCAGTTTCTTCCGGTCAACTTCTTCTACTCTTCGTAACCGGGGTTTTGCAACATTTTGTCCACGAAAACACCCTCAAATTAATTTACAAATGGACTCTCCTTATGTTCCTACTGATTTCAAGCCGTTTCGGCTTGGTCTTGTTCAGTTATTGTCGGGAATGGACAAAATGGACAACTTAAAAAATGCTCGTACAAAGGTTCTCGAAGCTGCCAAAAACGGCGCCAACATTGTTGTACTACCGGAAATTTTTAACAGCCCTTACTCTGTTGCTCATTTTCGTGAATATGCTGAAGATTTCGTAACAACTTCCCATTCTCCGAGTTACGATGCTTTGTCTCAAATGGCTAAAGATGCAAAAGTTTACCTTTTCGGTGGTTCTATTGTCGAGTTAGACAATGACAAAGTATACAATACTGCTCTTGTTTTTAGTCCTGATGGTTCATTGCTGGGCAAGCACCGGAAAATGCACCTTTTTGATGTCGATATTCCTAATGGAATTCGGTTTATCGAGTCAGAAGTGTTGTCTCCTGGCAACGCTATGACTATGGTCCAAACAGAGTTCGGAAAGTTTGGAATGGGTATCTGCTATGACATTCGTTTCCCTGAACTCGCCATGATTGCCGCGAGAAACGGCTGTGCTGGAATGATTTATCCCAGCGCATTCAATACGACGACGGGCCCACTTCACTGGGAGCTGTTAGCAAGATCAAGAGCTGTAGACAATCAAATATTTGTCGCCCTTTGTTCGCCTGCTCGTAACATGGATGCTAGCTACCATGCATACGGTCATTCTATGGCTGTGGACCCATATGGTAAGATACTAGCAGAAGCCCAAGAGGGTCCTGCAATCATCTACGCGGACATAAATCCAACGACAATGGAGGTTTGTCGCCGTGCTATTCCCTTGTATACCCAGCGTCGTTTTGACATGTACACGCAGGTGCAGGAACAAGAAGCCTCAAAGGAAAACAGAGGCAAACAGTGATTGTTCTCGTAATTGTCATCTGTGAAGCATTCATACATACAGGATTTTCATCTACTACTCGATTTTGGCTTGTGTTGAGAGCTTTTGGTAAGAACAGCAAACGGATAGGTAGTCTGTCTATCTTGTGAATGAGATTCAGTGAGAGGTTGTGGTTTTGGCTTTTCTTTGGAGATTTATGACAAATTAATTAATACATCCTTCATATTTCGCAAAGTTGTTCTCTTTTCTTCCTCATCAATAATCGGACTTAGTTTCTAGTAAAAAAACGTTATACTTAAACTGCCACTTTTGGATAGCTACACAAAGATAATGAGTTGCGACTAATTGGTGTGTACTCTGCTCATAATGTTGTATTAAATTTCACTAAAATATCTTCTGCATGAAATCATACTCTATGAATCAATCGGTAATGTTTTAACGTCTGTAACCACCATAACCATTACCGTAGCCAGAGGAATATCCTGCTCCACCGGCATTACCGTAACCGCCTCCGTTTGTCCAAGGAGCTTGGGAGTAACCTTGGTTCCCATATCCATAACCTGCATTGTTTTGTCCGTAACCGTAGCCATTCCGACTAGGTGGGTAAGGAGGTGCGGAATTCGATTGACCATAACGCGAATGACCACCTCCATTTCCATAACCGCCTCCATTACGACGGCCGCGTTGATACATGTTTCGTGGATTATCACGCATAGCGCGAAGAGTGTTGACATCGTCCATTGTCAGTACACGAGGAGGCATGTTAACTCCACGGAGAAGCATAGACTTGTGCACATAGTGCGATCTAGGAAGTTGATACAGCACGCACATGCTCGTGTCATTTTGCACCTCTCCATACTTGTTCCGAGCACTTTCATCCTTAAGTTCCAAAGGGCAAGGAACCGAAACGTTGGGAACCACTGCTGGGTTACTCGAAACCTTACCAAAAATTCCATGAGCGCGCTTGCCAGAAAGCTTCACAGGTTTTCCCTGGCGCTTTTTGGAGTACAAATGTTTAACGACTTCGTTATACATTGGATGTTTCTCAGAGAAGAATAACAGGGGGGGTCCCTGAGTGTTCCGGCGGGATTCCTCTTCTGTCAACTCTGGGTATACTTTAGCAACAGCATCCAGCAATCTCTTCTCATCAATAAATGGCAACAATGCCACACCCTGCCATTCAAACTTCTTTCCATTAAGATCAATGACAAAATTTTCTGGGTAGAAATCGATGATTTCTGAATCAGGGTCGGTCATAAGTTTTTGCAACTTTTCAGGAAGATTTTCCTTACTTGCAGCAGGCAACACACCAAGCAATTGTTCGTAAGGTTTAAACGGTTGGTTGAGGTCAAAAGAAATCTTTAAGGAAGACAAATTTTTAAAGTCTGCAGCAAAAGGAGCATAATGGAAGGGGTAATACCATGTCCAAGAAGGACAACCCTGATAATAATAAAGCAAAACCCAACACAAACCTTTTACGTAGTGATAGACAGCTTCGCGTATTTGCTCCTCGTTGTTTTCCTCAAAGTGAAATTTCTGTGTGTAATATCGCTCACGATAGCCAGGTTCCCATAAGCGTACAGTGTCTCCCTCAATAAGCTCGGGAGTTTCGGGCTTTTTACGTTTCGTACCAGCTGTTGCTACATCACTCGTTTCTTCCCCAGCCGGAGTGGTACTTTCACCTTCATCCTCATCCAAGGGTGTTGGAGGAATTGTTTCGGTCAAGTCGGGTTCCTCAGAACGTGAAGGCTTCTCTATAGGAGCAGCGGCAGGCTGCTGGGATGCTGCAAGTTGAGCTTTTAAGTTGGCAGCCACAAGTTTGTTCACGGAAGATGCTGCTGCTGCCTGGGGAGTGATGCCAAGACGATTGGCAGCACGGTTATTAATCAAGTCCTTGTTTGTAACACCAATAAACTTATTTGAACTTTTGTCAGACAAATTAACAAGATTTTCTGGTGGTGGGGGAACAACTTTAGACGTTTTATGAACCTTTGTAGGGGGGGCAGAGGCCACTTGTTGAGTCGATTCGGGCGAGGCATGAACAGGAATAGGTGCATTCAGTTCAGCGTTATTAGCATTGTTTTCTGCCTGACGACGACGCTTTTGATTTTCGTTTCTACGATCCTCATTCTGCTTCAACCGACGGAAGATTTCATCTTCCTGGTCACCAATAACTGACAAGATAACCTCCGCGCGGGACAGGTTGACAGAGCCATCTAAAGTCAAATACCCTCCCATATGCGGTAAACAGAGACGCCAAGCTTCTGTCAATCTCTCAAGAGCGCCATCCCGAATATCAAGACTGGGCAAATGCGGTAAAAAATCATTACCAACGAAGAAAATAAAGAAAACCCAATCGTCAATAGCACGTTCAAGGTCAAAAGGAAATGGCAAATTAGGAACTTGCAACTCAATCTCTAAGTACTCTCGCAATATATCAACATTCAGCCAGATAAAAGGCTTTTTCACCGGTGCTTTTGGAGCTTCAGTAGCTTCGATTTTCGGAACTAGTCCTAGTTGCTCCTTTTTGGATCTACGTGTACTACCTTGTTGAAAGAACACATCTTCACGGAGTACTCGGAAATGAGGTTCATGCGTGGCAAGACCAAGCATAATCAAATCAGCATCCAAACCGTAGATTACGTGTCGAGTATTTGGGTCGTATTCTGGATTCACACGCTGGGAACGGATAAACTCCATGATTTTATGCTCACCTTCACCGGGTACAGAAGCATCAGACAATAGAAAGCGGAGCTGTTTATGTTAGAACAAGGGAAGATCGTGGGCGGCAATGTACTTACGTTTTTGAAAGCAGGTTCGGTATTAAGCTTATGTGTAATGTAATAGCGCAAAGCCTTAGCAAGAATGTCCATGAAGGGAGTACCGGGTGTGATACAATTGCTGTCCCAGGCTTTTTTCTTGGCAGCATTCTCATCTACGGGAATTCCTTTTTCCTTGGCCTCACGGACACACTCTTCTAAAGCAGCAGCCTTTTGGGCTGCTTCACGAGCAGAACGGAATCTTCTTGACCGTTGCTGGTTCATTTTTGCACGAGGAGCAACACCGTCTTCGCAAATGGAAGTTAGTTTGAAAGAAAAACAAGATAGCATTCAACGTACCAATGGCAATCATCAACAAATTTCTAGGTCGAACCATCGCAAGAATGCGATCTGTGTATTCAAACACGGCCAGCATCATCTCGTCCTCCGTCTCTGGGGGCGGCCGGTCCTCAGGATGTGAACAAGGATGAACGATACCATTCATATCCAGGTATAGATTGTCACATTCGCCGTTGGGATTAGGCTCAGCAAGGTCTGGACCAAATTCTGTGCCATCTGGCAAAACTTTTGAAGGAACTTCAATTACGGGTGTGATGACTTTTGTGTATTTTCGCGACAAAAGCCGAAATAGGGCTTTTTAGAGTCAGTAATGACTAGAAAGTAAAACAACTCACATACCGGGAATTCCCATGTTGATTTACAAATGTCAACGAGTTGACAGACCTACCACGGAAAAAAATGTGGTGGTTTGCGGTAGCTAAAGATGCATGAATAGCCAGTAGCACAAGAAGCGTACAATGCGATTTTTGTTACGAAGTACGAAGGACTGCGCAAACCGGTTTTGGAGAACCTCAGTAATTCCTGCAAAAATGCATAGTAAACGACTTTTGATGTCGGTGGTAGCCGTCATTCAGGAACTTCATGTTAATGTTTAGCCAGACCCAGGTATTTGTTTCAGCATCGCGTAGTGTATGTAGTATATAATCTTAGAAGCAGAAATAGAGTAACGATATCGGTATGACCTAGATGAGCCTCTTAAACAAAAAAAGGAATGGAAATTGTATTTTATAGGGTCATAGTAAATGAGTAGAAACGAGTTTAGGCCGTCTTCATCCAGCTTTTTGTACGCAGCATGACTGCCGACTGATCAAACGTCCATTCACCAAAGTCTAAGTATTTCGCAACGGCGTTCCGTATCTCATCGTTCTGAATTTTCTCTCTGTTCACACTTGAAATGTTAGATCATTGTAAATTGCAGCAGATTTCATACGTTAAGCCAGTAGATCGACGAAGTCCAGCGAAACAGACGGACAATAGTGTCAAATCAACACCGATGTGAAACAATCGCGAAAAAAACGTCTAAACAGAATTAGAAAACGGTCATTTGGTGTCGTGACTCACCATAGAAGCAACGTGTATATGTGTTTAAGCGAAATAAACAGAATCGGAAGGACTCAGAAGTGTTGTGTGGAAGAGAGAATTCGGCATGCTACGCGTAACCTTAATACGGAACTGACGTAGTGGTAAACAAAAACTCGCATAGCTATAGAAAGACAAGAAATTCAATTGAAAACCAGTTTAGCTACTAAAAAATATCATAGTTTATAACTCTAGAGCTAGGGATGCCGCTGTCTTGTGACAAAGTAACTCCATACTGTATATATAACTTTTAAACATGGGAATACTATTACCAAGGATGTGAAAAGGACACACGTAGTACGTAGATTTAGACATGACTACGTAGAACGGAGAGAAAAGAACTGACCAAGGAGGCCCTTTTTGTCATATACAAATAACCTAAAACATGATGTCTCCGTTCCGTTTTTTTATACTTCCAATCTTTTCTTCCATTTGTGAAACCTTGCTTTCCACCCAGCCCAAACTGGCTAATTGGGAATTAAGGACCTTGACAATCTCAGAAATGGAGTCATCGGGCTTGGAGAATTCGTTGAGTTGTGTAATGACAGTACCGACATCCTCGCCTAACCGGTCCAATCGGCACAGAATCTCATCGGCAGAATTGAATGCACGTTCGCGCTCCAGATTCGGTGCACTCGTCGTTCTGTTATCTAAGGTCTCCAGTTGCGTCTCATAAGTGTCCAACAGATTAGACAGTTCCTGTTGACTAGAAGTAATATACTGTAAACCATCGTCAAGTCTATTCGACAGATGCTCTGCCTCGACGGTTTCAGAATAAAGTTTAGAGATTTGTTGTCCATTTTCCAACAAAATTTTGTCCCATTCAGCCACCTGATCGCAGAGTTTGTCGAAAGACGCCGTTTGGGTGCTCAAATCAGCAGACCATTTGTTAAGAATTTCTTGAAGTGACTTGTGTTGAAGGGAAGAAGGAGCGGGTTCCGAGGGACCAGTGCTCTTGGTAACAACTGTACCAGCAGCGCCGCTAGGCTTGGTCAAAGCTGTTTCTGTTTTAGAGTCGGTGGGTTTCGACTCAGTGGGTTTTCCTCCAAAAGAAAAGCCAGTGGGGGCGGTAGTAGTACCTGAGGCGGGTTTATCGGCAGGTTTGCTTTCGGTGGTCTTACCGAAAGAAAAGCCGGTAGAAGGGGTAGTAGTTGTAGTAGTTGTAGCAGCAGCAGGCTTGGCAGAAGACTCGGCGGGCTTGGTCTCGGCGGGTTTTCCAAACGAAAAACCGGTAGAGGGGGTTGTTGTTTTTGTTGCATTAGCATCAGCGGGCTTCGCTTCGGCAGTCTTGCCGAAATTGAATCCACCGCTTGTGGTAGTAGTTGTCGCAGGCTTGCTATTTGTTTCGGCGGGCTTGCCGAAGGCAAAGCCTGTAGAAGAAGTTGTTGGTTGAGAGGCAGTAGTGTTCGCTGTACCTGTCATTCCTGGCTTTTGTCCAAAAGTAAAACCGCTGGAGGGTGCAGCGGGCTTTGCGTTTGTGTTGAAACCGGCGGAAGCGCCAGTGGAAGCACTGGCCGTTGTTGCAGCGGGTGCCGAACCGGTTGTTGTGCTGCCAAAAGTGAAACCTGCAGAAGGAACAGTGCCAGACGTGGTCGTAGATGCAGGGGCAGCGGGTTTAGCAAAATTGAACCCCGTTGTCGCGGGTTTGTTAGCCTCGGCCGTTTTTGTTTCATTTGATTTTCCAAAAGAGAAACCAGCAGCGCCAGGGGCCGCCGCGTTTGTCGTGGAAGACTGTGAATTTTGTCCAAATGTAAAGCTTGGAGCAGCCGCATTAGTGGTGGGCTGCGTGGAATTGTTTGTAGCACCGCCGAAGGAAAAGTTGGGTTTGGATGCACCTCCGAATGAGAAACCAGTTCCCGTGTTGTTGGTAGTGTTTGATTGAGAGCCGAAAAGACCTGTGGGAGGTGTTCCAGCGGGTGTCGTACTCAAATTAGAGAACAAACCTTTAGACGCTGGAGTGGCATTTCCAGCAGATGCATTATTCTGCAGGTTTGACCCAAACGAAAATTGAGGGGCGTTATTGTTATTGCTACTAGCTACATTCGTTAGTACAAATCATTCACAACAGACAACAACATACCCATTCCTTAAAATCGTTAACGGTTGGCCACGAGCTCTTCTGAGTCAGTCCGTGGTGTTTCTGCACCGTCACGGTTGTCCAGGTTAATGATTACTGTAGTGTAACGCAGTTTTTAAACTTTTGTGGTTTTGACTAAGGTTGTTTAAAGTTTTCACGTGATGTTAAACAGTTTGTGAGCATTTCGAGTCTTTTCAAAGACGAAATGCTGAAGTCATAAGTTGTATAAAATCTAGATGCAACTCCATTACCGTTTTGTAACGTCATATAGCATTTGAAACAGCGAATCGCGGAAAGTGAGGTAGAATGAACGAATTGAGATCGTGTGTGACGTCATTGTAATAAAATTAAGGTTAAAAAAAGTGAAAAAGTGATCATTATGCTTCGTGTGCTGCCTTTGATTGGCGAACTAATAAAAGATGCGGATGCCCCGATTCTTTGCGGGGAAGCCCGACAAAAGGTATAAGTAGGGAACTTTGTAGCATACACGCCGTGTACGATGCTGTGATCGTTCTTTTCATTTCCTATTGATATGGTGAAGTGTTGAGCTCCATGTAATGTGAGAGCAAACACATTCCATTGCATAGGAATTGGATTTTAAAGCGCTCGAAAGAGGAAATTAGATAGATGAGAGTGTGCTTGTGGCCGTAACGGCTATTAAGGGTGCGCAGGGCCTGCATGAGCGAGGGTTTTGGAAGTACCAGACCGAAGAGTGTTTCGTGTACGGTAGACATCGGAAGGATTCTCTGTTCAATGGTTTTAGTTAGGGGTCGAGAACCAAGCAAGGATTCGCACAAGAGTGGGACATGAAACGCGAAAGCGTTGTGCTCTCGGATGCGGCGATGTAAACGTTATATACTTGGATGAATGGCTGTAATCTTTTCCCGGCAGTCTGGTAGCACATTTCTTCGATCTGCTGACTGTAATGGCCACGAGGTTCTCTCTTCCTGCAGTATTGTCGTGCTGGGCGTTGCAAGTCAAAATGATTGTCCACGTTTGCAGCAAACGTGCTGGGAAATTGTGAAAGCTGCTGTCGCCATTGAATAAGCCTTAGAGTGGGTGGAGCGTTGCGTTTCTTGGTGAACCCTCTACATCGAAGTGTTTGTGGAAATGGTTCCTTGACATTTTGGAAACGAAGCGTCAAATTATGTTCGTTGACCGGGGAAAGTGCAGGACGGTTTCCGAAAGGGTAAAACGTACTTGTCTCAGGGTTTTGTCCGTTAAGTCACTTTTAGTCGACGCTCGTAAACTGGGCTGTTCGCTGTTTGGGCACACCCTTCAAGTCTCATTGCGCTGGCAGGGGAGATTTAAATTTTTTAATTGGGTTTCAATACACTTCGTCTTTGTCATTGAGCAGCATACTTCTTCATTGCATGCTCATAAACGGAAGTTGAATTGTTTGTCTTATGTTAGTAATGGCTTCATGCCGGTGAGGATGTTAATGCTCGCTGTGTATTTGAGAAGTTGTTGTTGACTATAAACGCTTCCAACGTGTAATTAAAATGAAACCGCAGAACGTAAGGTGTCGTCCCCAGATAACAATAACAGTTGATGTGGCAGTCAGACACGCAATCAAATTGTTCAGTTCGTCAGGAACGATTTCGGTTTTTCAGATAGATACTGAATAAGGACAACAACATACTATGGTGATCAATTCATTGAAGTAACTTGACAGCGAGGTTCTGAAAATACTACTGTAATGCCTATGTAGTGTGTAATGGTAATGGCCTTGGCAGACTTCTTCAGTCTTGTAGATGCGAGAAAGTTAACTTTTTTTAGTGGCTTCAGCGCGTACCCACGACGACACTGACTTTTACTAGTGTAACATCAAACGTCGTAGAACTTGGGCGTTTATACAAGGCAAACAACTTTGACACACCAGTATCATTCCGACCCGACCGCTACGAAGGCGCCCGGGTCGGACACTTGCTGCTCTCTCTTCTAGAACATACTAGCGGCTTACCGCACTGACCTTCAGCCCGCTCCGCCGCACTCCATCTCGCTACACCTCGCTACTTCCTCTTCCTCCCACACGCTCCCTCCAAATTTCCACACACAACATGGCGATCATTTCTGTAACGATTAAAGCTGCCAATGACAAGAAATACAACATTGACATTGAAAACACGGCTACGGTGCGGGAGCTGAAGGAGGCGCTCGTCACACCCGCCGAGGTTCCGGTAGAACGGCAACGTCTCATTTATGCAGGACGCGTGTTGAAAGACGAGGAGACGTTGACATCTTATAAAATCCAAAACGGACACAGCATTCACTTGGTAAAATCTGCGGCGGCTGCACCAGCTCCAGCAGCACGCGAACAACAAATTCCTCGCAACATTCAAGCAGGCCAGGGTGCCAATGACCCTCTGGCTGCACTCACGAGTGCACGATTTGCAGGTTTTAATGTGCCGATGCCTTCAGCATCGATGTTTGGACCCAATCCCGAAAACGCTGTCCCCCCCTCTCCCGAGGAGCTGGCCAACATGCTTCAAAATCCAATGGTTCAGTCGTCCCTTAACGAAATGTTCTCCAACCCCCAAATGCTCGACATGATCATCAACAGCAGTCCACATTTGCGTAACGCTCCTCCTTATGTCCGTCAGATGATGCAGTCCCCTGAGTTTCGTCGTGCTATGACTGATCCCGACACCATTCGCCAAATGCTTCAGATGCAGCAACAGCTCAACCAAGCCGGCATCGACCCAGCCAGCTTGTTTGGCAACGGCGGTGGCTTTGGCATGCCCGGAATGGCCGGTCTCGGTGGATTGGGCGGTTTGGGTGCAGCACCAGCTGCTCCTGGTGCTGGAGCTGGTGCTACTAATGCTACTGGTGCCGCTTCAAATGCTACTGGCAGTCCTGCTGTTGACCCCCGGCAAGCCGCCAACTCACTGCAGTCCTTGCTCAGCAGTCTCAATTCGGCTGTTGGAGGCGGTCTTTCCCCTGCTGCTGCTGCTGCTGCTGCTGCCTCTCCTGCTCCCGTCGACAACCGGCCTCCAGAGGAGCGTTACGCTACTCAACTGAGCCAACTCAACGAAATGGGTTTTGTGGACTTTGAAAAAAATGTTCAAGCTCTTCGCCGAAGCGGCGGAAACGTCCAGGGTGCCATTGAGGCCCTTTTGAACGGATTGTAAAGGAGAGTGTGTGTGTACATCCCTACACTGACTCTTTGTTAACAAGGCAAATATTAGCTACTGCTTACCCCTTGTCTTTTTAAGATGAACAGACGACGCAGGCCAGAATCCTAGAGCAGTTCTGTGAGTGCCAGAGACGATCAACAGATCCCGGGTTTCCACACCTTTCCAACTACACACGGACATGCAAAACACTCCTATTACACACATATATACGCGCACGCATTCACGCTGCCATCATCCACGTAACCTAACGCACCTACGACTCATGCCCACATGGACAGCTCCTAGCTTTTCGTGCTTGCTCTTTTCTGTTTTTCCACTGCCTGCGGCCGTTTTGTTGGCCGCGCTGTTTGTAGACATAACGATCCCTCTCCAAAGTTTTTATACAATATGGTTTCACACGTGTACGTGTTTACAGACCCTCAAAGCGTATGACAGGCAAGTAGTATTTGTCGGCGTTCCAATAGCGACGTTTGGCGCCTTTCCACTCGTCGTCTTGGGAGGCAACATCCATAAGTTCGTACTCACACGTGAATCCGAACGAGACAAGGTCGATGGGGACGAGACGGTTGTAGACGTCGTAGAATGTCTGAGTGTCGGCACCAAGCCCATTGAAGAACGACAATGTTGACTCGGGTGCAGGCTCTAACAGACCGACAGCAGCATCGAAGAAGTTTCGCAGGTCTTCGTAACTCTCTGCGAATGCATCATAGTAAATGCCATCAAATGTGTACTTGGAAGCAATGTCCTCGACAGCGTCCTGCCACTTCATTTCGTAGACGACAACGTTGGGCTTGTCCATCCAACCAGTTTTACGCATATGAGCCAGCACGTCTGGGTGAGCCTCGCAGATAACGTGCAGGGAAGGCTCTCGTTCTTGCAAAAAGGTGTCAATGATACCCAGACCAAATCCAATGTTCAAAACTCGGCACCCGGGCTTGGGAGCAATGAGCTCGGCGGAACGTTGCATGATGTTCCGCTCCCAGGACATCATAACTGCATTGGCATCGCTGTCCAGAAGACTCTTACTATCAGTGGTCGGTTGGGTATAGGACAAGACACTGTTCAGGTAATTGGAATGAGTATCCAACTGCTCATTCACATGCTCCTTACGCTCCAAAAGTGCCAAGATCATCTCTGAACGGACACCGGCATCGAGAATCCGGTCATACAACTTTGCCAAATGTCTACGACGGGCAATGCAACCAGGCGACTCTCCAGCACGGTCAAGTGCATTCCAAACGCCGCCATGCGACAACAACCAGCTAACAATTTCAGCGGCACTGTCTTCGTTTTCCTTCTCAGCAACGTCGGCCACAAAGTGAAGGGCATTTCTTCCCGTTTCATAGTCAATGGCTGCTGTTACTGCACCGAGATCTACTAGCTTTTTTATTTCTTCCAGATTAAGGTTTTTTGCTGCTTCCAGCAAAGCCAAAGACTCTGGGCTTTCTTGAATACCTCCAGACTCCATACTCCCCGTACACTTTCTGGATATTCACCCGTCTGAACAGTTTTCCAAGTGGTTGGCAAAGGGCAAAATCCAAGATACGTTTCTTACGCTCTCATAAAGTTACGCAAATTTACAATGAAACCGCGCTGCGACAGTCATCCATATCAACGGATGAATTCCAAACATGTTTTTATCCATATTGCTGCCATTTTGTTTTTCTTTTGTATGCTTTTTTTCAAATAAGGTTTAGCGGTCACATGTCTATAAGCTTTCACGTGCTTTTATGGTTGCACCCTGTGTCTGTGCAAAAGTCCCTTCACGGCCTCGCGAATCCATCCTCTCACGCACTCGTCTTTGCACTCTCGATACCTACTCATTCGCTATGTCTACTGTTCGTCAGCTTACAATTAAGACCAACGTTGTCAAACGTATTCTTTCAGATGTCCGCGTATGAGCCAATACACTCTTTCCGACCAGCAGCTACTAACCCAGCTTCGTGCAGATTATCCGTCTCGACATTGAGGATGCCAAAAAACGCGTAGAAAAACGTGTTCAAGACGGTGATGAGGAAGCAGCAATTGAGCACCAAGTATGGTCTTAATGATTCGTCGTTTATGTCTAACACGGTTTGTAGAAAGTCGTCTTGAAGCATCATGAACGCGCTCTTCCCGACGCGTTTCAGCGTCTTAGCAAAGCTGTTGACGACCTGCAATTGTTTATGAAGGATCCTGCTTTCGAAGATACCCCAGAGCTGTCTGCCGCCCAGGAGATGCTTCAAAAGGCCCGTGAAACTCTCAACACTCAAGACGCTTAATTATACTGGCTGCCTGTCAATTTCGTTGGACTATGTTAGGTTTTGTTAAAGTTTGTGTCAAATTGTTAAGAGTCGTTAAATGAAGATAACGTGTGCTAAAACCGCGCTGCGATGCACTATTCTGTGATACGGAACAGCAACGTGTGGCAACGCGGGTTCAGCGCTGCGACACATAGAACGAGCAAGACAGGTGTACAAGTCTCGTAAACACCGCACACAGGGCAAATTCAGAACGTCTGCGTGCAATGACTGATGTGAGTACTCGGGAAGACTCTGTTCAAGCACCTGATGCGCAGCTACCGCGCGAAGAAACTCGCGAAACGGAAGAAGCAATGGAGAAGTCGGTAGACGAGCTGGGTGCTGACGAAACTGGATTGAGTACGGAAAATGAATTAATGGAAACTGCGGGAGACAGTGATTTTGATGACACATTTGACGATTTTGGCGCGTTCGAGACCCAACTACCAGTCTGCACGTTCGAGAATGACTGGGAAGCCGATTTAGACGTTGGCTTGGATACGATATTTGGCGCTCCTACAGCTTTGAAAGAAATTGACGCCTCGTGTCTGATTCACGACCGTATTGCTTCTCTCTGGGGCAAGTTAATTGAGATGCCTGTGTTACAGCGCCCTGACTGGGCCCATTCAAACATCCGGCGACTCTTCCTCATTAACATGGGCCTTCCTGTCAATTTGGACGAGCTTATACCCGCTTCACACAAAACATCCCGTCAACGACCGGGTGTTGTTCGACTCTCTACGGTACAGCCAACGCCGCTTGAGAACGAGCCCGTTCTCGACTTGGTCCAAGCACGTAGACTGTGCGCTGTAACGCCCGAAGCGCTCGCTAACCGTTCTCTCGAGGCTTTGAAACAACACATGGCCATTCTGGAAGAAACGCTCACAACTGCCGAGTCTTTAGCCCAGTTTTGGATTGACAAAAAGGATTCCGCCGTCAATGAAAAACAATTATATGAGGCTGTCGTGGATGACCTTGTTCATCACAGTAAACGCCAACGAAGCATAGATCGGTAAACGGGTAACCCCTGTGCATGTTTATGAGTGTGATTCGGACAAACGTTAGGAATTGGTTCTTTTTTTTTTCCTAGTCACACGCACATTCTGCATACGAATACGCAAGCATTCTGCATGATATCTACTCCTTAAGGATTGCTACTCATACGGTGACGGTCCTGATATGCCAGCGAAACAAGCAAGACTCCCGTAGCTTTCTTGGCTTTCCCCGGTTCATCGACTTCTGTGCGGAAGTTTGTGAACGCCGAAGGAGAAGCTTGTTTCTGAATGTAGAACATGCATTCTTTTCCTTTTCCCTCTCATTCGTTTTCCCATCCCTCTTGACCACAGGTTTTTGTTTTTTTTTTTTGTTTCATTCTCTCGGAAGGACATCATCTACAAAAATCCAACCTCGCGAAAAATCACAGGCATTACAGTCGACCCCTTAGTTGGTAGATTGTTATTGCTCTATGAACGGCTTACTCTCGTTTTATCGTTTTTTAAATTACAAAAAAAAAAACACAATTTGTTATTTGTTCGTATTCGTTGTTGGCTACGATTTCCCTTATCCCCTGCTTCTTACTGGTGCAGTCGTGGACATTTGTAATGGTTTCCTTTACAAAGTGATTTTTGCTCGGTTGTGTACACCAAGCACACACTTACCAACAGAAATGGCTTCCAAACTTTCTTCTGTGATAATCCCCTCAGTGCAAAAGCACACGGCTACTGTTATTTTTCTCCATGGTACGTCAGGTGGAGCAGCCAAAAAAACTACACTTGATACGTGGGTTTAGAGCGACAGTTGCTGATCAAAATAGGGCTCGGCGACAGTGGACAGGGATGGTCCTTTTTGGCTCAAGAATGGTCCCATTTGAAACACATTAAATGGATCTTCCCCAATGCGTAAGTTTCCCGGCTGTTTACCACTATTTCTGCTAATCCTGCAGCCCACTTGCCCCCGTTACGGTAAATGGAGGAATGTGCATGCCTTCTTGGTAAGTAGTCATTTCTAAGCGAAAGTGAACCATACTCCTGCTTTTCCTTTTGATATTCTTCACTCTTATATCCTTGTCTAACATTGTGGAGGTATGACATTTATTCCTTTACTGCACTGGATAAGGAAGACGAGGAAGGAATGATGCGCTCTCGTAATTACGTTCAAGGACTTATTGAGGCTGAAATGAAGGATGGCATTCCGAGCGAGCGTATACTGCTGGGTGGATTCTCCCAAGGTATGTTTTATTATCGGTTGCATCCTTCAATCGCTGTAACGCTTTTTGTGGCGCTTCTGGTGCTTTATGGCAACGACTTGTTAACCCTTTTACGCGTCAATAGGCTGTATGATTTCGTTCCTTGCTGGATTGACTTTTCCTAAAACATTGGCCGGTCTTGCTTGTCTTTCGGGCTTTTTGCCAATTCCAGAGACGCTGAAACGTTTATTCAGAGACGAAGCAAAGAAGACTCCTATATTCCTTGCCTACCAGTCCTATGACCCTGTAATTCCCTCTGCTCTCAGTGCCGCAGCCGCGAAGACTCTTGACTCTTCCTTTGGCTGTAACGTTTCCAGCAAATGCTATGATGGTTTTGAGCATGGTTTAACCCCACTTTCCTTCAAAGACCTCGGAACGTTTGTCGAAACCGTAATCGGTAAACCTTAACCAAATTCTCCGTATCTATCGAGACAAGCTTACAATTCCCTAACTCAATCCACTGAAAAATAATATTAATTTTCCCCAACCTTTCCATAAACACTGACGATACACCTTCCTTTGCGGTCTGCTTCACTAAATATCTATAGCGTAATTTAATGAAACTCAACACAAACACTCACACCTCTTTCTTCGCTACATACCGACGGACATGTATTACGTCACGCGCTAAACGCAATTTCCATCGCGAAAGGGCGTGTAAGGAAAAGTGCAATGGGCGCGTCTTCGAATTGGCAAAATAACAAAAGCATATAGTTCGTTAATTTAATGCCAAAATAGAACACGGATTCTGTAAATGGAAGTTCGAGTTTTTGCGACGCGTGTTTCACGATCCCAACTTTTGGGATCAGCAGTATATAAAGAACTCGTTGAGCCTACGATTCTGTGTATAACATATCAGGACACCTGTCATTCAACAGATTAATTGCTGTACATATATACATAAAGCGTGTCTTTGAATTGTTTCAAAGATGGAAAGCACAATGACCGAAGTTGAGTATGATGAAGGAGAGGAACAACTTTCCTTCAGTGATATTGAGGAATTAACGGCTCAGGGTATGCTAGATACACATATCTATAATGAAAAGAAAAGTACTAACTTTTCTTCGAAGGCATTGGTATGACAGACATTATCCGTCTGAAACAAGCAGGCATCTGTACTGTCCAAGGTGTACAGATGTCGACAAAGCGATTTCTCTTAAAGATTAAAGGCTTCAGTGAAGCTAAAGTTGATAAGCTAAAAGAAGCCGCCAGCAAGCTTTGTCCTGCAAACTTTGCAACAGCAATGGAGATCAGTCAAAGCAGGAAACGCGTGTGGAGCATTTCAACCGGTTCAAAAGCATTCGACGCCATGCTAGGAGGTGGTGTTCAATCGATGAGCATCACCGAAGTATTTGGTGAATTTCGATGCGGTAAAACGCAAATGAGTCATACACTTTGTGTTACGGCACAACTGCCAAGAGAGATGGGCGGTGCCGAAGGAAAGGTGGCCTTTATTGACACAGAAGGCACATTTCGACCTGATCGTATCCGCGCAATTGCAGAACGATTTGGTGTGGATGCTGACCAAGCAATGGAAAATATAATTGTAAGTCGGGCTTACAATTCAGAACAACAAATGGACTACATCACAAAACTTGCAACTATTTTTGCCGAAGACGGCAGATACAGACTGCTCATTGTTGACTCCATTATGGCACTCTTTCGAGTCGATTTCTCAGGACGAGGAGAATTGTCAGAGCGGCAACAAAAGCTCAATATCATGCTAGCGCGATTGAATCATATTTCCGAAGAGTTCAATGTTGCTGTCTTCGTAACCAATCAAGTCCAAGCGGACCCCGGTGCTGCATTGATGTTTGCGTCCAACGACCGTAAACCCGTCGGTGGTCATGTTATGGCACATGCCAGTGCGACACGAATCCTACTAAGAAAAGGTCGAGGGGAAGAACGTGTCGCCAAATTAAACGACTCGCCCGACATGCCAGAAGCCGAATGCAGTTATGTGATCACTTCTGGCGGAATTGCCGATGCTAGCTAAGTCGCGCATAAAAAAAAAAGCACATATGTTGGATACTACGAGAAGTTCAAGCCCACGGTTTTTGTGCTTCCACTTGTCGGCACCCCCCACATATACAGCTGCTGCATTGAATATTTTGTGTTATCTTTCGGCCACATAATTGCCATCTAAGGAAAAACTAAATAGGAAATCTTTTGTTAGGCAGTCTCAGAAAAGAATGATCACGGGCTCGTTAACACTACACGGACTCGGTGCCAGGGTTCAGAACGATCCATGTGCAAAAGATGCTTCGCTACCAATGATTACTTGTCGGCTTGAGTGTATCGCAGGGCGCATCATCATCCGCCCGACAGCCCCGTCTGTAGCGGACCAGATGTCCTCTGGTGCTTCGAAAAGCACGAGGGGCTTTACTTACACCACCTGGGGTATAGCGCGGTACTTCGTGGCTGCGCTAGCATCCAAAAGAACAGTCCCGGCAGCACACTCTCACACTTGTAAAGTGCCAACCACACACTCTCAGTATACAACTTTATTCTAAATGTCTACGACCAGTCGCGAAGATGCCGTTTACTTGGCCAAGCTTGCTGAGCAAGCTGAGCGTTACGAGGGTAAGTTTTTCAGCGGGAAATGATGTTTTCTTTGTGCATTGGCAAAGAAATGCTTAGGACTGCAACGGCAGTCGTTCCTGTGAAATCTCGTATGATTGTATTAACAACAAAATAAAGGTATGGTGGAAAGCATGAAGAGTGTTGCCTCCATGGACCAAGAGTTGACGGTTGAGGAGCGCAATTTGCTCTCCGTTGCCTACAAAAACGTCATTGGTGCTCGCCGGGCCTCTTGGCGCATCGTCTCTTCCATTGAGCAAAAGGAAGAGAGCAAGGGCAATGCTACCCAGGTAGAGCTTATCAAGGAGTACAGAAGTAAGATTGAGAACGAGTTGGACACGATTTGCCATGACATCCTTGACGTTTTGGAGAAGCACTTGATCCCCAACGCTGCTTCCGCCGAGTCCAAGGTGTTTTATTACAAAATGAAGGGTGACTATTACCGTTACCTTGCCGAGTTCTCCACCAGCGAAAAACGTCAACAAGCTGCTGACGAGTCTCTCGCTGGCTACAAGGTTGCATCTGAGATCGCTTTGGCTGAGCTTGCACCCACTCATCCTATCCGTTTGGGTCTTGCACTCAACTTCTCTGTGTTCTACTACGAAATCCTCAACTCTCCTGACCGTGCCTGTCACTTGGCTAAGCAAGCCTTTGACGAGGCTATTTCCGAGCTTGACAGTTTGTCGGAAGAGTCCTACAAGGATTCCACTCTCATTATGCAATTGCTTCGCGACAATTTGACGTTGTGGACGTCAGATGCCGAGTACAATGCTCCTGCCGCTGCTGCCGCCCCTGCTAACGAACCCTACCAACAAGGTGCCGCTGCTGCTCCTGCCGAGGCTACCGAGCAAGAGCCTGCTGCTGCTGCCCCCACCAATGCCTAGACTGCATACAAAGAAAGAAATATTCTAACCTTCATTATCCCACATCCGTTGGATTGTTTCTCTTGTACTTGATCGGTCTAATGGCTCTCACCCTGTGACCCAATGTTTCTATTCCATCTTTTATTCTTTCTAGTTGAGTTTACATTACGTCCCTCGACCGATACGAGGAAGCGCGACGGCAATTCATGGTAACGCATCACCACCACCTATCACAACTTTACATAGCATCCGTACCAAAGATGGCGGCTAAACGATGTCTAAGAATGGTAACGCGGTGGTGGTCTTGTGATCGCTTATGTCGATACGCGCTTTGATGCGATCCGGCAACCCTCCGCCACTTGTTCTGCGAGGCGGGGTGCTGTCGATCGGGGGTCGTCCGGAGTAGTAGTAGTTTTCATCATCACATGCATGGCCGTAACGAAACGAGTGGGATGATAGTTACTGTATGCGAGTGATGGAGGTCCTTCGGTGCACTGTTCGCTATGGGTGTACCGACAGATCCGCAAGGGTTCGTCATAGGGGCATTACGAATGTGTTTACGAAAAATATCCTTTGCACCAATGACACCAGCCCATAGGATCGCGGTGATGTGACAGAGGAGGAGAAGAAATAGTGATATTTTATGAGAAACAGCGAAATTTAACGAGCGTGATCGAGCTACAGAAAACTCTCGAATTACACCGCATCTGTACAGATCTGTGTGTGCGAGAGCGTTTGAGTGGCATGCACGAGATACTCTCATTTGCGTTTGGAGGAAAATCCAACTTCGTGTCGACACATTTTTGGAATGCTCAAGAGAAGTATCTTGACCAAGGCAATGATGCTCAGATCGATAGAGAGGTAGCTTTCTTCGAACGTAAAACAAACAATATTGGAGGTGATGTTGTCTTTCATCCCCGCACGCTCATATACGATGACAGAGATGCTTTTGGCACGACGATTAAAAACTCTAAGCTTTTACAACCAGATATAGTCGAAAACAACAACAACATTGACATATTCGGATACGCAAAGAACGACAACAGAAAGACAGGTGAAGGCCCTGAGGACGTCAACACCTGGTCAGGAAAAACAGTCTGCGTTGAAGCTCCTCCACTTCCATTGCACCCATATCAAGCTTGGCTAGACCAAGAAACAGACCCAGCGCAGGCGAACAATGGCATTACCAACAAAGCCGACATTGATTTGAACGCTTGTACAAGTTGGTCTGATTTTCACAGGCTGTACTATGACCCACGGTCTTTACAACCACTCAAGCTGCCAACAGGGTTTGCCGATTGTTCAACAAACTCCTTCATCACGGGACAGGACGCGTTTCAACAAAAGAATGCCGATAGTGACGAACATTATGTTTGGGATACGGCCATTCGTCCATTGCTTGAGGATTGCGATATGATCCAAGGTTTTCAACTGTCATTGGATGTGTGCTCCGCTTGGTCTGGCTATGCTTCCTCCTACATACGTGGTATCCAGGATGAACTGGAGGATGAGCGAATTCCATTGTGGATATTTGGAATTCGTGAACAGCGTACTGTTATGCAAGAAACGAAGCAGCACTTTATGAATGAAGCTTTGTTCATGGCAAGCACGGCAGACGCATATTCAAAATATGTACCAATTTGTGTAGATACAACGGCCCAAAGTATATGGCACACGTCTGCTTTTGCCAGTGTTGCACTAGAGACATTTACCCTTCCAACCCGTTTAACACGAGAAAAAAGAGTGCAGATGAGTGACATTGAGAGGGTCGTTTCTCTTACCCGATCTTCCAAACTATTCGGAATGGATGCAATTGTGCTAGGTACGAAGAAGGCTTCTATAATCCAGAGATGGGACGTCTCATGGGGTTCGGGTACCGCACTACCGAATACACTGGCTCCTGTGTATCAATGCTTCCGTGGAACGAACATGGAAGAAGTTAACAGTTTGCTTGCACCAAAATCAATGCCTTCGGGACCTTCGCTGCAACTTGACAAACCAGCGTTTCCTGCAGATGTAAATACGCTTCCTGAAGAGCTGAAAAAGGTTCACGGTGTCGCTGTGTCCACCAGCGGAGGACCCATCGGCTACGACAGTGACACCGAAGAGACATTCAACTCTAATTCGAATTCTTTTCTCGAAAAAGATCACCGTGGAGCAATGTACGTGAAACAGCTCAAAGCATCACTTCCACCAGTGCATCCGTCGTTTGATCACGATGAAGTACTGGAGTTGCGAGAAACGTTGGAAGGCATGTAAATGACAATATCAACCAACTTGGCAACGAATAAACAAAATTCCCTTATGTGATAGAAAATGCAGAAGCTTTTCAGTAAAATGATTGTAGATAAAAAGTTAATTTTACCGCAACACGGCGGGACGTTCCATTACAAAAATATCGGGTGTTTTTTTTTTCACCAAAATATCGTTCTTCGTACCTCTTTTTGTCTGCAAGAGTAAAAAATTCCGCCATTTTGAATTCTATAATGAAGCAAGCTTGCTTACTCTTCTTGAATCAAACTTTTGATCATGCAGTAAAGAAGAACGAAGAAAAGAATAAGGTAGTGGGCAATCTTTACAAAGGTGTCACGCTTGTAACGGTTCAATTGCCGGAAAATTTCGGTAGCATCAAGAATATGAGTCTTGTTAATTACACTTCGTACATTCCAAATGAGTAAAGGAAGGTTCAAAATAGTAAGCATCCATTGGCCTGTGAGTGCAAAAAGGATAGTCATAGTAGAATGACTCATGAGTTCGGGAGCAACCAAACGATTCAGTTTATTGCACAAATCGATGGGGTTGATGTAATCCATTTCAAGATCCTTTTAAATGGCGTTAGTAAACGATTGAGAGGGTGTGAACATGAACACGGGAGCTTTTCTCTTAAGCAAGCAATTGTTCTTTCAAAGGACATACACTAAACATGATGATGAAGAAGATTTGAATGAGCAGGTTAGCACCATTCAGCCTACGGCGGATTGTTAGAAGAACGTTGACGAGTGGATTTCCACATACAAGATGCCCAAAATGAGGACCAGCGATGCAAACGACATGTTGGCTTTAGGTAAGATTAAGCTCGCTAGCGAATAAAGCTTAATGTAAGTTTCATGGAGCACCCATAAACTCACCACCAAAAACGGGTCCACACATTAAATACGAAGAAAAGCAATTGAAGGAAAGGCTATCTGGAGTGTGTGACAGACTTTTCTTTGAATTAGGTTTTTATTAACGTGGCTTTTCGAAATATTGAGTCACGGTTAATTCTACAAAATTGTATGCCTGGATATCAAACTTCGTCTAGTTCAAAGAACCGTTAAGGATGGTTTGAGCCTTGCAGAAACCAAGTTCCTTCTTACCCTTAACGAAGAGCTTGTGGAGACCAGCCTCGTCATTGTAACCACAGACCAAGTCGTTACCACTAGTGAAGTGAGGTTGAACAGCTTCGAAGATTTTCTTTTTAGGGTTCAATTGCTTCTCAGGCTCACGGTCCTCGAAACCTTCGAACACAAGACGGTCGCCAGCCTCAGCACCCTCAGGAGGCAAGACAAACTCAACCTTAGAGTGGTCTGGTGTAGAGGCGCACAAGACCATGGCTTGAGACTTGACACTACGCATGTTGACGGGCTTAAGATTGGCAACAACAACCACCTTGCGTTGTTGCATTTCCTCCAAAGGAACATATCTAACCAAACCACTGCAAACGGTACGGGGTCCCTCGGCATCACCGCAGTGAATGGTGGAGACGTACAAACTGTCAGCGTTAGGATGCTTGATAGCCTTCTCAATGAATCCAACACGGAGGTCAATCATAGAGGGAACAGGGGGCTCAGGAGCAGCAGCCTCCTTTGGCTTTTTGGGTTCCTTGGCCTTCTTCTCCTTCTTTTCCTTCTTCTTGTTTGCCTTGTTTTCACCATTCTTGGCACCACCTTCACTCTGAGGTTTCTTCTCCTTCTTCTCCTTCTTCTCCTTCTTTTCACCAGCCTTACCAGCAGCAGCAGGCTCCTTGGCACCCTTCTTGTCCTTCTTGTCCTTCTTGACAATGGCGGGGCGTTGAATCTTGGGAGCGTTCAAGTCAATTTCCACAGTGTCGAGGCCAACAGCGGTGGCTGCGGCGACAACGGACTCTTGATGTTGAATAAAGTCAAACCATCTGCAGACGTTGTTCAACTTGTAACCCTCCTTGGCCGACAGACTGGCAACGGTTTCGTGAAGACGGGCATACAACAGCAAGTCAGCAAGAGTGAAATCAACATCTTGACCAACAAAAGTTGTGGAGCGAACAAGCTCGTTAACTTGCTCCAGAAGATCATGGGACTCGACGATGGGAGAGAAGACCTTGGTAGTCCACTCAAGGATTTGGGCTTTTTCAAATTCGTTGGAACCCAACAAAGCAGCATTCGTTTCGGAAGCTGCTTGCAAAACATGAGAAACTGGAAGCTCCAAAACTTCCTCAGGGACGTCCTGAGAACCCTTCAAGTATTGGGAAATGAATTTCAACGCTGTTGCCATTTGTATGTGTTGGTGAAGGTTAGGATGTGAGGAATTGTTGTAAGCAGTGGTCACTCTGAACGAAAAAAATTCAAGAATGATAAGGCTTGAATTAAAAGATAAAGCGGTATATGAAGACGGGAACTGCAAGGGTTTTGTGGGAGTGCATTTTGAAGGAAATGGGCGTCTAGACCAAGAATCAGTTGTATAGTTATGTTTCAGTTATCAGGAGGCTGTGCGAGTGTACATATGATCCGAGTGTTAAATGCAACGAGTAACTGAACACTTTCCTTCAGATGCCTCTTCGTTGCTGGTCTCATGGAAGCAAATAGTACTTTTTGTAATCCGTGTCCTTTATTAAATAATAATAAAAATAAAAAAGAAAAAAAGAAAAAAGCTCACCGGCAATAAATGAAACAGATCATGTCATTCGTTTTCCTTTCATATAACTCAAGCGCTTTCGATCCGTTCTACTTCTGTTCTGTTTATTCTTCTTATAGTAGTTTCTAACGACAAACCTTAATAACTTTAACACTAATAAACTTATCTTTGATAACCACCATTTTTCACACTCCTTCGTAAAACAGAAGAAAGGGATAGTAAATGGTATATACGTATCTGTGCACGAAAGTTGTAACCCTGCTGCTTTTTTGCATTGTCTAAAAACGGGATCTTTTTCCCGTTCTTTTTCTTTATTTATTTCTCCGACAGTAGCATCCATCACTAAACAAGGTCTCAACATCCAGTAGTTCTTTGGAACGAAGCTGCCTCAGTGTTTCTTCAACGAATAAGAAGAATGAGCAATGGACTTCTCAAGCAAGCATTTCGTGAGCGAGGAATTTATTTGAATGAAGCATGGGTCCAAGCAGTTGTTCGTCATAGAGCAGCTCAAGGACAATCAATGCAGCCACAGATGAATGATGTTATGCCTTTTTTTCTAGCCTCAGACATACGTGCTTCAACAACAAATGAGGGTGCGGCTTCTGTGTCTGTTGCGGATGAACATGGTAAAACACTTACTGGTTTCACACTTGTTCAAGTTGTGCGCGTTGAAGAAATAGGAAAGAGTATAATCTCTCAAATTGAGTACCTGAACCAATGGGAAGAGCGGAAACGTTTAAAAGGACAACAGATCATTCGTCTAGTTCATGAGGGAAACGAGGAAGAAGACAAAGACACCACTGATTTAGATGACAGCGGTGTTGGTGAAGCCCAAGATGCGCTGAAGGGCGCAAAAGAGTTTAAGTCTATTTGTAAGGTCATTCTTGAAGATGCCCAAGGGCAGCGGTTCTATGGACTGGAAATAAAACCAGTACATGGCATCTGGCTCGGGATGGCTTTAGGAACAAAAATGCTTATTACGAATGCTCGCATTCATCGAGGTGTTTGTCTTCTCACACCCGCATCTACGAGAATTCTTGGAGGTGAGATTGCACTGTGGAATAATGATTATTTCCCAACAAAGTTACGCGAAGAGCTCAAGGCCAAACTTCAAACTTCACATAAGTAATGTCCTTAAAAATTACATTCTAAAATTACAGTACAGCTTCTACACCGCCTTTTCTTTCATTTGAGAAAACGCAGGTAATAACAGTGTTCGACGATGGTCTTTCAAACTCGATACCTTGCGTTTCCTAAGCTCAAGCGCAGCTCTATAGTTTTTAAGACCAAGCTCGCACATACCAACGTGCTCCAAGTCGCTCTGGGAAATCCAATAAAACTCTTTTTGCACTTGAAGTTTCTGGTCGGCGAGAACATAAAACACATGGCTCGTTTTATGGATGTGAGTGAATATATGCGTTGATCGACCGCACGATTGATACTTTTTTATATACTGACGATTTTCCGAAGATATCCAACTTGAAAGTGCATTGTCAAATGCAAGTTGCATATCTTTTGGCCAAGGATCTTCGCCAATTTCAACTGTAGGAAGGTCCCACAAGCCAGCTAGTAGTCCGCCTGTTGGGCGTTTACGTATAAGGAAATATTTCTCGTCCGTTTCTGAGTTTTGACTCTGAAACACCACAACAATGGCTCTCTCTATTCGTTGCTTCACTTTTGGCGGCCGCAGTGGATAACGAGATTGAATCCAAATTTCTGCACTTGTATAGGGCGGATCCGGTTCACACAGTGAGCATATCTCACATGTATTTTTACTAATGCTCTGGTGTGATTGACAAATGATGTCTTCAACGTCTCGTACACTATTATCCGTTTGCTCAATTGCTATCTTTTCTTGGTAAGCTTTACAAATATTAGAAACGGGGCAACCGGGACAGTTAAATGTTTGTGGTGTGCAAGTGACAGCACCTAATTCCATTAGCGCTTGATTAAAATTGCCTGGAAAGTTCGGATCTACTAACAAGTTTGCCATTTGCCTAATATCATACATTAGCTGTGGGTGTTCAATAGCACCACGCGTCTTACGTACCAAACGAAAGCATTAGGTTTGCCTTTCGTAACGTTACAATGCAAGGCGAGCAACCGACTTAAAACCCTCTGAACATTACCATCCACAACTCCCGTAGGGATTCCCCAAGCGATACTTAGGACCGCCCCAGCAGTGTAAGGACCTACACCAGGGACATTTTTAGCCAGTCGTTCTGGAGACGTTGGAATCTCCTCGGCTGGTAGTACTGCTAAGTATTTACAGGCACTGTGAAGTCGTTTGCATCTGCCGTAAAATCCCATCCCGGACCATAGAGGCATTACCTCAGTATCGTAGTCTGCTTGGGCACAGTGAAGAATGGTAGGGAGAGTTTTCATCCATTTGTCGTAGTATCGTTTTACTGTCTCCACACGAGTTTGTTGCAGCATGATTTCCGAGACTAGCACCTCATAGAATCTTTGCACAGCTAATTTTTTACGGTCATCTGGGTCATCTTTCTGAGGAGGTTTATATGGGTCCTTACGCCAAGGGAGGTTCCTTTTCGTATTCTCGTAAAAATCTAACAATTGTTTACGGAAGGACTTGACTTCCGCATCAGACAACAAGTGATAACAGTTGTTATGCATGTAACTATACTGATGAGATTGTTTTACGTTTAGTCTCGTATACTACAGACTCTATGACCGAGTAATTAGACCACAACTATTGGCGGTAGTAAATTTTGTTCCATCCATATTCACACCTATGAACGTCACCGTACCAATAATAATTCAGAAATGGAGAGGATCTATTTAATGAAATTTTAAAACATAACATAAAAAGAGAAATAGGCTAAATCACTAGCAGCTTCACTTGAAGCATTAGGTGTCATTTGATAAATAGAAACGAAAAAAAAAAAGAGTGCTTCAAACCAACACGAGACTCTGTGCCCGCAACTCAGTGCAAAGGCACCATGATCTTTGTAAACGAGAGTTAAACTTCCTTCTTGCTAGCCGTCAACAGCATGCAAAACAACGATGTGTTATAATGCTTAATTGATCCCCGTTCCTGCATTTGTGAGGTCAAATTATAATTGATTAGGCCATAACAAGGCAGGAAAGAAGAAGAACTGCACCAACCACACCAAAACGGAAGCCATAAGAAACTGCACCGCTACCAGTAGCGGTGGTATGAGTAGTAGCAGTTAAAGGAGAAGTGTACGTAGTGTGAACAGCAGAAGTGGTGACACCAACTTGCGAAGTAGCAGTCGCTTCGGGCTCACCAGATCCACTAGAGAGGACATCCACCGAGCTAACATAAGTATGAGAAGCATAGGTGGTGCTGAACGTGGTCGAAACAATAGAGCTAACAGCACTTGCAATATCAATAACGTTGGAAGAGGTTGAGTTTTGAATGGAAGCAAGACCAATCAATTGAGCATCCCAGTCATAGACAGTGTATACTTGTCTCAAGAAGTATTGACCCAAGATGTAAGTGTCCGTTGTGGGAATGAAGGCAAGGTAGCAGATACCTTGGCCCTGGGAGTTGTCACGGTAGAACACCATGTCGTTAACGGAAATGTTAAAGGAGGCGTTATTGTTGAATTGGAAAGTGATCGTGTCTTCATCACTAATGGAATCACACAACACATAGGCGTAAGAACTTGTGTCAAGAATGCCTCCATAGGCATTAACGATAGCCTCCAAAGCATCGGAAGGAATGTACACAAGAGTAGTGCCACTATCGAGAATGATAATGTCATTGATGGAGACGGAAGTGGAGATGGTGTTGCGCTTCTGGAAGTTGCTAAGAGCACTGTTCGAAGTTGTAGAAGTAGTGTTCGCAGTGTTGATGGACATAGAGGCGATTTTGACTCCGTAATAAGAGTTACTGCCACTGTTCGAAATGCTCAACCAGTGCATATCACCGGTGTACTTATCGGTGTCATAACCACCGATAACGAGCTCACCGCCAGCGGAGTCCAAAGAAAGACTGAAAGCAGTGGAAGTAACAATTCCGGCAGTCTTCAGTTGCTCCAAGAGAGTCGGAGCAGCAAAGTCCACCAAGCGGTTAGTATCGCTAATACCATAGATAGAGATGGGGGGAGACAGACCGAGGATACCTCCGGTGACGGGGACGTCCTCGCTAACAAATTCACGTGTACCAAGGCCGAACTCAAAGTTGTTTAAACTGAGTCCTCCAATGTCAAGCTCATCGACAACATTGAAACCGACAACGGTAGTGTTGTCACCGTATGTGCTGAGGAAACCAACCACGCTTGAGTTTGTAACCTCAAGCGTGGTACTGGTGTAGTTGTAGCATTGATATGTACCGCAAACACCTTCACGAAGAGCGGACGTGTTCAACCCATCAGTGTACGACAAACCAACCTCACTAGTATTAAAGCTAGTGACGTTAGAAGCAGTGATCCATGTGTAAGGACTACCAGTATCCATAACCAAGGAATACTGCTTAGAAGGGTTACCGATCGTAAGATTGGTAAAGTAACTTCCACTTCTGTCAAAAGTAGAATTAATTACTGGAAACTGTTCTGCACGTTTTCTGTTGCTGACATCGAGAACGAACTCGGGATCCTCCTCGGCACGGCCCAGAGAAAACGAAACTACAGGCTTGCCATTAACACGCTTGTAGACGGGACCTGCATTAACATATGCAGCCCCGAGAATACTTCCAAGTACTAATCCTAATAAAGAATGCATATTTCGCTGTTCAGAAGGGCACAATTTGGCTCGTACCGAAGCAACGAAAAGGAAAGTGTTGGGAGATGGAAGGTGAGTGGGAGCAGGACAGCCGTCATTTGTACTACTATGGTGTCTTGCGTCATAGGTAGTTTATTGCGCATTTTCGATCGCTTCACGTCATGGTTAGCCAACTTGGAACGAAGAAGACCCGAATTAAGCTTTTATTACAACGCGCTACGCGATGCGGTGGGCTTTTAATGGTCGGAAAATAGTAGAGTAGACGTGATATGAATTAGTATATGTTATCGTTACGGAGAAGTAATATAGTATATTATAGCTAGTTCTGAGGACTTAGCAGTATGTTCTTTCGGTGATTTTTTTGATATCAACAATTCTTGGGGATAAGGACGCGAAGGAACAAAAGAGATAGCTCTTGAACGAAAGCAATTGTACTGATGTTTCATTGTTTAAAAGAACAGACGATACTCCTTAATCATTGTCACGGCGAAAGGGATGGATGTATTGTGAATTATCTGTATAGGGGTACGACAGAGTGAATATTGAGTACTTTTCGCCCTCGGCTTCGAACATTGCCGACCATTAGTGCATTTTAGAATGAACAAGCCGCTTGATGGAGCACTGAGGGAATAAACCGAGCAGTGGTTACTCGTAGTTCCCGCTAGCGCTCAAGTGTGTATTTCGTGGGTTTCCTATTTCGCTTCGGCGAAAGAGGAAATCCACGAATCCTGTAGCGTTTATGTGGGTCGTTAGCAAGATCATAATTGCAAGTTCTTCATCTGTACTTTACTTTCTTAAGAAGTTCGGTTAGTAACTTAAGCCGTATAAAGAGAAGTAGAGCATTGTCAGTATATACAATAGCATTTGGTAATGTGCGACATCTATTTTTTTAGTAAAGCACGTTCGTACACATTGAACGTATTTATAGAGGCTATTCTTTACCCTAAAAAATTAACCGTCTTATTTACGAATTACATTCTTAGTTGTAATATGTCTAGACACATTTGATTTGCAGCTTCAATGTTTATAGATTTTCATCAAATAAATAAAATTACTTAAAAAATAAAAAATAAAAAATAGATAAATTGTCAAGGAGTCCAAGGAGTGCCGTTTGTTTGAGAACGCCGCGTATTAAGTACAAGTCTTACAGCTATAAATGTTTTAATTCGTAATTGATATGTGTGATATTCCATTTTTTAATGAATTGACTGTTTACACCAGTCCTGATGGTAATAGAACTTTGGCTTACTGTATTGGTAAAACAATATTACTGAACACTGCAATCCCCATTTCCGGTTACCCATCGCCATTTGTTTCCAAAACTTAAACATAGTATTACAAATCGAGTACATACTACTGGACTTCTTGTCACAGCATACTAGTTTCTTGCCGATGTAACTATTCTGCGCACCGCTTTCATTCATATCGGGACATAATAAGGCATTTAAAATAAATCAACTGGTGCCCAGTTTCCATCTAACTAGCATAACTGTAGAAATAAACCGAATGAATAATTAAGAGAACCACGATAAATCCATAAAGTATTGTCACAAGAGGAGACAACATTCACAATCGGTTTCTTACTGCTGTATAAGCTCCCGTATGTAAATATAACACTCATTCAACAATTACAAAAATCCTCTCGCAAAAGAAATCTCACTTCCAGGGCAGTTTAGACACAAGTATAGATCCCTGCACTCTTGTTATATTTCGTTAATATTTACAATACAACAAACAAACGCAAAGTTTATCAAAGAAAACGAAAAACAGTAGAGTAGATGGCTACACGACGGCACGGGAAGTGATTTAGAGAAAGAGAAAAAAATGAAATAGCGGAAAGAAACCCGATGTAATGCAAAATTCAAGTGAGAGATGAAGAACGAATACATGCCAAAAAATGGACACCAAACCGTGTTTGTTAACAACCTCATATTTGAAGGATTGCTTTAAAGCACTGCTCGTTATCGTAAGGACATGATTCTTGCACAATCGCTGACATTCGTCTATGAACACATGGGAAACGGGAAGCATACATCTGTCAGCACATCGGAACGTAGACAAAGTTAAAGACAAATGCCAAGGAAAGCCACGGAAAAGGATTAAAACATAGCAAAAGAAAGGAAAGAGCGTAAGGAGTGATAAGTCAGTGGGTATATGGCTGAGGGAAAACGAAAGTTAAACAATGACTACTATTGCTTGCTTCATAAAACCCCGCTGATGCCCCAGACGAATGATTCCTGTTGAGAGAGGCAATGATTGTGCAGAAGACGGAGAGAAAGACCTCTGCGAATGCTTTTGCGCAACTAATAATTAAAGAGCGCCATCCTGATGAGGATCGTCGCCACTACCGTCAAAACTGCTTCTAGGACTGTGAAGCCAACAAGAGCATATTCTTCAGAAGACACTTCAAAAAAATTCAGTTAACAACCTAAAAAGTAACATATTAGTATCAAGCACGCCAGAGTACGCACAGACACCGGCCAATCCAGTTGCTGTTACAACACTTACTTTTAAAATTTTTCTCGAGTAATCTTGGCTATCGGCAAGCGAACCTGTAGAGATTCGTTTCAGGAGCGAAGGCTCTAATCTAGAATCGAATTCCGAACCTTCTGAGTAAGAGCTATCCTTTGGATTCACCGTCACTGAGACAACTCTTTTACGCCATCTCATAACAAAAAAGCCAAGGATGATAACAAGAATAAAGGTGACTATACCAATCACAATTCCAATAATAGCACCCGTTCCTACCGATGATGATCCTTTCGATCCGGCGCCGACAACAGTGGATTGCGACGCGGAAACGCTTGAACTCGGACCAGTTGTCGTCGAGGTGATGAAAGACGTAGGTGTACCGGAAGATGTCGTAGAAGTCGAGGATGACGCTTTGCTGCTGCTATGCGAAGTACGGGAAGAGGACTCGGTAGAGGAAGAAGAAGAAGAAGAGGGCATTGTAGACGAGCTTGAAGTGGTTTTGCTCGAGGACGATTGAGTGGAGGAGGATGAAGTTGACGTACTGGAAGATGTTGTGGATGATGAAGTCGTGGAAGACGAGCTAGACGGTGCTTGCGAACTCGACGTCGACGATGAAGACGATGACTCCGACGTATAGGTGCCATATCCAGTCAAGTAAACACTCCAGTAGCTGGCTCCACCACACTTGACCGTTCCGTAGCCATAACAGGGTACGTTGCAGTAGCTGTCATCAACCAACTGCGCTGGAAGCGTGTTTCCACAGTAGCATTGCCCACCATTTCTTAAGCCTAACACCGAGACTGTCTTATAATCACACTTAGTTGCGCACACGTCCGTGTCCATGTAATCATCATCTGCTTTCCACGGCAGAGCATTGTCCACGGCATAGCAGCCCTTATATGTCAGTTGAACATTAGTATATGCTTGTCCAGGAAGCAAGAAGAGACTCAACAGAACATATTTAAACAATTTCCCGTAGCAATGCATCTCCGTAGATCCACACGAACAAACACACACTCTCTCAGGGACAAACAACGACGGCTTGAAGAAACCAAGTAGATGGGCTTAAAACGAGTTCGAATCTGCTCCAAAAGAGATTTAAATGGTATCACAAGAGGGTATCTATGCAGCTGGGTATAAAGAGGTCGAAAACACTGGTAAGACAGCGCCCTCTGGTCTTCCCGTCGAAGTTGTTGGTTAAGGCTTGGTGGGCACTTTGCCCACTGGGAAGGTGAGGTATTTAGTGAGGATCGCTAACCATGCACTCCTTGCCGAAGCTTTTCCGAGAGGACAGAGAAGCGGGGGCACGTGGGATGTGTGGAGCGTGGTGAGTGGGAGAACTGGCATGGCATAGAATGCTATGGTATGTATGATATGGCACGGTGGGACGAGTACGATGAGGCATTGCAATGTCTGTCTAGGGAGTGTAGGGTTGTGTCTATGGGTGAGCTGAGGTGGTGGAAGATCCACACTTGTGTCAATTGTATTTACGAAACTAATAATGATTGGAAGTGTAATTTGATAGTAAATTATGTCGCGGAACGGAACGAAAACGTCTGCGACGGTCCGGTGAAAACGAACGTAAAACAGGGGACGCAGACAAAGGCGTCCGGCATCGTTAACGTAAAGGCCATAAAACAGAAAAGGGGAAAAAGTGAAGCAATAGGAAACAGGTTGAAGCATTAGCGACATTAGTAGGAAGAAGACACTCAACAAAAAGTCATATCAGCGATTAGATTAAACACCAAGACCAAAACGAGAAAGTTTAACAACAGCCTGGAGATGAGAACGCACACCCTCATTCTCAGCTGTGCCTAAACCACGTCCAGCATCCCAGCCCATTCCTTCCAGCAAACGTCGTCCACGATTTCCTTGGCTAATTTCAGGCGCATTCTCACCAACAATCTGACCCTCAAAGACCTTTGCTGTAGAGGCAGACTTGCGCAGAAGACGAGTAGTCTTGGAGGAAAACTCCATTGACTGAACAACGGTAGTGTCAATGAATCCAGTTGCACGTGTCTTGTACAGCGAAAGGAAACGTTGCTGGCCTTGTCCTTGACTAGAAGATTTGAGGGCGAACTGATATGCCAAGTTATGGATATCCTTGCGCAGCTTTTTTGGCATTGGCGGGAAGGAAATCTCCTGTTTGTCAGAAACCAAAAACTCCTTAATTTTTTTATGTATTTCCAAATAAAAAGCGGAAGGATTGCGCAGATACGAAGCACCATTGGCTGAAACAAGTGCGTCGCCGGCCTTAGCCAACTTCTTGTTGATCTTCTTATTCTTCTTCTTCTTCCCAAGCAAACCTTCGGCACGAAGTAATTCTCGCTCACGACGTCGACCCGCCTTTTTGCTACGATCCTTCAGCCATTGTTCTTGAAGATGTTCGTAGTTTAGCACCTCCTCAAGATCATCATCATCGAAATCGTAGTTGCCGGAAATCGTTGCTGATTTGATGGCCTTTTTCTTGTCTTTACGAGCCTGTCTTAATAACAGCTTGCGTTGTTTTCGATTCATCTTTGTCACCGGAACAGGCTCCTCTTCTTCGTCCACCGAAGATTCGGCTGCACCGATGGCAGAGCCATTGGGCTCGTAGTTATCAAAGTAATCATACACGGTAAAGTCATTCTGGAGAGCTGCGAAACGGTTGCCACTGAAAGACTCGTCTTCCGAATTCTCCGAAGCTGTTTCGCCGTCTATGGACTCATTGAGAATGAATTCAAATTCTTCATTCAGCACATTTGGAGATCCATCATCAGCGTCTTCATTAGCAAGCTCACTGTAAGAGTATTCTAGTGGCTCCTCCTCCTCATCTTCTTCATCGTCGGACAAGGAGGGGGAGAGAAGGGGTGCGGGAGAGGTGACAGAAGTAGTAGAATGCTGAGCAAAATCATTAGAAGAGGGCACACCTTCTTCGTGTGCACTTCGCGTGTCATCTTCATTAACACTGACATTATTATCCACTGTATCGTCCACTTCCGTATCATCCTCAGTGGATTCTAGTTCATGGTCAACCATTGAAGATTCAATTTCCTCATCCGTTTCGCTTGGAATGGTAAGGGAGGAAGAAACAGCTGACACTTCTTCTTGAACTAGAGAAGCGGAAGAACTGACAGCACTCACCCCATTCTTGAACTCATCCTCCTCAGCAGTAGCCTCCGTTGACAGTACGGATTCGGCGTCAAGGAATAACTGAGGTGTTGTCGAGCCTGAAGCATCGTTGTCTAAAATGGGCACGGTTAATGCTGCTTTTGACTGGGTCTGGTCTTCAACTACAGTGGACTCGGGTGTAGTGTCATTAGCCACATGACAGTCCTCGAGAGAGTGGGTAACAGTGTCAATTGTAGAGGGGGGTTCTATCGTGACAGCGGATGAATCGTTGGCATTGTTCATATTGTTTGCAGTAAGAGTTGCACCAATGGGAACGAATAAAATCTCCTCTTCACTGTCTGAAGCACTTTGTTCTTCGTTGCTGCCATTCGATGGCACCTCAGAAATTTCCATTAGAGTAGAGTTCTCAAGCTGCTGCTCAGAACGCCTCTTGAGACTATCTTCGGAATCACCTTGTTCGGATACGGGCCGAGTAGACACTTCCTCGTCGTCACCAAGGTTATTGGAGAAATCATTTGGTTCGTTCATAACATTATTCAGGGTAGACATGGCACTTGTAGAGGAAAAAGGTGTCGATGTGGCCAAAGGCTTCTTATCAGACAATAGGGAAGACTGAGATGATGTTGAAACCAATCCAGTCAGTAGGTCATTCGGATTGAATACGTGTTTGGCTTTCACAAATTCAAGTCTGTTCCACGAACTTATCCGAGATGAAGAATCGGTATACAAAGACTCTCGAGCTGCAAAACCTTTAAAGCCTCGAAAGCGAACATTTCTGCGAGTTGAAAATCTAGAGTTTGATTTCTTAGACATTATTCATGCAGGTCGTATTAGAAAATAAGGGAAAAAAAATAACACAAAAAATAAATCTGTTGAGCCGTTAAATCCACGTAAATTAAAAAGAAGAACAGAAAAAAAAACAGCAAAAAAAATCTAAAAACAGGTAATCAACAAGTCTTTCTGGTTTACTAAGTTGCGAATTAGTGTGGTGTTGATGGTAGTAGTAAGGTGAACAGCCGCTGGCCACCAATACGAGTAGGATTACAGGGATATGCGGCTATTACGGTATGAAAGACGTTGTAAGGAAGCAAGAGTATGATATTGGAATAGGTAGATTAACAAGATTGTTAGCGGAAGATGCGGAAAATGATGTGGATCAAGTACAGCAGCGGTTCCACGGAAACCAAGGAGTTTCGTTTCAGCCTTACTGAGTCCACGTTTTATCAAGTGTAGATGGAATGCAATACTAGAGAAGCAGTATGAAGAGAATTGCAATTTAGCAGTATAAAAGGAAAAAAAAACAAAATTGGAGATTCGGTTTTTAGTCGACGAGCCGTTGTGAAAAAGCAGGTCGATGAGTGCCTCTGACTCAGAGGAAAACTAAGCATTCCGAGAATTGCCCTTCCATCTTGCACTCGTTTTTTCGTTGACAACAGAAGTGTGCTACCAAGTATAGACAACACGTTGCTCACAAAAGGCGCAAGTGCTTAAGCAAGGTAAAAAAGAACCATGAAAACAATAAGAAAGTAGTCCAAAACTATATCGTATGAACATAAGAGAAACGAACCGGCAAACCGTACCAGCTGACAAAAAACAAAGATAGGACATGAGTTTATAAGTGAAGTGTGAGAAAGAGTGTATGTGGAAGGGAAGAATTTGTGAGAACAAAAAGCATAACGAATTGAAAAAGTGATAGATAGTGTGTGAGTGTGTGTAAGCAGGAAAAACGACGGAGCAGGTCTTAGGGTAAAGGGTTTGAGAGAAACAGCAACTTACGTAGTGCAAGGACACACATAAATTTCTGTTTGTTTGCGTATGGTCTTGCTTATTGTTTAGGCCTTTTTCGCTGATAATTAGGATCAGAGTTGTCATGAGGCATTTCGTTCGAGGAGACATGAATTCCTGGAGACTGAGGAAAACGACGCTTTTGATGAGGAGACATAAGGGACCCTCCAGCAGTGTTCCCCGGGGGAACTTGCTGTTGATATGCATTTATCAAGGATGGACTATGCATGGTCATTGGCATCCCGCCTGCTTGGGACATGTCGACCGAGGCAGGAGGCATTGCAGTGGCAGCAGTGGACTTGTTAGCACCCTGCTGGGCATTTTGGGAGACCATTTGGCCTTGTGATGCAGCATCACTCGTATTGGACGTAGCCGAGCCCAGGCCCCGCATCAACATGGGGGAGGGAGCACCAGCTCCATTTACGTTGTTTTCAAATAAGTGTTGCTGCTGAACAAGCTTCGCAAACTTGTTGATAGCATGCATGGGACTTGACCTTTGAGCCACGCTGAATGCGATTAGATCCCGCATGCTTGATATGGTTTCTGTAATCTCCATGTACCGCATGACCCGGGGCTCAAGGCCAATTTCATTCACGGTGGTTTTCGGGAAAAAGTCTTCGATATTCACAGGCCGTGACTGGCTGGCCGTTCGAGCAGCATTGGCTGCAGAAAGCACCAGATCTCGCATCAAGTACTCAGAGTAGCTGTTGAATGTGAATTCAAACAAATCTAGCTTCAGCGACTGTGCCCGAGATAAGACCGCACGTATGCAGCCTTTCGTTACTACTTGGACACCACTCGCATATTCGCAGACATACTGTGCTTGTGAGGCCTCAACGAAGTATCCGTTCGTTGCCGTTAGGAACTCTTGCGTACGTCCCAATATAAAATACATGCTCTTTAGTGTTTCAGTATGTGCTAGATAGAAAAACCGCGGCAAAGCAGCTACAGACACGTCGAAAGACTTGGTGCTTTTTTGCCCTTGTTGGTTGTCCACGATTGCAGTATAGCGAAACACTCCTTGCTCAGTAAAGAAATCGTGAACAAACTTTTTCCAGTACGCGATATCTCGAGGAATCCCGTCGAACGCGTTTAAACGCTCATTAAACTGCATTAGTCGCATGACCCCGTAACCTAAAGCACCAGAACTGTTGGTATACATCGCTCCCATGTATTCTGGGTGAGCCATGACGACCTTTAGCAGTGCTACAACCTTTCCAGCAGCGCCGACTTGACGTCTGTCGTTTCCTTTGAATCTGTATGTGGTGGGGGAGGTGCGCTGCGTTGGACCCTGCCCAAACCCTACACCCCTACCCTAGGTTCTAGTAGGGTATGTGGTGATCGACAGCAGAAGCACATGGCAGATGCAGATCACTCGTTTTGTAAAATGATCGACAAACCCGCAACCTTGAGAACTCTCGACGAGGCTTTGCTGGATTCACAAAATGACCATACTTGCACCTCCAACTATTTGACCGTTCCATGACATCATTCTAGAAACAAAGAAACGTGACTGTTACTAGGGTTAGGGTTGTGTCTGTGGAAGTATATAAGCAGGAATACTATCCGTTACAAAGACCATCAGCTTCGGCTTCAACTACTCAGCCATCTCCTCCTCCTCTTCTTCTCTATTCAGCAGTGAATTGGATGGGTGATGGTCTGTGGTCAGCAATACTTGGTGGTAAAGGTATGTCCTATCTGTTGGATGCACAGTTGGGTGTTACGATGAATACTTTATGCGTCTTCTTTACCCGTCAGATCGACTATGAAGAAAAACGTGGCTGCTTCCAGGCAGCTAATACTTGCCAGTATCTTGTAGTCTGAACCTCTACTGTTATCCACAACAATCACACATTGTGTACTATTTACTAACGTTTCAGATGTGTATTTGCAATAGTCTAGAACAGCTTGTCTTTTTGGACGAAGTCATTGCGGGTTCATTCCTGTACTTCTGAGTTTTGGTCTTGGTTTTAAGCAAAAGGAGGAAGCGTGTGATGATAATTTTCCACAAACATTCGCAGTTTTCACGGATCGACATAAGAACCCAATCTTGTCGGATATGACGGCCCAGTCCTTCCTTTGGATGTCTGATGCTTCCTCCTTTGTTTAGAATTTTGATTATTTCATAGTTTTAGGTAGAAATTTTTGGTTTTTTGAACATTTTTGGATTCGGGTTGTTTTGTTTTTTGATTGTGTTTTGTTCTTTTTTTGGCGATTCCCCTTTTTCCTTCATGTTTTTCCCGTCTTGCGTTGTGCCTTGGACCTTCGTTCGTGTGGGGCTACTTGTGTAATGTGGTGATGCTTTCGAGCAGTACTCTCGCGGCTATAGCTACTTACGCGCGGTTTCTATGGGGACAACATGTTTCATTGCACAACGTGGGGTTGGTAGTTCTAAGATGCGGGGGCGGGAGAAGGGGATTCTTCGGAGGAGAGAGGCGGTTGGCTTTCGTCGCTCTCGAGGATTTGTGAAAGTCCGCTGAGAAAGGAAGATTCAGCGGTGGGTGTGAGTAACATGGACATGAGCGACTCCTTCCGAGCGATGGAAAGAAAATCACCCTCGGTGCATTTGGCCAATTGAACCAAATGACGAAGCACACGGATGCCTGCTGCTGTTAGCCGATTAAAAGGATTCGCCTCAGGAGTGTCCATTCGCGGTTCGTGAGATGACGCCCGCCTTGCTGCCTGTTTGCTCGCGTTAACGGCCGCGGGATTTGTGAAGTTGGTGAGAAAGGAAAGCACACGGACGAGTGAAGCCGCAAATCCTTCGCCAGCTAAACACAAACGCCGTGCTTGTGCAGGTTGGGTAACGAAACGTGTGAGAGCTTCCATCGCCAGGAAGGTGTGTTCCAGCAGTGCCAGTCGCTTTTCACACAGCTTCACAGTAAAGCGGTTGAAGCGGGGAACAACGGATGCGAACAGGATAAACGTCATGTCGAGTAGATGACTGTATGTGCTGTACACGTTTTGCAGTCGTGCCCCGTTTGTCGTTTCGCGAGCTGACAATTTTGAGAGGACATTAATAGCGGGCGCAGTGTAAGGGTGAGTGGCAGGAGAGTACAGGGGAATGTTAAGGTGCATGTCGGTTTCATCAAAGCCATCTTTGTGTGCGTCTGATAACTGCACCGAGATGGTTGGGGGTGTTTCGGGAGAGAATGCCAGGACGAACAGCAAGACGTCTTGGGCATCCGAGTCGTTTCGGAGAAGGATGTTTTGTGCCACATGAGACAGCAGAACGAGCATATCTTTGTGAAGCTCGAGCATTTCACGCTTGTCAGACATGCATGGGATACCTGTGTTGAGGAGATGTACAAAGTCGAGCACGAACTCGACGAAATGCTCGTTGGCCGTTAGTACGTTTTGGTTTGGTTCAAAGAACGAAAGGTTTCGAAGAATGATACTAACTGCAAGCAGCCGTTGCCTCGACAGTCGGACCTGCTCTGACTTGCCCGGAGGATCGTCAGCAACGGCGGCACCAGGGGCGGCGTGCTTCTCACAATCCTCTGGACATGGAAAATGTCGGGCGGTATCGGTAACCATTATGGTTTCTTCAATGCAGTCTCGCAACATTTTCCTGTAAGACGGCCGTTCTTCAACAACTTTAGGCACAGACCCGCCGTGCACTGTATCGATCAGAAAGTCCAGTTCTTCGCGCGCAACATACACCAACGCTTCCAACGTTTCTTGACATTCGGCCAAAGGAAACATCCATCGTCGGTCATTCGTGAGGACGAGCAACACATTCAACGCATAAGCCATCTCAGCTGGTAGCGAGGACAACAAACTCATGGTAAGTGCAAACACATTAATCTCGCCCATGTCAACAACTGACGGCATCTGCCACCGAAAAGTAGCTTCATCTATGCCGGGAAGCGACAACGTTTTTATGGACAGTCCGCCATAAGAATTTAGAGCAGCCCGAAGGGGCTCGTACACCGAAGGGGCCAAAGTGCCTGAGCTCTTAGCAGCAGCAGCAGCAGCAGCAGTTGCTGCGACATTTTCAGGACCAGGAGTACCAGTCTGATCAACCGATGTCCGAGCGCTAATGGGAACGCTAGCGGGTGGTGCCGGGGTAGAACTTGTTGCAGACTCTACTGAATGTGCCCGATCCAAAGGTGTCCGTCCTCGCGAGAGAACACCAGGAACGGGCATGTTGGCACCCATATCGGGAGTAACAGCAGCGGCGGAAGCTGCTGAGGCTGCTGCCGTGGCAGCTGCCTGAGCTTGAGCAGCAACAGCGGCATTTTGAGGAGGAACGGATCTACCACCACCTTGTGGCAGCGGAAACGGTGACTTGTTGGCTACGGCTGCAGCTTGTGTCATAGCAGCTACCCGTTGTCGCTGTTGCTGCTGCTGTTGTTGTTGTTGCTGCTGCTGCTGCTGCTGTTTTCCCTCGGCTTCCATGCGAGCATGCTGCTGCTGTCGAGCCTTTTGCTGTGCTTGAAGCCAAGCATCTTCGTAGGCCGAGAGGTACTCGAGCCAAATGTTGATCAACTGCGGCGGCGCGTCTGGTGTAGAAAAGCCCAACGCATTTGCGATCTCACCCCACAGGTTCATGAAATTGACACGCCGTGAACCACCTGATCTCATCACAAGGGCATAAAACATCATCAGGTTAACGGGGACATTGTGAATGGATGGATACGACTTGATGGGCGTCCCCCGGTTAGCCATAAACGCGATGAGGTTGGCCATGAAACGATCATGATTCGCAGCCGCAGGAGACGGCGAAGGTGCCTTGAAGCCAGGGGAGCGATGAGCGGCAGCCATGTTCGTCGGCATTACAGGTTGTGGATGAGCGGCTTTTGTTCCGCCAGACCATTCATTGCTGCCGTGCATGGATGACATGTGCTGCTGCTGCTGCTGCTGTTGTTGTTGTTGTTGTTGTTGATTCTGCTGCTGCTGTTGAACATCTCGATCCATTCCGGCCATTTGCTGTGCTTCTAAACTTTGGCCGCGCATCATACCGGCAGCAGCCGCGTTATACATTGTACCGGAGGTGTGTTGCTGCTGCTGATGCGATGGTGCGTGCTGCCGGTCCTGAACATAGCCGGGCCGATGAGCGGTATCAGGACCCGCAGCAAATGCGTTCATTCCCATAGCGCTCGGTGATTGTGCTCTGTGTTGCTGATTGATGTCAGCAGCATACGCGTTGCTGTTTCCGCCATGCATCATTTGATTATGCTGTTGGGCCATGTACGAGGACGTTGACGATGACGACGGCTGTGTCGGCGGCGGCTGGCCGTTTGGGTCGTAGTAACCGGAGCCTTGCATGCTGAGACAGCTCGTCTAAGGTCTGTCAATAAGGCTGGTCCTCACGGCACTTTGGAAACGGGTCGGTATGCAATGCTGAGTGAGATTACCTTACGCAAATTGACGACCTTCGAGTAGGTCTCCACTATAATCAGAGATAAGTTACGCTAAAGCGACGCTCGTTATTATTTTCTATCGGGCGCTTAACACGTCTTTTTACCGGTGTCTGTGTGGGCGAGACCACGCGAACGGACGCTAGCTTAGCACGTAGAGACGTAGATACGTGCAGTTTTACGGTGGTGCAGCGTGACTATCTTTATTTAACATAACGACAAAGGCCATAACACCGCACAGCCCCTTATTTAAAATAACACAGTACACTAAACCCGGCTTTTTACAAACCTCAGCACTAAAAGAAAAATTGGGGCAAGGATTGCATTCCTATGACACACTATGTATGAACGACTACGTCACGTCCCATTTAGGCCTCCAACTTCAAGGTCAAGTGGCACTTACCGCAGTAAAGACGGTCCTTGTGAACGGCCATGAAAACGGAGGCACCACAGTTGGGGCACTCACGACGGAGACGCTTGATGCTGCCATCATCCTCAACCTTGTAGTACTTCAAGACAGCAAGCTCAACCTTCTTGTGCTTGTGCTTGATCTTCTTGGGGGTGGTGTAAGTCTTCTTTTTACGCTTCTTGGCACCACCACGGAGACGAAGGACCAAGTGAAGGGTGGACTCCTTTTGAATGTTGTAGTCAGCGAGAGTACGACCGTCCTCCAATTGCTTTCCAGCAAAGATCAAACGTTGTTGATCAGGGGGAATACCCTCCTTGTCCTGGATTTTGCTCTTGACATTGTCAATGGTGTCAGAGGACTCGACCTCAAGGGTGATGGTCTTGCCCGTGAGGGTCTTAACAAAGATCTGCATCGTCAGCAAGTATTATGCCTCTTCCTCGCGGATGGCAGAAAAAAAGTTTGGTGTTTTCTATTTATTCGTGTGTGACTGCCTTTTTAAGTACTACGTCATCGATTAGCGGCGATTGTATCTTGTCTAATATCTAACGTTTTCGCTAAGATAACCGAAATTACCGAAACCCTGGGCTGTATGTGTAAGGAAATTGCATTAGCGGTAAAATGGCATTGGAAAAACAAGAATAGAAGGAAAAGAACCAAACAAAAGATAAAAAGACGTAAACAGAATATTTCAGAAAATATAAATGAAAAAGATATCGTAGAATTTGGAAGCGCCGTTTCGGAGGGGGGATTTGGTGAAGGGAATTGGTAGTTTCGTGTGACGACGGAATAGTAAATGAAAAAAATAATGGTGCACGCGCACGTACGAAACCAGCTCAAACATGCACGGAGAGGTGTAGGTAATGTTTTAGAGATGCAAGATATGCAAACATCTAGCGAATCTTTTTTCGTGCATCTCAGTAGGAGGAGTGATACCACCTTAATATGAATAACACATTAAGCAGCAAGAGAAAATGCCTGGACGGAGCCTACGGAATCTCCGTTGGGTATCCGTTGAGGCTGAGTGGCCTCTTGGTGAGATTCCACTGTTTGTTGTTGCTCTTGCTTGAACCCACCTATGCAGATGTTGCGCTGTTTGTGACGATTCAGTGCATCCATGCGATTAAAACTCTTTCCGCACTCGCAAGAGAATGGTTTACCACCATTATGAATACGCATGTGACGTTTCAAATCGTGTTGTCGAACAAAGCTGGCCTTGCAAGTAGTGCATCGATAAGGCCGGTCGCTCAAATGTGTCTGGATATGAGATTGGATATTATATTTGCGGCTCACTCGTTTGCCGCAGTTTTTGTAAAGACAGATGTATTTTCCTTCTTCGTCAGGTCCAGTGTACAAACTGGCCATTGTTTCAGGTGGAATGTGGCATAAACGACTAGATTGTTTGCGCGGCCGATCGGCTGTGTGCGACTTGGGATAAGAAGGAAGTACGCCGGTTTGCAAGGGCAATCGTGTGCTGCAGCATTGTTCCATCACATAAGGAGCGTGTGGTTCTTGGGCTCCGGCGAATGAAGGGCTCGGTACCGTTGTACGAATGGTTTCAATGGGGGATACAGTTTGCGTCAACGGAGGCGAAGGTTGAATAGGCGCGGAGAACGGCAGGGTGCTGTTAGGCAACGATTGCTGGGAATAGAGAAAGGGAGCTGTTGAACTGTCGTAATTGTTGGATACATCCAAACTGGTTGGATAAGCAGTAGAGAAAACATCACACTCAAGCGAAGACAAGGAAGACGGTGAAGACGAGCCGGAAGGACGGCGAGAGGCAGAATCAGTCGTTGGTGCGAACAAGTTCGCACCGATGTTTGCATCATCACACGTGGTGTTCAAAGTGTTCGAGAAGGAAAGATACGAAGATGTCACAGGAAGAGCAGGCTGCTCGTACAAGTTTGCGCATTTCGTCTGTACATTTCCCACTACTTCCGCTTCAGCAGGGACCTTCTTTGGTTCGGTAGATGGTTGAAGAAGAGATTGTCCGTAAGAATCAAGACTGTTGTTAAGTGTGTTATCCAAAGCAAAGTTTACGCAGGGATTCACATCAGGGTATACGTAAGACTCCTTTTTCACGGGAATGTCCAAATCAGAAAGGAAGGAGGAGGAGCGTTGATGACGATGGCTCCGCTGTTGTTGGGGAGGCAGAGCAAAGCCGTTGTTGGAGTTGGTGCCGTTATTCTTTACAGCAGCAGCAGATGGAACAAGAGGTATATCGTCCAACTCACCAAGATACGTCAAGGGGTCACTGGGAAGCTGAGACATGAGGGGGGAAGATGGGGGTGTTAATGAGGGACAAGACGAGGAAAAAACAAGAGAGTATGGATCCTCGAGCCCAGTCTCAGAGAATGCAAATGCAGGATCAGTAGCAGGGCCTGGAACGAAAGGGAAATCAAAGGGGCCTTTTAATAAATCGTCTGAGTTAACTGTACCAAACTCAGGAATAGCAGGAAGATTGTCGAGAGAAGACATTCTGGACGTTGCCGTCTCAATTTTCAGCGGCGTTTCGGTCGCAGGTTGCAAGTAGTCCTCTTGTTGGTTGTATGGAGATAGTTCACGGCCAGCGAGCTTGTAGTCCTCGTGTAACATTAACGAGTTTACGGTGTCGGGCGAAAAAGACATTAGGAAAACAAGCAGTAAGATATAAGCGCGCACCTTCAGGCAGCTTCTTTTATAGCGTTAGGCAATTGTTGCAGGAGACAACTGCATGGAAGAGATTGTCTGCAGTAGAAATGTTTAAATTAAGACGCAGGCGTTCTGTTTGTTTATATTCCTGCGGTGTTGCCTGGCAAGATAGCACACGTAAACAAATCCCAGAATTACATGCGAAAGAAGCAGTCACTGTTTACTTCTCGGTAAGCCGAATGTCAAAAGTTAATTGGCTCTGGGGTGCAAACCACGGGTAGTATGACGTTGGTGTTTACCAACAAAAAGCGCTTCCCCGCAAAACGCTATGGCAACAGTGTTTACGAGCGCGTAAACAATCAGTAAACAAATAAAACGCGGTAAAGGCAAAGAAAACGGGATTAACTGCTGATGACACAGGAAGCAAAAACACGCAGCAGATAGAGAGTAGTAAACAGACAATCGTTATAGAACAAAAGGAAAACTTACTTTGTATAAACAAGAAAATTGATAGCCAAAATTTTTTTTAGAAACCTTGTACTGTTAGAGCTGCGATGACTAGCTTGGGCTTTACTAATAAACAAACGGTACGTACAACAATCACAATCGAAAGGGCATAAAGGAGTATCACCTCCTTTTCCAATACGAAGTTCATCTTCGTCGTATACCAAAAATCCCTCTTCGGTTCTCTTACCTATCAATGGTTAGTATGTAAAGTCTAAGATTTTTTATGTGTGAAGATCTCCAGAAGTAAGAAATAGACGTTACTTACGCCCTGTGTTGCCCTTTGGATCAGCAAATAAGTCGTCTTTAGGCATTTTTTTGGGCTTCATCTGCGACTTCGCAACATTGACTTGTTCCGGCTTTTTATCGTCTTTTTTGGACTCCTTTTGATCCTTAGAAGACGATTTCTCTGTCGAGGTCTTCTTTTTTGATGCAAAAATCTCGTCAATTTCCATTTGAGCTTGTTGGTGTTTGATGAGGGTAGGGAGATGAAGGATACTGAGAAAGCTTATAGGAGTTAGAGGAAAGTGAAGAGACTTATCCTTAAGAACAAGAAATACAAATTCAGTCGTTTGTACATTGGCATTAAGATAGTAACGTATCTAAAAAAAAAGGGTGCATCACATATCCAACTTTCATAACTTTAAGCCCCAATAGTAATGTAGCACAAGTGAGAGTCAATGTACCTGTTAAAACTACACAAACGAAATTAAGTAGATGCATCAATACACATTTAAACAATCTCTCTACGACGCTCTCCATACTCACAATAAATGCAACTCTATATTGTGCCAAAAAACCTATTCTTCTTTTACCCAATTAGTTAGTCCAAAGTGCTCGTCCTTACGCAGTCATTCTTGTCTTTTTAGAAGCACCGAGGTCTTCTGATGGCTCCATGGTCCGCTTTCTTGCGAAAGTGTTTTCCAATGGCGGGAGACTGCGGACACGTTTCATAATGGGCTTCTCCGACTTATCCTCTTTTGACCAACGATACCACTGGTCAGCTGCCCGGCGGTACAGTTCAACCTTCCAGTTGGCCCAAACCTTTTTGCCGTAAAAGTCGAACTTTACTTCATCACCTGCTTCGGCAAGCTCTGCAACAATTCGAGAACGGTACAAAGGCAAGTCTTGTGTAGCGAACCAACACTTGTCAACGATATGCGAACCAGGCGCCGTGACTGCAATTTCTGCAAAGTGACCATCAAATGCATTGAGCAAGCGTCTCCGATGCGCCATTTTCAAGTCACTCATCCCGAGGATCTGTTCAATGATGTGCGAGGAGGCAGTCTCTGTGGCATATTCAACGATGCTTTCTGGTTCTAACTCCAGCAAGCTTTCAATAAGCTCTGAAGAAAGTTCAATGGGCACACGCAGCATTTCCTCTACAAGTTGAACAGCGATAAAGTTGTTTACCAAGACGCGCTTGCCATCGGTTGAGTTTTTATCTTTCTTATGTTTGGAGCGTAACAGGGCAACAAACAAGTTTTGTTTTGGATGACGTTCCTTGGCAGCGGATATGATAAGACGGAACAAATGATTTTGATGGAAGTTTTTTTCGTTGCAAGTCTCTAAAAGAGTTTTTAAGACAGAAAGGAACGATTTTCGCACCAGACTCTCAGAACTGTCCTTAAGCTCATTAAGCATGCGTTCAACAGTTAAGGCGTTAGCTCGCTTAATAAACTTTTGCATGACAAAGTTTGCTATAGGATGCACACACAAACGATAGTAACGGCCCTCAAACACATTCTCCAAACGAGTCAGATCGGAGGCAGGCATGCGCTCAACCAATACTTCAAGCACGCGAGAACCGGTCTCATCCTTCAATAGAGTTTCTACGAAAGGGAGCTCCTTCCAATCGTATTCCTTGGAAAGTAGGAGTTTGTCTGAGAAAGGAGTAGCTTTGTTTTTCTTACTCCGTGCTCTTCTCTCAAATTCGATACGCACGAACGCTTGGATGACTCGAGAGGCATACTTGTTGACACTATACGCCCGAAGCTCAGTGGCTTCCAAATTCTCGGCAGCACTCTCAACAATTGAGTATGCATACTCTTTGAACGATGATGGCACACTGATTGAAACATACTTAGCCTTACTTTCGCCTTCTTGCACAGAACGTTGTCCGTTCAATAACAATAGAAGCTTTTCAAGGACATGAGCTGCAAGCTTGTGATCGAGAAGAGCTGAAATTTCAGGGCGCAGCTCATTACACATGTACATAATCAAGGATTCAGCAGTAGCAACAAACTCGGATCCTTCTTCTTCGTCTAGTGCGCCTCCCTTTTCTTCCATATCAATTATTCTACCCATATGACTGAGCAATTTTTCCAAGACAAATGATCCGAATGTAGTTTGCGTAATTTGCAGATAACTTCCATTTAAAGCACCAAAAAAGTTTTTAATTTGCTGAGAAGAAGCCAAGGTGAAGACTTTTTCAAGGACTTTAGATCCAAAAACATTGTTTAAAACCTGGAGTTCCTTGCCAGACACTTCTGCGAATATACTATCGACCAAGTACCGAGTATCTTCATTGTCACGAGTATTATGAGAGACAAGAGTCTCTTCAATCTCTCTAAAATACTTTTCTTCTTCAGGAGTCAGGACACCCAAGAATGGTTGGATTGGTTCCTTCGTGTATTTGTTAATTTGACCTAGTTTAGGTTCCTCAGTTTGTTCAAATTCATCTTCAGACACATCTACATCCTCTGTCTTCTTCGAAGAATGGCGTTTTCCGCGCTGTCTTCTTTTTCTTGCCATTCTTAGGTGGTTGGTAAACTTCGAAGTACCACGCACACAGCAAAACGTATTACCATATCTTCATTAAAACGATGGGTTGCATATGTTAAAGGTTTAATTCTGATTGTGTTTTTACTTCCTTTCCCGCTAGTCCCTTTTGTTTTGTTGATTTTTTATGAGATACTCTTAAAAATGCGTATTCGTTACTATTATACTATTCATATGAACAAACCCATTAGCAAATTGATTAGATATCTAAAATAAGACGAAATGACATAAGAGAACGGAACAGAACAAGTTTAACCATTCATGGTTAGCAATAAAACACAAGAACCGAACGAATCCAAAAATTAAAAAGAAATGTTTGTTTATGGCAATGAGTAATGGGAGAACTTTGTTTTGATAATCATACTCAATCCATTGCCGATTATTCTTTCAGAAACGGGTGTCGCAAAGCATCTTCTGCGGTAATTCGGTCATTGGGGTTCTGCACTAAACATGACTTTATGAAATTTTTGCCTTGTAACTGTTAGCTTTGACATGATTCAGAGGAATAGTATATACTCACATTCATCACTAATGTTTTGAAATACGTCCGATGGAAAAGTATAATCGCTTTTTAAGACAGCGCGCATCTCAAGAGCAGGAGTTTGACGTTCAAAAGGAGCAAACCCAGCTATGAGCAAGTATGTAATCACGCCGATAGACCATAAATCCCTGTATGCGTTAATAAAAGTCGTTTAAGGATTTCTCATTATAGTGTCTTCACTTACACAGGTTGAGCATGTCCGAGCTGACGAATACATTCAGGTGCCATGTACCCTGGAGTACCACACATAGTATGTAAGACGCCTCGAGACTCTTCGTTTAGAATGTTTGCTAAGCCAAAGTCTGCAATCCACAAATTCGTGTAATCGTCCCGACATTCCAATAACACATTTTCGGGTTTCAGATCTGAAACGGTTAGACTTAAAAAATAAAGAAGTACAAACCCCTGTGAACAATTCCATTTTTATGGATGTAAGCAACGGCGGAAACCAATTGACGGATGATGCATTTGACCACAGCTTCATTGAATTGGCCTTTTGCACAAACACAGTCATACAGCTCACCACCTTCCGCAAGATCCGTTAAGAGAAGGAAGAATTCGTCTGTTTCGTATGCCTTGTAAAGTGTCAATATGTTGGGATGACCGACTGAAACGTCTGTCATAATTCTTATTTCTTGCTGCACATATTTCAAGTTGTCTTGCAATGCATCTTTACGAATCACTTTTACAGCAAAGTTTCTAGATGTAAGTACTTAAAATAATAAAATAATCCATATTCAAGCGTACTTTTTCGTTTTTTTATCGGTAACTTTGCGAACAACAGAATACGAGCCTTTTCCAATTACATCTCCAACGTCGTATCCTTGAAGAACATCGTATACAGACTGGTTTACCTCTAAATCCATCAAGTTTTGTGAACTACTCATGGTACCTTTTGCACTATCGTTTTAATCAGCTAACAGATATATCTTGAAGTCTGACTTGGAACAAGGTGCCTCCTAACAAAAACTTCCAAAAAATGAGATTTAAAGTGCAGAAAAGAAATATCTATTTAATATAAGCTGACAAGCTTTGTGAACCAGACTTTCTGTTTCAATACTGACTGCAAGTTGCATAATGAAGATTTCTATTTGTTGAGGAACGAATTATCAAATAATGAAGACACGAACCAAAGCAGCAACATGAACTCTATTTTCTCCTATCTATAAATAATTTAAGGAGTACTGCCTTTCTGGTTTCACATTGCAAGGATGCCCTACGTTGATCTAGTTGATATAAAAAAAGACGTAATTACTCAAGACAGCAAGAATTGAGGATTTTGCTGACAGAACGTTTGGTTTTATGTTTGTCTTGTCGTTACACAAAACATTGAGCTGTTACTCCTTCCCTGGATTTCTTAGAATGCGGTATTCTGGTGTCTGTTTACTTGTTTACCATATGCTACTAATGATGTTCGTACGGTTTACTCGTCTTTTGTTTACAACTTCGTTTTCTTAAACGTTTGTTTACGTTTATATTAACAGACTATAAATTTCAGAAAGTTCCGCTTTTTATTCTTTCCTCAAGCAATTGCAGAATTCCGAACGGAAGTTTTTCACCAAAGCCTTACTTTTTAAACAACTTAAATCATTCCCATAAGCAATAATCCTTACAAACTCAACAACAAAAGTCATTACTCGGTTCAATTGAGTGAGAACTTCAATTGCTATTTTCTTGGAGCTCTTTGAAAAGTTCTGAAATTAAACTAAAGTCGCATTGTCCCATCCGTTTCCAATTATATTTAAGTATTCACTTATCAAGTAATTGGCCATTATATCCTACTTGTTCATTACTTCAGGCTTTACTATCATTTGTAAAAAAAGTCTCAATTATATACCTCAGCAACACGTAAGCTTTTCTTGCTTTTGTGATTGCTTACGAACTACGTGTTATTCAATCCATTCTCCTTCTCAAGTGAAACGATTTACTGATACAATATGTCAGATATGTCTACTGACAATTTAACCGTGTCTCAACGGATTGCTGCTTTCGAGCTGATGAACGGCAATGCACCTTCAAAATTTGAGCTCAAAGCAAAAAGAGATGTTGACACTGCGTGTCACGGAACAAGACCTTGTCAGTATGGCTCTTCCTCCCAAGGGAGAATTACGAGACGTCGCAGTGCCGAGTCTTCCGAACAAATGAAAAGACTTAAAGCACTTGCTCTTTCTCAGTTCCTTAATAAATCTACGCCAAAAGAAACACTCTTATTCCCCGAACGCGAATTACCCCCTCCAAGAAAAATCAATCATCAAAGACGATCGACTGACTTTCCTGAACGCGAGTTACCTCCTCCAAGACGAACGCTTGATTTTCCTGAACGCGAGTTACCTCCCCCCAGGAAAATTAGCATAAGTCGTTCTTTCGACGAGGGAATGAAAACTCCGGAAAGATTTCCTTACTTACATGCGTCTCTAAACCAATGCATACCATCAACCCCCAAGGCCACAAGCATCGCCTCTTCCTCTGTGGTTAAGCATGCGGAACCTGCCACAAGAGCTGCTGCTATTGCAACTTTGGCAGCCAAGGGTGAAAGAACCGAGCAAACCAGCAATTCTAAATCGAATTTTTATGAGCCCGCCCTTTTCTCCAGTCCAGCATTTATCAAGTTTGCTGCTGGAAAACGGTCTTGTTCTGTTTTAAGTCCAAAGAAAACGGACAAGAGAAGACAAACTGAATTTGATAAACGAAGTGCTGAACGTGAACACACTTGGAGGGTTCAAGAACTTGAACGCCGTAGGGTGTCTCGGAGATCATTAGGGAAAAAAACATTTACTGTTCCAAAAAACGATTATGCAAATCATGGTGCAGATATTATAAATACACCATTGACACAATCAACACAAAAGCTGGCTAATGTGATAAATACTTCTTTATCGAAGAGTAATGAGCTCTTGAAAGATAAAAAGAATCAAAATGCTAATACCGCCGAGATTACTGAAAAGGAAATCGGGAAAAAAAAGCAGAAAAAGTTTAAGCGAGAAAAGAGGTCTTTTACTAAGGCGCTTAAGAAAACTTCAAAATTCCTATCTAACTTAAAGAACAAAACTTCTGAATATTTACAAGGCGGTCGAGTTATCGACTTTGTAACGCCCGAACCCGAGATTATTTATTGGGAGGTCCAGAATGCGCGCGCTAAGAAGAACGCAAATATCCCCGTACAACCGATTCCTGAAGAGTACGACCTTGATTGCAATGCTCCTCATCCCCTCCGAGAAACCAACCTTTCTGATCCCGATTCTTTTCTTCGTTCCTCCTCATCTTTGGTGAATGAAAACATTGGGGGAGGCAACAGATGCCTCAATGATTTTAAAACTGTTGAAGGTGGTGAAAAAACCGAGCTAACTTCTGTTACCAACTCTGCCAACGGCCGCTGCTCAGTAGGTATTTACTCTGACAGTAGTAGCTTTAAAGATCAGTATCACATTTCAGAGGACACAAACCGTGATTTTTCCTTAAGCAATGAAGCTTTATCACATGCAGGAACGTTCGCCATTCAGTACAGCGCAAACGTAAATGACAACGATGCTCCTTCCGCTGTTATCGCTAGAGATGTACAGGATCTTATTCAACCCTATGAGCCAGAAAAGGAATTACGTTTTGATATTGACAGTGAAGTCTTCGATGATGGGCAAATTCAAACAACGAGATCAAATGAACTAAAAAGATCGCTCTCTAAGTTATCAGATGATAAGAAGAAGAAGCTTAAAACTGTGCATTATACAGATGAAGTTTTAGGATGTGATTATCTCGGTCCTCGCCCTAGAATTCCTGTTCCACGCTGTCTTGCGGGATTTCTTGATCTTCCTGACAAAAGTTTTAATGAGTTTTTTGAAATTGTTTCTAACACAACTGTTGAAAATGAACAGCATATGGTAAACTGCATCTGGTCTTTACAAGAACACAATTTCCTGAGTAAAGAAATTACAAACTGGTTGGTTCGTGATGGACAGAAAATGGAAACTATACGCGAGCTATACCTGCAAAACTTTAATTTTACGGACATGGATATACTAGCTGCTTTTAAAGAACTTTCGGGAAAGCTATACCTAAATGGTTCTGTGACATTCGAGTCACGAATCTATGATGCATTTGCCAAGCGCTGGTGCAATATGAACCTCGATATGGGTTTCTTAAGTCCCTCAACTGTTTCCAGTATCATTTACTCTTGTATGATGCTGAACAATAATTATCATATCAATGACAACATTTTCAGACCGAAAATTGAAAAGTCGGAATTTATACAAAAAGCACTACTGGATGCAGCAAAGCAATTACAGGAGATACATGAGGACTGCAAAATTCCGAAGCATCAACAAAGTCTACGCTTCAAATCTTTAAGTAGAATTAACCCAGCACATCGCGAACGGATACGCATAGCTACAAAACTGAGCAAGGCTTATTCAGTCCCAACAATTATCATTGTCTATATTGATTGTATTCTTCGTGATTATTTTGACGCCATTAAGGAAAAGGCTTTACCCATTCCAGCTAAAGTTGCTAGTCTCTTAGATGCTTATGCTCTTACTGGCAAAATGTTTGAGCAAAAGAGGCCAAGTAATATATGTCGCTACCGCAAAAAGGATTGTGCTACTACCGAAACTTTTCAAAAACTCACGAGGCAAAACGATCTTCTTGAAAATGAGGACGTGAGTGATAAAAGTCATTCGTCGATACCTTATCAAGCTAACCCGGTTGTTGAACTTAATCCTGCCTATGGTGAGCTCCCTGCGGCGCCAGAACCCGAGACAATAGATGGTCGTCCGCATTTCCGCAAGTACAACTACGAGGAGTACGTGAAAGCTATAAAAAATGACAAGAAAATACCTTGGTTAAAAGCCGGGGTTCTACAATTTAAGAAGTTTTCATCAAAAAACTGTTCGCTAAGCTCCGGTTCTTGGAAAGAGGCGATGTTTTCTGTTAAAAATGGACGTCTTGACATATATTGTATGTCCAAAATTCATACCGATCGTGATAATGTGCAAACATGGTTTAAGCATGGCTCTATCTACAAAACCATTGAACTGCAAAATACAATAACTGATATGGACGTTCCTAAGCATTTGAAAACTCGCAAATCTTGTCTCCTTACTTTTAATCGCCCTGAAGGTTCATTTTACGTTTTATCTTTACCAACAATTTTGGAGCAAAATGAATGGCGCCATGTACTCAACTTTAATGCCGCCTTGAATACATCTGCTCGGCTTCCCCATGAGCAGCCAATGCACGAATATGGATGGGGATCCTTGTTGAAACATGAATATAGTGCCGAGTCAGAAGGTCAAGTACGTGTTTACACTGACAACTCCATTAAAATTAGCAAATGGAAGGTTCCTAGAGGTTGGGCTCAGCGCGAGAAACCACTCTTTATTGGTCTTAAAATCGATGAGTATGGAAAGCTTCTGTCACGCCTTATGGGCGAAATGAAAGAGTTTCAGGGGATTCCAGCTTTAATTGAAAAAAAACTGCTAAAAAACTCTAAAAATTTTAAAACTGCTTTGGAAAACTGGGATGCCAAAATGGCTTATATGTTTGAACAATACAGAATCTTCAAGGTTTACTACGGAGTTCTTAAAGATGAATTTCATTACAGAAATGAACGTAACCAACTTCTCACTGATATTTAGGTATGTGGTATAATTACGGATTCAAAACTTTCCTTGCCCAAAAAAACTTTAAACTTAGAATGCATGTCTGCACACAACAATGCATCTTACAAAAACCATTGAAAACACGCTAAATGTGAAAAGTGTTTAAATTCCCCGTGAATACTTTTCTATCAAAGTTAAAAAAAAAAAAAAAAAATTACTGAAAAATAAAGACTCTACTTAGGTGTCTCTAAATTCTTATTAAAAAAGTTGAAAAGAGAAAGCTTGATGCAGCAAGTTAATCTCATAAATATTAAGAACAAGATTTAAAAAGGATGAAATGTCAAAAAAGTTTAAGTCCGAACTTGCCTAATCATTTGAATGGAAACCGAGAACATGGGTGTTATAAAAAAAAACGACAAAAAAAAAGGAATAATAAGTTGTGACGCTGTCTAAAGTGTCGGCTCCTGCTTTAAACCAAAGACAAAACGAAGAAAATGTTAAACTTAAAAAAAAAAAAAAAAGATAATTAAAAGAAAGGGTATTTAGCAACTTACTATAGGCTCGAGTTTAAAGCATTTGAAGGAAATTACGAGCTCCCTTCTACAACGTATATTTAAGGATTACTCAAACTGGTTGAAGTTTTGGATAGGTCGCAATAGCAATAGCATGTGGTTTTCTTTGTTAATTTGTTATACGGACGAAGCTATGTATGGCTATTTAAACAATTGGTTTCAAAATTTAATTGTTGTGAGGTAGTCGTTAGATCACTTAAAACTGTTTCAATTAGTACTGGATTTCGTTGAAGTATCTACTCTGGTTGTAAAGTCAAAATTTAATTGATCAATCAATCTGTGTTTGAATGATGATATAGCATTACATATTAACAACTGTTAGTACATCATGTAAAATTCCAGTAAAAGTGAAACTTATTGCAAATTTGAATTTAAATTTGCAAGACGAGACTAAATGGAGACTACAGAATGTTCTAAAGAAACTGTTAAGTACTATGTGAATTTTTCGACTAACAACAATACTAAGTAAATGTTCTAAGTCTTTAATGAATATCCTTTCGCAAGATCATGTCGTGAAATTATGTAAAATAGTTCGGAAATAGAAGCTTTTGTTTGCACTTGGTAATTCAACGTCGAACTATGGTATTGGTATCTATCTTATGTCATTATCAAGGAATAATGCAAACGTTACTATAACATAGACAAATTCGTACTGATATCTCCAACCTTTGAAGGCTTCTTGCTATGCATTGGTCAGGCATTCACAACTAAATTGGTAAAATTGTACGGCGATCATTAAAGTTGTTAACTTAGCACGGGAATAAAAACATTTTAACATTTTTGCAATATCGTTTCATCAATTAAAAACTATTAATTGTAAATCCTTTAAATGCTACTAAAAAAACACATCGGTTGTTCCAATTAACTTTGAGAGTTAGTTATTCTATTCAATACTTTGTTTAGAACGTCGAATGTCGCATATTTTATTAAGGTTTGAATTTAGCGAAAATAGTAAGCAAAAGAAATTGGTAAAGTTCGAGTTTGGTAATATGGTTTGAGTTGTACTAAACTTTTGCTTTTATAATTAAACATGTCACCTTTAGCTACGCAATTGTGGTTTCTAACTTGAATTTTGATCAGCTATCTTCTATCTCTTTACGCTCTTGTAGCATTAACTATGCGACTAAGACGGTTTTTTCAATATCTTTTAGTCCGATAAGACACAAAAAAGAACGATGCTAGTTTGGATATAAGAGCCACGGAGTCTGTGTATTAGTCTTTCATTAAACTTGCTACATAGTTCTTTTTCTTATATAGACTTGCGTATAAATAAATTAGCTGGTTAGTAATGCATTAGAAAATAATTACGGTCTCAGTTACCGGTCTTGCAAACATTAATTGATAATAGCGTCTTTCTTAATCTTAAGGAACAGAAGTTAAAGGAGTTGTTAAATTCCACTTTTCAAATTTAGATAGCGAGTGTATTACTTAGAATCAAATGCTTAAAGGAGCACGGTATTAGGTTTCAATTCTACCATCAATATATTATAGGTTCTCTTAATACAAAACAATTTTATAAATAGACCGTTTAAACAATTAAACTTTCAATAAACATGTTAAAGAAGATTAGTAGCACATGCTGTCAAGTTCATAATAATCTTACTAAACAACTATAGTATAACTCTAACTATTGTTTCCCTTTTTTATCAATTTAATTTATATCTTGTCGCGACCGAACAAACAATATTGAGGGTTGAGTTATTTGAAAAAGGCAAAATGTACATATAACTCGAAAACTCAATATCGCTTTTGGAAGTGAGAATTTGTAAAATTACAAAATTGCTTTGATTTCGTAAATAAAATATATTAAAAAAAAGGTACCCACATCAAGGACATATACGCATTATATAATTATGAAAATACCTCGTTACATACAGGCACAGTCTTGTCTATATCTGTTGCTAAATCTGGATCACTCTGTACTACAGGTTAGTCGTTATCGGCAGAGTAGGTGGCAGGCATAATCACATCGTTGAACAATTACTAAAACCAAAATACGCGGTTTAAGAATTTAATACTTGCTCAAGAAACACATAAGGAAAGGTTTCTTCTCCTCTTTGGATGTTTGAGAATATCGTTAAACGAAAGTACTTTCTAAAGTTCGTTTGCATACTACGACATAAATGAGTTTGATTGCACAATCTGTTATTCCCAGATTTCGTCTCAGTCAAATTCCAAGCTTTCATACTGTCCAGCAATGTGTATTTAAGAGATTTCTTAACACGCAGCTATCCACATTGTCCACAGCTGAAGATACAAACAAAAGTATCAATAACCGTCTTTTTAAATTGGGTCTAGTCGATGAAGATGGTTACTTCTCGCGCGAATCATTGCTTTTTCAAAAAAAGGCACTGTTGAATAGCAGTAATTCAGAGATTTTTAAATTCCCAAAATATTCCCCTTCACGATTTGCATCGGTTCTGTTGGTAAGTGCTCTTGCATTTTGTAAATCCGAAGTACGGTTAACTCACATAACTTTTGTAATAGCCTTTAGTTAATTCGGAGGAAGGCGCCGCTGTCATTGTGACTCTGCGTTCGTCTCGTTTACACACTCATGCTGGTCAAATGTGTTTTCCAGGCGGAAAAGCCGAACAATCTGATGGGTCGTGGTACAATACAGCTCTTAGAGAAACTTACGAAGAGATTGGACTTTTGCCAAACTTCTTCCAACGAATAGGTTCTTTACCCAGTCTACCAACAAAAGATTGGAAAACAAAAATTACTCCTTACATTAGCTTTACGAACCAGTATCTCATGTACAACGTGTCAGAAGAGGTTCAACAGGTATACTGCATACCATTGACTTTTCTACTAAACCCTAAAAACCAACGCAGAGGGCTCTTCAGAAACGAAGTTCCCTTTATTGAATTTCACTTGGAATGTGTTCCTCGAATCTGGGGAATTACTGCTTTTATCTTAAACTCTTACTTCTCTATTTTATGTCCAGACTTACTCATGAAAGTGTGAACGATATATAATTCACGATTAAGAAGAATAACCATTAAGTGTAACACATAATTACAAGTTCATGCTAAAAGTACATATAATAAATACCATCTCGTAACGAATTAATGATCTGCCCGTTTCTGAGCTAGTGCTTGTCTCAATGGTTCCCTGAGTGCATATTGCACAGCCCATTTCCGGGAAAGGAGACGGAGACGTTGAATAAAACAGACCAAAAGAATGACAGAACGTAGTGATATTTGCTTTTTCTCTGTCTCCAGGTCTGGCGAAATGCCGATCTTCTGGAGCATACGAAGATTCACTTTATTACAAGACTCGTAACCTGTTATCTGAGTGAGAATAAACTTTTTCGCAAAAATAAGATCGATTCGAAACATCCGTTCTCGAGATATTTTTGCTTGAAGATATTTCGTGTTTTTCACCAAACTCTGGAGCTCTTCCTTGTGTCGAGCTTCAAGTTCTCGTTTATACTCAGTACGGCAGTCCCTCCATCTTTGTTTAAAGTCAGATAACTTATGTGCCAACGCCCTAAGCCGCTGTTCTTTTGTGTCTAAGGCCCCTTCGAGTCTCTCAATTTTTCCTTGTCTGGAACTTAGGGTAACTTTAAGCTCCTCTATGTTCCGTTGAAGACGAGAAACAGAATGCGCGCGGCTGGTTGTTTCAGAATGCGTTTGTTGCATTCTTTCCTCCAGTGTCCACAAATCCTGCGTACGTTTGTTGAGTTCCTCACGCAAAAGCTGCTTTTGCTTGATGAGCTTATCTGAAAGAGAAGTAATCCTCTCACGTTCTTCGTTAAACACCTTCTCCATCGTTTGTTTTTCCTTTCTTTCACGCTGAAGCTCGGACTTCAGTTGTGTTTGTGTTGCTTGCAAATCCTGAGTTTCACTCTGAAGACTGCGAAGACGAATCTCATTTTCGGAAAGAATAGCCTTCAAGTCAATACGCTCGGCAGTTAGTTTCTCGAAGTCCTTAATTAAGCTTTCGTGTTCCATAGACAACATGCGCAGTTTTTTGTCCGCTGCTTGTAGTTTTGATTCGAGTTCTTCCTTATTTGAGGAAGACAATAGCTTGTTTTGATCCATCGAATTCTGTAAAGGTTGGCTAGACTTTTGAGAAATTCGTTTTTCCAAAGACAGTCTTCGACGTTCCAAATCCTTGCAAATACGCTCCTTGTCTTCCAAATCAAGCTCTAATGTTCTGATTTTGTTTCCCTTGGTTCGTAAGTAACGTTCAATCAGAAGACAAACGATGTCTAGATCCTCTGTTTTTTCACCGCTTTCAACAAGTGCTGCGAGACGTGAGCAAACCTCCTTAGACTTGTTCTTTAGACCGTCTATTTGACGATCCAGAACAGCTATACGATTGGTCAAGCGACCATTTTCAAGCTCTAAGTTCTCTGCATTTGTTCGTTGTTGTGCCAACTCTTTCGATATTTGAGAAATCTTCTCTCGTAATTCATCGACTTGCGTTGACTTCTTGTCTACAGGCAATGCTTCATCTGAAATTTTAGAGAATTTCTGTTTTAGTGTGTTCAAATTGGCATCACGAATGCGTAGTAATCCTTTCAATTCGACCACTTCTGATTCCAGGTCCGTAACCTTAGATTCTAATCGTAACTTTTCTTCACGTTTCTCATCCAATTTTTGTTGCAATTGTTCCTTTAATACCAAGGCATCATCTCGTTGCTTTTCGCTTACCATAAGCTCATCTTCTAAGTCATTAAGCTCCATTTTTGTTTGGTGCAGTTGTTGAGTGAGCGATTGTAAAGCCTCCTTATTACCATTAAATGCGTTCTCATCATCTTTGGCAGACTGAATCTTCAATAATTCCTTCTCTTGTTCAAGGGCTTGTATTTTTCGTTGCGCACTGTGAAGCTCTCGTTGACACTCATCCAAACGTTTCTGGCAGTCCAAAGTGTTCGTACGACTGTCATTAAGATCCTTCTGCAAACTTTCGATAATACGCCGTTGATCTTTTACAAGATTAGTTTCGCCTTTAGAAACGGCCTTTTCAACCTTCTCTTTATCCAAATTCATATTGTTAAGCCTTTGGACAGTGCTTTCAAGATTCAGACGTTGTGTGCGCAACTCTTTCTGCAGAGAGGAGACTTGTTGTTGAGCATCATCTCGTTCGCTAGTTGCTTTTTCTAACTTCTCCTTTAGAGCAGAAGCTTTGTCCACTAGCTCCTGGAGAGCAACTGCCTTTTCTGAAGTTGTCGCTTTCTCTTGAGAAAGTTGTTTGCTTAAAACGTTGATTCTATCATAAAGCTCAAGATTATTGCGTTTACCAACTTCTTCTAATTCAGCCTTCAGTTGTTCATTTGTTTTTTCTGAGTTGGTAAGCTGTACACGCAACAACTCTATTTGGTTATTCATGGTATGAGACATCGACTTTAAAGAGGAGTTCTCATTTTGTAGTTCATCAACTTTGTCTGTTAATTGACGAGACGTCCGTTTATGTGATTCCACTTCTCTCATCAAATTATTAAGTTCATCGTTTAAACTAACATTCGCCTTCTCCATCTCTTGTTTTTGCTGTCGAAGCTCAGATTCCAAATCTTGACAACGAGAATTCACCTCGTCCAATTCATGTTTTGCAGACGAAAGCTCCGATTGTAAAAGCTGTTTCTCTGACTCAGAACACGAAGATGAAAGTTTTCCCTTGGCATCATTTAATTCGGAACGAACATCTTCAAGCTCATGCTCTAACTGAGCGTGCTCATGTTGAAGATCAAGATATTTTCCTTTCCATTCTTCAATCTCTTCATGAAGGTGTGAATCATCTTCCTTAGTCACATCTTGTGTATGATCTTTAAGTGTTTGGATTTCTTCATCCTTTTCGTCCAAAATCCCTTGAGCAACATCAAGTTCTTCTTCAAGTTCATCAATGCGATTTTGCATTTGGTTCATTTCATACTCATGATCTGCTGCTTTTCCGTATGCAGACGTTTCGTGTTTTCGAAGTTGTTCGTTTTCATCCGTTAACCGTTGAATTTCATCCTCCAATTCTTGTTGTCTGTGTATAAAAAATGAGTTATGTGTCACTTCCTGTACTGGTTTAGAGCCTTCCTTCTTCAGTGTGTCTAATTCTTGCTTTTGTTTTTTGTGTTCAATTTGAAGCTTCGTAAATTCGACACGTAATTCAACATTCTAAGTAGGTAAGATAAGGTTCAGAAATAAATTTAAAATACCTCTTTAAGCACGTTCTTTATATTGTCGGGAGCTAGTGTTTGCAGTCGTTGCTCAAGAAAATGAATCTTGAACTTTAAACCCCAGTTGTCCTTTTTCAAGGCATTCATTTCCTATACTCAGTTAGAGAGAAACATTTATATAAGTTAAACGAACCTCTTCTTGTTCTCTTAGAGTTAAAGCATTTCCCGCTGGAGGTTCATCTTCGCAATTTGGCGCAGGAGGAGCAATAATCTCTTGCTCTATTTTAGAATGATTCATTATAGTAGCGTCTCTTGCACCTAAACTTAAAACATCAGAAGTTCTAGAATCATGAACGCCAAAGGTGGATTCATGATTATCAAATGTAAGTCCTTCAGTAGCATTGTGTAAAGATGGTCGGGTCAATGTGCTCGCTGATGCTAACAGAGGAGTAAACTCACGTTTATTATGAGGAGTAGACGCCGTAGGATGCGAGACAGGTGTAGAAGACAACGCGAATTTACTATTGAAATCCTGATGAACATTTGAAGGATTCGGTGCGAAAGATTGCTCCAGCGACGCGAGACTTAGGTTTGAACGTTCAAGAGGATCAATAGTTTCATTATCGTTCCTGAAAGAACGCAATTCCGCCGGCATTATAGCAGATTGTTCACTAAACAAGCCAACTTGAAAGTTTTCACCTCAGAAGGAAACAACACTGTAAATGAAAGTTTACAAGAATGTTCCTATAGTGCAAACCAATTGATAAAATGACAATGTTTGGGAGAATTGGGTATCAGTGCATTAAGGAGAATGGTGAGCTGTTAGCGTAGGTGAAGGCGATGTAATATGCAAAACAGAAAAACATCCAGCCTAAACGTATCCCAGAGATGCTTTCTTGCGTACTACTGATTAAGTTTTAGGGAATTTGTTAGGCTTTACACGGTCAATGACCGGTCACATTTTTGTTCTACAAAACCGGTCAAGTATTATTCATTTACAAATACAAGCGCACACAAAACGACGTACAGAACATAACACTTAACAGCAATAATCCGCAATAGTAAGGACAATCGCCGAGGCTAGGCAATGTCACACAAGTCTAAATCACATACGAGAAAAACCATTAAGTCTACTTGTATCACTTCTCACTAAAAACTTTTCGCTTACCGTTAGACACACTCAACACGTTTACCGAAGCAGCTGAAATTACACTCGTGTTGCAAAAACGATAGGCTTTTTGACTATTATTACAGGTCGTCATCGTATGTTCTCAGACAAATCCCTTCCTTTGAATATCTGTAAAAATATGGAGGGACATTTCATTCATGTTTTCATTGGAAAGTGCTTAAATACGTTTCTGCGATGAGACGAGCACGACCGTTCAAGAAAAGCTTTATTTCGCTAATTTCGGCATCAACATCTTGCATAAACTCAATAATGAAATCAACAAGCTTGTGCTTCAGCATGTCTTGGGTGTGGTAGTTTGTAATAAGGAATGAAATGTCATAACCCTAAACAGTGTTAGAATAACTAAATTAACAGAAACCGTGTGTAAAGCTGGAAGAACATAAAAGGTCGGAAAATGGAGTTCAACGAAACAAATGCTGCAAGGACCGTAGCGGGTTCCTACGGATTTCATGTACGCAAAAATTACACATCCATATAACGGCCTTAAATTGCTCTTTTTCAGGTCCTTTTCACTTACCGGAACAGGCTTTCTACGAAGAATAAAGAAAGACTCAGCTCTTCCCATTAGGAATTGCATAAATTTGTGCACCAAAATATGTTCAATCTCATCAACCTGTTTGATCCGAACGCTGAAACGTGTACTAAAAGCATTGATTAGCAAATACCACGTGAAAAAACCCAGAATTGTTGCACATACCTGTTTATAGAGCTCTCAATAAGACACTGTTCTTGCTCATTTCTCGATATAACCAAAGGTTTTAACAATACTTCACGAGTCTTCGCAACCTCAACCTCGGGAAGGCTCTGACGTTCAATGATTTGCGACGAGAAATGTTCCAAAGCGAGCGCAGCTGTCAGGGAGGCTCTGACAGCACTAAGGTATGGTTTTAATGTATTGGACTGTATGTTAACATCACACACTGCAGAATTCCCTTACCATTTCGGATGCAAACAAGTGTTGGTGGACGGCAGCTCGTATGAACGCGACCCCTCCAGACCAGCCCGAAGACCGTGGATTCGCCGCGGAGAAATTAAGCTCCCGCGGCTATGTTACCCTACGTAAGAACGTATGGCTACAGCAAAGCTAGCAAGAACCAACACCTACCTCGCGCAGTATACGCCGGTAAATCAGTTATGTTTAGTGTAAACGTTCGTTGGCAAGGAAAAATATACAAAGTTGATGTTGATCCAGAAGATACAGGACTCAATTTCAAGCAAAAACTGTATTCTCAAACACGTGTCGCGCCAGACCGTCAAAAAATAATTATTAGAGGAGGACAACTGAAGAATGACACGGTTATGAAAGACTCTGGCTTAAAGCCAAACAGCACGGTAATGATGATGGGTACGATTGGTGATGTCTCGGCAATTCCCGTCCCTGTCCAAATGGACATTCCCGACAATGAGGACATGGAAGATGTAAAGGTATGTTAAAGGAGGAGAAAACGTCCGAAGATACGTTGTTCCTACTTGTGGGACGTGACGTGTGACATACAGGTTACTTTGATGGATACGTGTTGGATAAGTTCAAGAGTTAAACTTAAGCCAAAACACGTTGTCTTATCCCTTGTGAACATTACTAACAATTTTAAACAGTATCCCTCTGGTTTAGTCAACCTCGGAAACACATGTTACATGAATGCAACACTCCAATTACTAAAAGCAATTCCCGAAGTTGAAAGCGTCGCATTAAAAAATACCAATTCCAGCATTTTACTAAGAGAACTTTTGAGTTTGTTTCAAAGCATGAAACCAAACGCATCTATTACTCCATACAAGTTTCTCCAGGTGCTCCGTATGCAGTACCCACAGTTTGGAGAAAAGAACGACCATGGCGGATACGCACAACAAGACGCCGAAGAGTGTTGGTCGTATTTACTCAGTATTCTACGTCAAGCAGGCCCATGGGCAAATAAAAACATGGTCCTGGGAATGCACTCTTCCATGACTTGTGATGAAGACAGCACAGAAAGTGCCACGGAGACTGATGATGAGTTTGTAAACATTTCCTGTCATATTTCGATGCATACGAGCTACATGACTCAAGGTATTTTGGAGGGCTTGACCCAGCAAATTACAAAACGCAGCGAGAAACTTGGTCGAGATGCGAAGTACACAAAGGTTTCACGGATTAGTCGCCTTCCCAAGTATATTGCTGTCAATTTTGTCAGATTTTACTGGAAGCAGTCCATTGGTAAGAAGGCAAAAATCCTTCGCAAAGTCAAATTTCCCTTTGAGCTCGACGCCGTCGAGTTCTGTACTCCAGAACTAGCGCAGAAACTGGTACCCGTTCGCGACCAATTTCGCGAGTTTTCTAAGTTTAAGGACGAATGTGAACGTGCTCACAAGCGTTCCAAGATTGAAGCTACTGAACAAGAAAAAGAACAAGAAGAAGAAGATTTGGCTACACGAGTTGCTGTTTGTCAGTCACTCGTTAGTCCTGACCTTGCAGACGATGAGGGAGCAAGTAAGTGCGGACTTTACGACTTAATTGGTGTGCTGTCTCATGCTGGCGCATCCGCTAATTCTGGTCATTACCAAGCTTGGATTCGAAATCCCGAAAACAAGAAGGAATGGTTCCAATTCAACGACGACAAGATTACTGTCGTGGATCAGGACCGCATTGAGTCCTTAGACGGTGGCGGAGAATCTGACAGCGCTTACATATTGCTCTACCGAACCAAAGAGCTTCAGTAAATGACACGGAACACAAGGGCGCCAAATACTGTTGAATGCCTTCTTCCTTCCACTATAGTGCGAAGGCGGACGCAGAAGACATTGTTTCTGGATCCCCATGTATTAAGTTACGATCAATGAGACAAACCAATTCACACGAACCCGACCAGTACATGTACCATTACGCATAAAACCCGCCAATATCCCTAAACCTCACAACTACACAAAGGACTTTAAACCATACCAACACACACTAACCGCACCCCACCAGCTCAGTTTCACATCCGAGATAGATTGTTTATTGAATCATTACAACCTAACGACGGGCAGCGACCTTAGCGGTCTTGAGGGCTTGACCACGAGCGTTAGAGGCAGCAGCCTTGGCCTTGTTGGCCTTCTTGGCAGCCTCAGAAGTAGCCTTCTTCTCCTTGTGGGCCTTCAAAGCGGCAGTACGAGCGGCAGCACGAACCTCGGGGCGTTGGTTACGCTTCTCCTTGATGACGCTGAGGTCGGCACCGACAACTCCACGTTGGTGCTTGACGGTACGGCGAGTGCGCTTCTTAGCTTGCTCAACCGAAACACCCTTCTTGTGCATGCTACGGTAGAGTTGAGTCCAGGACAAACGACGAGGGTTCTTGCGTTGCAAGAAAAGGCTCTCAGACTTGGAGTTAACAAAGCGGAAGACCTTGTTGTCTCCACGGACGTAGAGACGACCAAAACCAGGGTAAACCTTGGCGCCAGAGAAAGAGCAAACTTCGACCTTCATCGTGTCTTGTTTTTCGTCGGTGTGGAGGAGTGCAAGCGGCTTGAGTCGTGGTGTATGCGCAAAGCAGTGTTCATTCAAAGCAGTCACAACCCTAACCTATACAAAACACTTGGACGAAGCGGAGAATAAATAACATTGCACGTAATTTTTTTAAAGTTAATCCCGTGACATGGAAGCGAATCGGTCGTTAAACTGTTTTTAGAAGTCTAATGCATTACTGTATAATATCTTAGATGTCACTAAATGTTCAATGAAAGGTAATATGCTATAAGAGAATATGTTAAGCTATTGTAATGAGAACAACGCAAACTAATGCAGTGATGCGTTTTCTCAGAAGATGAGTCGTAGACAGGAAAACTGTGTTTTGGGAATTTCTCCTATCGTAGCCGAGCGGATGAACCGTTGAGATGGTCCACCAGGTACAAATGATAAAATGGCTAATTGAATGCCAATACAACCTCAGCCTAGTATTAAGAATATGTTTAAAAGAATGCATTTTTTTTTCTACGGACAGGAATTTAATAGGTGACGGGCGGATGAATGATAGGTAGGAGTGAATTGAGAGCGTCAGCCTTAGTTTAGTAAGATTGCAAATTTGGGTGTGCAAACATATAATGATAGTAGCTAATTCGCTTCTCACAATCACCGGAGAAAGGTGTCCATGCAATAACACTCAAAAAGGCATGCTTTACACTTGCTCAATCTTAATCTTCTTCAAGGCAGGGGCTTCTGAATTCACATCAGTGGAGGTAGAATCTCCATTAGAGTTACTTTCTTGCAGCACAGTACCATTTTTTTTCTCGGTTTCAGCTTCTACTAATTTCCTCTTTCGTTTTTCGAAAGCCGCGTCAACTGTGGCCTCAACCGCTTTTCGTTTGTTTTCAGAAAGAAGGGACTGTATCAAATGGTTAGTATAAAACAAACAGAAAAAAAAAAGAATCCTCGCACATACGTATAGAATTAAACCACGCTCCTTAGCATTGGCCAACAGGCTTCCCCAAAGATCGTCACTAAAAAGCGTTTCCACATTTCCGACGATAAAAAGTGAACTTCTTGCACGCGTAAGGGCAACATTCAGACGACGAAAATCACGCAAGAAACCAATGGAGCCACCGGTTTCGCTACGGACACAGGACAAAATAATGATATCTTTCTCCTGACCTTGAAAACCATCAATAGTGTTCATATCAAATTTGGACGCAAAGGCACGACCATATTTGCGAGAGAATGCTCGACGAAGTTCTTTCAGCTGACTGCGATAAGGTGTGACAATACCAATTTTAGAAGCAAAGTCGACGGTGGGAAAAGAAGAAGTCATCAGGTCGAACAAATCAGTGACAGATTTTGCTTCCTCTGGGTTATAAAGAGAGAATGTCTTCGACTGCTTTTCAGTACCACGAACGTCAAAAACGCGGTACTGACCAAACAAGGGATTTTTGTGCCAGGGTTGCAAGGTTTTAGTAGCAACATTGTCGCCATCAAGCAGCCTAGAATTGTAAAACTGACAACTAGGGAATTGACTAATTTCAGGATGCATACGGTACTGAATACTAAGCAGCTCAAGTTGTTCAGGAAAATTGTTCTGAATTCGAACAAACATAGATTGAGAGTAGTTGAGCTTGACAGCCTTTTTACTCAAGATGGTAGGAGGTAATTGATTGGGATCACCAACGAGCACACAGCGTGCAGCACCATACTTCAATGGAATGATTGTATCCAGCTCCACGGCTTGCGCAGCTTCATCAATAATAACAGTATTGAAGGTGAGGTTTGCACGAGCAACAAGTTCGTGACCACTACCTGACAAAGTAGAGCACACAACATCGCATTCCTTTAACAAGGCTTGTTGAATCTTACGTCGTGTCATGTCAAGATCCCGGTTTCTGGCAATTTTATGGTCTTGAAACTCATCAATTTTCTGCTCTGCAAGATTCTTTTGCTCAAACATTTTGTTTAGCTCGGTGGAAACAGCATCAACGTTTTCGTTAATACTTTTGGCGATATCCAACTGCTTTTGAAGATTCTCAATTGCTTGTAAAGAATCATAGTAAACATCACGCCAGTGAGTCAGCTCCTTCAGAACTGTAAGTTCGGGAAGATCATTACAAACTTCCAGAAGCTGTTTCTCAGTTTGATACTCGATCGAAGTGTCGCGTACGTACATGTTCACACTCTCGGCATTACCAATACGCACAAGTTTAGGTTTATAGGTGCTTCCGTCTTGCAAGGTAAAACCTCGCTTTAAACGCAAAATAACTTCATCGACAGCGGCATTACTAGGAGCACAAAGCAAGATTTTCTGCTTTGTTTTTTCCGAGTCCTGTTTACTATCCGGCCGTGTAATATGATAATTGTTCAAGTCCAGCAACAAAGCGCTCACAATACCTACAATAGTTTTTGTTTTACCGGTACCAGGAGGACCCTGAATAAGTGTGAATCCAACGTTGTCAAGGGAAGCTAAAATTGCATGGGCTTGAGGTTCATTCACACCATATCTCTTTTGCGCGCGTTCGATTTCCGCAGCTGAATGCTTTACTGGTTGCGAACAAGGATGTCCCTTAATAACGTCTTCCACAAGGTTATAATAGGGCAATCCACATGTTGCAGCGTACTGACGCATGTACGTGGAAAGGTTCATCATTCGCTTAAAATAGATGGTGCAATTATTCTGTAAGCGATTCATAAATTTCACGGGCGGACATGTTCTTAAAGTAATAATGGGACCAGACTTATGTCTGTTTAGACGGGTAACCTGAGCGAATACGCACTCATCTTTTGTTAATTCGTTGCAATATTCATCATTGAAAGCAAGAACGACCATCTCAGTATCCGCTAATGGGTATCCCACGAGATCACTTTCCAAAGCACCAACCATAATATCAACAAAATCACTGACAGCAGAACGTTTCAACAAAGTACTTTTGATGCAACGAGTAGAAAGATTCATTTTTTCAGACTGAATTTGACTCCAGCACTCCAAAAAAATCATAGGTTGCATAACTTCTTGGTAATGCTTGACCGAAGAAAACGAGTTGATAACAGGAGAATAACTCTTATGAAACTCTAATTTTGGAGAATGGTGATTCGACGAAGGAGGCCATTTAAGTATCTCTTTGAAGAAATTAGTGATATTAGGAAATAACAAAGCTTTTGTATTCTCGACCTTCTTCTTTGCCATCATACGAGCCTGAGAAGGGTGCATAGACGTGACGGCAGTATTGATGAATTGGATCGGCTTACGCTTAGCTTCCCGAATTTGAGGTGTTTTATTAGCGCGAGCCAAGGAAAAAAGTCCACTTTTTCTGGATTCTTCATCTTCCTCATCATCAGATTCATTGTCTGAAAGAAGATTGGAAGGCGTGTGCATATTAGGCAGATACTTCCGCGTTACATGTCCGGCAGAAACTTGTTTCAGCATGTTTCTACGCTGGACAAGGAAGTCCTGTTTTAATGTCTCAAGCATACCGACACGAGCTTGAGACGTAGTAGTTTTCGGCGCAGCCTTCGGCTTGATAAGAGGTCGAGGAGCAACAGACGGTTTATCGGGGCGCGAAACTTTGCTTGCGTTCATCAACTTCGTCTGTTCTTTCCTTTGCTTAGCTTCCAGAGCCTTTTGTCTCTCAAAGAACTCATTAGCCTGACTGCTTGTTTGCTTCAAAACACCTGCGAGTCGATTACACTGGTCTGCAGAAAGATGAGCCCGCTTCTTCTTTTCAATGAACTCAAGCAAAAATGTTACTGTGCGTTCCTCAAACATATAGTCAAAGTTCGAGAACTTTACGAATAACTTTCCGATTGAGTTGACAATCACTTCTCGCATGTCATGGTCATTAATTTTAAGCCATTTCACCAGTGAAAATAAGGCTTCGGAGCATTCACCAAGAAGAATCAATGCGTCAAAACGGGGAAGGAGGGTGATGAAAAGACCATTGTTCTCAAACAAACCAGTAACAAAATTAAGTGTGAGCTTCATTGTAGCCTTAACACTGTCACGTTGTTGAACTAACGACCATCTAGCAATGTTTGTGAATACAGAATTAAGCAAACTCCAAATTGTTTGCCAAAAGGTTCCCAACGTTAGGGCATCAGTATTTTTTATGATTGAAAGATCCAGACCATTAAGTGAACGAATGAAACCCATGATATAACGCAGAGTGCGGAGTGCCGGACGGTATGTTAAAAGGGATTGCCATTGAAGAACTGACTCAGCGAGTGACTGAACGAGTACATTAATCCGTTTCTCAATAAGCAACTTCATGGTTTCCGCCCTATTCGCAGGACTGCCACAAAGCTTTTGAAACACCTTGAAGGCGGCAACATAAAGCTGTTGTGAGGGTGAAAGAAGCAAACACAAAATGGCATGCATGTTACTGTAATCGGATAAAGCAGTGGTTAACTCCTCAACTGATTTGGTTGACAGTTGTTCGAGATAGGCACAAACGTTATCCTGCAATTTCTGCCAAACATCCGTATAGAAAGTAATTGTTTTTGTTACGGAGTCATGCTCGGATATTTCCACTTCATCAAACAGGCTAATCAAGGGGAACCAGCTAAGCAGATCCTGCTTGTCTGCAACTAAATACTCAGTCCAAAAAGCAGATAGTTGGTATGAAGTGTCAAACGATGCTGTATGGTCATTATTAAGTGTTACGTGCATGAATTCCACATACAAAACATCGTATGAGAGTGACCGCCATTTCAACGAGTTGATGTATGCACTTCGACCAAGATACTTGGCAGACTTTTCACTATCTGTCAGCAAGTCAGCCAACAACAAGTGTAATGGATTAGGAAGAATATTAGCCGAAAAGTAATTGTCATAAAGCGACAGAAACATTTGGTAGCAAACGTATTGGGTCTGCTCTTCAGTCAGCCCTTGTGTTTCAATATACGGAAGAAACTGTGTAAGTATTTCAAGAGGCTCCGTTGCGAAGAATGATGAAAACAGCTGCGCCCAAGATTGTGATGACAGCTCACCATCTCCTTGGAACTCTAAGTCGATACTGGAAACCAGACGGCCAAGAAATTCTAAAACATCATCTGTTGAAACAGATGGCTCCCAGAACGATGGAAAGGGGCAACATAGTAAAGCACAATTTACTCGAGAATCATTTACTGAGTCACAAATAAGCAAGTTCTCTCGAACTTCACTGCCAAACTTTGAAGAACAAAAAGCGGATACATGGGCGGCGGACAAAACGCTAAGCATAGACTGAATTCTGGTCCATGACTCGTCTGAATATGGGACACAAAATACTGTACTGCCAACACTTTCTGTTGTCACTACAGTATCATATATATAGTCAAAATCCACGTCAGTTAATGTGTACGGATCACACCTGCCAACGAAATCGGCAAACCATTGCCGCAACTCGTCATGACGCTCAAGAAACGCGAAGCAAAGCATGCCAAGCAGAAACGTTTTCGAGACCCACAAGTCCTTCAAACGATCAAAAAGGGGAACAGTCCGTTCTATAATTTCAGAATTACTGAATAACACTGGATTCCGTAAAACTTCATATACAGTAGTAGATAAGACGCTGTTTTCCGCCTCTTCCTCTCCATCAAGTTTTTGCAATAAAAGCTGAATACGTTGAACATCCCAATCGTTCCAGCGAGTAGCCAGGGAGTTCACTGAACCACCGGTGAACGTAGAATCTAGTTTATTCAGAGCACTGTCACGTAACTGGTAATATGCGTCGACACAAGCTGTGCAACTTTCCAGGCGCTCTGAAATACCCCGAAACACCCATTCTGTAGCTGGAGTCGGATCATAGGCCATCCACGTAAAGGCCTGTTCCAGCTCCGGGTTTAAAAGACACGCACAAAACCAGTGTTGCGACTCGTTACACGAGGAGAGTTTCGTATACGCTGGTTCAAATGAATCCAACTCTTCAATAGACATCCTCCTTTTTGTCTTTTGTATAATTTTTTTTTACAGATATGTTCCTGTTTGCTTTGGACCCAATTTTAGTTTGATATGTTTTCGTAAATTGAAATTGATAGTACGAATCCCTCTATGAAGTGCAGAAACCCAAGTATGCAGTTAAACCATATATAAACAAACAAATAACAGTTATATTTCGTATAAACAACCTCCTTCCCCAAGAACCACTTGGTACTTGCTCTTGGAAGAAGCTTCACGACCAAAGGTCCCTTCAACGCGAAATGAGCGTAACAGCATTTAGCTTCGGACGTGCGTATTAAATTACACAAATATGTTTTTTAGATATGTATTATGTTTTCTAATGTATTAATTGTGTATATTTTGTTCTTCCTTCTGAGGGTCCCAAAGCCGTCAAGGAGGCTGCATCTCCTAGTCTTTACCAAACACGAAAAAGATGTCCGAACCCTATGATCCCTATATTCCCGCAGCACCATCGAGTTCCTACTCCAATAATGGACAAAAGGCGCCTGCTGTGAACTCGAAAACCGCTGCGATCCAGCAGCAGATCGATGATACCGTCGGTATTATGCGTGAAAACATTTCCAAGGTATCTGAACGCGGAGAACGCCTGGATTCCCTTCAAGACAAGACAGACAACCTTGCTGTGAGTGCTCAGGGCTTCCGCCGTGGTGCAAATCGTGTCCGGAAGCAAATGTGGTGGAAGGACATGCGGATGCGTCTGTGTATCATCATTGGTATTATCATTTTGCTTATTGTTATTATTGTCCCCATTGTAACCAAGGTTCGTGGCAAATAAGCCTAAGAAACCAAATATTCAAAAGCGTGCTGTAATAACGGTCTTACGTGTACGGCTTTCCATCGCGTCACTCGCCTTTTTCATCGCAAAATTGTACCCTCTGTTTCTCGGCTGGTACTCTACAGAAAGCGATACATAAACAAACTTTCATACGGCTACGTGTCGCTTTTGACCTTTTTTTTCAATTGTAAGCACAGTGTCGGTGCTTTTCATTCCAATATTCCATGTATGACTTGCGTTCAAATGGCACGTCGTCCTTTCCAAATAACCCGTCCGCATATTCAGATCCGTAATCAATTGATGCTCCACCCTATGCGTAAGTGCGCGATCATGACCTCTACGTACCAGTTTTTGCACGACTCATTCCTGCTTTGGTTTATATTTTTTATTTCTCTTTTTTTCCTTTTCATATGTCTGCTAGTTACGTGAATGTGCCTTTTAACTGTCCACAAGGAGTCTCGATGAAGAGTCTCGCCGAAGAGCTTCCGTGTATAAAGCTACCGAATGATGGAGCTACATTTAGTAAACAATGGATAGATCCATTTGTTTTGGTGAACAGACGGCAAGGAGGTGGTGGACGACGACGGTCTTTGTAAGTATGAGAGTCAGTGGAGTAGGCGCAGTGTTCGTATCGTAATGTTCTTGTACCCGTTTACGCTCGGGTTCAATGTAAATTTCATTTGCTCCCGCCTTTTGTCCATCTTACTTCTTTTTCTGCCCGCTGTTTACCTTGTTCTCTATCTCTCTCTCTCTCTTTGCGATCGCAATCCCCGCGTCGCGTTTTGCATTTCGCACACCCGTTTCTCATTTCCTCTACCTTACTGTTCGTTACGACTCCTTATCGAAACCTTATTGACCATCCTGACGCTGGATGACTTCGACCAACAACACACACTCATTCCAGTCATTTTCACGTTTTTGCTTGTGGAAACAAGACATAAACCCATTTTTTTGCTCTACAGTACGGAATGATGGAAGAGAATCGATTCATGGTGTCTGTAGCGAAAATTGACGCCGGAATGGCTATTTTGTTGACGCCTTCTTTTCACATCATTGAATTTCCTTCCATTCTTCTTCCAAAAAGCTCAAAAGCAGGATCTATTATTGATATTTCTATTCATCACAATAAGGGAGAAGAGGGTGCTCGGGAGAATGCATTTAATGAAGTTCAAGAAGAGATTTTGCATCTTTACGGAGAGAATACGCCGAAACCGCCCGTTCTGCGAGTCCGCAACGTTACACAAACAAACATCGTTCTCGAGTGGGATGCTCTACGTCTTGGCTCGGCCGATTTGAAGGGACTTGCCCTGTACAAAAATAAGGTCCGGACATGCAAGATTCACGATCCCATGAATACGACATGCATCAAGCTCAGTGGTCTTTCTCTTGACACAGAGTATGTATTTTTCCTCATGTTGAGCACGACAGCCGGCAGTTTTGCGAGTGCTCCGATAAGAGTTCGCACACAAAAGATGATCGATCTCACAGGTATACAAGTATGTGTCGGCAACATTCTTCCTGAGGAGCTGGATGCCTTAAAGCAGTGTGTTGAGCGGATTCACGCCAAGCCTATTCAGACCAGCGTTCGCATCGACACTACGCACTTTATCTGTTCCTCCATTGGCGGTTCTGAATACGAACGCGCCAAACAAAACAACATACCCATTCTTGGTGTTGACTATTTGCTGCGATGCGAGTCGGAGGGCCGTCTAGTAAATGTGTCTGGTTACTACATCGAGAATCGTACTTCTGCTACAGCAACAGCTGCTCCGGCTGCCCAACAAGCTAGACAGCCTGAGCAAAACATGCAGACAGTCCATATCCCTGAGCAATCCGAAACTCATGTTGTTCCTGCAGCACCTGCTGAGGCTCCTGAGACGACGGAAACCCGTACTCCTGAAAATACTGTAGACGTAAGTAGCGAAGTACCTCTTCCTCACCAAGCTTCTTCCGCCGAACCTGTTTCCGGCTCCCAATTTCCTGAAGCCGAGTCTGCAACAGCTGCATCGGCTGCGCCTGAGCCCGAGCGTATTGAGGAACACGCTGAAGAGCACATCATTCGCACGGTTGAGGAAGAAAGTGCATCTACAGTTCCTCCGACCCAGCACAAAATGCAGACAACACCAATTGCAGCTGAAAATATAGTCGAGGAAACTGTCCCTGATGCTCAACTGCCGTCTGAACAGATCACCGAGGAAGCTGTCTCCGACAACACCGAAACAGTCGAAGACGAAACAACTCTTTCTGAAGCGGGAGAACCACAAATTGAGGAGGCCGCATCTCAGGTTCACCCGGAAGATCGGGAGGTCACCGAAGCTGCTAGCACTACTGTGGAAGTGGAAGCCGAGGAGCCTGCCGTTGAGGCCGCTGCTGAGGAACCTGTTGAGGAGCCTGTTGAGGAGCCTGTTGAGGAGCCTGTTGAGGAGCCTGTTGAGGAGCCCGTTGAGGAGCCTGCTGAGGAGCCTGTTGAGGCCGCCGCTGAGGAACCCGTTGAGGAACCTGTTGAGGCCGCCGCTGAGGAACCCGTTGAGGAACCTGTTGAAGAAACCAACGCTGCTGAGGAAATCGTCATTGAGGAACCCACTGCGGAGCTCGCCGTTCCTGATGATGCCGAGCCCGAAGAACCTACAGCTGAAGCTGATGTTTCTGCCGATGCCACTGCGGATGACCCTGCAGTAACAGAGCAGGAACCTCAGTCTGAAGAATTAGACGCCCCTGTCGCTGCTGAAGCTGAAGCGGCTACTGAAGAAACTGAGCAACCCTCTGAAGAACCCTCTGAAAAGCCCGCTGCTGCTGGTGAAACTGATGATTTTGAGAGCGTATCCATCAACTAATGGACGACAAATGCTCTGTCTACGGAACTATTCCATTCATGCAAAGTTGACGAAGTGTTTATGCAACTGATTACTATACAAGCACTAATGATTATTTATGCAGATTCTCCACTTTTCAAGCCGTTTGACCAGTTTCCTTTTCTTTTGTTTGTGCAAGAGCATCGCTTTGTACCCCCGCAGTTGTCGTTCCCAAGGAAGAATGCCTGTTGACGGTGAGTATTCATCCCTGGCTGGTGAACCTGTTACGTACAATACTGAATGGTTTTGTTCGTTTGAGGAATGGGCTCCTCACGTATGAGTACTTCTTTTCCCGCTTCGTTGCTGCTACTTAAGACGGCATATTGCCAAATATTGGGCAGTGTTGCGTACAGCTCTTCTATGCCCTGTAACGCAATCCGAAGGAATCTATGTTTTAAAATCTGGGCGTCTCTGCAGTTTCCGTGGTTGCAAATCGGCGATTCTGTGTATAGAGCTACTTGTGTCAGGTAGTAAATGTCATTCTGCTGGAATGTCAACAGGTGGGATGCTAGGAAATGCATGATTAATGATAGTCGTAAACGACACAACGGCGTTGTATATGAATTGCAAATGACTCTATGGTGCATTATGTCTTATAACTGATTTCTTTGTTGTTAATGTTCTTTGTTATGACAGACCAATTCGAAGCAACAGATTTCCCGTCAAAGCGCTATTCTTTGAAACGCGTAGAGGCTGGTAATAAAACGACAAACTTCGCAATGACAACTGTACTGTAAAAGGCAGGTTTTGTTGTACTGAAATACGAGGAGACTGTAGTTTTTTGTTTTCATAGCTACTTGTCCATAGAGATTACACAAACAAAATTATGAAGACAAAAATAAAGAAGAGCTTTGCTTTAAGACTGCGTACAGGTTTGCTGTTGGTATTGAATTGCTAAGAAGGGCTTTTAAACTGTTTTTATGCCGACGCTACTATACTAAAAATCATCATTAAAAGAAAGAAAAGACTAACGTTCAGTACTCAGCATTGTTTCTAAAAATTTATAAGAGGCCATAAGAGGTCTTTATCGGAAACAGCTTGAGTATTAACTGGTTCTGTCAATAGGTTTTATGGCGTTACAGTTTCGCTTCTGGTGTCCAAACATTCTTGTTTAGAGGCACTGACTTTTCTTGGTTCACCAATTCCCCCACAACAAAATACCACCGTGGCTGTTTTGCTCAGCATGCATGAGCAACCTCATTTCAGTACTCATGGAGTCTCTTTGCTTTCTAAAGACTGGGGGAAAAGGCCTGGATTTGAGAAAACCGACTGGTTGCCTCGGCCGTTAGGACCTACACTGCCAGAGATTAGAAATTCGCTGAGAACTGATGCGTCGGGTTTTTCGTCATTTCTCGGTGTTTCTACACCAAATGTTGCAGGAACTGTGGAACCGGTTGATCGGTATGGACGAGGAATGGCTTCGATGCACGTTTTAAATCAAATTCCTTCAACGCCCAATATTCCACTTCATGAAGCATTCAACTCGTCGTTAAAGTTAGATGAAAGGAACCCATTACTGGGGTCTAGTAATCGTTTACTAAACGTGGACACGAGGAATGATGAGTTTTCTACGTTTGTGCGTCATGGTCGGGCTGTGGATGCGAAGAATCTTGGTGCATCAGCATTCGATCAATTTCGACTGAACCCGGCTCCAACATTGGTTTCACAACCATCTCCCGCTCCTATAGTGCCTACTACACCCAGCAAATTAACACTTCCGTCGCCTCCCCCCTTGTCGTCCATGCATTTGTCTTCTCCGGCAGCCCAATTGCAGAAGCCGCCCCCCATTGCCATCACTCCGTTCTCCATCCTTCAGTTGTCGTATGTACAAATTTTGGCTCTCTGTCATGACCAACTTGGTTGCCGGTCACTGCAACGCGTTTTGGAAAGTAACGATCCGCTTGTCATTGACAAAATATTCCGGACGACCTATGAGTTTATTCCGAATTTAATGGTCGACGCGTTTGGCAATTACTTGTGTCAAAAGCTTTTCGAACATGCTAATGATTTTCAGCGGACCGCTTTTGTAAAAGTAATATCCAGTAAGCTCGTTCCTATTTCGTTAAACATGCATGGGACTCGGGCTCTGCAAAAGGTTTTGGAACTGGTGTCCCTTCCAGAACAAATTGACTGTGTTGTAAAGTCTTTACAAAACAATGTTGTTTTGTTAATTAAGGATTTAAACGGAAACCATGTGATTCAAAAGTGTTTGAATCAGTTTTCCTCTGAGGATTCCCAGGTATGTTTTTTTTTCATTGTCATGAGTTTTCGCCTATGATATGCTAACCAGTCGTCTAGTTTATATATAGTGCTATATGTAGAAATATTGTCGAAGTGTCAACACATCGACACGGTTGCTGTGTCGTACAACGATGCTTTGACCACGCATCTCCCGCGCAGCGCGAGATGCTTGTACTTCATATTATTCCTGTTGCCTTGGAATTGGTGCAGGACGCCTTTGGAAACTATGTCGTTCAATACGTATTGGATCTCAAAGAGCCGGTGTATACAGATGCCGTTATACGCAAGTTTTTGCATAAGGTCCGCATGCTGTCTGTTCAAAAGTTTAGCTCAAACGTGATGGAAAAGGTTTGTCAAAGATTACTGTTTGTGTACCCTATTCGTTGTATTAACGTTCCTTTTTTAAGAGTCTTTCCATGGCTTCAGATGAATTAAGAGCTCTTCTTATAGACGAGTTGTTGGATAAGAAACATTTATCGAGACTTCTCAAGGATCAATTTGCAAATTATGTAGTGCAAACTGCACTTGAATGTGCGTCCCCGGAGCAACGGGCAAAGATGTTTGCTAGTATTAAACCACTGATGTCGCAGATGAAGAACATTCCGTGTGCCCGTCGAGTCTTAGCAAAGATGGAGCGCTACTCTGTTGCTTCCTCATAATTTGCTTGTTTCATTGTTTTTGATGTTTTGAATACATTTGTCTCTGGTCTTGTACTCATGCAAGCTTCATTTATTGGTTGCTTGAGTACTACTTTTTCCTGCAAATGCATGTTGGCGTAGAAAAGCTGATTTGTCTGAGAAGGGTGCGTACTTGCGCATTCATTTAATGTTCTCGCAACTTGAATGTTTTTGGCTCAACGCCCTATGTTGTATGCAAAATATGTGTAAAATAGTGTATATTATACATTAAGTTTAAATGGGTATTAACTATCATCATATACAGTGAATGTCGTCGAACTTCAACTCTGTAGTGAAGGAATCAAAGTGTGCATTTTCCGCCCACTCCTGTAGTAGGGAACGACCAAAACAAAGGACATTTTTAACATCCATATGATCCAGGAACATGGGCATGGGTGTGCTGTTCTCGTTTGTATACAATGCCCAAGTTTTGGGATAATTGCTCAGCAACTCTCGCATTGGCAGTAATGTGCTCGCAAGCTTAAAACAGTTAGACGCCTGGTACCAGGCTTCTCTCACTTTCACGGCAAGCTGCGTCAGACTTTTCAGCTCCTCTAACTCTTCTGGAGACTGTAGACCTTTTTTGGCGCTTAGGCGTTTTGAGACGTTGTGTTGAAGAATATCCATACGTCTCATCTCGATCGTAAATATCCGTTGAAAAACAATACCCATAATTTGGTTGCAAAGACTGCGTAAATGAGGATGCATGTTTTGTTTGGGATGCTGAATGTAATGAATGTATGCCGGTAATGTACGCCAGTTGCTGGCTGAAGGAGGAGCTTTGCGTAGCTCATTCAAAAAATAGTGGGCTTCAAAAGCAAGTATATAGCACAATAGTGCGTCCACTGCGTATGTTTGGGAATATGTTCCTTTCTTGTCGGCCTCTTTCTTTTGGCGCTTACCGATTACGGTGAACTTTTTGAAGAGAGAACTCAACTGTGCCTCGCGATTTGAAGAAGGCGAGGAAACCGGCGTACTATTTTCGGATGAGTGTGAGTTGGTTGGCCTTGAACTTTCTGTTCCTGGAGTCTCATGTTTCCGCAGTTTTCGATAATCCGATAGTGTAACGCTGAGTTTTCGTTTCGCATCTTGCTTGTCTCCAGCACTCGATTCCTGTGAAGACGACACGGTTGGAGGATTCTCACGCGGTCTGTTTTGTCGAGGATTTGGATTACTGGTTGCGAGAACCTTAGTAGAACTATCACTTGTTCCATTCCCTTCTGATTTTACTGGCTTCGCATGATTAACAGGACTATGAACCTTTGCAGATGAGTCTTCTTGAGACCTTGCAGAAGGTTGTTTGGTTGTGGGTGAGGCCGTTTCTGCCGGCAAATGTGCTTGCGTCTTGGCTGGAAGAGTCGGACGGCGCTGTGTAACGGATGATTCCGAGCTTTTGTTCGTGTCCGATGGAGTATAACCTTTTTTTGAAACTGGAGCCGAGGCTGCCGGCTTTGACTTTACTGTGGGTTCTTGTTTTTGCGATGTTGTCGTTTGTGAAGTGCCCCCCGAAGTCCTAACTCTCGAATTGGTAACAGCAGGCGGAGTGGTTGTCTGCTCCTCTTTGTGAGCAAGTTCCTGTTGCACTTGTTTTTGAGGATTTGGAGTCGGAGAAGTAGGAGCATCGAGTTCAGTCGAGTCAAAAACTGCAGGGAGTGTTGGACTCAAAGGTTTGGGTAGAACAGGATCATTAATGAAGACGCTCGGAATCGTCGGTGTGACGGGAGAAGAGAGCACGAAACGTAAAGAGGACTCAACCGTTTTCTGTTCTTTCGGCGTCTCCAACATGAATTCCTTCAAAGTCAATGGCTTCCGTAACTGCAATGAGAATGTAACGTTTTATGCGGTTTAAGTAGCTTTCTGCTGTTTCTATAAATGAAACATGCTTAATTTCATAAAATTAAGGTCGTAAATCAGCGTGTCCTTAGTATTCGAAGCAGGCGAAGGAATCGCTGCTTTTTTTCGGAGAGGTGAAAAGCCAGTGTGAAATTCGATTAACAGTAACTCACCATTAACGGAAGAGATGACACATTTGATGCAGTACTGGTTGTAGAATGTAAATTTAACGGTCTTATGTTTTTCGTTTCTGATTCGGCTTTGTTTTGTGAATCTAAAGGAAAGCAGTCGCCTCGATTATCCCCGACCCAAGATAATGAGTAAGAGTTGTTTAAGCGGCCTGTAGCAGATTAAAGAAATTCGTTGAATTCTTAATTGCTTATTCTTCGGATGTTGTTTCCTCAGCATCTGGGTCTGTATCACTATGACTAGAGTCTCCGTGTTCTGGAGCGGTTTCGCTTTCGTCTATGTCCTGCACTTCTGCTTCTACTGCTGGAGACTGTTGTGCTGGAGTTGTTTCTGCTGACACGGAAGTTTCTTGTAGCTCTTTTTTGTGCAATGCTTCTTTTATCATGGAACTGAAGGTTGATACAATTTGCTCCTCTCTGTGTTTTGTAGTCTCGTAAAGTGCACTCAGTTGTTGATGGAGTTGCTCATACTCTTCAGCATATCGTTGTATCCTCTTGTCAATTGTTTTCTGATAACTTTGTTAGATGAAAAACGTAGATGGAAATTATTTCCAACATACATTAATGCTAGAAGCACAATTCCAAAACCATTCGAAAATAGATTTCGTTTCTGAGACACTTTGTAATTGGAAGGACGCCAGTCTTAGGGGAAATGGTTTGGATTGTATGATGTATAGCTAAATATTTAATTAGTATTATCCAGTTTAATATCGAATAAACTCAAACTTGAACAGAAAAAGCAGCAATTTGACGTTAAAGTTTGGTTCCGTACTTACATTGCAGCTTCCATTTACAGGAATAGCCTGAAGATGATATTCCCCAAGTTGTTTACCCTTCAGTAGGTCATGAATTGTTTTTTCAGACAAAGAGTCTCCGTTTCTATTCCGAACGAGCGTTCGAAACTGAAGGTCATCTAAATGTGTTAGAATTCGAGGAAGGTTGCTCTCTTTCATTGCAATCCCATACCATGAAGACAGTATGTTGCCTGATGGAAAAGAACATTCATAGTCACTTCATTTCCGGCGAACTCCGTTACTAAAACCGACTTTTGGGATTTGGTATCTTCTAAACTTATGAAATAAGTTTCCATTCAATTCAATGTTGAATAAATAATCACGAACACTAGACTTGCACTGTGTTTTGAATGAAGCTGAGGTGGGCGCGACGCGTATTTCATTATCGCATCGACGCGAAAATAAGGTTTCGCCATGATATCATTTATTGCTCCCATAGACTTGTTCCCGAACGCGCGAGCACACCTGCCCAGCGCCATAAACAATTCATGCTGCTCTTCATTGAGTTCGCGTAAAGGTTGTTATTTTTGTTTTTGTTCTGTTTTGTTTTTCAACTTGCTCTAGTACACGCTTTTTCGTTGAAGAATTACTTCAATTGCTTTGAGCAAATCCACATTCTTCGAACCCTTTACAGCATCTTAAAATGATCAAGTTTGTTAGAAACAGAGCGTCACAATTACTATTAAAGGAATCGGGAAAAAACTATGTCGTTCCAAAAAACGTTTCCAGTCTTTTGATTGATCAAGGTTACGTACAACAAAGCTCCTCTGGCGTATTTCAACTATTACCGCTGGGTTTACGAGTAATGGATAATATCTCTAACATTGTCCATCAGGAGCTGGCAGGATTAGGTGCAATACGTGTCTCGCTCGCCTCTCTGTCAGCAAAAGCCGTTTGGCAGCAAAGCAAGCGTTGGGAAAAAATGGGATCAGAAATGCTTCATATACGTGATCGAGCACAGCGTGATTATTGTTTGTGTCCAACACACGAAGAGGAAATGACTCGGATGGTAGCCAATGTGTTTCACTCTAGCAAACAATTGCCTATAAGTGTCTACCAAATCGGTTCCAAATATCGGGACGAAGCGAGACCAAGGGGTGGTTTGTTAAGGGCGAAAGAGTTTTTGATGATGGATTTATACACCTATGACGCTACAAAAGAAGCCGCAGAGAAGACTTATGAACGCGTCTTCCAGTCCTTTCACCGAATCTTCCGGGCCATTGGTCTTCCATACACGGTCGCTGAAGCACAACAAGGTACTATGGGCGGGGCTTATTCACATGAATTCCACTACCTGAACGAGGTGGGAGAAGATGTTGTTCTTCGGTGTCCACAGTGCTTACATGCGGCGAATACTGATGCGTACCACGGATCAATAGATAAATGCGTCCACTGTGGAGGCGAGCTATTGCAACAAAAATGCATCGAGGTTGGCCATACGTTCAATCTGGGTCAGACATACACACGACCATTCCAACTTTGTCTGTCTAATGGAGATGCACTGTATATGAATAGCTATGGAATTGGGATCTCACGTTTGCTAGCTGCTGTTGCTCATATGACGCACGACGAAAAGGGACTTGTTTGGCCGACAGCTATCGCCCCATGGAAAATCATTATTCTGCCTGCATCTGACTCAAAAATACCCGACGCAGAAGCGCTTTACGACTCCCTTGCTCAAACATTTGGCGCAAACAACATTCTTCTTGACGATCGAGGTCACAAGTCTTATGGTCGCAAAATAAGGGACGCTGAACTCATTGGCTTTCCGTTCATCATCACGGTCGGCGAGTCTTACACACGTGATGGGTCATTTGACGTTCTTGCTCGTGCCTCGAACACACGCTACAAACTCAAAGCTGCTCAATTGCACACCGTCGTCTCGGGCAATTTCGCCTAACCGGATTCCCACTGCTTCCTTCTTGGACACCCTTTTATCGCTTACCAAATTTAACTTTATTAAAGTTATACTAAGCGACGAAAAACGCGCTCATAATCACACCGGAAAATCAATGACGAGGAAATCAAGTTACTCCATGACATAAAGTTGACGACACGCGTTTCGTTAACGCGTACATAAAACACAGAACTCTCGTTCAAACCATTCTTTCAACTCCCAAACACACATTCTCGAAAGTCAGAAATAATGGGAATGTTCGGCTGTCGAGAGACATCCAGCCTGCCCTACTGAGTCTTCACAATGGCCATATTCCTTTAACGTCCTGACTAAATCTGCCGAAGCCTTATCAAGGATGTATTTTTAGCGAATAAGACGTGCCTCCATCGCGTGCTACAGTTCCTTTTTGGGTAAGACCCTTCTGCTGGGTAGGCCGGAGGATGTGTAAAAACGTTATCATCCATCCTCGTTATTCCTGGAAACTTCTAAAAATACATTTGAGAATCCATGGTGGCTGGATTCCCCTCTGAAGTCGACATTCATCGAAATGTTGTGGTCATTTTGTAGCTAAAAACAGAAGCTGTTGCGTTCTAATTATTGGGAACCGGTTTCTGAAATAGTGTTTTCACCACACATTATGAACTACAGGCTACACGAATGGACCGGCGAGAAAAAAATCATAAGCACTATTGCATTTGGTTTCCATGAGGCTGTTTGATGAATTCCGTTTTTCAATTGGAAAACTCGAGTTTCTAAGACAATTGCTTCTTACCATTAATTGTCGGCATCCCGGTCGCATTCTTAGCGGAGCGAGCTCGGCTATGAAACATGCGCCGTCGTGTCCAATTACAGGTCGTTTCTCTTTTTAGCCTCAAAACACTTCTGAGCGGAATTCCTTATCTAATACCAGGTGGCTATTTTGGTACCAAAATGGCAACAGCATCGCAAATTGGCATCATCGTTGCTCCCTAGTAACTCCTTTCGTGGACAATAAAAGCCCAGCTCTTGCCACCCCTTGGTCCGTTGTCTACCTTCATCGACAAGTTTTACGGCGAACAACTCACCGTCCCTTTCTTTGTTCATCTTCATCCATACGATTTTGGTTGTAACGACACGTCTTCCCTTCACGACTTTTTGTTGAGTATCTAGGCTTTTTTAGAAACTCAATTTTTCACGCAATCTACATCTTCTATCATTATTAACGCACATTTACAAACCGCAGCTATGTCTCAATTCGCTAGCTTCTCTGTTCCCCAAATCAAGAACGAGGTTCCCCAATCCTACGCCCCCGGCTCTGCCCAACGCGAGGGTCTTTTGAAGGCTTTCAAGGAGCTTGAGGCCGAGCTCCCCGTTGAAATTCCCCTTATGATCAATGGCAAGGCCGTCACCTCCAGCGAGATTGGCGAGCAAATCTGCCCCTTCGAGCACAAGAAGGTCGTTGCCCGCTACAGCCGTGCCCAGCCCGAGCACGTCAAGGCCGCCATTGAGGGTGCCCTTGCCGCTAAGAGCAAGTGGGAGTCCCTTCACTGGTCTGAGCGTGCTGCCGTCTTCTTGAAGGCTGCTCATCTCATCAGCAAGAAGTACCGTTACAAATTGATGGCCGCTACCATGTTGGGTCAGGGTAAGAACGCCTGGCAGGCCGAGATTGATGCTGCTATGGAGATTTGCGATTTCTTGCGCTTCAACACAAAGTATGCCAATGAGCTTTACAGCCAACAGCCTCCCGAGAACTCCCCCGGTATCTGGAACCGCATGGAGTACCGTCCTCTCGAGGGTTTCGTCTATGCCATCACTCCCTTCAATTTCACTGCCATCGCCGGCAACCTTGTTGCTGCCCCCATGTTGATGGGCAATGTTGTTGTCATGAAGCCCTCCGACTCCGCTGTGCTGTCCAGCTATGTTGTCTACCAGATCTTCCGCGAGGCCGGTCTCCCCGATGGTGTTCTTCAATTCATCCCCGGTAACCCCGTTGACGTTTCCCGCGAGGTCTTCGATCACTTTGACTTTGCTGCCCTTCACTTCACCGGCAGTACCGCTGTCTTCCGTCAACTTTGGCGCCAAATTGGTAACAATGTTGCCGATGGCAAGTACCGCACCTACCCCAAGATTGTTGGTGAGACCGGTGGTAAGAACTTCCACCTTGTCCACTCGTCCGCTCACATTCGCAACGCTGTTGTCTCCACCATCCGTGCTGCCTTCGAGTACCAAGGCCAAAAGTGTTCTGCCCTTTCCCGTCTTTACGTTTCTCGTTCTGCTTGGGAGAATGGTTTCCGCGATGAGTTGGTTCGCGAGACCAAGGCCCTTAAGGTCGGCCATCCCACTTCGGACATGGCCAACTTTGTCGGTCCCGTCATCCACCGTGCCAGCTTTGACAAGCTTAAGGGTGTGTTGAGCCGTGCCGAGGCTGACAGCGAGGTCGAAATCCTCGTTGGCGGCAAGGCTGACGACAGTGTTGGTTTCTTCGTTGAACCCACTATTCTTGTCTCTGCCAACCCCAAGCATGACATCTTCGTCACCGAGTACTTCGGCCCTGTTGTCTCTGTTTACGTTTATGATGATGACAAGCTTGACGAGGTTTGCGAGGTCATTGACACTGTTACTCCTTATGGTTTGACTGGCTCCATCTTCGCTCAAGACCGTCTCGTCGTCAGCCAGCTTTCTGCCCGTCTCCGCAACGCTGCCGGCAACTTCTACATTAACGACAAGTGTACCGGTGCCGTTGTCGGTGAGCAACCCTTCGGTGGTGCTCGTGCCAGTGGCACCAACGACAAGGCCGGTAGCGGTATGATTCTCAGCCGCTTCGTGTCTCCTCGTGCCATCAAGGACACTTTCGACTATGCCGACACTGTTATTTACCCTTCCAACTTGGCTTAAACGTGGTGAAGCATAATGTGATGAACATAACGCGATGAACATGCTTTGTTATCTGCTCACAAAATCCGGTTACAGCCATCGTCTTCTGGGACTCTGCCTTGGAGTTGAGTCTCGGTCCTCCTAGTCATTTTCCCTCATTCTTTTCGACCTGCACGCTTCACCTCAGGTGAATACCAAAAAAGAAATGCCGCGGGTGCTGCTCTTGTAGGCATGCGGCGCATCTCATTTACTCCAACTCAACCGCTTGATCCGTTAAAAATAGTTTATAGAATGATTTTCCAAGAAACTCGTGTGGGGGCGTTAGCTGCGGTGTGGGGTGTATTGTGGATCCGTTCGTTGGTGGTGTATATTCACAAAGAGGGGAGTGCGGGGAACACTCAGGGATCCTGGCCCTATTTACTACGTAAATCCCCATCGATCCAGGGAAATCATCAACCGCGATGACGTATGATCAGCTCTCCCGACTTCCCCTCACCTAAGAAGATCTGCTAAACGTAACCTAGGTGATCTAGGTGATAGTGTTTGATGGCGTGAGATGATCGATCAGCACCGCGGGAAGCTAGCCGAGCACACGAAAGGATCATCCCATGGGATCGTGCGTCCCATGAACGCTAATTCTTCTACTGACAGGGAACGAATCACCGGAGAAGCAATTTAAGCAGCTGGAACGCGAGTTCGTTATAAATTTTGCGAAGCGGAATGAAGTGCAGTAAGTTGCTTACGGCACCACTCTATACTTCTGTATACGCTTAACGCGTCTGCTGCGCTTCGTTTGATAGCGCAAGACCACACTACGTATCAGAAAACCTTAATCCTCCCTACCGACCAGAGGGACTTGTCTTCTCCCAACCACCTTCCCATCATTGCCGGTCGAGAAAAGTGTATTTTGAGACGAATTGAGCAAGAATGTTTTCGTATGAATCAGGGCTCTACAATGGTAAGCAATTGGAGCAGCAGAATTGGCAGAATGACTGACATTTGGGCGTCAGAGCTTTACTTTGTGAGACAATACTTTTATAGCGGAAGCTACTCGAAATTATTCGAGATTGATGCAAGCAGCATGTCGGAGGGCGGCAAAGAGCTCACAGAGATCTACTTTGCCAGAGCGAAACGCATTCAAGGCGCCAGTTTGGAGGAAATTAAAGCGTGCATGACCGTCGACACGCCCGGCACTCGAGCAATGCTTGCTTATGCCGGAGAGGGCGACTTGTCGAGCATTGTAGCCGAGCATGGCTCGTCAGACGGTGCTGTCCAAGTTCTGGGAGCATTATCGTTGATCCAAGACGGCCAGTTGCAGGTTGCGTACGGTCTTTTGGAACAGGCTGAGGAAAACCTGGAAGCTGTCGCACTTCAAGTGTATATTTGTTTGGCTCAGGGCGACATTACTGCAGCAGAGACACTTGTTCATTCAGCACTCGATTGGACGGACGAGGAAATCGTGTTGCAGATTGCACACGCCTGGGTCAAGCTCGCGCGTGGAGGCTACGAGGCATACAACGACGTGTTCTATGTGTTTGAAGAAATCAGCTCCTCGAGTGCGAGCGCGTTTACGCGTAACTACTTGGCGATAGCAGACCTTTGTCTGTGTCGGGCAGAGGACGCCGTGGCCCACGTCGAAAACAATGCCAACATCGACGAGGGCGACAATGCTGTTCAAGCTGCAGTGACGAGTGCAAACGCGGCCGTTGCCGGTCAACACACCGGCAAGCAACGGGGCCCTGCTTCGTGTTCTCTTGCCAGTGTACAAAAGGCACTCGCCCTTAAAAGCGCCGAATTCGATGCTCTTTGCGAGAGCTTTGCCGCTTAATCCGGCTGAGGAACGAACCAAAATTGAATGAAAGAAACTGACCAAATAAGAGTTGCGAAGGCCGTTAGATGGCCGCAAGAGAGCCGAACAGATACTAAAGCAAACGGCCCCTTCAAGCCACAACTAGCATCTTTGTTAAAGACGTACCCTCGTGCAAACGATTGCGGAGTCAACTAATAGCCCGAGCATCGAGAGCGTCTATCAGAAGCACTCGTTTTCTTGCTCACTAGCTGTTACCGCTGCCGCTGTCACTACCCACCCACCAACTTTACTACTACAGTCGCTCGCTACATTTCCCAACGTCACCCTTCCCCACACACCCCTGCACTCTCGCTTAGCAGTCGCATACACATCGGCCCTCCCCGGCGCTCTTAGTGGGCTTAGTGCTCTGAAGCGTTTTGTACGCGCCATCGGCTTAGCCTCTCGCTCATCTACTGGTATCAGCTGTGTTGGCGTGCTAAACTTCAATGGCCGACGTTTACAGCCGATACTTAGCGGCCAGGCCTCCAGCCGCCTCCAAGCTTTTCAATTCGCTTGCTAAAACGATCGGATGCTTTGTTCGAACAAAGAACGTACAGACCCTTTTCTTTGTCGCATCAGTCTCGCTATCGGCGGACAAAGCCCAGAGGGATGACATGGGTGTCAACGTTGGGCGCTATAAAGAGAGCCTGGAGAGCGAGCCGAGCGGTGAAAGACTGCCAGTTTACTTGGTTTTGGAAAAAAACGTCTACAGAACGTCGGTGCCTCGCACAGCACACACAAGGAGCCACGGAAGGAGCGATACGGACGAGCGAGAGCAGAAGCGAATCTCGCGATAGCCAACGCATTTAAGGCGAAGCTGACGGACACTAAGAAAAGCATTCTAGCGGACGAAGAGAGAAAAAAATTTCGTATTCATCGGAGGAGCGAAAGTTTGTGCAATTGCATTTCATCCACCCTCAAACTTACACTCCTAAGCATTTTACACCAGCCATTGCCAGCCTTCGTTGTGACATTTTCCGAAGGAAGACCCTTTCAGTCGTAGCCGGCCGATCAAGCGAACGATTAAGCAACGTGCCGGAACAACGACCCTTTCACCCACCCACGCATCCACCTACGCACCTGATCATCACCTCTCACTCACCTCACACATTGTCCTATGGGCTGTTTCAGTAGCAAGATTGACCGGAGCTTAGACGATGGAGCGTCGGCGTACAAGGAGAAGTCGCGGTCGCCAAAGTCGGATTCGACACTGGTGGGTAGCTCATCGAAGAAAAATGGCAAGGCTGCCATGAACAAGGGCGGCAGAGTAGAAGACGTTGCGAATGAAGTCAAAGTTCTGCTGCTCGGAGCCGGCGACAGCGGCAAATCAACGATTATGAAGCAGATGAGGTTGCTGTACAGTCCCGGATTCAGCCAATCGGCGCGCAAGCAGTACAAGACGCCGATTCTGGAAAACGTTCTTGTGTCGCTGCGACTGCTGCTGGCGTCAATGGAGGCACACAATCTGCAGTTGCTGCGCGAAAACGAACAGTACGTGCCAATTGTTGCACAACCAACGGTGCTGCATCCGGAAGAGCCGGTACCGGAGTCCGTGGCACAAGCAGTGAGAGCCATCTGCAGCGACCCCAATGCTGTTGCAGCACTGGAGTTTGGCACACAGTTCTCGCTCATGGATAACTTCTATTATTTCCGCGACCACGTTGAACGGCTCTTTGACCCGGACTACGTGCCCACCGACCAGGACATTCTGCACTGCCGTGTGAAGACGACAGGTATTACGGAGGAGTCGTTTGTTCTGAACCGTTACCGGTACCGGTTCTTCGATGTCGGTGGCCAGCGTTCTGAGCGGCGCAAGTGGATCCACTGCTTCGAGTCAGTGTCGGCCTTGCTGTTCCTTGTCTCCCTGACGGGTTACGACCAATGTCTTGTGGAGGACAACACAGGAAACCAGATGCAGGAAGCCCTTTTACTCTGGGATTCCATCTGCAACTCCAACTGGTTCGCCAGCTCTGCAATGATTCTTTTTCTGAATAAGCTCGATTTGTTTGAGCGTAAGATTCACATCTCGCCCATCCAACCACACTTCCCTGACTACCAAGAGTACTTGTCAACACCCACGTTTGTGCAGACGCAGTGTCCAACTGCTGATGCTGGGGTTCGCAGTGCCATGTACTTTTTTTACCTTAAGTTTGAAAGCCTCAACCGTGTGGCATCACGCAGTTGTTACTGCCACTTTATCACTGCCACTGACACTAGCCTGCTTCAGCGCGTGATGGTTTCCGTGCAGGATACGATCCTGTCAAATAATCTTGAGTCGCTTATGTTTTAGTGGCGCGACCTGACGCAAAAGTGCACCCTTTTTCAGCACAGCATTCTATCGGTTCCGATTCTTCTTTTTGTCTCCATCATCTCTCCATATACCTGCCTGTTTTTCCTCTCCTTCTTTTTTTCTTCTTATGCACTCTTCCTTTATTTTACGATGCGCACGTCCTTGTTCATCCGTCACCTGCCCGTACATGGACCATTAACGATCACCCATTCACCCCGTTCACTCAAGCAATGCTCATACGTTGTCATTCCGCGCTTTGTCTCTTCTAATTCCTGCAGCAACTGAAACCGACTGCAGTCGTATCTTTTGGTGTGAACAGCGGGGGGACGGGCGGCTAGGGGAGACTGGAGGGCTGTCCGCAGGACAGATTGGAGGCGGTAGTTGCATCGTCATGAGCAGGATCGAGAAAGCGATTTGAAGAAACAATTCTTGCTGTTTTCTTCGTCGACTTTCTCGTCCTGCCGTGTCTGCGGTGCAACTCTCGCCTCCCCTCTGCTCTGCAACCTTCGTCTCCTCGTCTTAAAAGAGTCTCAACGACGCCGTCTCCGCCTTATCGTACTCTTCAATTTTGTCTCTTCCTTAATATCTTATTGTATTTTTCCTCGTCAATTTCTCCGACCTCTTACTTAACCTTCCTCTCTCTCCTCCTCCTTTTCCCCGACTAAAACTTGGTGGTGGCGGCGGTGGTGGTGTTACGCAGGGCGGCAGCAAACGAGCTGGCGGAGCGGACGAATGTTAGGAATATAGCCAACAAGCGACGACAGCGCTTAGGGAGCAGACGCTTTGCGCTCATCGTCTGTCACACGCACCAGCCACGCTGTCATCCTTCTCATCCGTGTGTTAACACCATTCTCCAGGAGTCTCGCACTTTCCGCTATGGAAAGCCTGCTGCGTACTGCTTATGAAAACCTGTGCAGCGAAGACGTCCGCACCGTCAAGGTCGGTCTCCGGCAGGCCGAATCGGTTGTGTTCCAGGTGTCGAAACCGACCGAGGAAAACAGGGTGCCGCTGAGCATCTTTCTCAAACTACAAGAGTCGTTTCTGTACAACTTGACGACTCCTTGCTTGCAGGCCTTTGGGCAATTGGTCAAGGTACACTACGAAGCAGTTCAGGCGCAGGACGCCGACACAGAGACGTTGGTGTGCAAACTCTTGTGTGATATCCTGCATGTGATGGAAGGTCTGGTGCTACTGCATCCTCCATCGCAGCTGTGCTACAACTCAGAAGCCGTCCTCGACTTGTTTGGACGACTGCTACGTGTATCACAGCCTGTAACTCTACAGGTCGCAGCTGTGAAGACGCTCGTCTGTGTCATGGTCGATCGACCGATTGTCATGAGGGCGTTTGAACGAATTGGTGGTCTCGCTCGAGTGTGCATGCTGTTTAAAAACAAGCAAACGCATCAGCAGACAAAACTGCAAGCTCTCGAGTTCTTTTACTTTTACCTTTCTCCCGAACCATATACATTAGAGCACGAACCGTACCGCAAAACGCGGACGGAGAAACAAGCCTACCTCTCGACCTTTCTCAGCAACGTGGACGGTCTGCGAAAGGATCTCGATACCTTTCAGCCTTTTGGCCGTCTTGATGAAAGCCACGATTAATTAGCAGCAGCAGAGTTGGAAGTGACGGTGGCACCGAGTCTCGGCATTACGACAGCCGTTCTTCGCTCTTTACTTTTCAATTACTTTCATACCCAGACCGAGTTTGTCCACTGCCCCTTTTCAACTGCTGCTTCGTAGATGAATGAACACGAATACTTAATGTCTCTTCAATGTTATGTTATCACACATTAAAAGAGTCCTATCATGAACAAATAAACAAAATTTAACGCATTCAAAAACGTGAAGTTATGTATATATATATATGTATATAAATCATCCATAGATCATTGATAAGAAAAAAGACGTATTATCATAAGATGGACCCTTTCTAACTCACCAGGTATCAAGCATAGCAGAAAATGCACAGTGGATAGATATAAAGATGTTCTCCAGGCCTGTAACGTCTGCAAAGTTCTTTTCGCCAACTTCATCACGCCTTCGTAAAAAGTTGAAAGTGCTTAAGCTGCAGAATGTTTTCGACGATGTCGAAGCTGTAGACTTATGGTTGGCGCCTTCAGCTAGTCGCCGTGGTACGGACACGCCGCCATTCGGCATGCTTGAAGACGTGTCTTCCTTCAACTTTCCTCCGTTTGGTGTTGTTGATGAAGAAGGGTGCTTGCTGCTGACACTTTGCAGGGAACTCCCGGATGGATTCGATGAGTGGCATGGCGTAGACTCGGCTTTCACGTGTTCGTAAGCGCTCTGTCGTATAGCAAGTGCGAGTTGGAGAAGTTGTTTGGTGAGAGAGTGGTAACGGACAATAAGTTCGTCTTCTAGGGGTGAAAGTGCCAAAAAGACGTAGCGACGGCGACCGCCGCGAGCAATGGGATCGGGAAGTGTGAATGGCTGTGCCAATACAAATCCTGTCTCATTGTCACCAAAAAAGATGGGTGAGGAGAGGGAATTCGTCGAGTCGGATGGAGGTGCGTATTCACAACTCAAGCACCGAACAACCGCTTGTCGGAGCAACGAGTATCGGAGCTGGTTATGGGGATACTGTGTGGAAATAAGTACTTCTTCGCCAGATGATGACCAAGAACACAACCGTGGAGAAGGGCCGAGATGTCCGTAGCATTCTGGAAGTACGATATTGCATGAAGCACAGCTAGACGACTTAGGACGACTGGAGGGGAAGAGAGGGACAGATGCATGAGTGTGGAAAGGAGGCCGTTGACGTACGGGAAGAGGTATGTGCTGATCTTCAGACGGAGGAAGAGGAGAGGGGGGATTGGGTTTGATATGCGTTTCAGGAAGGCTGCCATGATTTCGAAGATCGTCGTTACCATTATTTGAAGACAAGTGGAGCTGTTCTAACTTTCCATTGGCTTGTGCTATCAGCTTTTGACCTTCATAGTGCTCGTAACCATTTGCCGCAACGGGCGAAACCGTAAAGTCACTGCTGCTCCCAAGTGAAGAGTCTTGCCGAATAGATCTATTTGACGACATATTAGTCGGAGCAAAATCATCCTTCGACAAGACACCACTACTTTGGGTAGAGCTGGAACAATCGAAACCAGGAACTTGATTAGGACATAGCTTTTGCGTACAAAACATAATAGACGGTCCTTCAATTTCGCAGAAGTGTCCCAAGGCCAAGATGACATCCATTGTCAAAAATGTTACAGTGATGACAAGCAGAGACAAACAGTAATGGGTAAAACAGCACAGATAGGTATGCAGCAGGAAAGAAGAAGAAAATGCTGCTAGTATAAAATGAATGTTCGAACAACGGACAACCGTCGGCAAGCGTTGTCAAACAGACATATAGAGATGATCACAGCCCAAAAATTAATAAATATCGAACTTTCACTTTAACAAAATAAACGTTTCTTTCTCCAAAACAAGTGTAGAATTGTGTGAAGTATCTTGAATGCGAGGAATTCGACAGAAAGAAAGGTGCCAACCGTTACTTTCTTGGAATGGTTGAAAAAATATCGAAGAAAATACACAAAGACCAATTGAGCCGATTCACTCGGATCTCAGAGCTAATTGCACATTCGTGAAAGCCTAAATACTTAAATTAAGACGAAAGACGTGTAAACGGCTCGATAAAGCAACTTTTAAGTAGAGATAGTTTAGAACCCAAAAAAATCAATGGAAAACAGAGGTTTTTGGAACGGAAAAAAGATGTAGTGACAGAAGACAAACAATTACGTCGTTTCGGAGTATCAGAGATAGTGATTTGTATGTAAAATAGTTGAAAAAACGACTACTTATGTGCTTAACGTCCTACCCCTTTAATGGCGGTGGAGAACATCGTTCAGTGCTGCGGCGATAACCTTAAACTGCGGCACGAACTTTATTCTACACGTGGTCCATGCTTAATTATTGGTCACAATTTGAAGGCAATTCAAACAGTAATCGTATAATGAACAATAGAATGAACTACAGAGTTGGATTGTTGACAATTAATCATTCGCAAAATTTTTGGATAAGATTGAAGCTGCTAAGACTAAAATAGCTTTAAAGAGATTGCAGGTCATAGGCACTGCTACCGCTTCGTGCGATTTTAAATTACCTGTCCCTTGGTCAAATTGTCGGGAATATCAAAGGTGCCTTCTGGATCCACTCCATTTTCATATATGTAATGCTTGATCTGTGTAAGTCTGTGCTTGTAATTGCTGATGAGTTTGTGACAATTCATGGCAACCTCTGGATTGCAAGTAGCTCCAGCGACGGCAGCCATTGCAACATGGTATCGAGACGTACGGTTAGCAATCATCATGTTGAACGGTGTCGTTGTAGTTCCCTCTTCGCAATAACCCTCCATACTCACCCGTGAAGCATCGATGCGAGAAAACAGGAGGGACTGGAGATCCATGACATATCCGTGATAGTTAAAGTGAACATGGCGGTTCGGAGTAAAGAGTGCGTTAAACTCAATTTCAGACATAGAATGCGGGTGGTTGTCAGCCAAAATCATAAGGTCCGTGATGTTCACAACACGGATACGCAGCTTTGGTAAATCATGTGCGAGAATGGAAGCTGCTGCAATCACTTCAAACATAATCTCATTGCCAATGCCAACAAGTACGACGTCAGGATCGAGTCCGCCGTCCGTACTGGCAAACTTCCAAACACTCGCACCAGCTACGCAATGCTCTTCGGCTTCCTCTCTTGACAGCCATGAGGGTCCTGGGTTCTTGCTTGAAACCATGAGATTCACACCGTTGTCGCTGGAAAGACAGTGAGCTATGGTTGACAGGAAACAGTTTGTATCCGGTGGAAAATAAACGCGTGTCAAGGTTGGCTTGAATGAGAGCATTGTAGTAATGAACCGAGGTGACTGGTGCGAAAAGCCATTATGTTCCTGGCGTGCCCAGGTACTCGTCGTCACGTAATTAAGACTTCCGACTCTGCCATGCCACTTCGTCTCCAAAGCCATCTTTAAAAACTTTGTGTACTGTACGGTCATACTAGTAATGATAGGCAGAAAGGCTTCGTAAGAAGGAAAGATGGCGGTGCGACCTGTTAAGGTATAGCCCTGCATAAATCCTTGACACATATGCTCTGAAAGTACCTCCGTGACTCGACCGCGACTCCATGCACTTATTGCATCCGTCTGCAATGTCCGATTCGAATGCTCTAATACACCATCGAGTTTGTTGCTAGCCAATTCGTCCGGTGAAAATAAACGCAAAGTTTTAGGGTTCGCTTGAAGAACACGATCCAAGTATTTTCCTACTATAGAAGTTGCACTCTCCAAGATACCACGGTCAATCGAAAAGTCATTCCAGTCTGGGACACAGAGTGGTTGGAAATCGTTATTCGCATCTGTCTTTTGCCCCATTCGTTTAACACGGGGAGGAAGATGCTCAATGAGTCCTTTCAATGGGAGACCATTACTTTTGTCAATGAAATCTTCAATATGATAGCTTTTCAGCCAGTTCTCTAATTGACCCAGCTCCTCAGCATCTGTCTTAGCGTTTTTCAGTGGTACTTGATGAGCACGAAATGTGCCTTCAAGCGGCTTGCCATGCAACGTCTTCGGACAGCCCCAGCCTTTTGGCGTATGAAGAATAATCATCGGCCAACGTGGTTTTATGATAGGCGTTCCGGCCCGTGCAGCATCCTGTATTTCGTGGATAATCTCAACGCACCAGTCCATGGCAGCAGCCATGTCACGATTCACATCATCAGCCGTTCGGTAATCGACAAACACGACCTGGTAGCCAAACCCACTGAAGAGTGCAGATAGTTCCCGTCTGTCCATGCACCCATACACGGTCCGTTCCGAGATTTTGAAGCCGTTGAGATTGAGGATAGGAATGACGGCACCTGACTCAGCAGGGTCTATAAACTTATGGCAATGCCAAGAAGCAGCTGTTGGGCCCGTTTCGGCTTCACCATCGCCAACAACGCATGCAACAATCAAATTTGGTCGATCAAGCACGGCACCATAGCTTACGGACAACGCATAACCAAGCTCACCGCCTTCGTGAATGGCACCGGGAACCTCAGCGTTTACATGCGAAGGAAAGCCACCCGTCACGGAGAATTTTGTGATGAGACGGTGCAAACCTTGCATGTTGTGGCCATACTGAGGATAGTAAGCCTGTAACGAACCTTCAATATACAGAGCAGCCAAAATTGCAGGTGCACCATGCCCTGGGCCTGTAACGAACAACATGTCAAGATTATACTTTGAGATAATCCTGTTACAATGAGAATATGCCAGCGCCAGCGCTGGACAAGTTCCCCAATGTCCCAAAAGTCGAGGTTTAATATGATCGCTTGTAAGTTTGTTTTCTAGCAAGACATTATCGCACAGAAAAATCATTGCAGCAGCGATGTAATTACAGACACGCTGAAAATTCTTTAACGTGACGAGGTCATCCTCAGGAACATAATCTTTTAAGAGATGCACTTGCAATGTGTCCAGTGTCGCTGGTAAATGAGACTGTAGCGGAGAGGGGTCAGCTTTTGCTGCCTCCGTACGGCTTTCATTCATGAACTCTTTCGTTGCTTCAAACTTCATTGTAATGAGTTTTTATTGTAACAAGTCTTCGTCTTCTCCGTTTAAGAAATCAATTGTAAACCCTTATGACCTTGAACAACTGAGTATTTATTCCTTAATATAACCAATTTCCAATGCTCATACAACCGCAAGAACGACTTTGTCCCACAAACCGGTCAAATACTAGATTTGGAAACGAAGACAGAAATAAGAGAGAGAGAAACGAGCAGAATAGTTTTAGTGTCTATACACACAGACATAATCACACTTATATGATCTTTTGCTGCACCGAGAAGCTCTCATCATGACCTAAGTGTGAAGTCAAGACTGTTTTGCTGACATTTCAGTGGGAAAATCACATGTCGTAAAACAAGCCCCAGACAGAAAACCACTGCCATAAAGAGATCCAAAACTTCGTTCTCTACCGTTAGAGAGGTAGAACGTCGGTAATATCTTTCACTTTTAAAGAATGAATGCGAAAAAAAACATCTTCACAGCGTATGCTTGCCGATGGAAGGGATGACGTCATCTTTGATATTCTGACTCGAGCAGTTTTGCTGCGGAGTCAATGATGAACGTCGCAAACAACAGGATCATGACCTCAACAGTTGACGCGTGAGGAGCAAAATTCAGTTCTTTGCTCAAACACAGAGAGCCTCGAACAATCCCACTCGTTGGAGAGGAACAGAGTAGCATTTGCTTGTGGGGTGTGGGGTATGTGGGATACATGGGCAACTTGGGATGCTGGTCGGGATGTCAAAGAAGCAAAGCAGTATATCCAAGCCGAGTGCCAGAAATTGCCCACAAAGAGATATTTCAGACAGCAAAGTTAGAATCGTTCAGTTAACGTGATCCCGTTGAGATTCAGAAAGAATAGCAAAACACTTTGTCATGGAAACGAAACCCAGTGAACCAACTGTTCCGGATAAAAACAACATTACTCCAGCTACAGAGCCATTCAGGGCCCCAAAACGAGCTGATAGAGAAAGTTGTTGGACGGCTCGAGATGAATATTTCAAGTGTTTGGACAAAAACAACATTATCAACGCGAAGAAAGACGACGCGTTGGCTGCTGAGAAATGTGGTCCACAAAAGGAAGGATTCGAAACATCGTGTGTGAAAGCTTGGGTAAGAATTTGCTAGGGCTGCTCGTTATGTGCAAGAAGAGGAGCATGTGCTTCCCATCCAATACAGAACAAACAAACTTATTTGGAACATTTAACGCTGACAACCAGGTGGATTATTTCCTCAAATTCCGTGTTCAACAAGCGGATCAAGAGTCTGCATTTGGAACAACTTTGCAAAGCACAAACGCCACGAACGATACAACTCAGGACTGATTAACTGATGATTATGAACAAACGATGCTTGTGAGTGAAACACCGAGTAATAAACGAATAATTATGAGATGATGAACCCAAACGCAAGAGGAGTAGCAAACGCAACATGCATTTATGAGAGGGAAGCTTGATGTTTGTTCACCCGCCGTATCCTTCATTAGGCAGTTTAAATTAAAGACGAAGGGAATTTTCGATGAAGGTATTAGGTAGAACTCGGAATGATTAGTGAAATGCCGGTATGTTCATAATGCACGAAACGTAATGTTTCTGGTTAAAGGTATCAACGAGATTAGTTTGCTTGTTGCAACCAAGGTATCGACAGAACCTGCTCGACCGCCTTTTCAGTAGCGGGTGGAATAGTCCGTGAAGACATGGGATTCGGTTCCACAATGGCTTGAAGCGTATGCACCAAGTCAACTGTTTTGTAATGCGGAGGATCACGAACTTGTGAATTCACAAGCATCGGATACAGCACTTGCAGGTATGCATACTGCAGTGCAGAGGACTCGGGCGATAAGTTATTAAGTTCGCGAATGCATACGTCCATGAGGACGTGCAAGTCGTTGGTGTAAAAGTACTCATACGTCTCTGGTGTCGTGAAAATAAGAAACAATTGTTTTAAGATTAGTAGTTGTACTCGGACATCGTTTTCGCGATTCAGCGTAAACACAAGGCCCTCACCATACGACCGGGTATCAATGTTTGGATTCATTAAGGCAGCCATAACCTTATTGGCGTGGCCATTCACAGAACCGGGATCTTCATTGGTGCGTAGACCGGCAAGCATGAACTGCTCGTTTAAGCTGAGGATCGCGAGGATGCACAAGATGAAATGGTCCTCGATTTCATTTTCCTTGGCCAAATCCACTTCAAGAAAAAGCGCCTCCATAAAGAAATCAGACACACTCTTTAAGTCCGGCATAGAGATTCGTTGTGTCCGGCACAAACGAACTAAAAGACAAAGTCCATAGGGACAAGAGGATTCCTCATTCGTCTTGTTTAGCTTAATTCTACGCACTATGTGATCGATGAGCAAAGGGAAGAAACCCATGTCAGCCAAAAAGTGCAAGCATGCTGGATCTTTCGATGCATCAACAAGGAAAAAATAAAGCACAAAATCCGAGCCAAAAATATTCTCAGACGCGAAAAGCGTTGCCAATAAAGCACTTCTAAACACATCTACATTGTCCTTAAACGTAGCAGAATTGCGTATTTGCAGACAGCAGTCCAGCAGGTGTTCTTCCGAGGTCAGGAACGAGACTATATCAGCAATTGTGTGTTAACAGACACGTTTCACGCGTTCAGAATTTCAGAAATACCTCCATAAGCACAAATAAAGCGAATTAAATTGTCTACAAGTCGATTCAGCTGCTCTTTGGAAGAAACTCGTTGGTTTACTATTTCATCCACCTCTTGTTCATGATTAGCAGCAATTGATTAAGAAACAAACCGTCGCACCTGATAAAAACTGCTTCTTGTCATCTATCTGGTATAACACATCGCTGATTTCCATGGAGAATGGAGCTGAATGTGTTACAGCAGGCGTGTTACTTCACGCGTCTAGTGCTAGGCGAAGGGACAGTACCGGCTCTCAGTGTAGTGCCCTACATAGCATCGCAATCCGATGCGGGGGAGTGGGGGCAATTATGAGCTGAGCATTGCCTCATCCCACTATAAGTGGTCTGAGCGAAAGCGAAAGTGGACGGCAGCGTGGGATATCGTGGGGTAAAGATAAAACTCGTTAGTGTACGTAGCATTGTTGCGCGCATCGTTAGGGTTCAGTATTATGTTTACTGTATCATAACGAAATCTAGTGATAAATGACATGTCGCATCCCATTCAGCGATTTAAGCTCGCTTCCGCCAGACACGTCGCGTAACATTTATTTGCATCGTTAATAACAGAAACAGGGGATCAAGTTCAATTTTACGTCGTTTCAGAATTAACGTTGCACAATTGAACGCCTTTTTGTAGGTTATTCTCTTATTCTTTCGCGTTTTCATTTGTAAAAAGAACAATGCCAAGAATTCGTACTTCACGGTCAAAAAGGTTCGTAAAACAGTGTTTTTCAATCGTAAATACTAAATGTGATAGACCTCCTGAAGGATTCGACGCGATTGAGCCAACTTTGCTCGAGTTTCAGGACATGATGCGTCAAGGTAGAGAAAACCTTTTCTTGTTTTGTGAATGAAGTACTTACTGACACTCATAGCTGAAAACACGCCCTCTAAAAAAACAAAATCAGAAGCTCTTGCTCCCATTTTTCGGATACACCATCAACGGAGCCGCTATGTCTACGACCTGTACTATAAACGTGAAGCTATATCGACAGAATTGTACGAATGGTTATTAAAACAAAACTATGCAGACGCCAACTTGATTGCCAAGTGGAAAAAACCAGGTTACGAGAAGTTGTGCTGTCTCAAATGCATTCAGACCAGTGAGTCGAAATTTGGTTCCACTTGCATTTGTCGTGTTCCAAAGGCAAAACTCGGAAAAGATACCCATGTTGAATGCGTTCACTGCGGTATGTTTTAAAAAACCATTGATTACGAGTACTAACAAACCTGTCTTAGGTTGTCATGGATGTGCTAGTGGTTCGTAAGACAAATCGCCTACACTTACGTTTTCGCATTCCTTTTTTTTTTGAATCATATTTCATTGCGATAGCTTGTACACCGTGTGTAGATGTTTTCTAAAGGTTCCATTAAAATCGTTTCGTTAAACAAAAAAAGAGTGTGAAACGTTTTGGTATCAAGTGCTTTCTTTCCCTACAGTAGTGGACTTGCAGAAATGCTTCTTTCCTGCTGAATCCATGTATTACCATCAATTTCGGACTGAAACTCGGCAAGTACTTTTTTAAACTCTTCCATCATCTTGTCTTGCGGCATGTCTCTTGACACACGCGCCTTCCAGGTTCTCATGACACGATTGATAAGCTCCATTCCTTCCTTTCGTGCTTTTTTCTGTTCTGGCCCTTCGTTTTCAGTGTTGGAGGTGTTCGTTTCCTCCAGTTCCCTTGCCTTCATTCGAGCCATCTGAATAATTTTTTGTGGGAATTGTGCCAACTCGGCAACGTGTATACCAAAACTCCTGTCGCTGGCACCATTGCAGACTTGATAGAGGAAGGATATGTCCTTCGTGTTATCCTCACTGACAAGTGCCGTGACATGAAGGTTTTGAACGACGGGCGTTGTTTCTGCCATCTTCGTAAGCTCGTGAAAATGTGTTGCAAAAAGACAGAAGCAGTCAATTCGCTTGACAATGTACTCTGCAATTGCCCAAGCTAATCCAAATCCATCTGTGGTACTGGTGCCTCGACCCAATTCATCCACGATGATTAATGATCGCGGTGATGCCGACCGGAGAATGGTGGCTGTTTCAAGCATTTCTGCCATAAACGTAGAGACACCTTTGAGCTGGGAATCGCCGGCACCAACACGAGCCAAGACACTATCGACGATGTCGAGATCTGCAGACTCGCAGGGAACGAAACATCCAATTTGGGCCATGACAACTATTACACCCACTTGCCGAATGTAAGTTGATTTTCCACCCATGTTTGGTCCTGTAATAATGAGCAATTGACGTTTGCCGTGTTCGAGTCGAACATCGTTGGGGATGAAATTAACATCGTCTTGCACTTCTAAGCAAGGATGCCGTGAAGCTTTTAGTACCAGTTTTGTGCATGGCGTTCGGGAGAGTATTTTCCGGAATGGCACAGATTGGAATTTCGTTTCTGAAATCGTACTGTCCGGGACTCCCTCCTCGTTTTCTTCTATAGAGGCGGCATCAGCTACTGATGCTGCCGTCACATCACAGTGGACGTTTGGACGCACATAAGGAATGGGCGCAATAGTGCTCGCATGAGCAAAACTAACAATCACATCTAGGTGAGCAAGGAGATTGCCCACGTCCTCTAATGGTGCATAGTAAGTCGCCGCAATCTTAACCACTTCACGAGCCAAGCCATTCTGGTGATAGGTGTAGCTGCGATGTAAATCAGTATAGGTCGTATTAAATCCATGCAAACGACTCGTTGTGAAGTAAACGCCATTCTTTTGTGTTGCCAGCTCCGTATAGCGAGAACCTTTTCCGCGTAAACATCCAGCTTCTGTGCGCGTAAGTCGCAGACACCAGCCGTAAATGTGGTGATGCTCCAGGTGAAGCTTTTTCTCCGTGTCAAGTCCCAAATCGTCACCAGCACGTTCGTGTTCCTTGTAAATGGAACGACGAAGCTCGTCAAGCTGCTGTCGCAACTCCATTAATTCTTCATCAAATTCAGCCTTAATAACATAGCGATGGGCATCAAGGGCCTTCAGGTCGATGGTTGTATTAACAAGCTCAATAAGTTTGGCAAGATCACCCGCATAGCCCTCAATTCGCTGGGTGTACAATTGGTTAAGGAGATCCTTCTTGGGCGAGCTTGATTCCTTAAGAACATCGACAAAGTACGGCAAAGCAAGCGCCATCTGATATACACGTACAACGTCCTCCAAACTTGCTGTTCCGCGAATAAGTCGACGTGACAATCTAGGAACATCCGGAATACACCGAAGCAAACGGTCATCATCCATCAGGAGCTGTCGCACCTCCGCGTCCTCCACGAAAGCCTCGACCAAATCAAGTCGTGTGTTGATGGCATCTGCATCCAACAGCGGTTGTGAAAGCCATCTTCGCAGCTGACGCATTCCCATAGCCGTCCGACAATGGTTCAACAAGCCGAACAGGCTCATGCTTTTATTGTTGTTTCCACCTGCTGCGGGAAAGAGATTCAAGGCGGCGACGGCTGGAACATCCAGGCGCATGTAATGTTCCAAATTGTGTTCATAAAAGGAGAAGGTGCGAGAAGTCTCCTTCTCTTGTTCCCCACTGTCCTCTGCCTCGTCCTCTTCCGTTGTTGAAGACATCGAGCCAACAAGACTCGGACCGACATACTTGAGGAGTGCAGCACAAGAAGCCATTGCGAGCTGTAAAGAGAGTTCTGGAGTTGTAGCATGAGAAACAGGTTTACCGAGAACGCGTGACAGCAGCACTTCAACATCCCGGCTTGAGAAGTCAGACATGCGAACGCCGGTGACTAAAGCACCCGCAGACTCTCCAATGTTATGGAGTCGATTAAGCTCCATTTTTGCGGCAGAGCTCTGCGACTCTGTCTGTGCACCAGCGGAGGCAAGCAGTATCTCGCGAGCCCCTGTCTGTACAAGTAGGGATTCGAAGTTCGCATAGGAATCCGAGTCAACAAACTCACATACACCAATTTGTCGAAGAGAGACATCGATAAAAGCGACTCCAACCATTCGTTGATCTTGTCGAACGCGTGTGGTCACTGCAAGCAAAATTCCGCTTGTTGAATCTTCCGTTGCGACACTATTCAATGTATCGTTTGAGAGTTCATCCTCTAAACTCTGCAGATTTCCCGGACTAGCTTGTTTCACTAACGTCAATTCACGTTTCTTTCCTGTTGGAGCCCAGATATGAACGCGCTTGGCATGCGTTGAAAGTACTTGCCGAGCAAAGGAAGGAAACAAGCTGTATGACATTGTACAGTACGGAATCTTCTTTACGCCATAGTATTTGAGAACGGAAGTTGTGTGATAAGCAGTATTTGCTACAAATTCAGCATCCTGACCCAGAGCGAAATAACTTTCCTGTGAAAGTTCTAGTTAGTTCATTTGCACATAGGAATTGTGAGTTTCGTCGACGCGTTTTGCCGACCAGAGCACCTGCCCGTGTTCACAATGAGCTTTGCATACACCTCTGTCGAAAAGTGTGAGCGTATTTACGTCTTTTTCTAATGTATCGTAAAAGGCGAAGATACGCGCTTCTTCGCTCTTTTCTGTCCCAAATTGAGTTAGCACGAACAAGACCAATAAATTCACTTACCAGCGTTATAATTTTGCCTTGACATCGTTTCTTAACACCGAAAAGCGGTGTAGATGTTTGCTGAGGGTAGGTCTGTTCGCCAGCAATATGACTGAAGCTGTTCGCGTAGCGGTGCGCATAGAGCGCGAATAGAGTTCATACAGGGAATTTCACGTCGCGCACTAAATGAAATTTGCTACGCGTCGAGCGAGAAATAGCGAGACACGGGGAAATGCACCACAGCACCTTAAAATACACTAAAGATAATAACGCATCCACCGCCCACCTTATCTGTTTTAATGCACTCCAGCGACAGGCTCACAAATCCCTCCGGCGGGTGCTCTCACTACCAATCCTCCCCATGCAACTGCTTGAAACAACATTGTATGAAAACGGTGAACTGTTCCTCCTGGACAGGCATTTGGAGCGAATGAAGCAGTCGGCTGCTCATTTCTCGTTTCCGTGGCCCGGAGACCAATTCATCGTTGATTCACTGTTGAAATCGCTTCAAGGTTGTGATCGTGCACGCGTAAGTTGTCTGTTGATGGAACAAAACGCGTTGAAAACTGACAAAACCCTATCGACAGGTACGCTGGACACTTTCTGAACAAGGAGAGGTCGAGGTCACGACAGCAAATGCACCGACCGCCTCATCCCAGCCTTCGTACATTCTCATTCTTGACTCGCAACCTAGTCCGTGCAAGAACAACAAGTACTGCAGCAACAAGACGACTCAGAGGGACATTTACACACGCGCCTGTGAACGCCAAAACATCAAGTACGCGGACGCTCAAGATGTCTTGTTGTTCAATGAAGACGGGTTCGCTACGGAGGGAAGCATCTTCAACGTCGCTTTTTACCGTAACGGACGCTGGCTCACTCCAAGCAGCGACCAAGGTACGCACCATTTGGCTCGCAGCATCGTCAATGTCACAGCCAGTCTAACTATGTTAGGTCTTCTGGAAGGAACAATGCGTGCTAGCCTGCTGCAGCAGAATAGGGTGGAAGAGGACAAGACACACGAATTACACAACTCAAAGCTCATGAACGGTGAACCAGTACTACTATTCAATTCTTTTAGGAAAGTATGCAACGGTTTTTTGAGAATAAATTCATAGAAGCATCCTAAGAGGAAGGGTTCATCTACGACAGTTAGATTAATGAAATAAATACGAAGAACGACATGTGAACCAAGATGCCAGAAACATGTGAATCGCTCTGCTAGCACAGCAATTGCCACGTATTCGAACCCTCCAGCACACACTCGTGAGAAACAACATACTCTTCTCTTGCCGCCGACCATGTTGGTAACGTTCACGAAGCGACGAACGTAAAGCAGGCGCTTGTAAGCACGGCCCTTGGGTTGCTTGGGCTTCTCTTGCTTCTCAACCTTGGGGCATTGAGATTTAACCTAGAGAAAGACGGTCAGCAATTGGTCTGTCAAAACGACCGCTGTCTCCTCATACGAGAGAGCACAATAACATACTTTACCGGCACGAGCGAGAGATCCGTGAACTTTTCCCATTTTGTTGGTACGGTGATGGTAAAAGGAGGGTCGAGGTGGTGGTGTAGCGTTCGGGCATTACCGCAGAAAAACGCAGTCACACATTTGCGCCCTCAACGAAACACAACACCACGCGCGGTGTTTGTTTACATTGCTAGTCCTGCGACGCGTCTCCTTTACACTTTACCAACATGGACAATTGGAGCGACGATGAAGAAAAAGATGCTCAGGCATTTATGGAATAGTACGTTTGTTGCTGATTGTGTAATAGAATTCTCGTTAACACGTTGTTCGCAGTATTCCTACGCTGGGAAAACCAATTGTCATAGACGACAGCAGCGATGAAGAAATCCCTTCGAGCATCGTCCCAAATGCCGACAAAACTGACAAGAAACAAGTCAATGAGTCAACCTCTACGCATACGGGTTTAAAACTTCCTTCTGTTCATGTTGGTTCCGCTATGAAACGTCAAAGTTTAGCGACTTTAGGTAGTTCCAATTCCGGAAAGTCTGTTTCCTCAGCTACAGGATCTCCAGCAACTCCCTCTTCTTCCTCCGCCATTCCTTCTCCCTCTATTCCTAAAAGTCTACGTGCTCCTACTCCGCGTTCTCGTCTTACCATGCTTGCAACTCCTCGTTCACGCAAGTCAACAACGCCATTGTCAACTTCATCCTCTTCTAATGCCCAAATCAAAACCAAATCCACTCACACAACCGCCGGATCTGCACAGAAACGGTCTGTTTCGGCCTCCTCTATCGCACGTCGTGCTCGGTTACAATTCGAAAAGCAGAGAGAGCAATTGGCCTCCGATTTTGCGAAACAACTGGACGACAAGGTGTTCGGTGGGATGCTGGCAAAGTCCATGAAGGACGAGAACATTGAGATCGTGTGGTCGAAATCATTTGCTACCACTGCTGGTCGTGCCAATTTAAAGAGAGCAAATCCGTCCACGGGAAAAGCTTACCGAGCGTTTATTGAACTGTCTACTAAAGTTGTGGATTCTGAAGAAAAACTGAAGAATACTCTTGCTCACGAGATGTGTCACCTTGCTTGTTGGATGCTAGACAAAGTGATGCAGCCTCAACACGGAGTCGCATTCAAGGCTTGGGCTCGCAAGGTGATGAATGAATTTCCTTCTGTACAGGTCACTACGAAACACAATTACGAAATCGATTACAAATTTCAATGGATTTGCACGAACAACGAATGTGAAAAGATTTATGGTCGTCATTCCAAATCCATTGACCCGGCCGTACAGGTTTGCGGCGCTTGCCGTTCTCGTCTGCTTCAAATAAAGCCAGAAGTTCGACAGCCAAACGCTTTTCAACAATACATGAAAGACAACATGTCCAAGCTCAAAGCTGCCAATCCTACTCTCACTCATAAAGAGTTGATGACAAAGTTGGCTACCGGCTACCGTGAATTGCAGGAAAAGAAGCCAACTAGCACGGTGACCACTATCACCAACGACATAAAGACTATGACAATAGAGGACGCTATCGTCGTTATTGATTAAACAACTAGCTGCATTTCCCTCTTTTCTTACCATTTCGGCCTTTCACTTATGCGGGCCTCTGTACGACTATTGAAGAAGATACATACAACACAAACATATACCCCTTTTATAAAACGCAATACCCATTCATATTTCCTCGCACGCAACCGTACAAGAAAAGTAACTACCAACCTTTGCATTGATCCATAGAACAACCCGTAAACAATGTATAAACAGCAAATGCACTTTATGCTTTTTATGACCGATTCAATGATAAAATGAAGAAAAGAAATTAAGAAAAAAACAAACGAAACAGAGGCGTCGTTGTTCAGGAGAGAGTGCGTAGCGAACTCATTGAGACGATACACCGTAAGAACGATAATAACACGCCCTAAATAATACACTTCCTTTTATACAGAAGAGTTCTGCGACGTGCTAGTGACGAGCTGAGTTGTGGGCTGGATGAGGTTGAATGAACTGCCATTATCGTCAGCTGCAGAAGTTCCGAGCTTGAATGGTACAATAATGAGAACGAAGAAAGCAGCAAAGAGGAGGAAATAAAGGGTGGCATAGCGGGATACGATGCGACGACGGAGCTTGTTTTGGCGGATTGTGTAAATAGGAGGCCGGATCTGGCGACTAGGCATAAGCCAGAACAATAATATAGAATGCAACTTATCCACGTAGGGAATAAGAATGATGGGGCATTGGAAAAACAGAAGCAAGTGACTCATCAGGAAATCACCAGCAAACATATTAATCTCAGTGACCTTACACACGAATTCACGCCAGGGTTGAGTGTAAACCATATGGCCAAAGCCTTGATCGTTCCATTGACCAGACCACCAAGCGAGGTTTGCACCATCGTGTCTGAACTCTCGTGAAAGGAAGCAGATAATGATAAACTTGTGAACAAACCGATGAACAGAACTCAAAGCAACGACACCAAGCAATGTCTTGGCAAAAGACCAACCTTCAAGATATCCAAACATTTCAAAGTCCACAATGTACATAAACACGGAAAACATGTGTGCGACACCGGCCATGATAACGCCGAATTTCTTGGATTTGCTTCCAAGAAGAGGTCGAACGATTAATGCAAAAAATGAAAAGAGCATAGCAACAATAGATATGGCGGCAATGGGAACAATTGCCATGATGATCAGGCGAATAAATGAGTTTGTTGACTTGGTTGTGTCGCTCACACCAGGCTGGGAGTTAATGAAAAGATAAGGAATGCAAGTCAAGAACAGCACAGCAACTGGACCAAAGATCTCACCAAAAAACATTGTAGTAATCCGAGCTCTAGGTGAATCCATTGCCAATCTATCAGTACGACGTCCATAGATCTTACGCTTGTATCCTGTCACACGAGTTCTTGACAGCTGACAATTGGAAATCCAAGAGTTTGAGTGATTGCGGGAATTCTCGCGGAACATCCAACGAAGAAATTCACGGTAGTCAACGAAGAAGTCCATCCATGAGAATTGATGAGGGTTATACAGGAAAGGACTAATGCACAGTGCAATCAGAGTAATCCAAAAGTAAATATAGTGCGGTAACCAAGCTGTAACAGTTCCAAACAACAACATAAGGGTAAGCCGCATACCAAGATAAATGGAAGGTCCACAGAAACGAGAAACCAACAGTGAGAATGGAATTCTAACGGTAGCGAAACCTCTCGAGGTACCAATGTAACGAGCACCACCAAATGAGAGATTAGCCAACAAACTTTGAGCGTAAATTTGGCAGGTAAAGATTTCAAAGATAGGAGAAAGTGAAAGCACTTGCTTTGCCAAACGAAGGAATGCTCTAATTGCACCACGTTCTGTAAGCTCACAAACTGCCAAAGGAACAAAAGCAACACCGAAGACGATGAAAATAGACAGAATACATCTCTTTAACCATTCAAGCACAGGCTTAAGTTGATAACAACCAGACGGGCTAAGCGTCTTCCGAGGATTGTCAGAAGCCTTCCAGCTACAGGGTGTTACCACGTTGTACATAGCACCGAAGTTAATGATAACGAGCATAAGCAACTGCAAAGAAAACATAATCATCATGTTGTTAACATGGAAACCGGCGTGAGCATAAAAGAATGAAAGAAAACGATCGAAAGGCAATTGAGTACCCAAATTAAAGTATTCACGAGAAAGCATCTGTTCAGCCATACCGGTACCAATCTTCGTGGTGAAATTCAGAATTGAGCCGAAACCCAAATCACGACCTTTACCACATTGATAGTAATCACAATGTTTAATACGTCCACCGCGTTGAAGAGCCGTCATACCAGCGTAAATATCTTCGTTAACATGAAGACCTTTTTGAGCCTTTGAAACACCACCTCTAGTAGTCATGAAAATCACATTAATGAAATCTGGATGACCATAATGAAGTTTACCACCAATTAAAGAAAGAATACGATGAAACAATGTACCGAATGTTTGTTCTTTACCAGCAGCAACGTCACCAAGCATACCAGTATTTTCAGAGAAAATATACTCACGAGCACCCAAAATGGCAACTGGATTTCTAGAGTTTGCCTTTGCGTTCAGAGAGTAAGGGTCTTCAAGAGGAGCATTGAATTGCTCAAATTCGGCCAAGATACTACGAATCTTCAAACACTCTTCAAGATAATTGTCTTGGTTTGCATCAACCATTTGAACATATTCACCACGAATGTAGGGAATAGACATATTCTGGTTATCAGACTTACCATCACCGAGAATAGGGTTACCGGACAAACGAACACGATACTTTGGACGTCTTTTACCGTTTTCCAAGATTGGGCAATGACCATCAATCAAGACAGAGTAAAGACGAGGATCTTCGTTAGGATGCAACGGAGGTTCCTCATCCAGATAAGCGATTTGAAGGTCAGGGAACGCGCGAAGAAGGAACTCGGCATTCTCGGCCTCTTCCTTGTTGAACTTTGCATATCGCTGCATGGAAACACAAAAACGGAATTTTCGATTAGCCATTAAGTCAAGCTCCTCATCCAAACGGACAGGATCACCATTAGTCCATTCTATCAATTCTGGTGTCTCAACACGGTACAGTAACTTGATGGCACGGGAATAGTTGCTGAAACCATTAATGGTACGATACAACGTCTGTGTGTGCAGAGATGCCCAGATACGTGTACGAAGCGTATATTCCGGAGTAGCCGACTTAAAACCAATGCAATAAAAGGGAAGGTCGTCGACCTTACTCTTCAACAAATCTTTTTCATCCGCAGGTGATTTAGGATCCATAGGACTTCCCTTGCTTTCTTCAGCCAACATCTTGGTATCTGCAACAAAGTTCTTCCATTCAACAGGATACAACTGCTTCAAATACTCCAACAGAGTGACACGAGACAACTGGTCCTCCTCGCGGATAATTTCACGAAGTGAAAGCAAGACTTTTTCACCGTAATGAGGAACAAGCACAGTGAATGTAGGCATTGCATCCACAGTACATGGCTTCGGTACGACCTGCGCAAGTGACTGAGCAAAGAAAGAAATACGACGCGCAGCTTCGGAATTAGGGGGAAACAGATCCTGCTTATAATGCTTAAATTGCTGCGAAAAGAAAAAGTTCGGTGGACGAAGAGTGTGATAACCAGCTTTTTCGGAAGGGACCTGATGATATAAGAGTTCTTGAATTTGCTCCCGAGACACAAGATGTTCCCGATACATGGAGATAACAATAGCATTCCAAATCTGGGAAATCAGCACCTTTGGCTTCAGTCGTTGTTCCAAATCACCAGCGCAGAGGACCTTTGTATATATACGTCTGGGGATACGGTAAAACAGCTCTCTCCAAGGAGTCCAAACACTAATACCTAGGTAGAAAGCGTAGCCCAAGGAGTAGATGGTACCAATAAGGATGTACCACAAGTAAGTATCCAGAAAGAACAATGAGAGATCTGTCAGGTACAACAAACCGAGAAGGATTTTTGGTTGAGCCTTACATAAAGCAGAACCTAGAATGTAATCGCGACAGTCATATGGACGCATAGCACCGAGATAACGAATGGAATCTGACAGGTTCAGTGTGAGGAAAAAGTAAGACTCTAAATACTTGGCAACCAATACAGTAAACCAAAGACACCATGAAACAATTGCACCATTTTTTGATGTCGAAGTAAAGTTCGCTGTAAAATACTTTGCTGCAAGACTCTCACCCGCTTTGCGTGGCTTGAATCCAAGCACATGCTGCAACGGAGTCATAGACAAGTAAATTGTACAGCAGAGAGAGAAAATGAAGTGAACAATACCGACAACCTTCCTGGAAGTTTCCTTCTGCTGTGTCTCCGAAGAAGCAAAAATGAAGGCAGTAGGTGCAATATTGAGTAACATAATGGTGAGCAGGAACAATGCACGTCCCCAAACAGGACGAGCGCCAGGATAACGACGGGGAACATGGATATACTCAAAACAGACGGCGGCGAGAGTGATACACGAAGCAATTGCACCACCCAAACCGACAGCTGTCCAGCGGCACGCCGCTGGTGGCTTGTTGTCTAGCCGGAGATGGTACTTGCGAGTATACAGACTTGGTGAGTTGTAAGCGGAATAGTACCAGTAGACAGAGATATGCATAACCCAAATTCGAGAAAAGTTTGTGAGGTTATGAAACCATGAACGATACTCGTAATACGATTTGTAAAAACAGGATTTCCATTCAACGCTGCCTAGATGACGATAGCGCATGAATGGAGGGAGATCGAGAAGTGCAGTACCGTCGGTGAGCTTAATGGACTTAAGGCCTTGGTGCGACCAGAAAAGCTGATTAATGTCATCATAGCCAACAATTCTTGCATGGTCGCGCTCGCGACGAACATACTTGCCATCCAAAATTTCAAAAAGTTGTGCATGGATAAAGTTATAGACCGGATTAATGACGGATTGGAGAAAGTACTCATGCGGCAAAGGTGAGTCGGTATCCTTAGACTCAGAGGAGTTGTAGTAATCGTAGGCACATTTGAAAAGGAAACAGAGACACTCGGGCGTGAAACGCACATTATTTGCTTCACCCCAGCAAAGGAAGTAAAGACAAATTTGAGTGATCATAAGTCGGGGAGAGAGTTTGCTCATTTGCTCTCGCCAAGCAAACTCTGCGTCTTTTAAGGTCATGTTTTCAACGAGGGGGGAAGAGAGATCATGAAAACCGACGGTATGACCATCATTAAAGTGAGAGGCAAAGTACCACTTGGAAAAGTTTGCATGTTCTCCTCCGATGACATCGGCATGGATGCTCAATAGTGCTGACTAGGAGTCATTCGAGAAGCACGGGAGTCCAGCAGGACCATAACGTAGTCGAAGATGTTCCGCATATTGTCGCGCTGAAAACCGAGTTTCATGGTAAGATCAAGTAAAACCTCTTGGATCTCTTCCATGGTTATGGGAACCTCATGTGTATTTTGGTTCCAAGCTGGGTAAGCAACCGTGGTTGTTTCATTTGTGAAGAAACTCAGAGCATCGTCGTCAACGTATGAGCCGCCCATGCGCTGCTCCTCGAGCATACGCGTTACAGAGCGCATACTGTCTTCGGAAATGTAACTTTGAGCGTCATCTTCGAACAGACCACGGCCTTCCTGCTCGCGCCAGTACCTATCCATAATAAGAAAGAAGAAAGAAAACGGTTAAAATAAGAAGTAACAGAAGAAGAAAGGGGGGAACGATAGAGCCGAAACCGAACCAAAAAGAGCTTGGTGTTTCGAAGCGAAAGAGAGTGTGTAAGAGTGTATGAATGAAAGATGATCAGGGACAAGTGAGTGGAGGAATTCGTGGAGCGATCTAGCACCGCGAAAAGAGAGACGATGAGAGTATTAGGGAGGGGGATAACAAGTAACGAACAACCAGCAACAGCGCGGCGTTCTCAGATGTATGGGGATGGGAGAGAAAGCGAATGAATGCCAATGGAGACCGTGATACACGGAACACAGCGAAGCTTGTGCTGGACGACCCGAGCAACAAAGCAGCAAATGCCCAAAGATTTACACGGGAGACGCGTGTCGAAAGCTTCAACAGCAGTACAAGGAAGGCAAGCGATCACAAAAGAGTGCTACAGCTTCCGTTGCTCACAATGACTATGTACACAGGCGCGCAGGAGCACGCGAAACACGAGCTTAGGCAAGTGCAGTGAGCTGAGATGGTATTTTGTTCGTTTTTGCGATTTTTTCAGACCTCGGAGCCAAGTCGCAAGAAAAGCAAAAAGGAGAGGCGTGGAAGGCTTGGGAGAGCTTCAGTAGACACAAAAGCCCTACAAAAAACCTTGGGGAGACGAAGACAAAGTCCACGAACGTAGCATCCAACTACACGGCCAAAACTACGTCAAGTGCACAGCAACAAGACAATACCTCGTTCCGGACAGCTTCACAACGGAGTATACGACGATAGAGAGTCGAAACCGCCAGCAACAATTCCTGGAAGAGAGAGTGGTTCTGGAAGAAATAAATCCTGGTGGTAGGAAGGCTTATGCCCCAGACAAAATGGCTCAGTGTTTACACTTAGCAGTAACCCAAACACCGAATGCCGTAAGCAACGAAGAGTCCGCAGGCTGATACAAAGCACTCGTTTGTTTGTTTTTTCCAACGGCAGTGAGGCACGTTCGCGTGTATTTTTGTTTGCGCAAAACTGTTGTTTGCGAACAATACCCTTTACCAGCATGCACTAGTGAGGCGAGGAAACGCACATTTGGACGTATTCTGCGGAATTAAACGCAGTTAATTTCGCTCCGCTGCCGTACGAGTACAAGTACGCTTCGGAAACCGTGTTTTTTCTGTGTTGCTTGCGCTTGCGCCAGCTCTGAATTCTGGGCGAGACTACGGAATTGGTTTCTGCTGCCTTCGACACACTATTTGCCAGCGAATCTTTCTGCGTTGTACATCTGTATATTTCTATAATAGCCTGAATAGCATGAATAGCATGCATGTAACACCTATGGTCGTTTAGGATAATACACACACACACACACATCCCACTCCCATCACCCGTCTCCCGTCCCTGCGTAGCCAGCACTACACACCTCTCTCCTACGTCCATCTCCTCACCTCCTTCCTCCCTCCCTGCTTCTCCCTCGTCTCCCTAGTCCCTCTCCTCCCACGGAGCACCCTCGGCGAGCTGCTGGAATACCTCGCCGAATAAAGTCCCCGACCGCCGCATGGGTAGCTGCTAGATGACCGACACGGTCCGGCAGTTCACCGAGCCGAATCCCAAGGACAGGTGCCGTTCGTGCTGCGTGTCGGATCACGAGCAATGCACGTGCATCTCCACGATAATCCAAACTCCCCGAAACGCTGTACCCCGCATACGACGTGGCCCGAGAACAAGACGGTTTCCGATTGGCATTCACGTGGGTAGACGCAAAACAAGCTCGGTGCCCCCACTCAGCCCACCCGGGAATCCGCGGCGCTTCCTCCCCAGGGGAGCCTGGTGCGTGCCTTTGGGGAGCCAACGCATCCCCATCCCACTGGCACAGTCAATTCAATTAACCCCACGGGCCCCGCTGAGCCTCAAGCGCCTCACTGGCTCTCTCTCTCCTCAGGCCTCTTGGTGCCCCCGTTCGTGAATGTGGGGTACCTCTGGTCCCCACTCGAAAGCCGTGTCTGGACCGGAGGGCTCAACGTAAACAAACCCAACACACAGCGTCATACACACCACCAATCAGCTGCTGCTGTGCGTCACGTTCAGCCAGCCGCGACTGATACGCCCAGCGGAAGCAGAATGAAATGATTAGCCATACGTAACGCTGCAGGTGACAATGTCTGATTCGCAGTAGGGATTCGAGTCGCCGAGTGCGAAACCGTCGGCCAGAAATTCCGTCCGCAACTGGTGCTTGATCCTCGTCATGCGGTTGTTTGGCGACAGCTCAGTGGTTCGTGTGTTTACATTGGGCTGTTGCGACAACGACGCTGCTCCATTTGGGCTTCTTGTTCACCAACCACACGTCATAGCCTCTAAGCGACATACGTCATATGTAAAAGTGTACAAACTGAATCGGGATAGTGTGAATGGTGTGCTTTGATTTGTCCAGAGGCCGATCACCTCCGTACGCTAACTCACTCGCTAAGGAAGGGGATCACCGGCGGAACGAACTTACCCAGAACCAAACACTCTTCCCCCCTTCCCAGACGAACGCTTGTCGCAACAATAAGTAGCAGCTCAGCAGAACATAGCAGCTGGCTTTTGCACGGACTGGACACAATTCGCGTGTTCTTTTTACCTGCATTGTTGTCGAAGCTGGATTTTTTTCGCGTCGACCGGACGATTAGATTCTGGCCTGGTTACCGAAAGTTGGAGTGATCGACGGCGGGTAGTGTCCGTACTGATTTAGGTTTATTAACGTGTGGCTCTGTTTTTTCTGTGGATTAACGGTACACTCACTTTTCTTGGACGTACAACGAGTTGGTGTTTATCAGCTGCAGGAGCAATCGTCATTTGTTGCTGTTCTTGGTTGGTCGGTTTCTGAAACCTCGCCTACATTTCGTTAAACGGTCGCCGTGTCGCATCCGTAACCGACGATATTCACCATATCATTAGACCTTTTGCTTTGATTCTGGCAGCGTCTGCTTTTAGCCTGCTGCCTCACACGAATACTCCCTTCTTTTTGAACATTAGTTTACACGCATATACGCGGTTTCCCCCCGCACAATATTTTCTTGCGGCATGTCTTCCGGGACAGCATATCACAGAACGGTATGTTGTTGTTGTTGTTGCCGTTCCGCGGACGAAAACAGGAACGACGGTGTTCGTGTCGTCTTCGTTGGCCCTAGAGTCGTTGTTCGGCCCTCGGTGCCTTTTTGCAAGACAAAGCGACACTGATGCGTCGCTTCGTGACTAAATTACAGACTTGAGACGCTAACCGTACCTAGATCCAAAGAATTCCGGAAAAGCGGGCACAGTCCGTCACGTTCAATCGTAGAAAGACCGGTCTGTTCAAGAAGGCACACGAGCTCTCGGTGCTTTGCGACGCCCAGATTGCCATTGTTGTGTTTGATCCAAAGCAGATCTGCCATGTATACTCTTCGGAGCCCACAGAAGAGAAGTGTGATGCGTTGTTGCGCCGCTACTTAGAAAAGGACTTCGTGTCGCAGGACCCGTTACGCAACCAGCGGCCGCCCGATGGAAGCGAGAACGAGTCCTGGAGACCGAAACGGAACAATGTGGCTATAGTGAACACCTACCATGCCAGCACCAAACCCAAGAAGGTTGCGGCTGGAGGGTCTTTCTCGGACACAGCCGACCAGGCTGCGTTCTCCATCGAGCATGAAACTTCGTATCACATTTCCAAGCAGGACAATCGTCATGCCTCGCAGTCCACTGCGTGTGCGGGCGACTCGCCTCCCGCCGTCCTAACGCCAACACTAAGCTCGGGTGCCGGCGCTAACGGCGGCCAGATGGTTTCTGGTTCGCGAGGGCCTGCTTGTCCTGCAGGTGAGTTCATGACTCCTGCAGCGTCAGAGTCTTTCTACGAACGCAGGTTTGACGGCGGTGCTCCGTCGAGAAACACTCCGTACTACAATAACGGCATGTACCTTACTCATTCCCGTAGCTTCTCGGGGCCCGAGGACGCGTTTTCGCCGGTGTCGTGCATGCAGTCGCAGGCGACTTTTGAAAAGCCGGCAGCTTCGCGCCTGCCGTACACGCCCACAGTGCCTATGGCTCGTCAGCAGCCATTGCAACCCACAACCTCTTCAAATACGAACCAAATGGTATACCCCATGTCGCCGCCTAAGACGACTTTCCGCTCATCTGATGTTCGAACTGCCGCGTATCCACCATCTGCAATCTCGAGCCCGTCCAGGCCTCTTGGTCGTTCCAATTCGCTTCACAGCCCCCGTTCGAATTACCGTCAAATCAATCCGCTCATGAGCCCTCACAAGCCACATCCTCCTGTGGCGGAACGAAGACAATTACCCGCGCTGGACGTTAATGTGTATCCCTTCGTTTCCAGTGATGGTTCAGACTATAGTTCGTTATCCCAAGCATCTTCCGCAACAGGCATGCACAGTCGCCACTATTCGCTCAACTATTTTGACGTAAATCAAACAGATGCAGCGCTGGCGGCTCTGCCTGACTTCCAGGTATCACCTACGCCATGTGAAACGAATACCGCGCCCTCGTCGCCCGATCCCCTGCCTACATCGTCCACAAATCCAGTGTGCAGTGAACGCGGCGACTGGTTGGCTATGGATACTACGTATGTTGATCTTGGCGCGGGGGAGAAGGCAGCTTTGCCCTCGCTACCAGCAACATCGCCTACTAAAGTAGACGCTAATTTCTTTCCTCCGGGAGAAGAGAGCCCTGTCCTTCGTTCGAACGATGACTATTTTTCTACTGCTAGGACTAGTCCGAATTTAAAGCTCTGGGAGTTTTCGTAAGCTTCGGTGACGAACGCTATTGGGGTTTGATTGTTAAATACAAGCGCAGAATTGCTCTTTGAAAAGGGTTCTACTATCTTATCTTCGCATGTGAGCCCGTGAAGTGTTTCCCCCACGTCTTTTTGTGACATTCTTCCTTTGAGCCTTTAATTGTAACGCTCTTCGAATATCTTTCTTTTTGTTTTTCTCTTTCTTTTTTGTTCGCCTTTGTCTCCCTTTTTGTCCTTACATGCAGCAGGCGCATGCTGTCATGTTGTGCGTTTCACTTAACTGACTTGTGAGCATACTGGTTATGTTCATGCTATTGGATTAATGTCTGTTTTGCCATTCGTTTCCTGTCGCACGCTCTCCTCCTAATACGCGTTTTGTTTTGATTGAGGTGAATTCTATTTTTCATTACGGTGTTTGCCTCCTGTTCGTTAACTTTGATACTATGAGGGTTTGTCGTCCATGATACCTACTTTATGAGTCTATCTTTTCTTTAATATTAATTGTTGCAAACGTTATGCAGTGTGTTGTTGGGATATACGTTGTTTGATAGGGGAGGGGAATGCGATGTTACTGTACAAAAATGGATGTCCATCTAGTCTAAGACAATTTCTTCTATAAGGTCAAGAGCTGGTTTATCCTGAGAAAGGAAGGCAACCTTGTGCATGATGCCAAGAGAGCGTCTCGTCCATTTCCAATGCCTGTCTTTTGTCTCATTAAGCAGCTTCACTGCTAAATGCAAGAATTGATTTCGGGCAAATAGAATGATCATGGATTTCGTAATTTCAAATTCTATCTTGTCGCCATTTAGCACTTCGGGAAGGTATGACTTGCAGTGCAAGTACTCTAGCCATACGGCGTAACCAAACGCAAAATCGTTAGAAACAGAGGCTCCATTAATAGCACAAGCGTAAACATGGATGTCACGGAATGGAAGGTCTTTATTGCAAGTTGTTTCGTTTTGGTTCGAGACTACGTGACTAGAAGGTAACTTGGCAGGACGAAAGCTCTTTGCATAAAATTCCTTCACTTCATCCATGCATCCATGATTCTTGAAGATACTCATATAGGTTGTGCGTAGATGAACAGACAATACGGTTGGATGGTATTGTTGAAGGTAGTGATAGCATTCTTTGGCCTCATGGATTAGTTCTTCTTTAGTGATATCACCAGAAGACGAGCTGAGAAGAAAGGGAAGCTTCAGCGACAGCTGATTGCTTGGTGAAGAGATACTGGCATCATCACCTGTCTTCTCATTTGGGACCTGTTCAAGACTAGGTTCTTGGTTAAATTTGACATTTGAATACGCACGAAACAAGTACTGAAACAGTAATTCAATTGTTTTTGCGTCGGGTGTTTCGCCAGACATAGACCATATCCGAGAAATCCAACGTTTTAACGAATTCACTTGCCCACCATACGAAAACAGCTGTGCAAACGCAACAAATGTTTGTGCACCTGGCTTCCACTGTTCCGCACGGAGTTCTTCAAAAATGGACCAAAACTTTGAATGGTAGCGTGGATAGCGAGCCAACGCACGGAGAATGGCATCAATAGTTCGGGAGGATGGAGTCAGAGGGTTTATGGGTCGTTCTTGCATTTCTTGGTAAAGATTTAATGCCTTTTCTACCTTTCTTTCTGCGGTACAAACCGAAATCATGTAGGAATAAGTTTTATCATCGGGCTGACTTTGCAAAGATTTAAACTTCATGTAGTCAAAAAGGCGCCACGCTTGTTCGTATAAGCGTTCATGATAGAGAATGGCAATATATGTATTAAAGACGTGAGTATTCGCTTCAATCTTAAGGCGTTTCATTTCTGAAAGAAGTGAAAACGCTTTGACAATTTGTTTATGAAGCGAGTATGCGATGATCAGTGAAACGAAAGTATAGTTATCAGGCTTCAATTGAAACTGATTGTATGCATTGTACACATTTAGTGTCTCCTCCAACGTACTGTGCTTTGCCGAGGCATGAAGAAGAATGTTTAAGAGATACACCGACGGTGTCAGGCAGACCTGTTTTAGGCAGTCGAGAATGTTTTTGGCGTACGAAGCTCGAAAAGAAGAAGGAAGGTGTGTAACAAGCTCAATCACTTGGTTCAAGTTACATTTCTCAAAAGGAACAGAGTAACGAAACAAATTGTCGAGACGCGATTTCCATACTTCGGGTGCTAGTACACTTTTATGACTAATAGACTCAGCAGTTGGTTCCAATTGAAAGTATTTGTTGAACGACGTCTCGGGAACACCAAGTCGTTGTACGAGAATGTTATCCTCACTGGGCAACACGCTTTTACTCTTCGGAGGAACAGAATGTGTTTCTTTGTCCGAAACATTTGATCGAAGGGTGTTATCCAACAAGAAAGACAGTAGCTTTTCATTTCTTGGAAACTCTTGTGTTTGCTTCTGTTGAAGACTGATACTTTTTGAAGCGTCAATTCTGCGCTGAAGACGAAGAATGGTCGCGTTCAACTCATCCAGTGCTTTATCATTTTCTCTTAAACAACTGACTGAGTTGTGAAAGTCACGAAAAACAGGTAATTGCCGTAAATTACAGCCAAGTGGCCGCGAAAACGCGACCTTTTTATAAATGCAGGTCCTCAATTTACCGCATATTTCTGTGAACATCAGAAACAAACAGTCTCTTAGTAATAACGACGTCCGAAACTTGGAAATTCCGCACCGGATATGGTAAGTTACTTTGTCTGTTGTTTGTACCAAAATGCAGACGCGTATTTAAGGTTAGTGAAGTTTAACGCGGTTTAGCGAGTGATTCGGGCGTGACGTATGAAAGCAGCGAGAGAGGACATAGAAAATTGAACTCGAACAGAATAAACTATTAAAAAACGTAATAATATATAAATGCATTGATTTTACAACGTCCGGATTAAACAAATTATGTACTTTATTGAATCCCACTAATTTGGGTCTCTGAGATTTCATGCAGCGCACACTATCCTCCTTAAACTCTACACCAAAAGTACTACACCAAGTACATCGCTACTTCGTTGCTACTAAAACCAGCTATCATGTTAAGTGAAGAATGTCTTTTTATTGAAATCCATTAGGACCTAGTAAGTATATGGTAAACCAAGTGGAATAATAAGTCAGACGAGTAACTACATGGTTGAAATTTTCTCCAAGCATGAACTGTCTGTGCTATAAGATCAATCTTCACGTCCATCTTAATTTCAATGGTAGTTACTAAGACAAAACTGAAAGCCAAAAATGGTAGAAACTCAAAACAAAAACACAAAAACACAAAATCATAAAATCATAAAGAGAAAAAGAACCAACAATGAAAAGGCAATGCAAAAGAAGACAAAAACGTTTCTCTAGAAGAGAATGACCGATAAATAACGGCTCGCCATGCGTGTGCTTAATTCCTTTAAAAGAAAGACTGTGAATAGAAAAAGTAGAAACCAAGCAACACTTCTAGTAGTCAATTGACAAGTGTTAAAACATAGCTCCAACATCTTTGGCGAATCATTTCCTGCGCCATGCAAACAGAAAAAGGTGCTGTTGAACTTTGCAGGTTCTCCTGGTCCGTATTTTCCTGTTCCGGACACGATTGTTGTTCATAGCCGTTTTCAGTGAAGTCATTCAATTGGGTTGGAAATTGATTCTGTTTAAGAAGGAAATTGCTCGCGTTGTAGTAATCCTTCTCATAGATAGAAGCAAGACGTGCGAGAACTCCTTTTCCCGGATGAGGAGAAAAGAGACAACGATCAAGGTAATCATAATGCAGGTAATCTTCAGCCCTGATGTCGCCGTTGTTGCTTGCATTGAGGTAAACATGAAGTGGAAACGCTCTGGCACTATCGGTCGATGCATATAGCATTTGAAGCCAAGATATTTCATAAGAACTGTTAGCATGAAAAAGTAGCTGACAAGCCACGGTATCTTCAGACAAATTGGCGTAAGAGGGCATGGGGGCGTCCAGGTGCAAAAGGCATGAGAAATTGTTGCGCTGGATACGGGCAGTAGAATTTAGTACATCAACGCTTTTGACATCGTGCGTATCAATAAAGTATGCTCGAATATTACCAATTCGTTTAGAGGCAACCAGTTTGCGAAAGTCGATACGTCGTTTGGACACGGGGAGATGATCAAGGAAATGTAGTACTCCTTGCCAGAGACTTTCCTGGATAAATGCAGGATAACAATCATAAAGCATAACATGATGAACTAACGTCTGTATTGGGACGCATCCGGTGGAGATGAAAGAAAAGACATTTGAAACGTAATTGTCTTTGATGGAGCAAACATCAGCAAAGTTAGCAATTGCATACTTTGTTGCTTCCAAATTGTGCTGGAAAGTAAAGCCGTCATTGAAGTCAGAGTCAACGTCGTCTTTATATGCAAGAGAAATTTTGACGATAGCATTGTTGTCGTTCATCATTGCTTCCATAGAGTAATCGCCATTTATTAGCTTCGTTTCATCAAAGCGAGAGCGATCATTCAAGTCTTCGTCTATAGTAATTGAGCTGGCATCGTTGGACTTATGAATGGTAACAGTGGGACTCAACTCGTCATCATCCACATCAACAAAAGGTTCTGTTTCCAGTAACTCATTTTCAAGATCAGTTTCTGTTTTGCGGCGGAAAGGATCTAAAGTGTCCGAGGAAAGACCAATCGGCGGATTGTAACAAACCAGGTCCATACGACGTTTTGAGTCTTTACCGTTGCGAGCCTTGAAAGATTGGTGAGAGCGCTTCGTGCTGCGGCGCGACAAGTCACGAACGAGTGCAATAACATCATCATTCTCAAAAGCATCAGCGGTGAAACAGCTTTTAACAAGACGTTTTACAGTTTTATAGAAAGTCTTCACCTTGTTCATTTTCATAGCTTTCCAGGAGAAAGAACGTTTTATGGATCTTGTCGGTTTTGCTTTTTCATCCTGAACCGTTTCTTTCAAAATTAAATCTTTCTGTTTCTTGTGGATTTTAAAAGAATGCTTCAAATTTCCAAGCTTAAAGACCATGGTACGAGCTTGATTTGAAAGTGGGAAAGGTGTGTTGTCAATGAGAATTAGAAGTAAGAATGCAGAATTGAATCTCAATAATGAATGGATATGCAAGTTCACAATAAGAAGGTATTTGTGAACTGTGTATGCCCAAAACGACTAAGAGTGTTCCGCCCAATATAGCTTTTCTCAGGTAGCTTGTGTGCTTGATAGAAAAGTAGAGAAATGTAGGGCATGGTACCAGCTTATATAGTACTTTAATGGCTCAACATGTCAACTTTGGGAACCCTTTACGGCATGGGTGTCATCATATTAAAAAGGCTCTTTCAATTATTTTATGGGTTGAGGGATTAAGATGTAAACAGAAGATCACATTAAGTTATGCGATAGTATTCTTATGCAAAGTTAATAAAAGAGAGACTAGATATTATCGTTAATCATGTAGTTTTACTCATAAACAAGTGAACCCGCAATATGCCAAATTCAATTGATACACGCCTCTTTTAGATGGAACAAGAGCGCGATTATAAAGGAATGAGAGGACGGGACTGACATCAACGTCCACCAGCGAACGGAATTAAGTGCATCATAGAGTAGAAGTATATGTAAACAGTCCGTTTACGGTCATTATGAGCATGACGACCCGCGCCGAAACAAGTCGAGATCGTTAAATACTATTCAAAAGTACTGTGAGGGTCAGAGTGCATGATCGTCATTACTCCATAAGAGTTGGATGACCGTCAACATAATGAAAAAACTTGTTTTGAACGGAACAGGACGCAGGAATCACTACTATGCTTCCGTCAAGGACAGTGGCGTTTGAGCTTTGCCGCACCTCTAAAACTCTCGATTGAATATCGTTGAGCAAAGCTCCACTTCTTGTTCGTTCGACTGACGAAACGACCACAGGATGTATAATTTCAACATCACGGGCACGGAACAGCTCAACTTTTACAATCAGCAAATAATCCACCCTGTATTGTTCGGAACAAGTAGTGAATAATGTGCTCGATTGTTGCGAACGACCTTCAAACAAGCATGACAACGTCAGAGAAAGTCCTTCGTTCGCAAGTTTTTGGTCAACCAAGTCTTCTTCGTGCTGTAACACCTTCCGTCGGCGAATTACCTTCATGTCCTTTGGAACATTAATCATCAGTTGTTCGAGCAGAACTAGCGAAACCCGTTGAACACGGATATGATGTGCCGAGAGGGGCACAATCGATAGAAACACAGTTACCAAATCCAGCGGAACAATGCAAGATTTTGGTATAGATACATCTACAGACACCAAGCCATCGGAACTTTCTTCCTTCAAGGTGATTGCCTTATTAAACATGCCCCATGACGAAAGCATATCGAAACGATCGAGCTTTACAGGGACACTGATGGAGATTGGTGAAATCCCACAAAGACATAGGGTTGCTCGAAGAAAGTATTTGGTGCAAACGCTGGTACCGGAATGTGCCAATTCAAATGACGCTGGTAAATTTTCATTTTTAGGTAATTCCAGCTCAAAGGGAAGATCCATTGACCAGACTTTTGCCGGCCTAGTGAAGGAAGACGGGAGAGCATTGTTGAAGATATCAGAAGGCGAGTTCACGTAATCGGTAGATATCGATGAACTAGCAGATGTACAAGGTCGCGGAAACTGGCTTTGAGAACGTAATGCAATTTCGTTGTCTACAACGGGTCCTCCATACGACTTTACAATGTCATGAACCTGTGACTGTGATTGTGTTCGAGAAGGATTTAGACTGTTTGGAATACCAGCTTCAGTCGGTGTTTCACACAAGGACTCCTTTGACTGACCGAACACTGCTGTTCCAGGAGGTGGTGGAAAAAGTGTTTTCGAAGCGATACATCTTTCGTTATTAATTTGCGTTCCAAGGCCAAGGGAAGGAAAGGTGATTATCTCCTCCTGTCGAAACTCAATACTGACACATTCGACCGACAAAGGCTGCAGCATTTCCTTGCTCCGAACATTTACAAGACCCACAATTCGAGGTGAAGTTGCTGGAACGCCATTATATCCTGCTTGGAAATCCAAATGAGGGAGAGGACGAATTTCGATGGGAACAAAGTATCGCTGGGAATTCGTGCTATCCAGCATTCCAAAGTCGTAAAATCATAAAACAAAAAGTGTGTACCAAGACCCTTAAGATCGCGTAGTGGATTAAGAAAACAGCCAAATAGAACAGAACGGTCCAATCCTGTACTTACAGTAAATTAACACCCTAAATATTACCCAGAAACGCCCAAATTTGAAACCCGAAACTATCACTTTTTGGCGCTCTTTTAACTCAAACAGGCTCAATTTCAACTTCTAAAAGAGCCTCGTACCTAGTCTTAGTGTAATTCACGACCAAAGAGCAATTTGCACCGAACAGAGTTCCCGTGCATGCTGTAGTGGATGACAGGCGTTCACGCGCGCTTACCTACGTAGGCACCCTGTCGCCTTAAGTCTCTGTCATTATCGTTAAATATGTTTTACGAAGCAGACTCTTTCGTTACAATTCGTTACTCTACACCACCAAATCGTGAACTCGGTTACCAAGCGAGGCTCGCTTGCTGGCATATTCACGCATTTTGACAACTCTACCCACAGCCATTCACCGCGGATGAATCGTAAACGTCGCGCTTCTCGCTCTGAGGAGCATTCTATCGGGACTCCGAAGAAGAAACACTCCTCTGAGCGACACCACTCAATTTTTGCGCGTCTTTTTTCATCCTGTGAGCGTATCGTTGCTGACGCTTGGTCTTTCCTCTCAACACAAAGTACGCGTCGAAAAGCAATGACTTTTCACCCAGCTGATAACCCAATTGAAATTACTGAGGATACTTACGACGAATCTTTTGAAAATGCGGAAATTGAGGATTCAAAAGTTTATGAAAAATCGCTTTCACCAAGCTCCCGGCACCCAACTTCTTCCCTGTACCATAATAAAAGTGCTGGCGGGTTTAATGATTTTTTTAATGAAAACGAAAATGCACCCAGTCTTGATGAGAGAAATGACTACACGAATCCAAACGACAGCACCAATAAGGACTATCCTAAAAACAGTTCCATTCGGCCAGTCGTTCCAAAACCACATCGGACACTAAATCCTCCAACTACCCGCGAACGTCTATTCTTTGCTCTTCAACGGAGAAGAGAATCCATGAGCAGACGAGAGAGTCTAAGTCCGATGATTGAAGACGAAATACGAACCCCTTCCAAGCAAAGCCGGCCAAAGGAAGCAGCTGAGGTCAGCCTCACTCCTGAGCTACCCTTCACCGAGAGGTTTAAGACTTCGTTGACGCTGCGTGCTTCCATGCCTGGTCTCCAAGCCTCTCGGCGGCAGTCCGTTTTGCCTGAGGAAAACTCGCTTTTGTCTCTTATTCATCGGCTTAAGGAGCAACAGAAGGAGGCTTTCCACGATTGGGACAAGCTTGAATTTCTCAAGAAACCCATCAAGCCAGTACCGGTCCCGAGTGCTGTGGAAAAACCGCTTCCTAAAGACGTTCGACAGAAAACGCTCGACATCCTTTATAACGAAAATGAGCCGCAAGATAAGACGCTCGTTTCCAAGTTCAATATCCCCATCACGATCAAGGATATTCAAACTCTGAAAGATAAAAACTGGTTGAACGACGAGGTCATCAACTTTTACGTACAGCTTGTTGCCGAGAGATCAAAACATGACTCAAAACTCCCTAAAGTCCACGCTTTCAATACATTTTTTTACCCGACACTACAAAAACGAGGATATGCCGGTGTTCGACGTTGGGCCAGAAAAGCTAAGGTTGTCATCAAGGACATGGATTTTGTGCTCATACCCGTGCACCTTGGAATTCACTGGTGCATGGCAGTCATCAACAAAAAGGACAAACGGTTTGAGTATTGGGACTCCTTGGGTGGCAGTCCCGGCAAAGCCTTTGAACTTTTGCGTCTGTATTATGCAGAAGAGACAAAAGGGGGCATTGACTTATCGGGCTGGACAGACCATATTGACTCAAACTGCCCACGTCAACAAAACGGCTACGATTGCGGAGTTTTCGCTTGTAAAACGGCAGAGTGTGTAGCCCGTGCCGGCCCCATTGACTTCACACAATCAGACATGCCCGAACTTCGTATTCGCATGGCTGCAAGTGTTTTGAACGCCCATCTTTATTGAGCTATAATGCGTGGTAACACGAAACAGGCTGACAAAAAACTCATGCTACCAAACTAGCACAAACGAAAGACCAGAAGGCCTTGTTAGATAACAATAGATCTTCTTGTAGACTGTTTTTGCTCTTATGCAGTCTTTTTTTAATAGAGCGAACTGCCAGTCTTCATTATCATCACATCAGAAAATTATGCGTTAAGCTGTTTAGCATCCAGGCCCATAGCATTAAGAAAGAGGTTGACATTTGAGATTCGGACAAGCGCAATTTCTGGAGGAGCCCTTCTGCTAGTAATAATGTTATCCAAGACACGATCTCTTGTTTCAGACACTAAAGTGAAATGCTGATTTGAGGAAGCAGCGGCAGCACAGGAAGCAAGAAATTCCCAAGGATACGAATCATCCGCGTAGGCACGGGCATTGGGAGGAGGGAAAACAGAGGAAAAGTGGGTCGTAACGGCGTTAAAGAAGACATTAAATTGTTGATCCCTAAAAGTAATTAGTTTAAAGTCTTTTACGTTTTGTGTTAGTAACATACCAATTCGCGACATCTGCAGGATCGCTAGTACCAGCCTGTTTGAGAGTCTCTGCGCGACTAATTAACATGGTCAGGAATGACACGCCAACTCTAGTTTGTATTATAAATGTTAAGTTCGAGTTTCGCAGAACTTGCAGAAAAAGACTCGTGATGAAATGTAAGTCTGCTTCATTCACACAGTTCAATATAGAAGGAAGCACGTATTGTGTGAATGCTTGAATGGATTCAGCGATGCCAGGAGGTAATTCGCCATTTACATCGAATGTGCCATTCTTTACAACCTTCAGACTATCAATATGAGAATAGAATAGACTCAAAATTTGTCTTTGTTGTTGAATGCTCAAGTGGGGGAATAACCGAGGAAGGATACGCATTCCCTTGGAATAGGCAGCCATAGACAAGAACGGCGGCATTTGATCGGTAGAAGTTACCGCCTCGTCACTAAGGTGCAAGCTGCTACGAAGCTTATCCAACTTGGTTTGGACTTCATTCTTCCACAGAGCAACCGTGTTTGGATCGCTTCCAATAGAGGAGCCCTTACGCAGAGTCTGTTCAAAGTTCAGCAAATCATCGTATACATGTTCAATGGCGCCCAAAATGTCTTTAGGTGAACTAAAACCAGTAAAATGCGTTTTTCTTTGTTGAGCAACTTCCTGCTCTGAAGGGCGCTTCACATTCAACAACTGGCGAGGTGTACGAACTGTGTTGAATGCAATTTTTCCCAAAGCGCCTTCCAAGAAGAGTTGCGTAGTCTTAGGACGCTCCTTTGCCGCTGCTACCAAACGCAACAGTTGTTGTTGTACCTTTTGCATAGGGTTTTCTGAGCGACGTCCACGACGGAAACCACCCGAACCCAGGTACGTTTGTACAAAATGATTCGCATCCTCTTGAGAAGGCTTTCTTCCGCGAATAAGCATGTAAACGCGATAATAAAAGTCATCTGAGCTTGGGTCTTCTGACACCAACTGTGAGAGTTGTATACGGGTGATAAACGACTTGTCGCTGTTCGTCATTAGACCAGCGCATCGGCCGATTAACTGACGGGTCTTTTCGACATGTTGCTGTTTCAGATACTGCATTTGAGCTTGGGCCATACGCTCTCGCTGAAGTAGCTCTGTTATTTGCATGTTCGGCATGTATGCCTGTTGGTTTCCATACTGTTGCGCAACCGGAGGATATCCGATGTGCATATTCGCAAAAGCTTGTGCGTCCGGATACTCCGGACCAGCGTTCCCCATCAAATGAGACAATCCCATGGGAGGTGGTGGGAGGCCATAATTTGGCTCTGCAAGAGCTGCAGCAGACTGTCCAGGAGTCAAGTATACGGGAGGGGGAACAGCACTCGCATTCGGAGAAAGGTTGGCTGCTGCGTCCGGTTTGTTTTCAGGCTTTCTAGAAGCAAGAATTTGTGCTTCAAGCTGTTCCACGCTAAGTACGTTCTCCTTTGGCTGTTGAGTTGCACCGGGGTGTGTAGACACTGGAGCGGGAGCAATGTTTTCCCAAATGGAAGCCATCGGTTGTAGCTCAGGAAGCTTCTTTTCCAGTTCAACATTAAAGTCGTTACTAGAGTCGGATCTACCGCTGTCTAAAGCAGGCTGTTTCCCAGCGTGACGTCGAACTCTCGAATCTTCGAAAGCAAGCTGTTCTGCTTCAAGTTTTGAAGCGGCTTGGGCTGTTTCACCAGAGAAGTCAAAATCACGGCCTGTCAAAGCTGTTAGTCTGAATTACGTCTCTCAAACCGAAAAGTCGAAAAACCATAAAAACGTACCAATGCCCTCAACGCTCATTCCAAAAGTCTCATCATTCAAGTCATCACCACTCTCTTGTAAATTTGCAGCAAGATCATCGTATGTATCCTCAAAATCAATGCTAAATCAGTCAGATAATTGAAAAAATCACAATCACTCGATACTTACCCTTCTTCATCCGCCGCAGGAACAGCAGCACCCTTAATGTCCCTCGGAAGCCTTACATCAAACCCAAAAAAGGACATGACGGTGCAAGAACAGGCTAACCAGGTTGGTTAATGGCAAGTTTCGCTGACTTGGTGGTGGAAAAGGACCCTCTAAAGAAAGGAAGGGTAATGCAGAAAACCTTAATCTTAACTAATGAAAACGCGAACGCGTCTATAAGCTCTGAAATTAACGTGTAAATTCTAGGCTATCCACTTTCCAACTAGTCAGTCTGGAAAAATGGAGTAATACAATACCTCTGTGTGCTTTTCTTCAATTTTCAGCTTTTCTCGTTCGTCGTTATAATCTTTGACGAGTTTATATTTCATAAAACGTTTAAATAATAAGCAACTCACGTGAGCAGCCGCACAATTCCCTCGTACTCGTAAAATCGCAGTGCCCCGTGTCGAACAACAAACCACATCCAAGAGTTTCTCAATTTATACAAACAGACATTTAAAGTTGTTTCAACATCCAAAGATAGCTCTTGCTAATTTCTTATTGTCGTCCACAATATTCTGTGCTCGTCTCCATATTCGCTAAACACTACTACAACGCTATACTCCATCGCATTAGGTCACATTGTAACCTGAGCGAATTTTCCAAGTCCGTTAACACTGCCAGAACAGCAAAAGACGCAGGAATCTGGCCTAAAACTTGGTATCAACATATTAATTCTGTCCAATTGGAGCAGAGGCGCGTATTTATGTCTCACAAAATTGATAACTTTAACCTGAGCAGTACTGCTTCGTATTTAACGCGACAATCAGTTCTTTACACGGACATACGAAGCTTATAGTGTAAACGAGTGATACGATAGAAATTGGATGTCAAAATTTGGATCTTTCAAGAATGTCGAAACGAATGAACACGTCACTTCCAGAATTCGAGGATGCGAAGAGAATGGCACTGACTCCTGCTGACACATCTCCTCTTAGCCATGAACGACAATTGTACCAGTTACCGGACCAGACTGGAGGCGTTTCTACGCCGGATGTCAGTGCGGCGGGACTGAATCTGAATTTTGACTTGCCTGGAATTCCCTTAAACATGAATAATGACTTTTACATGAGAGTGAACAATGGGATGGATTTTGGCTTTAGCCAGAACAGCATCATTGCGCATCCTCAGCATGTATTGCGTACATCGTTGATCCCAACACTCGGCAACTTGAGTGCTGTCATTCTATCTATGTTAGGGAAACCCTTTGAAGAGGCTTCAATAATAGTTACCAATCCGGATTCAGAAATGGGTATTGCCTTCGCAAAAGTAATGAACATGTTTAGGACATTGAAAGAAATGTACTCAGAGGACTCGTTCATCTATCCCGATGCTATTAATATGAAGACAAATGCTCAAAAAACAGCTATTCGAAGGGCCAATCTTGCTATTTTCCTTGCAGCCGTATACGGAGCGCTTCAGATAGGTTTTTTTCATTTAAATGAAAACTTTCTTGAGGTATTTGCACCTGATGGCGGCAAGATTTTGGCAAATCAGGGTGTCTTATTTATGGAACTCAAGACACAGGCATACATTTCCGCAATGGCACAAGCCGAACGATCAAAAGAAGAAATTTTGAACGACCTTTTTCCTCCTGATATGGCACAACAGTTTCTCCTTCGCCGGAGAGCAAGCTTGACTGACAAATTGACGTATGTCGAGAAACAAATTTTAGAAAAGTGTGCCGCTCGGAAAGATAGGGTAAGAACATGCATTTTAGGATTGAATTGTTTAAGCTAATATTTTGTACAGCTAGCGAATTATGAACCTCAAGAAGATTTGAATGAGGTGTATCCTTGGGGCAAGTTTCTAAGCGAAATTGCTTGCTACATTCATAACAACCATTCCTCAATTTCAGCCATTCCCTTAACGCCTCCTAGCTCTTCACGCCGAAAAAAGAAGGGTGTACGAAGTGATGTCTCAACGGGAACTCCTCAACCTGAAGACACTACTTCAGAATTGTCCGATCAATTGACATTCAGTGTCGGCAGTAGCTTGGATGGAACACCGGAGGAGGCTCAAAATGTCTCGAGTGTCTCATTGTATGAACAAGTCCGCCGAATGGTCGGTTCTTCTGCTCCACGCAAACCAACGAATCGTCGGAGCTGGACTAAAGAAGAGGAGGAGGCTTTATTAGAGGGTTTGGACCAGGTGAAGGGACCTAAATGGAGTCAAATTCTCGAGCTCTACGGGCCTGGCGGAAAGAAAAGTGAAGTTCTTAAAGATCGAAACCAAGTCCAACTAAAAGACAAGGCACGTAACATGAAGCTATTTTTCCTCAAAAACGGACAGATGGTTCCTCCACCGCTTCAGTTTGTTACGGGCGATCTTCGTCGCGATTAATGATCAGGGTGTTGTTATCTATTTTTGTTTTAATTTAATTTTCCTTTTTTTTGGTTCCTATATACATATACTTCATTAAACCGGACGGAATATATATCATTATTTTGCCAGTGGGTAGTAGTGAAGCAAAGAAGTACTGAAATAATTACGGTGCGAGCCTTAACATGATAAGAACGTTGTGCTTATTTGCATGAACTTACTGATGATCTTTTGTAGTTGGTATGAGAAGCCGGAGGCTATTAAGGATGATGGATGTTTCTCGTATGTCTTTTGATTGAATAATAGAAGAAGATCGAGCGATTGCCAGCTCAACGATTTGTACCACACGATCACTATTTTGACGGAAAACCTTCAGTACCAGAGGGTCACGGCGGTTAAGTTCCTGCACTTTGGCGTCAATTGCGATGGCCAACTCTTTGAAAAAATAAATACTTATGTTCGCACCATGAAGTATAAAATCATGAAGCGAACATAGGTATGAAAGAATGTTTTCGTGATCTGGCTGACACACTTGAGATTTTTCTACAGCAAATTCGAGTCTTTTGCAGCGAGTTGCGAACTCGGATATGTTCATCCAACCATCCTCAAAATTAGACCACAGTGTGTCAGTAACCTTGGCAGACGTGGCTTCAGACTGCAGTAGCCTACGGGTAGTCGGTGCAAGTTGGAATACTTTCTGGAACTCGGTTACCGCACGCTGAACGAGCGACTCGAGAGCTTGTTTTAGAACGCGTTCCAGTGAATGAACATCAAGAAGATACAGAGTTGATGTGGCTTGAGTAAGGGAATCCGTGTCTGCCATGGAATTTGCGTCAACTTGAGACATTAGAAACGAGACCGATTTCTGGACCAGCTTCTGTCGATTTCGAACAACCTTCCCCTGAAGGGCCTTAACAGAGTTTTGACGTTGCTGGATTGGTTAATAAACAACTTGCGCACAGCAAGGCACATACTACTAAAGGGTACTTTTGTTGAAGAGTATCAACTTCCTTAAAGGAGAGGGCGGCCTGTAAGTAATTTGAAAAATGAGAACTAAAGCGTGTTAATGCAAGAATTAGATAGGAGGAATGGAAACGCAATAAATGGTCCCTTCATAGAAATCATTGCATTCGACCAATGTTTGCATACCTCCAAGTTGGTGTATCGATGGGAGTGAGCAGAGTTTCTGTTGTGTTCAGCAATCCAAAAAGTCTATTCGTCCAGTATAACATTGTCATAGTACTGTTCATGTTCACCAGAGCAGAATGAACGGGTGTAATTTCCTTGCACGGATCAATCACCTGTGCTTTTATACTTTATATTTATAAGTTAGAAAGAATGGAGGGGTCATAAGAAGCGATTTAATGGGTTCCGTACCGTCCAAATGCTGCTTGCACATTGTCTAGTCTTTGCCGAAAAGCCGATAGCTGTGCTTCATCTTCTTGAATTGTAGCAAAGTTGTCTACGAGCTCATTCTTGTTTTCCAAAATCTAACCGTATTAACAATTGGTCGTCGAACTTTTTTAAACGCATACCAATTGCGATATTTGGCTTGTAATTTCGTTCGTTGAATACTGTAACTTTTTAACCAAAACTTGACGATCCTCCTCCGTCGGGTTATTTGCACCAAGAGAGGCATAGAGTTTTTCAATTTGACGCTGAGGATCAAAAGAAGCGTTCTCGTAATCCGAGAAATCAAAGTGATAATTCATATCGCGTTACAAAAACGCGAACACACCGGGAAAAATTATGCACAGGAAACACAATTGAGTCCACAGGAATTGCGATAGATGCTGGACTGTAGCAGGAATTCACTTTTCTTTAACGCCAACTCGTCTAGGTGGTGGTGTCTAACAACCCAGCTGAGAGCCTCTACTAGCTACACGGGCACGCACGTCTAGGGAACCTGGTCGCAACCTTGTCCTTAGGATTCTCCTAAGAAACTGTTTTTATATCAGAACATGTCGTTTTCTTTTGGTAAGAAAGTTTCGTTTATGTTATGCTAACGCCACAAGGGCAACAAGGTGCTAAACCACTTGGTTCTACCACATCTTTTGGAGGAACGTCTCTTTTCGGTCAACAAAAAACAAATCAACCGGCGACTTTTGGCTCAGCCGGTGGTTTGAATGCAACGACGAATCAACAAAATACAAATGCACAAGGTCAAACGAGTTTGTTTGGCAATAAACCACTGTTTGGGCAGACGCAAACACAACCTGCCGCAAACACAACAGGATCGTTGTTTGGAAACACCAACACAGGCTTAGGACAGAGCTCTGTAACACAGCCAACCAATTTGTTTGGCCAAACGAATGTTGGAGCCCCGAATGCATCTACTGCTGCAGCTAATACTTCTACGACTGCTCAAGCAGCACCGTCTCTTTTCACATGGAACGGTGCAAACACTAGCACAAACAAGGCTGCAGAAACATCTACAATGGGCCTTCAAGGACGATCCTTCCTGGGATCCTCCACGGCGGCTCCCGGTCAGTTGGGATCTTCTATAATGAATACATCTACCAACCAAGCTGCAGCTGCCTCTCAGCTGACCTCTTTACAAGCTGAGTTTGAAAAGATTCAGAATGCATGGAACCTTGCTCACCCAGATTGCGCTTTCCAGCGTTATTTTTACAACAAAGTCCCTCCTGAGCAAGCAGGATTGTATGTTAAACCCCCGAATCACAACCAACAAAAGTGGGATGAAGCTGTAGCCAAGCGGCCTAATAACAGCGTTGTCCCTGTTCTAGCTGTCGGTTTTGCCGATGTACAAAAGCGTATAAATATGCAAAAGCAATTAGTAAACGCGTATCGTTTACGTATGCATGAAATTGTCAAGACGCTTGAGGGACTTCACAATAAGCACGAACTTGATACCACCATCAAACTCACCGAGGCGAAAAGCCGGCATGTCGTGCTTTCTGAACGTGTGCTTCGACTTGCCATCAAAGTCCATGTTCTGCGTCATCGCGGTTATGCACTTAAATCAAATGAGGAGGAGTTACGCAAAAAGTTGGATGATCTGTCCAAATCACTCAACAATCCCCAGGCTTTTGGTCGTCTCAACGAGATCTGGGCTCGGATTACTCTGCTTTTCGAAAGTGAAAATGAGATGCTCTCGGGCGAGCAACGAAATGCCCTGTTCAAGGGCGCCATTGACTGGCAAAAAAACGAAGGTCAATTAGACACTGTGGCCGATGTGCTTCGAGATCATCAAACTGGTCTCAGCTATCTGACTAAGCTTATCAAGCAAGACCTGGAAGGCTTGAATGGCATCCTCGACAACGAGATGGATGATGAGAAGGCGATGTAACATAAAGTACTCAAGAAATCGATTTGACTGGTTAGGGATATGAGGATGTTTAAGCTTGTGAACGTGTTTATCGAGTGTAACTGGGTGCCGTCGTGTTAGGGGTATTGCACGCATGTACAAGGATAGCTGGTTGTTGAATTGGTCAAAGACGTTTAGCAGCGAAGGACCGAGACGACATGAAACCGAGCTTGGAGTATATGCCTTCTTTAATCAGTAAAATTGTTATTTGCTTAACTATTCTACACACGCCACTTCGTCCGATAAGAAATTCTGACATTTGCTGTATCGATCATCTCACAACCCCGGTACAATTTAAATTAAGGAGAATGTTTCTCTTGTTTCTTCTAAGCGACCTACTTAACAAACTTTGATTTGAACATTGAAATTGCAAATGGAGCTACCCGGTTAATAAATGTTCATTGTACCGATTTTTCCATCCTTACCGATAGCCAACAAAGCTGCAATGGTAGTTGCTTTCTTGAGTTCCTGCATAAAAAGTTTGTTAACTTTACTGAATAATATGTATTTCTGTAACTTACAGCAGAAGCCTGCTTGTTGAGCTTTTCGACTTGTTCTTGAGAGGGTGCACCGGCGCCAGCAAACATTTTTTATGACTTGTGAAATTACTTTTATATCGGGTTGTTGGTGTATGTGAGTGTTGCGTCGCACGAGCGAATTCTTATTTCATTTTGTGTTTTATTGCCGATCAGTAAATAGACTGGAAAGAACGCCAAACAGTAAGAGCTGCAGAGATAATTGAGTAAATTAGGTATTATTTTGTTCTTCAAATTTGTCAAGATTAATTGACGAATGTAGTATTCCCAAATATTTATTTAAATCTTTTGCTTTTTTATAAATATATAATTTATTCATTTTTTTTTAATAATTTTTTTTTAATTTAATTTGATTTAATTTAATTTGATTTAATTTGATTTAATTTAATTTAATTTAATTTCAATTTATTTATTATTATTATTATTATTTTATTCGCAGACCCCAACTTGGCCACCCCACTTTGGTCTTCTCCCCCCACAGCGGCCACCTAGCACTTGCTCACTGCAAACTAGTACTTTTCGCCTCAATTGTCGTTTAACGAGCGATTAAGGGCTTTTCAAACCAGTTTTATAGAATTTATCGCGTCCTTTACAGTTACTGACGCGTAAAGCTTCATTATGTCTGAAGCTGAGCGAAATTTGACGGACGCGCATTCTGCATCCATTGGCACAGAAAATGAGGGAAGAGATACGAAAAACGCATCAGAGAATGGCGTTGATTTAGGATTGAATTTTTCTGAGGATGAGCTTTCCGATTTGGATGAAAACCAATTTGAGAACTTTGATGAATCAAAAATTGGTCACGAAGATGAGGAGCCTACCATTTACAATCTTCCTTCCTTCAAAAAGAAACACAGAGAGGCTCTAGGAGGCTCTGATGAAAAAATTGGAGCAGCCGGTGCTGCTCGTGGACGCAGACGTCGCACAACATCGCGTACTACGGCGGATGACTTTTTTGACGAACAAGAAGAACATCCTACAAAGGAAAGCAAACGGAAACCTCGAAAACAAGTCCCCGTCAAAGAGGAGCGTCCTGCTGACCCCGTTTTGGCAGCTAAATGGGATTTGGATCGCAGAATCGATGCTGTGTTGAAGCCGGCTCGGGGGAAGAAGCGTTCTATGGACGATGATTTGGAACAAATGGCCGACGAGGAGATTATGCGGCTGCGAGAACAAATGCGTCAGGCCGCTATCCGAGATGCTGAACTGAATTCCGAACAAAAGCCGGCTACCGAAAAACTTAGAATGCTCCCCTTTGTAGAGACTGTTCTTCGCAAGTCTAATCTGCAGGACGTCATTCTCGACAACAATTTACTTGACTCGGTCCGTATGTGGCTTGAGCCGTTGCCCGATCGTTCTTTGCCTGCACTAAACATTCAGCATGTTCTCTTTGATGTGCTTCGCAAACTTCCCATCCAGACAGAACATCTCCGTGAGAGTGGTCTTGGTAAAGTTGTTCTGTTCTATACACTTTCAAAAAAGCCTGAACCATTCATTCGTCGTATGGCCGACACACTCGTGAATGAATGGAGTCGTCCTATCATCAAACGCAGTGCTAATTACCGTGATCGTGCGGTTAGCGTAGTTACTCTTAATCCCGAGATGCTGCGTCGTCAACGCAGCAGCGCTATGATGAGCCATGCTGATGATGGCACAGAGAACTCTGACCGCACTGTGATTCCCCAATCTGTTTCGTCAAAATACCAAATTGCGCCTCGTGTTCGACTGAATAGTGCAGCCATGTATGGTCGCATGAAGCCAGCCGACAGCGAACAAGTTCGCAAACTGAAGGCTAAAATGAAAGCCATCCGCAGTAAGCCTACACGTCGCAGTGGTGTCAGTATCGAGGGTCGCGGATTGTAAGCAGACTTAATAGCACCGTGCCATCTCCTGCTGCTAAAACTGCGTTGCTTCCACGATTTGTCGCCGACTGTTTGGATTAGTTTTGTACATTTGCTTATTAATGGTTTTATGAATAAAACGTAGATTTGTATTCTTCAAACTGTTTGTACATGGTCCATCACGTCGCTCGAACGGGAATACATTGTTTACTACGCGCAGCTTTTTTCATTTACTTACGCGTTGAACCACAATCGTCACGTTCCTCAAAAGATTCCCGAGGGTTCCCCGATATTCTCCGAAACATCGGTCATTTCCGGGCAACCTTATTCTCCCAGGCTTGTAGGAAATATTGGTGTGAGACGATGCTCCTGTTTCCCTCCTCATACCCTCCGTAAGGAATGAGTGACCGTATGGACCGCTGTTTTGCACAAGAAATACATTCACTAACGTAGATGTAGACCGTTTTATTAAAATGGCCGACTCTCTGGCCTTTGCGATGCCAGAGGTCGAACGCCCCAGAACCAGAGTATGAAACAGATGCGATTGCTCCTCTGGAGGGCTTTCTCTACGGCTTAAGACGATCACTAACACCGCTAAGATTGACTTTTATACCAAATTAGCTTGGATGGCCGGTTGTGCTGCCTTGTATCATGTCATGAGCTGTGTCCCTGTGTTTGGCGCCAAAATTTCGGACAAGCCTGATCCTCTGTTGTATGTAAACAGTTTCTAAGGAGTGTGTATCGAGTCCACCATTGTTCAGACGTATTTCATGATTTCTGAATTGATTTATGAAGTCACTGGATGAGATTTTGCCTTACTACCGGCGATTGTGCTCCTCACTGCTTTATTCAAACGATTGCTAGTTATCAAGCTACTGACCTTTTGTCCTAAATAGTTCTTGGAGAGCTTTGGATGGCTCGAACAAAAGGTATGCATCTATGGCTTCGGGTTTTCTCCCATTTCCTTTTACTAACGAAAATATCAGTGCTCTTACGATCAACGGTCTGGCTCCTGTATTCCTTTCTGCATACATCTTGCAGCTTCTGGCCGGTGCTGGAAAGCTCAAGGTGAACTTTTTCCTCAAAAACGATAGACTCTTATTCCAAAATGCCCAAAAGTGTATGTGATTAAGAAATGCCGCGAGTATTTCCCCTTCTTTGTCGTTGGTTCGTCAATGCTAACAACTCACGTGCATAGTTCTCTCCGTGGTTCTGTACTTCCTTTTGTCGGTTGCCTATATGGCATCTGGATTTTTTGGCACCTTTGCAGAATTGGGTCTGTTCAAGTATGCCGTTGTCTTCTTGCAAATCTTCCTTGCCGGTGTCGTGTCTACGTATTTGTGTGAAGTTGTCGAAAAGGGTTACGGATTGGGTTCTGGCCCCTCTTTGCTCCTTGCTTCGCACATTCTTGGTGCTGTTTGGTGGCAGACTATGGGTGTGAGCCGTTACACTTACAACGCTGAGGGCAGTTTGCAGTATGAGGGTGCTCTTGTTGGCATTGCTCTCAATTTGTTTACCTTCAAGGAAAAGTTTGCACCCCTTCGTGAAGTCTTTTTCCGCCCTGAGAGACTCAGTGTGTATGGTTTCTTGATTTGCGTAGCTACGTATTTCTCCATGGCCTACCTCATTAACATGCGCATCGATGTCCCTATTCGTTCCTCCCGTGTTCGTGGACACCGTCAGAACTTCCCCTTGCGTTTGTTGTACACGTCTGTGATGCCTCTTGTCTTCCTCATTTCCATTTTGTCGCATGTTCAAGTCTTTGCTTATGCCATCCATTCGTTGTTCCCTAACGCTCTTCTTACTCGTTTGCTTGTGCAGTATGCCGAGTCTGACGTGTATGCCCGCAAGGAACTGCGTCTCGTTGGCGGACTTGTTTACTACTTGATTCCCACTTGTGGGCTTAAGCAAACGTTGCTGTCGCCCTTGAGAGTAACTGTGTCTTCGCTCTATGCTTTTGCCGTAACGATTCCCTTCTCCCGCGCCTGGATGAATGCCACTGGTGCTGGTCCTCGTGACGTTTTGCGTTTCTTCAAGGAGAATGCCCTTGTTATGGCCGGTTACCGCGAGGCCAGTATGTTGAAGGAATTGAACCGCATCCTTCCCACTGCTGCCTGGGTGTCTGCTTTCACTATCACTTCGCTCGCTCTCGTGTCCTCTGCCATTTCGTCTACTACCTTGGCTCCTGCTGTTGTCGTTGGTGCGGGACTTACGTTTGCTACCTTTGAGTTGATCATGGGTGAGAACCCTCAGATGCTTCCTCCCACTGCCTCGTAAAAAGTTTTGCAGCGATAGTAAGCACTGTACAAACTGCAATGTCTCTAATGAGTGTTCACTCGTTCTTCGCTCTTTGCCTTAACTACCTAGTACGACAGTATCGTGTCGTCGACCAGTACTGGTCGACGACACGATACCATAACTGCCATTAATGACATCGGCAGTAGTTACACTCTCATTGACATCTCTCTTTCCCCATGGAACACTTTGTGTTTTCATTTATTCTAAAGCTTGCGATGGTAAAAGTTGGCGATAGTTCTACTTCTTAATAGAGCAAATCTGTTCCCTCTAGTAACAGACAACTGTAAATAATCTATATACGGCAGTCTCTGCCTGTATCAAGTAACTGATAGCGTATGGGCTCGTTTGTGTTCCATTACGTTAAACTCTGCTACGTTTCCACATAATACGTTATATGCGTTTAAGAACACCTACCGCCACCAAAAGTCTTTTATCGCAATGTTAGAAAACGCTATACTTCGTTCGGATTCGTTAGAGGGAGCAGTCACAGTTTCGGTCAACACAATTCTGCCAAACGCTTCCTCCTTCTCCAGCACACAATGTCGGAATTCCAAAAGGTCGTTGTGATTGACGCAAAGGGGTATGTTTAAGCAATGGTTCAGCCGATGATGGAGCAGTCGAGTACTAACAATTATGTTGTAGACACCTTCTTGGTCGCTTGGCCTCTGTTGTCGCCAAGCAACTCTTGAACGGTCAAAAGGTCGTCGTCGTTCGTTGCGAGGAGTTGAACATCTCTGGTCACTTTTTCCGTAACAAGCTCAAGTACCTTGCTTACTTGCGTAAGGCCTGCCGTTACAACCCTACCCGTGGTGCATTCCACTTCCGTGCTCCCTCTCGCATCTTCCAAAAGGCTGTCCGTGGTATGATCCCTCACAAGACTGCCCGTGGCCAAGCTGCCATGGAGCGTCTCCAAGCTGTTGAGGGTATCCCCGCTCCCTTTGACAAGCAAAAGCGTGTCGTCGTCCCTGCGGCTCTTCGTGTTTTGCGTCTCAAGCCCGGTCGCAAGTACTGCACTGTCGGCCGTCTCTCTGCTGAGGTCGGCTGGAAGTACCAAGACGTTGTTGCCAAGTTGGAGGAGCGCAGAAAGGTCAAGAGTGCTGCTTTCTACCAAGCCAAGCTTACCAAGCAAAAGAAGTTCTCTGCTGCCAAGGCTGCCTCCTCTGTCAACGAGAAGCTTGCTCAATTTGGTTACTAGGTGGTAAATACGACACAATGAGAGCAATACTGACCATTACGATGGAGGTGGGTTGTTGAGTTGGTGTGTGAGGATGTAGTTGTGGGTCGGATTGTGTGGTTTGATGGATCAGTTTATGGTTGTGTTTTCATCCCGCCGTTCGTGCGCAAGTTTCAAATTCAATGTCTGTTTCATAGCATGCTACGTACAACCATGAGAGCTTCTTGCTCACGGGTCGTGACTCACTTGTCCATAGTCTATTTTTTGAAAGAGGAAGATTAGACAGTGCCGTTCTACGACAGCTAACTTAAACTTCAGCCATCGCCGTTAAGACAGTGTTCACTAAAAACACTGACAAAAGCGACGGAACTTAAAGCCAGGGCCAAAGGTTCATCTCAACCACAGAAGCAACGCTGGCAAGCTGGAACTTCTCGAGAACCAAGGGGTGAAGCACACCAAAGGTACCAACACGCAAGCCCTCCTTGCCCGATTCCTTACGGAAGTAAATAGCAGCGCAACGACCAGGGAAGTAAGTGGGATCGTCCACGGGCTCAATCCAGAAACCAGCTTCCAAGTCCGTCTTGGGAGTGGTGATGCGTCTGGTATGTAACATGGCCATGATCCGGTCAAGCAAACCATGAATCAACTCGAAACCAGATGTTTGGCCGACATAAGCGGCGCAAATGTGACGCTCATTGCGAGTCAAGGATTCTTTCGTGCGGTCAATGAAAGCAACATCGCTGACCTCAAAAATCTTAATGGGCAAAGCGTGACCACGGTTCTCACGAATAGTCTTCAGAATACCGGGCAACAAACTAGAACGAACGACCTGGAATTCTTGCGTCTTGGGGTTACCCAACTCAATGGCAAGAGAATCGTCCGTTTTACGAAGCCAAGCATAGTTTTCGTCGTGAGAGCACAACGTGAAGGGCATAACCTCAGACCAGCCAGCCAAGGCAATTTCACGACGAATAACGTCGGAAAGCTGGTTAATGGGGTATGGTTGGCCATGCGTGATGCTTTGACCAGGGTAAGTGTGCTTCAGGTTATCATATCCATAAGCAATAGCAAGGTCCTCCATAATGTCACATTGGTGAAGAATATCTGCACGCGTGGCAGGGACATAAACGTTGAGAAGCTTACTGTTCTCAGGATCAGGTTTAGCATCAAGCATCATGCGCTCCAAGTACTCGCACACCTCGTTGGCAGGCAAATCAAGACCACAAACACTGTTCAGGTAGGCAACTTCGGCCTTGAATAAAGTTGGTTCAAGCTTGGGAGTGACACGAGAGCAGTCGTTGTGCTCAGAGACGATCTCAACAGCTTCGACAGAGAAAGGCTCCTCGCAGTAACGAGAGAACATGGTAACCATGGTGTTCAACACAATTTCAAGCTTAACCTTGTCGGTAGCAGTGCACTCAATGAAAACATCACGAGTGTCCAAAGAGATCTTACTCAAATCGCTGTTGATAATAGGGGGCAGCGAGCAAACGCGGCGTTGGGAATCCAGAACGACGGGGTAAACGGGCGAGTTGCTAATCAAGGGCAAGAAACGGGCCAAGTGCTTCACGGGCGAGTAGTACTCAACCAAGTTCTTTCCATTCAAAACAGTGGTTTGATTCAGAGGGACAAACTCAATTTCTTCAGGCTTTAAGCCTTCGTACGTAAAAGGACCTTGGATTTTAGAATAGTCGTGAGTGCCAATAGCCACAAGAGAACGGTTACGGCACAAGTTTGCATGGAGCTTGTCTTGCAAAGCAATGAAGCTCTGGTAGCGACGAGGTGTGAATTGCACGCCACGAAGGATAGCAGCAGCAAAGTAAGGACGGACGGAAGAAGTGCTGTCCTTCACGACAACCTTCGTTGTGGGAGGGAGGACCTTGTATCTAGGAGCCGAAAGACGACGGTTGTACACATTTAATGCCTGAGAAATACCCTCCACGCAAAGAAGATCGTAACGGTTGGCTCCAATATCGATTTTCAGAGCGGGACGCTCCGAAGGATCTCTGGAAGGATCGTTGGTAGTATCACCGTCCAGCTCTACACCAAATTGAAAGCAGAGCTGATCAAACTCTTCCGTAGCTAAAATCACCGTGTTAATAGTGCTCTCTCGCAGTCGCAAGGTACTTACTGTACTCTTTGTTCAGAGCATCAAAAAGGTCTTGTTTGTCGCAACTAACGGTAGGCATTTTTTAGGCAGTATTGGATCCAACGAAAGGCTCCTCGCTCTTTACGAAGTCTCTAGTGTTGGTTGGTGGTGGGACAAGGTGGGCCTAGCGGTTCGGCCAGTTTTGGTAAGGTGTAAAATGGTGGTAGTGTTTCGCAGAAGAGAAGCGAAAAAAATAAGCTTATCTTTTCCAACAATTATCTTCTAGAAATTCATGTTAAGGTTTTCGCAATGATCTTAGCGAAAAGTTGCGTATACCATAACGCGAACAGAAATTATAGACGAAGCCGAATCCATAAAAAGCGTGTTTTAAGATGTTTTAAGCGTACCATCAGCTAAAAGATGATCATACATCTTCTTGCAATGTTCATGCCAGGCAATTGAACCTTCCCATACAAATAAGTCTTCGACAAGGATTTCGGGAACGCGTTCGTTTTCGTCCAACCCACAAACATGGCAGGTCGTAGGAGCAGGAGTAATTGAGAGAGGCTCTAATGGTGTTGTGTCTAGGTTTCGTATAGGTAGATCAGGGTTTTTTAGGCACAGAATGCGCAAACGCGGGAGAAATGCCTTCCAGGAAAGATAAAGTCGATCCGTAAGAACGGAAGCAAGATCATTCTTTCGTTTTCGTCCATAAAGAACGCGCTGTGCAATTTGGCTCGCGTATAGTAAGCCGAGTGCATACTGTTCCGTAATTTTATGGTTCAAGACGCTTTGTTTCAGTGGAAATGAAAGTTTAGAGAGCGATTGAAAGAAATTAGAAGGCTCTGTAAACTCGTACTCAATAATATGTTGAAGCACCTGAGTTGGGGTCACTGGAACGGGTAGGGCGACTCCTGTTTCTGAGACTGCAGGCCAAGATGGTCCATTGAACGCTTCTAAACTTTGAGATGCCACTTTGTCATCTTCAAAGACGTCTAGTAAATTCACCTGATGAGCCAGTTTCCCCAAACTACCTGCTGAGCGTTAATAAACAGCTTTTAAGCACAACCAACGTAGTTGGAAGAGGTTACGAACGAACATCCTTTGAACCGTAAAGAAGCCGCTGGAAGGGTCCCGTTAATGACGTAAGCTAATCTTATTTACATAACCTCAACCAATAATAAGTATTTGAGATAACTCTAAAATCAACGCCAAGTTCTATCCGAGAAGTAAGAAGAATAACTAATGTTTGAATTACAAGAGATAAATTGCTAAACAATCACATTTTGTTCATGTTTAGTTGTCATATTGCTCATCTCCACGTGCACTGGTCTTCGACTCTGAGGTTACAGAAGCCAGAACTCGGTTAATATCAGAAATTAAGTCCGAAATATCCTCAATGCCAATGGACAAACGCACCAACGATGGATTGACATTGGGGTCGCTCATAAGACGCCATTCACACAGGCTTTCAACGCTACCAAGAGATGTAGCATGATGGAAGAACTGGAGGCTTGTGCAGAATTTCTTGGCAATTTCTGGAGTGCGGAAAACGACACTGAAGCAAGAAACGTGTCCACCCACAAGTGTCTTGCGTACAAACGACTCCGTTTGCAAGGAGTCATGATGCACTTTTTTTACAAGAGTGCCATCGATTCCAAGTGATTTGGCAAATTCCGCATCCGTAGACAACCGATACAAATGCTGTGCAATGGCGTATCCATTTTTACTGTGTTGCTGAATGCGCAGAGAAAATGTACGCAGAGAGCGAAGAAGCGTGTGAGAAGAAACAGGCTGCAGGATGCTTCCAAGATGTATACGATCAAAGCGCAATTCTTGGGCAACTTTGGGATCCTTGGTGGCTACGATACCAGCCAAAACATCGCTGTGTCCAGCAAGGTATTTGGTAGCCGAATGCACAACGTAGTCTGCGCCCAATGTAAATGGATCCTGCAACGGCGGAGGAGCAAGCGTCGAGTCGACAGCCAAAAGTGCGCCTTTGCTGTGAGCAAGCTTAGCATAATAGGCGATGTCGCAGCATTCGCCAGAAGGATTAATTGGTGACTCGAGGAAAATCAAGTCGTGTTTTTGGATACCTTCACAGTTTTCGTCAATGTAAAGGACTTGCGTATTTGATAAACGCTTCATAATGTCAATAATTCTTACTACACCACCATATCCACCAGTTCCCGGAGTGTGAATAGCAACACGTTTGGGATGCAAATGAGTGAACAAAGCAAAAATTGCTGCCAAACCAGAAGCATATAAAACAGCATTGGCATTCACAATAGCTGAAACAGCAGCCTCAGCACGAGAAGTCGTCTCGTTCCAAATACGCGAATAATAAACATACTCTTTATCGGCAGTCCATTTTATGGGTTCTGCATCGCTGTCATAGTCGTAAGTTGTAGAGAGATGAATAGCGGGCGACACATCGGATTCCTTGCTAATGGCATCATCAGAGTGTATAAGGGCAGTTTGAAGACCCACTTTTTTGGTGTTAACAGGCGACATCGCAAAAAACGCTTAATATAAGTAATTATGCCTTCAAGAGAAGGATCTTATAAGGACTTTTGCGGATTATTTAGATGAGGAGGATATGAGCAGTTTAGATACACCACCACCTAGAGTAAAGGGCACTTCAGTATACAGAATTCCGTGAAGTCTAGAAGGAGTGAAGGCAGACTCAATAGCGATTGTGCCAAGCGTTTTTAGTAGATAAGACGATCGTTGCCGCGATATGATGCATACTGACATTAGTATTGCACCATCAGAGAATCTCGATGCATTCCGTTAAACGAACGTCGTGAGCACGAGACGTACATCACGAACGCACGAAAAAGATAATGTGCAGCAAGTTTCACTAGATTGCTGATTGGGAGGACACGGAATGATGTGTTTGCTGGCTTTACCAATGGGGAAGAGACATGAAGAATTGAACATCATTTCCCTTTCCCAATATCACTCTAGGCACTGATAATAGGAAAAAGCGTTGGAAAAGCTTCTATATATAAAAATCGGAAGCAAGTGGTTGTTACCAGAAGAAAAGGAAGATAGACAGGAAGGGCCACAGAACTCGTTTCCAAAGAATAAATAATACAATAGCCATTAAAATGTAGAACCCAGACATCACAAGCAAATAATCACCTTTATCACTCATCTTAAGCTCCTTTATTAAACGGCGACTTGAAAAGATCACGTCGCCCAAACTGAAGTACTTCTCTTGAAGATCCTGAAGTACACTTGTGCTCTCTTCCAGCTGTTGAGAGCTGTTAACACTTAGGTCGATAGCCTGTACAAGCTGTGAATGGATACCTCTCATCGCTGAGGTAACTTGCGTCGCACTAGAGACCAACATGCCATCTGGAAGTGTAGCGGTATTTTGAGGAAAAAGTTGGTTAGATATGTTCTTTTGGTCGTTTTCAGCATCATTTGTGTTGTCATCAATCGTCTCCTTTGCTACCGGTTTGATGAAAGGGTTCCAGGAACGGGTCTCAAGAATTTGACGACGATAACGGGAATTTAAGCGTTGAAATTCTTGCACAGCTTTCTCATACCGCACTATCTGCTCAACGGTAGCATCTGCATGGAGCAACATAACTTGAAGCATTTCCCAATTACTCCGGAATTCGCGAAACAACTGCTTCAACTCGTCTACTGACGTTGCCAGCAAAAGAGCCCGGGATTTTTGCTCTAATGCCTCCAGTTGTTGTTCCATCATCGCGATTTTGATGAAACTAGTTGGTTTTAAGGAGAATTGTGAGAGGTTGGCCGAGTTGAGCTCAGGAAAGGAGTGTTGCGGTGGATCATCGACGACCCACGAAAGGCTCATGCAAAGTATGCAGAAACAGAGCTTAAACCAAACAAAACACAGGAAATACCATAGAATGAAACCTTTTAAATGAAAGATGATTTTAGTTGTCGCTATGAGGAGGGTGTTCAACGACTTCACCAACCACACTTTTGGAACCAAGCGGTAATTCTTCAAGCAAAGATCGAACATGTTCCAGCTTCTCGTCCTCCATTTTACGGAACAATTCTTCATCTGACAAGCCTTTGTTGTTTTTACGCATCTGCATCAGTTCACGAGCACGTTCACGAATCCACAAAGGTTCTTCACTAAGTTGAAGCATGAACGAACAACTAGCAAGAAAACAGTCCTTGCTGCAGTAATAGTTTAAACCACCATACCGGAGCATTTTGTTTCCTTCGATTCGATATCGAGTCTGTTTTTTTGGACTGTTACTGCAGGTAGGATAACCACATAATTTCACCAGATGACGTTCTTTCACAACCTCGTTATAGTCCGTTTTTCGTAAGAAATTCTGCGATTCCTTTAAAATTTCCTCAGATACAGGGTCCATTAGTCGTTCAATCCATTCCAACACGAGATTATCAAATTCGATGCGACTTTTTGCCTCAGAAAGCAGTCGTTTTGTTAGTTCACGTTGCTCTTGTTCTTTCCGCTCTTTTAATTTAGAGGATTTTAGAATTGATTTCGGTTCCGAATTCGTAGAACTCATCATCAAGACGGAAACTTAATATTTCAAAACCAAAAAAAGCAATTGTAAGTGCGCGAAAAAATCGTTGTTTCTAAAAACACAGCAGAATATTAAGTGTCAATTGGCGTATTTATGCCTCCAAAAAATGTCTAATTACCGTACAAACAGCAGTTCCAAGCTTCTCTTTTTTTGCGTGTTTGGGAAAGGTTAGGAGATAGTCAGACGCGCGCGAAGCTTGTTTAATGACGCATTTCGCTTAATTCAAACCATATTATTCACGTGAAAATGGGTTCGAACCCCTGCTTATTTCGCTTGTTTATTCAACTATAAAGCCACTAGCCGGAACTAGTTGCGTCATAACACAGTTCACCACCACCACCAAGGTTCGCGTCTTTTAAGTTATAAGGCTCTGTCATAGCTCTCCCTCCCTCCTTTCCCCATCTACCAGTTCGTACGCCATCTCTACATTTATTGTTTTTGCTTTCAGACTTTGGATTTTTGAAAGGAAAAAGTTTTTTGTGAGTCTGTAAAACGAAACGAACTAAATGAATCGGAAAGCTCACTTGGTTAGAGCTTCGTTTGCTTACCAGAGCGAGCATCCGGATGATCTGTGCTTCACTGAGGGCCAATTAATTAATGTTGTTGATGAGGTTGACGAAGACTGGTTGTACGGTCAATATGATATGAATGGAACGACTTGGACTGGCATATTTCCTCGGAATTTTGTTGAAGAAGTGGAAAGCGAAAATGACGGCGTAGTGGCCGACAACGTTCATGAAGAAAACCATACTGAGCCCCAGAATGAACCGGTTCAGCCGAAGAAGGAGGAATTAGCTGCCGCTCCAGCTCATGACTCTCCTCTACCTCTTGATTCTAAGACGCCTGAGCGTGAAGAAACGAGGACGGTAGAGGAAAAAGCCAAGTTCAACACGGCGGCTCCTTCTGCTGCCGCTGCTATGGCATTCAAATCATATAGTCAGCCTCACGAGCCTCCAGTGAGCAGGGAAGATGGTGTGGAACATGAACCAGAAATCTCCTACGCATCATTGGAAGAACGGCTCGAGGAGGAGGTCACACATACACCAGCTCAGTTCGGCATCGGCAACTTGGTAACTCACAGAAAAAGCTTGGGCAAGAATGAAGAGCCGGCAGAGACGAAACCTTCCAGTGAAATTCCTGTCGAAAAAAGCGTTTATGAGCCCTATGCAGTGAACTCGGAAAGAACTTCTGAACCTTATTCACAGGTTCCTCCACCCCTGCCGGCTTCCAAGCCTATTCCTAGTGAACAACACGCTCCTGTACCAAATATTAATGCTTATGAGAAGACGCCTGCGGTTCATAAAGAGGCTGAAACTGAGATTGACCATATTGATTCTCAGGAACTGACTGCTGAAGAAGTCCAGAAGCAGAAGGAGTCCTTCAAGCAAAAGCTGAACGCGTTTAACAATCTGAAGGAGGAGGATCTGATTCATAAGAGCAAAGAAGCGGAGGCTTTGTCCAACGAACTGAAAGAACAAAACGTTTCGTTGAAAGAGCGCGTGGCTAGACTTAATTCTTTACAAATGCATTTAGATAAGTCGGCCCCCCCTGCGAGAAAACCCATCGTCCATTCGCCGGCGAACGACGCTGCTAATGATTCAGCTACTGCTGCTGTATCATCAGAGCACGTTCCCGAAATCACTGATTCTGAACCGGCTGCTCATAGTCCTGAATCCTTAACAATTGTTTCAGATCAACGTATGGTGGAAAGCCCCGTAGGCGAAGCAGAACAAGAGCCTTTCGCTTATGCTGCGCAAAACGAAATTCATGAGAAAGTACCGGAGGAGGTGTCCGAACCGGAAGAGAACCAGCCCAGCAAGCAGAGTGCTGAAGCTTATGAGAATGATGACGAGGAAGCTGATGAAGAGGAGGAAGAGGAAGATCCAGAAGAAGCTCGTCGACGTGCCATTCGTGAACGTGTTGCGAAGCTCAGTGGAGGCTTCGGAATGAATATGCCCTTTGTGCTTCCAGGAATGGGTGGATCCCCGAAAACCAGAAAGAAGCCGTCAAAAAAACGTTCTCAGACTGCTCCAAAAGAGGATGAAACTACCCGTGCGCCCCCTGTTCCTATTTTTCCTCACCCTATTCCTTCAACTAAACCAGTAACAGAAGAAGAAACTCCCATTGACACCGCTGCCGTGCATCCTGTTCAACAGCATTCGTCAAGTTCGACAGAATCTCAGCCCGAACCACCCGTGGAGCATTCCAAGATTACGAAGTCTCCTGCTAAAGCACCCGCCGATGTCTCGTCTGATGAGTATGATATAATGAAACCCGAAGAGCTCGAGACCGCTCGTCTTTACCGCCGACTTTCCGAAGCTTCTGTTAAGCGTACTCGTTCGCGTCAGAATTCACTCTTGCGTCTGCAAAGTGTTTCCGAAGGAAAGCGTGTTGATGATATCCCCTTAGTCGGTGTTTCTCACACTAACATCAACTCCCCATCCTCTCAGGAACCCTCAGGGGGAGCTGCCTTTACGCACGAAGATGTTTCCGGGCGTTTGGCGAATTTAAAGCTGGATGAGGACGCTCCAAGTCGGAGATCGTCGACTGAGGCACCTGGTGTTGTGAGAAGAAAGTCATCAATGAAAACCAAGAATACAAAGCCAGTTGCTGAGGCTCCTGATCTGTCAAGCTTACAGAATATGGAAGATGATGACCATTTGCTGGACCTGATCCCTCCGAGAATCCCTGACGAGGGAAATGCCGGTAACCAGGCGGATGTTGAATCTGCTGCAAACTCTCCAGTAGCTACTGTTGTTCGTCACCCAGGAATTTTTGGTGATGACAATGATCGTTCGCGTGCAGCTACCCAACGTCTTGCTGAGATTCTCCCTGAATACGAGAGTGAGCATGAGCCTACTTCGAAGAGTACCAGCATTAGTAGGGCCCATTCACGCTCGCGTCGCGCAAACATTCCTATGTTGAGTTATGAGGATGCTGACCGCGAAGGACATCTCGAGTCAATGGACGATTTTAATGATGAGACTCAACCAGAGCAACGGTTCTCGCATGTTATAAACGTCCCCTTACCCAGAACACCTTCTGGTGAACTCGGCGATGTTGAGTTTCCTCTGTCCGCTTATCCCCGTTCGCCTGCTCCTAAGTCACGTCTTTCTAATCAATTGGAGTTGCCAACAGTCGCCGGACCACCAAAGCTGGATGAGCCTGAAGAGTATGAAGCTGAGGCTCCTGAAGCTCCGGTTCATCATCCATTGCCAACACCCCCTATGCCTATTCCTCGTAAAGCATCTTTGCGTAAGAATGAAAACAATTCGGGTTCACCGGAGCCTGTGTTCCATACTCCAGAAAAGGATGAATTTTTTGACGCTTTTGAGAATGAGGAATTGCAGGATGCTCAAGCTTTAGAAGATCCCGAGGAAATGAACTTCCAAAGACATGAGTTGCCTCCTGTTCCCAAGCCTACCAAGAAAAACTCTCTAGACGTTCCTAAAGTTCCACTCCCTCCTTTGCCTGTCAACACAAAGCCCCAGGTTGTCGCCGACTCCTTTACTAATGAGAAGTCCTCGGAGTCTCCTGAAAAACCACAGCACCGTGCTCCTATTAGCTCGCTTCGCCGGTATACAAGTACTCGAAAGGCTTCGGGTCCGCGACCTCAAGTGCCCTTGGGCCGGACGATATCATTGTCTGAAACATCAAGCTCCCAAGCTGGTCGGCCAGCACTGCCTCCTGTCCCTCCTCCTCCAACGAATTACATCTCAATGATGCCTAAGGAAGAGGAAGAGAAGTCGGCTTCTGCCACTACTGCAGCACCATCGCTCCCGCCAACATCACCTCCTCCCGTTCCCACCGCGGCGCCGACTTCGGTTGGCAGAAAACCTTCAGTTCGTACTGCACGTCCGCAGCCGCCTGCAGCGCCGGCACCAGCAATTCCTTCAAATGTGCATCCTGCAAATGCTGCACCTCCAGCTCCCACAACACCTGAAAAGAGGGCTTCCCGAAACACGATTGTAACTCCATTCAGTGATAGCTTTGTTGCAAAGCCCATTGATCCCGAGTTGAACACTGCCTGGTGGAGCCGCCCCTCTGTGTTTCCAGACAGTGCTAATGCCTTGCGTTCTCAGGCTTTGCTAAAGTCGATGTCGGAAGATCATGGTGACTACTTACGTCGTATCATTTGCATTCTGTTTCGCGATTACAGTAAGACCGTAATCACTGCTTCTTATGAACGTTCTCAACCTAATGTTGCATCTATTGTCCAAAAGCAGGTTCCCCCTCCTTCGCAACCTTCTAAGGATAATCTTGAACAAGCTCATGTACTTTATGGACAAATGACCGCCAGAAAGGCGAAACTTGCCCAGGGAACTGTCGTAGATGATGGTAGTGCTTTTGCATTTGTTAATTCGGTGTATCGCACGTTGGATAGATGTTTATTGCCCATTGGTAAGCGGAGCTACGGTGCCATTGTGTATCAGAACATGGCGAATGCAACTGTCCAACAGTATGATGAAATTCGCCCTGGTGATATTGTGACTTTTAGAAATGTTCGCCTTCAAGGCCAGAAGGGAGCACTTCACCAACGCTACTCTTTGGAAGTTGGTAAACCGGACCATGTCGCAATCGTTTTCGAATGGGATGGTACGAAACGGAAAATTCGTGCTTATGAGCAAGGCCGTGAATCAAAGAAGGTGAATTTATGCAGTTACAGATTTGGTGACTTGAAAAGCGGTGAAATCACCGTCTGGCGTATTATGCCTGCTTCTTGGGTGAATTGGAGTTGATTGCAATGCCCTTGAATACCTTCTCCTTGTCTGTTTTCGGCTGCATTGTTGGTGAGGCTGCCCTCACGTCTTGGTTCATGTCCATCTGTATAACCATATTTATAGTTTCGGCTGATTTTATGCACTTTGTCCGTTCGTTTTTTGCGCCACTTAAGCCTGTTACTTAATCGAAACAGTTAACGTATTTTTTTTCTGTCTGGACAGATTTCGAATGCGCTCTACACATTCGACCCGATGTGCGGGTTTTAATAGATGTTGTATACGCGCGGATACCATTGTTAGTTGTCTTTGAACATTTATTTAATGAGATATCTGAATTCTAATAACAACGTTTAGCAGTGGGAGGAACAGGGAGCCGACCGTTTGCACTGTACACCGTAAATAAACCGAATGAATGTGATCAATTACTCTAACAGTTGAGGTGGGCATATAGTAAGTTCGTATGTTCATCTATAAAGGTGTATGTAGTGGTACTAGTTATTGTAAAAGTTGTAAAGAGCGGAGGAAAAGGAATTCATCAAGAAGGATGTGAAGCATCAGGTGAACACGGATTGCGGCGAGTTAAACGGTGAAAAGCGTTTGGGGACCATGAACAACGGAGGGGATAATGAACATGACTTAGAGTACGTTAAGAAAAGGGTGATGATACGTAACGCGGTTAGAATGGTTTGTCATTAGACTCTTCGGTAAGGACAAAGGCGGGAGGAAAATCACCATACTTCGATATCGGGGTTGACGAATCTAAAGCATGAGCTAGATCTGCATTAAACTGTTCTTCTGAAGATAGACCCGTCTCTCCGTTATTCATTGACAAACGTTGGCCTCGAAGTTGGCCAGTATGTTGCTTAGAACGAGTCGTTACGTGCTGTGGTTCAAGCGTTATTCGGCCGTCAGCATTGATTGAGAACTGAATCCGTTCTGCAAAAGAGAGAAATCTGGCTCTGTTTTTTCCAAACGACGAAGACCGCAACGAAGCAACTGTGAGTCCTCCAACGCCATACAACTGAACGGCAGGGGTTTGTGAGAAAAGGACGACAGGAATTTCGTCTCGTAATAAACTTCGCGAACCACGGCGTTCTTTCCAAAGACGTCTGTTTTTCAAAAGGTGCAGGGTGCTATATTGTAATCCACCAGAAATGTCTAGAGCCAAATTTTTTGGTTTTGGAATACGGTGATGGTGCCCACCGGAAATCTTGTGTTTATTGGACTCTTGCGTTTTTTCAAGCAAATCTATCCGTAGCCGATTTTGATTAAGTCCGAGACATCTAATGTTTTTTAACAACCGTACATAACGATCGCCGCTTTTAAATACACTTTGACGTTCATAGGAGTCCAGTTCATAAACTCGAAGATATCTCGTTTTCAATTGTGGAAGTTGCTTTTTTAGACCCCAATCTCCACGGTTTCTTGAATTTTGTTTTGCCGTTATTGCTTGAACATCCGGGAAAAATGAATTAGGACCCGCGATCATTGTTGTATGAAGTCGCGGCATTGAAACCGTCCGAGAAAGCCGCAAAAGCTGAGGAAACGACATGAAGTCTTAAGTACCCACGGAAGACGAACCAACGTTCTATAAGCATACAAACTGTACTCACCCTGTCCCGCTTGTCTTGCTAGCGTAGACAACCCTGCTGTGAAGTGGACGAGTTGGAGGTAAAACTCACCACCAAAAGTTGACCAAGAATGCAATTGTGGTGGTGTATTTGCCCGCTGTGGTGCTGCGGGTTTCGTAGTAAGGTAAAGGCAAAAGTATGATTAAGGGAGTATTAGAAATTCGGGTCGTGCTGATCTTGGCCATGAACAGTGATAGCGGTAATAGATGAAGAATAAACGAGGTTTTGATCACGAAAATGGTATTAACGTGCGTATGGCGTGTGCTTCGTCCGGTTCAGGTCCATCAGGAATTTTATCCAGATTGACAGATTGTCCCATAAGCATTTTGAGTAAAATGTAAGCACCGTGTTTGTCAAGGACTTCGCCAGAACATGTTCCCCCCGCGAACTTTGACGTAGTAATGCACTGGACACAGCCCTCTGGTTGCGTACACTGGCACGATTCTAGCCGTTCTATAGCAAGAGACATTAATTCTTTCAAATGAAGTACAGCCCTTTGACACAAACCCGCGCCAGCTGTGTCCCCTGCATCGTCATAATAAATGAGACGGGCAGGTCTCCGGCGTTGGGAGTCGCTTTGCTTGAATTCCTTTTCACCAGCTTTGCATTCAGTACGAATATCATTACCACCATTACTGATGTAAAGTGGCATGAGAGACAAAAGTGCATGCTCAGCAGCGTGGATACTTGCTGCACCATTTATTTTTTTCCACGAGAGAAGTTCAATGATGTGCCATGGGACGTCAATCCAAAAACCCTTACTATCAATGATCACGGGCTTGTCGACGATATCAACTGTATCAATAATTTCTCTCTTCTTATTAATTTTAAAGTATCCGAAAACGTGTAGGGCAGCTCGAACATTTCCAAAATACGCTTGCGAAGCGCCGCCAAACAAAGGGAAACGAGCAAATGTCCTGGTTGGATCAACATCTGTGTAATCTCTTTGCGCAGTGATCCAATCTACATCTACACGTTGGGCTTCTATCCGTCGACGGTCGATGTCCAAGTTTCTGATAATGAATGTTCTTCCTTGGTAGATGTATACAGCACCTTCATATGCGGTAAGTGCTACTCGAAACGGTTCGAGGTCCTCCAGATGTTTGAGTTGTCCATTTGTAACGTCCACCAGCGTATACATATCCTCACTGATGTTACGAATTTTCACTTGAGTAGCAGGGTAGGGAAGGTAGCTAGGATGCGGATGGTATAATCCCTGCTCGTCTCCTAACAGCTTTTCTCGTGCAACTTTTTTAGTCAAAGAACCAAAAAACTTGGAATCCGTTTCTGGATTGACTGGAAATTCACTTGCGGCACACTGCAGATGATGTGACAACAGTAATTCATTTGAAAGGTCCACCGTTAACTCTGCTTTTGAACCGTAACGTAAATCTTCTGGATGTTGCAAATAGTACTGATCCATTGGGAATGTTTCAACAACATAAACTGCTAGTGATAATTTGTTTCTTCTACCTGCACGTCCAAATTGTTGTTTTAGATTGCTAATTGAGTATGGGAATCCAAGGGTAACTACTGCATCCAAACTGCCAATGTCGATACCTAGCTCCAAAGCGTTCGTTGCAATTATCCCCAGTAATTCACCGTCAAACATCTTTTTCTCGATTAGACGTCTATCAGAAAGAGTGTAACCCGCACGATAACTCTGGATTTTGGGTATCAAATGGTCCTTTTTTTCTTGCTTCAGCTCCGTTAAAACAGCCTGCATTAATGTTTCGCAGGATTTTCGAACACGACAAAAGACAATTGTACGAACGTTGCGCTCCACAAGTAAAATAAATAACTTGCTTGCTTCATGCAGAGCACTTTTACGGCCCTTGGAAGGGTCTGAAGGATCTGTATATGGTGGGTTCCACATAACGTACAGCTTTTCACCACAAGGTGAAGCTGTGAAATCAACGACGCTGACGTCTTTTGTGCCAATGATGGTTTGCATGTGCCTCTGAGGGTCATTGATTGTCGCCGAACAAGAAACAAATCGACAATTATCGTTACCCAAATAGCAGCAAAGACGTCTTAACCTTCTTAAAATAAAAGAAACATGAACTCCGAAGATTCCGTTGTAAACGTGAATTTCATCCAGGATGAAATACCGTAAATTTTTGAGAAATCTGTACCATTTATCATGCCGAGGTAAAATCGTCTGGTGCAGCATATCTGGGTTTGTGAAGATGATATTGCATTTCTCGATGATGTTTTCCCGACGTTCAATTGGTGTGTCACCATCAAATGTTTCAACTTGTACGAACGAAAGAGATGGCATGTAGCTGAGTACTTCTTGTAACGATCTTTTTTGGTCTTGAGCAAGGGCTTTCGTGGGAAACACAATTAGAGCAGTAGTTTCAGGGTCATTTTGTAAATCATGTAATATAGGAAGCTGATAAACTAATGACTTTCCGCTTGAAGTTGCTGTTGAGACAATCACATTATGTCTTTCCCATAACCAATTTATGGCTAGGGCTTGATGTTCATATATCTCTTTTATTCCATTGGCGGAGTAAAGTGCGTCTATCAATTCTTGAGACAGTTGTTTCGAAAGAAATCCAACCTTGCAGGCTTTTGCTTCTGTAGAATAGGTACCCTCATCCACGATTTGATTTTCATAGTCTTTAATCCCCCTTAACAGATCAAGAATTTCATCAATAGTCTCTGGCTTTGTTTGGAGAGGAACTATTTCTGATTTAACGGATACGCTATCATCAAAGTCGGTTGGAGAAATGGGTATATGTAAATTGGCTTCACGGTCTAGTTCCGAATCTGGATCTTTTTTCGTGCATACCAAACGGTCGTAGTAATTGTTAAGGCATTCTTCAAAGATAAGGTTCCTTTTCTTTATGACTTTTTTAAGATAGTCTATTGAAAGCAATTGCTTATGAATTTGACTTTTCATAGTGGGATTTTTCGAGTTATGGCCACCTCGGCCCTTTCCTTTATTGCCTTCAGATAGCTCGAAAACGAGAATATACGTTTGACCTTCAATAAGTCCATCAAAGATTTCCTTCGCTTGGGTATTTTTGTTTATTGCAAGAGCCAATCCTTCAACAGATTTATACTGAAAATTGACCAGCTTCGGGCATATAAGTTGTAGTTTAACCAAATCCGTGATCGTTAAATCTTTTTGAAAGGCACTTTTGTATGCGGACTCGAGCATAGGAAACGTGATAATAAGACAGTTTCTAGCATTAAGAAAGGTATATGTTGTGTTTATGAATTGAAATAGTTGATAGATTTTTTTAAATGATTCGCAAAGGCCGCCCGTTCCTGAAGATTGAGTATTTATTGAACGTTCTTCCAAATTACTTTTAACCTTCCTTTTTTTGGAATTAGCAGAAGCTTTTAGAAAGTCCTCGTCACTATTATCTTCTCTTTTGACCTTCATTTTTTTCTCCTTTAATTGCTGTAGTATAGGTCAGGTTTTTTGAGCATAAGTCCATTCTAAGAAGTAGAATTATCTTAAAGTAACTGAGTTTACTTAAAAGGTCCCGATGTGTTAAAGTATAATGCCTTTATTCAGGCAGTTTTTTGGACTTCATGCAACGAAGTTTAAGCAGGGAAAATAGGCACGTTTCGCACTAGGTTTAATAAGAAAATCAACTCATATAGTTAAAAACTTAACATGGCGAGTTGTATAAACAGCAGTGAATAGATTTTAGTAAGTTAAAATAAAACACAACGTCTTTAACAGTTGCAAGGATATTGTAAGGAATTATTATGGATTAAGGATTTTTTTGTAATTGTAAAACGCACAAGCTAATAAAACCGTAAAAGTATTTATTTGCAGAATGATATAGCATCGTTTGAAACAGTCATTTTACACGAATACGATCTCAGCTGACTATCTACTTACTGTCTATATTTTCAAAAGGATTACAAATAAACATACTGTGAGGTGTAAAAACCTTCTTCAATTTCATAGATCATAAATTTTAATATTATTAGTTGTCATTTCGTTTTTCAGTGCGCCTTTCTTCCTGTAACTCAGTAACAGAAGACTCATCTGCGTCGAGATCTGGATCTACAGGTAAATCCATAGGAATTCTGAAAAACCGTTTATCTTTCATAGGCTTAGGCAAGTACTGTAATTCATTAGCTTTTGGATTTTCGATGCAACACATACGTCTTGCTTAACACGGCCGTCTTTGTAATCAGGGTTGTATTTGTATCCCTTATTATAGCCAAGTTCTTTCATAAGTTTCGTCGGTGCATTTCTCAAGTGCATTGGAATTTGGGCTCTTCCTGCTTCAGGATCAGAAGCCACAAATGATTTTACCCGTTTATACGCCCGGTAAACATCGACATTTTTGGGTGCCAGTGCTAAGGCAGCAGCACAGTGGGCAAGAACCACATCAGCCTCCGGCATTCCAATTTGTTGTGTAGCCGTAAACGCTGCTGATGCCAACGGAAGTAAACTGTTGTCGCCTAATCCGACGTCTTCACTTGCTATTCTCACCATTCTCCTGGCAACATACAGAGGATCTTCGCCAGATTCCAGCATTCGGCACAGGTAATATAGCGCTGCGTCTACGTCCGAGCCTCGAATGGACTTATGAAATGCAGATATAGTGTCATAATGAGCATCGCCCGTGCTATCATATACTGAGAACGATCTGGCGAATTTCTTTTTTAAATCAGGAAGAGATACTGAACCACCTTCCAACATACCCAAAGCTATTTCTAAACAATTTAGTGCCACGCGAGCATCACCGTCACAAATTGCAGAAATATGTTGAAGAATAGACTCGTCCAATTCCAGTTTTCTTTCTTTCCTTTCACTTTCTATTTGCATTGCTCGACGTAAAATAGACAATACATTATCTTTATCGAGTACGTTAAATGTAAATACTGAGCAACGTGAGAGCAATGCAGAGTTTAGACGAAAAGAGGGGTTTCTTTTAAGGTCAGCAGTCGATTTACTAGATTACATACTCTGTTGTTGCACCAATTCTAGTTCATTAGTAATCCTGAAATTAAAAGTTGTTTTCACTTACAGTGTTATAAGCCCTTTTTCTACCATTGGAACTAAGAGGCATTAGAGACATCTTCACGACATTTGTACGTACGAAAAATATCCTGTTGTGCACGGTTAAAACGGTGCACTTCGTCGAGGAACACAATGGTCTTTTTTCCAGTAAGTCGCAATAAGTTCTGAGATTCCTCAAAGATTTTTCTGCAATCACTGACTGAAGCAGATGTAGCAGACACTTCCAGAAAATGAGCACCCGTGGTTTTTGCGATTATTCTAGCAAGTGTAGTTTTTCCGACTCCAGAATTTCCCCATAGAATCATAGAAGGGCATTCATCTCGTTCAATAAGGTTTCTGATAATTCCGCCCTTTCCAACTAAAGACTCCTGTCCAACATAATCATCAAGTGTTTTGGGGCGGACTCTCTCCGCAAGCGGCCGTACGTCTTTCTTTATGCTTTTAATACGTTTTGGAGTCTGCTCTGAAGGAAGAGTTTCATCGACTTTTCGTACTTTCGGAGATGACACTGAATGTGTATTTGTTTTTCCATATAGCACATCCTGAACGGATCTTGAAGGTTTCTGTTTTTCCCTAAATTTTGAAGGTGATGCATAGTGATTATCAAGGTGTGCATTTATGTCTTGCATCTGTACACTCTTGTTACAGACAGGACAAGCAACATTTGTATTTTCCGTCATTATTCAAAATGTCAATAAATTCCAGTAATAGATTCACAAGCAAGTTCTACAGATAAAAAATTGTATTCACAACATTTATAACCTTCCAGGAAAAAACCGAGCTGCTAGCTTCTACCTACATATTAGACATGTTAGTAACAACATAGTGAAAGCAATCGCTTTTACGGTATACGCACAATTAGATGACAGGATAAAAAAGCCAAATGATACTTAAAATTACCAATTGCTAATTCCTTGATATTATAAGAAAAAAGTTGATTTTATCAACAGAAATTAGGGTACAGAACACGGGTATTGCTTTTCACTTTATATTCTTGCTTTAACAGTTGAAATTAATAGATTTTGGAGGCAGTATTCGCCAGAAGGAGAAGTCGACATACTTGTCTCGTAAACAATCAAATGTCATGTATTTCGTGTAGCCAAAAGTACACTGTATATTGTATTTCTCTCTTCTCCTTGAAAATCTATCAACGTTTATGGTTAACATTATGACATGGTAAATGGTTAGCATTCTCCATGTACATGAACTTTTTTGCAAGTTGATAATTATGGCTTGTGTTCACAGTAGTGTCCGGCGAGATGTTTCATGGCCTTTTATATATGTTTTGATTATTTATGTTTATGCTTGTTTTGAACTCGAACTATGTTTCGAGAATATTTAATATCAATAACGGAATAAATGTTTGTAAGCTGCTAGTTTCATGAAAATTGTTTTGCTTTCTCTTTATTCTAATGCTAATGTAATTGGTAAGTATTTACGCCTTTAATTTCATACGCTTGACTTATGATAGCATTCGCAATTATATGATAAACAGGTTCACCAAGTTATATTAATAACTGTTACCGACAAATGTGATACCTGCTTTTTTTTAGCAATTTGTTTATTTGCATGACAAACTTTAATATCAGTTATATATAAGAACAAAACATACCGTCATAAGATGAGTTGGTCATTATGGAATTGACAACTTCAAAGAGACCCACAAGCAGTAATGGATGATATAATTTGGAAAATAGTTACCATTTCGTTACTAGTTGTTGAAACACTTGATATTGTTTTAGCGCTTCAGCGTAATAATAATTTTCTAACATCGAATTGTAAATTACCATAACACGGAATTGGACTGTGTGGGTAATAAGATAAACCGCATTTCAATGAACGATGTGTCTTGGGGTTTAGGGTCAGACTCATCCATGAGTTTTAAATTCTCAAGTAAATTAATCATTATTTGGTTATGGCATAAATCTGATATCTTTTTGGTCAATTAAGTTCCTTTTCTATAAACATTAACACGAAATGATACAAAACAAAATGAAATAATCTAAGAACGATTACAGAAGCAAACTTTGCCGAAATGACCGTACACAATTTAACAGAAGCATTTTCACTATCAAGAAATACTTCCTATCATTATTGCTATATTGTTATAATTTAGACAAAATTAGATATCAAATTAGAATACGAATAGAAGAATAGAAAAGATCCTTCTAAATACTCCAATTATCAGTGATAGTAAATCAATACGTATATGCAACAGTAAACGGCTGGTTTTTCCTAAATAATAAAAATAAAAACTGTTTAGAGTACGCTTTATTAGCGCTTGTACTAGTACTACCACGAGTTACAAATGTTTTCTGAACTCTACTGGTATTCATAAGCAGACGAGTTAAAATTATTGTTTTTGTTTTTCGAGTACTGAAACCTCACAGTCCATCGATTTAACAAGGAGGACAGGTTTGTCTAACAAACAAGCTCTTGTTGACTCAAATTTGTGTTGAAGCAAAAGCTACAACCTGTGATATTAAGCAACAGTGTTGTTGTTTTTCATTGCTGTCTTGAGGGAAAGTTTTGGAACTTAAAATCTAATTCCTTATTTTATAATAGTTGAAGGCTTCACTTCTCTTCCTAACAATTCATGCTAAGCGAAGTACTCCAGATTCGTTGGCATTATGATGCCGACAATGATTATACTCCAATATACTCGGCAGACTTTCAACATTCTGGAAGAATAGCTACTTGTGGAGGTGATAACAATATACGAGTATGGGTTATTCCTAATTTAATCTATTGTACTGTTTTCATGCTAACGAATTGGTGTTCATAGATTTGGAGACTCTACAGAGAGAAGGAATCGTGTTCTCCGAAAGTTGAGTATTTATCGACCCTCAGCCGGCATTTACAAGCTGTAAATGTTGTGAGATTTGATCCGACAGGTAAAAAGTTATGAAACAAATCTTTTATTAATATGTCGAAGGTGAAAGGCTTGCCTCTGCTGGAGATGAAGGAATTGTCTTTATCTGGGTACCGTCTGACAAGCCCATAAATACGATATCGACCAATAATGAGGACATGGAAATAGCAAAAGAGTTTTGGAGAGTAAATGTTGTTTGCAGATCTCCATGCGCCGAGACTTATGACCTTAGTTGGTCTCCTGACGGAAATTATATCGTTACTGGTTCTATGGATAACATTCTACGTATATATAATGCGAATACAGGTAAGACATGTCATGAACGGGACATTTAAAATGCTTTCTTTGATGTTCGTCTAACAATTTCATATCGCAGGTCAGTTACTAAAAGAGTATCACGATCACTTGCACTATATCCAAGGTGTATGTTGGGATCCTTTCAATGAATACTTGGTCAGTCAAAGTAGTGACAGAAGTATTTGCGTCTATAAGATTGCCAAGACAACCCTTAATACGAGTTCGATTGATCTCACTCACAAGACGAAGCTTTCACGACTTGAATACCCGTCCAGCCTTCAAGGACCAGAACAGGAAGAAGATGCTTCCTGTAACATACAACCAAAGGATAGTCCTACTGAATCTAAGAAAAGCACATCACTGTTTCATGGAGAAACCCTGGTAACCTTTTTTCGACGACCGGCGTTTTCACCGGACGGCAGTCTTCTAATAACGCCCACTGGTGTTTATAAAGACCCTAACCAAAACAAAACCGATACTTCAAATTCGGTACATGTGTTTACTCGCAGTGGTTTAAATTCTCAACCGGCCATCACTCTGTCGGGATTCAATAAACCGGCTGTAGTAGTTCGGTTCTCCCCCATACTATATACACTTAAACAAACACAGGACGTATCGAACTCTGTTCTTGAAGTGCCATATTACATGGTTTTCGCAGTTGCAACACAAGATGCCGTGTTCTTTTATGATACCCAGTCTATGCGTCCGTTCTCTTGTGTTGTTAATCTTCATTACTCAACACTTACAGACCTCGCTTGGGATGAATCTGGTCGGACTTTGTTCATTTCTTCGTTGGATGGTTTTTGTTCAACAATTATGTTCGACGATGATGAGCTTGGTATACCACTACCAAATGCCCACGTTTATCTCCCTCAAAAATTGCATGATAAGTCAAATTCCGGCCTTGAGGCAAAAACCATGACCGAGCCCACGATACTAGCAAATTCATCAAATGCTCAAACAATACAAACCAAAAAGGGACCAAAAAAGAGAATTGCTCCAACGCTAATATCTAACTAAATATTAAAACATTGCGAGAACCATCCTAGACGTCATTATTTCCATTATTTTGCAGTATTACAACAAGACATGTACTACAATTTCTATTTCCTCTTAACGAAAATGCTGTAAGTAGTACTTGACTTATTCGTATATATTTACATTCATTGTGAAACTGTTTGATCACAACGAAACTCTTAATTGTTGTTTTTTTTATGTTCTCATATTCCATACCTACGTTCATTCAGACTTGCGTAACACCGAAACTTCAACCTATCCTCAAATTCAATTTTGTGAACAAGGAATAGAGGCAGTCAGCTGTATTTTGGTTACCTAAATCTTGTTCTTCTAAAAAAAATTAACAACTGACGGACATTGATTCTTCAATTGTCCAATTCTGCTACTTCTTTAAGGGAGTCGACGAAGCAAAATAATGATTCTTGAACAAGAAGTTTTGAATCTAAATAACTTCATTAGTACTCAAAAGACTCATCCAGATGACCTGTTTAAGCAACTAGTATTAATTAGAAATGCTATCATTGGAAGACCCGACAGAAAAGACGCCCTTAAGGATTCTAACCTAATAAGTTTACTTATGCAACTTTTGGAACACAATGGAAATACAAAGGACGAAAAAAGGGAGATCTTTCAAATATTACGATCCTTTTTTCGATTATCGTATTTTGATGTTAAACCACAATGGTTACCAATCATTTTCGATGCATCCATTATTATGTTAGACGAACTAAAAACGAGTGATACGGAAATCCAATTGTCGTGTGGATCTGTAACGTTCCAATTGCTACATGTAATTCTTTCAGACAACAAACGGAATCTTGAGCCGTACACAAATCAATTACAACAACTGGCTGAGCTGGTTTATAGAAACTTTATCCAAGAGATGTCAGTGTTGCGGATGTTTCCGTCTTTATCAAAGACAATAACGGACAGCGCCGAATTACTGATCACCTGCGTGGACAGAAGCGTTCCTTTTTCTGTGCCATCAAAGGAGATCGTCTCTGTCCTGTTACAATACTTAAGCCCCAATTCAAAAGAGTTTCCGGAAGTTTTGGAGCGGGCTTTCAGTACTGCGAAAACACTGCTGGTCCGACTGCTTCAGCTCCTTAACGTTATCTTACAAAAGATGCTTGAAAATCAAACATTGGTGAAGTCTATCACTGAATGTGACGTCTCAAGTGCTTCGAAATGTGCTAATCGTTTGCTATCCTTCATCGGCGATTCGGATGTTGATATTCGACTTCCAGCCGCTACGGCGCTTGCAAGACTATACCTTCTTAACTATTGTACACGTTCCGTCTATCAAGCACGTATTGAAAAAACTGTAATCCCCACATTGTCTAGATTATTGGAGAAAAGAAGCGAGAATACGTTCCTCGCTTTACAGGTTTTGGAATTGCTACTTTGCGACAACGAAGACTTACAAAAAGCTGCTGTGGGTGCCAACATTTTTGAACGTTTTGGTAACTCACTGCTCCTGCGCTCTTCTATTTTTGTTGACATGCGTGATTGCGACCTTCATCAACCCTTGTCTTCTTTGCGCCCAAAAACGTCGTTAGCAATCCGAGTTAGCAAGGTAACGTTTTCGTTATTTAATTTTTCTACTAACATGACCAGACGTGTTATGAAATCCTAGCAATTCTAACGTCTACGAAAGACGAGTATAGAAAACTGTTCTTAAGTAGCGGACTTATGAAACCACTCATTGAGGATCTTTCAAGCAAATACGTCAATGTTCGAATTGCTAGCTGTGAAGTGTTACGCAGTCTTAGTCGAAGTGTCTTTATGCAACGGGTGACGTTTACGGAAATGGATATAGTTACACCCTTACTCGAAATGCTTCACGATCCCTCTATAACGGTTCGTTCCACGGCTACTTCAGTCGTCTGTAACATAACCCTAGGGTTTTCCCCACTGAAAAGCGTAAGTTTTTTGAGGGCGGGCAAGATCATTATTACTAACTTATCTTATAGAAATTGCTTGAAACAAACGTCGTGGACTTTTTGTTCCTTAATTTGAGAAGTGAGGATGAAATCTTACGAATGAAAACGGTTTGGGCACTGCGTCATATCGTTTGTGACGATAGTATAGAAGTGAAAAGGTCTATATTACATCGTTTGGAACCGCATCTCTCGGAACTTGTAACTGATCGTTCCATTTATGTACAGGAGCAGGTACTACAATTCTTTCGTAACTTCTTATGTCAAAAGGTTAATAGCATTGATTTGCTTCTCGAAGTTATTCCGATGCCTGCATTGTCGCAAATAATAACAGACAAGCTTTCTTTGCATATTCCTTCACTTTATGCTCCATGCCTGTTCACTTTGGTGCATATTGCCGCTGGAAACGAGGTCCACAAAAGCGCTCTAATCTCGCAGCGTGAACTCATTCGGACTGTGAAGATCGTTGTTGATGAGATTATTAACCAGTTACAACCTGACGAAATCCTGCACGATAATGTGGGATATGTGCACGAAACGGCCAAGCAGAGCAAGCAAGCGGATAAAACTGTATACGCTGATGTTGTTATAAGTTTCTTATGGTTATGCATAAACCTTCTGTGGGTAAATAATAAAGATTCTACCTCAGAATCTGTCGCAGCCCGCGCTAATACTATGCGTGAAGCTGGTTTTGTCGAGACTTTGAAAAAACTTCAGTATCATTCTTCTCCGGATGTCTTAACTCGGGTTCATGATGCACTTACACGGATGGACGAACAGATCCCTCCTTGTGATTAGTTTCTACTGTGCCCTCCTTAACTTTTTATTTTAAAGTCTCCACACCTTTCCATCATTTATGTCGTTCCCATATTGGCAGGCTTAACCTTTACTAAGGTGGACTATAAATGTGTATATTTACTTTTTTTTTAATGCTTTTTAATGAATGTTTAATTAATGTAACTCGAAAATCACAAAACAAGGAATTTCTACTTAGTACCTTATTATGGTAATAAAAAGTATATCCAATTTACTTAACTACTCTAAGTATATTATTAATTTCCACATACAACTTAAGCCTATCGTTCAATTGTTAATAATCCATTACTAAAAGTGGCTGCAGCGATGGTGTGGTGATTGCCCCTACAGAACCTCACCACCAAAAATAACTTGGAACCTCGCCTCTCCCCCCAATGGCAACACTTTGTCTTTGCCAATAGTTACTGAAACATTGAACAGCTACTAAATTATTGAATTGACACATTAACGTCAAGTTATTTTCATGAAACGCTGGTTCAATTATTGCTATGAATTTTGATTTGCCTTTTGAGCAAGTGCTAGGCGATTCTGAACTCAGTATCCTTGACAAGTCTTCAGACGAGACACGTGTCTCCTCGACACGTCCTGAGGGGCGGTCGTCATCAGAGGGATACTCGTTTTCTTCTCCGGAGTTCATGGAAGGTGATAATGATGCCTTAATGCATGAGTTTTTTAACTTTGACGAAACTGTCGACAGTAACGTTCCAAGTTTCATAAAACCTCCGTCAGTTTTTCAAGTTTCTTCTCCTTATTCTTTGCATACACGTGATGAAAGTGAAGTTCAGTTCCGCGGGCTGGATGATTCTTTCAAAATTCTAAAGCAGCCAGGCGTTGATATGATTTACGAGAATAACATTTTACCTGGAGGACAAAACCTTAAGCAAACCACTTTAAATCCATCGCACATGAACTTGAACAATGGCTCGCTAAAAGATGGCACAACTCTTGGGCCAGCGGTCAAGTCTGAGTACTCTCCGGTGAGCGCTGCTCTTTCAAGCACTCTGCTGTCACCTACTAGAAACATAGGGGAAACTACTGACCCTGTTTCTCTTACACACGAGGTTCCCGTCTCGTCAGTCCCATTGCAACTCCCCCCTCAAAGCAACCTTAGTTTTTCGGTGGACCATTTACCAGCCCAGAACGAGCAAAAATGGCGTTCTCGAGTTGAAACGAACATGCTTTTTGAGCTTCGGGTCAATACGTTAAACGGTCCAGTTAGTTTTGACTACATCCGTCTTCCTTCTTGGGCTCATCGTGAAGACAAGAAGCGAGCTTTTAAGCTGCAACTTCAGGTTAAGCCGGATTCTTATTTACAGCTTGTACCCACTGTCATGGTCGCTGACAGAAAAGCCGTTGTTCAAACATGTTGCACCCGTTGTTTGCTTCGTGAAAGAAAGCGTAATGCTCGTTCCCAACCAGATAAGGAGAAGACGATGCAAGCTTACAACAAATTGAAAGCGAAAGAACGGATGTTGACCGATGCTCCTCAAGAGGTTAAGCGTCAACTACAAATGGATATGCTAAATCTGTTCCCACCTCTTGATGATATTGATGAGGACAGAATGATTATGGTGTTCACTGGTCCTGAATACGTACCACTAAGTCCTGTTGGTGCTAATTCAAAGATGGCACAGATTTATGCACGTGTTACCTGTTATTCATCACATCAAAGTTGTCCTTACTTTAATATTTACTGGGGTTTGTACGACTGTAATGATAATCTGGTTGGTCATGTTCTTTTCCCGGAGCCGGTGACCGTGTTAGATGATCATAAGAGCCGCCTTCAAGTTCGTGGTGATAAGCATCAAACGCCGACAAACAACGCTCGTGTTTCTGATGCAAACTCTAAGTCAATTAAACAACAAAATGTATTCCCGGATTATGCTCAGATGGCTCCTACAGATTTTGACCAATTCAGTGGTTCTTACTATCCAGAAAAGCGCCGCCGTGGTTATGTTGAAAGCAATGTACCAATGAGTGCCACCTGCATCCCAGCGACCACGAACCCTGGTTTAATATCTAGTCGAAGTTCATCTACTATGTCCAATATGTCTTTGAATCCAAGTCTTTCTGCTGCGCCGTTTCAGCAGCATTTGCATCATATATCCAGTGATCGTGACGAGCACCGACCATACAACAACCATCACACTGTTGTAATTACTGGAAATCGTAACTCGGTCAATGTACCCTCTGACCAGGCGTTGCTTAACGAAGCTAAGGCACCTTTTTACACAGACTCAAAATTACAAACGCCTGTCTCACAAAATGCTATTCGTGATGGACTTGATCCGCAACTAAAGATGGCACCGTCAATGGGTTCTGTGGGCCCTATTTTGCCTGAGATGAACTCGACGTATCAAGCCCTTAATCAGCAAACACAAGGAGCTTCCCCTCCTCCTATTATTTCAAGAATTATTCCTAACCGTGGTTCTATCTTAGGTGGTTACGAGGTTACTGTTCTTGGTGCAAATTTCGCCAATGGATTAGTGTGTGTTTTTGGAAATACCCCAGCAACATCTACCTACTCTTGGAGTGATTCGACTATTGTTGCTACTTGCCCTCCGGCTTCGGTTCCTGGGCCTGTTAAAGTGTCTTTCCAAAATGACACGCTGCAAGATACAAATCAAAACGATGTTATTTTCACATATGATGATGATCTCGACCATGAATTATACAAACTTACTCTACAGGTAATTGGTCTGAAGCTTACGGGTTCTATTCAAAATCCCTTAACTTTGTCAAAGAGGCTGTTGCGTTCTTGGCGTGATGAATTTGCTGGCTTTATCAGTAATTCTTTGCATGGCACGCAGAATACAACTCATAGTGTGGCTCAAGATTCCGATGATTCTTCCTCCTCTAAGGTCGCTATTCGGAAAATGCTAAAGAGTCATAAGCTGCCATATTCTGATGACTTGGAGGGAACGGTCTTCTCATCCTTGAACATTACATATGAGACTGAGGGTTTAAGTGCGTCTGAACTCTCTGCTGAAAATGAGTTGGGTCGAAGTTTACTACATATGTCTTCCGCAAGGGGCTTAACGAAAGTTGTTTTCTTCTTGTTGACTCACGGTGTGGATGTGAACAAGGGTGACTCATTGGGCTACACACCTCTTCATTACAGTGTACTGTTCAACAATCCCGAAGTTACAACCATTCTGCTGGAGCACGATGCCGATGCGGACTTGCTGACCAATAATGGCTTTAGTGCTTTGGAACTGGCGAATGCTTCGACAAAGAAGATTTTCCTTGATCTGTTTGAATCTATCGAAAAGTCAACTTTCATTGACGCTTCTGCGGGCGCTGATAAGTTGAAGTCCGAGGCACTATGTGACAGTCGGGACTCAGAAAATACTGCTTTCACGTCTGCTACCGAAGCACAACCGGACGCTTCTCTTAAAAGTCGAGAGATGCCCAAGGCGTTTGGCTTCCTTCCGTACGATCCCGAGACCGTGTCTCAACTGAAGGATGTACCTGCAATGATGCACAAGGCTTTTATTTCGAAGCTGAAGAGCATCTCACTTATTCCGGATGAGGACCCTCCTCCGTATTCAGAGTCTGTAGCGAAGAGCGAAGGAGCTTCTGGAAGTTCCACTGATTCTGCTGCACAGAGCAAGACACACGATACGAGTAGCGTGTGGTGGTCTTTGAAGTGGCAATCCCGGTTAGTTGGTCGGGGTAAAATGTCCGCGTTGACTCCAGATGAAGAGCAAGTTGTTCGTGAGCAAGCAAAGAAATTGAAGAAGGGAGGTTTGGATTTCATGTTATTTTCTTTCTGGCTCCCGGCACTGTTTATACTTACAATTTTGGGTTTACGTGGATACATTTACTCAGTCGGAAATTATGTATATGGCTGTTTGACATCAGCTAACTGAGTATGCATATTTACAACATATTAATGACTGTCACGACTGGCTAGTTAAGCAACAGTGATGTTGAACACGGGGTTATTGTTTTGTCTGTTGGTGTTTTGACCATTTAATTTATTCTGCTTCTTTTTCTATAGAATCATTTTCGTTTCTAATCGTAATGAAATTGCATGTTCCATCGCTATTTGGTTTTCTAGATAAAATGCAACGTATTGACATTCGTAGTCCCATGGAAGTCTTAAAGATTTTAGTTTCCGTTCGTTTTTCAGTGCGTGGTGCCTTGGTCTTTACCACTTGCTTCAGAGTAGAACTTGTACTCTGTGATTTCACTGCAATTGACGAAAAAAGCGGATTGACTTTCGAATGCAGGAGAATAGAACACTAGTTAATGAACAACCAAATGTTTTTCCAGGTTCTACCTCTGCAAACCCATCGAAATCCGCCCTCAACATAATTAGTGAGACCATCGGAAACATCGATTACTTATACGAGCAAAATGACCTGTTTGTCACGCAAAACATTCTTCTACAGAGGGCACTTTGTTTAAGTGAAAGCTCAAAGCTGTCAATGCTTGATGAAATGAAAACTGTAATTCAATTTAGTCAAAATACTGAAACACGGCTAGATCGATTGACACTTGAAAACGAAAGATTATTAAAAGAATCCGAGACTTGTGAACGGCTGTGTTCGGAATTCAGACAGGAGAATCAATACTTAGCAAATGCGTTTACGGATTTAAAAGAGTTACGTTTAGAAGAGGAACTACACTTGAAAGCTATTGCTGCGAGAATGTTTAAACTGGTTGGTTCCGATCCAACACAAGTATCTCAAACAAACGCTCTATCACGTTTGAAGACCGCTGCGGAAATGCTAGAAGCCGAATGGCCATTAAAAAATGAAACAATTCGTTCTTTACAAGAGAAAGTTAAACAACTTCAAGACGAGCTAAAACTCTCAGCCTCCCGTTCAAACCAAACTCATGAGATTTTTAATGTACGAATTCCAAGTCAGATTGGAAAACCGGATTTTTTGTGTGTCAATAAACGTGAAACTAACAACGACAGGGACCAAATTTAATTGCCGCACATCAGCTAGAAACATTTAACGAAAACACACAGCAGGAATTTGAGCTTTGTCAATCGTGCTTGGCAAGGTTACACAAGGCACACAGTGAATCGCGAGTCAACAATATTCTTCGCAACCTATCAAATTATGCCAATGCTGATCCAAGTGGTCCTAACGAGTTAGAGAATGTTGCTGAAGTATCATGTGCTCAGCTTGAACCTTCAAGTAAAAGTTCCGATATCTATTTGAGCGAAGATGCTTTTTCTTCTTAACACGAAACGGCAAGAACTTGTGGTGCAGGATTACGATATCAGTTAAACCTTCAGACACTTTCTCAAACCTCCGCGAACAATTCACACTTAAACATCATCATTCTTATTAATTGAATATTTCTACAAAACGCAACAATGTTGCCTCCATAAATACTCATAATTACTCAAAGACTAATGTTCATCCAATTTATACCTTCACTCAAGTTTGACTGTCTATGTAATAATTTTTTGCTCTTCTCTTTCTTAGCATATAAAATTGCCATAACGTGAAAGAGGCTAAAAGTCAATCTAACAAAGAAATAGAGATTATGGTTACTTCTTACTCAACAAAAAAACGAGAACACTGTCTTAAACGCTATTTAAAACCTAGTTCTTAGTAAAAACACTGCTTCTACTTATTGTCGTCAGAACATTAACCAGTCTAAATGAACAACAAAATCTTCTAACACTAGATTATATCTTCTGGACGAAAAGTTTGGATGAAACATTTGCTACTATAAAAGATTAGTGAACTTTTAAGTTCCCCGTGCATCGATATTCTGTAAAGAATTAGTAACGAAAGTGTTTTTTGGAATTTCTTAGTTGAACGATCAAAAACAAAAAAGAACGCGTTTTTACTGCTTTAAACTTGGTATATTTCTAAATGCTTTTTCAACTAAGGTCGCTACGAGTTACAGGTTACTTAACATTGTCCCAGAATTTAGAACAGAGAATCTGTTTTTGCTTTGGAACATTATGGACATAGATTTGAACACGAACGACGTTACAAACATAGACCGACCTTTGATCCTCAAGGTTTGTTAAACAGGAATTAATTTGCTTTAAAGCGTGTTGCTGACCGGACAGGGTGTACGGTATCATACAGCAAGACAGTGCTGGGGGTTTGAAAAAACGGGCTCTGTCGTTAACGTTATTGGAGTTGTTAATTCCTTCAAAGCTCCTAAAAAGTCTCAAAAAGGAACGAAAGGTTTGTGCAAAAGGGCGTACTATAAAACAATCGTGATATATTCACTGCGTACTTAGTTCATCACTAACGCTTTGATGAATAGACTGGAGTGTATCTTTCGTACTATGGGACCCCTCGTGTACAGAGGCTTTTTTTGGACTCCACATGTTAATATTTAGCAAAGAACTTAACGAACTACCGGCCATTGAATCTGTTGGTCAGATTGTAGCTGTTCAAAGCATCTCATTGCAGAATTTTCAAGGCCGTGTTCAAGCATTATCGAAGAGCTACTTTCGGTTTGCGATATTTAATATGAGTGCTAACGGTCTACAGCCCTCCACTCAAGATATTCCTCCTGCCCGCAAACTTGTATGTACGAAAGAGGAGCTTCAGTACGTTGAAACCATTCATGATGCTTGGCTCAAATCGAGAGAAGCCATTTCCGTATCGCGGGAAACGACATATCTTAGTGCAAGAGTTCCAAGTCCACCCACTCACTTCAACCCAGTTCCCATTTCAGAAATCCACCCTCCCGGTTACTATAAAATAATATGTCAGGTAATTCGAACCTGGTACACGGTCAAAAACTTTACTGCCTTCGTATCCGATTATTCAGACAATGAGCTGATCTACGAACTTTTACCAAAAGAAGATGGGACACATTCCAAGTCTAAAACCATTTACGGCCGTAAGCTTCTACGGGTGACGTTGTGGGATCAAAACGATATGTACTGTCGAAAGTTCGTGAAAGAGGGCGACTACCTATTACTTAGCAACGTGAAGGCAAAACTCGATCCGCGTGGGAATCTTGAATGTTTGATCCAAGGAGACCGAAACATTGAAAAAATACATGTTCAAAAACTACGACCAGATGATGATCTACTTCTCAACCTAAAACGTCGGCGACTTGAATATTTCCGCGCAGAGAAGGATATCATAAAGCGAAGTCGAGCACCTGAAAAAAAGGAACCAGTTGGCAAACGACTCTCCTCAACAGATGTCTCATCTCAGAAGGATAAACCCGCTTCTAGCAATGGCATCCAAATGAATACAAACGGTACGCAATCACTGTGTTCTGCAAAAAACGGTTTCTATTTCTACTGGGACTAACACATATTAACGCATCCAGTCATCTCTCAACATACAGAGATTCCAAGAACCACAATAGCGCAAGTTCTTCACTCACCAGAATGTGTCAATATTACGCCCAAAAAGTTCCGACTACTTGCTCGAGTTGTCGACTTTTGGCCGCGCAAATTGTGTGATTTCTGTGTTCGGCGTTGTCCCGGCGAAGAATATGTCTGGATGTTTGTACTATTAATGCAAGATGTTTCACAGGCAACACTTCCTGTAATATTCTACGGAGATGATGCTGCAGCATTGCTGAATCTGTCCACATTGCAACCGCAAAACCTTCGTCGAAACCGCAAGGCGTTGACGACCATGAAAGAGCGAATGTTTTTACTATGGGGCAATTTGGAGGAAATGATTCAGGAAAAGGACAGCCTTGAATGCCGACTAAAGCATCTTAATAACCCTTGGTTTGAGCTGTGCGTCTACGAATACACTTGCGAACAAACAAACGAAGGGAATGCTAAGGAGTTTGGAAACAAACGCTGGCGAGGGTTTGGCCTCCGGATAAAGTAATCTTTACTATGAGAAGGCACATCACCGAGTCTAAAAATAATATTTTTGGAGAGCCCGCTGCTTGTTCCTAGCATCCTTTTTTTCTGTTCATACAAACATAACGAAACCACCTTTGAGTAAACATATTATAACGAGATTTATAAGTAAGAAAAAGAAGTAAAATAGACGTAATCAGTCGGTGGAAACATCTCAGCAATTAAGAAAGTCATGAGAAGGAAAGGGTAAGAGAATGTAGAATGAGCGTCGTGTATCTCGCGCTCGTTGTATACGAGTTATGGAATTTTGCTGTGATGGAAAATACCAATTTCAAGTGAAAGAGTGTTAATGTGTATGGAGTGTGAGAAAGAAATAAGAAAAAAAAAGGGGAAATCAAATCAAGGACAGAAAAGAGAACCGGCTGTTGTTGAGTCGACAAGCGACGCGCACGCATTACAGACTAATTACGGTTCGCTCCGGTGGTAAGCGCCTGACGCTCTTCCTCATCGCTATCATCGTCAACAGCAAAGAGAGCATGATGGTCATCGTTGGACTCGAGCTTTTGGAAAGAAGCACCGTTAGTGCCAGCGGCCTGCTGCATGGACGAACGGGCCGAGCGAGGGAAGCTTGTATCGGACAACGAAGTAGCCATTTCAAACTCGTCCACATCTTGCGCGACTTGCTCACTCATGGCGAATCTACGGTTGTTTTCGGTGGGACGCCAGAGATAAAGAATGGTGCAAAGGAACACCAAGGCGACAATGTCCACGTAGCCGTAGTTCACGAACCAGGTGGCCTTCCAGAACTTGCGGTAGAACTCCATTTGTCCATACATGATGAAAAGAACGATGGAAGTGAAGATGATGACGTTGTACACGAGCAGGAAACCAACAAGCAGCTGCCACAAACGCTTGAACATCATGGCCTTTACAGTTTGCTTACGGTTGCGCAAATCACGGATCATCGAGAGCAAGGCAACGATGGTCCAAATGAAGGAACCAAAAAGCGTGATCAGGTACAACAGGGCGCACAGAGCAACAAAGAGCGATTGCTCCGCATCCTCCATAAGCGAGATACAGGCCAAGTAAATACTGATGAAAATAAACTGGAAAACGGCCAGCAGTTGACAACGACGCAGCACCGGACCGAGCGAAGGCACGACGATGGAGTAACCCAGCGAGACAACGAGCATCAGAAAATTGAAGTACACATCACGGGCAGCGCTCGAGAAAGCCATGACAAGAGCGGTAAAATGAGAGTAGCCCGAATAACCGTGGCTGTTGATGTAAAAGTAGTTGACGCACGAAAGAATGGCGTTGAGAACGAACAGAAGAATCTCAATGGTGATGTACTTTTGCAAGGGAAGAATGTCATGACGGTACTTGATGATCAAGTATCCCCACCACGACGAGACAACCGCCAAGACAATCAACATTACAGGGTACAGGTACAGACGAGGATAGTCAGAGGCATCCAAGTCACCAAAGTAATTGTGCCAAGTGGCCAGAAGCTTGTAGGTCTCGCTAGAGCCTTCAAGAGGGTATGTGAAGACACAGTAAAGACCAGTGGTATCGACCTCGTACACCATAGGAGCAGTCATTTCGTCGAGCTTGATGATCTGCGACAAAACCGAGTCGTGGGGGTAATCCGTGTTGACCAAGTACTTGCCAACTTCATTTTCTCCACACAAACCGGCGGAAACTGCCTCGTAATCGCACATATAATAAATGACATCGCCGTTGGAGATACCAATGGCTTCTTCTTCTTTCCAGTTGAAGATGAGCACGCTCACGCGGCCTTCGCCGACCGAGCTGTAGTCTTCCAAGTCCACTAGAGAGAGTTAGCAGGGAGGGAGAGGGGGAGGGGGACGAGAGAGGGAGGGAGAGAGGACACGGGAGTAGACGAGACGAGAATGTTGAGCTGAACATAAAACATTCCTGGGTGATCCTTGGTGATCCTCGATGATCCTTGATGATCCTTGGTATCTGCTGCTCGACCACTCTACAATCATCACGGGGCCCGACTCTCATCCTGGTCTACTTACACTGAATCTTAGAAGTCTTTTTAGGACTGGCGTACATTCCATTGCAGACTTGACGCTCTTCAAAGGAAGACGACTAGAACGGGTTAGCGGGCGTCGGGGGAGCGGAGCCGGGAGAGGAGCTTACAATTTCATTTTGGTTGTCTCCTGTGGTAGAAGCAAGGGCAAACTGCAGACGCAGCAGCGCGAGAATCGTCAAAAAGATACTCCCGAGTGTTTTCATCGTGTGCGGTGGTTGGGAGTGGGCAGGCCCGGTGAGGATGGTAGGGATTAGTGAGGCCTAACGGGGTGCAACGAACAGCAGCGAGCTGCAGCGGAAACCAGCGAGGAACAGCGAATAACGAGCCACAGAGAAGCTTGCTAAACACCGTTGGGGGGCGGTAAACCCGTTTAGCGCGCTACAAGCAGAAACTGCGAAACGCAGCACACCGCCTTATTTCCCACAACGCAGCACACCAAACTACTCTTTATCCCGCTAAACCTCACTCACACGCGTTAAATAGTTTACAGCAGCTCGCTGGCGCTCAGTGCGCCGGACTCGCCGCGTTCATAAATATGGAAATGCAAAATTGGAGCCGCAGCCAATTCAATCGGCCAAGACTTTCTATGGCGCCGCGACCGACCGAACGGCCGCGGACGGGAGGTTGCCGCGGCACACTGAATGCAACCGCGGCCGTCTATAAATGCAAGAAAGAGGAAAATACAAAAGGTCAACCGAGGAGGACGGCGACGACAACGGGGACAACGAGCATCAGAGGAGACCGCGCGGGGAGAGCGGCAGCCGAGGAGCCATGGGCGTTGACAGGGCGGCCGGTGCCGCCCGAGCCGGAACCGGTGCGACCAGTCCCAGTCCCAGAGCTGCCAGAGCCAGAGCCGGAGCCAGAGCCCGAACTGCCAGAGCCAGTGCTTCCTCTGCCGCTGCCGCTCCCGGTGCTGTGGGAGCTCTTCCTCCGCTGAAAACCATGCACCTAACAGCTCAGGTCAAACTTGAGGTTGCGGTTGCTGTCCATGGCGCCAAAGTAAGGCTCGACACCGCTGTCAGTGCCCTTCCAGGGCTCGTCAAAGGCCTCAAAGTAGAAAATGTCAACACCCCAGGAACGGATGCCGCAGAGAGCCTCCTTGTAGAACTTGGCAGCAACATCCGTGCTGGCCACAGCAGAGCCGTAGGAGGGACCGCCGGTGGGCCAGCCAGTCTCACCAACGTAGAAGGAGATGTCGGACGTGCCCTTGCGAGCCTGGATGCGGCCCATGGCTTGCATGGTGTCGTCGAGGAAGGAGTTGGTCATGTTGGAGGTGTCCTGGCCCTGCCAGTAGGAGAAGGCGTTGGACATGAAGAAGTCACTGGCGTCGATGACGGGGTCGCTGCCGCCGTCAACCCACAAGTTCCAGCTGTCGGCGGTACCGACGGGGAGGTTGAAGCCGTTGTCCTTGAGGAGCTGACGAACCTCGTTCATGCGGTTGGCAAGCTCAGAGGCAGTGAGATCACCACGGTACAGCACCTCGGAACCGACGGTGACACCCTTGACGTGGTCGGTGCCGTACTGCTGGAGGTACTGGATCAGAGCAGACTTCTCGAGAGCGTAATGGCTGTCGTCCGTGGGCCAGACGCCAATGATGGCCTGGAAGTTGTGAGACGACTGGGCCAGGGCGGGCATCAGGTACTGGAGCGTGTTGCAGTCGCTGGTGGAGTAGGTACGGACGACGCTCGAGTAGGGAGCCAAGGCCTCGAAGTCGGCAAGGTAGTCGTCGGTGTACTTGCAGGAGCCGTCGGCGTGCTTGACGCCCAGACAGAAGTTGAGGGCGCCCTCAGCGCGGGCTCCGCGGAGGAGAGATGCAGCGGCGACGGCAAGTCCTGTCCATCCAATTGTAGAGAACTTCATGATGGAGGGAGAGGGAGGAAGGAGATGGGGACAGGAGTGGGAGCTGAGGGTTTAAGTAGGGGTGGGCACGTCATGTGGCGCGACGGGCGCAGCGGAATGCTGCGTTACCCCGACAAACTGCGCGGAGGGGCGCGTAGGAGCGTTCAGTGTGCACTGCTGCGCACTGCACAGCAGTGCACAATCAACCAGAGTGTGGCGGAGCGTGACGTGCCGACACGCGCAGAAGCACGCTATTTTACATAACGACGCAACAACGAGACCCACCGCAGCACCGGCCTGCCCGCCTGCACCAGACCATGCCCGACCGTCAGACCGCCAAACCACCCGTCGCATCGACCAGCTAGCTAATCAAAACTCATGAAATTCATCTCAAACAAAAAGTCTACGCGTGCCTCGGCAGCGCTACGCCAGCACGACCGAGCAGGCCGACTGCGAGCTCTTGTAGGCCGCCTCGATGATCCGCAGCACAACGAGATTCTGCTCGTGCGTGACGACCAACTGACTGTAGTCGCCCGAGCGAACAACGTCAGCAATGTGCCGGTAGAAGCGGCGGTAGTCGCCGTGGAGCGTGGGGACGCGCTCGACAGTGAGCGGGGGCAGGTGGGCGAGTGGGGCGTCGTGTGGGACGGACCACAAAGTGCCGCGCCAGTCGTCGGCCTCGATGCCGAAGGTGCTCTCGCCTGGTTGGACGCCGGCGCGCAGATGATCCTCCTGCAGATCATGGCCGGTCTTTAAGAAAGTGCCCCGCGTTCCGCGAACCACGAATCGCTGCTCGTAGCCGAGCGACACGTGCGTTGATTTGAGGATCACCTCCAGGGGCAGGCGGCCGGGCGCCGCGGGGTAGTGCAGCGTGATGGAGAAGTAGTCCTCGACGTCGAGAGGCGGCAATTGGCGCTGGCTAAAGATCTTCGCGGTGACCGAATGGGGAGCGCCGAACAGGGCCACGGCCTGGTCGATGAGGTGAGTGCCGAGATCGTAGACGAGGCCGTTGCCGGGGCCAGGGATGTCCTTCCACGTGCCCTTGCGCGCCAGGCGGTAGCGGTCGATGTGCGACTCGAACTCGACGACGTCACCCAACCGGCCGCTCTCGACAAGCGCCTTAGTGGTCAGGTAGTCGCCGTCCCAACGGCGGTTCTGGTAGACGGCGAGAAGCCTGCCGCTACGGTCGGCAAGGTCGAACAAGGTCTGGGCCTCCTGGGCGGTCGCTGTAAACGGCTTCTCGCAGATGACGTGTTTGCCCGCTTCGAGCGACTTCTTCACCGCGTCAAAGTGCACCTCGGGCGGTAACGAGACGATAACGAGATCAACCTTTTTGTCGGCCAGCAAATCATCAAGCTGGGTGTAGACGGTGATGCTGGGATACGCGTCGCGCGCCTTGGACTGCTGGGGCGTCGCGCGGCGCTCCCAGCACGCATAAATCTCGAATTCCTCCGGCAGTGCTGCCAGGATGGGGAGCTGGAACACAAACGCCGACAGGCCTGTGCCGAGCACGGCGGTGCGAATGGGGGCCATGGGGTCAGTGGGATGAGTGTGGGGTGTGTGTGGAGTAGTGGTGGTGGTGGTGGTGGTGGTGGTAGCGAAGTGGAGTGCAGGCGGGACTGAGACAGGGCCGCTGGGTGTGGTGCGGCAGGGAGGGGCGGAGGGCGCATTATATAGTTTGAGTGACGTCATGATGAGAGTGCGACAAAGTGCGAAGCACGATGCCGAGTGGGGGCGATAAGGCCGGAGTGGGTGAGTGGGATGCGTGGGACAAGCATGACATGGGGACGAGGCCAGGCCGGGGCAGGTCTGTGGGGTGCTGCGGGGGTCCTTCGCGGGGTCCACGCGTCTCCGCAAAGTTAATTCGTGCAGGATGGAGAAGCAGAGAGGCAGAAAGGCAGAGATCAGGCGAATGGACGGCGCCGTGCGCCGTCCATTCGCCGGTCCGTCCTCGCACGTCTATTCTGCGCTCCACAAGTCCGTGCCTGGGTGTCGAGTTGGACCGGGCTGCTGGTGCGAATTCATCAAAGGCCGACACTCGCTTTTCTCTACGGCGTCGTCCGCGTGTCCCGTTCACACCTTCGTAACCATTGCGTCTCTCGCGTTCGTGGTGCTGCGCGTCTGCTCGTCCTGGGTGAATCGCATGTTGAAAAGCGACCGCACGGTGAACATGTCGAGGAAGGACAGAACGGCGTGGTCCCACAGGTTGAAGTCCACGCCGAAGAGGCAGGCAGCGCCGAGCACCACAGGCGCCGCGGCCTGCAGAAGGTAGACAATGAGCAGCCGGGTGTACTCTGTCGAGAGACTCTCCTGGGCATGGACGCTGTCCTTGCTGGTGGAACGCCAGAACAGGCGCAGGGCGATAAACACGGTCAGGCCAACACGCAGACAAACAGTAACAAAGACGTAGAGTGCCCACAGTGCCGCGGCCATGTAGTTGGACACGATCATCTCGAGAGTGGGGATCGAGAAAATGCTGGGGGGGAACAAGTAGTTCAGGGCAACGAGAACGTAGAGCGTCCTCAGGGTCTTCCGTCCAATTGCGTCTCTGGAAACCACGTACGCGAAGATGGCCAGACGCCATGCCTCCGGCTCGGAATTGACGTACCGCTCGACCAGCTTGCTTGTTTTCAGGTGTCCGTTGAAAAAGTAGTTTTTGGTCAGCGACCAGCCAATCGTGCCCCAGGTGAGACATATCGTGTACACCAAAAACGCACCAAACATGTGGACGATGGTGAAGGGGCCCCTGTGCTTCAGCTTGCTCAGCACAAAGTTGGGAACGACGATCCAGAACAGCACCTTCAGCAGGGACCGAGAAAGCGTGCGGGAGTATGGGACAGGACGCATCTGCGGGACGCCAAACTCAACGACGAAGCCTCCTCGCACCTCGTCGTTCTCCTTGGCCGGGAAGGCGTATATGCCGTACCACCCCGGATGGTCCATCTCGAACGTCGTGTTTTGTCCTGGCCGCACGAGTTGCACCTTGGGCGCATGCTCAAAAATCTTCGCTGGAGGCGATTCGGCTCTGTGATGCTGCAGTTCGCAGTACCCGCGTATATACAGCTCGTCCGACGATTTCAGGTCACTAATCGTCACCAGCACTGGGTACGAGTTGGTTTCCGAACCCACGACTATCAGGCCCGTTTGGTTCGACTTGTACGCATTTTGGCTCAGATGGAGCGCCGAGGAAGCAAATTCACCATTCTTGGAGGCCAACTCCCTTGCAAACGAGAGTACAAACAGAGATGCTGTTAAAAGAACGCGTAACAGCAACATGGACGTTCTGGAGGGCAGGCGGACGCGGTGTATATAGAGCAGAGGGCGGCCTACGTCATTGCTCGCTTGTGCGATAATCTAAAATGTGGCCGACGCGGGGGGAGTGGAGGGAGGGTAGGAGTAGGGGAGGAGGAGGGTAGCAGGAGAGGAGGAGTAGAAGGGGAGGGTTGCGAATTGAGTTTGTGCGGTGGGCAGCGGGCAGCGGGCCACGGGACGCCTCTGGGACAATTGCGAGTATGGATGTCGGATAGTGAGAGGGAACGTTGCTCCTTATTTTATTCAACGAGAGTTAGCGAAGAACTAGTGCGCCTGAGCGACTGGCGGGACGAGAGTCCCGGTGTCCGCGGCATAGAGCTGGGACAGATTTCATTCCTCTAGCAATCCAGGCCAGGCCTAGCACAACAAACAGACTCGACCATCACAACCAATTGCACCGTAACGAAGATGAGACCGAGACTGACCAAGAATTGACCATCGACTGAATACGCACCAACACTGTTAACCAACCATTGACACCCATTAACCAACAATCGACACTCCTCCTATCTTCACTCCCCTCCCTCCCCTCCCACTCCCCCCAATTTCATCCAAAAGACTTCCTTACTAATAAGTACAGTTCAGGTGTGCAGGCAGCGATTCGCCCTGACACACCCGTTCCCTCGATGCAGCTCACTGCATCCGCTTGGAAATAATAGAGACAGAACCCAGAAAAACCAACTAAAAACACAGAACTAGAGTATCACAGACGTGGACGCAGACACCAACCAGACAAGTCATTCCCTCCGGCAGGCTCCCGCCCACTCTCCGTGAGAGCTCTAAGGTACACAGTTTGAACAGCCGCCCGCTGGCTCCTCCAGAGCCGACGACAACAAACCAGCAAAGCACGCCCTGCACAAGCGCCGGCGACGGCCCGAGGCCTCTCGCGACATTCTCAACAGACGCTGCTCAAAAAGTTTCGTTCACAGTTGCATGGTTCGTGTCTCAGCTTAGGAGTTGGGGGCCTCGCGGGCGGCAAGAGCACACTCTTCGCCCATAGCAGAAACGACAGTGACGATGAGCTCCTTGCCCTCCTCAAAGCCGTCCTCGATCTGCTGGCCAAGCTCGCCCTCGGGCAAGCGGACGTCATCCTTGGTGGCGCCCTCGGACGTCATCAGGGTGAGGTAGCCGTCCTGGACGTCGAGCAAGGTGTACTCGTCACGCTTGACGACAGGGACGTCCATGTTGTGGGTGGAGGGAGACAGGTCCTCCATCTTGCGGCCGGTGAAGATGTCGAGAGCGACAATGTGGACCTTGGCGTGTCCGTGCTTGCCGGTCTTGGAGGTCGACATGTCGACAATCTTGCAGGGACGGCCCTTGATGACGACGTGGCCGTTCTTGCGCAGGGCAGAGCACTGCATGGGGAACGTGGCAGAGGCGTTGGCAGAGCCGCCCTCGAAATCGTGATGCTCTTCAGACATGGTGGAGTGTGGGGGTTGTGGGGTGAGTTAGATTTGGTGGAGTAAAGTGTGTGTGAGAGATATGTGCTCCTTGTGGGGGTGTGGGGAACAGCGATAAATGTACAAGTGGAATTGATGTTGAGCAGGGCCGACTCCTGCCTTCTTATACTGCACCTTTTGTCCACTTTGTACGTCATGGCCAGAGGCCGCGACAGCGTGACTGTTGCTGGGTGTGCCGAGACCGAATGAGCGCATTGCTATGTTTTTATTCGCTAACGGTCGCTGGCGACAAACTTTATCTCGCTGCTCGTTGGCTGCCCACAGCAAATGGGAGACCCGTGGTGGGGTTGCGGAGTGGACCGGGTTTGGCGTAGGAAAAAGTGGTCATTTGGGAATAGTGCGGTGCAGCGAGGGCGAGCGTGGTAGGGCAAAGAAGGCCGAGGAAGGCGAGGGTGGGCGAAGCGTGATGTCATTGGGCTGACGTCAGGAAGAGCGCATGCCAGCGAGATGCAAGAGAGCACTGTCGCGCTCCGTGGAGTGCTGCGGAGAGCGCTGGAGTTCCGTAAGGCCGGCACATGGGAGCGCGTTCGGTTTCGGTAAGCAATGCTGTGCTGTGCTGCCGAACGACGCCCACTGCTTCTCGCTGGCGCCCGCTAAAACCCGCCGTAGCCCTCGCTGCTGCTCACTGCCCCTCCCTAGAGCCCGCCGTAGCTCGCTGTAAACGCTCCCTCTCCCAACCACCCAGTGCACCTGTTTGGCGACTTTTTTTGCAATATACGACCTGCAATTCCGCGGTTTTCTTAGCGCGCAGAGCTCCTGTGTGCCCATTCTACTCGGTCCCCAAATTTCCCCTTTGTCGCACGCGTTTTCGAGGAATTGTGTCGTGCACTTTACAAACGCGTCTCTCTCCTCTGGTTGAGTCGATCCATGCTCCTATACAATGGACGATGTGCAGAATGCAGCAGAAGAGGACACAGTTGCACACTTGGACACGGTCACGCGGCGTCTGTTTGTTGGCCCAGTGCCGACGAATTTCACAAACGTGCGTAAACAAAAATGGAACAGACGATTTCAGTACTACACCAGCAGAAGAATCACTTACGACGCGGTCGGACAGGCGGTGCCACCCACGGACGCGCGAGTTATCGACACGCTGTTCAACAATCTGCGTATCATCACCACTTCGCAGTCCAGAGACGTCCGGTCCGCCTTCCAGAACCGGTCGGATTTAAGCGTGAACGTGAGCCTTGGTGGGCTGTCCCACACGGGGCCCGCTGCGAAACATGCTCGTGAAGCTGCAAACGGAGGAGCCAGCAACGGCGACGCCCCCGTTGCTGCCGCTGCGAACACTGCTGCTGTCCATGCACCGGACGTCCTGAGCGTTCCTCCAAATCCCCTCCTCCCTCCCGTCCCTCCGGCCTCCTCCGTCACCCCTGCCATTACTGCTCGGACAAGCCTGGATGTTGGTGCGCCTTTGGGTCATGCTCGTTCGAATTCAAAAACGAGTTCGACAGGCTCGGCCTCCATGTGTACTGCTCTCACCGGCGGTACTTCCGTTCCGGAAAACCTAAATGACGCTAAAAGCGTCCGTGCCTCCACCTCTACGTACTGTTCGAGCGAGGAGACGTCTACGGCGTCTGCTCCGCGTGCTGCTGCAACTCCTGCTCGACAGTACTCCCATCGAAAGCAGCCGTCGACGGCTCAAAGCTGGCTGAGCCATCTTGGTCTCCAACGCACTGTCACTCCGGTCGTCTTCGGCTCCAGCTGTCGCTCACTCTCTAGTTTCACGGAGTCGAGTGTCGTGCTCCGCAAGGAGCATGCTTTGGTTCGTGTCGATACAACTGCCAGTTACATCCAGCCGGACTTCAACGACTTTGCCTATTCTAACATTCCCACCAAAACGGTTCAGCCCTGGTGCGAGTTCTGGATAATCGCCCGCAAATGCACGACCAGCGGAGTCGTGCGCTTGGACTTCGTGCCCGAGAACGATCGGATAAAAAAACGTACACGAAAGGTCAGTCGCCGACTGGCCTCGGAATTGGGCGACTCGGGAAACGGCTTAGATGATGGCTTGGACGAGTACAGCTTTGACCATCATAACAACGAAGGTGAATTGGATTTGTGTAAATACTCCTTATATTTGTGTCCCGAAACGACTTCGTGGAACGTGTTCAGTTCGCTTGACCATTCCATTGCTATCTGGTCGCGGAAGAGAAATGAAAAAACAGTTCTCTTTCTTCTGCGCTTCCGGCGACTCGTGTCCGCCTTCGAGTGGGTGTACATCGTGAGCAGTGCCTTGTCCTTTCATTCCCCGGGTGCCTTTACACTTGGCGTGCCTGCGTTTCACTTGCACATGCGCATCATTTTCCCAGCCTTGCACGAGCGAGACAAGGTTGAAAGCGGCACCGAGGATTCTGCCGAGCAACCAATCGTTCGCAAACCCAATCCTAATCAGATTCACAAGATATTTGAATGCTGGAATTTGTCAGAGTCTGAGTTTGTTTCACGGTGTCTGCATGTGCTGCGGAAAAATACAGAATGGAGTCAAATAATCAAGCGCTGGTCTCAAAGCTCTAACCTCGGTTTGTGTTGGAGAACGTATGATCGGGTCGATTGGATTCCACGGCTTGATGACTTGACATACGTCGGCTTAATGGTTGCCTGCGGCACTCACGAACTGGAACTTCGGCCCAAGCTGCATTATCCAACACATGTACGCACATCTACCGGTGAGTTCTTGGAGGAACCGGAACCCATTGAAGGCTATCTCATTCGCTTAACTTCAAGCACTGGACGCGAAATGCGTCTTGGCCAGATGTTTTGCAAGAAACTCTATGCTGCTGTCTTCAATTGCTTCCTCTTTTTCGTTTCGCCCGATCTGGCCATCCCTCCGTTCGTTACGGCAGAGAATCTACTGTATCCTGATTACTCTTTCGAAAGCAAGACGGATTACTTTTTCCACTTCACTGCGTTTCCCTACAAAAATCGCCGAGGTAATACACAAACACATGAGAAGGAAAAAGCACTTTTGGCTGCAGAGCGTGTTCGTGTCCGTGATTTGCTATGCTTCTCGACGGGTTTGGTAGACTTGCGCAAAGTCACCTCGATAGAGCCTCGAGATGCAAATGGCCAAAGCAACCAATTCGTTATCATCACTGACATGGGAATGCGTCTGGAGTTCAAAAGCTTTTGCAAAGAAACCAGAGACGCATGGGTCACACGTCTAAATCAAATTGCTCACTATTGGAGAGAGCGCAAGATTAATGATTTCCACGAACTTAATGAGGTTAGAGACAAAAACATTAGCATCTTACATATTGATCATTCTACGGAACCGCACGTAGCAAGTTACTGTTCTGCTTGGGAAGTCTCCGAGTGTGTTGCAAGTCCTTTAATCCACAACTATTGCAGTGTTCTTGGATGCCGTTCCATTCAGGTAAGAAAACACACTGATCAGCGGGTCTTGCGTGGTTCCTGTTTCTTCTTTCATTTACTAACGCATTAGATGCACGGGCACTTATTCTACCGCCAAGGGGCTGTTTTTCAAAAATATTTTGCCATACTCATTCCCGGTCACATCATTCTGTATCAAAATGCTGAACGTACTCAATCCGGAAAGCTGCGAGAGAAAACTTACTACCACAAATGTTTTTCCATTCCGCTGACGTCGAGTTACATATACTCGGGCTTTATCACTGACAATATGCTTTTAAAGCACAAGCATGGGTGTGACTTACAGACGCATGCTCTCCCGCGTATATTCAAGGACGGCTGGCGGACAGTAGACCGTGACGAAATGTTGGCATTTGTTATCTGGTCGAATAATTCGGGCGTGAAGAGATTTACTGACGAATTTGAACATGTTGTTCCAAAAAAAGTCAACTGCAACAAGGAAAAAAATCAGTTTGCAAAAAGGTATGAGGCTTATTCGAGGCTTATCCATTCTAACTCTTTAGTTTCGTATTCCTTTCACGTTCTCGACAAGAGCGAGATGTCTGGGTTAAACGTATTGAAGCAGAAATTGATCGTTGTGATCTCAACTCAGTGGAACCTCAATTTTGAACATATGTATATTATTATTATCACCCTAACGCAACCCATAATTATTCTGCTTTCTCGTTATTTTTCCGGTTTAATGCGCATCCTCTTCAGACGTTTAATCATACATTCTCCTTTTCATACTTCTTGGTTTAGACAAACCCTTCAGTGAACATTAGATTAAAAGCTGTAAATTCATTCTTTAATATCATTATCTTGTAAATACACGAACAAACATATCTTACTTGGTTTTTGTGCGTATCTTAATGCACTTGATTCTTTTCGCCTTACCAACCCAACTATGTCAATTCGGCCAATTGACAAAAAAAGCATTGTAAGCACTAAAACGTCGACTTACTCTAATAAATTATTAGCATAGAATATGTTCTGGTCAAGTTATTACGGATATAGCGTCTGCTGTTAAGGAATTGGTTGAGAACAGTTTAGACGCTGGCGCGACTAATATTGGTAAGGCCCTGGCTTCAAAAATACCTTACTAAACTCTTACAAGAGATACGTTTCAAGCATTACGGCCTCGACACAATTGAAGTTGTTGACAATGGCAATGGCATATCCTCTGATGATCATGCTTGTATTGGTAAGTTAATTTACCAACAATTTAATGCTCCTTACTAACAAATAATTCAAGCAAAAAAGTACTACACTTCCAAACTCAATGAGTTTGAGGATTTGTCAAAGCTAGGCACTTTTGGTTTTCGCGGTGAAGCTTTAAGTAGCTTGTGCGCTCTTTCTGATTTACAAGTATCTACTGCTACAGCACAAGAAACGCCAAAGGGACATTCCCTTACATTTAATCATGAAGGGGATCTTGTCAAACACGCTGTTGTTCCTTTTCAGGTATATACCAACTCGGAATTTTTGCTAACAGTAACTAATCATTTTTAGAAAGGAACTATGATTACTGTTCAAAACATATTTTCAACACTTCCGGTTCGGAGAAAGCATTTAGAGCGAAATTACAAAAAGGAGTACTCAAAAGCACTGGTTCTACTGCAAATGTATGCAGTCGTAAGTGTAAATAAACGCATCCTTGTCTATCATCAACCTAAAGGAGGCGGACGGCAATTGCAGCTTTCAAGCAATAAAAATCCCTCTATGCTCAAAAACATAATGAATGTGTTCGGTACGAAAGTATCCTCTTCACTTACCGCTTGGAATGACGATTTCATCAACGGTTACATATCACGGCCTCAAATTGCGGGAATAAAGTCCAGCAGTGAAGGTCAAATGTTGTTTCTAAATGGTCGGCCAATAACACATCCGAAAGTACATCGATTAATAATGGAAGTGTATCGATCATTTAGTGTAAATCAGTCCCCATTTTTTGCGGTAAATCTAGTACTGCCAGAAGGTTTGTGCTTTGAATTTGAGCCCTATTCTAACTTACTAGATTGTTATGACATAATGTTTCACCTGACAAGCGGAGTGTTTTCTTTCTTAACGAGAAAGACTATTGCAAAAAGTTCGCGATTCGTTACTCATTATGTGATCAAACGGAGTATTCCCTTTCACAAGCAAAGCCCTACACCCCTAAGGTTCTTCAGAAGCCTGAATTTCTTCGCTCGTCACCACCGCTCCAATCCGATTCTTCTTTAAACAGTCCTCTTTTAGCATTTGGAAATAGTGATACGTCTGTCTCCTCTGACAAGAAAAGGCTGCTAGACTCACAAAGTTTAGACGCATTTGAAAGCGCAATTGGCGATTCCCCATTAGCAAAAAAATCGCGAACACTGCTCCCCGCAATAAACGAGAAAGTTGAGGAACAAATTAAGTCACCAGACGGCCCTGTTATTTCTCATGATGATAGACCGCTGAAGCTTGTACTACAAACTGATCAGAAGGGCCCTCCACAACAGAAGGAGTCTGTGCATGTAGCCTCATTGCCAATGACTTCTGCACTAGACCAGCAAGGTAATCCTTCCACTGAGTTACTTGATGAAAATCCTACTCCTTTAAAAAGTCAATCTTTAGATATCTTTTCCACACCAAAGTCTGCTGCCAGAATCTCAAAAGTACAGACATTACTGCCTTCTTTTTCATTATCGACAACTCACTCGAATGCGCACCCGCCAGCTAAGTCAGCTTCTTTACAGAAAGTTCGTTTCCTTCAGGGAAAGTCTGGAGATATGCTCTTCATGAAAACAACGTCAAAGACTGTAAATTTAAGTGAACTGAAGGACAGATTTCAAACTCTGAAGAAGTACAACTCTTTTACTTCCGCCGGCTCTGGTAAAGCGACCCTTGATACGATTCATGATATCACAGACACACATGCAGAAGAGCATTTGGATTTGAGTATTCATAAATCCGATTTTCTTTGCATGCGCATAATCGGTCAATTTAATTGCGGTTTTATAATTGTCCGTCACGCACAGAACTTGTTTATCATTGATCAGCATGCTAGTGATGAAAAGTATAACTACGAAAAACTTAAGCGTAATTGTGTTTTATCGGCTCAAGATCTGGTTGCGTACGTGAACTGACTCTGTATTACTCAGTATGTTACTAACAAAATCAGGCCAAAACAGTTGAACCTTGCTGTAAACGAGGAATTGGCTTTGCTGGATCATTTACCAATAATTGAGAAGAAGGGATTTCGTGTTACAGTTGATGAAACGGCTCCTATAGGCAAAAGGTGCAAGCTTGTATCTGTACCAAGCAGCAGCCACACTATTTTCGATGTTTCAGGTTTGAAAGGATTATTATTTATTTGTAAATGTGCTAACCTTATGAAGATTTATTAGAAATGTTGGGCTTGCTTGTGGACCATCCAGAGATGGAGCCAAGCTCAAGTAAAATTGAAAAGATGCTTGCAATGAAGGCATGTCGACGCAGTATTATGGTTGGTCGTTCTCTAACTATTTCGGAAATGACTTCAGTTGTCAGACATTTAGCTACACTGAGTAAGCCTTGGAATTGTCCTCACGGAAGACCTACAATGCGGCATTTATTGAGATTACGAAATCTTAAAGCTCACGACGCTTCTAAAACTGGTTAACCTCTTATATTTATACTTTGTATATGCGAATTTTTTCTATTATATTTATAAATAATATTATATATGCGATATTTAAGATACTATTTACAGCCTATTGTGGTAAAGTATTGTAGTTCATGCCTTTCATTTTTTCTTTGCTTGGTTTGCTTATTGGAAACTCGAGGTACCCTAGTAACACCCATATAGGTATGCCCGTATTTTTCGCTTAAATTACGAAAAATTACATGTACAATGGCACAGGACATCAAAATAATCGTAAACAATGATACCTTTAAGCATTTGGATACCAATTGGCGGCATTATACTGTAAAAAATGGAATCCAATTATTGTCGCTATGCCCGACGATGGACTTACAAGCTTTCGTAACAGATGCGAACCAATTGTATGTCTGTAGAAGGAATGGTCATATCATTTGGGAATTGAAACGAGACGAAACTGTCACAGCGTTATGTTGGCATTTTAAGGGTTTGTTGGCATTCAGAAATATTACTATTACTAACATTGTTACAAATACAGGTGAAATGCTAGCTGTTGGTTACGGCAATGGTGAAATTGAGTTACTTGAGGTTGTCAATGGAAGAACTGCAGAAAAGATTCAAACAGGAAGTACTGGGCGCATCACATCTATTGCCTGGAGTGTTCAACAGAAAAGCAGGAAACCTTCTCTGCAGGACCTTTCGTTTGATGCTACTGTGAATTTGCCGCTACTCGGTGCACTTCCCAGTTCTTCATTAAGGTTTACCTTATTCATGCTATTTTCATACTAACAGTTCTTATTTAGAGATTGCGTTTTTTCATCAAAAGTGCTCGTAGAGCATCTTGCTACAGACAAAATGAACCTTAATCCGAACCGTGAGATTGAACTAATGTCTGTGTTTGATGATCATGGCTATCGATTGGCAAAGTAAGAAATGTTTGCTTTGTACACTTCTAACGTTATAGTATGTTTGGCACTTACAAAATTGGACAGCTTTCAGATTCAAATGCGGCTTTAAAAATTGTATGTACATTGGGAGATACATCGTTCTAAACTCTAACAATTTAAATTTAGAATCAACCTATATCTCATGCTTGTTCCAGAGAAACAGCACATCATTACTTGGTTTCTTTGGAAAAGGGAAATGCGGTTCTTAAAACTCTGTATATGCCACTTCTAGAAACAAGCCCTCAACATTTAGTTGAGGTAGCTACGCTATCTACAAGAATGCAATACCTGGTGAAGTACATTAGCGAGACGTCTGATGCAATGTATGAAGAGTACAAAAATTTCCAAAGTACGCAACAAAAAGTTACCAACATGTTTGAAACAATTAACAGCAAAAACCCGGACCGCGTGCATTTATCCCCCCAGGCTGAGCTTTATCAGTTTTATATGACTGGTATTCCAAGCTGGTTTCTACGTGAATGGCTAGCTGATCGACTAGCTGATCGTGGTTTAAAAAGCTGGGAAAAGAAGTTGGTCAATTCATATCGAGAACTTTCCCGTTTGGTTATCGAACACTTACTTCCTGCTTGCGAACGACTTACCGTTTATCTTAATATCCTCAGAGGCAAAGCTTCTTGGGGCGTCATCAAAGGGTCTAGTTTACTGGATACGCGGCTCCTCGATGATTGTATAGTCAAACTTTGTTTTATACATGCCTCCGCCTCTAAGCTTTTGCTAGTCATACAGGCCGAAGAACAGTACTTTACAGATTTCATAAACTGGCTTATTTACGCACTTGCCGAACTGACAAGTGTGGAACCAAGATCTGTTCCTCCACAGCAACATATCAACCAAGCCGGAAACATTGTTCACTACATAAAGTCCGTGCTGTTTAAGTCAGAAGTGGAACTTTTCTTCCATTCAATCCAAGACACCTCTGTTTTTGATTTGAAATCCGAGAATGTAGTTCCTGACTCAACGGAACTCTTTTCGTATAAAGATGAATCAACCTCACCTCCTTTAAATTATCTCACACAAAAGCTTACAGATGCTTTCAACTTGACATTAAATTATCCGTCTTCCATTTGTCAACGGCAGTGGCAGCTCACTTCGAGCATTGTGTTGGGAAAAGCAACGGATAACTTGCAAGTTAGGTTTCAAACATTCTCCACGAAAACAGTGCAGGAAGAGTATACTCTTCTTTTCGTTCCAGAATCCGAATTTGCTGTTGTACTCTATTCGAGCCTAACGGACCATGCTTTAAAACCCTATGCACTTGCTAAGTTTACACTAGATGAGGGCGCACTGTTGGAATCTATACCAGCAAACGAACGTGCCTCTATATCTTCCGGAGGAGACTCGGTTCGTATCTTAGATGCCACTTTTGTTAAAAGCTCTGTGCTTATTCTTGTCCGCTGTCATTCATACTCCGTTTTGGCACAGTTTTCTGTTGATCAATTACTGAAACAGACGATTGCTGAAGGGACTACGGAGTTGATTTCACCAGAGTTTCCTGTACAGACTATATATTCAATTAAAGGAGCTACAGTATTTAACGGATCATTTCTTCCAGAACTGTTTAAGTACTGCGCCAATGTTGATAGAGCATCTGGCATACTAGTATCAAAGGACCGAAAACACTATAGGCTCTTTGCCGTCGATTAACCCCAAAACTTACTAACACGTTTATTAACGACTTGTATCCGTAATAATTTCCCAAACGACAAAAATTCCGGAAAATTAATAGTACTACATTAACCTAATAGCATATTTTATTCCTTTCTAAGTACGTAAAGTTTTGTGAACAAGTCTTCCTGTTTTGCTACTTGAGAACTACCAAGAACGTGCACCTCTGAAAAATTCTGCGAATGGACACATTTCCTTCGTTATTTTTGTATTCATTAACTGCACAAAATAGCAACTATGTACAAAGCTCTTGTGTTGCTCAGTTGACGGGCAAAAAAGCCCAAGAAATTGTCATCGCTACTGGATCACGAGTTCACGTATACAGAATTGATCCAAATGAAGGTCGAATGAATTTAATGATTAGCCAGAACTGTTATGGTATCGTAAGAAACATTGCGCCGTTGCGCTTGACTGGCTTTAAAAAGGACTATCTCGTACTTACTTCTGACTCTGGGAGATTTACTATTTTAGAGTATGACATAGGAAAAAATAAACTAGTTTCCGTTTACCAAGAGGCATTTGGTAAGTCTGGAATACGCAGAATTGTTCCCGGTGAATATCTTGCTTTGGATGCTAAAGGTCGCGCTGCAATGGTTGCTTCCACAGAAAAAAACAAACTTGTTTACGTGCTGAATCGGGACTCGGAAGCAAATTTAACTATTTCTTCACCTTTAGAAGCACATAAGGCCGGTACTATCTGCTTCGATTTAGTAGGTTTGGATACTGGTTACGAGAATCCCATTTTTGCCGCACTTGAAGTTGAGTACAGTGATTTGGACCACGATCCTTTGGGCGAATTGTATAAACATTCAGAAAAGGTTCTTACATATTACGAACTTGATCTTGGTCTAAATCATGTCGTTAAACGGTGGTCGAAAGTCGTTGATCGTTCTGCCTATAAGCTTATACGCGTCCCCGGCGGAAATGATGGACCTTCAGGCGTTATTGTTATCTCTACAGGCTGGATATCTTATAGACACTTGCAGAGACAATCTCATTTTGTTCCCATTCCTACTCGGGAGACTAAAGCCACAACGAACACAGCTTTGCCCATAATAGTTTCGGCTGTGATGCACAAAATGCGTGACTCATTCTTTTATCTATTACAAAATAGCGACGGCGACTTATTGAAGTTGACCATGGAATTGGACGACCATTCCCAAGTTAAAGAACTTCGCATAAAGTATTTCGATACCATTCCGTTCGCTGCAATTCTTAACATTTTAAAATCGGGTCTTTTGTTCGCCGGATGCGAAGGGGGAAACCATCATCTTTATCAATTCGAAAGTCTGGCTATTGATGATGATGAGCCAGAGTTTTCATCTGCTAATTTTTCTGAAGAGCAATCGAAACATTCGCCAAAAAAACTTACCTATAAGCTACACCCTTTGCAAAACATTTCGTTACTGGATGAGATTCCTAGTCTCTTTCCGTTAACAGATGCGATAGTAACACGAACATCCACAGATGCTAATTCTCAACTGTACACACTTTGTGGAAGACATAAGGAGGCATCTTTACGGTTACTTAAAAGAGGAGTAAGTGCAACCGAAGTCGTTCTTTCTGAGCTTCCTGGTGCCCCGATAGCAATCTGGACAGTGAAGCAAAAGTTAAATGACCCATATGATAAATACATGGTACTGTCATTTACCAACGGCACATTAGTTCTGTCTATTGGTGAGACGGTTGAAGAAGTTCTGGACAGCGGATTATTGTCCTCCGTTTCAACACTGAATGTTCGCCAACTTGGACGGAGTTCCGTGGTTCAAATTCATTCAAAGGGAATTCGCTGTATCAGCGCCAATAAAGAGGTTACGGAATGGAAGACGCCTGCGGATACTGTCATCACCAATTCAGCAATTAATGAGCAACAGATCGTCGTCTCACTAAGTAATGACGAACTAGCATATTTTGAAATGGATGATGAATATGGTCAATTGAACGAATACCAAGAACGGAAATTACTCACATCGCCAGTCACAGCTCTCGCTCTTGGGCCGGTCCCTCAAGGTTCAAAGCGAAGCAATTTTCTATGTTTGGCGAGTGAAGATAGCACTGTACGTATAGTATCTCTCGATCCGTACACTACTTTGGAGAACCTCAGCGTCCAAGCCCTCAGTGCCCCAGCGTCTTCTTTGTGTATGGTGAACATGGAAGTCACGGGTTACGAAACGCTTTATTTACACATCGGTTTGTCCAATGGTGTATATTTGCGCACAGTAGTAGACGTTACTTCCGGTCAACTCATTGATACACGCACACGGTTCTTAGGGCCGCGGCCAATTCGTCTGAGTCCCATAATTGTTCGTGGAAAACAATCTGTTCTCGCCATCGCCAATCGCAGCTACCTGTCCTATTCCAATGAACAGACGCTTCAAGTCTCTCCTCTTTTATACTCTCCGTTGGAATACGCCGATAGCTTTGCTAGTCATCAATGTCCCGAAGGCATTGTTGGTATCCATCAAAACATCTTAAAAATTTTTACCGTAGAGGCGACGCATGATGATCTAAAGCAGGATGTCTTTCCTTTGTCATGCACGCCAAAACGTGTCATCAAGCATCCAGAGCTCGATATTCTTTATATCCTGCAAAGCGAACGTCATTGTCCAAACAGTACCAATGAATGGATTACAGTCCTTTCTATCTTTGACATGAACGAGAAAAAAATGATCGAAGGTCTTACCTTCAATGAAGCTTCATTTGACCTATGCTACGCTTTTTTTCGTTCTCGCAATGAAGGTTTTTTGGTCTGCAGCTCCGCAATAAATTATGATATAAGTAAACAATCATGCTCAAACGGAGTTCTGCGAGTATACAGTCTTAATGACGGTGGCCTATCTTTGAAATGCATCAGTGAAACGGAAACTGATTCTTTTGCGCGTGTCCTCAAACCTTTTCATGGTCGTTTAATAGCTGGAGTTGGGCCATTTCTGCGTGTATACGATTTGGGTAACAAAAAGCTTCTCCGGAAAAGTGAAGTACGGGCTGTTCCCAATTTTATCACTACAATTCAAACGCAAGGCTATCGTATTATTGTTACTGATGCTCAGCATTCAGCATTCTTTGTTGTTTTTAAACCCGAAGACAATAGATACATTGTGTTTGCCGACGATTGTGTCGCACGTTGGGCGACTGCTACTGCAATGGTAGATTACGATACCGTTGTGGGTGGAGACAAATTCTCTAATTTATGGTTACTTCGCTGCCCCGAGTCCGTGTCACAATTGGCTGATGAGGAGAACTCAGGCTCCAAACTGTTACATGAAAAGCCTTTCCTTCACTCCTCACCGCATAAACTTGACTTGATGGCTCACACTTTTGTTAACGATATCCCTACCTCTATTCAAAAAGTCCAATTAGTCGAGGGAGCACGGGACGTTATTATGTGGACGGGTCTTTTGGGAACCATTGGTGTGCTTTCTCCATTCGTTAATCGCGAAGATGTTCGCTTTTTCCAGCAATTAGAATCACTGCTACGTGCCGAAGACTTATCAATTGTGGGTCGTGACCATCTTGCTTATCGAAGCTACTACGTTCCCGTAAAATGCGTTGTTGACGGCGACCTTTGTGAGCAATACTATAATCTTCCACGGGACAAGCAGGAGTCTATTGCTAACGAACTTGATCGCACAGTGATTGAAGTTTGTAAGAAAATTGAGGACTTACGAGTCCGCAGCTTCTGAGTGAATCGTTAAAGCCCTAGCGCAAAACAAAAATGGCTACTATTTCGCGGTTATGTGGTCTACTTCTACTTTTCCATTAGACAAGCCTACCTTTCTTGAATTCCCTATATCATATCTATCACCACCATTTTTTGATGATCTCGTTCTCTATTGTGACAGACACATTTACGAATTCTTCTCCACGCTACCGCTCTTTCCTTCCCTACAGCCCTACCTGTATTTCTTGTCGACTTCATTGTTTACGACGCGACACGTTTTTCATTAAGCACGACAACCTTATTTTAATCTATGACATCACTTGTTTCCTCCACCACAACAAAGCTGCACAAAAGCAGTCACAGGTTTTGTAACATCAACAACACTACATTTCTACTGACTTCACCAAACCCAAAGGCGAAACTTAAAAATGGCAGAGTCTGTTGCTCACCCATCGGTTTTGAACGCTACCGAAGAGGACATCAAGCAGCTTCTTGCTGCTTCCTGCCATATCGGCTCTAAGAACTTGGATGTTCGTATGGAGAACTACGTCTGGAAGCGTCGTGCTGATGGTGTTAACATCATCAACATTGGCAAGACCTGGGAGAAAATTGTCTTGGCTGCACGTGTGATTGCCACCATCGAGAACCCCGCTGACGTTTGTGTCATTTCTGCTCGTCCTTACGGTCACCGTGCTGTGTTGAAGTTTGCCGCCCACACTGGTGCTACTGCTATTGCTGGCCGTTTCACTCCCGGTAACTTCACCAACTACATCACTCGTACCTACCGTGAGCCCCGTTTGATCGTCGTCACTGACCCTCGTGCCGACCACCAGGCCATCAAGGAAGCTTCCTACGTGAACATCCCCGTCATTGCCCTTTGTGACACTGACTCTCCCTTGGCCCACGTTGATATTGCCATTCCCACCAACAACAAGGGTTACAAGTCCATTGGTCTTGTCTGGTGGCTTTTGGCCCGTGAGGTCTTGCGTCTCCGTGGTGCTCTTTCTCGCACCGCCCCTTGGGACATCATGGTCGACATGTACTTCTACCGTGACCCCGAGGCCGAGCGTGAGGAGGAGGCTAAGGCTGTTGAGGCCGAGGCTGAGGCTCCCGCCGTTGAGGCTGCCGAGTTTGAACCCACTGCCGAGGGCGCTGTTGACCCCAGCATTCTTGCTGCTGCTACTGCTGGCCAAGTCGGTCAATCTGCTTGGGATGAGGAGGGTGACTGGAACACCACCGGTGCTGCTCAAACCTCTGACTGGGCCAACACTGTTGCTTAAATCGGGCGGGATTGTCTAGATGCGGGTGCCGACAGCTTGTTTGCATCATCGTCAGTTTTATAATGATCATGCAGCAAGATGCAACCATAGAAACAGTTAGCTCTGTTTTCAAAAAAAACTTTTGGGCTGCAGTGCTAGTGATAAGTGATTGGGATGTAGGAGAGTTGTGTCTTGTAGTTTTTGCCCGTTGTATGCGCAAGTGAAATGGCATTTGTTTTCCTAGAGCCCGCAAGTGAAGGTTGTTGCGATCGCTTAATTTAATAAGCTAATAAGGTTACGCCGAAGCGAAGATGACGTACTTGCTGCACGCCAGATTTGCAAAGGCAATTCGAGAAAAAAAGTGATTTTCCTTCTTCTGAGAAGCAGTGGGAAAGAACCCTTTTCGTCATGAGACGTTGTTTATTTTCCCAAGCTCCAAACTTTCTTACTCCTCTCAACGACGCTTGCAGAAACACATCTCAATAATGTAATTTATTACCGCTTTTTTACGACAGTTCAGCCTATCGGCTGCTTCAACTGGCTTTCCATGTCGTTCAGAACACGCTAAAAGCAAGCGGCATCACTTCCAACAATAAAACTCTGCTTCTTGCTGGCAGAACAAATTACTCTACTTTTCTTTTAACTCTTTCCCCGCTAGGAGTAATCTCTCGCTTTGAAACAACCCACGGAGAGCAAAACTCTGATTTTCTGGTTTTGTGATTCCGAGTGTGCTCCGGTATATATAAATACCGCAGTCTAGTGTGTTTGCCTCAATAAGGTTAGACTGGAATTGTGGCCTTGGGAACTACAAGAATGTTTTAATTGTTGAATTGAGAGCGTACATGCGTTTACAGCAGATAAACACTGGAGGTTTATGCTAATTCTACACAATGAATTACTCTATCAACCTGAAGGAAGCAGTAGAACTGGCGCTTCCTCAGCTCGTTGAATATGAATTCCCAACAAAACACGTAAATGCGATTCGGTCAGCATTTTTGCCAACTCTAACGCTGTACGGAGTGGAAAAAGAAACAGGGAAGCGTATTGTCGCTCGGTTTTGTCAACAGGTTGCTTGTTTGGAACATGAATGTTTCGTTTTGCGGCAGATATACAGTCGCGAATCTGGCTCCAACTATGCAATTGCACCCGTCTTTAGGCTCTTGTGCGAGTCCACCCTAGGTGTTCTAATTTACGATGAACCCGGGGAAAATCTACTGACAAAATGGTACGAAGTTCCGAAAGGACCGACCATTTTACAGTTTTTTGACTTTGCCTTCGCGGCATGTAAAACACTTGACTTTATTCACAAACACGGTTTTGTCCACGGAGAGATCCGTCAGGACACGTTCCATTTATCACAGAATGGTTCTTACAACGCAAAATTACTTGGCTTTGGAAGCAGTTTGGTCTCGGTACATTTCAGCATTCAATGTCTCGATTGGCAAAAGTTCCGTCGAGTAGAAAACATTCGTCAGAAATTGCAGTTCTTGACACCTGAGCAAGCTAGTGAGTCTGGAGATCCACTGACCGCTCGCAATGACATATACTGTCTAGGCGTTTTGTTCTACATATTTTTATCTCGCTGTTATCCTTGGAGTGGCTCTCCAATGCGCATTATCCAGTGCATTCTTTCAAAGCCGTTTCCTTCTGTAATAACAAAGCGACCTGAAATTCCCTTTCAGGTCGATTTATTAATTCAGAAGATGACGTGCAAGTCTGAAGATGAACGATTTGCTTCTGCCGCCGAGGTCTACGATGCGTTACTGAAAGTTCAGCGCAGCATACTAGAGGCCCAATCTCGTCGCTCGTTCTATGCGGCAATTCGTTTTGAGTCGTTGATGTACCGTTTCTTTCCAAAACCGTTCCGGCTCTCTAATACCTTATACGGACACCGTTCCGAGTATGCTACGTTGATCGAGTTGGTCACTGCGTATTCACTGCGACAAACAACTACAATTAACGCCTCGAGGTCGAAACGCGACTTACTTACGCGGTCAACGAAGTATCGAACACCTTCAACAGACGCTTTGTATTCTCAGGTGGTTACGGTGACCGGTGGAAAGGGTTCGGGAAAATCATACCTTTTGCAATCTGTTAGTATTGAGTGTCGAAAACTTGGCTACTTCTTTATGACAAGTTATAAACCGACAACAAGTACTCCTTGGGAAACGTTGTGTGCTTGCATGTCATCCATCATACGTCAAATTTTGTGTGAGATTGATAGCATAGTTCGCGAGTACTTCACTTTTCTGTGGGATCAAGTTGGCTATGAGCTACTTCATCTCAAAGAGTTTTTTGATATGATTCCGGAACTGTCTTACGTTCTTGATCCAAAGTATAATATGCACATTACAGAACATCAATTACCGAATGTTCATAGTCGCGACATATCTGATTTTGGTCAATGTAGTGGCAGGATGTCAACAGTAACAATCGTCTCGGAGATCTTTCGTTCTTTCACTTACTTTCGCCCTACAATCATTATATTTGACGATGTTCACTATGCTTCCTTTTCGTCGCTTGCAATCATGAAAACTCTAATCTCGACGAAGATTCCGTCTTTTTTTGTTTTCTCTTGGAACCCTACAAAGTTTTCGAAAGCAAAACAGAAGTTTTATATAACGAAATGTCCTTTTTCAATGCTTACTAGCATCAACGTTTCAAACTTTAGCAAAGATGCGATCTTCTCTTATGTCAAAGATACTCTACAGCGTCCTCCTCAAGTTTTAGAACCATTGGTTACCTTGTTATTAGAGAAAACAAATGGAAGCCCAATTTTAATATCACTTATGCTTCGATGTTTGTATCATGCCAACTATTTCGTTTTGGATGGTGATACAACATCTTGGGTTTATGATATCAACAAGGTTACACGCTTTTTGAATAAGATTGGCACGTATTCACTTACAAAGCTAAACATGATGGAGCTTCATCAATACATGTCAAGTAAGCCTTTGAATCTTTTACTTTGGGCAAGTGTTTTGGCCCAGCCGTTTTCATATACTGTGCTAGAAAAACTGACAAAACCATTGGGTGTATTCATACCTGCAGAAGTGATGCTTATGGAGGCCAAAAATGTCCTTGTGCATGTTTCTGATGATTATTATGGCTTTCTTCATAATGAACAGCATCATGTACTCTACGGTCAAATCAGTGAGACCGAGAAGAAAAAGATGCACAGTTACATCGCTGAGCAACTTGTTGTCCATAGGATTGTCCCAGATGATCGTTCTTCAGCCGTTACTTATATTTTACGAGCTGAAGCAGATATTAAGTTGTCACCAAACGCACATCTTTACGTCGATTACCTCCTGAACGTTGCCGAAATGGTTATAAGGATTGGTTCCAATGAATTTGCTTGTGAAATATTACGGGCCGCATTGTTTATTCTGCCAGAGGATCCTTGGAATAACGAGAGGTATGACAATTTAACCGTATTAAGGCTCTACCTGCTCGCTGCATATTGCAATTGGTTTATTGGAGATGATGATGAAGCAAAACTGTTGCTTAATAGCATCTTGGCAAATGTTAATGACTTTTCTCTGACTTTCCCGGTGTACGAACTTTATTTAAAGCTTGCAATGACAAGTGGTGACAGTGTAACAGCTTTATCGATAGCAATGATTGGGCTGTCTTACAGCGAAATGCCAGATCTTACTGCAGAGATTCTTGAAACCCGTGTGGACGAACTTTTTGATGAAGTCGCAGATTATGTTTTGCAACATGATTTGGACAATTTTACGAAACCCGAACCGAATGATGCCTCTTACAAAGCTTTTATATCACTGCTTTGTCTGCTGGCTCCCTTAACTTATAATATCTCCCAACGTTTGCATTATTATCTTGGCTTTCAGATTGTTAAAGAATTCATTAAAACTCAAAGTCGGAATCTTAGGTCCTCTTTGGTTTTTGTTGCATGCTATTCAATATTAAAGGGAAAGCGACCTCAGGTACTGGATAAAGTCATGAACCTTCTACATCCTGATGAATTTCGACTGGCACCGTCGAACATGGAAACGCATGTGTTTCTTCTTTACAACGCATTGCCTAATAGAATGGACGATTACTCAGCAACAGGAAACTTTATGCGCCGTCTAGATGACTGTATGCTGAAGGGGAATGGTTTGTACTCTGTATATTGTTTTGTCCGGCTATTTACAGCACGACTATTTAACGGTGAAAATGCACATCAATTATTGTCTGATCAAGAAAATGCGGAAAACTGGACTACCTTGTGGAATGTTCCGTCATGTTCTGAATACCTTCCTTTTTGTCGAAATGTCATAATGGCGCTCCTGGGCTTAACTGATAATGAAAATCCGAAAAGCCTATTGACGTTTGATGGTTATGATCAAAGTATATTTAATCTCTCAAGCAGAAATAAACCCACAGTTGAATATCTGTGGTGTTCACGTATTTTTCTTTGCTTGGCCTTCTTATATGGCCATTATGAAACTGTTGTTGAAGTTGGCTTGCAGTATCTTGCTGTTACTCACCGTAGGATACTTGATACTCACTTTGTCTCGACGCGATCTCTTATCGCTATATCCGTTCTGGAGTTACTGCGAACATTAGATCTAACTCCTGAAAAACGGAAATATTACTTAAATATAGTGCTGGAATTACAGGTGCAGATCAGCTTTTGGACGAAGAACTATCATATTCTTGGTGTTGTTTCGTGGATTCATATAATAAAAGCATTGTATCATGAATTTAATGATGACATTGAATTATCATGGTACGAAGTCGAGGAATCACTTGGCACTGTTGAAGTTATGTCATCTGTACTTGATCGCGCTATTGTTTTCTGTTGTGCTGGAAGGTTTTATTACACTCATCACAGTCCATTCTTAGGAAGAGCACATGTTTTAAGAGCATGTTCGTTATTTCGACAAATGGGGTATTTCGGAGTCGAAAAGCATTTAGCAAAACAATTTTTAGGATCCGAAACGTACCTTGGGAAAAGAACATTTCCTGTCGGTGTTCAGACGACGCAGGTTCAATACGAAAGTGGACCAAATCGCTTTTCTAGAAGAGGTTCACTAAAAATTGGTTATGACGCTGTGGTTCAAAGTTTTGATAAGGCACTCCCTTCTTCTGATGACCATGTTCTTGGAAGACAGTCAAATTCTTCCGGCTCATTATTAGACGAGGGCATGTTGAGCATGAAAAGTGAAAACCTTAATATTATGGCGTTAATGTCAGTTATTGAATGTGCCCAATCTCTGTCTGGCGAGCTACAGTTGCCTGCTTTGCTCAAGCAGGTAATTCGCTTTATCTGTGAAAACTCCGTTGTTACAAATGTTTCTGTAATTTGCTGCTGCAGCTCAACTTTTTCAGTGGTTGCAAGAGGAGACGAGAAAGAGCAAAAGGTTTACGAGCCTTATTTGCGAGTAGAGGACTCAGACGTTACGATTCCTCCACAGCTATTAGCTCGTGTGCTTCATGATTGCACAATAATGACCCTCTATGAGTCTAGTTGCTTAGAAGAGAGTGTAACAGAGCAATGGTTAAAGCAGAAAAAACGAACAGATTCTTTTACTTTAATCCCTTTATCCTGCAATCAGCAAGTTCTCGGCATACTTTTCTTAAGGCTTCCAAGACACACATTTCGGGGTGCAAACCAAACATTTCTTAAACTGTTGTCTCAACAAATTGCCATCAGTGTTTCAAATGCACTGTTATATCAAAAGTTGCGTAAAACAATTACGGACAATGTTACTTTAATTGAGATTCAGAAAAACTCGTATAAGAAATACAAGCAATTGGCAATACAGTATAAAACTATTCTTGATGCTGTCCCCTCAATTGTCTGGATGATGGATGACACCACTGGTGACATCGAATACATGAACATAAATGCCCAAAAGTTTCTTGGAGTATCTGGAGGGGACCATTCTTCAGTTTCAATGTTGAAGTTTATCCATCCTGACTATCAAGAAACATGGCGAGCACTTCTGCAATCACAAGATAAACTTCAGAAACAGGGTATTGAAGTTCCTTTTCTCAAGTGTACGGGTGGTTACTATTGGTATCTTTGTCGGGGTTTGCCCATGGAATCGGTCGTTCAAAACCAGAAGAAGTGGATTATCGTTTGTTTCGACATTACTGCTGAGAAGGAAGCACAAGACGCTGCGTTCCGCGCGATGAAATTAAAGGCCAATTTCTTGGCTAATATGTCACATGAGTTACGTACACCATTCTCTGGTTTCTACGGAATGCTTTCTTTACTGAGTGAAACAAAACTTGATGAGGAACAAAGAGATATTGTTTCTACAGCCAGACAGAGTTGTGATTCTTTGCTTCACATTATTAATGACCTACTCAATTTCAGTGAGCTTGAATCTGGAAAGATGAAAATTGAACCGGACAAGGTTTTCGATGTTGAGGAGAGTATCGCTGATTGTATTGAACTAGTTTATCCCACGACTTCACGGAAACATGTCCAAATTTCTTACGATATAATGCCAAACGTACCGTCACTACTTGCCGGTGACTGTGCAAAATTACGTCAAGTCATCACTAATTTGCTTGGTAATGCAGCAAAGTTTACCATGCACGGACATATTCTCCTTCGTTGTTCTATCCTACCTGAAGATGACACCAAGTATTCGTGCAAACTAAAGGTTGAGGTTGAGGATACCGGAATTGGACTTACCGAAGAGGAAATGAAACTTCTGTTTCAACCGTTTACACAAGTTGATGGAAGTACCACTAGAATTTATGGTGGTTCCGGATTAGGTTTGTCTATATGTAGACAAATCTGCAAAATTATGAACGGTGATATTGGGGTTGAATCTGCTGTTAATGAAGGTTCAACATTCTGGTTTTACGTTGAGCTTAGGAAAGTTACTGCTGAGTCAGCTCAGGAGCATCTTAACATAAAAACATCAATGTTCGAACGTCTTGTGAACTTGCTTCAAGATAAACGGGTCCTAATTCTTAGGTCATTTTACACTGCACGATCTATTTTTAATGCTATGTTTGCCAAGGCCTCTGTAAGTTATGTCAGCTGTACGAACGCATTTAAAGCAGAAGTTCTTGACGCAATAAACAAGAGTCGAGGATTTGACTTTTTGTGTTTTGAAATCCAAGGTAATGAATCTCTAGAACTATTGCAGACGATTCTTTCCGTTACCAAGGCAAATGAACTAATCATAATTGTCTTGCTTCCTTTGTCAAAATCTACAAAAGATGCTACTTTTCTGGAGCAATTCGACCGATTGTTACGACAAAACTCGAACAAACTTATAGCTTTGACAAAACCAGTCAGAATATCTAAACTCATAAAAAGTCTTTCAAAGCTGCTGTCTAGACCGCAACATTGTGAGAGTTTAAAGAACTGGAGGCCTCCCTCGTCTTCACATATCAATGTTGATTTGGGAAGACTCACAGAAGAGGAAACATCTGCCCTTCGCAAAGTTCGAGTATTGATTGCCGAGGACAATATTATTGCGCAAAAGCTTCTCAAGAAGCAGCTTAATGGCTTTGGATTGAGTGTCGACATTGCTAGTGATGGCCTTGAACTGATACAAATGTTTAAGGATAAGCCTTCTGGCTACTACAAATTGATATTTGCTGATCGCCATATGCCTAAATGTGATGGTGTAGAAGCAGTTAAGAATATACGACATTACGAAAAGGAGCACATGGACAATAGTCATATACCTATTGTTGCTCTTACCGCAGATATCCAAAAATCTGCTAGAGAAAAGTGTCTTCAGGCCGGCATGGATGTATATATAACAAAGCCATTTTTCAGAAACGAACTTATTGATGTTCTGAGAAAGTACATACTATAACGCTCGTTTTTTTTCAGTTTTGATGATGCATGATTCTGTATCATTCTGAAGTACCTTGACTTTCCGATAATTACTCTTGCCGTTTTTCCATAAACGGATTCCTGGTTTGTTTTTATGTTATTAACACTTTAATGTTATTCACGGTTTTTGATTTTAATTTTTTGTTTATAGTCAGTAATCTAGAAAAAAAGAGAACGAAATTATTAAGACAGCTCTACACTCGTTTGCACATCAAGCATTTTGGTTGTGTCTTCATTTATTATAAATCATGAACGGTATAGACTTTTGCCCCCCCATCTGTACAAGATATCTTTTACTACTAATTCTTAGCAGCCAAATCGACGCCAGTCTTAATGGTAGCAATGAGAGCACTAAGTTGTATTTTTTCAGAGCATCCGAAAGACATCCGATACTCAATCTTTGCGAGATTGTCTAGAATGAAAATTCTAGCATTTGCTGGAATCTGCAACTCGTCAATCGCTTCTGAGATGCATGCAATAATATCTTGCAATGCAAGACCTTTATCCTGTTTTAATTTTGTTATAGCTAGATGATGTTAGCACGTTTTGATGCTGAGCTCAGAAACGTCTTCTTAACGTACCGTTGCTAGCCGTAACGACTTCTTCGTTCATAATACTTTTCAAAAAGTAATCGATGTCAGCAGGATGAGGATGACCAACACAGTTGTATACAGCCGCTTCATCAACCACATCATATACAGCGTGACATGCTTGGAGGATGTTCAGTGCCTTTCTCATATCACCCTTTGAAAGACGAAGAAGTGCGGTCTTGCCTTCAGGAGAAATGGTACAGTTTTCCTTCTCAGCAACCTCGTCGACCTTCTTCTCAATTTCCGTAATTGGCAACGGCTGAAACCGAAACCGTGTACAGCGAGACTGGATAGCAGGTGCTATTTTGTTAATGTAGTTACAAATGATACAGAAGCGGACGTTTCTTGTATACTTCTCAATTACACGACGGAGCGCATTTTGTGCAGCCAGAGTCATTGCATCCGTCTCATCCAATATAATGAGTTTGAATGCCGAACTGAAAATTTGTTTTGTGCTAGCGAAACTCTTGATTTGTTCACGCACCACATCAATACCACGGTCATCACTAGCATTGAGTTCCATGACTTGGTTTCTGAAATTCGGTCCGTAGATACGATTTGCGCATGCTAAAATAGTTGAGGTTTTACCGGTTCCAGGAGGGCCGTAAAATAACATATGAGGAACTCGGTTCGTAGAAATGAATTTTTCCACTAAAACGAAAGGGGTTAGTATGTTAAAAAGCACGGATGACGGAACATAAACACATACAAGTAGCAATAATGTCTTTGTGTGCAACGACATCGTCTAAATTTTTTGGCCGGTATTTTTCAACCCTTACAGCAATTGGTTAGTCTATTGAAGAAATGAAAATGAATACGGGGACCGTTACAAAAAGTCTTGAGTGTTCACGATTGCTTGAATGCACGGTCACCGGTAACAATTGTGTTCATACCAAGGAAGAGTATCCTGAGTTTCTGGTTTCACGAAATCAGTAGCACGACCTTTTCCTTTATCCATTTTGAGAAGTTTATGTGGAGAAGAAGCAGAAGACTTGACTCGTTCGTCGTACTAAGACGCGTAAAAGAATCCGACACAGCAAACTCCTGTGATGAGCAAAATTGCGTGGCCGTCAATGAGAGAAACTCACCACCAACGATTTACTTGTGGAGGTTTCCCTCGCTTGGGTTTGCTAGAAGTACAGAATACCAGTAATGTGCGCGTAGTGTGCGGTGTGTGTAGAATTGTGTCGTGTTTTGTTTGTATTCCTAAACGACGATGACTGAAGATTGTTGAGATTAAGATATACAAAATAAGGACAAGTATCTTGTGTTTCATTAAGCGTAGTAACACAGTGCTTACGAGTTACAATAACTACAAAATGAACGAAGTGACGCAGTTCAGTGGAGACAGTGCTAATCTCGTTCTGTACTGGGTAATGAACACGTTTGGACAACGTTTTAAGCAATTGTTGTGGATCGACACACTGGGTACTTTTAATCCAACCATGCTTTCACAAGAAGTTCTTCAAAAAACGAACCTTATGCGTTGTTTTGATGCACATGGAGTCGAAGAATCATTGACGGAGGTTGAGAATATTCTGGAGGAACACAAAAACGGGTCAGACTTCAGCTGTGCACTTATAATCGACAGCTTTTCCATTCCACTTGGACTCTTAATGTCCAGAGGTTTAGTGACTCAGACGCATGCATTGATGATGCATTTGGGACGGAAAATGAGAATGCTCACACGGACGTACCCCGTTGCTGTATTTTTGTCTACAGCCAAAGTGTATATACCCGCGTTAAATCAACACAAGCCGGCACTTGGTGCGAGTTGGACGTACTGCCTCGACAACTCTTTCATGCTTGACGAGCAACCTGCTCATAGTCGTTGTACACTAGTGTGTCTTCATAGTCGAAGGCGTCTATCTGGCACCAAACAGCTGCTCCTTTGGATGAAGGGCACCTTTAGACACGAGCAACTTGCCATTGACTTTTTTGAAAGTAAGCCTATGAAATGAAACTAAATGAGCATAAGTAAAGAGTCATATCATCAGAAGTAAGAGTACACTTGTACACTCGTCCCGACTTACAGACCGGGATGAAGCATCTAATATAACTAAACTCAAACGAATAGAAGATGAAATTTAGCCCCGAAAAACTTGTTAAACAAACAAAAAGCAAGAAAATTTGCCGCTCAAAACAGACTACTCAAACACACAGCTACAAAACAACTATTCATAGTCTCAAAAGAATTTATTAGACGACGTTAATCAACTTACTTCTTTTGGGCCTTTTGGGCGGCCTTGGTGACCTTGGCTTGACCAGGGGCAACCTTCTCGACGGCCTTAATGACACCGACAGCGACAGTTTGACGCATGTCACGGACGGCGAAACGACCAAGGGGAGCGTAGTCAGTGAAAGCCTCAACACACATGGGCTTGGAGGGAACCATCTTGGCGATGCAAGCGTCACCGGACTTGACGAACTTGGGGTGGTCCTCAATCTTCTTACCGGAACGACGGTCGATCTTCTCAATGAGCTCCTCGAACTTGCAAGCAATGTGAGCAGTGTGGCAATCCAAAACGGGGGCGTAACCGGAAGAGATTTGACCAGGGTGGTTCAAGATAATAACTTGAGCAGTGAAGGAAGCACAACCCATGGGAGGGTCGTTCTTGGAGTCACCAGCAACGTTACCACGGCGGATATCCTTGACGGAAACGTTCTTGACGTTGAAACCAACGTTGTCACCGGGAACACCAGCCTCGAGAGACTCGTGGTGCATCTCGACGGACTTGACTTCAGTGGTGACACCGGAGGGAGCGAAGGTAACGATCATACCGGGCTTGATGACACCAGTCTCGACACGACCGACGGGAACTGTACCGATACCACCGATCTTGTAGACATCTTGAAGGGGAAGACGAAGGGGCTTGTCAGTGGGACGTGCAGGGGGCTCAATGGCATCAATGGCCTCCAACAAGGTCTTACCGGTGTAGGAACCGGACTTGGTCTCCTTGTTCCATCCCTTGTACCAGGGCATGTTGGTAGTGGGCTCAATCATGTTGTCACCTTGGAAACCAGAGATGGGGACGAAGGGAACGGTCTTGGGGTTGAAACCGACCTTCTTGATGAAGTTGGAAGTCTCCTTGACAATTTCCTCGAAACGGGCTTGGGACCAGCCAGTGGTGTCCATCTTGTTGACGGCAACAATAAGTTGCTTGACACCCAAAGTGTAAGCCAAAAGGGCGTGCTCACGGGTTTGACCGTCCTTGGAGATACCAGCCTCGAACTCACCAGTACCACCACCAATAATAAGGATGGCACAGTCAGCTTGGGAAGTACCAGTAATCATGTTCTTGATGAAATCACGGTGACCGGGGGCATCAATAACAGTGACATTGTACTTGGGGGTCTCGAACTTCCAGAGAGCAATATCAATAGTGATACCACGCTCACGCTCAGCCTTAAGCTTGTCCAAAACCCAGGCGTACTTGAAGGAACCCTTACCGAGCTCGGCAGCCTCCTTCTCGAACTTCTCGATGGTACGCTTGTCGATACCACCGCACTTGTAAATCAAGTGACCGGTAGTGGTAGACTTACCGGAATCGACGTGACCGATGACGACGACGTTAATATGACCCTTTTCCTTTCCCATGTTGACTAGTCCTTGGTGTGATGCTTGGTAGACGATAAATCAGGACGGATGGCCACCCGTACAAATAGAGTTCTGTGACTGTCTTTTTTTGAGCTTGGCTGCTTCTGATTGGTCAGTGAGACTAATGATCCCATTGGTTGAGGCGGTGCAACGCGACGCGTTTTGCATTTAGAAATTCGGAAACGTTAGACGCGTCGCGTTTTTCTTGTGCGAGCAGTAGCGCAAGCTAAGCAATATTGTACAGACATCGGTTTTTACAACAATTATTAACTGGATACGCGTCATATATCAAGGGAATTATTGTGATCTCTTAGTATCTGTGTTATTGTAATTTTCTTTTGTTTTTTTTTCCTTATTTCGAATTATTTTCATTTAATTCTTATTCTTTTAGAACACGGACTTATTTCGAATTACTAAAGAAAATGCCTCCTAAAATCTTAGAACAGGTTCGTAATGGTGCTACGGATGCTTTCTCTCATATGCCTGACTTCAGTTTCAACGCTGAGGCTGCAAAGGAATTGTCGGGACATTTAGAGAAGCTGGGTTCAGACGATGGTCCAGTCCAATTCCCGCTCGCATTTGAATCTGTAGAGGAAAAAGTAAACTTTCTTGCAATTTACGCTCTTTTAAGTTTTGGTTCTGGTTTCAGAAAGGAATTACATGAATTGTATGTTGTCACTAATTAATCTCAGACATTGATTTTTCATTACTAACATATGCGAAAGCGCTCAGCGAGGTGCTCAGGACACGACTTTATTTCTCGCGATGACCATGTATATGACGAAGAAACCGGGACTGTTGGATGCGGACTTCTTATCAAATGTCACTGTCAGTGACATTGCCGAATGGGCCGGCGTTCCCCTACGCATTGAGAAACCTTGTGAAGGCTTGTCGTCTTCCGCTATTACTGAGTTGGTAGACAGCGACTTAAAGCCATGGGTAGAGAACATGGCACACGTCCTTGTGGAGACAGGCACCATACTAAAACAACTCGACTGTCAGTCACTGGGAGCGTTCTGTCTTGAGTACGCAAACCCAAATGACTCCAACGAGCTTGTAGAGCGTCTGTGTATGTGTTTTCCTGCCTTCCAAGATGTTGGCCGCTTGGATGGTCAACTTGTGTATATACTGAAGAAGGCCATGCTCGCTGTGTACATGCTACATAACGCGTACCCGGACAGGTTTTCGTGTGAAGGGTTAAGTGTGTTTGCTGACAACGTCTTGCCTAGCATTCTTGTTTATTTTCATGTACTCGAGATTCCTGAATCCCTTCGATCAAAGCTTGAGAATCTTCAACCGCTCACTGACAAGGAGGCACTACAGCTTCGAACTGCCACAGTTCACATCTGCAATTTAATTGCCAATGAAACAAACATCTCTCCCGTGAAAATTGATCAGCGTCTGTGGAAATACTCAAAGTCAAATCCAGAATTGCGTAAATTGCCGAGATTTCTTAAAAAGGATACGGTGATGTTTTAGGTTCTCAGTGATGTTACACAAAGAAATTATTAACTATCAACCAACCACTTCACTAGACTTATTAGTGCCATCGTCACTTATTTACTACCTAACATTTCGTTGTTAAGCCCTCGGTCCGAACGAGCAATTCAACCCACCAAGTCACTTCCATTTCAACTCGCAGAAGACCGAACGACCAAAATTGAAGCACATCTAGAACGGATAGCACTTTCAAACACATTAGTATTTATTATTAAGCGACAATTTTGCTTCTCAATTCATTTTTGGTACTTTTCTTGTTTCATGAAGTTCAACTAGCAACATGCCATCCCATCTTCAAACGGAACGAATCCACTTTAAGACACAGTCCACCTTGGACTTCCATGCGTTGACCGTAAGCATTGCGGCAACGTCCATGAAGAATGAACTCGACAAACTGGTTGGTACTGTTGAACCATGCAAACGAAAAAACTTCCAATATCAAATGGATTCCTTCTTTGGTCTTTATCGTCGCTACCTAATGGACAATGTGAAGGGCTCAGAACTCAATTGGAACCACGTACAGCCTTTGGATGCGCAGAGTCTTCCTCAGCACAGCGATTTCCCAGATGTACCAAATCCGCGGGATGTAATCAATAAACTGGCTGTTCTGAAATTGAACGGTAGTGTAGGAACAGAATTTGGTTTGGAAATTCCCAAAAGCATGATTGAGGTTCGTGACGGTCAGACCTTTCTCGATTTATGTGTACGACAGATTGAGCATCTGAACCGTACCTACAACGTTTCTGTACCAATTATATTGATGAATTCTTTCGCAACTGATTCCGAAACAGTGCAATACATCAAAAAGTACCGTGGACATAGCATCGACCTGTCGACTTTTGAGCAGTCTCGGTATCCCAAGGTCTTCAGAGATACAAAGGTCCCAGTACCCACTTCAAGCACATCTTCTCAGAAAGAGTGGTACCCTCCCGGTCATGGTGATATATTTGATTCTCTTATTCATTCGGGAATGCTTGACCGTTTGTTGGCCAAGGGAAAGGAATATTTATTTGTGAGTAATATTGACAATCTGGGGGCTAGCGTTGATCCTCAAATTCTCTATCACTTAATACAGACACAGGCAGAATATGTTATGGAGCTTACGGAGAAAACCAAGGCGGATATTCGTGGAGGAACATTAATCCATTACGAGGGAAACGTCCGGTTACTAGAATTTGGTCAGGTCCCGTCACAGCACATTGAGGAGTTTAAGTCGGATAAGAAGTTCAAGCATTTTAATACCAACAATATCTGGCTCTATCTGCCAGCTGTGAAACGCGTTGTTAGCAAACGGGAACTGAACATGGAAATTATTCCCCGATTGGACACTATTGAGGTGGATGGTGAACAGGCAGAAACGCTTCAGCTGGAAACTGCTATCGGTGCTGCGATTCAGAATTTTAAGAAAGCCCATGGAATAAGTGTTCCGCGAAGCAGATTTTTGCCCGTGAAATCCAGTTCCGACTTGCTAATTATTCGTTCCGATTTATTTCACGAAGATCATGGACTGTTTGTGTTGGATAGTCGTCGTTATGGCATGTCAACTCCTGTCGTCCGGTTGGGTTCTCACTTTCAATCCCTTTCTGATATGCAGAAGCATATACCATTTATCCCTAAACTTTTAGAATTAGACCACCTTACTGTCGCTGGAAACGTGAAACTTGGGAGAAATGTTACATGCAAGGGAACGGTCATTATCGTTTGCACTGATGGAGAAATAACTATTCCCCCTAATGCTGTCTTAAAGAACTGCGTTGTTACCGGCTCATGCAGCATTTCCGAACATTAAATGATTTTCCGCGGCATGTAGCATTTCACTTTTCAAACTTCACCCTTCTCCCATTACGCTAAATCAAATTTTTTATGACTTCCCTGATCTCTCGATAATCACACACACACGAACTGGTACGGATACTCTCTCTATGCAACATTCCCAACCGCTCAGAACTACCGTAAATCAAATATAGAATAAAACGAAATCGGCTAAAATTATATTTTCTGTTATTCATTCTCAAAAAGTGCATCAGGTGCGAGCAATTGTTAGGTCAAACAAAGAGTCAGGAACCGCAGATTCCTATTGTCTACGATGCTTTGTTTCATGCACCCAAACAATATGAACGTATCACCTGTAAACGCACATGAAAGTATTCAATGACCAAATCGCTGACTATATCCAATGGGATATATTTTCAAAGAAGTAGATCAGTCATATGAGAGTTAGAAGGAGGTGCATTGGACTGAGTACTCGTGTTGATTACTGGTGTGCTGGGCGTCTTCGCGTTATTGTTTATGGGGTTAGACTTTTTGGCAGAAGACCATAAGTTACTAAAGGCATCCACAGAACTAGAGGTCTTCGTTGTCGTAGCTGGCTTCGAGTTGAACGTCGTGGTTGTCATTGTGTTAGCAGAAGGGGAAGTGAATGTCGCGGAAAGCAAATTCATTGCGGGTGTTTGTGCTGTGGAAGATGGTTGGGAAAATGCAGGCATAGTTGTGGAAAATGAGGATGCAGGTTGCGTGTTAGCAATGGGAGCGCTTTGGAAATCGTCGAACTCATCCTCGTCCGCAGCCGCAACAGTAGAGCTCTGAAATTCACCAAATCCATCGTCATCGAAAGCATCAGCCGTGTTCGTCGTTGTGGTAGCCGACTTAAAAGGTGCGAACGAGTTCACGGTTGGCGTGTCGTCCAAACTAACAAGATCGATCATAGCTGATTGAGGCGCCTGGGCCGGAGTGGATTTCGTCGAGCTAGATGTTTCCGTTGACCGTTTATTGGGAGCCGAAGCATATCTTCTGGCGATAGACGTATGACGACTATGCTGTCTAGACTTGGCACGAGAAGGAGCAGGTGTTTCATCCTCGCTGTATTCAGAACGTGCATCATCGACAGTGTCATGGTATGTAGATCCACTCTCAGAAAATCCACCGCCGTCACCGTAAATGCGCGACGTACCGCTGCTACCGAAACTCGAAGAACCAAAGCCCATCATACGAGTGCGACTAGAATGACGACCATGGATGCTAGGAACAAACGTTTCGCCGTGGTTACTGACCCCAATGAATTTGTCCTTGTTGAGACGAGCCTTCTTACGTTCCTTGCGCAAACGATCGTTGTCGTTCAACAACTCAATGACCTCCTTGGCACGATTACGCACGTTCAGACCTTGATCCTGTTGCTTGTGATCAATGTAATGGAAGTTTCGAAGCATTTTTATAGTTGCAATGTGAGCACGAGCGTCATCGATGACTCGTTCAGAACCATGTTTGATCAGATACTCAAGCAGCTGCAATGCTTTGTAGATCTGACGCCATTCCTCAGCAGTTTTTTCGGTGAAACGTCGGTAAATCATGCCCATAATTTCATTAAGTTGAGTGCTGAAAAAGACAGTTAGCAATAGTGCAAAACGGTAAGAGTCTAAGGCAAAATTGGTGCCGTCCTGTAACGCAGATACAACACGATCATCACGCCGTTCGTACACATACTAATTAAAGGTTCCTTGGGCAATGGTTTGCATTAACGAAGAGCTGGCACCCCAGGGCTCATTGTTTGTTCTGTAAAACACATTAGGATCGATGTTTCAAGCAATTGTAAGAGGTCCAAGGCAACATACGCTTCACGGACTTTAGCCTCCATAGAGGTATAGTTCATGACGACTGTCAGAGATTCGGTTAACGGACTATTCCAAACGGTACAGAAAACTCATTGAGTCATTTTCCTTCAGCAAAGCACATACTATTCTGCGCCTTTCGGACGGCAGCCTTAATATCATATAACTAAATCGTTAACATTCTGGTCAAAGCCATCAAAACAAGCAGCCAACGCAGCTGGAGCCCGCGAACAGTGCACTCGTCCAACCGCACGGTTTTGATTAGATAAATTCATACATTTAGGCTTTTAAAGGTCGACTGTAGCTCCTCCATGGTGCGTACGGCAATGATCGTAGAGGGAAGTTGTTTCTCTACAGCTGGGTGTGGATATGGCGGGCGGTACGGTGATGGACGGTATTGTAATGAGCGAACACCCGAAACAAAATTATCTAAGCGAGATGCTTATTTCATTTAGAGGACGCTGATCCCCTCTCCGTAGTACATTTGTAATGGGATGAAGTACGCAGTGTCTATTTCTGTGTGTATCAAATTCATTATTGCGAAGATGAATAAGTATGCTCTAAACAACCTATGAAGCATGAATTGTCTTATTGACATAGTTTTGAGATCGCCTCCCGATAGAATAGCGAAGTCCGTGTAAAACTCGCTACGGTCTTTTTTCTGTCCGGTACTTCAGCGAGAGTTTACGAAAATACCGCAAATGCAAATGACGAGAGGCTTGTGTACGCGAGAGGAAAAGCCTACTCGTAGCGAGGGTTCCACTCCAAGGCAGCTACTTCCTCGTAGCTTTTAGGAACTGCAACTGTGTTGGCACCTTGTTCCTCAGCCTTGCGCAGCACAGCCAGGATAATGTGACGAGAAATGTCACGAATGTTGGTGATATCAGGCAGAAGAGACTGCGAAGGGTCTTTCAGTGCTGGTGATGTGTGAGCCAAGGCATCGGCAGCAGCCTTAATCATCTCGTCCGTCAGCACTTGACAACGACTCAAGATACAAGCGACTCCGAGAGCAGGGTAGAGCAAAGCATTGTTGCACTGGGCAACAGGGCACAGCTTGCCGTCTCTTTCAATCGCAGGGAAAGGAGAGCCAGTGGCAATGAGAGCACGGCCCTCGGTCCATTCGTTAATTTGAGCAGGGCGAGCCTCAACCAAGCTAGTAGGGTTGGAGATTGGGAAGATTACGGGACGATCGGTGTGCTTGGCCATTTCCCGAATGGCACCTTCAGTGAACTTTCCAGGTTGTCCAGAACAACCGATGAGAATGTTGGGCTTAATGCGAGAAATAGCAGCCTCCAAACCAATTCCCTCGCCGGTGACATCCAAATCGGCAAACTCACTGTCAGGCTTCAAATAACGCTTTTGTCCCTCGGTGGCCACATCACGATGCTTTTCAAGAAGCAAACCGTAACGGTCGATGAGGAAAATGCGGTCGTAGGCTTCTTGTTGGCTCAAACCGTCGATCATCATTGCGTTCATCATTTGATCTGCAATGCCAATACCGGCCGTGCCAGCACCGAAAATAATAAAGCGTTGGTCATGCAAGTCTTCCTTACGGATGTGAAGAGTTGAAACGACTGCGGCAAGAGCGACAGCACCAGTTCCTTGAATATCATCGTTGAAGCAAGCGATGCGCTTACGGTACTTGTCCAGGATACGCTTTGCGTTCACGAGACCGAAATCCTCAAAGTGGACGAAGGCGTGGGGAAACACCTCCTTGATGCAAGACAAAACGGTGTCGACGTAGTCATCGTACTCTTGACCGCGAACACGGTCGCGGCGGAGTCCCATGTAAAGAGGGTTAGAACGATGTTTTTTGTTGTTCGTGCCGACGTCCAACACGATAGGCAAAAGCTTGTGAGGGTTCAAACCAGCGCACAAGGTCATCAAGTTTCCCTTGGCCACAGAAATCAACACACCGCCGACTCCTTGGTCGCCGATGCCAAGGATTCCCTCAGAGTCTGTAATGATGATGTACTCAATGTCGTCGCCTTGTCCAAATTGGGACAGGATCTTGCGGATCAATTCAGGATCCTTGTGTTCAATGTCCAAGAAGCAGCCTTCGGGGCGACGGAAAATGTTTGAGTAGTTGGCGATGGCGTCACCTTGTGTAGGCGTGTACACGATGGGCAACATCTCGAAAAGATGTTGACTCACCAAGCCGAAGTACAGAACTATATTTTCCGTGCGCAGAGAAGCAAGGAAGATGTTTTTCGCAAGAGGATTGTCACCGATGGCGCTGTACTCGCCGTAAACACGGTCGACCTGTTGCTGCAAGCTCTCTACGACAGGAGGCAGCAAACCTTCGAGGCCATATTCTTCACGCTCTTTCTCAGTGAAAGCAGTGCCTTTGTTGTAACGAGGACTGTTTAATAACTCAGTTCCTCTAAATCCATTAATACTTTTAGAAGCCATTTTTCATCTGTACGTCGCTGGTGTACGCGCTTGGTAGAGTGCTTAAAGTAGCAGCCGAGCGAGTACATTTTCCCAGCCCCGCTCATGCTATCCGCGGACAAAAGAATTGTACTTTGCCATTAAGTGATCGTGATTTGACTCTTGTTCTAGGCCACGTCTTTCATGTCGAAACCCCTCTTAATGGGATTCAGGTGTAGAATGTAGAAAGCATCTGTAACGAGTAAGAATTCGCGTTATAGTCGGTTTCACGAGCTCATCGCGTCAATGAAACCATAAGCCACCTGGATAAGCGAGACTTTCATGTAATTTAAAGGACCAGAGCTCAAGCGTCCCCTTCAGCAGGTTTTAAACCAATTCACTCGATTGTAAACACCAGGACCCGAAAAAAGCCGTATCAGACACACCTGTTGCTTCATAGCATCCACAAACGAAGCCATACCCTTTGTATCTAACCTAAATTATGCGTAGAAGAAACTACGTCGTATAGTACTTGGAATTTCGTCCTCTAATAACCGTTTAATTCAGTGTAATTAGCCTTTCAGCTGTTTCCTAACCAGGTACATGTTGGGAAAGGATAAGCTTGTTCTATAGGAGCACAGTATTTACTCCAAGGAGTCTTAACCCCTTCTCTGCTCGATTTCATCATGACGTCAGTAACGTACCCCTAGCTTACACCGAGAGCGACCCTTGGCGCGGATACAGCAAGCATATATACGAGAGTAGAAGTTTTTAGTTTCTTTTAATGCATATGTCTCATATAAAAGTTTGCTTAATTGTATAACGTTTGCAGGAAAACTTTTCTGTGTAGGTTGTGCATTTCTATTGGATGTAACCTTAAAAGCCACTTTCGGTACTCCTTTATAACTTAATGCCGTATAGTACTCAACATGGCAGACTTACCCTCTACGAACATCATTCCTGAACAGGGAGAGGTACGAAAGCATTGCACTAGAAAAAGAATGTTCTGGTGGATACTAACCGTCTAGTGTCTCTCAAAACCGTCTGTTTTACGTTGGAAATTGATTTCCAATACAGTTGCTAAACCCGTGCAAGTTTTTGCCAGTAATCGTCCTAAAACAACGACACAACTTCATATAGAGTACCCTCTGTTCAGTTTTGTTTCTAAATCGCGAACTCTTTCATCAAATAGCACGAAAAGAGCCCGTCGACATTAAATTGCCACTCCGTACACAGGACACCCTAGCTTGTGTGTTCGTGCGTTGTATTATTCTATATAACTATTTGTGTGTTTTCCCTAGTCTGCCCTAGACCCAGGAATTCCTATTCCATGCCTCAGCGGTTGTTCATTGTTGGCTGTTAAAACAAAAAGTTTACTATGTCAAGCTCAGAATATCATATTTATCCCACCGAACAGGTCCAGTCGAGTTCGTATGCAGGCATACAGGACATTTTAGAACTGGAAGAACTGATTCAAACTCCAGTTTCGACTACTTATGACGACGCCCCAGATGGCGACGAAGTCGTCTTACAGAGTGAGAAAGAAAAGGCAGATGCCTATCCGCTGAAGCCGGCAGGGTCCCTGTTGGCTCAGGGACTGATGTCACTGCGCTCCTTCATGAATCCCGATCGCCTTCAAGCCGAATCATTTCTGTCGAACAGCGTTTCTCGAAACTTGCTTCTTCAAGTCCTTCCTGTTGCGGTCGTGCTCGTCTGGTGCTCTGTTCCTCTTCCACTCTATCAACAACCAGTCGGCACTTATCGTATCCAGTTTTGGTTTTTTCTTCTTTTTTATTATGGTATTTATAATGCGGTAGGGTTGCTGTGGATCACGAAAATCTTTCGTCTTTACTCTGTGAGTTGGTGGCCCAGCCAATTAAGCGCTATCGCAAGTTATTTATTGTTCTGGATTGCCAGTCTTTTGTTGGGCAGTCTGGCCGTCTATTTTTCCTCAATGAGTCAGGTTACGTTCACATGGATCCTGCTGATGTTCATGTCCATGATTGTCCCTATCGGCTTATCGTTTACGAAGCTGTGGAAAAAACATACTCGTCAAACCACACAGCTTTTGGCCCAGTTGTCTCTGCTTGACCCCAATGTGCGTGACAACGCAATTTTCGAAACTGTTGGCTGGCGTGATGCTTATGCTCATTATTCCTGGTTCATTGTGGTAATCTGTATATCGTTGTTGGTGTATCTCGCTGGCGAGTACCTTACAAATGTCTACCACTCGACTCTGCCGCATTCCTCCACTGTCGCTGTCGCCTATGTCTATTCATGGACCTTGACTGTGTCGTCTTGCAACCTCATTACATCTTGGATTTTGAACACAAAGTCGCACTCGTATGCGCTTGTCAGCGTGTTCAAACTGTACTTTGAGTTGACTTTACAAGTGTATGTTCGTAACATGTATGCTCGTTTAGAGTCACCTCAGCAATTTGTTATGGTGCAGGCAACTTCAAGTTTTGTCATGATGAACATAATGCCGCTGGTTTTTATGTCCAAGACAGCCTACAGGCTGAATGTTGCTCTTACGAAGACAACAGACACGTATCCAATGTACCGTAAGAACATGGGAAGAAATTTTTATGTAAAGTGCCTTGCAGCGAATATTAGCCTTATGGCATTCTTAGGCTGGTCCTTGATCCTTCATTTTGGCCCCAACTCGCCTGTTTATCCCTACTTTTCGTTCCCTGCTAACGAGCCATACCGGTTTAACTTGACTTTCTTTGCATCGCTCGCAGTGTGGCTACATGAGAATGTTGCTGCGATGATTACGCGTTGGTTGATGCGTCGGATGTTCCATTTTGAAACAACGCTGGAAGCTATCAAAGATTTTATTGAGTATCCTGACCTTATAATGGCAATGGTTGCCGTTTCCGTGCACGTACTTCAAAATGTCCTTTTCAGCATTGTCCATCTCAAGTTTTAGGGAGACGGCAGTGCCTAATTTCTTTTTTGTTGTATATTTTGGCTTTTGACTCCGTTTCGGTTATGGGTTTTCATTCCGCCTTACCTTCTTCCGACTTGCGTTTTCGTTGAGTTTCATAATCGGACACATGGTCCTCATTTCCGTCGACATTCAAAGCAAACAAATGGCATTTGTTGAGTTTCTATGACACATATAAACATAATTGCTCTATTTCAGTCACTATGTCACTATGGTCAAGATTCTGTTCTGTTTCGTAGAAGCGCTAATTCACCGGGACGATACTTAAATTTCAGCACAAGGACGCGTTCGCGTTGCCCAGAGCATCATAGACACACTCAAGTGTTCTAAGTACCTTAGTCCTCGTTGTTTCGCCGCATTTGTGGTGGAGTGGGACTTTCTCTGGGGGCGTGAATTTCGGTGTCCACAAAAGTTATCCTCCCCACATACATAATTTTTGTCAGATTTTGTAAATAATGTCTCAGTATTACGAACTTTACAGAAGGAGCAGGTACGTTCGTAAATGTTTATTGAAGTATGATATCTAACGGCTGGTTTAGCATTGGGTATGGGCTTTCCCAAAGTATGAAAAAAAAACACCTCACTCATTGCCACCAATAAAGGGATTGATGCGCAGCATTCAAGTGTAGCGATTTTTATTTCATGCTTTGTGGCTCTCAGGAGTACATTAATGCTTACCTAATGATAGTATTTCTCTTACTGATGCTTTGGATGACTTAATTTCTCAGGGAAAGATTTCACCACAACTGGCTATGAAAGTCTTGTTTAATGTACGGATTTACGCTGTTTACACTAACTAATGGGTGTTTAGTTCGACAAAAGCATGACAGAGGCTTTGTCAGAAAAAGTCAAGGCTCGTTTAACGTTCAAGGGACATCTCGACACATACCGTTTCTGTGACGAAGTCTGGACGTTTATTATCAAGAACCCGAGCTTCCGCTTTGACAACGAAACGGTCGCAAGTAACAAGATCCGAATTGTCGCCTGTGCCACCAGGGACAATAGCGGTAATCGTTAGCCGCCATGCCTCGTGGATCGGCCCGTTAGATTTTCAATGGTTAGTAATGAAGTTTTCGCTTATGCCCAATTTAGAAAGATTCACGAGAATGCAGATACTCCGACTGACGTACCCCTACAACTATCGCATTGCACGTGGTTTACCATTCATGTCAACCATTGTAAATTATTAACAATGAAGAATCTGTCTGAAGCTTCCACAAAGCGCTCAGCAGATCATATTATAACTATCTACAAATAAAATGTCACGAAATGCCGGGATAAACACGAATGCAAACTCAAAAAATGCAAAAGCCGTAGTGGGTTATTTGCTGACAAATGATGCTAAACTCCACATGTCGTTTCAACGATGTGTGCTGCCTTTTGATAAACAGTACGACTAAAACAAAAGGTGCTTAGGCAATGACAACGGCAGCAGCAACCAAGAGAGCGGTGTAAGCAAAGGACTTGATGTCCAAGCCAGAGGCACCGCTACCTTGAGAAGAAGAGATGATGGTGACGTTGTGAGTACCGTTGGTGCGGTTAGCAGCACCAGTGGTAGAGGTAGCAAAGGTAGAAGAGGTGTGAGTACCGTTCACGAGAGCACCGGCGACAGAGCTAGTAGGGGCAGCGCTGGAGGAGCTCTTGGTGGAAGAGCTCTTAGTGGTGCTGCTGCTGCTGCCTTCAGAAGAAGAGCTGCTGGAGCTGTCGGAAGCGCTGCTGGAGCTAGCAGAAGAGGACTCAGAGCTGGAAGCAGAGGAAGTGGTGGTGGCAGAGACGCTGCTGGAGCTGGAGTCAGAGCTAGAAGAAGAAGAGCTGGTGGTAGAAGCCTCGGAAGAAGAGTCGGTGCTAGAAGCAGAAGAGGTGGTAGAAGACTCAGTGCTGGAGGCAGAGCTGGAGCTGGAAACAGCCTCACCTTGGACGATGTTGAATTGTTGGGATTGAGCATAGATCTCAGAAGAAGACTTGGGGTTACCCAAGTTGATTTGGTAGTCGCTACCAGTGGGGAAGTCAGTGGTGTCAACGGTGTAAGAACCGTCGTCAGTGCTCACAGTAGCCAAGAGCTTGCTGTAGGTAGGGTAAGTAGCAAAGTTAACCAAGTAAAGACCAGCAGTGTCCTTGTCAGTAGAGACCTTGGACCAGGAAACAGTCTCCTTGGTGTTGGTCTTCCACTCGTCGCTCTGGGCGGGGGAAGTGATGGAGAGAGCCATAGCAGTAGCCAAGAAGGCGAAGAAGGAAAGCTTGTTCATAAGCATGATGAATAAATGTCCGATATGTTAAAGATGAAGAAATATGTAATGCAACCGGAGGATGCTATAAAGTAAAGTCTGTGAACGTAAAGGACTGAAAACACCTAAAACACAGTGACAACTGGCAAAGGATGAATGTGTGTTGTGTAGCAGCAGGGTGGTTGATGGAGGCTTATATAGTTTTTCGGGCCTACCCAACACGTACGTAGTTCCGTCGGATCGCATAACGGGTAATGTTTTAATGCATATGTAACAAACAGATAATTTCAAACAAAATGAATGTATTTTATTAATGTATATGCATTTCAAAATTCTCGATCATTTCCCTATTTCCCATACGCTTCTCGTCAACAACCTCGTTGTGAAGCTGGTTGACCCGCGTCGCCGGTTGCTGAGTTGCCAGCCATGTATCGATGGATCAGTCTAGCTCCTGCTCGCGGGTATCACACGTCACAAGTATGTCATACGTCCCCGCGCTAAAAAGGACATGTGAGAGTTGTAATTCGCTGTTACTGTAAACAAGGTTAAGGGGACACCAGCATGTTAATTGCGATCGCTAAGCCGCAACCCCCAACACCGACTCTCCTCCTCTTTCATGACGCAACTGGATACGAATTGCTTGCACAGATAAAAATCTGAAAATGAATTATTCGTAGTCTATGAACGACAATTGCCAGTATCGCACGTAATCTGCCCAAGTTGTTCATCAAGGCAATGAGCAGTCGGGGAAGCAGTATTGCCTTTTCGGCTCCTCGCAACGCAAGTTTGCCGGTTAGTGCATATCACCAGAGATCTTACGAAACTTCTTCCGAGAAAAGCGAAATCTTCGTTTCTATTTGACTATTTAGGTATCTGATGACATCATGCGCTCAGGGTTTGAAGTGCAGAAAGGAAATGACTGGCTCCAGATGTCGTTTCGAGAACAACATCGAAAGAGCTTAAACGCGACTTGTACAGCCTCGGCTTTTACACCCCGTGATTTTGAGTAACATGTTACTCATTTTGTCGGCTAACAAAATAACGCAAAAGTCCGTTTTGTGGGGCGGATTGTTACTAATACAGCAGTCTTATCGACGTATAACCTGACAAGGTAACAATGGCATGCCGAATAGTGTTAGTAAGCAACGTGTAGTGAAGGTTAGAGCGGATGAACTGGTTACGGGTCTTTAGGGTCGTGCGGTTACTTACGGTAGTAGTTGCATTTACATTAGCAATTGCATATTCGGCATTCACAGCCGCATTCTGGTAGTGTGTATGCAGTTTTAAAATTATCCTTCTTACTTCATTTTCGTCTCCTATTCGTCTTCTTTACGTGTTTAGCTTCGGTGATGCGAAATGAAAGCAGTATCGCTGCTATTGGGCTCCTGCCGCTGTGCGACCTAGAGCAAGACGCGTTTCGACCATGTTTAATTCACGAAATTAAGTTGCGATGTAAGCGAGAATTATCTCCGCAAAATGAGCTATATTAAGAAGTGCTTATTTTACGGCACATAGTCCTGCCGGTATGCATACTGTGACTATCGTGTCTGGGAGAGAGTCAACGCTATCAAGCTCTGAAGGGGTTTTAGTGTCATTTAGTACAGAGCTGTTTTGATTGATTGTTGTACTATATTGATCATCAAGTTGGTTATCTATTCATATAGTGAAACAAAGGCTAAAAAAGCGAAGTGAAAGAGAGAATAAAAAATAGAAAAATAAGGAAATTCATTTCCTATTCGTAGTCGTCTTTGCAATACCATCTTTATTGTCTCTTTTGTCTGAAGCCTTCCTCTGTTCATCGCGTACGCGATTAAGTGAAATGTATGTGTGACTGAAATGTAAACACCAAAAAAGAGCACTTTCAATAGAATTGCTCAAAACACAGAAATACTCGCGGTTTTGGGACTGGAAACGTCTCTACTTTCCAAGTCAACAGAATGGAGTTTCCAAATGATCCAGTGCTTTCGGCCGAAAAAGAAGCATTACTTAAAACATGTGCAATTGACGAGCAGGAAATGTTTTTCAAATGGGAGTCATGGTGCATCCAAACTGGACATGACGCAGATGTAAATCTTAAAAGTTTTCAGCAGTTTGCCGAAGCTTTAAAGCGTCAGATGGAACGAAAGGTCAAAGCTGAAATGAAACCAAAGGTTGAGCGTAAAACAGTAAAACACATCGCCAGTATGGATCTTGGGAACATGTATGTTACGAAAGAAATTTAGACTGAGGATACCTTGCTAACACTATGTAGTTTAGGTGTTTCCACGAAACAAAATTCCCTTCAAAATGATCCAAATGCAGTCGGGGATTCCGCATCAAAGCCTGTTGAGCTTTCTAAAGAAAGCGGAAAAGTTCTGGAGATTCTTCATCCCCGACCAAATAATGCAGAAAATTTGAATCGCGCTGAGCATACGACACAAAGCGTCTCAATCGTTCCCGAATTTGAAGCAGCAAAATTTCACTACAGATACATGTACCAAAAACTTCAAGATTCTTCAGAGGTTTTGGATGATCGTATTGACGCTTTCAGTGAGCTCACGTGCCAAGTATTAGGAATCCAAGACGAAGAACTAGCGAACCCTGGAGAACTTACACAGGATACCGTTATCGTGGTTGGAAGAATTGTACTTGATTCTTCTGCCCCTGGTGGTCGTTTAAATGCACAAAGCATACTACTTGAAACGTCCCGACGTTTGGGAGCCGGCTGTCGTGTCCCATTACGACTTGACAACCTCTCCGGGTTCTCTATTTTTCCCGGTAAAGTTGTTGCGTTGAAAGGTTCAAATCCAAGTGGAAAGGTCTTCACAGCTTCTGAATTTGTAAAAATCCCCCCTCTTCCTCTCGCAACGAGTGATGCTCAACCGACATCCGATGACATGGCTGTTGATGCAATGTCTCAGAATACCCGTGTACTACTTGCTTCCGGTCCTTGGTGTGTTCGTGATAATTTTGAGTACACACCTTTACGGGCTTTTGTAGAGCATGTTGTACAAGAGCAGCCCGACGCTGTAATTCTCATGGGACCCTTCATCGATGTACACCATCCGTTCATTGAAATTGGCGTGATCCCTAATGCCAAAGCTGATTCCGTTGAAGGAATCTTTCAGCAATTTGTCACTCCAATCTTGTCTCGAATTACCTGCCCCTGCATTTTAATCCCACATATGAACGAATTGGTCACAGATCATCCAGTATGGCCACAAGATTCCCTTGATCCAAACCTTCTTAAGCTACCCTCCGTACGTATCAACTGTCCTTACATTCTTACCTTTTTTATTTGCTAACTTTGTTAGAACTTCAAGTGCTTCCCTAATCCTAGTGTTTTTTCCATTAATGACACTCGTTTTGGAATTTCAACGAATGATATCCTGTTGCATATGTCTAAAGAAGAGCTTTTCCGCTCGCCAAAACACACCAATCTCTTCACTCGTTTGGCTTCTAATATTATACAACAGCGTCACTTTTATCCACTCTTTCCAGGCGGATCAATGGAGAAGGGTAACTCTTCAAATCTTGATATTTCACACCTCCCCTTGGGTGAATTTATCAATGTGACACCAAAAATACTCATCCTTCCCAGCGAGCTTCATCATTTTGCAAAGGTTCGTCTATAAATTTCATCATCTATACTTGAAGTTAATTACTAACTGCTTCCACAGGATGTTGAGAATGTAGTATCGGTCAATCCTGGAAAAGCAACCAAGGGTGTGTCCTTTGGTTCTTTTGCTAGAATTAATATCGCACCAAAAGAAATATCAACAGATGGTAATACTAATTCCAATCATATTCATGTGGAGATTGTTCGACTGTGAAAAAATAAGCAAGCCCTGCAATTTACGGACTATCTACTACTACGACGCCAAAGAGTTGCTTTTTAATACATTTATTACGATATTTTACCTTTGTTCCTGCTATTTTCTATTATTTGTTCATTAATTGCGTTGACTACTACTACTCAAATGCACCACCAAAAAAATTACAGCCAAGCTAGTTCGGGCAGTCTTAGCGACAGTGCAAGCTTATAGGAAAGCGAACAGCAGCATTTCAGACAATGCCTGTCATTCCCCCAGAAAAACTCGTCTCCTTACAAAAGGATAACGCGAGAGTACGGAATTTTACCCTTCTGGCTCACGTGGACCATGGAAAAACAACACTAGCTGATAGTTTACTTGCATCTAATGGTATCATATCCAACAAACTTGCAGGAACAGTCAGGTTTCTGGACTTCCGTGAAGATGAAATTATTCGTGGTATTACCATGAAATCAAGTGCTGTTTCACTGTACTTCAATGTAATTAGCAAGTCTGCCACCGGAGTTACCGAAAACAACTATTTAATTAATCTAATTGACTCACCCGGTCATGTGGACTTTAGTTCTGAAGTATCTTCAGCATCTCGGCTCTGTGATGGAGCTTTTATTCTAGTTGACGCTGTCGAAGGAGTCTGTAGTCAAACGGTTACTGTTCTTCGTCAGGCTTGGATCGACAAACTCAAAATGGTTTTAGTTATAAACAAGCTCGATCGCTTAATAACTGAGTTAAAGCTTACGACTCTGGAAGCTCATTACCATTTGATGCGTCTTGTCGAGCAAGTGAACGCGGTCATTGGTACCTTCTATACAGGTGAATTAATGAATGTGAAAGATGGAGAAGAAGCCGTCAGCGATGAAGACATTTATTTTGTTCCAGAAAAAGGAAATGTGATTTTTGCTAGTGCTTACGATGGTTGGGCTTTCTATCTTGATCAATTTTCGGAAATGTATGAAACCAAAGTTGGTTTTAAGAGGGGTGCTTTGACAAAATTCCTTTGGGGAGACTATTATTTGGATCCCAAAACAAAGCGCGTACTTACTCACAAGCAACTTCAGGGAAAAAGACTAAAGCCCATGTTTGTCCAGTTTGTGTTGGAAAACATTTGGGCAATTTACGATTGTGCTATTTTAAACCGCAACTTGGAGCGTGTTGAAAAGGTCATCAAATCTTTAGGCGTCAAAGTTCTCCCTAGAGACGTAAAGTCTAAAGACCCTCGTAATCTCCTGCTTTCTATTTTTCAACAATGGTTACCTATTGCGAAGGCCGTTTTGTTGACGGCCATTGCAAAAGTTCCTTCTCCTATCAGATCTCAAAAGGAGCGTGTACCTTCCATTCTCGCGTCTACACCTCATTCTGAGTGCGTAGAGGAGGGTGTTGTTACTGCAATGACTGCATGCTCTAATACGTCTGAAGCGCCAGTTGTTGCTTATATCAGTAAAATGATTGCTGTTTCGAAAAAAGACCTTCCACAGGAACGAGCACCACAATTATCGGCGGAAGAAATGCGAAGAATACCTCGAAAGAATATTAAAAAGGTGGATGAGCTTTCGGATTCCATGACGGTGTTGAAGATTGACGGTGACGCTTCGTCCGCATCTTCTTCTACGGATTTTGTTCAGGATTTGGACACGAATATTGAAACAGAGGAAACACCTAAAAAGGATGAAGACGAAGATGTATTGATTGGATTTGCTCGTATCTTCAGCGGAACTATTAAAGTCGGCCAAAAGTTATATGTGCTGGGTCCCAAATTTGACCCGGCCAATCCTACTGAGCATGTTCAGGAAATAGTCGTTAAAGCACTTTACTTGATGATGGGTCGTGAGTTGGTCGCTTTAAGTGAAGTTCCGGCTGGTAACGTTTTTGCCATTGGTGGACTGGAAAACGCAGTTTTACGTACTGCTACTTTGTGCTCGAGCATTCGGGGTCCTAATCTTGTCGGCGTCACCACAGCTTCTGAACCTATTGTTCGTGTGGCCGTTGAACCTGTGCATCCTGCTGAACTGCCGAAACTTGTTACAGGTCTCGAAATGCTTAATCAGGCTGATCCTTGTGTACAAATTGAAGTTGAACACAATGGTGAACACGTTATTAAGGCAGCCGGTGAGCTTCATTTGGAACGTTGTTTGAAGGATTTACGTGAACGTTTCGCAAAAATTGATATTCAGTCTTCCCGTCCCATTGTTCCATTCCGTGAAACTACAATTGCTGTACCGGATATGAAACCTCTCAAAGATAAAGATATGGCACGTGGTGATGTTAATGTCACCATCATGTCTGGTCTAATTCAGTTACGAATTTCCGTAACGCCTCTTCCTCAAGCGGTCACAAGTTTCCTTGAAAACAACGAGTCCACTATTACGTTGATTTCTCGAATCATAAATCGTAGAACTCACGACAAAGACGAAGAACGTCTAATTTTGGAATTCCGCGAAAAGTTTTTTGATGTTGTTAAGGATATCCCCAAAGAGAAGTTATATTGGGAGAAATATTTTAACAACATACTGTCATTTGGTCCCAAGCGTGTTGGATCAAACATTCTTGTGGACGAGACTCAAATTTTAAAGTTACCAAAGGCTGGAGACAATAATGAGCTACTCGCCCCCATTGATATTGTTGAGTATGTTAATACCGCGTTCCAGTTAACTACTCAACAAGGACCTCTCTGTGCTGAACCGGTGTGTGGGCTTCGCGTTTCTGTGAAGCGCGTTGACATCAACAATGAGGAAATTGCCGCTAAGAGCTTGTCTAGTGTTTCCGGCCAATTACCAGGTCAAGTCATTTCTAATGTGCGTGACGCTATTAAGGAAGGATTTATGGCATGGTCACCTCGTTTGCTGCTTGCCATGTATTCCTGCGATATTCAAGCAACAACGGAGGTGCTCGGCAGAGTTTATGGCGTCGTAGCCAAACGAAGAGGAAAAATTGTTTCAGAAGAAATGAAGGAAGGAACGCCTTTTTTTATTACGACAGCCATTATACCTGTTGTCGAGTCTTTTGGTTTTGCTGATGACATTCTTAAACGAACCTCTGGAGCTGCAAGTCCACAGCTTTTGTTCCATGGATTCGAAATGCTGGACGAGGATCCATTTTGGGTTCCCACCACTGAAGAGGAACTTGAGGATCTTGGTGAGCTTGCGGATAAGGAAAATATTGCTAAAAAGTACATGCTTGATGTTCGACGCCGTAAGGGTTTGCTTGTGGAACAAAAAATTGTCAAATCTGCTGAGAAGCAGCGTACTTTGAAGCATTAAGTACTAAAAAAGTTCACGAAGATACTGATGTGTTCTAGTTACATAATAGGAGTATGTTAGAAGGGAATTGGAGTAGTATATATCATGATATTTAAGAGCCTAATAATCCATAGTTTTAAAACTACCAACAAGTTTGGCGCTAAGCGTTTATGTTTAACATACTTAAAATAAACGGCGCTTCCCTAAGGGAGTAGGCCACACAGCCAACTCCAGTGCCGTAGACGTTTACAACAATCGCTTTTACCAGACATAACTTATTATTATTCACACTAAACACAAATTTGGTGGTGTAACCACACGTTAACGAGCGGCGAATGAAATCTTGTTTTATTATACAATTTCAAATTAAAACCCATCATCAATTCACCCGTTACTATTTGTCTAAGAATACAAGTTTTTTTTATTTCCACATTTAACTGTAGGTCTGCTTCAACGGACGCCACAACGACCTTAACGACTCTTTTTCTGGGTGGTATAAATGTCGTCGGCCGAAAGACAAAATTCAACGGAAGAGGTCGACTATAGAGCTCTTGTTGAAATCTTCAAGAAAAATGGTCACTTTGATTCATTGAGGAAGGACGCTCTTCAACAATTCAAGGAAAAACAATCCGATGACCTTTTGCAGAAGCTTCATGAAGTCACAGAACAAGAGCTGACAAATGATGAAAGCCTGCAACATAAGAATTCATTCAAAGCGGTACCTTTAATCGTTGGTGCGATAGATCGGTAGGTTCGTTTCGCCGCATTATCACTTGCGGCCTGCATCTAAGACCCATACTGACTTGAAATGCATAGTTCACGCTTTTATAGCCAAACCAAGGAGGAAATTAAAAACACCATAATGACAGATGCCCAACTTCGAAGTCGCATAGCAGAGATGCTTGAAGAGATATACAAGGAGTCGCTTCCATCCACAAAAGAAGAGCCTTGAAATTTGAGGAAAGGGGGGCTGATTCACGGAAGGATGACTTGACAACTTCCGAGTGCTTCACGATTTGGCGCTCCCGCTCCCTTATCGCTCTGAAATTAGTTCACAAATGAATAAAGAAAAGTGCTGTTCAACATTCCATCGCAGTCGAAGGCAGAGATCAGCAAATGTGGAAGAATAAGTGATATGGTGAATTGTTCACGAAACATGTGAAAATTAAAACATGAAACATATTAACGTAATGAGACAAAAGAAACACAAGGAGAAGCAAATGCACGGAATAAAGAGAAGGGGAGGAATTTAACAGAGAACCGGATATCTTCGAGCCATTCAGCCGGGATTCATGACAGCGAAAAATACAAACTCTGTAGGATCGAGGAACACAAATGAATGAATGAAATAAAACGACGATTTAAACGTCGTTTCTAAAATTGATTTACCAACCCAAGCACCACGAACTGCTAAAATATGACACGAAATGCATTCGAATGTGCGTGTGAGAAGTGGCGCATAGTTGCTCAAGGCGATTTGTCCACGACTGTTGCATGTTTCATGAGTTCTCGCAGTTCAAGCTCGCCTTCTTCAACAGGTGTGCTCAGGTCGTGATACTTTCGGCAAATGAAACAATTAAAATATGGATGATTCTTCTGTAAAGTGGGATGTATGCACCAGTAATGATAAGTATGTGAGCATGGAGCCACAAACAATGCTTGACATGGCAACACGGGCGTCAGACAGATACAGCATTCGGAAACTGGTGCATCTTCCTTTGAACCCTCAGTAGCTTTTGAAATTAAAGAGCGGACACGATTGTACTCCTCCAGATTAAAACGACTGAGCTTAATTCTCCATGAGTTGTTGAGCTCAATACGAGCACGAACACAGCGGTAGTGCATTTCCTCGCCTCCTCTGTAATCAGCGCCCAATTGAAGTATATCGTTATTCGAGATGTGATATGGCTTGCTAGTTTCACAAGGTGGAGATAAACGAATGTGGTTTAGGAACGTTCCTGAACTGGAACCCAAATCCTGAACATACCATTCGCCGCCTTCGTAGAAAACCTGAGCATGCCGCCTACTCACAACCTTTGATCTGAAGACAACGGCGGAAACGTTTCCTCCATTGTATTTGTCTGTATACCTTCCGATGTGAATAGGCAAGTTTTTGTTTTTCTTACTCCAAGTGCGAACGACTGGCTCAAAGTTGAAAGAATGACCATTCGCACTAACAAAGTTAGTGAAACGGATGGATATCGTCTCTTCCGGAGGATTATCCAAGCAAGAAGCTGCCTTTTCGGAACTGTCGGGAAGGACTGTTTGATCGGCAAGAGCAGTAGCGACCTGTGGCGTTTCCTGCATCTTAAATAGTTGAAAACAATTGTTAAACTCTGTTCAATAAAACTTCGTGGGAGAGTTATGCGCAAGTATGTCAAAGACTAAGCCGATCGGATTTCTTCAAACAAAGACCGACCGATACAAAAGATCAATGTGCTGAAGTTTGAGAGGCAAAAATGCACACAGAACAGTTACGTTAAAGAATTGACTCAAAATCAAAGCCGTTTGCGCACTCTCAAGCAGCAACCGTTGTCTTTGACGATATTGGTAGAGGAGAAGATGCTTAGGAAGCCTCCAAAGGTCAGAAAGTAAACACCTTGTGAACTTTATGCTCACGTGCTCTGACATAATGAAAGCTAAATACGAGTAAACATAACGCTGCTAATAAAAAGCGATACAATACAGACACGACACAGCATATCCACAGAAATTACGAAACACGAAAATGATTAACACCTCTATTGAATAGTATAAGTATAAATAAAATGGGGAGCTCAAGAACCAGGACACTCGTCGTCAAATACCGAAATACAAATCTGTCACAGTGCATTGACGAAACGTGCCGAGCAAAAGTACAAAATACATGCGTATGCGCTCAAATAATGCTCACCGGACTATGATGTAGATACACCTTGTAACAGGGGACAACCAGAGATCATTCTATATAGATAATGAAATGAAAATACTGCAGAAATCAGCGGCAACAGAAGCCAAGAAGACTCACACAGCGAGGACATTCAAGATCGTACATAGGGGTATTTCTACATCAGTAGGCAGTGCAGTGCTCGCCAATCGAAGAAAGATTCAAGCTTGGTCAGAGCAGAGAGAAGGGAGTAAGAAGGTGCATAAACGCTCGCACGAGAAAGGAATGTGGGAACCAAGGGCGAAGCAGAAACGCGACGGAGTGATGTTGAGGGATAGGAAAAGAACGAAAACGATGCAAGTATGTGCTTGTACCATATCGCACAACCACAGCAAATGCGGTTCTGAGAGAAGCGTACACACGTATGATAAAGATTGGCCAAGTGAAATGAAAAAAAGAAATGATAAGCGACTCGTCGCATCTATTGGTACCGGCCAAAACAAAAATTATCCCAACCAAAAGTTGCTCAGAATCCGCTTTGCCTTGTGCCTTATTCGGTGTTCTTCTTCGACGCAGAAAAGATCACTTCCGTGCCACCTCCGACTGATGCTTCCTCATCGTAATCCTTCATGAACGGAACGTTCAGATGCTCTTCCTTGTCATTGACAACATAAGTCGCAGCAGATGATGCAGATGACAGTGATGGGGAATGCACAGCACCACGACCAGCGCGGTTAGAGCGGCGGCAGGAATCTCCAAAAGCGAAATGAATGAGAAGCAAAAAGATTGTGCTACAAATAATTGTAAGGGCAAGCCAGTGTCTCAGTAACCAAAAAACAAGACCAGCATCTTCCTCATGCCAAGAAGAACCTTCAAAAACGTTAAAGAATGACCAGTCCTGGCCAGTGTACATGTCAGGCATCATGATACGAATGCGGTGAAGCGGACTTGCAATGGGGAAGTCTCGGTACAGCCGCCAAATGGCAGACAGGAACAGGGGACCGGTAGAGTACATGACAGTCAAGTAGGGGAAGTGGTAGTTGAAGGCATATTTCTTCAAGTAACGAATGGTCATCAAGAAGAACGGATGACCCTTTACGGAGGTCATGACGTTGTTGCTAATACCAACTGGAGTCGTTGTGCGCAAGAACGAAGGATATTTGAGCAGAGGATCCAACGAACGCTTGCAACCGACATCGAAATCCAGGTAAATGCCACCATAATGGTAAAGAATAAAATAACGGACAACATCAGCACGCATGATACCGAAGGGATAGGAGTCGAACTGCTCCAAAAACCAAGGGTACTCCTTGGCAATGAAGGCGCGAATATCCTCATCCGTCCACAGTTTGTATTCATAGTCGGGATGCAAATCTTGGCAACTTCGTTGCGCATCCTTCCACTTCTCAGGAACATCGCTGTTCTTCCACGTTTGGTGGATGATCTTGGGGACAATTTGCGTCTCGTTGCTCCACAGAGAAGTCTCGTTTGCCGCATAGTCAACATCCCCTCGAAGAATAATATCGTCCTTGAAATTATCGAACAGCATCAACCGGATGGGCACGAAGAATAGTCGAACACCCACCACGGCTGAAATGATGAAGGCAGCAATGCCCATATACAGCAGCCGTTTCATTTTGTAAGCACGGACAGCAACCCGGCGGTAAAAAAACGACGACGATCGGTAGTGGCTCAGGTTGGATAAATGAAGAGGAGTGCCCGTTCGAAAGTCTCGAGCAAATTCTGAAAAATGCGGAAACAGAGGAACGGAGGGAGGAAACACTACAACACTACTGGCGATAACAACTACAGACAGTAGCAGTCATAGACAGGTGGAGCTAGCAGAAATGAAGCGACCTATTGGTGGGTAGATAACACCAACACAAATAAAGTCACGGAAACCCAAGGTCCTGGATGGTACACGGAAACGGAAGCACCAGGAATAACCTTGAAACTCGTAATCGTAACAGACTCACGGATCCGTCAATTTTCTCACCCAGAGAAGAGGGGTCAGAGGAGCAGACGAACAGTAGTAAGCTTGTAGCACGTTTAGCAGGTTCAGCAAGTCCTAAAGATCAGCAACTCCTACGGAGGTTAAGTTCATCAACAAACCAAGTGAAGAACAACCAGTAAACAGTAAAACAGACGAGGACGAGCCAGTCTAGACCAACAATCTTCTGATATTTTGCACTAGTCGGCAAAAATACGCGACAGTTAACACACAATGGTTCGGTATACCTCTAATTTAGTACCGCTAAAGCGCGGACAACGATGGATCGCTGTAAGAACGGGATGTTAACAGGTGTTTGGTAAAATTGAAGTTGTGAATGGTGGGGAAGCTTATTCATATGCCTGATCACGGGATTCAAGACATCTAACGTTGTGATGTGTCATGTTCGCGTAGTCCCACAAAATGCGCCACTTATTCTCTCACGTTGAGAAGTTGGAGTGCTGATTGGCTGGAGAGTTTATCCATCTGCCGACCACATGTGGGGTTGCCGAATAGATGGGACGATGCGACACATTGTGGGGAAACCGACGGTCGGCAATTGAAGAGGCAACGAATAAGCGTTGGCGTGCCTAAAAGCGAGACAAAGAACAAAAAAAAAACAAAAAACGAAAAACAAAAAAGTTACGAGTTTTACGGAACAATAAGACATAAAGAATGCTTTTCCTGTCAAGAGAAGTATTGTAGCGAGATTTGAACGAGCATGTATATTAGGCATTTTTAGAGCAAAGAGCTAGTTGTGGGGAAATTTCGCAAACGAATCGGCTTTCGGCAAGTTTTCGCCTTTTTCGGCTGATAAATCGCGTCTCTGTGAGGTCAGTCGGCTTCTGGTGGGGAGTTTTCGGAAAGTTTAATCCGTCTGAGCCATGCTTCCGCGGGGAAAAATGAGAACGGAGATGGGAGAACAACTGAAGACAATTGCCGATCGGACAAAAGGGGTTGACGAAGTTTATACAGTCGGGAGAGACCCGCGGACAGAGGGGATAAGAGGGTTGATAGAGGTGAGGAAGGGAGAGCGTGTACGGGGCATTAGAGGTGGTACTAGTAGGAGTACCAATTACGGTAGTAGCCGTAGCGACAAGTTTAGTGCTAGTAATAGCTTAGTCTTAGGGACCACGTCGATGGGGAACCCGCGATAGCTTTGTTCTGCGTTACAGATGCCAGCTTTACGATGCTTATAGGCGAAATTGATTCTGTTCGTTTAAGTAGCTGCGAAATTTTTGCTACGTTTTCGGTAAACCTTCATGTACGAAGACTAAAAATTGATTAAAGCACTGACTAAGAGAGAGTCGGGTTTTCTGTCGTTGACCGCTGCACACACTCACCATCCCTGCATCCCATTCCTCATGCTCCCTCTATTCACAGTCACTTGCTGTCACTTACTGTCACTTGCTTATAAGCCTCTCGGTTCTGTACTGTGTGGATTGCTCATTCTCGCTCCCACTCTTACACTTCACTACTAGTTTATAGATCTAACAAAAATGTAACTTCTGCGCACTATTGGTGTTGTAAGTAACCCACTTTCTTTCGTAAAAACGATTTGCCTTTCATAGCAATCTCCCATTAGAGTGGGTCTAACTCACTCACTCACAAAACCGTTTCTTCATAGTCCTATACACTTCTACTTTCACCCATTCATTCATACATCTAATTCATTACGTTTTCCTCATTCTCTGCTCCCTCCCCCTACATCGTCTACGTCGTCTTTCCTTCATAGCGAGGTTTTGCTGTTCCACTCTTGACCCTCCGACTTGCAGCTTTTGCCATTGCTCAAGCTTCACCACCTTGTTTCATCTGTAGACCGATTCTTCACACTCAATTCACGCCTCATAACGAATACTGACTTAATCTCACTTCTTACTTCACATTTTTTGACGGTTTCAGTCGATTTCATATTTATTGTCACTTGAAGCTGCTTCTACACCGTCTCTGCAACGTACAATGCAGGAATTAAATGCTGCTGCTGATGGCAGTGTAAAAGACGATATTGAACGTGCTATCCGAACTCCTGCAGCCAATAAAACCGATAAAAAACTTGGAAGCGAAAAGGTCTTGGCTTACCTTGCTGTAGAAGAGGAACGATCTGCTTCTGTTGTTGGTAGCTCAACTAAGAAAAAGCCTAGATACATTGTATTCACGACCGATGAGGACACCCATGTTCTGTACCTGCATCGGTTCAAATATGACAAGACAGGAATGATAATCGTCAAGAGCTGGCCCTTGTTCGAGTTACAGTCCGTCACTGTAGACGGAGAGCTGGATCTCTCTTTCACAATTAATAAGTCTCATCTTTTCCACTGCCGCAATGCTCGTGAGCGCAATATATTCGTGTATACGATTGCCCGAAATTACATGTTTTATATGAGCAAGCCTCTAAAGGTTATAACACCTTCAGGTAAAAAGGTGGAATGGGCTTACCGAAACGTGTTTAATTTAGAAGCTACTCTGTCAGCTAATGCAGCTGCTTCTGCTTCTTCAGCAGCAGCCGCTCCTTCTTCCAAGGCGGAGCAAAGTGCTACTGAGGAAGGTAGTTCAAAGGTCCAAGTTTCTTCTATCGAGGAGCCGGCTTATGTTCCCACTCCAAAGAAACCGTCCATGGAGTATGCTGCAGTAACCAACTTGGAGGATGAGGCTCCTCTTCCCATTGCTCCTTCACCTTCTGTAAAGTCTTCGACTGGGCAGGAGCCTTTTGAGTCTGCAGCTGATGCAGCTCATGATACCACAATACCCACTTCTGATCGTACGGAAGACCTTGTTCGGCTATCGTCTCCAATTGAAGAAACCCTGCCGCCAGTACGAGTGCCCGTACCACCGCCCGTCAGAAGGTCTTTTGACACGGGAGCATCTTCTGGTGAGTCAACCCCCAAACTGAATTCGGAAAAGTTCAAACTCGAAAAAACGAGTTTATTCCCGGCCTCCCTTCCTAAAAGTGCGAAACGTTTTGAAACACCTAAGACACCCAACCAGCGCACTGCAGCATGGCACAAATCACGGCCTAATGCACCAGATGCGCTTACCACGCCAAACAGTACAAGCATTGAAAGTCCACACTATGACACACCTGCACAGCGGCTCCCAAGTTCTCGCTCCTCCGCTGAACTCCCGTCGCCCCATCGTCCGCACTTGACATTTGCTTCTAGTGCCCAGTCTTCCCCCCTTAGTGCAAAACAAGCAGATCGAGACTCTGTAAAACATGATAGCAGACCTTCGAGCGTCGGCATAGGTTCTGCTCCGTTAATACTGCCCAAAAACCCTACTCGAAAACTATCTGTCCGAAGACCGCCTTCGCTCTCTGCACACACACAACAAGAAGCAACCAGTCAGGCTGGACCAGCAGGTCCTGATTCCTCAAGCTCTTTTTACACTCCTGTTGAAACTTCCGATAAACCTTCTTCTCTAAATTATTCTGCACAAAATAAACAAGGCATCGAACCCCATTTTCAATCAACCCAAACTCTGGAGCATTTGTACAATGCAAAATCAAGAATTACTCTGGACACACTGCCTGTAAATGCTGGTAAACATTTGTTTGAATTGGACTGGTCAGGGGAAGACGCATTTGAGAAAAATCAGCAAGAATTACTTAATTCACTGAACGAAAGCATGAGAGAGAATGTTGAAGAACTTTTTCGCCAGAAAATGCAAGCGAAAGAAGTTCAGGATATTTTGAACGATAGTATTGCTGGATGTGACACACTGTTTTCAACTCTTAACCTCTACTCCATGAGTCTGTCTGGAGTTCTGGGAGATGTTATTAACATGGAGCAACAGCAGGCAAAGCAATCATAAGAAGATGATGAACCCTTAATTGAATTAAAGTCATGATGAATACGTATTAGAATTAAGTTTTTCTCGAGATTCTTCTTCTGTTGAAGCTTCGTTTAGGTTGCAGTTTTTCACTGCTGGAACGAGAGTACTTTCGTGCTGCAGCAGATCATTAATTTTCGCTTCGCCAATGTATGGTGTCCACCGTAGTAAATTTGGATGCACTCGTTGCTGATGTTTACGATCCCATTTATTACAGACGGCTTGCAGCTCGTCTTGGCGGATATGTAGCTCGTACTCATTCGTCCGTGGGTTTCGTTGTAATATTGAGAGCGCTTCTAATGCTGAAATAATGTCATTGGGATCCATAGACGTCCGCTTGGATATTTCTTCAATGCTCAATGGACCGTTTGCTTGAAGGAGACATCGAGCGACTCTCATTTTCCAGTAGCTTCTATATGAAACAAGTCCTAAATCAGACAATGGTTTTTCTGGCGAACCGGTTTTTTGTTCAACTTGTGTTAGCAAGTAGCTAAACTCGATTAAAAACGCGCCATAACCTTTTCGTTGGTATGTTGGGAGAGTCAATATACATGACACATTGTAGTTGGATGCGGATCGCTTTTCTTTACTAAAGTATCCCACAAAATGGTACTTGCAGTCTTCGTAAGTTGTCATTACATAAAATAGAAACGGCTCAACATCATAGTAAAGCATTTTGGAATGGAGAAACATTTTAGCCAAGAGACAGAGGTTTTGGCAGTATACCTTGGAGAATATGGTTAGCACATAACAGCCAAAAAAAAAGACATCCTTCAAATAATTATCTTACCGACTGTTGTTGGCCGTCCACTTCGAACAAGGAAATCTTGCCATCACGATAAATCTCATTTCCGGGAGGATGCCGCCAAGAGCACTTCATCTGTACAATTGTTGTTAGAACCCGTAACGTAAGCATGCAACACACACTCTCACACACACACACACACACACAAATTCACATACCATATGTCGACAAAGTGTGTATTCACTTTTCATATACTTGAGACAAAACTCGCAGATGTATAGGATGCGCGAGCAACTGTACTCTTCCGGATATGGAGCTGAATACCATGGTTTTGTTTTTTTGTTACCAAACTGTACGAACCGAATAGTCGTAGGAGCTGGAGCTGAAGGAGCATGCCCAGCGGTAGCCAAAAATGGTTGCGAATAAAGATAGCTCTCTTCTTGAGTTTTTTTTACAGCATTTTGAGCACGAAGGAACAAGTTGCTTTCATCTGCGGAGGGATCCGGTAGAAATTCTCGTTCCTCGGAATTGGGAATGACAGTCGAGTACCGACGCGTCTCATCGAGTACAATAATGCGATAGGCAAACGATTGGTAGTCAGGCGAACTTGTATCTAGAGATACTTTTAAAAGAAACCTACCATGCTCTTCTCCGACGTTTAAAGCCACGACGCGAGGCATCACAGTGGCATACAAAAGGACTTTGACATTCTGCACATCCGAATCGTCAGTAATCTCAAATTTTTGGTGGTGAGTTTTTGAGGGGAGAAAAGTGGACAGCCAACACCTGGAAGGTTAAGGTAAGAAAGAAGTAGAAAATGTGTCGCTTGTATAGTTGTAGACACTTTGATTTCTTGCATAGTAACTCAGGTTCCCTCAAGTTTACACCGTATGTAGATGGTGCGCACTTGTAATGTCTGCTTACGAAATAAAAGTGAAGCAAGTAGCGAGCATATACTACACAACCCACTCTCTTTGCTTAACCGCATATTGCACAGCTCACAAACATATCAATTGATCTACAAAGAGTACTTGAAGTCGAAATAGTTTTTGTCAAATGCATGCAGACGGACGTAACCATCCTCTCCGCCACTTGCATATCCCGTGCCCTTAGGATGAACGGCAATAGTGTTGATGGGACCGAAATGACCCTTCACACGACCAAGTTCCTCCTCAAAAATCGTGTGGTAGAAACGTGCCTCGAATTTACCTTGGCGAGCAGCAGTTGTAGTAACATCACGAGCTTCCTGACCACCACCGAGCACGACAAAGTCTTGGACGGGCGTGAAACTAGCGGTGTTAAGAGGAGCATCGGCAGTGAAGCATTTAATGATTTCCAGGGTATTGACATCCAAAGCCTTTGCGGTGCTATCCTTGCAAGAGGTAACAAAGTATGTGCGATCTCTGGAAAATTGAAGATCGGTGATGAGGGAACCGGCTGTGTGGACTTGAACAGTTTTAATGTACTCACCAGTAGCACCGTCATACTGAGAAACAGAGCCATTTTCATGACCAGCGATTATGAATTTGTTGAGGTAAGACCAGCCAGCAACAGTGGCCTTGGACTCACGCGTTTTAATAACATAGATGGGGTTCTTAAACTTCTCATCACTGTAATCCGTAGGAACATGGAAGACAGAAATGGTACCAGTGAAACCCATACGCTCCTCAGTAACGGCAAGAAGCTTATTTCCCTCCTCGTTGAACTCTACACGCTTGACAGCGGTAGGAAACTCCCACACATACAAGCACTTGCCGGTTTTAACGTCCCAAAGACGCATAGTGTTGTCGGCAGCACCACTGGCCATTAGAGTGGTGGATTCTGTAATACATGGTTAGTCAGAAAATAGAGGATTGAGCGAGCACAGCATAAGGGAAAGAGAGTTTAGAGCACAGTCGTATTTTCACAAAGTGGTTTCGCAAATTTTATACGAAAACCTTTTCACGAAGTATCCATCCGAGAGAATCCACGACGCGTTCAAAACTTCAGACCCGCTCACAAGCTCGTTTCTCACGTCGTTTTTCACTTACTGTTAATATCACACGTCCAAATGGCACCAGTGTGACCCCCGTATGTACCAAGACGCTCTCCGTTGTGAGAGAACCAAACGTTGATGATTAAATCCTTAGCACACGAGAACAACAAGTCTCCCTGCCAAAGTTAGTAACGAAATCGCAAAACAAAGCTCATACATCGTGGTTGTACTTAATCTGCGTCAAAGGACGGGTGTGTCCCTGCAAAATGAAGGGTCTCATAGCGCTGTTGGCAGGTAGGAGTTTGTGAAGAGTTTGTCTTCACCTCCAATTTTTGTGGGTGGACTAGGATTTGTGGTGGTCACAGCGGACGAGTTACGGCCACCCAAAAATTTTATTAAAAGCATTACAAGAATCCCAGGAAATTTTTGATATAGATCATATACAATTATCAAAAGAAATCGGTCTAATTGAAAGCGTTTTTTTCATTCACACCTTGCGCATCTTGAAGCGCCGTTTGTACTCACGGTCTTCAGAGGAAACTCACCACCAAAAAGTCATTTTCAGGCAAGTTCGTACTTGCTCAGCTCTTGTAGCCGATTTGGTAAAAGAGAGGTCTCCTGAGTTCACGTCTTGTCCATCGTCCTTTGAGTGTACTTCGTTTTCGATATGGGAAATCTTATGGAATGGTTGAAGAACTGTCCCCCTTTGCAATGGGCCGAAGATAAATTCGAAGACCTAATGGTCAATATCATTCGCTGTAGCAGTGTACCCCAACACATTGGGTTCGTTATGGATGGAAACCGTCGGTGGGCTAGGCAACATCGAATGGAAACTGCAGAGGGTCACAGCTTGGGTTTTGAAACGCTAAAAGATGTATGTTTCGTCGTATACTCTGGTCTTCGCCGCAGAAGATTACCGTGTTTATTTACAGCATTCACATGTTCACTTCTAACAACACTAGCTTTTACGCGTCTGTTTGAGGCTTGGAGTAAAAGAGGTATCTGCATTCGGCTTTTCTTTGGAAAACTTTAAGCGTTCTAAATATGAGGTCGACATGATTATGGAAATTGCCAAGTCTAGTTTGGCACAGATCTGCTCACATGGGTACGAGGCAATGTTTTTTGTGTTTGAAACCGCACTTCTAACAAATGAAAGGGATCTTGTTGATCAGTACAACATTCGCATTCGAGTTGTCGGTGATCTTGATCGCCTCCCTGACGACTTGCACGAGCAATTTGTGAAAATTATGAAGCGAACAGAGAAAAATACAGGGTATGAAATTGCTGGTAGTTTGTGTTTTCCTGTCTTTCGTTCTAACTGTACGTCCAGTGCTACCTTAAACCTTTGCTTCCCCTATACTTCTCGCTATGAGATTACTCAGTCCTTGCAACGACTTGTTAAAAAAGCTGAAGACGGTCGACTAACCCCGGATGAGATTGACGAAAAAGTTTTTGAAAAATGTCTTTTAATTACCGATAGCCATCCTCTCGACATTTTGGTTCGAACTAGTGGCGTAAAACGTCTGTCTGATTTTATGCTTTGGCAGGTATGTTAATAGACTTGACGTTTCAAGCTTCTGTTATTTTATTAACGACTGAAAGTGTCACGAAAACACAGATATCCAATTTGTGCGTAATTATTGGCCAGATTTTAAGGTCTGGAGATTCCTTCCCATGATTTTACGTTATCAAATAGACCAAAAAGCCAAATCATGAAGCACAACAACATTCGTTTAGCCTCTGCTCTCGCCGTCCTCTTCAACTCTGCTTCAAGAATTGTAAATGGATACGTTCCGCTCTATATTATACATAAATTACATACTATACTCATTGACTTTTACAAACTAATAGCTTTCCAGTTTCATGTTCGTCGTAGGTTTGGGAAACAAAACGCGATGATTAATTGTCTCGATATACTAGAACTTCAATAAATGACTGGTTGTCTCTTTGTACAGCGGCCACGCAGCGCGTTTCATCGTAACAAACCTGAGAAATAATTGTCATATCTGAAAGCAGTGTCCGAACCAACTTTCCCGTTCGCAGATCCCAAAGTTTTAGAGAACCGTTGTTTCCGCTAACAACCTTACATTCGTCATTTTGCATGCAACTGATGGGACCGGAATTGGCTGAAAGCACTTTTTCACACTTGGCGGAATTGATATCCCATTCACGAATTGTTGAATCTAAAGCACCGCTAATAAGCTTATCGGCTTGTAGATTTAAGAAGACGACAAGATCTGTATGGCCTTCCAGGGTGTGTAGACAAACATTATTTTTAATATCCCATATTCGAATCGTTTTATCCAGACTTCCACTGAAGCAAAGATTTCGTGTAGGATCGTATAATACGCTATAAATATATGCTTTATGACCACGAAAGTGATTAAGACATTCCCCAGTAGACGCTCGCCAAACACGAACAGTAAAATCGTAACTTCCACTAACTAGAATATCACCATAGCCCGCTATAGAATGAACAGATCCGGTATGTCCCGAAAGTGTGCGTATGTGGTATGGGTTGGATTGTTCAGCAACGGAAGGATTGACATCTTCAGGCGCGATGTAAGGTGGGTCATTAGGCTGAGGAAGTTTCCAAATTCTTACTGTAGAGTCCCGAGAACCAGAGACAATGCAGGGGAATTCTGGTTCATAAGTCACTCTTCCTTTTTTTATGGTTTTGACCGGTAACAAAATTTGCAAACACCGAACGGTAGACGTGTGACCACGAAATAAGTGAGTGCACTTTCCAGTACGCATATCCCACACACGAATAGTTTTATCGACTGAGCCAGAAATGAGCGTATCCCCAAAAACTTGAACAGCCCAGACGCCTCCTCTATGACCGAGTAATTGAACTACTAAATTTCCTGTGTTTACATCGTAAATGTTCATACTTGCGTCGTCTGAACTCGTAATTACACGATCTCCTTGCAATTGAAGAAAAGTAACAAAATGACCGGCGTGAACATGACGGGGAAAGGAAAGTCGAAGGGGCTTTTGCTTTGGGCGCAACCAACGCTGACGATGTAGATAATGCCGTTTAAAAATACACGGATACATGTCCATAGGAATATCTTCATTTCGAAGAAAAGGCGGTGGTTGTTTGTTAGGAAATACTAATTGCCAGTCTTTCTTATCAACAAGGAAGTGATTTTTGACAAACTGATAATACCAAAAAGAAACGTGCGAACGAAAAATACTCTCCCAGTTTTTGCAAACTAGAAGCGCATTCAAAAATGATCTAATGTCCAGGCACTGTAGGACCTTGTCCACCAAAGTATCTGGCAAAGATGCAATAAGATCCCTTTTCAGAGAAAGATTGCATTGCTCATTCAATAGTCTCAACGTCTGTCGGTCACAATTTTTCATAAATTTTAAGAACATAAACGCTTGTAGGCTAGAAGGCAACCGAGAGTAGCAGGACATCATGTCTACTAGTTCCATGGGTGCTATTGGTGAAGGAACCGAGACATCCAAGCGCCCTTCCTCGCTGGAGACGAATTCTTCCTGCTCGGGGGATGGCGGCGCCTGAATTTGTTTCGTAGGAAATAACTGGCAATTTCCAACGATACGAAGGGCTTGTGAGGGATGGTGGCTACCAGACTCCTTGACATTGCTCACGGGTTTTAGTGTTATAGCAAGGTCATCCTCAATTTCTGAGACAGAGGAATCAGTACAGAATTTGTACGGAATGGAGTCCAGTTGAACTTGAAAATTACGTAAATGTTCTGGAGTTTGCATGCATGAGAGAGGATAATTTTTGTTGTAAACGTCTATTGGGCATGTAGGATAAGAAGACGACGTGGAACGGTCCTTGGCCAGAAACTCGGCTGGATGTGATGTATCGATTGTCGGTACACACGGCCGTTTCGTTGGTGTAGATGGAGACTGCATGTCAGAAAGACTTCGCTTGTAAACTTCAGATTCGTAAGAGGGCATCGTATAGACAACAAAAAGGGAAGGAACAGATCAAAGAACGGGGAGGTGTAAGAACAAGAAGGCGATAATGCAGAGATAAAAATACTAGAAGAAATGAAACAAACGATATTATACAATGAGAAGATGAGGAGCAGTACTTCCGAGTTGGTAGCCGAATAAGCAAAGTAGCATATAATACGGTATATGTAACACAAAACCAATTGAAGTGCAGCCAGAATACCACGAGAGAAAGCCGTAATTAGTGTTAAATAATTAAAGATGAACGCCTGTTTAACAACTCGATGGAGGAATGCCTATAAACGAAATAATCGTTCGTAAAGGACAGCTGTTGGTGTGGTCATGAATATTAACTACCAAGTGTAGCATTTAGTGGATTTGTGGGGAACAATTTAGATTATTTAGGTAAAATAAGCGAGCACGTTTAATAAATGCCGACAACTTTATTTTATCTCAAAAGTTTCAAACAATGAAACGCATCAGTTGTCCTATACCAGCATGTTAAGTCGCCTCGACGCTGAGGAGCAACGTGGTGCTTTTGTTCGCGTACAGTTTAAAAATGGAGTGGAACCAATTGATGCTTATCTCTGGAACGTCGACCCAATTACAGGAACCGTTGTTCTTTTTAGTCCGCCAACAGAGTCTTGTGACGACGAAGACTCTTTCATCGACGTTCATATGGTTATGGCAGACGCGTTGAAATCTATAATGGTGGACGAAAATGCAGATAAGTATCCATTAGAGGATGTGGATCAACTCCTGTTGAGTAGTTAGTTGGGTTACTAGTAAATTTTGAACTTTTATGATACTAAGCAATTAGTACAGTTCTTTTCTGACTAAATCATACATTTATTAGATTACTAATTCTCAAGGGTCGGTAAAACTGTTGATTGACTTCCGTTACTTGAAGCCACCTACCTGCCTTAAGGTCCACGAAGTCAAACCCTCCTCAACAGAAATTGATTATCAATATGTTCACGCGTTTAAGCACCAAACCACTTGTTGTCGCTCACAGAGGGTAAAACTGACTAACATGTGATCGATAATAATTGCTAACGCTTAGAACAGTTTCAAAGCTCGTTTCCCCGAGAACACGATGCTAGCCTTCCATGAAGCAATCAGATCTGGCTGTGATGCACTCGAAACCGATGTTCGACTTTCTTCGGATAAGGTTGTTTGTATTTCTCATGACATAACTCTAAAACGTGTATTCAATGCACCAGGTCGTATCCCAGATTATAGCTATCAAGCGACATTGTCGAAACTTTACACAGTTCAGCAGCCTGCGCAAAAAATGCCCACACTTGAAGATGTCCTCCATTTGCTTGTCCAACATCAAGATGTCGGATTGATTCTTGATATTAAGCCCGACAACAACATTGAGATTATTGATGCTGTAGTGCAAACATTGCGCAAGGTGAATGAAGACATGTCGTTCTGGCGGTCACGCGTACTTCTTGGTATCTGGACGCATCCATTCTTAAGTGTACGATATTACTTGCTTAGATGTTTTTCTACAGTTTACTAACTATCACTTAGGTTACTAAGAAGGTTGCACCCGAACTTCCCATATGTGTACGAAACGATTGCTCACTACCTTTTGGATAATGATACTAACAAGGTTTTAGCACATTGGTATTGATCATCGTTATGCGATGCAGCACTTTGTACCATGCAGTCAAGTAGTGGCTATCAGCATCAACGTTACATCTTTTCTCCTCCGGAGCACCAATGAATTTCGTCGTTCTCTCGAGGACAATAAGACGAGGCTCTTTACTTGGACTGTGAATAACAATGCAGAACTGTACTTGGCCTGTGCTAACAAATGTGATGCCGTCTTGACCGACGATCCAGTATTTGCACGTTCTTCTATGACTCCATCATTCCTCTCATCACATTGGTGGTCATACAACCTCTTTTCCTGGTTAAGACTGCTTTACGTGTGCATCAAGTTGCGAATTCTTTTCCTTCTTATTTATATCCACTATGCACGTAAATAACTTATGAAATGAGCGTACTATAGCGCTTGGCTTTAATGATTAGTCTTTTTGTTACAGATTCGCTCCTTTCATTCATATTTTTTGCACATAACGAATTTACCATTCATGATTTTATTTTATTATTTGCTTAACGTTATTTTCGGTGTCGTTTGGTTTCTGTATGGCTTTTTAGGAGCTTCATGACATGGGAATTTGAACGATGATCATAGCACTAAGATGATTGACCTAGCCTCTATGACACAGTCGAAATTTCCTTGAACCTATTCAATTCGTAAATTATGCAATCTTTAGGTAAATACGGACCCTTTAATTGACACACATTTTCCGATCATACTGTTCAAAAGTAATTAATGGTGTCATGTATTTTGTAGTAAGTCCTATATAATTAACTACCGCCTAATTCCCAGACTCGTACAATAACATACCAAGAACAAAGTTCTCAATAGTGATTTGTTACGGAAACCGTCCAATTCTTTTTCGGGAATAAGTCTTAACTAGTTTTAATCGCCGCACTTAGCCTCGTCCTGGCACCAGCCCACTAAGGACTTTCTTGCGAAGCAACGACTACCAGGACTAGAAACCAGTTATAACCTCAAATAGACATTCATCCTTAAAAGATGAATGAAGCTGGGGTTTCTAAGTCGAACGTCGAAGATGAGATTGAAAGAATTCCCGAAAAGAGCCCCGCAGAAACATCCGCGGCAGTAGAACAAAAACCAAAGCCGGAATCGGACCTTTCTGTTAACCATTCTGTTGCTGATGAATTAAATGGTGTCGTTGCTACTGCCGATTCCGTAGAATCGCCTACCGGTGATCAAGATGCTGAGATCGAAGAAAGTGAAACAGATAATTCTTTAACAATTCAGCAAAATGATCATGCATCATTTATTTCAGAAAGATCACGCGTAGATTCCGTTTCAACCGGTTCAAGTTCTACCGTGAAACCAGTGGAAAAAGCAGGAAAAATATACCCCAAAGTGTTTGTGTTTCAAGCATTCGAAGAGCTTTCAAAAGCTAAAGCTGTGAAACGAAATAAAAAATTGCGTGAGTCAGTTGATCATGTTCTCTCTGAACTGCAAAAGCAACCTTTTCTTCTTCCAGAAGCACTACTAGAACCCCTTGCACTTGCTTGTAGCACCTCCAGCAAAACTGTGCTTACCATTACTCTTGACTGTTTAAGCAAGTTAATTACCTACAATTACTTTGATGTACCTCATTTGAATGCTTCAGAGTTGACACTCATGGAGAAAGTAGTCAACATAATTGCTTCTTGCTTTGGCGGAGAATCAACACCGGAGAAAGTGCAGTTGCAAATAGTCAAAGCTCTCTTAGCTGCGGTTACTTCTAAACATTGTGTCATCCGTCATTCTTCGTTACTAATGGCCGTTCGACAAACCTACAACATTTTCTTGCTTTGCAAGAATCCCTCAATTCAAGCAATTGCCCAAGTCGCATTAACTCAAATGATCGATAGTGCCTTTCAACGTCTATCCGTCGTGTTGGATGAAGAACGGATTTATCCAACAGAAGACGAAACCTCGACAACCTCTGAAAAAACTCGAGATCCTGTTGACAAAACAGATACGGCTACTATTGACAATGAAGAAACACAGAAAATTACACTCGAATCTTTTGAGAATCGAAAGAGTTTTGAACAGGTTCGAGAAGAAGCGCCTCCAAGCGAACAAAGCTTGGAGCAGCAACTATTACGAGACGCTTTCTTACTTTTTCGGGCGCTTTGTAAGCTATCAATTAAACCCATCTCTTACGATAATGAGTATGATTTGCGCTTACATTCTATGCGTTCGAAGCTTATGAGCTTGCACTTAATTTATCGGATTTTATCAAAGCATATGAACATTTTTACGAACACAAGACTTGCTATTCAATCCTCCTCTTCGCCCCCCACACCATTTATCTACGCTATTAAACAGTACCTTTGCCTTTCCCTTTCAAAAAACGCGGTTAGTCATGTTCTTCCTGTTTTTGAAATATCTTGTGAAATCTTTTGGTTAGTTTTGAAAAACATGAAGAATTTACTGAAAGAGGAAATTGAGGTTTTCTTTACGGGAATTTTCTTTCCTATATTTGAAATGAAGTCTTCTACAGCAGAACAAAAGATCATACTTCTGAATACTTTCTATCGCATATCTAGAGAACCTCAAACCCTGATTGAGCTATACCTTAATTATGATTGTGCTGGGGGAAATACTGACAACATATACGAACATATGATTAATGTTCTCTCAAAAACTGTGAATATGAACATGAACCATCCTCCTGTTGCAGAACTTCCGTCTGGTTCAAATGATTTTACGGAAATAACTGGCTATGTCTACAAAACATTAGATGAAACACCTGTACTCAATGTTTCCGCCGTTTCGATATACTCCTCATTACAAACGCCCCCACACCTAGATTATCAAATTAAAGTGAAGTCTTTCAAATGTCTTCTTTCGGCTATGGTATCTCTCATATCATGGTGCAAAAGCGACTTTTTTACTGCGGCTTCTGGAAATGCAACTGATGAAAGCAATGACGAAACTAGCCGGGCTGATGATGCGTCTACATCCTTTGATAACAGTACCAACAGATATGCGAACTCATCAAGCGATGTTAATGATGGAGCTTCCACCCGTGCCTTGGATGATCCTTCTCAGTTTGAGAGTCTGAAGCATAGGAAAAATCAACTGCATGAAGCCATTAAAAAGTTTAACTTTAATTCTAAACATGGATTGAAAATGCTGCTTTCTCATGAGTTTATCAAGTCTGATTCGCCTGAGGATATTGCGTATTTCTTGCTGCATACGGAAGGCCTAGACAAAACAATGATTGGTGAATACCTAGGTGAGGGAAATGAGAAAAGTATTAGTGTAATGCATGCACTTGTCGATCAACTGAACTTTAAAAAGCTTCCATTCGTTAGTGCCTTACGCCAATTCTTACAGTGTTTCCGTCTCCCCGGAGAGGCCCAGAAAATTGATCGCTTCATGTTAAAGTTTGCTGAAAAGTATGTTGTTGATAATCTCGGTGTCTTCAGGAATGCTGATACTGCTTATGTTCTGGCTTATTCCATAATCATGCTTAACACTGATCAACACTCGCCTCAAGTGAAGAATAAGATGACGAAAACCGACTTTATTAAAAACAATCGTGGTGTCGATGATGGAGCTGACTTAAGTGATGAGTATCTTGCAGCCATTTATGATGACATTCAAAAAAACGAAATTGTTTTAAAAACCAAAGATGAAATTATGGGACCAAGTGCTCCATGGCACAATTTGGTTGCAAGCTTGGGGGGTCCTCTCAAAGTTGTTGCTAAGGATGTTCAGCGTGAGGCTTATTACATGGCTTCAAATCGAATGGCTACAAAAGCAGAAGAGCTTTTTAAGGATTTGCTACGTCAACAAAAGCATACTTCTTCGCAGATTGGTAAAAACATATACTATATTGCAAGCCATTGGGAACATGTTGGTCCCATGTTTGAAGTAGTTTGGATGCCCATTCTTGCCGCACTCTCCATTCCTCTTCAGCTGTCAATGGATGATGCCTTAATTAGGCTATCCTTAAATGGTTTTGAGTTGGCCTTGGATATTGTTTGCTTGTTTGATTTGGAATTGCCAAAAAATGCTTACATCCAAACCCTGACTAAGTTTACTCATTTAAGCAATATATCTGAGATGCAGTCAACCAACATATATATCCTGCATACATTATTAAGTATCGCTCTTATTCATGGAAATGAATTGAAGGATTCTTGGCTTCACGTGTTGCGATGCGTAAGCCAGTTTGAAAGACTACAATTAATTACTGCGGGCGTATCCGGGGAAACTATACCTGATGTCTCTTTTGGGAAAGTTAGACGCTCTTTCTCTTCTGATCATAAGGACAGCGCACCTGCTATTCAGAAATCCAAACATGTCCGCTCTATATCGGCAGTCGATTCAGTAACTCCAGAAATTGCAGAAAAATCACGTTCGAGGGAACTAATTGTGGCTGTCGACAAGTTGTTCTCAAGTACTGTCAATCTATCGGGTGAAGCAGTTTCTTATTTCGTTAAGGCTTTAATTGACGTTTCGTGGGAAGAAATCAATATTTCGGCTGAGTTGAAAAATCCGCGCATGTTTGGAATCCAAAAAATTGTCGAGTTATGTTACTACAACATGGGCCGAATTCGAATGGAATGGTCCAATATATGGACACTCTTGGGCGATTACTTTAATAAGGTTGGATGCCATAGAAATCCGGTAATTGCATCATTTGCATTAGACTCTCTTCGTCAACTTTCAATGCAATTTTTAGAAATAGACGAATTATCTCATTTCAAGTTTCAGAAAGCGTTTCTTCACCCTTTTCTTTATGCGATGGAAAATTCTTCGAGTGACGGCATTAAAGACTTAATTCTCCACTGCGTTCTCCAAATTATAAAGGCACGCTCACAAAATATTCGTTCAGGATGGCGAACAATATTTATGATCTTAACGTCGGCAGCCGAGCAGGAGAATGCTTCGCTTTTGAATACGGCTTTTGCTGCCTGCACTTTAATATTTAGAAGCTCCATAAAACCTGTGCTGTCTCAGCATGCTTCTAATGACATGCTGGCATGTTTCGCAAGCTTGGCTATTGTTAATTTGGATCAAAAGCTAAGCTTGGGAAGTTTGGAACTTATTAAGAGAACTGAGGACTATCTGCTTGTTTTTGAAGATGAAGATTCTCAGCAACAGAATGACGAAGCTGAGTTGAAGTATTTACGCTATTCGTACCTGGAATCGTTGATTAAGGTCATTAAATGCTCTCACGATTTAGAAGTTCGTTCTCGTGCACTTTCTTACTTTTTTGACTCGTTGACTAAAAACGCATCAAAATTTAGTGATGATTTTCTTTTTGATTTATGTCAAGAATTGATAATGCCGTTATTTGCTATTAATGATCAAAGCCAGCTGGCTCTTCAAGAAGAAGAAGGCGATGTTTGGGTGCTTACTACAATGGTAGAAGCACTTCGTTACTTCCTGGAATTTATTGAAAAACATTTTCCCAATCTGCAACCGCTTTTCTCAGTGTTGGTTAAATGTCTTGAAGGTTTCATATGTCAAGAGAACAGCATGCTTTCGAAAATTGGCGTCAGCTGTTTGTCAGAGTTTATTCAACAAAACGCACAACATTTTGTAGACGAAAACTGGAAACTTATCGTTAAGACGTATGAGGACATCCTTGATCGATCATTGCCTGTTGGTATTCATGCTTTGGCCGCTCGCATTGGTGAAGAGAACAAAAGTGTTGATGCAGATCAGGCATCTTTAGAACATCAAACAGGGCAAGAAGTTGCTTCATCTAACAATAGCTCATTCAAAGCTAATCGTCTCAAAAATAAACAGTTAAAAGCTGTGGTTATAAAGTGTTCTTTGCAACTTTTGATTTTGGAATCTTTGGAATCATTACTCACAGATAAAAAAGTGCTGTGCGCCATTCCGACCTCTTCAAGTTTTAATTTATTACTTGTCATCAAAAGATCATGGACTTTTGCCGTCGAATTTAATAACGATAGCAAGACCCGCCTTTCTCTCTATAATACAGGGTTCATGAGTTATCTTCCTAATCTTCTTGGGCAAGAGTCTCTATGTGCTACAATATTTTTAAAGTTTACATTTAGTCTTTTGGGAAAAGCGCCCACTGACTCGGAGAATATGACTACCGATGAACTTGAAAGCAAAGTATTTGAGCAACTTAAGCTTGCTCTACAGCTCGTACAACAAGGTTACAGTCGGGTGATAACGGAATCCTCGAATAAAGGAATTGCATCCTACCAGTCTATTCTCCTTTTTGTCTCAGAGGCGGTCCTTGCGCTTCCTCCTCAACATGTGGTTATGGTCAAGAGTATGTTTTACAATTTTTTTGCATATTGTCTACAGTTTGGACAGATTGACAAGAACCTTGGCCAAAGCCTTTCAAAGTTTTTCTTAAGAACCGCTGACATGGTGGAGACGAAATAACGTGTTTGATGAGAACTACCAATTCTACTATGAAAGGGGGGTGAAAGACATCAATACTCAAAGACTATTGAGACATGAATAATGAGTTTCACAAATCAAACCTCTACCATTACTTAATCCCTTTACCAATCCACTTGCATTTATATATATTTCATTTGTCCAATTTTGGAATGTTTGAACTTACGGAGCGCTGCAAGTTGTACGAAACCTTAATAACGATCCTTTTCTTTAGCGTGATTGCCTAAAAAGCATACTTTATCTTAAACATTCGGTACTCTGGATAGTCTCGTCCGTCTTCTCTGCATGTCAAAAGAACAGTTTTTGAGAGATGCTGTTGATTCTCAATCGTGTAGATTGTGCTTACGGAAACGTTTGTAAATGCTGTAGAGATGCCAAGCTCACTGTTGTTTGGTTTTTCTGGTTTCTCCTTTGCTGAAGTTGGAGAGGACAGGCTCACTTTTTTTGAAGATGCCAAATTCTTGGAGTCAGAGAGCAGAGAGTTGAATTCATCGATTAGCTCTTTCGTTTTTGAAGTTTTTATGTGAGATTCTGTTTTCTGTGTGGGGTTAACATTATCCGCTGTTCTCTTAACTAGCTTCTTTCCGTTTCTTGATAGTGCCGATTGCTCAACGTTTCGTTTCTTTCCGAACAGTGAATGTTTGTTAACACGATTTAAGGGTTTGAAGATATTCAATATACAAAGGTTTGAGTTCATTTGGAACGGCAGAATGTAAGCATGCTTTTGTATCCGTATGAATGTCTAAACTTTTGCTTGTGGATGCTTTTTTTGGCTTCGCATTACCATTGCTGGAACAATAAGAAGTGTAAATGCTTACGGCAATGGATATCGTTGCACAAACGAGTTTGCAGAAGACCCGATAAAAAAAGACGAAACCGAAGCTAGCGCAAATAAAATTTAAGAGCATCTGTAGCAATTTTAAGATCATATTTACCGATTCCTTTCTGTGTTTGGAGTTGCCCGTATCAAACCATAAGGTCGAAACACTGGGGAATGTCTTGCTTAGGTTCATGTTATGTTGTTTCAATAAATGTCTCTGAAAATAAGGCGACAAAGAAGAACTGCTTCAGTAAGCGTGTAAATTATTTTAGATGTAGTTGTTTAAAGTGGTATCAATCATGGCTGTTTACATACCAACATTTGGGCAATTCACGTAAACAAATGCGATCGACTCAAACCTACCAAGTAATGAATAAACAAATGCCACATTCAAAAAACAAATAGATAAATTTCAGCATTTTACATTAAAGGAGTGTTTATCAGTAAGTGAAATTACTCAAAATGAAAAGTTAGCCGGAGTATCCGAGCATAACATATCTGTTATTGCAATTACAGCAACAACTCCAAGGGGTTCTCCACAACCTTCTTCAAGGCTGAGGTAAAACGAGCAGCAATAGCACCGTCAACAACACGGTGGTCAGCACTCAAGGTGCACTTCATAATAGGAGCAATCTTGAATCCCTTCTCAGATGTAGCATCGGGAACAACTGTCTCGGTGGTAGTACCAACAGCCAAAATGCATGCTTGAGGAGGGTTGATGATGGAGGTGAAGTGTTCAATAGGGAACATACCCAAGTTGGAGATCGTGAAAGTACCGCCCTGGTACTCTTCAGGAGAAAGCTTGTTATCACGAGCACGAAGGCCAAGATCCTTGGCCTTCTGGGAAATTTCGGACAAACCAAGGGCTTGAGCACCCTTGATAACGGGAGTCAAAAGACCAGTGGCAGTAGCAACAGCCATAGAGATATCAACGGTCTTGTACTGGCGGATAAAGTCACCCATCCAGGCAGAGTTAGCCTCGGGAACTTGACGAAGAGCAGCAGCGGTAGCCTTAATGATCATATCATTGACAGAAAGTTTATAACGGCCATCTGCCATAGCGTTCAAGGCAGTGCGAAGACGCAAAATCTTATCCATGTTCAGAGACACCGTAACGTAGTAATGAGGGTTGACATTCTTGCTCTCACTCAATCTGCTTGCAATGATCTTACGCATGTTGGTCAAGGGAATATCATCATACTCGGCAGCAGCGGCAACTTGTGCTGCAGGAGCTTGTGCTTGAGCCTGTGCAGGAGCTTGCTTCACCTCAGCGGGTTGGAAGCCCAAAACGTCGGACTTGATAACACGTCCATTGGGGCCAGAAGCCTTCACGTCAGCAAGGTTGATGTTCTTCTCAGCAGCCAACTTGCGAGCAATGGGGGAAGCAAAAATACGGTCACCGGCAGCAGCACCAGTTTCGGAAGAAGCCGGAGCATTTTCAGTTGCCTTTGCAGGCTCAGCGGCTTCCGTTTTCGGGGCTTCAGAAGAAGCTGGAGCAGCGGCAGCTTCTTCGGGCTTAGCATCTTCCAACTTGAAATCAGCAAAAGCAGGAACATCCTCTGGGTCATCAACGGTCAAGCACAAAGGGACACCGACGGGAACATTTTGAGCTCCACTCTCGATGAAGATCTTAGCCAAATATCCCTCTTCTTGTTGCTCGAAGTCCATTTGGGCCTTGTCAGTTTCAATCTCACAAAGGACATCACCGACTTCGATCTTGTCACCAATAGCCTTGTGGTAGGCACCGATGTTTCCCTCGGACATTGTAGGAGACAAAGCAGGCACATTAATGATGGTATGAGGAGGGTACTCTGAAATAAATAATAGTTAGCATTTGAACTCGAAATTCAAGAAATAAACCCGTAAACACGAATCCTTACTTTTTGTAGCATAAGTGCGGACATGGTTAGACAACAGAGGACAAAGCAGTCTGTTTGTTTCTGCCGTTAAGCTGTCATAAAGTTAGTGCTAGGATCTTCAAACAACAACATTCCATGAACGTCGAGTTTTTTGCATACCATCTCTTAGAGAGCAGAGATCTAGCTACTGCTGCTCCATAACGGACTTGACGGGTGAATTTGATTGACAACATGAGTTCCCTGGCCTTAACTCAGTGTAGCTGGAGCAGGTTACAGATGGACGTGGTGGGGAGCTGAAGACAACTTGTAGGGGATTTAGGCACGGCGAAATAGACGAGTCTGTTGATAATCTACAATTCAATCGAATAAGTGAGTGGAGAAGAAGATACTAAGCGATAGTTTAATTGGTAAACTTCATGTGATTTTTGACTATTTGAATTAAATATTTCATGTATTTAAAACACCCAGCAGGCCACTCGTGCGGCTTAAACAGGAGAAACAGCGGAACTAGTTTGATGTAATTTTGTCCACTCATAGTTTGTATATCGAAATTGTTATTTCTGTAAGTGCATTTTTCTCCTTTTCAATAAAAAAAAAAAAAAAAAAAAAAAAAAAAGAGAAAAAAAAAGGGAAATACACGGATCAACAACAATAGTGTTCAAAGTATACCAAGTAACATCTTAAAGAGTAACAAAAGCAGATCCAAAAAAGAAATATAAAAGAACGACAGAGATGCTTCAGTCAGTAGCGGTAATATGTAACAAAAAACGGATGACTAAATGACAATTACTGTTAGTTTAATAACGGTAGTTATGATGAACAGATTTAAGAGGTGCCTTAGTTGCAACATTCCTTCTGTCGGTAACACTTATATGACAAATTACATGAAGTAAGAGGATCGAGTAACATCAATTTGACGCAATAAAATAAACCATTAATTCAATTCAAAGTGGTCAATGTCCCTTCAAACAGATACACTGTACCTTCCTCATGCATAACAACGTTGACCAGTTTCATCCGTTAACGCAAGAAGATCTTATAAAAGGCGAAAAACAAATAGCAAGTCTTGATGAGCAACATCAGGAACTTGTTCGCTGCGTTGGACAATGCACACTAAAACCTCAGACGGCGAGAGAACCTTATGAAGGTCTAATCCATGCCTTGACCTACCAGCGACTTTCGGACAGTGCTGGGGATGCCATATTAGGTCGTTTGTGCCAACATTTTCACAAGAAATCATTTCCGTCTGTGCAAGAGTTGTTAAGTCTTGATACAGAGGATTTGCGTTCATTCGGATTCTCACATAGAAAAGGTGAAACAATTTTGGAGCTGGCGAATATGGCAGCTGATGGAAGCTTGCCATCGCGTGAAGAGATTTCACACATGCCACTTGACAAAATGATTGGCATTTTCACCAAAGTGAAGGGCATTGGTGCATGGACCGTAGAAAAGTACGCCATATTTACTTTGGGCAGGCCAAACGTTATGCCAACAATGGACAGAGAGATACGTGAAAACGTACAGCTTCTCTATCATTTAGACCATACACCTACAGATGTTGAAATGGAAGAACGCTCACGAGCTTATGTTCCGTATAAAACAGTAGCTTCATGGTATTTATGGCGAGTACCCGAACTCATTGTCGAGCGAAATCAGAAAATGTGAGTTGTGACAAACACTATTGATGTCAATGGGAATCCTCCTCCCATGACGACAAAGCTTTCATGGCTGCCCGTGTCCCAGCAAGCTTGATGTTAGAGCCAACACCCCATGAGACTTCACTGCCATTAATAATGCATGCGACTTTATACTCTTCTCTCTGACCCATTTTTTTCTCAATACAGCGGTACTCAACCTTGCCGCCAGCTTTTCCAATTCTGCGTTGGAGTTCTGCCTTGGCAAGCTTGTTGATAGGAGGTTCCATCTTGAATCGAACAAGCTCCGGTTCAATGAGCTGTTTCACCCACTCAAATGCGGCATCAATTTGGTTATCTAGGTAAAGTGCACCCAGATAAGCTTCAAAAACATCAGCAACAACCTTTGTGCATTTACGCAATTGACTTTTTTCACCACAGAGGCCCAGTTGAAGCTTCTCATGTAGACCGTAGAGAGTTGCAAACTTACTGACCATATCGTTTCCGACCAAAGTCGCGCGAAGTTTCGAAAGCTCTCCTTCATTTGCGTTGGGGAACCGTTCATAGATGATCTTTGTCACAATTCCTTCCAATACATCATCCCCAAGAAATTCTAGCCGTTCATTGTGTTTCGATAGCAGCTTGCGAGCATCAAGACAGTGTGGAAAAAGTTCGTTAGCCCGGGATTTATGAGTGAAAACTTGCTCTTCGAGTTTCTTTTGACGAATTATAGGTAGTGGAGGAGGATACTTGCATGAAACGTTGTTTGCAATTTCTATGTGCTCCGTCTCATCACTAGTTTTTTGTTCAAGCGTTGGTTGTGAACTTTGTCTGTTCTTATCTTTCAGTTTCAGATATGCTGATTCTAAGTCAACATAAAAGTCGCAACCAATTGTACTGTTTACGACGTCCTTTGCCGATTGATCTAGGTCAGCCATTAATCGTCCCAGTTCTCGCTCAACTCGAAGCATCTGAACTCTAATCACATCTTCCTTCGATGGTTCTAATTGAGCTGGCGGCCGTCTTTTCATGTTTCTTTTTAGAGCTTATTTGATTTTTTTTAGAGAAAGAAGTTGCAAACTTTGGTAATCTGATTTCTTTCTAAGGGAAAGAGTTTTTAAGAACATAAATTTGACAAAAACAATAGTTGACAGTGTTCTGTAGTCAGTACTTTGTATCCGTCTTACGCAGAATAACTCATCAACTGTCTACGAGTGTTTGCCATACGTATAAGCGTGTAAACCTCAAGTCTTTCACTTTATGACAATACTAGCACAACCGATATGACCGTTTTTCTTTCAACAGTGTACCACGTAAACTGAACTATAATAAGCCTAAAATTTACACCTCGGAAGACCTTAGTAATCGACACTGTTACTTAATTAGGTGTGTATCGTCGAAGGACATATTCAATCAAAACCTAACTGCTTAAGACGAGATTTTTATGCAGGGAAGGTTATTATTGAAAAACAGCTCACAAACAATCCAATGAAATTCATTTCAATAGTTACATTGAATTGTTTCTATTTTCATATGGTCAAAACAAAAATTTGAATTAAAATTAAGAAATAAAAGAATTAGACCACAGAAAAACACACAAACATAGTGCAAGAATGTATTTTTCTGTATTTTTTTATTAGTTTTGTTATTTTACTTCTCTACTCTATGCTTAGTCATCAAAAAAAATCCTCATATAAAAATTGGTGGCGCCGATAGCTGAACTTACAGTAAGCCTACACCAGGAAAAATGGATTTGTTTTCTTTGCACAGTGGTAGGAAGTTTAATTCGCAGTTCTCACTGAGACCTTACTTGACGAACGAAGAGAATTCTACGACAAGTTCATCGAATCGTACTGACGACGATGTTGCTCCTGTTGCCGCTACCGATAAGGTAGTTGTAGTTGGAGCGGCTTCGCCCCTCAGCACTGGTTCCAGTGACTTGGAGAAGGATTCTGCATCTGTTTCTTCTGAAGCTTCGTCTTGCGAAGTGACATGGGAGGGACTGGACGACAAACTGGATCCAAGGAATTGGTCGACATTGAGGAAATGGATTGTGATATTCCAAATTTCTATGATTGCTTTTGTGGTTACCTTTGGTTCTAGTATTTATTCGTGTGCGGTGGATGAAGTTCATGATGATTTTCATGTATCTATACCGGTCGCAACCTTGGGTTCCTGTGTTTATTTGGTTGGGTTTGGCATGGGGTCTATGGCATTTGCACCGTTAAGTGAGGTCTATGGGCGCTTAATCGTGTATTTGATAACGCTCTTGGGATTTGTGCTCTTTCAGATTGGCGGAGGTGCTGCCACGAATATACAGACACTGATCATCATGCGTTACTTCCAAGGTGTCTTTGGAAGTACTCCTTTGGCTAATGCTGGTGGGACTATCAGTGATCTATTCACGCCTGCTCAGAGAACGTATGTCTTACCTGGCTTTTGCACGTTCCCGTATCTCGGTCCAGTGCTCGGGTCAATAATTGGAAGCTTTATCGTTCAGAGCAAATTACGTTGGAGATGGTGTTTCTGGATTAACATGATATGGGCTGGTAGCACTTGGGCTATGGCTTTCTTCATATTACCAGAGACGCATGGTCCTACTATTTTAAGTTACAAGGCGAAGTACCTACGAGAGGTTACGGGGAACACAAAATGGCATACCGAGTTTGAAAGAAGTCGGAACCCAAAGAACGCCATTTACCAAGCAGCAACGAAATCCGTAACCATCATTTGTACTGAGCCTATTGTTGTTTGCTTTACGCTTTACCTAACCCTTGTGTATGGCGTCGTTTACATAAACTTTGAAAGTTACCCTATCATTTTCAAAGGCTATGGGTTCAATACCGGTGAGGTTGGTCTTTCTTTTATTGGAAACGGGCTTGGCATCATCATAGCCGGTTTAGCAACTCCTTTGGTTTATAAGCACTATAAGCACTGCCTGAAAAAACGGAACAATAAAGTTGTTCCGGAAGACCGTTTATATCCCTTACTACCTGCTTCATTCCTTTTGCCGATATCTTTGTTTTGGTTTGCATGGACGTCTTATACGTCTGTTCCATGGATTGTTCCTATCATAAGTACGATATTCTTTGGCATTGGCTTGTTGATTACGTTCTTTGTATCTTACAATTACATTATTGACTCTTACCAAGGATTTGCAGCCAGTGCTCTTTCATCCGCTACTCTTGTCCGGTATTCGGCAAGTGGCGGATTGACCATGCTGGCACGTCCTATGTTTTTGCATCTTGGGACACAGTGGGCCATGTCACTCTTAGCTTTCTTGGCTGTTGTTATGGTGCCAATTCCTTTTTTGTTTCTTAAATATGGAAAGCGGATTCGTCAGATCAGTCGGGATGCTTGTAAGGACTAGGGCAGCAGATCTTCCACAAAGTTGCCGGGGGCTTCTCTGAAAATGAAATGTGAATACGTGCTGTTGTTCCTAACTTCTGAGGCTGTGTATCTTGCTTGAAACAACAGTATTCTATAGAGATTATTTGCTTACGGGTTATATTCTAATAAAGTCTTCTACATTCATGAAGCCCCTTGAATTTGATCGACGGTAATGGAATTTGCGTATCTTAGGTATTGCCTATTTGTGCATCTTAAATAAACAATTCCGTTTAGGATCCACTCTGATTCTGAATGACTCTCGTTCCAACTACTTAAAGTTTAATGACATTGCGTTTTATTTGTAACAACTATGAACTGCATGATTCATCTGAAGTTAATAGCTGCTTATAAATGGTCTTGAGGAGCGATTCCGTGCAAAATTAGTGCATTCAATGTTAGCGAACACAAAACGATACTTTTCTTCCCCTTCGTTCATTTTATATTGACAAGTTTAGCGTACTTTTACATGTTCAAAGGTGCGTATCAAACGTTACAGATTCTCCACTGGCTGAACCTTGAATACTGGCACTAATGACCCGCTGGACAGAGAGCGTGTGTTGAGGTGGGACAGGTGTCAAACTTCTGTCGTTGTTCTCGATACATTTGGCAATTTGTCTGTAAAAGAAACGATAGTCACCAATAGTTGTTGGAACAGTCTCTTTGATAATATCAGGTTCAACTACATCGTCTGTATACCATAAAGATCCATAATTGTCCGGATGGTCTTTTCCGTATGCTGGGTCGTCAGGTTTCATACCCTTGGCAATCTGTTTTTCCTGAGGGTCGAAGCCTTCCTTGACAAATGTACCCTTCGTTCCTCGCACAATAAACCTTGGAGTGTAGCCAGGGGCGACAAATGTTGATCTGAGAATTACTTCTGTTGGGAGTTGTTCATTATCGGCTGAGTAGTGCAGGACAATGTAATAATAATCGTCCAAACCCAAAGGCGGAAACTGCCTTTGATTCATTACTTTAGCAGTGACGCCTACGGGTTCACCAAAAAGAGCAATCGCTTGGTCGATAAGATGAGAACCAATGCCATACAGTAAACCATTGGCATAACCCAGTTCTCCTTTCCAACTTTTCTTTGATCCAAGGGAAACTGAGTATCGGTCAAAATGAGATTCGAATTCAACAATTTGTCCCAATCTTCCTGACTCGATAAGATTCTTGACCGTCATATAATCGCCATCCCATCGACGGTTTTGATAGACACACAAAAGCCGGTCCACTTTGTCGGCTAGTTCAAACAACTTCTTGGCTTCCTCAACAGTTTCTGTAAACGGTTTTTCACAAACAACGTGTTTATGGGCGTTTAAAGCCTTTGTAACAATTTCCTCATGACAAGCAGGCGGAAGGGAAACCACAACGAGCTCAATAGCAGTGTCAGCCAAAAGTTCATCGACGTTTGTGAAGACTTTTATGTTTGGATACTTCTCCTTCGCTTTTGAGTACGTTTCTGTTGCCCGTCTTTCCCAACAAGCATAAAGCTCATATTGCTTTGGAAGGGCTTCTAAGTATGGAAAATGAAAAATGGAGGCAGAGACGCCTGTGCCAAGAACAGCTACTTTTATACGTGCCATAAAATAACGTGAAAATGGATACCTTCCTTTGCTTAATTAAAGAAGTTTTAATGCGCTGTTGGTAACTAGTAATCGGTATGTAGGTGTTTCCTTAAGTGAGAGTCTTCATCCGCTTCGTTTGACAAACGAATTATTGAAACGTCATCCTGTGTTCATCTCACGTTTTCGTCTACATCAGTATGCTACAGTAGTAACTTCAGTTTACCGACATTTCGTCTCGATAGCATCTTATATGAGTTGAAATGTGCAACCGAAAAGCTTAATCCTTGTAAACTTCAATTGACGAGACCCACGATCATGATTAGCAATTAGCGCTTTAAGAGAAGCATATGATAATACGAATCAGCTTGTCGTCGTTTGTTGATGAATGTGGTTCGTTAATATCGCTTATGTGTGAGAAGGAGAGAGTCAACGAGCAAATGGCTCATTTTTGGGAAGCTTAGTAATCGTAGCGTGTTATTATTTTCAGATGACTTCTATAACCCGTCTGGGGCCAGGTTTCATTATACTTTGTTAATATTTGAAAACTTGCTACAATAAACAAATACAAATACATCAGTTTCCTAGTTCTCTTCCATTTTTTTTTATGTAAACATAATATATACTGTTAAAGTCGTTCACGTAAAAAGTTTCTAACTCTACGCAACGAATAGTAAATTTTAGCTGCTACTGTGTTATTTATGCTTAAAAATGCCTTCACTAATTGCTTTCAATTGTTTCAATGAATGTATAAAGTTACCATGAGCTATGCACAGCATCAAAAACGTTTGTATATTATAGACGAGAAAACAAAGATACCATGAGCTATTTTACTCAATCTGCAACAATGGATTTCCACCCGTTATTAAGCTCCTCTCTTATGAACTTCAGAGGTTTCATGGTGGTGAGTTGAAGAAGAACCGCGTCTTTCCTAACCTTAACTTAATTAAGCTTGGTATTTGTCGCGCAGTAAAATCGGCATAAAACTAAGTTATACAGGGTCAGCACGTTCAGCGCAATTAACAGCCATTGCAATGCTACCAGCAACTAGTATTCACAATTAAAATTCTCTGGTTGTGAGGTTAGTCAATAGAAATAATTATGATATTATGAAGAGGATGTTTTTGCTGATGGTTACTCTAAGGAATGCAATACCCACAATAAGGGTATTCGGCATTACCATCCCTGTCGTTTGTGGCTGCCATGATCATGCAAACCGCACTACTACGAGCTGACGAATTATGTATCCCAGACTCCTGTGCTTTTTGTTAGCTGTTAATACTTTTTTCTGTCTAAAAAAGGGCCAATCCAATGTGGTCTGGCGCAGTTAATATTAGACACGCTGGTAAACAATTGTATCAAGCATGACAAACCTTTATTCATTTGTAATTATTCGCTGCTGTTCGCTTGTTACGACAACTGTAGAACTGCAATTAATCCTGCAACCAATTATATGCACTCACTTTGATATTTAACATTGCACGTTATAAAAAAGCGGCGATCTGCTTAAAGCAAAGTTTAAAAAAACAATATATGACAGCCTGCTTTTCTCTACATTAGTATAATAAAATTAGAATGTGCAATGTGGAAGAAAGAGGCAGATACTGTCCGCTGCTGATTTGTTATGAAGCCAAGGAGACAAGCGTGTTCCCAAGAGGCTTCTCAATTGTAAGTTTATACGTACCACTGCTCACCTGACATCTGTCAAGAATAAATAGGAAACATTCCGTAATGTTGCCTGTTCATAAGAACAATTCAACAGGGGGTATGTGGGTTCCAGCTTAATTAACATGGGGCGGAGGGTGGATGCAAAAGTTACAAATTTCAGTTATTATCCCATGGTTCACGTAAACGAAGGCTATATAAGAGTAATGTGTTTCCGTTTGGAAACCTCATCCTATACAGACAATGAGTTTCAAGTCCAGCGTTAAGTTTTTGAGTGTTTTGACTGCCATCTCGGCCATTCCCGGGTTTGGTCAGTGTGTGGACAACCTATACAGAGTCCGTAATGCTGTATTGTACATGCAGACTATCCCTATGATGAATCTAGAGGAGAAGTGTGGTTCAATGGCTCGAAAATTGTTACCACTGATGGCCTCCCTGCTCTCGAAGACATTGGAATTTACACATATTCCAGTGCGAATTACTTGACGAAAGTGGTGGAATTGGCAGAAGAGTCGATTTCTAAAGGCCACACTTCCGACGCTGTCTTGCTTTACCATAAATTCCGTTATTCGGGAGATCACGCAGCAACGGCTCTTCATGAGGACAGTGACATGTCTAAGGATATTGCTAAGTGGATCAAGCAAGGAACTGAAACTGATGGTTTGAAGAAGAGAGCCGAGGATGTTGCTTCTATCCTTGCTGATACTGCATCCACCGCGGATGTATCTAGTTATTTTGCCAATCTTGTTTCTTTAGTAAACACCACCACGCAAACGCAAACGCAAACGCTTCAAGAGAGAAGTAATATCGTGTGTCATCCCGCCCATCAGGCACCTAAACAAGCATGCAGACAACTGCTTCAGGCCATTGCCAATGACCACACTATTAAAGACATGCGACACCAAGCAGTCGGATATAACGGTTGCTACGTCAGTTACAGTCCTGCAGCTCCTGTTTTTCTTGACCAGCTTCACGATCCCGCACAACAATGTATCGACACATGCTCTGGTGATTATGTCAGCTGCAGAAATATCGGTCTTACAATGGTTCGAGACTGGACTATTACTGAATGTCTTTCTAACCGTCCTGACGGATGCCGCTAATTGTTTCATAGTTTTCAACTTTAGTGGTTAAATGAACGACTATTATTGTACGTATTGTTAAATGCGCTGTTTTCATTCTCAACCTTAATAATTTTTGTTTGTTCAATGGATATACTCCATATGCGTATGTGAGTAATTTGAAATGCAAATGTTCTTCCGATGTTCTTCAGAAAAGAAAGGAATATACAGAACTGTTGTCTGAAAGCAATAAGGCACTACATTCTATAGCAAGAAACTAGAAGCGAAACCCCACACCGCAATTCATGTCTCTCGGTGCGAAGTTAGATTTCCTTCTATGACATGTCGTACATTAAGCACCCGATAATGCGTACCACAGAAACAAGGTAACCCCAAGCCCTTTCAACTATAACGTATATAAAGGATACATTCATAATATTCGTCATCAAGTGAACCAAGAAGTACTCTTCTTTTAATCAAGGGAATAATAATAACTTTTGAAACGACTGCGTATGACACCTAAATGCCCTCTAATTATTAGTTGCCGAAACTAGTAACCAAGTATTATACAGTGGTCGTGTAAAGGCTACAATTGTATTTAAAAAAAAAAAGTGCATAATTAATATTACTTATTCCAAGTAATTATACTGTTCTGTAAACACCCATCACAAGGTTTACGTTTATCATATTGCGCGTTTCCATTGACGCGGAGGCCGTAGGCCTACATTAACACCACATGTTGAGATCCTCTCATAGCGAGTAAGGGAAATGCAATTCGGTTAGAAAAAGCTTAATATTATCATCTTGGCTGAATGCGAAATCATTTATGTGAGGATACTCTTGATGCCGGTAGCAATTAATGTTTTTATTATCAACCATAGAGTGTTCTAGAATGAGTTTCTACGTAATTGAAGGAATTCTTAATGCCCCATCGATCACTAAACCGAGGATGTATAATCAAAGCCTGGTTATATATTTGACGCTGTTCGGTGTCTGACAAAGTACAAACTATCGTTAAATGTATTAGATATCAATAAATAGCAGGCGCTCGTCCGATCACTTGCTTTAAGCAATCTTGTTTAACAACTAACATTCTCTACACTTTTGTAATAGGAATGGAAAATGCAACTCAACGAAGAAAATGGGGATACTTCAGACACTGTTCACCTGCCATTTTTTTATTAAGGAAGGGAAAACAGCTCTAATGTCGCTTGTTTATAAGAACAATTTGACAGGAGTATGCGATTTTCGGCTTAGCGAATATGGGGGTGAAGGGGAAAGGTGAATGCAAAAAAGTTACAATTTTCGGTTTTTATTCCATGATTTATATACAATTGAGACTATATAAGGCTAACTTATTCTCCTATATAGAGACTCAAAACCTACGGACAATGAGATTAACTATAAACGAGATAATTATCACTAGTTCTAATTAGTTGTTTTTTCTGTGAAGGTATTTTCTTCCACTAAACACTGCTCATAAGTCAACAGAGCAGTTTTTAAGGTTTTTCGGCCGCACGATTAAGCGATAGGTTAAACCCTTTCACATACGTTAACGTTTGGTGCGATACGCTAAACTCCTGCTATAGTTAATGAAGTACTGGGGTTCAAAAGCATCCTTGACAAAGGGAGTATTCCAAATGTTGATTTGAAAACGTAATGCCAGTTGATTGTTTTAGTTCTTACTTTTAATATATTTCTTGTTTTTATTAATAAACAAAACATGCTTTAAATTTACTATTTGAGGAGCAAGTGAAGACGCCTCAAATGAAGATACTGCATTAAGCAGTAGCTGCTAATCTTACATCCTTGAGCCTGTATATCACACACACCTTATTTGAATGTTCAATTGAGTTAGCAACATTTATCTTATAACATAATTATTGTCCCTACCGCTGCTTTGTTTATACTCCCTTTTTTTTTGGGCCAACAAACAATGTCATATGCACATGAAAACAACTCAAACGGGGTAAGAAGTTTCAGTTTAACGAACATAAGGGTTGAAGGGAAATGTCATAGCAATTCGGTTCTTCTCATGTTGACGTATAACAATGCAGTTGAGTCTACATAGGAAGGAGAAATTCTTCTTTTTCTTTATAATATAACAGAGTGCACGAATGACGATGATAAAACACCTGGCGTTAATATTGGATGTTGGTTAAACATCATTCTATTATTGTGAATGCAAATAAAAACCCTCTGTTGGTAAACGCACGAATTTAAATCTCGTTCACCGCAGAACTATCATTATTGTACGTTAACTCGAAGCAGATTTCCATTCGCATGAATGGTAATAAACAAATGAACATTCGAAACTCGTTTTCAAACAATATCCTCATGGTAACGCCATAAAACGACCGGTTACCACTTTTTCTTCGCTTAAAAAACTGTTTAATGATTTAATTTCAGGTAGCGAGGAGCCGAACTGCATAATACGATGGAGGTAGCGGATGAAAATAAATGTTAAATTCAACATCTTCCTTATAGAAAGTGGTTTGCTATACGCATGGAGGAATTTTTGTTATCAATGTTTCATATTAATCACTACTACTGAGAAAGTAGTGATAACAGTTGGATGGACGTTAATATCGCTCTAAGACAGGGATGCTTAATAATCAGTATCCCTACTAGCTATGAACCGGCGGTTCCGCGCGTTAGAGCTGTTGTTGTCACTTCGTTTCTGTATCTTTCTTTTAACAAAACTGCACTCACGGAACAGCAGTCTCATAATGTGCATCACGTGTTGGAAACAAGCGTGAATGGACGCGGAACGGCAGAAATTTCAGTTTGAGGTTTCACCTTGACCTAACGACATAAGCCACTTGCTGTTGCCTTCTTTTTGACGAATGAAACCAATAGTTTAAGCAACGAGAATATTCTGAAACCATGTTTGAAAAAACAGTAAAAACATTGATAAACTATGACCACGAATGTAGAAATTACTCATGTCGCATTACAAAGTTGCTAAAGAGTCAGTGGTGAAAGGCGGGCCGATACGTGCCCCAATTAAGTAATTGCCGAAAAAGGGCGCGGGAAGGCAATGCACGTGGCGGCGGCTTATTCAATGTATGTCGGTTTTGTGCTACGAAGTGGCTGTAAACAGTATCTTGAGCGTATGGACGAAGTGATGTTTCATTTGTAAAATTCAAGATTATAAACGGTTCTTATCTGTGAGCTGGCAATTTGCTCTAGTTTAATAATTAATTTGCGGACAGGGGCAATGTCCAAGGGGGTATAGCGACGAGTATTAAGCGAAACTAAAACCAAACAAACAACTTGTTCTCCAGAATATCATCTAATTGACATCTTGGTTTTATTTCAATTTTTGACATTCGCATTTCTTTGTGGCTTGTCCTTTATCTTGTCTATACTGGAATTGCCTTTGGGACTTTTTCGTCGTCTTTCGCCGACAAACAAGCGAACAGCCGATATGAAGGTAGTCGTGTTAAGATTTTGCTTATTTTGAGTTCCTACATAGATTATTGTTCGTATAAAATATTATTAAATTGTTATCATTAGTTTCTCTTTGCTTCACATTATTTTTATGAACTTTTTTCTTCCCTTTTTTTTTTTTTTTTTTTTTTTTTGCGACTGATGCGACAATATGAAAAGGTCCAGACCTAGGCTTATCCGTTCCGTATAACGGGACGACTTCTCGCCTCTTCGTGACGCCAGATTTACCTTGGTGCAGCAGTGACCTTACTAGCTCACACGACGCAGAACTTTTCCCAAATCATTGCCCGAGGAACACGAGGACGATTGATGCTTGTCGCCCTATATCTGTAATTATCAGGCTTCCTGGGTATTTAACCCAGCTCTTCACTACCTCCAGCATTCCCCTTTTTGTTTTTTCTTTGTTTTTCTTGTTTAAGAGCACTTAGGTTCGGCTCTTTTTTTTTTTTTTTTTTTCCAATTTTTTATTATTATTTCTCTATTCAAGTAAAACTCAACTTGAATTGATCTGCATTATTTTGATTTCATTTTTGTCAATTCATTTTTTTTAAATTGGGTTTACTACTAACGTTGAATGTTCGAGATTGTCCTTGGAAGAACCGCTATACTTAATTTTTATTTCTATTCTAGGCCTTAGAGAAATTCGGTCTTTGCTCTCTGTCCCAACTATACATCTTTGTTTTTTCCCGTCTAGGTCATTCCATTAGTTTAGGATGTCTAAAGTTTCAGCCGAAGATGCCGTGTCCGTAGCAGCGCTGGACCCAGAAAAGGCGTTAGAAACCCCTAGAGAAGAAAAGCTGCAAAAATCGGAAATCCTCCTCAATGGCGACGTTGAAAGCGAAGGAATTGGCTCATTGTCGTCTGGCGGTATTGATGCTATTGTTAAAGCCGTCGACCCTGACGATCCGTTACATCCTTACCATTGGAAGCCATGGAAAAAGTGGATGATTACGGCAATGTATTGTACACTTGAGATCTATGTGACTTGGTCATCTACAGGTGTCGTTAACTTTTTGTATGAGTTCGAAGAAATATGGCATTGCAGTCAACAAGCTGCATGCATGGTACAAAGTTTTTTTATTTTCGGCAATGCTGTCGGTCCCCTTTTACTTGGTCCTTTGTCAGATGTTACGGGACGCAAATGGGTTTATGTTTGGGCCATGGTTCTCTTTGTAGTATTTCAGATTCAACAAGCGCTGGCGCGTAATCTGGCTACAATGATTATCGGAAGTTTCATTGCAGGCTTTTTCGGAAGTACTGCGCTGGCCAATGTCGCTGGCAGTATTGCTGACGTATTTGACAAGAAAACGATCGGTATCCCAATGAGTTTCTTCGTCTGGGGCGCAAATGCTGGTGCTTCTATCGGTTCACCGATTAGTGAGTCTATTATTGAGCATACAACTTGGCGGTGGTTTTACTGGATGAACATGATCGTCGGGGGCGTTCTTATTGTTCTATGCATTATGATGCCCGAAACACTTCCTTCCATTAACATTGGCCGTGATTTCTTTTCATCTCGTTTGGAAAGTGTGCAAGGTGGTGCACGATTGATTGTCCGGAAAACAGCTTTTGCATTGGCAATGGCTGGGAAAATTTTCCTGACTGAACCCATTGTTTTGTGCTTAGGCCTGTACAATGGATTTTTGTATGGTTTAACATTCTTGTATCTTGACGGGATTTTCGACATATTCTTGGACAAGTACAAAATGTCGTATATGGGTGCAAACCTTACATATTTGAACTTTCTTGTCGGCGCAACAGTTGTAATACTCATTCAGCCGATACAGGATTATCTTCATCGTCAAGATACCGCAAGTCATGGATATAGTCGACCGGAGGCTCGTTTCAAGTTAGCATTGCTGTTAGTGTGGCTCTTCCCTATTAGTTTGTTTTGGTTTGCATTCACGTCTAACGGTCATATTCATTGGATTTGCCCTGTCATTGCAGGAGGCGTGCTTAGTGTTGCAGATGCTTTCCTTTGGTTATGCATGGTTAACTACATTGGTGAGTCCTATCCATCCGTCGCCGGCTCGGCAATTGCAGCATTCACTTTTCCCACGTTTATTATTGCTGGTGTCCTTGTTCATTTAGGTGTCTTGATGTTTAAGAACATGTCATCCACCTGGGCTATGGCACTTCTTGGTTTCGTGAGTCTGCCTCTGGTAGCTCTTGTTTATGTCCTTTACTTCTTTGGTGTTAAAATTCGCAACATCAGTAAGCTCGCTGCTAAACCAGAGAGAACTGTAGAACAAGTTGAACCAACTCAAGTGGTATAGATGAGCTCTTTTCTGCATTCCCACTTCTGCTCTACATCTTGTTTTAAAACCTCGGTCATCACTTCTATGATTGATAGTGAATCTTTTTCACTTCTGATTATGTTTTGTAGATGTGTGGTACCACTCTTTGCTTCCCTACAATAACGTTTTCGAAATACCCCTCCCCCTTCTCCATTATCGCTAGAATATAAACGTTGTTTAACAAGGCTAACTGTGCTAACAAGAAACTTCTGAGTGACTACCCGAAAGTTGGCAAATTTTGGTCCTATGCTTCGTTCATTTTATTTGTCTGTCTTTTATCAAAAAACCCGATTTTTGGTCTTCCCATTACCTTGCCATCAGTAGTGTTATACGAAAAGGGACGAAGAATAAGTGTTGCTCAGGACTGCGTTACATTTAACTACTTCGTCTTTCTGCTACTTACTGTAAATCTACCAACTATTCTCATCACAGAGACGTTGCCAAATAACTCTATTTTGCTCTTTATACATGTTATCTTCAATAATATCATTCTACTGTCTTAATTCACGTATGGATATTTTCTAAGCCTACTACTTATTACTAAAGCAGCGGTATTTTTTGTCATCCGCTGTCGCCAGCTTTGGCTTAAATGTACCGAATAAGCGAAGATGCATTGATTTGTTGTACCCTTGAGTCCTGCTGCACCACTAAAAACGATTAGTTAATGCTCTTTTACGTAAAATCTTATGCAACGGACTTTACATCCGTCGCTTACGTAAAATCCATCATTATGACAGTTAGTTGTTACAAAAGTGGCTTCACTCTGAGACGGTTAAGCAATGTATAAATAGGTTTAACGGTTCCTCATTTTTTAACTCCTACATCTAAAGAAATCAAATTTATACTTAAAATTTATAGTTTAACTATGTCCAAGACGAACAACGCTGTCATTGTCAAGGAGTTGATGCCTCCTCACAGCGGGTACCCTGTGGTTGGAAAGAACATTGCTTTCGCGAAGCGCCCATACGATGAATCAAAATTAAAGGTCACCGAGGATTTCCCCCTGCTGGTCAAAGTTTTATACCTTTCAATCGATCCTTACCTTCGTGGACGCTTTGATGCCTCTTCATATGACTCTTATGTGCCACCCTTCGAGCAAGGAGCTCCTGTTTGCGGATTTGCCGTTGGAGTTGTTGTTGACTCTGCTTTGGACCAATTTAAGAAAGGACAGAATTTAATCGGTCTTTTTAATTGGGAGGAATATGCGTTGGTACACAAATCAGTGCTTCAATATGTTTACCCTACTCCTAAAGGCGCAAATTTGCCTTTAATTGACTATGTTGGTGTCCTTGGAATGCCAAGTCAGACGGCTTACACTGGGCTGAAACTTGTTGGTCAACCCAAAGCTGGCGAAACAATCTTCATTTCAGCTGCATCTGGGGCTGTTGGCCAAATGGCCGGCCAATTATGCAAAGCGGCTGGACTTTATGTTGTCGGCAGTGCCGGTACTGACGAAAAAGTCGAGTTTCTTAAAAACGAACTTCACTTTGTTGCGGCCTTTAACTACAAAAAGGAGAAGCCACTCGAAGCACTCAAAAAGTACTGCCCCAAGGGAATTGACATTTACTTCGAAAATGTTGGTGGTGAAACACTGGATGCCGTTCTAAGTGTCGCCAACCGTTTTTCGCGTATCATCGGGTGCGGAATGATCAGTCAATACAATGCCAAGGAACCTTATCCTTTAAAAAACATCATCAACATTGTAAAGAAAAGCATTACGTTTCGTGGATTCATCGTTTCGGACTATTTTCATGAGTACCAAAAGGAGTACTATGCAGACATCCCAAAACTTGTTCATGAGAAGAAGCTCAAGTACAGAATTGATGTTACCAAGGGCCTTGAAAATGCGCCTGACGTATTCTTAGGCATGCTTCACGGTAAGAATTTTGGCAAGTCAATTGTTGAATTAGTCTCTGAGTAAGACATGTCATATGTAAGAAGAAGCACTGGCAGCATTCCATCTATATTTGACGTTTTTTATACATTAGCTCTGATGATTATGCCTAAATTTTACGAATATCATTTTTTGGAGAAACTTTTATTTTATTAATTAAAAAAAAAACGAGGTTACTAATATTTGCAGAGTATTATAGTAGTAAAGGTATTACTGGGGGAAGTCATCATGCAATCGGAAGGTAAAGGAAGACTGTGATCAAAAGGTAGTTTTCAGCTTTAGCGAAAACGTGGAACTAACAACAAGAACGGGCGAAGGACCAGGCATATTGCTTGAGCGTCTTTTTTTCTTTTGGTTGAACAGGGTACTCACGAAGACCACTGTCCAAATCAAGCTCTGACAGAGGACGATACTTCTCTTTGGAGAAGATTTTATGTAAAATAAAGAAAGCACCAATTACAAACGGCGTAAGGAAATTTTGGAAGAAGTTAGATACCGATGGTTTAAGGCCAATAGGAAATAAAGCAACATAGAACTGAGCAGCAAAAATGACGATGACGAAAACGAAGGCGTAAGCAGATCCAAAGATGCCTAAAGGTGAACGGAATCCAATCGTCTCAAGTGATTTTCCTTGTTTTTTGAAAGCCATACGGTAACGAATGTGACATAAGCAGATACTAGCCCAAGTAAACAGAGTACTGAGACTTGAAAGAGCAAGAAGCCAGTTAAAAATAAGATCACTCTTACCCGTCAAGTTCAAGTAGGCCAAGCAAGCAAACAAGAAGATAAGACACAATGCAGGAAGAGGACGACCTTGACGATCAATATACTTGAAAATCTTAGGCGCATGACCTTTCACTGCAAGCGATTGAAGAACACGACTTCCTGCATACGACATGGCATTAGTGGCAGAGATAACAGAAATGGTAATGACGGCATTCATGACCGAAGGAAGCGCCTTTACACGAGCATTCTGAATAGCAATAACGAAAGGACTGGCAGAAGTACCACTCAAAGCTGTCAATCTCGGATCATCAGCGCGAACTAACAAGGTAACAACGAACAATGCAAGCACATAGAAAATTGAGATTCTCCAGAATACTTGATGGGTTGATCTCGGGATTGAAATTTGAGGATTTTTCGTCTCGGCGGCGGCAAGTCCGACCATTTCAGAGCTTGCGAAAGAAAAGGCAGCTGTAGCAAATACAGAACAGAAACCCTTAAAGCCATTGCGGAATCCACTAGCACTGATAATTGAGGTACCAATGTAACCACGGGGGTCCGATGGAACACCGCCTACATCATCAATGATACCGAAGATAATAAAACCGACCATGGCTATGACTTTGACAGCCGAGAGAGCGAATTCCACTTCACCATATCCCTTCACACCAAATAAGTTAATAATGATGAGGAGAACGAGAAATATGGTAATCCAGATGCCACTATTTACATCAGTCCAGAATTTAATTGTAACAGTTGCAACGGTAAGTTCCAAGGGAATAGTGCAAAGAAAATGTAGCAAGTAATTCCATCCCAAAGCGAAACCCCAGGAGGGATCAATGAATCGAGTAGCATACGTCGTAAAGCCACCATGAATTGGGTAAGCGACAGCCAACTCACCCAGCGCGTAAATTGTGCAGAACACCATTGTACCCAAAATTGAGTAGTTAATAATTACTGAGCCAGCACCACCCTTGTGAAGTGCTTTACCACTTCCAACCCACACACCCATACCAATTGCACCTCCCAGTGCAATCATTTGGATGTGGCGGGTTTTCAATTTCTTTTTCAATGCGACTTCATCTCGCTGAGCAACTTCGGGCGCTGGCTTGAAACCATCAATGAATCGTCCAAAAAGGTTACGATTTGGAATAACTTCATTTCCTTCTCCTTCGCTGATGGTTTCAACAGAAGCCTGGTAAGGCTCCTTCTCCTTTAGTTTTTCCTCATTTGAATAGCGGCTTTCCTGGGCAGTAATCGGATCCATTACTTAGTAGTACACGCTTTAATACACAAGAAATTGGATATGTATTGCAACGGCAGTTATGGGTATATGATACACGAACCAACAATTCGCTTCCAAAGTTTTAGCGCAAGTCGTGAAGATCAAACGCCTTGCTGCTAATGCTTGCACACATCTTGTCAAGGGAATTGGTTAATTATAGCTACAGAAAATCGGAAAAACGATATGATTCTTGACAAGTTTTCCCTTCAATTGTCTTTTCGTTTGCCATCCTTCTTCAGACTATGTGTTTATCTTAGATAACAGTCGGCTTTTTTTTTGATTGAACAAAAGCAAATCTTATAAAAAATCTATTGGTTAAAAAGACAACTTAAGCAGCATCTGATTTATCTATGTGACGTGTCGGCGCGATCGAGCGGGTGAAATACATCGTCACAAAAAGCCCAAGCGGTAGTTCGTGGCGCATAGATAACCGTTTTCTAATCTTTCTCGACTCTGAGTGGATACATCGGTCAGCTGCCTCAAACATAATCGTCATGATCCCTAACTTGCCGAAGTATCATTTGCGTAATTTTCGCCAAGACGAATCAGCTATTGGGATGATGCTGTTACGCTTTGGCACTCCCTAGAAAGCTCGCAATAATTCTTATCACGGATTATGGTTGAAAAGTCTCTAGTATCAAAGATGAATTGATTACTCAAAGAATGCGCTGACAAATGACTTCTTGGAAGCTTCGCTTTTGATGCGCTTTAGGCTCTGTTTGTTCCTTATCAGAGCTAGTCACATGCCAGTATCTAAACATAGACTTAAGCCCTTGCTGGGGATTGAAGCAAGCTCGTTTGGTAGAAAACTTTGTAATTTAAGATTAAAGATAATCAAAGAACTCTGTGGTGATTTTTCCGAAGTGAGAATCGAACAGCTCGTGCGCAAACATATGATCTTCATCAATCATCTCCTTCCTGAGCGTATAAACTCTATTTTTAAATAATTAAAAAACTTAAATTACAACCACGCATTATATATTGTAATTGACAATTGTGTATTACTCTGCTTATTATCACCGGAAACCCATTTAAAACGTGAATATGAAACGAATGAAAACCAACCGACGGCTTATGTTACATATATAGAAAACAAAGAACCAACATGGAAAAATAAAAAAAATCGTGAATCATCTGAAACTTTCTACACAGTCAAATTGCCAGTCCGTGGTCCTGCAGATCGTCATATGGCCTTAAACCAAAGTCGGATTTAACTTCGTTACCAAAGACCTCATTCCACCACTGGATGTCGCCCAGTGGTAAGGATGTTTTTAATGGGATGGGAAGTTCTTGATTAAGAACATCCTGCATGTGTGAGGGAGAAAGAGTCGGTGCCGGCTCTTTTCCCGTTTCAGTAAATTTTCGAACTGAGTTGTCACCAAACTTCGGAAAATCAGTAACCGGTTTTGATAACAACTCTTTCGTATAAGTGGCAGCAACGTCAACCGCGGGATTGACACTTTGTTGATCTTCCATTGTTGAAGCATACTCCAAGATGCATTGCGGAAATCCCAGGAATTTTAGATCAAAAAACGGCTGCTCCGGCTCTGCGTACTGGAACCGGTAATAATTATACAGCTTTTGAAATACTGTGAGCATGTCCTGATTCGTTTTCCAATACTTTGCACGTTCATACAAAACTTGATAATCCGTTTCCACATAGGTTGACGATGTCGCAAAACCAGGATCAGAATTAAAAAGACAGAACTTACACAGCATGTGAATGGTAGAAGCGTTAAGTATGCTAAATCCAAAGAACGGACTCATGTTGTGGTTAATGGGATCCTTTGCCAATTTCGTGATCATGTCTGCCGAACTCAAAAGTGTGTTAAGAATCTCATCAACCCACATTGTAGGAGGATGCTGTCCAAAACGAACGGAGAGAGATGAGAAAAGCGAAAATTTGTTGTTGCACTTTTTAGGAAAAAGGTCCAAAAGATTCCGTATCAGGTAAACAGTAGCGGTATGATATAGCAAATGCAAGAATACATAAGGAGAACCGATGGAAGAACCAGGAATACTATTGGCCGTATAATTGACGTACGACCAACACAATTGCGAAGGTAGGGCCTTCCGCCATTCCAAGAGCTGATCCATATGCTGATGAAATTCCGATTGAGGCAGCCAAGGAGGAACAATATTTTGCAAGCATCCGCCCGACAATACCCAACGGGAAGTATCACTCCAAACACTCGTAAGCCTTACCAACCAGGCCATAATAGAGTTAGTTGGTGATTTTTGAGGTATTGAGTTTTCGGCAGAATACTCGGTGTAAGCAGCTTTGGGCGCAGATCCATCAAAAGTTTCTGTTAACATTTCGCGAAAGTACAGAAAATCTTCTTCATTACATGGAAGCTGAATATTTGTTTTTTCAAGCTTTAACGAAAGTGTCCGGAGCTTTGAAGGCGCTAGGTAGCCAGTTGTTAGAAGTCGTTCGACGATGAAACAGGCCCAATACGTGCGTCGGCGCATTTCTCGATCTCCCCAGGATAAGGATGTTGACTGGCGGCCTAAAGGATCATTATCAGGTTCGTCTCCCAAATCCATTGAATCGACCATTCGAATTGCCATTCCTAACAAAAGCCAAGACTTTGATCCTCGACCAGCTCCAAGTTCTAGTAAAGCAAGGAGTAATAATGAGGCAATATTCACAAGCGAAATATCCTGCAATTGAAATGACAACATCGAAAATGCTTGTTTCGCATAATAATCGGAGGCAAGGGCTGGCGTTTTAAAGTGTGCAATTTCTTCTTGAGAGAACCGAGCAGCATGAGCACAGATGCACAAAGCCAATGTCGGTGGGATAGATTGATGTGCAATTTGGGCTGTGATTTGTGCTTTATGGAAAAGCCCAAATACTTCTATATATGATGTTTTTTGAAAGATCTCCCAAAAGCGTAGGATCTTTTTATGAGATGGCATGCGAAAACGTTTGTTATAATCATCACCAGATAAAGACCCCGTAAGTGGAAATTCCATCCCATCTGATATGTCAGAAATGCTTGATTGAGAAAGCGGAAGGGCATGATGATAAGTTTGCCCATGTAAAGACACGCTATCACCATTTTTTCCGAGAACTTCACTGGAATTCAATTGGTTAATTGAACGTTTTCCGCGCATGTTGGGCCTACTGGGCCAAACACATTGAACATTATTATTCGCACAAGTAGTGCATGTCGGCTTTCCACCCGAACACTTGATTTTCTTTCGACTATACGAAGAGGTTAGTAATCTCGGCACAAGTACAGCAAAGCTATAAGCAACATACCGACAACGAAGACACGCCTGAGGCGATTGAGCCAACACTCGCCGTTTTTTTGGGACGAACTCTTTTGGTACTGCTTCCATCATAACGTAAATAAAGTTGCTTTGCTCCAGGGCAAATTACACAGGCGAAGTAAGTTTAATGGTTTAGAAAGCAGCAGTATACCTACTTATAATGTCCGTTTTAACGAATATATGAGGGAAATACTCGATATTTGTCCTTTTTCTTGCTTGGATCAAAACTTCCAATAATCGTGCAAAACAAGGGCGGATTACAGTTATAACAAAGACAATAAAGGTACCACGGGAAAGGAAAAAACAAAAGATGATAATACAACTGAATTAATCAACACTGCTACCATAAATCACAGGATGATTGTTATGTACACATGGGAGCGAACTATACGGAACAGATATCACTAGAATTCTTTAAAAGTAGTTAAACGAAGAAACAGTTCGATTTGACAACTTGAGAGGACCCTAAAAGTAGGCAATGCGAATTAACCTTTGGTAATATTAAAAACGTATCGCAAAGCTACTACGTAGCAAGCGGTGGGATTTTGGTGGTGACTTGAAAATACGAAGATCCGGTAACTCACAGAACAGAAAGCACCAAGAGAGCTACGTTTCAGTTTTTGCCGAATCTAATTTCTACTGTTTCGTTATTACTTTCATTTAAAACGTTTTAGGCAGATTTCTTCAATCTTCACTGTTGCATTAAATTTCATTAACAACATTAACATTCAAATTTATATCATAAAAACAACGGGGTGTCATTACAGTGTGGGTTGATAGAATTCAGTTAAATGGATGATTTGTCATACCGAAACTGAAGTGCGTAAATGAGGAAGAGGCGCTTTGAAGCTAGGATATTGACGAAAGTCAGCACATGGTAGTATGCTTCAGCGTATTTAAGACGTGCGTGCCTGCATAGAAACCATTATTAATTAACAGATGTCATCTGCTTTTTAGTCCCAACTCATATTGCGTTCCTTCATAAAGTCTTCAACAGCTCGTGGTCCACAATCGGACCCAAATTGATAAGGCAATGGAGGTTTCTTATTAGGGAGATCCAAAACTTTGTCAACAATCTGCCATTCCAACAAAATCTCCTCATCTGTGACAAAATGAGAATGGGAACTGTTAATAACATCCCAAAGCACTCGTTCGTAAGGCAATGGCATGTTGCCTCTGGAGAACGATTGCTGATAATCCATAGTAGACGCAACCTTCGTCATCATAAAGGTGAATCCAGGCTCCTTCACGTTCAACTCAAAAGAGGCAATCATCCGAGGAAATATTTGCGCTATAAAGCGGTTATACATATTTGGTTTGTTTCTGAAAAGACCATTTTCGCGGTTTTTGAATACGATGCGCACTTCGCAAAAGCTATCTTTAAGACCTTTGCCCGAAGAAATGACAATAGGAACTCCTTTCCACCGATCATTATCGACATGTAGTTGGCATACAGCAAAGGTCGGGGTGTTGCTATCTTTCGCGACGCCTTCAAGTTCACGATAACCCACAGTTTGGCGGTCTTTGCTCTTAATGTACTGACCTAATAATAAATCTTTTTCTTCCAATGGCCGAATGCTTCGTAAGAAAGCAATTTTAGCTGCAGCCACATCCGACTGCTCAAGAGATTTGGGTTCGTCCATTGCAACTGAACATAGCAATTGTAACAAGTGGTTTTGAACGTTGTCGCGCAGAACTCCGGATGAGTCATAATAACCAGAACGACCCTCACAGCTTGCCTGCTCGCGCAATGTAACATGAATGCTTTCAACAAACTCACTTGTCCAGACATTAGCGAAAAGGGGGTTAGCAAATCGCATCATCAGAAGGGCATCAAACATTTCCATTCCCAAATAATGGTCCACTTTGTAAGTATTCTCAATTGGCCAAACAGACCGTATATGCTCAAGCAAATCCCTTGCACTCTCTAGACTGTCTCCAACAGGCTTTTCGATAATCAAGCGGTTGTCACCGTTTAGATTTTGATCGAGTTTCGCTAATGCCATAGATACTGATTTGATGAGCGAAGGCGGGATGCCGAGATAAAATATACGTTTCGCCCGACTGCTTAAGTTTTCAGCTTCAAATCCTTTGATGTAATCGTTTAATTTTACAAATGAGTTTTCGTCAGTGTACGATCCACGAAAGTATACACAGTGTTCCACAAATGCGGTTATTGTGTCGTTTGTGTAAAATGGGAAACTCTCTTTCGATACACGAGAAACAACACGCATTTCAAAGTCTTCCCGAGAAAGATCTGAGCGAGCAAATCCAATGATTTTACTATTTGATGGAAGCAATTGTCGAGCATAAAGCAAGAACAATGCAGGGTAGATCATCGTTTTCGCGACATGTCCTGAACCTCCAAAAACAATTATTGTAAGCATTGTTATTGCAATCCTAACGAATTAGCGCTCGTTAAACAAACGGAAGAACTTGTTTTGTTTTTCAATTGTTTAGTTCCAGAAGTGGAAAGCGTAACCAAGTCTACCTATTCTCAGATACTACTATTCCGAAGTACAACGCATCGTCTCATATATACAATAGAATGACGAAGTATCGACGATTACATTATTTTTCTTCATCGTGTTACCTGAAGTAGCCTTCCACGACGTACAAACACCAAACATATTAGAGTAAAGTTCAAATTACCCTTTTTTGGTGTCAGTGACGTAAGCATGCAAAATACTGGTGGTTAGTTTCTTATAAAAACGTGCGCGAATAATCGTTCTGTAAACATGTGATGTTTTCGCCAATGATATCCGCGTCGATTACCGTATCATTGGGTGCTTCTACTATCTTTTTTTCTTTGTCCAATAAACAATACGCTATCTACCACGTGTTTTTCGGTAAGAATGACCCTCCTCTTTGGCTCCCAGGGAAATGAACGACCCAGGGACTCAGAGCGGATAAACCAAATTTCAATCACATTAATATTTTAATTCAAAGAAGCTAAGTTGCGCTTTTATCCGCTGCTTGGACGCCTCGTTGGCCATATCTTTTAATATTATATTGGCAACTTCTGCGCCCAATTAAAATCGGACGTTTTCTCCACTCAAAAAATTAAGCGATTTTCCCCAGATTTTTTTCCCGAAAAAAACAGTCACAGAAAACAATATAATGAAGACGACTCGCTTCGCATTCACATGGACGGGACAATCTAGTGAGAAGCTGGGGCAACAAAAACAATCCGCAAGAACAAGGACTTTCTAAACTTAAGGAAGCTAATAGAAACGTTGGGACGTACAGTCGAACAATACCACAACATCAATTGAAGTGTGTGTATGCATCAATTTCTTTAAGCACACGTTACTATTTTTCATTGAGAATGGAGTTCAAGAAGCTTTTATCCAAGATTGCTTATTACCTCGAAGTCGAGCATGTCCCTGGTAGTACTCAATTGGAGCGATACTTGCGAAGCTCGGACTTATTACCTGTTGAGCCTGCTCGTCGTCAATGGCACTTCAAAAATTTCGTCTTTTTTTGGTTGGCCGAGTGCATCAATATCAACACCTGGATGGTGGCTAGTACCATGATTCAGGGAGGCCTCTCGTGGTGGGAGGCCTGGGTCTGTGTCTGGATTGGTTTCATTATTGCTGCTTCTTTCTTAGTTCTTGCGGCCCATATTGGTGCCACTTATCACATTGGTTTCCCCGTCATCGTTCGCGCCCCCTTTGGCATCTTTGGAGCCCTTTGGCCCGTTCTCAATCGTACCGTTATGGCCTGCATTTGGTACGGTGTACAAGCTTGGATTGGCGGTGAATGTGTCACTTTGATGATCCGTGCCATTTGGCCCTCTTACGTGAACATGAAGAACACAATGGGGAGTAGCGGTACAACCACATATGCGTGGGTGAGCTTCTTTATTTTCTGGCTTTGTTCTCTTCCCGCGCTGTGGTTCCCCGTCCATAAAATTCGTCACCTTTTCACAGTGAAATCGGTTATCGTACCTATTGCTGCTATTCTCTTTTTCGTGTGGGCCGTTGTCAAGGCTCACGGTCTTGGTCCGATCGTTAATCAATCCGGAACCCTTCACGGCTCTGATCATGTTTGGGCATGGATCAAGGGAATTATGTCTTGCATTTGCAGCTTCTGTACCTTAATTCTTAACAATGCTGACTTTTCACGCTTTGCATCCAGCCCAAAGACTGCTGTTCTTTCCCAGTTAGTCACGATTCCCCTTGGCTTTGGTGTGACCTGTTTCATTGGTCTTATTGTCGGCTCTGCTTCTCAGACGATTTACGGAAAGTCGTTATGGGACCCTCTTGAGTTATTGAGTGAATTTCTTTACCACACTCATAGTCACGCAGTCCGCACTGGCGTGTTTTTCCTTGCTTTTTCTTTTGCATTTGCTCAGTTGGGTGTTAATGTTTCTGCGAATTCTGTGTCTGCCGGTTCAGACATGACGGCTCTTTTCCCTCGATTCATTAACATTCGTCGCGGTTCTTACGTGTGCGCGATTGTCGGTATTGCCATGTGCCCTTGGAAGCTTTTGAGTTCTGGTTCGAAGTTTACTACGGTTCTCAGTGCTTATTCTGTTTTCCTTTCTTCTTTCTGCGGAACAATCTCGGCCGATTACTTCATCGTGCGTAAGGGGTACTACAGTCTTCCGGACCTTTTTGAGGGCAAAAACTCTGCTTACTGGTATCATTTTGGCGTTTCGTGGAGAGGATTTCTCGCTTATTTGTTGGGTGTCGGCATTAACATTGTTGGTTTCGTTGGCGCTGTTGGCGCGACTGTGCCTGAGACTGCAACTCACATCTATGACCTCAGCTTCTTCGGGGGTTTCATTGTATCCTTCGTTGCGTATATCATCATTTGCACGATCGCGCCCATTAAGCCTGTTGGTGACAAGTACCTCACTGAGCCTGTAAGTGAGATTGAGGCTTACATCAGTGACTTGAGTCATGTCTTCCCCCGCTCGTCTGTTGATGATGACGCGAGCAGTTCACAAGGAACTACTCCTTCCTTGAAAAAGGAATCGGACGTGGGTATGGAAATCAAATCTCTCTGAGAAGCAGTTGTTCGAGCTGCGGCCCATGAAATACTGGTGACTTGTCGCGCTCGAGAGTGTTTCATGATTCCCTTTTCTGTTTTCTTTCAAACTTTGTTGTTTCCCTTCATCCAGATTTTTCGACTATGGTCTCAAAATTCCGTTCTTGGTCACCCCTTCCCGCTTGTACATTTTTCTTTGAGGATTTCGGCAGTGCCTTGCTATCCGTTTCTTTCAAAAAGAACTCGTTCTTAGAATGACTCATTAGTTTATATTGCGTTCTTTGACAGTAATTTCGCTTTTTGATTAGAGCGCATCTTATGTGTAGTTCATCTGGCTGTTACGCAGCCGTGTATTTTTAGTTTCTTTCTTTGGTTTGTTTTCTTTTTTTTTTTTTTTTTTTTTTAATGAATTATTTTTCTTTTTTTTTCTGTTCATTCATTTTTTTTGATTTCGTTTTATTTTGTGTGTCTACTGAGTGGTTTCGTATACTTTATTGGTCGTTCTTTTTTTTTAAATTGTTTAGACTCTTGGTTAAGCGAAGATTACGGCTTTCGTGGATTAAAGTTGTTCATGTTGACAAAAAGTGATAGAAATCTGCTCTTTTCTATAATCATTAAGGAGTGATAATAACTCTTTCATAAAAGTGAACTGTTTATAAATAATTTATGATATATTACACAATTTATCAACAGATCATATTCAATACATTCAGGCTATAAATCTTCGCGAGAAAGTAGCTGTTCAACAGTTTTTTGTATGGAAATCAACGTCGTAGGTAACGCGGAATCCTTTACAGAATTTGGCTGGGCGGAAACCATTTCTCCATACAAAAGCGTTGATTCGAGAATATCCTGTAAAGGAAACAAAGGATGAATAGTTCCACTTTTCGTAATGGAGGCCTTAACAAAGTGAAGCCAGTCCTCTAGGGGAACATTAATGATCTTCTTCTGTGAAACTCGTTCACAGATTGTTCTCAGTTCGTCACCATTCACACTGTGATATGCATTGAATAGCGAAAACTCGGTATCAGGCAACTTATGCATTACGTCGTCACTAAGTTCTTTAGTAGTAACCTATTGTTTGTTAGAAAAAAAACATTCTTGTAATGCTTGGGGCAAACCTACAATGTGAAAGGTCAAGGGGTGACCATCTTTAATTGGCCATTGCTTTGAGTTAATACAGCTCTGCAGGAAGCGCCAAAAGAAATCCCGATCAGTAATAAGACCACCCTCATCCACAATTAAACCGGGACGATATACACAAACCGGAATACCAGCCTTTGATGCAGCCCGACAACACTCTTCTGCAACGTGTTTTGAAAGTGCATAACCAGAAGTCGTGCCAGGGTTTATTGTCGTGACGTTAGCCAAATACTCTTGGCCGCCTCCGGAAATAAAGGTCAGTTTCTTAGGACCAGAGGAGCAGAGATTAAGGACATGAATTGTGGCTTCAACATTGCTTTGGTAAAGTTCTTCATAGCCTTTCGTCCAGTGGACACCTGCAGCACTGTGAACAACATGACGAACATTTTTGGAAACCCAGTCGTACTGTTTTTCCGTAAGTCCAAGTCTTACTTGTGTCACATCGCCTGCCCAGACAATAACACTCGTCTTAAAATCAGAGGCCATATGCTCAATTTCCTTTATACGTGAAGCAAGATTCGGCGAATTGCGCAAAACGCAAACAACATTCTGCTTATCCTCGAGTAAATGCTCCAAAAGTCGACGACCAAAAAATCCATTAGCACCGGTAACCAGAGTGTAGTTCTCAGCCAAACATATTTTTTGAGGGATCAACAATTTTGGGAGACAGCGGTTTTTAAGCTGCTCATCTACAAAATCGCTCAAAGGTACTTGGTATGAAAGGGACTGCGAAACTTGAGTTGGGGAAGCCTTTCCATCCAACAATAAAGGTGCAGGCACATTGACACCACATTCCTTTTCCAAAAGCTTTCCTACAAGGACTGCACGGATGGAATCCAAACCGTATGTACGGAAACCGAAATCTTTTCCTTCTAACTGAGGCAAGGCTAAAACCTTCGAAACAATTTTGCTCAATGAAGATGCGACAATATCTGAGCTTGGAACAGTTGGCAATTTTTCTTCCTCTTTCAGAAGATGTTCATTCAAGATGGCCTCTAAGCGCTTCATATCAACTTTAGCATTTGAGTTATACGGCAGCTTGTCCAATTTGAGTGCCAAGGAAAAGAACGCAATGTTTCCCAAGCGTCTGTTCAGCTCCTGCACAACATAAGACTCAGAAGCATTCTCCGACGATGTGAAACAGAGGTACAAACAACCGTTCCGGAGGAATGACATAGCCTTTTCGACTCCATCTATTCCCGACGCTAAATCGTCAAAGTAACCCAAATCATAGTAGACACCGTTAATCTTAACACGGCGACCAACACGACCTTTAATAACTATACCCATTTTGTCACCAACTTGTGTCCAAACGGCAAGATCGGAAAACAGAACGGCAGGAATGCCATTAACTGTTACGAATACCTCATTTCTTGCCTTGATAGTAAGAGGGTCGTCACCAACGTAAGGTTCAGACAGAACATCGGAATAAACACAAGGGAAACCTTCATTTCCCGGTTTCTCCTCTACAGGAACATTGTTTTCATCAACGAGCATTAGCTTCTTAACGTTTGCTCCAGGTATGTACACAATCTCTGCAGAGTCATCCTCTTTGTTCATATCCGCAGCACTAAATGAGATGAGACCCGTTTCTGTTGAACCATACTGGGGATAAACACGAGCCGATGGAATATGCTTTTTTGTCAATGGGAATAATGCTCTTGGCGTTGGCTCGCCGCCAACAACCACGTATTTACAAAAGGGGAATGTAATATCATCAGAAGGCAGACGCTGTAAAGTCAATAACAATAAATTAGGAGTCAGGACAAGTCGTTCGGCACCATTTTTTAATGCGTAATACGTGTTCCACGAAATCAATTCGGCCTCCGAGTCACACTGGACAAGGTTCTTCTTAGGCAACAACATCTTTCCGCATTCAGAATATATGGAAGATACCCATGCGTACGTCGTTAAAGCAAAGGAATTTGCTAAAAGCAGTGCCGTCACATAGTTCATAGTCTCACGTCCCATGCCATAATCAGGACCAAGACAATACCGCTCCATTCGAAAAGGCATTGATTTGGGGACGCCAGTAGAACCGCTGGAATGATTGATCAAGCTGATCGCTGGAGGGTTGCTTCCCGTGATGGCAGGTGCGCTCAAATCGTTGTCGACTTCACCGAGATTATGCAATTTAAGGTTTGCAAAAGCGCTAGTAGGCTGCAATTCGTTATATACACAATCAACAAAAGACAATCGTTCTGACAACGTCTTCACAACGTCCTCGTTCCAAAGGCTATTCATAATCACGCATGTTCTGCCGGTAGCCCATGCTGCAAGCATGGAACAGAGGAAATCCACTTCCTGTCTCATAAAAATTGCAATTGGATTCCCAAACTTCATTTTGTTGTAAAAATTAGCCAGGGTCTTCACACGTAAATGCATTTCTGCAAATGTAACCTGCTTCTCGATTCCCTTTTCTCCGTAAACATTGAGAAAAGGAAAGTCAGGACTGGCACTGACTTTTTGGAGAAATGTCTCTACAAGGTTTAGATTTTTGTTGTCGATAGTCATTCTCGTTCAGTTATTTTCAATTTAATCCAAGAAACCTAATGAAATCCCCCAAAAAAATTAAGCTTAATAGGAAATCAGTGTACCCGTGGTATCGTAAATATCAGTGTAAAAGCACGCTTTGGTCAATTAAATCACCGGTAAGGGAAATGTGCTTATTTCAAAAAAAGAATGATGAAGAGTTGTTTCAGGTATCAATTGCAACGGCAGGTTCCTTTTGAGTGTTGTCTGAAGTTGCCTAACGAAGTATCTTAAAAATTCGCAGTGGATCTGTCAATATCCCTTAATATCATCAGCCCTTAAAATCGATAAGCGTAGATAATTCTGTTTAGAGTTTTTGCCCCGGCTTTAAAAACGTTACTGTAATTTAAATTCCAAACATGTTATAAGTAACGGAATTTGGAATCCGTTCGAACGGCTTTTCATGATCCATTAGGTCATTGCCACAGAGCTGCACGGCAATTCCGGTACCCACCAAGCACCATATAGACAGTATAATTGGACAAATGCAAAATTCAATACGTAAATTCGTCCGGATGTCTGCCATCCTGTGAAGAAAACTTGTTGCTGGTTCCAGGTTACCGGATTGACCATGGGAAACGAATGTCTAGAAGTATAGCGGCTCCGAATCCTATATAACCGCAATGTCTTCTCACAGACTCCAAATCATTTAAGGAATATGCCTGTTGCATCCACAGCGCTGGTTTTGTTTGTCACCGGATGTTCTACTGGTCTTGGACTAGCACTGGTTAAAGTTGGCGTAGAAAAAGGCTACAAAGTCATCGCTTGCTCAAGAACCCCAGAGTCGGTTAATGTAAACGGGAATGCTTCGAATTTACTCAAACTGAAGGTCGATGTCACCAATACCAAGAGTGTCGAATCAGCTTTTCAAGAGGCCATTAAGGTTTTCGGCTCCGTCGACATTGTCGTTAACAACGCTGGCTACGGTCTTGTTGGCGAATTTGAGTCATATACACAAGAAGAAATGCATAAACAGATGGATGTTAATTTTTGGGGGAGTGTCAATGTGACTAAAAAAGCTTTAGAGATTATGCGCCCCAAAGGGTTCGGACGAATTCTCCAGATATCAAGTGTAGCGGGTTACTATCCTTCACCGGCATTGAGCTTATACAACGCTAGCAAATTTGCGCTCGAGGGGTTCAGTCAAACCGTGATGCGCGAACTTGATCCGTCGTGGAACATATTCATTACCGTTGTTGAACCTGGTGGAATGCAAACAGAATGGGCGAACAAAAACATGAGCTGGTCTAAGGCACATCCTGCCTACACCAAATCTACACCAGGAGGCCAATGGCGGGAATTTTGGAAGACCTATCACGGTTCCGAAGAAACCGATCCGTACAAAGCAGCATGCCTCCTTTTACGGCTTGTTAATCAATCCAAACCTCCTGCGAAATTTATATTGGGACACGATTCACTAGAACTAATCAAAAAGCAACACAGTGACATTTCAAAAGAAATGGCCCAGTATGAAAATCTGAGCAAACAAGCTACTCGAGACGACTTTGATTATTCTAATGTTGAAAACTTAAAAGCCGCCTTAGGTGCTAACTGAAACTACTCTTATGTTAGGGACTCGTGCTCCTCGTGCCACTGAAGAAGACTCATGGGAGGGTACTCTTCGTAAGAAGGGCCGTTCATCTCAATTTTTTTTGCCCAGGCTGGAGCACTGTCAAGCATGATATTTACATGTGAGGGTGGAACGGGCAATTCCGTGTCAACAGAGGATGCATATGGATGAACAAGGTGTGGGTACTCGGGACTGAACAGCCATAGGGCCGATCCACAATGTTTGCAGAATCTCCTTTCAGCACTACTTCTAACTTCTTTGTTTCCTATTCCATGTTTAAAAATTGCGTGGTAAACAGAAGTGTGCTCTATTCCCTTTACCTCTAAAGTATCATTGTTTGCTCCAAGGTTAATGCCGTAACCGCCAGAGCCGCCTGTTTTTCTGCATATCGAACAGAAGCAACGCATAAACGGTACGGCGGTTTGTGATTCAACAGTGTAAGTAACGAGTTTACAGTGGCATGAACCGTTTAAAATCATTTCTGTCAATCGTCGTCACGTATCAGTGGTTTACCTGTTCGTTTCAGTCTCATATATATCCTAGGATTTCAGGCTAATGCCATCTTTAATCGCTACACTCAATTCGATTGTAATTGTGCACCAACATTTACTACGAAATATCCTTTTTTATGACGTTATGACTACTCTGAACTTATCAATTGGCTCAACCGAAAGAAGTAACGTTGGTGTGCTAGGAGGTGTCGTTTCTCAAGAAGATCTCGTATCAGTGAACTCGTCTCTTAAGTACGATAATTAAAATGTCGCAAGTGTTTAGGACACAATGGCTAAGACTTATGAGAAAGTCCTTCACTACTTAATCCACAACCAACAACATCCAGAAAGGGCACTGGAGGATTTAATGGACATATAATCTACCTTAATTCTTATTAAAAGTTGGTATCAGTTCGCCGGAAAAATGTAACCGGTGAACAATTTTAGAGTGGGCCTCTTTATCCATGGTAGCATACATAAAAGCAATCAGAATTTAGACGAAAGATGCGCGAGTTCAAAGGACGTTGTCCATTCATCCTTAAAATTAACGGCAAAAGTGATTTGAACCTGGCCCGTAGCAATTCATTGATCACTTTTCAGCAAAATGGAAAAAAAAGAAACACAGCTTTCTTGCACTCATCGTGAAAGTGAGGAGTCAAACAAGGATGAGAAGTTCTTGAATAGTCTTGGATACAAGGAACGACTCCACCGGACATACAACTTGTTTGAGAATTTTGCAAGCTCGTTTGCTGCTTGCGATTGCATGAGTAACATTAGAGGTTCCTTTTACGTCGGTTTGATGGCCGGTGGCCCTTCAGCATACTGGATTACTTATGCAATCTCTTTGCCGCTAAATCTCATCTCTGCTGCCGTGATGTCTGAGACCTGTTCAGCACTTCCAGCTGCCGGTTCAATTTATCTCTGGGCCTCTGCTTCCGGCGGAAAACGGTTTGGCCGCCTATTTGGGTTTATCGTCGCCTGGTGGTCAACAACTGCTTGGACGTCTTTCGTGGCCGTAAATTGTAATTCAATTACAAAGTTTATTTTTGGAGAAGTCCCTGTTTTTGGTTCGTCCTTCAATACCAGTAGTTCGAGTATCAAGTTTCGCGCGGTTCAATGGGCCATCGCTGAAGGCTTACTTCTCGTTTCAATACTGATTAGTTATATCCCACCGCGAATTTTCCGTCACATATTTCGACTTTCAGTGGCCGTGATCTTGTTGGATTTCTTTTTGAATATGATTTGGCTTCCCATCGCAGTTTCCTCATCCTATGGATTCCGTGGCCGCGAATTTATGCTATCTACAAACTATGGTTTAGGAGAAGGTGTTTCACATGGTTGGTCTTGGTGTCTAACCTTCTTCTGCACCGCCCGTGTTCTTGTTGGATACGATGCTGCTGGTCATGTTGCTGAGGAGACGAAGGACGCCTCACATAATGCTGCACGTGGAATGATGTATTCGACGTTGGTAAATGGTTTGCTAAGCGCAGCTGTTATTGTGATGTTCCTCTTCTGTCTTCCTCCCACTCCACATGTTTATGAGCTACTGAAACTTAACCCGCAACAGCCTTTTGTCAGTTTCTATGCCGAGAGCCTCGGAAAGCATGCCCATGTGTTCATGAATGTCGTTGGCATGATAGGCATGCTCCTCGACACAACCATGGCTATTCTAGCTTCGAGCAGACTTGTGTTCGCTGTTGCACGAGATGGCGTTCTGCCATTTTCTGGGTTCCTCAAACGAGTGGATCGGGATGGACAGCCGAGAAATGCTGTAACCTTTATCTATGTGGTCGCAGCTCTTCTTTTGTGCACCATTTTGCCAAGCACGGTTGCCTTCACTTCACTCATGTCGGCCGCCGCAGTACCAACATTTACTGCGTATGCCCTAATTTGCTTTGGTCGCGTATTTTTATCTCGCAAATGTATGCCAAAATCGGCATGGTCATTGGGCCGCTTTTCCCTTCCTTTCTTGGTTATATCAATGTTTTGGAATTTATGGTCCTCTATCATTCTCTTATCTCCTAAAGCATTTCCGGTCACGGGAAAGAACTTCAATTACGCCCCAGTAATTCTTGGTTCAATCACAGTGTTTGCCATCATAAGTTATTTCGTTATCCCCTCTGAAAAATGGAACAGCTGTCGCAATATTTATAGAAGCGACAACGACAGAGGTGTGAAGGAAGAAACCGTAAAGGAACCAGGGGAAGTGCTGATTGTCGAGAAGACATCATCATTGTCTTCGGCTTCTTTTTCCGCTTAAAGCCGTCGGCCCTATGTGCTTTAAGCAAGTGGCCTCATATTATATTTTCCTTCAATTTCACTCATTATATGATTTCTGAATGGTTGCCCTTGCGCTATAATACTCAATTGAGCACTCTAATACATGGGTATACTTCAATTCCTTGGTTATATAGTTGTTGTTTTGTTTTTTTGTTACTCAATCTTATGTGCTTTTTTATTACCAATTCTTCCATTTAAATCGACATGCAAAAAAAGCGTTTTAATTCGGATACTGAAAAGAACAGTGCACTTAATACTGTAACAAGCAGACAAGTTCGGAACTGTTTTTGTTTTTTCCATACACAATAATTGTTTTTCGCTACAGCCGCAAACTTTATTTTGCCGACCAATCAATGTATGATTTTGATGTCACCTGCTAAAAGAAACACTACAAAAAAGCCGTAAATCATCTCCGAGGCACTAAGCGAGCCGGTGGCGCAGCATTGTAAATTAAACCTTCAAATAACACCGTTTGGCCGTTTATTCGAGAGTATCGTCTTCTTCATGAATCAAAACTCGTCGCAACCGCCTGCATACACACCGAATTCGGCTTTTGCTGACGCAGGGAAGGACCGAAAAACGGGCTTCGTCCAGCCAAGCTCTTCCTCTTCTGCCCCTCGTGCTCCCTCTGCTCTTTCTTCTTCTTCTTCTTCTTCATCCTCTTTGTCTCAAATCCCTCCTCCTCCTCCGAACCGTCCACTTACTCATACGAATGATGTCCCGCCCATTGCTTGCATTTCTTTGCACTCAATTGATATGATCCGCTTCACCAATGTCCCCGAAAGCATTTTTCCCGCTGTTGATATTCTTCTTCGCCAATTCTGGCCGTATGGAGTTGCGCGAAAGCGAAACTATGGTCCCTCATATGAATTTCGGCTCAATGGAACGCCATGGGAAGCTTCCGGCGTGTCCCGACACCTTGCACCGAAACTGGTGAAGGAGTTAATCGCTCTTATGGCAGCTAACAATTGGAAAATCACATTGACATGTAACATCTCTAATAAAATGGGTGCACTGGATAATTGGTTCTTTCGCTACACACCCGGTTATGCGCAGTCGTTGCCCATTCCGAGCCCGACATGGTGTGTCATCGATTTCAATCGCCAAGACAGAATCCGTATTATCGACGGTCCGATGGATCTTGTTACAGCTGTTGAGAGTGCTATCAGTCTGCACTGGAGATTGGGACTTAAAAAGATGCGAACAAGTAACGGTTTGTATCCGGAATTTAAATTGCGTGGTAATCCCTGGTTTCCTCACAGTCTTGAAACCATGGAGGTTCGCTATTTCTTAACTCAGTTGATTGAAGAGCTGAATCGGACTGGTTATCAAGTTGTGACAGCACTTAAAATATTCCGCACGGAGGACTATTCCTCCCCTGACAAGTGGGTTTTGGTAAAAATGTAGTTCATCTAATTCCTCTGCGTTTCATCAGATTTAGAAAAGATTAAAGCAATGCTCCCTATTCTTATCGATTGATTTTGACATTTTAGTGTCGCTACTCGCATGCTCTGGCCTAGGGTTTAATGCTTGCTTAGTTGACAGGGCGTGTCTTAATGTTCCCTTTCTGCTCATTTCCCTCAAATTCTGAAAGTAATGTTTTTTTATTTTGTTTATGACTCATCCTCGAATTTTCGGCTTACTGAAAGTTCATGAATCTTTTCGCTTAAGTCCTCTACAATGTTTACTCCTTCGCCTTCGTTTTTTGTTTCTCGCCTGTTCCAATGCTGCGCATCCCTTCATCATGGCTTGATTGAATTATTATGAGTCTTCTTAATCTTCGGCCCGCGTTTTCCTGGTTTTACAATATCATCTTCGCATTTACAAGCCCACCTCTCTTACTTCGTTATTGGTAACGGATACGGCATCCTTCGTCACCCCTTCATCATGCCGTTCTTCTTTCTGATCTTCATGGCTAAATGACCCCAAACGATGACAATTATTCGCTGAATTACCGTCTTACTACAAGTGCATCTCGCGTTTTTAATTTTGATCTACTCCACTCGTTCCTATAGCATCGTTTCAGCATACTATATACACCAACTCAAATCGTGACATCACAAGAGTCTTCGATATTTATTAAATCGATATACGATGCTCATTCTATCACCAAAGCTACTTAACCCTTTGCGTTCCTTATTTCTTTCATCTTTTTTTTCTATCAATAGGTGCAGGACAACGTTATAAAAATATGCCTCAAAAGAGTTCGTACACCGACATTGACAAGAAGTACCTACCCTGGTCAGTCTACCAGGAGGAGTTGTACGAAATGGGTCTTCATGACAAGAAGCCACCATTCACCACTGTATTTGACGAATGGCAGCCCCTTGCAAAGGAACGCTTGTCCGAGACAGCGTACTGCTACGCAGCTGGATCCGCCGGACGTGAAAGCACTGAGAGACGCAACACTGAAGCTCTCGGCCGGGTGCGTTTTATTCCTCATATGCTCACGCCGAAAGCTTCGACACGGAACTTGGAAATTGAGCTTTTTGGCGTTAAGTATCCCACGCCAATCCTTGTTGCTCCCATTGGTGTGCAACGTCTGTACCATTCAGAGGGCGAAGTTGCGGCTGCTAGAGCAGCTAGCAAATTGGGCATTCCTTACATCATGTCATCCGCATCCTCGTCTTCCATGGAACAAGTAGCCCAGGCTTCTGGCGACGGACCACGTTGGTTCCAGTTGTATTGGCCTGAGGACCCTAATGTTACCGTGTCAATGCTTGAAGCAGCAACGGCTGCGGGTTTTAGAACTCTTGTTGTCACACTGGACACTTGGAACCTCAGTTGGCGTCCTCGCGATTTGAAGAATGCTTACGTTCCGTTTTACCATGGTGTTGGTGATCAAGTTTGTAACAGTACCGAGGCCTTCTTAGACAAGATGAGATCGTTAAATCTTTCTCCCAAAAGCAACCCTCGTGAAGTTGGCAAGCATTGGGTGAAGCACATTTTCCCTGGATCACAACATGGTTGGGACGAGATTAACTTGTTGCGTAGACACTGGAAGGGACCAATTATCCTGAAAGGTATCCAGCATGTTGACGACGCGAAGAAGGCTGTAGAGTATGGTCTCGATGGCATTATCGTTTCCAACCATGGTGGACGTCAATTCGACGGCGGTATTGGATCTATCGAGGCATTAGAGCCCATTGTTGATGCTGTTGGCGACAAGTTGACTGTGCTCTTTGACTCAGGTGTCCGTTCAGGCGTGGATGTGATGCGAGCTCTCGCGCTTGGCGCCAAGGCGGTTCTCATCGGAAGACCGTTCTTATGGGGCCTTTCGTTGGCTGGTACTGACGGAGTCGTTCACGTTCTTCGTTGCATCATGGCTGACCTTGATCTTAACATGGGCTTGGCTGGTTACCACAGCATCAAAGAGCTCACAAAAAAAGACGTCTACTGGAAGGTCTAGGCTCGCAACTAACCAATGCCGACACCATTCATTTTCGCACCGCTTCCTAGTGAAAGATCGATCAATGCACGTGAGTTGGCGCGATGTGCGGGGCGACTTGGGAATACGTAGAAGTGTGCGGAGTAAGTTTGGGGCAAGCGATGTTCGTTTGTTAATCAGAAGACGTTAGCGTGTGGGTAGTCGTCGAAACGCAAAATGTAACAAGCAATTGCTAAGCGGGTTTGAGACTTGGTGCAACATTAACACCATGGCAATTAATTCTGCTCTCAAGGAAGCGTATTCAGCGTATATAGACCGGTCGAGAATCACACATCACTAGCGCGACCGCCGCAGCGAAGCAAGCCCGACCCAGCAAGGCCCAGACAAAGTTCGCAGCCCTTTGGAAACTAATGCGACGTGCGGGCGCGCTTTTTGTGCCCGCCCTCCCGCAATCGAGGAATTAGTCGTTCTCTGATTGGTTCGATCTGCGACGGAAACCATTTTCTCGTTCTCGACGCGCTCCCAGTCCCCTTCTCGTTCTTTCGACCCTATTTGCCGCATTTCTCCATAAACTGAGAAAAATTCGCTTCCACGTGACCGCGGCACATGTTCCGGTCACAGGATCGGCAGTTCCGTGGTTTCTGATTGGACCGAGAAGTTTTGCGAAAACTTTTCAAGTGCAGTTTTGGACAAAACCGAAAGAAATGCGACAAAATTATGGAAAAAAAGAAGTGAAGTGGGGGTTACTCAACAAGAGACGTTGTCCCCACATGAATCGAATACTTGACCGCGGGGTGCCGCGGAAGGGTTGCCGTTTAAGCGAAAGTCAAAGAACGTTCGGGATTGCTATCGCGTCCATTTCTGTGGTTAGTGCAGCACTAGAGCGGCCTGAACGACGCAAATTGGCGCATAATTGCCGGTTTTCGCATCCGCGCTCATGCGACGTACGCTCTTAAACACACGTATGCCGTGATGTTGCCGCGGCCACTAACCGTATGCCCCGCAAAGGCTGAAATCTCGTTCGCACGTGCCGAAGTAATTTTGAATGAAATCATGTTGATTATCGGCAACTAGCGCGCACCTGCGTCACAAGATTTTGGTTAACGAACGAATAAGAAGTGTGGAAGGATTAAGCGAGAAAATTCAAGGCCAGAACACAAACCCGTCGCTACGCTGCACCAACCCCATTTATGGCAGTGCCGCTTCCTTTACAGCGCTACTCGCATATTGAGCGCCCTTCTTTTAACATTGTAGCATCCGCATGAACAGCGTTACTATACTCTAGTGCTTCAGAATTAAGTCCCGGTTGAGAATGTGAGTGTTCCGTTGATTTTGCCGCATCATTTGATTGCCGCCATCGGCGAGAGCAACGAGAAGTTGGGGAACCAGCTTCCGTTCGCGTGCGGGTGTGTATGTAAACGTTCCAGTACTAACCAACGATAGACGTTTTTATCCCTATGGTTCCTCCTCTTCTAAAACAACGATACCATGAGCTGTTTGACCTGCGGGTTCGCGGACCTCGTATTCCTCTGAAAAAACGGTTGGAATGTTTCTCTTGGGCGTGGTTTGCTTCTAGTATGGGTACGGGTGGTATTGCCATGGTCATCAGTCTGTATCCTTATCGATTTTATGGTATGAATACCATTGGAAAAGTGGTATTCATTTTCCAGTTGTGTTTGCTGGCTACATATTTTATATGCATCACGTATCGGTTTGTACGGGTTCCTGGCAGCCTCCAAAAGTCGTGGACAAACCCGGCCGAAATGCTTTTCATTCCCACATCTTTGTTGTCTGTTGCAACATCGATTAGCTGTCTTGATCCATTCGCCTGGCCATATGTTGGCATATGGATGGTGTATTTCATTCGTGTCGTATACTGGATATTTGTCGGCGTTAGTTTCATTTTCGTGATGGGACAATTCTACACGTTGTATTCACGAAACATCTTTACACCGGAGACGATTGCACCAGCACTTGTTTTGCCCATTTTCCCTTGCATGATTTGCGGTGTTATCGCCAGTGCCATTGCTGAGTCCCAGCCGGCTAAGCAAGCGAAGGACATGGTTATTGCTGGAATTGCATTCCAGGGTCTTGGTTTCTGGGTGTATATTATGGTATATGCAGTGAACATGTATAAACTATTTATCTATGGTCTAATGCCGGCGTCTGACCGGCCAGGCCTGTTTATTTTTGTTAGTCCACCCTCTTTCACGGGGCTTACCTTGCTTGATCTCTCTTTTGCCGCTCGTAAAAAAAGACCCTATATTTTCGTGGGTGAAAACTCATCTGAAATGTTGGAGTTTGTGTCATGTTTTATGGCACTGTTTATGGTTGGACTATCCCTGTTCAATTTCAGCATTGCGTTCGTGTGCATGGTAGCTGGTTTTTGCAGCAAACAAGCCGTAAAGTTCAAGGTGAGCTGGTTCGCCATGGTCTTCGCTAACGTTGGTCTTGTTATGGACATTGATGAAATTGGCCGGTCAGTCAATTCAGCGGCAATAAAAATGGTAGGCGAGATTGCTGGTGTCGCTATTACAGTAGTGTGGATTGCACTATTTCTTATGGCTGCGCGTGCTGTGTACGTGCAGGAGATCTTATATCCAGGGAAAGACGAAAATTCTAGCACGCTGTCACACGAAGTTCTGCAGTACTACTCCGCACTGCAAGAAACCGTGGCTACATACAACATCCCTGCACCCCAGCCTGGTGGAGATCCCTCTACGGCCGCATATAACGCAGACATGGCTCCTATTGATGAAAAGAAAGATGGAGATATGAGCAGCGCCTACAGACGAAACTTTTACCCTGCAGTGCATGGAAATCCAACGCCCGAAGAAATCATTTAGACAACACATTGACTGGTGCGAACACACAGAAATCGTGCATAGACCGTTCGCGCTCTCCTTGTTACCCCGAATTCCAGCGCACGCTCATTCTCTCATATACAACATCTTCCGACCGTGATAGACTATGTTTTTGTGCTCATAACTTGCACAGGGCTTTTTACTAAAGTTCTACTAGTTCTGTTTTCGGATTGCGCTTTACGTAACAACCGTTCGGTACTTTTGGCCCCGCATGTTCCGACTCCATCTTGCTATGGTCGGTCATTGCATGAACAGTGTTGTACATCCTGAAGAACCACACTTACGTTACTAAAAAGCGTCTACTACTCGTCCGTGTTTTTTTGAGTTACATCTGAAGACATCTCATGTTTTCTATAATTTTCTTTACGCATATTTGTGTCATATTATTAATAAACATATATCTCTATATGCTAATCTAGCACCGCTATTAGTAATTATTGCTCTGTATGTTGCCTTATACGCGTAATGGTTGCCGGATAAAGGGAGCATGTACATTATCTCTGCTACCACTAAAAACGAATTGTTAGATAGGGACCAGCAGGAAGAGCGGAGTAAATTGGGCGGGCTATAAACATTTGTTAAAGGCGCAGTAAGTGAATTGTATATTCCTATAAGTATGTCGTAATCTACAATCAAAAAGAGGGTGAAGCGCGCCGTGTAAGCAATGTGATTATCCCAAAAGATTGATCATTGAAGGAGAAGCCAAAGTCGCAGATCAAATGTGAATTGACTAATGCGCATCGACACGACGTTATTTTGAGAATTAAATAGTGAGGTTTATTGTGCACCCATGCCGCAGTTATTTTTACAGAGTATGCGGATCCGAATACTTTACCAAATATACCGAAACGCAATCTGTTGCCGATCTGTGTAGTCCATGAACTCCTCGTTCTTTTTATATTGACCGGTACCAGCATCAAGCTCCTTTTCCTCTAACTTGGTTCTTCTGCGGTTTTCATAATTGTAGTAAGCCATGAGCAGAAGGCACAGGATGCACACGACGATGGAGGCAACAAGCATCGACTCCATGCCCATGTTATAAGTGGGTTTCTGGCTTGATTTAAAAAGCAAAGGCGAGACGATGTTTCCAACTGCGTAAAAACAGAAAATGCTCGCGTTAACCACTAGCTTTTTCGTGTACCCAGCGATGTTCGAAGCTGAGATAGACAAAAGCATGACGAACGTAATTGGTGTCGTGTATGTTAACCACATACCGACCATGCGGCCCCACGGGTCCGTTGACGGAAGTTTCCATACAAGGCAAGATGCGAGAATGAGCAGCCAAGTGCCAAAAACTGCGATGATTAATCTTCCATTACGGATGTAATTACACCAGAGACCGGTGAAAAAAAGGAACACGATCATGAATCCACCACCAGGCATGTTCATCAATGTCGTTTTTTCTTTGCTGAATCCGCCTAACGCTTCGATAATGATTGAATTGAAGGCGCCAATACCATTGGTGATCATCCACACACCGATGGCAAACACAATCAACCAAACTTGAGGATCCAGAAGTGCTTCCCAAAGCTGTTCTCTCTTGAATATTTTATTCTCGACACCAGTACGATTTTCACGAACACGCTCAATGGCAATTCTGCGCTCGCGTTGTGTCAGGAACCGAGCCGTAACTGGATTACTTGGAAACAAGAAGAAAAAGAAAACTGACCAGATGATTGAGGCGCCGCCAATGATGATGAAAGTAAATTTCCAGGTAGGCACTTTTTCATTTTGAATGTGAGCAACTCCGAAGTTGATCAGGCCGCCCACAATTGCTGCAACGCCGTTAAATGAGGACCAGAACAGTGATCGTGCGGGTTGTTCCGTTCGCTTGTACCACATACTGGTGATGCTGACGAAAGCTGGGCTGACGCATGCTTCGAAGACACCCATGAAGAATCGACAAGTTGCGAGGCCGGAAAAGTTATGGCATGCCGCCATTAGAAGCACCATGGCACTCCAGAAAAACATGTTCACAAATAAGAAGCCTCGAACACCTGTCTTTTGCATTATATATGCACCGGGATACTGGGCAACAAGATAGCCCAAGTAAAAGATCGTTGTGAGCCAACTGTACTGAGAGCCATGAAGATGCGTATCTGTATTCATGCCGAATAGTGCCGCGTATGAAAGCGTCACCTTGTCCAGATACTGAATCATATAGGTGAGAGCCATTAGTGGCATTAGGACAAGGTCGATTTTACGGGAGACATGTTTAGCCTCTTCTTTTGTGTATGTAAAGTTGGTATCGTCCAGTATTGCCAAAGCAACATCGGCAACAGGTTTTTCGCCAATAGCGGATACCTCAACTCCCCTTTCTTCATCAATGGGTGACTCGAGGACTGTGGTTACAGCAGGTTTCTGCTTCTCCTCTGAATTTGTCTCAGTCCAAATGGACGAAGAACTTTTTGATTTATGATCCATAAAGACGAACGGCTTTCAGGAGAAGAGCGCGTGTTTTTTAATTCGGATTCTATTTTATGGCTAAAAAACCGCAACTTCGCGATTTCTCGGAAGAAGTTTGAAGTAATTGGTGGATTAAATAAAAGTTTTTAAGCGGTCCAATAAATCTTGTTAGAGGGCTTATTGTATCATGAGCCCGAGCCTTGATTTGTTGAATAAGCGTTAAATTTCTCTTGATTAGCCTATTGCTCAAAGCCCCGTAGTTATGCTTTTCAATCCGTTGATGAGCAATTACGGCGAGCGGAAGAGTACATCACGATGATATAGCCTTGAAGGGTCGCTGCGAATTGTTTTTTCTATGCATTGTGCAATAAAAGTCCATAGTCTAAAATGGTTAGCAAGTGAAAAGTAACAAGAAGTTTATGTAAATGCTAGTTTCATTAATCGACAATAATTATTTAACAAACATAAGAATTTTGTGGTCGTTGCACAACATGTTCGATGTTGATTTTTCCAATGAATGATCCTAATAAGAAACAGTGGTCTTTAAAACAACCATGTGTTTAGCAAATCAAATGCTGCCGAATCCCCGGCACGAGTAATTTGTTGTAGACTCTCATATTCTTCATCGTTTTGAAGTGACTTTAAAAATCGTAGAAACTCACCTAATAAATCACAGATCTTTGAATCTATGTTCAACAAATCACGCTGTTGAAGAAAAAAAGATATGTGACTGGTGAGATCGTCTTGGTAATAGAAGTTGTGTTTTATGCAAATCGGCATAGAACTGAAAGACTCTAAACCTTGAATACTGACCTGTCTCATCCAGCAAAAGCTTTTAGATTCATCGAAAATAGAAATAGTATGCTCTATTTTCCGCATTGAGCTGCTCCCCAGCAATTGGAATTGATATTCATACTTTCCGTTTTCTGCATCATCCGTAAACGGATAGTACCGATATATATTCGTTTTAATCCGAAAAAGCAGAAGCTTAAATATTTCAAAACGAAAACTTTCGGCGCGGTTTGAAGTCATGTTCAAACAGTTCTCAACTTGTAGGCTAAATTGAGTAATACCCACGTTGAAATCTTCGTTTTTGTTCGTGAATTTCTCTACTGACAAAGAAAGATGGTCTTTTTGAACTTGCAGTCCAAATTCTAGAATTTGTCCTAAGAGCTTTTGATATCTCCATTCTTTCTCATCCGCCAACGTATCCTCAAGCTTAGGAATAAGCTGACCATCCCACTCGTGTTGCACCCATGGGTTGTTCGAACGAAGAACAGCAACCATGGCATCAAGCTGACATAGCGTCGTCCATAATTGTTTGTAACGCCGTTGTACTGTAGGTTGGTTTTTCATGTTTGTGAGTCCTTTGATGGACGTTGCATAATGTATTGTACTGCATAAGTCCAAGTTCAGTTGCTGCGGAGGTTGCGTTAAAAAAGAATAATAGGTTTGGACAACAGAGGCTTCGAGGTAGTAGACATCAGGGAGATGACGAGTATGCACCCGAAAGTCTTCAAGTTCTTCCATTTTTTGCTTTATTCGGCTCGACAGTGATTTGGCCGAATCATTGGTTTCCGCAAAGTATTTTTCTATTGCCTCGGGCAAATCCGTTATCGTTAATGAGTAGTGGAAAAGCATCAAAATGAGCTTTAGTCGGCCGGGGTGGGGAAAACTGGAGGCACTAACCAGTCTGTGCATGTCTTCCCTTATAACTTTTCTATCGATGATAGGAAATACTGTATCGAACCTTTCAATGTAAAGATCAAATATAAGTTCCGACACAGTTAGCGGTGGAAGTAAATTAAAATAATCATTAGGATTATTGAGGCTCGTCGATGATACCTTTGGAAAAAAGTAATCAAAGAAGAGCCTCGGCATAGCACGACTATCTTCGGCCATTTGAAGCAAGACAATAGGTTTGTAACAGTGAAATTTTTCACCAGTCAGCAAATCCGCCTCTGTGTCATGTGTCTCCTCTGCAGGTTGTAAAGGACGAATGTTAGTTACAAGCCTGGTATCAGAGGGCGTTTCATAAAAGCAACGATCCTCCACATGTCGTTCCTTGCAACGTGAACACGGTAAGCAACGATCACATTTCAGTTTTTTAAGTCGGCAATTAAGGCACGATTTTTTGGTACGCTGACGACGCGGTTTTTTCACATTAAAGGACATTTTTTTTTCTGTATAAATACAGGAAAACCAAATCAAAAAAAAAAAAGAATGAATTAAATCTCCCCCAAGATTTAAGAGACTAGAGTATGTAATTATTGGCGTTTTTCTTCTGCTTTTATGATATTCCTATTAATTCATCAAAAAAAAATTTTTAAACGTATAGGAGTCCGATAAATAAAAGTATTTATAACAGTGTGTATGTATGGGTTAAAGAACAGAGGCAACAGATGGTTCATTTGTGTGATAAATTTTAATCTAGGAGGTTGTCATAACGAGATTAGGTTAAGTTTGATACGCACATGATCAAAAAACAAACACTATAGTGGCGACTCCAACTAGAAATGGTGTGTTCACCTTATAAGAATTCATTGTCAACGCTTTTTAGAGTTTTATAAAACTATATGGCTGTGAGGACGTTTTGTGTTTGCTTCATGAATTAAATTTTGTTTTTTTCTATTTCTCATAAATAAAAAAAATCAAAGAATTAAACATTTTTTTAAGTGTCGTAAGCAAAAGGATATTCATTCATCATTGTTAAGTGTAATACTGGGAATGCTACATTGTCAAATACAGTTACAAATCCGAACACTGCACGAAGTTGTGATCTGTCAAACAACATAAGTAAATAAAAAAATTAACGACTTTGATGCGTACACATCCTCATCAATTTATGAATTGAAAGTCACCTGCGAGATAAAATAAAAAGCAAAACCTTTTAAGGATGGACGCGCAAAAAGGATCT